TTCTTATTATTTATAGTACTAGATAAGAGCAATAATATAGTAATATATTCTATTATTAATTCTATTTATTAAGTCTTTTACTATAATATTAATTACTAAGTTATAATCTATTAGTAGTATTAATATATGATAATAAATAATTAAATCAAAAAATATTTAACTTATTATTATTAAGATAATAATCTATATAATAAAGAGACTTTAAATATTGTTTATAGATATTTTTAGTAATATTAAGATTATATAGAGTATTTTCATAATATCTAAATCTTTATTTATTCAATCCATTCTATTTCTAGGCTTTTAATCCATTATAAGAGCTTTTAATATCAAAAATTAAACTATAATTAAATTAAAAAAAATCTCTATTAGATTTAAAAATATTATTAATAGTTATATAGCTAGATTAATTCTAATCTATAAAAATATCTATCTATTTTCTAGCTCTAAATCTAGATAATAAGTCAATAATTCATCCTATAGGATCTATTATTTTAATATTTTACTATAGCTTTTATCTATCTAGTAATAGAATTACTAAGAGAAATAGCTAGAGAGATTATAGAGATAATTTTAGAAGAGATTATAAGAAAGATTACTAATAAATAACAGTTTTCTTTAATTAATAATGATGTTATTAGTTATACTATACTGAATATACTATTGATTAATAATATAATTACTTTCTATATAGAAATTCTTCTAAGTTCTGTAATGATTCAATTGATTAACATTTTAATAGATTAATAATATAATTATCTATTTTATTAAGTTTATTAGGCTTTAACTAGAAAACAGTAATATCAATTAAAGGATTATTAGAAAAGAGATAATGCTAGATCAATATAAAAGAAAAATTAATATATTTAAATTAATATAGAATTACTTCTAGTATTAATATGTTCTAGCTATTTCTTTTTTATTATAGTTTATTAATAGTATAATCTTAAAAAAGATAGATAAAAATAGTAGAAAAAGATATTATATCAATTTTTAGATATATTATTATTGATTATAATAAATATAATATTTTTTAATCTAAATCTCTATAATAGTATGATCCTTCTCTAAATATAATAAGATTATGTTTATATTTATAAGCCTAATAATATATACTGTTAATTAGAGAAGAAAGTAATCTAAAATAATATTATTAATAATTAGATTAGCTATCTCTTCTATTAGATAATCTATTATCTAGATTATGAGACTCTATACTAACTACTTTTTAAGAATCTTTAATCCTGTTATCTTTTATTTATATTATAAATATACTATCTTTTTTTATATATTATATTTTTTATAGATAATATCTATTTCTTAGAAATTGATATATATATATTCGCTTCTTTGACTAATATATATAATATTTATATATATATTTAATAATTCTATTCTTAGCTATTAATATTATCTATATAAGCTATAGTTAAATATTAATAATAGATTAATAGATTATATAATCAATATATATATATATATATATATAGAAAGAAAGAATAATATTATTATTAATCTATTATATTTAGCTAAATATATATTCACTAATTAGTTAGAATAATTATTAATAATAAAGTTATAATAATAATATCAAAATTTATACTACTGATATATACATATTATATTGATAAAAGTAATTTAAGGAACTACATAATAAAAACTAATAATTATTATTAATAAGTGCTATAAGATAGTGTTATAAATAGTATTATAAATAATATCACAAGTAATATCATAGATAATAATATTATATATAATATTATAAATAGTATTATAAATAGTATTATAAATAATACTACAAGTTATTAATAATATTATTATCCACTAATCTCTATTATAAATAATTATTAATAAATTTAATACTAATATCATCAATATAATATTGATTAAAGAAATATATAATTCTTATTATATATTTAAATAATAAGTTGTCTCCTATATTCTTAAAAATTTTTTAATTTGAAACCAGATTATATAAAAAAAATATAGATATAATAGAAATTTAAATATAATTAATATTAAAAGAAATAAAATAAATAATCTAAAATTATAAATATAAAACTTACTTAATAAATATAATATTAATATTATAAATTTAAATTATATATTGCTTTTGATTATTTTTTAAATTTTTTAATTTAAAACTAAATTATATAAAGAAGATGCAGATATAATAGAAATTCAAATAGATTAGTATAATATTAATATTAAGACTTTATTGATGTCATCTTTCTAATTCTATTTTTTAGTGATATATAACTCCATTAATTAATAAGATATAAGAATAAAAAGCATATTATAAGATTTATTAAAAGAATAATTTTCTCTGATATTAATTTCTTTTATATATATCAACTTGGTGCGGAGCTGTAGATCTTGTAAACGGATGGATAGATAATTAAACTCGCGAACTCAATATTTAAAAGAAAAAAATATTGATTAAATTAAAAATTAAAATCAAATTTTTAATATTACTTAGCTATTTTATAAATAATTTTAATTTAATAGATTCATAAAATTTAAAGAATAGATTTAGAATATAAAGCTTTATAAATATATTAAATATTAAATTATTAAAAATAAGTTTATAAAACTATAATAGATTGACTTAGAATTATATAAATTTATAAACTTTAAGAATAATTTATAAAAAATAATTTTATAAAAGATATTTATAGTAAATAGATCTAATAAGAGTATATAATATATACATTATATACATCATATATATTGTATATATAGTATATAATATAGATATAGTATATACTGTATATATTATTAATAATATTTAGTTAAGCTGACTAATTAATTAGACTGAAACTGGTGGATTTCCCCTGTGGTGCCTAAGGCTGCCACTAGTTAGTTAGTCTTAGTCCTCTCGTATGACGGGAACTCCAATGAACTAACTCTTCTTCCGCATAATCCTGCACCAGAAACTAACTGAACTATTATATATCAGAAGATTTATAAAGTTTATAAAGTTATAATCCTTACTATTCTTTAATTATAAGATAAAAATATTTTTAATTTTTTATTTAATATTTTATATATCCTTCTAAATTTTAAATAGCTAAATCTAGAAATTATTACAATCAGATATACCAATTTTTATATTAATTAAGATTAATATTAATAAGATAAAGAATATAAAACAGAAATCTAAATATAATTAGTATCTACTTAATATTATTCCCTTTTTGAAACCATACTAGCATAAAATAAATAGATTAATTATTAAATATCTTAATAATAAATAGGTCAATTAAAAATGAAAAATATATTTAGAATCTGGAAGAAAAGAACTTTCTAATAGTATTAGTAATATAGATATATCAATTGTATTTATAGTTGTCCATAACCATACATTTGCCTTATAGAATGACGAGATAGGCAACGCCGAAACCGTCACAGTCAAACTCTCATCAAAAAAGCCTATAAAATCAGTCACTTTAGCAATGTAGACGTGTTCCTTACTATCAGATTTCGCGATACCAGGAACATGAAGACATTTAGTGCTGATAGCACCGGCATTTGATCCTTATATGTGTTACAGCTGGTATGGTACTGAAACTTGTATATTCTAAAGCTAACACAACCTGGAAGGCAGCTATGGTAAATGTTTAATCTGGAGCAGCTCTCCAAATAGGTACTTGTTACGCATACCCGCAGGTGGTGGAAAGACTTCAGCAAGATCACCCTGGAGAACGCTTTCGATGTCGTATAACTGTTCATGCCCTGTCATCTCGAGAGCGTGTGATAACTCAATATCCGCTATCGAACCTGTGCCAGCCCCTATTTTGTCCAGAAGAACCGTTAGTACACGAGCTCCGCGTCCCGCGACATTACTCCAGCTACACCTGTGCAATCGACTGATGCATCCCCTGGCGAGATCCACGTGGGTCTGGAAAAGAGTATCTGTCGGAGGTCGATGGAGTATATCCAAGCAAAGGACTACACCTGCCGAAGCACAGTAGGCTTCATCGATCCAAATAGTTGGGCCTTCCATGTCTCTAGTCTGTACCTCTTTGAGAATCGTTTTTGCCGCCGCCAAGCAAGTCGACTGTGTTGCAGAAAAGGCAGCATTCTCAAAGCTTTTCCGGAGGAAAGCCCTGTGGATCATGATCATCTTGTGCGCAAAGCAGATTGTTAGACTTCGCCGCGCCCAAGGTATCCAGTCAGGCCACACGGGATCGATTGGCTCCACGATGTGAAAGTACTTTGGCATTGCCTTGGTTGCAAGGGTGCGTAGTCGGTAGTCATAGTCGAGAGTGTGTTCGTATTTGGTTAGCAAAGTGGATGACCGAAGGACGGCTTCGTGATGCTTGGCCATCAGCTTCGCAATTTGGAATAGGTAGTTGGTGTAACTGACATAAGTGGGACAATTCTCGTCGATGAGATCCATGGTTAGAAAGTTTCGGTTTGCCGGTTTGCAGGATGTGAATTGTAGTGGATCGATGATGTGACTTTCCGAAAAGGGAAGGGAAATCCAGTCTTGCACGCAGAGTTGAAACCACAACCGCCGCCCAGTATCTCGCTGAAGTAGCTTATACTTATCTGCTTCTGATGAAGTAGAGGTCACAATGTCAACACGAGCATCGTGACTCAGCTGATCCAGCCCCAGGCCCCTCGCAATCTGAGTAGCAGCTCCACGGAGAACCGAGAGCTCTGCAGATTGATCAAGGATATGTGCTGACATGGCCAAGGTGGCTATTGCCTGTACAGAATAGATGTTCCGTTTGGCTGAGTAGTTGGCCTTGTTCAAACAGTTAATACATGCTTTGAACCAAGCCGCGGCGAGCTCTGAAACCTCGACACAGTGAAATCCCCATTCCTCTATCTCAGCACTCGGAGCACAAACGAGACTGGCAACCATGATGGAAAATAAGAGCGCGATCCATTGGAGGTCAAGTTGCGCGATATCCAAAGTTGCACCGTCCGTTTCATCCCGTATAGCACTCTGGAGTTCGCATTGGAACGTTGGACCGTGATAGGAGCCGTGATACCACAGCAAGTACAGTTCATGGTAGTCAACAAGGTAGTAGATTTGATGCTTCGAAGGTAACAGAGCCTCAAGGTAATCATCGTACGGTGCTGAACTGGGATCCAGGTTTGTTACATCTCCACCACCCAGACCCGATAACTTGCGGTTCCGAGGGGAAATTGGAGACGCAAATGAGTAGTGTAGCCTTGGATGACAGGCCCAGGCTGCCGAGTGGATGTGGTCTCTCGGTCGCGAACAGTTGATGCCTCTGTATATTCATGATGTTTCTCATAATTAGCGCACGCCGTTCCGCTTTGCAGTTGTGCTAGATAGAATTACTTACTTCACAGTGCAGTTTCGACAAGGCAAGGTTTTATCACATCGGACCTTGCGACGGGTGCATTCTACACATGCTAGCCGCTTCCTGTAAATGGAGAAACTCATGTTCTTATATTAATTGAATTATTTTTTCTGAGCCACAGTGCTAACATAAGGCCTTATCCCGGAATTCACCGATTTATTACCCTTGAAATAATGATGATATGAAAGCGCGTTGTCGTGGGCCAAGGGTATAGGTCCTGTAAGGGGAATTTTCTTAGATTAATCGTTGCTCGGCCGAGTCTCTGAGGAGCAGATAGGGCCAAAGGAGAATGCTAGATTCCCAATCATGGGCTATAGTGAATGGGATTGGTAGCTAGGGAAGTTTTAAGAGCAATAGATGGTGCTGTGAATAGAGAATCGGCAAGTATCGAGCCACGATGTGCATCGAGCGCAGAAGAAAGGAATTATGAATCTGGGCGATAAGCAAGCACTGCCTTTCTGGCCGAGGTAATCTAGCGCCTTAGGCATCAGAGCTCGCCGATAAGCCTCGGCCGAGGGTGGGGCTCTCTTTCTCTCTTTCTTTCTATGCATCGCTCAATCGGCCAATTTAGATATTCGATCTAGCGATGAGATGGTTATTTGTAAATTAGGTGGTGTATCTGATAGTAAACGTAGAGATTTAAGCCTATAATTATTGACTGCTTCTCTACCAGCTTCTCTTTCACCTGAGTCCAAAGTCTTAGGCTACCTATAGATTCCTTTACATTATAATGTATTTGTTTAAAGGATAGTCTTTTTACTTTTGATTATCAGACTTCTTGACGGTTCTAAAGTGCGTGTCTCTAGGATAGTGGATAGTATTATGATTATCAAAATAAGATACGCCTACCCCCTTATCTATAGATATCGGTACGCGATTTTGACAGAAGAATCGATGGAATTATTTCCTGGCTTGTCGATGTCACTGAAAATGTTGGCTTCTTTATCATTGTCGACCACAGCTTATCTAATGACGACATCGAAAAAATCTTCTCTAAGTCCTAGCAGTTTTTCAACCTTCTTAACCATATTAAAGCGAATTTCTATGGAGCTCGAAAAATGCAGAACAAAAAAAAGAACTTATAAATCTATCCGTCTATAGGAATGCCTAATATAAAGGAGTCATATTAACTTTAGTTTGATAAAAATATGAAAGATATTGAGATTGATAAAAGCTATCTTGCTGACTTTCAAAAGATTTCTTTTGAATTTATAAGCCGCATTTAAGAAGTCTTAGAAAAGCTTATATGTTATTTTACTCTTAGACTGGGCTTTTCCGAAGATTTCTGTATTAAAGTATATGATATGTTCTGATTAAACTCTCAGACTATCTATTGGTTATATACTATTTTGTCCTACTCTGAGATTCTGGTGGAAATGTCAATCATTGAGTGTGTGTATGGGATTTCATTATGTTGATATTTTTAAAAGAAGGTCGAAGTGGTTTGAAGATATATGCTGATTGTAAATTAGTAATAGAATTTAGTATTGGTAATACTTGGATCACAATTGAGTTATAGATGGGAGAAATTATGTATAATATTGGTAATCTGCTTATATCATAGTCTGATGATCACTTTGTATTGATCCTCCATTGTGTTAAAACCCCTAGCGAGCCTAAAGATTTTTATAAAGACTGATATAGTATTGTCTCATAGCAAACGCGATGGAATAAAATTTTACAACTTTATAAGAAAAGTTAAAATCAATTAAAACTTCTTTGTGTGTCACTAATATACGTAGCAGGATTCAATAATATAGCCCTTTTAAGTATTTAGAAATTGTAAAATTTAAGAATCGTAAATTAGAATATGTAGTATTACTATTGTTTTATAGGATGCATTAAAATATATATTGGAATATCCATTGATTGTAGGACTGGTTATTTAATTAGTTGATATTTAAATACTTTATTTGTGTTACTAATTTGTCCAGCCAGGTTAAAAGGAAAGTCTGATAGAGAAAACTTTTCTTTTAAGATTTATAATGTTTAAGCTTGATTTGATATGTAGCTATTCCAAATTAGTTTCTTGATACTCAATCAAAGACATAGGAGTATGTCACCTTTCCCCAGATTCATGTCGGATACTATATTCCTTCTATCTGGGTGGTTCAAAGACAGCCTTTAGTTATTTGCTAGCCAAATTGCAATTCCAATTCGTTTCTCAACACAGCCTTCAACCCTTCCAGCGTATTATGGTGAGCTCATTCCCTTCGAAAATGTCCGTCGCAGGCTAACGTATTCTCAGAGTAAGCTTCTATTTTACCTAAGTCTTGGACCAGAACGTGATTGACACTCCAAACTACTGTGCTGAATACCTGATGAGGTGAAAGACGAATAGATATAAACTAGCAGATTGTTATTTATGGTCTCAAATGGCATAACTATCGTAACATAATATATCTTCTCTTTAAAACGACTGTTTATATCTAAGTAAGAGATGCTCCCGTACTGTATACTTCTCTGTTGCCGAGCCATCAAGTGGTTCAACGAGGAATTCTGGATTTCCATCAAAGAAGAACGGGACCGAGTATCTCTCCTGGCCACTTGTGTTTATAACTCGATGGATGTTAGACTTGTAATGTCCACTGGTCCAGGTTTGCAGCAAATCTCCGATGTTTACCACAAATGCATCGCTCCGTGGTGGCACGTCAATCCATTCCTTCGTGGATTGATTCAGAACCTGCAAGCCAGAGTTTCCATCTGTGAGCAAGATAGTGATGGCACCAAAGTCGGTGTGCGCACCTGCGCCTACCATGGTGTTGTCGTTGATGTCGGGGTGCGGAGGGTAGTGGAGCAGCCTGACAGTGGCAATAGGCTCACGGCAGAAGTCTTTCATGATACTGGTGTTGCTGATGTTGAGGCCTCTAGCCAAGAGGTCTAGGATGCGAACCGCGAGTTCGTGCATTGCTGTGTGGTATGAAAGTAATGGAGACTTGAACTCTTCCTCGGGCAGCAGGTTTGTCTCTGGCCAAATATTTGGCGTGCAAAAGGGCTTGTAAGGTGGTTGCAGTCCAGGGATCTCACGGCTGAAAAAATATCCCTATAAGTTAAAATATCTTAGTATTTTTTATCTCAGTTTGATCTTTTTAGTTTCGTTTTATGCTGGTGTTTCGCACGATCCAACGTAATGATCATCGTTCAGCCAGAAATGTGGAACGGACTTACCTCCTTTAGATCTGGTTTTTTCCCAGCTTCGAGAGTTTGGGACCCAAATGTTTCGTAACCAACCCCTGGCTTGGCTTTCAGTTTCAGCTTTTCTTCTTCTCCCAGAGAAAAGAGGGCTTTTGATGCGCAAAGTACGGAATCCTGCATCTTTTGCGATATACCATGGCCGACTATCTGAAAAAATCCACTTGTCGAACAAGCCAAACGGATTTGGCTGACAACAGAGTCAAGTTCATCTAAGTCTCTATTATTATGTAGATAAGCGCTCATGTCCACGACTGGGATGCTGAACTCTGGCTTCCTGCCAACCATTGGTACCGTCTCCATGAGAAATAAAGGTCTACACGCAGTGATCATCAAAAGACTTCTTCTTGTGCTTGCTATCAATTCATGCAGATGCTAAAAATATAAAGAAACTGGCCTAGTTACTGACCTTTCGTCAGTCGCCTTTTGAAACGCCTGGTTGGCGATGGGTCTGGCATTCGATTCCGGGGATGGCCAGTCGGATCTGCATTTTTTTTATCGTGAGCCTGTAGATGGGGAGGGCTGCTTATCGTACGAGCCTGTATCGTGACTCGGCCGCAATCTTATCCTGAATGATCTTAGATAACATATGTACTGTATTAATCATGCCACGCCCCCCTTTTGGACTCGGGTTTCCTCGTATCACAAAAGTGGGGTGTGGCACGATTAGCACGACCAATCTACAAGGATTCTTATCGTACCAAGTAAAGTCGGGAACTTGCGCAATTATAACAAGAGGACCGATATCGGTAAATGTCGTATCACCAAACCTTTGTTCGCCGATGCACCCATATATGATACACCGGTCGCACTGGAGTTATGGCTAGCTGTACCCACCGTGAGACTCGCAGGAAGCGAGAGACATGTATAGAGTGTTCTCTGCGACAGCAAAGATGCGATCGTCAAATACCGTGCGAGCGATGTGAAAAGAGAGGTGTCGCTGAAAGGTGTACCTTGTCATGGGACGAACAGAGCGACGAGTCAGCTATCGAGGCAAAATGTATACCCCCAGCAACCGCAACACTGATTCCGTCGCAACCTCGTCGCAATTTTGAACCCGGCCCTAACTGATGCACACAGTCCGAGATCTAATATTAGACTTCCTTATTCTAATGATGTACCCGAAATTTCCAATAAAGCGCTTTTAGACTTGATAGAGAAATTGAACGCGAAAATTGACCACCTGGAATCCGCACTTTAAAATAAACAGAGTATGGTCTTATCGCAGGAAATGTTTAATAAACCAGAATTACTTTTGTCATCGCCTGTATGCTCGGAAACCCCACGGAAAGTTGAAACTAACGTGATCAAAAAAATAAAGGCTTAAAAGTAGCTTTGAAGTTAAAGATGCTGCTACTATTCTGAAATTCTTAGCCTAAAGTCAACAGAAAGATCTCAAATACCAGAACCTCGTCACTACACATGGTAAAGTTTCATAATATTCCTTTTAAGGCATTGACACAGAGAATAATATATTGTTAAACTTTATAACGAACTAGTGTGCTTACTCAACAACAATTGAAAAAATAAAAGTAAATTCAAATCAATTAGAAATACAAGCCTGAGTTTCCTATAACTCATCTATCTACCTTAATTTATATGCGAATCTATACTATTATTTATTATCAAAGATTAATTAACTTAAACCAATATTTATTACATCCAATAATCAAATTTCCAAAGGTTTTACGCTTATCCAAATCTAGTTAAATAGTTTCATTTTTAATATACCTTCTTAGAGATAAAATAACAATAATAAAGCTATTATTTCTATAACAAATATCCTATCTTAGTTAATCCAAGATATTTGATGAATATTTCCTACTATTACAATGCCAGCTCGCCTATCCAACCCACCAACCTACTCCCCTAATCTAACCAAATATAACCATAGTTACATTTTAATACAACTCCAATAAAAGCTATCCAGCTGCAAGAATCCTATTATAGCTCTTTAAGCTACATCTTATCCTTAATTCTACACCCAGCCCTGTCTATCTACCCATCCACCTATTCTGACCAGTCAATCGTCAATCCTCAATCCCATCCGCGTGCCGCACCTTGACACCTACTTTCTTTTTATTAATATCAATTTTATAAGTTTATTAACTAACATATCTATAATAATAATCTATTTAATATTTAATCTATCTTTTTAAATCTTTTATCAAAATTAATAATTTATAATATTAATATATTTTAATTTTTATTATAAATTAAGATTCTTTATACTTTACTAGTTGAACTATTTATTGATTATTATATTTAATAGTAATTAAATACTTTAAATTAAATCTAATAGCTTTAAATAGTCTTTTCTAATAAAGAGTTGTTTTTTTATATTAAATAATGCTAATAGTTCTGCTTTAATAGTTGAAATTATAATAGTCTTTTATTTTCTAACTCTTTAATTGATTAGATTTTTAATTCAGTTTTATCTAAATATCTAAATACTAGTGGATTTCTATTAATAATATTAATATATTTAGGGTTAACCCTAATCCTTTATAATTATTATTAAGTATATAATCATTTCTAAAGTAATTTTTCATAAATTAAATTTATATTTTTTAAATTAGGATTTTGTTTTAGATATTTTTATAAATATTATAATAAATTCTTAATATTTAAATTATTATCTAAGAATTATCCAAATAATAATGATATCTTTTCTATTTTTTATTTATATTTTTTTAGATTATATTGTATAACTAATAGTTAATCTATCTATTAAAGAAAATATATATATATATTTCTATTTTTATTCTATAATATTCATTATTATCTATTTATTTTTTCAGCATATTTTAATAATTAGATAGAAAATTATAATTTACATAATTAATTTTAATATATTTTTAAAGATAAAATCTAACTATAGTTAAAAATTCTTTAATATAATTCAGTTATCTGAATAAAAACTGGATCAAATTTAGACTAATCTAACTATAATTAATAATTCTTCTTTAGCGTGGTTTAGTTTTGGTTTAGAGAGTTAGAACCATTCAATTTTTAGTTCTGGTTTTAATATTAAGGACCAAACCGAACCGATCTACTTTTGGGTTTGGTTCAGAAACTCAGGACCAGAACCGAACCAAATGACAGCCTAGATAGATATATCTATCTATTTCAATATTATAGATATATCTATCTACTTTAATATTATATATAAAGCTTTTCTTTATATTATTATCTAATATTATAATTACTAAAGTGATATTTAATATGATAATATATATATATTAAATATCAATATAATTTAAAACTATTTCTTTATCTTTTAATTCATATTTACTTTCTTTTTTAGATTCTTTATTTTTCTTTTCAAAAGCTTTATATCTCTTTTTTAAAATCTATTTATATATTTTATTCAATTATAAATACTTTTTATAAACTTTTTTAATCTTTTTTTTTTATTTCTAAATCTAGTTTCTAATCTCTATTCTACTTAAATAGATTTATATATTTATATTTAATAAATGGATACTCTTTTTTATAGATATATATCACTTTTTTATTATTTTTTTTTATTTTTTTTTCTTAACTTTTTATTCATCACTATTAGATTTTCCTTATAACGTTCCAAATAAATTATATATTAAAGTATTATTAATCTAAGATTAAGATAGCCTTATAATTTAGATAAAGATAAAAAACTCTATTAATAATTCTCTCAATTTAGGAAGTTTATGATTTTTATCTTATATTATATAAGGTATATATTACTTATAATAGAGATTATAACATTCTAATACTATATTCTTTATTATTAAAATGAAGTCTAATTTATATATTTTTCTTTATATATTAAATATTTAAGTTTTTATATACTTATTATATATTTCTTTTACTTTTTTATCTATTTATTAGAATTATTAATCTATAATATATTATAAATTTAATAATATCTATCCTTTAATATTTTAATATTTTATTATACTAATATAAAGAATATCTCTTTCAATCTTTCTAAGTATTCTTTAATATCTTCTATATTCTAAATATAGATATAATTCTTCTAATTAAATGATTATATAATATTCTTCTATATAATATAATTTCTGGCATTATATATGTTAAATAGCTTTATCTTATATTTATATTTCTTTTATTTAATTTCTCTCTTAATCATTATTGAGCTTAATTCAAAGTCAGAGATATTAAATATCTTAAGAAGCTTTGATTCATCATTTTTATTTAGATTAATATATTATTAGATACTGTTTGATATATATAATATCTAAATATATAATATCTAGTTATTTTAATCATTCTTATTAATTAATATAATAAAGGTTTTATAAATGTTGTTAGATGATATTATATATAGCTTTATATATTTAATTTATTTAAAAATCAGTTAAAATACTATAAAGTTATTTAAATAGTGTGTTTGTGTAACACCCCTATTCGAATGTACAGAGATTGGTGTTGATTCTATATAGTGCACGTGACGCAGATATTAGTGAGTCATATATCTAGATATATTGCTTATAAACATTAGGCCAAATCTTTATAATAAAAGAGGGTAGCGAATAGCTATCTATATATAGAGCATATATTAATAAAACCTTATTCAATATAGAAATCAATATATTTATACTCTATCAATTCTAGTCTTTATAATTTATTTATTTTTATATTAAAAAAGATCTATTTATATTAATTATTATATTTAAATATTGACTTTAATCTTATTTAATTTATCTAAATCCTTTATCTTAAGTTAATAATTTAATTAATATATTTATTATTAAAGAAAGATCTATTAAAACTTAAAAAATAAAAGATAATAAGATTGAATAAAATAATTTTATAATTATATATCTAGCTAATATTATTAAAAATATAATTAAATAATTAATTAAATTTAAATAAAATTTTAAAAAATATATATTAAATGAATTATTTATTATAATATTTAAATAATTAGATTAATTAAAAGTAGATCATATAATTTAAAAAATATAATAAGTGAAATAACTATATATTAAAATTCTTCTTTAAAAAACTAAGATACTAAAAAGTACTCTAAATAATGACTTTTTAGAATAAAAAGAATAATTTATAAGAATAGAATTGATTTTTTAAGAATTATTAAATATTCTAAATATAGATTAAAAAAGACTCTATATAGAGATATATAATAATAATAAGCTTTTAAAGATAGATCTTTCAATTTTTAAAAGGAAATTATACTATAAATAATAGATATTTAAAATCATCTAAATATATATTTTTAAAAAAACTATTAATTCTTTAATAAAAAGAATATCTATAAATAAAAGATTTTAATAATTGTTAATACTTTTAAAAATAATATATTAAAAAAGTAGATTATCTATTAAAAAAATAATATAAAACTTAAAAATATAATATAGAAATAATTCTAAAAGTTTATAATAAACTTAATTAAATTTATAATTTTAATTTAATAAAAAATAAATTCTAAATTTCTAATAACTTAATAATAAAAGAATTAAATAGTAACTAAATTTAATATTATCTTTTATAAATAAAAGAACTATTTAGATTAGTAGTATATTAAATTTTAAAAATAAATATATTTTTATAATAAAATTCTTTTAATAATTTATAAAGAACTAGATAAATATTTAAATATTTTAAAGAATTATAAAGATTTTATACTCTATATTTAAATCATTAAAAATAGTATATTAGAAAGATAAATAGCTCTAAAATAAAATAAAAAAAAGAATAAATTATCTAAATAAAGATATAATTTATTAAATTATAATATAAACTCAAAGCTAATATAAAAAAGTAATATAAAAAAAAATATCTCTTTTAGATTAAAAATATCTCTTTTAGATTAAAAAGATTTTTAAAGTAATAAAAATTTTATAAAAAATTTAAAAGAAAGAATACTAATCTAAAAAAAAAAAATTTCAAATATAATTACTATTATAGAAAAAAGTATTTAAAAGATAAATATTAAACTAAAAATCTATATCTAAGACTAAAATATTAGAAATAATTTTTTAAATTAACACTATTAATTATTATAATATTAGATATTTATAGAAGTTAAAGTAAAATAAAGCTCTATATTAGAATATATATATATATAAAGATAATAAAAGAGATGTAATAAATATTAATTCTAATAGATAATAATATATAAAAGAATTTTATAAGCTAAGAATAAGCTATAAAACATTTATATTATAATATTAGAGACACAGTTTAAACATAAGCAATTAACAGCTATATAATTAGTATCTTTAATAAAACACTATTAAACATTATTATCTGTAATTTAAAAGATAGAATAAAGTCTTTTATATAAACATTTAATATTATAAATATAAAGAAATATAACTTTATACTAAGAATATTCTAATATAAAGAGATAAATCTAAATATTCAATATATAATCAAACAGTGATATTATTATTAACATAATTCAAATAATAAAGATTCTATACACTACTATTATATTTTAAAAAGTAAGATCTAAAAGTAGAATAACTATATTTATAAAAGATTAAAAAAATTAAAATTAGAGTACTAATTAATAATAAAATCTATAATTTTTTTTTATTAAGATTAATTTAAGAGCTTTTTAATATTTCTTTAAGAATCTATTTATATTAATTAATAGTTTTAATTCAGTAATTATAGTAATATTTTCTTACTAAATATATAAGAAAATAAGATAATAATATTATATATTAATATAATTAATAAATCTATATCTAATACTTAGTAATATATTAAAAAAGCTTTATTTTATATATTTTTAATTAAATTAAATTAGTTCATTTAGAATAATATTAAGATATATTTATTCTATATTAAAAAAATTAAATTATTAATTCTAATTAGATTTTTATTTTTTGTTTTTTTTAACTTATTTTTATTTCTATAATATGTATTTAAATATAATATATTTTTTAAATTTTCTTTTTCTTTCTTTATTTTTACTTTTTTTTATAACTCTTTAGATTGATTTAGTCTTGTCAAGTTTGTTAAACTTAGTCTTATTTATGGTGAGACAGTGGATAGACAGGAGCCAATCCAATGGCAAAGAATTAGAAGCAGCCCTGCCTCCAATTGCCGATAGGGTACAGGATTGGAGGCCTCTGGCGACAGTAAACGTATATTTGAGGTGCTTGATTTTGCTACAGTAGATACTTCCTTCAAACTATGGGTATTCCTAATTCCTATAACTCGAAGTTCTAGAAACATGTTAATGTTGACCTTTCTTATTCAGCATCAATGCGTTCGATAATTATCATATCGATAGCTCTAAAAATGTGAAAATTGCTGCCTGGCACTGGTACCAGCTTCAGACAGTATATAACACCACAAAAGAGCAGCAGGCATATCTTATGAACCACACCGCCACAACCTCATTATTTAGCCCCCTTGTTTCTCAGATAGAATATCTAAAGACAAATAACCCTGACGTCCAGTTTGTACTGAGCGGAACTGGATCTGGAATCCAGAGCTCCATCAAACTTCAGGCAGACTTTGGTGCGTCCCTCTGGTGCATAGATTTCCAGCTTTATAGCTTGACGCAAGGTGTTGCTCGGGTTGATGCTACGCACCGTCCGGCAGCTCCTCATACTTACTGGGTACCAGACGCCTCTGCCGGAGACACAAACCCTGGACCACAGACACGTGGCGTCTGGTACGCCCTGCCGTTTATTGCAGACTTTATCGAAAAGAACCCTGGAAAAGTTGTAGAGGTGAATCTGGGATCGGACGTGCTCATGGCATATGCAATGTACGACGAATCTACAAGCCAGTTGTCCAAACTCGCTTTGATCAATCTACGCACCTGGATCAAAGGAGGAAATACCGGCAATAGAGGGACAGAAAAAGTGACGTTCGCGGTCAGCTCTGATAAAAGTACCTACAAGGTGCAACGTCTTGTGTCTGCGGCTGGTGCTCAGGCAATGGGTTTTGATTATGCCGGTCCTACAGAGAATATCACCTGGGCTGGTGAGCAATGGAGCTACTCGATCGATCAAGGTCAAGGCCACCTGGTAGCTGGTGTTCCGACAGAGGTAACTCACACCGTGGTAAATGGCGAGGTGACGATTGAAGTATCGGACAGTGAAGCAGTTCTCATTACTTTTTGAAGGAGTGTACATATTAGCCTTTTTAGTGCTATTCATTAAAATTTCAAGTTGAATACTATATAGATATTACTCATAGAGTTCGTACTAATTTCTTAAAAAATTAAAATTGAAATCTATCTTAATATTGAAAGCTTCCAAGTCCTCAAATCCCATTCAGTCATTCGAAATGGGCGGTGGGTTATGCCTGGACCTCATAGTGATCAAATGCCGCGATCCGCGACTGCGACGCCCCGCACTGGAATTATTTGGGAGGGTGCCGCGAGTGCATGCGTTTCATGGGGGTTTGCCAGGGCCATGTTAGGAGCAAAGGTGATCGAACTAGAAGAAGCAGAAGAGGAAGAAAAAGGCTCTTCAAAGTGTGGTGATAACGGGCATGGCCACGACTTTCTTTCAGTACCACCAGGCTGTCCAACTGAGTCACACCGAATCAAAGAAATATATCTCAAACAAGAACTTCAAGATGATGGATCCGTCAGTATATGCTTGCACTATAGCAAAAACAAGTGAGATCCGAAGGTTGGTCAGTGGCATCCTCTTGTGTAAGTACTACCTGTTTATCAAGGGTCATCCGCCACTGAATCGCAGCAGTTACTTTACAATCTAGGGAAAGAATGTATTGACAACGTTTTGGGATCGTCTTTCAGTCAGAGATTGGTTTATGGGGTATGATTTACAAATAGAGTGTGAAGAAAGGTTTTATTCAATCGATCTAGAATACACAAATATCAATGAAGGAATGCCGGAAGCCCATTGATAAGCCCATGATCTGGTAAATACAATCCAGAACCAGCCAATGAAAGAACAGGCTGTATAGCGGCATTGTTCTTCAGTGCAATCTAATAGTAGTAGTGACAGCCGAGTCAATAACCAAACTTGTCCCATTAATGTAGCTCGCTGCAGGACTGCATAAAAAGGCAATAGCATCTGACACTTCTTCGCATTTGGCTGCTCGTTTGATCGGCACAACTGCAGCTATCTCGGCTTGAACTTGAGGATTCTTTTGCAACTCTATATCTAGTAGTGGAGTTTGCACCCAGGTTGGGCACACGGCGTTGCAGCGAATTCCCTCACTGGCGTGATCCATGGCTAGTTGAATCATTTAGCTCTATGCACGCACATATCTCTAGTTTGAAATGTCCTCACCTGCCATCTTCGTCAAGGCCATATCGGCATGCTTGGAGACCGTATAGCACATCTTCCCAGGAAGTCCCGCAAATGAATTGGCGGAAGCAAGGTTAACAATGGCTCCACGTCCAATGTCTCTCTCGCCACTCCGGCTCTTGAACATTTTAGGCTGCTGTCTGCGCATTGCGGCAGTTTGGGCCCGGATACACAACATGAGGCCCTTGGTATTTACATCTATCACCCTGTTGAAATTATCGATATCTGTGTCGGCAACTGGGGTATGAACTCCGTTGTCAATCTTTTTCCTAGTCGTTAGCACTACTACAGGCATGGGTGTCTGTTTGTCTGCGACTCACCCCGGCGCTATTGACACAATAGTCGATGCGACCAAATTCACGAACCACAAAGTCAACCATGTTCTGGACTTCGTCTGCTTTGGTGACGTCGGCTTTGATACTCGCTGTTCTATAGTTTTTGTTCGAGGCGTATTGCTTGCTTTCCTCTGCCGTAGAGACAGCGCTTTCTTCGTTCAAATCGGCAAATACAATGACCTCGGCGCCGGCTTCGGCGAGTGAGAAACCAGCCTGTTGGCCAATTCCTCTACCACCCTGTTTTTGTGTTAGGTAAAGCGGTGCAACTGGATATAATAGTTTTAGAGAAGGGGTTCTCATACGCCAACTACGAGAGCGATTCCGTCGAGTCTCGTGCTAGATATCATATTGAAGTCCGCCTAGGGTAGTAGCTAGGGCTGGTTTTCAAATTTTCAAATTTTGGTGCAAAATTATTGCAGTTGTAAGGCAAATCTTGCTTTTTTTATAAACAAAAATACATGTAGTGATCTACTAAGAAAAAGGCTGACGTCGGCACGTCTTTTATACTTGATCAAAAGTGGAGACACCAACAAAGACAATACCAGATAATTTCAGTTTGCGCAGATATTTGTTTGTACTTGAATGCTGACCGTTAAGAAATCGTTTATTTGTCCCAAAGAGGAAACGTGTATAATGGTGAAGCGGGTCTAATCGAAAGATGACCAATTAGCTTTCTCAAAACCGTCTATTTGTCCAGAGTAGGAATAGTAGTGCCACATTATGATATCAATGCATCCACAACCAAACTTCTTCGTTTCTCCTCTTTCTTAGTTGAAAAAGTCGAATTGGCCAACAAAGACAGGCATTTCTCTAACGCGACCAATGGGGGAAGGTGATATGACCCTCGACTCCATGGCCTATAAGCGGACCAAGCGGTTTCACATGCGTAGTCGTACCGGATGTGTCACCTGCAGGCAGCGCCATGTTCGATGCGACGAGAATTTCCCCACATGGTAGGTTATCTAGATTTTGATCTACAAAAAATAAGACCCCAGCAGAACGAAATGCTTAATTGGATCAACTGGTAAAAAAGTTTTGAACTGATAGTGCCAAATAGTGCCAACTGCACCATTAGCAGAAAATCGTGCACCTGGGCACACGCCAATGTCCCACTGCGTGATCGGCGAGCAACGAAGTATCCCGGAGAGCAGGCACCATGGACTATTCAGAGCTCTTCGACAAGCCAGTCGTCGTCCGAGTCCATCTCCTCGGTATTTAATTCAGCCTGGCCGAAGAGAGTGACACCTTCGTCATCTGTCAAGCTTGCGCTTGGAGAAGCTCTTGATCCATTTGATACCATGCATATTAAAATGCCATTTAAGTCAAAAGAACTTTTTCATTACTGTGAGTTTTTAAAAAGAAATCAGCAGCAGGCCCCCAAAGTCTTATACATTGTGTGCCTAACGATAGTTGATTAGTCTATCATTCGGCTTCTTCCTTTAACAATGTATCAGGAACTCAAAAATTGTCTGTTTATAATTCCACTACTCAATAGACATGGTAAACTGATATTCAATGGGACTACTTAGTGTCACGGCAAATATGCACGACCCATACGTTCTTCGAAACACACTTCTTATTGCTGGACTCCATTATGCCTGGAACTTTGGAGATCTGTCGTCTTTTGACTCGACGTTTTTATTTCACAAGGTCCAGAGCATTCGTACCATCAACACGTGGATTGAAAATAATACGTCGTCAAGCCTAACGCTCTGTTTGAGGCACATTGCCACTTTATGTGTGGTAGAAGTATGGACGCCGCCATCACCGTCACACTTCATCAAAATATTAAGTTGTTTATAGTGCTGCCTTGGCAATTTTGTGACCGCAGAAACACACTTGAATGGTCTTATGCTCCTTTTGGACACAAAGGAAGCCAATGGAACGATTCCGCGCACTCCAAAGGAGAATCTGGAACACGAATTTGCTGAACGGTACCTGATAATGTAAGCACAGTTTCAATATTTTTTTAATTGTCAGGTGGAACTAATACTCTCAACAAACTTATAGGGCTTTCAATCTTATCCACAGCTTGAAAAGCCGCTTTGTTGACTATATGGATTCAACTCCAATCCTAGCCCCATCTAGCAGACACATGGAACCTAAAGAAGTTGCTAACCTCATCCATCAATGGCATATACAGGAGGCCACGGGGATTTCGGCCCGACTTAGGGCGATGAACATGTTCCCTTCCTTTTTAAGTCCCATCTCCGCAGCGGTTCAGATGCAACCGAGTGAAGTCCAGCCTATTCTTTGTTGTATGCGGGAAATTACAGACACGTTTGATTTGCGTTACACTAAACTCTATGCTGGTACGGAAAATGCTTCGCCTTACTATCTATGGGCTTCTAGTGGCCCATCAAAGCTACTATTTTCTGTAATCGATGCTCACATAAGCTCGATCACGGAACATCCCTATGACCATAATCCAGGATCCTCGCAGGATCTCAAGTCCTCCTGGTCCAGCATCTGCATCGCCGTGGGGCTGTACCTGACCAGCGTGCTCGGCATTTGGAATCAAGGTTACCCTGCTGAGAATCGTCTCATGTGCTATGTCCTACGCATATTAAGGCAGGATCTAGAAGATAATTTTGCCGATGCTACGAAGAAAGGCACAACTGCACAGGATTTGTGGTTCTGGAAAGCATTTCTTGGAGCATTGAGTTTGGCTCATGTCGATTCCCTGATTGAAATCAGGGTGAGCTATACAAGGCTTCTGGATCTTGTACCAGATTTCAATCATTATATCCGAACTTGGGCTAGAAATGAGGGAGTTATTATGTGGCATCATGCGAGAGAGAGATTGCAGAATGTCGTTTTCCCTACACACTGTCAGCGCGAGACTCTCGCGAAGACAGTGTGGAATCAGGCATTGGCGGAATCAACAACCTCCACATCAAATAAAGATTAAAAAATATATCCTGTACAAAGTTGAACAACATGAATAGTCATCACGCTCTTAGCATCCTGTGAACCGATAGTGCTTTCTTAAGAGGCGTCAAGAGCGGCATTTGGCTGCCACTTCGTATCATAATAGTAATATTTTAAAAATGTAATATCTACGCACAGATGCGATGAAAAAAAGATGACGGTATGAAAGCCACCTGAAAGTGTTGACATCATTCATATGTTCGAAGCTGCTAGGCAGTCCTCAATGCTGGCTAGGCAGAACCGGAAACACGTACAGATACCGGATGTGAGATCTTTCAAGTTTTCTCGAACCATCAACTCCAAAAAATTTCCACCTTAATCCCAAGACGGAATTATTAATATTCAACGTTATTCCTCCTAACCCTTTTTAAACAGTAGGTGCTCTCGCCTGTAACCACGGCCGAAACCTCTCTGCAAGTAGGTAGCACTTACTTCTGCAATAAACACCTAGTCTGCTATTGTTTCTCAAGATTTATCATTTTTTTCTCCCACGATGACTGACACCTTTTCTCGTGTGCCCCTTGAAATTTGACTTATGATCCTGCAGAACGTGCGGGACTTGCCGTCGCTTTACAAGTTCATATGTTCATCTTCGCAAGTTAAGGATGCATTTGACTTCGACCCTGCGCGTATTTTAGACGAAGTTATTGATCGCTCAATACCGCATTTCAAGCATTTAGCTCGCATGATTAGCATCATGGGCACGCTTAACATCCAAAATGGTCCTGATATCCAATCATCAGACCTATCATCCCAACCGACTTTCACTGCGTTGATCGATAAATTCAAATCTCTACCAAAAAAAGTGCTTAGAACTGCTCTACCGTCATATGCATTTGCTACTAACACGCTGGGTCCTCGCTATCTATTGCTAACAGCTTACCGCATCGAACATCTCTTCCATATCTGTTTCGTCACTCTTCTTCAAAACATCCATGAGCTGATTTTCGAAAGTGGGCCGGGCCCAGATCGTAAAAGCTCTCGGCCTGGGATTTTCTTTGAACCTGCAGCTTGGTGGTCTCCATCATAGGTTGAGAGAGTTCGTATTGAACAGGCACTCTGGAAGCTATTTATTTACTGGAATACTCATCTATTTTTAGTATTTTGATGGTTTCAGGTATTCTTGATGTTTCCTGCCTTTACCTCATTTGTGTGTCGTACCTGCACGAATTTTGGATCATATTATTGGCTGTTCCGGTGATGGATTTGACCAGTCGTCACAATATTATCTAAAAGAGTAAACCTTAATTTGATGAACTTGTGAAGTGGTATCGGCCCGGAAATTTTACCACTACATATTTTACCTTCGCACCTAACAGGGGAACAGATATAGAGAATATATATGAACTAGGGTGTAAGTAATCTCAGGAGCAACTCCGCGCCTACTAGGCAGTCGATTGGTGCCTTCGGAGGTAGCTGATGGATTATCAGCTGATAGGTTACACAACATACTACGTCAACCGTTGGAGAATAATAAGCAGTTGTTATATCACGTTGAGCTTCTAGGGTATGCCAAGAGTAGTTAATGCTATTGCCTTTTACAGCCCGCTTCAAGCAATCGTTAGATTTGCTAGTTTAACACACCCACCTCAGTATATAGTTTATCTAGTCTATCATCCGATCAGCTAGGACATTTAAAAGAGGAAGCACTAGGTGGCCTATAACATGATAATAAAAACAATATGGTTGCTAAGTTTTATGATACTCAAAAATGACTAAAAATACCTTTGATTCTGTAAAAGTATCATATATTACTTATAATAATTAAATACATAGAGAGAAGAGTGGTATTTTTATTCTATTAAATCTATTAAAGTGCTTAATAAGATTTATATATAATATGATAATAGTTAAACTAAAATAAAGTAGTTTTAAATTTTGCATAGAATTAGTATAATTAATTTAATAATAGATTAAGAGCATATATCTTCTGATTGAATTTTTTAGTTTAATAATCTAATATTTATTACGGGATGGCCTTAAAATCTTTATAAATATAAACTGAATTTAGATGTCCTTTAGATATCTATAATATCTTATTTTATATCTATATAATTACCAATATGTCTATAGAGTATATAAAACTCTATTTTATAAAATTAAGATAATGATTAAGATGTTTAATATTCATCATTTTTACAGTAAGCTCGGGATTAAAATAATTTAATAATTCAGTAGTTCAAACCTTGAATCAGACTATATTCTATATTCTAAAATAGATATTGATAATATAATCTTATATAAAAAAGATATATATATATATCCATTAACCAGATAGTAAAGCTAATAAAAGATATCTAATTATATCATATACTCCTCTAGATACTTTAAAATTAATATAGTTTTATTGACTAGCTTAACTAGGCTGTCATTTAGTTCGGTTCGGACTGAACCAAAACCAATCTGAAACCCGAATGGTCCAGTTCTGATCCTATATACAGTGAACCAAAGCAATTCAATTTATCAAGTCTAAAACTATATGGTTTTTTGAGACCTATTTAAGTCTAATTTAATTTAAATTTTTGATTTAGTTTTATCTAAATATCTGAATACTAGTGGATTTCTATTAATAATATTAATATATTTAGAGTTAATCTTAATTCTTTATAATTATTATTGATTATATAATCATTTCTAAAATAGCTTTTTATAAATTAAATTTATATTTTTTAAATTAGGATTTTATTTTAGATATTTTTATAAATATTATAATAAATTCTTAATATTTAGATTATAATTTAAGAATTATCTAGATAGTAATAATATCTTTTCTATTTTTTATTTATATTTTTAGATTATATCATATAGTTATAATTAATGATTAATCTATTTATTAGAGAAAATATATATATATATTTCTATATCTATTTTATAGTATTTATTATTATCTATCTATATTTTTAGTATATTTTAACAATTAAATAGAAAATTATAATTTGAATAATTAATTTTAATTTTTATATTATTTATCTATCTAATTCACTAAAATTTAAAGAGATTTTAATATATTTTTAAGAATAAAATCTAACTATAGTTAAAAATTCTTTAATATAATTTGATTATCTAAATAAAAACTAGATTAGACTTAAATTAATTTAATTATAATTAGTAATTCTTCTTTAATATAATTTAGTTTCAGTTTAAAGAGTTAGAATTATTCAATTTTTAGTTCTGATTCCAATATTAGGGACCAAACTGAACCGACCCACTTTTGGGTTTAGTTCAGAAACTTAGGACCAGAACCGAACCAAATGACAGCCTAATCTATTAAATTTGCTAAAATTTAAAAAGATTTTAATCTATTTTTAAGAATAAAATTTAACTATAGTTAAAAATTCTTTAATATAATTTAATTATCTAAATAAAAATCAGTTTAGACTTATATTAATTTAATTATAATTAGTAATTCTTCTTTAATATAGTTTAGTTTCAGTTTAAAGAGCTAGAATTATTCAGTTTTTAATTTTAATTTCAATATTAAAGACTAAACCGAATTGATCTACTTTTAGATTTAATTCAGAAACTTAGGACTAGAATTAAACCAAATAATAGCCTAATCTTAATATTAATAATAATTAGATTTAATCTTAAACTAAAAGTAATATAACACTGTAAATACTTTTATAAATATTATTTTAAATAGTAAGATTTATATATAAATACCATTAGAATATCAAATTCTAGAAATAATTTATTATTTATAATAATATAAAGCTATCTTTTATATAATATATTTATAAAAATTCTATATAAATTAATATTAAAGAGTAATCTAATAGAAATATCTAATTCTTTTTAAATAGCTTATTTAGAAAGCTATTTTAATACTTTATAATAATAATTATATAAAAAAATAGAAATATATAATATTTAATTACTATTTAAAATAATAATTTAAGAAAATATATTATATAAAAGATATCTAATATAATTAAACTAATTTCAAATTTTTAAAATTCTTTAGATTAAGATTATTTAGAATTATTAATTTTAATCTATATGTTAATCTTAAATTTAGAAATTCTTTAGATTAAGATTATTTAGAGTTATTAATTTCAATCTATTAAATATTTTAAATAAATATACTAATCTTAAATTTTAAAAATTTCTTATTATTATTCTTATAGATAATATTTCTATAGGTCTTAATAGCACCTTTCCTAATTAAGCTTAGTGCCAGATAACTTTTGTATAGACATCTATCAGGATTCCACGCAAACTAGTATTAGGTGTTAGAATTCATAGAGTATGTATCACTAACTCTTTTATATTCTTTGAGAAAATTGTTATATTAATATATAAATTTAGGTATTTAATATCTATAAAATTCTATTTAATTATATTAAAGATAAGAAAGCTTTTATTAATAAAAAAGAAAGTAGGTAGAATAATCTATTTATATCTATATTTATTACTATCTAAAATAAACTAAAGTCTTACTATCAGTTAATCTATTTTTTTATAATATATTCTTTACTATTATTATTATTTTAGATTTTAAAAAAAAGCTATTAACATTTATAATAAAGATATAAATTAATAATAAATAAGATTAAATAAATTTATATTACTAAAATTTTATATTTATATTTATTTATTATAAAAATTTTTATTTAATCTTTTAAATTACATTATATAGATTTAATAATTCATTTAATTTATTAAATTATATTCTATAATGTTCAAAGTATTATTAAATTTAATTTAATATAAAGATTTCTATTTTATATTCTATTATAGAATTTTAAAATATTAAAGATCTATATAAATTAGAATTATATCTATTGAAATATATATATAAAATTAATATTATATTTAAATAAAAATTAATTATAGCTTTATTTTATTAGTTTTTTATTTTTTAAAAAAAATTCTTATTAATTCTTTATTCTTAAATTAGTTATTTATAACATTTTTATAATATCTCTAAATAGAGTTAAAATAGAATCTTTATTTAATATAAATAAAAATATTTATTATTATTATTATAATTAGTTTTTAATAAATATAATTAAAATTATTATATTTTAATTATATATTAATAATCTTTATATTATTAAATCTCTTGAATTTTTAAAAGAAATTAATATGAAAATTAATCTATTATAAAAACTAGATTATTTTAATATCTTTCAGTTAAAAATTACTTTTCTTTTAAAATATCTTAATATAATAGATAAAAATTTTAATTTTAATAAAGACTCTATAAGAAATTTATTATAATTTATTAATATTATTAAAGAAAATATATTAGTATTTAGATATTTAGATAAAATTAAATTAAAAATCTAAATTAAATTAGATTTAAATAGATTTTAAAAAACTATATAATCCTGGACTTAGTAAATTGAACCACTTCAATTCACTGTATATAGGACCAGAACTAGACCATTCAGATTTCAGTTCGGTTTTATTTCAGTCCAAACCAAACCAAATAACAGCCTAATCTAAAGAATAAATCTATAAAGATAAAAAAATTTAATAAGAAATATTCTAATAAGCTTTTTAATAAGATGCTTAAAGAGGCTTTAGAAAGAAGGATAATAGAGCTAGATAATCTATTACTAACAGACAATATCTATTTATATAGCTTTTAAAAAAGAATCTAAGACTCTACTAGTTTAAAAAAATTTCTAAATTGCTTGATATAGATAAGCAGCTTAGAATAATAAAAAAATTAGATTAACTATAATATTTAAAACTAATTAAAAATAACAGTATAAAAGATTAGAGGCTTAGGCCCTTAATAGACCCCTAGAAGCCCTAATAATATGTAACCTTCATAGCTTATAGCTAGGTAAGGTTGTAAAACTTGAATAATTAATAAATAATAATAATATAGACTGCAAAGATTTGGAATAGCACCAAATAGCGCGCCTTAACGCCATATTACAAAACCAACATATACAAAGCTAAGAACAGATTAGAATATTTTAAACTACTTTAAAATAAACGCCTATTAAAACAATTAATACCATAGCTAACCAGTTACTATAATTAAATATAGCTTATTTGCTACTTATATAGAATTATATCTTATTTTTATCTCTATCCTTTAATAATCTTTATACCTCGTTACTAGTTACCCCTAAGGAACCTCTGTGTGGTTCAACACATCGTATCGCTCCTCAACACAACCAGTGAAAACTAGAGTGGGTCCCGGTGCGTGACACGCCAACACTAAGCCAAAAACTATAGAATCTCTTACTATAACGGTTATATTATTAGTATTTTGGGCCCTAGTACCGAATTCATGCAGGTAAACGTAATCACTAATCTTAGTGCTACCCCAAAATCTTTGCAGCGCCACTGTACGGAGGTGGGCATAAAAGGTCGTGAGAATATGGCGCCCGCTAATTTCTTTAGTTGTTATTTTTGAGTTTTATCAATACACTTTACCATAAATTCTTTTATAAAACATTATATAATGACTAATAAAAATAAAATATAATATATTAATTTTACATTTATCCATAAGAAGGTTATTTAATATATGATTAAGCTAGTAAAATACTAGATAATATATTCAATAGTAAGGCTAGTATATTATTAGATTTAGCACTTCTCACGACTTTTTGTGCCCACCTCAGTACTAATGGTTAGTTTAATAGTTCCACGTCTTACTCTTTCCTGTTGTCTCCAGTAAGTTGTCTTGTTTTGCCCCACATCTTCTCTAGTCTGTGTGGAGGGAATGGGGTTACAGCTGGATGTAGTACCCAACAAATAAGACTAGTTCAAGATAGGTATATTCTGCGATCTATATATAATATCTATAATATTCCCTAAGAAAGTATATACGCTCACAGGTTCTAGTACCATAATATTTGCATTAGATCGTCTCTAACACATTTCACCCGTGAACTGGTCAGACCCCTGAGCAGGCCACCCTTCGCCGGAGTTTATAATATATTCGTCAGTCGGAACTACGTTGATTTAATATACTGTCAATTCATATTCTGAGGCAATCATGGACTACATTTCGCTCAACCAATCTGACCCAGAAGAACCAAGCGAGGTTAAGTTTATCTCGCCCTGGCCGCTATGGTTCCGAAACACAGTCATTTCGCTCCTCGCCCTCTATGGTTTCTTCAGCTTGATTATGCTGTGCTATACCACTCTCGATTTAAAAGCATCACCTGATCCTTGTTTCTGTGGTAAAACCCCTGCCGATGCTCTTCAGAATGGCTGCAAGTTTGATCCCTTCACTCTAACTTGGGTCCCGGATGCATGCCGCGATGATGACCTTATTGACGAGTTTAATGCACTCGGCGCACTATACAACCATTCCTGGCAATTCTATACCTGGCCAACACATGACCGGCTAGTAACCCTTGATGAGGTCTCTATGATGGCTGAAGTGGCAAGTACAAAACATGACAACCGTTCTATAGTGACAACTACTATAGACTGGCATCATACACACTGTTTATATCTCTGGCGCAAACTATACCGCTCACGCTATACTAAACGGGTCATGGAGAAGCGGTATGATGAAGAGCATCATCAGAAACATTGTGTCGAGAGCCTTCTTGAATGGATCCGCTCTCAGTCACCGGCTGAGCAGCTGTTGGCAGGGTCAGTAATCGACTTGTACGATTGATTTATACCAATCCAAATCATAAACTACTTGCAGTGAGACGATATGCTACATATACTTCATGTATTTTATAGGAAGTGGACGATGCTTTAAAGCTCTCGCTGTGCCGTCTTGGCTTATTAGACCTTGTAGTAGATCTGGTCAATTTCTATTGGAGCTTCCATATCTTTTTCACTCCCACTGATAGCAGTTCTTGATTTTGAATAAAAATGCTTATTAGTCCTGCTAAAAGTCCTTGTTTCTGAACAAAGACCTACGGCTTTCCTCACTGAGGTGATGTGTAGGCCTTGACAATTCCCATGGGACCTTTTTGAAGTCACTCCCATTTCCCATGTCTGTACTCCCATGGAAGTTCCATCGCTGTCTTACTCCCGCCCATGGGAGTTCCCAATTTCCCAATGGGAATTACAGCTACTTGTTCCTGGAAGAACTAGTTATACGGTTTTAATTTTGACTGGTGGTCAGTTTACCCTCTTGATTGGTTTGGATGTTCAACCATGTAAGCTAATCAAGTCCTAGGTAGTACCAATATCCAACATTACCAGTATGCAAGCTAGCGCTCCACAATAATACACCGCTACAATATTGTATTGTAAATATTCAGAGAATGAACCATTCAACTTTCTGTCTCCTGCCCAAACGGCCATGCTCTCCCCTCGCCCCTCAGCTGACGCGTCCCCTCCGGCACCCTATTGATTAATTGCCACTCCTCATTCGTCACGTTGACCTGATGGTCTAGCTTCCACTGCAGTAGCGAGTCAAAGTCGCGGCATTGATGGTTGATGCTGAAATCCGCCATCGGGCCGCGTATACCCTCGACATAGTTGAAGGTGATAACGCTAACATCTGCGTGGCAGAGGATAAACTGCAGTAATGCATACTGGCAATGGAGATTGTGTCCGCCACGAGTAAAATGAACTTTTCCTGCTGCTTTATGAGCATTCTGAGCATGCTCATCAGCTGCTTTATTGTAGTAGTCTGGATATGCTGCCATCCGTAGCTCATTTAGACAATGCAGCTGGTGGAAAACATCAAGTAAGCCCATGTACGCATCCTCACCATAGCCGTATTCCTTCGGCCAGGGCCACTGCTCAGCTGGGTCACGGCCCATCCGGACCAGCTCCTCGCGACGGATCACCAGTGCATGAGTGTCAGAGATGCGCTCCCAGGCAGCGTCGACCTCAGGACTGGGTGGGAGCTGGAAGATGGAGGGGGGGTTTTGTGGCCAAAAAGAGTTGTTGGACTTGATTGTCCTGAGCGGCATATCGAGGTGATCGAACACGGGTGCTAATTGTCATAACATGAGATGTTACTTAGTATAATATATCGCTCATATCAGATTCGGGTAGGGTTACAGTAAGTCGATGTGGCTTTTAATAAGCTATTGTTCACATTATGCGACAGGTAGTAGACATGGCGAACAGACCACAGCGAGATGGTCAGAGAAAGGCAGAAGAAGCCAATGTTGAATGGTAGAAAACGGGAGGTGATATAACTTTGGCCTTGGACAGAGGACACAGAATGGTCGTCTCCCTGTTCCTCCTTTGCTAACTGCTGATACGCTGTGAAGGGCATTTTCGTAATCATAATCGACATCAATGTTAAAGAAAAGATGAGAGTGAAGATCATAAAGTGAAAATGGCTTTTTCGTGTATGTGTAGATTACTGGAAAAAATCACTATATTTAGGAACGCTAGATCCCTAAAGGAATTATGGCACTAATCCAGGCTAATAGTATTACTCCCTGTATCTAGTGAGTAGTGTATTTCCAATAACCCTTGCCCCCCACCTCCGTATACTCTATAGAAAAGACACTGTTGTTGAAAGAAAGAGATAAGACATCACGCTAGGCCCAGTATAGCAGCCACCTTAAGTTTCGACTTTCCAGGCGGGTATTCTTGCTGAAAGTCTGTGTTAATATCGAGCGTTATCTAGACGAGATTTGGAAGAGGTATATTGGCTCTAGATTGAAGATCTTGTCAATGACTAGACCCGAGCTCTGTGGATTCTAGCATCATTGGGGTTCTCGGAAAATACTTACCTAGATATCTACAACATAATCACTAGCACGGGAATGGATTGAGTGTTAGAAATGTGAATTAGTTGAGGCTTTATGCGCCGCTGCTAAAAAAGCCAGTAATGAATGGAGAAAGATATGATGAGACTAATCACAAAGGAGGATAGTTGGTCACCTTGGTAGGATGTATGTTTATCTATCCCTGCTTAGTATACGCTATAGATTAGATTGAGACCAGCTAGCTGACGCGATAATACCAAATACCGGCCTACTTGAAAACCTGCGAGCCTATAAGAAAAGAAAATTGAGGTTGCCAACACAAAGTTGATGTTACACTGCCATGTAACCCTGACCCAATACATTACGATATCTATAGACCGAAAGAAAAACATACTGACTCGGTCTCTACGTCGTCCTAGCATGCATGCTGACTGTTCTGAAGACATAAATAGCTGTTCTTCTCTCGTCTAGGAAATTTATTGCAACTTACCAGAGACTTAGACCGATTTCTTCTTGAAAATGCGCTTCTCTTCCATCCTCTATGTGGCAGCTATTGTCGGCTTTGCGGTTGCCTTTCCCACCTCTGGCCTTCAGGCACGTGAGAGCGATGAGTATATTGGTGCTGGTGGTGAGTAACATTTATATAATCTAGAACTATGCTAAGATCCTAGTAGGAGTTGCTATTCTGAATGGTGTTGAGCTACCTGCTAAACGCGAGAGCGATGGGTATGTTGGTGCTGGTGGTGAGTAAACAACTATATAATCTAGAACTATGCTAAGATCCTAGTAGGAGTTGCTATTCTAAATGGTGTTGAGCTACCTGCTAAACGCGAGAGCGATGGGTATGTTGGTGCTGGTGGTGAGTAAACAACTATATAATCTAGAACTATGCTAAGATCCTAGTAGGAGTTGCTATTCTGAATGGTGTTGAGCTACCTGCTAAGCGCGAGGAAAAGTAACAGTGCTGAGCTGCCTGACCGTCATTAGATGATAGCTATGTAGATGGATATGATTATGATTGAAGAATCAAATACTTATGAATTGTGTAACACTACATTGTCCTCAATAAATATCAGATAGTCGCCGCTGATGTGCCAATTGCCAGAAGAATCAGAACGTCGCAGCCAGTAGATTAAGTAACTTAGATGACTGCTTTCCCTGGCTGCCGCAGACTCATTATCTTTAACGAAGGAATTTTCCGTCATAGTGTTGGTGGTCTTTCAGCTTTTACTTCTTTTACTCCTTTTCTTTTCTTCGCAGATGGCCCATCCAACCCCGTATAATCTACACGGCCTCGTTTCTCGATGTATGAAAGTACCTGATAAGATCCACGTAGTTCGTCCGCAGGCGCTTAAGGAATCAAACCATTTTTCTGTGCTAGACCAGCTGGGACGCTTTCTATTCCCGCTTTAAGGCGGGTTTCTCGGACTTGAATATTTCTTAGTACTCACTACTCTCCCCGCTGGTCTCTGAGAATATGTTCCCTGATTGGCTTGTGGCTGTGATCACTGATCTCACAGTGTCAGTAACTCGCAAATCTTCTGTGTGATCAACATTTGAATTACTTCTTCCATAGTTCTGTTCTGTAACCCCTATCACTTATTCTGGTGAGTGCGAAATTATATGGAAAATTATATTTGGCGCTCCCTTCCCATTAAATGGCGCCATCTTCTGGTTATTTGGCGCCTCCTCTAAATGTGGCTAGGCTGGTATGCGTATACTGTTAGATGATATGGGACAATTTTGGAAGGCTCCGATTGGACATCGAGTCGACTTCGACTAGTTGGATTTTTGACCAATTATATGAAAACACTTGTAAAAGGAGGGGTTTGAAATCTTCAAAACTGAGGACATCCCCCTTAGTAAAGGAACGGTCTAAATAGCCCCCCCTTATAGCTATTTGGCCCTCTCTAAAGGCTAAATGGCCCTCCCTCCACATTGGGTTAGCGCACCTTCCTCAAATATTGCATTGTATAATGCTAGAAATATTATCATTATTAGATATTTCTATGAATATTTTGTGCCTAACTGTATTAAAGACCTTCAATACTAACTGATATTTATTCTTTTGCTGAGATATAGAAATGATTGTGCTTTCCTTGTGTCATAGCACAGTTAAGTAGGAAATATACAATTCGACAAGTGATATAAAATTTCTTAGCAAATATATTTTATTAAGTATTTAAAATTGAGTTAGAGACCTCTCTGAAATATAATCTAGGTGTCTATTAGGAAGAATAATAGTTCCATCCTATCAATATTTCTTTATATTTTTTTACTAATCTGATCGTGGTGTCTATATCATTATTGATCTTGTCTTTAATAATCTCGAACTGTGATAGATCACTGATAATAATATTGTTATTTATACGCTACCTCTTTTGCTTCCTTATATAGCCCTTAGACATACATTCTGATAGCTCTTTGACAAACAAGTGTAGATTGAGGGCTATGCTATTTATAGATCTCTCAAAAAGTTGATGCTTATAAAAGTCTTTTAATTGAAAGAATATACTTTAATTCAGCCGCTTATAAACTTTATGAACATATAGAATTCCTATTGAATTAGAGCAGATCTTCATATATAGATTAAGAATAAAAGAAGTTTTATTGTTATTGTATTTCTTTTGATATGCTGTCTGCAGTCTACGAACTGTTATACAATTGCATCCATTTTTAATAGCATATGAATGAGAATTCTAACACTAGTCGAAATATTAGCTAAAGAAACTTTTTAGGTTAAAAAGCTACTTACCGCGCTAATTCAGCTTAATATTCTTCCTATTAATAGTGAAGGATGGCAGAAATATGATAGAGGACCTTGTCTAGATTATTAATTAAGCTTCGAATAACATCTTTAATCACTAGATAGGCTCTTTCAACGCGAGATGTAACTGTATTATTAAAGTGAAAAACATGATTGGTCCATACAGTGATAATTGTAAGGCTCCTTGGCACTGCCAACCTCTAAATGCCAAAAAGTAATACTGAGGTAATTGGGCCATTGCCCAATTCCAGGGTTGGCACGCTTATAAGCCTCTGTGAGCCTGCAGCGCTCTCGCTGCTGCCAGGCCTCACAATAATCACAATGCTGTACTTTAAGAGCCATATATAGGCTGTCATTTGGTTCGGTTCGAACCGAACCAAAACCGATCTGAAACCCGAATGGTCCGGTTCTGGTCCTATATACAGTGAACCGATATGGTTCGATTCACTAAGTTCAGAACCATATGGTTTTTTAAGGCCCATTTAAGTCTAATTCAGTTTAGATTTTTAATTCAGTTTTATCTGAATATCTGAATACTAATAGATTTCTATTAATAATACTGAAATATTTAGGATTAATCTTAATTCTTTATAATTATTATTGATTATATAATTGTTTCTAAAACAGCTTTTCATAAATTAAATTCTTATTTTTTAAATTAAGATTTTGTTTTAGATATTTTTATAAATATTATAATAAATTCTTAATATTTAAATTATAATCTAAGAATTATCTAAATAATAATAATAATATCTTTTCTATTTTTTATTTATATTTTTTAGATTATATTATACAATTAATCTATCTATTAAAAAAAATATATATATATATTTCTATATCTATTTTATAATATTTATTATTATCTATTTATTTTTTAAGTATATTTCAATAATTAAATAGAAAATTATAATTTAAATAATTAATTTTAATTTTTATATTATTTATCTATTAAATTCATTAAAATTTAGAAAGATTTTAATATATTTTTAAAAATAAAATCTAATTATAATTAAAAATTCTTTAATATAATTTAATTATTTGAATAAAAACTGGACTAGACTTAAACTAATCTAATTATAATTAGTAATTCTTTTTTAGCGTAATTTAGTTTCAATTTAAAGAGCTAGAATTATTTAGTTTTCAGTTCTGGTTTCAATATTAAAGATCAAACCGAACCGACCCACTTTTGGGTTTGGTCCAGAAACTCAGGACCAGAACCGAACCAAATGACAGCCTAGTCACGTGGCACATGCCGCACTAACCCCCAGCCCTAGCCGCCTTAACCGCCTGAGGCACCCAAGATGCCAAGCCGGCCGTTACATCTTTAGTCGGAACATTGCCGATTCGAAAGCTTGCTTTCCTAGTCGGTCATGGATAAAGTCGACCCACATGATCGATCCCAGTATTTCCCGTGCTAGGTGCCATGAGTTGATACTGACACGAAGTAGAGCCTTGTCAAGCAAGACACGCAGCCTGCCTGCTAAAGGTGTCTCCTCACATCCCACCACAAGTGAGAAGATCGTGAACCAAAGTAAAAGAGCTATTGGAAGCTCAATGTCTGTAAGTCCAAGCAGCCCAAACAAGGCGTTATTATAGAGATGCAAAAGATGATCGTAAGGCTGTTCTATAAAATGCCGTTGTATGAAAAGGGTTGAAGAAAAGGTTAACAGGCCAATTCGAATCATCTCTTGTACAGGATCGCCCTCAAAAGACAGATTGGTAAGTCGGTAAAGAATGGAAATCATCATCTCATTATAGATGTCCGGTGAGAGCTTACGTGTCGTCTGATAGGCAAGATTACTAATGCAAGAGAAATCATGAAGGTCTCTGAACGCGTTATGTAGTCTTGTATCAACAGTAGTCTCCAGGAAGGCACGTACTGTGGCGTCATGAGGCTGGTGGCTACAATTAATTAGGCCCCGGTGAGCGATAAAGCACGTCCAAGGGAATCCTTTAAGGAGACGTGGTCGGTGTCCAGACAGCAAAGCATACGACAGATCGGCCCTAGCAATCGTGTTAGTAGTATACTTATATGAAATGAGTGTACAAGTCTGAACCTGGGGAATAGAGAGCTAAGACCCACCTGCAGACTTTGAACTGTATATTATTGTGTGTATTTAGCGCTTTAACTCCACCTCTCAGGTTGACAATCTTGTCTAGGCCATTGATATGGGTTGCTACAGTGGCAAAGTCTTTAGTAAGCTCTGCAACCGACGCCAGGAAAAAAACAACCATGATTGTTGAATCAGATGTCGCAAGTGTCTTGTCAGACGCATCAAGCCGGGCCTGAAGATGTTGCAAGGTTTGGGCATAATGGAAGCGGGCAAGGCGGCTTAATTGGTTATGCAATGCCCCTTCTACAAAAGCCCGAACCAAGAACATCATCGAATGGAGGCAGCATACGTCACTGATCATATACGGAAACCAACCCCTCTCTACCAAATGGATATCAAGGCAAACCTCGTAAGGGTATGCCCCACGCTTATCGAGGTCAATTACTGCCAATCACTTTAGTCTGATGCCATTCCACAGGTCAAGGAGGAAGAAGAGAAGTGGCAGCGCGTACATCTTACCAGGTCCTGAATCATGTAAGACTCGACTCCTGACGGCAGTTGTAGTCCAGAAAAATCTGAGCCCACCCGCCTAGGATATGATACTGATATGGCGGGCTCTGGGGCCGAGGGGTTCTCGAGTACAGTTCGTTTGAGCGACCCAAGCTCACGATCGGGACATATCCAAGAACGTAGCTGAGGGGCCCGCTGGCGTGTTACAGCCGCTCTTGTCGCATGGCTCCTGATGGCCTTGCGGTCATACTCATCCAGGGTGCGGATAGGCGTGGAGACGATAAAATGAAGCCCAGCGGTGTCTGTTATGAACACCCCAGCTTAGCCTCAAACAAAACAGAGAAAATAATTTGAAGTAGAGCAGCCACAGTTACCACAGTAGATAAGCTGGTGGCACAAGATACCTAAAAATAGTTGCTCATTTACTCACACTGGGGATTTGCCATCGCACTATCACACACAGAAATGAATCATCAGGCGATCGAAAGTGTTGAGGAGGCTTGACAAGAAGGGGTCATGGGACGTAGTGTAGCATTGATCAGGTGCGCGAACAGAACGATATCACGGATGGAGACTGAGATGAAAGGAGGTATGTAGTGTTGTGTTGCGTGTTGGATGACGAGGAGTTTTAGTGGATGCCGAGGGATGGATCCAGTTAAAATCGTACGTTTGTGGCATGGACCATCAGAGAAAAGGTTGCCAAGATAGCGTGGCATCCTGTTTCAGGCTAGTGCATCTATATGCCAAGACCTGTGGGGTTTCCTCTTTGGGTACCCAAACTCGACACATTGAGCTTTTCAATTTTGAACGTCCAACAGAGACTGGGGCCTGCAATTTAAATAACTCTCCCCGTCTGCTTTTGTAGCAATTCAAACTCTCAAATGCTGCTACAACCGGGCTCACTTACCCATTCCAAATCGGCACGCTCGTCGCACTTATTGACTTGGGGCCAATCGATCCTTTATCAATACCGTCACATTTTCTCCCTCCCATGATGGCCAACTCTAAGGATATGCCCCCTCTGCCCAAGAGCTTCGGGAAGGTCTTCTGGAACAACCAGTTTAAAGTCAAAATAGAGGTCCCGATTCCGAGCAAATCTCCCAGCTTAAAGGGTAAAGTTGCAATTGTTACCGGGGCCAACTCTGGCCTAGGCTTCGAGTCAGCGAGGCAGCTCCTAACACTCGGCCTATCGCATCTAATCGTGGCTGTGCGATCTATTGAGAAAGGCAAAGATGCTGCCTCAAAACTTCGCCCGGCCAATCCTGAAGCAACCATTGATATCTGGACCTTGAATATGGAGTCGTATGACTCCATCCAGGCCTTTGCCCACAAGTGCGATATTGAGCTCTCACGCATCGACTATACAATATTGAATGCTGGACTCTCCCCAATGAATTTCAGCACAGTTCTTTCTACTGGACATGAGACTACCATTCAAGTCAACCATATAAGCACAGCTCTACTTGCTATTCTCCTGCTACCTGTTCTTAAGGCCAAGCATATCCGAGAAAATCCGGCACGACTGACGGTTGTCAACTCTATCACGGCACACCTGTGCAAATTCCCGAACCGTGATCAGCGACCTCTTCTATCTTCCTTTGATGACACCAAGATAACTCTGTGGGATCCCGAGGAGCGATACGGCGTGTCAAAGCTTCTTTCTCAACTTTTCTTGGTGAGGCTGGCAGAGCATGTGAAGCCTGACGACGTCATCATTAATATGGTCGACCCAGGTCTGACGAAGGGCACAGGTCTGAGTCGGGATGCGAAGGGTGCAGTCCGAGTAGCCGCAAAAGCGTTCTTCGCAATCGCTGGCAGGCCCGTGGGCAGAGGCGCAGCTACATATATTGACGCCTTGCTGGGCCACGGGAAAGAGTCCCACGGATGCTTTCTCATGAATACTGAAATCTCGCCGTAAGTATGCTCAACTGGCTTCCTCTTGCCCATTTGAACTCAAGACGAGTGGTCGGATATTAGAACATGACTGACAGTGGCAACTAACGGCAGACTTGCTACTTTCTTCTACACCGCCGATGGAAAGATAGCGAGTGAACAAGTTTGGGAGGAGACTATGAAGGAGCTAAGGTTTGCTCACGTAGAGAATATTCTCGTGGCCATAAGATAATTGCAAACAATATTAGTTGAGACCTTTATTTACTCTAGGTGGAAATTGTTGTCTCTATTTCAATTGCGGAGCAAATTTAGGTGGGCACAGATCTATGCGTATAGTACAGCGTTTGTAATGAAAAAGATTAAGCAGGATGTCTTCACGTCGTATATGACTCATGCCACTCTGAGATTGCCTGTTTAATAGCAGGTTTTGCAACCGCTAAGGAAACAAAGGATTTGCCAATAGTAATAGAAGTAGAAGCCATAACTATAGTTATCATAAGCAAGGTAAGTGTGCTAGTGAATGGTACCAGTAAATGGGGAGTGTGCGCTCGCATAATAACAGGGTAGTTCTTAGGGTTAGTGCATATTTTCCAGATTACTATTAATTATGTGATTAAATCACTAGAATGCCACTACATAAACGAAATGGTTGTCAAAAGTTGTCATCAACTCGTCTCAAGATCGGAGATCTTAGAGGATATTCTGCTAACACAAGAGGAAAGAGTATTATAAGGTCAATATTAGAAAGCTATCTATCAATAAAGATAATAATAGTAAAAAGTCTAATAAAGACTAAATAGTAGTATACTATTTAATATAAAAATATAATGAAAGTGTAGCTACTTTCAGCTTTATTCTTATAATAGTTAATTATACTTAATGACAATCTATATTTATTCATTATTATTCCCTAAATAGTCCCCACTTAATGTCTGTCTTTCATACATATATACACTATATATGATGTATATGTATAATCTGAGAGAATGCCTATATAATAGCAGGTGCTATAACATCCATTGGTCATGAGTAGGCTGTCATTTGGTTCGATTCTGGTCCTGAGTTTCTGGACCAAGCCCAAAAGTGGATCAGTTCAGTTTGATCTTTAATATTAGAATCAGAACTGAAAACCAAACAATTCTAACTCTTTGAACTGAAACCAAATCATATTAATACAGAATTACTAATTATAATTAGATTGTTTCAAGTTTAATCCAATTTTTATTTAAATAACTGAATTATATAAAAGAATTTTTAATTATAGTTAGATTTTATCCCTAAAAATATATTAAAATCTCTCTAAATTTTAGTAAAATAGATATATAAATAATATAAAAATCAGAATTAATTATTTAAATTATAATTTTCTATCTAATTGTTGAGATATGCTAAAAAATAGATAGGTAATAGTAAATACTATAGAATGGATACAGAAATATATATATATATATTTTCTCTGATAGGTAGACTGGCTGCAATATAATCCGAAAAATATAAATAAAAAGTAGAAAAGGTATCATCGCCATCCAGATAATTCTTAGATTATTGTGAGGCCTGGCAGCAGTGAGAGCGCTGCAGGCTCACAGAGGCTTATAAGCGTGCCAACCCTGGAATTGGGCAATGGCCCAATTACCTCAGTATTACTTTTTTGGTATTTAGAGGTTGGCAGTGTCAAGGAGCTTTACAGTGTAATTATGCCATTAGAGATGTTAGAGGCCCCTGATTCAATTCCTGCAGGTGTGGAGCTGCGCGATAGGGTTATCAGAGCCTAATCTTGCTCAGTAAGTCTGGCATTCCTGCCCTTTATAAAAGATGGTTTCAAACAGTCTTTTAAGTATAAGCTTATAAGGCCTTTCCTCAGGAAGCTCTGAAGTGTAGTTCTATTTGTGGAAGCAATCCCTAGAAAGCGTGCAAAGCAGCGCCTTTGGAGAGAGGCGCCACTCAAGAGAAAGGGCCTTTTAGGGAGGGTAGAGTGTGAGGCCTGGCAGCAGGCTCACAGAGGCTTATAAGCGTGCCAACCCTGGAATTTGGCAATGGCCCAATTACCTCAGTATTACTTTTTGGCATTTAGAGGTTGGCAGTGTCAAGGAGCCTTACAGTAGGCTGGTCCCGAAACCGCACCGCTGCCCACTCTAAGTTAGACTTCCTGTGTGTTACACTGCCTATCTAATATCTAGCTGCTACGCAGGCTGCTGGCACTTCTATCTAATAAGAATCAATCAATAACTTTAAACCAAATACTTCTTTAGGCTTTATGCCTAATAATATGTTATCTGTACCTATCTGAACTCTATATTTAGCCGATGGCTCTCAATGTTTGTCTGCTTTCTAATAAACGTCTTACATAGAGTATTAGAGTTGAAATAAATTAATAAAATACTTAATTATTCAAAAATATTTAAAAATATTTAAAAATATATAAAAATATATAAAAATTAATAATAAATAATTTTTATTTTTATTTATAAAGTTTAAATTATTATACATTCTAATACTAAATGATAATTAGATCAAATATTTTCTATCTTAATACTCCTAAATTTGTTTAACAAAAAATAATCCTAAAATGCTTTGAACTATAAAACATTTACTTCTTTGGATAGAAGAAAACTTAGATTTATATCTCTAAACTCCTAAATTAATCTATTTATATTTCATAGAATATATCCTGCAGAAAACCATAATCTATATGGAGAGATGGGATATCTCCTGCAAGAAATATATCTCTTGCCGGAATCGTCCCGCCAAACCCTAACATACAGTAAGTAGCCTTCCTGGTAGTTCCACCAAGTCAAATTCCGACAATATAGACTTTCGTTAAACATTTCCCAAGTTCTAACCCTAACCCTAATGGATTGGCTTTTCTGTGTCTCGCATAACAAGAAATACCTTAGCACCGAGTTGTAGACTAATCTCGGTCTTCCAGTTACACCTATTATCTGCACGGGTGCAACAAAACTCGAGCCCAATCTTGCAAGCAATTTTATTGACAGATTTAACGTATTTCAAGATAAACGAGACATAGGGAAGTGGCATTCCCGTACTCAAATAAAGTCACATCCCCAAAAGCAGCAGTTGATTGACTTTGATCAAGATGGTGGTGTAGAATCAGTAACATTTTCTGAAAAGCTTTACGTTGTTAATCTTTTTTCCACCCGCTCCATCGTTCAAAAGTTCCCGTATCGAGGTTGAACAAATCCAGCATTCTCCCTACACTCTGGTTAACCAGATCCTCAACCGACGAAGGTATAATGTAAAACGCTGGCACAGGTGGAAAAATTATCGCGCCACTCCGTGACACAGACAACATATTCCGCAAATGAATGTCGCTCAATGGTGTTTCTCTGGTCACCAGGACCAATTTTCGTCTCTCTTTCAACATCACATCTGCGGTCCGTGAAATCAAATCATTGCAGAACCCGGAACTTATCGCTGCGAGTGTCTTCATGCTGCAAGGCAGTATGATCATTCCATCTGTGTGAAACGATCCACTGGATATGGGAGCTGCCATATCGCCGATATTATAGACATGATCGGCAAGAGCCTTGACATTGGAAGGATGGTAGTCCGTTTCGTATTTGATGGTGGATTCGGCCCATTTGGACATGATCAGGTGGGTTTCGACGTGAAGATGGCGAAGGGCAATGAGTAAGTTGATTCCCAATATTGTTCCGGTAGCGCCTGTGATTGCCACCACGATCTGCTTGCGTAACTCCCCTGCTTGGGGCTGACTGGCGGACATTGTCGGATTACGAGTATTAAGAGCGTACTCCAAGTTATCGGAGCAATCAGAAAAGAGCCTGGAACAATATCCTGTTTTAGTGCTGGCCGTTATGAAAGCGATGGCTAAGGGTCGAGAAGGGGTCCGTTTCATTTAAATATACCCGCCTCTACCTTCGTTACCCTATCGTAGCCATTAAAGTCATTCGTCTTGCTTGAAATAATTGTGGTGGTTGTCTTTGGCTTGGCAATCGATGCCCGGGTGTATATCGGATCCTTTCGTAACGTATCTCCCTATGCGGAAATCGCATTCATGGATCGGATCTACGGCTAGTGGACATCATCGGCCTGCCGGACCTGTTAGGCAGTCGGACTGACTATTCATATTCTGCCGCCGTCGAAGGGAAGTGACAATCGGATTACTACGGATAGAGCGGCCGGGGACGTAGGATGGCTTTTTGGGTGGTGCAAAAGAGGATTTCTGGGGACATAGGAAATAGTGATGTGGTCATAGTGTGGCAATGCATGGTTGCTAGTGTCATGATACTTCGGTGAGTGACAGATGTTCGGAATATGATCGGCATCCCGAGGCTTGGCGAACGCCACCATGACCCTATCTCCCCGGTAATAGTTACACCATAAAGCATAAGGACCAATATGTTAAACCAGGACCTCAACACAGCTCAAGAAAAAATAAATTTATTCTACTAATTCGACTTCTGAAATCATCTACTATTGCAAAGCAGTAACTGAGAGCTATTCGAAGACACCGCGGCAACGAATAAGCAATTGCTGACATCGATCTCTCTGTCACTGTCACTGTTTCTAGAACTCTTAAGCATCGAAACATGTCTATGGGAAATCTCTCTGCCGCGTTGTCCCTGCGTACCTTCCTTGAAGAATGTAAGGCGGAGGGAGATGTTGTGGAAATTGATCTGGAAGTGGATCCCCATCTCGAGTCTGGTGCCATATCTCGCCGTGCATACGAAACGGGTAGTCCAATGCCGCTCATCAACAATCCCAAGGGTAAAGATGGTCCAGAGGGTCTCTTCCGCATTCTTGGCGCTCCGGTGGGTGTCCGAAGTGATCGAGCAACTAGATACGCTCGTTTCGCGAAGTCTATTGGGCTGCCTTCCAACGCAACTGGACATGACATCATTCAGAAGCTTCTAGCCTCAAAGAAAGCTGAGCCCATTCCATCTATTAAGGTTCACGATGCACCGCTCAAGGAGCATAAGATCTTTGGCGATGAAATCGACCTTCTCAAGTTGCCAGTTCCAAAGAATCACGCAAGTGACGGAGGCAGATATTTTCTCACATATGGCCTGCACAGTGTTCAAACTCCGGATGGTAAATGGGTGAACTGGGCTATTACCCGTTGTATGGTGATCGGTAAACGACAATTGACTGGCCTTGTGGATGTGAAGCAGGATATTGGGGCCATCTGGGCGATGTGGAAGGCTCAGGGAAAGGACACACCCTGGGCTTGCGCCCTTGGTGTTCCGCCAGCAGCCGTAAGCTCTTATCTAAGTTTTTGATATTTTGTGTCAGCGCTATATGCCATTGTCCAGAACGCTAACATTTGAAAAATTTCAAGGCCGTGGCTAGCGGTATGCCACTTCCAAAATTCGTGAACGAGCCGGATTATGTTGGTGCTATCACAGGAGTTCCTGTGGAGGTCATTAAGTGTGAGACAAATGACCTTGTAGTGCCGGCACAGTCTGAGGTAGTCCTTGAGGGAACTATCTCCGCAAACGAGACGGCAGATGAAGGGCCCATGGGAGAATATCACGGTTTTCTCTTCCCAGCCAAGAAATCGCCACAGCCGGTAATGACGGTCAATGCGATTACTTATCGAAGCAACCCCATTGTTCCGATCGCTGTCGCAGGTCGTGCTCCAGATGAAACTCATACCGTTTGGGCCTTGTCGATCTGCGCTGAAATTCTCGACTTGTTGCAGCAGGCAGACCTACCAATCACCAGGGCTTGGTGCCCGTACGAGTCCCAGGCCATCTGGTATGTGGTCCAGGTCGATCGGAAGAGGCTTGTGGAGATGAAGACCACGCCTGAGACATTCTGTCGTCAAGTCGGGGAGATTGTTTTCTCTTCTAAGCCTGGTCGATTTGTGCCAAAGATCTTTATTGTAGGCGACAACATCGATCCTAGTGACTTGCATGAGGTCGTCTGGGCTGAAGCGACCAAGTCTCAGCCACAAGACAGCGACTTCTTCTTCGTGGGCAATTATCCAACCTATGATCTAGTGCCATACGCCACCCACGGCTTTAATCCTCACGAGCCGCAAGCCAAGGTAGTCAGATTGTGTATGTTGCCTGCAGAATTCAAGACTTTGGACCGGCCATGGGTTGAAGCTTCATTCCGTGCATCTTACCCGGAAGAACTTAAGAAGAAAGTCCTGGATAGCTGGTGGGCATACGGGTTTGGAGAAAATCCTGTAAATCTTTAAGTATCAAGAGAGTCAGAGCTGTCATCTCGTTTGTACCGGAAACAGAGTGGCTAAGTTTCGAGCATGATACATTTGGTTGCCAAACTGGTGCACGCCTTTACTCACTTCGATTGTTTCTCAATCCCTGTAACGAAGAGGTGCTAGGCCATATTTGTAAACTATTCCAGAGCCCCTATCTCAGGTTTTGGTAATGGCATGATATAGAATATTTCATGGCTCATTGCAATGGATTATGTGTATTCATAATACAGATGTTACCCCACAAGAGCAGGTTTACCAGTAGGGGATCCTCATGGAAAACCTAAACCATCTTTCTTAATTGACAACTAGAAAATTATTACTAGTACCTAAAGATAGGTACTGAGGTGCTGTATTGAGCCCCTGCATCTTCTAACCGGCATGTCTTCCATTCCGTCATCTGGCTTGCAGCCCATGTCTCCTCAAAAGATCCATTTCAAATCTTATTCTCGTAGTACATTCAGGGAGGGGCACTTAGGTATGCGTCAAAATATCATATTGACATCGAGTAAGTTCATCAAAGCAATAGACTTGTTCCCACATACTCATAGAAGATATCACCATCTGAAGCGGTCTTTTCTGACCCAATAGCTGCCGATTGGTCAGCTGACCCCATGAAGCTATTCAGAACCGAGCTGCTACTCAGCGCCTGGTTATGCGGTTTGCTCATTTATTTCATGCTCTCCTCGGGTTTCCACTTGACTCTTTCGTGGATAACAGAGTAGTAGTGCGGAATAACTGTTTTTATATGCATTTTTCTCAAAGAGGCCGTTCTCAGAGTGAAAATAGCATCGGAATATATCTTCAATTTTGATGCTCATTGTCTGTCATCAGATCTCCCCCTTTCTCAACATATCACAGCAGGAAGCATCATAGATTTGCTGAGAATACATTAGCGCATATCGAACGAAACTGATTTCAAGAATTACACGGCTTGGTGTCCCGATCAATATTACCGTGCCCTCGAGTGCAAAGCTACTCTTGTGCAATCCAAGAAAGTCAAAACGCGTTCTTTAAATAATTTCAACAATAAAATTGAGACTAAGCAAAACGGCTAAAAACAATTCAGCTCAATTCAGCTCGTAAGAGTTCGCGTTGACATCAAAGATTCCCATGGGCGATCTCATTCTTACCGAGAGCAGGTTAACAGTTCAGATATGCATGCCAAGTTCTAACCCTTGATGGACACAAAACTTATAGAGCTTTCAAATCGCGTTTCTTTTTCTTTTTCTTTTCTTCTTTTCAAAGACAGGAATCTCAATATGTCTGTATACAATAGCAATATTCATAAACTTCCTTACATAGTAATAGGCCGCTGGCCAGGAATCTCGCTGTTAGGGCTGCTCGCGCAAGGTCCATCACGCACGTTGAATATGAGTGAGGAACATGTGGCGCTACACTAATCCGAAAATCCAATTGTAGATAGAAATCATCATATCATTCACCCGGTTTCTACTAAGCGAGCCTTTAATTTAAATAAGATTTGGGCAACTTAGCTTGCACAAATCCTAAAGTTGACAGAAAAGTTATTTGAACCCGGAAGCAACCATAGCAATCATTCCAAACAGAAAATCCGAGCTGCGGACAGCAAAAAAACATTCCGTAGCCATTTCGTTGCAGCATCGCCTAGAAATTGACGAAGACTTCGTTTTACAAGGCTTGCGCAGCGGCTTTTCCAGCAAGACGACCGAATGTGAGACAACGAAGTGCACTGTTGCATGGTGGGTCTATAGCAATTGTCAGTATCGTATGAGCTTCTGGGGGCTGAGTGAAAACTTGTCGCAGCGGAACGTTCGTAAGAACCAGTTCTCTCATGGAACATAGACCAACATACTCTATTTGATTGTCAGTGTGATATAAAGAGAAACGAAACTAAAAGTTTACTTCATTATAGTAGAATCCGCTGAGTTCGCCAGCGCAGTAAAGACCTGAATTACACATGGCAATCAAATTCATGCAATCAATTACGTGCAAACAATATAAACACATTCTTTATATTCAGTAGGGTCAATTCTCACCTGGAATAGGGATACCAGTTGTAGAAATCACTCGGGAATCAAGATCAACTTTCAAGCCACCAAATGTAAACACAACCTTCGCAGTCAATGGGTAACTTGAAGTTCGTTAGTAACAAATTCTCATTGAGCACTTCCGGAGATTTCTGAGCACATATTACCCGTAGAATGGTGCCACTCTGATCGGACTTGCCCAGTTAGTCTTGTTTGGCGTTAGACCGTTGGTTCTTTTACCGTCAAGAACCATGGGGTCGAATTCCTTGTTATCAATCCTGTTACCAGTCAACGAAACGATCTCTAAGATCTGCTATAGCCCCCGCTCACGAAGAATTGTACTCATCCAAAGTCTGCTTCAACTCCTGAGGATTGAGGCCAAGCTTTTCAGCAAGGTCTTCGATTGTGTCACCCTCTTCTGGTTCCAGATCAGTTGTATCGTAAACCCAGCCCGGTCTGAAGCGGTCCATGATTGGGGCGTCGGTGATGCTTCGGGTTGTGTGAGTTAAACGGACCTAAATAGATGTGGGACTCGCTGACTTACAAGTACGCCTTTTGATTTTGATCTAATATTCCAAGATGAGTAACTGTGCCTTTGGACTCTCAACTGCTCCTGTTAACTCACCTCGCCATGTCTCGTAAGCTATGAGTTCACAAGTTGCAAAAAGCCTACATTTGTTAGTCTAGAATCAGTATTCCTTATAAAAGATACGTACGATCGGTTGCCTTCGTCGTAAAATCGCTTGGAGTGTCTAAGTAGATGATGACATGAGTCTTACATTATCCTGCCCAAGGTAGTTTTTAACCTACTCGTTGACCACAATACCGAAGCTGTGACCCCAGATAGTTGCCTCTGGTTTTGAAGAACGTGTATCTACAAGCTCGCACTGTTACGGTTTAGTGATATTCGATCGTGGCGGAGAGGATACTCACATGAAGCCCATGGAAAGAGCCCGCAGTTGCAGCGCCGACTTGTAAACCCATCTTGAGACCATAACCGGTGTTATACTTGAGACCTGGGGCAACTAGTCCCAGCTGCTCGGATCTCGGCCCAACATATTGTGCCATCCTTTCAGAAGCTTAGTCCCGGCTTGTTCGAGAAGGCTTTCATTGTACTCACATTTCGCGATTTCCTTCAAACCCACCGCAAGAGAGCATAACTTGCTTGCCAAAAATTTGGGAAAGTAGCCCATTGTTTTTTCGAACTCTAACCCCATGAATAGTACCGTTGTCTAATGTGAGTAGTTGCTCCGCATTTGTCTCCCACATAATTTCCACATTGGGGAACGATAGAATATGCTCAAACAGTTTGAGAATAATGGCATAGCCGCCACCCTGTTTGCAATGATTAAACGCTGAACAGGACACTGTGCGTTGAGTATACTTACGTTGCCCTTAGCAAAATTCTGGTCTAAATACGCTTTAAACTCTGTCTCGACCTAGTACGGAACCATGAAGGAATCTTACCAGTATCAAATCCAAGGTAAACGTTGTGCTCAGTCTGATGCTGAACCTTGACGCCATCTGCCGTGAAATGTCAGACATATTCCCAGTTAAGCAAGCTATTATGAAGCTATTTACGGTCAAGCAGAAACTGAACTGTATGGGGAACTTCCGTTTCCAATTTTTCACAATATGCCTGGTCAGCGAGCCCGTTGCTGTTACAGTCAGATGATTCCATGCTATAAGGCGTACGACCGCGAACCTAACGAGCTAGATATGAATGAGTCGTGGCGAATCCAGAAATCTTTCTCAAATTACTCACCTTCATTTCATTCTTGAAATTGCTGTCAAACTTGTTGTCTGCACAGGTGATTAGCACGGCCCTTACCACGATTGCGTTTCTCTCGCGACACACCTTTGTCCAGTCGAAAGAACGCCGGTGTCCATCTACAACTTCTTGTCAGCCCACGCACTTCTCAGCATTTCCAATACATAAAACGTCGCACCTGCTAGCCCCACATCGCTCCCCCTCTTTACCAGCCTCAACCAAGGCTACTGTAGCACTCTTTCCCAAACTTTTGGCGTGTTCGAGAAAGTTCAGCGTGGTCATACACCCCTATACGGAAACGTCACTATGTAAATCACGTTGCCTTCGCTCAGATTGCTCCCTGTCTCGCAAGCTTACAGCAAAGCCAGATCCGACCACAATAAGATCATATTTTGTGAGTGCCCCATACGATCTAGTTATGACACTATCGTTACCTTCCATTATACAACGTTTGCCCGGTTTGTTTTCGTTGTTGCTTATTTCAATATAAGAAGTATAGTCTCTATAACGAATACGAAGACAAGACAAAAGGATTCTATATAACCAAAGGGAAAGAAACTGAGTGTCTCTTTTGTTCGCTAGTCCCGTTCCACGTGATGCATGCGATAGAAAAACGCCATGCGGCGCGGACTTCGGGAGTGCGGACCAAGGGGAGGCAAAAAGTAATCTGGGATACGAAGCTTATCTCCCCGTCGGAACACAGCCTGACAGATCTCGAGCCTCGGTATTTTTCATGTTCCCGACTTACCGGCACGCTCGGAACGTTTACCTCAAGATTACTTTTTGTTGACTTTTACTTGGAAAAATGTCACAGGGTGGTTCAATGCTCATTGCTTGGCGACATTGATAATGGCTTAGAGTAGTCACGCTTAGTTGTCAATCGTTTCTTAATGGAAATTTAGTGTCTAACCCTAATAATCCTAAATATAATCTAAAGAATGATAAAATTATATTAATAATATTAGTAAATTAAAATAATCTTAACTCTCTTTAAATTTCTTCTTATTTTTTTGTTAAATTAAATAGATTTTAATAGATTAAATTGGAAATATTATTTTATATTTACAAATCTAACCTGCCTTTAATATTTAATTTATTATTATTAAAAGAATTATTATAATAGAAAATAGCCTATCATCAATGCAGGCCGTGGCTTCTAGTACCGACGATTAATTTTGCTAATAAATGTTACTGTTATACTAGATACTTTACCAGTATCAATAATTATTATTATTAAGTTGTTTTATACTATAGTTTATATTAGAATAGTAATTGAAATTTGAGTTCTATAAAATCTATAATAAAAATAAAAATAAACAATAGTTAACATTTAATCAAAAAAGAAAAAAGAAAAGAGAAAGAGTTCATAATACCACAGTTCTAAGATAAGAAGTTAAAAATAGGAGTCTATTCATTAACAAGACGAACTCTGAAGAACCAAATTTAAGCAGTGAGAAGACCAGGTTTATAAACCTGAGCTTCCTTGGCAGGGCATATCCTGCAGAAAACCACTGTCTGTATGGAGAGATGGGAGATCTCCTGCAAAATATAACTCTTGCCGGAATCGTCCTGCCAAACCCTAACGTCCTGGGAGTTCTTGATCAGTTACAGGAGAAATATTTACTTAATCCCTGAGAATCGCTTTGTTCCAATCCTACATACTCCACTTTGTCTCTGGACGTTAGACCAGATGTCTGAGTGTGGTATTTTCTGGCTGGTTCTGAGGAACGTATTATTCACAAAGCGGATGATCAACTGAATTCGGTTGGGACGATTTGTCTGAATTACGTACACAAGACTAGTCACCCACAAGAACCAAGTGAATTGCCTGGCAGGGTCAACTTGGCCACAGCGTGCAGTATGATCTGATCTCTTTCTTTTCGTTGGTCACAAGATTACATCAAGGGGCCCGAGCGTCTGCACAATCCCTCGCCCCACGTATCTGATCCCAATAAATTGGGTGGCTCAATCCTATCTCCTTGCCAAACTTTTGTGGGGGTTTGGATTCGTTAGCAGAGCTTTACTCGTACAATTCATCGACTTTGAATGACAACGAAGTGATTCTATCTAATGCAGTCCCCTTTACCACGACCTAAACGCCGGAGGGTTATTTCTGCCTGCAGTTCATGCCGCCAACGGAAATCCCGAGTATGTTTTAATTGACGCAGCAAAGCCAGCCCCCTGTCGAGCAGATGTTAGAACAACTGCTCAGTTTCCATTTCCCTTGTTTCCCTCGCATGTTTTGGAAACCGAAAACTGATTCCTATGAACATAAAAGTGCAGCGGTGATAATCCTTGCACTCTATGCAAGGAACTCCGAATCGAGTGCCTCTATTCCGAGGATGGGTCTCCGAAAAATCTTACAGTGGGCAAGAGGTATCTTATCTTTTCTTTTCACCTAAAAGTCAGTTGAAAGCATAGTGATCAAGTCAGGTACATCGTTCAGTTGGAAAAAAGACTACGAGAAGTTGAGAGAACAGTCCAACAGCTTCAGCAAGCACATCCGCAAGGCCCAGTAATTACTGCAGATCTACAATTGCCAGCCGAAGTTGTAGCTCCGGAGCAACACCGCGAAAATACCTGCAGACCGAGAAGCTACAGTGTATCTGTACTGGGAGAGGTCGACAACTCAGAGAATTCTATAGATGGGATGGGTGCGATGAGATTTACCGACGAGGAAGAGTGCGGCTTTTTCGGTATGCCTTCTGCGTCAACCAGAAAGATTCACGTGATTGTTGATTTTGAGTAGGTTCTTCATCCAACATCGCCTTCATGGGATACATATCTCGAGCGATGGCAATGGCGAATTCCGACCGCGAATCATTTTTGGAAATATCACCCACAATACAAAGGCCTGGTGGCGTCGTGAGCGTGACCCGCTCTCGAGCTCCATCAATTGAAGAAGCGGCCATGTCAGGCCTGTCTCCTGCCCCGACACTCGTGAACATATATGCTTTACCTCCAGAAGATCGGGCCTGGAACTTGATTGACCAGTATTTCCAGAAGACAGGTCAGCTACTACCTTTTATCCATGAACTCTCTTTCCGTGAGACATATAGTCAGATGCGGCGCGAAAGATTCAACAAAATCAGCCGGACTTGGCTCGGGCTATTTAACATAGTGCTCGCAATATCTGCGAGCCTGTCAGCCAAAGATGAGATTTCTCCAGAGGAACGCATTAAAGAGTCTGATGTTTATTATCAAAGAGCCAACGGTCTTTGCGACAGAGACTCCAAACGTAGTGCAAGCCTTGAGATGGGTAGGTAAAGGCTAATATGTCTCCTGTGCTTCAATCTTCTTTCGCTCCGTTCTCTACTGACATGACAAAACAAGTGCAATATCTTTTGATACTAGGGCAGTATCTGCAAGGGACCCAAAAGTCAGTTCAAGCGTGGACCACCCATGGACTAGCTATATCTGCGGCGTATCAGCTAGGTTTACATTCGCCCGATGCAAATCAAGGATATTCTCCACTGGAATGCGAAATTCGGAAACGAACCTGGTTTGGTTGTGTGCTCTTGGATCGGTGAGTAAAGCTTCGGATTCTCGAAAAGATCTTACTAATGCTGAGTCAGAAGTCTCGCTATGACTTTCGGCCGCCCATGTTCAATTCCTGAGTCATACATAAAATTAGATGCGCCTTCGAAGGATATCCACATGTTAAACTCCGGCGATGAAAAAGCTTCTTCTCCCCAATTTGACGGTAATTTTTATGCTGCTGCAATGTGAGCTTTGACTGATATTCCCTTATTTATAGCTACTAATGCTATCCAGACAATTATATGCCATATTGTACAAAGTGTTGGACCTATGTTATGGACAGAATCTTGGTCTTAAAAGCTCAATCAGCACCTCAGGCTGGATATCGCATATTATCGATGGGCAGCACCAGCTCAGTCAATGGCGAACTAAACTCCTGCCTTCTTTAGGGCTGCAAATTCAACAGGACTTGATGACCCTGAAGATGTGACGAAAATGAATACCCGATTTTTCATCGTTCATCGTTTTAATATCGTCCTCTCTATGCGCTACCATAATCTACGGATCCTGCTACATCGACCTCGACTGGAGAGCTTCCTGGAAGCCTTTTGGAGTACTGGCGATATGTGTGACCAGGATAAACGTATCATTATGCAGATGGATATCGCAAGCGTGCAGAATTGCGTTGAATCAGCTGTTTCCATCATCTCCATAGCCCACAGCATTACGACAGCATCTTTTTCACATCGCGAGCTTTTGGGCGCGTGGAATTATTCACTATATTACAGTAAGTAAAAAATTCTTGAATATCTTCAACCCTCAACATAACAGATCGCTGACGATATGCAAGCATTCAATGCTGCATTGGTAATTTTCGGCTCCCTCGTGGCTGCTTCCAGAGAGCGCGAAGCCAATCCGTCAGCGTGGAGTGTGGTCGATGAGTCTCGTCCCTATCTTGACAAGGCAATCGAAGCTTTGCACCGACTTGATTATGGAAATCGTGTGGTAGGACGATGTATTGAATACCTTTCACAGCTTTCCCTGGTGCTCAATGCTCTGAGTATGTCAAACCCCCTCAGTTTCTAATTTTTTTATTTCTCAACGTAATTTGGGCGATAAATGGCAAATATCAAGATAAACAAGTCAGAGAAATGAATTTTACGTTGGTATCGCAAACTAATTAGTTTTCCCTACAGATCGGGACCAGTTAAGTTTCAATAACACTGGTCTGTCGAATTTGCTCTCGGGCTACACAAGCGACTTTCTTAATACTCAATCTGCCAACCCATTACCTGCGATGGATTTAGGAGAATTTATGATTGATCAGGACCTGGATTTTCTAGGAAAAGTTTTCAATACAGCTGTAAAATGAGGAGAAACAATATTAACCTCTACTTGGAATGGTAGCTCATTGTGAATGCACCAGTGGAGCTCATGTAAGCTGAGTTCATTTCAGCAAATGTTGTTCACTGAGATTTGGATCATTTTCTTTTCACCTTCTGTCTTTCCCTAAAAGCTTAGGTTAAGTTGCAGTACTTGTGTTTGCATTCCACCTCCAGAGACATTGTTGAATTTGTATCCTGATATGAAAGTATTTAACCGCGGGGGAAAAATACTAGTCTACCTCATTATAGTTATCAGGGATATCCACATATAGTCAAAGCCTTCACCAGGTACTCATCAATCCTGTATTTACTGCCTTCACGCCCAAACTCACTCTGTTTCACTCCACCAAATCTAGGTGTACAATTGTTTGCACATTCAGAGTAACAACTGAAACTCTCTTCGCTTTCCTGGGACTGTGTCAAGAAGACACTGACAAATATCGAATAGTGTAGGAGCAATATTAATCCGGGGGATTACTACTTGCCAATGTTTATATGTATTCGGCGAAATACAACCACCGCCATTGGCGAGTGCTAAAATCCCGCTAATATCACTTAGGCGGTTTGGTGTTGGCTAACGACGGAGATTGTAGCTGTCGTCGAGTGTTTAGCTCATAGCAGTTTGATCGGCGTGGATTGTATTATGGTCTTCTCTCAACCCCCAATGTATAGCGTAGATACTAGTGAAACATGTGTTAAAATTTATTTTCCGATACGTTTGGCTCCGTGAATACTATGACTATGAATAACTGGATCGTGTCTTAGATGTTGTCGTGATTACAAGCAAGCTCAACGATCACATCACCTACGTTGACTCTGCGAGATGTTGAATTGTAATTCAGTGGCCGGTTTTAGAGTGATGATTTTAGAAAATTATCCTCAAAACTGTCGACCTAGGTTAACAGGGATTCAAAAACATGAAGCGGCACCTCTGTCTCTCTGACAGATGTTTCCGAACTTTTGCAATCCTAATACTAGTTTACGTGGAATCCCCACGGACGTCCATACAAAGGCTACCCAGCACTAAATGTAACTAGGAAAGGCGCTGCTAAAACCCATAAGAATAGCATCTATAGAAATAACAATAAGAAATTTCTAAATTTAAGATTAGTATACCTACCTAAAATATTATATAAATTAAAATAAATATCTTTTAAATAATATAGCTTGTTAAATTATTATTTTAAATATTTATTAAGATCTATGATTCTTGTTAATGAATACACTCCTGTTTTTGATCTCTTGCTCTGGAACTCTGACATCTAATAGGTATAAATTAGGTCTAGTTTCCAGTTATTCAAAATTCAGGCTTCTTCCCCTTGCAATTAGCAACACACTAATACCGCACTAAAATCGGCCAGCTCAACGCAAACTAGTATTAGAGCCTGGCGTTATCAAGAACCAGATTTTTCGCGTATTGCTCTCTAGCTCTAGGTATTTAGTTGACCCCATCATCGTTCTACATATCTTTAATACACAACTACCTCCGTAAATGACATAAATTTTGAATTCGGTGCACTGAATACCCCCGCTCAAATGAACCGGTGACTAGTTGCAAAACAACAACACTTCGCTAAGGGGGTCTTCATGTGCAAACATTTGTCAAGCAATTCCATTGGGGGACGATGGAAGTCTCTTGCGCAATGACGATGGTAGTTGGGTTGAGAACAGTTGTGCAGTCATATTCACTGCCATTGTCGCTGCTACCAAGGACATCACCTGAGCTCTCTTGATTGAATGTGGAGGTCTGGTCACAGAATGTCGTCTGGCTATTCGTAGTTGTCAAATTCGTACCCATAGAAACAGAGCCATTGATAATGATGGGAGTGGACAGTCGTTCGTAATCGATAGCCAACCAGCCGTACTCATAGTTGGTATACGGGAGAATGTACTCCACGATGCTGAATCCAGTCCCTGTGGGTTGGGCGCTAGTCGTTGTCGATGTTGGGGTGATTGTAATCGTGAAACCGGCCCAGCGTGTGGCATCCCAAATATTTCGCCGGCTGACAATGCTGGCAGAAATAGAATCCAGAACAGATGCCGCCTGTGTTGGCTGCGATATGAACATGAAGCTATTTGTGATAGTGGAATAAGTTCCAGTGGTACTAACGGTTGTTGTTGTAGTGGATGGAGTAACCGAGCATCCTTCAGTGGTAACACATTCCGTCTAGCATTGTCAGTATCGGGGTGCGTAAGAACACACCATTTGAAAAGATCTTATATCACTTACTGTAGTGGTAGTAGACGAGGAAGCCATTCCAGATGTCGAGAAGCTCTTTACAAACACTGTGCAGATATTGGCGGTCTCCATCGAGCTGCAATCTTCATTCGAACTGTCGCTAGGACCAACAGAGCCAGTGCTTCCACCGCCGCCTCCGCCACCTTCAATGATGCAGGAACCTTAAGTAGAGACCATGTTAGAACAACATCGATGTAACTTGACACAAGACCGAGCTTTTACCAGTACCACAGCCGGGCCCGCAATATTGCAAACCGCAGCATCCTCCACACCACCAGAGACCACAGCCTCCATCACAAGCGAAAAGTCCACACTTGCCGTTGCAACCGAATAGCTCACACTCCAATTTCCCGCAACCAACGCAACCACCATCACTCGAGGAAGAACCTGTCGGCGGTCCGTTCTTGACATTGATTGGAGGGATGGCACTCGAGGGGGTCACTGAAGCATGTTTAGCTTGAGGCTGGATAGTAACAGGGTGTGCTGTGCTGTAAAATACCGGGATGGCAGTGGTTCCTGTCGAGGTCGGCTGGCCCCCAGCGCCTGAGGAAGTCGAAGTAGGGTTGCCATGACTGATACAATAACAATAGCCGAGCCAGACACCGTTGGCACAACCAGTGCCGACAGCAGGGTTCCAAGCTTCAAAGTCTGCAGCAGCGATATTGTACGTAGTTTCAATGCTCCAACAGGAGTTACCGCTTTGAACAAGGTAGAATTCTGTGCAGCCACTTGCCATGTTAGCTGCAATAGGCGATGGGGTCACCACAGCGGACATTGTCGTAGTTGGACTGGTCGTTGTGGTAGCAGGAGAGGTAATTGTAGCGGACACAACAGTTTGCCCTGCCGCCTGAATCTCTGCAACTAACAGTATAATTGGTGGTGGCTGGGGGGGACGGAACCACCGTTCCGGGGAGGGTCACAACAATAGATGGTGGTATAATACTTTGTACGGGACTCAAAACGCCTATTGTTTGATTGCTGGCAATGGTCACTGGCCAGAAAGGGATGGCGGATACCGAGAATTCGGGAACCAAAATTGTAGTTGTCGTTGTAGTGACACCTCCACTGTTGCTGACAAGCAGTGCGGTGGTAACGGGTGGCCAGTCGATAATCGTCGGAGTCGGCAACGGGAATGGTGGCAAGATGAACGTACATGGAGCCTGGCAGGAAATTTTGGGCGAATCACTGTCCCAAATTTTGGGCGAAACATACACCTCTCCGCTTCCTCCGGCGGGGAAGAGATTAGTAGAGTTGGAAATGGATTCTGCAGGGAGTTAATTATTAAAAGACCTGGTATTGGGTGATTTGAAGTAATCATACCGGAAAGATCTCCAGCGGTATCCTCGTCAACAGCCCATGAGAAAACACTACAAAGGGAAAAAATTAGGATCAGCACGCAGATCCCTCTCAGGGAGCGTTTACTGTAAGCGGTAACTTACCCTCCGAGGCACTCTGAGTTGGCAAAATCCAGTTTCATTTGGATGGTTTCAGCGTCATCATAAGCAACCCATTGATTGTTATCATAGACAGCGATTTTAACAGCCGCATTAGAGTCAAGCCACACCGTTGGGTTTCTGGATGGATCATCAATGATATCCATGATCTCATCATAAGATAGCATGCCTTCGGTCTGAGAGCATGGACCCGGATTTCCTAATTCATTCTTAGAATTGATCTTCGGAAGGAATATTGAACGCTGATTTAACGTACCTCCCACCTTGAATGGACATCCAGGCTCCACGTACGAAGAATCTCCAAGTGTGTAACCTGTTCATGTTAAGATAAAGTTCGAAATCGATGCTAGGGGCAGGAATGCATACTGCGCCCGTAATAGCCAAGGCCAAGGTTCACTTGGCTAGGCGGGATGTTATTGTGCCACAACAACTGTAACCCTGATTAAATCATGGTAAGGTTGGTGCTGGCATAGACATAGCTCCCAATGGAAGAAATGGTAGCATCCCAGGTGCCATAGATATCATAAGACATGAAATTAAACTGGATCTCATCAGGTTCAATTCAAAGACAGTTGGAAGTTAAAATATCAAGAACCTACCCAGTCAATGGTTTTCGCAATGTTGACAATGTCGAAATTCTGAAGGTACCAGTAGGAACTTGGGAGGGTAATTGACAAGCCATAATAGCTTCCCAAGGTGGATCGTACGTTCTTCAAAAACGATACAAAGTTGGCGTAGTCAGCAGTTGTACCGAATCGATCCGCTGCACCAGGATATTCCCTAGAGAGATTTCAGTAACGGATGCGATCAGTAATACAGAGCCAGATCATGAGGCCCTTGGTCTCTGGATTGAGATAGTTACCAGTTAATGTCAACGCCATCAAAGCCATATTCCCCTAGGAAGGAAATCAGAGAGTTGAGGAATGCCTGTTGAGCCGTAGTGGATGCGGCAAGATCCGAAAAGACATTTGAATATGGCCCTGGATCGTTCATAGCCCATCCACCAACGGAGATCCACGTTTCGACACCATACTTCTTAAGAGCAGTGAACCGAGCGTAGAGATCTGTTTGGTTGGACTCCATTGGTGTTAATTCATAAGTATCTGGATTGATGTATAAGAAGGAGAAGATCAAGTGAGTGTACCCTCCGACAGGTATCTATAAGAATCATCAGCAACGACCCCATGTACTTGTCATTGAACGATTGGTCGACGGGCAAATCTATCCCAATTCCACCGGATACCACTCCTACCGATGAGGATGGTCTCGCGAGCATGATCTCGAAGCTCACACTTAGCTAATGTCGTTCGCTTGACATGGGATATTTTCTGTTGGCTTGGCTTCATTGCTATAGAGTAAATTGCAAATGATTGATTGGTTTTCTAGCTCTTGTCCGCTATTTTCAGATGTCTCTGATAAAAGTCCACTTTCTCAGTGGAGGTCTCTCTGAAGCAAATGACAATCACAAAAGAGTATTTAGTGCTTTTCAGAACATCAATAACACTTGTAAAGAGCTGTAGAGTGAGCCCGCTGGTCATTAGTCATTTATGTAGAGCGGTGCAGGGGCAGCGAGCCCTACCGGCCCTAGCGGTAGAAACCCCTGGGCGAAATCCCCTTCCCCCTGGCATCCTCCCACCAATATTGATTGTTTCAAATGCGTCCCTTCTATGAGCGGACTATTTCCTCTAGCTCATGCAATCCACACTCCTCTCATGATTTTATTATTATTACGAAGACATCATCGTATTACATATTAATACCGAGGCGGAAAAAAAGAGTGGGGTAACAAATCAAAGATGAAATAAGTGTGCTGTTTATGGTTCCGCGAACCTTATCTCATACTCAGACGGTTGGCCACCAAGAGGGGCCCAACTCTTGGCAGATTTTCTGCGACTTACAGTACTAATTAGACCTAGGCCTAGTAAGTCAGGTTCCGCGCTCTACGAAGGGTCAGCTGACGCCGAATTAGGCCAAGCAGTGAGCAATTTTCTTACTAATCTGTTTAGAGACTAGTTTGCCCCTCTGCTCTGCCTAGTGCCGGCCCTTCAAGAAGGGTCTGTGTTGAGATAACGCGAGCCCGTCCTACGTTTTCACCTGTATGTATACATAGTGTGGGGCCTGGAAATCTCCTGCACCGATATTCTCGCCAGAATCATGATTTCTCTTTACTTCTTGTCACCGACTTCGAGATGATCAACCGATATGTGGCTATCAAACCTTGTCTCAATCACATCGCTTATGATTCGAAAGATGCGGACCAGCTGCCAGCTACTCCGGTCCTTGGTATTCTCCAGTTCACCTTTCACTCCGGAGTCAACGTCTCAGAGCCATCGCAGCTTGCATCTGTACTATGGAGAAAGTCCTTGACGTTTGTCTCGACCATTCCTGGGTTTCAAAGGTTGTATTGGGCTCCGGTGGACCACGCTTCGCCATGTCAACAAATTATCGTTTTGATGCAGTGGGATAGCGGTCGTGGTTGGAAACTATTCCAATCCTCCTTGGGCTTCAGCATGATGCTAGGTTACATTGAAAGCATTTCCAATCGCTGTATCCAGCTTGCTCTCCCCGCCTATCTCTTCGACTTTGACAGTGTCCTCGGGCTGGTCTCCATCCAGTTCTCCGCTATGCTATCTACTACTCAGGTTGGAAAAAAACCAGGCTTCAAAACCAAATGGGAAACAACATTTGCCCCATACGTCAACAGTGCTACGGCTGAGTTCGAATTGATATATTGTTGTGGGGAATGGCTTGAAGCGGACAAATTTGTGGACGATCGATTTTTTGTTGCTTTGCTCTTCTGGAAACCAGATATACAGGTGCGTGATCAGCGTCGACTCCGAGAAGCCATTGTCCACAATCTCGAGAACCATATAGCAGAGCTTGTGGAAGATGCAACAAATGTGGTCTCGGTTTACACTCACAAGCTCAATCAAGTGTCTTCTGAAACTTTTAGTCTACAACTACCGGGCCTTCTTCCGGTCGCTGTGCATTTTGAAACCAATCACCCAGTTTTTCAGACACCTGTAAAGCCTGAATACAACGTGGACGAGTTTACATTATCACGAGGCAAGGACCGGCTCCATTTGGAATCTATGATCCAGGCGAGGCAAACCCCTCCGGAGCGTATCGCCGGTGGACCGGCTGGTAGTTGGTGCCCTATGGGAATAATTTCTCAACATCATTTGCCCCAGCGGCAAGGCTATAGCTCAACCGCCGATATGGAAATGATCTCTTTTCGCGCTCAGATTGAAAACCCACAGATAGAGAGTTTATTCGAGGGTCTTCGAAGGAAACTCTGGGAGCTGGGGGACTGTCCGAGCTCTTCTGGGGCAATTATAAAGAGAAAGAAGGAGGTGGTGGCAAGATTTCACTTTTCATAGGTACGTGTGGGTCGCGTGACTACTAGGAAGTCGAGGATAATAACACGGCTGTTCTTAAAGGTCTCGAAGGGTCTCAACAGCAGAGGCAAGAAATTCGAGCACAACTCCAACAACCCATTCAAGAATTCTCAAATGGGTGTGGTGATGCCATACAGGACATATCCCGTAGAGGAATTATCGGTCCAAGCCGATTTTTCGGTTTTCGTCCGAATATGGAGATCACCATTTTTGATGTCTCGGAGAACCAATGGGACTAGCACTCATTTGAATATGCCTTTTCCAATTACTTGACGTACGTTAATCATTTCCCATTGCGGTATCTTTCATTTTTTTGGGAGGTTGGCTACTGACGTGCCAATGCTCCATTGAATAGGGCTACGCATCAACAGCAATTCGACCAAGGCCTCTTCAGTCCTTGGTCTGCTCTAATACCACAGGGCCAAGGATGGATCACTGACTATCATTCTTTATCGGATCAAAGCGAGCAAATAAAGACGGACCAATTCATCGCATTTTTCAGTTGCCAGAAGGAAGGGGCTCGAGAAGAGTGGTACCACGACTTCGCCCAACGAGCTCAAACCGAGTATGATCTTCTGGGTCATATTTTTGATTGGCTGCGGACTTTATCCAAACGCATCACTATTCAGCAGCTAGTCGTACAAAAAGAGGATCCTTGGATGACTGCAGACAGGTTGGAAAAAGCGAATCGGCCGCCTCCGCCACTCCCACCGTCTATTTTTGACATCCCCTGGGCTAATCAGTTAAAGAAAGGTCATACATAGTTCATTAAAACCTTTTTTCTAATTATATGACTACCTTCTTCTGATTGGTTAAAAAGTCTTTATAAGACTATATAAGACTCTACACAATTTCCTATTCCCTTTATCGAAAAATGGGCAGCTTCTAAAAGATCTCGGATTTTACAGTTCACTAAAAAATGCATGACTTATATATTATTAGAAACTGAGAAGGAAGCCGTCCCTGATGTCCTTGATTTCCACAATGTAGTCGTGGATTAACCTGGCGAGGTCGGGAGACCCACTGAGTGTGCCAACAAGGTCTGTGTAGAATGTCAGAAAGGGCGTAGTAAAAGAATCAACAACATTAATCCGGATTCTGATGAAAGGCTTAAAGAAGTCGATTAAACCTAATTGCGGGTCAGCGACAGCAAATATAGCAATAGATGTATCATGTGCTTAGGCTTACCGGGGAAGAAGGCGTTGATGACGGCATCCACAGTCTGCTCTAACGTGGAGAGAACCGTTTTGTAGACTTCCAAAACCTTTATAAGCTGCTCAATCTCTTCGATGGTGAAATCCAGGGCAGGATTTTCCACCATGGGAAGAACCGCGTTTTTGGTTGCGGTGAAGCTCTCGACGGCGTTCTGAAAGCTCTTAATCACGGTGGGAAGCCCGGCAAGGCCGCTGCTAGATGGCGCTGTTGAATCTGCCGAAGTTATTAGTTAGCTTACCAACAAAGCATTGGATGGATGGGCCTCTTTACTTATAGAGGAGAGGTTCTCTCCGATGCTAGATGCCATGTTATCTACCGATTGTTGCAGCTCTACAGCGTAGGCAGAGACCTTGAATGCAACAGTACTGCTATCCGAGAGGGTATTATTGGTTGGTGCAGCAAAGACATGAGTGCTGAGGATAAAAGCCGTAAGGCATGCAGTCGTCGAGAAGCGCATGTCGGATGAAGAGTAGGTTGGGTACGGTGGAAGGCCGGACAATGATAGCACTCTCGAGCTGGTTAGATTCTACTGTCAAGAGATAAAGTCCAGGAGAGTTCCATGCGAACAGCGGCCTTTTATACAGAGTGAAAGCAAAGTATCCGTCTACCCTCTCGGGAGTCTCCTGCTTATTATTGCCAGGGACTCGCTCGGATATGGCCGAGCATGGACTTGCACCGTGGCTACATCGGCTTAGAAGAGCTGAGGTTATGGAAACAAGAAACACATATGTGTAACTCTTGCCGAATTTACAATCACACTACGGTGTTAAGAAAAATCATTAGGAAAGCCATTCGAAGTTCAATTCCCCTCAGATGAGATCTGCGGCCGATGTGCCAATCATTTTGTCCACCACCGGATACTCTTGCAAACCTTCCCCACATTCCCAGGGCCTCGGCACTAATATACGATGGATCGTCAGGTAATAAGTTACTTGTATATCCATGAAGATTAGGTAATACCTGTTTTCTTAGGCACGCCTCGGTAAAAAAATATACGAGGCTAGTGCCAGATCCAAAGACGTCAATAACTCTCTGGTTCTTGCTCGTCGGCAAAACATATACGACGGATAATCGGCTAAAAGATCGTGTAGATAAGGACATACATCACTGAAATAAATGTTTGTCGACTCTACTGCAGTTCTTCAGTTGCCTCTGCGGAGATATACGACGGTTCACTCCGTTAACTTTCAACCTTGCAGTTGTAGGGTGCAGGCTGTCCTATGCGACATGCCACCCCCAACCCCCGCAAACCAGTGAGATTCTCCAAGATTTGTTTGTGTCATGACTCTTGTAACCTAGCTCCGCATACCGGAGATGAACAGATGACAAGCTCATTAATCTAGGAAGCCCTAGGCATGAAGCCTCGTGAGTCGAAATGGACGACCGGGTCGTCCGGAGATGAAGCTCGCCCTGGACGTAACCATGAAGATAGTTATAAGCTGAGAAAATCCTTGTTCAACTGGAAATGTCCATCTTATCTTCACACTTCCCTCATTCATTATCTTCCTTGCAAAGCCTCATCTGTGATCTTGTTTATTAGCTAACATGCAACTTCGCTTCCAACTTTTGATTGCTGCATGCCTATTCGCGTGTATCGAATGCGCCTCAGCTATGCACGCAGCCGCCAACTCGGCCGACCCAACGGTTACCATTGCGTCGGGATTAGTTATAGGAACCGCGACGGCTATTGTGTCAGCGGCGCAGTCTACTTAACACCAGAATGAGATCAATATTGTTATAATAATAACATTATCTCTATATGTATGCCTCCGCATTCTTCGCATCTATTACAACCACTTGATATGGGTGTTTTTACTGTTCTTAAGCGCCGCTTTGAACGTGCAGTTGAGGATTAAATGCGCTACAGTATTAACCATATTGATAAGTATGATTTTCTTACTATACTACCAGCAATACGCGAAGAGGTTTATTCTATTAGAAATATTATAAGCGGCTTCTCTCATACAGATATTTTACCATTCAACCCTGAATCTGTTCTATCTCAATTGCAAATTATTGTCAGAACCCCTACTCCGGAGACCTCAAGACCAAAGACCTCATCAACAAGCAATGCTTCCCTTGCAACACCTCACAATATTCGGTCTTTACAGCGCAAAGCTGAATCAGTAAAGCGACTTTTGAAGCAACGTACTACAAGCCCTCCTTCTCCCACAAACCAGGCTCTTGATCAGATAATAAAAGGATGCTCAATAGCAATGCACTCTGCAGTGATATTAGCAAAGAAAAACCATGATCTACGAGCAGCAAATGAGCATAAAGCTAAAAAGAAGAAATGTCGATCAAGACCGCTTTATAATGAAGGTATTCTGACTGTTGCTGAAGGCCAGGAGCTTGCTGCAGCGCTTCAAAAAGATAATTTACCTAATCAATCGACTACTCTAGGCGAGGCTTCTCAGCCTCGCAAGCGCGCACCACCTAAGTGTACGAATTGCGGACAAATAGGGCATAATCGTACATCATGTCGAAATAATTCTATATAGAAATATATGCAATTTTCTATGGTTAATTATGAATCCAGGTTGCTTCAATATGTAAAGGTGCGGGTGGGTGATCCAAATAGCCGTGTGATCCAAATGCCCGTGGAATACGTTAGTTATCTTCTGATTACTTAATAAGTGCATAAGCTTTTTAATTCAGCCCGAGCGCGTTGATATTATTGATTAGGACCCCAATTTTCAACTCACAAAAGTAACTATATACAAAAAGTTTATTAATAGTATAATTATTATAATGAATTCTTCTATGACCGAGAATATTACAATCTCTATACCGAGATTAACAGAGTCCAAGGGGTTGAAAGACTGGAGGCTAAACCTTAACTAAAGTAGCAGTAACAGTCTTAAGATATCTTAACTTAAACCTCCTATAAGTGCCTCAGCTTCTCGCGATTTAAGCTCTCAACGACGTCAAATATAAACCTAGCTCTCATCCATCTATTGATCTGAGCATTTTGACAAAAGATAATTAACTAGCTATCTCCTGTACAAGGGACGACGAAGATAAACCGCGTTTAGAAAGATCAAGTATCCACTTAACAAGCGATTCTTCTCTCTATTCAAAAATTTACATCCATTAACGCGTTTTTCGGCCTTCATGAAGATACCACGTAGAGGATCACCCAAAGGCTATACATGGAATTAAATAAACACGTGCCACTTCATTAATAATATGAATTTACATAAATTTAAATCAAAAATTACTTAATTACTTAATTTAAATCACGCTTCTTGTTCAGAGGAACATTTTGGTTTTTCATTGCAAATTGGTGGCATGATGACGTGTTGTATCTTGTAAAATCAACGCGCACGGAGCGAATTGAGGGGCTGGGTAGTGCACTACGTTCCAAACGCGAGATTTACTACAGTACATCGGGGCTACAGTTGCAGTGGAGACCTACTTTAGGGCTTGCATCTCCTTTGATCAACTTGCAACTTGCAGCAGCGTGGGTAAAGGTAATCTATAGGTGAGTTAGACTCGCATGCGTAGAAAATGCGGCTCTCTACAAGACATGGAGCACCCAATCACCATTGAATGTACTTGTGAACCCCCTGCATATCCCCGTCGATTCCATCGGGTTGCCATCTTAAAACCACGAGTTGCCTTGATGGGTCTGCCGCATCCCTCCGACAGATGTCGACATCTTGAAGCCGCGCCCAGCCTGGTATCGAGGCGCGTGGGGCGGCTGTTCGATAACCTTCTTCAAAGTCGATGGCGATCTCGGCCGCATGAGCGGATTCTTGTGCATCCCACAGCCCTTCATACCGGGGTACACGGCTAAGTAGACCAAGGGCTCGACGTATGGAGGCATCACGGCACTTGATTGCAGTAAAGAAAAGGGGCGCAATGATGCCGGTGTCGAGACCAAAACACCACACCTGTGAACCCACTCTAAGCCTGTCTTCAGACATGATGAATTCCAAAGAGGTGACGATAGCTTCGAATTGAGTCGTGCAGAGATCAAATGCACTCTCACGATCTGGCAGCGCGTCCGAGAGAAACGCTACGGCAAGGATATGGTGGACACGAAGCAGGCAGGGGCCTCGCGGATCTTGGACGGTGGCTCCTGCAGAAATAACAAAGGCCTCGAAAGCGAGATGCCAATCTTGAAGTTGTGTCTGTAGACTTCGCTGGATAGAGAGTTCGGTAAAGGGGTCAGGAATACACCCGGTAACTGCCATGCGTACAAAGCGGAAAGTAGAGTTAAGCAGGACAGTGCTTGACATTCTCGCCTCGTTGAGGTTGTCGAACCGACGTCCTTGCGACTTAGGTGGGATATCGGGGACATCCAAGAGAGTGGGGAAGTCACATCTCCGGGGTCGGCCATAGAGAGACTGCGTGAGGCTCAGTCACGAAAGCAATGCTTTTAGGGCAGTCTCTTCTCTGCACAAGTGGTATCTCGGTTTGTGACCGTTGATAAAGCTCAACGCCCCGGAGACATGGACTAAAGCTGATTGCCTGTCCCCTCTTAGAAACTCGATGCAGGCAAAGAGTATACATTCAAGTTCCACTACAAGAGGTTTCAACCCGTCTGACAGTAGGCTACCACGAAACAGCGAGATCGCTGTCGTATAAAATTGCAGCACAAACCGAGGCAGAGGGTCCCCGTCGGTCAAAGGTGAGTCGACCTGCTCGGAGCTCTCATGATACGCACTCAGAGCAATGACGGCCGGCAGGATGGCTGGCTCGGTCTCGCTGAGGTACAAGGGCAGCACACTCCACACATCGGAATGAAAGTATCCGGCGAGCATGGGAGCGGTACGGTTCTGGAAATGTTCCAGGGATCGCAGCTCCTTGGCCGAGCAAGTCCCCCAACGACCGGGGAGCGGCTTAGGTGCAGCACAGCAGAAGGATGCTCTAAAGTGTTCCAAGGACATATGATAGCGTTGCAGCATCGCGCGTGGTTGCCGGTCGTACCCATCGCAGTGACGCCGTGCTGTTGTACAATTCTCACAAGAAGGCCATGTTTGATCGCACTTGATTCGCCGCGTTCTAACATGCCCTTTGATGTTAGTAACGGCGTCAGAGGACGATGAATCAGCGAAATACATACTTGCAAGTTCGACATCCTGCTCGGGATTTATTATGCCATCTTCGAGATTTCGATATGCCAGACATGTTGCTCTAGATGGATCTTCATATCAAAGATGCAGGGGGATGGACAACAGTTACAGGAAGTTTTTGCCCACTGATTGCTCCAAGATGCTCACTGAAGGTGATCAGGGGCAAGTAGTCAAATAAAACGCATATCTCTTAGTTCACGGATGATCGTTTGAAGATCTATGGGCTGGGGCCGTGAGGGGACCCAGCCCGATGAGCAAATCATGTACTTGCGCAGATATTAACACGTGCCTCCGACTTCAACCGTGCGCAACTAATAGTGGCACCTAGAACTAGGCCACGCCTTCGTAAATTACAGAAACAATTAATTAATCAATTTTAAATAAAATAATTTCTTAGACTTGATATCTAATATTCTTCTTATTCTTCTTATCTTGTTCCTTTATTTTAGAGAGATATCTATTATTATTCATACCATATAACCATCAGGTCAATATATAGAACGTTAGTGATATACAAATGAAAGTTATAAAATAGATTTTAATTTCATACAAGTATTGCTAGGTTGTAGCCTCTGCTAGCTACAAGTATAAGCCATAATATTGCCTTCATCTACTATAATATCCTCTAGCTTGCATATCAAAATAAATAAAGTAGAGCAGCTCTGATGAGCTACCTGTGCCTAAGGAGATGAAAGTTACTGCTGTTATTACTGTGAATTACCAGAAGTGGCTGTTAGATAATCCGGCCATTTAGTATATCAAGAAAAATAGATAGGAAGAGCAAAGAACATGGGATAGATAACATGTTTGATAGGTTAAAATAAGATATGATTAGCAACTTGGTTAGAGTAGAGTATAGTAGAGTAACTCAGCTACTATGCGTCTGTAGTAATTTTGGAGGTAAACTATAGATGATATTATTTAGGAGACACTATGATATAGATGTCGGTGGCGTTCTTGATACTGGTGGATGTGAACAAGGCCAGGGTACGCTTGTCGAGTACGTACTGCAGCAAACTGCTGTCGGGCGAGACCTGGACTGAATAGCCATTGGGGAACGTGGATGGGGGCAGGATGATTTCAGTTGGCGCGTCAATATTTGGATCAGACGTGAAATGCAACTGGAAGGTGGCAGAGCTCTCAGAAAAGCTGAAGCTTTTGGGAGTGCCAGCGACGGCAGCGGGGTATGCACGGCTGTAGTGCTTTGCCAGTTCAGTGTAAGGCAGACCAGACGTGCCGTTGTACAGGTTCTCGTACGCCCAGCCGATCCAGGAAACCATACTTGCGTCGGTCGCCGACATGGCATCTGCTAGGCCCTGCATCTGCTTTTCATCGCCCATCCAGAATGTGAGCTCGGTCAGCACACCGGCGGTCCTAAGGCGCTCGCTGTCTTTACGGCGGTTGTTGAGCGTGGTGGAAATAGAGCCCAGCTGCGGCGGGCTGTAGTAGTGGTACGATTGCACTGACTTCGAGCCGTCCCCAAGAGGGACATTGTTAAACCCCGACAAGATGTCCAAGGTGGCCCCTTCGAACCAGATGAGCGTGTCATTATCGACGGTACGGATCTGCTGGGCCGCGTGGTTCCAGAGCCCTTCTAGGACCTTGTGGTCTGCAACACCTGGCACTAGCAGTGTTGGATCGGCCCACGTGTCGCCCACCCACGGCTCATTCAGCAGGTTATACCCGACCACGTTGGCCATCTCGACATACTCGGACGCGAGCTTTTTCCAGTACGCGGCGAACGCATCGCTCAGTCCGTCGTAGTTATTGTATAACCGCCCAAATGCATTGCCCACTGCCACCGACGTGTAACCCAGAGCCCAGTTGACAGTGTCACAAAGCGACTGCGGCGATGGGAAGCCGCTGTTATCCACAGGGAACGGCGTTGGATTGAGGGGGAACGGATACATCTCGTCGCTCGATACCCAGTTCCCCTTAACAAACCACTACAAAGCCGAGTCAGTATCAACTGTGCCAAAATGCCCCTGCATCTACTTACATCAGGTACGCCATGGCCACAGAATTGCCGCGACAGGCAGTCCTGATGCACATCCACCAAAACATAGAGGCCATGGTCCTCAGCCATCTTGGTCTGCTTCATCAAGATATCTAGAAATGTCTGGTTGTACTGCCCACGCACAGGTTCTCCACCGGTCCAGCTGTGGCCCAACCGCACAACGTTCAGACCCAAGTCGTGCAGATTTTGGACATCTTGCTCGCCAAACGAGGAGACACCAGGCACCCACTCTAACGGTCGATGCCATGGTGGCTGCTTCATAACAACATTGGTTCCGTGAAAGAACCGTGTACGGCCGAATTCATCAACGATCTGATATGTGTCTTGGTTCACCTGGCTGATACGCGCCATGCCTGGATGAACCTTGTACCAATGCTCGGCATCCTGAGCCAACCCACCCACTGGCTGTGTGCCGAGCAGCGTTGCAGCAGCAATGGGAATGGACAGCATTTCAATGAAAGGACCAAGTGAATCCCAATAAAATTAAAAGGAAAAGGGAAAAGAGACAGAGGAAGGGAGCGTTCGGATGATAATAATAAGAATTGTGCTTGGGATACTTGTAGTAAATCACACATCGTCTCGTCTGTCATCGTAAGGTAGTCTTGGCATGTTTATCCTACATGTGAATGCTTGCCATTGCTAACTATTATAGGCAGGTTGTATGTATATATGCGAACTAGACACTAGTAAATAATAAAATATACTACCTACGATATGTAGAGCCATGCATGTGTTAGTATCTCCGCAGTGGGGTAAAATAAGATAAAAGAGTATATTAAGATGTGATATTACGAAGTGAGCCTACATGACGCTAAGAGACACTATCCCAAGAGGGCAAAGATCACAAAATACAAGAGCATACCATCACCAGTGTATAAATACACAGAACGTCATATAGATTGCAGTGACCCAATGCGAGGAGATTAGTCTAGTCAATAATATTCAACTACAGATTAACGCCAAGCATAAGCGTAATCAGATAACAGTAACTAGAACAGAGTTATTAAAAAACAGTCACAGTAACTACACTCAAAAATATTTAAAGATGCTTATTTCCATATATCTAATCACCTTAACATAATTCTTTAGTCTAAGTTACTCTAATTACACTAGGAAGATTAGTAAAAAAATCATATTTAAAATATTATAGAACTTCAACCCATTCTTTTTTTACTTTAGTTATATTCTACTATTACATAATTCCTTCAGTAACCATAGTATATTGTTACTAGTTACCCTCAGAGAACTTCTATATGGTTCACTATATTATATCATCCCTCGACACAGCCAGTAACAACTAGAGTGGGTCCAGGTGCCTGACATGTGAAGGTTTCGAATCTATCTATACCCGATCCTTTGTCTAACAGGATCTGCACAATCTCAAGATGGCCTCCTAGTGAAGCAGCCTGAAGAGCATTGCCATAGAGTCATCTCTTGAACTGTCTTGCATTTGAACCAGAACCAAGACGATGGCATACAGCCCGAGCAAAACCGGTTGCGCCGCAAAACACAAGTTAAATGTTTCTAAGCCCCACAGCCAAGCCACCAGCTGTAAAATATAAATACGTGCCAACAAACAGTATGTGTATCGTACCAGTTTTAGAATACTTGGTTTCACTAGGTTCGGGTCGAAAAGCCACTGGCAAGTGAAGTCTCGTATTAACATTTGGAACTCACCTATGGGACATCAACTAGCTGCGTTCATGTGGACAGGAGTATCAAGCTACTATCTGGAATTACAATAACTATATGATCACAGACTAGTACCTCATTTTGGCTTGTGGCGCGGCCATAGTTTATTGATAAATACAGAGCCTTGAGGAATGAAACCGTGATATATTCACAGGTGGGTAAAACCTGAAGCGGGGTACAGATTTGTGCCAGACCTAGCTTCAACCTCATTACGGTCAATTTCATGCTAAAAAGGACTATTCTGACAGTGTTGCAGGTCAATAAATTTTATCTTCACTATCCCGATCGCACCGTTGATCTCAAAGACACTTTGTCCTGAGTACATGAACTGTACAAGAGAGGCAAGTTTAGAAAATTCTGTCTCCCTAATTTTCTTGCGCATAAAATTGAAAGACCTTTCGAATTACACGGGAGAACAATTATGTACAGCCTTCCATACACCAAGGAAGCTATAGTGCAATCAACCGTAAACAGGAAACGCAAATCTTTCCAGTTATACGACAATACAACATGTCATTCTACAGGCCTGCTAGCCAACGGAAGGACATTCTTGCAGGCGAAGGCCATTGGGATTCAAATTCACTGGTCAGTCAACCAAACCTGTCTCTATTCAATAGCCTTTAACACTTCGGGGTTTGGATGACTCGAACGAGATATCTAGAAAATGGGGAATTGCAAAGTTCAGTCCTGCATATCGATGGATCATCTATCATTCGATGTTGAACAGTCAATTTTGGGATGCGATAATTTTCGGGGCAAAAAAGATTTATAGCTGAAGAGTATTTTGAATAATATACGAGTCAGTCCTTTTTCTAATGATATTGTGCAGGAGATAAATAACGTGTATGACATTAAGAAATATGAAATGGCAATCAATTTGTTCAACGGCATCGCTTCTTAGAACCGAGACTTGACCTCCTACTATTATCTAGGTTGCATATATGATATTAGTTTTTAGGTGCTGAGGTGGTAGTGGTTCCATTTACCGTGACCTCTCACCTGAGTTGATACTCTGAGCTGGGGTACAAATGTGACGAGACTCTACACAGTCTATAAGCGCAGGTACATCTATTTTTGATCATCAGCATCAGGTCAGCTTTGAAAATACTTTGAACACCTTACCAGTTGAAGTAATGTCTTTGGCAAGAAGAACTCTCGCAATGTAACCCGCTGTTTCCACTGTATTCTCTTCTAGATTGTGAAATAAGGTGTCTCTAGTATCTCTTTCTAGAACGAAGACTCACTTATGGTTGCAATATCCATGAATATGCAGAACCAGTAACGCAGGATGTTATACTGTCACGTCGTGGTGCAACAAGAGATGCCGTACCAAATTGCGAAAATGATGACAGCCCAGGTTATCTCGCAGTAGATACATGTGTTTGCATGGGTGCTCCAGTGTAGTGAAAGGTAGCACTAATGAATATGATCCGACCTCCCGTGCCAGCTACTGTAAAATCAAATGTCAGGTAGGATGCGTTTTTAAAGAGAAATTATTGTGGCATGGTGGACAAACTCACAGTCATTCCCATCGCTCCTGTGCCTTTTCGCCGTGGCGACTAGATGAGGAATCGTGGCTTTAAGGGTATTATATGAGCCAATAACATCAATATCTACTACCGCCTTAAACGCGTTGGTTGACAACTTGTTGATCGTTGCTAGGAAATTCCCGGCCGCATCAGTACTATCGTATACCAAATACAAGTTTTCTCAGTGGATCCCGTTACCAAAAGCCGTAGAGCGATAGGAGAGAGGGGAAGAACTAACATAACGAAAAGTCGATTGCTCCTAGCTCAGATATGCATTGCGGCACCGCAACCTTCAAACTGTCGATCGAGGTTTCGGACGTTCACGCCACCAATACCGAGTACTTTTGCACTAGAATGAATGCACTAGTTGAATACTTTGGCTACCTCTTCTGTCTTCTCCCTTTTGCGTCCATTGGCACCTAAATATACAAGGAGCCAGACTTGGGCACTGCAGATTGTCCTGGCACCTCCTGTCAAAAAATCACTTTATTCTCTGTTACCGGGGGCAGTCAGCCCCATGCGACGCCATTATTAAAGTAAACCACAAATATCGGACTTATCAAACAGACCATCCTTCCAGACGCCACTCATGTACAGTGACCTAGACGTGGACATTTTGTTTGCTACCCACACACATGATATCGGTTGTGGACGGGGTTCTCCGAGATCCTCGGGCAGAGCAGGATCCGGGCGTTGATTGCATTTGCTTACTTTCTCGCCATGATGACCAAATCCCGGTCATCATGGTATACCAGTGATTTGTGAGCACGCGAACTGCGTGCCATTCAAGAATATAACGGCAAGACGAGCTTCGTGAACCTTTCGCGATCCCTGGTTTGGTTGTCACCTAGAGTGTTCCTCTCTAGACGTAGTACTACTCTGCCTTTAGTTGGAGACAAACGAAGATAAGAATTCGTTCAGTAGTGCGGCATATGAACAGGAGTAAGGTTGTCGTTTTCAAAACAACAATTAAGAATGGTTTCAACGCCCTTGAGAATGGGTAGAGCTAGCCGCCAAACAATTAACAGAAGAGTTGCTCTGATAGTTTGACAGAGCAAACTCAGCAAACCAAACAAACTACGCAAACCAGGCTCGCTAAGCAGGGCTGCAAAACATCGATACTACTGGCTGGCTGCTGTCTAAGACACTAGCCAATAGAAAACGGGATCATCAAGGCGTGCAACTGGACAGTAATCAACTAGTGCGACCTGGTGTTGATCGCCGCCTAACAATAATATTAATAATAATAACAATCGCTCGTCTTCAACCAGTCGACGATGTCGCTGGTTTCTACCATGGCGGTATGATTCCCATGCATAATTAACCCTGCCTTGTAGATCCTACACTTTCCCCATGACACTTAACTCCCAAATATATATGGAGTAACTATCCCCAAGAGTTATTTGTCGGATAACAAGTGAGGCTAATATCCATAGTGACGCTACTCCACACCGGTCAGAAACGTATGACCAATATCAATATGAGCAGGAGTTGCTGAAGCACCAACGGCATTTGCCAGATTCTCACGATTCCTCAATAGAAGATGAGAAATACGGACAGAGGCCTGGGCTGAGAGGGAGAATAAGAACTCTGTGGGACAAAAAGGTCAAGCCTGCCTTTCCAGAAGCCATTGCAGATATCACTCTCATCAAGGACGTGTTCACTACGGAAACACTTGTTCGCAAGGATTCTCATGATGCGCAAAGATATCCTGAAATTGAACGGGTTGCAGAGATTCGACATGGCCTGGATCTTGGTGGTGAAGAAAAGGCATTTTTGTCAAAAAGAAAATTGCATGTTCGAAATAATTTCGCCAAATACTTAGGACTGGACTCGGAGAAGGTAAACCCAGACGACATTCCAATAGTAGGATTTGGGGGAAGCGGTGGCGGATACCGCGCCATGATCGGACTCGTCGGCTATATGCTAGAGATGAAAAAGTCAGGATTGTGGGACCTAGTCACCTACGTATCTGGCGTGAGCGGTGCATGTTGGTCCATTGCATCCTACTACACCTTTGCAGAGACAAACATCGACCACATGTTAATTCACTTTAAACAACGATTGTCACCCTACCATCCGTTATCTGATGAAGCCATCCGCATGACGCTGACTGCGACGAACGGCCCCTACAATACATTAGGACCGTTGATATTGAAACATATCAGTAAACTGCATATCGTTCTTATGGACCTATATTCCGTTTTCACAACAGGGTATCTATTTCTCCATCAAAGTCAAGAAGAACACCCCCTTATTCGTAAGAAGATCAACAATAAGCGAGGATGGTGGAAGTGGACTGACGCCCATAAATGGCTTGAGGATGGCCACGAACCGCTGCCAATTATGACTGCAATTCGTCATGAACGGCCATGGAAAGATTGGATTGATAAGGAGCATCCATTTAAAAATGATGATCCCCAGACAGAACATGAATCAGACATAGTCGACGCTTGGTTTCAATGGTTCGAGATGACGCCCTACGAGATTGGTTGTGACGAGCTTGAATCATGGGTCCCAACATGGGGCTTCGGCCGACCTTTCGAGAATGGAAGGTCCACGTTACAGCTTCCCGAACAGTCACTGGCCCTGCTGCTCGGATTGTGTACGAGTGCACTCGCTGGTCCACTTGATGCGTATCTTGCAACCATAAAGCGCAACCTGCCGACTGGTTCGTTTGGAAATATACTTCATGACATGGCTCTGAAAATCACCAACATGTGGGGAAAGCAGAAAACTAAAGTCTTTCAACAGCACCATCCACTCCATGCTTGCAATGAGCACAATTTCATGTTTCATAAAACCCCTGTTCCAAAAGGACAAGCAAGGTCACCGGGTATTGAGAACTCGCCTCGAATCCATCTTCTGGACTCTGGCCTTGACAACAACTGTCCTACATATGTTCTTCTTCGACCGGAACGGGAAGTTGACGTTATTATCCTCATGGACGCGTCCAGTGATGTTCATAAGGATGTTTTTCAAGAACGTGTGGACCAAATTGGTAGCCGAAGAGGTATGAAATATACTCGGCGGCATAATAATCCTGAGCATGGATCAGACGCCAACTCTTTCTCGGACAAATATGCACAGGTTTATGATGGTGCTGTTTGCAACCGACCCACAGAAGTTGTGGATTCATACGGACATACGGTCACCAACCCCCCAGCCCCTACCTGTAATAAAGATAACACTATTATATATATGCCACTTCTCCAGAATGAAGATGCTGTGCCAGGCTATGATCCATCCAGGGCTAAATGGTCAGGCAGTTACAATCTGGTCTGGGCCCCAGAGCAGATCGACATGTTGGTGAAAGTCTCCGCTGCAAACTTTGAGGCGGGCCAGGAATGCATCAAAAATGTTCTTCTTGAAACCTATTTGAAAAGGAAAGCTAGGCGTGAAAGTCTTTTGTCTTAGTGTATGTGGCACCCAACTTGATATCGATTACTCTCAGGTCTAACAAGGATGTCCTAGGCGTAATCGGGGCCTATCTTGGTGTACATAACTACCTCTGAGAACTTCGAGCTTGGAACGACGTCGAACTTATCGGTTAAAGTGCTGATGGATATTTGACTTAGCAAGGAGCGGAAGGCGAATTTGGGGCTTTTCCCATCATTTATTTCCTCTATTTCTTGTCTTGTCTTGCTTTGGATTCATGGGAAGCATATTCAATGCTTCCTTGACATAAAGATCACTCTATACGTAGTAAATATTTTTTGTGATCTATTAGATAAGTTTTACATTGTTCGTTTCAAGACTACTTAAGTTTGTTGATAATGCTTTCGTTTTTACAACGCACTTATCAGTCACAACTACTGCCTTGCGAGATATACGTCCCGAGAAGCTACCCTGAAGCCCTGTGTATTTTAGTACTCCAAGAGTACTACGGCTCTAAAGGTCCTTTATAAGTCAACTAATTCTGCATTCTAAGGATCGTATATCGAAGACGTAAATTGCTTCCATATACTCCACGCAGCTATTATTGTAATCAATACTTTCCTTGATTCAAGTATCGACTACAGGGAATTCTACAGCTTCTAACCGAGTTACTACTGTTTATACAGATGCGACGTCGTGATCCAATCGGTGAGATGTCAACACCAAAATGTATCATTATCTACGTGAATTGTTCATTTAATAATCCAAAGTGTACTGCGGCTCTTTATCAATATATATGTTAGGTCAGATCAATGTATTTTGTTTTCGGAGCGAAGTATTATCCTCCCGTGCAAGACAGGATTGGACCAAGGATCAGTGGATGTTCTTCTGTTGATATCTCACCCGTATAGATTGATGGTTTTGTTCACGAGCCGATTACAGCCACGACAACGGCTCAGCCAACTATCGATGACTTGGGTTAACTGAATTCACTGAGTGAAGCCCATGAGAAGGCCAAAACATATATTTATAATTATCATTATCGTAAGAAACTCCTGTTGGTCCTTGTCATCCATAAATTACTTCTAACCAGATTCCTGCAAGACACGTTTTGAGTACATTTAATAATCGGCCACGACAAAAATTGAATCTTGAATCTTGAGCACCTATGCAATCCAACCGCTTTGTCAGAAACGCGATATAAACCTCTACATGTGCATATGTAGAATGTCAAACGGAACGGGAGTATAGTGTGCCTATCAACCGAGACACTACGCCAAAGAGGTTTCGCCCCATAAAGAACGTCCTTGGAGAGTAAAACTTAGAGGTTGGTAGTAATAATAATTTACAAGTTCCAATTTTCAACTAACAACAACATGTCTCCGGGTCTCAAACTCTCCAAGGTGCTGTAGCACCGTTACACGTAAACACGACTGCCTACATTGGCCTACGTCTGAATCAGATTCAGCTCTTGATATTCCGCGTTTATGGGGTTAGTTTCTGGACGATCCAGGAAAGCCACTAACTCAGGATGACGCGGATAGTCTCGGAAATGCCGGAACTTTCGAAACTACCCCATAATAATAGTATTATTCTGAATTGTAGGTATACGCTGTATCTATGATCTACTTAAAAACTAGTGCCTTGTGAGTGTTTTATCTTTTTCTCCGGTCATTATTCTTTCACAACTATCTTGGCCGGCATAGATTGCCTTTGATCTTTCATCATGACCCTGCTTCCGTCCGCTGAGGATGGCTATATGCCATACATGCTCTTACTTGTAAATGGAAGCTTTTGACTGCCAGTGCGCTAAAATACCCTTTGTACACAGACAAGTGCGATGGCACTACTACATTCACTCGTCACATACGTCTATCCTATCTCTGCACTCAAACAATTCTCCGGTGCATCTGCGCCGGAACCGACAGCGCTCACCGCACACATTTATGGTGCCAAGAATATCTACACGAGCCTTATTCGCCTGTACACTGCATACAACATGCACACCCCCGAACTTTACAACTTGGCTCTAATCACGTACGTAGGCGTCTTTTTCTTGTATGGAACCGAATACCTCATCTGGCGTACTGTTCGCATGCGAGAATCGGCATTGTCGTTCCTAATATCGGGTGGAATGATAATTTGAATGCTAAATGGAAGAGAATGGTACTTGCAAAACTAGTACGTATAGACATGCGAGTTGACGTTGATATCGGCAATTAATCTGGTTTTTAATCATCTATCCCTTGCCACTTTTGATTTCCGCGTCTTCGTCTCGTGCTGACCCGTAGGCATGGCTGGCTGAATCGTGAAAGATGAAGACACACAATTTAATCATACTCTCGTGGTGCATTCAAATGATTAGACGCCGTGCCAATCTCATTTAATCATTCTATTTGCTCTCCCGATTTTTCCCATTGGCTCTTTTGGGGTTACTAGCTACCCGTATATAATAATATAATAAGAATGAATCCACCGGCGACCAGGCTCACGTATTGACGGTCCCAAAGTTCCCAGGCAAGTCGGGTATCGCTGATCAGGCGCCCCTGAAGCCCGACTCGTTCGGGCCTAGCGGATGAAACCACAGCGTAACAGGCTCACACGGCTCAGGCTCACAGGCCGCAGCCTTTGTAGTGCAACGCGGCTACAGTGCACCAGGCCCCTGCTGATGCCGATGCGGTCCACCATTATGACCAATCGTAATATTAATTGTTACTCCTAATGCCAACCAAGAAATCAAGAATATTAATGATGTCGCTTCTCGTCCTGGCGATCAATGTTACCGTCGCCAATATAAGAAGGTCCCTTGGCCTCGTCGCATCCGCGGCCTCGCAACTACTCTGCGGAGAAGTGCTCAACCGCCTCCAGATAGTCAAGATGCTGAGCAAGTTTGTGCTTGCGGCCTCGCTGCTTGTCGCACCAGCCTTTGCCGATCTTCAAACAATCACAAGTAGTAACCACAGTCGAAGCTATTGGATTCACGCACCAGATGATTTACAGGACGGGAAGACGTACCCTGTGGTGATCGCTTTTCACGGGAGCAGCAAGCTTGGCTTCGATATTGATGGGTTTGCGATGGAAGCCGATGTCAGACTGTCACTCCCCCTGGTGCCGACCCCATACTCTACCAACGTTAGTGCCGCCCAAGGTTACACATCCAATTAATACACATTCCCCTGCTAATTTGATCCCACAACAGCGATATTTTGTTTATCCAAATGGTGTCGGTGGAGTATGGGCTGGTCCATCCTACGGCAATGTCTCAGTTGCCGAAGATCTTCAATTTGTTAGCGATCTGATTGCCGATATTAAGGAAAAGTATAGCGTCGATAGTAGTCGCATCTATGCTACTGGCTTGTCAAACGGCGCTGGGTTTGTTGGAACTATTGCCTGCAGCAGTGTTGGCGGTCAATTCGCTGCTCTGGCTCCTGTTGCTGGATCCTTTTATACGGATTTTAATGGGACGAATTGCACCCCAGCCAGATCACCGCTTCCCATTCTCGAGATTCACGGAGGGAGCGACAAGACCGTTTATTATAATGGCGGCCAGGGTGAAGGCGGCTTGTTACCTGCTATTCCTATCTGGTATATTCTCCCACTTTCATTGCTATAGTTTTCAGGGTATTTCATGTGGTTGAAAGTAGACACAGCTAACAGATACCTTGCCAGGCTTGGATACTGGGAAAAAAGAAACGGGTGCACATCAAACAACTCGACTGTGAGTAGTGACAATGGCAATGTCCACCACACAACATGGCTATGTGGCGGGCAAAATGGGACATTGCAACATTGGAAGGTTGATAAGAATGGTATGTGTTCCATTATTCCTAGTGAATGCAAATACCTTTGTATACTCACAATCAGTTTCTTAGGGCATGATTGGCCGTCGAAAACTATCAATTTCGATATGATGGCTGCAGGAATGGGCCCTCAGCCTATCGAAGCAAACGATATTGTTATAGACTTTTTTGATCAATTCTCGCTCATTGATTGACTGAACAGAATTTTAGAATTCATATATGAATTTGAATCATTCATTACAACTGCCAAGAAGGCCACTACTGCCTTGCACCTGAATAGAAGAATATATACTACCCCATGGCCTGTTATGCACTTATACTCATACATACAAAATTAAATTCATAATAGAACATGTCTTAGATCGGTTGATAGCAATACATGTCCATGTTGACGAAACTTCTGTCAACAGCAAAAGGATTAGATCACATGCATTTTCTTGATTTTGTTTCAAGATAGCAACATTTTATTCAAGTATATCTCTGTGATAAATATTCAAAAACTTGAATGGGCTTTCTATCTAAGTTTTGGACCATAAAAATAAACATAAACCGGAACTGGTATGCTGATTGCAGTTGTTATTAATGCTAGAAGTGTATTTCTCCAACTATCGCTTATATTAAAATATATACTTGGCATAAAAAGTAGAAACCTGAAGGAAGTTGAGCTGGGAGAAATTGGGATGCTGCTGATGTTGAGCTAGCATGCTTGATGTAGCAGTTAAATTATGTAGGTTTCAATGGCTGGCAGGTGTGGAAGTTATACGTAGCAACCTAGAAGACGCAAGATTACACACGGATTGAAAATTGTATTTTCGCTTGAACGTAATCAGGCTGAATACAAAAAGATTCTCAAATAAAATGTGAATCTCACGCAGAAAGTTATTTGATGGATTGGAGACTGGGACAGAAGGCTAAAGAAACAATCGACGGATATGCCGACTGTAGCCCATCACACCTTGGGGAGAAAATACCATTTATGAGCTTATATTCCTGTACAAGACTTGAGGGCGAATGTGAAGTGCATATATGAATTCATTGACGCAGTTGGCGGTATCTCAAATCGGGTTGAGACTATTTCACCGAGCTGGACGCATGGAACAATCACCTGATGCGGCTGATGCTGAGACGGATTGCGCAAATAACTCATCAACTCCAATCATTGAAATTATACCATCAAGTGGCTTACCTCTTTCTCACAGCAAACATATATACAGCGCTTCGCTGAATATAGATGACAAGAGCAATGTCATCATCACAATCATCGAGCTCAGTGCCTAAGTTTCTTAACCGATCAAGCTTGAGAAAAGTCGTTTAATAATACAGCTTCTATTACCCTCCAAATCCTGCACAGGTGAAGTAAATAGCGTTCAAATACTGTCGACTCCTGCCAACTATGTTTGTATTTTCTTCAAGCATCAAGCGAAGCTCTGCAGGCTTAGTACTCAATGTAATCAAGCAACTAGTTATGCTCGAAGAGGCAGCTATCAAATGCAACCAACTAGCTCCCACAAAAGCATTATGTATTGATATAACGAGTACCCTAGAAAGGGTATAGGTTTCTATTAGCTACTGTGTATCCAAGGAAAGGGGAAAGTTCGTTTGGACTGGGAAACGTGCGCAAAATATGGAAACCCGCTATATTTAGGTCCACAGTTCTCCCATCTTACAGGCCTTTCTCAAAGCAAAGCTTGGTGGCCCATAGAGACTAGACACTACCTAATAAGACTACTCTTCACTCTCTAGTCGGCTGGTTCTTCTTTGGCTCAGCCTTCTTTCCTGTCGCAGCTGTCTATCTGCGGCTAGCGTCTGAGCAAATTTGCTGCTTTCCCGGATCTCCGGACCCTTCCAGTAAAACACATATATCGGAATGGCCACAAAAAAGGCCAGGCAGCCGAGAATTGTGCTAGCCCACTGCAGATGGAATTTACCCCCAATATTGCTATACATCGGGGTTGAATACATGGCCGCAATACCAGCTAGGAAGTCTCGAGCAAATCCATTGCCACCAGTTGCAGAAGCAGAGTATTCCCCATAGGCTGCAACCATGTAGTCAATAGTTGCCATATAAATAGAATAATTTGCGATGGCAATCAGGAACACAAATATCAACGGAGCAATCCAAGGAGTATAGTCTGGTCCCATTGACGTCCACGCGAACCCAAATAGGCCAATAGTTTCCAAAGGCGCAATGAAGAGAAGCAGGAGAAGACGACGTTCCGGGAGTCGTGATGTATCGCCATATTTGTTACGAATATGACGTTGGCGAGCAAGGTCAGGAAGAAAAACAAAGTAAGCAAGGAGATAGCCCACAACAATAGCGATAAAAGTTAAGCCAATCTGCACAGTATTGAAGTTCCATTGTTTAAACACCAGAGTAAATGACTCGATACATGTGAATATCAATGCGTCTGAGAAGCCAGACAGCAGGGAAAGGAAGAGAACGATCGGCTCACAGAGGAACATTTCAAAGGGGCGCCTCCAGATGTAGAGTATTTCTTTCACTTCGAGGTGATTTTCTTTCAGTTCACCAGGCCCGTAGACGTTGAGGTCTTCACCAGATCGACGGCGTCGCTTGGCTTCCCGGTCGATTAAAATGGTTGAACGAGTCTCAGTGACGAGCAGCATATGCATTAACTGGGTGACACCACCAAAAATAAGTTGAATCCAGAAATTCCAACGCCAAGACAGGTATTGTTGAATTAAGCCTCCAAATATCGGACCTATGGTGGTTCCCCCAACGGAAGAGAGGACCACGTAGGCGACGGCAAATCCCTGATCGTTGGCTTCCCACATATCAGCCGTCATCCCTAAAGTTACCGATCCTCCCGCAGATGAAAGCCCACCTAAAGCACGACAGACAACAATAGTACCGAAGTTTGGAGCTAAGGCACAGGGAATCTGCCAAATATTGACCAAAAACAAACTGAGCTGCATAATTGGCCATCGTCCGAATTCTTCGCTCCAGGGTGCCCATAGTTCACATCCGAAAGCATAGAAGACTAAGAAGATCATTTGCCCAACCCGAGCTGCCTGTTCGCTGATACCAAAGTGCTCCGACAAAGGCGTCACTGCGTTTGGATAAACACTCGTATTAAAGTTCATAGACATTTGTACTGTGAAAATCACAGTTAGGATTGTCCATTTCTTCCACGACGGAAAACTATAACCGAGTTTTTCATAGCAATCGTCTTCTGTCAGCTCCCGTTTTCCATCTTCGCGTTTTTGAGCGCTCCATTCTGACGCGCTTGGGTGGCTTTGTGTATCTTCAAGATGGCGATTCTTGGGGTGACTGGAGGAACTATGCCTTTGGCGCTTTTGATCTTCTGCAAGAACACTGGGTTTCGTCACGGCTCTTAGATCTAATGGCTCTGAACTTGGGGTATTATAGACCATTGTTGTGTTAAAATAGCAAAGCAGCCAGCAACTGTTAAATTGAGAAAACAAATTCAGGTTTTTAAAATGTAGGAACAGCAGGAGCAGGATAGTGAGCGTTTTAGGTAGGTAAAAAAAGCGATCAATAGGCTGGGCCCCTGATTAATTATATAGCAACCAACATTCATCCCATTTTGAGATGAGCATGGTAGCACGTCTTATATTATATACCTTCCGAATACAGCGAACTACGTCATATCAAAACAGCGGCCGAATTTCCGCTAGCCATCACAGTGGTTATCTGATGCCAACTTCGTTCATTGCCTTTTGTTCTCGGGAAACAAGCTATTCCTATTAGTGGAAGGGCTTAGATTCAATTCTCCATGTAATATGTTCGAAACCTCGTTGTTTAACCATGATGTTGCCACATGAGCGATTTTAAACTTGATAGTGAAAATAAAACGTAGGGTTGCGGCGCTTGCCGGAAATGCTGCATTGGGAAGCTCCGGCGGCACTCCCTTTCGGTTTTCCACCTATATCGATTGTATACGTTGTCAATAAACTTATGACGCAAGGAATGCCCGCAAAGTTGTAAGCGCGCGCTTGTATCGTACAAATAAACGTCATGAAGTTGGGCCAGGTGGAGCGATGACATCATATATGATATATTGGGGGAAAAAACGAACAATATTTTAGAAAAATTATGGAATTCCCCACCTATATTCTTAAAATTGAACATAAGGGGCCCATCATCTTACAATTTCGTGTTTTTAATCTTGCTGTATGATAACCAATTTTTACTTTGAATAACATTATGCACCAAATCCCGCCTAACTTGTTTACCGACAATATTGCTCTTGTAGAAGTCCGTAGCCGTACTATAATGCATCTCCTCCTTAGTGATGCTATGAGAATGTGAAAAGTGTAAATCATCCCAAACTTATCTCCCCTGATAATAACATAATCGATGGGTACATAGCCACAAAATAGTAAGTTGTTAACGGTAACTGTCTAAGTCTATAATTAGCAGGTGCCTATTCTAGCCCTTGTCCCACGGTGATCCAGCATCTGTCTCCCATTACCTTTGTTTCTATCACACACTCTCTTTTGGCATCATATAACTGTGTCTAGTTACCATTTACCAACCAATGTCGTATTTCCCAGCCACTCGGGGCTTGCAGAGTTTGTGTATAGCATAATGCTCCATGGTGCCAGAGCTGCCATCGGACATCCGCCCATCCCCACTAGTCGTAGTCAGCATCTAAATATAGTAAGTTATGCAGAAATTGATATACTTTTTGGTTGACGACCAACCATTTTTGATAATTCACATTTTAACAATTTTAATCAATAACAAGATTAGGGCGCTTAAATTATTATTACTGGGCCTTATTCTTACAGGGATAAAAGCTAAAGATCAGGCTGACTTCTGGAATATGCTATGGACTATACGCTTCGTGGAAACTAAACACTCGAAGAACGCACCAGCCTGAACAATAGAAACACAATTAGAATTGATGTTAGTCGCTTGGGATTTGGAGTAGCCAACGCCATTTTAAAGGCCTCAAGATTCAGTACACCGCCTCCAATCCCAGTGTATGCAAAGTGAAAGGAGCCAATACAACATAACGCGGAGGGATAGACAGCCCGGAAAGTTCCTAATGTTACTAGTAGCCATCACCACAGCAGAATGGAAATTTTATGATGCCACAGGATTGATGGTCAGGAGTAATGGAGCATTTTCCTTTTTTCAGCGATAAGTGGGATTCGATGTGAGCGGACTTTGTCTATCACTCACTAGTGGATCAAGACTCGGTATGCCTTGGAGTGGGAAATCTGGGGTTGCATCCCGATCCACTACAAAACTTGTTTTTCGGGGCAGGGGTTTATCATCATCCGAGATTGCTTCTACTGTACTATCCGAATCAACGATGCCAGAGATCAACTCGTTGTAAAAGTTTTGGCCACTAAATTACTACGCACCCTTGTTAGACCCTGTTGGCTATGCCAATGCGCTAATTGCCACCGTTTGATATAAATGTTAAGATTCAATATATTCTACTAGTTGACAATGACAAGTCATTGTGAAACCGGAGATGGTTCTCACATCAATAATTGGCCAATCAAAGATGCAGGCTGACACAGTCTGGTAATCGATTTCATTGACTAGCTAGTAAGCCTGAACGACGCTCAAGCTTCCTTTCCTCATCTACATCATCAGCGTTCAAGGATAAGGTAGGGGTTCCACATCCGCGGAGCGATATATTATTTTGAACATACTGTTGTACTGCGAGAGGGATAGTTATACCTTTGGCCTAGATCACAGGCCAGATAACGGATCCAACCAGGTTGAATTTATGTTCTCAGTAGTCAGCAGACAACAGACTTGCAACGAATACATAGCGCCGGGAAGGCAGATCAACACATCGGTATCATTGAGATTTGATACAATGAACACGCTATTTAACCTTATGGGTTTCGCAGAGGTCCATCAACACATCCTTGTTTTCATATTTGACAGCTCGGAACTCTCGCCATATTCTAAGCAATCCCTTCTCGTGCTAAAGCATGCACCCAAATGGTAAAGTTGATGATTCCATTCTTTGGGATATTAAAGTTAGTGGGTATCTGTATGCCAAGCATGACTCCGATATAGGCTTTCCGTATGAGCCGACTCCGACACCGGAGCCGCATGACTCAGACTACCTACTCTACTGTGCGATAATACTTTTATTTGGTACGAATAGAGGGATAGACAATTTAAAACAGAAAAAAGCCAACCTGAGATCTCTTACCATAGAGGCTCTTTCTTCAAGACATTCAGTTTCATAACTATTATTTGAATCCTCTTCTCCATTTCAAATTCCCATATCTGCTATAACATTTAGCCATTTCGTTCTTTTTTTTGGCACCTTCATAATGGCAGGCGTCGTAAGAGCAATCAATGCAAAGATTCGATCCAACAAGGCTCTAGATTACTTTTGCTCCACACGTATGTCCAATTGTACCCTTATGTTGCAGCGAGATGAGTTGCCTGCTAAGAATTAGCTCCAGATTTCTGGGGCCCTGCCTCGAATTTTGGTCTTCCGATGGCCGCAATCATGGATACGCAAAAAGACCCTGAAATGTGTGTTCATTGTGTGTTTTGGTGGGAATAGTTGATTGCTTACCGTATCACCGTAGAATCTCAGGCAGAATGACGAGCGCGTTCATCGTCTGTTCGAGCCTTCTGATGAGATATTCCCTTGCCGTGTCACCAAAAAACTATCTGTTATTCGCTATGCATTCCGTTAATCTGGCCGCACAATCTTTTCAAGCCTGGCGATTTGTAGACTACTGGTAGTGAGTACCCATATCTATCCTTTCCTCAAGGCCTGTTTGTTATTCGACAAATTATTCTGACGTAAGTGAATTCTCAGTCTTCAAGACCGTGTACAAACAACCAATGTGTAATACGACAACAGATTTGACGTGGAAACATCCTAAAAGCCATTATGAAATATTCTGCATTGTTCTCGGCGTTGGGTGGAAATTTCAATCGTACCTATCGGTTGATATCAGCGAATTTCAAACCTATTAGAAAGTGCATCACCTTGTTTCTCGGAGAAGTCCCATTATTAATTAGGTTTAATTTAAGGCACGACATTGTCTATTTCAAAGATAGAATGAAAACGTTTGAACAAAACTATGATTTGTGAAATTGAGTCTGTCAATTGATGATATGGAATATAAAAATTTAATGCATTGGACATTTGTTTGACCTTATGTCTAATTGATTGTGCTTTTTCAAATTTTCAATATTACTAGGGTATAAAAGATAACATTGTAATTGCTCACAAACTGCCAACTTTCAAGTGTCTCCATCAAGTGAATGTTTTATTGCGAGTACTTTGATTTCTTCTACATCTTTCCCTCGGTCCGAATTTTCTGTTCACCAACAGAAGCACAATAGCGCTATTAATCTATATATTTTCGAATGTCTCGGCAATAGCTCCATATTATAGTGGAGCATAAGATCTAGCAATGATGATTTCAACTCCACTTAGACAAGAGGTTTACTGAGCTGAATATCTCAGACCTCGCATAAGGTTGCTCAACAAGGAATCTATCAGGTATATCGTTCGTACAAGGGTAGAGACAGTTGTAGTCAGGGCCCCCGCTTGGAATTGAAATGGCCGTTTTTTATGGCGTATATCTCCAGCATCTATGTCTATCTACTTCTAGCAGTCTCGAGAAACAAAATGCGTCGTATTAATACGTTTCAGTGGGGCTTTAATCGTGTTGAATTTCATGGATTTCCGTTTCAATGGATGCAAGTTGAGGATAGAGGAACCCTATTTCTGATTAAAAATGTCCTAAGATGCCATGTTTTCTATGTGAGACACCGAACATATATTTGTTAACTCGCATCATTTTTTGATCGTGTAGCAAGAATATCAAGAATTTTTTGGGTTTATTTAGTAGAGTAGTCCTGGTATCAGAATTAAGGACCGCTGCCCACCGAGATATCGCCCCACTCCCCTCAAAGCCCTCAGGGCCTTGGTTGCCATATTCACATGGCACGACAAATAATCGTTTGGTTCTACCCATTCTCACTGGAACTGTGAGCAGCCTCTGCTTACTATCTCTTAATATCTTCAAGGGTGCTTTTATATTAACGAAATTTAGACATCCTAGTGTGATAGTTGCCTGTGTAAACAGCTTTCGTAAAAAATGCGCTATAAGAACGCGGAATAACTCTAAGAATTGCTGGTTAACTATATAATACTAACAGCAAATTTGGTAAGTATTCCTATTATCGAGATACTGTCAGACGGGATATAGTTAAGTTGAAGGCACTTCAGGAAAGATGAAAATAACCATATTCACAGCTAAATAGCCTCAATTCATCGCTGACACTCACAACGTCATGGAATATGTTTCATAGCCTATTACGTCTCTCCAAGGCTGATGGTGGGTGATGTCTACCAAATTCTTTTATAAGCAAAACAATCACAAGATGGATATCCACGACAGGTTTATATTTACATAATCTTAAAGGTTCCAGCTAGATATTTTTGGTTATATTCAGCTGTCTAGAGGACTGTGGTCACATGTAATCAAGCAGCCATGACAGTAAAGTTCTTGGGAGGATAATCTTGGAGTGATTGTCAATGCTGTGGAATATATATATGACTTCACTTTCATTGACTTGATATGTTATTTTTACATGTAGATCTCGAGTGAAAGAATTTATGCTATCCAATGTGTGGCTACTTAGATGACGATTAAATGTTCACTGTAAAAAATGCATCACACGATAAACGTGTTGAGAGAGAATCTTGATAGTTCGTGTTGTCAATAACGATTGTGCCGAAACATTTTGCAGAGTCTGTATCGTTGGAAGTTTGGTATTGGGACCTTTCAAACGATGGGATCTGCCTTCTTCGCCTTGAGAGTGGGTCAGAACAAAGAAAGAACTGAGCACTGTTAAAAAATGAATGAAGTTACCGGTCATCCGGAAAGCGAGCGACATGGCTGTTGGAATTCATTCAATCCGTGGACAACAATTCATAACAGGGGATAAAATGAAAAAGTTGATAGTGAACATCAAAATCATGCCTAAGCTAGATTATTCTGAGGAATAATCAATTATCAGTGTGGCTTAGAGTCTAGTACAGTGTTGATCTTCCCAAGTGAGTCTTGGATAGGTCTATCGGCCCAGGAAACAAATAGTCAAAGATTCTCTAGAGTTTTGAGGTGCCATATTGAACCCTTAGACAAAGTAAATACAAAACTGATTAGAGTACTGAGATCAATCCTTGTATGTACTGTGTCTAGAGATACATACGTATAAGTTTATCGAGTTGAGAATACGAGATTCGTCTTGACATGGCATAAATAACCCCTTTTTAGGTTACGGCAAAGGTTTCACAGCCTTCGGCCATGGAGATCACCAGATTTGTCACTCAACTTTCATGATGTGGTATACGTTTAGTTGCTCATGTCCACATGACCAAAGTGTCAGTGAATCAATTGGCATAAATAGAATAAACTGCCAATGTCTCGACCAGATGATATCAGGAAGTTGATGACTTCAAGTCAAGTATTAATATTAACACAGCCCGGCCGCTGAGATACGGTGGTCGGAGAACTAAGTGAAAAATAGGATTAAATACGATCCGCATATTACGAGAAAACAATTCCCACATTTTTGGCCCTCGTAATTGTGTAGAACTGCATTTCAGAACCCAAAGATTCATTGACACGAGTCACATACAGTTCTTATTCCAACTTACTATCTAGAGGCTATACAAATTTCATTTCAGTTACAACGTTGAGATGGAAATGATCGACTGTGACTTCAGCTTTCATTTGCCATGCTCTACTTGTTACGAACAAAGGGCACCAACTCATAGCTACAGTGGACCATGGCCAATCTCCAACCCTTTGAGGGTTATTTGGGCTCAAATTGCTGAGTATTTAATAAGTTAGAAAGTAATTTTTACAACTTTGTCATTCTCAATACAAAGAAAAAGTAACAAACAAACCCAGTATATAACTAAAAGGACTGCTACCAGCATATACTAGTTATTACTTTTATTACCTTTGAAATCATACTAAGCTCAAGCGAATCAATCCAGCGACATACAAAACACAACATGAAATTCAATATTACAGCTCTTCTAGTCCTTCCGCTCGCTAGGGCAAGCATTGCACTGGAAAAATTGTCACTTCTAAATAAAACGGACCACAGTGAAGGCATATAGCTGTCGAAGTCGAATGCAGAAGCTGCAACGTGTCCTGTCGGATACCCTCGACATTACTCCAGATACAACTTCTGCTGCAGCGCTTCCAGCTTTTTTTGTTTTTGCTGTCCCAATGCATGCTGTGCTCAGGAAGCTACCTATTGCGGAACCGATTGCCACTGCTCTGGCCCTACATAATCTATATTGGCTGTACAGGTATGTACTAATATCAATTAAATAGTTCATCGATTTTGAAACAAATATATTAATTCCATGCCATATCTAGGCGCCAAGGATTGTTAATATTTACAAATTCTCGTCATTTTCTCCGTTCATAACGATGGACATGGACTTTCTCCATTGTTAGACTTTCCCCTACTACTTTAATTCCTTACCTCAGTACCTCCGGTTCCATTTATGATCATTAAATATGGCTTGGGTTGTGATCTCTAGTCTCCACCATCCCGAGACTACGCGAGCATATAGAAGCTCTATATCAGCCATGAGTTACGTTATATATTGAGCCTCCATATCAACCTATGTATCTAATTAATCATAAATTTATAATACCTGTATAGGTAAAATGCGCCAGATCCTTAGGTTATTACAGCTTGACCACTGTGGCTGTTACCAAAAAAGACTCAAAGTGATCGTCTACGTCGATTGCTTATGATGAATAGTATTCTAACACAGTCTCCCAATTCAAGGCATTAATACAAGGCTGGCCGTGATTAGCGTCACTTTGGCTGTGGAGGCGTCTTTCAAAATATTAGCATTAATACCAATTTGTACAGCCCACAGTGGAAGCGAATGTTTCACGTAAGTTATATGCCTCACATGATTGTTGGATACTTGAATTACTTGAAACCTCGATGATTCTAGTTGATTAGTCCAAGGGCACGTGATCATGGCGAGAGGCTTAATAGGCAATGCAAAGTGAAAAACAGGCCCTACATCCAGGAAACGAAATGTGGAACAAGAAATGCAAAGTATAAGGGGAATTAAGGAGAAGCGTGGGGTTGAGATCTGACAATCAACTGACCTCAAGGATATTACTCGCCAATGATTCTACATACTGAATCTCAATTCCGACAAAAGATCGCTCTTCTCATTGGAAAAAAGGTGGCCGTGCTTAAGGCTGGGGATTTAGGCTCCTCCGGTTCAGCTTTGGAGATAATGATTCCTACCTACATTGCCCCTGGGGAGAGGCTTAACCTCGTCCGCTTGTGAAATTCTAAGTGCCTGAATTTTCTTCTCATTTGTCGACTCAATGAGATATTTTACAAATTGAACAATCCAAAATAGGCAATAGCCTTTTCCTTGTCAAACCGAATATGCGCTGGACTTAAAAGAGTTATTAAGGTGGAAACTTTTTAGCATGATGGAAAATTATTCAACAGGCTTTGTGATAAAACACTATGGTGTGTCCTACATCAGTTGTGAAATTGCGAACAAGTCATGGCTGATTTGATACAAGATATCTAACAGCATCGGTGCAAGGAGTAATATTATCGTCAGAAACTGTAGTAGGGTAATTAATGTTTAGTTTAATCAGACAGAACCAGCGATAAAGTACAAAATGATACCAACAATTGTCAATGCCAACAATGTAAATATGTTAGGACGAAATGAGAATAAATGGAAAAGAAAAAGGCGAGGCATCGAGTCGTCCACGACTCCATCTTGTCTCGGCGACTCGGCGATAACCCGCAGCACGCAATCCAGGAAGTAATGGCGAATTGGCTTCTTAATAATCATCAGCCAGCGAGATTTTAAGAGTCAACATCAATTTCGACCGACTCTCAACCTTGTCTGAATTTTGAGATCTTATTCATAATTTGTGATAGGAACCATCTAACATGCAAACATCCACAATTAGATCGGTCGCGATCATTGGCGCTGGTGCAGCAGGTGAGCTAGCCAAACAAACCACTTATTACGTTTTCCTAAGGCTCAGCATGAAAAGGTGCAGCGGCCGCAGTTGCCTTCGCAGCAGAAGAATACTTTGAGAAAATACGGGTATTTGAAAGGAGGGAAAGCGCCGGTGGAACTTGGTGCGTTGGTTCCACTTGCAAAGTCTGAACGACGAACTGAGGGATTCCAGGATATATGATCCAGATCCAAGTCCAACAATCAAACCTCAGCCAGGAAAGTTACCGCCGGATCACGATCTGCCATTAAACATCCCCAAACATTTACCGACGACTAGAGAACACTCGTATCAGGAGCGATATGAAAAGACTCCAATATATAATGAACTAACGTAAGCCATCAATGCTAAGTGAATGCCACAATTTGAAAAAGAAGTTGAGCAGTGTTGATCGTTGTAGGACCAATGTCCCTGCCATAGCAATGTCATTGTCGGATATGCCGTTTCCTTATGGTCCATTTGTACCGCATCATGTACCAAAGCAGTACATAGAAAACTACTTCTCAACGCATGAAGTTGATAAGTATCTGGTACTTAACACAACTGTCGAAGATGTGTCGCGTGATTATGACCGGTGGCTATTGACTTTACGACAATACCATGCTGCTGAGCAGGTCGATCACTGGTGGAAGGAGGAATTTGACGCGGTTATTCTTGCAAATGGGCATTATAGTGTTCCTTATGTATGGAATGCTAGCCAGAAAGAATTAAAATTACTATAAAACCAGAAGCGCTGACTGTTGTGATTGTAGATCCCAGCCGTGGAAGGTCTTGAGGCTTACGTCGAAAAATATCCTGACCGAGTGATACACTCGAAGTCGTATCGCTCAGCAGAAAACTTCCGGGGTCGAAAGGTTCTAGTGATTGGGAACTCGGCTTCTGGACACGACATCACATTGGGTGCTGTGAAAACCGCTAGCCTCCCAGTTTATCAATCTCGACGTTCGTCCTCGCACTGGGATGGTAACAAGCCTGATCCAGGGATTGTGTGGAAGCCAACCGTGAAAGAATACTTACCTACAGGAGAAATCATATTTGAAGACGGAACTGTTCTGGACGATGTCGATGTGGTGATTTATTGCACGGGATATAAGGCTTCCTTTCCGTTCTGGAATGCGAGCGCGAACGGAGGTCCAATTTTCGACTACAAACAAGACCGCCTTATCGGAAATTATCTGCACACATTTTTGATAGATCAACCATCACTTGGAATTGTTGGAATTCCTCGGACACTGACCTTTCGAAGTTTTAATTACCAAGCTATAGCTCTTGCTAGGGTCTTCTCTGGACGCAATGCACGACCGTTGCCTACAAAGGCCAAACAGCGGGAATGGGAAGCCCAAAGATGGGAGTTCGTCCATAGTAAACATCGTAAATTCCACGATATATCATGGGATGATGGCGAAACAATGAACTATTTTCGAGAGCTGTATGAAATCGCTGGTCTACCACGCATCGAGGGGCAGGGTTCGACCCCACCTGTTATGGACGCTGCAACGAGGTGGGCAATTGAAAATGTAAAAAAATACCCAGCTCATGGAGATGACGAAGGAGAAGGGCATTCAAGCAAGCTTGGAGACAGTTGGGCCGTTGTTGAGAGGCGCCATTGTCGGGATAGTTTACACTTCATATGAGAACAAAGCGTATATAAATGAACCATGCCTCTCAACCTAAGGATATACATAGGGATTGAAATGACGAATGAATCAAAAGTTCAGTTCCACATACGACAAAAGTCGTACTAAGTGGTTCGAAGGCAAACCTTGGTCGTGTATTACTTGTATTGACCCTAAATCTCAGATCCGGATTCTCATTCACCAGATATACGGATTTCAATGTTATGTCGCTTGATGGAAAGTAATGAAAGATACTTAGGCCAGCAGAAGCTGACTAACCCATCAGTATAATTCAGAGGCTCGCTTCATATATATCTGGTTTATACCATCATTAAAATCTTATCCGAAAACTTTCGTCATCACAATCATGATACGGATTTGATTCTGCCAATTTCGGTAGATTTCTCAAGCTCAAATTCACCCGAAACCCTACCTTCATTATGCCCTTGCATCTGCTACCATTAGTAATCTGGTCGCTAAATCAGGGTTGGGGTGATAATTCGAAGCACTTTCAATCTATTCAATCACTGTACATCGCGAGTCAATCGATATAACACGACTAATATAGACACCCGGGAGTCCGGGTCCCCCTTCCGAAAAGCTTAAGAAATAAAAAAATATGAATTTCTAACTACCTCCCCCCATACTGAGAAAACTGAAACATTATTTCACTCATTTTTAAACGTCTCTACATTCTTTACAGTCTTTTTAGCATATAAAGCAGCATATTTGAACTTATTATTTTATTTTTTATAGTCTTCTTTACGGTTGTTTTTATACTCATAATTAAGAAAAATACATTATTTTATATATATATAAAATTAAAAGAAAATTTTTCTTTATAAATTTAAATCTAATATCTAATTTATTGTGACATGGATAGGTCTAGGAAGCAGGCTTATGCTGAATCTGGCAAGACCAGGGGTCTCTAAGATATCTTGGGAGTCAATTGTGATATATCATAATTGATAGTTTGATACCATCAGACCTTAGATATGATGTAAATACCTTTTATCTTACAATATATGTCTATATCTAGCCAGATTAGATATTAATAATCTAAGGTGGAGACTTGGGTATATAAGCTTAATTTCTAATCCAAAGGAAAGAATCAAAAATTAGAAAAAATATTTTTTAATATAATTTTTAATGTAACTTTTAATATACGCTCATTTAGCCTTAAATAGTCTTTAGTTCAAAGCCATTATATATCTTCACTACTACATAGATCAATTCAATTTTCTAAATTCCAAATCTCACAAGACTACCCGAATTAAGGCCTCATTTTAGGGACTTTTTAGCATCTTGTTGTTGAGTAGAAGGTTTGTAATCAAGCGACGCGTCGTTGCAAGGTGGCCGAATTTTGGGGTGGCCGAACTTGCGGTGCTTATTTTAGTGCAATAAGGGCTAAATCACAAGCTGGTTTTTTTTGTTTTTGTTTTTTCCGCTTTGAACGAACTAACGTCCAGTCACTGGATTAAACATACCCTTCCTGGTCTCCATGTAATTACAATGTTATACCTTTCACTCCTTTGATTTTATGTTTACTGTCAATTTGGTGGTCCTAGAATTCGGTAATCTGTGCGCGATGATTCTTCATAGCCAATCTTCGAAGCGGGCCAAATGCAATAATGCGGGTCTTAATGACTCAGGATTTGGAATGAGTCCAAATGACTCATAACCGCCAATCTCCCAAAATCGATTCCGTATTAATAGTATCTTTTGCGATCCATCACTTTAAAAAAGCTATGCTAATGCATGTGGTAGAGAAACAATAAAGGTTTTAAAAATCCAAAATGCTGCCACGTATCAACGTTACGACCAACATTGTTGCTGTCGCCGATGTGTTGACGCGATCGTTCAGTGACAGTCCGGTTACAGCATATGTCCTCCACAATAAGGACTCGACTTGGCATGCACCAATCATACCATTGGATATTCTTCAGCCAAAGATGGTCGAATGGACAACCTATAAGGCTAAGATTGGTGGAGAATTAGTAGAGGCTGGCGACTATGCGGCGGCTGCCATCTGGTATCCCTACCTGCAATAGGCTACTTAATCCTAGATTCGCAGAACTGACGTGTGTTCCCTTTAGGTTTCCACCTGGAGTAGATCTTCCAGCTAGCTCCGATGACGATGAAAGGCTTGTAGAATATAGAAAGACAAGCGGCAAATTAAAGAAGGAGTTTCTAAAAGGGAGACAGTACTGGTATTTGAATATGATCGGAAGGCATCCTGAGAGAAGTGATCCTGGTATGAAAAAAATGTTTCACCTTATTTTTGATCGTTGTCCTTATGCTTAAAAACCAAATAGGAGTCATACGCGCTCTTTTTGAGCCATATATTGAGCGTGCCCATGAGCAAAAGGTTCCTATTTGGTTAGAAGCAGTTAGCGATCATAGCAGACAGGTTTACGAACATTTCGGCTTCAAGACGGTTGCCACCTTTCGAATAGGCTTGGGTAAAGTTACCCCACGAGGTGAATTACAGGAAGGCGGTGAAGGAATCCCTTTATATGCCATGATCTTGGAGTAACCCATTTCAAATCAGTCGACTTCATTGTCTTTTCGACTATGAAAGATAAGAAATGTGGATTACACTAGTCCAGCTCGAAGATACCGCCCTAGTATATATACAGTAGCCATAAGAGATTAGAAATGCTGAATATCTTGCGTGCAACTCTCTGTCTTATTCTTTTTTACTTGATTCGAGGCCCGGATATTGATTTGGGGTCAGTATACCCAGAGCTGCCGCAAGAACAAAACCACCTACTTTGCCAAATCCTTTTAAAACTGCTTGGCACCAATGAAACTTTACCAAATCCCCACAGAGAAAAAAGAACTGCTGCGCCGCCCAAAGAGGGACCATGGCTATTTGAAAGCCATACCCACCTCGCAGGCTGGCAACAGATTGGCATATTTTAGTTGCATAATAGTCACCAATCTTTGATGCGTTTTCCATGTTGTCTTGATGAGCAGATCTGTAGCTTGTGGGAATAACATTTTTGTTCATGACTCCCTTGTAATTTTCTTTAATTTTATAGAGTTTTGTCATTGCAGTGTGGATGATAGTTTCACCGAACCAGTACAAAAGCATGATTTGAGCGATATACGCATCCCGAAAGGTAATCACTTGGGGGAAGACTGCATGAAGCTTAGTGTTATTATCCAGGTATGGATGGCTTTGAAGCTGAAGTGGTCCAGTTTTAAACAAGCCTCCAAATTCTTCCGATTCGAAATCAGAATACCAGTTTGTAAGACGATGGCTTATTGCGAGCCAACAGCTGAGAAGGTCATCGATAGCAAGAAGATCAATCTTATAGTTGCCAAATTGCAAAGACTCTTCTGTTTTAGTGGCGATGCTGTCTAGCCTCTCCAGTAGTCCTGGAATATACACCAATAAATCGAGGAGGTTGTCATGGGGGGTATCTGACAGACCTTGCCATTCGGGGCGAGCGAGGAAGAGGGGCTTTCTTGTTCCATATGCATCCCATATCTATTTTATGCATCAGATCTGGCCTTTTTTGGTTTCTTCGCCACCACGCTGAAAGAAGTAAGAGCAAAAGGGTTGAACGTACCGCTGTAATTCGTACCCGGCTGTACAAACTCAGATTGAGAGGTAACGCTTGTGATGGTGGTCCGCGCAATTCTAGAAGCCTACAGGCACCTTTGACGTGAAACATCCACCCATGCAGACCCTGATAGGTGCAATGGAAAAGCTTTTTATCAATTGGCATTAGCAAGCATTGATCCTGGTTCCATATCCAATCATACTTTAGATTTCGGAAAACATGGGGGCGTGGGGGTCGGAAGAGAATCAATCAACGACAACTTTCGGGGGAAGGAAAAAGAATAAAAAATGTCATGCACACCCACCTCATACATGGCCATAATCATAGTAGTAGCCAATACTCCATCATTGGCCGATTTCATTGAATCCAATGGCAAAGACCCCAGTCTTCGCAACACCGCACTATAAAACCTCTGGCTTTCCTGCATATACGCATTGTTATGGCTTGAATCACTGATATATGCAAGACATAATGCTGTCAACGCTGTATCTAAAATTTCCCAACGACCAAGCAGGTTTGGCAAGCCTCTGATCCATGATGATGGCGTCTCAAAGGTACGGTAGCTAGTCATAGAAGCAGGCATGTATTTCTCTAAGAAATATGAAAGCACTTGCATCCTGTTCTCAGGAGCCATGTTTATACTCCCCGTCAACGAAGGCGAGCATAGCTCTCTCTGTTTTCCCTCTGGTACGTCGACATTATGTCTGTTACGAATTCGTTTTAATGTGACCTTGTTCGATTTTCCAATTTCTGTAGTGGGAACTACGAGGACGAAAGGCTCGACAGGGTAGCCTTCACACTGAAATCCAGCCTTTTCGCATCGTTCGCATGTTGGCTTCCGTCTATCGCACTTTGCTTCATGAGCATTTTAATGAATATTAATATAGACGAAGTAGGTGAACAAACTTTGATTTTTCGTTGTTGGCACGTCAGACAAGGACGACCGAGAAGAGCTCTCTTGCTTACCGACAAATTCGGCATGTCTTTGGAAGTACAGTAAGGTGAGGAAAAGATAATTATTGGGAGTTGGTACTCCACATACGCACGAACACATGGGGTTACGCAACAAGTTTATACTATAGTTTAAGTGGCGCTTCCAGACAACTGTCAGAAGGCAATGGAACAGCTATAGTGACTGTCCAATTACGTACGATGATTGATTGCACAGAGATATCCAATCGAGGCTGCAGGCCTAAGTATGTCTTACTTATTTATACGTGCTTATGCAGTGACCGACACTTCACGCCCCAATTCAGGCAAATCTTTCCGAGCTAGCCAGTCAGATTCAGTTTCAGTCATATGCACAGCTTGCTGACAGTCCACACCCGTTGACACCCGTTAAAACTAGATAGCCAGTCGGATCGACTTCGCATCCTAAGACCATGCCAATTTTCACTAGCTCCAAACTGACCTGTTCAAAGAGATCCCCGAAGTTCGGCGACTACTAATTAAACCAATGCGTACGTAGTATAGTAAGTACTAAGTAGTGATAATAAAGATAAAGTACGCAAGTTTGAGATGCGCAGCCTCCTGTCAAACTGTATGGAATGATAAAGCAGTTTTCATAGTTGATTCAACATCAACTATGCCCAATCTAATTTTACCTCCTATGTAGGTAAGCATTACGAGTCCTATATATTATCTAGATCCCACATGTAACGTAGGATGGATATTCTGTGGGTTCGGGGAGTCTCCATATTTACCTTCATTCGTCTTCAAATTTCAGGGTGTGTATAGTGCTCTTGGCAATCTTTAGAAAAAAAGGCATTACATTTAATTAATAGAACAAGGTTCTAAAGCTAAGCACATAATAATTCTTCTTCAATTGACGACAAAGGGTTATAGTTATCCCTTAGCCTATGGAGAGTCGTCTTGGCATTTTGGCGGGCATGTGCGCCTTTCCCGTGGCCTTCCCAATTTAAATAAGGGAGGGGAATTCAGAATGATCAAGATCTGGAAATCATGTTATTTCTTGTAAACAGCACTCACAACCAACGTTTGCTATCAAATTTAATTTAAACCAAGCGTTTTTTCTTGTCTTTCTTCAAATTATCTTCGTTTCCTTTTTCATATCATTTTTGAGCATGATATCCGGTTTAGATAGGCTTATACTGGGTGGATAGTGTCATGGTGTTTAAAGTTACACAAGGAAAAGCCATCTCATTAATATCCTTTTAGATTATAATGTTCAAAAAACTTGTTAAATTGCATATATACTTATAAAATATATAATCCAATGAGATGCATGCGAAGAAATAATCTCGATCTTATATGTAAGTATATGAGTGATTACTGCCAGCTTCTACACTTGATTTGCTGGGTGCGTACTAAACAGACCACGATCGGAGTCTAGAGTCGACACGCATTATTCATTACCCCTTCCACGACAAACGACTGACAATCATCATTTCTCAACTTGTCCAAGTACATTATTTTGGATTATCAGGAATTTGATATGTATAGCTTAATACTTTGGATCATCGGTACAATGTCGATATCCGCAAGGAAAATGATCAAACGCAAATAAAGCTACTTCATACGAACTCAACGATAGGTGGTATAATTGATACCACCAACGGAAAGATAATTATATTTACGTCGATACCTTCCCAATAATCTCAAACACGCTTCAATCATCCGATGTGATCTCCCCGACCCTTCTATAATATCACCCCTGTGGGAGATTTTGGATGTTGCGTGGGGAGATGATTTGGGAACGGTATAGTGTGGGGTGAAGTATCTAAGATCACCTTGCTTATTTGCCCTTAACTTATAGTAAAATGTGCATTCTCCATATATAGTGCTATGGTCCCGATGTTTTGCCGTTAGCTCACCCCATCAAAGGCTCTAGGCTCGTGACGGCATATCTGTAGCTATCTAGATTTGTTGTCGATCGGCTCGCGTACATACATCATTTTCAACCTGTTATCCGTACCAATAATATACTTTCTCTTCCCAGAAGCCACTGACTTTACTGTAGCAGCCGTCGACCTTACATTATGGACAAAGAAAACGGCGCTATGAAAAGCGCCGACGAGCTATAGTCAGGAGAAAAAACGGGTGGAGTTATTGGGCTGAGAGACGAGATTACGGATAAGAAAGATGCCATGCTGGATGTGGAGGTGATGGAGAAGGCGTTTTCTTATCTGATGGCAGTGCATAGATATCAATTGATACAATAAAACCATGTTGGTTCCATCAATATATAAGTTGCAGAAATTCACACATCCAAAGTCCTAGACATATCTTAGTGCAAGCTTCCCGACCAAGCTCTCTTTACAGTTGTAGAAAGAAGAGAATTTTGAATATTTGATATATTGGCAAAGAAAGACTACAATTGGGAAGAAGATGATCACCCGGTTTCGGCAATTTGTTGCCGAAACCGGCTAAAGATTATTATTTATTTCCCTTTCTTCGTCATTCAAATCAAATATTACCCAAAGATTCTTGCAACAATACTTTTCGGTTATGCCTGATATTTCCAAGCACGAATCTATCTTGGAGGGCCTCATAAATGGCACCTACCACACCCTAGGTTTGAGCATCGGCTCACACAAAGTAGTGACTCCGGGAGAAAAGATCGCCAAAAGAGGTAGGAGATGGCAACCGTTACCAGAATATCTTGCCAAATTTCATCTGATAACTCGTTCTCTGAAAGACACACATGGGACGCCTAAACTATTAGCGCCACCGGGCTTTCCTCAGGGGGTCTATGCAATCATCTCTATTGATATCGACGCGCCGTTCATCACATGGAACGTGCTTAGCCCGGCGGCACATTGGATTCAAACTGGTTTAAAAAGCGCACAGGGATCTCAAGAGCTTACAAGTGACGAGCCCGCGATTGCATCGTGGGTGGGTGCTGGCCCACCACCAGGAGCTGCGCCTCACCGATACGCCTTTTTCCTCTATCTTCAGAAGCCAGACTCCATCATTCCACCAAATTTGAGGGAGGGCCACTTTGGTCTCATGCAACGGATGAGGTTTGATGTTGATGCAATGGCGAGACAGTTGGGACTTGGTGAGATAGTGGCGGTCAATTATTTTGTTTCGAATTAGGGTTGCTTTAGGGAACATGACCTAATTATATCTGAAGTATATTCACAGATCAAAATGTCCAATAAGGTATGATGTCCCCTGCAAAGAGTCAGGTAGATAAATAGGTAACTTCGGAGTCTACCAACAAGCTATGGGGTATAATTCACCCAAAAATTGGCTACGTTACCATTGGCTTCATTGTGTATGTGTCCAACTGTAACACTATAAGGCACTACCAGTATTAGTTGCGAGAGAACTCAATTCTCATACAATTTTCATTTCTTGTCTTGGCATGGTGATCATATCATTGACCAGTCAGTGTAGGTAGGCAGTAAGTCACTCAGTCATAAAAATGGCTGGGGTATGATTTAGTAGGTAGCCCATATTCGTCGAGGAAATTCGATAGATCGATGTGAACAGCCAGATGGAAGTAATGTACAATTTTTATCGGCCACACCAAGGAGACAGTAATTAAGTCCAGTTAACTATTTACTTCCATGCTTCCGACATAGTTATTACATGCTTGCTGGAGCATTGCTTGGATCTGGACTCTGGGCTACGGAGGAGCCAACAAAATGGAGGCCTGAAGAGGAAGTACGTTCATTGAAGTGAGCAACCTACATGTGGATCGCAACGTGGCTTGCTTACTGATCATTGCAGTTTGTTGCAAAAACGTGGACAACTAGACCCACAGCTGACTTAGGCTAGGAAGGAGTATGCTTATGGTACGAACTTGGCGGCTAACTGCAGGCTCATTTTTGCGATATTATTCATAGGTCATATTTACTTGCGTTCGTTCTACTGGTGATTTTACAATAATATGGGTTTTCTAGCCCACAACCTAACTATTAATGCGACAATTCTTCCAAATATGAGCGTTAATCTTCCACTCGACACAGAATGCCACTGATTAACATTACGAAAAGAATGATAATAAGCTAAGCACGTTTAAATGTGTGGAATCATTGGAAGGTGTGAAAATCGCTGTGATAGCTATTAATTCCCACGTCAACAGTCTTGAGATGGTTTGAAGCCGGAGGATCTACGTTCCCTATGAACCTTCTGACTCCATTTGGGATTGGGCAAGCCAATGACGAAGCGCTCAAATGCTAAGTCTGAGCCACCAGGGCCTCTGACGAAGCCGCTAACTTAATGAGCAGTTTTCAGGTTTGTGAAAGGGGTTTCACGCTCATACATTCTTAGCCCCACATTGAAAAGCAGAGGCGGGGACTCCGAAATAGCATCGATGAGCCAAGCCGCAACGTGTTTGAGGATTTGCTAAAGCCTTGAGAGTCCTCCGCAGGCGAGGTCTAATTCGCGGTCTTAGGCTGCGAGAATTCATCCGCAAATCATGCTGAAACGACGCGAATAACAGGGCTCATCTCGCCTGCTGGCGTTGGCGTTGGCCCCCGTAAGGTGTGACTGGCCAGGACCTTTGGTTGTGTAGTCAACCAGACAGTCCAGACTCCAGACCCTTTTCTTCCCCAGCCAAGATCAAAAAGAGCACTCCCTCATTCGGAAAGCGCACAAATGTGGGAATAGAAGCGGCCTTTTACTGTACATGTACTCCGTAGTCATTTTTAGGTCAATCTCAAATAATACGTAGTGCGTATGCCATACGAAACGCCAACTGGTGGAGCGTACCATTAAAAGTTCGCGGTCGCCTTCTCCGTACTTATACATGGTAATAACTAAATAATAAGCGATTCAGGACGTCATGAATAATAATACTAAATACGCCCTTCTTTTTTCTTTAACATTGTTGTCGTGGCTTGAAACTGCCTGGTGCGAAGAGGGCTCCGCACGAAGTACACTCCCACGTTTCCGCTCAAATCGCCCCAAATCCTGCTTAACGATAATAATAATATTGTTGGGGACAGGGGTTGCGGTCTGCATAATGCACAGGCTTGGACTTGCAATCGAGATGGGACAGGGTATGACTCATTTCGGCCAATTGTCAACTCACACTAACTGTAATTAGATGATTGCCGGCAAGATGTAACACCTCGAGGGCTTTCGTTATTGTCGATTCTATGTCACAGAGCCACAGACCACTCCCAGAGTACGAGTTCGCACACCAATCTAGTGAGAATCCACATGACCACGAAGCGCATCCTGGACCTAGTGTCACATAACTAGGGGCTAACTAGTTTCTTGCTACATTTTCCAATCAATCATTTGGGTGAGACAAATACGGGGGTCGCACAAAAGAGGAAAAAGGGGGGCTATGGCCGTCACGCTAGAAGCCACATATTGTACGTATTCTAGAGGTACGTGATACCCCGTACGGAGTAGTAACTAATAGTAAGTAATACTAAGTGACGCATGAGGCCGAAGGATTGGATTGCCCGCAATCCTTCGGCCGAGCTGCGTACTCACTACTCCGCGTCCATCATTATGATTTCCACGTGGTAAACGATCGCCTTGTTTCAAATATTCACCTTAATTAAAGTTTTGGGGGGCTTCTTATTCCTCTTCCTACCCAACCCAACCCTGTTGATGATCTAAATGGTTCTGGTGTTGCTCATCCCTTATAACTAGACAACTAGCGATTTTGCTTTACTTCTGCTCGACTTTCATCTACCCTCCCGACATATCAATTATTAATAAGTACGTGCTGGGAGGTGTGACCATTTAAGTCAATATCCGAGGCTATTCGTTTTATACAAGACCGCAAGCACAGTTAATCGTTTCGTCAAGAGCAACGGACACCCAGCAGAAAGGCTATTGTTTCACCTGAGTCACCGAGAAAACGCAACCAGATGGTTGCTCCAGTTGTTGAGATGCAGTCCACTAAGCACCATCCCACTACGCGGTTGATGCAAACAACCGATGCTTCGAAGCCTTTTACAAAGGTGTGTCTAGCTATCTATAACAGCTTGTTGTCACTATGCTGACGAGAACTCAAACAGGACCTTAAAGATCTCTTCGCGACGTTAATGGTCAGCCTCAAACTCGGCCTCAACCGTGTGCGATTCTCAAGAGTCGATTATTCGTTCACGATCGAGCAAGCAATTGCCAACCTTGGCTCGCTCAAATTCACGCAATCGGCCCGCATGCCTGACCCAAAAAACCCTAGCCGAATCATTACAACCACATCGACGACCACATTCTCGATGGGCAAGGAGATGGCACGGAGACTCTTGACCGATTTCGTCCAGGCTCGCTTCATGGAGCCCTTAAACGGAACGGTCGGCCATCTCAGTAGAAACACCGTCTGTCAGTTGACACCCAAAGGCATTGCCCTTTTGCAAATATTTTGTAACCGAAATGGCATTACGGCGCCGCATGTGATGAGGGTGCTAAAATCGTCCCGGAATCGGGTGACCCTTCTCTCTCTCGAGCGCGATGTCGAAACCGATCGGGTTGTGACCGATCGACCTACTGTGGAGGTTATCTTTCGCCGATTTGCTGGCACAGACAGACCGAAAATTCGACCCGCTTCGTCGGACTCCGATAGCATTAAAGGTAGCGAAAGCCACGATGGCATTGTTGGGGTGAAGTTTTCGAGAGACACAGGCCTGGATGGAAAGAAATATACGTACACATTCCATGGCAGGTCAGCCGTCGACTGGCTAATGGACTCATGCACGACGATCGATGAGAGGGAAGCTCACCTAATCTGTAAGGAATTTATCGAATGTGGACTTATCACTCGCATCCAGCACGAGGAAAGGTTCAACAATCCCGCCAGCGGTGCCACGACTGGCTTTTTCCAACCCACGTCTCAGTCTATATACACATTCACGGACCGAGGTCTCAAAGTTTGCGGTTGGGCAGTCGCCTCAGACAAGAATTCTGAAGAAGAAAAGGCAAACTCAATGATTGGTGTGTCATTTTGTGGTGCCGATGTGTCGAATAAAGCACGCTTGGATTATATTCTAGCGGACCCATCATTACGATTACAGTTCGGCGAATTTCTATGTGCTTCATTTTGCGAGGAGAATCTATCATTTTATCGTGACGTGTCTGACTTTGTGAACAAATACAATGGACTGAAAGCGTCTGGGGAGTTGCAGAAAAAGTCAAAAACCCAGGAGTTCCTTGCTACAGCTTATGGTAAGTGGCATAAACACCAACTATCCATCCTCTCATAACTGATCTATCGTATCTAGGTCTTTACAATGCATTCTTGGCTCCTGGCTCTCCTTGCGAACTCAACATTGACCACAGCCTGCGCAACCGACTTGCATCGAAGATGACTAACATTGGTGCCGATGAGGAGAAGTTTTCCCATCATCTCTCCGATGTGGTGGATTTGCTTGAGCTTGCTCAGGCTGCTGTCTTCAAGCTGATGGCTTGTGTATGCATTCTTCTTTAGCAGATGAAAGACGATTATAAAAATACTGACCTGGTTGAATGCAGGATTCGGTGCCCAAATTCTTTCGGATGCCGAAATATGCGGCTGTTCTTCAAGAGCACGAATTTGATACCATATCCGTCAGTCGATCATCCTCGCCGAGCGGCGCGTCTAAGTGAAGCGACTAAGCAACATCTCGAATTTTGTATCTTTACGACTGACGATTTTTGGGCACTGCGCCGTTGCCTAGCTGTTGAAATACACTTCACAGTCCGCCTGCTGTCGATAATTTATCTTTTCTTTCTTTCTTCCTTTTTTTGTTTCTTTTATAACGCTTAAGCGAGCAGGCGGTCTGGGTTATTACGCATATAGACTCATATTTACATTATCTTCGGTCAGTCGATAGCATTATCATAGACGGAGGCGTCGTCATTGGCTTTAGAGGATTATTTAGTGTTTGCCTTTCATAGGTGCTGTATTTTTTCGCAATTCTGTATTCTTATCTCGTCGACCGAGTCACTGTCATTGATGTAATCACCTCTAGAGCGATCACGATGAAGCTTTCATTTAGAGTGTAATTTGGCTTGTCTGATGGTTCACTAGGTTACAGCCTATATTCAAACTCAAAAGGGTCAAAACTCTATCGCTATCAACTAATCACTAATATAACATTGATTAATCTGACAATCACAAACTGCGGATGTAGAAGCAAGTATTTGAACGCGTTCAAAGGGATACCTGGCACTGTTTTCATACTGGCTAGTACGATTACCAGCCTATGTCAAACATTCAAATCATCTGTCCATTCTCATTCGAGAAGATTCAAGTAGATTTAAGCTTTCATGTCATACTACCTTTCAATAGTGTACAAGACAACCAGTTTATCCGGACATGTGCAAGATTTTATGCAAAGGAGAGCTTTAAGTTGCTTTACGACCTGCAGGCTTGCGATATAATTGCATGTCCTATCATTTACAAGACATGAGAAGAGAAGGCCATACACTTTGGATCCACGGAATAATTGTATGGTGATAGATCATCTCAACCCATTCATTCATGTACAACTTAGAAAAGGGAAAATCGAACTAACAGATCCGCCGGGGAATATAGAAGTACACAAAGTTACATAAAAGGGTCGAAAATGATTAGGTATTTCTTGCCAAGAGCTCTTTTAACGGTCCCTGGAAACCTTTTCTCCCTCTCATAAACCAATCGATCAATAACAAAAGCGCCATCACACCAAATACTGGCCCGGCGTAATTCATGTTCTCTGCCGTAACTGGCATCTGAGTTGGAAAAGGAACAAAAACAATAATGAAGATTCCAAACAAAATGGCATAAAGGTTAACACCCAGACCATAGCGACCCATTGTCCAGGGGCCAAATCTGACGGGTTCTCCGCCCGAAGACTGACTGAAGCGCCGTACAACAAGTAAGATTATGGGAATAATGTATGACAAATAGAGAGAGCATGTGGTCAGGGCTAATATTGCGCTCAGGGCCGTTGTTGACCCGATATTTATGAGGGAAATCAGTACGACGACAGCGCAGACCAATCCAATTGACCGAAAGGGTACATGAAACCGGCCATCGATCTATCTATTCATTAGTAAAGTGCAAAAGAATAGAAGATATGGGGAGCAGCAGTAACAAACATGAACAAAGAATTTAGAGAATGGAAGTCCTCCGTCCCTAGCAAATGCCCAGGTAAGTCGCGAGACGGAGGCAACAATGCCAATACTTGACAAAATCCCGATAAGTGTAATACCACACTGCATTACTGTGGCAGCCTTGACTGATTTTGTAGCGGAGTAGAATATCTCTATGCTGGGGAAGCCCGTTGAGGTATGCACAGCGGCGTTGAGATCACCGATGAAGAAAAGAAGAATGAGAATAAAGCCGAAAGCAAGCGTACCATTGATAGCGATTGATTGAACAAGAATTCTTGGAACCACTTTAGCTGGGTTACGCACTTCTTCGCTCATATGAATTGCACCGTCAAATCCTAAATATACCTTAGAAAATGAGAAATAGAAAGACCAATGAGCTGAAGGACATACCGAGAAAACAATATGTTACAGTCAACATTCCGAGGCACCATGAAATCCCGTCGTTTGACCAACCGCCGTTATTCATCATAGTCTTGAAAACAAATTCGGGAGTACTTCGATTGGCGAGAAGTACCAAGGGAACACTTAAGGCAATGAAAAATACAATATGAAAGATTCCGCCTAACAGCTGGATCGAGGGTAATAACTGTATGCCCCATACATTTACTGCGAAAGAGAAACCTGTCAAAGCCCACATGATCAATGTGCTATGCCAGCGAGCGGGAACATATGTTGGGTTGTTTAATATGACCATTCCCTGGATTTGGCCTGCTATCAGGAAGAAAATACTCGTCGCAGCTGCTTGCCATGCAAATACAGTCGCCCAGCCTTGGAACCAGGTAATGAACGGTCGGATCCGAGGCGGCGCAAACAGTGCGGTCCAGTGATATTGAGCTCCGGCAATTGGGCATATAGACGCCATCTCAGCTAGCGACAGTGCCAACGCCATTGTGCCGGTCAGAGAGAGGAGCATTCCCCAGACAAGTGATGATGGACCGCCGTTCACGAGGGAGGTAGAAAAGCTGCTTGCGACGCCCTCCCACGAAGCAAGTAGGGTCACGGACAATGCGAGAATAGATAGCGAATCAAATTTCCTCTTTTCTCGTCTTGTCAGCATTCCTACTTATTTCTCCGATGCTGAAAATATATACTCACATCAAGCTTTCTGTGCCCGCTAGAACCAGTCGAGTGCGTATAGTTTTGTCCCACGTCCAACCTTTTGTTATTCGACGTCGGTGGTCGCACCATATCGACAGCTACTGTCGTCTGTCTTTTGACCCCAAAATGGCCCATTTCAATGTTGCTATTCATGATGCCGTCGTTGTCAATCTATGCTTGCCAGTTGCTGCACAAACCAGACGTGAGACAACGGTTATCTATCAAGATGTAGCATCAAGCGAAAGGCATAACGCCGGCACATGCATGTGGCGACACGGTTAGATCATAAGCATTAAAAGTGTCTGCTGGCTAAACTATCAAGCTGAATTTACTCCGTAGTTAGTAAGTTAGTACTAAACTATCGAATAGCGCCAGAGACTTAACGCACCCAATAGTAGTCAATCATAATTTAAAATAGCGAAATTGCTATAAGAGGCTTAGCACAATTCGTGATATGCTAACCAGGATCGAGAGGCACCGCCGAGAAATTCAATATTTCTTACTTTCTTTCTTTCTTCCACCTTTTTCTTGGTTTTTTTCAGTTGGCGGTCAATGCGATATCGTACCATGTCTTAAGTTGACCGAGTGGCGTTCTGCGCCTGCGATTGCTTTGATACAGGGGCTTTTACTTTGATTAAATTCAACGATTCGCGTCCTTTATTCACAGCTATCCAACTAATGATGTATAACAAAAGCCGAGTCGAGAAATGCAATTGCATGACGATCAGTGTGATTTCTCGTGGTATTGTGGTCGAATTGCATGCTGTCAAGGCTGTCAACGGCTATGAGTGGCTGTCGACAACGGGACAGGGAACATGAATCGTTGCACCAATCACGAAAGAAGAGCTTCAATCAAGCCATCAATTAATCTGCACCGTCGCCTTGTCGGTCTGGCAAATCAAGCCGGCGACACTAAGCCAGTCGCACACGCGACATAAATTCGAACAGAGCTAAATACGCCTTCTGATTTGACCGGAGTCTAAGGTTTAACAACATCTTCCGAGTCTGCGCGCTTTCTCCTTCTAGATCCGTCTTGTGGCCGCCGTCTTTTGTCTCATACAGAGTCAGACTCAGGCACGGAGCCGTCCGGCATCGGTGGCGCTCTGGCTTTTTGCGTGTCTGTCAGGGGCACAACAGCGCTCGGCGCTTACGGTATGGACTTGAAAAATATTGAGATGGTCATCGACTGCAGTAATTACTGTTATTGCGGATGTTGGATACATCGTTGCCCCTGGGTCGAGGGAAATTCATCGACAGTAAGCCCTCCTGCGACTGACATACGTGGAAAGCTGCTCCAGCGTGACGACGACGCAAGCGTATGCGGATCACTTCACGCCGCGTACGGAGAAAAGAAGCTTCTGGCCTTCTATTAGCTGTAATAAGCCCACCCCTAGTCGACACTACGGGAAGCTAAGGCGGCCCAGGTGGGGTGAGGAGGGCAAAGACCTTCCATGCATCGATGTCAATAACGCTGCCATTCCACAATAATAATGAAAAGCCTCGCAGGCTTATCTACACGATTGCTTGGTCCACAAAGTCGCGGCTATCGCCAATTGCCATGCTTCCACCCCCTCCGTACGACGTGGGGCGTATGGATTACGGAATACTCTTCCTCTATGCCGTACGTACTATTCAACGGTCCTCTCACGGCGATAATGACGCCTCCCAAATTCTGGTTGGACGGGGACTGTCACCTTCTAAAACTGACTTAGTGATTCTCCACAATTCTCTATCACAACTTGCGACGCTGTGGCACTTTGAATGGCCCTGGGAATCGAAAACCCTCAAAACGCTAACGTGATAAGATGTGTGTGAACTTTGAAGCACCTGCATGTCAGCCCTGATTGAGTTCATAGGCTTGTTCCTGAATCTGTAATGGCCCAATGGTAAATCCCATCCACAGATACTTTACCGAGCATGCGCTCATTGCGTGCACGCCCGAACATGTGCTTTTGGCCTTTCTTTCATTTCCATATTATTATTCTTTCCCCGACTGTGGATAGGAACGGAACGTACAGCTGTAAATCCCACCCACGCACGAAGATGGGAGAATAAAAATTCGCATAGTTTCTTGCTTTGTGTTGGGCTGTTTTGTCTGTCTATGATTTATGAACTGGAGGGCGAGCAAGATACACCAATGGACATGTCACGTGTAGGCGCGGGTGCTCTTCCCCCGATATTCAGCATTTCGGACGATGATCATGGCGGGTATGCCGCTGTTGCTGTTTACACTCTGTTGCTTCTGACCGTCGTCGTCGTTGCAACACGATTGTCGGCAAGGTATTACATCGGACGAATCATTCAAGTTGATGACTTTCTTCTTGGAGGAGCCACAGTAAGTAGTGTATATTATCTTGTTTACGCGCGATGGCTGATGAGCGACAGATCGCAGGGCTAGTACAAAGTGTCATCGTGCAGCTAGCCATCAGTCATGGACTCGGCCAAAGGCAAGATATTGTCTCCACCAACAATTTGGATCTATTCCAAAGGGTAAGAATCTCTTTTTGTAACGTAGATCATATCTAATACCAGTTCGCTAAAATTACATTAGTATTTATATGTTGCACATATATTGCTCATCCTCACGATTGCCCTGAGCAAACTCTCCATCGCCCTACTCTTCAAAAGTCTTATGAGCAAAGGGGTTCCTTTTTATGCAAGCTGGTCTTTAATCGGAGTTATCACGGCATGGGCAGTGGCTTCGATCGTTGCTCTTGCAGTGCAATGTTCATCCCCTCACCCGTGGGACTTTGTGGATGGGAAGTGCATTGATCAGGTGAGTTCCAGGTTGGTCTTGGAGTAACCTACCTCCATGCTAACGAACTGAAAGGCTGCTCTCTTCCGTGCAATCGGCGCAATCAATATGATCACTGATTTGGGGTTGATTATCTTACCCTGTGTGGTTCTATGGGGGTACAGGTATCAACGACGAAGAGGGTACGAATTATTGGATTATTGTCCATCCGACTCGCGTATGTGTCTTCCTTCGAGCGATGATGATCAATTAGATATTCTAATCTATCACTTAGTGTCCCGGTTGCCGTTGCATTCCAAATTCACTACTATAATATTTTCACAGGCTCCCATGACAAAACCTGGACAGCTATGAACGCCAGTATTTGGGACCAGTAAATCACTTTAACTCGTTACTCCAGGATATTATTACTAACTGATAATAGGGCTGTGATGAACATTAGCATAATTACCACGGCTATTCCTTCGCTGGGCCGTCTCGCAGTTGAGCTACAGCCCAACGTAGGCGCCTTTGCCATGACTGAAAACCATGGCGTCAGAATACGCGACAAATACGCACTGTCTTCGCTAGCAAACCAGTATCCTCATCAATTCATCGAACAAAATCGACTTGGTACCCACACGTCTGTGCATGGTAGTGTCGAAGCGGGAGATACGGAGAGTATGGAAGGATTGGTGAGAGACGGAATGAATCAGAACGTGGTGACAATACAGCAGACGATTGATTTCAAGGTTGAGTGAAATCTGTTTATTGTAATGTTTAAATATCGGCACAACTTTTTATGTGTAACGCTGATAGTATATCCATTGACTTTCAACTATTGACCCTATGCCAACAGCTAATCACTGTGAGCAATAGCTGAAGTCCTCAAAGAGAATTTTTCGAAAAAATCGCTCAGTTCATGATAGTCTTCAAGGCCCGTGATTAAAGAGACATCTGACAATATCAGTGCTGGTCGGGGGAGATTTGCACAGATAAACCTACAGTGATCTGGTCGAACGACTACTACCGCTCCCTGCTTCTCATCAATCTGGTAGTTTTTATACGCATGCCCATGCCCAGAGTTGTAACTTTCACAATCAACAAATGTCTTGAACAAGTCTGATCCTGGTTATTAGATATTTTTAGTAATTTTACTGAAACTTTCCAAACATACCACGTATGCGCCACCGGCTATTTACCGGGGTGAAATGATCTGGAATCTGTTCCTGTTCAATGCCAATTCTGTCACCAGAAAGAAGAAGAATGGACTCGATAAAGCTGTCCCGGTCGTCATTTGATGGAGTCAATCGCGTTACTAGTCCATCTTCAGAAGAGAGGTAGTCGGCAAGCTGTTGCTCCTGATGTTAGTATGTGTAGACAAGTGAAAGGGCAAATAAGTCAATACTTTTGCAAGCCTCTTAGCGTTGTGTGTTTTCCTGATATCTCCAGCGAACACTACAACCCGCCACCGACCATCTGCGGGAAAGGCACGAACAAGCTGCATGGCTCTCGCGTCACAAAAACGCACAACCTGAAAACTAGGGAAGCGCATGCCAACAGTCAGCCCCCTTGCTAGGTCGACCTGACTCCTGGCAGTACATGTGAGGGACGAGTCCTCATACTTGGCCGTTAGGCCAGCTGTATATCTGCCAGCTTTAATAAAGTGCTCTGCAAATTCACCCAACTTATTATCCTCGGAGGAGCTATGGTTTGCTGAAAAAATTTGTACAAAAAAACGATCAAAATCGATAAGATCGGAAGCTACTTTTTTGCGCTCCAGGCAGTACGTTTCAAGGATTGAGGGCGATGCTTGTCCTTTTAAAACGGCTGCCAATTTCCAGCCCAGATTGTATCCGTCTTGTAGACTCACATTCATACCTTGTCCAGCCTTAGGACTATGGGTGTGGCATGCGTCGCCGGTCAGGAAAACTCGGTAATCTTTGTGGAAGTGGTCGACCAGTCGTTGACCGATTGAGTAAGCCGACCACCAGAAGGTCTCGGTTATCTCCATCGAATAGGGTGCAAATATCTCTTTTGCTGTCTTGTGTAAATCTTCTAGACGCACGTCCTTAGGGACGGTGCCGACCGGAAGTTGGATATAGAACCGGACCAGGGAGTTGCCTTCTCGAGGGATAATCTATTCTTATCAGTTGCTGTCACGTAGTTTTTTAAACATGAGTTGGAATATATACCATTAAATTTCCGTCTTTCGTATGCAAAGTTGCCTTTTTTCGGATATCTGGAAAATTCGTACGTGGATATACATCCATGACACCCCAGACTGCATCCGTACTGTCACCGATCATTTTGTACCCAAGGGAATGTCTAACGGTACTATGGGCGCCATCACACCCCTACCTGTATTAGAATTCACTGGTCTTAAACTGAGAGAAACCAAACGGCAATACTTACAAGAACATATTTAGCCCTGAAAGTACTCTCGATGCCTTCCTTCTCGGCCTTGACCACACATGGATACTCATCATTACGACTATTCCAATCCACCGCCACTTTCGTCACGTTCCAATTATATTCGACCTCCAGCCCACTCATTTCCTTCATTTTTGCAAGCAGCATGCCATTCACGCGCGCTTGGTTTAGAATCAGGTGCGGGTGGTGTGACAATCCCGGCATTGTATCAGCTGTCCGTCCCGTCCTGACCAGCCGTTTCCCTTCCACTGTCTCATCACTGGCATCCTCAGACCAGAAACATACCTCTAACACATGGTAGGCTTCCCGAAGTAACGTTTCAGATAACCCAAAAGATTCAAATACTTCGACAGTACGGCATTGCACGCCGTCAGCCTGGCCCAGTTGCATCGGTTCCGCATTTCGCTCGAGGATCTTGATCTGGGACGATGGAATTCCGCTTGAAGAGAGGAATGTGGCTGCGCAAAGGCCGGCTGAGCCAGAACCACAGATTATGATCGGAATCTGTAGAGGTTTATTGTTTGACATGATTTGTATAGTATTGCGCTCTGTGGTGTGTTTTGGGGGCTGTTTGTGGAATAATGCTCATATAAAGGCGGGGGGATTTGTATGAGTAAATTTGGGGTCATGGATCAAAAATCAGCAAAAGTACTTTGTCAGCACGGTGATAGACAGCATCTAATAGAGGTAGGATGCCGGCTTATTCCTATTCTAACTATCACAAGTGTATCGAAAGTAGCTTTAAAAAAAAAAAGGAAAAGCACATATATTGTACTCGCACGTATATAACTGGTCACCGAACGTTGAATGCCGGAAGAATCGCCTAGTCGGTAATGTAGTCCTAGTAGAAATCCCGGTCACTACCTAGAAATTTACAATATGAGACATACTAAGTCATAGAGGATACTACTATCTTGTATGACCCGAAGATCGGGTTAGAAGATATTCGCGACGGAACCATCCCGAAGTAATACTTTGTTATGCTTTGAACCACCGGGATCGTTCCGAACTTGTCGGTATCCTGTTCCGTTCGAGGTGAGTACTAAGTATAACGGTAACGGCTTTCTGTAGTTATATATAAAAACGGTTGTTGCGCATATTACTTAGATGGCTTGGGGCTATTTAGAGATCTATGTAGAATAAAAGTTGGCTTCTATGAACAAGGATAGGATTTTATCTCCCAGTACAGCTAGTAACAGAGGTTTGTCAACTGCTTCAAATTATTACCAATTTGATAGAAACCTAAATAAATCGTATGACGAATGAGCGCAAACCAAAAATCTTAAACATATCCGGAGGATACTTCGTAGTAAGTCCCCGCTGGATAACTTCAGGTAGTATACCTTGGGAAAAGAATTTTATAGATGACACGATATAGTAGTAATGCATACTCAATGAATGACCAAACCAGGTAGAATAATTAACCACCATCAATGACGAACAGTCCGGCCCCATCAAGTATACCATGTCGGCTGTGGGATCTCTCCTAAAAGCACATATCTACCCAGTTCTCTATTCTTGTACGCCACCGGGTCATGGAGTGTGTGTGTCCTCAAGTCTCGCCAGAATCTATCTAGTCCCACTTTCAAAGAAGTGGCCCTAGACCCCGTTACCTCAAAAACACCCGAGGTAACTCTAAGTCCTATGTCTATAGTGACGACCTTGACACTGGCAACCCACTCTGAAACTTCTCCCCGCTCTTCTGCCGTCAGCTTAGCGTGGTCATTGCCGTAGCGAGCAAACAGAGCAGTGATGTTGTCGCCAGCACGGTCGGCGAGAGCTTCAGCGGCGCGCAGGTGTGCAAAAAAGTTACCATATCTTTCTAAAATGTAGAACTCTTCAGTAGGAGACTGTTTGACATCGCCACCGAAGGGCCAGGCGCGTGTGTTGCTGGTAGTGTATTTGGAAGCGTATTCCAGCGCACCAATAGCAATTCCCAGGTAGAAATTGCTAAAGACAAGTTGAATACTACGCGACTTCAGGTCAGCCTTCCGTAACAGGGCGGTGGAAGAAAGAGAAACTTACGCCGGGAGAAGCAGGCTCCCCCAATGAATCTGCAACACACTAGGTAGCGGTTTACGCTCCACTGCGTCCCATCCGAGAGCATCTGTCCAGGAGGCATGGACGTTTTCAATCTTGACACTACCGGACTCGGTCAAGCGCAGGCCAATGTTGTGCCAGTTATGCGCGAATTGAATTCCCGGTTGCCTCGTATGCACAATGGCAAAGATATGGTCACTAGTGCCTTCAAGGACGCCCTCCAGGACAGTCAGATCTGAGATTACTCCCCCAGTATTGAAGTGCTTGGCGCCATTAAAGACGATGTTGTCACCGTCGGCGCTAATTTGGAGGTCATTGTCACGGGGGTTTACCGCGCCGCCAACGAAATAATTGTTCGTGATTATTAGTTGGTCGAGACGGTCGCGTTGCTCGCCTGTGCCTACGATATCGGCCGTTCGTGACCAGAGTAGATGGTAACCAAGCAGCATACCGATTGACCTAGTTATCGATTAGTTCATCTCTCCATAAGTACGGCCAAATTCAAGAAAAGATAGTCTAACCCGTCAGCTTTTGCAACCTCCCGAATGACTTTATATCCGACATTCCAGGGTTGCTCGCCGCCACCATACTTCTTGGGGCCCAAAGTCTTCAGCAGACCAGAGTGTTTAAGCAGCGCGACCTCAGCCACGGGGGACTTATTCTCTTGATCGCGCACTACGGCATCCTGGGCAAGGACCTTGGCGACCTCGCGAGCACGAGCCAGCCAGCCTTGTTCATCCTCGGGAAGGGTAGACCATTTGGCCTGATACTCGTCATAGACCGCGGGGTCGGTCGCAGGGACCGGTGCTTCATCACCCATGCTGTCTGCTTCAATGTTGCTACTTACTGTGGTTCGTCGGGAGGCGTCTCGAAAAGGCTACTATAGATTGCCCTGTTCAGAATACGGACTGTCCGAGAGAGCGCGGCTGTCCACCCGATTATATGCCTGCCCATGCCCTCGATTGCGTGCTCTCCTAATCATCACGCACATGTTTCACATGCGCATCGCAGGTGGACTGAATTGTTGAATTATTGAGTTCTTAATTTTTGATGTTCGCAGACAATGGCGTGATATGCCAGCCAGACATGCAATCATATGGAACATTTGATGGCCCCCCTCCATCGCTGAGCAATGCCAGCAAAACCATAATTATTAAAAATAGTCCACCACAGGCCATACAAGTGCTGTTACCGAGGGGCACACGCGCAAGTGGAGGTGCCCCGCCAATCAAGCTTGGGACAGCATCATTTTGGGCTGCGATGGTGGAAGCGATCGCCGGGAACTGCAAATCAGACGCCGACTATTGGTTAGCAACGTGAGTACTTTATAGTGCTTGGTTAGTTATTAACTATTTGCTACTGCCGGTCTGTCGCTGTTGAGGAGAGAAATAATTAACCGGCCCCACCAGAGCTTCAATTTCTATGTTATCTATTGATATACATGTATCATAACGCATAATCTACCTTTTATGTAAGCGAAAAATAGAGTATTCATCAAACGCTGACTTTGAAAGCTAACGGGGGCTGGTTGTTAATTGGGTTTATTCGAAGTTCTCGTCGGAGCAATCCGACATGTTGGCAAGCTGGATTGCGAAACATGGAACCATTAGGGTCGTTCGTTTCCAATTGTTGGTAGACACATGATATTTTCTCATTCTTATCTTCGACCCTGGTTGTATCCTCTGTATTCTGCTATACTCAGCATCCTTTGTGGGGAATTTGCGGAAATGTTAACCGCCTCGAATGTGTATCAATTCAAATTTATTGGCCATCAATTCATCTTAACACTGTGCCGAATCACAATATTTTTATTATCAGTCCATACTCTTACACTCACTCCTACGTGGCCATCAGAAAAAATACCTAATTTTCTACCTTATGGTCTTTGAAAATGAAAGAATTAGGAAGTGGGAAAACACTAAGACGAAGCTTCCAACCAGTGAATGGCCCGCCTTCATTGCCTATTTGGGTCAAATCCAACGAGATCCATATAGTATCCATAACATCGACTTGTCGTCGTATTGAAATATCGGCATAGTCTGACTATAGCAGCGACTGGCGTCTCAAGAACGACGTTATAATTATCACTTCCAACGCGGGAGTCGTATTTGCCCGCATGCCAAACATTCTGTCGGACAATGAAGCAGAGGCTTGGCTCGAAGAACTAGTTACATACCTTCGCACCAATCCTGATGCCTCCTGGTGGAATACTCACCACTCAGGCTCTTGGGCCTGCTGGGCCTTCTTCGCGAAGACCAAAGACCAGCGAACATGGATGTATACGAGGTCCAAAGATGCGAAACAACGACCGATTACGGTTCTCGAGTTTATGTCTCAGTATTCGTTTCGAAAGCCGTGGCTGATCAAGCTGCCAGGGATGGAAACCCCTGAAGCAGAGTATGCAAGTATCCGAGGTAGGACTTATGTGCCTTTCCTTTGTCACGGTCAACAGGATAAGGTGAATAAGAGAATTATTGAGCGGGGTGAGGAGATAAAGGAGCAGAATACCAAGAATATGAAGACGGAAATTCGCTTCCTCTTAGAACCAGCCACAATGGTCAGAGAGGTCAGCAAGGTGGATAGCAAAGAGTCCGGAAGGCTGATATGTGAGGACACATGAGATGTCGCTCATCTAACCTCATCTGAATGATATCTTCGTCAATTTGACAAAGTTCTTGACATTTCAAAATTGCATTTCTACGGTTTCTGGCAATCTACTCTGATATGTTGCGAGGATGTTCTGTTTGGGTTCGTCAAATAAGCTACTCAGTAAACTAGAACACAGAGATGTATGCATACTTTTTGCCTTTAAATGTCGATATCAGAGAGCTATTTAATACCAGATTCGCGCTTATACAGCAAATACCACAACACTACTCACGCAGAGATGAGTATCTAGACTATGTTCTTACTTCCACATATCAAATAGGCCTGATATTAACCTGACAACCAATTAAATCGTGCGGGGTGCAAAACGCAAAGCGCAAAGCGGGCGTCGCCAACCATTACCCCAGGAAGTGGATCTTCATCCAAACCAGTTAAGATTCTGACAGTCTCGCGCGGTCAGAATGTGGCCTTTTTCTAGGGCGAGTTCAGTACTGACTTGAAATTCTGACTCTTTTGTGGCTCCATTCTTACTGCGATATTTAGTCAATGATTTACAATCTTTATGCATTTTTATCATCTGAGCTGCTGCTGCGGCTGTTCCAGAAACTATAAAATGCGACATAGTGCGCCTTGTATTCAGCTACAGGTGCATTAATAAGATATAAAATTAACAACTTTCCAAAAATGTCGCAAAAACCAAGTATTGTGATTATTCCCGGCTCTTTCACTGGCCCGGACATCTACAGCAACTTTGCTTCGTTGCTTCGAGGACGAGGTTATGAAGTTATTGTTGGTATCCTGCAATCGGCCAATCGCACGCGGCCAGAAAAGGCAGCTACGTTGCAAGAAGATGCAGCCTACTTTCGCGGTGTTGCAGAAACGCTAGCCAGTCAAGGCAAAGATGTCGTCGTTGTAGGACACTCGTATGGCGGTGTTGTAGCCACCGAGAGCGTCAAAGGAGTTATTAAGACGGAACGTGAGGCTCATGGGAAGGCGGGTGGCGTTGTAAGAGTAGTATATTTAGTGTCTGTTGTGGCAGACATAGGGCAAGGCAATTTCGAAGCTTTTGGTGGTCAGTTAGGACCATTTATTCGCATCCTGGTAAGTGCATTGTCTCTCCGTTTGTTCCACTTTTTCTCTTTTCCGACAGCAGCAATCTTGGGTTGACATTCCATTCCCGAAGGGCGAATTTATGCACATAGATCCTGAAGCGGGCGCTCCTTCGCTTTACAGCGACCTGCCTGAAAATGAAGCTTTGGAGTGGGCAAGACTCAGCAAGATTCAGTCCACAGCGAGTTTCCTCGACCCCGTGACTTTTGCTGCCGTCGACTATGTTCCAGTCACTTATATTCATACGTCCACGGACAGAATTATCCCTCTGGAGAACCAGAAAGGGTTCGTCGCAAAACTCAAAAGTCGCAACGCCAAAAATGTGTCCACGATAACCATCAACGCTGATCATTATCCTATTGTGACGGCCCCCGAGGAAACTGCCAAAGGAATCATTGACGCCATTGAGGGTAATTAAGTTTTTGTGAAGTTGCATGGGGTCCTTTCATGTCATGAGTACTTTCCTGTAAATAGAAATCCCCATTTTCTACCAAATTCTTTGCCAATGACCCAAGCATTTGGGTCCCAAGAAGCACCCCCTGGTTTGATTTTAAAGCTCATCATACAGAAGATATCTTTAATAAATTCTTCTTCATCAATCAACCCCATCAAATGGATTATGTTATCGCGCATTCGAGGAAATGGAAACCGGTCAATCCACAGCGGATGGATGCTGTACAGCTGTAGCGCAGTGGGATGTAGACTTTCCGGTATATGGGGTTGAGCCGGCAGAGACTTTGCTGGGTAGCAGGTTGAGCAACCAAGCCCCATCATCGAGCCATTCAAATACAAGGCCGCCCAGACGGTCATGGGCATCTCCGACGATACGCCTGTCTTACTAAACACCCCGTCTTTGATGAACACTTCCATAGGGAAGTTGGACATGTTTGGCGAGCGTGCTATTGGTAGGTATGTATCGTCGTTATCATTATTAGCGGTAGTAACGGAAACGCTTTGTGGTGTTAAGGGGGTCGCGGCATCGCCATTATTATTATTGTGTATGGACCGATTTTGCAATGAACCATTGATTTTAGCTTCTGTGAGGCGTTTCCCTATCCAGGCTACCAGTTAGCAGCTGTTTTCTTGTTGTGGTATAGCACTGCGCATGATTTGATATAAGGACAAAGGTTAATGTACTTCTTGCTCGCTGGGCCAAGCGGTCTTGAATACGTTTGCGTTGGCGCCGGTCTTCTACCGTATACCAATTATCCGCTCCAGGGTCGCAGGGGTCTGGACGGACCATGGCAATGTATTTAGTATTGAAAATTGCCTAAGGATCGGTTCAAGCGTGGACAAGTCGTTTGTCAACGACAATACGAGTAGTGTATAGGATTGTGCAGCAGACTGAGCGAGGAAGTCTCACTGACCGTGTCAGCTGCTGACAAATGCGAGTCGGCACCATAGTTAAACCACCGGTGCTGTGGGGGATAGATGGGTAGACTATACTGTAAACATATTAGAATGTGGTGCAATTCAGCCAATGGCCCGTAGCCCGGAGTTGGTCTTTGCGCTCATTGGCTGTATCGGCTAGTATAGCGTCTTTGATTGACTATAATTGATTCATTCTGCTCTCATTGTCGCAGAAGATGTTATCCCAGAAGACGAGAGCAGTGGCTCTTAATTCTGCCACATTTCTTTACTTCTTTTAATGTTGGGACCGGTAGATTTGACGAAACAGAATGCGACACAACGTGGATAGAGGACTTATTCAACAAATCTATGTTCAATGATTAGTAGTATTTATATAGTATAGGGAGGGTTCCTTTAACCAATCCACGTTGTGTTGCTTTATTTGAACTCTTCTCATCCTACTGAAGCAAATCCAATATCAATCTGTAAAACTCGTGATAAGCCTTAATAGAGTTCTCAAATCTCGTATCGTATGCCATGGATCTTGGTCAAGGCGTCTCCACGGTACAACATACAAACAACCATTACATCAGTCATACCTCAACATGGAATTCCCCATATGGCCCCTTCATACTGAAAAATTGAAGTCACAAAAGAATCACTTCAAACTTCAACATAACCCCTCAAAATTCACACTTAATCTATTATGATGCCCCCAACCCTTTTTCATAATAACTCACAGTGCAAGCCAAGCCGTAATCAAAAGGATAGGGAATAAAAGCGAACCTCCTGTATTTTTCCAACAGGAATCTGCACTATTTGTCTACTCTTACTACCCATAACGTCTCAATATACTCGAACCCAATGACAGACATTCCGCCACAGCAGCACGTTATCGAAGAGAGTAACTTCAATATAAATGCCGACCCAATTTCAAACAAGAGTTCGTGCTCGATCAAGACACCCCTACCTTTCTCTTCGCCGTCTTCATCTGTATATTCCTCGTCGGAGAAAGGTTGTACACCTGCAAACTATGACTTACTCAATAACACAAATGCCAGTGTTAGATCAATCTCTAGCAGTCTCCTCCAGGGCGAAAGCAGAAGTGCGCACAAAAACGGAAATAACGCAAGTTTGACAAGCGTGAGGAATATTAAAGGCCGTGATCTTAGTTATCAAAATGCACACCAACCTCATTATCACCAGAATGACTCGGAACAATGGTCTCAGTACTCGTCAGCCTCGACCACGTCTTCATTTCTGAAATCCATAAGAAGCCACAATCCTTTCAGGTGTGCCACCTTTTTGAAATATGATAGTTCGCTTTGTTTTATAATATCCAGTGATTTTAACGTATCTCAAGATGGTTACTTCGTCGGTCAGACTCTCGTTCTGGTTTGATGACTAGAAAATTCGCTCTACAGCATCGCCAGAAGATGCAACAGTCTAAAGAGACTGTAGCAGAACGAGAGAGACAGAGCCTCGCTGACGGAGAAAAGCAAATTGAGAATCTTCGCTTTGAAAAGAATGGTCATTCCGTAATTGGACTCGCTGAAAAACTTGAAATGCTAGAAGGAAAAATCGATTATTTATGCTCGTTGCCTGCTTTTGGAATGCCCGGTATCAACCCTTCCAGATTTTCGTCCCCAGGAAAAGGGCCAAGTAAGGAAACAAAAGGCGCAGAAAAGAATGCTGGTGTTCAAACAGACCCCGAAATACTTTACCAATGCCATATCGAATCGGATGAAGGCAAACAACAAAAACAAGCTATGACAACTAGGGCCAGGCATTTGACGAACATGAACACAAATCTCTCATCTTTAAATGCCCTACTGTCATCCGATCTATGCAGGTTGCGGAATACTATACAGGATCTCCAGGCCGAACTCTGTGTGACACGTCGGACTAATACGGTGTTGGAAAAACGGCTTGGTTCGTATGAAGAACGTAAAGTGCATATTGATTTGCAAATTAGAGTTATTCAGCAACTGGGGAGGTTGTTGGGTAGAAAGGAGGAGCAACTTAGGCTCGAAGAAAAGAAGATGGAAATGTATACGGATAAATTGAATGGGCTTGAAGATGGGATCGAAAAATTAAGGATAGAGCTGAAAAATATTCTACCAGCAAAACTTCAAGTAAAAAATCCGTTGGTCGATAATTGAAAAATGAGTTCTAAGTGGGAATATTACGAATTAGTAGGCTGCATATAGATAAAAATAAGATTATTTTCATATATACGGCTTTACTGTCACCTAGCGGTTCATGGAAGCTTTTTAGGTGTTGTCACACGACATAGCTCTACTTATATTCACAGATGTCATACCCTTACACAGATATCTAGGTTTGGAACACCCATCTTGGGTCATCATCCCCTAAAAACTCACCATCTGCTGCCCCAACCTCTTCTAAAGATGCAATATTCTGGGTCCTTCGAATTTCCGCTTTTTTTTCATTTTCTCTGCTCAAAACAAGCCATAGCGTACCGGTCACCGCAATGTTTGCTGCTAAATACGCCAGAGCAAGACTATGACCGACGAAATATCGAGGACTCCATTCAGACCGGTACAGTTGTGTGCCCATTACAGCGCCAAGATTACCAATAGAGATCTGCATGGCATTGGCAACGGCCCGCTTAGTTTGGCCGGAGACGTTGTTGGCAGGCCACGAGAGGACTATGGCCGTAGAAGGGTAAATTCCAGCAGCTGCAAAGATGGTACCGACATAAGAACTGCCAGAGCTATGAGTGCTGAGGAGAATAATATAACCAATGATTCCGAGCGCCGAGGAGCCCATGATAAATGGTGCGCGGAGATGAGTCTTTTCCGAGTATACTGCAACCACCACCACAAGAATAAAGGCGACGGCGTAAGGCGGAACAGTCAGCAGTTGAGCACTGGCGTTGGAGTAACCTAGGCCGGAAATAATCGAGGGCTAGTTTTTGTTAGTGCCTGATTGCAGATGCAAGCGGGCGATACCATTTTTAACTTACCAGAAACAGCGACAATGTGTATAGTGGTAAAGAGACAGTATGGAAGCCGAGTCCATATAACCAGACCTTCGGATCCTTAAATGCAGTCAAGACTGCAGCCCATGTAAAGCTCTCATCGCGAGTAGCATCGTTATCGTACTTCAGTCTAAATTGGATGTATTCACGCTCTTCTTCAGTCAAAAACTCGGCTGTTGATGGGTAATTGTGAACAAAAAAATATGCCAATACAGAGACCACTACAGTCAGTAGACCTTCCTATAATCAAGTTAGAGCCTCGAGAAACAGCAGGAAATAAAAATGACGTACAAGGATAAAGATCCATCTCCAGCCATTGTAGCCTCCTACTCCTTTCATGTGGCCAATTCCCTAGATAGCAGGTGATTAGTTACGCGTACCAGCCTTTGCCAAATATACATGTCTACTAACCCAAGCTAATATACCACCAAACGCTCCAGCTAACGAGGCAGCACTGAAAAACAGCGAGATGCGATAGTGCTGTTCATTCCGTTTATACCACATTGATAAGTAGAACACCACTCCTGGAAAGAGACCGCTTTCAGTAACCCCGAGAAAAAACCGTGACGTCAAATAGCCAGCGTAGTTTTGAACTACTCCTAGCAGGGTTGCGACAATGCCCCAGAAAAGCGTGATTGTCGGCAGCCATAAACGGGGGGTCGTCCGCTTGAGAATGATATTGCAGGGTATTTCAAACAGAACATAGCCAATGAAATACAGAGTCAGCCCTGTGAGATACTGGTCTCCAGTCATTTTGATATCGGTCGTCAGACCGTCCAACTTTGCGTTGCCCACTGTTTAAGCATCAGTATCGCGTGCGGTTATTCACGCGCAGGCAGGTAAATGATTACCATTGCTTCGGTCTAAAAAGGATAGGAGATACAGTAACGTTAACGGAGGTAAAATCCGAAGGTCGAGCTTTCTTAAGAGCGCCCTCTCTTTAATACCGAACTGCTTTTCGCCATCGTGAGCATTGGGGGGGACTGCAGGCTGTTCTTCCTTAAGATCAGTAGCAGACGGGGCCATCTGTGGCTGTATTTCTTTTCCAAGAAGTGTCGACATTATCTCACTATATCTAGCGACGCAGCTCAAGGGAACAGAAAAGTCAAAAGAGAATGCCGCGACGCTTCTAGACGCGAGTGATAGGCGGGAGATTAATACTCCCGCGAATGTCCATCGACGATCGCAACACTACTGCCATCATATCGTCGCGATGCCATCCATAAGTCACAATGGCTGGGTCAGCAAATCGGCACTACATATGACGGGATTTTTAGGCCCGTGAAGCGCCAATGAAACCTGTTTACCGTCAAAATCCCGATGGCCATGCTGCTGCCCCGCTCGCTGCCTGCAGGTGTTGTCGAGACGCCGTCATGTCTTAGCAGACTCTCGACGCGCATGCTCGTGGTTGCTGCGGCAAAGCTTGGCCTGCGTCGTGATGACCATTCCCTTCACTTAACAGTGTTACATAGCAATAGTTATTATGAATGTGATGTCCTGTTGAATCGCAGCTCAACAGTGCACGTGGTGTGTCTGGATCACGCAATACCGCGGCATGATGAGCAATCAGCTCTAAAAAGCGCTCTCAGTGGGTATCAGCGTCAGTTTGCATATAATATTATTGTGAATACTGTCAACACTGAACGCTTAGCATCGATGGCCATCTATGGAGCCGCCAAGAAGATGTATATCTATGTGGTCGTAAGAAATGACGAGTGAGCCGTCCAGACGATATAGTACATGTAATAACAAACAAATGGATTGATAGATTACATATGTAATAGATTAATACAATGTGTCAAAGCTACATAACAGTCCATATGTACTCAATATCAAGTCACTCACGCTATGCAAGAAACGACACAAAACGCCCAGAAATGCACGCAACACGCAACGTCCAAACACATACACAACACAACATACACAACAAATACCACCAACTCATAACATAACGTACAGTTCATCTAGATATCTAATCATGAAATTTAAACTACTTTTCTACTCTGCGTAAATGATTGTAAGACTTTTAGTACATCCAAAACAAATCAGCCAAGCCAATAAAACTACACGTTTAAGGCTATCACGATGTAATAACGACTTTCAGGTATTGATATAAGAAAAAATCTCACGGTGCTAGAATAAGTGCTAGCAACGCCATCCGGCAGTAGAGACCATAGCGCATCTGTAGCCGTAGTTAGCACCTGGTCATTACGAAACAAGGCTTTCAGTTGTAAACTCACCTGGCGGAAATACGCTGCCCTCTGGTCAAAGTCGACCTCTTCCCCAATCTCGGCATTTCTGGGCAACGGGTGCATGACAACCATATGGCTTTTAGCATGCTTCAAAACCGAGTTGTCAATAACAAAACTGTTCTTGAGTCTCTCGTATTCCTCCAGGTCTGCAAAGCGCTCCTTCTGCACTCGTGTACAGTACAAAACATCGGAGCGAGCGACAATCTCCGGTGTCAGTTCTTGCGCCTCGTGAATCAATTGACCTGAAGAAACGACCAATTTGCGGACCTCTTCAGGTAATGATAATGCCTTTGGAGCCACTAGCTGGACGCGAACATCATAAAACTGGAGAAGTTTGATCAGGGAGTGCACGGTACGACCATATCTCAAGTCTCCGGTGAAGGTAACCGTCAGACCCGTGACTGTTCCGAGTTCTTCTCGGATAGTGAAAAGGTCAAGGAATGCCTGAGTTGGGTGTTCACGGCTACCGTTGCCACCGTTAATTATTGGAACGGGAGAGAACTTAGCCGCAGTGTGAGCACTGTTTTCATCTGGATGGCGGAGGACTACCGCGTCTCCGTAGCATGCAAGGGTGCGGATTGTGTCTTGTAAAGTCTCTCCCTTTTTCGTCGAGGAATGCTCTGTCGAGATGACCACCGTACGCCCTCCAAGTCGTTGCATAGCAGCATCAAAGGATGCCGAGGTACGAGTTGAAGGTTCGTAGAAGAGAGTACATAGAACGCGGCCTTTGAGAATTTCAAGAACGCCCTGTCGCTCAACTCCAAGGCGCATTTCTTGAGCCACCGTGAAGAGAAGGTGAAGATCAGCCCGGTTAAATTGGTCGACAGAGACAACATTCTTCTGCTTGAAGGTAGATCGCGAAAGGAGTTCGAGCAGTGATGGCGACAGCTGAGAAGGGGATGTAAACAGCGGCGGTCCAAGATCAGGCACACTAGGCATTGTATCACCAACCCTCGGGCGGCTTTGTCTTACAGGGGTGCTAGTTGAGAAACGTCGGCTAATCGAAGTGTCAACCTTGGGTTGAACCCTAGGAGAGAAAGCCTTGACAGATGGTGATGGTGGCGCGATGCGGTGACCAGACATGTCAGTTCCTCTCGCAGCTTCGGGCTGGATTTCGCTGTCAAGACAAGACGTCCTGCCTTGGAAAACAATCCTGTGAACGGATCCCCTCATGGGTTTGCCGTTGAACGGTGACCAGACATCCCCGCTTTGGAAAATATACGGACGGTCAACTTCAACTTCAACGAACGTATCATGCTGATCATGTAGTTCAAAGATCTTCTTGGGGTTGTGATACAATCGATCGGAGATGTCATCGATTGTCATTTTGTTCTGAGACACAGCAGTGAGCAGCAGGGGCAAGGCGTCAGCAATACCAACCGTGGGGCTAGCCATATCACCAGCAAGCTGATACGGAATAGTACCAATAGAGAAAACGTCAATCGTGCTCAAGTGTTCCCATAGAGCTTTCTGGTCATCTAGGGTAGGTAGACCAACGCAGTCAGGGTAATCTTGCTGGCTGAGAAACAGGCTATAGATTGAAACATCGCAGGTGACTTTGAGGCCCTTCTCTTTGCTCAAAGCGATCAAATTGATATCCTCCTTGGACGAGACATTCAGGACGTGGACATTACGGTTGTGTAAACTAGCCAACAAGAGTATGGAGGCAAGATCGGTCGCTTTCGCGTCCGTAATCATAGGCTTATTAGCTGGCCAAGCCCCAAAATGGCTGGTGACCGCAGCAACTTTGTTGATATTTCCGGAAAGATGGTTAAATGGGATGAACAAAGCACCAACCTCTCCAATGACCTGTCCAATTTGCTCCGCATTGGAAGCCGTAGCAGCGACTGACAAGTTGAAGTCGCAATATATTCCGCTCTTGGAGTTGTGCTGGGCAACGCTCAGGGCAACGGCATCAGTCACAGAAACGTCAACACCAACGGGCATCACACGAATCATAGTGAAACCCGAAGCAACAGAGGCCTTGCTAACTAGTTCAAAATCTTTGGAGCCTTGGGTAACAATTCCTGGCACAAAAGAAGCAATATTGATCAAGCCAGGAAGAACCACAGTGCGATGGCTGGTCTGGTGGTCAATAGTGAGAACTTCCAAGTCAAATTTCCGTGCAAGAGCCTCAATCAATATCTTTGCATTCTTGACGTTAGTTACCAATGGAGTTTGGTAATCGACTGCCATGCGTCGAGTCCTATAGCCTTTGCTCATATAGTTTGCCGGACGGCGATATCGGTTGCTGGACGGCAGGTTGATATACAAATCAATGAGGTTATTAGCCAGATGCTGGGTGAGAGAGTATTCGGATTTGAGATCTTCTTCCTCTCCGGCAAGAAGCTCCAGATATTTGACGGGAATGCCGTGTTCCTTAATGTAATCTGCAGTACCCGCAGTCGCAAACAAGTTGTAACCCATCTTATGTAGCTTTTGAATAGACGGGAGCATCTCCAATTTCTCCTTGAATGATCCAATAGAAAGAAGAATGTTTTTCTTAGGAAGGCGGAAACCTGTTGAAACTAGAGCCTTGAGGTAAGCTTCAGCGCGATCACGGCCAAAACAGGCAACTTCGCCTGTCGATGCCATTTCAACACCCAATACAGGATCTGCACCGGAGAGACGGGAGAAGGAGAACTGGGGAACTTTGACGCCAACATAGTCTTTGGGTATGCTTGTGGGAGGGTATTCTTGGAAGGGTATACCAATCATAGCCTTTGTAGCAATTTCAATCAAATCAACGCCCATTACCTTTGACACAAATGGGAAAGACCGAGACGCCCGCACATTACACTCAATAACCTTTATATCGTTGTCCTTGGCAATGAATTGAATGTTGAAAGGTCCGGTAACGTTGAGCGCATTTCCAATCTTTCGAGTAGCATCTTCAATGCGTCGAACAGTTTCGGGGTCCAAATCTTGCGGGGGGAGAATGAGTGTAGCATCACCCGAGTGAACACCAGCATTCTCAACGTGCTCAGAAATGAAGTGACCAACCATGACACCATTAAGAGCCACAGCGTCCATCTCAATCTCCTTTGCGTTCTCAATGTACTTCGTGATGACGACTGGGTGTTCTCTAGAGACCTCGGCTGCTTGGTTCAAGTAGTTTGCAAGGTCATCTCTCGAATAGACAGTATTCATCGCCGCGCCTGAAAGAACGTAAGACGGGCGAACCAGAACAGGATAGTTAACTTTGTTACAGAAAGCGGTGGCCTCCTCTATGCTCGTCAGTTCTTTCCAAGCAGGTTGATCGACTCCGATGCGATCAAGCATGCGAGAGAACTTGTAGCGATTTTCGGCGTTGTCGATCATTTCCGGGGAAGTTCCCAAAATCTTAACATTGAGACGATGTAAAGGCAATGCAATGTTGTTTGGTGTCTGGCCACCCATAGACATTATCACACCGCTAGAAGATTCCAGCTGATAGATGTCCAGGACGGTCTCCAGGTTGATGTTCTCAAAATACAATCTATCTGCCTCGTCATAATCCGTGCTCACAGTCTCGGGGTTGTAGTTGACCATGACAGTCTTATGTCCCTGTTCACGAAGTGTACGAATAGTCCTGACAGAGCACCAGTCAAATTCAACAGATGAACCGATTCGGTAGACACCTGAACCCAGTACCATGACACCATGGTCGTCAAACGAAATGTCGTGCTCAGATCCATTGTATGTCAAATAAAGATAGTTGGTGAAAGCTGGGAATTCTGCTGCAACCGTGTCTATTTGTTTAACAACCGGGATTAGACCAGCCTCGACACGCATGCGCCTAATAGCGAGTTCATTTGAGCTCAAGAACTTCGCTAATTGACGATCGGCAAACCCGAGCTGTTTTGCTTGGCGGATTAAGCCAAGTGGTACATTAGTGGCATTGTATTGACTAGTAAGCATCTTGCCAAAATCGCTCAGGCCTTTGAGTTTACGCAAGAACCATTTGTCGATCTGAGTCAACTTCCAGATATCATCGACAGAGTATCCATTATGCATGGCATTTGCGATGGCAAAAAGACGCTGGTCTGAAGGGGTCTGGAGCTCAGTGTCTATCGACATCAATGCACTTGTCTGATTGAATCCCATGTTGTGATAATCGATAGATCTGATAGCTTTTTGAATAGCTTCTTCAAAGGTTCTTCCAATGCTCATGACCTCGCCCACACTCTTCATAGAGGAACCAAGTTGATTAGAGACACGAGTAAATTTCTTCAAGTCCCAACGAGGAATCTTGACAACGACATAGTCAAGCGATGGCTCAAAGCAAGCGCAAGTTACCTTGGTAACGGAGTTCGAGATCTCATTCAGAGGAATGCCTAGACCGAGCTTAGCGGCAATAAACGCGAGAGGATAGCCAGTCGCTTTAGACGCAAGCGCCGAAGACCGAGATAGTCGAGCGTTCACCTCGATGATACAGTACTCCTTAGAGAAAGGATTAAGGGCATATTGAATATTACATTCACCAACGACGCCTAAATGGCGGATAACGTTAACGGCGGTCGTACGTAGCATGTTGTAATCCTCGTCTGAAAGGGTTTGAGAAGGCGCGACAACAATGGAGTCACCAGTGTGAATACCAAGAGGGTCAAAGTTTTCCATGTTACAAACAGTGATGCAGTTGTCTCTGGCATCACGAACGACTTCGTATTCAATTTCCTTCCAGCCCTTCATACTTCTTTCGATCAAGACCTGGGGGCTGGCGGCAAATGCCTTGGTACAAAGTTCTCGCAGCTGAATCGGGTCCTCGGCGAAGCCGCTTCCCAGACCACCAAGAGCATAGGCAGCCCGAACAATAACAGGAAATCCGATGCTGTCAACAACTCTCATAGCCTCATCAATGTTGGAAGCAGAAGCGGACTTGGCACATTTTTCACCAATGGATTCCATGCTTCGAGCAAACAGCTCGCGATCTTCCGTTGTAATAATGGTATCAATCGGAGTGCCCAAAACCTTGACGCCGAGTGCCTCGAATTCATCTTTAAGTTGAATACCAACTTGAAGTGCTGTCTGACCGCCGAAAGTGACATAAATTGCATCCGGCCGCTCGTGCTTGATGACTTTGCGTACAAAGTCGGCATTGACGGGCAGAAAGTAGACTTTATCCGCAAGACCTTTGGAGGTCTGAATAGTGGCAATATTGGGATTTATCAGGATTGTGTAAATGCCTTCTTGTTTCAAAGCTTTAATAGCTTGACTGCCCGAGTAATCGAATTCTCCTGCTTGGCCGATACTGAGACCACCACTGCCTAAAACGAGCACCTTTTTGACGGAGACACGGGGTGCCTTCTTTTCGTTTTCGGCACGGGAACCGCCAGGGAAGGAAACGGGTTGTTTCAAGGCTTCAGGAGAAGCTAGCGTGGTTGTGATGGTACTGATGAATACATCGAATAGAAATTCGGTGTCACGAGGACCGGGAGTGCTTTCGGGGTGGAACTGGACGCTGAAAAAGGGGCGATTGACATGCCGGATACCCTCATTGCTTCCATCGTTGGCATTTACAAACAGTTCCTCCCAGCCCTCTGGAAGTGTGGCGGCATCAACGGCGTATCCGTGATTCTGAGAAGTAATATGACACTTTCCGGTAACCATGCTAGTGCAAGGAATATTATGGCCGCGGTTACCAAATTTCATTTTAGTCGTGCTTGCACCCACGGCTCTAGCGAGGAGTTGGTGTCCGAGACAGATACCGAAGATAGGTATCTTGCCTTCTTGGACAGTTTTGGAGATGTTCTGCACCGTGGTCGAGATAGTTGCTGGATCACCAGGGCCGTTGGAAATGAAAAGGCCATCATATTCTGTTCCAGCGAGTGTGTGGAAATCGTAATCCCAGGGGACAACTAAAACCTCAACGCCGCGTGAAAGTAAGCAGCGAAGTTGATTGTATTTCATACCGACGTCTAAGCAAAGCACCCGCACTGGGCGACCAGAGGGGTGCTTCAGAGAAACTGATTCCGGAGGTGTGAAGAGACGGGGCTTCTGGATAGACACTGCAAGTGGGTAGGTTAGTATATTTTAAATATATTTTTGCTAAGTTATTGAACATGCATACCTTCCGCGACAAGATTCTTTTTGTTTGGATCATCCCATTCGACCTGCTCAAACTGAGACGGCCACTTGGCTGACGAGATTCCATTGGCTCCGGCCCCATTTGGAACTGTGGACTTTTCAAGCAGTAAGCGGCCTAGCATACTTCCCTTGTCCCGGATCCGTTTGGTCAAAGACCGGGTGTCAACGCCGTAAATAGCGGGAACTCCCTGCTCCTTGAGCCATTGGCCGAGGGAAGATTCAGCCAAGAAGTGAGAGTAGTCTTCGCCAGAGTATGTAGCGACTACAAGAGCTGCAATGTGGATCTGACTCGACTCAAAATGTTTCGGCAGCTCTTTGAGGACTTCGTCCATGGTCTCCCGTGATGGCACTCCGTAGTTGCCGACCAAGGGGAAGGTAATGACTAGGATTTGGCCCCGGTATGAAGGATCGGTGATGGACTCGGGATAGCCTACCATACCAGTCTGGAAGACTAGCTCACCGGCAACGCTGTTCTCAGCGCCAAAGCTGTAGCCTTGGTACAGGGTGCCATCCTCCAGCTCCAAGACAATGTGCTTCTCAGAGTTGGCGACGATTGGGAACGAGGCGGGGGGGATTGGAGTGCCATTGACTGATGGCGGCATGACTGGCAATGGCTTCAAGTCTCGAGCGGAATTATAGGAGACTGCATCTCCGCTGGAAGGGCTGGCGGGGGCAGCGTTGTCGCTCACGCGAGAAGCGTCCTCGAAGGGCGGCGACATTGTTTCGTCTGCAATATAACAGAAAGAGTCCTCTGAGGGACTGGATCAAAGCGGCTCTCTACCGAAGCATTAGCAGGCTCCAAGACGTATTCTCGATGTCTTGACTGCCACTGCTGCACGGAGGAGGGGTAGAGAGAGGAGGAAGAGTGAGCGAAAACTTTCTCTGCGGGAAGGCAAGAGGCAAGAAAAACGGGTCGAGCCCGCTATCGGCAGAATAAATTTTTGTGTAGGCCAAGGTGTACCTCTTATTGGCCAGAACTGGTGGGACCTGGAAGCTGTGCCGCCGGCAGCCAATGGTGACACCGACTGAGGTACCCCACTATCAGCCTTGCCTGACCGCCTGCAGATGCAAGGATATTCGCTGCACGGACTTACAAGTACAAGACATCTGAAAGCCTCGATGAGCGAAGAGGTACCTCTGTCATTGATGAATTATATTGTGTAGGAATTGGCGATATCAGTTGGCTTTTGGTATGATGTGGGGGCACGAGGGGAGAAGGTGTTAGGAAACAAATCATGAAATCAGAAGACACTAAGCATGGTAGACTAACTCAAGCCGACGAATATATCAATCGATATATGTTACATATGCATGGCTTTATCCTGCGCTGTTCTTGGCTCATATCAATACCAGTTGGCATAGTTATGTCATCCTACATTTCAAGCACCCCGGGTCACGTGCCGGTATAGAGGTTCGTGCGCGCCTGCCTGCTACAAGCAAATCATCGCAGCGCTTTTCCGCACTCGTTCCTCTCTTGTGCTCATGTGAATAGCGAGCGTCGAGCGTGCTAGTTGCCGCTGGTCGCCCGACGTGACAGGAACGTTCCTCGTGTTTCTTCTTGGGCGGTCTTGCCGTTAGCTCTCTTGCCATTTTGCTGCGTTTGCTGCTGCTGCTGGTGTTGGTTTGTTAGTGCGGTTTCATGTCGATTTCTGATATATCGTTTACAACGGCGAGCCATTGTTCATAATGCTCGCCTCCCTTTTGCGTCCTCGCAAGGCACGCCAGCAACTCCAACCCCCCGTATCCCCCGGCTTCCCCCCGCAAGAGACTACTCCTTTGCTCCAACGGATCTTGGGCGACAACGCTCAAATCCTCCCACCGGCCGAGGCCGAGCGACACGCTTGGGACAACGAGCACTTCGACCCTGAAAATATTGGCATTGATGATGAGCTTGCCCCCTTCGATGGTGAAGGCGACGACCACAGCGACAGCAATAACGGGCACCCCCTTCTACCCATCTTCTCGTCTCCTCATCTTGGTAGGTCAAGTGCGATGACGTCATGCATCACCACTGTTAACCGCCGTGCTTTTCAGACCTCATCCCAGTGTACACGGTCACCCACGCTATTCGTCTCCTAATCGAGTCACGATGTGAAACAACTCTAACCTGGGACCAGCTACGGTCTCCCCAGATTGCCCAGTTTCTTCTCAAGCCTATTCAGCAGCAAATCCGCGACTCGCAATTCAATCGATCTACGCTCTACGCCTTGATGGCCAATTGCCTCCAGTTTAACAAAGAAACCGAGATCAACCCAGGAAACAGTGGCACCAACCGGACTCGGGCACTAGTTAGTGAGCTTCTGGCCATCAAACTCCTCCGGGAGTACACAACCCGAGAGTTGATTGATTCTCTTTCATACGACTTCTATCCTCTACAAGGATCCACCCATCTTGCTTCAACCACCACTCTACGGGGCCCGGGATGGAACAGCGTCTCCAAGAATAAACAGGCAACTGGCCACGCTCGAATTTCTTGTCTGGAGGTTGCCATCAGAGCGCAGGCCAAACGCTTTATCGCCCATCCTCTCGTCGTTCAGCAGCTGGAGGCCATTTGGGCAGGCACCATTGTCTTCCACTCAGCTGCCGACAATCTGCATCGCACGCAAACTGCAGTCCACACTCATGCTCATGTTAGGTACAGATTCATCGATCCTCTGGAAATCGATCAACATAACAAACCTCAGTCTTCCCTCCCGCCTCCTGAAAATCCCCGACGAGCTGTCACTCTCTATGATCCAAGAGATGCGTCTCTATTCAAACTGTCCCGACTTCGCGTTCCTCGATACCGTCAATTTCTCTCTACCGTCTCTTTCGCCGCTCTGCTTGGCCTCTATCTGGCTGTTCTTTGTGAACGTTCTTTGCATATCACCACCGTTGAGGTGATCTTCTGGTTCTGGAGTGCTGGTTTTATTCTAGACGAAATAGTCGGTTTCAACGAACAAGGATTCAGCTTGTATCTTATGAGTTTTTGGAATCTTTTCGATCTCGGCATCCTGTTGCTACTTTTCGGTTACGCGATCTTCCGGATATACGGAATGGCAATGCCCGATACTCACCAACTTACTGCTGCGAAACAAGCCTACGATCTACTGTCTGCCAGCGCTATCCTTCTCTTCCCACGCCTATTCTCTGTGCTCGACCATTACAAGTATTTCTCACAGCTGCTCATTGCTTTCCGTATCATGGCCGCTGACCTCATGGCTGTGTTTCTGCTAATTGTCGTGGCCTGTAGTGGCTTTCTGGTGGCTTTTTCTTTCTCTTCCGGTTCAGCCCAATCTCCTCCAGAGGTTATATACGCATTGTTTCAGATTTTGATGGGATTTACGCCAACAGCCTGGAGTCTTTGGGAAGAATATAACATTCTCGGTCGCATCATTCTAACGCTCTTTCTCTTTATCTGCCATTTCGTGGTAGTTACGATCTTGATCACCGTCTTAACCAACTCCTTCATGGCTATTGTAAAAAATGCCAACGAAGAACACCAATTTGTCTTTGCCATAAACACGATTTCCATGGTCAAATCAGATGCGCTGTTCTCCTACATCGCCCCCTCCAACATAATCAGCTGGCTGGTTTCGCCTTTACGGTACTGCATTCCATTTCGGGACTTTGTCAAACTTAACCGCACTCTCATAAAGTTGACACATTTTCCCATATTGTGGTCGATTTGCTTCTATGAAAAGGTCATACTTAGTCCTAGAATCTTTGACCCAACCGATCTGGTGGAAGCCGGTTCCCGCGCCATTGGTCGCTCCACAGATGTCTTGCGTGCTAGAAATAGACGTCTTAGTCGATTCGATTCCTTCCATCGTCTTACTCGCGAACCATCCATCGCCACTTATCAGCAGGATCGAGTGCTAGAGGAACTTTTCCAGAGGCCATTTCAACAGCAATCTCTACACGGTATAAGTGAAAGCCCTGATGGACGTCGGAAATCAACAATGGTGAAACATTGGATGCAAAACATGGACTCGGAAGATCTTACACCGAGGAGGTTGGCTCCGCTTCGTCGGGTAAACTCAACGGTGCGGCGTAACTATACCGAAACGACACGGTCCGTTGCATCGGATCCTGAAGAATTTGTCAGCCATAGTAATCTCCGCCCTGTTCCCGAGCACTCTGTTCTCTATGAATCAGCAAAACATATGAAAAGACATGTTTCACACACTACCGATGTCGAGGGAGATGACGAAAAGTCTAGTGGCGAGAACAATGACGATGAGTCTGAAATGGGTCAACCATCTATGCTAGGCTCTAAAAGGGGGACCAAACAGTCCGATAATACGCCTCGAGCGAGTGGCAAGAGCAGCGAGAAGAGCACACCTAAATTCTTCAGCTCCCGTCCATCCACTGCTATGTATAATTCTCGAAAAAACAGCCCCACCAGGCACCGTCCTACCTCACGCCATCACGAGCGCAATGTCTCTGGTGTCACCGTCCTGTACAAGACTCCCGGAGATGCCGATGACAGTTCTGATGGTTCTCTACCAGGTCCGTCATCATCCCCCTTGAAGCGAATAGAGACCCGAAGGCCCATCCCTCCTACTGCTCGACAGGGATTCATGTCGGTCCCTAACATTCATCACATTGGGTCTGACATGGGCGAAACTGGCGTGCTTCCCTCAAGTTTGGCTACTCAGCTCGCAGCCGACAATGATATCCTCGGAAGGCTTGTTTTGGCCCGTATGAATAACATCGAGGAGGGCTTCCGCGAAGTATTGAAGGAAGTGAAAGATTTACGCGGGAAACATGCTCGTGAGCCTCGCGAACCGTAATTGACCGTTCCCAACGAGATCAATGAAGAAATCTACGAATAAGAATATGAGGGCTACCTACATCGAAGACGCCAACGCGAGAATGGTTTTCTTTTCTCTGGAAAGATATATATTAATTGAAAATGATTGGAGAAAACGGTTTTAAAAAAACAAAACTTACGTGCGAGAAAAGAGAAGACTTCGAAACCTCGTACTTTTACTGTGGAAGTTCGGCAGTCGCATGAGCGACACAATTATTTCTTTGTAGAAGATACCCTTGTACAATTATATACGCATACTAGCAACGAATATTACATGTAATCATCTGAATGAATACCCTTGCTCGCGGTTTTCCATTCCAAATACAATATCAATATTGACTATTGTAGTACTGCATATTTAACGTTCACGCCCGTTCCAGTGCTCAACCCAAAAATAGTTCTGGAAATCCTCGTTATTTTGCACGTCAACCTAGAGTTGCCAGCTCATTATTCGTTAACCTTCCAGATGTTTCCAGCCAATGCTGATACTGAAACACGTCAGGGGTCATTACACCATCTTCCACGCTTCATGTTTCTATCGATGTGAATGATCGATTGGTGACGAATCCTCGGCGATTTGGCGCGGCGGCTATGCACACCCAAACATATCTTGGGGCCTGGCGGGTACACCTTACACGCCAGTTGACGATAGCAGCTGTAAACTGTATATATATTCATTAGAGCTTTCCTTTTGCTCTCGTCAGTAAGGACTAACTTAAAAATATGTGATTGCAATCATGAAAGATACTTCCAAACTATCTCAGATCGCTCGGGATGTCGGTGTGCTCGAATCAAAAAGACTTCGTCCACTGCAGCCTCGAGAACCAAAGCCCCAATGGGCCACGGCTGCTGACGTCGCCGCTGCCAGAGGAATCCTCGTTCAGCAGCGGACTCAATGCGACTCATGGAAAGATCCCTCAAAGCAAAAACGGCGATTCCTTCGTTCCAAAGAGAAGAATGAGTCCTTGGCTGATCCTAAAAAATGGAAATTCTCTAGAGTTGAACGCTCTATCGCACTTGACAGGCAGATTAAGGACCTAGGTCCTGTTGGCGTTGCACAGGCTATTCTCGATTTCGACATAATAGACGAACCACTAGATGTTAATTTGATGTACTCAGCGAGTTTGAAAGAAAAGAATGATTTCGGTGAAGAAAAATGTCATGAAAATGATTGGTTAGAATATGTGACAGGAAAAGATTTACTGGATTATGTGACTTTCCTTGTCAGCTACCCAACACGACAATCAGCCAAAGACAAGGCTCTGTTGATAGCTCTAAATCGCCGGTGTATGCCAGTGGTTAGAGAATTATTACAATATCACTCCAACCCAAACGGTCTCCAGGACTCATATTTTACCTCTGCAGTTATTGAAGGCGATTTTGAGCTCGTTGGACTATTTTTGTCTGCACCAAATCCGCTGGAAGACACTGTAATAAATGGAGGATTAGTGAAATCCGTTGAGCAACGCCACTCGCATCTTGTATCTCTACTTGTTGCACATGGGGCCGATGCAGGTTACGAAAATGGTAAGGCTATCGAGATTGCCGTTCGAAACAGGGATTTGCAGGACCTCTCTTTGATGTGTTTGAAATCTCAAAAACCGCTGGCAACAACAGTCTTCGAAAATGCGATAGTCGCAGCTTGCACTATTCCCGATGAGACCCTGAGAAACTCGATCATAAACATACTCTTATGTGCCGGAGCGGACCCCAGCCATACTGCATTGGAAGACTTGCTATTGAACGCTGTCAAAGTAGGGAGCATACCTACAGTATCTCTCCTTATCGACCATGGAACATCACCTAACAGAAATGAAGCAGAATGTTTACAGTTGGCTGTGCAGAACCTTCGGCTCGATCTCCTGGAGATAATCCTTCGAAATGATGTCTCAGCTAATGGTACTTCCAAAGCGCTAGAACGGATTCCCGAAGAAGTACCAGAAAGCCAATTTCGCAAATTATTAGCGCCTCTGCTCAATAAAGGGGTTACTGAGGAAGCTCTTGGTGTTTGCTTAGCGCGTGTTGTTAGTAAACGTTTCAACTGTCTCGCAGACACGCTTGTAAAACGGGGAGCGTCCCTAGACTACGACGATGCAACCTGCGTTCGATTTGCTTTACGTGAGCATAATCTAACACTCCTCGAAACACTCCTCGCGGCTCCTTGTGCGGCCTATAACCTGGCAAAGGCCATTCCGGATGCTATGGCAATAGGGTCTAATTCTGTAAGGCGTAATGCTATGCATTTGCTGTTGAGAAAGGGTGTCTCAGGACGAGAGTTGCACCGAGCCCTTCGTACAGTGATTAGGGAGGAAGACCATTATCGCGTCGACTACGAACTAGCTGAACTCTTGATTCGACATAAAGCATCTGTCGACTTCATTGGATCTAACGGGAATTGCCTACAAATCGCCACGGAGAGAATCGATTTGAGAGCTATTAAATTGCTATGCCGGGCAAACCCATCGCCGGAGGTTGTCTCTTCAGCTCTACCTTTTATCTTCAAATCATTCAACGCCAACGACTACTCTAAAATGTGTGATATAGTATCTGTGTTGTTACTCCATGGCGCGCGAGGAACGCCCTTGGCTCGAGCCCTCATTGATGCTGTTCAGCAAGATGAACACGGCCGTATTGTCACCTTGCTTTTGGAAAATGGCGCCGATCCGAATTATAAGGACGGAAAGGCAATTGAGCACGCATTGTGCGCCACAGATACCAAAATATTGAGGCTAATTTGCGAAAATGGGAGGCTCGTACCAAGCTCTCTGGAAAGACTGGTTCCCCAGGTGCTAGAAACTCGATGTTTTAGTATCGATAAGGCCGAACCGCTCATCCGTTGCTGTGCAGAGTATAGAAGCATTCTCGATGAAACACTTCTTCTAGAAGTTGAATCCAAAGGTTGTCGTCGAGATTTACTTGACCTTTTACTCGAACTCAATGTAAATGTTGATTACAAGGACGCTGCTGCCGTCCACTGTGCTGTTCGAAAAGGCGATATTGGAACAACGCGAATGCTTCTGTCCAAAGGCCCTGGGCGCGGCCACCTTTCAAGTCTTCTGAAAACAGCCTCAAAAATCCAAGGTAGGAAAAATGAAAAACTGGAGATGATGCGAATTCTCCTTTCACATGGCGGCCCTGGATTTGGACAAGATGATATTCTCCTTCAGGAAATTGAACTATTGACTGGAGAGGATCTCTCTTCTATCAAACTGTTGATTGAATACGGCGCATCAATAGACCATAAATCTGGTGCCTCAATTCGGGCTGCAATTGATCGCAATCAAATTCACCTTTTTGGTCTATTGATGCTCCAAAGGCCCAACAAGATATCCCTAGATAATGCTTTTGAAGCGTGCAGGCGGAATGTGGCCTTTACAGCTCAGGAGAGATTATATATCTTTGATTCCTTGTTCAATACTGGCCTAGATTGTAGTAGAAATGCTAGTCAAATCAGCCTCGCCTTGATCGAAGCCGTTGAGCGCGATCCCTCTGATACGACAATTCCCGATTTACTATTGAGGAACGGTGCCTCCACAGATTATGACCAAGGTCGCGCGCTTCAATCAGCGGTATTGGCAGCATCACTACCACTGGTCGAGATTATTCTTTCCCAAGGTAGACTTGCCGACAAGGCTGTGGATATAGCATTCGAAAAAATGATTAATTCTCGTTCAATAAGCCTTCCTGAGGGGCTAAGAATAGCTCAATTGCTTCTGGGCCATGGTGTGCGAAAGTCTCTTATTGAAAATGCTATGAGTAAAGCGTTGTCACCAACTGAATATATTTCCAAAAAAGAAGTCGGTTTATTCCTGTCTCATGGAGCCGAAGTCAATGCCTCTAATGGGGCATACTTTGTCACCGCAGCTATTAGAGAAGACATGGAATTGTTTCGCTTACTTCTCGTCAGCGGCAAGCCCGATACATCTATCATTGTCCCCGCTATTATCCAGTCAGTTCTTCCAGAGAAATCCCTCATTCACTATCTACGGGTCTTATTAGACAACGTATCACATGCCACCATAATGGAGTCCACCCTTTTTATGGCAATAGAACGCTTTCCCCGTGGAGAAGAGCTTGTGCGGTTTCTATTGGAGCACGGATCTACCCTAGGATCTGGTATTAAAACGACCATAAGTACTGCATTAGGTCCTGAATGTGTTAATCTTGTGGTGTGGGCTCTGTTACGCGAAAATCCTAAGGTGAGCGATGGGGTAATCGTAACGATATTGCAAACTGGCAGAGAAGGTTAGTAATTCAAGGCTTGACTGTTTTATCTACGCTGATATAATATGTCAGACTCTTCGTTCGTAGCTCCAAAGACACGAATGTCACCAATAATTCTCGCAGCCAAGAATCAGCGTCATGCAGTTATACGGGAGTTGGTCAGACAAAAGGCTGATTTGTCTTGTCGTGATTATCAGAATCAATCCGCGCTATTCTATGCAAGTCGCAATGGCGATTTAGAGACTGTGAGGATTCTAATTCAAGCCGGTGCGCTTCCCGACGATGGAAGTCTCCATGAATCTGCTCGAGAGACACATTCGGCAATTGTCTCCATACTTCTTTCTGTTGGCCATGATGCCGGATTCCCGTCACTTTTGCACGCTGGTGAAGAACTTGGGCGCACACCTTTGGAGGAACTATGTCTAAATACGAAATGCCAAGACGATGCTGCGTGGAACACAAGGCTTCGCGAGACAATTGGTATGCTGCTTCACTCTCAGGGAAAGGAGATCAAAAAGGATGGAAATAAGAAGTCCGTCCTTCACCTAGCACTTGACAATGCACATCCATTTGAGATAACTGAGGCTCTATTAGAGTTTCCTCAGATCTGGAAGTTCATCAATGAACCAATCCACCAATTTGAGGACTCGGAAGGTTTCATCTACTCTCCAACAAAATACGTTGAGCATTTCTACCATGGGCCCAAACCAGTCGCTAAAGAACTTACCCGACTGCTCCGGGGAAAACGGTGTCAAGACTGCTACTATTCTTCTAGAGATAAAGACCAGCCATCGGATGCGGTTGGGATTCCCAAGGAGATCGCTGCCGAGATAGATAAGAGAAAGCGCAGAGATCGAGAGCAGAGACAGGAAATGATACGATTAGATGAACTTGCGGCACATCAACGAGAAATTCGAATGCAAAGTCATCAGCTTGATATGCGTATGTCTGAAGAGCGACACGACCAGGGAATGAAACAGATTCAGGACCGCGAGTTATTCGAACAGCAGTCGATGCAAAAGAAGCACAAATTAACTATCTTACACGAGGAAGACCTAAATCAGCAACGTCGCAACCAACTAGAAGAAAACAGCAAACTCAAAATCCGGCTTCTGGCTGATGAGTCAATCCACCAACAGTCACTTCTTGAGGCTGAGCGAAACGGGGAGCTTAAGTACAAGAACAGATTGCTCATACAGGATCGAGAAGCGGAGGAGGCAAAATTTAACATTCAGAAGGCATTCTTGTTGGAGCGCGATCAAGTAGACGAGAAGCAACATGATCGGCAAATGCAATGGATTGACCGTCAGGATCAGAGTGTCAAGACCAGAGCGGTCGAAGTCAAGAGCATAGCTGAAGCTGCTCGGTACGCCAACATGCCCCCGAACCTTTTACAATTGGAGGGGCCAGATTAGGCTATGGCATTAAATTTGATTGGATGTCTTATCCTTTTTCCTCTTCTTTCTGTTTCTCTTTTATTTATTTATTTTTTCCCCCCAGATCTACAGAATCTCTGTAAGCGTAGATAAAAATATTATAAACAGCTAGCCCAGTGCACATTTCTCTAATAAGTCGATATAATTGCTCTATCGGTCTTTACGAACCTCCAATTTTAGTCTCGGGTTCGACTTGATTGTTCCCTGGTGGGTTTCGGCGTCCGGGGAGGCATTCCCACCGCGCATTGTATACTGCTCCTGGGAAGTAGTAATCTCGTAGTCCAGCTGAAGGCATCGGGAAAGCAGGGCCGTTCCTCCAATGATAGCCACGATGCTTCTTATTATAGCCTGCTGCGAGTCCTATCGGTACCTCAATTTTATCACTACAGTCATTTTGCATGCCAAGGGGCTGCAAATGTTGTCAGTGCAACCAAGACTTACGATACCGTTGATCTCGAGCGACACAGACAATATCTCCATCGGGTACGATGGTCATACTCTGCTATCAATTGGTCTTGAAATTTTCAATGTTGAAAGTGAACATTGAGCATCAATTGATGGAATGGGACGATTATCTTTTGCATGTAATATATCTATGTAGCATAAGAGAGATCCGGGTGGCCAGTTTCCGGATTAGCGCATGTGGCCCGCCGCTCGATATCCCCACCCATTCCTCACCCCTTCGTCACCGTCCGCACTGTCGCCTGGGCCTAACCTACATGAGACTAAGTAGAAATTAGGACAGGCTAAGCTACTTAAAGGCAAGCGGCGCTTAAAGTAGCCAATACCATATTAAGAAGATCAATAAAATAATTCTATCAAAGTATTATAGCATTTTAAGATATCTCTTTATTTTAGTTGTATTACTCTATCATTTAAATCCTTTAGTAATCTTAATATATCGTTATTAGTTATCTTTAAGAAATCTCTATGTGGTTTAACATATCGTATCGCTCCTCGACATAGCCAGTGACAACTAGAGTGGGGTCTAGGTGCGTGACATCTAGCCAACTTGGATATAATTGTCTGAGATGTTGGATTTACCCATTCTTATGAGATATAATTGTGATTATAATAGGGTTTATGCGATAAAATAGCAGGATGAGACAGAATAGTCAATATTAGGATCGATCACGATAGTTGTGGCTTGGTATGTTGCCTCTGGAAGGCATGAGATCATCAGGTTCCTGTGTGATTGATACCGTGCACGGCTCGAGGTGATGCCGGCAAGACCGCACTACTGTCGTGGCAGGACGTACTGATGCCCCTTGGGGGGACGCTATCCTGGCCCTAACCCAACCGCCTATTAGCCCGAAACTGTGAGACAGTTACTGGAAAACAGGCAAATGTTGGGATTTATTGGTTGAACGTAGGGCTTAATTAGATATAGATTAATTGCTAACCTGTGGTATATATAGCTATAGATGCGGATTATATAATGTTTTAGCTAGTTAATATCTTAGTAGTGGCGTTATAAGATCCTTTGAAGATATTTTAGAGGTGTTGAAAGATTATAGATCTCTTATAATATATAGGGCCTTATATTATCTTTTTTTTTAATAGAATTAGTATTTTTAAGCTGATTCTAGAGTATATAGTAGATTAGAGATAATTTGATAGATGATGGCTTAGTGTTGGTATAGCTATATTATATATCAATTATTGTATATATTATTTAATAGATAGATAAATAGGTTTATTGCTATATGTTATATTTATATTATTATTATTATAAATATTTATCTATTTATTATATTTTTAGAAATTTTTTTCCTTTTATAATACTATTTTGTTTAATGCACCACCTCTTTATATGATTTTTCTGTTTTCTCTAGTTTTATGTTGTCTTTATGTGAGTAAGTGAAACTATATATATATATATGTATATATTTATAGATTTATCTTTTTACATATCTATACATATATCTATTAAGAAATCTAATATTAATGTAGAATAGTATTTTATTATTTATATAAAGACTTATATATCTATATATTCACCTATATATTATTGTGAGGCCTGGCAGCAGCAAGAGCGCTGCAGGCTCACAGAGGCTTATAAGCGTGCCAACCCTGGGATTGGGCAATGGCCCAATTACCTCAGTATTACTTTTTGGCATTTAGAGGTTGGCAGTGCCAAGGAGCCTTACAGTGTAATTGGGCCATTAGGGACGTTAGAGGCCCCTGATTCGATTCCCGCAGGTGTGGAACTGCGCGACAGGGTTGTCAAAGCCTAATCTTGCTCGGCAAGTCTGGCACTCCTGCCCCCTATAAAAGACGGTTCCAAAGAGTCTTTTAAGTATAAGCTTATAAGGCCTTTAGTCCCCAGGAAGCTCCGAAGCGTGGTTCACTTCGTGGAAGCAGTCCCTAGAAAAGCGTGCAAAGCAGCGCCTCTAGAGAGAGGCGCCCCTCAAGAGAAGGGCCTTTTAGGGAGGGTAGAGTGTGAGGCCTGGCAGCAGCAAGAGCGCTGCAGGCTCACAGAGGCTTATAAGCGTGCCAACCCTGGGATTGGGCAATGGCCCAATTACCTCAGTATTACTTTTTGGCATTTAGAGGTTGGCAGTGCCAAGGAGCCTTACAATTATCTCCTCTTACCTATTTTTTCTTATTCTCTTTGGAGGATAAGATTATTTTTTTATTTATAAAATAAAATAAAAAAATAACTAATATTATTTATAATACTTTTATAAATTAAGATTAGTTAATAGAAGAATAAGATTTTTTATATCTATCTACTATTTATATTTACTTAGCCTTCTTTATATATTCCTTATCTGCCCCTATGTCTTATATCTTTTTATTTATATCTATATCTTATATTCCCTCATCTATATGTCATTTATCTATCTACTACACTTACTTTACTCTTTATTTAAAGTCTATTATGTCTTTGTAATCTTGTAAATATAAGGATCTTTTACTTTATTAATAATATCTTTAAGCTTTTAATAATAAGCTTAATCTTATCTATAACGATATGGTTATTGGCCTTTATACATATTATAAGCGCTTAAAAAAATCTATAATTAATTATAAGATAATAAGTATTCTTCTCTATATATATTATTATCTGCTTAATCTATTTAAATATTTAATTTTATATATTAAATATCTTCTTTTTATGTGTCTAAATGTTTTATTTTATATATTTAAATATTTATTAATAGATTATAAATATTAATTAAACAAAAGTTTCTTACTTATAAGATAATTAAAAAGATATATTTTTAATCTAAAAATTAGAAAAAAGCTATTGTGAGTTTTAACATGATTATATACTGTTAATAGGTTTCTTAATCAGTCAACTATCTTAGAAAGTTGGTTAATATAACTTCTATATAATAGATTAAGCTTATGCTTATATTAAGTGCTTTTAATTAAAGAAGTAAATACCTGTTAGCTTACTATGGTGTTCTAAAGCCTTTATTTAATATAAACCAAACAGTTAGACTGGACATCTTTATAGATCTTTATAATTTATATAGCTTATCTGCTTTTAATTATGGAAATTTGATGGGATTAGTATTTATATAGAATAATTATTTTATATATCTAATTCATTATATGTCTAAGATATAGCGCGATCTAGATAATTATATTTAGATTTTTTATAAATAATTTTTTTTGTTTAGCCTTTAAATATTAAGATTTATTAGATTTTTAAATATTATAATATTTTTAATATATTTTTTAAAGTTTTTTTTATAAATATATTTAAATTCTTTTTTAAAGATTTAGATTTTTAATTTAGCTTTTTATATTATAAATATAGTTTATAGATCTAATTTTAAGAATTATTCTTTTTTTAATCTTTTCTTCTACATCTAATATATAGCTTTCTTATAATAAATCTTTTGACTTTATACTTAAAATAAATATCTAGAGCTTTAACATCTTATAGAGCCTCTATCAGCTTCTAGATTACTTCTTTAATAGACTAGCCTTTCCATTAGACTAAATACTGAATCTACTATTTATAAATTTATTCTTATACAATATTTTATACTATATATTCAAATACATTATTAACTAGAATCAATTCCATCAGTATAAAGCTTCTTACAGCAGTATAATATAATTTTAATAGAAATATATAGAATATTGAATATAAATCTCTATATTTTAGAATTAAATCTAAATAGTAGATATTTATTTTCTATATTTCTAATATTTAGAAAGAGTCTATCTAATAATCATCTAGCTTCTTTAAATATTAAAATAATATTATATTCTTTATTTAAAATATAATCTAATTTTTTACTTTATAAATCTTTTTTATTCTTTAATAATTATAGAATTTTACCTAAGATCTTTTTATAACTTCTAATCTTATTTAAAGCTATACTTATACTGTTTAAAGTTTTTTTATTCTTTATTTTATATCAAGATTCTTATTTAGAGATTCTTTTATTACATCTATATAAAGATTCTTTTAAAATTCTATTAGTACCTCTATTAAAGTTTTTTTTATAATATTATAATAGCTATTATTATATATATACTACATTATAAAGATCTATTAAAACTAATCTATTTATTTATAATTAATATAATAATATAGATAATATTTTATAAATTAATTCTATTATTTAGTTTAACCATCTAACTAAGGATAAGCTATAATAAATAATTAATAAATAATTCTAAGATAGAAATATATACTTTATTAGAATCTATTAATAAAAAGTTTATCATAGTCTAATACTATATATTTTAATAATATAATCCATTGAATTAGATGTTTATATAATAGCTTTATTAATCCTTTAACTATTAAAATCTTTTAAATAGAAAGATAGATATAATATTTTAAAAAAAGATCTATTATAATTAAAATAGTATTAACTATCTCTCCTTATCACTCTACTAAGAGTAGTTTAATAATAAAGTTTATAATTATAATCTCAAATAATTTATTAGAAATTAATAGAAGCTTTAATAAACCATATTCCTTATATTAATATATTTTTATTTTCTAATATACTATACAGATTTAGATATAATATTCTATATCAGCTTTTATTATTAATTAATAATACTTTTAATATACTATTATCAGAATTTATTTTTTTTAAAATATTCTTTCTAAATATTATTATAATTATTTTTTATAATTTTTGACTATAAGGCTTTATCTAATGATATATAGACTATATCTTTATACTGAAGCAGATCATTATTTTCAATATTCTAGTTTAAGTCTTTGATTTTATAAATATCTTTTTAAAGATTTTTTATTTTTTTTTATATAAAGATGTTTTTTTGTTGATAGATCTAAAAAAAGATCTTTATATCTAGCTTTATATCTATATAGATTATCTTAGTCTTTATAGCTTTAGTAGTTAGAGACTATAATATCAAAAGCTTTAGATTCTTTATAATATCAGTGACAGTACTCTTATTTATAGAGATATTTTCTATTTTAGATCTATAAAAATCATTTTTATTAGTAGCAAAAAAATTCTTTTATTCTTCTTTTTTATATATTAATTTATTTGTAGATTCTTTATATTTAAGAAAAGAATTTATATTATTTTATTTAGTTATAAATATCTCTCTTTAGAATTTCTTTTTAAAATAGAGAGAAAAGATTTTTCCTTTTCTATATCTTTTATATAATTAGACCAACAGTTAGATATATTTATAGAATTTTTTAATTTTAGATAGTATTCTATATTGAAATTATATACTAATAGATATTCTGCTTATTAGATTTAACATTTTAATAATACTTTTATAGTAGTGAAGTATTATAGATTATTATAGTCTATTAGAATTTTTATTATATATTAGCTATTTTTCAAATATTATTATTAGTGTTTAAAAGTATTAATTATAATTATTAATTTAGTATTATAAGTTTTATATTTAACTTTTGATCTTTATAACTTTTAAGATTAATAAATAATAAGATACTATATATCATTTTTAAATAATTGAATAATTACTATATTTATAATGCCTTTAAAGATGTCTATTTCCAATTATATAGACTAGATAGAGTTAAAATATTATAATAAAGACTTTTGATAGAATAAATCTTTAAGTTTTTTAAAGAATTTTAAAGCTTTAAAAGTGAGTAGTTTAAAGGTTTTTTTTTATTTTTAATATTTTGATACTCTATCTATTATTTTCTTTATAAATTTAATTAAGGCCTTTATAATTTTAAAGAACTTCAATATAAAGTTATAATAGAAATTTATAAATTTTAAAAAAGATTAGATTTTTTTATTATTTATAGTTCTAGTTATTTTTAAATAATTTAGATTCTGTTCTTCTTTATTTTGATATTTTTTAAGGATACTATAAATTCTAAATATTTTATAATATTAATGTTAAAGCTATATTTACTTAATTTATAATATAATTAATATATTTAAAGTCTTTTTAAAATCTTTTGAATCTAGATTTTATGATTTTTTAGATTTTTTAAATATATAACTATATTATTGAGATAGATTATTATATAGATATTAAATAAGTTTGATATAGTCTTATTAATATAAGTTTAGAAGATAGTAGAGACATTGATTAATTTAAATAATATTATATTATATTTATAATAGCTATATCTAGTTTAGAATATTATCTTTTACTTATCTTTATATTTTATTTTTATATAGTAATATATATTCTTAAGATTAAATTTAGTAAATATTTAGTTTTTAATAGTCAATCTAAGGTCTTTAATATTAAGAAAAATGGATATTAATTTTTTATTATTATAGCATTAAGGCTCTGATAGTCTATATATAGATAGAGACTATCATTTTTCTTTAGAATGAATAGAATAAAGATTTTTATTAAACTTTTTAATAGTTTTATTTATTTTTTTTTAGAATTATCTTTATATATACTTTTAGTATTTTTTATTTAAACTTAATAAATCTGTATATTAATTTATAGAAAGGAATTATATTTAGTTTAAGTTTAATAGTATAGTTATATATTATATATTTAGATAATATATTTATGGCTTTTTTAAGAATATATTCTTATACTTTTAAAGATATTCTAGGATCTTTTGGTTTAATTTTATTATTGATTTTTAATCTAAAGGTTTATTAAGTAATATTTTTATATAATCTTTATTATTAATTCTGATTATATATAGCTGTAGATCTTTAATTTTAAGAATATTAAATAATATCTAGTAAACTAGATATCTAATTAGAAGCTCTTTCTATATTATAGCTATAATAAGGATCTCTATTTTTTTAAACTGATATAGATTTTATATTTTTAGGTTTAATTTTTCTAATCTATATTTAGATTGATAATCTAAAGCTATAATATATCTAAGATAATGTTATATCTATCTATATTTATTATATTTAATGAATATTTAATAGTTTTAGATAGTTTTTTAGTATTTATAGCCTTAATATTTATATTATATTAGTTATAAAATTAGATTTAATATTTATTAATAGTTTTAATCCTTTAAAATATCTTATTTAAATATATTTTAAATTTTTTATAAAAATTTAATCTATAAAATTGTTTTAAGTATTATTATTAATAAATATTTAAAGTGAAAAAGCCTCTAATATACTAAAAAGTTTTATTATTATAATTAATAATTATTTCTATTATAGATTTTTCTTTAATATAATATTAGATTTAATCTTTAGTATAGCTATTATATTTAATAGCTAGAGCTTTAGTTTTTTAATTTATTTATATCTCTTTGACTTAATTTAATCTTTAATTTAAGATAATTGCTAGTAAAGTGTTTAGATTAATTATAATTAAAATAATTTTAATTGTTTATATAATTTCTATTTTAGTTTTAGCTTATATTAAATCTATAGAATCTTTCTCTTAGAGATTCTAGATTCATTTAGAACCTTTATTTTCTATATTTTAATTACTTTTTTAAGCTATTATCTTTTTTAAATCTTCTTATAAAGCCTTTAAGCTTTTATTATTTATCAGTCTTAATCTTTTGATATTTAAGTATAGTATTTTTTATTTTTTATAGAAATGCTATTATTTTTTTATAGTATTTTAGCTTTTTTAAATATTTTTAGATTTTTATTTATATATTTTAAAGAATTTTGATATTTAATTATTTTATCTGCTGCTTTTTTATATATTAAAGGTTCATCTATTTTTTTAGTATTCAAAAGAATTAAGTAAACTCATATATAGATTATTCTTTTTATTACTTTATGTTAGTATATTGGTGTAGAGTATCAATTCAGAGGAATTTAAGATTATTAAAAATTTAATAAAGATAGTCTTTAAAGTTATTTTAATTTATATTAATTATATTTTTATATTTTTTCTAGAATAAAGAATACTATAAAAATTAGGATTAATCTAAGTTATTTAATATTTTATTAATTTTATATTTTGGATATATATTATATTACTCTAAATATCTTCTAAACTAAGATTTGGTTCTTCCAATAAATATTTTATATTCATTATAGCTTTTTTTATTATAGAGATAATCTAGTTTAAATTTTGAGAAATATTTCTTCTTTAATGTTTTGGTTCAGGGATATTTTTCTTTTATATCTATATCTTTAAAGATAGGGTCTTAGATTTAATTTTAATTTTATAATATATTTTATTTCAGTTCCGCTATTTAGATTTGCTGTCTTAGGCATTTATTAACTATTTTTAACTCAGAAAGAGTTATAGAGTTTAATTACTTCTTAATAAGTTGGATATAGATCTTATTTATGGTTGTTAATTTGGAACTATATCTTTGATGTTTTTTTATAATATTTCTATAAGTTTATCAGTATTTTTAGATTTACGTTAAAACATTGTTTTTTTTGATTTATTTAGGAGTTATTTAGGAACAGTGATTACCAGCATGCTTTTAATGATGATTATTTCTAAATGATCACTAATCTTCTATCCTGAGGTTTGGAGCAATCAGAATATAAGACAGTTACTGGAAAGCAGACAAATGTTGGGATTTATTAATTGAATGTAGGGCTCAGTTAGATACAGACTGATTATTGATCTGTAGTATATGTGGTCACAGGTGTGGATTATATAGTGTCTCAGCTAGCTAGTGCTTTGGCAGCGGCGCTGTGAGGTTCTCTGAAGGTGTCTCAGAGGCGCCGAAGGGTTATAGACCTCTTATAACATGTAGGGCCTCACAGAAACCCCCCCCAATAGAACCTATAATTTTGCCTCATAAGTAATTATAAAATTATGAGGGACGTATAAATAAATAGTGGTAAAATAATCTGGTGTATTTTAGTATGAATGCTTAATAAATACTAAATAGGTAATATAATTTCTACAAATAGGTGATGTGGCTTCTACCTTAGATTTTTATTAGAAGAAAAAAAATCAATCCTTAATATCTAATTAAACACTGTTGCTGTCACCCATATACATCTTTTGGTTAGGCACTTTGAAAATTGTCTAATGTTTGAATTCGATGGCCATATCTATCTTCCTGTCAGCTATTCACACTCGGTTGACTGGAGTCTCCGGCTTGCTATTTTCCAGGAAAGCCTCGAGATTGTTCCAATTCCCTGCTTCAAAATTGGCCCAGCTCGTGTCCGAGCACACCGCAATATGTGGTAACAAAGTGACCATCCAGTTCTCCCTTAGCTTGTCATGGACTTTTGGCTCATTCTCATGAACGTCAAGCCCGATCCCAATGATCTGTCCTGCTTCTAGGGCAGATACCAGGGCCTCTTCATCGATGATCTTACCACGAGCGATATTCACTACTCGGAGGCCCGACTTCTTCGCAACTCGAAACTCACGTTGCGACAGTAGATGATGCGTGCTTGGAGTATAAGGCGCAGCGACCACCACGCAATCAATCACGGCGAGCATCTCGAGCAGATCAAGGTAGTAATGGGCGCCTCCCTTAAGCTTCGCCTCTGCATCGGGCTTTCTCCGTGGACCCTGGTATGCTATCTTCATGCCCAGCGCAGCCTCGCACTTTTGCGCAATCGCGATTCCAATGTCGCCCATACCAATAACACCCAACACCATACCAGCCGGATCAACAGCTTTGGTTCCAAGCTCTCGACTCTTCTGCCAATCAAACCTGGCACACCACTGCGCATAGCTCAGATACCGGAATGTCTCCAGCACGAGAGACAGCCCCGTGTTCGCGACACTCTCTGTGCATGCGTTGGGTGTATTGCAGTACCAGATTCCCCGCGCAGTCAATGCTTCGATGTCGGCTGCATCATATCCGTGTCCACTACAACAGATAAGTTTCAAGCTTGGAGGATAGTGCGGGATAGTTTTTTTGGTGAAAACGAGGTGTGATGCATACGGCCCGGCTTTAAGCCAACCTGTTCGGATGATAGCGGTGATATTACAGTATACGCCACCTGGTTGCAGTCGACTGATGAAATCGTCGACAGATGTACAGTCATAGACCAGAAAGTTGACTTTTTCTGCTAGGGCTTGCCGTCGGGGATGGTCGATGTGTTGGACGCTGGACTCGATTAGGAGGACGAAGGGCTTTTCGGCCATTATGGCAGTTTCTAGCAACCGGAAAGCGCGTGGATGAATTTCAATTCAGTTTTACGTATTGAGCACATCTCCGAAATTATGGAGTGACCCATCACCTATTGAATTAGTTCTTGACAAGAACGACCCCCGTAGAGATATCGACGCTATCTGTCGGTATCGCAGTCCCTGGAGGGCGGTGTCAAAATCGGATCTAGGCCCACTTACCGGTAGGCAATCTATTGCAACCGGCTGTGTGACCGACTAACCGAGTGGAGAGAAGTCCAAAGTGAATTGGTAATGATGGAGGCAGATACAGTCCGTCAAGCTAGAATTACAGAAGACGTGCTGCTGCCGGCCGGGCAGATCAAGCGGAGTACTCTCCGGCCGTCTCTTCCTTGCCTTGCTTCATGGAAGTTGTACTACTATAAACAACTCATAATCCCCACGCTCCGTGAATCATATACAAACCACATTCCTTTGCTTTATCCAAAGCCAGATAACACTACAATATGGCACAGACTGGCATTCGAATCGCGATCGACCGCGGTGGCACATTCACAGACGCATGGGCCCAAATCCCTGGCCATCCTACCGATATCATCTTCAAAGTTCTTTCCGTATCACCGGGCGAATACGATGATGCGCCTACAGAATGTATCCGACAAATCCTAGAGATCGCCAGTGGCTCCGTCATTCCCCAAGGTACACTTTTGGATCTCGAGCCTGTGGAGTCCATTCGGATGGGTACTACAGTCGCCACGAACGCATTGCTCGAGCGCAAAGGCGAAAGGGTTGCCTTGCTAATTACCAAGGGATTCCGGGATCTTCTCAAGATTGGAAACCAGGCTCGACCCAATATCTTCGATCTCTCAGTACAGCGGTTGACTCAATTATATGAGGCCGTGGTCGAGATCGACGAGAGAGTTACGATTGAAGGGTTTTCAGAGGATTCAGAGCCTAGGACGATTGACGTGGATTCTGATACGGAGCTGCAGATTGGCCTTACGGGGGAAGTCGTGCGCGTGTTACGCTCACCAGATCTGAAGGCAGTTCGAAAAGACCTGCTTTCCCTTTGGGACCGAGGCTATCGCTCAGTGGCCCTTGCACTTATGCACTCATACACATTTCAAGAGCATGAGACTGCCGTCGCAAAGATTGCGCGGGAGCTTGGCTTCAGAGTTACAATCTCGTCAGAGCTACAAGCTATGGCGAAAATCGTTCCTCGCAGCCAGTCAGCTGTGGCTGATGCTTATCTCTCGCCTATGACCGAGAAGTACTTGGATGGATTTAGGAAAGGGTTCAAGGGCGAACTAGCAGATGATAATTCTAGAAAGGTCTTCATCAACCAATCCGATGGTGGATTGACCTCGGTTGCGAATTTCTCTGGCCTTCGAGGTGTGTTGAGTGGACCAGCTGGCGGTGTTATTGGCATGTCTCGAACATGCTATGATGCAGAGGATGGAACGCCCGTGTTGGCGTTTGATAGTAAGTTGTGGCATTCCAGGGATATGGGCTAGCTCGGGCCCCGATAAGTCTTTCCATACTGACAGATGTTTAGTGGGTGGTACTAGCACCGACGTCGCCAGATTTGCCGGAACCCTAGAGCACATCTTTGAAAGCACCATTGCCCAAGTGACTATCCAGACTCCACAGCTTGACATCAACACAGTGGCTGCTGGAGGTGGGTCAATGCTCTTCTGGGAGAATGGTCTATTCAAAGTTGGTCCTCATAGCGCTGGAGCCCATCCGGGGCCAGCGTGCTACGGACGGGGGGGACCTTTGACCGTGACGGACGCCAATCTCTTCCTCGGGCGCGTTATTCCTGAATACTTCCCAATGCCCCTTGACTTGGCCATTGTCAAGGAGAAATTCACATCACTTACAGCAGTCATCAATGCCGAGAAAGATGGCTCTTCTCAACTCACGCCAGAGCAAGTGGCGGTGGGATTCCTCTCAATTGCGAATGCAACTATGACTCGCCCTATCAGAACCTTGAGCGAGGGTCGTGGATTTGAGACTGCCACTCATAACCTTTGCTGCTTCGGTGGAGCTGGTGGACAGCACGCGGTTGCCATTGCGAGAGATCTTGGAATTCGACGAGCGCTTATCCCTCGCTACTCGAGTATTTTATCCGCGTACGGAATGGCTCTCGCCGATGTGGTCGTTGAGAACCAAGAGCCCGAAGCAACATCTTTCAATGTGGAAGTTATCCCCCGACTCGAGGAGAGGTTTGCCAGACTTAAGAATGCTGGCGTCGCAGGCCTACTTTCTCAGGGCTTCTCAGAGTCCCAGATTCGCCACGAGCTATTCTTGAACATGCGTTATCAGGGAAGCGATACAGCACTGATGATTGCTATGCCCAAGACCAACAACTTTGAAGACTTTGGAAATGCGTTTGCCGCCCGCCATTGGCAGGAATTTGGTTTCACGCAGCCCCGAGAGATTCTGATCGACGATGTTCGGGTGAGAAGTATCGGTAAGGGTATGGATGTGAGTCTTTCCAGTCCATGCGCGGAACTGAAGAAGTTTGTCGATTCGCCGCCTTCGACTCCAATTCAGCTAGACAGAAAAATCAAGGTCTACTTTGAACAGTGTGGCTGGGTTGAGGTTGGCCTTTACTCGCTCAAGGACCTTTTGCCTGGCACCCGTATCAACGGTCCTGCCATAGTTATTGACAAGACTCAAACGATCATCATTGACCCAGCCAGCGAAGCTATCATCCTACCAGAGCATGTCGTAATTGAAATTTCGGGAACGGAAAGGCCTGAAATCAGTACTGATGCCGTTGATCCTGTACAGCTCAGTGTCTTTGGTCACCGTTTCATGAGCGTGGCAGAGCAGATGGGACAGACTATGCAGAAGACCTCAATTTCAGTGAACATTAAGGAGCGACTGGATTACTCTTGCGCTGTCTTCTCAGGAGATGGCAGTCTGGTTGCCAATGCACCTCATATTCCCGGCCATCTGGGTTCAATGAGCTATGCAATTGCCTATCAAGCTCGCCGATATAAACCCGGCGAGTTGAAGCCCGGTGACGTCCTTCTAAGCAACCATCCTAGTGCGGGCGGCACTCATTTACCAGATCTGACTGTCACCACGCCTGTCTTTGATGATGACAACAATCCTACAAAGATCCTCTTCTTCGTTGCCAACAGAGGTCACCACGCAGATATTGGAGGTATCCAGCCAGGCTCCATGCCTCCACACTCCACGGAGCTCTGGCAAGAAGGAGCGGCGGTGGAATCCTTCAAGGTAGTCAAGGAGGGCGAATTTGACGAACCGGGCTTGATCGAAATTCTCGTCGATATACCTGCGTCGTATCCCGGCTCAAGTGGCACTCGTACTCTCCGCGATAACATCGCTGATCTCAAAGCCGCGATTGCTTCGAATAACAAAGGCATCCATCTGATCAAGTCATTGATCAAGGAGTACACTTGGCCTGTGGTCCAATATTACATGCAGGCAATCCAGGACAACGCCAGCCAGGCCACCCGTGATCTTCTCAAGGTCATTGCTCAGAAGTTCGAAGGACAGCCCTTGGAAGCAATTGATTATATCGATGATGGGACACCTTTGGCTTTGAAAATAACCATTGAAGAGAGTGGAGATGCGGTGTTCGACTTTACCGGAACCGGGCCTGAGCACTTTGGCAACTTGAATTGTCCGCCAGCTATCATGTACTCTGGAATTATGGTAAGTTAGAACTCAATGATCTTCCTGGTTGAAGATGTCTGACTGACACGCTTGTTGCAGTATTGCCTTCGATCAATGATTTCATCCGATATCCCACTCAACCAGGGCTGCCTCAAGCCCATCAAGTTGATTTGTCCACCTAATACCCTCCTGTCTCCTTCCCTCAAAGCAGCCACCGTGGGTTCCAATGTCGAGACATCGCAACGAATTGTGGATTTGATCTTCAAGGCATTCCGTGCAGCCGCAGCTTCGCAAGGAACCTGCAACAACTTAACGTTCGGCTACGGTGGCACTGATCCCGCCACTGGCGTCGTCACCAAGGGCTTTGGTTATTACGAAACAATCGCCGGCGGCTCTGGCGCTGGCGCAGACTGGGATGGCGAGAGTGGTGTTCACACGCACATCACCAACACCCGCATCTCAGACCCCGAGACCTTCGAGAGACGGTATCCAGTTATCCTCCACGAATTTTTAATTCGGAAGGGAAGTGGTGGCGCTGGTCGACACCGTGGTGGTGATGGGTGTATCCGCGACATTGAGTTCCGGTTACCAATGCAGGTATCAATCCTTTCAGAAAGGCGTGTGGTTGCGCCGTACGGTATGGCCGGTGGCGAGGAGGGGAAGAGAGGTGTCAATATCTGGCTGAGGAAGTATCCAGATGGGAGTAGCCGGTATATTAGTCTTGGTGGTAAGGCCACGACGCAGATGAGCGCTGGTGATCATATCATTGTCTACACGCCTGGAGGTGGTGGCTATGGTAAGGATCCGAATATGAAGCAAGAACAGGTTTTGCTGGATATCTTCAAAATTAAAGACAAATTTGTACCGGCTGCGTCGATTCTTCGAACTCAAGGGAGTGTTTCAGAGAGGAGTTCGACGGCTACTAGTAATTGAGTCTAGCATGAGGCGAGATTAGATATGATGATCTTTTTTCAATTATATTTCAGGAACGAACTGTGAAATAGCTAATATCCCCGAAAATTACACATCGAATACTTTTTTCAAAACTACATTTTGCATAACCTCACTTTCATTGGTAATCTCGAGCAGGTATACGATCCGGATTACCTGGAATCATGTTTGGGAGCGGATTGTTCCATCTTGACCAACTTCTTCCTTCCCAAACCTCTTCAACTGGTAGCTCATCGGCGAGGACTTTTGCATTACGCTCATTTGCAGCCCAGACCCTGATAATTGTCAGTCTACACAAGTAGTCATTCCATTTTGCGTGGTTCCAGATTAACAATACCTCAAAATATTAAGGCCCACCAGTTTCTTCACTTGATTATCCGTCGCTCCTCGTCGCATCACAGCCTCGATCAACCGTGGATAGTCTGCCACCGAGGAAATACCATTTGCTAGCGTGGCAGTACCCTCAAAATCACCTCCGATACCGACGTGATCCCATCCTGCAAGATCCACAATATGCATGATATGATCGACGACCGTTTCGATATTGGCCGCTTCGGGATCCTCCGCGTTAAGAAATCTCTTGACGAACATGACCATTAAAACACCCCCATTGGACTTGAGAGCTTCGATCACGTCGTCGGGTGCATTCCGATAATTCCGTGCTAGAGAGTAGCAAGTACTATGACTGAAGATTACGGGAGATCGAGTAATCTCTAGCACTTGTCTCATTGTGCGATGTGAAGCATGCGACAGATCCACCATCATACCGAGACGATTCATTTCGCGAATCGCGGCAGCCCCGAATAATGACAGGCCTGCATCTTTACCTGTCGCAGTCACGGTGGCCGCCGCTGTCGCATACGCGTTATCGCAATTGTGGGTGATGGTGATGTATCGAACTCCAAGATCCCACAGCTGGCGAATAACTGCGATCGATGAGCCGGTTTGGTGCAGGCCCTCTGCACCGAGCATAGATCCTATCCTCCCGGCTTTGAATGCTTTTACGGCATCAGAGGACGTTGCGCAGAATTTCAATTCTGGCGTCATTTCGATGAAGCGACGGGCTACGTCGATTTGTTCGAGAGTGTCGCGAACAACATGACTTGGGTCGTCGATATTTTCTGTATCAGGGCATTCCATGAAGACAGACCAGAATTGGCCCCCGACTCGGCCCTTCTGCATGCGCTTGAGGTCTGTATGACTGGCCAAGCCTATACGTAGTTTCATCTGTTCAGAACTTGGATTCCTCAAATTTGAAAGGCAGATGAGAGTTCTTACCTTCTTGAAAGGTAAATTTGCCGTCATTGATTTGGTTTTGCAACTCAATGCGAAGTAGGTAAGGCAGGTCATTATGACCGTCAATCAAGGGAGTACTTTTGAGGACTCGAGCTGCTCGACCTGCATAATCCGTCTCCGCAATATCATTCCTTGGTCCCAGTCGATACGCGATCCATAAGGATCCAGTCAACAAGGTGAAAAGACATAACGATGTGGAGACCGAGCCTACTTGTCCGAGATAGAGCGTTTGGCTTGCCATGCCTCATTGATTCTCCCTCAATACTGGCACAAAAACAACGTAACTAATTCTAAACGGCCTGACAGATGGTATCGCACTCTCATAAATCCCGCGAGAGGGATTTATCAGAGGTAGATACCATCTGCGCGAGCCGATCTTTAGGGTTAGGGTTAACGGCATCGACGAGGTCCAGCCGATCAACCAGATGATACAGGGTTATCAACGTTATCAGCTGGAGATACGACGAATGAGCTGCAACGTTGATCTTAGCCCTAAACTAATCGTCTCAGCGCAGAGTATATGTACTTGCTCGCCAGACATCATTACAGATTGTTTTCGACATCATTACAATTTCGTACAATCGGCAGAACATGGAGACAAAATCAACAGAGAGCCCCACGGCACAGGTCTGCGAACCGCACACCGGTGAAGGCGCAATTGAAATCTACATTGATCCAATCAAGGAGGCACGAATGATGCGTAAATTTGACGTGAGGCGCCCCGTTCTTGCACATAACATAGTGATATCAGATCAACTAATGCAAATGCATGCAGTTTTGCGCAATCGGCTTGCTGGGATTGTTCTACATGATGGCCAACCTGGACCGGAGCAACATAGGAAATGCTCAAACCGCAGGAATGCCCCAAGACTTGGGTTTGGTGGGCAATCAGTTTGGCACGGCCACTACTTTGCTGTAAGAACCACGTTCAATTTGGTACTGAATCCGCTCTCTAAGATGGACCTGCAGGTACGCGACTTACGTTCCATTCGAGGGACCGGTCGCAATCCTTCTGAAAATCATTGGACCTAAGCCTCTTCTCTCCACGTGTGCTTTCTGCTGGGGAATAACGACTCTTGGAATGGGTTGGTTTGCATATTTGAATAATATCGTTGGATCCTTATAACTGACATGAGGATTTTGCAGCATTCATACAGTCTTGGAAGGGTCTCTACGCCTGCCGACTGCTAACAGGATTCTTCGAAGCGGGCTTAATCCCTTGCATCAACGTTTATATCGCCCTCGTGTACAAGAAGAGTGAACGAGGAAAGCGCTCTGCAGTTATCTTTGCATTCAGTGCGTTTTCGAGCGCATTCGGTGGAATTCTCGCTTACGGCCTCACACAAGTCCACGGACCTCATGGATGGGAGGGATGGCGCTGGCTTTTCGCTGTTGAAGGAGCTATGACTCTAGTCCTTGTGCCAATGTTCTTCTGCCTCTTCCCCAAGCACACAACTACCGCGTGGTTTCTAACGAGTGAAGAGAAGAGTATGATGCAAGCTCGCTACGACAATGACCCACACTGGGGACAAGATGAGGCGTTTACCTGGGCCGAGTCGTTGAGCGCATTCGCTGATCCCAAATGGTGGGCATTCTGGATTTACCAATTTAGCGTCGATATCTCGCTCTACGGTTTCACCACGTTCCTTCCCAAGATCGTTTCCGGTTTGGGATATTCGGGTGTGCACGCAAACTTAATGACTGTCCCGATCTACATGGTCGGTCTTGTCTGGTTTCTTACGATTGCGTACTGCTCCGACAGAGTTGGTCTGCGAGGTCCCTTCCTCGCTGGGCCCCTACTATGCCTGATCATTGGATATGCAATTCTGATTTCGGTGGAGAGTGTGAAAGTAAGATTTTTCGCATGTTTCGGTAAGCTTCCTTTGAGTGCCAGTCTCATCAGCCCCATTGAATTGACTCATATCTACTCATATCTCTAGTTGTTGCCCTTGGTATCTATCCAACAACCGGATTGTCACTCATGTGGCTCCAAGACAATACAGCTCGTCACTTTAAGCGAGCCACAATGGTTGGAATGACTCTTTGTTTCGGAAATACTGCAGGTGTCGCTGTTGGTCAAATTTTCACGACCCAGTCCGCGCCGAGATATATCAAAGGGTTATCTATTAGTTTAGCTCTCGCGGTAGTAGCATTGGCCATGGTGGCTGCGTTGTCAATTGGAATGATGATAGTGAACAAGAAGCGGGCTGCAAGGATGCAGAGAGCTGAGGAGGCAGGGGAAGTATTGGACAAGAGACCCGAAAAAGGGGACTACGATGTATATTTCCGGTATTCACTGTAGATTATTAGCAGCTGCTAGATTTAGGGGTTGTGACTCCACACGCTTATCAGTCAAGGCGTTTCTCCGCTGATAACGAACGGCGCCGCCGCTTCTTCTTTTCTCCTCTTCTACCATAATCTCGGAAATCAACTCTTCATGGCACCCCCTGCCAAGCGTCAAAGGCGCATATACGTAGCGTGAGTAGACATTTGCATCGTACGTGGCTCACACTAATATTCTATCGACAGCTGTCGGCGATGTCATTCGCAAAAAATCAAGTGCTCTGGTATCCAGCCATGTCGGGCATGCTGCGTCTCAGGCAATCACGACCAATGCCAGTTCCCACCTCGAGACCGGAAAGTCTCGGTGTCAGAAACGTAAGTGAGACAGTTCATCGTATATAATTTCGTAGTAACCAAGACAATGCGATTAGGTACATCAAAAAGTTGGAAGGAGAAGTAAGAGATTTGAGAGCGCAGCAACAGCGACCAGGTGCTGCTTCTCCGTGCCAGACCACATACGAGGCTCCCAGTGTTGCAAATGACCAGGGCCAGAACCCAGCGCAGTTTACGGACACTGATGTCTCAAACCCGCTACTGGAATCGCCCACTGGGTTTGTCGCAGCCGGGTCATCATCACCACCAGTCTATATTGGCGAAGCATCTTGTGTTGCCTTTGGTGATACTCTTCTACAATGCGTGGACAAAGATACTGATCTCGCAGCCTGGCCTCCACCGACATATTTTCAGCACGAAATTTTCAATCGCCTTGTACGGCCAGATCTTGTCTTGCCGGACCGGATTCAGTCTCGACTTCTAGTGGGGGTTGCAGTGCGGTTCATAGGAACTGATTATCATCTTCTTCTGAAGAAGACTTTCTATGAAAAGCTGGATCGAATATGTGCTGGAGAAGAACCCCAAGATTTGGTGTGGATATGCAAATTCTTTATATTGCTGGCACTGGGAGAGATGTACTCCAATCGCCAGCGAAGAAACATGAGCCAACGTGTGCCGGGCACTGATTACTTCCTTCAAGCTACGGGCCTGTTGCAAGATTTATATGAAACTCCATCAGTCGAGCAGGTGGAGGTTATGATTCTTTTTGTAAGTGCTGCTCCATTACTTCAACAACGGACAAGAAGTACCGCTTCGGGCTCGACTGACAATAGACGTCTAGTGCTTCTATGCGAATGCTCTTGGGCGTACAAAATCCGCATACACATATATTGGGATTGCAATGAGAATGGCCTTGGCTTTGGGCCTCCATAGAAACTTGCCAAGCGATACGATGCTTAACCCTGTAGAGCGCGAGCATCGAAAGCGCGTCTGGTGGACACTATATACTCTGGATCGACTATGCAGCTCCATTCTTGGATATCCCTTACTGATCAGCGATTCTCTGATTGACGTGGAGTTACCGACCGACGAAGGCCTCAGCGCATCCGAGCAAGAGGAGTTTTCGGATCCTGCGCACTTGATCGCGACTATCAAACTTGCCCGGATCACAGGTCAAATTCGTACGTCACAGTCCCAATTGTACCATTCCTTGCGAAACTGACCAATAAAAAATTACAGTGAGCGACTTATATTGTTTACCTCAACGGACCCACGAACCCTTTGTGCAAAGAGTACACCGGATCCTTCTGAGTTTGAGGAAATGGGATGAAGAGCTCCCCGCAAAGCTGAGCTTGCAGCAAGAGCACTTGCCTCGCCATGTCACAAGTCTTCATCTGCATTATAACAAGTGCGTTATCTCAACGACCCGACCTATCTTACTCTATCTATTCAAGCATCGCTTTTCCCTTACGGCTGACGCGGCCGGAGTAACTCCACCGCCGACATTCTCACCAACGACCCTAGCGCTAGCAGAAAGCTGTGTTCAAGCTGCACGAGCTTCTAATTCAATACTATCTCGATGTTTTGTAGAGGGATCCCTGGCATCTTTTGGATACTTCGATGCACATTACCTCTTCTCTTCCTCGCTGATTCTGATCATGTCGGCCGTCATGGATCCAAATGTGGCCATGTCCGACGCCATTTCGTACGCGTTCACAATCCTGAAGGCTATGAAAGAAGATGGCAATATTCCTAGCTGTGACTACTATGAGAGGTTGCAGAGAACAAGAGCTAGCGTGGGAAAGATGAGAGAGAACCACGAGACCGGTTCGCACTCACCAATACTTGCCAGTGGAGGCGAGACAATATGGGAAGCGCAGATACCTCCCCATGAAGCAGATGGCCCATCGTTGGGATTCAGTGAAGGTGTTCCGTTGGGTCATCCACTCATAGATAGTTTCCTTGCGGATAAGGCGTTCGCTCGGGCTGACGGGATGGTTCCCGAGGATCAATCTCTGAGAGACTTGGCTTGCGAATTGGGTGATGAGTTTCTTTTCGGGGCGCAATAGTTTAGATTTACTCATCTAATACTGATATCTGTCAGAGAGAAATGATAGCTCCTATTCAATGATAGATATCACGATATCAAATTCGGAATGAAATCATCCGTTCCAAACCGGCAGTCGGGAGCTTGACCCGAGTCAATCAACACACATAGATCGTCCCTGATAGTTTATCATTTGGGTTTCCGACGATACTGTCGGCTAGAAACTGTCTTTTACGTCCATATAACTTCAATACACTCGATTATCGGATCTTTTTCTGCCTCCGGCTTACTCGTCTGATACAGAACCTGCTTTCCCATTCTGGCATAATGGAGAACCAATCAGTGGTCACTCTACTCAAACAATTGATGGAAATACCATCTACGAGCGAAGAAGAAAATGCCATCGGTATATTCCTAGAGCAACACCTCCAATTACTGGGTTATACCGTCGAGCGTATTCCCATCAGCCCCGATAGTACTCGATGCAACGTCTACGCCTACATCGGATCATCGCGCAAGACACGAGTCTGTCTGTCATCACATATGGACACTGTTCCCCCGCATATCCCACTCCACGAGACTACAGACACTATCTATGGACGCGGCGCATGCGATGATAAAGGCCCACTTGCTGCTCAAATCATCGCCCTTGAAGAGTTACGTAGAGAAAACCTCGTTCAGCCGGATGATGCATCTCTCCTTTTTGTCGTTGGTGAGGAAAAGGGTGGACCGGGCATGCTTGCTGCTAACTCGATGGGCTTGACTTGGGACGCTATGATATTCGGCGAGCCGACCGAAGGCAAACTTGCAGTCGGCCATAAGGGTCACTTTGTGTTTGAGCTCGTGTGCGAGGGGATCCCTTCGCACTCTGGCTATCCGCACTGTGGACGTAGTGCTATTACGAACATGACGTCTCTTCTGATGGACTTAGAACAAATTCAGTTCCCTTCGTCTGAAATTATTGGACCATCTACATTTCACTGCGGGCAGATCAGTGGAGGCGTGGGATACAATATCCTGGCTGCAGAATGTACGGCGCTTTGCGCGGTTCGCGTGGCTAGTGACTTGCCTCTGGTTGAACGATTGGTAGAGGATGCTGTGTCCAAGCATGAACATATTCGTCTGGAGAAGAAATTTTTGTATCCAGAGTTGTACTTGGACCATGATGTACCTGGGTTGGGGACAATGGCTGTGGCTTTTGGGACAGACGTGCCACGCCTTAAGGGTGACCATAAGAAATATCTTTATGGGCCGGGATCTATTTTGTTAGCTCATGGAAAGGATGAGCAAATTGGCATATCTGAGCTGCTGGAGAGTGTTCAAGTGTACAAAAAGATCGTGAAACATTGTCTGGGATCGTGAAAGGATGCCGGGTGGCTGATTAGTCGGCAACGGATGTAAGAAGCCGAGCGAGCAGACTGTATCGCAAGACATTCAAGTACATCAAAGTCTATCGATTGATTAAGTACGGTGACCGTAATGAATGAATTTGTTTTGCTTTATTGCGTTCTCCTAGTTCTCAACCGAGTCTTAAGCCCCGACTTGTACTCTAACAACGAAACAATTCCCAAGAGACTCTTGGACGAGGTATACACTCTCCATTGTCTGCCTGGACCTCCCACATTTCGCCTTCAGGCTTTGGAAAATGACACTCAAAAACCTGGGCAACCTACCGGTAATACCGCTACCAGAGTCTTTTGCGTTGACAGCAGCATACAGCGATGACCCATTCCCTAACAAGGTCAACCTCGGACAAGGAGTCTACCGTGACAACAATTGCCAGCCATGGGTCCTACCCAGCATTAGAGAGGTAAGACTACTGCAACCTGCAATCAAATCCAATTCATCCATCCATCTCATACTTTACTTCATCTCAGGCCGAAGAAACTCTATACAACCAACAAGTCAACCACGAATACCTCCCCATAGCCGGAGACTCCAAATTCCTCACCAAAGCCCGTGAACTCCTCTTCGGTCCTCAAATCGCCTCATCAGAGAATATCGCAAGCCTTCAAACCGTCGCAGGAACAGGGGCAAATCACCTTGCCGCGATATTCTGTGCCCGAAAACTTTGTCCAAAAAATGTCTTCATTTCCGATCCGACATGGGATAATCATCATTTAATCTGGAAAGAGGCCGCGCCGAATGTGACGCAAAAGCTCTATCCGTATTATGATCCTTCTACCCGGAGACTCAATTTCGAGGGAATGCTTGCTAAGCTAGAAAGTTCAGCGGAGGAGAATGATGTGGTGATACTGCATGCTTGCGCCCATAATCCTACCGGTATCGATCCAACCCGGGAACAATGGAAAAAGATCGCCGAAGTTGTCGGACGCAAGAAGCTCTTTGTAGTATTTGACTGCGCGTACCAGGGGTTTGCATCGGGGCATGCCGATGCAGATGCGTGGGCGATTCGAGAGTTCTACTCTATGCTGTTCACCGAGTCGTCATCCTCGTCGTCAACGCCAGCAGGCATGTTCGTCTGTCAATCGCTATCCAAGAATTTTGGACTCTACGGGGAGCGCATCGGAGCGCTCCATTTGATTACTCCATCCTCGACTTCACCCGAGGGAGCCAGAGCGCACTTGGTTCAATTAGTTCGTGCCGAAATCTCCTGTCCTTCCCTGTTCGGTGCACGGATTGTGCATACTGTTCTGGACGATGCTGAGTTGCGCTCGAAGTGGCAAGAAGATGTACGGATTATGGCGCTTAGGATCAAGAGCATCAGGGCATTGTTGAAGTCGGAACTGGAGAGAATTGGTGCTCAAGGGGACTGGTGTCATATTGAGCAACAGATCGGCATGTTCAGCTTCACGGGGCTTTCTAGTGCACAAGTGCAGGAGCTGCGGGAGAAGCATCATATTTACATGTTGAGTAATGGGCGCATGAGCTTGAGCGGATTAAACGAGAGCAACGTGGTGTATGTTGCTCGAGCTATTAAAGACGTGTTGTGAGAGCCCGTGAGAGAGTCAGGAAGGGATATTCAACATATGCTGGCATAGTAGTGGTTGGTTGGATATCACTCGCGGCCTGGAGATCATTGGTAGTAATTTAATGTTTTATAAAGTTTCATTTTCCACGGCTACAAAGGGATATTTCGTAAGTATATATAAACAAAACCACCACCACTCATTCCGTCATATCGGAATCTAGATCATTCTCGAGCAAATTGGCGTAAGTCCGAAGAGAGTCACAAAACACCTGCATCATTTCAAAAACATGGCCGCCCTTCAGTATCTCCGACAATAATCGCACCAGCATCGCACCCATCCGCCGTAATTGTTCGGCGCCAAATTCATCGGCCCGGTCACCCGGCGGTGCCAGGTCTGCTTCCTGCAGTACACTAGTAATAATCCTTAGAAGGCGCAGTGTATCTTGATGAATATCTGTCGGGCACGACGCGAGCTTCTCGAGCCATTTACACAGGAACAAGGCGCATTCCAGGTTAGAGAGGGAATGGATCGTGCTCCATGTCAAGGTCTGTGTCCTCGCGACGTATTCCACGCCGAGGCGAACGGGAATGGAAAGAGCGTGGATGCATTGGAGGACGGCGTGATAGATTTGAGGGGTTTGTGCGGGCCTTGGAGCGTTGCAGAAGGCTGATGTGGTGGCTTCCGGATCCCCCGTTCCCAAGCTGCGGTCTGGGTCAAGATTGAAGTGTAGTCTGATGCATGCAATTCGGAATATTGCTGTCGCGTTGAAACCGAGGGGTCCTTTCGGAGATGAAGGGGTGATGGACGGGTCGTCTGCATCTATATCCATGCACACTCCGTATTCCTTAGAACCTTCCTAATCGGGAAATAACGTTTGTGTTCGAATGATTGTAACAATGCATTTTGCATACCTTTACACTGCAGGCGACATCATTATAGCAACAATTAGAGGTTATTTGTAAAATTTACAAATACGACAATTTGACAACACTGCAAGTATCCAATATTCATTGTATCAGGCCCTGGGATAGACCACATCTAACCCTAACTACTGCTTGGGTCGCACCGAATGTAGCTCCACCAAATGGAGGCAAATTTTTTCTATAATAATATGAGTCAAGGCGAGAAAGAGTATGGAAACTAAAATATTATATACCCAGCAGGGAGTATGAAGGATTCTTTCTTCATCAACACGCACAAAATCAAACTCCAGCAGAGTCCGTATCAGCAACACCATCTGTACTACGTCCCTTTTTCTCCGGTCCCAGAAGCAGAAGTAGAATGATGTAGGCATAGGCTGCCCCCGTGAGAATGCAAATGACCTTCCCGGAGTAGTAGCGGTCGACAACCGTACCATCGGCTTTCGTCAACGGTGGCAGAGGAAATCGTTCACCAATCGTGGCTTCAATGGTAGAAGAAGCCGAGGAAGCCAGATTACCGAACTGGTACGCCGATCCAACTACAAACGCTTGGAAGGCAACCGGGGACAGCTCCAGGACACAGATCGGGATTACGCTCCAGGCACAGACGGAAAACAATAATGAGAACTGGAAAACATGCCGCAAACCATATTTATGGGAAATATTGGCGCGCCAACCGTGACTGGTCGTATTCACGAGAGCACGCGCAAAGGCGGTTGCAAGCAAGTAGCCGAATGCATAGCCTTGTTGCATGAGACCTGCTACCAGACCACGGGCTTCTTTGGGGCAATCCTCCAGCGCGGTGACGGCTGCAATTCCATACATGCCACCCATTGCGACTCCATATGGAGCGCGAACAGCTAGGAACTGTTGATAGGTTTGGCAAAAACTTGTCCCAGGCTCCAGCACAATAGATAACACGAGGTTGATGATAAAGGGCCTAATAGCAGCATCAGCAGGAAGATTCCTTGTGAGTTCATGAGTGAGTGAGCATACTATTTTCGACCATATCTATCCGCCACAATACCAAACGTGATGGAACTAACCGATCGGAACATCAGAACGACAGTGATGCCCCGGGTGATATCCGAAGTGGAGGTACCAAAAGTTTCCGCGAGATCAGAAACAGTGAGCGACACCGTAAAATAGTCGAATGCGCCCCAAGAACATGCAAGGAATGAGACAGCAAGAAAGCCTATTGCTGTGCATTCAACATTGCAAGAAGCTTGAACGGGTTGGCAGCACTGTTCGTAGGAGGCTTGAGTGAGGTGAGTCTCGAGACCACATATTCTCGAATACTAATGGGCTTGTGTCCTGTGTCCTCTTCAGATTGAAAAGCACCATCTTTGATAGAATGGTGCTCTTCATCTTGTATCTCTGCTTTCGAATCGTCGTGCATTTTGTTTTTCCAACTCAAGACAAAGAAAACCACTTCAAACCAACAAGAGCTGCTATACGTTCCGTTCTTATTTATGCAGGATCAGAATTCCATAGTCTATATGTTTACAAGATAATGACTGATATCTATTATGATCACTATTGGCTGTTCTTTTTCCCACATTTTCTTTGGGCAAGCTTTCTGGGGTCCGGAGCTTCAACTTCTCCAAAAGCAAAATGTGTAACCCCTTGCGGGGCTATTCTTACCAACCCTATCGATAACTAGCGTACCAAAATGGAGTATGCGAAAGTTGGCCAAGGAATGGATATCTTAGATAGCGTTGAGTTTGGAGTCGGAACTAGGAGAAAGATAAGCGTAACCGACTCCAAAGTCCTCGGGTGAATTCACCAATAGCCGGATTTCAACCCCGAATTCGTGTCTCGTAGATTTGCTGTGCTGATATAGTCCATTTATTGTTTGCCATTCTGCCTAGCGTATCATTAGCCTATTCAGAAACAATCTTCACAATCACGATGAGTTCCACGACTTCGTCGCCCAGGTTGGTGACCGTCGCTGCCTGCCAGCTTGGTCCTGTTCATCATGCAGACTCTCGGCAAGATGTGTTAAAGCGCATGCTATTGCTTTTGGAACAGGCCGCGCAGCAAGGAGCAAAACTTGCAGTCTTCCCAGAGCTTGCTTTCACCACGTTCTTCCCACGATACCTTCTCGACGAAGCAGACTTGGACCAATATTTTGACGTCGAAGATCCCAGTAAGAGTGGAATTGAGCAGTCCCCAAACGTCAAGCCTCTTTTTGACCGTGCAAGTGCACTGGGTATTGATGTGTATGTGGGCTACGCGGAACGCAGTATTCAAAAAGACGGAACCCATATCGACTACAACTCCAGTGTTTACTACTCAGCGAATGCAAAAAAAATTGTCGGGAAATATCGCAAAGTTCATCTTCCAGGCACCGTGGAGCCTCGTACTGAGCCTGGCGCCGTTCAGCAGTTAGAGAAGCGCTATTTCCGCCCGGGAGACCTTGGATTCCCGGCATTCAGAGCGCCCGGGCTTGTCGAGGGTGCACTAAAGTCGAGCGGCCAGTATACCGCTGCACAATCAGCTGGCAAAGGCGATCCGATCATTGGAATGCTCATCTGCAATGATCGACGTTGGGCCGAGGCGTGGCGCGTGTACGGCCTCCAAGGAATGGAGATTTTATGCTGTGGATATAATACCACTGCATTCCCGACTACTGCCAGTGGGCATCAGCTGGATCTAACTCCTGAAGCGGCCGAGGAGATGGTAATGTTGCACCATAAGCTTTCCTGCCAGGGAAACAGTTATATGAATGCCTGTTTTAGCATCAATGTGGCAAAGACAGGCGCTGAAGATGGGAATCCCTTGGTGGGTGGTACTATCATTGTGCATCCGCTTGGGCACATTATCAAGGAAGCTCAAACGAAGGATGACGAGTTGGTTCTGGCAACAATTGACTTGGCAGATTGCCACCGACCTAAGAGTACTGTTTTCGCGTTTGAGAAGCAACGTCGACCTGAACACTACCATCCTATTCTGGATCAGACTGGGGTTATTGAGCCAGACTTGCTATGATCAGGCGACGATGAAATTATGGAGACCCTTAACATGTACCTACATATGAGTGTGGTGTGTTTTGTATTTGGAGCATATATTCCCATGTATTGAATCGGTCAATTTGTATATTCGTAAATCCCCGTAGCTAAACGCTTTTCGTGTAACGAGACCCATATCCAGACATACTGTACGTTGTTTCTTCCCCTCTGCATTCGAGTACTAGAGTCAACTCTGTAGGCCCTGCAGAAGCTTTTGATCCAACCCCTTGATAGACTCCTCGAATGTCTTTACAGTGACCCGAGTCTTCAGTTGGCCAGGCTTAAGAACACTGGGGACGCTAGCGCCGTACCCAAATTCATCCATGTATGCCGGGCCCGCCAGAACCTCTTCTCATGTAAGTCCTTACTGAGATGCACAAAAGTAGCATTTCTTCCTGTAAACTTCAACCGCACAGCCATAAGTTCCCCCAATGTGAGTTACTCATCTTAAGCCAATAGCTTGGTCTACGGCACTTCATCCTCAATCCAAGCGCTGACAAATCTCAGTAACCACACCTAGGCTGTGAATGAAGGACAAAGACGGAGAAAGCGTCTGAAGGGTTCAGAACCCCAGGCCAGACATGGCCCGTGATGGTCTACCATCAGCTCTGAGAACATCAAATACACGAATTGGTAATGGTAAGGTCGGTAAACTTCAAATTGGAGTTGTTAGGGTCGAAACTCTGTACAGATGAGAAATTCGAGACTCACCTAGGAAATATACAAAGGATATGGATCGATAGCCGCAAAACCCCTTCTCTAGATAGAGTCGCACTCTTAATTCAACCGATCATACCATAGCCACCAGGGGGCTGGATACTATCGTGAGAAACGGTCTCATTGTGAGTGATCCCTCGATGACCCTGTCCAAGCTGTCAACGTCTTCAGATATGCTACGGCCCAAGGATGTCAATTGTTTCAGCAGACTGATTTCGATCAGGTCACGGAAGCGGCGTGCTTCCCGCCGGGCAAGAAATTGGAATCTCCAAGGGGAAAATATCTCTCATAGGATATGATCTGCCCGAAGGCCCCGAGACCAATATCATTGATGCGCAAGGCGCATACATTACACCCGGTGGTGTCAATTCGCACGTGCATCTGGTGCAAAGAAATGCACCGACTGGAGACACCTGGGAGACTGGTTCACGCAGTGCAGTCGCTGGAGGCACTACGACCGTACTTGCATTTGTATCGCAAACGAAGGAGATGACATCCTTGTTCCCGGTCCTTGAATAGGATCATGGAAAAGCGCGCGGCCAGAGCTACTGTGATTACGGATTTCATTTTATTCTCACGAATCCCAGCGCAACAATTCTTGGGCAGGAATTGCCTCTGATTGCCAAGGAAGAAGGTATAACAAGCGTCAAACTGTATATGACTTACAACTTGTACAAACTGTCCGACCGTCAACTCCTCGATACTATGCTTGCATGCCGCTCGCTGGGACTGACAACCATGATTCATGCTGAGAACAGCGATATGATTAATTTCCTGGTCCAGGGGCTTGAGAGAAACGAGAACACGGCCCCTTTCTTCCACGCGATTTCGGCACCAAAAATGGCTGAAGGCGAAGTGTCATACCGTGCCATTCGACTCGCAGAATTGGTAGATGCTCCGGTGCTACTAGTCCACGTTTTTCCGATGGAGCCATGAAGCATATCAGGGAAGCGCAAACGAGATTACTTCCGATCCATGCAGAGACATGCCCCCATTATCTGTTCCTATTGCCTGACAAACTGGCAAACCACGAGCATGATGTCTTCCATGGTGCCAAGGGGGTGTGTTCCCCTCCGCTTCGCCACAACCCAGAAGATCTCGAAGCTCTCTGGCGCGGAATTTCAAACGACACGTTCACGGTATTCTCATCAGATCACGCCCACCAAATATGACCATCCGCAAGGGAAAAATGCTGGCATGATTGATGGAATTCCCAAATTTAGTAAAATCCCCAAAGGAATCCCAGGAATTGAGACCCGACTCTCTCTTCTTTTCAGTGAATCGGAAGGATGTCTACCGAAAGGGAAAGCCCGACTGAGCCTGGCTCGTTTTGTGCAACTCACATCGGGCAATCCGGCCAGACTATATGTGTTGACGCGGAAGGGATCCATTATGCCAGGATTTGATGCAGATCTAGTGATCTGGAATCCACACAATCAAGGCGAGAAAACTATTGCACAGGAGAAACTCCACCACGGGGTTGATTATACGCCATTTGAAGGGATGCGTGTTCGGAACTGGCCTCGCTTTACGATGTTGCGGGGTGAGATTGTATGGGATGCAGACAAGGATAGTGTGACTGGAGCGAAGGGATTTGGGAATTTCTTAAAGAGAGAAAACGGTCACCTTCTCGTTGGAAAGCTTGGTCAACTGCCCGCAGGGGTGATCGAGGGAGAGTGAGATTTGTGGCGTCCCAAGTCTATAGCATGATCACTCGATTCTCAAGCATGAAGATAATAATGGAGTGGTCATCGATGCCCTTAAGAGACTTGGAAGACGGGGATTATGAAACCTATACAATACAGCACAGAGCGGCTCTATCACTGGCACATAAAAAACCAAGATTGACTGATTGATGGTTGTATAGTTGTCAACAGTCTCTATGTAGTGTATTCTCATTTATATCTATGAAATTCAAAAATGGCATTCTCCACAGTGGTCACAAAGCTTTTCAAGTCGCTTGTTTTGACAGCTTTGACTCGGATTTGAAAAAGATTGTTGTTTTGAGGAGATTCTCCAACATGATTGATTGCTCAAGACTTGGTCGACTTCGTACAGCCGGTCTGGGGATTTGCCACCTTGATTACTCTCTATCCACTCCTGTATGGCAACACTATCTTCATATAGAGAAGTTACGAATGCCCCGTGATGGGTTCGTGGCAAGTGGAAATCCTAATGGCCAAAAGATTTGGCTACTAGAATAGAAAATGAAGACGGAGGCGATATGAGATACCCCCCAAGCAAAAAATGATTCTAATATAACATGATCCATAGACATGAACTTGGAAGGGTTCTGAAACTAGAAGGAGAGGAGGAATGTTTAAACTCCCAAGGTGTAACGTAACGTACCTGGACAATTGTATGCTTGGAATCTTTTCAAGTATAACTAGGTGCGATGCAGATCAAGTCGTTTCGCTATCATATAATCTCAAATAATACCAAAAGGATTAGATCTAAAAAAAAAAAATAGAATAAAGCAGCTTTTGATTGCATAACCCAGGAAACCGGAGGCTACAAAGTGAACCGTGAAAAGATTTATAGCCGAGCTCGTTCGGGAATCAAGTCGACGGCTTCCAGGGCCAGACCCCTGTTGCTGTCAGCTATATATTCGTATATTATTCTCTTTCATATCCATCGGAAAACTTACCAAGATGCTTGAAATCCAGTACCACCGGCTCCGTAATTATGGATGACAAGCTTGCCATCAATGTACTCACGTTCGACCCTCGCACCACCTTTTCGGCTGGCTATAAAGAAATTAGCGACGGGAAAATTTCATGCGATGTGCAAGAATACAGGATACATACGACGAAGCCCGACGCCGTGCTTGATGATCTTGAGATTTTCGGGCTTTCCAAGCTGGGGAACTAGGGCGCAGCATTTTCGCTTAATGACCTCTGCAAATTCCAAATCGACTTCTCCATTCCATTTGTCCTTTTCCCGACATCCGCCCAAGATCACGCCGCCCATTCCATCTTTGCCCCGTGGAAAGATATGGGTTGCATCTGCATCCCGATGTGGAGCTTGGAAGTACATCGTGGGAATTGGTTCTTTTGGACCTTCAGCGAGCATAATTTGACCCTAAGCCGGCTGTGAGACCTGTCATGATAAGCCAGTAGGAAAGACATACTCTTGCAGGATATAGCATTTTGTCCTCGACGCCACCAAGTGTAAGGGACCCTAATCCAGTGCAATTGAACACCGCGGATGCCTCTGGGTACAGATTGAAGACCTCACGAATGTCGGTGAATATCTTTCGACGGATTTCAATTCCACGAGAGTAAGCTTCCATCTGTAACCTACAGCTCTCAGTCATGAGCTTGATTGCCAGTGGGGAAACCAGTCATACCAGGGAAGATATCGCTGAACATCAAGAACAAATGAAGCCATCTCAAACCCAAAAGCTGCGCCATCGGGAAGTTCAACCTTCTCAATTGGCTTTAACCCCCCAACAAGATCCTCAAACCAGAGTTTCCCCGTGGAAGGCGTGATGATCCCAACCTCTTCGATCGGTCGGTCATAATGGAATCGAATATTCATGGCCTTGACACCTGAGTCTGGTCTCACCCTAGAAAGCTGTTTAAACTTCTTATAGGTGATAGAGTCCCATTTCTCTTGTCGGCCATTGTCTGCCGAGGCCGGAAACCAATTTGCACCTCCCCAGTTAGACGCGTAGTCTGCAAATGAATCGCCCGGTAAATACTTAGCTGCGATGGCAACATTTGCAGTCGGGTAGCGGTCTTTCAGTTCCAGCGCAGTAGTAAGCCCTACGACGCCAGCACCGACGACGACATAGAACGCTATTTCATTAATGTTGTCATTAAAAATTTCTCTCATTGATGAGTGAGTATCTTCTCTTACACATTATGTGGTGGAACTATCCGCGTTCTAGGCACAATTCTCCTCAGAGGTGAAAAGATGATAACACTTTGATGGCGTCGGGTCTTTGAAAAAGCCAGTAGCTGTTGACATGACGCTAAATTTCTCGAGGTTACTTGTCTATTTCACCTATCGGAATGTGTTGATCTTGCCGGTTCATCAAGGCTCCACTCACAGCACCCCAAGCAATGAAGTTGGAGTAGAAACGCAGTTTCACCTCGCGACACAAATACTGTCAACCCGCGAGTATTACTTACGATATCATGAAAATCAGAACACTAATGCTCGTATAGTGCTTGTTATACTGGAGTTATTACCAAGCATTGGCGACCTCTTTTCTTCATCTTGAACTAAAGACTCTTGGGCCGCCGTGGTCACTAATGAATGAGGAACCACTGATCAGTGACGGTTTAAAGAAGGACAAGGTTTATATAAATACTGACCTCCTGGCTTAAAATCGGTAGTCATCATAATAGAGAAGATTGAATGTTTTTGCTAGAGCTTCCCGGGGTGCGTGTCGAAAAGTGATCCAATGAAAAGGAGGTCCCGCTTTTTCTCCCATCATATAATCCAACCTAATTTTCTCCTTGTTGTTGCGTCAAAAACGGCCAATTATGGTCTTGAATGAAGATTATAGGTGAAAATAGGGTTTTCATTTACTGAATAATAATAATAATTTTTATGAAGAAACCAGTTTCACCTTATCGGTTGACAGGAGAATTCGGGGTAAAACCCCCCAACTTCCTCGGATTTCGACTCTAGTTGGGTCCACCGATAACAGTCGCAAGTATCGGGCATGGATAAGGACCCCGCTAGCTCACTTGTATTGATCTGAGGTAGAAGGAATACGAACGACGTTTGAATTGAGATTCTTATTCCGAGAACCTGGCCCTCTGAGAACGACAATGGCCACCCATCACGCCGATGTCACCTTACCAAGGGTGTCTGGATCATCCAATTCTCGACTAATCAACATTCTCCTGGTGAACCCAAACTCGAGTGAATATATGACCAAGGACTGCTTGACAGCCTTGGGACCCAGTTTGCCCTCAGATGTGATAGTCCATGGATTCACTGCACCCTATCCTGCTCCCACAGCAATCGAATCCCAAACTGATGCTGTGCTCTCTACCGAGGCTTGCATCAGGGCAATTAAACCCATCAGAGCCAACTCAGAACAATTTACAAGCCTATGAAGAACGCACGAGGTGTTACACAAGGTCAAAGTTCACAAAATCCTAGTCAACCTTTTGCCTCACCTACCAATGCTCCAATAGGGCCAGAACAAGCAACATCTGAGCGTCTTCCATTGTCTGTGATATGTTCCTACCTGGAAATTTATCAGAACTGACTCAACTCTATCTGGCTGGTGGTAGAGAGTCAGAAACTTACTACTCAGCTTAAAGCATTATTCAACCCCAAAACTTATTTATTAATAACATCACTGTCAGAGTGTCATTCGGTGCGGTTTCGGTTCGGTTCAGGGGGTGTTCTGCCGAACCGCACGGTTTCTATCACCAATGCAAAATGCCCGTACTAGTAGAGGCATTTAACTTTGCTAATAACTTAAACGTTAGCGCCGTGCTAGGCAACTGGAGTAGGGGCATTTATTTATTGCCCTGCCCTCATCACAGTAAAGTAGATATAAAGTAAGCCTCTAATCTTGTTCAGAATAGAATAAATCTAGCAGTCAAGATTCTCTAGCTCTTTCTTTAAATAACACAAATAGAAGCTATTACAATCATGTCATAAGTCAGTCTTAACACAGAATATACAGAATGCAAGATCTAACAGAGAACAGATGTCGAACGGCTCTACTGACCAAAGTTCCAACCTTCCTAAAGCTACGAAATACTCCGCAATCCTTTGAGTCGCCATTGCAGATTTTCAAGTACAAGTCAGGGTTGCAGTATAGATGGTACCTTTTGCTAAGTCTGAAAGCGTCCATCCACAGGCAATACACACCTTAATTTATGATATAGAACCAAAGTATATATAATTAGCTACACAAGAGTTCCGTCATAGCAGACTCTCAAGCCCAATCAGCGCGACAATTGACGGAAAGTTGTTTCCGACATCGCAAATATGGGGTCGTGACGTTAAGAGTAGACTCGCACCACCAACAATTCGAATGCTGATATGCATTTCGATGGAGGTGTAGAGAATAATGATGGAATCACATGACGCGCGATCGGCGTCCCGCCAGGCTGCTACATTCAAGCAGCCAGGCAGCAACACAGCCACCACTTATCTAAGCAGGCTCTTGCCAATGAGCCTCGTGAGATGGCGTTACGTACTAGTTATTGAGCATTGTCAACAAGGCTGGCTCCATGACAGCCTGGTTTAACTATTTGGTCAGAATGGCTTGACTTGACTTGACTTCCACCGACCACACCAGTCCAGTCGCTTTCTGATACTTTGCCTGCTCTTGTTCCGTTGTGACGAGGTGCTGCGACAAAGGTCGTTATATAACAGCAGACTCTTATAAGCATCTGGAGTATTGTTCTGCGGCTACTGAAGACCGTAACACAGAGAGATGGACCCTCAAGCTTCAATCGGCCGCGGCGAAATGGCCGAAATCCTCGCCTCGCTGCAGGAAAACAACAATGAGACGGCTGCCAACGTCGATGCTTGTCATGAGAAAGTGGCCTCTCCGTTAACGGGTATCTTCACCACCGACAAGTCCTTCTCGTCGCTTCCCCGGCATACAGATAAGCTCATGTCGAATCTGCGGATGCCACTGCTACTGTTTTCTGACGACAAGGCTGACACGCTGGTTTACATCGATGCCGCCGCCACTGAACAAACAAAGCATCGCTGGTTTCCACTCTCGCAGGCAAATAATAACATCATCCCTCACCGCATACACAGCCAGAAACTGCTCAGCACCGGGTCCCCCGTCCTGAAGGGACTTTTCGAACCACGCAGACAGGCACGAGCCCGACGACGCTACGGACTAACACAAAATATGCCCCCATCCATTAAACACGTCATTGATCTTACCCCCGCCTTAGAGGGTGACGATGCGGTTGTATATATGACCGAGCTTTCATGTCCAATGGGCGTAAGGAAATGGGCACAGTATCAGCCCGGTTGGAGGCTTCCATCAATCTGCGTCAGTGGAAAAGATGAAGTAGAATGGCTTGAAGTGATTGAAGTTGAGTCTCCAAAGGTCGAACCCTCGACGACAACTTCTCCGTCTGGAAAGGGGAGCAAAAAGGGTAGCACTCAAGGCAAAGGGAATGGGAAGGAAAAAGACAATAAGGTCAAAAAGCGACCCAGATCGCCCCGCCGAATCTTGAATTGGGAAGGAAATTTACCAACTTTACGCTCAGAACCGCCTGCTCAGTCTACGAAAAAATCAGCAGATATTGATGAAGAAGACATGCCGCCGATGATGAAAAGGATACCCGGCCTCCCTCTCGACTACTCGCCTATCCGCCACCGAACTTGTCTTGAACGTATTCTACATTCCCTCGAAGAACTAGACCCAGAACTTGACTCCGCGCCTAAAATGTGGACTTTTTTTGCACTCGCAAAACTTCTTGGTATTGTGGAGAACCCACTTATCGGCGATCACATCGTGGCCTGGTTGTATGAGGGCAATAATCCACTGTTCGTAGAAGTCAACCCCGAGTTAGCCTACCGGATGGCCTGCGGTTTAAAAAATACCCAGTTGTGTCAAAGTTCTTTTGCCATTCTCGTTGGTGAAGAGGCTTTATCCCTTCTGAATTTGTCTATGAATGGCTTGATTCCTAGGCGTGTGGCTCAAACCATGTACGGTCGCACCCGCGAGTCACTCGATGATACAGAGCTTCAGCGGATCGAATACGCAAGCAAAGTCTTTCTAGACCGTATTCTAAATACCTTCATCCAACTTGCTGGTAATCAAATGGGATGGTTAGAGATAATAATTCGAAAACACATCAAAGGGCCAGTTACACCGAGCCACGAACCGGTTATCAATAACCTTATCAGCTTCTTTAAAGATTGTGTGCGTAGTCGGATTTGCGAGGTCTTGCAGCGGCAGAGAGTGCCAGACATCGACTTCGAGTATCATATCGCTACACAAGACAACTACCCTGGTTTGAAACATCAGACCGCTATAGCTGATATGCCATATATTTGTCGAATTTTGACCCGAACCTTTTGGAAATCACTCAATAGCTCTGTATCTTTCCTGGGTGGAATGGATATTGCAAAAGTCCTTCTACGATACTCCTCTCTTAAGGATATGGCGCCTGAGCTCCCCAGCTTCAAGGATCAAGAGTGTGCAACTATTCCATACATCTCCCCTGCTGATGTGCAACTCTCACTGGACAACTTTCACACATTAGCGAATGGCTTCGATTCTCTACACTGGGCCAATTTGAGCACGCGGAATTATTCCAACCAGCGATTATTGGAAGAAGATGCTGTTATTTACTTTGATACAGACAGATGTGAGGCAGATATTGGATTTTATCTCGGGGTAGTTGCAAGTGGTATCATCGCTGCCCCCAATTCAATAGGCCCGGTGAATGATGGAGTGCAATTTCACACAGTCGATACACTCATTAGTCTCAGTGAAGACGAATTCAAATTCTTACCCTTGTGGGCTGGCGGTAATGACGACGGGACTGGAGGCGTCTTTATCGATAACGATGTTCCCATGATTGAAGCTGGTGGTTTCTCAACCGCCGGTCCATCGATTCATACCGGGTATTCAGCACCATCGGAGGCTGGGGATTCAATGGGTAGCTCATTCGATAGCATTGATCCGGATGAGGCAGTGAGCACGGTTCATCGGGCTTCGCATGAAGCGACAGACAGTTATGCCACAACAGTTCGTTCTGCGTTCTCGACGGGCTCGTCTACATTTGAACTAGTCGAGGAAGTTCGAGGTATGGACATCAAAGGTGAACAATCGGGTACTGTCAGTGGAAAGGATCACGACATTGACTTTGATATTGATACATTGGAGAGCGATAACGACTTTTACTTAGAGGATTATGATGACGACGATGACGATGATAATGATAATGACACAGTTGGCGCCTCGGACAAAAATTAATTCTACAGGCTTCACGGATTATGATGGAACTCGCAGGTGTGGGCTAGCTTTTTCTTGTTTTTCATACACATAATACACAACTAGTACCTTAAAACTAGGGTATACTTAGCAAAATCATGACAAAATAATATTATGATTTCTATAATTCTGTCCTGGCTTTATCCTCCCTTCATTTGTTCACTTTCCAAACCCAGATTTCTGAACAATCTCTTCCAAAAGTATGTGTGTTCTCAAAGCTGAGTCAAATGTTGCATAGTGTGCTTCGTCGTCTATAGCAAATGCCTCATACATGGCAGCAACATTGATAGACCTGCGGTCGGTCAGGATAGAGTCTTTCTCTTCCCTCCGTAAGAAATCAATTTCAACTGGCCCTTCGTTTCCGACCCTGAGTCGCAGTTTTCGTTTTGGATCTGACATCTGCCAGTTTGACTCTGGCGTGGTGATCTGAATCTCTCCTTTAGTACCAGATATAATCCAGTTAATGCCAATACCATCAGCGGTTGACTTCACTGTTCGATAACTCAGCGAAGCTATGGCACCGCTTTTGAGGGTTCCTTGGATAACTATATGGTCTGGGGCAGTCTTTGGGTACTTGGGATCTTTGACTTGGCCATCTGCACCCAGGATCGGAAGTGTTGGGATTGTGTTTTTGAGGATAGACTGTACATCTGCAAATTCACCCAGGACGTCGGTAAAAGAATCAAGAACTATCATTTAAAAGTCAGTACTAAACTGGTATGGAGAAGAAATTGTATATCAATCGATAATTACTCACAATGTCCGAAATGAATCGTGAACAAATTTCCTCCAGACTTAAAGTCCAGATAATATTCGCCGCCCTCAAACCAAAAGTCGCTTGGAACGGCGCTTGTAGAACCAATGGCATAAGAACTGACGACTTTTCCGATTTTCCCTTGACTTATGACTTCTTTCACTTTGTTAACAAGTGAATCTGCTCGGGATTGCAAGCCGACGATTGTTTTCACGCCATTCTTTCTCGCAAGTGATGTCAGCTCCTCTGCCTGAGCCAAGCTTGACCCCAGGGGCCATTCAACAAAAACATCCTTTTTAGCTAATAGAGCTGGTTTAAGGAGCTCGAAATGCTTCATGACAACAACGCAGACTACAACGAGATCCACATCGGGGTCGTTGGCCAAATCTTCAGGACTGCCGTATGCTTTGGTTTCGGCAGGCAATTTGTAATGAAGTATGGCTTTCTGGGCAGCCTCCACAGATGAGTTTGAAAGGGCGACAATCTCGTATATTGGTGAAGACAGTAAATGAGGAAGATGCGCAACGCTTGCCCAGACGCCGACTCCTTGTCCACTGGTGTGGCTGGAAGAAAGACCAATCAGGCCAACACGAATGGGAGCCATATTCGATTTCCAAATCTCGCAATGATATCAGGCCAGTTCGGGTTTTATGATCAAGGAGAAGAGTAGGCTGCAGCATTTGATACCGGGATTGAAGTCTACTTATGCCCATCCCTAGTGCGATAGTTTACCCTCGGAGCTTATGGGAAATATGGGAGATCATCATTTGGAAATAGGAAGTAAACACTGCTCTTGCTGTCTGAGGGTTCCCGTGATGTGATTGGTGAGGAGCGGGTGTATATCTGATTGGCTCAAACTCCGCCTCGTTATACAGTCGAGGCCAACGTCAGCGTCAAGTCTGGTAAAACACGAACACGCTAAATCGTCCAGTTCCTATGGCTGGCTCGACTAGGAAATCACCTATGATGATGTCGACGTCCAAACTGGCTCTGTGTTGACAACCCGACCTGCGTAGACCTCCGTGATTGGTCGAAACTCCGCGGACATTGCAGGTTGGAGCTTACAAATCAGATGTCTAGCATGACATTTGCCCTGCTCTTTTTTTCTCTTCTTCTATTTTCATAGCAAGTCCATATGGAATATGCGCAGAAAGGCCTGTCAGCAATGTCGTCTTGCCAAAGCACGCTGTTCCCTCGCTGCACCATGTGCTCGGTGTGCAGAACGCCAGCTTTCCTGCCACTATGTAGGCTCGATGCTGAGGCGGCATGTAGCAAGGGATAGGCCAGCTTATATTCGGCCTTTTGAGAATTCAACTTCAACAACTTCGTCACAAACAAAAAGCCGTCCGGCTGTCTCATCTTCCTTCCAAGATACTATTCCAGTGTCCTCATCTGCCCAAGGCACAGCTTCATGTTTCGTTGAAGATGCTGCCGATGGCCGGTGTGAAATTTCCTATCAGGAAGAAGCTGCGTTTATAACGGAGGCGGTTAATGGATTCCCGGACGTGAATTCCATGCTCGAAGTTCCATTGAATACGACCTCCAACCCCATCGTAGATACACCATCGTCAATTTTTCAATGGCAAGGACAACAGAACACCGAGCCACAGCTGATGGGCCCACTATTAGGGTCGGATGATTTCCAGTCCTCTCAAATTCCCATCGATGACAACAACACTGTCCTTGATAGTGAGAGTATCGATTTGACAGGGTCTAACTACTCCATATTAAGTCCTCAACAAAAACCGCATCAAAGTGGGCCTCCGTCAAAGAGTACACAGACACATACTTCGACCTCAGCAACCAGGATTCTCACGCGCAGGATTCTGTTGGGCAAGCTAACTTCGTATCCACAGAAGATGATTGGTGGCCACCCGCTGCCTCCATTCATTCATCCGCAATGTGTATTACAAGAGAGATCGCAAGAGGAATGCGTATCCAAAGGCACTCATACTTGTCTACCGGAGTCTCTAGCAATCTGTGCAAGTCTCGTACAAATGTTCTTCACAAAGACCAGTACGAGTACAGCATTTGTCTGGAGGACCATTAATGCTGAACATCGTCGGATGTATAACGAAGCATGTCTACAATCTCCATTCTATGATTATATTGATTCCAATACTAACTCGTCCAAGCATTGGGGTTATGATGCATATACACTTCTGTCGGCTCTCCAAGCGTCGGCGATCTATACGTTGTTACAATTTATCGATGTATGTGCCTTCGGTGACGATATACCATGCTTCGTTGAAAACTGTATTGTATGTACTGAAATTCAATTAACACGATCATACGTGTATATTTAGCTAACATCTTTGAAGACCATGGCCAAGACGTTACACACAATCATCGACTACAAATCAACCCCAAATTCCTCCCCGGACTCTGACGGCTTGCGGTCAACCTGGGTGCTGAGAGAAAGCACAAGGAGGTGATTACTATCCCGATGATATTTGTATTACTCGAGATTAATGAAATAACATTGCATAGAACTTTCTGTTTGCTGTACGGGATTGAATTAATATCAAATTACTATAACAATTCATGCGGGTTTGGAAATTGTCCTCTTCCTTGTCAAAGAGACCTCTGGGATCCTTATGCGAACAATAGTGAGTGGATTAGAAGATATAAATGCTGCATTACCAACAAGACTTGCTCTTTCTTTTCTTCTGGTTCCGGTGAACAAGTCCTGGCGATCAAAGACCTGGTTAGTGCTGTTCAAGAGACACCAGAGTTCGATTGCCTTTTATCTTCTTTCCCTTCTTCATTGTCTTCTACAGCTGGTGCGGTGGCAAGATGGTGTAATGAATTGGACGAATTGGGGATGTTGGTTTGGATGGCCACAATGCTGGGTCTCGATTAGCAAAATGCAGAGTATTTGTTATTCTCAAATAGCAGAAGTAATAGTAACGGTACAAAATTGCGGCTAATATCATCAACACAGGGATATCTCAGAAAAGAGCGGCCGAGGCTTCCTCCACTGACATTGTGACGACTACATGTAACTGGCAAAAGTAAATTCCCGATATCGTTAACTGGTATATCGCTAGCAAAGCATGATAAAAGCGAAGAACGAATTCTGCCTCCACCGCTGCACCGAAATCAAGTCGATGAAATTCCGAATGTCCAACTCAGAATGAGAAACTGCACAAAACAAACACCTTGCTCAAAAACAGGAGAAACCACAGAGAGAGGGAGAGAGGAGCCACCGATAAAACCAAGCACATCGTCTCACCCCTTGACTTCAGCACCTCTGTTGAATGTTGTACATCCTCCGGTTGTTGATAATGCGAAAGTCCAGGAATACAGCTCAGTTCGCGGCAGATCCTTTCGGCGGATACTCCTTCCCCTCCTTTTCGACCTTGGGTGCACAAACACACCATTCAGCCTCTGGAACAGACTCGAATACCATGGGGACATGAAGGCCGCATCCCCACCAGGTGGTTTTTTCTATAATTCAATGGGCGCGTTAGCATGTCCCTGTTTGGTGTACGAGCAAGGGGCGTACGGCAAGTTGAGCAAGTTGCCTTTCTGCACATTGTGATGTTGAATCGTTGGGGGTGGCCTTTGGAGTTGGCCCTGGATGAATCAGTGTTCAAATGCTCATGTGATGCTGGCGAAACGTCAGGCACAGGGGCTCTGGCCTGCAAGACGAGCAAAGGCTGTGTGTGGAGGGAGAATTCGGCGATGCAGGGCAGGGAGACGCTCTCGTAATAATAATAGCAGCAGCAGAGTTCTAGGCTGAGGCCAAGGCGCTGTGCGGGGAAATTTGCATTCCCAGAGATAAGGAGCAAAATTAGCATTCTGTTCCCCTCATCGGCTCAGGCTCTCCCTACAGACAGCCCTTTCGCAGGCGATAAGACCCATAAAAGCACGGAAAACACACCACTCACACTGTTTGCCGCGGAGAAGAGTGAGCATCTGCACACGCCACTGGCTTTGGGGGGAAAGTCTAATAATATTTCAAGGGGAAAAAATATGTATAGCTTCGTTTCTGAGCGGACCCATGCACACCATCCGATAGTAAATATATAATAAGAAGAAGAAGAAGAAAATAATAATAATAATAATAATAATAATAACAATGTAACGCCAAACTTTCGTTATATGTTCATCCACTAAATCAATCTAGTGCGCTATGCGACCTGCGGATTCGGCAGCCAGAATTGTCCGTCTAGGAATGTGATGAAGTCGACCGGGTCTGGTGCCGGCCGCATGCCAATGTCCAGCACGTCGCGGGCTACTGCTTTAATCTGCCGGTTGACCGTCTGCGAAATCGCCCAGGTTCTGCCCAGGGACTTGAAAACACCCACCGTGAGAGACAGCCGATCCCGCCGAGGGTCGGGCATTTGTCCAGCTTTGACCGAGTACGCGGCAAGTTGCACGATGGAGCTGAGCACCAGCGCGCAGATGAAAAACGGAGTGTGTTTGGTCTCGGGAATGCGGATTGCTGCCAAGTTTGATATCTCGCTCGCGGCTTTGACGGCCTTCATGGCATGAGAGTGGTGCGAAAACGCCGGCATGAGACATATGCCCGAATGCCCGCAGATGACCTCTGCAGCCACGGCTGGGGACGAGAGAAGATCGGAACGTGGAAAATGCAGGTAAATTGATGCGCCATTAATAACCATCTTAGCCTGAAACATCATCTCATCAACGGTCCCGTCCGCGAGCATCAGCTCCGATTTGGACTCGGGAAGATGATGAAACCAAGAGGCGATCCTGGCATCGACTGACTCCACCATCTCTTGGTGGCCATTGGGTGTTTCGGAGAGTGACACGACCCGGCCTAGGATACGCACAGCTTCAATGCGGTAAGAGTAAGACGAGAAGTCGAAATCCTCATCGGCAAAGACACGGTCGTCAAACTGTGCAATTGTGGGCGGGGAAGCCGGGGGGTACAGACCATCCTGGTAGATCCGTTCTTCACAAGGAAGCGGAACTTCGAGCGGGACAGTGCTGGCTGTAAAGGTAGCCCTGGCTCCCAAGGCAGTCAACATGCCCTCGATAACAAAGAGCTCCCACCACGTTCGTCGAAAACTTTCTTCCCGGATGGGATCGCCTTCCGCCATTGTTTCAGCGAATGATCTGAGGTGAATGCCAAGTTCGTAAGCTAAATCCATGGCCTGAGCCAGCAGCGCGCCGGCCTCTTGACGCTCGTTGCGCGAATGAAGAACAATAGTCAGCAGTAGTAGAGCCTGCACCTTTTCTACCCCCGGCTCTGCGTCTGTGACGTCGACTACCACATTGGGGCGATATGTCTCGGGGGAAGCGGCAGTGGTGAAGTGAGTGCCAATGAACTTAATCACCCGTTCGAGGTATTGTGGTGGATGGTAATGGTAAAGCATGTGCAAAGGCGGAAGAATCGGGTGGGCGGAGTGAAAGTGTGAGTAGTAGACATCGACCAGATAGCCATCAGTTCCCAGGGTCGATGAAGACTCCGGGGTCAGAGGTGACCTAGCCGTAAGAGCGTGATGGAATCCCAACGAGACGGAGGTTGTCCCTATATCTGGTGGCGTAGATTGCGAAGAAAGAGGGCCGACGGTGCCAGGGAGATGCCAGTCGGATGTTTTGGGCGCATCAAGGGGAAACAGTCGCGGATCGGGCGTAGTGTGTAGGTCTGTTGGAGGGGGATCGGCGCGCCGCTTCTTCGATGGCCCTTTGTAACCTCTTCGAGAAGGCGTGTATTCGCAGGTCAGCTGGCCGGACATACACCGTCCGCACACAGGCTGCTGGCCATCGCATTTGAGATGCTTTTGGCGGCAGGTCAGGCAGGCCAGTGGCGATGGGTTCGAGCTCTTTGGGGGAGCATTGGCCCTCCCGACTGTAGTGGTATTGGGGTTGGTGCTGGTGCTGGTGCTGGTGCTGGCGCTGGAGCTGTTGATGTTGCCATTTACATTTCCATTGCTAGAATTGGGCCCGTCGTTGCCTGCATTACCGAGAGGGCTTGTGTCAAAGGAATACGCAAAGGGGCGGGGGTTCATGGTGGTGACAGCGAGCTTAGCAGCGGTGAGTGGGGCAGACGATAATCTAAACGGCGACGGTGTTGGATCATGAGTCGGCAGTGATTTGATGATTTGATCGGGGATCGATAGATCTGATCGAGAGTCAGACGGCGCAGCGGATCGCCAGCGTTACCAGGACCGCCGCAGTAACGCAATTGGCAGCAACTGCAGAGCAGATGATAGCCGATGGATAGTGTGCTGTTGCAATTGAGAAGGAGTTTGCAACAAAAGAGGGGCTCGCAAGCAAGAGCGGCGGGTATCCGGTTCGCGTCTCGATGGGGGAAGAGAGAGGAGGGAGCAGGGCGCAAAACAGAGACAGAAATGCAGAAAGCCGCGCGAGAGCTACGGTTGCGATAGAGAATAGGGAGGAGAGGGAGAAATATTGGAGGACAAATGCGTTAGCAGGTGCATGTGGTGGCGGTGGTGGAAGGTAGTCTTAGCTTACATTGACAGCAAGCGCCGGGCCAATCAGCGCATCAGCCATCACATAGATACATGTATTTCACGTGATTAGCAATTTTATGTGTATATGTACACCTATATAATCAGATGACTATGCAACACGTATGGTATATCATTAATTCACCTTGGCCCTTTTTTCGAGTATTTATTTGCTTCTATACTCGGTGATCGGTATGTCGGTATGTAGATAGCCGCTGATTGGCCGCGCGTCCGCTCTTAGTAGTAGTGCTAGTCGTCTTGCAAGTTGGTGCTGCACCATCCATCAGTGAACCACATTGGGTCCATCCATGCAATAACAGCTCCCATTCAGATGTTGATAGACGACTACTGCTGGTAGAACACATCCGTCTTGCTGCCCAGCTCTTCCAGGTCCGGTCGCTCCTTTTCTACCCCCGTCAATTGACTTGGCCAATGCTTGGCGAACTGCAAGCTGGCCAGACCTATCCAACATTGAACAATGAACACTGAACACTGAACACCTGCAGCTAACAACCGCGAACCACAGCCTCCTCCTCCCCTCCGCGTTATATCTCAAACCGAACAAGCAGCCATGATTTCCGACGACGATCTTTTTAGTCTCGCCATTTTCCTCGGCTCCGTCGCCATGCTCCTCATCGTCCTCTACCACTTCCTCGAGATCAACGCCAAAACCGAGGCAGAGCCTTCGCCCGATAGCACAACAGATACTGCGGCGTCGAAGAAGATCCCTGTGGGTGCCGACCCCGTTGCGTTTACACCTGGCGCTGCTGTGGCTTCCAAAGTGAAACCGCGGTAGATTATTATGTTTTGGCCTCTTTCGAACTCGCATGCATCATACACTGGACTGGAAGAAGACATGTTGTTTTATTAGTATTTCAGGAGGAAATTGGCAGGGACAAGTCGCTACGCGAATGTATATGGACCTTCAGAAGATTGTGCGCTTTTCGATGAATTAATTTATGCTTGTATTAACATCTACCGGTCTTGCTCTTGGGTTTCGTGCTCTTGTTACGCTTGTTCCGTGTAATATTTCAGGAGATGAAGATTATATATCGCTACAGACTAAAGCCCAAGTAAAGAAAAATAATGCTTCTCCACATAAGAAGAGCAAGCACGCTAGCTCCCAGTTGAAACGCCAGGTATCCGGCTAATCCCATGACCATGCTAAAGAATCTTGTTGCTTTCGTCTGATTACGACGAGTCACCTTGTTGGAACCAATCATCCGCATCCTCCTCGTCATCCGTCACCACCTGGTAAACCTCCTCGTCGTTTACGAATACCTTGTTGCGTGTTGGATTGGAGAATTCGCATCCCTGCTGCTCAAGCCCGATACCAACTTGCTTGCGGCGCCTTCGGACTGCTAAGAGTACCTCCTGTGCTTTCTGTGTCGGCATGTCATTGCCACGCAATTTGTTGAAGGCACGGATCGGCGTCGGTTCGACGGGGAAAATAAGGGAATCGCTTTCTCCGGCTTTATTCGCATCCGGAGTGATGATCGATCCATTAGCGTTTAGGTATCGGTCAAGCTGAATATCTAATACGAGAAAAACAAATCCCCGGTTTCAATAATGGTTCATGACAATGCAATAACAACCTGCGAGGTGCTCGCTTTCTCACCGGTGCCGTTCACAGACGGTCCATCCCCGTATTTCCATGCCAGTGCTTGGACATGCGCCTGATGCAGATGCTTTTTGAGGTCTTCACCATCGTACTCGGTATCCGAGTTCGGGCAGCGGCTCCACTGACAACGCGTCTGTCCAGGGACGTGCGCCTTGTCGACATGGCGCTCGAGCGTATGAACATCATGGAGTTGCGCGGGACACGTAGCCCACTCACATGTAAAGATCGGATACGGCGCATCTGGGATGGGGAGACGAGCGGGGGCAGCAACTTGAGCGCTCCTTGCGGCTGCTTTCAGAGTCGCCTTGGTTGGATTCTTGTTCTTCGACCCGGGCGGCCGACCGCGACGACCAGACCCTGGCCCCGAAGTGGGCGTGCCAGTCATCGTCTTTCGAACTAGCGGTGTCGTAGTAACAGACAGAGAGTCAGGACCAAGTTCAGTGTGAGGCGCGTCCGAGGCGGGGCCCTCCTTATCAGTGTTCTCACGTGACTGCCTATCGCGGCGCCGTTTGCGAGGAACACGCGGAGGCTCGGCCAGGATGTCTTCCAGCTCGACAACAGGCATGGCCGGTCCCCCTGGGTCGACCAGGTCCCAGCGAAACGTCCCCAGGTCGGTCTTGCTGCCAATCCCCGCAAATATGTCCGGGAATTTTATCAGGTGGTAGTTCAGCGGACGCTCCGACGGGTGCCGTCCAGCCGTGATTAAGATATCTCGCGCCACTGATTTGGGATTGTAGTAAACTCGTTCCAAAGCCGCTGAAGGTTCTATCGGCTTGGCGATCTTCTTAAAAGCTTTGATAGATCTGATGCAGAACTCGTCGTCCGGGTTAAAGTCGATCTCTGGCTCATCCATGTGCGAATCGGTAGGGGATTTGGATCGCTCCGATTCAAATGGACGGGGAGAGGGTGCACCAATGTCTATGCTGGGCTGGTCAAAGCCAGAGGAGCCGCCATGTTCAATGGAGGCGTGATCTATTCTAGCCTGTTTAGAGAGGCGGGAACCCGTCTCTTCGTCACTTAGTTCTTCCTGTTCATCTGCTTCATCGTCTTCGTCACTGCTCAGCAACGATAGGTCGACAATCTCAGAAAACAGTCGCTTCCTCGCCTTCTCTTGTTTTGGCCCAAGCACTGGCGGGGGAATAGGCTGTGCTAGGGATTTTCGTAACGATGCAGGTTTGTTCTTAGGCAGGGCGGACGCATTTGTCCCCAAGTCCGCTATGGACATAGAAGCCGAGCCACCATTCGCGTCGAGAAATAGAACATCTGCTGTAGAAAGCTGTGGCATGTTTTCTATTCGAGGAGACTTTGGATGTGCGGGATTTTTCTTTGGTTGGGGCTTCGAAGCAGCCTTTTCTGCAGACGATGGAGCTGGTTTTGTAGCTTGTAGCGCCATAGATTCTATGGCTCCAGGATCCGAGTTTTGCACTTGTTGAGAAGTCAAGCTGCCATTCGCTTCCCCATTCTTTGGCTCTTGCGAAGCAGTGTTGTTACTGATAAGCGCCGGTACCGCTGCGAGAAGAGATCTGGCCAGGGCTTGTCTATCTAGAACAAATCCTCGAGATTCCAATTGTGCACATAGATCTGGATACGTAGGGTTGTTTCGTAATAGTAGCATCAAAGAATCAGAAGAACATTGCCCCTTATCGTTCGTAGGGTCCTTGCTGAGATACTCTGATGCGGCTTGAGCCAGTTTCTGTTGAGTCGCTGCAGGCCATGTCGCATCCTGGGCAGCAAGTTTGTCAGAAGTATAATGCTGCGGCTGGTCGGATGGCTGATTGAGCATCGAATTGACATTAACTTGAGTAACGGATGTAGTGCTACTCTCTTTATTGGGAGTCTGTTGGTCTTCGCGCTTATCCTTCCTCCTACGCCGCAATGCAGGGAATTTTCCAAGATCTGGCATACCATCAATCACACCAGTCAATGATATGCCTTTATTTTTTCTTGCTGAGCCTGGAGTTTTAGTTGTGGCTGCTGCAGAGTCAGGTTCTGTTATCAATGACTTCGAATTTTGGCCTTTCTGGCCTTTGTTCTCCTGGGAACTAGAGCCTTGTTGACTTTCCGTAGGGGTCTTTTTGAAATCATCCCATAGTTTAGAGAACAAAGATGGATCTTTGGCTCGCATTCCCTTGAGTTTTTCCAGCATCATTCGCATTTCAAGGGCCATACCATCTTCGCCGTCAAGAGGGTCTGGCTCAGGTGCGAGGGCTTTGTCCGCTGCTTTCTTCCTAGGTGCCTTTCGTTTAGAAGGCTTCTGTTTCGGGCCGGCAGACGTGGTATCAGCCGCCGCTTCTTCCGCAGCCCTAGTTGCAGCGTCAGTCTGGGTCTGGGCTTCTGTCTCCTGCTGTCGCCTCACTTCTGCTGCTTCTACTTCTACCGCTCTGGCACGCTCTTGTGCAAGTACATATTGTTCGTTATAAAGTTCGTTAGGGTTTATGAATTGAACTTTCGGCGGAGATATAGGTTCTGTGCCAGCACCAGATTGTCCATTTGAGTATCTGTTCGTCATAGTGGGGGGAGTACTCGGACGCAACGTATTCTCAGCATTAGATCCTGTCATTATTGTACTGAGAGAATTGTGTCCGTTGGATTGATGTGAAACTGAGGATATATTTGAGGCGGCGTTTACCAAAGAATGTAAAGTTGGAGGAGTTCTTTTGTTAGGAAACTGCTGACGCCGTGCTTTGGAGTTCGCTCGCGGCGATGGCTGTCGCTCTGTTTGGGAAGTTTCAGGGGCTTTAGCGGGTTGTTGTCGTGCCGTACCACTGGATACCGGTTGATTCTGGTGTTGTGGCGTTGGACCAGGCGGTGACAAGGGCGATCTCTGAGGTTGCCGATTATAGCCGCTCGTTGTTCGACCGGCTACATCTAGGGCCTGATTTGATATCTGAGGCGAGTAATTGAGGGAGACTGGTGCGGACAGAGCTTGATAGGAATCTTTGCGGTCTTGTCTTGTCGTGTTGTACACTGGCCGGTTAGAATCTTTGTGAACCGTCGACTCTATTGCAGGCGCGTATACCAGACTATTAAGCCCTGAGCTTTCCAGACTCTTCCCCTGCGGCCCTGTGGTTTGATTATAGGGGTTCATAGAATTTGACAAACCTCCGGAATACGAAGAATAATCTTGAGAATGCGGATATACACCGTTACCAGCAGCAGAATATACCCTCGAACTATCAAGCTCTTGATTGCTGTGACTTGTCGATGTGGCAGCTAAAGCACCTTGGCTATTCCAGTTGTAATTCGCTTCCATATATCCGCGAGGGGGGTGGATGGGCTGGCGGCTGCTGGCATATTGATTATTCAAGTTCTCTTTCCTGCTGCTGTCGTCCTTTCCATATCGGTATGAGTTGTAGAAGTTCGAATATGATGACATCGTCGGCATAGGTGAAAGCGTAGCCCATTCTTCTTCTGCAAAGTCATATAATAGCGTCCTCCAGATGGTCAACCTCGGTGCAAAGGTTCGCCGATGACTGCGCAACGATGAGCGGGGAAACAGGGCTTGTTTCGCAAGATACCGCAGACCCCGGTAGACAAAATGTCTGCGACTCGAGTCCTGCTATGCAACAGTCCTCCCGCCGCCTGTCATGGATAGAAACACGCCTCAGGGATAACGACGGCGTGCTGGAATCCCTCCAAGTCTCCACCCAATACATCCCCATCCGGATAGGCGCGGTCATGTGACGCACATACAAAAGGCGTGAACCGTCGCTGCGACCGCACACTGTTTACTCTACCCTACACTTACAACACTCTGCACAGTCTCTCCACAGTGCTTGATTCGACGCTTTGTTAGCTGCCCTGCCACTATAATATGCTTTCCCGCTACAATTGCAATGGCTATGTCAGGTGCAGCGCTACAGCAAGGACTGTTAGGGCAAAGGCTGGAACATCAGTCGTGCAATACCGCTCTCAAGGCATAATCGTTTAGTGTCTTTATTGGCGAAATGCAGTGAAGATTCATCTATCTCAATCTAGTTAACTGTTCAAGCAGGGATAGTTAATACGCTTGCTACAGCCAAGTCAATTCAATTCTACAACAATAATTCGACCCAACTTTCTGTTGGTGCTCTCTCGCCTCTTCTTCAACGTAGCTTCAAAGGCGCCAGGTTATCTCCGCATTAACCCATTTGTTCATGGTTTTTGAGGTATACGACTGGCGTAGAGGAAGGTCCAGAACTTGACCAATTTCCATTTTACATACAAAGGAAATTCTGGCCAGGTTCTGCGACTTGCCTGCAGACTCGCACCGAGATTCGATCGATGACAGTGCGGGTTTGATAGTGAGTTACATACGTATCACACCGCTAGCTGTTATAATTATTATGTCCCATATTGAGCATTAATTACTGAGCCAATGTTCTTCTCTGTTTCCATAAGCAAATCACTAAATAAATGAATAACAGTTCACACCATCACGCCATGCAAAAACTGCCCTTCCTGTCCTTCAAAATCGTTGCAAAAGAGAAAATACCGAACTGTGAGTTACAAGGGTACTCCAAAATATACTAGGAAAGCTGGATATCCAATCACCTCCCTCGCGTCCTGGTCTCGGATCGAGTGAAGATTGGTGAAGATAGTTAGACTGATGCTATGCTCATTCCTCACTCTTATTCCCGCCGCCGACACATTTCCCCCATGCAGGCAGTCCACAACCCATCCCAACAAACAAGTATATCAAAAACACAATCACAATTACCAGCAACACCATCACCTTGATGTTCTTCCACCACATCCTCCTCCGGAGCCCTCGCGAGCGCATTCTGAAATCATGCGCACTGCCGCCAAGGCGGTCTGTCTTGTCAACCAATAAATCAATTCTCTCGCCTCGCTCAAGGACTCTTTCGATATTCTCCGTCATGATGTCTCGCACGTTGTCAATTTCCTTCCGAGCGGACGCGAGAGAATCAGAAGGTGGCGCTGTATTGTATTGTTGAAGAAGCGCGCGCAGTTCTGCATTATATGCAGCACACCCATACGCAGGTAGAGCCGAAAATTCAGTTGTAGAAGGCGGATAAGCGGTCAAGAACTTCCGTTTCATTTCCAGCAAGAACGCAAACGGGATGCGTCGTCCTTGTTCGGCAGTAGCCACGACAAGGTAGCTCAGAGAAGAATGTGAGGTGATTTCTTGCTGGTTGTTGCCATCTTCATAGCGACCAGATGGGGAGTCTGCGATGTAGTGTACAAAAAGGCGATCGTGTGTGTAGGTGAGCTTTTGGGGTTTGTCGTGGGAGATTTTGGGAAGAATAATCGAGGCAAGGGAAGAAGCTGATGTGGAGGAGGCTCCAGGAGATGAATGTTCGGCAAGTATTGTAGTCCCATGCGCTATACAAGAGCTAATGAAAGATATGAAGTCAGCTTTCAATCGAAAAGGTTGATCCCAAGAGCGGTTGAGATGTCGTATGACGGATCTAACTCACTATAGGAGGGAGCTGGCTGGCCTCGAAGACGACGCCATTTTTGTCTGTCTGTATATTTCAACTGCAGGTCTCCGTTCAGCTGTGATTCATGTACTTCCTCTGTAAGAACGTGCTGTATTTGTAGAGGAGGCTGTAGTCGGTATTTGAAGCCTTGCTAAACGCGTGGATGCCTGTGACGTCGGTGTCAGCTAGAGGCCGGTCACGTGGTTTATATCATCGGTCTCGGAGTCTGGAGTAGTCCCAGTCAGGGACCAGAACTTACAAAATATTACAAAATACTATAAAATTTCGAATTTAGATCTAAAAGGGTCACTCCATCCTAAAAGCCAAGTTTTCAATCTCATCATCGGTAGCTCAAATGCTTCATCAGGCATGCCTCGAACCCCGTCAATATGCTCCATGCAAACACCAATGCATAAAAAAACAAAACAAATCTATATTAGAAGGAGTGGGTATCTCTGTATGCTTGATCTGTGCTTTCATGTCTGAACGAAAATGAACGAAACAAAAAACTGCCGCCTGGTGCATCAAACCAAAAACAGGTAGAAAAAAGTCAGTGTTGCGAAAATTGAAGAAAAGAATAGTATAGCTGGTATTCATGTCTCTCCTGCGTGAGCATCGATAATGTCCCCACTTTCGGAGTTTTGATACGAGTATCTGTTATTTTTCATATGGCGTAGCGCGGCGGCGCGTCTGGCCACAACATCTTCTTTATGAACGACATTCCTTAGGGCCTCACTCGCTTGTATAAGACCATCAATGCTAATAGCATGGTTCGTCATTTGATGATTCACATAAGTGTAGACTGCAGCAGGAGTGGAACAAGTAGTGAGCAGCTGCTGCTCATTAAGCTTGAGTAAAGCGAGAGCGACTTGGAACAAAAACGTGCTACCACCTCCACTCGCTGCCGCTTCAGCTTCGACATCCTTCGTTGTGTCATTTCCATTGGCTGAGGAACCTTTTTCGCGACTGACCGCAGTATTGGTGCCACCAGGGGTGCCGTTGTGAATTGTGCTTGTAACATTGAGACAAAGTACTACATCCCACACACGATATAGTGCTTCCGCAGACAGACAGTCTGTAAATATGGATAAGAACCACTGGAAGGTTAACGCCTCCAATTCAATACCAAGCTCATCTAAATGGGTGGATAATTTGGGGAGAACTTCTGTGATGTACTGACGCAGGACCTGCTGGTCAGCTCTAGAGGCGAGAAGGCCATGATCATAGTAATGCTGAGGCAGTATGTTTTCGATCATCGATGTCATAATCCAGAAAGCGTCCTCTGCCGTCGGCATGATCAAAAGTAGGGATGCAGCGATGAGGTTCATTCCTTGGCAGTATCCTACCTCAGAGTTGCGACGCGAATAGGCCAGCAGAACATCACGTAGTTTTGCCACACCAGGGCCTTTGCGGAAGAATACGTTGTCGGTCAGAGTTCGGTGGATGTCCATATCGATCTGAGCTACTATTGTGGGATCAACATCCACTGCACTGACCCCCTTTACAAGATCGTCGTAATAGCCAGGAATGCGCATCGCTGAAGCACCACTGCACTCAGCCCAGATTTTTGGTCTATGGGCGACGGGGATACCCGAAAGCACCAGTGACCGAAACTCACGCCACTTGTTCCGGCCGACTTTGCCCTTGTTGCCTAGGCCTGCGATACCCACAACTTCACCATCGGCGAGTGTAGCTTCCGGCATGCTAAGGGACAAATTTGCTCGATCTGGATCCATGGCTGCGGCCACTTCTCCTTCTCGACGACGCTCGGCACGAACCTTGCGAAGAAACTCGCTCCATTTCGTGGTTCTTTCCCGTTGGAGAGCATCATGGAGCTCTGTAAGTTGCTCCAAAAGCATCTTCACCGGTTCTTGTTCGTTCGAAGTCATGATTGTAGTTGTGGTTTGACGGGCAGCTGCATTGGAAAACTCTGGGTTATCAGCCACAATGGTAGAGGTTGAAGCCGTAGGCTGTGAACTTGAGCTGACAGAAAGGGCCCCATCTTTATCAAGAGCAACTGAAGAACCTTGCTTCTTCGGAAGCCTGTCTGACGTATTAACACCAATAATAGGGGCTGTCGAAGGAGTGTGAGATAAAAGTTCTGTTGGTCTTGTGGCAATTCGTAGATAGTCCTGCCACCGTCTCGTTATCGGGCCATCATTGCCGGCCTCCTCTATAGATATTGGAGTTCCAGAGTAGTCCGGGGGAAGTCCGCCATCTTGCTGCTGCTCCGGGGTTCCATCGTCGTCGTCGGTTGGATCTTCACTGCGATAGCTGTTGATAGTCTCTGCCATACTAGTTCGATTGGCCTTTTTCTTAAGATTGACTGCTTCCCTTTGCCGTTTTTTGCGACGCTGGTCATAGATGAAGCCGAAGCGGTCTGTGAGCAGCTCACCAGACTGGTAATTACCATAGATTCCAGTGAGTGTCGGCGGCCGAGACTCCATTGGCAAAATTGCATCCATCTCAACAGGACCGAGATTTGTGACTGCGGTACTATCACTGCGGTCTGCATTCGACCCATGTGGTGAGCTGACACCCGTCACTCGGCGTTGAGGAGCCTTGCTGGTACCTATTTGTGCAGAAGAAGTACCCGGTAAGGTATTGGAGCCGCTATAACTGTTGATGCGCTTCAGAGCGGCGACAGCAGAAAGGCTGCCTTTCACAGATGAGCTGGTAGCATTTCTTGCGTTATTTTTGAGCTTATCTTGGCCTAGTGAAGAGGCCCTGCTGCGGTCGTTATTCGAAGGACCAGGCAAATCTTTGGTCTGGGAACCGCCTGCAAATAGCTTGACCGTCCATGAAGCGACGGATCTCGAGGATCTCCGTGATTGTATACTCGAAGCATCGCCATTTTTAGGATCTGTGATTCTCCCTGACGATGTGGAACGGCTGTCCGGAGGTTGAAAAAGCTTTTCATCAAGTCCCTTCCGGCGCCCAGAAGTAGGATTTCCGGATAGCTGTGTACGGCCCGTGGCTTCGTCGAGATCATCAATGTCAGATATTACACTGCTAGCGCGACTGGTCTTGCGGCTGGCGTTGGTGCTTCCAAAGATGTAGTCTTGCCACATACGCACTGTTCCCTGTTTCCGCTGGGTGCCAGAGTCAATACTAGAGGTACCTGATTTGGAGTCACTGTCGTTGCGGTGCGGCCGCAGAGTCGCTTGTAGATCAGCGTTGTCTGATTCGTCCTCCCCAACGGGATCCAGCATAGCCTGGTCCATGAGACCATTGATGCTAGATTTTAGAAGCGGCAGCTTGGAGGACGACTCGTTGACATCCTCAACAATGGACTCGGCTTTCGAAGACGACGGGTTTTCTAGCTCATATAGACGCCTTTCGATATCCTGGCTCGAAACTCCCGCCTCGCGAAGCATTTTCTTAAGCTCCCTCTCTCGCATATCGGCCCTCCGCCGTAGTTTCGAAATTTCCGCGTCTCTAATCGCAAGGTCACGGGCATATTGTCTCACCACGGCGACAGCACCGCTTCGCTCCAATAGCAGTTCTATGTGCGCAGCGTCAGCCAAGTGTAGTGCTCCAGGAACGTCCATCGTCAGAAATGAGTCGTCAAACAAGGCGGCGCGACCAGACCCTTGTGACAATGTCGACGTGAGTCTATCCAAAGCTGCTCTTCGGTCACGTCTCGCATCGAAAGAGATATCTTCTATATCATCGGGCTCTGCTGACAGTATTTGATTGGAGCCATGATTCAAGGCTTGGTGACTGCGAAGGCCCTCGGCGGAGTCATCGGGCGACAGAGAAGGAAACGAGGTCAGATCAGCGGTTGTTGCAGTGTTTGACGAGGCGGTCGATAGTCCAGAAAGACGCTTGGCTTGCTTTGGCCGGCCGGGTTTGTTGTTGCTAGTGATGTTAACCTTCTGGCTTCTGCGAGAGGATGAGGAGGCCCGCGATGAGGAGCGTCGTTGCGGCGTGGCGGATATCGAATCCGCCATGGCCTGTCTGAACGTGTTCGCGGTGATACGAATGAGCGGCGAGGCCTGAAGACTTCATGAGAGCGCCAAGTGTGGGATCGGGCTAGAGTATGGAGTTGACTGCAACAAAGAACGAGATGAGTCGGGGATTGGGGGAGAAGAGGCTAGAATGTGTGGTGGAATGCGAGGCGCAGGGATGGACATAAGACATGAGTGCGCCGGCGAAAAGTAGAGAGCGGCGATGCGTTGTTTTGGCTAATACTAGATGCTACACGTTGGTGGTCCCAGAGTGAGTGTTCGCAAGAAAATAGTTGGCCTTGGTCGTTGTGGTGTTGTTGTCGGCCCAATTTAATTAAACTTCGCATGCAGAGGGAAACCATGACGTGCCAGCTGCAGGTCACATGTCCATCCCCACACAGCAACAACAACAAGAAGCTATACAATCCTGGCAGTACTAGCAATACTAATCAATGACAATTATAACAAATCCCAGCAGCAGCTTGATGAATTTCAACATTTTGTACGAAACAAAGCTAAGCTCTTATATACACATCAACATGGCTTAGATCAACCCAACTTTCCAGGAACAAATGGATGTCCAGCGCTGAGCCCGCCGCACACAGTCACCGCCTGTCCGTTCATATAGCTGCTCTCGTCGCTGCCGAGGAAAAGCGCAACCCGGGCGACTTCATCTGACACTGCTCCTCTCTGCAGCGGGTTGAGTTGGCCGATCTTTCTCTGTGTGCCCCGAGAACGAGCAGCATCATACATGACCTTGGTCATCCCGGTCTCGATAACGCCCGGGCAGATGGCGTTGACGCGCACGCCCGTGCCAGAGAGCTGGTAGCACGTAGTTTGGGCAATGTTGATCACAGCGGCCTTGGATGCTGAGTAGTCGGTAGAACCTGCATTAGAGCGGATGCCTGCGACGGATGCAGTACAGATGATAGATCCGCCAGGGAACGGTTTCGCTTCAGACGTGATTTGCATGGCTGGCGCAGCGTATTTGACGGCCAGAAAGACACTATCGGCAGACGCCGTCTTGTCAGCTCAATTTCCCTTCGTCAGACACTGTTAGACTGCAACGAACCCGAGTGTATTAGTTCGTAGTGTATTCATGAAATCCTCCGGCTCTATCGCGGTAAAAATCGTCGGTGTGCCAATAATACCAGCGTTGGCGAACATGATATCTAATCGTCCATAACGCGCAATCGCATCATCTACGACTGCCTTGACAGAGGCTGCGTCGCCCGCATCGAATTGCCGTATATGCACATCCACACCGGGATAAAGCGACTCGATTTCTCGTTTATGCGTGGGGAGATATGTTTCGTCGTAGTCACACAAGTATACAGCCTTGGCACCATTGTGAGCATATTGATGTGCGCTCGCTCGTCCAATGCCGATCGGAGAATTCGCGCCTTTTCGGATTATCAAGTCAATATGCATGTAGCGACGGCTGCCTCAACGCTATCCAAATACCTGTTACGATTGCCACTTTATCCTTCACTCTCCTAAGTGCGTTTGTTAGCGGAACGTATATCGAGCCCAAGATCGAAATAAGTTGGGGCCAACTTACGGCCCAACTGAATCTGAAGCAACCGTGCGAATTCGTGGAATATCCTCAAATGTACCAGCATCCGGGATACCTTCGACGAGTTGCTGGCTGAGCGCCTGAAGGCGTCGCTTTGCGGCCGCTGTCATTGCGCTATGTGATGCTCCAGGTTTTGACTTGTTGAAAATTAAAAGACGAGCTCGAAGTCGATAATGTTTCGATGGCAGGTTCAGTGAGGTCCAAGTAAGGATCGTTTGTCCATGTTCTGCCGGCGGTAATGTTAATGGTAACACCGAGGTATACCCCGGACTGAGCAGTGAGAGCCGAGGCTGTGCAGTGCTCACACCTGGCGGGCGCTAAGGCTTGAGACCTTCCCCTTCCACCAATATAATTGTTGTTAATGTTTGATTGTAGTCCAAACACCAAGAAAGAATTAATTAATGAATTACAGAACTTCATGGTCAGTGTTAGATTTACTAAATCTGCTTGACTGCGTTTCATTACATATGAAGGGAGGCGACTCGGCTTCGGGGTGCTGTTCTAGGATATACATGTATCAATTCAACAATTTCAATAACTACACATAAGAGACGAGAGCCCGGACACTAGTCGGCGATTTTGGAGAAATTCTCAAGATAGGGAAATAGAGTATGAGCATAGAAAGTTCAGGCCACCATACACGAATCTCATCAACTGCATGCATGCTGCGGCCCAAAACAACAATCCCCAATAGCTGTACAAGTGGAAGGGACTGAGAAATATCGAGATCAACGAGAAAAATCGGGAGGGATAAGCAGGCGTAATTTATTGGTGAAAATTCCGATATCAAATTAGATCAGCAGGAAATATTCATTCACGAAGAACCATCCATCAACATGAAAAATTGGAAGAAAGGTGAAATAGGGCAAAAGTAGAAGACACATCCGACGCCGAAGACGAAAATATGGAAAATGGCCGAATACCGCACCGACAGCGAGACCCGTAGCAGTTGCCTTTTAAATACATTTCATTGGGTATCACGCTTAAGAAACAACACGGGGAACGCTAGGTGTTACAATGTCCTGAGTAGGCTGCTTGCCAACGGCTACTGTCTCATTGTCACCGTAGTTCTCGGCTTCGTGAAGGTGTTCGTCCTCGTCTTCGACGATCTTTGTGGGAATATCTCCGGGGTTATACTGCTGGCTGGACCGCTCGGCGAGAGTTGAGGTGCTGACCATCGACATCGCGGTGCTAGAGCGGTTGTGCACGAGATCCGGAGTGGGAGGAATGCTAGAAGTGCGGTTGTCTGCGCTTAGGTAGCTGCCCTCACCCTCGCCCAGCTCGCTGCCTTCTTCACGAGTTCCGCTATCAGATGGAGCGAGATTGTCCGCGTCCTTGGAAGAAACGCCTTCCTCATTTTCAGCGTCCTGAGCTAGGTGCAAGCCCTCAACAGCAGCGGCACACTGCTCGCTGATGTTACGGATGATAGCAGCGATAGCATCAGTCTTATCCCTCAGGTAGCGATCAGTCACATCGGGCATGCTCATCTGAGAAAGACGGCGCTGTGACTTGTCCATGTTATGGAGATGACTTTCCATCTCGGGAGTCACATTGTTGGTATCTCCAAAGCTGCTGGACCGACTCGAAAACCCACTAGACATACGCACACGCGAACCGGGCCTCGAGAGGCGCTTCATCGACTTGGGGCTTTCAGCGCGAGAAGATTCTAGCTGGGATTGGGCATTCTCCAAGTTTTGTTCAATGTATTCGCTGATGTCAGGAGCAACGGTAAGGTTGCGAATAATGTGCTCCATATGGTGGGTCTGGCCCTCGATCAAACTACGCAGGTGTACCACAATACGTTGAGCTTCGTCGCGCTGACGTGCAAGCGAGGCATTGCGGTGTTCCATCGCCGAGAGCTGGTTTATGTTGCGCTTTCGTTCACGCTCCAGCTCCTCGGCAATCTCCTGCTGCAGAACTAGAGCCTCCAAAGCATCATCACGTTGCTTCTCGGTCCCGGAAAGACGAAGAGTAAGGCGAGCAAGGTCGTCCTTCTGCTGGTCAATGAGGCCGGAGAGACGGCGATTTTCACGCTTGTGGCCTTCGATTTTAATCTTAAGTTCGGAAGTCTCTTTGGTAAGCTGTTCGGCAAATGCTTGGAATTTGAGGAACTAAAAAAGATATTAGTGAAAATGTACAGAGCAAAATGCTGTGTTTGTACCTGTTGCTTCCAGGTCTCCAACTCTTCCACCAAGAAGTTGTTGCGTTTGGTAACCTTGGACAGTTCTGTGTCGAGACGTCCTTTAAGGTTGATGAAATCCTGCCAAGCCTCCATGGCATCTCGAGAGTACTGGTTGCGTTCACGGACGATCTCGTTGAGATGTCTCATCGAGACCTTGGTCATGAGTGGCTTCTTGACGGAACCACCGAAGATTGCTTTCATGCCAGTATTGCGTCCCTATTCAGATTAATTGCGGTTTCACAGTATAAGCTATAATATATACTTACAAGCTTCTCGCACACATGATCCATGACGCTCATGATTCCATCTTGATTCCACCAGGCTGGGTCCTGGATGCTTTCGACCTCACCTTTCATAACGATGATCTGGCCAGCTGGAACAAGTTTGCCGCCGCCGTAGGCAGAGCGTAGGTGTGGGGGGACTCCGGATGGTGTGACCTCACCATTCAGAGCCTGCGTCATACGGTTGATAAATTTGGTGCGCTGATTAGGCGTCAGGATGTTGGGCGGGCTTGAAGTCAAGACAAAGTTACGGTCGAGATCGACAACCAAGGCATCAGACGGGGCGGTAAATAGAGAACGGCATTCAGCCGAAATGCCGAGAATGTAAGGGCCAGGTTCCTCAACAAGCTCTTTAGCATGGCGAGCATGTACCACTGGGACATAGAGGCCGCTCCATTCGTAGACACGAACGCAGAAACGGATTGTTTCAGCAGCAACGGTGAGAATAGCAGGATAATGGCTACTTAAGATAATACGGCGGGTTGGCGAAACAGCTGCTTCGATTACGCCAACGATGTTGGGGATGGACAGGCAGTTAAAAAGCGGCCACATAGAGAAGTTCTGGAAGCCAGTAGGCGAGGAGGGGAACTGATAGCAAAGAGCGTAGTCTTTCATGTCAATACGAACCAGGTCATTGAGCCGAGGCGCCGGAAAACTCAGAATTCGCGAGACTTCCTCTGCATGGAAGAGGTTGGTGGCTTTGTTCCAGTGAATCCACATGCCTCGGAGATAATCACCAAGAAGGTCGTAGAGGGGGTAGCGGGACAAAAAACTCAAGCAATACGGGATCCAATAGGTCTCATCTGGATTGTCGTAGTAATCGGGCTCTGTCTTTTTACGCAAGTCGCGGATGGTCTCGGCGCGCTTTTCATCGGCACGAGACCAAACCTTCAGGGCGATACCATAAAGAGTGTGGGAGGAATCCTGCTGGAGGACGAACGAGTGATGAACGCAGTGAGGCTGCGATTTTCCGGTACAAATTTCAACATCATGAGGAAAGCAAGCCTATACATCGTTAGTTGGGCCAATTTTATGCATCTGCTTGTTGAACCACTCACCCTCATAGCAGCATGCAATGCTCGTGCGATATCATTGTCCTGCTCTAGTCTGGGGCTACTGCCGAGGATTTCAGGCAGCCAAAACTGGCCAACAGCACCCTTCATATGTTGGACTTTACCTTGAGCAGACGGTGGAGCCTTGACCCATTGGGCGGGCTCACGGCCAACACCGCAGACCATGTAGGCATGCGTCAGTGTCTTGGGGGTTCGCTGTGCCGGTTTCAAGTTGAGGGTCGAGGGAATGGGTTGGGTGATGCGTGAATGCAGCGATGAGGTCCGGCTTGGGATAATGAGTGAAGAGTCGACCTGGTCCCTGGTGACAGGCCGGTCACGCGTCGATGGACGAACAAAGGAAGAATGGTCTCTCAGAGATGGAGCCATTTTGAATTAGAGAAGGTAAAGACGGCTTCGGTTTGTTGGAATCAGAAAATATGGAAGCGATGAGTGACACAAGTAGTCGCTGCTCGAGGGCTGCTGGAAGAGGGTGGGCGGGATGGCCAATGGCTAGCCTCAAGGCTTTCAAATCTGGAAACACAACGGAGAGTAGTCCAAGGCAAACGTAGGAGCGCAGTTCACAACCCGTGTGGCGCTTATTCACATCTCCTGGATGATTCCGGCGATGTAGACTAATGGAGTGACGGGCAGGCAGGCAGACTATCCTGACTCCAAGGAGGTGTAGGAGAGAGTACGAGGAGAGGAGAGGAGAGGAGGAGACCAGATCGGTACGGGAAGACGGATAGCAGAAAAACGGGGGGGAGTGGGAGTGTCCGAGCTGCAGCTGCAAGCAGGACCTGCAGCAGCTTGCTTTTGGTGCGACGGTGGGTGAAGCTAACTGCGAAAGCACACGGCGCAATCAGCAGAGGGCAGCACTAACAGTAATAATAATTAACATAATAAGAGGCACTAATATTTAAGGGCAGCGCAAATCCACGACAGGGACGGACCCGACCCCTGAATAGCGGAAGGATTAGACAGGTCCGGCCGCCGGCAGCGGCAGGAAGTGATGGGACTGGCTGGCTGGAGATGGTGGATGATTGATGATGGATGATTGGCGCGAGGCAGGCCAAATGCTCGAGCCTCGATGCGACCGATTGTGCAGCTTCGCCGTCTCCTTCGCCTTGAGCCTTCAGGATAAGGAAGATATTACGCGAATGCGTATTTAGTCCAGTACGTACCACTCACGACCGGGCGAGCAGGAAATGAGAGCGGCGCCCATTGGGCCATGGTGGGCTGGTTCCTAGTTAGCCAGGCTAGCTCGGAGTAGCTGTGCGTTAGGGGCAATTAGCCTTCTTAGCCCGCTTAGGGTGTTTGATGAGAAGCTTAGGGGTGCAGACTTACTGCTTGGGAAGTTAGTAGGAGTGAGAGTGAGAGTGAGAGTGAGAGGGAGAGGGAGAGTGGAGAGTTTCTGTGAGGGCCCATGGGGCAGTCATAAAAGAGAGTACGCAGTAGGAGACGTCCTGGACTCCCTGGTTCCTGGTTCCCTGGGTCGCCCCTGCCGCCAGTACTCTCAGGTACCTAATGCCGGACCGTAACTAGCAAGTCCTCACTACTTACTTCTCCGTAATAGTAATACTTATTCTTAGGTACCGGTACTTGGAACTGAGTTATTAGGACCGCTGACCGATCGGCCTGTCCGTGCTTCTATCCCATCCTCGTTTTTGTTCTTTGCTATCACCACTACTACCACCACTATTACTACAAGCACCTATTAATCTCATTATTATTACTAGGGTCCCCAGTCGACAATCGAGGTGATTGAGTTCGGCCATGCCACACGGTCGCAGCGCCTTATGTGCATATCCTTGATGCTGAGCTTCCTCCCATACCCTTGATTATGCTGCCCCGAACCTCACAGGCAGCCAGGACGAATGATACCATCATTCCCCTCAGAGCCTAGCGCTCACTCGCTTTCGACCCGTCCTGACGGGACTGCATTCAGTGGATTCCCTGGATTCGATTGGCAATTCGAGGCCTTGTGCTAGGGAATGCACTAAATATTAGTGCCGTGGGCCTACAACTTCGACTACTACCGCGTACTTGCTGTGGCGGGGATGGCTATAGCTGTGCTTCTTGCAAGAGCTGCAAGCCGACGACATATAGTATTTACAAGTCAGTTTCGAGTCGCGACTAAAGCCAACGAGTACGGAGGTACATATATTCTGTTTGATCCCTTGCATCAACCCGATCTCCGTCCAATCGAGCGGCAATCGTTCGTTTCAGGTGAGACCACCATAAGAGATGTGCTGTCATAAACTCATAACAGTACGAAACTGCTCGCCTCCCGCCAAAGTTGAGATCACGGCTGCTGTTGATAGTCTAATACTACGTTTACTCAGTATGTAGACGTACTGATATCCACACGGAACCGTCAACAGAATCCTTCCAACTCACGGTACGAGCACACGTACTACTTCCGGCACGCCCTATGTGGTAATATGCTATCAACACTATCCAAAATCATTATCCAAAATTGGAAGCAAAAAATGACAAGCCTGAGAACCGCAACCAAAAGCGACGATTAACTTGGAAATAGCCGCCAAATGGCTGTCCACTCCCATGCTGAATGGCCAGGCTAAAATGTTCCAGGTGCCCATAAAAAGTCTCCGAGATCCTCTTCCCGAAAGGCAAATTTAAAACCAAAAATGTCTGGCATTTTTTCCATTTTCCGCCTGGCGTCAGACGGATAAAATGACGATTGACAGCATCGGCTGCCTAATTCAGAAGCTACAGCCGTAACCCGCTAAGAAAGGATAATAGCAATCCTCCTAGAGCCAAAAACCATCATCTATCGTGATATTGGCCACTGGTGCACGGGGTACGCGTTCGTTCACTTGCTGTCTCACTACACGGATCTAAGTCTTCGTGCAAGATCTTTCCAGATTCATTAATGGGCACCTTGAATCATCCCTGTCTGAAAGCACTGTATACTCGGTCGGAAATTTTTGATTGGCAGATTGAATTAGTCTCCAATGCCCATCTTTGATTCTTTGTACATGTGGAGAGAAAGAAACGGCAGGAATCAACATAGACTACTCAAGACCCCAGAGTGATAGCGCATGCATTATTGTGAACTTTGAATATCTCTATGAATTAGAATGTCAAATTTGTTTTTCGCTTAGCTTAGCACTCAAACACCACTGCGCATTAATATTCCCCATGGATTGGCGCGACTATCGAAACAATCACACACCATCCATGTCTCATCAAGTCGATTTAACCAACATTCAATCGGGTCCCTGGCTCCTGGAGGTTAGGGGTGTAGGGACCCATGTGGCTTGGACTGGTTGCAAACTTCGTTGGTAACTCTCTTTCACATTAACCTCCAAAACGACAAGTGTTGTTGTCCAATGTCCCTGTCGGGCTGCAAGCATGTCACACCATCACATGTACCATGTCGGCACAGCTTCCGAAGCAATAGCTGCACGGTTTGCTATTGGCCCATAAGCATCAAGGGGGTAAAAAGAAAGTCCGCCACTTTCTTTCTTCACCTTTCATCCCTTTTGTTTCAGCTGATTATTATTATCATTATTATTTAGATAAATTTTTCTCTGCGATATGCGTGCATCGATGCGCTGATTTCACCCACTGACGGATCATATAGTGATATCTGTCGTTTTATGACCAGTCCATTATCCCCGGTCACTTCTTCCATTTCGTCTTTGAAGCCACCATTGCTCGCTTTAAGATTTTGGCATATAATTCGAATCTAACGAGAAATAATTGGTCGAACATGTGTCACATACATTAGAGATATTTCCAATCGAATCAGATCCCATGGGTCACATCCAAACGAGTCCGGTTGCATGGAAATCCGTAGCCAACGTCTCTACGGTGGTGTCCTATCAAGGGGGAGCATTCGCATCAACGTAATTTCATACATTTTAGCTTTGTACCACATCGGATACGTCAACATGCAAGGATGCGCTGTCCTTTTTTCCTTGGGTACAAATTCCTGTGGCGCCATATTTGAAGAAGACTTTCCCATTTGCTCGTTTCCTCAGAAATAGATGTTGGAATGGTTTGGGTCATTTATGCTACGTGTATCCATTAAAGGACAAAGACTCGGATTTTCCAATACTATTTGGTCCAGCATACCTTGAATAAGTTAAATTAGTAGGCCAGCGATATGTAACCATTTCAAATTTTATTTCCGTCACCTCAAGTGTAAAGTTGGAATCACCAGTTAGTAATATGAAAGTATCTTATGATAGTGATATCAATTGGTTTCAATTATTCAAACAAACTTGACTATCGAGAAATACAAACAAATATTGCGAGAACCAATGCTCACTTCCTTTATCAATGTGTAATTCATATACCAGATTTTCTTATGCCAATTTCTTTGATATTCTTTGGGCTAAACCTCAAACACTTGAGTCTGCACTCCTTAGGCGATTACGCTGCGCATGCGGTCCGCCTTCAGCAGCGTTGTTGTGAAAAGTAGAGATTATATCCTTATTACACGGTTTAGCAGAATTCCTTTGTAAATAATCGTAAGGAACAAAAACGACTGCTGCTTACGTATTCATCAATGTCTCAACTTTTGTCATCATCTCGATCATACGTTGAAACTCCATTTCGAGGGCAATCGATGACGTTGACAGCAGTGGATCAGAGATTTTCAACAGATGCTTCGAAATTTTCGTTTGCTCCTTAGGTGATATTTCATAAAGCTGGTACAAGGATCAGTATTTTAAGAAGCAGAAAGCGAAAGCTGGAATCTTCAATATCAATACGTGAGTCGAAACCCGGCGCCAGAAGGGGTGTCAATTGATATCACTGGACCACGCCATATTAGTGGCGTTCAATTACTAATTCTTTTTCAGGCATAATGTACTATAAATATTAGGTGAATTATATGCAATACTAGGTTCTACTTGCTTATTATATGATGCGCTCTTTCCTCCCCAGGTACCGTCCAGCAGTTATCTGTAACATGGGACAAAATAAAGAAACTATACAGGCATGTAGTAGAATATCAAACGATTTTCGGTGGAATGTTCCCCGGCGGCGCCGGAGTTTCCGTCACCCTGTAGTAAGGATCTCCATTGGCATTCTGAAATCCAACCTTTTCCATCACTTCGCTAAATGTAGTATTAGGCCGCTCTTGTTGAATAGTGCGAGCAGCGCCAGGTCTCAACGCAGGATTCGCAGCCAACATATTAGGAGGAGAATACACCTTTATGCTTTCTGTACTAGGCTGGCGCGCAGGAAAAGGAGGCTGGTCAGTCTGTTGCGGAGGTGTGACCGGTATGTGTGTGGGTATTGGAGGGGGACTGGCACTATCCCAGCGAGGACTCTCGCCGGGATGACTTGAACCAAGTAAGCTTTTCACTCTGGTTCCAGTCCTTCGTAGCACTGACTTGGAGCGATGGTTACTTGGGTACCGCCCGCTAAACCTTTGAAGGAGAAAGTCAGTGCGGAAAGAACTGTTTTCATCGGCGGGAATAGGATCTGAGATTTCTAGAGAGGGTCCTCCGGAAGAGCGATGTCGCATCTGTTGTTGTTTTTGTTGCTTTATGTTCTCTTCTACTTTATTTCTCCTTCGGCACATCACAATGATTGCAGCTGCAAGGGCGCCACTTATCAGACCCGGAAAGAAGCCTGCAGCGATAGCCTTGGCCGGGAAATCCTGGCAGGTAGCAGCTACCTGTGCTTGCGTAGAGCTGGACGAGAGAGCCGAAGAGGCCGTACTGGTGGCTATTGAAGAGGGTGCTGTGAGAGAAAGAGTTGCAGTGGCAGCGGATATACTTGTTGAAAGGGTAGATGGAGCCACGGTTGAACTAGACCCTGAAGCCGAGGCTGACGCTGCTGATGAAGTGGATGTCTCGAGCACACAGGTATTGTTATTTGCACAAGAATAGCCGAATGGGCAGCACGCCTCGCCGCAGGATGATAAGGCACCAGACAATCGAGTAGTTTTGATAGTGGCAGTCGGATCAGCAGTGGCATTCTGTGCTTGGATATTGCAGAGAACAGGCTGGATGTAGGAACAGTCACTACCTGAGGGACAACAGACCACAGTAGAGTTGCTATCCACTCCCAGGCAACTTGTGTTGGATGGACAACAGAAATCTGCAGGATACGCACTTCCACACTGAGAGTAAGAGCTTGCGCAAGAGGAAGAATCTGCTCTCGAAAAGAGATCAGATGCAGCCACAGTCAACGGGGACCAGCCTAATTGTTGTACGACGAACACAGTGAAGACCGTGTATTTCGCCATGGTGTTCTGAAAAGAAACCAAAATGTTCTAGTATGCATGCAAAATGAAATAAATCTATGTTTGCAGACGGATATATAGCTAAAGCTGCGCCTATGACACAATGGACAATGGGCAATCAATACAAGGAAAGAAAGGTAGCAAGAAAGCGAGCTTTCTAGGGCCGTCAAAGAAAGGAATGAATGAATAGACGAACAGATTTTCAGCAGCAGAAATATCCGCGAGCCTGAAGAATCTCAGTCCTATATGTCTTGGAGAGCCCGCGGGCCATATCCACCCAAGGGCGAAGACGTCGCATTTCGCCGTACGCGCCCATGTCCCAGAATAGCCATGGTGAAAGCGCCGAGTGGCAGGCAGCGCTCGAAGAGGCGCCAGGGACGGGCATGCGGCTTGCCCGTCTACAGGCTGTACGACGAGCTATTTTCGTCGAGGCACGACGTGAAACACGACGGGGTGGAGCTGCAAGCGCTGGGAGCAGAGGCGATGAATTGGATTGTTGAATTGTTTGGTGGTGGTTGTTCCTCGATGCTTAGTCACGTCTGGAGAAGCCGCCGCTAGCCAGAACATGGCACTGTGATTGGCCATCGGCCTCTCCACTGGCACTAGGCCCGGACAGGATATAGCGGCAGAAATTGTTTCCTTCCGCCGAGCCAGCAGAGACTCCGACTCACCTATGCGAGCCCAACGCAGACACTGACACAGGCTCAGGCTCAGGCTCAGGCTTCACAGAGAATCATGCTACAGCGACTCCTGCGGCCACATAGCTGCCCGCGTGCAGCCTCAATTGCAAATGTGCGCCACCCCTGCTAATCGCGTCTGCGCTTTCGCTGATCTAGCTGGCTACAACAGGGCTGCCCTCGCATCCAATCTCGCGGCCTGCATCGGGTGCCACAATTGACCTACGAAAGCAGATTCGCGCAAAACGGCGTTCCAGACCTGTTGTCGCCAGAAGCCTTTGATTTAGCGTGGATCCAGTACCAGAAGCATCTGGTTGATAAGTTGAATTTACTGACGCAAGGTGAGACGAACGCACAATGGACGATGTCTCAATCTTTAGACTAAGCCTGGGATGCTATGGTAGATACTGTCGATGCCGATATCGATACTCTGACACTCGTGAAGAAATATGCCAAACGTCGCGAGATGGCTCATGTTTTCAACTACGCCTCGATGGCTCACAACAACCACTTTTTCTTTAACCGTCTTGTGAGCTGCCCCCTCAAGATGGCGAGCGTTAACTTAATCTTCTGACCAACTCTTTCCTAGGCTCCTGTCGAGGTGCCCATGTCACCCCAATTGATGAGTGATATGAGTGACAGTGCATCGTCCCCCGAGTCCTTGAAACAGGACTTTTTGGCTGCAGCCAGTGCCCAGTTTGGTCCAGGCTTTGTTTGGCTCGTCTCACAGGAGGAGGGCGGTCTCCTCAGAATTCTTTCCACATATAACACCGGCACACCCTATCCAGAAGCTTTTGCCCGTCAGCAATCCGTTGATATGAACACCGAGCCACCTGCCCCAGCATCCAAAAAGGGCTGGGGTTTCAATAATACCGGAGCCTCGCCTGTTCTCGCACCAGGAGGTCGGATGGTGACGCCCCTTTTGTGTGTCAATACTTGGGAACACGTTTGGTTGATGAATTATGGTGTCGGTGGCAAGGACGAATATCTTGAGCGATGGTGGAGTAGGGTTGATTGGAATGCTGTAGAGGATGCACACAAAGGTTGCAAGGGATACGACATGTCTTCTAGAAAACGGATTTTCTAGTCGTATTTGCGTTTCCCTTTCATGTACTATAGATATATTTGCATCGGGCACTGGGGCACTCTCTTGTCATAATGTGACCATATAAACTCATGTATTAATACTCGTCTTTTTATTTTCCATTGTACAGGTAGTCTATCCGCGCCTTCTCCATGCATCAATTAAAACCAACTTGAAAGAGTGTTTATCACTTCGCCACCATCTGCTCTTTTATTCTCCGCTCAAACGCCTCAATCATAACGGCAGCAACTTTGTCTTCAACTGCGCCCATCATAGCCGTGTGCATTGCATTCTGAAACCGAAAACGAATCTCCAACTGAACTTCAGTCACTTCGATTCCTTGGTCAATGCGAGGGACAAGCTTCCACCGTGTGCCCAGGTGACTAAAAAGGCCTTCATCCCCGCCAGGAACTGGTTTTCCATCATCCCCTAATCCACCACCACTCCGCGCTTCGACAAGCCATTGGGATCGGTCGCACGTCACTCGTGAAGTAAATGTCTCCTGAAATGGCCCATAGCCGACGGTCAAGAAAGCCTGGGACGGATAATCCGTATCAGGGTCTCGTGCTGTCACGGTTGAGGCTGCAAGGAATGGAAGGAACTCGGCGTAGGATTCGACAGACGCGATAATTTTATAGAGTGGAGAAGGAGGAAATGGCAGTGTACGAGTTGCCTGTAGGGTGCGGATCTCTGCGTTATTGCTGCCTTTATTATTATTCGGGAGCAATTTTGAGAGGTTGATAAACGAGCGGCGGCATGGTCGTGAGGTTTGCTTTCGTACGGTGCTGGACGTTGAGCAAGGTGGTGACTGGAGGCCGCTTCTCGTTGACAATGATGCCGTCGTGCGGTACTGTTGGGTGGTTTGTAATTGGTTCCGAGATAGGAAATTTGAGACGTAAATTTCAGGCTGGATTCTGAGGCAGTTTCTCAGTAATTGTGGGCGTATGATGTGTAGCATTATTGATGTCTGCTGAAGCTATTTCACGCGGTGACGAGGGTCGTACTCGTATGTCTGAGTGAAGGTGAATCAAGTCTATATTATACAGATTAAAACGTTTGTATGGGCGAAAAAGAAAGAAAGAAAATATCAAAGTTTTCTAAACATTAAAAAAGGATTGTGGAGAGCAGTGAATGGATGCGCATTGATTACGGCAAATCGCGAGGTTCAACTTTGGAAGTTTCGTTCTCCAGACGTCGCCGAGGGTCGGGAAGCACGGGACTGAACCTGTCAACCAAGGAAACATGAATGAATGCCAAATTGCAAACGAGCACAACGAGTGGATTCAAATGTCAATTTTTAGGACGAATCATTAAGCAATGGAAGGCATGATTTTGTAACCTCAAATGTTGTGTTCTTAAATATATCAATTGCCCAATCACTGTCCTTGGAAGGTTTCTTGGCAAATATATATCTGTTTCTGGCAACTTCGAAATGGATATTTTTTGGATGTCGTCTGCAGACCAATCACCACGATCATCACTGCCCGCATATCAAGTATCAATGCATCTTCTTCTTAACATCACTTATTCCTATAGTCCATGCAAGATCATTAATCAGCAATGCTATTACTTTTGTGTATTATATAATTATTGCGTCGTGTTGAAAGATCTCGTTGAATTTGATGCGGGGCTGATTGCAACCTCTGATTGGCAGGACCTGCAGACTAACAATGCAGACCCGCAAAGCTAAAGATCACGCCAATGAGCTTGTGAATTTTGCGATATGGCCAATCATAACTATTGGCCTTCCATATAATAGCTGGGGTCCTCAAAGATGTCCCTCGTTTCTTCGCCGATTTGTGATCATGTAAATGCCCGCCGTGCTGCACATTAAAAAGGCACCAAATTATTGAATAGATCAGACCGCGTTGGCACCATGGCTGCAAGTCCCGTGGATCTACTCTCCGAGTTTTCCAAAAACAAGCCCGGAAGGCAGGGGATAAAGCGCGTCAAATCCGGTTGCAAAACCTGCAAGTAAGTCGCCTGTCAAGGGATGTCACTAATGCAACTTTCCTGATTGCCCCCTATCTAGAATCCGCAGAGTGAAATGTGACGAGAAGAAGCCGGCCTGTGATCGATGCATTTCCACCGGGCGCACATGTGATGGGTATGGCATCTGGGGCAACGGTGGCAATTACTATGGCTCTCGCCAAAACAAACAGTCCAGGAGGTCTTCTTCCTCTGATAGTTTTGATTCGGCTTGCAGTGCTCGGGGCCTTCCTTATGCTGATAAGAAATGCCTGACCCCCAAGGCGAACGCTGATGAAGCAAGCTGCTTTGAATTCTTCCATGCGCGGACTATGCTCAAGCTCCCAGGCTACTTCAACTCGGAGTTCTGGGAGCGGATCGTGCTGCAGATATCCTCCTCAGAGCCCGCTGTATTCCATGCTGTTCTCGCCTTGGTATCCACTCAACGGAGCCAGGAAATGGATGGCTGTATGCGACCAGACTCGGATAGTCTTTCTGTTGACTATGATGTCGAAATGAGCAAATGGGACCGTTTTGCATTGCAACATTACAACAAAGCCATCGTTCAACTGCAGACTCACATCCAAAAAAATAATCACGAATCTGTGCGGGTAGCTTTGACTGCATGTATTCTTTTCACATGTGTTGAATTAATGAGAGGCTGTTACGCCTCAGCCAATATGCACATTGACCATGGAATTAAGGTGCTCCGCAACTTGAAAGGTCGAAGTACCATGGGTAAATCGAGCCCGTCAGCTACACTAATTCGGTCATCCGATCTCACAACAATAGACGATCACTTGCTGGAAACATTCGCGCGAATGAATATTCAATCGATGCTATTTGGATACCCCTCCCAATTTCTGCACGTCACGAAAGATGACGATGCATATCGACAAAGATACGAACCCCCCAATATGTTTTCAACATTAGAAGAAGCTCGTCAGCCACTGGAGGTATTATTAAATGGTATCCTTCACCTTGCTGATGAGGCTCGCGAACCTGATTTATCTCTTGATAAGGCTGCGAAGCTCTTGTGTCAAAGAGAAGAATTGCAAGACTCTTTGAAATACTGGGTGAAGATCTTTGATAATTCCGTGGCTATGCTTTTACCGTCTCTCAACGTGCGTCAAGCCATGGGCCTAACTGTTCTTCAAGTGTACTGCATCATGGCTGAAATCATGATCGGTACATGTCCCATACCCAATGAAGCTTGGAGTGAGATGGTTTACGACGAATACAATTCCAAATTCACGGAGATTGTCACGAAACTTTCCGATATAATATCATTAAGGAATATACCGGTGCATTATATTCCCGACTTCAAAAATTGTCATATCGGGCCTTATAATTTCTGTGCAGATATCGGGCTCATTGCGCCGTTGTATTACATAGCGGTAAAATGCCGTGTCCCATCTGTGCGAAGAGCAGCAATTAATCTATTGAATATGGCACCTCATCGTGAAGTATTATGGGATGGTGTAGCTGTTGCTGCCGCGGCTAAAACAGTCGTGAATTTAGAAGAATTGGGTTTCTATTCGAACGGTTCCTCTCCGTCAGGTTGGACCCCAGATGAGATTTGCTCATCTGAGACATCATTTCCACCAGCGCAGCAACCACTTCCAGACTCGTATCGCTTTGAAAATGTTCAAATAGTCATGGACGATGGAATCAGCGAGAAAGGCAAGGTCATTTGCAAGAAGCGGATCAAAAGTGGAATTTTCTTTCCTGAATTTGGAGCCCAGACAGAATGGGAGGTGATTGAGGAAGACTTTGAGTATAAGAGAGTTTATACACATCGATTTTTTTGAGATGTGGGAATAAGTGAATATATGATCACATTTTTATTTCGAATGCACCCATTGATCTGGATAGGACGTCAATTAACACTTCCTATGCGACTGCACACCAGAGATCTATATCAAGGATAGAGAAATTGAAAGGGACAGAAAAAAGGTATCTATAATGAAAAATAAAGCATAAACCGGCGTGAGTAGTCAAGAATTTCTTTCTGCTTTCCTCCTTTGAGGGACAGTCTACACATTCTTCTCAACCTCTTTCGCCAACCTTTCAGGGATAACGTCCAGTTTGTTGAGAGGTACTCGTTTTCGAATCCGGGCCTGTAGCCAGCATCGGTACATCTTGAGCCGTTTCTGACGATTAACGAGAAGTCTTTGATCCTTCCCAAGGTTCAAAATTTCAAAAGCGCCTTGACTTCGTCCTGAAGACACTTCGGCCTGTTCGTCACGATCTTGGGTGTCTTCGTTGATTCCACTTAAATTTAGACCATTTTCGGGGGTCCAATCGGTCCAGATATGCCTTAACTCTTCAATATCAAAGAAATACACCCTTGTCCCATCGCCGCGGACATAGAAATTCTCATCGAGATATCTTTCCTTTCTAAAACGCACTTGTGCAAGGTCTCCTCGTCCATAATCGCGAAAGAGCACATCGCCGCCGGGTTTGAGGAGGCGGTGTACGTTTTTTAGTGCCGCATTCCATTGAGCTGGTGCCAGAGCAGACATGATGAATATAAGAATTATGATATCTACCGAGTTCTCCTCCAGACCCGGTGGGAGCGAATCGTCCCCCTCAGCTGTGACGTCCCACACGTCGGCACGCACGTATTTCTCATTGTAATGTTCGCTCTCGCGCATGACCTTAACCGCATTTTTCGAATAGTCACACGCATGGACCATAAGTTCCTCGTTCTCATTGTTTGCTACCAGCGGAAACGCTGTATTTCCCGCCCCTGCACCGACTTCCAGAACTACCTTGCGACCAGCATCCTTTTTTGTCACATCTGCTAGAATCGGAAACTCCTGCTGCAACCACTTCCTATTTTTGAAGAAATTCTGGTTATGGTTCTTGTAGAACCGATCCCAAAATTTGGCGGGATTCGAGTTGTATAGGTTCTTGTGGAAATCGGAAGCGGGGTTCTCGCGCTGCTTAGAGTATTGCAGCTCGGCGTAGGCCTTGTAGTCGTCATCCGTCTCGACATGGTCCCAAGCATTGTGGTGAAACACATCGCTCCCTTCTTCGAGGAACCTCTGACCAAACAAGAAGGGGTCGACTCGTTTCTTGTCGTTGTACTCTGGGTCGTCGGTGCTCCGGGCAGGAACTGTTGGGGGTTGGACCAGTCTGGCGATTGTCATGTAGTCGCTGTCTTCGGGGAGCGCAGGCATTGTGGCAGTAGAAGCGGTGAGCGACCGCGTCAAAACAGCAAGCGTTCCTAGTACCAATTAATATTACTATTGTCTCAGGAAGAAGCAAAAGAAATGCTTCACGATGGCGGGGAGAAGGGGCAAAAGGGAAAAAACAAAACGAACTAGCCCCGAAATATACTAGCGCTAAGCCTATCGATAACGGCGGGGACAGGACCTACTTCCGGCCGACAGGCCAATCGCAGCGCCGTACCAGAACAATGCTGGTGCCTGAGGACGCCAGCCGAACGTGTCCCGCTCAGCCTCAATCAAGCACCCTCTTCACTCTTCGCTCTTCCCTCGTCTTTCTTTCTTCTCTCTCTTCTTCAACCATTCTCTCTCCTCCCCTCCCATCCCTCCTCTTGCGGAGGCCACCGCTTCTCCTCTGCTCAAAGGACCCTGTGTCTACCCGTGGGAGACCTCGCGGGATGGGATTGGAGTTGATGTCGTAGTCGAGAGTGTGTATGTATCGCTCTCTGTCCTTCGTTGATCAACAACAAAATACACCTACATCTGGGTCGAGCATATACCGAGCCAGAAACGAACCGACCGGTTTATGTTTTGGTGATATCTAAGAACACCCTCACACGCATTAGCCGGTCACTGTTCAAAGCAACAGTCGCACAACGGCTAAAGACCAACATGCCAGAGCTCTGTGGCTGTCTCGGGTCATCTCAATCAAACGTCACGACGCAAGTCGCTGCAGACCCTGAAGCAGGATTTGCTCGCAGAGTCGACGGCCAGGTCCAGCCCCCTCGGTATGACGCGGTTGACTCCGGCTATACTCCCGTCGTGCCTCTGCCGCGCTACACACCGCGGCCACTAAGTATCCATGAGAAGACTCTGGAAAACAACTTTCAAAACCAGAATGGCCACAATCAACCTGGACGTGGTTCCTTCGGTGCCCTAGATGAGAAGAACAGACAAGACTTTGAAGATGCTCCCGTCCAATCGCACAGCACAGGTAGTAGCAGTGCAACAGTCACTGCCACAATGGACGACGCATCGTCTGCATATTCATTCCCCAGCAGCTTCGGGCATACATCAACGGAGACGAGAGACACACTACCGCCGCCGTATTCTTCGTGTGGATCTTCCATGTTCTCCAGATCACGGGCATCTTCGCTGCGAAGTCATTATCGAAATAGCATTTCATCCAATCGTCCACTGCCAAGTGAGCAAGCCCAGCAAACAGCAGCAGATATTGCGGCAGCGGCAATCATGCCTCCACCGATGGCACATGTGAATCATGCACCACCGATGTTTGCACCGCCAGCAATTCATATGCATGGCCATCAACGGCACAACAGCACCTATCAGCCTCAACCTAGACAGTCTCACGACGGTCGCTGAGAGTGGCAATCGATAGCGAGCTTCTAAAAATAAGAATTAGACTCGGGAGTCGAATAAACATGGCTTGACATTTGAAATCATATCATAATTTCTTGGCTAGCTAAGACAGCTACTGAATTCTTTTTCTATTGTTCTATGTTTCCTTATCATACCGAACATTTACTCTATATTCTACATGGTGACTTGATTAGGCGTTCACTGGTGTTCATCGGCAAGGAATGGGTGGTGGAACTTAATGGCGGGTTGTCTATATGCTGGTCTTTTGCACACGCAATACATACATACGCGAAGGCACATTTTAATTTTTGTAGCCACTATACATATCATTTATCTACTTGAATTTTCATCGAAGCCCTAGGTTCAAGAAAGCCATCATTGAGAGTAGCTTAGGGTGCCCCCTGCCATTATGACTCTACAGGTTCAAACAGTAAACAAAGAAAGCCCTTTACTCTGAATATGCTTTGAATTACTCAAGCAGACCAAAGGCATGATGGCCGAGACAATTTTTGAGGAGGGACAGCTTACTGGAGTCGGACTACATGAATCTGAGCGCATACGTCGACCAGTGAACGAAGGCGCATTCAAAACGGAAGAGTGCTTAGAGCGAAACCGCGCAAACGAAAACGAAAACGAAAACGAAGATGACAATCATCCCCTTGATGAGCTTTATAGACCCTCCCAAGTGAATGATAATCGCCAGCGTCGCCTGTGGAGGTAAGCGCTCATCGGCTTCTGGCGTCATGAATTAAGTCATTCTAATCTTTAATGAATATAGGTCCTTTTGCTTTCCATTAGTCGCTGTGCTTGTAGGCCCGATGATCGAACCTTCAAGTTTGCCTGCTATGCTTTGCAGGAAAAATCCAAGCCCCTGGTTTCAAGAAGTTTATCCTCGACTAAATCGAACATCAAGGCGCATACGGCGATCTATTGACACCTACCATGGACACAGCCCCCCCGCAGACCAAATTCAAGACGCCTACGCCAATACAACACGAAGTGATAACCCTTTGCACGAGTTATGCATTCTTTTCAAATGCGTCCAAGCACCTATTGGTGAAGCACCGGTAGATCCGGACTTTCAGAGCTTGTTAGAGGAAGGCGGGCCGCTGGTGAGATATGTCGTGGAGGCGTACAGAAAGCATATCGCCAAAGAAAACTACGATCTTTATGGGCAATGTTGAGTGCTAATAGTGGTAATGGTGGCTCGTCTGGCTCAAGTATCCAATGAACGTACGGCAGGCTTTAATGGAAACCAGTAAGATCTAGAAGTTTAGGTGCTATTTTGCATACGCATCAAGATTAATGCTTCGTCGGTGAAATTAATACAATTTGCATTAGTTGTACAGGAAGCCAGAGCAAGCAAAGTATTTCACCATACTTATACCTGGACTGTCTGCATCACTGTATAAATCTGGTATACACCTTCTTCATCACCTCCTGCATCTCGTGGGGAAATCCGTAGAGTTGCGTCATTAGATACCGACCATGCAACACCATCACCTGCCAATTTCAGTTCTCTTCCAGGTCGAGTCCTAACCCAGGCGTCTTCACCCACGTCTTCGACAAAGTAATGCTGGTAATTGTTTCGAAACACGTCCAGAACTTTCTCGTTTGCTGCATGAACACGAGCAAATGTCCCAACAACACGAACTTTTGTATCCCCATACGGCGGGACGGATTCATGAACGACCACAAAAACTGTACGTGGGATATCCTGAGAAGATAGTTCCTTAGTTTTAGACTTGGCCTGTTGGTTTGCTATACGAGCGTAGGCTGTGTCAAGAGCCTCTGCTAGGGACTTGGGGAATTCACGCGTCGCTTTGCTTTGCTTTGATAATTCTTCTTCCTCAGAGTCGTCATCATCCCCCAACGCAATTGAATAGACTGGCTGACCATCGTAACGCTCATTTTCATCATCTGAGTTGTTGCGGCGTCTTTTCTTGCTGAGTGGAGCCCACATAATGGGTTGGAATTGTTCTAAGCGATTGTGAGTCGAGAATTTAGGCATAAATCCTGCAGAGCTCTTACCTGAGAGCCGATAATATTGAAGGTTTCAGAGTTGTTGACTAAAGATATTCTTCATAACATCTGTCGTTTGTACTTTCGTTAACCTGGTTACCAGACAAGATTGAATGATGACCAATTACAATTAAATGTTTACTACGCAAATATTTGTGTAGAAACCACAAAATCTTGGGGTCAGTTAGTCAATTTTACTCATCACAGGATCAGTCCTGTTTAGCTTTTACTTCGTTATTTTTCTGGCCTTACCTGAAAAGTAGAAGTCCTGTTTATTGTTATAGGATCATTTCAGCCGAGGAATGTTGCGTACATGTAAACAACCAAGGAGGTCTAGCAGAATTGACAAGAACCTCTGGAATGCTTCTAGAATTTTAATGGTCTGTTTTGATGGCGGATAAAAAATGTCCTAGTAAGAAGCTGTATTGTGTGGTTCTTGTCAACGTCAATGATCAATAAAAAGGTCAGCTTGTTTTCGTTTATGGCATTGGACGTAGTGTAGGACTATTCATCTGTGAAAAATGGAAATGTGTTTATTTATAACAACTACCGGTTCAATTTCGGAGATCGTACAAATTCGACTCTACCCGCAATGAAAAGACGCCGTGACTGCTCTATGAGCTTCATAATACAATTGGAGAAGTGAACAACAGGGACACATAATACAATGAGTCCCTCCCATATGCGAAATATTCTATGCTTTGGTTTGCACGGGAATTGGGACAATATTCCCTCTGGATCTTGGAATGATTTCCTCTTCCTCGTCATAAAGCTCATCGACTTCTTCATCTGGCTCGCCAACAATCCTTCTCCACAAACCGTCCCATACCCCCTTCTTGGTGGCAAGTCCGCCAATCAGAAAGATAGGAAGTTGCCAGACACTAGCCCAGAAGAGACCTCGAGCACTACCCTTGGCCCCTTGGTGTTTCCAAAAGACAAATGCTTGTTTGACCATCCATCCATTGGCAAGGCCGCTGCTGACTAAAAACCAATCGTTCACATATCCATACCACCAGAATGCGACTGATATAGGAAACATAAGGATTGAATATCGAAGTGCCACTCGAGCATTTCGAGCAGGGTTCACCCAGCACATCATCTTGTGGCCTGCGAGTTTGTATTGGTCTTTGATTAAATGAGAGAGGGAATTGAAATGCGGGAACTGCCAAGCAAACAGCATAGAAGCCAGTATCCACCCCCCGATACTTTCTTCACTGAAAAGCATATCTTTCCATGTGTCATGGCCAGTCGTAGCGGTTTGACCGGCGGCAGCAACCCAACCCATCATTGGCGGAATGGCGCCAACTATGGCGCCAACCCATGTGTTGATCACGTGTATTCTCTTCATAGGAGTATATACAAAGCCATAGAGAATAATATTTGCCGCCGATAGAGCCGAAACGGTAGGGTTTGTGCCGACGTATAGCAAGCCGACACCCACAATACCACTAAGAACGGCAAAAATCAAGGCACCGCGATTAGACACCAGGCCTCGGACAAGGGGCCTGTTCCGCGTCCGCTGCATCAGAGCGTCGTATTTAGGTTCGAAAAACATGTTGAAAGTATTTGCACTTGCGCATGATATGAATGTGCCCGCCGTCAGATAGAGGAACGTAAGGGTAGAGGTAGACAAGGTAGGAAGCTGTACGATTGACGGATCAAGGGAGAGAAGCGTGGAAATCGGATAAAGACCATATGCGGACGTCGTCGAGAGAAGGATCAAAACGGATAAGCGGGGCTTCGCGAGAGCGAGGTATGCAGCGACTTTACGGCGAAGTGAGGATGTTGGGAGTGTAGCGGAGACGGCGGAGAGTCGAGCAGAGGCATCAGGGGGGAGTTGCTCTTCGTCTGCATTTGCCTTGGCCTCTTCTTTTAATCGCTTGCGTCTTCTGTGGGGTCGTTCTTGTTCCCGTGTATTTAGTGAGGAAGTCGAGCTGGCAATGCCCTCTGTGGTCGTCATCCCATTTTGTATTGTCCTTGTGTGATTGCCCCGAGCCGCAGATAGCGAGGACAGCACGCCTTCTTTCGATCTATTCCTGACAGGATCACGAGAAAAGAAATACTCCTTTTGGAGCGCAGTTGGTATGCCAGAGTGCTCATCGGCAGCACTGGACCGCTGGAATCGCGACACGGCGAAGCTGCGAGTGGCTGCTGCACGGCTTGCTTTGGACAGGCATTGCAAGCATACAGCGACCGAGTCTCGGGCCAATTGCGGCCGGCGCAGAATTGCGGATCGTAGTATCATGGCAGGGGGGTGCTTTGGCACTGCCAGATGTCCATAATTGATGGACAGGTAAGTGCTGGCGAGGGCTGGCGGGAGGAAGATACTGTTGTGAGCAAGTGTTGTTGGCGCAGAGCATGTGCAGAGGATGAGATGATCCATCAAATTCTCCAGGGCTGCCGCCCGCCAATCACAGGTCTCAGATTGCCCCGCGTGCCGTGTCAGGCCATCGATTCTTCTATTATTTACAAGAATTAATTACTTACTCCTCGTCCTCGTTTAATTTCTCCATCCCACCAGCCTTCGCGTCAGCATCGCCTCGCCCTGTCTGCCATCATGGACACGATCCAAACCGTCATCGTCGACCCGCTGAAACCGGTCCTCCAGCCCATCAGCTCCGCATTGCCTGCGCCGGTCCACGATGCCATCATCTCTCTGATCGGGTCGCCATGCCACAGCGCGCTCCTGTTGGATTTGGATGTGAGCAAGGACCCGGAGTGCACGTCGCTGGCGATTTCCAAGGCCCTTGGGCTTGCCATCGTCGGAGCCAGCGCTATCGTCAAGGTCCCCCAGATTCTCAAGCTAATCAGCTCGCGTTCTTCGGCCGGCGTGTCTTTCATCTCTTATGCTATGGAGACGGCGAGTCTTCTCATCACATTGTCTTACAATGTTCGCCAGCAGTTCCCTTTCAGCACATTTGGTGAAACCGCTTTGATCGCAGTGCAGGATGTGGCTATCGGTGTCTTGGTTTTGACTTTCGCTGGCAAGCCTGCTGCTGCCGCCACCTTTGTCGCCGTGATTGCTGCTAGCATTTACGCCCTTCTTGTCGATCAAACTCTAGTCGACTCGCAGACACTCTCACTTCTCCAGGCCGGCGCCGGTGTGCTTGGTGTTGCAAGCAAGCTCCCGCAAATCTTCGCGATCTGGAGCGAAGGCAGCACTGGACAACTGAGTGCATTTGCGGTACGTTTTGCATCGACTACAAGTTATGGATTCAAAGCTGATTTGATTGGTGTATAGGTGTTTAACTACCTCTTTGGTTCCCTGTCCCGTATCTTTACAACCCTACAAGAAGTGGACGACAAGCTCATCCTGTACAGCTTCGTCGCGGGTTTCACCCTTAATGTCGTGATTGCCCTCCAAATGCTGTACTACTGGAACAGCCCAGCAAACAAAAAGGCTGCCAAGCCGAAGGGAGCCAAGAAGGCTGTCGCAAACTCTCCGGCGGCCGCTGAGAGCACCGGTGTCTCTCCAAAGCCTGCCGGGAAGACCCCTACCACTCGTAGGAGGGGTTGAGCTCTATTTTCGTTTCGGTAGGGTAATAACTTAGTTTTAATTTAATTTCGGGTTTGACCATAAGATGTCTGTGTTCTTTTTTGTGCCAATGTCAGTAAAATGTGTAGACGATAAGCAAAACAACCATTGGCACCCATACCTGAGGTTATAACTCATCCGTATTCGAGTTTATGCTCATTGAAAGCTCTAGATTATGCGTCTAGGCCTGAGATTGGTTCATTCGGGTCCTGACTTTGGCTTAGTCCCGGTCATCATGTAACGGAAAAGCTCGTCGAGCGGCAGGGCAGGCGAGGGAGCAGCCTCTGGTCCACGGTTCCTTTCGCTGGTAATCTCAAATTCCACGCCGGCGGCGCCAGGCTTGCTATGCACGCCGACTATCTCCATCTTATCTTCATCCGTCTCTTCTTCTTCCTCTTCCTCTTCGTCCTCATCCTCGCTGTCATCTGGTAGCTGCCGTTTCAGTCCTGTCGCAACATTCTCTATACCTATTTCCCTTTCTTCCAGTGTGTAGTGGCCGCCCCAGTTGCGCCGCCTTGCTTCTTGATTTGCTTCAATCGGAGCCCAAGCCCACAATTCTTCCAACTCCTCTTCCGTGAGTCCCCCACTTTCCTCGGCGGTTTTGGAACCTGAGATCCGGCCTTTGGCAACCCAGTCCTGGACACGAGGATCCAGTTTTGTCCGCAGTAGTTGCTCTAGAACGCCTTGTTGGGTGGTGCCTGGGAAGGACGGGGCGGGATAGGCGACCAGAGAGGAGAGGAGTTCATGGTGTTCTGACAATTGGGTAGAGATGTTGATGAGATTATTAGAAATAATACTCGCTTGAGACTGCAGCGAGCTCCTTCACCGTTGTCAGCAAGTCGTCTCCAGTGGGCATTGCTGGCGCGCATACCATGAGGGCAACGGGTCGCTCTGTTGCAGGTTGCCTGTGAGAGAGCCCAGCGAATGGGTCAGTTGCAGCAGGCGCTGGCGAGTCTGCTCGAGCACCTTGATCTGGCCGTCGTTGACAGCGGCCATCGATACGAAGCAGTAGCAACAACAAGAACTTGATGTTATTGGCGGTACATGAAGCGATTGATTATCGCAGAGGCGGCAGACTGAAGGCTGAAGACTATTGGCAGGCAAGCTGGCGGAACCAATCAAACACGCACGCGGCTCGATGCCCCACCTGCTGCCATCACAACAACAGCGACAGCGACAGCGACAGCTCTTCTTCTTCTTCTTCTGCTTCTACTTTCCAATAGCAGCTGGTGCGTTATATCCAACCTGTGTACTGTGGCAATCGGTTGCGCAGATACCATGGTGAGGCCGCAGCACGAGTTCTACATCCCCTCGGTGCACGATGGCACGCGGCTTAGTTGCCGCCTCTATCAGAGCGAGCTGACCCAGCGGACCCTGCAGCAGCCATCTGTCAGTAAAGGTGCTATCGTTGCCCACCCCTATGCGACGCTCGGGGGCAACAATGACGACCCTGCTGTCGGTTCCATTGCTGCCGAGCTTGTGCGCAACGGCTATGCTGTCCTGACTCTGAATTTTCGGTAGGCCATGATTTGACAGCTAGTTTACAGTATCTAGAAGACCGTCTTTTACTAACTAGCATATCCTGTGGCAGCGGTGCGGGCTACTCGGACGGCCGGACAAGTTGGACGGCCAAGCCTGAGATAGGCGACTATATGTCAGCTTACGGCTTTATGCTGAAGTATCTTCAACTGCTTGGACCCTCGAAGCCCGTCGAGCTGATCTTAGCTGGGTATTCGTATGGGTCAATGGTGGCATCTCATCAGCCCACCATCGGGGATGTTGCAAGTTTATTTGCTACCCCGGAGGCTGGGTCACCTGTCGAGACGATTCTCTTACAAGCCAGGGACTTGGTTGAGGGAGCAAATAAGGACGTCACCGAGTCTAATGACAAGCTAGACCAGGACTCCAAATTGCCGGCCGCAACCATTTCGTATTTATTACTGTCCCCCATCCTCCCGCCCGCTTCTCGACTAGTCACACTTTGGGCGAACTTGTCAAGTGTGTCGATAGCGGGCAAGCAAATATCGATACCGGCTCCGGAAGAAGAACTCCCTAAACACCGAACGCTGGTCGTGTATGGCACCGACGACATGTTCACATCAGAGACGAAATTACGACACTGGACGAAGAGCTTACGCGAGGTACAAGGAAGTCACGCTAAGAGTGTAGAGATTTCCTTTGCGGGACATTTTTGGATAGAACAGACGTTCCACACACAGCTAAGAAAGGCCATCTCCGATTGGTTTAATGACACGCAGTGACTTAAACTTGTTCCGAAGGGGGATTGTTTAAAATAATATATCTTGCATACGAATAGTCATGCGTTCATCCTCGTGGCTGGGCCTTACAAGGCAATTGCATGTGAAAGTGGGAATAGCCTCTGGTTACACAGGAGCACTTGACATGTCAGTCTGACTACAGCCTCAGCCTTCAGCTGGCCCTAATACTGAGTTAATACTTGCTCAGCACTTTATTATGCAGCATTTTAGCGCAGTGGTCGTGCCCTGTCTGCTGCTGTCATCCACCAGCACAAAGCGTCAATCGATCGACTGGTTCTGCGGTGCAGCATCTGGCGCGAATATCATATTCTGTATATCATAGTCCATCAAGTGTAGATTCTACCAGGAATGCTGCTTCATGCTGGCTCCAATACACATGGAGACCTCGGCTTTCCTAGTGACATGCCCAGTGAGGACTTGCTACCATCCACTGCCACGAAGTATGACCTCATCACATGTGGACAAGATCCCGACCCAGCGTCGTATATAATTACCAATATCAATAAAAAGGGAAGAGTGGGCCAATTCCGCGCTATTCCGCGCTGGTGGCTGCCTGAGGGGCGGCTTCCCCAGTGGAAAATACATGGCCGCCTCGTGACCGCTGTCTAATTAGGAAGTACTCAGATTATGACTGCCAGTATTCCTCCTTTTCGTCCCTACAGACACCTTCATAACCAGCATGGCGAGCGCGTTCTCGACGTGAGGGTTTTTCTCGTTTGCCAATACTAGCTTTGTATACTGCTCTGCACGCGCAACGAAGCCGCTATTCGGATGCCTTGCCAGGTTCCCCCGGCCAGTGCTCCGCATACGAGCCGATCATGACCACACTCCGCGACCCCGCCTCGATTCACTCGCAACTCCATCGCAAGAAGAGCCTGCAGCTCGATCGCAAGCAAGATGTCTCTCGGTCGCACTTGGGGAAGCGCGCTTCGTTCGCCGCTTTCTCGTCGCTGGTTCGCGACACCGTTTCGTGGGCTGGCGATACCCTGAATACCTACCGAGATGGCTTGTCGAGGGAGGAGCGGGAGAAGAAATTACGCGATGATGATCGCAAACAAGTCCTTTATCTGAAGATGCGCAATGTGAGTCATACAGCGGAAGCTCCCTTATGTGCTGGCGTTATCTAATCTGATCTTCTTGTCCTGACTAGGCCGTGTCCTTCGACGAGTGGCGCGCCTGCGCCAGCGAACTCGACGAGCTCGAGGGTAACAATGTGTGGAAGGAGACTTTTGAATCCGATCAATATGATCCTGCAATGGTTCTGGAACGGATGAGACAGTTGGAAGATGCGCGAATCAGCTGCGATGTCTCTCGCATGTTGTTCTTGATTCGGACCGCCTTGAGCAGAGACCTGGGAAACATGAGCGAATCGGCGCTATATCAGCATACCCATATCGGAACGAAGAATCTTATTGACCAGTACATCAACACTGCCGTGAATACAATTTCGACGCTTCTGGACCTAACCGGAAACGACCGATGCGATCCTGCCGAGATGCAGTACATTCTAGATTCACTACTATCGGCTCGACAAGCGTTCGGTCGCAGCGCTGTACTTTTATCGGGCGGTGGAACGTTTGGCATGAATCATGTTGGCGTTGTCAAGGCTTTGTGGGAAGCAAAGGTTGCTCCTCGCATTATTTCTGGGGCGTCTGCCGGCAGCATCGTTGCGGCTATATACTGTGCGCATACCGACGACGAGCTTCCTACAGTCTTGGATGAATTTCCATATGGCGATCTGTCTGTCTTTGAACCAGAGGGGAAGCAACTTCCTCCACTGCAGAAGGTCGCTCGCTTTCTCAAATATGGGTCTATATACGACTCCTGTCATCTCGAAAGAGCCATGAGGAATTGGCTAGGAGATATGACATTTCACGAAGCCTACAATCGTACGCGCAAGATTTTGAACATTTGTATATCAAGTGCCGGTCTCTATGAACTTCCGCGACTGTTGAATTATATTACTGCCCCCAACGTACTAATATGGTCCGCGATGTAAGTCGAACACTACCTGTTATGGAAGCTCTCGTTAAACTATCTTAGAACTGTCTCTTGCTCCGTCCCATTAGTCTTTTCGCCGTCAGTGCTGATGGCAAAGGATCCACTGACTGGGGAGACCGTACCCTGGCACGACGACCGTCGGAATTGGATAGACGGTTCCGTTGACGGTGACCTTCCCATGACACGTCTTGCTGAGATGTTTAATGTCAACCATTTCATCGTATCGCAAGTAAATCCTCACGTTGTCCCTTTCCTGGCCAAGGAAGAGGGACCAGGAGCCGAATCTAGTCGCCAACACTGGCTTAGCTCTCCGTGGCTCAACACGATGACAAATCTCGCTCGTGATGAGGCTTTGCACCGAATATCCGTCCTCTCCGAAATGGGTATTTTTCAGAACGAGTTCATGAAAACGGCATCTATATTAAGCCAGAAATATTCAGGGGATATCAACATATTCCCAGAGATTCCATATGCTCACTTTCCACGCATCCTTCAGAACCCGACAACTGAATTTATCTTGAAGACGTGTTTGTGCGGCGAACGAGCGACCTGGCCTAAGATCTCACGGGCTCGGAGCCATCTCGCCATCGAGTTAGCTTTAGATTCTGCTGTTCGAACAATGCGTGCGCGAGTGGCCCTTAGTCCTCCGATGGCAGCTAGTTTCTGGGCAGCGAACTCAAACGGCCATCACCCCGTGCCAACTGAGGAACACCGAGAAGTCCAGCGGCGACCATCGCAGAGGCGAAGCTCGTACAGTCACGAATTAGGTAAGACAAAGAGTAGCCGAGCAACGTCAACCCGTCGACCTGGCGTGGGCTTAAAAAAAGCCCACAGCTCCTTGTCAGTGGGATACATCGAAATTCCACGACCGATCAGTCCTGTTGCTCACCCAAAACTGCAACGGGTCATGATTCCAGGAGCAGAGCGACGACAGAGCAAGGGTGTCTCCATTACTGCTAATCCGGGAAATGCCCCCTTCGTCGTAGGAACGGACAGCGAAGACGAGTCTTTCCTTTCATGGACGCGATCCGCCATGCACTCGCAGAATACTGCATGGACAACCTCATCAGTTCGGCCTTGCTCACCCCGGTCATCTCTATCAAATAGAACGAGTCCGGCGACCTCCCGGCGATCTTCTGTTGCTAAAGCAACACCAGTCCCCATGCGACCGCCCTCTAGAGAAACGCCACCCGCTGCGAGAAAGTCACGCTCGCCTGGGGTCTGAGCAATGAGGCGGCTTCCATGGTATTTGCATAGAGACCGTGTGACAGCGGGCTTTGCATAAATCGACCGCTTATGGTATAAAGAACTAGCCAGTCAAATGGTATAATTACGACAGCTCATGATGAACAGCATTATAACGAGCCGGACTCGTCAGGTTTCTTCCCCCTCACCCTTGCCCTACTGTGTGGCGCGTGCGTGTGATGCATGAATACATAATAGTGGGCATTTTTGCCGCAAATGCTTGTATGATTACGCCGATGGCAGGGGTATAGGGAGTGCCAACACATGGCCCTAGTTGGCCTGTATGGGTTCCACTAAAAGGACCAGCCAAGATAAACCACCTTGCTCACAAAGATGAGATATGTACGCAATGTAGTGAAATGGGCACCATCAATGCACCCTGGTTTCGATAGTGAATACAACTTAATCGGAAAAATTGCTTATCATCAAGGTTCTATGTCTTATGAGAATGCAACTTGCGAAGTTGCATTTGAGGGTCGGTAACCTGTTTTATTATAGTTTCTCTCTTATCTGCTAGTGTATGAGCATGTATCTAGAGTATATACTAAGATTTTAGAAATGCGTTTTCAATATAAAACTGCATATATTCCTTTAGCCTCATTTTAAACTGTTCACTTAGGAGTCTTTATTCAAAAATAGACAGTAAGGGCTTAGAATTTGGAGAGCGTTAAATTATCTAAGATCAACTTTGAATCTAATATCTATCTAGATATATATCTTGGTCGTCCAACCAAATACAGTTTCTGATGCCAAAAGAATCAAAGGCTTTTATGATAGGCTGGCAGAAGCGGCTTTCTAGGAGGAGAGGGAGATTCATACTTGGCATCATATGACTACATCCTCACTTCCGAATAATGCAGAATACGTTTAGGAAGCCTTTGCAGGGTGGTAAATAACTCCGACTGGTTGCACAGCAGCTCGTGACACTTGATTTGCTAAGCAGATTTATGCTGTACAACAGTAATATCCTGGGCAAAAAGACGGGCAGATGACTCGGATCAATTTTGCAAATTTTCATTGATCCTTGCCACACTGTCATGCGGATTGCTCGTCGGCGCATTTTCAAATGTTCATTTGATACCGACTGTCTGGGTCAGCGTTAAAAGGGTGATTCAATTGGTTGCTGGCTGCAGGTGGCTATACTTATTACACCACTTATAAGCCATGGCACATGCTGTCGGTTCGCGCGATGGTGTAGCGAACCTCTGCGAGAGGGGTAATTATATTTTATGACTGAAGACTTGCAAGAATGATGTGACTTTGCGGTGGTTACAACGGACTCATCCCATATGGATGCCACTTTGAATGATCTTGATGCGCACGACGAATTAGCCGCATGCTAAGAGGGCCACCCTGTTAAACAGATCACCACGCCGAATGACGATTACAGATTAATCGAGTGTCCCTTTGGCCGAGGTCTACGGCAGGTCTACGGCAGGTCTACGGCATTTCCAGGCATACAATTCCCCAGGGAGCATGTCAAATAAGCATTGTCAGGTGACTCTTGTTTTTCATAAGCTGGTCATGGATCTGGATTGCTGCCAATCTACGCATCAATTTAAAACAAACCCGAGAGAAACTGAAGCCCCCCACGATCAGAGAGATTCCGACTCCGTCTGCGCCGCATTTTGTAACCACGTCGGCGATTACTCGGCCAATTTTCATCTTCATGCATTAATAATTGTGACAGGGCCGATCAACTCTCGAACAGGGCAGTAGTCCATTCGATCAAAAGGAACTGGAACGGTGGGCCAGATCTGATCGAGTAAGAGATCATTGCGGGTTGCCTTGAACTGGCATGGTCAGTTGTTTCACTATGGAATGCTATTAATTAATGCGGCGCTTCGCAGTGAGCGGCCCAGTAGGAACGAATCCCTAATTTTAGTCCGGACTCCACCATCGACAGCGCCATAGCCCATACCCATAGGATCGTCGAGGCCCAACGTCGTGTGGGTGTTCTTATTGGGCTGTAAATCTGGGCGCAGCGGTAGGGCTAATGCAGGCCGCAGCGCCTCAGCGGTTAACCGTGCCTTTTTGTCCAACGAAACGAATCACGACAGTGCCACTTGAGAATAAATTATAGTACGGATGCTAACTACGTAGTAACCACCTCAGCGTGAAGGTACATACTGCTTGCTGTCAGAGGCTAAGGTAGACCGCTCACTCTATGCCCCCGGTGGCGCTTGGAACAGACATCCCGATTAGCCTGCTGTTCAAGAATAGATCAACCCGCTGTCGTGTGCTTTTGTTTAGAATAATGATCTTCGTCTAGCACGCAGTATTCATAGTTTATACTTCATGCGTATCGAGGACGGGGTTGTTGTTTACCTGTTTCGGCTTCTAAATTTGTATCTCCTGTAACACCAATGAAAGCTTCCGGCCTGGGCCAACACAGAGGCCCGGCCTGGTGCCATATACTAGTCTGTACTATGACAAGGGTATTCTTTGTTTTCTGTTCCTCAACCGCCGGCGTTGTTTAATTAATGTATGACCCGCTGATGTACCCTGTACCGGGGTTGTTCATTGCGCCGCCAACTGGACCGAGCGTTGTGTATATCTACTGGCCCCTCTCTCAGCCCGACTGATACTTGTTTGAAAATAAGCTTGATGCTTTCGTCCTCTCGAAATGCTAATAGGGGATATCTGGTTCTTCGATGTTTGGCCTGTCTGCGTGGCGTTCTTCTTCTATCCATACTTGATGAACATCCCTCTTCTCTCTTGACTATCGGATGCTTGCGAGACCTTGACTGGTTCTTGCTACACGGCGTCGTTCCTATCAATTTAAACTTTGCATTCAATATCACCTACTTCATCCCTTTCCAAAACGATCATTATATATCGCAACCTCCAAATAGCTACACACCAAACAAGAAAATACACCATGGCGAACTTCATCAACACCTCTCTCGATATCATACGTCGACACAAGCAACCGCGACGACCTCATCTTCATGCAAGATGGGGAGATGTTGGTATTACTGCCCCGATCGATGGGGCATGGTCTCAATTCCACAATCCACACCTGAAAGGGAAGAAAATCTACGGGCCCGGCTACGTTGCCGGAGTTTCTTCTACGGCCAACAACGACAATAAAGAAGTTATGCTCCTTGACGCGGATGAATGGACATCAGAAGACGAAGAAGAAAAGCGGAAGGAAAAAGAAAAGGAAAAGGAAAGAAGTGCTTCAAAAGCACGTCGCCTGACACGCATCTTACTTCCGTCTAGCATCAATACGCCAACCAAAAAGACAGATGAGCTAGACAAGGAGAAGCCACCTGTCGAGTTTCAATACAAACCAGTCTGTCCTGATTATGCCCAAGAAATCGCACAGAAGCTCGATATGGAAGCGAAGCCTCATTTTCGTTACGTCCCCGCTAGTGAGAAATACTTTAAAGAACTTATTATTGACTCACCCAAAGCCGAAGATGGGACAGACGACAAAGCTGTTTATGAAGGTGTCGAAGGAAATAACTACTATAAAACCATACCGAGACGGCCAACAAAGCAACGCAGTCACTCATGCGATCCATGTGTTGGTACCGATGCCGAGTTTCGACAAATACCTCAATCCAACAAGGACGAACAGGTAGTTGATGGAAACAAGCCATCCATATCACCACGAACACCTCCTTTAGGCATAATGCCTAGAAAAGCAACATCTTCTAGTAATAACAGCGCCTCGGGAGGAGAGCGCAGCAGCAATACCCATCACCGTGACCAAAGTCGAGGTCGGATTAAACACAGCCAAACATTTCCCCAGAATATTGTCGTTCAGAGATCGCAGTCGGTGCTAAGCAAGCCCCGTCGGCGAACAATGATACTTGATATGGTTGGCGATCAGGATGATTTATGGTAATACGATTTACTTTTGCAACAGAACGACCGAATAAGTTTTTTTTTTGTCTCATTGATAGTCATCGCGACGGAGTTTTGGATCGGTTTATTGCTGTCATCTCCTTTATCATCTGTTAAGCGTTAGGAAAGGATATTGTAATAGATAAGGTGTTCTGTCAGTTGAGACCACTTTATCGAGCAGTAACGAATTGGCAAAATTACGAATGAAAAAATATTTTACGACACTTGCAACTCCAAGACTGTAGAGTGTTAAGTAATCAAAACTGTCAAAGTATTGATAAAGGGAAACTATGCTTTCTTGGCAATATCCAGGTCTACTCTCTGAACATGTGTGTGACCTCAGTCTCTATATACACCGAAGACGAGAAGTTCAACTTGGAGATTGTTTTAATGGAATACGACAGTCAATTTTATCGTCGGTGCGCTCCACGAATTTGCAGCATTGTGAGTCTATTTTAAATGCGCGTACCTTTCAATGTTAATAATAGCGAAGCGACCACCGTCTTGTACGCCTTTGTATGTCTAGGACATTGAGGCAGACGACAGTCTCATTTTTATTTTATTTTGCTATATCATCTACTCTCTGGTGCGATTGCGATGGACTACATTGTAATCCGAGATGATTTCCTCCGCCACACTTACATCAGTCGGCCTGCCTAGTTTCTCCCGAATATATTGACCCTTCCACATAAGCCACAGCACCGGAGCAAATGCAAGGACACTGCCCACAAGGGCAAACATGAGGAAGGCAAATTGATACCCGATAGACTGGCATAGTCGGACTCCATAGAATGCAATAGTGCAACTAGTACTCTGACGACAGAAGTTGAAGAATTGGGCAACCTCGGAGCCCTCTAAGCGATACGAATCAATGCTATATGTGTAACAGACCGTCGCAACTACCTGGATCCCAAAGATTCCGAGGAACATGCCCGCTAGAGGACCAACCCAATGCGTCTTGTATTGCATAGTGAAGCCGAAAATCAGCAATCCCGCCGGCACAAGGACTGCTCCTGTCCATAGTCCTTTGAATCGTACTTCTGGAGGTGGGTTATCAACACCTAGTCGCTTCGCCTCGCGTCGAACGATGTTGTCAATGATCCTACCCGCAAGGAGCTATCACGACGATTAAGATGTCAGAAAGCTCAGACTACTGTTTGTGGAAAAGAATGTAAGAAAATAAAAAACCTACCTCCCCAGCAATAGAGCCGATAGTCATCGTTCCTCCATAAGCCAGACCGCTCTGGAAAGAGTTCCAGCCAAAGCGCTGCTTGAAAATAATAGAGTAGGTGACGGCAGGGAAAATGGCGGCGAAGCAGTACTGGGAGGCATAGTACAAACTGGGAAAGAGCACTGAAGGATAGAGACCAATTCGGAAGGCTGGTAAGACAATATGCTTGGCCTTGAGACGAACACCAGGGAAAGTGGTCCATGGCCGGAGCAGCTGTCGATACTTGGCCCTTGTGAGCTTAGGTGGATGGGTGCTGGTGTCTGAATAAGTTCTAGGCTCGTAGTACATGGTCTCAGGTAAAGCAACGATCAGGACGAGCAGAGTGACAAAATTCATGGCAGCAGTAATCCAAAAGATCCAGCGCCAACTGAGAAATTTGGCAACAGGTCCACCGAATAGGGCAGCGAAATGGGAGCCGGATGTTAGCATGACGGTGAACAGGCCAAGGGCACGACCACGCTGGTGGTAGAAGAATAGATCGGTCACGGTTGCTGGGCCAAGAGCCATTGACACTGGGAACAGACCATTGATCGCACGAATACCAACCAGGGCGCCAAAGCTGTGGACAAAGCCGCAGCCAAGAGCAGTGACGAATCCAATAAACGTGGTAAGCAGATAGACGAAGCGGCGGCCGAAGACATTAGCCAAGGGGATCCAGATGAAAGGTCCCACGCCATTTAGGGCCACAGCAATTGTCCTGGAATAGAAGGGTTCATGTCAAACGAAGTTCATATGTGGGTTGCTGGGCTACCATACGTTTGGTAGGAAGCTTGGATTTCTGAAACCCCAAGATCTTCAGCGAGGTAAACATATGATGGGTTGATTGCCGCCGTATTCCACGTCCCAAGCTAGTGGCAAATCATTCACTATTAGTAAAATTCTTTCCTTTCTCCATACCGAGAAGATTTCGCTCACAAACGCAAGCCAGCAGACTTGGAACAGGATCAGCAGCTTAAGCTTCATGGGCCAGTTCAGCGGATCACCCTCATCCTCGGATGGGCGAGGGACGAGATGAGCTCTGGCATTGCTAGGTGCCGGCTTAAGCTCGACATCCTCGACCTGTTCCGGACCGTCCTGGTCAATTTTGCTGGCCATGAGAAAGGTGTCTTCCAGTGAGTGAAGAGAGTAATGATAATGCTTGGACAAACTCCATGCTAAACCAGGGCAGTTGAGTAAATTTATGATAGTGGCTAGCTATAGCTTCTCCTCGTCGTAAAATAAGTCCGAGAAAAAGCCAACCGGGGGTCTCGCCGAGACTGGTCCGGAGTTGTGAGTCCATCTCCATTTTTTACCCCATCTTCGCGGCTGTGGGGAAATACGTTACCCTAATTCAAGTATGGGGAAGGCTGTGGCAAACCAAATTGGTTGTTTCTCAGTATTGATTCGTAGTATTATTGCAAAGCAGTGGATTATATGGGCTGATTATTAGATATTAGGAACATAATCTAATGGTCGGCGACCAGCTGTGCACAGGTTGCCCCTGCATCCACTGTCAGAATCGCACCTGTGATCCACCGTGCCTCATTTCCAGCGAGAAACCTCACTGCGCTGGCACAATCCCAAGCATTTCCCTCTGTCCGAAGCAGACTGCGCTTGCGCCGAGCCTCCCTCATGTCCGAAGGCATTCCTCCGCCGGCCCGATACATCATGGGCGTGTAAAGCATCCCTGTAGTAATTCGCAAGTGGGGTCAGCAATGAGAAGATATGAGTAGACGGAGACTGATTACCGGGACAAACACAATTAACCCTAATTCCTTCTCGGCCATGCTGAGCGGCCATGGCTCGTGTCATGTTGACTACAGCTCCTTTGCTTGTTGGATACAACAAACTAGGTGTTCCTCCCTGCAATCCGGCAACGGAGCCCATGTTCACGATGCTTCCCCTAATATTTCCGTCTCCTGGCTCGTTTCTGCGCATGGCAGGAATAGCAAATCGGACCATAAGCATCATACTGGTAACATTGATCTCGAGACTGCGCGTCCATGCGGCCACATCTACATCCGGCGCCTGACCGGGAGCTCCCATGATACCAACATTGTTGACTAGAATATCTAAGCGACCGAAGTGCGTAATTGTTGTTTCGACAATCCGCCGACAGTCACCTTCGCAGCTAACATCTCCGTCAACTGCCATTGCGGCTCCCTTGCCTTCGCTGGTGATCATTGCCACGGTCCTCTCTGCGGCGGATAACTCTCGATCCACGCATACAACAGATGCACCATCTTCAGCGCATAGGATGGCGATGGCACGGCCGTTTCCAATGTCGTCATCCGCACTGCCTGCTCCTGTGACAAGGACGACTTTCCCCAATAGGCTGCGGTGCGGGCGAGACGCAGCAGAGGTTGAAGAAGAGACATCAGACATGATTCTAGCCTGTAAAGCTTCAATTCCTCATTTCAATAATTCCACAATTTTATCGTAGCTTTCATTACTTAAGAATCGTATTGCGTAGCGGAATTGTCCGATTGTCTCGGAGATCAATGTCCGTGATTCATTTGATGAAAAATGAACGTGAAGATTAGAGTATTCTTTTGCAACCCAACGAGCCTACCTACACTAAACACTATGGACTTCTCTCAATATGGAGTACCAAGCAAGGAGTGGCTCAACTTTGTCACTCGCAATCCGACTGCAGCTCAAGATGGGTTCAGCAACAATGACACCCTCGAGGCCAATCAGCTTCGCGAGACTGTGAATGCAGCCCGGGAGAGTGCATCGAAAAAGCTGATGAGCCAGTCCGGTTTGGTCGACAAAGTCAATATTCTGACATTGTCCATACAGTCTCGAGGGGGTCACTCAATCCCCCTTCGCCGATACTCGCCTCGCGATAGGCGAGAACTCATGCAAGGTCTTGTGTACTTTCATGGCGGCGGCTTTCTTTTCGGATCTGAAGGAACTGATGATTATCTGTGCGCTACAATGTCAGAGACTTTGGGCGTGGTTGTCCTCAGTGTTATCTATAGACATACTCCAGATTCGTCACATCCAGCACAGCACGAAGACGCTCGAGACGCGCTCGAATACATTAAAGCAAATGCATCAACACTTGGAATCGATGTAGCTGCGGGCGTAGGAGTACTAGGCATCTCGGCTGGAGGAGGGCTCGCTGCGACGGCTATACTGCGCGACCTAGAGTCGTCAGAGGAGAAAGGCGATCGTCACTTCATCAAAGGAGTGGTGCTCGCTATTCCGTGGCTAATCCACGTTGAGAATTACCCGTTTGAACTTTTCATTGAGCCTCAAAAGTCAGCTCATATACAGTGTCGTGACGCTCCTGTGATCCCGTGGGCCCGGTTGAAGATGTTCAGCGACCTGCTCGATGCAGATAGTAGCGACCCACTGCTGAACGTAGCACTCACGCCAAATGAGTCCTTGCGTGAATTCCCTCGTACTGCAATATTGGTGGCGGGTATGGATCCGCTGAGGGATGATGGATTACTGTTTGCCACAAAACTGAAGGCCAAAGGGTAAGCTCAAAATTTCGAGGCTGAGATCGTATTGACGAGAGTATACAGTGTGCCCACCAGCGTTTCAGTGTTTCCGGGTCTCCCTCACGGATTCAGGAGATGGGCTGACCTTCCAGCCACCAAAGTTTTTGATTCTCGGATTCTAGAATCTATTCGATGGGCCTTGGGGTTAGAAAGCTGCCTGGTAGACAATTTCGAAGACTGGTACGAGTATAAAGAAGAATAAATAGAAGAGATTATATTTGCAGAAAGTTTCTTAGAATACACAATTTCTACATTGATGCTCAAAATAGAACACCGAGAAAAGTTTGGAGACCTCCCGTCTACTACCTCAGTTGATCAGTTGATAGAGACATATAATTAATCAACATCTGAAAATGCACATGTACGGCGATCTCCAAAGATTTTGCTTATTTTGTAAAATTGTTCACTGAATTTTCTTACTGAATATCCAGTGTGGGGATCGGTGCACGCCCATAACGAAACCTCACTCCAAGGATGTTGGCCAGTCCTAAACAGAGCTTTTGAAGCTCCTCCAAATCATGTCTCGTAGCACCGTTTATAAGCATGCCCTTCATGTGATGTTGTAGCTGGTTCTGGCAGTCCATACCGTAAAGCGCCGAGACAATGGCGTATCCTGTTGTCAGATCGTCTATGATGCCATCGAAGGAGAAGATGCGCCCATATAGCACCTCTAAAAACAAATCATTCAAATCGTACTTAGTAATTAAGATCGGCCATTTTAAATGCAAAATAAAGTCGTACCTCTCACGACAAAGGCGTAGTCGGGGCTTGCCCGCACTGATGCCTCTGGGTCGAATGCCTTGTTCTGGGAATAGATTCTCGTCCAGAACGCTTTCCCCCTCTCCCGAGCTACTTCTTCCGACTCTTTAGATCTTGGAGATTCCTTCTCTCGGAGATCTTCAGGGACGCAATTTGCAAGAGTGCGCATCGCATTACCTGTTCGAGCGGCACCCACTATCCCTGTGGACTTGATTAAACCCTCGCGGAGTTTTCGGACATAGGAGAAGCAATCCTCAGGGGAGAGCGTAGAGAGTACATGGGTATCTAAGTGGCTGTAAACTTGTGGGATAACATCGGGGAAATTAAATGAAGATAGTGCAACCACCACACACATGTACCACCTGAGGCGATCATTTGAAGAGGACAGAGAAAGGACTGGCTCCCAGAATGAGGCTGGCAGAGTTGGCGTTTCAACCGTCATGACTTATTTGCTTTTTGTGAGATTTATTTGTCGACACTCTGCTTTCCCCCTCTTTTCTGTATTTCAGACCAGTTAATGGATCCAACTATCAAGGTTCATATGTGGAGTAGTGGGGATGGGGATGGACATCATTCTCCGGCTGGATCACCGATGGTTGATTCCCGCCGTCTCAACATATACGTATCTGGAGAAAGCCATAGTTTCGCACATCATTGTTTACAGACGTAAAATTGTCATGTTTGTCATTGCACCCCTTTCCAATTGCGCCTCCACCGCGAAGCGTGATAGAGTATGTCAAAAAACAACTGATGAATGAACAAGTAATCCGCAGCGTAATTGCCGGCTGACCAGCTCTCTGATAGTTCATCGAATATCTCTCTAAAATTGCACCGGTAACATACAAAAACGAGCCCAAATGCCGCGCATATGCTTGGTTCCGAAGCGCAGAGGACAACGACACAGTGCCCCATCATTGGCTCCGTGGATTAGAAGTGTAAGTGTACCAATTTCTGAGATTTCCGTTTATGTATGGATCGCATCGAGTTGACAAAATATAACCATAATTTAGATATGAAGATGTTGAAGCAAATACTATTACTCACCGTGCGAGCGCTGAATACAAGGCTTTCCGTGCTGCTGTAGGCGCTGAAGGACTACTCGAGCGTCCAAGCGACCTCCGTTTCTGGAGACCCTCATCCATTGGCTTTCTCAAGCGCGATGAGAGCAGTCGTGAATCCGAGATATTCCAAGATCGCAGTCATACGACCTCCCCAGATGCTCTGCAGTACATTGTTATTGATGAGATGACACCGCGGCTGGGATATGAAGACATAGTTATCGAGCAGTTGTGTGGGATGGCGCATTTAGCAGAGCAAAACGACCAAATTCTCAGCTTCTGGGTACTAAATCGTGGAGACGAAGCGCAGGACCAGGGTATATTAGTCTTTTCTCGATACAAGAACAGAAACGCATCGATCAGTGATAAGGCTGCTTCAGCTTGGAAGGAAGTGTATGCGTTAAGTAATGAGCAGCGAAGAACGACATGGGTAGAGTCCGGGTTGGGGTTTTTAGGCAGGTAGTATTCATACATACTGAATGCAATGATATAATTATTCATAATCCCTTATTATTTGGTTACTGCTTTGGTGAACTGGTAATCATACCCTTCAAATCAAAAAAGACTGCTTGGTTTTCGCAAAGCAGTTGTCAATTCATGGTGTATAGTACATAACTGCTACGATATCAGCTCTTAGGAAGAGCAATCGGCTAGGAAGTAAGGATAATACCGAACGTAAACCTAACGGAATATAGTTACGGATGACCCTAAGTACATTCAGTGTGTTAAGATGCACTTGAATTTTTATTTAAAAAAAGCAACCTTAAAAAACCTAATGATTACTGGTAAAGCTTGGTCACATAACCTTTGATGTCAAGATGGCCATCTCATCACAAAATAGCAATCGCATTAGGAGGGGAGGCGACGGCTCCCATATAATTTAATGGCGAGGACGTAAAGAAAAAAGACCACCGACTGTTTTGTGAACATAAATCAGCTAACGCATCAAGATCGAACAGTTCACCCAGAGGAGTACCCCATCCAGCTAGCAGAATAGGGTGAAGATGCCATTCTTTCTCCGTGGGTGCTATATATGTCACATTAGAAGGTAGAAAAGAAAAAGAACTAGATCAATCAGTATACTCACGTCGGACTTCAAATCCAGGCGAATCACTGGCCACAGCTGCAAACTGTCTCTGCCACAGCCATTCAGTCGTCTCACGCGACTGACCTAGGCCGCACCATTCGCGTAGATTGGCCACTCTTTCTCTCCCTGCCACATCAAGCTCTTTATATGCAGCAACATAGCCAGTGCGAAGGAACAGTACGTCGCCTTGAAGCAGGTCAACACCTTGTTCCTTGATCACTGCTAGTATGTCTGCTAGACTGATTGCGTGATCTGAAAAATGATTCACGTCGATACCATGGCGGCTTGCATATGACGCATAATCAATAAGTACACCACGGCCAGCGAGCCCTCTTGCGGACCAAGTCTGCAGGCCATTGATAGCGGTACGGTCGCAGGCATGTATATCGGCTTGAGTAGTTCTGGTACCTCGGTGGGAGCACAATTAGTCCTAACTGTAGTATAGCCTCACTGGACAGGTCCATTACCCGTTATAAAATCTTTTATCTTGCTGATAAGCAAAGTGACGCAAACTATCCCACTGAGAACTTCCTTGAGTGTTAAATGTGATCTGCGTTTTTGTCAATTTTTGGGATACCTTCGCGGACGAACATGGACTTACCACGTCGTCATTGACTACCAGTGGGTTTTTATCAATGACCTTCTGCTCAAAGCCGGCTCGTCCCAACAAAGGAGGATTGAATAAGTCGAGGGGAAGACTGTATATCCGCTGTCAGTCTCTGCTATAGTTTGTTTTGACCACACTACTCACTTGAGACTGACTCGCTGGCCTGTCTTCACCTCTTCCTTAATAGTCCTCTGCACTAAATCGTCCGTTAGATAGTTTAGCGACCCCAGTGAGTTTTCAGGCCCATCTCCCCATAATCCCCAGGCTGAGTTTGGGGGATCACCGTCATGCAATGGAAGCTGGTCAAATCGTGGTAAGACTTTAGGTTGAGAGGGCATCGCGATGATGATATCTAAAGATAGGAATTCGCTACAGCCTTATTCTTGAACATGATATGCACTAGATAAGTAAAGACACTCTCGTAATGATACATACTCTTGCATCATAGACTATACTATAAGTGTGATGAAAAATTCCTCTTTTCCAGCCGGATATTGATGTCCGAGTGGAGCGCTATTCTTCCTCGGCTTGATAAAACAACAATAGTTCCGTTAAAGTATTTCCGGCTTGAAGAGATTGTATGGTAAAAATTTACCTAATGATATTAAAAATATCGAATTAAAAATCTCCATGAGCACATTGGCACATTCTATTGGAGGGCTTTATCCAAATAGACACCGTCGAGTATAGTTATACATAATGCAATGTCGCCATTCTTTTGAGTCTTGCTTCGTACATGTATGGTTTGTGGAATATCAATTGATCAAAACGTCCTAATTTATTCTAAGACTTTTCACTGTCGTTAAATAACCAGCGATGGGCATCCCAGGAGTCCTCATGCGCCTTTCTGAAGGCACCTCTTCTACCGTGCTTCCTCTTCCCGGCATCGCGGCTATCTACACGCTTAGGGCAGACGACAACGAGAAGCCCATAGCCAATACAGTTTACTTTCTCAATGATATCTCACCACTTCTTTCCTCCAGAGATCAGTACGATGCCGACTCGGATAAACACAGTGACGTGTCTTGGATCATATGCTCTTTCATCAACGGGAGAGATGCCCCAGGAGATGAGGAGCCGCAGATAGAACCACACAAACTGCCAGTACCCGCTGCCCAAGGATCTGTTCTAGTTGTCAATGGGTCAACTCCACAATCAGACAAGGAAGCCGACTATCATGCATGGTACGACCAGGAGCACGGGGGAAAATTGACACGAGTGCCAGGCTGGACTGCAGCAAGGCGATACGCGCTCGTCAAGTCCTACGGCCCTTCCCAGACAGCTAGTTTCTATGGTTTCAACTTCTACAAGGAGGAAAACGGGCTGGGTGGGCCAGAATGGCAGGCTGGTGTGACCGACTGGACATTACGCATCAGGAGCAATGCGGCTAAACCGAATATTCGGAGAGTGTGGGAAATAGTGGCGACCCAGTGATGGAAACTTGAAACTTGTTTAATCTCATTTTTGCTTAATATTCTTAGTCAACTCAATATTGAAGAGGATCAATTGCCCCCATTTTAATAAAGAAACATTGAAAGATAATAGAACTCACGTTTTATTTTTGTTGTTCTATTCGTCTGCGTGAAACCTTCGAAGCATTTGACCCCCCGTTCAGATTTGACTAGAGAATATATCTACGAAAGACTAGAAATACCACAGAGGTTATTATATGAGAAAAGTAATTAATTAGTTTAGAGAGACTAAAAGGCGGCCACAAAACGAAGAAAGGAAAGGTGAAAGAAGTAGCAGTAAATTAGGTATAAAGGCCTAACAGAATACAAGACCATTTAAACCCTTTGTAATGAAGTCCTCTAAGCTAGTAACTGGAATCTGTCTCTATCAATTATGAATTTCTGGAAGAGTAAACAAACGCCAGTATTCAGTAAAGTCCAATGTCTGGGTTGCTCCAACGCTTTCTCCTTTGGTCTCTCTGAGAGTGAAACCATCTCCAAGATAGGCGAACCGGTTAGCTTTGGCCCCCGGAAGTCGATCTATATGAAAGTCTTCCCAGCGTGGATTCTTTATGGCCTCCATAAAGTGGAATGAAGTTCCACCGTAGATGGCGACAACAGGCCCATCAACCGTACCGCGCTTGTACCAGCTACGACAGCCCCGTGTCCACACTGTTCGATCCAAATACTGCTGCATATGCTGGTTATATTCCTCATTGGCGTCTCGCCGCACTTCAAAGCTGCGAATCATCTCAGTTTGCAGTTTTTCCAGCCACTTGTATATGTAGACAGCAGTAGCTTGAATTCCTAATACCAATGATCCATTGCTAATAGGACTGTTTGGACCTATAAAACAGAAGTAATTAGGCATATCTGGGACCAGGAAGCCAAAGTATGCTTTTGGTTGTTCAGTCTCCCACAATTGGCCTAAGTCGACTCCGTTCCGTCCAACTACTGGGAAAGACGGTCGGAATGAGGTGTCAAATCCGGTAGCACACACGATCACGTCGTATTCCTTTGTCTCTCCTGACCGTGTCACAATTCCTTTCTCGGTAACTCGTGCCACGTCATCCCATTTTAGATCAACGTTATCTTGTGTCAGTGCCTCCAAAAAGCCGGGTCCCGGTGTCTGTCGCCGACAGCCAACAGGGAAATCTGGCAGGAGATAGTCTAAGGCCTTGCGCCCCTTAGGGCTATCACCCAAGCGTTCAGCCATGCTCGCACGGAAAATTTCTTGCGCATGCTTCTGGAGGTCACTATCGGCGATTGCACGTTTGAAGTTTTCAATTCGGCGATCCATAATTGCCACTCTGTATTCACGCAGTGTTTCAGGGTCCTTGAAAATGTCTAGAGTGCCTTCTGTGAAATTGTAATCTGCATCCATGTCCGGATCCTTAGCTGTAGGCTCGTTGATACCTGGTGCCGGCGAAATCCACGTCTGTGTTCGAACGTAAACGTCCATTGAGTCGACAACCTTAGCAAGCTGTGGCACGATTTGAATACCTGAAGAGCCAATTCCAATATTCGCCACCCTCTTGCCCGTGAAATCATAATCCTGATCCCACCGAGCTGAGTGAATGAGTTTACCTTTGAAGGAGTGTAGACCGTCAATATTAGGCCACTTCCAATTACTACAGGAATGAGGTATCAGAATACGTCCAATAGAGGTAGTGAGTGGAAACTGACTTGAGTACGCCGCCAGCGTTGATAAAGACGTCGACATGATCAACGAAGACTGTACCGTCCGTCTTTTGGACTTGAATATTCCATTTGGCCTCATCTTCATTCCAGATTGCTGATTTAATGGCATGTTGATATTTTATGTACTTGTTGCAGTCATATTTGTTGGCAACACCGTGCATATACTCATGGATCTGTTGAGAAGTTGCATAGTAGTTCGGCCACTGGGGATTAGCGGCAAAGCTATATGCATAGTTGTGTGCCGGAATGTCGCACTTGCAGCCAGGATATCTAGAAGAAACCTAGAGTAAGTAATTGCGTGCTAAACGAATAATCTGACGGCATTGTGCTATCACTTCAGTCTCTCCTACCTATTTTCAAGCCATGTTCCGCCGAGGTCTTCGTTCCGCTCATATATGACGAGCTCTGCGTTCTTGTTTTGCATCTGTTCACTAAACACGATAGCCATCATAAGTCCCGAGTAGCCTGCTCCCATGCAGGCCACCCGAATTGCACGTCGGGTTCCAATTGGCTGTTCGATGATTTTGTAGGAAGGGTCCAGGTTAGAGGCAGCATCTTTGAGCTTCTCATTGTCAACTACTGAACCATTGCGATAGCCATTAAGCTGCTTTGGTAACTTTTCGTGAATTTCTGAGCAAGCACTCTCGATTGGGATGGAAGGCGCCATGGCGGAGTTTCTCAGGTGTGCTTGATTAGTTTTGAAGCGATTGCCCGGCACATTTCTGCAACAGACCATGCACCCTGGAATGCGGGCCGATATATACCTTCTGATCCTGAAACCTGGCCCATTGCTGCTTTGGGATCACAGTATGGAGGAGGTATGTTGAAAATCAATGTCCGCACCGAGACAGAGGCCGGACATCAACTTCCGGCACTAACCCCAATCTGCTTTAGACCGTGCGTTTCCCCGCATAATAATTGCGCCTAGTATTGCTGGTCAATCATCCTTTGTAGCCACCAGTCTTGTCTTCAGTGGCAGCCAGTGCAGTCTATCGATGATGAAGTTATTATGGCGGCGGATTTGAGCAGAGGTATCCAGAAGAGCGGCCGCCGGTTCTCTCGCCCTGGGCCAGGAGGCGGGACGTGCAAAACATGCACACCGTGCCGCCAGAAGAAAATCAAATGCGATAGCACTCGTCCGTACTGTGCCGAATGCACTACGGGCGGCTTCAGATGTGTATACCCACAAGATGCCAGACGAGAGCCTCGCCCATCCAAGGCTCGCATCCAAAGCCTTGAAGCTACGGCTGCAGCCATGCTAAAGCATATGAAAACATCAGGCATCGTTCCGCCTCATGTGCAGCTTGGCGACATATTATTACCCGCAAATGAAGGCGAGAATAGCGATGATATCACTAATACACTTTCTACAAAAGATTCTCATGATTATAACCAGCTATCTCAAGACGCAAGTCTCGGCCATCTTGCCTCAACTGCAGCTGTTGCTAGCCCGTTACCAACACCGTCCACCTCGGCTTCAGGAGCAACTGAACCGTCACCAAATTTCACGTCTCATCCACCATCAGTCAATGTCAGCTTCACGGAGCAATTACAGGAGCTTCCAGTATCCGGACAGGTGGAAATACACAATGACCGCACCCCCAGTTTACCGATGGAGAAAACAAGTGATACTCTGGATCTAGAATCTCGGACTTATCAAGCAATGGCCTTGGAACCGAGTCCCTCTAGGATGCCTGTTGTCCCTGAATACCTAGCTACCCGAGCCCAATCTCAGGTAGCGACACTTGCAAATACCACAGCTATTACCGGTGCTGAAGGAAGCTCCGGCATGTCTCCTTGTGAAGCGCGTGTCGCCGGTGCATTTCACGAACACGGTTGTGTATCGTCAGTCCATGGTCTCGCCAGTATCATGAATCCCTCATCAAGAGCACAGCATAAAGACAACATTTCCAAAATGACCTGGAGAGGCGAAGGAGCTGTGGCAGCCTCCAAGGCTAGACTCATCAGCAACGCCGCGCTCCAGCGGCAACGCGAGCCACGCCTCTTTCGTCAGCCATCTAATCTAGTCGACCTGGATGGCTGCGACCCAGAACTTGCCAAGCATCTCCTAGATCTCCATTTCAATCGGCAGCATTACGCATACCTTATTTCATATCGTCCGGCCATAATGGAGAGCCTTGCCAATGGGGGCGGACCTTGGATCAACAAGCTATTGCTTAATGCTATATATTACTCTAGCACTCTATACAGTGACAGACCATATCTACGGTCCAACACAGATGATCCAAACAGCATTGGCGCCAATTTTTATCGGCGATTCCGGCAGCTACTGTCCGATGAAATCGATAAGCCTAGTATTCCCACTGCTGCGGCTTTGTTGCTAACCAGCGCAACATTGGTCTCTCACGGGCAGTCAAGTGCAGGATGGAATCTCTCAGGAATAGCATATCGGATGATAATCGATATGGGGTGTCATCTAATGCTTGGACCTGATTACCAAAGCATATCTAGCAACGACCACGATCAGCTCTTGCAACGTGATTTGGAGCAAGAGATGCGGAAAAGGCTATATTGGGGCGCATTTGTCACTGACGCCACCCAAGCTCTATATCTCGGCCGCCCCTGCATGTTTGCTGCCGGAGAAGCGAGAGTCCCACTGCGATTTCTAGATACATTCGAAGAGCTCGAGGAATGGGAACCATATATTGACCCTCAATCGACTGGCGAGCCCCCTCCGCCGTATGCACCACAGCCCGCCCATGCCCTCTCAACATTTAGCTGTTTAGCTCGCCTTTTTCAAATTTCAATCCGTATCACCGAACTTTACGGTATCCAAACCATAAAATGCAGTTCGGAGTATCTTCAAGACAAGAAAATTAGTATTGAGAAAGAATTGGAACACTGGAATGTCACGTTGCCAGCTCATCTCAGATTCGACCCGAATAAACCATTCACCCCACCACCACACCAAATAACACCCCAGTAAGTCTCACTTAATTTGGTCAGTACTTAAGAAAATATCATTCTCATTATTTATGACCTTATAGCACTACTTTTCACGCCCTGTCTATCCTTCTTCACCGTGCCTTTCTAAAAGAGGGCCATCTTCGCCGTCATTGTGACGAAGGAGGCCGGGCACGAAGCGAAGAGAGTTGTATAAATAGTGCCCTGGCTATAGAGAAGCTAGTTCACGCTTACAAACAGGCATTCACGCTCCGACGTGCCCCATTCCTATTATCTTATGCCGTTTACTCCGCGGTTATTGTGATTCTCCGTCAAGAACAACATGAACGAGGGCAATTTACTGAGTCGATTTCCTTTTTTTGGAAATGTCTAAGTGAATTGAAGCATGGTTGCAACGTTGGTCTCGAAAAGCCACTCGGAATTCTTCGAGACATGGTACATGAGTTTCACCTCAATATCCAAAAGGTCGACATAGAAAGTGATGGCATACCTGGGCTGCCAAATGTGGATGAGGCTATTCCTCCCTCAAGGAGCCAGCAGCCTGCAAATAGGCCCGCGATCAATGCAATGCTACCCGGAGAGGAAACAGATTACATGGGCCAGATTGGCCAACCAAATTTGGCTTTTGATAACTCGTCACCAGGCTTTCTCGTGTCGTTGAACCAGCTCGAAAACGATATATCTGAAGACGCTTTGTACGGATTATTCGCGCCTTCTCAGATATTTTTATGATGGTTTCGGGCGTTGCTTCTGTAGGGTGTCAATTTCTCGATGTAAATTGTGTCGCGCGTCGCCATAGCAGTGGGCCGTTACTGCTTTTCTAAGAGCGTCGTTTCAATTTGAGTCGCAAAGCTTGTGGTTCACCCATGATTGGATAAGCTTCACTCTCTTCGCCATTTTTTCACTGGTTATCAGTGATCTGGTTGTACACTGCCCTTGCAAACATGTTGCTTGGAGTCTCTGCTTAGTATACTTCCTTCCCAACGAGAGTGGGTTGTTCAAGGAATTTCCTGGCCTGTGTGAAGTCGAAGCCGTTTTCTTCGAGAAAGTCTGGTTTCCCTTTGGCAAGTTTGATGTCAGCTCCATCAGCAATTCACAAAACCTTACAAGGTTCTCAAACATCGACTAACCCACCAATTAAGCATCCCGAAGAATTAGAAAGCACCCAATATCTTTTCAGTTGCTCATCTTAAGCCTTGCCCTATGGAATATAGGGGCACGAAGAGGGCTGAGGAAATTCAAATAAACGAGGATGATGATAAGCACTATGAGATCAACAAGATTGTTAATCAACGCACTACCCGCGAAGGAAGAAAAGAGACTCCTATCACGGAATATCGCCTCAGAATCACTCTAGCAACAGCGTGCTGAGTTAGGACCGAGTCTGCCCCATGTCAGGACTACCTGATTAGAACTAATATAATAAAATCTTTATGAGGCACAAGATTGTAGTAATACTAAGTTCGGGAGCTAGCTAGTGATGTCTAACACACAACAAGTCCCCCGCTCCGAAAATGTTTCATCCCAGCAATAAAGAGTGTAAAAATTTGTTGGAATCATGAAAACACCAAGCATTGGCTAGGGATGGAGAGTCCGCCAGACCGCCAATCCTAGTCGTCGCCGTCAGCGAGATTGTCTTCAGCATCAGCCATCCGAATCTCTATAAAACGTCGGCTGCCGTTGGCGTTGAAGGAATAGGCATCCGTAGGATCCGGATCGTCCCAAGGAATCAAGGCCTGAGACTTAGTGACAGTGCGAAGATCATGAATAGTAAGATCGTGCGGCCACAGGATTTTCCACCATACCTCACGAGCGCGAACGAAGAAAGTCCACTCCCATTCGGCCCTTTTTTCACACCAAATCTCAAAGGCTTTCTGCCAGTCGTCCTTGTATGCAGTGTACTGGGCATTCCAGATCTCAGTGAGCTCTTCCTTCATATTCTCCTCGAACTCACGTGTGAGAGTATGGCCAGTGACGACATTATCGCGGGAGATTCCTTGATTGGAGTGGGAGACGATGAAACTAGTTGGAGTTTCCGCATCTGATGGATAGTAGCGAATTTGGAGTTTCGCTGGGCGGCCTGCAGTTCGGACGGCTCGAGTCTGGGAATTCCAAGTCGGCCCTGAGCGGTCTGCCACCAGCCCAATTGTCATGGAGCGATAGCGTCGTAGGAGAGTATCGTCGAAGGCCGTAATCTCAGGGGGAATTGTGACACGAACCTCTTTGGAGATTCCTTCGTAGAGGAACATTCGGTAAGGCTTCTTTAGAAAGTAGAAGGCTTGTCCGTACCGAACAACGTTGCCTTTCGTGTCGGTGATTCGTGCCTTGCAGAGTCCGTCTTCGTCACGAAACTGAAAAACGAAGGAACCTCCAGCGTTGATGAATACATCAAATACGTCAGGAAGGGCAGGCAGGGGACCTGGATTCTCCGGAGAGAATTCAACTGGATCTTCCTCCTGAATCCAGCTCCAGGCGAGCTGCGATACCCCTGGCTGATGCTGAGGCTGCTGGTGCTGTGGAGTCCGGTCCTGGATGTGGAAATTCCAGACTGTTCTTGCTGGTATCGCGTCTGCCTGGATGAGCGGAGCTTCCGTGGTTGCCATGTTGAGCTCCAGCTCGACTTCGTTAAGCTTTCGCAGCGCCCGTTCGTACCGTCTGATCGACTTCTGGAGCATCCACTGGCAATCTTCGAGCTTTTTGGTGTTCTGAAGCCGCTCAAGACGCTGTATCCACTGGGGCTCATTGATGTCGAGTTTCCGAAGGGCAACAGTGGCTCGCTGCATTCGACGCCAGGAGACGTTTTGGATAGTTCGATACAGACCCTCTTTGATCCAGACAGTGGTAGGATCGTCCTCGCTGTTGTAGATGTCTTCAGGCCGCATATTGTCGTTATGCAGCAGGTTGGAGATTCCATTCAAAGTCTCCTGGGCTTCATTGACGCTGCTCAGTTCGTTGCGAAGAGCTTCGAACCTGGCTAGGGCCTGGGCGAAGGCGTTGGCATTGGCTTCGTTCGTATGGTCCGCCTCAGTCTGCACCATACGAAGGAACGCTGCTAGATTCTCCATAATACCAGGAGGTGCAGTGTTTGGGACGTCTATGATGGGCTATGCGAGATGCGATACAAGCGGAAAGTCCGTATAAGAAGGATGAGATGGAAGGGGAGGATTATTACGAAGTAAGGATGAGGAAGAAAGTGTGAGTGCGAGATAAGAAAGGCGAAGGATGGGAGATGGCTGGGATTCTCCGTTTGCAGAAATTTCTGGAAAATAAGAGGCGGCGCCTTATTAGGAAAGCATTGCTGCAGGATAAAATACCGTGATAAATCGGACTGCAGGGTTGACTGGCGCGCGCCGTGTCGTGAGATAGCCTCACGACTTTGCTTCCACACCTTAAGAACTTCCTGGGCGGGCGTTATTCAATTCTTTTATTGCAAGCCAGCAATCATCGTCAGCGTCATATCCAGTCTAGTGTACCTGATACTCCATAATAGAGATTCTATATTGTCTTTTTTAGATAATTCTTTCGTTGATGATTTTGTTAATTTTGTAACGTTTGCTGCTATCAATATCTATCTAAACTTTTTAAATATGTGGCACTAAGAAAAGCCCTCTAGGTAGTCCAAAGCAGCTATCTAGCTATAAGGCTCTGATGAAATAGTTAAAGGCTAGATAATAGGCGAATTAGGGCAGAATTAGCTTATATGACTCTCTATAGGTCTTGAGAGATCCCACAAATGTCATTAAGTTGTGGTGAGAAGATATTCGATGTTGAATTGATCCGGGTGGTTAAGACACTAGAAATAGGCACTTACAGGGGCCACTGAGGACTAATTAACATGTTCTTAGACCTACAGACAGTCATAAAGTGTGCCGATTCTGGCAACTCTCACTATACGAGTGAGTAGTAGAAAGAATTCAGCATCCACTATATTCCAGTCTTTTGGCGCAGAAACTTAATGAGCGAATACTCCCGCATACAAGGTCGTGACAGCTCTCACGAAGCTGTTTCAACAACGTCGACATTCTCTCCAGACACTACCTTCCAGCATTCCAGACCTCCTCTCATTGATAGATAGGAGTGCTTGATAAATACTTTAATAATGGCTGCATTATTCATGGCTGTTGAGATATCCCATGCCATAACGTGTCGATAATGCATATATATTTTATTATATATATCGTTTACTCTATGATTCATCAAAAACATTCTTACCTCAACAAGTCAACCGGCTGTAAAAGCCCTAATCTCGCAATTCAACAAAACAGGTTCTTTCCATTCAAAACAGGTCATACACAGCATAAGAAAATCGTTTACATACAACATTCTTTTGAAAAACAAAGCGTTTCATCAATCACTCAGCATATGGACGGTAGATATCCAACTGCCCACCCAGTGCCTCAAACTCCAACTCAACGCCACATCCAACAAAATAGACATAGCCTTCTTTTATTTCATGGCTCTTTGCTTCGCTTGCCCTTGCGGTCATTCTACCTTCTCCGTTTGTCACAACAAGTATACTCGGTCCATTGATCGGTTTAAGCTTCTCCTTTTCACCTGCACCTAAATGTGTTGCCAAAACATTAAACTCGCTGATAGGTGGAGAATACTCAATCGTTTTGCCATTGAGACCTTTTTCTGAAGAGTTCTTTCTTAGGATGGCCTCACTAGGATCGTGTGGCCAGAAACTCAGCGCTTCGCAGAATAATGGAATACTATCGCGCTCCGGGCGCGGACAGAATCCGGTGTTAAGCACGTTGTCGGACCGAGCCATGCATTCCATTATATCACCTGAGAGATACGCATGCATCCCATTGGCGGGGACGTACACTGACTCCCCCGGATGAAGAACGAAGTAGTTCATGCACACGACAGCCAGCAAGTTGCCATTATCGAACTCGTCGTATTGAGAACTCACTCTTTCCAGCATTTTGGGAATGTAGTTGTACTTTCCGAAAGATTTCTCAGGCAGTTTGGTCAGTTCGCGAAGCGTGTCTGCCACGGTTTTCTCGTCTGCTTCCAGTATGTTTTGGGCGACACGTTTGAGACTTTCGTCATTGAAGTGGGTCTGTGGTGCGGGCAAGAATCGCTGCAAAGGTTTATTGTGAAATAATTGTGACAAATCAGTGAGCGGTTTCCAACCAGCGAAAAGCTCGAATTGTGAGAGAGCAATAGCAATTTCAGGCTTATGGTTGGCGTCGGTGAATTTATCGGGGTACTCATTGTGCAGTTGCTCGGCGAGCTGGCGATCTGGATGAATCTGGAGAGGGAGAGCCTTGTCCATGGACAGAATCTATGTTTATTCTCGCGTCAATCATGCGCTATTGTCATTTAGGAGCGGGGATTTCGCACGCACTTTAGGGAGAAATGGCAACCCTGCTCCAAACTTGTTTGCAATCGTCTTTCCCACCAACTCTGGGTGCTTCTTTAGGTGTTCCTCCAGTGTGTCGCCAGTGGCAACGACAAACGAAGGAACGGAGGGGTATGTACCCATCCACATCTATTGGACTATCATCAGCAAGTGAGGTTGCGTTGCGATAGTGGTATTCACCTCGGAATAAGTCTGGTTGTCATCGATCTTGAAATTCGTTCCAGGCTGCTTCGAGGCCAATCTAGCAGCCAGTGAATCATGGCCTTTTTTACCCCAGGGGTCATTCTATGCACACGACTAAGAACAAGCACTATATCAATGGCTTACAGAGTAATGGTACATACCTTGCATTTACAACGAAGCTGAAGTACCGATTCTGAGCCCATGGTGAATTGTGTATTTTCGATGTATCGGGAAATAATTTATTTTGGTAGAGAATAAGCCTGGTGGAATAATTTATGGCCAAGTTAGGGCTCGCGGAAGCATGTGTATCTCATATCTACGTTGCGATGCCGTCATACGTGGAGCAAACTTGCGGGCCAGATCCAACCCAGGAATTGCAATAACATTGAAGAAGGTTTAGAATATATAAAGAAACAAGTGGACTTGCTAGATTGAATATAGCAATATAATAAATTGAGTCCCAGGTTAGCAAGATTTAAGTCAACATATAGTCCAATGTCGTTGGTGGATCCCCGATAATAAAATCGCAAATGGCAGTATAGTGTCCTATCAAATTTCTGACGATAACTTTCGGAGGCGCAAGGCTCAAGCGCGAACCTCTTGTTCGGACACAGCGTCCACAATCACCGTGCAAGAACCATGAATCGAAGGCACAAGAGGGCCATGAAGGTCTGAAAAAGTCAACGTCCAATAAATTGTCCACAAGCGCATAGTTTGAACATTATTTACTGCGATCCTTTAACTTTTCTGTCACGCAAAAACGTCATAGAGCAGCATGTATCTCGTTTAGTTGGCATGCCACCTCTTAAGTTGCAAAGTAATAAGCCATAGCGTAACAAGAATCCCCACCGGCCAATGAAGGAGTTGAGGCTCCTTATACAAAGGGTGGATACAAGCAGGGTAGATGGTCAAGGCCAACGGACGTTTGGTCGACGGCGGTATGCCAGGACGGTGGAGCGCAGAGGAGCAAAAGGAGTAGCGAGAGGGGCAAGATAGAGGAGGAAGGATGGTGGTGCCTGTTTAGGAAAGTCCGGGGTTCAATACAATATCCTTCCCGGGAAGGCTTTGCACCCACACACTGCAAACCTCGCCCTTGTCATTGCACATGCGGTGGAGCACGGCGACATCGGCCGTTGGTCCAGTCTAGATAATGTGGAAAGGGAGACAGTCTCCCCTTCCCATCTTGAACACCGCGAGTTGACTCTTCCCTTCCATCCCTCCTCTTCTCCTCCTCCTCCTCCTCCTCCTCCTCCTCTCCTCTTCTCTTCTCCTCGCCTCTCACTCACACCCCTCACTAATGCTCCTTCTCTCCCTATTTTATCTCGAAACAAGGCCATTACTTGGCAAATCTCTTCGTTGAAATGTTATTCCATCTGCCGCACGCGTTAAAGTGTCTAAGAAGGCGGTTATTGCCCATCACACTTTTGAAAAAGTGCTTACTCGCAAGCCCGCCTTCATGAATCGGTTAGAAAGCAAGCTCAAGTATCTTGGATCAACCATAATACAAAGGGAAAGACACGGCCTAAAGCCAGACAACGCATATCGACCGAAACGATTACCTCGAGGTCGCTCGACGATGTGGCCGTCGTTAGTGGGTGGAAGTAGGCTTGCCGGGTAAGTCTATCAACGCATTTATGCGTTTTACTTGCTGGAAAATCTGACAGTATGCACCTTAGACAAGGTCACCATGTTGCAATTGTCGTCGCTGCCGTAGCTGGCAGCATCAGCCTAGGAGTTATTGTTTTCGCTGTCGCCTCGGTCATTCGCAATTTCCGCCTGTAAGTATTCATTCTTGTTAATGTGGATTTCCTTTCATAAGGAGTATTTATTAATAGATTCAGCAGGAAGCCTGATGATCTGGAATCTGGAAAGTCTGTCCTGCGTTTTTGGGGTCGCTCCTCGACTTTCTTTAAACGTCCATTTGTTCTTCTAGGTCCAAAATTTCGCCGCAAGTCAAAAGCCGCAAAACAGGAAGCGATAAGATTAAAGGAGATGGAGCGCGATGCCAAACGACAGGAAGCTGCAAGATCAGGAGCTGAACTCTTCCAGGAAACTCCCAAGCGTTGCTGTCCCTTCCAGGTCGCTCTCTTACTGTTCATTTATCACTCTCTTTTACAATACCACTGGTCAGTCATTCCATCTCATCATATACCAGATGTTCCATCTCATCATATACCAGATATTCCATCTCATCACGGAGCTGAACTCTTTCTGTTTGGCATGGCCAGTGGCATTGACAAGATCAAGGCTGGTATCGTAGAGGTTGACCTAGCGGGGTAAGTCTATCAATGCGTTTTACGCGTTTCACTTGCTGGAAAATCCGACAGTATGCATTGTTGAGGATTTGGAAGGTCTTAGTCAAGGTTTGCAAATGTTTTCTCGGAATTTGCAAACATCTACTCCCACTTCGGAAACTCTGAAACGTACCACTGCCGCCGCTGGTGCTGATTTTCGTGGAATATGCTATGTAAGAAATGGCTCGATGTATGTGTGGGTGCTTTGGTGGTCTGAACACTGGGTGCCTGGTCGAAGTAGGCGAGTGCGAGAAGCATGTAGATAGGATATTCAAACTTCTGTCATCCTACTGGACCATCACAATAACAAGCATCATTAGTGATTACAATCAAACGATCATTACCGCCGATCTTAGTACTTAATACCGTATACGACCTGGGTCTAAAAATGGATACAGATCACCGTTTCGAGCCCCCGTGGTGAAAGATGCCAGTGATTGATTGCTTCATAAAGCACGAAGATGACTCGTCATTTGAGCTAGATTAAATCAACAAGGATGGGAGCATACCAAAGGGGAAAGCCAATGCAATAAAACATGTACCTCTCGGAAGCCTACTATAGTCATTGGACAGCTTATGCAGGATTAGCTTCTTCGCGTATCATGTGAGTCCTACACCTCCAATATTACTACACCAAATCAACATTGAAGAATTTGACGAAATCGCGCTGTTATCTCTATGTTGAACATAGATTGCACGACTCGTGTCGGCATTCTGCAGCCACGAGTCAGGTCGTTTACCTCGTATACCACGTATTTAGGGGACTATCCATCTAAACATAAATGAAGTCTAGCATTCGTCGTCCATGCAGCTAACGCGCTAGGTACAGTGCTAGTCCAAAGTCATGTACAGTTTCGAGCGGTGACATCCAACCGCTGGTAAGCCCTAACAGCTCGATCGGGCATCCCAGCGCTTGCAGGCCTTGGCCGCCCGGTGACAGCCAATCACTGTCTCTCACCGCAGTCCCCCGTTTCTATTTTGATTTCTTCACAGCTCGATGCAGTTTAGCAGCGCGAGGTTATTTTTATTGATTCATGTTCTCGCTAGCCTTCAAGCAGATATCCATGCGTGCGGCGGCCAATCATGCCCTCATCCCCGCGGCTGGCACTTGCTTGTCAGGCTCAATCAGGCCCAGACGGTCTGCCCTTGGCTGCACTTCTCCAGGTAGCGCTGGTAATGTACCTCAAAATAACCCTCGCCGCGCGACGTGAAACTAACTCCTCGGAGACCACTTCTTCTTCTGCTCAAGAGTACTTAGGGCCGATGGGACCCTGCTTCGCTGCTTACTTCTTCTTTCTCCGCAATCCATGATACCGCGTTCTGCTCTCAGGGGCCATCTCGCTGGACACTGTCTGAGACGGTGTGGGTGGACGAATAAGAAGAACAGTGTCGTGTTACTTGCATCTGTCATTCTCCTTTCGCCTGGCTCCCTCTTCGCCTCCCTTCAACCCACGCTAGGAATCTAGGATGGAGTGCTGACACAACGAAAATCGACTACCACATCAAATAATACCGGCAAAATGTCACAATATATATCGCTGTTCAGAGTTCGCTCATCGCCGAACCTGGTTCTGGCTCTGGTAGCCAGCTTCGTGTGGTTGATTCCAGAGGCTCTGGCCGACAGCAGTCTCGGTACCGATGCCCCAGGTACGCCGTCATCCAGTAACGGAGCTTCTTCAGCCGACAACACGGCAGGCGCGTCTGGAGATAATGGTGGACTATCTAAATCAGCTCAGATAGTCATCGGTGTGGTCGTCGGGGTGGTATCCATGGGAGCGAGTAGGTCGAGCTGGAATCAAGAAGCAAAGACTTGTTTGATTCAATATAGCACGGTTCAATGGACTGACAATTCTCTGTATAGTTGCCGGTGCTGTATACTTCTTCTTCTGGAAGAAACGAAAGTGGGATGAGAAAGCTGAGCGCTATGAAGTCATCAGCGCATATCGTAAATCGATGGGCGAACGACGGCAGCATGAGATGTCTCTTCGAACACAACGTCGTCGACGGGAACGACGGCCGGATATAGAGCAAGGGGAGCTGGAAATCTCTGTTCCACAATTGCCCAAATACGACCCATCGATCTTCCATAAGCAACAATACAGCATCGATTCTACCCGTGGAGGACTGTCGATTGATCTGGGGCGGAATTCATACATGGGTCATCAACGAAACTCGTCGCAATTCTCGGGCATCATGCACCCTCCACCATCTGCGGCAGCACCGGGACGAGCAACTGCATCAATGGATCTGGACCGTGGCGCTTCGCCGACATATGAAGGAACCAGTCACTCCAATCCCAGCTCGCCAACCCCAATGATCCAGCCTGCAACAGGAAGCAGAGGAACATTCAAGACACCGAAAAGGCCAAAACCCGTACTGAGCCGCCTGATCACTAACCTATGAATGCGGATCAGCCATCTTCCTATAAACCTCGTATAAATTCCCAGACAGTATGGGAATTCACTTAACCCGTGGCTTCTCCCACAAGCCAGTCGCGATTCAACCAAATGACACGAATCATGACGACGGCAAATCGAGCTGAATGACGCCGACCCTCACCACCTACTTTACGTATGCATGAATGAATTGTTCCTGGTTTTCTCAGATCGATACCAGCATGGGCGTTTTTTGTTTTGATTTCGGGATCTGGATGCTAATACTGTGCTACCGGAGGAGTTGATTATTTGTTTCCGGCGTGTGGACGTCCGCAGGAGGGGGCTTTCTCTCTCACTGCTTGTGACTTTGCATGGTGAATTGGACTCGCTGTTTGATTGTTTGCGATAGACGACGCAGGGGGGGCTGGGCATGTATATACATACAACATACAAGTACGAGATGGCGTATCATACATGCAGGAGAGCCAGTCTAGCCCGCTGTAATTTCGCACATGTGCGCCCAAGGGGATACTGGATTCTGATGAAGAAAATCAAAGTTCAACATTGTATGTGCAAAACTTCGAGCATTACAGTGTGCACCAATTGCTGTAGCCAACGCGACCAATAAGCAAACCACATGCGACCATTGGGACATGAGATGCACATGGAATGTGACCTTGTTATTCAATCGATCAATTATCATTACTTTGAACTATCCTACGCTGGTGGGCACAATTGTCATCGGGGATGTTAATTACGCCTTGTCTGGACGGGGGAAGGGACGTCGCAGTGGACAAACAAAGAGCGATCGCCGTGCAATTCACCTGCGTCTGTACAGAACCCGGTATCGACTACTGACCATCCCTGTGTCCGCGCCGCAGAGATGATGTCTCACTCTAATCTGTATTCTACTGATATTATCCCCATTATCCCTATTATCTGATGTAACTGTCCACTGACGGCGCACTCTAGTCGATGGCGATCTGCCGAACCGCTGTCAATCAAGCCTTGGCCAGCGCGACTACAACTGCGCACACAAACTACGCGCACAACTTCCCCGCCGCAAACCAGCAAAGCTACCTGTGGTATCACTCGCTCGGAGAGAATCCACGCTGAGAATCCCAAATTCCCAGCACGATAAGCGAAGTGCGTACGAGCAACAGCCCGATCCCTGTTCGGCTACTTCCACAGCGCCCGTGACACAGCGCACAGGTGACACTCCGACCAGGCAATACCATTCGTGAACGCAAAAGGAATCGTGGGTAGCCGCCGAGATCCCTGGCTAGCCTCGCACCGGATGGCTTGCGCTAGACTTGATCCAATATCAGATTGCTCTTGGCCGTGTCCGCTTGGCCCGCTGATCATCTTGCAACGGTAGTGGCAAGCTGGCGGCCAGAACAAGCGGGGGTTCATTCAGAATCCGCTTAGCCTTTAGCCTTTGAATAGTGCTGAATCCTGGCGTTTGGTCGTGGCCTTCCAAGGGCTATCCAGACGTTGGCGCGATGTTGTCCAGTCGCAATAGTTGCGAAAAGAAACACAACGCAGCGATCAGCTTCTGCGGCGCCACGTCGGTAACAATTAGACGCCGAGGTTAAGGATAAGCTCGAGCTGTTGCACTTACTAGTTACTAAGTAACCTACTTGCTAGTCAACTAGTGAGCGCTGTATTATCGTCCGTTAGCCTTAGGGCTAGGCCTCTGCCACTATGTTTCCACCCAACAGCACTCTCGCAAAAGGCGCCCTGGAGTGGCACTCGTCCGATAGGCTTAAATGCAAATCATCGTCACTGGCATTCCACACCATTAATTGGCTTTGGCGGGGCTGAGTGACTAATAAGTTCACAGCTTCCAACTGCCCGAATCTGCCCTGGCTTCGACGCAGCCTGTGCTCTGCATGGAATTGGCGATTAATCGTCGATCTGATTGGGCCTGTCGCGGCTGGGATCGTCCCGCGAGGCTCTTGTCCACTGCCGATAGTGATACATCACGACAGACACGATGGCTTTCCGGCGCTGGCACCGAGGCGCCCTGTTTCTTGTTGGTTCAGACAAAGGCTGCTCACACAGCCATCATCATCATGCCTACCACACAAAAGCTTCCACCATCGGCCGGTAGCCCACTGTCCAGTTTATCATCTCTGTGGCGGGACTCTAGCCCCGCACTGCGCTACTCCATAAGAAAGCTAGGCTAGCTGTCGAGCTAGAAAGCTTTGCGCCGGCGCTTCAACAAACAAAGAAGGCCGTCGCGACATGGACCAATGCAGATCAAGAGAAATGGCGATGATGCCTGTCGACTAGGGCCTCAGCTCGCGTCTAGCGTGCCTATTCCACGGCCGCCCATCATTGGTCACTGCTGCTCCCTCCCCTTCTCGAAAAATACGTCAATCACCCGAAGACATGTCCTGCCTTGGTGTCATTGGGGCGAGGAGCAAAAAATGGCCGACTAGTGTGTGCATGGGGGTAGGTATCGGATGACTGCCTGCCTGGGCTCTGGAGACTGTCTCGATGCAAGCCTTACTCCTTTCTGCTCCCAATCCAGGGTGTTAGATGCTGCGTGGCACCCTGGTGGAGGCCTGGGCGAGAAGATATCTGCTATCATTTGATGTCGATGGTGCATGCAGTGCCATACAGCACCATGGGAGGGGGGAGCTAATATCCACTTTTATTATCCCTCAGGGAAATACTGTCGTTTTTAAGGTGCCGTCAATGTGTCAATCACAATATCCACTTGCGCGCGCCTCGGTGCAGCTTGCGGGCTGATGCTTGACAGCGCCGCAAAAAAACACAAGCCCCGGCGGCCCCCTCACCGTCCACAATGCTGCCCCTCGCTCTGGTCAATCAGGCGCCGGACTAAGAAACTCCACGACTGATTTTTCGTCTCTGATATCCTGTCAAGTTGCACCTACAGTCCCGACAGTTTGGTACTGGAGGGTTGCCTGCTGTTTCTCTGCCTTTTTCCCATTCCCACCCGTGGAGGCTGGATAAAATGGAGCATTTCGCCGGCTTGCAACCCCTGGGCTTTTCGTCTCTACACTTCTACAGCTCCCTCTGGTCAGGCTGCTTCCTATTCTCTGACACGGTGACTGGAAACCTGGTGGCATCCAGGCCACAAGCAACGCCAGGGTTCGGGGACTCTACTTTTCCCTTGACACCTTGCTGTGACTCCTGCCTACAGGCGGAGCACCATGAAATTTTGCTAGTGCTCTGATGAGTACAACGGCTTGTGCTTCTGTATCTTGACTTGGCGGTATTTTGCGTGTTCTTTCGCTTTCTCTGAAAGCTGGATTTGTTTTCTGTCTTATTCACATTTGCTCGTGCACGCAAAACCGGGTTCAACCTCCGGGTACATATAACACTGGTTTGTTCTACCGTGCGAGATATGTGTTTCCCATTCAATATGTCTACGAAGCTGGATTTTTTCAAATGGAGGAAACGGCGACAGCTGTCCTCCGATATGGACGCTCGGTTTGGAGATGTATCCATCTCCGCTCCTAACGAAGGTTCTTGGAATGAAATGGCACATCTGGGTCTCGGCAATACGCAACCATCCGAAACGAACAAGGGTGGTCGGTTGAAGACTTTGTTCCGCTCGAAGCCGGCGGAATCACCGCCAGCTGTGGTAACGAGAGAGCAACCACCCGTTACCGTGCGGGCTGATCCATTCCCAGACCAGGTGCCACGCCACCCGATGGTTGATATGGAGGCCCGTAAACGGTCTCTATCTATATCTGGTGACGGTCGCAGAACTTCGGGTGGAAGAAGAACTGCCGGCGACAAACTATGGGTGGCCAACGGGTCACCGAGAAGTTATGATAGCAACATGTTGGACTCGCCGTCCTCTTGCAGCTGCGATGGCGACGACGAGGACGAAGAGGAAGAGAGGCGCCAGGGTGAAATCAGGCGAGCCATACGAAACAGACCACAGCGAAGTCAATCGCAAGACTCGCCTCAGAATCGCTGGGATCGGGCACAAAGCTACCGGCACCGGTCACCGCCGCTCGCCTCGACAGCGGTGATGCGGCGATATAGCTCACAGAGCACAGCAACGTGCTCAGCAACCCCATCAACCGCCACATTCAGCTCAAAACACACCAGCTTAACATCCGCCGCATCCCACGGGCCATATGCACCGGCGATCCCCCCGTTGCTGCAGGAAGAAATTCCCCCCGTACCCAAAGTCCACATGCCTTCTCCTTCTCTTACCCTGCCAGCCTCATCCCCGAATGCTCGCAACGCTCTCTGGGGAAAGAAGTCACGTGGCACATCGGGCGACAGACGCTCCAACAAGCGGTCGACAGCCAGGACGGTCGGGCCTCAAGAGCTGGTTCCTTCTTATGATGAGCTCTGGGGGTACTAGCACGAGCTACGATTTATTCTTCATTACTCTTCATTTCTCCGCATACAATTATTCTCTTCAGTTCGTCTTAACCTGCCATGGCTGCGGCTCTTTCCTTTGAGTCAATTTCTTTTCTATCTCGGCCTTCAGGATAGCAGTCTTATCTGCTGCCTGATCGGCATTTTCTTGGTGTTCTTTCTCTGTGACACTCTATCCTTTTTTCCTTCCTCATGTCTAGATTCAAGCACGAGCTGGCAGCAGCAGCAGCAGACAAATCGTACGTAATGGCCTATTTATTATCCATAACACTATCCATACACATATACACACTCTACAAACAGATCGGAGCCCTAAACAGGTCACGTGACTCTATACTCTGCTTCTCGCTCTCAACTGCCCTTGCTGGCGCCAGCATATTAATTAATTAATTACCTCAAATCCGGATCTGTCCACTCGTAATCTGCAGCTAAGCTAGCATTTACCTCATTAATTAGCTGATGTCGCCTGTCACTGTCTGGAAACAGTTGTTACTGACTGCTACTGTCCTACCAGCCAGGGAGCGCTAACTACCCCCCGTGATTGGTCGGCCCTCTGCTGCAGGCCGGCCATCACTGTCACACTTTGTGACTTCGCACGCCGGCCTCATCCGCTCCTCGCCCAATCGTCGCTCTATCTCCCTCCTCGGTCGAGGCCGCTAGTCCTGCTGGCTTGCGAGTAGTCACTAGTTGCTCCTCCAGCCAGCAGGACGCCCTCCTTTGCATCCACTCATCCAGCCTATCCCATCGCTCCTCTAGCCGCCGACAGCACATCCAACTTCAAAGCTTGTGCTGCGTTCCTCCGTTCCCAGCCCCTCACCCTACTTGTAGCTTCTTATTTGCCGCCTGTCCTAGAGCTGCTAAAATGCTCTCGCTTGTCCATTGGCGGCAGGGAAAGCTGCTCTACTGCGGGCTGGTGGAAACCTGCACTGTGCTTTGTGTCTCGCCTTTTGACAATTGCGGCACTGTGACAGGGTTCTCTCGCCTTCACAACTGGAGAGGGGAGACGCCCAGATTGTGATGCTAGCGATAATGCTTGCATTGCATTATCCCTACAATCGCATAGAGATTAATTATCCTCTTTATCCACGATCTACGTCGCATTTTGAATGTCCATCACATTCGCATTCTCTTGAAAAGTGTACGCCTCTCCCCCCGCCTTCTGTCTAGGACAATTCAACCTCCGTCGAGCCGACTTTAAGACAACCTTGCTACCATCTAACCCTACTTGCTCGGCCGTGTACTCCTAGGGACTCACTCTGGATAGTGCTTTCCCTAGTTGGTGCTTCAACCTCAGCATTTGACCGGCGCGAAGTTGATCTTGTCAATGGACTAGCTGCAACAGGGCGAAAAGAGCTAGCTACATCGCTTCCGAGCCTGCCTTTTGTGAAGCCGACTCTCGCCAGGAACTAAACAATACATTTGATTAGGCCTCTTAGAGTGGTTTTAATTAATTGGCCGGAATCATGATAATGGCTTTGACAACCGTCTATAGCCTGTTAACGCTCTTATCAGGAGTCCTCGCTTTGCGAACAACACCAGGCTCGCCCTGCACAAGTCTCTGTGGAACGACAACTAACACAACATCAGCCGAGATTGTGTGCCTCGATGGCCAGTACAATACAACAAAAACCGGACGAGATTTCCAGAGTTGCGTGACATGCCTCTTGCAAAGTGACTTTCAAAGCCAAGGGACTGGAGAAACGGATGTAAACTGGGGACTGTGTACGTCGATTATATTTATGTCTGCGGTTCTGATCTGCAAAATGTTAAAGGGCTGACTTGTTGCCTCTAACAGACAACCTGCGATATGCGTTTTCGTCATGTGTTTACAATTTCCCGGAGCCAGTGACGAATGTCTCAACACCTTGCTTGGTCTCATGCACACCTCTAGGCACAGCGCTCAAATTCCAATTGACGAGTCCAGTCGGAAACTCGCTCACTACATTCTGCGGCGACACCGCTTTTGCTGATAACACCGTGTCGATTTGCGAGGATTGCTATGCCTTGACGTCGCAGCAGGCTTTCCTCACCAACTGTATGTTTCATTATTTTATTGATAGGGTTGAGACCATCACTAATAAATACCAGTCTTGGAATCAAACCGTTATAACTGCCACTTTTTAACCTCTGCTGGCACCTCATTCCCCATTGCCGCAACACGCATCTTCAACGAAACTGAATTGCCGGAGACTACTACTGCATATACGTCCACGGCCGCTTCGAGCGGACAATCCATTTACCAACAATACCAGACTGTTATCATTGTCATGCCCATTGTCGGCTTCCTCATTATTGCCGCTGTAACCACACTTTGCTGCTTCTGTCTTGTTAAAAAACGCCGCCAGGCTGCTAAGCGTCGCAGATATGGCTCGAACCAAATACACGCTCGCTGGAATGACACTACAGTTAACACTCCGTGGCAAAATACATGGGGCGACAATTCTTCTTCACCACATCATCAATCCATGATGATGGCGAATGCTTCACAATACATGATGGGTGGCGCTCAGTATGCTGCTGCTGTTCCTGGAAACGGGTTTCAGGTGGTCGACCACGATGGACAGCACTACGAAGCGGGCTACTCGACACATTATGTTTCCCCCGTGGATTCTGACACATCAGCTTCTCAACATGCTTTCCCATATAGCGATCAAATCAACGTCGCTGAACATCAGCAACAACAATTCTATCAGCCAGCACAGCCCTATCAAGACACACCAGAAGAAAGTATACAAAAACAGAAACAGCCTCAACATACTGATCAAGAGGTTTATTTCCCACCTCCGTCTGGTGCACCACATGCCTCATAATTATATCTGACTGATGTCTAAAAATGTTGTATCTCTTCTGTGGAAGCGACTGCCAGCAACAAAGCGCGATTTCTTTCCCTAGCATGGAAAGTAAAGGAATACATGGCCCAGCGAGCAGCGAGGTCAACGATGTTAGCTCGTCTGTGGTAGTGGCTGCCTCGGTCGAGGAAACACCAGGCTCCTCCACCGACGACAGTCACTGCCACCGATGGGCTGGGATTGTTGAACTCTAGATCTTCAGCTGGGTCACAATCTCTATTTCCATCTTTGTTGCCGAACACTCGCTTTTATGGTGAGAACACCAGAGCAAATGAGCACGAAAAGAATTTAGTATCAAGCACTAGAAATGTGCCCCCGCCTTATAATACAAACCTAACCACCCAATTCCTCTCTGCTTAATTCCCCCCTTGAATCGATCTACACATCGTGTATATACCTGATACCCAACATTGCAATCGTCGTTCCTTTTCCTACTTGTGTTTAGTTGTGCAAGCCAATGAAATGAGGTTGAATATTGCCTAATCCCTCTTATGCGTGGCGTGGTTGTCAAATGTTCATCTTTTTAACGTATACGAGCGTTGGGTTTGGTTTAGTTGTGTGTTACTTTCAGTTGCATTTTTGGGTTATTGTGACCGGTAACATAGTTGAATATATTGAATAATCAATTAATGTCAAATGACCCTCTGAGCATCTACACCGTCAACCAAATTATACGTAAATGTGTAGTACATATCAAGGCTGAGGGCATGTTGGTATTGGTCTCTGAGCGTAATATCCAGCCTATTTCTTACCTATCAAGAGGGCTGGTATTTACGCAACTCTTCAGAACATATTTCTTGAGAAACAAATGGGTATATATAGTATTATAGATCTAATATACGAGCTATCGTGGCCGTGAGACAACATTAGAGGTCAGATAGTAGCCATGCAGGATCCGGTTCATCATCCTCGTCCTCCGATCGAGAAATAGCAGGTCGCAGGTTCGGCGTTGTATCCCTTAACAAGTCCGCCGGCGGCTCGTCTGTGTGCTCGTCGTCGTCGCTAGCATCATTCTCGTTGATAAGTTTATCTGTATTGGTATTCGTGCTCGTGTGTATATTCGTATCTGTGTTGGTGACTTGCGTATTGGTGTCGCTTACTGTATCAGGTTCCTCGGGCAACTTGAAGAGACTCGTGACCATGCCTTGCGCTTCCTTGAGAGCTTCAAGCTCCGTACCAATACTACAGACGAGTAATTTCCAATCTTTTTCCTCTGCCAATGCGAAATGCTCGGTGAGCCGCTGGGTTATTTCCTCCATATCCGCGAGAATTCTCTTGCCCCGTTCATGGTCCCCGGTATCTTGCTCTGCATTCAGGGACGATTTGGATAACATGATGGACTGTTGCATCTTTTCCTTTAGTCTCTTTTCAAAACTTGAAATATCGTTGAGAACACCCAGCCAAACCGGGCCACCTTCGTCCAAGGCAGAAATTTCTAAGTCGACACTGTGCTGCCTCTTTCTCAACTCTACTTGTTCAGCCTGCCAATGTTCACGGGCCATTTCAAGGGTCCGACGTTTGGGATGTAATGAATAGAATGACGATTTGTCGGTATCGGGTTTCAAAGGCTGAAGTGGCGGGTTTCGCAGGTATCTGCATACTTCGGCGTCGAGAATCGATAAAGATTCATTGTATGACGACAACTTTGCTGCTACCGAGTTTTCGGCTTGAGAAATTTCCTGCATGAGATGCCGATGGCGTGTCTTCATCTCAGCAAGTTTCAGTTCGAGCTCCTCAATCTCGTGCTCGAGACTCTTTGCTTCTCGTTTCGCCTCTCGGGTTCTCATGTTATCGCGATCATTTTGCATAGCTGAGATGGTTTTCTCAAGGCTACCCTTTTTAGTCGCAAATGTATCCACTTCTATAATAGCATCGCGTCGTTCGCGAATTCGACTTTGAATGACTCTTTTCTCTTCTTCTCGCAGAGTGAGCAGTTCGTTCATCGATCGTAGAATTCCCTTCCGCGCGGCACGCAGGCCAATCTTCTTCTTCGGCGGCTGTCGAACGGGGATCGTACGTGCTGGTCTTCCGGGGCTGGCTATAGCGGATATTGTAGGCGTGGGCGTCGAACTGCCATTCGAAAGTACATCGTCGTCGTTGGTTGGGCGGCCAGAGAGCCCAGCCAGCAGCCCTTCACTCTGAGCATCTAATAGGCTTTGGATGTGATGTTGGAGATGTTTTGCCTGGCGATCTATGTATACAAATGGATCAGGGCGTGCAGCATATGGCATTGGAGCTGACCGTCTATCTGGAAACGTGGCGTCGGTATAGGGGAGTAATGTTGACATCTTGGAAGCTATCTATCATCGACTGCGTTGCGGAGCTTGTTATAGAGTGAAGAGTATGGAAGTGAGCAGCAACTTTCAGAGCCAAAGACGAAGAAATGTTGCAGCGGCAACGAATTCATCGCGTCAACAACGCAGAGTCCTCATGACCTCGTATGCAAACATCTCGTAGCAGAGAGGCAGCTGCTGCTTGTGACCTCTGCAGATGACTAGCCCGATAACAGGAGCCGCAGCCTCAGGCCTGCAGGCCCCCGTCGTCAATGCATCGGCGGCACGTGACTAGTCGAGCATCTAGTGACCTCAGGTACCTTTGTCAGCTCCGACATTGACGTGTGCATTCGCGCCTAGAGAGAGCTAGCTCACTGCAACTCCCCATTCCATTTCCATCCCATTCGGTCCTTTACCATCTTGTGTTTAACTGCTTTTACGCTGGGATTTCATCGTCACTAGCTTCTCATCCTCTTGTTTTAAGTTCGCTACTCAAATTCTGCCTCCGGTGTGATCGGGGCGACCAGCCAACCTACCTTCCTCGTCTTAGCCCCATCGACCTCGACCTGCCTGTTAGTTGGGGTCACGGAGTTCTACTCTTCACTATATTCGTTTAATATTAACAGGCTTCAGCTTTCAGAGATGGTTGGGCTCACGTCCGCCTCCGGCCTGGTCGGCTTTCTGTCAGAGCCTGATCCAGAGCTCAGGGTATTTGCTTTGAAGACTCTTGACGCCGAAGTTGATGTGCTATGGACCGATATTGTGGATTCTATTCCTCAAATGTACGTTTTAGATACCTGACATCTCTCACTGCCGCATTTGTTGGTTTTACGATAATCGGAGACCTCTTTCTAATATTGTTTCTATCCAGAGAAGCGCTGTACGAAGACGAGACATTCCCTGAACGTGAACTTGCAGCGTTAGTCGCCTCTAAAGTATACTACCACCTGCAAGAATATAATGAGAGCATGGTTTTTGCGCTTGGTGCTGGGAAACTCTTGGATTTGGACAAGGGTGGCGAGTTTGAACAGACCGTCATTTGTAGGCACACCATAACCATCCCTCTCCGCCGAGCTAATAGCATGTCTAGCGAAATGTGTCGACACCTTCATCTCACTCTCTGCAAGCCGCCGGCCAGCAGCTGGGGAAGCGCCATTGCCACTCAACACAGCTTTCCCTTCCTCCAATGGCGCTACGAACACATCCGCTAGCCTAACATCCCCGATAACTCCATTCTCACAGTCTGCCCTCCCCTCAAAATCACTTTTGTCGAGAGAAGAGGAACCAAGCCTGACAGCTCCTTATCCCGATGGCGACAGTGAAAGTGCCAAACTAGAGGAAACCCCTCTGGTTATCAGACGGGGTGTGCAGAAACAGCTGCAGGCTGTCATTGAGCGACTTTTCGAGCAATGCTTCCGTCAACAACGATATCGCCAAGTCGTAGGAATTGCAATCGAGGCTAGGAATCTAGAGGTCCTACGGACCGCAATCCTTCGTTGCAGCGAGGCAGAGAAGAAGGAACAAGGGGAATCATCAAGACACGGCGAGGAGCTGATGGAATATGTGTTGGAAATCTGCATGGGAATCGTTCAGGAGCGAAGTTTTCGCAACGAGGTTTGTGATGATTCGGGCTTGTGATTTGCTCTTGATTGCTAACAAAAAATTATAGATCTTGAAGCTTATTCTAGAACTTCTCAACCATATTCCCTCGCCCGACTATTTCTCCATTGCGAAGTGTGTTGTCTATCTTAATGAGCATTCTATGGCGACCGATATCCTCCGACAACTAGTTGAAAAGGGCGATGCTAGGTCATTGGCGGTGGCGTACCAAATATCATTCGATCTTTACGACAACAGCACGCAGGAATTCTTGAAGAAGGTTATCGGAGAGGTCTCCGAACTTATTCCAGCTGAGGACGACAAAGAAGAAAACGAAGCTGAGGCGACGGAATCAGATTCTTTGCTGCAGAACCAGTCATCGTCTGCGAATGAGCTACCGAAAGAATCAAGCGATGCTTTCAAGGCTATTCGCGATATTCTGGACGGATTCAAGACGATTCAATTGAATCTCGAATTCCTTTACCGCAGTAACAAGGCTGACATCGCCATACTCAATAAAGTGCGAGACAGCCTTGAGGCTAGAAACTCCATCTTCCACAACTCGGTTACTTTCTCAAATGCCTTCATGCATGCAGGTACAACACACGACAAATTCTTCCGTGATAACTTGGAGTGGCTTGGAAAGGCTGTTAACTGGTCTAAGTTTACAGCCACTGCCGCGCTGGGAGTCATTCACCGTGGCAATCTGTCGCAAGGCAAAAAGCTTCTAGCTCCATATCTTCCCAAAGAACATATCTCCGGTGTTGGTAGTACAGGGTCTGTTTACAGCCAAGGTGGTTCTCTTTATGCCTACGGTTTGATCTTCGCCAATCATGGAGGCGATGCCGTTGAGCTTATCCGTGATCATTTTAAAAAGGCTACCGAAGAGGTGGTGCAACACGGGGCCTCTTTGGGTCTTGGGCTCGCAGCCATAGCATCTGGCGATGAAGGCATCTGGGAGGACCTCAAGCAAGTTCTGTACACCGATTCGGCACTCAACGGTGAGGCAGTTGGTCTTGCTATGGGTCTCGTGATGTTGGGAACTGGCAACATGAAGCTTCTAGAGGAAATGGTCCAGTACGCTCATGAAACTCAGCACGAAAAAATTGTACGAGGTCTTGCATTGGGTATGGCATTGATCATGTATGGCCGACAAGAAGCTGCCGATGAACTCATCAACGGATTATTGGGTGACCCCGATCCATATCTACGCTACGGAGGTATTATGACTATTGCACTCGCTTACTGTGGCACGGGTAGCAACAAGGCTGTTCGCAAGCTCCTCCATGTTGCTGTCAGTGATGTCAATGACGACGTTCGCCGAGTCGCTGTTATGAGTTTAGGCTTTATTCTTTTCCGCAAGTATCAAAGCGTTCCCCGCATGGTTGAACTACTCTCAGAGTCGTACAACCCGCACGTCCGTTATGGTGCTGCTATGGCATTGGGTATCTCTTGTGCTGGAACAGGACTTGATGAAGCCATTGACCTCCTAGAACCTATGTTGAAAGATCCCACAGATTTTGTCAGGCAGGGAGCTCTGATTTCGCTTGCCATGGTTCTAGCCCAGCAAAACGAAACCATGAACCCTAAGGTCGGGTCCATCCGCAAAACCATGATGAAGATTATTAGTGATCGCCATGAAGATGCTATGGCCAAATTCGGATGCGCCCTCGCTTTAGGCATCATCGACGCAGGTGGTCGCAATTGCACTATCAGTCTTCAGACTCAAACCGGTAATCTCAACATGCCTGGTATTGTTGGTGCCGCTGTTTTCACACAATACTGGTACTGGTTCCCACTTGCACATTTCCTTTCTCTCAGCTTCACGCCGACTGCGGTCATCGGTGTGGACCAGAAGCTTGAAGTACCTGTCTTCAAGTTCCACAGCAACACGCGGCCCAGCCTCTTTGACTACCCTCCTGAGCAGCAAGTCAAGGCCGACGAGGCCCCTGAAAAGGTGAAGACTGCTGTTCTTTCAACGACAGTCCAGGCCAAGCGTCGCGCACAGCGTCGGGAGAAGCAACAACAACAACGGGAAAGCATGGATATCGACCAAACACCCACGACGCCTAAGGTCTCTGGCCAACTACCAGAAAAAATGGAAACCGACGAGGGCGCCGTCAAGGAGGGAGAGGAAGGCAAGGCGAGTGACAAAGAAGAGACTCCAGCAGAAGGCCAGAAGAAGAAGTCTGAGAAAGAGAAGATCGGGTACGAGCTTGAGAACATGTCCCGTGTTCTTCCTGCGCAACTAAAGTTCTTGACATTCCCCGACCCCCGATACGAACCTGTTAAGAGGGTGAGTCTACGCCCTGTCTATGCTAAAGTCCAGACTATCATTACGGATTGCTAACATGTTCTCAGCCTACCGGTGGTGTAGTTGTCGTCTTAGATAAGAAGCCGGAGGAAGAACGGGAAACGATCGAATTACGCGCGAGCAAAGACGTTCGCCAGGCGGCCACCCCAGACACATTGCAAGACTTGCAAGACCGCCTGCAAGCTGCTGCGGCCGGGGTCTCCGCTCTCGAGACACCTCCGCGCGGATTCAGAGCCGTAGAAGAGGCTTCTGGAGCTGCCTTAGCGGCCGGGGTGCTCACTGCAGTCGACGAGGATGAAGAAGGCGCAGAAGATGCACCTGTGCCCGATGAATTCGGCTACGAAACGGACAATATGGAAGAAGACTAGACGATCTAATACGGGGGGAAACTGTTAGATCGCTGCCGCATTCTGGCAGATGCATATGTCCTGTATGTATCACTACTGTTACTTTGTTACTCGAGTTCTCTCGCATGTATAAGCATTGACGAACGCCGTTTGTCCTTTATTTAATTATTTACATCTATCATTATAATTTCTCCGGCACCTAATTACAGTATGCTCAGGAGCGTAGTTTCACATGCTCCAAGAGCAAGTCACGTGGTGCGTCGGCAGCTCTTTATCCGAGCTCTTCTGTGCAGGGTTCTACGGGGCCTGTGGTTGGCCTAGCCAGCCTCGGTACTTTCCTATCCAGGAATGGGCTTCCCACGTGCTGCCTATGACGCAGCATGCGCGCAAGACCAATCAGCAGGCGCACAATGTCAAGCACGACGCTGCCAGCGCCGGCCTGATGACCAGAACAGGGCTGGCTTGATGCTTTGATGGAACCGTGGCGGGTGCACTCGGCTTGTCTCTACTATGAATTAATTAATAATTGGGCGTTTCTAGCTGTGGGCTACTCAGATTATTAGTATTATTTACCATCATAACGGGATGCTGACCGCCCGCACCGGATCACCGCTGAGGCAATTCGCAAGCATGTGAAGACCCCGACGTGCCGGCCACCACCACCACGCAAAAACACGCTGCGACTCGGCCCCGTGGGGAGGACTGTTTGTCATTACTTCGTGGAGATTTCATAAATACGGAGCTCCGCACTGTTTCTGACTTCTTCTGCACTCCGTGTTGCTTGAGACTTTGCAAGACGACCATTTCTGCTTTGTGTTGCCACCCCTTCCCCATCCATACCCTTCTTTCTTGCAACATACACACACGCGACCACCATCATGTCGCAAACATTCTCCAAGGACCAGGTAGCGTCCAAAAACAAGTCTGACGGCCTGTGGGTTATTATCGACGAAGATGTCTATGACTTGACCAAGTTCCAGGATGAACATCCAGGTAAGTTATCAAAGAAAAAAAAAATCTGTTATAACATCTGAGATTTTGGTGGCTAACGGTGTGTATCTCTAGGTGGGAAGAAAAGTATGTTGCAGCAATAGATCGCCCCTTAACCCCCTTCATACTCAGTTGCAAATATTGACTTTTGGCTCTGTAAAGTCCTTCAGCGCGTTGCCGGCAAGGACGCCTCCAAACAGTTCTGGAAATACCACAACGAGGGAATCTTGAAGAAGTACAAGGGCCAGCTTCAAATAGGTTCCCTTGACTCTAAGAAAGCGGCTGCTCCTGCTGCTCCTGCGCCTGCTGCTCCTGCTCCGGCTAAGCCTCAGGTCTCCTCTGATGTTAAGCCCGCCAAGTCAGACGGCACATTAGAGCCTTACGGAGATCTTATTCCCTTTGCTGACCCCTCATGGTACCAAGGTGTAAGTTGTCTTGAGAATGAAAAGGAGTAATTTTGAGGTAACTAACACGACCACCATTTGCAGTACCACTCTCCTTATTACAACGAGACACACGCCGCTCTCCGTGACGAAGTTCGCCAATGGGTTGAAAGTGAGATCGAACCATATGTCACTGAATGGGATGAGGCCAAGAAAGTACCGGATAGCATCTACAAACAGATGGGTGAACGCGGCTACCTGGGCGGTCTTCTGGGTGTGCATTTCCCAACTGAGTACACAAATGCTCGCGTTCAGTCTGTTCCGGTTGACAAGTGGGACAACTACCATGAGCTCATTATCACCGACGAGCTCTCACGCGCCGGTAGCGGTGGTCTCGTTTGGAACTTGATCGGCGGTTTCGGTATCGGATGTCCACCCCTAGTCAAGTACGGCAAGAAGCCCTTGTTGGATAGAATCCTCCCCGGTATTCTTGCCGGTGACAAGCGCATTTGCCTAGCTATCACTGAGCCTGATGCAGGTAGTGATGTAGCCAACTTGACTTGTGAGGCCAAGTTGAGTGAAGATGGCAAGCACTATATCGTCAACGGCGAGAAGAAGTGGATCACTAATGGTATCTGGTCCGATTACTTCACTGTTGCCGTCCGCACTGGTGGTGAGGGCATGAACGGAATCAGTGTTCTCCTCGTCGAACGTGCGCACGGCGGTGTTAGCACCCGCCGCATGGACTGCCAGGGTGTCTGGAGCAGTGGCACCACTTACATCACATTCGAAGACGTCAAGGTCCCCGTTGAGAACTTGATTGGCAAGGAGAATCAGGGCTTCAAAGGTATGTCTACACAGTCATCTCTCACAATCCAATAAAATTCGTACTAACTTCTCGCTCCTACAGTCATCATGATGAACTTCAACCACGAGCGTATTGGTATCATCATCCAGAGTATCCGGTTTGCTCGTGTCTGCTACGAGGAATCCGTCAAATACGGCAACAAGCGTCGTACCTTTGGAAAGAAGCTAATTGACCATCCTGTCATTCGTATGAAGCTGGCTGACATGGCTCGCCAAATCGAAGCCGCTCACAACTGGCTTGAGAACATCATCTACCAGGCCCAGTCCATGGAGGAAACCGAGGCCATGCTTAAGCTCGGCGGTGCCATTGCCGGTCTCAAGGCCCAATCGACGAAGACCTTTGAATTCTGTGCTCGTGAAGCCAGTCAAATCTTTGGTGGCCTCAGTTACAGCCGCGGTGGCCAGGGCGGCAAGGTCGAGCGTCTCTACCGTGATGTTCGTGCCTACGCTATCCCCGGCGGTAGCGAAGAGATTATGCTGGATCTCAGCATGCGTCAGAGTTTGAGGGTTCACCAGATGTTTGGCATGAAGCTCTAATTTTACGTCCCGATACCCTCTTCCATTTGACGACCCTTTTTCTTTTTCCATTGGGCATGCATAAGACTCAGCTTCCTTGTATTATTTCTTTGGTTCGAATTTTTACCTTTGGGATTGATACATAAGACTTGCGCGTTCGTAGCATTGGGTTTCCATGCCTCTATACATACCTAGTTAGACGCGAGGCGCAGTGTGTAAAATAGTTGACTTGTTTGGCCAAGATAAGCATTCAATATTTCAATTTTCACTACATGAATCTGAAGGCTTCCGTAATAATCCATTTCAAATGTTCACTTAAAAATTTGAGTATTTTTTTTAAAAAAAATCGATGAGGTGCATTAAGTGATCAAACCTTGCACATGATATATATTAGATTAGTACTGGCTAGAAAATATATAACAACGTCAAGATGAAATAGCTTCACAATAACGTTAAAACTGGAACGACGTATACATTCATTGATATAACCTACATATACAGTATATAAACTCTTCTACACATATAATATATAGTAGCAAAGTATATTTGCTCGCAGCATTGAATAAAACTCGAGATTCTCGAGAAATACAGTTAGGCTGGAAATGGCTGTGATTGGTCCGCTGACAAGAATCGGTGTACGGTGTGCCATTTAACCAAGCCCGCAGTCGGGTGGTCTTTAATTGTCACATTCAGCTCAGCTGATCGACTTGACTGACTCGCTACCCTTATAACCGCCGCCATGTCGACGAACGTTCTCAATCAAGATTTTGGATCTGAGGATGAGGATGATGATTTCGACCCAGCCCCCGCCGTTGATTCAGACGAAGAGCCTACTGTTCCAAACAGACGCCGCGACCGCGCCGATGAAACTAACGGCCATGCTGATGAGGAAGAGGAAGGCATTGAAGGAGACCATGCAGGTGGCGATGGGGAAGATCAAGACGAGGAAGGAGAGGAAGAAGATGATGAAGAGGATGAGGACGAAGACGAGGAAGATGAAGATGCCGTTACGGTAAGAAAATCTTGAACCATTCAGATACCTATCCCATAACGCGGATGGCTAATGTATCGACGTGTAGGGTCGGCCCAAGAAACGAAGAAGGCGAGGAGGTGTAAATGCTTTCATTGAAGAAGAAGCTGGTGTCGACGATGACGATGAAGAAGCAGAAGATGAGGAAGACGATATGGGCGATGGATTCGGCGCTGAAATGCATCCTGACGACCTAGATGCGCTCCCTGTTGGTGCTGATTTGGATGACCGTAGACACAGGCAACTAGATCGTCAACGAGAGCTCGAGGCTCACATGGATGCCGAAAAACAAGCAGCTGCGCTTAAGGAACGATATGGGCGCAATCGCATGGCCGCAACGGATTCTGTCATTGTACCTAAGAGACTTCTCTTGCCTAGTGTGGATGACCCTAGCATTTGGGGCGTTCGTTGCAAACCTGGCAAAGAAAGAGACGTCGTTTTCAACATTCAAAAACGAATTGAACAACGCCCTCCAGGCTCACGACATGGATTGAAGATAATCTCAGCCTTCGAACGTGGGAAAACAATGAGTGGCTACGTATACGTTGAAGCCCGAAGACAGGCTGAGGTTCTGGAAGCGCTCGACGGGCTATTAGACGTGTACCCAAAAACTAAAATGATCCTGGTACCCGTGAAGGAAATGCCAGACCTCCTGCGCGTCAAGAAGTCTGAAGAACTCAACCCGGGTGACTGGGTAAGGATTAAGCGTGGCAAATACCAGGGCGACCTTGCTCAGATCGAAGAAGTGGAAACGAATGGCCTCGAGGTTACAGTACGACTTGTCCCACGATTAGACTACGGACTTAATGAAGACCACCAAGCACCTGTTGATGCTAAACGGAAGAGATTCGGTGGTCCTAATGTTGTGGCTGCTCGGCCTCCACAACGCCTCTTCAGCGAAGCAGAGGCAAGTAAGAAACACGGTAGGCATTTAGTCGGAACATCGAACCTGAGCGGAAAGTCGTGGAACTACCTGGGCGATACCTACGTTGATGGTTTTCTCATTAAAGAGATGAAAATCCAGCATCTTACCACGACCAATGTAAACCCTCGGCTGGAGGAAGTCACTATGTTTGCTCGGGGCTCTGATGATGGTGCGGCCAATTTGGATCTAGCATCCCTGGCTAATACGCTCAAGAACACTGTTTCCGAGGATGCGTATCGACCTGGTGATCTTGTTGAAGTGTACAAGGGCGAGCAACAGGGCATAATCGGTCGCACAGTCTCAACGCGGAACGATATTATCACCTTGGAAGTTACGGAAGGTGACATGAAGGGACAGAGAATAGATGCGCCTGTCAAAACACTGCGAAAGACCTTTAGAGAGGGTGATCATGTCAAAGTTATTGGCGGTAGCCGTTACCAAGATGAGTTGGGTATGGTTGTGCAGATCAACGGTGATAGTGTTACTATCCTCAGCGATATGAGCATGGAAGAAATTACTGTTTTTAGCAAGGACCTGCGGCTTTCGACTGAATCTGGTGTGGATGGAAAGCTTGGAACATTTGATGTGCATGATCTTGTCCAGCTTGAGTAAGTTTAAACCTTCCCCGTTTTCAATCATATACTTATTCTGTACAGCGCCACTACTGTTGCTTGCATTATCCAGGTCGACCGTGAGTCACTTCGAGTCATTGATCAAAACGGTTCTGTGCGCAATGTACTCCCATCAAGAATATCATCTAAGATCCCGAGGCGAAAGGATGCTGTAGCTACAGATCGCAATGGTGCCGAGATCCGTCATGGTGACACAGTTCGTGAGATGTATGGTGAACAGCGAAGTGGAGTCATTATGCATGTTCATCGATCATTTCTTTTCTTGCACAACAAAGCCCAAACCGAGAATACTGGTGTCATAGTAGCCCGCACTTCAAATGTCGTCACTGTATCTGCAAAGGGAGGCCGTGCTACGGGGCCTGATTTGACACGGATGAATCCAGCCATTATGCAACGCCCCCCTCAAGGCTCTGGTATGCCTCCTCCAAGATCAACTGGACGGGATCGTCTCGTCGGAAAGACCGTCGGTATCACAAAAGGAAGCTACAAAGGCCTCATCGGCATTGTCAGAGAGACTACTGAGGACCTGGTGCGGGTTGAGTTACACACCAAGGGAAGCAAAGTCATGGTTCCAAGAACCGGAGTAGTTGTGAAGGAGTAAGTTTGTAAATCATTTATCTCCGTGTCACACTACTAATGTGTCTACAGTCCTGTCACCGGTCAAACAATCGATATGAACCGTGGCGGACGGCCTCGTGTGCCAGGCGGAGCTGGAGGTCCACCAAGAGATGCAGGTTGGTCTGGGTCGCGGACACCAAGTGCTTCTATGGACTCAAGAACACCTTCGTGGAGTGGTTCGTTGTCTTCTAGAAGTGAGACTCTCCTTCTCAATCGTCACAAACTTCTGAGTACATGCTAACATATGAATAGCTCCTGCCTGGGGTGGCTCTGCAGCAAGTGGTTCACGAACGCCTGCTTGGAAAGCCGATGGATCTCGTACTGCTTACGGCGGTGGTATGAGTGGAGGACGTACACCTGCCTGGAATAGCGGTGCTCGGACGCCATACGATTCTAGCTCAGGCAGTGGCTTCGACGCATTTGCCGCAGGCTCTCGTACTCCAGCATGGGGAGCTGCAAGCGGCGGACGTACGCCTGCTTGGAGCGCCGGCGGATCAACTACCAGTAAAGCTTACGATGCCCCTACACCCGGCGGCGATTATTCCGCTCCCACTCCCGGCGCATATCCCACTGCTCCCACACCAGGGGCTTCGGGGTCAGCCTCGACTCCGCGCTGGACAGACAATGCGCCTACTCCTGGGGCACTCAATGCGCCAACACCTGGTTCTTATGGTGGCGGTGGTGGACGGGCGTATGACGCACCTACTCCTGCCATGGCCGCTACACCTGGTGCCGCAGACGATAACCCGACATATCTAGACGACTCGGAGTGATTACTTTTCGTCCTTGTAATATTGGCCAGGCGCTGTCTACTTTCCATACTTAGTATTATTGGGACATATTCCTTTCTTTCCATTCCTGCGCTTCCTCTAGCTTTATATGAATGTGCAGCAACATAATGAATTTGACCATAGGCGTCCGTTCTTCTAATTGTTATTTGAGGTGAAAAGGGAGTGGCTGCAAGTATCTAGATTTGGCATTATCTCAAAAACTAATTGCATGAATGGTTGAAACATTAATATTGAATGCAGAATCATCATTTCCGAACATTCAAGTTCACGCATTTATTATAGCAGCACTATAATCGTAAGTACTGGATATTAATGTCAACTGGTATTTGCATTGATTGGTCATCTGCTGTCCTTCAAGTATACAATACATATCCCAATTGACGCGGTTATTAGATCAGCAAAAATAAGAGATAATATCAATATCTCAATCATATGTACCTAGTAATAACATACGAATCAAAGACCACCCTGCTATGCATAAAGCTAGGCTGCTAGCGCAAGACAGATCTCCAAACATTGAAACAGTGGGCACGGGCTCGAATCGAAGGAGAAGAGAATTCAAAACAAGAAAAAAAGAAGAAAAAAACAAACAAAACCGTTTCCTTACACCCCCGATGTCCGCGACGAATGATAATACCATGAGAAGATAGAGACAAGAAAAGAAAAAGATGAGTTTCAAATACACATTATATAATGGCCGGCCCTCTACCTGTTCCTTCTCGTCGTTATGATGGAAAGACCAAAAAAAAAACGCCTTGACCAGTATTCAACTGGATGAACGAGATAAAATGAAAAGAAATAAGTGAAATCGCTCACAGACTCCTCTTTCTAAAACACATCCCGAAAATCGTAATGAGAAAGAGCATTTTAAAATGAGTGGTCTTCGTTTTGATCGAGTTTTGCTGTTTTCTCGCTCTGTTTCATCATCGTTCGGTGTATATGGAAATGGTTGGTAGAAACTTGGAATATGATAACATAGTGATGAATAATATATTATGCGTTTGGAACAGACCGAGCGAGAACTCGAACGTTGTCCACGAATCCTTTGATAAGGTCTTCGTATTGATTGGCCTCGCTTCTGTTCATGGCAAGGTTGCCTTGTCGTCGAACCTCGGCTGCGGAGATTTCAACCTCAAGTTCATGCTCAGCGACTCCCTGGGGACGTTTGTTAGCTGGTGGAGATTAATAGTGTTACGGTGCATAATTCATACCTCCGCTGTGCCCACTTGCGTTAGATCAATCTGATACGCTAGGTGACGGTAGCTCATGCGATCTTTGATCCTATCGCTGCCTCCTCTGCCACGAGCTCCTCCACCGTCCGAGACTTGAAGATGCTGCACCTCCCCATCAAAATTCATTTCGAGATTGACGGATATACGCCAGTCCACATTTGTCTGAGGGCTGTATACATCGAGGTCGGCGAGTCGGCATTTAACAATTTTGGCTATGATTTCGCCAGTCTTTTGATCCGTAGTCATTCGGACTTTGGGCTTATGTCGGGGGTGAAGATGATGTTGGATGACTGGAGGTAGTTCATTAGGCGATATCTCGTAAAAAGTATCTCGTTCTCTCTTATGGGCGTAAGATAGTGGAATTCGATTAGAGCCCGACTGTGGCATTGAATGCTTCACAGCCTCGTTTAAAAAGTTGTTCATGGCACGGTGTTGGGCCTAGATATAGTTAGAAGACTCCATCTGTTTAGAAATGGTACTTACAAGACTCATAGAGCTTTCAAAAACAGTGCGGAGCCCAGAAGCTTCTCTTTGAATGACACATTCAGTCAGAATCGGTAGTCGTAAACGCTCTCCCCTGTCTTTATCTATAATTCGTCCTAATTTGGCTTCGATTTCCACTAAGGCCGCGGACCCTGAGGCTGATGCCCCGGCGGCTCCAGCTGCGAGATCCTTCCTCAATACGACTTCTTTAAATAAGAAGTCACATACGGCTTTCGTAACTTCTTCATAAGGAATTTTTCCGGTAATGGATGGCTCCCAAGGCCCGAGTGGGCCGAATACAGGTTCTGGAGGGCCAGTCGAAAGAACACGGCCATTTGGCGGAGTTGCACCGTTGACAGGCCCGTTGATAAGTGGTTTGACAGGCGTTTGCACTGATGTTGGTGGTGCAGCAATTTCTTGCTTGATTGTCGGATGGTCTTGTAATGAAGATCTCAAAAGAGAATGCTTGGGAATTGGTGGTCGAGGATTCGGTATTACTGGGCCCTTTCCACCCATCCTAGTTACCTTCCGGGCGTATATCGGGGGTTCATCATATCTGATTTTCTTCCGCTTTGGTGGCCGACCAGAGGGAGGGCTTGAGGTCTGGCCGAATTCAGATTTTATAGGTCGGGATGGTGCGGTAGGAGTTTCACGAGACGGGGTGTTTCTGGCCAAGGGCGAGCTACTTGTCTGCATCGCCTGTGGAGGTTGGGGGTATACTTGCTGAGGTGTGAGAGACTGGCGTTTGGAGTGCTCAGCAGTATAACTGCTATGGGAATGGCTAGCAGGGGGACTGTCTCTCCACCGTTCTTCGTCCGCACTCGTGCGATGTGGTGTGTTTCTTTGATCTTGTGAAAGACTTTGTCGAGAGACGATCGTTTTGGGACTAACGCTGACACTCCGCTCTCTATCCGACTCTGCAGGATATTGACCATACGGTTGCTCTACCTGCCTTGACGGCGATGCAGTGTGACGGCTGGGTGAGCTCCTCGTCTTAAGTTCAGGGCCTTGGATGTCCTGTGAACCCCACGGACTAGTTGGGTGAGCTTGATGGGGGTCTCCTGTGGGCAGCGGCTGAACGGACTGAGGTGGAAGGCGTTGATACGGCGCAGAAGGAGGACCTAGAGGAGTTCCAGGTTGAGAGCGCTGCGGGTGAGGAGAGAACTGTCGTTGAGGTGGGAAGGTTTGCTGGACGTGAGCGGAGTGAGGGCTTTCACTTGCGTGCGACGAGTGACTGGATCTAGACGAAGGCACAGGAACGTATTGGAGAGGCTGAGGACCCTGGTGGTGGGCGAAGTACGATTGCTGTTGTTTTTGCAGGAGTTGAGAAGCCGAACTCGATTGTGGCGTGTAGGGTGAAGCCAGCGGAGGTTGAGCGTAAACGGCTGGACTCGCGGGGGCGACTGGGTGCGAGTCTCTGTGGCCGGGTGGATACGTCTGGGATGGGCTCTGGACATGATGCGACTGGGGACCTCCTGTTATCGATGAGGCTGAGCTGTATTGGTACGGAGACTGGGTTGAGCTGTATGGCGCCGATGCGACGGGAGAATGCTGAGGTGGCTGTAACGGAGGAGGTTGCGGCGGACGCGAGAAATAACCATGCTGGTAGGAGGATGCACCGGGAGTTTGCACGTCGGTCGGTCTCGGAGTACTCAGTGGCTCAGAGCTCTGGCGGGCAGGCGACGACTGTAATGATGGCGAAGGATGGGATTTGGCACCGCCGTTGGCATCGCTGTTGAGCATCGAGCGCAAATCCATGGCGACGGCGATGGGACTGCCAGCCCCAGCAATGGGTCATCAAATTGATGACGACCGACTGCAGCTCTATCTGGACGGGGGTAGTTTTATTGCGACATCTGGCGGGGATGGGAGTCGTGTTCTGCGGCGGGCGTGAGGCGAGGAGAAAGTTGGAAGCCGGATGCGCGTCTTTCACCTTTTTCCAAAACGGAGGTTGGATGCGCCTCTCTGGCTGCGGCAAGGAGCGCCGATGGCCTGCCAATGCACAGCTACATCCAGCGTACGGCTGCCAGGCTTGCAAGCATAGATTTTAAGATTATTATTTTATTTCTTTTCTGTTCTCTACAGCAATGGGCAAGGCGGTTCTCGGTCGCTCATGGCAGCGCGCCTGCAATAGTCCAATTCTAATGGGGCTGGACAAGGCACTACTGCAGGCTGTTTATCCACCGACAGCTCTTCATTTGCTTTAATTACTTTATATCATTTATATCAGTGTGTGCACAATAATATCTTCCAGACCGTCTGCCAAGTCCCAGCGAGAAGCTTCACAGGGGAAATTCAAAATTGTCACTGGGTCACGTGTCATTGACACTCGAGCAAATAGTTTGCTGCATATCACGTGACTGTTACCAGCCACCGTGGCTCAACAATCGACTCTCGAGTCTTTGCAGCGTTGAAACAGTGTTGTATTAATATTAATACTATAATCTCTTGAAACAGTCTAACCCGTAGGTAGTAAACTCGTCTATGAACTTCGATGCAGGCCAACTGTGTACCCCGTAGCGGCAGTTGACGGACTCGAGTGAGGACAACACTGCAAGCCATGTTGGACAAGGTCTCGGGCGGCCAATTGGATAAGACATGCCAAGAGCCAACGTATGCTCTGGACACTCTCTGACAGGAGGTATGTAGATTCCAGCCTAGCCAGGGGCTGTTCTTCATGAGATTAGCAGTTGCTGCTAACTCAGGACCAAGCAATGGGTGGGCCGCACCGCCTCCCCGTGACCAGCAACAACAGTCCAACTGGCATGATCTTTAACTATTGTTCACTTCACTCTCTCACGATCTCCATCCTCCCTCTCCATACCCCCCTCGCTGTCTCGCGGCTTCAAGCCTCCTCACCCACTCGTCCCTTTCTTGCCGCCGATTGCACGCCCTCGATTGCCTGCTCACGCTGTTTGTTCTCCACAGTAACGCCACCCCGACCAGGCGTTGCTAATTATAAAAAATAACTTTGTGACCGGCGGCTCTTCCCCGGATCGCTCCTTGGAACCAAGCCAATTCGAAACGTCAACTGATGCCGCATTCTGTGCCTACGATGAACTGAAGTTCCACGTCGCCCCGGAACTTGAGTGCCATCATGCGATGCGACTTGCGATGAGCTTCAACCTCAATGAACATACCCGTTGACTCGACTTGCCCACCAGATGAGGGAGCAGTTGAGACACAGGCAGTCTGTGAGCATGGCACAGCATGACGCGCCGTCAATTTTGCCTCGCGACCTGCCCCGAGACCGGCCTGCTGAATTCAGCCTGCCAGAAGTTGACGCTCCACGAGATGTACAATTAGACCAGCCTCCGCCAGGCACCACGCACGTGCATCATGCAATCCCCAATGGCTCGGCCGCCTATGCGTCGAAATCGATCTTCATGCAGCGGGACGAGGGCCTCCCAGAGTATGCGGAACGAATATTTTCACAGTTTTTGGTATTCACCGTGCCGAGTTATCTACAGCATTTGGTTACAGGCGGAGACCCCGACATCCCGAAACGATTACATGACATTGCAGCATTAGATGGACTGAGAGGCTGGGCATGCCTGCTCGTCTTCAATTTTCACTTTTTCTTCACTTATACATGGGACACCCACGTCGGCTGGGGCTTCAACAAGCAGAATTTCGGAGTCCACAAGCTACCTATCATTCACCTGCTCTTTTCTGGCCACATCATGGTCGCCATATTCTTCGTCATCTCCGGCTATGTCCTGTCCTACCGACCCTTGAAGACAATTCGAAATAGATCATTTGAACAAACCTTCACCGTGCTTTCCTCCGCAACCTTCCGCCGCGGCTTCCGCCTCTACGTGCCGTCGATAGTCGGCATGTTCTGTGTGCTCATCGCGATTCGCTTAGGATTGTATAACTATTCCGACTGGGTTGTCGCCAAAGGCCGCACAGTCACGGGGACGAACGAGCAAAACCCGATCATTTTGAGGACAACGTACATACAGCTCTGGGACTTTTACGGAACCCTATGCCGCTTGGTGAATTTTTGGGACTGGGGTTTGTACTACAACAACTACAACCCCCATCTCTGGACTATCCCTGTTGAGTTTCGTAGCTCGATTGTGCTTTTCGTCACCATTCTCGCTACCTGTCGGTTCACAACCAAAGTGCGCTTGGTTCTGGAGTTTGCTATTCTTTGGTTCTGTATGCGATGGGGTCGCTGGGAGGTGGTCCTTTTCCTTAGCGGCTTATTGCTCGCTGAGATAGACCTCATTAATGGTATCTGGAACCCGTCGCCCACGACGATTGCAGAGAAACAGATCAATACCAGCCCTATCCGACACTTCCTTCAGCGACGACACCGAGAAATCTGGATGGCAACTTTCGTTTTAGGACTCTACATTGGATCTTCGCCGAATATTGGATACCCATACACCCCCGGGTTTGTCTGGTTGACCTACATAACACCAGCACCTTATCCAGAACCTCATCGCTTCCCACAAACAGTCGGCGCTGTCTTGATTGTTGCGAGCATCAACAACTGCAAGCCGATCCAGAAAATCTTCGTTAACCCACTCTCTCAGTATCTCGGACAGATATCGTACGCGTTTTACATCGTACATGGTCCGATCCTTCATGGCTTCGGCTTTGTCCTGATGTATAATATCTGGGGATTGACCGGACGCGAAACCAATTTACAATTCCTCTCTGGGGCTGCCATTGGATGGTCTATCTGTCTGCCGATCGCTCTTTGGCTCGCAGACATCTTTTGGAGAGCCGTCGATTTACCAAGTGTCAAAATGGCACGCCAATTGGAAAACAGGCTATTGGCCCAGTTTCAATCATGAAGAAATTCACTATAACCAAGCTCCTTTCCAAGGAACGAAATAAGGGTGTAAATTTCCACCTCTTCCCTTTCAAGGCCTGCATAATGTATATATCAAAACTTGAATCCTGTGTGTTTTGAATATCCCAGTGCAGGCTTTTATGTATTATCCATTCTCTTTTCCTTTTTTATCCTATTAGCATCTCACACTCTTGTCTGCTTTTTGTGCGTCTTGTCAAATATAAAAATTACTTGGTATTTAGAAATGGGAGGTTAAATCTTTTCCTTTTCATGCATTACATGAATGCAATGCGTTGATAATTGATCAATTCTCCTTGGACATCTATTGCTTACATTGATGCAGGCCTATTCTTCTCCCTTCTATTAGATGTCAGAAGCAAAATCGTAAAGGAAGATTTACGCTCAAGAGTTTATACTAAATGGCCCTCTTTTCTTAATGCGCGCACAGGTCATAACAGAGGTACAAAGAGAAGCAACTGGAAAGTCATGGGTCTCATGAATCGATGCCGTTCGAGAAACGCGTCCAAGATGAGAATAGAGAAGAGGCCACACTAACTTCAAGGATACGTGGAAGGAGAGCAATATATAAAAGAAAATGATAGTAGGTAATAGCGAAAATTTCAGACATTCTAAACTGGCAGCAATCCGTATGAAGGGGTTTACAGAGCCACTCCCCAGAATCCTTTGCCACCACAAACCCCGAGCCAGTCGCGAGGGTGGCCTGATGGCGCTGTAGCACCTTGGGGTGACCAGGACAAGTTCGAGATTTCGTAATCGCACTGCCAAGCAGCGGCAGGGCCGCGTTCTGAGGTAGACGGCCCCGTCGTAACGCCAGGGGCAGCGGGAGGCGGTATTTGAGCAGCATTATGCTGGTTGAAAAGATCCCAGATAAGAACACAAGAGTCATCAGCTCCAGATGCCAGCGTCCCTCTGCGGCTGGGAGACCATTCTATACAATTGATCGGGGCTGAATGTCCCTTGAGCTCTATTAGAGCTTGGCCCGGTTGCCGAACATCAAGGATGCGGATGATATTGGAGTCTTGCGAGAATGTCGCGAGTAAATGGGAATCATGCGGAGATGCTGTGAAATATAATTAGAATATCTTCATAACGATATAACAACACCGATAACTCACTAGCTATGCGTAGGAGAGGAGGTGGCCACATTGCTCCATGTCCGGAGGCTGACGGACTTGATCCTCCGGGACTCATGACTAGATATTATGAGCAAGCAGTTTCATAGTAGCGACGTTGAGTTACTTACTTTTCTCGTTCTTTTCAGAAGGTTCGTATATAATCGTACTATGTTCCAAGCTTCGGAGATCGAACATGCGAACACTACCGTCCGCACCACAGCTAACAAAAACATCGACGCTATTCGCACAAAATCGCACATCATACACTTCTTTGTCGTGTGCAATGAGCTGAGTCTTGGCTGTTAAGGTGGGGATATCCCAGATTGTACACGTTGTGTCGATGCTAGACGTGATGATAAGACTCGGCGAGATAGTGTTCCAATCCAATGCTGTGATGGGTGCTGTATGTTCAGGAGATTTGGAATTGGACAAAAGGGCAAGAGGGGACAACTTGGCCACTGTTTGACCTGGATTTCGGCCAGTCACTGAATTGGAATTATGCGTCATGTGAGAATTGCTTGGTAGCGACCATAAACGCAAGTGATCGCCTGATGTCGCAAGGAGATCCGTGGATTGTTTTTGAGAGGATGGAGGCTCCCATAATATCCTCGTCACTGGATAAGAATGTGTCGCCTCGGCAGTTTTCACGTATTCTAACTCCACATCCCCAGGGGCAACATCTGGGGTATCTGATTCAGGTTGCTTGCGGTGAAGGTCTAGAATTTGGATCTGATGTGCGATTAGCATTTGTCTCGTCAAGAAGGTATTCGCAGAGACATACAAAATTGTGGCCATCCTCTAGATAGCTTCCAAGGGCCACTTTCCCAGCAAAAGATCCTCCTGACGACATAGGCCATTTGCACCAGTCGACGGCATATATCGGCCACGGAGCAACATAGTTGCTATTTGTTGGAAACTGCATATCACCATTGACAGGATGAGACCCAGGTGTCATCGGGTGGTCCATCAGCAACGAGTCACTCGGTGGCCGTATATCTGCCAGGCCCAGTGGGGAATATTTTGCGCCCGAGGGCGTATGAGGCAGATATCCAGAGCCCGGCGGTGATGAATACTTGGCGCTTTCTGGCGTTGCCCCATACTGCTTGTACCTATGCTGCTCAAACCCTGCCGGGCTCGATCTGGAGTGACCATGACTGTGGTTCACTGTTCCCGACCGAGAGGGCGTCATCTGGTGCGATTGCGTAGAGAGAGGCGGTAATGTAGGTGCGCCAGAGGGAGCGGTGTTGGTAGACGTGGGAGCTGGCCGATTGGGCCCATTCCCCGGCTGTAGGGCATTAGGAAGGGTGCTAGTGCTAGAAGGGTATTGGGAATGCTGAGGCGTCGACTGCTGGATGTTTATAGATGGAGGGCCATGCGCACTCGGAGGGTTGGAAGCGATTGTGGTAGTAGACAAGGGAATATGAAGCTCTTCCGAAGGCCGAGCATAAGTAGGGGGGCGCCGAGAGGTCTCGTACTGCTGCTGCGGCGGAGGGTTGGACATTTCGACAGATGCTTCGAAGAGTTTGCTTGGTGAAAGGGCTTATGTTGACGGGCCAGCAGGGAATCGCTGACGGACGGCGACAGGTGAGGAGTATTAGTGCCTGAAGGAGCGCATTTAACGAACGAAAGGATGCTTTGACAGCCCCAGCAACCAGCACCGAGAGCCTGTGCCGTGTGTAACGCACTGATGCAGGGCACTGGATGAGCTCTCAGGTGGTCATCTCAACGGGGGCGGGGGAGAGGCTGTTGGCAGTGTGCATGGAGATGGAGGTGGAGATGGAGATGGAGATGCTATTATTTGCGGTGTTTCTTTGGCGGTGGACTTTCCCCGCGCTGGTTAGAGCCTTAGAGGCTTGGATGGTAACTGGAAGGCAGTCACCAACCACAGACGGCCTAGCCGCTTGTGGCTCCTTCCGAGGGCAACATCTCTCTTCTCCTCCTGCTTCTTCTTCTCTTCCTCCAACAACACTTGTTTTTACTGCAGATCTCTTGTCCTCGCTGCTGAGCATGTGCTGACGAATACAGCGGATCGACCATCTGCCGCCTCTACGCTCGAACACCGTCCATCATGGAGCACGATTCTCAGACTGTCCCGTACGTCCTCGCGTTGCTCCCGGCCCCGCCTTCCCCCGCGGTGCGCCAGTTGAAGGATGCGTACGATCGAGCTCTGTCGCGAGTTTTCGCGGACGTCTCGAGTCAGATACGGGGCACGTCCAATATAGCCAAGATCGATATCGCCTTGGTAATTCCTCAATTGCTCTCTGCCCAGTACCAGCCTCGTTCTAAAGCCTTCGCTAGCCTGCAGCATTTGCTAGCTACGTTTTACACCTTCGTAGGTACAGTCAGTGCTTCTGATAATGTAGAACTGGATGGCCCAGGTGGCGTGGATGTCAGGGTTTTCTTTGTCGATGACCAGGATTGTTCTGAAGTTCAACAACAGAGATTACATGGCCCTGTTACCAACCTCAAAACACTAGCAATCTCGCAGAGGGCTTGGGATCGTGCTTATGTGCTGGATACAATCAGTGGCGAGCGTCTGGCATCTAGGTTTTCGGAATACGGTGCTTCTGTATCTTACAGCAAGCTCCCTGGAGGAATTGCGTCAATCTCACCAGAGGGGGTCTTGGTTGCAGAGGAAGGGCGATCTACTAAACACTACTCAGTCATCGTCGGCGGCACATTTGATCATCTACATCTTGGGCATAAATTACTACTGACAGCTACAGCACTGGCACTGGATCCCTTCAACAATGAGGGCAACAGATCTCTCACCGTTGGCATAACTGGAGACGAAATGCTCGTCAATAAGAAGTTCGCAGAATATCTAGAGAGCTGGGAGGATAGATGGCAAAATACTGCGTCATTTCTGAAAGCTATAGTCGACTTTAACCCACCTGAAAACCAGGTATCTAGTATTCAGCGGACAGAGAACCCTGGTCCTAATGGCAAGCGCGTGTCAATCAAAGTGGTGCCGGATCTATATATCCATTTAGTACAAATCGCCGACCCGTATGGGCCTACCATTACAGAGGAAAATCTGAGTGCGTTGATCGTGTCAGCAGAGACCCGGTCAGGTGGACAAGCAGTAAACACGGAAAGGAATAAGAAAGGATGGGCATCCCTAGAGGTTTTTGAAGTGGACGTCTTGCAGACGGGAGAAGCAGAGGAGGTGGCAAGTGCATCTGCCAGCAGCTTTGAATCCAAAATAAGTAGTACAGATATCCGGCAGCGTCGAATGAAGAGTGCCAAAGGCCACCTCTGATAAGAAAGGCACTTGACATCGGGCTCTCATGCCGTGTTGCAAATTCCAAATGCATGCTCTTGATGTTTGACAGTGTGCCACGTAAGGAGAACTCATGATCGGATCTCAATGCTACATGGACAGCGGGTCGGATATCATACTTATAATCGCCAACAATCCTGGCCCAATTGATGGTCTGCGCCTGGCGAGCACGCAGGCTGTGCCGGAAAATATAAGCCAATAGGCCCGGCCATGTCAGTTCGCTGGCCGGTCAGAGCAAGTAATTGGCCTGGGGCCTTCATTGGCTGGTGCATGACGGTGTTGGTGACTGCAGAAAGTGGCCTGCATCGTCCATCTGCAGAAGTGACTAGACCGGTAAATATCACCCATCAACTAAGGCGTCTAGATTAAGATTGCGACGTTTGCGGCCGTGATTGGGCGCGCACAACCCCGTCCGATGGCCTAGTGCCTGGCAGACGACAGGCTCGCATGTACAGCAGCGTCGTGGTGTTCTGCGGTTTCAATCCAGCGCGCAACGTGTCGAGGAGGTGGGCCGCAGCGTCCGCGTCAGGCCAGTGACTGGCAGCGATGGGCTGGGCGACATTTGAATGTTATGCGGCCTTTCGATGGCAGTGACGATTCTCGCGACGGTTGGCTGGCGCGCGCTGGGCCTTAGGGCATGTGCAGGTTTAGCAGCACTGCAGATTGCCCACACAGCGCCCGTACAGCGCTCTGCCGTGGAGGACCATGGCGCTGTGCTCCCCTCCAGGAAGCGGGGCACCCCTCTCCAGTCCTTCAGGGCATGCAGGTTACCCCTAGGCGTCGTCGCACGCTGTACTGTTACTAGTTGGCCGCTCCTGAGCTAGCTCCTCCGGCTAGGCGCCGGCCGTACACATGCAGGGCTTCCGCTCTTCAGATACATCTTCCATCTCCAATCGTTCCTCCCGACTTGCAGACGCTACACAGTAAGCTTCACCAGTTGACACAGTAAACGAACCCAGTCAATGCATACGCTGCATGATGCTCCTGGGTTTTGGTACCTTTTCAGTCATGTGACCGTGGTGTGGATGGCTGATCTAGCGTTCGACAGGTCCATCGACGACGAAGCCCGCCAGGGTCCGCTGCTTGCTGCAAGTCCAGGTCAGTGAGCAGCATGAGCACATGCATGGATCTGTCGCGACATGAGACCTGCTTCCCCCAACCCTTCTAGTGCTGCCAGCTTGTTTCTGCAGGGCTCCAAACAATGCCATTTTCGACGACCGATTTCTCCGGCTACTTGCATTTACTTGCTGGTGGGTGGACGGGCCCGTCTGTTAAAAAGGGAACCTCCGGCATTTGAACTGCCGCCGCTTCGATCTCTTCTTTGCTTTTTCTGTCTACTTTTTGTCTTTCCTTTTTCTAAATTTCTCTCCCACACTATCTTACTCTGCTTTGCCCCTCTATGCTAGTTGGCGTGTGCCACAGCCGGTGAGTCGGCTGCCCTGCCTGCTGAGACAATGGATAAGCAATGTCTCATCGATTGCCTGGCCGACGAGCTGTTGAACCTGATATTGTTCTTCCTGGTGGTCGGGTCGGAAGAGGTTTCTGATGGGCGCATTAGTCGACGTGGCCTCATCTTATCAGCAATTAAAAGAAATGGCAGCGAAGCGAATTTTCCACGCGGCGAGAAATCAGATCTGGACAGGTACAGACTGGTCTGCAAACGATTTATGAGAATTGCGACACCACGAAAATTCCGCCACTTTACGCTGAGATTCTCACGGGATGGATTCAAAAGGCTCAATGAACTGGTCGATATGCAATTGGCTTGCCATACGCGGCATTTTACATACATGGTCCGACCCTTCTATCTAGGGCGCGGTATGCTCCCATCAAGTTGGAACTTCATCGTTGGATTCACACACTGACAAAATCCATTTTAGACTGGGAGAACTTTCTCGCCGATGTCTCTTTAGACCATCACTCGCTCTCCGAGATTCACCGACTACGGTTAGCGGACCAAAAATTCCTAGTCGAAAATGCAAATGACTTGGCTGCACTGAAGAGAGCAATGTCCTTCTTCTCATCCTTGCAGCAAGTAAAGCTTCTTCGGCTTCAGGATCAGGCGGATGAAGAGATCTTGAAACTAGCAAGACGAGGGAACCCAGAGAGGGATCTCCATCTTGACTGGGACCCAGCATGCTCACATGCGGTGCAAAGTTTGGGGGTCGCTCTCCTGGGCTCTACGTGCCACTCTGTCCGATTCCTTGGGCCCCAACTTAGCCCGAAAGCCGCAGTGAGATTGTTACACACGCCCGAGCTAGTCATGTCTAGTCTCGGAGAACGTCTCACCTGCTTGGATGTTAATTTTCAGTCAGCCCACGATGTGACGTCGATGATGATTGGGCTTTCTGGAGTTTTTCGCAACTTCTTACTTGCAGCGCGAAATCTAGTTACGATAAGTGTCGGCTTCTCTGCCGACTTACCCGTTTCTATACCTTTAGAGGACATATTCAACCATCTCCATTGGCCACGTTTACGTTGTCTGGGAATACAGGGCTGGAAACTTGATTCGGCGGAGATAATCGCCATAGTGCGGCGCCATGGATCTCGATTGAGAGAGCTTCGCATACCCTACGTATATCTACGGGAAGGAAGTAGGTGGCGAGATATTCTTTCAGTGCTACATAACGAAATAGAACATCTTGAAAGTGTGGACCTACAGCACATTGACTATGCCTTTCATTTTGACTCGGAAGTCATTCATGGGGTGGAGATCCCACCCCTAACATCAACAGAAGAAGAGGATAACGGTCTCTATGAAGACGAAAGAAGCGAAGATACTGATTCTTCGTACGTCGTATCTGCGCATCACTCGCAGAGCGAGACATCAGACTCAGAGACTCACCAATGGCCAACACAGGCCTTATCAATAGGAGAACTCAGTCTACTGACTGCCAACGACTTGGGCGACAATGGGATGTACGTGAAACGAGAACATTGGGGTTTGTGGGAAAAATGGGTGGTATCACGATTGTATGTATAGCATCCACATGCATCCGCAGCATTTGGCGCGAATGGACTCGATGGATTCTCCCTTTCTCATTGTGTAGATACAACAAGCGACTTGTCTGCGTGAGCATCTTATGCTGTGAAAATACCGAGGGCAACAGGGTCGGGAGGCTTTTTGTTTACCAGAAATTCACTGTAAGAATAAAGGTGTCGCGTGCAACAGCCATTCCAATTGCAGTATCGATATATGTACGCATGTAATTTGTCTAGATGCCGTTTGTAAAGTTTAACTAGGTAGAACTCCAGGGACGACTGGTAGATTATGATCATGGTCTAAATAACGCGTCAGGGCTGAAAGCCAGAATCCTTGTGCTTCAAAATCGCTCAGGCACATGTACCCAGCCGACGCTAAAGAATCGGAAACATCTCGTTTAATAAAGTTCAGATGAAGGCCATTGTTATTGGACGACAATAAGAGATGACGTGGGACTGTTGACTTTCTTCAGCGTTTCCTGCAGAACTGTGGGGAAAAAACTTATGCGCTTAATTAATCCAATGCAGGTAACAATCATTTTCGTCCCAGCGCTGACAGGTATCTGTTTTGCGCCAATTCTTCCTCTGCGACTCGACGGCTTCCAAAACACCAATTGATATAGCTCATATCTCAATGCTATAAGAATCTATTGATGCCATCTGTATATCGTTGACGAAATAATAAAAGATGAGCGACATCGCAACTCCCGAACCTCCTCCCGACTCCCACATCGATCATGCCTCCTCGATTCAGTATTGGAACAACACACCACCAACCGTCGATGGCATGCTGGGTGGATTTCCACAGATCTCGGCTATCGATCTACGGGGATCTGCGTCTTTTTTGGCCAAGGTCCGTCGCTTAATATTACGACAAACGGCGCGAGGGAAACTCGAGAAGATCAGTTTGGGAGTCGACTGCGGCGCAGGAATCGGTCGAGTGACGGAAGGATTTCTGGGCAACGTGTGTGAAGTGGTTGATATCGTTGAGCCGATTGAGAAATTCGCGCAGGCTCTTCGCGACGGTCCCTTCGCGAAGAAGAATAATGGCGTCGTGGGGGATATTTATATTACGGGTCTGGAGAATTGGGTTCCTGAAAAGCAATATGATCTTATCTGGAATCAGTGGTGTGTTGGACATCTCACTGATGTCCAGCTAGTGGAATATTTAAAACGAGCTGCCGATGCCTTGACGGATTCTGGGCTCATTATTTTGAAGGAGAATCTGTCTACGGACGTCGACGGGAACGACCATTTTGACTCAGTAGACAGTGCTGTTACTAGAGCGGATGGGAAATTTAGAAATATTTTCAAAGAAGCGGGGCTGAATCTGATCAAGACAGAGGAGCAATTGGGCTTTCCTAAGAGCCTGGGGCTCCTCCCTGTCCGATTCTATGCTTTACGTCCGGAGCAATTGAAGAGCTGAAAAGCCATAAGCAACGAAAAAAAAAACATCAGGTTAGGAATAAATAACCGCATTCGAAATTAACAACCGATATCAAACCGCCATCCATCAAAACAAAGAGAAAATTGACTTATTCGTCTCGCTTTCCCGGGGCTTATCGCCTCTGTCAACCACAGGAGCAGATGGTTCACTAGGAACATGACCGTTGACAGTGTCAGCACCGTTAGACTGTTGGCCATCTAAATTGTGCGTTTTGTTCTGTGCCTCTTGCTGTCCCTCCTTATTCTCAGATCCTGTTGCCCCATCGGCAGTCTTGTTATCGGCCGGACTTTCAGACTCTGGTGCTGTCGCTGCAGACGGTTCTGGGGCGGTCTCGACTTTAGCCTCGGACTTGGGTTTGTTGGCTTTCTCAATCAACTTCGTAATGAATTCCCATTCCTTCGGTGTAACACGGGACACGCTTACGCGGGACTGGCGCAGAGTCTGCAGGTTTTCCAGTGCCTTCCCAGCGGTGCCATATGATTTCAATTTGTCCAACGGTAGAATATTGTCAAACTTACGACGGAACTCGACATGGACAACCTCCCATTTTGGGTTCTCCCGGGTCGACTTTTCGTCATAATATGGGTGGGCGGGATCGAATGCAGATTCTATCAGTGAAACGCGTCAGCATACAAAAGTACTTCTCTCAAATAATATATACCGTCGACCGAGTGTTCCCTGACAATTTCCATCAAGCCCACGATTCCAGGGACCTTGCAGCTTGAGTGATAAAAGAAAGCGTAATCGCCTTGCTTCATCGCGCGCAGGTTGTTCCGAGCTATTATGCACGAACATTAGAGATAAGATTAGGAAATAAACTAGTCCTAAGCACTCTTACCGACAGGATTACGAACACCTAATCCGATTCAGTTAGTAACAATAGTCAGAATTATCGAAAGCCATCTTACCATCCCATGGTTCCGGCTCTGTAGCGGCTTGTAGATCGTCAATTGAGAACTTGACATCCACACCTTTTACCAACCGCGACTCGGGTTCTGCCTTCATAAGCCAGTATGATCGGCCTTCGGGTCCGTATGCGTCATCTTCAGGAACCTCAATAGTTAGGTCGGGCTCTTTCTCCTTCAGGTGCGCGAAGGCTCCATTCACGTCTGGAACTTTCCGGGTATATTTTCTAACCTGCTTTTTGGCAGGCGTTTCTATAGACTTCTTGGATGTTCCAATTGATCTCTTTCGTTTCCCAGTAGTCTTCTTGGAAACCTCGATCAAAGCCTTTGGAGGCCTTCCAAGTCGCTTCTTAGGCTTACCTGTGACTGTTTTTGCTGCTACGACATTTGATTTCGCGGCAGCAGCTTTAGGCTTGGTCTTGGGCTTTTCGTCTACTCATCCATGCGTTAACTATCGCCAGATAATGACATCAATTCTGTCACGCACCTTTTGCAGACGGAGCACTCTTGGCTGGACGGCCCCTTTTCTTTGGGGTGCTCGTCGCGGCAGGAGGAGTAGCACTGGGCTTAGCTGTCGCATTGACTTTGGCTGTGCGTGGTGGGAGCTTTGGGAATCGCTTGGGACGCGCAGTTGCCGCAGTCTGGGTGGTTGACTTGCGCGCTCTCTTTGCAGGCGACTGAGTCGCGTTGCTGTCAGCAGCAGCCGATGGACGCTTTCTGGGAGGCATCGCGAAAGTGGCTCAGATTGCGTTCTTTCACAAAACGTCTATATTACTGCGATCAGTTGGAATCAGAAGAATTGAAAGAAGGAAAAGCCGACATAAAAGAGCTACGAACGGTGGTGGCCCGGAGTTGTTTGCTGTTGTCTGTCGGTGTTGAGCGATGTTGTTTTGGGTGATCTGGGGGGCGCTAGGACGGTATCGGTTAGAGAGCTTAAGCTGCCTAGTATGTCCTCAGCAGTACTTGCTCAGCACTTGCTCATAGTTACTTCTCAGTACAGTACCATGATTTTGCTGATATTGTTGTTCGTGCTCCAAGCTCAGTCTTGGATTTTCAGCTTGCCCTTCAGTTTGTCATCCAATGCGAAGTTCGAACCATGCTCTCTGCCAGTGAGTTTGTTGTGAGCTCGGGCCGCTGCATGACACTGCATGTTGCACTGAACGCATGGCGGTGGCTTGAACTGTGACCATACCACGCTCTGTGGTATAAATATCGCTGCTTTGCTGCTGTAGTTGATGCCTTGCATGTTATCATTATTCCAGGCCGACGATTGAGGCGCCATGCAGTGCGCATTCCGCCATTCCCACGCGCACATTGCGCCTTTGTTGGATATCTATCTAGCAGCCAACCAGCTGCCCCTTTCCATCAGCCCTAACTGTGCCTAAACGCCGCAGTTACAGCCATGATGATGCCGTATTGAGAAAGAATCCAATTCTTATGAAATCAGCAATGGCACTTCGGAGGTTGGTGCCAAGTCCGACCCGATTTCCCCGGCGACCACCAGTTTTGGCCAATCGCATCCAACGATTCTCATGCGATGCCGGGTATGCGGCGTAAGAATGAGCATCATCAGTACCTACTTTCTTGCACAAGCTTCGTTTTGTGAGTCATCAAAATCCCACATGCTTGGGGATGGGGCCACGACGTTTCTATGAGTGAAGTGGCAAGCCTATCTTTGACCTCGGATTTTGTAGCGAGCCGGCAAGATGCCCGTAACCTGCCAAAAAAAATGATGCTTGACTCCACTTTTGGATTTCCCCTCGGCCTCGAACTATCGCTTAGTGCTGTTGCTGACTGCATTGGATAACTAAGGCTTTGCTTGTCTTTTCGGACTTTCTAATACTGCCATGGGACCACCTTCCTTCGCGTCCTTCAACTGTGCTACTGCTATCCCGTTCATTCCTGGGACCTGGTGTTGTTCTTGCAAAAGCATCGTATCTCAAAGACAGAATGGCGGCGCCTGATATTGGCCATTCTCAAGGACCAGTATCTCTTGATGCCAGTCTTGCACTCGAAGATTCACATCTGCCAGCCGATGCAAAGCCAGGTCACCTCCCACAACAAGTACAAGATATTGAGCATCTCTACCTCGGCTTTAAAACCACACTCCCAGCGCCGGCTGGACTGACAGAACCCAAGCCCGGAGCCGCTACGCTACCACAATGCCCCGATTTGAAGAAATATATCTCTCCTTTCCTTTGGTCGAGTGCACGCAAGTCAGTGATTACATGGCTAGCATGTTGTGTTACCCTGTTGGCTGGTTATTCGGCTGGTCAAATCACACCAACCGCAACGCAGCTGCTTCCTGTCTGGAATGTCAGTAATGTTGCCTTCAATACTGGTATTACAGTCTTCTGCGTCGGGTTTGCCATTGCCCCCATGGTTCTGGCTCCCTTTTCTGAGATCAACGGTCGGCGGCCTGTGTTTATTGCCAGTGGCGTACTTTTTACAGGTGAGCCTCGGGCTTATAATGGTTGTTGTTAAATGAAAAGCTAACTTGTGCGTCTTATCCTCTTTTCAGCTTGTATTTTTGGCTGTGGTGGATCAAATTCATTTGGAGGATTGCTCGTTGCTCGGTTCTTTCAAGGTGTTGGTGGATGTACGTATTCGACTTTCCAACCAACTCGGCATTTCCTAACACTCACTGGCAGCGACGTATTCAACCATGGTTGGTGGAGTCATCAGTGATATTTATCATGCCGAGGACCGTAACACACCCATGGCCTTGTTTGCTGGGGCAGCGCTCTTCGGAACAGGCCTAGCTCCTATTTGCGCTGGCAGTATCGTCGCGCATACGTCCTGGCGATGGGTTTACTGGTCCCATGGAATCGTCAGCGGAGTTTTTGTGATTATCATGTATATTTTCCTAGATGAGACGCGGGGAAGCATTCTTCTAAGCCGCAAAGCTCGTGCCCTCAACGGATGGTATGAAAGCCTTGAAGAAGCTGGCCACTTTGGAGTGGTGTTTCCATCTGATGGGTCCTTGGAAAAACAGACAGTTCGTCGGATTCGCTGGAAGGTGAAAGCCGATGACGAGCGGGAGTCGCTTGTCAAGATGATTAGCATCTCATGCTATCGGCCTTTCCGTACACCACCTTATTTTCAAACTAGTTGATGGATTAATGAGCTGACACATTACTCACAGATTTACTGTTTTCCGAGCCAGTGGTATTTTTCTTTTCCATCTGGGTGTCTTTCAGTTGGGCAATTTTGTACCTGCAGTTTGGATCTATTCCTCTGGTTTTTGAGACCAACCACGGGTTTACAGTTGAGCAGTCTGGTGCTGTCTTCGCATGTAAGTGTTACTGAAATATCCCTTTTTTTTCATTTGATTGATATCTCTCTAGCGATGTCGGTGGGTGCTATACTGGCTACTATTTTGAGTATTGCCCAGGAAAAAATAGCAATTCGTTTTGGTAAGATGTCCAGCACTCCAGAAGGCCGCTTATACTTTGCGTGTATCGAATCCATCTTGATGCCCGTAGGCCTCTTCTGGTTAGTCATCATACCTTCCTTCCACAGGACGGTTTACTAAATATGTACAGGTTTGGCTGGACATCTTTTTCATCTATTCCGTGGATCTTGCCAGCAATCGCGGTGGGATGTGCTACGATGGGCATTTTCTCTATCTATCTGGCAGTTTTCAACTACCTCGCCGACACATACCATCGATATGCAAGCTCTGCGCTTGCAGCTCAATCTTTCTGTAAGACCTCTACCTCTCCTCTAAGGCTAATGTGCTGACTCTTTGCAGGCCGTAATATGTTGGGAGGTGTTTTTCCATTAGTCACCAATGCCTTGTTCACCAACCTCGGATACCCCGCAGCCTCCAGCCTTTTAGGCGGCATTGTAAGTTCCCTTGTCGATGTTTTGTTTTGGCGTTGCTCACGATAGCTAGGGTGCATTGTTGACTATTGTGCCATGGGTGCTTGTCTTCTTCGGGCCGAAGATTCGTGCTCGCAGTAAATTTGCTAGTGTACGTTTTCGTCTTTCGTCTTTCGTCTTTCGTCTTGCATTGTGCTAACGGTGATTTAGGAATTGGTGCATCAACATTGAGTCCCGTACCGGCTGTCCACCGTATACCAGAACCAGTCATCAAACCAAATCCGCACAAGAGCATCGCATGATGAAATGATTCACCAGTCCGAAAGTGAGCCCGATGACTGTGAAAACATGATCGTGCTTCCTGTGCAACTGTCAAGCTGCTGCTTGCGGACCAGCAACAGCACCTGGACACAGCTCCCATGGGGATTCATACTTGAATATCAAATAGCGAGGTCGGCTGCTTTGCGCGATCTGGTCGCGATTGCGCCATCTTCTCTGCAGGCAATTGGTTAGCAAAGAATGGGCACTATTTTGCTCTCTGGCATTCGGCCGACAATCTCGGGTGAGAAGCTGGTGTATATATGCGAATGGTTCTCGACGATGGCGTCTCCTGTGTCTGTCCAGCGGCAGAAAGGCCAAATAGTTGTGGCCAGAGAGGGACGAGTATATAGTAGTAATGAAATGCACCCATAGTTTGGGAAGAACAGTGACCAGGCCTGGTGCAGCGTCAGTAGAAAGCTAGAAGCATTGACAATTAAAGTGCTGGCCCATGCCCTGAAAGGGACAAGCGCCCCGGATGACAGCCCCACTTGTGCACGACTCGCCCGAGACTTCTGGGTTGACTAATCATGGCTGATTTTATTTACTGCTTCTGATTGGCGGCGCTACGCATCTTCCTCATTATGCAATCTCAGTGGGCTGCCATTGGCCCGCACAAGCAACAGCTGTTTCCTACAGCCAATAAGGTACCCGCCGTGGTCGGTCCAGAAAGATGGGGAACTTTCATAAGCATTCAGAAACGCACCATCAGCGGCCCATCGCCGCTGCGGCGTGCCGCAGCCGGCGATGGCGTGATTGCGCCTGGCTGTATGAACAGCATCATCGACATGCCTAACAAGTACACACAGGGAAGGAACTGGTGGAGAGAGGGGTCGTGCCTGCCTGTGGAGGGGAAGCTATATTTATTTACTGCCGCCCGCCGCCCTCTGCGTCTATCTGTCTGTCTGTCTGCTTCACCTCTACTCGTATTATTACTCGTCTCTCTCGAACAAGCTTCATCCTTCAACCGTCACAATGGCCACCGAACGTGCTCCGTATGTTCCACAACCCGGCTGCCGCCTTCTTGCTTGCTTGCTAACATGGCCGTGACAGTCTCCGCTTGGGCTCTGTTGCCCCGGACTTCGATGCTGAGACCTCCAACGGTCCCATCAACTTCCACAACTTCATTGGCGACAACTGGGTTGTCCTGTTCTCCCACCCTGTAAGCTGGAAATGGTGCTATATACTTGACGTTAGATCTAGACTGACGTGAGGGATAGGATGACTTCACTCCCATTTGCACTACTGAGCTCGGTGCTTTCGCGAAGCTCGAGCCTGAGTTCAACGCTATTGGCGTCAAGCTCATCGGCCTGGTCAGTGGATTCGCCCGATTCACCTATGATTATTGGACCTCCCAACTGATTGAATATGCAGAGCGCCAACAACGTTGACTCTCACCACAAGTGGATCAAGGACATTGACGAGGTCGCTGGCTCCAACCTCAAGTTCCCCATCATCTCCGACCCCGAGCGAAAGGTCGCTTACCTGTACGACATGGTTGACTACCAGGACACCACCAACGTCGACTCCAAGGGTGCGTGCGGTGTTGTATTCAGATTTTCTGGCGTTTTCTGATTGTTATCTAGGTCTCGCTCTGACCATCCGTACCGTCTTCGTCATCGACCCCAGCAAGAAGATCCGTCTCACCCTCTCCTACCCTGCCTCGACTGGTCGTAACACTGCCGAGGTTCTCCGTGTTGTCCAGGCCCTCCAGACCACTGACAAGAAGGGCGTCACCACCCCCATCAACTGGCTCCCTGGTGACGACGTCGTCATTCCCCCAGTTGTCTCAGACGAGGCTGCCAAGGCCAAGTTTGGCGCCGAGAACATCCGTACCGTCAAGCCGTGAGTATTGTTTGGCCGTCAGACGAGAGGACGTAATAGCTAACATGCCGCAGTTACCTCCGCTTCACCAACGTTGGCAAGTAAATGCATGCGAAGCAGACGATATTGTACGAAAATAGCGGAAGCTAGCCATTTTGATTTCATATGTGATGCCATTAATGATACCGAAGCTGTTAGAAGCTTAATGAAATGATTATTCAACTACATGCCTATGGTTTATCCTTAAGTTCTTGGCGTTGCCGCCTAAAATACATGAAACGAGACCAGCGCGAAACGGAGCGGTGATTCGCCGATGCATTCTGGAGAACCTCCAGCACTGCAGCTACTGCGGTTAGCGCTGGTACTTTTCACTTGAGACGCAAGGCAGCCGTTGTGCACAGTGTATAATACGTAGTGGTAGTAATAAGAGTAATATGATGTGTTGATGCTAATGATGCCCCGGCTGTTCCCTTCCCCTTGCATATTCGCCGAGAGAAGTTTTCATGTGTGCCTCGAGAATAATGGCCGATTAGTCTATCGCCCATACTACCACAATACCACGTCACATTCATAATTCCCTGTGTAATCAATCAATCAATAAATATTAAATAAGAAAACAATAATCACCGTAGTATGTTCCGTGCGTCCTGTAGCAGCTAATACGGAGTAATCCGCGCTGATTGGCCGCTGGCCCCGGAGCTGAGTGGTGAACCACGGATGGCCTGGTCGAACGAAACGAACCTGTTGGGACAGCAGCCCCCTGGTTACTCCCCCTCCAGACCAGCCTGTATATTAATTCTATCTTTGTCTCTCGCAGTGTGTGCGGTCGGGTTTTCCTGCAGCCGGGTTTCGCCGTAATACGACACACGCTGCATACAGGATTGAAGAGTACTCATGCAGATAATTCAGTCGAATGCCGCCATGTGCTGACCACCTCACCACCATCGCAACACCAGCCCTCCCAGAACTGCCCCTTCGCAGGCGGCCCCCTCCATGATTTGCGTCTTCTCGTCATATATATATCCCCGGAACATCCATATATTTCTGCGTCGATCCGGTTATATATGCGACATTTCACTGGTCCCGCCGTCAATCGAATAAATTTCTCGCTGCTGAAATTGACTGGAAAATGCTGCTGATCCCCCCTCGAGAATTTATAATAATTAATCGCTCATATACGTCTACCAGCGGTCCGCGTTTCGCTTTCAGCACTTGCGACGATACCGGTGTACGAATTCCCTTTATATTCGCTTTAAATACGTTTATTTACTAGAGACCACAACAACCTGCGGGGAAGTATATCCAAAATGTCGCGGAGCCAGTCGAGTCTGAGTTTGAACCAGTTCGACGGCGTTAAAGATGATATCGCAGCAACCTCGGCTTCGCCCGCCCCGCCGCCGGGGAGTGCCATGTCTGGCCCTATAAATCTGTCTGGCCTGGTGTGTAATGTGCGTAGGACGACCGGTCGAGAGCCTCGTGCTTTGGTTGGCGCAACGACAACTATCCTGGGGGATAAGCTATACGTCTTCGGAGGCCGCGTGCTGTCGCGATCAAATCCACAGCTCACATCTGATCTATACGAACTAGACCTAATCCGCAGACATTGGACAAAACTGGAAACATCGGGCGACATACCACCCCCTCGGTATTTTCATAGTATGTGTGCCGCTGGCGATACGAAACTTGTATGCTTTGGAGGAATGTCCCCAGCAACCGGCAGCGAGACAGTGCAAGGAAACAACCAAACCGGTCAAGATACACAAGCCGAGGTCAAAGTCATGGCGGATATTCACGTTTACGATGTGCTCATGCGAACCTGGACCCGTGTTGCCCCCAAGGACTCTATACAAGGCCGCTATGCTCATTGCGCTGCGATCCTACCGTCCAGTACCTGCTTCACATCAGCTAATGCGCCTTTATCCGCCATCCACAGGAATCCATCTTCGACCAATCCGCACCAGGGGACGCTTGGCCCTGACATCGACGGACTGGGTGGCGCTGAAATGGTCATTGTCGGTGGTCAGAATAGCTCCAACCACTACATAGAGGAAATCAGTGTCTTCAACCTCCGCAGTCTCAAATGGACATCTACAAGCCCTTTAGGTAGAAGTTGTGGTGCCTATCGCAGTGTTGTTGCACCACTAAGCAACATGAATGTGTCGGAATTGGGGATTACAGCGGAAGACCCAGAGGCCGTGGGCCAGCCAATTGAAAGTCCAGAGCGGGGTTCGCCTATGCTGATATATTCTAACTACAACTTCTTGGATGTCAAGTTAGAGCTGCAAGTACGACTCCCGGATGGTCGACTGGTAGAGAAACCCATGGTTGGCGGTGTTTCCCCTCCTGGCTTGCGTTTTCCCAACGGGGGAATCATCAACAATCATTTTGTCGTCAGCGGGACTTATCTCACCTCTTCCAAACAAGAATACTCTCTGTGGGCTCTTGACTTAAGGTCACTTACTTGGAGTCGTGTTGATGCTGGCGGAACAGTCTTCAGCAACGGTAGCTGGAATAGAGGTGTTCTTTGGGAAAGGCGCAATACGTTTGTCATTCTAGGAAACCGGAAGCGAAGTTTAGTGGACGATTATAATCATCGGCGGATCAATTTCTCCCATTTGTGTATGGTCGAATTGGAGGCATTTGGATTGTACAACAATCCTTGCCGCACAGCTCCTACCTCTGGCTATGTGTCAGTCAGCTCCCCAGCAGTCCCAGCATCATTGCAGGCGAAGCTGGCTCAACTCACATCTGGCGGTCGGCCATTCTCTGCTGCATCGGACGAGTTGGGTAAAGTAGCATTTTCCATGCGTGAAATGGCCGACATGGATCTTCAAGCTCTCGGAGGCGAACGCATTCCCGTCAACTCGCGTATTTTAGCTCGTCGATGGGGCCCTTTTTTCATCCAAATACTCCGCGAATCATCGGACCCCGGTATATCAGATTCTGCAACTCTGCGTGGTGCTGGTGGATTCGGGCCAAGTCGCAACTCGAGCATTACTATCACGCCTTCTCTAGACTCCTCCAACGGCAGTTACTCCAATGCCAGCACATTAGTCAGTGGCAACAGCTCATCATCTGCCCATTCAAGTCTACTAGCAAATTTGGACATCCCGTCCGCCCATTCTATTGCTCCAACAACGCGTCCACGAGTGTTATATCTACCACACACGCTACAAACAGTCAGACTGTTGGTTTACTATCTATACACCTCGTCACTACCTCCTGCCAGCTCTCCACTCTGTACACCACAAATCCTCTGCTCTGTCTTGCAATTAGCCAGGCCATACCAGGTCGATGGATTATTAGAAGCAACTGTTGAACGTCTCCACGAAGTTTTAGACGGCCGTAATGCCGCTGCGGTATTCAACGCAGCGGCCATGGCCGCAGGTGGTGGTCGTGGAACTGGATTCGTCAGTGGACTGGGCGGCACTTTGGAAGTCTTGAACGGCACACAGACCCCAAGTGACTCATTTGCTAGCGATGGCATCTTTGGTGGCTTGCAGGGCCCTATCGCCTCGGATTCCTCTGACACGGAACTCGGTCGACACAGCCGCATTGATTCCCTTGGCACCTCCAAACAACTTCCGCTACGCATCAACACCGGTATGTCTCGTTCGCAGAATGGCGACTACGATGATTCCTTCAGCGAAGCCAGCACAAGCGCAACATCCTCCAACAACAGTTTCAGCCAGGCTGACTCGGATACGCTTGACGAAGGCGGTACCACCTCTCGCCTACCCAGACAACGACGAGGAACCGACGCTGAGGCGACGGGACGACAGATCTGGACTGGCGATGTTAGCAGTGTTATTGGGTTGCAGAAGAGAGGGTTGCGAGGGTTGATGGAAGGTCGGAGAATGCGCGAGCGTGGTGGTGGGAATTCCGGAGTCCCTGCAGCACCTTCCAGTGTAGACACTACAGGGTCTGGAGAGGCCCATATGAACTGATGATATTCGACGTATTATATGGCTGCGGATTTGTTTCGTTTTGTTTATTGCAGTGGTTTATTTATATAAGCACATAACATGGCTTGAATTGTTTTTAGCCACGGATATAGACAGGCGGTGCTGGTGAATGGATTCGAATCACTTCTATCTTAAGGAATGGTGTGATTTTTGAGCTCTTATAAAGCATCAATGGATAAATTTGCCAGCTAGTTTAACATCAGTGCTATACGCTACATACTTCAATTAGAATATACAGACTATCCAAGTCCATGTACAGTAGGGTGGCAAAAGTTTGAATATAGCACCACAAAAATTGAAGTGATAGGAGCGCTCCGCATAACAATATTAATAATATTTGAACTTTTTGCATTCTTTACGGGCGGCCCCTAAATTGATCTGACATAAATTGGTGGAGATGCAGATGAAAGATGTAGAAATCTGAATATCTATATTCAAACTTATGTCATATTAGTGTAGATACCTACAATCCTTTCTACGCTCTCAGGAGATCGTCTGTTATCTGGCCAAGCTCATATACATCGAAAAGTCTGATGTGGACTTTGTAAGCCACTCGATCTAGAGATCTTCGCCCTAGGCAAACAGCTTATCCATCTCCTCTCACGCACTGCGTAAATCGTTCGGCAGATCGTACCTCCTGGGATCGCCATGTGCAGATTGCAAACTGCACATGGGATTCGTAGGAGATTTTGCCGAATATGGCTAAACAACTGGGTTCGAGGTATGAACGTAGCCGCGTTTGATGTGTTCCAGAAGCCCAGGAGTTCTAAATGGCGATATTCTTTCTAATGCCAGAGCTGTACCATTATTCTTCTTTGCTCGTATTTCTTCTTGCCAGTCTTGCGCAACTTGAGTGAGTGAAGGATCTTCAGTAGTATACCCCTAACAATCCTAGAGAGTATATCTTTCCTTCTGACAACCGTAATCTAGAGAGCGTTGCATCAGCCATTGTTGGGGATGTTCCAATCACAATAGACGCTCGACATTTTGCGAAGGCATGCTCACATTGATAACAAATCTATGTTGTACCTATTGAGGCACACGACTGTTGTCATCAACCGAGCAAGATGGTCTGCTTTTCCCATTCAGATTTGCTGACTCGCTCCACTATGTTTGCATCAATCCTGCAATCCCGTCTTCTTTTTACGCGCAGAATTAGTGCTCTCATTGCAAAATGTTCATCGTTATCCACCGAATGTAGATTTGCGAATGGGAAACCTAGCTCGTTTAACAACACGCACAATGCCGCCTGAGGGAGTATAGAGGTCTGCTCCGCAATCTTTTGTGTATCTACTGTTGTCACAACGGACGCTTTAATTGTTCTTAATACATATGATGTACGACTAGTATGTTGCCGGCAAACCCGCGAGGAAGGAGCGGCCAGGCTACCTGGATACCTCCACTACACTCTACACCCTACACACTCATGGGTTCATACTACACCCATATACATTCCCCTAGTGATGTGCCTGCTGTGCTAGTCCTTGATACAACCCAGTCTCAACCGCATCATTCGTCTCGAGCACTGCAAGGTCTGTGTGTCTTGTAAGTTTATCTCTAAACGAGGATTCAAAGAGAAGGACAGACTACTTACCACCATACGGCATAATCTGACTAGCAATCATTCCACCCACGCCCGTATCGCGGTCCGCAAACCAGAAAAGATTAGCTATCCCTTCCCAGTTCACTGTGCCAGCGGGTCGACCGGTAGCCCACTTTCTGTGGTTGATCGAGAATGTCAGTCCCCAGCCTTCAGTCTCGGTATCGTCGGTTGCAGGCCGTACAGGACCATGGTTTGCGAGATGCGGTTTTGCGGATTCAGAGGGCGTATTGCGGTATCGCGGTAGGTTGGGGATTTGGTCTTTGAACATTTCTGAGTGGTATGTGTTAGTTTCGCGCCATATGGATGGTTCATGGACAAGAAGGTGAATACCGTCGACTGTTTCGGGTTTGAGAATACGCGACTTGGTTCTGGGACAGGTCCCGTTGTTTAAGAGAACTGCTATTATTTCTGCATCCTCTGTTATCAGCACCTGTTTTGTCATGCCGTGGAAGTTATTGATGAAATGAACGCACTGCAGTATTCTACCGGCGTGCCGAAGCACCCAGCACCGCCAGAGCAGAACCTATCCTCAGGTTGACCAGTACGACGCTCGGCAAGTGGAAACCGATACAGATGGTCCGAAAGGTGTAGCGAGCCATCTTTTTCTCGTCTGTGCATATATGCCAATCTCTTTTTCATATCTCTCGTTGGGAAGAAAGCTATATCCTTTACGCCGAGTGGTTCAAAGATATGTTTTTGGAAGTATTGGTCGAGTGATAAGCCTGTGACTCGCTCAAGGAGGACTCCCGCCCAGTCTATGTTGACTCCGTATTGGAATTTCGTGCCCGGCTGGTTCACGAGAGGCAGACCGAGCACGTCGTCCGTGTTGCCGGCGAACTCGTCGAAGCCGATGGGAAGGGAGTAGTCGCGGAGCCTGGGGTCATCGAAAGGGTATGGAAATCCCGCTGTCACAGCAGTCAGAAAGAACAATATGGTGCTATATGAAAATATAGATTGATGGATATACCAGTATGATTCAACAGCATGCGCAAGGTAATCGGTCGTGTTTTCTCCACCAGCCTAAAGCCAGTCTTCAAATCCCCCTCAAGGACCTTGACATCTCTCAACTCTGGCGCAATGGTTTCAACTTGTCGCCCATCATCAAGCACCAATTTTCCCTGCTCAACAAGCTGCATGCACGCAATTCCGGTAATCATCTTGGTGCAAGAAGCCATCCAGAAGACTGTGTCTAGCGTCATTGGATCGGCGATTCCGAGGCCCTTCGCGCCTGACGCATGGTTGAATATGATCTCGCCATCGCGATTGACTGCGGAGTATACCAGACCTGCGACCGCAGGGCTTGTGCCGGATGTTGCTTTATCGAGGTGTTGTCGGAGGGACGTTTGAATGCCTGCGGGGAAGTGCGGGGAGGGAATGGCAGGCATTTTGTTGGTGACGTTCTACAAAGCAGCGAAGATACCCCAAGAGAATGAAGTTAATATGACAGAATAGAGGATTCTAGGTGAACGGGGCAAACAGCACAAGGGAATGCAGAGAAAAGCTAAAAACTCCTTCGAAGCGAGGCGTGCTCCTACGGCATGCTGGAGAACAAATGAGATCGTCGCATGTGTGGAGTTTCGATCAGCGTGCGAAAACAACGTCTTTGCATGCGATTACTATCATATTAGTATACCATTTATCGTTCTGATAGAGAAATTTAAACGAAGCATATGACGAAAGGCCGCCGGTATAATCATAATATCGGTATAAAGCTACTTCGATATGATGTATCAGTTTAATCGTATCATCCGCCAGTCTATTCCTCTATTGGCGTCACAGTCTTAACCACTTTGGCCGGCTGGCCCATTGCTACACTCCAGTCAGGTATACTCCTGCTCACCACTGCGCCAGCAGCAATCGTACAGCCCTTCCCTATCGTCACTCCCGGTAGAATCACTACATGGCCGCCTATCCAACAGTCATCCCCAATCACGACCGGCTTCGCATACTCAATATTATTCCTCCGACTTTGAACATCTGTCTCATGCGTCGCTGCGAATATCGACACATGCGGTCCAAACATAACCCGATCGCCAATCGTGACGAGACCGCAGTCTAAGATGGTTAGGTTGAAGTTGGCGTAGAACCGCTCCCCGAGACTGATATTGCATCCATAGTCGACATAGAATGGTGGCTCGATGAATATCTCATTGCCATTGGCAGCTCCAAGGATTTCTTGCAGCCAGTTCATGCGCAGCTTCTGCAGGGCATCATAGTTTTGGAGGTCGGCTGCTTCTGGCGGTGGAAAGTAGCTGTTGTAGCGGTGACACCATGCGCGAGCCCGAAAGCGAGCGTTTGCTAGCTCTGGGACCAGCGAGTCATATCTACAGTTATTTTAGCTGTGGAAGACGAGCACGTGGCGCAGGAATACAAGGCCTTACAGCATGCCGGATATCATACGCTCGTATTGTTCGCACCATGGAACTTTGCTCAGTTGTCTGGCGAGGGCTATCTGCTCCTCGCTCTTCTCCTCAGCAGCCCCGATAGCTCCAGGCTTCGTACCTGACATTCTGACCGCAATTCTGTGATATTTCTGTTAACCAAACTGGAGTTGTGGAAGCGCTTGCTTTGAGGAACTGCCACCGGATCCTCTTTATGTAAACGGGGCGCCGTCGAATACCCGAAGTTTAAGCGAGATTCCAAGCGAAAACTACTTTAGATGAACCGACTTACTAATGAGATGAGATGGAATCAAAGATATCACCTTACTTTGGCTAGCTCATTGATTCATCGATATTAACGTAATAATTAATGAAAAGAAGTCTTTGAAAGAAACGGCTTACCCTTTCACATTTAGCCCATCAGCGATCCTTTCCCGGGGATCCTATCAAAAGTCATGGAGTGTAACTGACATAGAAATAATATCTACCAGAGAGTCTTGTCTTCTTATATTGTTCAATATCTTGAAGGATGAAATATCTGTTGATAGGACTTTATCGTTTATCAGATATATATAGTTGTTTAACTAATTTTAATCATTCAGTATCATTTACACAGACTAGATATTGACGACTACTCTTTAATTAGTCACGGATTGCTCTTTAAGGGAATTTATTTCACCAATAGCTTCTTCTTCTCGGAGAACGAAAACGATTCCAGAGAAGCAGCGTTGGTAGGATCGGTAATATTATCTATAAGCCTTAAAAAAAGCCAGATGGTGCTGCCAAGTTCATTGTGCAGTTCGCGTAGAAAATGATCACAAGTAAAACCATAGAAGGTTGACAATTTACATTGACTTCTAAATCAATACCAGATGCCGGTTCCAGATCTAGTTATTTCATCCATTTCCAGAGCATCATATGTTGGGCAGTTGTACAAAATTTGTATAATCCTGCTGGCAACATTTGAAATATTACCGAAACAAACAGAAACAGAATCACGATGATTGAAACTTCATTAAGCTCTGGTATGATAATAGAAAAAAGGGGTAGAGCATATTGTGAAGTTATAGGGTGAATTCAAGGTAAACCAGCATTTAGATTAAGCAGTAGTAGAAGAAAATTCTTACCAACAGCACAACCTTTTGCAATCGGGTGAGAGTGCGTCAGGTTTTGCGCAATATACCAGCATTACCCGCCAATCTGGAATGCAAAATCCCTCAGAGAATTATATTCTGAAACTAAAATAGCCGGAGATGAGGATTTTGATGTTGGATATCGTCTATCGACCTTTAAGGCGTTTACTACTAAAATCTTTCTAGGATATCGCTTTAGATGTTGAAGCCTTAACGAGTCCTGACGAAGTTGTAGGACAATAATTAACGAGACGTGTGGTCTATTTAGATAGTTGCCAATTAGGAATACATCTCAACTGACTTATACATCTGTTTCAAGTTATAATGAGTCTTCAACTCAGATATGCTTCCGTGACATTGCCAACCCATAGAATATGTCAACATCTCATAACAACATTTGAATATCCAAACGGTCTTGAAGACCTGGTACCTAGTAACGCCCATATCAATTAATCCCGCTAAAACTTGTCCCGGACGTCGATATCTCAAAAGCAAAATGCTCGCCCAAGCAAGGCTTGTAATGCCTTCATGTAACTAACGGACCACCTAGACTTTAGAATAAAGTGACTGGAACTCTTTTGAATACAGAAAGACTTGCTAGGGACTTTTAAACTGAAGTATGCTTATATTAATATTAGACATGTATAGGCAGTATAGGCAGTATAACGTTATCAATATCAATATCAATATCAACTAATGTTTAATGAAGTTCTATATACAAATACACAAGTCTTCATCGTTTGATATTTGAATGAAATTCTGGAAATATCTCCCTATAGCCATATTACTAGTAAGAATAAATATATAACTTCTAGAAATATTTATCTTAATATTGAAGCCTCGAGCAGATGATCTGATTTCAAATATTTAACATAGCCTATGCTGCGAGTTCCTTTCTAATCCAGAAACCTTTACAACAAAATAATCAAATGATACATTTGCCCGCTCATTTCTGGAAGGAATTATTATTGAACGCATTGATTGAATTCCTGACTCTGTTCCTTCTCGCCATAGACTAAGGGTTAGATCATATTTGTACTCGGTGTTCTCTTGTACGCATTGTAAAGTTTACACTATCAATGATTTTTGTTTACTACAATATTCTGCCAGCGATTCGAAAATTAATTCAATATGTTTCGATACATACAGAGAAGCCTTCACATTAATCAGAAAAGTCTTGATCTCGGTTGTATACTTCTACGGAGTGTACAATTAAGGTGGTCACAGGACGAGGTAAACCCTAACATGACAACTAGCTACTCCAGTCTCTCCTAGTCTTAAAATCGCAATACCCCCAAACCAACTACAACTGGCAGTCGAGAAAGTCAATTGGCTCCATTGCTTCATTATCAACTAGACAGGCTGAGCAGTCCTATTTCCAAACTAACCGACATGCTCAGGCGTCCAGTAACGGTGAGTCGGCGACTAGGAGTACATTGTCAGAACGGCGAGATTTTCCGAACACGCCAAATATGCTGGATCCCTATCCTTGTCGGCAAAAACTGGTCAATCGCCTTGAGAGTATTGAATGTTGGTCCACAACTCTTGTGAAGGCCTCCGACGTGCATCCAATGGCCGCTTGCAAATAACCGCTGCCATTATTCCCCAGTGTGCGATGGCACACCCATCATTTCGGCGACACGTATACATGCGTCAAGGATTAATCATCACCAAGCAATCTTTAACAATCCTTGTTATTCCCATTGCCACCAACCACTAGCTCCATTCACAAGCCAACCCCTACGGATCACATGACCATTCATGTCTGCGAGATCATGAGAGCTAACAAATCTAATATCTAATATAGTTTGCTCGCAATATCAAGCCGGTTTTAGATTCATTGTGCTCAAATAGCCCTAGTAGCTAGCTCCATAACCTAGCAACCAACATAACGGAGCTGCAGATAGATCTCCTATAGGTAGCAGCAATATTGAGATCGACATTGATACAAACCCCCAACGATATACCCTAGTAATGCTGCCTCGCATGCAAGATACCATGTAGCGCACACTCCGAATCATCAGTCAGTCATACATGCAGAAACGCAAGGCACTCTTGCGTGCCTCATGCATACGGCTTTATCCACATAATACCGAAAGCCTTACAATACTGTATATAAATGTAATTACATGCACGTTGTGCGTATCGATTTTCATGGTTATGACTCGTACGTATCAATTGATGCTCCGATCAAAATACGTCACATTTTTGCGTATTCTTTGTCGCCGTGAAAGGAATCAATCGGTCGAGTCATATCCTTTGTCTGTTGATATTTGCTGTTGCAAGGATTTTGAATGTAAAATTTCTTTGTTTCTAGCACGACTACATGTAAGCGAGAAATTTGGCTTGGACGACCGTTATTCTGCTAGATACGCGCTACCAAGGACCCTGTTGGAAACGATAAGCACCAGTCGATACTATTTGGGCAAACCCGAAACAGTACAAAGAAAAAGAAAGACACTCCAAAAGGAGCAGGTGACGAATATCCCTGCCTGTTACTGGCAATGATCGAAAGCGAAGCGGCGTCTTATTGGGCGCCGTCTGCAATTTATCTCTCTCTTATGCACCAGGTTGGGCGTGCAACCAGAGTAGGCAATGGCAGTGGCATGAGCTGCATGATGCATCACTTTAGCGTGTGATAGGGCCGCTTCTGCGTGGTCTGTTTTGCTGGTCTGGCCCCCTCCATGCCTCGCTTTTCCTTCAGCGCGTGGGGTAAATTGGATCTCTCTTTTACGTTTCCTTGCCATTTTAACTTTTCGTTCCTCGCTTCTGCATTGAATTGGCTGGAGAGGAAAAATTACTCCGTAGTATCCGTACAGAATGGTAATAAACCGCAACCTCTTCGGATCAATACCATCAATTGATGATGCATGTGGCGGGCATTGCCTGCTGACTGGCACTAAAATCGTTCATTAATTAATACGGAGGCTTTGGCGGGAGAACGTGCTCGACGGGCTAATGACCAATAGTGTTTAGGGCAGACGAGGCGTAATTTGCTCATTTCCTCGTTTGCTCTCTCGGTCTTTACAAATCAAAGGCCGCCGATTCACATGTACCACAGCCAACACAGGCCGGCCGAGCCTTCAAAATGTTCTATCTAACACCTTGTTGTCTCGATAGAAAGCGATTGTCGGAATTGGGGCCGTTCTCCCCGTTCAGGCTAGATCAATTCATTCATCTACGAATATGCCGTCTTTGTATCGACTTTTCCTCCGAGCATGTACACGACACATCATATCTAGAACATCGCAGACAGCAACCGCGAGAACCGCCGAATCCAATCAAAAATAATTCATATGGACAACCACAACAATACTAGCAATACTAGCAATAATAATAACGATTATTATAATAAACATTGTATCATCCAGTCCGGATACAAATGGGAATGATAACCCGGGTTCCGGGGTGGAGGTTGTGTCACTGTGGCAGATTGATTGAGGATGCAGGTTGATGCATCACAAATCATCGGTAGTGCTTATTATTAGTATTAAGGTGTTGGGTGTCAAGCATCGTGAGCAAGGCGTTGGGTGGGATAGCGTCTGGCGAATGTATTATTTCTGTTAATTTTCTTTTTTGCCTCTGCGCTTCTATGAGCTAGAAACTTGGGATAACAAGTCAGGGTGACTCTTTAAGCGATTGGCAACACCCAATGGGTTTATTTTCAATTTGACTGTTTTATTGCTGCTACATATCATGTACAAGCATGGTACAATCTAATTACACGATTCGTAGCCGTCAGTAATGGAAACAGAGTGAATGTCGGAAATACACACCGGTTCGGAGATCTAGAAATGAGCCGTATTATCTATACATCACACGCGAGTACCAGAAAGCCACCCCTAGTATGAGCATCCAATCGGACATCTGGAATAGCGACTGTGATTTATTACGCGTATTTCGTCTTAGTCGCGGGGTACTTGATCCATTTGTATACGAGAATCGTGCGTCTCATGTGGGCATGTCGAGGTTTAGTCTGACACATAATAATATCAATTATAATATCTATAACCTTGACATCCAACACGAATCAGTCACCATGTCATGTATCATGGACATTTCACTAGAAATGCTTGATCGTCACCATCTTGGATGGATTATTAAAAAACCCCGTCATTGGTCCAATCCTGCAATCCTTCTCCGGTTTGCATGGTGCACGGTCAAATAGGATGAGATCGTGCATTGTAATTATTTATTTTAAACATCGTTAATTGGATTGTAGGAAGAATTCAAACTTTATCTTCAAACCCCTCCTTTACCGCCTATTTTAAGTTTATTAGTAGAATAACAAATGTCTATCAACCACTAGGCTTTCAAGCGTTGTCCTCTACCTGTTGGGTATTCATATAGTCTGGTCCTGTCAAATCTAAATGCTAATTCACTGCATCAGTGCATTTCCATGTACTTCTGACTAGCCGGCTGTTTTTGGTTATATACGAAATCAAAGTGCATCCAATATCCACTTATTGCCCACGCAAGCTTTGTCGATACACGCTCCCTCGTTATTTACTATTTAGACCAAGATGGTATAAAATTCTATCAACTGACGCCGTCTTGGATACTTAAATAGCGATAGTGATAGCCAGTGGTTGGTCTATATAATGTCGAGAGAGTAAATCTGGTATCTAACGCACGGCTGCGAGTCACCCAACATAGACAATTCACGAGGAAAGTAATGCCCACAGAACCTAGGAGAATTGACGTTATTATTATTTAATAAGCACACTACCATCTTATCTTGAGTGAAAGCAGCATCGAATAGCGAGCAAATACATTATATACCAGTTAGATGATCTCTGTAAGTAAAAGGTCTCAGACTTATCATTATTTATTAGTCCATTATTTGCAGCTGATACCTTTTTCAGACCGGAATGATCTCCCCGCGACCGTCTCTCCACTTAGAAAAACCCAAAAGCCTCAGTTGCTGTGCCCGTTGGAGTGGGGGAAAATATTAACATGGTGAACAGTGCGTCTGCCAAGTCCATCATTTTCCCATTTGCTGGAACCACGCGATGCAACTTTTGCCTTTGCTCTTCTTCCAGGGGTCCGTCCACGACTCCACAGTCACAGTTTTCCCAGACGATCTTCGTTCTTCACATTTCATTTGCTTTCTTTTTCCTCTCCTTTCCTTCTTACCCGACCTGAGTAGGCCCGAGTTTCCACACCGGCTAAAAACGGCCCCCGGAGTATTTCTCACTATTGACTACTATTGACCGTTGGTGCGCGATATGCCGGGTACGGTACGGCACGGCACGTTGTTCCTCCCGCATGCCCGTAATCCTTGAGACTCGAAAATCTTGTATCTAACCAGTCAAATAGAAAATAAAACTGAAAATGGCGCACATTGAGGATTGAAGGGGACTCGTAGATGTCACCAAATCTTGTACACATCACACAGTAATTGTATGCTGCAGTGTGCAGCTTGTGCAGTACTCAGTTTCTTTCCGAGCTGTTTGCCCCCTGCTTAATCGCTTCCATACATATAGAACACCAGACTCAATTAAAATACTTAGTAAATAGTGCTAGATATAGCTTCGATTTGTACGTGTTGAGAAACATGATAGACGAAATGGCGGGTAACCCCCACTCGGGGAAGCCTCCGTGGTTAATTTACATCCCACGTCCAGTTTTCTGGTTTTGTGCGACAGTCATGTCACGGCCTATTTGTTTGAAAATTTGTTCAATAACCACCGGTCGCCGTGAAGAGCCAGTTGATTGCTGCTGTTGACTGCTCGGCGAGTTGCTTCGTGAAACAATTGAACCCATTAAAAAGAAGATACCATTGAAAATTAGATCATATCATGGCTGTGCCAAGCTCCGGCGCTAATCTCCAGAAATGGACCGTTACTGAGGTACTGCTTCTTCGCAATAATGACACCGCCTCGCTGATTAGAATAGCCATACCTGGATATACGCGGTGGTTTGCTTGAAGGTCCTTACTATACGCCGGCCCGCAATGAGCTTCGCTTTATCGACATTGACCATGAAAAGGCCTACTTCCTTGACCTTGCCAAAGGACCTGAATCCCTGAGAGTGGTTTCAGTCAATTCCCCTATTGGGTAAGCTTGCTGTGAATGCTTAGAGATGGGTGGCTCTGACTTCAGATCCTTGTCAGAGTGACTACAGATGTCGCCGACGGTTCGGCGGATAATCCTAAAATTCTTGTTGCAGCTAAACATGGGTTTGCGACTCTTGACCGACAGTCCGGCTCACTGACTTACGTCAACCGTGTCTATAATGACTCGGAGGCATCATATAGGTAGATTAAAAAAAAAGAAAAACCCCTTACTTTTGTGTGACAGGCGAATAACCGGTGAGGTAGAATGCGGTTCAACGACGGTGCCGTTGACAGCCATGGCCGTTTCTGGGCGGGTTCTTGCAATGACCACAGGGTGGTTAAAGTAGAGGACCAAGGAACCTTGTATCGATTGGATCCCGACCTGAGCGTGCATGTCATGGTGAATCAGATGATCTGCCCGAACGGCATAGGGTGGAACGCTACCGACGATGTCATGTATTTGACCGACTCACCTAGAGGGAAGATTTATGCCTATGACTACGATGCTCAGACGGGGGCCATATCCAATCGCCGCGACTTCTTCACGCTGGATGCTAGCATCGGTGAACCCGATGGATTTGCCATGGACGTGGAAGGTTGTCTATGGGTCGCTATCTGGAGGGGCAGTCGTATTCTTCGAGTCAACTCCCAAGGCGAGGTTACAGGAGAGATCTCCTTCCCGACTAGGTTCATAACATGCCCCGAGTTTGTGGGCACCGAACTAATCGTTACCACTGCGTTGGAAAAAGAGCCACTTGCGTACCCAGAGTCGGTTAGGTGGAGTGGAAAAGTGTATAAATTGGATGTAGGAGTGCAGGGCAAACCTAGAACTCCATTTCGTCCATGGTGACATAATTTATTGACAATTTCTTATCATTGATGTGGATGGGGCACTGAAGAATACGGGAAAAGAGGGATTTGCATTATTCGCTCCACTTGTGCTCTGTTCGTATCATAAATCGTTAGACAGATGGTGTACGGGGATAAGCTATTTTACATTTAGCGGGCCCACGTTTGATAATGATCTGATTATCGAGTAATCCTATTGGAACATGCCATCAGCCTAGTCCACCTATTTTGCCTTTTGTTGTGGTTTCCTTTTTGTTTCTCACCTTTCTTTGCTTTTTCCGTCCCGAAGGAAAGCTAGTCCCGAAGGAAAGCTAAAACAAGAGTCTTAGCAACCGTCACCTGTGCAGCACAGTCCGAATAGCGGAGGCAAAACTTTGGAAGTCGTCTTTCGCTCTTGGGGCGACACTAGTTAATCGTGCAAGCCCTGAGAGACGACTTGCCAATATCCATGCTAGGTAAGCGCGACGCTAATTTTCGATTCCGTCGTACTACTACTACATAGAGTCTGGCTTCATGGATATCGTCCGCTAAAAGCGCCTTAGCAATACCAACCCAGCTGTTAACCTACTGCTGTTAGCCTGTTAAAGGAAAAATCACCATATTTTTCGATTCGGTTGCATGTACTCCGTAATTATCACGTTCCGAGAGGGAATGGCTGCGGGTTGTTCCAATAAATGGCAGACCCATCCATAGGCTATAACAACGCTTCAGATAACTCCCTACATTGGCAGTTATTCGTTGATGTGACACGCAGATGGCGGTGGGTCAATCATAGATTGACACTTAGGTTCATCACCTGGAGACGGAAGAAACTGAGTGGGATGCACCTTGACGGATAGGAACGATGCTGTCAAAGTCCAGATACAGAAACGGTTACGGCGTCTAGTACATTAACTAGTCTCTATTGGAAACCCGTACTTGATTCAGGGCTATACGGTGAAAAGCTGACAGCCGTCCCCGTCCGTAACGGAGTCGAGTCAAGATCATCGACGTGCAGCTGTCGTGCAGGGTGCAGCGGCACTGGCAGCAGCCACGGTGCCACTTACAGGGTGGATCTTGGCGAAACCCAACCAACTGTTATTCATGACGATGTGGAACTGGCGATTCTGCCGATAATCGTGGTCATTGTTAGTCCGTAACTTATTATTCAGTATTGTCATGACTCTTACACTCTGCTGACATGGCGTCCCGTCAAGTCTCCCAGTGTGTTGGATTCAGAATCTCAATTTCCGCTGGTGGAATCCTGAAGAATGACGAGCCGCCTTAGCCCCGCCCCCTGAGAGAGGGCGGTATCAATAGCATTCTGCCGGAGCACCAAGTGATCTGTGTGATTGCTAGTATTTACGCTCGCGTGACGAGGATGAAGTTGACACTTGAATGGTTGAACTGGCACGGTCGGAGGCTGAGCAGATCAAAGCGATGTGGCGGTAACAGATCCAGCTGCAATGGCTCGATCATGGCTGATGCAGACTAAGGCGGAAATGCTGCATTCTTCAGTCATCTGCAACGTTGACTAGTAGCAGAAATAGTCATAGCAGGAGTAAATGTAGGAAAGAGGCGGTGGTATTGTGGGAGAGGGCAGGATTAGCCTCTGGAGACGGTCCCGGGACACTGGGAAGGAGCCTGCCAGACAGGCTAGTTCCTGCCTAAGGCGCCTAGCCTGCTGCCGGCCGAAGCATATTTTGCAATTTGCAGCGTTTGCAGCCGCCCTTGCCAGGCACACTTTCCTGTTCTACCACAACGACCCAGCAACTTACTTCCTACCTGCACCTGTCCTCTGATGGATGAGAGTGCATCGTGATTCGGCGCATTGGTTTCTGGCTATGTACTACTATGTAGCATGAACGAACGAACATGTTCGCCCTATCCATTGGCCGTGACCTATCCATGGGCCGCGACAAAACCATTCGCCGATCGCCAACACGATGGAAGTCCCACCGCGGCGTGTGTAATCAAAATAGACTCCACGTTCCACTCCTCTAGTTGTTTGATTGAGCATGGACGTCCTGTACTTCCTCCGGGCCCTCGGGGCCTTACAAGTTCACTGTCCTCGTGACAGGCACGAAGGTTCAAGGGAGCTGCTTCGGGTCTGCTCAAGGGATGAGGCCGACGTTTCGGCCAACAAACACTCATCCACCCTTCAAAAGGCTCAGTTAGATCATCGACCTCCTATTGCTCAGCCTCTAACTAATAGCACACATGTCTTAGCGAGTAGCGGGTCCCACATCCCGCTATTATGGCTGTCGAGCTATCGTCTGCGTCTTTACACTCGTATATATTGCCACTGAAGAGAATCAAGAAGCATTCAATCGTTTCACCCAATTGGCCCAGCCTTGGACTCTGCATCAGCGGTACCCATGCTTAACTTTTAGGGTACTGCCCCGGATTACGTCAACTATGTGCGACTGTTGGCGCTGAGGCCGCTCGTTCCTCTAATATGACTGTGACGAGAGGAGCCCGCAAATTATTACTAATTGCCCTTAATTCTCCATGCAGGTCAATTAGTTGAAACTTCAACGCAAGTCGCAGTGAAGTTTTCTGAATCAGGCGGCAAATATAGTACTTTACCTAGGTTTCTTTTTCAAAATGACCAAAATATGGAAAACGTAATTAGCTGGGTTCGACGATCATGCCAGACATTGCTGCATGGGTAGGAAAGTTGGTAACAATGACTTTCGTTTCAGGATAAGTATCCCACATGACAATGCACTGACGCATTCGCGTGTATGCACGATGCACGATGCAGGTGCTTTGAAGTTTGTACTATGTAGAGACCACCGGCTTGCAGCATCTCAGACCTTGCCTAATGGGTTTTGGTCAGATCCAGGGCATCTTTTCTCTTGACTGCCAGTCTCAGTGAGAACACCATAGGCAGGTGGTTTTGTCATAGCGATAGAGCGAACCGGATTCTGACAACGTATCGACAGCACTTGTACCGCCTGTCCTGCTGTCTATTATTTTCCTTCAAGTGTTGCTGCCCAACCACCATACCGCAACGAATCGAATCGAATGATTTTCCACCTAGGACTTCTTACCTTCTTACACCTCAGTTTGACCAGCAAAGTAACCAGAACATGTCTTCCGTGGGGGCTTGCAGACAGCGCGTAATCAGTAGTATGCATTCTGTGATCTCAACATTACAAAATCGTCCTGGCCAGCTGCTGCTCAAACCTCTCCTTTGACCTTGCTTCGTTGTCGTGATAGGGTCTCCTACTGACTCGTAGGGCAGTTCGGCATCTGCTAGTCACCGAGTCTGGGCCAGCTCCATTTTCCAAAGCATTGGCGATTCGATGAGCTTCGGCAACCTGGAACAAAGGACTAAGGAATAATGACGCCGAAATTAATTATCATTGTCCGGAACACATCCCGTACAGTTACAAGGACCACTACCATTGGATTTTTACGCGCTGTTCGCTCTTAAATAAGCCTTTCTATCGAAATTTTCACTAAACTTGTTTGATCGTGATAATCAACAGCAACAAGATGGCACTATGGTTTTGGAATTGTACGGGAACCTCCCTCATCAACGTCATTGATTGATCCTCCCAACGTAAAGAAGTCAATATTAGTGAGTGGGTAGCTTCCACATTCGCCTCCAATTTCCCCGAGATACAAGGCCCGTTCCGCAACAACGGTAAGCAAGTCTAGCTGTACGAACAAGCAAAGGAAAAGAAAAGAGAGAAAAACAAAGAACGAAAAAAGAAAAAGGAGAGCGGTCGGACGTGAGCCGTGATAGGATTGGCGGATGCTTTTTACAAGCACATTTTTATTGGAGACCGAGACGAGGAATGAACCTAAGTATGAACGGCTGTCATCCCAAAGAAAGCAGTCAGGAACGAGCGGATCGTGTCCGACTGGAGCTGGACCGCCTGGAAATGTGTAGCTTCGACTTTTGGTGCGAGGTGGAGACTAGATTTCGGCGTTTCGCTCCATTTATACCAATATGGGATCTGTGATCCACAGGCTCCTTTTTTGGGTTTTCTCTGGGGCCTCTTTCTTAACAGCTAACCGAGCTGGGGGGTAAAGGGGGAGGGGGAGGAAGAGAAACCCTGGAGTTAAGTTGGGGGGAAAAGGGAAAGCCAGGTGGATATGAAATGATGAGAGATGCGTTCAACGACTCCACCAACACGACCAAGCAGTGGCTTGCACTTGTATTGGGTAGACCAAACGAACGCGCCAACCATAGGCCATATCACAAAGCGCAGGCCCGTAGAAACTATTTTTCAGCCAAGCGGATGGCTGACCGTCGAGTTAATCAGTCATGTCAGGCTGTTAGCTAACGGGGCCCAGCGGTAAGAGAGTGGAATTGGCGTCAGCCCCGGCCCGCACCGGGTGCGCTCCCTTACCATGGCGACGGCGCGCTCTTGCACATGCGTCAAGCGGGCTTGGGCTAGCGACTAACAAAGTGATGCGACGGGGTCGACTCCTCTAATTAAGCAGGCTGCAGCTAGCGATGCCAAACATGCTAAACATTTCTTCAACGAACGACCAACAAAGACTGTTAGCCATGGCCGCGACCCGTGGCACGTCACCAATAGGGGCCCCGGCGACCCAGAGCACAATGCCTAGTCACCTAGTCGGTACGTAGCTATACCCCCATACGCCGCACGCTGTATTTGTGAATCTTGCTGACTCCATAGCTGTTAGTTAATTAGCCCATGCCAGGCGATGGTCTCTCTAGTACGCCAGCTACGCCATGACCGTGCTAGCCTCGAGCCGACTGCTCTTCCCGAGTCCCCGGCCCCATCCACCCATCGCTAATCCATGCTGGTCAACAGAGGTACGAGAGCGTGGTAGGTAGGAGGCACTAGGCGCTAGGCAGTGGGCAGTGGGCGGCTAGCCTGGCTCACTCACTACGGCCTGTCAAGGCGATCTTAATGAGCCCAGTCAATGCTCACCGCTGAAATCATAAATTCCTGCTGGTCGAACTAGATCTGGTTGTATTTTTTTTTTGGACCTATGACCTAAGACAAAACGTGATCTGCCGTTCGTTCACATCCTGTTGCATCATTTTATAATTAATCCCTGCTCCCCCAAGCTCCTAGTTTCCACTTGCACCTACGAATAACTTACCTTATCCGCGCCAGCATACACAAATACATATACTTGCTTATTCCACGACCAGCACATACACCCCCCAGTACCTACATACATATACTTAGCCCTTATCCTTCTTCATTTAGTCTTCTCACCCCAGACTATACTATTCCATTCGACTCCTGCGGGCTCATACTGGACGAAAACTATTAATTCGCAGTCCTTCGTTTCCGAGAAACTGCCTGCCTGCGCTTGAGGCCCGACGCCCTCAGGTCTGCAACTATTTTTCTATTCTGAGACATCCGACCACTCTAAATCAGACAAGCTGGCTGCATTAGGAATCAGCGTTTGCCACATCCCTCACTCAAAGCCCTTGGACGGTCTCGATCAGTATCGGCATATTGGTGGCTTCCTTGCGAATCAAAACGCCTTCCCCTCTCCGAGTCGACTAGAGGGTCACGGCCGCCTCGAGAGGGGACAGGATCGGCCATGTATTGGGCCGCAGTCGTGGTCCAGAGACGAAGGTCATTTGCTTATGTCTGACAATCGATCAGCACCAAATCCTTCGTTCCGAACGGCTATTAAGAGTGAGGAAGAAGAACGAGAGAGTGAAAAGACAAGGAGACAGCCACAGACGGAGAGACAAGCTGCAGCTACATCTTTGACCGACTCAGCTACGCAATCAGCTGGCTCTAAGAGGCCCTTCCCATGGCCCGAGACAGCCTTATCCCAGCCTCGTCCAGAATCGCTTCACTCTCGATCGATTGGCGTCCATTCCATTTTGAACCCTACCGAGGGCGGGGAGTTGGAGACCAAGTCTCGCCAAAATAGCATCGAGGTGCCCCTGAATTTGCCTTCTTCCCCCAAAAAACAATCCTCCACTTCGCCTTTGGCCCCTATCTCGACAGTAAACGCTCAATATATCAAGCAGGACAGGCCGTCTGTTTCACCACATAACCCTCCTCGGCGTATCATCACACCCATCTCACCTTCTGTGCGTTACGCTACCACTAGTGGAAAGCCTGTTGCCGTTCCTGGGAAGGTGAGCGTCTCGGAGTCGCCTTTTGTGCAGGAGCTGTCGACTGGCGTCTACAACACTCCAGCGAATATCCCTGTGTCGACAGAGGCGAGGCTCTCGCCAAACCTGACATTGCCCGGAATAAACCCATCGAGACATTCAACTCCAACCTTGCACCACAATCGTCATCCGAGTGGAGGGCCTACGACAAACCCTAGTTCCCAGGCGTCGAGTCCTAGCACACCCCATTCAACTTATAGCTCTTTTGCACAGTCATCTCCATCGATGACGCCTGGATTACTACAACCGCCAGGACAGACCCAATTAGACTCGCAGACACCGTTGATTGCTATGGACTCTCTGAGCCGTACACCGAGTCGGATGGGCAGCTCGCGGTATGGTGATGATCAGGTGTCTTTACCAGGGCCGCCAGAGATGCTTAGCCAGAATGGCCCTATGATTCCTGTGACAATTGATCTCAAATCAGGATCGAGAAGCCAGGCCGAGAAACGGAAGGCTAATAGCGATGCATCACGAAGATTTCGCAACCGCAAAAAGAACGAGGCGGTGCTTGAACAGAGGATTTCACAGTTGATGGAGCAGCTGCAGTCCGTAACGGAACAGCGAGACTTCTATCGCTCAGAAAGAGACTTTTTCAGGGATAATCTTGGCCGCCACGTGGGTTCAGGACAGATCCCTCCTCGTCCAGCATCTCCGCGCAACTACCGTGCCGGTCTGGGACAGACTGGAGGCAACACCATCAAAATGGAGCGCATGTCAAAGAGCGCCGGTGCCAGCCCTTCACTGGTTCCGTTACAGACGCAGCCTCCATCACTGCCGATGCCCTTGCCCCAATCTGCTCAAAACTCACCTTATGCATCGCCCACAGTTAGCCAGCATCGGTCTTATTCAAGTGCCTGGCCCTCGGGTCCTGGAGCGAGTGGTGAAAGTGGAGCGTCGGCTCATGGCCAATACAGACCTGCAGACATTGGTTATGTCAACACTTGGAGCCGTCCATGAGTGAAAATGGACGGATTCTAATACTTCCTTCTAGATTGATAATTTTTCTTGCATATGTTTAATACTTTTTCCTACCGCATTTGAAGGCGTTGCGGTTTGACTTGTACATTCTTTTCAGTCGATACAGCGTATCTATGGAAGATACGCGATTTCCTTACAGGGTCTTGTTCACTCGTTATTTTGAAAGGGTTGAAGCGATCGTTTTGAAGCGACTAAGTTGATGTACTACTAGTCTATGGCGTCTGTTGAGGAATTGATTTGGGAGGTGTCTGGGTTGGACTGGACTGGAGACTGGGAATTTGAGGAATACACTGGACCACACCGCGCGAGCGGTATGTAGAGCAACAAGAATAGAAATATTGCACTGATAATTATTCATCCATGATCGTTCTTCTATCTTCTGTTAGGCTTTAGGACTATTAGGGCTATTAGGGCTACGAGGGCTATTAGGGCTACGAGGGCTACGGACTTGAAAGCAAGGTCACCTGATATCCCTGCCTGAGGCTCCTTGGGGAATACCGGCCACGTGGGGAGGAAGCAGGCACCCTGTCTGCCAGCCAATCACCTGGCCCCTGTGCGCTGGAAGTTGGAAGGAGTCGTGAAACCACCCTGACAATACTGCACTTCCTCTCTTCCCTTTCGCACTCCCTCAGTAATTCAGAAGGCCATCTCGAGGGCCTATTCTTCACGCCGTTATATTTACCGTCTATCCTGTCGCAGCGTGGCCTGTGCTGTTGCATGCACTGCGGGTCTGGTGGTGATCTTGCTGCTAAGCGCAGGTAGGGCGTCAGTCAGAACCTTGTCGCCGCAAGTGGGACGTCGGGTCAAAGCTAGTCGACATATTTTCTGGTAGACGGCATACTGGCTGACATGGACGCCAAGCGTTTAGATCGCCGATATGGCGAGGAGGCGTATGATCATGCTGGGGAGGGCACGCCTCTGGTTGACTCCTCTCGAAAGCGATCTCTGCGCTGGAAAAGCACCTTGCAGTCATTACTATCATCACTGAAAGTACGACTGGCGTTGTTTTCCATGTCGCTGCTGTTACTTATTCTGTTAGTCCGTTTACTAATCCCGTATGCACATCTCTCCTAGCACAACTCTCCTTAACTGGCTTTGTCTCTAATATCAAAGGAACCAGTATACCAAATGCTGTCATATTCAGCAACGATTGCAGCAGCGGTAGGAAAGGCTACCAGTGCTATCCTGAGACTTCCCACTTCTGGGGCCAGTATTCGCCCTTCTTCTCCCTAGAGAGAGAATCTCGAATTAGTAACGCCGTCCCTCCAAACTGTAAGATCACATTTGTGCAGACTATCTCGCGACATGGCGCCAGATATCCGACCACTCACAAGGGGGAGAAGTATGCAGAGCTTATTGGGAGGATTCATCAGACAGCGACTGCGTATAAAGGCGCCTTTTCCGTCTTGAAGGATTACAATATCAACCTAGGATCTAATGACTTGACCACATATGGCCAGCAACAGATGGTCGAGTCTGGGAGAAAGTTTTATGACCGTTACAAATACCTTGCAAGAGATACTGTCCCGTTTGTCCGTGCAGCAGGCTCGGATCGTGTTGTTGCGTCTGGAGAGTTTTTCAACAAAGGGTTTCAAGCTGCGAAGGACTTGGATTCGAGATCGAATAAGACTCAACAGTCGCCTATCGTCAATGTAGTCATACCGGAGGGAAGAGAGTGGAACAACACTCTAGATGCGGGCACCTGTCCCTTATTCAAAGGTAGTTCGGCCCAGGCAGCGCAAAAGGAATTCCTCAACGTTTTTGCGCCATCTATCCTCAAAAAAATCAAGAAAGGGCTTCCTGGGGCAAAGCTGAAGAAAAAAGACGTTCCTCGTCTTATGGATCTCTGTCCTTTTGAAACTGTCGCACAAAACAACACAAATAAGCTGTCCACTCTATGCAAATTGTTTACTAGATCCGAATGGCAGTCTTACGACTACTACAACACTCTTGGCAAATACTATGGATATGGAGACGGCAATCATTTGGGCCCGACGCAGGGAGTCGGGTTTGTAAATGAGGTTATTGCTCGCATGATGCAGTCTCCAGTCAGTGATTATACCAGCGTCAACCATACATTAGATTCCGACCCGGCCACATTCCCTCTCAACGCGGTGCTATACGCCGACTTCAGCCACGACAACACCATAACATCCATCTACTACGCATTCGGCTTGTACAATTACACCACCAAACTACCGACGAATCAAGCGCAGTCTGTCGCCAAGACACACGGCTACTCGTCATCCTGGACAGTGCCCTTTGGCTCACGGGCATATATTGAGATGATGCAATGCAGCAATCCGTGGCAAGATAGCACCAACGGCGAGCCTCTTGTGCGAATGCTTGTGAATGACCGCGTTGTGCCGCTGGGCGGATGCAAAGTCGACTCTTTAGGTAGATGTCGACGAAACGACTGGATCAAGGGGTTGGAGTTTGCGCGAAATGGTGGCAATTGGGGTAGCTGCTAGACGTATGATCTCCGAGGAGGACTATGGGTTATGCATTTCATTGGTCATGACAGCGTAGGGTGCAAATTGCATTCTTCGATATCATTATTGAGTCACGTATAAAATGTCAACAGCCTTCGACATGGGCAGAATACTATAATATCATTATGACTTACAACTTACAATGGACTGAAATTCATCGATTCAAATAACACGCATGCTTTTTGTACACACTAATACTACAAAACTAGTCCCAAAAATCATTCTTCTTCTTTTCCATGCTCTTTTGACTGTAGTCGGGCTGTCGGGCTCTCCTTGACAAGATGTTTCTGGGTCTTTGATCCGTATGCTACACATTGTGATATTAGCTACTATTCTCGAAACATATCCCTCCCGTAAATGTGAAGAAATAACTTCGAAAGAAATGAAATGAGGGACTTACTCCGCTCATACAACACCCAGGACGTGTACAACAAAATCGGCAACGCAACTATCGTCGACACCCATCTACCAAACCACATAACACATCAGTCCTTAACTCCAAGCAAACAAATCTACGCATATATTCATATTTGAGGGGGAAAAAAACTCACCGTCTATAAAGAGTCTGATACTCTTTTGTCTGTTTGATATCAACTGGTTTCGGCGGTGGCGGAGTATTCGATTTCGGCGATGATGCCGGGTTTAATGCGTTCTGGCGCACTTTTCGAGCGTCTCTCTCAGAAAGGACTTTTATGTTTTTGTTTGGGAATGAGGATGAGGGTGACACCACTTGCTTCGGTGTTGACCCTGGGTTTAATGCCAAGGATCTTTTCATGGTTGTGTTCCAAAACCTCTTCATTTTGTAGACGCGCGTTGCTTGTTTGACAGCCATTTTATTGATTTGCCTCTTCTCTGTTTTTGCGTTTGTTACGAGTTGGAGGGGTTTAATGATAGTCGGTCAGACTATTTTCGATGTCCGAGTGAGCATGCACCTGCTTAGTCGCGAGGCATCGGCGTTCCAATCGCTGGAGCTCTCTCTGTCGTGAGGATCCTCTATTTCTCTTCTCTTGATGAGTGAAGGGGAAAGATCGGAAACGAGTGTCTGCCCGAGTCGCCAGACAAGCTCAGTTTCAGCCTTTTTTCCAGCGTGATTCAATGTTCGGATTGGTATGTCCAATCGCGGTTACAAAGTACACAATATCTTTCGCGAAGTAGGTCTGTCGCTGACTCTTACTTCACCAGTCACCACTGTGTCAATTCCTCACCCGCACTGCACCGTTCGTCGTTGTTTCAGAAGTATCAATTGATGGGTTGACAGATGGTTTGTTGTGGCGGGCAAACTAATAGGCCACTTTTTCCGGGGGTTAGACGAGGCTAGCCGCGCCACCCGTTATTCCTTAGTCTCAAGAATTATGATGGCATGCTAGATTTATTATTGCGAAAAAAATTTAAGAAAACTGGATCGATGTCAATAGATCTCGATTTCTTGGCATGATTATCAATAGCGAATCTTCTACCAATCTGGAATAATCGAAAAATATAAGAATACCAGCCGAAAAAAAACACAAGCAGACCTAGCCTAGTCCTGTGCCTGCCGATTTTGAATACCGGCAAAATTCACTAAAACCGAGAGAAAACACACATAGAAAGGGAAGATATTATACAATACATATTCAATGCTATTAGAATGCAATGTTAAAACATGCAACAAAGTCAGCTTTCACCAATGGCTAAGAAAAGTGAAGAATGTATGACAAGATCCCGACCATGCAAATGCAAGAGAAATGAAGATAAGCAAAATTCGAGGCAAAAAGAAAAATAGAAAAGAAGTCCTCGTAACACTCATAAAGCAGAGTCAAGGAAATATTATTTAGAAGCTCCCAATGTACGCCGACGACCGCGTCCCGACCCGGTATGTGTGGGCGTCTCTTGGGGAGGATGATGAACAGTGGCAGGCGTAAAGGCACCAGTTTTGTGTGCCGGTTTCTCTGAATGAACTGTGCGCACTGCACTGCGCCGGCCCTTGGGGGTTCCTTTAGGGCCTGTAGATTTTGACTCGGGAGTTGCCTGTGTTTTGTAATACTTGGGTTTGTTGCGTCCTGGGGTTTTCTCTTCCATGTTAATGAATGATCCGTTTCTCTCTAGTTTCAATGCGGACCGCCGCTTCTTGCGCTGAGATGCATCCGCATCGTCAAGAACGGCGTCTTTCATGTCAATAGATATATCGCCCAGGGAACGTTTTCTTCTGTGGCTAGTGGTAGTATGTGTGGGAGTATATGCCGATTTCTGTCCAGAAATCGGAGCGCTCTGACGACGTCTGCGTAGAGCCGATATACGAGACCTTCCATGTCCAAGCTTCGACGAGTCTACTAGCACGAGTCTGATGGGTTTCTTGAATAGAGGCGTCGACATCGTTTCACCATCGGCATCCGTCGCATCCACGCCGCTGGTCTCAGCAGAAGCGCGAGTTGAATTATGAGACAACAGACCATCCACATTTTCGTGTCGCCAGATTTGCCCTGGACGTTTTTGGTACAGGTTTCGTTGTCCCGGGCTAGGCGGGAACCCAAATATATTATCACGCTTGATTTCCTGCACTGACTTGACGAAAGGCGGTGGCGTTGGGATAGGTCCCGGAGGAGTGCGATAGTTTGACACATGTTTAACCCACTGATATCGACTGGTTGGCGCTGTACAGTACTCTTCTCCAAAACCATTGACACGACCAGTGTGAGTCCAGCCATCGCTTTCAATCCAAGGTCGAGGATTCTCGGGATGCTCCAGAGGAACTTGAGGGTTGAGTTCACCTAGTTGCTCAATTCTATCAAAATCTACCTCAATCTGCTCTGTGACAGGAGCCTCTGTGATGGTGATAAGTGCCTGCTGGGTCTTATTCTTATTGAACGCTTCACGTAGTTGAATGACCTTTGCATGGTCATCCTCAGCGGTAGGAGCGTCTGCAAACGCTGCAGCTGCCAGCTCATACAACTGTCGACCGATTGTGTCAGGGTCGTCGAAGACCATGGACATGACCTCGCTCACTGCGCCGCTGGTGCTGCGAGACATTGACACTGAGGATAAATCTCCTGCATTCGCAGGCTCCGGTGTCCGTTTGCCATTCATAGTAGACTCGATATGTTGATCAGAGTCTCGCAGCCGCTTGCGGGACCTTGGCTTGGATTGCAAAGCCTCAATAGCCTTGATGGTTGGTTTGCGTAGACGTCCTGAAGTTCGTGTAGTGGCAGATAGGCTCTCTGGAGAAGGCGTGCCGGTTTCGAACGTTGTCTCATCTCGAGCCCCGTTTGGGATCTCACTCTCTGAAACTGGAGTAGATGGAGTTGTGTGGTAAGGATTAGTTAATGAGTTGATATTGACATTAACGGAAGAAGCGTCGTCCATTTGGACGTCAAGCCGGTTTAGAACCGGTTTTTCTTCCTTTGTAGGCGGTGCAAACCCAGCTTTTTCGAATGTCGTATTTATGGGGGTATCCCCATTCAAAATGTTGCCGGTAGGTTTACGGATTCGCGTGCTGCGTCGCTGCGTGGAACCGACTTCACTAGAACCATCCATATTTTCTCCTTTTGATGGGGTTTCGAACTGGCTACTCTTCTGAGGACTTTTCTCCTTCTCATGATCAAACGCTTTTGCAAAAGTGGGGTAATATTCATCGATGGTGAGGGTAGGTGATTTTTGAGCAGGAGTGGTGGCAACAGATTCTGAACGCGGTGGATCCTGTCGCGAAGGCTTTCGAGTAGCATTACGTGGCGTTAGATTTGGGTTGTAGCTCTTAAATTTAAGCGTGTTTCCATCGGCCTTGCGGGACTTGCGAGGACGTTTGGCGGAATAGTCGTTCTGATCATTGTCGGCAGTATCATCAGAATGAGCTTGATGAGCAAGACGAGGATCTAGCTTCGTCTTGAAGATGAAGGTTTGAATGTTGGTCTGTTGAGATGAGCCAGAGCCAGACTTTACTTTCAATACCCTGGAAGAAGTCTCGGTAGATCGCTCGACAGGCCTACGGGTGCGTGTAGGTTTGGCTACTACAGGCTCCGAGCGTTCTTCGCTAGGCTTTGAAGGCTCAATAGCAGGCGCACTACTCTCAGAAGTAGATATCGCATCGGCTGACTGATGGTGAACACTATCGTATGTCTTTGAATCTGCGTAAGAGTCTACATAAGTGTTGTTGAACCTGGTACCAACCTGGCTGTCGCTCTTGTATCCGTTCATGTGGATAAACTGTGTTTCACTTGATGTTCTCTGAGTGCGACGACGCTTTGCGTTGCGCCAGATTTCCTCATTAGTTGGCTGGTGGAAATGGTTGTCTGCCTCGAGAAACATGAGTGATTGTGGAGTTGATGGCATGGAGGAGGACTTTTGAACGTCCTCGTGGGTAGCCATTGTTGGATCTGTTCGTGATGTTAGACAAGCGAGATAGTGGCAAATAATGACTGCTTACCAAGGAGGAGAGGATCAGGGAAGCAGGATGTGGTGGGATAATGCCGGTCTATTCTATGCAAAGCAGTCAGCATTGAACAGGATGACTCGTCGACACACTGTGGGGTGGCGCAAATGGCAGCAAGGGCCACTCGACTACAATCACGCACGTTTGTTCCAAATGACTCTGCATAGAACGACCAGGTGACTCAGGTTGTCAATCAATCGTAATCCATGCCCTATTGTATTGTACTTGGGGGGCTGGGGAAAGTCTTCGCAGTTTGCAGCGGGTGAGTTAGGGTCTAGGGCTACGTGCTCGAAAGGTCGGACGTAGCACAAAGAAACCAGGCGGAAGAGCACGGCTGGCCAGAGGTAAATCAAGTGCGTCGGTGCTGTTGATTCTGAGAATGCGGATAAACATGTCAGCATATCCGGGATTGCACGTAAGACGAGGTACTGAGCAGCGCCACTGGATGTTGGGGCCATCTGCGTTGCAGGCCCGAGACTTTGCAGCCCATCTCGACGTACAGCGCCATTCCAATGCGTCACGTACCGTAAAACACAATTATACCAGTAGCCGACAAGTATTCCCAGAGATTATATGCAGTGCAGCGCAGTATACAGCGTCGACCGACCGTTACGTATGCGTCAAGGACGAGACAGGTTGCGGGAGGCCTCGGGACAATGTTGGGCGTCGAGGGTCTGTTTCGGGGGGAGAAGCGATAAGTAGTCGGTCGCAATGGACGAAGGCGAGGCCGGCAGTCGGACAGCAGAGCCTGCACGGGGTTTCTCGATCGAGTTGAGACTGGGAGGGCGTCGAACAGGTCGCTGGGAAGAAAATGCGGATGTTTTTCGGCGAGATCAGCAGAACAGGGAATTAGGGCTTGCTCGGACGGGAGAGCTAAAGTCACTGGACGCCGCTTGCCCCAATTGTCCACTCTTCTTGGCGCCACCTATTATCCCATTATCATTACCTACCTGCCAATCTCGTCGTCTCTGTGATTGCTGTTGCCTTGCCCATCCGCGCTCACCTACTGCATCTATCTCCTCGGCTGTCAATTGTTCCCTGCCAATGCGCTGGCTACAGTGTGCTGTGCAGCTCGGCCTGCTGGCTGCCGCTGCTCCCTCGGTTTACGCGGCTTCTTGGGGCTTTACTGATGCCACCGTGTCAGTTAACTCCAAGTCAGCCACTGGCAACGTCAAGGAGAGGTATGCAGATATCGTGCCGTTTGGTTGATGCGCAAATAAATGCGTCGATAATTCAATGCTAATTAGAGCAGCCTCAAGGAAAACACCCCGTTGTCAAAACCCATCGCGCTCAGCGGCCCTGATTCCCTCAAGCTCCTTCTGACCGCACAGGAAGGACGCAGCGCAAAACGCCCACACCAAGCGTTCCTCCTGCTAAAGGATACCGCCAATGGCCTTGACGTTTCATACCCACTGACTGTCAAGGACAGCGGTAAATCCAAGGTCGAATTGGTGAGTGCCTACAAAACGTCGCGTGACACTGCTCGGTGCTTATCAGATATACTTCCAGACCCAAAAAGACCTTCCAGTGCAATTCCTCTCCTCCCCTCATCCCGTGGATGCTGAGATTGTAATTGGGTCGTTCGGCGCCTCCGACCCATACCGGAAGCTCGCCTTTCAATTGTCTCTGGGTAACGAGGGCCAGCCTGCCGCCAAATCTGACGAGGTGGAGAGATACAGAAAGCTCCCGGAGATACATCACATCTTTAAAGACGACCCTAAGAGCCCAAATATTATTATAACTCTGGTTTTTCTGCTGGCCACTCTGCTAGCAGTTCCGGTCCTAGCTGCAACGGTACGTAATCTACTAGTCACTATTTGCATGGCTCTTGCTGATATCACTGCAGTGGTTTTTCCTTGATGCAAACCTGAACCATCTCCCTACGGCACTCCGAGCTGCCCCAGTTCCTCACATGGTGTTCGTGGGATCGGTCGTTGGTCTCGAAGGAATCTTTTTCTTGTACTATACCGCTTGGAACCTGTTCCAAACGCTCCCTGCTGCTCTTATTGTCGGAGCAATTGCCTATGTCAGTGGCAGCCGCGCCTTGGGCGAAGTTCAGGCGAGACGACTAGCTGGCCAGCGATAAACTCGCTCTGCATTGTCATTATGGCCGCCAATCTACATGGCCTACGCCTTCTGGGCTTTTAAACTGTGTATCGCCGTCGATGTATGATGTAGTCAGCATGTCTTCTTTCGTGTTTGCCTAGTTCGCACAGGAATAATATCAAGGGAATAGAATATCAATATTAACCCCAACCCGGATTTTGCGTGTACTTGTGCCCATTTTAGAAATTTCCATTTTCGCTCACGGCGCTATCCGCAATCCGCAATTTGACGTCACAAACAAACCGCTAGCCGCTAAGCTGGGATGCCGCCGCGTTAGTTTGCTTGGCGCCTGACTAAATCTTCAGCATCCACGACGCCTGAACATCACTGTACACTATATAGTATTTACGTATTATGGGTGCTTCTGCATCGAAGCCCGCACGATCAGCTGCGGCTGCGGCCTCGCGTCGCCAGTTCCCCAAAAGACCATCTGAAGCCACGACCACAACTCCATCGCCCGCACAGCAACACCAACCAACCCGCACATCGACTGGACCGACCTATCACTCCAATGAAGAACCTTCGTCGTTGCGTTCTGAAGGTACTATCCATTCTATTCTTACTCCAAACGCCCATCTCCAACTCGCCGCAACCAATCCTCACTCAGGCTGCTAACATCTTTCGACTATACAGCAATCGACCTCGATGCTCGCGATCCGCATTTCGCCGCCTCTTTGCGCTCGATTGGCCCCGTAACCCCCAACCCGACAATGTCGAACTCAAGCACCTTCAATTCCTCCACCCCTCTGACCACGACCAGTCCGTCGGTATTCCCCGACGCAAACAACCCTGCTCTCCTCGTCCTGTCCTCGCGCACACGCATAACCAAGGCGGCGGAACAGGAACAGGAAGTATTCGGAAGACAGAGCCATCAGGGCCGCGAATTTCTCGATGTTTTGACCATCCGGCAGGCGTTGCAGATGCGCGATAGGCAGGGTCTCTCGATGGCCGAGATTGAGAGGTTGCTCAGGTTGAAGAAAGGGGTTATGTTGAGACTTGGGGAGCGCGGCCTTGTTAGCGAAGCTGCTTAGATGGGATGGAGGAGGAGAGCTGCTGAAAAGGCTATCCGTCTACACGCATTGTACTATATTTTACGATTGTCACGATTATACATACCATTCAACGATTGGGTTTGCAGTTAAGATCATTTATTCTGGGGCTATGTTTCTCCTTACCCTATCAAGTGAGTGGATGAGCGGATGAATTGACCGACGAGCTTTTTTTGGATATCAATAATATTGGCTATATGCCAATTGATATGTACTCGTCAGACACATTCTGAGGTTAAAATTTGACTTGCCGGCACCCTGATACTTAACTTGAATAAACAGTGATGACTGTGATCCACATACAGAGATGATTAGTATATCAATTTTGTATTGCTGTTTACTCATTATCGATCGATATTGTCCGCAATATCAGAGTCAATACTGCATTTTATTATTATCTCAACCCTACGAAGCCATCTATAAACTGACTTACCTGTACTGCCCTATATTTGAGCATCTATCAAGCAAGATCAGTTCGCCGTTTCTGTTATCCAAAGAGAATATGTTCAAAGGTGTCGACTCTAACCTCAAAGATAAGTCCAAGCCTAAGACATTGCTTTTCTTGAATACATCTGTAGAATTAGTGGGATTATAGTGCCTTGCCAATGGTCGGATTCTTCCCGACTCCCTCTCTGGAACCCTATTCTAAAACTCTCTGACATTCACAATTAAAATATAAACAACCCTATTTACAACCTTGAAAGCTCATAATTTTTTAATTTTCATTAATATTATGTACATTTATTATATTAAGGAATTTGACAGACAGCTACATCTCACGTAATAAATTTATATCACGTGCCTCCGTTTCGTATAATGCCCGCTGACTGGGAGAGCGACTTATATTCCTTCTACCCCAGAAGTTCAATTTATAACAGCCACCTTGCATGACGAGCCAGTGAAAAATGATGCGACGGCCTTTGAGTTTTCATCGAAGTGAAAACGAAGGCGATCTCGGGCCCTTCGACCCCTCGCAAAGTCCTCTTTTTTCGCTGCCTTTGGAGATCCGCAGGCAGATATATCAGGATGTTCTGGGCGGAAAAATCATCCATTTCATACGGTGTGAGGACGGAACTTTGGCTTGTGTTGTATGTCCATTTCAAGGACACGGTTTTCATCGTATATATATTACCCCCGAATCTCATACTCTGTGCTTCTGTGACGGTCTGGTCACGCCAGATGGGCTTGATATACAGGTTGATAAAACAACGGCGTCGGAAGAAAACCGACTTTCCCTGCTCTACACATGTCGTCAAATGTAAGTCCCAGATCAACTTCGGTTTCATAGGCTTTACTCACGTCTAAAGCCACTGATTCATACCTTTTTTTATTGTCTGAGCTGACTAACGGGTTTGTGCCAGCTACATCGAGGCCATTGATATCTTGACTACCCACAATATATTTAACATTCAGGCACAATCTGAATTTCAGTTTGGAACCCTGAGGGGGCTTCAAAAGGCCATGTCCCAGTCGCAATTTACCACAATCCGAACTCTAGAAATTTCTTTTGTCAACGATAAGTTTAATGAAGTGCAGAATTTATCCAATCCAGCATGGTTCCAGCATTGGTCTAGCATGTGTTCAGTGCTGGTAGAAATGGAAAAACTTGCAAATCTTCATATCTGGATCAATATTGAGCAGGGATTCGGGGTTGAGGTCACTCCAGAGCACGAGACTCGATTTTTTGCCCCCCTTCTTAGTCTTGGAGGGATAAGATGTTTTTTAGTGGAGGTGTCATGGCCGCAGACTGCTCATTCAGTGGAGCTGTTGCAAGATGCACCTTTTTCGCTGATTAGAAGGGAGCGTTTTAATTCTCCCTGGCAAGTTCTCGACCCAATTGTTTACGAACATCCGAGTCTTACCCATGGCGTGGTTCCTCGGAAGCGGCGATGGGCTATGAGGCTACATTCTTTGTTTACTTGGAGATAGAAGGCATGGGATCTTCAACAGACCATATCGTATTCGGGATAATTATTACGATGATGCTAGGAACTCGCGGAAGAGCGGTGATAACTCACAAACCATTACCACCCTCACATCGGCTCGACAGAGACAATACGAATCAATGGAGAAGCAACAAGATCTATAATAGATAATGCCATCCTTCCTGGTTTCTCGCTGATTGGACGGGGATCTATGTTGATGTGCGGCTCCAGCAGAACGGGCGACGACATTACCCGGCGTGTAACAGCAATGTTTCACGACGGGTGTGACTCACATTGGAAGATTCTATAATTTTGATGGCACAAAGGGAATTTACCTAGGTAAGTGGTGGAGTAAAAGAATATAATAGTAAGCATAAGTGCTGCCTGAGGAAAGAGGCAGCACCCGTGTCCCACAGGACCAGCCGGTTAGCCAATCAGCGCCCGCAGTGATGACGAACAGTCCATGTTCATTGGCTGAGGACAGTAATAGATTAGTTACATGTACATACAGTTTAATATAGTCTGTTCTCTTCGATATTGGACGTCGGATGTGGGGTATTGAATATTACTATCCAGTGAGATTCTGGAAGGCCGCAGCCTGAAACATTGGCGCCCCACGTTGTTCTCCCCTGCGGCTGTGTCAGACCCTGGCAATGCCTGGGCCGATCGCAATGTAAGCCGCTGTCCAAATCTGGAATGGTGGGCCGCTGTCCTCGCTATGACCGTCGCGGCTCTCGTCCTGGATCTGGCTGTCCTTTGTTTCCCCCCCCAAAACTTCTTTCTGCGGACACTCTTCCGCCTTTAAATGTCTCGCCGGTCAATTGATGCATCCCGTGTCGCTGTATCCGTACATCAGGGTACACAGAGACCGTGGAAGCAAGTTGGAAGAAAGAACATTGAAGAGTGGCGAGTGGAGTTCGTTTGCCAATCAATGGGCTCAATAACGTAACACGGTGAGACAGTGGCACTGGACCCCCCTTTGAAGATCCATGCTTGGCCAATATAGGAGGCTGACACTCGCCAATAAAATTCCATGACTCGGTAAACCACTGGATTCCCTGACGTGCTGTTCTTGGCATGTCTCCTGGCAGCGCCAGCCGAGGACGAAGGAGAGTTCGTATTCCCCGGACAGCAATCATGAACGTGACCACTTTCTGAATTCGTTTTTCTGGACATATTCACGCATTTGTATTTGGCTTCTTTTCTCTCTTCTCTCTCTTTGCTCCCCTCTCTTTTTTCTTTCTATTTCTCGCATTGGTTGGGATCGATGACGTCCGCATGGCTTTGCTCCCGCCCCTTGTGCCTTTTTTCTACTCAGTGCTATTGGTCGCGTGCCTCTCCTCCAAAATCCTACACCTTGCACAACATGGGCATTCCGTTGGACTGGGCGATTTTCTAATCTACTTACCGACGCTTTTCTTCCAAGATCTACTAGTAATATGCCTCGGTCGCATGCTGCTGCGCGGGCCGAACGGGGTTCTACAATTGCTCGGCTGTATACTAGGCACGTTGATCGCGTGAGTCATTCCATACTTACATATCAGGATATCAGCTCATCTCGTTTAGACTTGTTTCCTACGGCGCTGCTGCTAGTCAGTTCGGCTTCTACTGGGAGACAGGATCGCAGATCGAATGGGGTGCAACCGGCAGCTTCCTCCGCGACCCAGCAGCCATGAAGATCCTGTTCAGTGGCATGCGAAGCGTGGCATTGTCCGGGGCAGTCATGTTCACGATCTCGTACATGACCACCCCGTATCTGCATACATTAGTCGGGGGGATGCTGTCGGCTGGCTGCAGTCTGGTCTGGCAAAATAGTAATGCTAAGGATACACAAGACGCCATTCTACCGACGCCGGATTCAACTTGTCCACGCAGGTCTGGGGTGAGTTTCCGTACGCGTGTGTCAGCTATTGTTGTATTTATCATCCTGGTTGTCCTTCGCTTTTGTCGACCACAAGTGCCGTACGATCATCTCGCCTCGACGCTCCCATTCTCCTTGTCAGCGGCCTTTCACAAATCACACCATGACTGTCATCCACCACCGCCGCCACCCTTTCCATTTCAAGACTTCGTCGAACCCAAGCAGTCGGAACATCCTCATGGCGAGTACCCTGGCGAGCACCCAGGATCGGCGCCCGATCGCCCCTGGCCATTCTCGTGGCCAAAATGGCTACCAGAGGACCCTCCGCCTGGTTTTAGCCGATGGACGAAACAATTGAAGCAGCAAGATAAAAAAGAGGACAAAGCTGGTGATTGCGAAAAGCCTACCTTTTTCTACAACGCGGCAACCGACCCATCCAAAGTCTCGAATTTGGACAATCCGATATACGACAAGCTGAGAGAAGCGTTTGACAAGAATTCCGTTCAAGTGGAACACATTATCCTGCTCACACTGGAGAGCGCAAGAAAGGACGTATTTCCGATGTTGGAAGGGTCAGAGCTGTACGAATTGATGCTGAGTACGTTCGCGCAACGCAAACGGGCCGGGGCAATTGATACGCTTTCCATGATGACCCCGACCGCGCAGATGTTGACGGGCGAGTATGCGAAGAACAGCAATGGCGAGCGAAATACATTTGACGACTGGTCGTGGAAGGACCGGATTGATTCAGATATGGGTGGGATTAACGTCAAGGGGGCGATGACGGGCAGTACGCTGACATTGAAGAGTCTGCTGAGCAGTTATTGCGGTGTGAATCCGCTCCCGGTGGATCTGCTTGAGGAGGCAAACCTTGACATTTATCAGCCATGTTTACCGCACATTATGGATTTGTTCAATTCGCAGAAGAATGATGATGGCCGTGATAAGGACGATTTCAAGGAGCGCATGTGGAATTCGGTTTTTATCCAGTCTTCCACGGATACGTACGACCGGCAGGCACTGATGACCCGGCGCATGGGCTTCAATCAGTCGTTTGTCAAGGGGGATATTGATAATCCAAAAGGAAAATACTTTCCCCCAGAGAGCGAGGAAATCAATTATTTTGGGTACGTCGAGCATTTATTTTCTCATGATGAGGCTAATAGATGAATAGATACGCCGAACAGGAGTTGGACCCGTATGTCAAGGATATCATCTTTTCAGCAGCAGCAGATAAAACCCGACTCTTCATGTCCCATATGACCGTCACAACGCATCACCCATGGAAACTACCCAGCGACTCCAAAACAGAAGATTATTTCGGCGAGGACCGGACGACCCATCGGGATTTGAATGCGTTCCTCAACACCGTGCACTATGTCGACAGATGGGTGGGCAAGATCATTGGGTATCTGGAGGAGGCCAAAATAGCTGACAAGACTCTCGTCGTTGTTGTCGGCGATCAGTTAGTTTCCTTCTTTACCGTTTCATACATGAGCTAATTTTGGCGACAGCGGACAAGCCTTTGAGGAAGACGACTGGGTACAAGGGACTTATGAAAATAGCCACATTAGCAATTTCAAAGTCCCGCTCGTATTCCGCCATCCAAATCTCCCTCGCATCGAGGTTGAAGCAAACGCTACCTCTTTATCGATTCTCCCGACCGTGTTGGACCTGCTCGTGCACAGCAACTCGCTAAACCAGCATGACACCAGTGCGGCCGAGTCTCTTGTGCACGAATACCAGGGCCAGTCGCTCTTGCGGCCGTTCAAAAACGAGCACAATGGCCGACAGGTGTGGAATATGGGGGTGATAAACGCGGGCGGCAGTCTGCTGGCGGTGACATCCGCAGGCCAGCCATACCGGTTGGTGGTGCCTCTTCAGAATGCGTCTAGCAGTATTTTCCATATCAAAGGCGTGACGGATAAAGTCTTTGAGTATCGCTTCACGCACACGGGCCGCGACCCGGCGGAGAGAGCGGCAGTGGAAAGCTGGACGTGGGACGGGCTGCAAAAGATGGTGGGCAGAGAGTATGGCGCGGATGCCATGACATGGACGGAAAACGCGGCAAAGATGGCGCGATGGTGGGTTGAGGAGCAGCAACGGGTGTGGAATTATTAATCTGGCCCATCAAATCCATATCATATCATTCGTATCATTACCCTACATGTACATATACATTACTATTTCGGGGTGCTAGAGCAGCCTCGGAATGACCGTATGGGGTTTGGGGTATGCCAGTCTATAAACTCCATATAGTAGTATTTGCAGCAGATCAAATCAAACAGGAGCCAGGTAGCAGGCCGAGCTCGGGCCAGCATAACGGACAATTTTCCGATCTTCTTTCTTTTTCTTTCAAATCGACACGTATCACGTATTCCTGACGACTCTCAGTCAGATCAGGCTAACACTCGGTCCGGTAATCCCGCCTCGGGACAGCGAACAGTCAGTCAGTCGGACGGATGGCTAGATCGACAGCTGTTGAACCGTGGAAAACGGTCTCCGGTGGTGATCTACAATCTCCATATCAGTATTAGTCAGGAACACCGTGTGGCTATAATTACTATGATTATAACAAAAATAGGGATGTGGATGTTGTACTGTTTACTAGACTTAAGTGAAGGAATATGGGTCTGGGCCGTGGGGGTGGTCACCCGAGCATCAGATTCTGCTGTCTACCACGACTAGTATCTGACACGTCAGTCTAGCTTTTTTTTTTCTTTTAAAAAGATAACATTTTAAACGGTTGTCATGTAGTGAATACAAGTGCAACATGAAAATCGAATATAAAACTCGTCAACTGTTACAATGAATTCTCTTGTCCATATACGTGTATGTTATCCATATACATCTGTATTATGAATGCATTTAACGTGTTTAATCTCGTAAATGTGAATAATAGAAGGATCAGGTCGATCCAACATCCATTGAAGTTGATCGATATCCACGTCCTTCAATTAGTCAATTTGTAGAGTAGGCAATAGTATGTATGACAGCCCCCGGAAAAATCCCAAGCGCCAAACCCGAAAAAAAATCCACCACAAAAAAAAAAGGCAAAATAAAGGGCAAAAAGACGGTCAACACGTGCAGATCAAGCGGGAGTCCCCAGTTATTTTCTGTAAGCGCGAGGTTATCTGGTCACATGGGCCTGTAGTGCCATGTACCTGCATGCATGGACAGACAATCTGGTGTTTGCGACCCACTGATGTTCGCTAGCTCGTTTCAGCCTACAGTCTCGAGGAGTAAGCAGTAGTATAACGAAACAACAATCGATTTACAGGAGGCGGGACGGAGGATAATAATTTGTTTATGCTATGGCGGATAGATATAAAAATAAAAATGGAGAGATCAGCCGAAGGAACATTGAATTATGGAGAATACAGCAGTACAGTAGTAGTATTAATCCACTGTGGCGCGAGTCAAGGGTGGAAAGCCGAGAGGGGAAATGTTCTAGAGTGTGTGCGTATATACGCTGCCGCGTGTGGCTGGACGGTATGCGGCTGCAGCGAAAATTGTATAACAACGCAGTGCGGGATTATGAGTCTGCAAACAGTTCGTGCAGTTCAAATATAGCGATATGTGGATATATGCGTATATATAAAATAAAATAATTTGCTACAGAGCAATATTCTGGGCGTCTTTTGTGTATGCGAAAAGAAACTATGGTCTGTGCACGACTTCAATCTGGTGTGTCCACAGCCAGATGGCGCTAGGCCGGGTTAGGGAATTCCGGCAGCCTATATTCCTAATTATGGTTCCCTATTACTGTGAAGTCGTATGGCGGTATGTGTAGGTGTAGGTGTGTAACTGTGTGTCTGTGGCGGAATCTAGCCCCTGTGTGCCAACTATTATTAGCAATGCTGTCCTCCTACAGCTTATTTACATTTTGTAAAGAGCAAGGGACTCTCGTTCATTTCTTTCCACTTATTATTTACCTGCCGAACATTTTCCTACCGCACTAACAATGAATATTTAATTATTTCTCAATGATAACCATATCCTATAACATTGAATAATATAAAATAATATAATAGTTGCTGTACACGTGATCTGCACCCCGCCGAACCGCGATGGCGGGCTCGGGTCTAGGCCTGGATAGATAGAGAGACCTGATAGACATTGCACTGCAGTCTGCATGCGTCTTTAGTGTAATATTACTGTTTAGCGACTGATTATTGCGTGGCTAGTGCGACCTACTATCATTAACGATTAGCACTATGGAACTTGGGTGCTTGTCCAGGCTAGCAGACTTTACTTAGTATGCTGCAGACACCCGCGGCTTGCCTATTCCGTCCTCCCGACCACCGCCCAGCCATTCCTTACAGTCGAACACTGCGTTTTCTTCCTGCCACTGCGAACACACGGTGTCATGATGATCTCAACCATGTATCTATTTGCTGCCGTTGCTGGGCTGTTCGTCCAGCGAATGGGCGATGTCGACAGTCAGCTCATATCGGCCTGTCCGGTTTCTGACCAGGTTCTTCTAAAATTTGCCGCAGTGAGCCAACTAGTGCTGCTAGTTTACTGCCGACATGATAATTAAATTTAATTATTATTGGGCCGTGTCACTGTCTCGCGTTGTGCGGGCTGTGCATTGCGACAGGCTGGATGCGTCTAGAAGAGAGCCTTCGCAGTCATGTGGTGCTTTGTTTGTGGAGTCGGCGCCGATTCCGCGATCCGGGGTATCCAGTTTTTCGCTGCTCCCCTACACGGACGCAAGCTAGCGGATATATGTTCTATTTTTCGAGCCCTAGTTTTTTTCGGATTTTTGATGCTCATGTGAGCATGTCGACGGCACGACTGAAGCGGAAGGTTCCACTGGGAGAGGGTATATAAAGGGGTCTTTGTAGACAGTATCTATTCCCCTGGCCATCATCAATTATCACTAATTCTCCTATCTCATCTCTCACACACTCACACACCTCGCTCGCCTTAACCACACTTTTACACATCCACAGTACCATGTCTATCAACATCGAGACTGTCTCCCCCACCCAAAAGGCCGCCCGTGGCCCGGCTGAGCCCGCAGACGACGCTGCCGTCTTCCTGGGCACCAAGAACCGTCTCCCAGAGTTCGCTCTCACCGACAAGGTCGTGCTCGTCTCTGGCGCTGGCCGTGGCCTGGGTCTTGTCCAGGCCGAAGCCCTCGTCGAGGCTGGTGCCATTGTCTACGCTCTCGACCGTCTCCCTGAGCCTGTACGTTTCTTCTCCATCCAATTTTGATACCCTTGCTAATTGTGTTTGCAGTCCCCGGAATTCGCTGGAATACGTGAAAAGGCCGCCCGTCTGGGCACCAAGCTCGAGTATCGCCGCATCGATGTCCGTGACACTGAGCTGCTGAACAGCGTGGTCGAGCAGATCGCCAATGTCGAGGGCCGCATGGACGGTCTTGTCGCCGCTGCTGGAATCCAACAGGAGACCTCCGCCTTGGAATACTCTGCCAAGGACTCCAACACTATGATGGAGGTCAACGTGACTGGTGTGTTCATGACTGCGCAAGCCGTCGCCAAGCAGATGATTCGATTCGGTACCGGGGGCAGCATTGTCATGATTGCTAGCATGAGCGGCACTATCGCCAATAAGGTAAGATTTTCATTCCAGTCTTCGGCTCTGCCCTGTGATTCGTCGATTTCTGGGAGTTATGAGTTATGGTTTGCGGGGTATCTTGTCATGCCACGACTCCCCACATAGCATGCCACACTCCTCCCTCCCTACCAACCGCGCTTTCAGGATATCAGCTAACAAGCCTATTCCAGGGTCTCATCTGCCCAGCTTACAATGCTTCCAAGGCTGCTGTGCTCCAGCTGGGCCGCAACCTCGCCGCCGAGTGGGGCCAGTACAACATCCGTGTCAACACCATCTCGCCGGGCTACATTCTCACAAAGATGGTCGAGGACTTGTTCGTGCAGTTCCCCGATCGCCGCGAGGAGTGGCCCAAGCAGAACATGCTGGGCCGTCTGTCGCGCCCCGAGGAGTACCGCGGCGCGGCCGTCTTCTTGGTCAGCGACGCCAGCAGCTTCATGACTGGCAGCGACTTGAGAATGGACGGTGGCCACGCCGCCTGGTAAACACGTGCATGCACCAAGTCTGGATACGATTTTCTTACCCTTCTCTTCCTTCTAGAACATATTTTATTTGTTCATTATTTGTTCATTTACTCATTAAAAGGGTTGCTGGCGTTCTGATTAAGCGAACAAGCGGTTTATGATTGGAGATACATGATTGGATACATTAATTATAATCTAATGAAGTCATTATTATTACCATTACTATGTCCTCATGATTTGATTGGCTTCGCTGCCCAAGAGTGGCGAGTTGAATCTTGATATCGTAGGTCACGTGAAAACAGGGGCTGTGTTCAGAAGAAGTAATAATAATAATAATAATAATATCAATAATAATATCAATAATAATAATAATAATATCAATAATAATATCAATAATAATAATGATGATTCTTGTATTCCCTGTGCATAATAATAGATAAAAGATCAATTATAGCTTGCTAATGCATGGTTTTTTTTTTTTTTGACAACTGACTCGTCTAACCTTGAGGATCTTCACGGACACCTTGTGTCGATTAGCAATAGAACTAGAATTCTCATGCAGACATCGATGTAAAGACGCAGGATGGTTGTCGCATGCCTGATTGTTTTGAAAATTAATAAGAGTTTTATGCATATAATGAAATTATTTAGTGTTCTGGTAGTATTACATACTTAGGTGGGGCCACTTTCATATAGATATATATGTACTGGAATGCTTCTTCAGGATGTTACATGAATAAGGCACCATTAATATTACTAATGGATTCATTAATAATACTGATCATCCAAGTATGCTGTCAGAGAAAGAGAAACTCAATTGTAGAATTTAATAATACAACTTTTGACTTAAGGAAAGAATGAAGTAGATGCACCGAACGTTGAATGGAAAGCCTCGATGGCTACAATTCAAACCCTGACGAGACAGTCAAAGATAATTTAGCAGGAGAGAGAGCCACAGCTGGCGCAGGAGTCCCGGTAGCCGTAATCACATGCATAGCCCGTTCCCGACTGGCATTCGTAGACATGGGTATCCAGGCAGTCAGCGTTGATGGATTCATCGCCGCAGAACTGGCCCTGGATACCGTTGCAGAGGCAGCTGCTAGGGGAGCAGGACCTCTTGTCGAACTGTTTAAATATCAACCGTTAGCTGCTTCGACTAAATGGATGATTGTATTCAACATACAGGAGAAGCAGGAGCAGCGAAAGCCGCGGCCAGTGCGGATGGGAGCACAGTAGCAAGAGCGAGGAGAGTGAAGGACTAGAAAGGTCACAATTAGTATAGTTTTCTAATCATTCAATGAGTTGATAGAGTCAAGTACCTTCATTTTGAGAATGGGTTGTGCAAAAGTAGACTTTGGTCAAGTTTTCTTTGTTGAGATTGATAGTTGATGGTTGATGGTTGATGCTCAGACGGGGTGATTATCGACCCTTTTATAGACGGATCTCGGTCATGGCTTGGCCGGAATATTGAGACTTATCTCAATAAAATTTGCTGCCTGAAACTTGACGTTCAGCTGTACTCGAAATTGAATGAACCAAGTTCAGGAAATGATTGACATAACAGTTCGTATCCATTCTGCCTCCCATGCGACTTCATGACCTGTTTGAACAATACAACCCAATAAATGGGTTTGCCAACACTTTCTCTCCACAGTCTGAATATAGTTGTATAGCGGATCTCGTATTCAGCCCAAGACGAACGACAGATAACACCATTTTTAGCGATAGCGTCTCCTGGGTTCCCCATAGGGCAGACCCACTTTTCAGCTCGATATCTTTTTTTTTTGAGGTTTGATGACTCTAAATGTGGATTTACTGAATATGCTAATTCAAGACATAGTTGAGCCCCCTTTTATTGGGTGCTGTGGAAAGGATCGTCGTTGTCTAGCTGTATAGCGGCGAATGAGAGAAAAGAGGACTCGTGTTACCCCGTATTCGGCCTGGTGACAGCCACACTCTAATTTTAATTCGGTGAATGCGTCCTTAACGAGTATAGGGCTAGAATCTACCGGAATTGTTATGACTAAAAACTGAACTGTTGAGAGGCATGATACGCAAGTGAGTGTAAGTTCATCATCTCCTAAAGGTCTTCTTTAGATACCAATATCAGTCAAAGTTACAAAACAACGAGTCTTAGTTAAAAGAAATATCATGTGCATTAATCCTACTCTAATACCTTATAAGGCGATAAGAATTCAGTAATTTTATACGGGGGTTTGCTAACATCAATCTTCGCATCACACTTCCATACGCGGCTTTCAGAATCAATCTAGTTCACCATGATCAGACCAGGACCAAACACGGTTGATCTAGCAACCGAGCCTGCATTCGGGAAGGGTCCACTGCTGTTAGTAATCGCAGCAATTGTGAATCCATTCAACTCATACTGATCGTACGGGAAAAGTGCTTCGGCATAAACGACATTCTCCTTACGGGAAGTGATTTGCAATGGCTCCACGATCGGCAGATTCTGCTGGTTGATATAGGTGAGGGAAAATGGTGTTTGGTTCCTCGTGCCCTGTTTGCTCACTGGCCAGGAGACGATGATGTTCCCAGTCATGGTTGATGGCGTTTTGACAATGGTCAATGGCTGGAATGTCTGCAGCTTGATCTCATTTATATTGAGACAGCTTCCGGGGACAGTGAACTGTTGAACAGCGGTGAAGGCAAAGGGCAGAGCGCTGGTCGTCAGGAAAGGAAGCTCGCTGGGAATCTTTCCCTGCTGAATACGGAACCAACCCTGTTGTTCGCCCTCGTTACCGATAACCGACGCGATCAAACGAGCTAGGCCAAAGTCACGCTCGGCAGCAAAGACCTCGACCACATCTTGGAGTGTGCCCAGGACGAGATTGGTAAAGGTGGCAGCAAGGGCGATGGCCGAGTCAAAGTCCGAAACGGGAAACTGATAACGGCACGGTTGAATTGACGCAATGTTGAAATGCTGCAGGCCGCTGTTCGCACTCAAAACATGGAGTTCTTCTTGCTGTTTTGGATGCATTTAGCAACTATACAGGAAGGATACGCAGAGAAAAGGAATGGTACATACAGCGAGAATAGCAGTCAGGGTCGTGATAACGAACTCGCGATCATCTGGATCCTTAAAGTGATACCCCTCGACATTGTTCGTCACATTCAGGAGCAGCTCGTTGAAGAAAGCAACTTCAAAGAGTTCATTGAAGGCGATCAGTTGCAGGTTGGTAATACCGTCCCGGCCGATAGTTTCCGGAGGAGGTGTATTAGGCAGAGTTCCTCGCGCGTTCTCCTGGATTTTCTCCAACTGATCCAGGCTCGGATTAGGCATCCCGTCTGGCAAAGGCGTTTCACCAATAAATACCACCGGTACTGCAGAAACGAAGCCTACAAAGGCGACGATAGTGAAAACAGAGAACCACATAGTAATTTGGGTAAACCTCGAAGAAGGATGGATAGAAAGAATGTCCAAAAATGCGTTGATTTGTAGCAATGGATGCAAGTAACAAGGAGCAACGTTGTAATGGATGAAGCAGATTGGGTTGAGAGAAGATTGAGAGCGGATAGAGCAGTCAGCGTGAATATCAACAGGCAGTCGTGGCCCGCCAGCCATAAGGGAAGGCGCGACCCTTGTTCATAATCATATCAATTTTGCAGAAGATCAGGTTTTCATTTAAGTATACTTGTTTCTCTACACTTATATGCTCGTACAACTTGCATGCTCCTGAATTAAGCATTAGCACCACCATCAACACTCCAAGCATCTTCCGTAACAATCACACCTCTGCCGGTGTCGCGGTTAACAATCGATACATTAATATATAAATTAACGGTACATATGTAGCATTGTACGTGTTTTCAGAGACGATCGAAGCATTTATCTGAAAGGGTCAACGGGTCTATGCTGTGCAATATTTCATTGCAGGCCACATGCCACATCCCAAAAATTCGTAGGTTGACCATTTGAATGTAATTAAAAAATACATATTATTAGATGTAATGAATTGTTCAGGACTTGGTATTTTTAGGCGTAGACCCGGCAAATACGTACGTATCCGATCAGCCAATCATCGGTTGCCAGTGACACTCCGATGGTTTTTCTCTCTAGATAAACAACATGTTGATAGATTTTATTTCTCGCATCGAGTCTGCAAATTATTCAATGTTGATGCGGCTTAGAATAGTGCAGACGTTTAATCATCGTCTGGTGAACCTACCTCTCCTTCGCCACAGGTATTCCACCATGGCTTATCCCACAGAGGAGCAGTTCACAACGGCTGAGATAGAAGACATTCCTAAAAAGCTAGATCTCATTCAACCTCAATCACTAGCCTTGGAAGAGATTGAGGACAGTGCTGAAATACGCCAAAAATACCGCCCATTCATCCTCAACGACAATACAGCGACCGACTGGGTCGACCAATTAGAGTTGCATACGGTTCTAAATATGGCAGAAAGGCATGTACGAGATACAAAAAAAAGATTGAAAGTTCTCGTACTCTACGGCAGTCTTCGCAAAAGATCATACTCGCGACTTGTGGCATTTGAAGCTTCTCGGATTCTCTTCCGACTAGGCTGCGACGTCCGCGTGTTCAACCCTGAGGGCCTGCCTGTGAAGAATGATATCGACCATGGTCATATAAAGGTACAGGAGCTGCGTGAACTTAGCAAATGGAGCGATGGACATGTCTGGGTTTCTCCAGAACAGCATGGAAATCTCGTCAGTCTACTCCATCCCTCTGTTTAGTCACATACAATTGCTTACGACAGATTTATAGACTGCTGTTTTTAAGAATCAAATTGATTGGATCCCGCTCAGTGTCGGAAGTGTCCGTCCAACACAAGGCCGGACGCTTGCTATTGCGCAGGTGTGCGGTGGATCACAATCCTTCAATGCAGTCAATTCTCTACGGATCCTCGGTCGGTGGATGCGAATGTTTGTCATTCCGAATCAATCTTCAATTCCAATGGCCTATACCCACTTTCCGGACGAAGGTCAGGACGGGGACCAGAGACTCCTGCCTAGTAGTAATCGAGACCGCTTGGTGGACTGCATGGAGGAGTTTGTCAAATATAGCATCCTGATGCAGCCTCACTTGGAGCTATTTGGCGATCGCTTCAGCGAGCGCCAAGAGAAGAAGCGAAAGACATGAGATGGGACTTATATATGAAAGAGATATCAGTATTAGTGGATAGGATTGCTATCCAATATACACAAATATGGAATTCTTCCACAACGGTAAGCGTGGAGATCTAAGCACGGCTCTCAAATAGACTACTCGGATTTCAATTCTTTCCAGACACTCTCGTCATACTCGCTCATTAGCTCGGTGTATTCTGGACCTGCGGCAACCCACCCTTTGACACCCCCTTCAAGTACAAGGCTCTGCAGAGTTGTATCCTGCTGTTCTTCCAAATAATCCGCGAACCAACCAGCGGCGCGCACCCCTCGGCCTCTCGATGAGCCTAGAGGTAATCAGCGCAAAGTTAAAACATCATTCATGGATTTCTCGACAGACCGCAGTACCAAACAACATACTTCACATTACTCTGCGATAGAAGAGAATAAATGGTCGGAATCGATGGATACAGGCTTTGGGCGGGGAGATTCAACGATCCTCGAATGGTACCGCCCTGCATTTTCAATACATCGCCCATCTATAAATTAGAGGCACAACGTACTTCGAAATCTGTGCGTCGCAAATCGACTAGGACATAGTCTCTTTTACCGTCTCGAAACCACTGCAACAACTCCTGGCTAGGTAGAGTGGTTGCGACTCTTCTTGGCGCGGGATAAGCTGCATGCCATGGGGGTTGATCTGAAGCCATTATCAATGAATCAGTCTGATATGAATGCCAGCGCCGGTCAACAGTCAACAGTGAACATCTAAACGAAATGCAGATAGTTCTGTCACCACCGCCGTCTGAGATGTGGAGAGATGTTGCATTCAGAGCCCAGGCAAAAATTCCTCGTAAGGGACTCGATCGCAGCTGTCATCTACTTGGCCTATAATCTCTGTCCTTTCATATTTAAATTTAAGCTGTTAGCGATAATCAAGTGGGAATTTGATCTCCGTAATTTGTTTGCTTGGCATCGCTCCAATCAGCGTTCACTAGTGACATCCCGTGGGTCTCTGCATTGGCTGGTTGGCCAAATAGTTAACTTAGGAAAGTCGATGTTAATTAATCATGCAACCAACTCATTTAAATGATTGAAGATTAAAAAGGGGAAAAAAGATGTTGTGTTAACCTTTCAAAAGAATTTACCTCTTGTTGCGACCATTCATCTGGCTTGAAAACTGTGACCTGGATTGCAGGAATGGAGTTGACAGCGTCGGACGCTCCCGAGCCCCATGTGCCGGCTGGCGATGAGGAAAAACAACACTCGACTGTGATAGAGAGATCCCAAGAAAAGCAGTCCGCTTTCAAGAATCTCGGCATCCTCGATCGGTTCCTAGCTGTCTGGATCTTCCTAGCCATGGCAATTGGGATCATTCTAGGCAATTTTGTGCCCAACACAGGACCAGCTTTGCAAAAAGGGAAATTTGTAGGGGTGTCAGTTCCCATTGGTGAGTGCTCTAATCTGAAAAATTTCCTGTTTCAGTGAAATTTAGCACCTCTAACTTTGTCTCAACAGCTGTTGGCCTTCTTGTCATGATGTACCCCATCTTATGCAAGGTCCGGTATGAGACTTTGCATCATGCCTTTCGAACGCGACAGATCTGGATTCAGATTCTTTTCAGCATAGTTATCAACTGGATTGTCTCTCCATTCTTCATGGTAATTTCTATAACAGCGCTCTCTCTGCTGATGCTGATCAAACATAACAGTTAGGCTTAGCTTGGGCCTTTTTACCCGATGAGACAGAACTGCGTCAGGGATTGCTTCTTGTCGGTATTGCAAGGTGCATTGCCATGGTAAGTAGACCTAAAAGAAAACTCTCTACTCCTGCTAATATTCCACAGGTCTTAATATGGACCGGGCTTGCCGGAGGTGATGGAGACTACTGTGCTATTCTAGTCGCCATCAATTCCCTTCTTCAAATGGTGTTATTTGCACCTTTTGCAGTCTTCTTCATTGAGGTCATTGATGGAGATGGCATCGTATTCGAATACAGCACAGTTGCAAAAAGCGTCGCTGTATTTCTTGGGATCCCTCTCGCTGCTGCAATTCTTACACGTTATGCCGTGCGACGGACGACAAGCGCACAGTGGTACGACCAAGTTTTTCTGAAGTGGATCAGCCCATTGTCTCTTATTGGCCTTTTGTTTACTATATTGGTGTTATTTGCTTCTCAAGGACGTCATGTGGTACATCAAATTGTCTCCGTTGTCCGTGTTGCTGCACCACTAGTTGTGTATTTTGCAGTTATCTTTTTCGCAACGCTCTTCGTCGCCTACAGGATGGGCTTTGGATACAAGTTAGCTGCAACGCAGAGCTTTACCGCAGCTAGCAACAATTTCGAGCTAGCTATTGCTGTCGCCGTAGCGACATTTGGTGCTGATAGCAACCAGGCCTTGGCAGCTACGGTAGGCCCATTGATTGAGGTCCCAGTGTTATTGGGACTTGTTTACGCCGTGAAATGGGTAGGGAGGCGATCGAACTGGAAGGATTGAGCTAGGATAATGTACATAATGATGCTTCTTGCCCGTTAGTGTGACATACTTGTTATATATTAGCTGTAAGGTCGCTATTTAGAGACTAGATGGCCTATCATTATCTTAATTTAAAAATAATCTGTATAATAACGCATAGGCTTTACACGCTCCATGTAGCATCCTATTGACTTCTGTGTACCTTAATGGCAATTCTAGAATCCGCAGGCAATAGACCGATCCCCTGCTTGAGAAGCCGGAGAGAAATGACCTTAAACACTGAAATTAGGTGTCACCCAATTCTATTGTTCTCGAAATTGCTTTCATCAAGTCTCCTGGTTAGACCTGGTTCCCTTCCTGGTAGTTCCCCGCCTGGGCCTTCTCACTTCTACCCCTGAACAAGGTGCTGAGATCTCCAACAGGAAGCTGAAATGCAAAGTCTACCGACGCTAGAAGTTGTGAAAGCAAGAGATACCATCCCAATATAGTTGTCACAAAGGCCGCTGCGCCAGCTGCCTAGAAGAGATGTGTTATTAAAAACGAAAGGTAATATATGCGCCAAGGTTGAATGTAATACCTTTTGTAAACGCGCGGCGAGCAGAGCACTGCCTATTGCAGCCTGCCAGTGCACGGCTGTTAATAGACCCAGGGAGATGACGAGGGCAAGGAAAATTATGACGAAGATGATATTGGTGCGGAGGGCACAAATGAGGTAAAAAACGCATAGGAGACCCATGAACAACGGGAAAAACCCAAAGCTTGCGTGGTATTGAGGACTATCTGCGCCATCCATCTGGGCAGTAGTATATGCACCGGCAGCGTTGTAGAAGGGCACGAGAGTAGTTGCGAAAGACAAAAAGAAAGCCCCTATAACGGTTAGTATATATCATTATTTCAAGTGCAACAACAGAGCTTGCGGTATGAGAACTAACCAAATGAGCCGAAAACGACAAAAGTGAAGGTATTCCCAATAAAGAATTCCAGCACGCAGGCGAGTATCTGGAGCAGGCCTCCAAACCAATAGTATGCGCCCCTAATAGCAACATATGATGGTTAACCTTAGAATTATGGATTCGGATAGCGAAAGGTAAAGGTAATAGGCAAAAATGAAACGGAAAATTACACGTCAGCTGCACCGCCTCCACCTGAGCCTCTCCACCCCATAAGGTCACAGGAGAGTGGAGTAAGGGCAATACAAAACCCTACTAGACCCCTGTGGTTTGTCAATGCCTGCTAAATATTGAGGTATTGGAGTAACTTGCAGTGGAGTGGGATTCCCAAAGGTGCGACGCAGCTCACCTTTCACCTTGTTTTGGGGTGAAAGGTAAAGCTTTTCAAAGATTTCAGGGGGAAGAGCAATGCTGGGTACAGAAGTCAACCCGTGCATGCCTGCTCCCTTACTCTCGTCCCGCGTTATGGTGTTTTCAAGTCGGGATGACTCATCCTTGATGAGAAATTCGTCTCTCATGATTGATATACTAAACGGTTACCTTTCAAGGTGATGATAAAAGGGATGATCAAATGTCTTCGGCGAGATCTGGTGACGGTTGTAGGTGAGTTGATAGATGGCATCTACTGAGCATAGGATGGAAGGGAATTGGCCATTTATTTAAACTACCAAACTACATACACACAACCACCCCAAAGATATTCTCTCTTACCAACAACCCCGTGGGGTTGTATGCCGGTGATTCGGGCTTCGAGAGTGTGTCTGATCTCAAAAATACGAAATGATATTCCAGATGTTCTCCCCATCCATCCACAACCTAACGAAACATGGTTACTATCATGCACATAATCTCATTTAATATGCGGGGTAAGAAAGTTAATAGAGGCAGGGCTTCCATAGAACCGTGTTTACTGAAGTATTTCCCCAAACTTGTCTCTGATTGAATACATGGATAATTTTACTCAGAGCATCCAGGTGGAAGCTAGTCCCGATTCGAGAACGTACAGATCACCGTCTCTCTCCAAAACGCTTCCTATTCGCTGTATCGCCCACTGGGGCAGGTGCTAAACCCTCTAGCTTCTAAGCCTAATCTACGTCTGTGGCTGCTTCGGACCGTTCCCGGACCGTCAGTTTAAGATAGAGTTGCAAAGCAGAAAGTTTACATCGCAATAAACTCTGCTATAGCCCGAAAGATATATGAGAAAGACTATAAGAAGAAAGAATATTACTAAACCAAATCGGTTGTAGACAGTTTCACACAATACTTATATACCAGGACAGCAAGTAATAGTATTTGGGTAGTATTGTCTGTTCTACGCCTAACATTTCCCAAAATATACAGACTGATCAGTCGTCTCCGCAGATCTAGCGACTTACCCAGCTACTAGTCATAATGGTGTGGGGAATCTGGGGTCATAAATCTGGACGAATGTGGAACCGAAGCTCCATCGCGAAATCGTCTGCTTAGCACCGATAATGGATCATATAACAGCCAATGAACATACCATGTAGTTCTTCGGATCCAATCTGCTCATCAACCTTGGCGATGAAATGAGATACACCAAACCCTGTAAATGGCTTTCTCACCTTTTCGTAGAGATCCAATGACAAGGCGCTATGTTTCACGTGGTAGGCAAAACCTAAAAGCGATAATAAACCGAGGATTCTTTGGAAAAAACAAAGTCAAATTAGGGTCCTTTCGTAAATCATTTTCCTATTCTTCCTTTTCTCGGATGAAGGGAAGTTTTGGATTACCTGACCGCCTAAAGATGTTAAGCTGGTGTTGGTCTTGCTTCAACCAAATGACATCCATCTGCAGCCCTTGAACCTATGGCAATGTTACCGCCAGGTTGATGTATATCTTACATACTTGGACCTAGATTCTTAATTCTAGATCTTTATTGGCAATCCAATATACAAAGTTCATCGCCTTACATATACCGAATAAAAGCAATTTGCAATGTGTTGTCCGATAAAGCCCGGTGCCAGTATAGAGAAAAACAAGATGTAGAAATTGCTTGCACATAAGTAAGATCTTGGTAGATTATATATGCGAGATTTGAGCAGTGAATACTACACTTCAACGAGCCATTTAAAGTCCTCAAGTTTTCCCCGGTCTAATTAGGGCTGTCCTGTTGTAAAATGCCAGGCGTGTCAAGCTTCAAAGACAACCGTCACCAATCCTGCTGCGGTGGTTGATGTTAGCCTAAATACGCACTACGAGAAAATATTCATAAAGAAATGCGGAGATAATGGCGATTCGGTCACGTTGAAGTCAGTCTCGGGATAGAAGTTCTTCATCGGCAACGAAGCCGATGCTCGATATCAGGTCGGAAGAGGCCCCGACGCTGTTATCGATACACGAAAGAATTGTAGATAGAGCCAACTGTAACTGAAAACTGGATTAGACATCCTATTTAGGACAAAGAACTCGTGCGATAAGCCTGCCAGCTGGCGGTCTCCACTACCGCTCCTTATCTTTCCCCGCACTTTCCCAGAACCCTCGCCACCCAGTATGCGAAGACGCATTTGAGGAACGTCCTTCTATCCGGTGACAATGAATGCATCCCATAGGGAATCTAGAATTAGAAAGCGGTCATCAAATGCGTTAGTCGATTAAATCTAATCACGTGTCCTGTCACTGTCCTGTCACTGACCTGTTCGATCTTTGCAGCTGCCAACGATGCCGCAAGCAAAAGATCAAATGTTCTGGAATTCAACCATGTAACACATGCCACAAGCGGAAACTGACCTGTACATTCGACGATCGTGATCAGAAGATTCTTGTGACTCGGGGGTAAGTGAATGCAATACCTTGCCTTGTGAAAACACTTGCACTTACATGTTGGCTAGATTTATTGAAGACCTTCAGGCAAGAATTTCATCCTTGGAACGTGACGAAGATGAAACATCTAGCCTGCACAGCTATATTGAACAGGACAGAGCTAGGTCCAATCATGGTATATAGGATCTTCTAGCTTTTCTCGGCATATCTGACCATCATAGTCCGAGAGAATATCCCCTTGATTGAAAATAGATTGGACCCAAATCTTGAAGAGGAGTCAGACCTGACGAACCCACTCTCTACCGCTCCATCAACCTTTATGACTGCTGCAAATGGCCGTACTTGTAAGAGTTTATTATTATCATTCTCAGTCCTCCAATCTGAGATGCTCATTAAAAGGCAGTCTACCTAGGAACATCATCCAACTGGTCTTTTGCTCGAAGGATCCTAAGTATGACCCACGAACATGTCTACAATTCTCCTCTTCCAACAGAAAGTTTGCTTTTTGAAGGTTCGACGTATGACTTAGGCTGGGATGGGTTGCGAACCACAGTTGATCAAGAACTTCCTATCGTTCCAACCTTGGATTATTCCATATACCTGATCAATGCTGTCAAATTTCATGCTGGACAATTGTTCCACCTCTTCGATGAAGGAACTTTTATGGGGGGCTTGTATGCATTCTATGAAGATCCACAGCAACAGATGGCTTCCCCTGACCTATGGTACATTCATTATTTGGTTATAATTGCGCTTGGGAAAGCACTGGTTGTCCACCGAAATCGAACTGGCCGACCCCCTGGCTGTGAATTCTTCACCAAGGCGCTCCAGCTGCTTCCAGACTCTACACATCTCTGCAGAGACCCCGTCAATGCAACAGAGATTCTATGCTGCATAGCACTATACCTTCAATCACTGGATTTTCGCAGTGCGGCCCACAACTTCGTAAGGAAACCTCCCCAAACCCGGGGAATATAGTTGACGGAATAGATCGGTCAAGCCGTACGGATCGCCCTCGCCCAGGGTATGCACACTGACATGCCAGTCCAACACCTTGGGGACGCTCTCGTTCAGAGATGTCGCAGTACATGGTGGACAATTTACATCTTGGACCGATTAATGACCTCGTTGATGGGATTGCCTCAGTCTATTCACGACAGTCAAATTCATGACCAGCTTCCATATTTTCCAGGTTCACCCCAAAAGGCAATTGCGCTGAGCATGCAAATCCGCATGTGTCAAATAATTGCGGAAATAAATAGCAGTGAGTTTTTCTTGCATTTTCTTTTAACTGCCTTCGCTCATTGACCTAGCTGTGTACGGAGCCGACGGGCGATTAAATCAGAAATTCCTTGTGAGAACCAAAAAAGCACTGGCTAGCACGACTAATTTGGCAAGCGATCTCCAGAGATCATTTGACTTGCAGTTGGACAAATCTACAATAAGTGGCGTTTCTCGACTGTCAGCCCATTTGCACCTACTCTATCACCAAGTACGTTCTCAAAATCTCCCATCTTCATCCAACGCGTTGCTCACATTATCTAGTGTATTGTTCTAGCAACACGACCTTTATTATTATGCTTCTTGACGATGAAATTCCAATCTGCCGATATTTGTCTCGAGACTCTTGATTCGTTAGCAAATGTGCTTCGACTGCTTCAGGTGTGCATTGACTCCGCACAGCAACAACTTAATATCCTTACCTGTCTATACGAGCAAAGTCTTCTTGGTAAATAAGTTTTGGTCCTTAGGCGCATGAAATACTCACAATCTCACAGATAGCTTTCTTCCATTTGACCTCGAAGCCACATTTGTCTCCAGCATCGTCCTTTTAATAGCCCCAAAAATCGATATCTCTCTCTTGGAAAATCGCACAGCGTGGCTACAGAAGAGTTATGTGATTCTGGACGATATGATTTCTCGCGGAAACCTCATTGCGCGGTTTCGGAAATCCGAGCTCGAGCAGCTGGGCAGGTTATTGGACATGCTCTCCCCGGATGGGCCATTTCAACCTGATGATTCAATGGAAAAAGGACAGCAGGATGGTGTAGAAACCCCAATGTCATCGCTAATGCATCATACGTATCGGGTGACTGAGCTACTGAGTTTGAACGATGGGCTTACGACGGCTGAGATTATGGCGGTAGCAGAGTCGATTGACACTGGAGATGTAGACTGGGTTGCTCACGCAGTTACCGAGAACCAGATTTGGTAGCTATGCATTTGAATGGTGTAAGGTACTTTTTATCTGGTCCACAAGCTATTCTCTATACGTGCAACGTTAAGATCTGACCTTTTGAGGAAGATAGCAGACTTCAGGTTCACGCATGTTCTTTAATTCTGATGTCGGACAGCTAGCTTCCCGATGTCGATAAGACTATCGTCTCTGTTTAGCATCTCATCACGGCACACAAGAGCTGCTCAGGCAAACTCGGGTGGACCGATGCTGTAATTAAAGTAGTCAGGAAGGGCGGGTGGATTAAAGCTACACCATCCCTTGTTTCGGATTCTTTACATCCCCATCCAACTTGACGCTCCTTCTTCATTCATAATGTCTGAAATCTCGAAGATGAAAAATGGCTCGGATAACTTAATACAAGCTCCTTCAATGGTTGACAAAGTTAACCACAAATCGGCCCTCTCCCATGACGACGTGTTTGGGGAGATTTCAGAGAAGGGGCCGAACTATCGTAATGCATGCAATGTCTAGGTTGTTTGGTAGAGTCGCTCGCTCATAATCAATAGGTCGGGTGGATTGGGACTGTCGCCCTCATGATGAAAACCCAAATTGGTCTTGGAGTCCTCTCAATTCCGTCTGCCTTTGACACGCTGGGTCTTGTTCCAGGTATCGTATGTCTGTGTGCCATTGCTGCCATTACGACCTGGTCAAGTTACATGGTCGGAGTATTCAAGCTTCATCATCGCGAGGTGTACTCGATTGCTGATGCTGGGGGTTTGATGTTCGGCAGGTTGGGTCATGGCTTCTTCGGTATCACGCTCTGCCTTTGTGAGTATATGAATGGCTTCAGAGATTTGTGCTCATCGCCATAGATTGGATTTTTGTTGCTGGATCCGGTATGCTCGGTATCTCTATCAGTTTGAACGCCGTGTCAACACATGGTACTTGTACTGCCGTATTTGTGGCAGTCGCTGCCATCATTGGATTCATTTGTAGCAGTATTCGGACTCTAGGGCGAATTACTTCCCTCGCATGGATCGGACTAATCTGCATACTTACGGCCAGTGAGTTCAAATCCTAGCTTGCTTCGATACGAATTATATCTAACTTTAACTCTTCAGTACTAACCGTTACTATCGCCGTCGGCCTTCAAGATCGTCCTGTTGCGGCTCCACAGGAAGGCGAGTGGAAATCCAACTACAAAATCATCAACAACCCTTCTTTCACTGATGCCGTCACCGCAATATCGTCCCTTGTCTTTGCATGTGCGGGAGCCCCAGCATTTTTTTCTATTGTGTCTGAAATGCGGAACCCGACATATTATACTCGATCCCTTATAATCTGTCAATCCGCCCTAATTGCTATCTACATCACAATCGGCACCGTAGTCTACTACTACTGCGGATCGTATGTCACTTCACCTGTCCTTGGCTCTGCTGGTGCAACTGTAAAGAAGATCTGTTACGGATTTGCTCTCCCAGGGTTGATAGTTACTACAACCCTTGTCATCCATGTAAGTCTTTTCAAGGCCGACATGAAAAACATTTAAAAAGCTAATACTTACAGATGCCCGCAAAGTACATTTTCATTCGCATCCTCCGTGGCTCCAAACACCTAAACTCCGACACGTTTATCCACTGGGGAACCTGGCTATCATGCACCTTTAGCATAGCGGTGATTGCCTATGTTATCGCCAGCGCCATTCCTGTCTTCGATGGGTTGGTTTCCTTAATCGGTGCCCTTCTCGGTACCCTCATGTCTTTTCAGCCGATGGGATGCATGTGGCTCTACGATAATTGGAGCAGAGGCAAGGCTGAACAGCGACCGGCTTGGGTTTTTATGGTTTGCTGGTGTATCTTTGTTGTAATATCCGGCATGTTTCTGATGGTGTCTGGAACTTACGGGTCTGTTGTTGGTGTTATTGATACCTACAGAGTATCTGGAGGCTCGGCCGCTTGGTCATGTGCTGATAACTCAAACTCTGTGTAGTTCAACGGGGATTTTGATATATTACTTACCATCCAGGCCGTATGAAATTGATTGAAATTAAGCGTTTCTAGGAAAATGGACAGATTATTTGCATTACATCAATTGATGCTCTTGGGGTAGGTAGCCAACTAGACCAGCTATAGAACCTTCCGTACCGTCTCAACCCTAATATTGTTAATGCGTCAATCACTTGAAAGAAAGAGGAAACACTAACACAAGAAACGTCCCCGCTGAAACCGGCACAGCCCTTACCAATGTCGGTCCTAACCCCCGAAAGAAGCCGTGGAGCCGATCGTGCCGCCACGTCTGCCGAACAACATCACGCATATTACGATATTTCCTCTCCTCACCGAACCCATCAGCTTGCATTTTACTCTTTACGACGTCGATTGGGTAATTCGCTGCCCAGAGGACCACGCCCGTGACAATACCACACCCAGCAATTTTCCAGCTGGGTATGCCTTCCCTCGACATATTTTCACACCCGGCGACCTGAGACATGAGAAGTTCGTATACTGAGAACCAAATACCGTAGCTGTGGAACTCGCGGAGCATGGTGGGGGTTTGTCCCCGGTAGAGAGAGCGTAATCCTCCAGTAGAGACGATTTTCTGGACGCAGTCGTATACTCCTGAGTATGTACGGAGTCCGTTGGAGGTTGAGGATTGTGTTTGTAGACGGATTCGGATGTGCTCAGTCGGCCCAGATATGAAGCTGTTTGCAAGACCGGATATGCCGCCGGCGAGATAGGTTTGTGGTGTTGTTAGAGAGAGTGTGGCGTGGTGATTGAACGATTGAAGAGAGCGTGAGACGCTGTGGAATACGGAATACACTATACTTATCTGAGATTGAACTTGGTCAGCTAGATAACAAGGTTGATTGAAAAATAAATCACTTACACAAGCACCAACTCCAAGAAGCGGTGGGAGGCTGCCCTGAGCTGTGTCAACTGCATTTTCAGCCACTTATGTAGATGGGTTATCTACTTTGTAGAAGCCAAGTACACCCTCGTGCGTCAAAATCTTCCGTGCCACTTGAATGGCATTTCCGTTAACTTGAGTTTGCATCCTGACTTTGACAATGTCAAACGGTTGTCCTGGGTATATCAACAATTTACCCCGTAGTTTTCTTTAAACTGGATGCACACACCGATTATGACTTGTGTTATTCCCCCTGCAGCTCCCACCATGAACTCCTTTACCATTCCAGGAGCACTCTTTCCATCTAGTATTGTTGGCAATGTAGACTTAGACTCCATGGTTGTAATGAATAGCACAGATCAAATAATATCTTATTATGATGGTCTTCCTATCCTACAGGATTACTTGAACTATCAATATCGCTAACCCTATATTTGTTAGAGGTACTATCTAATGGCTCGGTATGACTGCCGACCCAAATACAACTGTGGGTCTCCAAAAGGATTAAAGTAATGATGATACAAAGTATGCCTCGACCCGGTGATATCGTCCTACCCCGCAGGGAGATAGAAGGGTATCATCGGGAAGCCATCCGAGGCGTTCCAATATCAGGTATGGGTTCGAGAGCCATATATAGATATTTTGGCCGCATTGATTGTTTTATAAAGTTGATTCTATCATTATAGACGTTATACATCAAATCCGACATGGCTCTTGCAACTGCTAGAAGGCCGGTATTCAAGGTGAAACCAGCTACATTCACTCCTCGATACGGGGTTTCATTTTTCAACAATGACTACAGTTTCCAGAGAGTACGCCCCAATTCAACCTCAGTATTAACCAAAACTACAAGAAGTCCTGAAGCCAAACCCACCATTTCTCCTTTATCAGCTCTACCCACCACCGTGCTTCTCAGATCACTCCTCGTTGCTACCATCTCATCAAAACCGTACCTACTTCTCCCGTCCCTTTCAATCTTATCATTCCTTTGCAAACCCCGCCGGAGTCTCCTTCTTAATGTAGATAGAAATCCCATCTTGCATGGGTTTCTGAAATCAACATTCTACAAGCAATTCTGTGCTGGAGAAACCCACGATGAGGTGAAAACTACTATCCGTCAGTTCAAAAATATGGGCTTTCAAGGTGCGATTATGACATACGCAAAAGAAGTTGTTTTCGATCATCGAACGAAGGCCCAGCATGGTCTAGGCATCATGCAGAATCAGGATCAAGATGTGGCTGGCAGTGTATTTTGCGCACACATCGAAGCCTGGAGAAAGGGTACCGTGGAGACAGTCGAATTACTAGGAAAAGACGATTATCTGGCTGTTAAGTGTGTTTCCTACTCTTTTCTGAGAACTTGATTGCTAACCTTTTAGGTTAACTGGGGCTGGTCCCAATGTTACCGAAGCCTTTACAGCAGGAGAATTACCGCCGCCACAAATGCTTGATGCACTGGACGAAATTTGTACCAAATGCAAAGACCGTGGGGTGCGAATCATAGTTGATGCCGAGTCTCACCACTTTCTAAGCGGCATTCTTCGTGTTACACTTGAACTCATGAGGAAATACAACCGCGACGGATATGCGTCGGTTTACAACACATACCAGGCCTATCTAAAGAGTACACCCGTTACATTAGGCCGGCACCTTGCTGCCTCCAGCGAAGAAGGGTTTACTTTGGGTCTCAAACTAGTGCGGGGAGCATACATTGCCACTGATGACAGATCCTTAATCCACGACACGAAGCAAGATACCGACGATGCATACAACAGTATTGCTCAAGGTGCCTTGAGACAAGAGATTGGAGAATTCGGAAGGAAAAATGGTCGTCCATTTCCCTCTGTCAATTTATTCCTAGCTAGTCATAACAAGGCCAGTGTACTCGCTGCTCATCAGTTACATCAGCAGCGTATGGAAGTCAAACTGCCTACGGTGCCGGTGGGCTATGCTCAGTTACACGGAATGTCTGACGAAGTGAGCTTTAGTTTATTGCAGTTGAAGGGCTCGGGTGGGGATCCGAAGGTATATAAGTGCTCGACATGGGGAGGTCTGGGAGAGTGTCTCGCGTATCTGCTTCGGCGGGCGATTGAGAATCGGGATGCAGTTTCGAGGACGGGAGATGAATATCGAGCACTGAAGGCAGAAGTTGGAAGAAGGCTCAGATCTCTTATTTCTTTTTCAACGTAACAGCGAATTCATTGATAATAGTCTATTTTAATACATTGATGAGTGTTGTCTTGTCCAAATCTACATGTGTAGTCACTATAGTAGGCCGACAAATCTATTTTTTTCCTACAAGCCGTACCTAATATTCGAACAAAACTAAAAATGCGAATCCGCCCTCTGTATTCATATTTTGGCTTTTTGCTGCTAAAACATCGACTCGTCTTGTCGGATGGCTTCCCGACTGGTACGACTGGACAGATAAGTTAGAGTATCAAGAGGGGTTGCCGAACTACCAAACAATCAATTATCGATAGGCCTTTTTTTCATATAAACTTTAGAAACTACCAGAAACGGGTTTGCTACCATGGCAGAATTAAAAAATAGCACACTCTGCATCCTAGGCTGCGGTTTGTTCCTATTCTTAACATACACTGAACGCTCAACTAACACCACTCACAGGAAATCTAGGAACCGCACTTCTCAAAGGGATCCTCACTACACCTGAGAATAAAAGTGATGCTGTTCCATTTAGTCGGTATATTGCATGCGTCAAGAGCAAAGCCTCTGAGCAGCGGTTGGCCGCACAGTTCTCTCAATACTCGGAGAAACTAGTGATCTCCATCGGTGACAACGTGAGCGGGGTAAAGGAAGCCGATGTGATAATCCTCGCCCTCGATCCCAGTATTATCGCGACAGCGTTGACACAGAATGGTCTTCGCGATGCCCTAGCTAAAAAGCTCATCATCAGCGTAGCTGCTGGTTGGACGCGGCAGAAGATTGAAACCACAATATACGGCGACAATGGGGAGAGCGCAAGCGAAGCCACTGAAGACCGAGCGTTTGTCATTCGTACTCTGCCAAATATAGCCGCGCTGGTATCGCAGTCACTCACGGCAATCGAGATTGAGCCTGGTCGTAACATACCGGAGACATATCTTCATATGATGGATGCGATTTTCTCTCGGGTAGGCAAGACAGTCCATGTTCCACCGAATTTAATGGACGCTACCACAGCTGTGGCGGGCTCAACACCAGCAATGTTTTCTGTCATTGTAGATGCGATGATCGATGCTGCTGTGGCGGTTGGAGTGCCTAGAGACCTAGCACATGTAATGATTTTTCAGGCGATGCAAGGGACAGCTACGATGCTTCAAAGCGGGATACACCCGGCACTTTTGAAAGACCAGGGAACGTCTCCGGAGGGGTGTACCATTGGTGGACTGATGAAGATGGAAGAGGCTGGAGTACGGGGACATGTCGGTAGGGCATTGCGAGAGGCTGTTACGATTGCGAGGCTTATGGATGGGACGAGGCATGTTAATGATACGAGGGAGTAGATATAGCACATCTCAGGCACTCAATTTATGTACTCTATGAATATATGAAATGATCATCACTACGTACAGCTATGGAAAAACGACCTCAGTCCCATGTTTGTAAGAATTCCGAATCCGAATGCGGGAATAATTCTCACGCAGCGGATGACTGTCGCCGAGGGTAAATATCTCCAGACCACGGAGAACCTGTCAGTCCAGGGTACTGCATACTGACGGTTATACAGATCCAGACCGAGGAGATGGAACGGCGTCGCGGCCAGCTGTGATAAAACCGGCACGGCCATCTGTGTGAGTATAATTTTGGAATAAGGATGAGAGGCTAGGCTGTCAGGGATAACAGACGAGCAGCGATGCGCGAGCTGAAACGACCCGTATATCGTTATTGCATCTCGTACTAGAAATGTAGCTGTGGCGGCTGCTGATCCCGTCCTTCTAGGTACGAGCAGAGTCTTTCGTGCTGGGTCATTGTGGTTTGAGATACCGAAGGCCTGTGCGAATCTAATATCTTTCCACACGCCGAGGGGAACATTAACGAGTAATGTGCATAAGAAGGTAACAGTGCTAGAGATAGAGGGGTGTGTTTCTTTCGTTACAGTTTCAGATCCGTTGGCGACAAAGTATGTAGTGGCATATAATGTAAAGTTATAGCCATAGGGTCGAGAGAAGATAAACCGTTTAGGGCTTTGAAGCGCAGCAAGGGCGTGAGAGCGTAGGCTGTGAGGGAGAGGCTTGTGGTAGGAGGCTTTCTCGACAAGAGCTCTGTCAATTATAAGTAGAATTCAGCGCAAGTAATTCATTCACACACCTGTCAATAATTGTGACTGTGGGAGATACTAAAATTGCAGAGAAGGTTGCTGCAGTCAAGTCTCCTCCTAGCTTCTGCCAGAGAGTATTGCTCCGGTAATCATGCCTCGTAGCTTCTGGATAGTTCATGACTGTTATTCCTCCTACACAAACCAGAATACAGCCAGATTTTGAGCATGATGCATTACCGAACTAAATTGAATCAGCTCATGAGAAGAATTATTTACTTTTGAGAGCAACCTTAACATCGGCTTCGCTACCGTTCATGATGATGATAACCCTAATGCGGGGAAAAGTTGGTTCGGATACGCTCCCGATACATGCAAAATGATAAAGTGCTCCCCCTACAGCTCAAAGACAATCCTGAATCATTTCTCCTCTCACTTAATAGTAGTAATAATGATTTCACGGAGGCTTGTTAGACCAAATTTAACCTCTGCTGGGCGACGGCGTCCTATCCCTTTCGCCCAGGCACGGTCCAAGGCAACTATTCCATTCAGACTCCCAGATGCCAGAAACGAGCCTAACGTGAGTACATATGTGGATATTTTAGAGGTCCAGAAATTGAGCTGACTGAATAGCCTCTCTACATACGAGATTCTCCCGAGCGCCTCAAACTAGAGGCAGCACTAACCGAAATCCGATCTCAGCTGCCCGTCCAGAGCCACATCTACTACAACGGCAAGACACAGCCAGCATCTAAGTCATGGGATCAGCCACTCCCGGCCGAACATGCTACTTCTTTCACGAATTATCCTCTTGCTACGAAGGAGCAGGTCTCGACTGCCATTGAGTCTGCCTTGAAAGCAAAAAAGGACTGGGAGAACACGCCATTTGTAGACCGAGCGTCCATCTTCCTCAAAGCGGCGGAGCTGGTCACGACGAAGTATCGATATGAGCTCATCGCAGCGACAATGCTGGGACAAGGCAAGAATATCTGGCAGGCTGAGATTGATGCCGCAGCGGAGTTGGCGGACTTCTTCCGACTCAACTGCAATTTTGCAGCGGAGTTGTTTGAAAGACAACCCGTTAGGGGAACAGATGGGATGTGGAGGTAAGATACAATTATCTTTGACGACAATCGAAGCAAGGGTGTGTGCTAATGTAGTAGCCGAATGGAATACCGACCATTAGAGGGCTTCGTCTACGCAATTTCACCATTCAACTTCACTGCGTTGGGAGGTAGTTTGCTCTCCGGTCCTGCATTGATGGGTAACGTCGTCCTGTGGAAGCCTTCGCCGTCAAATATCTACGCCAGCACTATAATCTACAAGATTCTGCTTGAATCTGGTTTACCTCCTGATGTGGTCCAGTTCGTACCAGGCGACGCGGAGGAGGTCACGAATGTGGCTCTGAGCCACCGGGACTTTGCCGGTCTCAACTTCATCGGGTCGTCAGATGTCTTCCGGTCTATATATGCGAAGATCGGGGAGGGCATCGGCAAGAAGACGTATCGTGAGTTCCCACGAGTTGTTGGCGAGACTAGTGGCAAGAATTTCCATCTCATTCACAACTCCGCCGACATCCCCTCCGCTGTTAACCACACTATTCGTGGCGCATTCGAGTATCAAGGTCAGAAATGCTCGGCCACTTCTCGCTTGTACATCCCCGAGTCTCAAGCGGAAGAGTTCCTCGCATTGTTGAAAGCCGGTGTTGAAGACATTACTATCGGCAGCCCAGACAAAAACCTAGACGCCTTCATGGGCCCAGTGATTCATCGCCGATCGTTCGACAAGATTAAGGACATCATCGACGTGAGCAATAAGGATCCGTCCCTTAAACTGCTTGCTGGTGGCACCTATGACGACTCTGTTGGTTTTTTCGTGAATCCAACAGTGTACCAGACGCAATCTCCTAACCATCGATTATTTAACGAAGAGATCTTTGGTCCTGTTTTAGTCGTTTATGTTTATCCTGACGGGGAATGGAGTTCCATATTGAGCAGTGTTGACCAGGCTGGCGGTGGGTTTGCCTTGACAGGTGCTGTTTTTGCCAAGGATCGTAGGGCTATTCGAGAAGCGGAGGATGCTCTTCGCTACTCAGCTGGAAATTTCTACATCAGTAAGTCTCTAGTGAGCTCTCATAAGTTCCGATTCTAATGTGATCCAGATTGCAAAACTACAGCCGCTCTAATCGGCCAGCAGTCTTTCGGTGGTGCTCGTGCCAGCGGCACTAATGACAAAGCTGGCAGCTCTGATATTCTCCGGCGTTTTACGAGTCCGAGGATGATCAAGGAGGAATTCTTTCCTCTAGAGGGTTATAAATACCCTAGTAACCACTAAATCTACATAAAGTCAGATGTGCTGTAAATAATGAGATTCACGATTAAAATACAACTTTGCTTTAATGGTTGCGTAAGACACCCTCAATCAACAAGATCCCCCGAATTAGTCAGTAATCTGTGGCTACTTGATCTATGTATGAGGGGAAGCTCATTATCCCCTCATCGGTTGACCTTCCGATGTTATTGCATGACTTGTTATCATGTGCACAACTCCAGAATCGCTACCGGCAAGGCTCCCGGGCGATTTTATTCTAGATAAATGTGCATACCATTGCCCGTCTATAGTGTATGTCAACATTTTCAACGTTAATTCCAAATTCAACCCACCATGGTCTCCAAAAACACCCCTATCATAATTATTGGAGCCGGCGCATTCGGCCTCTCCACGGCCCTTCATCTCGTCCGGAGCGGATATAGCAACATCACCGTTTTTGAAAAGGATGATCAAATCCCCCCAGTCTACTCGGCCGCCAATGATCTTAATAAAATCGTTCGCGCTGAATACGAGGATCAGTTTTACACCGATTTAGCCATTGTTTGTTCTCATTCCCACAGAACTTCCAATATTTTGCTAATAAATGCTATAGGAAGCAGTTCAAGCTTGGAAAACACCACTCTTTGCCCCGCATTTTCACCAAACCGGTTTCCTGCATTGCGTCTCCGGAAATGCGCCGGATAAAGCAAAAGACACATTGAAGAGATTTCAAGATGCTTCTAATAACCACCCTTATCTCAAACCGCATGTCGTGCCATTGAACGGAAAACATGATATTCGTCAATTGTTCTGGCAGTGTAATGGCCAGGTACCGGGGTGGAAAGGATACATGAATCGGTTTGATGGGTATGCGCATTCAGCAAACGCACTAGCTGCCGTACACAGGGAAACACAAGCTTCTGGCGTAAGATTTTTCCTTGGTGAACATGGAACAATTTCACGTATCGTGTATAAGGACGGAAAGTGTACCGGGGTTAGGACGAAGAGCGGTAAATTCCACGCTGCTGAGCTGGTTATAGTGGCTGCAGGTGCTGCAGCCGCCAAGCTGGTCCCTGAAGTAGGAAGTCAGGTCGTCGCAAAGTCTTGGTCTATTGCACATGTACATCTCACGGACGAGGAGACATCGGCGTTGCGAGGTATTCCTGTCACATACGCCCGGGATCTAGGGTTCTTTTTCGAGCCTGATCCGAAGACAAACCTGCTGAAGTTGTGTCCTATGGGAGGTGGGTATATCAACACTGACACAAAAACAGGGGTATCGCACGCTCCTGAATCTCTAGAGACTAGTGCATTCATGCCGCATGAGGATGAACTCCGAGTGCGTCGACTGCTTGCGCACACGCTGCCGAAGTTGGCGAATAGACCGCTTGTGCGGAAGTCTCTGTGTTGGTTTGCAGATACAAAAGACTCGGACTTTATTATTGATTATGTGCCGAATACTGCATCGTCTGTTGTGTTGCTTTCTGGGGACTCGGGACACGGGTTTAAGATGTTCCCGATTGTAGGTGACTGGGTGAGGGTGTTGCTTGAGGCACCGGATAAGAAGCAGGCTATTGCTAGATGGCGGTGGAAGGAATCTAATGCAAAAGAAGAGAAGGAGAATTGGGGTGGAGATGTGAGCTGGAGGCTAGGAGAGTCGAGGGAATTGAAGGATATTCTTCCGGGGAAGACAAAGCTGTGATTCCTTTATAGCTATCTGAAATTTGCGTGCATCTTATATTATTCATTACATGAACAGCGCATTTGCTCGAAACTAATTTGACTAGTACCCATAAGCATTTCTCTCTATTAGATCTATATAGTACCTGTAAATTCGGGGCTTTGTCGACGGAAGTGTGAAGTATAGCTGCATAAATGCCTAAATAACAATCGGATTTAATTTATAACCCGAAATTGCATCGTTTCCATGCACAATAACTACCAGCATCTATATTTAAAATGTCATCTTTCGTCTTCTTGCACCCCGCACCTCAAGCGCCATCTTTGCCGTAACGCCTGATAGAGGAATCTCGGTTAGATTTTGACCTAGGCCGAGAAGATCAACTGGACAAGGGCTAGACACAGGCTATTTTTGCATCAAGGGCTGATCACCCGACATTTCGGTATCGAGAAACTGAACACTCAGACTCTATTAGATCAAACATTAAATATTCAATGTTGAAAGAACGAACATAAACCAGGAGACAGTATGACCAGACAGGAAGCTATTTTCGCTGCTACTCTTTAAAATAATGAAACTATTCTATAATTATAACCACCAAGCTGAGAAGCGAGGTCGGGATCATAATATACTCCGACGAGGATCGCCCAACCCCGCTTGGCGTCGATCATCGAGTAGTAGTCCAGCTCGTATCGGCGTATGTCTGGAGTATTTTGTATGCTATGGCAACATTGAGCAGTATCGTCCGATGTTTACAAATTTCTTACTCAGATTCTCGAGTTTTCCACCATTAATGATTTTCTTATTTTGACCAGATAAGAGAAGAGTGCAGGCGCTCGTTCGGCTTGCGGCGCTTCTTATATAGTCATAATTAGTTGCCCTAGGACGAGAATGCCTGCAATCTAAATCATCATGCTGGCCCTCATCGTCGCGCTTACGCTCGTCTTCGGCGCCTTGTTCGCGCACATCCTCTACCAGTGCCATCTCCATCCGCTGGCCGCGTATCCCGGTCCATGGCTGGCTCGAGTGACCAATTTCTGGTATGAAAGAAAAACTTGCACTGTAGCTTTTATAATGGCCTGAACTAATGTTAGTTTAATTGCAGGCGATTAGCTACTTTTCTCTCCGGCGATCACCATCTTCGCGAACTTGAATTGCATCGACGCTACGGTCGGATTGTTCGCGTGGGCCCGAATTGGCTGTCATTCTCCAATCTGGCCGACTTTGAAGCTATCTACGGCTTCAATCACCACATCGAGAAAGATGATTTTTACAATTTCGGTCGTGGGAGTAAGGGAACTTCGAGTTTGTTTACGGCGCAGACTACGAGTCAGCATCGCGAGAGAAGGAAGAAAGTTGTTACACCAGCCCTAACGCATGCGAAAGTTGCCGGATATGCGGATGTGGTACACAAGCATGCTGCAGTGTTACTCACTCGGGTGGAGGAGTTGAATCTGCAGTCTACTAGTGAAGGAGACGAGAGGCAGCCAATCAATATAGCGCGAACCCTCCATCGTTATACAATTGATGCCGCACTCGAGATTATCTATGGCCCTGTAGTCTGTCCTGAACCATTAACCGATATGCCAGCGACGGCTGGATTCCCGGAAGCGATTAAAAAAGTAACAAAGATGGCCTGGGCTGCGTCTTTGGTACCTGCCATCGGCCGGCTCATGTCTACTCGGCCTATCATGGCATTGGTCGGCCGCATGGAAGGGATGGGTCAAACAGCCAAAGCAACAGCTGTCCCAGCAGTGGCGTCAATGAGTGCCAAATTGATTTTCAGCCAACGAGAGCTGATCTCAAAGTCGCAGCAGAATAGCATTCTCAAGCACTGGGTTGACCTTCCATCGGAAGATAGTCGAAAGATGGCGCCCCCAGAATTATGGAGCGACACATTCAACCTGGTTCTTGCGGGAACTGGAAGCACCGCTGCAGCTCTCACAGCACTTATATACAGGCTCGGTCTCGGTGCTGGGAAACCATGGCAGGCCAAAATTCATGCAGAGATTGAAGCTGGGGGAGAAGGGTTACCTTCATCCTCGTCGTTTCCGACCTTGTTTGCGGTCATCAAAGAAACTCTCCGGCTCGATGCCCCCTTCCCAACCGCGTTCCCCCGGACAATTAGACCCGGCGCAGAAACTGCGATACCAAATTTACCCACAGCGCTTCCTGCCGGGACAATGGTCTCTGCCAACACATTTGTGCTCGGCCGCTCGCGCACAATCTGGGGAGAAGATGCAGAAGAGTGGAAGCCTCAGCGATGGCTCGGAACGAGTAACGCAGAGGAACAACAAGAGCTTGAAGACCGGTTTGTTGCTTTCAGCAAAGGCTCTCGACAGTGCGTGGGTAAAGACTTGGCCCTCCTGATGGTTGCGAGTGCGGCGAGTGCAGTGATCCGGAAATGGGACTTTAGCAGTGTTGGGCAGCTCAAGGGAGGCAGTTTCCTGGAGATGTCGTATGAAGAATGCTGGATCAGCTTGGATGAGGTTTGAGCTATCGTCTTGGAGATTGATGTTTGAGGCAGTATACAGTCACGTGTAATGAAATGATGAACACTTCCACGTGCTTCCAGAAAAGCGCTGTATCTAGTAAGGCGGCAATGACTCGAAATAGGGCGGCACAAGCCACAAGGATCCGGCCTGTCCTGGCCAGGGGCGGAGTAACAGCCTCACTGGTCTGTTCGTGGTCGGAGCCATGTAACAGTTCTTAGAGGCTATCCTGCAGGTAAGATGCGTGATAGGCCAAGGCGTCTAGTCTAGGACACGAGGAAAAAGAATGTTGGAGCCTAGCGTGCTGACTGACACACATCGGCGAAGCTTCGACTTCAGCTCCATCGTCCACCTTGAGAAATCCATTCGACACTAGCCCTCGGACACCGTATATGGTCTAAGTGTACGGGGTATGCGGGTGCTAGGAATAGTTGCTAACTTCCAATTTCCAATTTCCGGTCTCCAGACCGGGTCCTTCCGATTGGGCAGGCTCGGGGCAGCGGGGTTAGCGAATCGTGGTTAGTGGTTGTGGCGCTGAGTTGATTCAGCTGTGCAGTGCAGTTACTGTACCAAGATGGCCGTATCGAGGACTCCGTCTAACCGCATAGGATGGTACAGTATATGGCAGTAATATGATAATCCCACCGCGAGGGAAGCGAGAGCACAAGGCGGTTGCGTGCGGGATGCTCGGAATGGCCCACAGGCCCACTGGCGTCACGCTCCGCTGGCCTTGCTGTCCTTGGCGTTCTCCCTTTAGGAAATAAGAGTGCATTGCAGCCACCCCAATGGCGTTGCATGGGCGTTCTCCTTGTTATTGTGTCCATGTCTATGCTTATTGCTAGATAGACAGCTGAACAACACTGCAGCGACCCTGCTCCTTCCATAAAGCCCGTCCAACTCGCTGAGTCAGTCCTCTTTGTGCCTTGGTGACTCCGACTCGGCTCTGTCTGTCTGTCTTCTGAGCACAAGCACGAGTGCAAGTCACTTCTTCCTTTGCTCAACCAGCATCTGGCACTCCTCCAAGATGCATTCTCTCAGCTCAATCGTCCTTGTCGCGGGCTTGTTGTCGGGTATGATTCTGTGCACGCGCCAGTCTTTCTCTTCCCACCGCTAATTCTGCCTAGGCACAATAGCTTCATCCGCGCACCCAGACGCCGTCGTCCCGCGAGCATATCCCAATGCCCCAGATGGCTACGCTCCTGAGAACGTCACTTGCCCTGAAAACCGACCGACCATTCGCAGTGCCGCCAAGCTGTCTGCCAACGAGAGCTCATGGCTGCCGCTCCGTCGCAACAATACCGTGCAAGCCATGAAAGATTTCTTCGGGCATGTCAACATTAGCAACTTCGATGCCGCAGGCTACATCAATAAGGTCTCGGGGAGTGCTACCGATCTTCCCAATATCGCCATTGCTGTCTCCGGTGGTGGTTATCGCGCCATGCTGACGGGTGCCGGTGCCGTGAAAGCGTTCGATAGCCGCACGTCCAACAGCACCTCCAGCGGCCAGCTGGGCGGATTGTTGCAGAGTGCGACGTATATTGCTGGTCTGAGTGGTGGTAGTTGGCTGATGGCATCGATATTCGTCAACAACTTTACTACCATTGACGCTTTGCAGGCTGACACTACTGGTCAAGCATGGCAACTGGATCAATCGATCGTCGAGGGACCAAAGGGGATGAGTACTCTGTCGTATTACAATACCATTGCTGATCAAGTCCATGCCAAGTCAAAAGCGGGCTATAACATTACCATCACTGATATCTGGTACGTATCATGACCATCGCTTACATTGTTTCATAAATGCTGACAGACGTCTACAGGGCGCGGATGCTGTCCTTCCAGTTCATCAACGCGACTGATGGTGGTCCCAGTTACACCTGGTCTTCACTTGCTCTAGACCCTAATTTTGTCAAGGGTAACACCCCGATGCCACTGGTGGTTGCCGATCTTCGCAATCCAGGCGAAACAATTATAGGCAGCAATTCGACGATCCTTGAATTCAGCCCGTGGGAATTCGGATCGTGGGATCCAACTGTTTATGCGTTTGCGCCCTTGCAGTATTTGGGTTCGCGGTTCAATGGAGGAGTCATTCCTCAGGGTGTGAGCTGTGTTCGCGGCTTTGATAACGCGGGTTTCACATTTGGCACCTCGTCCTCCTTGTTCAACGAGTTCCTCACCGAGTACAACATTTCCAGCCTGCCCAGCGTTGCCGCCGGCCTCCTTACGGGTCTGGCAAAAGACCTCGGCAAGAATGATGAGGATATTGCGAGCTACATCAATCCATTCTATAATTACACTGCCAACGACGGTATTTTCGCCAATGATAAAAACCTTAACGTCGTTGATGGAGGCCTCGACTTGCAGAACATCCCGCTCTATCCTCTCATCCAACCGGAGCGTAACGTCGACGTCATCTTTGCTGTAGATGCATCGGCTGACACTGACAATCACTGGCCGAACGGAACCAGTCTGGTTAACACCTACGAGCGCAGCCTAAACACTTCCGGCATTGCCAATGGCACTTCTTTCCCCGCCGTCCCAGACCAGAACACCTTTGTTAACCTCGGCCTCAATACCCGTCCTACATTCTTTGGATGCAACAGCTCCAATACCACCCATCCCACGCCTCTTGTCGTCTATCTGCCCAACTACCCCTACATCATGGACTCTAATAAGTCCACCTTCGACCTTCAATACAACACATCTGATCGCGACAACATGATCCTCAATTCGTACGACATGGTGACCATGGCCAACTCCACTCGCGATAAGAACTGGTCTACATGCGTTGGCTGTGCGATGCTCAGCCGCTCTTTCGAGCGGACTAACACCACTGTCCCCGATGTGTGCAATAGCTGCTTCAAGACATACTGCTGGGACGGTACGAGAAACAGCACCACCCCTGTGGCCTACGCGCCGAGCTTTAATTCGACAACTGTGAATGCCGGACTATTGTCATCGCAACCAAGCGCGTCGCTGGTGTTGACGCTGAGTGTCGCAGCGATATTTTTGTCACTCTAGATGGCATGATTAATTGCCACGACAGATGCGATTTTGGTGTGGTGATGTTTTGTATAGTTCTGGAGTTCGATGTATGCAAACTGTACCTATCTACTACTATCTAACGATGCGACGACCACATGTTACACTAGATATGCAGTTTTGAATGAAGAAATATACAACATAACTCGAACAGGTAATAAGTAAGTAATAAGTAATAATCCCGAATTAAACAACAAATGATGATCAGCAAATTTCAAGATGTGGCGCGAACTAGGGAGTGGTATTGTCAGGACCCACTTCTGACATGACAAGATTTTTTGTCAGGTTTGACAAATTTTTGGGGATCTGATGTAGATCCTATTTTATTAATAAATTACTAGAGGTAAGAAGTATTTTTGAGAAAGTATAAAAATTTTTAAATTCTCTATAAAATAACTTTAAACTCGTCTATTCTATATATAAATGCTGAAAATGCGCTAAATTTAATGAAAAAATAGATATTGATTTATTTTTATTATATTTTTAAATGATTTAATCTCTAGATATAGCATTGTAGCGCTATATTAATAGATTATATAGTTAGGATTAGTAAGGCTTCTTCTAGTGAGTTGATAAATTTATTTGAATTATTTAAAATTTAAAATATTTTACTCTAAGTAGTGAGAAGTTTATCTTTTTTAGTTAATTATATAGTTTCTTTTTTATTTTTTAATATTTCTTTTAGTAACTATATATTTAAATAGATAAATATAATTATATTAGTATTATTTATATTTATATAATTTCTAGATAGTGTTAATTGTTGATTTTAAGCTAAAAAAATGTGTTTTGAAGATATAAAGATAATAGTTATATAAAAAATATATAAAGTAAAGTTAACTAACTTAGAGAAAAGTTAATTGATTGATTTTTATATAAATTTATTAAAATTTAAAAGAATAAGATTATTCTTAATTTATTTATATCTTTTAAAATATTTTTAGATTAGATTTATATTATTAATAATTAGTTTAAAAAAATTTATTTATACTAATTTGATATTGAATAAATTATAATATTATTTAATAAAGATTTTTAAAGTAATAGTGCTGTATAATATAAAGAACTTTTTCTTATAAATAAGATATTATTTTTTTATCTTTTATAAAAAGATTTAAATAGTGTACTATTCAATATAAATTTTATATTTAATAATATATTTAATTATATTATTTTAATTCTATATAATCACTTATCTTATTACTAAATAATATTGTCTTTTTGAAGCTATTAAGATGATTTATAATTTAGAATTATTTTAAGAAAATAAGACTAATATATAATGTTATTAATTTAGAAGAAATTATATATTTATAAATTAGCTTTAAAATTTAAAATAATTGACTGATCTTATCTTAAAAATTTATAGAGTATAGAATTGTTTTTATTTTATCTTTGTAATGATTATTTTATATATACTAAATAAATGCTTTTTATTATTTTTAAAGCTTAATAATATGTAATATTGAATGCTTTAATAAATAATTATTAAATTTAATAAAATATATTCTTGTTTATATTTCTATAATTAGATTTGATATAAAATTGTAAACTATAGTGATGTAGTATTGAAATGATTTATAATTATTTGAATATTTTTGAAGATTTAATTAATAATGGATAATATAAGAATATTTTTTATTAGAAATTATAATCTATATAAATTATATTTTAATAAAAAGATATTCTTAGTATTACTTTTTAAAGTTAAAATTATTTATAAAGAGTATATTATATTGTAAATATCAGTTATAATTAAATTAATTTATAAAAAATCATTATTAATAAGATTATAAAGCTATTTAAATTAATAAAAATTAGTAATATATTTTTAAAAAGAATAAATATTTATTTTTTAAATAATTTAATCTATTAAATTCTTTATTATTATAGCTTTATTCTTTATATTATATAAAGCAATAAAATATAAGCGCTTTGAGTCTAATATTAAGATATTTATAATATAGTGTTTTCTATTATTTTTACTCTTATTGATTATAATATTAAGATATTGAGATTTAGTAAGCTTTTAATCAATCTATTTCTATACTGTAGAGTAGTAATTTAGTAAAATAAATTCAATAATTTTGTTGATTTTAGAGATATAATAATCAAAGTTTAATATATTTATAAATTATCTTATTTTTTTAGTTTTAAATATTAAGAAAGGTCTTATTTTAGTAAAAATTGTTATACTAAGTAATTTATTAACTTTTTTATATGGTTTTTTATTTTTTAATACTATGTTTGATAATGTTATTTAAGAAGTAGATTATTAAGATATTTAAGTTTAAAATTTATTAAAAAGTGATTATTTGAATTTATAATAATTAATAAAGTACTTTTTTTAATATAATAAATATTTAATAAAGCTATTATAATGAGTATAAAAACAGTATTTAATCTTTTTTTAATAAATTTAGATTAGTAAGATAGTAAAAGAAATCTATAGATATTAAATATTCTATTTTTTTTTTAGAAATATATGAATTAAAGGATTTTCTTAATAAATTAATATTAATATTAGAAGTGAAGAATCTTATATATTAATTTATTATTTTTTAAAAAAATTTAGAATGTTAGAGAATAATTTATTTAAAAATAATAAATGAATTGATAAATATATATATTTGATATATATAAATTAAGATATTTTTATAGAGTTGTATAGTAACTAATAATAATATAATATTATTGATTAGATTTAGTTTTTAGCTAATAATATCGTTTCTTAAGTTTTACTTGGAATTCACTGTGGAATTTGCGTAAAATTGTTAGATTTTATCTGACAAGACCTTGTCATGTCAGATTTTACAATGACACGCTAGGTTGGTAATTTTACAAAACACTAGCGCGAACACCTGTTCATCACGTGATCGGTTACCCCGGTGACGACGCGATAATAAACGCTACTCCGGAATTGTTATGGCAACACGCCAAGGCCCGACAGCTGAGAGTAAGTTCCATCAACCATTACATATGTACGACAACTAATTACATCTGGAATCAAACACGACAATCGACATTTATATTCGTTTTGCGTCACTTCGAAAACTGAAACCAACCAGCGGCGTGAGGCCGCTTTCGGACTTAACTAGGCTAGCTACGAAATAAACCTTTTACTAGCTATCATACAGTCGAATGTGACAAATATTTCCAGCTTGATAACCCAACTTCAACATCATGGCACGCGCAGCGGTCATCCCTGGCGTGGCCTCAACCGAGCCTCCTCCAGCCCGAGCAACTAGAGGACGAGGCCGCACACCACAATCCGAAGAAACGACGAAAACCGCAGAACCCGCGAAACGGGGACGGAAACCTGGCAAGACGGGGACTGCGGCCGGCAGCAATATAAAGCAGAAGAAGGCAGCTGTATCCAAGAAGGATGTCTTTGAGGATAGCTCGACGGATGATGAAATCCGATTTGATTCTTCCACGAGCAGGCTACCGGCTGCGGCGGCGAAAGTGAGGGCGGCGCGTCCTGTGAGAGCAGCCACGCCGACTGCTATGCACAGTGATCAAGAGCAGAGCGATGATGAGGAGATTGAGGACGATGATGATGAGTTGGCGCAGCTCGAGGTGACAAGGAAAAAGGCCGGCCGGCCAAAGACGAAAGCAGCCGCCACCAAGGCGGAGAAAACGAAGTCGGCTGGTGCTACGGCGACGACGACTAAAGCCACTCGAGGACGGCCAAAGGCAGTTAAAAGCGTCGAGCCTGTAGCAGAACCAGCAACAACTACGACGAGGAAAACAAGGGGTCGACCGGCTGCTGCAAAGCCAGAAGTGGAAAAGAAGATTTATGTTGCGACCGCTTCTACAACTTCGAGTTTCGCAAAGGCCCGTCCAACAGGCGGGCCGGCGATAAGGAAAAAGGTTACATTTGCAGACCTTTCTGGATCTGAAAATGAAGCTTCGGCCGAGGAACAGCAGCCAGCCAACGGCGCTAGAAAGGCAGCGGCCGCTGGGAAGGCTCAGAGTGGCAGTGGTCTGAAAGCTAAGCCACTTCGTAAGACCGCTGGCACGACAGGCCGGGGCCGTCCTCCAAAGTCTCAGTCTGCAGCAAAACCTCTCTCGCCGAAGAAAGCAACGCAACTTACAAAGTCTTCGTCTGCGAGCTCTGGAGATGATGACGAGCTTGCGGGTGAGAAGACAGTCTATTCTTTGGTGGTGCAATCCCCCATTAAGAACCAGGTGCAACACACAGGCCTGAGCTCTCCGGTGAAGAGAATCAACTTCACCGGTGCAACTGCGACTCCTTCCAGAACTGCGTCTAGGGTGGAGAATGACGAGAATTCGCTTCCAGGAGTTCAACCACCTTCGGCCATTCGAGACGCCGCCTTCTTAGGCAGCCCTGCACGTCGACCACCATCACCATCCAAGGAATCAATCAGCCACACCCCACGACGGGGTCATCTCTTCAATACGCAGTTTCAAGCTCCGAGTACAGCCCAACTCGAGGCATCCACCCCAACAAGGTTGTCCCCATTGAAGCTCTCACCGAAGAAGGGACCTAATCTGGGAGTGTCATTTCTCGGCTCTCCAGAAAAGGGCTTATCTACGCCTTTCAATGCTAAGCTCTCCTTGCTTCAAAGTCCCGCGAAAAGAATTCAGTCGCCATTCGTTTTTCAAAAGGTCGGAAAGTCTTCAACACCCAATGAAGATGTCGACATGGATGGTAATGCATCCAACGACTACGAAGCCACCAAATCGAACAGGGAAGTTGAAGAGTTTAGTGACGATGAAATTAGCATGGATACTAAGCTGACTTTATGTGCCGATAATTATGATGATGTCTTCGTTGAGCAGCCTGCTACTACCTTGAATGATCAACAAGACATTGCTGTTGCTGATTATGCAGATGGCCAGGATTCACGCGAGCAAGCGAGTATTGAGACAACAGAATCAAAATCAGAAACTACCGAGGAGTCCAATGAAACACCAGTGGACGATGAAATGGATGCTGATGATGTTGTCATGGATGTTGAGCATGAAGATATTGAAAACAATGAAGGGTCAGGCATCTCCGGTCACATTGACCCTGTGGAGGGTGGCCATATTGATCAACAGGTTGGTCACCAGCAAGACTGCGATGAAATGGAAGACGACGCCGACGCAGTGATCCAGCCGAACCCAGACTCCGATGAACAGGAGGCTGAGCATGAGACTGAAGTTGAAGTATCCGAAGAGACTGAACAAGTTGAGCTTGACGAACATAAATTACATGAAGCACCAATCACCGCTTCAGAATTAGAAACCAATCATCTCGCGAATGAATCTCTGGAGAAATCTGCCACTAGCTCAGTCACGAATGACCGTGCCGAGGATGCTGTGATGTATGGTGAGTACGAAGACGAGGACCAGTCCGTTTCCGAAATCAAAGTACCCGAATCACCCGCAATGTCGCACAACATGTCTACAAATTCCATCCCAGCCTTCAGACCTGATGAAATCGATGAGGTTGCATCCGTTGAGACGACGCGTAACATCTCTGATTTCGTACCTCCAGCAGCACCATCACCACCAGCGAATCCTTCGCAGATACACCCATTGATGTTCTCTTATCGGGACAATCGTGATGATTCAACCTCTGAATATGACCCGAGTCCGATAAAGCGTCGATCTATTTTCTCATATCGCGAGAGTATTCTCCCTCAAACGCCGTCCGCATCTGAAACGCTTCCTTTCAGTCCTCTCGCTGCGCAGTTGAGTCAATGGAAGGCCAGTAGCCCAGAGAAAAATAAGCAACATGGAGACCGCCCTCAAAGTAGTATATTTTCTCCGGTCATACCAAATCAACTAAGAATGAAGTCATCAAAGAACAGATACAGCCAGATTCAAACAATGCGGCACTCTTTAGCTGCCAAGCATTCGTTGGCAAACTCCACTCGCATGGATGATGATGAGACAGACACAGTTGAAAGACAATCAGAGCCGAAGGAGCAGGAGCCAGACCAAGCAACCGAAACCGTTTCTCACACCCAACAGGAGTATGAAAATGACGACTCACGCAAGGCTGCATCGGATAAAGAGATTCCGGTCCAACCTCTTCCAATGTCAATCACCCCAGTCAGGGTTAACCGTGATCCACACCGTACCGTTCACACCGTTTCAAAGGTGCCTCTCAGGCCAGAAGGAGAAATCTCGCCAATTAAGTTTCCTCGCAAACGGGCCAGGGCCAAGTCAATTGATATAGATCTCCCGATAAGAGCATCGCCGCACCGTGTGAAACTGGTTCCTAAGGGGCGTCTTCATCCTTCTTCCCCACGGAAACCCTTGGCCGAACTTGAGTTTGACGGTGAGGATGAACCAAAGCTTGTCGCAACTTACCCGACTTCGACTGTGGTTAGCCCTAAGAAAACCCCCGGCCCAGTCTCAAAGGCTGAAGAACAGGTCTTGCGTGGCGCTGTTGTTTTCGTCGATGTTCACACCACCGAGGGCGAGGATGCTAGCGGCATCTTCGTTGAGCTTCTCACGCAGATGGGTGCAAAATGCGTCAAGTCTTGGTCGTGGAACCCACGAGCCAGTCAATCCCCTGTTGATGGAGTAGAGCCAATTAATAACAGCAAGGTCGGAATCACCCATGTCGTTTATAAGGACGGCGGGGTTCGCACCATGGAGAAGGTTCGCCAGGCAGGCGACCTTGTGAAATGTGTCGGGGTTGGCTGGGTTCTTGAGTAGGCAATATCCTTCCCTTAGCAACCCTAGATTTATGCTAACGATGTTACAGTTGTGAACGAGAGAACAAGTGGCTTGACGAGTCTTGTTACAATGTTGACAGCACCATCATCCCTCGTGGCGGAGCGAAGCGCAGGAAAAGCATGCAGCCCCGAGCTTTGGCAAATGTCAACGGTTCGTTAATGTCCTCGACTTCCAGCAACCGCTACTCTCGCAATTCACCAGAATGGGAGGGCACGATGGAGAATTTCCGACGCATGAGCCCCAACACACCCCCAAGTGCCGGGGAGTCCTTCCTTAGCAGGATTTCCAATGGACCACCCAAAACCCCAACTCCAGATAATTCCGACGGCACATATGAATTCAAGTTCGATTTCTCGGCTATGTCACCCGCAACGCCTTACTTCCTGTCCCAGCCATCGCGTCTTGTCCAGCAAACCTGCCCGCCTAAGCAGATCAACCAGGGACTATTTCCTTCGGCTCCTGGCAGCGAGTCGAAAGACAACAAGATAAGCTCGAGTCTTCGCGCGAAACTCGAGGCAGCCCGACGCAAAAGCTTGGCATTCAAGCCAAGGCTCGAGAGCCCACTATCTCGGTCATAAACAGTGACAGCAATTTTTTTGACTCTTTCTTTTTTATTATATAATTCGCTCGTTACCTAGAATAAGGTGGTTGTCTTGATTTTATGCACCTGTACCTTTTTGGAGTTCTGGATTAGTTTTCGGGTGGTTGTATGAACACACAGGATATGTTATACTTCAAATAATACCCGACTGGCCTGGACTGGACTATCAGGAACACCTCAAGATTGGCTTAGTGTTTTGACATCTCTTTTTTTATTTATTATCTTTGCACATTGGTTCTTTCTGTTTTGTATCCATTAAATCTGATTCTGATACCCCCTTTTTTGTATTCTTTTAAGTGGTTGTGTGTGTTTCGATTGGATATCTGACTCCTCTTCTCTTTTGTTAATGACGTTTTTATGTATTATTCTTATTTATTGAGAATGGATTCAAGTTTATGAATACAAATATGCCATGTATGCAAGCATTGGTCGGTGCTGTATTGACCCACATCCTCGGCATTTGAAAATCTTATCAGATCATCACCTGAAATTGTTGTGCGTCCTAGCCCTCGTCAGCCACACGTCTTGTATAAGCGAAGAAATGAGCAATTTTTTTCGATTGTCTCGCAAATGAGCAGAACCATTACCTCACTAAGCAAATCCCCACGGATCAACAGGCTGTAACCATGGCTAACTCGTCACTATGGAGCGAATATCTCGTGTTTCTCACCGGTGGAGAGGGGCAGATCATCTCATTTTTACCCCCTCCGTGTGCCTTTTATCTGATCACTAGAGCCGTAGTCTCCACCAGCAGGAGAATTTCGCTCGCCAAGATTGCTTCTTGCCCTATCAAACGATGAGCGAAATACTACCCTAGAAACTTTAGTTCGTGCACATTTGCTTCTTTAGGACATACGCCGAGAATCGGGATCAAGATTAGATTAAGAATTATTATCAATCAGTACCTTCTGTGTGTGGAATAAAAGATGCAAAAATTGCTTCACAATTTCCCTGCTATCGGTGACAAAACCGTCTATTTAGGCAGATATGAGTTCAAAACAACTCCGGCAGTCTCAGAATGCATGGAGCAATAAATATTTCGCCATTGCTGTGGGGGCAATCATGGTTATTTTCATTATTGTGCACTGGGTGAATGTTGTATGCATCAAGCTTGGCCCGAGGAAACCTGGTCGAGTACGCCGTCTTCTCTTTCGACTGCCACGGTATGTTGATCGAATTCCCCGTTTTGCTGAGCCCTAATAGTGATATTAGAAAGCGTAATCCGACGGGTTTTCCCTAGTACCGTCTTGGGTTTGGGAATTGATCGCTTCTTGTTATATTTTGTATATTGGATGATCAATCTAACGCTGATCTTGACAAATGTCGACTTGCATACCCTAAATTATGTTCGTGTCTCCAAGTCAAGAGTACAGACTGCAGTCCTAACTTGACCTACAGGTAGCAAAACGACTTGGCTGGTATATACACCCGGTTGTCAATGTGTTTTATTACTAACATGGACATTAAACAATAGGATCTCGGTTGCAAATTTTGTACTTCTTGTTTTTCTCGCTCTTAGAAATACACCCTTGGCCCCGTTAAGTGGATGGTCATACGAGAAATTACGGCCGCTGCATAAGACAGCCGGTTACACCTGCATTACTACAAGTATGCTGCATGCAACTGTGTACTTGAGCGCATGGTCTGAAGCGGGGGAGCTGGGGAATATGGCAGAGATGCAGAATTTTGCTGGTGCCATTGCTGGACTGGCAATGGTGATAATCGGTTTATCTACTATCGGATGGCTTGTCCGGAAATCTTATGAAGGTGACACATTAATCTTTTCCTTTGATAGTAATACTTACAATTAACTTGATATACAGTCTTCTACATGATCCATGTGGTCCTATTCGTTCTCATTCTCATCATGATTGGGATGCATCGTCCCAAAATCTCAACGTCAACGTTGGCCATTATCATATTCACCGCATCCATGTGGTTCTCTGACCGACTATTGCGGCTAGCAAAGCTCTGCTGGTATCTTCCGGGAAACCACGCTGCCGTGACAGCCATGTCAGATGGTGCTCTTCGAGTGAAGCTAAACCGGAGTGTTCATTGCGCCCCAGGCTCTCATGCATTCTTGTGGGTGCCTTCGATCCGCCTCATCGAAACCCACCCGTTCACAATGGTATCAACCAAACCAGCTGAGTTTCTGGTCCGTGTTCAAGACGGATTCACGCATAAGCTTTACGAACTGGCTAAAAAGGAGCCAGGAAAGCTTTTACGATGCTCAGTAGATGCTGGATATGGCCAGTTACCAAACTTTATGGATTTTGAACGAATCGTGCTTGTCTCGGGTGGAAGCGGTGCTAGTTTTACCTTTGCCATTGCCCTTCATGTGATGAAGACATGTGCTGCATCAAATAGTACTAAAACTATTGATTTTATTTGGTCAATTGGTTATTTAGGTGAGCTCTTGCTACCGGTATTTAACCCTAAGACTGCTTAATTAACTCATCTTTTAGAATCGCTCGGCTGGTTCAAAACGGAGCTTGATCAGCTTCAGAGAAATCCAAACGTACACGTTACTATTCATGTCACGCGCGACGATAGCATGATGAATACGTCAGAAACGGCCATGCAGATGGCAGATCTTGAGAAGACCGTCAACGTCGACGTGGAGAAAGCTCCCATACATGGAACTGACCTTGCTACAACTAGTTATTTAGAGATCAAGAAAGGCAGACTAAATATCTCGGCCTATCTTGCTGATTGCATCGACCGTTGCAGTGACGATGATCGCGTGGGCATCGCTGCCTGCGGACCAGCCGAAATGCTCGACACTCTGCGACAAACTTTAGGTGAGGAGAAATATGATAGTAGGCCGTCAATAACTCTGCATACAGAGGTGAGCCTCCCAGACAGTTCTTATTATATATTAAACTAACGGGGAACGACAGGAGTTCAATTGGTAGAATGATTAGTACTCTACTTTATTCACCCACCACTCTTGAATGTACAAGAGACTAAATCTACTAGAGCCGAGGATGCTGTATTTCAAGGAAAAGGTACTACTTGAGATTGATATTTCAAATGTCAATTTGTAAATAGCTGCCATCGACGCCGGGGGCCTTCCCTCGTATAAGATACATATGCAAGACAAACACTCAAACCCCCTACACTTCTTTACCACCATAGTCACCAACCCGCTTGTCTTCTCCTCCACCATTTGCTCCAGCATCAAACCCAACGTTTGTGGTGTCTCGATCCGAAAAACAACAGCCAGGATCCAATTCCAAAAATAAAATCCTTTTCAAGCTTGAAACAAAACCGTAAATTGCTTACTAGTAGTTCGCTTGTAACCATAATTGGCGTTGGATCCATCAGGCCGACCGTTGTTGCCAAATACTACCCATCGCTATCTTCATGTGAAGACCAGGAATACTCGTCGTCAACTTCCTCTAGATCAACAGTCCATCCTTTTAGTGGGTTGATCTTTCCATTTTTCCATGTAAATAAAAGATTTGTCGAAAGAAAGAATAGTAAGCACATTCTGAAGTCATATGTTTGATGAATAGCAGGCTGAAACTTGACGACAAGTTGGAAGACGTTGGCGGACAGAAGAGAAGCCCCCTGGAAGATGTTGAAGTCTGTAGAATAGATGTTCAATATGATAATATGGGGTACCAAATCAGAAAACTGAGCGAGCATTTGTGGGAGTGCCCGTTTGCATGGTATAGAAGGCTGTCGGAGGCTCTCAACAAGGCATCAATTCATGTTGAATGCTGACGAGTAATGATTGTGGCAGACAATATCTCGGCCAATTGGCACCTAGAAATACACATTGGATGTTTGAGCGCTGTATCAAGATGCATTTTTATTGTGATCGTATCAATTCTTTTCATACCGCTACTCTGGAGGCAAAAGATTCACCGGTATATGTCAACCCAAAAAGCCCCATAGTATGCCCGGGAACGAAACTATTGCTCCTCGTCTCTATAAAAACCAGCAACCAAAAACGCCAGTTCCAAGGCTTGCTTCTCGTTTAGTCGTGGATCACAGAAAGTCTCATAGCGCTCTGAGAGTCCTTCCTCAGTGAGCCCTGCTGCACCTCCGACACACTCGGTCACTGCCTCACCCGTGAGCTCGAGATGCATACCGCCCAAGAAGCTGCCTGCAGCTCTGTGTATCTCCAATGCTTGTTTAAGTTCTGATAATATATTGGTGAAATGCCGCGTTTTGACTCCGTAAGGAGTCGACTGTGTGTTTCCATGCATCGGGTCGCACTGCCAGACTGGTAGATGACCAGCGGCCTGTACAGCAGCAATATGGCCCGGAAGGAACTGTGAAATTTTCTCAGCGCCATATCTGGAGATAAGTATGACTTTGCCGATTTCTTTTGTCGGGTTGACGGTGTTTAGGAGCTCCACAAGCTCTTCGTTTGCCATGCTAGGTCCGATTTTGATGCCGATTGGATTGCTAAGGCCTCGGAAGAACTCAACGTGCGCGCCGTCCACTTGGCGCGTTCGGTCTCCAATCCACAGAAAGTGGGCAGATGTATCATAGTACCCCTTTGGTATCGCAGCTGACGATCCACGGCGGAGTGTCTTTTCTTGGCTTTGTGTAGGTGCGGGCAACGCATCCGGAGGATGACGGAGGAGACGAGTGAAGCTCTGCTCATATTCGAGGGAAAGGCCCTCATGACTAGTGAAAATTTCTGCCGTCTGGACACCACGATCTTGATCTAGACCAACTGTATGCATAAAGCGTAGCGCATCGGTCACGGAGTTCACTATCTTTTCATATTTCTGTTTGATCGACGGCGTGATGACATGGCCCAGCTCCCAGTCCAAGGGTGTACGCAGGTCGGCAATACCAGAAGATAAGGAAGCGCGAAGGAAATTAAGTGTTGCCGCAGAGTGGAAGTATGCTGATACTAGACGTGATGGGTCCGGCTTTCGAGACTCGGCTGTTGCTGCGAATCCGTTGATGTTGTCACCTCGGAAAGAGGGCATTGTAACGCCATTTACCGTTTCATTGGGGCTTGAACGGGGTCTGGTTTTCACTTCTAGTTAGATAAGCTAGGTTTATGAGTAACAGGTATACGTACTTCGCAAATTGACCTGCTATCCGAGCGATACGAACGACGGGCTTGTTGGCCCCTGTGTGCATGTTAGATGTTGAAACATATTTAAGAAATCATTGAGAAATACCCCAGATGAGAATCAGACTCATTTGCAAGAGAAGTTTGACTTTGGCTTCAATCATGTCCTGATTGCAGTAGTCGAAAAGTTCGGCGCAATCACCTAGAATATTTAGTATTCGTGCCGAAATCCATTCGTCGGGACGGAACATACCACCCTGAAGGACGAATGCCTTCCCAAGAGCGACATTTCGTAACCTCTTCTTAAGATCTACAATCTAAAATAATTTCCTCTGGTTAGCATGCGCAGCGATTGCTTCCACGTAGTTTAGACATACCTCATGCGGAGTCACTAGGGGCGGAAGGGCTCGCAGTTTTGTTAATGCTGATTCTACAGCTGCAGGATCCTCGTATGTGACATCTTGTTTGATAGGCTTTGACGTCCAGGCTGTTACCGAGAAAAAGTAAGATAGGTAGACTCGGTACGATTGAAATTGATATCACATACACGATGGACTCCATTCCGCCATTTCTTCAACTACTGTGTTCTGCTCTGGCTCGTGCTAGGTATTAGACTGTGTCTTCGGAGTATTTCCGAGGCTCCAAACTCTGCAATTTTCCAGGTTAAAAGAACTTCAGATGAGTTTGGGAGGGAGTGGGGTTAAAATATCATACGTGAGTCAGAGATATATGCTCCCGGGTGCCAGGGGCCAAGGATATCTGCTTTTCGACCGTTTTCTGCAAATCAATGGAATAAAAATCGAAGAGAATTCGTGAAGCGATAGTTAAATTTTTTATAATTCAGGTCCATTAAGGATTGCTCGTACACAGCTAATGCTTTCCAGCAGATAAAAAAAATGAAGCTCTGACGAATGCCGGCAGTAGCCGTTGAATTATTGCGGGGCAGGCGCTAGCTATATTGAACGTTAGCCACAACCACATGCACTCTGTTCAATGGCACTTAAACAACTCCAAGCTCGCACTTCCTATTCACAGTCACCTCTAGTCGCGATATATCGGCATTTCCATTTTCACCAAATACGACCAGAATTCCGTCTCGGCCCATAACAATGACGGAACCAATTCCCTCCGCCTCCGCCGCCGACGCCGAAGACCAACAGCGTCTCCCTGCCAACGCCGAAGACCGCAAGGCCGCGGCCGCCCTCTCGTCACTCAACGATAACGAGATCTCGCAGGGGGACGACGCAGGAAGCAAACTGTCTTCTGCTGCCGCGCAAGAAGCCCTGGGCAAGGCTATGAGCCGGCTGGAGATTGCTGCGGGTGGCGCTGCTGCGAACAAGGCTCCTGCTAGTGCGGGGAAGACAGAGCAGAAGGGAGACGTTGTAAAGAAGAAGGCTGTGAAGATTGTCACAGAGGATGTCAGTTTGCTTGTGAGAACTCCCAATTCTCTATTATCTTACTGTTTACTTGCTGGACGAACTCATCGCTAATAGTGGATTTAATCTGTCGTAAAGGTCGAAGAACTTGATCTTACCAAGAACAAGGCCACAGAGCTATTGAGAACACATGACGGCGATGTGAGACAGGCACTCCACGCATTCATCACGCCTCCAGCTGCGGCATGAACTCGCACAGTCATTCCCATGACTTCTGATTTGAATGGAAAACGCAGCCTTCCAACAATAATTGTGCATTAACACGTTGTGTGCCAATGGGCCGAATGTAGTCAAACACCCTGGCAGGCTATGGCGGTTCTCTAGAGTGAGACGCTCCGCGAAATCCCTAAGTGCATAGAGCTTCGGGATGGGTTTTAGAACCTTTAATGAATAATGACGACATGGCTTTGATACACAGCTGAGACCCTTCTTTTACTATCTAATAAATAAATTTTTTTTTAAATATATACCAGAGGTCGGAGCAGGATATTTGAAAAATGCATATACTCTTGTTTTGAATGAAATAGCTATAAACTCCGAGTGCGACTTATTTCCCACTGTCACTGATTATCCTCGACAAGACGCTCTTCTTATCTCACTATTCTCGGGCAGGCTTCTTTTTTCTTTCTATTCCTTTACCCTCTTGCACCGTCCAACTGACAAGCCAGCCAAGTGTTGCTTCCACAGCTAATGCCCACCACACAGCACCAACAATATTGTGCAATAATCCCAACCCCAATCCCAATCCACCGAGAAAAGGACCCAGTGTTCGAGCCCCACTAGATATACTCTGCGCAATTCCATGCACAGTTCCAAGAACAGAAGGATCCGTCACACTGTTATTGACAAGAATGATTGCTGCTGGCAATGCAAATGTTCGGGAAATAACTTGTAGAGCAACAACAAAAGTAAACGAGGGCCAAACAAATGGTGAAAGCCTGGGTATCAGTACAAGGAAAGGCATCAATGCGTATGCCAATGGCGATAAGGGAAGGAATGTCCGGAAAGATCGTAAGGTGCCGAGACGGAATTGTACCCGTGGATATACAAAAAGCTGGAGAGGGAGTCCAATGATCCCGATGACAGAAGTTGCGATACCAACTTGTGAGGAAGAAAGCCCCAAGCCGCCGCTGAAATGAAACCAGCCACTGCGGCTATTCTCTTCAGCACGCGGCATTGGGAGAAACACGAAGGTCATGGAATTGAAGGCACTCGTGTGCATGGCGAGAAGGAAATGAGTCAGTAGTGTGAAGATAACGTTCTTCGTGAAGACTTGTTTCCAGAGAGAACTCTTGCGCACCAGTGGTAAGGCCGGCTGTCGTGAGGATACTGGGCTAGAAGGTTCAGATACGCCGTGTTCAAAATCGACTGAGTTGACCTCGTCTGGATCGTTATTAATCCTAGTGTACCGGGGTCCAGATTGCCCTCTGAACCATCTCGTAATAGACTTGCCCAATTCCCGTCCCCAATCAGGTCGATATCTGGCTATTTCGTGGGTCTGCAAACATATTCAATGTTGAATTAGTTGACGGCATCACGACACATAGAGGGTCCGAAACCAACCTCATTCAATCCTAGAAAAACTGCCGTCAAAGACATAATAATGAAAATCGCACTGATCAGATTTGGCAAAGCATATGGCCACTGTTGCATCCACCAAACGCCATTCTTACCCCCAAAGACAGAGCCAGGGCCGAAGAGTCCTGGAAAGTTGCTGATGGGATCTGCCAGGAAGCCTCCCAGACTGGGTCCAATGATGACTCCAATATTAAAGCACATTGGTAGAAGGAGAAATGCGCGTGATTGATATCTATAGTATTGTATTCAGCTTCAGCACAAAACATGACAATAATCAAGCTGACATACTTTTTTTCTTCAACAATTTCAGCCACCATTGTCCTCATGACACCCACATTACTGTTCATCAGTCCACCCAGGATTCGGAATATAATTGCTGAGGTGAATGATCTCGAAAATCCGAAGCCCAAGCATGATATAAATGTGCCGCTTAGACCAATGAGAAGCACTCGCTTCCTGCCCATCCAAGAAGCATCTGCCAAACGTCCCCACCATATTGCAGTCAAGAACTGAGATGCCGTAAAGCTCCCTTGAATTATACCAGCCTGTGAAGAAATAGACGAATCCGGCACAGAAGGATTAAAGGATTTCAGCTGGTAGAACAGATAGGACTGTAGCGAGGTCTGAGTTAGAGGCTCAGACAAGCGGGCCAGAACAAGAATTGCCAGTTGGCCTTTTTCGGGTAGCTGACTCCATGATATCGGTTTTGGTTTCTCCTCTGGTGGTCTGTCAGACTCGGGAGTCGGTAGTCTCTCTGTGCGCGTTTCATTCTCTTCAGTCAAAGAAAAACGCCGGCTAATGAGTCCATCGTGGGGGACTGACACTGACAAAGGCGGTAGGTCTGGCTGTATCCGAGTTGGTGGCTGGTCTAGGTACGTCACGATTGGAGTGTCTCCTTCGTAAATAGATTCATTTCCTACATGCTCAGATGGGGTGTTTTTTGGTTGTTCGTTATCATCGGGATTTGGCGTCATTCAAGGGGATTTTGCGGGGGGTTATACTGGCTGAGATCTGTACGCTGAGGCTGGCTATACCGGAAAATGATACAGATCTGCCGTTTTGATAGACGATTTTGGGCTTGCAGTGAGTTTCTTACCGGGTTATTGCATAAAACTAACTGTACTTTGTAAATAGTTTTTCTACATGCAGTGGTTTACAAATTCAACTCAACACTGACGCCATCGGACTAGACTGAAAAGGATATGCCGAATAACCGCAGGGAGCATTTACAGGTCACGTGAGTTGCTTTTAGCTTATGGCATTGCTTTGCATACTTTGAAGGATGAAATTAGGAAATAATTGTGGAATTTTGAGAGAGCATAAAACAGGAATACCGTATCCGGTATTGAAAGAACCAGGGAAATCGATGTCAAAGTAGAAAGTTGCAGAGATCGAAGATCACTATCGATACTCTGCTAACAAGAACATAGAAGCTAGAGCTAAAGCCAAGATTCAAAATAAAGAGCTACATAATATAATAATAATAAAAACAAAGGTATTAAATACTTGATAATAATATACTGTTATTCCTAAAGATTTAACATAATAAACTAAACATTGAAGGGGTAGATCTAGAAGCCTCATCAAAGTAGGTGTTAATGTGGTCAACAACTCTTCACTGAGATCAGAGATCACAGAGGATATACTACTAACAAGAGACGGAATTATATAAGGCGATAAAAGATAAAAAAGCTATTTATCGTAGTAGCAACAAAAATTATACTTTATTACAAAATATTTCAATATTGCCGTGGTTTAGAACTTGACCCACATATGCCTTGGCCACGAGACTATCAAATATAGTCAACTAAGGAACCGACCCATTCCTCAATTGAAAGAATGTTCTGGCGAGCTTCTTGAGTGTCGGAGTCATCCTCTCCAAAATACTAGCGGGTGTGGTTGTATGCTTGAGTCTTAAGAGTGAGTGCCGGTCTGAATTGATTCCTTCGGTACAGGTCGGTGGTCGAATCCCAGAGCAGTCTATACTCAGCATGTCGATCGACTTTGGGTTGAGGATGAGGAGGTGTACGAACAAGGGCGGGTACTTCCTTTTGCCACAGTACGTTTCAGGTCCGTAGCCAAGGGCAAAAATAATACTGTCAACTTCTCCTTCCTACGAAACCCTTATGCAAGTCTACGGAGCGCAATTCCAGTCTTCACTCACAACAAACTTGCGATCTCTAGTATACCCTACAGAGTATTGTCACATTATTTGTTACAGATCGTATTGCCCAAATAGGCTTCAACTACAATCGGAAAGTGACTAATACAACTCTACAAAGTTCTACAAAGCCATGATTTGCCACGAGGTACGTGACTGTCAAGAAAGAGACGTCTGGTCGGCAGCAGGTGCTAATAGTCTAGCAAGGTTCATCCCCGAAACAAACGTTGGCTTCGCTCTCAGAAACGACAACCATGCTGCTTCGAAGGCTCCACTTCTGAGATCATGGCACTATACTGTGTATGGCGTTGCTCAGTTGCCACAGGGAAAGATTATGTAAAATCCAGGCCCAGGAAGATTTGTTCTGGCTCTCCCATAGCCCAATCGAAATCCTCCATGCCTATCATGGGGAGTTGAAATTGCTCGATGTCCGATATGTCAATTTCGTTAAAATTTGGTTCAACCGTTCTTTGTTCAGCCGTGAGTGCAGAGTCTGGAAATAGGTACCAAGCAAGAACATTGGATGTCGTACAGTCCCTTGCCGGTGGCTCTTCATTCCGGTAAATCGCTTCAAGGCGACGAATCACGGGTTCAGCCAGTGTTGTGACGGTATCTGCGCATCCCCTGACACCAGGCCAAAACAGTGCCACTTCGCGAAGAAGATTGGGATAATCGTGAATACAGCATATGACTTCCTGGAGATCCACATATTGTGGCAGCCAGTCGCTCCCGAGCCATGCAGTGTCGAGGGTGGCGATGGCCATTTCGAAGAGATTATGTGCGGCGAACCAAGGATATATGAGTCGATGCTGCTTGCAATATTGGGTGTAGAGGCTCGTTACAGCCATAGAGGCCTTGATAAACTCAAGGCGTGACTCTTGTGAAGGATACAGGACTCTTGGGGTTGGTCTGTATAACCGTCCTTTTAGGAGATTTTGTCCTATACTGCTCATCTCAAACACACGCTTATATCCGTACAAAGTCTTTCGTCTGAGCTCAATCCTCTGTGCTCGTAGACACCAATCATCTATTCGAGCATTTACAGAGACTAGCCAGTCTTCGAGCGTAATAGAGTCGTATTGTGGCTTTTGTATCCATAACATATTATACACCTCTCGCTCAAGAAGGCGGAATTCGGATGCGTCATTGTCGTCCATTCTTAGTTGTTTTTGAACTAAACTTTGAGTGCCTGTACTAGGGGGGGAGTATAACTGAAATTGATCAGCCGCATTCTACTATATGATCAAGGAGAAATAACAAGTCACCTTCGTTGTGATATCCGACTCGTCAAGAAGAAAGGGCAATCTGAGTTGAGAGCAAATGGTTCTTTGCATGAAACATTAGCAGAAATTTCGATGTTATGATAGAGGCTGCACGTACCTTTCAAGCCCACATGTGGTCCAGAAAAGCCGCTGTCGGGTCTCACGCTCGTGCGGACTGAGTCCCATCCCTGGATCAGCCTCCTTATGAAGACCAAGATTGATGCAGCGTCTAGAAGCATCTCCTATACAGTACCACGCATCAACTGACGTAGGGCTCATGAACGAGTAATGTGCTAATAACAAAGCCACCTCGATCTGTCGGATTTCGGTGTCATATGTCGTTGGTAGCGCAAGCATTTCTTTAGCCTTTGCGAAGAAGCTGGCAGATGAAGATAATGCGTGCTGTTCATTTGTCCAGATAAGCGTAGCGGCACTTATTGCCAACACCATACAAACGATGAATACGTCGTATGATGAGGCTCTGGTTGGTGAGTCGAAGCACTTTGCATAACTCTCCAACAGCTCCTCCGTACCAACGCAGGGATGCCGCATCGAGAGAGTATCGGTGTAGTTTTTCAACATTAGATCGGCCGCCGCACGAGGAACCTCAGAGAGGTTTATCGCTTGAGGTGATGGTCTACCATCAATCTCATCTCTGGAAAGATAGCGTGTTTGGGGTGGAAACGGTAGCGGCAAGCTTGACTGCTGCAGATGAAAAGCATCGTAATACACATACAAATTGCTCTCGGCGCCATCGAAATCCATGACAGTGGTCAGTGCAGCGGTTAACGCGTTACGAAGGTAGAAATTTGTATTGCTCCCGATACTGGCCGAGGCCGAAAAAGCCTCCTGTTGCTCATTTTGCTCTTTCAAACATTTGATTCTCTTCTCTAGAGCGAGGACCTTGTCCTCAAACTGGGCCACAATGCTCCTTGGGACTTCCTTAGAGAGGGTCGTATCATAGCCCATGCATGGCACGTGTGCCGACTTACACGAGGAGCAGGCCGGCCATAGAGCATCGCATTTAATTTTCCTCATGCGACATCTTGCACATGCCTTATTATGAGAGGGTCGCGTTACATCGATCTTGGCTCGTTTTCCGGGTGGTTCAGACATACTGTCCGACCGTCGTCGCGTAGACGCAGAAAGGTCAAGCGACTCATCAGTGGAGGATAAACCTATGTCCGAAAGCAGGGTTGTTGTAGTAAACAGAATGAACTACGATGATAAAAAATGTCCACTCAGAGTTAACAGAAGTAGTTGTCGCGGAGGAGGGGAGGGGGGGGGGGGGGCACGGATCCCCGGCTTCCACTATTATAACATTATCGGCGGTATGGAGATGGGTATGAGTTAGTGGCTTGTAGCCGATTCCAACTGCGTAGAAGGTTCAGCCAGGCCCACAACGTGTAGATAATTAGTTGACTCCGTAGTAATATGCTTGGGAGCTCCACAATAATTGAGGCCGGGAGAGCTGATAAGGACAGCCGCCTCTGACAGATCGATCAACCCCCAACTATTCACCCCTAGTTACCACCTAATAAAGCGCCGGGTTGATTTATTTGTGACCTTACCCTGCGGCAGAAATAGATTGTCGAGAACTGGGTTGGAATCCCTTGATTATGGCTGCTTCCACTTGGAACCTTCCGACATGTAATAGATGCCAGAAGAGGAAAAAGAAGGTCGGGATGAGCAGCCGCCTTGCAAATCTATCCGTACTGACGACGTCTGCCTAGTGTGATAAAATCCTCCCCAGCTGCGCGAATTGCACAGAGGCTGGGCTGGAATGTGTCTTTTATGAAAAAGGCTCGCAAAGCGTCGTTTCGAGAAGGTCTAAGCCCCGGCCTCTACTAAAACCATACTTGTTCGCTAATACCGTCGTTGCAGTGCTATTCAAAGTCTCGAAGAAAAAGCCCGGCAGCTTGAAGCCGAGCTAGTAGATCTTCAATGCATCCAAGACTTGAATTCTTTAAGTCGGCGTCCGATCTCGCCTGAGTCATATACACAGCAGGGGTTGGCGTGCTTGCTGCCTCACGACCATTCGTATCGCCGGCAGGATACCGCTCTAGGTCAACCCAGCTTTATGGAATCCTTTAGTCCAAGTTCGCGCTCGAGTTTCAGCTCAAATTTTGTGGGACTCGAAAGTGCCGTGGACCTTTGCCTCTCTACTGCTGCATTGGCTGGACTAAACACACTTGATTGCGCTGTACCAGGCGGAACCTCGCTGCAATTTCCCAGGTTAAACTTGCCTCTGTTGAGATCAGAGAAGCTCGATAGGTCAACGGTCGAACCAACCCTCATACGTGGACTCGTCGATGATTATTATTTTCCTGTGCTGCATACACTATATCCGGTGATAGAACGTTCGCAGATCGAACTCAATGCCGGATTTAAACAACTACCCCTGAAGAAACGTCTATTTGTAATACTTATTGCTGCGATCGCTGCAGCACATAGTAGCAGGCGAGATCAATCTCTATATCCCACAGCCCTGATTCTACGCAGCTGGGCGGATGACCTAATATCCGATGTGCTTGCACGGCAGGATGATGACTCGTTACAGGCAATGATACTTCTAACGCTCTACGAATTGGTTGATCCGAGAAGGAAGCTCATCTGCCATCTCCTGGGACTCACGTGTCGGATGTGTATCAGGCTTCGTTGGCACCTAAAAGAAGAGTCTATCCTGTCAACCGCGGAGATGGATTTTTCGAATCATTTTTCTCAGTATCCATCGCCTCGGAGACGGAGACTGTTCTGTATCGTCTACGAGTGGGAGAGGTAATCTATCTTTAAGTCCCCTTGTTGGAGATATTCTTAACAATCAATAGCTTAGTTTGTCTTGCTTTGCAACGAGTATCCATTTTCTCCCCTGATTTAGTGGATATGAGCTCGGCACAGGGGGTCAGCGTTCGAACTTTATATATGGAATTGGCTTTGCGACAAAAGATTCGAGCTTGCTCATCGCATCAGTGTTTACTAGGCTGCGACTTTGTGTCATTCGTCAATGCAAATCTAGAGCATTCAGAAGGTGCCGATATCTTGTGGCTCTCCGTGTATCTCATGACGGGACATTCTTGGGCGCAAACTGCTACCCACGAGCAATACGTAAGTGAATGGACAGATCAGATCTTACGGGCTGCTATGTCACGAATCAACACATTGTTCACTGCACAGCGGCGAGGATGTATTGTGAGCATCTGGCTCAGCACTTTTGATGTTTTCACAGCAGGAACCGTTTTGCATGATATTTCTTTGAGACATCCCGCGGCTATACATCATGATGGCCTGATTCATGGCCTCTGGAACGCATTGAGAATGGCGTCGAGCCTTCTGGCCGGATTTTCCGAGTTGTGGCAAGGTGCTGGGGTATACAGAGATGTCTTTGATGCTATTTCTAATCGCGTATTCGCTCTCAAGACATGATTTTTCCACACCAGAGACATAATCTAAGCCACATCCGAGGATCCCATGCCCATTACTGCATTGAGGTACCTCTGGGCTGGTTGGCTGTGTCGGAGTATTCCATCATGATACTGCGTCGGTGATTTCCGTCGGAGTGGTTCGAGACCCAAAGTTCCCGACGCGCAAATGCACAACTCTCATTAGTATGGAATACTCCGACAAGTATTGATGACGGCTGAGACTCAATTGAATATTCTCTAGTTAAATCTTATCCCCTCATTCGGCTTTTGAAGCACTCCCGAGAGCTCCGTTGCGAACCTAGTTAGCTAGCCGCCGCCTTGCGGAGTGATTCCGAGATAAGGCCTTGGTAGTATAGACAACAACTTGACGGGACATGGTTCCTTAATTGGATAAAATTACTGGATAGTGAATCCTATATTGACTATAAAGGAGTGATGATGCATCTTTTGCTAGTAATTAGCCGGAAAACTTCCAGTTCATCCAGTTTATTTTGCTCTGCTCAAGGCCTTCTTTTATTCATGATGAATTTTTTCCGTTGTTTTTTTTGTTGGAGGAAGAGGGAGGCAACTGTCAGTGACGAGAAGTTTCCGAGAGCCTCCCAGTCAGATAACGAGACCAAGATTTCCTCGCTGAGCATCAAGTCACAGGTGCAAGTGGACGAGAAATTACAGTACATACACTGTAAGCCAATAGCTATAGAAGGAGGGCCAAGTATCCATGATCCTCTTCCGAAGCTGAATCGAGCTCTCGTTGTTTCGGAGAAAAGAACTTACAAGATCGTCAATGATATCCCATATCCAGTACTAAAATCCGCAGACGAAATTATCATCTCCAATCGTGCCGTAGGACTGAACCCAATTGACTGGAAGAGCGTGGAATTCAACTTCTGTTTACCAGAATTCCCGTGGATTACTGGTCGGGAGGTAGCTGGTGTTGTCAAAGCGATTGGAGCGAATGTTAAGGAACTGAAAGTTGGAGATCGAGTTTGGGCCAGTACGCCTATCCGAACTTCTTCCTCACCGGGGGATACATTCTGATCTTTCACAGGTACATACTACAGAGATCGAAGAGCAGGTTGCTTCCAGCAGTATGTCGCTGTTCCACAACATACCGTCACCCGAATTCCAGACAACTTGGACTTTGAGTCCGCATCATGCCTAGGGGTCGCCGGGCTCACAGCCGCAATGACACTATGGAAATGGCTGGATGTACCCATTGGGTCAGTCTCGAGACTTCCGGCTCCCAGTTCCATCGAATATATCGTCATTTGGGGTGGATCCACGGTGACAGGACAATTCGCCATTCAGATAGCAATCCAAAGCGGACTACATGTCATTGCGGTGGCTTCGGAAAAAACAAGACCTCTGGTATTAAGTCTAGGAGCAACTCGCGTTGTGACGCGCGATGGGAAAACAAATGACGAGATCGTCTCAGAAATTCGAACACTCGGAGGCGATAATATCACTCGTGCTGTGGATTTGGTCGGCGCCGAAACCGCAAAATTCTGTCTGGAGTTATTTTCAACGACCAAGCCCGGGCTGTTTGCTCCGTTGGCAATGATTTCGAGCGACACATACATACCTGAGAATATAAAAGTCAAGAGTGTGGAAATGAAACAATTTATCCTCAATCCCGAGTCCAAAATTTACGCCACCGAGCTGAACCGTCTAGTTTCGGACGGACTGGTAATCATGCCCACCATCGAGGTCTTAAACGGGGGACTTGACAGCATTGAATCGGGTCTAGAACGGCTGAAAAGGAGTGATATGGCTGGTAAAAAGTTAGTCGTTAGAATGTTCAAGTAAAGAAGTGAAATTATGATACTCTACCGGGCGAACACTACTCTGTAAACGTGGTATTTGGATTAAGGCTTTAAATGAGGATAGTACATAATCAGATCTATAAGATATGTAGGTCTATGTTAAGAATTGAAGTTTTCATATACTACTAGGCGAATATTGTGTTATAAACATTGAATTTAATCTTTGCACCAAGACAGCTAATTAAGACGATACACAATCGGATTTACACCTAAGAGACGCAGATCCATGCACCTCTCCTGCATTAACTGCTGGTTGGACATGTCATGCTATTGGCATTATTGGAAGTCTTCCACTCGAGAGGTCGTTCGTCAACTGATAATTACCGGTCATGAAAGGGTATATAAGAGTCTATTTGTTTCTAATAGTTACCAAGGCTAAAACTGACATCTCTATCAGGATGAAATCGCCACAAAAGACCTTCGTTTCAGCCATTACGAGCGCGAAATTTCCGAAATAGGCTACGAGAGGAATAAATTATTAATTACTGGAGAATTCTGTGACGATTCAAAGGAGAGATTTTTCCTAGCGATGGTGGTGTAAACTCAAATAAATACTATGAAGTTCCGTTGGTTTGGGCCTCTTTGGTTGCCATTTCAATTCCATTCTCCCGAAGATCCCAGACGGTCTTATGGTTTGTTTTCCTGACATTCCATGCAAATTGGTGTGCGGGATGAGTATCCACAACCAACTTTTGCCCTTTTATACCGAGCATATTCTCTCTCAGGGTCCCGCCAGGGGCGGGATAGTCGGTCCAGTAGATTCCTCTACTTTGGAGTTCTGGTACCAGTAACTCAGCAATATCTTTAAAGCTCTCCCCAGCAATAAATTCTAGGATTATCTTCAGCGGTCTCTTTGTTATTCACCCAAGTTGATGGAGCTTACGCTGTAAATTAAAACCATCCACATCGGCCTCCTCCACCCATTGCTCAAGGACGTCTGCCACCTCTGCAGCGGTACCAACTGGTGACGTGGTCGGTAGTCCCATACCTATCATTGACCCTATTTTCCGTGGAGTCCACGGACCATCACTATCATCGGCTGTAGCGGCTTTGATACTGTCCACCCATCCATGGATCGCTGCATCCGACTTATCTCCTTTGAACTCTAACGGCTCATCCAGGGGATACTTGCTAAGGTCCAGGCCGATGAAGCCTGAGATCGTTGCAATACTACCGGTCACGTGTGCATTTGCCTTTGCTCTTTCATACTTGGCGACGGCTTCCTCATGAGTGCGCCCAAGGGTTGGCAAGAAGGCCATGAAGAATTTGATTTTGGACCCGTCACGGCCGTTTCTATTCGCTGCCTCACGTACAGCCTGTACCTGCTTCCTGACATGAGCAGCTGAGCTGCCATGGACGAATATGGCCTCAGCATGTTTGGCAGCAAATTCAACCCCCGCCTTTGAGGCGCCAGCTTGGAAGAGAACTGGGGTACGCTGAGGTGACGGGTGTGTGTGGTTGTAGGCATTCATCTTATAAAATCGGCCACTATGCTGGACTTTGTGGATCTTTTTGGGATCATAGGCCATGTCGCGCTCCTTATCGAACACCTGACTTTGTCATTTGTTTGCGTGTTCAACGGGGCGTTTGTTGTACTAACCTGAGCGCCGTCTTCCCATGAGCCCTCCCATAAACTGATCGTGTTAGTTGATGCCAAGAAGAACTTGATTCAAGCGTACTCATATAAAATGTCCATGAACTCGTCTGCTCTCTCGTATCTCTCATCATGGGGAATCATTTCGTCCAGTCCCATTGCATCTGCTGCGGCAGTGTTGAAGCTCGTCACAACATTCCAACCGATGCGACCTTTCGTCAGGTGATCCAATGTTGAAAAACTCCGAGCGACGACATAGGGTGCTTTAGACGGTTAAATGCCCGCACGCCTGCTTTGAAGACCTTACTCACGAATGTAACTCGTAGTGTATGTGCATGTGATTCCGACCGTGGTTGTTGCCATAGCCATTGGCCCGGCGAACATCAGAGGATCCATGTGCCCAACATGGCCTCCTCCTAGGAAAATGGCGGAGGCCGATTTCTCATAGGTTTCAGGATTCCCGTATGAGTCGGTGAAAAATATAGTCGTGATCTTTGCCTTTTCCGCAAGTTTTGCTAGTTCGATATAGTACTCTATCTGGTCTTTCGTATAGGACTTGTCTTTAGGATCTCTGGTTCGTATGTTAGTACCAAACTCACTTTGTTACCAAATTTTTAAGTCCTTACTTCCATTGTCCCATGCATGCGGAATTACCGACGCTGGTATTGTCGACAAAGTTGAGCTGAATCTGTTTGCGCACCATCTTGAAACTTAAAATTGTTGGATACTGATGGTTCATCGGAGGACAAGTGATAGATTCAATATTTATATAATTGCATAGTTGACACAGTTCAATTGATGCTACAGGGGTCCTCCAATTCCCGTTAAGGGCCGCCTTCGCAGTAGCAGCAACTGGTATCGGATTTTTCCGATTCAGTCGGAATTCTACGCAATATTTGGAGGTCTAATCTCTGGCAATATTATAAAAAACTCTGATAATGTCATCTGGAAACCCCCGACAAGTAATTGTGTCACATGAGCAGGCTCCGGAAGTATACCTAGCTGTTTTTATGAGCTACTCTTGAGGCACTGCACTCCACATATGCTAAATGCCTTCAGCCACAACGCATAGGCGTTCCAAACTATTCGTACACTCCGCCGAATTATCCGCTCTGGCCATGATCTAAAATTCTAAATAGAATGCTAATGTCAATTGTTAGCGTGTCTACTTACATCCGAGCTTATTGATACCATATCCATCACGGGGGCCACGATTGGCTCAAAATCATCGGAGCTTTCCAGTGCCTATGGAAATCTCCGATGTATCTTTTGAGTTTATCGCGGTTGGAACAAGCCGGTTTGGGTTAGATAAGGGCTGCGTGGGTGCAATTAGTTGTCTATGTCCGAATGTCGTTCAGAAGTTTAATCGAAATCTAAGCAAGGTAGCCAAATCCTCGAAATAGCGATAAGTCTTTATATAAAACGAGAATATCTGTTGTTCTCTCCTCTATTATCTCGATGCATTTCTTCGCCTGTGTTTATTCTTGTCTATTTCAAAGAAACAACGAAACTCTCTCCTTGTATGCATCAGTATGATGTCGGATCTCAAAGACGCTAAAAGCGAGAGTGCGGTCGCTGTAAGCTTATCTGGAGCTGACGATACTCCAGTCCCATCGGGAAGCGAGATTTACATTGATCCCGAAATGGAGAAACGGGTCATGGCCAAATTTGACCGCTATATGTTGCCGCAAATCACAATCTTGCCCTTCATATTGTTTCTTGACCGATCAAATATAGGCAACGCCAAAGTATTTGGCTTTGAGCAGAGCCTCGGATTGGTAGGGAATCAATACGGGAACATCAATACCATCTTCTACGCCAGCTACGTTGTATTTGAGATACCTTGGGTCGTAGGGTAGGCTAAAAGTCCGACAGTCTGCGGCTGGTGTGCTCTAACTTCATAACAGGATGAAACGCTGGGGTGCGAACATAGTGATTCCAATCTCATTCGTCTGCTGGAGCCTTGTTACTCTCGGAACAGGCTTTGTCCAGAACTATGGGCAGACCATTGCACTGCGGGTTCTTCTTGGAGTATTTGAGTCTGGTCTATTTCCTGGATTGACTTTTCTCATATCTACCATCTATTCAAGAGAAGCCCAAGGAATGAGAGTTGCTTTCATATATCTTGCGGGAGCCCTCTCGGGGGCATTTGGGGGTCTTATTGCCTATGGGATTCAGTTAATGGGCGATAGGCTAGGATTAGAAGCCTGGCGCTGGCTTTTTATCATTGAAGGCTGCGTATCGGTCGTGATCTGCGGTATTGCATGGTTCACACTCCCTAAAAACGCCGAGAATGCCTGGTTTCTCACCACAGAGGAAAAAGAGTTGATGCAGAGAAGAAAGCAAAGAGATATCATCTTCAAGGGTGACGATGAATTTTCTTGGAAGTATATACCAATGGCTTTCAAAGACGTGCACATATACATAGCTGCTATGTGCGCCTTCTGCAGCTCCATCCCATTGTTTGGTTTCGCAACCTTTCTGCCCACCATTCTCGTCGGCATGGGGTAAGTCAATAATGCTCCCCCATTCGTTCCACATTGTCGAGGGGATCTGAAACACTCGATAATGATACCCATCAAGTCTAAGCAGGCGCTAATAAAGAGCAACTAGTTACACTTCAATGCAAGCGAATTACCTCACTATTCCGGTATATTTCTGGGGCAGCATCTTGTTATTTGCAGCTGCATGGGTATCAGATCACTTTAAAAATCGTGCATTAGTAGCTTTCGTTGCTCCACTTGCTGTTATACTTGGTTACGCCATCGCTTTAGGAACATCAAATGCAGGCGCCGGCTACTTTGCGATGTTTTTGTGTGCCGGGGGTGAGACCACTTGATTCCCCGCTACAAAAAATGCAACACGTTTTGCTAACAAGCTGTATTCTAGGGATATACGTCTACAACACTATACTTTATACTTGGATTGCGAATAACCTCAAACCAGATTATAAGAGAAGCGTTGGAATCCCGCTCTTTGCATCCTTGTCAAATGTCTCTGGTACGATTTCTTCTCAAATATACCCATCAACTGATGCACCACGGTGAGTCTATATCCTCGTATCATTATTGATGGTACACCAAAAAAACATACCGGCGGTCTGAAGAGTTAAAAGAGTTAACTAATGCCGACTTGCTAGATATATACTGGGTAACGCGATCAGTCTGACAATGGAAGTTGTTGCGATGACAGGCATCGGTATCATCTTCCTATTGCTTAGATCAAGGAACAATAAGAAACAGAAACTCATCGATGAAGGAGTAACTGACAATGGAAAAGATGGTGATAAGGCACTGGACTTCAAATACATTCTTTAGAGGCGCAATTTGGGGCTGACATTACTTTTCCTTTGAATATAAGGATAAGTAACTAGTAAAGAAGTCGATTCCTTTCAAGATCCTTCACTTTGCTGGGTACCCCATGTGAACATTCCTCTTTAGTAGTTCTATAATTTTGTTTGATAATATAATTATCTAAGAGTAGCCCTTCACAATTCTAATTCAGTCCTGAGAGATATGCGTGTTTTGGTCAAGCGTATGATCTAGCCCCGCATTCGATAGTTTCTAAGCCTGTTTCTACAAAATTCTTCTTGGTGATGAATGCACATATCTTTCCACTCCTTCGAAGCATTGTAAATACAGAGGGTAGATTGACTGGATTAATAGTGGAATGGAATGGAAAGTGCTTTTCGTGAAAGCGAAAAGAGGTGTCATCCTTGCAAGTGGTGGATTCGGCAGGTCACCAGAAGCCCGAAATTATGTGCCACACGAATGGTGCATTCGCCTCGAGGCAATGTCGGTGATGGAAAGCGGATTGGAATTGAAAGTAGCGGTAATGTTGGAAACAAATACAGAGACAGTGCGATTTCCGCCCCTATATCAATCCTGCGACCCAAGAAGGGCCCTGTGCGGCGATATTCTCATTTCGCGATCGATCGCTCGTAGCCAGGGCTCCATCATCGTGGGCCCAAATGGCAAGCAGTTTGCAAACGATTTCGAACCATATCAAGACTTTGCGGGAATGATGCATAACAAGAGAATCAAAAAAGCATTCATGATTACCGACAAACATTTCCTGCGCAAATACGGAAAGGGTAATATAGCTTTGCCGAGGCCATATCCAATCTTTCGTCTCCTGCGTCAAAGATACCTTTCTCAAGCACCAACCATCGCCTCGTTAATGATGTAAATTAATGTACCCCAAAATACGCTGATGGAAACGGTTCGACAGTGCAACTAGAACGTGGAGACTGGACAAGATCCTCAGTTCCACCGCGGTTCCAACATCTACGACAACTTTTACGGCGATTCAATCATCGGGGCTCCCCAATCCAAATCTTGGGCCATGCTCAAAGGGGCCATTCTACGCGCTGCCTCTATATCTAGGCAATGTGAGCACCGTGGTCGGCTTAAAACGGACCAAGACGTGATGGTTTTAAGCGGGGAGGGAAAAGTTATATAAGGATTGTTTGCAGTTGGATGTGATCAACATAGTTTAATGAGAGGGACCGGGTGGTGGCTGTAGCATTGGTTAGGGGATGACTTTTGCATACCGGACAGCGAATTTCATCGCTGAAAATGGTAAATAAAACAAAATAGCTGGCTATTTGTACCCCTGTCTGTTGGTAAAGCTAAGACGAGCAGTTAGTTGCGTGATAGCTCTTGAATATGCTCTTGTTAGGGTTAGGGTTAACTTGAGACACACAATGAATCAGTTCTTCCCGTACAGAAACTCCTTTACCACTGGTTTCGCAACCGGCATGAACGGTTTTATTCACAACTATCTGGGTTTACTCTATCTCCATGATACTTAACGAGAACCTATGATGGGAAGCGTCAGGTACGACCGCCTGTCACCACCAGTATAGATTGTTGTCTTCCCACCAAAAATCTCGGTAGGCCTATCCGTCTTATTTGTGTGAAGCCATGGCCCGGACCCTTTAGAGACCCATGCCTCGTTACCTTGCCCAACCCATTTGCGCTCAAAGTCCTGGCCACTGATCTGCAGCGCCAAGCGATACCCCTTCGGCAGTATGACACTCGTCGGCCAGATCTCGACATCCAACTCGTATACTTCATCCGGTCGCAGTGGTTGGATCTCGTCGTGGCTGTGATACGGACGATAAGGCTTTGACTTGGAAGGATCCAGTTTGCGGTGCGAAGCGCGTAGCCAGCCTTGTGCCAGGGGTGTGCGAGGATCGATTGTGCCTTGAAAGTCTACTTCGCGACCATCTGGTGAAAAGGCCTGTAAAGTGAGGAACAAGTCGGCGTCAATTGTGCTTGGTGACAGGAAAAGCTTAGCGGCGAGTGGTCCGGTCAACTCTGTCTCTACAACCAGAGGGGGTCCCATGAAAGTTATGGGTTCTCTAAGAGCATTGAACGTCACTGCTGTTTCCCGCAGAGGTGCGTCGCGCTCAAGGCTTGTATCCGAAGCCGATAGATACATTGAGACCCATTTGGTACGGTCCAGTGGCCAACTCATCTCTTTTCGCTGTTCGAATTCATCAGAGAATGCCCGTCGCATATGTAAAAGTACTGGCGGCTCGTTCTGCCACCCATTATTCTCGCCTTTCAGGAAGTGGTCAAGAAAACGTTTCTGGAGGACCATGCCACGATCAAGGTAGAACCACTCTTCGTGACGGCCAGGATGGCACTCTAGCCATTTTTGGGTCGAGGCGGCCTGTGTAAATGCCTCGAAGTTGCCGCGAGTGTGCAGGCCATAGCCGGCCCAGTTTGCTGCACTGAGGAAAGGAACTGTTACCCGTGACCAGTCGGGCGAACGGTCTCGGTAGAACTGGTCATCTAGCGGATGGTCGAGGATATTGTGGAGAGGTTCAGTTCGGTTCTTCGAAAGCTCCCCTTCGGTCAATCTCTGTGGCCCCGAAGCTAGATCATCCAGCCATACATCCATGTGGGCAGCGGGATTTCCGTGCTGAACTGATACCACCTGGCGCGGGTACCATACGTCGAGAAAGCCATTGCTTAAGATGCCTCCGTGGCGAGCAAAGTCGCGGTAGAAATCAGCAGCTCCCTCCCACGGGATCATAGCTGCCAGGTGAGGTGGCTGTAGAGATGCTACAAGCCATTGATTAATTGCGTAGTATGATATGCCATTGAGCCCGACCTTGCCATTGCTCCAAGGTTGTATACCTGCCCACTCAATAGCATCGTAGTAATCCTGTGTCTCCCGGGGGGAAAGGATGTCCAGCAGACCAGGCGATCTCCCTGCACCTCTCGAATCCACACGGAGGCAGACATAGCCCCATTTGACCCAAATTTCAGGGTCGACCGTTTCCCATACCATGTACTCCCGAGTTGACCCAGGCAGGATGTCGGGGTAGGTCTTCATCATCCAATTCCACTGAGGAGTGAAGCCGTCCTTGTAGCGAATCCCTTTGCCATATGGTCCAAGAGTCATAATCACAGGAGCTGGCTTGCCATCGATTGGACGGAAAATGTCCGCCAGCACCACACTTCCATCATTCGTGGGAATACTGATGTCGCGTTCGATAATCATGTTTCAGGATATTGTTCGTAAGAAACCCAAGAGAGTTCAGAATGGTACAACGCGAGGACTTCAAAAATCGTATTCTGAACTCTTATTATCTTCAGAAGCTAATACTACTAACGGTCCAGGAAATACTACTTTGTTCTTGAGAAGTGGTGTCTTTACACAGTGACCTGGATGTGGATACATGGCCTTGGACGGCTTCTCTGGCCGAGGATGCTGTCCTGAGCGGGGTTTTCGTGGACATATAACGCCATGAAATTAATGCGTCTTAACTCCGCTCATCAGTTACTACATGTAGCTTTTGTCTTTTCCCTAGCTTTGGTTCGCCTCGCATTTCCCTACTCCAAGATACTTGAAATGGTAAAACCCCAATCGTCATAGGTTTAAGAATGTCGATTGCAGGGAGTAGTCTGTGATGACTTGTGATGACTCCTCTCTTCTGTGTCTACTCCGTAAACGCCGCACATGAGAACATGGGTGGCTTACCCCGCATACACACACGGTCAGTAACAGCAGTGCTGTCTTGTGAGAATCGTAACCTTCGAGCAGGTCGTAGATACAGTTCAGCTTACGGTTATAGATCAGGGCAGCGAAGAGGGCTCTCCCAAGTATTGAGGCTCTCAAATGCTCAAGCTCTAATGTCTATCTAATATTCATCCTAAACTCCAGCTGCCCAACCAAATCGAAGGCCACAATAGACGTGATGATGAAACGGACTGCCATAGTAACCGGATCTAGTCGAGGAACGTGAGTTCAGTGGGCCATATATGTTGTTGGGCCAGGTGAGTATTTTTGGACTTTGTATGTCCTGACGTGTGTCTCAGTGGGGAAGCCATTGCACGTCGTCTTGCTGTTAACGGATATCGAGTCTGCATCAACGATCTCGCCGCCAATCAAGCCTTCATCGACTCTGTTATCAGATCGATTAATGAGTGACATGGATCTGACACTGCAATTGGCGTAGTGGCAGACGTCACCACTCCAATGCCGTCCAAGTACAAGCTCTGAATCGATTCGTCTATCAGACAACTGGGACCGCTCACCGTCATGGTTGCTAACGCCGGGGTCTGCCAAATAAAAAAGATTTAAATATCACCTAGAATGGTATGAGGAATGTTTGATGTTAATGTTCTCGGACTCTTTCTCTGTTTCACCCTCGCTGCAAAGCTGATGATTGCTCAAGGGCGCAGGAAAGCGTGTATGTATGCCAGGCGATGTCGCGAGGCTTGTTGGGGGAGTCTTGGCAGGGCCAGAGTCAGATTGTTTCACAGGCCAGACAATTGTAATCGATCCTTAAAGATGATTCATACTTTACTGTCGCGGAACGGTAATATCTTCCGGTTTCAACATCAATACATGATTTGTATCTTAAACAACCCCTTTTCATATTTGAAGGTACGCAATTAGGTGTCCATCTCATAAATTTATCTCTGTAAATCACGTTGTTCGAAACTCAACTCATTTGGGAACAGCCTCGTATAGCCTGATGAAGCAAAATTCTGCGTCGCATAAACTCTCAGATACTTGCAACTATTTCTTATGCAGAACGCTCTCAATCTGTTTTTTGGCATCTAGCACGGTGCAGATAAACAATTGTCTCCGATTTTAGGTTTGCTCTACTTAGTGAGGAAACACTTTTTATAATAAACTTGCGTACGTAGAAAGCGGTCAGAGTGAGACAAATAGAGATGAGACGCGCACGTCCAAACAATTTATATTAATTGTGTGTTAATTTTTAAAATCTATCATGGAGACATAGTATTCCCAGTTTATATGACAGATATGCGGTTCGGCAGACTAGAGCCTTCCATACACTTTTGAATATCGAAGAACTTCAAAGATCCTCTATTCTAACCACACTATATGAAGGCTCTTCATATGGATGCGCCCTAAAAACTCTTTTTATTTTAGTAGACATACATCGTGGGATGTCTCTGTTGAGGGGGGAAAAAGTCGGACTTGCCTCGTCAGTGCCTCAACGGCTATTTTAGCAACCTCCTTATCGATACAAATTGTTTCGACTGTGATCTTCTGTACCTGCTCGAGGGTTTCTGCAGTTCCGATTTAAGGATTCGCTGTTTTTCCCGGTCGAAAAATGTGCAAATTAATCAATATTCTCAGGGCACTTTTGTCCTGCGAACTGCCCTACATGTCTTTGCAGAAGTTTAATAGCCATACTGCGTAGCTGGACTCGAAGCTCCTCGTTGCCTTTACTCAAATTCTCAACCCTGTTGGCCGCACGTTGCAAGATCTCCAACTTAGTAAGAAGAGACTTATCCAAGCTCGGAATCTCGTCGCGCAGGGAATGGTACAGCTGCTCTATTTTCACACCCCTGATCCGATCGCTATCAATTTTCACTCGTTTGTGTCTATCAGGCCTCGGACAGTCGACATTGGTGACGGAAAAATTTATGGATATAACAGAAATTTCAAACGTATGTTGAATGCAGCCTGTGAGAGTTTTGTATCTACCCTGCTCTGGTTCGTTAAATTTTGGAAGGTCGCACGGTGGGTGATAACCATGAGCAGTAATGCAGCATCAGAACCCAAGATTAGACAATCTACATTTCCTTGGCTGGGGCGTGTTGCTCTTACTGCAGTCATTGCCTTTCGGAATATGCGACCTTGAACTCGTTAGAGACTAGAAAACAGCTTTTAGTAACATCTAATGATAGCTTCGTCTCTCAAGTTGTTCCTATTCATCTCTCTAGAAAGATTGGTGCAGAGTCTGAGCTCTTCGCAACGTGAGTCAAGTGAATTTGAAGCACAGTTTTATAAATATCATTGCTGAGAACGATTGAACGACATGAATAACTACCCGTCCACCTCTTTCGTAGCCTAAGAAACTAAATAATTGGACTTTATAATTGCTTATGCTAATATAGTTGAGTTAGGTCGCAACACTAGGCTCCAATGAGCAAATGAGGACGGCTAAAACTTGCACAGTGTGCCTACCTTATGCTTTTCGTCACCTTAGTCGCCATCTCCACTGCACGACTTATTCAAATAAACTCATTGAACAGTACAGGCTGTATTCTATACAAAACATGGACTATCTAGGACTGGAGGATAAGCAGCATCCAGTCACTCGGTGGGGCCAGAAATATAGTGGATAGTCATCGAGGCACAATCATGGGTATAGGTGGAACCCCTAAGCCCGCCGATGCCCACTCCAGGCCCAAACCGTACTACATAACGCGGGGTTAACATGTCTGTGGGGCGAGATGTCCCCGTTCAGATAATGTATTTGAACGACTTGTCGAGATCATATCGTGCTTCGGTGGTAATCCTCGCGGAATCGATCGCCAGCGCAGCATTTGTGCTTCGAGCTACTACGGAGACTGCCTCAACTATCTTTTTTCACAAGCATTGCGCAATGCTGTGATAGAGCTGATCAAAGCAAACTGGCTGAAAATATGGTGGCTATTGGTAAATGACAGGTTGCGGTTACTGTAATCAGTGCCGATTCTGGATCCCAGCTTGAGAAGCTCATTGTATGAAGCTCATTGAATATTCTAGACATAGGCACACCAGATTAAAAGCGGACTCGGGAACATCTAGCCAAATGTTCGATACAGCATTCCATTCCATTAAAAACTACAGTGTACGACATGACTTTACCAGATTGTTGAGGGCTCACGAAGTTTCTTCCTAATAGGTGCGAGAGGCCATTTGGATTAGTATATGATATCTATATTAATTCGTTTGTAGAAGGCGGTATGACTTACCATAAAAGAAGGCAGTTACACCTACAATTTATAGTGATTTGTCAATGTTCTATATTTGCTCTTTATACGATGATCATATATAACTTATATTACATAGTATACTCCAACTCCGAGGGTTTTCATCCGGAAGTGCTCTTCTCATCAAATATCATCAATAAATATCAGTATCACCTAGTATCAGGTCCTGACAGGAGTCTAACTGCGGAATGCAGCAAAGACCCTTTTGTCTATTAACCACACTTTAACGCCCTCTTGCACAATCAGAAGGTTAGTAGCGTTAAAGTTGCTAGCAGTCTGTACTTATCTAATTTTCATTCTAGATACAAAATACGAGTTTGCGGTGTTCGTTAGGTTATCAGTGAAGCGTCGTTCCTGATTCTTTCCAAGTGTTATAGGAAGTATTTTGATTCCTAACGTCATTCTCGGAAAGTCTAGCCGGGTCTAGCTCAACAACTCGCATTCCTGGAACCTGGTTTGAAGCATTCTCAGGATCAAAGTCAAATCGATCCGGTGTTCTTAAAACCTGGCCCATCGATGGATTTTTCGGCACGCTGAAACAGACCAGCCGAACCGGCGGGAGAGGGTTATTGGTTAGACCATATTACTGAGAAACCATGTGAAGAACTGCCGACAACTCGTCCTATCAATGTAAGCCACATCAGGGCAGCCAAAACCAATCCAAATTATTCCCGACAGCCGACTCCCGAGAAACTGGGGTTAAAGCGACTTGCCCCACAAATAGGACGACTAAACGTACGGCTCTTTTTACGGAGGTACAAAGAATGAAAATGTAGTCATCCACAGTCTAACTACGATTTAACATTTTACACAATTTGAAATGGTTTATCGAGTCTATTGCCCGCCTACTATCCCACTTGCGACCTCACTTTCAACATGGCGGGAAGTCGATATCCAATCATGTAGATTTGTATTATTCATCCAATTAATTAAGTCGACAACCTCTTGGACGTCATCGTCCTTTCAACGCTGTCAACCTAAGCAGAACCACTTTCTTGTGAGAGAATACGCAAGACGTTTGTAATCACTGTTATTTAGAACATTTTTGGGATCCACAGCTCCTTGATGTAGATCGCCAGTGCTAGAGGAGTTTAGTTTAGAGTGCGCAACCTCGGCAGAACGCCTCCCAAATCGCCTTCCCAATATTCGGTGCTAGGAGTGGAGTAATACCTAGGCACGTTGCATCAGCCATCACAGTTGACGACGTATGCCTTTGGTGGATGTTCGAAAACCCCTTATAAGTCTCCGCCTGAGAATCTTCTTCTTGTCATGACTGCTGAAGATGAGTAAACCTATGGGATGAAACACTCTTGAGAAACACTCTTGAGAAACACTCTTTCCAACATGGCGGCCTCGTCGAGTTCTTATTATTTTGCCGTCCTGGCGACCAATTTGATGCTTCTAGCGATTTGCCATCATTCGTTGCCAGCATGGCCTTTGAATCTGATTTTGGCGCAGCTCGTCGGCGCCAATCTCGTTTTATTTGCTACCTACAAGGTTGTGCTATATCCATATCTCCTGAGTCCCCTCCGCCATCTCCCTCGCCTGAAGGTAAGCATCTGACCTGACTTTCGAATTTTCTGAGAAAAATACTCGAATACTAATAATTGACTCTTATCCGCAAACAGGGAGGCTATCCTCTGATAAATCATGCCTTATTGACGTTCCAGAGACCGCTCGGCGATCGTCTCTTGAACGTTCATAAGACGGTACCAAATAACGGGATCATCTTATTTCGAGGATTCTTTAACTCTGAAAGTCTCATCTTAACGAGCACCGCGACTCTGGCGGATATCTTGGTCGCTCATCCCTATGATTTTGAAAAGCCTCGCCCCGGGGCGGAATTTCTCTCTCGTGTCTTGGGAAAAGGATTGATTGTGGTGGAAGGCGATCTACACAAGTTCCAGAGAAAGAACATCATGCCAAGTTTCAGTTTCCGGTCGATTAAAAATCTCTACCCCATTTTCTGGAGTAAGTCGGTTGCCTTGACCGAAAGGATCTCGACTGAAACTTTCGGAGTTTCGCCGACCGTCGATGGATCTGGGGCTGTTACTGGCTATGTGGACGTCAACTTCTGGTCGTCTAAGGTGACGTTGGACATGATTGGAATTGCTGGTCTTGGACGAGATTTTAATGTACTAAGCAATTTTGATGATGAATTGGTTGAACACTACGACTTTATTACAGACCCATCTTCCATCCAGAATAGAATTCTGTTTGGGCTCTGGATGGCGGGCCTCAAGTCATTTGCCAAGGTTTTCCTTCGCAGTCACGATCAGAACCTCACACGCAGAACCAATCAACTAAGGATTATCTGCAAGAATCTGATAATGGAGAAGAAGCAATCTCTTAAAGCAGGAAGCGAGGGATCCAAAGATCTTCTGTCGACCTTGTTAGAATCTAACATGTTTTCTGATGATGATCTGGTTGATCAACTTTTGACTTTCCTCGCAGCTGGGTAAGTTACGCCGTTTCCGAACTCCCCCCCCCTTCTCTCTTCTTTTTACTCTCCAAACGCGTTTCTAAAATCCTCTCTAGTCATGAAACCACCTCATCAACCTTCATTTGGGTGGTTTACCTTCTGTCTATTCACAAGGACATTCAATTGCAACTGCGAGAAGAAATTCGGGCTAATATTCCTCACAATCCGGAAGCAAATGCTGAATTTGACCTCGCAGAGACCCTCGAGTCTCTACCCCTCCTCAATGCGGTGTGCAACGAAACTCTTCGATTATACCCCACCGTGCCGCTGACAAGTCGCGTTGCTGCTCGCGATACAACCATTTGCGACGCTCATATTCCCAAGGGAACTCGAATCTTCATGTCACCTTGGGCGATCAATCGTTCTCCAGACCTCTGGGGCGCCGACTCAGAAGAATTCAAACCCGAGCGGTGGATCGATGAGAAGACCGGAAAGCCCAATAAAACCGGAGGTGCGACCAACAACTACTGTGTTATGACTTTTTTGCACGGCCCACGAAGCTGTATCGGGCAAGGTTTTGCCAAGGGAGAGCTACGAGCTTTGGTAGCAGCCTTTATAGGCGCCTTTGATATTGAACTGGAAAATCCCAGTTATGTTCCTGTCCCATCAGGAATCGTCACAACCAAACCTCATGATGGGATGCCGTTGAAGATCAAGCGAGTCGGAGAATGGGCAAGCACCATCATCTGGAAATAAAGTGGGAAGAAAAATATTCCCCCTATATGTTCGCTTCTCGCGGTTAGACATAAATGCTTTAATATGAGTTGAAACTACCTTGTGATGTCATGAGTGCCCTCTTGTTGATTTCTTAGTCTTATAACTCTGAATCAATCTAACAACATCATGGGTTCGGCGACTCCGCCAGACAGCAAGGCAGTAAAACCTTGCCACTGACACTAACGCATGAACCCTGCGTAGAGCTGTATACGGTGCATTAGCGGCATGATTTGGCATAAACCGTCAACCGGACCTGAGAAGCAAAATGTAAACCGGTAATACCTGATAAGAAACCGTATAAGCAGAAGCTGTGACGATCCAAAACCGGCAAATTTGACGGTTTATACGGTCTTCTCCAGCTTTAGTCACATGATTGATAGTACGTGTCAAACTTTGCACACGTTAATTGAGATTATTCAGCAAAAATTGAGTTTATGTGAAGCCTGCCACTGTCGGCTATCTCGGGCAAACAAGAGTTGAGATTCTTCGCTGGAGCTACGTAGGATCTTGCTCAAGAAAACACTTCGGTACTCTATTATATGCAGACTGAATCTTTTCGAGTCGAACGCGCCAGGGATGTGCCGGGAATCTATCACTGTTCTTCTTACGCATGTGAGAAGTCATGACCGTGCGGTGCGAATTTTGTTTACCACTTCCGGACAACATTGAGCGTTTGGCCGGACTATACCAGTAGTAAGTAGGGTTCTTACTTAATACGGGCGCAGCTCGTCAAAACCAGAGAATGGTGCTATTTCAGTCAGGCCTTGGAGGTGTCCGATTATTAATGTTTGTATCTCTCGCCGGATACATGTACTGGTTTTAGATGACACATCCTCTCGTCTAATTTATAGTAGCGATTGTGAGGACACATGCAGTTTACTTGAGGCCACTTTGAAAGTCGTAAAAGACTCGCATTAGGTCTAGTAGAAATGCACTGAATGATATATTTTATATGTGGATAGGAAAACTGGCTTTACGCTTCCCGAATTGGCAGGTTGGCGGTGAGACGCCTCTCCACCTCAGTAGATAGTTCAAACCCGTCAGAGATCTCCATTAGAAAGAACTTCATACATATCCTTCTTTCTCTAACACAAAAAATATATAAAATATATATACAAAAAAGTTTAGTGCGACGACCGGGATTCGAACCCGGGTCACGGTCTATGCCAATATGCAGCAAGATTCTGTAATCTATGCCATGGGAGGACCGTATCGTAACCCCTTGACCATCGTCGCGAGTGTATCGATCTGTTTACTTGCCCAAATTTAGGTATATATGTCATTCAAAAAAGTGCTCGATCCGGATAGATCATCATCATTCAGTATTTATTGTGGCGAGCACGGTGGAGTGAGCAATGTGCAGCATGCCGAAAAGGAAAATATTAACTAAGTTTCCCGTAGCCGATAAATTGCATCTCATATCCGGCTGCCATTGTCTATGTTGCTGTCTTCAACTCCGTGATACATACAAATTCGCATATCCGTGCTATTTTCTTACACTATGTAGTGATTGTCTCCAAGTTGCATGAGTCCAAGACAGGTTATTTACAGCCTTGGTCGGATAGTCTGAGTGCCTTCCCAAGCATCGCCTCCCTCCAACACTTGCCAGCTCTTGACAGCACCAGGCTCGACGCAAACCATGCCTTTATATTCCTCATCCCCAAAGTCACTCATGCCCTTAGCCTTCTCCACCCAAGGGTTCCAGACCGTGACCGTGTTGAGACCCTCTCTGGTGATTGAGAAGAGAGCTTTGCCATCTTGTGTAATACTAACGGGAGCAGTGGGGTCGGTATCCAAGTAGATACGATCAGTCTCGCCTGTAATGGATATTTCCTTGGAGGTTTCCTGCTTGTTCTTCGCATTGTCCGTCTTGTCAGTATAGGTCAAGCTCTGGAGATTCTGCACACGAATTTTCGAGACGTCCTGTTGACAAAATTAGTGGCTCCCTTGCCCGACATTTACGCGCCGCGAACTTACAGGAATTTTGAAATAGTTGTGCAGCAACACATGGAAGTCAAATGGTTGAGATCCTTTGTTTTGGACGTGTATAGATGTTTCCAGGCTCTCCGGGCTGAGAATGACGCTGTATACAAGTCCGAATTCGTATGGCCACGCCTTGCGAAACTGCTCACTCAACATGCTAGACGACAGGCCAAAGTCTAGCTTGACCGTAGAATCCTTCTTCCCGAGTGATTCCGACGACGACTTTCCGAGAAACTCCCAGTTCTGCGAGCGAGCGAATCCATGCTGTGGAAGACTTGACGTGGCGTGGTTTGGAGGTGGTGGGCCAAAGACCTGGTAAGAATAAAGTCCATCAGCAAGCAGACCTACACAACGAAGGAAGAGTTCGGATTCACCGGAAATACAACGGGGATACCACCGCGAATAGCTTTGGATCCATCCAAGATAGCCTTGGAACTGACAAACAGCTGTTCTTGTCCATTGGCGAGCTTCCATGAGGTGACGGTAGCGCCATACAGATGCACCGACACCGACTCTCCTGTTGGAAGTGTGGCCTCAATGGCATTTCCATTAACTTTGACAGTCGGCTGAGGAATAGACGCCCCGACGCCAATTGAGGCAGGCTTGTTGCTACGATCCATCGTTGATGTGTAGTGCCGCGCTCAAATAGCTTGTCTGACAATTGCTGGTTTTATCTTATCGCAAGAAGCGGGGTAACTGACTCTTGAGAAAAGGAAGGATGGACAGTAACAGAAAAGTAATTGAAAGGAAAAAAGAGTAATGGGATTAGTCGAAAGTTGCTGGTAGGACAGGATGAGGTAAGATGGTTTAGTTGCTGAGTTGAGGTGAGGGGGCAGTTGTTGACGTGTAGTCAGTCAGTCTATTATTCGTTGATCGAGGAGAAGGAGGGGCCCAAACTTAATTAATGCCCGCCGGAATCCGTCTCCACCAGTCTTTCATCATTGTGTAGCATTCATTCATTGCTAATGTATATTATTGTTATCGGACCTCTTCTTTCTCATAACATACAGTCTTGACGAACGAATCAATTTTTTTTCTCAAATAACGCATGTGTGTAATACCAGACAGAACATGGAACATCTACTACAATTGGCAAACCTACCGTACTCAATTATGTAAAATTATGTATTTCTTTAACATTTGAAGGTGAATCGCACGCTGGTTCATATATAAAATTAATTCGCGTGAATGTGATTGAAAAAAAGGTATACGCTTGCTTTCAATGTTGGATGCTCAAAAATGCTCGTGTTTTATTACAGCAATATTTTATACAACCCTTCCGCCATTTGGTATTTTCTTGTTGCATATAGACAAGTCATAATAAAAGTTGCCGACCAAACGCCATCGCTATGCACGGCAGTCCCAAATCAAAGATAAAGAAAGAAAGAAAGAAAATTTCAGGTGTGACTTCTTTTAATAGCTTCAACCCGAATGTCGAATAATAGGTCATCCATTTCCCTAAGAACTTCTCTTCCAAAGGTACCATTTTTGACGTCATCGAGTACTTTCCGAAGAGTGTCGAGAATATTATTTGCTGGATTTCCATTATTTTCGACACCACCGTCAGTCTGTGTTGCCAGCGAAACATAATTGCTGCTTTCCTCACGGTCTGTCCTCATGGATGGAATACTACTAGTTGCGTCTTCCATACTAACATCAACGTTATATCCGATGTGTGCTGTTTGCGGCTGATGTTCTGGAAGGGCTTCAATAGCCTGGTCTGATACCTCCAGACGAGTACTTTCTGTCTCGACATCATTTGTAGCAGCACCAGCTTGATTAATTATATCACGAGTAAGAGAAACCATAGAGGCGCGGGATTTCCTGGCAGAGGATCTCGTCAATGGTGATGAGGGATTTTCATTAACTGATTTTGAGGGAGACTGCTGCGGCTTGCTTTTAGGAGTGTCCAACGCCGGTTCCATATCGGAGCCTCCTACACCATTAAGACGTAGAGATCTTCGCCGTTTCAAAGACGGTGGCGAAACTTGAGCTGGAGAGGAGGGCAGATTAGAAGCATCATTTCCATGATGACGCCTGCTCCTTGAACCAGAGATTATCACATTATCGGTAGTGATTTCGGAAGGTCTACTGTTTTTGGCGGGAGACGGTTGCGGCGTTTCGGCATCAGCTGCTCCAATTCCTGGTTGATCGGTTGGCAATTTCCTAGCTGTGATATCTTCACTGGGCTTTCTTTCAACGTCCTTAGCGTCAGCAGCTTTATGCCTAAGAGATCTTCGTTTTCCTCGGACTGGCATCGGGGAAATTTCGGCATTAGCATCCCGTTTTCTTTTCCTGATAGCCGGACCAGCTAGTGGAGTTCCGCTGCTAGACGGGGAATTTTCGATATCTTGCATATCTACAGCTAGTTCCAGATCTTGGCCAAGCTGCGAAGCAAGTTGTTTCTCAAACTCGTCATTGTAAGTATCTGGAATCACATCGATTGGTGTATCTTCCAGTTCGGGTACGTCTTGGCTATAGGTGGCCAGCTCTTGCAATTTGTTTGACTGAGTTTTATGTACTGCCGCGCTGTCTTCGTTGGGTTCTGATGACTGAATTTTGGTATTTCTTGTGCTTCGTCGCCTTCCACCATGCTTCACAGTTTGATTTTCGGGATCCGATGCATATGATTCCGACCTTTGAAGAGCAGAAGCCTTTCTTACAGGTCGACCTGGCCGGCGGCGAGCACGGCGTGATTGAGCTTCGGGAGATAAAACAAGATTCGCTTGTAAATCATCTAGGGCTTCAATTTGCATAGCTGGTGTTTGCTGTGGCCCAGAAGCTACTCTGTCCTTCGCGCCAGGAGTTGGGGATGAGCCGGGAAACTCATCGTCATTCTCTTGTAAGTTTGGAGCAAGTGTGGGTGTCAGTAGAACATCAGAGACACGGTCAGAATCCCGCAAACTGGGTAATTGGACAGGAGTCAGGTTTCCTTCCTCCTTCGCTGGACTAGGTAAAGTAGGCGAGGAAGACCGTAGTCCTTCTAGGAATATGGCAGTATTGCCACGCTGCCGCTCCTTTACTTCTCGCTGACGCTCTGTAAGCAATTGACTTTCCATGTCAGACGCCAGGGGTGATGATTCCACTGCGATGAACTGGATTTGAGAGTTATCATGGCGAAGCCGTCGTCTTGGGGTAACATCGGTAGGCCTTTTTGGTAGCGAGTCTTCATTCCATACCTCAGGCTGTACAATTGGAGATGAGCTGAAGATAGAGGGCCGCACTTTCCGCCGATTTTTATTTTTCAAGTTATCCCTTACAAGTTCTTGAGCGGAGTCAAAACTACAATTGGTATCTTGAGACTCCACCAAGTCTGGAATTTCATAGTCCTATAGACAAGTCAACATTGCAAACCAATTAAGAAATATTAAGGGTGGATGTGTGTATATACCTGAGAACTGGCCTGACTTGATAAGGGGCATGGCAACCGCAATTCAACAAAAGGGTCAAGTTTTTGAAGGGCAGTTTGAACCGCGAGAGGATACGTTGCAAGATCCTGTACCCCGAAAGTATTATTCCACATTTCAATAAACCGGTTCGCTGTTGATTTGTGTACCGATTGCAGACCAGCTGAAACGACGGTTTCATAAAGGCGAAGGGACTCATCATCGTGCTGTATAGTTGTCTGTAAAACATTTGCAATAGCCCCAGAAAATTTCCGGCACTATCTGGTTAGCCACATGACCATAGATGTTTTGTGAAACGGACTTACTGCAGTCATGAGTCTATTGTCAGAACCCTTTTCCGAAGTTATATAGCGATTAGAGTCCTGTAGCCACAAAGACAGACAAAGTTGAAGTTTGTCCAAAATATTGGAACGAAACTGTGGGACGCCACTTCCTAGCCAAGATGTCAAGGATTCAATTACCTCCGCCACTGCTAAGCTCTCCTCAGGTTTGAATTGCTCGTAAGCATCCTCCATAACCTTGGAGACAAGTTCAAAAAGCTTATCTGGGAAGAATGCTTTATTGAACGGCGGAGTTCCACGGTTAAAGCCAGCTAGTGATGGCCGCATTTCATTTTGTTGGCAATAAGGAAGTGATAAAGCCTGACCAATAAGGGCCTTCAAGGGCGCATATGACACGGCGCGAGTCAATTGTAGCAAATTTGCAGCTATGGGCTCAATAATGAGTGTCGCGATACCACGTTCTCCCCGTTCGGTCCGAACAGTGCGTACATAAGCGTCAAGGAGCGAATTCCATGTCTCAAAAGCCATTGTAAATTGTAACCCGCGGGTGAGAACCGTCTTAACATTATCATAATCGCGCGAGATGGTACCATCTCGATCTCTAGGTGTCTCCATAGGGAAAGAGTTCAGGCAATTAATCGTCAACATTGCAGTAGCTTCCCAGATACAGCGATTCAGCACTGGAGCAATATTGCTTTCAATTAGTGGCAGTTGGATGCATCTCTCGAGAAATTCTAGACGAGACCCTCTTGATTGTCGGCCGCTACATGCAGCTTCCAATAAACTGTGAACTGAATGTAGATGGAATTCGTATGACTCTGAGATCTCGCCGGAAGAACTAACGATGCGGAAAATATACATGAAAGGGCTGTCAAGGTTGGTATCGATATTTGCGCGACGATGTGTTGGGGTATTGTCAGCTTGAAAAGTTTCTTGGGCAGTCTTCAGAAGTAGCTTTTCGGTAAATGGAGATGGCCCAATCGCTGCTATAAGTGTTCTGGATAGGAACGTAAACCGATCTAAGAACTCATCGTTGGTTTCAGCATTCAATGAAGCCGGGGCTCCAAGTCGAAGGCGTTGGAAAATATCAAGAACGCTTGCTATTGCTTGCATTAACTCTGCCGAAGCTTTAATTTCCTTGCTTGACGCGTCTGCTAGTGCTTTACAGAGATTAGTCCAGGCGATGGCGATGTCTGACGTTGTGTCATTTCCAGGTCGCCATGTAGCTGTCCCAAATAGAGCCTCAAAAACCCTGAGAATCGACACAATGCGAGTTCTGGTCCATTTGCAATCAATTGGAAGTAGATGTTCTGGCTCCATCTTTTGTACTTCGTTGAGCTTGTTTTCTACCCATGGCTTGGGCTGATTACTCCAAAGTAAAGAACTCAGTGCTTTGCACGCAGCATCGTTCAGCTGCGAGCTAGTGGTGAAGATGTTGACAAGCGGCTGGTTTACATATTCTTCCCAAATGAAGTCGATATGCTCATAAGACGCGCTCGGACGAAATGCGTAGTAGAGAAGGTTGTAGTAGCTAGACAGTATGATCGGACTGATATTGGTGGCCGACTTTTCACTTTTTCTGCGATCAAATTGTGATATAATTGGTTTGGTGAGCATCTTCATCATACTATTACTTGTGTCATCGCTACAAGTAATGACGTAGACAAATCGATTCCATCCATAAATAGCCTGCGCCTTGATTGACGACTCGCTACAGTTGAAGCATCGCTGCAGAACAAGAACCCATTCCTTAAAATATTCCCATTTCTCAATATTGAACCGTTTGCTTCTCAGCAGCAAGACAATGGTGCTCCATATTTCGGGAACATGCACACCACTCTCAACGGAAGACATCATCCGTGACATTCTCTCGCAGATTTCTGATACAAGTCTTCGGCCTTGAGAAATTTCTTTGCTGAAAACGTCTAAGACAGCCTTCGATACATTCAAGTTCGGGCCAAGCAAGACGGAAACCTGCTTACCGAATGCTAAGGCTTTTGATCTTGCATCCTTGAATGTATGCAGAAGACCTGAAATCAAATTTTCAACCCATAATGAGGCTTGTGAGGCCATGGTAATCTTTGACTGGCTGAGCAAGCGCGTATAGATCCCAAAACGCTGTGAGATAATCCCATTTCCGCTGATGCGCTCGGTAATGTCGCTTAGCACAGCCAAAATACGTGTTACACGGGAGTTCGTCATTATTTTCGGAGGAAATGTTTGCATGCAGAGAACGTGTGCGTAGTGATTCAGCACAGTTTTAGGGAGTTTGGCGTCCTGCAGAGCCCCTAAAGCGTGGTCGACCATGAAAATCTTGAAGTCATCGGGAAGATTAGCACCAAGTGTTTCGTTCCACATAATATACATCGCCAACTTCAAGGCGTTTGTGACCACATTCATCCCTACAACTTCTCCCTTGCGAATATCTCGACCGATGTCACGCTGGATATATTGGGCTAAGGGGCCGACTTTCGAGGCCATCAAGCTTTGCTCTGGAATGTTTTCATAGGCCTTGGACGTCCCTAAAAGATGCCTGTAAGCATCTACCCGGGAGCTCAAAGATTCCCCTGCCAGTTGTTGCATTGCAGACTCCAATAGCATAGCGAATGTTTGTGGTTGGCTTCCTTCTACAGGGATCGCGGACGGGTCTGGCACCGTGGTGCTCGTAGTTTTGAGGATGGATTTCGCGGGTTTTCGTTCATTGGAACGAGGAATCGAGCGTATTGCGCTATTCTGGGCAGATGCTGAATTTGAAGAATTCAGAGGCTTTATATAGCTTGTGATGGGTGAAAAGTTCACTTTCTTGCTAGACCTCAAAACAGTCGATTCCGCCGTGGAAGGGGACTCCCCGGGAGTATTGAGTACGTTGGGTCGGCCTTGGAAACCGTCTCCATCTCGACTAAAAAGGGCATGGGATGCCCTTGGGGGAGTTGGCGGACGAGCCGGCAATGCGAGGATTTCCACCATGGCGGAAAGGACAAAGGGACGCTATGAATGAATAGTAAGAAAATAATGAGAAGCAGCACTCATTGCTGTGGAGAACCGAATCAACCGCAAATCATAAAACTGCCCATATTAGTTTCTCCTGAAGGGAAAGTCGCTTTGGCTGGTGATCGATGGTCTGGCGGTGACCAAGTTGTGATGGGGTAGTGAGAATAGTGCATTTGCTACAAAGACGCGAGGTCCAGTCGCGGCGAAGGAAGGAGAAGGTCGCGATTGCACCTGCAGCGCGTAAAGTGGATGGCGCGCGTTGTCCGGCGTTCTCGTATTACCGTATTTTATCCCGCCCGGTATGCATGCCTGAGGCTCAAAGTGCGTTAGCCCTACAATAGCCCCTTTCGGAAAGTCCTTTCACCTCTACATGGGATTATGAAATTCAGCAGTTCGGTTTAATATTTCTGCAAACACAATCATACATGTCACTTTTACTCTTTCTTCTTTTTCAGATCACGGCTCGTCTCGAATCAATAGGACTAGCAACCACGCCGTTACCTGATGTGAACTTTTCTACTCTTCACCATATATAAAAGTACATGACGGCACCGAGCTCATTATTTAATAGCTCAAAGCAATTTAACTGGCGATCATATCTCTTGGTTTATTTTAATACGTTTGAGAACAGCCCTACGGCCTTCAGCAAGTTGTAATATAAAGGCCAATTCTGTGGAGATGTCAGCAAATACAAATAAAAGTAACTGCGTGTATAAGCTTACGGGGAAGGATTATAGTCTTCAAACCAATCAATATTTGTACTGCCAGCATTTTTCAACTCAAAAGCGATAGTTTGACCGCCAGGGCAAGAGAAATTGGTAATGCTATACGAATGACCAGGTGATACGACCGTGATTCCATAGTTAGTTTTCACTGCTGGAGCATTACTAGCAGAGGTCTGTATACTAGCGGGAGATTGAAGCTGGGCAAAGTCAATTGCACCATTGCCGCTGAAAGAGAATGACGAAGTCTCAAGCTTGTCTTGCGTGGGGAAGAGAAAGACTAGAGAGCATTGCTTGCCGAAAAGTTCCGAGGGAATGTCGAAATTGAATATCGAGGAGATTGTCGACGTAACAGTGCCGTTGAAAGAAGTCCCAGGAGTTGAAGATGGAGAGGAACTATCGATTGGTATGATCAGGTGCGGGAATTCATAATGCCCAGCAGTGAGGTTAGTTGGGCAGCCTGTCCCTGATGGGCTAGAAGGCGGGCCAATGGGAGGAGGCGGCCCTTGTCCTCCAGGGGGTCGAGGCGGAGGGGGAAAACTCCCGGGGGTGGAGTGGTCGAATTTATACTAGGGCCCGTTGAGTTGCCCGGACCGCCTGGGGCACCAGGGCTTTTTGGAACGCCAGGGCCACTCGGAGGAGCTGGAGCACCTGGAGCAACTGGGCCACCTGGGGTTGCTGGAGTGATACCCGGAGCACCTGGCGCCGCAGGGGCATTTGGCGAAGGCCCTGTTGACTTGCAGTTATTTGCTTCAAGGGTGATATTTTGACACTTGCTAACATCCGAGGGTGCGGGGTTTGTATAGATGTTCAATTGGTCCTCCTGGCCAGATTGGCATGCTATAAAGTCCGTGGAAGTATTATGGTGCAGTCTCCCACTTGAATCAATGGCAAACCCAGGAATCGGATGTGCTCCTTCGTCACATTGTAATTGAGAGGTAGGCGCTAGAGGTTAAAAATAAGCATGTGTACTTGAGAGAAAGCGCAGAGAATATGAGAGAGAACATACGTGTGAAAAAGCAACCACGGTGTTTCGCATCTGTTATCCCACCAGAAGAGTCGATACAGAACTGACTAGCTAGCGTGCTATTACCAAGACGAGTTTGGCCATCATCTATCTGTCCAAGACGGCCTGAAGAGGTCCCAGATACTGTCATATTAAAGCAACAGGTTGCATTTTGAGTCACTAAAGCATTTGCCGTTGCTATACAAGCGGTGACAGCAAAGACAGTCTTCATAATCAAGAGCCGATACAAAAAAGAAGAGTTCTAGAATAGTATAAAAAATCGTAAGTTGCTTATTTTAGAGCTGGGGGTGGAAGGACAAGGGTAAGGAAGACTAACGAGATATTTCCTTCAGGTTTCTTACCTGACAAATATATGAAACTGAGAGATAATTCCCGAGCGAATATCTGGAAAGAAGGCAGACTGTAATCACGCTACCAGAGAGTAGTCTAAGAGTATAAATCGACTTATTTGCTGGATAAAGCTGGCCGGAATGGACTACAATAACCTTGAAATTGGGTTCCTAAAGTTGCTTTATCGAAGAGCGGTAAGTTTGGAATATATGGCCTGCTATTGCCTGTCAAGTTCGCTTGGCTAGGGAAACATATGATGAGCTCAGTCATCATACGCAATCACTTCGGATTATTTTGGACAGAGAGGCAAGACAAAATGAGCCTATAATGGTTTGTCTTTCTTCATATGGCATAATTGGTTCCTGTTCCCGACCATAAAGCGCCTTGAAGTGGCCGAGTTGAAGATAGATGGCGAGAGGCTATCAGCGTCATGCCAGTGAGTGCTTGTCTATATTGATTCCCGGTCTTTGTCTCCTGTTGGGCACGGAAATTCAAATATGTAAATTATCCAGTCGGGTTGAGTTCCCGTTCTACTCAATACCAAGGTCGTCGTTGTGAAAAGTATTGGCAAAGACTGGCATGGGCCTCACGATGTCCATCTAATCAGAGAATCAGAAAGAGCCACGTCATTCTGAAATCGAACCAACGGAAAGTTCCCAAATTAAATTATTTATGTGTCTATTTCAACATTTAGAATCAGAACTTCTTCTAGCTAAAAATTGAATATAGTTCATGTAAACTATAAAGTTACAAGCGTCATACCTGAAGTTTAAAATCTGAGTAACGATCGGCTGGCGCGTAATTACTTGGTCCTTTCAATCTTTCAACAGTTTCTCTTTCTTTTGAGTTCTCAAGTTGCCAACGCATATAACCACAAGGGTGTGTACCCTGGATAACTTGCGAGTAGAAAGGTTAGCGAAAATGACGACGCAATAGCCACCACCACCACCAGAAGAAAAGGATGACTTGCCTGTGCGATATTTCCAAACAGTGCCTAGAATTCCTCGTGTTGTTTTAAAGTGGCGGTAACAATGATGACGTATATATCTCGCTTTTATTTTGGACAAGCTGCGTAAGCGCTCGTTAGCTTTAGAACTCTTATGTTGGCCAGATAGTGGCAATATATTGCGTCATAGAACGACATGACGAACATGGCTTTGATGCGTTATCTTTGTAGGCAATTTGCGACAACTGCCGAAGAAAAGCCGATATTAACTGCGTGATGATAAGTGATCGGCTCCACTAGTAAAATGATATAAATTAGGTCTAGACGTCAGTTATCTGAAATTCAAACTTCCTGCACAAAATAACCCCTGCTTAATATCTTGAGAATCAATCTACACCTGCTAAATCTTTGTATTAATGAGTTATGTCTGTTATTTATAACGATATTATTCATATAAACAATATCGGAGCTAGTTATCGGTTTTATATACTTAGCTACACACCTTAACTTATTGAAGTCACTCTAATTACCTCAAATATTACTTTAGACCGTAAAGTCTTATTTATATAAGGTCTCCTAATATGCCATATTCTTCTATTCACTCTACATATATATGCCTTAACGGCTTTTTAAAATCTAACATTGTAGACCTCACACTGACTACGTATTAATGTCTATGGGAGCTTTCTAAGGCCCTCAAAAGTCCCTGGGCTTTACTTGTAACACGGTGAGTAGGGCCGCGTTCAGGGGGTCTAGGTAGACTTAATTTGGGTGAGTTGAAGCTTGCACCGTTTGATATTGAGGTTATAAGCGGGTCTACTAGGAAGGAATATATTGGGATAGTTTATATATGAAGAGAAGGCTTCGAACCAAAGGCTAGTCGAAGCGGCGGAGCTTTATATTGCAAGATAATACAAAGAATACCACTGGATCCTTTCTCTCTAGGCTAGGGAACCAAGCTTATAACCCTGAGTCGGTAAGCAATAGTCTATCCTAGCTGGAATAGGTAAAAATGGGTGTTTTATTTTTAACAATCAGTAGTTATCATTCAATGTACAATCTTTTATAGAATATCCTCAAACAATACTGAATCAGGTCATATGTCCAATCCACCTAGCTTTCATGTTTGCGTGATTCGGTATTTTGAGATCTTCCGCCCTTAAAGTTCTGTCTAGAAACAGTACCTCCTTTCAGCTTCCTGGATTCGCTTTTTTCGTCCTTACACAAAACCGCTTTGACTTGGATCTATCTTCATTGGTTGGAGAGTGTTCCTGTTTTCCTCCTGTTTTCCTGCGGTGTGCTTCGTTTCATCGGGCACATTATATCACTCCTCAATGACCCTTTCTGCATCCTCGTCATTGGTCATGGGATCGTAGTCACCACTGCCAGCCAGTTCTGTGTCGTCTCCAGTTATCATCGGATCACATTTACTCTCAGCATCTGCATTTGCATATTCCTCATCATTGCCCTCCAAATTCCATTCTTCATCAGAACCCTGATTATCCCATTCACCACTTTCACTGACGATGGAATCCGAAGATAACTCATCGTCTGTGCTAAGCCCATCCCACTTATCATCGTCATCGTCATCATCGTCGAATTCTAGCTCTTCCCGAGAGTTTTTTTCTTAAAGCAGGTATCTATCTTTCCCACGATAACCTCCCCCTTAGCTCTAGAGAAATACGTATTTATTAGACGGGTGGTCATCTGCACATCTGCATATCTGCTCCAGGGTTATGCCACTTTTGTGCGAGTTCCTGATCCTCGGAGAAAATAGCCTTGTAAAATTTACCAAGCTGAAGACTCGTTCGAATGTCAAGGTAATCCGCAGCCTCTTTCCACCAACTGAACGGGCGTTGCGACTAGTCGGGTAGCGGAGGCAGCATATCTTCTCGGCCAACAGATTGTAGACCATACAGGAGACATTTATAATCACCGTGGGGTTTCCCCCATTCTAAAAATATCTTGAGTGGATATCCTGGCGACTAGGCCTTAATAGCGTGGGATCACCTGGGCAGTTTTCTAAATTCTTTTCCATGAAGGTATAATTGAGGCACATTTCCTTATGGCATTTTGAGCACCGCGCTCGCTTTTGAACCGCGGATCGTTGAAGACCGTGAAGTTTTGAGGATCGCTTGATTAGGGCTGGGATCATTTGAGCAAAATTCTGGACGCTTTTTCATATTGCTATTGAGACCGGAAAATTCTTTCCCACAGCTAGGACACCGTGCTCGCTTTTCTTTGAACTGCGGAGTAGCGAGGGTCTTGAAGGTTTTGCGAATTATTCTATTGAAACTGGGCCCTGATTGCGGAGGTTCTCCTGGATCACCTGAGCACTTTGCTAAATGCTTTTTCATGAAGGCATAATTAAGGCACATTTTCTTATGACATTTACGCACTGCGCTCGCTTAGTTATGAACCATGTTGAAGACCATGAAGCTTTTCCGGACTGCACTGTTGATGGGAGTCATGACTGATACCTTTTTGGTTGATAAATAACAGAGAGAGGCAGAATATATGAAGACAGTTTGTTTCAGGCTTGGATAAAATATTTGTAATCGGGATGTATTATGACGAGTAATGAAGAAGAAGAAGTAATTGAGAGGGACTTTTATCTATTCTCTTTTCCTGCTCATAACATCAATATTTAGCTTTATTCTGAGCGGCCTTTTACTATTTCTCTAGATTTAAGTTTTCTTTAGATCCATAGCTGAAGAATGCCTTAAAACACTTCCAAGGAATTTCGTTTTACAGATACCCTTCTAGTTGTAGATGTAGTGTTTTGTATTCCCCACTTGTTTAACACCCATATATTAATTCGATACATATCGGAGTAGTTGGTAATAATACACCATGTCACGACATTATAGCCTCAATAGGGCGATATCGCGAATGTTTGTACCGCTGGAATACCGTTATAAGATGATCCAATCATTTCTACACATGTAGGAAGGACATTAAGGCTCTACTGAATTACAATTCTTTGTCAACTGCTGTGTTCAATGCATCAATCCATATAATCTATATGAGCATATTAAATGTATGATATATTTGGCTGACAATGTGTTTTTGTGAAATCATACTACAGTTTCAAAACGTTATTAAGTGATACAGAGCAAATACCGAGGATAGTACGCAATAGGTTTGCTAACATATAGTAAAATGAGCTGACCACATGTGGTCGATTGTCTTGTATCATTGACATAGTGGAACCCTTATTTACTTCTTACTAGCTGGGGGAGCCAATGGAGGTATGGTGGCATGGAATCGACCATGCTGATGATTAAAGACCTGCAGTCTTTGTCCAACTCTTGATAGAACGCAATATGGTAGTCACAGTTGCCTTGCTTCAAGCTCCGCATAGGGAGTATAATTGGAATCACTAGCAAGCTCCGCTATTTCGCTTCCCTGACTATGTGAGGGCACTGCTCCCACCGAAGGTACTGTAAGAGCAGAAGTGGTCTCCGTCATTGTTCCGAAAATTGCTGATGGCTGTTTAGGGCTTTCGAGTTCTGGAATTGTCGGGTAAGAGTCAGAGTAAGGGGCCGTTGATGCGTGGGCAACCCCTTCCTTCTTCGACCGAGAGGAGCGACCAAGGCAAAAATAAACGGCCACAATTCCTGCAATGGCAGCGACACCGCCAACCGTACCCCCTGCAATGGCCCCGGTTGGTGTGTTCGAAGTACTCGGGGTGCTGGGTGGTGAGGTAGATGGGGATGTTGTCGAATCAGAACTGGTGGGGGAGCCTCCTGTGGAAGCAAGGGCACTCGACGAAGTCAGGACAGTTTCTGAAGTACCTGAATCAGCCTGCCTTGCCGTGGACCCTGGACTCGTAGTCAGGGACTCCGTTACCGTGAGAAATGCTGTGGGCTGGGACGAGGTGGTGGACGAGGTGGTGGACGAGGTGGTGGACGAAGCAGACGAGTTTGTCCCGGTGAAGACGATCTGAAGGGACAGTTGAGTGTTGATGCCTGAGTACGAGGTAAGGATAGTGGTTGCCATGTTCGAATGACCGCAGCCATATTGCGAGAAGCCTAGCGGGTATGAGTTCAGGTAGCAGACGGATGTGCCTCGACTGTCATGTATATTCTATTAGAATGATCCAGAGTTGTGGATGGGTGAATTCTCGAACGGACTCACCAGGTGTAGACGTTTGGGCTATCTGCACTGGGCTTTGGGGAGTTCACGTCGACGCACGACGTGTAAATTCCGCAGTTATTCGACGCGGTGGCGCAGCATCCAACAAAGGAGTTGTCCGTGTCCCATACACACGACGAATGTGACGAGCACATAGCTGGCTTAGCACCATTCCCCCCAATCCTAGGAGACGTTAGAGGGTCTCATGGGCAATCTGGACGGCTCTGAAAACTCACCAACCGCATACGCTTACGGGATAAGAGTCTCTACGGTAAAGGTTGTAAAGTGCCAGGTCTTCTTCCATGGTGCTAGTTGGAGCTGGAAACACAGCTTCCGAGGTCACCGTCGCCATAGACGAGCGAGTCTCAGCTGGCCCTCGCCATGGGATAGCGCACCCATGGGCGATGAGCGTGAAGAACAGCAGGATTGACCGGGACATGGATATTACACAACTCGGCCGTCCTAGGCTGTCATGTGGTAGTAAACATCACCAACGGTGCAGGTTAGGATTTCGTTGTCCAGAGAGGAGATCGATCAATAAAACAAGGCTGTGCTACGGTCCTCGGCCCTAGGTACCATTCAATCCCAGCTTCCATGCGGGAAAGGAGAAATGTCCCAGCTGTAACTAATAGTTGAACTGCAGATATCACTAGACCACAAAAGGTCAGCTAGGCTCTTAGTGTAGTACCAGCTCATTAATTACTATTTAACGAAATAAGAGGCCAGACTTAGGTTGGCACTTGTGCAAGCAGAGGACGCGAGCTGTTCCATGTGATGAACCGGGGGGTTCATACGCTAATGCACGAAAGTCACAAACGAGATGAGCTATCAGGTTTTGTTGGATTGACAATGTGTAACCCCGCCAAGCTGTGTAATTAAACCGCGCATATATTGAGTATTGGGTAGTTGTGGTGGGTTTATATGAGCCAAGGAACCCAAATTGTTTCTCAGTATGAATGCTGATCACGTGATATGTGATTGGTAGCGAACAAGTGCCAATCTCATTCACGTATATAGCACATGTATCTTGAATCAGAGATATATCAATTCTCAAGGATATACAAGGAGAGGGCTATGAAAAATGACAATGAATATCTAATAGTACAGTAGAGGCAACACAGCGTCTCACATCTTTCCACCAGTAATTGTCTCGACCACTTTGCGCATTCTTTCTTGTTCAAACTTCCATCTTCCATTCTCATCCTTTGTTTGGATCTTCACAGTATCCTGGATAGTTGGAGGGGCTCCCTTGGCCCAAACATTAACCCCATAGCCACTGTCGGTATTCCATTCATCGCCACCGTCCTCGCGGAACTTTGCTTCGATCTCTTGTTCAAGTTGAGACTCGGTGGTAATGAAATTCCGGGCGTTCATGTAAAGAGTGTGTAGGTCAGTTTGGCGGATTGCGGATTTCTCTAGTTGTTTCGTGAGCACACGCTCTCGGGAGAGCGCAAGACGTGCTTCTCGGTCGGGGTCAGGAAGGATAGCGCTTTGTGTGGGTTTCATAGCCGCCACCGTTGTTGGTCGTGTCAAGCGCTCATCATCTCTCGGTGGCTGTTTAAATACACGTTCTCTTCGCGCTTGCTTCGCGGCACTGCGCCTCATCATGAGATCGTCGGTGGCCTGTTTCCTCTGATACAATTCACGCAGACCATCTCTGAGATTGGCCCTTCGAGACTCTGCCATTTTCTGTTTCCATTGAATGATCTCTGCATTCGGATCGCCCTTTCTGATCATCCTCTCCTTGGTTGGCTCGGGGGTGGCTGCCGAAATGTACGCCCAGGTTGGTTTATCGGCACGGCGACGAGGGAAAATCTCACGAGGGACAGGTAGAGTGCCCTTCACTTGGGGTTTGGGAGGCAGGTCGGGCTGCAATGTCTTCGGTACATCGAGGTAGTTAGGAGACTCGGGTCCGACACGTAGATTAGAGGATATCGAGAAGCTGCGGACCTGCACGCGGGCAGTGCGGCAGTTCCTGGAAAACGACATGGGTGATGCAATCAAGAGCCAGTGTCCAGTGCAATTGAAGACTGAACAAGGTTGAGTCGAAGGGGAAGAGGACTGCGTTGCTGGCGTGTTCCTTCCTGCTCGGCCCAGCTGGAGAAGACAATTTTGCTCCGGGTGGCCCGTGCACCACTAGCCTTTTATTTTTTTTGCCCGCCGCTTCTCACTTCTTTCCTCCTCCCGCCAGCCCTCCCTCGTTCTTCTCTTTTGATTCTTCTGGTAAGAGCCGAAGGAAGACTTTATATCGACACCATGGGCACTGGAAAAAAGGAAGCCAGCCGCCGCGAACGGCAGGGCAAGGTCGGCGATGTAAGCATGCCTGTCCTATATGTGACTACACCGACGATGCTAATTCTTGTGAACAGGGAATGCAAAATGTGAGAACGAAGGGTGAAAACTTCTATCGGTATCTACCCCAGAACCAATGCACTGTTAAATAATCTAATTGTTTATAGCGATGCGAAGAAGGTCCGCCATCTGAATATGTATAAAGACGGCAAAGCCAAGCATGACAAGGACGGCAATATTATCAAGGCTGCCTCGTACCAGTCCACAGAGGTTCCGTCAGCTCGAATTGAGCCGAATCGTAAATGGTTCGGAAATACGCGCGTAATTTCGCAAGAGGCACTGGCTTCGTTTCGCGAGGCCGTTGCGGAGAGGGCTGCCGACCCTTACCAGGTCCTTTTGAAAACGAACAAACTCCCAATGTCGCTGATACGCGACGGGGGCGACAGTAACAACATCAATGGGCTGAAGCAGCACCGAGCGAAGATGGCAATTGAGACCTCTCCGTTTAGTGACACCTTTGGGCCAAAGGCACAGAGGAAAAGACCCAAACTTGCATTTTCTTCCGTCGAAGATCTCGCTGGAGAATCAGTCAAAATGCATGATGATTACATTGAAACCATGGAGAAAAAAGCTCTTCTAAGTGGCAATTCCGGCAACGCTGAAGATGACGAAGATAGTGGGGTTCTTGCAACAGCACGAGAAGCGGTTTTCTCCAAAGGCCAAAGCAAGCGTATCTGGAACGAGCTTTACAAGGTGATTGACTCATCTGACGTCATTATTCATGTCCTGGACGCGCGGGACCCAGAGAATACGAGGTGTACAAGCGTCGAGAAGTACATACGTGAAGAAGCACCGCACAAACATTTGATCTATTTGTTGAATAAAGTTGATCTCGTGCCTACCAAAGTGGCTGTAAGTTTTATCCCTTCGACTCAAATACCCCGTCACAACTTGCATCAAAATATCTACTGGCCTTCTGGTCGGTGCCATTGCTATGTCAAGGCTTCTTCCTGTGCACTTTGTTGCCAATCAATGGGGGTTTTGTCTGTTACAGCTTTGGTAGATTGACGTTCGCCCGCCGCCCTACCTCTTTCTGAGGCTGGGGTTGACTTGTTTTCGTTTTGAAATCAGTCGTACAGGGTGAAGCAGTGATTTGTTTTGAGTTGAATTCTGAGTTTCTGTTGTATAACAGTCCTTGTTGTATCAGAATTCTTAGTAACATTTCACACATCCACATATTTTTCCTGTTTAGCAAGTTCATTATACCGGGTTTTACTGACTGCATATGCTAGGCTGCATGGGTGCGTCGCATTTCCAAGGACTACCCGACTCTTGCTTTTCATGCTTCCATCAACAACTCATTCGGCAAAGGATCTTTGATTCAGCTGCTACGTCAATTCTCCTCACTTCATTCCGATCGTAAGCAAATATCTGTTGGCTTTATTGGGTACGTCATTCTATTCATATATAAGTGTAAATGAGGCGTATGTGCTAATTCCAGTGTTACACCGTAGATATCCAAATGTTGGCAAATCCTCAGTCATTAACACCCTCAGGAAGAAGAAAGTCTGCACCGTTGCACCTATTCCCGGAGAGACAAAGGTCTGGCAGTATATTACGTTGATGAAGAGAATATATCTCATCGACTGTCCTGGAGTAGTACCTCCAAGCAATAATGACACAGAGGAAGATATTCTTCTCCGAGGAGTTGTTAGGGTTGAAAATGTTGAAAATCCTCAACAATATATTCCAGGGTTATTGAAGAGAGTGCAACAACGACACATTGAGCGTACATACGGCATCAAAATCAAGAATTATGAGGATTATTTGGACTTTCTTAGCGTTTTGGCTCGAAAAGGGGGCCGGCTACTGAAAGGAGGAGAGCCAGATCTAGATGGGGTTAGCAAGATGGTCATTAATGACTTTTTGAGAGGCAAATTGCCTTGGTTCACGCCTCCTCCACATGCTGGCGATGACGAAGATGGAAAGATAGAGGGACGAGACGGCCGTCTCGGAGAGATGTCTCGCAAACGCAAAAGAGATGTATCGACATCGGGCTCCAAAGAAGACGAGAATGAGGCTTCTAATGAAGCTGGTGACGAAAAACTCGACGAAAGTGACGATGATGATGGGGCCGGCTTCGAGGGATTTGGGAATTCTGATTCTGACGGAGGTATCGATGTTGGGTCAGACGATGAAGATGAGGAAGACGATGGCAATGCGTCTGCTGCTGATTGAAGGATTTGATTTTGGTCATGACTAATACTCTGAGCTGGAGTCCAGACTCCATGATCTTCCTGCCAACGAAGGTGCATTCCGGATCTGCAAAATGCAGCAAAGCGGCGCCTGCCACGTTACCGTGAGAGCCAGGGACCCGCCTGACTTCGGAGACTATCTTTACCCACCGCTGGACTTGCTGTATTTAGAGGATAGCTATATCTATGTCCATGTTAGCCAGTGGGTGCGTGTGACTTGGCTGGTGCAACACGTCTACTTTGGTAATATAGGTAGACACTTCCCTGGGCCGGCGACGCTGCCGTTGTACGGTCCCTGCCCTTACGATTAGTGATACCCATGAAAATGAACATTCCGCATGCATTAATTATGTGGCAGTAGCCATTGAAATTTGTGGCCCTCTCTTAAAATACTTTTGCCCATTCTAATTGCGGTACGGAGTATATCGTATGATGAGGTAAAAGTAGCTAAGTCCGTGTGGGGTCGATGAGTACAAACAGTAAACGTGACGGACACTCCGCACTGATCGCCAACACTTCCTCTCTGCAAACTGTGACGCTCGAAGCCTGTGCAGCAGCTCGGTTTGGGCACGTATACAGGATCTGCTGGCTGGCTTCCTGTGTATTGACAATGTTTGGTTTAAAATGACATCTTCTCTCCTGTGAGACTCACGCAACCTTTGAAGAATTCGCCCAAACAACCGTGCGACTACCATGGCCGACGATGGACCACGAAGCATGTCCATTGTTCCCTACTCTTCAAATCGGGACGTGGTATTGTAAGTATCCATTGTCTTCAATTCAAGCGTTCGACGACGCGGCTAATGTTTCAGGCGCCACAATGACTCGGTAGTTGTTCTCGATCGCGATTCGCAACAGCTCGTCCTCCGCAATGCGAATGCGAATGCTAGTAATGGCGACCTCGACCTTGACCTCGACCTGACTGACTGCCCATACTGCCACCGACCTATGCGAAACCGCGAAAATGGGTCGGAAACCCACCAAGGTACAAGCCCTTCGCAGCCGAATTTCGTGAACCCAGAGTACTTCCGTCTTCTGCACGACAGTGCGCCTGGGTCGACGTCTACTTCGCCTCCGCCCTCGCCACATCGGCGTTTCCCTCCACCGGCTCTAACAGATGGATCGGTTCCAGAGCATCCATATGGACGGTTGCCGTCTTCCCCACAAGGAATATCGTCGGCTGCCTTTAGTCAAGGCTATTTCAAGAAGTTTTTCATCGAGGAAAGGGAACTGGGACGTGGAGGAAAGGGCGTTGTGCTGTTGGTTAAACACATGCTTGATGGGGTTTCGCTGGGTCATTTCGCGTGTAAGCGCGTGCCCGTTGGAGACGATCATGAATGGCTTGAAAAGGTTCTGATAGAGGTGCAACTGTTGCAACACCTGTCTCACCAGAATCTCGTCTCGTACAGACATGTCTGGTTGGAAAACGCGCAAATCAGCACGTTCAGCCCCAGTGTTCCTTGTGCATTCATTTTACAACAATATTGCAACGCTGGAGATCTGCATAGATATGTATTCGGAGGCGTCCAAGCCTCTTCAACCCCACAGCAGCTGAAGGATCGTCTTCGAAGAAGGTCCAAAGGCCAACGTGATACATCAATGGATCAAGCTGGTCCTCGGAAACTCCACTTCGAGGAAATCTACTCTTTTTTCAAAGACATCACATCGGGTATTCGTTTCCTCCATGCAAATGGATACATTCACCGCGATCTCAAGCCAAGTAACTGCCTTCTACATGACTCTGGTCATGAGGTGAGGGTATTGGTCAGTGACTTTGGAGAAGTTCAGTACGAGCAGTCTGTACGTAACTCAACGGGTACCACTGGCACAGTATCTTACTGTGCCCCCGAAGTGCTGCAACAAGAGTATCCCGATGGCCCGTTTGGCAACTTCACATTCAAATCCGATGTTTTCTCAATGGGAATGATTCTTCATTTCCTGTGCTTTGCGCAACTTCCCTATCGCAGTGCAGATATTATCGAAGAAAAGGAAGACATCGATGAACTTCGAGCAGAGATCACTCAATGGGGTGGATTTGACGAATCTCTCAAGAAACTCCGACCTGATTTCCCCGACAAGTTATACTTGATTTTAGAACGGTTACTCTCAGTGAATCCAGATCGTAGGCCAACTGCAGATGAGGTCTTAATAAGCATACAAGCAGGAGTCACTAGCAACGAAAGCCGTCGATACACTCAACCTGGCTCGAATGGCCCGGAATTCCCTTCCATGACCCGAATCAAGCCCGTTGAATCTCCAGCTCCCAACAGCCCACGACCACCTCGATCGCCTTCAAAATCTATGTCACGTGGTGCGGGAAACCTTCATTCTGTCTCCCCAGTTAGGTATGAAACACGAAGCGTCACTGCTTCCCGAGATCTACCATCAGATAGCGACTTGGACCGAAGTACTCCAGCAATTCGTCCAGAACAAGACCTGATTCTCCGTCCTCGTTACCAGAACGTTTCGGGTAGATCTACACAGTATTCAGACGATAACCGAGATAATCAGCAATATAATCACCCCATAATACACCATCATCACCCGCCACAACTACTACCCCCGCCAGCACCATTGGCTTCCTTTTTTAGTGGCAATTCATACATCTTCTTCGTGCCCGTGGGCTCCTGGGGTCATTTCCCAATCCCGAATGTTCGATTCACATTATTCATCATCAAGCAGATCATAACTCTGCAAATCTGTGTGCCTCTAGCTGTCAATCCGTGGGTACACTATCCATTGGTTGTCTTTGCTGTCTTAGCCTTGCCGATTCAAAGTATCAAGACACAGGCACTGTCATTTATAATCCATCTCATAGTCGTGGTACTGAGTGCTCAGATGGGCGCCATATGCATATGGAATTCATTCAATCCGGTGTATTGATTACGGATTGAGGAATTGACTACCTTACGACACTATCTCGATCACTCAATCCACTCTATAATCATTTCCATATGAATGATTGTTGGTAACTTTGAAAGGTATCTACATGTTTTATTTGCATTACTTAGTTGCATTGGCAACAACCTGTACTATTTGAATTTATTCCCTTGATGATGCGAACGATTTGACACGAATATATGCATATACTGAAATATCTCTATTAATGATAAATACATGTATTGATGGTTAATCTCCTGATATCAATCAATACTTCCGTGTGGTTCCAAATGTTACACGTACGTATGTATGAATGAATGTAGAAGGTGAAACGTACCACGCCTCCATGGTCTCCGTAATAGAGAGTTATGGCGCCGTCAGAGAGCCTTCTGTTTATGTCAATCTTGGAACTTTTATAGTGATCAAGACATGGAACTTGAGTCAAATCACGTTAGGTATGAGTGTCACCCATCTAAAGACAAGCTCACTCAATACATAAAAGCTCCTGATTTGGTGTGAACTACAAAAGTGATAGCCCAGGAAATAATACACGTTGATTTTCTTGTTCAATAATTTATTGAGATCGTGCTTATAAACTACTCGAATCAAGGTCGTACTCTCGCCGCCTTGAATTTGCTGACGCGTTTCTTTGGTTGATCATTCTCATCAAGTTCGTAGAGTTCGTTGCCATCGTCTTCATTCAGGAATCCGCCCTTCTGTTGGATTTTGCGATTGCGAAGACGGTAGAACTCAGATGCCACTTCCTTGCGATGTATGTCTTCATCTATATCGTCAGGTTCTGGAGGGAGAATGTTGTCTTTGTTAATGGCTGGTCGTTCGACGAGATTGTCTGCAAGTGTTTTGCCTTCGGGAGGCCGAGGCTCACCGCGCATTGTTGGGGTGGGATTGGCGAATATGTCATTTGCTACAATTGGCTGAGAGAATGGCTTTGGTTCCTTGGGTGTGGCGGGGAATAATGGAAGTGGTGAGGGTGTTGAAGGTATGTCTGTCCGTTTGACAGTAGAGGGCTTCATACCCAGTCCTAGACTACTGGAATCTCCAGGAGTTGGAAAACCACCGTTTCTAGCAGATTTGAACCTGGATGTCTTTTTCGGTGCGGTACCGGATGGCGCAGAAGTTCCATTGGCTTCTGATTTGGAAGATTTTCGCTCGACAACAGATTCAGAAAGAGGTGTTGTCTCCGGTTTCACAGGCTCAATTTTTCGTTCGGCCTTTGGTGGTGGTGGGATTGGTGTTGGTTCGTGAGCAATGTCAAGCTCATTGGCAAATGCCACCTTCTTCTTCACCTTCTTTGGCGCAGGCTTTGTCTCATCATTGTCTTCTTTCTTTACTGACACGGCTTTCATATTACTGGGTTTTTCGTTTGCCTCGATCGTTTCAGCAGGGGGGTTTTTAGCTGGTCCTAAGTTGACAAAACCACCGGCTTCGAGCTTCTTCTGCAATTCCTTCATCTGTTGATGATATTCTTCGCTAAGAACGCGAGTCGTGGTGCGCCCATGCTCATCTTCTTCCTCATCGCCCAACTCGTCATCGTCGTAATCATTGTCATCGTAGGAAAAGTCGCTACCTTCTTCATCCATCTCGAGCTCCGCAACAACCTTGCCAACTTCGTGAAAGCTGTATTCCAACATCTCTCGACGAAGCCTCGCATCTTCAACGGGCTCGTCGACTTCGGCAATAGGCGATTCTGGATCAGAGTCGTCGGATTCGATATTCTTTGAATCCACGGTGTCATGGACAACCTTCGATTCTGCTGGTTCTGAATTCATGGTGTCTCGGATTTGAGAAGCTTGGTCCTTTTGCTGGTTGTTGACTTCTTCAATCTGGTCCACCGTGCTAGCTTGCTTATCCTTCGAATCCTGTGGAACTTCAACCCCTGCCTTCTTGAGCACTTCAATAATATCAGGGGTACGATCCCCTGGGGCTGATAATTTGCTCGATATAACATTTCCATCTTCATCCAGCTCCTCAAAAATCTCAGTAACCGCGTACCGTTCTTCAGCCGCATTCGGACCAGGCCGTTCAACCGACAAAATTTTATCCAAGTTGGCCTCCACAGACTCCAACCGCCTTTCCAAAGTCGAGATGTTCTGCTTCACGTAATCCAGCCTTCTGGAGATCTGTTGAATGACATGATCTCTGGATCGAACAATGGCGGTGTATTCACCAACAAGGGCTTTGACTTCCTTCTCGTCCACGACTATTCCTTCGAAGTGTTTTCCAAGTTGCAAAATATCATCTTTAGTGCAGTCCTGCCCCAGCGATTCAACTCCTTCTTTCAGCTCGTCGTATTCGGCTTCTCTGATCCGCCAGTCGTAGAGAGACTGTCGTAGCTTTCGTACATTCTCCTCAAGTTCAAGGCGCTGGCGCTCGATTCCAGCTAGAGAGTCTTTAGCAGCCGCCATCGTATTCCTCTAAGCGTGAGGGTTGAAAGAATGTGTAGCGAAATTGTATCCGAAATGAGAGAAAATTGAGGGCGGGATGGCAAAAAATAAAAGCAAGACGCCTTACGCCGATTGGTTAGTTGTCCCAAGCTCCGCAGGCGGCAAGGCACCCGGGGTTCTCAGCATTTAACAACCTCCAACACCACCATTATATCTCTTACAACAATAACAACCTCACGGCTTCCGTTGCTGTCAGCTGTGAGGGCGAAGATACATCATCAAAGATGGCTAGCAGAGAGAATGGCACACCCCGTCGGGACGAGGATGGTGAGTTCCTCACCGTTTACCCATGCATCATAGCCACAAGGCTAGATATTATAATACATGAGCTGACATGTCGCCACCCTTCGCCTTTACTTAGAGGTATGCCCAATCTGCAAATCGTCGCGATACCTCAACCCCGACATGCGCTTCCTCATCAACCCAGAGTGCTATCATAAAATGTGCGAGTCGTGTGGTACGTTTCAGCTCAATGAACCTCCAGTCGGGGCGCTTCGCCGCAAGATTCTGACGTGCTTCGTTCAGTTGATCGAATATTTTCCAGCGGGCCCAATGCGTGCCCAGTCATCGGTTGCAAGAAAACATTACGAAAGAACCGGTTTCGCACACAGACCTTCGAAGATATCGGCGTTGAGAGGGAAGTTGATATTCGGAAAAGAGTGATGAGGATGTAAGCACAACCCTGCGTTTCCCTTACAAGTCTCAGGTCTGACACAGATGACCAGTTTGAATCGTCGAGAAGATGAATTCGACAGTAAACTTGACTGGGACAACTTCCTCGAACAACGCGAAACAATGATCATGAATCTAGTCACAGGGGTCGATATTGCCAAGACAGAAGCGAACCTAAGGAAATACGAAACCTCCAACCTAGACTCCATCCGAGCAAACCAGGCGCGCGAATCGCAAGAAGCATCATCCTTTTTGGAACAGCAGTCATTCGAGCAGGAACAAGCGCGGCTGCGTCGTCAGGCTGCACGAGAAGAGTATGAAAAGGAACACAACGAGCTCCTCGCCGGTCGCGAATCTTTCCTTTCCCGCCTTGCTGCTGGCACTGCAGACGACGCAACGAATCTCGCGCGTGAGGGCCAGAAGATCTTGCTCAAGAAATCATCAGCACGCCGTAGCGAGGAGGATCGTCTACGTCAAAAGCAAGCCGCTCTACGTGGCGAGAGCAAAAAGTCGGCATTGGGGAAAACGGCCCTGCTCTCTGGTGCTGGAGACTCGGACGTGGAACCCAGTCTCATCAAGGGTCTGAAGAAGGTCTCCATACCGGAGCCCGAGAAACCATACGACCCATTTGGTGGCCTGGATCTTGGAAAGAAAGATTACTACGTTCTGAAAGACCACTACCCGTCTCAGTGGCTTGAGGAAGCGCGTAAAAATACCACCATGGCAGCAGGCGGTTTCGATATCAAGGAATACTACTCGCGGACGCTATTCGAGGCATTTGCCGGCTTGGGGTGTTTTATAGATGAGGAAGTCGCAAAACGGGGCGGAGCATCCGAAACATTCGGTATGAGGAAGGGCATTGCGACCCAAGGTGCTGCGCAGCAGGCTGTCACGGGCAAACCGGCCGAGGATATTTTTTGAGCTGATTATTTGATTTTGGAATTGGCATTGGAGAAGCATAGCGATGGCGTTTGGTATTATGAATATGATGATATACAGTACGATGTAGAACATCGGAATAGCTTTATGAAAACTTCCTGAATCTAGTTGATCAGGTTGAGTGGCTTCTTCCACTCTAATCAAAACTTCAATGTCGATACGGCGGTGTGAAATAAGAGTGAATCCAACTAATATTTGATTAGAAAACGGGCTATGCATAAAAATCTAGCTAGCTTCACACAATACAATGCATACACAAAGGCCAATTTGACTCGAACACAACATTTCGAGACTCCATCCTATCCAAACACCGGCAAGAAAGTAACACAAATTGTAGACTCCGATAGGAATTACACGAAAAGGAATAGACGTAGGAGAAAAACAATTATCCTTTTGAAGAATAAAATATGTTTGCTTGTTGCACAACCAGTTTGATGCTTTGCTTTTACATAGAACTCAAGAAGTCAACATCCGCGGACATACACCTAAGTCAGTCAACGTGGATGCACATTCGAATTCCGATATAGACAAAGACATGGATTCTGGAGTGTCGCTTTAAGGATGATCAACCGGGCACAGGGACATACACCTCAACGAGGTCAGTCTGAAACCTGAAACTCGGGCTCACTCCTATATTGCTAAAATCCAGAATTGATTTGATAGTTGACATAATCCCATAATGAGAATTACAGGTGCCTGCGGCTCCCTGTGGTGCGGCCAGTAATCTCAGCCGTACTTTCGATGCCTTCCCATGGCAACTCATCATCTTCCTCATCACTAGCTTCTAGTGGCTGTGCCCTTTTTGTAGAGTCATCAGTAGCACCAGTCAAATCGGCGAATCTAGTGCTCTGAACATCAATGCCAATAGACTGCAAGGTAATTTCCACCTCCTTTTCGTTCATCTCATGACCATCCTGCTTCTGTCCTTCAACAACGTCGTACAACGCATAAATCTGGTCCGCCTTGGTATCAATCTCTTTTACGAGACTTTCAATCTTTGCAGAGAGTGATTTCCTCTGCCGTTTACTGAGAGAGGCGTCGTGCTTGGTGTACGCGTTTTGGACAGTGGCAAGTTGCATTTTAAGATGAGACAATTCATCTTCAAGACTCTTCAGAACTGTAGCTAATGCTAAGGCGGGTGGCTGCGATGGTCGCATAGTTGGTTCTTCATTGTAAATTGACGGCTCTGGCATGCGCTCAGATACTGGGATTGGCTTGGGCACAGTGATTGTTCCTCGTTGAGTGCCATCGTGGTCATGATCATGTCCAACTCCTTCGGGCAGGAGACGTTTACAGACAGTGCAGTTCTTGCCATCATGTCGAGCAACAGTGTCCAACACTTTCTGAGCGGATTCGGAAAGACGGACAGGTTTATGTGTTGTAGGACCTGCGTGATGCAAAGTGATGTCAGGGAGAATAAAGGCAGAAGTCAATTCAGAAACCGGCTTTCGGTGACGACTTTGGCTAGTAATCGAATGATCCGAATGACGTCTGCGACGCGCACCAGCGTGCTCTTCAAACCCGCTTAACTCTGTTCTTCCAGTGGCGGTTATATCGTCAAGTGCAGATGATGGACGGACGAATCTTTCCTTGGGCTCTTTCAAGGAAGATTTGCGTGGGGGGTCTGATGCAACTCGCTTCGCTACAGTAGATGTACTTGTAACTTGTTCTTTCCAAGAAAATGACTGACGCTGCTTGCGCGCGGCCCTTTCGGCCTCAAGTCGCTTGCGCAGTTGGGCAATTTCACGGTCATCAATAAAGCTGAGCAAGGTAAAATCCCGATCCGTATCATTTGAAGCCTTGACGCGTTCTGAGATCTCAACCAGTGGCTCTGTAGTATCAGCTTCCTCCAATATGACTCGTTTGAGACGCTGCTTTCCGGTATTTGGAAGTTTCTTGCTTTCTGGCTTTTCTGCCTTTGAACGAGATGAAGACGATTTCAAGTTCGCCTGGATAGGACGAGAAAGATTTAGAGAAAACAGATCTTCATCCTGGCGTTCCTTTTCCATTCTCAGGATCTCCTTCTCGATTTGTCTTGAGACTCCTCCCTGAGGCTCATCCCGCATGGGCCTGGTATGAGTTCGCTGGTCCTTATATTTCACTTGAGCATACGCGGAGTCGGAAGTTTTCTGCGTAAAATTCTCGTTCTCGTCTGTGTTAATCGTGATGGGCTCCGTATCCACATTTCCTTGGGGAAGCGATTGACGAGTTTCAGTTTCATAGCCAGCCAACTGTCGAGTGAGTGTAGTCAATGTTGCAACTCGAGCTTTAAGGTCTGCATTTTCTTGCTTCAGAGTTTCATTTTCTCTCCTAACGTCCTGAGTATTGAGATACGCTACTCCCAGTTGGGTCACGGCAGAGTCACGTTCCTGGCTCAGAGACTTCAGTGAAGATTCATGGACCTGAATCTTTCGCTCGGCAATGTCAAGACAGTTCTGCAATTCCAAGTTGGCCGCTTCGAGTTCTAGATAGCGTGTTAGCATCCTGATTGAGATATTAACATGACACGATACGAACTGTTTTTCTCCTGCAATGATCTTGTACCGCTCTTTCCTTGTTCACCTTCATCACCACCGAACATTCGGAGGCGATCATGATATTCCTTTTGTCGACGGGCTTTCTCGCTTCTCAATAGGTGGTTTTCCTTACGGACATCGTCAAGCTTTTTCTCTGTCTCCGATTTGGCAAATTCCAGATCTGCGACCTTGTCTTGGAGAAGTTTGAGAGACACGAACAAAGCCTTTTCGTCTTCTGGAATAGGAACAGCTTCTAGAAGAAGATGCCCCTGAGGCTGCGAGACTTCTGCATCTTCCACAGGCGGAGAAACAAAACGCGTCGTACGGGGTTTTGGGTGACGTGTGAAGACAGGAGTGCCATCTTCATAAACACCGGAGACAAGCTCAGAGATATTGGGCAAGTCAGGTAGGAGAAAGGATTGATGTGTTCCCGTGTCAATGGTGTAAGTAGGATTGGCCGGGGGGTTGCTAGGAGCGAATTGTTTACTACGACGGGATTCTTTGCCTTGGGCATCACGCGTCGCTGAATCGACGGCCGCTGCAATTTGGCTTGGGACGTTTGCAAATCGGGTGTTTCGCGTGTTGACAGGCATACTCTTCGGTCGCTCGTCGCCAATATAAGATCCATCATAGGTCTCACGGGCTCTAACATGCATTTCAGACAGCGTACGACGAGCTTCCCCAGATGCTCCTGCTGAGTGTTTGGGACGACTTGGTTGTGGGTCAATGTTTTCTTTCTGCATTTGACTGGCACGTCTGATCTGAGCGTCCTTGCGTAGATTACTTCCTTCTGACACGCGCTTCGAGTTGCGCAGGGCCGACCTTGGTGGCGTGCTGGTAGCAGGGTAATCGAGTTTGATGGCAGGTGAAGAAGAGCGAAGGCTAGGGTTGTCGATGCTCATCATTGAGTTACGCGAATCGTCTCCACGGTGTTGTTTCTTCACACCTCGTCCGATTTCAATTGAAAAATCGTCCGTCTCGTCTTCTCCAGAGGATTCTACTTCGGAGAACTGGGGGAAGGCGCGGTTGATAGTCGATGTGTCAACAGTGTAGTCTGGTTCGAGGTCCAGTGAATTGGTTCGTCCGCGGAGGCGCGTGGGAATTTCTGGTAGTTTATCGCTGTTGTCGAGTTGTCTGGTTGAAACCATTGCTTCGTGTTCAGGGTCAAAGTCGGACACAGTCGAATCACCTCCAATTGAGGCCTGTGAATAATGTTCAGAGCGTCGCGTGGTGGTATACGGACGCGTCATCGTGAGAAGGATTCGCGTAGAGAAACTAGAATCATAGACTACCCATAAAGACGCTCCCTATGGTGGTTCGGTCTTGACTGTTTCGAGAAGCAGCTCTGTTATGTAAACACGCGTGTTGCAGTTTGGCTTGCGTGTTTGTACAAAGAAAAGCCAAAAAGGCACGAAACGAGATGACGCAAAGAAAATATTCCGGTAAGAAGGCCGTCCAAGGGTAGAGAAGTAGCTATGCTAGTTGCAATGTCCCAATGGCGTGTAGAGCAAAGAGGAGCTATCGACACAGAGCATTGAAGCTGGAGGTAAACAGTTAACTTACAAACTACGGGTATGACTTAGCTGCCCGCTGGAGGTTTGTTTACTGCGGGTCTGGCGGCCCGAAGAGGGAAAGCGCGCCGTTGCACGGATCTCGGATCGGATCAGGCATACTATTTACCACTTCAAATGTTAATACGTATTGGGATCATTGTATTCATTCATCTTTGAAAATAAGAAGTGATCGGTTGCTTCCTGTCCTGTCTTGTATGGAACTGTAATTACTCTGAACTAGACAAAACTTCGTTGCTCAATTCTCAGCTACTGAATCAACCATTCCTAATTCTAGAACGGACATCGGAATCAAAAACAGCACCAACGCCTGCTTTATACTATACTATACTATACTCACGCTGCTGCATGTCCAAAAATTTCAACAAAAAAGAGCAACGGAATCAAACTATGATGAGTTCCGGACAGCGTGTCTTCGTGGATATCATCATGACCACCCAATCCAAAGTTCGGCAAGATGATCAAAATTAACTGTACAACTTTCCTTCCAACGCCATGCTTCACGGCAGAAAGGGAATGAAAATTAGAAGAGTGTAACAAAAGGTCGTTCGGTCGTAATGAAATCGTATCATTCTCATGTGAGAGACTTGAAAGATTCGCGCGAAAGGTCAAACTTGAAATAAATATCTCACGGTGACTCGCAATTTGTGAGATCAAGCGTCGGGACGGGCTATAGTAATGCCTGGCTGGGGATTATGTGGGTGATTGACAGGTGTACTTGTGGCTGGGGTCGCAGGAGTGCTGTTGGAAGGCGTTCCAGTGTCGACGCGAATCTGGGGGAGCAGACGCATCGGGTGTTCACCGCGACTAGCAATAGGGCTTTCGTAAGCAGGCGCTTCGGCCCAATCTGAATAATCGTCATAGCTGGGAGGAGGAATATGGACCGTGCTAAGGTCTCCATCGGCATCTTCAGACTGACTCTCAACGCTAGAGTTGAGACTATCAACCTGCGTTACGGTCAACCCCGATCCAGAAGTATCGGTAGTATTAATTGAGTGTGTCGAGTTGCGCGCATCCCCCAGCAATGGCCGCTGGTCGGATTCGGCCGAATTGGCGCGAATGCGAGAGCCATCATGTCGCACATGTCCCACTTCCGCATAGCTAACCGATGAAATCCGACGGTGACGGTCACGAGACTGGTGCTCTGCCAGCATGGATCTGGCAGACGTTCCAGCGTTGAGGTTTGCTTCGCGGGAGGATACAGTGTCCCGAGTGATTTGTTGCAAGCGAGCAAAGTCGTTGGCAGCAAGAGCTTCGCGACGCTGGCGCCGTCGCTCTTCACGTTCAGCAACCTCCTCACGACGTCGAAGTCGGATTTGGTATAATGACTCCATTTCATCCTCCCGTCGGTCTTCCTCCTCTTCGGCCGTCTCGGGAAACTCAATCACCGTGTCTATATCACCTCGCTCTCCCTCACGGCCGATTACCTGCTCTTCCTCCTTAGGAAGGCGGCTATAGGATGGTAGCGTGATGATAGATCGTATAGAGTGTCCTCGCTGCGGGGGATTTCCAGTGCTTCCAGTTTGTGAGGTGGTACTATTGATATTGGCATTTACGGATAGATTTTGCTGTTGCGTTGTCGCCGTTGTATGGTTAGTAACATTCTCTGTAGTTCGAATTATCAGCAAGAAAATGTGTAGTGAATGGAAGACCAATCTTACTCGTCCCTGGATTCCATTTCCACCACAGCCCTTTCAGATATTCCCCAGGAAGAAGCTTCGGTTCTGCATCGTTTATTCGTAGCCGCCGCAAAGTCATATAAGCCGCAGGCACCGCAATTATAAGAGCGGCGATCGCAATCCCGATCCATCAGTAAATCAGCACCTTATTACTCTTATAATAGGGATAAAATATAGATGACAAAAGTATGGGTTTGTGTAACTCACCCCGATACCCATAGGAGCATTTGTGGATTGGCTACCATCACGCACTGCCAGCCGCCCATCGCGGGCGTCCAAGGGAAGATACATTGTTGCAATCAACAGGAACTTGACTCCAGATTGTGCCGCAATGCCATGAAGGCGGCGATATCGGGGGACAATAATGAGAAAAGATAATAAGGAAGAAGGAAGAAGGAAGAAGGAAGAAGGAATAACAGAATTAAACCGCAACGTAACGCATGAATGAAGTCGATTTACGCGCGGAGTGCTGCGGATCTCAACTCGGGCCTCGAGATCCAGAATCGAGGTGGAACCTGCAGCTTGCGTAGGCTCAACACACTGCGTAATTGCTTGTCGGATGGCGCGGGTACCTGGATGGATGAATAGGATCCTGAGGTCGGGGTCGGAGGGTCGGTTGAGCGAGAGGTGATGATTGTGGCGGTCAAGGAGGGGAATTCTTCTGACGGTTGACGCAGCCACTCTTTGTCCTTTTACATACAGCTCCAGTGAGCATAAGAATAATCACTTCATTCCTATTACAGACTACAGCCAATCGAAGGGCCAGGTGCGACCCCTGAGCGCTGTCAGCTTGAGGCGTCCACTTAATCCACGCTGATTGGTCCACGCAGTAAGACACACCCCACCGTCAAATTCAGCCTTAAAGATAAGGCGCAGGCAGCAGCCACAATATTATTATTGTCCCTCGTAGTATTTGATCTATTTGATATTCTTATGTTGTTACGTCAATTGTATACTTTACATAGATCCGCTAAGATTAAACACTCGCACTCAACATATCCCTGAGTCTCCCTCCGCGGCGTAGCAGAGAACGGTAGGGCCCTTGTTCAACCACCAATCCATGGTCGATCACAATCACGTTGTCGGCCATCTGCATCATCTCTACGGAGTGCGTGATGAGAATCACGGTCAGTCCCTGTCGAGCTGACAGGAGAAGCTTCCGGACCGACTGGCGAATGATCTCTGCGCTCTCTGCATCTAGATTCGACGTCGCCTCGTCAAGGATGAGAACTCGACGGTGACGAACGAGTGCACGAGCGATGACGAGCCGCTGAATCTGGCCACCAGACAAGGCGAGCCCGCCCTCGCCAACTATGGTCGAATATCCCTCTGGCAGAGATTGGATGAAAGTAGCGATTCCAGCTGCCTCTGCGGCGGCCTCGATGTTTTTCATAGAATTGAGTCGAGAGTATGGGTCAAGTCCGTAGGTAATATTTGCTCGGATACTATCTGCAAAGAGTCTAGGATGTTGGGGGACATAGGCGATGAGAGTCCGCAGAGTCGACATGTGAAGCTGCCTAATGTCTACTCCTCCCAACGTCAAGGATGCGGATTTACCAGGGGCAGGATTCGGGCAAGCATATAACCCCAACAAGAGAGCGGCAATTGTAGACTTCCCAGAACCAGAAATTCCTACCAGAGCTAGGCATGTATTATCTGGTATAGTGAAGGAAATATGATTGAGTACCATGGCACCCGGTCGTTGGGTATAACAAAAACTCAGGTCGTTGAATTCAATCGGAAAGGGCTCGAACACCCGCAATTTCCCAGTATTCTCATGAGAGGAGCCATGTGACAAACGAGATAATTTAATGAGCCGTGTTGCGGTATCGTTGGCCGAGTTGACTTGAGGAACTGGTTTAAAAGACAGTTAGATTCAAGAAATGTCCAAAGCTGGGAGTGAAGTCTATACTCCACGACATCAACGAAACCACATAGCCTAGGCTGAACAGTATCATCGTTAAAACAGACACAATGTTTGTAATTGTGGATGCATTTGACGCGCCCAAGTAAGCCGCATAGTAGAACAGCAATGCTAGAGAATATCTTCATTAGAAACAACCATATCTCATACGCTGGTCACTTACAGCTTGCAAAAACGATCGCGGATTCCGAGAGCCCAAAAATCCAACTCGAATAGAGACCTCGCTTCAACCCAGTTTTTACAGCCTGTTGCAATATTCGTGAATGCTTTGAGTGAAAGTGACGCTCTAAAGTAAAAGCCTTCACGGTACGAACATCCAGAAATGTTTCCGAGAAGATGGACGCGACAAGCTCATTCAGGTCATTCGTTCTGCGCTCCCATTTCTTATTCACGCTTTCCAGGCCCTTACTTATCCCGTACAAAAGCGGAGCAGAGGCAAGACTGACAAATGTTAGTTTCCAATTGAGAGAAAAACTCCATACTACGGCAATGAGGGCAGTCATCGCGGCAACGATTGCGAGACCCCCGAATCTGCCCGCGAGATTGCGAATTTCCTCGGCATTTTGGTCTAGGCATTGTGTAAGCTGCATGGCATGATTCTTATTTTGGTCGAACCAACTGCAGGGTTGCCCCAATATGCGACGCATAGCCTTAGTACGTAATGCATCCATCCACGCCTGGCTGCAATACTCAAGCAGATAATGCATGGTAAATGCTACGAAAGCATCGCCCACAGCTAGCCCCAAAATTCCAAGAGACCACTTTCGTGCCATGGTGGCACGATCTTGGGTGGCATAAAACGAACGGAAGAGCTGTGATAAAAGATATGAAAATATCGGTGTCGCCGCCGCATGGAGAGCCGCAAGGATAATGCTAGTTGCAAGAAGAATCTGCTGCTTTGTATTTAAGGTAGAAGGAATAGTAAGTAGCGTTCTATATAATGGCAGAGGTGTGCTGTCATCTTCATGGGAGGAATGCCCGGTACGTAGACGTGCTGGGCGCTGTGAAGTATGTTTGCTGCATAGACGTTTGAGAGATACCCATCGATTTCTATGCCAAGCTTTTTGCTCGGGTTCAAGATCATAGTTACTAAAACGATCATGCGTGATAGGATGTCGCGGAAAAACAGCACGAGGCAGACGTGCAACCTCGGAATTTCGAGCCAACATACTCGGTAGAGGAGAATCATCGCCTTCCTTTCGAAAAGGCAGTATACTATCCCTCTCGATTATTTCAATTGGTTGTATCGGACTCAACATCTTACTTCCATCAGTAGATGAGAACCAAGAACTTTCCGTGTTATCCCTTGGCAGGTACTGCTTCAGATACGAAGTGGACTCTAAAGAGTCTTCATTCTCTGATTTGTGAGTGTCCAAATCTTTGTATGCCAGTATTTGCAAATCGCCACTCATCATCAAATCTTTTTTCAGCCCGGAGGCAATTATATTTCCCGCTTCCAAAACGTAAACAAAATCCTCTTCTAGGATATTGGTTATGTCGTGCGTTATGATAATAGTCGTCAATCCTTTTCTCCACTTTCGAACAGCTTCCATAATAGTAGCCCGGTTTTCAAAGTCGAGAGCACTTGTGAATTCATCGAGAATTAGCACTGCACTGTCTTTCATTCTGGCTCGAGCAATCGTAACCCTCTGTTTCTGTCCTCCGCTCAGTAAGTTTCCTCCGGCTCCAACAGTAGTATCCAAACCTTGTGGTAGTCTGCTAATCGTATCTCGGAGGCTTGCCGTTTCTATGCACATGTCCATTCTAGCACTAGAGACTCCCAAATGGTTGTAATTTCCAAACGTGATGTTGTTCGATAGTGTTTCATTGAAGAGAAATCCGTTCTGTTGCACAATAGTGAAGCTCCTTCGAATCAAAGACGAATCAATCGCACTAAAGGGAGTGCCGCCTATCAAGATGCCTCCCAAGGTTGGCGAATAAAACTGGAGTAGAAGATTGACCAAGGAGCTTTTCCCAGCTCCACTGTGTCCAACAATAAACACTGTTTTTCCTGCTGGAAATACCATATTGACAGATTTTAGAACAATTCTATCGGGCTGGAAAGGATATGCAAACGAAACCTAAAACACTTGTCAGTACCGAATATCTCGATAAAAAGTTCTCGGTATGCTCTCACGTTTTTCAGTTTGATGTCCTCATTATAGAAATCGGTGTGTCCATCTCTTTGCGCGCTGAGTGGAAGCCGTCTAGCACTAGGCCGACGTAAATAAGACATTAGAGTCTCACCAGCGACTTTCCCCCTCTCCAACGTTGGAAGTTGATGGACTGCAAGTTCGACAGATTGCACAGCAATCAAGCATGCCCAGAATGTCGTTAATACATGGCCTGATGTTAGCTCGCCTGACTGCACCAAAGAACTTCCATACCAGAATCCCTGAACGAACATTGTAAATGTCGTGAACCGGGCAGTGGACAGTTGGGCAGCAGCGAGAAACGCTAATTTCAAGTACCATCTAGCAGCTTTCTGGATATGTGAAACCAAATGGGAGTAAATTGGAGATTCTCCATTCAGACATTTCACACTATCAATGGATGCAAACGCATCGTACGCGAATTTAGATGCCTGAGCTAGTTCTGACTGTTGGGCTGTGATCATAGGGTTCATTTTGAAAGAAATGAATAATATTAAGGCTGACGAAACTGGAAAACCAGCCATTGTAACCAACATAACTTTCCACGAGGTGTAACCGGCAAGACAAACTGCTAAAACGATTTGTACTGTGTGCTGCAATACGAAACCAAGGGGCTGAGCTGACGCAATTTGAAGTTCGCGCAATTGTCTATCAAGAACATTGACATGGTTAGCATATTTTCCTCAAGCATACAAACGACACTTAGTGACAGTATCTCACTTTTGTACATGTGACAAGAACGAGCCCATGCCAGCATCTTCCATGTCGAACCACATCAAATCCTGATCCAGCAGCTTCGTGAAAAGTTTTTTACGAGCACGGTGCACTTGTAGTTCTGTAAAAGCGACCCAAGCAAACAAAAAGCAGGCGTTTAATATCCATGTTGCAGCTCCAATAATAACGAGCTTTAAGATGTTTTGTTTTGCTGCCTCAAGCATTTGTTGTCCGGAAATGGCTCCATTTCCACGCTGCGTAAATATCTCAAATAACTTGCCCAGATAAGCTGCAAAAATAATCTTCGCCGCCCCGATGGCAATTGTGAAGATGAAGGCTGCCAGAAGGACTGGGAGCTCGCGGGTTGTTGTGAAGTGGAACAGAGATCTCCAACCCACTTTTATAGGACTATCTTCGATCTTTTTGATAGAATCAGATGGGGAGGAAGCATTCCTCTGCCTAGGAAGCAATTCCTCCAGAGATACCTGTCTTGCAAAATTGTCCTCCATACCTTATCACGTAGACTATCGCGTGTAATCGGGGATTTCTGCATTGAACAGGAGGAATTAACCGCATAGGAGACCAAGACAATTCCAACACAGGCAAGAGGAATGTAACACCGAATCTGCATAGTGTTTAATTAAAGTATGTTTCAAAATTAGTAAATACGAGAACAATGGCTCCTTCCTCTATGATGTTAATATTGTTCTTGTCTGCGGTGCCCGTAAGGCGGCGTCATGTGACCAGCCATTTATTTTAAGATGGTCTAGAATTGATATATATTTCAGCGATAAACAACGGTCTCCAAATTGAAAACTTAGAAAGAGAAGGGTATATTAGTTGTACAGTTGACCAACGATATCGACGCTAACGGACAGCCTTGGTTCCATGCTGTTCTACCCTTTGCGCCCCGATAAATGCAAATTTCATTCGCAAACATTGAGAATGCAGCTGACTTTTCAGATAAGACTGGAAAAACATGGCGATCCGTGCGATTCTAACATCCGCGACACGCATCGGTTCTTAATATTCGGCATTCCATTCGTAATCCCTTCTCTACTGGCTTTTGCCTTGTGCTTTTTCATAAATCCAATCATTCAGACCAGCACGGTTCCTAGAATTTTGTTAGTACGAATGACAAGGAAAACATTATTATATCGTCAAAAAAACCTACCGAGCAATCTCCACAGCGTAAAACTGCATTCGCATCGCTATACACAAAACATAATCAGCCTTCCGAACCTCACGATAATCAAACAATAGGAAGATACCCACCAAATATAGTAGTCTTTTGGTCATATTCATATTTCGGGTTCGACCGCAGCATGGTACCGAAGTTGTAATCGCTAATGGTCTTCTCGTACTCGCTCATGAAGTTGCGCCATCGCTCTTTGCCTTGTTTGCTCTTCATTTCCTCTTCGTTGATCGTTTGACTGGGGTCAAAGTCTGGAAACTCCTTTTTGAAGTGCTCATAGATCTCATCGTCCATTTTCGTCAATCGTAGCTTAGATCCGGGTACTTTTTCGAGGATTGACCAGTACGTCATCAAGTGATCCACGGCTGTTGATCGACCATGTTAACTCGCCGGCGCGAAAGGAAGTTCAAGGGAGCTGAAAATATACCTTTAACAGCAAACTGCTTCTCCATCTAATGAAAGGAAAATGCGAAGTCAGCGAATCGAGGTTTTTCTTTATTGCTAAACACGCGCACTCACATCCTCCAAGTTCTCCGCCGTCTCCGGATCAAATGGCTTCGACATTTTGAATATAATGCAGGGTCGTAAATTGCTTGCGTGTCCAGAACAGTTGATGGAAAAAGTGTAGATAATATACGAAATGTAGATCGTTCTGCTGCGTGTCTGGATAAATATGTTGTTGGTGACTGGCTTCCCCGCGCTCTGTGGAATTTTTCTACCGCCACAATTGGCCGTCCCGCACTGCCCCTCTGGCCGAGCCTACGTCATTCTAGAAGAGCCCAGGAATATCTGTCAGAGATCATTGGTTCATTACTATCAAAGTTATTAAATTATTGAAGCTATAGCATGTACAGACAGAAATGTACGTCGAACATGAACGAGAAAGACTCCGCCCAGTGGGATATCTGATGCTTCCAGAATCAACCGGCAATTGACGCCCAGGAACCCGTGAAATGATAAAATATCGGTGAGGGATTAATTGAAGATTATGGTCAGTCTAGATCGCTATCTGCATCGTCTGGAAGCTCTTCCAGTCGACCTTCTCGCACAGCCTGGGCGACCGGATTCTCGGCTTTGATTAAGCCATTCGCTGTAAGTCTTTTACAATGTAAGCATGTCGGTCAAATAAGCAACAAATAGATGGGTCCATACCTCTCAAAGAGCACGAATAGACGCTCTGCTTCGCGCTCTTTCTCTTCTTGAGTCATTGGAGGACCGGTGTCCACAGGCTCGGCATCATATCGTTGACCTGTGATTGGATTCACATGGTCGCTTACTCTAGATGAATTTGTCGCAAACGCTTCCTGAGCATCTTGCGGAATCTGCAAGCCGCGAGATGCTAAGAACCCTGCAGCAAAGCCGTAGCCGATATTTTTGGTTAGGCTGTCTGCATCCTTACCAGAAAGTACAAACATAAGTTCAGAGATGGCGGTTTTCAGATGGACTGATGGCGATGTAGATAGATTGAGCAGCTTGGAGGATAGAGTATCGCTGCGTCCGATTGGAACGCTCCGATCGTTGTCTTCTGGTAGTAAGAGCCATTGCATGTATTTTCTTGGGCCCTCAGGTGCAAATTCATAGATGGTGATGAGTAAGTGAAGTAAAGGTACAGCACGAGGCTCTAATTCCTCCGAGTTATACACTCCAACAGCTGCGTCTAATATGTTTATCAGCTTGTCGACATTACAATTTTGGTTGAATTTTGGAAATAATGGGTTGCTTTCGAATCTGCCTGGCTTTTCTTCTAGGTCGAGAGTCGAAAGGGCATTAATGATATAGCCAATCAGGCCATCAAGGGGTTGTCGGTCAGGGATGTCAATGCGATTAATGATCTTGAACAGGTGCGGAATCAGAGGAGTAAACGAGTCTGCGAGATCAGGATATAGCTTTGCGACGTTGAACACCAGTTTCAGCGTGTCCGTCAAGGCCAGCTCGTCGATCTGCGAATAGGATTTTCGGCCATTTTTGGGTATTTGCTTTGCGTGCCGTATCACTTGCTTCACCGAAACATGAGTGGATGAGAAACCTCTCGCGCATTGTGGAACTTACAGAGAGAATGTTATCAGCCATCGAATGCTTCGTAATTAGAACGCTAAAGTCAATATTGGTGTCGTAAGTGGTGAGAAATAAAATGCGCGAGAGGATCATTTCATCATCGGAGATTTCAGTCTGCATAGAGGAAACAGGACTGTCAATAGCTAGCCTGTCACGCCGTGCGACTCTGAGCACTAACCTTCAGCTTCTCGGCCACGCGACCGGCATACCCCGTATCAACGAAGACTTGGCGCATGTCCTTATTCAACAGGAGCGCATTTGCAATGCAGCGTAAAGCCGCACGTCTGATGTCCAGTGTTTCCCCTTCGAATCCATATCTTGCTAAAAGATTGATGCCCTAGCAATATTAGGAACAGCCTGGCAACGTCCGCGAGGGGGGATGGTCTTGGTACTTTGTCAGAATATATGGGGTCTGCATTTGCAGGGTTTGTGCCATGTTGTCGCAGGGCCAGCAGTGTTTGGACCTTGTCTACATCATCCAAGAAGTGTCAGTATTGCCAGCCTGAGCATGCATGACGATGTTGTTTTGTGCGTGCAACTTACCAGCAGGTGAGAGCTTCTTTGCAGAGAGGTCATTGTCTAAAGAGTCCACCAAGCGTGTGACCTCTTTGAGCTTCTCTTTCAATACACACCAAATCAGCCAATTTTCTTCTTCGATGTATCAAAACATATCCTCACCTGGGCCCTGCAGCTGGCCAGGGGACATCATGTTTGTATCAGTTCAACTCACGCACCAATTTTGAACGAGATCACAAGAAAGAAAGGGCAGCAGGTATTTAGTATCGCAGGGATCTCGACCAGACCAGGGGATGGGGGAATAACGGGGCATGGAGGAAGGAAACAAAGACAACAACCGGCGCAGTCGGGCTAGCTGGCTGTGACATCAGAAGCTGCGGCCAAGTGCTCCGAGTCTACCCCACCCCAAGGCCAGCCTTTCCTTTCCAGTGCTAGCGCTATGCTCTGCTCCACCAGGCACCTGTTGACTGCCTGAGGCAGCAATGTTGCCTATTTGGACCATCCTAGGGCAACGTTGAAGTGTATATATGCGTCTGCTATCTTGACTGCGCCGTGACCATGTCCGGAAACACTTCTCGGCACAGAGAATTGAGCAAGACTACTAGAAATTAATGAGCCGAGATACACTGACTCTTACTCCAATGCAGCACACTGATTCTCACCCCCATAATCCACTCACATACGGTGTGGCCTGTGTATGTAAGCTTACATATCTACAGTCTATACGCATGTTCCTCTGTTCCGAATACGCACCCTTGATATCTTCCTCCTCGTCATCTCATCATGGTGGATCTTGACCAACTCGGAAATTTCGCTCGGCCGAAACTATTTCCCAATGTGGTAATAATACTGAACCTCCTCCGAAATCCGATAGGTGTCAGCTATGCCTATTTCTACTTTATGTGGTCAATTTTTCGGGTTCTACTGCAAAGTCCGACATGGATGATGGAAAATCTTGAAGACTGAATGGTATAAAGCCGGCGTTTGCGCCGCATCAAAGGCTTCGTTCCAGCATTCTAAATATACATTGCAATTCAATACTTGAATAGACGACCTCAGAGACACGCAATAAATATGGCATCCAACCTGATTGTCTTTATCACCGGTGCCAACACAGGCCTTGGACTCGAAACTGTGAAGTCCTTGTTGCAGTCTCCTACAGCTTATACTATACTACTCGGGGGCCGCAGCCTGGAAAAAGCAAACACCGCAGCGAAAGAAGTGCAGGCTGAATTCATAAAGAGTCCAAGTATCATCAAGACAGTCCAGATTGACCTTGAGGACGACGGCTCCATTTCTAGCGCATACGAGCATATCACAAAGGAGTACGGTCGCGTAGATGTCTTGATCAACAACGGAGGTAAGGATAGTGTCTCTTGACTTCCCAAAAATCTAATACGAACATCTGCGTGTAGGAGGCCAGTTTGATCAGCAGATTCTTCTCGGAAATATGTCAATGCGAGAGGCGTGGAACAAATCATGGAACGTCAACGTTACGGGAACGTGCATCCTTACTCATACCTTCGTGCCGCTTCTCTTGAAAGCCGCTGATCCAAGACTTATTTTCATAACGAGTGGCGTATCTACACTAGCCGAATCCGACAACATAGCCATCAAAATAAACCACGCTCCAGCAAAGGGTTGGCCAAAAAAAGAGCCCTCTGTGGTAGCTTACCGATCCAGCAAGACCGGCATGAACATGATGATGCGTGAGTGGACAAGGATTCTGAAGGAAGATGGGGTCAAAGTATGGGCCATTTCCCCTGGATTCTTAGCAACTGGTCTGGGTGGGAACCCGGAGTTAAATAAGAAGATGGGCGCTTTGAATCCAAGTATTGGGGCCAGTCTTGTGAGAGAGGTGGTTGAAGGTGCCCGGGACCTGGATACCGGTAAAGTCGTCCGCCGGGACGGCATTCAGCCATGGTAACTGTACCTTATAATGTTGTTGTAGCCAGTGCCAATACTATGAGCAGAATAAAGACAGTTGAAGAGCGATATCTGAGGATATAATATCGATCCGAGGCACTTGAGAGACAAGATGGCAATCAGAAACAATGGCGCGATTAGAATGCCAGAAAGTACAAATAGAAATATGAGTGTCAGTACGCTTTACCCTAAAATAACCACCAATTGCACATATCTAGTATCATTTCTATCTATCTATTCCCTCAATTACCCTGTTACTTTAACAACGGGGTGGCTTGTGTGATTTACTACATTGTATCTGTAGCTGCCAAATATTTATTCGGAATACTGGCGTTTCTTCTGGTCTCTGTTCCAGAAGTGTCTTAATACGAATAGCATGACAAGCATGCATACATCCAGCGCAATCGTCCAATTATACCCAATAAAATACCTGGGTGCATCAACTGTCTTCCAAACACTATTTCAAAACAAAATAATCAGTTAATTTGGAGACAAAAATGGCAAAGAAATACCACTTACAAAAGAGGGAGCCAGGCCCCGAACGTATTTCCAATCGTATTCATAGCGCTGATCACAACGGCACGCTCCTCAGAATCGCCAGCACAAATCTCATTTGCCCAAGCGTAAATAGTAGCCGCGATCCCATCCGCCGTACCAGAAAGGAAAAATGCGAAAAATTTGAGTCCAACAGGCACATTCCAGATAGCGAGCACAATACTGGCAAATATATTCAACACTGCAGTGCCCGCAATCAGGGCAACTTTGGCATCATATGCATCCGCGACAATACCGCAAATCAGCGATGATACGATAGTGACAGCAGGGGATACAGTCGTGATGGTGTTGATCGACTCAACCGAGTACCCTTCAGCTTTGAGCCAGAGCGAAAGTCCACTATTTGAGGATACACCGTCGGCTTGGGAGAAGAAGAATGCGAAACCGACCAAAACCCAAAAGCGCCATCGAGTCAAGATGGACTTTATTTTTGGCATTGTAAATGGCTGTCTTGGTTCCCGGCGCTCTGAAGCCATTCGCTCTTGGGCTAATTGGATTTCCCGTGGTGTGAGAATGCGAGACCTACAGTTTTCGGGGGTGCCAGGCAGAACCAGAAGACCCAGGAGCGCGATGGGAATGGTACAGGCAAAACCTAGAAAGAGTGCAAGTCAGTATTTCAAATACCAATTTTTAAGAGGATACGTATTAAGCATACATATGATATAAAGCCATCGCCAACCTTCAATACCAAATCGGTTGTTCAACCTTTCATATGCGCCTGCCTGGATATACCCAGAGCTCATACTGCCGACTGAGCTGGCAATAAAGAAAACTGCTCCTCGTCGATTTAATTCGGACCTTTTGTACCAGCTGCCTAGGTACCACTGGACAGCAGGGAAGAAGAATCCTCCAAGTGCTCCAACAAAGAACCGAAACGCGTAGAGTTGGGTAACATTACCCGCTTTGTACTGGGCCAACGTAAACACACCCCAGAGCAAGTCTGCTGCTGGAAGAAAATAATTGACAGGGAAACGCGTCATCTGCATTCAGTATTAAAGTTCCTATTCTGCAACTTTTGCACCGCAATTCTCTACTTACAATCAATGTCAGTGGGATTTGCATAGTGATAAATCCAACCCTGAAACGGTATTAGCTTATGCTGTCCAATTCTGCGCATCCAAGTTTCACAGACATATATACTGTATTCAGGTAATTAAGCTGGTTTCCATACAGCTTCAAGTCCTCCTTCATACCACTTACGTACGCCGTGCTCGTCGCGGAGGAATCAAGCACCTTGGCCCAATAAGCCAAAAAGACAAAGACGACGATCAGTCCATCCAGTTTAAGTATAAGGCGCCGCTCCTCTGGGGTGTCGGCGGGTGAGAAATACTGATACCATTTTTGTCTTATGGGTTCTGATGGATTGTGGGCTGGAAGTGTCACAGACGTGTATACAGATTTCTCGTGGACTTCTCGCCGGCTATCATCGCCCAAAGTCGGCGTCTCCTCCTGGGGAGGTTTGTCGACTGCAATAGACATGATTTCTCAATACGTCTCAGGTATGATCCTTTCCAACGACCGTATGAAAAATTTAGAAAATCGAGAGCGACGGAGTATAAATGGGGATGCCCCAGATCAAACCCTAAACACCATTGGTTGACGGCTCCAATTCCGCACATGGCAGACAATCGTTGAAAAAGCACGACATTGCCGCTAAAATGGCGATTCTTCGGTCTCAGCGTAGTCGGACACCCACTCGATCACGACAGTGCAAAGTGCAATACACATACAGAATTTTTAACAAATCAAGTAATGTTTTTATAAAAGGTTGTATCTGTACAAAATGGCATTTCTAGGGTTAGGGTTAACAGTCACCTGACCACGGTGGCGTAGTCGCCGCCTTAGCTTTAGACCCATCTTCAATTTCCCGGCTGTCCAGACTCGGTATAGCCGAAGCTGTCAACGTAGCTAGAAAATAATTCTTGCTGCCAACGATGTCGCACTTCTCGAGCTTCACTAGCAGGTTCCGCGCGCGTAAAAATATTACGCAAGAGTCTCCAGCCACTAAGGTGGCGAAGAGACCCAGAGAGTCGCATGTCTGCAACCAATGCAGAAGATCCAAGCTCCGATGCGATCGAGCACAACCGTGCAGCAGCTGCATCAAGAGAAATGATGCAGACACTTGCTCGTATCGCCAGACCCCTGATTCCAAAGTCGCTGGCAGCCAAGCAACTATCGAAGGCAGACTGGCTCATTTAGAAACATTGATCACGGATCTAATGCGAAGTCGTGAGTTAGGAATACCCGAGAATGGGGATATGGATCCCGTTGAGACTTCCGGGAGTCCCTTTCAAGATGATGAAGTACATGCCAACAGCTATGTTGGATTCACCCATTGGTCAGCCGTTCTAGATGATATCCATGAGCTAAAGGCTGTTCTGGGTGGCTCCGCTGAACGGACTAGAACTGGGAGATCTCCGTTAGAAGTCCCTCTGGCTCCAAGCGGGGAGCTAATTTTTGGATATCAGGAATCCTATTCTTTGGAAGAAATCATTACCGTATATCTGCCATCAAAAGTCGATACTGATCGACTTCTCTCAGTATACTTCCAAGGGGAGACTTTCATCGTTCCATTCATCCATGCGTACCATTTCCAGCGCCAATATCGAGAGTTCTGGGCTGACACTCAAGCCGTAAATCCTCTATGGCTGTCCATGCTTTTTTCCATTTGCTGTCTAGCTGCCCTAATCAGGGAGAAATCTACCTCAAATGACAACCCCCATGGAGAATTTATCACCCAAAGTATGGCTTTCCACACAGCTGCTGGGAAATGTCTGGTGGTAGGAGAATATCATCGGCCACAGACCTTTGCCGTGGAATCACTAGCGATTTATGCACAAAGTAAAAGCCTAAAAACATTAGATCCTTGTCGAGAAGCCGGTGCAATCCTAGGAATGGTCATTCGCCTTGCATACGAAATGGGCTACCACCGTGACCCAGATTCAGTTGGGTCCTTGACCGTCTTTGAGGGTGAAATGCGCCGACGGTTTTGGGCAGCATGCAAGCAGGTAGATGTAATGACCGCTTTTCAACTTGGTCTTCCAAGTAATATTTGCCTCGAGAACTGTGATACAAAATCACCGAGAAATCTCCTGGACTCGGATTTCGACACAGATACTCAGGTTTTGCCTCCGTCTCGATCCGAGAATGAGGCCACGAAACTACTATGGTTCGTTATCAAAGACAGACAGTTGGTTAGCTTTAGCAAGGTCTGTCAAGATGCACTCTCTTTCAAGGAGAATTCTGAATCGGAGATTCTTCAGCTGGACGAGGAAGTCAGACAGATGCATACGACTGTTCCAGACATCTTACGTACACGTCCCTTTTCAGAGTCCATTGCAGATGAATCTTTCCTCGTAATGACCAGAATTTACATTGAATTCATCTATCTCAAAAGTTTATGTATTCTTCATCGCAAATATATGGCCCGGGGCAATGCATATAGTGCAAAAACTTGTGTCGAGGTTGGAACTCAACTTGTTGGTCAATTTATCGATATGTACAAGGAGATTTCGCCTGGTGGCCGTTTACATGCGGAGCGCTGGATGCTCACCAGTTTCACAATGAATGACTATTTACTCGGTATCATGGTGCTCTGTCTGGTAGTGCATACATATCGCAAGGGAGTCTTACAGCCTCCAGTCATGGACTCTTCAAAGGAACGTGAAATACTTCAACTACTCGAGCAGTCATTTGATATTTGCATGGAAAAATCTTCGGTCTGCAAAGATGCAAAGCGTGTTTCGCATGTAGTGCACCTTATTTTGAATAGCAATACGGCATCGAATCCATCTGCACTACCACATTTCGATAATACGGGACCGGGGCTGGGCAAGGGGCCGATATCCCTGGAAGATGAACACAGTAATAAAGGAATCGACACCATGGCATTCGACTTCCTCGATCCGTTTTCTTTAGTGGGCAATGGGTTTGAGAATCTCGATTGGTTTTCCTTTGATCCTCAACTTTAAAGTCCATGGTATAAGCATTTAAACGGACAATTATTCCAGCTAGGGTATTCTATCCATGAAAAACATGATCGATATTGGGAATGTCCTGGGGTGCTTAGTGAGCGCCAATACGTCACTATTCAAAGCCAGTCATTTCCTGGCTTAGTTTCTATGAAACATTATCAAAGAAATTACTTCCAAGACATGACACTAATGTCAAATAATTCAGGCTACCACGTTGACAGCTAACAACATTAGCTATCATAAACTGGTCAAATGTTAAAAAACATATCCATCGAGTTTAAGCAGCTTTGTCGTTAACCATATAATGTCGTTCTTGAACCCTTCAAGAACTCGGGTACCAGCTCTCTTGGCGTGGAAACACAACATATCCTTGTCCCTTGACGAAAGTCTGCATCCAAGCTCTTTGCTTTGGATCCTTCGCCAATTCCAAATACAGCTCCGCGTGAGCAGGACCACTTAGACCCGTTGCTAAAGGTTGGCCATCTGAGAGTCGCTGATCACCCCAGTAGAACCTACATAAGGCAAATTCAGCCTCTTGTCATTATTAATATGAAATATTTAGAACTTACTTGTATGGCTTGTCAAGGTAAGACACCAGAGCGAGGTGCTGAATCAAATGCGAAGTTGCAATTTTGCCCATTCCAAAAGTCGAGAAACCAGGAGACACAGTGATATTGAGTATGTTTCCAGTATAGATAAACGTCCCGCCTTCGGCTCCTAGGCCCTCGGTACCCAGGTCCTCGAAACCTTTCACAGATTCGCCAGCGGCGACCCAAGGACTAGTAGTGTTGACGTTCATGCTACTGTGGAACTGATCTATTGGTGTTTCGAACGGATCTTCCGGTTTTGTGATATGAGCTGCATAAGCTGATTTGTCGTCAGTGCCATCAGAAGGTGCAAAAAGAGCGTGTGTATGAGCAACGCACCATTGTAAATCACCACACTGGGTATGCCAACAATTTTTCGAACCTCTTTGAATAGACCCGGCACGGTCTCCGGCTTCGTTGCGTCAAAAACAAAATGCTTGAATTTGGGATCAAGTCTTGCTGTTCGCGAGGCAACAGCGACTTTATATCCCACATTAGCGAAAGCTTCTGCTGTTGCCTGGCCGACTCTGGAGCCGGCCCCGATAATCAAAAGGGTTGGCATTTTGAATGATTCAATGAAGTGAGTGTCTTATGTCACGGTTTGTACCCAAATTACTCTGAAGATCTCAACGGCCCCGTTTGGGAATTTGAATATGGTTGCGATGGTATAGACCGTGTGCACGAAATAGATGTTCTGCCTCCTTTTATATATATTTATGTTTCATAAATTTCCACTTCAAAGTTGTCTAAATTCAAATACGATTTCTAATCATATATAGTTGTCCGTGTAACCCCTATGCACACGAGCTTACGCAGAGCCAGTCACAGTGCGATTTCTCGGAAGGCCTCAAATACAAACCCCTTTCGTGTTATTTTCGCTCTCCTTCGGGTCTCATCCTCACCTATCATAGTCAGACTAAGTCAGATTCTTTATATTGGCTATACCTATTACGGAAGGTTTCGCTAGCGCGGTTTATACCAGAACTAGCACCTCCAGCGCTAAGAGACATGCATTCCCCACTGGAGAATAATAGAGACGCAAATGACTTTACTTTACTTGATTGGTCATCCAGATGGTTCGGGTTAAAATTCGGACGAAAACCGTGCCCGTTGGCATAGATGAGGTAAAACCTTTCCTAGGCTTCAGGTGATGGCGAGACTGATGCGCTCATATGACAAAATCTTGCATATATTCAAGGATTTCCTGCCGTTCATTTTAATTTACATTAATTTATATCAGACTGAGAATATATAAGTCTCGGAGTCACATCTATAGATAATATATAGAGTTCAATTATTATTATTAGTGTTATTTTGGGGAGGGCTTCTTTACCCAATATATCTTTGTAGTGTTATATTCAAAGTTTTGTCATTATCAAACTATAGCCATCCAGGCTACCTTATTAATAATACTAGTTTTTTTGTTTCATTTTTCATGTAAAATTTAACAAGTATTTAAGATGTACCATCTCCCCAATTTCTTATATCATGAATACCAAGACTTACACAAGACATACACTTCATCCATTGTCAGGAGGACAGGCTGAACCTTAATAGCGAATACATTCCTATTAACACGATAAATATGGTGGCTATCACCATATCAACAATTTGAAATAATATTAAGTTATAACTATTAGCGTCCTACTGCTTCCCACTAAGCAGATATGACGTTACCTTTGATTCAAAGTGATTTAATATCAACTGCTAAAGAATTCCGATAACATTAATATCATTGAAAAATACCGTCTACATGCTTTATAACGAGCTTTAAGAATTTTTCTATAAAAATGCCACAGCGCGGGGCAGAGTCACTATTTTGGTATCCAAGCTGCTTTTAAAAATTGCATCCGTACATACATCAAGAAACAAATCATTGAAAGGATCGAACCCCAGAAAAATAGATAGGAAGAAATGAAGTCTGTCGGCGTATCCTACCACGCATTATTGCACTAGTCCGCTGTGGGATTGCAGCCCTAATTTGTAGCCAATTACTTCAGTGTGCTTGATTCAATCTACGCTGGCTGGATTACAATAGAATGCGCGGGGCTAAAACCATATATACGCCAGTAACAACTTGTTAGTTGGTTCTCTGTACTGTACTTTTATGGCTGTCGGGATGGTTTCGCGTTGGAGTGTTCAACTCGCCCAACCAACTAATTTAGTACACATGACCTAGGTCTCAGAATCTTCCCAGAAGATGAATTTTAATCCCTGTAGGAGGCCCTTTTACGTCCCTCTCGTAATACAAGAACCTGAATGATTGCTATGACGACTAGTGCCGCAATAACAAAGCCGAATGTAGCAGGGAAACCCTTCCCTATATTCGCATGACTATTAGTCCTCTTCAAAAACGTTTTTTTTTCCTGGAGAAGGAGGCACTGACGAAAACTAGGCGCTTCTGTCTGAGGAAATATAACGATGGGCAGCCATGCTGCTACCTATTGAGACCTTACGTTAGTAAAGAAATGTCTCGTTGTGAAGTTAGAAGAATCATACGGCATATTGAAAGCCATTCATACTGCTAACAACGAAGGCACGCTCCTCGTTGTCGTCGGAACAGACTTCATTTGCCCAAGTATAACTAAGCAAATAGTTAGAATGGATGTACAGATGAAAATGAGAACGGCAGTCTTACAATATCGCAGTCATCAACTGAACTCCGTCAGTTAAAAATGCGAATTCTTTCAAACCAACACTTGCCGGCCATACTGCAAGGATTCCATTTGGTACTAGGCCATATACCTAACTTTATCAGTTGACGAATGAATAAGATAAAGAAATCTCAGGGATGACCAACAAGTGGCAAGATGACAAATAGAAACCGGCTTCCGGTATAGTCGGAAAGAAAGCCCCACTCCGCAGGGATCAGTAAGACTTGATATGGTATTTAGTTCAACTGAATAAACTCACAAGAACTACACAGAAAGCAGAAATAAGATTGGAGCCTGTCGGAATCACGTTTCGTTCAGTGACGGAGAAGCCTTCGGCTTTCAGCCAGATAGCAAAGTAGCTTGTTGCTGCGCATCCGGATCCATATAACTTTGATAATCAGCTTTATCTTTGAATATCTAAGAGAAAGGTATGCTAGTAAGAATCTAGATCATACCACATAGCCAAGTGTAAAGGCATACCACCCTAAGAAAGTCATAAAGGTTGATTAGTCAATAAGATCCGAAACAAAGGCAAGAACAGGTAGTGTATACTCCATCTCCGCGCGGCACGCAAAAAGGTTGCCGTTGAGATTTTCGCAGGTGCGGCTTTTCCTGCCTTATTAACTCGGTCTCGAGCAATTTCTATTTCTTCAGCACTCAGATACCATGCACGAGTGTTGTGAGGTACGTCGGGGTAGAAGAAGAAGGTGACGATCCCAACAGGGATCGTCATACCCTGAGAATATATTCGTTAATGCTCTTCTCCATATACATGTAATGCAAGGTAGTTCAGTGATATTGATCTTGAGACATACCCCGCATACAATATATAGCCACTTCCACCCAGCGATGCCGTGATGGCCATTCAGGTTTTTGTATACAGCTGCTTGCTGTCGGCCACAATCAGTTCTTAACCTGCTATGTCATAGGCTAAAATTACATACAAGGTAGCCACTGAATGCTGAACCTAATGGAGCAGTCATGTGAAATATCGCCGTTCGTTTTGCTAGTAGTATCTCTTTAGATTGACGTTGAAATATAACAATAACAAAACATACCTAATTCGGTCTTCGTATACCTGAGATAACGACGTCAGTTAATAAAATCTTTCAAATTCCTGTTTGCATAGATATATGCTTACCATGACCCTAAAACATATAGCATGCAAGGGAAAAAGGAACTCTCGAAAAACCCAATTAGAAATCTAAATGCGTATAGTTGCGATACATTGGTCATCCCAGCTTGGGCGAGCGTGAAAGTACCCCATCCAACCTCCATTGCAGTGAGCCAGTACCTTGGTCTAATCTTTTGGATGATGAGTGTCGATGGCACCTGCATTACGGCATATGCTACGGTGTATGCTGTTGTCTATTCTTGCTCCTCGTGTTAAACAAATATATCCGCTAGCTCTCATTAGACGGATAAACTGACTGCGTAGGTGTACTGGTTGCCAAACATCTTAAGATCTTCCTGCATACCACTATTGTCCTATCAACGGACTGTTCAATAATTTCATGGGGGGACACTCACCTCACGTATGCATTGGTAATGTTGTTCTGGTCTAGGTATTTCAACTATGCAATAAAAGCAATTAGTGAATTCACATAAAAAATTGGCAGTAAGCATGTTCTACGAAAAATCCTAAACACCCAATCGTCAACAAAGCAAAGTCCAGTTTGCGGACTAGCTTCCGCTCTTCTGGGGATTTCAAATGGGAATCTGTGTCCCAGATAAATGATCGGAACTAATAAAAGCAGCCTTAGTATCGGATTGGGATTACATGCTACCAACATTCACGGACTCACCGACGTCCACACACTTTTAGGGCTCATTTTTGTTTCTGCAGGTATATTACCACAAAATATAAATGAAAATAAAATAATACAAAGAAAGAAAACAGAAAAGAAAAAACAGAAAGAAAGAAACCAAGTGCTTCGAAGCCTCTGAAATAAAAGTAACATATGCTGTCGAAATCACGTCTTCGCATCCCCGCATTGCACCTCATAATACTAACATGGTGTTATTGACGCTATAAGCACCTATAATAATTATCTTATATTTGTTATCTACACAGAAGCTAGAGTGCCATTGGTTCTATTAGCATGAGATAACATAATGCATATGATTCTGACTCGCTAAAATACAAATAATTTTACTCGGTCTACTGTAGTGTCTGCGGAGTGGAATGTTTTAAACCTCCATGTATACTCGCCAGTCAGTTTGATCTAAAAGATTATGAGTCCCATCGGGATCCTAGATATTGTGAATACATACATTCATTTGAAATGTTACTTTCGGTGAGGCTTTTGTAGTCATAATGTGTTAATCGGGCGCAAGCCCGGACTTTTCAGATAGCTAATTAATATTCCTCATCGAGTGCTTTGAGCGGACTCCGGTCTTCTTCAAATATACTCTGAAACAATACCAAGCTCAAATAAGCCCTGAAATTGTGGAATACAACCATGCCATCCGGAGATCCCCAGCTCTGCTGATACCAGCAACCCTGGAGATTCCTGAGCTGCTCCCAACTTCCATGGTACTCTGCCACCAAACCATCGAAAGCCTTCTTTTCCGTCTCATTTGCTTTTCCGTATGCCTCACCCAAAAGATTCCTCGCTTTGTCCAGCAATTCTCCCTGTATATACCATACATATTCTGTGCCCTGCCCATTATGTTCGTACATCGCAATCCCCCCACCCTCAATTCCTGGCCATTCGATCGACACGGGCAGCTTGGCGTCGGGGAAGAGATTAAATTGGTAATCGGTCATATAGTCGTCCTCTTCCCAGAATAGAGACTGCACATTTGGAAGGCGGTTACTGAGGATGTGAAACCGTGGACCCCGAATGACGAGACGTGTGCCATTAGTCATGGCGTAGAAGTCTTTGAGATCATCAGGGAGTGGCCTGCCCAATTTCAATTCCGCCGCAACAATCTGTTCCGCAGTTGCAGGTGCGCGAAGTATGGTGTCTGGAGCAGTGTATTTTTGCTGCTTAGAAGGCCGTTCTTCATTGTTCTCCGCCTCAGCGTCATCTTCTGCGTCTTCATCATCGTCATCCGAATGATACAGAATCTCTTCGAATTTCTCCTTGAACCTTAACGTATTCTTATCGAGCTCCTTGAGGATGTCCTCCATACTCTTGTTTCTAAACATTTCCAGGGGCTTTATAGTTCCCCCCTCTAGCCTTTTCTTTGTCGTTTCGTGTATAAATGCCGCATACTCTTTGAGTTCATTTTCTGCAACTCCAAGTTTGTTTCGCAGCCATCCAAACACGAAATATTTACTCCAGGCCTTCCGTATTCCAGAAAGATACATAGCTTGCTGATTCGCATGGATGCGGTCCGCAATGCGAGTCATGATATCGTCGGCTTCAGTGGTTTTGTTGAGAGTTAGAGCAATATTTAGAAGCCCTGTTAGGCTGCCAGAAAGACGCATCGCCTATCTCTTTTCATTAGATTTTTTCACGACCGGTTGCCCTTCGACAGGATAAATACCAAAGAGATGAGGGAAGCAAATAGAGCGGCGTACGTGATACCCAGTTGTTGCATTTAAGCCCCATGCAATATCCTCGTCCGAATCTAACTCCTTTATCCAACTTTTCAAAGCCTGGAAGTCATCTTCACTTCCGTTCACTACATTTACCTCTTCTGGAAGGTACGGTATCTTCCGGATTGATTCCTCTTCCAGATCTTTTAGTTCTTCCTTGCCCAGCCTTTCAAATCCTTCCGGCATTTTGTCTATAGCCTCAAACAGGAATTGTGCTTCATCAGGCATCACATTGGCATTAGGTACATTTCCATGCTCTGGAAGTAGCTCAAGAATTAAGCATGATTCGCTAACAAGACCAAGCATGCTGAGTTCGACAGCTTTCCGCGCAGCGTGGAACTTGACGGTGTCAACAGGACGCTCGGAACGGATGTCGAGAGAGGAGAAATTTCGAAGGAATCCTGCCATTATGTATTTTTCTTTTTTTTGAATATTTCAGTTGACGAATTGTGTGGGTTGAATGAGACAAAATTGCGGCTGATTTAAGAAACATTCTGAAATAGCCCCTCACCCCACTCACTATATAGTAATTGGCGTGTACTAAATCCGTCACAAAATCATGCCCCTTGGTGGGGAAGTATTGGCGGTTCACCAATATTTCTTAGTATGCGTAAAACCGAGCCAACACCAGGGTATTTATTCGTGCTGAAAAAAAATGTAACCCTAGATCCTTTCGGCAGTGCATCATAGCAACAAGTTTGTCGGCACTGCCATCTGCATATCGATTCCGCAAGGTGAGGTATTTTTGTCCACTGAACCGATTTGTTGAAGTATAATCGACCTCAAACCTGCGAATGGTGTACCTAAAACCCGATCATTAAGCAAATTGTAAGCCATTCTTCGGTAGTTTGGTGATGGGCTGTACATCGCCACAAGAGTTAATGGAAGGAAAGAGGGTAATAGCGCACAACCAACTGAGCTGTGGGTTCGGAAAAGAAACATAGCGCATTCAATAATTATCTGACAATAATTGTTGATCTCGCTTGCATTTTTTTGGGGTTCAGCGAGGGAGAACATCATTTTGGCAGTGGTATAGTACGACGTAACTATAGCTGTCGAACCATTCCGATACTTGATTTCACCTTCCAAATTGTATTGAATATATTCGCCGCGTAAATTTGCCTGATCTTCATATCCAGTCCAAATCTTGTCAATGTTTGACCGTATGTCGTTGCAATGGGCAACAGGATTTTCGGGATCATGTATTTTAGCAGACAATATTTTTCCTAGTTTGAATAACTGAGGTATTAACTGGTCAGCTACCTGCTGCGAACTATTAGCCATGTTCAATGTCAGGCGAGTCCACATATCAGTATCTGGTTCGAGCGCTAGGTAATCAAGTGGCGAAGCTATCATCATAAGCAACTATATTTGGGTCAGTGTTGTAATCCGATTATAAAGGGGGACACAAACCGTTTGGTATTGGACATGTAGAGCCACCTGTCTAAGCAATTCGTTCTGAGCAAGCTGAGAGCTTGCTAAAGCTAGCATTTTCCGAGTCGCAGCAAGGTGGGCGGCATAGGCGGCGACATCCGTGGAGCATACAGCTTCGAAGAGTGACATGATTACAGATGTATATATTATGGTTGCACTTGACGCGTCAGAGCGATAAGAAACAGCCTTGGACTGTCCAGATAGGGCCTTCCCGTATATTAACCAGGCATGTTGAACAACCAAGCTGTTGCTAGAAGTCGCTCCATAGTAAGCAATAGCGAGTGCCTGAAGAGAAAGATCCAGGGCCAAGCCTCTCTCATTTAGAGGTACGTCGCTCAATCGACGTAACCACGCTGGTCTTGTAGGCCGATCAGTCGTAGACGTTATCATTGAGAAGATCTCGGAAGCGAAGGCCAGTGACCAGATCTTTCCATATGATGGCTGATGCATCATCGAGACATTTTTTTTGTCCGAGCCAAAAGGGGCCTTCCTGTAGCGGGTCTTGACACTTGCAGTCTGATCAATGATGATGGTACCCTGCAGAGGCCCAGAGCATTGGCGATTGGTAAGAAGACACTGGCGGCAGCTTGGTAGAGCGCCATCACAACCTATCCGTCTTTGCCGACATGCTCTACATCCTCGGCTTCGTCGAGGCATCGTTTTAGAGAAGGAAATGCTGCGTGCGTGATGTATCAACTGATGATAGAAAGGTGTTTGGATACAGATTACAAGTAGCCAGAGACAGAAAGAGCAGTATTGGTCAGCAAAACGCCAGAACTGGCTAGCGTAATCCAGAACAATTAACAATCAAGTTACGACAATAATTAATATTATATAGTAATTGGTTTTGTTTTATGTTTGTCTTAGCTACAACGCGTGTTATTTAATTCTCAGTTTATTTCTTGTAATAAGAAGCTAAGATTGGACATTTACGTAGAGAATGAGTCTTGCCCAATGCTTCATGATTAAAGATTATGGTCTCCAAAATATTACTGGCAGATTTATGAAACGTGGTCTTTTTTTAAATATTATTAATCTAGTCAGAAGTAGAGCTCTTTCAAATGTATAATAATCTTGTAGGGCAGGGCCCCAAACAGGCTGAGGGTGCGTCGGAGTTTGGATCTCCGCCCGGCAGGCTAAGGCTTCCAACTTGTATGTCGACATGCTCCTCGTCGCTATTCCCCAATGAAACCGAACTGTTCCTGAGGCTCATTTATCTATCGGTATCCGACCCACCGTCCCTGCTTCCCAGCCAACGATGGTCACGCATCTCGACGAGCCTAGGGGCATAACCCGTAGACGGGGCCCCGGCCATGCAGCCCCGTACGGACAGGCGTGTCTGCACTGCTTCAAATCCAAGTCCAAGTGCGTCAGTCATGGCAATGGTACCAGTTGCGAAAGGTGAGTCTGCGCGCCTACGGGATCCTCCAATTTCTTGTAGTCAGCACGCAACTAAGCATGCGGGTTCGCGCTGCCGTTGTGTGCGGTGCTGGTCTTACAGATGCCACCGTCTCAATAAAGAATGCTGTCCATCAGACTCGTTTCGCCGAAGAAACGCAAAGAAAAGCCAAGATTCGTCCGTTAAGATTGCCCAGCTCGAGGGCCGCATCGACAATCTCGTCTCCCTGCTGCAGTCTGTCACCGAACATTCGGGCTCGTCAGCATCCCTGCGTGAAGCACTGGAAAACCGGTACGTGAATGCCCAGGCAATGAGAGACTGGCATGCTGATGGACACACGCCAACCAAGTCCACAAGTCTTAAACCCGCAAGAGAGACTGGGAGTAGACGAGCCCGGGTCAATGCCCACCAGCTCATTTCGCAGCACAGCCACACCCACAGGTCATCCAAAGCAAGCACATCACGGTGCCAGTTTCTTCCCGCAGCCCTCCCCCAGCTGTGATACCTCTGATACTGGACCACTGTGGGAAATCACTTCATCAGAGGCAGAAGCACACATCACCACCTTTCGCACTCAGATGCTGCGATTTTTCGCTTTCCTGGACCTTCCCCTGGAAACGAGCGCTCAAGAGCTTCGCCAGGAGAAGCCTCTCCTATTCCGGGCTATCATGACTGTCACAGCACCCTCAATCCAGCTGAAGCTCCTCCGCGGCCGGGGGCTCAAACACCTGATTGCACAGGCTGCCCTTATCGAAACACAGGCGAGCATAGACCTGCTGCTCACCCTATTGACCTACGTCGCCTGGGGCTATGACCAGTTTTTAAATAAGGTTGCGAGCTCTTCTCGGCTGACCCAACTGGCCATGTCACTTGTGTATGATCTTCGCCTGCATAAAACGTTATCGCAAGGGGCTCATTCGATGCCGCACGAAGTGCACAACGTCCAGCCGGGAAGCACGCAGACAGCTCGCGAGCTGACCTCAGAGACGGATCAGGTCTCGTTAGAGAGTGTCCGGGTGGTGCTGGGCTGTTTTATATTGAGCTCTATGTATTTTATTTCCCTTCCTTTATGCCTCTATCCTAGTACATCGAACACGTGGGTTGAAACTCTCTAACTCTCGCACGACCACCTTGGCAGAGTCTCCTCCTATTTTGGCCAGATAGATGCGATGCGATGGACCCCTCGCATGGAGGAGTACCTGAGCCTCGTCAGCACCAACACGGCCTCCAAAATGGACAAGTTCCTGGGCTTGCAGGTCCGTCTACAGCGGGTCATCCAACAAGCGGTCGATATGCGCGACCAGCAAGAACTAACCCGCTCTCTTGCTGCGCCTCTTTCGCCCTCGACTGAGCCGTTACTGGCCTCCTTTTATCTCAAGACCCTCCAAGCGCAGCTGCAGCAGGTTCGGTCGTGTATTCCCCTGGAGCTCCAGCAAGAAGGCAAGCATCTTCACAACACTTTTCATTACGAGTAAAATACTCTAACCCAGCTTGTTTCCGAGTCACAGAAATCATCATCATGTATCTGCACTACGCTGAGCTGAGCATCTACGAAACCGTTCATACGGTCAACCCGGACATCCTATCCACTTCTGGAAGCGATTTCATCCCCGTCGGCAGCGCTCCAACTCTCGGGTTTGAGCGACTTGAATGCCACTGGCGCTCGTTGGGTGCCATCAAGTCTTGGCTGGACGTCTTCTTCACTTTGCCCCCCTCCGTCTGCGTCGGATTCTCCTTCCCATTCTGGGCGCAGATGGTACGATGCCTAGTTGTCCTGTATCGTCTGTCCATCTGTCTGGATTCAGCCCGTGATCAACCGACGGTTCGTCAAACGGTTGACCTCCTCGCTGTCTTGGACCGCATAGCGGACAAGATACGACGGACCGCGGTTGAGGCTGGCGAAAAATCTCCCAACGAGCTCTTCTCCCAGATCGTCCGCATCATGAAGCGGTTTCAGGCCTGGGCAGCTGCGCGATTGGAGCCAGCTCCGCAGCCCAAGGCCTTCTCCATGCCGGATCCTCCTATAGCGTCGGCCGAGGCTTTGACGACATGGTCGTACCCGGGGACTGATGGTGAGGAGATCTTGATCAATGACCACCAGATGCTGACGCAACTTCTCGATATTGGGAATGATACCTGGTTTGACGAGTATTTTCGCAGCCCTTGACTATCATTCACATTATCCAATTTATGGTGGAATGGTCGATGGAGTATGGAGTTGAATGATACCTCAATTATATTTATCTTGCTGGTCTTCGTATCAACTTAAATTATGGAGATTACTTATGATGGGTACTTCTTATTCGTCAAGAGTATATTATTGTTGTTAGTTAATCATTGACATCCGTGACCAATGACCAACCCAAGGGCTATAACAGACAGGTGCTAGGTGGGCTTTAGATGAGCTTGTATAGAGATCCTAAAGCGACTAAAAAGACCCCTAATTGAACCCTGACGTTAGCCGTCAGAAATAACCTTTATAGCTGTTCCCTCATCTTAGTATGCTGATGGCTTTACATGCGTATCATATATCTTAATTTTTCCTCCTTCAATAAGATATATAAAAACCTCCTGTGCACTTCTTTGCATTTTTTGATTTCGATCTTGCCTGTTTGTTGACACTCACGCTGATCGAGCGGAATTCGGACTCCGACTCCAGATGTTAGGTCGCATTGGCTTCGGAGACCCCGGAGTCCGCCCCCGTCATTCTCATGCTGCTTCTTTTAGAGACACATCAATCGTCAAATCCGGTGTAAGGACTGGTTCATCGATTTACCTAGCTCCTGGGACTTCCATAACAGTATCAATGGTACAAACAGTAAGAAATTTATATCCTATGAAATCGATATACTAAACTGATTAATACTCAGATATGAGAAAGCTTCCAAAGTCTAGAGTAAATCACTACAGCGTCACGACAATCTTCGACGCCGACACTCCCTTTGCCTGAATATCCATGGCTTCCTGGATAGCCTCCAAACCTCTGCCCACCACCCTCGCCTCAGGTGCCGGGATGAACTGCTTTGTCTGCAAGGCCCGGGGCAGGAACTCAGAGAAGACCCGACCAACCACGCTCTCCGGATCGACTATATCCTTGGTGTCGACGAACTGCGCTTTTACACCAGTAATGCTCGAGACAACTGCGGTGCGTCCGAGCCACCATATCATCGAGCCCAGAAAACTGGCTGTCCCGAGCATCGTTTTCAGCTTATCGGCAGGGATATGGGATCCCGCGAAGGCAATCTTTCGTTCCACCTCTCCTCCGTCTTTCTTCAGTCGTTGCAGGATCTTGGTGCACGCTTCCACTGCCCCATCCCCCACAGTATATGCGCCGTAGATGGGCTTACCGCGCAGGGCCTCTATCATTTCTTCGGTCCAGCCGGTATTGTGATAGTCAAAGACCCGCGTCGCGCCGAGTCCCAGCACATATTCGAAGTTTTTGGGCGAGCAGGTCGAGTATACCTCGTACCCCGCCGCCACAGCCAGCTGCACTGCGTTACTGCCCACACTAGACGCGCCCCCGGTGATAATTACGGCGCGGCCGTTGGGATTCGCTCTTGCGGGAACGGTGGGCAGGTCGAGACCCAAAAATTCAGCATGGAAGAGGCCATAGGTAGCTGTAGTCAGCGTCAGCGGGATCACGCTGGCCTGCTCGTATGGAGTTTCATCGGGGATCGGGGCAGCCATGTGTTCGTGCAAGATGACGTATTGCTGGAAGGCACCCTCGGCAGCACGATTCACAGTGGGAGCCAGTCCCAGGCCACAGCCGATCACGCGGTCTCCGACTCGGAATCGTTGCATCTGGGGTCCAACCTCGACCACTTCGCCGGCTATGTCGCCGCCAAGGATGAAGGGGTACTTGACGTACCCCATCAGAGTGTCCCCCATCAGCTGCTTGGCCCAGTCTACCGGGTTAATGGCTACGGCATGGTTCCGCACCACGATCTCCCTGGGGCCTGGGGGCGTGTAGGGGGCCGGTCCGACCTTGAGAGGGTGGGCGTTCTTGGCCGTGAGCCATGCTGCATTGTTTTCGGGGGCCATGTTTTCACTTGAGGGTTATCAACCACGGCTTGATAGATCTATTTGGCCAAACAGAAATCTGGAGAGGACGAAACATGAGGGGTCGTTATAATATAGGATTTGCATGTGGTAGCTGTCGAGGTCGGATTTCGGAGATCAATCTCCGCCACCCCTGTCCCAGCAGAGGATTGATACGTGTTACGATAGAGTAATAATACGCAGCGGTTACTTTAATTGGTTGCTATGTGCTTTGATGGGCTCAGTGTTTCTTTGTAAAGAGCAGTGTCTGTGGGCATTAGGTGGTGATAAATCGTACCTGTCAACTAAATTATATTCCGTTCGACACAAAGCCGCGGGAGCCCTAACCCTAACCCTAAGTACTGAGGCAGGCATTTTAGCATTGTAATCAATAGATTTTATTCAGATCTTAATATATTAAAGCAAGCATCCATCCAATCAAAAAAATTACTTATTCAATATGTTGGCCTAATTAGGAAGGTATAGAGGCAGATGTAGGTATTCTAGTCCATATATAGTTAGCGCCTTCTACTTTTGGGGGCAGTGCTTGTATGACTCATAAGCCAACCAGCAGCCAAACTGTCGAGCCACAGGACCCACAGCGGTCTCGCCCGTGGAACAGAATAATAAATAATCATCATCATTATTATTTTCACCATTGGGAGGAGTCAGGGCATTAATTGATCTGCTCGACTATTCCTATCTTCAGTAACAACGGCTCTCGGGCCTCAATTAGCTTGGTCTTTTTTTGCTGTCATTCTGAAACACCAAATCCCGACATTATTACTTTAGGCACCACTATTCTCTTTCGGGTGCACGCTCTTTCGGTTTTGGTTTTGCATTTTTGATGCTTTTCTGCGAACCCAATCATCAGTCACATTTGATCTACTTATCGCTAGGGGTTGTCATTTGATGGATATTTAACTATCTCCTTGATATTTGTCTTCCCGCCAAGTTCCGGGCTGGTCGCGTGCCCTGCCCAGAGTGCGAAAATGGCCCAGCTGCCGTCCAAGCTTCCTGTTTTCTCGAAGAAGCGCCTAGAGGCTCGCGTTATCATTTCGTATGTTTCTCCTTTTTATTTTATCTTTACGTTTGTGCTGACTGATTAGATATATTTTCGACTATGTAATCATCATGTGAGTGCCGAAACGAGCCACCCCCAAATCCAAGACTGACTCAATTGAAAGTGCTTTTGCCATTGGATTCTATGTACTAGACCTGGTCCAGCCTTATCATCAACATTTCTCGCTAGACAACAAAAGCCTGCAGTATCCTTATGCTGTTCATGAACGAGTTACGATCCAAGAAGCCCTCCTCATCTCTATTCTCTCGCCAATCGTCATTATCGCCATCTACACACTAGTCATCGATGGACTCTTTTCGCACCATAAACCGATTTCCGATCGTTCGGGGAGAAGAAAGCTGACGGGTCCCTACAGACTCAAGGATCGTTTGTGGGAACTGAACTGTGGAATACTCGGCCTACTCCTGTCACAAGGGTTAGCCTTTGTCATCACCCAGGTCTTGAAAAATGCCGCTGGAAAACCTCGCCCGGATCTCATCGACCGCTGCCAGCCAGCCCCGGGAAGCCAGGACCTCCCAGTCTTTGGCCTCTCGAATTCGACGATCTGTACAGGGGAAGCATCCTTGATCAAGGACGGGTTCCGTTCCTGGCCGTCTGGTCACAGTAGCTGTAAGTTTGGCTTGAAAATGGCTGCTACGATAGGCTCCAAGCTGACGTGTTGACAGCGTCTTTCGCCGGTTTGTTCTATCTCTCGCTCTACCTGAGCGGCAAGATGCACATCATGGACAGTCGCGGGGAGGTTTGGAAGGCCATCCTTGTCATGATTCCTTCTCTCGGGGCTGCGCTCATCGCGGTGAGCCGTATTATGGATGCTCGGCACCATCCATTCGATGTCATCACCGGCTCCCTACTAGGAGTCTTCACTGCGTGGGCGTCCTACCGACAGTATTTCCCACCCTTGTCCGAGCCATGGAGAAAGGGTAGAGCCCATCCCATCCGGAGTTGGGGGACGGACCCTACCGTGCCGCCAGGTAAGATGCATTTGGCATCTTACGATGATGACCACGTGCCCTTGCGCGATGTGGATGAGGAGCATTTGAATGCTCACCCGCTAGGGATGGATCAAGGGGTCCCCTCCCGTCCGGAGCCTCAACCAGCCGGGCCATACAATCGCCATCGGGACCGAGACGGCTACTCGTCCTCGTCGAGCGAGGACGATCACGAAGGGTTCGAGATGACAGCAGCGCCGTATGCTCGCGGCGCGTCTTACCAGCCGTATGACACGGCTTATCAGCCGGCCACTGTCCCGCCGGCTGCCCACGGCGGGCAGGTTCGTCATCTGGCAGGAGATGCTTAGACGTAGAGTAGACGCAAGGTGGATGACATTTTTCTACATGCAATCGTCTTTTTCTTTTCGTTTTCTTTTCTCTTTTCCAATATCTTAGGCATAGCATCAGCATCAGCACGAACACGAACATGTACATATACATGAACATGAACATCAGCCATGTACGAAGTATCCATTTCATCAATTCACAGAACGGATCAGTCGTTTTCATTTCGCTGGATCCCGTCTATGCCATTCTGTCCGCAATACATACCAGCGTAGTGGGCAGCTCAAGATACCTTCCAGAAATGTGACTACCAATTCCAGTATAGACCAGGCGAGGATGGCCTATCTCGCATCTCGATCGATCGATAGAGGGCTGGAAGATGAGCCACGAGGACATCGCAGCCGGTCTAAATCGGTCTAAATCCCCGACGCATGCAGCCGGCGCCATCCTAGCGCTGCCACTGGTTGCTTAGGGATACCAAGAGATACCAAGAGCTGTCTAGCCTGGCCATGTTTGGCTGACATGCATGGCTGGGGGCACGGACTGGTAGGATGCAGTTGCTAGATTGCCAGGCAGGTCCCCGCCATCCGATTAATTTAATATCCGCTTCCCAGCCTCCCGCCAACAACAAAAGGCATCGCCGTTTATTCCTATTTTTGCTTTTAAACGAGCACTTCGAGCTTTTCCTGCTTTGCAGAATTTCCATTATCCAATACCTCACATTTGGCTGTGTATGCGTTGCCCTGCAAGACATCTGAGGACTCTGTTGCTATAGCAAGTGTGCTCCTAGTAACGGGTTGCCCCGCAATACTTCAATTCCTCGCGCATTGGCCTTAATTCCATCCACTGCATAAGCGCAGGACATATCAGATCGCGCATCGATCGCAGGAATTCCACAGATTATTCTCCTTTGCATAGACATCAAGATGATTGGCAGTCTCCTTTTTATCTTCTGGCGGCTGATGGAAATCACCTTTCTGATTCCTATCATTGGCATGCTGGTAAGTGTTTATCTTTTTCCTGATCCATCGAGCTAGCCTCCCATCTAACAAAATGTCGTACTTGTAACAGGCATATTTTGTCCATGGCTTCCTAGACAGTAACCAGCTCACACCAGCCTATATCCTGGTTCTGTTCATCGTCAGCACCATCGCCGTCTTCTGGTGCGCAGACACGGTCATCCGCTTCGGAAGCACCAAGCGCTCAGCCGCTTTCGTTGCGCTGATTGATCTCTGCTTCTTCGGGGCTTTTATCGCTGCCGTGTACGAGCTCCGTTTTATTGCCGGAGCCGACTGCAGTGGCTGGGACACCAACACGGTGTCTGTCTCACTCGGTCCGTTTGGATCTATTGTCTACACTGGCCGCGAGTACAATGTCAATAAGACTTGCGCCATGCTCAAGGCTTCTTTCGCCCTGGGGATTATGGAAGTTGTCTTCTTCTTTTTGACTGCCATATTTGCTTCCTTCATCTTCAATCACCACCGAGATGATACGGTCGTCAGGGAGACTGTTGTGCGCCGCCGAAGCCACAGCAGCCGGCGTGGACACCACCACGGCCGCAGAAGCTCGTCCAGTCGACGACATTATGTGGTTTAGAATTATATGGAATAAACAAAAACGGGACAACAAGGGAAAAAAATTTGAAAAGGAAAAAGGATTCAGCTGGACGAGTCGCACTTTTTGACATGAATGGATAGATTATGATCATTTGGATTTTTAGCAATTGGCGACAGCTGCCTTCGTGGGCATCCAGACAAGCTTGTTGTATTGATGATGTACTTTTACGCGATGATGTTCTGGTTCCTGTGTATATTGCACGAGCATGTATTTAGTCTAGATGACGGTCGAATGATTATGACAACTATGAATTTAACGTTTTCAGTTTTGATACTTCGAGACTTTATTTCAACACCTTATAGAATTTTGTTAATGAAAGAAAGAAAATTAGAGTTAGCACCACAAAAAATGGATAAGGTATGGGAGCCCTGCCTTTAACAATACCCATAATATTATAACTTTTTGCATTGTCTACAGGTGGGATTACGAGAAGTCAAAATGTGTCAAAATTTTGACCACGATACCAACTTTACTTAGTAAAGATTATTTTAGTTGTTTGGTTGCATATTCTTTCTGACAAAATGTTTGATCTCACGTAAATCAGTCTAACTACCGACACAATTCAGAAAACCTTAATACTTATTCAATATCTGTCATATAAGTGTGTAAGTAGAAAAGAAGGGAGAATTCTAGTATAAACCCTTGACCCACGAAATCATGCGGCCTGTCTCCTCGAAATCGGACATGCTTTGCGTTTGGAGGATCTCCTTTGTCCTCATTCATTGTCGTACTGTTTGTGTTCACACTCCAATCAACAGAACATTGTGTATGCATCCATTACCCTCGTAATTCTCCACTCTTTTTCATCGTTTGTATAGTATACTGTCTTCGCTAAGATGGCTAAGTAGCTTCTTCAAAGTAAGACTCTATGTTCTTAAGAAACAAAGTTTACGATGCTTTTGCTCTCTATATGTCTGTGAGGCCGATTTATGACGTTGAACCTTCTCCTATCAAGATGCAATGTAGATGCAGATCATCTTTCTGTTAGATCAATGTGATACATGATTTACTATCCTAGCCTTACTTTATCCAAACTTTCGTCATCCATAGGCCGTTTAAAATTTCAGTATACATAGAAATATCAGAACGAGGATAGAAGTTAATAGGGTGGAGCATTCTTTTATCAAATATGGTATATATCATAGACGGCGATCTCCGTGCACTGATCATTATGCGCTGGCGGCTACCGGCGGCCACCAGCGATAAGCAAGAAATACATGAAGTAATAGAGCTAGTAGTACTGTAACACTGTAGCCCTGCATCATCAATGACAAACATTTATGGATCACAAATTCAATCAATTCAATCCATGAGTAACATCTGAGATGCTGGGTCGGGTACTTTGGTAACCAAGACTGGTTTCTCGGCCAGCTCCGACCACTGGTTGAGCTCCACTATCACCAGCGTCATCATTTATCTTTGCGGGGGAGGTCTTGATGAGCCACCGCTCTTTCGGTACTATCTTCTTTCTTTTTTATTGCTATTTCAACATTCCATTCCATTCCCATGATCCCGAAATTCGATGCTGTAGTCACCTGAATGCGCCGCATTCTTCCATCGTGAATTGCAAACCGCCGCCGTTCAGGTCGCCACCCATCTATCCCCCATGGGTACACGATTTTATAACCATTATTTCCAGTTCCTTATCGAACCATCATGGCAGATCCGCCTGCGTGTCCGATAAATACCTTTTACCCCGAGCCTCTAGATGAAATTCGACATCGGGAATACCCATTGATGAAAGGTTAGACATGCTGCACCTTGTATTGGTCAAACTAATCTTTGCAATAGGGGTCACATATATGGATCATGCCGGCTGCACATTATATGCAAAGTCTCTCATCGAATTATATACACACGATTTAACCTCTAATCTTTTCGGGAATCCACACTCGGCATCGGCGTCCTCCCAGCTAACGACAAGCCGTGTTGACGATATCCGACTACGAGCCCTTCGCTTCTTCAATGCCGATCCAGATATTTACGATCTTGTATTTGTGGCAAATGCAACTGCGGGTATCAAGCTAGTGGCAGACACTTTACGAGATCATCAGAGTGACAGCAACAAGCAGAAAGGTTTCTGGTATGGCTATCATATAGATTCGCATACAAGTCTGGTTGGAGTACGGGAGGTGGCCGATCAAGGGTATCGATGTTTCGACTCCAATGAAGAAGTTCAACAATGGATCAATAATAATCTTCCCACAGAGGAAGCTACCACCACAAATCTTTTCGCTTATCCTGCCCAGTCAAACATGAACGGTCGACGTCTCCCGCTCAAGTGGTGCAGTCAAATCCGGGACTTTAAAGGACGAAATACGTTTACGCTTCTAGATGCTGCAAGCTTCGTCACAAGCACGCCACTAGATCTCAGTCACCCCCTTGTTTGTCCAGATTTTGTAGTTCTGAGCTTTTACAAAATTTTCGGCTTCCCTGATCTAGGCGCCCTGATTGTGCGAAAAGATTCAACTCATATATTCCAGCATCGCCGGTACTTTGGAGGGGGACAGCAGACATGATCATTGCAAGTGGTGCTCAGTGGCATGCAAAAAAGGATAATCATATCCATGAACAAGTGGAGGACGGAACCCTTCCATTTCACAGTATCATAGCACTTGATTCAGCATTGAAGATTCAAGAAAGACTTTACGGCTCCATGAGGAATGTCTCGGCTCATACCTCGTATCTAGCTCAGCAACTTTATCAACGATTATCTTCTCTCAAACACGCCAATGGCTTGCCTGTCTGCCATATTTATATATCACCTGGATCATCTTATGGCGACACAAATACCCAAGGGCCGATAATTGCCTTGAATCTTATGGATATTAATGGCAAATGGGTTGGAAAGTCCGAGGTTGAAAAATTAGCCGCCGTGAAGGGTATACATATTCGTTCTGGGACTCTCTGCAACCCAGGTGGCGCAGCGAGTCTGCTTAACCTGACTGGTGATGAAATGAAGGCTAATTTTGAAGCTGGTCAGCGGTGCGGGGATGAAAACGACCTTATGCAAGGCAAACCAACTGGAACACTCAGAGTAAGCCTTGGAGCCATGAGTAACTGGGAAGATATCAACTCGTTTGTTGCGTTTATCGAAGAATATTACGTTGAATCAGTCTCGAATGTCCCTTCGCCAACTCTATCTGCTGCTGATCCAGTCGACAACCGGTTCTACGTGGAGACTTTATGTGTTTATCCTATCAAAAGCTGCGCCGGATTCAACGTGCCATCAGGAGCTGCCTGGAAAGTTCACGCAGGGGGTCTCGCTTGGGATCGTGAATGGTGCATCGTTCACCAAGGAACGGGTACCGCACTCAGCCAGAAGCGATATCCCCGAATGGCTTTAATCAAGCCATATATAGATCTGGAAAATAACATCCTCCACGTCACCTGTGGATCGTCATCGACAGAGGAACGCAGTCTAGACATTTCTCTTTCAAGCGACGACTCACAACTTCTAGTAACCGAAGTATGTCAGAATTCCAAACGCAGGTTGTTCAGGGTCTGTGGCGATAAAATCGTGATGGAGATATACTCATCGCCGAGAATATCTGCATTTTTCTCTGGCTTTTTGGGGGTTCCTTGCACTCTGGCTCGGGCTTCTCACTCTCTTACACCACGTCGAGCGAAGATGGCCTCCATCAATCATGTACTACGAAATACCATGCCTGGCTCTTATCCACCAGAAGCCGGTCACTTTTCTGAAGATTCTATACGAAATGCCAACCCTATCCTCCTTTCCAACGAGAGCCCAATTCTCTTGATTTCCAGATCGTCTGTGAATAGATTGAACGAGCATATCAAAGTAAACACCAAGTCAGGATTCATCAATGCAAACAAAGCTGTCGCAGCTGATGTGTTCCGCGCAAACATCATTGTTGCCGAGAATCTATATACCTCTCACTGCCATCTCAGCATTGATCGCTCTTCTGCGTCGTTGCAACACCAGCAGCTCCAACGTCCTTCGATATTGACGTCAGAACAGCCTTATATTGAGGACACATGGTCCTCATTCACCATTGGTCCCCGCGAGTTATCGTTTGATGTCCTCGGATCGTGCGAACGGTGCCAGATGGTTTGCGTGAATCAAGCGACAGCTGAGAGACACGAAGAGCCTTTTTCAACTCTAGCAAAGACTAGGCGAATTGGTGGTAAAGTCCTTTTTGGTCGACATGTTGGTTTATCACACTTAGATAATGAAACTAGCAGCCAGTCGATTACTGTTGGGGATATAGTTATGCCGTCATATTCGTGAGATTTACCTTTTGAGTGATTTCTATTGATATACCCAGTGATGTACATACCTGTAGGCTATATAACTTTGTCAATGTATTGCATGTAAGAAAATATACTCCAATTGTTCTTGTAGATTTACACAATATAATACAACCAAACCCTTCTGAACATGATAATTCGCCAATAGACATGCGAGGTAGAGCGACAAAATAAGATCAAAAATGAAACAAGACCGTGTAAGCGATTACCGCTTCGGCCACTTCTTCCATCCTCGTCCGTGACCTCTCTGTAGAATAATTAGCACCGGTAACCCCTCTTTCATCACACAGCGTATAGCCACTTACCTGTTTCCATAATCTGATAAGCTCTGGCATTTCCATCATAGCTTTCCTTCTCTCTTCGAGTCGAGTCTCCATTGTTCTCTCCCACTTGTGACCCTTGACCTTCTGGCCGATACCAGTACCCTTGATGGCCAGGCCGCGCTCCTGACGACGAGTCTCTTTGAATATAGTCGATTTGCGTCCTGATGGTAATAGCTCCTCCACTCCGTATTTCTTCGCAAGTTTCACTAGATCGGCCTGTTGTCGGAGGCCAAACTTTGGCGCCCACCATTCACCCTTGGGATTCTTTGATGGGAGGAAAGGGTTGGGGAATTCCTTGCATGTGTAAAGCAATGCTTTCGACGGCGACCATACTGTCGGGTCTCGTTTCACACCTTTTGCGTCTCGGTTCGGTGTGTAAGGAGAGGGCAATTCTGCCAGTTCTGATGTTGTTGATTCACCAGACACTGCTTCGGCATCTGCTTCCTTCAATGTGTTGGCTACGCCGGGTGGCATCTTCTTGACGGGAGATGTGGCTGCCGAGTAATTTTCCGGGGGGTATTTAGCGAAGAAGTTGAGTAGACGTTGAGGAAGAAGTGAGACGACACCATTCTTTCCTGTCCCTGCCAGTTTAGCCGCCGACCTGGCTGCCGATTTGGCTTCCGACTTGATTGCTAGGGTGGCTGACATATTGCCAGTTCACAAGGAGAAGAGGTCCTCGCTCCGGTGGCAGACTGTCGATTGACTGGATGTTCACTAGTGATGGATGGGTAAGATGTCTTTTTCCCACGCAACATGAAATAAACTGAATAACCCGAATAGCACGAATAAATCAGAGGCCAAGCCGCTAAGCCCAGTCGGGCGAGGCTGGGAAGGCAACTCCAGGTGGAGATGGCCGCCGTCTTCGCTCCTGCCGCCGACTTTCTCTCCGGCATTCTTCAATTTATCCATCTCTGCAGTCTGGCAGCATCGCAAGCACACGCCTGGTTGCCCCAGATAGAACTCACTTGCCCTATAAAAGGACATATCAGCATACTACTGTTCGATTGATCCCTCAGCATCTGAGGAACCCCAATAAGCATGGCCGACTACTCTTTCGGCGGCACCGAGGAGGAGAATGCGGAGCTGAGAAAACTCGAAGTTGAGCTAGTGAGTCATTCGGCGTGCATCGCAAACCCTTTTCGTGTCTTGTTACTGATAAGAGTTTGGATCTAGGCTGAAGATCCCGATAATTTCGAGACATGGGAGAAGCTAGTTCGTGGCTCTGAAGCTCTGGAGGGCGGAATCAATCGCAACTCGAATCCCCAGGCAATCACAACAGTGCGACATGCCTATGACCGATTTCTCGCCAAGTTTCCTTTGCTATTTGGATACTGGAAGAAATATGCCGATCTTGAGTTCTCTATCGCTGGAACCGAGGCTGCAGAAATGGTACGTCCCAAAAAGCCCATCGGGTTTGAAGGGCCATGGCTAACAACAATATTTTTTGAAAGGTCTACGAACGAGGCGTCGCTAGCATACCCACCTCTGTCGACTTGTGGACTAACTACTGCGGCTTCAAAGTCGAAACCAACCATGACTCGGATGTCATCAGAGAGTAAGTAGATCAGGAACTGTTTCCCTTCCCCCAAACTGTTACCGACACAGCGCGGTTTTGTTCGAAGACTCGGTTCTGCCACAAATTAGGCATTTGATTTCTTTTGTGAAGTGAAATTGGATTTTTGATGCTGGGTGAGATCGTTCGCCTGCCACCAAGTCCCTGAGATTACTTCTCACCCATGAAATTTTCAGGCGCGCGCGCTCTTTCTCTCTCTTCCCCTTGGAGCATCTCACCACAGCTATCCAGAAACACCAGCATGTCCCTTGTCATATCGAAGCTCCCTCATGATAAAAGATATCAGGTTTCTCAAATGTATCGCATTTGAGCCCAGTTCATGACAACAAACTCTCGTGTTTGACATCCACCGCCCCTTCCGACTCCTTTCCCCTTCCGCATTATTAGTATTGATAACTAACTTCTCTCGAACTAGGCTTTTTGAGCGAGGCGCGAATTGCGTGGGATTAGATTTTCTCGCTCACCCGTTCTGGGACAAGTATATCGAATTTGAAGAGCGTCTCGAGGCTTTTGATAAGATTTTTAGCATACTTGCTCGAGTGATCCACATTCCTATGCACCAATATGCTCGCTATTTTGAAAGATACCGTCAACTCGCCCAAAACCGGCCGGTAAACGAGTTGGCTCCGCTTGAGACTTTGTCCCAATTCAGATCCGAAATTGAGTCTGCGTCCGCCGAGCTTCCTCCGGGTGCTAAATCTGAGGCAGAGATCGAAAGGGATCTCCGGTTACGCTTAGATACATACCATCTAGAGGTTTTCTCTAAGACCCAGACTGAGACAACCAAACGCTGGACTTATGAGTCTGAGATCAAACGTCCCTATTTCCACGTAACTGAGCTAGACGAAAGCCAGCTTGCCAACTGGAGACGCTATCTCGATTTTGAAGAATCAGAAGGCTCCTATGCCCGAACCTCTTTTCTATATGAGCGATGCCTTGTCACATGCGCCCATTATGACGAATTCTGGCTACGTTATGCTCGATGGATGTCCGCACAGCCTGAAAAGGAGGAAGAGGTTCGGAATATTTACCAACGAGCAAGCACTATATACGTACCAATCGCACACCCTACTGTGCGTTTGCACTATGCCTATTTTGAAGAGATGTCGGACCGGGTTGATATCGCCAAAGACATCCACGACGCCATTCTCGTCACTCTGCCCAATCATGTGGATACTATCGTTTCTTTGGCCAATATCACCCGTCGTCATGGGACACTTGAAGACGCTATTCAAGTTTATAAGAGCCATATCGAGTCGTCAGAAACTGATGTGGCTACGAAAGCCGCTCTCGTTGCTGAATGGGCTACCCTAATCTGGAAGGTCCAAGGATCACCAGAAGATGCGAGGTCTGTTTTCGAAAGCAACCATCAACAATACCTGGATAGTCGTGCATTTTGGACACGGTATCTGCTCTTCGAGCTAGAGCAACCCTCGAGCACTTCCACGGAATCTGTCCAATATGAGCGAATCAAAAAGGTGGTCGATGACATTCGAACCAAGAGCGCTCTATCTGCGGAGGCGATCAAGGAACTTGTTCAGAGCTATATGATCTATCTACTTGAGAGAGGGACCAAAACAGCTGCTAAGGAGTACATTACCCTGGACCGTGAAGTTCATGGCCCACCCTCTGTATCCCCAACAAACAAGAAAGAGTCAGGTAAAGCCGTTCAGAGTATTCCTCCAGCTGCACCAGTCCCAGACCCAGCTGCGGCCGCCTACGCTTACTATCAACAGCAGCAGCAAGCAGTTGCGAATGGAGCGGTAAGAGATATTTCGATCCCTGTGCATATTGCATACTAATCAGAAGGCAGGTCCAACCGGCTCAATATTGATAACACCCCATACCTTTCTGTCAGTGATTCTAACTAATGTCTACCGGCTGCTACTTCTTTTCGAACATAGAACATTTCAGTAGGGAACTGGATGGTTTGTATTGCTTTTAAATTCAAGGCTTGTCCTTTTCAAGCGGCGCATTGACGGTACCTGTGTGGGCATGATTGATTTGATTTCCATGGAGTAGATTGCGCAGCTTAGCTGCATAAACCAGACTGGTAGTTCGTATCGCTATTAGTTACCCATTCTCGAATCAATATTTGGATTAAATATACACAAACTGCGCATTATTCTAATTTATCAGGTTTCCTCCTGAAATTAAAGATCATAACGAATATTCTATTAATAAAAAGAAAGTTTATAAAGTAGTAGAAGATAAGAAATTATATATCATAATAATAATAGTAAAAGAAATCTATTATAAAATATGTCGATGTGATGTACGATATATCACGTGACTTTAAAATGCACTTCCAGTTTTTCTGGACTCCCGTATAAATTCAAGATGTCGATGGCGAGCCTAGTTCAAACCATTCTCCAACGCAAGCTCTTTCCTCACCGTTCAGTTTTGGGGGATTTTCATACACAGCCATTATGAATGGAACTAGTTTAAACGGCCAGGAGCGTGGTGAGTACTCTGAGATACCCCCTCCGGCTCCTCCAGCAGATGATCCCCCTCCGCCACCGCCGATGGAGGTAGATGGCGCTGCTCCTCCTCCTCCTACAGATATCGAACCCCCTCCACCACCTGAGGAGTTCTTTCCTCCGCCTCCTCCGCCTGCAGCTACAGTTGTCAAGAAGAAGAAATCCGGTTGGAGCTCTTCAAAAGCCCAACCGTTGAGTGTTGAAGAGCTTGTACGGAAGAAGAGAGAGGCCGACGCGGCGGCTTCCAAGGTTCGTTCAATATATCTCGCGAATATATATATTCATGACAGAACTAATTTATACTTCTAGCCCAAGTTTCTTTCCCGGGCCGAGCGCGAACGCCTTGCAGTAGAAAAACGTGCCAAAGAAGTCGAAGCGGAGCGACGGGCGAAAATCGAACAGAGTCGATCAGCGAACGGCTCAAGCCGGCAGAACGGTGGAAGTGCTACAAGTTCGGATACCGTGCCAACGAATGGCGACTCTAGGTCTATTCCCACCGGACCACGCGCGTTTCGTGGTGGGGAGATTCCAACTGGCCCTGCTGCCATGCGCAATTCCCACAATAGAGACTACGATATGTCCCCGCCACCTCCCCCGAAACGGATCGCATTTGGCAAAGATGACTCCAAAGGCGATAAAAAGGTTTCGGAGGAGGAAGCAGAGGCAACACTGATTCGGCAACGATATATGGGTGCAGACCAAACGTCCAGCTTCTCGGCAAAGAAAAAACGGAAGCGTACTACAGAGAGGAAATTCAATTTTGAATGGAATACTGAGGAAGACACCAGCAAAGACTACAATCCTTTGTACCAGAACAAGGCGCATGCCAATTTCTTCGGACGAGGCCGTCTTGCCGGCTTTGGCGATGAGGTGGTGGATACTGCTACGAAGAAATACGTTGAAGCATTGGAAAGCCATGATCGAGAAGCAGGAACAGCTCGGGCGAGGGAGATATTGGAAATGGAGCGAAGACGGAGAGAAGAGGGCAGCAGAAATGCGATTGATAAGCACTGGAGCGAGAAACGACTGGATCAGATGCGCGAAAGGGACTGGCGCATCTTCAAAGAAGACTTCAATATTAGCACCAAAGGAGGAAGTGTTCCTAATCCTATGCGATCATGGAATGAATCTGGGCTCCCGAGGAAGTTGCTTGAGCTAATTAGCCAGGTTGGTTACACTGATCCAACACCGATTCAGAGGGCTGCTATTCCGATTGCCCTACAGTCAAGGGACCTTATTGGTGTCGCTGTTACGGGTTCCGGTAAGACAGCCGCTTTCTTGCTTCCACTGTTGGTATACATCGCGGAGCTACCCCGGCTTGATGAGTTCGAATGGAGGAAGAACGATGGTCCATATGCGATTATCCTAGCGCCCACACGTGAATTAGCGCAACAGATTGAGATTGAGGCCAAGAAATTTTCCAAGCCTCTCAATTTCAATGTTGTTAGTATCGTTGGTGGCCATTCTCTGGAGGAACAAGCGTACAGTCTACGGGATGGCGCTGAGATCATCATCGCTACTCCCGGTCGATTGGTCGATTGTCTAGAGAGACGCATGCTAGTTCTATCACAATGCTGCTACGTCATTATGGATGAAGCAGATCGCATGATTGATCTCGGTTTTGAAGAACCTGTCAATAAGATTCTCGACGCTCTTCCTGTAACGAATGAAAAGCCCGATACCGAAGAAGCAGAAGACGCGCGAGCAATGAGTCAGCATATTAGCGGAAGAGATAATCGCTACCGACAGACAATGATGTATACAGCTACGATGCCGTCGGCAGTGGAACGAATCGCCCGAAAGTATCTACGTCGCCCTGCAATTGTCACCATTGGCAATGTCGGGCAGGCCGTCGACACTATCGAACAACGGGTCGAGTTCGTCTCCGGCGAAGACAAGCGAAAGAAGCGTCTTGCGGATATCCTTATGTCGGGACAATTCCAGCCACCTATCATCGTCTTCGTCAATATCAAGCGAAACTGTGACGCGGTTGCCAAGGATATCAAACGGCTGGGCTTTACTTCCGTCACACTGCACGGTAGCAAGACACAGGATCAGCGTGAGGCTGCGCTGGCATCGGTCCGCAATGGATCTACGGATGTTCTGGTTGCTACGGATCTGGCGGGCCGTGGTATTGATGTCCCTGATGTGAGTTTGGTGGTCAACTTCAACATGGCGACTAATATCGAGAGCTACACGCATCGTATTGGTCGTACGGGTCGTGCTGGCAAGAGCGGTGTCGCAATTACGTTCCTGGGCACCGAGGACACTGATGTTATGTATGTATATTACACTTCCCTACCTACATATTTCCCCGTATACATAACCCTCACTAACATGGTCTGATAGGTACGATCTCAAGCAAATGCTCATGAAGTCGTCTATATCTCGGGTCCCCGAGGACCTGCGCAAGCACGAGGCGGCGCAATCCAAGCCCACGCGCGGTGGCGGGGCCTCCAAACAGAGGGCGGAGGAGTCAAGTGGCTTTGGAGGCAAAGGAGGGTGGTGAGCTGGCTCTGGTTTTTCGAATTGACCGGGGGCTGTAATTGTACAATAAAAATAGCAATTGCCATACCACAATTCCCATGCTGCAATATTAATTAGGATTACAAACGTGGAGCGGCCAGACCGTGCCTCGGCGCTTTATGATTCGCGGCTCCCGATTGGCTGAGACCTTTGACACCGCGACCTGGCCCAGGCTCGAGAGTGGCAGGAGAACTGAGTATTCAAGATGCAGTGTGATACAGCTGCGAGTGTAAATGTCAATCTAAATCTAAATGCTCATACATGTAACTAGTTGTTCACTGCGTCTATTGATGTGTTTGTATTGCCGACGCCCGAAACGTGGAGTGTGCACCAAACCGCTTACAGCGACGCGGCAGCTGTGGCCCAATCAGCGGCGCGGAATTGGTCACCCAGGTCCAGCGTTCCCCGACTGATATTCGAGCGCCTTCTTCTGCTCGTTTCTGCTCTTCTTCTTATCTGTTACTCTCTCCCCTCTTTCAATCCTCTCAAGTCAGCTGTTGCTGCACCACTCTTTCCCCATTTTGTTTCATTTCATTCCGCTCAGCTACCACACAACCATCACAATGGCCTCTGTAGCCCGATCTGCCACCCGCGCCTTTGCCCGCTCTAACCCTGTCCGTCCTGCTGCTCGCAGCGCCCGATTCGCCGTTCCCCTCCAGACCGTCCGTGCTTCTGGCCGCCGAGGATACTCTTCCGAAGCTGATGCTGGCAAGTCCAACAGCACCCTGTACTGGGGTATCGGCCTGGCTGCCGCAGCTGGTGCTGGCTACTACTTCTACAGCAACGGCGATGTAGCCAAAGCCTCTGGTCCTTTCGTGCCCACCAAGGACGACTACCAGAAGGTGTACGACGAGATTGCCCGTCTGCTGGTCGAAAAGGACGACTACGATGATGGCAGCTATGGACCGGTATGCTAGGACTTATAACTGTTGATGTATTGATTGGTGGCAGCTTGCTAACGGGGCTAGGTTCTTGTCCGATTGGCATGGCACGCCAGCGGCACCTACGACAAGGAGACCGGCACTGGTGGCAGTAACGGCGCTACCATGCGATTTGCCCCTGAGTCTGAGCACGGTGCCAATGCTGGCTTGAAGACTGCTCGCGACTTCCTTGAGCCAGTGAAGGGTAAGCTATATTCCTCCACCACGCTGGTTTTGCCGGTCTAACCGGTGCACAGCCAAATTCCCATGGATCACCTATTCCGACCTGTGGACTCTTGCCGGTGTCACTGCTATCCAGGAATTGCAGGGCCCTGCCATCCCATGGAGACCTGGCCGACAGGACCGTGATGTTTCCGCCTGCACTCCTGACGGACGTCTTCCCGACGCCGACAAGGACCACAAGCACATCCGTGGCATCTTTGGACGCATGGGATTTGATGACCGTGAAATTGTCGCCCTCATTGGCGCTCACTCTCTCGGCCGTGCCCACGCTGACCGATCTGGCTACGATGGTCCTTGGGACTTCAGCCCTACTGTTTTCACCAACGAGTTCTTCCGTCTCTTGGTTGAGGAGAAGTGGGCCTGGAAGAAGTGGAGCGGACCTGACCAGTACACCGACAAGACCACCAAGACCTTGATGATGTTGCCTGCCGATCTCGCCTTGATCAAGGACAAGGAGTTCAAGAAACACGTCGACCGATATGCCAAGGACAGCGAGGTTTTCTTCAAGGAGTTCTCCGACGCTTTCGTCAAATTGCTTGAACTTGGTGTTCCCTTCACCACTGACGAGCGCTGGGTATTGAAGGCCACCTCCTAAACGTTCAACCAGCTTCCCATTTTCTTTACCCACCGTCTCTGATGTGTTTGGGGCTTTGTCTAGATATCCAATTTGCATTTCCATTCGCTGGAGACATTGTCTCTACTAGAATTTAGATTTAGATTTAGATGTTAGAGAGTGTCATTTGCTGCGATGTGTGACATCGACTTTGTATGAAACAGATACCTTTACAATACGAGTACTCAATATGAATCTTATCTTCAATCGGTAGTTAATTTCAATTCAATGTATTGTAAGCTGTCATGGTTGGTGGGCCATCCGTGTTCCCCGCTTGGTTCTCCGCATGCCAAACTTTTTGCCTGCCCACCTTACTACAACACATTCATTAAAGGCCCGAATATACTGAAAGACACACCGCCAGAACCCTCGAGAGTTTCGAAGCGAACAGTGCTACCCGCACTTAACGCAAAGACAGAGGCAGACCGCCGATGGAATCCAAGCATGTGGATATCTACCACGTCTTAAACATCCCCTTCAGCAACAACGCGCCTATCCTCTCGAAACAACAGATCAAAATCGCCTACCACAAGGCACTCCTCAAGTACCATCCCGACAAAGCTGCTTCAACCGCGGCGGCAAAACACCTCCCCTCATTCTCACGGCAACGGGTTCCTTCCTCCGAGTCCGATACGGCAGTCGCATACACAGTCGATGAGATTACCTATGCTTATAAAACACTATCAGACCCAGTGCTGAGAGCTGAGTATGATCGCCAACTGCGGCTACAACGGAATAACGGGTCGGGCGGCAGGCTGCAAGACGCGGATGTGTTCCACACTGGACTGGAAGTCATGGATCTGGAGGATTTGAACTATTCCGACGATTCAGATGAATCGAAGGGGTTTGGTGGAGAGGAGGCAGATGTATATTGGTTTCGTGGGTGCAGGTGCGGTGATGAGAAGGGATTTATTGTCACTGAGGATGAGCTCGAGGCCGAGGCGCTGCACGGTGAGATTGTGGTTGGCTGCCGTGGATGCAGTTTATGGATTAAAGTGCTGTTTGCAGTGGCAGAGGATGGGCAACATGATGCGAGTTGAGATGACTTGAGAAGGATAGGATATGCTGTATACCTGCTTCTGGGTTGTCGTGTAGAGTTGCTTTGCCAGCGTGCACATCGGCTCCTACACTCGTCGCGTCTGGGTAGGGACTGCTCTATGAGATTACCACAGCCGATGATTTGTCCTCGATGTGAGTCCAGGCGACTCACGTCAGTTCATAATTGGCGGTCGAGATGCTACGCCAACTACTCATATGGGTGTTGACATCAGGTAGCGGTCCAGGATCATGTCGATATTGTCTAGGATACTGGCAGTTAGATGATTAATATATCAACCGTGTCAGCTAGTCAATGTCAACTGATGATATTGGGGGCTATAGACTTGCAATCTGTAAATACATGGATCAATTAATATACAAGTTTGTCAACATATATGTATATACGTTACCTCAAAAGGTTAAACCAATCGGTGGTTTGTATATACTAGTAAAATGTTGACATCTCTAGGGCACAGCAGACATTCGATTAATTTCAAGTGAATTAATTTAACAAAATCGCAGTTGAAAACAAAGTTCTACTACATCTCGTTGTCGACGCATTGCTTAGGTTAGCGCGTGCATCACCGAGCTGCGGCAATATTCCCGCCTCAACATCGATTATTAAATGCCGATGTCCTCTCATTCCAACACCCATCACATCCCACAAGTCACAACCATACACTATGTCCCTTGTCCACATATCATCAAAAGAGCAATTTAGCTCTCTCCTAACAAGCTCGACTATTGTCGTGACTGACTGTGAGTTATCGCCTACCCCTCTCCTCCCACCGTTCGCTCTTGTTTATGACGTCCTCCCGCGGATTCACACAACCCCGCTATGCGATCAAGCTGACCCTTCGCCTTCTTCTTCTCAACGCAGTTTACGCAGACTGGTGTGGGCCATGTAAAGCCATCGCGCCAATGTACGAGCAGCTGGCAAACCAGTTGTCTCGTCCGAACCAGATTACGTTTACCAAGGTGAATGTCGATCAACAGCAGGATATAGCGCGGACATATGGCGTTACAGCGTATGCCACCCTCTTCCTTTTCTATTATTTCCTATTTTTGAACTTACGACTAATATTCTATCTATAGAATGCCTACGTTTATCATGTTCAAGCGAGGCCGACCTGTCTCTACCATCCGCGGTGCCGACCCCAACAAGCTGTCAGAAGCTGTGCGCAAACTTGCCACCGAGGCCAACAACATGGAAGCTGAAGGGGGTGAGGAATCGGCAGGAGCTGAAGGAGCTTCCGGATGGATCGGTGCTGGTCTGCCTAGAGGCTACAAAGACGTCACAGATCAAGTGTCAGTCAAGGGTCTGGATCTGCTTAACCGTGACAGCGAGCGGGGCAGCGCAGGGGTTCTTTTCGATCAGTCCAAGCCGTCCGCACTCGCCGGCAAGGGCAAGGAAAAACAGGCAGATTGGGTTGAGAGCGATACGGATGAGCAGTTGATGTTGTACATTCCTTTCGATGCGAGAATCAAGGTACACAGTCTACACATCACCTCATTGCCGCCGACCACGGCTGGCGAGGACGAAGACGAAGACGAGCTGCCCATGCGGCCACGGACTCTACGGCTTTACACGAATCGGTCGACGGTGTTGGGGTTCGACGAAGCAGAAGATATGGAGCCGACTCAGATCGCGAACATCGCGGCAGAGGATTGGGATAGGAAGACGGGCACGGCCAAGGTAGAGCTGCGGTTTGTCAAGTTCCAGGCAGTCACGTCGCTGGTTGTTTTCTTCGTGGATGGCGACGGAGAGCGCGAGAAGATTCGCGTTGATCGGATTCGCGTGATTGGTGAGGCGGGTGAGAAGAGGGAGCTTGGGAAGCTGGAGAAGATCGGCGATGAAGCTGGGGAGTGATACTACGATTCTACAATAGATATCGAGGGCCAGATATTTAGTCAAGAAGAGCCATTGCATTAGAACAATCCTAAATTCAAATTCATTTTTTAAACAAGTATGTCCGATCCCAAACCAAATGGCCACAGAAAATCGATAATTTCTCACGACCAATAAAGTAAGAACCAGTAGCAATTATTTTTTCTCTGTGACGCAACTGACACCTTTTGAACAACACTGCTTTCATCCTCTCTCTTTCAAGAGGGATGAAATTGTCAAGGCAACACGGGTAATAATTGATAGTTGCGTCGCCGCACGAAGAAAGAAAGAAGAAAAAAGGAAAATTTGATTTGGCGCGAGGAGTTTTTATGCGGGCTGGGCGGATTAGTTTTTCCGGCGCCGAAATGGGCCTTTCTAGATCCCAGCACCGTGATACTACAAACGCCGGGTAAGACACTGGAAATGGGGGCATGCAATATTAATTGATGAGAAAATAAGTCTAGAAACTCAACTGTAATCTAAATATACCAGTATGTACTTGGAATACTCAATATTGATTAAATATAAACTGGCTAAAGCGTCTCTTTGTTGCTTCCTAGAAGGACCGAGTTTGGGATCCATTATTAATGATTCTTTGGAGATTTACTTCCTATGTTCAGTTTTCATGATGGTTTGGATACCGATTGATTTCTGATATGTACATAATTGCGCCAACTGATAGATTCCTGTATCACCGTGTAGAATGTAATTGGGTGATATAAGTAGCAGTTCAAGACGTCAATTAATCTAAGATAGGGTGAAAATTCGCAAATCAGAGCAGCCTTACATAATGTGGAAGAAATTGACGTGAACAAAGACTGCTTGCTATGCACGTGACCAAGGCCCTCAGCAAACCAATATGCCGATATATAATAGAAAGACCCGCAAAAATTTAAATAGAGACTCAGTATAATAACATATCAATTAATGTATCAATTAACATGACCAGACCAGTCCATTCGGTAAAGTAGTACTTAACCGTTGGCCTTGAGCAAATTATACGTCTGACATAATCTGGAGCAATTGACTGCCAGAGCTCGTATACATGCATCAGTAATTAATTAACCCTGGTCAATCGACTAACAGAGTTAGTTCTTAGTGCTGATGTCGAGAATCCGGGGAGAGCGCAGGACGTTGAAGAAGGTCAGATGAAAATGATCCTACAGGCAGCCATTTCAAATGTTACAGAAGATAAACCGGCGCCGGACGGATGCTTAGATCAGGTTGATAATAATGATGATGGAACTAGCAGATATCATGTGGAATTATTGAACTTAGTCTAAGCCGAGAAGCACAAACAAGCTCGCGACTAATGAAGTCAGTTCTTTGAGATTGCGCCACCGGGCATCCCACGTTGGAATCAATAAATGTGTTTATGGTCGGCCACCGAACATAACTTTAATAAGAAATATGAAATACTGAATATATTCTGCTCAATTTCTAACCCGCTCTAGTCTACACTACCACATTGAAGGCAAATTTTCTGCAGCCAATCATCTGTGGGAAGCAGGGCGGTCAGATCAAAGAAGTAAGAACGAGTGTTCATGCAGGTACCGTTAACTAATTACTGTCATATCGTATGTCATTTTCATTTATTATCAACGAGTGATTCTTGCCACAGAATGATATTAATTGCTAGAATCTGCTGGATATTGCCACTGAGTGTAATTATTAATTAGCCGATTCTTTCCGCATGCTGTAGAAATCGTGCTAGGATAAAGGCTGAAGCACTGCGATGATCGCAATTATTGATGTACATCTCCCCGATCATTGGCGCTTTCAATTGGCCACGCATCAATCTTTAATACAACTAGTTACATGGTATATACAACCCGCATATAAATATTAACAATAATAGACGGTATGCTAGTGGGACGTAGGCCTGAACCCTGAAAAATAATACAGGGATTGCGAGCGCACGTGCGTCGCAAACACCGAGCACGTTTACGGCGACCAGGTGCACAACGGTAGTGTACCGCCGCAACGGGCTGTCCACATGGGAATTAAGATAATCCCTGTTGCGACGAGTAATGCATTTCCGAAACTTTACTCTATCTACTGGCTAGAATGCCTATTTGATAAATGGTCCTCTTAGCAGAAAAAATAATAAATTGAATGCAGCCAGGGAAGAGAATATGAATCTGCAGTCTATCAATTGTCGATCCGGCAGAACCATATGAAAACGATCAATTGGGTGAAGAGTGAAGAGTGAAGACCGGTGGCGTTCTCCCCGAGCACGGCAGTGATTCGCTGATAGCAGACCGCACATTGCACATAAAATCCAAAGTAGTAAAATACGCCGTCCATCAGCAGTCCAGGACTGTGGTTGCGACACTTATCTCCAGCTATTTACGTAAAGAGAAAGTGGCGGGCGATCTTGTTCCTGGACACCCAATACGTTAGCAGTTAGTACGAGTCGTACCTTGGTGACCTGGCCCGAGAAGGTTGGGAGTTAGAAAGGTGGACCAGCTAAAATGAATAATGTAGAAGCTTATGCAGTCTCAATTTTGTGGAAGGACACCATTTGCGGGGAAATTTCAGGCCAATCTGGCTCTGCCAAGGAACTAGTTATGCCGCTCGTCGAAGTTACGGTCGAACAATTGGACTGACTCAATCTGTGCTCAGGATAATAAATTCTAATGATCATGAAGAGATTCTCTGGTTCATGGATTGCGGTGGCCACTGAGCACTCCATTGGTGGCAGCCGTGGGACACTCAGCACGTGCGTTCGAATATTATGCTGTGTACTAATATGTAGTAATAATAATAATAATAACAATAAACAATACCAAATAATAAGGTATTGTCGGGGATAATTGAGGTTGAAAGAATAAAGAGCACGAAGCAAAGAAGAGAAAAGAGGAAACATCCCAATCAAGGTGTCGCAGAACTAGTCATAGCGCATAATTAGTACTCTGTATTAGTGCTAGAGTTGTTGAAACTTACAGTAATAGCAGGAGTAGATAAGCGACAGGATGACTAGACCGTAAGAGGCAAGTCTCCACCGAGGAATCCGTCCCGAAAGCTACCGTGAAACGCCATGGCGCTAGTCCTTTTTGCGATTGCGAGATCGGGCCTAGCTTGTTTAGGCAGTGCTCTCAAGCCCTATGGTGTATTGAGTTAGCGCTTGCTTTCCCATGCTGTCATTGGTGGCTAAAGGCTAGTGTAGAAGCAAAGCCGTGGCGTGTTTCAGCTTCCCGTTTCTTGGTGCCGTCGTTCCTGGTTCGGTGCGTCTCACTTCCTGGTTAGCATTACTATTAATATTTTAATATCATGATTGAACACCTGATAGGTATAGTATGGTTATACTTTCTACATTTACAGATATCTGAGTAATAACTTATCCATGCTGGTATTGATATAAAGAATAATAGCAATAATAGCATTTGTAGTTGTAATAATAATAAATAATAATAATAATAATAATAATACGATTAATGCTCCGCGCACGGTGACAGACAGACCAACAGAGCTAGACGGTGGCCCGCCGAGTGACAGGACGTTATTGCTCCGCTGAAACACCTGTCAGCATACATTGTCATACATTGATAGAATTTGGCCATAATGCATGATATTATTTTATTTATTCTTCCAACACTCGCCGCCGGACTCCGAGGCACACCATCGGAGTGCGTCTCGTACATTCAATAAAAGAAACAATGAATCAATTTTGAAATGATGAGATTGAGTTTCTTCGAGTACATTTAATGCAGTATTATTAACATTGTTAGGTTTATTATTTCAAATCGTGCTAGTGTCACCAACACTCGCGAGAGCACCGTCCTACCGGCCCGGCGGACCAGGCTGTTGGCTCAGGGCTATTCAACCTCTTGTGCGAATCGCAATAAGAGTAAGAATGATGATAAAAAAGAAGTTATTAATAATAAAAGGCCATTGAATATGACAGATGACAGCCCTTGCGTACGGAGTAGAGTGGTATGTTCCCATTCTATCTTTAGCCCAGAGTCGTTCATGTGAAACCTCACACCATGTATGTGTCCGGGGAGCAGCCCCACGCTGCGCTTCCTTGCGCCTCGGCAAGGTTCTAGTACCCTGTTAGTGTGTCTGTGTCACCAGTAGTGAAAGTCTGAGAGGCAAAATGAAAACCAAATTTCACCAATGTGATACATGTCCGAGTCAGAAGCCAGCAGCCAGACTTATCCGGCTTATCGACAGCGTCGTCGTAATCGATAACCCAATATTCTTGTTGGTGCGATCGGCGCTCCTTGCATTGTTTCCTATTCTTAATCTTTTCTCGAGTCTGTCCACTTGAATTCTATTGAGCCAAAAAGAAAAGAAAAGAAAAGAACAGGCCGGCCAACCGAATCATCATGCAAGAGCCCGAGTCACGCAACGGCCAACGCAAGGCGCTGCCGTTGAGCGTACAGCTCCAATCGGACGCGTGTGCGCTTATCACTCCCACCCACGTCTCAGACATCCGTTAGCCTGCAACAGTCTATTTGGCGGTTTCTTTTTTTCTAGCGTGCGCAAAGGTCGAAGTGGCGCTGATAGCCAGACGGTGACCCGTCAATCATATGTTCGTCGGCAGTTCCCTCGACTTTGCCACATTGCATCATGGCCGACGCAGCATCAATAATCACGGCGCCCCCGGATGAAAGGTGACAGCAGCAAGTCGCAGCAGCACAACGCCGCAAAACGAGCACAATCATACTCGGGCGGCAATTAATATCGACTGCGGGCCAATGGCAGATGAGCACGGCCACCAGTGGGGCCGGCCATCACCCTTGTAAGGGACCCGCGGCCTGCGATTGGTTGTTTTTCGCTTTTCTATCTCATTTCTTTGCTTTCTTCGACGTGCGGTTGGACGAATGATCGCATGTATGCCGCAACTATCACGCGAATATGAAAGCCATTGCAAGAGAGCTGGCCCAACCACGGCGAGTCGGGGCAGGATTTCCTATTGTCATTATTATTATCCCATATTGTTGCTTGAGTCGGTGTGGTGAGTGTGAGGGAGGGTGGCATAAGGTGGTCAGTGGCCGCTCGCAGTGGGGGCACTGTCTCATACGGCATTATATTGTACGGCGTAATAATAAACACAGCCATACCGGCGGCCACACAGCAGATAGCAGGGCCAGACAGCCGCCATACAAGAAAGACCGCTAACGCAGGCCGCCCAAGAAGGAAAATTGGGCGTCACTGAGCCGGCGGGGCGCGCCAGGCACAGCCCATCGCCACTGGCCAATCGCGGCAGGCATCCTGTGTGCCCCCGTCCCGAATCCCGCCCCGGATGAGCACTAGCGCGCCCCGCCCAGGCCCATACTTGGGACTCTTCCTCCCTGATCCTGTCCCATTGCATAGTGCATGCTGTCCGAATACTGGCCTCATCCTAGCAGCCTCCAGCCAGTCACCGCGCAGCGCCCGCACATACACCTCTGCCTTAGTGCCCACGTAGGAGCCCAGTAGTCGCCTCGTAGGTGTCCTGACTAGTGATCGCCGCTCGAGCACTTTTATCCACCGCCCACCCCAGCGCTCGCCCATTTCCCTCTATCATACCCGTTTCTGGCCGTCTTGCCTCTTTTTCTAATGCCTCATTTTTCATAATTCTTCTTGTTCCCTTCGCTGTTTTCTTGCTAACCCTTCCGGCTCCCTAAGCAAAAGCACGTCCCATTTAGTGGCTTACGCTTGACCTTGGGTCCTGTCATTCGTTTACTTTGAACACTCTCTCCAAGCACCTCGTTGACTGTTGTACTCGCTTTGATATCTTTTTTTTTCTCTTTACTAGCACGCTTCTCTTGTCTTGTTGCCTCTTTCCTGCCAGCAGTCTGACTCTTCCTTCCGCCGAACGCTTCACGAAGGAACCTGTCTACACTGCCAACCCACACTCCTTTCGGCCTTGACATTCGTTCTCTTTCGACCTTCGCCGCCAGTGTTGTATCCAACGCCAGCAACTCGACTGCCATCTACCGTATCGCTAGTATTTTAGTTATTAGTATTTAATTACCGCAAGACGAGTCCTCGACTATCTTTTGACCACTCCACTTTCCGTTTTTGTCCTGTTCTTGGTTTTCATCCGGTGTTGACAAGGTAGGCCGCCTCGCTGCCGTTCATCTCATATGTTGACCACGTTATTGACGGTGTCTCTAGCCCGAGAACTATATACATAATGGAAACGCCCTACTCAATACCCATGGGCGCCCACCCTTACATCTTCGCCCAAGAAGCAGACTTCCAGCAGCGACAACCGGGCACCCAGTTCGTCTCTACAGAAATGCCGACTTTCCACGCCCCAATGCCCGTCTACCCCCAGCAGCAGCCCATCTTCACCGCTCACTCCCAGCTGGGCCACAAGAGCCCACTGCACCACCACATGAGCATGACCCCAATTGCCTCGCCTCAACCTATGCACCTCCAGCCATCTATTATGGTGCAGCAGCAAGATTCCCGTGCCCTGCTTCCTCTCGACACTCGTTTCGTCAACGCCGACTTTTACGCCTTTCCGTCGACTCCACCGTTGTCGTCGTCCGGCAGCACCATCAGCAGCCCGCCGTCGACATGCGGCATGGTACACACGCCCGTCAACGGTTCCTTCTCTGGCTTGGAAAACATGGAAGGCGTCAAACAGGGCTGTGAATCCGATGTGCATGCCGAGATTCTAGCGAAGCCCGACTGGGGACGCTCTAACTCTCCTCCTTTGACGCCAGGTAAGAAAATTTTTTATTATTGTTGGTTTTCTATAAGAAGGGAAACAATTTTCTGCCATAAAAATTTGTTGAATGACATGTATTTGAATTGTTCCCGAAGTAATCAATGCTGACGAATTAGTGTTCATCCACCCGCCTTCGGTTACGGCCAGCCAAGCCTCGACCTCCGAGCTGCTGTCATGCCCATCCCTGTCTCCGTCACCCTCGCCAGGGCCCACTGCGCTCATCTCTCCCTTCTCTGTTGAGCCTGCGAGCTCGAACTTCTGCGATCCTCGCGAACTGACTGTCGATTCGGCTCTCGCGTCTGCGCCTCCAACTGACTTCCCCCCCTTGCCTGCCCTTCCATCCGGGGACGAGGAGGAGCACAAGTTGCTCATCGGCAGTGGAAACCTGACCCTGTCTAACGAAGTGTCGTCTACTTCCTTTTCAACCTGCTCCCAGGCTACTCTGACCACTTTACCCAAGTTTGACAGCTTCTCTGACCTGGACTCTGACGAGGAATTCGTCACTGGCTTGGTAGATTTTGCTCCTCCGGCATCCAACGCCTTCTTTCTGGGCGACAAGCGCCAGCGCATCGACCCCTACACATTGGACGAGGACGGATTCTTGAGCGAACAAAGCTTCGACGACCTGGACGAAGAGGACGTGATTGGCAACTCTGGCCTCCCTATCGTTTCCTTTGAGAATTTCTACGCTGGCGACGACAGTGCTTCGGATGAGATGAAAAATAAGAAGCGCTCGAAGAAGTCCACTGTGAAGAAGCCTGTCTCTCCAGAGTCGGATTCCTCAGACTTCTTCAACCACGAAGTCCCTGTCAACAGCCATGGTAACAACCATCAGAGCCAGAAGAGATCCGCCCAGGGCAGTGGTGCGACTAGTGCAAAGTCCGAGACGACTGCTGTGTCCAGTGCATCCGAAAATTCAGCTGCTCAAGCACCCGTCAGTCGCCGTGGTCGCAAACAGTCCGTGACTGATGACCCTTCGAAGACCTTTGTGTGCAACTTGTGCTCACGTCGCTTCCGCCGCCAGGAACACTTGAAACGCCACTACCGCTCGCTTCACACCCAAGACAAACCTTTCGAGTGCAATGAGTGTGGCAAGAAGTTCTCTCGCAGCGACAACTTGGCTCAGCATGCTCGAACTCACGGAAACGGTGCTGTTATCATGACTGTCTTGGAGGATGGCACTTCTGTGGCTACTCAGCAAATGTACGAGGAGGATGCTGGTGCTTTGGGCACTACTCTATATGAGGCCGCCAACGCTGCTGCCACGCATTCTACCACTAGTGAATCGGGGTCCAGCGTCGAATCGGATTCTCCGACCTCTGCTGAGCGTCGACCTCTCAAGAAGCGCAAGCGTGACGAAACCGCCTAACTGCACTTAATCACTGCTTCGCGTCCTGGCCCTCCCAAGGGGCTTCATGATGACACGAGACCAGGAGATATACACTTAATAGCCTCAATCCTTATATGAGGCACCTTGTAATCACCACTTCGAGAACATAGCCTTTATATCTTCACTTCGCTTCGGGTTTGATCTTTCTTTCCTTTGTTGGCGCCTCGGTGGGGTCGTCAGACATTTTACAAGCCATTTTCTCAGTGATATTACTTCCTCTCAATTTTTTTGGGTGAGCTGAAGATCAAATGTTGCATGCCATGGACTTTGTCTGTGGCCGGGTGGAAGGCATTGGAAAAGTCTGGCTGATAGAGCTTACGATTGTCCTCCCTTTGAGGGAGGAAAAAATTGGTGTGGGATATATACATTATTTGTTATATTTAATTTGCATTGCTTGTTGTCCCAGTTTTGTTATGTTCCTTTTTTTCTTTCTTCGTGTATTCACCTTGGTCTCTTTTTACCTCTTCTTCATTTCTTCTCGTTGATCTAAGTTGTCATGTTATATTCAATTTGTAATTATCTTGACCCCCCCCTCATTCGGTGCTGGTCACATGCCTGTATTATCCTTTCTTCTGTCATTATCTCATACCCCTTCGAGCACATGTTATTTTTTTAATATTTGTTTTGATCTGCGCAAAACACCTACATTTCCACTCACCTCGTACGATTTGTTTTTTTTTTCCTTTTCATCTTTTGTCACCATCATTTTCTGTCGATATTAGTCTGGCACTGATTTAGCCAAGAAATAAAAAAAACTGTTATGATATATCAATTGATATGTGTTGATATAAGTAGGAACCGCTTGCGCAAATGCTTTATAATTTGGAACGGCTTCATCCTACCGTCAAACCTAAAATCTTAAACCACTAGACGTTGACATCTGCTTCCAATCTTATCATGATCGCAACAATAAACGATATCAGGCAGACTACTTATATATGTCGCTGATACAACTCGCGTCTTTAGGAAAATTCAAATTCGCGCGAAAAATAAAATCTTTTAGTGGCATGCCCCTCACGGGATTCTCCACCTTCATCTAGAAGCACAATGGCGTCAAAGCATGACCCCGGCCTCAATGTCATTGCTTTAATCTCTGGCGGCAAGGACTCGCTTTACTCTATTTTGCACTGTATACGAAATGGACATCGCGTCGTTGCCCTGGCAAACTTGCACCCGGCTGTCCCCGAGACACCGCAGCATCAAGAGGAAGATATAGACAGTTTCATGTATCAAACAATTGGACACAACATCATCCCCTTCTACGAATCCGCACTACAAATCCCCTTATATCGCGCCTCTATTACCGGCAACGCAGTGGATACTTCTAGAATATATGGCAATTCGGGCGACACTGGTACTGCTGACCAAGACGAGACTGAGTCGCTTGTCCCTCTTCTGAACCGCATCAAACGGGATCTGCCACATGCGAATGCAGTGTCAGCTGGTGCTATCTTGTCGACGTACCAGCGAACCAGAATTGAGAATGTCGCGGGGAGGCTGGCTCTAGTCCCTCTCGCGTGGTTGTGGATGTATCCTGAACTGCCTCCTCCAGACGAAAGAAAGGATATTCCTACGAGGACTGGGCTTCTAGACGATATGGCGGCTGTGGGGTGTGAGGCTAGGATTATCAAGGTTGCTTCTGGGGGTCTTGATGCAGAGACACTCTGGGAGAATGTGTCTGCGGAGAATAGCCTCGTGAGGAAGCGCATTGAAAAGGCTATGAAGCGTTTCGCGGCGAATGATTTGGAGGCTGCTGTTCTAGGGGAGGGTGGCGAGTATGAGACTCTGGCTCTTGATGGGCCAGCGTTTCTCTGGAAGAAGAGGATTGTTGTTGAGGAGTCGGATAGACAGGTACGCTCGGCGGGTGGTGGCGTGAGCTACACTACGATACGGAATGCGAGATGTATGACAAAGGAGACGGGGTTGTCGGTGGTCGAACCAAAGGATATTCGAAAACCAGCGCGGTTAGATGGGTTGTTTTCGCAAGCCTTGCTGGATTTGCATGCAGATACAGAACTGAGACCGCTGGACGGTTCAGGACAATTGGAAAGCGCGGGTTACTCTACATCTGATATAGAGCTATGTCAAGCCTACGACGCAAATTTGTGGATGGTTTCTAATATTACTGCCCCAGAGGCTGGACCTGAAGCTGGCGCGCAGATGCATGGGATATCGAGAAAATTGGAAGATATACTCTCGCAAGGCGTACCCTCATGCGCATCTGGTACGGATGATATTGTGTTTGCAACGGTATTACTCCGGTCAATGAAAGATTTTACGCCTATGAACGATGTTTATGTCTCTCTTTTCACCAAACCGAATCCGCCAGCCAGAGTCACAGTGGCTTGTGGAGATTGTCTTCCTAAGGGGGTCGAAATCATGGTCTCATTTGTCATTGGCCTTGGTCCACGCGGCTTGAGGAAAGGCCTTCATGTACAATCCCGGTCGTACTGGGCCCCAGCAAACATCGGACCATACTCACAAGCCATCACCGTGCCATGTACATCGAGTTCTGCGGTTGAGCATACTGGCGGCCTGGTTTTCATCGCTGGCCAGATTCCGCTAGACCCACCAACCATGGAGATCCCCGACGGTGTTTTGCAGGATGAGGAGCATTGGTATCCGAATTTTAGTCTACATGCAACACTGTCTTTACAACATCTCTGGAGAATTGGCCTTGCAACACAGGTCAATTGGTGGCTAGGCGGGATTGTGTTCTTGGCCAGGGACGCGCAGCGTGTGCAATCAAAGGCACGAATAGCTCACCGCCTGTGGCAAGCACTGAATAAACAAAGTACCAAACAAGAAGACGACGAAGACAACGATTTGGATGTGTGGGATATCAAGCATGGACTTCGGGACGACCCTAGACTGGCAACCCAGCACACTCAGCGTCTGCCAAACTTCGACACGGTGGATGGCAAGCCTCTCATTCCGCCTGTATTTACCGTGGAAGTAGAGGAGCTTCCTCGCGGGAGCGACATCGAGTGGCAAGCCCTCGGTACGACATGTAGTCGTATCACTACTCCGATCGTTACACGCACCGCAGATCCCGATACAAGAATATGGTGCACGAGAATAAATAACAATGCTGTGTCCTACACAATTGAGATTGGAGCAAGCAGTGACCGAGACACGGTTTTGGACGATCGGCTTGATGCACTGATGTCTGACTTGCAGTGTGATTTGGAGACGCCGCATCCGACGATCTATACAGCCGCATCTGTTTCTATGCGGCGGTTGAAGGGCCAGATTGTTCCTTGTAGGTCTGTCTGGGGGGACGATGGACTGGAAAAGGTAGCTGTGGTCATCATGCGATGTATGTGTAGCACTGCATGATTCTACGTTTACCATGGTCTTTGAATGATTGTAATGATTGTTGCTTTACCTGATACAGCCGGTATAATGTAAATAGAATGACAAAATATACGTTAACACAAAGCCCTCGCTTATATGCTTTGGTTTTAATCCATAGAAAGAACATACATATAATTGATGTTTGTAGAGGGTGATATGGGATCAAATAGCTTCAATGACGTTGGATACGGGGGGAGAGCGCCGGCTGATAAGTACTTGGAATTTGAGAAAAAGGAATAAAGATCACCATGATGATTTAATATTTTATACTAAATAATTGCTGAATGTAAAAGGAAGTGTGCAAGCGAGAATTGGTTCATGGTTAAAGCGTCGGCTGTCATCTCCTGAATTGCCAGTCTAGCCTGTGCCTAGTGTAGTTCTACTACGCCACGCCACGCCACGCCACGCTGAACGGGACAGTCTCCCGGACATGTGATGGGAGCCTCTCGCTTCTCAGGATTCGCTTATCCTTTACGCCCTGCACCGTTGGTTTCGGTTCTGATTGAAGTCAAAGGATGTGCAGTATCCTGTTCCTGTTGCGATAATTGATATAACTCCCCCCACTGCCGCGAACAGCTGAGCCACCTTCCCCATCTGTGTCTCATCTGGTCGATTTTTCGTCCATCGCAGGCCTGTTTTTTTCACAACGGTATGGCGGAGTAAGGATCAAAATACCTTTTTTATGTTTATGGAGGACGACGATGTTATGGCATCCCCGGCGCGGGAACAAGACAAAGGTGCTGTTATCGAATCGACACATTCGCAGTCGCGGTCGCCGTCTCCATTACCGTCCGGTCTCCTTGACGCTGCATTCATCACTACGTCGACTCCTGACCATGACAACAACTCGCGGAAATTCTCTCGATCACCACATCCATACCACCGCATCAGCTCCAGACTGTCCGAGCGTCCCCGCGAATATTTAGATAGAGCTTCGAGCGGGACACGGGACGGTCGTCCACAGCGGACAGCATGGACGCGAACTTCGGCGCGAACATCTAGCGACAGCGGTACAGAAGCAGACGATGAGAGCACTGGATTGCTGAAGGGCTTACCAGCACCCCCGGCGAGATCGCGGAAAGGCTTGTGGAATGGGACCGGTCGTGACGATCCTGCTCTATGGCTACAAGATGACCGTCTTGCCTGGTCGTTGTTTGTTCGGTCGCCGTCGAAAGCGTCGAAAAGAAGCTCGAGTGAAGATTCTATTCGCACCACCCAGGCTTCTGCGCGAGGTGTCGTTGCGTTACGGAAACGCAATGAGATTCTCCGCAGGGTGACTGAAACTACACTTCTGTTTTCTGTTGGGGCGATTGTACTGCTCTGCGAGGATGTGCGTACGTATACGTGCTTATGGCGTCCAGGTAAGAATTCTCCGTCTGTAATAATAATTTTAGTGCTAATAAAGGCAGAAATTTATACCCATATCTGTCTTATTGTTACGCTTTATGCTCTTTACCCACTTCGCATATCATTTTGGCGTCGGAAACCACGCGTGACATTCTCATTTTCTATACCCTCTACCTTCGATCCAGCACCATTATTATACCCCGTTTTAATACCTGTATTTGTGGCATTGTCGGCAAGGCTGCACAGCCCTGCCTTACTCCTACCGAACATACTCCTCAGTCTCTCGTCGATACCACCCCAAGTTATTCCTTTTCATAGATTTCATCACGGTCTCAGCATATCTCATTGGATTGTCGCTTGCATCCCAGTTCTTCTCTCGGAACATGATATTTTGGATTGGACTAAGTCTACGCCATTGTCTTTGCGCGGTTTGAATTCGGAGTCTCTTCTTTTGATATACCCTCTACATCAAGCATTGATACCCACTCTCAACTTTCTTCTTACGACTAGTCTCCTCCCAGCGGAACTTCATTTGCTGGGAACTGCATTAATTAACTTGTTTTTATTCGCCGAATCGCCGCAAGCCGAGGTTCTGAAAGCATTGTTATGGCTTGGTGGCCTGAGCGTTTGGATTCTCTGTCGCACTGTTCTCAGGTGGGAAATCACCCTGGCCAGGATTCCATCGTGGAAATTTCGCCGGCCGCCTAATAGTTCTTTGTCACCAAAAAAGTTGATCAATTTCCTCGACCATAAAATCTGTGAGAAGATTGGTGGGCTAGGCATGAATAGTGAAGATCCGGATACGGACAGTGACGATGGCGATAGTGGCGCTTTAAAACGGCAGAGAAGCCTTCCCTGGCAGGATGCCTTTTTCAGTCGTCGCGATATTTCGTCTGCCACAGAGGGAATCAAACTTGACGATCTCTGGCCGGCATCATGGGCAAGCACAAAGCAACTCCTCGTTTCACATAAGCGACGACACACGATATCATCCGTGGAGAACCTTGATGCTGAAACAATCAAGCCTAAGCGTCCTCGCATGACACCGGGCGGGCGTCGCAAGCGGTCGATGGCGCCTGATTTGGCTTCCTTTCTTTCATTGACTGCGGCACAGGCGCGCATTCGAAGGTGGTTATATTCTGGGTATATATTCATGGCTGTGGTATTCATTATCCTTGTTCCAATCCGCAAATACATTGCGGACAAAGCACTGCACGGAGTTGATCCGTTCGGCTGGGCCTTGGGATATTTGTTCGGCAATATATCTGCTTTCCGATTCTGGACGGTGATGTGGAATCTCGAATATTGGATACAGCTCCCTCCTCGACATGTCCTCGACGAACATTACTGTCATTCAGGTTGGGTTGAACATCTTCGTCACGACACATTTGGAGAAGCCACGACGCGTCTTTTGATTAGTGGCTATTGCTTCCTAGTCCTCCTGGTGGGTATGGCGATCGTTCTGCAACTCAGCAAAATCGCCGAGGTGGACACGCGGCGCAAAGTCTTCCACGGGATGATGGTGTTGATGTTCCTCCCCGTCACATACATTGACCCGACCTATTCAGCACTAGCTTTGTCGCTGGTCCTCGTTGTCTTCTTACTGCTGGACCTGTTCCGTGCCGCACAGGTGCCCCCAATTGCCAAACCGCTCACATACTTCCTCGCGCCATACACAGACGGGCGCGACCATCGCGGCCCTGTCATCGTATCGCATATCTTCCTCCTCATCGGCTGTGCCATTCCCCTCTGGCTCTCCCTCGCCGACACGCCTCGTACCGGCATCGGTCCATGGGCAGGCTGGGACGTTGCGTCTCGGGACGTGAGTATGGTTAGCGGGATCATCTGCGTGGGGATGGGCGACGCGGCCGCGTCTCTCGTTGGGCGACGATTCGGCCGGCTGAAATGGTTCTGGGGAGGCGGCAAGTCGCTCGAGGGTAGTCTGGCGTTCACAATGGCCGTGTTTGTCGGGCTAATGACTGCGCGGATTTGGCTGGTGATCGGTGGCTGGCAGGCCGACAGCAGTAACACCTTGTCGACTTGGCTTCTCGTGTGTGTGAAGTGCCTCCTGGCTGCTGGCGGCGCCAGTCTCACCGAGGCCGTGCTTACTGGCGGCAATGACAATGTGATTGTGCCTGTAGTGCTCTGGCTTTTAGCTCGAGGGCTATCGATTTAGACCAGGCACGTCGGCTCTAGAAAGACAAGCTGTGATATGGATATGCTAACGGTGGCTAGACTTGGATGATGGTATATATTGTGGTCGTGTGGAAATAAGGGCTGTATTATAATTAAACATATATAAATATAAATAATACATGTATCAATAAATAACGCATACATTGTGCGGAGTATGACAAGTGACAATGGATACCAAGTATATCGGTGGGTCACTTTGATTGGCGATCTGTGGGGCTTATCAAATCACTTCGAGACAGCAATTACACCTTCAATGTCAACTGGTACATCGATGATATGTAATGATACAGTATATATATAGACGAACATGTCTGGCAATAATATTAATTAATCATTAATACGGCGAGGATTGCCACCAGCCCGCCACTTCGTGCGATTCAGCCTGGTGCGTGCCGATCGTGGGTTGGTGGCTGCTTATCTTGACTCATCACGCCAACTCGACAGTTGCTTGCGTTCAGCCTTGCTCTTAAAGTATACCAAGCACACCATTAATCCTCATACATGTAATGTTACGGAATATTCCGCCTGCGGAATAATTCAATATAAGATTTGGGCTGGAATGTGGGGACGCCGCCAATCAGCCGGCCAGGGAGAGACGCGGTAACATTGAATAAGGAATCACGCATGGATCTGGTTTGAGAGTCGAATGTTGTATACTGCGTGAATGCATGGGCGTGGTATGGGCACGAGCGTAGCAGGGAGTGATAGGCAGAGTCACTCGCCAGCGTTCAGCGGCGTCACGAATCACGAATCACGTTACCCGGGTCCCGTGACCGCAACGCTGCAATTCTATACATACACATATGCATACTTATATACACACATACATACATATGACATATATATATACGTACACTCATATATTCATATATCTATATACGGATCCCCTGCTGCATATGTATAGGGTACTCAGTAATGCTAAAAGATAAGCGTGACCGCAGTGTCATGTGCTCCCCTCCCCACGCGGCCCAATCAGCGCCGGCTTCCCCAGTCAACCCAGTCATCCACCACCGCGCATCGAGTCTATCTGCTGCTATCATCTCTGCCTCTCTCCTATCCTCTCTTCTCTTCCTCCTCGTCCAGTCTCCCTTCGCGAGTCTCGAGTCTCTCCCATCAGCCTCGCCTGAGAGTGTCTCACCCTCGTCGTGCCGGCGCTCACGTGTTCGCGCCCTGGCAGGAAGCCGCCCTCTTATCTATTATCGCCTGCTGCTTAATATACTTTCCAGCAATAATTCGCCTTCCGTCATACCCAGCCAGCGCTTAGCTGCTCGGAACCTTGGAAGCTCTCCTGCACATCCGACCGTCCCTTCGCTCCCCTGTTGGAGTCATTAAGACTGCTGTGCTTCTCTCCTTTCTTTCGTCTTCGTTTGCACTCACTTGGCTGTATTCTCCGTTTGGTTACTGTCTGTGTATCAACCCGGTTTCTGCCTGCACCATCCACCCATCTTCAACGCTTGCCCCGTCGACGGCTGCTTCAACACCAGCGTCCAGCAAGACTCCGCCTGTTCGAATTCCATCAGTCGAACTTGCTACCTGCCACCGTCACTCGACTACCCCATCATAGTACCCATGGGCAACGTTTGCTCGCCATCAGACACCCTCCCGCTGAAAAGGTAGTCGTGAAGGAAAGGAGCGTGGGAAGCTTCTCGGTGGAGGACAAGCACGGTCGTACTCGTGGGTTCTGTCTGGGATAGTCATCCCAGCTGTTTGTGATCGGTCATGGCTTCTGCACACCCGCCGCCTTCTACAAGGCGAGGCCGCGATGGTCACCATGCAGAGGTACCCATTGGCCGGTACTTGCGGATGGAGGAGATTGGCCGGGGAAGCTTTGCAACCGTTTACCAGGGAGTGCACTCGGTATGGATTCTGTCTTGAAAATCCATCTCATCCTAGAGAACTTTCACATCCTAACTAATCGTTTGTAGAAACATCGGTCCTACGTCGCGATCAAATCCGTCAATTTGTCGAAGCTCAACAAGAAACTGAAAGAGAACCTCTGGTCCGAAATCGACATTCTCAAAGGGCTTCATCATCCACACATCGTCGCCCTCATCGACTGTCACGAGTCTACCTCGCATATCCACCTAGTCATGGAATACTGTGCCCTAGGGGACCTGTCTCTATTCATCAAGCGACGCGATTCTTTACGGGACCACCGATATACCAGAGACATGATCATCAAATATCCTAATCCCCGAGTCGGTGCCCTAAATGAAGTTGTCGTACGACATTTCCTCAAACAACTTTCAAGTGCTCTCAAGTTTCTTCGAGATCGAGATCTTATCCACCGCGATATCAAACCACAAAATCTACTCCTTTGCCCGTCTCCTATCTCTTATCGCAGCGGCGTCGCTCAAGTGGTACCATTCAAAGGCAGCGACGACTCGTTCACGCCTCTGGCTGGTCTAGAGACGCTTCCGATGCTCAAGATAGCTGACTTTGGATTTGCTCGATCTCTTCCCTCGACCTCTTTGGCCGAGACTCTTTGCGGCTCTCCTCTCTATATGGCTCCCGAGATCCTACGCTACGAAAAGTACGATGCCAAAGCTGATCTTTGGTCGGTTGGGACCGTCTTGTACGAGATGGTCGTCGGAAAACCCCCTTTTCGGGCTTCTAACCATGTCGAGCTTCTTCATAAGATCGACCGACATGACGATAAGATCAGGTTTCCGGACGATATCGAGATATCTGACAAAGTCAAGACTCTCATTCGGAGACTACTGAAAAGGAATCCAGTTGAACGGATGGATTTTGCCGACTTCTTTGACAACATTGTTATTCAAGAGGATATACCTGGTCTTGTAGGGGACGATCTTGCGTCAGCTCGACGCCGTTCTTCTGTTGAAGCCGAGGCTACAGGTCCTAGCAGCCCGCACCCGGATACTCAAGACAGTAGAACTCGTTCGATCCGAGACCAAAGGCCATTTGAAGATACTAATGAGCCTTCGGCCACTCGCCCCATCCCAACTCCGCCTCCACCGTATGGCAGCCCTCGGGCTGTCTCGGGCACTCCACCCAGGCCAGAAGTTCTACAACACACCACAAGTGGTGACAAGGCACCGCGCACAAGTGATTTACAACGAACTGCAATGATGGGCCAACGACCTAGGCCGGTATCACATGTTACGGCTCCAGCGCGGCAAGAGCTGCTTGACCGAAACCAACTAGCAATTGAACGGCGACCAAGCCGCACCTCACCACTTTCATCGCCCGTTATAGAGCAGGAACAAACCGCAAAAGACCAACGTGAACGTGCCGCACAGGATGTAGCTTTTGAACGTGACTATGTGGTTGTGGAGAAACGGGCAGTAGAAGTCAACGCTTTTGCAGATGAGCTGGCCAACAGCCCTCGAATTCACTCAGGAACTGGTCTAGCTGTTTCTCGACAATCCGGTGGCATTGTACGACGAGCTACTGTACAAACTGTCCCGCAGACAAATAACTCGGCTTCACCAAAAGCCGTACAGATTTCTGGCCGAAGCCGGGCTGATTCCCACACTCGCCAAGGCTCTTACGAACGCCGCTACGGCCAGAGCCCTACGTCAGCTACATCGGCCATCTCAAAGGCTCTCAACATGGCAAGCGGTCGGTTATTTGGGGTTGGATTCTCTCCTCCCGTAGGACTCGGCAAAGGAGGACGGTCGCCCCCGCTAGCTTACAATCCATTTCCTGCATATCCAGCGGCACAACAGAGTCTTCTCCTAACAGGTGACGGGAGTAAGGCAAACACTGCTGCTATTGACGAAGACACGAGAACAATTCAATTTATCGAGGAATGCGCTACTCGGAGTGATGTCGTTTATGGGTTTGCCGAGGTCAAGTATAAGCAACTTATTCCACTCACTCCGTCCGTGCAGACTGATCAAACTGGAAAGCCTGGTGATCAAATATTCTCTGATTCTGACGACGGTGAGTTGACTCCGGATGCTGTGGTTACGTTGTCCGAAGAGGCACTGGTACTGTATGTGAAGGCTTTGGCTCTTCTTGCAAAGTCAATGGATATCGCTGGGACCTGGTGGGCTCGCAAAAACCGTGGCGACATCTTCAGTGAGACAAGCCCAGGAATGTCTGCCACTGGTGCTCTGGTAGGCACGCGCATCAACAATGTTGTGCAATGGGTCCGCAATCGATTCAATGAGGTCTTGGAGAAGGCCGAATTTGTCCGTCTGAAACTGATTGAAGGCCAAAAGCGACTTCCTCCCGATCATCCGAGCCACCCTAGCAATCATTCGGTCGATTCTGCCTCGGTCGGTGCTTTAGGCACTTCTGCTGATAACGTGATTGTCAGTTCTGGAGTTACTGCAGAGAAGTTGATGTATGATCGCGCGCTGGAGATGAGCCGAGCAGCCGCCATCAATGAGCTAACCGGAGAAGACCTACCGGGTTGCGAGATTGCGTACATCACCGCTATTCGCATGCTTGAGGCTGTTTTGGAGAATGACGAACTGCCGCGCACGGGTAAGAGTGGTGACAAAGGTGCGGATAACGATAGGATTGTCCTGGATGGAGTCCAAGTGGAGGATCGAAAGGTCGTTGTCAAACGTAAGTGATGCTGCTGAGGTTTGGGTGTTTGTTTGCTGATAAGTAGCACAGTGGTGTCGAGCATTCGAACCCGATTGTCCTCACTTCGCAAGAAAATCGCTGTTGTGAGCAAGCGCAAATCCGCTCCAGTCGGCACACCTCCTGGAAAAATAACATCTACAGGCATGCGACCGAATTCTCCTGCGATTGCTTATCCCGTGACTGGGGTGAGCCCGCCACGGTAGACATTCGCATGTTATGGCATCTATATACTGCGTCACTATAACGCTTTTCTGTCACGACAGCTCAGACCCGCTGAGTTTACTTGCATTTCTGGTTTTTCCGAAACAAGTTCAAGTATTATTGGGCATATAATTATATTAATAGTTGCAGGATTAGTAGAATCCTGCATGGTTTTTTTTTTGGATGGAAACGGTCCTATAGGCTATTGGGGACGGCGTTTTCCGTTCTGTTTACGCTTCTTGGTTTATATACTCTTTGCACTGGGCACCAGACTGACATTATTGGACACTTCACATGATCATTTATTTATCTTTACCTTTTTCCTTTTTTTTTTAGCGCCGCAAGGATTCAGGAGTGGAATCAGGAAGGCAACGGACGGCAACGGACGGCGCGGTTTCTGTATATACATATATCATCAATCATCAATCATGGGATGAGATGGCGTTTAGTTGGTTATTGGAAGGACTGCTTGTATTTACCAACCGAGTCTGGTTGATTTGGGTCGTACAATTCAATGTTCCATATGAAGCTATTTACAATCAATATACAATTAACTACACGTGTACATGTATATTCGATCGGGATGCCGATGCAACAGCACTCGGGTGGCTGGATCGGGCACATTGGCGCAACACATGGCTGCACTAGCAAAGTCTATCCGATAAGTCCTATTTTCCTATTCAACATTGAATTATTCGCACATTAGGAATTATACCACCTATTCATATTAATATTTAAGTGCCTGGACGGAGCACATTGCCATAAAGTACATGCTCGATGATCACCCAGAGCCAAAAATGGCGTGATCAGTTTCCGTGTGTCATAGTCTCTGCTCCGTGCAAATCATTGGATGCCGGCCTTCTAGAAGCTGTATTGCACCATCGTCGTTGTAATGCTCACCTCAAATGGCCTATTCACAATATTCTTGGGTGGATGCAGCCTTGGGGTGCATTCGGTGGTTGCATTCTCATCTTGTTTTGAAAAATTTTTTTTGTCTTTTGGGTGTTTTGTTGTTTGGATTTGGATCTGTTATTGTGCCCGTCGATATTTGATAGATACATTTCGATCGATATTGACTTGTTGACTGTTGACTTGTTGAACTTTCTATCATACATGTACATTGACTATACGTTTTTTTCAGCTGGACAACAATCGTTTATCCCTGCTCCCGCCACCGATCCTTTGCCTCCGTATTGCACCACCGTTGGCGTGATAACATCATCGCATCCCCGCCTATATCCGTTTCAATCCGCTAATTAAAGATTTTCTTGGATGTTGTTGTAGCATCTGGCTTCCGCTGCCTGTTTTGCCAAGCGTCAGGGTGTTTATATTGGGTGGAGAGCCCTGCAGCCGCAAAATTCACGGAGACTCTCTGTGCATTTTTTGATCTTTCTGTCCTCGCCATGTCGGCGAATAAATCCGTCAACCCTATCGTTACAGATGAACACGGCCCTGAGGCTTCCGAAGCTCCCAAAAAGGTCGACGCCATTTCTCAGCTATGTATGTTGACAATGATAACACATGGTGATGGAGACTGACTTGCGTGCCAATAGATGATGGAAATGTCTATAATGTCACACCAGACAGCCGGCGCCAAATCGGCCTGTTCAGTGCGCTGGCTCTGATCTTCAATCGAATCATCGGAACTGGTATATTTGCAACACCGAGCTCCATCCTCTCCTTAACCGGCAGCGTCGGTTTGGCTTTATTCATCTGGGTCATCGGCCTCTTGATTGCATTGGCGGGAACGGCAGTGTATCTTGAATGGGGAACTGCTATTCCTCGGTATGTATCAAGATCTTTGTAGCTGTATTGTCAAGGATTCTGACCTGTTGAAGAAACGGCGGCGAGAAAAACTACCTCGAGTATGTATACAAGTCGCCCAAATTCTTTGCCACCGCGATGTTCGCTGCCTATGCTTCCCTCCTCGGCTGGGCGGCTGGGAACAGTGTTATTTTCGGCGAATACATCCTGCACGCTGCTCAGGTTGAGGTCGGCCGATGGAACCAACGTGGCGTTGGGCTGGCCTGCATCACAGCCGCTTTGCTGATCCACTCGACTGCTCTGAAATGGGGTCTACGGCTGCAGAACGTCCTTGGTGTGATTAAGCTGATTATCATCTTGATCATTATCGTCAGTGGATGGGCTGCCCTTGGCGGTCATTTGAAGGTCGAAAAGCCGCATAACTTCACAAATGCCTTTGAGGGAACCCGTGGAAGCGGCTATGGTATTGTCACTGCTTTGTATAATGTGATTTGGTCGTTTATCGGATACTCGAATGCCAATTATGTGAGTTCCTCAAATCCTTTGTATAAAAGCGCCCACTAACATCTGGCTAGGCCCTGAGCGAGGTCCGGAATCCGACCAGAACCCTCAAGATTGCGGCTCCTCTCGCCGTCATTGCAGTTGGAATCTTCTATATTCTTGTGAATATTGCGTATTTCGCCGCCGTCCCTAAGGAAGAGATCCTATCTTCTGGCCAGATCCTTGCTGCCGCTTTCTTCCGCAATGTGTTTGGCGAGCGTGCAGAACGAGTGATGTCGGTTTTCGTCGCCCTGTCGGCCTTTGGCAATGTCTTGTCTGTGTTATTTTCACAGGGTCGTATTGTTCAGGAGCTTGGCCGTGAGGGCGTTCTCCCCTTGTCGAAGTTGTGGGCTAGTAACAAACCCTTCAATGCCCCTGCTGCTGGACTTCTGGAGCACTGGGCCGTGTCAGTCATCGTCATGCTTGCACCTCCACCCGGTGATGCCTACAGCTTCTTGCTCAACCTCATCTCCTACCCGCTCTCGATCATCAACGTCTTTGTTTCTGGCGGTCTGATCTACATCTACCTCAACCGCTCCAAATACACATCTTTCACGCCTACCATTCGCGCGACCCTCCCCGTCGTCATCTTCTTCTTCCTGTCCAATATCTACCTCACCGTCGCGCCTTATATCCCACCTGATGCCGGCGAGAGCGTCTACGAGAACTTGCCGTACTACCTCCACTGTGTCGTTGCTCTGGGGGTCTTCGCGTTCGGCGCTATCTACTACATATTCTGGGCTATTGTGTTCCCGCGTCTGTACAAGTACAACCTTGTCAAGGAGACTATTGTCAGCGCGGATGGGTGGTCGAGGGATGTATTTGTGCGTGTGCCGTACAAGGCGATTGCACAAGAAGACGGACATGAAAATTGAGACCATAGTTAGACTATAGAGAACGTAATAGAACCGAGATTTAGTAGAATGCAATAATAATAATCAGTGATCGTCATTAATATAATTGATATCATAAATCGATTAACGAATTGCAGGAATGTCCCAGTCTTCTATGGCAGTCCACCCATCGTCCTCATAGGCGAATGGACCCCTCAAACTTGCTGGAGGACTGTCTGGCAGGGCGGTGTGCATTTTCACAGGGAACATCTGCATGAAAACAATATCTGCCACTCACGACTCGATCACGCCCTGCATGGATAATAATAATGAGAGAGAAGACTGGAGCAGCTAAGCGAACTCCGATAAAAGCCAGCAGCAGCATGTCACGTGGATTGCCCCACTCCGTCCGATCATTGGCTGCTATTGGCCAATCGGAGCCAGATCCTGCGGCGCAGGCGGTGAGCGCAGAATCGTCGTTATCACTCGTTAAGGCTTTGGTAATCACCTGCTACATCCGTCACTCCCTCCTCATGCTGACTCTTAATATTGTTGTTGTTGACACGCTCTACCCCACTATCCCTCGTCTGGCCCTATCTCCGTCCTTTGTTAGGCCTCGTCTAGCGGGGTAGTCTTCCCTCCTTTGATTGATCGCTACCCCTCTCCTCCTGTGGTGTGGTGGTGCCTTTCCCGCTTACTTTCGGTCTCGTTGGACGAATGCATCGGACCTTCCTCCCATCTGCTCCGCGAGTCTGGTACTCTGCAAACTCTCCTGTGCATGCGACTGCTAGACCGTCGTTATTAAGAGGCTTCTCACGTCCTTTGTCCTCTTCTCTTTCGCGTCCCTCCCGCATTGCTGCTCCTGCTCCTGCTTCTCGCTCTCGCCAGACCGTCCCCACTCCTCTCGCTCAATTCTCCAAGAGACACTGCTCGTACCGCAGAATGTGCCACGCCAGGCATGCTGACGAGCCATCGGGCTCGACCCTCGTCCACGGCCGCGTGGTGCTACCGACCAATGTCAAGCCGGTGCATTATGACCTGACCTTGGAGCCTGACTTTGAAAATTTCACCTACGAGGGCACTGTCGTTGTTGAGTATGCGTCCTGCAACAGCTGGCTGTGATCAGTTGCTGACCTTGTTAGTCTCGATGTGAAAGAGGATACCAATTCCATCGCCTTGAACACGCTCGAGCTTCAAATCCACAGCAGCGAGGTTTCCGTGGACGGAGTCGCCATCGCTTCCAACCCTACCACCACCTATGACAGCGATGATCAGGTCACCACCGTTCAATTCACCCAGACCATCCCGGCGGGCTCCAAGGCGCAATTGAAGCAAACCTTCACGGGCACCTTGAATGACAACATGGCTGGCTTCTACCGTTCCTCGTACAAGACGGCCAACGGAGGAACCGGGTATATTGCTTCCACCCAGATGGAGCCTACGGATGCTCGTCGAGCATTCCCGTGTTTCGATGAGCCGGCCCTGAAGGCGGAGTTCACGGTGACATTGATTGCTGACAAGCATCTGACCTGTCTGAGCAACATGGATGTTGCGTCAGAGTCGGAAATCGACTCGAAGATTACCGGCGGTAAGAAGAAGGTCGTCAAATTCAACAAATCCCCACTCATGTCTACCTATCTGCTGGCTTTCATCGTTGGTGAGCTGAACTACATCGAAACCAAGAATTTTCGTGTGCCGATCCGTGTGTACGCTACGCTGGATCAGGATATTGAACACGGCCGCTTTTCCTTGGATTTGGCCGCAAAGACTTTAGCATTCTACGAAAAGGCTTTTGATAACGAGTACCCTCTGCCTAAAATGGATATGGTTGCCATTCCTGACTTCAGCAACGGTGCCATGGAGAACTGGGGCTTGGTGACTTATCGAGTGGTTGATGTCCTCCTTGATGAGAAGACCAGTGGTGCTTCTGTGAAACAGCGTGTTGCTGAAACTGTTCAACATGAACTTGCCCATCAGTGGTTCGGTAATCTGGTCACCATGGACTTCTGGGATGGTCTCTGGCTGAATGAAGGATTCGCAACCTGGATGTCATGGTATTCATGTAACGCCTTCTATCCAGAGTGGAAGGTTTGGCAGACCTACGTCATTGACAGCCTGCAGAGCGCTCTTTCTCTAGATTCATTGCGGAGCAGTCATCCCGTTGAGGTGCCCGTGAAGCGTGCAGATGAGATCAACCAGATCTTTGATGCGATCTCCTATTCCAAGGGCTCGTCTGTTCTTCGCATGATTTCTAAATACCTGGGCGAAGATACTTTCCTCCAAGGTGTTCGTAACTATATCAAAAAGCACGCGTACGGAAATACTGAAACTGGTGATCTTTGGGCCGCGTTGGCAAATGCCAGTGGCAAGCCTGTTGAGAAGGTGATGGACATCTGGACGAAGAACGTCGGGTTCCCAGTGGTGCAGGTCACCGAGAATGCAAGCGCGGGTACATTGAAGATCAAACAAAACCGTTTCCTCCGAACTGGCGACGTCAAACCCGAGGAAGACCGGACGATTTTCCCTGTTCTTTTGGCGCTCAGGTCGAAGGAAGGGGTGGCCGAAGACTTAGTCCTCGATGCGCGTGAAGGCGAATTCAAGGTCCCTGACCTTGACTTTTTCAAATTGAACGCCGATCACTCTGGTTTGTACCGCACATCTTACACCCCAGAACGATTGGAGAAGCTCGGAAAGGCGGCCAAAGAAGGTCTTCTGACTGTTGAAGACCGTGCTGGTATGGTTGCCGACTCGGGTGCTTTGACTGCTGCTGGCTACCAGAAGACTTCCGGGTTGTTGTCGCTCCTCAAGGGCTTCAACACCGAGTCTGAATACATTGTGTGGAATGAGATGCTCACGCGAATTGGGAGCATTCGCGCAGCCTGGCTTTTCGAGGATCAGAAGGTGCGCGACGCCGTCAAGGAATTCCAACGTTCTTTGGTCAGCGAGAAAGCGCACGAGATTGGCTGGGAATTCTCGGAGCAAGACGGTCATGTCTTGCAACAGTTCAAGACGCTTTTGTTTGGAAGCGCTGGATCGGCAGGCGACCCAGTGGTAGTGGCTGCTGCTCAAGACATGTTCAAGCGCTTTGCCGAGGGCGACCACAGCGCAATCCACCCCAACATCCGGGGCAGCGTTTTCAACATTGTCCTGAAGAACGGTGGCGAGAAGGAATACAATATTATTCTCGACCGCTTCCGCCATGGTTCAACCTCTGACGAAAAGAATACTGCTCTTCGCAGCTTAGGTGCCGCTGAGGATATCGCATTGGTGCAGAGGACTTTGGACTTGGCGCTGAACGGCGAAGTGAGAAGTCAGGATGTGTACATGCCGCTCGCTGGGCTCCGCAACCACGTTACGGGCGTGCAAGAGCGGTGGAAGTGGTTGGTGAACAACTGGGATACTATTCCTGCCCGATTCCCGCCTTCTCTACCCATGCTTAGTGCGGTTGTCCAACTTTCTACGTCTGCTTTCTGCACGGAGGCTCAGCTCAAGGAGGTGCAGGCTTTCTTTGCTTCTAAGGATACTAAGGTAGGCTTACCATTTGCATTTCTATGACTTAATACTAACAAATATTAGGGCTTTGACCGTGCCATCAGCCAGAGCTTGGATGCTATTCAGTCCAAGAGCAACTGGGTCGAGCGCGACCGGAGAGACGTGGAGCAATGGTTGAAGAGCAACAGCTATTACCTCGATCAAAAGCTATAACTTGTAATTATGGACTAGTTAAAAATCATGTATAGTATTCTCATCTACGCATTTAGGTTTCATCCAAATAGCATATATTTATTTCGGCACAATATCTCCACCATTCCATTCATAGCTACATGTATACGTTGACGGTAAATAGGAACATTGCAGGCAATATAGTGCGCCAAGACTGATATAAACGACTAGAACTGTGTAAACAAAGTTTGATTAAGCAACAAAATAGCAGTAAAACACGAGTGCTTATTAACATAATCAACTCCTCCTCGAATCCGTAGCGTTCCAACATAAAACGAGGGCCGTGGCCAACATCATTGGCTGATATTTCCGCGGTGTTTCTCCAACACCTCCAAGAATTTTAGCTCTTTGGTTATTCACTATTATAAATGCCTTTCCTTCAGAATAAAGATAGCTAAAACTACATCTGGATATATGCCTCCGATTACCAAACTCTGGCACTGCCGCCTCAGAGAGGGGTGCACTGCCGACTCCCCAGCCTTCCTCCAAGTCCTCTCTGAGATCTTCGAGCTATGCTCGTCCTACACCAATCCCGATCCAGCATCTCCGCCGATGCACATCATGTATCAGGACATCAACGACCCTGCCAAGCTGCTGATGATCACCGGCTATCAGTCGCAAGAACTCAACACGGAGGCTGACAAGGCCTATGCTTCGAATTACCTCCCAAGGATGTTCGAGCACGTACAGCACGGGTGGCTGAAACAGCTCGATGCGGATATCGCTTCGTTCTCTCTCGAGGAGTCGCTGACTGTTACCTACGGCCTGGCTCCTGAGACATGGAAACTGGAGCAGGGAGCGGGCGGCTGGGATGTGTGGCCGCAGACTGCGCAGGCGCGGAAGAATATCAATCAGGTTCAGGATCTGAAGGAAGGCCTAGTGTGGGTGCAGATAACGCCGGGCAGCGATGGCGCGGCGCCGAAAGAGGGAGGGAAGCTCCAGCTTCGAAAGGTGCTAGGACGGTGACTCGGCATGTTGTATGTTGTGTAAAAGTATAAAACTTATGAGCATTCAATTGATTCCCCATGCAATCGCTGATCGTGCAGGATCAGGCGGCTCCAAGAAATTGGAAGTTTGATAACGTATTCCACAAGCACCCGGCACGCCCGTGTGTATTGCATAGAAAATTATAATAAATACAAAAAATTACATTGTAATTTTGGTAATTTTAATCAGCTTTGATGTAGGCTTATTAATTTTGATATACATTATTATTGAAGCTTCTATTATATATATGTTTAATTTTAAGCTATGGTTTATATATAATTTTGTTGTGATATTGAGATAATAAAAATGGCCATTTTCTATGCAATACACGGGCGTGCCGGGTGCTTGTGGAATACGTTAATAGGCTGGATGCATGACATGCAAATATACCCGATGCCACACGTCAATGGCTACCCAAGAATCGGAAGAGTGAGGCGGCCGGGCAGCATCAGAAATAGACTAAAAGAGAGACGCATCCAGATTTTGTAGAATGTTGAGAGAATAAAAGCTTCGAACATGGATTGTCGAGATGTCGTCGATTGATACATACATGGCATGGCGGCAGGCGCAGTCGACCTCCTACCTGGCTCCTTCCCGCAACACTGCGGCGTGCTGACCCCGCCGTCTCTGCCTTGCCGACTGCGCCGCGACGACAACACCAAAACACATTCCAGCCAAAGTACACTCCCTCACCCAGTCTATCTGCCTCCACATCGCCTTCACCCAGAACCTAGCACCTGCACCTGCACCCGCACCCGCACCCCTGGTGAGGCTCGGCCCAACTGGTATCGCAGGATGACGCTGGAGGATATGCAGCTTCTCCAGGCACCAGTCCATTCGAATACACTTCCCTCGTTCCCTCCCTGATTCGCTTAGCGTGGCTGTGACGCCCGCTTTTGCCCTGCTTATCCCCAGGGCTTAATCCGTGCCAAATCATCAGGCGCATGCCCAACGCTCCGCCACGCCTCATTTTTTGGCTGCAGAATGCGTGGCCGGGTAATTTCTGACAGGAGCACGGCGAGATGGCCCATATGGCTGATGCCATGAGCGAGAACAAAGAACGCGAGCTTAGTATTGACTGACTCGTAGAGGGCACTGGGTTGATTGCATGATGAGGGTTTTCGAGTACACTAATTGCGTGGAAGGGGGGTGCCTGGGTATGGGCCAGTCTGCCTTGGGTATGATTATTTTACATACTTTTATCTTCTGCTCTGCTCATTTATCCGGCCAGAGCTAACGTGTTCGCCCGCTTTGCAGTTCTTTGCCCTGGTGGATTGCTAGCGAGCAACCGATCCATCCGCTTGATGCCACCAATTGCATCGCGATCACACTCTTGATCACAGGATCGATAAGAAGTGATTCGTCCCCACAGACTAGGGCGATGAGTGGGCAATCGTCAGTGAGGCAAAAAGCTAATTTGTGGTGGTGGATCCGCTTTGCCTTGATGTATGTACTAGAGGTCTAAACGTTGAATACAAGTGTCTTCGCCCATCATTCAAAGTGCCCTGTCCCCCTGCCGCTGCTGGCTGTGTTCAAACTTGTCAGTGCCCAACCGGTCTTCGTCAGATATAAAAATGGGTTATAAACAGGCCGAAGAGAGTATCTCAGATACCTACTACACAATGTACGGCTACCATCGAGGTCGTCCAGACTACGCAAACATGGTGACTGTGGGTGATTACGACTTAAATCAGGGATTTCACGCCTATACTTCTGCCACTTCTCGTGATGCTGGACTTGAAGCGTATTATGGACTATCCCCTAACCCTGATCAAGGTAATGTCGATATAGTATCCCCATCATAACCATGCTGACTCGAATTAACCCACTTCTTTTTAGACTGCATGCAAGCACAAGGCGTATCTCCAGGTCTTGGATCTGTTAATTCAGAGCCGATCCTGGCCCGATCTACTACAGAGCAGCAGCAGGACCTCCGCGAGCGCCGCAGGGCAGTTGACTTGATGGAAAGCCGAGAGATACCATGGAATGCTCTGGCCTCAAAAAGACGTCGACATGATACCCAAATAGAATACTACCCAGCGGCTTTCCTCCCGGAACCCTACCAAGGATATATGGACCAACAAAACCAAGCCTTCCCGCCCACTGGACCTCCTTATGGCTTTGGCGAACCAGCCGCCTCTTCAGCCAGTCAACAGCATGGCTTTTACTCTTCATCTGGCTCCAGTCCTACAACTCAGGATAATCATGGCGAAAAACCCAAAGGCGGCCGCCAACCAGGAATGAATCTTACCCCAGCGGCAGTGAACAATGCTCGTCTGGTCCGCCACCTCGGCGCTTGCTTGAGATGCCGAATTCTACGAGAAAGGGTAAGACTTGAAAATCATATATGATTGTAGAATCCACCTTGACTAAGCATCAATGAAGTGCTCAGATGGGGATCCATGCCTCAGATGCGCCGAGACCCATGGCCGCAAGTGGAAGGGATGCTTCCGCAGTATGAGGTCACTAGGAGATGCATTAGTACCACGTAAGCCTCCATAGAATTGTAATATCTGGGCTAGTCTGCTAATACATATCTTGTGTGTAGCAATGCTTGCAGATCGCTTGCGTCGCCCTGCTTTTGAAAACTACATGACACAGAACACGCATCACGATGTTAGTTCTATGATATTTCGATTACCACTAAGTTTTGGGTTTGGACCCCAATTCGATGGATTTTTGGGCCGCGAGTTCATCCCCTCGACTGATGAGTCGGATTATTCATATGCCGTTTTCTCAAGTAGAGAGGGCCATCGGTCACATCACCGTTCCCACGCCCTGTTCATCTATCCGTTATATAGCTCAGAATCGGAAGTCAACAGCTTGTTAATCAAGTGGCTGAAGAAAACAGTGACGGATCCGAGAAGCATGAGAGAGTGGCGAAACTTCTGCTTCCAAGAACGTCGAGACAGGTGGATGCGAGACCTGCTCGAGAAAATTTGGGAATACTCCGCGACATGCTGGCAGCAGCGGGACTCTAGGTATCATGATATCGATGAGACTCTTGCACATACCTGGATGCTCACCCTACTGGCGACGATGCTGTCCATTTCAATCACTGTGCCGCCGGATGCCTTGCAGGCTATTTTTGACAGCCTAGCCTTCTCAGATCTCAGGAGACCCAACGTCTCGAGATCTAGTATCTCGAACTCCTCTCGACCAATCAACAGGTGTGTAAAGGGAATTCTGCTGGCTTTCTACGAAAAAATCGTCTCAAAAGTCATGACTAAGCTCGACGAGTTGATTAAGTCCAGCAAAAAGGTAGACGAACGCGAATGGGGCCACATTTACTGTATCTCCATTCTGCTCGTCATTGTGGTCAGCCAGACCCAGATGTCGCTTTGGGACAACTACAAAATGGCAGAAACCGAAGGCCGCCGGGGACAATGGGAGAAGACGAGTGAATCTTTGGAGCAGCTCGAGGAAGCATACACCCATATCACGCTTGTTTCTCACTGGAAATATAAGCAGACTAAAACTGGGAAGTATCGCGACGGAAGCTACCGCATTTCCGACTCGCTGTTGAGAAGTCTCGTTGATGGGATACTGCGTATTCGGCGTACTCATGGACCAGGTGCGTCGCCTTGCTTGGTAGAATGAGAGAGCTTGCTGACTTGTTCTAGATGTGTACCGAAGTCTTAAGGATGAGCTGCAGGTGGGCATGGACGCGGGGTCTGGATTCGATGCATCGATGAACACGCAGCGACTGTTTGGGGTTTACTTTAATCTGATCTATCCAGAGCAGGGGTCTATATAGCAGTGTGGTAGTTTGTTGTACTATATTTCTGTCTAAGTAGGCTTACATTACTGAGCAAGCATGATAATTACTAAATTAATTGTTACACTATCATTATTATCAGTCATAATGTCCGTCATGTTAATAGTCCTGCTGTACGATGTATAGCGAAACAACAGGGTGGAGTAGACGCAGTCCTGCTAAAAACTGTTTTGGGTTTGCTCTGCCACCGAACGAACGATATAAAAGTTGGAACCTCCATGGCATGGGAGACCATAGACGTAGACTTGGTGGCTCGATCTTCTTCTCTCTCTTTTATTCTCTCATCCTTTCTTATTTGTTTGTATTCGTGGTTGCGATGAGACCTGCTTCATTAACATGGACTCGATCGCAGTTCAGCTGGAGCATTGCTCTGAATAATGCCCAAAACAATAAGCATGGAAAGCTTGGAAACAAAGTTGAGTGAGAGATGAGGTGAAGTGAAGAGAAGCAGTGAAAAACAACGCAGAAAAAAACAGAACGACTACCCGTTCATCACGTGACCCAGACCCACTGCCGAAAGAGAACTTATAGGCGCAAACTCCGCCCGCTTCTTTTTCCATTCCTCACACATTTATTTACCTACGAACGCATAATCAACCTCCAGTTTCCGATTCCCTGTTCTATCGAGAATAGACGGAGAGCATTTCTACGGGATGGCAGGTCATATTGGCGAACCAGAATGAAACCCTTCTTGGGGCAACTGTTTCTCTCACCGAGCCGGCATTTTCTTTGGATTTGCTGTGGCTGGGCGAGTCCTCCAATTGCTCCGACATATCTTTATACATATACTATTTACGATATCGACAAGGTGTAGTGTGCTGGTACTATAGTATTCTTCGATTGTTTGCTACGAGAAGCAGGTAATTAGCCGTAAATATCTCCAAAGGAAGGGCCGGAAATAGCTGGCCTGTTCTGCATGCAATAAAGATACTGGCCGCTTGCATCGAGTTCTTTCTGACGGCAATCGTTGCCAGCAGAGAAAATGAGCAATGGCGAACTGGCAGAAATAAAGATGATATATTAGTATTATATTAAGCGTAATAATGCTGCTTGTATAGGATCGCCTGGCCAGCGCAACACCGCGTGGAGAATGAAGAACTGCCCCTGAGGGGCGGCAATCAATCAATCAGTTAATAATTGGTACTATCAGGCCCGCTTGAGCCCACCACCCCAAGCATCCTCCTGCTTGCTACATTATTGTGTGCACTGTGCTCATTGCCGGTTTCTCTGCGAATTTCTGTTTTAATTATATTACCTGGTTTTGCAAATTTGTTTCTGCTTCGTGTGTTCAGAATGCTTGCTTCTGCTGGCGCTGAATAATCGCCTCCCGTCGTGCGTGTCTGTTCTATGTGAACGTTACCGTGTCAGACATCAACAACAAGTGCAACCTACGGCCTGCCCATCGGCCTCCTCTCTTTCACGCCACTCGGTGCATCGAATTGCCGCCGTCTGATCCGCCATGTCGTCGGTAGTGAATAAGCGTCAGCAGGCGCGAAATGAGAGGGCCTTGCAAGAGCTGATCCGCTCTGTCCCTGGCAACGACCGATGTGCGGATTGCCAGGCGAGAAATCCAGGTAGGCCATGTCGCGTGATTGTGTCTATGTCTATCTTCGCCGGCTAATATCTTGACTTTTTGTAGGATGGGCTAGCTGGAGTGTAAGTTTGGATCCAAGCACCGCCAACCCCGTCGCTCGCCCACTCGCTCGCTTCAAATATGCTAATGGACTAAATAGCTGGGAGTTTTCCTCTGCATGCGGTGCGGGTCGCTGCATCGGAAAATGGGCACACATATCTCCAAGGTCAAATCCTTGAGTATGGATAGCTGGACATCAGATCAGGTCGAGGTACGTTGTGCATCTAAGCGGCATCGATCGTCTCAAGTGCTCACACGCCAAATAGAATATGAAACGAAAAGGCAACACATTTGTCAACAAGGAATACAATCCCAAAAATATCAAGCCCGCCATCCCTATAGATGCAGATGAGGCGGACTCCGCAATGGAACGATTTATCCGACAAAAGTACGAACACCGTATCCTGGAAGATGGGAAACCAAAACCGCCGAGTAGAGACGATTCCGGATATCATACGCAGCGGTCGTTTGAAGAAGCCCCGTCCCCCATTGCTCAATCATCGCCTTCTCTTCCTCAGAAGACTGGGCGGAAATTTGGCTTCGGGCTGCGTTCGGTGTCCTCAACGAGCCGCTTGGAACGAACAACTTCGCCTTCGTCGCCTACCACGGGTGCCGTTGGCTCCTTTTCAGCATCACTGAACAAACAGTCACGGGTGTTCGGTGCCAATGTCGGGGAGTATGACAATTCGGTGGACACAAAATTGAGGACTCTCAGAGAGATGGGCTTCCCGAATGACAAGCGGAACGCCTCGGTTTTGAAAGGTCACCTCGGTGATCTTGAACGTACAGTTGAAACATTGATGCGTCTAGGTGAAGGAGGACTTCAGAACACGGGTTCAGCTCCTTCAGTTCCTTCAAAGCCATCAACCAGCGCCAGCTTGCCAACTCCTGAACCAAGCTCAAGTCGCAATCCCAAATCAGCAGCTGCTGATGATCCATGGAGCATAACTACAACCGTGTCAAGCTCGACCGGTGCGCATATAAATCAGCCCGATCCTGCGCCTACCAAGTCTTACAATCCGTTCGATGCCCCTAATCCACAACCAGCGCCAGCTACAGGACTTGAGAACTCTTTCCAGAATTTGTCGGTCAATCAACCTCTTTTCCCTCATACCACTGGTGGCTATCCAAGCCAACACATGCCGGCTCAGACGACACTACCCCAGCTCCAAACCTCACAATCATATACAAACTCTCCGCAACCGTTGAATTATAATCCATTCTTCCAAACAACGTCTCTGGCTCAAACCGCAAATCCATACTTCAGTAATTCGGCGCAGTCCACCCCCATCCAGCCTACTCAAAGCTTATCACCGGGCAATCCATTCTTTGGATCACTCTCAGCGCAATCAACTGGTGCGCAACAAATCCAGCCTCCTTCGTTTCAAGGATTTGCTCCTCGCCACGCCAACACCATGCCTGTGTACCCGTCTGCATCGATGATACCACAGCAGCAGCAACAACAGCATTACTTTGAATCCCCTCAGGCGGCGTACAATCCCTTTAATACACCCAACAATCCTACCTTTAGCCCGCAACAACAACAACAACAACAACAGGTGCAGTCGCAGTCGCAACAGTTTTACCCCTCATCACAAAATCCGTATCAAATGCAGCAAGCCGTGCCGCAGTCTTCAAGAATGGACAAAAATAGCATTCTGGCTTTGTACAATCTCGCGACACCCGCATCCACAATGTCAACAATCCCCGAACAAGCCCAGGCACAGCAAACACCCCCTACAAATCCATATCAAACCACTAGTCCTGCGCCATCACTATTGACTAATTCGGGATCCACACCGCAAACTATGCAGTTACACTCCCCATACAACAACATGCCTACACCCCAGCGCAGTGCAACCATGCCTGAAATGATGTCACCCAACCCTCCTGATGCTGCCACCAACAACCCCTTTTTCAACCCTGCACAACAACAGGTCTCAAACAATCCCTTTCCAGCCACTGCAGTCCCTGCCACCGCTGCGCAATCTGCTGCTGGTCTAGGTATTGGCCTAGGACCAAAGCAAACAGCACCTCCGCCGTCAACAAGAAACAATTTCATGCCAATTTCTCACATGAGCAAGGGAAGTGTAGATATCAATGGTTTTCAAAATGGGCGCCATAGCCCCGATGCATTTGCGAGTTTGAGTGCAAGATTCGCCTGATTTGACCTGATTTTTCTTGAACATATATTACTTCTTCGTTCTCCTGCTTTGATTCTTGCATTTCTTTTTTTGTCTTTTTGGTAGACTTGGTTTTGGAACTTGGACACACGAGAAAGGCAAGGCAATTGTACATATACTGTGTTGTGTATACGCAAAATTGCATCTAGTATTGCATACTCATTGGACTTGGCTGTTGAGTGGTATATGTAGTAAATAGAGAACTATTGATTTCTACCAGATCTAGCCTCACAAAGTAATTCTTTGCTGGACTATCCCTTGAATAACTTGGATAAATAGGGGGTTTCGGGGATAAATCGGGGTGTAGATGCATCAAAAATATAGATTTAGATACCAACAGATGTCACTGAGTTGACGGAGTGAAAACAGAAAATGAAGAAAATTAACAAACAACACAAAAACAAACCTTGGTCTGTACATGACGAGAACCTCAGGCATACAATACATGCTGACAAACGGACGACGTTGTTTTAGCGGTAGAGCATCATCATATCCGGTATGTTCAAAGGAATAATAAGCGCGTGTGCCGCGGTTTACAGATCCGAAGTCACGGTCGAGGTTCTTGTTGGTGGTGGGTCTGTTAACATCATGAGTCAATAATTCCAATGTCCATATAGATGATAGTTTCGATTGACGCAACGTACATATGCCATTTCCGAAAAAAGGAACAGGTTCACTGGTGCCCACCGGTTTGATATTGAAAGAGAAAATACCGTTGGTGTCTGATGGATTCGGGCTGCCATATGACCTAGAGAAGAGGGTTGAAGGAGGGGTTTTCTCGTTCGATTTCACCGGAGTGCCATTCTGCTGGTTGAATAATCCTTTGGTCCCTGCACTACCACCTGTTTCTGATGGCTTTCCATTGACAGGTGGTTGGAAGGGGCTCTGGCCTCCAGAAGAGGGAAGAAAGTCCGATCCGTTCTTATCTGTAACGGCATCATACTTAGCAAATCCGACAGAACTGCTAGAAGAAAGTCTAAAGTTGATAACATACCAAAGGCAGGTCGAAGAGGATGTGACCGCGCCGTCCTGGCGAAGGGGGCCAGTGTTCTTCGTCCAATATCCAATTTCTCAAGCTCGCGAGACAAATGTTCACGCTCCTTCTGGACAAATATTGGTTCGGCGGCGAGGGCTTGAACCTCGGAATCGTCCATCTCGTTGATGGTCTGCCCAGTGAATATACTCTTTAATGGATTGAGAAGACAATTCTCAATTCCAAGAGTTACAACGTTGTCGACAAAGGTTACAATGGCGGTCTAGTCACGCTAGTTATTGGAGGGCCACCGATTTGATCACTGTGGAGAAGACACTGTACTTACATCATAATACGCTACCATCTGGTCGATTATATCTGTCGCAGCAAACTCATCGCCAGAAGTTTGCACCTGAGAACATACTTTCTTGAGACTAGTTTGATCAAAAACTAATCTCTGATCCTCCTGTACACCCGCTGCCTTCAGTTGTTCGTAAAGTTGCGGTGACTCGCGAATACTTCTTGCCTTTTGGAGTCGTATAAGAAATTCCCTGCCCACAGGCAGTGGATGCCCACGTTTGATATGAGAAGTTAGCTCTTCAAGCTTATCCAACACGGCGTTCTTCATGGTTTCCAACTTGGGTTCGAGTACTTTGACGAAGATGAGGGAACATGTGTGTTTATCTGTAAGATGCTGCAGGACGAGCATTACAAAACATTTCACAGCACCCCAGGCTTCCGTAATATGTGTTCGAGCCAGTTCTTCCCATGGATTCGACTGATCGCGAAACAGCCGTCCAACTTGATGTTGGTTAGCAGTACCAGGAAGCTCAATGCCTCGATTCATGCGCGCACTTTCTGCAACCTCGATTTCAAGATCATCGCGAGATATATAGTTTGCAGACCAGTCCTTGAGATATCCATTGTATCTGGCATTGTCACGATCCAATTCTATCCTTTCTTTTTCACCCTTGTTGACGATTATCCGGCGAGAGCCACCGATGCTCATCGCATCTACAAATTGCTCATTCAATTCACGGATTACAGCTCGAAGTCGTGAATACTCCATTTCATCTCCAAAGAATGGATCAGTATATCTTCCCAATAATGCATCGGCAGTGATGTGGTCGAAAGTTCTGCTAATATTATGAAGAAAGCCCTTCTGCTGTCGAATATTTGAACGAGATTCTCCAAGTTTTGACAGTTCTTGTTTCCGTTCATTAATTTTCTCCTCGATCTCGCTCAGCATTTGTGGTAGATTCTCCTCAATATGATTGAGCAATATATGACTTAACCGATGGCGGAGACTATCAATCCCCACAAAGCTACGAGAGATACTAGCCCAGCGTCCTCGCTCAAAAAATTCCTTCTCTAACCTATCACGAGCATCATCAGAGGTACCCCGTGTCTTGTGTGATCGGTTGTGCAAGGCATGCCATCCTTGTTTGAGGTGTACCTTCTTATTCTGCATAAACTGCAGGTAGATATCTTCATCTTCCGAGCGTTCCTCTAGTGAATCTGGCTTCGTAATGATTGCCAGCGTCCTCTCTCGGCCAGGGTCGAATTTTTCTGCTAGGTCCAAAATCTCCTGCAGATGATAGTCCATTTTGGCGCTTATTACTGCCAAGATAATGCTTCGCGAATTTCTCATATATCTCTCGGTGAGCGAGCGAACCATAGAAATTCCTTCTTTACTTTGATCTTGGCTGGTAGAACTGTATAGGCCAGGTAGATCTACCAGTGTCAATTCTGGTTTATCCGGCCCAGAGATTTCGACTCGGAGAACATCATCACTAAATCCCATGTGATCTGCCTCATCAATACCCATACACTCTTTGGCTTTTTCGATGAGTGGTGGTAGGTCCTTTCCATCATGAAAAGCCCCAGGTCGAAAGTCGCGAAGTCTATCGCGTTCCTGTTTACTTTGTCTGGACGGACCCGGTTCAATAGATATTTTGATATTGGGTGTAGGGCTCCGGCGGAGAACGACTTCTGTTGCGAAACGCGTGCATACACTACCCTTTGCTGGGAATTGTACACGCGAGATGGCCTCAAGGACAGAGCTTTTCCCGCTTGACTGGCTGCCGCATACAATCAACTGAGGCAGCTCGACAATGCCCCCAACGCCGATATTCCTCAGCTCATCGATTTTATCCAGCAGTCCGCCTTGCTGTGATTGCAGCTGGCTTGAAGCCTTGTCTTCTGTCATTTTAAAAGAGATTTTTTCAATATTGAGATATATAGGAGAGGATGAAATAATAGCAAATTCAGTATAAATCAGTAATTAGCAATGCAAGTAGCTAAAAGAATTATGGAACTGACTCGAGGAATCATAGCCGCCGAGTTCTTCTCATATATACCATTTTAATCAATTTACACCAGACAGTATATTGCTTTTTCGACGACAAACTGTGTGCCACCTAAATTATCCAGGAGTTTTGCGGCGCTGTGCATTAGTTAGCGGCCTCAGCCTCGTAGTAATCCCTGCCACCAGTTGGTTCCTACCCTTTATGGCATGGACACCATTTTGCCAATATGCATTTATATCCAATAAATGTAACGAGCGTCACGAGGAACAGTCTCAATTCTGTTTTCATTGGATATTGTGGCGCAAATTCATTGCAGGCGAACCCCAAATCCAGGGGTTATGTCGTTATCATCCGAATAAATAACAGTTTGAGATAGGCTTTGGCCCCTCGCATTATTTTAATGAATCAGAAGTATTGTGATAAACAGTTCTTGCCAGTTCATATGGCAGCTAGTCGATTTTTCTCAAATGTGAACCAAAACTATCTATGCATATACAGGGGTTCGTTATACCCAATATACTCGCTACTAATTACTGTTTTAGAAATTTTTGGCCCCCAGCCAACGGAGCCACCAGCCAACGGAACCACTGCGCTCGGCGCTTATTTGCATTTTGGTTTTAGCATCTAGCCATGTCTTACTCATTCAAATCAAAGCCAGATATGAATGCCCATAGTTGATATCAAGGTGCTTATAGCTTGTCCTTTGAGGAGGTTTTGGCCCCTAATACAATTTAAATAACCGAAACCGACTGGTTGTGCCGGGCGCATGTTTTCATTTCATTTGTAGCACCTAGTCCATTATTTGCCACGTGCAGTTCAATATTAATATCAAAAGGAACTATATTTTTGGCATACACTAACTATTAACTACCCTAGATGACTAGATACACAGTAGTAACACTAGTACTAGTATATGAATTAGCAGAACGCAGCTTAAGGGCGGCAGGAACTACGAAACGATTGCGGTTTTATAATATTATTAATAGAATAATCAGCTACTACGTGACCTAGTTGTTAAAACAAGGCTCTGGTCTTGCCGAATGGAGTACACCCATACCTTAGTGTAGCTTTAATGACTAAGAATTTCTGTTGGCCTCAGAATATCTTGCCATACGTACTAAAAAAACAGGAAGATGTAATACTAGAAGGCATAGCGCTGCTAACTCGATCTATTGATTTCGTTGCCTATAGTTATAGAATTGGATGATTGCCATAGGACGCTAGTATCCCAACCTTTACAAGGCCATACACTAACGGTGAAAAGATATGCTTATTTTTATATTTACCAATAGTACTTACATAACTTTCTAGTAACTTTTCAGCCTAGAGGTCATATAAAAATTTGACCATGCTAGTTTTAACTGAGGAGTAATACTAATGCCATTTTCCAGAACATTTTCGGCCTCGACAGTTGACCAGTTGACATGTGTTTGAATATGTGCGTCGTTATATCTTCGCTTTGATTTTATGTATGTCATTAGAGCCAGAAGTGTTACCATGATATCAACTTTGCAATGAAATAATCAATATTTTGGTTAAACCTGTGAAGGGACAATTTAGCAATAATTGCATAGCTAGTGATACGAAACACCGTCAAGAGTCGTAGGCAATACCATTAGCCACAAAAAAATTCAAGTTTTCATCGATTTCATGATGGAGTCCGTCAGGGCTTGTGACTTTTGTCTCATCTCTATCTAAGCCAGTAGAGGCGGTACTTAAATACCAATCGTACCGACTACAGGTCACATTAACAGGAGTAGTAGTTAATTGTAATTTTGTTGAACCCTAAGGAAGCACCGAATCGACAAGCCTACATTGAGACAACCCCAGCAGCAGTCGCTACTATCGAGTGATCCATTGATATTTTTGTAAAACTGCAGCCTCTAAACAATTGCTCAGCAATTATTGATTAATGTTGATATAACCGTTGGCTTCTCAAAACTAAGAATTAAGATCTCAAAGCCATCTATATACAATCACCAAGTCCAGACTCTTTTCAAAGAACCTCACATAAGCAATGCGGAGTAGAAAGAAAATTTCAAGATATTAATTCCATAAATCTCGCTCAAACTCGGGTATCCTGGGGTATCCAGCGTTTCTCTTTGCTCTTTGTCTTGTATTCCAGGGCCAAAACGATGACGATGGCCATGAGAATTGGAACCATGGAAAATTACTATTATTAATGTTAAAAAAGCTCTGTAGAAATTTCGGCAGATAAGATGCCAAGTTTTTCTTCTTAGAAGAGGTCGGCCATGAATTTCTTAGCCATGACGGAAGGTATGATGTCGATGACCTTTTTGGTGTAAACGGCCATCGATTGAATAGCGAACTGTACCACGACGTCGTGGTGCTGGTCGTGTGAAACATTCTATTCTTGTCCCAGAAACTCGAGATATCCCACGGACTTGCTCGCGTAGAACTGATTTTGGCTTCCTTTTTGAATCCCGAGATGATGCGCTCGAACTGCTGGTCACGGCGTTCGACGTGCTTTTCTTGCTGGGATTTTCGCCATTCTCCCTGCGCATTCGGATCGAGACACCAGACAACAACATCACCTTTCCGTCGCCAGTCGTCATGCCACGCAGTGCTCCATGTTCGCCAACATTCTGCATACGAGGTACTGCGAAGAGCGGTACGGATTGTTGGTTCTAGTTGTGCGAAGAAAACCAGGTAATCGGGCCATTCGTGGGTGTATTCTTTGCGGGGTAGAGTTTGACTATAGGATGTTGGCTGAGGAGGTCCGAGCGATAGGTATGATGGACGTCGAGGAACATGCCATAATCCGCCGACCATATGTTGTTGTAGAAAGTTTGTCGGGTTTTCATAGAATTGGTCTGCTTCGTCCAAGTATACTTTCTTTTGAGTCTCGTTCAATCCGACCGGGGGTTCACAGGACAAAGCCCAGGACTCTATTGAAGAGAAAACAAGGTGAGATCTCCACGGTGTGCTGTGGCAGGGCATGAGGAAGCCAACGGACATATTATGTACCGCATCGTGCGCAGGCCGAGTAAATCCATACGAGGGATAAGGAGCATTCGGGGTACCAATAGTTTTCTGGTGCGCTACATGTTGCTCCCGCAAGTAAGAAAGGACAGTCACAGGCCCTGAAGCATGGACCAGTGTAGTATAAAACGCAATGAAAAGATTCACGAGGACAAGAAAAACTAGCGTGAGTCTGCGCGGAAGATAAAAGCTCGACGATGATGAAACAGCCGGGAGGTAACAGGACACAAGAGGTTCCGCGGCCAAGACATGTAGAGCAGGTAGCAAAGGATATATAAATCTCACTTCCTTATGGGCTATCAAAGAAAGCACGGCTGGCATAAAAAGACATACCGAAGCCAGCTGGAACTTGATCAAGGAGCCACGATTAGGTGTTGCTGAACCAGCCGATCGGAGAGACTGATATAGACCAAGTAAGCCGAAAGGAAGGGCAGTTGTCAACAGCAAGGGAAACCCTTGTGAAAGATAGTAGTGCCAGTCGTTGTGGCCGTAGAAGATTGCAATTGACTGAGCGACGTTGATATAAAGAAACTTGAAGAAAGGAAATGCCCAAATCCCATAATAAAAGCGGTCAATGAGAATCGAAAGACCAAGAACTGTTGATCTGCAAACTATGAGTATCCAAGTCATTACAATTTGCACCAAACTTACCCGCAAAGAACGGTCTCTCTAATAAGGATCGGAGTTATCGACTTGGGGCCGTAGTACATGGCAAAACCAGCCAGGCATGCCCATACTAGGACATTTGTAGGTCGCAGCACGCATGCAAATGCTGCAAGCAGAAGGCTCTTTCGAAGACTGGGCAGTGCGACTGTTAGAAACATGATGGTGAAAATGTCGCCGTTCAGTCCAGGCCATCTGTACCTTGAAAGTCTACTCGCACTCTCAATGCTATTATCTAGGCCTTGTGTCTCGCCTTCTTCCTCTTTCTCCTCGTCTCGGATGTCGAGAAACCAATCCCATGGCCAGAAATATAGCGCAATTACTGTCAAGGTAGTTTCGGCGCAATTGGAGAATGTCCTCGTTGAACAGAACCATTGCCATGGGCTCAACACAGTCAACGCCAGCTAATTGTATGTCATTAGTAGAGGTTTAAAGAAGTCGTATAGGCGCAAAATACCGTAGCCCAAGCACCGTAGCTATCATACCCATACACCTTATCAGCTATTTTCCATGTGTAATAGTCACCTGCGGCGGCAATGATAGCTTGCGCGATTTTCGGAGTAGCGATGAGGAGATCTGCCGCCGTCAAAGGCGATAGACGCGTAGCCCAAGCGACTAGTCCGGTGACATAATATACTGCTGTGAAAAATAGAGGGTGGATAGAAGATCGTAGCTCGTGTTTCCATTCCTGTCGCATTCGATGTCAGCCTAGAATCAGTACCGACACGGACAAAAACACTCACCCAAGTAATCCAAGCACCGCTATCCTGTCCAAATGCAGCTTGCCAGGCAGGTTCCAGCGACTGGAAGAATTCGTCGGGTTGAAAGAAGGTGCGGACACTGAGCGCGTTGAGGATGCGGAATGCGACAAGAAACAGTAGAATGTTACGCGGCGTTGCTTGAGCGGCAGTGCTGCGCCTAAGCTGGTGGACAGACCTGGTTAAAGAACTGCTCATGTCACTTGATACGAGCGACAGCTCTGACGATGCCAACGACATGGTGTGCGTGCAGCAGCATGCCGGGGTCAATGCGGATCTCTCTTCTGCGATGATGAAATGCAATTGTGGAGGAGTTGAGTTGAGCGGTGGAAGGTTGGTGGCGGCAATCGGCGGGCCAGAGCTACCACAACAGCCACGCCGTAGTTACTCAACTTATTTATTGCCTTTCTTACGACTACGAACCATAATCGTGATTACTGTTGGTGTTTCCGATCCAAGACTAATATATAACGTATGACAATGCTGGTATTGCACTACCTTATGCTGTGCTCGACAGCCAGTATTCAGCGATTTAAAAAATGTAGCCAATTAGCGGCCGAGGTCTATACAGTAGCGCATCTCCTGTGCCCCTTCTCAGCAGACGAGAATATTACGTAAACACGAATGGGTTTCAGTTCTTAATAGTATTAATAAGTCATAATAATAATATTTAACAATGTCAAATGTTCTCTGTCACACGGAATGCTAACACGGAATCCAGCCAATCAAGTGGGCGCCTACACCGGGATCTTGGTGGAAGTCACATGACGCAGCGGGACTCCACACAGGCCAATGAACATGCGCGGAAAGTGGGCTCAAGGAAATGCGCGGCGTGTGAGTGGACGGCTAGCACCGGGCCGGCCGCCGGGCTCGCTGGTTACGTCGAGAACGCATACACCTGCACTTAGAGGTCTAGTTCCAGCGTCATACTTTCCCTCGTCGTTTCTGTCATATGGATGCGCTTTCCTTTCTTACTCCCGCATTTTCGCTTCAATTCTTCTCCTCCAAGAAACCACCCACGTCGCTCTGAAGACTGACCGTGAATGCCACTCGAAAAGAATAAAACCACCCCCCACCACCTCAACACCAAAGAATCAATCTCAGTGAGGTAATCACTCTTGCAAACATGGCCCCCAGCGCAATCGCGGCTCAAAATGCCACCCCCTCCTCAAAGGCCAGCCAGTCCACCTTCCATGCCGCTTCCAGCGACGCCGCTATTGCAACCGAGCATGACTATGCCGCCCACAACTACCATCCTTTGCCGGTAGTCTTCGCCCGCGCTTCAGGAACGTCCGTGTGGGATCCTGAGGGTCGCCACTACCTGGACTTTCTGTCTGCCTATTCCGCTGTCAATCAGGGACACTGCCATCCTGAGCTTGTCAAAGTCCTGGTCGAGCAAGCATCGCGATTGACTCTGAGCTCGCGCGCCTTTTACAATGACGTATTCCCCAAGTTTGCCGAGTTTGTTACCAAGTTTTTCGGCTTCGACATGGTCCTACCCATGAACACTGGTGCAGAAGCGGTGGAAACTGGTATCAAGATTGCCAGAAAATGGGGCTACAAGGTCAAGGGCATTCCTGAGAACGAGGCTCTCGTGCTCAGTGTTGAGAACAACTTCCATGGTCGCACGGTAAGCTACCAGGGAATTCATGCCAATTGAGAGCAACGCTGACTGAAGCCGTTCTAGTTTGCCGCGATTTCGCTTTCATCGGATCCCGAGTCACGAGAAAACTATGGCCCGTACTTGCCAAACATCGGTCACTCTATCCCTGGGACTGACAAGCCAATTGTCTACAACGACAAGGCTTCTCTCCGCGAAGCCTTCGAGAAGGCTGGCTCCAACCTAGCAGCGTTCTTGGTGGAGCCTATTCAGGGTGAAGCTGGGATTGTCGTGCCAGATGATGATTATCTTCAAGAGGCCCGAGCTTTGTGCGACAAGCACAACGTCCTCCTTATTTGCGACGAGATTCAAACAGGCATTGCCCGTACTGGCAAACTTCTTTGCCACGAATGGAGCGGCATTAAGCCTGATTTGGTTCTGCTTGGAAAAGCGATTTCTGGAGGAATGTATCCTGTTTCTTGTGTGCTCGGTCGCAAGGACGTCATGCTTACCGTAGAACCTGGTACTCATGGATCGACGTATGGAGGTAACCCTCTCGGTTCTGCCATTGCGATTCGAGCTCTCGAGATCATCCGCGAGGAAAACATGGTAGAACGTGCTGAACAGCTGGGTCAGACCTTCCGCAAGGGACTCGAAGCGATTCAAAGCCCTGTGATCCAGACCATCCGTGGCAAGGGATTGCTCAATGCCATTGTTATTGATGAAAGCAAGACCAACGGACATTCCGCTTGGGATCTCTGCATGTTGATGAAGAGCAAGGGCTTGCTTGTGAGTGTCCCATTTTTATTTCTGTGTATCTAAATCAGCAACTTCGCCATGCTTGACAATGATAGTATTATGCTGACTTGGATTGTTTTTAGGCCAAACCGACTCACCAGAATATCATACGTCTCGCCCCGCCTCTGGTGATCACCGAGGAGGAGATACAGTCAGCCTTGAACATTATCGAACAGGCTGTGAAAGAACTTCCAACACTTTCAGGCAAGGGAGAAGACGAAGTCGTTCCTCCGCCTGAGAAAAAGGTGAAGATTGGAGTAGACAACTAAGTCCCATCCAGGACTTGGTGGATCGACATAGCATGGTTTGTAGCTCCAGTCCAAGCCAGCGTATGCGAGTCTTGGCTTCTCTGTACTGGTGGTTGCAAACCCACGGTCGCGGAAGTGCAGACAGGAGCAAATTCAACCCGCCGATATGGCCAGGGAAAAGGGATTAAATAGGGGGCTTCCTGGGCATATGCCAGCCTGAGCGCCCACTGCAAATTTCCCTCATAGGAGTAAGCTGTGCGCAGCCACATTGGCGACCCGGTTGATGATATGTAGGTGGGGGAAGCACAACCGTAGGCTGACGATAATGCCTCATAAGCGTTGAGGAGGCAGGGTTAGCCTCATGATTAATGATTATTGCAAAAGTCACGTGGTATAGTACGCAGCAGAATGAATAGTCCAATCATAGTATGTTTTTCTTAGTACGAGGGATTAAATCATTAAAATAATTAATAAACTGGACACCCATAATGATAAAAGCAGTAAGGCTGGAGTCCAATTTTACCGAGGCTCTGATCAAAGTGTTCTTCAAGATTGGTTAGTGATCGCAGCACCAAAAAGTCGGAATTCGGAGTGCTTCTAACTCAGATCAAGCTCCGTTAAGATTTGTACCCCGCATTCCCAAAGTGTGTAGAAAAGTCAAGATGCTGGTGAGAACTTGGCTTGGTTGTTCCGGCTAACCGGCACCAAAGCTTATCTGCGAGCTTCCGGTTGGCCAAGACGAGTTTTACTGCAGAGAGAATTCTGTGAGTCCTGAGTTGAGGACGTGGCGGTATATGGCCAGACCATGGGTTAGCGAATATTCAAGCACGGCAGAATGATCTCATTGAGCAATGGGCATGCTCAGCACTGTGGGGATTGTTTATCTCGTATGCGATTCCACATCCGTATACTCCGTATAGCCCCTAAGCCGACAAGCGAAGGATGGCCTGTTGGTCTGACCAACAAACTCCCCGACGCAAGCAGATCCAGAACTGGCCATGCCTTGATCGGAATGGTGGGGGTCGGAAGTAGAATCGTCCGTGGCGCATCATACAGCCCAGTGTTATTTGTTATTTATAATTTAACAGTACTTGCACAAGATAATGAAGGATAGAACGGCACAATGTACAGCTGTTGTTCAGGACAAAGATGTGTATGTTAACAACAGGAAATGGCTGTTTGTCCTCGCAAGTCCAACAAGCGACGACAATAATAATGCATTATTCAGCAATCTATGAGTATCGGACACGGAATAATCTTGCCTAAATGAGGAGCGGTGGAGCCCGCCCCGCCCAATCGCCGCTGGCATTGCTCTTAACTCCGTCATGGCGATGGCATGGAGGGAAAAATTGAGTAGCAATTGCCCTTTGCTCACGACAAGAAAATTATTCATTCTTCCGACCCTCTCGTGGCTCGGTATGCATCTCGTCCGCAGAACTTCGTCGTCGCTGTCATCGTCCTTCCGTAGTTCTTCCCTCTTGACGTGAGCTCGGCACTGCCTGCTACTTTGGGTGTGGAGATGGCCGCTCTGCCTCAGGCCGCCGCAACGGAATTACACCGCGAGGAGGGAGCTGCTGCTGTTGTTCTCGATGAGAAGCTAGCAGTCCAGTCGAGTCACTCACCGAGCTCAGCTTCGGCAGAAACTGAACAAGAGGCGGCTCCAGCAAAGGGAAATTCTCCGCCACGCAAATGGCATTCGAGATTCAACCCTCTCCGCCTGCAGAAGATCCCCCCGGTCCCAGAGGAGCGAGTGGTGTCTCGCGAGCATGGCGCCAACTTCTTCAGTCTCATTTCCTTCCAGTGGATGGCCCCGTTGATGCATGTGAGTGGCCGATTTCATTGGTTCAATAATACATGCGTTAAACGATATTTATTATCCCTTGCTGACATTCACGCCAGACCGGTTATCTGCGACCACTGCAACATCAAGATATCTGGAAAGTCAACCCTGATCGATCGGTCTATGTTCTCAAAGCAAAACTCAACGAATCCTTTGACCGGCGTCTAGAGCGAGGCGGCAAGTACCCGCTTCTATTTGCCCTCTATGACACCTTCAAAGTTGAATTCTGGATCGGCGGCATTTGCCAGCTCTTTAGCTCTCTGTTTATGGTCTTTTCGCCATACATGACCCGATATCTTATTGCTTATGCTACTGAAGCATACACAGCCAAAGAAAAACACCAGCCAGGTCCGAATATCGGCGATGGAGTCGGCTACGCGGTTGGAATTACCTGTATGCAAATATTGCAAAGCTTGGGTACGAATCAATTCATCTACCGTGGGTTCATGGTGGGTGGCCAAGCGAGAGCGGTGTTGGTCAACATCCTCTTTGACAAGACGATGAAGATATCGGGCCGTGCAAGAGCTGGTGGTACAGTATTGGAAAACTCCCAAGTCGAGCAAGAGGTAAAAGGCCCTGGAAAAGCTGTCAACGCGGGAGACGGTCGAGGCTGGAGTAACGGACGCATCATTACCCTGATGAGCGTTGATGCCGATCGAATCAACACTGCCATGGGCATGTTCCATTTATTGTGGACTGCACCCATTGCAATTATTGTCACCCTCATCTTGCTACTAGTCAACATTGGCTACAGTGCTTTGTCTGGGTTTGCGCTCTTGGTTCTTGGCATGCCGGCAGTCACTGTTGCAGTCAGGGCCCTCTTTAAGAGGAGAAAGGCGATTAATAAATTCACCGATCAGCGAGTATCGTTAACGCAGGAAATCCTACAATCTGTTCGCTTTGTCAAATTTTTCGGTTGGGAAAGCAGCTTCTTGGAAAGGCTGAAAGAAATCCGCAAACGTGAAATCCTCGCTATTCAGATCCTTTTGGCAATTCGAAATGCGGTCTTGTGTATATCCATGTCCTTGCCGACATTTGCATCTATGCTTTCTTTCATCACATACTCGCTTTCCCAACATATACTCACCCCGGCGCCCATCTTCTCGTCCTTGGCACTTTTCAACTCCCTCCGCATGCCGCTGAACTTACTCCCGCAGGTTCTCGGGCAAGTTACCGATGCATGGACTGGTCTGATGCGAATTCAGGAGTTCCTTCTTGCAGAAGAAATCAAGGATGATATTGAATGGGATGATAGCATGACTGACGCCATCAGCTTGGAAAAGGCCTCTTTCACCTGGGAACGCACGCCAAATAACGATAAGGGAAAGGATTCAAAAACAAAAGGAATAGAGCGGAAGCGAGAATCCCCAGTCATAAGCGAGAAGTCAGATACCGAGGCCGAGCCTTTCAAAATCAAAGACTTGAACTTTTCTGTTAAGCGAAACGAATTACTTGCTGTGATTGGGACAGTTGGGTCGGGGAAAACATCCCTACTTGCTGCTTTGGCAGGAGATATGCGGTTAACAGATGGCTCTATTCGTCTTGGTGCTTCAAGAGCCTACTGTCCTCAGTATGCCTGGATCCAAAATGCCACTGTCAAAAATAATATACTATTTGGGAAAGATTATGACGAGAGGTGGTATAATACAGTTGTTGATGCTTGCGCCCTACGACCCGATTTCGATGTCTTTCCATCTGGCGATAGCACGGAGATTGGTGAACGTGGAATCACAGTTTCTGGTGGACAAAAGCAACGTTTGAATATTGCACGGGCTATCTACTTTAATGCTGATATCGTTCTGATGGACGACCCCTTGTCGGCCGTAGATGCACACGTTGGTCGCCATATTATGGAGCACGCTATCTGCGGCTTGCTTAAGGACAAATGCCGAATCCTTGCCACTCACCAACTCCACGTATTGAACCGCTGTGACCGTATCATTCTTATGGATAATGGTAGAGTTGCTGCTGTAGATACATTTGACAACTTAATGCGTGATAGTCAACTTTTCCAGAGATTGATGTCCACCACTGCTCAAGATCGACAGCATGAAGAAAAAGATGAAGACGACAAAATAGAGGCTGAAAGAGACACCCCAGCGAAGAAGGCTAAACCCGGCAAACAGGTGGCATTGATGCAACAAGAGGAGCGAGCCACAGATTCAGTGGGCTGGGGTGTATGGAAAGCTTACATCCTATCAACCGGAAGCATTTTAAATGTCATCATTGTGCTCGTCACTATTTTGCTTACAAACGGTGCCAACATTATGACAAGTTTGTGGCTGACATACTGGACATCGGACAAGTATCCCTTTTCAACGGGAGAATATATTGCCGGATATGCTGCTCTCGCCGCATCTCAGACAATCTTTGTTTTCATATACTCCACTGTTCTGACGAACGCAGGGACGAACGCCAGCAGGACTATGCTACACCGCGCGATGAACCGTGTACTGCGTGCGCCCATGTCTTTCTTCGACACTACGCCTCTTGGGCGGGTCACAAATCGGTTTTCGAAGGATATCCACGTCATGGATAACGAGTTGTGTGATGCAATGCGTATCTACGCCCTAACCATAACGATGATCATATCAGTAATTGTTTTGATCATTGTGTACTTCCACTACGTAAGTTCTAGACTTCTCTTTCACAGCAATTAACTAATACAGTATCCAGTTCGCAATTGCATTCGGACCTCTTTTGATTTTATTCCTCATTGCTGCAAATTACTACCGAGCATCAGCTCGAGATATGAAGCGATTCGAAGCTGTGTTAAGGTCGCACGTTTTCTCTCGCTTTAGCGAGGCAATCTCCGGCGTCGCAAGCATTCGAGCCTATGGCTTGCAAGAACATTTCGGTCGTAGCATCAGCGACGCAATCGATGAAATGGACAGCGCTTTCTTTCTTACCTATTCTAACCAACGCTGGCTCAGTGTCCGCCTTGATGCTGTTGGATACGTTATGGTTCTGGTAACTGGTATCCTGGTCGTGACGTCTAGATTCGACGTCTCTCCTAGTATTTCCGGTCTCGTCTTATCTTATATTCTTGCCATCGTTCAGATGTTACAGTTCACAATCCGCCAACTCGCTGAAGTTGAAAACGACATGAACGCTACCGAACGTGTGCATTATTATGGAACTCAACTAGAAGAAGAAGCGCCTCTACATTTGGGTCAGGTTGAACCCAGCTGGCCCGAGCAGGGAAGGGTTACCTTTTCAAATGTGCACATGCGCTATCGAGCCGGGCTCCCACTGGTACTCAGGGGTCTCGACATGGATATCAGCGGCGGAGAGCGCATTGGTATTGTTGGGCGCACTGGGGCTGGAAAATCCAGCATAATGTCAGCATTATTCCGCATCACCGAGCTATCTGAGGGTAGCATCACGATCGACGGCCTCGATATCTCGAAAATCGGCCTGCATGATCTTCGATCGCGTTTGGCGATTATCCCGCAAGATCCCACGCTATTCCGTGGAACTGTTCGGTCGAATTTAGATCCATTCAACGAGCACAGCGATCTGAAACTATGGGACGCTTTAAGGAAGTCCCATCTAATTGGTGAGGAGCCCGCGGGTGAGAAAGAATTGGAAGCCGCAGGTGGTGATACAACAGAAAATTCGGGGCAGAGCGGCAGTCGGATCCAGCTCGACAGCGTGGTGGATGAGGAAGGGCTTAATTTCTCACTTGGCCAGCGGCAGCTCATGGCACTTGCGCGCGCATTGGTTCGCGACTCTCGTATTATTGTCTGCGATGAGGCAACTTCGTCGGTTGACTTTGAGACCGACCGCAAGATTCAACGCACCATGGCCACGGGGTTCAAGGGAAAGACGCTACTTTGCATTGCACACCGCTTGCGCACTATCATTACGTACGACCGTATTTGTGTAATGGACCAGGGCCAGATCGCGGAAATGGACACACCATTGAATTTATGGGAGAAAAACGGTATTTTCCGAAGCATGTGCGACCGCAGTGGCATTGAGCGGGAAGATTTTTTCCAGACTGAGGCTTGACGATGATTAATATGAGTAGATACACGACGCTATTTTTGTTAATATTGTGTCGCTGACATGCCACTTTGAACGATAGATACCCGTTTAGATGAATAATGAATCAAAAAGTTTGCATGTTTTGGATAGATTATTGGGTGAATATTGTGCGATTAGTATATTCTAGAAGTACGTACGCGGTGATAGTAACTTCAACATTGAATTGTCCAGTTATCGGATATATATATATCACTTGTTAAATTCGTCTCGAGCAATTGTCACTGGCGACATTTGCAAGGTACATCCATTGATCTGTTGATAGATAGCTCTTGAGTATATATGTACCTCAATCAAATTAAAATTGAGCTGCATGTGGTTACATGAAATATTATATATATGAAACCAATAGATGCATACTCGAAGCAGGTGGTAAATTAAATCTAACTGATAGATCAATTACATGTAACATATGCACGACATTACATACGTACAACAGCCTGCAGATGTATTGTATAATAATTAAAGATAAACTCTAGTCTACGTATGTTGAGTACTTCTTCTCCACGTAGGTATACTCGACGAGTTTTATCTGGTCATTCCACATGTGCAGCCGAGCCGCAGAGGTCTAATCTATGATTGCTACACACGCCGGCCAACTAACCTATTGCATTACCTGCTAAACGAATAAACCACTAATTGTTATCAAGTAACCAGCATCGGACTGTCCACCGTAGAGCAGTACTCCACAGAGACTCAATGACACCGAAGCTTTAACTACGCGATAGTCACAACTCTATCCCAGGACCAACCACGGAACAGTCTCAAAAGCGGCCAATCAGCGTGGTCTGGAGATTAGGGTCAAGCCACGCATTTCAAGAATCAAAACGGAGGTCGCCTGTTCTTGTCGTTGAGGATATTGCGACATAATCCAATAATTTTTTACAGGGTAGGGTGACAAGGAATTAGAGCGTGTTCTTTTCGACTGGTTGTTTACTCTCGAATAATAACAACAATAATAGTCTACGATGTGTGGAGTCTATCCCTGCGAAGCCCCTTGCGTGGGCATGCAGACAGTACCTCCTGTTCCTGCTGTTCCTGGATTAATGTCACTCGTCGGCGTATCAGCATCAGCCTCAGTCCTACCGTCTACGACGGACCATAACTTTGGCTAATAACAGACTATTAACAGCAGGTATTATTAATATTAATACCATTAAATTATGATCGAACCTTTGTGTGTTGTAGCTGTGTGATGAGTTGTAAACGGTCGATCCTATGTCGTGCTGCCAATCGAACTGACTACGGATATTCACCGAGAAGCAAGAATCTCCCATCAGAACTTAATTGACTTCAAAGACGCCACCCCGTGCTACATAGTGCGTAGTACTCCGTACTACTATTGAGTAATTAAAGCGAAACCGAAACTTGTCAAAGGCCCAAAGCGGAGGCTAGTGGAGACAAGAGCGCAAAAGCTAGAGTTTCTCCATACCAAGTCTAGCTAATCAGTCCGTTCCTTGTTTAGGCGCTGTCCCTAGATTAATCGACGCCGTTTGAAGGCCGCAGGGAAGAGAAGATTCAGGAGAACATCTGCGTCTGGGATTGATAGATGCTGTGTAGTACATATAGCGATACGTCTGACCAGAGTATATGCAGCGATGTAGATCAAAAGACCTGTGTCCGATGGGTTTGTGATAGGAGTCGGTGACTGGTAGCAAGTTCGGGAGCCAGACGTGGCTGGCCGATGACTGGCGTCTGTTGAACCCAGAATGTTATTCTGCAACAGTATTTTTGCACGCTGGACCAAATAATAATTGAAAGAATCCCGGGCTACACAATAAAGTCTCAAAGGTAGGTCAAAAACTCAATCCTTACGGTAAGAGTAATAATAATTGCGGGCACGTGCCTCGCCCAAACGAAACTTTGCGGAAAAAAGGGGATCGTGCCCTCCCCTCGCCACTCGTAGGAGTAATTGATTAGTGTCGCATATCTGTCCACCGTCACAGTGACAAGAGGACAGACCAGTCTGCCAAAGTGGATACTGCTGTGACGGGCCTGCTCATGATAACAATCGTGTGCTCCGTACTACCTGGTAGTCTACGTACCCCCAAGCCGTTAGTAGTGAACTTAATATTGAAATTCGGACGTGACTTGTATGACCCCGTGCAGACCAATGTCTTAATCTTAAAGGGTTGACTCGCTCTTTTTGGCAATGAGTAAACTTTGAACCAGTTATAACTTATATGACTTCGCTGCCTTCCAAATTTAGCCACGCGCTCCCGTCACATTGACAAATTCTGCCTGTTTTCGTTCCGACTTACAACTCTTCAGTATACATATAAGCAGTCGCAGGACGGCTTCTCTTCTATTTGTGGCAGGCTCGAATATTTCCGCTCACATCCATCCCTTTTGAGAAAACTGTTGCTATTCTTTGTCGAAAAGAGGAATGCAAACGGGTTGCTAGGCACAAAAAGGGTCGATCACTGGCAAAGGAATGCTGACGGACGCAAATATCTCGACAACCCCTTCTTTGAACTGCTGAAATAGGATCCCAGTGTTGTGTTTATTTCTGCCGTCATTGGGGATATTAAAGTCCGCAAGGGATCGGTTTTTTTGCAGATCTTTCGATAACAAGTCGAGCTTACCATTTTGTCTTGAAGTGACCTTGGAAAGCTTTTTAGAAACCAATCCGAACTATACAGCGACTGACTCGTCGCATACACTACCGCATTAACTGCATCACAACGCGATATACTTGGTATAATGAAGCACCCATCGGAATTGCCGACAGAACCTATCGTGGGCGCTACGATAAACAACACCGCGGACTCCCACGTATCAAAGCAAAGTCTCGCTCATACAGCTTCGAGCAGTCTAGTTCCATCACCTACCATCGAGTCCCTTCCAAAACCGACTTTTGATTTTGACCCTCATGTTGGAGCGAAGCCATGCTCGCCATTCTATCGTCACAATAACAATGATTCACTCGAGCACCTCAAGAACGAAGCCACAATTTCAGCAGAACGATACGGATCCAATGACTTGGAAAACGGTCTATCAAACACTTCACACAAACGATCGGTAGAAATTCACGGTGTTTGCCGGTCAAAATTGTGGGCCGAGAAGAAGAGGCGGTTTGACTGTCTGTCATCATTGACCAAGAAACAACGACTCGCGGTCAAGCTCCTGATTGCGTTTATCATCGTAGGAGCGATGGTGGGCATCGCACTCGGTATCACTGCTGCAGTCGGGGGAGGTGTCTGGAAATCCAAGAACCAGCAAGGCGCCATTGGCAGTTGAGGTCTTTCGAACGGAAAGATTAGGACGTTCGATTTATTTGCACATATGACAATTGTAATAATGCTCTGGGCTTGACTTTGCCTCGACCATCCGATATGCTTCTAAAAGCCGGTACCTGCCCGACTACATCCCCGCAACAACACTCCGCTGGGATGCCGTCGATCACCAATATTGCACATGCCTAAGCAAGTGATGGTTTATCTCCGAGTTGTCAGGAGTGGGTTATTTCGCTGGAGCAACGAATGGGTCTGGTCAAAATGGTTTATCTTTTCCATACAGTACATTTCGTGAGCCGGACTCACCGCAGGATTAAATATGACGATAATATAGACAGTTTCTGGATGATGTTCTCTGCGTTGTCTGTCGTAGTGGCCGTCGTAGACACCGGCCGCATTATCGTAAATCCGAGCACGGTCACGTGCTGCCCGACCCGCACGGCTATTTCTGCGCGCACACGCCATCTTCGTTTTCCTCTTCTTTTTCTCTTCTCTCTTCCATATCAAAAAGTTAACAGAGTCAGCCACGACCGTCGTCTAACCTTCTCCACGACGATGTGTTGCCATGACCTTCAAGGTCAATTGACTCTGGAGACCGACATTCCTCGATAGGAAGTTTCCCTTCCGTTGAGTCTTCTTTAGTGAGGGCGATGGATGGGGGATGCTGATGACGGGATACATCTAAGCCACAAATTCAGTTGCTCATGTCGCATAGGTTAGGAATAGGGCCTGGCCATGGACTTGAATTCCGAGTAAGCTGGCGTTTGCTAAATAATGGGGATTAAGGCTCATTGTCGTGCTAGTAGTTAGAGTGGCGTTTGGCCAGGCGCATTGTTCAGTTGTCCAAATACCAAAGAATTTTTCAAGACTTGCGCCTCCAGTTCAATTTAATATTCTTTCGCAGGCCAAGCTACCTTCTTATTTTGTTCAAAGCCGTAATGTGATTCTAGTCTACGACAGACCGCGAGATTGCAGAGCGAAAATTGTACATGTTTTCCATACCGTCTTGTTCTAACGCGTCCAGACTGACCCTGTGGAATGTTACGACATTACCACATTGACATGCAAAAATCAAGTTTTGCATGAACTTGGCCTTGAAAGTTCGGTGCCGGTGTAATCCCATTCTTCGTGGCATTCTCGCCATTGAGTCCCCATTCTGAGGGCACATTTTTGTTATGCTACCCTTCCTCCACGGACATTCCACGCGTCACAATAATCGCTTCGCGATGCTTTTCGTGGCAATAAAGCAGCCAGGATGCGCTCGAAACTTTGCTACTCTTTTCTCTTCCTCTTGATCAGCGAAAGCGTTGACGACAAACCTGGTCAGAGGTCGTCCTTCGTAGATATTTCTTTTCTTGTCCTTCATTTTGCTCTATCAGTCACTCATTTATATCTTATTCTTCTGCCCGTGCTTGGCAATTGATACTGACTCTAATCAAAAAGATGAAGACCATCTATACAGCTATCCCGTTAGCCCTCGTGGCCGCAGTTGCTCAAGCGGATCTTCAGGGGGTGTCCGGCATTAACGGAGGAGAAATTGGACATGGTCCTGGCATCCATGACTTCATGGGCGATAACAGCAAGAAAGGCGACTTTCTGGGAGATACTCATGATCATGATTTCTTTGGTGATGGATTCAACGCTCATGAGCAGGAACCTGATACACGAGCAACACCGGACTATTTTACTCCTGCAGCTCCCGACACTGGCAGTGACGATGGACCAAACAACATCTACCATCAGAAAGGCCCTGAAATTGAAACCGGGGACAACGAGATTGACGGTGGGGTCAACAACGACAACATCGTGATCGCCCCAGTCAACAGCATCCAGTACCCTTCTGAGGAGGATGACCTCAATTCCCCTCCAGGACCCGCTTACGAAAGACCACCGCCTCAACAGCATGAACCCGAGCAACTCCCTCCGGGACAACACTCTGAGCCCCAGCACGAGGCTCCTCCACCAGGTGCGGAACCGTCAGCAGAAGCACCGGCGCCTGCCCCCGAGTATCATGCACCTCCTGCTCCCCAGCCTGCCACCCCGCCTGCTGCACCTCCTGCACCAGCCCGGCCACAGCCAGAGTATACGCCAGAGCCTGCTCCCCAGCCTGAAACTTATGCCGCTTCACCACCACCGCCTGCCGCCCTGCCTGTTGAACCTCCTGCACCAGCCCGGCCACAGCCGGAGTATACGCCAGAGCCTGCTCCCCAGCCTGAAACTTATGCCGCTTCACCACCACCACCTGCTGCCCCGCCTGCTGGACCTCCCGCACCAGCCCGGCCACAGCCGGAGTATGCCCCCGTGCCTGCTCCCCAGCATGTCACCCCGCCTGCTGGACCTCCCGCACCAGCCCGGCCACAGCCGGAGTATGCCCCCGTGCCTGCTCCCCAACCTGCCACCCCGCCTGCTGCACCCCCTGCACCAGCCCGGCCACAGCCGGAGTATGCCCCCGTGCCTGCTCCCCAGCATGTCACCCCGCCTGCTGCACCTCCCGCACCAGCTCGGCCACAGCCGGAGTATTCCCCGGAGCCTGCTCCCCAGTCTGAAACTTATGCCGCTCCACCACCACCGCCTGCCACGCCTTCTCATACGAGCCCCGAATACCAACCAGCACAGGAGAAGCCCCAGCCAGTCCAAGAACCAGCTCACGAAACATCTTATGGCAAAGAACCCCACCAGCCAGCAGGCCAAGGCGAGAAGGAGCCTCCATGCCCCGAGCACTCTGAGCATTCCGCCCCCCCCAGTGAGAAGCCAGGGGATGCCAACGTTTATCAGCCAGCACCAGCCGAAGAACACAAGACCCAGCCCGAGCCTGCCGTCTACCATCCAGCCTCCCACGCTCCCACACCTACACCTTCACAACAGCAGGATGCTCATCAATCCTATCAATACGGTGGAAGCGCTCCTGCTGCCACACCCGCTCCGACTCAAGAGTACGGAGTTCACAAAGCCCATTCTAGTTCATCTGCCAAGCTCTACCAGTCATCCACCTTCCCTCATATTTCCTACCGAATTCAACAGCACTCCTCCATAGTTGCGAAGCCTTCTCATGCGGAGAGCAGTATGAAGACCGTTACTCATGCTACTCCTGCCCCTCCAACTTCGGCCTCTCATCCTAGCGAGACTGGTGCTCCTCCCTTCACAGGCGGCACGGGGCGTTCTGCTGTACCCCAAGGCTTTGTGATGGCAGTCGTCGGTGCACTCGGCTTCATTCTGTGAAAATAGACAATTTCAATCACAAACGACAGACTCAATGGCTCCGACAAGCAATATGGATCTTCATCCCCCAGATTAGTTAATTGGTTTCCTTCCGGCCCTGATCGGGCGTTCATGACTATGTCATCAATCCACTCCTTCGTTCACTTAGCCTACACCAATTTAATCCCGCTTTAGTCCTTCGCTTATTCATGGAGGCATAGTGTAAGTCGAGTACCATGTCCCGGACTATGACGCAAACATTCCAGAACAATACAAGACGATATAACGGTCCAAAATTCCTTTACAAAAATGTACACGCAGCAACAATACTGCCTTAACTAATTCTGTTATTGCACATTTTTGCTACTTTGCTTTTGAATTGTCTTATAATCATTTAATATATTCATTCCTTCATGCTTCAAGCGTCTAGTATCACTGTATTATTTACCATATAAGAACTAACACTTTACATGCTATAACTATTCGTGGAATTACATGCCCGTCCTCTGCCTTTGCTGCTGTTTAATCTTCTTTTGTCTTGGCATTTATTGCTACCATCATCGAATTTTACTGAGGTAGACCTTGTTTCGCTTCGGCTTTTCCTCCATTCTATCTCCACATTGATTCTTTAGGCAGACTTCTACACTTCACCCCTGGCCTGTCAATAATTGGCCTGGCATGCGTCTCGTCTCTCCAGGGAGGTCACCGAGCCACTCTACATCACATTTGTTCACATTCGTTTCTCCTGCAACGGACACTTTTGGGTTGGGCTGGTGAGTCACGCTACCACCAGGAATATCCTCCCGCCTGCCGTGTCATTATGGCCTGGTGTTATTCTATAAGCGGAATCATGGCGTCAAGTGAATCAAAGTCATGATGTACGCGCTGCCTATGTTCTAATATAGTATCAGAATCAATGAATCAACGAAGTATGAATAAAATACCCATACCGTCAGAGACAGTACCATGGAAACAAGTCTGTTACGTATATACAGGTACTTACACGACATGGGGAAGGGAAAGGATTGGATACAAGAGGGATTGGTGGCGGAACGGCCCACAGATGTTTCTGAAAATAGTATATGAAAGTAGAGAAAATAGAAGGAAACAGCGGTATCCAGTAACTAAGTTACTTTGCAGTATGATGGGTATGTTGTAAGCGCGGATGTTTAGAAGTATGTGGTGGTGGTAGCTTGAGATAGCGCAAGGAAGCAAACCCGGCCACGATCAAGAACTGTACGAACCAGTAAGATGTGTTGTTCAAGGGTATTGATGAGGTAGTGTGTTGTAGCATCTTCTAATAATAAACCTGAACGAAGTAACAGACGAATAGAAAGGAAGAGAAAGAAAGAAAGTGGACAGATGGTGTTGATAACATGCTCGAAGTTCTCATCTGTGGAGATTCTTAAGCCAGATAAGTGTGTATATGTGCATGCAGGTACAAAGTGCAAGATCGAATGGTAGGATGTAGGTAAAAATAGAATAAAGAAGGCTTCTTATCATCACTAGTGCATAGGGATTAGATGAAAGAAAAGTGAATTGGCATTGATGATTGGACGATGCGGGAGGAAACAATGACTTTTGATGAGGGTTGTTCGATCATCCCGCGACAAGCCCATGGTGTAGCCGCTTGCTTCGTTCTAGGTAGTGGGTCAAGGCCAGTACGAGCACGTATCAGGCTTTGAGAAGAGGTTGGCTTGAAGGAGGGGAAAGGGAGCAACAATAATTTTAGAAAAAGCGAGCGATTAGACCATTGCATGGAGCAACAATAACATGGAGGGAATCGTTATTATTGAACTTGCAGGAGCTAACAATAGCATGATGGTATTGTCGAGCTATTCTTAGAATTATGCGTGGGCCTACCAGGGTCCGGCCACTTGCACACGCTAATCCATAATGCGTTGTAGTCGGCACCACAGACCAATAGGATTGCGTAATGCCACTTGCGAGCCAGTGCAGGCCTGGCTCCGGGTCGAAATTATGAATCAACAGCCTTCTTAAGTAATATGTCCTAAGCTTCACCTGCAGTAACCCTATACTAATTTTGAAGGTATGCTGTGCGGGGCGAAGGAGGCATTTCTGATGGCCGTGCACTTGAGAAATATCACATGTACAAATTACTGTGAATCACATTATTATATTCCCCTAAAAGCTATTTCCTCAAAGTAAATCGAGAGGGGAAAGTAGGAGCTTAGGCAAGGACTGGTCAATATCACCGACTTTTCGCAAGCCCCGCACCTGGCAGTTTCTTCCGAGGAGGGCTAGCAGCCTGACTGTTTCCAAAAATGGCATCTTCAGGACAACCCGGCATAATTAGTGGGGCATGCAAGGTGATGGCCAGGATCTGATAGACGTATCACAGCGAGTATCACTGAACCACGTCATGAGGAGCTTCCGTGCTCAGGACATCGCCGTCAACATCACCACCACTAGTAATGCCGTTGCCTGCTAGTTTCAAAATCGACAATGTAAGTATCAACTAGTTTAGGATGGCAAGGGAAAGTTTTACATTCGATGTAGCTATTCTGCACCCCGATGCAGGGAAGAGCTATTGAAATGATACTCTATTCGGCTTCTGCCCGCAGATCATGAGGATCATTTCTGGTCACTGTGCATAATGCATCAATACACTATATCCCGTCCTTCAACGACCTTGGTCACTTTAGTAGAATAGCAATCAAAATTCCATAATAAGACGATAGGCTGGTGTCGCCCCATCATTTGCACAGTACAGTTATTCTGCTCGAGAATGACCGAGACGATTGAACACGGTCCCGTTCCTCGAAGCAAATGATTCCGGCCCTTCATCTCAATGGTGCAACCGGCTTGCGCTAATCACAACCGGTGCCATTCCCAGCGCTTGCATCATGCTTCGTGTGGTTATTAAGGTCACACCCACGCCTTCCTCCATGGATGTCATTGGCCGTGTTAAAAATAGGCCGTCTGATGCCGGGCATCGCTTCCCTACTTTGGTTAGACTGGAACTGCCCTCCCGCATAAGGTTATCAGTAGCTGGCCAATAGTATCGCACATATGGCACCCTTCTTCTAAAGGATGTATACAAGCCGGTGAGCTATTCCTGATATAGTAAAGCGCCGGCGCTTAACCAGTGATGAGAACTGGATTGTTGCCGGATGTGGGTCGTAGACCGTAGGGCCCACCCCTCTCTTCCCCACCAGGAAATATTAGTGTATAAAGTTGTAAAGCGTATTATATCGGGAAGCTTTTGTTGTATGGGAGCCTTCAAAAAGATTCTCGCGGATTATTGTTATTCATGACTGAAGTACATAGTATTAAGGAGTGAAAATAGAATGTTCGTATGTATGTATGTATGTATGTATCTAGAGGATGGCGAATGCCTATGAAACCCCCCAAGTTACTAGCCAATCCTACTATCGGACTGGAGCGACCAGTATCTCCCAAAATCCTGCACTCGCATATGCAAGTTGTGACTTGTGACCTGATGCCTCCACACGGCCGCATACCCTTGATGATCCTGCCACGACTTGACAAGGATGTTAAAATTCTGCAGAAAAGTGTTGGAAGATACCATTGGCCGAATTTGTGAGGAATCTGTCACCCTGGACAATTTGAAGTCATTGGCTACTGTGCAAAACAGTCCATTTTTTGATTGAGAATCGATGATCTTTTTTTATGAGAGCATGTGTTGTTCATGAGGGGGTTTCCCTACCTTTACACAGGCTGTACAGTAAATACGGTATTATTGTAAATTACCCGATGGATACAAGTCGACCGAGTCATGATCATGGTACTAGGCCAACTCTAACACGATATGGTAGATATTTGAATTCTTCCTTATCCAAGCCAAACACAAAGAGATTTTGCCTTTTCTCAGCTGTCGTTGCGCCTGGGAGACTCAACAAGCTAGCGAAGGAAAATCCTGTCTGCTCGACATGTGGCTTTAGCGCGGCTAGACCAAGAGACTAGGAGGTCTGATCCCACGAAACCGTCGAGTGGTAGCTACTAGCAATTGCAATTCAAATGTTGGATTCTGACTCGCGAGTCATGTCCCATCTACCAGCATTGAAATCCTTCCGATACTTGGATCATGATAATAAATACAATCAATTTGAGAGGGAAAATAACCCATTACGGACCTCGCTTGGGGCCAGTCATGGTTGGCGACGCGTATGGCGTTTATTTGGCGGGGTGTTGACGCCCGTCAGCCTAGAGTATTCCATGACCTTGCCCAATCTGGCTACATTCTCCCGTTTTACTGTTGGACCAAGCCAGTCAAGCCCTGTCTCTACACGTGTTGGACCCGGCGGTAGTGGTTTCCAACAAGAAGTTTCAGACTCAAATATTCCGACTGGACGTAGTCAAAAGGCTGAGACTGCTCAGGCTGCGCCCTCGGCTTACTTAAGTATCACGTTAATTGTGTGCTTTAGACGTAGTAAACCCTTCTGTTCTGGAGGAGGGCACTTGGCTATCTGATAAATTGCTACAGTTAAGCCTTTCAAAGACAAGACTACCAACGTAATCAGCAAACTGCGTGTATATGTATAGATCAAATTCAATGATAAACTACTATTGACATGTCAAGCCTAATTGCGCCTCTTCCCTCGCGCCTGTCCTCACCCAACAATAACAAAGGAGAAGCAACCAAGTAATCAAAATCGCGTGTTGCTGCCCATTCATGCAAGAAATCAAACCAGCCCCAATTTTAGCTCCAACATAAAGTGCTTCAACAAAATAGCTCATTGTGTAAACTCCACATACATCCAAGGGACACAAAACCTCGTCGTGAACTCATGAGGCGCAAAGCACTGCGCATTGTAAAACCCAATTTTAATCCCACATGGGACACCAGGGCATCGATGCGAATAAGTCTAGGATATATGAAAAGCGGCATTCGAGGCATCGGGAAAGAAAGTAGTAGAAACATATGAGTCCATCGAGCTTGTAAATTATAAAATCCCCAAAGCATAGTTCAAAAATATTAAACGAAAGATTGTTCCCGCCGCTCAATCGAGATAAATTCATGAGAAGAGTGGCGTAGACGCCTATTTCGATTCACCGGTCTTCCTTCGCTTTCCTCTCGGTGGCGGATCCAACGGCGTCCGTTTGTAGGTCACTGTGCGAGTAACCACCTGTCGAACACTGACGGGCTTACCAGTAGAGTTTCGAGACACATCAGAGTAGTGAAGTTTCCAATCGGACGGCGAAAATGGGGAGCACATAGATGTAGCACTCAGTGCACTCAATGCACTCAATGGAGAATCTGTGGCTGGTGTGGTTGGTGAGAAGGTCTTGCCACACACCTTGGCAGTCGAGATTCTCAACCGTCTTCGTCCACTAAATGACTTAGCAGACATAGGTGATTGAGGCGAAATTGTCGCAGACTTGATGAAATCCGAACTTGGAAATGAAGCGCTTGAGGCCGTGGAAGGTTGTGAAGTTGGCGTACGTGACTTTTCGATGGGAAACTTCGGAAAGCTCATTGCAGGACTCATGGGACTGTTGAACACTGGCGTCAAGGCTTTGAGAAACTCAGTGTAGGCGAGAGGCGGTGAAATAGGCGTGGCTGACGAGTCCTCGTGTTTGATATCCGGTCGCGCTGATGCCGGACCATCATGGATCTCGGAAGGGAACGTGGTACTCTTGGGGGTCTTGAGAGGATGTAAGATGGGTTTTGTGGGAGCCATCTCTGTTGGCGGTCAGGCAGTGTGAGGATCTGATAAGAGAAGCGATAGACAAATAGGCGATGTGGGACGAAGTAAAGTAAGAGAAGCCCGGTCCCGAAGCTGCGAGGAATGTCGGGGAGGGGGAGAAGGTAAGGAGTCTCTTGTACAGAATAATGCTCAAGGGGAGGACGAAGGAAGGATAATAAGAGACACGACAAGGCGATGACGAGAAATAATAAGAGCGTCAGAGGCGGAGGCGTATTCCAGTAGTCGCAAGGGGGTCGTCCAACCACGAAAGGGAAAAGGAGGCTAAGCTGGGGTGGATGATCACTTCGCCCGAAGGTCTGGGAGATCTATGTATTGGCGTATTGAAAAAATGGTAATACGCCCGTTACTATACAGGTCGGTAATAATACAGGACTGTATTGATACGCTAAGTCAGCCGTGGCCAAAACAGGACTAGCGCTCCAAGGCGAGGCCGAGCGAGGATGCTGGGGCTTTTTTGGTCAACTCACTGCTACCAGAGCGAATAAACGAATGACCAACACTGGTCTGACAGGCAGCTTCCAAAAAAAGGTCCTGGTGTTCTCGCAAGTGTCGTGCTGAACAACTCGTGGCTCCGAACCAGCGGAAGCAGCAACGAGCCCAGAGGAATGAACGAATAGCGAAGACGTGGTTGCACTGTGCACACCGTGGGATGGCAGAGATCCTAAGGTCAAGCTGGGAATGCAGGTCTCAATATATAAACACCGCTGTCCCCCCATAACCGCCCACAGGTTCATCCATCCTCTGCTCTCGCGCGCGTTCTGAAACAAGCCTCCTGAAACTCCTGCGCTGTGAATCGCTCGTTCTTGCAGACGCTCTTCTCCTGCTGTTTCATGTTGGTGGGGTACCGGGGGAGAGCGGTGTCTCTGGCGATGCTGTGGTTGGCCCGCGCGGCTCTACTTCGCGCTCTACCATTAACCTACCAGCGCCAGTTTTCTTCAAAACAACAAACAGCTGGCTATGAGTCCTTCGGTTAAGGTTTCAAATACTGAAGATAAAACTTCCTGCATTATTTCAAGCGTCAAGCTGTCAATTTGGGCACCGTCTGGTTGCTACCGGGGCAACGGAAACGCCGTGTTTAATGTATGCCTCTTGTAATCTACTTCAAGTTCTTTAGGAAAGTGAAAATCTAGGTACATCCTTTAAAAGTATTTGGCATATAGAGTATTGAGGTTTGTTATCTCCACTTCAGATGGTTAATTTTGATGCTCTCCCTATTCCAACCTCGAAGACTGAGAGTAACGAACAGTGTAGAATATAGATTGACGCTGCACCTCTACACAACAAACCTGAATAATGCTGCTCTCTTTCCTCCCAAATTCTGCTGGTTGGATGCAGGAAAAAGATGCTATCGACTGATGCCAGGGGCCGTATAGTTACGCGCCCATTTCCCCAGTCAAAGGGCTCAATATCCCGCATTCTATGGCTTGGTAGAAATCTAGCTCAAAAGCTTCAAGACAAGCGCAGGCCTTCAGCGCTATGGATTTTCTTCAGACACAGCGCTTCCATTGTTTTGGATCTAGAGGAATCCAATCAACTTGTGACTTTGGTTATAGAGCTGATATTGCCGCCAGGTACATTATTAACTAAACTCTGCAGCCAATAGACCTGTCGCCGGAAATATTATGTGCATACATGAGGCGTAAATGCGTACCTATCTATAGATACTCACAGTGGTATCAGTTGAAGTATCATCTGGTTGAAGCGCCTAACAGGATTTCCGTAATATTGGATATTCACCTGGTATTAGCGCATCGCCGCGGGATATCTGGGTCCACATTATTGTATAGTGAGTAATAAAAACGATACGTAAAGAATGGTCCCGATTTTTGATGCCAATGGTGAACCAATTGTGTCCTGAAGAATATATAAAACCATACTTTTTGGGACTGTTCTATGAACAGACATCCCCGCTACGTCAGGCTCATAAGCCTCGCAAGATTGGCAGGATTATACAAGCGGGAAAAAGCTATACTTAGGTCTCATATGGGCGTCACGCCCAACACTGAATATCTGAACATGGGAATTGAGGCTTCTTCTAATTTGGGGCTGGAGAAGTGATTACCTAGGGAAGACTCTGGTAAACTGGGAGTATGTGGGATGTCAAAGACAAGGCTTGCCATCAGTAGTCACAGGCGAGTTTTATGAAATCATTGTCATTTTTAGTCGTGGTTTTTCAGGTTAGTCGATATCAGAGTCGCCAACAGCAGGTTCTGCCTAAGATACGGCTTTATCCCTTCCGACGAGACTGTATATAGGTCTCCTAGTTTGCAAAGTACTACTCAATCAAATATCATGGCTGGCCCTTGTTATCAGATCATGAAAGATGCCAATTTTGCTCCCCAAAAAGGGGACGATTAGACTTCTAGGAAGATTAGACGAAAGCGGCTAAGTGCACACACAAGACGAACGGCCCGACCAAATAAGCGCTGTAACCATGTGGGGCTGCTTCTATATTAATGGACGAAGGGCCATTTTGGTTTCATTGCAGTTAAGCCGTCTGAGCACGCAAAATTTCCTGATGATGGTGGTTGGTTTCTGAACGATAAGCCGCTGGTCCTCAGTATCAGTTAGAAGCATGGTTACTTAGAAGATACGTGGAAGCTGACTCAACAGCGCCCAATCCAAAGCGCAGGTTTCCGGGAACATCAATGCTGTGATTGACCTGCATTCGACCTGCTAAATTTAGCAGCACGAATGGTAGTCTGCGATCGTCCCCGCGGCCATGCGGTCTGATTTGATGGACGATAACTCTTTGGGGGTGGTTTAATGACAATCGCCGCGCCTTGCCCATATAAGCGAATGATATGGTCACCATTGCGGCGCTGCCACCCAGGGGAGGGGCTCCCCTCCATCAAAATCCCGTGATTCTTGCTTGCCATCCTTTGCACGTCCTCCGCGATGTGTTGTGCGTTACTGACGCTCTCGGCCCCCTCTCCCAAGCCGTTGATACTCAGCCATCACCCCGTCGCCTACCGGCCGAGAATTAGATTATTCTTGCCATGCTTGGAAGCACATCTCAGCCGTCTTCGGGCGATAGTGGTTTCCCTTCCCTGGAGACCCCGCGCGTCCTGAATGCCAGTGCGCTTTCCATCACCGCGCTTTCTCGGTTTGAATTCGAAGCTGGTAAAGGGAATGAAGGAACAAAAATTTTGATGGTCGAGTGGGAAGACGACGATAGTCGATCGCCTCAGGGCTCTTGGCATGTTTCATGGGAGGGCAAGACTTCCGTTCTACCAGCAGATGAACAGACAAGCGAGAACACGCGACGATTCTACTTCCTGTTGCCTCCTGGTGTAACCATTCCTCCAGTTATAAGCTTGAGCTACGTGCAACCGCCTAGCTCTGCAGCAACCGTCAAACAACCGGAATCAATTCAAATCAACCCGCTGCCAGCCATCTTCCCGCCTGAACTGGGCGCTACGGCCCGAACAGCAGGAAAGAAAGGAGTTTTGCACACTATTTGGGCGAAGAAGAGGCTCCAGGCTTTGGAGAAGGAAATTAAGGATGAGTCCATGAATAATGCCGAAGGCATTGCTCTGCAGATGGCCATACAGGAAAAGGAATGGATTGAGGCAAACTTCGGCGTGTCAATTGTACCATCTACACTCGATCTCTCGTCGATTTCGCCGGCCGCGTCATCTTCTTCGTTCCCTTCATTAACGCCTATCTCACCAACCTCTGGAACTAGACTAGGTGAGAAGCTCAAAGGACTGAAATTGGAAACGAGCAAAAGAGACCTCGGGAAATGGGTAGAAGGTAGGGTTTACGAAAGTTTTTCAACACAAATCTAACAGTAACAGGTCATGACAACCATCCCGAAAGCGATGGGCAGTCCCATCCGCTATCACCTGAGTCCTCGGATATAGCCGTTTCCTCATTCAATGCCTTTCGCACCACATCCGTACCTGTTGCAGATGGTAGACGTATGGTAGCTCATCAGCCACCGTCATACATCCAAAAAGCACAAAACAATAACAGCGAGATTCCTTTCATGGATCCGGTAACTCGCACGAGAAGCACTGATTCTGGTGATGGATTGTTTGCGAAAGCCTTGAGCCCGCGAACACCAGACCTACCTCGAAGTCCTTTTTCGTTTTCGCCGACAGAGCCGATTGTATGCATCGAAAAATGAACTTGTTATTCAGACTGTCTCACAAGAAAAGCCCCCCTTTCATATTCTATTCATGTGTAACGATGTTTCCGGATTACGTACCTCAATTCATTTCTGAAACCCTCTACAAGCGTGTCGATTTCATATACTTCTCTAACCAGTTTGTCAGCTATTGTGTAACCATTGTACTTTGACAGTGCAGCTTGCACATATCTTAACGAAATGAGGCCTCCTGATAGGAACTGGTTCATGATACTAACTGTATCATCTTTATACCCTTGTTTTCTTAAGACCATCGCTCGACCAAGCAGATGCATGTTTACCATTGACAGTGTTTTATATCTCAAAGAAATTCTCGTCCTAAGATATGTCAGACACATAAGCTACCTAATAGAGGCAGGGATTTTTCTCCAATATCATTAGACTAGTTGACAATCCTATCTACATAAACAACAGAGTCGCACTAGTCCGAGCGAGAAACCAAAAACAAAAGATGGCATACAAGCAAGCTTTCAGTCAATCAAATATAAATCCAACGATACAGAGGCACGATGAACAAGTAGCTTTGAAAATTTCAGACCCATCTTATTGTCTTTTCTTGCTATTCTGGCGACTCGCTCTGGTAGCAACGGGTGATTCAGGCCGCTCTTTCTTGGAAGGGTTGTCAACGCCCTTTTTATTGAATTTCTCGTTCTCTTGCTCATCCTTTCTCTCGGCATACCATTGGCCAGCCTGAAGGATCAAGACACCAACTAAGATGAGGGCAAGAATGGTATTACTAGCAGCGAGAACTTTGAGACTGTCCTCACGGCCGAGGACTTGCTCCGCATCCTCTTCGTTCGTTGCCAGATCGGCACCATACTGACCGAATGTCACAAGGCGAAGGCCCTTGACTATATTGGCAATATAAACAGTCACGCCACAGACATAGAGCACCAAGCTTGCGCCGTCAAAAAGCATGTTCGACTCAGAAGGTTTGTACAATTTCGCAATGATACCGGAGAATCCAACAAAAATGACGATATGCAGTATGCGGGGGATTAGAGGTGGAGAGGCATGGAGAAATCGCAGATGAGCTTCGAGATAGTCATAGTGTGATGGAGGAGTAGGTTCACCCGCCCAGAGGAGCGGATAGTCGTACGGAAATAGAGAGAAGACGATGCCTAAGAAGAAGCATGTTGCTATAGTCGCAATGAATTGTCAGCAATCGAAAATATGGAATTGGAAATGACTAAGATGCTAGGAATGAAGCCTCAGCGTCGTGGTGAGGTCTGTTAGATAGTGGGTAGGGTCAAAATCACGTACGACAGACGATGAGAAAGGTCGCGAACGACCCACTCTTAAATGCCATCAGGAAGACAACGAAGGCCGATCAGAGACCAGCCAGGAGAAATGTTCCGGAAGAAGACCGAGGTTACTCTGGAGTCGTCTGGACTTGTCGACTGATGTAAGAAGGAGGAAATATGTCTCGCGTGTTTAGAAGACGGAGGAAGTTAGGGGTGCTGTCAGAGTCTGTAAGATTGCGAGGTGGAGAAGCCAAGCCCAAGCCCGCCTTCCTCGGTAGCGCACGATAAGCACTTTCGTCCGTTCACATTCTCCATTAACACTGTGTAATGGCATCCATTATAGATCTATTTCCTGGAAAAATTATTGAATATTCTTCAATGGGATAAGCAGGAGCTCGGTCGTGTTTTTGAGCCTGATGTTCATTCAGTCGACACCGTTTTCTGATTTGTGTGCTCGGACTGTTGATACGAGCCTTGAAAACGGCCGCACACAACATTGTCATACTTTGACGATTGCACATAAGATACAGACTGACCTAATAGACCTCATTATTGACTTACTAACAAGTTGATACTTTGATACCACGCATCTACTGTCTCGACTTCCTCCAACCTGTGCTCGTTGCGTCTCTTTAGAAACCCCATATGACGCCGTGTCTCCCAACGATCTCGAGGTGAATCACACAAATTTTCATGGCAGGTAGAGAATTATTAGTTATACATATTGACACACACTTGAAGTTGACCCCGATATGAGCTAGATTGGCATGACAAAGCGAAATCAGCGGCAGGCATTATAGATTTCTGGTCTAGCATTGACCCAGTGCCAATTGCAGGGAGCAACACATGTATCCTTGACCAGTGAAAGTGGGAAAACTAAATCTATAACCGGCGTCTGTTTGCCAGTTTCTCTCTCCAACCAAATCGATCCAGGTTCGACTTGACGCAATAACTATCTCCATAAGAACATTATAGTGCATGAATAGGTTGTATATTACATTCATTGAAGATCTCATACATCAGTGCAATTCTACAGCTCAAAACCAGCCTGAATGGCTCGAGAACACGCGAGAAGGACTCCCATTCTGCTCATCCATACACTTGGCTAGTGAACATTACTGAAAAGTACGTTGCCTACGCCCTACAGAGTGCTAGAGTCTAGACCGACAAACACAAAACTCAGGTGTAGCTCTATGTAGCCCCGTACAGAATGACACGCAACATGAGCGTCCTATTACACACGAGCTGTCCTCGGCTTTCAGGTGTCACGTGTACTTATGTTGGACTTTTTGCGACACTTCCATTCTTGTCGCTAGCTATCGTTATGGCGGTGAAGTTTATTACCAGATAGTGAGCGATTTGCGTCTCAGGATTTCGGTGCTGTGACTAGACGTAGTAAGGATGATCCCCAAATGCCAAAGTGTCTGTCATAAATTGGTTCGAAATCCACAGTGATGGAGAGAAGAACAAGGTGTGTCTGATTGGCTGATATCTTGAAGACGCTGTGGCTCACACAAGACGTAAATAAGTTGATGCTAAGGCAGTAATGAGTTGAATAATAGTCTTGATCCGTAGAAGTTTTGAGGGTTCCGGGACCGATAATACGAAAGACCCTCACAGAGCCCAAAGAAAACAAAGAACCTGGGTATTGCAAGGACGGGTTCCGAGGGATGATCGACAAATCGGACAAGTCGCAGGTGAAGGCTGAAGCACTAATTTCTTAGCAAGCACAATTGATTTTCTGAGATAAGATCGATATCGGATGTCGATGTGGAGGTTCACATCACCCTGCTGAATTATGATATTAGTCTTTTCTAATAATCGTCAAGGGATCGTGTCCAGAGTCTGAAGCTTGGTGCCAATGACGCGATGTACAGACTCTGTACTCCGGATGACTATATGATGTAGATTATGGAACTCTGTTAGCTCTCCCAGCCAATCGCACGGGTCAGGGACACGTTGAGATGAAGCAAAGCGCGTGACAGCCGGGGAGAGTGCGTAATATAAGTGGAGCAGAGGCATCAATTGGGAAAAATCAGACCATTCACCGGAGCCATGATGGATATCCATTCCCCGCTGGTTGGAGCTGTGGCCGGAGATTCGGTGACGGCTTCGGCGTCGTCGCTAGCAGACCTGGCGACAACGTAATATTCTATTATCAACGCTGGTGACAGCGTGCATGCTCAGGAAAACGGAAGCGAGAACAGAATATGCGGAAGGTGAAGCGTTGGAGTCAGGGACGGTGGGTGACGTGGATAGCACAAGATAGCACCAGATAGCGGCACAGCCCCAGGGCTAAAAAGGGCTTTAACAGGCGCAAGCGAATGGCCGGCCCAGCCAGGGCCCGCCCCAAAAGCTTGACCTGCTTGTTTCTCGCCGGGCGCCCAATTCAGCCCATTCGACTTTCTTCTCTCGGAAGGAACTCTTGGCTCCCTGCACCTTCCCCAGACACGCGTCCACCGCCCACCACCATCGCCTGCTCTCTTCCTGTGCTCTTCGATCTCGTCTGCTCACCATCTATTTGAACTGGGCAGCCGAGTCCAAGCCCTTCGCGATTCCTTCTCTGGCAGTCATTGGGATTCTGTGTGGTGTGTTCCGACCAGGGTGCGCGGGTCCAACCTTGCCGTGTGAGATCGGGATTGATTGATCATTCTTTCCCCGCCCCGATTGGGAGCAGCATCAACCTTTGCACCCCTCGCCTTGTCGCGATTCGACTCCTGGGTAATTGCAGTAGTCCTGCCATTCCGTCACGAAGCAGCCTCACCGGGTTTCTCGCATATCGTGACATTGCGCCCCCATCGAACCGTCGCAACCCTCCTGTCCTCGTTACTCGGTATTGCGGTACGATGTGCTTCATGAAACCGCGTTAAGACCTCCATTCTACATTCGCGTGAGCACCTTGTTCTGCATCGACGTCCGTCCCCACGATCCTTTCCTCCTATTTTACGCCATAATCATCTATTCAACGCCATTCGCCGTTCATTGTTGCCGACAATTCCCCTGCGCCGTTGTCCGCCATCATCGTGTCTTGACCGTGAGCGTCTCGAGAGTCCCCTGACCTAACCGTCTAGGATACTTATTCGGCTATAACCTACCTTTTTTGTTATATGGATCCAACGCCGCACCTGTATGAATTGCCATGTCTGTACAACCCTTGTCGGGTCCGTCTACAGCCCCGTCACCATCGCAACGGAACAAATGGGTCGACAAATTAACCTCACGCTTTGGAAACCGGAATCGAAATATATCAGAGTTCTATGTCCAACCCGATGATCCGTGGAGGAGTTACTTCCCAGGGGACATTATCAATGGCACGGTGGTCTTGACAGTGGTTAAGCCAATCCGTATAACACATCTGGTTGTTTGCCTGCATGGCTATGTTAAGGTGTTCAAGAACACCATTTTGCCGGGCGAAGCCAGTCCCGAAATTGGGTTCCTTGGTCCTGGCAGAGGAAGAAGAGCGGGCGAGTATATGGGCAATGGATTTGCAACTCTTTTTGAAGATGAATTGGTACTTTGTGGTGATGGACGCCTAAAACAAGGCATCTACAAGTTCAAATTCGAATTGGGATTGCCTCCTTACAACCTTCCAAGCAGTATAAACGTGAGTTTGTGCTGACCCAATGACACTCCTATCTTAATACTAATAAAATTGATACATAGTTTGAGCGCGGGACAATATCCTACATAATTTCATCTACTTTAACTCGTCCTACCACAATCGGCCCTACATTATCTTGTCATCGACGAATAACCGTCCTAGAAAACCTCGACATCGCTCCGTTCCCTCCCCCCAAACCTCGCATCGTTTCTTTAGAACCGGTTACAAAGAAATCTAAATCTAGATTCAAACAGAGAGCCCCATCAGGCGAACAAATCCATGATTCCACGCCAAATGGACTCAACGTGCATGATCCAATGCCGCCCTTGAGTCCTGCTCCGAGTGAAGTTAGTGGCTCTAGTCGTTTGAGTACAAGCAGTCAAAGCTTTCAGGTCGTCGGAGACTCGAATAGGACAGCTAGTGTGCGTAGCACATCCGCGTCGTTTGCCGAAAAAAACATCACCGCAACAGCAGAACTCTCAAGATCTGGAGCGCTTCCTGGTGATACCATCCCAATCAAAATCAGTATCAACCACACTCGGCAAGTTCGCAGCCCCCATGGTATCATTATCACGTTATTTCGACAAGGCAGAATTGATATGCATCCCGCTATACCGCTTGGACCTTCGGATGCTGATGGTAAAAGAATTTATGAAGACTTCATACCCAAATCAAGAACTGGGCTTAGTGGACTTTCTTTGGGCACGGGCCGGAGTAGCAGTGTTTTTCGAAAGGATCTTTCTCAAACATTCGCACCCTTGATTGTTGACCCTATGACCATGACGGCGGCCATCAAAACCTCGATCAGATTACCGGAAGACGCTTTCCCCACCATCACTCGCGTTCCTGGTGCGATGATAAGTTTTAGGTATTATGTCGAGGTGGTAATTGATTTACGTGGTAAATTAGCCACTTCAGACCGCTTTTTGCCTCGATTGAATATGGTTTCTGGTGGTAGCAACTTTTCAAGCAGCGGCCAAGTTTTATCCTTCCCTGACCAAACTAGCAGCTCAATAACATCGAACTGGTCTGGTAATATCTTGGATACCGATCAAATTCGACGTGAGAAGGGGGTTGTGGCTGTAATGTTTGAAGTTGTGGTTGGGACACGTGATTCAAATCGACGACAGCCACAGCATGTGGATGAATCTGCGTTAAGTTCTGACGGTACAAACAATCATTACTCTGGAGATCATGATACCTCTGATGCCTACTACAATACACAGATGGAAGAACAAGGCCCTGAATATTATCCATACGATGACTACCACGACCCTGAAGATGCGTCCTACTGGCAAGAGCATCCCGTCGCAGATGACCATCACTATCAATCACTTGGGGGGACTTTACTCCCTCCGGAATCTCACGAACCAGAAGACGAGAAAACTCGACTGCGGAGAGCAGAAGAAATGCTTCTTCCTAGCCAGCCTCCCGGAGAAGGAGTTGCCGGACCCTCAACGGTTGTGTCAGCGCCGACAGCACCCGATATCCCTGAAGACGAATCTTCATACGACCTTATACAAACACAGATTAGCAATGACGTCCCGGCGACTATGTCTGTCGATACCATTGTACCAGGCCCTAGTCAAGCCAATCATTTAAGTGACCAGACTTCCTCGCGGCCTGATGATAAACAAGAGCTTGAGAGACAACGCCTTATGACGGAGGCTAGTGCTCCATCATCTCAACCAGAGGGTAATGCTCATGATGATGGTGGTACCCATGCCACTCCTACAGCACCGATCTTAGATGAGGAAGATCAAATTAGCAATCTAGATGCCGGGGGTGGCGAAGCCCTTCCCCGATATCAGCGTTGAACAATGAACCCTACTACATATATGCCTCACCAAAATCTGCGTGTGCGTGTGCACGTGGATGAAAGAGGACTTTCTGGTTTAATTGCATTTGCAGGGTTGAACTTCTTGGGCCCAAAGAGATACCACTTAATTCGCATTTGTTCACATTTCGGGGTGCATTGGCGTTGCGAGTACCGAAAGAAGTATATTTTATAATAGAAATGACGCTGGCGTTCACATGGATGGAACATGCATCTCAACAGGAGTTGAATTATTGATTGTTTATACAAGACAACGATCCCTTTTTACACTACTTATGTATTTACTGGAATGCGAAAAAGTCATCTGCTTATCATTTAAGCACTGCCCAGAAAATGACGTCTGAGACTGGACTCATCTGCGTTTCCAGAGGCGAACAATGTAAATTTAACCTTAGGATGATAGTCCAGACCGGTTAGTCGAGGGGGACTCCAAACCATTAAATTTACGCCTGATATACTCCAAAGGAAAGGATTAACAGCTTATTTCTTATTTCCCCCGGCGATTTGCCATATTCAAGGGGCAGTGATGTCGTGTACCCACCTCGACTCGAAATATGTCATCGTAGCATCATTACAGCCAGTGACATCAGGGCCAAGTTGAACAGCACTTTAAAACGAGATAGAGCCACTCAGCATATCAGCATATTAGCAAGAAATAGCAATAACTATCAAGAAGAAAATATTCACTTCTATCAACATTTTTTGAATATCGTATATTTCCCCACGGTCTAGGAAACAAAGCTGTTAAAGCTTGAAGTCTTGAAAATGGCGTCGAACGACCCTCACCGCGGTGGCACTCTTGAAGAGATGGCACCAACTGGGACTCGCATCCCCAATGATGCCGGGTTACAAAACACAATTCTTTCAGTGCCACGCCAAGATCAGTGGGGTGAGGACCACCGCTTTAGCTACGACGGGATCGCACAGCCTTCGGTACCTACCGCCGCAGACAATGCTACAGATATGCCACGGAGCACTCGCGATGTAGGCCAGTCCGGAGAGGTTATGACTGGCACTGGAGACTCGCTGCCAGGCGAAATTGAAACCAAGAGGTTGTATACACGGACTAATGATCCCGGCGCAAAGGGCCACGGACGTAATCTCAAGCACGGTGTGAAAACAACAAGTGGGTATGGTACGTTGGCTGGAGAGGATCCCGAAGACGCTCAAAGAGCGGGAGAGCCTGAACAGAGATCTTGAGGAATTTCATGTGATCGGGCACTAGGACGTCATTTATATGCCACAAAGTACAGGAAGTGAGTATACATATACAAATTGTAAAAGCAATAATTGCCGTGTCCCTTAATGCCGATAGTCAAGCGCCATAAATCTGGTATGGCGTTCACTTTTCGTTCTTATTGGGCGAAACTAGGTGAAACTTAGAGGGGGTCCTGTGAGACCTTGGTAAATTTCTTCGAGAACGTCTCGCTTGCGTTTTCTCTCCTCTAGTTCGTTGCTTTCCTCCTGGTCTGGCTCGCCCCCGGGGACCCGGGACGCCCAGGTCCAGATGGTACCATCGCCGTGAGCAGAGAAGAGTTCGAGGCCCTCCCCTGATCGCCCGTTCCCCCTCCAAGCTAGTGCATTGATCCTCCCAGCGCTGAGGGCACTAGATTTGCCAATCTGTTGACGACGTGTAGCTGACATAATGCCTGGAACTTTCAATTGCTTCACAAAGGTACCTTCTCGAATTTCAAACATAAGTATTTCGCCACGATCATCCTGATCATTGAAATTAGGCCATAGTAGAGTCTCTTGACCGCTTTGTAAAATAGTATCTGGCAAGACAAGCGGCGCGCGTTCGGCAAGGTGGGAAGACATGCTATTTCGAAGTCGAGGCCCGAAATGAACAAGTGTATTAGCCCCTGTAGTCGCATCCCACACCCGTATTCGCGAATCTTGACCCGCAGTAATTATATGACTACCATTTGAAGTCCATCTCACCCCAGTCACAGCACCATTATGAGCACGTCCGTGACGAGAGGAGGTATGCTGCCTGGTACTAGATTGGTTTTTATCAATGTTTAAAACAACACCCGTCGTATCGTCCATGTCCAAGGCCGAAATAGCGGAGTTCGCACCGGCTCGGCGAACATCAAAAACTAATACCCGATTATCTGCAGATGAAGACGCAAGGATGTGAGGCTTGTGTGGTGCCCAAGCCACGGATAAAACAGCTGCATCATGTCCCGGAAGTGTATGGGTTGCTAACCCGCTGCGCAAGTCAAGAAGACGAATTGATCTTTCCGAAGTGCCGACTGCAATAAGCAGCAACGAGGCTGGATGCGACGAAAACGAATGAGAATAAGGCGTGGTGTGTAAGTTAAACGTGTGCGCAGGTATAATATCTCCCGGTGTAAGAGCTGAAAGCTTAAGGGTATTGTCACGAGACGTTGTCAAAACTGTTGCTGGAGTGGGATCGAATGGATAGATGGATATCGACGTTATTGCATGGGTGTGAGCCGATTCGTGCGTTGCTCTTTTCGAAGTCAGCCGTATACTAACACTGAGATGAAGCTAGAATCCTACCGGTCGACAACTGCAACTGGATTGTAGAGATGACCAAGCTCTGAGCCTCGGCTTTCAAGATCCCACAGACGAATGGATGGATCGGCACCACCGGACACCATACTATTAATCAAAGGATGAGCTCATGATTCAAAGACCGGCGTGAGAACCACACACTATCGTCCACCGTATCGATCAATGGCAAGTGCATTTACTCCAGCTTTATGAGCAACGATTTCACCACTAACCCCACCATTCAAGGCGTGTTCCTCACTATTGCTGCCATCTGTGGTAGCCTCGCAGGTAAACCGGATTCTTGGTGATGGTTCAAGAAGCCGGACCAAGCGAGAGGTCTGGGCGACATGAAAATCTAAAGGTTTGATAGAGCCTTGGGCTCTGTTCAAAAGAAATGAATTCATGCATTAGCAATGTATGTTGGTAGTTGAAGTATCTCAACAGTAGTATGTCACATTCTCCAAGCGCCACCTTGTAGGGCGGCTCGGTGGGTCGAAGCGGAATATAGCTTTCCCGGCCGTCCCTCGCCGTTATCATATCCGCGGTTTCTCAATAAGAAAATAATCAGGGAGCAACCAACAATAATCCAAACAAGACTTGTGCGAAAGGCACCATGTCTTTTGGAAAGTCCATTTCATCTAGTCTAGATGTATCCAATAAGTCAAGGATCTCACCAAACGGTGGTCATTTATATGAGGGCACGGGCGATGATACAGGTCTCTCAACCCATCGAAAAATAGCGATCTTGCAAGACTCCGTAGTAGGTGAGTACACATCATCAAGCATATGTGAAATGAACATTTCTGACTAGATAAGGGAGAGTAAATTATCGCGGATTTATCACTCGGCCGTATGCCTCGCGCTGGAGACATTATTTGTCCTCCAGTAATGCTACACTATCCTCCAACAAGTTTAGGCACCATAAGGAACAGCCTGAAGAGACGGAAGACGATGCGGCTCATTCTCAAACCGGCGAACTAGCCAACCCTGATCTTCGACTTCCTGCGTCAGACATGCTCGAAGCTATTCACTCTTATTCCAGTCATTTCTATGCGAATGCGGTCGATAGTGAGCAGAGCAATGACTTTGCCAGTATGGACGAAACAGCATTGATTGCGATGGGAATTCTGCTAGAAGAATTAGCAAGTCATTCTTTAGGCGAAACTGGCGATTTGGTATTGGTCGAGAGTGAAGAAGAGGATAGATACAGCTCGGAGAGTGAAACCAGCGCCATATCGACTGGTGATGGAATCAGAAAGCGATCCAATTCTGTTCGAAGTAGGGGCACGTCTCTTATATCGGGCTCTGAAGAAGAAATGAGCTCTTCCCAGAGAAATATCAAAAGAGACAAAAAGAGAGCCCGAATAGGCAGCCTCAATATAGAGACCACAGCAACCGACAGGGAAAGGGAAGTGATGCAAATGAGCGATGGTTGATGGGAGAAACGGACGAGCAAATGCCCAGAACTCTTCCGGGTCGCGCCTTCCTCTTCTGGCGCCCGTCCTCGCCAGGAACTCTCCACATCTTAGGGAAACCTTAAACCGCCGTCAAACTCTAGTTTACTGTTAAGACTGGTTAGCATATTCATCGTTCATACTCAGCGATTGTCTTCATACCCATCTGTGACAATTATAAAGGTCGGTCTCACAATGGTATGTTAAACATTGAGAATATACGGCTATTCTTCTTATCGAAACAATTACAGGCTCCCAAAGGCAAGACGGTTTCTCCCGAGGTGAAACGGCAGCAAATACTGGATCACATACGCTCGACTCGCACCTGCCATACCCTCAAAGACTTGGAAAAGACATTGCCATCTATCGCATCGATCAATGGCATCCAGGTCAAAGAATACGTGCAGGCTTTGTTGGATGACAGCACGATACGCATGGAGAAGATCGGTAGTGTGAATTGGTACTGGAGTTTCCTCAGCGACATGCGACGCGAGCGCGAGAATGTGAAACGGAGACTGCTTCGAGACATGGAGTGTTTGTCAAAGGTTAAGAAGGAATTGGATAATGAAATTCGTGAGAAAGAGGCTACTGCATGGACCGATAATGGGGGTGATGATCCTGCAATGATCGCTGCTAGGGCTGTGGAAAGGGAAACCCTGATGAGTCTGAAAACCGAGTTGGAGGCCGAACTGAAGCAACTCGAAGCAAAGAAGGATTCGCTTGAAAACACCGGTGCTGCAAGTATTAGAAAGAGAACCCAGGATATTAAGAAATGGAAAGCTGATACGGTCATGTGGACTGACAACATCTACATTCTGGAGCAGTATCTTAGTAAGATTGCTGGTGGAGATCGCGATGTCATCGAGGGTGTCAAGAGACAATGTTATGGGAATGAATACGTCGAAGGAGAGGGATTGTGTGAGATAGAATGCTGAAAATTCGATACTCCTTATGAGATTAGTTCAATGAGAAGCTTTCATGGTTGAATTCTATTTAAGGTGTTCATATTTTCAATTTAACTCTCTCTTGACCCCAACTCTATGCAAACAATACAGGCAAGTCTGCTACGTTAGCTAGGCATGCGTCAACTGGTATATCCTAGAAGGCTTCCATAGGTACCACGAAATCAAAAACAAATTGTCGTAAGAAGTTCCATTGGATGATATTCTTGGCAGTTTATACCTAGTACCGGTTGAGATATGTATCGATGGTACCACGTCCAGCCTTTACTGGATATCTACAAATACAGGTATCAATTGATGTACCAATGGCTATTAGTTATTACCAATCCATAAGTCCTAAAATGGTTATCCCATAAATATTCAATTCTTGTAGTTAATTTTGGAACTTTAATAGAAGTAGACTAATATTGCAAATTTGCCTCATTTCTCTCTTTTCAAGGATGTTATTCAAGTCAAAGCTATCATCCTAACAGGCGCCGAAGGCGTAATCCAACAAAGTGGATGCATTACGAACTAACACGCGCCTATATCTTGGGAAAAGTAAAGACTGACAGGAAAAGAAACAAAGGAAGACTTAGAGAAGAAAATAACGCAAAAGGATGTTAATAAAATAACAGAGATGATCAATCTTGACCGCGCCGCTTTCAATAGTTACACCCATCCCATCATACACATGGGAGAAGCGCTGGGTCGACAAGCCTATCTTTGTTCGGCGCTTAGGATTTAATCTTTGGATACGAATGAGCAAAAAATTTAGCGGGTAGATATCTATATAAGCAAGAATCCTTGCAGATCCAGTTAATAAGACAGCGGCTAGAAGCGTAAATAGAAATTGGAATTTTTGAACTAGTCGAAAATCATGAATTTCCACCGTAACAATTTTAAAAACAAAAAACCAACAAAAGCCACAAAAATAGTCGCGAATCCGATAGGTATCACCCACATCCAACTCCAATTGATCACCAAGACACCTTGAAACTCCGCACAGATCAAGAACCAGTGATATTTACAAGAAATTGTAACTCTGCGACTGGCGCAAACTATAAAAAGTGCTCTAGATGAGGAGGTACTTCCATCCATTTCGTCGCATGACATCCCTCCAATGAACGTTATTCTTTTTGATCTCCCTCATAGGAGGGGTCCCGAGAGGAGGCGAACTAAAATTGTCTTGTTTCATTTGCGGATTGTTGGAATGACCGATTGATACCGGTGTAATTGGGTCATCGTTCAGCCGCCAAACCTCCTGGAGTAGTCGGTATACGCGCCCAAAGCTGCCAAAATCCGAATAATCACCCATTGCCACGATTCGTTCGTTCAGGATTTGGCGGAATGAGCTTGATGGGTCTGAATAGACGCCAGTGATGAGCAGTGGCCAGACTAATGACCGGTCATAGCCATTTGGTCCACTGGGAATAAACTGTAGTGCGTGAGTGACAGCCTCGACTAGGTTAATGTTGCTGGCTTGATGTCGGTCAAATCCGGGCACAAGGCTGCACAGGTAAATCCGGGCGGCAATGCGGAAGACAGTAGTGATATTTTTGGTCAATTGGTCAGGGCGGATTGCACCATTGATATTATTGTAGGGATTTTCCAGGGTTGGGTTAGGATGTTCCGTAAATTCGAGTTGTTGTCCCAGCGCTGATACGTGGGAGCAAACGGCCATGTCGTCAACGAGACCCTCTGATCTCAAGGCATCGAGACAAGCGATCTCAGAAATGAGATACATCACCCGATCATCACACCCCATTAGCTCTCGAAGGCCCGAAGGCGTCCCACTCAAGTGTTTAGTACGGTAAGCGTGCGCGAATTGTGGAGATTTTCCAAGCATGGTAGCTCCTAGGATATCAATCCATGACGCCAAAGTCATATTAAATGGCGGTTGTTCGAAAGGCGTAGTGCACTGAAGCAAGGCGTTTGGTAGATCAAGTTTGTTGATCAAACTGATTGCTGCATGGAAATGGTCATTCCATGCGATATCAGGTAGATAGTCATCCGGTTCGCCCACTGAACAGTGAAAGAAAATCATTGCAAGTGTTGCTTCTAGAATCTTATCGTGTTCAGTATCTTGATTCAAAGCCGCGCAAAGCTGAGAAACGGCTTCAAAGCGGTGCCGTAAAATGTCGCTGTCGATCGCTTCTCCTTCAATGCCAATTGTGCTCTTCAAGTGAATAGCAGCCACACTGAGACAACAGTGCAAGTAAGACTTGTTGGATTCCAAGGAGTGGAGAATGGCTTGAGCACGTTCGTGGCCCCCTTGATGAGCTTCCACAATTGGAAAAATGAGTCGGAGTACATTATCAACGAAGTGGTTCAGCAATGGACGATCGCAATCATCAACTTCAATATTCATTTGCATAACTGAAAACGACTGAGCGTTCGATGGCACAAAGGATGGGCCGGCTTCACCGGTAAACTGTGCGGCTTGGGAGGGCGGAGCCTGGGGAATCCACTCGTTTTCGGGGAAATGGGGTAGGGTGGCATGAAGCTGTGGAGGTGCGAAGGTGTTGAAGGTCGAGAATGATGTGTCAACTCGAGTCTGAACATCATTCACAAATAATTGACGCTCTGTCCTGACATCGACTTCATATGGAGGGAACTGTCCGTAGGGAGCTGGTCCTAAAGCGGGGGTTGGTAGGTGGGACGCAAAGGGATCGTAAGTTTCTGGATAGAAAGGACGATTGAAGTTGTATTCCGGAGCATAGGGCGAATTCAATGGCAGTGGCATGGGTCTGTTTCGTCGGCCTGTAGGCAAAGTCAACGGTTAGGTTGGTAACGTGACATTGAGATGATTGGCATACCAGCAACCGCATTGTTTTTTTCATCCAACTTGGTCTGCTTGATCTTGTTCTTGATTCTTTCTTTCTGAACCTTTCGTTGTTCTGCATTTGCCCACCATTGCGGGCGGCTGTATTCGCATTTCACGCAGAGGTTGATGCAGGCGCGGCATGAAGGATGAGCCTCGTCGCATTTCTTTCTCCGAAGGCGGCAAGTATAGCATCCTATAAAGCACCATACGGTTAGCAAAAGCCATGCGCACAGCAAGGGAATAATAATCCGACTTGCCTGAACGCGATCTTGTGTGCATTCGGCCGGACTCATCGTTGGCAAGAGGGTTCCTCTTCTGAGCCCGTCTCCTTTTGATAGTGGCCTCGGGGTTCTTAGTGGTCGGCATGATAGCGGAAGTTCGAGCAAGAAGCGATGGATTGTTGCGATGAAGCGAAGGCGCAGAAGACTGGAGGGAAGGTATAGTGGAAAGTAGCAGTAGAAGTAGTGGTATTAAGGACGGCGGAGACTAGGTTGCGACACCAGCTGCTGAGAAGCAGTATCGCAAAGCTGAACCAGCAAGCTCTGCTGAGTAGAGAGACAAAGGCGGAGTCGAAGATGCTCTGATCTTGAAACTGATTCAAGAAGCAACAATGAAGAAATTGGCATCTTAATATGTACAGCATGATGGACGCATTCGAGCTAGACACAAGTGTCGCATCGAAAATAGAAACACAGCACAGAGTAAGCGACCAGCCATGAGCAAGTCGGCGACAGGCAGTGGAGCCTGCAGGGGGTGGGGGACGCGATTGGCGACAATCAGGTTCGCAGCAAGCGTCGAGGGGGGCAGGAGCAAATGACGATCGAGGCGGGCTGGGATGTATCGATGATTCAAGGCCGATAAGCCTAAATTTGGGATGGCGTGCACGGGGGGATGCGCAAGAACCAAGTGGGCATCGAAAAGACGTTACTATTGCTAGCTGCATGCATGTATTCATCACAGCTACACTGCGTGCTGCTCGCACAGGCCGAAGAAGTTGGAACCCTGCCGGGAAGCAGCATGCCCTAATGCATGCTGGGGCATGGATGTGCTTGCCCAACACGGACGCTGGTAGGTCGGCGCGGATCGATCGATGCCGATAGCGCCGCACTAGCAGAGGTGCCCCAGCAGCCGCCAGCCTCCTGGAGCCTCTGATAGGCCCGGACAGGGGAGGGAGCAATTTATATTTGGCCCTAATTTAGCGAGGATCACCTCTAGCCTGGCAGGCTCACCCCTCCAGAAACTGAGCGATGTCTGCATGACCCCCTCAACTCGTTCGCCTGGACAAATGAAGCACCTGTTACTGACGCTGCGTTTTTTTCCAGAGCTCGATCCTAAGCGCGCGATAACTCCAACGCGTTTCAGCCCTGGTATGGGGATAAAAAAAGACTAGAACGGCAGCAACAGCCATAATGCGAACGAACGTCGCGGGAGCTCGTGACTGCGCGAGACTGAGCTATTCGACCGCTAACTTACTACTTCTACTAGTCACTACTATGTACTACCCGTAGGTGGCAGTACCCTTCCGGCTGACTACGGGCCATATATGGGCTACGGGGTACGAAGATATAGTCCTATAATGATGTATCGAGCATCCACAGCCAATCAAGACCGTGAAGAAGCTTAGCCTTCTGCCAAGCTTCAAGTGGGGAGACCTGATTCGTCTGTAGGTGTTCAGACGCTAGAACTAATTCGGCTATTAAACAAATCGACTGGAGACAAACTTCAATTCAGTTTTTCTTAGCGCAGCGGAAGACCCACTTCGGCGCATGGGCCAGGGCATGGGCCGGCCCTCTCTGGCTGTGGGGAAGTGTGATAAGATGGCCGCGCCTGCATAAATGCTACCGCTATTTCCCTTAATTAGTAACAGTTTGCAGGATTAATTTAGAATAAATTTGCTCTCAGAATATGCGACCTGTTGATGTATCCTGCAGGAACTGCATTAATTACCCTGAATTTGGATTACCCTCTGCTATTAATATCCTTCGCTCAGGGCCAATACATGGCCTAGTCCAGCAGAGTTAACCGCCATTTCTAGTTTTCTTTCCCAAACAGATAAAAATAGCACTGCACGAAATTTCAGCAAAGGATGATTAATTAGCGGACTTAACAGGAATTATACCCAAATTGAGATCTTAACCGTTATACCCGTCGGCCGTCGGATACCCCGACGGACCCCAAGTCACAAATAGTGATGTACATAGGACTTTGCTGGCAAACTCCGTACGAACTGAAGTAGCCACCGTTCTCCTAGTGCTACTGTTGGCCTTTCACCGCTCTTAGACTGGACTTTTGGGAATTTTTCCATGACGTCCTTTAAATTATTCTTGACTTTTGCCGCGAGATAAATGTTGACTACAAGGATTTCATAATTTGCCGTGTGTAACACTTGTATTGAAACTTCATAGCTGGTTGTATCTAGTAGACATGATCTCAATAGTTGCACACACAATAAGACAATGCAGCCACCAAATGCGGTGAAAAAATACGGGCGGTCCATACTGAGATTATTATCGCCTCGTTGCCAATTAACATGATTCAATTCTTATGATTTAACGCTTCCATGCCAGGTCACCTGATTACATACTTATTATTATTAAATTAGTTAATTAGCAATCATTGTGCCATAGTTAATCTCTGTTATTTTATGTAACCCTAACCTAGACCGCTAAGTTAAATGGACGTCTAGAGGTTTGCGGCATAATTTCGACCAGCGGACTGTGATTGGGTGGTGGATAAATTGGGTAGTGAATAATGGGCACAGTGCGTTCTTGTCACCTGATAGTACCAAAGCCAATAAGAAGGAACAAAGAACAACTACAATGGCTATTCGCTGCAGATGTATTATTATGACCTTGACATTCGGACACTGCCTTGACATCTAGTCATTCACGCCTTCAATATTGGATGTCTAAAACGGGCACAATACTGAATAGATGGAGTCAGATTCTACTACAAGATGCGGGAAAAGAAAATCCCTCAGTAACTACGATTGTCGCCCTATAATCTGAGATCTCAACTCTCGACGCCATGTCGTTTCTTCCGGCGTTAGCAATTGCCCCATCTCGGAAATACGCACAATCCAGAGCTTCCATAGCAAGCTCTCGAAGTGAACATCGTTTGGAACATGTCACAGGTCCTAACCGATACTGTAACCGGATAGGTGGGTGACTGATTTGGAAAATTTGTTGTTAATTTTGTCCAGACAAGAATTGATGGCGAATAGCTAAGACGCCGACCAACCACTGATGTTGTACTCAAAAGCAAAAGTTAGCTATTTTTAGGCTTTTGAGAAGCATTAACGGCCATTTTCGATAAAAATAGAAGTAAATGCCCAGGAAGAGCTATAATTACGATCATTGTCGTAGACACTAATTGCCTCTTCAGGGATGGGGCGGCAGCGTTGCATGGATTAGCGTTGCTGGTCTACCGGGGACTCATGACTTCCCCTCTCGACAATAGCATTTAGTGCCGCGCTTAAGCAAGTTTGTCAGTGACTGAGAGCCTGTCGATGCGTGCCGAAAAGGACGTCCCGGCAGTAGCGCCGTCCCGCTCCAGCCACTAAGCACGCTGCTCGTCTCGATTTACTACTATCCGTCGTGCTCAACCGTGTGTGATTGAGACGGCCTTGCAGGAGCACATATTTGCTCACCGTCCAACGAAAATTTTTGCTGCCACGCATGCGAACGCTTATTTGCTCGCCTCAGTATCTAAAAATGGCACGATTTGGCTTGCGAAACTTATGCACGCCCCGTTGTGCCAGATACTGTCAATCACATCCTACCGTGTCAATATGGCAGACGTGAACAAGCGATTCGGTCGGCTCGGCCCTGTCTTAAAGAGGGGCCCGCCATCCGGGGAAGTCTGCATCATATAAACAATCCCAATTACCCATCGATCGATACGGGTCCTTGATGCTCCAACATCAGATATCTAATCCCACACTTCTAAGTCTTCGGGGCCTTAGTTCATGACTCTTCTGTGTCTTGGGCACTACTGAGAAGCCTATTCCTGTATATTCATATCATCCTAACCCACAACCTCGCTGGCCGAGGCTGTAATTGCTCTGGTGGGAGCTCAGTAGCCAAAATGGTACGCCTTATTTGACACAATTTCTTCTAAATTCGTCTCAACATTACATCAAGTATATGCAGACATGATTTTTGTTGCTAACACCTAATAATAGGCGACCGCACAAGAAAACAGCTATCAAGTTAGCCTTGAAATGCTCCAGACTGCCGCCAAAAACCCTTTATTTTCAACGTTTTCTAGCCCGCCCTCAGAGACAACCGAGATCATGGATACTGATTTCGAATCTGATTATAATGACGAATTTGATAATTCGCCAAGAAGAAGTGCAGGATCCGTAAGTTCCTTCAACCCAAGCTATTTAAAAATCGATAGCTAATTGAGGCACAGCTGGTGGCCGACAGTGTCACAACCGCCTCGACTCCAAGGGAGATTCCTACTCCAGATTCAGCCGGAGCTTTGTCGGCGTTCCACTTTCACTTCGATGACGAAACGACCATGGGACCTAGCGGTCCTCACTTGTTCCGATCCTCAGTGAGCTCTGACGAGTACAAGTCTACGTATGAAGTGGACTTTTTCCTCGCAAAGACTCCCACAACTGCTGTCTTCAGCAAGCAACACACCTCAGCGCTACGACCTCAGAGGGTGAAATCACCCCAAACCCCGACAGCTGATGTCCCCGATCAAGCATCAACATTAAGCCCCGAGAGGAAGGACACCCCACTACCCGAGCATACCGCCGAGTCTCCTGCTCAGACGCAGCTTCAGTCGATCAATGCTGCTGTGTCTGCGCTAGATGAGGCCGAAGTGAGATCATGGTCACCACCAGATGTTGTTCGGTGGATGCAAAATGCCGGATTTGACGATGGAATTGTCGAGAAATTTTTCATCAATGACATCTCTGGTGCCATTCTCCTAGAATTACAGGTAGAAGACCTAAAGGAACTGGATATCCAGTCTTTTGGTAAACGACGTCACCTCATGAACTCAATCCAGCACCTTCGAGACAGTGTCATGGTTTCCTCAGCCGACATGCAGACACCTCTGGCCTGTACTCCACAGAGTAGAGGGTCAACATCACCTGATTCCTCATCATCCAGCGAATGTGCTTTCGCTAACAATGACAAAGATAGTAAGAAGGGAAGTCACAAGAAGCACCGACGACACCGTCATCGCCGAACACCCAAAGAAACAATCCCCACCATCAAAGACTTCAACCCAGAAGATCTAGCGTCAATAGTAGCCATTGAGCAATTCTTGCCACGGCCGCATCGTTGCTCCAAGGGCGAAGATTGTCGCAAGTGGCAAAAGCAGCAGCGCAAGATTGCCCGCTTGGCTAAGGATCTACCAATTGATATAAACGCAGCTTCCCAATTACTCTCAGACCAAAATCAATACAACCCTCCGCAAACATCCAAAAGCTTGCCTGGTACCGAACCCATGTTAACGCCATCTATTGTTGCGTCATCAGATGTACTTGGACCGGAACAGCCAGCGCACTTTCATTTGTCTGAAGAGAAACTTAACGAAGTGTGCCAACGTGACCCACAAGAGAGTGTCCGCCAGTTTTTGACCTTTCAACACCTGAGTCCCATACAAACGGATAACGGCGTGAGCCCTGTCCAGACTGGACTTTATCAACCACTAGATGTCGATTCACCCGACTCCACAAGAACTACTGCCTCGTTAGCAGAGAACCTTCGGACTCTACCCAAATTAACAATTCCAGTGTCTCATGACTACATAGTTTCTGGCAGTTTGTCTGCAAGCCTGTCTGCTCAGCGAACAGTCACTCCATCTATTTTGCGCAGAAAGCCAAATTTTTCTTCCGTGAGCATTGATGGCACACTTCATGCGGCGAACCAACAACCGTTCTCGTACGGTCAGTATACCTCTCCTGTGGACTATCACGGCTCTCCGTCAGATTTCTACCGCTCCGATGAGCGTTATCATCAATCTACCCCATTATCCGAGGTTGATGTTCCAATTACTGCCATTCCCGCTGTTCCTATTGAAAGGATCATCTCACAATCTGTTCCTCCAAATATGCGCTTTGGATATAAACTTTCTGCTGCCATGGCAGAACCCATCCGCCGCCCTACATCAACCAAAGCCGAGAATCACCGCAGGGACCCATTTTACAACGGACCTACTATTCAGATCCTAGACCGAGTAGATGAATCTATGGGACCAATTGACACAATAGAGGACTTTACCGCCACTCCCAAAGCTACTCCAAGATCTCCGACTGATATCGTTCAACGCGGTTATATGAAGAAGCGCAAAACCACGCGCCTACTGAGACATGAATGGGAGAATCATCACTTCACCCTCAAGGGTACTCGTCTGGCCATGTATGACGATGAAGATTCTTCTCGTCGGGACTCAAAGGCCCTTGAGTATATCGATGTCGATGACTATGCAGTCGCTTGCTCCTCATTGGCTTCAAGCTCAAAGCTGACAGCTGCATTTAAGAAGACTGTCCTCAAACGCAGAGACAACGCGCAAGGCGAGGGCGCTTTTGCTTTCTCCTTGATTCCCACTCCCAACGGAAGCCAATCCAGCTCTGAATGGAAGGGTTTCTTCAACAATTCAGTCAAACCTCATCACTTCGCAGTTACGTCCCGAGATGAACGCATTGATTGGATGCGAGAACTAATGCTGGCTAAGGCCCTCAAGAAGGGCAAAGAGAGTGGTGACTCCGTCCATCTAAATGGACAGATGTTTTAAAATACCCCGGGATCTTATATGATCACTGAACGAGACTAAATTCCCTAATTTCTACTTATTTTCCTATACCTATCTACAGGATGTACATGTCCTTGACGAGACGAGTCAGACAACCACTTTTCCAAAATTTTGTGAAAATTCGAGTTTCCATCATGAATCCGGCCGGTGTTTTAGCGCCTCATTAGCGAACGCATAGAAAGCATTCTGATGCTTTTTCCCTATGTCTGTGTATAAGCATGCCCTTTGATCTACTTGTTCTTCGTTCATTTTTTGCCGGGTTTTTCCTCTGCCAGATATGGCTTCACCACTTCGTCTATTGATTGGGAGGATTTTTCTATTTTACTCTTCTCTTCTTTCTCACATGATGCGCTAGGAAATATCTGGCTATATTTCCTGGCAATGGGCGGACGCAGCAGATACGCTGTTAGCCTTGTAATGACGATAGACGCGAATACCCATCTAGTTTAGCTCGCACATCAATTCACAATAGGCAAATCAATAACAAGTTCAGAAAGGCCTCATTTGCGTGATCTAATCTTAGAAACTCGTACCAAGTAGTCAGGTAATTTCCACCGACAAATCACCAGCATCGGAAGATGGGCCGATAGTGTGCGACGTCGTTCAGGCGACAGTAGGGGCGCCAAACCGGCCGCTGCCATTGGTGACGAGTGCAGATGCCTGTCACGCCCGCATGGGGGGACTGCGCCGCATGTTTAGCGATCTCTCAATGGCCGCTGCCGGCTGGGTTGTTGGTCTGTCTTGTTATCACGGCGTCCACTTGCGGCCGCTCATGTCGCATTCATGGCCAAACCCAAGAGCTCGACCTGCTCACCACGGCATTGTAGCGTTTAGCCAGGGGCCCACAGGTCCGTTGGCAAGCGCTGCTGATATTCACATTGTTCGTGAAACAACAAGCGCCAACCCCGCCTCCTCCCTGCTGCCAAAGTGATGCTAAACACCGCACGAGAGCTTAAACAAAACCCGTCCCCGAAAGGGTCAAGGGTCTGATTGATTTCGTTTCGAAGTTAATAATAATTATATTTTCAACCCCTCTTTCTTCTACCTGCCACATGCACACCTGGTTTTCACCCATCCGCCCTTCCCATCCGATATTGTAACACTCCGCCCGCAACATGGCGGACGTTACAGCTGTGCGGGAGGGCTTGCTTCGGGTCTGTCAGTTCATTCGCGTAGCAAGACGGTGTTTGGGCGGTGTACGAGATCTACCGGAAACTTCGGAGAGAACTACTTCGCTTCTCTGCGATCTTCTGGAGCTGTTGTATACCACCAAAGATCAGCTCGACGGTGCGGATGAAGCTTCGGCCCTCGATGCGGAACGACTGGAAGCACTGTATGAGCTTCTTATGCTTTTCGAGGCATCATTGAAGCTCATTGAAGTTTACCTTCACCCAGGCGGCGTAGGGGTGAGGGAGTTTCGGAGAAGTCTCTTGGAGCGTACTATAATCCCAACACTCGAGCAATATAAAGTGGCCTTTATTTTATCGGGTCAACCGCCTTCTGAGTAAGCCTGATCTAAATGTTCATTATGTATTTCAAGCTAAACGATTCATCTTTAGTGAGAGAACACTTGCTGAAGAAAATGTTCGACAAAATCTTCGCCAGCTACATGAAATGGAACCTAGTATATAACCTCACGATATCTACACTAAGTTGCCTTTACTGACTCTTTCATTATAGGATCCCGGACCATCAAGTATGACGAAGCAATCATTAGTTCGACTGATCGCGTCGCCGCCGAAAATTTTATCACACTTGGAGACTTGTGCAATCGACGGCAGCCTGGAACATGCCAGTGGATTTTCAATCATCATAAATACAGCCAGTGGCTGCAAGGGTCTTTTCGCACTTTATACTGTCTCGGATCTGGTATGTTTTACCAATTATCCTTTTCCCACTGTGTTATAACTAATAGGAATTCCTTCTAGCCGGTATTGGAAAAACGTTCCTTTCGTACGTAGCTGCCAACTAATCAAGACTATGATTTCTAACACTATGTTTAGAGCAGTTGTCATTGACTCCTTACAACGGACCTTCACATCTCCGGATGTTGCAATTGTCTTTATATTTAGTCATAAAGAGAAAGACGATGGACCGGGCTGCCCTGCGCTCTTGCAAAATGTTCTCGCACAGCTGATTTATCGTCGACGTGCGCTTTCGCATGCTACCGATGCACTCTATGATTTTGAGTCCATATCAGGAACAAAGGCATCTTCCAAAGCGTACCAGAACGCGATCAGAGCTGAAATGAATCGGTTTTCAAAAGTGTTCTTGGTGATAGATGGTCTTGATACAATGGCCGATCGGGAAAGATTTCTAAATCGCATGCAGAAGCTCCCAGAACACGCGCAATTGTTCATCACATTGCGCGAAATGCCCAACACTGACAGGATCAACCACATCAATATTTCCGTGCCCAAAAAGGATATCACGGATTATGTTGTCTCTCGTCTTCACAGCGATGGTGCGCTCTCGCAAATCATCAAAGGAGACGAGCCGGACTCAAAGATGGAAGAGGATATCATCAGATATGTCGTTGAGAAATGTCATGGAATGTGAGTTGTTGCTTCCCTTACTCGGATATCAAGGTTTGTGATTAACATGCCCGCTAGCTTTCTATTGGCACAGTTGCACTTGGAACTATTAGCAAGCTATAATGAAAAAGCTCTTGCTTACAGTGCTCTCACTCATCTGCCAGAAAGTCTGGGTGAAGCCTATGCCGAGGTCATGAAACGCATATTGAGTCAACACCCAAGTGCCAGAAAATTCATATTCTGGACTCTCTTTTCCCGCAAACCGCTAACAGTGGCGGAGCTAAAATATGCTACTATGGACGACAAAAGCTCGGAAGCCGCCCATTCCGATCTCCAATCCTTTGAGAATAAATTACTCGACGAGTCCTGTGGCATACTTGCAATTGAGGCTGCGACGGGGACGGTCAACCTCGTCCACAGGACGGCAAAAGACGCTCTCGAAAGGATGGCATCGGCTAGTACCATATTCTCTGCAGCCAATAAAGAGATCGCCGAAACCTGTCTTACCTTAATCTCCTCCGACGAAGTTGTCGACGACTGCTATATGAAAAAAGAGGATACTTCTAGAAGCTGCTGCGATACCCTATTAGACTATGCCGCTTCTAACTGGGGGTACCATGCCTGCGATGCTGCAGAAGAAGAGCAGACAATCCAAGTCTTAGTCACAACGTTCCTCAATAAAGTTTCGTGGAGAAGGCCTACTAGTGACGCCCCAGACAGCCCATACAAGTTCCCGGAACAACTTGGAATTGGCCGATATCCATATGATTGGACTCCTTTACATTATCTAGCTTACTTTGACATCACATGTCGGTCTAGGCGTCTTCTCGAGCAAAATGCCGCTGAGGTTGATTCTCATGACAATGTCCTTGGAATGACACCTCTTCACTGTGCAGCCTTCCGAGGAAATGAAGCTATCGTGGAGCTGTTACTTGACAACGGCGCAGATATCAATGCCCAAACTAAGCAAGGGGATACCGCACTACACCTTGCAACGGAACGAGGTCAGCGCAGGGTCATGAAACTTCTTCTCGCTCGCGACATTGACACGACAGCAACTAATAAGGCAGGACATACGGCATTACATAGCGCCATAGGGACAGTCAGCGATGAGGCGACGATTCCTCTCTTGGTCAAATCCAAGGTCGACGTAAATGCGTTGAACTCCAAGACGGGTGATACTGGGCTGCACCTCGCCGTGCAGTATAAAAGGCCTCGAATCCTCCTATTTCTTCTGAACAAGAAGGCCGTCATCAATTCATTTAATAAAAAGGGTCTAACGCCATTGCACGTAGCCGCCAAGCTGAACAATTGCGAAGCACTGACTCTTCTATTGGAACGCGGAGCACAGGTAGAGTCTCGCTCTCAAGATGGTGTCACAGCTTTGCACGAGGCTGCTGGAACTGGCAATTGGATCGCATTCGATCTTCTTCTTGCTGGCGGTGCTGATATAAATGCGTGGGATAAAGAGGGCGAGACCCTACTCCATGACAAATCTTTCAAACCGAATGGGTTTGGAATGGCTTCAAAACTGCTTGATAACGGTGCCAATCCAGAGGCACGCAATTCAAAAGGATACACACCACTTCAATGTGCTGCTATGGCCGGGAATAAAGATGTGTTCTTTTTACTCTTGGAACGGGGCGCAAATATTACTGTTGAAACGCCTCGTGGCGAAAATCTGCTTCATATAACTCCCCCGTGTAACGAGGAATACATGGAAATTCTTCAAATTTTAATTCAGAAAGGTCTCGGTGTTAACGCTAGATCAAGCCAGGGCTGGACTCCCTTACATCAAACCGCGTTCCGAGGCACCGGATCACCAGACATTTCCTATGACAAGAGCTGTGAATATTTGGAAATGCTACTGTCACATGGTGCAGACATCAATGCTGTGGTAGAGGCTGCTGAGAAAGAAACCGCTCTTCACCTTGCCACCCGGGCTTCCATTCCTCGGCCTTCATTCATATCTCTTCTCCTCAGTCGTGGAGCAGATATTAACGCCAGGAACAATGAAGGTAAAACAGCACTTCATCTAGCTGCTATGCGTGGCCGCGAGTCTGCCTTTCGAATTCTTCTAGAACACGGAGCCGATTCATCAATTAAAGCACCGAGCGCAGAAAATACAGATAAACCATCGAGCATTGAACAGAACACAGACATCCTAAAAACAGCGGATGAAGAAAGCGGCCTAACGGCTTTTGAACTCGCAAAGGCAAACCCTCTTGGAGCACTGTGGTTTGACGAGAAGGGGGAGCTGCGCCCATCAACCGTACCCAGCCGTCGGGCCAGCTCCGCAACTTTAATTGATGAGAGTGATATTGAGGATGATGACGATTCTGAGACTGAGACTGGTGGGACTACAGTAACTGGAGAGTCTTTCACAGTGATTGAAAAATAATCCACAGGTCCCCATTTCCGCTACTTGATACCCAACTTGGAATTCTGTATATATAGTGTGCCACATATGGGGGGATTTTTTTACCTGTTTTCCGGTGGTTTGACCTTTTATCTGCTGCATATTCAGCCTATCTTGCACAATCCGTCTTATCTATATACTTATGAGGAAGCGACTTCGTGGAACGATGGCATTGGGGGACATCAGAAGCATAGCTTCAACTTACATCATCAGCGTGGGCGTAAGCATTATGTTCATTCGATCCATTAGCGTTGATTGATTGTCATCATGTACGAAAAAGGTCGGATTAGTGAATCTCACTCTTCTTTCCTTTTATTTTCCAAGAAAAACACCTTTCGTCTTAATTCATACTAGGGCATGGATAAAAAGTAAATACGAATATTTATTCAATTGACCCTACATGTAGGATCTCTAGGAACAGCAGTTTTGTAGTCTATCCTACCATACATATAACGATAGCCACCCACCCATCCACATACGCAGCACTACGTGCTACCTCCTCCAGTGGCGCGGTCATCGGTAACGCAACTCCGTGCAAGACCGGCTTTGCCAACACAGGTATTCGGCGACTGGGGAATAGGTTAGGCAAGAGAGTGTGAAGAGCTGATCCAACGGTCTGCAGTTGTGTCCGACCAGATGCAGCTGTGCCTGTCGTGGAAGCTGACATTGAAGGGGGCAGAGGTGATTGAACGACCTTCAAAGCTGGTCTGTCGGAATCTGGTGATAATGGAAGGAAGATGCGGACGGGGACGTTGCGGAATGGTTGAGAGGGTGATGGAAGTATGAGATTAGCGATACGCCGGTAAGATGAAAGGTCATCTTCGAAAGATTGTTCAAGATTAGCGAACAGTAATTTTGTTTCAATGGGTTATGGACAGTTAGCTTACGATTTTGAACTGCGTTCCAGAACCCAGCAGTATCTTCTTTTGATAGCGTCATGATACCTTTGGCATCTCGGATTCGCAAGGCATCTGCCTCTTTCACATTATTAATGAAGGCATCATGCATGACAAGGCCGTCAGCATCAAGGCGTACGAGGTCGTCATCAGGCCAGTTTTCGAAATGTAATGTGAGTCTCCACGGTAGGGGGCCAGGCTTGGAACTGCCATCTTGGTCACTATCCTCACCTGATGGCTGATTAGGCTTTATGCCCCCGAGGATGACAGACTGGGTCATATTCTGTTCTGTCAATGTCGCTCGTGAAACGGGTTCTGCGCCAGAGTAGATATCGTATAATAGACCCAGGGGATAGTGCCATTTCAATGGCACTCCTTCAAACGAGAACCATCCAGAATGTGATTGGGTTTCATGATTGATGAGCAATGGCCCGAAAAATGAATGAAGTCTAGGTAGTAAAAAAGGTAGATATGAGACGCGGGGATATGATAGCTTGCGATAAGTTAATATTATATTTCTGTCTGGGTAACGAGGAATTTCGTACGAGATATGGATCGGATTGATCGTATGTCCGACATTCTGATGGGTCTAGGACAATTTCTAAGGGCAGTTTACCCTGCCAAACTCTTTCTTGGATAGAGCTGAAGCTCGCCTGGTTATTGCCAGCCATGATGGTTCTCGAGTCTGAGAGTCCTTCGAGTGGACCCTCGATATTCTAGATCCATGGTTAGCAGTTGAATTACATCGCAGCTAATATTATTCGAGGAAGGCTGTATGTAGTAGCCCAGACTCGATAACAAGTTAACGGTCCAATGTATGACGCAACTACTCTACAAAACAACCGACTTCGCGAAATGCGAGCAAATATTTTGACTTACAGCTTGCGGTCTATGCTACAGCCAGAGATGCATCATGGCGAGACAATTATGGCGGCGAAAACAAGATTCTTGGAACAATCCACCATGTTGTGAATAGCGAAGTTAAACATTGAATGCTCGGGACCCGACAGTCAAGACCTCAGAGCGAATCACGTGACGAGCAAAACATGTCACCCATAATAAACCGCATAACAAATGTGATAATTATCAAGAAGATGTACATTGACCTATTAATATTGCAATAAATCATTGAAAATGAGTAAATTAATTTCGAGGGTTGAGAGCGTGAGGAGGTATCCGAGAGCCAAGCAATATCAACTAAGTGACGTCTAGGAAATCAGTTACACAATTCCTATATGTATTTTCCTATATGTATTGTTAGCAAGGAGGATAAATATACTCAGTTTGTCCTGTTGTCTACGACTAGACGTGGTAGCCTAATTCGTCATGCGAGAACGGCTAACTACATCGAAATTCGCGAATAGCGCCGACTCGATTTATGCGCGGTGGAAGTAAACGCCGTATGAGCCCTAGCCACAACCAATGCTAACTGATGCAAGTTTAGAATACTGTCAAACTTTTAATCACCCTAAAAAAAAGGATTATATCCTTACTTGGTAAGGATTATTTTGGGTATTTTAGTTGCATAATTTTTCTGACAAATACCTTGCGCATTGTCTGAAAAGGCCTAGAACTTGTGCTCGGCGCATGTGCCATGGATGCCATCTCAATGTCGAGCGCGTTCCAGAATCGACAAGTTCGACCCATGTTACGTGATAGGCCCCTTCATCATCTACTGAGTCCACTCGTTTCAGCTCGAGCCTGTGGCCTGTTGCGGCTCAAGTAATTTTATACTGTGATGCTATCCATGACTTATTGGGCAGTTCGCGTCACTAATGCCGCCGAGTAACTTTCCATGGTACTGGAATAATAATTAATTGAAATTAGTGTCACTGGGCAAGCAGGCCATTTGTTCTTTTCCGAAGATTCAACGAGTGTTTCGGGGAAAACATCAAAATAAAATATAGATTTGGGGGATTTTTTTTTTAACAAAAGAGCGCCATATGTATTTCTTCTGCTGAATATTGAGGGTCTAGATCGGAGAGAGGGTAAGAGATCGGACTTTGAGAAAACCAAACATTCTGGCGGATGACGCGGTCTAGGCCTGGCGACGTCTGTTCCCTCACATTTTTGATTATTCCGTCGAGCTAGTGTAAAAACTCGGGTCAGCCGTGAAATCTCTAAGTTGGTCGGGAAATTGGGCATCAAGTAATATCACCTGAGCTTGTTATTATCCAAATACACAACGAGGTACACAGGTATGGGTTAGTTCCAACAAGGATTACCCTTGACGATAGGAAGACCATCAAATTAAACGTTATTGTGGCTCACGTCAGAGAGATATGCAATGGCCAGAGCTAGTCGCTGTGGTCTAGATCAATATCGGCATCGGTATCGACAGCGGCGTCAAAAAATGTTGTGATGGTACTGCAATATGCTGTTGGTTGTGATATTGGGCTGACTCGAGCTGGACGAGAGGGAGCCCCAGTGATAAGAGATCCTAGGTTCCGCTCTCGCGTCACTAGTGTTGCACAAACTAAGCCAGATAATTTGTTTTTCTCTCTTCTTCTTCTTCTTTTCTTTGTCTGTATTGGAGGCATTTCATTTCATTCCATACTATTTATTTTTTCTCTCTTGCAGATCCACAACGCTGCACCTAACTCCACTTCAGGCAGGGCAGAAACGAACTGCCTTAATTTACGCCCTCTTTACTGGTGTGATAGTCACTCGATTACTCGAGCAAATCAAGTCCAGCTGCATGACCGGTACGACGGCTGTATGTATTTACAACTCGGCATGTGGATATCATTGAGAAGTGACCATTAGCGTGCTAAGTGGAGGTGACAGTTTGACTTGCAGAGTTCGGGGACTTCGAGGCGGTCTAGAACGATAGGCTAGGAGAAAACGAGCAAGGCGAGGGCTAAGTTCGACTAACTTTAGCAGCCGGTCTGACTGCCATGGAGATAACGGGTAGGGTAGAGATGAAACGACTGGAGAGGGGTCGGAAACATCATCCACTATCTCCAAGGGAATAGATCTGTGGTCTCGAGATCTTCAGGCAAGAAGATGTTCTATGTGGAGGATAGGTGGATCTGCTACTTGCATGACGGAGCATGGCGCAGCACTCGGAAATTGCTTAGGACGACTCATGAGACCGGAATCGAAAGGTGTGCATAGAGAACCGCTACAAGGCAAGTAATGAACACTCAAACCGGGCTGGGCGAACGATGATCCTGGAGCCCTGCAGCACACTAAGGCAAGGCCGATGATGTGTCAGTAATGTGTACGTTGCAGGCAGTGCCAGGCACAACAATCAACCGCCAAGACCGAATGATGTGCGTACTCTGTATTGTGTGCTTTAATATTTACTGTGGGGTGGTTGAGGGGGGACGTGTGGCGGGGCGGGCCGGGACTTCGGGGGGACGTACCACAGTCCACGGGTGACAGAGCGGTCTGGACACTTGCTTGCTCTGCTGGCTGCACGTCATCGTAAATTATTGTTATGCCGATCAGAACGAGAAGCTAGTCGGGGGACAAAATCCATATAGCACTGCACGCTCAGTCCATGGCGCTTGTCGCGTCACATCATGACATGTTCGTGTTCTCGGGCCCTGAATGCTACGACTTCGTGTGCAACCATATACCTAGGCATTTGCCGTTCCTGCGTGAGGTGGTAAGACGAGCTGCTGTGGCACGGCCGGCGAGGCGATTAAGCAAATGACAAATCCCAACAAACAAGCAATCGACAAAAAGGCCATGATAAATTAAAACAAGATCATAGAGGGAACCACGACCGATACGTAGAAAAAAGAAAGAAAAAGAAGTCATTCATATTCGCCCAAATGAGCACTGCATAGCCCTCAGCGTGTTGCGCTATTATTACTGCACTAGTATCTTGTTTGCTGCCTGTGGTTGCTCGATAGACGCGAGGCAACCGCTAAAGACGACTAATATCGTTTGGGCTCTGCGAAAGTGTGCCTTGCCCAAATTTCGTTAAATCGCGCTAATGCCGATCTCTCATGTTTTTGCCTTGATGTTCATCTTTTCATCACGCGAGCACTGTTCAGACCGCGTTCGTCTCCGCCTCAAGCCCCTTGGATTCGGACATGCCCTGTTGTTCATTTCCTCATAGGCCCTTTCAGAATGAGGCGCGCTTCTGAGTCGGGGCTTGAGGCGCCTTAGGCTGACCCTGGAGGAGTAACATGACAATCGCGCCTCAGTGGAGTGCAACCCCCTGGCTCTTGAAGGTGGTCGTCGACACATCATCGTAACTGATGTGATCGAATAGCGGTCAGCACGGCCAATGGCTCTCTTGATGGTCTCCCTGCGCTGGAATACAAATATAAATAGCCGTCATCTTGTTGGCTGTGTTGAACTGGTCCATCGTCCACGTCCGTTGTTCTTTACCTGATACTAAGTATCTAAGACTCCAACACCCCTGTACTGAAGGTTCGTTCCGACTTGATGTTTTCTTATTCAAGGATCGTACCTGATGACTGACTGTCACAAGAAAATCTTATCCTCCCGTCCCTTGACTTGTTGCTCAATACAATTCTCAAAGAGCATCGACCGCTATTTGAAAATGTCGCAGCCAAACGGCCAGAATGTTGAGTATGCTTTTCCCACCCAAGTCAAGATACTGATGCTAACAATCGACTTTCATTAGAAGACCAAGGCTCACTGCTGAGAGCCTAGCACAAATACCAGCGGCGGTAGCAGGCCAGACTGGACTGCAAAAATATCGTGAGAGCAACCCTGCAGACGATCCATATCATCTGCCGCCCCGTAATACCGACCGGGATGCGCATAAACTAAGGTTAGAGGAGCAAGTGGATCGGACTCAATCATTGTTCTGATAAAGGGACGCATTGAGAAACTTGCTGAGGGGTTTGATATCCGTGCCGACGGTGTCTTTGATTAGCGTGCAAGGATGATGAGAGCAGACACAGGCCTCAAATGTACATATAAAGATATAATGTAATAAAGTCTATTGTAACATTCTATACGTGCTGAATAAAGAGACGAGACTCAATCAATTCCAAAATTCCACAAGTTGAGCGGCTAGCTCGTCATACTTGACGCTGGGGAACTCATGCCCAATGCTGAAGTATTTGAATTGAGCATTTCCTTCTAAAGCCGCCGATGCATCTTCAACAATATCATCCTTGACGATGACATTGTCCGTTTCGCCAAGAACGATCAAGACTTTATCATGCGGAAGGTTGTCGGTGTCCTTCTGTTCCCTTCGTTGCGTCAGGTAAGATCCCAACCGTTTCCAATTCTCGAGTTGAGATTCTTGTGGAACAGGACCGTGTCTAAGGCTTGAAATGAATGATGGAACAAACCCCTGGTGATTTTCCACCTGCCACGCGACGGCCGCGGGTGTCGTTAAAGAAGGGTAGGCTCTAGAGAGTACTTGCCGAGGAGAAGCTGTGAGTTCTTCCGTCAGAGCATCTTCAACACCAATTTTCTCATCGTGGGATGTCCCGTTAGAGTGCTTTGGTTTTACTAGGGGACCGGCTTTTAGTCGACCTTTGACTAGGCGACTCACGACACCTTCGGGAATCAGTCCCTTCGCATATAAGACTCGAGACTGCCAGCTGATATGAGAATCCCGTAGCAGTCCTGATGGGGCCAAAAGAACAAGAGAGGAAAGCAGGTTTGGAAAGTGCGAGGCAAATGCAGCTGCAATACCGCCTCCAAGTGAATAGCCGACTAGTGCGAATTGGCCAGAGGAAGCACCGGTCCAGGAAAGTGGAGATGAAGTTAAAGCAAGAAGTATCTGAGTTGTAAACAAACGATCATCCTGTGGGAGATCGGCAGGTGCATCCGAGTATCCACGACCAAAGCTGTGGATATATGTTAGCCAAGTCTCGATTTATTGGGTACACCTGCGGTAAAGATCCCCATACAGATCAAAAATCAGGACGCGACAGCCCCTGTCAACCAAAGAATGTGCAAGACCGCCCAACGAGAGACACGGAGTTGAGATACCGTGGACAAGCAAGACCTTGGGCCCATCTTCTGGGCCCCATTCATAGACTCGAATCGAACCGTAAGGAGTTGATACATCGCGCGCGCCGGGTAGTACGTCTAGTGGAATTACCAGCGATTGTTTATCCTTGTCGGAAAGTGGTTTTTGGAAACTTTGTAGCGGCGATGCAATCGTTCTCGTCCGATGCGACTTTTCGGCTGACCATAGCGAGCCGAGAGTCAGCCCCAACGCGACCGAGGCGGCAATGGCCAGGAACGGCCGGTGGGTGTGCACATTTGCAGCCGATCCGGCGATAAAGTCGGCCGTGTCCTTGAAGAAATCCATTTTCAATCCTGAGACTGTTCTTAGGCGGTGTCGAGACGGACGCTCATGACGCGAGATCTACTATTTATGTTTGATTGAGCGAGGGAGCCAGATAATAATTAATGGGCGATGGCAATAGCTGAAGCAGACTAACTTGGTTAACTAAGTTACCAGTGGGCTAAGATTGGTCAGCAACCCAGCCCCCGTTGCCTCGGCTCTGTGGGCCAATCACATTGCTGCTGGGGGGAAATACTTCTTTCATCAACCACGGGTGAGATAACTATATAAAGAAGTGCATAAAAGGACGTATCACGGAGAGTATTTATAAGAGTAACCGTATGCTCCGAACTATCCTAGCCCCGCACATGTGAACTGTCACCACACTACAGCTATCGGCGAAACTCAGCCGATTGAACTACCAGTTACATATTGATCGGATTGTTCTTCCTGAATAAGGATCCTTTTATCTCAAAGATAATTATAGAATCTTAAATATAAATTACCTTACTATCCCTCTCCGTAGTATTAAATAATCTAGAGTAAAGAACTATTAAGAACTAAACTAAATACATAAAAAGGGCTAAATGTAGCTTTAGCTGCTTTAGCAGCAAACTTATCTTCCTTTAGACTTAATATCATACATATCCTAGGCAAGCATTGGAATCGTATTTTCTTCAACTCAATAATTTTCGCAGTGCCAAAGGTTTACATGATTACGTACATTGTATGAACAATGTACGTAATCTTTACATTAGTTCACCGCCGTAAAATTGTATTGTATTATATCCCAAGTGTACCTTGAAAATCATCGAAACTTACCGAAACTTGCATGTTGTTCTGCCTGCATGCTATTCATGTTCCTTTGTATCACATCTCTAATGTTACGTTAACACTGACAATGTGGGAGACGAATCAGAATATTAGAACCAGTGCGAAGATCCTTGCTGACACCATCTTGGGGAGTATTCACCGAAGTGTGACATTTGAAGTATATGCAATCACCTGCATGGCGATATTCTATGGCTTACATATATAGGGCTAGTCGCCGATCGAATTTTTTGCCTTACGACCGATCCGGATTCAAAGCTGAGCTTTAAGATGGCGATTCCTTTGAGAGTGATTTCATCGGTGCATCACCCCAGGATTGCCAGGCTTGGGCGCTAGAGAAGCAATTGCAGGTCAAATATATCGAGCAATATATCATTGGCATCGTTAACGCTCGTAGCACCCAAGATTAAAATTCTTGACGTTATGCTATATTTTCCCTCAACTGTGTGAACCCCCTTTCCAGCAATTCCCACCTTTCGGCACTCTTCACTCCCGAAAAACGTAAAGGCCTAGATCAACCATAGAATTGAGTATTCTGACGCCCCTACGCTCCAATCTTTCTGGAGCTATGATGACCCAGATATCGGCTACCCTGCCTACCTAAGAAGCAAAGAGAACTTTACGTATGACTGTATCGTCTTTAGCGTAGCTAAGACGGAGGAATTTTATATTGAGTATAATCCTAATGATTATTATGCGGGCCCGCCTTGGCTCTAATACTGTTTCTCAATGTCATCAACTAGTAGGGAGCCTGTGTATATTACAAAGAAAATGTGGCGATGAATCATTCCTCTTATGCAGTTGGCAGTGAATGATACTGCCTTCCCAGGCTGGCCGTAAGTACATACTTACTACTAAATAATGAATAATGTTCAAATGGCGGCCGCTGTCCCAATAGGGAATGGTGGAAAGTGTCCACGGCCGTTAAAGAGGATCATGCGCCTTAACAAGGATCGATTGGTTATGGCTTGCTGGCTCAGATATCACGTGTCGTAGCGATAACCCTCATCCGTGCCTTCCCTCTATCGACTATCAATCAACTCTCCCACTACCACCGTCAACTTTACCTCCTTGTAATTCTTTACTTCCATCCGCCCACATCTGTTGTTTCGAAATGGTTCGCGAATTCAAACAAGGTAGTCGGCCAAAACGACTGGCCAAAAGACCCAAAATCAAAGGTAAAAGCCCCTCCCGACCGAAGTCTGTCAATGAAGGGTATATCTAAATAGCCAAAAAGGCTGTCACGAGTGCTCTCGCCGTCGAATTGACTGTGACCGCGGACAGCCAGCTTGTCAAAAATGTGTATCGAAGGGCCTTGAGTGTAGTGGCTTAGGAACCATATATCGCTTTCACAGTGGTCCCCAATACAAGAAGAAAAGTAACGGCAGTGAAAGAACATATAATACTGACACAGAGTATGTATATTCTACATGAATGCAGTTTCTATAGGGGTGAGGACCTTTATTGATATATCAATAGCCCTAGACATCCCTCTTCACGTATTCCAAATTCTTCAAAGTGTGAAGGAATGAACTCCAACGGCATCAGTTATTCAACTACAGATGCTAAGCAAAAAGCCGAGGTTTGTGTATATGCCTCAGGAATCAATACAAACGGACTTTCGAACCTAGGGAAATGCAATAAAGAGCCCCCCAAACCTTTTCTGAACTTTAACACATTACGTCCCACTGAGCCAGCAATTCGATCATTATTAAAATATTGTATGCTGCACGAAAGCCTTCTTATCCAAGATTTGAGTTCTTTTCTGACTTGATCAGTCTCACAACACATTGCACCGCTTGCAGCAATTATCGACGTCGGGTTCAATGGATACCGAGACTTGATCATTCCGCTCGCCGAGAGCGATAAACTGGTTCAAAAAGCAGTTGCGTTGGTCTCTACCAATCATTTATCAATGAAGTTAGAAGGCCTCGTAATACCAAATGCTGCTCTCTATTCCGAGGTGTTTGACGAGCTGCTGTTCCGTTCGCAAAATTCAGATCCCAGTCATGAAACGGCCAACCTTACTGCCACTCTTCTTCTTTTACTATCGGAAATGATCACAGGTAATGTCAATTTCAGTGTGATCTATAAGATGTTACGCGACTTTTTGTTTGCTGCAGGTGACCGACTAGTTCTAGTCAGCTGCCAGCTTGATGAATTTTTGAGAATTCAAATTCAACGGTAAGTCCTCGCTTTCTATCAAACTCTAGCAGCCTTGGAATAACATTTTTATGCAGTTTCCAGCTATTTGTCGAGCCTTTATTGGATGAAACGAGAGGGTCCCTTTTTGTGATGATGCAGACAGAGGACTGTCTGGAATTTCTTAGATTTTGCCTCACCCTCCATCCAGAGTACCAGGATCAGTTAGGTCTTCTACGAGAAATGATCACTCTGGCTTGTGATATATATGTCCACCGTGCAATCAATGATCCACCGATATCTTCGACAAGCCACTTGATAAAAAAATTTCGACAAGTTACTCTTGACTTTGAACAGCGTGGGAGCATGATCGGATGTCATGTATTAAGCTGGCCTTATTTTGTTGCTGCAGCAGAAAGCGTACACTTGGAAGATCGCACATTCTTTGTTCACCGATTAGAAATTGTGTGTACGACAACAGGATTCCAGAATATCCGTGGTGCAATACAACAGCTACAACATATTTGGGAATGTCAAGGCACTACGCGATGGACCAGTCTTCTTGGAGGGCCAACGCAAGTTTTGATCATGTGAAGCTGGCAGAAGAAGAGACGGAGAATAGCAAACCAAACATCCTATTACAGGACATCCCAGAAACGAGAAATATCGGTAAAAAACCATAGATCTTGGACATGCTGCTAGGCGCGAATTCTTAGTGACATCAATTTGCACCATGTGAACTTGGATTATGCCCTCGCCTATATCGTGAGTTAGTCGAACACGAACAAGCTAGAGACAAAACAACCGCCCGGTTGTAATATGAGGCGCGGGAGAACTCCGCATGCTATTTGATATCAGTATAGGCCATAAGAACCAGGCTTCAATTATTCCTCGAAGAGGTCCATTTCTTGAAGAGGGCTGGGTAAAGAGAAAATTGGTCCTACTATCAGGAAATTATAGGGTTGTTTTTTTTTTAAAAAAAAATTCAGCTTGGGTGGTGAAACATTCACAATATAGTTAGGGACATATCACCCCCTCTCCCCGCAACTTCAACTCTATCGCGAGATTGGGGTTGGGTCGAAAATATTATCCAATAAATAGTTTTTATTACGATAGTGCTATTGGGATCTGATAGATGCTGAGGTGTGAGAAAATACTCTGGCGTCATTGCCTGCACAGCTATGTTTTCTCGGTGTATGAAACCAATTAGAAAAGGGTTCTGCGCCGACCAGATATTGCATTGGAGCGATAATGCCGCTGAAATGGCTAATCTCTTCCTTTCGTATCATGAGCGGGCCGCATTTGTCTCATCAAATTTTCCTATTCGGGAAACACAGTGAGACTCGTCCCCACCTAGTGGGAACCAGCATTATAGTGTTACACAGGCATTGACCTCTAGCGCTGCATTCTGCAAAATATATTGCAGATAGAGGTTATAAATTTAGTTAAAATGCCCATCAACAAGTACATCGTTTGTTTCTCCCCGAAACCGAACTCTTTTTCAGCTCGTTGAGAAACTTATCCACATTAACTCTATCTTCTTCCTTCTGCCTCTTTTCAGCTTGGAGATTTCACTTAAAAAGAATCAAACAAAAAAAATGAACGGCCACTCTGAAATTTCTAAAATGCAAAGCGATGCTATGAGTAGCTCTGTTCTCTATCCAAAACTTGACAGGAAGCAGCTACTCATCACGGGTAGCAAAGGTTTGATGCTGATTGCAGAAGATGGAACTCGTATCATCGATGCTACTGGAGGTGCTGCTGTAGCATGTCTTGGACATAACAATGACCAGGTCAAAGAAGCCATTATCAAGCAGCTGGAGCAAATCACTTATTGTTATTCCCAATTCTTCACCACACCGCCCCTTGAAAAGCTGACTCAACACCTCACAGAGTCTACAAATGGGGAGATGTCTAAAGTGTTCGTCGTTAGCTCAGGTGGGTTTCGAAAGTAGATACTTTGAACGCAACGCTTACAGCTGTCTATAATAGGAACGGAAGCGGTTGAGGCCGCTTTGAAAATGGCTCGGCAATATTTCACAGAGCTTCCCCAGCCACAATATCAGCGTCATCGCATCATTGCACGCAGACAATCCTATCATGGCAATACCCTAGGCTCCCTAGCAGTTGGCTCGCATAAGGCCCGAAGGGCTTTGTATGAGCCGATGTTGAATACTCAGATTTCGCATGTATCCCCGTGTTACCCGTATCGCGAGAAGATAAAAGGCGAATCGGATTTCGATTATGTAGAACGACTGGCTCAAGAACTGGAAGATGAATTCCAGCGGGTCGGCCCAGATACTGTCTGCGCCTTCATTGCAGAGACCGTATGCGGCGGAGTAAGCCTCTTCTTATTTAATCATATGATAAACGCCGATTTTGACTGAAATCTACAGACTCTTGGTTGCGTTCCTCCTGTCTCTGGGTACTTTAAGGCTATGAGAGAAGTATGTGACCGCCATGGTGCTTTACTGATTCTCGATGAGGTCATGACAGGCATGGGCAGAACAGGGACATATCATGCATGGGAACAAGAAGGTGTCATTCCCGATCTACAAACAATTGCCAAGTGTCTAGGAGGCGGCTATGCTCCAATCGGTGCCCTACTAGTGAACCGAAGAGTAGTGGACATCCTCAACCAAGGTACAAAGGTATACTCACACAGCCAAACTTATCAAGGCCATGCTCTTGCCTGCGCTACTGCTCTTGAGGTACAGAATATTATTAAAAATGAAAATTTGGTTGCTAATGTTGCCGCCTTGGGCCCTTACTTGGGTCAACTTCTGCAAAAAGAACTCGGTGATCACCCCAATATTGGGGACATTCGAGGCAGAGGGCTTTTTTGGGGCGTGAGTTAATGTTTTTGTTTTCAATATAATTTTTCATTTGCACTGATTCCTCTAGATCGAATTTGTCCAAGATAAGTCAACAAAAGAGCCTTTTCCTGTGCAGAAGCAACTTGCGGGAAATATACATCTGGCTGGCACCCGAAAACCGTATTGTATTTCGCTTCTACCAGGTAATGGCACTGCTGATGGAAAGAATGGTGACCATATTATTCTCGCACCGCCATATACTGTTACAAAGCAGGAGCTCGAAGAAATAGTTCGGCGGGCAAAGATGGTCATTTTCGATGTTCTTAAGAGTATAGATTAGGTCTTATACCGACTTTTACGCTTTCTGTTTTCAATTATAGTAAAATAGTGCTATGTGGCTACGACACCATCCAATATTGATCCCTATATAGGTGTGGATAACCTCTCAAACGGGAGTGATACATTAAGTAATATCAAAGCTAAGCAATGCTATATGCATGTTAGGGCAGGGCCAGGTTGAATTTTTCGTATAAAGCTGTTCCATCATAGATTGCTTCTCCAACAATACCACCTGTTGCAGCCCCTATCCAACGCATATAGACGCCTGAAGACGAAGTAGGAAGCTGAGACTCGATTTCCACATCCATAACAGGATTATCGTCCAAATTGGTGGTGATGTGAAAGCCCGTCGGCACCAAAGTATCGTACCCTGGCGGATAATACAAATTATTACCGGTCGGCCGCACCTTAATTGAAGCCGGTTCACAGCTTGCAGTAGCAATATTTCCGTTTTTTTTGCAACATACTCACTAACTCTTTCGCTTCCATCACGTAGGAGAACGTCAAACCATGCTAACGAGTATGGTCCGAACCGAGCATGACCCCAGTACCAGCATTCCACGTCCTATTCAAATGACGTGTGACCCCAGTTTTTGTCATGGTACCCTATGTCAGAGAAGGATAACTCGCTGTCTTGGATAGTGAATTCAGTGATTGCGTTTGCTTCCGGTATGGCGTTTGCCCAACCCACGTGTGGAGTGACGTGAAGATCTTGTCCAGCTTCGTTTGGCCCACAGGGATAATGTGCAGGAGTGTTCTGTGTGGGCTTTTAAATTAGCTCTCCTTTTATGATAATACTGCAATGTTATCTTATACCCGCAAAGGTACGCATTGATTCAATATTCAGCTATCCCTAATGTCCAGCAATGGCACATCAATACCAATAGAGTGAGTTTGCATATCCGCACTTCCTGTAAAGTTGAAGCCAGTACCTTGCCATTTTCCAGAAGCTCCATCGCCATCTGTTGAAACTACAGCATCGCCAAGGGTGCCTAGTGGACTTCCAATAGGGTAAAAATAACTGCTGACGTTAGGAACCAATTGCGGCTCTTTTGACTGATTGATGTTCCCCTGGCAACCTTTCTCTTAATTTTCACTACGTATTCACAATTTAAATTATTTGTTACTGTGTTACACAGGTTCTCCTAAGGATGCCGTGTTCTGTTGTTTTTCGATGGGTCTCGGAACTGCTATTGCGGCCGCACCCCTTGACATTCAAATCAACTGAGCTACTTATGCGAAGTCCAAAATCCATGATACGCCCCCATATTGTGGGTTTCTCCCTTTCTGCATCTGCAACGGCGAACGCATTTTGAAATGAAGTTCTTCTATTGAATGAAGCATACTCTACGCTCAAATTAGTTGTGACTTGAAAATGACGAGAAATTACTTGGCACTGGAGTATCCTAGTAGATATAATAGGAGAGTCATAGTCGCAGTGATACATGGTAGAAAGCAAATCCGGTGCTGCAACATGTCATCATCAGATTTCGTATTGTTAAAATTTGAATTCAATCGAAATTGATACTCTCTCTGATGCTGAGTGCATTTTCTTCATCGTTATTGATGTAGCTTCCTGTCTCGACCCTTTACCGGAACTAGCCCTAATAAAAGCTCCTGATGTAGGGTTATAGCCCTACATGGGCTGCCGGCTGTTTCAGGGCTCTTCACTCCTAATACGGAAAGCGGTTCTAGATCGGGCAAAGCCGGAGTTTCTAGGGCTAACGGCGGCGACCACTACATGGCTGTCAATTAATGTGCTTGGGTTAGGAATAAGGTCTTTTCATAGTCCTAGATTAAATCTATAAATTAAAATACTTCATGTTGTATATTCACTGTCAAAAACAAAATAATAACTAATTTGAATTGAATAAATGAATGTATTCAGATTTCGGTATATCATAAAAAAGGGATAACTATTAATTAAGTGATAATAATAATAGCAGTAGGCAGCGACTGCCAGCTGACTCTCGGTCTTCCTCGGAGATAATTTAGGCTATCTTAACCATGGATAACGCAGCCAATTAATGTCGCCAATGGAGTCGTTGGTCGACTGTCTGACAGACGGCGTTGCGCCGCCTAACACTACTGGCCGCCTAGCCCGATCGTCGAGGCTTTCATATTTCCAACCTCGTCTATCAATTGTGTTCCTTGATATTCGAGACCCACTGCTAATTACTGCTCTGCCGGTGTTTCTCGCATAAACCGTCTAGCCAATTAGGATGGATCCCTGTGACGATGGCATATGTTTCTGAGGAGAACGCAATCTATACATGCCCCGCCTCTCAGTCTTGGAAAGCCAGCAACATCACAAAACGCAGGCTCTAATCAGTTGATTGGCCTAGTTAGTCGTTCTGATAATTTTTCATTCCCGATGTAACAGCCAACACTGGTTTCTGTGGCCTGGTACGGCTCCACGAGTGCCTTGGCGATGACCGCCACCCACTATTTTATTCTCTCGCTTATCCTAAAATTTATATACGTTGCTATGTACTTGAAAATTTGGCTTTCGTTGAACCTCATCTACATATATCAGTATTCTCATAGATATGGCTCCGTTAGTGTGGTTAGTAACTGGGTGCTCTTCCGGTTTCGGGGTGAGTTGGAAAAGCTGTGTCAACCGCAGTTATGTCTCTGATACGGAGCAGAGAGCAATTTGTACTTCAAGCACTCGCGCGCGGTGACAAAGTCATTGCTACTGGCCGCAATGCACCAACTAAACTCGCCCACCTCGAAGGCAACGGTGCTTCGATTCTTAATCTTGACTTGACAATGCCTGAGTCTGAAATCGCCGACAGGATCAAAGAGGCCCACCAAATTCATGGGAGAATCGACATCCTTGTAAACAACGCCGGATACCTTGAAGTTGGAACTGTTGAAGAATTGTCGTATGTCTCGGGAATTGTTTCAAGTTGGAATCCCAAATTAATACCTTGTTATAGGTTGGATAGGGTGCAACGGAGCTTTGCGACGAATTACTTCGGTCCGCTGAAGATCACACGGGCAATTTTACCTGTAATGCGAGACCAGAAATCTGGAACGGTAGCGTTTATGGGCTCTATAGTAACAGTCTCACTTCTAGTATGTTTAATGGCTTACTAAAAGTTTCTAGGGTGGTTGGGGTGCCGTACCAAATTCTTCTGCTTACGCCGCTTGTAAATATGCTTTAGAAGGTGAGATTTGGTTCTCCTCCTAGAACAAGACTTTTCTCCTGATTTGTTTCCTAGCCCTTACAGAAGCTTTACAGAGCGAATTTGCTGCGCTATTTGGGAATGATATAAATTTTATTGTTTTCGAGCCCGGTTACTTCCGTACTGAGATATTCTCAACAAGCAACGCAATCCATCCTCCCACTGATTTGCCAGAATACGAAGCTTTTAATCAAGCTTCAGAGAAACGGCAGCGCAAAATTTACCAGAATGAGCCAGGTGATCCAGTCAAGGGTGTCGCTCGGATGATAGAAGTCTTAACCGGCACCGGGCTGGCAACGGGAAAGACCTTCCCACTGAGGCTACCATTGGGCTCAGATAGTCTTCATGTGGTTCGTAAAAAGTGTCAGGATACTTTAAAGCTTTGCGATGAGTGGGAAGATGTGATTATGAGCACGGATTTGCCATCCAAGGCAAACGAGCACCTTTAGTACTGTCGAGAACTCAACGCACGTTGCAATTACCTTGCATGCATTAAATACGTACAAACACGTGCTATTTACGTATCAGTACCTGGATTAGGCTGGAATTGCGGTTGATTTGTATATGAATTTACCAACCAATCGAGGCTTTTGTATGTCATTGCAAGAAAAAAAGGCTGATGATAAATGAAATAATGGTGCTACTTCATGATATCTACAAGTTATATGTTCTGGAGATTCAACCCTAAAAATTTTTTATGGAGCAAAACCAATATTCAGTAATTATTCTACGAAGCTAATTTTGAAATATAGGTTGAGGTATCATTTAATTAACGTTGCTGTTCTTTCTTACACACTACACTCCGGGAGTTCCTTTTGTTATTCCAAGGCTTCCAGATAAAATGGCATATCTGTGGTGAACAATAACATCCTATTTACAGTTGAGTTCAAAAATTATCACCCCCTCCCTCTTGTTTTAATATATGGTAAATCGTATCAGTCGCATATATGAAGAGTTGTTTAATATTATAGGATCTCTCGTATAAAACAGCTTGGTTGCTCTTTTGTTAGACCAAACTAGAACATTTAGCTAAGTGCCATTTATATCAAGAAAATAGCATCTGGATAGTGGATTCAAAATGTTCCTTTTCTGCACTAGAGGGTTAGGCTGTCATAGCATGACATCAAAAGTTTGATAAATCTTCAGGTTCAATAATAAATATATCTTTAGTCAGCTTTCCTGAAAGGCGAGGCTAAAATTACACTAGTTTCACGACTCTTTTCTTTGAAATGTGAAGACTCATTTGTGGGTATCGTCCATTGCAATTTCCAAAAACAGGTCTCAATAGGGAGATTTCGTGTGCGGAGAATATTCCTTTGTGTCTTGCCTATTTACACTCGAGTAAGGTAAGGCCTATAAACCTTATAATTATAGTGTAATGTTTTAATAATATAATAATGGTGTTTCATTGAATATTAACAGTCACAGTTCCCAAGGTAGTGATAGTACTGATGTTATTCCAGGATATGTTTCATCAATCGCCTACTTGACACCCCAAACATCAAGCTGCGAACAATGTGTCTTCAAACCATTTGGATGTCATTGGATAGGTCTGCGTCTACTCAAAAATGTATAGACTTTTATATCTATTTACCTTTCAATTCTTACCAGGGATTCTAGGATACCGTCATGATTGCGAACCAGGTGACCCTGTTATAAAATTTTTAAGACAAGCCAAATACGGCTATTTAATATGCTCTTCTCTCTCTTACTTGAAGACTGTCCCGGCGAAAACAATCACCATAACGGATTCTATCGACTCCCCTCCAACTACTTTTCAAACCGCGATAGACCATACAACAACTGTCCATATTTTGGAGACCAAGCTTCTCACCAATACCAAAATATATACAATCTTTGTAACGACAACAAGCTCTGTCATTGCGCCCACGGCGTATTATACTGTGACTAGCACCATCTCGTCGGCGCCTCCGAGGAAGACTCAAACAGAAACGGTTATCCAGACGGTTACTAAAGCTGGTGCTAGTGGTGCCACTCCTGAGTCCATAGTTACGTTGACTACCACACAGACTACAACTAAAGTACATGTCCCAGTCAAAACTACGTCTCTCACTTCTATTGCTCTTTCTAGAAGTGCCTCTGCAGAAAGCACCCATACCACGTCTACGTCAACCTGGCCACTATGGATTACAACAGAGTCTAGCAAGAATCTCTCTTTAATTTCTATTCCTACTACTTCTCTTCCGTCAGCCTGCTCAGAATGGGCTACAACAGGGACAAGTAATGATCTTTCTTTAATTTCCTCTCTCCAGCCTCTTCCAACTTCTATCTCTCCTCTGTTTCTTCCGACCACTACTTATTCTCCATCGACTTTGTCAGAATTGGTTACGGCAAATGGTATCACAGGCACTTCTCTGGTTTCTTCTTTCCCGTCTCTTCCTGCCACTATTTATCCTCCGTCGAGTTGGTCAGAGTGGGTTACGACAGAGACGAGCACAGATATTTCCTTGGTTTCCTCTCTTCAACTTCTTTCCACAGCCTCTTTATTAACTACAGCTTCCTCCATTCCTTCTGGGTCTAAAATGGCCCAAAGAATTGGCGCTCTATTTTTATCAATTCAATCAGAGATAGGCTCACAGACCATTGGTACTTCACTCACCCCGTCTACTACCACGATAGAAATAATAACTGAAACGAAATATATAACGACTGTCATTGATATTATTACCGACACTAACGATTATAACATTACGAATACCCTTGGTACAAGTTTTATCACGACAACTAGATCCACACAGTCAAATGCTATCGTATCAAGTACCAGCCCTGCAACATCGCCGGCACAGATAACCGACATTGCAGCCGCTAATAGCGTCTCAAATGAGACGTATAAACTGTTCATAAGAGATGTTCCAGCTGGGAATGTGTCGTCAGCATGCTCCTGTATGCCTTGGGTTATGCCTCGTTCTACAATAACGACTTTCACTACGCAAACAGTACCGCCGCGAATGGTAGGATGTCTCAATTAGGCTCGACTCGGTATGCTAATGTATCTAGATATGGGATACTGTAACCAACATGCGCACAAAGTCAATTCCTAAAGGAACAACCATCAAGTCTTTGCTAATAACCATGACGACAATGGATCATACTGTAGTCTACTTCGCGAAAACGCCTGTGCAGACAACAACACAATTTGTGACTGCTCCCAGGGCGGTTGATTCACTTCTCATTGTGAAGATAACGATTACTACAACTGTCGAGCCACCAGCTACAGAAATAACGACACAAATTACCACTATAGAAAAAACATTGTTGTAGTATAGGCCGGCTCATTCGTTCGGCGTCTGGTGGCAGGGTGGACGAAATACTTGCATTGAATTTATCTATTTGGCTCACTGGACTATTTCACGTCACTTTATATGTTACGACTTTTTCATCTTTGGACAATTCCATAGTTTATTCGAATTCATTTTTAATTTCCAACTACGTATAGATTACAGAGCATACAGGAGACGCCTTACCGGAATCGGCATGTACATTGTGGGGAGAACGCTAGTCCCGAGAATCGCTAGTCCATAGGAGAAGCCCCACATGCCTTAGATCGCAGAGAAAAAAGCCAAAGAGAGAGGCTGCTGCTTCCTTTGCTTCTTTGCGCTCTACATTTAATACCACGTGCCGATCAATGCCTGTGCGCCATCATGTTCGAGACTGTCTGCAGCTTCCCGCTCAAGGCAGACCTCTTCTCCCAGGCAATTCACCCCAATGAGCCGATTGTCTCGGTGGGTTTGTCCTCGGGTCATGTCCAGACCTTTCGATTGCCCTCTACCGTGGCCGACTCGGATGACGACGATGCTGCGTCCTCTGTCAATGGGACAGGCCATATAGACACCATCTGGTCGACGCGGAGACACAAGGGCAGCTGTAGGTGCTTAAGCTTTGGGATTGGCGGAGAAACGCTTTATTCAGCTGGCACGGACGGCATTGTCAAGGCCGCCAAGGTCGAGACTGGGGTTGTCGAAAATAAAATTGCAATTCCACTGGCGCAATCAAAGTAAGTTTAGCGACTTGAATGTGTACATTTTGTTTTCGATGAGGATAAAATACTGATTATTGAAATTCTGCAGGTCGAAGGTCGAGATTGATTCTCCGTGCACAATCCACGCACTGTCTCCGCAGAACTTGTTACTCGGCACAGACTCCGGCGCTCTACATATCTACGACCTTCGCATACCTTACTCGTCGGTGTCTGCGCGTCCGGAACAGACATTTCGTCCCCACAATGACTATATTTCTTCTCTTACACCACTGCCACCGTCAGAGACCAGCACTTCGGGCTTCAGCAAACAGTGGGTGACCACCGGAGGCACGACGCTGACTGTTACCGACTTAAGGAAGGGTGTCATTGCACGGAGTGAAGATCAGGAAGAGGAATTAGTGTCATCTGTTTACATTGGAGGCCTACCATCAGCGGGTACTAGCGTTGGAGAGAAAATCATTGTTGGTGGTAGCACAGGCATTTTGACACTATGGGAGAAGGGGGTCTGGGATGATCAAGATGAAAGAATACACGTTGCGCGACAAGGGGGCGAAGGCGAAACTCTCGATTCGTTGACGGTTGTCCCCGATGACTTAGGCCATGGGAAAATGATTGCTGTGGGCCAGTCCGACGGTCAGATTGCCCTAGTTCGCATCGGTTCAAACAAAGTTGTCTCCCGAATCCAACATGATGAACTCGATGGCGTTGCAAGTCTGGGCTTCGATGTAGAAGGACGCATGATTAGTGGCGGTGGTCAGGTGGTCAAGGTCTGGCATGAAGCTAAGGGTGCGGTGAACGGTGTGCTTGGAAAGCACATGATGGGCGATAGTGATGACAGCGATGATGATGGTGAAAGCGAGGATGGACAAGACAGCGCTGATAGTGAGAAGGAGGAAATTAGTAAGCAGCACAAGAAGAGGAAGCGAGGCAAGGGGAAGAACCGGAATGGAGCACCACATGTTCTAGCCTTTACAGACCTGGATTAATCCGGTCGAGTGATGAACGAACCTTTTGTTGATATTGAAGCCCGGGGCTTATCATGGCGCGGTGTTTTACGGGAGTTCTGTTTCTTTTCTAACCGTGTATTTACTTAACTTCTTACTGTATAGTACAATAAGAAACATCATGCAAATAGATAGCCACAAGAACAGACTCCCCCCGGATATATGAGATTCCAGTCGGATGTATCTATCGGATGTCGTTTGGAGCTTCGGCAAAGGGACGCCAGCCCCACAGTCTGTGTTCACCCCAGCTACGAGTGGGAGCATCTTTCGGATGATGCAAATTTCCAGGCCTCTGTGGGGTAACTACCGAGAAGGAAGATGATATATCATGTCGTCGCTCCTTGCTTCGTTTCGTACCGATTAACACCTTCGATGAATGTGTGTCACTCGAGTCGTCACTCTGCATCTTCACTGTTTGGAAGAGAAGCCACTAATAGCAGTTGAACCATCAAAATGGATGCATTTGTGTACAGCCCAAACCCTGGACGAGTAGTCTTTGGCACAGGAACAGTGAAGCAGCTTCCTGACGAAATTTCACGCCTCAATATTTCAGCTCCTTTGCTCCTTTCGACAGTGCGGCAAATTGGCCACGCCGAAGCACTAAAAGAGGTTCTCAATGGCAAGATCGCTGGTATCTTCAGTGATGCGACTATGCATACACCTACAGACATCACTGACAGAGCCCTTCAATATGCAAAAGACCAAGGAGCAGACTCGGTCGTGTCCATTGGCGGTGGAAGCACTATTGGACTAGGGAAAGCCATCAGCGTCAGAACCGGGTTGCCGCACATTTGCATTCCAACTACATACGCTGGTAGTGAAATGACGCCAATTCTGGGAGAAACTGCAGGTGGTGTTAAAAAGACAAGATCTGATCCGAATATTCTCCCCGGTACGGTCATTTATGATGTCGATCTGACAATGACTCTTCCCGCTGCGATGAGTGCAACCAGTGGGGTTAATGCTATTGCACATGCTGGCAAGTGAACTCTTGTGCGAATATTATCACTCGTGTTTTAATTTAACAACGGTCAACCTCGCAGTGGAAGCTTTGTACGCACGCAACACCAACCCTATCATTAATATCCTAGCAATTGAGGGAACCAAAGCGCTAGCCAGCTCACTTCCCGAGATCGTTGAGAACCCATCCTCACCCTCAGCACGTGTCAAGGCTCTATATGGAGCATGGCTATGCGGTACCTGCCTAGGTAGTGTGGGAATGTCCATCCACCATAAGCTGTGTCATACCCTCGGAGGCAGTTTCAACCTACCCCATGCTGAGACACATACCGCTGTTCTCCCTCATGCAATTTCCTACAACGCTCCAAAGATTCCAGAAGCAATGAAAAGGCTCACAGAAGCCTTGCCCGAAAGCAATGGTGACGCAATCCACGGCTTGAACGTGCTTCTGTCAAGGCTCAAGGTAAAGAGAGGTCTGAAAGACTTTGGAATGAAGGAAGAAGATATCGACAAAGCAGCGGATATCGCCGTTAGCAATCCGTATTGGAATCCCAGGGAAATCGAAAGAGCTCCGATTCGCGAGTTGATTCGTAGAGCTTGGGCTGGAGAGCCTGCCCGGGCTGATCTATGAGGTCAATTGTTTCCACTGTAGACCGAAATTTCGGGATAAATTTGGCCATTATGTCTAGCTGAGATGTGTTGGGCCATATATATTACGCTAGTGAATATCATTTAGATATTTTGAAAAAGTAAGTTGTTGTTTAATGAATGCAGATCGTTTAAGCCTCCAAACTCGATACAGGAGCATCCAATCATCTCGCGCTATATGGTGGGGTCAACCGTCCCGCATATGCAGCGTAATATTTCTATGCCAAAAAAAATCCAGACAAACTACCCCGCTGAAAATCCCAACAATCTTCAGGAAATCTAACATTTCCAAGAAATCACAAGCAGGCTCCAGCCATGGAGTCTGCGCCTATACTGTCAACGCCAGATACGCATTTATTGGAAGCTACAGAACCTATAGTATCGAACACCCAGGCTCCAGGCGCATCCCGTTCTGATGAAGAGCTGTCCATCATCTACGATATCGAACGCACGCTGTCGAAGATTCGACAAGGAAGATGGAAGCGAATTGCCCTTCAATTCCCAGATGACATGCTTCCCGATGCTCCTCGCGTCTTTCAGCTGTTAAGTCGAGGAGTTCAGGCCAAGGATATAAATTTAAATGGCAGAAGGACAATTGTGGATGGTACATTGGATAAGGATTTGAAGACCGGCCTTGATGAGAGAACTTCTCAAATGAGCTTAGAAGAAAGACTCTCACCAGAAGAAACTCAGTCTAGGTTTTACATTCTGGCCGACACGTCTTATGGGAATTGCTGCGTCGACGAAGTTGCTGCCGAACATGTCAATGCAGATGTTGTTGTGCATTACGGACGAGCTTGTTTATCACCTACGTCAAGACTACCGGTGATCCATGTCTTCACGCATAGATCTCTTCCACTTGACCCTCTCGTCAAAGCTTTCAAAGAAACATTTACAGATCTCGCATCAAAAATCATCATAGCTGCCGATGTCACGTATTCCGACCATGTCCCCGAAGTATACGATCGCCTGGCAAAAGAAGGTTACATCAATCTCTTTGCCACTCAGGTCCTGCATGATCCCTCCTCGGCGATACCGAATCGGACGGTTCCAGAATCTGTCAAAGAGGCACCGCAGTTGCTAAACGAGTGGCAGCTATTTCACATTTCAGACCCTCCCACGGCATTATTACTGACACTCTCGTCGCGAGTGGCGGCCTTTCATATATATCCCACGGCAGATGCAGAATCCGGACAGGATGTCAAACCACTTCAGGCGTCCACTACGGCAGCTTTACGGCGCCGTTACGGCACTTTGATTTCATTAAGCACTGCACCAATTTTCGGCATCCTTATCAACACACTGAGTGTGAAAAATTACCTTCATATTGTAGATCATGTGAAGAGGCAGATCGCCGCTGCCGGTAAAAAAAGCTACATCTTTGTTGTTGGCAAACTGAACGCCGCCAAGGTAGCAAATTTCAGTGAGATTGACGGCTGGGTTGTCATTGGATGCTGGGAGAGTTCCTTGGTCGATAGTAAGGACTTTTGGAAACCAGTGATCACTCCTTACGAGCTTGAAATTGCTCTTCAAAGCGATGATACCCGTATTTGGACTGGTGCATGGCGTAGCGATTATCAGGCTCTCCTAGATGCCAGCCAAGCTTCGCTAGATGCCGATGAAGGAACGCGCGATGACAAGGTCGAGGTAGAAAACGGCGTGGAGAAGGATGAGATAGATGGATCGTCAGATTTTGAGTCTGTGCCGCCCGAATTCAACTTGCGCACCGGAAAATTCGTTACTAATTCGCGACCCATGCAATATTTAAATACCGACAGCTCGAGGCATGCCATCGTTGGACAAGGATCATCAAGTGGTACAGCACTGGCTAAACGAGCCAAAGGCGACGTGGCTATGATCGGCAACACGGTCTCTCCAGGAGCAGAGTTTCTGCGGTCTCAGAGAACATGGCAAGGACTCGGTAGCGATTTCGAGATCAAATATGAAGAGGATAGTGAGGCGGGCAGCACCGCTGTTGTCGAAGGGCGCAAGGGCATTGCAAGGGGATACACGGTAGGCACATCTAGCGACCGACATTGAGAGGCGGGCCGAGACTCTGTAATTATTGGACGTGGCAGCGGGTCTGTCAGTAGAATAGCAAAAGGTGAATAATAATAAAGCAAAGGGGTCTTTGTTCGATCTTTGCACAGCTGTGTACGATCTTCAAAGAGCACTGGCGGCAGCGATGCGCATATCACCTGACTCGCCCTCACTGTAAACCAGCAAGGCTCCACCACCAAACAGCCGCAACTAAAGGCTGCGAGAGCGTGGACAGCCCATGTCCAGTAACTCATCCCCCGTCGACCGTTGTTGATGCAGTCAGTAGCTCCCTGCCAGATGTCTGTCATCCTTTCGCTGCCGTCCGCCAATTCCCTCTGAGCCTTCCGACTTGCTCTCGTCGATAATGCAGGCCGCAGCATCTCGTCCTGATCCACTCCCATCTCCGTCCGCTCCGATCACTCGTATCTGAAGCGTTTCAGCCATGAACATCGAGATTGAGGGCAGCAATACACGACGATCGATTCTCGGCAGCCTGGCTGCTGAGGATTCTGTCTCAGCAGATTGTCCGATGAGTCTCGATGATGATACCTCCAGCCTCTACTCCTCCGACTTTCAACTATCGACATTCGAACGTGTGTTTTCTACTCATACCCCCATTTTCGAGTCCCTCCTTCAACAGATACCTACGCAAACGATTTTTCAGTTATACCACACATCCTCCTATCTCCGGAAATTCCTTCAATCCTACCCTACAGCATGGAAACATCTATCCTTCCGCCTGCTGTTTCCATCAGGCTCTCAAAACCGAACGCTGGTCATCGGTAGCCTAGACCCCACTGCTCCACGTCAGTCTCGACCATATGCTTTAGATCAACTTTTGATGATGGTTGTTGTACCGATCAGCCCCTGTCTACGCAGCCTCGAACTGGACAATACTGCCGTATCAGGTCAAATCCTTATATCCACGGTTCTACACTCCAGGCGAGAAACCTTGGAACACCTCTCGGTGCGTGGCTGCAAGAATGTGTCTCTAAAATATCACATCATCCCCTACCTTACAATGTTTGGTCTGCAATTCGATGTAGCAAATGAGAACAGGAACGGGGTGCCTGTGGCCAAGGAGAAACTCGCTTTGAAAAGCCTCTACACTTACCGTTGTCGACACCATCGACGTCGTCCTTACCTGACAACTTCATTGATGCGCCGAGACTCAGATTCGGAGCCAACCCACGAACTCGTTATACTATGTCACAAATTAGGAATTTGGACTGATACAGCTTGGTGTACAACACCTGCAGGACGGTGTTTTCGACGACGCGGCTACGTTTCCATGAGAGTCCCACACGGTGCTCCAGAAGTCTGGGTAGTTTTTGATCGGCTATGGAGATCTAAAAATTGGCTTGGGTCTCCGAGTGATCGACCTACTCTTGACAGCAGAAAAGACGGAAGACTCTGGGAACACGAGGAAGTGGGCTTTCACGGTGAACCTCTAGGCACTGGCGATGGGCCCGGCAATAAGGAAGGAAAATTTGTACCGACTCATTTACGTCAGAGCCATAAAGCATTTGTCGAGAATATTAAATGTGATAGATGCTCCGAACCAATAGGCGAAAGATGTGAGCAATGTAGTGTGCTCATGCACTGCGTCGGATGTCGAAAAACACTGTGTGCAAGCTGTGCGTACAGTTGGCGGTATGCCAAAGATGCAATCCCCCCTATTCCAGGCCTACCTACCTCTCAGTCTCTATGGTGGGCCCCGGGCTCTAACACCTCTCCATGTATTATGCATGATCCCAATCCAGATGCGGATAATAACAATCCTCCCAACCCTGCTGCACCTGGTCAATATCCAAACTTAGAGTTTTCCTGGTGTTGCACGGAGCCGATTTTTTCAGGAGGTGGAGGTATCAGTATCGGCACGACGACACGTGATGTTGATTTGGTTCGAGCAGTCCCTTTACCCAAAGGCCAAGGTTGGGAAGATCCAGAATACTCGAACAATTCGTGGATCGATAGCAAACGTCAGGCATCAGAAGTCGGTCACGCCGAACTGTTGCGACAGCTTCTTGGGCCACCGAATCGCCAGGTGTCGAGCTGCCCTAGAAATCTGTGCAAGGAATGTTATGAATCACCTCGATGGAGTGTCGAGTGTCAAAGCTGCTTGAAACCTCTGTGCAAGGAACACGACCTCCGCGGACTACGCCTACGAATTTGCGGATACCGAGACCTCGCTCTTGAAAAGATAACATTACAGAGCCAGCAAGCGTCTGCTATTGGAAAGACAGGGATTTCCTTTACGATGTCTAACAACAATGGGCTATCGACAAGGACACGTACGAATCTCCTAGCACCTTTTCAATCTCAACCACCCCAGCCAATTGCTATCAATATGGACCGAGACTCCCCATCCGCCTCCAGTAGTGTTGCTGGGGACCATTTTGCTCCAGGAGTAGGCGGAATGCACCCTGCAGTCTTACAAGACTTCATCCAAGCTCAACACCAAGCTGAAGACGGTTCAATGACAGGGCCGCAAGCAGGCCAAAGCCAGTCTCCAACCACCTCGAACCTGTCGCGATCATCATCACGTTCCTCTGTGTACTACGACGCAGCGGCTGAAATTAGTAGATGGCAAGGCTGTCGATCGTACTTCTGTCCCCAATACAGGCCTATCGGTGACCAACGACAACGCTGCAACAGTGTGCTACGTGAATGCACCAACTGCTCCATATACGTGTGCCAAGATTGCGTCAACAAGAATCCGCCATGCCCATGTTCGTATTGCGATGCTAACTATCATTGCCCCAACTGCTTAAAGCTGCGAGAAGAGGACGGCACATGTCGACGAGTCGAGGAAGAGCGAGCCAAGAAGGAGGAAAAGTGGAAACGAGATATGGAAATGCTGGAGGATATTCTTGACCGAAAACTTGCAAATGAAGTTGCTGGGTTCGCTGGTGAATTCATGGATTTGGTTCATGACGGTGATCATGTTGAGTCTCTCGATCTGCAGACCTCCTTGACCCCATTACCACTCGCTAGTCAATCCCATGGCAATGCGCAAGGCCAAGTGGCGCCAGCCCCGATACAGCTCCAGATACAGTCACACGCTGCAAACCATGATGGTCAATCATTCCACCATCACAATTCCGACGACGAGGTCCTGGATGAAACCGTCACACCGATTGCCGATTGACAATCCTTTTCTCTGAGGCTGGCATCTTCCTCGTACTGTTGACAAGCCATGAGCCGCCACTAGCGGTTAGCAACAGTCTGCATACATCATCCATTCATCGTCGACATTTTTCTTAGCATATCACACGGAAAGGTTGGGTTAGGTTCGGTTCAAACGGTGTTTATTCAAAGCTGCTGCATCTCGGCGTGATAAGGGACATGAACAATTAGCATCTAGCAAGGCGGTTTTTTTTTCTTCAAACACTATATCTTTCCTTTATATTTTTTTCTTTCGTATCATGTTCCCCATGGGTGGAGTTAGTTCGGGGTGTTTATTCAGTGATGATTTTTATTCCATACAGCTTGAGACAAGGTAAGATATCCCATAATAACATTGAATTTAATAGTTCGAATATGGCATTGAACTTGATAGTATAATGCCAATTTCAGTATATTCATTCTTAAATGTTTCTTTTTTCTATAATAAAATACAGTAATAATTGGGCTACAAAACTTGCTAAAGCAGCATGGCTTGTAACTTTTACCTGTACGAGGGGCATAGATGTACCGCGGAGATGAACGATCGGCGCGGAAGGGCCTCAAGCGCTTCGCCGCGAGCGAAACTTCTCCTCGAGCGAAACTTCTCCTGATTGAACCACGGACTTGTAAATACCACTTGTTGTACAACCATGTCTCTTTATTATTTCTTATCCAAGCAATAATGCTTATTGCCTACTCGATCTTCGGATAGACTCATCGATTTTAGCATGGAATACCTGATTATGGAATATTATTGATTGTCGCAACCGCCACATAACCGCACCTCATGTCCCTCCGGCATCTTCTGCAGAGGATTCTTGTCATCCTTTTGCCGCTATCCATTGCATCCACTCTTTACCTCTACCTCTATCCAATATTCCAAGGGTGCGCCTTCCCGATCCCCAATACCAAGAATATCAATAGCGCGGCTTCGTCGTTTGCTTCGAATGCGGTCGTAAACACTTTCCTCCAGCACGCGGCCGACTACAGCTCCACGTCGCCCGCTCTCCAGCCCAAACCAGCGATTTTCCGTCTTCTCGTTCTTGCAGATCCTCAAATTGAAGGTGACAGTTCACTTCCGGGCCCTGACGATGAATTCCTAGCTCGGATACGCCGGTATTGGGAGGACATACAATCTGCGTTGGTCAATGGAACAGCAGGAAACGCTACAAGCCCATTAAACGAGGAGGAGTTAGAAGTTCCTCTGTCTGTTTTTGCGGTTGTGGCTGATGCTATATACAACACGATTGTTGTAGATATCCCATCTGCGCTTACTGCGGCTCGCAAACGTTTAGACCTGTTTGGGAACGATTATTATTTGGCGCATATTTATCGAACCTTGTTTTGGTGGAGTCGGCCAACACATGTTACAGTGTTAGGCGACTTGATAGGAAGTCAATGGGTGACGGATGAAGAATTTGAGAATCGCGGATGGAGATATTGGCATCGAGTTTTTCGAGGCGGCGAGAGAGTAGACGACGATATCACTATTACTGGAAAGAAGTCTCGTGGTGATGACGAATCGGCATCTAGTGTGGAGACCCCTGAACTTGAGTCATTGAGTCGCTTCAACTCTTCTTGGGCTAGGAGAATTATTAATATTGCTGGGAATCATGATATTGGATATGCGGGTGATGTGTCGAAGCATCGTCTGGAACGATTCGAGCGAGTGTTTGGTCGTGCAGATTGGGATTTGAGGTTTCAGCATCCTCCATTGGAGCAAGGTAGGAATACGGGGGAGGCAGATGCCAGTATACGACCTACCTTGCACATTATTAACCTTAATGACCTGACTCTGGATGGCCCTCCTTTCGACCCAGAGATCCAATCCGATAGCTACACGTATATCAACGACCTTTTATCTCACCGTTCACACCCTGTTGAAGACGAAGCCTCGTTCACCCTCCTCCTAACACATGTCCCACTTCATAAACGCGAGGGCATATGCGTAGACAGCCCCCATTTCGCCTTCTTCGACGATGATGATGAACGAGACTCTGAAAACGACACCATTCGCTTCCACAAAGATGGGCTCCGTGAACAAAACCACCTGAGCGAACACGTTAGCTCAGTCGGCATCCTTCAAGGCGTTTTTGGTATGAGTGGAGATACCGATGCTCCAGCACACGGCCGCGGTCGACGTGGCCTTATTCTGACGGGCCACGACCATGAAGGCTGTGACGTTGTTCATTTCGTGAACCGCACCGCTGTTTCTTCGCGGGATGAGTTGGAGGGTATTGAGGAAGAGAATAACGAGCCACCCTGGCACTGGGATGCAGCACGATACCCACTATCGAGCTCTTCATCATACGGAGATGTCGACAACCCGTCGATCCGCGAAATCACGCTTCGTTCCATGATGGGCGAGTACGGCGGGAACGCGGCATTGCTATCGCTCTGGTTCAATCCCGATCCAGAGGTGAATCAGTGGCAGTATGAGATTCAAAAGTGTGCCGCTGGTGTACAGCATATCTGGTGGGCGGTCCATGGACTAGCGCTTGCCAGTTTGATTGGCGTGTCTGTCCTTGTTGGAATCTATGCTGGAGAGATTGTTTGCAATTTGTCTTCAAGAAAAGAACCTGGGAAGGCGTCTCGAGAAAAGCAGAAAAAGTCGGTTCCAGTACCGCAAAAAAACAAATCCTCACAGAAAACATCGGAACGCTAAATGCCTAGAACAAGATTCTACGAGGCTTGTGGATATCAATAGAGATCTAGTAAATATGTAATACAATGTGTAATAATTTAATATAACCAGTCCACTAAACATAACTTTATATAAACGTTTATATTATTGTGATTATTATTATATTCATAAACGCTTGCTTATTTATAATTCTTCAGAGAGTGTATATGCTAATATAAGCTTACAGACATTCCTCAGTAAACATAGATTAGCACCGCATTATATACAAGCGCCCCCTGAGAAGTCTAAATTAATCTAACATAAATTGGTGTAGGTGCAGATGAAAGACAGGTAGAAAATCCCATACAATATTCAAACTTTGGTCATATTAGTGTACATTTATGCTCTAGGTACACGTAAAGTTCCAAGCCATGACTGCTTCAGCAAGTTTTGTAGTCTAGTTATTGCTGTATTTTATTACAGAAAAAGAAGTAAAAAAAATAATCTCTAGTTCAAGTTCAAGGTCATATTCGTACAGCATATCGAAAAAGCGCAAGACAAGAGAGGAAACTTGGGTATGTGCTTTATTTATTCTAGTATCATAAACCAGTTTTTGCAGCAATCTGACCTTCATGCTTTCTCATATTCTCATACATTATGGCAGCAGCAGATTATTGAAAAAAGAACTCGAATATCCAAGCGTGGGGGTATATGCAGGGAAACAAGGGAACGCCTGGATAGCTGCCTTAGGCTTCTTTGACACGAAGTGCTGGCAGTTGAGAAAGGAGATAAGGTGAAACCAAGAAAATAAAGAGAGAAAAGAAAAGTAAATAAAATTAAATATCAAACAAAGTCAAGACTGCAAAAGAAAAGAAACCTGGCGAAACGATAAGTTATAGCAAATCATACAAGAGATCATGAAACCGACTCTGGGAGTGTCTCGGGCAAAGCATCTGTTGATGGGGACTGTGCGCTCGCTGCTAATGATGGTGCTGCTTCGTTTTCAGTAGACCCTTCTTCTGTGGTAGGTTCAACGCTAGCGGTCGGTTTGTCCAGATTTAACCCTTGGATCTTCAAACCACTGTCATCCTCATTGGGCTCAGATACGGGAGTGACACTTGGCTCGGTTTCCATTAAGGCAGGAGGTCGCTGGTTCATTAACAGTGCTTGTTTCAGACTGATCGTCTTTTGCTTGTTTGTCGTCTCCACAGGAGTAGTCAAATCTCGGTCGATAGTAGCTTTCATCAGAGCGGCCATCCACAAACGGCCTTCTTTCACGTTATCAACCTGAAAGTAATGTATTGTAGGCTTGGTGAATTGAACTGTTCGAGACACGCCACTCTTCGGGGGGACCAATTTGAATATAAAAGGGGCCTCTGGTGACTTTGCCAGACTAGAAACATCGCTTGTTTTCTCAGTGGGAGATTTTGACGCTCCTTCTGGTGAGGTTGGAGAAGCTATAGCACCAGTAATTGTTGCATGAAGTGCCGTCAAGGGATCATTATCAGCTCGTAGAACGCGATGCGCTGTAATGTCAATGAGTCCCCGCTCTTCCGTGTCATTCTCAGAATAGTAATATGATAGGCGACGACCTCGAAGCACAAAGAGGCGCGGTTTCCACGTCGTCATCAGGTTTGCCGAGCGTTTTTTCATCCAACCACTGTAGTCACAACCTGCCATTTGTTCTTGTGGGTTCTTTTTCTCTAGACCACGGGTATAAGCACTCGTATCCTTCTTAGTCTTGCTAGCAGCTTTGGACGGAATCCTGGGTCTCGACATGGCGAATGGGCCATCAATGGCTTTGCCCGATCCATCTGTACTATGACGTTCGGAGCTTTTAGATGTAGCTGACGGTGTCGTGGAGCCTGTTCGGCCAAGTCCAAGGGAAGGCATGAAATCCTTAACAGGGGATATCGGCGACTGGTCCTGGACACCTGCGATTCCACTCGCGCCATCTGATGTAGTGCGCAACCCGACGGCCCGACGAAACTTCGGACCGACATTGCGGATGTTCGCGAAGGGTGAAGGAGAAGATCGTCCTGTTGTCTCATTTTCACTCCTGCCGGCAAACGGGGAGAAAAATGAAGGGCCCGTACTAGATTTACCCTCAAGATTTGTTACAATCGGAGGACCAGAAGCGGGATCTGCTATCTGACTTCCTGTACTCCGCACTCGTCCTTTGAGCGAACCGCCGTGATAAGCCTTAGCTGCAGCAGACATACGAGTGGCAGAGTCAGTGCTACCGAAACGCGAGTGTCTGCGCTGGCTGGGTTGCTCATCAACGAAGCTAGACTGCCTAGAATGGCTGGCACTGCCCACTGCAGAGTCGCGTTTTCGCAATAATCGTCGAGTCCGACGAGTCTCAATTTCCCCTCCTGAGAAATAACCTCGGTCGAGAGCGTCGTTGTCTGGAATACGTGGTGAGGAATCTACCCCATTAGTTCGGTCGAGGAACCTTTGTTGCAGGATCAAATCGTCATCGGACACTTCGACGGCGGTTCCAGAACGATTTGCAAATGGAGGAACAGTGGAGGTCATAGTCCAACCACGATCAAAAGATTTCTTTTTATGGTGAGAAAATCCGGATTGATTCAATGCGGGAGACCGGTGAGTTGAGTCCATCGACGAATGGCGACGTGCATGGTTTATTTCACGAATAGAGGCTGCTGATGGACGATTTAACAAATCTTGTTGTCCGGATGAGTTCACTGTAGATGGAGACCCGGGACTTCCTTGATATAGTGATGGCATCCGTCGGGAGGGTATACTTGACGGGTTGATCACTGACCGTGATGACGAAGGTCGCTGATCAGATGAAAGGCTTGGAATTCTGGGTAAGAATGGCGCGTTATGTCCAGCGCGACTCGTAGAACGTTCAAAATCATCACCAGGATAAAAGCTGGCCATTGATCCCCTCGCTGAAGACTTGATACCTTTGACCTGCTCTTGGAAAGCCTTGATTTTGTGCCAAGTCTTCAAGCGTCGTCCCATTACGCCAAAATCAAACTCTTTCATGAGTAAAAACTCCTGGCCCATCTCTAGTAGCACATCACCGGTAATTTCCTGTTCTTGAAAAATATCGCAATGGCGAGCATCGATGCCGAAACTCCGCAACTGACGGGCTGTCTCGACATGATCCCACTTGCGCACGTCTTCTTCTCTCGGTTGGGCTGCCTCTTCTTCCTCGTCAGTCTCATGACCATGGATGTAAGAGAGGCGATGACTGATGTGGCTACTGTATTCGCTTCCTGAATCGGTGACCGTCTTCGAGTCCTGGGTGATACTATGGCGAGGTGTGCTGAGATCGGTAATATGCTCATCAATTACGCTGAGCGTTTCATTCATGACGGGGCTATCGCCGTTTTTCAAGTGATTGGCGAACGTTTGGTTGATCGTACGTTGGATGTTAGTGGCGAGTGGTGGGGAGGTTGGCAGGGGACTAGAAGCAGAGCGTTGGGCTTGTTTCAATGGCGGCGATTCAGTCTCAATATTGGGGTCCTGGGTTTCGGATGCACTGGCACGTCTTGAGGCTTGCGGGGTCGTCTCGTTCCTGCTTTCTATTTCTGTGGGGGACATTGTCATGGCTTCCATGTGGTCGCTTCCTATGAGGGGAGATCTATTGCTGCTGTCGGTGCTCGGCGTATCTGACGTACCGGACGAAGCAGTGGTCGGTCGGCGCACTCCTATTCTAGGGTGTACGGTCGTGTACACTGAAAAGATCAGCAGGCGCTCTTTGAGCTTCACGGCGTTGTGTCACGAATTACCTCCTGGAAATAGACCCATCTTCCCAGTTAGAGTGTGTTTTCCCAAGTACCATCCATCTCCAAAGCCGTCATCTAATTCAACCAGTTCGATCTTCTCGCCTTTTCGCAAGGTCAATTCGTCCTCTCCGCGAGCTTCAAAATTATCTAACCAGCAACCAAGACAGATCAGCAAACTCAATTCTTCGGCAGAAGACACCTGTAGGGGCAATCAATGCATACGAATCACAAGTAAAAAGTCGCCTGGTTTGGGCTGGCGATTCGGTGTAGTCTGCGCCATGGCTGTCTTAGGCCGACCCCAGCCGGTCGAGTTTGCGATATGGTCAATAACAGGCGGATCGCACAGCTGTCACGGATCGGCTGGAAACGGTAAAGAGCAACATGGAGCGAGGTCTGCAGTGACGATTGTGATTGTTTCCCTGCCTTGGAGGGAGCAGGCTGGCCGGGTTCAGACAGAGGCTGTGAGAGAGCGAGTCGAGGGGAGCCGAAGGCGGATGGAGAAATGGAATGAGCCGAGAAGAGACGAGACCAGCGACGGTCGCGGGGTTAGGCAGTAGCTGAGTGGCACTAGGGGGAAGCGGCTAGACGCGATTCTCGACGCAAGCTGGGCTAGGAGGCAACGCGGACTGGCTGGTGCAGCGACAGCCGTCTTGCAAACAGAGAGGATGCGTCGAGCCGAGCAGCAGCAGAGACATAATAACAAAAGAGAGGAAGCAGCAGATGCGATGGGGGGAAAGAGTGCATGATTTCACCAGCCAGAAGAGGCCGCACTGCCAAGCCGCTAGTCTGTTCTGAGCTAGAGTCCGTATTTACTTTATTCTCTCACACTTTGCTAGTCGCAGGTCACTAACTTGTGTCGTGTCTCTAGCATGAATATTATTATTCTTATTATTACTATTATCCCGTATTAAGCAACCCAAGACGATTGCCACCGCCACTCGACGGCGAGCTGGCTGCTCCCGACGATAGTCTTGAGAACAGAGGCAGAGATAGCCTCTTATCCACGTGCCGAGCTGAGCGACGGCGCCAGGCACTATTGAATTCCCTTTGTGTGATGCAACCTAACTACCGCAGCTAAATGCATAACTCACCAGTTAACACACACTCGGCATCGAGGCAATAATAATAGACTTTCTCTTCCTCTTTCTCTTCCTCTTCTTCTTCTTCTTCTTCTCAAGTATGTAAGTATGGAATATGGATGCTTGCTATTGAGACCAACACCCTGGCCAGCCTGTAAGCGGCTGCCAGCTAGCTCGCGATGATGTGTTCGCGGCCCGTCGAGCCGACTATTGATGTCGGCCAATTATTTTGCTTACCGCTGCCATTATTGCTCGTGAAAGATCATGCATTGATCAACCAGGGGTCTTGCGCAACTTGCTATGTTTTCGGCCTGCTCGAATTAACCAACAAGCGTCCAGGTCCCACTGCCTCTGTATGCAATGGCATCAATGAATTCCTTGCTGTTTGCAGTCGACCAGTGGCAGCCCATCTCTTTTTTTAGCAAGATGGTTCAATGGAATCAATAACAATAAGACTGCCTGCATGGTGTGGACTCCGTGGGTTATGCGATGGGAGGAATAATATTGTCGTCCCCTATTATGATATCATTACCCCTGGTCGCACAGTAATAATATCAATGGTACTTGGACAAACAATCTGCCCTGCGGAGTTGCTCTGGTTGCGACATGGCTTTCTTGCTGCATCATGTGATGTGTCAGATTGTACCAGCCAACCAAGACGGCCAGTTGCATACGCCCAATGCAGCGGCACCAGTCGATGAGCCTGCGATGCACGATCTGTTGAATCCCCCCTCCAACCCAGTAATAAGCCGACGACATCACAAAGTATTTTCACAGCTCTAGGTCTTTTCTGTACTGTGGTGCGTAGGAAATAAAACCATTAAGCCCAGTCGCAGTTGTTAATACTGCAATTTTATCATAACCTATTGTTCTCCGCAGCAGTCCCAAGTTTTTAGTGCCTGCCGCCACCGCCTATCGGGTGTTCACCATCGCCATCGTCCACCGATCACAACGTCTTTCTCCAGAATCTGCATCGAAGCCCGCGTCATTGGATGTTGCTATTGAGAGAAGTCTCGGATTGAAACCGCAGGATATGAGGTAAGCGTGCAAAGGGGCACGAATTCCCTGAAACCCGTCGGCAGCCTCATCGCCAGTCCTTATTGGCATATCTTCTTTGGATTCCTTTCCGCTAACCAACGATTCTATGGAACCTGTGCAGAACGGCTCTCCTTCCTTAGAATTGTCGGCCGTGATTCCGGACACTCGACAGGCTGTTGATGGAAGGAATCTAGAAATATTCTTTATCCCACCATACCATGTCCCGCAGAAACGATGTGTCCGGCGCAACAATCTCCGGAGCTCGCGACCTCCAACTCGACCGCTAATCGATTTTTGGGAACTGCGCAAAAGCCATGGATGACAAATGGCACTTTCAAGCCAATGCAGTCTCCCAAAAGGCCAGCGGTGGCTACGTCGCATGTGGCCGTCACGGCGACGCTGCCGTCACGGCCTTGCGCCATGCCCTCATACTTTTCCGAAACACCCTCTTGTGTTCCCATGACTGGCTATGTGTCTGCGCCATTCGATCCCGTCCAACACCGCATGCCGGAGTCTGTTGAGGGTGGCCCTGCAGCTGTTTCGAATGTTGGGCTGGCTCCAGTGTCACCGGTCACGCCTGGAGCCTATCCATCGGCACCACTACCGAGTAGACTGCACGCTCCGCACGGTGAACAGTCTGGTCCATCTCCCACTCTTCCGTCTCCCGAGCCCAGCACTGATCTTCATATCAACCAAACAGCAACGACTGAAGCCGATCGCGCAGGCGGCCCACCGACCGTCGCTCCTGCCGCGTCTGCACTTGCCAGAGCGCAGTCGGCTTCCGGCGAAGGCGCGCCGGCCACAGAAGGCTACAACAACAACAGCAGCAGCAGAAGCAGCAATAATAATCTCTCATCTGCACCTTATCCATCGCCCACCCCTGTCTCGACGCCCCTCGACATTCAGTCGCTTTGGAAACATGCCAGAGGCAGGTTAAGAGTCCTGCTGGACAAGTCCAATCGTCAAATCAGCCTATCCGAGACGGTCGAACTGCCGCGCGTGCGCATCTTGCAAGACGCATGTGTCACTGAAGACCTGTTCTACTTAGCCCTGCACCAAGTCTACTGCATACACTCATATGCCCCGTCGCAGCTCCAGCCTCTTTCTCAGTATGGCCTTACCTCAGATGTCGGTCTCCATGTAATCAAACAGCTGCTAGTGGACAACCAGAGGTTGTCAGGAGATTTTCTCAAGTGGTGTGTCACCTTCCCTTGGCCGCTCTCATCTCTGCTGGAAGTGGAAGCGTATCGATCAATCCTCGCCCAAGTGGCATATTGTTTGTCAGTCATTTCGAAACATTGGGTTAGTTTTGAACACAGCTTGCGCGCTCGTGGTTTTCCACCACAGGTAGAAGAATTCGTAGATCGGTTAGGCGTCAGGTCCAGCGTTTTGCAAACCATCATGTTCACTGCACTATCGCGCCGTTTATTTGGATCTCGAGAACAATTATTGAAGGATTGCATCGCCATTTTTGAGCGAGATCAAGCAAGTTACAAGAGGCGCGGCACTTGGCACAGTCGTGACGACAAACAAAGAGAAACATCCTCCTTTAAAGAGCAATATCAAAGGGCGTGCATCGCCCATGGTGTGTTGAGGAAATCCTCCAGCAATCAACACCAGGCGAAAACAATATCGTCGTCGTCACCGCATGTTCCAATGAACATCACTTTAGCAGGACCAACACCAGCAGCGACAGGGCCTTCGACAACACGGGCATCTCCAGCACAGTCGCCAGCCACGGTTGCAAACGGCCACCACCCCATGTCAAACTCGCCGACAGTGCCGCCACCACAACAACAAGGACCTTCACCCACACACGCCTTTTATCCACCACCATCCCATCATACTTTACCTTCTCAAGCTAGCCCGCTTCCTTCAAGGCCTGTGCCAGCGCCAAGTTCAGGTTTCCATCCAAACATGCCTTCAAGTATGCCTCCAAATACTGCTTCCTGGCAATCGAGGCATCCCCCACAGCACCCTCCTCTATCGATCCCTCTCCATGCGCCACACCATCAACCATCTCAACCTTCTCCACAAGATTTTTCTATCCCAACATCAAGACAAGGCCCTGGAAAAAGCCCAGTCCCTATTCCGTCTCCTAATAACCTGGTATCCAATACTCAATTGCATTCTCCAAGCTTTCAAAGTCGTCCGCACCACGGACCACTTCCCCCCAATGCAGGGTCTATGGGGCAGCCAGTCTCATCTACTTCACCTACCATCATTGCTCCTCCGAACACAGGACCAAGCCCATTTCCTATTGCCTATAATCCATATCCTATTGGCCAACATATGCAGCCTCCGTATACATACGGTCAGCCAGCATTGTACCCTCCCCGCATCCCTACCCTGTCGATACCAGCAATGCCCTTTCCCTCCCAGCTCATTTCTAAACCTGAGCAACAGCAGGCATCGCCCGTAAAACAAGGGTCTAGTGCTGCGTCTTCGCCGACTATCCGCAAACCGTCTTCGTTCTCGCCTCCAAAGAGCGATGGCCGTCCTATGCCTGCCCAGCCAGTCATGATGCCAGAGGCAGTACCTACTCTTGTTCATTACTTCTCGGACTTCGCGATACCTCCGGCCAGGCTAACATATAACCGCTCTTCATTCAAATGGCAGTTTTCGGTGTCGCGTGAAATGCTTGGGAAACGTCCACGCTTAGCTCCGCAACAAGATAGCCGCACATTGGTGCCTTACTTCTCCGATAACAATGTGTCCTATCGCCTTCGCTGTATCAAGTATGAAGGTCAAGTCGATGTCGATTCATTGGCAGCCTGGTCTCGAGCCGAGAGTTCCTGGCCTGATGTCGTCTATATACATGTTAATAGCAAGGAGTTACACCGGCCACACAATTCCAAAAACCTGCCACTAGATATCAATCGGTTTTTAACCGAGGGCACCAATGAGATCAGATTGAATGTCTTACGCAATACCCAGCAACGGACAAGAAACCTTTCCTACGCCATCGCCGTGGAAGTTTTGAAGTTTAAAAGCACAAGGAGCTTCAGAAATAGTGTTAAGAATTTACCATCTCAAAATTCGCGCCAACAAATACAAAACCGACTAGCTGTGAGCAATGATGACGAGGACTTGGTAATTATGGATAATTTCATCTCCATTGACTTGAGGGATCCCTTCACAACGCGCATATTTGATACCCCAGTTCGAGGGTCGGCTTGTACTCATAGGGAGTGTTTTGATCTCTCTACTTTCTTGCAAACGATCACTTTCACATCTTCGTCGATGGGAAGACGCACTCCGTATCTAAGGTGTCCTATTTGTAGGAAAGACGCTCGCCCTCATATGCTAATCATCGACAATTTCCTCCTCGAAGTACGAGCTGCTCTTAGTCAAGAGCAGAAATTGGAAACGGCAAAAGCCATTCGTGTTAAATCCGATGGTTCCTGGGAAGCAGTCTTGGAAACCGACAACGAACCTAGAACTCCAAGCAAGAAGCGGGATCGAGCTTCCTTCGAAGCCGATTTGCCTAAGGATGAAGACAGTCGCGAAGTGAGTCTTTCCCGAATCCCTGAGGCGCCTGAAGTCATCGAACTAGACTAGAATTCGTCCTTTCAAAGTGCAGTCGCGATGGCGATTCTCTCCATCCATTTATTGTGTCGATACACTTTCTAGTATTTATATTGGAGTTTGTCTTTTGACTTTTATCATTTTGATACCCAAAATTATTGAAGCGGGAGTTCTGTCACGTCTTTTAACTGAATTTCAGCATTTCTGATTTGCAGTTATTGTACAGCATTTGAATTTTTATTATTTCGGGAGCCAGTCTTTTGCTCTTCTTGTGGTCAGCATTTGGGTGGTCTCGTCCTTTTAGCGTTGATTGTTGGCAAGGTATGATTGTTTAACGAGTAGATAAAAAATTAGTCATTCAATCGATTACATACATGATAATCCTAAGTACGGCTCTTCTCGAGGGGCTTTTTAGCTGAGATGTCAACGGTGCTTCCTGGATCATTACATTCAATTATTATTGGAATTTTTATAGATTACACTGATGTCATTGATGACAAAGGTTTCAATATAGTATTAAGAATTTCTATCTGTCTTTTTCTTCATTTGCACCAATTTATGTCAGATTAATTTAGGCTTCTTAGGGGAGAGCCCGTAGATAATGCAAAAAGTTCAAATACAATAGTATTGTTATTTATGTAGGGAGTGCTCCTATACCCAATCCACTTTTGTGGTGCTATATTCAAACTTTTGCCACCCTACTGTATAATGAATGCTATGTATTGACTCACCCCTCCGTTGGTTACCCTCCATATGTAGAAGTGGGTGGTTTTTAAATGAGAAAATAGCACAGCCGAAGTTTAATATTCTGGGTTGCCCATTGATGTTTGATGTTTTGTGGATTTATCAAAGGAGAAATGGGATGTGAAGAATGAAGATATATTAAGAACCGAACTAGAAAATTTGACATTTAAGACACTGAGAATTTAGTCTACACATAACCGAGTGCCCTGGGCAAACTTACCATTGGTATGCCGACACATAGGTTACTCCCTGCATCTGTCAGTACATAGTATTGACGGTTATTTACTTTGTGATATCAATAATTGATGATCCTAGCATTACTAAAGTTTTGGCTCATGGATGTAGGCAAAGCTCTATTTTATCCCATCACCATAGTATTGAATGCAACGGGAGTAGCCCTAAAAACGATATATACATTAAAATGATAATTAATATGGAAAAACAGCCGTCTGTTTTTCCCGTCAAGTTCTCCTTGAGATGCTGAATCAAGTCATCCTGCGCTAAACGTATTTCAAGTCCCTAGCACGCAATTATAAAGGTCGTAAAGTGTTGTCATATATAATATCAGAAAAGTGGGAGTCGATCACCAAGTTGGTGTTATTTCCGAACGCGCCTAGCATGGTTGACCAAATTTTCAATCACTCCTTCAAATGCTTCTTTCTCGCTAATTAGACCATCGGTCTTTTTACACCAATATTGGAGTACCTCATCTGCTTTTGTCGTCGTCGTTTCTAGCAGTACCACATGGCCTTGGAGCTCAGTGTCGGTGAAGCCATCTAGAGCAGCATCTGTTGTAGAACATAGTCGCCGTACCGCCGAAAGATCAAGCTCCGGGGGGGTGGTTGTCCTCGACGTCGACTTGGCCTTTGTCGTGAACCAGTTGAGTTAACCGATAATGTGGAGTCGTTTTGAGGACCAGTGCCGTCGTTGTTTTTTGATCTGTTCAGGGTTTTGGATAAGTCGTATGCAGAAGCCCCAGAGCCTTCGAGATTGATGGATGGTAGGATCAGTTTCTTTTGTTTTGATGCCGGTAAAATTTCATCTAAATCAACAGGGACACCAAGGGATACTAAAAATAAGCGTCGAATGCGAGACTTGACCCAGTTGGGAGGTTGCAATGGGGGTGGAGCGACAAGCTGTGACCATAACGAGAGTGAACGTTCGCTGCTGAATATTGCTGAATGATCTGATATTGGCTCTAAGGGCGGCAGAGAAGAAATTTCTTTTGTTTCAGGAAAGAGTGTGTCAAGAGAATCTTCGGTCGCTGACAAAAGGTCGGAGATGGAAGGCATAGCGTTAAACTCCGGAAGGGGCAGCTATAGACTTCTTTAGTAAACCATCCTATCACAGTTCTTTTTCTAGACATACCAAAGGCGACGCAGGATGCTGCGTGGAGACTTTACTAGGATCTTCAAGAACCCCCTCTGCGGGACCTTCAAAGCCCTCGTCGAAATCACCAAAATCATCACCTGCTGCTTCACCATTTTCACCTTCTTCGAATTCATCAAAGTCATCACCAAAGTCGTCATCGCCTTCATCAAAAGCCGTTAGCACTAGTTCGATACATTCAGGGTTCATGGCGATCTTTCATGAACGCCGAGGTGCGCTGCAACTTTTTGGAGGCGTAAATTAAAGCAAGATCAAAGTTCGGAGACCATAAATTGTCACTTGCGCCTAAAGTCCAGCGTATCTAATGGATGTCAGGCTTACCGGAGGTATCCTCTATTGTCTCTATAGAATCTGGCAGTGCATCACTGGGGCTTCGGCTGTGGGCACGGAGCCTTGGTGAGGTAGGGTCTTTCGGAAGAGTATCCACTCGTGAGAGTAGAGTTTCAGGAACAGATTGTTCTGAGTATTCCCGCTGCAAGGTTGACGGTGTCTGATCGCCTGGTGTTTTGACAACAGTATCCGGGACCGCATCTGCCTTTCGCAATTCGTACGCTTCCGTTCCTGGTACCTCACCGTGGCTTGGTGTTTCGTCGACCTTCACAACCATCGTTCGTGGAATGGGGGTTCCCCCCGGTGTGGATGGCCGTGCTACTCTGGACGAACTTCGACTCCGCGAACCCTCTGGCACCACTTCCATTTCATCCGGAACGGCATCCTGTTCTCTCTTTTCGTATGCCAATGTGCCAGGAACCTCTCCATGGCGGGGCTGGTCATCGACCTTCTCAACACGCGTCCGAGGCACTGGCGAGGCTGCTCGAGACGAGGCTAAGGAATTCTCTTGGCTGCGGCCTTCGCTGGCATCGGAGAAGTGGTCTTCTTCGCTTGCTAATAATGCGTGCGAGGCAATTAGTGGAGAGTCACCCAGAATGGCAAGAATGACGTACCAGACTCCTGAACCCCGGAATCCTCCACCTCGACGCCCTTGTGAGGTGGCTCTAGATGCGCGCTGGACGAGCTCGATTTATCCGACATTGAAGAGGCGTCGATTGTGCACGTACAGCGGCGAGCGAGCGAAAGGGGTTGGGAGGAGATCGGGGGGGTGAGACGAAGAGGAGAGGAGGAGAGGATCAATTGCTGGAGTTGAGGCAAGTCCAACGGTCGTCGAGGGCCCAGCCCGGTGCCACACATGGCCGGGTCGCGACTGCTGCCTGAGGCTGCCACGCCTTAGTGGAAGCTTAGGCCCGTCGCCAAGCCCAGTAATAATGCTAATAATCCGGCGCGTCGGCGAGCAGAACTTCAGGACCTGCGAAGAATCCTAGCTGGTTATAGCCTCCTCACAACCACGCTCACGCTGTACAGGGCTAGGTTCCGGAAATCGATCTCTTGCTGATTGTGGCGCGCAGTGAATTGTCGCTAAGCAGTTTTCGACTGGCGTTTCGTGTGTAGCGACTCTCGACGATCGTCTGGTTTGCATAGAGCAGCTAACCTCGAACACAACTGAACCGATCCTAATCATGTCCAACAATAACCCGTTCTCGTTCGGCACGCCTGCCTCTAGTGGAGCGCCTTCTGGGGGTCTCTTCGGCTCGAACTCGCCTTTCGGGTCCAACCAAGCTGGGTCGAATACTGGTGGCAGCTTGTTTGGAAAGGTGGGTGGTGGTGCATCGAGTGGCACCTCATCGCCGTCGCTTTTTGGCACTTCCAATGCCGCCTCAGGACAGACACCTCTCTTCGGTGCGAAACCAAATACAGGCAGTGGTGCCAGTACGCCAAGTTTCAGTTTCGGAAATCAGAATCAGAGCCAGAGCCAGAGCCAGAACACCTCAGCAGCTCCTTCATCGACTCCTTTGTTTGGGTCGGCTCAAACTCCCAACAAAACCGCCGAGGCATCAGCTCCATCTCAGACACAAAGCACCGCTAGTGGAATTTTCGGATCGAAGCCTAGTGGTTTATTCGGCTCCAATACGTCTACTACACCCGCCCAGCAAAAAGGCGGCCCATCTCTCTTCAGCACAACACCAGCCAACCCTCCTCCAGCTAGTACCTCTTCTGGGTCAGCCCCGTCGTTATTCGGTGCACAGAATACCCAAAAAACTGTCTTTGGCGGAACAAATACACAACAGACCTCAGCAGCTCCTCCCGCAACGCAATCTCCAGCCAGCAATTTGTTTGGACAAGCGGCAAGCTCTGGCGCTTCGAAGCCATTGTTCGGCGCTACACCCTCTACGACCCCCGCAAGTGGTGGAACCCCTTTTGGTGCCGCCAATGCAAACCAAACCCCAGCTCCTGATTCAAAGACTCCTGCATCCGAAGCTGGCTCGAAGCCTCTATTCGGAAATGCGCCGGCAGCCACCTCCGCCACTACACAAGCGTCTGCTAGCCCATTCAAGTTTCCAACTGCCGGCGGCGCCAACACACTATTTTCTGCGGCCTCATCACAACCTTCAACTACTGTAGCATCCACGGCCACGCCTCAAAAGTCAATGTTTAGTGGACTAGGAGGGACTTCTTCCACTACTCCTTCTTCAACACCGGCAGCTGCACCTTCTTTATTCTCAGGAGTGAATAAGCAAGCAGGTACAACATCAAACAATGCTCTAGCTCCAACCACTACAACGACATCAGGGCCAACACAACCAGCTTCAGGTGGTGTGTTATTCGGTGCCAACCTTGCTGCCACTTCTACCCCTGCTACAACTGCAAAGGCTGCCACAGCTGCTGCAACTACTGCACCTACAGCTACAACCACAACGGCTCCGGCTACAACAGTCCCCGCGGATACTACCAAGGCGCCTGCTACCACGACGCCTAATCTCGGAGCTTCTACACTTGGACCAGTGCCGCCTGCTCAATCACGCTTGAAAAACAAGACCATGGACGAGATAATCACTCGTTGGGCGACTGACTTGACCAAGTATCAAAAGGAATTCCGCCAGCAGGCGGAGAAGGTTGCAGACTGGGACCGAATGCTTGTAGAGAACGGTGCCAAGGTTCAGAAGCTGTATGGAAACACAGTTGATGCGGAGCGGGCTACTCAGGAGGTGGAACGCCAGCTTGCTTCGGTAGAAGGACAACAGGAAGAGCTCAACTCATGGCTAGACCGATACGAACGAGAGGTGGACGAGATGCTTTCTAAGCAGGTTGGACCAGGCGAGACGCTTCAAGGGCCTGACCAAGAGCGTGAGAGAACGTAAGCACATGTATCACAGAAAATAGAGTCAACACTGATTATCATACAGCTACAAACTTGCCGAAAAACTATCAGAGCGGCTGGACGAGATGGGCAAGGATCTTGGCAGCATGATTGAGGAGGTCAACAGCGCCTCATCTACCCTGAGCAAGACGAACAAGGCAGACGAACCGGTAAGTTTAATCTTCATATTCACCATTTAGCCACATACTAAACCAGATCCAGATCTCCCAGATAGTGCGCATTCTGAACTCGCACTTGTCACAGCTCCAAACCATTGACCAGGGTACTGCGGAGCTCCAAGCCAAAGTCAACGCCGCACAAAAAGCAGGACAGTCGTTGGGAAGTCGACTGGGTGGATACGGACAGAATGGACATAATATGGGCTTGGGCGGGAACGCCGTTGACGACTTTTATCGGTCTTATATGGGACGTAGATGATCTATCTTCAGCATTTGGGATACGATAGTTCTAGCCGACTTTGACGGGTTTCTTGTTTGCTTTGTTGGGAGTGTAAAGCATAATACTGGGTCCGGTTTACTTCTTCATATTTAAATATCAGACTAGTCTATTAGAATTGATGTCTAATTTGACATCCTATTTAGGCAACTTAAACGAAAACGTTCCAGCTTTTGAATATCCACTACATGGTTGATCCAGATCGGTATGCAAGTATCATACGAGCGTAGCAGGCATCCCCGCGTCAAAGCGCAATTACAAACATCACATGCATGTCTTCATGTGATATGCATATAGTACATTCAATTTGTTGTTGGGATTGCAATCCAGGCTGGTCGCTGGACCAATGCTGTATATTCATGTCATATCCATGCCCAACTGGCGTGACAATGTAGTAATCGAGTGATGTTAGCGGGCCACATAGGGACACACGTCACACAGCCTGCTGCCTTGCTGTGGAAATTCCAAGTTGGAACTACTCGGTCATAGGGCTGCGTTGGGCAGTAATAAACAAAACCGGAGGGACCCTGGAATTGATTAAATTTTATTATTTTTGATGTTATTGCGAACTCTAGATATCAACTGTACGTTCGAAGGAAAATCTATCACTGGTGGTTAAAATGGATGCGTACTCGAAATGATAAATAGAAATGTTTGGTTTTTTTTAAGCAAAAGTTAGATAATATTTAACATCAACTTTTAAGATAAAAAAAGAAGAGGAGCATTAGTTCAAATATTCAATGTTGTTTTGAACTGCCCGAAGTTTGAGATCGATATATTTAACTTTGTTAAATTTGGGAACCATTCAATTTTCTTTTTGTGTTTTTGCGAAAATTTACAGTACTGTCTTCGATGCCATTATGTTCAAAGCTTTAAATTTGATTCGATTTCTGATATATAGAATTTAACTCGTTACTCTCAATGTTTGCGTATACATGTTCGATAACTTCATTTAGCTCAGGATTTGGAATATTACATGTGATTGATTTCAGCTCAATCAACCCCGATGTGAGTATATTTTTATGAGTCCTATAATCCAAAGCGTACATATATATCAATTGATGTAGCCTACTCCTGAAATAGAGCCGATCCCGACGTAATCTTATATCTTCACAATAAGAGACTAAATATAGCCTCGGAACATTTTCAACCTTTCCCTACATAAACCTAACCTTTAGAGTTTGCATATTTCTTTTAAATGGCCGAATTCTTTATGTTATTACACTCACACCCCAAGAGGTTGAATGTATTATTAAGATCTTTTGTCGGTCGTCTCCACTCATACCAATCCATGTCAGATAACTCAGTTCCTACGGTAAGATAACAAAATATAGCGCTACAAAAGTCGATTGGGCGAGGGATACCAATACCAATATTACTACTAATAATTGCGGAGCGTAATAATAATAATAGTTGAATTCTTTGCACTGTCTACGGGCGGGCCCCGAGAAGTCGATACATGTAATTTTAATATAAATAATACGATTAACTCGAGGATACTAACGCTACTTTGTATAACAGCACAAGACTGTAAGTCACACTCAACTCGTAGCATACATAGACAGGGTTCTACAGCATTTAATTCACACATAATTCTCAACCGTTGCATATGTTGCAACTTATCCTGATCTCGTGGTGCACAGCGCGGCGGGGTCGAGAGGGGTTGACTGATACGAGTCAAACTAAGTCAATATCATGCCACAATCTATGTGGAGCTGGGTTGAGAAATGCATTGATGTGACCGCACAGACCCTGAAATGACCGGGATGATTATATTGACCTTATCTAATATATTACTCATGATAGGCTTGGTTACAGTTGTGTTTGTATGGATACCATAGATTTTAAAGTTCGTGTACGTATGGACATGCATGTCAAGATAGATATTAGCTATGTTTCAGTTAGCATGAACCAGCAGGATAATGGCATTGTTGTTCGTGTAACAGGTACATCGATATGTATGTATCAGTTGATATTTGCATTCGACCAATCAGGTGCGTTGTTTGGATGCATCAATGAACACATAGTCCATACTGAGGCCAAAGATATTTTCAACCATCGGAGTACTTGTTCAATATGTTTGTGACGCTGATCTGTCGGAATCAGGGTCTGGGCTGTCGATATAGTACTACTTGGTGCTGCGAAGCACTGTGATGCAGCTGTTACTAATTAGGCCGAACAGAGAAAGTAGTCAGGCAGATGATCAAGTCAGGAACAAGTCAGTACAATGCTGATCAAAATCCTCCTAAACCACCATTATGTTCCACCATGGTTAGAAGTAGGCAGTCCGTGTGAATAAGGAATACAAGTCGTCCGACTCGGCAAAACGACACCAATGATTGACCGACCCTCTGACATAATGAAAGTACCAAGCTACCAGTCAGCAGTCCTGGCAATAATGTATTATTCCGATCTGCTAGTTCACGGAAATGGCTGATCATTCTCCGGCTGTTGTCACTGGCCGGTGGGTTGCAATGGCTGCCAATGGGATCCGTAGGCGCAAGTGGGATGGCCATTCTGATACTGATCCTAACTATTGCCTCCTCAGCCAATGGCGGGGGCCGGGATATGCAGCATGCCGCGGTAGCCTATTTATATTTTTTATATTTTTATATTTTTATAATTATTATAATAATAATTATTTTATCAATATTTTTTTGTTTTTCAATGCTTCAGTAATTTATCAGTTAATACTATTTAATAAAGATGATTTTGTATCAATGGTGTGTTATATTGCTCAGTAATACTGAATGAAAGCCCCACCGACTAGGGCCACGAAGGCGGACGGCGGCGTGCGGCAAGGCGGCCACGCGCTGCAGGGGTATTTGCCATTCTTTTCTTTTATTCTTATTCTTAGTTGTGTCCTTATTCCTATTCCTATTTTTTTGGTATTTATAATATATCTTTTATGTATGTTTATGTGTGTTTATGTTTATGTTGATACATCCCTGTCTATATGGAAGAATAGTGCTGTTGATCTCGAGAGAAATGAAGAGAATCGAAGAGCAAACAGCAAAATGGCGCCGATCTTGCCCCCCCCCCAGAGATAGTCACGCGGGGTTCTCTGGACACTGAGTGATGACTGGAGCCCGCCGCAGTAGGGGCCCGTTCAGCTGAAGACGAATTGTGATAATAATTGTTTTTGTATCAAATAGAACTTATTACTATGGTGCGTATTACGTTGTATACTTAACAGTCCGGTAAATCTACCCTGTCGGAAGTTTCTTACTGTCTGCATAAGCCAAGACGACATTGTCGCATTTGACGGATTGTTACAATATATACAATAATGTTCTCGCGCTACTGTGGGTTTGCCCAAACGTGGCGTCGTCCCCACAAGACATTCGCGTCATTTGACCGCTGCAAACCAAATAGAAGAACCATTAATAATCTTCAAGAAATATATGTAATATTGAATAATACATGCTGTAAAAAGACAGCAGCGGTGAACGGGGAAAAAACAAAACCTGGCGGTGGATCCAGAGGGTCGCAAGGCAAGCAAGGACGATCATCAAGTCCACCCCCAATTTTCAAAGGAAAACGCTGATCCGACTCGCCTACGAATCAGCTGCTCGTGCTCGGCCAGTTACGAGGACGGCGGGATATGGATCAACATGATGCAATTAGCCTCTAATCTACCAGTCTCAATATGCGTAGTATTACTAATAGTACGGTAATAAGTAATAGGGCCCAAACAATATTCACTGGTTCTTCTGACTACTATTGTTACAGGACTGACATCAAATATTAAAAGCACGGCTGGTCTGCTGACCCTGGCCGCTTGCCCCTTGGCAATCCGGGGGATGTTGGATTCCAAGCTGATAGTGCTATAGTACGATTCTTAGGAACCGATACTAGTCAGTTGTAACTAGGATATATGAATGGGCATGATTTGTTGGCCGGCTCGAGTGGCCACGTTGCAGACTGCGCTTGCGTTAATTTGGTAGGTGGTAGTACTTGACGGAGTACTCCGTCTACTGCTACTATTACCAGAGGTTCATAGTTAGCTCGTAGAATATCCTCCGTAGATGGTTGGTAATAACTTGATTTGGATACCAGGAACCGCCTGGTCGGTGTCGGCGCGCTTCACCGTGCAGCGGGTCCCACATACATTTGCAAGGTAGTGTAATTATCGCGATTTTATGTTGATGTCGGATGCAGCCTTCTCTGATACAGCCGCTGTATGACAGTGTTTCTGCATTGACGATCAATGTCGTCATCATGCCCGTTTGCATTCCGCACATTCTCAGCCTCTGCATAGAGCGACCACAGTGTGGTACTATATGTTCTATTCTATGTATCACATACACTCTCAATAATAGACACAGCCTCCGTTCCTTATTGAGGAGTACCGTTATTAATCAAATAGTAAACAGTAATTAAAAAGTAATGAATAGTTACACACCGCGCCCATGGTTCTTCGCCGCACTACGGCGCAACCGGCCTAGCGTCCTGCCACGGTGTGATTCTGTTGGTCAGCCGCGGATATTAGTATAAGCCGCGCGCGTTGACTACTTTTGTCCTCTATCTCATACAAACAGTACCATCGCGACTGCTAAGTATCAGACTATGTAACTTAGTGCGGAACCGGAGTGTGCGAGTGCTCTAGTTTCGCGCCAACTAGAGGGAGGGTTAGTCTTGAATTGGGCACGACACCTTCGAGAAGTCCCGAGGAAGATGTACTATACGGCATGACAAATAATAGATGATTGAGACATAGTCTATTTGAGTATCAGCGTGTTTTCATTGCAGCCATATTTATTCTATCTACGATATGTTGTTATCAGGGCAGTCCAAAGTTCAGGTATTCGTTGTACGGGGTACCTGACTGAATCATGTGGACAGCCAATGGCCGCTCGTTTCGGAAGGGTCACTACCCGAAAGTGGTCCATTGTTCTCTGCCATCTTTGTGGCCTGATCGAGTGTATACAACAGAATAAAAAAGATTTTTTTATATTCATCCTCTGGCGCATAGTGTATATACTATATGCATCTTAATAGCAGCCTCGCTCATACGGGAATATTTGATCGTGTTTGACGACACGATGACGATGGGCAAGTGGATTGCAGTTAATGAGGATCTTCACCGCATACACCGGGATGCACTAACGAGCTGATAGAGGGGGTTGGGTCGTACGCCATCTTGTATTGCACGTCATGATCGTGGCTCTACGACGGCATATTGATGCTCTGGATGAGTACAGACTTGAGAATATTCTTCCGCCGAATGCACTTGATACTATTTGATACTGAATACTGAATGTAGAGGGTACATGCACATGTACATGTGTATGCATACGGATATGTGACTGTACTGGGAATTCATAGCTGTAATGGCGGCCCCGTTCCTATTGGCTGGCCCACACAGCTGGCCCGTCCGGGCCCCGCTGGCAGCTGGCTTGGGTTAGCGTGGGCAAAGTGAAACGGTGCCAGCAGCGAATGGGACGCGGTGGGTGGGCTCGGCTAAGCCTGTTCTGCAGGGATGCCCCACTCCTGGTCCGCTTCGCGTACTGATCGGAGCACTGCAAGCACACTAAGCTCCCTAAGTGGCACGAACCACTTGAACCAGTGGCTGCCCGCCGTCGCAGGCCCACTGCATCATAGTGCGTGCGCTTGGGAGCCCGCTTAATTATTGCATCGGTATCCTGCCTGCCCTGGCTGCTGCTCCCTGCGACTACTGCCGCTGCTACTAATTACTACCGCGACCGACTACTAATTATTATTCCTACCACCCTCTTTTCACCTCCTCGTCGTCACTCGTGAGCATCGCTGCCCGTCGACCTCGATACTCCCATTTCCGATGCTGCTGCTTCATTGCTCTCCATCTCTGCCGCGGCACGACTAATCGCTCTCTCCCCACCCCTGACGTCTTCCTCCCAACAACTGGTGTCTGGCATCTGGTATCTGGCACCATTCCGGTGTGACTCCGTCTCCACCATTCAGTTTTAATCGTGACTGCGCCTGCTACATTGGCTGCCAGACCGACTCTTCAAGGACGTCCAAAGACACTTTCGATTTCACACCGACGATTGGTAACCTCGACGGGGTTCTGAGCGTTTGACGCTCCGCGTGTGTACTACAGGGGTCTGGGTAATTTGATGATGACTGCAGTCTCGGGTGATATACAAGGCGCGGCTCCCGTGCCTGTTATACCTCATCCTGTGGACAGCGATCGTAATTATTTCCCCTCTGTGTCATCCTCTTCATCTTCCATTTCCGACGGCGAACCTGAACGTGGCCGGTCCCGACTCGAGCGTCCCCGTATGGCGAGCCGCAAGCCCAGTGCATCGATCCTGGTGCCTCGGGACCACCCTGAGATTGAGATTGAGGAGGAGGAGTTTCCCCCAGATGATGCTCGTGCCATGAGCCCCCGCCGTGATTCCGCCGACGTCGAGCGTCTGGGGAAGGAGGCTCGCCAGACACTGCAAGAGTGAGTACACTTCCATACTGATATACACTTGAATATAGAGAGAAAGATGGACTAAGTGTCTTAGACAAGCCAAAAACCTCCAATTATCACTACAGGCGCTCGCCGAACGCATCGAAGAAGTCAAGAATGACCACGATAAGCTGGAGAGCGAGAACAAATTTTTACAAGATTATATCGGCAGCTTAACGCAGACCATGTCAAAGAGCGAGATCACATCGACCACCGCCGGAAAGACGAAGAAGAACCGGAAGTAACGGTCGCGGTTAGATCCAGCGGCAGTCTCTGGCAGACACCACGTTGATCGAAATTGATCCGTGGAGTAGATCGAAATACGATGAGGACCGTCAGAACCGATCGCTGGTCCCGCAGGCCAGCATCCGTTCGCGACACGGATACCTAATATTACACGACTTATCATTTGGCTTGGGTGGCATTTTGTCTTGCAATTGCTTTTTGCGCACGCCAACGTCAATGGGCTTTGGCCACGATTCCCCATCATTGACGCATTTGCATTGCATGTTCAGGCGTTGATTCTGGTGGGGGTATGGCGAATGGTTTTCTTCAGGAGAGAAGTAGTCATTTGGTTGATCCTTTCCGCTTTCTCGTGATCCTACTGCGGCTTTAATGCGGCTGGCGGGAACCGTTTGCATTGGTTTTTATTCTCCCTTTTTATTCCCTCAGCTGCAGTCGGTAGATTCAGTGGACCTGAATCTGACGGGGCTAAGGAGAAGTTGGCCCTTCACTTTACTTTTCGAAATTCCGTGTGTTCTGCGTCCCACATTCATGTTCTCTGGGCCGATGACGTAGGCCTGTTTCAGCCCTTGTTTTTTTCCTTTCTTTTTTTGCGCCTTGAGTTCATTTCTGTCCAGGGCGCCACCCGAGACAAGGGATTCCGCCGTTGCCACCACCCATCACGTGACAACCCGCCAGCCCCTTGTTCCCTCTACCCAACCTCCCATCTCCTACTTGTACACGAATCATCAGGGGCATTTCTGCGCGGAGTTGTTTTACGTTATGTTGCTTTATTTGATCATGTGCATAGCGCAGCGGATGTACGGAGTTTGCAGAATGAAGCGATTAGACTATTCACTGATTCTTTCACGGGCATAGCGTAGTGTTGCGACGATCGTCGATGTGTAACCGATCGACATTCCTATGCATGCTTCTATAATTAACTTTGTGGCCTCCTACGTCATGGAGTCTGTCAGTGTTGACACATGTCAAATAAACTGATTGGATGTACCACAGAATACATGTAGAGTAGATTTGGAACGGGCTTTCGTTTCTATTCTATTTGTTTTTTTAATTTACTATACACTATTGACGGGTCCTTTACATGCCTGGTATTGTGATAGGAAATAGCAGATAGTGATACTCGATGAGACTAGATTTCTGCTAGGAAATGCTTTCTGCTTGTAATGGTCATATTACATCTGGTTCATGGTTTTATCTATTGACTATATTCAATACATGTACCAATGTGGATTATATTCTAGCATCAATTTAAATTAATAATGAGACCACTAAACTAAATTGGGGAAGGAGCTGAGTAAATAACTGGAAGACAAATAGTATTGAATGCTATTTCCATTTATGAAATGCGTTGTTGATTCACGATATCAGGACGTAGATTATAGGTATGAGGTGTAATTTGCATATACCTGTCCATACTAGTTGACTCCTATATCACCTGCTTTGATGTAAATACTGATAGTATTTTAAGCAGTCTAGAATCATATTTCATTCTCAATTGATATCAGATAATCTTCATGATTACATGTCTACACTGATATTCACACTGTAGTATATTAACTTAACGGTTTCGAAGATCGACGAAATGGAGCAGAGAGTTGCTCGTCTTGCCGACATCACTTTACAGCATTCATCTATTAGTCTAATTAATATGTTGATTAAACCCTGATTTGTTCGATGGATATTTTCTAATACATGACCGAAAAGTATAGATCGACTTTGTTGCACGCATGGCCAGAGTGAATATTGGATGTTTCCAACATCAATTGATGTGGTTTAACCCTTTAAATAAAGATAGGAAACCATCCTAGATGGTGATAGGTAGTCTTATAATAATCATCGTTGGATAGTAGAAGCATTGCCTCATCCCAATCAACATCAACCGAACTAGTTGAGCTGATTGCAGGCAACACCCGCGCAGTGGATAACTGCAGCTAAGCTAAATTTTCTCACATGTAAACAAAATAAAAGGAAATGATTAAAAAATAACAGAATGAAACCGAGAATAAAATCTTTCGTAGACACGGAACCGGGCTTCAAGGGGGAAACAGGAACAGGATAGCGAGAGGGCAAGACAAGGGAAGGGGAGCCATAAGCAGGAACTTAGCTAGGCCAGGGAACAAATAAACAGATCAGGATTGCCATAGCATAACCAACATCAAGGGTCAGAAAAGGCGCCGCGTGAAATCAGAAAATAGATGCTAAGGAAATACCATGTAGCAAATCTGAATACGTTACTTGGAGAGAAAGGCTTAAGCAGAGAAAAGTTCGATAACAGGGTCCGAACCTTGATTTGGCTCCTCCGAAAACTAAGACGAAGTGCTGTCAATTTCCAACTTCCCTGCACTGTAATATCCCCCCTCACAATTCGTGTATTCGGCACATAATACTCCTTCCGCTCTAAAATCTTACGCGGACAACCTCGTCCTTGCTTGAAATCAATCGACTCATAGCCATTCCTCAACGAGTCCAAATTTTGCTTTCTTTTTGATATTATTTTACTCGGCAGCAGCTGGGGCCTCGGTTGAGGCGGCGGGCGCCTCATCCTTCTTCTCGGGGGCAGCATCCTGAGAGGTCTCGGCCTCGGACGAGGTCCAGAGAGTCTGTATTCATTAGAATTACACCGATACAATTAAGTGGAGTGCACTACATACCAAGTTGTCTCGGAGAAGCTGCATGATGAGGGTGGAGTCTTTGTAGCTTTCCTCGCTCAAGGTGTCCAACTCTGATAATCGGTTAGTGGTGAGTAGAGAAGTGGCGGATACCAAACATACCAGCAATGGCATCGTCAAACGCAAGCTTGGCCAGGTGGCAAGCCTGGTCGGGTGAGTTAAGGATTTCATAGTAGAAAACGGAAAAGTTAAGAGCAAGACCGAGACGGATTGGGTGGGTAGGAGCAAGGTCTGTCTGGGCAACCTCCGTGGCAGCCTTGTAAGCCTCAAGAGAAGCATCAGCAGAAGTCTTGCGACGGTCACCAACGGCAAACTCGGCCAAGTAGCGGTGGTAGTCGCCCTTCCTATAAACGTGTCAATCCTGTCATTTACTGAACGAATAAGTCACCTCACATCTTGTGGTAGAAAACCTTGGACTCGCCAGTCTGAGCAGAAGGAATCAAGTGCTTATCGAGAACCTCGAGAATGTCCTCACAGATCTTGGCCAATTCAGCCTCAATCTTTTGGCGGTACTCCTTGATCAAGGTGACTTGAGACTCGTTGCCCTTGGACTCCTCCTTTTGCTCAATCGAGGTGACGATCCTCCAAGAGGCACGGCGGGCACCAATGACGTTTTTGTATGCGACTGAAAGCAGATTCCGCTCCTCGACGGAAAGCTCTTGGTCTGAGGAGGCAACAACCTTCATGTTCTCCACCATTTCTGTTACCAGTTAATGTGACCGCGTCGATGGCAAGGAGTCTGGAAAATACGGACCTTCGTAGCGCTCAGCCTGCTCAGCAAGCTTGGCGAGGTAGACGGCATCTTCGTGACCCATTGTGATTTATGGTGCTATGAACGTCAAGTTAGCGACGGCCGTCTTGCAGCAACAAGTGTGATGTAAAAGATCCAACCAGGAGGGCAGATCAATCCTGCGGCGAGGGGTCCACGGTCCACGCACACAGCATCAAACGCACACTGGTGAATTGTATTCAGCCCCCTTTTTCATGCACCGTCAAAACAAAAATCGAGAGTCCACGATCTCAGTGCCAGCCGATGGAATGAAGGAGAGAGCAGTAGCTGATGAAGTCTTTTTCGACGTCCTACGTCACATGGGGCGGACCCATTGCAGGCTCGTCCACGAAGTCAAGCCGACAGCGACGTGCGTGCCCAACGCCCGCATTTCGAATGCGCCAGTCTCAAAACAATGGCAAACAGCGAAACGGAGGCGATGCGATTCACCAGGCTGTCTCGCGAGACGGCCCAGCGCCGATGTTGACGGTGGTTGTCGGGAGGGGTGGAGAAGGGGCACAAGGAGGAGGGGATGGCGGCTCACCTTAATGGACAACGCGTACAGAGACGAAGGGCAGAAGTAGACTGTGGTGGTCTGGGGGGGATGGAGAGTATAGAGGCGGGACAGGGGGGTTTGTTGCGAGTAAAGGGTGGATGGAATGGAAGTCTGGCGGTGTGAAAAGTGTCTAGGGGAGAGGGGGAGATGGAAGTTGTATCAGAGGCGGAGGATTTGATGTGTTTTTGGGCGAGTTGGAGTTGGGGATTATTATTGAGACGAGCTGGCGTTTGGCGCTTGGCTGTGGGAATTGCAGCTGGGCCAAGCGGATATCGCCCTGGCCAGTGGCGGAGCAGATCAGTCGGGCTGCCGCCTGCTGATTGGCCTGTGTGGCAGGCGGTCAGCGCTGCCGGCCGTGGAGAAGCGAGGGTTGGCGTGCCCTTACGGGTTATAAACAGTCAACAACTGACACACACGCCCGTGTTATGATTACTTGGTATTGAGGAGGATTAGGGTATTATTGGTCGTTATCATTGCTATTATTATTGTTCAGTCTGGATTGCACCCGAGCCCCCGACAAGTGTGTCGACTGTTGAGTTGCCCCTCTAATTTGGCAGCCTCACTTCTGTGTGGTTCTGTGGGCCAATAACCCCTCTCTGGCCCTCTAGACTGCCCCCCGTTCAGACACTGGCCCTGCGGCTGGTTGGCCAGCAGCAGCGTCCTCTTGTACCACGCCTGCGCGTATGATGGTTATGATCGTTCAAGAGCAGTAGTTCCTGTAATTTCCTGCGTCGCAAGGCTGACAGCCTAGAATAAACGTGAGGATGGCGCGTTCAGCTGAGGCGTTTTGTCAGAGCTGGTGTGAGCGGACTCATGATCATCGGAACAACCAAGCCACCAGCCTTCACTCTCATTGTATACAGATAAGAACAAAAAACACGGCTGGCACCTGACCCGGCAGAATTATCACAAGTGGCGTTGAGAATTGATATCATTTTTTTGGCAGCTCATTCGCCTTCAGCGACACAGCCAGCCATAGCCGAAATCTCGGTAGGGCTGCAAACACGCCAAACACTTCAATCACCTGATGTGGGCCGTGGCTGCCTGGGTGCCTGGTCGCTGCCCGCTAACGTCATCTGTCGAGTACTTCCGTAGTCAACCTATCAACCAGTCAATTACCTACCTATCACAGCACATACGACCCGATCATTCCTCCTTCTTTCTCCCGAGAATCATATCTCTTCCCCTGCGTTCAAAATGTTCCGCAACTCCGTTTCCCGACCGTTGCTTCGCGTCAACCAGACCCTCGTTGCTAGACGCTCGTTCTCCGCTGTTGCCGTCAGAATGGCCGAAGGAGACACTGGCGCTCCTAGGCCCGGTGGTGTCCAGTCAAGGTATGCCCATTCAATTCTCTCTCTTTAGAGTCGTTCTCGGCTAACGATGTGTGCTTTATAATAGTGACTCCTTTACCAAGCGCGAAGCTGCCTCGGAGAGCATGTATGTCAAGGAGAAGGAACTTGAGAAGTGAGTGATCATGTAGTGCTTTGCGGGACGAGCTAGGCTAAAGAATTGTCGAAACAGACTCAAGCAGCTTAAGGCGAAGCTGAAGGAGCAGAGACGCCACCTTGACGAGCTTGACAAGCACATGTATGCCTTCATTCTTTGTTCGATGAATTACAAGAGGATTGAATGCTAACTTCTGACCCCCCAGTGACGAACTTACCAAGGAACAAGGAGGCGAGAAGAACTAAACTGATCATCGAGGCTCCTGTCTAGGCAGACAGCGGATATTTCTCATCCATCCCCACTCATCCCACTGTTTCATTATTATCAAGGCTTCGATGTAAATCTGTCCTGTATACCGATACAATTGAATGAAAAATATAGCGAAATTACGCATACTGAGACCTGACCTAAAGCTTCTGCAGACTAGACCTCCAGGGCCTAGTTAATATATACAATGTAGAACGAATACACCGGTGTCCTTCCCCTTAGCAATCATAATGATAGAAGAATGCATCACCTACTCTCAACGAGGAACGGTGATGTTTGCCATTGATACCAAGCTCGCACCACTGCCAGACCCCCGGATTGTGTCTCCACAGTCCGGCCTCGGCCACGGTCATTAACATCGCGCATCGTCCTGCTCTGACTCGCATCATCCTGGTTACGGAGCAGTGTTGAGTCCATTTTTGTTGCCATGCCTTCGTCGGGTCCAGCCTGCTTTGTCAGATCTGTTTGTATTTCTTTAAGCAATCCGACCAGCCGATCTGACCCCTTCCCCCTCTGTCCGAAATTACTGTAATCTAAAGCCCCGTATGGTAATGATGAATCCAGACCTGCTGCACTTCTCGTAGGGTGCAAGCGACCCCACCACATGCCAAATTTGCCCTTCTCATTTCTCGTTGCCAAAGCCGCTCGAGCATTATGAGCAATCCACGATCTGTAGCTTGCGCATCGGTCTAAATGCCACTCATTGAATAATTCCCGTCGTTTGTCTGGCGATGTTTCGATAGTTGTGCTCTCTAGCAGAAATCTCTCTTCTTCTGGTCTAAGGAAATGGCAGAATTCAGCAAGGTGGTGGAAGAATATCCCTTTAAAAGTTTGACCATCTTGCGAACAATCGCCGTGCGCGTCACATATTTCTTCGAGTACACCGTCTCTCCCTAGGCCAGTCCAGCGACGTTCATCTGTGTCATACCATCCAGTAGCCCTAATCACTCGTTCTACTAACTCATGCCCGTCGTCGAGATATTCCTGCTCGGCTGTAGCTAACCACAGACCTCTCAACCCGCTCAAAATGACGCCTTGGTTATAAGTGTAAACCATTGTATTGAGTTCGTCGCATTTCTTAGATCCAGGGTTGCCAATACCTCGGTATCCGCTGATATGAAATCCGTCCGCATAGAGGCCGCCAAACCCGGTCATGTTTGAGTCTTTCAACCACTGATAACCACGTACTGCTGCTGCTAGATGGTTGGGGTCATGTACCTGACAGTTCCCTGAAGATAGAAAAGGCGAGCCAATAGGATCGCCCGTGAAGTACAAGTACATCCCAATACTCGCGGAGATAAATAGTTCATTGGTAATGGCATTCTTATACGGAAGTAAATATGGATTCCATATCATTCCGCCACCACAGAGGTCGCTGTCCCATCCGGTGGAAGCCAATTCATAAAACACTCGAGCTCGATGCGCCGCAGGTACTCGTAGCTGTGTTCCGTGCCATGACCTTTGAAATGTGGTAAAGTTCCTCGAGTCATAATGTAGTTCGGAGTGTAGATTCTGAAACTTGATACTCTCCAACCAACCAAGAACAACCCAGAGCATGTCGTCAAAGGCTTGCATGCGAAGACTGAATGCATTCTCTCCAAAGTAAAACGCAGAAACCTGGTCAAAAAAGCGATTGATCAGATTCTCATGTGCTAGTGTCTCCTCAAACAAAAACCCGGTTTCTGAAGAATACAAGTCCAGGTCTGGAGCAGTAGAGGTCAATGCCGACAAGGCGCCCCATACTTGAGTGCCTATAACGGCAGCCGTCCAGTCGATTGCATCGGGCCAAGTTCCAAGCCATTGCTGGAAATAGCTGCCTTGCATTATATCGAGAGCAGATATCATGTCCTTTAGCGTCTGTTCTGGAGAGTCCAAGGCTAGTTGATGGTTTGCCTTGTCTAGGTTGATAGGAACTTGTGCGTTCGGCAGAGCGTAAGATATGATGCCAATCGAGTGAGTAAGGAGTGGCACAGCCACTAAGCGTGAGATGCACAGCATGATCGGAGGAGCACGCATTTGCATTGAGTAGAGAGACAATATGTTGTTGGCCACAGGTTCGCTGGTTATCTTGATTCTAATCCATCACTCGACGACATCCCCTTCACGGCTTCCGGGGCAATTGAGTGGCAGCCCGATGGTGGGGGAAGACACGCTTAAACATCGGACTATGGGATATACCAATGCTGATAGTGGCGAGTGAGAATGAATATAGTCCAACAAGGGAGATGCGGCTACGAAGCAACAACCAAGGCTAGACTCGAAGTTGGCGGTGATATCCGTCGCATGCATGCACTGCGGGGAAACGGGGCTGGTCTTGATCGGGTTTAGCGCTATGTATTTCGACTTCTCAGCCCTCTCCCCATCTGGAGTGGGCTCCCTTTCAATTAGCCTTCTTGACAGATTGAGGAGGCCCAGGTGCTGCATCAGATCAGCGCGCGGGTCGCGTGACAGTGCTGTTGACAAGTTTTTGAAACAGTTGCGTATACTTTGGTTGGATCACGAACAAATCTCCCTGTCCCCTTCTTCGCACCCACATCTCTCACTGCGCATTTGACAAGGATGTATACATTCATGTACGTATACAATTAGAATAGTGCCAACTGCTATATGGGTAGCTTGAAAATAAGGCAATCTATTTCTGCATTTCTGGAACGCTAATTTTATAAGTACTATGTCATCGGCTCTTCAAGAGATGTCCTGATTATAGGTTACATTTCTCTTTTCTTAATATACTGTACTTTGAGATGATTAACAATCTCTTCAGTAAAAGTAAGTTTGCCATTCATGGATCATGCCCTTGATCATGTTCATTCTCATTGGTCCTATCAAATATCCGAATTTCAAGCCTGCTGCAGTCATTAGCCAAGCCCGATAAACCGTGACAACAGAGACTTACAGATTGCCTTAATATCTTGCGTGCCGACAGAAATCTCATCTTGAACTGACTTTCTTCATTGAGAACAGGGATGTAGTTCTTGAGAGACCGTCGGCGCTCATGTAAAATACCTTTTCCTGCGCCATAAATTGATATTCATTCGCGAGGTGAACAAAAAAACCGCAAATCACGTATCCCCCTTTCTAATCCCTTCCATTGTCAGCTTCAGGACTGCGACTGCGGTCGCGGCTTCTGCTTCGTGCCCTTCCACCTCGGCCACCCTTTTGCGCTCCTCCTTTGCCCTTTGCGCCTGGAGGAGGTCGGACAAAGGCATAGTCTACATGAATAGTTTGGTCGAGCAATTTGGTACCGTCGAGGGCTTTAATAGCAGCGCTTGCTTCGGGGAGTGTCGAATATTCAATCAGAGCATAGCCCTAGAGCAGTCAGTATACCTAATATTGGAAAGCATAATGAGAATCGATGCGCCAATCTTACCTTGACATAACCCGTGCGGCGGTCAAGGTTCAGGTTGAAATTTTTGATCTCGCCGTGTTCAGCAAAGAGATCGGTAACGTCTTCCTCGGAAGCTTCTTCGTGGATGTTGGTCACTAGAACAATCCATCCTTCGATACTTCGGACTGCGACGGCTGCTGAATGCGTTCTTGGCTCAGGGCCTGATTGTGATGGTGCCTCGTTGTCTTGAGTGGGCGGGTCGATGTCCATTTCAGTCGCCATGGTGGTTATTCGGGAGGATAATATGTTGTGAGTGCGTAGTTTTTGTTGGAAGCAGAATTAATGAAATTGAAGAGAGGATCAATGAAAGAGCGGCGTGGTAGGATTAGACACTGATGTTTGGTCGCGGGCCACGAGGTTCAGGAAGCTTTAGAACTTAGCCGACAACGGATCGCGCTTTTCCTATTTCGGATGTCTATAATCCGAGACTCTCAGAATGAGATGTCTGCTTCTAGAGCTTCGGATACTGAAATGAAATGTACCAATAAAGATTTAAAGGATATAGATTATGTTTATCTTTTTATTCTAATCATTCTAGTTTTTGCCAAGCGACTTTGTTGTGATTATACTATTTACATCGACCCGCCTACCAGCTAGCGAGCATGTGAACTACTGGTATTTCCTGATCATAATACATAAAGAGATGAAAGAAAGGAGATGTTTCGAAAAGAAAGGGATATGAGTGGTGATGCTTCTTAGCGTCTATTGTTGCGTTGCATGCCAAGGATCTGCACCATGCGAACGAAGATATTGATAAAGTCGAGCTCAAGGCTAACGCTCTCATTGACCGGATCTCTGCGGACCAGGCCACGCTCGGCAAGGCGGGCGTGGTACAGGATGCGCTGGATGTCATATAGAGTAAACCCACCAAAGACAGCCAGTCCACCATACAACCAGATTCGCTCAGACCACATCAATGTGCGAGCGGCGGTAGCAGGAAGAACCAGCGGGGCAAAGCCGGAAAGAGCGACAACAGCAACGCCGGCCAAGAGAGGGCCACCGAGGTACAAGTACTTCTCCTGCTTGGCAGTGGCACCGACAAAGGCAATCGAACCCATCATGCCAACGGTGTAGAGACCAGCGCGAGCGAGCAGAGCAGGGGACAAGAACATCAACGGCGACAAAAGAGCAGCTTGTGTAACGTTGAAACCGGTCCATAGGGCGTACTTAAGCATGTAACTAAAAAGGATATTTAGTCAGTAATGATAAACATATGATGGAAAATAGTGACGCTTACTTCTCAGGTGGGGTATACATCGTTCCATACATGGTACCAATGCTAGCAACTAAGCCCAAGCCAACAACAGCCCACGGGTTAGTTGCCATCAGTCGAACCGACCATCCGCTGGTATGCAAAGCTCGGGCAGCAACAGCGATAATACCAAGACCCAGGCCAGTGTGCATAAATGTTTCATTCAGGTACTTCCTCTCATAAATCGGCATTCCGCCATCTTCGCGGGTTTCGCGGTTGAAGATCAAGTTTGTGGCGAGGATAGTTCCACCGACAATTGCAGCACCGTACAGTAGCTTTTGAGTCATATCACCCTGGTTGGGTGCGCGATACGTCTCTTGCATGTAATTGCGACGGAAGGTATTCTGAAAGGTCTGTTTTGATCGGACTAGAATAGACGATGGGACGGTCGCTGTTGATGGCTTGGGTGCAGAAGAGCTCTTGAAAGGCGATGCATTGTGAATGTATCGAATGTTGAGATTTGCCCCTCGAGGTGTTGCTTGTTTGAGGGCTGCCGTAACGGCGAACGGCCGTCTCAACATGAAGGCCATGGCGGAATGAGCGCGATGGAGACAAATTCGAGATAGACAAAGCAGTACGCGATGGGTTTCGTTGAAGGGGAGCTCTTTTCAACGCGCGCTCACTTCATAAGTAGTGGCTGAGGAACGGAGTTAGCAAAAGTGACGTCCGCTGCTCCCGGCACGAACGTTCCAGAAGTGGCAAGTAGATCCCACGTGACCGGCGTCAGAAATATGGTTACATAATCACCAAAAACCCGAATATTGAAACCATCTATGTATTATTGGCTGCAGTATCTTGAGGGCAGATGCTAAGCGTATTACATTTAGAATAAACCAGATAACTGCATATCACGATGTCGTTTTTGGAGACTGCCCATTTATCCCATCTTCCACAGGACACCCCGGTCCATGTGGCTCTCTACAAAGATCTTAAAAACGCAAGTTATCTGAAGGAACAACTTATATCAGGAAACACAAAGTTTCAGTATGCTTTTCTAGATGCAAGCACGGTGCGTCGGCTGTTCCTCTCACAATAGATTGGCCCAGCATCTAATTTATTAATAGATCTTGTCGCGTCAACATGTCTTTGCGGCAGTTTTCAGGGCTGTGAATGACTACTTGAATGGTCGACTGAGGTCTCATAATGTCCACTCCGAAATAGTTGTCTCTCTCAGTCCTACGAATAATGTATGCATCATATTCGTAGGCTATTAGAACCCCTGATACTGACAGCTATCTAGATATCCGAATCGTTTCGCAGGTTCGGCATAACCGATGCTACCAAAGACTTGCTTGTAATCAAAGTCTCGGTGACGCCGGAAATCACACATGGGTCGGTAGCTGAGCATCTTACAAAGTCTGTGGAGGCTACCCCTGTCTCTTTTGATGACGAGACTATTTCCTCCATGTCCGATATTTCTAGAATCAGGAAGATATATAAAATCGCGCAATCTTCATCAAAGTCTGGCGATGATGCTGCCGTGAACGGACATGTCGTTCGGGAGCTGGAGGTTTCTATCATTGGTGCAATAGCGCTGCGAGGAGCGACATGATCGATTTATGAGGGTTGTGAATATAAATTAGTGACCAGCTTCCTTCTCGACAAATGTAGTATTTGGGAAATATCATTTACTTCGTGCTGCAGAAGGTCGAAATACCTAAATAATGAAAATAAGGGAGGCCATGTTCTCCTCCATAATAATTGTAACTATTAATATTCAACTGTACATATGTAGGCTATGAGTAACAAATAAGTTCGATAACAGAGCGCCACAATCAAAATATAGTTGTCACTGGCCGTGTCAAAGAAACCATACAATAATTGAATCACACAGAGATTACTAAAAAATAACTAGTAAAAATGTACTAAATGATTTAGATAACGAGATGATAAGTAACACAACTAGAGTAGAAAAGATAACTTAGGATGCCATAATATCCTAAGTAGAGATTGCTTTGCTGACCCTCTCAGAAATAATCAGAATAATTTATATTAAAAACTTATAAGAACAAGATAACTAAATATATAAAAATAGCTAAATATATCTGTCCTCTTCTCAGTATACACCTAGATACGCACCTAAGTATACACTCTCTATATATTCTATTCCCCTTCCTGTACACTGGTTACGTGACGTCATAACTCTGTGTTCCTTTACTGTAAAGTTGTGCACCGCTATAGATATTAATTGGGTATGGTATTAGCTACTTCATCAGTGACTTTTCTTCTTAGGTCTAGTTTCACTTCAGTCTCATGCAGGCTGATTTCAAAACACCTATTATCAATATATTAATCAGAAGTAATAACTATAATATTAGTATTCTATTCAGTGCCTTAGTCTTTATAGCTCATTCAATTATTTTTAGTTTTATGAGATACCACTACACCAAAGGCAAGTTCATCACCTGATAGAGTCTAAAACACACACGCTCATGAGAAGTATAAGGTACTAAGACTTCCTGTTTTCTTCCAATTAAACCAGACAAGAGCTTGCATCACTGTCATATTAGAAACTATTGTCGGCATCCCAGTCATATCACCACTCTTTATTTATATTTAATTTCTTTGTAATAGACTATTTAACGTGGAGATGTAATTATGTACGCTATATGTAACAAATACGTGTGACGATGGAGGGGTGTGATAGAAATCAATTGCTACTTTATGATTTATTATATAACGAATTATTTCTTAACTATTGATCTCGGTTGAGCGTTTATTAGCACTTAATAAGTAATTTTATCTAACTACTGATTGTATATTAATGTAACACGGTCTTGGTAAAGCCGTGTCCGGGGGTGTCTGGATAGACTGGTTGTGGGTGAGTTGAAGCTTCACTGTTCAATTTAAGACTATAGAGCAATGCTAGTAGGGTAATAATCATCAGTTTGAATATGATAGGGTTAGACGACTTTGAACCGAAGGTTATTTGAAGCTAATGAGTCTTATATTAAAAGATATGGAAAATTATATAAAAGATATCGCTTGATTCCTTCTCTTTGGTCTAAGGAATCAAGCTTATAACCCTAAGTCCCAACCTAGGTTACTAATGCCTAATCTAATCAGATACAGGCATATATTGTGAGGTGACGGTTTCATGCTTCATACCGGGGTCCCATGATATCAATTGTGATGTATCAGAATTGACTGCTCAAATATCCGAGAGACCCTCAGCCCTACCGACCTTGCCGGATTTGGCCTGCAAAAGCCTCCTAAGCTGGCCGTGTTATAAAAAGAATTTTCAAGAGAAATTATTATAATAAAATTAATTAAGCTATTCTATAGTCTTAAATCTAATTATATTTTTTATATTATGTTTAAAGGCCACAGCAAACTACCAATCAAACTTTCGGGGCGACTTGGATACATCCCTTAGCCCTATGTGGAGAAGCGGGGATAGAACGGGGACTTCGTTGGGGAAGGACCGGAATGCGGTCTTCAATTTCTTGGTAACTAGTTCTGCTATTCATGAGAAACTAGCAATTCAAATCATTATTTTTATCATTCGTCTTGGTTGTCTCTCACAATCCAGTCTTATTCATATTTGGAAACTGACACCATGTCTTCAGTCTCGGATGCTTGCTGTGCTACACCAGCCGTCAGCAATGTTTACAAACAGTTAGGGGAGTACATCCAAATTGGAGGGGAAAAGACCTGTCAGTAGTATTTAAGCCTACCTCTTATTGAAGCCTGATCTGCAGATTCTAATAGCCATGCTGGACATAAACAGATATGTATACCCCGGCACCTGACACCAAAACTGGAATAGTTTTCCTATACGACATTTTCGGTTATACGGCTCAAACAATCAAGGGCGCGGACCTTCTCGCTCAACGCACTGATTCTGTAGTCTTAATGCCCGATGTTTTCCATGGCATGCCAATGGAACTAGACGCTGTGCCTCCCAAAACAGAAGAGCAGAAAATTACGCTCCAGCAATTTTTAAAGGGCCCTGCCAATCCGGTCCTGGTCGCGGAGAAGATCTGGGATTTTGTGGACTTTGCTGAACCACAATTTCCTGATGTGGAGTCTTGGGGGGTTGTTGGACTCTGCTGGGGAGGGAAAGTGGCCACCTTGCTCTCAGGGCCGAGAACTCCCTTCAAATATAGCGCACAGGCACATCCTGCGATGTTGGATGCAAATGATGCCAAGGAAATCATCATTCCTCACTTGCTCCTAGCCTCAGGCGACGAAGACCCATCGACTGTGAAATCGTTTGCCCAAAATATGAACTCCTCACCGAATATGGTGAAATCTCAATCACAGATAGTGTCCGTACCTACAATGTTTCATGGATATATGGGTGCGCGGGTGAATTTAGACAACAAACAAAATGCTGAGGAGTACGAAAAAGGGTAGGTAATATTTTTTTAGAATAAATAACCTTTATATTTTTGAAATAAAGCTAAAGTCGTCACAGGTATTCCCGCATTGCAGAATTCTTTCAAACGTCGTTGAAGTTATGACAATCTCGATCGGCTATCATCCGGTTTTGCTTTTGCCACATGGGTCTTCGTACATGTGTACCAATCTCAACTGACGTATAGCCATTGATATTATTGTATTAATATATGAGACTACCCATGACCGCTGTCCCAATGCTAGCAATGATTACACGGCTGATAATTTTTGGCGTCGACGTGCAACACGGCAATCATTGGATTGTGTTATTGCTTTGCACACCTATGTTGCTGTTGACCTCTTGACCATTCTTAGCACGCTACAGCCTAATCTTCTCGATAGCCATTCCCACACAAACTTCGGAAATTTTATTGTAAGATATGTGGAATATTTTTTTCCTGGTCTGAAATTCACCAGCGCCAGTTCTTCCACGATTTTGAAAACCTAGTCGTCGTCTTCTCGTTCCCTTTGGCATTAGTCCCTGAATTGAGGTTAATGGAATTGGGACCGTCTTTGAAATCCTTGCAGCTATGGTTGCAGCCTCTGATAGTTACTAGGCAGATTATATTATATGCGTGGTAACTAATAGAGATAGAATGATAACTAGAAACGGTTATCTACTTGAAATTACGAATATTGAGTGCAAATTGCTGGTGGACTATAAAAACAAAAGTTGCTAGTTAATATATTCTGCTATTCTTGAACTCCAACTTTCACCTAAGTCTCCAAAATTAAAGGCATTTTCATTGATTGTGAACTGAAAAACACTACTCTTGGCTTGTAGGTTGGAAGCAGCTAGCTGCGAGTTTTTACGATTCTAGCAGGCAATAACTGAAAGCGATAACTGATAGATGGTAACTTGAATATCGAAATTCAACTCTTGATCAATAACTAGGCGAGGTTTGTGTATAGGCTTGTTGCCTCGACTTCCTGAACCCAGAGCTTCCATGGCCTCATATAAGACCACTGTGTCATTGCTGTAGAAGCAGGTATCTCTGTTTCATGTATGTACTTTATATCGGTCGCCAGCGGATGAGCAGTAGAGAGTGCGAGTGCTGAAGATTGGATTCGAGCATTCTCTGAGGTGTAAATGGCGCGAAAGACGCATTCCTCAATACTACCTCCAACGACTGTGAACCCGTGACCTCGCATTAATACTACTGCTTCAGTCAAACCACCCGAGTTGGAGGAAAAATAAGATGCTAGTTGCTTGCCGAGTTGCCTATTCCGGATAAGCAGATCGCGCACATCCCCAGTTTCGTAAAAGTCGAGTATGTCGAAATTGGGTACTTTTTTCCCTACAGGTAGTGCCTGTCAGTCGAATTTCAAACTTTTCACTGCAGCGGACCCTCGTTATGTTTGAGATAGTGAATTCTTACCAAGAAAACCAGCCAAGTGTACACATGGCTGGAGAGGCACGCCTGTAAATCCATAAGCAAAGGGTTGATATTCACACTGTCTGGTATAGACAAACCTGATATACTATAAGGAACAACATCAGGTGAGTGGCTGTGTATGATACTTTGAACATCGGAATATCTCTTATAAATCTCGCTGTGAATGAAGCGTTCAACATATCCCAATGGGCTGCCAGGGTCCACGGGTGATGCATCTTCAATATAATACTCAATAATATCGAGTCTGGATGAGACGGTAGCCGGTGCCATGCTACGACACATCAAGAATACATCGTTTCTAGTTGGATGACGGACTGAAAGGTGGCCGTATGCGTCTAAGATTCTATATCCTGTTAGTCAGATCGTTTGTGATTTCTGTTATGTACCTGCAGCCGACAATGCTTACCGATGATAATGAAGGATATGACATCCTGAGATAAATGATTTATGGAGAGATTCCATAATGCTGGCTCACTACTTGACAACTAGGAGGTAGAACTTGATTCCTGCTAGAAAGTAAGCACGACAACAGGTATAAGGCAATAATTTCTCACCATTCAGATTCAAAAAAGTCACAAATGCGGAGATCCAATAAGGCGTGAAGAAGAATTACATGCTGGTATTCTAACCCGTTGACATCCAGTATTGTCTGGTTAAAACCGAAACCAAAACTCTACCGGCGCTGCTCCACATACGAATAAATTGACTTCGACTTATTTAGTAGCCAACATTTCGAGGAATGGTATCTTGGATCTCGTTCTCTGTCCCGCTGTCCCGCTGTCCCGCCGGGGAAGAGACGGCTCAACCAAAAACGTAGTCCGTTCAGCAATAGGTCGTTGCTTAAATAAACTGTCAGATGACCTGGGTCGAAATAAACTCTTTGCATCATTCATGATCCGTCCCACAAGATCCCCGCAGAAATAAGAGGGCGCGTAAATACCAGTCCTTAATCATTCGTCTACGGGGTTCATTGACGATTTCTCCCAATAACAGAGATTATTCAATGACACCTAGCTATTTAATACGTCTAAACGCAGTTGGAAGAGCACCGAAGTTCATAATTGAATTATGCAGCCGATCCTTTTTTCTACTCTCGGTTGCTGAACAGCTCTTTGTACTTTATATACTCTCAATAGATTTTATATAAACCAAAAATTTAATCGCATTTCCTTGCATCGGTATGCCCTTTGGAGTTGGCTACTTATTCTTTCGTTTCAAAACGAGTTGCATTATTGGGAATCATACACGATTGTATTATTACAGTAACTATCATTACACGTTGTTGTGAGGATAAGGTTCTCTGAATCACCGTCCCTTTTTTTGCTGAAGAGATTCCGAACGTTCCGGTGTGTGTATACCCGAATGTACGCTGGAAACAGAACCATTTTTGGTCCAGAGTCTTAGAGTTCTGACGGCAACACCAATAATAATCAATAACAATAATTCACGTGAACCGATTCCTCAGATCCAAAGAACAACTAAGAAACCCCACTTCACATGTACATTGGACCTACGTCATTCAATTTGTACTAGGCTTTGTTAGCACTAACGATTTGGGATAAGTTCGAAATGCCCAGAGTTACAACCAGCAATATTAAAATCAACCTGGCAAAGTATAATATACAGAAATTCTGCTGTCTTACCGTTTAATAACAAATTATGGTGTAAACTTGTATATAAACATTATTAGATAGACGAATTATTTGTATTTTAAAGCTTGCATTCAAATCTAATCGAGTTTATACCAAAGCTTAAACTGTTGCTGAGTAATCTTACTAGCGCGTACAAAAGTCCATGTACATGTCCTGACTATCAACACAACTGCATATCTTGACACTCATCATCTTCCATCTATCTAACGCACTACCATGCCACCTGCGGCAGAAAGAATAGACATGGCTACAGATGACCCTAGCCAACGGGTTAAGCGTCGCCGAGTCGCTCTTGCTTGCGATGCCTGCAGAATGCGTAAATCCAAGGTGAGTTAACCTAGCATTCGGCGGACAGCTAGCCGGCTGTCAATATTTTCTTGCTTGCACATGATCTGATACTCTATTATGCTGCAATTAATAGTGCGATGGGGCTCGTCCACAATGTACAATATGCATCAGTATGGGATTTGAATGCAACTATACCCCACCGTCTTCGTGTACGAATCTACTTGTGGGAAAAGAGTATGTCGTGCTCCCTCGTCCATAAAAGAATCCATTGATATATGTTTATCTGCATATTTCAATTTCTGTTAAACGAGGTTCATTCCTTTTCTAACCTCATAATTTGGAGAGTAAAGTTATCTGCAATCCTTAGAATCGCGCATTGCCCTGCTCGAAAATCATATGGGATCTGTTAAGTCCCATCTTGTCGATTTGTCAGAATATGTTCAAGAGGACCGCAACACATTCCCTCCCGCCCGTGAAAATTGTGAATTAGGGCCTGCTACTTCAGAATCTCTGCCCGATCTTGCAAATATTGAGGACCCAATCGATGGAATGGGAGCGGTTGTTTTTGCTGATAAAGAGGATTATGGATTCTTCGGTAATGCTACTCTCCTCCGCTTTCGCCGCTTCCATCGATTAATCGCACTTGTCAGGCCCTTCATCCAACATTGCTTTCTTGCGTCATTTATATCTCACTGGCACAAATGATGTCCGTCGACAACAAAGGCCTAATCTACCTGGTACTAGATCGGGTGGTTTTGAGTTTGGATTCGTCAATGTCTCTCGCCCTCCTTCGCCCGTGGCAAAGGTTATTGGATCTTCATCTCAAAATCAGCCGCTTGATCTCTTTGCACTGCCGCCTCGCCTTGAGACATGGGAACTAGTCCAAAAGTATTTCTCAGACACTGGACTATTATTCCCATATATCTATCCGCCTACCTTCCTTGAGACATGCCAGCATGTTCTCAAAAGGAATCCGAGAAGGATTCGAAGAACATGGCTTGGACTGCTCAATATCATGCTTGCCATGGTAAAAATTACAGCCGCGCCGGAAACAAAGCCAGCGGAAATTCGTCTTGCCGAAGCTAATATGTTCTATCAACGCGCTCTTGGCCTATGCGGAAATGAGATGCTGCGTGGTACTACTATAGAAGTCGGTTAGTTTCAGCCTTTTTGAGTTTGCTTGCACCTGTTTGAAGTTACGCCAGTACTGAGAGAGATAAAGTGCAATTTTTGCTGCTCATGGGCCAATATCTTCAAGGAACTCAAAAGTCCGTGCAGGCTTGGACTATTCATGGTCTCGCTGTTAAAGCAGCTCTTCAACTTGGCCTGCATTCGAAGGATGCGGCAGGGGCATTCACACCAGCAGACCAAGAGGTTCGAAGGCGGACATGGTTTGCATGTGTCATTTTGGACCGGTACGTGAACTTTTCCTTTATCTGTTCCATCTTCATCTGTATGTTGCTTATGCGACATGTGACCGTAGCACTTTAAGTATGACTTTGGGACGTCCAGCTACGATACCCGATAACTATGTGCGATTAGAACTTCCTAAACACGATGACGACCTGGTGGTTCCTATGGTGGATCCGCGAGATGTGCAAATGAGCACATTATTTTTCAATAACACAATGTGAACATATATTCCACCCTCAATTTGTTACTAGTCTGCCAGCTAATGCGATTATGTCCAGACTATTATACAAGCAGCTTTTCGTGACCATTGACGAATTATACGATCAGAATTTAGGCTGTGAGTCGCAATTATCAGTGAGCGAAAAAATCTCCAAAATCCTTTCAATAAGTCAAACTCTTGAAGCATGGAAAACATCACTTCCTGAAGGCCTTGGTCTGGTAACAGTCCAGGAATTACAAAACGCGACACGTCCAGCCCCTGAGGAGCCGCAATTTTCTTTCAAGTTTCGAGTAATCCTTACACTTCGATATCTTCACCTTCAGGTTTTGCTTCATCGACCTATCCTAGTACAATACATTGATGCTTGCGTAGAAAGCAGCGCAAACCAACATGAACAACGAGTTCTACAGCAGATTGGGTGGAATAGCTTACAAATTTGCTCAGAAGCAGCGATGAACATTATCGACCTTGTTTATGAGGTTCTTGACTCAACAGAATGGCACAAGAGTCTGCTCGGCGCATGGTGGTTTACTCTCTATTACAGTAAGTGGGTCCTGTTGGCTCGATTGCTAGGCGATGTTAGTAAAAAATATTTAACTCAATCCAGCGTTTCATTCTGCGCTGATCCTTCGTGGTACTCTATGGGTTTGCAGAGATGGCGATCTGGCGGCAAAACCTTTGTCCTGCGGAATCGAGCAGCTCGTTCTCTACCCAAGCCGGGCTGTACAAGCGCTTTACAAATTAGATTCTGGCAATCGTATCGTAGACCGATGTCGGTACTACCTTGAGAGGCTCACAAACATATCGAATACATCAAGTATGTTCTTTATATTCTCCTGCCGTGACTGGCCCTATTGCGACTTGACGACTGACTGAAACGCCGCCACAGACGGTTCAGCTAGGTCTGACAAAAACCAAGCTGAAGCAAGTAGCTCTTTCGTTAATGCTTTCGACTCGAATATCAATTATTCGCCGTTGGGTTTGGAGTTTGGAGAATTTATGCTCGATGGTGACTTTTGGGCCGCGATGATCCAGGAGGAGCCCTCGGCAGACCAGTTCGCTGTAAATAATCCTGCATGAACTGTGCGGGTGCGATTCATTTGTTTTGTTGTACAACAGAAGCAACATATCTAATTTTCTTTCTTTAATGACCAATGTAGGAATAGCATTTCTCGGTAAATCAATGAATCTTGCTTACCTCTTCCATTTCCTATTAAAATATAACTGATATTTTTCACTATCTCTTGTAGGTTCACTATGAGGCAAATAGTACGTTGAACAGTGCTCCGAATTCAAGAAATTTCCAGGAACGGAATGCCGTTAGGATCAAGAACACCTTTCAATATCGTAGTGAAACGTAGTGTGGCTATGTTAATAGATGTGGCAATCATCGACAAAGCCAAGCTTGTGTCAGTCCTTTCATTCACAAAGTACACACCCTGCAGATAACTCTGTCTACCGGCTGTTGAGAATCTCCACAGGAGTCAACATGGGAATGACACTAAACCTGAACACACACTGAGTGACTTTCTACAAGTCCCAATTATGCTGCTCAGTGAGGATATCTTCAAGAATCCCATATGGCACGTATTGGCTTGTTTTCATGTAAGGACTTGCTTTCCGATGGACCACTGGGATTTTGGAGTCAGACAGAGTCAGAAGATATTACTTTTCGATAGAGGGTTTAGAACAACGTATCGAAGCATCAGACCAAAAAGGACTCCTACCAGTGGGACGAAATCTGCTCTGTCTCTTTCCCCATTAACTTTTGCGATAATGGTACCGATCAACAATTGATCGAGCTCAACGATCGAGACAGCCTCGCTGGGGAGGAAGCAGATTCAATGGAGGCCAAGCGATGCTTGTCACTTTTGACTAAATAGAATACCTGCCATCATATTCGAGAAGCTATCTATGGAATAGTCTGGGCAATTGGTGTTTGGGCTTGGCTATCTAATGTCACCATCTAATTAAAGCACCTGTTTAGCTCATTTTTGAATGAGTATCACTTTTTTTTGGGATCTTCTATTTACGTGGAACCCTCATATCGGGAAAATTCACGAATTTCGGTCCCTCAATTTGTGGGAGTCCATGGAATGAGATTAAAACATACTGTATGGTAGTATAATGAGGGATATGGATCATGCGAGATAAAGAGCTTAGTGCCTGTCCGCCCCAGTACCTAAGTAGGTAGGTAGGGAGCTGTACATGATTGTAATGCCTGCTTAAAACTATTCTCTTTCTCACCTTCTCTTCCTATGAAACATGGATAATACTCAGCCACATAGGCTCTCTTCGATTTTCAATCGTATCGACTGCTTTCTCAGCATCCGAGAATGGATATTTATGAGTAAAGAGATCGTCAATTTTAAGCTCGCCGTCCGCAAGCAATTTGAGTGCTTGGTTTGTATCGACTCTTGCGTTACCACGACTACTAATGAGTCGCCAGCAGTTGGCCATCATGGCCCCCATAGGGACCTTGAGTGGAGTTGGATTTCCTCCAAAGTGCACCAAAGTTCCTCCAGTAACCATGACTGGTAACAATTTACTCACAGTGTCTCCCACTGGAATGTAGTCGATTATCGCCTGAACTCCCTGTGGTGCAAACTTCCTCACACTGTCAACGATATCGATGTCGGGGTCGATAAGCGATACTATTTCCGTCGGGACCGTGCTGATAGTTTTCACCTTCTCCAATCGCTCGGGCGAACGACCAATTAGTATCAATTTGGAAATGGCGAATTGTTTTGCCAGTCGTACTGTGATGACTCCCATGGCCCCAGTCGGTGCTGTTACAACCACAGTTGAGTGTGGTGGTAAGTCTGCGAGCTTGAGAGCCTGAAGCGCGACACCAGCATCATGAGCTTTGGCAGCGGCTTCAAACGATACACTGTCAGGAAGTAGGTCTAATTGCCAATACGGAACACGAATATATTCTGCGACCCCTCCGTCATGATATATATCGTACTGGCTAGGGTTTGACAACTGTGCAAACTTTGCAAAGCCGATTAAACCGGATTCCTGGCACATCTGGTCTTTGCCATGTGTGCATACGTAGCATTTGCGACACGATACTATTGGGTGCAGACGAACTCGATCACCTGGCTTGAATTCTGAAGCGGGCACATCCTGGCCAACGATCTCGATCGTGCCACCCACTTCATGGCCAATTATGGTCGGCAATTTAGCTCGCCCCATTTTGACCATTTTCATGACTCCTGCACTGATGCCTGCTGCGACGACCTTGATGAGCACATCCGTAGGATGAAGTGTTGGGATAGGCACCTCCTCTAGTTTTGGAGGGTCCGTAGCATTTCGCACCTGCAGTGCTAACATTGTCTTCTGTTTTGTAGATTCAGCCATCGTTTGCCGGGATTGTTTTTTTAGAAATGGGGTATAAAGAAATAGCAGTGGATATTTTGCTCGAACCATTGGTAATCGGTACTCTGTCCTTTTTATATGCTGACTCCTGTGTTACCATACGTTCACGGGTAATGTAAATTCACCACGTCGGAAGGGTTTGCGGGGGTTTGCGGGGAAAGACCGGGTACAGGACCTCCAAAGATGTCCAATTTTTTACTTTATCTAAGTCATGGACGCATTGAGCGGAATATACACCATACTTAGTACTAGAGCTAGTAGCTACTTAGGCTGGAGAAAAGATACAGCGCAGTAGTGACCCATTCTTCAAAAACCTGAAATGGTAATTCATCTTTATATTCACAACTCATTGTAAATTTACCAACATGGGACCAAGACGAACTGAACCTCGCCTTGACCGCTCAGTCACCCTCAATTTTGTGGGAGATTGGGGCATGGCCAACTTTCATCGCATTTGTTCCTGGTTAACACAACAATTTTGTGATCGTGCGGGACCAGAAAGCCGAGTTGCCATTTGGAATATCAGGAACGGAGGCATCGAAGCAGTTGTAGAAGTCTTCACAGGAGAAAAGCAGTTAGCGATTGCTACGCCAGCTCAGCTTATGAGCACGGCATTGACAGGGGAAGGCATCTTCGCGCCGTATGGACCCATGCCAACACTTCGTGCTCTGGCTGTTCTTCCGCAAAACGATCGCATGATCTTGGCTATTGATTCCAAATACGGAATCAGTACATTTGAGGAGCTCCGCCGCAAAAAGCCTGCTCTTCGAATTGCGACGTCTCGCAACGACGGTACGAATTTCATCGGCTACATCGCGTTTGCCTACATGAAAGCGCATGGAATCACGGAGGAAACTCTACTATCATGGGGCGGAAAGTTCGTCACTGCAACACGTCCAGAACAGGCCTTCGAATTGGTGGTAAACGGCGAGGCGGATGCGCTTCTTCAAGAAGCCATCATGACCCCATGGTGGGAAGAGGTTGTTGAACGTCGCAAATTCATACCCCTTCCAGCTGAAGAAGACGCTCTCGATCGATTCATGAGCGAACAAGCCGGCGCCGCAACTCCTCATAAAGAACCAGTTCCTCAAGGATTCTGGAAATCACTGTCGCGGCCTCTACCAGGCCTTGATTTCTCGGATTTCGTGGTTCTGGTTCGTGAAGACCTTCCCGAAGATATTGCATATCTCCTAACCTGGAGTTTGGTGGAAACCAGGGAGATGATAGAAAGACAATACCGCCATCTGCCGCCTGAGAAAAGCCCTCTATCTTATCCACTCCAGCCCCGGAACATGGCGAGGACACCACTACCACTCCATCCAGGTGCAAAGCATTATTTCACTGAGGCAGGATATTTGTAACCACATAAACATGTTCTCTTGCTTGACTAATCATTCCCTATCAAGTCCTTACTGAAGCAATTCATTTGAATATTTTATTGAAAACCAAATTACTTTACTAAACAAATTGCTTGCTTTTCGCTGCATACCTGTACAAGGATGAATTGGAGTCCCAAAACTATGAACAAGTGCAAATATAGAATCAATAATTCCTTCAATATGTCGCTCTCTCATAAAGACTACACGGACCCGTCTACGTGACGGGAAAGAGACTTACTTGAGAACTTTGCGAAAGGATTTGAAAGATGGAATCATAGGTAAGCAGAATCCAACTAAATGTGCTGGAGACACACAAGACGCAAGTATGGTCAGTAAATTACGTTGGTACTTTCTGGCGGACCAGAACAAGCCGCACAAGACTCTGTAGTGTATGCGGAGACAGAAGACGAATTCTTCTACTTGACCGCAAACAATGGAGTAATCCCAATGATCATACGAATATACCAAAGTCACCGCCGTCACTAGTTTATCTGGTGGGGGAGGACCAAAGAGAAGGGGGCAAATATATCGTTCCTTTTGAAACGAATCCAAATTCCAATAAATGTTGATAAATATTGAATATATAACTGAATTATAATATATACCTGGTTGCAATTTCGTATTTATATTACTAAAGATTTAGTAAGTTGCGAGTTAACTTCAACAATTTGTGATTCGGTGATAAACTAGCAGCCCTTTACCTTCGCTTGCACACGTTCCCGAGCAGCAGAAACATACTCCATAGACTCCTTCTTCGCGTGTTTGGTAGCCTCTGATTTTAATGGAGTCTCCTTATTTGTCATCACAACAATATGGTAGCTTTCACCCTCACAGATGCTTGTGTAAGCACAACCTCTTGGAATACTGATGAAATCACCTGGTTCTAAATGAACTGTTCCCCGCTGACTGACTATGGTTCGCTCTCCTCGGACTTGATACTGGATTGAATCTGCTCGGCGATGGCGATGATAGACCTCGCCAGTTGAATCTACCAAGGGAAGAGCACCGATCCAGACATACGAAGTCTTGTACAGCCATTCAGTCTGGCCGGGAGATCCGACGGTCTTCATGGCATGGAGCCTATCACCTCCTTTCGCTCGGTCATTTGCTGTAAGGCTTAACAGCAGCTTCTCATCGGCAAGAGAAATAGAAATGTCGCATCCAGGAGCGCCCAAACATTCAGTCATAATCTCCTTCACATTCTCGGGCTTCCAACCATCAAACTGAATGTCTTTCGCCTCAGCAGCACGATCCACAACTCCACACTCTGTTAGGGGTGGATGGACGTAGAAGAGTAAGTGTATATCCTCGCGACCAAAATTGTCGTGCGCGATTCCAGCCGGGATATTGGAAAAATCGCCGGGACGGAGTTCCAGTGTTCCAAGTTCGGTCATCAGAGTCCGTTCACCGGCAACTTGGAACGAGAGTTCTTCAACCTCTGCATTCCGGTGGTAAAACGGCTGTCGGCACGACATTTGCTGTCGCTCAACCCTAAGAAAATCGCCTCCATAGATATCCTTCGGGGGCGTAAATGCCTTGGGGGTATAGGTAGGAGAAAAATGGGCTACAGCTAAAGGTTCCTTCTCTGACCACAACTTCATATTGGCTGGAGGCTCCGGTATATGTAGAAGAAGCTCCTCATTCCTTTGAATTTTGAGAGTGTCCTCACTCTCAGGAATGGCATCGATGATTTCGGTAATCGTCATTTTTGATGTTGGAAGCAAGAAGATCAAAAACAACTATACTCTTTTTCCTTGGGTTTGGTCGGCTCAAGACTTAGTATGAGTCTTTCCAAGACTGTTTATGAATAGTTTAAATAGTAGGTAGTTAGTATTGTCCAGTCATGCGATCATAATATGGTAAGAGCCCAGGGTGGCGAGGTTCGAGACTGACTCGTGGTCAAACATAAAGTTTCCGGGTTTCTCCTGCCACCTCTTAAGGTTGGTGAATTGAATAGGGCGTTGGGTGGTACCAATTGTCCCCTCTTTGCCGGGGGCACATCGGGACATACCTAACTTTTCCGGAATGCCGTTTTCGACAATTGTACTATTCCTCATGGCTTCAGCATTACCCATTCAGGAAACAAGAACGATGGCTGCTTTTTTGCACTATTGAGGCTAGTCAATAAACTGGCGTGGGGGTGGGCTGGGGTGCGTCATTCGATTCGCCTATAAAATTCCTGCGGGGTACATGTAGGAAATTAAACTCAGATGGAGATCCGGGGATGAAACGGCTTGGTTAAGAACATGTAGTCTTGAACGTCCGAACAGCCGGCCGGCACCTCATTGCGCCGATTTACCGACGTTTCTTACTGTTACGAGTATCGGTTAGCCTTTCAGATTCCAATGAATTTCCAGATTTTACGCACTGGAATGTACACCAAGTAGTTAACTCGACCGTTCCGTTTTTCTACTTGGGCAAAGCAAATAGAAGAGCAGAAGCAGGACAGTCTTCTGCATGTTCGGCACCAATCGCACCGGTTTGCCTAGATCGTTGTCGATAAGATGCTGACTTCAAATACTATATATTGATAAAACAACGGGGAAGGAAGCATCGCAAATCATTGTGACTTCGGGCCAAGGATTTCTCCATGTCTGAGACTTATCAAGGAAAAATATTCGATGTGCAGGCCCATGCGGTCATGCCTTCTGACTATCATAATGTGGCCAAGGCTATCGAAAGAAATACGAGTCTGACTCAACATACTACGCAAGTTATCGTCGATGATATTTGCAGCAAGTTGGCGGACAACCTGGATGGAGAAGCTCGCCGAGCAGCCCTTGGCAGCGACAATATCCAGGTGGTGACTATCAACACATTCTTCCCTCCGCTGCCACCCGAAAGAACTATTGAAATAGTTGATAGACTTAATATTTGGATGGCAGAGAGGACAATTAAAAACCCTCAACTGATTGGGATCGCCTCAATTCCACCACCTCCAGCATTGGCGAGCGCAGGCACGTCTGTTGCCTCCAAGGGAATTGAGGCCGTGCGCCGGGCGATTAATGATTTGGGCTTAAAGGGGCTTATGATGGCTTCCAACTATGATAATGTGTTCTTGGGAGACCGGGCATTCGACCCCTACTTCGCGTTAGCAGAGGAGCTTAAAGTGCCGGTAATCATCCATCCGGCTATTGATCCTGTGGAAGGACAGTACGTCCGTCGCAAGAATATTCCCACCTATACGGGGTACCTGAACGACCAGAGAACAACGCTATTCGACTTGATACTTTCAGGAGTTTACGAAAAGTTCCCAGATATTAAAATCATAGCAACCCACCTTGGAGGCGGTATTCTCACCTCGCTTGGCCGATTCAGAGCACTCTCGAATCGCTTCCCCACGGATGCATGGTACACCGACAGAGAAGGGTTCACTTTGGCTCTGCCGCACCCGGCCGAGTATTATGTGAAAAAGATTTATTACGACTGCAACAATGCAGACGCTCGAGATGTACTGCATGCGATTTCGGTTGTTGGACACAGTCATCTTTTGACGGGATCTGACTTTCCTTGGACAGACGATACATTCACTCGCCAAGTTCTCGGCCAATTAGACCCATCTCATTGTGGACCAATCGCGTATGAAAATGCAGAAATTTTATTCAATGTGCAATAATCGCATTTTTGCTTTTCATTTTCTACTTGAATCTAGTGCTCTCAAATCTAGTGACTAGTTGTTGGTTGAATTTGGGGGATCCAATAGATCATTCCGCTGACGATGAAGTGGACCTAAAATTAAGATAGACCATATTGCAGTAATAGCAATGAAGAAGATTATCGTCAACGAGACAGAAATATACAGAACTATGGCCTTGAAAATGAAAGTAAAGCACAATACTAAACTACATGTAGATATACCTGACTGGCTTGCTCGGCAATACAAGCGTGAGTTGAATAGGCTAGTTAACTAAGTTAACAAAGTCCGGTTATTCTACTGTACTCAAGGCCTCTGGGGAAATGTCGGCTGTGTTGGAAACGGGACCACTTACCAAAAAGTCTAATTGTTGAAATATAGACCTTCGTAGGCGACGTATATATCACCCCCACCCTTCCACCAGTCTTTTGAAGTCCAGATCCTTAACAATTCTAGGGCCATCGCTTCCATTGAAATATCAATGGTTTCAGTTTCGTCTGTATCAACCTAATTAACATTCTATCTCCGAATATTAACGGGTTCTTGTGTCACTTTCGTTATGAACAATTCCCAGGTGAGTCCGCATTCCACCAGTACGTCGTCGTTGTTCAGTGACTCACAATGTAAAGTCATGGCCCATGTGGTGGCGTATCACTGCCCTGGTAAACTTGAGTGTTTATAATATGATGAACAATGTTTTCGCTGCTGGCATTGCACCCTTGTTTGGCTTGATCATGGAAGAATTCCATTGTGATCTCCAACAGGTATCACAACTGTCCTCTTATACTCTGCTTATGCTAGGCCTTGCGGTAAGATATCTGCAGCGCTATACACCCTCTACGTCGTGAGATCTCAATCTGATTCATGATTTAGAACCTCTACCTGATCATTGCCGTGTCTTTTATTGGAAGGCGCCTCACGATTCTTATATCCTTGTCTGTTCTTATGGGATCAAATATATGGGCTGCAAAGGCCACCTCGTTTCAAGCTCTACTTATTACAAGATTTTTGGGCGGTATTTCGGGTGGTGTAGTTGAGGGCCTTGCGCCGCTCATGATTGCCGAAATGTTTCCGCGGGACCAAATGGGGAAGGCCATGGTTGTATATGTGTTTTTCACTGCGGCCGGATCGTCCCTCGGGTCAATGTTTTCAGGTATCATTGCACAGAGTCTACATGATTGGCGGTGGTTCTTTACTATCTGCGCCATTATTCTTGGTGCAAACCTTTCCGCTTGCCTCCTGATGCTCCCAGAAACTTATCCTATCGTGACACCTAATGGAGAGGTAACAAACACTCCCAATGCTGAGCATATCCAATCCAAATTATCTGATCATGATGTATCTGCGACACACGTTGAAATGGGACTAGATGAGACAGTCGAGAGTTTTTCCTTACTTCGTCTGTGGATAGAAAGATCATTCTATCCACACATTTTCATAAGTCGTCAAAAGCGGTTTTATATTCTTTGGATTAACTCTTTCCGTCTCTTTCTTACTCCCGAGGTGCTCACAACAATGCTTTTTTGGGCTGCATGTGTTGGATGGGTCTTAGTCTCAGCCATTATTTCATCCGCCGTCTACCAGAAAGCTCCATATTTTTGGTCCAGCGAACAAGTTGGCCTCCTCAACTTGGGTCCTTTCCTGGGATTAGTTCTGGGGTTTCCTCTCGGAGGTATAGTGGCCGATCGCTTTATTTCAAGCCGTTCCGATGGCGAAGTCAGACGAGCTCCAAAGGCGCGCCTCCCTCTGCTGCTCCCTGGTGCTGTCATATCGCCAATCGGATGTCTTTTGATGGGTCTCACCCTCCATTACACTTGGCATTGGATAGGATTTGCTGCAGGTTTTGGAATGCTTGCTTTCAGCGTCACTTCATCTTGCAACATCCTACTCACTTACTCGGTGGACACATTCAGATTGCACGCTGCCCAAATAGGATTGGTTGTGAATATGACCAAGTATATCCTCTCATTTGGGATGACATTCGGAGTGATCGACTGGTACGTGACAAAAGGTCCTCTTTCACAATTTGGAACAATGGCCGGAACGCTCTGGGCCATTTACTTTCTATCAATGCTTTTGTATTTCTTGAGTAAACCGGTTGCTCGCATCTCATGTTGGGCCCTTTCGTCTCCATCATGATGATCAAGTAGATAAATTTTACTTTTACAACGAGCTATATAGTTTGAATTCATGAAAGTCCGACCTTCGGAAATCGAAACCTATAAATTTATTGAATGAAGGGATGACCCGGAGCGAATCACCAAGACAGGAGGGGTAATCGCCCGATGAGAGAGGATGGTAGACCTAGTTCTAGCGAATTAACAGATAATATTTTAAATACCAGCCGATGATCCTCTATCGGATCGCCAAAAGGTGTAGAAATCGCAAATTGCCCAATACAATTTTTAACAGCATCACTAGGCCAAATAAGGATTGGTATATTCCATTTTAAATTTGAAAATTCCGCTTATTTATTCTATGTTATACTATGACCATCTCAAAAGAACCGACGAGAAAACATGTGATAACCATTACATCCTGTTTATCGGAAAGGATTTCAAAAAGCGTAGAACCCTTACGAGGGATCATTCTTATTACAATGTTTCACAGCAGATATTAGTCAGAAACCAAAGTCTCTATGTCTGTGTCTTCACAACGGTAGAATCCCAGGGCTTCAATCATTGGCTTGTCGTCAAATCGGTAGAGGTATACGGTCTCTGCCACGTCTGCAAAGTGCTGATACGGATACCAGGAGGGAATAGCGAGAGTGTCCCCCTTTTCCCAAGTCAAAGTCTTGTCACCAACAACCGAATAACCGTGTCCAGCTACAATATGATACACAGCAGACGTAGTCTCGCGACGGCGTGCGGAAGATTTTCCCGCGTCAACCCTTTCAGCACTTCCGCCCAGAACTCGACTTACTACATATCCAAGAGTAGGGTTAGCGGTTTAACTAAAATTATCACTGGGTCTATATTGACGTTTGAATAACCTACCTTCTCGTCCGTCATTCCGGAGATAACGGCATGCTGCCCAGTCTCCGTCCGCTGCATCCAACTGTGCTTTCATCTTCGCCCAGGGAAAAACAATTGGCGAAGAATCAACATCCTCTGCCGGGTACCGGGGCTGGTCATAATGCTGGACAAAATGGACCGGAAAATGGCGGAAAGTAGGAAGATCAAGACCATCTAGCCAGATCATTGGACCCGAGCCATCTTTCCCGTGATCATGGTAGTTCCAAGTCGGAGTCAGGATCACGTCTCCCTGCTGCATGTTGATGCGTCGGCCGTGTACAGCTGTAAATCCGCCATTACCTTCGATGATATATCTCATAGCAAAGGCTGTATGGCGATGCGCTCGAGCGACCTCATTGGGCATGACCAGTTGCAGGCCAGCATACAGGGTATCCGTTGTGTATGGTGCATCTAGTTGTATGTCAGATTACTTCCACAGGGAATTGGAAGAAAGGAAAAAAAGAGGAAAGAAAAAGAAAACCCGAAAATCAAGTTCAAGGCTATGTAAGTACCTCTTGTTGGGTTAATGAGCATTAGGACTCGTCTCTCGGCCTGCTGCTCGTCAACAAGCTCTCCTGCCTTGAGAAGGACCGGTCTTATGGATTGATATTTCCAGAGAAACGGTTCTGCCACTGGATTTGGCTCCGGCGGGTTCAGACGAGCCATTTGCGCCCATAATGGAAGAGTATTGTTTGCCTTTACGGCGCTCAACAGCTGTTCCTCTGTCTTGATGCCATCGGTGTTTGATCCATTTGGGTGAGCCATGACTCTAGAAAATTGGAAATCTTAATCGAATCAACAACAACTATCTCAAAATTAATGAATCTGTTTCGAAGTAGTCAAGCCCACTTCTAATCCATCGGGTTAATATGCCTTACAAGCCTTCGTTCCTATATTACCGCTACGGGGATGTGTCGGAACGACCGTGGGGCAATCCGGGACAGTACTGCATGAGTGGTAGAAGGTACAACTGGAAGACACAATTGGCTCCCATAGGCCCTTTATCAACAACAACAACGACGACACTGAAAATACCATAGGGACGTATTGAGAGCTGCTTTGAGATTTGGCCCAAAAATGGCTAAGAATCAGAGCGCAACTGCTAACGCGTCAGTCTTCGAGGTTCGTAAATGCCTCCTCTTCGTTCCCATTTGTTTATAGTTTCTTCGGAAATAAATTAATAACTGAGGTGGAAACAGACTCCCACGTATCCCACTAACTGTCTCTACTTTTTGCAAGATCATATGCAAGTCCGAATTCCACCTTCACCGAATAGGAAGAGCCAGCTCCTAGACATTGTTATCGTCGGCGCGGGCCTAGGAGGTTTAGCAACCGCCATTGCTCTCGCACAAAGTGGTCATCGTGTCAAGGTTTATGAACAGGCATCCGTTCTGGGTGAAGTAAGTTATTATTTCTAGAAAGAAGTGCCGGAGATATCTGACGTGTGCTCAGGTTGGTGCAGGCATCCAGATTCCCTCAAATTCTATGCGGCTGCTGGCTGAACTCGGACTGGAGCCTTATCTCAAAGACCATGCAACTGAACCTAAAGCAATTTATTTCAGACGCTGGCAAAATGGCAAGACAATTGGGATGACCAAGTTAATCCCAGAGTTTCGCCAGACTTACAATGCACCATATTATGTCATTCATCGGGCCGACTTCCATTCTGCTTTGCATAAACGGGCTCTAGACGTGGGGGTTGAAATCAAGCTAGGTTCCAGGGCAGTGAGTTACAACGCAGATACTTCAACTATCACATTTGAAAATGGAAGCGTTGTCACTGCAGATCTTATCGTGGCAGCGGATGGTAAGTTATTCGTTAATTGATTATAGTATGGGAGCTGATCCAAAACACACAAATTTCAGGCGTCAAATCTTTGGCCCGTAAAGTAGTTTTAGGTGGTCATGACAAGGTACCCCAGAAGACAGGCTTTGCAGCGTACCGATCCACTGTTAAGGTTGAGCGAATGCAACAAGATCCTGAATTGGACAGCTTACTCACGGAGCCTGCTCTCAATATCTGGTTAGTGTTCTTTTCGAATATCAGAATTAACATAAGAAAAACAATGCCCTCCTAACACACACTAGGGTTGGCGATGGCCGCCATGTGATGACTTACAAGATTGGCGCCGGCAAGACATTCAACTTAGTTTTGTCCCATCCTGATAATTCCGACCCTCGAGAGTGGGATCAGTCAAAAGCTCTCGATGAAATGAGAGCAGAGTTTCGTGGTTGGGATACCAAGTACGATGTCCTGCTTCTGCTATTTCTGTGCAGATTATATTAATTATAGGCTGATTATGATCAAGGTTGACCAAGGTTATCAATCTTATTGACAAGACAATTAAATGGCCCCTCCTCAGCGGCTCCAAGCTGGATCAGTGGGTATCTGAAAGGTTAGTTTTGTTGGGAGATGCGGCACATGCGATGGTTCCATACATGTCGCAAGGTAGGTTATCAAGTTATCCCAATCTTAATTCACATTGCATGCAGAGTCCTACTGACTGATTTCAACTTTGCAGGTGCTGCAATGGCTGTGGAGGACGGCGTAGCACTGGCGCATTCGTTAAGCAAAGTTCACGATTCTCGTGATATTTCTAAGGCTCTTTCGATTTACCAGAGTGTTCGTACCATAAGATCGTCGCAGATGCAAGAGGCTAGTCTGCTTAATGGACAGCTATGGCATTTTCCGGATGGGCCACTGCAAGAAGCTCGAGACTTGGCAATGTACCCAGAAACTGTGTCTCGTCCTTTTGTTCACAGCCCCAATCAGTGGAGTGACCCGACAACTCAGCTCTGGTGTTATGGATATGATACGAAAAAGGCGGTCGAGGAGGAGTGGGAGAAGCGTATAGCCAATGGCTTCTAAGCATGTCATAATCCTGACGTCTATCAGTGTAGATTCTTGACTACTTCACAGTGACAATATTAGTGGTAGATTTAGCATCATTCGATAGCGTTCGCTCATCTTTTGAGGATTATAAGGATAAAAGATGATGCTGCCAAATTTTGCGTATAGCTATTTTGAGTATTTCGTTCTATTCTTTTAAAACTATTGAATGTGATCACCAATTCGATGGAAGGTTCTGAATATTTTCCAGATGGTATTTTAACGTTCGCTACATTTGGTTATACTCTAGTCAAAGAGCCCCCTTTTTTAAATATATATTTTCTAAAAAGAGTTTGCATATAAGAATGGGATGGAATCCTCCGTACACTTTATGGTTCAGCATTTATAGAAGCTGGATGAAGGGCCTATACTTTACAATACACTCAGTTTCGGCCGATCCTCCCAAAAATATTCTCTCCGTCCCAGGGTATACGTATCTAAACTAGATATTGTAGTCAACCCGGGGTTTGGCTTAGAGATATTAATCCCGAGGTTCTGGCTTTCCGATGCTGCCCCGACTACCCGACGTACCCGCGCCTTGTTCCGCAACCCTATAACCCTCATATTATTGTTATTCTAGGACCATGCTTCAATGGGCCCGTCAGCAACGAACACAGCCACCGTTTCTGCATGTTGGCTACATTATTGCGAGACCTGTATTAACTCTCGACACATACTGTTCGACCGATTATTACGTATTCAAGACTATCTACGATGGCTCTCGCCTGGAAACGCTTGATCAGATTCGAAGCTACCGATGGCCGTGTTTTAAAAGGAGAACCGATCCTACCAGATGAAGAGATTGATCTTGGCTTCATAACCGAGAAAGATGACCTCAAAGCCCGCGTCCTTTCTGGTGATGACTATCTCGACACGACAGGTAAAACGACCATCACGGACGAGATAGCCACAGTGAGAAAGATTTTAGGACCGTTTGCGCAGAGCGACGTGCCCATTCTTCGGTGTGTAGGGTTGAATTATCAAAAGCACAGTTAGTTCTTCCCATAATTTACAGAACCTTTCAGTATTTCGTGTGATAAATCTAACCTTCTTCTTGTGAATATAGTCAAAGAAGCAGGGAGAAAACCACCGCCGTTCCCGTTCATCTTTTTCAAGCCAAATACTACTATTCAGGATCACAATGCACCTATAGAGATTCCTAAGGTCTGCCAGAATGACCAGGCAGACTATGAAGGAGAACTGGTATTGTCGATATCATACTGCTAAGAGCTTTGGTTCTGCCCATGACTTAGCTGACTCCATTCTCTAGTCCTTCATCATCGGAAAAGACGCAAAGAACATCCCACTAGAAAATGCACTTGAATATATTGCCGCATATACTGCTGGGAATGATATATCTTCACGTAAGTTACAGCGAGATCCAGCCTACGCCGGCGTGGTGCCACAATGGGGGTTTTCGAAAGGATTCGACCACTACGCTCCACATGGCCCGGTTCTAATTTCAAGTGAGCTCGCCAAGGATCCAAAAGAGCTTCATTTGAAAACCATCGTCGACGGTGAGGTGCGACAGGATGAGAGAATTTCTGATCTCCTCTTCGACTGTGCCTATATAGTCCACTATCTATCGCAAGGAACCACCCTGCAAAAGGGGAGTGTTATTATGACGGGTACTCCAGGAGGTTAGTAGTAGATCAACTCATCTTATAAAGAACATTTGCATATTTTCCACATTTCCTATAGTGTTTACTGTCTAACAGGTCAAATAGGAGTCGGAGCGGGGTTTAATCCGCCAAAGTGGCTCGTCCCCGGCACGCAGGTAGATGTGTGGATTAGTAAAATTGGAACACTGAGGAACACTGTTGTCTTTGAGTAGAGAGAGAGAGAGATATATATATATATATAAAATAGATGAAGTTCTCTACATAGACCGTCTTTTTCGGAATGTTAAGCCAAAGTTGAGCATAAAGCGGCACGGTCTGCTAGCTAACTAACTAGCGGGGGCTTTGCTTTGCTGTTTAGTGTTTACATGCGTGGTGGTTGCCCCCCCACCCGTCCTGAACCGGAATTTCCCCAACTTTGCCAAGGCATCGCGATTCGCCGCACCAACACCTTGGATTTGATTTCAGTTTTCGCAGCTCAACGTGCATGATGCGAGTACAATAATATCAACAAGAATTCGGGCATAGGGTTGATTTCTGTATATCAAGACATGCCTCTATACTGACTCTCCAAGGACCCCGTTCCTTTTCGACCAGAATGGCCGCCAACCCAGAAACGATAATAATCCCTTCCTCCTCGCCAGAACAAAATTGGGCTCGTTCGGTGTCGCCATGCACTCCAGAGCGCCTACTTGGCATTCTGTCACACGACTCATCGCCTCCGTCCTTGTTCTCCTCTTCTCGGTTATTCAAGCCCCCGACAGCTACGAAGCGTCGAGCGATCTCTCAGGCATCACAATCACCTCTTAGGGAAGAAATAGGAAAAGAGAATCTTCCCATCACGAATACCAAAAAAAGTGCCTCCTCAAAAAATGGAGACAAGCCAAAGACCGTTCGAAAAAAGGGAGGAGAGCCGGAGGTCTCAAAAGAATCGACTCCTAAGCCGAGAACAACAGCACGAAATCGAAAGGGCGCGAAGCAAGAGGAGGCCAAAAATAAGACTATAACAGGACGAGTCGCAAAAAACGCAGCTCCAAAGGCGAAGGATAGTTCTGGAAAAGAAATTATTCTTCTAGATATGACTGGAAAGGAAGCGCCGCAAAGGAAAGCGCGAGCTCGGAACAATCTGGAATTGCACGGCTTGAACTTAGAGGAGGCTATCAAGCGAAGACTGGATTGGACGCCTCCAAAATCAACACCGTTCTTTCCAATCGATAATGGTGATATTACTCAGGACACTGGCAACGCTTCCATGTTCAGTGGCCTTTTTCACGACTATAGTTTCCGTCGAGTGAAAAGTTCAATCGATGACCATGCTCCTTCTGGCACAGACGGTCTTCCTACAAAGCGACGGCGTATAGAGGTGAGTACCCACATCTCCTTATAATAAAATTTCACGATTAATCTGTCGCCATAATTGAAGCTAACAGTTCTGAAGCTCGTCGAAGGATTGATACAGGAAACAAGTGCATTCGGCAAAAGGTCAGATGGTTCACACAAATCAACCGCGGCAGACACGAATGGAGGGGCCAAAACTTCTAGAGACAAATCCATTCCAAAACAGAAAAGAGTCAAGACGATCACAGCATTAGTGACATCGCGATACGAGCCGGTTGAAGAATATGCTACGAAGCAGAATCATTTATTTGAGGACAATATAGCAGACAATAACGCAGACGATTCTAGCACAAAGAAGCGGAATAAGAAGAATAAGAAAGTAACATCAACAAAGAAAAAGGAGCCTGAGTACATCATACTCTCGCCAGAAGCGGTGACCAAGTCCCTCGATAGCCAGGATATTCTATTTGGGACTTGTAGTCAGCTTGAAACAGACGATCATCCAACTGTTGTCAGAGAAACACAAAAGGCCTTGGCAGCCTCCGAAAAAATCACTGGAAGCAGCTTCACGTTAAGTAGTACATCTTCACAGGTGTCGACAAAGGGTCTGACTTCAAGATTCAATGGCTCTGGAGAGCTCTGGTCTGCGGCAGCTAGAAATTCGGATGGATTTGTCGTACAGCCTGAATTCATTGATATGACCACATCCCCAGCTATATATCCATTGAAGAGCCAAATTACTTTTGAAGATGAGGGTATACGGAATACAAAAACGAAAGACTTGCCTCTAACTCTCCCAGAACGAACTCTTCCCAAGGAAACCGCATCTAGAAAGAAGATGATCCATGTTTCAGATACAAACCACGAAAATTCCTCTGTTACCGAACATACCCTGGGTTCTCAGGAGCGTTCCTCAACTCAAACATCAGACATGCCCCGATACACTGGCTTCACAGACGATGAGCTTCGCAAGAAAGTTGCTTCATACGGATTCAAGTCGATTAAAGGTCGAAATAAGATGATATCTTTGCTTGAGAAGTGCTGGGAGAGCAAACAAACTGCTCCGATGTCGACAACTGAAGATATCCCAAAAACATCTACTACGACGGCAACCACTAATTCTCCTGCTCCTATGACTACTGATGGCTGTGGTGAAAACCAGAGTAAAACAAAGCAGAAACAGCCAGGACGAGCCAAAAAACCCAAAACTTCAGATACATCGAATTCTTCATCGAAAGCTCAAAAGACAGGAAAGCTGCAGTCACAGTCAATATCCAAGCCGTCCAGCAAAAAGAACGAAACTTGTCAACCTCAGCATTCGTCTTTTGTATTTGTTGAAGAAATTCAAGATTCCGAAGATGATTCAATACCATCTCCCACTCGTATACAAATGCGATTCAACGCCAGTCGTCAGAGCACCCCTGCGGCTAGTCTTCCTCTTGGTACCCGGCCGACGTTCAGCCCTAAAGGCACTTCAAAATGTCCACCAAAAAACACAGGAACATGTGGCAATCTTTCCGAATTATCAAACCAAATCACAAAAGCTATTCGATCGCAGCCGCGCTCCTTGGTTGGGTCGAAGCGGGGGCCGCAGCTCACTTGGCACGAAAAGATACTACTCTATGACCCCGTGATTTTGGAAGACCTTGCAACATGGCTCAACACCGAAGGGCTGGGATTGATTGGAGAGGATCGAGAAGTAAGTGCCGGATTGGTACGAGAATGGTGCGAGAGTAAAGGTGTCTGCTGTACATATCGGCCTAAAGTGGCTATGGGCAAAACGAATATATAGATTTATGCAGTGAACTTCACTGCAAGGTCGCCTACTGTTTTAGGTAGGCCTTTATTGGTAGATAGGGGTACTTTGAAATGTTCTCAATAATATTTACTATGCTGCCTGCTCAAATTAGCGATGTGACGTTAACTCTTTACACCAAGAGAAGCAACGTTCCACTCCTTTAGAAGCTCAGCATAATCTTTGGGTTTATAAGGTTCCACGAGCTCTGCCCAGGGACTTGACTTGCGATGATGTTTCAAGCCCAAGTCACGAACCAGTAAATCAAAGTAGGGCAAGACGTCAAAGGCTATATCCGGGAGCTTTCGACTATAGCCGCAAGGATATCGCCAAATACCCCACTGAGTGTGCAATACGGCTTCCTGAACTGCCTCGTCGGGGCTCACAGCCGCACGCTTCAGCTGGCCATCGAAGAAGGCAGATATCCAAAGACCTTGAATACTAGCGCAGGTCGAGGTGCTCACAGTTGAGACCGCACCTGCAAATGCAATATTCCTGTTTTTATACGACGCAATGGGGACCATGAACCTGTACAGCCGGAGCGGGTCACAGGTCTCTTGCTTGTATCGAAGAACGGGCTGTGAGGCAAGACCAGGGAAATCTTCTAAGATCTTCTCATCGGCTTCCTGATAAAGAACCTGCTTCTCATCGCTGGAACCTGGTATCGAAAGATCGCAGTGCAGGAATTTTATTGAGGAGCTCTTTTTCCACCCGGTGGCGCAGACTAGCGCATCTGCTGGTAGAGATTGACCAGTAGATAAGTGGACTTTTCTCTCACTCAGCTTGTCAATGTTGGCTTCGTGAATTCGAACAGAACCGGTCTTCACCATATCCAAGAAACTAGTCTCGTAATTATGAATACTTAGTCCGCTGGCCACCCAGAAAGGCGAAGACCACGGTTTCAGTCTTCGGGTATCAGGGTGGGTGTCATACCCACCTCTTTCAAGGATATCTGAGCCAAGGGCATGCCAGAAATTGTGGACAAGCCACCGGCCAACAGCTGTTTTGTGGAGAAAATAACGGACAGGCGCAAAACCATCCTGGTCACCCCAAGGACAGGGACTGAACCAGGTTAATATGCGAGTATGTAGCAGCTCTTCGACTTTACGCTTCAATGGAGTCACAAAAGGCGGAGCTAGCCATACAGGACCATTGCCATTAGGCCGGATGATCAAGTCTACCTGGGCACCCTCCTGAACAAAGGTATAGGCGATATCAAAGGCTGACTTTGCACCACCGACGACAACAACGTTTTTCGCAGTTTTGGTGACCGAGGCATTTCGACAGAAGTCTTTGGCATGGAACAATGGCGCATTAAATTTTTCTTGGCCGTCGAAAGTCAACATGTTGGGTTCAGAAGTGAGCCCAGTGGCCATGATGATTTTCTTCGTCCTAAAAATGGCGTCTTTACCTCCTTTCTGCGCCATAATCTTCCAGTTTTTGTCTTCAGCAGATTCGATGGAAAGTACAGATGTGTTGAAGACGATCCGAGACAGCACTCCAGATTGTCTCGCGTAATCCGTTAGATATTTGTGCAAAGTGGCTGCCGGGATATGATCATTGTCTTTGACGCCATATGTCTTCTTATACATTGGGTAATCAGGGTACTCATAAGATCCGATCATATTATTCGATTTCAGTCCTGGGTAGAGTCGATCTTCGGACCATGTGCCGCCACACGTTCTTTCAGCTTCCAGCACGAGAAGATCCTGCGTGGGATGGATCTCGAGATAAGTTTTGGCTGCCGCAATGCCATGCCACCCTAAATCTAGCTTAGATGTGAAATTCGTTTGCAGAGATTGAACTACATCAATTGATGTACTTACCCGCTCCTACCACCAGCAAATCATAGAGGTGTTCTGTCTCCGGCATTGCTCTCGCTCTATATCTAATTTAGAAGAATTTCAATTCGATGAGAGTTGCTCAACAATCAAGCCCTCAACTCGTCTCAGGCTATGGGGAAGCCCTTAAAAGAACCTGCACTTTGCTTCCCAAATGCTCACGCGACAACTGTCGGATAGGTTCCGCCCAAATCCGCTTGAGTCTAAACCAACACATCCATCATTGACGAATCCAGCTTGCCTATCACAAACTAAGGTTCATTAGATCATCTCCTTATCTATTTTTATCATAGGTCACCCCGATTCTGTTGTCTTGTAATTGGTGCTTTCCCCGCGATACCTTACTCGAATGTTGGGGGCAGATAAGCACTGTTCCAATTCAATATGGCGGTCTGGTGCCATGTCGGATGCTGCACCTATTTATTTAGAAGGCCATGTCCCCTTGTCTTTCCAAGGTTCACTTTCCGCTGCCGCGTCGGAGACAGTTCTATCGGCTCTTGGTAGACCTCCCGCCACGTTTCCACGCTGTCAGTCATGCCGCGCCCACGCGTGAGGCCAGAAAATCGCAAGCGGTGTGCTACGGCCTGCGTTCAATGTCGAATATCCAAGAAAAGATGTGATTCTCGTCATCCTTGCCAAAAATGCGTCGCGAAAGGAGAGGCTGAACACTGCGTTTTTCCGGTGGAGCACTCCAGCGTTGACAACAGAAGGGCACTAGTTGTTTCCCACACTGTTGGTTGTCCTCTATGTAGATAGAAATTGAAGTAACAGCTGACGTCGCTTCGTAGGCCGCAGTCAAAACACAGACTCGAATTCGAAATACGCCAGATACCCTATCCTCCATTAAACAGCGATCCATTCTGCTGAAATGCTCTCTAGACGAAAGGGGTAAGTCTTAATAATTACATTATCGAACTAGATAAAACAATGCTCAAATATTCCCTTTGGGGAAAGCACAGTATTTTTAGGAAATACCGCAGCAATGTCATTCTTGAAATTCCTACAACAAATATGGCGCACGTATGTGGAGTCCAACAGCTTCACGGAAGATCGAGGAACAGACCAGATGCTTGAAATGGAAATGCCCCCTCCCATGACAGCTTCCAAGCGCGAAGTGGATGAAAATGAGAAGAGGTATTTTGTGGAATGCTATTTGCACGCTGTAAGCGCGTCTAAATCCAAGCAATTTGCAAAGGAATACTGAACATAGCCATGATTAGTCCAGTGGAATTCTGGATCTTTTCACAGAAAGAGATATCGAGAGATTTTTGTCCCCCAATGCGGAAATTAGATCACCCGATAGTATTGTAGATCCGGAAACAAACAATGACATCTGCCTAGACCTCATGATTGCAATTGGTGCACAATGTCAAGCAAGAGGCGATTTAGATCACTACCTTGGGGAGCTATATTTTAGGCGTGCACAAAAATCTGCATTTGCTGGCATGCTACAAGCACCAACAGTCAATTTGGCTCGCAGTTTCGTACTGATGGCCTTCTACACGCTCGGGGCCTGCACTCGAAATTCCGCATTGATGTATATAGGGGTTGCTTCCAATATCTCGGTGATTCTTGGACTGCATTCTCCCGAGAACTATCAATACTTACCGATCGAAAAAAGAGAAGCCAGGTGAGCTCTCATTAACACAAAGGAAGTGGTTAATTTTTGCTGATTCAGGATTCAAGACTACAGACAGGCAAAAGTGTTCGTGTTTTAGACTTGATCTGTAACACGATACTTGGTCGGCCTGGGAGCACTCCAGTTCTCCGCAACGAGCGGGAATATTTGGATGGAGAGATATGCCCTAACTACGCAACTCTGTGTGCTACATATGAGATTGTTTCAGTTCTTCAGTTGGTGGTTAATGATACAAAAGAAAAAGAAGGGATTCCAATCAACAAAGCTGAAGAATACCTACTGCAGCTTCGGAAATGGAGCTCTGGCCTTCCTTCACATTTGCGAAGGCAAAGTCTAGAAGGTCCATCCTCTCAGCGTTCTCTTGAAACCAGGCGTGCCACAGTTGGAAAGATACACTTGGCTTGTATCTACTATTATGGTGTGATTCAAGTAACACGTCAGTTCTTGGTCGATCAAGTGGTCCCTCATGTATGCGGACAGACCGCAGACGACAGAGCTGATAACAGGACTTCAAAACTAGCGACGATGTGCAGAGAAGCAGCTCTTCTGATGGCGCAGATGTGTGAAGATGCCGAAAAGGCAGGCGCTCTTCTTGGTAACATGTGTATCTTGAAGTAAGATCCTTCTAATAGCAGGTAGAACCTCAAAAAATCAAATCACTGACATGCCGTATAGAGCTTGGTTGTTCTCTAGTGGCCTTGTCCTCGGATTTTCCCTTCTGCGGCCCCACGAGCTAATGGAAGATACACGCCGGGCCTTCCAAGCAACATCACGGATTCTCGGTCACTTTGGTGTGACTAGTCCGCAGGCCAACCAATATCATTGCATTCTATCACGTTTTGCAGAAGCAATCAATAGACATGAACGAAAACCTCAGTCGGAGCGGGCTCGCCTAGAAGATACACGTGTTGAGAAGATACTGTCATTTGATATGGCGGATCACCAACATTCTACTTTGACTGATTTCTCTTCGCCCGGTGTGGACTCAGAAGCCCACAGTCACGACCACCCGGCCGGCATATTCGAGAATGAAGATTTCTTTCAGCAGTGGGATTGGTCGCCTCCAACAGGAAATAATGAAATCCTGCGCATGTTTATTGACCCATGTCTGGATAATCTAATGAACCTCCCTTCGGCTGACATGATTTGGGACTCCTGACATATTGCAACTACATAACTAATATACACACATCATTTAAGCTCAATGACTTGAAGAATACAAACTTTCTTTGGGTAAGATAAATAGCGCACGTCTTATTTAACAAGGAATATTCAATGACACAAAAATTTTTTATTTGATGAAATGAATCCTAAGGTGTCAAAGAAACATTTGAAACAAACATCTAAGCCATTTACTCCTTCTCTTCATAAGTAATCAACCCATCGATCGTCCCCGCGTGCAAGCCCCCAGTAATAGGAATGTCCGCTGCAGTAGTAAATTTCGCCGTGTCGCTTAGAAGATAAATCACAGCTCCAGTCAAATCGTTTTGCGTGCTTAAACGACGCATCGGGGGTGCAAGCCACATCTGTTCGCCCTCCGCTTTCCTCTTCTGCTCACGAACCGTGCGAGTCATATCGGAGTCCACGAAGCCGGGGGAAATGGTGTTGACACGAATATTATGAGGTCCTAGCTCCACAGCAAGGGCTTTAGAGAGCATCAGGATGGCGCCTTTTGATGCGTTGTACGCTGCCATTCTATACCCAGGTAGAGCGATGTGAGCGGATTGAGATGCGATCAGGACCATGCTGCCCCCTTGGCCTTGCTTTAAAAGCTGCTTTGCGACTAGCTGACATAGGAAGAACGTTCCTCGAACCTTTTTTGAGTCTGTCAGCTTCTCTGCGATGCTCTCGCAGTAGGATGATCTACTTATTGCGGGTTGAACGTACGTTGACCTCATAGATTTTGGTGAACTCAGCCCAAGTTTGGTCAATGAAAGGCTTGTCAATCGCAATGCCTGCGGCTGGTACCAACCCATCAATTCTTTCGAAGATCGCAATAACCTTATTGAAAGCTTCATTAATGCTCAATTCGTCCCGCACATCGGTTCTGACATAAATAGGTTGGGTTCCAAATAATTTACCAAGAGATTGAAACTCTGGAACGGGCGATTCTTGAATATCAAGGACCGCAACATTTCCACCCATCTCACATATAGCTCGAGTCACAGCAAATCCGATGCCCTGTGCGCCCCCGGTGACGATATAGTTGCGACCTTGTAGGTCGAACATTGGGCGAACGTTCAGCAAGTCGGACATGTTCCCAAGAAGCCTATAAGTTTTGCTTGAGTGAACAGCGAACCTTTAGTTTAATATTTAATAATTTACCATGAAGTCCCCAGAAATATTCAAGTATCCCGTCCCAAAATGAGGTCTGTGAAAGCGGAAAGGAACTGGCCAAAACCCTAAGGGCCATTACCCGCCGGTGCATTATCCGCCGAGTGGCGCGAAACACGTTATGATCAGTTATCTCAACTTATCAGGTGTGATATTCAAGATTAAAGGTAAGAGGTCACCAATATAAGACCATTGCGGCGAGTGACCTTACGACAACAGAGATATACGTGCATGAAAATGGCGACCTCCTTGCCCCCGCTTCCCATTCTGCCAAAACCTCCAACCCCCCATCTCGAACACCCATTCCCTGGGGTTTCGCTTTTGCTACCTTTGTCAAGAAGAGGCACGGGGCCTGGCTTGATTTTGCTGGTGCCCGAGCTTAATTGTCCAATTCTATCAATTAAAAATGGAGTTCCCTCGCCATTGGTTAAATGGGCCGAGGAAAGCTACATAGTAGCTGCAATCAGTGTTTCTGTTTTGGAGAGTCATATCCAGGCAAAAGAATTGTTGCTTCAGATAGCACAGTTTTTGAACAATCATTCTGCCTGTGATCTAAAAGATCAAATCGGATTAGTCGGTAAGTTTGACAATCACTATGCCACCGCGATAATAGGTTTAGGGGCAGTTATGCTGAACTCCATGCAGCCTATAGCACAGAAGGATGGTCCATTGTAGCACCAGTACTCCCAGAAATACCTGGTATTAAAGCTGCCGTGGTATACGCAACAGTTAGAGACTCGAATGTTTTGAGCACCATCTCCGTTCCCACCGTCCAACATCTAGCCGGAAAAGCAGCACCAAACAGACTCCAAAGAAACAAAGACCTAATGCAATATGACTATCCAGAGACAAAAAGTGCTCAATTTGGCGTTCCATTTCAGCGGGACTTTCATTATAACGCCGAGGCAATTTCCCACACGCGCAATCTCACATTTTTAAAGCAAATCGCTGGTGGTCCATTCTTCGATCTAGAGCAAATTTGGGAGGAACACACGTATTACGAGTTTGAGAACCGCTCCGTGGAGCACACAATGAGTACGATGGTCCAGGAACCATACGTGAACCACGTCCCTACCGTAAGTTTCTTCAATGGGGGCGAATCAAATACTTCATTCTTCATTGAGCTGATCGTCAACACAGCTAACTGGCGGAATCGGCCGCGAGGAGCTGACAACTTTCTATCGTGACCATTTTATCTGGAAAAATCCGAAAAATACGACATTGGAGCTAATCAGCCGTACAACGGGTATTGACCGTGTGGTTGACGAATTTATCTTTAAATTCCAACATGATATCGAGGTTGATTGGCTGTGAGATACCCTACACTTGACACTTTCCATCATCGATGAGGTTCTGATATGCTTACCACGTCGGCTTAGCATCCCCGGCATTGCACCAACGTACAGAGATTTGGAGATCCCATTCATGGCAGTGGTCAATATTCGTGGTGATCGGCTTTACCATGAACATATCACCTGGGATCAGGGGACTGTATTGATGCAGCTAGGCATGATGCCTGCTTATCTTCCTCTGGATGACGCCAAGACAGGTGAAGAAAAAAGGATCTCAAAGGTCCCAGTATTTGGAAGAGAAACTTCATCAAAGCTAAGAGATAAGAGTTCAGTGGAGTCAAACACTCTGTTTGCTAATCGTGTGAATAAATCAACAACGGAACAATAAACCTCTAAATCTCCAGCTTCGTAATGAACTTTTAGAATGTTGCGAATTAGGGTTTTGGGTTGGATTATTCTCTTCTGAGAAACTTTGAATGTTCCAGTAATTGAGCTGGCTACAAACATTAGCATTATATAGATCAAATACGGTTGATATTTACAAAAAAAACCAGAAGAGCCAAAAATGCATCTGTATAAGCCCCAAAGCGCCAGTTGCTATAAAATAGAATACCAATATTGAACAACTACTGAAAGGTTTCAGAGTTCCTCATTAGCCAATTCCCCTTTGAAGTGGGTAGAACAAATCTGTAAGTCAAGGCATGCTCTGAGTAACGAAGCACCTCGATCTAATTCTCGCCTTACCAAATCTTGATTGATTTGGATCTTTGTCTTCTTATCCCTTCAACTCCTGAAATAGCGTCTTGAAATCTACTTCACCTGACCCATTAATCGGGAATTTAGACCCATCATTCCCGAGAGCCAGCAAGAGCGACTTCTTAGGAGTCATGAGTCCAGGTTGGCCATTGTAGTATTTGATCATTTTTCAGAGGCAGAGAGAAGCCATTGCCAGCCAAGGCATCTGCCCACAATGTTTGGAACTGGTTGACACCCTTATACACCTGACCAGGAAGTGGCTGAGGAAGAACAGTGTTAGTGGTCAAGTTTGATGAAGGCTGCTGTGAGTTACCACTGCTTTGATTTGGAGAGTAACCTGTGTGGTATTTTCAGTCAGTGTATAGCTCGAATAAACATGCCATTTAAGATCGCATATTACCTTTTGTATTCTCATTTGTCGAAGTCGCTGTTTTCCGGCGTTTCGATGGATAGTTACCTAATGGAACAAACAATTATCAGCATCAATGATAAAATTAGGCTGTAGTGGGGACATATAAAGGGCAGACTCACCTCCAAAGTCTCTATCTTGCTCTTGTCTTGCTTGCCCTGCCTCATTGTCCGGTGAAGGAGCTAAAAACGTACTCGTCAGTAAGAGGAACCTCAAGCTGAAGACAAGAAAATACCTGCATTTACTCTTCGCCAAAACAGATAGCACAGGCGGGACATGGGCTTTCGGCTTCATGCCATGAATGAGTCGATAATAATTCTGGAATGCCTCATCGGCTGGACGAGGCCCGTAACCAGTGATACCGGAAAGCGGATTTGCGGTGCTTACTAGAAACGGAGACGCTTCCTCGTAATGCTTTAGTTCAGCAGCTTGTGCTTCGACCTTTTTCTCGAGCCCAGAGAGGTAGTTCGAGGTCAATTGTCTGCCTGGAACCCAGATGGCATTGTAGCGGCATTTCTTTCCTTGGCTTTTACAATAACCACATTGGATGTCTGCTTGATCACACCTCGTCTTCTTGTGCTGTTACGAGTTTATCAATATATGATTCGTTTAGGAAGATTCTTCAAAAAAGAAATAAAGACACTAGGGGGAGAATGCTAGACTCACCCTGCAACGCCGGCATGCAATCATAGCATTTGTCCTCGAGCCTTCGTCTTTCTTCGACTTTTTATACTCCTCGTTCTCCGAGAGCGAATCATCACCATTAAGAGGATCAAAATCCGGAGGAGGCTGATACCTCGGCGCTCTAGGCCCTCTCTTAGTAGTCTTGGCCCTCTTTTTCTTGATAAACATGTTCCTCGGATTAGCTAAAATCTCATTTTGCTGAGCCTTCAACTCAGCAATCTCATTTTCAACCTTCTCCTTCTTTTCCTTGTTTTTTGCTGCTCTATTTCCCCAGATTTCCGCCGCCTCCTTGATTTTTTCCAGCTCGTAGTCGCCTTTATTATGCTTCTCGTATTCTTTTTGGAGCTCCCGCTGCTTTTCTATACACCTCTCCATGTCATTGGCGATCTTATGCTCGACCTTTTTGACCCCATCTTGTTTGGTTTTGATCTTCTTTTGTAATCTTTCGGTCTCGTCTTGGAACCACGATCTCAGGGCTTCGATTGAAATGGGATCAGTCGAGTCATCGCTGTTACTACTACCTGCATTCGCTGGCCGATTAGCAGCTCCTATATTGCCCCCAGCAGCCTCCTGGATTTTGCCTACGGCTACGGCAGTGTTGATGACAAAAATTTCGTCAGACTCGCACTCAGCATCTTCCTGATCGTCGTATTCTTCATTTTCTTCCTCATAATCTCCATCGTTCTCATCAGAAGCCTTGTCATCGAAGAAACGGTTAATTATGTCTTCAGACATAACTACGTCCGGGTCTTTTTGGGCTGGGGTTTGGTTTTGAACCGACTTGTCGGATGATCGCAAACGGTAACCCGGCATGATGCTTCAAGAGTAAGGATTGGATTGGCCTCTAATAGTTGAATAGGAGAATAGTCAAAGGATTGTATTGATGTTGAATAGTAGGTAGACAGTATTGTGTGCTGAATAGTGAATAAAAGGAATTTTTCGATATCTGGTGATTAGTACTAGACAAGAACAGCAACCTGGAGTTTTCAAGCACTATTATATATCCAAATTCATTCCGATCAGAAATTTTAATTCAATCATTTTTCAAGGCATGTTTAAACAATCAATCATGTCCAAATAAAGAATATTGATATTGTTAATATCGACATCAATGAGTACATTGTGTGTTCCTTTTGGTTGTGCATAATAAGAAAATGGACAAAGATATTATCCATGGGAAGTGAAGGATAGAGAATAGACAAGGCACCAGTTCCTTTTGTCTTCAGATAGAAGAAGCTTATGCTTGTTGTGTTTTTCATTCCTCAAGGAATTCCAACTAATTGCATTCAGCTGTGCTGGGTTTTGGAAGTAGGTTGATTTCGATGACATCCTTTCAAAAAGAGAGAAGGGGGAAACATTGGCTTTGTGTGTTGTACTTGATAATAGCCATTATATTTGATTTGATATGTTGATGAAAGAAAAAGTAGGATGTTTAAAAAAAAATGAAATAGAGAGATGGCATCGTTATAGAAGTGACACAACGGTTTTCCAGGGAGGAAATAAATCAATAATATTCAAAAAGTAAAATAAACGTCCTGGCAAATGCAAAAAGGTGATATGTAAGTGTAAATGGCCCAATAACCCAAAGTTGAAAAAAGTGCCTCGCGCCTGTGTTCTTTGAACGCCGCAACGCCTCCTCCGGTTCAACAAAACCAAATCATGGGGAATCTGGCAGGACGAATATGCATGAAGAATCGAATGATTAGTGGAGTGAGATGGAAAAGAATTTGCTATCGTACGTCGTAGGCATTTAACCTAAAACCAACCCCCCGTTCTCGGCTGTAAATATCAAAAAGATCAAGGGGGAAAACAATCCAACGTAATGGAAAATGCAAATGGTGGGACAGCGACCAATTCTAATGGTGAGCACACTGTTCATCGAAACAGGCTACCATCCCTGGTAACGGTTTCGAAATATATCTTGTTCTGATATCGAGTTTGACCTCCATGCTCCAACCATAGTGTGAGATTTTTGCACTGGCTGACATTGAAATATTTCAGGTTCTGACAGCCATCTGCAACGGCTTCGACTCCAGTACCCGTTACGCGAACGCAGCCTCGAACAGACAGTTCTTGCAAAAGCAGAAGGTGTAGACTGAGGCTTCTTAATGACGGGTCTGAAACTGCTGATCCACAAAACGACATGTTCAGCTTCAACAACTGAGGACATTGCAGGGCCAGGACTTCGGTAGCTGTATCTGACAAAGCGCAGCAAAATGACTGAGAGTAACTATTAATTGTGTTTCTTAGGAGATAAAAGACAAATTTTCACTCACCAGGTCTAGTTCCTGTAAATTCTTCGCGGCATTTGTCAAGCACACGATCGCATGATCAGTCAAGTAGGTGCAGTCAGCCAGGCAAAGTTTCCGCAGTCTTGTAAACTGAGCATTACCCCAGTATTGGAAGCCTTGATCGGTAATAGTCGTACACCTTGTCAGATCGACCTGCTCTATGCGTGAAGCAGCGTGGGAAGCGATGTGATGCATTGAGCGATCGGTAACATGTTTACAGTATGACAAGGTTAACTTTTTCAGTTGTGGGCAACCATAAACTGCACCATTAGCCGTCTGTAAAGTTGGTTTTATGCTGCTTCGAAGAACTTGGTTGTGCTGTGCCAACGTTGCTGTTGGAACTGTCCATCCGACAAGCCTCGCCAACAGTGTGTCGCTCACTTTCCGACAGTTGCTCAAATCCACCTCTTGAAGTTCCGTTGCCTTTCCTGCCATGTCAAGGATGGCGGTAGCCGTTACATCCCACACGCTTTTCATTTTCCAAGATCGAACGTTGTGACCACATGTCTTTGCCAAGTTGCTAAAGCCCTCGTCGGTGATATGGAAACAATTGTTGATGTCAATGTAACGTGGACGATCTCGCACAAAAGGACATATGACCGTTGAGAGCGCATGATCAGTTACTCTGCGGTTGTAAGTGCTGAGGTCTAGGTATTGGCAGAGGTTGGGCGAGTTTGTTAATATCTCCGACCAGTGGATGGATACTGCGCGCAGGTGTAGTAGATCATGTAGTTCTAATCGTTGAAAAATACCTATGAGCACATTATCTGGCAGGAAACCACGACTTCCCGGCTTGTATCGTTCATGTAAGGTTCCTGATCGCTGTCTCGAAGGAACCTTGCCATTTGTCTGAGCTGCCGCGGGGAGGGAACTGCTGGAGCGTGTTTCACTAGGCGTTGTCTGTCGGCTGATGTCTGCACCTGAAGGCTCCTTTGGAGAAATAATAGCCGCCGAGCCTCGACGGGATCTAAGCTTGACATTGTCGAGACCTACATTCAAGAAAGGATCAGGGTCAGATGGGCTCAAAACCGGAACGTCTGTATCTCCAGGGGTATTTTGGGTATTGTCCAATTCAGATTCAGTCAGGGTGACCATAGGCATTGATTTTCGGCGAAGACTGGTAATCTTGAGTGTGTCATTAATACTTAATTGGTTGATAGGCGGAGTTGGGTCTTTGGCATCAGGCATGAGAATATCGTTATCTGCAGCCGATTCAAGTCGGCTTTTGGCAGTATTTTCGATTTGTTTTCGTAGATCATCAGGACATTTCTCCCAAAATTCTACTAAAACATCACCGTCCAACATCAAACACTCGACAGAGGTCACTGATCTGACGGTTGCTGTTCGGCGGGGGGTCAAGGACAAACTAACGATCTCGCCAAAGTATTGACCCTGGTGTAAACGGGCCTTGACTTGCACGCCGCGACCGCCTTGATCGTCTGACCCTCTCCGAGGATTATTTGGGTCCCGGTTCTCATTGAGAACCTCCACCTCACCGCGAACAATGAAGTAAATTTCACGACCCAGGGTATCTTGCCGAATGATATCCGTAAAAGGGGGGTATGATAAAGGTTGAAGTTTGAGGCCTAGGAAATGGAGAAGATCCGGAGGGAGGCTGGAAAATAGGGGCATTTCTTTCAACAGCAAACGTACGTTGACTAAACCGTTTGCAAGCACACTCGATGAGATGTCAGCTAACCCTGGGCTCGGGGATTTGCGCTTCTTGTGGATATTCATCGCCCTCAAGTCGTTCTCTTCTCCCGGCGTCAGGCCTGAGAGACTCTCGCGCAGTCTCTTGGAACCTCTGCGGTTCATGCCCACTGTTTTCGACGGCTCTTTAACAGTCTTCTTTTCAAGGATCATCAGCCGTTCAAGAGCCTCTTCTCGGATGGCGCGCTCGACTTCGGGGAATCGGGGGAGGATCTTGTGGAAATCCTCCTTGGTGAGGACGACGAGCAGACATCGCGTGCGCGCGACGATGGTCGCAGTACGAGGCCGGTCCATCAACACGCCAATCTCGCCAAAGAAGGCTCCCGGTTTCAATTCTGCGTGGACACTTTCCCCATCCCGCGAGGTGACAGCGACGGCGCCCCTAACCAGCCAATACATGGCCTTGGCCTCGTCTCCCTCGGACACAATATAGTCATTGGGCGCATGGAGCTGTGGACGCAGGTGCAAGCCCACCTCAGCAAGGAACGAGTCTGGCGTGGATTGGAACAAAGGGAAGTTGCGAATTCGGTCAATCAGTTCCAGCGGCATGCCCTGGATCTGCGAGAAGGCCAGCGGAGACGGACGAGCAGGTCGGTTGGGGTTCGTGGCCGAATCAAAGGAGTGTATCAGCGAGACGGCCTCCGGAATGGGAGCGGCCGCCTTGGTGGAGGCACCACTGCTGGACCGGCGCTGTCGCCGCATGGCTACGGGCTCCAATCGACCGTGTTGTTGATGCTATTCCTCCAACGAATACTCGGCTGGTGCTGTGTGTATCAGGGAATGCACATGGTGCGCTGCTCGAGGACCGGTGGGAAGCTCAATGACGTCGGCGATCGTGACATCGGCCGTTCGAGCGCGGCTTCTTCGACAGTGCGGCGTCGTCGGCCGAACAGAAGCGAGACTTGTGGGTATGGCGAGCTCTGGGGCACGACAGCGCGTAGAGCGTGAGAGGGAGAGGCAGAGCGAGTAGCGTTGCTGGTTGTGTGAGAGAGAAATAAAAAGAGACAGACGGCAGGTCTTCAGCGCGCTTTTAGATGGCGGGGAAAGACAGGCAGGAGCGGGAGATCCACCAGCGTCGTCCGGTAGCTTTGCGCCTCTCTTTCCTGCGCTCTTCGTCCGCAGGCGAGCCGGCAATGGCAGTCTGATGCGCGTCTCGATGGGAAGCAGCACAGCTTCAGGCAGGGCAGAAATAAGCACGGGGAGATTCGTGAAGAGCAACTGATGAACCACACGTGCGCTGCGGCACAGACGACTGGATAGGATTATTTTCCGCAGTTTGATCGATGCGACTGCAGTGGGGATTCCCTATTAACTAGTAGCAGGACTAATTACTTTCTTCTGGGTGAGCAATATTATTCGCAATGACACATAGTACTCAACGATAGTACGGACTGGCAGTCTGACGGATGAGAGAAAAGCATTAGTATCAGTTCAGCTGAACAGCAGCTTGATAATCACGTCGTGGGCCGCAGCCACTCACGTCCTGCGAGTGCGAATTCACTCCGAGTCGACGTTGCGGTCGTTAGGATTACTCACTCTTACGACAATACCATCATTGCTGTTATTATTAACCTCGCTAGTCGACTCAGGTCCATACAGCCTATTTTTAAGCTGAGACTGAACAAAGTCCAGCCTAACTACGCCAAAGCGGTAGTAGTAAGTACTAGCCAGAAGCCCACGCCTCCACTCTCAGCCAACGCCAGATTCCTGTCGATAATATCTGAATCGGTTTACTCTTGATGCTTGTGGCGTTTGTTCAGTTGGGGTTTAATCTACGTGATTCGTATTATTCGATAATGACACCGCCATGGTTGTGGCAAGTATATCCCAGACGCAGAATGTATGTTTTTCCTATGCGATATGGAGTGACTGCATCCAGCCCATATCTGACAGTTCCATTTCGAGACAGACATCCGCTGCGGGGCTGGCCTGCTGCATCCGGAGTCTCTCTACATGCACACGATAATGATGGTAGGCTGTAGAGCCGCCAGGGAGTGCCACTGAGCGCATGTCGCACTAGTATTTTCTAGAATATTTCTAGAAAATGTCCCCCAGTCCAGTCCAGGGCAAGGTGGAACGTGCAAGAAAATGCCTTGATTATCTGCACGCGGTGGGTGGTTGAGATCTACAGGGCCAGCTAGCAGTAGTATGCAGCCCTTGGGGGCCGTCCATACATTTTGTATTTACGCATCAAACGAGATATTTTATCATTAATATTATCATTATCATCATCATTCTTCTTCTTCTTATTTAAGAATTGTCAAATTCGAGTTATCGGCATACTCTTTATATTCCTTGCGTGTCCCTCAGATGAACGCAGTAGGCAAGGACTGTACATACAGCGGTTCGTTGCCGCCGGCCCCAACTCAAGATGCGCCGCCCGGAGATGAAACCGGCCCCCACAGAAGAGCTAGAGCCTAGCGCCCACACTTGCATGCTTAGCATGCGGTACCTGGCTACCTGCTACCTGCACACGTAACAGCCTCCTTCCTCACTCCCAAGTCAAGCCAGCGCGTGCTTGTGTACAACAGGCTAAGGAACGCCCGAATCTCCAACCACGGAGCCGAAACAGACTAACCACCCATGCGAACCCTAGCCGCCTTCACTACTATCCGTAGTATGGAAGTAGTGTGATTGACAATCGGCCCGATGTCCACTATCTTAGGGACCCAAGATTGCGAAGGAACGGGAGAAAGTACGCTCCTAGTGACGTTGGTTTTGTTCGAGAACATACACTCTGGCGTGGCGAGCATTGTCCAACCACACATGTTCTAGAATGTATCGAATGGGATGGCTCTCCACCGTCCTAGACTTCAGTCCTGGTACTAGCCTACTGGTAGTCTGTGCGGTCTCTAGACATCGGTGTTTGCTGCCGGACTGCTCACCCTGCTCCGTAGGTAGGCTATCACACTGTGTCCTTGCTCGGCGAGGAACCCTTGCCACCAAAAATATACTGGAGGTACGCTGGGCGGTTGCCTTTCAGAGCCTCGAGAGCATCTTGGGTCAAGCCATACGCCAGACTCAGTTTCAGGCCCAATTTGGTCGTGCGTGCTGCTGTGTATATATCATGCCGAGCTACTCCAGTCAGCCGAGTAACGACGGAGCATATAAATCAAGAGGCTTACCTAGCACACTGTAGACACCAGAGAACGACAAGCCGGCAATCACCGTAGAAATAAAATCTCGGCGATCATGACGGGCATAGTCCACAGTCTCTTCGAACAGACAGAAAGCGATTGCCCCAGCGCCTAGCCTTGCCCCCAACTTCGCGCCCTCGAATACTCCACCCACAATCGCCTTGTAGTTCTTGGTCTTATGATACTGAAACCATCCCGTGGACGTCGTCGGGAATCGATGGGCGTTCTCCGCACGAAACTGATATGCTGCCTTTTTTGACCCATGCGATGAACCAACTGCAAAACCAACGGAAAAAGCAGAGAAGGCTGTATACGGTAGTCGTCTCTCGATATCGATGCCGAGTCGCGGCGGTGCGTCAGAGTCGAAAAGCTTGTACCAATGCAAGACTTTGAGCACTGCAGGTTCGTCTGACCAGCTGGGGTCAGGTGTGGAGTCCGTCATGGCGGAAAATATGCAAGCTGTAAACAAATGAAAATTTTATAAACGGTCGCAGGATATTTTAATTGTGCGTGGTGACTCGTACGGTGTAAACAAAGGAGCTTCCTTTGCAAGATGACGTTGGGCCGTTTTTCCGGCGGAGCTGCGGTCCTGATTTTCTCCGATACCGTCACACCTTCCTTCCTCGCACCTCAACAACAATCAATATGGTACGTTGCCCCAGATATTTTTGTGTCATACTTGAGGACTAACTACGTCGTTTACCAGTCCAAACCAGACCCTCTAAGCTGGACCTTACGGTTCAAGAAGCACAAAACAACGGTATTGCTTATGATCCCCGCACAGGAATCAATCCAATCCACAAAACAAAAGCTTCTGCACGCCCTCCACGAACGCGGCATCAAAGATATCAACGGCGACGCAGTCCCAACAGACCATTCGGATATCGAACTCGGCGTCCCCATCGATCGCAACCACCTTAATAAAGGATGGGTAGGCTTGGAGGGTGCTGTCGATGAGAACAGCAACGGATCAGGAAAGAAGTCTGGAAAGAATGGCTCATCTGGTAGCTTGCAGGCAGCGAATATCCGCAATGGCCAGCCCATTGCCTTTCGCTTCAAGACAGGCTCGGATGATGACGATGAGGATCCCAAATGGGACGTGGTGATTCCTGCCTTGGATGATGAGGAGCCGGAATGATGGTCTACATGCGATGCTTATGATTTATGTAACACGCTTTTGGCGTTAAGGGCGTTTATTACAGGGATTTCAGATATATGAGGATAAGTTCTGGCCCGTTATAATTTCCTTTCCACCGCCGAGAAGGGAGAATGATTCGGACTGATTCGAGTTACTCTAAATCGCATCGCTACAAATGTAATAATTAATCGATGGAGCTTACGGGAAATCCACAGCCTAATGTACCGGGGAATTCCATCATGGACTATCCAACTATTGGCCAGTATGTAGTTTCGCATGTCTTGAAGCTTAAACATGAGCATGGCAAATTGGCAATGGTACATGTGAAGGACGTGGAGATGCATGAGGAATCGCGTGGAATTAGGAAATAGCATGAGGAAGCTCGCCAAGACAGTTCGTTGTGTGAGGAAAGATTAAACACCACGCACTATTGCCCGCAGCCAGCGGTTGCTCGGACAACCATAAGACTGCCCCCTCCAGCACCGACAAACAGACGCTATGAGCGTCTCTGTACACAGCTTAAACACCACAGCTCCACCTCAACATTCTTTAAGCAGTCGACTCTGTTCTCTCCACATCTACATCATATCGTCTCTCTACTGATTTATTATCTGATCGCCCTCTTTGGTGACAGGGCCCGAGTGGACAGAAGACGGGGTCTGTTTACTATCCTTACAACCAGGAAGTTGGGTTGGAGACGCGGAGCCGCTCGATATGGCTGCATCAAGCGCCTCCTCATCCATCTCGGTTACAGTGCGAGTGCGTCCATTTACCATCCGCGAAGCTGCACAATTATCGAAATGCGACGATACGCCGTTGTTTTTAGGCGATGGTTCTCTGGCTGGGGTGCCCACGCCGAAGCTGGCACAGCGAGGCATTCGGTCTGTCGTCAAGGTGGTTGACGACAAGTGTTTGTGAGTTGCAAATTCAAATTAATACCATGTTGAAATATCAATGTTAATATGGCGACTCGCAGAATTTTTGATCCCCCAGAGGACAATCCCGTTCAGAAATTCACGCGGAGCGTTGTCCCCAATGGAAAGCGAGTCAAAGACCAGACATTCGGCTTCGATAGGATTTTTGACGAGAACACAACACAAGCCGAAGTCTACGAGTCGACGTCACGTAACCTTCTCGACAGTGTTTTGGACGGATACAACGCGACAGTTTTCGCATACGGTGCCACAGGATGCGGAAAGACGCATACCATCACTGGCACTGCTCAGCAGCCTGGAATCATTTTCTTGACAATGCAGGAGCTCTTCGAGAAGATTGAGGAGCGAAAAGAGGAAAAGGTTACCGAAGTCTCGCTCTCCTATCTCGAAATATATAATGAAACAATTCGCGACTTGCTGGTTGAAGGAGATCGCAAGGGTCTCATGTTACGTGAAGATGCCAACCAGGCGGTCTCCGTGGCCGGTTTGTCAAGTCACCACCCGCAGAATGTTCAGGAGGTTATGGATATCATCATGCGAGGGAATGAGATGCGTACCATGTCGCCCACCGAAGCCAACGCCACCTCGTCGCGATCTCATGCAGTCCTGCAAATCAACGTCGCCCAGAAAGACCGCAATGCAGACGTGAACGAACCCCTTACAATGGCGACGCTGAGTATCATCGACCTTGCTGGAAGTGAGCGAGCAAGTGCGACAAGAAACCGAGGTGAGAGGTTACAGGAGGGAGCAAACATCAATAAATCCTTACTTGCATTGGGAAGCTGCATCAACGCCCTTTGCGACCCACGGAAGCGAAACCACATCCCTTACCGAAACTCCAAGCTCACTCGACTTTTGAAATTCTCGCTTGGCGGAAATTGTAAAACCGTGATGATCGTTTGCGTTAGTCCGTCAAGTCAGCATTACGACGAAACCCAGAACACGCTTCGGTATGCAAACAGAGCCAAGAACATCCAGACGAAGGTGACGAGAAACGTGTACAACGTTAACCGCCATGTAAAAGACTTTTTGGTCAAGATTGACGAGCAGATGGCTTTGATCAACGAACTCAAAGCCCAGCAAAAGGATTACGAATCGATCGCCTTCACCAAGTTCCGCAAACAGAATGAGAAGAAAGATACCGTGGCCAAAGAAAACGTGGCGCGCTTACGAAGCTCATACGAGAACGCTGCCGTGGAAAGGCAAGAAAAGGTCTCTAGCATGCTGAAATTGAGGCAGGTCAGCCGAAGGATTGGCATGTTGTCATCCTGGATTGCTGCTTTCGACAATGTGTGCGATTCGTGCGAGAATGTAGCTCCAATGGCCAACCTACAGGCTATTCGAAAAACAGCACAGGGTATTCTGTTCGAACTGGAGAACACTCGCCACCACTTCAATCAAAAAATTTCAAGAAACAACTGGGATAGGGCTATTAATACCGCACTCGAACACGGCATCCAACAGCTACGGGAATTCGAGACGAGTGATAGCACTGATGTCGCCAATCTCACTCGCGAGGCAGAATTACTGAAAGCTAACGCCGACCGCGAAATGTTATCTACGATCGCCGAACAGGAGAAAGCTGGAGACGCAGCCACTGTTCAAATGCTTCTCCAAGCCCATTTTGAAACAATTTCTGCAATCGAGAACATTATGCATTTAACAGAGGCCGAGGCTATCGAAGTCGGCAAGAAGATACTGAACAATATGCTTAATTCTTGCACTTCGTCTGTCGCCAATGTTGTTAAGCCTGATGGAAACGCGGCGTCCATTGATATTCCTCCCACACCAAAGGCAGACACTTCCGTCCGCCGCAGAAAGTCCAGCCTTGCAGGTATCCCTTTCAAGTCATTAAAGCCCGCCACAGCTATCCCATCACATGTTGCTGCATCTCCTACAAAAAACTCTCCACGCCGGCGCAAAACGGTCATGGCAAAGAAAGGGATCTCCTTCACGCCTAAAAGGACCCCAATCAAGGCAAGCAAGAGAGGTGTTCGATGGAAAGATGACGTGCAAGACGGCTCTCTTGCTGAATATGAAAAGACGCCACGAAAATCACAAGTCATAATAGAAGAGCCGTTAGAAGAGCCGTTAGAAGAGCCGTCAGAAGAGTTACCTCCGCCAAGAATCTCACCGATGCCTCGAGGGATCCCAGTGTTCACCAAGAATGATGATTCACCTAGGTCCTCTTCACCTATCCCAGCATCACCAGAACCAAGCTTAGGAGTACCTAGCAAAAACAATCGGTTCAAAGCTGGCTTCCTCGCCAAGAAATCCGGATCTCCTGTTCCACAAACTGCGCCTAGCCTTGTGCCAGAGGAACACTCCCCGCTTCGCAGCATCGAAAATAGTAGTTTCCTAAACCGGCCGTCGCTCGACCGACCATCCAGAATCGCTATTCGCTCACCTAGTGGAAGCTACAGAGGCAGTCCCGCCTCGGATGATGAGAAGACGTGGAAAGCTGACAAGGAAGACGCCATCAAGATCAATGCAGCAATGCGCCGAATCTCAGGAGGTCAATTCGGAAACGGACCCTCTGCCGTCCCCGTCAGTAAGATCCAGCGCCGCCGCAGTCCCACGGCCACATCTATCAGCAGCTCCCCCCCAGAAAGCAGCATCAGCATGTTCTCTGCCTCCGAAGCAAGGCGCATGGTAAAAAGTGACAAATCGCATGATGCCAAACCCAATATTCTCGGCCCTCGCGTGATCTCAGTGACAAAGAACTCCCGACGCACCACCATGGGCGGTGACTTTCGGCCTCGCGAGGTGAGCCTCACTGGCCATGCTGTGCGACTGAGCATGGCTGCGAGCGCAAGCTCTGAGTCGCGATTTAGCCTCGGGCCCGCGGTTCGGGGAGCGTTGCGGTAGTTCGCATAACATTATGTATAATCTCCTAACGATGGCGCCTAGTATGGAATAAGCTGTATACCACCAGGAGTACTGGCGCGCAAGGCGTTTGAAGGTTTTTTTTTTTTGCTTTTCTTTTCATTCTCTTTTGTAAATGTGGATGGTTCAATCACTGGATCACGATACTATTCTTCATGAACATGTTCAAGTACTTTTCTTCACAATAATAGTATTTGTATATCAGCTAGCTACTCAGCCCTTCAGAGTAAGAAGTAAGAGTAGAAAGCATTCCACCAATCACAAGTGGCGGGAATTTGTCATCGGCGATGACGCCACTACATCTCACTCTTCTACCAGCTATCCTTCAGCTATTCTTCTATTCTCCCTGTTGTATCCGAATGGCTACTGACAAGAACTGTTCTTTCCACGAACTTGAATTGAATTGGCTGAATTGAAGGGACATATGGAAAACACTTGTTTCGCAAAAATTCTCACTTATCTAATCTCCTCCGTCACCATCCAGCAATAATTTCCATATTACCTTCCTGCATCTAACAAGATACCATTTGTACGTATTGAGTACTACTTCATCCTCTCCTTCTTCTGGCACCACGCCATGACATCTTTCATCTCACGCTTCTTCCGGCCCTTTTCTACTAGCTCTCCATCCCACTCCCTCTCCGCCTCCTCACGCAACATCACCATGCCCGACAACGCGAAAAAGGCCACCTTGGCGGCCGGCTGTTTCTGGGGCGTTGAGCACCTCTACCGCAAGCACTTCGGGAATGGCAAGGGATTGTTGGATGCAAAGGTTGGGTATGCGGGCGGATACACAGATACGCCGTCATATCGGAGCGTGTGTTCGGGGAATACTGGGCGTATGTTCCCTCCCTCCCTCCCTCCTACCTACCAGTGAAACGGGATGATGATTCTTATACAATCTTATTCTGGTACAGACGCCGAAGCGCTTCAAGTCATATACGACCCCTCCCTCGTGAGTTACCGGCAACTCCTCGAATTCTTCTACCGAATGCACGACCCGACAACCGCGAACCGGCAGGGACCGGACGTCGGTACGCAGTACCGTAGCGCGATCTTCACGGAGAATAGTGAGGAGGAGCAGATTGCAAAGGATGTCACGGAGAAAGTGAGCAAGCAGTGGTACAAGCAGCCGATTACAACGCAGATTATTTCAGCGGATTGGAAGTGGTGGGATGCAGAGGAGTATCATCAGCTGTATCTGGACCGGAACCCCGGGGGTTATGAGTGTCCATCTCAGTAAGTTTGATCTATTGTCTGATTTGATGTTGGCTGATGTTGGATAGCTTCTTGAGGAACTTTCCGCCGCTTTCGGACTGACTACGATGGCGAATATAATATTTAAGAGTGGGCATCAAATATATAATCAGTGATTTCTATACCTTTGTACGATTCTTTTATGGTTTCCATACAAATCGTAGCCCATAAAACATCAAGGGTTCTCTTTTAAGCTATGTATTGCACCCCGCAACTCATATATGTACCCCACTTCAGATAAACACCACTCAGAACTTTGATGATATGTGAGATCGTCGTGGCAAAAGGTAGAGTACCTAAAATCGCTCCTACCTCAGTGGTTCTTGTGCCCAAGGTGCTAGCCCATCGTGTTAGCCCATTGTGTTAGCCACATGTCTCACAACGCTTCCAGCAACGCATCCGGCATAAGATATGCAGTAATAGATTGATATACAGGCATAGTGGGGGTTGTCTCTCTGACGTACAACTATGGCGTCGATAAGGTGCAGATTTCCCTCGAATCAGAAACAGCAGCTGTCCAACCGGCACCGGGCTCCCGAGCTCTGTGAATGAGGTGTGAAATAGGTGCGGCGTCACCGGGCCGGTTGCCACCATCAATTCCCAATCAGGAAAGATACTGATGTCGGCGGGGAATTCATATAAACAAGAACAGCGCGTCGAAAGCAAAGTGATCATCAGTATGATCAACGCTTAACAGGTGTCTGACCATCGCAGCCGCCCTTGAACGCTCTATATTGGCATTCAAGACGCCACGATGAATCCAATAACCCCCTCAGTCCTAGCCAGGAAGCTTCCTCGCAGGATTCAAAGTCTGTCTCAGCATCCAGCGAGACAGCTACACCGCGCTATGAAGAGTCGCCAAGCAGCAGCAGGAACTGTGACCGTGACTCCTAACGCAACGCTGCAAAGTAGACCGGATTCTGCGCTGTCGATTCTGCCTCTCAGCACTGTCATGCGATCCTTGTCGGTCACCACCGTCACTTCTGTGCCTCTGCTCTTAACACCAGCTCTGGCGTCGCTTTCGTGGGTCGCCGATTCCAAGCTGCCAGTGCTCGACCCAGACAAGAACGGCGCGCTCAAGAGCGTGCTGCGGCAGACGATATACTCGCAGTTCTGCGCGGGGGAATCACCAGCCGAAGTCGCCCACACGATATCGGAGCTCAAGAGCCTAGGGTATGCGGGCGTCATTCTGGGTTATGGGCGAGAAGTAGTCATGACCGATGACGAGGCACGCGAGCTGGCGGTGCGGGGCGAGCAGGAGCAGGAACTCGAAGATGACGCAGACCAGGTACAGCAGTGGACAGAAGGCACAATGCGCACCCTGGAGCTAGCCCATGAAGGCGATTTTGTCGCGCTCAAGTTCACCGGCGCCGGGCGAGAAGCACTGCGCTGTCTGCTTCACGGCCTGCCGCCCTCTGCTCGACTAGACAGGGCCATCATGGACATCTGTGATCGAGCACGAGACAGAAAGGTGCAGCTTCTGTTCGACGCCGAGCAGGATGCCGTCCAGGCGGCCATCGATGCATGGGTGTTGCGTCTGCAGCGGAAATACAACCACTCCTTTTCCCTACAAGGCCGCCCTCGTGCGCTCATCTACAACACCTATCAAGCCTATCGTCTGTCCACCCCGCACACGCTTGCATCCCATCTGAGAACCGCGCAGGAAGAAGGGTTTGTGCTGGGAGTCAAGCTGGTGCGAGGAGCGTACATTGCCAGCGATCCCCGTCATCTGTTCTGGAAAACAAAGGATGAGACGGACAGTACGTATGATGCCATTGCTGCATCCCTGATCACACGACGGTATGGCGCTATTCTGGGGGATTCCCAGCCTGCCAGAACAGAGATGTTTCCTCAGGCGGACTTGGTTCTCGCGACGCATAATCGAAGATCGATTGAGAGGGCGCGGGCTCTTCGGAACGAGCAGGTTCGGACGGGCAACCCGATGATTGAGATGGTCTATGGACAACTGCAGGGTATGGCAGACGATATCAGCTGCCAGTTGGTGCGCGAGTCCATAGCGTTGAAAGCGCACCGTCATACATTAGAGGAGATTCCACAGCCATACAAGTATCTTGTCTGGGGGACCGTGGGGGAATGCACCAAGTATCTTCTTCGTCGAGGCCGCGAGAATAAAGATGCAGCGTCCAGGACAAGAGACACTCGGAATGCCATGTTCAACGAATTGAGACGACGCAGTTCTTTTGGTCTTTTTTGAGTTACGTATATAGATAGCATTTGACATAGGAATTTGATAGAGGACGAGTTCGATAGAGGATATAGGTTCATAATGTCTTGTCTGACCTGTCATCTTGTAAGAACAACGGCCCTGCCATAAGAAAGAGAGGAGGTTCAACTTGACGGCTATTTGGATCAGTTCATTGCCTATTTATAGCATGGGCCAACCTGCATTCAGTACCGCGTTTGACATTGTGCAAAAGCCCACACAGCACAGCACCAGCTCTACTGGGTGTGCGTGTCAAAGGCCTGCAAAGATCAAATGTCAACGCCTGTGGCCTGTGGTCACACACATTGACACACATTGACACTCACTTCCTTCCTTCCTTCCATGAAGCACCTTCCACCTTCCACCTTCCACCCCAAATGCTGACGACTTCCTATCTCTCCCCTCTCCCATCAAAGATCCTACACTGCTGCCTCTTTGCTTCTTTCGCACTCTGCCCTTCATTTTCATCTTCTTGGACCCAGTTTTATCTCACTGCATCTTTTATCCTCTCCATCTTTATTCTCCATCTCTGCCACCTCTTCTCCTGACCCACCACGCAGTTTCATCCAAACAAACATCGCCCGTGTGAATGGCACACTGGGCAACAGCAAACAGTTAACCGTCCTCATCAACAATCGGCCCAAGGACTCTGTCCTGTTTTCTGTTGTAGGGATATTTTCGCAGGGGGCAGCGGCAATGGACAACCTCCAGTCCGTCGATGAGCTGGATGGTCTCATGACCACTGCTCTGAGACACATGGCTACTGTTGCTGAACAAGTGAGTTATATTTACATGCCAAACTGAGCACCCAGGAAATATAATAACTGTCCCAGTTGCGTGTACAAGGCTACAACACCGAAGCAAACAAGATTGGTCAATTGAGCGTGCAGCTGGTGCAGGAGTTTAATGATGCATCCATTCAGTTGAAAGAAAAGGGCTCAAATGGCCACTATCCCCTAGCAATTCTTGCAAGTGATCCATATACCCTGAATAAAGCATCCACTAGCGCAATACAGGGAGATGGCGTGTTGCCAAAAGAGAATGCCCCTGTCGAGTTCCGTCTCGACTATCCGGCCAAGAAGAGCCCGCCGCCGTCAAGCAATGGCTTTGACGCCAAAGTGCAGCTGATAAACCCCAGCTCATGGGCAAAAGTGGTCGCGACTAAATCGAGTCTACAAAATCCTGAGAGATTAGCGGTCAGAGTAGGACGCGGGGGTAGATCCATCACACACTTTGGCCAGGCAACACGCACTGCTAATCGTGTGAAGGGTGGAAAGGAGGGAAACGAAGTACACACTGACCATCGTCGGGAAGAAATCGGCCTTGAGCATGGCAAAGGTGGCGTGGTCAATATTGAGGGGCCGGTGAAGAGCATCCCTCGCTTTCTCAGCTACCTAGCTGTACGGGTTAATGAGGGCCCTGTGTACGATATGAGTATTGTGGACGACCACAAGGCTATCATTGTTTTCCAGTACGCTCTCCATGCGCAGATCTTTGTTGATCGGAATACCGAGTCGCAGGCGACCCGTGGCGAATCCGTTTTCGGTTCCGGTGATTGGGTTGTCAAGCTTGGACAGCCAATGGACTGGACTGACACCATGACACGCATGAGCCATCCGCATCGTGAGCGCCGTCGTCTTACTTTTGTCCGCTCCAAGCTGTTCGCTGACCAGGCGAGCTACCATAAATGGATCCGGGAGGTCGAAGATGTAGCAGGCGTTGGAAACGTCGATTTTGTATGGGCATTCAACACTGGGAATGGTAAGTTCCCCCCTTTACAGTCTTCTTTCTCTCGCTCACATCACACAGCTACGGCGGTATTTTTCAGCGTAGCCGTTGCCCGCAAGGTCATGCAGACATTTACCAGCTGGCGCCAGAACCGCGGCTGCTATGAAGACTTAGCAGTGACGTACTCGACCGATCCCTGCGAAAAGGATCTCCAGCTAACGACGCAGCTGCGCTACTTTGTCCAGCCTGCGCACCGCAGCTTTGAGCAGCAATGCCCTGGCGACGGTGAACATTCGGCTACTAAGAGGTCCTCCAAGGGGGAGTGATGGAGATGCTAAGTAATTACAATTGCCGGGGTATTGTTTGCTGTCTAGATTTTACAAGCAGCATTTGCATGAGTGATTGAGGAGGTGTTGGAAGAGCAATTCTGACTTCTTTTCTTCTTCTTTTTCTCTTTTTCTTTTCTCGATAATGGGATGCAGGTTGGTCTATTGCATGTGGTGGCGTATGATGAAGGCAGAGCTTGGCCAGTTTGGCTTGGTGATATTGAAGAGGGATTTGAATCTGCGATCTAGCGAGAGCAGCGCTTACAGTCTGAGGCCGAATTTAAAAAGCTCAAGCTACATAGTACATATACGACATATGTACACAAATTGATTGCGCTGTACACGTTTCAGTCCCCAGGTAATACTGCTAAGCAAACCAAAGAAATCACGTTTCAATAGCATGGCCAAGCTGCTTCTCGTCTTCTCATGATCATCACTATAGATCTTCACGAAGCGAGGTTATCCACATAGGTCGGGGTGTCTCCCTACAAATTCCGACCTAAATCCTGAATTTGGCCAACTTATTTCTTCCCTCCACCATCTGAGAGTCAAACTTCAACGCTCAAGCCCTAGTACGGTAGACTATTGTAACCCTAGGAATTTGTGGCCCTGCTTATGGCGGATCAGCCTGCTCCAGGGGAGTTCACCTCCCACGACTACAACGGAATCTCATAGCAGTAGGAGCAAGTATACCCCCAAAGACTGCCAAGAATGCCGCAGACGCCGTGCGAAGGTTGGTGCAAGGTTCTGGAGAAACCATGATCTGCTCTCTGACAACCGCTCTACAAGTGTAACAGCAATCAACCGTCCTACACACGGTATCTACACCGCCAGCTGTCCTGCAAGTACGCGGCCGATGAGGATCGCTGTGGGACGGCGCCTAAGTCGTACGTGCGCTTGCTGCAGGCTCGCGTCGACGTTTTGGAGCGTATTATTTGCCTGCACAACATCGATATTGATGACTCGTATCTTCTTACATGTATAAACTTATTGAATACTTACTACATTGTAATGCGGTGAGCCTCTGGCTGCTATATAAGTGGTCTTTTTAGTTAGCCCATGCGGTTAGCCCTAAAACACACCCCATAGGCCCACTTTAGCCTCACGTGTAGGCTTTGAGCATACAGCTGATCAATTGATATTACTGATACATAAGCACATGTATTGATGGTTTTCTATCTAACGCTTTTTGTGATTCGTTCTTCCGTGTAAAAGAAAATAACACAAGTCTCTCTTCAATATTGCTGTCGACGACTGTAGTTAGGGGAATTGGCCAATCACATCAATATAACCACGTGACCGTCACCGACCTGATTCGGCATCAAACAACAAAGAACGCCACAATACTATTTAATATTATATAAAATATCAATGGCGATAATATTATTATAATAACAATCCTCCGAGAGTGAATCTGCTGGCGGGAATCAATACCACCTCTCGCTCTTGGCAGGATCTGGTGGCGACTGCAGAAACTAAGAAACAGGAAAAAGGCGCGCGGTGGCGTGTGAGACTGTACCGGCGCCAACGCGCGCCCTTGCAGGCTGCCGATTATTGATTGCCAACCTCGCAGTATAATGCAACGTGGTGCGAGCAAAGCAGTAGCCGAGTGCCAAACGCGCATCATTATTATATCATGATACCCCTTCAGGCCATTTTTCGATCAACACCCAGGCATGTTGAGAGCGTGTCGCTGTCAATTTGCTGGGTCCTTATCGGCACTAGCAGCGGGCTAGTTTCACCTCGGGCCTCAAGGAGGGCTGCCAGTGGGGCCAACCCCGGCAATGCGCGGCCACAATTGGCCGGTAGCCCCATCCCTTCAGCCCCCCGGTTTTTGTGCTCCGCGTGATTTGCTGGCGGCGGCTCCGGCTGGCAGTGCTAGAGCCTCCATGCCGCCAATCGCCGTCGAGAACCGCTGCCAGAGGCCAATAGGAGCTCCCAATGCTCCCCCGCCGCACAGAGATCGTCAATTCAGGGCTAGCGTGCAGTGTTCAGCATGGAAATAGCATTATGCATATAATCCATCACTCCTCCTGCTGTGTCTTGCGACGTTAGCTGCCTCGTCCTGACCCCGGGAGTCGTTAATTTGTTGTTCTTCTCATACCGGCCTGTAATTCTGTGCTATACTGACGCTCGTTATTGTTGTTATCCACTCTCGTTTCTCTCGTTCGCTTGTTCTCTTCTTTCTCTCGTTCACTAACCCTATCCTTGTCGGGTTGTATATTCGATTCCCGAGCAATGGTTCGCCTCGTCTCCATTGCCATCGCAGCTCTGTCTGCTTCATTTGTCGCTGCCGACTCTGCGCCCCAATGTGGCAGCGGCACAAAATGCCCGGCCGACACGCCTTGCTGTTCTCGTGAGTATTTTATCAGCGTGCTCAAGTTGCACTCCTAACCATTGCACAGAGTACGGTGAATGCGGTACCGGTGCCTACTGCCTCGGCGGTTGCGACCCCATCAACTCCAACAGCTTGGACTCTTGCACCCCCGAGCCGGTCTGCAAGAGCCAGACGTTCGCCAGCTGGGATAATCTGGACGATACTGCGTCCAACGACAAGTATCTGGGCAATGCCACCGCTACCGACTGGGTGTATAGCGGCAAGCCTCTCGTTAACAATGGCGAGCTGCTCCTGACCATGGCCAAGGGCTCTGTCGGTACCCTGGTTGCCTACAACCACTATATCTGGTACGGAAAGGTGTCTGCCAGACTCAAGACCTCCCGCTCTGCAGGCGTTATTACGGCCTTTATTCTGTTGTCCGACGTGAAGGATGAGATCGATTACGAGTTCGTCGGTACCGAGTTGACCACTGCCCAGACCAACTACTATTTCCAGGGTATTCTGGACTGTGAGTTAATAACCCTGTTTCATTTTGGTCCATTGCTGACATTATTCAAGGGCACAACGGCAAGAACTCTACAGTCTCTGACTCGACCTTCGATAACTACCATACTTACGAGATCGACTGGACCCCCGATTCCATCACCTGGTACATCGATGGCCAATCCACGCGTGTCCTGAACAAGGCCGACACCTACAACGCTACCACTCGTCAATTCATGTACCCTCAAACCCCAGCCCGTCTGCAGCTGTCTCTGTGGCCCGGTGGTCTGGCGACCAACGCCCCCGGTACCATTCAATGGGCTGGTGGTGAAATTAGCTGGGATACCCCTGATATCAAGGACCCCGGCTACTACTACGCCACTTTCAGCTCGGTCAACATCACTTGCTACGATCCTCCTTCCGGTGCCAACATCAAGGGCAATCAAGCTTACATCTACACTGACGCGGCTGGAACTAACAACACCGTCGAAATTGTCAACAAAAACACTGTTCTTAGCTCCTTGGAGGGCACTGGCGTTAACATGACTGCGGGTGCCTCTTCGTCCACCGCCAGCGGTACCAGCTCCAGCTCCAGCACCGGCAGCTCCTCATCTACTTCTACATCTTCTCCTAACACAGTCCCTGGTGAGGGCAACGGTGGAAGCGGCGGCCAACCCGGAGGCTCCTCAGGCAGTGGCACCAGCAGTGGCAGTGGCAGTGGTAGTGGCGGCAGCGGCTCTGGAACCTCGTCCGGGTCGTCCGCTACCTCTACTGGCTTCAGCCAGGGCGGCGACTCGGCCAAGACCGGCGCAGCCTCGGCCAACGAGCACATGCTCCAGGGCTCAATGTTTGCTGTTCTGGTGGCTGTTGTCGCTTTGATTGCCATGTAGTTTTTGTTCGGCGCGGAAAACCTCTATGCATGTAATTTATCGATCTATATTCAATCCCTCGAATCTCTGGGTTTTACATTAGCCTCTGTTCTGTTTGTTCTGAAACTGATGTAATACCTCGATTGTCGTCTTCTAGTGTTCCTGTATATATATAATTTGCTGGCCTTCAGCAATGGAACTACTTCACTACATTAATAATGTCATAATTGATTGGTTATCTATTTTGGTGATATGTCAGTGTGATTCTTATTGGGGAATTAGAAGTATCTATTGAGGCACCAAGCCAGCCTAATCCAACATTCAAGACGAAGAGATTGTAGTTGATATAATCCTTAATCAGTAATTGATATTTACCATACCTGACCTTCCAAATGGTACTTATGTAGGCTAGGCTTTGCATACATAGGTCAACTAGTGTACGTGAAGTACTGTTATGCTGATACCTTTAGCTAGCCCTTCACTAGCACAACTCTTGTTGATATATACATTTATTAATTGATATTAATAAATGTGTATAGGCTAAAATTTTATCTAATTAGGTGTCATACTTAAAATACTATGATTTGAAGTATTATCATATCTTTAAAGAACATTTCTATGAGCATTACCTCTTCCTAGACCATGGCGTGAACATCTACTGCGTGAACATCTAATGCACACTGTCCTTCTTCACAACCCAAACAAACCCTCACCCACTCACGCCCCCTCAGACTCACAATGTAAACAAACAGCCAGGCAAAAGCAGAGAGCAAAAGCCATGTGCTTCTTCAGTGCCTACCTATACTGTCTCTGCGGCCACATTGACTACGATATTAGCACACTCTGCGTGGCATTCAAGAAACAACTCCTTCGAATCTGCTCACCAACAAACCTCTCTAACCCCTCCTGCATCCCCTTCTCCCCGAACGACGAAACCTGCCTGCCACATGCCCCCGACCCGCGCCTCGGTGTGGCTGGAAATTTGCAGTGGTTCTATATTGTTTTGCCAGGAGATATAGGGCCGACGGCAAGCCTACAGCCGCTCTGTCATCGCTTGCGAGAGCTACAGAGCCGCGAGGACAGGGAAGGGTGGATGGTTGTGAGTGGGCTGTGTGGTGGTTGCACCAGTGCCGCTGAGGACTTGTGCGAGATGTTTCAGGCTTGTCCGTCTTTCGGCTTGACAGATGACATGGTCCTCGACGAAGACGGTAATGAAAATGGAATGGATGATAGTGATGTAAGCAAGGCTGAGGATTTCGACCTCCCTTTCCTCCGCAGGGTTACTGCATTGGATATCTCGTCGAAAGCGCCGGGGGCGATGGAACAAGATAAGAGTATCGGGGGTGAGATTAGTACGCCACTGCGTGGTGCTATGGGGAGGAGTGGTTATGACACTAATCGCACGTACAGCCTGGAGGAGCGTGATATTGACATGATGCGGCTGGATGAGGACGGTGGTACGTGTATTGTCAGTGGCATGGGCATTCTCGACGATCCCTTTGTTGGCCCTGCTATTCCTCAACGTGGTTACCATGACGAGCCTGTCAGTGTTGGTCATCCTGAGATTCCACATAATAAGTTCTTGAAAAGCCTTATGGACGCGGCGGCTAGTCCAAGCAATGCGTCGAGAAGAATGCGAAAGCGAGCTAGACTGGGCACGACCACCAGGATTGGGAGTAATAGCAGTTTGTTGTCTGCAGTTAGCGCGAGCGAGGCGAACCAGAGTAAGAAAAGGAAAACAGGCCATGCAACCAGCGAGCGGCGCGTACCCGAAAATTGTCCGTATTCGCTCAGGTCACGGTCGAAAGTGGGAAGCGGAGAGAGAGCTTAATGATCAATATACAAGACGGGTGGTGCGTGTTAGGAGGAATCGGAATTGTATGCTTTTTGGGAGCGCATTGGAGGTCATTACGGAGAAATAAAGGAGTGAGCGTTGGTTAGGAAAAAAAATAATCGGTGTTATTGATATCTGTGACTATGAGCAGCTTCAATGCAATATGGATATCCCTCTTGGTCACCTAGAACGCCCATTTCGATGCCGAACGAGAAAGTACAAAGGACAGCCGTCCAAAATGTCAATAAAAAGTCAGGTCAAAGTGTCGACAAATTAGGCCTCTTCAATCTAGTGATTATCACACCCGCAATCCTCCCCGCGCTTACGGAAATCTCCGTGATAGCTGTCTAGTTGATCGACACGGATATTGGCCCCAAGCTGATCGCCCAGCCAGGACAACGAATCTTGTTGGCTGAGCTTCTCGGTCACTGCGTCCACGTCGAGATCTAGGTAGGAAGCCAGAAACTTGCCGACCTCAATGTTCTCGTGATTTCCAAGAAGTGGCCATACGTCTTTTGAGGACGATGCGTAGATATTGACATCAGCGCCTGATGCAGTTAGTAAAGATCACTTAACAGTTAAATTCGTTTCTACTCACCAGAATGGCCGTGAGTCGACCAGCCCACTTGCGCCCGTCGACTTATCATGTCAGCGAAAAAGTATTTTGGTGGTTGATCAGCGTCGGGCGTGAGCAAGGAATCCACTTCTTCGTCAGTGGCATCATCGATTCCAAGCCCCTTCTTTAGAAGCTCCTCACGTACATAGGCCCGTTGATTCTTCAGGCTGTTCTTTGCACCCGCTTCTCCTAAGTATTCATTCAGCTTGTTTTCAAGATACTCAGACGAGTGAGAAGCCTTTGCTAGCACGTCGGGAAGCCACTTGTACTCTGGGTATGATTTGTGCAATTGTCGAGCGACTGCAAGACCGCCAGTCTCATGATCAGAGGTGCTGACAAGCACAGTAGGAGTGTCCTCTTTGTCTATAAAATCTAACACTGCAGCAAACGCTCTATCGTATGCAAGTACCTCGTGCACCTGTGCTGCTGGATCGTTTCCATGGCCGGCATGGTCAATCCGCGAGCCTTCAATCATGATGAAAAACCCCTTGTCACCCGCCTCGGTAGCCTTGCTAAGAGCAGCCAATGCAGTGCGCGCCATCTCCTCTAGAGAGGGGTAAACATCATTGACCTGACGACGGTCAATTTCGAAAGGGATGTCCTTCTCTGCAAAAAGGCCTAGTAATGGCAGCTCAGCATTTTGGCCGAGCGCAAGCCCATCAAATCCATCACGATCATTAATATAATGAAATCCTTTGTCCTCGGCAACCTTCGTCAAGTCCCGATCATCCGCCCGACAGCCGCCATCAGCATCCTGTGGCAGAAAGTGGCATCGTCCACCTCCAAGAAGTAAATCAACGACCCGCCCCAACGGATGTTCGCCAACTTCCTGTTCAGCAATCAAATCCTCATATTCTCGTCGGTTGGCGTGAGATGCAAAGCATGCGGGTGTGGCATCAGTGATTCGAGTGGTCACCACCAATCCGGTCTTATACCCCGCCAGATGTGCTGCCTCCAGAACAGTTCCACAAGCCGTGTGGTTGGGTAGCACTGAGATGGCACCATTATAGCTCTTGTGCCCACAAGAAAACGCCGTTGCTCCCGCTGCCGAATCAGTGATTAAACTAGACGACGAACGAGTCCGCGACGTCCCGATCTGGTGCTGGTCTATGACCAAGGTGTCGTCGATAGGCAACCCTTGCTCGAGCTGGCGGAAGCTCCTGGTCAACGATAGACTAGTCGGGCCCATCCCGTCGGAAACCATGAATATGACATTTCGTTTACCGGTAGGCTTGCCGCCTGGGCCCCAGGTGAGCCCGTCAGACCCGTGTGGTTGTGTGGTTGCGCTATGCTGATACAGAACTGCGAGAATAATGACGGCCACGGTTGCCACAAGAGACCAGGTGAAGAGCCCAACCTGCCGCCAAAACGCCCATCCCCGTTGCTGCTCCGGCCGATTGATTCGCTGTCCGGTTAGTAAAGCATCCTCTTCGTCCTCGCTCCTTATTGACGAGTGCTCCGAGGAATGTCGCGGAGCGAGGAGAGGCTCCTCTCGCGGCATATTGTATAGATGGACAGATGAGTCGAAGATAATCCAAAATTACGTGCAAAGTAAGCAATCTCGATAACCAAGGAGAAAAAAAGTCACAGACGGGGTTGCCATCTACGATAATGTTCGCGTGATGATGGATCATGGAGGTTCCCGCATAGAGTCTTAGCGTGTTACCAGATACGGCGATCGGCGGGCCCGTGACCAACAGTGTTCCCCGACGGTAACCCAATTTGTCATTGTCATTTATGATTTCCCATTACTAGTTCCCTCGCCTTGCATATCTTTTTTCCCATATACACACAAAATGGCAATAGCCAAATATCTTCACGGATAATAATACATATGGAGGACGACTTCTCCAACACCACTCACGCTGCCCTAGAAACCAAATAGATGTCTCACTCCAACATATAATATACTATCGTACAACCACCATGATAGATACTGCCAGTAAAGCCCCTATCTCCCTTTCCACCCAATTGGGATCATAGCAGCTGCGACTTCGGTGACGCCGCGTTCGGTAGCTAGTAAATTGAACTGTGCCGATGCATTGCGAGTATCCTGCACGTCAACTCGGAGGCCCAATGAGTTGATATGCTTCTTTGTCTGCGGCGAAAGCGGGAAGATAGAAGAACCCAATCCCAGGATGAGAATGTCTGGATGGAAAAGTCAGCGTCGAGGATCAATCGACTGTCACAAGGCAGATTCGACTACATACCAGGTCGTGGCCACACCACGCTCAAAAGACCCCAGACTTCCTCTGGCACTTCAAACTGCCCCTTCTCATTGACCATTTGCTCCCGCGCACCATCCTGGATAGATTGCCATGGCCGCCAAGCGAATGCCTCGCCCCCCACCAGCAAAACTCCGTCGCCATTAGTTATCTTGACGCCATTATCTAGATGGAACCCGTCGTCTAGACATGCGTCTACAGCAGTTGCTGGGGTTGGGACGTTTCGGAGAACATTGAGCTCGGCGAAGTCGGTCTGCGTACGTTCCTCGGATGGCGGGCCGCGATCGTGGCTTTGTGGCTTCGAGGGCTGAGATCGTGGAGCAATGCGAGGGTTTCGAGATTGAGAAGTGGTGCTGCTGCTGCTGTTATTGTGCCATAGAAGGCCCGGGTATGACAGCGATGGCAGTGATGGCAGTGATGGTGGAGTAGAACGACATGGCTGGCAGAAAGAGCCGTGGCGGAGCGAAGTTCGCAGAGCGCGTAGTAATTGGGGTGACGGCGAATGCATTGGTGCTGATTGACAAGAAAATATAATAAACAAGGTCACAGGATGAGACTCAAATTAGTGACGGTATCGTCGGTATGTGGCTTTAAAATGTTGAGCGCCTGTTAGAGGAGACAGCAACGGGGTGGGACTTGCTAGCAGCCAATGAGCGAAACAGGAATGGTCATGGGACTGTTAAAACAGTACAATAATAATTAAGACCGAAAATATGCCATCAATAGCTTCTAGTACCAGGAAAGTATTAATGGCGTGAAAAGTAAAATATGTAGATTGACATTGTATTCATTGCTGAATTACTAAGTGGCCAGGATGAAGATCTATCTACAACCCAAAAATGAACTTTTCCATTTGGCATGACCACCACAACCACCACCGAAGGAACATTATATCTGGTATCGAAAGGAGTCAAGTTTCAAGCACAACACGCGTGAACAATGACAAAACAGGGGCACTAGGGTTAAAGATAAAATCCAAAAAGACAAAGAATGCGCCGTTTCAGGCGCGACCTTATACAACCGTAAGGTATCAAGTAAGTAATGTGATTCAGAAGTTCGTGGGATCAGCTGAAAAGAAGTGATAATGGCCAACGAGGCCATTAGTAGTCATCTCAAAAGAGACAAAAAAAAGTAGAGCCAAGTTATAATAATTAAAGATATACTGCGTTATGAAGGCCGTCCGTGACTAGCTTTATCGTGGGAATCACCAGCTCGGCTCGAAACTCGAGAGGAAGATTCCCGGTTTCCGGCCGAGCCAGATTTGGCATTCCGTTCTTCTTCCGACTGACTAGAACTATCGTCGGCAGCGGTTGCACTGGTAGATGCGCTCCGAAGACGTTGGGCTCGGTCTTGGAGTACTTGGGCCTCAGCTGCAGCCTTCTGGGCTTTGATTTGCTTGCGCCACATACTCGCATAACGGCCTTTCATCGCTAGTAATTCCTCGTGAGTACCACGTTCAGCGACTTGGCCATCATTTAAGACTAGAATTTGGTCCGCAGTGGTGATGGTACTCAATCGATGAGCAATAACAAGCATGGTGCGTCCTCGGGAAAGCGTTGAAAATGCGCCTTGGATGTGCTCCTCAGTTGCTGTGTCAAGAGCAGCCGTTGCTTCATCCAGCAGAATGATCCGAGGATCTTTCAAGATTGTACGAGCGATGGCTACACGTTGCTTTTCTCCTCCACTCAACCGCAAGCCGCGCTCTCCGACCTTCGTTTGATAGCCGTCCGGGAATGTCATGATTTTGTCATGAATACTAGCGGCACGGCAGGCCTCGTATACATCCTCATCAGTTGCATGAGGAGATGCGTATTTCAAATTGTACATCAAAGTTTCGTTGAATAAGACAGTGTCTTGCGGTACCACACCGACGTGTCGACGCAACGAGTCGATAGTCACATCTTGAACATCGAGACCATCAATACGAATGTTGCCTCGAGTGGCATTGTAAAAGCGGAAAAGTAGTCGAAACACTGTCGATTTTCCACCCCCAGATTCGCCCACGAGAGCGGTTGTTGTACCAGGTCGGCAATGAAATGTAAGCCCGTTGAGGGCTGGCTTTCGGGCATCATATGAGAACTCCACATTATCAAAGACAATGTCTCCTGCACAGCGGTGAATGGGCGAAGCATGGGGGAGGTCGGTGACAGTGGGTTGCTCTCGGAACAATTCCAACATGCGCTCGGAATTGATCAAGGCTGACTGAATAGATCTATAAAAGGTGCCAAAAAAGTTCAACGGTCCTTGAAGTTGCGCCATATAAGTCAAAAGGATGACAAATTCGCCCACGGAGCGTTCGCCGGTGGAAACCTGATAGGCTGCAATGAAACATGTAATAAGTAGACCCAGCATGAACACAGTATTCTGACAAGTGTTCATCAAGGTAAGGGAGAAAAGGACATGGTACTCCGCTCTTTGAAAGTCGCCGACAGCAGTGCGATAGCGGTTGAACTCGTATGATTCGGCATTAAAATACTTCACAGTTTCGTAAGAGACCATCGAGTCATTCCTATGAGGGTTAGTAATCGCGGATTCACATCAAACATATCCATCAACTTACTTGACAGCATCCTCCTGTCGAGAAGCATTGACCATCTGGCGCCTTATTTCGGCTCGCCATTGCGCCATTCGAATGGTAACATAGAGATAACAGAATGTAACAATAGCCACTATTAGAGCGTAGTATGCATCAAAAGCCAACAAAAAATACCCAATTGCGACACACAGGTCAATCAGCATAGGCACCACCTGGAATGTCACTTGTTCAAGAAAGGTATTAATAGAGTTTCCCTTGCTCAACGCTGACAACACTTCTCCAGTCTTTTTCCCCAGGTGAAAATCCAAGCTGAGGCTGTGAACATGCTCAAAGGCCGCAGTTGATAGCTCCATGTAGGAATACTGGCCAACTGGGATCCACAAACTGGATCGCAGGGACCCGATAAGGCCCTGGTTGCCTTGCAGCCAACGGTAGAATATGTAAAGACAGATTTGAAACCATGGGATTCGCAGATCTTCACCTTCGGCGTCTGATAGAATATCGGTTATCCGGCCAACTTGGATGGGGACTAAAACGTTGACAACGCGCTGTAGAAGGATGAGAACGAAACAAATGACGACTACCACCTGAAGTCGGCGAGACTTCGAAGGCCAAAGATAGGGGAAAAACAGGGAATAGCCGCTAAGATATTCCCACCAGCTTGTTGAAGGTATAGTAGTCGGCCGAACCCAAGGATCAACAGGTTTTTGGGATGGCGATGCGTGACCATTTGTATGCAGAGCACCATATCCAGACCCATTGGCTACATCTGCTTCGGCGGACGATGGATGTAGTAGACCGGTTGTTTCTGAACAATTGCCTGCTAGGCGTGGATCCGCCTTCCGGCGGTTGAATTTTCGATTTGTGGAGACAATGTAGAGGAAAAGGATGGCTGCGAGAATGAATGTGCGGATCGCAATCGAAACCACATCAGCAATTTCCCACCCGGTCATGGATTGTCGAAAAGGGCCACCCTGGGGATCGCCCACGGTGGGCTCATGATGTGGATTTGTGTATATGTCTAGCCATATTCCGCAGATGACGAGGTCAATGCAGATGGCCACCACCCATGGGACGAACTGGGCGCAAGTTGGCGATGGCTTGGTGTCCACGAGGGAAATCAGAATGAGAGCATGAACGAAAAAGCAGCCGACGAGGTAAATCTACGCGACCGAGTTAATACAATCGTAATCCTTAAAGCTGGGCGACACCAAGTGCTTACCACAGTAGATTGGCCGCACCACCAATGCTCTGAACGATAAATTATAGCATGGGATACATTAATAGCTGTATCTACAAGGTAGGTCAATAGCACGGCTACTGCGAGCCATTGAAAGACGAGGCTGAATTGGGGAGAAATCTCTTGTCGGTCTCTCAATACGGTCATGGTGCTTCTGGTCCGTTTCGGCAGGGGTCGGCCACCGGGACCGTAGGCGGCCTTGTTGTCATTGGGAGTCAAGCGCCTCGCGGAGATGATGGAGCTGGCCACGAAAGCACCGATGAAGACCAAGAGGAGCACAATTGGCGCCGCAGTCTGGATGAATTGCAACACATAGCGGCCTTTCGGCAGGGCTTCTTCGCTCCAAGTCCCATGTTGCAACGACGGTCCTGGCGAGCTCGGTATCGCCATTCCTCCAATATTCTATTTCCCGCGCAAGTCCAGAGATGCTCACTGAGATTCCATGTCACTCGCCCGCAGCTGATCGCTTCTGGCGGCGGGGACGGGTCACGATCGGTAAAGACAGGTGGATACACCGAGCGAGGGTGCCTTGGACGGAGGACTCGAGATACTATATAGGGCGTATAATGTATATGTCGGCAGTCAATTGATTGCAGAGGGCCAATACTGGCACAGAGTATTCCCTAATCGTGGCAATGGAGGGGAATTCTGGATTCCTAGGGAGCAGGTATAGAGATCGTGATATAGTACTAGGCGGGCCTATAGCAACACACGAAAAAGCAAATATGCCGATTGATTAGATGACTATGACCAGCAAAAGCAAAGAAGCGGAACGAGAACGTAACGAAACGAAACGAAAACGAAAGGGCAAGCGGCGGGGACAAGGAAGAAAGTAATGAAGAGACAAGAAAGAGTATTAAAAATTAAATTAATAATGGAGGGGCTCTTTGCGCTGGTGATGGGCGCCGCAAAGAGAGCAGGGGAAGGGCAGAGTGTGAGAGGGCGAGGTTCCTGCAGTGTTCTAGTATAGCAGGTGTATGCAATAGCAGCAATAATAAAAATAACAGGTGGAAGGATGCAGCAGCAGCAGCAAAAGAAAAGTGACGCGAGGAAGGAGCTGGCCGGGGGCGTGGATTGGGCGGGCCCGCTTTAGTCAGGCCGGGTGCGGGCAGGGCAGGTGCGATCGTACATGCTCAGGTGCTAACATACTGTATGCAATACAGAAAGACGCAAACCATCAACCATCAACTTGCAACTTGCAACTCACCTGCGTGTTCCACCCTTCACGTGTTGACTGCTATAAATACTGGCTGCCGGCGACACGAACCTGCCAACTGGAGGCCTGTCTGTCTGCACGGTAAATGTAATGGCAACAGCCCTGAATGAAATCTTCCTAATGCAAGAACAATCAAAGGTCAGTCAGAAACTACATTACAATCATCCATCGCAGTTCTCAAGAATGATGAACCCAGGCCCCTTCTGGCTCCACTTCCGACAGGCTGAGCCCAGCCCCAGTGCTTTGAAGAAACAATGTGAGTGGCTTCGCGGGACGGCAGACTGACCAACTGACCAACTGACCAACTGGACCGCACTGGTCGAGCCTAGATTTTCCAATGAGAACAAGAAGACTATCTTTCTAGCCCTTGCTCCGCCCACACCTCCCAGGCTTCCAGTGCATGCGCGCGCCGGGACGATGGCTTCAACAATCCGAATGGTACTTCGGCAAAGCTTGTCTGAGTACGCCGCCGCCTATGCGACCTGATTGGGTGCGTGCTGCTCAGATCTCCCACAGCGAATCCAGAATCTGACGGATCCCGTGAGCACCAGCGGATCTGGATGCTCTGGTCTGAGAACCCCAAGAAGTCACCAGATCGCCGCGATCGAATGCCAAACAAGAGCACGGCCTTCTAAAACCCAACAGTGAGTGATGAGTGATGAGTGATGAGTGACGTGCCCGGCGGGTAAGACACAGCAAGAGGGGAAGGGAACGGCGGTACTCTTCGCCACCATAAAACCCCAGCTTGTGGAGGCCGAGAAATGGAGCGATTTCAAGAAATGGAAATAAATTCCACGATCTACCCTTGCTCTTGTGCGCGGTCTTCGGGTATATGTACTGAGGGATGGATTGATCATCTTGTCTAATATTCCTTCGCCTTAGAATTTCGCCGGCACTGCTAGGATTGACTGGTCTTATTTAGACCATGTGAACTATAAGCCGCACACTTATGAGCTGTCTACTGCTACGACCACACAGCGAACTTACTGACTAGTTAACTAGCTCATACACTGACATACAGAGGAACGTCAAGAGTTGGAGACGATATTTCCAACTTCCAGGCCCTGCAAGACAGGCCATGACCAACTGGGCTAGGCCGCCCTGCAGCCTGCATGTTTTAGAAGTTTGAGCCTAAGCTCCTCCTTTTTATCCCGAGATCGTGGCGGCCACCAAACCCCTGGGACGCGTCCGGCCTGCCCCATCACTCGTGTCATACGTAGTTACTAGCTAGCGGGTCACTAATTACTCTGTCGTCAACTAACCATGCAAGTTACGAGTTACTACTAGTCTACTACTACTAGCTGACCAACATAGCTCCCAGAAAACCACAAATTTGGCCCTGGGTTTTTGTTTGGAAGGCTCCCAGAGGGGCAATAGACTAAAGGCGATGATCATGTTTATCACTATCGTCGAACTGTCGTCATTCTCCGGTCTTATTCAAGAATCGCTAGCTTATACATCCCGACATCCCGACATCGCCATCCAAATCCATTGTCACTCGGCGTAGTCTGCGACAAAGAAGTGCACGTTCTAGAACGCATCGCTACGGTATCACATTCACATGTGGTGTCTACCAATCTCGGCCCATCCCCAGTCTGCATGTTACACGCTTCTCGTGGCAGACATAGCCCGTCCTGCTCGCCATAATGTAGGCAATTTTACGCTTGCCATTGCCACTGCCATCTGTTGACTGGGATATCCCTGTGATCAATTACGAGAGGTAGAAAGAGAAAAAGAGCGGAAATGACGTTGCGGTGAGCGCTTTGAGTCTGAAACGTGGACAGATGAGACGGGTCGATCAGGCCCTGGTCGAGCATACTAGAATAAAGAGCGACTTGTGCTGTCTACAGTCTACTGATGTCTCGACACTGACTAATCCTCACCTTGGGCAACAATAGCATCTTGAGTTTTCTGCGCGCCGGGCTAGCGGTGTGGCTTGAGCCGGAAGCACTACTTCTTCTCAATGCACACTAAATAAATAGCCTAAGTGGAAAACAACAGGGAATCCAAGTTATCCAAGTCGTTTGATTCAACGGTAGTATGTCAGACAGCTGATGGGCCTGGTTTCCTCCTAAATTACCGCGGGCGGAGGCGGGAGACAACTCCGACAAAGCAAAAAGGTTTCCTTCCCTTTTCAACGAATTAATTTCTTGAATTAACAATAGGAACCATTATCGTTGGTTGTTTCATACGAAGAACTCCATACACATGCAGTAATTTCATTAAAAAGTGAAGTCGACGCATCTAGGATACTCACCTCCGTCCTGCAGCTGACCGCACACCGCTCCCAGTCCCCCAGTCCCCGGTTCCCAGCTTCACTGCATATTGATTGATCTGTTCGATGATATATAGCGGTCAGTGGCCGAACTAACTTTTCATTTCCGAGCCCATATCACTCTCCTGCATTATTCTTGTATTACGCATGCATCCTACTAGAAGGCCGTCTCCCAACTAGGCTTACTCCTCCTATGCATAACGATTCAATCCTCCCAATTTCGTGCGGGCTGCCGTCAGATGTTAATAGGATAAAGTACCAAAATGAGGTCATCTTGCACGTAACTAGATCCTTCAAATTTCCAAATTATCAATTCGGAGACTTTATGTTTCGGTTTCCGTGGCTTTGGTCTCATCCATCCTCGTACCTTGTGTTGGCTACCATTGGCCCAATTTTCGGAGGCTTGTGAATGTGAGGTATTTCATTTTCTATCAGCACTCCAAGCACAATAAGACACATGTAAAATTCTTCAGCAACCGGGAACAGTTGAACAATGATGGCCTCAGCTATAGACAGGGCTGTAGATTTCCTCCCCAATACCACATGTGCGACGCGCACTATATCCTTGTCCATGTGAGGCAGCATGGCTATTGTACCCGAGGAGAGCAACGGCAAGCCCTGAACCGCTAGCTGTCGGACTCCAAGCGAGCGAGACCACACCGATTGCGTCGATATGGGCCTAGCCCTTCAATGCAGAAAGTTATATTAATATTATTACTGCATTGTTGTATTTCGGCTTTTTGGATGTCGCGTGATGATGCGTGGTCCATGTAGATTAGACCTAGCAACCACTGCCGTTGTTACTACATACTACGGACTTGCCATACATGTAGAGTTGTAGATACGTGGATTGAGCTGGTCTCATGCATTGTTCTGTCACATGAATATTTGATTTTGATCCACCAGGTCATCGAATTCAAATGTCAATATTTCCAAGGAGTGACACTGAAGATTCAACGTTGTCTCGCATATGCATGGTTGTCTTATATATCTCCAATTGTAAAACTAACTACTACAGCGCTACCAGAGAAGTCTAGACTCCATGCAGATCGGGCATCTGGTACTATTACATATGTACATGTAGTGAGTGACTTATATCGCCATCTAATAGTCGATATCGCCACTAGTGCAACTCTGCCCTCCTCCATTATCAGATATGTAATATGTAATATATAGCATCGAAATAACTTGACGATAACACTGTTTCACGGCACACCGACTACTCGGTGTCACGAATAGAGATGAACGTGGTAAAGCATGATTTGTGTCTGGAGACTCTATTGCATGGTACTCCCTCTGGTTAGCCGCGCCACGACAGATCGATCATATCCTTGGCGACGTGCTGACTGCCAGCTATTGGCCAATGGGTGATTTCATGGTGGCCATCGAAAGACCGTGGCACTTGGTGTTGCTCATCGCAGCGATGATGAGGCATGTCAGTGTCAGTGTTGGTGCATGCAAGCCCTAGGTCTGATCTCCACGGCCCGAGCCCGCTGAATATGCTGCGACATTGCATATGCCAGATGGACATCGAGCAGAAAAGAGCTCAGAGGGAGGAGTGAGAGAGCGGGGGGAGACGGCAGTATTAGGCGGTGAGAGCTATGTCCCAGCCGGGCATCCGAGCTTCCCCAGAGTCGCCCAGTTGCCTTGATCGATCCACCATCACACTCATCTCCGCTGTGCTGTGCTTACACTCGTGCTATTTTTGTGTTGCCAACGCCTTCCCACACTCCGATCTTCTGTTCCATCCGACGTCTCAGCCCTGTCCGTCGTGTGACCCCCTAGGCTTGCATCTGTCTCGGTTCCAACAGGAGACCAGTGATGGATCCCCCTCCATTCTGATCCCCATGCTGCACCGCCAGCCTCAAATAAGAGGTCACCATGGCAGATCCACCCTTCTCCTCGACCCCTCCGCCGCCGCCGCCAGTGTCTCAAGCTCAGGGCCACAGAGTCTATGCCAACAGAGCCACCAGTGCTCTAGCTCGGCTCGCCCAGCCCTTCCTCGGTTCACGTCCACCCAGTCCGACTGATAGTGCCGGCGGCTTGCCTGAGGATGGGCTTCACAGCGCCCGCATGTCGCGATCCAAATCCTTGTAAGCCCTGTTCCAGACCAGCGCCGACGCTTTTACTTACGAGAGAACAGACCTGGGCAATCTCAGACGGTGACGCATCGAACGGGCCTGTCCATCGCCTCATTGGACATTTCTCCGCAGAAGACACACGCGATCATTGCTGGCCGGGAGATCTTTAAGACCATTCGTGTATCTGCCGACGGATCTTCGGAAGAGTTCAACCTTCGCGATGCTATCATAAAATACTCCTCCAAAAAGCAAGTGCCCGCTAGTCTCACGTCAAAGATTAAGGATCAGCTGGAAGTCAAAGATGTCAAATGGTCGCATGGCGAATTCGACACTTGCATCGCAACGGCTGCGGGGAATGGCCGTGTTATCGTCTATGACTTGCAGCGTGCAGGATTAGAGCTTTCTCGACTCAATGGCCACAGCCGTCAAGTTCATAGGCTGGCTTTCAATCCGCACCGCCCGGCATGGCTTCTTTCAGGCAGCCAAGACAGCACAATCCGAATGTGGGATCTCCGGTCCGCTACTTCGTCTGCTACCATTTCAAGTATCTCTCGCTATAGCAGCAATAGTGATGCAGTTCGCGATATCAGATGGTCTCCAGGCGACGGTACCATGTTTGCTACTGCTACAGACAGTGGGGCTATTCAATGTTGGGATTATCGTCAAACAAAAGGTCCCCTACTGAGAATCGCTGCTCATGAAAAGCCATGCTACTCCGTTGACTGGCATCCGGATGGTAAGCATATTGTCAGTGGTGGTACGGATAAGAATGTCAAAGTCTGGGATTTCTCCTCGGCAGCCGAACGGAGACAGAAACCAACATTTCAATTTCGAACACCGCAATCTGTGGCTAATGTGAGATGGCGTCCACCTATTTGGGTCGCCGACTCTGATGATGCAGGTGATTGGCAATCTACAGAATTAATCACTTCTTACGAAAAGGATGACCCACGTATCCATCTTTGGGACCTACGTCGCCCACATATCCCCCAACGAGAGATTGATCGTTATGATACCTCAGCTGCTGACCTTCTTTGGCGATCAAAGGATCTCCTGTGGACTGTTGGCGAGGCGGGGGCATTCACACAGACGGATATACGGTTCGCCCCTCAAGTACTTAATAGACGCCCAATGTGTGCGATTTCTTGGAGTCCGACTGGCGAAGTTATCGCCATTACACAGAAGCGACCTCGCCAGCGAAGTTTTGGTGTTGGAAACTCCGATTTCTTCCCTCTTCATAACGACAGAGAACGAAGCCTTGAAGGACTTACTAGCCAAAGCTTTATAGATGGTACTCTTGATGAATTTGCCGCCTTAAATCAAAAGCCGACGAAGGTATCGGCCTCGAGAACTTCCAAGTCTTTAGGAAATACGCCACCCGGCCCAGAAGCACGACCGGTGGTTGTTCCTCTACAGAAGATATTGGCAGAGAATGATGTGCAATTACCGCATCAGCTGGGAGCAATTGGACAAGTCACCGGTGTCGCATCCGATGCTGCAGTTTTTCGTTATCTAGCCGAGCAGTATGCTCCTTTGATGAAAGATGGCGGGCAAACTTTCCGCCCTGAGCATCAAACGAGATCTCTGCTAGATGATCTAGATCGCAATGCAGAGCAGGCTGAGAAAGTGGGGCTTCACCGACTAGCTCAGACATGGAGTATTGTTAAATTCGCAGTGGTGCAGGAACTGGAGCTTCGTGCCGAGGATAGGCGTAAGAAGCGAATGGAGACCACGAATAATAATCGCAAAACAAGATCTCCCAACTCACATGCAGCTGACTGGACTCGTGTGACTGAAGGCTCGAAATCAGGGAAGATGAAATCTCATTTGTTCAAGGGTGTGATCGACACAGAAGGGCACCGTCGCAGGGCGCCGGATATCGAGAGTACATCAAATATGACTACTCCTCTCGCACAACCTTTACCCGACTCTCCGTCTGCTATACCTTTCTCCTCGTCCTCTCAGGTGGCTTCTTTATCGGAAGATTTAGTTGATTTGCAACCTTTACCACCCTCGGTTATGAGTTCGCACTATAGCAATACGAACACAACTGAACTTGCAGGTATGCGCCGAATGGAGCGCCAGGAATCTGAGTCCAGTGACTACGCTCTTACTTATTCCATGAGCTTGACGTCAGAACAAGCTAAAGAGCCCCAATTCGATGACTTGGATGGGGACCAGAGATCTGCACCTCGGGCGATAGCTGGCCGCGCCGTCTGGCGTCGAAATGCGCCCAATGAGTTCGTAGCTAAAGAGGGGTCAGAGGATGACTATGAGCAAAGAGTTGAAAGTAAAAAGGCTTTACTTCGTGACTACAAGATGCCACCAAAAAAAGTACTCAATCTAGAGTCTCTTGCCAGGGAATCAAACCGCCCGACCCGCCCCGGACCATATCCTCGACATGATTCCAATGAGAGTTTTCCAATGTTTTCGGCTTCTACTGATAGTTCTCACCGTACCAAATCGATTGAGATCTCGTTCTCCCCTCGAACTAATGCTGCGACATTCAGAAGGGATAGTACTGGATGGGAAACGGAAGAAGAACCAATCATCGAGGAGGAAGAATTCACAACTTATGAGCCAGCGAATGGCCACGAAAAGAAAACGCACAAAGCAGGATCTTCCCTTGACGCTTCTTTACCTGATGTAAACAACAAAATTCATCTTGAGCGACCGTCAAGTCCAGTTCCCTTGGTAGTGGAGTCTAATAATCTAAATAATGGTGACGATGCTCCAAAAAGTGTGGAGCCAGCAGGGGACAGCGATTTTTTGGCCATTCCGTTGACCCCGGAGATTACCGCAAGTAAGCCGTGGAGTGCACAGGTAATTCTCCGAGAAGCAATACGACACTTTTATACTAGTGCTGCTGTGGATACGCAAATGGCAGCCCACCTCCTTCATAAGATGCAGTTGCTATTTGAAAACTGTGAAAGCATTTTGCCATATGACGAATGCCAGCATGTTTTCAAAATGTATAACGAACAGCTCCTTCGCCATTCTATGCATGTCGAAGCTGCTGAGCTTCGCAACTTTTGCTTCTCACTATTTCCAGCAGTGTACGAATATGCCCAGACAGAAACATTCATCAATCTCTACTGCCTGACGTGCAGAAAACCATTTGAAAACCCCGTCAAGGATAATCGGCGATGCTACCGGTGTCAGACACCGCAAAACTCGTGCCCGGTTTGTCTCAATCTCGAACCACCTCTCGAATGGATCGAACCCGAGCCTATAGATAATGACTTCAATAATGACGAATTTGAACTTGGTTCGACTATGTCCTTCGGGTCGGACATGACAGCACCTTTTCCAGAATCTGATCATCAGGCTTATGTTCCTTCTCGATCCCTCGGCTCAGGCCTATGGTCATGGTGTCAAGGCTGTGGACATGGCGGACATCTGGCTTGCATGAAGAAATGGCTTGGCGATATTGAACTCAGTGAAGGCGGCTGTCCTACGCCTGGGTGTGTACACGATTGTGGGCCCGGTCCCAGACGTCAAGAAGGCCGTGATTCGTCTCAAAATGCCGCACTTAGCCGCAAATTCACCTCAAATATTGCCAAAAGAGACTCTTGGGTGACTGGCGAGAGCAGAGCTGTAGAGAAAGTACGAGGCATGCTGACCTCGGCGCCTTCGTCTGCTGGTGCAGGAGCAAGCGGTAGTACCGCTGCTACTGGTCTCACTACATCGGCTGGGACTGGTGGTGGCGGAACTATGTCGCCTAAGAAAGTCAGGTTGATAACGCCAGTTGAACAAGGAAAACGCAAGAGCGTTAGCACTCAAAGTCGAGAATCAACGTCGGATCCTTTCCCGGATTGATTCAGTTGACATATTTGGTTCGGTTGTTCGTTTTCGATATACCCCTGTATTATATTTTGAAATTTCCAAAATAATTTTATACCATATCTTCAATTACACTACATTTACCTATGGTCACTTAGACCCCAGAAATCCCTCTTAGAACCTGTTGGCAATTTTCGGTAGCATAAATGTGCACTTATCTACATCAATTGATGTAGCCTGTAAATATTATATCTTGAACATTGCATATCAACAGTTGATTAGCCCACGTTCAACACCAGTGGACAATTGATCTCTACTGGATCAACATTTGAATACGTATCAAATATCTGGGTATCACGCACAAGCAAGAAAACCAAAAAACAAAAAATAAAACCTAGAAGATGTTGACTACTTCTCGGCTAAAACTCTTGCTAAGTCTCGAAGAAACACTAATCAAAACTTTCTCTTCTTCTTTTGAGGTGCCTTACTTCTTGCATCCAACTGTCTCTTCAATTCTTCACGTTTCTTATCTGCCCTTTGCTGTGCGGACAATTCTTCCTCGGGCTCACTTGATGGAAGCTTCTTTGGTATCGGTGAAGGCGATTTGGAAGTTGTGAATCTCGGCAATGATGATTTTTGGAGTTTCAGCTTTGCTGGTGTAGTTTTCGGCGCTGAGTCCAAGTCGTCGCCCTCGTCTTCTGACGCAGTTATACCTTCCTTCACTGAGATTGTCTCTCGTAGAGGCAGGCCGGTAATGGGGGGTTTCTTTTTGGCTCCAATAGTACCTAGCTTTTTGGGCGGTTGGGTAGGCATTGTTTTTGCGCTTGCTTGTTGGGGAGACTCGTGTCTTAGCGGCTCTGTTACGGGCTCTGGTTTCTTGCCACCTATTTTTCCTAGTCCGCCTTTTCGTTTCGGCATTACAGGCTTTTCATTTGCACTGGATGGTATGCGGTGTGTTTCTCTCCAGGGAGATACAGAGTCGCTTTCGGTTTCTTCGTCAGCGGGAGGGATATTAGACAGCTTGGGTGCATCTGTGGAAGTAGTAGAAGCTGGTGATGGAGGTGATTCGCTTCGAGATAATTGAGTAGTAACTCGAGATGCCCCTATTCGACCGAGCCCTTTCACCTGCTGCTTCTTCTGTTGAGGGCCAGGCGGGCTGCGTTCCTTCTTGGAAACAGGCTCGACTTCTTCATCTGATTCGGTACTAGCATGATCATCTTCGATTGGTTTCTCGTTTGTTGTCGCATTATCACGTCTCAGGTGAGGAGGGGTTTTCTGGCGCTGAATTTATTATTAATATTACAAATTCCGGTAGATATCGAAATCTTGAATTGTAGCACTTGCCTGAAATTCACCTTCGTCCTCAGTGCTATCGTCCACGCCAAGGGTTTCTTGCTCAAACTTCTTAGCAGTGGGCAGGTTTGATTGAACTGGAGGCTGTTCTTTTTGTGAGAGTTGTCTGAAACTGGTCTTTTTTTCACTCAGACGTTGCCACCATGGCTGCCCAGCAAACTGGAGGTCATTGGAAGCAGCTAGCCCGAGAAACTTGGATGTTTGATCGACAATACTTCCCGCAGTCATCGCATCCAACTCTCCGGACGGGATTTCCTTCCGCCATTCAGCCTCATCAAACCTTGCAGCTCCTTTGACATGTTTGAGTAAATCCGATATCCTAGGGTTAGCACCGCGAGGACCAGCAACGCCCGGGAATATGTCCGCCAACTGGGAAGCGTCGATCTTGTCAAAGATCTTGGATAAAATTTTGTCCTTGTCAGCTAGTGGACCCAGCAGTTCTCTCTCGCGTTTCTGATGCTCCCCTTCACTTTTCAGCAAAGGCAGAAGGAGATGCCGGGTGAACTCAGCGGGGCTTTCCAAAGAAAGCACGAAGGTCCACTTCAACGGATTCAGCCCGCGTGGGAGCTGCGTGGTCGTGGTGACTTCAAGCAAGTTTGGCTCGCGGCTAGATGCCACGTCTACACCGCTAGATGCAACTGCTTCAAGGGCATCCCGGATCTTCTGCAGGAACACGTCAAACTGGGTAGCGTCCTCACTAGGGTCGATGCTTGTCTCAGCGTCTTCTGCTTTCTGCAGGATCTCTTTGTGACTCAGTCGTTCAGACCATATGTAGGTGAGATCTGTGAGATAGAACTCATAGGCCTGTGAGGTGGCAATGAATCTATACAGAAGGGGAGGTATAGGTGCACGGGTAGAAGACGGAAGTTTATTCCATCGCTGCGGCATTTCTTCTCTCCGTGCTATTTGAGAGAAGAGTAATATGAAAGAGAATAATAATGCAATGCTCCCAATTAAATATTCTACAAGGGGAAGAGATATACGCAGATGTCGTGAAGTTTACGTCCAGGCTTACAGTAGGGCAGTTGCGCGGTTATCCTGGCCAGCGCTGGCGCCTATGCGCGCCAATCACAGCTACTGCTAGGACGCGTTTTCTCTGACCGCCCGCGCGAGAGAACCTGTTGTCACAAGTTGTTCTTCTGGCAGTTAGCTGCTCTTCATTCAACCCCTCCAGTCTATCTTCATACTCTGCCTTATCCTCAAGAAGGAGAAAGGGAATTTTAGGTACTGAAATGTCTACATACGATTCTGGTCGGACTGGCTCGAAAAGGAGCAGATCTCGATCTCCGCCACCATGGAAGCGCTCCGAGAAGATTCCCCGCCGAGACGAAAGACATCAGTGGAACAATTCGAGTAATGGATCAGGCCAACAGTTTAGGAGGGATCAAACACGTCTGAATCAGCTGCAGGAGGACGAGCAACTGCGGCAATGGGTAGCCCAGGAAGATACCTTCGTGCTCAAGCAGGCGAAGAAGAAGGCGGAAATTCGCGTTAAAGAAGGACGTGCGAAACCTATCGACTGGCTGGCTGTCACGCTGCGTGTGATTGACCCTACGAGGAATCCGTTAGAGGATGAAATACCAGACTCCGATTTGGATCTTATTGATCCGGAAGGCGTTTTCGAGGGCTTGTCACCCACACAGCTGGCAGAGTTGGAAAAGGATATTGACACGTTTTTGAACCTTGAGACTGCCTCTAAAAATCGTGACTTTTGGAAGGTAAGTTGGTGTAATCATTTATTTCTGGGTCATGATGTTCACGTTGTTGCAGACTATGAAGATCGTATGTCGAGATCGTCTCAAGGTTTCGGCGCCTGAAGGACGGGTGCTCAACTCGGTTGCCGCCGATATTAACAAAATTCTCAGTCCCAAAACATTTGAGCAGTTAGAAACTTTAGAGTCTCAGGTTAAACGAAAGCTGAATTCGAACGAGCCAATCGATACTGATTATTGGGAGGAACTCTTGCGTAGCTTAACTGTTTGGAAGGCCAGAGCCAAGCTCAAGAAGGTATTCCAGGCAGTTATTGAAGGACGAGTGCGGGTTCTTCGCAAGCAACAACAAGAAGAAGCAGAGTCTGTGCGAGTCAAACTGACGCCTGTTGCGCCCGTAGTCAACGAAGTTGTGGAATCAATAAATGCAGCAAACATTGATCCGGAGCCTTTACTACAGCTACGACCTGAAGATAAAGCACTAGAGATAATAGAGGAATCAGAATTCCTGAAACAAGTGGTTCGTTCGCACCCTAGGACTTATATCATTCCCGGGCTAACGTGAAATAGACCCAAGAACGCCGTAAAGTCCTAAAAATGGGATTCGTACCACTACGACAAAAGAATACGGACAAAATGGCCGCGCCAACTCCTTCACAGGTCATCAATCCTGGATCTCCTACCGCCGGTGTACTAGGTCGTTTTTCCGCAATGCCAAATGAAGATTTTTCACAAGCTACTAAAGCTTTGTACGAGCGCGAGGTTGCGAGAGGCGTGAGCGAGAATGAAGAAATATTCACTGCTGAAGAAGCAGTCAATAGCTCATCTCAAATGCAGTGGGCCAATAAATACCGCCCTCGAAAACCTCGGTATTTCAACCGCGTACAGATGGGATACGAGTGGAACAAATACAACCAAACGCATTATGACCATGATAATCCTCCACCAAAGGTAGTCCAGGGTTATAAGTTCAACATATTCTACCCTGACCTTATCGATAAAGTAAGGGCGCCTACGTATCGTATCGAGCGAGAAAACGGACGGAAGCGCGGCCAATCTTTCGTGAAAGCTGGAGAAGAGGACACATGTCTCATTCGATTCATTGCAGGACCTCCATACGAGGATATTGCATTTCGTATAGTGGATCGAGAATGGGATTATAGCGCGAAGAGGGACCGAGGGTTCAAAAGCAGCTTCGACAAGGTATGACCATATTCGTTGTTTCTTCAATATTCCATACGTTCTTCTAACGCGGTGTCTTATAGGGTATCCTTCAACTCCATTTCCAATTCAAGAAGGTTCGTTTCCTATTTCCTCGTTTTAGCTCAACCAGCAAGCGTGTGATGTGATCTGTACTAACTTTATCCACAGATCTACTACCGCAAGTAGAATGTCATACCACCCCATCACAGAATCGACGAGCTTTTCAAACTAGATACAAACAGTCAATACAATACGATACAAAGAAGGGAACCAAAGATACCTGCCATCGTAAGCGAAACTAGAAGATAAACCCCCTTTCTAGGAATGTTGATTTACGTCAGCGCGGGACGCATAGAATGCCGGGAGGTCCTAAGTTATTTGCGACAACTCGCATGAGCTCCTTTTATCTGGCTCCAGCTTCTACAGGAATCAATTTGTTGTACAATACTAAACCAAACAAGTTGGACTGCGTCTCTTTCTGAAGAATCAACACCGATTTCTTGCCTCCACCAATCGGGTAGCGGCATCACGTACTGACCGACTTCGGAATATGCTCTCGGGATTTCATTTCATTTGCTCTTTCCCAGCTGTATCTGATTCTCTAGGGCATGATCCTGGAAGTACTTTGCTTGTCGTGTGGGGAGGCTGGTGCTGTAGTGTTACGACACTAACCCAGGACTCCGATTGACAACAAGCTTGCGGCTCAAACTTGGCTCTTCCTTGTACTTCTCTCTTCGCTGTCCAATACTCCAAGACAATTATTGCAATATAGATTCTTTGTTTATTCTTTCCTGACCACAATCTGGCAGGCGGTGTGCGGCTTGAGAGATGTATGGCGTCCTCTACATGTACCACGATATGCACAAATGCAGGTTTCCTTCGATCTCAGCCTGCCGTAATATGAATCTCCTAGTTTCATGATTCGCAATGCCTATAATCTTGTATTTTCTGGCTCTACTTTCTCGCCTTGTCCCTAGATCACTTCTCGCAGGATCGATACTGTTATTCGACTATACCTCTCCTTGCGAATATTACTAAATCCTCAAAGACATAAGATGGAGCAGCGAGAAAGGCACCAGCAAGACCAAGATGACTTTCAGCGGCGAGACGACAGACTGACCTCACAAGCTATGGCATTTCCCACGCGTGGCTCGATGTATTATCTACCAGACGAGATGCTCATGGCTAACCCGCCAGTTGTCAGTAACTCCAATCCAATGATGCCCTCGCTATTCCGAACCGAACCCCCGTCCAACTACTCTACAGTTTCGATGCTAGATATGTCTTCAGGAAGTCCTCTCTGGCATGACTCCTCTATGACCGATCCATGGATGATGGCTCTTCCGGGGTGTAGCCTATATCTGGATACCCAGAACCCTGTGTGGGATCAGTCACTATACAGGAGTCCATCAACTGAGAATATGCTTCTAGGAATAGAGCCTCTTGAGCAGCAGCCTTTTCTACCAAAAGAGCAAGAAGGAAGCATATCTGGAAGATTCCCAACGAATTATACGCATATGCCGACTCAGATGCAGGGCATATACGACCCACCTAACGATTTCGTGGGATCCATGGAGAATACGATGTTCCTGGAGCCTGGTTCAGCACTGGAGTCCTCTAGCAGAACCAGAGAAACCACCTCCTTGACGCCTTCAGCGACACATACAAGAACCGAAGATATATCAACGGAGGGAATACGGATGAGTCAGATTGATAATCACGATAAGCCTTACGCCTACCTCATCTACGAGGCGCTTCGTTCTGCAGAAGGCCACAGGTTGACACTACAAGGAATTTATCGCTGGTTCGAAGAGAATACAAACAAAGGCAACGATTCAAATTCTAAAGGCTGGCAGAACAGCGTCCGACATAACCTGTCCATGAATGCTGTATGTTTTTGCAACTCCATTGAAATTCCTTTGCCTACTAATTCACAAAAAAAGGGATTCGTCATGCAAAACGAGCCAGCTTCGCCCGGAAACCCGAAAACTAGCTATTGGACGCTCACAGAGGAAGCTATTCAGAAAGGCATACATTCCACAACACGGTATCGTACTGTCGGTTTGAAGAAAGCCACAAAGTCTGAAATTTCCTCGCCGCGCCGTCGAGAATCTGGAAGGAAAGGAGGGAAAGCATCAGCCAAGCTCCGACGCATCGGTCACGAGTCTCTCGAGTATAGTGGTTACCAAAAATTTGCAAGTTCCAGTTCCAGAATCGTGTGCCAGAAATATGGGCAAATTGCGGCCACAGAGCCGGCAAATTCGCTTTCACAGATGCCGACCATGTCTAACATTGCACCATTCTATGCTGTTGATCCAAGCGTTGTAACCAATCTGTCCACTTCGACTCACGTGCGGAGCGATACCGAGAACCACTAGCTACAACTTGCTAGGGAGAGTGAGCAGGGAAACTCAAAAAGTGCATATCGGGATACAAACACTTAGGTATCTGCTCTAGATTTGTTAGGAATTTGAATGTGGTATTTCGCGCGATCTCTCGTTATGGGGCAGGGTATCTTGATGCGAACACAACTTTTGTGCGGAAGAAATGGAGTTTACACAGTGGTTGGGAATTAATCATAATCGCATTAATAACGTGTTTGTTTGCTTGTTTTAGACAGTCTATGCGGTTACACTGGATCAAATCTAAACTCGATGTCAGGCGAGGCCGCAAAGGACTATAGTCCATTCGTATGTCCGTCATTACTGGTCTGACAGTAACAATTTGTCCTACGGAACCACGTTTCTCTCTGTGTTCCGGATTTCTTCTATATACCTTCCAGACTCCAGTATTTGTAATAAATCGCCGGACAATGCTGGCCTTGCTTTGTATTGTTCAATGCTTCAACAATCCTATTGTTTCACACTAATCTATCTATGTGTAACCTTCTCACGAGCCTTGAAAATGGAGATATGCTGATAGTAAAACATCGTAAGTTGAAATACTCACGGTGTTCTGGAATTACAGCTCATTCTGAATTTGAGCGTGTACAGGCAGCGCATACTTATAGTAGTCCTGATACATTTTGGAGACAGTGTCTTGGATACAGCGTTCATTTCAAATTAATTAATAGTGACTTGGTGTAGTACTTCTTTACAGGGAAAATAATAATATGATAAGGGCATAAGGCAAGGCAAGGAAATTGCGTTGGTCTAATTCTCTTAGGCACGTTTGAAGTTGGTCCTCAAACCCGAACTCCAGCGACATATACTACGAATCAAAAACTCTACATTTGTGAAAAGACATTGTAAATCATTATCAGCAGATATTGTACTTTTTCATATCGGTGACAATTGTGGACAACCGGTCCAATTAAGAAAGACGGAGACCCATGAAGAAGCTCGCCCAGATTCGCCGAAGGTCATACCATGTATAAAAAATGCAAAGTAAAACACTTATGACCACGAAACCTGTTGCAAGACGAGAGGCTATTCGTTTCTGATAGCGACCATATTGTATCTGGCCAGATCCCAGAAGCGTTCCTCTAAAACACTCAGTTTTTCGTGATTTTTGCTCCACATCCCTCCTACAGCTGATTCCAAAAGTGCAACCATAACATCATTCTATTGTTCATAGTTTACCGCTTGCGGGAGGCAGACTTCTCCTTCTCTTGCGACTCCTTGAGGACCTTCTTGACAATCTTTTGCTCCTCGATCAGGAAAGCACGGACAATGCGGTCCTTGACGCAGTTGCCGCAGCGAGAACCACCGTAGGCACGAGAGACGTTCTTGCGAGGGCGGGAGACCTGGGCGTATTCACGAGGGCGGAGAGCGGGGACCTGCAATCAATTTGATCAGAATTTCCTTCCACGTTATTTTGTCGCAAATATATATCACATGTAAAATCTAGGTTTCGCAGCAAAATTCGACCGGCCACAGATTTATTGTCGTCGAAAACGAATAGCAAAGCAACTGGAAGGTGGTACTCACACCAGGGAGCTTGACGCCGCAGTCACCGCACTTGGGAGCAGTACCCTTCTTCTTGATGTGCAAGTACCGAAGGTTGCCGCCAGGGGTCTTAATAATGCGGACACGGTTGGACCTTGTGTTGTAACTATATCATCGAATTCATCATTAGTATATCGTGGTCTGTCGTCGTTTCGTCAACGAAAGTGCGAAGGTCAGTTCTTACGGGTTCCGTCTGCGCTGTGATTGAAAATCAAAAATTAGCATAAGTCGTCCATTATACTATCGATTTTGGAGAAAGTAGTTACTCACGTATTGCAATCTTGCGTTCGCCATTGTGACTGTCCTCGAATACAATTGTCGACGTTCGGGCAATCAACGGCGCTGTCGTGTTGGCGTTGTCGTCGAAATTTCCAAGTAGAAGGATGATTGTGTGGGCTTTTTCGCATCCGCACTAGGGCTGTTTGGCGAACGCGCTAACTGTTCCGAGAATAGCGCTCCCTGAACTTTCGTCAGACACCGCCTGCCGATCTGGGACTAGCGCAAACGCCTGAGTCGCGAAGGACGAAAAGTAAAATTGCTGTCGCCCGTCAAGCATAAGCCTTCGCCTCCGCAACCACCGTCGTGAGAGGATCGGTTATATCGCATCCGACTTCCTTTTCTTGGGATTAAATACCGATTTGTGTGATACTGAGGACTTGATAAAATTTATGCGATACCGTTTCCCGGCATTTTCACGCGGAGTGTGGGCCGCTTCGATGCAGTGATCCAACCTCGACCATCCTTGAAGCACCGATCAACTCATCCAGAAAGGCCATCATGGCGTCGCTACCACCTCCTCCACCTCCTGGATGGGGGATGGCAGCTCCTCATTCGATGCCTTTGGCACCTCCACCACCAGGATATCAGCCCCCAGCAGATCCAAAGGTCGCGAAATTTGCGCAAAAGAAGACAGAATGGTTACGGACACAACGCAACCGATTTGGCGAAAAGCGCAAGGGCGGATTTGTTGAAAGCCAGAAGGCTGATATGCCTCCCGAGCATCTACGGAAGATCGTGAAGGATATCGGCGATGTATCTCAAAAGAAATTCAGCAGCGATAAACGAAGCTACCTCGGCGCGTTGAAATTTATGCCCCATGCGGTGCTGAAGCTGTTAGAAAATATGCCTATGCCTTGGGAATCGGCGCGCGAAGTCAAGGTCTTGTACCATGTCAACGGCTGTCTCACGCTCGTGAACGAGTCCCCTCGAGTCATCGAGCCTATCTTCCATGCCCAATGGGCAACCATGTGGGTTTGTATGCGACGAGAAAAAGCCGATCGTCGCCACTTCAAACGGATGCGCTTCCCTCCTTTTGACGACGAAGAACCCCCGCTTTCTTGGTCCGAGAATATCGAGGACGTGGAGCCGTTGGAACCTATCCAAATGGAGTTGGATGAGACCGAAGACGCTGCGGTCTACGAGTGGTTCTATGAGCATAGACCCCTTTTGGATACTCCTCATGTAAATGGCCCAAGCTACAAAAAGTGGAATCTGTCACTCCCTCAGATGGCAACCCTCTATCGACTCAGCCATCAATTGCTCAGCGATATCACTGATTCCAACTATTACTACATGTTCGACCTCAACAGTTTTACAACAGCCAAAGCTCTCAATGTGGCTATTCCTGGAGGCCCTCGCTTTGAGCCACTCTACAAAGACATCGATCCAAATGACGAAGATTTTGGCGAATTTAATGCAATTGATCGCATCATATTTCGCTCTCCCATCCGAACGGAATACCGTGTCGCGCTCCCTTACCTATACAACTCTCTTCCAAGAAGTGTCCAGCTGTCTTCTTACTCACACCCCCAGATTGTCCATGTCAGGTCAGAGGACCCTAATCTTCCGGCTTATTACTTTGACCCTATCATCAACCCTATTTCCTCACGTTCCGTTGCCCCTAAGAATATCACCGTCAGCCATGAGGATGAAATTTTTGGACCAGGTAACGATGAAGATGATTTCGAACTCCCAGGCGATCTCGAAGCTCTACTAGCCGACGAGGAACTGTATAACAGCGAGACAGCGTCTGCGATTTCATTGCTATGGGCTCCATACCCATTTGATCGGCGTTCTGGCAGGATGGTGCGAGCTCAGGATGTGCCATTGGTAAAACAGTGGTACCTGGAACATTGTCCACAAGGCCAGCCTGTCAAAGTTCGGGTGTCGTACCAGAAGCTTCTCAAAACATATGTACTGAACGAGTTACATAAGAAGAAACCTAAGGCTCACAACAAGCAAGACCTTTTGACAACATTGAAGGGTACCAAGTTTTTCCAGACTACAACCATCGACTGGGTTGAAGCTGGTCTCCAAGTCTGCCGACAGGGTTTCAACATGCTGAATCTGCTCATTCACCGCAAGAATCTGACGTATCTTCATCTCGACTATAACTTCAATCTTAAGCCTATCAAAACGTTGACAACTAAGGAACGAAAGAAGTCTCGTTTTGGAAATGCTTTCCACCTTATGAGGGAAATTCTGCGTCTGACAAAGCTTATTGTTGATGCCCAGGTTCAATATCGACTAGGCAATATCGACGCTTTCCAACTCGCAGATGGTATTCTGTACGCTTTCAACCATGTCGGACAGTTGACCGGTATGTACCGTTATAAGTACAAGCTCATGCACCAGATTCGATCTTGTAAAGATTTGAAACATTTAATTTACTACCGTTTCAACTCTGGTCCAGTCGGCAAAGGTCCTGGTTGTGGTTTCTGGGCCCCAGCATGGCGTGTATGGCTTTTCTTCATGCGCGGTATTATTCCTCTGCTGGAAAGATGGCTTGGAAATCTGCTTTCTCGTCAGTTCGAGGGCCGACACAGCAAAGGTGTTGCTAAAACTGTGACGAAGCAACGGGTCGAGTCCCATTTCGACTTGGAGTTGCGCGCTTCGGTTATGGCTGATTTGATGGACATGATGCCGGAAGGTATCAAGCAAAACAAAGTAAATACAGTTTTGCAGCATTTGTCTGAAGCCTGGCGTTGTTGGAAGAGCAACATTCCTTGGAAAGTCCCAGGCCTTCCAGCTCCGATCGAGAATATTATCCTGCGTTACGTAAAAGCTAAAGCTGATTGGTGGATTTCTGTCGCTCACTACAATCGTGAACGAATTCGACGGGGAGCTACGGTGGATAAGACCGTTGCGAAAAAGAACTTGGGTCGTTTAACTAGACTTTGGCTCAAAGCAGAGCAGGAACGACAGCACAACTACCTGAAAGATGGTCCCTATGTTTCATCTGAAGAAGCCGTGGCCATATATACAACTACTGTCCACTGGTTGGAATCTCGCAAGTTCTCTCCGATCCCCTTCCCTAGCGTTTCCTATAAGCACGACACAAAGATTTTGATTCTTGCTCTTGAACGGTTACGAGAATCTTACTCAGTCAAGGGTCGCCTCAATCAGAGTCAGCGAGAGGAACTTGCTCTTATTGAACAGGCGTACGACTCTCCTGGTACTACACTTGCTAGAATTAAACGTTTCTTGTTGACCCAGCGAGCATTCAAAGAGGTTGGAATTGATATGAATGACAACTACAACGATATCAACCCAGTTTATGATGTTGAACCAATTGAAAAGATTACCGACGCCTACTTAGATCAATACCTGAGCTTCCAAGCAGACCAGCGACATTTATTTCCCTCGTGGATCAAGCCAAGCGATTCTGAAGTTCCACCCTTACTTACGTACAAATGGGCACAAGGAATCAACAATCTTTCCAACGTGTGGGAAACCGCTGATGGAGAGACCAATGTCATGATCGAGACCAACCTGTCTAAGGTCTACGAGAAGATGGATTTAACCTTACTTAACCGTCTGCTTCGTCTGATTATGGATCATAACCTTGCTGATTATATTACCTCAAAGAACAACGTGCAACTGAATTATAAAGACATGAACCATACCAACAGTTATGGTTTGATTCGTGGTCTGCAGTTTTCTGGTTTCGTCTTCCAGTACTATGGCTTGGTTATCGATCTACTTCTCCTTGGTCTTCAACGAGCCAGTGAATTAGCCGGGCCGCCTCAGAATCCAAATGACTTCCTGCAGTTCAAAGACCGTGCGACTGAAACCAGACATCCTATCCGCCTTTACACTCGCTACATCGATAAAATCTGGGTGTTCCTACGATTTTCTGCAGATGAATCACGTGACCTTATACAAAGGTTCCTGACAGAACAACCGGATCCCAATTTTGAGAATGTCATTGGTTATAAGAACAAGAAATGCTGGCCTCGTGACTCCAGAATGCGCTTAATGCGTCACGATGTAAATCTTGGTCGCGCTGTTTTCTGGGATTTGAAGAACCGACTGCCCCGATCAATTACTACCATTGAGTGGGATGATACCTTTTCTAGCGTGTATAGCAAGGATAACCCCAACCTTCTGTTCTCAATGTGCGGCTTCGAAGTTCGTATACTTCCCAAGATTCGCAACCAGAACGATGAGTTCCCAATCAAGGACAGTGTTTGGTCTCTGGTGGATAACACGACGAAGGAGAGGACTGCGTACGCTTTCCTTCAGGTTACTGAGGAAGACATACAGAAATTCAACAACCGCATTCGTCAGATTTTGATGTCTTCGGGGTCAACCACCTTCACCAAGATCGCAAACAAATGGAATACTGCCTTGATTGCTCTCTTCACGTATTACCGTGAGGCCGCTGTATCCACAGTCAATCTCTTGGATACGATTGTGAAGTGCGAAACTAAGATTCAGACTCGAGTCAAGATTGGGTTGAACTCTAAAATGCCATCGAGATTTCCTCCTGCTGTCTTCTATACTCCCAAAGAACTGGGTGGATTGGGAATGATTTCCGGTTCCCATATCCTCATTCCTGCCAGTGACAAGCGCTGGTCGAAGCAAACAGATACCGGTGTAACACACTATCGCTCAGGCATGTCACATGACGAGGAAACCCTGATCCCGAATATTTTCCGATACATCATACCTTGGGAGGCTGAGTTCATTGACTCGCAACGTGTCTGGATGGAGTATTCTCAGAAACGACAGGAAGCTAACCAGCAGAACCGACGATTAACACTGGAAGATTTAGAGGATAGCTGGGATCGTGGTCTACCTCGTATCAACACCCTTTTCCAGAAAGACCGCAGCACACTCAGCTTTGACAAGGGCTTCCGTTCCAGAACCGAATTCAAGATATACCAGCTCATGAAGAGCAATCCGTTTTGGTGGACCAGTCAGAGACACGATGGAAAATTGTGGAATTTGAACGCTTATCGTACGGATGTTATACAAGCGTTGGGTGGTGTTGAAACCATTCTTGAGCACACATTGTTCAAAGCAACAGCTTTTCCATCTTGGGAAGGACTGTTCTGGGAAAAAGCGAGCGGTTTCGAAGGTTTGGGACTCCCTTTTTTACTGTTTTTGTCGTATTCATGCTCCCTGATGCCCTCCCCATCAATATTGTGCCCTGATATCGCAATCACGTGACTTCATTTTCCCCTATATAATATCCTATGCTAACTGATTAACTTACAGAAAGTATGAAGTTCAAGAAGCTCACCAACGCCCAGCGTTCGGGTTTGAACCAAATCCCCAATCGTCGTTTCACATTGTGGTGGTCCCCAACTAGTAAGTTTTCAATGAATAGCCATTTGCCTATATTTGCTAATCCACCCTTTAGTCAACCGTGCAAACGTATATGTGGGTTTCCAGGTGCAGTTAGACCTTACTGGTATCTTCTTGCACGGAAAAATTCCAACTTTGAAGATTTCTTTGATTCAAATTTTCCGTGCCCATCTCTGGCAAAAGATCCATGAGTCAGTGGTAATGGATCTTTGTCAAGTATTCGATCAGGAGTTAGAGGCTCTAGGCATTGAAGCGGTGCAAAAGGAAACGATCCATCCCCGCAAGTCCTACAAGATGAACAGCTCATGCGCGGATATCTTGTTATTCGCTACCAACAAATGGAATGTTACTCGGCCTTCTTTGCTATTCGACACAAAGGATGTCATTGAGCCCACTACGACGAACAAGTTCTGGCTTGATGTTCAATTGAGATATGGCGACTACGATTCACACGACATTGAACGGTATGTACGTGCTAAATACCTCGACTACACCACGGATAGCATGAGTATCTACCCCTCCGCAACGGGTTTAATGATAGGCATTGATCTTGCCTACAACCTCTACTCAGCTTATGGACAATATTTCCCTGGTTTGAAGGCGCTTATCCAACAGGCGATGGCGAAGATCATGAAGGCGAACCCGGCCTTGTATGTGCTCCGAGAGCGTATACGCAAAGGTTTACAACTTTATGCATCCGAAAGCAACCAAGAGTTCCTCAATTCCCAGAATTACTCCGAACTTTTCAGCCCGCAAATCCAATTGTTCATTGATGATACGAATGTGTATCGTGTGACGATTCACAAGACTTTCGAAGGTAACCTCACTACTAAGCCTATAAACGGTGCTATATTTATCTTCAACCCACGAACCGGCCAGCTGTTCCTCAAGATCATCCACACTAGTGTCTGGGCTGGTCAGAAACGTCTTGGACAATTGGCTAAATGGAAGACAGCAGAAGAAGTAGCAGCGCTTATCCGATCTTTGCCAGTTGAGGAACAGCCTAAGCAGCTGATTGTCACCCGAAAGGGTCTTCTTGATCCGTTGGAAGTTCACTTACTAGATTTCCCAAATATTTCTATCCGTGCATCTGAGCTTCAACTTCCTTTCCAGGCTGCCATGAAGGTTGAAAAACTTGCGGACATGATTCTTCGGGCAACAGAGCCTCAAATGGTTCTTTTCAATCTTTATGATGAATGGTTGAAATCAATCTCTCCATACACTGCTTTCTCAAGATTGATTTTGATTCTTCGTGCACTACATGTCAATGCCGACAAGACCAAGATCATTCTACGTCCAGATAAGACCGTCATCACTCAAGAACACCATATCTGGCCAACACTTTCCGACGATGACTGGATTAAGGTTGAAGTTCAACTGCGTGATCTGATCCTAAATGATTATGGAAAGAAGAATAACGTCAATGTTCAAAGTCTGACCAGTAGCGAAGTGAGAGATATCATCTTGGGTATGGAGATCAGTGCTCCATCTCTGCAACGTCAACAAGCAGCCGAGATCGAGAAGCAACAGGAAGACCAAAAGCAACTTACTGCTGTTACCACAAAGACTCAGAACGTTCGAGGCGAGGAAATTATTGTGACGACAACTTCCCAATATGAGCAGCAGTCTTTCAGCTCCAAAACCGAATGGAGGACTCGCGCAATCGCGAGTTCGAATCTTCGTACTCGAGCCAACAATATATACATATCTTCTGACGATATTCGAGAGGATGGCTTGCATACTTATATTATACCCAAGAATATTCTCAAGCGATTCATCATGATTGCCGATCTTCGGGTGCAAGTCGCTGGATATCTATATGGCAGATCGCCTCCCGATAATGATCAAGTCAAGGAGGTACGCACCATTGTGATGATTCCTCAAGTCGGAAACACACGAGATGTACAGCTTCCACAACAACTACCGCAGCACGAGTATCTTAATGGCTTAGAACCATTGGGTGTCATCCATACAATTTCTGGTAACGAACCACCCTACATGACTGCTCAAGATGTTACTCAACACGCGCGACTTATGAATTCTCATTCGTCATGGGATAAAAAGACGGTTACCATGACTGTATCATTCACGCCTGGATCCGTTTCGCTCGCTGCTTGGGCTCTAACACCCCAAGGCTACAAATGGGGTGCTGAGAACAAAGATCTGAGCTCCGATCAACCCCAAGGTTTCTCGACCAATATGGGCGACAAGTGCCAATTATTGCTCAGTGACAAGATCCGTGGTTATTTCTTGGTTCCTGAAGACAATGTATGGAATTACAGCTTCATGGGTAGCTCTTTCAGCGGTGTTGAGAAGCGGCCTGTCTACGTCAAGATCGATACTCCTCTGCGTTTTTATGATGACCAGCATCGTCCTCTACATTTCCAGAACTTCGCCGAGCTGGAAGATATCTGGGTCGATCGTACCGACAACTTCGCATAAGAGTTTCCGCTCAGTATAGGGTAGCATGTCTTGTGAGGTATCGGCGTTTCGTTGGCAACTTAATGTACCTTTTGTATTTGAATCCTAATTAGTGCCTGCATCATTTTACGTTTGTACTGATAAGATGACTGTGACATTATTATTATAGCCCGAAAATTGAACCCTATTGTAAATTAATAGCAATTCATAACAAAAATTTTTAATTTACTGTTTAAATATTAATATATATGTTAAGGATAGTACTGGAAGATAACTAGTCGCTCATAGATTTCCTGGTCAATTAACTGCCAGGCTAACTGAAGGGCAAAACTGCCAAAACAACAAGGGGTACCCACCAAAACCACGGTACAGGGAAAACCAACACTTCCACAGTAGGAAGCAGGCACAAAAATCCTGTACAGGAGACTGGGGATCCCAACATAGAAGGCGCAGAATACAAGTGAAACACCCAAACATCACGGAAACAGAAAGAATGCTAACGACCTTGCGAACGCGACTGCAGAGAGAATCACGAGAATATGAGTGCGTAAAGAAAACGACGAGATACTAACGCGGAAAGCACAACATGGAATGGAAACCGCAGCATCAAGCACGAAAGCGCCGTAGCATCAGACGGAGATTCAGTGAGTTGAGATAATGAAGGGGTAAAGACGGAGAAGAGATTAGAATGTGGGCGTCAAAGCGGAAACTGCATCATCAAAAAGGAGTAAGGTCATTGTCATCGCTTTCCTCGAAAAGGTTCCCTAACTCTTTTTCGAATTTGCGCCTCCCCACGTTGTCGTTTACATAGGCGTTGATAGCTCATCAACACGCCTGAAATTCCACACCAGTTCTGGTCGGAAGCGTGTCCGCTTTTACCAGCGGTCCATCCGTTAATGCTTCCTGAGCACTTTCCTGTAGAGTGTGTAGAGCCTTGGGCTCGACCTAAACAGTCACGGTTGCTCGGACATTGTAAAGGAAGCTTTTGTAACCCAGTGCAAACTCTGTGTAAGGTTGGTATATGGCATCGGTGGAAACCAGAGTTCGACCGAAACACTGGCGATATTGTTGAGACTGGTGCTGTCAGTCCCAATGACTGCAAACCGCATCCGTGTCATTTCACTCAACATGACCCATCAAATCATCCTTCCTTTTATATCATCTATTTAATTCCTGTATTTTGTTTCGGCTCTGCATATATTCTCTCTCTGATGCAGGTTACGGCGCAGATATTGCTTTGGGCGATCTGGCATCTCCAAAATAACTGAACCACTAATAATACCTTTATGTCGATTTTCCCAGAGCATTTGGAACAGATTGGTTTAGATTTTCTTTCCTCGCGTGACTCTACTTATCAACTAAGATTGATTCAATATGCGAGAAACTCTATTCAATACTTGATGAGTTTCAAAATTGAGGGTCTTATAATAGCATTTTGGCGTATCCTCATGTGTCAAAGTTTCTCTCACCCTTGTTACACCAGTGCAACGATTCCTACGCCGTATGTATTGTCCTACATCATCACTACTTTTCCAGCTCTTACATGCCTGCCTGAAACCATCGTTGCACTCAAATCCCACACCATTGGGCTAGACATCAATGAATTTCAGGGTTGGTAAATTTCGAAAGGATAATCAATGTCTGTGTTGTGCCCCGGATTGAGACTTAAGGCAGAATGTTGTTCCATGAAAGACTATAGCCTTAGTTAGCATGGGCATTGCTCTTTTATTATCTAAAATATCCTTATGATAGCCTTAGAACAGGTAACACATTTAATTTTAAAGCTGGGAAAACATCCACTGGGAGTACCAACATTCAAGCCACTATGAGTTGGTGAGGCTGAATGTAACATGGAGTATTAATCATATAAAATCAGCCAGAGAGATTTTGAGTTGATGAAGACCGCACGAAGAAGAATACTGCGGTATAAAGGTTATGTGTAATTTTCAATTACTTGGGTTATACTCTCCTACCAATTACAGGCATACAAGAGCCAATACATCAGGAATACAGAAGAAAAGATCACATTCTGAATTGTGGCGTCATTTTTAGGCTTAGAGTGGAAGTGCTCGTGTCATGTCAATTCTTTGTTGTCTATATGCGTAAGCTCTACTCAGCCAGTTACGTTAATGACAGAACAAACTCGTGTTGCAGTCAAACTGCGAGTTTATGGCAACTCGAGTGTTGTGTCACTATTAACAGCATCCTCTATTTCGCAACTTTTTCCACCATACGCTCAATAGCTCAAATCCCAACGTAGTTTTCCAAATAATCAGTCAGGCGGGGATCGGAATCTAACTAACATTAGAACGATACATATGTATATTTGCAAGGCTTTGGAAATCAATTGACGATACTCGATCATACATATGTAAATGTTCCCAGAAATTTCGAGGCGGCAGCAACCTCATTTAACCTACTCGCTATAATAAGAGAGATGTATCACTTTGATAAGCGGCATGTAGCCGCTGTTTACTGTCCACAGAACTTTCGTGGATAACCTGGCAGTAAATTCTTTTACCTTACAGGAAATTGCCTTCTTGTTACAAGCTCCAGAGCAACAATAGTCTTCTCATTCGAAAACTCGGAAAGCCCCCAACACTCTAATTCACCGAGAAATATGACAAGTATAGATCCAACTTGGTATATTGCCTACCCAGGATCATAACAAGTTTGATACTCACAAGTGGTATTTCAATGCCATTTTTGCAGCCTCTCCACGCAGCGACTTTGTATTGATGGAATAACAAACAGTAGGGTTCCAACAGCAGACAAGTAGCAAACAACGTCAACGATGACTAATGTAGAGCCAAAGGAAAGAAACCTAATTTATAGTTTATAGTGCTGATAATTTATTGTTTGTTAAGATATTATTAAGGTCGCTTAAGATTAATCTGAAGCCAACCTTATTTTAGTTGAACTTATAGTGCTAGTGTGGAGGGTTACTTGCAGATTATAAGTGCTGATAGTAACCATAAGATCTATTGATATCATAAAACATATCATATGATATTTATAAGGAGTCTAGTTAATTCATATCAACTTCACACCGCTGGCTCACATCAAAATTGAATGATCAGAATCAAAGAGATCAGTAATTTATTAAATTTCTGTTTAGAGAGGCTGGACATAATTGGTAACATCTGAATTCTACATGATGTTGATATGCAGAGACATACTAAATAACATGGTATCTCGCCCAGAGGAAGTACATTTAAAATACAAGAAGGCTTCCTGAAATGCGTTGTCTTCGCAGTCCAAACTAACCACATTGGTTGACCAGCAACATCTGACAACTATGATACAAAAGAAATACAAGGAGCGCTTAGACAGGCTATGTATGTCATTTTGCAAGATTCGGAAATAAATAAAGAAAAGAGAAAAGAAAGGGGGGAAACATGCACAATAGCTTCCAACACCAAAATTACTGATCTATTCTTTCACTCAGACCACAGTAAAACTCCTTCAAAGAAGAAAAATAAAGGAAAACGTTCGCTTGCTTTTGTTCATAATGATGCCTTTGGTGAATATTCGATCAAATACTGATGTTTTTAGTATGATCGAGTCGTGTTCGCAATTGCCAGTGAATGGTCATTTATAATTCCGTTGCTTTTTCGCGACAAGCCGCCGGCGTGAAACCGTGTCCGACTTTGCCTGCTATGATCCGCCAGCGGTCATTCTCATAGTCTTGAATTGCATTTCGCAGCCTTTGTTCCTGAAATAAAGGTTAGATGATGTTATTGAAATAAAGCTGACGTATTTCTTACCATCTCATCAGTCCAGACGGTGTCTTTGGCCTTTAATTTTGTACAATAGCGCACTTGCAAAGTACCGCTTGTCCTTCCCGGGAAGAAATCCGATATTTGCTTCCAAGTTAGATTCTTGTGCTCTTTCAACTCCACTAGAAGACCATCTTCCTCCGGTGTGAACTTCAATTTTGGTCCACGGGGGCGCGGCGCCGGATCTGGCATACCTGCCTGTCCAACAACGCTTGGCAGCCCAGATGACATATTAGGAGAGTTCATATCGCCGCCAGGCTGCTGTGAAGGATGAATAAGGGCTTGAGGTGGAAGTCGGTGATGATGGTGGTGGTGATGTTGTTGTTGCTGCTGCTGATGAACTGGTGGAGGAGGCAACGCGAAAGAATGCGCTGAAGGGCGATGCTGTGAGGACGAATCACCCTGAGCGGACATGAGCATTTCGGGAGACTGAGTTCCCTCTCCGTGCGCATCAGGTTTCAGCATCTGGAGATGCATGTCGAGTCGGTTATCGTCTTCATTCCCGTCGCCTCCATCCACTCGTGGTCGTTTGCCAGCTCGCGCAGGCTGGAATTGGAGCGGGTTGGAGCCGTAATGGGACGAGATTGGCGACGGGGCCATCTGGTGTGGGTTGAGTAAGAGCGGCTGGGAATGTACATCTTGGACGAGCGGTGCTCGCAGCACTGGCGGACTGACATGTTGACCTGGCTGTTGATGATGTTGCGGGTTGGGCGCCGATTGTTGCGCACCACGGGGCACAAACGACATATCGGCTGTGGCCCCATGGTGCACGACTTGCGGCTGGCTTGACGGGTAAACAAGCAAACCTGGCTGTTCCTGTGACTTGCTACTATCCTGAGGATTGTAGTCGAGGGAGTAGCCTCGATACGGATCTGCCAGCGTCGCGGCTCGCCTGTCGAGGCCTGCTAGAGCTCAGGAAAGCTCCGGCAGGTCGCATAAACCATTAAATTCGAAGAAGAGAGGCAAGGGCCACGAGACTCTCAATCGCGGTGTCGCGGCACTGATGCTATGGTGTGAAGGGAATAAAACTGATGATAATTCGTTGCGTGTTTGCGGAATGTACGTCTGATTCGTAGTCGAGTGATTCGCGAAGCTGGAGAGAGAGATATCGCCGGTGGAAACGGTCGTGCAGGTATCAGTATAAGGCCGAGGCCCCGCTCTGAAGAAAGCGCTAGCCCAGGCAGGAATTCGAGTAATGAAGTGGTAGTAATCGTAATACAAAGGACTGGAGTTCGGGCTGTTCGATACGCCTTGCTTAGTGGCCCAATGATGTCGTGGAAGGAGAATTAGCGCAAGTTCATGCGACAGGGAATGGTCCTCATTAAACTATATTGGGTTGACAGCAAGCCTGGGCCTCTGCCGCTCTGGAGACGAGTAATTAACGAGCAAATAAACTCGTCCTCGCTGCGTAATGCCGTCAACGATGGTACTTTTTTATATTCCTCTCCTTGATCCGGTACCCTCGGTCGGATCAGACACTAAAATTGCACGATGGGGAAAATTAAAAGGGGGAGCGCCGATGAAGGTCTGATGAGTTGAGTTGTTATTCATGCAACCCACACGAGGCTTAGCGGATAGCTAAGTCAGTAGATTATTAGAATGTTTATCCACGGAAACTTGACGAGAATGGTAAGGACTCTAATGAGAAGGGAGGCCGATCGTCTCTCGCAGCGATGGTCGAGATGTCCCTCATCGAGTGTGATGGGCAGTGTCAACACCGAACGACAGAGGGAAAACCGCTTCCGGCAGTAGCGTTTCCCATTTCTTGCACCAGAACATACGATTGAGCGCCCAGTGGCTACTACTGATAATCATACAGCCCCTACTGCTTGAGGAGACACACAGTGACATTGGCACCCTGGAGGACAGACACTGATGAATCGGCCACTCACGATGTAGGATTCCATTTTGACGGGTGGGCCCGGTGGATAAACGGCTCAGCAGTAAAGGCTGTAGCCAGTAGCCTGTAAGCCTGTCGTTACGGAGTAATTAGGCCGATGTTAAGAGGCTAGCCTTTGGCAAATGATGACAGCCAATTCTTCTCGCGTTTTTTTTTTTTTTCTACAAATGCCTCTTCTCTTTTCCTCCTTTGCTGGGCATCAGATGCCAGAAGAATCCCCAATCCCCAGGGCCTGACGCGTGCAGAACTTTTGGTAGCATTGATCACATGCTAGGAAATGAGCGGAAATGACACAGGGGGAGCCTGGGAGCAGAAAAAAGGCAAAAAAAGAAAAGAAGAAAAATCGGCCATCTCAGATCCCAATTCCGCTTCGACACACGAATCGTAGAGCTGAAATTTTGAAAAAATGGACAAAAAGAGGCCTGGGTGTGGATCGCGCTTCCTAGTCAAGGTTGGCTGGGGACCGACTACTTGCGAGAGAAGAGTGGCTGGTCCGCGTCGACCAAATTACCCATGGGCCAGTCAGTCCGTCGCAGGTCCACTTGGCTAGTCTAGCTTCTGCAACTTGCTCCGGAGCTGGCCAGTCTCCTAGTATCTTGGGGTTTAGCCTGGTGGGTATTGGTGGCCGTCAAACCGTAAACAAGGGCGCTAGGGAGATATTATCCCAACGGCCGGGTAATACCCTAAGGGCTGGTTCCTTGGCAACGTTGTCGTCTGAAGGAGCCAGGAGCCAGGAGCCACGAGGAAGTCTTGCCATTCGCCTCTGGAGACAGGGATAAATAGGGTTGGCATTGTGCAGTGGGCAGTGATAATCTCTCTCAAGGTTCGGCCATCGGCGGTTCAACTTTCCCTTTGTCCTTTGCTTCCGACGCCACACAAGTTGGCTGAGGAAATATGCCATGCCGTGCCATGCCATGCCACATGCCGTGCTCTATACCATAAGCAGGACCATTGCCATGCTGTTTCCACACGAGACAGCGACCCGCTGCCACGCTGACATGTGCAACTTGGGTGCTGATCCCAGAGGACAACAATAAAACAGCAAACCCACTTAACAGAGCAGGTCAAAATGACAGTCGCGTGCTCTGTTTGGGCGGTTTTCAAGAGCATAGTTCCCAGCGAGAAGCCTAGAACCTAGCAGTGGGCATCGCATCATGCAATAGAAGCGGTAATTACAATACCCCCAGGTCTCAGTCTGATCTTTGTGCTGCAGCCTGCAGCCTGCAGCTGCAAAGGGGAAAACAGTGAGGGCGGTCCCATTGGCTGCGCGAGGACATGTCTGCCGCACTTATTTTCCCCCCACCGCGTCGGGGCGATAAAAGGAGAGACAAAATAGCAATAACACGGAGTAATATAATATGACGATGATACAACTGACAACTGACAGCATTAGCAATGGCTGCTATTGCATTGACAGCTCCTTAGCTTAGTAGATCGCATCCCTGTCTTCGCTGACTTGTGTTAATAATGTCGACGTTCGACACTGACAGTCACTTCAAAGCTGCCAGGATTAAATCACTGTCTCCGCAGCGGAGCTTCCGGTCAGATAAGTCCTGTCTTTGAGCACAACAATTAAATGCTACAAAGCCTTTTGTTTTGATCCACTATGCTGTTGTCGGAGCATTACCTTGCAATCAGTTGACATGTGGTCAATCCATTCGATTTCGCAGCGGTCAGACGTACTAGCACAACGGAGTACTCCGTACACTAGTCGTAGCTGCAGGTTTGGGGCCATTTCGATGCAGCTGCATGCTTAAAGAATGGCCCTATAGGCGCATGAGCTTGGTGTGACTCGTGCTGCAGCTGCTAAGAAAGCGGCAACAGACGCAGCGTTTAAATATACCACCGTCTTCGTTTCGGGGTTCTCATACGTTGATGCATTGCATCGGTTTAGAGCTACCGCTGAATGACTGGAATAATAGCTATACGACAGCATTGCCACGCTCCAGGAAGGCCATGAGCCTACAATCGGCCACAAGGCACGCTATACCGCATCCCTTGGTAGCGACGAGTCGACTTTTTGCATGAGCACAGAAACAAGCAGGGCGTAACGCAATACCGCCCGGAGCTGATAGCCTGCTGTCTCATGCACATCAACGAGACAGGCAGCGGCTACTCGTCGACTATGTAAATCAAATCCCAAATACGTACAGTGGTCTGGACTAGACTCACCAGCAGGCTCGTGAGGCCCGGACTGGACCTTCCGAAATTGAAGGAAGCCTAGCTCGCGACCATTACGATTGATCATTGCACTACGTACTCCCAGGCCCATGGATGATGGCGGGCCATCGCGGGTGACGAGCCGTGAGCTCGGTCCACAATAACAACACGTTTTCCCACTAATCAAGAGCTATCCAAGATTTCCAGGCTATCCTAGCTTCAGCCTTCCTGCTCAGCACGAGCTGCTGATCACTATCTCAGTTAGTATGTAGTACGCAGTGGAGCCGTGCCGAAATCCCCCACTTGAGAATGGAGATGGGTGGTTAGTTATTAACCAGGGGAATTGACATTGTGAAGAATAGGAGCGGCAATAAATCATTAGTACTCCGCGTATTCGTAATAGCAACGGCTTTCATCCGACCGCGAATCCGGAAAGAACTGACGCAGGAACCATTATTTGATCATCTTAATTATGCCGTTAGCATACGAAGCGAAGCTGCTAGCAAGAAGATCGCTCCTTTGAAAGCTCTAAAACGGTATGGCTCAACCATAATTTAAGCATGAGGTTTCGAGAGCTCAGCATTTCACGATTATCCCCAAGGCCGGGTTGGTCAACGGGCAATAGAATAAGAAATAATTTGTCACTGAATGACTAGACCGCCCATGTCGTCTATGAACTGAGTAATGAAGACATAAGACGCCATTCTGCCAGGAGCAAGTTATCCTGTTCATGATGGCGCGAAACGTTTCTTCAGACTCTGCAGACTCGGGAAACACCGTGCCGTTCATAGTGGCGCCTCGAATCGCACAGATAGCCTTGATCTAAGCGCAAAGTTTGTGTGAAATAACAGCAGTATTAATTGGCACACGGGATGAGGGTGGTCGCCATGTGTCCATAGCTCGCTCTAGCCTGAAGTTTGCTAGTCGCCACTTCCTTAGCGCCAGAGCCTTCAAGGCACTGCTCGAGTCAATTTCGCGTGGTCAGGCCAGTGAAATATAACCCTCTAATGATTGGCGAATCAAGATATAAGTATGATTATTACCACAAATGTCTGATGAATCAACTGTAACCGTACTGGACACTGCATCCAAATCGGCGGATACTCACGTAGAGCATGCTGTTCAGGTGACGAGAAGATGCCCAATCCATGTCAAAATTACCAAGAGTGCGGTGACGGGTTTCTGCCCTGCCTGGTCACTATGGTATGGTGCGAATCGTCGTGTTTTATCGAAAGTATCGTTTGTTTCAGAGTAGCGCCGCGGATCTGGTAGTGTCAGCTGGAAAGCCTTGGACATTTCCTCGACATTGTAATAGGCAGACATCCACTATGAGGTTGTTAGGAACATGAAACACCCCGGCGTATATCAAAATGGCTATGGACGATGGTTCACCAATAATGACCCACAGATGACTACAGGTGCCAGGAACATTTTCACAGCTGCAGAGTAACCCAATCACTTTCTACGGGCATCATCCATGCACGTTAGTTAAGGTTGATGCTGTGCTCCGCACTTTGATACCGAACTTGATCCGTAATATCAGGCCTGATATAGCCGTCTAGACTCGCGTGTTAAGAATCTGGAGTAATATTGAGCTTCTTGTACCTGGTTACTGGGCTCTAGAGTCCCACCGCCAAGGCTGACAGGCCCATCTATGGACGCAAAAGGTGTTGTGGATAGCGGGTATGACTGTGGCTATCTTCGTTGTCCATCATCCCTGTATCCCTGTAGACAGGAGGATGCTGCTGGTGAAGAGCCAACACAGCCACATCAATGGATAGATCTGCACGTGGCTCGCAGGATATCCCGTTGCGACAAGGGAACTCACATGGACAGACGGCATGAATATTAATCCAATGCACTCATGTGAATCAACATTTGGAGACAAGCTAGACGCGTAATTGTATGAACCCCAGGCGTCGTGTGTAGTGTGTGGTGTAGTTGTAAATGGATGCAGGTACTCGATACGGTCGGATAAGGAGGCAGGCGCAAGCACGTGCGTGTGTGGATTCCTCCGGAACAGGCCCGGTCTAGCATACTGTATTAATAGTATACTACGATGCTACGTCCTTACTAGCAGCTGCAGTACTAATATCGTGTCAGGGGTGGCAGCTGGCAGCTTCTGACCGCGAGAATCATGAGATGCGAGATTTCAGCGCTGCCTCGTCAATCGCTGGTACTATCTTTGCTAGTCGATGTGAGAGCGAGGATGGGGATCCTGGTATTTTTCTCCTATTGAGTGTGAGACAGCTTCGTGTTGCATGATCGAATCACATGTGAATATCGTGCAGGGACCACCAACAGAACTAGAAACAGAAAACGACACAAGTAATTACTTCGTCTGCATTATTCTCCTGTCATCTAAAACGCTAGGGATCGCCGAATCCACGGCTGATGATTTCAGCTGACGAAAATAAAGTACTCTGACTATGTAGTATTTTCACTGTTCAGCTTGCTATGCCGCTGCTCCCTTCTCCTTTTTGGACTCCTTGGGTTTGGGGTTTGGGTTTCCTTTCCATTCCAGCTTGCGAGGCGTCATGTACTGCCGCAGAAGCTCGTCCGTGACAGCATTTCTCCTGCTCTGGAACTCCTTAACATTCCCCTGAATCAATTCGATGGCCATCTTCTTCAATTCCCCAGTAAGCAGCTCTCCGCTTCTGTAACTGTCTTCGATTTTCTTGAGTTTCTCATCATCGTCTTCAAAGTAGGAGAGGTCTATACGCTTGTCAGTATACTGCGCAGACAGAAAGTTAGCCCTCACAACAGCCACTGACATTGAAATGCGACATCAATCTCTGGTATGCCGCCGAGTTCGCGATGCTCTTCCAGTGTCTCCCTGCCCCCACTGAACGCGTGTTTATTGATTTTATTCTGCAAACTGTAAGTCAGGGGTATTATGAAGAGACAACCAGATCAAATAAGATTACCTTGATTTGATTGGGTGTATCTGTCATGAAAATCGCCGAACTGCAGGAAGAGTGAGAACATATTCGGTTGGTATAAGTGAAAGAATATACATTGCTTACTTTGGATCACTCGCACTCATTTTGCCGCCTGCGCCCTGTAGTGCCGTAAGAAACTTCGAGTGTATCAAGGCGGGTTTGGGAGAAGGATATCGCATGCGATGCGCGTTGTCACGGACGAGGCGGAAATAAGGATCCTGGTCAATGGCCATCGGAACCAGGCAAGGGATTTTCGCCAGAGCTTTTGTTCGCTCTTTCGTGGGCTTGTCAGACCAAATCTCAGGATAAGACGTAGCGAAAGCAGCGACACTGATTGAGCCATGTCAACGATCTCGTCCACTCAAAAATATCGAGCATATCAGACTTACCATTGTACCGCAGGGAACATAATCCGGCCAATGTTAGTACTACATGATGTCAGCATCAAATAACAAAGCACTTGGCATAGCCCTGCTGATAAACAAGGAGGATCTCGGACCTCTCGTTAAATCCAAAGGCACCCCGCACTTGGTTGAATGTGACTAATTTCGAGAATTCCCAGACGTTTGTCAAAAACGGCCCACTGATGTATTCCAGATCACTGTAGATGAAAGTCTTTTTGAGATCGAATCCGCAAGCAATAATGTCCTTTGCGTTCTGTAAACCGAACTTGTACGTTTCCTCGAAAGTAAGTTTTTCTTTAAAGAGCGCCTTTTCATCGTCTTCTCCAGTCAATGCAAGATTGCGACGGGGACGCGCTTCATTTAGACTTACCAGTAAGCATAATGACTATCGATAAGTCAGCAACAATCTTCAATTACGCATCGCAAATGGCTGCCATTCATCCATACGTACCTAGCGGAACATCAAATACGTCCTGAAGCCATTTCGTGAAGGAAAATGGAATGGTATGTCCCAAATGCAGCGCATCGCTAGACGGCCCTCTGCCGGTATACATAAAGAACGGTTCACCAGCCTCGTACTTGTCCAGAATCCTGTCGAAATCGCGATGCGAAAAGAATAATCCTCGTCTTAACCAACGATGCGGTTTGTGACCAGTTAAGCGCTCAAATCTCTGTAGGAGGTCTTCGTCGATGAGTTTGGTTGCCCATTTCCTATCATAGTTGACAACGGTCAGCGATCCGATTGTGCTTCTGCTGTGCATGCACACTTACTTTGAAATAGCCTCATAGTCGAATGCCAGGACATTGCCATTCTCGTCTCGTCCTGCTTGAACATCCCACGGGTCGATTTGCTGTTCAGCTTTCTTTTCCTCTTCACCTTCGCGAATAGGGAGTACTGTTTCGCTCCCGGACGTCGCCATTCTTGCAGCTTGTGTAGAATTTGACGACTTGAATTCCTCTGAATTATCGGAGAAAATTGGTTGAGAACCCCCCAGCTATGACGAAACAAGGCGAGCTGTGGTTTTGGAGGGCCTGTGACTCAGAAATCTAAAACGCGGCGGGGTGGTTTTTTGGTTCAGGGTGGGGAAGAATTAATTAAGGTAACTACTAATATGCCTGAGGCACCAACACATAACAACACAGACGGAAACCCGCCAAGTTTCCCGTTCAGGAAAAAACCACAGTGGGATATAGTAGGTCAAAAAAACATGCGGGTTGACTGGAAATTCCAAAAAAAGAAAAGACATGAAAATATAAATTGCAGTAGAGAGCATGATAAAGCGCAGTCGTGGGGAGCAATCTACATAATAGCAAAACAAGGACTGAAGTTGTATATTCAAATGTTAACAAATACTCACCTCACATCCCCATTTTTTGGAAATTACAGGGCAGACAAAATACCAGCTCGTCTGGTATGGAATTTCCAGGTTAGCCAAGCAAACGCTAATCCGAAACCTGGGCCTATGTTGAACCAGCTGCGGAGAATCCACAAGGAACTTGGAATCTCTCATGAAGTCGAAAACTTCCAGGAGATGAATTCGTCGTACCACGAGCTCGACGAATTTCAGCAAATACCCTGCTCAATGGTCACTTCCCTGCTGGTGAAATCTATCCACATCTAAGCGGTTTTGAGAAATTCTTCAACGAAGCCATATATCCAAATGCGACGGACATTGCGTAACGCAGAGTACAACGGCTCACTCTTGGGGAGGAAACATGTCACAAATGCAACTAGAACAACTAAAATAATCATTACTGAGTAAGGATTGCGCTGTTTTTTGGTATGGTGGATAAAATTTCAACAAAATACTTCGGGACAAGTAACCGTCTTGGGACGAACAGCTCACGAGAATCCGTAATACGAAAGCTATCAAAAACGCTCAAGGCAGTGTCCGTAAGACAGTCAGAAGGTACTGTAAAACGCTGAAGCTAGATTATCCGAGACAAAGACGTATGGTTGTAGACTGCCCATAGTCTTGTGGAAGCTCTCTGCTGATCGAATCAGGGAAGTGACGTTTACAAGGCGCAAGTCTTCCCCAATAGGAATGTCTGCCCATGCGTCGCAAATTGGCTCGTGAGTGTTTTGAGTGCAAATGCGGATCGGACATCCCACATTCCTCCCAAAAATTACGAGGACGTCGGACTGCTTGCACATGGACCACCACACTGGCTTGGTGTATCGATTACCAGAAGGTAGTTTTCGCTCGAAAAATTCAAACTTACTGTCCTGCATATCAATAAAGTCCCAACTCGTAATACCACTATTTGTAAAGCTTTTAGCCTCTGCCTATAGGCCTTACGTTTAGGTCTTCCTTTGCTCGAATATCTTTACAAAATCATGGACTATATCCAAGTATTTTCGATTGTCCCCGACACCAAACGGTATCATCAAGCCTTGTTCTTGCCGGATAATATTATAGACAGTTTGTCCACCATCTGATGAAGGTTTAGTATACGGAATTCTCTTCTTGGGAAGTCGGGAATGCTGCTGCAGGTACGGACAAACCATGTGCAAGACAATACTGAATTCTGAGACCAGAAACGCTCGAGAGGCTTGGGAGTCATAAAGAAGGGTAGTATTCCCTTGACAGCGGCGAATACAGTCGTCTTGATTGGGTTGCTCGGACTGTATATTGGCGCGTTTCCGTCTGCAAACTTCCTCGTAGTACCTACGTTCAGTTTCATGTATCCTTTGGCACTGATATAAGTGGCTAACGGCGCTTCAAGCGCAAAAGAGAGCTGTGGTCCGCTTTTGGGTAGTCCGGAGGCTGGAATTATGGTTTTTTGAAAATCTCCTGTACCTAGAAGCACTTCCGAATTTCGGCAATATCCTAGGAACGCTCGTGAAGTCATAAGAGTGCCTAGTTCTGCGGTGCTCCGTTTTTAGATCCAGACTTCAGATGCCATGTTTGGAATCGTTGATTCGGTCTTTCCCATGCGAATAATGCCACTGAATACAATCAGATGAGGAAATCCTCGGAATGAGGAGTGACGAGTTCCCAACCAGGACCATTTGTCCCCGGAAAAAGATGGGATATTCGACGTTGGTGAATGCTACCCATGAGTTCGAATGGAATTTCAAGTCCCAGCATATTTTCCGGTCGATTGTCATATTCACAAGAAAAGCCGTATGCGAGGTTGCTCTCCGACCATAGCGTGGTTCAGCACTGTCCTAGTGCATTAGGATTCGGTTTGGACTGGCAACTTGTTGCAAAGTGAGCCGAAACATCAATTCGTCAGAACTTTCAACGCGGAAATTAATTTCTGATGTCGTCAGCTCGCCTTGCCCGCATAGCCGTAAGGTTGTAGCGAGCCTGGAAATATGTTCAAGCATATCTAGTATCTGACTAAAAAGGCCCGATATAGAAACCAGCGACTGTTCCTTCCCGTCCTGAATGGGGAGTAGTTGAATTTGGAATTCGTGACCGGCTATCACATTTCTAGTAACGAACAATACATTATGTAAAACTCACCAACGTGTTAATAATGCCATAACTTCTGATTATTGCTACCTCAACAGATTTATTGGATTAATACGAGACAATAGTCAAGTTATTGATAGCATTTTTCCATCATTACCACTCACCTTGATTGTCCTTAAGCGCGTACGGATTAGCAAGGTGGCTGGCTACCAGCTCCTTAACCGCACTTAACATAATACCAACAACCAGCACTCTGTAGTGCTACTGTGAGCCTGCCAGTCTACAGAGGAGATAGCTGTATTGGCTCCCTCGATGTCGTGGCACATGATTTGACGGGATGGATGCTATTTCCACTGGGTTGCGGCCTTATCACAAGCTGATCTCCCACATGACTGGCTGAAAGAATATTTGTATGTGATAACCATTGGTTAGCATATTCAAATATTCGCTAGAACCATTGCTCAAATCATTTAGACTGGCGACAAGACAAAACTTCGCAGGTGAGAATTGCAGCCAAAGCTACGAGTACGTAGTGACGCTCGACCAATTACATAGGAGAGAATGCATCGGATGGCAGCTGACTAAGGATCCTAAATGAGCCGAGATATTTTGGTGGCACTAAACCGCTTTCGGCATAGATGACGGATCCGAGGAAGAACCTCACCACGCAACACCAACCTCACCTCAGCCGAGTCCTTCCCGACCCAATTGCTCTCCGCTCTTCGCTCTACGCCCGCCCTTTTTTGCGTTTCTGTATTTAATTGCTGAATACACGACTTGGAAAGAAGGGAACAATGTTTACCTCCCGCGCTGTCTCGGCCATCGCCAGGCGTACCCCTGTCCGGGCTTTCGCCAAGGCTCGTCCTTTCACCTCGTCGATGGCTCGCTGTATGTGACCCGCCAATTTTTCTATAATCGAGATCAGCCGATGTCAATTCATGTCCTTGTCCTTTACAGACTGGAGGATGTGTGATATGGAATTGAATTGGCCCGTCAGAGGTGTTTGATAGCTGACATTTCACGTTTATCCGCAGTCGACAACAAGCTCAACGTTCCTGGCAAAATTGCCCCATACGAAGGTTCGCAGTTCCAATTACTCGGCAAATTAGCCCAAGTGCACAATCACCATTATTTTCACCCACCATCGCGCAATTGGATTATCGTTCATAAACATTAACGAAACCCTCCCACCCCCCACACAAGATATCACGAAACGAAAGAACCTAGAATGCAAAACTGACGTATTTTGCTGCATTATAGAAATCAAGACCGAAGATGACCTTCTCCCCCCCGGAACCAAGCCTGGCCAAGTCCCCACCGACATCGAACAGGCCACTGGTCTGGAGCGGTTGGAATTGATCGGAAAGATGCAGGGAATTGACCTTTTCGACATGAAGCCTCTCGATGCCTCTCGCAAGGGTACGCCAGTAGACCCTAATATCCCCCTTTTAAAAGCAAAAATACACGGCGTATTACTTGAGAAAAGAGAAGCTAATGCGGGAATGGTGCACAGGAACACTCGAGAACCCAATCATTGTTAACGGTGCTGGCGATGAGCAATACGCCGGCTGCACCGGCTACCCAGCCGATTCCCACATTGTCAACTGGTTGACGGTGTCTCGTGAGCGCCCTATTGAGCGCTGCAACGAGTGCGGTAATGTGGTTAAGCTGAACTACGTCGGACCGGAATCCGACCCTCATGCTCGTATGTGTCATGAATTCATCAAATCAATCGGTCGCTGTTCATTTATTAACTGTGATATAGACGATGCCCACGGCCATGATCACGGCCACGGCCACGCCGCCTACGAGGAACCCAAGACCTTTGCAGACTACGTCAAGCCCGAGTACTGGTACCGATAGATGCTCATCATCCTCAAATGGAGACGTGTTCTGAGAATTTTGTCTAAATCATATACACGCCCTGAACCTTGACAGACTCCTCATTTTTTTTCATTTGTTAACACCCCAATCAATCAATCACTGTAGTATAGTCGAGGGAATAGATGTGAAAAAGATTAAACTAAATAAGATCATTGTTACTGTTCAACTGTATAGATTTGAGTTCTCTATTTGTTCGTGCAATTCACCGTATTTATAGACATACGTAATAATAATATTAGTCAATGAGCGGTTTCCTTGTATATACTAGCCAAAAGCAGGATTTTACCCTGTACTGCAAGTAATCGATAAGGTATTCTGCCTACCGGCCCACATAACGCAATTCTATGTATCGCAGCAGGGGATACACCAGACCTGCCCAGGAAAACCCGACATAGTTACCCATCTATTCCAAACGTCAGCGAGAATGTCCGAGAAAGAAGAGAAAGAAAGAAGACTAACATCACCACCATATTCACCAACTAGCTTCGCCAGCGGACCGATATACCACACCTGCGCCATACAGATAATCGCACCAGCCCAGCCTACCAAAAATGCCACAAAGGCTGCAGCGCCAATAGGCAGTTTGCTTGGATCGTTCCATGCTGCCCAGTTATACCCAGCTCGACGGAACATGTATCTCTCCTCGAGGAGGATCGCGAGCCAGATGGCGACCCAGTAGCCCATTAGGGCTAAGAAATTGGTGAAGATTTCAGAGAGATGGCTCTGGCCGGCTAGTGCACAGACGGTGTAGATGATCACGCCGATTGTGTTCCAGACAATACGCGGTATTAGTTCGGCGTAGCGTCCGAGGATTTGGAAGTCGATTCCGGAGGAGTATGTTGGTGGGATGGTGTTGGAGATTAGGCCGAGGGCGACGATGACGGAACAGAATTTGCCGAAGCCGTTGACTGGGCTGAAGCCTTCGACTATCAGGGCGCCAGCTCCTGCGTCCCAGGCATCTGAGTAGGCTGTGTTGGTAGCGACGCCGCTGGCCAAGCCAATTCCAACTAGGAAGGTCATGGTGAACGACAGGGTCAGACCGAGGAATGTCAGTCCAAAGCTGATGAATTTGGGAGTGTTTGGTGGGTAGTAAACGAAAAAGTCCGCGGCAAGTGGCGCGTAAGTGATGGCTGCGCTAAGACAGATCGAGAAGAATGAGAGCCTGTTACCAGCAATAGTCGAGCTATCACCTGCGGACGGGGCTGCGAGATCGTATTTGTTTGCAGAGACGCCAAAGAGAATGCATATGACGACAAGTTGGGGAAGAAACGCAAAGCTTTATGTGTCAGCATAATAATACTAAGCCCTACGTGATGAACAGCACTTACCGTTCGTAAAAATGGAATATCTTGATACCAAATGTAGCAATACACCAGGTGATAATAGCAACGACAACAATACCTTGCAAAGGTCAACAAAGCAATCCCAGGTACTAATGAGAAAATGAACATACCAACTGCAACAGACATGCTATAATTCGGGGATACAGCAGATAGGATCTGACCGCCAACCACACAATCTATCAAACAGTATCCAATCATCTGAACGATGTTTAGTAAGACGATAATCTTGCTCGGCCACCATCCCATCGCGTAACGTCCAAAGACCTGCAAAACTGTATTAACATGCGTGTATAAACGACTTGACGACATCCCTTACAAGAGTTCGATTTCCCGAGATAGGACCCCATGTCGCAGCCCACGCGGCTGCGAGAGAACCCACAAAGATCCCAAACACAGAACAAAGAGCCGAATCACGGAAACTGAGTTCATACACAGTTGGACCCAGCATGCCCAGCGTGATATTGTTTGCTGCGAGATTGATGGACACCCATAGCAAGAATACCTGCAGGCAAGCGACCCAGCTAAGTTTTTGCCGTTCGTTCTCCTCTACGCGCTGGATTCCGCGAGCCTCGATATTGTACTCGACCAATGTTTTCTCGAACCGCTTCATGTAGCCGCCAAGGCGATGGCTAGTGAGGGAGGGCCTTGAATCAGCGACATCGGTGGTAGCAGGCATAACACAATTTTCAGCGTCCTTGGTATGGCCCGGCACGGTGATGCTGATCTCTTCATCTTGAGAACCCATTCTATTAGAAAGCACAGTCAGTACGCAAGAACGCGACAATCACCAACCGCACACCAGACACTCAATTCCTGTGTATGGATGCGCTGGAAGAGAGGAAGGGGATTAAACAAAAAGCAGGCACGAGTTCTTTCGCTGGAATTATCCAGATCAAGTTCAACCGTATACTCTCAGAACGACGTCAACACGCAACTACAGCAGAACCTTAAATCTATCTCCGCACTGGTGTGTGAGTCACTGCTGCTGTCGCGTGCCCACTGCCGAACACCGGTCTCCATGCAGGTAGTTTACCTTTGGTACCTTGATCGAGATAACTCTTGCGCAAGCCAGTCCCATAGTTGCGCTTTTCGCTTGCGGTGGAACAGGAGTGCAGATAGAAGAAAAGGTGGGGTGTCTACTTTTACACTGCAGTTTGGGAGTGTCAGCGATCAGATAACTCTTCACCAATGTCTGGCTCACATTGAAGATGTCCAACCGCGCTGGCGATACGCTTGTCGCAGCGATGTCAGTAGAGCAGGCGGGGTCAATGGAAATACGAATAGTATCAATCAATATGCAACACTGACAGTCGAGAATGGAAGGAGAAAAATCGCAACATGTGGAGCTCTGCCGATGCCCCTCTGATAGCCCGCCTGGCCAATCATGTCTTCCTTGGGGTCGCCTTCTAGAACGATTCCTGCTGCAGGCGCCCACTGTCTTCTTCACTGCTTAGACCAATCACAGAGATCTCCCCAAAATCACCCGTTATTAAACAGCAGTTGTGGCTGCTTTCAAGTATTATTTGATGCCTTAATATATATACTCACTAGTATACTCATCATATCGCTCTATAAGGGAGAGTATAAGCTGGAGAAAAAGTAGTGGTATGATAAATTCATGTTCCGTGGAGAATTCCACAGAATATCGAGGAAACATTAACACGAAAGATTACATTAAAAAAAAAGAGAAAGGAAATCCCATTAATCATCCCGCTGAAATGCCTATATGCCAGACTGGTATCCCGTCAGACGCCATGACCAAACCATTCCCACAAAACTGTTGTCCTCGGTACAGTAGCCAGTAAAACTCCAGTGAAATCGTAATCTTTCGTTAACATGCTGCTTTCGCGGTTGTGCTGTTCAATACGCGAGAGAAGAAGATGCAGAACAGATCTGAGATCTGAGCGAGTACTTGTGAGATTATCAATCAAGTTGAAAACACATGCTCGATGTGAGGCACCCAATTGGAGATCTGGTAGATACCTCATAGGTTCTTAAAGTGCTCCTTGGCGTATTGTTCGCATGCCTGTGAGAAATGTTACTATCGAGGTGTTGAACAGCACGACAATAATGGTTTACCTTTGCTGGTTTCCCGACCTTCTGCCCAATCACTTTCCACTTGTTGGCCTCATATTCTTTGATGGCTTCTCGTAAAGCTATTGACTATGACTTGGTCAGAACCATTGTGCATTGACTAGAAAATGATTGCCATACCTCATCCTCGCCAAATTCTGCATAGTGCATGTCCTAACAATGCTGTCAGATAATGTTTACTCGAAGGCAAAGCTTGAGCTAGGTCAATTTACTTTGTACCAGTGCTTCTTCACACTGCCCTCTGTACGAGCGGGAAAGGTCTGCACGAATCAATCAGCGTCATTAAACAAACAAGCAAACAAGGCGATGCTCACCTTGGCGATCTCGCTCCAGCTTTTGCCAGCATCGCGCAGCACTTTCAATCTCTGTTCCTCCTCAGCAGTCCACGGAGTATTCGTCCTGCCTTTTTTCTTAGGTGACGACTCTGTGGGATCCTGAGCAGTACCAGCAGAGGCCGTGACAACGGCGCCGTCATCGCTAGTGGGAGGTGCCGACATGGCTGGAACGGATGCAGTTGGCGGCGAAGAGCGTCTTTTGCGGGGATTAGAAGGCTGCATGGGCTGAGTTGACTGGAGAGATACAGAAACAGGGGCGGTGGTGGGAGGAACAGGAGCAGGAGCAGGAGCAGAGGGGGCGAGGATAGGCGCCTGTTGCTGAGCCAACGAGCGAGAGGGATTGTTAGCGGCTGCTGAGGTTTTTGCACGTTTTGGAGTTAGTGGTGACCTGGGGAGGGTGGACCTGTTAGTGAGATGTTCGTCTGGTCCTTGCCATAATACTGCTAGGTTTAGTCCGGCAGGCTCCTAGTCAAGGCTTGAGCCACGCCACGCCACGACTCTGTGGCACATGAGAAGAAGACATAGACCAGTACAATGAAGGAAGAATTCTGTTCTTTCCCTTTTCAAGCACATCTTCAATACAAACAGTGAGGCCCGTTCCCGATGACAAGAAATGTGTACACTCACGACATAGTAGAGAAGAAAAGCGTCGTGGTTCTAAGTCGAGTACTCGGATGCTTGGGGTTTTCATCTGTAGATACAGCGATACAAATACCAGGTTGAAGAATGCAACTAGCGGAGGAGTGAGCCTGAGACTCGAGAAAGATGCAGTCGTTACACCGGGTGGCAAAAGGTACCAGTTGGTCGTAAGGCTGACTGAGGAACCGTTCGCTGCTCCGGGAGACCCAACAGCAAGCAGATGGAAAACGATAAATGCCGGGATGCGATGGCAGCTTCAAACACAACCAGCGAATCGACAGTCCAGACAGGTACCAGGTAAGAAACGAAGAAAGAGATCGATATGCAACAGGCCAGTGAAGGCGAGCGGGGCTGAACAAAGAGGGGTAGTTTCACTTGTCACGCAGCATTATTGATTGCTCAGGGTGCAAGCAGACGAAGAGGATTCGACGTTGACCGCAGGAGTGATATTTTTATGGAATGGCGGACCAGCCGTGAACAGGCAAGCAAGCAAGACCAGACGGCGTGTGTGTATGGATGCCAGTTGTTGTCGCGATTCTGCTAAGCAATGAAGATCGCTGATGGTCGGGTTAAGGTTACGGTCGGGGCCCTGCCTCGACGCATTCCGGGGAGTCCCCACTGGTGCTTTGTCCAGCACTATTTGTCTGCCCAGAGCAGGCCTGGGAGATACATTGAACCACTTTATAATTATTCTTCTTGTCCATACTTGTTCAGAATACGTAGAAGATGACTTGCAAGGACAGGGTCAGGCAAGTGCATCCTTCCCTAGCCATTGCACTCTCATCTAGACTCGACTCTACTAGTACCGTCGCAGTCCAAACAATGAGCAGTGATAAGACCTCTCCTCCCGGAACAACTGTTTCGCAGTTGACTGCCCTTCAACACGCTGCTATCTATAGTCCGTACGGCAATGGACTCGCTCGGTGAAGGTCTCGAGAGTGTGGCCTGGCCCACCAATCGCCGTGCCTCCGAGCGGCCGCCAGAGATAAAACTACAAATGACCAGCAGCAAAAAAACCATTGTCTCCCACTGGGCGCCTAAATTTGTTGTCTGCACGCTGATTCCTCAATTCGCACTGACACCTGTCGCAATTGTTACTCCGCCCTCATCTTACCTTCGCAGTCTCTCTCGGCTAGACGTTCCAAGTTTCGTGGTTTCTCGTGGGGTGCTCTAACAACCCCTCCTCACCCTTTTCCCCTCTCGATCTACTCACCCCCGTTCGGTTTCAAATTCACCATATCAGGCAGGTCTTCCAGAAATGGAGGGCCATTCACGGGAGTATCGGGGCAGTGTAGCTCGATGTGTTTCTCTGTTGTGTATTTGACATGCAGTTGGTCATCCTTTTCTCTTTTTTTAGTCTGTCTGCCTCGTACGCAGCCTCGAGGTTTGGGTAACACATCACCAGGGTGGGGCCAGCCGCCGTGGTAAGCATCAAGTGAAACAACGATCGGGGTAGTACGATATTAATGTCGACGTGATCTGTCAGCAGAGACTAGAGCTCGATCGTGCGTCATGTGCATTCGAGGGTCGCTCAAGTGCACAGTGCAGTGCTGACCCGAGTCCTGAGGTACGAAGGCACGAAGGCATCAGTTCCAACTTCCGCCCCAACGCAGGGTTCAGCTGTTCTAGTTGCACGATTGTCCCGATTGTCATCTGCTGAGACCACTGTAGTCGAGCTTGTCGAGTGTGCAGGGATGGTGGACAGCAACCGGCGGCGCCACGGCTCGCCGCAGAACAATAGTAATAGCATGGCACAGTAAGGGTAGACTATAGAGTGGTGGTAATAATCCATCACGATTCATGCAGCGATTCGAAACCGATATTGAAATATTTATTCATCGTGCACACTGGAGATGAGAAGAAGTAATACGAGAGCAAGTAAGACTCACGGAGGCGCTCCCGTCGCACCTGCCGGAACAGAAGAACCAGCAGCCGCGAACGCTCCTGCCGCGGACGTTAATTGCCTCTTCCGCCCTAGCGCACTCTAGTCCTTTTAGTATAGGTTAGACGGCTCTGGACTAGTGCGTGCTGGCCCCTGGGTGATCCCGGTGGACTAGCCTGCTCAGGCCTAGCGGCGTCTTGCCTCTTGTATCATGATTCATGCCCCAATGCTATCAATTAACCTAGCTCGCTCCCCTCTAGCCGCCTCAAAAATGTGCCTCCACTGGCATGCCCAGCTTGCTCGTGTCCTGCTGCTGTGTCTGTCGTGTCAATTGACAATGCCAATTGCAGCAGACAATTCCTCAGCTATGCCGCTCTCTGTTGTATAATGGAAAATGAGCGCTCAATTGACATGGCTGGAGATCGCCGATCACATATCTCAAACCGGCCACGCGAAACTATCCCAAAATCTTTTGAGACCCATTGTGTTTGGCCATCAGTTATCTAGGAACCGGGGCCTCACACCATCCCGAAGACTGCGCTTTGCGCTTTACTCCTTTAGACTGCCGTCCCTGTTTCGTCCCTCGTTTTGGGGGAAGCCCTGTTTCCCTTTCGAGAGATCGCTTCATGCACGATGCAATCACCTGCGAGCAGAAATAATCCGTTTTTGCGTGCTAATACTCCATATCAAACGCTTAGCGAGATAAGCTTCTACTAGAGAAGGCTTCTCTCCATAAAACAAGTTCAGTAACCATAATGACACACTATCGCACCCAAGGCCACCCATGGATGTATCAGCCTCCAGGGGTACGGGGCAAGATACCTCTTGCTTGACCACCTTCAAGAAACACATAAAGAGTCGCTATCCCGGAGTATTCGATCTCAACATCATTGCTCTTCATCCCTGGCCGGTCCACGCTTGATAGCACTGCCTGTCTAGTTGTTTGTTACTCTCACCTGCTGGCTGGGTGCTTTGCTCTCTCGTTGATTGATTCAAGATCTTGAAGATCTACTCTCCGGTTTCCCTAATTAATTCCAAGGCTTATTATAATACTTACCATAAACAACATCTGCTATACTTTTCTCATTGAAAGATTTCTTTCTCCTCCCTTTTATAAGAAAGAATCATGTCACCACCTGTGGATCGTCGTCACTCGGACGCTGCTCCATCGACCTCACCCATGGAACAGCCCCAGTACCGCGTTCACAAACACCACCGTCGAGCCTCGTCTACCGGCGGGGTAGAGCATGGACCGAGGACGAGGTAAGATAGGAACTACCCTCCATGAGGCATGTCCTAACAGAATGGATCTATCTAGGAAGCCTATCTCTTGCAGACCCGAATGCAGAAAATGCCTTACAAGCACATTGCTGCACATCTGAAAAAGACCGAGCTCGCCTGCCGTTTGCATTACCACCAAATGTCCTACGGCAGTAATGGACGGAGGCGTGCCGATTCTATTTCGTCTACTACATCCTTCAACTCGGTTGCAACCACACGAGAGTTGCCGGACAACTCCCACTACACTCAGCTGTCACCGGTCTCCTCTCCTCCCCGTACCCCAGAGCTCAGCTCACAAAGGTTAAACTCGGGTGATACCACATCTATGTGTCAACTACGGGCTCCTGTTCCAATTCTACCCAAGCCGGACACACATCAAATCACTCTGCCACGCCTTGATACATCATTCACGCCATCTAAGCCCCCAAGTACCTTCAACATAGAAAACTCGATGTGTTTCGACTACTCTCGTGTACGAGCACTATACGACGCTCATCGGGAATCATTCTGGGCCATGATCGCTGCCGAATACTCACATGAATACTGCATTTCTGGCAATGCGATAGAACAGGCTTTTTTCAGAAGCATCTCGCTAGGCCTCGTTCGTTCCCAATCTCCTCCAACCCCAAGGCCAAGCCCTGGAGCATCACCAGAGCCGCATTCTCGCAGCTACTCTGAATCAAGCCCGATGAATTTCAGCTATGGATTCCAAGCCGTCAATAAGAGCACATCAACACCTTCTCATAGTCAGTACGAAAGGACACCGAGCTCGGCCGACCGGTGCTCTGTTTCTGCGCTGTTGACTGTAGAGAAGGAAGTCAGACCGTCTAAGGGCGTCGACTGTTCGCTTTAGTGGTACCATGACCAATCAATGGATTATGTCTGATGTTTTTCTTTCCTTCAATGATGCCTAAAGCGTTTATTTTAACACTCGACTTCTGAACATGATGTCATGGGTCTATAATGTGGCGCTTGTGGAGGTTACTTAGAGTATTGGTTGTTAATTATATCTATGCACAATTTCTTGTTTTCTTATACAAAGCAGCCCTACCTGGGTCCTTTTCAATGTTAATTCTAGATAATGGTTCACTTGGTAGATAAATTTTTTCTACGAGTATGGTACTGCTTAGGTTCTCAATCACGTCATTTTAGTTACTCGGTTATCAGTTGATGATTACGCATTATACCTGTTGGGCCCAAGTACTATGTAGGGAATTCTAAGCCCTAGTTTATAATAGCATGGAGATCAATGGTACATGTATTAATATTTGTGCTAGATTGGAAACATTTAAGCAGGATCCAAATTAAACTATCATACACACATGTACACATCGATTGGCCAATTAATCAATTGAATACGAAACATTTGTTTTCAATAAGATATTAAGGATACTGCAGGTGCTCTTCATTATTCCCGAAGAGGCATAGTTACATACATAAATAACCTTTATTAATGTTAAATTTATGCTTTTTCTAATATCAAACATTGAATGTGTCAGGTGCCCGATATTAGTGCTGACATGGATTGTCAAATTACCTTTCCGAATTAACAAGTAAATATCAATGCATCGATTTTTAAGCAAAAACTCTCTATAGCATAGGAAAGTATAGTCGAACAGCATAAAAGTAGCATTCACATGCTCCTTCAAAAAAATTTTTCAAAACCTCTTCCCCCGAATGACCGTCTAAAGCTTAGCTTCCCTCTCCTCTTTCAACTTCGCAGGCAAAAGCCGCCTCAAAATTTTGCCGGTGGGAGTTTTGGGCAAAGTCTGCAGATGGAACACGCCTCCTCTCAGCTTTTTGTATCCTGCCAATTGGTTATCTGTCCAGGATCGGATACTGTCAAGAATTTTCTGCTTCTCGTTATCCGGTATCTCGACCTTGTCAGCGCTCAAGCTCACGTAGGCGAGAGGCACTTCGGTAGCTTGAGCATCGTCGTAGACTGCACAGACCGCGGCGTCGATTACGTCTGGATGGCGCAAGAGTAGGTCTTCGAGTTCGGATGGGGGGATTTGGAATCTAGCAGTATTTATAAATTTAGTCGGTGAATGGACGGACTAGGTTAGGTTGTTTCAACACACCCCTTGTACTTGATCATCTGGGCAATAGTTGTTAGCAACATAACATCATCAGGGATGAGAAGAATCAACCATACCTCTTTCAGTCGATCGGTAACCCAGAAATTTTGTTGGTCGTCTATCTTCAAGATATCTCCTGTTCTGAGCCATCCGTCTGAAAAAGTCTGCTCTGTCGCCGCTTTGTCACCGATATAACCCCTAGACGCTGATTAATATAACGCAACATTTGAAATAGAATATAGCTTGGGAAAAGTTATTACTGCATTACTACCGCTCCACGAACCCACAGTTCACCCTCTTCGCCCGGGCGGGCATCCGCTCCTGTCTTTGGGTCTACCAATCGAGCTTCTCTGCAGTATTATCATTAGCAATGGACCAGAGCCGTCGGCTAACGCAAGACATATTCAAAATGATTATTGCAACGTACACGCCAGCGAATAGCTTTCCAACGCTTCCGGAAGCGAGATTGTCTTCGTCTATCTGATGTATGATGCCTCCAGTACACTCGGAGAGCCCATAACCTGATGTTGAAATTAACATTCATTCTCCATCTTGACGTGGTGAGCGCGAAGCTGCGTACCTTGGCAAACGCTGGTATGCGGAAGCCGCTTCTTGAGTAAAAGCTGCACTGCTTTCTATAGACAAGTACCGTTTAGCGTGGTTCAGGACATGTCGTTTGGTGGAACAATCGGCAAGACGTACTTTCAAAGGCGCGGCAGAGATGACAATTCTTTTCAAGGACGGAAGGTCATATTTATGTGCGACGGGAGATACAGCCATGGCAAGCGCCACTGGGGGAACAAGATGCAAGTCTGTAACTTTGAGTTCGCTCGACTTTTGACAAAACGTTTCAAGGTCGAAAGCTGGAAGACCGCAATATAAGGCCCCAACCCACATGCCAGCCAATACCGAGATTGTTAGGCCATATATGTGGCAATCTGGCAATCGAAAATATATCAGTGTGTTATTAGAGTGGGGGGTGAACTGGTAGTCGTTTAATGTATTGGATTGCAAGAGAACTTACATGGCGCGAAGAATACCTCTCTTACAGTAGAGTTGACTCGGTCTGGCATGGAAATACGCATTGTTATAGCATTCACAATAAGGTTGTGATGCGAGAGCTGCACTCCCTTTATCCTTCCAGTCGTTCCAGAAGAAAAGCATATGGTGCTGGTGACATCCTTAGAGCTTTTGCCTTGCAGGTCATAAGGAGGCAAGGTTTCTGCAGCTCCTTTACTGATAACATCATCCGGGAACTATTTGTCATATCAATAAGCGCTGCGCACAACAAACAAAATTCATATCATGAGAAATGTCACTGACCTGCGGAAAGCTATCTATCTTGCTGAGAACAGTCATTATCTTTATTTTTGTCATTGAGTTGGAAGCCAAGGCGGCCTTGACGAGATCGAGCTTTGGAGCAATGGTCGCGACATGGGTTGGTTTAACGATCTGAAGAATATGCGAAATATCATCCAGAGTCGCCGATATATTGAGAGGACTGTGTATATACTCTCAATTAACATAGCACACTTTACCCAATTCCAAGATCAGTCTCTCACGCGAAGATAGCACCCGTCCACCATGTTGCATGAGCCAAAAGAACGAAGTCATTCTGCTTGTCAATCAGTCTAACTTGCAGACTCTCTTGCGGTATTGCCCTATTTACGCACACTGTTGTTCACCAATGCTAGCAGGACATTGCCTGGTTTCAACCCCCGTTTTCGTAAGCCCCAGGCACCACGAGCAGCTTGGTCGCGGAGTGAACCATACGTAATAGGCTGTTTCGAGAACAAGTCAGTATGAACAACCTTATTTGCAGATACCTCGTCTGGATTATATCGCGTCATGAATTGGGGAATTGAGATGTTGGTGTCATCCTGGGTCGGAAAGACGGGCGATTGGTAAACCATCCTTGCGCAGATTCACCACCAAGGCGAATTCGTTGTATATGCTTACTTCTACAGCGACCAGATCTTGGTGCTATGACATGCAGGATGGGAAGAATGTTGCTTGAGGTTCTCAAGCTTCAACCAAGAGCCATTTAGGTTCATTGCTAGATTGGTTAGTTAGCACTCAGGAGGTACTCCACGCAATCAAACAGCAGAGCTGCACAGAGAAGCTAGACATGAGCATCCACCTAGCATTTACCAATAAAAACCATGATTGCAAATTTAGCCCTTCCAAAGCAAAAGTCGCGGACCCACAAAGCGTCACGTCAAACACTGCCTCGGCCCGAAGGCCCGCTCCGTCCGAGGCCAGCATTTCTTCTCGACTTTGAAAGGAGACTGTCCATTGCCATTATTAGCTGGAGTGCAGAAATGGAAATTGTTGACTCTTGAAACGAACCAATCTCACCAAGAAAGCTGCGGAATAAGTCGAGAATCGGCTGGCATCGTTCGAGCTACACGCTAAAGGCAACTGTTATGGACAACGTTCCCGTGCCAAGCGCCTACTAGTCCCTATAATGGTGTTTAGCTCCCGGTAGGCTATGTGTAGTGGGCAATTAGCACAACGTAGCAGGCGTAGTCAGTGTCTGAGGGGATGTTTTTCTCCTACTAATCGCTATCAAATTTTCGGGAACTCTCCACAGCGGCATATACAACCCCTAGAGGCTTAACCCCCAGAATGACGGGATATAAGGTTAATAAGATGCCAGTTCGCTAATTTCTTAATTTTGTGAATGTTCGTATTACGGTTTTTTGAAGCTGGCCGCCGCCTTCATTTTCTGGTATCTTCGTTACCACGAACATGACGGGTTAACTGGAGACTCATTTCGTATCTGGTACGATTCTCACACATTTGGGAAACACAACATGCAATTTTACCCAGTCTTAGCCTGTGTCACAATATTTTTGTCCGTCTTGACTCACGCTCAGACGCAGACTCTTCCGCTATGTGCTGTAGGGTTTAGAAGCCGCCGTCCATGTTTTTTGATGTTGACAAACCCTATAGGAAAAATGCTTAAACGAGACAATCCCCCAATCAGCCTGTGCCCCGACCAACCAAACCTGCATCTGTACAAATGCAGATCTTAAAGGAAATATCTCTAGTTGCGTGACGGCGAACTGCAGTGTCAAAGATGGTCTTAGTATGTCGGCAAAGCAATCTTCTCAGAAACCCTAATCCTAACGGATCACATAGCTGCGGTCAATGTCACGGATACAGAATGCGGAGTACCGGTTCGAGACGACACCGCCCCGAGCATCATACTTCCAAGTATTGGCTTTATAGTCCTTCTTTTCATTGCTTTGAGGATATTCACGCGCCTAGCGCTCACAAAATTGGAGTTGGGCTGGGATGACTGGACAACCCTACTTCTTGGGGTATGTAGAGCTCACTATATCAAGTGATATCAGTACTTAACTAATTATCACAGTGTGTTATGGTGGCAGCTAATGTCGGTTCCATCGAGCGTCAGTTTAACCGTCCATTTACTATCGAATGCGGAATTCTAACAAATACACAGTCGGCAAAGCTGGCCTGGGAAAGGATATCTGGACACTCGAATTTGCGAATATCAAGAAAATTCTCTACGTACGGCTACTCACACCTGATCAGATGCAACCGGCTAATTTGCAGCAGATCTTCTATATCCAAGAACTCCTCTACGTCACCTGCATTGTTCTCACCAAAATCAGCTTCCTCCTGTTCTATACACGTATCTTCCCTTCCTTACAAATGCGTTTGGTCATAAAAATCTCTGGCATTGTGACTCTTTGCTACTACCTTGCTTTCATGTTCGCCTTCTCTTTTCAATGCTCTCCGGTTAGTTTCAATTGGGAGGGATGGGATGGAGAGCATCAAGGAACATGCGTGGAGAAGAACACATTGGTCATTGTTGCTGGAGCGATCAACGTCATACTCGATGCATGGGTAATAGCTCTACCGATTCCTGCATTGATCAACCTCCAAGCTTCAATCTCGATGAAATTGCAAATTATTTCTATGTTCTCTGTGGGCTTCTTGTGAGCATATCTTCCCATCAATTGGAAGCCATGAAACTAACCATTTAATAGGGTCACTGGCGTAAGCATCTACCGCATTGTGATGCTAAAGATATTTTCTACAAGCACCAATCCAACATGTAAGACCCTTTTTATTAATCTACATTGATTTCATGATTGAGCTAATATTCACGGCAGGGGACAACGCCGCGGGCGGCTACTGGTCCATTGTTGAAATCGATGTTGGAGTTTTCATATGCTGCATGCCGGCCTTGCGATCATTACTTGGCCGTCTCCTCCCAGGCGTTTTTGGATCGACGAAAGGCGTAAGCAGTGCTGGCCAACCCTCTAGCCAAAGGAAGTTTAGGGGGACATCAGGTAACCACGCAAACACGAGCTTTGTACAGCTGATCGAAATAGACAATAGAAAAGATAAGAAAAGTGCTGGTGATGATTGTTGATGTACGATATTTACTGGTGAAAAGTTGAGGTGACCAGAGCATGATACCAAAGCATAATACCCTTAGGTGACCAACCTGCGACGAGGTAATTGGCTCATGTAGACCATGTATGGTCTGCATGGGAATTCAGGCAAAAGTCGACTGTCCAAGTATCAGAAGGGGGGCTAGCCAACTAGCACAGTGGCCTTGACAACCCCGATATATGAATAAAAGAGACAGTCATTCCTACAATGGTAATCGATTCCGTAGGAATTGACTTGGTCGCGCAATAATATAAACGAATCCGGAATATGCGATTATTTAAATAACAAATGAAATTACCTCTGATATATTTGTTGAATTATAAACGATAAGCCCACCTAAAGACGACAGTAGATCATATTAACAAGGAATAGAAGATAATATAGTCAATGTTGAGATTCTGTAAAACCTGCACTTTCTGAGAAGCAATTGATTATTCTGCAAAATCTCAAATAAGAATTGGAAAACAGTCTTTCATATCAACTATACCGCAACTATACTACCCGAGAAAGATTAGATGTAAGAACTGTAGGTGAAAGAAGAAGACAATTCTGAAAAGTATTCAGGTTTACAATAAATAAATCAACTTATAGGGGTGCTGCGAAATTTAATACTGATCCAATAATGATGATGATGAGTCTGAATCAACAAGTTTATGACTCTTTCTATGACGCTCTATACTACAATGATAACTATCTTAAAGACGCTGTAATTCAATAATCATTTTATCGATATTTTGAGAATGAGAGAAATAATATGTAAAGATCACCCCTATATATGGAGTCCCTCACATGTATCTGCAGGAATAAATTCAGCACACGGTTAGAGCAAGGTGGACAAATCGAAGATGCTGGAGGTTTGTATATAGCGTCTGGGAAGTTGATCATTATTAAGAGCAATTTTCAATGGGGAGATATGAATGCCTCATCAATTGATGTTTATAACAGATCAATATAAAAGGTCATTAAGAACAGGCAGCGTTGAAAACTTCAGACTGTTGCATATAGCATTAACTAGTATATATTAAATGCAATACTCCATTAACCAATTCTATCGGCCTCAATGAAAAATATATTCAATTATGATAGGTAGCGGTGATGGTCATTAATGTGAGTTATAATATTTAAATTATTGAATAAATTCTCTTCTCAACAAACAAGATGGCAATATATAATATATATATGATTGTTTTCTCTCATTGGATGCAACTGTATACTTTTTGATAGTCTAATAATCCCTTTAGTATTGCTAAGATTTCAACATTGAATATCCTCATTATAAAGTATCATGATGTAAACCATCATTCATTAAAGGCTGATGGCATGCATCAGCTCTAAGCAACAAAAGATGTTTTATAATATATACTTTCTATTGTAAAGTTTCTTCTTTCCAAAGTAGCATACATCAAGCCTGTCATCATTATCTGGTATCTTTTCTGATATATTGAATTGTACCTAATACATGTATCCGACTATTTCTCAATAGTTCATTTCAAAAATTGTCCTAATCATTCGTAACAACTTCGTTATTTATTCGCATCTCAGTTCTGATATTCGCCCAAGAATTGTCCGTAGAATCGTAATTTAATTAATTGTCATTCGCCTAGCTAGTCCCCACGGAAGCAACACGCAACCGTAAGCTTTACAGCTAAGTAATGATATGCTAAAATCGTATTTGGGAAATACTCTTCTTTTCTATGCATGACTTCTGGACGATAGCAGAAACATAAAAAGACGAAAATGCAATACAAAAAGGGTAAGCGCACTACTCTGTATCTTGCTACTAACTTACTACCATTCGAACTCGATAGCGGACACTCGTGTACTCGGTGCTACTACCTCTATACTACAGCCTAGTGGTCGGGTTTCGGCGAGCTGATAGCCGACCAGCCAGATACAGTAACACCGAGCTGATACAGTAACACCGAGCCTCAGAGCAATGTGAGGACGGAGATAGGACTGATTTCTTCGGCCACGGACTTAAGGTGTTTGCATTGCCGCGCCTTCAAGTTGCTTTTTGCAGAAAAACTAGTTGTTATTGGACCAGAGGGATTAAGTTGGCGCCGGGGCGATGTATGCACGCACGCCGCAAGCTCCATGGTATAGGGTTACAAGGCCAAGCATGCAGAATTACAAACACATATACACAGCAAAGCAAAAAACCCCTAGCGAAACTTAGAGATGTCATACTAATAAATTGACTTCGAAGCATCCTCAAACGCATCTCTACTCCGTAGTTTTAACTTTCAAGATTACCTGGTTGGCTGCGCAACAATTGCCTGGATTAGGTTTAACGCCAAGGATCCCCGCTAAGACGGGGAACAGCAATAGTCTGGGATAAGTAAGCTTACCAGGCTACACAAGGAATAGGCATATACAGCGTGCAGGTATTATTAAACTAAATAGATTAATGCCGTTGTTCTTCCTAAGCTCGTGCCCTCAGTGCCACGTTTTGGTTCCCTGGCTGTGGGATATCCTTTTTGATCCTTTTTGTTACTCTTCTGGGAATGAATCGCTGCTAATCAGTACAACGAATGCAGGGGACTGATCGGCTGAGTTTTATACTATTTCAATATAGTGGCACAGGGACCATGGTAAATACTAAAGGTTGACAAATACGCCTTTATCTAACTCCACAATGTCCCATCCGGCTGATTTGTGTTTCGGGCCGGAGAGAATTCGATATAAACTCTGAGACGGTAAAATACTAAAATTACATACGGTATTTGACACTATTCCAAATAAGACAATTGGATGGAGGAAACACGTCTACAATAGCACTGGCCCCACTAGCTGCTTACTAGTGACTCGTTGTTTTCACGCGACTTGCTGGGATTCTTCAGCCCTGACATGTGTATCAATTAGTGGGGATCACGACGGACCCATCTCTCTCTTCTCCATACGCTCTGTGAGTCTACATTATTTTTCAGGCAGCAGAAGGCTGAAAAAGCACATGGTAGGATTTATGCCCACGCTTAAACTTCAAGCCTTGCCACTGTCCTAGCTGTGTGCTGGTTGGCCCCGTCGTATGATTGATGGGGTGATAAGAGTAATAAAAATGAATAAGCTTGGTATTCCCTACGTGCTTAGCTGGAAGGATTAACATGCTTGCCAAGTCTCTTCAGGAGATTCTTCACGTCTTGGAAGTCTACTTCGGGACGCGAGACATTAGCCTTGCTGCTGAATACTTCTCCCAATTGAATGACCATTTCTTATCTACAAAATTGTTGGACGCAGCAGGTAGACTAAGAGGCTCTACGTGGCCTAGACTTTTATACTGATCTGCTTGGTGAACACAAATCAAATGAAAGTGCTCGAATCCCCGGAACTTGTAAGCATAATCGATCGGCTTTGCCGTGCCGTAGTCATAAGCTGCGTGATGACTAGCCATCCGTCAAAGCTTGCTACGCACGAGTTTCATACCTTTGCCGGGAGATCGCCACCTTGGTTGACCAACAACTTAAAGCAACGGAGAATGCGTCGACTGGTCAATAGGACCTGGGGTCCCTCGGGTCCCAGCCATAACAACAAAACCTTATCAACACGGAGCCTCTGACCTACTGTCCCGACAGGGGCTGGTTTTTGAAGTATGTATTGTGTGTTATATCTACTTTGTCCTTTTTTTCAGACCTTGTTTCAACTTGAAGCGTGATAGACTGATAGTCGAAAGTTGAAACGCAGAGTACGAGTTTAAAATGGAAGCCTAGTAATTGGTGGATGATTCGCTATAATTATTCGCTAATTGAGTGATGTGCATAACCTTGAATCCTTCCTTAGGATCTGCATGCAGAAGCTACGTACCATGGAGACTCATAGTGACAAAACTAGTTACCAAGAGTTGCCCCCCGGAGTTGCCGGATAGTTGTGATGTTACTATTTTACGGATACGCCGTGTGGAATAAAGTTGAGTAGGACCTTCGTGGAGACTCTAGAATCCATTCATTTACACACTCTACATATTCCATGGACCAGATACAGAATCGCCTGAGTATAGCTATTACTCGGACTACGGAACCTAAGTCTTCCGGAAGCCGAACCATACAACTAGTTGGCTATCGTAACTTTAAAAAAAGTTAAATGTGTTATATCAAGTCTTGGCTAGTTCTCGACAAAGCATCCTTGGATCTGGTTGTGGGCGAATTAGTGTGCGGAAATATTATTAAATGTGTATAGATAAAATACGGTACTATCGGGTATTTGCTGGGCCTGTCCCCAATAGCCTAGGTCTTTGCTTTTTTTTCCGTTTTTAAATTTTTAATCCTTGGTGCTTGGCAAAATTCTGGCTCTGGCTGGAACTAGGCAAGTTGGCTCCAGAGGGCTGAAATAGGTTTCTAGACTATTTCTATTTCCAGCGATAAAAAGCGGGGACGAGGGAAGACTTGGCAAAGTGGCGGCGCTGCTAAATCTCGCATTGATTCCCTAATTAGATAAAAAAGGCGTTGAATTCCTGCCTGCTATAAAACCTCCACCGGACGGTGGGGGACATAGAGATTACGACATACTAAAGAGTAGACTAGACGACTAGCTTTGTGTCTTTGATTTTATTTTATCTTCGCGATGGCTCGTCATTGGCCACCACTCTACCTATAAGAGGAATGGTATCGTGTCAAGACTTTCGTGGTAATTATTTGAAATTGAATTTGTGACTCACGCCATGTGATGACCATTGCATCTCCAAACTGTTTTAACTTTCAACATCATTTAACAGCACGGATAGATACATACTCAGGGGGAACTTGAATATGTAACGTGGTATGGTGGTATGTATAATTTGTAGTACATCCCTGCTCCACTGCACCCACTCTTGTATTATCATAACATCTCCGTACTATTCATCATGTGTCATGAGATATGGAGTAGATTATCCCGTCAGAACTTTAATACTACTATCAATGGCGCTGCAGCAAAAAGCAATGATGATATGATACAACTGGCATATTCAGCCACAGCAGGTACAAGTCTGGTTGATCAATACACTAGTCCCAGAAGAGTAAACGCTGAAATCGCCCCTCCCTCTCCTCAAACACTATTTCTAAACCAATAGCATAGCATCGATACTTCCCAATATTCATGAAGGAAGAAATTTTTCTTTCCGAATTTAATAGCAAGTTAATAACCGCATGCTAGTTAGTAACTCATTATTTATTAACAATTTAACACCGTGGCACTAGAATGATCTAAACGAATGTGTCTTAGCGCTCCTTCGGTTCAAACTTCCCCCGCTTTGCTTACACAATCGACTTTGTAGGTTTCTTTGTTTAGTGGCCAAAATAATGACTCGATTTCCCCGAGGCACAAGAAGGGAATTTATGCTGTCGATCACACTCAGTGGCCAAGTTTTAAAAGAGAAAAGACCTGTGGCGTCTCCACATATGACGACGACAACGATCGTAGCTGACTCATAACAGTGTACACGTATGATATAGTGGTGTATTATTATGGATGTTGATATCACCCACAGCATCCGGTGAGCCCTAATCGCCCGATCAAGCCCGAGCTGAACCAAGATCTTGTTTTCTTTCGGCTTTTACTGGGGAAATCCATTATGTCAGCGGAAATTGGATGAATTGTGTTCCGAATTAGGATAGCTGTTCGGACGGCTGTAGTATAGGTGTGGGGCAGGGCGGCGCAGGACGTTTGTTGAATTCACGGAATTTAATCAACGAATAAATCCCGTCTCGTACATAGCTCGCTCGTATATTTTCGGGGTGTATTCTTGAATACAGTGTAACTGTAAAATTAGTAGCGGCGGAAAACACTCTGATTGGCTGGTGAATATATATCTTCTCCACATTAATCCACAATACATGACTATGATTGGATACCAGCATATCCTGGGCTGTCCACAGTCACATCACTATTGGACGGGGTAACTAGTGTCTCTGCCACAACAGCCAATCAAATTGGCAAGAATCATACTTCTTGCCCGCAAGGCATCTTGAAATTCATACACAAATTAATCTGTTAATATTGATTCTAGTTCGCCTCGGTGCAAATGACGGGCCCAAGTTTATACGCTTAATTATCTTGGTAATCACCTGAGTTGGTTGATACTGTCATGGTTATGCCTATAAATAGTCACATGGGATTAGTGCTCCTGACAAAACACCACACTGACCACCTGCTGCACCAAGCCTGTGTGTCATAGACCCAGAGTTATGATCAATTGACAATCGGCACTACTGAAACCGCGGCATCTATCATCATCGACAAGGCTCAGACAGTCACTAAGCACTGCAGTCGGTACGACGCACATGACACATAGACGCATAGACGCATACTGTTGATTGGAAGCTGATCGACTCCGCTGACTGTAGGATGAGATGCCCTAACGATCTACCTGCAGGACGGAAGAGACTCCACTGATTCCTTCCGTCAGCTGTATCGTATCAGGCCAACTAAAATAAAATAAGAATCTATGCACTTTCCGTGACTTTCAATAGGGGTGTTAAGTTTTACAAAACGCAGCAGGGGCCGAGAATCCTACTCTGGACCGTGGACCATGGAATGAAGGAAAATATAGTTTGCCGCGTCAAACAGAGACCGAAGCACCGGTTTGAAAAGGACTGTAGGGGATCCCCTGTCTAGACTGTTTCTGGATTCTTCCTGGAAGCCTGAATTGAACACCGAATGACTGGCTGGCTGCAGCAGTTGGAACGGCGGGGCAAATCCTAGGGTGTCAGGTAGCCTCCTGTGGACAGTAATACCTTCAACTGGGTCAGCACTTTATTATCCTGTCACCCGACTCACCCACGTATGTGTCACATTTTACTCCTCGTATGACTAAAGTATCTCCATTTGTATGGCCATAAACTATTCTAATTACAAGGCCACCATTGACTTGAGACGGTATTAGTCGGCAGAGTAGTGATTGGTAGCATTGATTCAGAATAATAAGCTTGGCGCAATATTTCCAACCCGGTAACTGACGTCAACCCTGAATGCCAATGCAGATATAGTAATAGAGTCTAGGCTGCGGTCTGGGCGGAGTGGTCGGCGAGAACAAGGATTACTATTCCGATGTCAACCCCGACATCATGCCGACTCCTTCGTACTCCATATAACCCAAAAATGCATTACTCAATCCATCGCAACGGAACGAAGAATCACTGAGATCACTGACGTAAATGCCTAATTGAATCATGTATCCTTAGAAGCCTTATCCATTGGCTACAAGGATTGAGTCGGGGTGCTATGCACTATTTTCTAAGCAGATGCCGACCGTACCTGCCTAGAAAAGCTGTTTGTGGCTGAGCGGGCCACTAATCCCATGAATAAAAATAACTTCATTGTCAACGGCCGCTAGCATCATGAAACAGTGATGTGTAGTATCGCAGGAAACTCAGGTCATCATTGCAACTTTCATGGGACGTGCGCCTATGTTGTCGCGTGTCAACAACAGGCAGAAACATAATGAGGGAAAAGACAGAGACGTAGCAACTAAATGCTGTTCGATAGGCTAGTCTATAGCCAGGCTGCAGGCAGGCAGTTCATAGAATTACGGCATTACGCGCTGGAAAAACGTGGCGGGCAGTGAGGGAATTACTATTGCCGCCGCTTTCCTGATTCCTTCCCCGACTACTTACGATCCCTGCCAGCTAACGTACAGGGTCCTGGAGAATACGAGCATACGAATTACATGTTGAGCATCACCTGATGATAATAAGTTAAGTTCAAGTTAATAATAATAAAAGTATGTACAAGAAACTATATGCAGAAACAGTGGGTCCCCCTGGACTCGGCCCATTCACCGTCCAGGGCGCGTAAAAACGCCTGTCAAATCAGATGATGCAATGCAAATGCGATGCTAGTAACCCGCCTCAAACCCAAACGGGCACCCAACCAAAAAAAAGACGTCACTCTTCTGCTTACTCCGTTCTGCTGCCTGAGGCTGGCCAGGCTTCCTGAGTGGCATGCACCAGCCTGCTCCACTGGCGGCTAATCCCACCAATCCCCGCGCCCGCCTCTATTCCAAATAACAGGAGAGGGGAAAGAAATGGATCGTAAAATGAAGAAAGAGAAAACAAAGAATTGGGATCCAACATCAACAATAACAAAAAACTATAATGGCTATTCATCGCTAGGAGATCGCCGCCTTTTTTTCACAGGGCTTCCAATCCGTTGTGTGCTTCGGAACTCCTGCTCTGGAGAGGACACTGCCGATTCGTCGTCGGAAGCTGTGTATGGTAAGAGCTGGAGTTGGGCTTCGATCTGGTGGTCACTATATTTCCGGCTGGCCCCGAGCTCCTGTAACTGTATGGCGGTTAGTCATTCGTAGAGGAGCGTGGAAGATACATGTATTTGTCATACCTTGGCCGCGATGATGCTATATTTCTGTGTTTGCCAATAGTTATGCGCCTCTTGAAGAAGTGCTACCTGCGTGGAGTTAGGTCACACTGTCCAGAAGGATAATAGTTGAAAGGGAAAATCCACACATACTCACATCTGCCTCTTGCCATGCCGCTGCGCTTTTTCGCCGTCGCAACATGCGCATCTGCAGTCGCGCCTCGGTCGAGTTCTTGTTGAATCGCTCGCGGAACATCTCGGCGACGATCTTCCACGACAGATTTTGCGCGCGCAGGTTCTCGACAAAGGCATCTTCCTCTTCTGCTTGCGGGTCGCGGCGCCCTCGACCCGACGGTCGCGGTCTTTGGGGTTCGCGCTGGTGAGGAGAGTCAATCACTTGTCCGTGCCGGCGCTCTTGTTCGAGACGCTGTAACCCGTCTGGGTGAGGAAGGATCCTCACCGGCGATTGGCGCAAGGGCGGTGTGCATCCAGTAGTCGGCCGCCGTTGACGCTTAGCTCGATGTTGAGGGGGAGAGTCCAGCCCTTGTTCAGACCCATAGTCCCCGAAATCTAGTGAGCCTTGATGGTGATGTTGTGGGTGTTGGTAGGCAAAATTTGGCGATGATGTCGGTGGTACTAGTTCGTGGTATGCGCTCGTAATTCCTAGTCCATGATGCACTGCGCTATCGTCCACAGGGTGGTACGAGTACTCTTGAGAATGGTGGCTCAATACAGGGCTCGGTCGCGGGTGTAGATATGCGCTGTCAGCGAGGCTGATGGGTGTGAGAACCACGGGGTTATGCGCTGCGGATGTGTACGAATGAGAGACTCCAATATTATAAGAAGACTGCCGAACAGTTAGCGCAAAAGAGTATTCTTGATGGATCAAGATAAATAGATGGGAAGAGATCATTTCTTTACCGATTGCACACCACCCCAGCGGGGATCAATTGGATCCATGTATTCGTCCACACGACCAGGTTGTCCAGAGCCCCCAAAGGAAAAGACATGGTTTCGATGGCGGGAGAGTATAATAGTGTTGCTAACATGACGCCTCCTCCAGGAGGGGAAGTAGGGTGATTTGACTGGAGGCGGATATAGCAAGGTCAGGTGCTAGCGTTGGAAGCAGCTTGATCTATATGTGTAGCTGCAAGGATAAAGAACAGAAAGCGGACGCAGGTTAACCGATGTAAGATGATCAATGGAGGTCCACCAGAATCTTTTTATAAGAATGTCTTGAGAGTCAACAATATCGCCGGCATAAGCTGATCGACGCCTATAAATTGCTGGTTGTAAAAGGCGGAGTGATGGCGCAGACAAAGACAATGGTATTCAACTGGTTCAGAGAGCTCGAAAATGAGACAAAGTAGCGCCGTGAAGCTGTGCCACCGGAAAGCAGGGTATTAATAAGAATGATAATAAAAGTAAAAAAGGTTATGCTGGAACTATTTAGTAGTGGATGGACGCTGCAATTAAGCGCTCTTATCCCAGCGCTCACGATCAACTATCTCACTAGCCTGCCAGTATACAGACCCACAGCCGCTGCTGGTGGAACGGGGCCCAGCCCCCAAACTCTCTGGTTGGAGTAATTAATTATATAGTAGTTAGCATGCTATAGGCAAAGCAGTGCGGTTCGAGCTGACCCACACTCTGGTGGGCAGCTTGTCTAGTGTAGGAGCCTAGAGGAGGGGAGGGCCGGATGGCGATGCAAAGAACATCCAGTGACGAAAGGACGAGGGCTGAAAGGGATCCAAACTAATTAATTTGGGTAATTCGAGAACAATGGTTTAGCGTTTATTATTTATTACACTGGGTCATCGAGCTGGGCTAGAAAATAAGTAGAAATAACTAGTGGGTTAGTCAGCACATACAGCTTCAAGTTACAAGTTACAGGTTGATGTTACAAGTTACGGCAGGACGGACGGAGCGGAGGAACAAATCCCGTGGGACTTAGTACTTGCCCTAACCCAGGTTCGTTTATTAGATGTACATATAATGTTCTCTGCCTGCCAATAGGCCCAATACCAGGTAATACTGCCAGTAGTTAATACTGACAATACTGTACTGCTAATACTAACGGCGTGGTCGGGTCAGGGTTATCCTAGACTAACCCTAAATGCCTAACATGGCCTAACGCGCCCTTTTGACTTGCCGAGCTCCGGAAGTCAACTCCGACTTCTCCGTACAGGACGCCAAACTCCTGTATTATTATTATAATACTCTTATTGCTATTATTGCAACCCTGATAATACATGGCACTGTCCAGCATGGCTCCCCACCCTTAACGGGGACCCTCGGTGTTATTCAGTTACGGATAGTGGTGTTCCTTTGTCACGCATGCAATATTGTGACCCGCCACGCGATCTTCCACGCCGGCAGTGTTCGGGAGGAAAGCCGTCCAGACCGCTTCATTGCTGGTGATTCCTCCGCCTCATTATCGCGTACCTGCGGTGTGCACTCTTTTCCCTGAAGCGGACGTACTGAGCACTATCGGCCGAAGTGGACTATTGCTGAGAGCAGTATACAAGACCGACCACAGCGGTGAAATTTCGGCCTTCGTGATGTACTGCGGTAAGTTTTGTAAGTGAGTAATGGATGCGTACATGTACGTATTGAAGGAACATGTATGGATCGAATCACCCGCAGCCTCTTTTCCTTTTCCTTTTCCTTTCCCTTTTCGTTGACCTACCTCCAGACGCTGGTATTTACGCGGCGGCGCAAAAAGCGATCAATCATATCTTCAAGTCGATTCAACGCCAGCCATGAATCATTTGCCAGGGGCCAAAAGAAACGCCAGGGATTATCAGTCGGTAGGCGCTAGTCCGCTAGTCTGTTCAGCCATCAGCGCCTCCGTCATCGAACGACTCGACGGGCGGGGTGGTAAAGCCTAATGCGAAGCCGTCGAGCCGTTGACGTTAAGCGCTGCCCATGCTCACTAGTACTACTACTGTGCTGCGATCTAGTTAAAGCATAGTGGAGGGTCGGGATAGCTGGTGTCTCCACGCTTGACGCTGGACGGTCGATAGATGGTTTTCCTTAGACCGCCACTAGAAGCAAGCTAGAGAGACCTGAGAATGCCAGATATCCAACCACGTCCGCTTATTATTAGACGGTCTCCCGTATGGGCGACTGGTAGTCTAATACTGATGCTAGTATGCCTAGTGGTGCTAACCATGACTCAGAGCACTGGGGCAGTGACACAGGTGCTCACTATGCCGAAAATAAAATATCACAGGGATGCTTCGTACGCCGTATACAATTCCCTGAGGTCCATCACTTGGGCCTTACGAGAAATATTCGCGCCGAAAACCTCATGGCTGTCCCGGTTAATTAGCTGCTGCGCAAGTGCTGGTTAGCCACGTGTCTCCCCTCTTGAACTAGAATCAAAGGCGTCGGGCTAGGCGCATGGCGCATGCTAATCCTCCAGGGGGTGAATTCACCTGCCTATCACGGGACAATTCCCTTCCAGAAAGCAGTCTTCCATTTGTTCGGCACGTAACATGATGGTCGGGCGAATGTAGCGTCCGACACGAGGCTCTGAGCCTCGACTCCCCGATGCCCTTTTCTCGGCATCCTTATTTAAACCAAGTAGGCATTGTTTGATGGCATCAATAATTTGTTGGAAGGAGGCTTAGTACTGTAGTTAATTTTAGTTCAAAGCTAGGGGAAGAATAATATTTACAAGCGCACTTGATAATCGATTATGCGGGAGACTCGGGGTGCGGGAGACCCCTTTGGGTAACTATAGAGTTATTAAGATGAATAAGCAACAGAGCATCATCAATCACTCGCTCTCGCTCTCTCTATCCTAAAAGGTATAAGCGCACTCCATCTCAACTTTGAACTTTGAAGTTATGAGTTAATATCAATATATAAATAAAAATGTGGGTTACAGCCTTGACCACAGTGACTCATTTGTATATGTACTAGACAAGAAGCACCTACCATGTCAACAGGAAGGATCATCCCCGGGCCTCAAATCTGTGCTATTATTATCATAGTAGTTTCACGATGCTCGATCGGGTAATTACACTAGAGTAGTATTCGTTATAACTATCATACAGATGCTTGGACCACCTCGTTGTATCGTTAAGATTCTGGGAAAACAGTGCTCGTCAACATACTTAACGTGTATTATGCTGATTTATATCTCTGTTATATTAATGAAAACATCTTATCATCACGTCATATTCTTAATACGTAGCGATGGCCCTTGACCGTTACCTTTTTGTTCCAGTTAGTGGGGTTAGTCGTGCTTGCTGACGAGGCGGACGGACTAGCCAGTGGCTGAGCCTATTCCTGAGTGATACCTGATTATGGAAATGAGGATACTATTATTGTGAAATCATTGGCCATAGTGAGCCTCGGATGAAGTGCATTCAGATGCCTTGTTTTCGGGAAGCACCAAGATTTAGTGCCCGGCTGAAAGAGTACTATCTGTTGGGGAGTACAATCTTGTCTGGGGCTGTAGTTAAGACGCAATCGGCCACCAAACTGATCATCTGAATATCTTAGTCCATATCGTGTATTTTGGGCAACAAGCAGGATGTGACCAAGGTGAGCGAACTTAGAGATAAAAAAAGAAATGATCCTCGTGCCGCAAGTTCATACAGATTAATGATGACCATCAAGTGTTTCATCAGCAGACACCGATATGCCCCTCGCACCCCAACGACTGTTAGACGTTCCTCCGTTCCCTGCTGCTTCCGGGTCTAATGGCTCTTCCTCCTCTTCTGGCCCGTGGCTGTGGACTGCTCGCGAGTTCAGAATCTTGCCAATAAACCAACTCTTCCGCAAGTCTTCTGAATCGACAATCCCACCACGGCGCAGCTTCACTCGCTGACGGGTGTAATATACCCAGGCAAAATCAACATAAAGCAATGTCTGGACAACTCCGAACACATCTGAAACTGGATCCCAGTAATGCTCGGATCCAAAGCCCCGAACAAGCCAATTCAGAATGTACAGTGCTCTGTAAGAGCCCAGCGTGATCAGATAATATGAATCAATAACTGTTGGAACTGTGGTTTGGCGAAGCAGCAACAGCTGCGGTAGAACACACACAGACTCAAGGATGATGGAAAATGACCATGATGTCTGAAATCGTGTTAGACTACGGATCATTGACCTCGCGATTGACATTTTGTGAGACGGTTTTGCTTACCTCTACGAACCAGGGCTGAGGATACTTCTCATTGAGGGCTGCCACCCAGATTGATAAAGCGATGGGTGCGCCGATTGCTGAGCCCAACACGCAGAATGTCGCCAATTTCCATGACTTCTCCCTTTCGCGTGTTCGAGGATAGACGCACGTCATCAAGGCGATGATGTAGAACGATGAGAAGAGATAGAATAACTTAAAGAAAATCAGATACGCATGGGACTCAACCCAATGTGAGGGGCGGAAGAGGTCGAGATATCTTGTTACAAACACCACGGCGTATAGAGCCTGGGTAAGCAAAGACACTCCTGTGTAGCGAGTCAGTGTGCCAGTACTTCGATTACAAAGGTGCATGGGTTGCTTCATACCTTCTGAGCTTCTGTTCCAGTGTATGGCCCATATCAGAATACATTTTGATAGAATGTGTGATAGGTCGCCAAGTATTCGGAAAGGGTTCATGTTTTTCTCCACCATGGCGACGAACTTGCTCGCAGTAGAGCAAACAGATTGGGGAACAGTCTGACTTTAGTCTTTCTAATTAGCCGTACACCGCTATAGAAAGCGTTCAGATGCTCTGCCCACACTAGTCGAGAGATGATAGCCGCCTTTGATGTATCCAAGGGATGTCACGCGATGTCTGGAGAAGAAGCTCTCCCCGTTGACAGGAGCGTGGTCCTCGCTAAGCTCTGCAGTGAGAAGAATTTGAAGAAAGTAAAGCAAATAAGAAAACACCGGCTTAATTTCCTGAGACTATCATATGATGGATGAATTGACTCGAAATGCGATGGCAGTCGAGGCAGCCGTGGCAGCCGGGCAACGTCACCCGCAGGGATACTGACCAATCAGCCCCGCCCAAGCCCTTGCGTCGATCATGTGATCTGATGGTTATTTTGCACACGTGATTTGAGAGTTACATTGTGTTGGACAATTTACGCGTTAGGACAAATTCAGTTTAGTGGCAAATTCGATTGGATTGATATACTAGCCCCAGTTGCAAAGAACTCATCTATCTAGACGTATTTATAGGCGAAATTACCCTAATAATTATCATCAGGAGTAAGATAATGAAAAATAAGGAATATCAATTTTTGGCGTGACGTTTTGGCGCTATTGATCATGATTTTGGGCATTTCGAATCTTTTCCCAATAGACTTGGTGCCAAATATTCCGATAAGTTGTTTTCGACATCACTGAGCAGCCTGGTCTGGTACAAGCCCAATGATGTTGAACCTGAGGTCTTCGCCACCAATTACCTTGCCTCGGTCTAGGAATGGCCGTATCCCCAAGTCCAAAGCCGCCGTACTCAGTAGATCATCATCCTCGCCTAAGGAACCCCTCAGAATGGGTCCCTTTCGATGACCATCAAGCTCCCAGAGGCTGTTGCGTTTGGATTTTACAAAGCATACAAAATGCAAATCAAGTGCCTCCCCTGCAGGTAGAGCTGCTGTGTCGCCTTCCGTAGCAGATGCTTCATTCGCAATCTCAAGGGCTTCCGAATCACAGAGCAAATTTGCTCGTGCGATGGGCTCCAAAGGAACCGCATCGCATATCAGGCGGTCCAATGTCGAATTTGGGGTGATGAAGGAGCGCACATCATCAGAAGATAAGCAATGTAGTAGCGCTATCAATCCGCACGCGAGCCCAATTGTCTGTTTGTACCATATGACTTCTTCGCCGTCGCCGTGTCCCGTGTATTCTTCTACTTGTTCGTCTTCTTCGATGCGGAACTTTTCTGAAGCATCATTCACTGGAAAAACTAGCAGTAATCCGTAGCAAGGCCGAGGGATGAAGGCTAACAAATCAGGCTCATCAATAGTGTAGATATCCGTGAATGTGAGACGATCGGATAAGCCTAGCCTATGAGCGAGTTTAGATATAACTTCGGGGTTATTCTCTTCATTTCAAAATAAGTTTAGCATATGTTCTCCTGAAGTTTCAAGATGATGCCAGTTACCAAGAGGTCGAAAGCTTTTGCTCCTTGCTCCAGGAGGGATATTAAGAACATTGGTAACCGGACCCTTTGGCATTGTGTTATCAGATATCTACCACAAGAATGTTTAGGAATTGAAATTGAAGATCGTTGTTGAAATTAATGATTACTGAGTTTTAGACACTTCTAATAATGGAGCATAGTCTGGTGCAACTCCATAACATATATCCCTTGATGTGCCGCATATAGGCAGCACAGCTTACGTATACAAAATGAATCTACTTATTCCAAGTGGTGAACCTCACGGATATTGAACAATGGCAGGTACTACACACTTTTCCAGCAATGCGCCATGAATTTACAAACCGAGAGCATGGGTTACAGACGCTTTCAAACGAATTTGACCAAGGTTCACCGAACCGTGTTGTTAAATCCTGCTATAGAACCTACAAAGAAAAAAAAAATATCAGGACAATAGCTTTAAATTGCCATGTAGTTGTGAGGACATTGGCCTGCCTGACAGGTGTCTAGACAAATCCATGTAACAGCATGGGCGTCCAAGCCATGCCGCCATTTGGCGTATTGTGCACTTCCGTTCATTATTTGACATAAGAGGATGGTCATAACAGAGAACAATAGCAGAACCCATAACACGCATAAATGATGACCAACATGCCAACTTTTTCGACCATCCTCTGATCATTTTCTACGGTTTCATTCGCCGATACCGATTCCAAGCGTATCGAAATTGTATTTAAGCAACGAGTTCAATAACACCGCCAGCCTCCTTGATCTTGCGCTCAGCCTCTTTGCTGACATAGCGAGCCTTGACGACGAGAGGGATGTTGGGGATGCGACCCTTTCCGAGAACCTTGGCGTAACCGAGAGGAAGGAGGTCGAGAACGATGGCCTTGTCAGAGGGGGCCTTGTCGCTCAAGTACTTCTCACGGGTCTCCTGGGGAACAAGCGTCCAGAGCTATGCCCAATTGTATCAGCCAAACATGTTCCTTTCTGTTATGATAATAACCATTGGATCGAAAATACCTTGTCGAGGTTGATGGCGGGCTTCCAGTAGTGGTTGCGCAGAAGGTGGAATTGTCTCATACCAACCTTACCGAAGTAACCAGGATGGTACTTGTCGAGATTGGTACGGTGATGGTGCTGTTCACAATTGTCAGTCTTTACCAGCTTTTTCTTCTCTATCTTCAAAGCCCCTGCGTACCTGACCACCGGCCATACCACGACCACCGGGGTGCTTTCTGTGCTTTCCAACACGACCATGACCGGCGGAGACATGACCGCGGTGCTTCCGCGTCTTGGTGAGTCTGGTAGGCATGGCGGCGGCTGTTGTGTGAGGTTGTCGACTTCCGAGTTGCAAAGAGCTCTTTCTGGTCGGATCGAGGAAGTCAGTAATTGTGTGTTCTTCGCTTACGTTCGCATTGGGTTTAGTGCCGGGTGCCTTTCCAGAATAGAGTTTCTGGCTGCTATTGGCTGCTGGTGGGTGGGGCCCCTAGCCGCTCGACTTTACCGTATCGGGAGCGATCTTTTTCCCCCGCGTCATCATCTATGCAATGAAGTGTATCCCGAGTTCTTTTTGCATCTTCATACTATATGTTAATGATGCTTTTTGCTCTCATCAAGTTCGGCTCTGATCCCTTTGATTGACTTATTCTTATCGTTGCTACCATCTATTGCTTGCAAACAAAGCGATTGTCAGCAATTTACTACCCCTCATCTGTTTTTCGATATACCATGCGGCTAGTTAAAAGCAGCATTGAGCATAATGGCTCTGGGGCTGTCACATTATGCCCAGAGGAGCCAGAAGATATGGTTTGTCCTAAAAACATAGGCATACTATACTCTCGTCACTGACATGCAATGTATCCAGTGGCACGCATACAATCTCATCCGCTCTAACGACCTCCTGCGCGCAAGCGCAATCCGCAAAGTCACTACTGCCCAGGATAGCGGGACGACAGTCTCCCAAAGAGTCCATTTAATGTTGCAGATCCGAGTGAAGGGGCTCGACTTCGACCCAAACAGCTCCCAGCTCCACGTCAGTGGACAGATTATGAACGAGACGCAACATACACGGATAGGACAGTTTCATACTCTAGATCTTGAGTTGCACCGTAATTTCACCTTGGAGAAAGAGATCGGTGCTGATGGAGAAGGGGTTGGCTGGGATAGTATAGCTATTGATATGCTAAAGGATGCTGTTGATGAAAGTGGCAAGAGGAGAGCAGAGGCTGTGGCAGTGGTGATGCAAGAAGGCCTTGCGCATATATGCTTTATAACACAGTTTCAAACGATTTTGAAACAGAAAGTCGAAATGTCGGTTCCACGCAAGAGAGCAGGCGGAGGTGATCATGACAAGGTCGGTCTTACCTTACCTGTATACTGTTATAACCCCAGTTCGCATCTGACATTTTGCGTTGGTAAAGGGGTTATCAAAATTCTTCCAAGTCACACTAGACACACTTCTCCGCCAAATTGAATTTAACACAAGCGTCACGGCAACAGCGAGCAACAACAATGGCAATGAAGCTGTGCGGCCAATACTCCTAGCCTCACCGGGATTTGTTGCGGCTGGCTTCCAAAAATATATCCAGTCCGCAGCAGCGACAAATATGCCATCTCTCAAACGACTTTTACCTCAAATCGTGGTAGTCCATTCAGCTTCGGGATACCTCCATTCCCTTTCAGAAGTTCTCCAGTCGCCGTCTGTCAAGACTCTTCTATCTGATACCAAATACGCGCGTGAGACAAAACTTATGGATGATTTTTTGGAGCATTTACGCAAAGATACCAATAGAGCAACGTATGGGCCGCGCGAAGTCGAGTATGCTGTTGACCAAGGCGCGGTTGGTAGGGGTGGGGGGCTTCTTATCATCTCGAATAGACTGTTTCGCGCGCAGGACGTGGCTGAGAGGAAGCGTTGGGTCGGATTAGTAGATCGCGTGCGCGAAGTCGAGGGTGGGGAGGTTCGTGTTCTGAGCTCAGATCATGAAAGTGGCAAGAGGCTTGACGGGCTAGGTGGCATTGCTGCGCTGTTGACTTTCCCTGTTGCTGAGGAAGATCTCGCATCTGATGACGAAGATGATAATGATTTATAGATATAACACAACACATTCGACAGCAGGCTATCAGGACCCATCCGCACGTAATAAATTTATTTCAATGTATTTAGCTTCTCATTAAAGCGAATAATAATATGCATTAAGAAGGGCAGCGGAAGATAGGCAAGTTGTCATTATTCTGCGTCACTTGGCATGTGGTGATCCCTATTAACCTTCAACCTTGCCAAATGATAATCCAACCCCTTAAAATCCAGATCATCTTCTAATGAACCTTCCCAAAAATAGCTTGCACTCTTCCAAAATGCGGCTAGACTCTCATGCCTGCCTGTCGGTCGTTCAAGTCCTGGAATGCGTACTTATTGAGTAGGTTGTAAGGCTGTGGAGCACCATAAACTTGCTACCTTCGGCCGACCATATCATCAAGATACATTAGATCCTGCGTACATAGGTCCAGATCACCATATTCATCGTCAGTGTCGACATGAATATCAAACTCTTTTTTGTCGATGGACGCTTTCTGGTCAACTTCCATTCCTTCTGGCTTAGCCTCCTTTGCTTCGACTCTGGCTTTTTCAGTCGCCTCTACACCAGCCTCATCGTTCTCATCAACAGAGGCGATATCAGAACTAGACAAGACCTCCAAGGCACGACGAGTCCCAGAACTGATTGAAGACTGGCTCAGTGAAGATTGACGGCGTGCTGTTGGAGGCTGGTTGACCTCACGACCATCGCGGGGAATGTTAGGATGCCAGTTCTCTTTGTAATCATCAGTCTCGCGCTGTGTTTCGCCAGTGCGATCCGAAGCTCTGGGAGAGTGTGCGCGGGCTCCATTTTGATTATGTGGTGTAGCAGAACCGGCGCGTGGTGAGGTAGGCATGACTTTTAGGTCTTGCGCAGTTTCTTGAAGAGGCAGTATCTCGTTTGTGATGTTTGCTGTCTTTTTCGAATCTTGATCTGTTTGCTCAGTGTTGTCGAGAACCTCTAAGAGACTGGGGTCAAGATCGCTGAGAAGATGAGAAGTGTCATCCTCAAAGGATTCACAAAGTTTGTTTATCGTATTCACAAGTGGAAGGTCGGTCTCCTTTCTTTGTAATGGCGGTCGGTCGCCATGTACAATAGCATCATGTGCAACAGCATGGGAGCTGATGCCTGAATCAAGCACACGGTTGTGAATGTCTCCACATGATTGTCCATCAACAATCAAGTTATCATCAAACCAATCATCTCCAAACTCGGTGATAGTATCACTGTCCTCAGGCTCAGCAGCCACATGTTGTTCTTCGGCATTGTGAGGCAACACATCTTCAGTTTCCTCCACACCAGACTTCTCTGATTCTTTTTCAGATTCCTCGTCTTCTTCATCCCTATCCTCGCTATCTTCTTTAGTTTCCTTCTTCTTCCCAAAAAAATTCAGCATCAATGGCTGACTAGCAGAAATTTTGGTCGCATTCGGATTCGGTAACCCCAATCGCTTCCGCTCCTCACGTTCTTTGGCCTCCTTCTCAGCCTTCTTTTTTTTATTGGCCAATTTCCTTTTCTCTCTATCTCGGAGTTGCTGAGCTTTCCTGTCGCGCTCTTCTTCCCTTTCAATGCGCTGGATTTGGGATGCTGTAAACTGGAAACGCTTGTTGGATCTTTGATATCGTCGCCGAACGGTTTTGGATTTTTCTAGGATAAGACGTGGAGCTTCATGTGCTGGCATGCTTTTCTCTTTCTCTTGCTGCTGTTCCTTCGTCGTCCGGTCGTGTGGCGCCGATGTTGACGTCAGGCTCGAGATAGAAAGTCATGGATGGGGGTATATTGTGGGTGCTATAGGTTTATTGGGAGAATACAGAGAATTTGACAACAAATTATATACATTCGAGAAAAGACAACTGAAGTAGCTTCAATAATAGAGCAGCAGGACAATAAACAAACAAGCGGGTAACCTATTGACTACTGGCAGAAAGTAGGCGGTGAGAGTATGCGCATCACCCACTCAACATGATTAACATTGCTTATCTGCATCATTGTTAAGCATTGTTTAATATTACTACGCTCTTTAATGAATGGAGTGCAAGCTATCACATTATTATGTGAAGCTGGTGCCTTACACTATTAACTCACAAATAGGAGACTTCTCCATCTCATATTACAATGTCTTGCCTGAATGTCAGCCAGTAGGCGATTCTCCCCGTCTGACTAGACACTTGGCAAGGTAAGGAAATGACAATTTGAAGGATTTTCTTTCAGATTGATTGGATTATCTTTTTTGTTTGCCGACATGATTGTCCCGTGTCCCGAGTCCCTGGCCAACTCCACGGACTCCATTTTCGTATGAACCTGTCGGACTTGATACTTTGGCATAGCATGTATCTTCACACACCCCCTGGATTAAGGTCACACGGTTGTTTTAAGCATCGCATAACCATCCTCCTAGCCCCATTGGATAGGCAACATCATCATCCATGGCGTCACCGTCGGACCATTGAAAACCAAAGGCCCACTTTCGTACATTGATTCTCCGTAACATGACAGAAGAAAAAATGATTAAGAGAGAAGAAATAGTGCGTTGTAAATCTAAAAGAAAAAGGGAGGAAAAAAGAGACATGGAACGTTAAGAACACCCGGATTTGAAGATGAAATGCGAGAAATCAATTTTTATTCGTGACCAATCGACGAAAAAATTAATTTACTCATCGTCTTCCTCCTCCTCCTCCTCGTCCACGGTGGTCTTGGCGATACGGTCCAAATCACGTTGGCCGCTCTGGGTGATCCGTCGGCCACCCTTCTCCTCATCGATCTCAAGAACACCAATCTTCTCAAGCGCCTGGAGAACTCGGCGGTCAACCTGGCCGGAGGCGTCGACGTGGTGGGATGGGGCAGAGCCACGGTTCTTGGTTGAGCCGTGAACCTTGCGGAGACGGCCAACGCCGACAGTCTTGCGGAGGTAGATGTGACGGGCAACGGCGGCGGCGCGAACGTAGAACCTGGGCCATTTTTAATAATTTAGTCTTAACAATTACCGAGCGATTCGTCATACCAGTCAGCGTCCTGAGGGGGGAGTTCGTTGGAAGCAGAGGTCTTGACAGTATCGACCCATCCTAGAAGTCGGTTAGAACTATACACAATTGCGATTTAGTGCTCTAGCATACCAGGAATTTGAAGCTTTCCTTGACGCTTCAAGAAAGCGGAGTAAGCCCCAATGAACTTTTGGGCCTGTACACACTCTTATTAGCACATGTTCTCGCACACACATCTGCCCTGGTAATGCCTAGATCTTCCATGCCCGGTGTCCATGCTTCGAAAAATCCCTCTCTTTGTGCTCGTATTCCCTTGTTGAATTATTGTACGAATACAACAATTGACGTATACCCATCCATCACCAAAGTCGACATCAAAACAAGACCAAGATATTCCACAACACCCCTCCACATTATGTTCAGAATTCCGCGTACTTTCGGGACGGACGAAGCACAGAGAGAGGAAAGCAATCGGAGGCGCGGACATCCAAAGCCATTCTCGGCCTCGAGTCGGAAGATCAAGGTGAAGATCAAGGTAGAAGAAAAGGCACAGGAGAATTCCTTACATCGACGTCCCGGACTGTGACACCACCCATGATTGCGACTGTATGTCTGCGTTCTCTGTCGGAAGAGGGTGAAAAGGGGTGGCAGGGACGGTTTGTCGTTGTCGTCGTTGGTCGAAGAACCTCAAAAGTTTCGCTAAGGGACGCTGCTCTTCGAGATTTGTGGGATTACCTCAGCTAATTTTGTGCGGGCGGGTTTCGCTTGTCCTTTCAGGGTTAGCGTCTTGGCGCAATTGCTGCCTAGTTAGTTAGGCAGAGAAAATATCACGTGACTTAATGTCCATATATTAATTTGCAGCACGAACAGCACAGGAAATTTTGAAAATCATTATTGATAGTAGGATTCCAATCGCTGAATTGAGCAATCTGGAAGTCTCATAACAATAAACTACAAGTGATAATTATATATACAGGGTATCCGATAATGCATCCATGCGTATGATACCCAATAGGCAATAATGCCTCCTTCCAATTCTGCGCCTCGACCTTCAAGAAATTATACAAAAGTAGTCATATACACGCTTTGCGCATCATTCCAAAGTTGTGCTTCGCTTGAGCCCAACACAATACCGAACAAACAATGTGTCTATGAAATGCGCGTGTCGAATGCCGGGTGGTCTACACTTTTCGAATTCGTCCACAGCATCTTGCACACTGAAGCCTTTCCTCTCGATGAGGTAGCTGGTTATGAGGAATCCCGTTCGATTAAAGCCGTAATGGCAATGTACTCCGACCAGCGGACGTGTTGTAGCCTCGTCCACACGCTTCTTCATCGTTTCGGAGATTTCCTTCTCCAATTGGTCGACTAGACCAATAAAGTCCCGGGTTTCATCCGGCGTGGGTGGGATTTTGGACACTGTTGGGTGTTTATGGTAGTGGATCCCTCCATTTTCCAGCTCATTCGGATCATAGACTGGATTTTCATGGCTAATGTCAATTACGGCATGGATCTTGCCTTTCCATTGTGCAGAAAAACGAACTGGGTTGTGCTCCTCGTCCACTCCACGAAGCATCTTCATGGCAATGAAGGTGTCCGCTATGGGACTGGAGGTAGGAGCGACTTTCTGCCACTTGACCAGGTTCTTCACATCCCACTTCCCAGAGGTGTTAAGATGTTGAAGCTGCCACCCTAGACTCAGACGGTGGTCAATGTGCTTTTGGAGAAAGTCCTGGATCAAGCCGGCGAGTGTTCGGTAAGTGGCACGATCATATAGCAAAGCGTGAGAAGCTGGATCTGGCAGGATTCTAGTTTTGACAACTTTCCCCTGGCTAGACTTGGCGTCTTTAGATTCGCTTTTCAATGTGTCAACCCCATAAGCTTCCTCATGGGCGCGGGGGTCAACAAAAACGCCTTCCTTCGAATCTTGAACTCGAGCAGCGTCAGGAATGACCGCATTCTTCGAGTCTCCGTTTGTTATAGATGTTGTATTCGGGTCTTCGAGAAACTTCAAGATCTTCTCAACTTCTGCGGGCTTTGTTACTGTGTCAGCTTCTCCGGCTATTAGCAAAAGCGGTGCCTGGATGCCCGCCCAGACCGTCTGGCCTGGCATACCGCCAATCGGTCTCTCTCCTTCAAATGTGGGTAGGGTACCCCAGGCCATTCTTCTCCAGACTGCACTTCGACTTTGCGAATTAAACCGCACTTGTAACTGTTTGGTGTCGGGGTCGGCATCTTTACCGACAAAACGGGTGACACTTTTGCTATGAATCCCACCTCGACGGTCCCAAAGACGCCACAGGTCAAAAATTGGCGTAGGAATACAAAGCAGTTTGCGGAAGAGAGCAGCTTCTTTAGATGTTGGTGGTGAGGCTTTGGGGCAGATGGCAATTACGCCTTGAATTTGTGGTTGTAAGGCAGTAACCACAGGAGAAGTGGACGAGGCGAGTAGTGCCGACAGCGAGCAGCCCATGCTATGTGCAATCAGGATCACTCCCTGACCGGCATCCTTATCACGATGTTGCTCAATGGCAACTGCAAGTAATTCTGCCAAAGCTTCAATTGAATAAGCCTTCCATGATGTAGGTGAAAATTTCGAGAGGCCGCATCCAGGTAAATCAATTCCGAAGCAGGGTCCAACGTTCGACAAACTAGTTAGTAGGTGATGGAATTGTGCGAGAGAACCGCCTAGTCCATGGACGAACACAAGCATAGGCACTGGCGTAGGTTTGGACGGGAGTTTGCTCATATGGGGATGCGGGGAGAAGAAAGTCCTAATGGATGGATAGGTGGTGACGGATGTGGTGTAGGAAAGATAATCCGAGTGTTTTTTCAACAAGCCGGGGTCGACATATTCGTCTGAAAGAAATGAAAGTTAATTCCACGTCCAATGGCATCGGATAGACATACGTACCGCTTGGAGAGAAGCGGCGGTAGACAGTGGCAAACTCCTTTTCGTCTACCGCGACAGGCTTCCGCAATGAAGAACTCTCGTCAGTATCCTCTCCAGATGATACGAGTGTTGCGGCAGTATGTTTACGACGACGCTGTTCCCGTCCTTGTTGCGGATGGGGCTTTCGAGCCCAACGGGAGAACAATCCACAAGCAGCAGCCATTGTAGTCACGCACGCTGTCCACAACGCCAAACTCGATATATTTATGTGCACATTATGGTTATCAGGGTCGTATTCCCACGGATATGATAGCCACTGGTACCAGTCGCTCTGTCGGCTTGTGCATGAATATATATACGAGGTGATGGACGAAATCGAGGGAAAGGCTGACGAGGAGAGGGCGTGGTCTTCGGACATCATCTCGTTGGGCTGGAATCGGGAGTGACTTATAACGGCAGCACACAGCACCGCCAACGTCACCCAGGCCTGCTCTTTTCAGGAGGTCACTAATGCTGCTTAGGGCATTGGCCTCAGCGCTGGACCTTTGAGCTTTCCCCGGGATCCCAGCGCCTAGGAGCCGGGCCCGTGGAGGTGGTCTGGAATGCGACAGGCTGGTTAGTTTTCGGCTCGTCTCGCAGATGGCACCATGCCTCACTTGACAAGTCGAGCAGGGCAGCGCAACCAAGGAGGATCGACATGGGTGCAGAAATAGAAAGGCGGAGGGAGGGCGACGTACCGCAGAAAGCCACCGACACGCTAAGATGCCAGAATGAGCTCAGTATCACCGTCAAGTATCAACTATCAGATTAGTTGGATATCTGGCAAGCAACGGCAAGTGGCCAATGGCGAAGGGACGTCGATGGTGGTGCAGAGACCGTTGGTTGTCAGAGAAAGTTGCGGACGAATCCTTGGCGTGGCGGATTCGCCTATCCGAGAGACCGATCGGCCCGCAGCCGCTAGTTGGGCAACGGCTGTTAATTAATTATTAGTCTTTGGACGATCCTGGAACAATAAAAAAACATAATAATACTCTGACAGGACACAGCTCTGGAATACTCATAGCTGTATTGTGGCCATACACGAGGGCGATATCGATGATTTATGCCCGGATATACACGCGAGTGTTGCATGTTTGAGTTGCTCGCTGTGCGACCCCGTACATGTACTCCGTTCTTCAGATGCCGTGGACCGTCTACACTGTACACAGCAGAGACTATGACGTGGTCGGAAGCTGCTCCCTGACTGGCGAGATCACAGCAGATCCTGTGGATCGCAAGACCGCAACCCATGGTCGAGCGTCGCCAGGCAAGCATACTGGGCTACAATGCAATGACTGTCCTTGACTAGCCAATTTGACAATTTCGACAGTTTGATATCTGGGATAAGTGTAACTAACTATTCAGACCGGTGAGGCGGGGCTGCCAGGAATTCTAGAAGGATGGTCAGACGATGCCATCATCACTTAGCATCTAAGTTGCTATTTAGTACGTATTATTCTACGTATTATCGGAGACCGAAGAGATATCACATAATCACCGGTTTATTGATCACGGATACGGATAGGTACTCTCCCAGGATCCCCCTTCATAAATCGTGGATATCAATGTATCGATTTTTACTCTTCCTTGACCGACCAAGCAAAACGCGCAAAAATCCACGTGAATGACCGTATGCTTTTGTTTGTTTCATGTGGACGCCGCAACTCTTGGTTGCTGATTTGTAGATCACATTATTCGGAGACTAGCTGTTTCACCGCCTCTCAACAATTTTCTTTGGACAACGTCTGTAATTTTCTCTGATAAGAATAGAAATACTATCAACAAAGACACATCGCACTTCTCTAGTTCTGTAATTCGAAACCAGTCGGATAGACGCATTGTCATTTCACACCGTGCCGCCTGATCAATGCTAGAACAGGTCCGTCATCGCTCCGTGAGATGCATCGCCCACCAGCTTCGCATACTTTGCCAATACGCCCCGCGTAACCTGCGGTTTGGGCGGTTGCCAATTATTCAGTCGTTCCTGTATTTCAGCGTCTGAAACATCCATGGAAAGCTCGTTTGTCTCGGCATTGATGGTAACGACGTCGCCGTCTCGCACGACCGCGATTGGTCCGCCCACGGCAGCCTCGGGGACGATATGGCCAACAATGAATCCATGGCTGGCCCCTGAATATCGACCATCGGTAATAAGAGCAACATTGGTGAGCTTTGCGCCCATCAGTGCAGCACTGGATTTAAGCTGTTCCGGCATCCCTGGTCCGCCTTTAGGGCCTTCGTAGCGGACAATAAGAACGAGATTCTCATCGCGAGGAATTTTGCCCTGCGTCAGTGCGTCGTTGAGTTGATTCTCTTTGTTAAATACCCGAGCCTTGCCGGTGAATTTGAGGCCCTCCTTGCCCGTAATCTTGGCAACGGCGCCGCCAGGAGCTAGATTGCCTCGGAGGATCTGTAAATGACCTGTAGCTTTTATTGGATTGTCAAGTGGCCGAATGATAACCTGGTCTTGAGGCAGCGATGGGAAGGATTCCACATTCTGCGCAAGAGTCTTTCCAGTAACAGTGGGAATGTCTCCATCCAAAAGACCGGCTGCGATTAGGAGCTTCTGTACTGACGGGATACCGCCGATTTGGTACAGGTCGGCCATATAGTACTTTCCACTAGGAGCCAAGTCGGCAATAAACGGGATTTTGTTGCTCACTCTCTGAACGTCGTCGAGAGTGAGATCGACCTCTGCGGTACGAGCCATGGCGAGGAAGTGAAGAATGCCGTTGGTACTTCCACCCAATGCCATAGTCATGACTAGTGCGTTTTCGAATGATCGCTTGGTGAGAAGCTTGCATGGAGTGATATCTTGCTCAAGGCATACTTGAATGGCATCGGCGGCTTTGACGCACTCACGCATTTTGGAGGGCGATTCGGCTGGGGTTGACGAGGAACCCGGCAGACTTAATCCCATTGACTCGATAGCCGTAGCCATTGTGTTGGCCGTGAACATACCCCCGCAAGCACCAGCGCCAGGGCACGCGTGTCGCTCGAGGTCCTCGATAATCTCGTCTTTCGTTTTGCTAGTGTCCCCACCATCATTGGGCTGGCGAAGTGTGTTGTATGCGTAGGCGCCTGCAGCTTCAAAACATGTCGAGATGTTGATGGGCTTTCGTAGTAAACTAGAATATCCGACGGCAATTGTGCCTCCATAGATCATGATGGAAGGTCGGTTGTGTCGAGCCATGCCCATAACGACACCTGGCATGTTCTTATCACAGCCTGGAATGGCAATGCATGCATCATGATACTGAGCACATGTCACGGTCTCGACGCTATCTGCGATGAGTTCTCGGGTCTGTAAGGAGAATCTCATTCCTGTATATTATATTTTAGTATGTACTGTGAAGCACGTGTAGCAAATACTAAACCCACCTTCAGTTCCCATAGTAATTGCATCAGAAACACCTATTGTGTTATACTGCCAGGCAATAAGCCCCTTGTCTGCAACTGATTTCTTGACCGTCTTCGCCAAGTCTAGAAGATGCATGTTACATGGATTCCCCTCCCACCACACGGAAGCAACCCCGACTTGAGGGCTTTTCTTCATAGCATTCCTGTCGGGTACACCGGCGGCATATAACATTGCCTGCAAACCCGTTAGATAAAGTCATACATGAATAAAAAAAAAGGAATGGGTTGGTCTCACCTGCGCTCCAGGAGAGTCATGTCCCCTGGTGAGGACGGTTGAGTATCTATTCAATAGGGGCGTCCCATCCTCATGCTTTGAGCCCGAAGGGGCCGGTGTATAATCCAGGTATCTTGGTTCTTGAGTCATTGTTCAAATGTCGTCAGTCAACTTTTCCTTGCCCATTTAAACCGGTATTTCGGCTGCGCGGGGTAATATACAGCTGATTGCTCGCGTGTTAGCTGGATGGTGCCGGGCGAGTGATATCAGTGCGATAGAGTTGAATTGGCCATTTAGTGGCAAGATATAAAAAAGAATACAAATTGGTTAAATTAGAAATTGAACAAGCCTGGTCTTCTCTCCTGAGGTTGAGGTGGCCCACAGTCAGGTTGTTCTCGGCCAGAATGCCGGCAATGCGGGGTATCTAGATGAGGATGCACCAATGGCAGTTGGGCAATAACAAATGACTAGTTACTATCGTCGTATTAAATGTTATTTTTGAAGTATATACGCATGAGCACAGAGCTTTGTACCAATGCTGTAGTTGGTTAGCATTGTGCTCTATAAATGGATGGTTTCATTAGACTTACCTACTATGACTAGCATTTGTCCTGACTGCGAGTCTCAGTTGGTACATTTTTTTAGAAGTGGACCGCATAGTGATTAACTGTCCCCTGGAAACTGGTCTTTAGCTAGTAAAACAGGGTATAAAGCACTCCTTTCCATCAGGAAGTAGGTCAGGAAGTGGTAAGGGGCCTGAGGTAAGCACTTAGGAGGTCTGGCGTGAAGGTCAGAGGATCTGTTCCAGAGCAAGTCCTGCCTCACCAGATGCCTAGACAGGGAACTCCGAAGCCTGAGGCTTTCTAAACGTATGGGCCGGTAAATTGAAGGAAGAAAAGCATGTCACGTTATAGGACCTCTGCGGAAGCTATTTATCTAACATACCTTAGGGTACTAGTACTGGTTCAATTTCTGTACCTCATTTTATCGACTTTCTGTACGCAAAAAGTGGGCTGCTTTAAAATTATTATTATCCTATCTTTTAATCTATACTTATATAGTAGCATCCTCTAAAAAAATATTATTATTTAATTAAGCATATTACTGATCCTATTCAGAAGCTAGAAACTTTTAATATTAATTTAAACATATCTAGCGTATGTATTTTGTTCTCAGTTTACTGAACCCAATGATTAGGGTTACTGCATAGGACAAGCAGACCATATAAATATGTCTATAACTTAAATTATGATCCATATTTTAGACATTGTTCATTACTATGATTAGATTAAGCACTGACTCTTAACATTTTAATAGCTATATCATCTTTAAAAATCGTCTACTTAGAACTACTTAGATAGTGTAGCCCTCGGCATCCACTAGTGGCGCTGTACCCAAGGAATGAAACCAACAACAGCACATGGGCACAATTTTGTTTAAAAAAGAAACCAACGCCGAAATCAAAACAGTTAGGAAAGCATTGGAGATATTCTGTCATGAATTAGCAACTGAGTGAAGAGGGCCCTTGAGCAGAGTGAGATTACGGAGACTACTCCGGAGAAGAAGAAAAATAATGAGCAATTTTAAACAAGCCCGAAAGCGGCCGTTGCTCCCAGAGTAGCTCCGAAAAGTGGGAAAAGACCTCTGAAAAGGTTCAATTGGGACCATTTTCGGAGCAATCCCGAGAACTCGTGGTCCTCATGTTCATGACGCGCCCTTTCTTCAGCATTTGCTTCTCCCTTGACAAAACTATCTTCTCTCAAGGTATACGGATGGAGTTTGTTGTTGACTGGAACAATCAAAGCTCCAGTGATTGGTGCGATCATTACCACCAGCCCGGCGGCAGTAAGATACAGCACGCTCAAGCGACGACCATGCGTTCCATCACGAACAGCGTATGCAACGTAGGAGTAGAGCAAGCTCGATGCTAAAGCTATGGATGGGAAAACGACTTTTCCAAGATCGTAGGTTGCCTCCCACTGCTGTGCTACGTGAGACACGGCAGATCCGGGCTTCTCGCGATCGCGGCCTTTGGACTGGCGAGATGGCTGGGCAATAGCAGGGATAGTGAATACGGATATAGAAATGATACCGCCTTTTATTGAAGATGGAAAAACATCTGGTCAGTATGCAGCGTCAGCAAAAACATGGCTGTAACACGCACCTGAAGCTGCAGCTGCAGCTAGAGTAGCCGCGACCTGAGCGGCTTTTACGAGGGTTGAGTCCGACATGGCAGCGACAATATGAGACAAGTAGTTCTCTTGCGAGTAAGTATTCCTGTAGATTGTTTTTGAGATGAATCGAGAGATTGGTGGCAACGGGTGATGCTGTCTACCCGCGATGACGTATGGCAAGTCCTGTATAGACGCTAATCCTAATAGGGTTACGCAACTGATCACAGTATGGTTAGGGTTAAGGTTGGCCAGGTATTTATGTAATGTATGACTCAAGAAAAGTAGAGACCGTTAATCGGTTCCTAGAAGTAAGCTGTTAACTAAGTTGGCGATTGAAGTCTTCCTGTAGGAATATAAGGAGTATATACTAATGGGACGAAATGCTGAAATGCATACCAAACGATGACAAATAATGGGTCCGAGAGAGAGACACTCGTTTCACAGCAAAGTCTTTTTCAAGTTATAGAGTGTAAGAAATGACTTCTGGAAGATGTACTTGGGCTTCTATTGTCCCTTTAAAGAACATGAACGTGCCTATTGCTGCCTGGCCTCGTCTCAGTGCATTCGGCAATTGTAGTTCGGAGCTCTCTGTGTCGGCGTGATTTAAATTTGTTCTGTAAAGATGATGCTCACATTAAAATTCATATATCGGAATTTCATACGCCCAAGACCATGAGAGTGAGATAATAATGTTCAAAGCTTCAAAAATAATTACTTATTACATCATATTACAGCATTATACTGGGTTAAGAGGCTTTTGATTTCCCCGCGCCAATGACCAGCCTCCATTGCCACAACACGAGCTGTCTTTCCATCGTGTGTTTTTAATCCTCTTACAAAGCTCGAATGGTTTAACACCTTTTTCAACAGTGTAACATTGCCCATCTTTGCAGCGTAGTGGATTGGAGCCATTCCATCTTGACCAACCGCGTCTCCGATATCCTTGCGTCCTAGTAGTGTTACCGCACAGTCCACATTCTCATGGCGCAGAGCCTCAATGAGTGCAGTATTTCCATCTTGGTTCTTTTGTATCAATAAAAGATTCATATCGGTATACAGCTGTAGCAAGCTGCTCAATTGTTCGTTCTCCCCCTGAATACACAAGTGATGAAGTAAATTATTCCCGGAGGTATCAAACAAGTCGAGCCTTGCCCCGTGATCAATTAACATTTGCATACAACCAAGGTCATCCAAAAAGTCGAAGATGGGGGGCCTATCATCCTCATCTTGCGCATCGATATCAAGACTAGTTTGATTGCCATTTCCTTTGCAGAGTAGAGCTACTGTTTCGCGTCTACTTTCGCCTGTATCGGAAAGACCTGCATAATGAAGTGCAACCTGTTGGTTTTCCTGTCGGACATTGCGGTCTGCACCAGCTTCAATGAGAAGCTTGACACAATCGACCGAACATCGCTGCGCGGCCATCATCAGTGCAGATTCTCCCCAGATATTAGCCTGATCAATATTGAGATGCTTTGGGTGACGCTTATAAATTTCTAGCGAATACGCCAGGCTCTCCAATGCATTCGACTCGACAGCAGCATGGATTATATTCGCGTTCAGATTGGACTGAATAAAGGGATCCGCCCCGGTTTTGATGAGAATCTTCATTTTATCTGCCTGTCCTGTAGCACTAGCCCAATGTAACGGCGTCCAGTGGAACTTGCGGTCCTTTTGATCAACGAGGTTGTGAATCACCTTGCGCGCGTCTGCATTCTCGGCTGCTGTAGCTCGGAACTGCTCAATGATTGTCAAGTATAACGGTGACCGTTTTTGGTATTTGATTTTCCAATGTGCCCACTTTGTGCCTGCCGGTGCATTATTGGCGTTATCGACAAATTCAATTAATCGTTCTAAAGTCGGACGTTCCGTGTCGGTGGGTTCGTATAAGTCGAGAACGGCAATGTGGATTGGGGTGAATTCATAGTCGTCGATATAATCATCGTCCTTGGAGAAGACTTGCACGATGTCTTTTTCCAATTTGGTAGCGTCTGCACCGCGAGATTTGAGAAATGCCAGATCGACAGGTTTTCTAAGACCGAGTTAGTAATATTTATCGAGGGTGAGGGGCGATGACAGACCTTGTGCCAAGGTCAGATGTTTCTGTGTCGGCACCAAGTTGAACAAGATATTCGACTGTAGCTAACTGTCTTGCGTATGCAGCAGTCTGTGTTTCATTAGAATATAGACCAACTTATGCTTTTCAGTACTATGAGAATAAAATGACGACTCACATGCAAAAGGGACCAGCCATCTGGCGCTGTATCCCACGGAGTCGCTTCCCCTGACTCAATAGCTAATTTAAGTTTTTCCAGATTCCCATGTTTCACGTATCGCATAGCGTTCGAGCCTTCTGGGACCATCCGATATGTATTTAAATTATATCGAATCTTGATAGAGTTTGCTGATACTAGGTGTGACATGGCCTTTTTAAACATCGACACGGGGATGGCTCCTTTTTGAGACGACGTTGTTGCTGCTGCACAATCAGGTTCAGTGCATTCAACTTTTGATTTATTGTTCTGTCGGTATATTCGAGTCTTGGACTTTGATGAGGTGTCTGTAAACTGTGTATGGCACTTGCAATAACAATCATATCGGCACGCCCGACGAATAATCAATGACTGTTCTTTGACATCAGAATCTAGTATTGCCAACTCGCTCTCAGAAAGTGAGCCTTTTGACTTGCTATTCCTCCGATGACTACTAGCAGACGACATTGAGGTGGCTATTGATCCTTTTCCAGAGGATATAGAGCTTGTCGCCGAAAGGGTTGTACCTCCAAGGGACATTGATGCGCTGTACGATGAGTTCGCCGATGGGTATTTCGAAAGCGCGGGTAGAGGTGATGTATCATTAAGGGGTTCTGTTATCATTTCGTCGACCATTGTCGAACATGCTTCAAGAAGTTGTGGATGTTGATTGCACACCGCAAGGAACGTTTCCCTGTTCAACTTCTCAGCACTCAGAGTAGTCTAGAAGGAAGGAATACCAACATATGTGCCAACGATACAAAACTGTGCAATTGCGCACAGTGACTTTTTATGCGTTCATCTAGATTTTCGAATCCGGACTTATGCTGTACCCATTTCATTCGCCGTAATGCCGAATTTTCGGTTTTGTATACCTGTGTCAACCGCTTCTCCAAGTCTCTCACAGTCGTGAACCCTTCACTGATCGCATTTCGAAGAATCTCTTCTGAGATGTTGTGTTTAGCTTGACGGCTGCGTAGTACTCGATCGAAGCCCTTGAGGGCTTCTTCAAAAAGAGTGACGCTATTAGCGAGTTGCGAAAGATCTTTTTCGGCATCTTTCAATGTCTTTAGAAAATCTAGGACTCCTTTGCTGGCTTTGAGGAGGCTGGATATTGATGCTAATAAGCCGATTGCTGAGATTGGGTCCATTATCCGAATGCATTACTAGTATCTTCATTTATCTCGCATTTCTTCGTCTTTGACACGATCGTTGTTGGCGACAAAAGTTCATTTAAAGGTGGGTAATGTTAATATTGCCTGGCTTGGTACAAATAGTGAAGCAGTCGACTCTCCATATCTTGGACTTCAAGTTGCTTGATAGTCAAGTTAGTGCTTAGAAGAGACACCACAAGAGCCTGCCCGGGTCACACCCTATCAATCTTTAATTACCCGGTGGTTTCCGTGACGAGCGAGAACCGGAGCACGACATCCAAGCTCTCTGTCAGTTCATCCGACCCCAACAGACAGGCGACGCTAACAGGGCTATTGATGCATACATCCTAACAGCGGCGGAGCTAACTCCAGACCATCCCCCAGAAACCCCCTAGTGTGACACCGGTGATGGGCCACGTCAGCGCAGCCTAGCGTGCACTGTCGAGAGCAAGACCAGCCATGCGCAGCCAGCTACCAAAGGCCTGTGCGCGGAGATAACAGAGTCATGTTCATGCCAGCCTCGTTTAGAACCCATGGTGGGGACGAAGAGCCTCATTTTGTTGTAAAAGTGATACTACAATTTACTAGCTGTAATATTCAGCCCCTCCCGTCGTCTGTCTTCATCTTTGATAAAGATTCCATCACCCCTGGATTTTTGTTTAATCAAAGTTCATGTAATCTCAATAATAAATTTCCAAATAGAAAAAATGGTTTCGCCAAATGGTCATCCCTTGCTAGACTCGAATTCCCCAGCTCTTCACTTGACCCATCCTACGGATGCAGAAAATCTCTCAATATGGAATTTGACAGCCAGTTCCTGGAAAGATGCTTTACCTGAAAGTGTTTACCTTAAAGAGTCATCATATCTCATGACAGTTCCGTTAGCAAAAGATGGAGGAATGACCCAATGGATATTGGTAGATAAGAATCTCCCTCCCAATCAACGAGCCCTACTGGCATCTTGCGAAACATTTCGTAAACGCTCGTGGATAATCACAGATGAAGAAGGGGTCAGTAATTTGACAGAGATGGTCACACACGGTGTCGCTAGTGTATACTGCGACTCAAAATATAGAGGCCGAGGCTATGCTTCGCGACTCATGAAGGAGTTAGCAAATGTTTTACCAAATTGGCAGACTGAGACCATGAACTGCGTGGCTAGCGTGCTATTTTCCGACATTGGAAAGGAATTCTATACAAAGCTTGGGTGGCGGGCTTTTCCTAGCTATCATATCGAGTTCGCTCCATCAGCGGATATATCACGAACAGCAAAGCCGATATTGGCCGGAGACCTCGAGCAACTTTGCAAGGAGGACGAGGAGTTATCTCGAAAAGCCTTGATAAACGCTAAACCATGGTCTCTAAGTGATAGAAGAACGAAGTTTATGATTGTTCCTGACCATGATCACATGCTTTGGCATCATAGCAAAGAAGAATTCGCGGCACAGACGCTGTTCCAGAATACACCCAAGATTAAAGGAGCTATCACAGGAGAGCCTGGGAATCGAATCTGGGCTATTTGGACACATCGTTTTTATGAACCTCCAGAAAGATCGTCCAACAACGTCCTCTACATCTTACGGTTGGTGGTTGAGGACCAATCTGATATAGGAAATCCGTTGCAGATAGAACAGCTAAAATCAATCATTTCAGCTGCACGAGCGGAGGCAGCAGACTGGAATCTCCACCACGTAAAGATATGGGATCCTTCTCCTCAAATAAAAGGATTGATCAAGCATATAGGAGTTCCATATCATGAAGAACATCGCCAAGAGGAGGGAATTTGTAGTTTGCTGTGGTATGGACCAGGAGATGGCACAGAAGACTCTATAGAATGGGTCTCGAACGAGAAATATGGATGGTGTTAGAATTTCTTACTCCTATGAAGCGGATTTAGTCTGGAATATAGTATGTTCATCTATAAAAGTTTAGTCCCAAACCAACCGAAACAATTGGAACGCTTAATCTACGTACTAGCGACTCACCCTATAGCCATGCAGCCATTTCTACCAGCCTTAAAGTATTCAATGTTGAACTATTCCACAGAAGGTCTAAAGATGAGAGATTTCTCCTCGTAAATGATTGGTTTACCATCAGCTCCAAGTCCCTCCAGAACCATAGATATATCCTTTTCGGCACGAAAGCCGAGTTTTTGGTACAATGGCCACGCAACTTGGGTACTCTCCAGAGCGACTGGGATATTGTCACGCTTGCTGTATTCGAGACCCCATTGTATTAGAATAGAGGCTGCACCACGTCGTTCGTGTTTAGGATCTGTGCCAATAAAACTTAGGCCTAGAGAGTAAGCACCACCACTCACATTTGTTTACATGTATTCGGAACTCACAGTAGCAGGGCTTCCCACACAGCACTTTTTCACTCGCGTCTTCGACTATCCTAGTCCAGTCTTCCAAAACATCTAGTCTTGTCCCATCTGGCCAATTCCAGGGTGACTCGACATATACCTCTGACTCAAGAATTGGACGCCTCCATTTCGCAAAACTGACTATCTCCTTTTCGTCTCGTACAATGAGGATCTCCCATTTTGGATCCCTGATCTCATTGATCACCTTTTCTGCAAGGGACACTCTCAACTTGTCACGGACAGAAGGGGTTGGGAACTGGGCTCGAAGCATTAAGTTGGTGCCAAATGCAGCCATGTGGATATCGGCGATGCGATCAGCGTCCGCTTCCTCGGCGAGAGAAAGAGCGAGTGTCATACTTGCTCTCCAGAATACGAGAATAGATTCCTGTATAGATAGTAACCTGATAGGGTGCTATTTTAGAGAAATATTTCTGTTTTTCCGGCTCTATACTTATTGTCGTGAAGATACTTTTATATTTTTTTTTCTTACGGCGGACTGTTACGTGTCGTACCCCTCCAGTTTGTGTGCAGCCTGATACTTTCGCATCTTCCCCACCCGACAGCCTCACCGTGTAAAATATCGTATTATACGGAAAATAATACTGCCATCGAACTAAGTTAAACTGAAGATATATTGTTCAAAACTATATATGTAATGAACGTCAAAGACATTATAATATTTTGTTAGAAAAAAGAAATATTGAATACACAATATTTACCACATCAGGTTCGCGGGCGTATCAAGTACTAAATTGGCTAGGATTTCGACTAGAAAATACTAAAATTTGATGATTTTGGGGAGACATCTCATTTAGGTAGACTGTTTAGAAAATAGATATAGCATAGAATTGATTTTTTCAAAATATGATATGAAAAGCTCAATGTCGGTCAATTCAGCTAACTCATCATACGAGTGGCACTTTCTTGGAAATCCGAATAGTCCATAGTCTGCTTAAAGATCAATTTAAGTCGAAAGGCATATTATTACCAAATATGCTTGGAGTAGTTGTCTTTCTAAATATACCGATCACCAGGGATATTCCTATCAAGAGTTAGTTAGAATTTTCTGAACAGTTAATTCTGTATAATTTCATCTTACCCTGTTTTCCCACGTCCAGAATGTTCCGGTTTGGTCAATCGTCTTGCTCTGGATAACTTTAACCATATCCTGAACAGACTCTTCGGCTGTTATCTGGCCGCCATCCAGTTCCCAAGAAATCTCGATATTTCCCATGTCGCTATTTTCATGCTGCTTAGCTTCATAGTGTTGAAACAACCCTAATCAACGGATGGCAAAAAAACTCACGTGGCCACTTCTCCAGGGTGCAAAGCTAGAATGATGGTTTCACTCTTTTTCCTCTTTAATTCTTCCGCCATGTGCTGCGTAATTCATTAAGCATACGCCCCTTTCAGACCCATACAGGAAGGGTGCCGACATACGCGCAATGCTTGATTCAATGCTGCCTTTGATGCTGCGTACGCAGCAAATCTAACACCATGTGTTTAGCATCGTATTTCACTTGTACTTGATTTGGTAGTAAATAACGATTGGTTGAATTACCCATCTTCAAAGTCAAGAAAGTTTCCTGTAGAGCCGGAGTCGCTGGACATGAAAGCTATCGTTCCAATGGAAACGTCGCTTAACTTCAGCAACTTCTGCGCTATAATGATGGGGCCCACAGTATTCGTGTGTAGATGGTTGGTAAAGTTATCAAATGTCCTAGAAAACTCAGAACTGTATTATGTATTCTGTAGGGGAAATATACATGTCGAGTGATCTCTACATCAGGGTTAGCTATACAAGCAGTCATTGGAAGCAGATGGGATAAAGCATAACAGTGTGGTCATCCTCACATTGGGGTAATCCAAAATACCAGCATTGATAACTGCATAATCGATTTTCTTCTCCCTCGACTCAATTAATTGGCCAATGAATCGCTGAATTGAGAAATCAGCAAGACTCTGATAATCGATACAGGAGCATAAAAGGACACACATTGATGCTTTCATTACTTGACACATCACAGGTCAAGATTTTCACCCGATCAGGGGCATCACGGTATATGGCATCCAAACCAGTACTCGAACTGCGTGCTGTCGCGATGACGCGGTGGCCATCTGCAATATTCTGGCGGACGAACTCGAGGCCGATGCCGCGTGAGGCTCCGACAATCAACCACGTTTTGGGTGTCTCCATCATAATCGATAGATATTCCACAAATTAAGGGCTAGTCTTTGATCTGAATACTTATCAGGTAAAAACTACTTGGTAGAGAACAACATGGGGAGCTTGGAGATTATACGAAATGATGGAAAGTGGAGAACTATTTAAGTCTTAGCGTTGTTCCACACGTCGGGGTTGTACCTGCCGTTTGGAGTAATTTCGGATGAAAATTTGCAATTGTAATTTACATCCGTCAGGACGAACACGGAAGATTCGCTCTAGATTCGATCTTCACAAACGCTAACACGTTTTATTTGAATGGAGACACTGATCTTCCTCATCAGCAAGGCATTCAAGTGAGGCGTCATAAGCACTGGCACTAATCAGATAATGCTTCAACATGACACTGAACGAAACCCCCACATGAGGCTCTTAATGCCAACCCAGACCGGGGTATTTTGGTATGTAGCTATTCAGAGGCCTATAACGCACAAATTATTAATTTGGGGGTATTCACATGTAGTGGTGCCAAGCCTCTTGGCTAATGCAAGGCTACCTAAATCAATCACCTACGCAATATCTTTCGTTTGGCCCTTCGTGCTAAGAGGTTTTTTAAAAAGCAACTATACTATGCACAATAATGCCCAATGAACGACTTAGCTCATCGGTTACGAGTCATACGCCAAACCGGCAAGTCTTTGTGTAGGTGGCTCTATATCTGGTTGGCTGCTTGATCCCGCCTCGTTCGTTACATTATCTTTCTGAGACGGTAAATATTACAGAGCCTGAAGACTTTGTATAGAATAACTAGTGTGATACCAGATTTGATTATATTGTTTGTGATGAGGATAGCCACCAATTGCTATCAAGATGAGGCTCTTTCAAGTTCTGTATTACGACGCTACGAGTCTCTATTCTTCAATGTTGACTGCTTTTTTATTAATATCGCTCCAGCCCTGTCTGAATATATTCTTCTTTACACGCTGTGAGAGTCTCTAACCTTCAATATTTGCCATACCGTCAATTTTGATATACCTATATGCTCACTTGCTTGACCTATCAAAAGATCTGATGAAAATGTACTTCACCAAAGCTACTTTTCTGGTCCTGTTTCCTTTCATTTGCCATGTAGCAGGGTCATTCCATGATAACCCTCAAGTCGTTCTTCCTGACCAAGAAACAATATCTATAGCCGAACTTGAGAAGAAATGGGGTGTTGATGTGAGCTTCTTCCATTATTGTTTACTACTATATGATAACAGAGTGGATATAGTGGGCATACTCCGGCATTTCTACGTTCGCCCATTTGAAGCATGTTAGATGCTTGATCGACCCCCAGACAAAATTTGACATTGCTGTGCTTGGAGTCCCCTTCGACACTGCTGTTAGCTATCGGCCTGGTAAGTGACTATCATATTCATGTACAGCTTTGACTAACCCTTCGTAGGAGCTCGGTTTGGTCCACGCGCAATTCGTGCTGCATCTGCGCGCCAGACTCAATTCCGAGGCTTCAACCATAGGGCCGGTATCAACCCTTATACGTCGTGGGCCTCAATCCTTGACTGCGGGGACATTCCCGTAACGCCATTTGACAATGCTCTTGCAGTCCATCAGATGACAATCGCTTATGCAGAGCTACTTGCTCGAAAACCGGCCAGCTACGAAGATCCGTCATCCCATACTTACCCAAAACTGGTGTCAATTGGTGGTGATCATAGTATTGCTCTTCCAGCTCTTCGTGCACTCCAGAAGGTCTACGGTGAACCAATTACTGTACTGCACTTTGACGCCCATCTCGACACTTGGCACCCGGGGAAGTTCCCATCTGCGTGGGCCAACACCCCTACACAAGCAGATTTTAACCATGGAAGTATGTTCTGGTTAGCTACCCAAGAAGGATTGATATCAAATACTTCCTCCGTTCATGCGGGGCTACGTACTCGCTTGGCCGGGAGTGATTACACAGATTACAGTGACGATGAAAACCAAGGATTTTTACGTATTGAATCAGATGATATTGACTCTTTGGGAGTAGCGGGGATAATCCAAATCATAATGGAGCGTATTGGAAAAGAAAATCCAGTTTATTTGAGCGTTGATATCGACGTCCTAGATCCGGGCCTTGCTCCTGGTACTGGAACACCAGAAGCCGGAGGTTGGACAACCCGAGAACTAATTCAAATTCTGAGAGGTATCGAAGATTTGAACATCGTTGGAGCTGATCTAGTAGAGGTAGCCCCAGCGTATGATGGGTTTGGTGAATCTACGGCATTATCTGGAGCACAGATTATTTATGAGATTGTGACAAGTATTGTGAAGAAAGGATTGAAAGACAAAGGAGAGTACACTGAGCTTTGGAAGCCTAAGGGGAAATATTTTTCCCAGAGTGCTCCTGATACAACAGATAAAAAGGAGTATCTGAAAAAGACGGAGTTGTAACAGCCTTCTCAAACTCCAATGGGCAGGTGCTGGAGGATTCTTGCAAACTATCAGTTGATGTACCATGTACCTGCTTTACACATGTTACAAATACGTATTTAAGTAATTTAGGGAAGACAGGTTCTATCGTTTTCTAACAATTGACTTTTACTATATAGGGACCAAAAAGAACAGAAACGGTGTATGCAAACAGAATGACCAATAAATACCACCTGACCTATGATCCAACAGAGCTCGTAATTAGTAAATTCTTTGATGGAACCTCATGGAAATGGAATGACGAATATCTTCATATCATGCAAGCTGATTTGGGAACCCGGCCAAAGGGATCACATCATACACAGCCTTCTCTAGTTGTCTTCGAGCTGAGACATGTGCCTAATGGTTCTGGGGTCAAATACAGAACCCTATAAGCGCATTAGCTGAAGAATTCATGTCCAAATAGAGAAGATATAACATTATGTACGCATGACACGATTGGAAGGCTGGTTATACGAAGGATTCTCCAATATAAAAAGAAACCGATCATACTTCTTTTGGTGATTTTGCATTGATAGCTTTATTCATAATTAATATCTGAAGAAACACGTAACCTCCCTGCATAAAGCAATTTATGCCTAAGCTTCAGTATGGGTGAAGAGCAAGAATGTCCCGGCTTTCATCGTAATTGGGCCATGAAACCTCAGGTCATTTCTCTTTATTTCCGGTTTGCCGATTACAATTACAATACAGAACCCAGACTGCTACCCTATTAATGACGCTATCCAGGCGTTTCTGCCATTTTATGATATTAATAGATACGAGGCGTCTGTTCTGACTATATTGGCTGGACAATATTGTTAGGTCACCGGACTTTGCTCGTCACCCTAGGCTAGGAATATTCGCCACGCCTCCTCACAGCTGAAACCTTTATTCGAATCACTTGAGCCTCAATCCTTACCTCAATCGGAACACTATTAGCTGTTCTTGGAAAGGGGGACCAAAGAGAAACCCAGAGCTTTTCAGCCGAACCTAGAGAAACTTGAAGCCTTTCCGGGAACGGTATGATGATCTGCTGTAATATTTTAGTAGCGAATAAGAACCTTTTTGCTTGAAATAGAATGAATAAAAGTACAAAGCTCGGTGACGAACCTCGCATAACGCATTTATATGAATGCCAACTATATAACTCGCGCAGTGTTTCCAGAAGAAACAAAATCAAAGAAAAATCCAACAGCTGTATCTTTCATATCCATTCTTTAACACCTTACTCAAAGAACCGTTCAATCTAATATCTCACCATGTGGGTCTTTTACACCTGTAGTTTTATAACAGGTCTGCTAGTCACCTACCATGTACTCATTCGGCCACTGCTATACCGACCACTCAAGGGGGTACCAGGTCCTCTGCTAAATAAGATCTCTAGCGTACCCTTGGCAGTTGGCGACATTTTCTTACGACGTAATGAGAAGATATTTAAATGGCATCAGAAATATGGTTCAATAGTATGTATTTCCCCAAACGAAGTATCGGTGGCCTCGATCGACGCGACAAGGAAAATTTATAGCACCAACAGCAGATACGACAAAAGCAATTATTTTGATAATTTCAAAGGATATGGAGCAAATCACTCCATATTCGCAACTAAATTGTTTGAAGAACACAAAAAGAAGAGAAAGCTTACTTTTTCATTCTATCAAGCCTCTACATTATACACCAAAACTTTTATCGAAGAGGGAATCCGGTTGAATGTTCGCTCCGTGTTGGAACATATAAGTATACTGAGCCAGAATACCTCGACTATTGATGTGTACTCATTCACCGACTGGTATGCTTTTGACAATATTACGCGTATTGTATTGGGACCAGTTCACTGCTCTCATTCTATCAAGGGTGACTCCGAGGAGCGACGTATCCTCAGGAACCTGAAGCACTGCCAGCTATGGGGCCCTTTCCGTGTACGATTTCCTTGGGCCTTCCAGGTCATGACTTTTCTCTGTAAATACGCAAACATTGGAGGTCACTTGAAAGCTGAGCTAGAATTGGCAAAATGGTGTCGTGACCGTGCTTTGAAAGCGCTTCGCGATATAAAAGTCGATCAAGCGAACTCTTATAGTTTAATTCATAATCTGCTCTCCCGGAAAGGTCGACATAAGCAGGGCTTAGATAACTTCTCGCTTGCTCCAGACTTTATCGAAGCCGAGGTTTTGGATAACATAAACGCAGCAGAGGCTACAGTGTCTGTCACGGCAACATATGCTATATATTACCTGAGCAGAGAGATAAAATGGCAGACAAGAATACGCAATGAGCTACTGCAACTTCCCCGAGAGTTAGATGGCTTGCCTACGTTTGCGAATATCAACAAAGCTCCAGTTCTGGATGCCTGTCTGATGGAGGTTTATCGCTTAAAACCTGCAGTCAGTGGGCGCGCTGAACGCGTGATACCTGATGGTGGAAGATTGATTTCAGGTGTTTATTTGCCGGAAAAGGTATTTTTGTAGACCCTAGTCACGGTATTCTGAGTGTTCAATAAATAACCCTTCTAACACCAAGATCAGACAATTGTGTCCACGTCAGTCACTGCCATCCACCACAACAAGAATTCCTTTACAATCCTGGAAGAATTTGCGCCACAACAGTGGCTAGATGTGACCTCACATCATCGTAGTACTATGGAGACTCATCTTATACCGTTTGGGTATGGTGCACGACTTTGTCTGGGCAAACCACTTGCAACAATGGAGATCAAGTTGCTTTTAGCAGGTATATATTTGCATTATGAGACAAGGCTTTCAAAATTGACCACGGAAGAGTCCATGAAACAGACAAGTACTCATGATGCAGTTCCGAGGGGATTAAATTGTGAAATACAATTCTGCGGGTTGAGTAGCTGCAATGTTTAGGCTCTGGAATTTCATAACCCTCTTCATATTTTATTGTGTTTGTAATTTCAGTTAGAATCAATAGTTCTGTATTTTTTTGACAGACTTTTGTGTTAGATCGCTCTCATAGTTTTGGTAACCTGATCGTTAGGGTTAGGGTTAAGTGCCATTGTTTTTCCTTCGGCTGCGTCCTTTGATTCCAGCTCAATTTAAGTTGTCAACATTAATGTCCTTCCTTCTAGTGCCTAGTCTGAGGCGGACCACATCTAATAATTAAGAGATTTCAAGCTTTTCTCCCCGCTGGAAACTCCAGACTAGCCCTGCTAGCGCTCCGTAGGGTATCATCTTGCTAAGCCCACCTAGGAAGGAACAGCAAAGATGTCCGATAACATTCAGGGGTATTCAAATCACCTCATTCTCTGATTGGATGACATCTGCCAAGCTATCGATGCAAGCAGTTTGGTCGGCGTAGCAATACTTGCAAGCCTCAATTTACTCGAGATTGAAACTTCTACCGGATTGGTCGGACTGACTCCGTACCTTGTTTCTTTACCTTAAGTCGGATTGTCAAGCTAAAGGCTGAGAAAGTATAAAACGACCAACCTATCCTTAGTCTGTCAGATTTCTCACATTCATTTGCCTAGCTTGTCGAAGCGGCGTCTAAGCCGCCAGCACATATTCCAGTCTCAGCCAGTATTTAAAAACCATAATACATTCGTTGGCTCCTCTCTTTTTATTGCAATTAAATTAGTTTTGTTCAACGGTATATTGTATATTAATCATGCTGTGGAAACAATTTCTCGTGCATTCCTCTTTCTTTACGGGTATTGCAGTATCAGCCTCATTGAGCCATGTGCTCCATGAGAAGCGAGAAATCCCTCTGCCACACGAGGGACGGCGCGTCCATGGCGATTCTATCATCCCCGTACGCATTGGTCTCAAGCAGACGAATCTCCATACTGGCTATGAACGACTGATGGATATCTCGCATCCCTCTTCCCCTAACTACGGCAAACATCTGTCCAAGGAGGAAGTGCATTCGATCTTCTCCCCTGCCGAGGAGACACTGGAGACCGTGAAGAGCTGGCTGCTCAGCTCTGGCACTGTAAGCGAAAGCGACATTATCGAATATGAGAATAAGGGCTGGATCGCTATCGACATGCCCGCTAAACACGCCGAAAGCTTGTTAGGGACCACTTTCTACGAACTGGAGGGCTCCAACGGCGATGTTCGCATTGGATGTGACGAATATTATCTTCCAGTTCACGTTTCAGACCACGTTGACTATATAAAGCCTGGCGTGAAGCTTTCGCCTCCACTAAAGAAAAAGAAGAGGTCATTTGGGAAACGTGCAAGCAGAGCCGGCAAAGCTTCTCAAGGCGGTCATACTCTACCGCATGTTCAACCACCAAATGACCCGAGCTGGGCACTTCCACCCGCAGCTAAAGGCTTGCCCCCGGCTCTTCAGAACTGCGGCGTCAATATTACTCCAACCTGTATCAAGGCCTTGTACGGATTACCAGATGCAACCCACAAGCAACCAGAAAATGCCATGGGTCTTTTTGAAACATCGGATACTTTCTCCCAAGAGGATATATCTCTTTTCTTCCAACACTTTGCAACCAATGTCCCCGCCGACACGAAGCCTAAAGTCATCTCCGTTGATGGTGGTAGCGCCCCTGTTGCTCCCTCTAGTTCACTCAATGGTGGAGAATCCGATATCGATCTGGACCTCGCCATTTCCCTCATCTATCCGCAGTCCGTGACAGTCTACCAAGTTGACGACTTGCCGAATTCTTCTGGCGAAACCAACACCACTGGTTTTCTCAACACATTCCTTGATAGTGTCGATGGCAGTTACTGTAGCTACTCAGCCTATGGCATTACAGGAGACAGCCCTGGCATTGACGCATCGTATCCTGATTCCTTGCCGGGCGGATACAAAGGAAAACTGGAATGCGGCACATACGAACTCACCCGTGTCGTCTCGATATCCTACGGAGAGGCAGAAGTGTATCTCCCTAAGCCATATGTTGAGCGTCAATGCAATGAAATCCTCAAACTCGGTCTTCAAGGTCACACGATCCTCGTTGCCAGTGGCGATTACGGTGTAGCCAGCTTCCCGGGAAGCAATGGCGACGAAGAAGGTTGTCTGAGCACAAATACCATGAACGGTACCATCTACAACCCCGACTACCCTGCCGGCTGCCCTTATATAACTGCAGTTGGTGCGACGAGGCTATACCCGAATGACACCGTCCATGATCCCGAATCTGCCATGCAGGTTAACCTGACTGCCTTCAACATCGCCACTGGCGCCGGCCCAACGAGCGAGCCCTACGACTTCTTCGCTACTGGCGGTGGTTTCTCGAACTACTTTAAACCCGCCTTTTTCCAGGCCGAAGCAGTTGCTTCCTACTTGGAAAAGGACCTGCCATTCCAAAAGCTTCCTTACTATGAGGCCAACGCCGACGGTACCAATATCGGCGAGAATGGCGGCGTCTACAATCGCATTGGTCGTGGTTATCCAGACGTCTCGGCGAATGGAGCTTTCTTGCTCACCTACGTGAATCAAACGCAAGGCACCTTCTTCGGTACTTCATTGGCCTCGCCTATTTTTGGAGCTGTTGTCACGCTTCTTAACGAGGAGCGCACTGCTATTGGCAAGGGACCTATCGGATTTATCAACCCTGCGTTGTATGCCAGTACGTTACTTGCACTTCACTTCACGATCGACTACCCTGATAAGCGTCCGCTAATTGTTATAATTTAGACCCATCTGTTCTCAACGATATCACGAATGGTTCGAGTAAGTTCCCATCTGTCTACATGATAAATTTTGGTATACCCAGTCGCTGCGATGACGCTAATTATTTCGTTATAGATCCCAACTGCGGGTCCGAAGGCTTCCAGGCGTCCCAGGGATGGGACCCTGTTACCGGACTTGGAACTCCAAACTACTCTCGTATGCGGGAGTATTTCTTGAGCTTGCCATAGATATAGGAGGAATCGGATAGTGCTTAGATTTATCAGTTTTTCAAGAAAAATCTAATCTCTGACAAAAGTATTTCTGTGCTTTGATTCGATGTCAACCTCAGCTATATTGTTCTAATTGTATGAAGCTATACATTAACTGAAAATATGCATATTTTGTACGTACCGAAGACGCATCAATCTAATGCTGATCATTAAGAATTGAGATACATGTCCATTAGAAATACAACCAGTATTAGGGCATGTTATAGTTTGGTAGTACCTCTGCTTGGTGAACTCGAATTTGTCCATTCGCCTATGACGTAAACGGCTATAGTATAGAAACCACAACAATGCTATACTGCCTATGTAAGATAAAGAAGAAGGTTTTCCGAGCTTGGTTCATCTCCAAAGTCAGCTGATAGGCATGATTGAACTATGTTCTAAAGAAGTTCTCTGAGTAGCGCGTTTTACGTTTGTTTGTTCAATTACAAAATCCCCAACGAGCCAAATTCAGTCAAGACTTCGCGGTCGACATTCACCAACCACTCGTTTTGAAACTGCTGTGCGCCGCCACATGCGTTGATTACAGCTTGCAGCCGCTCCTTGATGAAGTCTCGGATGTTGATGCGGTGGACTACGTCGGAGGACTCCCATTCGCGGCGACGCTTGCTCTCGGGTGGCTCGTTTTCCATGCTGGCAGCGCTCGTCTCGGCCTTATTCCAGTAGATAAGGTAGTCCTTGGCGGCGTGTGGGTCGTCGGTTGCTTCAGTGCCTTCGGAGAGTTCGGTGACGACATCGGTCCAGATGGTGAGGTAGGATTGGAGATGGTTGAGAAGGTAGGTTGGGGGAGGGGCGTTCTTTATTGTGCTGATCGCGAGCAGCTGGGTGAGGGCGAGAGCGTGCAGTTTTTTCTGCGTTACCAAGCCGATGTTGTCCCAATGAAAGAACCACTCTGTTAGAAGCCAGGATAGAACCTGCTCTTCGGAAGTCCCGGTTGCTGTCGAAATGGCGGAAAAGAATACTTGTGGGTTTCCCAGCGCTAGTCTTGCTACAACACTGAAGTAGTCTGTTTCAAGAACACCATATATATCAGATGTTATTCGGTTCGGTCCAGTCGTTTGGCTGGATTGGTGGGCGGAGTGAAGACCCTCTAGAATGGTATGTAGAAAAGAGCTGTCTAGAAGTGATCTAGCGATGACATTGTACGAATTTGTGCTTCCTCCATCAATGGTCTCGGCTGACCGGATGAGCATTTCTACCAAATGAGGAACCACCCCAACACGTTGACGGTAAGCAGATGACAGCAAGGATTCTAATGAAACTAGAAATGGCGTGCGGTTTTGGTCGTTAAGTACTTCCTGGGGAGCAAGGAGAATATAGCTTTCGGCGATTTGGAGAGCTAACGGTGCACTATCTGTGGCTGCCTCAAATATTGGGAAGAGTCTGGGAAGTAGCGATAAAACTCCAGGGGAGGCAGGAGCTGGTGTCTGGGTAAGCACTGCAGCCCAGAGCTCTAGTGCTTCCTCAAGCAGGTATACGATACTTTCCTAACCGGCATCAGAAAATAAAACATCCGGTGGAAAAGAGAATTGACATACCGATCCAGGCTCTAACGAGTTTTCGATGAGTGGCAGAAGGTCACCATGATACTTGACCGAGTCACCCTTGAGCGCATTCATTAGGGACGAGAGCAGAGTCAAGATGGCTTGTTTCATTAGATGTGCCTCTCCGGATTGTTCCCAGAGTGGTGGTAAAAGAGATATTATTTGGTCCGAAAATGGCAGAATCTAGATCCATCAGCTAAATTAGTCAAGTCATGAAACCCACGTTATCATAGGTAACATACGTGGTCTTCCATCTTCACCACAGCCGTTCTCACTGTCTCCAACAGCGCCATCTTGGTCTCAGCCTGGTCGACCTCTTGAATCAACGTGAGCAAATTCTGCAGTATTGGAGTAGCGTAGGGCAAGAACGCTTGAGGAGAAAATTCGAATGGATCCAGAACATTTTTCAGTTGCCGTCCCGCTGTAATACGAACAGCAAGATCGTTTAGTGGATCATCCCTGTTTGATAGATGCTGAAACACTTGATAAATGAATGAATGGTTCAACTTTTCAGGCTGCACAGGCATCCATTGACCGATTACAATTGCAGTTCTTCTTCGCAACACTTTGTAGCCTTCGTCGTGGATCTGCACTTCGGGGATAAGGGTGGACTCAATAAAAGTGTTGAAGTCTAGATGTTGCTCCAGGCAGGCGGAAGCTAGCCCAATGGCAGAGTATAAGGAGTCTTTCATCAGGATATCGCGATTTTGTGGATCTATCAAAGTTAGATGACATCCAATTCTTTGGAAAGAGACGTGCACTCACTTGCAAAGGAATAGAAGACATTCAATAGCTGTGGGATCAGGAGTGTTTTGAAACTAATAATAAGATCCAAAAAGAGCTTTTCCGAGCAAGGCCGGATCGAAAACTCCCATGCTTCAGATATCGTATCTTCTTTTCTCTCCCATTCTTCCGGCTCTTCTTCCCATTCCTGAAAGTCGATTCGACGAAGTTTAAAAAACTTCGAGATGAGCAGTTCCATAACCATGATTACGAAGTCTTCAGTGAATAGCTGTGACTTGACAAGCTCCACTGATCTGTTTCTTTCCTCCTTTTCCTCTTGCTTTTGGAATTTGAAAGTATGGACTGGGTGGAAGGCCATCTTGGCACAGGCGCGTATTAGTAGCAATGCCTTTAAGCCAAGTCGATCTATTATACTCTTCTGTTCCGAATCTTCGCTGCTCCCACCATCTATATTTTGAGTCTCGGCTTCGTAAATCTCTCCAAGTTTGGATACAATAGTCCAATATGACTTGACTAGTGGAACGCAATCTGAAAGTAGCCCAAAAGAAGCAGGATGGGATTTCGCCATTTCCACATGGAGTTTTGAAAGCTGGAGAAGATGTTTCCCAATGAAAGTCACTACCTGAGTAGAGAGATTGGAGCCTGATTCAACGTAAGTGAAAAACTTGGTGAACTGGGCGTTGCTAAGTTGCCAGAATTCTTGAACGTCTTTGTCCCGGCTGGGATGTTCAAACCCAGATATTATTAATCGACGGAGGACTTTGAGAGATGTCAGAGACTGCTCGAGTAGTCCCAACAATACCTCATTATCGAGGGAACCTTGTTCTAACAGAGTGGTCCAGCTGTTCACTTTTTCAATGTAGATGGTACCCAACAGTCGGAATATCTCGGGAGACACGGATTGAAGGCTCGCGCGCACCCTCTGCATCCGTGCTGTCGAAAGCTCTTTGATAATTTGCAGCAAGATAGCAAGGGTTCGTGGAAGTTGCATCGGATTCGTGCCAGGCTGAGCAGCGGTACGGAGCGAAGAGATCAGGGAAGGAATAGCCTCAGGCCTATAAAGGAATGTTGTTAGCAAAAAACTAGGCACAATATACAATCAATGAGCACTACCATTCGCTATTAGGAAACTCGTAACGTAGAATTTTAGCCACGACTAGAGCATTGTGAAGAGCTAATTGCGGTGACGGTTCCACAATACCGGCTTCGAGGGCTCTGGTTTTGATTCGGTCCCTATCTTCCTTTTTTATAGCACTTATTCAGTCTTAGCATAACGATGTATTTAAAAAAATACTTGAGAAGAACCAAGCATACTTCGTAGCCGTCTTGCGCCAGTACTTGTCGATACCGTTCTTTAGTTGAATGATGGCCAGATAACGAACTTCTATGGGAAGGGAATGACGCAGAAATGCTTCCTAAAATCGAGGGGGACTCTTAGCAAGAACTGTCACACAAGAACTCGGGCAAGGGTGGCAACAAACCTGAAGCAGAGGATAAAAGCCATCCTGTTTTTCCCAATGCTGGAGCTGCTGGGTGCCAACCCGCACCCGTTGGTGTGTTGAACTCGCCGCCCCTTCTAAAGCATAGAAGAGATTCTGGACAGTCAAAGGATTGGCCTCACCAGGCAGCTCTAAAGCATTTGACATGTTTGGCAATAGCCAAAACCCTTGTCAGCCAAATCAATGTGTCGTGACCATGCACAACGTAAAAGTGCGAGTGAGGGCCAAAGCAATGTGGTTAGCAAACATGGGAAAGACAAATTGGAAGGAGAAAGGCCCTATGAGAATTCAGACGAGGCCTAGAATATTCATCAAGAGGCACGGTTAAGATAAGGAAAGATCAAATAGGCTAATTCTCCCATCGACTGTTTGCACATGCAATTCCCCGCGTATGGATCGGCGGGACAGTCAACACTGCCGGATGATCGTTTTTCCAGCCCTAGGGCTAGACCCTTGGTCCGCCGGGGAACGGGGAGTTAGGGCTCCCGCGCAGGGATGAAGTCATCTCTGGATTGGGCCCTACGAGTAAACAACAAGGATCGGCACTTCAGCAGTGAATATTCTAGCAGTGTTTTGATGCACGAGTGAATTTTAATGCTGTCTTATGCGAGCAGAAACAACATTTGAATGCTAAAAGCTCTTTATCATTATTCCAAGGATCAACATCGCCAAGCAGGTGGGGAGGAATGACATCTACATGATGTAGAATGATGCAACTCCCCTGGGTCGGGGCAGAATCTGAAAATCATTCTAATTACAATATATAAAAATGAGACCAAGCATTTATTCGAGCTACTCAGAATATATCAGCCAATATAATCATCATAACTGATTGTTCACTCCTTGACATTTTCCACCATGTCTGATCTTCGACATACGGCATACCTGGCCGAGAGAGACCTCAACAGCTACCAGAAGAAACAAGGAACCGGGAAACAAAGCGTCTCAGGTGCGAATTATCCAGCATATTAATGTGGTATTCACAACTAATATAGCGTAAAAATAGCCACCGAGTCTGGCGTCAACCAACAGGTCGAGAAAGACTTCCCTGGATCCGAGGTACGATACGGTGGAAGTGGAAGCAGGAAGATCCCACCTGAAGAAGGTGGAGATATTGATGCTCGCGGAAGGTAAGTTGTCTGATCCCTGGAGAATCTGTCTATTCTTTTGAGCTAGGGCTGATTGTGGTGCGTAGAGTGACTGAAGCTCATCACTTTGAGGGCCCCGGCGGCCCCGAGGATAAAATTAACAGAATTTCGGAGCAGCGTCCAGGCGATGATGGTGTTCCTGTGCGAAGAACAAACTTTTGAGCGGGGATCAATTGAATATGTCAATCGAGGTGGTCATCAAGGACCCATGCGCTGCTTTATGAGCAATACTAACTTGTATAGTATGGTAGATGAAATAGCCACGTAAATGACACATGCATTCCTGCAGCATAGGAATAAGAATGTTGTACTATTTCCATTACACTATATTCCCTACGTTAATGCTAGTCTTCGACATTGGCATTGTCTTAATTGCAACTTTCTTCTGCTTTTTTCTTACATGACATTCAAAGTCCACAGCGACTTTATCGCATAAATTGCGTCATAATTATTAGAAATGTATGATTGAAACTTCTGTCCCACACGATATCCCAGTTTACAGAATTGCAGCAAAGGAAATAAAGGAACTCAAGGCAAGAGCCAAGCCACCCGAGACACCATTCACAGACGCAGCACCAGAGCTGGTGGCAGCGGCAGTGGAGGAAGTAGAGGAAGGAGAAGTACCGGAGGTGGTGGTAGCGATCTTGGTGTCGTTCACACCGGAGATCCAAGTAGTGCCGTTGCGGGAGAAGGAAACCTTGATGTCCTTGCCGGAAACGGTATCGTAAGGGAAGGGAGAGGTGTAGTTGTACGTGGGAGTCAACTTGCCCCATGTGTCCTTGACAGCTTGAAGAATACCATGGCCAGCAGCACAAGTCTCGTTGCCGGTGGCAGGAGCAGCCCAGACAGACGAGTAGTTAGAGTAATCATTGGTGGAAAGAGGGCCAATAAAGGAAGAGTTGAGGTACAAGTTGCTAGTGTCAACCTTGTAGTTGGTGTATCCAACTTTGTCGGCCACCAACTGGAAGATGTTAGCACCGCAATCCCATCGGCCCAGAGATGGGAGACCCCAGTTGGCTTCGACGGTGGACAGAGTGGAGTAGTGGGTGTAGAAAGTATCGTCAGTAGTTCCAACCAGCTCCTTGGGGACGGCACCTCCGAGAAGGATGGAGAAAATACGGTTACCGATGGGGTAGTGCTCAGTCTCGTCAAAGGTGAGCAGAATTAGGGACTCGTTCCAGAAGTCAGTCGAGTTCTCCAACTTCTCAATGAAACCGCGTTCCCAGACCGAGGCAAAGGTGATGTTGGTGTCATGAGCATCATTGGTCATGTTGGGAGTGATGAAAGCCCACTGCGGAAGCTTGTTGTTCGCGACATCGTCCCAGAGGGAAGTGAAGTTCTTGATGCGAGTCGAGCGAGTGGCATTGGAGGCGACCGAGTCGAAGATGATCAGAGGGTTGTGCTTACGAACATAGTCGTTGGCATAGGTTTTCTGGTTGGAGTAATTGAAGCCTTGGAAACCGGGGTAGGGGGTGTTTTCCTGGTATTCACCCCAGGAAATGCCCTTGGTGTCAAGCAAATCGGCGACGTGGGAGATGTTGGCGGGAATTTGGATGAAGTCATCATTGTCCATGGCAAACTGGTCACCACCGACAGCGGAGACATAGTTGGGCTCGGAGGGGTGAGCGACGGCCCAGTAGTTGGTCAGGGTGATACCCTTGGAGGCCAGGTACTTTTGGTTCTCGTCGCCAGCAGCGGCATCGTAATCCTATCGTCGTGTGTTTGTTAGGGCTAGTTCTGTAGCTGTCGAGAGCGTTGCGCTCCATTCCGACTTACAATGTTCTCCAGCCAGACCTGGTAGAAGTTCTTGAACACCGCGCCCCCGACGTTGGAGGTGGGCGAGGAAGGGACGACAGTCGCAGCAGCCTGCTGGATCTGCGAGAGCGACGGCTCTGAGGTAGTGGCCAGCTGGGCGGACACAGCGCCAGCGGAGGCGAGCAACAGAAGTGCAGATTGCATCTTGACGCAGGAATTACTACTGTCTTTGCAATTGACGGCGAAAAAGTCAAGTCAAACGGCGCTTCTCGATCGGACGGGAGGGAGCAGCTGAGTAGGCTGGCTGGCTTAATATATAAAAGGTAAAGCAAGAGGGAGACGTTCGTCAGCACGTGGCACGCAAGACAGGACGGGTCGCTAAGAATAAACAGCTCCGTCGCATGCTAGGAACAGCTGTGTTTGACTTTGTTGGCTTCGTTGATTGTTGGTTGTTCCTTGCTTCGCGGGCGGGCCGGCAATCTCAGCGAGTCATTGCTGTAATTCGAAGCCAATGCAAGCTGCCACGGCGGGTTTGGCGCGATCGCAGAAAATCGGATTGCGTCGCGGTTTGCCAGATGCGAGGCAGACTGGACGACGAGGACTGAGCACGATGGGCGGCGGCGCGTCGTTACTCGCTGTAGCCGGACCTCAACCCAAGGTGCTAAGTTGTATTAAGGTGTACTAATATGTGACCGCTGATTGGACAGCAGCAGCTCTCCACAAGGGGTACCCGCAAGGCGGCGCTAAGTGGCTAGAATTCTCGCACTAGGCTGCGAGAAGGCTGCGCTAGCCACAGCCAAGCTTCGCGCTGATCGCCCGTTGCCGGCACGTGCGCCCGTGCCTGTCTCTGACTGCCTCTCGCAATGCGCGGCGCTGCGTGACATCGCGTTTTTCGATGCTGCTTTCTACTCCGTTTCTAGAAGCGAGGACGCCATGATTACTCTCACACTATCACCTACGTACGCGCATTAGTACGATTTTAGTACTCGGATTGTTGCTCTGTGGTCCATCGGCTTGTTCCGATCTCTCGAGCCGCCAGGAGAATAATGCAGCACTGCATCCACAAGGAACAGACAGAGGAGTTGATTGAACGTTCTTCCACGGAATTCGGCACTCGGGCAAGACTCACGAGTCACAAGGCTATTATCGCCAGGGCGAACGCCAGAATCACATCCCCGTCCAGTCTGAGCGCCTGGCAAGAGCTCGTTGCAGACATACTTGGCACTAACCAGCAGTGAGCGGCCCACCACCGGCTGCGATGCTACCTTGAAATTTCGAACCCTGGACTTTCGCCCATATCGGCGTTTCCGAGCCCCCGATCATAGCTTCTATCAACACGTGACCCGCGGAGATAGACATTGTAAAAGGGCCGCAGCATATCAAATTGCATGGAGATGATACACTCGAAAAAAATCTGCTGAACCATTGTGATTGAGGTATCTGCCCTGTGGCAGGGCGGCACATCACTCGCTATGGACAAGGTCACCGAGCAGAGCGAATCTGCTTCGCCAGAGGTTCTACCGAGAAATACGACAGAACCAGCGACACCACCCAAGGGGAGTCGAAAGAGACACATGCTGCTAATCGGTATATCCGTTGTCTTATTTATCGCTATCTCGGTTGGCTTGGGTGCAGGTTTAGGACTTGGATTGAAACACCACGGCGATAACTTGACATCGAGCACACCAACGAGCACACCAGCATCAAACACTTCCTCTCCGCAGCCATCATGGCGGCGGGACTCCTCAGAGTACATCTTAGACATAGATACATGGGATATCAATGCAGCACCTACGACGCGGAATTTTGATTTTACGATTTCTGAAATCCAGGGCTATCCTGATGGTAAGCAACTTAATAGGCATACCTGCCACTGGACTCAACGCTAACCCCCGTTGGAAGGCGTTCTTCGAAGCTTATATGTAATCAACGGACAATACCCAGGCCCGTTAATCCGCGTTAACAGAGGAGATCGAGTGCTGGTGAATGTGACAAATAACTTATCCGTGCCAATGACCTTCCATTGGCATGGGCTCTATCAAAACGGGACCAATTGGATGGATGGCACTGCTGGAATCACCCAGTGTCCCATTCCAGCAGGGAGAAGCTTTCTCTATAATTTCACAGTGGAGATGCAGTATGGCACGTACTGGTATCACTCTCATTATAAAACACAATACATGGACGGTCTTTTCGGACCCCTGATTATTCACGCGCCGGAAGAAGCACAATTCCGCAGCATGTATGATCATGACCAGGTAGTCCTTCTTAATGACTATTACCACAACATGAGTTCGACCTACGTGGATGCCTATCTTGCACCGGGCAACGAAAACAATGAGCCTGTCCCGGACAACGGACTCATTCAAGGAATGAACTACTTTGATTGTTCGTCTCTAGACCCTAGCGACGGCTACACCTGTTATGCAAACTCCACTAGGGCTCAGTTCAACGTCCAGCAAAACCAGCGATACCGGTTCCGCCTGGTCAATGCCGGTGGCTTTGGCATGTTCCAATTTGCAGTGGACAATCACACTTTGTCTGTCATCGAGGCGGACTCTACCATGGTGGAGCCCCTCAACGTGAATCGGTTAGATATTGCCGTTGCAGAGCGCTACTCTGTTATTCTGAACGCAAATCAATCTGCAGAAAATTATTGGATTCGTGCAACATTGGACACGTACTGTTTCACTACTTCGAACCCTGTACTAGATTCTGCTGGTATCAAGGGGATTCTCAGCTACACTAACAACGCCTCTGACCCGGTGTCTGGCATTTCAGCGGAATGGCCAGGGGAGGACCCCAATGTCTTGTGTGTCGACCTGAACACGACTCTCCTGGTGCCTGCCGACGTCCAACAAGCTCCAAAGGCTGATCTCTTCTTCAGTCTCCAGTTCTCCTTTGCAATCAGAGAGAATGCTTTAGATCGAGCATACATCAATGGTACAACATGGTTTCAATCGGATGTTCCCACCCTCAATACCGTTGTACCAGCACTTCGGGCTGGTAATGCTACCTTCAATCAGACTGGGGTTGCTTCCGGCTATGGCCTTTCGAACCAGTATATCCTTGACTTGCCTGACTACGCCGTAGTCGATGTTCTAGTTACCAACTATGACGATTCATCGCACCCGTTCCATCTTCACGGACACCAGTTCTGGGTGATGGCATCATCTGCGAGCCAATATTTCGACTATAGTACCTACGATTCACTTAACACTACCAATCCCCTCCGGAGAGACACGATAATAGTAGACTCGTATGGATGGACCTTGATCCGTTTTGTCAACGACAATCCGGGAATGTGGGCTTTTCACTGCCACATAGCGTGGCATCTCGAAGCTGGATTGTTGATGCAATTCCAATCACGTAACGACATTATGAAAGACTGGACGCTCCCTGACGATGTACAGGGGCTCTGCAATATATAGACTCTGCTTTGCCATTTTGCATTCATCGGTTATATTGGATAGAATATATACATATTATTGTTGATGTCGTTGAGCTCTGTAACAATAAACGTCTCTTGGCTGCTTTCGGAGCATGAGGTCACGTGGGGAGCTTGAACCTCGGTCCGTGGCGGCAATTGATTGTGATTTGGAACGATTGACGTTCTCCGAAACATTAATCTGATTTCCTCCTCGTGTATCGTCGACTGACGTTTCCGCGACATTAAATAGCTATGGTGCAGCGATGACTTCTGCGAATTTTGCTGCCGCTCAAAGACGGGTTTTGGAGCGGCGTCGCCTGTTGGAGGCAGAAGCTCGCGCCCGTCTGGCGGACCAGCAACGAACGTCGCGCATCGACGCTGCGGCCCTGCAAAGATTACCATCTCCTTTAAACCGACTTTCCGGCTCAGGGCTGAATATCTGGAATACCGTCAAGGGACGAGAAGGTACGCGACCGCACTTTCGTGTCGGGCAGGTTGATTCGGAGCTCTTGGACGAAGAGCTGCTTGGGTTACTAAATGGCCAGATTGGAGAAGCTCTGAAATATTACGGGGTATGTCAATCTCATATTTTCCTTTCAATAATGTCCAATTTTCTAAGTTGTCTCTTTGCTATGACAGTCTCATATTCGCGATGACTGGGCATCCGAGATTCAGCTCGCTCTCCGCGCTCTTCTGTTCAAGATTTCGATTTGGGATCACAACGCCTCGTACGGCGCGGCTTTACAAGGTCTTCAATACGTCGATAGCCGCAGCAAGTCATTAATCCCATCTCCACCGACGAAGTGGCAAAAAACATTATATGGATTATTTACTGTCGGTGGGCGATACGCATGGGAAAAATGGGAAAACTGGCTGATTGACCACGAGAATGGTTATGAAGAGGCATGTTAAAGCGTTGACTACTATCTACCGCCATGCTAACGATTTCCCAGCCATCAGCAGATGTTCGTCTTTTCTCTCGAATTACGAACCTTGTATCAACCACACACTCTGTCGCAGCTTTTGCGTCTTTCTTAATCTTCCTCGTGAACGGTCGATACCGAACGTTGATCGACCGAGTTCTTCGAATCCGACTTGCACCCCCTTCGAACCAAGTTAGCCGCGAAGTCTCTTTCGAATATCTCAACCGCCAATTAGTATGGCATGCATTTACCGAATTCCTCCTATTTCTCCTCCCTCTTGTTGGCATCAGTCGCTGGCGACGATGGGTATCGCGAGCGTGGAAAAAGACCGTGGCAGCAGTGAAAGCTTCCTCGGCAGAAGACGGCGACAAACCCAGTGAAAAGCAGGGACAGTTCGCCTTTCTTCCCGAGCGAACATGCGCCATCTGCTATAACGACCAAAACCCAACGGCAACGTCCGAAGCCGACATCCTCGGCGCATCGTCAGGAGGAATAATCGGCTCGGCGCAGACAGATATTACCAATCCGTACGAAACAATCCCATGCGGCTGTATCTATTGCTTTGTCTGCGTTACGGAAAAACTAGAAGCGGAAGAGGGCGAGGGATGGGTATGTTTTCGCTGCGGCGAGATCGTCAAGCAGTGCAAACCATGGAATGGTGACGTTCTTGAAGAAGCGCCGCGCTCGTCAACGAGTGCGAAGGTGGTTGGGTTTGCCATTGCAGATGAAAGTGTTGTCGAGAAGGAGACCAGCAACGGGGCGGCGTTTGATACAGAACATCACGACAGCGTTGAGCATCTTCCGCATATTGACGCTGATAATGATGCATTAGACGGGTCGAATATGTGGTCGACGATTGACAAGGATTTTTCCGACACCGATACTTCTAGGCACGAACCAACCGATTCTGAATAAGCCCAAGCCTGAGAGTGCTCGCAGCATCCTATTGATATGTATTACACCCGATCACCAGCTAGCAGCACCACCCACTGAATGATGAAACGCGGATACGATACGCAGAAAATAATAGAACTGGCAAATAGATTCTCCCAAGTTCGTCGATAAGAAACTTAGGGTCAGTAACTAATATCCAGAGCACGGCTCATATAACTGCATCCGACACTAGTCCACACGAAGTAATTAGCATTGACACCATTCAATTAGCACAGTCGAAAATAGTACGTGTATTTATATATATATATATATCGATAATATTATATCCTCTGTATTCTCGTCCCCATGAAACATATAACTTACATGTACTTCGTGTTGCCTTTGAATATTTATGATGAACTACGCCTACATCAATTGATATTGATGAAGTAAATGTACTAGTACTAGACGTATTTGAATAAAGTCATGCTCGAGTCCGTGAAAACACATGTGTATCATCAAAGGTATCCATGATAATAAGCGAAGATGAATAGCCAGAAATATCAAGTTCGTAGATCTTATATTCCCCTGTACCTGTGGCTGTCATTTGCAAGCCCATGCTGTCCAATAGCTGGTCCAAAACCTGAGAGTATGCTGTACCAATTCCCAGGCTTGCGTACAAAGAACCTTGGAACTTTTGCCTAGGTTTGCCTACACTGTATGTGGAATTGCAGGTACACCAGAAATACTAGGAGCTGCATTTATTTAATTGTACGCACAACTCTCATCATAAACGAATATGAACGAATATGAACGAATTAGGTATGTATTATTATCCAAGAATCAGTAGCCCATACAAAAAGAAACTCTTCGTAATCAATAGGTAGCAATGTCAAGGGGTGAAAATAATTGAGGAACACGAAAAGAAAGGGAAGGAGGGTCGTATGATAGACAATCCCGCACAACTACATTATTCCACACGCAATTAAAACTGGGTAATGTGATTCTAGTCACACTGTCCAGGGAACTGGCGTGCTGTTACTGGGTTGGGAAATACACCGGTGGCTAGCTGCTCCTTCATATCCCACTCGGGGGCGCCTTCAGTGGTCCAAGTCCAATACAGCCAGCCAGTATGACACTCAAAGGCATCTAACTGTGCTTCGATGAATCGACGGATGTCGGTACGCGCATCATCTGATAGATCAGTCACTTGACCCTGAGCATATCCGTTACAGCTTCCGTGAAAGGAACTTCCTGATCCGTAGCTACCATCCCACCGAGCACCAACTCCGCGGCCGTTGAGATTCTTGGCACAATCTGTCATGGCTCCAGTCCACTCACCAACAACCGTCCATTTGTCGGTGGGGCTAACCTTGTTCTTTCCAAAGGAGCAAGCTGACTGAACGTGTTGGTCAGTGTTATCAGACAGAAGTCCGTTGTCGAACACCTCGTAATGATGAGTGTCCATCATGACATTCCAGACACCTGAGTCAGGTCCCATAAAGCCATTCCATGAATCAATGTCCTGGAATCCATCGTGCATTGCGAGAACGGTATCTTGATTAACCGCACGTATCCGACCCCATGAGTCATAGTAGAATTGTTTCAGTGTATTCAAGTCGACACCGGAAGGGCCCATGACAGACATGGGCTCGTTGAGAGCCTCAATAATAGTGACCACATCAGTATATTGCGCATATCGCTCAGCAAGGGCCTGGATCGCATCTAATGTTATGTTGACGTGTGTGGGATCTTGGTCCCAGTCAATAGACCCTCGACGGCCGCTATTATCAAAACCATTCTGGGATCCCGGTGCTATGACCGTTAGCGTCACTTCTTCTTGGAGAAACAAAAAAAACTCACCACCATGCAAGTCCACAATGACCTTCAGGTCTGCTGCACGGGCCCACTCAATAGCTTGGTCCAGGATGTCCAACTGCCCTTGGACGTAAGGGTCACCAGGCTGAGGTACGACAGCCCAATAGCCGACAGGAATGCGAACGTGGTTCATACCAGCAGCGCTAATTTGCTGGAAATCTGCAGCTGTAATAAAGGTATTCCAATGCTGTGACAGCAGACTTTGTGCACCGTCTTTGCCGAGGCACTGTGTAAGAGTCCATTCGTCCACGGCGGCGTCTCCTCCTTTCTCAAAAATCGAGGGAGTAATCCATGGTTCTAGTACTAGCCATCCTCCGAGATTCACTCCTCGGACTTTCTGGTTGTTGTAATCAAAGGAAAGACTGCGTGGCTTGGCACGTAGTGTACTGCTGTCAAGTTAGCAAAATGCGAGCCAAGTTGTCGGAAATGAAGACCTTACCTCGAAGGAATAGCCTGCACTAAAGCCAACACAATACCAAGTGCCACCAGGGCCGGCTTTCGGATCGTAGAGAAGATCATTATTAGTATTGACACAGCCAGGTATCAAAGGACGAAAGGCTGGCCTCAAATCGATTGAAGCCGATAGATCACTCAATGATAGATCACAAGTGAAATAACAAAGAGGTATGATGGGTATAAGTAGTGAAAGTAATTTGGTAGCACACGACCGGATGCAGACCTCCCAAAGGATATCAAGCCACGTAATGGCCAGAAGATCTGGGGTATCGTCGACCCAGACAAGTTGGTGGATCACGATGACGATGAGGATGCAGATGGTAAATGGAAGATGGGAAGTCGAAGATGGAGCAGGATGTCAGAGGTGATGTCTAAATCCGGCCGGCCGGCTCTATTGGATGGGAATCAGGAAGGTGCAGCAGAGGGCCAGGGCAACTGTCACAAGGCAGGCACAAGGGGCACACAAAGTGAAGGCGATGGTAACCCCGGGATCCAGAAATTTCGAGTTCGGTGAAGGTTGCAGTGTCTGGAAACGGGATCCTGATATCCATTCGATGACTCTGGACCGGGACCTGGACCTGGTGGATGTGGCTTTGCTGCTAGACAAACGAACCATCGATCGATCGTGCTTGTTGATCTTGAGCCAGGCCCACGATCCGGCGGTCGAGGAATGTGGATGATTATCTGGCATAGATGCCATGATTTTTTACAATAAACCTGCAAGTCACAGCCGCATCAAGCTACGGCCGGGTCCGCTCGTGGATTGTCAGTAATCCAAGATGGTCCACTATGAGGCTTGTACGCTTTCGGAAGCTGTGTTTGCGAGAGAAGCTTCCTCCGTGTGACCAATCTCATCAATAGTTCATTAGGTATTCGACCTGAGCCTATTGCACTGAACAAGCAGCGCTAGGCGATGTCATTTTCAAGGCGTCTGTGCTTCCTTATCTTTAGTTCCATGTTGTGCTAACACAGAATCAGATGTTTCGACCCGGAAGAGAGAAACGTCTGCTACTCGAGATGCACCCGATGTATGTGGATAGCGACCGTCCAAGTAACTGAGGACTGTGTTATTGGCATATGATTAACGCAGTTATGCGTTGTCTCAGACAAGAAGGCGGGGCAGCTTGTTCCTGACAACCCGAATTATGTGGTCCTTGCCCCTTCCTGCGCATTGCTTATCGATAGATTCGTTAGCGATAACACGCCTCGGTCAACTCGCAACGCGCAGTACTTTGGGTCCTGTATACTCCCTGAATCCTGCGTTGCAGTATATTTGAATATGATGTGCTTGTGTTGAAAGTGTTTGTTCAGGCGATGGTGTATATTCTCTGATGCAACCGCTGATTGGCTAGTGACCGTACCTTCAGAGGGCGGCGCTCTGATTGGTCTATCGGTGCCTTCCTGGGTGCAGCGCGGAAAGGGAAGCTGCCACTTCCGAAAACAGTGTCGTCAGGAACTGCATCGGCCGCGAGCATGATGGCCCACGATCCTACTCTCTTGCGCCCAGTCATGCATAGGTTCGCTTATTATCGATAGAGCGCTGCGACTGCATTCGGAAGCACAACTATTCAGCTTCGCTATCCCAAATCAACTTCCCTTTAAACCATATCTTTAAAGCTTTGATATATTCAAAGCCTGTAATTGTAAGCTAGGGCTTTGGGGAACAGCCCTAACCAGCCAACAAGGCCAAAAGACCAACATTAATCGCTCAATGGTGATTAATCCCTTAACCCGCTATATATGGAACGAACCGCCAAATCACATGACATGGATGCCTCGCTAAGGCATCAACGGTCTTACATATATTCTCTTATTATTAATAAAATCGGAAATTATATGTTCCTTTAAAAGTATTATTATCTGATTTACTAGACCTGGCCTAGTAAGTGGCAGAAAATCTGGTAAGGTTGGGGCTCCTGAGATAAGTCTCTAGGTGCTTCATTTAGTGCCGAAAGTGGGTGTGCTGGTGTGATCAACTAGTGGGCGTAACCTATATGTATGTCACTGGTGTCGCTTAAGTCAGTATTAGGATTCTTAGCGAAGAAGCTTCTACAGTGATCGCCAGCTCTGCTGCCAAGAGCACGGAATATCCGCTTTAGGAGTATTTGAGAGTGAAGGGGGTTGAGGATATTGGCCTTTCTCGTAAGGTGGAGTGCTGGTGTATCCAGTGCAAAAATGCACTAAGTTGATTCATGACACAGAGCCTCGATTTGTGGTAAGAGATGACGAAATTCTGTGTAGTATTCGAAATTTTGTGTATTACTACCTGGTCTCTGAGGAACTTTGATCACCGCTATAGGCTCTTGGGGCGTGAGGCGCATGAGATTCTCATGACCAAGGATCTAGCCTTATCGAAAGAGCCAAGACGGCCCGGAAAGAGAAAGAGAGAGGAAGAGTGAATACAAATAGCTGTGTTTTCAATTGCCCTTTTTTACGTCGCTGATGCAAGGCTTATAGACGGTCTAGATGGTGGAATAGTGACTACTCTTTCCATCGTGTTCGCAGACAAGGACCAGTCAATAACTAAGTTTATTAATGCTATCTATCGAGAAAATTTGCATGAGGAAGATATTATTGCATAGAAGCTTTCTCGGAGTTTTATTACTGTGTGCCGCATCAGTGGTTCACCGCTTGACGCACTATGTTTCCAATATGCGGAGAAACTTTTTGACGCTTTATTATCTGATTATAATAATAATTAAAGGTACCTAGGTTTTTATCTTAATATTTCTTTCAACTTAAAAAATTTTAAAGGTAGACTTAAAGACTTTAAGAATTAATTAAGAGATATAACTTAGAGTACTTACTATATTAAGTTACATATGTAGATTTTCTTATAATCTCGAGCGAGCGTATTGCCGATTAACGCGACAAGATAAAACCGCAAACATCGATCGACTCTGCGAATTTTCCGAAGCCAGATATGTATTCCATTATCAATAGACAATGCAACGAATTGACGCCAGGCGACAATGGGCTTCGTCGATTGCTCTGGCCTTGTTCACGATAAAGTTACCGTGGAATGTAAACTTTGGAAAGCACGGAGGCTATTACTCTCCACGTGTTTGTAGTCGGAGTTTATACGAGTTGGGCGATTAGAAGCTACTGCAATACTGCCAGCTATGGTCGATGATTGCAGCGATGAATTGCTCTCTGTGGATTCGTTACGGGCTTAGGGGGACAAAGCACACCTAGTCGCTAGATAGTGATTTGAAATCAAGGTTTCCCAGCAGGGATGACGTCCAACACCAGACGTGTATAATCCAGCTTTGAGGAAGCCATCAAAATCTGTCTCTGACCAGATGTTGGTTGGGCGCCGGGAAGAGCCGATCCGCGTTTTCGCCGATATCCGAACAATCATGCGACCTCCAACTTCCAGCTCGAGGAATACACTATGCCCATTGTTGGAAGATCCTAGCAGAGTGCTTTTGAGTCAATTTTCGCTTACATCCCCGAGTCGAACCATGTGACATGCCGCGACGTTTGACAGCCAGACAGCTTTCAAGATGTTCTTAAGCGCTTGACTGCCTCTAGTCTTTTGACCTCCCAGCCTTGATTCATGCAGTGCGACAAGCGGTGCAAGTAAATATTTAACAATCAAAGTCAATATGCCGTCAACCGAGGATCCTCCGCGCGTCAAAGAACCCACGTGTCCAATGAAAGATTGGCCGCGGCCCATTCAACACATTGATCGAAAGGACCTGTACACTGACCTTGAAAGCCGAATCCAATATCTACATTCCTTTCTCGACTTTAGTTCTGGTACGCCACTCAATCTTCTTGCATAATAACTCTAATTTCATAGTATAACTCACAAATGTGCAGATGACATCGAAGCCTTGATCAGTGGATCGAAATACATCAAAGCCCTAATTCCTGCAATTGTCAATATCGTCTACCGCAAGTTGCTTCAGTATGACATCACGGCACGCGCGTTCCAAACACGAAGCACCAGTTTCGAGGGTCCATTGGATGAGTTCCCGAGTGAAGATAGTCCGCAAATCGCACATCGAAAAATGTTCCTGAGGGGGTATTTAATCAAACTATGCTCCGACCCGAGCAAGATGGATTTCTGGGAGTATCTCGATAAAGTTGGGTTCGTTTCCCTATTTTTTTTTAAAAAAAAAAACAAGCAAAACAGAAATACTAATCAAACTATACCATTACAGCATGATGCACGTCGGCCAAGGCCGCCAACACCCCCTTCACGTAGAATACATCCACATCGGCGCCTGTCTCGCATTCATCCAGGATACCTTCACCGAAGCTATCCTGTCACATCCACGGCTGCACCTGCCACGAAAAATCGCACTGGTGAAGGCCCTAGCCAAGGTGATATGGATCCAAAACGACCTATTTGCGAAATGGTATGTGACAGATGGCCGCGATGAGTATGGCGATGAGATGCCGGCGAGGGGTGTTGAGGAGGAAGGGTTCTTGGGCGGGAAGAAAGTTATTGACGCGGATAATTCGCAGGCGGAGGATGTCGCGGCTTAATTATCAATCTTCTGAAAGATCGTGTACAAAAATCGAGACAATGGATTGCGATACATTCATATCGTCTAAAGGCTGCGTACTAACAACATTCAAGGCCCCACACTAGCCCAACGCCATAGTAAAGCTGGTATTCACCGCCGTTTTTCAAAAAACACCAATATATAACCTCGAATTACGCTAACAAATCATCTGTCAACAGCCACAAGCTCATGAACAAGCAGTCTATACCAACCCACCTAATTCGTTCCAACTACATACATAAATATAATCATCTACAAGAGTCATCGGGAGCGATCCCCACGCAAACCACTCATCCAATAACAAACGCCCATATTATATTCTATTATCAACGAATATAAAACGGAAATATAATAAGTCCTTGTCACGAAATCGTGTTTGACGAGTAAAACGTGCGAACGGGGCTGAGAGCACTCCACATCCCCACACATATCATTATCATTTCCTTGCATAGATCGGAAAGTGTCCACAATAAATTTCTGAATTTCCTTTAGCAGTGAAAAAATATTTTTAATAATGAAAGGCGTAGACAGAGTATTGGCGTTGAAATTTATTTAAAAGAAAGTACACTGTAGATTATTGAGAATAGTCGAGGAATCGTCCGGTTGTTATATGTTGCTTTGTCTTCCCTATCTTGCTCGGTATATAACTAGTCGATATTTGCGCCGACTGTAGCGAGTGGCAGGCCATTGTTTGAAGTGATTATTATTGGCGACTTTACCCTTTCACTACTATCACCACGGCCTTAGGATTGAGGTAGAGTTGGTCGATTTTTCAAGGTGGTTATCATTGGCAGCTTTTCTTTCTTCATCGTTGACAGGAGTCTGTTGTTTGTTTTGTTTCTGCATTAGAGAAAGCTCAGCAGAGGGTTGTTATAAACCTTGTAGCCCTTTGATAATTTTCTTTCAGTTGTTTCGCCAGCAAAGTCTCTGTCACATCGCCGTAGATATTCCTCAAAACCAATGGTTAAAGTTGAGAAACTACTTCAGACAGCAGCCGCTATCAAATCTCTATGGGCTTTGGCAGTTGCCGAATTGGCTTACCGATGCTTACATACGTTGCTGCAAACCATGCAAATATCTAGACACCTAAGGCCACATTATGCGATGAATCAGAAATTCGACATTTGCAACGAAAGTAGGTAGCATCTAGAAGAACACGAGTTTGAACGTTGTAATAGACGCGTCGTTAGTAATAGACGCGTACCTTTTTTCCACTATGCATCTGTAGCCATCGCTGATCTACCGCCGATCCCCCCTTTCCACCCACTATCCTTCGTGCGGCCCCATTTAGGATCGCCATAAAGCAGACCGTTGTGGTCTGGGGAGCATCTAAATACGAAACGTATGTAATAATAGACACTGCAAGATTGAAAGTTTTTGCGCACTTTATCCGCAACTTCAGATCTAGCATGTTCACGACAGAGCGATTGCTATTGCTACCATGGTACATTTTCCAATAGTTTCTGGAGTGCACTAAAACAGTATAGTAATGGAGACAGCTATTATTAGCGACCAGGCTATTCTAAGACACCGTCAAACGGCCCTGTCTCCCTGCGGCCAGCCGGCGGAGTGTCCGCCGACACTCCGTATTATCCATATCGACGGTGATTATGCGGCGCTTGTCCAGGGCTGCGGTTTTTCTTAGGAAAAACAAACTAGTTATTGCGCCACCACTCCACTGTCAAAGTTTATTGGCGGTCTGGATGGTGGTCTCGATGATTTTAGCTTAGAAGCGTTATTTTCTCATATCATACTCAGCTCGGCGATTCCAGGCTGGCTACTGGATATTAATTAGAATGAGCTAGGCAGTCCGCAGCACTATGGTCAAGCGGATACTAATAACATTAATAAGTACGGAGTAGTATTGAAACTTCAAATGTCATAAATCATAGTAAGACGGGTTAAGTAGATGAGGGTAATAATAATAATAAGGATAACGCTGCTGAACAGCGAGTTCACTGTTGGGCGGGGCGGAGCACCTGTCCCATTGGTGCGCGAAAATGCCAGCCTGGACCAGATTATTTTCTGGGCAAATTGGCATAAAGGGCAAAATTAAATGTCCTTGTGTCATGCAGTCGGAGACTTTGCCGCCACCCACTTCGGCCCACATGGGAGAGACATTGGCGTCATTGGCAGGTGCCAAGATATTGGCAGGAACAAGTATGGAATGCAGACCGCGAAGTATTGCAATAATATTGTGGTGTAGTTATAGAGGAACGCGTACGCCTGGCCCTACAGCGATTCTGCTTCCAGACATGATAGTTGATTACGATCAACAGCAAAGGGCGACTGTAACCGGTCAGCGCGATGCCAGAAATAGCGGCGTTGCACCGAGTCAGGCATAGCAGGGTCAGCGAGGCTCGCGAATGGGAGCGCTGGCACGAGCCAACAAATGGTAACCGTCTATCCCAATACGGCCTAGCCAGGCACCATAGCCCCGCCGGGCCCACCAACAGGCTCCGAGTTTGCGTGCAGCATCGTGACAGTGACATCGGCTAGGCTAGACTGGGCATAGCGTGCATTCAGCCGCTGTCTGGGCAGTGTCTGATTGGCGCATCCGGCGGCATGGGCCCTGTCTAGTGCGGGCCGGGCCAAGGGGCAGGCGTGCTGTGGTTGGACAGTCTCTGTACCAAGTAGCAGTAGCGTGGAGGTAAGCAGGAAGTAAAATGACGAGCGAGATGAGATAATACGACGACTATTAGGCGCATACCAGGAAGGAAGTACCACTGCTGAGGCGGAGCCGCACCTGCTGCGCTTGGGGGCGCTGCTGTTACTTAAGACTCGGTGTCGCTTGCCTGCGCGCAGTTTCACTGCCTCCTCTCTTTCTCTCTTTAGAAACACATCTCACTCCAGTCCCTCCCTCGAGTTCAAATATCCAGAGTCCATCGGCTCGTGTCGTTCTTTACACCCCGTCGCATCCACCAGCAAACACCACTACTCCCAACTTTCCATTTCAAATCTCGCATCTTCACCCCACAATGCGTTTCTTCGCCATCGTCGCCGGCCTCGCTGCCGCTGTTACTGCTTACGAGTACCCAACTCCCTTCAACCCAACTGCCAGTGGCCAGGCCCCCAGCGGCAACCCTTTCAGTGCTCCCGACACCACTCACCCGGCCACTCTCGGCGAGTCCTACGAGATCACCTGGCAACCCACCACCCCCGGCCCTGTCGCCCTGGTTCTGTGCCAGGGTCCCTCCACCAACTGTGTCCCGACCTTGACCATCGCTTCCCAAATCCCCAACAGCGGCAAATTCTCCTGGACTCCCGAGGGCCTTACTCCCTCTGCCTCTTCTGCCGGTGGATACGGTATCATGCTCATCGACTACTCCGACAAGACCTACCAGTACACCACTCAGTTCGGTATCCTGGCTGGAGCTAAGCCTGCCACCACCTCTACCGCCTCTACCACCTCAATCGTCGTCCCTACCACTCCTACCACTCCTACCGCCACTGTCGCTCCCAGCACGCCTGCCGTTCCTTTCCCCACTGGTACCAAGACCTGGACCACCAAGCTCCCTCTCGGCACTGGCACCATCGGTCTCCCCACTAGCACCCCTGGTGCTCCCGGTGTCCCTACCACTGTTCCAGGCACTGCTCCCACTTCGCCTGTCTTCACTGCCGCTGCTGACCACAACATGGCCAGCTTCGGCGCTGTCGGTGCTATCGCCGGTCTTGCCGCTCTTCTCGCCTTTTAAATGATGGCTGACGGCTTTGTATTTGCTTGATTCGTGTGGCTTTTTCTCTTCTTAATGTAATCTCAAGTACGAAGAGAATAGTCATGCTCTGTTGTCTTTTGTGTACGGTATCGTCGAGATATTGATCCCAAATTAGCAAGAGCTTTTGTAATTCATCCATGTCACATATTTGATCTGTTTCCTCTTTTGCCTCTGATGATTTGCTTGTTCTGAACATACCCACTTGTATACATAGAGAAGAACATGATGGATTGTGAAAGACACGTGATTTTACGACGTATAGACGTTGGTTCTCTGATTGCTCATGTATGATCAAGTTGTGGAGTGTAGATAAGTAAGGTATATGAACCTGTATTGACATGCCTAATACTGCCCCTGCTAAAGTAGTAAAGGCAGCCTCCCAATTGACGTCCATTCTCAACTAACACCCGTCACCTGTTATTGATCAATTTCGATTCCTACATGAAGCAAACGCCAACTGCACCAAAAATGAGACGCTCATGATTGATTTGAAATGTGAATTGTAATCCATTGGAAATGGCTAGGGCTTGATGTCAAGGTTGTCGGCTTCAAGGGTAAAATGCTAAATGTTTAAGCAAGGCATTCGTCACGTGCAGAACAAATGGTGTGGAGTATAGTCATATAGGACAATAAACGAATGACAAACAAGACCAATGGTAAAGAGAGTAGATGCCCTATTCGATAGGTATAACCAATATCCAACAGTCCATGTATCCAATCACAACTAGTCGATTGGCAATGGGCTTTTCGAGTGAATGATATCGAGTGCTTCGGCCCCTATTCTCAGCACATGATCTAGATTCAAAAAATCGGAGCATATATCGAAAAACAGATCTGGGGAACAGAGGAATATAAGGAGGTTTTCTCCTAGACTAGTTTTGCTCATATCTTGTAGTTGCGCCTTGGTTTGGTCAATCTCATCTTTGGACCTACTTGGGCCAAATATTAGTGGATAAAAGAGCAGCATACGTTTCTTTTCGCCAACTGAATAAACACCGAAACGAGCAGCTAGAAAGTCGACTAACATGGTTTGATCAATCTCTTTGGGGGTATCCTCGGTATACTCGGCTTCTGAATACCGCCATAGGGCACTGTAGAGTTCGGCCCTGGAAAGACCTTGAAGAATCTCCGGAACAGTTTTGAGACTGGCGAATTCAGATTTATCAAGAGCAAATACAGCTTTCAACAGGGTCTTTTTTATCTCAATTTCACTGAGAAGTCTGATCCGACCTGATGAAGAAACACCTTGAGACGCGAGGTCCGTGCTTTTGTTCGCGTTTTCTTCGTTGTTTATTTCTGATGGGTTCCTTTCGCCATCTGTGTTGGTTATGCTTGTGGTAGCTTCCTCATCAGTGCTACTAGACTCGGATGATGCTTCCGATTCACTCATGTCCATATCACTGTTAGTAGATGGAACGTAAGACTCATCATCATCGTCATCGTCATCGCTATCCTCGTCGTTATCCTCGTCATTATACTCGTCGTTATCCTCGTCATTATCCTCGCCATTATCCTCGCCATTATCCTCGTCATTATCCTCACCCTTATCAAGATTTTCATCAAGACCAAAGTAGTACGACTCCCACCACGTGTTATGCGCTCTTCTAGAGGACGATTTAGTAGTCTCGTAAGTGCAGTACATTTGAGAAAGATCTTCTACTGGAGAACTAATCTCCCTAGCTGTGTAGAAGCTGGCTCCCTGAGAAGAACCTGAAGAACCAACACCACCTTGCGTCACGGTGTTATCTGATGCACTTTCCCCCTGTATCTCAACCCTAGCTGCTGGTGCAGTTTCGGGTTCTCTAGGCAAGTGTACTGAGTTATCGGATCCCAGTGCATCTGCGTCGAGGTTGTTCAATTTTCCAAGATGACATTTTCGATTATCAACACTGGGAAGATTTATTGTAATATATCTCCCGTTGTGCATAATTCTTTTCTTCCCTCTTGTGGCAGGTTCGACATTCCTGGAGGCCAAGGGAGTCGTAGTATCGGCCGTAGCTTTGGGGGTAACGTTAGTTGTAGTAGTAGTAGTTGGAGTAGCATCGGCCGTACTCATTGATCTATCAGAGCGTATTTCAGTTGGAGGGTAGCTAAATAGAGAATGTGGGTTTCCCGTCTCTTCTGGCAAACCCGACGCAGCATTGACTGTGGGTTTGATTGTACTCGTCAATGTATCAGATTGTCTTTCAGTCGGAGGGTAGCCAAATAGTGGATTTAGTTCTCCGGCTTTTTTTGGTAAATCAGATGCAGCGTTGAGCGTAGACTTGACCGTATTGTTCAATGGATCAGAGTCTTTTTGAGTCAGAGAGTCGTCAAATAGAGGACGTGGTTTTCCATCCTCTTTTGATAACTCCGATGCAGTATTAGCCGCAGGCTTGATCGTACTCATGAATATATCGAAGCTTCTCTCAGCCGGAGGGTAGCCAAACAGAGGACGTTGTTTTTTGTTTCCTTTTTGCAAATCCGATTGCTTTGTGATCCGTTCCTCATGCCACTCTTTTTTAACTTTACCGAGATGATCAAGCGGATAAACGAAAACACTAGGAGATTCCGATATAACTCGACTGATGCATGATGAAAGTTCTGGCTTGAGTATTCTTGTCGCCCATCCAGTCATATTTTTAATTATCTGCTGAAGACATAACACACACCATGTTGAGGTTAGATTCCCGGACCATATACAGATCATAACCTGCGATTTATTAGTATTCGTTTATTTCAACTGCAATATTTTCTTCTCTGTTGAGTACCTTCTGTAGTTGGAACAACCTTTTATCAGCGAATACTAGCCACACTCGAACTTCGGGGCCAGCACAGGTAATAGCGGTGACGGGTGGGATCACCGTAAATGTTTCTTTACCAGAAAAGGCTTTTTTATAGAGGCTTTCAAGTATCCTCAGAGCATGATAAGCTGCATAACCAGCTTCATAGTAACAAAGCTTAGCCTCGTCATTGTTCTTGCCGGTAGATTGTGTTTCTACAACAGCCCAAGGAAAACACACCAAGTCACTTTTAACTAGCGCTTGTTCTTTTTTGAAAATCAAATCAGTGTACTTAAAGGCAGGGCATACGAAAAGATAGTCAAATATGCTCAAGTGCCTCAGGACTTCAAAGGAGAAGTTCGCTACTATTCCATGACGGAGAAGCCCATTATACTGTTGATTGTCACCGTATTCATGCACTGGAAATCCGTACGTAAAACTTGGTTTTGGAGTTCCTAGAGGGAGGTTATAATGGAAAAATGACTTTGATACATTTTTCCACTCAATATTGCTTTCCCTAGTACCTAAAAGTCAGTTTCCAGATGTGCTTATACTAATAACTTGCAGTAGAATATTCGCATACAGATACCATGAATCAAAAAGCTCGCTGTTATATCATACAGTTAGCTTCCAACCACCACTGACCATTGTAGTGGACTTACCTATGTTTGCTATTTACGGAATTAGAATCCCCAAAGCTTTGAAAAATGTGTGTTTTCAAAAAGGAATTCCATTTTTCCTGAGAAGCACTCTCTGCGACTAGTCGTCGTGCCTTTCGAGCAACTTGTGCGATTCGCTCAACAGACTGCTCCGCCGCTTCGATATCTATCTTCTTGGTCGATACTGGATTTTCTAGAAGCGAGATGTATGCCGACCAGGGTGGAACAACGTCTTGAATCTCCAAAGTATCCCCATTATTCGTACGGAGTATTTGCAGCTCCTCATCGAAAAAAGACTTGAAAGTATTTGGGATTGTGACATCAATGTCCAGAAGGGTCTCTCGCACATATTGTACCGAATCAGGAATTTCGACGATTTTCTCGCCATCAAGGATGTGCTTAGTCTTCGCTGGAGAATATACATCTTCTATAATCGTGATCCCATATTGTTTGAGAATACTCTCAGTGGCAACGGGTTCGCCTGACGACATCTTACATCAGTAAAGCGGGCAATGCAAATTACCCCCCATTAGTTGGCAGAGAGCGGATCTTTGCCGATGATTAAATACCTGAGTGAAAATGCGGCGCAGCTGCAACAGCGCACTCTATTTATGCACCTAATTTAATTGGGAAGAACCCCTGCTGTATTACCCGTTTACGAGCCCATTTGCATCAGCTCGTGCCATTGCTGAAGGTCACGCCGCAAAGCTTGGTTGAGATGTTCCTGAAGTTATCGAAAATCGATGAAAGGTTTGCGTCAAGGTACTCTCCTAAGCAGCTTTAGAAAAAGATGGTCCCCGCAAGTGCCATTCTTTGTAGAGCCACAACGGAGGGATTGGCGTGCTAGAGCGAGGTCTGCTGCAGGAGCAGTATTTCGTGACTAGTCACATCATTATTCCTGTCAATCAAAATATTGGTCAATAAATGATTCGAACGATGGACAAGTTAGCCATTGGAAGCGCATGAATTTAGGCCTTTTATTGGAAGGAAAAATGGTGTTTTCAAGATAGAGACAGAGAGCATGTTGAGGACCGATTTTCTTACCAGCGCCTTCAAGATAGTTTAAAGAAAGTCCTTGAAATACTATTAGACTTCTAGAAACTCTTTTATATCACCAAATCTTAGGTATAAATATTATCCGTTTTAGGACTAGCAAGTCCTCGCATTAGGGCTGGTAAATAATTTGGGAGTAATTGAGGTAGAAACATTGTAAATTTCGAAAAGATCTGTACTAACGAGAGATATACTTCTCTAAGTCGGACCCGTTCGATACTATATACTACTATTCGGTTCTATCGAAGCGCCTGTCTAAAGTGTGTTGTGCCCTGTTCGTGGGAGTGACGATCTTCGATCAAGATCTGTTTAGTGATCGCATATTGGGCCACGTGCTTCGACCTCGGCCCGAGAAAGGAATTGCGGGGATATCTTTTGCGGCGTCCCAAAACATGCTTACGCAAGGTTGATGTCGCTTGACGAGTTTACCGATCAGTGAAAGTCACTATGGTTTTGTGATATTCATCCAACCCTCTCCCCTGTCAGGTCAAGTAGTAGTACATTCCTTTTTTTGGTCTTTTACAACACATTGCACGGATTCCTGCGACTATGGCGCCTAGCCTAGCCGAGCTGATAGCTATTGAGCCCCTTGGACCGGGAAAGTATCAGTCCAAACATTTTCCACCTCATGGTGGAAACTCGGCCCCAATTGCCTATGGTGGATTTACCATTGCAGTCGCCTTGCAGGCCGCAATGGCCTCAGTTCCAGCGACCTTCCACCTATACTCTGTTATGGGAAATTATCTAGCCCCCGTGAGCACAAAGCGCCGGATTATCTGCACGGTGCAGGAAACGCGGTCAACGCGAACGTTCATGACACGCCGAGTCCAGGTATCGCAGGAACAAGACAACGGCAAGCCCACGTATATCTGTTTGGATATGCTCGCGGACTTTCAAATTGCAGAGCCTGCGTTGATCACCTACTCTACTCCACCTCAGAGGGAATATACGCACTGGAAGGATTGCGTCACCGTGGAGACGCACCGACAGCAGATGCTGGCTGCAGGAGAGATCACTCCTGCACAAGATAAGATATACGAGGCAATTTTCGGTGGTCTGCACACCTTCCAGTACGAAGTGCGTGCCTGTCCAGAGAGTATGACAACTCAAACCCTGGTAGGTGTGAACAAGCATCGCCCTACTACTCAGGATCGTCTGTCCTTGGTGGATCGCAGTTCTGGTGACTGGTTCCGCGCAATTGGCGACTTTAAAACTCCAGCCGACCACCTTGCTGCCCTAACTTTTATCATGGACGGCCTGTTGTCATTTTTGCCTCTCGTCCATAGCCGCCACTTCTTTGACGAAGTCGACGCCTGTTCTAGTCTGGACTTTGCGTTCCGCATCTTCAACCCTAACGTCAATCTCAATAATTGGCATCTACGTGAATGCATCACGCATGCTGGTGGTTTTGGCCGGACATACACGGAGGGCCGGGTTTGGGATGAGGCTGGCACACTGATAGGCTCCATGACACAGCAGTGTATTCTGCGCCCGAAAGCGAAGAAACAGAAACATAATTTGTAATTTTAGATATAGATATAGATATAGATATAGCTATAGATCCTGTTTGTCCATTTCTTCTTGTCCCTCTACGTCTCAAATGTTATGTTGATATTGGCGCTAGGACAACAAATGTAGAAACATAAACTGCTTTGACTGCACTTTGTAATTTGGAAAATTAGGCTAGATATTTAGTTATTTCCAATACCCATATTCTCCATCGCGATTCTCATTATTGATATGTCTTTCAACCGTGAATATTGGTCCGATCGGCTTAATTGAGGAGGGTAATGCATTATGTATCCGATGACGCGACCTCGGTAAGCTTCAAAATGTGAACCATTCCCTCAAACTCCCCAGCGTGCCAATGTCTCCTGTCCCTTATCCGTAAAGAGCAATTTTCCATTGACATATCCCACCACATAAATCATTGGGTACCTCCAATGGAACCACCATGGATGCTCGGTGGCACCAAACCAACCGAAATGCCGATCCAAATTATAACACAGATAGTTGCAACTTCCAAAGATAAATAGACCGATTAGAGCCGTGAAATGTACTGCTTTCGTCCCGTAGTGATGGTCCACGATAAAATAGTTGACGATTCCACCCATTGCACCACCCATTCCAAGAGGACAAAAAAGCAGCGTCCATAAAATTTTGTAGAGAAGGTCCCGTGTACCGGTCATGACAATGACTCCCACAGCGAGAAATATCACCTCCGCAATGAGCGAGTTCAGCCAGAAGAGGAGGAATGGGCGGAGATAGATAGCGCGGCGTTTGCTAGCGGTAGGTTTATCATCTTCCGAGACCACGAGGACTTGATACTTGATATCTCCCATTTTAAACGTCAGTCGAAGTATTGGTTGATGAACTTCTAAGGGTATTCAAAACAATAGAGTTCTAGCAATGCTCTCGAACGATTAAAATAACGATCAAATCCTCTGCTGATATTAACACAACATGGGGAATGGACGTTTTTATACTTCCACACGCTTGACAATGGAATAATACTACCGAGGCTGTATAAAAATGTGGAATGTTCATCATGTTCAGTAATCAGCACCCATTTCTCGGTTTTATGTCTTTCATTGAGCCGAGGACTGAGCAAATGGCTGCAAAAATTCAGTAAGAGCCACCCTTTGTCTACTTAGGCAGTGCGAATGAAGTTTGAATCTAGCAATATTGATAAGAATTGCCGATCTCCTGATGTATAACATTTGACCTGTTATCCTTCATTTTCCGCCGAAAGCAAGCATAAAAGTCTGTCGAACGCTTATGATTGCACAACCTCAGTTGGTGATATTTTGTTTCTACTGGATCCGAACCCCAAACCCCCTCCAAAGTCTTATTATTAGGTCAAGAGTGTATTAACCTTTCATCTACACCCAACAGAGCTTCACATGCTGCAACACTGACTTTTCAACATCTTTTCGTCGAAACCCAGCAGAACGACCGAGACAAACGCAGAAAGTGCTTAAGTCTATGACTTCTCGTTAGATGGCCGACAACGACGGTAGTATACTAGAAACAGACTTACGCCGCAACAACTTGCTCTCGTCAACAACCAATACCGTTCCCGGTGGTAAGGAGCCCCAAGGGAATTTTGATTGCGGACTGCACTCCGAGACGTTACGCGTAGCTCCGAGAGCTGGGCTGTGATTTTCTGTCATAACTCCATATTCTGCTAGAAACCCTTGTACATCCCCAGAATTGAACCAATCTTCCTGAAATTCACTTTGTAGGTTGGCTCTACTTGACACTTGGGTCATTCCGCGACTTTTCTCCGGTAATCCATCTAGTCTAGGATCCAGATTGTATCTTTTGCTCTGCATCTTTCGAGGATAATGGGTTCCGGCACCACCAAGGATGACTTCTGGAACTTTCCAGTTGTCAAAAACTGCAGACGCGCCGAGAGAATCGATAAATTCTTTAAAATATGTGGCAATCTGGTCACGGCTCATAACAGTCATAAGAAATTTAAATCCCCTGGATAATTCCGCAGTAGTTATAGATGGATCTTTGAGGCGACGGTAAGCGCGCAATGCACATGCCATATCTAGCCGATCGGCGAGGGATTTGTTATTTGCACATATATCAACCGTGGATATTGGTTCGGTTAGTTCAATTGTGGAAGGAATTGAAGAAAGCGACCTTAGATCGTTTAAGTGGGAGAAAGTTGGATCGCTAGATGTCTCAGTGTCCGCATCATTCGACCTTTCCCACTCTAATAATTGTCCTGAATATGTAACTTCGAGACTTTCGTGATTAAAATCATCCGCCGGCCTAACCTCTTTTGTTGTAATCTTTTGGTGATCGCCACTGGTTTTCTTAGACCTCTGTGAAGGCGATAACTTTTTTGACGTTTTATTGACTTGAATGCTTTCTCCCACACACTCAACGTCACCTTGCCTCGCCATTGACATACATTTCTCCGCAGTCTCCTTCAGCTTCGCAGCCAGATCTGGACGGTCATTCAATAGACCAGACGTAAGGACATCATTTCTAAATTGCAAGCAGATTTGACTCGTTTGATACATCACGTCTTCCAGCTCCTTGACACGGCCTCTCAATGTCGACAGCTCCATCTCCTGACGCGACCGATAGGCTCTTTGTGCTGCGCGGATTTGGGCCCGCCGTTTCTGGGTTACCGTCTCAATAACGGATACACAGGTCAAACCGTAGAGTACAACGACTTACATCAGCCGGTGAGTCCATTCCATTTGATTTCTGCGGCCTCCCTCTTTGCCCTTTCCCTTTTTGATCCATAGCCTTGGCAACCCGAGAACTGTTCGCATTCTGAGGTCGTCGTTTCGCACGGTTTGACCGAGCAATCAATGGGTTATCGTCGGTTTGCATTTCATGTATATGGCCTTGGGATAGGTTGCTATTAGCATCAGTATCGATCGGGACTGTATTCAAATTTTCTGCGCTGTCTTGCACAAGGTCTTCATAAGTGGAAGCGGACAAGAAATCAAGAAGTCTGGGCTCTGGAGCCAATCGAGGTGACGGTGGAGGGAAAGGGACATCCGATAGCTCATCATAAAATCTAGTTGAAAGGCTTAGATTTTCCATCTCTGATGAATTTCGCTGCGCCCATGCTAGCGGCGCAAGACAACTGCAGAACGGTGACTCGGTAATCCAGTTTCTGAATCCGCTTAGCTATCGTGCATCGCCGAGGTTGAAAGGTAGAACCTCTTTCATGGGGGTCACAATTAGTTTAGATTAGTGATAGAAGCTCAGAATCTCGGCTGAGGATCTAGTTTATAAGTATCGTTGATTTAACTACCTCGGAGTTGCTATATTTGTTGATTAGTGATCCAATGTTCGGCAGAAATCTGCTAGGATCCCGGCAACCCTAGGGTTATGTTTTGCTGTATTGGCAATTATGTCAATATCAATACTCCGTGGTTTCGTCATTACACTAAGTTTGTATAGATAAATTTCTCAATTGATTCAATTGAGCCCTTCTAGAGTTCTATCTTTTCCCTCGGTGTAATATCAATGATAACATATCTAAGGATAAAAAAGGCAGATTAAACTTGCTAAGTATCCATTTAACGATGAAGAATAAGCTTATATTAATATTTTACACGACACTATGAATTATGAACCGTGCGTATCACCATTTGATGTCTTTGACTCTCTTTTGGGCTTCCATGCTGGTTGTACTTATTATTGTGTCAGCATGAGCAATATCGGTAAACAACATTGAATTTTAGTTTTCGTATGGGTTGACTGTTTATGTCTCCTAATTATATAAAGAAACAAGTCCAAATAATTGTAAGAAGATTGGGGCTAGGTCAAACGAACTTTAGCGTTACAGTAATTCTACTCCAGATTCTTATTGCGGGAGTTATCACTGTCCTTAAAACCGGGGTTAAGACCACGAATATTGGGGGTAAATTAATCATGCGGGGAACCAAACAATGCTGGAATTTCCATGCTACAAAAATCCGATATAAATACCCATACAGATCACAAATAGATGTCAATATAGAGGATGCAAATCTGAAAAATATATCAAGATATATAAAATGTCTTGTTGGTCTGCATTTTCAGCTCCAAGCTTCTCTATCTCACCACTTGCTGAATGAAAATCAAATAAGGAAACTCAATAGACATATACCAGCGCCTACATATGCACATTTGGTAGATCAATTCAACATTGAAGCTACTAAGTTTTCAGACCTGCGTCTTTACAGTGTTTGCTAGGAATTATCACTTCAAGTATCTTTCATTTCTCCACTGTTTTCACTAACGCGGTTGTTGACTCGGCGATTCACAACAAAGAAATCTTTGGTCCTGTACCCGTCTCCAAACCCTCTAGATAGAGGCAAGTTCCTTAGGTCTAATTGACGTGTAAATAAAGTAGTATTCTATGATATGGATGAGAGGTCATTGAGGCAGTGAAGCCGATGGCGCACACCCTGTGTCGGCAACAGAAGCAAATGAGAAAAGGATATGAAATACACGTGTTTTGAGCGTGGTTTGTAGTGGGGGAGAAAGAAGAGAGGAAAGAGGGCATCTATCTATATGGGGAGACGCTAACTAAAGCGGCATAGTTAGTAGTCGTATCACATGCTAGTCCATGGCAGCTTAAGCACAATAAAATCAAGGCTGTACCGATATCTCACGTTGAAGAGGTTATGCTAGTTGCTGTCGAATACAAACTTTTTAAGCTCTTCATATGCCTCTTGGAGATTATCGTTAACTATGATCTTGTCGTGAACACCAGTCTCTGCGTAATCTAACTCAACCCTCGCTTGAGCTAGTCTCTTTTGAATAGACTCATCCTTTTCAGTGCCCCGTCCTCGCAGGCGTTTCTCAAGAACCTCAAAGCTTGGCGGTTTGATAAAAACATAACGAGCCTTGATGTTAGGGTTTGCCTGTATTTGTCGAACACCGTCCATCTCAATATCTAACACAACAATAAGGCCCTTGGCGGTTTGGTCTGCGATTGTTTTTTGAGACGTGCCATACTGATTACCACCAAATTTTGCGTGTTCAACAAAGGCTCCTTGAGAAATGAGATCGGCGAACGTCGAGGGGGTCACGAAAAAGTAATCTTTGCCATCAATTTCACCAGCACGTGGGGCTCGAGTTGTATGGGAGACTGTGAACGCGAAAGTGTTAGGAAACTCTTCAAAAAGCTTTTGAATGAGGGTTCCTTTGCCGACACCGGACGGCCCAGAAATAACGATGGGTCGGCTTTCCTTGACAGGTGCTTTGGCAATTAGCCACAATCCTAGGCTTTGATAGGTGAATGCATAACTTACTCGACATCGGATTGCTATCGTGGCCTAAATATGAGGCCCGGTATAGATTTGGCAGTGTATGGTGTGATCTCACGAATGATTTGCTCGCGAATAGTGAAGCCACTGAAAATTGCCGGCCAGTCACGTGGCGGATCATGTGACCCTTCGTCTTATCCCAGCCAAACGTATCTCGTCTCCATGATGCACACGCCAGAGCCGCACGAGAAGAGACAGTATAGGATAGATCACCCGAACAGACCAAGATGGTAGAAAGGCGAGGACAAATCATAGATAGAAGGCAATTGATTTGTGAAAGGGGTGGTGGCAGCCGTGCTTTAAATTGTTAGCCCCCCCAGCCCAGGCGGTGAGGAGAGAGGTTGCTTTTTTCTTTTCTTTGGAATGACCGCCAGGAATATCAATATATCGCCTAGTCGAAAATGCAATCTGACCACAGCGAATCCAGATTTATATAAAATTTATTCATCATTACACTGAATATTCGATCGTTTCTTTTTTGCTACCAAACCCCCCCCCCTCCCCTACCAGATTGATACTTCTACGGGTGTTATACTATCGCCCACCCCGGCGCTCAGGAATAGATTAAGAATTTTAAAAAAATACTCATTCAGTTCAATTATCCGGTAGTAATTTTGTGTAATCATTGGACCACTAGGCAGGCTGACAGAATGGGCACTCTAACAGGAGCACAAGGGAGCTAGGTGTGTTGCATCTTGAGGGTTGCGGTTTCGCCCAATAAATTCATCAACGTAAGTACTCTGTGCAAAAGGCTGCATTGTTGTGGAGACACGTAGACGCCTTTCGGAACGCCTCTCGGAGTTTGACCAACCAGTGTTTCTATAACGACTGTATCGCCCGGGCATGCCACTCAAGGGTGCAGGATTTGGCCATAGCCAATCAACCTCTAGATGTTGAACCAGACGTCGACTATGGAGATGCATCCCTCTAAAAATGATATAAATTAGCAACCGACAGCATGACATTCTTCGTCGACCAAAAACCCTATGAATATATTTCGCGTATTCCTAGGAGATCAAATTATCTTCTCAAAGCGGTCATAATTATGGAACCCGCGTGGGAGATCCATAAAGACTTAATACGAAAGCTTTTCCTGGAGGAAGGAAAAACTCTCCATGAAGTGATGGATTACATAGAAGAAATACATAACTTCTCCTCAAGGTATTTAATTACGTGGTCTGTTTTTCTCTGAGCATAGCTGACCTTGACTACAGTAAGGCCATGTACGAGCGCCAGTTGAAGAAGTGGGGCTTCCACAAGAATCTCAAAGGCAACGATTGGAAGATTATACAGTACAAGATTGAGAAAAGAAAACGGGATGGTAAGCGTACTGATGTGTATATAAGAAATACATTGGTCCCAGAGAAGAAGGTTAAGAAGGAAATCTCAAGGCATGCCGCAACCATATGGGAAACCTTTTATGCGAGGAATGCACCATGTATGTAATTTCCCGATATTACTTCCTAAGCTGATGGGGTCAAGCTCCAAAAACACCTGAGGGAATGTCGATAAATACTCCCGGACAAGTGTCTCAAAGTGAGGAGACGGAAACAGAAAGTTTTCCTGGGTTTAATATCAATGGTATCCATGCCCATAGACTTTCCGGAGGGGAGAATGAGTGCATGATATACTAATAAATTTCCTAACCAGCGTTCCGGCGGAGCTGGTTGCCACTATTGCCAAAAGAATTGCCAATTTACATCGAGGGCATTGAGACAGAGATCGATCGCCGATTCCTGGACCATTTTGTTTTCGAATTCAGTCGCGTTCTCACGCTCATCAACGATGATTCCAATCCGTTCAAGGAAATCCTTCTCCCAATGGCCACTCAACATGGATGTTTAATGCACTCCTTAATGTGCCTGTCCGGATCCCACCTGTCCGCCCGTGATCCAGAGCCGCGTTTCAAAGAGCGGAAACATTATCACTTTGATCGCGCCATCACCGACCTTAGACAAAGCATTGAGGCAGAACCCCCCGCCAATACAAGGTTATTGGTAGAAGATCCCATCATTGCATCAACACTCGCCTTGTGTCTTAACACTATTTGCGAAGGAGAAACCGAAGGAGAGTATCGATCCCACATGGATGCCGCTCGCTACCTTTTGACCACTCAAAAACCCAGGAGTGAGGTATTCCGACAGTTCATCGTCGAGTTCTATCAGTACCATGACGTGTCCAATTCGATCACCTCTCTTGATAGACGACCTTTATCACTCCGCATTCATTTGTTCAATCCCCATGCGCAAACCGGTACTTTCCTAGGCATTTTCGACGGCTTGTTTTATCACATATCAGAGGTCACGAGATTGAGGGATCGTATCCGACATCGACGCTCTTTTGAACGCGAACCAGCCGTTGATTATCAAATTTTAAATGAGGCCGTTGCAATTGATTCTGCTCTGCGGGCGTGGGAGCCAACATATACAATCGAAACCCCAAATTGGTACGCCTCACAACTGTATCGTCAATCGACGTGGGTGTATCTCTATCGAACTATTCACTCATCCCGTCCAAGTGAAAAGATTTCGCAAGTTGTAGATGATGCTCTCAAATACTTAGATATGCTACCATCTAATGCAGGAGCATATAGCATTATACTCATGCCACTATTTCTCATTAGCTGCTCGGCTTTCGAACCCCGCCAACGCGAGAGGATCAAGAAAGGCTTTGATGCTTTGAAAGAATATTCCAGTCTGCGAAATATCGACCCAGTCTTGAAGGTTGTGCAACGGGTATGGGAAGTCATGGATACGAAGATAGAGGACAGCTGGGACTGGGAGCATATCATCGCTGAAATGGACATGGACTTTTTGATTCATTGATTACTGACGGAAACATATGGAAAGTAGCGTTGCCCCTATCTCGTCGTTGGAGATGCTGTTTCCATCATTACATGCCGCCGCTTGTACACAGTCCAGCTTTCTCACAACAGGTCATATTTAATTGCGGCCTACCTCTCGTAGTGCCACGAAGTGGATTTCGGAATATTATACTGTATTTAGAAACGCGCTAGGGTCGAAGATATCAGGATGTTCCACAAATACAACTTTAGCTACGTCTGCAATCTGTTGCAAGGACTTTGTAGACTTTGGTATAGTTGAGTGTATTATTTTGTTGAGGACCAGAATATATTCCCCACAATTTTGTGAGATCCTATGTATCCACCACCTCTGAGCGCTGAATCCTTTAATTTTTACCCGAGCCGGCCACCCTGGTGGTGCTGGCATGTGTAAGTATTCTTTCCCTTGGATGTTCAGAATTAAATAGTGATGGACAAGCCATCGTTTATTCAATCGACAAATGAAAATGGCACTGCAGTGGGTTATCAATACCAAATACACCCTTTAAGCCTCTATTTCTTCGAGTGAAAGTAAAATAACATCTACATTTTTATCAACCACTACTCTCAGCTTGTAGATCTTCTTCGGTCTGGCTTTTCACGATCTCTCTCACAGCCTCCCACGAGTTATCCACGGTTGTCACACGTGTTTCCTTAGACGAGAGAGCCTTGAGCTCGTCAGGAAGTACTTGTTCTTCGAAATTGAAACCAGCCTCGTCCTTCAAAGCCGATGTGACCACTTCGGAGAACTTAGCAGGGTGGGCAGTTGAAAGTGAGATGTGCTGGATGTGCCCGCTGGTCCGAGCAAGCGATCTCTTTGCAACAGTAATACCCACAGCCGTGTGAGGATCAAGGATGTATTTAGTCTGTTTATAACATGACCTGATAGTCTCCACTGTCTCTGAATTGCTAACACGATCGCTCTCGAATGTGAGCCGTCCATTTTCCAGGATATCCTTATGAACGGGCCCAAACCCGCCTGTTGATTTGAGCGACTGATACCAGGCCACGATATCTGCACTAGCCTGTTTTTTGCTGGATTGATCGTCCTTGCCAGTCGTCACAGCATGCTCCTTCGCCAAAAACCACAATAGTCTCTCAAAGTTGCTCGAGACGAGGATATCCATTGCCGGGCTGTATGTTTCCTTGCAACCGTGGACAGGATCCTTCTCGTACCGTCCAGTTGTCCAGAACCGATGCAGAATATCATTTTCATTTGTTGCCACGACGAGTTTGTCCGCAGGAAGACCCATTTTGGTTGCAAAGAAACCCGCAAGGATATTCCCAAAGTTTCCAGTGGGTGTCACAAAGCGAACCTTATCTCCGACCTTAAAGGAAGGTGATTTTCGTGCCAGTGAGAAGTATGCATAAAAGTAAAACACGATTTGAGCGAGAATTCTTGAGAAGTTTATCGAGTTGACGGCACCCAGCTTCAAGGTCTTGTTTGAGTCAGGGTCATTAAACAGGGCCTTGACGATATCTTGGCAGTCGTCAAATGTCCCCCTAATAGCGAGGTTGTGGACATTCCTGTCAATGCAAGTCGTCATCTGTGCCTCTTGAATAGGACTGACGCGATCTTTAGGATGCAAGATAGTAACTGAAACATCTTTCTTGCCCCTTAGACCGTAAATTGCTGCAGAGCCGGTATCACCACTCGTTGCACCCACAACTGTTAGGTGATGTCTATCTTTCCCTTGCTTCCCTTGATTCTTCCGGACTAGGAGATATTCGAAAAGATTTCCCAAGAATTGCAATGCACAATCCTTGAATGAATAGCTTGGACCATGAAATAGCTCAAGAAGGTATAGGTTGTCCTCTACGTTTATCAACGGGGTGACATCGTCTGCACGGAAAGTCGAATAACTCCGATCAATGATAGCTTTCAGGTCATCCGGGGGAATCTCAGAGCTTGAGATATAAAGGCTGAAAATCTTGAAGGCAAGCTCCTTGTAAGAGAGATCTTTCCAACTTTGCTGGGATATGTTAGCGTCTTGATCCCGCTCATATGTTCAATGCTTGAATTGAGGCTTTCTCTAAGAATGAACTGTAGAATACGTACCCAATCCTCTGCGATTGGCACTTCATGAGGCAGAAAAAGCCCGCCATCTGCGGCAAGGCCTTTTAAAACCACGGTCTCGAACGAGAGCTTCCAAATAGTCAGCAAACAGTCAAAACTAGACGAATGGTGATAATACGCACACCGTAGTCACCCCCTCTCGTGGAGAGATACTTTTGCGACTCAGTTGCAGCCATGATATTCAGTCTGGTTGCTATGATGCCTTGGTAATTGAGCTGAAAATCTCTCTATCCCGTCATATAATCTGACTCACCACGTGCTCCGACTTCGGGAGGGGCATCCCGGAATAACTATCCTCCGGCCGAGCCGCCACCGAGTCACTCAGCCTCACCAGTCTTACCTCGCCACAATGCCTATTTATGCTCAGACGATGGTGATTGGCTGGGAAGTGCAGCGGTCACGAAAGCCCTAAGAACGCCTGTTGACCACCAGGCGAATGAACGCCTTCTGCGCTGACGTCTAATTGTTGCGGTGAAGCCTGCTCGCATCTTGTAAGAAGGCTGGAGAAATGCCCATAATGTCATCCTCAGAACGTTTCACTCGAGATCACAACTCATTTTTCAGGGTCTTCAGTTGTTTCCGAAAAGGAACTCGAGACAAAAGCACCGCATTTAATTCAACGTGATATTCTGGAGGAACAAAAACCAAATAATGACTAACGCGCAAAAGCGTAAATTATGGGAGATCGTCAATATCAACTCTAATGCATCTCATCCTTCTCATGAGCAGAAGAGACGACGCGAACTCGACACTCCGGAAACCCAGGACTCCCCAATAGATCAACAATACACGATTGGATTGATCTGTGCCTTACAGTGCGAGTATGATGCTCTGTGTCGAATGTTATGTGAAGAATTTGATAACCCAGAAGGAGTTGACATTAGTGACAACAATACCTATGTCTTTGGACGTATTGAGAGTCACCATGTCGTTATCGGATGCCTTCCAACGGGCAGACAAGGGAACAACACGGCAGCTAGGGTTGCAAGAGACATGGTACGCTCATTCCCTAACCTTCGATTTGCCTTATTGGTTGGAATAGGAGCGGCGGCGCCCACGGCTCGAAACGATATTCGACTTGGAGACGTCGTGGTCAGCGTGCCAAATGGCAGGTCTTCTGGAGTCGTCAAATATGATCTTGGAAAAAGGCTGTCAGGTAATCGCTTTGAACTTACTTCCCAGCTCAACGCCCCTCCGGAGATACTATTGGGGCTACTCACCGAGATCCGGCGGCGTCATAAGGATCCCACGAAGAAAGACGTAATCATGGAACATATGAAGAGAATGGATGATATGTCTGACTATCGACGCCCTGCCATTGACATCCTATATGCTGCAGACCATGATCACCAAGGACGCGTCGCGGGTAAATGCGACCAGACTTGCGGGACAGAGGCCAGAATCATTCGTCCACAGCGACAAGGTAGCAGACAATTGGAAATTCATTACGGAACCATTGCATCTGGAGACTCAGTTATCAAAGATCCGGCTTTCAGAGATCAATTATCAGCTGACCCGAACTACAATATATTGTGCTTCGAAATGGAAGCTGCTGGGCTTATGAATAATTTTCCATGTCTAGTCATCCGTGGAATCTCAGACTACGCCGATTCCCACAAGAACGATGATTGGCAAAATTATGCTGCATTGGCTGCTGCTGCATTCTCCAGGCATCTCCTTACCCTTCTCAAACCTAGTAAAGTTGTCGTCATGGATCGCTGGTTTTCCAGGATTGAAACGAGTGAGTGATACGTGATATTAAAAAAAAAAAAACCAAAGTAACAAGAGAAGACAGATTGAACTAATGTTTATCGCTAGATATTCGAAATATCCATAACGAAGTGAAGCAACTCCGCTCGCATATTGAGCAAGACAAACTTTTCCACTGGCTCAGACCGACTGATGCGTCTCAAAACTACACTAGAGCTATAGAGACACGACAGCCAGGAACATCAACCTGGGTTCTGGAGCATGAGAAGTTCTTGAGATGGAAGTCCAAAAAAGGATCATTCCTTTGGATATCAGGTATAGCAGGCAGCGGCAAGACAATTCTCGCATCCTCTATAATTGAGCACATTGCCCAATTGACGCCAGCTTGCAATGCTATGTCATCCATGACTGCATTGATCTATTTCTATTTTGACTTTTCTGACTGCCAGAAACAAACTCATCGCTCTATGATTAATTCGTTCATTTGGCAGATATCAAGCCAGGCAAGCCAGCCGTCGCCTGTTTTAAACCAGGTTTTCCATTTGTGTCACGATGGACACATTGAGCCTTCAACCAGACAGCTATACGAGATACTACATGACTTTTTGGAAAGTTTCACTGATGTTTATATTGTAATCGACGCTCAAGACGAGACCACAGACCCGGCAAAAACATTACACTTCATAAGCTCTGTCTTTGATCGAGGGAAAGACAAAGTCCATATTTTAGTCACCAGCCGAGGGGAGAACGAGCTGAATACTTACCTGAAACATCTATCCAATGATTGGAGCAGATTAGGTTTGAAGAAGCAACCAATAAATCGTGACATTGCCCATTACATACGACACAGACTTCAATCCGACCCCGAGTTAGAAAGATGGAGAAAGATGCCAGGCCTCCGACTTTCAATTGAAAGGGGGATACTTACAAAGTCTGACGGAATGTGAGTTAAAAGTTTCATCCTTTTCATCTCTTATTATAAAACTCTTCCAAGAGTTTTAGCTAAGAAACTATACGTAGGTTCCGACTAGCCGTTTGCCATCTCGACGACTTGAAACAGAATCTGAATGTAGAAATGCTTAAGAGAACATTGAACTCATTACCACAGAGCCTGGAGGAGACATACACTAAAATCATATCAAGCATTGATACCAGCCACAAAAGGTATACTCTGCAGGTACTTCAATGGCTTGTATACGCAAAGAGACCGCCATCAATTGCAGAACTGGTCGAAGTTCTTGCTGTTGACACCGAGAAGAAGGAACAACGCCCTTTTTTTGATATCAAAAATCGATTTCCCAATCCTCACGACATCCTGAAAATCTGCTCTAACCTCATTGTGGTTGAGGCTGATGTCTGGGACCATCCTGGCTCGGAGAAAGTCAAATTGTCGCATGCGTCGGTGCGAGACTATCTTGTTTCAGAAGAATTCAAGGCCCGTTTCGGTGATATAATGCAGGCAGATAATGCAAATGCTGAGATTGCATCAGTATGTCTTGGCTATCTTTTGGAGCTCGAGAACGTCGAATCTTCTACTTTGAATGAAAAGGGGGATATATCATTGCCATTGATGTCGTACGCAACGAGATACTGGTATCATCATGCTCGATGCGCACCAGAAGGAATAAAGACAATGAACCTGTTGACTGTAGACTTTTTTCTGAATAAGAAAAGGGCATTTACTAATTGGGTTCGATTATACGAAGTCTCACGCTCACCCCAACTACCATATCCAGAGGCAACTGATGCGTTGTACTACGCGTCCTTGACCGGGACAGAAGAATGTGTCAAACTATTGCTTGAAAAGGGACATAGCCCCAATGAGTTTGCATCAAATGGCGAAACACCTCTCGAACCCGCCGTGCAGGGAGGGTTTGAGAATATTGTGGTCACCTTGCTCCAACACGGAGCAAATCCTGATTTTCTCCCGCTATACAAATCTCATAGCTCCATGGCGCCACTTAAGATAGCTGTTCAAAACGGACATACGTCTATTGTGCGGCACTTACTAGATGCCGGCGCAGATCCCAATATTCGACAGCCAGGCCATGATATAACTGCATCGGCGTTGGAAATAGCGATACTCACGAAGAGGACAAACATCGTCGAGCTACTATTAGAATATGGAGCAAATCCGAATACCGCCTTGATTCATAAGAATAACCAATATGCACTCCAGCTACTATCCAGAGAAGGCAATTTACCGCTAGTCCGGCTTTTGCTTGAGAAAGGAGCAAATCCATGTGGGGGTGATTACAAGAACTATCATCCTACTCCCCTCGAAGAAGCTCTGTACAATGGCGATAAGCAGATTGCAAAGCTACTTTTAGACCACGGGGCAATGAGAAGGGGAAGCAACAGGATAAACATTCTTGATAATCTGGATGAGGATGGGTTTGAAAAGGTCAAAAGCTACCTAGAGACCAACTCATATCATGGCAACTACGACTTGATTGAACTCCTTCTGGATAGTAGTCTTGGATCCTCGGAAAAATATCGGGACTTGCATGGTGTTGCGCTTTGGATGGCTGCTAGCCAGGGACATGTTCGAGTTGTTGCGCTACTTGTTGATCGATGCCGGGTAATACCGAGAAAATTTGTCGTCCTGGCTAGACAATGGACTCCAGAGACATGTCAAGATCAGATATTTTCCTTATTAGATAGGGTGGATGAGTGTATATACTAATTTCTATAATTGATTGTGATATTTCTTCTAAATAGCTAAGCAAAGTTCATCCGCCTGGTGTAAGTGGATGAAGCGGGGTAATAAATACATTTATGATGAATGGAAAGCGTAAAAAAAGGGTTGTATGAGTATCGTGGTATTATGAATATCCGTGTCGTCATATAAGTCATTAGTTGTAGTGATGTCGTGTCAGAGTAGTAATAATAATAGTCATAAAAGTCGCTTTAGACTAGCCTGTGAGAAAGTCTTCAATAGTCAGAGGCTGCGTCCAAGTAACTGGTCGTGTGATATTATTATTTATGTCGGCCGTGGTGTCCTCGGCACCAATGTCATCCACTTGATTATCGCTAGCATCAACTGTCGATTTCTGCTGTCGGTCTTCCAGCAACATCCCCGGCCCATGGCGCAGTGCGAGGGCAACTGCCACTACCAAGGCAACAGAGAATCTCGCCCACAAAGTTATCGAGTGACCAACAGAATTTGACACGCTACTGCCAGAGTTACCAGGAAGAGATTGTTGCTGGGGTGCTAGCTTCAAGTGCTGGCCACAGCTACACGAGGGTGAAGGAGAAATGCCAACACGGTACTCATCCCACTCGCGACTTTTCACCTTCAACGACGAGTTCTTCAACCAGTCGTCTCGACGCTGCGAGCCCAAAAGAATGCTCATTATCCACCAAGAAAACTTTCCGAAACGTGTCATGCTCTGGTGCCAAACAGTTGCAACCGTCTTTTGCGCCACCGCGCTAAAAGTAGTTATGAACTCTTGGAAAGCCCTTCTCGTAACTCCAGCACTATCTTCGATGTGACTTAGTCCGTTATTTTGATTTGTTTCTTCATAGACTTTTGAAAGGCATGTTTTTTCGGCTCCCCTGGGAGTTCTGTCATCCCTCGATCTCTTGCTATGAGTCCTGAGGCGACGTGACCCAACAATCGAGTCTCTAACCATGCCTCGATAACTGTATCTCCGACCACCCTGCGTTGGCGAAGATATATCGTCATCTACTGACTGAAATGCGAACGGTCGATAGTCAGTATCAATAGAAGCCATAGATAGTCGGCCGGTGCCTGTGTCCGATCTCCTCGTTAAAAGAGAGTCTACTTCATCATCCACTTCCAACATAGCTTCGTCGAAAGTTTGATAGTAATATGATCGGCCTTCCAGCGCTGCTAGCGTCTCCTCTTGCGCAAGGCAAGTGCCAGGTTTAATAATATCATCAGGGGAATCGCGGTCGGAATTTGGGCTGGAAAAAGGCTGTTGTGTTTCAGATAGTTGGGATTGCCGTCGAGCACAATCCGGATTCGGTGTAGCAGTTGTAGGCAAAATTAAAGGCTTAAGGGTACATGTCCCAGAAGGAAATCGGCGCATATTTCGAGATCGCCCGGGTGTTCTGCCCTGCAGCTCAGAAGAGAATGGAAGCGGTACACTCCACCGAGATGATATGGATGAAATCTGAGACAATGTGGAGGATCGTTGTGATTTTGATACTGATGAAGACGCCATGGTGGAATCATCAGGAATAAGATCCGGAATGTCCGCGGGGTCTTGGTTGTCCTCAGCGTCAGGATCAAATTCTCGAGTCGAAGGGGGGATTAGAGGTTGGCATCCTGTGTCTGTGCGAGCTGGTACATACGGCAGCATAGATGTTGGTCGTGTTAGACGGGGACCAGGGCTGCGTATTGGAGAGAACTCTGGGGTTCGAGGCTCTTGTCTTATAGGAGACTGTGCCAGCAGCTCAGTCAAGACATCGACACGCCTCTCTAAACTCCGATTCGTTGACCTTAAAGATTCAGCATTTCGCAGCTTTTGGGCCTGTATATCCCGTTCACATTCAAGTTCTTTGATTCGATATTCGTTTTCCTCGATCTGACTCTCTAAAAAGATGATCTTGGTCCTTAATTTATTTTCAACCTCAGTCCGTATCGATACTTCCTCATCCACACGAGTCTCAAACTTATCCTCCCACTCAGCGATCTCTTGCCGCAGAACCTTGATCTCGGCACTCAAGGACCTGAGCCTCGACACCTGAGACTGTGTGGTTGACGCCTGCATAGGGCTTAACCGGCTTTGCATCGCAGCCAACTGTGTTTCCAGGTGATCAATATATCGGTTTGCTTTGTAGCTGGAGGTTCTTTCCCGATTATTCTTTGGGCGAGACGCGTGTGACGCGTTTAATGATAGAGGGGAACCCCGATCACGATATGCCACCTCTGCGTCAGTGTCATTATCCTGGAAGATTGAAGCTGGTGAGGAATTTCTCGAGTACTCTGGTTTATACGCTCGGGTTTGAGGTAAAGACAGGACGTCGTCATCCAAAGGCGGACCAAAGAGCTGTGTGATTGATGGGCGACGAGGTTTCCGGCCTCTCTGTGAAGAATCGTGTAGCTCCTGCAGAATGCTAACCCTCCTTCGCACCGAGCCCGTTGGCTTATCGACGGATGTGGCTTCTTCGGATGGCAGTGGTTGGTTTTCTTTGTCGATTGAAACGTCAGAACCAGCTGACAACGAACCCCATGTCGAGGCGCGATCCGACACTTTGCGCGGCGATATGTTGGTGCCTCGAAACCGAGCGTTTCGAAGCTGCAGACGTCGCGTTTGTAAGCTGAATGGTTCAGAGGCTAGGGGGGGCGACGGAGGGGAATTTGAATATCGAGACGATCTGGCCCAGGAAGATTGTCGAGGGTGGGGGAAGCTGGATGACGAGGGTGTAGTCGAGTTTGGGGAAAGGTGGAGGTGGAGATCCATGGTTGACGACGACCTCTTCTCTCATCAACACAAGGGGGGGTTTTTTTTTCGTCTCTTGTGGCTCCGACGTAATTAATTCAATTGGGTGCGGCGCATTCCGTTGGCACTTGTGGTGCTCACGGTTGTACCGAGGGAGGGAATGTGACAGCAGCTGGTCGGACCTCCCGATGGATGGATCAGCGGGGAGACCTAGCACAGGTTTAGGCAAGTGCTCCGACAATAGCAGCGCAGGCGATGGCAATAATGGATAATATTTATTGAGTGTTGTTCTCTGGCGGAGAATTAGTAGTGAAGAAGCAAAAACGTAAAACATCGGCGGATGGCGGAAGCAGCAATTAATGTTGTTTTGTTACAGCCGAAGCGGGTGTTTGTTGTTGTCTCCGCCGTTGCTGTCGACAACTCAACTGAGCCAATTCAGACGATCCACAAGCAACTAATGATGCGTGTAGAGGACTGACAGTGGGCACTACTAGAGTAGTCTAGAGGAGAAACTAAGAGGCGGTGTCTGCCCCTGAATTGTCTCGCGCACATTGGAGGAGAGCCTCCTACACGTGACGCTGCAAGCCGCACGCCTCCACCGCCTCCACAATTGCCTGTGCAATTTCCGCGACGGAGTAACCAGAGTCGCTACTATTCCGAACACATCCGACCACTCCATGTAGTTATTTATTAATATTATTGCTACTATTGCTGCCTGTGTCACAGCGAGGCATTGACTCGTTATTTGCATGTGCTGCAAGTTCCCTCGAGAATATTGCGCAGTGAATAATTGACCTATCCGATCAATAGATAAATCAAGCTATCGACATGATTATCTTCTGCTCTTCCATCACTCTTTTGACTCCTATCGGTCCATAGTACCCGCGCTTCCACGCAACCGACAGCACTTCGAGGACTCGCTGGCAGCCAAACATGTTATAAGGACGCTTCGACAGCGTCTGTGCAAGTAGTTCTCGGTGCTCCTGCTGCCGCAGACAGGATCCGAGAACCATCGCTGACCAGAGTAGCGACGACCACATCGGGCGAGAATCTGAAAGCGACCCTGAGGCAGCCAGCATCCGATCTATCGCTTCGTCAATCTTGCATATCACAGCCTCTTCGTGTTGAATTCCAGGCCCGTAATAACTGGTGTAGAGATACACTAGCACAGCCTGTTGATGTATGCGACCCGTGATTCGATAGTCCGAGGCTGTCTCGTCATCTATGCTCAATTCAGCCAGCTCTTCGGGAGGCTCCCAGGTCATGATCTTGTTCTCGAGAATACAAAACATGTCATACCGACTCTTTTGTAAATTTGAGTTGGCTGGTGTCGATGGCACGTATCTTAGCATTTCAATCCTGGGAATCATCTCGAAGAGGGAGTGAGCACATCCAAATAGTAATCCGTATGAATCGGTTCCTCGATTGAGTGAATCAAGTCTCGAAACCACAGAGTCTCTTTCCCCGTGGTTCTCTGTTTTCTCAATCGCTTGCGTTTTCACACCCGCGACGGATGTTTTGGATACTATAGACATGAAGGCGTAAAGCTCTAGTAGAAACCCATGGATGTTAGCCTCTACCTGAAGCCGTCCAAGTCGCAGTAGGAGTTCACGCGAGGCACGGAGGTGTAGAACAATCGCTCCATTTTGAGAACCGTCCACGGACTGTAATTAAATGTAAGCTATCTCGACATTTGTTTGATGCGTTTGGCAAGTGATTTCAGACCTCGAATTGACATAATAGCAGAATTGCCAGCACCAGACCCACTAACTTTTCAGAAGATAACCTATCATCCGCTTCCAGCACCTTAAGCCGCTGTCTCACACATCTGATGGCAACTGAGTAGTGTGATGTTGCCGAGAGGCTAGGTGTCTGGTCATAAGTACTAGAGAAGTGCGAGGCACCCAGGGCAAGGACGCAGTGAGTAATTAGATCGTCAGACAGAGCGTAGGGTAAAACATAAGAAGCGAATGGATTAAACGGCTTTACGCGCGAGGTGAGAACAAAAGCTGTTGTATTCATGTAAAAGTGGAAGATGGACTGTAAATCAGCTCTCTCGAGAATCTTTGGCCAACGGGGAGACGAGTAAGCGTTGCTGAAAGAGGGAGTAGTCAATAAAGGTTCTGTCTGGAACACGTGCAGCAGGACACTATTATCCTCGCGTATTTTCTCTTTCGCATTAATACTCTGGTTCACTTTCCCAGGGCAGCGATTTGTCAAAGGAGCCTCTGTGCCCGCCGTAGAATGGCCATCTGGATGGCACGACGGGACATCCCACTGTACACATTCAACAGCCTTCCCAGAGCTAGTCGAAGCAGTATCCATTAGAAGATTCCGCCAAGCTCTAGCATTATCAGTGGACCATTTGCACTGCAGCCGGTTTCGCTCGCACCCAACACAGACTGGCTTTCTTTCGTCGCATTTCTTGTGCCGCAACCGACATGTGAGGCATCCCGTGCGCTTCCTTGTTCGTTTCACGGCCTGGGAAGAAGCTATATTGCAGTCTTTCATTTCGGGTTATCCTATTGTATTATTGATCATAATACACTTGACTGCAACGCATATCTCACATTGACGAACTTGAGGTTGCGTACAACGAGGCCAACAGATGAAACACTTAGAACACTTGGGGTCCCTTATCGATAAGCGCGCTTAAACACCACGCTAGTACAAATATAGTAAATTCTGTATATCTCCTCTCACATGCTCAATTCTCAATTTGTTCGTCTATGGCATAGTGTGAGTTTCCTGCGTCAGATATCGGGTATTCACGCTTTAGATACTACCAGTAATTTTCTGGCGCTAATATTTGGCTGCATTGATAAATCCTGTATACATACCAGTGAATATGCTTCTCAAGAGTCAAGCCAATGCATCCCAGTTCACGATTGTCCGACATAGACAATGTATCTAATCATGAGCAATAGCAGTTACATAAGCAGCCCACCAGCTCTCAATCTATCATCAAAGTCACTCAGAAAAACTGCCATCTTATGGCTATTATTCATATTATTCGAGAATTCCTTGATTCCTATTGCCCTTTTCTTCATTCTTGGAGACATTTTTCATGTCAAGCTATGGATCAGTAGGTTAACGCTTCCACTAACTCTTCTTCTTATAATCATATGTAGAACCTGACCTAGATAATCACTTGATAGTATACACCGTCATAGCCAGCATCTGGGGGTTCGCCCTCTATGTCCAATTCCTCATTCGATTATGGAAATTTCTTCGGCGGTGGAAATACTACAGACCTCTTTCATCAACAGAAACAAATTCTGACCAAAACCCATCCCATCCCCGCCTATACAGCCTAGACACAACACACTGGATCCTGCTAGTCGCACTATCTATTTCCATCGCCGAATTAATCATCGCTACGGCTCTGACAACACCAAGCATCCGGGTCCTTTCAGTCGTCAATCAATCCATGTTTCTTGCGCTGAGTATCGCCGTTTTTATACTCGACGTCGGGTCGTGGTTTGCTATGCGTGCCACCTTTCGTGTGAGCTCGATTGCGAGGGGGGAACCACTTCGCCCGGGCCTGTATACGTTAGTTGAAGATGTCATGGCCGTTGATGCTGGTTATGGACTGGAGTTTCGGGGACATATCAATGCGCGATGGAAAGCTAGTCCGAGTTTCAGATTGCTCTTCCAGCGATTAAGTCCGCTGTGGTCTGTTTCAGGTATAGCTGTGAATGGAGTGTGTCTTGGAGTGAGCATTGTTTTGATCGATGATACGCATGGCAAGGGCGAGGCTGGGTTTGTTATAGGGTTTGCTGTACCGTATGTCTGGGCTTTTGGCTTGATCATTATAAGTGTGGCTGTGGTCAAGAGTAGTCTACAGAAAGAAAGAGAGCGATGGTCGGAAGGAGGATAAATGGGAATATACGAGTCACTAGTATATAAGTATTGATTATAAAATGCTCTCATATTATTTCTAGCCCTCGAATATTGTGTCTGGAAACCCGAAGACCGAGTGCCTACTGCGGTAACAGGTATCCATGCCAGAAGCCCAGAAAAAAAATACATTTGGGCGTAAGATCGCTTCATTCGAATGAATCACACATAATTACTTGTATGGCTGCGATGCTGACGCCATTGGTCAGTTGTCGTATAGTTCAAGCGCGCTTATCGATAAGGTAGCCATCCTCAACCCTCGCACAATATCAGAGTCGAGGTATAAAAGGAGGTGTAGCTGATTAATTTCTTGAAACATATTTTAATTCCTCTAATCTCATTTCAACAAAAACTATTCATCTTTAAACTCAATATGAGTTATGATTGCATAGTCATTGGTGCTGGCTATTCAGGGCTGGCAGCAGCCAAAGCCCTAAAAGAAGCAGGGAAAAACATTCTCTTGCTAGAAGCACGAGACCGTGTCGGAGGTCGAGCTTACACAGTCCGCGATGCTGACGATGATTATTTCGACAACGGCGCCACTTACCTCGGCGTCCAGCAGGAGTCAATGTTTGCCCTATCCCGCGAATTCAAAGTCGCGACATTCCATTCTCCCACAAATGGCCGCAGCCTGTTCTATTACCGCGGCAAAGCCTTGCCATATAAAGGCGTCATCCCAGCAATGCGGATCTGGGAGCTTATTGATTTGGGTTTTGTAATTCGACGGTTTGAGAAGCTGGCCGAGGAGATGAACCTGGAAGAGCCGTGGAAGACGCGACGAGCAAAGGAATTGGATAATATGACGCTGAAGGAATGGTTTGATCGAAACTGCTGGACAAAGGCAGGCAATGATGTAATGACCTCTGTGTCGGAGCTGATCTGGGGCCAGCATCCTTCTTGTATTTCCCTACTGTACGGGTTGTGGTATACTAAAGCAGGTGTCAGTCTGACGGTCCTCTCGACGACTGCCAAAGGGGCCCAGGAGCAACTCATCCGAGGAGGTGGACAGATTATTGCAAACAAAATCGCCGATTTTCTGGGCCCTGATATCCTGCGCCTCCAGGAGCCTGTCAGCTTCGTTAGACAAGCTGATGATGATACAATCGAGATTACAACCTCTCAAGCCAGCTACCATGCCCACAGAATAATTTTTGCCATCCCGCCTCCGTTGCTATTGAAAGTGGGCTTTGAGCCTCCATTACCGGTTGAGAAAACCCAATTCTTGCAGCATTGCCCACCGGGTGCATATGTAAAAGTGTTTGCACTCTTTTCAACCCCGTTCTGGCGTGAAGCAGGTTTTCTTGGCGAGGTTGTGAGCCCTGATGGGTTCATTGCACTAACCAACGATGTAACTCCTGAAAAAGGGTCCCCGGGAAAGCTCATGGGGTTTATTGTTGGAGCAAAGGCATATCAGTTCTTGCGTCTCGGCGAGAAGGAGCGAAAAGAATTGTGCTTAAAGGAGTGGACAGCGGTATTCGGTGAGCGCGTGCGACATGAAGTCCGAAAATTTCATATCCATTCGATGATGGAGGAAGAATGGTCTCTTGGGTGCCCCTTGTCGACTCCTGCACCTGGAATGTTCACTACACTGGGGGACTCGTGGAGAAAACCAACAGGACGCATTCATTGGGCGGGTACAGAGACAGCGACTAAGTACTGTGGTTATATGGAGGGCGCAGTTGTTGCTGGAAAAAGAGCAGCGGCTGAGGTTTTGGAGGCTCTGTAAGATAACTCAATCGTGATGTATGTGTACCCTAGAAAATAAATAGGACTTATCCTCGTCATCATTATAGTACTCCTTCTAGGTAAGTAATATTTGCTAGTCAATTGTTCAACGTTGGTTTCCGAATTTTCTGTTAGATTAATCAAACATTTGAATGAGCCGGAACGGCCAAAATGTTTCCTTGATGTAAATCTAATCCTCTCTACCAGTGGGAAATGTATTTTCTTTTCTTTTCTTTTTTTTTTCTTTTTTTTCATCTCCTTATTCGCTTTCTTTCAACACCGAATTATTTCTCGCTCCTTGGCACCGCAATCCTAACCTACCCAACCGGAATTCGGGATAACTAGGTCTGTTGATTGGTTCGAGAATTATTTGCAACATTGACAAGAGGCTTTCGCCGAAGATAAAAATATTCAGCTAGCAATTCTTTGACTATAGGTAGATACTGTATAGGCGCTAATAATTATTACTACAGATTGGTAATTAGACATCAGTGCTACTTACGTGAGTTCCAATTCCCTTAGAGATTGCTACCGAGACCAAGGACCGTAAGCATCGATGACCCTCCAAAATTGCCAGTTGAGACTCTGGAACCAGTCTAAGAGGTTTGTAATGAATGCCTCCCACCGCCGCTAGCAGGTACAATGTGCAACCTGATAAAGAATCAATGCCTGCGGTGCCAATTCAATTCGGTATCGACAGGTCGAGCTATGTATTGGATGCGCCGTTAGTTTCTTCTGTCACATTGGTAGTAGTTGGCATGGGTATTGGGCCTCCTGGTGAGTTTTCGTTCGCCGCAGTCAAGACCTCGACGCCTGTTTCTGTGACAAGCAAGGTGTGTTCTATACGTATGTTAGATTAGGCAACAAATGCGAGATTATTTTCATACGTACCAAATTGAGCAGTTCGTTTGCCATCAACGGTTACATTTGTCCAGTCATCTGGCCAATAAACTCCCCGAGGTGTTCCCAGTGTAAGTATAGGTTCAATTGTGAAAGTCATTCCGGCTTTGCATACTCCTGGGATCTTATTCTTGGCATAATGTGGTATCCACGGCGGGGGATGGAACTCGGTGTTGATGCCATGGCCACCCCAGGTTGCGACGACACTACAGCCCCTAGACTTTGCATGCTTCTCAATGACCCGGCCAAACTCTCGTAAGGGCGTTCCGGGCTTTACGAGCTCAATTGCTTTATCCAAGCATTCCCGTGTCGTTTCAACTACTCTGACTGAATCTGGGTCTGCCTTGGCTCGATCACCCACATAATAGGTTTCGTTGAGATCAGCGTGATAGCCCCCGTGATATAAGGAGATGTCGAGATTGAGGATATCACCATCGAGAAGGATTCGCTGGTCGGGTATTCCGTGGCAAATCACCTCGTTTGGAGAAGTACACAGAGATTTCGGAAAGTGGTTGTAATTCAATGGGGAAGGATATGACTGCCGCTCCACACAAGCCTTGTGACAGACCTCGTCCAGGTAATCCGTGGTAATGCCGGGCCTGATCTCGGCAGCGGTGATGTCGAGTACTTCTCGAGCCAATGCGCAGACCTTGCGCATTGCCGCCTGCCCCTTGGCATCTAGAATGTCAATTTTCGTCCTGCTTAAGCGCAGTTCACCCTTCGGTACGCCGGTCTCGGCCCAGTCAGGGTGTTTGATCGATTTGGGGACGGTGCGCCACTCAGACAGCGGATAGACGGGTCGGATACTTCCGGGGGGGAATGAGAATGTGGGGAAAGGATTGTGCAGCCTCGTCGCTGTATCAGGTCAGAGACGCTTTCTTTTTTAAATGATGCCATTCAGTATCTTACCTTGCACGGTTTTGTGTAGAATTTTATGCTGGCTCTATAACATGCGATTCGTCAGCCCCATGTGGGTGGTAATATACCCTGTGGATGGTAAGATCGTAAACAAACCCAGTTCCTTTTGAAGCAATCCTGCGAGCAGAAATAGCTGTCTTTCAAGCCGATCTTTAAACATGTCGGGCACTGTAAATCTCCAGCCTGATTTTCACAGTCTGCCCCTAGGCACTTTCTGTTCCGTTGTATTTCGGCCATTTAAGTAAGTGTTTTGGCAAGCGAGAGTTGTGTTCGGCTAGATTACAGAAATGTTGGTTTGTGGTGTGGAAAAAGGAAGGTGATGGCATCCTCCGGCGAAATTACTCACCCGATATCGATAAGATCGATAAGGCTGCAAGGCTTCCCACACTACCTGTCATCCTTCCTAAATAGGCAATCAATTCAGTGTCAGAATTTATTTCACATATAAAAGGCGGCTATCAAACTTGTGCTTATTTTAAATAGCTTGCTTAATGGACGTTTGGAATGATCAGAAGCACTAATCGAGCAAGGTTATGTTGGATGAGAAAATTAAGAAGTATCACCAGCTATAAGGGTGTTAACCTGGATACACGGTATAAAATCAACAATTAAAATCTTTTTAGTATAAGTTATTTAATATATTGACATATTTTAATAAAGAGATAGCCAGTAGAATTTCCTGATTAGACATTCCCGGGCCGCCAATCCTGGTTGCTAGCAGACCCTGTTGGGCTCCGATGTTTAACACTTTTGCCATTGTTTGACGTTGATTATCTGTTTGGGAAAGTCTGAAGCTTTACATGGGTTTTAAAATTGAATTCGGATAGCTCACTCTGGCTTATAAGCCTGAGCCCTGTCGATAGGTAGCGTGCCTTTCGTTTCTGCTCCAAAGATCGTCTGTTAGTGAATGAGATCATTAAGATCATATTGGTCCTACTTTCTGACCCCGAAACGTAACAATCAGCGCGTCGGCACCGCCTTTTATTATTACCTTTGCTCGAGCCAGAACATGGAGAAAGAAACGTTATGTGGTTTGTTTCAATGAACTTTTCCTTGACATCAATGCGAGGTCTGCTGATTCAAAGGTAGGAATATTTTCGGTCTTCGTATCTCCCAGACCATGGCCAAGTAAACAGATTCGGTTGATTGCATCTGTAGTACACTTAGAAGCGAGGTATAACCACTCTGCTACGCCTGCACGTTTCTGTGTTAAGACTCAATAGCCTCAGCCCGAGAGTCATCTTCGACCAAAGTTATCGACGTCTTCCCGACAGTTCTAGCCCACTGCCTCGTCGAAACCCCGCTCAACATGACTTCGCTCGATCCAAATGATCCCCCTCCACCCGACTGGCTTTCAGATTTGTAAGTCCGCGAGGTTAGAATTCGACCTTGTGACGTCTTATTAAGTAAATTTCGCATATGACGCGGCCCGGAGTAGCCAAGCAGCGTTACGGCCAAAGTGGTGACGACCGTGGCAACAGTGAAGAAAAGTGTCAGGAAAGCGGGAATACCATAGGGCCAATGGTATTGGATCCGTCGTTGGTACACAGCCACTTTTGGAACGAGGTTATCTGATGCATTAAGACTGTTATCATCAAAATTGTCGCGTTTTCGGAGGGTCTGTTGCTGCGCGTTTTGCAGCGTTTTGGTCCCAACGACTGCATTGGCGGCGGCATCCGTCCAGATAAGGTTGAGGATACGTGCAGTTGATGAAGAAGAATTGGACAATTCTTGCCATTGTCGGAGCATAGCAAGGTTGTCCCGCCCAGTATAATCAGCCACACCAAGGTTTGCGTTTCCAACACTAAATGCAACCGCAATAGCATCGGAATAGAATTTTATTCCAGGGAAGTTTTGAGAACTAGGGCCAGATCCAAAGCCAGAGCTCCAACCGTCGTATCCAGGCAGGTAGAGGAATTCCTTTTGCAGTGTTGAAAGACTGACGTTGCCTTGGTTTGGACTCGAGATAAGGCCCCATATAGGAGAGACATCACTCAGGTTTAGATTAGTCTGTTCAACGCCCCAGAGCGGCTTGGACGCGTTATCTGTATAGACTTTATCTCGAATGTCGGTGACGGTCAGTCCTGATAGATCGTCACTACCATTAAATTGGAAAGAAACGGTTTTGATTATGGCTTTCGCGGTAGATATGCATGAGTACACCGGGATGGTCCAGTTGCTTCCAGGGTCGAACAAGAGCGGCGTGCCATTATCCCGGCGTCGAGGGGCACCATACACTATCCCACACATTGTGGCGATGTTGGAGATGTTGGCTGTGTCAAGACCTCCCGCACCGTTGCAAGTGAGTCCTATTGATGATTAGCATCTCTTTTCACCGATAAAACTTCTCGATGAAAAGTCGATTGGATGACGATGGTGGTAAGAGACTTACCAATATCACTCCAAAAACTAGAGTCGATACCAAAAGGGTTTGGATACAGCGGCGGTTTTGATGGAATGGTAATATTCTGTGAAGAATTCGTTATCGAAGGTGTACTGGAACCACTTACTCCCTGGTCCAACCCATCAAGATAGCTCCCATAAATCTGGGTAGCGGTGAGCTGGTTTGGAGTACCAATGAAGAGAGAAGAGCCTGTTGAGTCATTATACATTAGCGGAAATGTCTTCCCTAATTCTGAGTTCAAATATTCAAAAGGTCTCGAGCCGGGAATGCTATCGTTGTGAATGCTGGTGATGTTCATGAAGGCCATAGAATAGGCATTGTTGAGCCAGGCTGCCCGGTAGGCTCGAAGCTGAAGATCTGGCTGACTCTGACGATCAGCGTAGAAGTCCCATGTCGGATAAGTGCGATTGATATTCACAAAGCCGCCACGATCAGTCAAAACTAGGTCGTAAATGCTTGTGCCCTGACTGGAGTATTTAGGAAGCATAAAGTCGAGGGTTACATTGAGGTCAACACACTGGGACTCCGGCTCGATGAAGAGAAGGTCCTCTGACCAGCGACTTCCATACGGGCTCATCGGAGGGGCGCTATGATTGCGAAAACCAATCCCACCATTAATCATATCGACCACCAGACCTTCAATGACCAAAAGCCTATTTTCCGTAACCATGGTCCTGATCTGCTGGAAGCTGCTGACGGGGTAACTCGACCCGTTGTCCGGCTGGGTGGCGGTTGGATAGTCATTAATCTGGGACCAGGTGTAGGATCTTGCCTGGATATCAAATACACTCGATACTGATTGGTTCATTGTAGCCAAGCCGCTCTGAAACACATCGATTACATACTGCGGGATATGAGAGTCATAATTGTAGACGTCGTAGTACTCTCCGGTGGCATTGGTCATGTAGGTGACATTGCTGAAGGAATTCGGACATGCCACCGGGCTGAACGCGCCGCAGATGCGACTGAATGGGAGATTGCTTCTCGAGACTGTTCCATGGCCGAAATCACCCAGGTCTGCAATATAGTGAAACGAGGATGGGGCTGGTTTGTTGCTTAGAGAGATGCTTTGGTATAGTCCCAGCGGGGTGACGATGGCGGCGACAGAAGTTAACAATACCAGAGCCGCTTTCAACCTAGTCATGATCACAATATATAAGGGCACTCCTCTCATCACTGCGGAGTCCGCGTGGACGAGGAAAGGCCACCATGACGAGTGGAGAGATCGGCCTACGACAGACCTGTTATTTCAATGAAAGTCGAGTTAGTCATTGAAAACTTGTCTAGAGGAGCGGTAACACACACCATGTTACTGCAGAAGCGGTACTGGTAGAGCTCCTTTTATTGAAAAGGAAAAGAATAATGAGCGGCACGGCCAATAGAAAGACGATATGTACGATAGCAATAGCAGCGGCGATCATGCCCGACACATCGCCCACCGTCAGATCGTTGAGGGTCAGCATGATTTATGTTGATGTGTGTCGGCCGCCCAAGTTTGTTGTTTGGTGTCTGGCAGCTTGCAATGTTTGCATCTAGCTGTAAGCTTATCCACATCATGTTCGGGTAATTGAGAATCTGCGCTTATATATGTTCTTCGCCAAGTCTAACATAGATAGATCAAGCGAGCCATGGGCATCAGGACAAAGTCAACATAGCCATTATTAAAATAGCCATTATTGAAATATCAAGAATATTAATTCACAATTGGAAACTCAGCTGATCGTAGGCCTCCAATCAGCGCGATAGGTGCGTCGTGACACCATGGAAGAATACGAGGTGGTGTCCAATAATTTCTTTTATCTCGACGCCTTTCCATCCAAGGCTCGTAAATACACAATCAAAGCACACGAGGAGGCGATTACTTGGTATCTTGGCACATTGATAACCATGGTGCCAGAGAGCCTAGGCGCTTGGCATTTTGATAATTATTTATAAGCACATTTTAAACAGCACACATCTATTTTCTATATAAATTATTAAGAATTTTGCTAAAAATGTTTGATGCCATATATTGAGCATACTGTGATACCTTTAAACCGTATCTGTTTTAATTGGTCTATTTTGTTTTCTGACATTATTCAAATTGAACCAATAACATCCCACCGTGTTGTGATAGAGTCAGGGATGAATTAGTGTTGGAGTCTTGAACTATTTTAACCTAGCCCGTAGTATTGATGCTAAGTACAACCGGCAGATTTCGGACCTATCTTCCCACTTTGGAGATTATGGATCACTTTCGACTCTTTGAGTGTTGGCTCTTGACTCTTTTGGCCAATTGTGGCTGCTTTGAGTGGGACTTAATAATATCCATGTAAACCTTACATTCTTCGTCCCTGGAACCAAACATCTCTAGTGAACAGTGCTAAAATAGATGAAACCTTACTCTATAACTTCAGAGGAAACCTCTCTCGCAACCGCGCGCCATACTTGCCGAAAACAACCGGCAACGGTGCAAAGGCAAGAATTATGAACCCCAAGACACTATTTCCCCAGCCCAAACCTAAGCTATCGTACAAAGGATTGGCAGCGAGGGCTAAGAAAGTGCCCGAGGCGTTGCGTACCAATGTCACAGCCGCCAGCGCCGATGCTGCGCCTTGCGGACCGAACATATCTATCATATACAGCTGGGTCGACGAAGTAATGACAAGGGTGCCGAGGCCGATGAAGACAGTGCCGATTATGGGAGCCATCCATTGCACGGCATATTCAGTCGTCCATCCATACCAGAAAATACCGATCGATACAGAGGGCCCAATCCAAATCATCAGCTGCAGGCGACGCTCCGGTCCGCCATCCTTTCCTACGAGCTTGTCGCTCAGCGAGGCAAACAGAATCAGACCAATGACGCAGCCAACGCCGACACCGAGGTATGCCAGGCCAGAAACGCTAACACTCCAGCCATAGGTAACCCGGAAAACGGATGGGAAGGTAGCAAAGAGGAGGAATGTCATACCAAATGTGAGCGCAGTGTACAGACCCATAGGAAGAACAATGGGTGATAAGCACAGCATGCGTAGCGGTCGGATTAACGCCCGAACAATAAGTTGCCGCGGCTGTACTTGTTTCGCAAGTGCCGGCCGTAGGTCAGAATTGCCAGTTTGCTTACGAAGACGGGCAGCCTTGCTAGCGAGAAGTGTAGTCGAGTTAGTCTCACGCATCGTGGCCATAGCTATGGCTGTGACAATGCCGGCCTAGACAAGTGAATTGTTAGACCCATCGTTCGGCATGAGAGAGGGTGAGCGGCCCACAAATATAAGAACCAAATAGAACGTCCACCGCCAACCTAATGCCTGCGTCACAAACCCACCAATAATGGGGCCAAGTACAGGCCCAAGAAGAGGACCGGCTGTAAACATAGCAGTCGCGGCGCCACGCTCCTCTTTAGGAAGCAGGTCGGCGATGGTTCCCCCGCTTGAGGTCAAGAAGGAGGCTGCACTGGCACCGCAAAGAAAGCGAAACACGAGAAACATCGCAGTGTCAGTGCTGCGTGCACAGCCGATAGTGCAGCCCAAGTACAGTATACTGCTAGCCCAGTAGATAGGCAGGCGCCCAGCCACTTCAGACAGCGGAGCAAACAGCAGGGGACCCGTAGAGGCGCCTAGTGAAGGGATTGTCACAGCCAATGTAGCGACGATGTTATTAGTCACTCCAAATTCAGCAGCTAGTTCTGATGCCCCTGGAGCGAACGTGGTTGTCGCGATGTTCCTTCATTGGGATTGCGTCAGTAGGGTTATCCCGAGTCCGCGATGATCAATTGAAATGAAATAGAAATTGATTGAGCACCACGTACGAGTAAAGTACCGAGAGGCTTATCAGTATGATATGCAGCATTTTGCGCCCCTTGGACCAGTTGCGCGGGTTTGCAGGGTCTTCAGGGCCGTCCCAGTCGACGATATTCGGGTCGGCGACAGCATTATCAGTTGCACTCTCTTCATTAGGACAATCCTTCTGAATTATATGGTCTTTCTCGGAGGAATGTGGGTTTTGGCCAGCTTCTTCGACGTCAGTGTTCCCACTTCTGCTTTCATGGCTTTTGGTTTTCATAGTGTCACTCTCTATCTCACTTGGTGCCATGTTGCCAGGCAGCTCACAGTTTAGTAAGCCAAGGTAATCTCAACCTCTATAGTCTTTGAAATAAACAAAAGCCATTGCAAAGTATGACTCGGAGGCCGTCGTACTTTAAGCATCCTGAGAGGCCATGGCGAAGAACGCCCAGATTTTAAGGAGTGCATAACGAAGACAATCCGGATATTTGGCGGACGAGTGCCGCGTCTGGGAGGGGTAGGCAACGCCATTCTAGGTAGTAAACTTGATATGAGATGGCTTTGTCTCCGGTCCGAGTTTGCTCCGTCCGACGTGGACTGAGAAGAAGAGCTGATGTGTGCTGACTGTGATAGTAAATCATCGCCGTCGATAGCTCCGTAGATCTTCCTCCGTCAACTCTCAACGCAAATTCCCTCTCCTGGCGAAGAGAAGCGACCACCGGACTCAATCCTAATTTTATCTCCTTCGGTCCCTCTCCTCCAAGCTATGGCCGCGTCCATCCTCCAACACAGTGGGAGAATCGTGCTATCAAGACTAAATGGGCAAGGTCGGCACCCGCCATACGGGCCACCCCCAAATAAGCCATCAGTGCGACATAGCATCGTCTGAACCCTCCCTCCACATATCTCATCCCCCAACAGCGAAATGTCAAAAAGTCGCCGAAATGAGGTCTCGATACAAGCTGCCCTTCGAGATTTGGATTCCGGAAAATGTAAATCGGTCCGTGAAGCAGCAAACGCGCACAAAGTGGCTCGATCGACTTTACAAGGCCGGATCAACGGTCAACAAAGTCATCTAACCTCGCATATTGGTGACCAAATTCTGACTACTATTGAAGAGCAACGGCTAGTCGATTGGACACTGGGCTTGAATTCGCAAGGAAAATCACCCTCGATTCCGAATATGCGAGAAATGGCCACTTCTATTCTTCGGCAGAATGGGGAGAACCATGTTATAGGGAACAACTGGGTGCAGCGTTTCAGGCAACGCCATCCTGAGATATCCACGCGTAAAAGAAAAATAATAGACTCTAAAGGAGAGTCACCAACGCCGCCTACTGATTTAATGGAACGGCCGTCAGCAGTCGACTACGTTCGCCGTCTAACACAGCTCGACACTGCAGCAGAATTGGAGCATCCAACGGACCGCCGTCGTGAGAAGCCACAGCTTTCGTGTAATTTCTGTAGGCGACGCAAGTGAATCACCCCTGATTAAGTTTTTCGCCACGAGTGTATCGCTGCATGGCACTCAAGTAGAGATGAATTCTAACTAGTTCGTATGGTAGGATACGATGCGATCGTCAACATCCGTGCAAGAACTGCATAGAGAAGGGAATCGGGCTCTCCTGCACCTATGCGGCGGGTCCTCAGCGAAAAGAGAAACTCGGTATCGGTGAGCGCATCCAGCAGCTAGAAGCAATGGTACGTTCCCTAGCGCAGCAGCAGCACAATCCACAGACGCCTGCTGTGACTCCCATACCTTCGACAGGTGAAGGCGCGGGACAGACGACTGTATCACACCCTAAGCTCGCATCCTTGTCTGGCAGTAAGAGTTTCGACAGGTCTTCTGCATCTTTGGAACACGGAAGCATGCGTATGCATTCGCATGGTGCAAATTATGTCGGCAGTGTGCATTGGGCGGCCATTCTTGACAGCATCTCTGAGCTGAAGGATCACTACCAGGAGGAAGAGGAAGCGAGGGTGCTGACCACTAATGATTATCTGCTGCGTGACTATCCAAGGGCCCCGCATGTTTTATGAACCTGTAAATGCGACCAAAGCTGATATTCTTGCCTCAATACCGGCAAGGCCCGTGGTAGACCGCATGGTCGGACGACACTTCAATGCACAAGGCCTCACGCCACGTATGTACATACCTTTTGATCTCAATGTTGTAGGAAAGATTCTAGGTTTGTGGAAATTTTAGCTGACCCTGATTAGCCGTTCTTCACAGTGGCCAGTTTCTACGAGAGGTACGTTCATCAATTTGCTTAGGTTTTGACCTTCAAATTCTGTGTTCACTCCATAGCTGACTACTTTACCTTCAGTACGAAAGTTTTTGGAAGGATCCAGATACTACCTCTTTTACCTATATCGGCCTTTTATTTAGTATCATGTGTCTCTCGGTGCAAAGTAACCAGTTGAGTGAGGACCCGGCAGACCCGGAAGCTTTGATGCGCGTTTATCTATTCCGCGAACGAACTGTTCAGTGTCTTGTTCTGGGCCAGTTCACCAGAGGAGGTGCGTATGTACTTGAAACTATAATTAATTATTGCACTAGTGAGGTTCTTCTGTGCAAAGACGCAGATATTGGACTCTGGCTGCTACTTGGCATGCTCGTACAACTTGCCTTGAGCCAAGGCTATCATCGAGACCCTCGAAACTTTCCGAAAATTTCTCCGTTTGACGGCGAGATGCGTCGGCGTGTCTGGGCGGCCGTTAGACAGATAGACTTGCGACTATCAAGCCAGATGGGACTGCCACGTCTCCTTCAATCACAACAGTACGACACTGCCGACCCGCGCAACCTATTAGACTCGGATTTCGATGAAACCACTGTCGAGATACCACCATCGCGCTCAGATACTGAAGTGACACCAGTTCTCTACGTGTTGGCAAAGAACAGAATCGATAGCGTCGGTGGGCTAATTGGTGACCTCGTTGCTGACACACGGAAGCACCCGTACTCAGAGATCATGGATTTAGACCAAAAGCTGCAAGATGCTGAGGCCTCACTGCCGTCAATTTTCCGATGGCAGCCTCTCAGCCAGCCATTCATGGTGCCTCCTCTGATCGTCTTGCATCGCGTGTGGCTTCAAATCGCCGTCCAGCGGCTAACTATTTGTCTGCATCGCAAGTATCTCGCGCCACCGTATACCGAGCTGCGTTATAAGTATTCACGAAATTCATGTGTGCAGGCCGCTATCAAAATGCTCGAGTATCAGCGTCTTATCGATGAAGAGACGCAGCCAGATGGACAGCTGCATTCCGTTCGTTGGGTTTCCTCCTCGTTGTTGCAGACAACGTTCCTGCTGGGTATGAGTGTACTTTGTTACTACGTACAGCTAGCAAAAACCACGCCAGATCTGTCATTAGGTCAAGAAACCGACACGAAGATTTATGACTTATTGAGAGATACATATCCGATGTGGTTGCGTTCAAGCATCGTGTCTAGGGATGCCCGAGATGCAGTTGAGCGTCTGAGGCGTCTATTGGGACTACCAAATCAACAAGACAGCGGAAAATTTGCACAAGAAGGTTTGAGTCACTTTGACGCATCCCATGAGGCTGGTCTTTCGCTCGATCAGGTCACTTGGGATGCTTACCAAGGTAAGAATACAAACTTTTATCTGTTGAGTATAATTTTGGGTTTGAAGCTGATATATTCAGAATGCATTGCCAACTTTACCGTAGCATTTGATGCTGACTTCCTCACTCTAGAAGCGGGTGGGTCGTCTTCTGGGGTGTTTTCATGACGGACTAGACATAACTATCCAAAGTTGGCCGGCGGAACTGTGTCGGGACAATGGCTGTATTCTCGCACCCCAACCAAAAGCACCAAGCCATTATACACATACGCTTGGATATTCAACTATTTTACTCGGAAAATCGATAGAACCTAACTATATATTACCGCAAGCGAAAGGTAATTCCTATTTTGCTACTGTAATATATGTAGACCTTGTTCAGCCAGTACATAAAACACATTCACCGTCAATAAAGGATAATACCATCCCTAATCATACATGAGAAGTAAACACTCAATCCCAACAATAAATATATAATCCCACCTCTTCCCAATCCTTCAATGATATTCATGATAAAAATTACCTTGTATGGAATGCCCCCCATATCGGGTGTCACGTGATACTGATAAGCCGCGATAAGGATTTTCTCAACTTGAAATTTGAGATTCAATCAACATTGATATCAGACCTCATTACAGCTCATTAACACTCTCCCACGAATTCAGCCAATCCACCGCCGAAATAATATCATCCAACCTCCCTGCCTCGACCCCAAACTTCCTCCAATCGCAACCATGACACAGGGCTCATTAAAAAAGGCCAAAACAACAAACCCCAAAAAGTAAACTCCCCCAACGCCTCCCTCCTTTCCCTTCTATCCAACCATTCCATTTATATATTTATATGTCGTACTGATGAGAATAATAGGTCATCATCAAAACTCGGCCCTCGGGTAATCGCGCCGAAAAAGGCCTCGATCGCGAAACAGCGCAAGACGATGAAAAAGCTCACGTCGGGCTTGATTTCTAAGACAGAACGGAGTCTGGCGGCGCGCGCGGGGCATATGGAGTTGTTGACGAATGAGAAGAAGGAGCGGATGAAGGAGAAGAGGGCGGAGTTTAAGAAGAAGTAAAGGAGACATATCAATAAATACGATAGGATGGGAAGGGGTGTATATAGTTATGAGATCAGCATGTTGGATGGTTCTGCGTTATATTATATTTAGGGATTAGGCGTTTGTGGATGAATATTGGATCTATTTTCAAGTGATAATAAATCAAGTGCTATGTCCATGAAGTAATGTAATGTATCGATCAACAGCGGAAATTAAAGTAGATACATGTAAAAACGGAAAAGAAGAATCATTAATCATATCATTATCCACATAACCATAGTACGCCGGAAAGTCGCTTGCCCTGGGTATCTATATCCACTGCTCCAAAGATCCGACGAAAGAAAGGAGAAGAATATTCTGGTCACGTTTTGGTTTTTTTTTTGATATTTTTGCTGTGTTTACGTCTTGATGTGACTCGATACACGGTGTGGACTGCCGGCCTGTTCAATGAGTTCTCTCCCACGCGCCATCCACTGAACGAAGCCGTTCTCGGTGGTGTCGGCAGGGTAGTCGTCCCAGATCTCATTCTCGGTGTCGGCGTATCGTGACCATTTCCCCTTCAGGGCAGTGTCGGAGGCGGACCAGGATGGGAGTTTTGCGAGGACGTTGGTGTAGTATACGTAGAGGATCTGACATAAATGGTCGACGCGGTCAACATAGTGTTGCTGGCTGGGGTCAGGGTTGGCTCCACCATCGCCGAGACGGCGCCACCAGGAGACGCGCCAGCGCAGGGAGAGGAGGATGTGGCCCAGTTCCTCGAGGAATCGCATATGGGCGTCAGGGGTGATGCGCTTCCATTTGATGTTGTAAAAGTCGCGTTCTAGCTTGCGGAAGCCTTCGACCTCTAGCATACGGCAGACGATGCGGGATAGCTGGGCGGCGAGAAGGATGTCCTCGCGGTCTTCGGCGCTGCTAACATCCATGAGTTGCTCCTCAGACGAGCCGTCTAAGGAGACGAAGCTATATGAAGCGCGGCTGGGCATGTTGTTCCATTGTGAAAGAAGTTGCTAGTTCTAATTAGATGGAGTTCTGTGTAGAAGCTAGGATAACTCACGTAAACGTTATTCATCGGATCGCAGTCTTTGACGCAGCTGAGCCAGTTCTTGGACTTGTCCTTCGAGTCGATGATGCGGTGGTCAATGAACTCCAAGAACGTCGACTGTGAGTTGTCGCTATACTCGCTCAAGCCTTTCAAAAACTTGTACGTCTCTCCTAGATCGAGAACGTAAAGCGAGCCCCAGGATTGACTAGCGCGGATATTAAATTTACCGCGCCGTTCGCCTAAGAAGGCAACTAGCTTGTGCAAGTCGAATGCCGATGGAATCTCAATTCTAACTCGTTGATCCGTCCCGTTACGCGTTACATGGTTGATGGCTCGTTGAGCTGTAGACGTTAGTATGTGGTCTTAACCTGAATGCCTGAGTACTCACATATGTAGTTGCAAGTGCCGTATTCCACAATACTGGCAAAGCAAGCGCGTGCACAAGGCTGCTCGTGAAGAGTTGGTCGACAGGCATCGCAAGGAGCATTGCCATCGCACTGTACGATAATTAATTGAATGGAACCTCCAACTTAGAACTCTACATACCTTTCGTTTGTTCAGGCGGCATTGGACACAAGTGTCCTTGTTCTTTCGTCTCAATCCCGCATTGGCTCTGCCCACAGTACTGAGCGGACCCTTACGGCGAGCACCTCGCGGAGGAGATACAAAATCCTCCGACGATATGGCACCGCCTAGTCCATCCTCTTGAACAATCTGAAGGGGTAGAGGCTTGTGGATCTGCTCAATGCTCACAACCGAGCCACGCTGTTTCCGCCTGCGCGCGCCAGAGACAGGCTGCAACCCGAGAGTGTGGCGGGGCGGGAGGCTCTGGCTGTTTGCTTCCAGGGAAATGGGCGAAATATCCGACAAATCCTGACTTACCATGAACCCGCTCACTTTCGGAAATTCCGGCGATGCTGCCAAGCTGTTGTCCTGCGAGGTTGGCTCATCCCAGTCCACCACCTGTAGGTCATCTTTGGTGGCCGACTCTGATGTAATGGAGATATCGTTATTACCAATCGAATAGGCGTCCAAAGCAATCGAGCTGTTATCAGGCATAGACGGGCTGCTTGAACCATTCGAATGCTCAAGCTTCACAGGCTGAGAGCCATCGTAAGTGGACAAACCCTGCGACATGCGCGAGTATTCACCCGGAAATTTCGTCGAATGCGACATGTCCACACCGGCGAACCATTGTTGATCTAGTCCAGCGCTGTTCATCTGTACGCTATCTTTCTCAGATTGAGCGTCTAGTGGCGGCGAAATGGGCAACTGGTTTTGAGCGAACACATTCAGGTGGTTGACGCGATCGTTCCATCTGGAATTATTGTATGAAAACGACCGGCGCAGCTGTTGATAAGACGATAATGTATGGTGTTGTTGCTGATAGTCTTGGTACATGCCGCGCATTCCGAACTCGTTATCATCGACGATCACGGCATCGTTCGGATCGACAGTTTCCTTGCTGTAGGACGCCGCATCCAGAGGCATAGCTAGACCCATGTTGGTGGGCAGTTGGAACGAGTTCCAGCCATTGTCAGGGAGCGAGGTGTCGTCGGCAGCTTGGTATGTTCTCGGACTGAAAGTACCTCCAACGAAGCTCACTCGCTCGGAGAGGCCTGCAGAGCCACTAGCAAGCGGTCAGCACCAAAGCAGCATCCACATCAGAATTGGTGTCACACGAACCTGAAGTCGAGACTGGCGGAATCGATGACGGACTGGTCGAGGCTGTCGCGACTGGGAGGACCCTGCGCGGCGATTAACTCGAGCAGCTCGGCATCGCCTTCGTTGGAGTCCTGGTACGGATCTAGCTCAGGGAGATTGTCCAGAGTATGTTTGTCCCAGGCGAAATTGGGATTATGGGTGTTGGTGTTGGTGGTGAAGTCCCAGCTATCGAGGAAGTTGTTAGGGTCGAGGCCCGGAGCGGAGTCAGTGCTCGCGCGGTCCATCAGTTGGCAGCGTGAATCCGATCGAAGGGCAGGGGCTGAGGGGAATGTCGCGGTGGAAGAAGTCCCCACGACACAGGCGATGCTGCGTGCCTTTGTTCTGGGGTTCGTGGTCGGCGGGGTTGGCCAGGAGAGCGATGGTGTCTTGGAGAGGAATTGAAAAATCGTCGCCGTCGGCGAACCAAAGTCTGTATGTATCCTTGGTCTGACAAGCGGGGTGGGCGACCCCAGCGGCGCTCTAGTCAGCCTAGTTGCTGCTACTATTACGAGTACAGTAGGGTCGTGCAGCGATAGCAAAACAATGCGAGTAATAATAGTGATCGTATTATTCGATCAGTCTGACTGTGTTGACTTTTCTGACTGGGTCGCAGACGCTGGATCAGGTACCCGTACAACGCTTCTGTTTAACTTAGCATACCTCGACACGCCTCGTAAATCGGTTCGATATAAATAATTAAATTTACGAACGCTCTACGGACTCCGATCGTCGCGTTACACAGTCGCCCCCGTGTCTGGCAGATAGGCTCTCACTAATCCATTGATGGGCTGTTGAGGTTGCAAATTCGGTTGAATAATAAGAATCTGCATTGTCCCACTTTACATACGCATCCATTATTATTAGCATCCACGAGTAGACAAGCTGGCAGATTTCTTGATATTATTATATTTGTTATATTTATCGACTCTGCCCTACAATAAGAATAACAATAGAAGCTGATTATTCCTTGATCTGTTGATGCCAATTGGAGAATACTATCAGTATGGATTATATGGATGTATTGTGTATTGCATAGCGACTCTCCGGGCGGCTCCCATTGGCGGGCCGGAGTCGCCCGATGTCTCAACGTGACAATACCGTATCCTTTCCTACTCATAAGACGACAATCACAGCATCCCATTATTGAGGACGATGCGATGACTGCATGCCAAGTCGCATACTGAGCAGCCAAGAGCCTGGCAAGGCGATAGCAATAATACTGGCATCAACTGGCGGCAAACTCGGCGCAGATCAGGTGAGAATATACCTCGAGACGAATATTAGTAAGAAAAGAAAAGAAAAAGAAAAAGCGAACGTTGGTAATTGAAATACGGTAATTCTATGCTGTCACGCCTACTCCGCATATTAATCCTGGTTCACCGAGTAATACACATACGGCAGTCTCTGATTTCGCAGCCGACGCGAAGAATCAATATCAACCAACATGGACCACTCCTGGCCTCTGTCAGCCATTCTTATTGGCAATGATCAAGACTGGAGCAGCTGAAACCGCGGCAATTGCGCTCAATTGGTGTTCCGAGCTGCCCCTCCCCATTCTATTGCCGCGTCCGGTGAGATAGATAAATTGATATCATTTGATACATATTAAATAGCGCACTTGTGGTCTGCGTGCGGGTTGTCGGGCTGCTATTGTCTTTATATCAACATTACCATCAATGCTCAATTGACGTGCTTAATATCTGCTGCCTAGATTCGCAGTATTTAAGAAGCAGAAAGCTGGAATGGACTAGCTGCAAGCTGCTTACTGCGTAGTTAGCTACATAGCTCACAGCTCCCTGCCCCAACGACATCAACTCGCCTCGCTCGCCCAAGACTCTAGTCTCGTTTGATGATCATGCACATCCTTGTACGCTGCAAACTAACATTCAATAAACGATCCACTGCTGACTGCTACAGGTTGTAAACGACGATGGCCCGCCATCTCGCAAGCTCTCGCCGTATGTGCGCCCGCTGGTCGACGCCCTACAGGATGCAGGCCATCAAGTCTCCGTAGCCGTCCCAGCGCAATCACGCTCATGGATCGGAAAAGCGCACATCATCGGCGCCTCCCTGACAGCAACATACGTCCACCCAGACCTCTTCCTCGACGACGGAACCTGGACGGAATCGGCAGCCAAGAATCTGAACTTGACAACACCGCCGAAGACGCCTACCAGTTCAGAAGAGCATCTGCTCCCCGCCGAGCACGAGTGGGTCGTCGTCAGCAACGGCACCCCGGCCAGCTGTGCGCAACTAGGCATCTTTGAGCTCTTCCAAGACCGCGGCGTCATCGACCTAGTGATATCCGGGCCGAATCATGGTCGCAATGCATCGACGATTTACAACCTCTCGTCGGGGACGGTAGGCGGGGCGCTGGAGGCTGCGACGTGCGGGAAGAGGGGTATTGCGTTGTCGTTTGGCAGCAAGGAGGAGCAAGCACTGGATGTGATTCGCGCAGCCGCGCGGCTGTCAGCGCGCCTGATTGAGCATTTGTATCGGAACTGGGATGAGAGGGTGGAACTGTACAATTTGAATGTGCCGATGCGCGCGGATGTAGAATCTCGCGCCGTGCGGTATACGCGTGCCCTACCGAATGTTTGGTCAAAGGGGAGTTTGTATGCGGAGGTTGGCGCGGTGAATGGAGGTGGGAAGAACGGCGTGGCGTGTCGGCAGCGCCAGTTTCAGTGGTCCACGGAACTGTCTGATATCAAGCGCAGTTTGCAGGAGAGTGGCGAAGGGACTGATGCACGCACCGTACTAGATGGGTATACAAGGTATGTGTTCGGTTTAGTATATTGTTCTGCGGTTGCCAACTAACATGGTGCTAGTGTTACCCCCCTCCTGGCGAACTTCTGGCATCCTACCGGATTCAGCGGAGAATTGAAACTGGATAATTGAGACCGACATACTACATGCACATATGTTGGATGGATACATATGGAATGATTGATGACACTTTCTCTTTGTATCATACTGCCGCCAAATGATACCCCGGATAGAGACGACATTTAGATCGCCTTGGACATGGCTTAATGCAGTGAAATTATTCTAGACTAATAAAAGAAAGTCAGATATCAAAATCTGTAATGTTCATTGTACTGGCGTAGTCTGGTATCGATTATTTGACAAGGATAAGATTGGCAATAAATTATTCATTAGTAACATGGATGGGCAGAAAAGAGAGACGACTGAGAATCACAAGCAGAGTAACAAAATCAAAGCGCCCGTGCTGCTTCGCCAGCGCCACTTTCAACCGTCGTGGTTTGCTCGGCCCTCAGCTTTCCCTTTGCAATCCCTCCCTCGCCGACGCCCATGCGGCGCGCGACATATCTCTGTGCGACCACGCCAACCGCCAGACTCAGGGATTCTTCGATCCAGTCTGCCACCCACTCGCGCGGGTCAACCCCGCCGCTCTCGACAATCTCAGCGATCGCGTCAGGGACCACCACGCGGGGGATATTGTTGTGGTCGGCGTTGCCTTCATTATCCTTGGGTTCGACAGCTGGGACTGACGCATCGAGCCAGTCCACCCATTTCTGTGGGATTGCCTGTGAGATTGCGTGGAAGGCAATACCGTGTACCGGGTCGTGCAGGTAAACTGCAAAGAGAACCTCCTCATCGGCTTCCTCTGCCAATTCGACGACCCCTCCGGCTGGACTCTTTTCCGCAGTAGCCCCAGCTTGGAAAAGCTCCTTAGGCTTGGCCTGGCTGATCGCCTGGATAGCCAAGAAAATGTCACTGCTGCGAACGGGGTTGGAGTCGCTGAGTACTGCTGTGGCCTGTTTCGCGGCTTCCTCTACACCACCTCGAGAGGAGTAGTACTCTGTTGCGTAGGACTCGGCGCTAGCTCTCACCAGTTTCGTTCCCTCCACTGTGCCTTTGACTGCGGAGATGTTGCGAGGGTTTCCAGGGGTGACGGTGCGCCACCAGGGCCCATCATGCCAGCCAGCCGTGGAAACCTGGAAGCCGAATTCTGATCCTCGTCGCGGGGAGGATTCCTGTCCGCGTTGGATTACCAGTAGATCACCGCCCTCCACTTGTGCCATGACACGGGCAAACACCTCGTAGATTAGAGGGTCAAAACTAGGATATCCTGATAAATCATGTGTAATATGTATTTGCAATCTCTCATGTGAAGAAATCGGGGGCGCAAGAGTATGAATGAGCGACGTGAAGGTTGGTAGAGCAAGCGTTCTCAATTCGCCTCCTAGTCATTCGTCGTTAGCATTTACTGGTATAAATATATACTAGAGTATACTCACCAAAATCCCTTAGAGCTCCGACGTTCCCTTTTACCTGCTCGGCCCATTTTTGCGCTTCCTCGTTGTTCTGGATCTCTTTGACAGCGGCCTCGGCATGCTTCATTGCAGCAGATGCTGTTGCCGTTGCTGTCGATAAGATCCCTCCCCACCATCCACCGCCACCGCCAGCAGCAGTGCCCCTAGGAGCCTCCTGCGCAGCTGGGGGATTATTCGTCGCGGCTGATGATGTATTCTGTTGCCCCTCCTCTTCAACAGTAGCCGGATGAGGTGCACTCGCATCCTCCGACTTGCGATTCACGGCAGGCCTGTCTTCACTAGTCCGTCCTGACGAGGGTTTCGACCGACGAGCTTCGGTTGACACGCGTGGTGTCGTAGGGCGCTGGGATGCGAGTGTTTCCAGTTCGGCGAGAGGATCCTTCTGGGCATCTGTGACGTTGGCCTGCTTGTTGCTGTTGTTGTTGTCGGTGTTCTTGTTGGTGTCGATGCCAAGATCGTCGAATTGAGCGAGGAGCTCATCGCTCGTGGGCTTTGCGCTTTTGGGAGGCATGGCGGAGTGCCAGAGGTATTAGACACAGCGCGTGCAAGTTGAGGTCGAGCTGGCAGGCGGCAACTATGTTGATGACTAGTTATTGAGTATCGGCGTATCAGCGATCCCGTGCCAGCTCGGGTAGCTCCGCCTGAGTAAGCTTCTGCAAACATATATATAGAGTATATATCTGGAACATTAAATGCAATGATCAATTGCAGTTCTTCGACGGATATCCAGCAAAGCCGATGTTAGGGGGGAAAAAATAATAAAGGGATCTAAATGGTATAACATATTTCTATATATAAAAAGAAAAATAAATATAAAAAATAAATTTCCGATACCGGGAATCGAACCCGGGCCCTAGCGGTCCCTTAAATTTTAAGATGAAAACGCCATATCCTAACCTCTAGACGATATCGGATCAACTCTTGCTATGTCTCGGCTTATAGTAGTCTATACCCCTTATGTTTTATTTTTAGGAATACTCATTATCATATTTGATCCATTGATTTGGAGTAATTGAGATTACTAAAATAATCCTAGGTTTTAACAAAAATCATGATCCGGTTGACATCACATAATGAGTGAGTGACACTCAGTGAAGTCTATGTTATGGGTGGCGCAAGGAACTCGCTACGTTTGAACCTTTATAGTCTGTTATATATACTAATTTATGTACATATGTAGTTGAAAATGCTTTTAATTGAGGATAATTGAGCGCATCTGCCTTGGCAATCAGTTGTCAAAATGCTGTGCGAATATGGTACAATGAGTAATCAACTAAGGCTTGTCACTATAGTATGAATAAGCCGTACGTAAACAATACGGAAAAAAGTAGACCTAATATCTTGTATGCTCGTCATAATTACAACCGGTGCAATTCAAATTGATGCAAGTAAAAGAGAAATCATTGTCAGCTCAGCGCAACCAAAGAATTCGCTGTATCGCCAGCTCATTCATCCAGCCAATCAGAAACCCGCAAGTACAAAAATCTGACATGGACGCTGATGCCGCCAGCAAAATCTGCCGCACCGCGTCCACCCCCTCCATTTATTGCCATTAACCGTATTGCTAAACTATTCTGATCCGCCCAAAAACAAGATCGAGCAGGCTTCCAGGCATCGCCATGCGCAGCAACCGGGACAGGGCGGCAGATGTCGTTTGCAAGGCCTGATTTAGAGTAGAAGACAGAGGAGCCAGCGGCAAAGAGTGCCAAGCCCGGTGGGGCCCACGCTTGCTACGGCAGTCTCCATTGGTCGCTCTATACCTGAAGGGCCCGAAGCGGCATAGCGGGCGACTGCTGGTCTTCTGCCAGTCGATCGCCCGTTTGGATAAGTCGCTTCTCTTTTACCTCATCTGTCTGTCGGCCTTCTGTTTTTGCCTTCTGGCTGCATCCTGTCCTCGTCGATGCATCAGAGTGTCCCTTCCCTGAGCTCACCTAATCCCCTTCCAACTCTATTTACCGCCTTCGTGCGCGGATCATGGGGCTTGTCGCTGTCCCGTCGTGACTGTCCCTGTTATTGTTCTGACTATAAAGCCAGAATTCTCTTCCTTCGATCACCCCCAGACTCCCCTTGCAGATAATCGCGATCGTCTCTGCTGACTTTGACGAGACACACTCTACTTTTATTACTTTTTGATCCTTCTTGATTGATTTTTGTCTTCGTCGACGATCTTCTGTGACATCTCTCTCCTGAGAGTCTGAGATCGTCACTACTAAATTACTACTGCCCAGCTTTTCTCTCGACAATCCCTTCACATCACCCATCTCATATCTTGTCTTACGCCACGATCTCTGCAGCTTACAGTCCTTGACGGACCTGCCTTGAAACCTAACTTAATTTTTTTTATTTCTTTACATCTCCGCATCTGCGATTGAAAGGTACGTTGTTGCATCATCTCGCGTGTCTGGTCCCGTTTTGTCTTTTTTTAGTCCCACACGAGCAACCTACCGCGCTCTGTCTGTCAGCACCAGTCTGCTCCTGCAAATGTTTTTAATATGCATCAAACACCCATGTCTACATTTCTCCTGTATCGATGACCCTCACCCTACCCTGCCCGGATCGATGGACTCGCTCGATCTTGCATCGTTTGTGTTTGTTAAGCCTGCCGAGTCTTCGCCTGGATCCGGGTGCCTCGCTCTCATTGGCTGCTGGCCTGCCCCGACCCAGTTTATCTACTAGTGCGTCTCTTGTTAACATCAGATTACAGATCCCAGGATTCCTGGCGCAACAACGTGCGACTGGTGGCATCAGCCGCCCTGAATCCGGCAATTGATTAGTGCGCTGCTTGCGCTCGTTAATTTGTCGGCTTATCCCTGAGATCACAGCTGCTTCTGCGATGTCTCCTGCAATGTCGCCTGTTATGTCGCCAGTCATCAACGACGATGAACCGCTGTCTCCGCGTTGGGCCAATGAGCGCAAGCTGTCAGCCGTCTTCAAACGTCACTACTCCGAACCCCTGCAGCAAGACGAAAAGCCTATCAATGCCATTTCAGTTGAGGCTTCACTGTCGCCTCCGCCATCTGAAAACCAGCCACTAAAGTGCTTGTGGTGCTCTGAACATTTTGAGACGCCCGAAAATGGTGTCAATTCTGCGCATGATGCATTGGACAAGCACCTTGCTTCCGCACATCCCCAGATCACCAATCTATCATCATTTGATGGAGTCAATGATGATGTTGTGGATGAAGCAATCGAAGCTGATGACGAAGTCAACGACAATGAAAGCACACCCGACCCAAAAAATTCCATTTTCCCTACCGCCACCACAACCGATGTTGATGAGCTCACTCCAGAAGCTGATAGTCGCATCTCTGAGACTATCCTCGAGACCGATGCTACTATGGCTACTCAAAGTAAACTCCATGGTATCTCTCGCCAGCAAGCCCATGCCTTGACAGAGCGTCGTCTTGCTTCTTACTGGAACATACACGACGCATGTAAATTCAGTAAAGACTACGATGACGAAGTCGCAAACCTAGAACAAATGTGGTATCATATCTACCATACTCAATCAAAAGCTGCAAATAAGAATGGCGCGAACAATATACCACCTCGTCCCAATCCCTACTTGGACAGCAAAACTGAGAAGGGAGAATTCTTGAAAATTACCCCCGTTGAAGACTACATGGGATCGCTTAGGAATTTTGAGGCAATGTCTACCGATGAACTTCACACTGTGGCTGCCAACGTCGCTCATGCGCTCAAGGCGTGGCAAGATGAATGGATTGCTATCGACGAGCTCGGCAAGAGGGCTAACGGACGGACTACGAAAAAGTCGGCGAACCCACGCGCACCTGAAGCTCCTGAGGTCTTTCGAGACAAAAAAGAGGCCCAACTATATGGGTATAAGTATGATCCTACCATTCACGACCCTAAGAAGCAGGACCCAAAGAGGGATTCTCTATTCAGATGTCAGGACCCGTTTACACAAGGCGGCTTCAGACCTACAGCCGCACAGCTGCGTAAAATGCAAGTCGAGGCTGGCAAACAGAACCCAAATCCCGACGGATTCAAACCCATGCACAAATTTGGGCAGGAATTCGTTCCTCGATTTCAAGATCCGCCGGCGAATCCTTTTGATGGTGGGATGTCCACAAACAGAAAACGCAAAGTTCCTCAGAGTGAGGTTGCCGCGCTCAAGCAAATGAGTGGAAATGATAGCGCTACACCCGCAATTGAGTCCGACATTGAAGGGCGACGTCTTAAACGTGTCACACGGTCTATCGCGGTCAAAGCCATTGACTCTCCTCAAGTGAAAACTGCCCCACCGAGTCCAGGACCACGAGGTCGAGGTCGCGGTGGGCGACCTGCCCGAGGTCGTGGCGGCATCTCCAGAGCCTCGTATGCCATCCAGAACAACGCACATATCACCTCTCCAGGTACTTCTGTGGATTTCCAACCTGGAGACATCATACCTAAGCATTTGGAGGCCAGCTCTACTCCTTCACGTGCTAATACTATGACGCCTCCATTTGAAACCCCAACGCCCAGTCAACACTTGCAGGCTGGTGGCCTTGGACCAGCAGCCATAGCTCCAGCTCCGAAACCCGCTCTGGCTCCGGCAACTCCTGGGGCACCTCCAGCAATGGCAGCTCTTCCCCCGAACCTCGTTCAGCCTGGCGAGGTCGTGGATACTGATGAACTGAACCGGCGCAAGCTGCTCGCGAAATCTAAGAATCCACGCAGAACTCAAGCTATGTTGGATCACTGGAAGCGCTTCAATAAGGAGGGGCGTACCCGCAACCCGAAGCGGACGAAGGCTCAAATTGAGGCAGACAGGCGTGCAGAAGCGGAACGTAAGAGTACCGAACCTCCGAGAGACGTACCCAAACCTCGCAAGCGGAAATCCGCAAGCAACATGAGCACCAACGGCCCAGTTTCCAAACAACCCAGGACAAACACGTCTGCGGTGCCAACACTGTCAATTCACCCGGCACCCATTCAGCCAGCAGTTGCTCCTGCACAGTCTACCGGTCCAGCCTCATCAACCATGAACCTTCCAAGCTTCCCGCCGTCTGCTGCGCCGCCTACGCCACAGTCTCCTCAGCGAATTCATCTTTCTCAACCTTCCCAACCTTCAGCTTCTCAACCGCCCCTGCCGGGGTTATCTCTTCCACCGGTCCACTCAGCTTTCGATAGAAACATGAACCACCCTTCTTGGAATGTCCCACCATCAGGCTACTTTCCTTATTCCCGTGGTCTTGGATTTCCTCCTCCATATCAGTTTCCGCCTAGACTACCACACCATCGCCACGAGCCTGCTCCTCCACCCGAGCCCGTACATTTGAAGCCGACATATCCATATGAACCTCCTCGTATGCCTCCGCATACTCAGAACGGGCCACATATACCACAACCTCAGACCGAGAGACGCTAGTATGAAGTGACTGCTGCGCTCGAGTTGGTCTTTGAGTCTGCAGAGGCTGTTCGAAGCCTTGAATGAGAACTCTAATACCCCTGTAACATCATTTATTGTGATTCCTGGATTATCCTGGATTTTGCTTCTTTCTTTTGTTCTTGGGCCTGTACTATTATTATCCATTCCTTTTCTGTCATGATATCTAATGAGCGTTCCGGTACCTTGTCCATTTGATTGAGTGCATAGGAGTTGATATGGCTGCTTGGTTTACATTTCATATTTTATTTCGTTGGGTATGATTGCTCTTGGAAACAAGCCTAGAAGCCGCATTATGGATCAACAATTCCAAGTTGACTCGATCTCGCCTTAATAGGAGCCTTGTCCTTGGATTGTATCATCCGTTGAGTGCACTTTAACTCAGCCCTATTGTATTCACGTCGACTGACTTCGGTGTATGTCCGTGGAAAGAGCATTGCATCTGAGTATTAGGCTTATTGAGTCTTCCTTTCACTGGTGTCGACTGACTTCGGTGCATGTCCGCAGTGATGGGTTTTCATCCTTTCTTGTACATTACATCTCAGAGTTTATTGTCATGTATTGGTGATGGCATTGGTCGTGGATACGCTATATCCTACATCAAAGCCACGTTTGTTCTGTCCCTTTTTTTCCCCTTCACTACGAAAGCTTGACTTTTTGAGACTTCATCATCAGAAGCTGCATCTATTTTGATGTAATTAAACGTTACTGGTGCATCCATCTAACAAGCCCAGATTGGATGCTCCTGATGAATCGACCATATTTTCACATACATTCTAGATTCTTCTAAAATACTACGAATTTTTCATATTTCATATTCTTCTTTTACCAAATATCAAGTCCATGGGGTCGTGCTTGGTGGGAAGCTGGCTTTGCGGAGCACGTGATAGGCGGTGAGAATTTTGTATTGTTTTATGGCAATCCAGATCCCGCCGAACATGATCCACACGATCCACATAATCAACGACAGTAATGATTACTCCCAAAAAACCATGACGCAACCTTCAGGACGATCTACATGTCTCAAGGGTGATGTGTCCCTGCTGTGGGATCATGACCCTAGGATAGGCATTTATCAAAGAATTGTCTTACTTACTGTATCTGATTGCAAGATGACATGATTATCAAAAGTAAATTTGGTGGCCTCTTATCAATTCTATGGTTATGAAGTAATAAATTACCAGAGCCTCAAAACTTTACTGACGATGGTGACATATTGAAAATTTATGACGAAAAGGATGACACTATTCCCAGCTCACCAACGACAGGGTCAATCTCACCTCGTACGACCGTACAAAAACTTCGTCGTTATATCAATAAAATCGATGCTCGATGGAGAGTATAAAGGATATTTTGGACGAATAGAGCCCGGGTCTTGCATGCCGTATAAAAACGATTAATCAAGGAAGCCTCACTCTGGCTGAAGTAGGCGATATGCACCGTGACTTTGCAAGGATTCACAACACCAATGACTGCAAAAGTCAGCCAAAAACAAAGCGTCAGGTTAAGGCCGTTGGTTCGCTATACGTACGAGATGCGAATCGCCTCATAAAACACCGTCATGATGGAGATTTATTGAGAATAGCAAAGACGCGCATACTTGGTGAGTCGGAGCCGGAGCAAGAACCAGCTATTCACATTACACGATCCTTCGTCCACGTCCAAATATTCAATCCGATCTTCGTCCCAGACAAAACTGGCATACCAGCATGGAGCGTCTCTGGCCACACTGTCCCATCAGCTTGGATGTTCTCCCAGAACAAAGCATTGCCAGCAATCGGCTTGAAAGTGACCCCTTCCTGATCGGATTCACAGTCGATGTATTGACACCAGCGCTTATCTTCCGGTATACGCAAGTAGGGGAAATGTGTTCCACCTCCAGTGCAGTTGGCGTGCAAGAACACATTCAGGGTACTCTTCCGATCTTTTTTGAATCCTTCTCCGAAAGAATCATAGTGATGCCTGAAGAATCCATTCTCCTGGTATCGCTGCATTGATAGGGCTTCAACCGTCATACCGGGTTCCCAATGTTGATTAACACGCGCTCGTTGCTCGATGCAACGAACAACATGATCTCTCTCAGGAATGGCTGTGTGAGATTTCCTGGAAGTAGTGTCGATCTGCGTGTTACCTGATCCGTAGACGTAGGCAGGAGTGAACATTTGCTGGCTGGTTATATGATAAGAAACGGCCTTTGTTGAATGGGGAGGGCAAAGACAAACCTGTTCTGAATCAGATGCTGGGCCTCCTCGTCGCTGACAAAGGATGCCACGTATACGACTGGTGGTGTCTCACTGAAAATGTAGGATTGAAAGGGCTGGAAAGGGCACTGCAATGATGTCTCTGTCTCCGGTTCTATGAAGATCATTGATGCAGTAGGGTCCTCGACAGTGGTGTCGAAGTTGGGCTCAAACTCTACAGATGGAGATAATTTACCAATGCCCAAGTTCTGGGCGGCCAGCTGCTGGCCGAGAGCAAAAGGAAAGAAAATGTGAGACTGACGCATGACTAGAGTATAATACTTGGGGATGAGGGCTCTAGTAAAGAGCATGCCTTTCAAGAATTGGGCATTGAAGGATTAAATGATAGTAGGCATCCGTCTTATGATGTCCCTAAAAGGTTGAGTGCCCCTTGATCCCCAAGACCTGTACATCCGCTGAGGTATCACAAACCAAACTACAATGTGGATCTGTGACCTGTTAATGCATCTGCGGGTCGCGAGGTGCATAGTAGGGCTTGCAGACGACCAGGTCTATTTTGACTAGAGCAGATACCTCTCTCTGTATGACGCCAGGAGACTCTGCGGATTGTTTTCGTGCTGACTAGGACAAAATTTGGCAAGCATCTGTGGGGGGTTCTCGATACACTCCGATGTTTAGCTACTTCAGTTACCAAGTACTCACGAGTACTGCACTAAATAGCCCAATGCTGATCCGACCCACGGTCTTGTAAATAATAGCGTGTAAATCAATGAATGATTAATTACACGAGGATACGCATCGAAGCTTCAAAGTCAATGATTCAAACGTGAGCTACATAGGCGATGAATTCACGAGACAGCGAGTATGTCAAAATATTTGTCACTAAGCATTTTGGGAATAGGTTCAAAACACCCAAAATGATATTCAATAGCGCCAAAACACTACGCCAAATACTGACATTAATTACTCAATTTTCATCACCTCGCCACTGATGGCAAATATTAGTGTAAATTCGCATATAAATACGTCTAGATAATTGAGTTCGTTGCAACTCAGGTTTGGATCTCAATCCAATCGAATTTGCCACGTAACTCAATTGTTCTGACACAAAAAGTCCGTACCATTGAAGCATTCATCGGTGCAACCATGCTAGCCAGACCATCCCGCTCATATTATGATAATCAGTTATAGAAAAACGTCGGACATTCTCAATTCAAGTTGCCTAATTATTTTTATGCATTTAATGACTGCGTCTAAGAGAGCGTAGAAAAAGTCGAGGCTAAAAACAGACATCTGACAGTATATGGCAACTTTGACGGCTTCATAAGCCCATTGTCCTGAAATGAACAGCCTCTTTCCCAAAGTGAGCGGCAGGTAGCTCAGAGAAAACTACTTCCACGTACACGAGGAAATTTAGCATTGGATATTAACACCAGGCTGACCGCAAACGGCGGGAGCACAACCGTAAGGAGAACCATCCCCACGGAACAAGGGGTCGGTGCCGGGAAAAGCACTGTTGCAAGCAGCTTGGGCTTGGGCAACAACACTGGGACTAATCGCAGGCACTGGAGCCGGGGCAGGGGCTGGAGCTGGAGCTGGAGCAGGAGCTGGAGCTGGAGCAGGAGCCGGGGCTGGAGCAGGCTGGGGAATCGGGATGGGTATAGGAATCCAGGGACGCTGCGCACTGGCGAAGCTCGCGAGGCACAGGCATGCGAGAGATATAATGGCAACCATGGTGGATGGGTGGTATTAGAGTCTAGAGTATCCGGTTAGTTTAAGTAATAAGTAGGAGTTGTCGCGAGTCTCTTACTTGGCGAACGTAGAGGATCCTGTCAGCTCCAGAGATGAATGTGTTTGGTGAGTCTCTGGCAAGAAAGATGTGTGCACTTATATAAGTTTTGGCAGTATGAACTGGCCGGTTATTACGATGGTTCCTGCCCCTGCAGCTAGTAGTCTTGGGGACGGTCACCCTCTTCTGAAATTGTGTCATAAGACTGAAATAATACTGCATGAAGCAAGGAGAAATTTGCTCATATTATGTTTATTATTCATTAGTCTACGGAGTATGTTTATCTTCGACTAAGGCCGCGATGTCGGATACTCGATTGCATTCCTCAATTACGCATAAAAAGGCAAAATTAATGGATGCCAGGGAGGCACACGACGAACGCTGATTAGCAGTCTCTGGATTTCGAGCTATAGGGAATAGAAACGGATTCAAGTTCGGCATCATTCTGTTACTCCTAAAGGAAAAATTCGGCCATGGCTGCATTACGCTGCATACATCGTAAGTTACTTAATGTTGATCTTGGACTTCTTGGGTTGAAGATCTGGCTGCACCACATAGGTGTGCAATAGTCCTTCTTGCTGATCCTGGCGCCAGATCGATCTGTTACCGAGACAGAAACAGTGGTTTGCGATGGGCTCCATATTACATGCAGACAAGGCTACCGAACTGTTCAAGCCAGACATTCAGCTCAGCCCGTGTCCTCACGAGATCCCGTCTCATGTAAGGTCTAATTGACTTGCGTATGGAGCTCCATTCATCACACCTCACGTTCATACCAAAATTGCCCAGTCCGAGAAAGATCACCGATATTATTGACCAGACGGCTTGAGACACACAGGTGCTCCACCAGAGAAGGGATATATGTCGGATGCACTAAACGTATCATATTCAGGAAAGACGGTGAGCGCAACGCGTATGTGAAGATTATTGACTGTAATGCGCACTCGAACGCATGTTCTCTGGGACCATATAAAGTCATGTAAATGTCTTCGCTGGTGCTGCTCATTAGTCCTTTGTACCTCTCTCATTTCTCCCGTTAGCCACACTACCAACATGGGTCCTCCTGACAATAGTTTCTTTTCCTTCCTTACGTTCCTCTTGTTTACTCGGGGAGTGTTTTCACAAAACCAGCCTGTCTTCCCCCAACCCGGTTTTGGCCAACAGCCACTTTTTCCACAACCAGGCTCTGCTCTGGTGCCGGTGTTCCCTCAGCCCGGTACTGGACAGCCTACTGGTGGCCAGCCGGTGTTCCCTCAACCCGGTACTGGACAGCCTACTGGTGGTCAGCCAGTGTTCCCTCAGCCCGGTACTGGTGGCCAGCCTACTGGTGGCCAGCCAGTGTTCCCTCAACCTGGTACTGGACAGCCTACTGGTGGTCAGCCAGTATTCCCTCAACCCGGTACTGGACAGCCTACTGGTGGTCAGCCAGTGTTCCCTCAACCCGGTACTGGACAGCCTACTGGTGGTCAGTCATTGTTCCCTCAACCCGGTACTGGACAGCCTACTGGTGGCCAGCCAGTGTTCCCTCAACCCGGTGCTGGACAGCCTGTTACTCCGCAGCCCGCCGATCCCCAGTATACGTCACTGCCCACATGTCCAGATGGTCATGATCTGATTTATCCAGCCCCTGACGGTGCCTTTTTCAAGTTACAATGCAACTACCATGGTTGGCATGGTACTCTCCAGCAAACGACGGCAAACAGCTACCATGAATGTATTGACACATGCAGCGGAACCGATGGTTGTCTTGCCATAAACTGGGACACCCCCAACGGCAATGGCTGTTATCTTATGACATCCGACCAGCCTGGAAACGTCCCTTGTCCCAACCACGACTTCGCGTACGCTGTGGCTCCACCTACTATCCCTCAACAAGTTGACCTTACGCCCCGATGTACCGTGGAATGCCCTGGAGCAGATCACCGCCAGTACACTCGCTCCGGCGTGGTCTTCAAGATGAATTGTGGCAAGCGTCATGGTGCGGAGTACTTGGATACCCAGGACAAGAACTCGCTCAAAGAGTGTATGGATGCCTGTGCTGAATTGACTCCTTGCCACAGTGTCGACTATCACGCACGTTCCAAGAAGTGCTATCTCTCCAACCACCAGGGTGAGCCCACTATTGATGCTCCGGGATTCGACAGTGCCTACAGCATCGGATGTGATGGTGCTTGCAATGACAAGTGTTGCTCTGATCCCAGCGCATAAAGCACAGAAAGGGCTTGGGCCGCAAAATAATATAGTCAAGGAGCAAAGAGTTGTGACGACGAGTTAGCTTGATGTTTCTGGGCATATTCCTGAGAAGCATATATCGGCGCTAGTTGATCCGCAAGTAGGCGTCAAATACATTATGTCTATTTCGACCGTCAGCCGAATTTCAGAGTTGCATTTTTTTTCCCTTTATGTTAAATGGGTTTTAGGAAGCCTTCTCATAGTGTGATAGTTAGATAGTACGAATATCTTGATCCTAATCAATTAATCAAGACTCGAAGCAATCACTTCAGATCCGACGCGCACATCGTGCGTTGTACATGGAGCATCTACGTTGGTCATATTAAAATTCCTTTGACCTACATGTAGGACGTGGTGGCACACAAGTCCAGGGACTTTGCATACAATACCGATGTCAACGCTCAAGGTGGATTCAATGGCAATGCTCTCCAGGTTCCTTCTAGAAGAGGACATATTGACATTGTGCAATTCCTACGAGAGAAAGGAGCCGATGTCAATGCTCAAGGCGGAGAATATGGCAATGCTGGCTGCCGGTGAGGTGCGTGACAAGACGACGTACGGGCGCACCTTGCCCGACGCGGGAATTCACAGGTTCTCGTTTTACTTAAAAGATAAGTATTTGTTCCCTTTAAAAATATATTATTAATTTTTATTAATTTAAATAGCTTTATAATCTTATTAATAGTGATTTTTTATAAATCAATTCAATTATAACTGATTTTTATAATATAATATAATCTCGATAAATGCTTTTAGCTTTTAAAATGATACTAAGAATATCTTTTATTAGATTTAGCACATTTTTTAGTATTTATATATAGAATAAATAAGTTTAGAATTATTTTATAAAAATATTTTTTACTTCTAGTAAATTGTTAGTAAATAGGGTCTGTATCAGACTCCCGAAAATTTGTCAAACCTGACAAACAATCTTGTCATGTCAGAAGTGGGTCCTGACAATACCACTCCCTACAAGGAATTTCCGACGACCAGTGCCCGCCATCACTTTTTCATAACTACATGGATGCTCTGATTTGACTCCCTCACCTCACATATCGTTAATAACCAATCAATAAAGGGCCGAATAATAGATCCGAAAATTTAATCATGGTTAAAAAGAAGCGCGGTCATCCAGACCTCGAAGAACTCCTTGGCCGACCGTGGTGCTACTACTGCGAACGAGACTTTGATGATTTGAAAATCCTCATTTCGCACCAAAAAGCCAAGCATTTCAAATGCGAAAGATGTGGCAGGCGGCTCAACACAGCAGGAGGTAATAAAACCCTTTCTCTGAATATTCTTTTTTCATGATACTGAAACAAGAGTCTAGGTCTGTCGGTTCACATGAGCCAAGTCCACAAAGAACAGCTAAGTGCCGTCGACAACGCACTGCCCAATCGATCAAGTCTAGATATTGAGATTTTCGGCATGGAAGGCGTCCCCGACGACGTCGTCCAAGCGCATAACCAGCGCGTCATCACACAATTCCAGCAAGCAGAAACCGAGCGTCGCGCGGCAACGGGGAATCCGCCACCAGGTCTCGCGAAAGACGGCGGTCAGGCGAAGAAGCCAAAGCTGGAGATGTCGGATTTGAAGAAACGGCTGGCGGAGCATAAAGCCAAAATGGCAGCTGAAAAGACGGCGGATGGGAGTAGTGGTGATGCTACACCTGTTGGAGCCGGGCAGAGTGCGCAGCCTCAAAGTGGTCTTGTGAGTGTTTTACTATTTTTCAATAATATTCAGAAGGACTGTGCTCATGTCTTTTTAGGGGCAGCAACAATATACCCAGACCCAGCAGCCAGTTAGCAATGGCCCGGCTGCTCAACAATATACTTCCTATACACAGCCATATGGCTCTACGAATCCTCCTTATCAACATGCCCCCAGCCCTGTCTACCAAACCTTTTCGCCAGGCGGACAACAGCAATATCCAGGCTCGCAATTCGCCTCTCCACCTCAGTTCCAGACTGGACAGCCTGCGACATCCTACACAGCTACAGCTGCACCCCTTCCTTTTGCGCAACAACAACAACAATCACAACTCCCTGCAAGAACTCATACTCCGCCATCGAATTTACCACCATTCCCACCCCGTCAAGGTAGCTTACCAACAGCACCTGGCCTTCCCCAACGTCCAGCTTTTGGCGCTCCTCCAGTGAACCCGCAACAAATGCATCAGATGCACCAGCTACCTGCCGCACCACCGCCATCCGCTCACAACTACGGCCAATCTACCCCAATAGGCGAGCCCCCTGCATCGGGAGTTCCGCTGTCGAGTTCCGTTGACGATTTAATCTCAGGAGCCGCCAGGGCGGCCGATGGAGCCTCGGCATCACAGACTCCAAAACCAGAGCCGGCAGCTGACGAGAAGAAGGGAAAGAAGGAAAAGGAAAAGGCAAAGACAAGGTTGGTCTACTCCGACAACGAAACTAGTCCAGAGGAAAAAATGGCGGGTTTGCCGCGATACGTCTACACTCCTGATCCGCGCCAAGAGACAGTTCTGTCCGATGCTACTATTCCAGCGGTTGCGCGGCCCTCGACGAATTCGGACGATGTCATCGATGCATCTGGTTAGAATTGCAACAGCGCTTCTCAGCCAGATCTGATTGTTGGGTTAGTTTGAAGAAAGCAGAGATGAATGAATGAGGCTCTTGGACAACCAAGCTAAGTTCGACGCAAATCATAATCAAATTCTTAACCTTGATTGAAGAACAAACACAAATCTCTCTTCTCCCTGATCTATTTAGTATGGCAAGACAACCAACCGACTCAATCACACCGCTATATCCCACAACAATTTCATCATCATGATCATCAAAACCACCCGTGGTCGTCTACTGGTGAGTGGACTTTCTACACAAGGCTGGCTGGCTGAGCTGAATGAGGTTTTACACTTTTACCTTCTGGTGGATATTCAATATAGTAATAAGGTGTTTCCGAATCTCGTAATCGAGCTTCGCCACGAGATATAACGTTAAATTACTTTCAGAGATATTTGGAGTTGCGCAGAGGTTTCATCTTGATTATGGTCATTCGCTTGTAAGTTGTGAGCGCGCAGGTTAAGATAAAGGTAGGCTTGTTTTTATCGGCTATATTTTTATTTCTTATTCATGATAACAGAGTGTTTATATTTTGATTTTATTCAATTTTCAATCATACACTGAGATGTAACATATGGCCCAGACGTAATTAAAGGCACAGATGATATCTGTACCAGTGCGCTGTTTGTCTTCCTGCACGATAAATCTTTACAACAACCCATGATCCCCCACAAGGCAGTCAAAAGAAGTGTGCCAAAGTTAGTTTGGGTATCAATCGATGCATGTAGTATGAGGTAAATAAAAAAGAAACGTACGCTTTACTTTTAGCCCCAGCCCCGAATCCAGCCTTGCAAAATTATATCCGCCGTAGCCATGATGCAGGTGACAGGAAATACAGGGTACGTATAGGAGTGTAAATACATTAATAGCGCGAATTTGGGCTGACTGGAGAGTAAAACAGGGTAGAAATTAGAATTGATATAAAAGCATTTTCTCTGCACGTGACTGGGTGCCTTGGGCGAACATATACACCACAATCGTTAATGCCCAAAAATGACCGGAGCATTTTAAAAGAACAGCCAGTAATAGCAATTCGGCTTTCAGCCTCCAGATAGGAGACACGGATACAGTTGTCAACGCTGCCTAAACTGGCTCATTAAATGGGCGGTGAATGACGCCTTCCAGTATATACCAATCATTTCATGGTGTCGTTTTCGACAAGGCTGAGCACCGCCCACAATCCCTGCCATCTGGTGTGCTAATACCGGTTTACTGTCAACGATGTTGGAATTGCTTTTTCAGCCTCCCCCTCACACATCATCCAATCTCTAATTTGAAGTTGTCTTCTTTTTCCTTCGAGTATCGACAGGCACCCCATAGCGATGATATACTAGTACCGGTACATCATGTCTCAAGACCAGCCTCAGTTGGACAACTCCGACTACACGGTTGGGTGGATCACGGCGTTACACTTTGAAAGGACAGCCGCTGAATCGATGCTCGACGAGCAGCATGCTCCTCCTAAGCAGAAGCACGAGAACGATCACAATAACTACGCACTGGGCTCCATCATTGGCCCAAATGGTAATAAGCATAATGTAGTCATCGCAACTCTTCCATCTGAACGCTATGGAACAACACCTGCTACAGCTACTGCGATCCAGTTACTCTCCAGCTTTCCAGCTATCAAATTTGGACTGATGGTTGGTACTGGCGGCGGTATACCATCTGAGGAGACTGATATCCGGCTGGGTGATGTGGTGGTTGGTAACGACAATAATTGTGGAGGTGTTAGACAATATGATTTTGAAAAAGTCACGACAAACGGGGTTGAGAAGCTTGGTGCACTAAACGCGCCACCTCGAGTCCTGCTTAGCGCCTTGAGCACACTTCGAAGCAAACATGAAAAATTGGGAAGTGATGTACCTGCTATTTTGGAGGACATGCGTAAAAATTACCCAGTGATGGTTAAACCGCGACAAGGAACCGGCTACGTTTACCAAGGAGCTGAACATGATCGCCTATTTGAGCCGGGTTATATACATACTGTTGGCAGCAGAGATTGTAGCCAATGTGACCGTAAGAAAGAAGTGAGACGTGAAGAACGAGCCGACCTGGATCCTTATTTTTACTACGGTACCATTGCTTCTGGTAACAAGGTCATAAAAGATGCCAAAGTCCGCGATATGTTCCCAGATTGTCTCTGTTTCGAAACTGAAGCAGCAGGGCTGATGAACGATTTCCCGTGTCTCGTCATCCGTGGCATCAGCGACTATTGTGACAGTCATAAAAATGACAAATGGAAAAGGTATGCTGCTGCAACAGCGGCTGCGTATGCTAAGGAGCTTCTTCAGGTTATCGACGTGACGGAGATCAGGAGCACGCCTGAGGCGCGCACATTAATACCTCAGCGTCAGTTGTTAACGATTTCTTCTTCTCCTTATGAGGATTTCGAACCAGAAAATGTGGCGGTTTTTTCTCGCTAGCAAAATAAAACCGACTATATTTATTTCTCATTCTTGCTGTTTCCATTAATTTATCTACAGTGTGTAGATGAGGTCTTGCTGACTTGGGTATATAGTTCAGGGAATAGAGGGATCTGTAAATAGAATCGAAACGCGCCTAGAGGAACAGCATGTACAGAAAAAGTGGCTTAAAATCTTCGAATGGCTGACTTCACTTAACCCATCAGCACGACACGCGGATGTCAAAAAGCCCAGGGTTGAAGGAACAGGCTTATGGCTGCTTAAGGATCCAGGTTATGTCGATTGGTCCTCAGGATCTCCTACTTTCCAAACAATGTGTTGTTATGGAGACCCAGGTTCCGGAAAAACAGTTATTTCGTAAGTTGAAACAAGTCTATTCTTGGGCATATACCTGACTATCTCAACAAGGTCTCTTGTGATTGATAGATTGACCGAACATACTGCCACACAGGACAAAGTCGGCCTAGCATACGTATACTGTGACTATCGAGACCAGGCCAAGCAGACGACAGAGAACCTCTTTAGCTCAATCACCGAACAACTCTTAAGCTCTTTATCTGAAAAGACTGGAATTCCAAAATCTATCGAAGATCGATGCGAAGCCTTGAAGAAGCAAGGAAACCCCCTTGGCTTAGAGAATGCAAAAGACCTTCTCCTTACAACTTGCGCTGAGTTTGATCGAGTTTATATTTGCATAGATGCCCTTGATGAATTGGAACCACACAACCTGCGGCTGCTTTTAAGATCGATGTGTCACGGGCTGTCTGTTCAGCTTTTCGTCACCGGCCGTCCATTTATCCAGGAAACAGTTCTAGAGTACTTGAAAGACGAGCATAGCGTTACCATCAAAGCTCATGAAAACGATATTCGGTGTTATATCGAAACAGAACTTGGCGGCCCTAGAGATTCTGCATCTAAAGCCATGAACGAACAGCTCAAAAAAAACATTATTGCCAAAGTCATTAACTCAGCTAGAGGAATGCAAGTCTACTAAATCACAACGTTTCTACAATTTACTGATTATGAGATATAGATTTCTGTTGCCGGTTCTACAAGTTCAAGCTGTTTTGCAGGAGATAAATGAACGCGATCGCCGAGAATGCCTAACAAGGCTGCCATCCAACCTTGACGAAGCATTTGTGAAAACAATGACTCGAATTCAGCAGCAACCAAAAGCCATGTTTGAGCTAGCAAAAAAGACTATTGCATGGATTCATTTAGCGGGGCGTTCATTTACTGTGGATGCACTTTTATGCTCCCTTGCCGTTAGAGATGATGATAAATCTTTTGACCCGACAGGAAAGCCTGAGCAAGAAGTCTTGCTGCGGTGTTGTCATGGTTTGATAGTGGTTGACCAGGAGACATCTACCATTCGTATGGTACATTACTCTTTTCAAGAGTATCTCTCTAGGCAGAAGGAAATTTTCGGTATTGATAAACGGCAATGGCACAGTAACATTGCGGGTACTTGTCTAACATACTTGAGTATCTCGCCTAAGGAAGATGAAGAAAAGTCGAGGAAATACCTTGTCAATTGGTGGGCAAAGGAGCAGGAGAGTTTTAAAAGGACAATATTTTACTATGCTGCTACAGAGTGGGCTCGCCACCTTCGAGCAAGTGATGAGCTACCAGGTGCGGTTTTCGATCTAGCTACAGCATATTTCAATACTTATGGGCTGGGCAACTTTGAGAGTTATCGCTTGTTGTTTCACTTAAATTTGCGCGAAGTTTTAGAGAACCCTCCCTTGACCAATCTTTCTGGTCACATACTAGCTTGCCTTGGCTTTGAGAAGATCATCTTACACCTGATCCAGATGGGCTTGAATCCAAATTCTAAGGATAATCACGGCAAAACACCGCTTTTCTGGGCTGCTCGAAATGGGCATGAGACAACAACAAAAACCTTACTCGAAAATGGAGTGGATATCAATTCTAAGGATAATTATGAACAAACACCAATTTTCTGGGCTGCTCAATATGGGCATAAGATAACAACAAAAGTCTTAATTGAAAATGGAGCAGATATCAATTCCAAGGATAATGATGGCCGAACACCAATTTTCTGGGCTGCTCAAAATGGGCATGAGACAATAACAAAAACCTTACTTGAAAACGGAGCAGTTATCAATTCCCAAGATGACAGTGGCAGAACACCACTATCCTGGGCTGCTCAAAATGGGCATGAGACAACAACAAAAGTCTTAATTGAAAATGGAGTAGATATCAATTCCAAGGATAATGATGGCCGAACACCAATTTCCCGGGCTGTTATATATGGGCAAGAAACAACAACAAAGGTCTTAATTGAAAATGGAGCAGATATCAATTTGGAGGATAATGATGGTCAAACACCGATTTTCTGGGCTGTCATATTTGGGCGCGAAGCAATAACAAAAGTCTTAATTAAAAATGGAGCAGATATCAATTCCAAGGATAATGATGGCCGAACACCAATTTTCTGGGCTGCTCAAAATGGGCATGAGACAATAACAAAAACCTTACTTGAAAACGGAGCAGTTATCAATTCCCAAGATGACAGTGGCAGAACACCACTATCCGGGGCTGTGCAGAGCCATCCAAACATTTATATTCGATTTCCTTTGTCCAGAATGAGAGTGGTGGAATTATTGATAAAAAACGGTGCGAAAGTGGATTCAATGGATGAAAATGGCAGAACACCCTTGTCCTGGTGTGAAGACGAGGAAATAGCGGAATTATTGATCCAAAATGGCGCTGCAGTGGATTCGGTGGATGAAAGTGGCCGAACACCATTATCTTGGGTTGAAAATGAGGAGGTAGCAAAGCTATTGATTGAAAAAGGTGCGGCTGTGGAGTCAGTGGATAGAAATGGCCGAACACCACTTTCGTGGGCGTTATTAAATAAGCGTATATCTATCGTTAGGCTGCTTCAGAAGATGGGAGCAGGTGTGAAAAGAGGAAATAAAAGGGCCAAACGATATCATTCTGAGCCATAGCAAGTGATCTTGATGCTAAGCGAGGATCATAGATCTCACTGAGGCACAATCGATGAGGCACTTGATAGAAGAGCGATAGTAGGGTGCAAGTGCCTGTCAAATCCAAAATGATACGAAATAAGGACACTAATGGTGAAGAAGGCAGAAAGAAGACGATAAAATCCATTTAGTATAATACTAATACCCTACGCAACATGCTACGGTCTGAGGTTGATGTACAGGATGGGGGAGACGTGCAAAGAGAGAAAAGAAACAGAGAACAAAGTTCTGATGATACAGCCAAATTGTTACTAGAAGGGGACTGACTGTACTTAATGTACACGGTGAGGACGGTACCAATAACAGTACTGTAAAAAGCTGCTAGCACATTTTAAGTTGTTCCTGGCGAGTCAAAAGGGCAGCAGAAAATTATGAGCCTTCAAGACCCTGGCTACCTACAGTTCATGTGGAAGTTCTTTATTGGCCGCGGGCTATATGTATATCCTTACACGAAGGTTTCCGGTATCAATGCCATAATAATTACCAGTGATGTTGCGAATACCAAATCAATATTAAAATTGTGGTTGAAAAGCAATCGTAACCTAATTTTCAGCGCCAGACACGGGCCCGGAGACACATTATTCAAATATTCCAGGTTCATTTTCCACAACACATTTATTTCATAGAACCACATTTCCCAATGCTGAAATCAGTCGTGGATTGATATAGATCGCAAGAATAGCCAATCAGAGCGGGCCGGGAGATTAGTAATAATCGGCCTCGGAACTGCGTTCGGAGTCCGGACAATAACATGGCAACGACAACATGACATATTATTTTTTAGCTGTCGAACAAGTCGAATATCTTCCTCAATAACACAATTCAACTATATTTCACAATGGTATGATGGCTGATGTTATTCCACACTGCTAATATACTCACTAACCTGTCTCAGCCCTCCTCAGAATTCACCCAAACATCCGCCGGCGTCCTCTCGCTGCTCACCTCCCTGGGCGGCGCCATCGGCTATGCCCGCACCGGGTCCATCCCATCCATCGCAGCAGGTCTGTCGGTCGGCGCGCTCTACCTGCTCAGCTTGGTCCGTCTGCGCAATAACCAGTCGTACGGCGAGGAAATTGGGCTGTTGGCATCAACCGTGCTAGGCGGTGCCTCTGTGCCGCGAGCGATTCGGCTCCGTAAGCCGGTTCCTGTCGCGCTTAGTGTGTTGGCGACATATGGCCTGGTGTTGTTTGGGTTGGCGTATCGTGATAAGAGGGCTAGCCGGATTTGAGATGTAATAAATACGGATGGAATCGGGAGCAGTTGTCGTCTCTACCTCTGCCTGGAGAAGCATTCCATGATTCACATGTACGATGGATCGGGTTAGGAGTGTAGCTAAATACTAGTCAATGGACAAGAACTGGTTAATGGACAAGAACTGGTTACTCAGTTCTGGTGAATATCTATACGATTTCTAATTAATTAATGTTGTTAATCTGCAGCATTGATTACCCCCGACCCTGACTCTGTGAAAGAATCGGAGCTAACATACATTAATAATGCGACCTCGTGATGGATCAGCTTTGCAACTAACTGTCTGACATCAAATACAACTGAAGCGGGGTTGTCCACTATCAAAGCTCCGGATAATTATCCAGCCGCGCCTCTCTCATATTCAAATTTCTGACCCGTTTTATTTTGTGATGACTCACCTAATCTCATGCGGATGAGAGTACAGCACGTGCTCCTTTGCATAATGCATATGCGTCCATGTTTCTTGCTGAACGAACCACCCGCAGATCGATCGACCACTGTGATGCAAGACTCACAATCTTCCGGAGTCCAGTTATCTGATTGACAGATGCAACACCATTCAGTGGTTGTTCACATGCAGAGAGAGTGTGTCAAAGGCGGCTCCACTGCCGATCTCCCTCGACTGCCTAGCTCTTTTGCAGTTAGCGACATGTAAAAAACTTTGCCCGCCACCTGACCCGCAACAGGCTTAACTACTAAGGCGACGACTCCCCACTCGCGATGGCGCTTGGAATCTTTTCTTCGTATTTGTTTTGTTGTTTTTGCTCTGATCTCTACTTGACAGATAAGCTGGGTGCCTGCTGGGGACGGATTGATGAGGTTTTGTTCTGTCTCGCATTCTAGATATAGGTGTTTCTAGAGAGGAATCATATCATATTCTATTGTGCTTTTTTCTTTCTTTAACCGATCTCCTCGCGGCAAGTCCGTTAAACAAGATGCTACATAGAGAGCCAAAGCTGCCGGTTAGGCAGCTTCTAATATTATGTGAGTAGTCTGTGGTATCAATCTAAGAAGCAGCCTTCTAACTAGTACTAGCAATATGTCGGTTCGCAGAACCTGGTAAGACAAATACGTATAACCATCTCGCATGGACAAAGTTGACGAGCTCCAGTGGTCTTCACATCGGTGCTCCCATATCTCGTACGCCTTCCTTCTCCGTCCTTAAATCATGTTCTAACCATACCAGCCCGAGATGATGGAAAGCGTCGGCGTGCGCAAAAATGAAATCGCAAAATGGGTCGGCATCTCGTCCGCGGTGGCCGCCATCAGCCAGTGCGTGATGGCCGTTCCCTGGGGCGCATTTTCAGACCGAGTCGGACGCAAATACACAATCCTGCTGGGTCTCACATCAACGATGTTTTTTTCGCTGATGTTCGGCTTCTCGAAATCCCTCGTTTCGCTCCTTATTGCCCGAGCGTTTTTGGGGCTGATGAATGGGAATGTTGGCATTATTCGTACCATGGTAGCGGAACTGGTTCCGGAAAGGGAACTGCAGCCGCGAGCATTTAGTATTATGCCGTTGGTGTGGACGATAGGTAGTATTTTTGGTCCGGCATTTGGTGGAGCTCTGGCGAATCCGGCGGTTAAGCATCCCGGGATTTTTGGGGATTGGGAGATTTTCAAGAAATATCCATTTGCACTGCCGAATATTTTGTCTGCATTGCTCTTTGTTGTTGGGATTACTACTGGGTTTCTGTTTCTCGAGGTACATTCCATCATGCATGAAATAGATTCACCAACTCACACCGGTTAGGAAACCCTGGTAACTCGCAAACATAAACGCGACTATGGCTTAGTCCTCGGTCAGCTATTAACCAACTCCTGCGCTGGCAAAAGAAAACCCAAGCACTATGCCAAGCATGATATCGTCGACGAGAGAACCAGACTCCTCCAAGATACCGACGATGATTTCAACAACATATCCAAACACACCATAAAACCCAAACAAAAACCCGCAAGTTTCAGAGAGGTCTTCACGCCCCAGTCAATTCTCGTCCTGATTGCATACACCATGATGGCGTTACATAGCATGGCATTCGATTCCCTCTTCCCCGTCTTCCTCCACCACCCCCAACAAGACATGCACGACAACCCGGATGTCAAACTCCCCTTCAAATTCGCTGGCGGATTCGGCGTCGGTATGTCCCCTACCCCCTCCCTTTTCCCCCTCACTATACTAACCCCCCAATCTAATTCCTTCAGACTCCCAAACAATCGGCATCCTGTACACCCTCATCGGCATAATCGGCATGTTCGTGCAATTCCTCATCTTCCCCGTCGCCGCACGACGCTACGGGGTATTAAACTGCTTCAAAGTCGTCGCCATCCTCTTCCCATTCCTCTACGCCGTCACGCCCTTCACCGTCCTCGTACCGGCGCGCATCCGCCTAGGGACGGTATTCTTGTTAATGATGTGGAAACTAATGCTCGTAATATTCTGTTTCCCATGTTGCACGATCCTGCTCACGAATACGGCGTCGAGCCTGAAGATCCTGGGCACGTTGAACGGCGTTGGTGTGAGTGTGAGTGCGATTGGGAGGGCGAGTGGGCCGGCGATTGTCGGGTGGGCTTTTACGGTTGGAATTAGGCAAGGATATGGGGTTGTGCCGTGGTGGATTTTGACTGTTTTGACAGCGCTCGGTGCAGTGCCGGTTTTTTATATTGTCGAGACGGATGGGTTTCATGACGCTGATGGTGATGGTGATGATGATGATGATGATGATGATGATGATGATGATGATGATGATGATGATGATGATGATGATGATGATGATGATGATGATGATGATGAGGTCGATGAGGGACGGGTTCTGCATGAAGAAGATTGATATCCTGGTTGGAATGTGAAAAGGGAGGGATTTGACGATATGATTCATTACCATTTGGTTCGGCGTTTGGGTTGTCGGTTTATATTGCGGCATTCATGAGATATGATATACATGATTCTGCATATGCATGGCTTTGCATTAAAACATCGAGGGTATATATTAGACATTAATGGAATCCTATTAATTGCTTGTTTAATTTTATTCGTAACTCTTACAACTAGGATCAATTGAGTATTGTTGAATATTCTATATTGATGTAATGATTGCATAGCTGTTCTCGTATATAAATATTCCTCATGTTCATATTTATACCATACTAGAGACTAGACAAGAGATTTTGGCTATGTTCTGATACCAACTCAATCAACCTCACAAACTTGCATGTGCTGACTTTTAAACTGCACCCATTCACAGCCCACCCGCTACTTGAGTAGATCAACTACCTGACTGATTCGCTCTTGAATGATACCGCTCCATCTCTGTTCCATCATTAGCTCCATCACCTTCAAGACTACAAATTACGATCATTTAGAATTAACTTACCACTGCATTCGTCACATTCCCCGCATCAAAACTCTCTACAAGTCCAGGATACGTAGCACCAGCATACCCGGTCCAAAGCCCCGGAGCGAACACTACGTGCTTATACCAGCTCCGGCCATCCAGACCATCCTCATACAAGAACTTTCGTTCGATGGTCTTGTATTTCTCGTTGACGCTGCGGATTTGGAAGAACAGCTGGACTTTCTTCCACCAGTGATACCATGGTACATCGTCATGGAGGTGTGAAACCAGCTCAGCGGCGTAAGCGTCGAATGAAATCGCTACATCGTGCAGCTCGGCAATGGACTTTTCGAGTGGGCCGAAGCTAAAATGGGTGTTTTTAGGCAGACTATGCGCGTGTGGCTTGATATGGTCGAGGTACTCCCGAAGACCGATGGCGTAGTCAGTGGCGTTCAAGCCTAGTACTGGTTTCTCGGAATAGTAAGCTGCTAGCAAGGAGAATAGTCTCGCCGTGGTGACATGGTATTTCCAGCCCGGATCACCGAAGCGTTTCATCCAGTCAAAGCTATCGTAGTTGGAATGGTAGTGGTAAACTGGATCACCGGGACCGCGGGCAAATCCAATAGACACGCTGGCAACACCGGCATAGTCCTGGAATGCAGTGAAATCACTGCCGCTTCCCATGGTAGCGATATAACCATTCCAGGCATCCCGAACTGTCTGGCCTTTGACAGTCTGGTTTGGAGACTGCACAAGACCGGTGACCTCGTAGATTGCCTTATTGAGGAGAGGACTGGCACTGACATCGAAATGGGGACCACTTGCCGCAACATCGACATTGAGGTATACCACATTAGTCTTCGAAAGCCACGGCAGTTTCTCCTCCACCCATTCTGTAGACCCGACCAATCCGTATTCTTCGCCATCCCAACTAGCAAAGACAATCGTTCGGAGCGGCTTCCAACCCGCCTTCAGAGCATCACCGAAGCTCCGCACGACTTCATTGAGAGCCGCCGAGCCACTGTTCGGGTCGCCGGCGCCCCCAGCGATCCATGCATCGCGGTGATTGCCCAGAATAACTACTTCATCCGAAAGGCTGCCTTTAATCACACCGATAACGTTCCATAAAGGAGTCGTCACGTATTCCTGCTTATTATAGAGGTTCACTACAACATCATCAGGTGTTGGCCCAATGTGATATTTCACGCCTTTATGTACCAAGCCACCACCTTGCCAACCCTCGTTGAAATCAGCTGCTTTTGGACCATGTCCATTGAGAGCTTTGAGAAGCGGAAGGGCCTCCGTGTAGGATATGGGAAGAGACGGGATGGATGGGATGGAACCCTGGGGGTCTTGTCGATCAACTCCGGGTTTAGAGGCGTAACCTGGAGTTGTTGGGTCACCAGGGGCAATGCCTTCATCACCAAATTAGTAAACTATAATAAAGCTAACCCGATATCACTTACTTAGAAATTGGACACTCCCCCTTTGAACTGCGGTAGGGTTTCGGGCAGGTCCATTAGGATATGCTTTGTAGCCATTCAACTCGGTAACCTCGCCATCCTCCTGGGGATCAGAATAAATAATCACACCCACGGCACCCAGATCTTGCGCGCGCTTCACTTTCAAGCCACGGAAGATAAATCCATACTTGACAAGGACTATCTTGCCCTTGACAGAAATTCCTGCCTCTTCCAAGTCCGCAAAATCCTGGTAGGTGCCAAAGTTTGCATAGACGTACGGAGCCGTGACATTTCCGCTGGCCGAGTAACCATGGAAAGTAGGAACGCGATCCGGCAGACCGCTCGTAGAATCCTCGTCCAAGACGTCTTCCTCCAAAGTAGCCTCAAAAGTTATTTCGTAGTTATCGGCAGTCTGTTTCAGAAGGGCCAGTCGATGGTCCTGTGGGTAGTTAATGTAGACGTCGTACGACGCAATAGTCGTATCCTCCACGCCAAATTCCTTCCATTTCTCTTGTGTCCAGAGTACCTGAGAGAAATTGCGGCCGGCCAAGTGCGGGCCAGCAGTATAATATCTGCTCCATTCCTCGATTTTCTCGGCTGTCGGTGTCTCTTGGAGAACCGCTTGCAGGTCTTTATAACCAAGTCCGTGTCCGTGTGGCCACGACTGCGGGTAGGGATGAGCCCATGGCATGTAGGACCAAGACGAGCCCAGTCCGGTCGGCGCAATAAACAAAATAACAGCCACAAAGAGGACGAGCCCTAGGACTACGGTGCACGAGCGGCGCAAGGCATGATGCGGATAACGATGACGCCTGGGAGCCGTCTGAACTACCAGGAGCGGAGTTGTCTCCGAGATAGGCATGTCGTGAATCGCTTTTTCCTTCATAGCGTAGGGCTGAGGAGGAAAGATGCTGCGCTGCTTGACTCCCGGGAAGCGGAGTGACCTAGAGCAGCATCAGAAGGAGTTTACAGAGGAGACAATTATTAATTTGAGAATGAGTCGTGAGATAAGAGAGATCAATCACAACATTGCCAAGCGGGGTGAGCTAAGCAGCTCTGGCGGTGACGTTATCGGGCCCACTCTTGGCATCCCAGACAGGAAGGTCCGGGTTATGCCCTATCCTTTGCTGATATATATATATATATATATGTGCGACTCAATATCATAGAGGGCAGATACATAGAACTTCCCTTGCCCTACTACGTACCGTTTTGCTTTTCTCAGGACTATTTCTAAAATACAAAACTGAAAATACTTGAAGACAGATCAAAAGCATTTAGGCGGAATATCAGAGGAAAATTCAGATAACATTGAAATTATACACATATGTACCTAGTTTTATGATCGCCTTTCCATCAAAAGATTTTTAAGGTTCCTTCATGGCGTCCGGCTGCCATCAATTTGGTATTTCTGGTTCAGTGGTAGAGAATCCGGCCTATTTCCCCTCAACATCCCAGGCAATACAAGTGATGTCGATTTGGTCTATATCTCCTTCTTCAATTGCTGAATCCGGCGTGCACTAAAATACATGTGCCTCGTGTTAGAGAATTATTATTTAAATAGCTCGAATATTATTTTCAAGCATATCAATGTACTAACAAAACAAATCATATACTTATAACTATGTACTCCTACTGTAAACTGTAAACCATGCCCATGGCTTCGGAAGGCTGTTTCCGTCAGCCAACCGCACATGAGAGCCCAGTTGGGAACCAATAATATTGAATGCTTTCTTCGCTTCTACCGCAAACCGTGCCTGTGCCGAGCGGGTGGGTCAGTCGGTATTTGTCAGGGAAGCCGAAGGGCTGAGAAAGGATGAATCGTATTATTGAGAAGTTTCGTTAGCCTTGTTGATCAGCTAATTACGCGTTCTATGCCTTTCGAAGCTGTTAGGTAACATAAAGCTACTAGCTTCTTAGGCCGGCTCGAGATTGATAATGCGGATAACTTCGTGCCAGAAGATCCTGATACTTACATCTGGACGCAAGAAATGATAAAACCCTATTTTATGAACAGATTTTGAATTTCATACCGTTTACTAGTAGCACTAGCCCGGGATATCTATTGATGGTTCAGGGGCTGGCGTCCTTAAAAGGGTTATATTATAGTGACACAGCTCGCCTCAATGTCAAATCCGGGGTTAGTGCGTCGGGACCATTATTAGCTTCTAATAGTCTTCCCCAACATTGTCCAATAATAGTTGTCTCAAAGCCTTCTAGGGTTTCAGCTGACAGCTGGTGACATGTCGCGACAAATTTCCCCGTCGGTCCAGGAGAAGACCCAAAATTATGGCAAAAGGATTCACCGTCCGCCCATAGTTGTCTAGTCGTCGTAACAAATTACTCGTACCTCAGCCAGTCTTCTCTCTCTCTTTCCTGAACTTTTTACCGGTGTAGAGATTATTGTCTTTACAAAGCATCAGTTGTACTGTTCATCTGCGAAATGTTCACCTGCGAAATGTTCACCTGCGAAATGTTCACCTGCGAAATGCTCACCTGCGAAACGGCATATCTACATGAGAGATTAGGCAGAATATTCAGTATTAAATGATCTACGATTTATTTTGACTGGATGAAATTATTTACTAGTCTCCCATATACCGAGCACATATTCTTTTAGTCTATTAAATGCAGAGAACGGAGATACTAAACGATTATTATCGTTCTTCTCACTATAAGGTCAAAAGTATGTGCAAGGCTCTAGGCGCAATAACAGTTGAATAATACGTCCGTGCCAATTCGCGATCAACCTTAAACCTCGTATTGCTCTGTGGTTCTGACTGGCATCCCCACATGTAATGCATGACTATAGGGAATTTAGCTTTGATTTACTTCCAGACTAAACGGCCAAAATTACTCTGTACGGCCATAGGTGTGAGTTGACAACTTGAAGTGAGGTTCGGGAGCGGGGAAAAGTAGTCTACTAGTAGAATTTTAATACAAACACTGTCACATGTAGAATCCACATGGCGTCAAATGAACTCGTGCAGTAGGCACCGCAACACATGAAACGCCTCGGTGCTTTGATCTTCGGCACTTGGCATATCAGTCCTGTCTCCCGATTTGAAAAAACTGGGGAATTTCAGGGCCTAACGTTTTTACATATTAATGGCAGAATGCTAAGATTTTGACCCTCATCCAAAGCTTCTTTATTTCTAAAATTCACACAACGGCTGCCAGCGTGGAAAAGGCAAGCATGGATCCCAACACAACTCCAGCCCTGGAGCCGCCTCCCGGGGAGGTCAGCAATCTTCATGATCCATACTCTCTCCGTGTTTACATGTACATTACAGCATCCCTGGCGCTGACTCTTTCAACTGCTGCGGTCATTCTTCGCATCTATACCAAAGCCCGGGTGACACGAAGCGTGCAATTCGAGGAATACATCTTGATGTTATGTCAACTCGGAAATTTCGCTTTCACAGGCGTGATGATTTATGCGGTGCAGCTGGGACAAGGAACCCATCAATGGAATATCTCCATTGCGCATGTTCAACGGCTTATTCAGGTACTGTTTTCAGAATCCCGAAAATTTCTTTTTAGATCATGACTGACTTGAAAATGTCGCTTAGCTCGCAAACATAATAGAAATTATATACTGCCCTACTATCCTCGGCGCAAAAACCGCAATGGTGTTACAGACAAGGAGATTCTTTGTGGTTAACAGTCGCGGGAAGGTATACTGGCTACATGAAGTCCTGCTATGGACCAATGTGGCGTGCTACCTTGCCCTGATGTTGAGTTTTATTTGCGCCTGTGTTCCCCGGAACAAGCTGTGGGAACCAACAATCCCAGGGAAATGCGTATCATCGAATGGCATTCTCATCGCTTCGTCGGTTCTCAACGTGATTTCCGACGTTGCTATGCTTTTACTCCCTCTGTGGGTGGTGAAACAGCTTCAGCTTCCTCGAAAAATCAAAATAATGCTCAGTGCGATCTTTGGGACAACAGTTTTGTATGCCACGGTTGCAATAAGTATAATGCATAACAGTGGAGCTGACTATTTCGTTAGGGCCAGTATATCAAGCACCTGTAGACTGATATATGGAGTGAAGTTAACTCACACTGAGGATTTCACCTGGGGAATAATGCCGGTTGGGCTTTGGGCGTAAGTATTCTACTTACTATATACCCCTTTATCAACGTAGTATGTTGATATGGCCGTGCTAACAACTATGGACTCCCTTTAGTGTCGCTGAAATTGCCAGTATTATTATCGCGAGCTCATTCCCGATGCTGCCAGGGTTTGTCAAATATATTAAAGACCAAGCAAGGTCCGGTCAAGGACAATCATCATCGGGCAAGTCAAATTACAATGTGTCTGGGCCAGGGCAGAGTCAGAGTGTTGTTTTGAATAGTATCAAAGGACAACGATTTTCGCTCAACAAATCTCGCGACCGAAACAGTTATCATCAGATACACGATTTCGCTAATGGAAATCACAATGCGGGAGATATCACGAAAACTATCCATATTCAGACACAATCTGACCCAGTGTAAGGATAATTTTGACTTTTCTTTTGTGGGTAGTTGGGCAAATATAATTAAATAACGATAACACAAATGTACATATGTAGTAATAATAATAACAATAATAATATCAAACCTACCTATATAACAATATGTGCGACACTAATCAGCCCAATCAGCCGACCGTTCACAGCGCTCACTGAGTGATCACTAAGGCCGATAAGCAGGTCAGGGGACCAATAAGTACTTAGTGAGCATTATAAGCCTCTTCACTGAACACCTCAACATGCACACTGATCATGCATAATTTGTGGCTACAGATTGTAGGAAGATGTAGGGAAGTTATAGATAGATAACAAGCGAGGCCCCATTTCAATGTATCGAGTTACCTTGCTCTTCATAGTTCTTTAATCAAGTTACTCTGGTTACTACTGAGAGGCTCAGCAAGGCGATCTATAATTAAGGTGCTACCCGCACCTTAAGAGATCTCTTCTATTTTAGTTGTATCATCAGTTCATCGTTCCCCAAGGCACTACAATATATCGTTACTAGTTGCCCTGAGGAACCTACGTGTGGTTCAAGTTATGGTATCATACCTCGACATAACCAGTGATAACCAAGGCGGATCCAGGTTTCTGAAAAAAGAACTATCATCTTGACCCCGAGGAACGATACGGAATGGAGTACTAAGGTAAAACAAGACAAACAATCTCAAACAAGTAAGTATTACCCAAAGAAGAACAATGGCAGGAAACAACTCCACAGCTGGGTCAACCACAGCAGGAGGGGCTGTTAGTGTGCAGCAGGTCATACAAATCAATCAACAGCGCAGGGAAAGAATTGCTCATCTTGAAGCAACTCAAGGATCTATGGGGCCACGTACAAAGATCAACAAATCTACTCCATCCAAGAAAGAAAAGGCTAAGCCCAGACCATTCCTTGTATACATATATTCCTACTTCTTGGTCAACTCTCATTCTATCATGAATGAAAGCTAGCAGCTTCTACCTTCTTGGAAGCACCTGCTTTGGATTGGTTTAAGCCATTCCTAAGAGCCAGGTGCGAAGAAACCGAAGGGGGAAAAAGACGAAGATGTGAAACAAACCTTTACAGTCTATATATTGTTTGTGGACAAACTCAAAGCCACTTTTAGAAATACCAATGAAAAAGTCACGGCATCTAATTAATTGTCTAAACTAAGACAAAATAGATTCATGGTAGAATATACCATTAAGATACTAAGAGATCAGTTCATTTATAGATTAGAATAATGACGCGCTAGCTGATGGGTGCTAGAATAAATGTAAGGATAAAGTTAAAGATTAAGTAGCAAGAATTCCTAAATAACCAGATACCCTATAGGTATGATAACCCTTGCGGTACAGATTAACAATCACCTAGGAACGTAGAATGGAAAGAAAAACAAAAAAGTCAACATAGAAATTATATAAAAACAAATGGACAGCCAATTAAGGGAAGAAACAAGAAGATCCCTTCAACGAAAACCTATGGAACTAGATGCTACGCAGGAACAAACCAAGAAAAATATGTAGGAAAAATCTAAGGTTAAATTCGCCGAAGTTTCTGGCCACGACCAACTTAGTTCTGACCACGACCAGCCGGAAGTTCCCCGGAAAACAATGCGGGGTGTGGAGAACCTTATTGATAATTGTATTTTGGCCTCCTCGTTTCTCCCGAGACTGTTAACTGGTTTCGTCAATGACTCGCTATCTCTACCTCGAGCCAACTATTAATCTTCTTTCTCTTACGTTCGAAACTTGACTTGTAATAGGTTCTTTTTATCATTTGAAACTTTGCGGCAAACGAACCTATGGCTTCCCGACCTCGGGTGTCTCGAGCCTGTGACCGCTGCCGGCGACACAAATTGAAGGTAATGTGTGAATCATGCCCGATTTCAATGCATACCCGGATCACTTACTTCATCCAGTGTGACAAACATAGGCCGTGCACTCTTTGCGTACATTCTAATAGCGAATGCGAGGCGAGCCACACCCTACTTCAAGATAAGACTATAAGGCGCAGAAATCGTACGAAGTATGAAGGCCTAAGCTACCACGCTTCTAGACCGCTGCAATCTGTCACGAATATTATCCCACGTCAGCCTACGTACGGTGGCCATGAAGGACATACCACAGTTGAGACAACTCTTCCCCTGGTACAGGACAAAGGGACGGCACCAACAGAGAACCAGCACTTCGGCGTCAATATGTCCAGCTTGGAATTTGCTCGCAGCGTATTTGGTGAAGAGGAAGATATCGGGCGTTCTCTGACACGTGGCTCAATCCCTGGCGATCTAGAGCCTGTCACTTTGGATAGTAGTACTCCTTGGCGCTTGAAAGATCTGCAACTACCACCTGAGCCGATTATACATCTCTTGATCGAGGCGTACTTCTGCCGCTTCCACTGGTACATCATTCTTTTCCACGAAAACTCATTCTGGAACAACACTTACAAGGCGTACTGTCAACCGACATGGCGGCGGCGGGATCTACCCGATGTGATTACTGTTCTGATTGTTGCCGCCCTAGGTCTCCAGTCAGTGTTGCCGGACTGTACTTGGCATGGACACGATACTTTTCGCATTCATTCCATCAACCATCGTCAATTACTACTAGACCTGGTTAGTGAGGTGCGTCTTCACCTGATCGACCTCCTAGCCAACCCCCGCATTGAAGCGGTACAGGTCAGCATTTTGCTTTCTTGCTTTCACATGTTCCACAATTCGCCAAATCTGGCGTGGAGCACGTCAGGAATGGCTGTAAGAACAGCCTACGCTCTCGCATTGCATACCAAAGCCCCGGCTAGTCAAGACCAGATTGCGGCCCAAATTCGCTACCGATGTTGGAATCATATCACAGTTGGCGACAGTTTCGTTACAATGATCTACGGAAGGCCAGCCTCCGTCGACGCAGCATTTTCAGACCTACATGAGCTTGAGGAGATTGATGATCTTACCATTCCTCCCGCTCTACGAAACCTTCCCGGGTTTATTGAATGCGGCAATATTACCTCGAAATTGACCTTTCATCAGTTGAAATTCAGGCTCTATTATATTATCCGTCAAGCCTTGAATCGCTTCCGGCTTCTCCGGCCAAGTCAGACGATGACTAATGATGATATAGTAGCAATGTCACAAGCGATAAAAGACGTAGAGGCTTCGCTAGCCCTATGGCGTCAAGAACTTCCTCGTCTGTGCAATTTTGAGTATTGGAGCGGGGCTGACCGGTGGGCGCGACTGGAGTACTCGCTGCAGAATCAGCCGGCAGATATCCAAGAACATGCAGAAATAATTCTTCTCCAGGCCGCCATGTTGCAACTGTTATATGATGGCGCTGTCATCCTCACCCATAGACCTTTACTAAAACGTCAAGTGAACTCAATACCTCCATCCGGGTTTGTGATTGATTTGCTACAAAAATCATTGGATGCTGTTATATGTGCAGCTCTCCGTATATCATCCTTTCCGGTTCACAAATTTGAGAAACATTTTGTGGTTTCTATAATCTTTCACTACTTCTTCATGGCAGGTGTGATCCTGTGTATCATTCCTACAAGTCAGCCATTTACCAATACTGCTCAGGAGGCAAAGGCTGGGGTTGTAAGGATTATACGTGCTAGTCGAGCCATGGCGCATCATAACCGCATTGCAAGACAAACTGACAAGTTACTTACCGAGCTATTGAAAATAGCCGTCCAACGAGAAACAGAAGAAGCTTTGAATACCTCGGTGCCTGGGTATCACTGGGATGAGGCGGAGCCGCTCTTGAGCTCAGAATTGTCGATAACCAAGGATGCTCAGGTCCCTTTGGAGGGCCCAAATGAAGATTCTCAAGTCAACACTACGCTATATAAACCCTACCACGGGTTAAATCACCGAGGGTTCAGCTTGGATATACTTGAGCTACTTCAATCTTACCATACATTTGACACAGGAGCAGCAAGGGATGAGCTATCAGATCAGTGCATGTTACCGAGCGCGCTGTCACCACTGGACCATCATTCGGTGTTTGTTTCTGAACAACTAGATGATATATTTGGCAGCCTGCAGTCGTCCTATAGCTGACACTAGCTTCTCATGGTTCGTTTTGGCGATCGTGCAAGCCGTCAACTTATGTAACTCCACAGTGTCAGTTGCCACGCATACATTGAACCACATTCCATCGTGGAAATGGTGGGAGTAGGGATGCTTATTTTGATGATATATCAAAATTTGCGCTTCATCTAGGATTGGTGAGAAATGGCAACCATATTTATGGTGATCAAGTTAAGAGGGATACGTAAGCGATGTATTATGAACTGACCGTACTAAGCAATAGGTACTGGGTGATATATCAGACTATGGACCATAGATCCTCTAAGGGCCTTTCTATCGTCTTCTCTAGAGTGGATGGAGTCGCTGCGGCTGGTCTACCTGAACCGGGTAGTAGGCACTATGAGCCGTCTCGGGATTTATATGTTTTTCCCACAGGCCCAACACCATCGCCATATGGTCTATATTGCCAAAGAGGTGGCCACAAGATATTAGCCACCACTCTCGGTGTTGTGAGCTACAGTCAGCTTGTCGAAATGGTTTTGGCATATGCCGGCTCGACTTGAGCAGGAATAAAATGCGAAGAGAGTGTTTTGGCTAATGAAAGGATTTAGTCCCTTTTCTTGTATGGAAGAAGGGTAGAGAATGGCGAGGATGATATCAAGATCAGAGCCGTATACTAGATAGCTGTGTGCTGAAATATCATCTCGTTCTACCTATGCATCTGCATGTGTAGTAGTCAGTTGGCAACTACTCTAATCTCCTTATGTGCTACTACATTCGCATCATGATGACCTGGCTCTAGCCAACTCCTCACTAAGCTCTAACGTAAGATAACGTAAGAACAGCCCTGGTGACGCTTCGCAGGATTATAGGGATCGTCCGCCTAAGTAGTGCATCCAATAGACCTTCCGCACGGTTAATTGTCGTTTGGTATTGACAGGAATATCAGCCCTTTTATATGGCAATAGAGAGTAAGGTGAAAGTCTTTAAATTATTAAGGTGTGTCGCCTCACGACAGGTCTTACTCTGCATAGAAGGGTTATGACTACTAAAGAAGGCCAATCGCCGGATCAGAAGATGGTCTTGGCCTAGGCGGTGCTTACCAGGTCCATAATCCCTTCGAGAAAGTCACATGGATACTTTACTTTCACAAAACTACAGCATATCAACCTAGGGACGATCGAATCAACCTCACCCTTGTTGTGCCAGACGATATCCCACACAAATCCGTCTGTCGCCCCAAAACTGCCACATCCCATGCACAACATCGGCTTCGTAACCATCCTACCATCTCTTTCGCTTAAAACTCTCGAGATCCTCATATTTATTGCACAAAGATGTCTCATCAATGACAAATCCCACCCCAGCGGGTAAATGGCAACTGTCAAATCCCGTGTCAGAGGTGAGATCATAGTCGGGAGTGAAAGAGAATATAAGCTTCCATATCAGTAGCTCTTTAATAATTTCACACAAGAATATATGAAGAATATCTGCAGCATATCGTCCAGAACAAGGAGCGTTGAAGTGTATCCCTCGTTGCAGACACAACCAACTTCCTCTCGAACCTGTGGAGCGCCTACGGATGACAAAGAGCAGGGATTGCAAAAACGTTAAGCCTCTTTTGTGGAGTCACTACCAGCCTCGATGAGCTGTATAGCCACATACATGGTTTCGTGTTCGTCCTCTGTGAATTTCGTGTCCCGGGACAAAAGTATATTTCTTACAAATGGTAGAGGCGCAATGTATATATCAATTTTGTTCTTCACTGGCACCCACCCGACCGGAAGATCTCATAGTTTAACTGTCTCAGTTATTCCCAGTGTTTCCGCCACAGGACTTGATCTAATACTACCAAAGAAAAGAGTGACCTCATTTTATAGGTCCGCAAGTTCCTGGTTGGATTTCGCTAATTGCTCTTCAAGAACTATCCAATGCATGGCAGCGTTGCCGGAGCGATAATGATGGGCAAAGTATCGCCCCGACGGAAAGAATTATTCTGTCAGGAACTTGCTAACTACCGATTGCTTTAAGAATGTTCCGCTTGGCAGCGAGTGCAACACACACTGCATTTCAATCCACTTAGAAGGGTCTACGTAGGATCCAAGAACGTCCAAAGAGCGTCCTTTAGGATTAACAATGGTATTGCGGACTGTCTTTTGTGAGGGAACCCCACATGGTAATGACCTCATTGACCACTCGGTGGATACGCAGCACCCTGAGACCTACTCACCCATGAACTTGTCTGGTTGATGCACGCAGCTCTAAGCCGGAGAAGACTACCGAACAGAGGTCGCCCTTGTGACCCCGGTGGAAACCTCCATGGTTTTCCAGCCGGTGTTTGTCGCTTTCCCACTAGCTTGAATGTTCTTGAACGACCAAGAAGGCCATCACCAGAGAAAGGACGAGATCGGATATTCAGACGTCAATGTGACTGGCTGATGAATTGATAATAAGAGGGGCATGTACCCAAGGGTCATCGTCCGACTCGGTATACTTTTCGTTCCGGCGGGTTTATTCCGACGGATGATGATTTGAAATCATGGGAGCCCCGTCTTTCTAAATAACCTTAATCCCGCAGGCTCTGATCCCGTTCTATTAGCCACTTCCCAAAATGGAAGACGCTAGTTTCACAACCGACGATAACTCGGTAGTCGGTGATGGATTCAAAGTACAAGTATTGCTCTTTTCCACAGATCGACGATACCAAACTGACAGTAACCAACAAACATGGCTTCCCGTCAACCAAGAAACAGCTTGACGCTATTTGACAAGGTTGATGTGGTGCTTGGTATCTATTCCATGGGTATTTCCCGTCAGAAGGACATAAATATACATCTTCAACTGATGATGACACCTAGTTTCGGCGGTCATTTATTCTATTCTTTCAGGCTTTTTTCGTGGTAAATCAGGCGCAGATACCTATTATCACCACATTATACAAGGGACAGTCAAGAAGGTCAGAAATATGATTTGACGAAAATGCATCAATCGTAACTGATTGAAGCAGCTTATGACCAGATATACCCCACTTCAGCTGCAGTATATTCTCAAAAGATAATGCTGTTAAGTCCTTCAGACTGATATTCACTAGGTATCTTTTTGAGTCATCAGATCAGATATACCTGAAGTACTGTAGCAGCAACCGGCTCGAGCCGAATTTTATTTCAACCGACCACGGGGTGAAAGGGTTTTGGATCGGAAGCCCACATGCCAAATATGTTGGGATATATTTCCATGGTAATTAGTATATGTGGTTGAAGATCTATTCTAATGTATTTCAATAGGAGGGGGGTTTGCGATGGATGGAACAAAATCACATATAGATCTTTGTCTGGAAGTACAGAGAAGTCTGGATCAAAACGGGATCAATCTTGCTTGGTTCTATTCCACCTACACATTGACGCCTCACTCCACTTATCCCACACAATTTTGTGAAGCGGTGGAAACCTTAAACTACATTCTACAGGATGTCGGGCGACATCCATCTGAAGTCATACTTGCAGGCGACTCTGCAGGCGCAAACCTCTGCTTGGCAATCTTGTCTCACATGACGCATCCGGCCAAAGGCGTGCCTAGACTGATAGTACAAGAACCCCTCAAGGCATTTGTCCTTATCTCACCTTGGATCTCCTTTGATCAGAATTGGCCAAGCGTGCGGCGTAATGAGCACAAGGACATTGAAGCAACCGATGCTATAGAGCTGTGGTCGCGGATTTATCTCGATGGGAACCCAACAAACTCTTACATTGAGGCTGTTCGTGCTCCGGAAGAATGGTGGAAGGACGCAAAAGTTCAGCACACACTAGTTCTCGCTGGAGAAGATGAACTTCTTATGGACCCAATTACAGCTTGGGTCCATAATTTTCAGGTATGAGGAAGTCCCGAATGTCTACACAAAAAAGGAGGCTTACAAATTTTAAGAAATTCAATACGGAAACCACTTTCGTCATTGGAGAAAAGGAATGTCATATTGCCCCTATTATCTGGCCAATGTTTGGTGATAAACATGAGACTCAGCAAGTTAGAGCATTGAAAGATTGGTTAAAGGCACGGTTGCTTTGACTTAAGATAGGAACCTCGTACGTAATAGGATAACAAAACTGAAAGAAGGCCAGAATATTATACAGTATTAGGCATGCATACGGTTGTGAATGATCTGCTGGATAGGCAATTAAACATGTAAAACGTATATAATTTGTTTATTTGAGGTACACTACACATGGCATAGTTGTAACTCGGACATATAAGGAAATTTTCTTATAACTTTCAAACAAGCGTCGACATATCTGAACTTTGGGATGTTGCCCGGAAATAGACTGGAAATACATCGGCATCGGCACGGTCATGAGCTGACAAATACGTGCGGAGAACAAGTCTAGACTTGTATTGTACGGGAGGATAGGTCATTGGTCATTATATCGGAGAAAAGAGTTTGGCGCAGTTGTCTCTGTAATTAAGTTGTGGTGGCGTTCCTTGGTTCCGGCGGAAGGCACGCGACCAATCACATTTTAACGCAGAGACAATCAGCCCCAATTACCCCATCAAGTAGTTGGCTTCAAGTGTCATCACAAACACCATGTTATACCTCAAGAGATCTTTCTTGCTGTATTTAAGGAAAATATGTCCGCGCAAGGACGATGACTTTTCTAAAATCTTGTGAAATAATCCAATTGAGTATATCTGGCTATTACAGGTTCTCTCATAAGCATGTCTCTCTCCATTCAATCCCGGTCTATCTATCATGGCCTCCCAGTGTTCCCAGGGGAGCTAAAGGGCCTCACTGCCATTGTAGCTGGTGCTAATGGCATTTCCGGTGACTATATGGTGAGCTGTTCTGATAAACTCAAGACCACAACCATCATTGTCTATTGTTAACCTCAGACTCTATGATTGCAGCTCCAAGTTCTTTGTGAGTCACCCGAACGCTGGACAAAGATCTATGCACTCTCCCGGAGACCTCCAAATAAAATTTGGCCAGCGCACGTCAAACATCTTTCTCTGGATTTCATGGATCCTCCTGAGAAAATTGCTGAGCAGCTTAGGCAGGATGAGGTGAAAGCAGATTATATTTTCTTCTTTGCCTACATTCAGCCGCCACCAAAGGAGGGCGGAAATATCTGGAGCGCTGTAGAGGATCTCGTTCGTGTCAATAGTGAGTTTCTACCCGCAGATTTATAGTGTCTGAGAGCAGCCTTATCTAACGTTCTTTACGCAGAACAGCTGCTGGTAAATTTCTTGGAAGCCCAGGCGCTAAACAATTCACTTCCGAAGCACATCCTTCTGCAATTAGGTGCAAAGTACTATGGCCTCCATTTAGGCCCTGCAAAGACTCCTCTAGTAGAATCAGACCCACGTGTACTTTTGGAACCAAACTTCTACTATGATCAAGAAGATTATTTGAAGGAGTTTGCGCAAAAACATAATATTGGATGGAACACAACTCGTCCTGCGTTCATTCCAGGAGCAGTCACTGATGCATCCATGGACCTTTGCTTTGCATTGGGGATATATGCTACTGTCCAGAAATATCTAAACCAGCCCCTGGTGTATCCAGCAGACTTCACTGCTTGGACGAACGTTCAAAATCTGTCCAGTGCTGCAACAAACTGCTACCTGGCGGAGTGGGCAGTTTTGACCAAAGGGGCTGAGAACCAGAGCTTCAACGCAATTGATGGCGCTCCGTTTAGCTGGGAAGGATTCTGGCCCCAGCTCGCCGATCGGTTTGGGTTGCCCTGGACTGGACCAGACTTGAGTGAGAGTGCACAGTACCATGACGTGGTACTGCCTTATGACCCTCCACCCCGTGGATACGGGCCACAAGCCAAGTCTCGGTTCAGATTCACCTTAACAGAATGGGCTAAACGTCCCGAGGTTTCAGCGGCTTGGAGGGAAATTGCCAAAGAAAATAACCTACGAGACAAGGAACTAAGAGAGCCAGAACGACTTTTTGGATTTATTGATGTGCTTCTCATGATGTCCTATCCCGCTTTGTACAGGTAAGTGATGCACGCCAAACCAGTCTATTCATTTTACGTCCCATTCTCTAACGTATTTACGGAGTAGCGTAACTAAATTGAGGAAGCTTGGTTATTTTGGATATGTTGACACAAGTGAGTCGATCATAGAGGCCTTGGAAAGGCTTGTTGGTCTGCGTATGATCCCGCAATTTTAATATGTCGTTCTGCGATCTGGCCGTGGAACAGAAGAGCTTTTCATCTTCAGACAGTTGGCCATGTTAGAATGATTCACATATAGCGTACATATGCAGGACTGGAAAACATCTTTTTAAAGAATTGTGGGAAGGATATGTGAATTGTCATCTCGTCATTTTATTTCAACCGAACATATTTTGTCCAAAAGAACTCCACAGAAAATTAATATTTGAAACTGCAATGCTGAAATATTATTGTATTATCTTTGGGGTCTAATAATTTATAAAATAGAAAACCGTTACCTAGGTAGTTTCTTAAAGGACTCAGACCCATAGTTTTTACATTTTTACAAAGTATTTCTACAAGTAGTCTCAATTCTGATCATGATATAGATTTGGAAAGCTCGATAGATAGTAGATCCGAAGATATACGTACCTACTGACCTCACAGGACCGAAAATTGTTTAATCATTATTCAGAGGCACAAAAAAGCCTTGGGAATAATAAATTATTCTTCACACTTCCTGTGATTGTCTTTTCTTTTCTCTCTGGCGCTTCCCCAATACCACAGTGCTTAGGTCGCCTACGGGCAACGAAACTGGGAAATCAACTGTCTCCAATATTTGGGCGATGAAGATCCACCAAATCGGGAAGCATAATGCGAATATAAATGCACCGGAGGCCTTGTATACACAAGTCAGTAAGATTTGCACAGGGGCAAAAATATAAGGTACCCACCGTTTGTAGTTTGGATGCAAGGATGGCGTTTCCAAGCGCAAGCTGAAAATAGACACCCGAAAACAAAGCAGCAGCAATGGAGAGAAGGAACAGAGCTATGAAAAGACATATATTGGTGCGGATGGAGCAGATGAAATAAACAAATGTCAGAACAGCCAGAATCACGTAAAAGAAGCCTGACATCGTGCAGGTTAGTTGAAGGTAACTACAATATTAATGCCGTGATTACTCACCAGTTGTAGCGTAGAATTCCGGTGTGTGTTGGCCCTCCAATATGTTTCCTGTTGGGGAGTAATTGAGACCAGTCGCAAAAAACGGCATGAGTGATGTGCCATATACCAGCCAGAATGTGCCTGCTCAGCGTTAGCGTACAATAATCAGCAGCGCAGAAGGAAAACAGACCATATGTGAAAAAGATAGAAGACGAGAAGGTGTTCCCAAGGATCCATTCGCCTATTCCACCAAGCAATTGAACCAGACCGCCGAAGAAAATAAAGACGGGTCTGGTATAGAACAATCAGATATCAGCAAGCGTGAGTTGATATGATCGGAAGCAACAGCTCTTACAAAATTGCACCGCCATTCCCTCCTGATCCTCTCCAGCCCATCGCAATACAGCCCAGAGGGGTTGCAGATAGTAAGAATCCCATTAGTGAGATAGGGGTGGGATTTCCGAAAGTCTTGCGTAGATTTCCCGCTGCAGGAGTCTTTGGGTTCAAGTAGAGCTTCTCGAACACATCGCGAGGGATGGGAAGAAGTATGCTTTCTGCTGTTGGATTACGGTGAAGGGTCTCCGTGGTTGCTGCTAACATATCATCAATGTTTTTCACGGACATTGTGCTGTATTATGTCCAAATACTGCTGGAATCGTCACCAAAAAGCGAAAATATGGTCCAAAGGGTATTGAGAGTTGGGAGCAGGTACAGCGGTGGGGAACACGCAGATATATACGATATATATACGATGTATCCAGGCTACCTCTACAGACTAAGTTTGAGCTAATTGATATATATTCCATTCTGAAAAATGGAAATTTGAAATACTGCAAAATGCAAACAAAATACACAACAAAATATTCACGGAATCGTATTCCGCCCGGCAGCGGAATATAGCGGAATGAGCCCCCAGAGCCCAAAATTTGGGGTAATATGGGGTAATCCGGGGTGTCTATGGATGGTAATCTCCATTTTTCATGTGCAAAGCTCCACAATTCAACTCATTAGAATTCATTTAGTATTTGAATTTATTGGGTTGTTAAACAGGATCTGCCCATTCTGATGAGCTTGCCAAGCCATGTCCCTTGGGACGACGCAGGGATAAAGTTATAAGCGGACCTTTCGCTTGTTGTCGAGCTTACTCTATTCATCCACTCAAATTGATGTGCGTTTCATAGCGGAGGCTAAATGGAGAAGAATGGGAGAGATTGAGCCCAATCGGTGATTCTTTGCTTTCCAAAAGTCGGGACAAGGGATCAGATGTCACGCCACCGAAATCAGACGGCCTGGATAGAGTTTGCGCAATCTATATGAAATATTCAGATACATATGTACAGGTTAGTGAAAAATCCATCCCCGATGTGGATCAATTACTCTTGTTTGAAAATGAAACCGATTTTTCCAACATCAAACAGAGCTTGGTATGTATTATTTTGGAATTCTTCCACGTAAATAGTTACCCCTGAAACATTCATACATTATCCTTTCTCATAAAACTCTTGGTAAGCATATTGGGCGCTAGTTGCCTAGTTATTGGGCCAGGAGCACCAACAGCGAGCCTGAGTGGTGGACTTAAACCCTCCGTTGTTGCTCTGCCATCCCGGAATTCGTCCGATCTTTGTCGGCTCAAAGGCTCCTGGGATATCTCTTCATCATTTGCCGTGGAGCGACCAACCGAGCTACTGGAGTCCGCATTTTGACTTGAGATAGGCATAAGAGGATAGCCCTACCTGAAAATCTCCGCTGGCTGTCGTTCCTCGTCTTTTGGTTTCTCGCCAGACCCATTGTCCACACCTATCAGGCTTAGAGACCACGGCGTTTCCCCGTAAGCTCCTGGCACACAGATGCGGATCTCAGCCGTGCCATTAGTAGAGAGTTCGGTCACAAAGGGCCGCTCCCTCGGGCAATTCAGTGGGAACTGTTCCCTTGAAACGAACTCGCAGCTCGAGGTAGAATTAAGTCTCATTGCATGCTGGCGAAGAACACCTGTATTCGTTTCATTCTTCAAAGCTGGGACGAAATACGCCTCGTTAGGTGCAATCAAAGAACTACTACGTAAATTGATGCAGTCAATAATCACATCTGCGGTGTCTTTCGAGCGGCTATCAAGGGAAAATCACTCTAAGCCGTTGACTTGCACATTCTTTTACATCAGTTCACGAGTCCTGCAGGAGATAATCCCAAGTACATAGATAATCATGAGAAGAATTTCATATAGCTGGTCTTGACTCCAGGTCAGACCCTAGGAAGGGGTATCTATACATATATATTGGCAACATAAGTGGTCAAATAGTGTTGGTTTCGTCTTGATCAACATGAATCATGTCGTTTTCAGCCCCATTAAGCCTATTTCCAACATCCATGCTATCGCGGAGGATTTCACGGGCCTCTTGGCTATCCACTTTCATGTCTTCCTTGATCAGCAGTACCGTCAGTTCAGGAACGAGGACTGCTTGAGAATAGGCCGCCGGACCGGCTGTCTTGAGGATATTGTCCATGGTTGCTAGTTGGCGTAGTCGGCGAGAGAATTTCGCAGTTACAGCAGTCAGCCTGTGGAATAGTCAGTTATCTTGTGGCCAATAAAGAAAATATAATATCGGTAAAGACGAACATTCTACTCGCCCCCTTTGGTCCGTAGTAGCCACACGACATATATTCAAGATTATCGCCCTCTAGCGTCAAACGGAAATTCTTAGCCTGCCCTGATTTCATAGCACTCTCAAGACGACCTCTAAAAAAAGAGGAACTTTGTGGTACCAGTTGTTTCTCGAGTTCGGTGAAATGTGTTTGAATTCGTCGCTCAAACTTCTCCCAGTTGATTTCCGGGTATTTCCTGTCGCTCCACTCCTTTTCAGCCTTGTGTGCTTTGTGACTTTCACAAAATCGACGTTCATCTTTCAACCGTCGATTAGGCTGTATCAGAAATTCATCGAGTATATCTGCATCTACAAGCGCATTACAATTGGGGCAGCGCGGTAGACCGTCCTCCAGAACTGGCTGCTCGTTCAATGGCATTTCATCTTCCTGAATCCCAGAGAAGGATATCTCAGAGATCGGTGAGCTAAGCGGTGAATCTTCATCAAAAACAATATCCTTGGACGGCAGCGAGGAACTGATTGCGCTCGTACTCGGTTGCGAACGAGGCTCCTTGAACTGCTTCGCTTCTGACGATGGCTCCTTGAGCTTCTCATCATCTTTGTACAATGCCGGCATGCGAAAGGTAGATACTTGGTCATCTAAAGAAGATTTGTCGTTATTGTTTGTTTTCTGAGACTTGATTGGACTTTTAATAACCCGATCTTCAGGGTGACGGAAGCCTTTGATATCGTCTTGTTTCCTCTTTCGAGACCCACACCCATTGTGTTGTGATTGTGGTTGTGGATTGCTAGAATGGATATTATTTGACCTATTGGTCTTCGTCCCATAGTTGCTATTACGTTTTCTTGTCCCTTGTGAGAACAAGCCCACTTCGTCCCATGACGGAATTTGACTTTGGCTTAGGCGAGAAGATTGCGATTGGGTATTGGCAATGTCCTTTGCAGCAGCGTCACTTCTCATCTCTCTCTCTCCCCCAGCGATCCTTTCATCATCGCTTTCATCCGTTGAACTGAGCGGCTCATCGTAGACCCCGCATTCTTCTTTCTTGTCTTTTGCTGGCAATTCCGGCTGGCTTCGCGGCCGCGTAGGCCTGTTACCCACCATACGCAGCAGCGATGGTCCATCGTAATTATTTTTCGTCAAGTATGTCGAGGCATAGGAGGCTTCACGCTTGGCGGGTCTTCTCATTGTAGCGGTTGTTCCCCCATTTCATGCGTCCAAGGGGGGAGGGTCTCAGGCGCGAGGAGGTGTGGTATAAAGCGACGGTAGCATCAATTCGGTCCGTTGTTAAATCCTCCGTGCTTGGAGAGGGTTGCGAGCTGGACTTGATTGAAGGGTCGAAGAATGGAGGCAAATCAGGAACGGAACGCGTCGTAGGCACGCGCCACGGTTCTGTTTCCCCACACCTGCCGTTAATAGACTGTTCTCAAGCCAGTTGGCAAATTAAGGCAAGGTCAAGTGTTGACAAGTGAGGTTGGAACTGGTCATATTATAATCACTGCTCCTATCACTTCGCACCTTTATATGGACTCTGCCTTTTAATCGAATTTCCCAATACGATGGCTCAAATCCACATCTAAGATGCCGAAAAATGCACAGAAATCTTGAAAAACTAACTATACAGACGTCGGTGACGTTGAGAAAAGACAAAAAGCATTTCGCATCCAAATAAAACTCCTTATAAGATGAGTCTTGTCACCAGAAATAAATAAAATAAAAACAAAATTAAAGGTAAACAAAAAGATACACAAGGCTACAAGGCCTAGATTAAAGGGAGATTAATATATAAGTAGCTCAAAAATTAGAGCAAAAATGCATGCAGATCGTCATACTCATTCAAACGTCATATGAATTTCTTCCTCACCTTGGCCATGGCCTTCAGCCCATGCATTATGTCCAAAATCAGTGGGCATTGTAGCTGCCGAAAGGAGCGCTGGTCGGGCATCTGACAATGGGGCATGATAGGAGGTGTCAAAGGTCAACTGCGCGTCATTATCGTGGCTGCCTGCCGACGGTTCATGGCCAGGTTTCGTATCCGGGGTCGTCGTTTGACTAGGAGGTGAAGTCTTTATGTCTTTTGCTGTGGACTGCTTGTCCACTAATGTAGCAGCATCATCGGCACTTTTCGATTGCTTAAGATCTGGACGGGGCGAGTTTGTGCTGGAAGTTTGAGGTTCGTTCAACTCCACTTTAATCGGAGGTAGAGTGGATTCTAACTGCTTCACTTCGATTTGCTCAGATGCCAGCTCCGCCTTGATAGCATCGATATCGAAGAGAACGCTTTCATGTATGGACGATGACGGATCAGGGGAGCTATGCGGTGATTCCTTGGCTTGATCTGCGTCGTACATTTCCCAGCCTTTCTTCTTGGCCAGTTTAGATCGTTTGAACAGGCCGAATCGTTTCTTGTCTGGCTTTTGCTCGGCTTCCCTGCGTGCCTCGTCGATTTCACGAATCAGTTCACGTTGCCGCTCGGCATGGTTTTCGGGGTCTGGGTCTTCGATTTCTGCGAATTCGTCGCTCAACACCTCCCACCCGACCTCCCGCAGCAATCGCGGCATGGCAGTACGGTAGTTCATGTGACCGCTGACTAGATTAGTGACATCCACATTCTCGAGTCCGGGGATGTCCGGGACCGGGGCAAGACCGGCCACACGCATTATTCCACCGCTCGTAGCCCGAAACAGGTAGCCCAAAATCCAGTCATTGGTTGAGTAGCCATTCACAAATCTCCCAACCACAACGCTCTTTGCTTTCAAATACTCGTCTTTGTTTGCAACGACTGGGGAACCAAACAAATAAACGTTCTGGACGAGACCGTATGCGCCCTTTTTCGCAAGCTCCTTGAGACAAGAGAAGATCATTCGCGAGCCCAGTGAGAAACCGAGAAGAGTGACTGGTCTTTTTCCAAGGTTACGACTCATTAGAGAATCCGCGAGAATCAAACCAGCTGCGTTTGCTCGCACTAATGAAACGTTCCATGGGTTGTCAATCAAATAAGCCAGTTTCGAAAGGACGATCGGAAGTTGCAACGCTCCCATTAATGCTGTCAATATGGTGCTGCCAAGAACTTGTTGTAAACCTTGAGTCAATGCCTAAAAATCATCAACACAATGTCCAAGTCTTGTCTCATATTACAACTTACCTCTGTTGCTAGAATGTTGATGGTTGAACCCATACTTTGCAGCATATCAGGTTCCCAGAAAACAGAGTATATATCCCCCATGATTGGATCTACTGTACTGAAAGGTAACCGAACGTCATCAACCTTTCCGGTCATCCAGCCAGCGACCGTGACAATCAGGTTGACTCTTTGATTGTTATGTAGTGGGCGATATTCAAATGTCTGCACAGCGCCAGTTCGACGATGAGATGCCTTCAACCCAGAGTAACTTCCCGTGAGGGTAGCACCAGAGGCAATCAAAGCCGTGCCACCAGCTCCACCCAAAAAGGCGCCTGTACCGGAAATGCCAATAGTCGTAAAACCCGCAGCAATACCGGCGCCAATAACAGGCGCTAGCAAACCAGCTGATAGACCAATAACTAGACCACCGCCCACTGTTGCCAGTCCCATAATCATGTACTTCTTCTTCAATGCTTCCTTTCGCCGTACTTCCATATGATCTGCTTCATCCCATGTCTCTTTCGAAGCGGCTTGCTCCATCTCTAACGCGTCAATGACTTTTTTCTCAAATCGACATATCTGCATCCACGAGATGTTCATCGCTTTGCCAACCTGTTCTAGCAAGTAACGTGACCGAGCATCATAATTGGCATCTGAAATGAGCACAAGAAACAGGTCACAAAGGACGGTCCAACGAAGATCGATTTCTATCTTAGCTGACGTGGGCATTTGAGACGGGGTTTGCACTTCTGGCACTCCATCTGGCTCCGCAATTTGAGGTGTCGACGGCTCAACTTTTTCCTCTTCAAAGGACTTTTGAGTATCCGACAAGCCGGGGCTGTCCCTATGCTCGCTCTTAAGGCTGGGAGATGAAACGGAAGGAGAACCCAAAGATGATCCTTCCTCCTCGGCAAGAGGATTCTTGACGTGAGAACTTTTCATTAGTGTAGGTACAAGATCGGCGGACTGTACCCCATGTTCAGCAAGCTGCTCGATCATGACTTGCTCGGCAGAATCAATATCCATGTGTGCGAAGATTCGCACCATTACGCCCTGACTCCATTTCTTCATGGAGTCCAATGCATCTTGGAAGGCCTTCTTGGAAGATTTTATTGCCGGAGTGCCTTCGAGATCTTTAGTCATTTGATATATCGATAGCCTGACCACACCGACATAAGCGATACGCTGGCCTTCACTCAGTATAACTTTCGTAGCCTGGAGCTGACTGAGTGCATCGCGAGTATCGTCGTCAATTCCAAGTGATGTGCCGTGGCTTTCTTTGAATAGATAACTTGTATCCTCATCCATACTTGTTGCGGAGTGTGCATCATCATCTAGCTGCACTCGGGTGTATCCCCGCCCAGCCCCTGACATGTCTGCATAATCTTCACCGTCAAGGCCTGAGGCCTTTGCGACCAATCTGCCATAATCATCATAATGGTCGAGTTCTCCGAGAGCTGGCATAGCTTTCCATTCTCCTTCGCTATCACTTTCTTCATCGCTATGTTCTTCGGTCAGTTTTTGGTGAGACCATTCCGAAGCGCCTATTGAATTATGTTTATCGTGAGAATGCCTCTTAGCATCAGGACTGTTTGGTTTGCTCTCTTCCTCCACTGTGGCGCCATTAACGGGTGGGTTTCCAGTTTCCTTCGATTCCGAATGTGCCGTCTCTTCAATTGTCACACCTAGTCCGGTAACCGAAGTAGACTGTTGAGGTTCTGTTTTTTGAGAAGGTACATGGCTCTCTTCTCTGTCCCGTGGCGTGATAACATCATTGTTCGTCACAGCTTCTTCTTGCTGCTGATGTTGCTGCTGCTGATCCGCCTCACCAGCACCTGGGGTTTCTTTCTTATCCGACGTTGATATTTCCTCTGCATCATGAAAAGCCGGCGAGCTCGGACTCGAATCCACCGGTGACGTACGATCCTTGCTCTTCCGAATAGGCAGTCCAAAGTCATCGAACTCTAGTTGTGACCCCGCACCAGTCTGAGGAGCCTCCGACTCGTTATTCGGTGCAGAAGCAGGCTTTGGAGACGACATTATAGAACTGTTTCCGAGGATTCGATTGCACGATGAAAAAAACCCCCCTGAACTACCGCGGTATTATTCCAAAATTGAGTCGTCCCTAATCACAGCAGCCCTTCCGCATGGCCGCATCCGCGCAGGTGGTGAACCGGCACCTGCGATTCTGACTATTCGGATAGCGGCGTTCTCTAGACTCTAGGTAAGAAATGATGTTGCTCATTCAAAGCAACTGATCGAAACGGTCGAAGGTTGCAGCGGTCGATTTAATGGGGTGATGGTCACGAGTTGCACCGCCCGAGACGAGGCGTGATCGATCAATCAAGTCCTAGAAGACAGCAACTGTCAGTTCGAAAAGTGGCTCATTAATGCGTCAATCAGCAGGCACATGCACATACGCTCTCATCTAAAGTCCAAGAAAGCGACACTCTGTGAAATGGAAACAAATAGCTGGTCCCAACGAGAAAATGCAAAGCTGCAGGGATAGAGGAGTCTGAAAGCGGAAAGGCGCACCGGTGCCTCAGCCACCTTTCAAGTTCAAACTTAGTTGCCTCGTCAAAAAGGGGCAAAACGTTCCCCGTTTTAGGTTATTATAACTAAATCAATGTGAAGACCTGTGAAATTATTTACTCGAAATTATTATTATTATTATTGTTATTATTATGTTTAATGAAAATATCATATCTACCGGTTCTTCCCAGCGGCGAACCGCCCCCTCGCTTTTTAAATGTTCCATCACGTGTTCCGCTGCTACGCATGGCTTTCCTTCTCCAGAAAGTCTCTTCAGCTGATAGATCCCGAGAAGACGTTGGATATGGCTTTTAATTTGCTTGTAGACATCTAGCCTTTAATCATTATAGTGCCTTTCCCAGAACCGACCCTTTTATGTATGGCGATTATTTAAAAGCGCATTGCTTGTTAATCAGATCGTGTAGTTAACCTTTTGTTAATGGCCTTTCTTTTTATAGCGTTTTAATATTATTACCTTGGGTCTCAAAGACAGCCAGTCTCTTGAGCTTTGATCGACTCAAAGATGGATATCCGTTTTTTGGCGACTTGAGCGTATTCCATATCGCTACGGGCTTCAAGTCGTACGCTTGAAGTCGACAAGCGCTCCGAGACTGGGTCAAGTGAGGACAACATCGGTTATACTAATACCCTCAAGAAACCGCATGAATGGATAATCATCACAATGCCCCAGTACTCAATATCCCTCACTACGACCGCCGATAAAGAAAAGGTAACGTAACATTGGATTGGCTTGCCGCCAATGTCTGATATGCTTTGTGTAAAGTCCGAAGCCTTATTATTACTCTATCTCGTCTTATATCACGTTTCTCAAGCGCCCTTGTGCTAACCCCGGGGTCATCAAGTAGATCATACGTACCTTTTGTTTTTACTAATTTGTCATCCTAGAAGCCGCAGAAGGCCAGAATGATCTTATCAGAGCCATCTTCCCATTGACATCACCATAGTAGGCTAAATATCCATTCCCAACTTTGCCTACAGCCACTGCGGCCTCTTCGCGATTTACAAAATCCGAAGATAAGACTTTCGACGGTGTTTTAGCACCGGGGACGGGAATGAAAATCTTCTCATGCCGCCGAGCGTTCTTGATATGCACCTTGATCCAAATCACCTAGAAGATGTTGAATTCAATCAACAGTCACCTCGCGCCTTATATATCACAAACTCGTGGGTAACACTACATAATCTCAATTTTCTGTGGATTCCTCCGGAATATAGAGGAGCTTCTTGTAGTACTATTCAGAACAACATCATTGCTCTTGGTTACCACTCTGGCCAGGTGATCACCCTTGTATTTTCATTTAAATAAAACACCACTGCTTCTACAGCATCATCTGTTCGTGTGTAATAGGGCCAAGAAGACTTTGTAAAGATATGCATAAATTTTATATGTTTTGGATATTCCGCACAGGATGAAGCTGAACAGCAGCCAGTCCTTGAGAAGAAGGCTGCGTACCCAATTATAAATTAGCATTAAGGTCTTAGTAGTAGGGCGGAATCATTAAATGTGTATTGGTGAAGCCGATTTCGAGAATGACTGTATCTGGAGTCATTGCCAATCGACCAAAGGGAGGTACGAACTATTCCGTAAAGCGTCAACGATCAACAAAAGTTAAAATCACATACAATTAGAGTTTATTGAAAGACACCCCGCCAGGATTAATCAATTATACTGCCACACAGATAGAAGGAGGTGATGTATATCTGATTGGTCCGGCCGGCCTATCAGCGACCGCCTCATGACCGCCCCAACATCGTTAGCCGGCCAGTAGGGCTGTTAATCGTGTTGCCCGACAGCTACAATAAAATAAAATGCATGCAATTATTAATTAATGGCATGTCAAAACCAGCGATCTGGCAGAAAATAGCGAGCCAGCCAATCAGCCCGAGTCAGCCCTGTAGAGTCAACAATGTGACGGGACTTGATTGCTCGTATTCGCGGCTACCTGCGGGGCTGTGCATCCAAAGCACAAAATGACGTCGTGCAGCCTCAGGCCAAGCTTACCAGTTATGCTTTGAAGAGCGCCAGACCAACGCCCCGACGGGCAAGTTGAGAAGCCTATCGCCGCTGGAGCTTGAACGTGGTGCTGCTCGACCAATAATGCTGTGTCGTAAGCGGTCCGTGACCTCGACGGAGCCTCAATCGACATTCAAGCGACATGACTCTGGGGTCTGCGCTTGGCAGGCTGTGGCAACATTGGCGAGAGTACGCAGGCAGACATGCTGCTACTAATCATGCTGACTAGCGCCCTCCATCATCCTCATCATGATCATCATCATTAGACATACATGCTGGCCTTCTTAGTTGCTGAACAGCATCATGCACAAAGGCGCTCTCTGATATAGCGGTTTAGTTGCAGCAGGATTGTTGTTTATACGCGACGGTTGAATATGAACGATACAGGTACGTCATCGTCGATCACGTGTGGCAGTGCTTCATGTAACAAATCTGATTCCACTTTCCAGGCTCCATCGCCAGTGCCGCTGGCGCTGGCTTGCGATTAGCACTACTCTTGAACGCCGTGGCCTGTCAAGTCGCCAATCTAGGCGTTGACATCCACAGCATCTCCAAAGGAATCACGCTATTCTCAACGAGTCTGAAGCAAGCAACGCAAAGCCTCCAGTCTGAGCACTCGGTACACACGCAAGAATGCCTCGACACCGCGTACCAGATCAGCGACCAAGCGCGCGCCGTGTTCGAAGAAGTCCAGGATATGCTCGACACAGTCCAGAAGCCGGAACCCCAGGACGACTCTCAGCCCACGCCGTCCGTGCAACAGCGGTTCAAGACTTGTTTCAAGAAGCAGCGTGTCACATACCTTCTAGCCCAGCTCGAGTCGCTCAAATTTAGTTTGATGGCGATGATCCAGGTTTTGCAGCTTGGTCGGCTGTTGGAAGTTAGGAAGTAAGAATACCCGTTGTTTACTACATAGCATATTTATGCTAACGAATATATAGCGTTCTCAATACCATTACTGAAGAGCTAATAGCGCAAGAGCGAGCCGATGCGCAGAATATGCTAATCGTGCGGTACTGGTCGACGAAGAAGCTCGACCGACTATGGGATCTTGCACGACAAGAAGCATTAGAGACTGCACCATCAACCCCAGACTCCGCGACTCCAACCCCGTCCAAACTTCCCGTGATACCGTTAGGCGTGGAATCGTCGCTCAACTCGGTCGAGGAATCGCCAAAGGATATGCTTCGGCTGACCGGGGCCGTTCTGGATGCACTGCTCAAACGATGGATCAGGCTCGAGGCCGGTCAGCGCGTGATGGTGATCACATCCAACCAGGCTATGCGCGGAGCCTCGCCTCACGCTTATGTATCATCAGGCAGCGAAGACGACTTGTCCGACGACGCCTCCTCCGACCATTCATACATGCAAGGATACTACCTCGAGGGCGTCACCACAGACTGGCGGAAACCCCATTCGCAGGATGCTCGCAGCCACGCGGCGCGTCTACGCAAACTGTATTCCAACAAGCAAGCGGACGTCCAGAGCGACAGCGACTCTGAAGCAGACTCCGAAACTTCAATCGCATCGTCGAGGCGCAAGGCAAAGAAAGCCGCGCTGCGAAAAAACAAAACCTTCCCAGCTAGCAACGAGGACCTAGATATTGTCCCAAGGCAATTTTCCGATCGAAATGAGCCTGAACACAGAGACCAGCCAACATCCCGTCCCTACTCCTATTCTGCTGCAAACAAAATCCCAGGGTGTGAAGCCGAAAACAGTTGGCGACATCAAGATACCATCCCTCCTAAACCTCAACCCGCCGCTCCTCAGGCGCCCCCCCTTCAAGCATCGCAGACACGACCGATCCCAATGCCACAGCCAAACGCAAACGGACGGCCCGACCGACTAGCCACCTCTCAGCCCTCACCAAGCTGGGCCACAGCACAAAGCCCATCTAATAATCGAAGCGGCATGCACCAGCACTCATCCTACTATCCTCCACCCTCCAACACATTCTACTCTGCGCCGGGCCGACCTCAACCAAACTTTTACCCCCAGCAACAGCAACAGCAACAGCAACCTCGATACAACCCCCCTCCCTCTCGCGCCTTCGGTCGGACTGTATCCGACAACGTCCAGCAGCAGCAACAACAACAACAACAGCAAGCACAGAAACCACAACAATACCTATCCCCCATCGTCCCGCAGCAGCAGCAGCATCGCTATCGCTCATCGCGGAGCCGAAAAGGGAACCATAGTCCGCAAGGGTACGACCGACACAAGGACTTGAAACGGACTGCGATGAGAGGGATTCTGGGAGTGAGCGCTATAGGCGGGTTTATGGATGCTCTTGAAGCGTTTAGTATTATTTAATACGTCTATGTAGCATATGTAGCATATTCCTACGTTAATCAGATATGTAAAGTTTTAATACATATGTCAGTGCATAAGTAGCTCAACAAAACACAAGACTGGTATACATAACACATCTCTTCAAGACAAGAATAATAAGAATAGTATTAAAAAAAACTCACATCTACGCTACGTGTGTATATTAATAATTCTCAGTCATGAACCCCCAAAGCACAGCACAGCCAAACCAAATAACAAACTGATTTCTTTAAAACGTCGGTAACTGAAACATGCCTTTGTCAGGAACCCAGTCGAATTCCATTTCTATGGGCAGATTATTGTCTAGATGGTACTGCATATTCCCGTCGCTGTAATCAAGGGGATAGGACGGGTGATGGGCGTGGACGCTCGGCATGTCGGTGTGGAAAGACCAGACGGGTTGGGACTGGGACTGGGACTGGGGCTGGGGCTGGGGCTGTGAGGATAGCTGCGCGTATGCGGTAGCTGTAGGCGTGGTGTTGAGGGGCTGGTGAAGGTGGTGGTGGTGCATGGTTGGATCGGATGGGAGCCAGTGGGTGGGTGTGGAAGTGGGATGTGTAGGAGGGCCGGTGGTTGTTGTGTGGTAGGCGGCTAGGTTGGATTGGTTGGTGTATTCATCCGTCGGATACGAGGGGTGCATGCCAGATGGGACGATTTTCGTGGGCATGGGCACGATTCCGCCATGCCATGCGGCTGTCATTGTCGATGATGATGGGCCGACGGCGAGAGGTGCGCTGTCGTCGGTAGTGCCAGTACCTCCTAGTTGGGACTGTGCTTCTTGGTTCTCTTTATGGTGTGCTTGAAACCGTCTCAGCCAGTCTCTTGCCTTGCCTCCAACGACTCGCAGCCATCTCGACGGAATCGGGTATTTTGAGCCGGCGCTGGCCTCGGTGAGTCGCTGAGTCATTGATTCGAGATAACTCTCGACATTGACGGTGTTTGGGGTTATGACATATCCCAACGAGCTGGATTTTATGCTAAAGTAAATTTTCAGTAACACCATGACACCAAGTACGACGCGGGAGTAGGTGAGATTCGGCATTTTGCGCATGGTATGCACATCGCAGTTCAAGAAGGAATCGAGCATCCCCTGGGCGGCATTTAGCCATTTGATGTTTAGGTCTATGCGGATGGCGCTGAGTGGCTCTGTGGATCGGTGGCTGGTGTTGTCGCTGTCGGGGGCGGGGAGCGTGTAGTATTGTTGTTTGATGGCGTCTGGCTCCCGATACCCCTCGCCGATGCCGAGTTCGTAAATGGTTAGGATGTTATGCTGGTATTCAAGCACCATTGGGACTAGAGTGTGTAAGTGACAATACATATCAGTTGGTAGAGGAGGCCTACCTGTAAGATCTTCCGGGTCAAGGTTCTCCTTCCAGTCGTCCATCTTTTTGTCAAACAATCGAAGCACAGCGTTCACCCGAGTCTCGGTCAAGGGGGCAGTAGAGGAAGTGTCATCAAGTCCAAAGGATGATAAGGCTTCGTCGGTTATGGTTTGGAGCTCAAACCACATAGCAAGCCGTTTGTCCGAGTCAATTGGGGATCGGCTGAGCATCCGTACACATTCTTTAATCCAGTCATTATATTGCAACATATTCGGCCGCCGAGTCCTCATAGCCACCCTGCCAGTAGTAAGTAATTTATCCACAGTAATGACGAAATGACGAAAGTCAAGACTCACGTTGAAGCAAGATGGTAACAAATTAGGATAGTGCGGGCTTGTTCGGCCATCTGCTCGTCGAATTTTTCCACAGGTTTAGCTTGCCTTCTTAGCCCAGCAGTCCTTCGTGGCATGCGCTTTTTAGACGCAATACCAATTTCTAACGCCATTGTAGCAGCTATATGCGGGTATTGATATGCTTGAATTTGTGTAGGCGATTCCGGTGGAAGGTAGTAGAGATGCATTAGAACCAGGGCCTGAACCATCTCCAAGGACTTTTCGCCTTTGAAGAAGAATCGCTGCGCGTAGAGGTTAATCATCTCGTGGTTTAGAGTGCTGGACAGACTAGCATCAACGGCGATAGATGATGCCGCCACTATAGCTAAGAAAAGGATAGGTTTTGAATGTCGTAGCTGGGATGTGGTGGTGTCGGCAGGCAGTACGATGAAGGGGAAATAGTCCAGCAGATCGTTCATAAATAGCGAGACCAGCTCTTCTGCCGTCGAAATAGATATAAACCCACGGTCTACAATATCGCCACCATCCCCGAAATCCGGAGAGCTGGCATTCTGTGTGAGCGAAGGTGTACTCTGCGATGAGTTTCCATCCCGAGACAGGTCGTAAGCTGAACGAGCACCAGGCGATTGGGATTGGGAATGAGAATGTCGTAATTGGGCATGATGATCGAACTGGATTTCCTGATAGTTGGGAGGGGCGAGTTTTTCTGCAGGGATCGTGCCAAAGTCGATATCCTCGGCATCCTCTGGGTCAGGGCTGGGTTCTTCGTTGATGGTATCTTCCTTGGGTTTGCGCTGGTCCTTGAGCATGGAGCGCATGGCAGCCATTTCCTTCTCCAACTGGGCGACACGCGAGTCGGTGCGCTTTCGCGGTCGACGCCTCTGCGGCGCTACAAATATGCATGCCCGCTTCGCCTTGACGCATCTTTGGCACTGATTAGGCGAGTCGATATCCGGCAAGCATCGCACTTTCAATGCTCGACACGATTCACAGGAGCGATTCAGCTGCTGCGATGGCGCGGGTTGCGGCTCCGACGGGCCGCTGTAGGCCTGATGCGTCGACATGTCGGATTGGTGCGGTGATCAGTCGCGCGGAATAAAACAAACAACACTGCGGTCACGAATATTCTGCAAGTCTAGCAGCAGCTCCTCGCCAAATACAGATTTAGGTGTGCACATCTAACACACGAATAAGGATCTGGAAATGCTGAGTCAGGCCCTCACGGCAGGCACGAATGACAAAGGTTCAGGAGTACCGCCATGATCATCGCGCGGGGCACAAATAAGACCACCGGCGGGTGGAATGCGTTGAGAACGACGTCTAGATGCCAGACGGTGTTCACAGAGCACACAACGACAGAATACACGGCCAACAAGCGCAATAAGAATAATGGGATGAAACTATTCGCAACCAACATCGGCCACAACGTGTTTGTGGGCGCTTGGAGTCGGGCGGCCCTCCCCCACCAGCCCCGTTGGCACAGCGGCGGATAGGAGAAAACCTAATTGGCTGCCAGCCAATCAGCGCGCCCGGCAGATCACGTGGCAGACTCCTCCCGAAGATCCCGTTTCCAGCGGAAGCCTCAGGCGAGCCAATCATGCCGGCTCAACGAAGACCAGAGAAGCCGCATAGAACAACTTAATATTGATATTCAACATGACATTTGGACTAAAGACAGCTGTGAGATGATGAAAGATGATAGAAGTGTGCATATATACATACTGTAGATGAGTTGAGATTTTGATTGCAGGATTATATTAGGATCATACTGTATTTTGATCACAATTGTCGGTTGAACTGGATATACGCAATATTGCCGATACCGAAGAGGCATGTGGTCGCATGGGCTGCATCTATAGTTAATCTGCATATAGTCGTACTACTATGGTAGATTGAGACTCAGCAGGGGGCCCAAGGGATGTCATCTCAGATCGATGGATCAATTGAGGCCGTGGATTTAACGTGCCAAGACGGATCGGCTGGGACAAGCCATTAATACCACGTAAAGACCACGGCGGTAATATCATCTGCAGCCCGACTCCGACTGCAGAATATTCAAAATTCAATAATCATATTGCATATTGCATATTGCATATTGCATACGACACATCGCATCATATTAATATTGCAACGTATCATCTGCAATCCGACGGTCGTCACCCGGCTGTTTTCTCTAGCGGACTCAGCAGCATCGATAGACTCAAATGACTCTTTTTGTTACTATGTACCATTGTTTCAGACCAGGGGCGAAATAACTAATCAGTTGCATTGCGTAAGCCTAGCTCTGCGGCTTGGCTCTGCGGCTTGGGGACGCGCGGACTTCACACGGTGTATGGGGCGCTTATTGGCTGCTGTCGGACTGAGCGGGGAGATTACGCCTGTGTAGGGTTTTTATCTGATCAATGGCCGCAGTTCGCGGTGATAATAAATAAGGAAGAATACGAGTCCTCGTGCAGGCGACGTGTCCCTCAGTCGATGTATCAGGTCTGACCGGCCGACAAACGCACTCCCAGTCCCCTCCGCAACCTACCAGCTTATAGGCGAGAACACGACATATTGCCGTCTTTAGATAGTCGCAATCATCAGCGATAGCGAGGATCTGCTGAACTTATTTAATACCCCTAGATGCAAACTCACACTACGTGGGTAGGAACATCCAATCAAATCAATGTATTCGAAGGGTCCGCCTCGGCAAAGGAGGATATTGGCTGGAGATGCAACGGCGCCGATAAAATTGCAGTGGACGCCATGGCCAATGGCCCGTCAGGCCGGCAAGAGGGGGCCCCGCTAATGGCTTGGCAATCCTGATCCCTGGGGGCAGAGGGCCGCCATTTTTGTCAGGCTATCCGGCCAGGAGCCGAAGAGCGAAGCAGCCAAGAAAAGTGGAAGAAATCCACCCACGCCACCCCCGTAGCAGGCATTGCTTGTCCTCGTAGGCGTTGCTTGGCCTTCCTCGATCGGCTTTCTTGCCAAGACGACAAGCATGCCTGCTGGCGTCAGCTCTACAAACTAGGTAAGCAGGCACACTACTTGTGGATCTACTCTACCCACTCTATGTAGAGGCCGCGACGATTGTCAGGGCCTCGAGGGACCAGCTTTGCTCTCAAAACTCCTCCACTATCGCCTCGGCTACTCTCTTTCACAACACCGAGCCGACACCCAACGATTCTCTCGTTCTTTCTTTCAACCATCCTGCGAATCGTATATAGGACGAATCGCGTCCAGCAGACTCGGTTTGCGATCGTCAACGACGGCTTTCCCGTCGTATTGTTTCATCGGGTCTTGTACATATTGTTTAGAGAGTACCCACGATGAGGATACCGTATCTGTACGGCCTGCTGGCCGTTGTCGCCGGCTCTGTTGCAGCCGATGCCGATTTCATGAGCGTCAGGACGCAGTTAGCGAAAGACTGGAGTGGGAAAGGAGGCGATCCCGCAGTGAAATATTTTCGTAAGTCTTATCTTCACTCGCCTATTCAGATTTTGGGTTCTTCAGCTGACCGTATCAGATGAATCCACGTGAGTTGATGAAGAGTTGATGAAGATATCAGATAAGACGTTGGCTAATAATATTCTTATGCGATAGATTCCATCCCCATTACGATGGAAGGTATGAGCTGTCACTCGCAACAGCGTTTCACATTCAACTGACTTCTCGGTTCAGATTTGCGTCCGCACCGCTCCCAGAAGAACAATCATTATCGTACTTAATATCCCTGGTTCAGACATATCTCGCAACCATGAACGACCTTGGCGTGGAAACGTGGATTATGCATGGCTCGCTCTTGGGATGGTGGTGGAACCAAAAGGTTATTTTGAACTCTGCAAATACGTCGACCTAGTCTAACTACTGTCTTGGTAGATTCTTCCATGGGATAGCGATCTTGACGTACAAGTATCCGAGCCGGGCATGCATTTCTTAGGTGACTACTATAATATGACCGAACATCATTACAACATCCCCGGAGTCCCCGAAGGTCGTACCTACCTGCTAGAAGTCAACCCGAACTACATCAATCGGTCGACGAGGGATCGCGACAATGTCATCGATGCGCGATGGATCGATATGTCTAGCGGCTTGTTTATCGATATCACTTCGGTGCGTACCGATGATATCAGGAGACAGAGAGGCGACCTTGGCGCTTTGATCTGCAAGGACGCTCATCGGTATCAGGAGAACGATATATTTCCGCTGCGAGATAGTCTCTTCGAAGGCATTCCTGTTAAGATCCCTTATGCATATACCAAGCTCTTGTCGTCTGAGTACGGTGGTAGGTCGCTGACCAACGTTAAATTTAATGGGTAAGGAGCCTGCTGGATTTCAAAAGCTTTTCTAACAGCGTACAGACACACATTTGTTGAGGAATCACAAGAATGGGTCAAGGATATGTACGTGCTCAGCGCAACACGTATTGTGTTCACTGCTAACCTCGGGACAGTGACGTTATAGGATTCGAGAAACCACCAATTAACGCACCAATCGACAAATCAACCGGTAATCCACCCGACAATTCTATCAACAAGCCAGTCGACAAAACAGCCGAGTAATTCATCAAACATCCAAAATCTACTTAAATGTCTATACCACATATCGCGCTGATACCCTGCATCGAGCCTTGATTGATCAGCTTTGCATATATTAACGAAACGGCGTTCTGACGAGTTGAAAAGGGGAGGTTTGGCTGGTCAGGAACGATTTCTCCCTTTTTCTCTCGTCTTTTTCTTTTTTTTGTTTATACTCCTATCTTCATCTATATATTTATTTCCAGCGATCCTTGGCTGGCATTGTTGCTGGCGTTTGTCGTTTCGGATTGGTGAATATTCATTGACACAACATTTATACATATACATATACATATACGTTTATATATTTTATATATAGCAGAGTGAGAAAATGTACAAACAAGGTCTATCTTCAAGTTCAAATGTTTTATGATTAGGATTGTGTATGTTTGGGTAAAATAGATTACAATGTACATGTACTTGACCTGACAACGTCAAGCAGGTCTGAACGATTTTACAACCATTTTTTTCTTCGTTAAAGATTGAATTTTTCTGTCCTCCTATGGCGCCGCCTCTTTCTGTGAATCACGGTGAACATGACATCGAGCTGGACCGATCTTATTATTTGTAAGAAGATGCGGGCCTGGTTTGAGTAATTTTGTAGCGTAGAAAAGCTCTTCCATCTACAAGCCCAAACATTGAAACGCTTAAAGGTCTTGTGCGATACCGGGGATGGTATGTACACTGTGTAATATCTAACAGTTGGAGACTTGAGAACTGAGCTTGGATTCATCTATATACATTGTATAGCTTTATAGAAGATCTGACCAGCTGCATCATCGTCTCGCTCAATCATGTTTAAGAACCAGAGTTGATACATGGACTGACTGCAATCATAATTCGCTGCTTCGATAGGCAATAATATACATCATCTCGTGTTCGCCACGCGGCCGTCGATTGGCGCACATCCACAGCCAACATCTACTTCTGTTTGGAGATAGTATCACAAGAGACGGTGGGCGCGTTGGGTATAAGGTTTCAGGCTCAGCTTACTCTTTCAATGCCATTCAATTTTCAGGCCTATGTTATTCCCCTCTTTGGCGGGTGATTGGCGGGTGAGGGCGGGGCGATGTTATATCGGTTGCTGCAGGGCTATTAATTGCTTTGGTGGCGTGGTCATTTGTGGTTGTCGATTGGTCGCGCAAAAGGAGCTTTGTTCAGCTAAGTTTGTTCTCACATCATCACCATCCCGTTGCAAACCCCGCCCATTATCTGTTCCCCTGGTTGGAAATAATACATATCCGTTTATTTGCCTTATTTAGTGGTTCTAGTTGCTGTGTCTTCACAGTGAAACTAAAAATTAAAAACAAACACCTCTGCACCCTCAACCTTGGGACATCTTAAGTAGAGTTTCGCTCGAGGCTGTATCGATATAGATTAACATAACCAACATACGCCCCGCTTTTAATCGGTTAGACTGCTAGCTTTTCAATCCTTCCGACAGTGTGCAAACCTAAAGGTTGCGGATGAGTTCTACTCGGGGCTATCTTTTTTTAACGCATTATATAACACTAGTTGGGCAGAGACCGAGTCACACCTGTTGTTCCACTGCAGGTAGTGGCGTCAGCCTGCGGATATAAGCAGCTGAGGGACGAGGAATTTGTTTGAACATTATAACGCGATAAGTACATCTATTGCCATTAAAGTAAAATATACAAGCTAGAAGAATCCAATAGGGCGTGGACGAGGAGAGATCGCGAAGCCATCATAACTAGGTAGATGCCTAGCATGAAGTTGAAACTGCAGTTGCTTCTGTATGAAAGAATGAAAGAGCAGGAGGTGTCACACATATAACCATGTTGACATGCTTTATTGAAAGGAAATCAGCCGCACTTAGAATGTAAGATGATGACACCAACCCTAAATTGTTTTTATGCTCAGCTGCAGATAAGATCTAATGACGGGGAATAATGAGTATGACTAAGGATGGTGAACCTGGATTAGTAAACGATTTGAAATGAATTCCGCGCCTATAGCAAAGGGTCAAGCCTGGATTATTAGTCTCTTGTTAGTATCTTGTTAGTTACCTAGTATTATGTGAATAGTCAGATGAAGGCGGACACGCACTTGCCCGCTTCGGGTAAGGATGATAGAAGCCGCCAATCACATACGGTAAAAACGTAATGACTTCTGGATGAAGGCTAGCGCAGGAGAGGATATGCGTTGTTTTCACTTACTGGCTGACATCCGCCGTGCTGCGTGAAATGAACCCTGTTTGTTCGGATGGCTGATAACAGGGCTGCGTTGGATACGAGAATTGCCCTCCTGGAGAATCAGGCGGTGATTGAGGGCAAACGCCGGACGTAAAGCAGAGACTGGCCAGGCCTAGTGATAAGTCGGATTTAAGGCTGGTTTTCCAGAATCTAAGTGGGTTGCTACCCCACTGCCTCGAAGCCCCCGTGTGGTCTCGCCGTGCTTTGTTGGAAATCCATCACTCTGCTTGCGACCTGAAAACCTCTCATCTCCTGTCACTATTCACTCGGAATTCCTGTTCGCGCTCGCAAAAGATACCGTCGCAACTCGCTACTGGCCCATAATTCGTTTGGCCACCGACCTCTGCCCCCAAAGCGAGGATCGCGGGCCTACCTACATATCTCGGAAGCGACCGACAGCGTTGGGGTGTCATGTCTTCCAGCAACGACAGCCCTGGTGGCGCTGCTGCCGTGACACCAAACACAACATCACCCGATCAAACATCTCCTTTACCAGCAGGGACATCTGCTTCTTCTGCCCGTGTGCAACCGAGCAATGCAGCTAGGTCACCACTAGGGCCAAACGCGCAACCAACACCTGCGACCGACTCCCGCCTGAACCCGCGCAGTTGTGTGACCTGTCGACGGCGCAAAGTACGATGCAATAAACGAGAGCCATGCTCAAATTGCGTCAAGGCAGGCATAGAATGCATCTTTCCAGGCCCTGGACGCGCGCCGCGCAAGCCGAGGCGCCCCCCTGACGCCGAGCTTCTGTCGCGGCTGAGGAGGCTGGAAGGTGTCGTGGAGAGCCTGGGGGGGACGTCGACTCTCGAGCAGGTTCTTTCTGGCGCAAAGCCAACTCAGCTGCAAACAACGTCGCCTCTTGGAGGTGTCAGCACTGCAAATAATCTCGACATGGACGAATCAGACCCCAAAAACTTCCAGCCTAAACTTCGGGGGACCGAGGAGCTTGGTAGACTGGTTATTGATGATACGAAAAGTCGATATGTGAGTAATCGCTTTTGGGCGACTTTAGGTGATCAGGTGAGTAGCATCCTTCGGCGGTTGATGGGCGCGGCGAGCTGATTGTGTCGCGATATTTAGATCGAAGAGTTGCAAGATATCCTGGATCATTCTAGTGACGATGAGGAAGATTTCCCATCGCCAGGCGACTCGGTTCAGTCGGGCACCCGCAGCCATGATGCTTTTATTTTCGGGTATAGTTCGCTCGCACATAGCTTGCGCAACTATCATCCTACTCCAACGCAAGCCTTTGTTCTGTGGAAGACGTATGAGCAACATATCGCCCCGCTTTTGACAATAGTGCACAAGCCTTCAATTCGGAATATCATCATCGACGCCGCCACTAACCTTGATTCTTTGGATAAAAACACCGAGGCCCTAGCATTCTCAGTGTATCTGGCTGCCGTTATCAGTATGACTCCAGATCAATGCTTGTCAGAGCTGGGAGAGGAACGCGACGCAACAATCAGTCGCTTCCGATTTGCCACCGAGCAGGGCATGGCCAAGGCAAATCTGCTTAATTCTCAAAACATAACTCTGCTTCAGGCCGCCGTAGTGTTTCTTTCGTGTATTCGCCGACAAGATGACTCGAGGTTTGTGTGGACTTTGTCGGCTGTTATTTTGCGCCTTGCATCCGGTTTAGGTCTGCATAGAGATGGTACCCATTTTGGTCTGAGCCCTTTTGAAACCGAGATGCGCCGTCGGCTCTGGTGGCATATATGTATTCTTGATGTTCGAGCCGCCGAGGATCACGGCACCGATCCTATGATCAACGATATGATGTATGATACCCGACTTCCCCTCAACATTAATGACGACGATATCAGTCCAGATTCCAAGACGTCTCCCCCGGAGAAGGTTGAATGCACTGATATGACATTCGCCCTCATTCGTTGTGAAGTGACTCTGGCTTATCGTCGTCTGACGTACATACCACCCGGACTTCAATCCGTCCCATCAACAGTCGAAGAACGAGAAAGTCTGATTGAGAAACTGCACCAAAGGCTGAACGACAGATATATTAAGCATTGCGATATGCAGATCCCTCTCCAATGGGCCTGTGCGACAATCGCCCGATTGATTGTGGCGAAGCTATGGCTGATTGTCCACCACCCGCTATCTAAACCCGAAGGACGATGTCTATCGAATGAGGCTCGAAATAAAATCCTTCTCACCTCGATTGAAGTGATTGAGTTTTCTCGCCTTCTCGAGACCAACGAGAATACAACCAAATGGAGCTGGCTTTTCAGTTCTTATACTCAATGGCATGCGGTTGCATTTGTGCTCGCGGAATTATGTGTACGTCCGCTGTGTCCAGGAGTAGATCGTGCCTGGATGGCAGTCAATTCAGTGTTTAAGGACTGGGAGCGACAACCGACAACCAAGAAAGGGTTACTTTGGCGCCCTCTGTCGAGGCTTATGAAAAAGGCCACCGACTTCCGTAAAAGACAGCTTGAAGAATTGCGCAACAAGTATGGCTCTACTCCTGCGACAATGCAGTCACAGATGCCACCAATTCTACCCACCGCTGCATCTGGCATTATGAACATGAACCCTCCTCCGCCCATGCCCGGCTCGCAGCAAGAAACCCCTTCTTTGGTCTCAACCTCCAGTCCAACCTTCAGCACCCCCTTTCCCAACCAAATCGAATTACCGACATCTCCCATGGCCGGGTTCAGCCTTGACCTTAACAAGGGCATGCCCGACTTACTCAACGACGTGCTCCCAGCATATTCGATGGTCCCAGCCATACCAAACGTATCCATGCCCGACGTAATGTCTTACGATCCCGCGCCAACCAGCAATTTCGCAGATGCTCTATTTGATCCTACCATCCCAACACCAGCTTCTCAGACCGGGGGCAATGCTTTCGAAATGCCGCTGAATTGGGACCAATTCGATGACGTTATGCGAGACTTTCAGCATGATCTCGCGCAGGGCAATAATCAGCGTATTATTGAGAGTATGCAAATGGACTTTATATGATCAGCATACAGGTGTGCTGTGCTGTGCTTTGTTTTGCTTTGGTGAGGGACGAGTCACCCTCTGTACATAACAATGACAATGACCATAGATGGAGCTCAAGTTTAGCGCGGCTGGCGTTGGATGAGTAGTGTGCGCAGAAATTTCATATTTTTTTCTACTCTTTCTCATGTATTTTTACCATATCCTATACTTACAAAATAAAAATAATAATGATAAATCTCGGGCTGTGGCTGGCTTTGTGTATCTCCTATCTAGATCGAGTCTGATCGACGGTTTCTTGGCGGCGGGTCTCCGCAATTAATATTAATACGTACTTATTATGCAGCTCCCGATAGAAGACACGCAGCTTCAATCCGCCGTACACTCCCACATCTAACACACCACTCATTCATTACCCGACTCAACAACCGCCTCCAAACCCTTCGATTGAATCACGCAGCCCTTCAAACGAATATCCACCCCAAAAAGATGGCACCAAAAACCTCCACCCCATCCTCATCCACAGCTCCAACAGCGCTCTCCCCGAAGGCCTCCGTCGCAGAAATCATCCAACACATCTGGTACCGCTACACCGCGCAGACATCGCAGCGCACATTCCTGCTCGATGCATTCATGGGGTATCTGATTCTCGTCGGCGGTGTTCAATTCGTCTACTGTGTTGTTGCCGGAAACTACGTACGCAAATTCACCTTTCCCCTCCAATTCACCTTTTTTTCCTTCCCAGCTCGCTCGGCTTAGTACTAATGACAAATGAGGACAGCCCTTTAACGCTTTCCTTTCCGGTTTCTCTGCCGCCGTCGGCCAATTCGTTCTCACGGCTAGTTTGAGGATGCAGACGAGTTCATCGCCGGCGAAAGACGCCGGTAGCAGCGCGAAGGGGAAGACGGAGGGGGAGGAGACACAGGGTGTTTCGCACGAGCGGTATGTTGATACAAAAACAAATCCTTTCTTCTTCTTTATACAATGTCTCCCAGAATAATGAGTTGACGGAGGTGTTGATGTTGTGTGTAGAGCATTCGCCGATTTTATATTCGGAAGCCTGATTCTGCACTTTTTCTGCATCAATTTCATTAATTGAGATGTGCATGGGATTACTTTTTTACTACCACACAATTCCCAATCATATATGTACATGTGCTGGGCTCGATAGGGTCTAGGGGGTGGGGTTTCTTTTTGCGGTTGGCTTTGCTTTTGATGGCAGTTGAATCGTTTGTGTTTAGCCTGTCTTGATATACTTGTACTTTAGATGGTGAGTTCGATATTCGGAGTCGAGATGGAAAAAAAGGAATATTGAATGAAGTGTGGAAGAACGAAAATACTGGGGATGACGTAGTTACAATACATGTACCTATTCTTCAACACTAATATATCAAACAACAGTGTCATGGTACATGTAATGTCTCCAATTATGTACAATACAAAAAGTATCTCTATAAGTTCTAATTTACACATCAAAAAGCCCTCCCACCAGGCCTCCTCACTGGCGCCGGTTTCTTCACCACACTCGACCCCCCATTTACAGAACTGGCAGACGACGACGCCGTCAACCCCCCTGCACCTCGCCTATTCCCAACAATAACGGGCTTCTTAACCACCGAACGCGCTGGCTTCCCCAACCCACTACCGACTTCAATTTCCATCTTCCGACGCGCGGGATCAATGCGCTCCTTTTCGCGCTCTTTCTCTGCTGCCGCGCGTTCGCGGTCTGCGGCCATTTGTGTCTCGATTTCCATGCGTCGGTTGAATTCGTGCTCTGTAATGCGTTTTTCGCGGTGAGAGTAGCCTTTTTCTTTGACCGAGTAGAAGACGCCACCGAGTTCGGCGAGCCACTATAAAAATAGAAAAAAACTTCTGCGTTAGATGGGATGGGGATAGTTGTAAATATGGTGAGGGGACTTACGTGTGGGTCGACTGCGGTCACGGTAGACATGTACTCTTTGCTTGTCAAGATGAGTTCATGGTAGACTACATAATCAGGCACATAGCCAAGTCCATAGAGGGCACTGGTCGGATGCAGCTGCACGGTAACGCTGGTGCGAAGATTGATAAACTCGCCGATTCCTTTGACTTTTGCTGCTTGATGGTAGTATCCCGAGCAAATGCATTTGCGGATCACGTCCCAGTCGGTACCGCAGCTAACGAGGTTCATCTTTTGTACGGTCATGATGTCGTAGAGCTGCTCGCGGATTTCTTTGGCGCGGCGAAGGGATTTGGAGTGTAAGAAGTGGCGCGTGCACCAGGCGTCGGAGTAGCCGTTGGATTTCCACTGGGAGTAGACGTGCAGGAGTGTTAGATGGTCTGATTCGGGCACGAAAAATTTCTCGCGAGCGGCGTCGGATTCTTCTTGTCGTTCTTTCGGGCGGAAGAAGACGTTGGGGACGGAGAGCATGGATACGATTGTTAATACTTCCTCGCTGCAGGCATACTCGTCGCATGCAGTGATGAGGAGTTTTGCGAGTGAAGGGTCCATGGGGAATGGCGTCATACGACGACCTAGGGACGTTAGTTCGCCTAGGTTGTCTAGAGCACCGAGAGACCATAATTCGAATAGAGAGGTGGTGATGGTTTCTTGCGGTGGGGGGTCCATGAAATCAAAGTCGAGAAGGTCTTTGACTCCAAGGGATTTCAGTAAGAGGACGGTATTAGCCAGGCTGGTTCGCTGGATCTCGGGTATGGTCTGAATGTAAAATTCGTTTTTGAACGCTTGCTCAGTGTAGAGCCTGAACGCTTTTCCCGGTCCTGTCCTTCCTGCTCGCCCTGCACGTTGACCAGCGTTTGCCTGAGAGATAGGTGTGATTTGGAGTGTATCCATACCCATACGGGGATTGTACACTTTCAATTTCGAGAACCCAGAGTCCACCACGTACATGATTCCGTCCACAGTTAAACTTGTCTCGGCAATGTTGGTTGCCACAATGACTTTTCGTACTCCAGCTGGTGCGTGTTCGAAAATCTTTGCTTGCTGCTCGGCTGGCATTTGACTGTAGATTGGAAGGATACTTAACTTGGGCGGGTCATTCAGCATTTTCAGCCGTTGCTCCACGAGTTCGCAAGTTGCTTCGATATCTTCTTGTCCGGTCATAAACACTAATATATCACCCGGGCCTTGTGATACGTGGATGGCTAAGACCTGCTTGACAGCACTGTCCACATAATCTTCACACGGAGAGCGTGAGAACTGGATATCAACCGGAAATGTTCGACCGGGAATGACGAATTCAGGAGCTCCGCCAAAAAACCGAGAAAACCGTTCTGAATTCATGGTAGCTGATGTTACAATCAACTTCAAATCTCTTCGCCTGGTCAATACCTTTTTGATCAAGCCCATGAGAACATCTGTATTCAGAGCTCGCTCATGGGCTTCGTCCATGATGATGCAAGAATACTTGTCGAGATCTGGCTGAACCAGAGACTCTCTTAGAAGGACACCATCAGTCATATCTGCGGATTGTTAGCCTTGAACACTGTAAAAGAACGACGACAACTTACACTTAATGACAGTCTTATCACTAGTACAATCTTCGAATCGAATCGCATATCCCACCAAATCCCCCAAATCAACATCCATTTCCTCACTAACACGCTTTGCCACACTCATGGCTGCAACTCGACGAGGCTGTGTACAGCCAATCATTCCATATTTCCCATATCCATCCTCATATAGAAACTGCGTCAACTGGGTGGTTTTCCCCGAACCAGTCTCACCCACAACAACAACCACCTGATTATCTCGAATCACTCGAAGCAAATCCTCTCTTACCGCGAAAGCCGGGAGATACTCTCTTTGCTCACGCAATGTTTTGCTTTTACTGAACGAGCTTGCCCCGCCTTTATTCCTTTTCAGATGCTGCGCAAACTTATTGCCGCCTTTGTACACATCCTCAATCGGCGCTGCCACAGCACTATCACCCTCATCCTCCCTTATCCCGATAAGATTACCCAATGCCGTTCCGGCCATATTCGTAGCCTCCTGTGCTTGTTTCTGTCGTTCACGCTGCTGCCGTCGTTCGCGCACAACCCTGCTCCCTTTACGACTGAACACAGCCATATCACTCTGCGGATCGCGCACCGCGGAAATCGGCTCTAGCTGTTTTGTGAATATCGTCCGTCCGTCGAGGAATGGCGGCCGCAGGTCGTGGACGAGAAGATGCACTCGCGTTCCTTCATCGTCATCGGGGGAAAAGTCGCCGGTGTATTCTCGTCGTTGTGCGACTCCAGAAGTCAGCATTCGGTTCGTCTCCCAGTTGTCTACTTCCTGTCGCTTTGCATCGCGGAGGGGACCAGGCAGGGAGCTTTTTTGCCTCTTGGCGGGGGGAGGGGCATCGTCGCGAGCCATATTGAGAGGATGCGTAACCGTTTGACAGGCTCTATCTCCCGATATAGTGACCTCGAAGGTCGTGTAGAGTTGACTGTGGAGTGGGTTGGAGAAGTTGGGAGCTTTTGCAAGGATGTTCGCGATATGGGATATTTCGAGACAAACAGTGCAAACATCAACGCGATAGGAAGTGGTTCACAGCTGCTTCCTACTAGAACATAAGAAAATTTGGCTTGAACAAACTTTAAGTGCGATATATTAATAATAGATAAACAATACAATATATTATTTTACTCCATTATGTTATCGCTTAAAGAGACAAAACGAGAAATCAATGTTTTGACGATCTACGGTGGCGATCTATACTGGTCACATGATCTATACAACAACACCTGACCCTTTCTAAACAGGTGAATGTCTGGAGTCCCAATCTCTGTCAGATTACTCTTTGAATTTTTTTCGAATTGAAAGCTTTCGGTCTCATAGCAATTATCCCGTTAGTACGCAAAAGTTGCTCGGCTGCGGGTATCGGTCAGCTGGTATCGGTCAGCTGGTTAACCATCTACTGGATCAAGTTACTCAAGCAAAATACAATCTATAAAATATATCAATCCTAGACCAACATTCTAAGAGTTGACCTGATTATCAAGGTAAAAATAGTATCGATTGGCTTCCGTTAGAGCGCCAAGAGGACCATAGAATTTGTCTGCCTGTTACCAACCGTCATCAGCACCTTCAATGCTTCCACAACCACACCACAAACCAACCTCCGAGATGATGCCACCCAATATCAAAAGCTCTCCACGTACAACTGCTCTAGAATATATATCTCAAAGACACTTCCACGAACGATTTATTATACCCCGAACCGCAAACCATGAGGAGCTTCCAATTACCTATGCAGACGTCGGGATCCGTCCCGAAACGACGTGTGATCATGTCCCGACTTTCTTATATATAGCAGGCATGTTTGGATCGCGATATATGGGGGTCCATATACATGCCATTGCAAAGAAAATAGGAGTACGAGTTATTATTGTCGATCGGTGAGTTATTACCTTGTTTACGGAAATTGTCTCACAACTTGAAATATATGTAATGTCGATGATCAGAGGGACATCTGGAGGTAACTGTTTTACAGGCCTGGAATGGGAGGCTCAATGCCTGTTCCAAATGAGTCGCTAATAGCAACCTGGATGGAGCTGGTGCCACGTCTCTTGGATCACCTGTCGATAAACCATGTCGCTCTCATAGCCCACAGTGCGGGCACGATTTACTTACTCAATACCATATTTTCCTACCGGGACATTCTCGATCCGAAAAACCCTTACGTTGCATTTCTAGGTGTGTGCGCGAGTGCTTTTGAATACAATAATGTCAACAAACTGATAAAGCCACAGCACCTTGGGTTGACCCTGCACACTCACAGGTGAAAGCTATGCAGTTTGCCCGGTTCATACCCACAAAGGCTTTCAGTTGCTGGAATCAAATACCTCGCTTCTTTCTAACCAGCCCAGTCGCGGCATCCAGTGGGGCTGTTATTAGCAGTATTAAAAACAACCTGTCTAGTACCAATGACGATGCATCGGAATCGAAAAGGCTATACATTGAACAGGAGTATGGTATGCCTAGAGATGTGCAAGTTGAACTAGACAAATATACCACTCGCTTTATTTTCACGGAGAGTACCCTCGGCGGCAACGCAGAGGCCCTACAATGTCTGCGGAAAGGAGCTCCTTGGGGGAAATGTGATGATTATACCCAATTTGTGCGGGATTTCGTTGACATGGAAAAGACGAGAGGCAAAGAATCTACTGCAGAAAAACTAAAGATACAGACTTATTTTGCGGAAAGCGATATAATGATAGGAAAGACGGGACAAAGCTATTTCGAAAAATGTTTTACGGGATTCGAAGACATGCTGCATTTTGAGAGCACTACTGTTGCAGATGAAGACCATGATAGCCTGTGTATGTCGCCGAAAATTCTGGCAAGAATTTTTCGAGAAGCGAAGGCTTGTTCGCCAAGGGACTAAAGCTATCGTTCTATATAGAACCACCATACCATAAAAGTTAAATTTCTGGACGAAAACAATCCATTTGTTTAATATATCAACATAATTAGAGATCGCATAAGACTGTCTATGCTTAAATAATATCGTAGAAATTCGAAGTTGGCGATATTGTATCCTCAAAAGTCCTACAATACTTTAAGAGATCTCTTCAGCTTATTTATTAATAATCTATTATTATTTTAAGGTTGATTACTATACTATTACTGGTTACTCTTAGGAACGTTGCGTGGTTCAACTGACGTATCATACCTTGACAGTAACAACTATAGTGGATCTAGGTTCGTTTGTGTAGGGGGTAAGTTCGCCGTACCTTTCGAACTCCGAGCAAATGCAATGCCCCAATCTCATGATTGGTCCTCCAAAGGCCTCCGAATCGTTAATTCGTCTGAAGTTGGTAAATAAGCGACAAGGCATTCATAGTAAATCTTGCGGAAATTAACACCTCCACCTGGCTAGAATTTTCCGGAGTTAATTGGCTTTGATTCAGCCACACAAGCTCTGCTTTTGACGGGCTAAGTGCTAGGAGTCTTGAACCATGTTTTGAGACTAGACCCATTTTTCTCAGCTTAGGCGCATATTTGACGCGAATCGTCGATGCTAACGTACTATGCTACTGAATAAGACTGGGCTTCTGAGGTTTAGGTTCCGAGGCTTAGGAATAATAGTAATTTTTGGCGACGACTTCAACACTCGCTGCCACGAGCGGGCCCGTGTCTCCTTACCTCTCATAGTGTACGGATAATAGTGGTTCCAAGATCTAGAGCCCCATCATGGTTTACGATGCTATAAGTCTGCAGGTCACCTAACCGATTGTGCCGGAATTGGAGCCTCTTCTCTCTCTATACCTTTCCGTTCATTGTTATCATTCCTATTGCCAACACCGCTCCATTCGTTTAGCGGGCCTTCATTTTCTCTGGAAACCCAAGAAGCAGATTATTTCGTTCTTTTTATCAAGTTAATGGTCAAAAATCTTCAATATGAAGTCCACGCTCTTTACATCCATGCTTCTTGGAAGCTCGATGGCCTTTCTGCATGGCTATCGACACGCGCGTGATGAGTTTCACCAATTACCGGCGAGGTCTGATGAAGAATCACCATCTGTGATTGTCACAACTATAACTAACTGGGTGTGTACAACCTACACGACCACGCTCGGAGCCGGTAAGTCGATACAACATCCGCTTTCGATTAAGCACTTCGTAGACACAACTTGATAATCTGACAATATTAAAGTAGCTATGACTTCCCCCTCGGCTGCAGCTCCCACTCCTGTTGTGACTGTGTTCCCATCTCCAGGAACCTACACCATTCCAGGTTCAACTGTTACTCTGTCTGAAAGCACAACTGTGGTGGCTGCAACCACCACCTCCTTGGCGCCAGGAACTCACACCGTCGGAGGTGCTACGACTGTTGTCTCCGGACCCTCCACAATCACGGTGCCATATCCTGGTGTGGCAACCGAAGGTGGAACGGTCACCAGCGTGATCCGTACAACTGTCTACACCTGCCCGGGGGCCGGCACCTACACAATTGGCGCGACTACCATCACTCCAACCGTGTCGACTGTCTATGTCTATCCGACCACGTCCTCTTATTCTTCTGGAACCTACACCTATCCGGAGACTACAGTCACAGTTACGGTGACTTCGGACGTGTATATCTGTCCAGCCACCTCTTCCTCACCGACGTCATCTCATTCAACTGCTCCGCCAGTCACGGCAACGACCACATCGACCGCATCGTCAAGTGTGAGCACCGAGGTTTCTGCTTCCAATACATCAAGTGCACCCTCACACACGACCACGCTGAGCACTGGTTCAGTCTCAAGCACCCAGACTTCATCGAAGCCTGATACCACTAGCCATACAACGGCCCCAAGTCAATCGTCTTCTAGTGTGTATAGTTCGTCGACGCCTGTTACTCTCAGCCATACCACACACAGTCATTCTACACACAGTCATTCTACACACAGTCATTCTACACGCAGTCATTCCACACACAGTCATTCCACACACAGTCATACTACACACAGCCATACTACAACCCCATGTCGTTCTTCTTCTAGTGTGCATAGCTCGTCAACACCTGTTACACACAGCCACACACACAGTCATACCACACACAGTCATACTACACACAGCCATACTACAACCCCATGTCGTTCTTCTTCTAGTGTGCATAGCTCGTCAACACCTGTTACACGCAGCCACACTAGGACAACACACAGTCATACCACAACCCCATGTCGTTCGTCTTCTCATGTGCATAGTTCGTTGACGCCTGTCACACACAGCCACACACACAGCCATACTACAACCCCTTGTCGTTCGTCTTCGACGCCTGTTACACATAGCCACACTACGACTACACGTAGCCATACCACTACCCCATGTCGTTCGTCTTCTCATGTGCATAGTTCGTCCACCCCCGTTACACGCAGCCACACTAGGACAACACGCAGCCATACCACAACCCCATGTCGTTCGTCTTCTCATGTGCATAGTTCGTCAACACCTGTTACACACAGCCACACACACAGCCATACCACAACTCCTTGTCGTTCATCTTCGAAGCCTGTAACAAGTGTTTCCACCAAGCCTCACTCATCTTCAAGCCCTGTGTCACGGAGTCCCTCCATCTCCCCCTCAAGGTCTGCCACCCCGAGCTCGAGCGTCCAGTCTTCATCTAGCTCGCAGTCAACAACAAGTGCTACTACGACGCCGTCCGCTTCTCGTTCGGCCACCCCGAGTACCTCTGCCACGACTACTCCCACCCCGAGCACTTCCACGACAAGTACTTCCACCACGAGCACTCCCACCCCGAGCACTCCCACCCCGAGCACTTCCACCACTAGTACTTCCACGACAAGTACCTCCACCACGAGTACTTCCACTACGAGTACTTCCACCACAAGTACTTCAACCACGAGTACTTCAACCACGAGTACCTCTACCAAGTGTGACACCAAAACATCAACCTCAACCTCTGCTAGCGCCACAGCGACCGGCTCTTGCGGCAGCGGCACTGCCTATGGCTACGTCCCCAACCATTCCACCACTTTCACCTCACTCGAAATCGGCTCCAACTGGGGCTGGGTGATCACAGGTCAGGCGCCACTCAGTGGGACTCTCTACATGGGTGCTGGAGGCAACGACATCTCCAAGGCCACCGACGTTGGAACGTTTACCATTCAACACGTTGGAAGCAACCTCGTCGTCTCTTACCACACAGTCGGTCCATTCAGCCTTTCCGAAACCCACGTTTATTACGGTAAAAACTACCCGAGCAAAATTGCGCCCGGACAGTTCGGAAATACGCATACCTTGGCACCAGGCACGACGACGGACACGTTCTACATTCCTTATGATCCCAGAAAGGACAAATATATTATCCATGCGGCTATTCATGGTTCTTGCTAGAGGCCTCACAGTGTCTGAGAGAACCACCTATCGTGGAGGCTACCTTCACAAACTCAATTAGCCTTAATACTGACTGTACCTCGTCACTTTCGTATCCTGTACCTGATAGCTTCGCTTTAACGTTCTATGGCTTCCTTGTTATTTTTATCCATCCAGTCCTTACTGTTCTTTCGATGGCAATAGGAAAGTTCATCAAATTAACATTCAGACCTTTAATTTTAGGGAAATGTGTATACTTAATCGTTCAAATATTAGCTGCGTTAGATGCTGCTGACTTTTCCGTGTACAGTTTTTGTTTTTTTTTACAAAATATAACTAACCAGAATATTTCTTGGCATCCAGGTCCGCGAGTAGCATGGACCCAATATCTCAACGCAACTGACTGTGAGGCTCTAGGCGTTATAGAATGTTATAATGCCGTGGTGGATCAAGTCATTAATATTCTGTCATAGGCCTTGTAGTGTGATGTCACACTATGTACTGTGTATATATACTCATCAGGCTGTAATTAAGGAATATGAAATTCAAAATAATACTATTAGATTCAGATGAATAATAATCTGTATGCGGAGTAATCGTCAATTCGTATTAATGCGGACAAGGCCGTTAGGGCTGGGCCTTCAGGATCGATTAGGGCCCAGTTATGACCACTCCATATAAGCCATATATGCACAACCTAGACACCCCCCCCTAGCCTGCCCTAAATTTATGACCCTCCGTATCCAGATTCAGCTGGTGTGTAGTAATAGTGTATACAGGGTGGTTATAAAATGACGATCAATCTAGACTCATTCTTCACGCCAAAAATCAGCACCCAGTCCTACTTAAGTTTTAATTATATTATAGTATATATAGAGAACGATGAGGCTCATTAGCTGGGTCGAGTCGCAGCCAACCATGAACACGCCCTCTTACCACCAGCTCAGTAAACAGGGTAAGCCTTGTCAGATCCTTGCTTTCAGCCTTGCCGATGTCGAGTTTATAAAAATAAATTCGGTCCAAAAGAAACTCAAACGAATATTTGATTCGATACTTGAAAATTCATCCTTCTATAAAATACTTTCGGAAACATTGACAAATGATCTCAAAACGATTGGCATATGCAGACCGCAATAGTCTTCTCCTCAACCTTACACTCAGCCTAGCCTAGCAGTTACCTCTCCCTAAAGGATGACTGAGTTCTTCTCGTAGATTATCTATTAGAAGATATCTTGCGATCAAAAATGCTCATTTCCCCACTCCGAGTTTCCATACTACTGCCGCCACCCCAGTTGCAAGCACTGACGCGAAGATCACAACTGGCAACATGAACGTGCCCAGCATTGCCATGCTCGTCAAAGTGGCAAAAATTCCACCAGCTGGCGTGAATCCACCGTACATAAAGGACTGAAATCCTGCTGCAATGGAGCCTGGTAGTTGTTAGTGTTGGGGAACCACTCAGGTGGTTCAAATAGACAGACCGGCAATAATTCCACCGGGTCCAAATCCAAGGGTCATTATGATAGTCATCACGACGGTGAAGGTAATCCACCAAGCGGTAATAATGGCGAGGACATCTAACATGGTAAGCTTATCGATCCACAGTACCGGTGTGAGTTTCTTGTCTACCTGGCCGTGAAAGCCATTGGGAAAATCGGGACCAAATATCTCCCCAGTGTGCCGTGAGAGTAGAACTGTTGGCCACAACCTGGTCAAACGCACCAGTGGAACTGAAGCTGGATATCAACAGATGTGGAAGATCCATTTTAAATGGGTTGGTAGTCTTTAGTTAACTGGGAAATATTTGGTAGAAGCTGTACGCAGGTAAAATGTTGAAATATTGTTAATCATCACTACTGATTTCCCACGTACATATAAGGTCCGACGATAGAACCGAGTAACTACACTGCCACCGGAACCTAAATAAAGATGCACTGCATTTTCTGTGACTCATGCCATGGGTTGTGTGACGTGATACCTGCATTTATCCCCAGATGCATGCATGCATGTTCATTCTCATCCAGAGATTTGATATTCATAAGTGAGCAACATGCATTTTCCTTGGGCGCTATGTGGCGTGCATAGTATATCAGATTTTGTGGGCCAATGATTCGGGTCTAAGCGCCGTTGTAATCAACTGCCTAGCAATTATCAGTATTAATTGATTGTCATTTACCCAACCATTGTTGCCACAGGAGTTTGCAAAAGTCTGCCTTGTGTTTGCCGCCAAGATCAGACATGCGCGCATGTGGAAGGAGTACGAGCGTCAAAAACAGACCAATGAGAACTATCGACTGCGTTTAGCTGCATGACTCATGCTCTTTGTTTGGCCTGAAACTACAACACCTGACAACAGTTTCATCGAGGACCAGGCTTTAATCTCGTTCATGCATGTAGAAGACCACGAACTAACCTTGTTTTGATCAATTTTTATCGTTTGGTGAGACTATATTTGGCTGTTAATTATTTTGTGTTCAAAGTGGTTATAAAGCTATATTACATGATCGTTATGCGATGAATGGTATAGCACTGGAAAATGACCCACGTCGCAGCGAAAGCACCTCAAGAAGCCAAGTATGACGACTCGAGGAGGTATGAATAATCGAAGATGGCTTAAGAAGTCTTAGAATGATGCCGCGGGGCCTTGGTATTATGGACTAAATGGTGCTCTTTTGTGTTTTATGGTTATCTAAAGATTTTTAGGAATATGACTAACCCTCAAAGGAAATCTACATGGATAATAAACTCAAGACTTTATATACGCTCTTGGTGGAAGTAGAATTTATGAAGATTACATGAAGGGATAGATGTTTTAGATAAAGCGATTTCAATGACATGCCAGTGCGGCTAACTATATATACAGTTATATTTAAGTGCACCACCGGAGGATAAACTGTACCCTTGAGGCTCAGTCTACTGACTCATAAATCCAACAGAATGTGGATATGCAGCCCTTCCGATTGGCGCGGGCAACGCAACCAAAGGGGGCCCGGGGGATATAAACAGAGCTGAAGGGGCCAAGAGCACTGCCCCTGCCCACATTAATCTCGAGAATTCGGTTGTACTACCGCTGTATTTAGGTAGTACGCGCGTTAAAGGCCTTGCCCGAAGAATAGTATGCACATGTTGTATGTTGCTGAGTCCAGCCTTGTGGATATGCTGGGGAATTTAAAAAGGAATGCCGCCCCGTGAAAGCTGCTGTCGTCTCTTTTACATCTACTTGTCTCCAAAATATACTTACCTGACTCAGTATCATGGAGCTGCACAACCAGAATGATGGTCCTCCTCCGGCATACAGTAATCCTCCTGCTGGGGGATCCGCCCCAGAAATCGCCGTCATAGAAGCCGCAACTGAGCCGCAACATACCGTCAACCAAGGGTATGTTCCAAGGCTCGAGCGAAAATTAAAAGAATGAAACTTACTTTACAATTACAGATCGGAGAAAATTGCCCTTGTCTCTCCTGATGCTGCCATCCAGACCGCGTCAACAGACGTCGCAGCAACATCTCCCCCAGCCGATGAACTAACCAAGACCATCCCAGGCCAACCAGTGCCCCAAGTGACGCCATTAGAAAAGCTCAACGACCAACCGGCATTAATCGATTGTCCCTTCTGCCAATACCGGGCGATGACGAGGGTCAACGAAGAAGACTCGTCTCAAACAAGGTAACCCTAACTTTCACTCCAACTCAACATCAGCCAAGAATAAGATTCAAAGCTAACTGTATCGTATCAGTATCGCCGCACTCTTCTGTTGCATCTTCTGCGGCATTATTGGCGCGTGTATTCCGTATATCTGCAAATGGGCGCAGGATTTTCATCATTTTTGCACGCATTGTAATGCCAAGGTGGCGATTCGGTCGAATGAGGGTCCTGTGCAGGTGCTGCGGCCGACGCCTGTTTCAGTGCCTTCGGCTTATCCAGCTGCGCCGCCAAAGGTAGCGCAGCCAGTGCCGGTGAAAGGAGGATAGTCTGTATATCAGTTTAGAATTAGTTTTAATATCCCAGCCGACATTGTTAGGATGTACTGTAGTTAATATGAAACGGTTGATAAGAAATGCTGAAGGTAGATACTGCCGGGCGGTGAGTTAGTTATATGGCCGCCCCGCGCTTTCTCTCTCCACACTCATCAATTGATCTCGCGCTGATCGCCAAACTGCTCAGCTGTAAATCACGCCATGGCCTCACCACCACAGGTCAGTGTGAGGAAGCAACAGGGTAAGCAGTGCACTATCCATATCCCCGCAGGAACAGAACCCTTACCTAACATTGCCAAACCTAGAGCTCCAGCTCCAGTATTCCAACTACAAAAACACGCTGCAGCAGATGGCGCAGAAAATCGGCGATATCGAGCAGGAGACCGAAGAGCACAAGTGAGGACTTCCGGTCTTGCTATTCTAGGAAGGGGTGAGATTATGGGATGGGTACGGATGGCTAATTCGATATTAGACTCGTCATCGAGACACTCGAGCCGCTCCCGAAAGACCGCACATGCTTTCGCATGATCAACGGGGTTCTTGTCGAGCGCACGGTCGATGAGGTTCTTCCCTCGCTCAAGACGAATGCCGATGGACTGAAGCAGGTACTCGATGAACTGCTGAAGCAGTACAAGACGAAGCAGACGGAGATGGATAACTGGAAGGTCGGCACTTCTACAACTCGGATCCACTGTTTATATGGATACTGCGAATGCTGACAGTGAATATAGAAAAAGAATAATGTCCAAGTTGTACAACAATGAACAAATGCAATACCACGGCAACTGTTATTGCGATTTCGCAGACGATATGTTATGGCCGTTGCAAAGCTCACAGATGGCCTGAGGAGTACACTTCCGTGCACAGGGGATTGAGGGTTCTCCTGGCACCGTCTAGCTGCTGGGATATTATTACCTGGTTCCGACATTTGTCCCGCACATCAGCTGTGATGCCCAGAGTCCAAGTCGCTAGATTAGAGTTGGTTGAGATGCAACTATGCCTGACGATTAGCGATGTTGGAGATGCATTGCAAGACATCACCTGTAATGAATGGATTGTGTGTTGGGCATAGAATAAAATTTCTAAGAATATACTAAGATTAATGCAAAACAGAACATTTGCCTGGCATTAATAAACAGCGCACAGTAAGCAGAATGACATGAACTGTGGCCGTGTATGAGTTGTCATCAGTTTCAGCCCAGCGAGGCGGAGGGGAGGCTGCTTTGCTCCGAGCGTGGGAGAGACTGGCCCAGCCTGATGCAATATCAGTATCAGCATCAGTATCAGTATCAGCATCAGTATCAGTATCAGCATCTGTATCAGCATCTGTATCAGTATCAGTATCAATATCAATATCAATTGCATATCAATATCCTGACATATCCCCCTAAATAGTAATCCCTTGCTGAGACTCCTGTATGCATTCGACTACTGCTGTCGATCACGCCCTGCAGGATAGGTGATTCGACAGCACGGCATAATACTAGACTCTAACGATGCCACCCACCACGTTGGGCCCAACTCCTACTGGCCCAATCTGTCAGACACCACACCACCGCCCCTGCTATACTATATCGGCCTGCGATCCCACGTTTGTCGTCGCCAGACGCGGATCAGGATGAAATGCCGAGTCTGCGAGAATTAATTACAATGCTGGGATTGAGGTAAGCGCGGCAGAGGGTGTTGGTTTGCTCCATGTATGATGTATGTGATGTATGTGCTCGGCTATCTATAGATACAACTGTTAGTGCGACGCTGGTCAATGTCAGCGCTGTGCTGCAGCCATCGATTGATTGTAGAAGATCATATTCTAGCCTGGAGATCGAGACGATAACTGTGTGAGTCATTGGTGTTTCGTACCGACTGCAGTCCGCTTAGATAAATGTTTATGAATATCCAGCATCTCACAAGGCCGAAGAGTGCGTCTAGTCGCACTGAGATTAAAATAGAATAGAATATTCAATGTTGACGACTACAGCGAGACTGGGGATCGGTATATTACGGATACCAAACTATTACCGGAGATGAGAGTATTTTAGCCATGTGATTGGCCTGCACCTGTACTCAGCGTAATATTACCACGTCAGTAACACCCCTCTCTGGTCGACAGACGAAAGAAGACGCAAGTGACGTTTTCGGAAGTGCATCGCATTATTCCAAGAACGCTGCCAGAATTTGCAAATCGGCGAAAATCCATCTAGCTGTGCTGGCTGGTAAGTTATCTGTAGTATATACTCTGTACCTAGGTGACGGCTGTGAATGGCCGGCTGCGATTGATTCGCGTCTCATCGGCGGTCCTGGTTCGTCAATTGGCATTTGCGTTGCCCATCAACAATCCAGACTCCAAACACCAAACACCAGACACCTTCCACGCCTGCGAGCAATTGCGCTTGACTGTCGATATTTGTCGCCGAAAGTACCGAGTCTGCGGTCGCGATTACATTAGCCAGCACGAGGCTGCCGGTCCCCCCACTCTCTGACCTGACTCTACACTTCCTACCGAGTTGTTGCGCTGAGCGAGCTCTGCTTGCCTCCTCCAACCTCCGACCTGCCTACGACGCGCGCGACTCTCCACCACATCGCCGCCTCAGCTTGCACGCGCAGAAAATAAAGTCAGCTCGAGAAGGCATTTTCCAAACACGCGACCCCAGTCGCTATTTCAAGACTACAGCTGGCCACCGCCTTGCGCGTAACTCGCCCCCAGCGCCTCCATCTACACCGCCAGAGCCAACCCGGGACGACATCGCAGCGCACTAATCCCCCACACCGCGCGAATCTAAAACTAAAGCACTGCTCAGGCTTTGGCGAAGTAAACCGATCGCTGCCCAGCCAGACGCACTCTGACGCAGCGCTTGCATCCTTCCAAGCCCTCCCAGCCCGGCACCGCCATCGCGCGCGTTCCCCCCCTCTGACGTGGTCGATTGCCAGCAGAGCAACCCACCCGAGCTTTTTTTGTTTATAGTGTCGTGTCGAGATTCACGCCAGCAGCTAAAAAGATGTCGTCGGCCTCCCCCCCCAAGGAACCTGAGGTGGAACCCGAGACTCAGTCAGGCGATGACCCCGACCAGATGGACCGAGACAATCAAGATCCCAGTGGACAGGGCCAGGGCGAATTTGAAGTAAAGGAGCAGGACCGATGGCTCCCAATTGCAAATGGTTCGTTTCATCACTCGTTTCTTTTGCGCCTTTTGTGTGTTCCTGCGTCTCCCAGTGCTGCTCGTGCTGTCGCCCGATTCGCGCGCGCGCCTGCGTGTTCCTGCTGCGCGCAGGTGGCTCTTCCTAGTCAATCACACTGCGCCTGCTCTTCTCCCCACTTCCCTGTCGTTGGTCCATCGGCTTGCAGTGGTGCTCTGTCTATCTGCGCTTATAATAAGCTTAACTAACGTGTGGAATCTCTGCCAGTGGCCCGTATCATGAAAACCGCCCTGCCCGAGAACGCCAAAATCGCGAAAGAGGCCAAGGAGTGCATGCAAGAATGTGTCAGCGAATTCATCTCGTTCATCACCAGCGAAGGTAAGCTGTTGCACGTCTGTTCATTCGAGTCTTGCTAACCTGCCAGCCTCCGAGAAATGCCAACAGGAAAAGCGAAAGACAGTCAATGGTGAGGACATCCTATTTGCCATGACGTCGTTGGGATTTGAAAATTACGCAGAAGCCTTGAAGATTTACCTCTCCAAGTACCGTGAGGTAAGCATCCTCGCCCCCTTCTCGTCGACAAACACATCTAATACCTGGCCAGACACAGTCTGCTCGCGGGGAAAACCAGAACCGACCGACAAGCAGCGGCTATGGAGCCGGCGGGCCTGTGGGCGGCTCGAGCAGCGCACCAGCTGCTCGAGGCGCGTCCGCCACTGCAGGCGGATTCCCCGGTGCCTCTGACAACCCAAACAGCATTCTTCCAGGTAACCTCGAGGAACAAGACAGCCAGAACTACGGCTATGGATCGATCGGTCACAACGGCGCGGGCGCGGAGTTCCACTAGTCTGGCATAATATCATTATCATTGCAGCTGCTCGTACTTTGTACTACTTTTGGGTTCTCGAACTTCTCGAACTTCTTCGGACTTCTTCGGACGCGTGTGTGTGTGATTCAATCTTAATCTTATTCTGCTCTCTTGTACAATCTGCCCCAAAAAGAACGAAAAGAAAGACCAAAAACAGACAGAACAGTCGCGCGTCCCCCTCGTAGCATGTATGATGTATGTGTTTGCCGGACGTCGGATTCATGTACACAAGGTATCGTATCGTATATCGTTACTTTTTCCTTTTTTTCTTTTCTTCTCATTTTGGGCGGTTGGATCACTTGATGTATGTCATGGTGAATGTGCTTTTGGTGCAAGGGGCTCTCATAAGCCCGGAACAGGCGCATAAGGCATGGGCTTTTACTACTACTCTTTTCAAATGTTATTTTGTATTGAGCTTTTTGTTGCTTTCAAGGGTTGCCTGTTATTAAGGGTATTGGTTGATATTCGAGTTATGGACCGTGGAATTGATTTCTGCGGGCTTATCATTTCATTACCTTGGAATGATCGGTTAATATTGATCAATATTGATATGGAATTTGTTTTATATTGAGTGTAGTTTACAACTAGACCAGAGTATCCTGACCCTGCAGTTACAATCTTTATAAAAAGAGCTAGATAAAATATCCTCATTTTCAGCACTAACTGCAGATGTCTTGGTTTTTACATTATAGACTATAAATGCCACTTGCACCAAACATGGTATACCCTGTTTGGTTCGTACCCTCGAGGTAATAATCTATCTACTGCCAGCCCTGAGAAACATTTTGTTATTACCAAATTATTTTCATTCAATCTACCTTAAATGCCTTTCCAGGTACATATATGTATTGATATTATTTGTTCAAGGTGCCAAATGGCTTACGCTATCAGATATTGCACTCTAAAATGGCTTCGGAAGTGCATCAGAAATTGGGAGCGAAATGTAAGTATGCATAACATTGAATGGGCTCTGTACCTCTAATCTTCCGAATCGTCTGAATCGGACGTCTCTGAATCTGAATCAATCTCCCAGCCCTCCACCTTGGATAAGCATTTCGAGCAGTAGTATTCATCCGGAAGGTACTGCCCATTCCATCTTCCACCCTGAAGATGGAAAAAACGCTCCAGTGGTGGTAATCTGAATCCCTGACGGTTGCATTGATGGTCATTAAATTTACCCTGGTATTCGTCACTATCAAAGTCGTAGCCCGAATCCAATTCTCCTGCATGAGATCCTGAGTCTTTGCTGGGTTTGCCCAGACTCATTTCCCGGCATCTGCGGCAGAGAGAACATATAGTCCGGTCTTCAGCGTCAATCATCCAATTTTCAGATTCACCCAGCAGAGAACAGATGCATTGTTCATTTTTCACTCGATACTTCAATTCTTCCCACCAAGGTTCTATTACGCGGTCCGTGGGGTATATACCATCAATTATGTAACACCGATTGCAAGCGGCAATGGGACCATCATACCAATGGTAGAATTCTTTGAAATTTCCAGTTGGTTTCAAAGTTAACAAATCTCGGAGAGTTTCGCAACGCCAATTAGCCTGAGCCAGTACGGATCCCGATGAAGTTTCGCGTTCCATAAATTCATCTAGTTCTTGATAGATAACTCCAAGGCGTTCAAACCATTGGAAGAATAGTTTGGAGAACCATAATGACATTGAGGTTGCTGTTTCATCCTGACAAACCATGTGAATGTCTGCTCCTCTGTCCAGTAGTAATTTCAGAATATCAGCGCTAACGTAAGGCATAGATACAACCAAATAAATTGCAGGTTCAGGTAGATCGTAGTCAAAATAATTCACTGCGGGGTCGAAATCTAAGATCAACCGAATATTCTCTATATCAGCCCGGCAAATAGCCCCACACATGCAATAATGAATGGATTCAGCATCGATATAGTCAGTCAATCCTGCGTTGAACCTCCGGAATAGGCTGGATAATATGTCACGAAATATCTGGTGTTCAGACCTAGCCTCAGCATTGTCACTTTCATACGAACTAACCAAATTCCAACCATCACTCATTGGTCCATCGAAGTCAATACAGTCGTCGAATAAAAGCATCATATCTATTGCCGTTTTAAAAGTAGTTGGATCGGTGAGAATGAATGAAGCTGGGGTACTATACACATAGATCAGTTCACCTCTCTTTCAGATCCAAAACTGCAGCGTAGACCAACAATCTTCTTGCCCAGCAACTCGTATACACGTGCGCAGTTCTGTCTGCCCCTTGTAAAATCAAGAACTTGGCTAATTCAAAGTGTCCATTGCTCGTGGCAAACTGCAATATGAGACGTTAGATATTTGATAAAGAATGTAGTTCAAACCACTGTGTAGTCAAATGGCTAGCTAGAAATAACACTTATTGTAAGTAGGACAACATGATATACTTACATGTAGTGGCCTCCACCCCTTGGAATCAACGTCCAAGACGGACGCATCCCCTCTTTTGAAGAGCTCCGAAACAGCATCGACATTTCCAGTCTTGCAAAATTGAAAGATGAGTGCATCGTCTCGTACAGCTCGCACAGGTGATATACTGTATTGCCATCCTGTTCGTGAATTAACAGAAGTCGCTTCAATTCCATATTTAAGTCCAAGTCTAATAAGCCATGAAGCCGGTTGGAAAATAAACGATGTTGTTGTTTTGTATTGTACAACACTTTCGTTAAATGTTGTCCTTAATTGTTTTATGACCCTAGTCCGATAGACTATTATACCAAACCTAGTCCTGTAGTAGGAAGTATGAAAAGATCGTGTAGTCTGTAAGCTTCGAAATGCCTCATGATTGTTGACTGCTTCAGCGACACCTGATACTACAACTTCTCTGAGAATTGGGTTCGAGATATTTTCTTTCAGTCGGCCCAATTCCTCTTCAAGGGATTTGATATGGTTGTCTATATTGTTAATGCTAGAGGATCTTGACGAGAATCTCCATTGATACTCAGGTTGTCCATTTTCTGAGCGATTAATGGCGACTGATGTATCATTTTGCAGGCGTGGATTTGGGTGATCTGCACAGTATTTCTCGATTGTTAGAAGATACGAAGTCACATTTTAAAGTATTTAGCGGTGGGTAGGATATGGGTTGAAGATGGGTTAGCATACCTCCTTGTGGCCTCAAAGTCTCAGAATCAAAACAGTGTTGCTCTTCATCTATATCATCATTAGAATGACCAATATTCATAAACCAGGATGGCAAAGGCTTACATACCCTTCTGCATGGTTTTCCCCATGACCTCAAGAAACGCCTTGGTGCAAGATGCGGCACTTGCTGCCGCATACTCCTGCCACGCCTTATTTTTGTGGCTATCTGCGTAGTCACTAACGCCCTTGATAATAATACAGCGTAAACTATCGCATATCCCCACCCCTTCCATCTCAAATCCAATGATTCCCATTTTCTTAGCCAATCTGTCGCGATGTTCTCCAGATTTCATCACAGTATCGCCAGAGCCAAGGGGACCAAAGAGCATTCGAGGAGAGGGATTACATGCAGTAGTAAGCCGGGTTCGTTTAATCAATTGTTCAGCACACCCAAGCTTGTTACAATCACTTTCAAGTGCTTCTCCACAAATCGGGTCTTCGCTAGATTTGCAGTCAGTGCAAATACATGTAGTCATCGAAGTGTGATGCTTGTGACGATAAGTTGCCTGGAATAACTGATCGTGTGCAGCACCTGGGTATTGCCACTTGTTATTCAGGGTTTTGAGATGTGTAAGGTGATTCAGATGTCTTTCTTGAAAATCACATTGTAATCTCTGAGTCTTTAAAGCCGAGAGAAAGCTTCGGATATCTCGATCTGCACGGCCAAGTGTTTCTGTAAAATCACCCCTTTGCTGGAATCCATCAGGATATAGCTTTCCAAAATCATACTCAGCAACTTTAGAGCTAATGATAACATCTCCTAATATAAGCTCTGTGTCTGATAATGGAAAAGGTACTCCTCCACAAATACCAGTCAGTATTGTAAGATTAATCCCAGGAAAGCTGATTAGAAGGCTTGACGCAACACTGGCAGCACTTTTTTTCCCCATTTCTGGTGAATATGCTAATACAATATCATATTTATCGATTCTCCCTGTTCGATAGAAATTTAAATCTCCTGGTTGTTTTCCACAGGCCACATAGTGTTCGTCTAATAGGGCTTCAACGGCGTCGAATTCCACAGGCAAAGCGCAGATGATCGCGACTTTGAACCCTTTGCGAGATTGAGGGGGCATTTCGGACATTTAGAACGGATGATTTACCGATCTGATCGGTGGAAGATAGAGGTTCGCGGTTCGATGTCGAGCAACATCGGACGACTTATTCACGATCAGGACGTAAGACACTTGGACGGCATCAAGTAGCTCTTATGACAACGTTGGTAAATATCTTAGTTCCATCTGAGATATATGAAGTGCTTTTTGATGGGCTGCGCCACGGTAAGATGTCTCTTTCTCTGTTTGTTGCAGTCCGCCTTTTGTGTGTGTGTCAGAAATTTGCGCTAGATGTGACAAGGCTGAATTTTGCAGCTTTGGTCACGTATTTGCTTATAGAAAAAGTTCGTGTATTGGACTTTACACACGAATACAGTACTGTAATGGCAAGGCTGAATTTTGAAGCCAAAGCTGTGCCTCTTCAGCCTGCTTGTGATCAACCTTTTTATTGGGTATCGTCCATCGTTTCACACCAATCAAAATTATATTTCTTCTATTTTAGCCAGGGCCTACATCAAGGTGTGTCAAATCATGAAGGACCACGAGGGACCTGAGTATTGACCGCCTTTCTTCCTAAAAGGTGCCTCTCTTTGAAACCACCGTGACCGTAACGTAGATTAAAACGCGTACCCTCTATCTGTGATTGTATATTTCATCAAGCGGCAATAATATTATTTTCTGTTAATTACTCACAAGACCAGCAAAGGAAACAGTACAAAAATTCTTGCGCTCAAACATCTGGACTTGATATCAATACTCCATCTTGCTAACAGTGATGACATTGCATAGCAAAACAATACCCCTCCTATGTTTAATACTGGGACGACTTTCTTTTTTCCATGCCTATCTGTATATGTGCTCGCCGATGAGCCTCCATCTTGTCCTTACGCCCAAATGGCTTTCCGCACCCTACTATCGGACACGTATATGCGTCCGGTGAAACATGAACGGCTTTGACATGTCGTAGTAAATCAGCATCCCGCCGAAATGAGCCTAGGTACTTGCACCCTTCCCATCTACATTTCCTGGTGGCTGACTTTGGCGGAGAGTGGTTTTGACGGCGGTTTTTCAAGCCAGATGCGTCTTGGTTGTTGTTGTTTTTGTCGTCGTCGTCGTCGTCACAAGGAAACTTAAGTTGCATCCAGTTCTCATTATAAATACCATGCCTATCATATACAAAGTCTGTCTTTGGCATCACGTGTTGTTGAAGGTGGTGTCTTTCATTGGCAAATGGTGCCGTGCTGTCTAGGAGAGCCGCTTGTGTAGCAGGACCATTGTCATAGACGTGTTGTATGCCGGGCATTGAAGTACGTGTTGACATATGCTGACCCTGTTCAAAACGATTGACCTCGAGAAAGGAGATCGTGTCAGCAATTGGTATGCCGTGCAGGTATTCTCGAGGAATAGTTGTCAGACCGTCGATTTGGTGCTGGTCGGGACGGCTATTAGCGGGCGAACCAGGGGGTATATATGGAGGGAATTGACGATCCATAAGCTACGCCCCCAGTCTTTTCACTTGAAGTTGAAGAATTCGACCCGACAGCTTCTCACGGTTCTGTATTTGTTTCTTCGCTAGAGTTTAACGTTATCGATGTCAACTGTCTTGAAAAGGGGAGGGAATAGATGTTTGAACAGGTTGATAGTGAAGATCCTTTGATACAAAATCAATATTGAATTCAAGATCAAATGTAAAGAACTGAAGGAATGAATCAAGGACAAGTTATAGAAACGACCTTAATCTTATATGTTGCGGATCTCTGTATTACGCACGACAAGGTTGCTCACGTTCTTACAATATGTACATGGAAAGTCGTGTTGACTTTTGGGGCCTTTTAAGACCTTTGTGGAAGGACTTTTATGATTGGGCAAGCACGGCGGACTATACCAAAAGTTCGCCTGCAGCTCGCCCCAGGGCGGGTTGGTATACCAATATTAGGATCAGAGAGCCTGGACGAGGACGAGCAAAATCCCCATTTTGATTGTAAGAATATCATGAGCTTCCTCCTAGGTATACTCGGGTCAGCCCAACAGGACCTGTCCAACAACCAAGCGTGCATTAGCGCGGTGGCAATAGGAATAGATGTATTAGTAGTTGAAGCTAGTGGTAGCGAGAATCTTTCCCGGACTTTTAAGTACTTCCCTCGTACTTTCCCCGTACTTTTTCGGGACCTTCTCAGAACTTTTCATTCATTCGCTACTATCGGTCTGCATAATGCGCCGAGACTGCCAATGCGAAATTTTTGAACTAGTGTGTTCTGCCGCTGGGGCCAATTATCTCCTGGGGTCAAACGTTGTGTGGTACATAAGTAGATTGAATGCAACTGCTAATTTCCAGTCAGCGGGCGAGTCATTACCAGTGAACCCTTGTAAATATTGCGAAACAAGTTTAACTGTTGGCCAAAGTCTTGAACATAATTCATGATAATTTAGTGCGTAGTTCTAATTCTAAGCATTCAGGGGTAAAATTATATCATAAATAAACTGCCCTCACAATTCGGCCCGGTTCAATCTCGCTCGAATAGTGACGCTCCTCCAGACTCGACTCTAGCCTCTTCGTCACAGTACTATCATGCCCAAAAGCAGTTATGCTAGCAGCATATGCCTGCTCGAAACGTGGAGCAGCCTCTTTCCATGTAGCTTTGGCCTGAAGAATCTTACCAATGCGGATCATCAGTGAGATGAGGCCTGGGTCTTCGGGTTCTGTCTCGTCCGCAGCAACTTGCTCAATCGCTTCTAGTATTACCATAGCCTGATGCTGATACCACATTTCAAGATACTCCGCAACAAAATCGACAGCAGCGTTGCAGAAGACAAGTCCTTTTTTGCCAGGTAGCTTGCAGAGGAAAAAGGCTGATTCCCAGGCATCTCTAAAGGCAATGTCCTTCTGAGCAGGGTCTAATGTGCCATGTATCTTGACCAAGGCTGTTTGAATGCGTATTATATCTACCATGTACCGCTCTGGGTTCTTCATTAATGTTTCTAGTAGTCTTTTGAACCTCTCCTCCAATGAGGTTCTTCTTGAGTCGACATCGAGAATCCGAGAATGGCCCTTTTCTAATGCCAGCAGAAGTTGCAGGGGCGAGAGGACAACCCCGTCTTCCGCCATATTCGGCAACCTGGTAGAATTCAAAACTGTCGGAATATCGACGTCGATAAAGGTCTGGTGTTCCTCTCCATTGCTTCCACGGTTCACCAATGGCGCATTAGAACCATCTGTTAGTTGTTTGATGACGTTGATAAAATCGTCGTGTCGGTCCCATGCTTCTAGAAGATGTGCGACCACTAAATAATGCTTGACAGTAGCCTCATGTCCTTGGCCCCATCGAGAGATGAATTGGCTGGTAAGCTGGTCAAGAATATGATCGGCTCTTGCCATGTTATTCTGTTTCCCATAAAATATAGCTATCTTATATGAAGTATTTACCGTCAAGTCATCTGCTGGAGGATAGAGATGATAACAAGCATCAAGGGCATGCATAAATTTCTCTTCTGCTCCAACCCAATCCTTCTCTTGCTCCAAGTTCAAAGCCTGGTGGAGCAGATCTTCTATATCGGTAGCTTTGTATCCGTTCCATCTCAGTCGGATCGCAGGCACATCTCTGGAGGCTCTCTCGGTGGATGAGTTAGTGTACCTTGTCGTCTGGGCCGAATTGCCAGCAATATTTGGCTGGCAGGGTGTCTCGTAGGAAACATCGTGAGGAGTTGGTTGTCCTGTAGAGATTTGACATGAGACTTTTCACTATAAAACGCCGGGGTAACTGATTATCAAACATAAGAAGCTTACCTAACGTAATATCATTGCTTACGTTTCTATCTCTCAAAACTTGGTCTGTCGTCCAACTTTTGCCTTGCCAGTGAAATACGGTATCTTTTGGTGGGTTCTGCCTCTTTCTTTCAGTTGCCTTGGCCCGCATGAAAACCGTCTTATCTTTTGTGAGGTTCTTAACCCATTTCCACTTCTTGAACTGCTCTTTATACTGTCTCGCTCTATGAATTTGGTACAGGTGAGCATGGTGTACCAGCAAGATGAGAGGCTAAAAAGTAATATGAGCGAAAAGGTACGTACGTTGCTTTGAATCCCACCGCTTCCATGTGTTCTATCAGTTCCGGCAGGGTATGGCCTTGATCCATGTAGAACTGTTTCATTGTCTCCTTATAGTTCTCCCATAGAACGCCTTGCGTTTTCCTCTGCCGACTGGTATTCAAATTCTGATATTGTTCGGTTGCAGAAGGTTGCCCATATCTTGACGAATTCTCCAGAGTACCCAGAAAGGCGACGTGGGGATCTAGCGACTCTTGGGAAATAGGTACGGTATTCTGAGGTTGCTGTAACGGCATTTTCCATGGAAATGTGTGGGGCGTGGTGTTTCTTGAGTCTCGGATATCGTCATTCATCAAAATATAGCCATCGACCAGTGGTACGGAGCCGCTTGGATTGCCTGAAGTTGAAGCAGCTCCTCCACTGTAGAACCATGGTGATGGTGGAAGTTGAGACATTTGGTACCCAGGTATTGTGCTTTCTGATCGTAGAACTATGGCTTGTGATGGAGTATTATTATTGCAAATAGACAGCGAGCTGATATGGGAAGAAGCAATCGCCTCGTGCTGTTGGACAGTCCGGAGCCCTTTGATACTCTCCGCTAGCAAATTTTTGGTGGAACTCCCCTTATTGCCCCTTTATTTTCCTGTTAGCTGTAGGTTCTGACATGTCGAAGCACCAGCACTAATCCTTGTAGCGTGTTCGCTGTGCCCGGGCAAAGAATGTGTCTCAGCCTTGCATTAGTTTGCTGGTCTATTGGAACTGGCATCCAATGGGAAGCTCGTCCAGCTGCTAAACCCTCACCGGTAAGGATATACCGCCCATTTGTCGAAGTTCAAGTCATGGTTGAAATTCTGTTGGTCATAGCACCCTAGTTGTGTTGCCACCGCCGTGAGGCCCATTTGTGGTCAGGCGGTGATACAGCTGACAGAAGACAGAATAAACGCTGTAGGGACTTTTGGCGGACTTTTCAGTCCTTTTTTTAGAGGGGTTTCTTCTAGCTTACCCCCACGTCAGCCTTTCAATCCAATGAAAGTTCGAGCGCCACCGATACTTGACAGTCCTGCTTTCAGCCTCCGAGTGTTCAATGCGCCCAATAAACCCGACAATATATATATCCCGAATCTATATACCATCTCCAGAGCGGTCTTCGAATGACAATATTGAACGTGTCAATACGTTGAAATTTTCAGTACATAAAATTGCGACTGTGGTATTTGTCTCTCTCTTTATAACAACCCCATTACGTCTTTTTCAGACGTCGTCGACTAACATGAACGACTTTGCTGATCTATCAACTTGGGGGGACTGGGATCTCTTGACTGGCATCGTAAACGAAACACCTGTTCAGACTCCAGGTATGAAGCTGGAGTTGAAATGTTATGATATCCGCGAGAATTCCAAAGGGGACAGAGTTCCTCTCCAAACCGGTAGGAAGATATCTTACGCTGCGGAACCTGAGGAAGCAAACGACTCTGCTATGGTCGTCACAAAGACGTACTACAAAGACCATACTCTGAAACAGACAGAGCTTGTTATCCAGTCGCCTTATATTATAGAGGCTATAGAATCAACTGTGCCCAAGAAGTATCCAGGTACAAATATCACCAACAAGAAGATCACAATATTTGGAAATCCGGAATGTTTGTTCCATTACCGAAAAGAGCTCGTCGCATATGGTCGGCAACTCCAGGATAGGACCGCTGCAGAGCATGTGGCATTCACCTTGAATTACATGGGTAAAGCGCTGGCTGACGATATTGCACATTACAAAAATTGCGCTGCAAAGCGTGATCAACCTCCAGGGCTGGATTTTGATCGATTATGGATGGAGTACAGACCTGGAGACTTGATATACGTAAAGGGCCGACGCGAGTCGTGGGTTGGAAGGCTGATATCCATGAAACATTCAGGCTTCCTTATAACCAATTGGTGGTTAACGCTGGAGAGGATCACATTGATCGAAGAACTCTTATACGTTTCCGAAATAGTCGTTGTATCATCGTACAACGGATTCAAATACTTCAAAGATCTGAACGCATTTCCTTTGCGATTTCATCCTGACCGTAAATCCATCGAGCGAAAAATGATACAAAGAGGAAAAGCTTTCCATGCTCTGAGAGGCGTGCATCAACGGTTTTACAGTGGAATTGCGCGATGGGCTTCGGACAGGAAAACAGACCGCGATTACGATGATGATTGCCATTTCGAAAATTTTCAAGTGAGTAAGCGGTTCACCGAGTAAAATATTGATAGGAGCCAGAATTTTAACCATGAGCCTTAGGTTAAGAGTCGTGTTATTATCGACAACCAGTCTTACATAGAAGCGCGTCCGGATCATACAGACCAAGATTGCTATGAAACAAGTAGAATTGTCGAAGAGCTTGCCGATCTAGTGTCTGATGAGCATCTTATGATATGCCATCATGAAGTTTTTGGATTCTCGCTGACCGACAAACGTTGGTGCGCATTTAATCTGGATAACTTGCACGAGATTAGTTTTGATGCCGAAGCATTTGATAATCTGATCCTACCTGATGAACAGAAAGGGACGTTATTGGCCTTGGCCAAAACGTACACTGATACCAAATTCGAGTACGACGATTTTATCACAGGAAAAGGGAGGGGATTGATAATTTTGCTGCATGGAGATCCTGGGTTAGGTAAAACACTTACTGCGGGTTAGTGATAATTTCTGTTAGACTTGATAACTATGGTTCCAGAGACTAATTGAAAGCCAGAAAGTACCGCAGACTATATCCAAAGACCTCTTTACCCTATCCGCAGTGGAGATTTGGGCATTGAGGCGTCGGCTTTGGAAAAGTCTCTGGCAGACTCATTTGCACAGGCTGCTAAATGGAACGCCATCATTCTCTTGGACGAAGCAGATGTGTTTCTCGAAGCACGCCAGCGAAACGAACTCCAGCGGAACAGTCTTGTTTCAAGTAAGATGGGTGGTAGCTTTCATAATGCTAATAAACGTATCTGTTGATGATTTCATTAGTCTTCTTACGGACCCTCGAGTACTATCAAGGCTTCATGTTCTTGACAACAAACCGCATCGACTCCTTTGATCCAGCGTTCAAATCAAGAATACATTTGACGATCAAGTATCATGCATTATCGACTGAGTCCAGACGGATCTTGTGGCACAGCTTCATCACCAATGGGTCGATGGAGTACGATCAGTCATGCCTTAACGAAAAGGTGCTGAATGAGCTGGCGGCAACTTATCTCAATGGTCGCCAAATTCGCAATATGGTACGGACGTCTTACGCGATAGCTGCCAGCACTGGTTCTATTCTGACGGCGCAGCATCTGAGAAGGACTCTCAGGGCGATGGCTGAATTCGAACTGGATCTGAATGAGAATTCGCCGCCGTCAGAATCCCGTGAGCTAGATATGCAGTCAGGCTCCAACAAGCGACGACGATTGGACTAGGCGAGGGCGATTGAACATTTGAATCCAAAGCATGGCGTTGATCGATCGATTGAGTTGATATCGAACATATGAATGCTCGAGGACAAAAATAATAAAGACCAGACAGATCTAAAATAATCCAAATTTCTGTGAGACTAATAATTTTGGCCATGGAAGATGGATATTCAAACATACCTATATGATGTGATAAGAAGATTATAATGTAGAAGTTTCTTATCATACTTAGTGATCAGTAGATACTGTGGATGTATAAAGTTCGCCGGCTGTTCTTACCCAATCGGGACGCGGCTGCCCCACGACAACGTTTACTCCCGTGCGGAGTCGAGCCTCTTCTCCATATCCCCCTTCCACTTCCGCTTCCACTATTCACTGTCCGCCATGCTTCTGTTGTGTCTGTGCAGACTCGATCGCTACTGTCTAGCAAACACATAGGATCTCACGAAGCTCAATGGCCTGAACACGACACAGTGTACTGAGCACTGAGTCGATGCAGCCCTCCGCAATTCAATGGCTTCGGTTTTAACCGAGAGTCGCTCGCCGCCAGGCAGCGGTATCGCGAAGAAAAAGCTAGGTGCGTAGCGTCTTCCCATTCACGCAATAATTTACCAACGTAACGCTGTCGCAGGCGCTGCGTGTATCCATTGCCATCGCCGCAAAGTACGCTGCGATTCCCGCGCCGTGGGTTTCCCATGCTCGAATTGTCGTTCCTCTGGGAAAATCGACTGTCGCCTACACGAAAAGAAGAAGCGGCCGGCTTTACGTTCGGCGCTGAATCCTGTCCCTATCCGGCCGCTGTCTCTCGCTGAACCGTCGAGGACGACGGGTCAAATACCGGCGCAGCAGGCATTGTATAGCGCACAATCGTCGAGTCAGGGCGGCAAACAGAATGCAGATTCAAAATATCTTATTGGCAAGGAGCAAACTCTTCAGAATCAACACCCCCGTCCCCAGTCTCAGTCACTCACTGGACGGGAGGATCGCCGAGAGATGGACAACCGTCTTGTGACTTTGATAGACGAGCAAGAACCCGACCGCCGGGAAATACAGCGTGGTGTACGTGCGATTTATGTGGGACATGATGTGTCAAACATGTCCTTTTTGCTACGCCAGCAGCGAGGCGACGAGGCATCCTACCATTTCGCTGGTAATGAGATTCCAAGGCGTCGCCTGGAAATCGGTCACGATCAGTTGCTGCAAGACGCCTTGACTCTGCCGGAGCAATCGCTAGCAGATGAGTTGGTCGACGCGTATTTCACCAATGTCAACCGAAACTATCCCATCGTCGATGAAGACCAGTTCATGACTCAATATCGTAACCGGGACCCCACCGATCCGCCTCCTATCCTAATCCTTCAGGCTATTTTATTGGTTGGTGCGCGTGTTTCCCGGCAGAAGCAAGAGAAGGAAGAGCTAGCCAATGTTTTCTATCGTCGTTGCAAATGGTTGTTTGATTCGAGAATAGAGAGGAACCGTGATATTCTGGTGCAGGCTGCTTTACTGCTAACTTGGCATTCTGACACTGTCGATGATGATGTTGCTGCCAACGCCCATTACTGGGTTGGCGTTGCTGCGCGAATTGCCACCGGTCTAGGAATGCATCGCGATCCTGTATCGAATACATTTGCGGCTGGCGATCGGCGTATGTGGAGGCGTGTGTGGTGGATTCTCGTCCAATTTGATGTCTTGATATCACTGTCATACGGTCGACCACAAGCAATGTGAGATCCATACTTTGAATAAAAGAAAAAAGACTGACATTTTCACTAGCAACCTGGAAGATTGCGACGTTCAGTCTTTAACAGAGGCAGATTTTATTGGCTGTGGTCCGCATGTACAAACAGACTTTGTCATACAATTTGCAGAACTCTGCTCCATGATCTCATATATACTCCGAGAACGATTTGGTTTGAGGGTCAGTGCAGAGCGCAGAAAAGCCATTTTGCCTAAAGCTGACGAAGCCTTGGCGAATTGGTCGCTCTGCTTGCCCGATTCCTTGCGACTACGTGCCTCTGATATGGATGCATCGTCAGCAATGCTTCACCTAACATATAACAACTTTCTAATACTCTTGCACCGACCGCACCCAAAGGCATCGGCATATTCAGAAGATTACGGGCCTCACGATGCCGAAATTTGCAGTGCCGCGGCTGGTGTCATTACATCTATTTTCGAAGAGCTGCGGCAGAGGGATCGCATTCGATATATCTGGTGCTCAGGCGTGTTCACGCTCTTCACAGCAATGATTCAAGTTCGGGTAGAGTTACGTTTTTCGAATCCCGTCTTGGCCATCAATGCCCTTCGCCGCTTCGATTCTACCCTCCATTCCCTTCGAGCGCTAGCCGAATGCTGGTCCAGTGCCGAGACGATTTTACGTCTATTTGAAAATTCCAAACGACTGCAGCAGGACCTGCGTGTCGTTCACAACGAAGTCACCGAGAAGGGTGACGAGATACGGAGACCAAGCAGGTCCGCCGACCAAACGACTACTTTATCCCACGCGACTATTCCAGCGCCCATTGATTCTCAGTCAATCATGCAAAGCGTGCGCGATCCCGCATTGAACTCACTTCCCGCAGATCCTGGAAACCTAGCTCGCCCAGACAGTAACGAAGTCTGGTCTCCTGACCCTTCTCGATATGACCCTAGTAGCGACGCCTTTTCTCGCGACAACGGCGTGTCGCACGTCGTGCAGCAGGAAGACAGTCTGGACCAACCCAGAGAATATCTCGACTGGCGGCAACTCTTCCCATTCGCTGACCCGGAGCAGCCTGGACCGATATCGATTGAGAGCTTCCCGGACATGGAAGACGAATGGCGGCAGCTATACTGGGAGCCGCAAATGTCGGATCTCTTCCAAGAAGGGATCTGGCTGCAATGATATTCTACCAATACTCGTTCACTGTGAATATTGAATCTAATACTTATATTGGTTCGTCTAAGTATATAGAGCTTGATGCCCAGACAGCAGAAGGTTAAAAACTGTTAAACCCTCTTTGTGCGACAGTAGCAACAAAATTCCGTGGTTCTGATAAGCATGTGCACAACTACCTACATCTACATCACCTGAGAATAGACATAGACCAATAGCTCACTGCCTGCGAAGGTTGCACAGTGCATACTCCGATGCACCTTCTGTTGGAAATTAAACACCCTGCTTTATGCTGTCGAACGTTTAAACCCCAATTGACGCTCGCAAGGCGACGGTTCAGCGCGTACGGTTCCGCAGTGGCTGGAATGTAGGATGGTCTGGAAGCTTTTTCCAGATAGACGTCCATGCGGGGTGATTGGGCGACTGGAAGTCTGCATGCTAAGCCAGCCTGGCCATGATCATCAACCAATTGATAAGAATAAATTAATTAACAGCTAGCTCGCATTCTTCTTTTATCCCCGGCTTGTTTCCATCCGACCCCGCCAAAATTAGACCCCGCCACGCCCTGACTCGGTCCTTGCGTTCGTCTGAAGCTGTGTTGTCTCTCGATGTACCAGACTAGAAACGCCTGACAAAGGCAAGTCCTTGCTCAAGGTCATGGCCGGTGGTGACGACGCCGTGGCCCGGGCGAACCCGAACCCTTTTGCGTTGGGCGCGCTCTCCAGCAGTCTGCAGATGAGCCACCACCATGGCGACGACCACGACGACGCCAAGGACAAGCATTATTTTACATCAACTAAGGATCTGGACCACTCCATCACCGCTCCCCAGTACCATCATCATCAGCCTCATCAGACAGCCGGTCTGGCCCATGCGTACCCATTAGGCCCAGGCCCTCATCCAGACTCATCACATTTCAATTCTGAGACTTACGGTCGCGAGGCCTTTGCCGAGCAGAGCGATGTGGCCGGCGTCAACCGGGTGTCCGGCCACGAGTCAAAGAAGCGCAAGCGAAATAAGCCCACGCTCAGCTGCAAGGAGTGCGTGGACAAGAAGATCAAGGCAAGTCTGAGTTTCTTAAAGGACGGAATTAAGAGGATTGTGGAGCCCAGACTAGTGTTAGCTAGCTCTCTGATTATCTGATACTCGGCACTTTGCGAGGATAGCTCCACTCGCAAAGGATCGTCAGGTCTAGTTCACTGTTCTACTTTGCTCTAAGGTTGTGGCTTGCTTGGAAATTAATGTGATTGGGAAGGAAAATGGCATTATATTATCGATCAGCCACGCTAACCGTACTATACTAGTGTGATCGAGGCCGACCACAGTACGTGTATTATTATATTATCTGCCACTCCCAACAGTAACGACTGCCCTACTAACCGCGATGTGAACAGCTGCCTGTCCTGTATCCGTCGGGGCACTGAATGCGTATACAAACTCAAAGCAGAAGTAGTCGAGTCTGTGTGATGCATTAATTCGTCTTGTACCTGGTCTAGCTAACGGGTGCCGCAGAGAAACCAACATTCGTCAGCCCGCCACCCGCCGGATATACCCGCCCAAATCCAAGGGCTCAAGCTATCAAAGCTCCACGGACCAGGTGTGTACTCTGCGGTACCCAGTTCCTTGGTCTGGATCGAAGTTAATCGCATTCAACAGGATGGCTCTCCAGCCTCGTCTAATGGACCGAGGCCGGCTATTTTCAAGCACCAGGGTGGCACCGACCTACTCCTCAGTCATGTGCCATATACATTGACGCAGTCGTCGAATATCTTCGGGATCGGAGCAGAGTATGATACCTTTTTCAATGTGAAATTGCTTACTGACATCAACTTCAGATATCCCTGGAACAATTACTGGACTCAGAATGGCGGCGTGGCCGAGGTGCTCAAGGTGTTTCCCAAGAAGGAGCAATCTGATATGTACGTTCTGTTCCGGCTTGATGTGTACTTTTCTGACTTCATAGACTTGTGAATGTTTTCTTCGAAGCTGTAGACCCCGTCTATCCCATAGTCCACAGAGAAAGATTCTTCGCCGACTACAAATTCTTTTGGGAATTGGACGAGAAGAAGAGACTCGAAGTCGACACTGACTTCCTCGGCCTTGTCTTTATGATGCTCGCCATGGGCACGCAGTTTCTCCAAGCCCCAGGCTCGCAGACAGAGCTCCAAGGGGAGGCTGAATTTTTCTCAAGCGCTTGCCACCAAAGCCTTCGACTGTTCTCCTATCTCAATCGCACCTCTGTCCGAGCCATCCAGTCTATGGTGCTGATGACATACTTCCTCCTCAACTCGGGCCGAGCTTCTGACGGATGGGCGTTCTCTGGCAGCCTGATCCGACAAGCATACGCCACCGGCTTGAACCGCGAACCGACGCTGATCAGCCCGCAATTTACCGTCTTTGAGCGCTTAGAGCGGCGGCGACTTTGGCACGGGATTGTTTGCCAGGACAGCTTCATGAGCATGAGCCTCAGACTCCCACCGGCCGCCACACATTCCGATATCGACTACGCTGCCCCGTTGCTAGAAAACGACGACTCAGTCTATACCATGGGAGGAAGCCCCGAATCGACGGGAGACGACCCGTTCAACGGCCCGCGCGTTTCTGACCCCGGTTATGTCCAGAGCATGTACTCCCTCGCGCTTCTCGCTCAAGAAACAATCTCAACACCCCGCTCCCTTTCGCTCCCTGTAGCGTCCAACCCTCGCCAACGAAATATGCTTCTGTCGCGATTCCGTGCCTGCTATCGCTCCTTCCCCGACGATTTCCGTGCCTGGGACGACGCTTCGATCGCAACACTAGTGCAGCAGGGAAACAAACGGCTCGTCCGGCAGATCATGTTCCTGTTTGGGTTGTACTGGCACTGCATGACGTTGATCTATAGCGAGGCGCTAGACGATTCCTACGCGCAATCCGAAGGTGGTTCCAGATCAACTGGACCAGGCAGTCTAGATAGTTTCATACGCGGCACCCTCGTTGCGGCGAGTGAGTCGATGCGCGCGTTTTTCGTCATTCAATCGGTGCTGGGCGAGGAGGGGAGTGTGTGGTGGGCGTTTGGCCATCGGGCGTTTTCCACCTCGGTATGTACATCATCCCTTTTCTGATTTCCCTTGAATTTGGAAAGTGAAATGTACTAATGAGGTAGATCATCGTGGCAAGTCTCTTGAAGAAGTACACATCAGGGCCCACACCCGGCAGCGCTTCGGACATAGACTGCAGATCGGCAAGCCAAAGACGCACGCCGGGCATGGAGCCGCTGTGGGAACGCGCTCGATCCGACGTTCATCACATGCTGAAGCTTCTTCAGGTTCCGGCGAGTGTAGGTGACGAAGCGGCTCGAACGCGGATTGAGGTGTTGAGCAATTACCTTTGATATGTCCGGTCTTGGTACAGAATTGATGCAATTCGGGAGGCGGCATTTTGGGCGTTTGATGTTTCATCGTCCTTTATATGAACGTTGACGTTGACATTGAGGTTGTCATTGTCTGGTTGAAAATAGCATAAACTGTATATCTTTATATCAATGGATACATCATTCGATGCAGATAGCTGGCCAGGACAATCCTGCTTACCTTGCATATATGTATGTACGTGTAATGGTTGATCTATTCTTACCTACCAAAGACAAACCGCCTCCAATTATCAGCCAATATCCCAACACCCTCTTCAAGCGCCCACCCGCGATGCCCACACACTATCCGCACAGCCCGTTCCAGAAGGCCATCCATCTCCGGCCCCGCACAGTGCAGATCACTCTCAACCAAGATCCGATCATCCGGCAACGCCTTCAACACCGCCACCACCTTCTCGACTGACGGACCGGTAAAATTAATGACGAATGAAAACGAGAAATAGACGTCGGACGGCACGCTAGGATGCAGGAATTGCCTCAATGGCTCGGTGGAGCCGGAGTATGAGTGCATGCAGATTCGCGGCGGATAAGGGCGGCTCTTTATGACTTCAGCTTCTTCAGTGGTCGACTCGTCCACCTGCTCTGATTCTCGCTGTCTTCTCCCCCGTCGACTCTCACGCCGACGCTCATACCCTGCCCATAGCTCCTGCAACACATCAAAAACTGCCCCATGTGCCTGTACGCTATGCACCGAGACGGCCCGGCCTAATTCCCCTGCAAGCTGCAACTGCGCTTTCAGCAGGAATTTCTGATGCTCCATGGATACTTTATAAACAGATAGATTCCGACCCTCGCGCGATCCTGGCGTCAGCCCTACATCGCGGTCTTCAGTCTGATCTGGTGTCCAGGGCAAGGGCAGTCGGAAGGCCTTATCAAGCCCGATTTCGCCGACGAGAGCAGCGGGATGGGCGAGCAGACGCTCGCGAGTTTCGGCGAGGAGGGTGGAGAGCGGTTTGGGCGTTGGGAGGGTGTTGAAGAAGGCCGTGTCGGTTGGGGTTGAGCCGGTGAGGACGGTGCGGTAGTGGGATATTTTGGATGCGTTGTCGTCTGGGTTTGTGGAGGTGGTACTGATTTGGTGCGCGAACCATGGGTGCCAGCCGAAACAGGGGATTATTTTGTTGGTGTTTGATAGTGTGCTGGCTACGGAGTCGACGAGCGCCTGATCCTCGCCGCGTGTCGCCATGATGGTTAGCGCGGAGGCCTGCATGTGTGCGATGGACGAGATGGAGGTCATGGTGTCGGTTGGGTGGCAGTGGGCGTCGAAGACGCCGAGGGACCAGGGAAAGGGGGGTTCAGAGTCCGACATGTTGGGTGTATGTTAGTATGGTAGGATTGGATGTCAATTGTAGAGTGAGCCAGGTTGATATTTGATATTGATATTGATGGTGATGTTGATGTTGATTGAGGCGATGACATAATGAATGCATGTGGCTAACCCCGCATTTGTTATCGGGCTGGTTAGCGCAGACATGCACAGTGGGATGAATCATGTTCGGCGTCCAGCATGTCGATGTACAGCATGCATGGCTGGAGAGGCTGGAGAGCATGGATATGTACATACAAGAAGGGAGAGTCACATGCTTGCGAGTTTGTTTACAGGGTTCTCCGCTCTCAACGGCGCTGTATGATTGGGCCCGCCCTAGATCACATGTCAGCATGCAACAAGGAACAACGATCAGTCTGACAGTTAACTATCCTCCTCTTCATTCTTGTCTGTCTTGCCGTCATTCTCGCTGTCTTGCCGCAGAGTACATCCTATAGCCGGCCTCTCCGCAATGGGAACAGGAACACCATCCAGATGATGTACCTCTCCATCCACTGCCAATATTAGAGATAAGGAAGGATAAGTATAAGGATATGTCGCTCGCAGCAATCCAGAACGTCTTCCTCCTCCCTCTCCTCCTTCTCGTATCAATCCCTCTCGCCCTCTCAGCAACCGTCACCGCCTTCCTAGCACTCACAGCCCTCTTTCTGCGCGCCTTCATCGTGTACATTGAAATAGCCATTGGCCTGCTCACCAACTTCTTCCTCTTCCCCGCACACTCTCCTGCGTCCGGCTCTCTCCTGGCCTTTTCAGAGGTCAATACCCCTGCTATATCGCCATCCAAGACAAGACACCCTCGCCCACGGTCCTGGGCAGACGGTGTTTCGGGGAAAGAAATCGATTATTTCCACAGCTACTATTCAGTAATCTTCCCAGTTACTACACAGTATATTTCTGCATGGAAGGCCTGCTAATTAACTACAGCACCACGGTCCACCCACCACACCGCCCCGCGAACCATTCTTCAATTTCATCTCCGGCGACGCTGAGCGTGACTTCGAGGGGCTAGGCGGCTGGCGAACACCACTCCTCTCGCGAAAACGAGACCCAGACCCATCCTCTCCTCATCTTAGCTATAGTACCAGCGAGGAGGGCCTGCTAGATGACGAGCAGGCCTGGCTATCGATTAACAAGCGCCTCGAATTACCCTCAAGACAACTCAACCTCATCGCCCCGTCAACCTTCCCTTCTTCTTCCTCCGCAGAGCACACAGAGCCCCATCGTCCACGATACCACAAACGCTCGATAACAACCTCCTCCGTGACACAATTCTCCTCCTCCTCACCGCTTCCCACATTCTCAGAACATCCCGACAAAGCTGCCCTTCAAACGTCAAAGTCGAGCGCCGGTCTCGACACGCTGCACGCCGCAGCCTCACCGTCTTCATCGTGCTCCGATCAGCCGTTTCTGATGACTTCTAGTGCGTCAGGACGGGAGTGGAAGATGGCGCATTATCCGAGTTCTGGCCGGAGAAGAAGTTCGGCTGGGTCGGCGCAGAGTATGGCTTTTACGGGGCTAGGCGTTCATCAATATACCAATTGATGGATGTGTTGAGGAGGGAGGAAAGGGGGTGTGTGTAATGATATGATGATTATGATTATGAATCTATGTATTGTGCGCAGTCCGCCAAATACGTGAGTCATTGGAATAAATACATGTACATATAACCGCTATGATAGTAGTACATGTACTTTATGTATCTGCTGGTATTATGTATCAATTGAAATGGGATATACACCAATATACCGCCAGCAAAGAATATGCTTCTCGCGGCAGTCATATCACCAAATAGTAATAGTATAAACAAACAAAATCATAAACTGGTTGAGATTGGGGTTGAGTATTGACGCCCTATCTAGCGCTATACATCTGACCAAGTAGCAACGCCAGTCAACCCCCCCCTTCCCCAATAAAAGACATGAACAAAAAGAAAAAGAAAAGAAATATCTATAATTTCCGTCTTGCTTCTCGCTGCTCCACATCCAGCATTTCTTTAAGGATAACCTCATTAAACTCCTCATACCCATCTAAGTATAAATGATGACCAGCGTTTTTAATAATAACCACCTTGGCAGACCCATTATCAGCTTTGCGTTGTTCGGCAGTCGCATTTTCTAACGCGCGTCGTTTCTCCTCTTCGATCTTCTCCTTTGCTGCGAATCCGCCTGCGACGTCCATCCAGTCGTGGTCGCCGTACATCAACACGACCGGTATGCCGTTCTCGCGCTGCGGTTGGGAGGTGAGGGAGGTGGGGAGGGAGGAGGAGGAAGATGTGACGGGTTCGGATGGGGTTGGTGATGAGTTGTTTGAAGATGATTGTAGTGCTTCGGTGGAGTCTGGACGGAGGACCTGTCGGCCGAGACCCTGGATACGCCGGATCAACGGGCTGCGTGCGAATGCGCCGGGTGCGAGAATGTATGTAAGCGCATACTCGCCACTTCCGCGAAGTCGGAAGATTGAGTATGAATAGTCGTGCAGAGCAGCAGCTTCGGGAGCAGGTAGGTGCGAAAAGCGGCGAGAAGTCCAGCCCGAGACTAGGCGCGGTCCCATGGGGCCAGACCATCGAATGATACTGAAAGGCGAGACGTTGGCGTCCCAGAGATAGCTGATTATTCGTGGCAGGCGCCGGCGTGGTGCTGGCTCCGAAGTTTGTTTGGACACGCCTGTGTTAGAATTGGAAGGCTTATTGTTATTATTCGAACTGCTCGTGATCTCTTCTTGGTCCTGCGTAAACTCGCTGGCTAGTGTTGACTCGGAAGGTTCTGGCAGATCCTCGTCGACTGCGTATGGATCTTCCGGAATACCGACTGGCGAGGCCAGGATGAGTTTATTGAGACGGCCTGGGTATTTCAATGCGTAGGCGACAGCCATATAGCCCCCCATGCTATGGCCCATCAATGTAAACCGGTCGATTTTCTGTTTCACTCGCCATTCTTCGAGAGCATCAATAAACCAGTCTTCTGCTTCTGAAATTGCTTCTTGACGATTCTTTGCTTTGATCTTGAACGGCGGCCGAGTGCTGCGTCCCATTCCTAGCAGGTCTAATGCGTAGAGGTGCCAGCCCTTGGCACGACTCAACGGCTCGAAATTTTTGTAGAAGAAGCCCAAACCAGCTCCATAGCCATGCAGAATGACAAGATTTTGGTTCTCCTTTTCGCCAACACGTTCTACGGAGAATTCATTCAAAGCACGGCCTTTGCCACTCAGCTCAACCATGCGTGAACGCCAGCGACGCGGTCCGTAGGGATCATTCTCGGAATTAATAGCATCATCGCCTCGTTGACTAAGATCGGGCGCTTGTAAGCTATCGGCTGCGTCTGTGGGGGCGTCAGGCAGGCCTGCAGTGTTGCCCGTTTGTCGCTGAGTCGGAGCTTGCTGGAGATGCGGGATAAAGGAAAGGACCTTGTGCTCAGCCGTTGCAGCAGGCACCTTGCACCACTAATTGCTACGACTCAGCGTTGTTCTCAGTTCTACAGGTTCTGTCGAATATCTTACCCATTGACTGAATCCTTCCTTCATGCCTAGAGGGAACCATGCCGACGAGGACGCCGGCTGCGCTGTGTCCTGTGCTACAGAACGAGGTAAACTGCGCTTCGAACCTGGATCATTCCGGCTGTGCAAGTCCTCACTGGCCTGGCCGATAGCTTCTGCCGATGACATGATGGGAGAATGGGAGGCGTTCGATGCGGCGTCGACACGAAATGACCGGGAGTAGCGACTTGGGGAGAGAACAGATATTGTCGCACCTGTCGCCGACTGCGACCGCAAACCTAGCGACAGTGGCACAGATATAGCCGTGCTCGTAGACACCTTGAATCTGTTAATTGAGTGGCAGGCTGTTGCTGCCACTCCCGCTGTATGCCGGACGAAGCAGAATTGTTGGGACGGGGACTGGGTGGCGACGCCTCGCTTTATGTAGTAGAGAAGAATTGAAGGCGTATGGTGTAATCTAAGGGTAGAAGTGACAGACCACGTTGACGTTGGAGGCTGAGCGGAAAAGAAAGGAAGAAGAAAAGTCGGAGCGTGACCACGATCGACAAGGCAGCTTCATTATTCTTGAGATTGCGAACATGATCGATCTCTGGCCTCTCGTTGGGCCGCTGGACTTAACGCGCGTGCCGGACTTAACTTCGGGTGAATCTGGCCGTCTGCCGTCACGCCTCAGGCTGCCACCGACGTCTGGCCCTCCCTTGCTCCACCACTGCCACTGCCAAACCCTGAAGAGTTCAGACAACGCACACGACACAGAAACACGTATATTTAGTATTGAGAGTTGTTCAGCAGATGTTTTGGTGACCTTGCTTCTCATGTACCCCCGGTGATGCGATAGGAGATTGGCCACTCGGCCCAGACGCCAACCAGGGACCAGCACGCACCTGCAGCTTGGAAACATCCAGATATGGCTTCTTCGCGCCTTGATCAGATCGTGAAAGGCGCACCGGCAGACGCCCGAGCTCCATTCAATGACTCGCCTGCCCCCCTGCCCAGGTCCTATCTAGAAGGCGCTACCACAAACTCGCGACCTACAACCCCAGACCCGTTGTCGACATTGCCCTCGTCCCCGCCACAGATATATTTGAATCTATTGATCCTCGAGGGCTCTCTGCGCGCACAGTACCTGGCACTTCGCGAGCGTCGTCGTCAGAACACTTTCTTTCTCATGATACTTGCGATTTGGGTGGCTTATTTCTTCTACGCTCTGTTCATGCGACCGAGGGAGGATGGCAGTGGAGTCGGAGGCTCGGTATATTGGATGGTCGAGACGGGAGAAAAAGTGGCTTTTATGGGCGGCATTGTCACTGGTATACTGGTCTGGGGAACAGGGCAATGGGAGCGAGGAATGCGATGGCCCCGGCGCTGGTTCGCCGTGGCAAATCGAGGCCTCCGCGGTATGAACACTAAAATTGTTTTGATTCGAGGTCCATGGTGGAAAGAAGTGCTTTCCTTTTTTTCGTTCATCTTCCCGTACTCCTCCCTCTTTCAGTCTCCGAGAAACTTTCAATACGTGGAGCTGCATCCGTCCGAGAAAAAGACTATCAGACACCAGCACCCAGCGCATGATGACGACGGCGAGTCTGGCATAATCGAAGAAGATCTGGCCCCAGGAGGGGATTATGTTCGGTTACTGCTTTTGCCGAAAGCTTTCTCGCCAGAATTTCGAGAAAATTGGGATGTATATCGCGCGGATTACTGGGAAAAAGAGAATGAGCGGCGAGCACATCTTCGCCGCAAAGTTCGCGAACGTGAGCATCAACGGGCACATCAAGAAGGGGGCTGGCTGTGGTGGCTTCCTATGAGACAATCGAGGCTACGTCGAGTCAAGGTTGGGGACTCTCATTCTCACCAACATCACCATCAGCCGAGTGGTGCTGGCAAGCCTCATGAAGGTAGACCACGCCGGAACACGCGATCTAACTCGCAATCTCTGCATTCTCGGGGCTTGTCCCGGGGTGCGACACCTGAGAGTGGCATTGCGACGCCTCCAGACCCGCAGAGTCAGAGGCGCAAAAAGGGCTCAAAGTCTTCTACGTCAAGGAGTCTGTCTCCTTTGACTACTCAAGTATCGAAGCGGGATTCAACAATATCTATCTCCTCGACAGCTTCTGACGATTCGTTCTTGCCTGGTGCCAGGGAGAAGCGAAGCACGCCGGAAATCGCCACAGCAGTGGAGGCTTAATTTTATTTCGTTAAGATCCCTGGCCTGTATAATCCAGTTTACATAACTGTAGCGGCTTAGCGAGTATAGTACAAATATAAATACAAATAACATGTATCAGTGACAATCCATGCATATTAGACATCAATAGCCAAACAGAATTGCCATCTCCCACTTCTCTATTGAATAGTGAGCACCTGCACAGCAACTGAGAATAACTCTGACACATTCATCGACTCCAGATGCCAATGATCGTCCTTTTTATATACAGCCTAGACGCATCTGTGGACCGAGGGGCAAGCATTCCGGCCTGAGGCAACAGTCCCCACCGCCCGCAAGCACCAAAATTCTGACCCCCTCCGGGCCACACTGCAAGGTTCTTTTCTTGCCCTTATCCACAACCACACGATCGTGGCCATCCAAGTACAAGCAGGGCCTGGCGTTTGTTCGACCTGCCCTAATCCCACTCGACGTCGCCCACTTCTGCGGAACGAAGGCTGCGTATGCCCTATCACCGGAGCAGTGCACACTCTATCTCCGCAGTGTAGTGTATCTGGTTGTCGATAATAATACCCGACTACCGAAACACTTTGCTTACCGGTTTCTCGCTTATTACGCTCTCTGCAGCTCGTTTTTCGTACGGTGGACACTTTTGATGCCGTGAAATAGTATATCCTTGTACACATCCACTCGACATATTAGACCAGGCATATACGCAAAATGGCTCCCAAGAAGAAGGGAGGTAAGCGTCAGGAGGACGACTGGGAAGCAGACCTCGGCGAGGCTGCACCCGGGGTAGCCGAAGCGCCAGCTGAAACGAACGGCGATGCCGAAGCCAATGGCGACGACGCAATGAGCGGAGGTCTTCTTGCAGCTCTCAAGAAAAACCGATCGAAGAAGGCCAAGAAAGGAAAGGTAGTAGACAATGACTGGGAGGCAGAGCTTGGTGAGGATCCCACCAAAGCAGACACAAACGGCGATGCTGCCGTCGATCTCGCTAGCAAAGCACCCCAGGAGGGTACATTCGATGACGAGGACGACGTTTTCTCCGGCCGGCCAAAGAAGGCTGCTCAGCAAGCTCCAAAGGAACAATCTAAAGACGAGGATCAGGGTGGCGGTGGGTTGAAATCAAAGAAGGAGAAGGAGAAGGAAAAGAAAGAGCGTGAGAAGCAGCGGAAGAAGGAACAGGTTTGTGGATATATTGGAATATTTAAGATGTTTTCTAACATATTCCATCATATTTAGGCGGCAAAGAAGAAGACTGCTGCACCTGCTGCGCCTGCCAAGCAAGAACCAGCAAAACCAGTGGTCGAAGTAGAAGAAGAGCCAACCCCGGCTCCATCGAAAGCAGAGCCTGCCGGAAAGAAAAAGAAGATCCCGCCCCATCTCGCCGCTATTCAAAAACAACAAGAAGCTTTGAGAAAGGAACGAGAGGAAGCCGAACGCCTTGAAAAGGAATTGAAGGAGGCAGACGAACAGCAACGTCGTCAGATTGAGGAGGAGGAGAAAAAGAAGGAAGAAGCACGTCAACGCAAGAAAGAAAAGGAGAGAGAAAAGAAGGAGCAATTACGCAGAGAAGGCAAGCTTCTGACCAAAGCCCAGAAGGAACAAAAAGAGCGCAATGAGCTGCGTATGAGACAGATGCTGGAAGCTGGTGTTGGTCATGTCGCTGGTCTGGATTCTACTGATAAAGGTGAGAAGAAAAAGACTGTCGTGGTCAACCGCAAGAAGAAGGCAGCGAAGAAAGATGAAGTGGACCTTGAGGCTGCCGCCGCCAGAGCACAAGCTCAACGTGAAGCTGAGGACGAAAAGCGAAGAAAGGAAGAGGAGGAAAAGGCCAAACAGGAGGCAAAAGCCGTCGAGGCCGATAAAAACGAAAGTGAACTTGAAGATTGGGAAGCGGCTGTTGACGCTGGCGATAATGTCAAAGATAGCTGGGATGCTGACTCCGATGACGAAGCACAAAATACTAAGGAAATCGCAAACAAACAGAAGGCCAATGGATCTGCCAAGCCCTCTGCTCTGGACGAAGAAAATGAAGCTGAATCTAGCTCAGAAGAAGAAAGTTCTTCTGAGGATGAAGATATCAGTGCTGCCCAGAGAGCTGCTGCCCAAAAGAAACAGGAAGCTGCAGATAGACGCCAGAAGAAGCACGAAGAAGCTCTCGCTGCGCGGTCAAAGGATAACTTGCGTTCTCCTATTTGTTGTATTCTGGGTCACGTCGATACTGGAAAGACTAAGTTGCTTGACAAGATTCGACAGACAAACGTCCAGGAAGGCGAAGCCGGAGGTATCACGCAACAGATTGGTGCTACTTATTTCCCTGTCGATGCTTTGCAGCAAAAGACCGCCGTCGTGAACAAAGATGGTTCCTTTGAATTCAAAATTCCAGGTTTGCTGGTTATCGATACTCCAGGTCACGAGTCTTTCTCTAACTTGCGTTCACGTGGTTCGTCCCTTTGCAACATTGCCATCTTGGTGGTTGATATTATGCACGGGTTAGAGCCGCAGACACTCGAATCTATGCGTCTTCTTAGGGATCGTCGTACGCCCTTCATTGTTGCACTGAACAAGATCGACCGTCTTTATGGATGGAAGAAGATCGACAACAACGGCTTCCGTGAAAGTTTGGCAATGCAGAGCAAGGGCGTTCAGAACGAATTCAAATCTCGTCTTGAACAGACTAAGGTTGCGTTTGCTGAACAGGGATTTAACTCGGAACTTTTCTGGGAAAACAAGTCGATGTCTAAATTTGTCTCACTTGTGCCAACATCAGCACATACGGGTGAAGGTATTCCGGACATGTTGAAGCTTCTTACTATCTTGACACAGGAACGCATGACGAATTCTTTGATGTATCTGTCGGAGGTTGAGTGTACAGTGTTGGAGGTGAAGGTCATTGAAGGTCTTGGTACAACGATTGATGTGGTCTTATCCAATGGTATTTTGCGAGAAGGTGACCGGGTGGTTCTTTGCGGTCTGAACGGGCCTATAGCAACGAATATTCGAGCACTATTGACTCCAGCACCGCTTAAAGAACTTCGGCTGAAGTCTCAATATGTTCATAACAAGGAGGTCAAAGCTGCTCTTGGTGTCAAGATTGCTGCTAATGACCTGGAACATGCCATTGCGGGATCCCGCCTTCTTGTGGTCGGTCCTGAAGACGACGAAGAGGACCTGGAGGAAGAAGTCATGTCAGATCTTGAGAACTTGCTTAGCAAGGTCGCCAAGGATCAGCGCGGTGTTACCGTGCAGGCATCTACACTGGGCTCGCTCGAAGCCCTGCTCGAGTTCCTTAAACAGTCAAAGATTCCAGTCTCCAACATCTCCATTGGCCCTGTCTTTAAACGTGATGTAATGCTTGCGGGAACCATGTTGGAGAAGGGTCTCAAGGAATTTGCAGTCATGCTTTGCTTCGACGTCAAAGTCGACAAAGAAGCTCAAGCGTATGCAGACGAGGTTGGCGTTAAGATTTTCACAGCGGATATCATTTACCACCTGTTCGATGACTTCACCAAACACATGGCCCAAATCACCGAACAGAGGAAAGAAGAGTCCAAGCTGCACGCTGTTTTCCCCGCTGTGCTGAAGACAGTAGCTGTGTTCAACAAGAAAGACCCGATTGTTGTCGGTGTGGATGTTATCGAGGGTAGTTTGAAACTGCTGACTCCCATCGCAGCTGTCAAACAGAATCCGACAACGGGTCAGAAGGAAATTATCCATCTAGGTCGAGTGTAAGTTCTTACTCCAAATCAATCCTGCCGACTAAGACCTAACGTTACAATCCCAGGGCATCCATCGAGCGTGAACACAAACCCATTCAGGTTTGCAAGCGCGGCCAGCCGTCCGTCGCGGTCAAGATCGAAGGCGTCAACCAGCCCTCGTATGGCCGTCACCTAGAAGAGAGCGACACCTTGTACTCCGAAATCTCGCGAAAGAGTATCGATACATTGAAGGAATTCTACAGACCGGATGTTACGATGGAGGAATGGGGTCTGATTAAAAAGCTCAAGCCCCTCTTCGACATTCCATAAACAAAAGTTAATTCTGATTGATGATTGTGTTTGAGAGCCATTATGTGGACAGTTTTCAAGTGTGCTGCTGTAAATTGATTTGAGAGGCCCTGGCAATGATTCGTTAAATATACCGAAGCGCTGTTCCATCGTAACAAGTATAATTCGACTAGACGCCTATAATACACACTTTACAATCTTCTTTCCACAGATAATTTGTGCCAAAGGCTAGTATATATTCTTCAACCATCACCCTTAATTACCTCATTCACCCCCCTCCCACCTCTCCACCTTCCCCCCTCTACTCATCCAATCCAACCAACTCCCATCATAAACCTTTAACGCCTGCGCATCATAGCCCGCCTGCGCAGCTAACTGCGCGGCCGCCCTGGCCCTCACACCAGCCTTGCAATAAAACACAATCTCCCCGCCTCCTGCCCCGGGTTTCGGATACCCAAACCTCGTCTCGAATTCCTCCGGCGAGAGGAAGTAAGCGTCTGGCTGCGAGGCTAATGGGACCGACACGGCGCCGGGGATGATGCCCGTTTCGATGAGTTCGGCGGGTTCGCGGACGTCGATGAGGATCAATTTGGAGGGTGTGGAGGAAGAGGAGGCGGAGAGGGAGGTGTTTATCTGAGATAATATGTGTTAGTAGAGGACATTTGACGTTTGGTTGGGGAAAGAGGGGGTGGGTACGTCGTCGAAGCCGATTTGTTTCAGGCCGTTGTCTTGAGAGCTGTAGGTTCGATATTGTAAGGAGCGCCAGGACTGATGGGCGAGGGTTGGCGAGCGAGGGTGTTGTGAAGTTCTTAGAGGCGTATGGCGAGTCAATGCCGTGCAGGTCCTTGACCGGGATGGGATGAAGCTGAAGCGGGCGGAGGCGCGGAAAGAGCTGCCCGCGTTGCGTCGGGCCAGGGAGACTAAGCTTGACTGTATCGCTGACATTGTGGATACTGTGTAATTAAGAGTATTAGAAATGGGAATGGAAGTAGAGGGGGTGAAGCTCTGGTCCGGTGCCGCCGCGGCAGTAACGGAGCTGGTTGATGTCAGTCGCGCTTCACCGCCTACTTCATTGAGCATACCATACTTTCTTTGAGATATATATATGAGCGACTATTATGTTATGGTTAAAAAAAAGGGTGTAATCTGTGTAATTATTGATATTAAATTTGTTGTATGTACAGTGTGCCAACTCGCAACTATAGTTGCTGAAACCCGAATGCCGAATGGCTCATACTGCCATTCCTGTAGACGGTCTAGAAAGACCAGAATTTCCCAAGTAAACAAATAAACGCCGACTGCAACTTTAAAGAGTATGCCATGAACAGAAATGGTATGTTCTGGCGAATCTAACACTCGTTGATGCGACTTCGGGCTAATCACTATAATGCTTCGGTAGGTATGATCGTTTAAGTTTCTTTTTTTGTTTTTTATTTCATTTCGTCTCGAATATCGGGCCGTTACGGATAACGTAAAACCACGAGATTAGATTGAAGCTTAATCACGTGGAGTGAAAACAAGATGGCAGTCGTCCTGCGTATGTTAGCATAAGATGATCGCAATTGGCATTGAGTAGGTCTCACCTTGGGGAAGATGGTGGCAAACACCTTGATTTCCTCCGACTCGGGGGTAGGGAAATGCTGCCAGTTGAGATGCATACTGGCCTTTCCGACCAATCCCATTAGGTTATGTGTGGCGTACGTTTGTCCGAGACAGTAGTGAGGACCAGTGCCGAAGACGAGCCAGTTCTTTGTTTGTTTCTCAGCAGTACCGGTAATCCAACGGTCAGGGTTGAACGATTCAGGGTCTTCATAAGCTTCGGGGTCGTGGGTTGAAGGGTAAACGGAAGGAATAATCATGCATCCCTTGGGAACGGTGTATGTCTCTGTGATGGGGAAATCCTTCTTCGCCATGTAGGGAACCATGATGACGGGAGGACGGTAACGAAGAGTCTCCTTGACAACAGCACGGGTATAGTGCATGTTCTCTAATAGGTCCATAGTCAGAGGAGCATTGCGGTCGCCATTGCGCAAGGTCAAGTTCTCCTCGCGAACCTTGTCAAGAATTTCAGGGCGATCAGCCATCAGTTGGAAAAGCCAGGTACAAGCAGCGCTGGTAGCGTCTTGCGAGGCAAAGAGGAATGTGAAGACAGTCTGAGCAACCTCGTAGTCCGTGAACTCACGGAGGATTTGTGGCGGCTTCTCGGAATCGTCGACCTGAATTCCTTGGTTGAGCTTTTCGCGGTATTTCGCAGAATCCAACTGAGCCTTTACCCAACCATCCATAATGCAATTGACTTCACCACCAGCCATCATGCGAGCCCTGCTCTTTGCGGTACATTTGCTGAACTCATCCAGGACCATGTCAGCAGCCTTTTTGCCATACCAGGTACGGGTGAAGGGGATGATGATGGGGAAGTTGACCAATTCGAGGGCAGCGGTGATAAGATAGTAATCATCGGCAATCTTCTTGACAGCTTCATCGGACATGTATTCACCAACAAACGTCTTGCAAGAAATAGCGCACATAAATTCCCGAAATTCGCCCATGAATGGAATAGGCTTGTTCTCATTAGAGCCTGAAACTTGCAGCCAGTGCTTGAAGTATTTATCGTAGACCTCATCCTGGCCGGGGAGGTAAAGCGACAAAGAGTGACGGGTGAAGAGATTGTTCAACCCCTTGCGAAATTCCACATGAGCCTTGCCATCCAAGAACACCCAGTTGGTAGGGCCCAACAGCTTGTGAGCGGCATCCACTACACAAGGTTTGACGAATGCAGGAGAGTTGAAGATTTTGCGGGAGAGATCACGGGAAGAGGCGATCACGACAAATCTGTGGCGCATACTTAGCAGGCGTCATCTGACAATTGGATAGGCAACTCACTTGTGGAAAACCGACACACAGCTGAGGTCGCCGCTGTTCCATTTGGCCTTGTATTCGTGGAATTTGGGGTTGACCGATTGCAAGAAGGGCCCCATGAAAGGAATTTTCATGGCCGGGCCAACAATCGAGCCCTTGAGGTAGATGTACTTGACTATGCTACTGTGAGACCCAGTCACAGGGAGGAGAGCTGCACCGCGGTTGTGTGACTCGACGTACCTTGATCGTAGACAATTGCAGCCAGAATGAGGTAGAGAATGCCACTCCAGACGGTCAGGCCGTTGAAAAGCGAGTACACCATATCCGAGGGGTTGGCCAGCTGCGCGACGACGCTGGCGTCGGCGAGGGGGGAGGCAAAGCTCCCGTTGACTTCGACCATATTGGTGCCGGGTTGAGGTAGAACGACCAGCAAGACAGGGTGTCACGGATTAGTACCGGAATCAAATTATAATCGCCAGTACTCACAGTCGTGAAGGCGAGAGGAGGTGGAGAGGAAAAGGAGTCGAGGCGCTCAGACCGTGGATCATGTTAATCTCTGCTAGTGAGATTTATGCCGCTATGCGCTTGATGCGGTCCCACCCAATACTGGCTCTACTTCCCCTGCTCCTTATTCGGCGCGCTGATAGGTCGACCAGACAGGTACCCGCAAGCTTCGCGGCATTAACATTTTCCTCTCTTCTTTTGAAGAGTTATTTTATTGGCATTATTGTTGGTCATGAGCCCTACGCTGTGCTCGTTAGATCGGTATTTGCAGGACATTTTTATTGACCTTCCCATTATCTATAACCTATATTCTGTAGTACTCTGGGTCTGCTCGGTTTTGAACACACCATGACTGTCGCTGCATCGGACGATCCGGATTCTGCAAATTCCGAAGCAAGGGTTGAGGAGCGCACGTGACTTCCAGTACCCTACAACGGTCTTGGCGGTAAACAGACAATGAGAAAGATGAAACCATCTATTCTTTACGAACACTTTAACACTCGCTTCTCTATTTAATTCTGAAAGACGAGCAAATTATTACGAATGCACCATATCCGACACGGTAACGCTATCTAGAATGAGGGATCCGTAGGTCGTAGGTTTAAAGTATCAACAACAACAAAGGATGAGCACGGTCAATTGTGACTTTATAGCAATACCAGAGCTTCTAATGCACGGCAAGAAGTGGTTACCTAACGCCCAAAACCGAACCAACCGCGACGGCCTCCCTTTTCTTCTTCAGCTGGCACCTTCTCAGCACCCTGCTGCTTCCCTTCACGAGGATACTGAATGTAGTTCCATGCCACATCGAGGAAAATAGGCTTGACGGCAACAGGTTGCATCTTTGGCGGGAATGGGACCAAATTGTTCGTATCCAGGCCCTGTGCCGTATATTCATCCATCCGTTGGATCAAAGGCAACTGAGACGTTGCAGCGTCATGCTTCGTTTCAGAAAGCTTGTTTAGGGTGACCAAGCCACGATGTTGCGCAACCAGCCCCTCAGAGGTTTCGGCTAGGGATTGAATACGCTCGGGGGAAATATCTAGTTTTGTAGGCCCATCACTAGCAGTAGTACCCATTTTATTCGATAGTGTAGCAGTGGCTAATTCACTGGCTCGTGAGAATAAAGCAAGAGCATTCTCCACATTCCCTTGTGAAGAATGAGAGCGACCAATCGCAAGGCACCTATTGTTCCATTGTATTAGTGCTATGCAAATTAAAAGTGAGTATAAGCTTGAACTTACCGCAATGCTCTAAAATAATCCCGCTTCACTTCTAGTTCCGTGACAAATTCCGAGTCGCCTGCCACTCCAGGTAATTCCCGAATGAAATCGAGACTCTGAAGGGTCGAGTCGTACAATGCCACTTTCTCACGAAGCTGTGACAGAATTTTGCTGTTGCTCGATCGCGTAGAGGTGTGACGTCGGTCCGATTTACCCTGTTCAGTGTCAAGAAACAGACCATCGCCTTCCCCACTCAATACTCTATTTCTACCCACTCTCCAACCGATGAGCGAATAGTTGACTGCAGTTCTTATAACCTGTAGTGCCTGAATCCTTCGGTCACCCTGCTCAACTCCTTCATTCGAGAGGTCATCCAAAGTAGTTTTAGTAGCATCAACGGCTTCTTGACTGGCTTGAATAAGGGTATCATAAGCCGCGGCTTTCTCTTTCGCCGATGCGGATGGACGTTCTGATAGGTAAGAGGCTAGCTTTGCTTCCGCAGCAGAAGCCGCAGCGAGCGCTTGTGCTATCGATGCATCTTCAATTGGAACGGAACGTGATCTCCAAGTAATACTTTCGGGTAGTTGTTGGACTTCGCCATCCGCTAATTTCGTAGTCCCCGCAGCATTTTCGGTCAAACAGGTCGCATCAAGCTTCTCAACCTCGGCCCTTATCTCTTTGTTATCCGGGAAGTTTTCAATGGCAAGTGACGGTAGAGGTTTATTGCGGGGAAGTCTAAGCTGGTAGGCGGCATAGCGAAGTGACGGGTCAATTGTGGCGGAAATGAGGTCGCGATATGCTTCTTTCTTTTCTTTCTGTCCCAGCGCAGTGTATATAATTCTAGCTTCGCTGAAATACCGGAGACACCTATCCCATCGCTGCTTTTCCGTAAACAAGGCACCAGATAGAAGCGCAAGATAGGCACGTGCTTCAAGAAGGTTGGTGTCAGATGCACCTGAAAGGGACTGCTTCTGTAAAACGGATACAAGCTGCTCCGCGTATTTGCTGGCTTTATTGAGTCTGGTGATGATATGCCGTCTCGTGGGCCCAACGACTCCCTTATTCGAAGGATCGGCGGAGTGAGTAGCTTTCATGTGCATTGCATGTGCCCATGCTCGCTCTGCACTTAGGACCAAGAGATGAGCGAATCTGGATGTTTTCTATGTCAGATATCTTGTATGCAAACAAATAAGGTCCAATGACGCACTCTGCTTTCGTCCCAACATCTTCAGGAGATATGGGTGCTTGGCCATTGTACTTGCGGCCTTTGGGCGTTGTACGTCCGAGCTTCTTTCGCACGGTGTGCAGTCTTCGCGAGGTTTGCGCTCGGTAGTTGTTATAATCGCCGGAAAGAAGGGAGTCTTCCCGCCTGGTGAAAAACAAGGTCGTTATGTCCATCTTGCCTCGTCCAGCACTGGCGAGTGTAGAGGCGGGGAGCTATTTTATCGGGCGTCGGTTCGGCATGGCCTGATGTGTGCTCGGGGAAACGAAAGGCCGGCGCCGTCAAGAACTTCTGATCCCGAGCTCCCCAAGCAACAATATTATTGCCCATGCTTCATGCTACCCCGAGCTTTTGGCCACTCAATTCTTCTCTTATCTGCTACAATATTTCCTTTGTATCCTCCCCGAAACGCTAAATTCACTCTTGATTAGCAATTGTTCTGCGAACGGTCGTAATAACCAAGCTCGCTAATTTCAGAAATAACTGCTCTAGTTCGGACTACCTCACCATAGCCATGCTATTACACCCCTAGAACGATACCGACATGCTTCATCCAGGGATATAGTTATTCTTTGCAACATTTATTCCAAGGTGTTCAAGCGAGGGGATGCTCGAACGGGCTGCGGGATGTCTCGAGACAGCCGGGCAGGGCTTGTTGCGGAATTGCAATGGCGTTCTCCGCAGCCAAAAGTCTCTAGAGCCGCATTTTTGGAAACAACAAACTTGCGAAGCCTCATGGCGTTTCATTTCTTGTTATATCGATAAGGCACGTCGATCATCTCCCTACTCCCGAGGGGCCATACAGCACGCACACGATCCATTCTTAGACTTTTTATACCCCGATAAATGTATTCTTGCAGTGGGCTCTTGGGTTGCGAAGAAGAAGAAAGAGAACGTGCACCATGGGAAAAGGCGTGCCATGTCAAGGCTTACCAAGCATAACTCGTCCCAAGCGTCGTGCTTCCTCTCCTGGCGTCGTGACACCGTTGTAAGGCTAAATGTTCCCCGGTCCTTGAGGGCCATTCATACCGCAAAAGCAACTGTCGATAGGCCTGCAACCAGACAAAGAGTTCTCAACACATTATTCGACGAGACGCGTCACAAGGATTACGATCGTATGTGGGAATTGTGGAAGAACAGCACTCAAGAACCGGGGCTGAGGTCTCGGCTGGTGGCATCTCTGTCTCAGTCCGAAAGATCTCTTGATGTTGATAGAGCTGTTTCATTGTTTAAAATGATTGATCATCATCAACGGACTGTGGGTGATTACGAATCAATATTTGACTCTCTACTTAGAGCTGGCCATTTATCGACGGTGGAGCTTCTTTGTGATGATGCTCTTGCTAAAGGGCCCACAATCGATGCTTATGGCATTGCCTTCACCATATCTATCATAGAAATGAGGTGGGGAGATGTATTACATCTTTGGAGAAGAAGCCATGACAAACTCGGACGAAGCTTGTCGTCACTTGCTGAATCTGGTGACCTTCCTGATCAGGTTCTATCGCTGTTAGAATACGCGAGAAAGCATACCGACCTCACCGGGGATAGTATGGACGCCCAGCTTCTATCCAGCTTATTGGAGGTGGTTTTGAAATCAAATACGATCATGCAACATATCAAAGTCGAAACAATTCTTTCTCTGACGCGAGAATTCAACGATATCGGTTTACTCACAGAGCTGCATTATGTACAAGGCATTGAAACGTTGATAAAAATTGGGACACGTTTCTCCATGGTTGCTGCATTGGTTGTTTATCGAAATTTCAGATGGCACTTGAGCAGCGCTATCCCACCTACGAAACTTCTCTACCAATTGTTGGAAACACTGGGCTCTCTAGAAACTCATCATGGGGTTCAGTATCTCCTTGATGAGTTTGTTCGCTTCCATGAAAAGCCCTCGGTTGAAGCTTATATGTTGGCCCTGACTGCCTATTCAAGAAGCGGAGATGTGCCGAAAACCAAGGAAACTTTTGAAAAACTACTGAACCACTATGGAAGGCCCTCTCCGAGGCTCTTTAAGTATCCCGAATACCCCAAAATTCCGCGGAGTATAAGATGGGTTGTCCCGGTTCTCAGTGTATACGCTAGAGTGGGCGATTATGCTGCGGCTGAGACTGAGTTTTACAAGATCACACCTATATTCCGTTTGAAGGCCAATAATGCTTGCTGGAATGTGCTTATCTCCGCACATGCAAACTCGCGCAGAATCAAACAAGCTTTTAGAGTCTTCAGACGAATGCAGAAAAAAGGGAGCTCTCCTGATTCGTACACGTTCGCAATATTGATGGGCCTCTGCGCAAAATCCGGCGATATCGAAGGCACGATGGCTCTCTGTCAAATGGCCGAGAAATCTAATCAAATGCACGCCTCACTGATACATGCTGTCGTGGATGTTTATTGTCACAATCAAAATCTCGAGATGGCAGAACAGGTTGCAGAGTCTAGTTTGTCTTCTGCGCTTGCTGGATCTTCTACTGGGATATGGAATCGTCTGTTGTGGGCTCATGCCTTTCGTGCAGACTTGGATTCTGTTTTACGAATCCATGAACGTATGAAAGAGTATGGAATACAGTTTAACGAGATGACATATGCTGCCTTAATGCTGAGCTTTTCTATCGTCGGACAGCCTGCTTCAGCACGACGTCTTCTGCGAGCTCTTCAACGCAGTCGGCGAATGCATGCAACAGAGTTCCATTACACTACTCTTCTTTACGGCTTTGTCAAGAAAGGAAATCGGGACATGGCTCATGTCATCTATAAAGAAATGGAAGAGAGATTCGAAAATCCTGGTCTTAGCGCACGTCTTTTAATGTTGAGAAGTGGGCTTGCAAGAGATACCGTTCAAGTTTTTGGAAGAGATGATAACGGCCCCGACTATCGACTATCTGCCTCCGAAGACCTGCTTTTCAAATCTATCTTCGATTTCGACAGGAGGGAATATGCACGAAAGTATCCGCACCCCGGAACAAGCGGCTTGCCATATCGCGAGGCTTTTCCCTCGCTCTACTATGAGCCAATTTTGAAGGCCTACAGTTCGGATGGGATTCATCGCAGAAGCAAAGAACTGCTCGATGAATATATGAGGGGCATTCAGTCTGCAACATCCGCTGGTCAATCCAAGGTCGTCCCGTCACTGCGCTTCTTAGCCGTGCTGATGGAGGTGTTCTTGCAGGCTGGGAATTTGGAGACAGTACACCTGTGTTGGGAGCTGGTATTGGAAAGAGCTAGCGAGTTAACGAGGAAACTGAATGTCACTGGCCTAACAGAGAGCGACTTCAGCCAACCACAAAGCGATATACTGCAGGTGCCTTTAGAAAGCAAGGACAAGAAAGCAACAAAAAATCGGCATGTTACAGTGGGTACGGATTACATGCAGCCAACAATAATACCATCAGAGCAGTTTACTCTTTCGCGACATTTCTCCCTCTACATGCGAGCGAAGGGTGAAGCCCAGCAAACCTCGGAGCTACCCAAGTTAATTGAAGACTATGAGAGTCGAGGGTATGCTATGACATCGGGAAATTGGCTCACTTACATTCGAACACTTGCCGCTTCCCCAAGAGTGTCGGAACAGCTTAGTGCTTTCGCCACTTTTGAGCGTATATTCATGCCTAGCTTTCCTGGCTGGCATCGACTGCGCCGTGGAGTTCAATTGCGGCCACAAGGGACCCCTGACTCCCTCAATCTGCTTGACTACCGACCATTTGGTAGCAACCCAGAAACGCTTGGGAAAGCAGCTTCCAGGCTGTGGGGCAAAGTAGATCCCACCTGGATGCAACCAACGTATAATATCATGGTGTACCTCGCTGCATCTCTGAAAGAATTCAGACATAGGAGTCTTTCCGAAGGTAGTGAAGTTTTGGATCCTCTATTTGAGGTCGCCCCTCAGACGATGCAAGCTCTCATTGACATGCCTCATCTACGGGAAAAATTCCAAGGTGTTCTTCTTCGAGACCGTGTCGAGCAAGTCGACGCTGGTAAAGAAGGGCGTGACAGATATGTATGGACTGGTGGTGTTCTAGGTGTTGGTGGCAAACGACGACCACACTTACGAACTGCCATTGAACACGCAGAATACGAAGCTGCAGAGTCTGAGCTGAAAACCGATCCTGGCCAATCTTATCAATCACTTGCTCAGGACTTGTCACCACAAGCGAGACTTGCCGAGGACGACCATAGTAATGATGGAGATATTGACCAGACAGAACGCTTGATGCTTCCTGAAGACGAACACAATATCGAAATCGAGACGAGTCTTGAATCGAGACGTCGTGAACGCGGCATTGATCCAGTCAAAGATGAGCAGGAACGCGACAGGGGAGAATAGAAGTCGCAGTCAAAGTAGACGGTGTCTACAGTGTATAACCATGTGACTCATTATTTTCAATTGCTCATACTGTCTAGATATTGATGATACCCACCAAGACTCGGCCCCAATTGCAGGGTCGATTGGTTGCCATATATATGTATATATATTGTACCGCATATAAATTTCTTTTTAATCATATAATGTACACTAAACTATGGTTAGTTACTGAAGAATGTAACTCGAGGCTATCTTAAGCAAATTCATTCAAGAAATGGGGTGATTCTAGTAAACGTTAGACAAATAGGGTATCCTTCGGAGACCGGTCTTATGTTTTCCCGCACTTAGAGTGCCTAAACGCGTCGGACGCGACGCGTTTTTTAATCTTGCCTTTTTCGGCTGGCGGGTACAGATTAGATTCAACACAGCTGGAAAGAGCAAACCCCTCGATTCTTCTCCAACAACCTCGATCTTCATCCAACCCTTTACAGCCCAGCCAGGCGTGGAAGTTCTCCCCTATAGCGTCCAGAGCACAATTGTCGCTATCATGAACGAAATCCGGCTTCCAGAAGAGACCGCGGAGGATCGCGTGCGTGCTGCCACCGAGTTTTTGGATCCTAGTGAGCACTTGTTCTTGCTGTTACAACGAAGGGTAAAGTAGCTGACATTTACTGTTGCAGCTGACGCACGAGCACGGAGGTTCGTCGATCGGGATTATTATATGTGTGGAGATGATTATTGATGTTGACTTGGAGAACAGTTATCGGGCGGAAATAGTGTTGATGCTCAATCGAGGTCTTCGTCGACTTACAGTAAGCCAAGCCTGGGTCATTGAAAGATACCATAATAACAATGTTTTCTATATTTAGGTTAGCATCGATGAGATCCGAGCACATAACCGAGAACTCGCAGACGGGTGAGACTGCATAGCGTGGCCGGGGAGCCAATATATGACTAACTGTGAATAGTCTTCTCACGTTGCCATTTGAATATTCCGAGGCATTCAATAAAGCTTTGAAAGCCGTTATCAAGACCCTACCCAATCGACCATCTAAGGAAACAGCCGAGGATGTGGTTAGTACATGTACATGTCAGTGGTAGCTTTAGCTTCCATGCTAAAATTTCCAGGTTTATTACTGCGCCTACATCGGCGCCTTCGGAGAGAATGCCTGCAACCCACGAACGCTCGGCTCCTCCCATCTCAACCGCATGGTGTCTCTTGAGGGTATCGTGACAAAGTGCTCTCTTGTACGACCTAAAGTGATTCAAAGTGTCCATTTCAGTGAGAAGACAAACAAGTTTTTCTTCCGAAAGTATAGAGACCAGACTATGACAGCCAGTGGTGCAACAAGCTTGAATGTTTACCCTCAAGAAGATGATGATAAGAATCCGGTATGGCATAAGACATGATTTGTTTGAGTTTTGTTTCTGACATCTACCAGCTTACCACAGAGTATGGATATTGTACTTATATGGACCACCAAACGATCTCAATCCAAGAAATGCCCGAGAGAGCTCCTGCTGGTCAGCTGCCTCGTGGAGTCGATGTGATTCTCGATGATGACCTCGTCGATCGTGCTAAGCCAGGCGATCGTATCCAACTCGTGGGAATATTCCGCTCTCTTGGAAATAGAGGAGCTGGTTCGGGATCATCAACTTTCCGAACGGTCATCCTCGCGAACAATATAATCCAATTATCTTCGAAATCAGGCGGCGGAATTGCTCAAGCCACATTGACAGATACCGATATCCGCAATATTAACAAATGGGCCAAGAGCAGGAAAACAAAGATCTTCGATATGCTTTCCCAGTCATTGGCACCTAGTATTTATGGCCATGAGCATATCAAGAAAGCTATTTTACTCATGCTTTTGGGCGGTATCGAGAAAAATCTAGATAATGGAACCCATCTTCGTGGTGACATTAACATTTTGATGGTTGGAGACCCATCCACCGCTAAATCTCAAATGCTTCGCTTTGTTCTTAACACAGCTCCATTGGCGATTGCCACAACCGGTCGAGGATCTTCCGGTGTTGGTCTTACTGCAGCAGTGACAACAGATAAAGAGACGGGTGAACGTCGGTTAGAAGCCGGTGCAATGGTACTTGGTGACCGTGGTGTTGTGTGTATCGACGAGTTTGACAAGATGAGTGACGTCGACCGTGTAGCCATTCATGAAGTCATGGAGCAGCAGACCGTTACTATTGCTAAAGCAGGTATCCACACCTCTTTGAATGCACGGTGCAGTGTCATTGCAGCAGCAAATCCTGTCTATGGACAGTACGACCCTCACAAAGATCCACACAAAAACATCGCTCTTCCAGACTCGCTGTTATCTCGTTTCGATCTATTATTCATTGTCACAGACGATCCCGAAGATAAGAGTGATAGGTTGGTATCAGAGCACGTGTTGCGTCGACACCGCTATCGTCAACCGGGTGCTGAAGAAGGAGTACCTGTCCGTGAACAAGCCACTCAGACCCTGGGAGTAGGACTCGAAGAAACACAAGATGTGAACCGACCCACAGAACCTCTGGAAAAGTACAACGTGATGTTGCACGCCGGGATGAACGCGACTAATAAGGATGGTAATGTAGAAGTGTTCAGCTTGGCATTCATCAAGAAGTACATCCAGTATGCCAAATCCAGGATCAAGCCTATCTTGACGAAAGGAGCTGCGGATCATATAGTCGCCACTTATTCAGCACTTCGAAATGACGACCTTTCCGGCAACCAGAGAAAGACATCTCCAATGACAGCTCGAACGCTCGAGACGCTTATCCGTCTGTCCACTGCACACGCCAAGGCACGGCTATCTAGCCGTGTAGAAGAAAAGGATGCTAAAGAAGCAGAAGCCATCTTGCGTTTTGCTTTGTTCAAGGAGATTGTAGAAGATGGCCGAAGGAAGAGGCGTAAGCCAACGACATTTGATTCCGATGACGATGACATGAGTGACTCCGGTTCCGAGGATGATAGCGACGAAACATCTCCCACACGAACTGGAGCAACTCCTCGACCTGGCGCACGAGCTGGCCTCCGATCTACAGACCCTGCCAACAGATCCTCAGAAGCTCGGCAGCCGTCCCAAGACAGTGACGGGCTTTACGATGCCAGCCCCCGAGGCCAACGATTGCAATCGAACCGAGGCACGCAGAATCGAACTCAGACCGATTCGCAGATGTCCGTGGCATCCTCCCTACCAGCTTCGCAACTGCTTGTATCGCAGACAGAGGATTCGCAAAGCCAATCGCAAGCTAGAGCCAGCTCCATTGCCCCTCTCCAGCCGGACCGGTTGAATACCTTCCGTCAAATACTGGGCCCTCTGATGTCTCGCGTCTTCGTCAACGACGATAGCGCCGATGTGGAAGCACTTATTGGTGCAGTCAACACGGCTATTCGTGCGAGCCAATCATTGGGTGAGCGACACGTCTTCCAGAGACAGGAGGCTATCCAGGCTTTGAAGGCAATGAATGAGCGAAATGAATTAATGTAAGTTGTGGCCCCCTGACTATAATACTCAGCATGCTAACAGAGTCTATCTGTAGGTTTCTTGAGGACGACGAAACTGTTTACAGAATTTAAAATGGCTTTTTTTTTTCTTCCGAACAAAGGGTTGGGAATGGACTGGGAATTTATGTATGGATCTGGGTGTTTGGTGTTTATTAATCCAAGGATGTCTAGTTACGTTAGAAATGTTTATTTCCGGCATTACTGTAATAAATGCATTTAATCCATTCAATCTTTTGTGTATTCAGCATTTAAACAAATCGAATGTGGAAACAAGCTCATTTGATCCATAGATAAGACATTGATTTTCTTTCAATGTTTACGTCGTCATTTAATATCATCTATTGATACAGATGTGCCATTAAATTACTCGAATATATATTATGTCTAGAGACATTTCAGATTATATCAGTGCAAAGAGGGATCCAGTATGAACTCCCCGTCACTCGACATTAAACTGGCACAGTGGTCTGTCCATTCAGAAAGACCGCAATACTTTGCGCAGCCAATGTATAAAATGCGAAACCGCATCATCATCGTCATCATCATGTAGCGATGTTTCACCAAACACCTCTCCGAAATACTCTTCAAAAAGCCCCATACAAGTTGTCTCTGGCAGCGGAATCGATGCATCCACTTGAAATGATCTCGAATCAGCATCAAGCATAGCCCGCAGATGACTGGAGCCGTATGGGAGAAGACGCGAGAGTATGTCACCGTCAACATGCATCTGTGATGGTGTCTTGAACTGCGGAATGATATCACGCCATGTCCACCGGCTCTTTCGCGAAGATAGGAATGGGGAGACGATTGGGTCTCTGGAGCAGAGGTTCTGGACGAAACGAAGCAAGCGCCATTCGTTCTCGTTGATGGTCATGATGCGGTAGATTGTTCCGTCCATTGCGGTGCCATAGACAGCTGTTGAGGAAGGAAGGATAGAAGGTTTGGTGTATGGATTAAGTCTGATGATTGATACTGGGAGATTGGCTTCGGCGATTGCAGGGGAGAGTAGTTTGTTGGTGTTTGTGATCTTGGTTTCGGAGAATAGGCTTAATGTGCCCCCTCTCCGGCTTGAAAGAATGAGTTTCGATGGCCCGCCAATGCGGTAATGGGATAGGCCCTCGTGCCTTGCTCCGTCCTGCGCGTGAAGTTCTAATTTGTTGTTCACGACTTGGAGGACGACGAGGGATTCTCGGGCGGTGCTCACATAGAGGAATGTCTTGCGCACTGTGATAGAGATTCCCGGTGAAGTTAGTTTGAATCGTGCGGACGTGGCCCATTGTTTTTCTTTATCGGGCAGGTCTGGCTCGATTGGGATAATGTCATTTCCAGAGGCTACCATTAGAGTGAAGTCGCCGTATGCGGCAACAGCACGTACGGGGCCGTCGAATGGATGGATGTGCTTCACTGAACATTCCACTTGAGTAGGATTGGTTTTGCTGCGTTTTGCAATCAAGAAGATAATTCGTCCTTTATCCTCTTTGGTATTCCTTGCGGTGCCAATCACAATGAAATGATATTTTCTCCCATTATTCTCGGGCATCCAGTCTAGGATGCATGTGATTTTCTCTCCAGATGAACCCGAGGGTCTCCAAAGGTTTGGGTCCCCATCTTGTTGTGAACTTTGTGAGGATAGTAAATTCGAGTTGTGTGAATCTAGGTAGATAAATTCCAAGTAGGGACGCGTGTATCTTTTGACGGGTCCTGTTTCAGATTCGACTGTTTCTGTTATGTTGTAGGCTACCACAAGGCTCTGTAAATGCTCGGAATATGTTATCCTATTGGCAGAACCCGGCAGGTCGATTTTGCGGGGAATGGCTTTGGCAAATCGGTCTAGGGCGCAGATTAAAAGTTGTCCATCGCTAATGCAGACTAACGATCCATCTAGGGTAGTCGAGCTTGACTCGGTTGGCCTATCAATAACGGTGAAGACGTCGACGCTCTTCTGAGCGTATGCAGGCTACATTTGCCTGGTAAGCCAGGATAATTAATAAAGAGACTCATACACTCACATTATTTTGATCGGTTATCCAAATTTGCTGAAGGTCGAAATCCAAAGTATCAGCATTGATGTTAGATATGCACCAAAAACCGCTCCCACAAGTGGCTACAACGGTTTTGTCTTTCCTACTTAACTTGACCACCGTTTGGCCTAGTCTGTGTTCAGGGTACTGCTTCGAGTCTATAATCTGCGTCAGAAACGATTCTCAACGTTTTGGTTTGGACCATACCAAATGAAGTCTCTAAGCTTTCTGTGTCCAATGTAATTCCAACGGGAACAAGTAAGCCACTTCGGAGTCCACAGAGTAGAAATGTATTATCCGCATCCTGCCAAGTAACAATACTCATACTCTCTATGACTTTCAAAAGGTCGTCTCCAGTCAAACTCAAGGTAAAGCCCCCAAGAAAAAGGACTTCGCGTTGATGCAGTTCGTAGCAATCAATACGGCCCTCACCTGACCCTAAGAAGAGGAAAATTTCATCATTTACAATTTCGATCAAGATAGATGTGGGTTCATCCTTGATACCAAGTTCACCAACGTTGTCGATCACGAGAGTGCCTTCCTTCAAAGATATTTTGCCAATCTGCATTTTGATTCCCTGATCGGACTTTACGGCCATAGCTAATAGTGCTAGTCTGCCATTGACGACGGAATTGAGAATAGTCTGATCGGCTCCAACAATTTCCACCAGATTAAACGTCGTGTTACCAGGCACTGTAAGACGCACAGAATTGCTGGTTATTTGTACTAAGATGCCATCCGGTGTATAGCCTGCCGCAATGGTCTGTGCAGCGTAGTCTAGTGCCGAGTTCAAGTCGTCAACGGCGTTAATTTCGCCGCCATCTTTACGAGGAATATATAGAAGCGTTGAAGTAATAGGGTCGGAAACAAGTAAGTATGTTCCTTCATCAGAGATATCAGGCATGCACCATATATATCGCGTGCTAGAGAGATCATCGAGAGGAATGATCCATCCAATTTGAGCCTCATAGCCGTACCTAAATTCATATACGGCACCCTCATTGGATGATGCCGAGCAGACATAAAGATGATCACTGTCACTCGTATGTCCTACCGGGCCTAATCCCTTGCGTAATTTATTCGATGTTGAAGGCACCAAGGCAGAATCTAGTATTGGGGCCCAGTTCACGAACCTTTGAACGCAGGCCGAGTCTTGTCTCGCTGTTTGAATAAATAGCCCCCCATGGCCTGTATGACCGGCGGCTAGGAGGAGATCCCCTCCGTGATTGGGGTCGCTGAAGTCAATTGTATCGAATGCACCATCTACATCACACCCAAGCCAGCCACAAGAATTGAGGGCCTCGATTTCGCCTCCAGCAGTAAAGCTAAAATACCAAAGAAGCCCATCCTCCCGGCAAAGGTATATATCATCATGGGATTTGCTGTATGTTTGGTGACGGTATGGACGAGCCCATTTTGTCCATAACATGGGTAATTTTGTTGATACTGCATTGATTAGATGCCGTGAACTTGTATTCTTGGGACTAGTAAAATGTGTGTATTTCATGAAGAATGTCGTCGCAACAACAATAAAGGACGTCGATTTTGTCAATGGGATGAGTAGACTCGGCAGTCTGCAACTCTCTGGAAGCTTTTTCATTACAATCCTCGGTCGAGCCTGTCGAAGCGTGTTTGCTGACTTCCATTCATAGCACATGGCCAACGTATGGATACCTTTAGCAATGATAAAAAGAAGGATGATTTTGTTATCATTTTCACTCTCTGGGTACAGAAAATCCATGAAAATGATGTCACCATCAATGCGGAAGAACCTTTCCTGTTTAAACTATTAATTAGTTCTTTGATGTCAAAGATAGTGATGAAGATAGCGTGCCTCCCTGATAGGATCTAAGGTTTTGTTTTTCATTTGAGATTGAAGTTCCGCAGGTGATTTGAGTAAGAACACCCCGAAAAAGTTCCCTGGAGCAGCAATAGCAATAGCACGAGATCTAGGGAGACAATGATAAGCCAATGCCAGTATTAAAATCGACTCGTCCTACCTGGGATCAACTGCCAAATGACGACCAAATCTCTCTGTGATACTCACATCACATGGGAGTGCTCTTCGGAATTGAACAAAATGTCCGGTTTGACGCTCAAAGTTCCAGTGATAATATAAGAAGATTAATTCTTTAGAATCTAGGGTGAGAACTAGAAGATCGGTGGGAAACTCTTCTGCTGGTTGGATTTCTTCTAAAGAACCAATTTGAGCAACTAATTCCGTTTCGACATTCAAAGGCGTATCATGAAAGACCTTGAGGGCTTTTACAGCCATGATGTTTGCGTCAAAATCCGATTTTACCGAGACATCTTCCAAGTAGCTATCCATAACGATCTCTCGTAAAAGCAATGATCTCTCCCCGACAAAGACGACGTCATTCTGCAGCTTGCTTCGTAGTCGCGCAGGCAGAACAAATTGTATTGTCGGACTTGGTGTTATCGTTTGTGTCAGCAACCCAACCTTAGGCTTGTTGGACTCTGATGGTTCAACAGGCTTCTGATACCTTGCAACACCACGTCGCATAGCTTCTGATATTCCTGGATACTGCAAGGGCAGGAAGCCGTCTTCCGTATGAAATATCTGCAGAGACATGTTGTAACAGAATAGTGATACCGAGAAAAAAGTTCGTTGTAGCTGATGAGAGCCACATCAGGCTTGATGATGCGCGATTTTCAACAGCTTGCCAATAACCTAAGGTAGAAGTATCACCTATTTTTGCGAAAAGGTGTAGATTTTTGACTGGATCGAATGGCGGCTACTTTCATGGCATGTCCCATACAGGGTGGATGATCATAAGGGTCTCTTCCACTGACGCCTTGTTTTGAAGCCCAAGCCACCTTTTTCATGTCAAGCATAAGACATGTCAGTATGCATGGCGAAACAGAGCTTTGAGTGCAGGCTTAGGTGAGGGTTAGCTGCTCGAGAGCCTAGACCAGCCCGGCGTCGGTAAGAGTGTGAAGCATTATCAAACCAATAGCTAGAAAACGGATAGCGTCAAGGCGGCTTACGCCAAACAGTTAAGACCAGTAATCTCTTGGTGAAGGAGTATCCAGCTTTTAAGATGGGAGATGATGGAGACGGGCCCTGGAGTTTGATCGCATTGAAGGTTAGTTGCCAGTCGGGTTCATTGTGCACTTTCCGTATGAGCGAAGGGCCACCAATCAGATGCTAGCGGCAGCGGCCACAGCTTCAGGCAGACGGCCGTCATTAGTGCTCTCTGTCTCTTTCTCTTTCTCTTCTTTCCATCATACTCTTAGTATACTGTTCCTTCTTACAGCATTGTTAGATGTATATCGTCGCTACTGTAATCTGACTCATATGCACTCTCACCCTGATTGGCGGCTAGGCTGCTAAAGCGATGGCCTGAGTGCGTGCAATCTGTCAAATCTTCTATCAATTTGAAGTGTAACTCTCAACAGAGAGTTTTCTATATCCATTAATTTTTTTTATCTCCCTTATCGTCAATATAGCTACCACTGAGGATGGATGAGAAGGTGAACGATGCGCCAGCAGGCAGAAACACAGAACAGTCCACTGGGACGGACGAGAATAAACAACCAAGCATATTCGACGAGAAGCGAAACGGCATTGAAAGCGCGTGTCGTCAACGCGACATCAGAGCTTTAACGGCCTACGCTACATCGCCTGGTGGTCTATTAGATGACACGTTTCGCAAAGTCGCATGTACGCTTTTAACTTTCTGGACGGCCATATTCCAACACTGACATTTGCAGGGCCCATTCTATTGGGTGATAATCACCAAGCAGAGGATCTTGCAGCACAACCACTAAATTGGGTTGATCTCCCGAAGCACGGAGACGAAGATCAGGTCAAGCTGGATGTTGACCGGTCTTTTGTATATTATCCACATTGTTTGTATTTCTAAGCTGGACTCTCAGCCTTTTTTGACTGTGATCCTAGGCGACTCAGAAGAACTTGTGAAAAGAAAGCGAGAATTGTCGGATCTCATCACGGCGACTCTACGGCGGTATCCCATGCTCTGCTATTTTCAAGGATATCATGACATTGCTCAGGTGTTGCTATTAGTTCTTGGCCCTCAGCGTGCTGGTGATGCATTTGCCCGGGTCTCTCTTCTTCGAATAAGAGACTACATGCTCTCCTCTCTTACCCCAGCTTTCAAACACCTTAACCTTATTCCCGCTATTTTGGAAAGTGCCGACACAAAAGTTCGGAGACACTTGTCTGGGACGCAGCCTTTCTTCGCCTTGGCAGCTGCGCTAACGTTGTACGCTCATGATATAGAAGAGTACGACGATATTGTACGATTGTATGATTTTCTACTCGCTCATGAACCTGTTGTTGCGATCTATTTGTTTGCCGCCATTATTCTTAGCCGAAAAAAGGAACTCTTGGAGATATCTATCGATGAGCCAGATATGCTACACTTTACATTGTCCAAGCTTCCCAGCCCATTCGACTTGGAAGGCTTGATTACATCTACCTTGCAACTTTATGAAAAACATCCTCCAGAATCCCTGCCACTACGCTCTTGGCGAAATATTCCCCAATACAGCGTTCTGAAAACCTCCAGAGATGTTGGAAAAGCTAGCAGCCTTGATCATGCTCAAGAGCTATTTGAGTTACAAACAAGACAGCTCCAGCGAGAAGAGTTCCGAAAGAAGGCGTATGCAGCTCTCTGGCGTTATCGAAAGCCGGCAGCCTCTGTGGGATTGGCTCTAGTGATCGGATTAGTATCTATTTATATGCGCAGGACTGGGCTGGACTCTCCTGTTTGGGCTCTTATTGGGAAACTCAAGAATTCTTTCTATAGAAGCTGGCTATTTACGATGTATAGATAGAGCGTGTTGATTTTACTACTAAGATAGATCGTGTAATGTACTATCCGAATGGAAAAATTCAATTATCATGCCACTACTACTGTAACACATGGAACAAGACAGAAGCAAAATTAATTAATTCTATACTTTGCATGATGATCGACAGCCACCGAATTTCATTGGCTGCGCGGGCGGTGGAGACACCAGGTGTACACTTCGGAGCTGTTGCGTGTTCCGCTCACAACACCTCATAACTCTCGCTTTTGTTCCCTCGTCACAACAAAGCGCGGCTGTTGTATCCGGGGCCTCCTTGAACTTCCTTCTGCCTCTGTGTGTCCATTCGATCTTCAAAATGGCCAATCGAGGAGGTTACGACGTGGTCGTAGATGTTGATGCCGAGGTAAGCGTTACTTTCACTCTTAACGGCGAAACGCAGTATTCCATCTGCCTAATCTGAGATTATTGTGACGACCCTTCTAAATACCTTCTTTTTACCATTATCAGGGCGATCTAGGCCACACGGATCTCCAAGAAGATCTCGAATTCCACCCATCAAGTACGTAACACAACTACCTACCCCAGGCATCCACGTTCTAACCATCACAGATTTTGAAAACGACGCTCGCAACGCCAAAATCCACCCCGACTCACAGCCATTCCTCGGCGGTAATGGTGGTAACGTCCACGGCAGCTCATCGCGCGGTGGCGCCGGCGGCGGCAAACATCGACTCTGGACAATCCAATATTACAGCCAATACTTCGATGTCGACACAAACGAGGTTTTCCGACGCTGCGTGGCAGCCGTGTACCCTCGCTCCAACTTCCTCGACATTCTAGACGGGAACCCGGATCTTTATGGTCCGTTTTGGATCGCCACGACGGTGGTCATCATCCTCTTTTTGACGGGCACGATCTCGCAGTATCTGTCGCGGGAGGATGACAAGCATTTTGGGTATGACTTTAGATTGCTCTCTGGTGCAGCAGGGCTGGTTTATGGATATACCGGCGTGATCCCTATTGCCTTGTGGGCTGCACTGCGATGGTTCGGTAGTTCGTCGGCGGATCTGATTGAGTGCTGGGCTCTGTATGGCTATGCGAATCTTGTCTGGATTGCCGTTGCGTTGGTGAGCTGGAGCCCGCTGACGGCGCTCAACTGGGCACTTGTGGGCGTGGGGTTTGCCTGGACGGTGTTCTTCCTCTTGCGCAATTTGTACCCCGTGTTGAGTGCGACCGACGCAAAGACGAGCAAGGTCTTGCTCATTGTCGTTGTTGTGCTCCATGCCGGGTTGGCGATTGCTATCAAGATTCTGTTCTTTGCGTGAGTATCCTATAAGCACCGAATGGCCGTGATTGTGAACGAACTAACGAGTGTTATATGCTATAGTCACGGTAGCCCTGCTTCGAAGAACCATGATGATGATAAGCACGACGACGATAAGCATGATGATGACAAACAGAGTGACGAGAAGGAAGATGGTAAGAGACGCATGTTTTTCTAACTGAGCACCAAGTAGCGCGAGGGATGTATTTTTGCTACCAGAGCATCCTTGACATGTGGTTATTCCCTCATGAACAAACACATCTTTGAACAGCTGTATCACTGACATTTGTTTACGATGTATAAATATTCCTTTCCATTTTTAGGACACTTTAAAAAAGAATCAAAGCTTTGAAGATTGGTTTACATGGAACATAAATAGAATTTAATTTGTAGTAATCTAACTCGGCTGAGAGAGAAAACAAGGAAAAAGGGAACCAAGAATTCCGCGTCTTATATTCCCGATTTCCACTGGTTTAAGCGGGACAATGGTCTCCAATCATTCATATCAGTGATGAGCCTCTCCCCACACTACTCGTAAGTGAGACTGAATGCTCGCAACCATAATTGGCGGTTTGTTTAAATATGTTATATTTTTTGGACCGCATGATACCACAATACAACCCCAGGACATGCAAAAAAAAACTCCGCAAACGACACGACACCGAGAAAAATTGTCGATGGGGCGATCCGTCTATTTGAGCTTCTTCTTGGGGCGCAGCTGGTTGGTGTGACCGCACTTCCTCTTACGGCAGTTGGTGGCACGAGGAGGGAGACGGGCCTAGTTTTGTCTCAGTAACAGGTACTTCTGTTTATACAGTTTTGGGGGATGAATTGACGTACGTAGCACTTGCGGCAGATGGACTTTTCGCAGTTGTACTTGGAGGCAAGCGCCTTCAACGAGGGCTCGATGATACCACCACGCAGACGGAGGACGAGGTGCAGGGTGGACTCCTGTAAAAATATCGTATTAGTCCGGATTCTTCGTTTCGAGCCGGTTTTTATCAAGCATAACAGTCGTAATTTCATTCCCAATATATAACACACCAACAAAACACCATCGAATAAGGAGTAGAATAAAATCGTACCTTCTGAATGTTGTAGTCGCTGAGAGTACGGCCATCCTCGAGCTGCTTGCCGGCGAAGATCAGACGCTGCTGGTCAGGAGGGATGCCCTCCTTGTCCTGGATCTTGGACTTGACATTGTCGATGGTATCGGAGGACTCGACCTCGAGGGTGATGGTCTTACCCGTGAGGGTCTTGACGAAACTGTACATAACAGTCAGTTTACCATTCATTCTATTTCATTTTCTTCACGTTTATCCATATCCATATCGATATCCATCTGTGCGATTATATTTGACGGAGATCTTCGATCGTGCTGAAGGTGTAAAAGGCAAAGGTAAAGGGTTAGGTTGAACCTACATCTGCACTGTAAATCACGGAAAACCGTCGTTAGTCTGGCTGTAAAATCACATCAACAATCCGAGCGAATGGAATGTACATACTGGTTGCGATATTCGTCGATGTCGTCTGTTCCTGTGGTCGATCGAGCAAGACTGACACTGACGATGACGGCGCCGCACGGAAGACTTGAAGGCTAAGCGAGATGTGGGCCGATGACGGATTGGGAAATAGGGCTCTCTACCCTACTTGTTTTCCCAATCGGGTCTAGCGTATATATCAATACTCAATGCAATCAATACATAATAGTCACGAATCAAATCGAGATATTTTTCATGGATGAGAATATATGTCTAGTTACAGTGTTGCTATTCAGAATCTGACCCCGATTCATCTGTTTTTTGGTCTTGAAAGTCTACATTGTCAAACCACGTTTCGCCATGATATTCCGCTCGTCTCATATTTGCCTGCCATTTTTCAAGCTTAAGTTCGGTGCTTCGGACCGCTTTTATGAGCGTTTTCACGGTCAGACCGGATAGATTTGCGGCTGTTTCATGAAACTTTCGAGCTACTTTTGGCATGTCTGATTCTGTCTTGTAGACTCTGTATGAGAAGCCTGGACGGGGGGTGGTATCCTCGTTTTGAATGTCAGGATCTCTCTGTTGAGATTCTTCGTCGTTGGCTTGTAGAGTCTCGAATGGAATGATTTCCGCTGGACGAAGGCTGCTAGTAACAGCCCGTACTTTTTCATCGATCGCCTCCTGATCTATATCCCGCCTTTTTTCATCGTGAGCGGATTCAGGGCGAGAGATCGGAAACATTTCTGCAAGTGGATTCGTGGCTTCAGGAATATAATGTCAGCAAGCAATCATTCCAACAATATGAACAAGGCCTACGTCTATTCTTATCGATCCAGGTATCCTCGTACCAATCCAGATAGTCATCTAACTGCTGGTCTGTGAAGTGAAACACGTGACCATCATTAACCGTAACTTCCTGCCCCTTTGCAAGTCGTTCCTTTGGTTGGCTCTTTTTCTCAAAATGTCTTTGTGCCGAGCTCCATACGTCCCAGTCGAGGATCTGGGCTGTCGGCTCTGCAGCGGAACTGGGATAGCCCTTTGTCTTGCTGAAGGGGAAGAGAAGCTTAGTTGAAACGACAATTAATGCCAGAATTTGCGCCTCGGGGTAGCTCAGTGCTTGGGTAGAGTACTTTTTGTCTAGGGGGAATTGGAAGGTGTAATTGAGGAGCTTTTGCAGTCTTCGCACGTATGAATATACTTCCACTGTATTGAGTTTGTCAATGTGATATCATAGCGTAAATAGAAGAGAGCCTGTGCTTACATGGTAGTGCCAACTGCCGCACGAATTGGAAGAGCATCAGTGGCACGTTTAGCGGAGGAAAGGTAATACTGCATTCGCGAGAATACATGACCACCAAACGAGAGACCGTCTTATGGAGGTGATCGCTTCTTGGAAGAGTCTAGATATTGTTGGTTGAAATGAAAGATTGCAATGGGAATCTCTGATTTACCTCGACAGTCAATTCTCTGATGTATATCTGTGAAAGCCTATCTCTGATTTCGAGAGGAACAGTTCTGATGGCTTGGATGAACGGTATCTCATTTCTCATTGCAAATCTATAGAATTATTAGCTTACAAAACAGTGACTGGAATATAGTAACGTATTAGAGTAACGTGAAATGCTTTAGATTTTCCATACCGGTAAATATCGCCAATGCTAACAGGTAGCCGCAGTAACGAAGCCGCCAAGTAGCAAAGTCCCAAGGTTTCTTCCAACAACGGGTTGTCGCTCAATTTATGCGACGCTGACCCATTCTCCTTCGGTGTTTCAGCACCAGGCAGCTGAGAGCTGAAGACCTCCGAGCTAGCATCTTTGTCGGCATCAAGCGACTCGTCGAACTTGGCTGTCAGAGATTGCAGTCGCAATGCCCAAAGATCTCTCACGACTCTCTTCGAGACAGTTAGTCTATGAATGTTGTCGTGGAATTCTAGGGTCATTTACCTCTAGATCAGTAGGAAACCCTTTCTCGTGTATCAAGGCATGGCATTGCGTCCACAGGATAAGCTGGTAAGCCTGTACAAAGAGACGATAGCCGCGGCGACCAGTGAATGCTGAACTTCGTGTGAGCTCTTCTTATTATTAAAATTACAGGAATCGCGAAGATTCACGTACTCTTTTGAATTCTTTCTTCTGATATTTTTTTTACACGGTGAATCGTTCCCCGTTTTCCAAAATCGTCAGGATCTGCTTCGACTTGCCGACCCTAGGAGGCTATGAGTATAATTCCAAGAGCAGTATCTGTGCTAAGAAGTTGTGTGGTGGAAGGAAATGAGAATGAGAATGGCAATACCTCTTGTTGGTGACCCCGTCTGCAAAACCAGACTCCGTCTTCAAGATAATACCGCGTCTCCCGACAACCGTCCTGCCCGCAAGGACCGCGCTTGACATACTCCATTGTGAGGAGGGTCTGTCATACTGTTAAGCGTGATCGAAATGTGGAATTAACATGTTGTTTATTCGATGGTGTTGATGTAGTTGAATATATGAAATCTTTCTAGCAATCATTTCCTGGGACGGGAGAATGCCGGAACCCGCTTTCCCCAAACGGTGGCAACGACAAATCAGGCGGCACTCTTTACACATCTACAGAATCTATAAAATTTCCAAAATCTCCAGAAACGTACATACACTATAAGGTATTTACGGTGATAGTAATGACGACTAAGTAAAGGAATTGGTTGATGCGACCATCATGAAATGCTTAAAGTTTCGCACTGTCGGCGCAGACCATAGTCCGCCCGCGAGTATCTTGACATTATGAGGAAAGAAACAAATGAGCAAAACGCCCATGCCAATCATCACAGCGAGTTTCATACCACTGGCGAGACATGGCTGCTCCCAAAAATTCGTGAGGGCATGAATTTTGATTTTTTGGACATGAAGTATTAAAGGAGATGTAGGGGCTCGGGTGATAGTAATCTAGTTGCTCTTGAGATCGATAGCAGCCTCTTCACCCATAGCAGACAGGACAGTGACGTTGACATCCTTGCCCTCGCCGAAGGCCTTCGTGATTCTCTCACCAAGTTCACCGTCAGGGACCTTGACATCATCCTTGGTAGATCCAGAGTCTTCCATAAGGGACATGAAGCCGTCGTCCTCACTAATGTCAATCTGCCAGAGTCATCAGCGGGTGTCTGTTGTGCAATGGTTGTTGTGTTGAAGCACTTACGAGCTGGTAATCCTTGCGGACGACGACGGGGACGTCCATGTTGTGGGTAGACGGGGACAAGTCTTCGTACTTCTTGCCAGTGAAGATGTCGAGGGCAACCAAGTGAACCTTGGCGTGACCGTGCTTTCCAGTCTTGGAAGTGGACATGTCGACGATCTTGCAAGGACGGCCCTTGATCACAACGTGGCCGTTCTTGCGTAGGGCAGAGCACTGCATGGGGAAGGTAGCCGAGGCACCGGCATCGGCGCTGTCGAAGGTGTGCTCATGCTTGGGGGAGTGTTAGCGAGCGTATGAGATAGAGGCATGGACATAAACATGGGAGTAGTCCTAGTAATAGCGGTAGATACACGTATGTACACAGAAGAGGGGGCAGCGGGGTCGGTGCAGGACGGGGCGGGGCAGCATTGTACATACCTGGGCGTCGTTGTTGTCGGCCATGGTTGCGATGGATATAGAGCTGGGAGTATAGAAAAGAGGCGGAGAGACAGGGGATAGAGAGGGCGCGTGAGGAGGGAGGATGAACGAGAAAAAATGGATAGGACGGGGTGGGACGCGGAAGAAATTGGGCAACCGAGAGCAAAATCGTTTTGCATTTTGCATTGGTTGCTGCAGAGCATCTTTTCCCGCGCTAGGCTGGATTGGGCCGTGGCGGGGTGTGCCCTATCATGGACCTAGCATTGCCAGACTATTGTAGAAACTATGTAGGAATATGTATAATAGTAAGCTGTAGTATTGAATATGGAGAATATGTTATTATGGCTACTGAGTTCTAGTAATAATGCGTAGCAATGTATATTGTGCACATGGTAGACTGTATCCCATCGAGTCCACTGTACCACCCCAATAATAGTGATTAGCTGTCCCTATCGGAGCACATTTCATAGTAGACACTAACAAGACATAATGTTGATTGCATGTACATATATAAATGTAGTATGTACGATGTCTCATTCCTGTAGCTACTGCTAACTACTGAGCCGTTAAGGCTCCAATTAGGAATAGCTATTCCATATTAGGAATGGCGTAGCTGCCCCGGATTTCAGGTGAGGAAGGTGTGCGACTACCTCCAGTGTCATATAGCCCTATGCCATCCTGACTCTACAACTCCATGAAGAATTGAGAATTGGCAGCTCTCGCGATGTGGCTCGATCGCCTCTCTGCCCACTCGACTCCCTCAGGAACGCCGCCTCCCATCAACCGCCACGCCTCTCCATCTCAACGATCGCCCCGTCCGCGAGCCGCTCAAGCCTTCCGACCAGGCTTACACCCACGCTCGTCTTCAACCTCTCTCCTCCTCACGCCAAACGACTCGACTACCTCTTTGCCGAATACCTCCAAAAACCCTCCAAATGTGCCTGCAAGATCGCTGCTCTCACGCACACCTCCAGCGGAAACTGCAAGTCCGGTAGATGTGCTCAATGGTATCATTGGGAAGAAAGCATCAGATAGACAGGGTGATATTCTAGAAAAACCCCCGCAGTTGGTGGAGGCCATTGATTTTGGGAACCTTAGTTTGGAGGAATTTGTAAATCGAGGGAAGGCCTCCGGAGGGATTCTCAGCAGCGAGGCTGGCGTTGCAACGATACAGCAATGTTCGTTCTGCATACTCGATTGAAAGGATTATAAGCTAATCAAAAATTAGTCGAGGGTGACCGCGATAAATTCCAGGAGCTTCATAATGCCATCGTGGTTTGTTCATCCTGCACTGTCTCAACGAGCTAGCATGCTGATAGACAATAGGACTGCGATGATGTGCTCAAATCGGTCGAATCTTATCTTTCGGATTTCCAAACCGAGCTCGGTGCCGTTTCTGCCGAGATCGAAACACTGCAGACACGATCGATACAATTGAATGCTAAACTAGAAAATCGACGGAACGTGGAGCGACTACTCGGGCCCGCCGTGGAAGAAATCAGTATATCGCCGAAAACAGTTCGACTGATAGCTGAAGGGCCTATTGATGATAACTGGGTGAAAGCTCTGAACGAGGTTGAGTCTCGCAGTGCAAGTATCGAGAAATCGGCTAGCTCGTCTGTGAAAGCTGTGGAAGATGTCAAACCTCTGCTTGTCGATCTCAAGAATAAGGTAAGCTCCGTTTTTTTTTTGCACCGAGCTTGGCTTATGTTGCAACAGGCTACAGTACGAATTCGCGACTATCTAGTCGCTCAAATCAAAGCTATTCGCTCGCCGAACATGAATGCCCAGGTCATCCAGCAACAACACCTAATCAAATACAAAGATCTATACACATTCTTATCCCGGACCCATCCCACTCTCTCAGAGGAGATCGCCCAAGCGTATGTGAATACAATGAAATGGTACTACTTATCAAACTTTACGCGCTACAACCAAGCTTTGGAAAAGCTGAAAATCCAGACATCCGACCAGAACAATGTCTTGGGTGGAGACCCAGCAGCGCAGAGAGCCAGCGGTACTAATGCAAATGGTAGAGCTGTCGCGCATGATCCATTCTCTCTTGGAAGACGGGCGGATGCCCTTAGAACTACTAGTCATATGGCAATCAGCTCATATGTTGCAGAAGAAGATAAAGCCACCCATGGATTTGAAGTTGTCTTCCGAAACTTCAACCTTGCATTAGTTGACAACGTCTCCGCGGAGTACTCTTTTCTCACGGAGATGTTTGCTGTCAAATCTTTTCATCATATTTCCCGGAAAGCCTTGGAGATATTCGAGCCATTATTCACACTAGGTCAAACTTTGACGAAACAGCTCATCGACAACACAACCGACTGTCTAGGCGTGTTACTCTGTGTCCGGTTGAACCAGCAATCAGCCTTCGAACTACAACGACGCAAAGTCCCAGTGGCCGAGTCGTACATCAACGGCATCAACATGCAACTATGGCCTCGATTCCAGAAAATCATGGACCTTCACTGCGAATCGCTGAAGCGACTTTCCTCCGGTGCTGTGAGAAGCTCTGTGTCGCTGTCATTGACAATGGACGATGCAAACAAGTCATCTGCCCCTCACTTCCTCGCACAACGATTCGGCCAGCTTATACACGGCATTGTATCACTAAGCAACGAGGCCGGTGACGACGAACCTGTCTCGAACAGCCTCAGTCGGCTGACCGCAGAATTCGACACTCTGCTGGCCAAGTTGGGCAGGGGATCTGGCGATGCCAAACGCCGGGAACGATTCTTGTACAACAACTACTCTTTGATATTAACCATCATCAGCGTACGTAAGATCTATCCGGATTGAAAACTTATGTACTAAGTCTCGCAGGATACCGATGGCAAACTGGCAAGTGAACAGAAAGAGGTACGGTGAATCTCTTACTTTAATTATCTTCACTAACAGTATACAGCATTTCAATCAAATGCTGAAGAACGCATCGAAGCGATAAACAATCATCTTGACATTTAGCACTGTACTGTACATGACTGGATATATGTGCAAGATACCACTAGAGTTGATCTTAGCGATGTTATTATTTTTGCGCATATTGATAGAGAGACAAACCAGTAGAGTATTCTCAATCCCATTTATTGTGCCTATCCTTATCTCCGCTGTCTGCATAATCGGCCCGATCTAAAATGCGGAGAACCTTCTCCTCTCCACCGGTGACAACGGATTATTTTCCGTCAAACAACACCGCCAAACCCTCTTTTCTTTGTCTCAATTACTTTCCACATTCATTACACATCATCATACAAGTTCTCATAGCTCCAACCCCGCGAACCCCGCGGAAACCGCCGAAGCCTGGAGCCGGTCATGGCCAGTCTGCTTCCCCGCAGCAGCACGCTTCTCCAACGTCGCCGGTTCTCGACATCCCGGGCGAGCAATGCGGACTTTACACATGCGGTACACCCTGCACTTTCTATCCAAATGGCTTCATACTAAGGGGTATACCACAGGTTATCGGCGCAGGCGTCGTCGGCCTCGCAATCGCCCGCCAACTCGCCGCGCGCGACGGAACATCGACGATCGTACTCGAACGGCACGGCGCAGTGGGCACAGAAACAAGCAGTCGGAATTCCGAGGTACACCACCATACCACACTTCACACCACTTTACTTCAATCCGCTAATCAATACCCCGAGAGCGAGGGGCAGTATAGGTGATCCATGCAGGCATCTACTACCCACCCACCTCCCTCAAAACGCGCCTCTGTATCCGCGGTAAAAACCTCCTCTATTCGCTCTGCGCATCAAAACAAATCCCGCATCTGCGCACGCGGAAATGGATCGTAGCGCAGGACGAAGTAGAGTGGCGTGTCTGTCTGGCACTACGCGAACACGCACAGAACATCGGAGTACCGACTCGACTCGTTGGCGCCGAGGAGGCGCGGCGCACGGAGCCTGATATCCAGGCGCGCGCCGGCATCGTCGAGTCGCCAACAACAGGCATCGTGGATGCACACGCGCTGATGAGCGTTTTGCAGGGTGAGTACGAGGAGCGAGGGGGCGATATCGCATTTCATACGGCCGTGAGGAGGATTGAGGCGGTGGATCATGGGAAGGGCGGGTATCGAATATTCACCTCATCGGCAGGGGATGATGGGAGTAGCGAGGAGAGCTCGATAACAGCAGAGACGCTGATAAACTCCGCGGGACTGGGCGCGTGCGAAATCAACAACATGATTCTGCCGCCCAACCGACACCGACGCGCGTATTATGCCAAAGGCACGTATTTCTCCTACAGCGCTTCACGGCCCAAACCGTCGACGCTAATATACCCTGCCCCGGTCCCGGGGCATGGCGGTCTCGGCACGCATTTGACGCGTGATATGGGCGGACGAGTGCGTTTCGGTCCGGATGTTGAGTGGGTTGAGTCTGCGAGTGATTATACGCCCTCACCAGCACGGTTACAGCAGGCACTGCCGGAGATCAAACGATATTTGCCGGGTATTGACACGGACTCCGTGGTGCTGGATTACTGCGGAATACGGCCAAAGTTGGCCCGGGGTGGTGGGAATGTTGCGGGCAAGGGATTTCAAGATTTTGTGATTAGAGAGGAGGATGGGTTTAAAGGGTTTGTGAATTTGTTGGGTATTGAGAGTCCGGGGTTGACGAGTTCGTTGGCGATTGGCGAGGTGGTTGAGGAGCTGCTGTACAGATAATGCTCATACATGAATCGATATGCATATATATGTAAGTAGGTGGTTGAATTGATGGTTAGATATGTAGATATTATAGGTATATTGAGGGCTGTGCGTGGCCATGGGAATAATGCGTAATATTCATTCTCCTAGCATGGTGAAACTTAGTGTACAATGCTCAAGGGTTTAATATAAAGACCATATCGCTTATTCGCCGGAGCAGGGACAGATATATCTGTTTATAGCATGCAGGGCATAGACGACTGAAAGCAATGGCAGGCAATCAGCGTAATATCCAGATGTCGAGTTTGATCGACGCCATACTGACTAAATTCAAGTGGAAATTTAGTGTTAAAAAATATCAATTGATATATATAATAGCTATATTAGAGTCTGTTTGGTTTTAGACAGTCAGATTAGGTGATAGACAAACAAGCTTACACACAAACATTTGAAGGACTTTGATTCTCATCTATAATCTAGTTTGCTTTCTGAAGCTTAGTTTTCGTAGTCATAAACACCAATATATTTTAGGATTGAACGGTCGTTCTCACTTCTCACAGCTCATCTCTCCGTCTTCCCAAATATTGTTCTCTATGAGTCAACCTTTTTCGTTGCCTTGGTTCGAAGTTTCATCATCAAAAAGACCAAACCGTAAGAGCTGATGCAAAACAGTGCTGTTATCCCGACCTAAATGAGATTTCAGTGTCAGTTGAATTCAGTCCAGCCATCGGCGCTTGGAGTTAACATACGCCTCTCCATCCGTAATAACTCCCGTTGATATTAAGAGACTCCAAATAATCTGAACCATTTGTATAAGAGCAATATGCACAGGACGTGGTATCGTTTGGATTTACGACGTAGCCTGGGTTGCTTGAGAGAAATTCGGCCATGTATTCTCCGCAGGTTAGTCCGGCCGGAATTTTAAATGAAGTCAACTCATCATTCTTGCACTGAATATGTAAATCCCAAACCACTGGCTCGAGAAGACTCTGTGTGAGGTAGGTAAAAGGGTTCAGGTAGTACAGCCAGAATCTCCAGAAGGCTTGAATCTGGGAGTATGGTACTACGACGCCGGAGAAGTTTATGAGGATGGCACCAATAACGATTGGATTGGCCAAAGCAGCAAAATATGCGTTGGGGCTACAGGCAGCAATTGCCTGGTTTTGCAAGTCAATAAGAATTAAACAGTGTCAGCCTGAGATAGAATACCATACCTGTCCAATAGATGTATAAAGACATTCATAAACTTTGGGTGAATATTAGTACATCATAGGAAGAAAGACAGAGGGCCTAGTCACTTACGCAGCATTTCGAGATAGACCAGACCAGAGACACTGCCCTTGATTGGAAACCCAACAGCAAAGTACCACCCGACGAAGACGATGGTGCCACAGATGATTAGAAGCGGGATCTCGGAGAGAAGCTGTGCAGCAACAAAGGCAAACCAATGATAAATTTTTGAATTCTTCTCTCTCATCTCAAAAATGTTGCGGTTCCGAATGTATAGCGGCTGAAGTTGGTTGATGCACCCTGGGGCGACCGTGACGAAGTTGAAAACTGCCATCAAGTGCAGCTGCATGTCGAATGTGCCATTCCCAAGCTTCCAAAATGTGAACCCGCCGAACAATGCATTTGTGACATGGAGGAGTATTTTATTCCAGACATAGTCGGGGTTTCTCCAAAGCGCCATGAACTGACGTCTGGTAACGAGAAGAACTTGATAATAAATTGGAGTGGCGAACCTAAGCTCCTTCTCCTTGTCTTCAAGAGACGGAGAATTAGTCCTTTGATCTTTTAGAAAATTGGTATTGAGTTTGTCCAGTTCCGCGATTGCCCAAGCCCTCTCATTCGATTCGAGCCACTCTTTAGACCAATCGATGTCTTCTGAAGACTGGACTAAGTTAACAATATGCTCAGCAGAGCTCACATCAGGTGAACATTCTCCGCCTCTCCGAGAAAAATACTCAATCACCTGTTTGGAGCCCTGCCCAATTGGGCCAAAATAGGCGGTTCTTCCACCCTTTGATAGCAATAGCAAAACATCGAATGTCTCGAACAAAGAATCAGATGGCTGATGAATAGTACAGACGATGGTTTGCCCAGCTTCAGCCAGCTTGCGCATAAATCGGCATACTTGAAGGGCGGACTGTGCATCGAGGCCAGAAGTCGGTTCATCAAGGAAGAGTAAAGAGGGGTTTGCAACGAGCTCAGTAGCAAGTGTGAGTCGCTTCCTTTGTTCAATAGATAGCCCAGAGTCGAGATCTACTACTATTTTAGCTATTGATCGCAAAATATGGGCGGATTATAGTCAACTCACTTCCGACGACCGCGTGCTGGTATGGGGTCAGTTCAAGCAAATCCATGATCTTGCGCACAAATTCCTCCTTTCCCGCGTCAGAAACACTATAATCCTGGCGTAATCTTGCAGAAAACATGAGGCTCTCCCAGATAGTGGCAGTTGGCTCGTGTATGTCGTTTTGCTCGCAGTAACCCGTGGTTCTTTGGAAGCTGATTCCCTGAGGTTTCCCATTCACCAGGATGCTACCCTCCACTCGTCCGGTATCCTTACGCTGGGCAAGAACATCCATCAATGTTGTCTTACCGGCTCCGGAAGTTCCCATAATTGCGACGAGCTGGCCTTGTTTAACAAAACCAGATACACCGCGAAGAAGCTGTAGTTCGCTGCGTTCATGCTTCACAAAATAATTCAGGTTCTTAAAAGTGAGAATAACCTGTCGCTGTGAGCTTGTGGTGACTTTCCAAGGATCCCGGCTAGCTTCTGCTCGCTCAATGTCTCTGAGCTTCGCTACTTCTTTGACCTGAGCTCGGTGGTCAAATAGGATTTTTTGGCTAGAGTCACGATGAACGTTTATCTCAAAGCCAATAGCAGTCATCAAGGTGAAGAATATCCAAAAAGCCACCAAAATACCAAAGTTGATCCACATCCACTTTTTCGATGCCCAGTATCGGGCACTGATGAATGCTTCCCCATCAATGACGGTCCCGTTGGTTGATCCAAGGACAGAGCAACCCCGATATTGATCTTCATCGTAAGTTGACCCAAATGGTACTAACTGTGGCTCTATGCAAGTGATCTTCCTTTCAGCCAGCTCGTTTGCCATGATGGCATTATAAGCGTACACCGCTGGGTTCATCCATGCAATCCAGCGAAACCACACAGGTATATATCCCAGTGGAATCATGTAGCCTATAAGACCGGTCAGGATAAAAGATAGAAGGCACACGAGGCAAGGGTCGACTCACCGATATAGACCAAAAACATCGTTGTGATTAGTCCATTGATCTGGAAGGCAAACCCTGCATGTCGGCACCAAGCTCCAATCATACGATACATTGATGCATATGAAAGAGTCAGGAGTATGAGAAAGAGATAACAGATGAAGAATTTGTTTGCTTGGCGTTCGAACCCGACTAGAAAATAGTAGATGATTTGAAAAAGTGAGAAGACTGCAGCAATGATAGGGACGTCGGTCAGAGCCCATGCTAAGGCGTACGCACTTGGTCGACATAACGCAAGTCGCTTTTGTCGTGAAATTATTTGCTTTCCCGAGAAGGAAGCCGTAGTCTCGGACATTCGTGTCATAGCAAAATACAAAACTGGAAAGCAAAGAGCCCCTGTCTTCGCAAAAATCGAACTGCTGTTGTTGGGTAGGTCAAAGTATAGGCTTCCAGTAATGACGGCTATGACGAGAGAGGAGCAGACCTGCAGTATATTTGATTGCCAGTTACCTCGTGTAATTTGAATCTGCCTGAGTAACTGTGAGAAAATATTGCAAACGTGGAATCAATCATCCAAAAAGTAAAAGAAAAAAGGATACCTCTTGCTGCATACCCACACTTGATGGGCAAAAGATGCGGTGTAAAGGTCCTCCTTTTGGGAAAATGACGGTGATGAATCTTCCGTTTCCTGCACCAAGGAATCTTTTTCTGCCATGTCCTGCATCATGCGCTTGTACAGGTCGCTATGCAAATAGCGGTCCTGTAATTCGTCAACTGTATTGGGCACAACCCCTTCAAATCCCGGGCGGACCATTCGCTCGGTATGCATGGCGACAGAAGTAAGAAAGTCCGATATGTTGACCCCGGGTGGACATTGAAAACCCAAGTTCTCGAAGTACGGTTTTGCCTCTGAAGCAGGCCCATAGTAAATCTGCTTCCCCTCCGCTAAAACAATTGTTTTGTCAAACTGGTGGTAGATTCTGTTGCCCGCCTGGTAAAGGGTTGCAATTATGGACTTGCCTTCTGCGGCTGCAGATTTTCGCAAAACACGGACAAGGTCCAACGCATTTTTGGCATCCAACCCTCGGGTTGAATTATCCCAGCATTGAACACAGGCCTATGTTATCCCATCTTGTAAACGCTAAATACTCATTGTAAAAGGACTGACGTAAAAGGACTGACATACCTGTGTGGCAATGACTTCAGCGATAGAAACGCGTTTCCGCTCTCCGCCGGACACTCCGCGCACGAATTCGTTACCGACGATTGTCTTTTTAGTATGAGATATTCCGAGTTCTGAGAGAATTGAATCCGTCATTTCCATGGCGAAAGTCTTTGGATTCTGAAAATATTCCGAAGGGTGACGGGGAAGTTTCATATTTGTTGCGAAGGCAGCCGTTTGTTCCACGGTCAGCGTTGGAAAATGCTGATCATCTTTTTATTCACAATATTGATGTCAGGAGATGCTGTCTTGTTGAAAATAAAAGAACGACTTTCATTGTGCTGAAAACAACAAACCTTCAGTATTCATGACAATATAATTCCGGAGCTTCCTAGCCTCTGTCGGTCCACAATCTCCGAAGCGTATATCGCCCATAATGCTTTCAAACTCATCTCGCTGATTTGACAGAATCTTCAGGAGTGAGGTACATCCTGATCCAGGTCTTCCTAAAACCAATAGCTGTTGGGGTTAGGGTCAAGACCTCCCAAGTTTATGATTTGCGTACCATCTCCCCAGGCCGAACCTGACCAGAAACATCCTGAAGGATGTGCTAAATGAAACTCGTTAATTGACTCTCTCGAGAAATATGTATGAGCAATTTTTATTTACCCTCTTCGAAGCTTTTCGTTTCCTGAAAGGAATCAAATTTTCAATCACAGACCAGCAGGTTGGTACAAAGTCGTCGCCTAATCCGTTTACTTGGACGTCGATATGGCGAAAAGTGACAGTTAGGCGCTTGGAAGGTCCTATTGAGCTTTTTGGGAGCGCATCATTTTCGTCTTCCCGCTTGCAGTTACTGGAACCCAGCATCGAGTCCATTGCCACATGTACCAAATGTTTTATACACAAGCATAGTAAGTGAAAAAGGTGGCCATCGCGAACATCTGCACTTATACACTATCAGGCCAGCAGCCCCGAAAGGGTTTCTGTAGCACAATTCACTTACCTCCGTCTCCTTATTTTCCTCCATCTGTACAGGAGATATCGAGCCGGAGGTGTAAGTTCGGAATTACGGAATACTGGCTGTCTCCACTAGGATCCATCTAAGATCACAAAATTTGATGGCGTTAGATATCAATGTTAGGGGGGGTGCATCCACACTCTTACAATCTATGTGTTTGATTTTATATATAAATGTACCTTTATAAAAATTTAAGATATATAAAATATTCTTATAGAATCTTTTAACGCTGATCTCTTTTTTAAGACTTTTGGTTAAAAACATATGGAAAAAAAATTGAAAAATATATCCACTTAGTGTATTATATTTCTTGGTACCAATTTAACATTTCTTAATTTAACAGATATAAATCCTAAAAGCATAAAAGGAAAGAGATATGTATAATGTACTTTAATTTATTCTACATGAATACCTCTAGATTTCATAAAATTACGGTTATATATAGGCTCAAATACAAGATTGTAAGGTGTTGATGTGGCTCCGGGATGTATTATTCTTCAATATTAACTTTCAGGACAAGCGTCGGACTTGCAGGCCATGGATGGTCCGGGCCTGTTCGATTATCCTCCACCATTATCGTTCCCTCAAATCCGTGACATAGCTCCTTTTCCGCAATTGGAGGGTTGCAGGATGAGCCCAGACACAACAAAAATATCCAAGGCGTGTGAGCCGTGCCGCCGGCGCAAAATCAAATGCGATGGGCAGGAGCCATGCCGGAATTGTCAGACTCAGCCCTTGGAGTGCGTCTACCGTCTCAAGGCGAGGGTTAGGATACGGAAGAGAGTGCCAAAATCTTCCGTTCACCAGGACCGTAGTAGTGATCTTTTGAATACAAACGCGGATCGATACACATCAAGAGAAGATTTTTCTATCTCGGAAACTGGAACTAGTCGAGCTGAAATCTACCCGAGCGTTGCTGCTGCAGACAATGCCCCTCAGTTTATGGACAGTTCACAGTTATTCTATGGCCCCTCATCCAACTTTGCCTTTCTACAACAACTCCATAGGTCCATTTTGCTTCGTGGCCAGCAGAGCCATGGCCAGAGCCATGATTTCCAGGAGGGCGGGCGGGGGTTGGACATGTTCATGCAAAGAAACGTATTCTTTGGCGTGCCCTTGAGAGCCGCCGTACCGGGAAACACTCCGTTGTTTGATCTCCAGAGTCAAATGATACCTAAAGCCCTGGCCACTGCTTTCCTAAACAATTTCAAAACTTCCAGTCTGCATATACTACCTTTTTTCAATACTGAAGCCCTCGACAACCTTCTTGATAGCCTATATTCGACCAGGCCGGACCCTTCCCTCCAGCCACACAGAAGAGTATTGTTTCTCATGGTCCTAGCTATAGGCGCATTAAGCTCTACGTGGACCGAGCTGGCCGATATTATATTTTCACAGGCTAAACAAGAAGCGATCACACGCGAAGACTCCGTCACGCTCTCGATGATACAGTTTTCTCTTCTGGTCACAGATTACCAACTCAACATTGGGCGGCCAAACTCAGCTTACTTGCATGTTGGCAACGCCTGTCGTAAAGCTTTCGCCTTGGGCTTGAACACCGCATCGGGGAACGCCTTGCTGCGACAAGAGGAAGAAATAGAAGAGCGTCGCACCACCCTCTGGTGCCTTTACTTCTACGAACAGTAAGTAATCTGGACAACAACATTGAAGGCATCGGCTGATGACCCCAATAGATGGGTCGCTTTGACAGTAGGAAGGAAAAGCATGATGAGAGAGATAGATGTTTTATTACCTTATCCTGAAAAGCAAACAACCTTGGTCAATCTATGCCGCTTTGCATCTATAATCGAAGAAGCCGTTGAAGCAATTTACAGTCGCAGATCCGAGTCTCTCCGCAATTTGTACACCACCGCTCAAGGAATGTATACGAAACTCCGTCAATACGCCGACCGGGAGGGTATTGGCTCGGCTGCCATCCCTCAGTATAATACGCCATCAGAGGCTATGTCAACATTGATGCTGCATAATAGTGGGTTGGCTTGGCCTATATACTACGTATTGCTGTGAAACGGACTGACGTGTCTCTAGTTTACTTTCACCTCGTCCACACGATGTTTCGACCATTTCTCGTGGCTGAGTCTACAGTCCAAAGTGGCCAAACCGCAGAATTGTGGCTCCGACAGGCATGTAGAAATGCTACTGACGCAGCCGCCGACTCAATTGCTTTTGTTAGCAGCATGTTCAATACGATAGACGTTAGCAAGGTAGGTCGGGGATCGTGACTCTTTCTCAATTCACCCCTTTTATTGACAAGTAGCAGGTTCGACGCTACGACTCGTTTTGTATCGAAGCAAGTTGCTCTGTTCTTCTTCACGACTCGCTACGCCATCCCTCGAAACATCCAAACAATCTTGTTTATATTCGCATGGCTCTGAATTGCCTGGGGGCGATGACGGATGACGAACCTGTTACGAATGTGGCTCACTCAGTGGAACGCATATTGAGCGTTGTAGAGCAGTCTATCTCTGGAAATGATGATGTTTCAACATCAACACCTCTCCTAGAGGCCGGCATGCCTCTTTCACCCCAACACCAAACGAACATACTTTTTCCGTCCTTGGGCCAGGCCTCGTCTTGCGCGGCATCGAATCTCATCTTCCTAAGTAACCGACAATCTCAAGCTACGAATTACCCACTGCCAGAAACACATCATGGGGCTTCTCAAGTAACGGCGGAACCCCTGGCAGACCTGGAACCTCGTTTCAACTTTGATGTACTAGCGACAGATTTAAGTACATATTTTCCACTGGACATATACATGGATCAGCATTCAGGTCAAAATGCGGGCATTTACTGAGTATTAATCCAAATTTTTAGCTACGAGGGAGCTTTTCTTTTAAGTTTGCCCTCATTATTCTGGGAATCAAACCCCATCGAGAACAGAAGGCCGTGTATTCTTTTTAGGAGAATGATTGATGTTCTCTCGCAAATTGCACCAGGCCGGGGTATTATAGTATTCTTCCTATGTGGCTCTTCAGTATTGATTAACCGGTACCATGAGTACATTAATCAGTGCCAGCACTGCAGACTTGCTCATTATTGATGAGGGAACTTTCACTAGTCCTGCTCTAACTTACTTGAAGACAATATCTCGACCTGGACATCTTAGCCGAAAGATTTTGAGCTTTGGTATTACCAATTTTGCAAAATCTATGGAAAAGTGGGTATAATTGTTCATAGCGAGTCATGCAGCTTCCTTTTTGGTGGCTTGTAGCTTGCTGCCTGATGCTCTAGGTATCAGTTTATCGAGACGGAACCGATCAACAAGCGTCATATGCCTGCCTCTCCAGTCTTTATTTTTTATGATTGGCAGAGTTTATTTGTTCTTTGTAAATTCTTTATTTCCGGCCGTGAACCCTGGGAAATGGATATTTTATTAATTGAAACATATCATTGCCCCAAATTCCAATCTACATATGTAATATTGATCCACGCACTCCCGTCTCCAATTTCTAGCATGTTTGGAAAAGAACGGCATCCTTCAATTGATCTGTTTTCATTAATTGAAGAAATGATGTTTGACATCTGCCCTTGACCTTGATCAATCTGTCCAGGGATGGATGCATAGCGTGGGAGATGTTTTCCTACAGTAATGGCCAGCGCTGACGATCAGGATCACTGGTGGCTTCTTCATTCCCCTTGAACAGCCCAGACAGCGGTCCTAATCAGATTGGTAATTTAGCGATGGTACAAGCTGCGACTGGCTAGTTGATCCCAATAATTTTGTGCTCAATCCAAAACAGCGAGGTAGACTATACTGGAAATAGGTTGTTCCAGCACCTACGCCTCTTTTCATCTGATTCTTATCATAGGTAGGTGATCGATACATTAACAGGTTCATACAGGCCCCAATGGTAAGGGGTCTGAAATGTGAAGAGGGTGCATTTGCCAATCCCCAAGGGAAAATCCAGCATATCCATAATGGGCCGGACTTCCTGCCACGGCACATGACTGAACGAGACTGCCGGGAATATGCAGCCAAAATAGCCAACATAATCCTTACTAATTTTCACCCTTTTAAGTATATTGGTCAAAAGTTTGACATACACTGGACTTCCGGTTTTGATCGTATCGTCTTGTCATGCATTGCGGTTGGGCTTGTAAAGTATCTACAGTATCTTACCGGATCTGAGACCACATCTGATCGCCATGCTTACATGATTGGCCATTCGGAATTATGTGGCCCATCGAAATCGAATACGATGGAGCTTCGCGGGCCATGGCGCTAGGATTTAGATGATAAATCCGAAGTCGCGGAAGTCCGAACTTGTCCAAAGGTAAAGAACATAAAGTAAAAGACGAGGGAGAAAAGAAGCTGTTCGGTAAATCATAGTAGTAGGTATTGGGGGTCAGGTGGGAAGCTTGGTATTCTTACGCACAATATTGTGCTCTCGACTATCAGCTGTGCATCAACTGTTCTCTACATTTCCTCTGAACATCTCATCCGACTTGGCTTCAGGAACAAATAACTCCAATCTCTCAACATGATGTCTCCTGCTCCTACTCAAAAGACACCCCTATGGCTTGATTGCGACCCGGGCCATGATGTAAGTTTTCTCCAGCAATAAGATATCAAACAACTAGATTTTATGGCTCCGAATCTGTCACTAACGCTCAATATAGGATGTATTTGCCATTCTCTTTGCCGCTTATCATCCTGGCATTAATTTATTGGGCATTTCAACCGTGTTTGGCAATGCTCCACTAGAGTAAGCTCTAATATGCCGAAGAGAACCTGGGCAAGAATAGGGGTTGATTCGGGAACAATAGAACCACTACTGTGAATGCAGCCTCAATTCTCACATCCATAGGCAAACATAATGACATCCCCATATATGCCGGTGCCTCCCAAGCCATCGCTCGTCCGCCGATGAATCCTCCAACTAGTATTCACGGTAAAACTGGTCTCGACGGAACCGACCTTCTTCCCCAACCTAAGCGCGATCCTAAGTGGACGGAGAGCGCGACCGCTGCCATGGCGGCTGCCCTCCTAGCCCAGCCCGCCGATACTGCGGTTGTTGTGGCCACAGGTCCATTGACGAATATCGCAATCCTTTTCCGTGACTACCCGCAATTGGCTGGTCATGTTAAGTGTTTAAGCCTCATGGGAGCCGCCTTTGGAGGTGGCTTTACTGATGTATCACTTGGTACAGTTGATGACCCAAATCGTATCGGAAACTACACGCGTTGGGCAGAGTTCAATATCGTTGCCGACCCGGAAGCTGCCGCCCAGATTTTCAGTGATAACATTATCGCAGCGAAGACAACAGTTATTCCGCTAGATCTAACCCATCAAGTCCTAGCAACCGAGCGGGTGAGAGACCTTCTCTTGTACGGAAAGAGTGGTCAGAGAAACGGAAAGGCAAAGACCACGTTACGCCAGATGCTGGTGGAGCTCCTTATGTACTTTGCGGACACATATGCCGATGTGTTTGGCATAACGGTTGGTCCTCCACTTCATGATCCGATCGCAGTGGCCGCCGCACTCATTGGCACCCCATGGGAAATTAGTTTTCATGATTCAGATGATCAGGGGTCCAAACAATCAGAGAGGTTTTCCGTAACTGTGGAAACTAAAGGCTCATACAAGGATGCCGTAGAAGGCAAAACGATGACTGGAATGACAATGCAAATACCGTTGGAGCCAGGGAGTGACGGTGTCACAATCCCCCGAAGCTTGGACTTCTCTCATTTCTGGACCGTGCTAGAGGATTGTATTGAAATGGCGGATGAAAAAGTGAGACTGGAGTTCGCATGAGTCCTAGGCCATACTCTAGCCAACGTGACAACCTTGGCAAGTAGCTAGGTTGCTATATCTAATTCTCTGAGCCACCCTGCGGTACTTGGTATTTAAAAGTCTTGTAGCTAATTGGAAGCTATTTTACCTGTTGACTAACCGTTTGGCGGTGTAGCGATACGATAATTGCATCTAGATGCCATAGGTTGGTATCTTTATATCACCACTCTAGGTACAAATTCGCCTCCGGTAGCGATATATGGTGGGAGGAACAAGCCGTTTGCTGCTATATACGGGGTGATGTTAGTTAATCCGCAGGATTCTGCTGAGCGAATACCTAAAATTGCTCCATAGGCGTGTCCTATGATGTATTTTGGTGATTTTCCCTAGCCGAATTGGACGCCGATTCATCGAAGTTGTCGATATTCGGCAGAAGCTCTTGGGCTATCAAATCCATCAACAAAATTATAACTTTTCTGCTGCGAGGCACTTCGATTGGTTAATTTCTTTTCCTAAGCTATAAGTACGTACCTTGGCAGGCGTTTAACGAAGCGAGCAGCCTAATTCTTTCCTTGTAAGGACTCGTGGAATTCGATGCTGGTGAGAAAACCTTCTAAAAATTGTATCGATGTGGAGAACCAACTCACCGCTAAGGGAACTTATTCACCGACCGCTCAACCCCTCTAGAAATTCTCATATGGGACAAATTCCCATAATTCTGTAATTACATATGGGGAGGAATAAAACCGACGGAGTCTCCGGATTAAAGTGATCTGTAGTGGTTGATACTGGTAAGACCGTTACACGGCTTCGTATTAATACCATCAGGTGCGAATTCCACTGCCTTAGGGAAAACCAAACCAAAAATTCGGGACCTATCCGACCAAATGATTTTACAGAAGGGCCTCCCTTGTTGGAATAGGATTACGGATGGTGGTTTGTACTACATCGAGTTACTGAAAATACAGCTATTCTCCACTCGATTGTAGATGGGTCATAGGCTCGCATGCCGATTTAGGATAACCTTTTGCCCAAACGCCGACAACCGTTGTACTCGTCGCTCCACTCCGGGGTGTGAGGCTGGCATCTTCTGTGGTACGAATAGTTGTAAATCCGAGGAAGTATAACTTGCAAACTCAAATTCGACAAACATGCTCAGTAGGCAAACTATTCTTGCCCTAGGTAGGTGCGGAGATGTCTTTTGACCCAGAAAGATATAGTATTTCTATTCCGCTGGCAACCCGGGTGGTGTTTGCTCCATTCAACATCTCGCGCTCATATACATACTTTCCCAATAAGCACCATGTCAGCGGGTATTCGATCTTCTATGCGTTACGATGTCGAAGCAACCGCCTCGGACTCTACCGACTCCGCTTTCGTGGCATCTAGAATAGGTAGTAGCGGAGTTTTTAAACCCACGGAGCAGTTTATTGAGAGCTCACAAGTCATTCAAGCGAAAGACGGCTTTCTCTGGCGACTGCAGAATCTCGAAGCGAAGCTCGACCAGAAGTTCGGAATTGAGTCAAATGCTATTGATCGCAAACGGCCGGAGGATAAACTGCCCGTCAAATGGCATGAGAAATTGAACATGTTTTTCTTGTGGGCGAGTGGCACAATGAATGCGAGCTGCTTCGCATCGGGATTTCTGGGCTGGGAGCTGGGTTTAACTTTGCAGCAAGCAATATTTGTCATCTTCTTTTCATCAGTACTAGGATCTGCTGTCACAGGATTTTCGGCTATATTTGGCGCCGCCACAGGTTTGCGTCAAATTAGTGTGAGTCGCTATAGTTTTGGGTGGTGGCCGAACAAAGTCATTGCTGCACTAAATGCTCTAGTCCAGATTGGCTGGTCTGCTGTGGCCTGCATTACATGTGGTGGCATTTTGACCGCAGTCGCTGACGGTCATGTCAGTCTTGTTGTGGGAATCATTGTCCTTGCGGTGGTTGCATTATTCATTAGCTTCGTTGGGCTCAAGGCCGTGCTTGTCTATGAACGCTATGCTTGGCTCATCTTCTTGATTATCTTCGCAGTGATATTCGCCCAGTCCGGGGAATATGCAGATAATAATGGTCCTTCTCTCGGATCTGGAGAGTTATCTGGTGCGGTTCTCAACTTGATCGCAATTGTCTACGGCTCCAGCTGCTCATGGTGCCCCATTGCTTCCGACTATTATGTGCATTATCCTGCCAATATTAATCGTGTGGGAGTCTTTTTGGCAACGACATTCGGAATCGCTATCCCGACTTCCATTGCCATGGCATCCGGTGCAGTTGCAGCGGCTGCCTTGAACAGCAGAGAAGACTGGCGAGCCACCTATGAAAATGATGGGGTGGGCTATCTCATCCAAGCGATTCTTCACCCACGTGGGTTGTCTAAATTATTTTTGACATTACTTGTTTTGTCGGGAATCAACACCAATATCATCAGCCTTTACAGCTCCGCTATCTCTTTCCAACAGCTAGCTCGCCCATTCGCCAAGATACCTCGCCTTATCTGGACGGTCTTCTGTTTTGTGATTGTCCTTGCGCTTGCACTCGGTGGTCGACAACAGCTAAATGCATACCTACAAAATTTCCTTGGCATACTCGGGTATTGGTGCACGAGTTATTTCGCCATAGTCTTAATGGAGCACTTTGTGTTCCGCGGTGGCGACTTTTCCAATTATGACCTCGAAGCGTGGAATGATTCGAACGCATTGCCAGTTGGAATAGCCGCCTCTGCAGCTTTCCTAATAGGGATTGTTGCATGGTGCATGGGCATGGTTCAGACATGGTATATGGGTCCGTTAGGGAAATTGATTGGGACGAATGGGGGGGATGTGGCGAATGAGCTTACTTTCCTGGTTACTGTCGTGGTATTTATCCCGGCACGGTGGTTGGAAAAGAAAGCTATAGGAAGGTGAGAGTCGTATACATTGGTGAAATATCCGTAAGGTCCTTAATATCTTGCTCAACAATCAAGTGATCTTATATCTTATAAATGCAGTTGGTGTGATGTTTCCCCTTACGAAAAGCCGAGTTTCCTTCACATACAACGATTTCAGATGTTAAGCCATCTCAAGTATAAGCCAGCCTTGTATCCTATCTCAGTAAATATCATATGCTTTGGCAGAATAGGGATGTAATAATGGCAAAACTCTTATATTAAACTCATTAAAACACCCTTATTACTTTTTGATATATGAAACATCATCATTGTTTACATATATTCCCATTTTATTAAAGTATTTATTCATTTTAATCAGAATTTTTCAAATTCTAGTTAGGGAAAGAATAGAAGAGTGCACGAGAGCGACATATGTAGTGAAAATAGCTGCACTACATTAGAATTAGAGTAGATGTGGAAAATGGTCTCCGAATGAGATACGAAGCCAAATAATACCGCGAAACATGTCAGGAGAAAGCATATGGACCACAACAAGCGCTCAGGCTACGCACGTAACGCGCTATTTTCTTCTGGGGCAGAAAGTCCATACAGAGCAAGAGACTGGAGATGCTGTCTGTCAGGCCAACCTAGAGTCCCTCACGAAGGTGTAGGTTCCAAATGTGAGGTCTTTTTCGTCTCCCAACGAGCGCAGTTGGCTTCTTGGGTGCCTCTTTTCTACCGACCTGCATTATTGAATCGACGAAGAGTGAGAAAAAAGAACTTTTATCTTATTATTCCGTACTTCCGCATGTCCATGATTTAAAGTTTGAATAATTCCGAACCGTAAGGGTCAGCTAAAGCGACATGGTTGAGCTACGATCCAATGCTTCTCGTCTCCCTCTGATCGAATTTTGACTGAGCTCGATTTAATGGCGGGGTTTCCCACCTTCCTTCAGGCCCATTGACGATACTCACTTAAGTTGCTAACTCACCAATCAAAAATGGCCTCTGACTACCACGGGCTCGGAGCCAAAGAACTAGAGATTCTCTTCTCCAAGGCCGCCGGTGCAAAAGCTACTGCTTATTGTAATACTCCACCTCAATTCCCCGGTATAATGAGTTCGGTATTTTAACAGTAGATTAGGCCCTTATTCAAAGTTCCGTGTTGGGGCATGTATTCTCACCCGGTCTGGCCAGTTTATAGACGGCGCAAATGTCGAAAATGCTTCCTCGCCGGTGGGAATGTGCGCGGAACAAATAGCCTTTGGAAAAGCAATTGTATGCCCTGGCCTCTTTGTGACAGCTTCTAAGGCAATATTGACCGCTCCAGGTGGCCGGACATAATGATTTCAAGGCAATCGCGGTCGCGTCAGACACTAAGCCTGGCGTATCCCCGTGCGGAAAGTGCAGGCAGTTGTTTGTGTGCTCAATTCTTTTAATAATATCAGATGGCTTACTCTGTTTTTAGCATGAGCGAATTCACTCCCTCGTCTTTCCCGGTATTTATGTACGGTAGGGACGGCCAGTACACAGTGAGGACGATGAACGAGGTACTAGGTAACCATGTCTTGATGGAAACTAATAGGAGTGCTAATGAATCGAACTTAGCTTCTCCCTTTCACATTTGGACGCAGCGACTGAGTCCTTCGGCGGTAATGATTGTTCGTAGAGAAAATTATGAGTGCTTCCGACTTAGGGCTTGCACGCCACTTAACTGTCTGGCTTACCTCCTTAGCTACTCCATCGATGCAGTATCAATAAAGACAGAAAATTATTTCCAGCTAACAGAGCCTCCAGCATGTCTCACGTTTTACATGACCGCTAAAATGACTTTTAAAATCGCGCTCGTGGATGGGCTGAAGCCTGTAACTTAAATTAGTCAGAGGGCTTCCTGATTGGACAGGACGGGAGAAGAAATCGGCAGTTTCAATCCGGATCTCTATCAAATATCTCTGTAGACTGCCAACTACTGGCCACCAACCCATCTGTGTTTAGTGGATGTGATACCACAAAATGCAATTCTGTAGCCAATATGAATGATTTGGCGGCATTTGCAATGGACGGTGCTGACACCGCTGGCTCCGCTGCCGAGGAAACCCACCATTATGTCTCGCACACGTCGCTCTCCAGCCCCGACGCGTATGCAGCAAACCCGCGGTTTAGACAGTTACAGGAAGAACTTCGATATGTTCTATTCACAGCCGTGGCGAGTCGTGCTCCTAGCAGATGTCCCTCTCCCACAGGAACAGGCTCCGAGTTGGTCGAGGCAGCCGCATCAGGGTTCTGGAAACGAAGCTTCGACTCGGCACAGGTGCCGATACCCAAAGCCAGACTGATCTACTACTTGAAAAACTGGATTACTGAATGTGCACCTCACCTCGATAAATTCGATGAGAATAGCCATTTCGGCGTGCAAATCCCTATTCTTGCGCAGAAGTCGCCTTCGCTTTTGTATGCCATCTTGGCCTTTTCAGCACGCCAGTCCGAGCGCAAGGCGTGCCTCGAAAACTGTCGCGATAGTCTAGAGCTTTACCAAGAATCAATCCGGCTACTATCTCCTTATTTGCAGACGAGAGACCCGAATGTGCTTATGACAGCTTGTATCCTTGCGTGTATGGAGCTGATGTCCGTCAGTGCCCGCGGCTGGAGGCGCCACGTCGAGGGATGTGCGGCTTTATTCGACTCGTATATCGTCAACGGGTTTTCTGGTGGCCATCTGCAGGCGGTCTTCTGGTGCTATGCACGAATGGAACTGTGCGGTGCAATCATCTCAGACGGGACGGAAAGCACAGTGCTTCCTCTTGATAAATGGGTTCCTCAGCAGGCCACTGCCGGTGTTTCTCCAGATAGGAAAGAAGAAATAATTCGAGATCTATTCTACGAGAACGGTTCCTCTACGCCGGATATGCGTGCTAACTGGGCTGTCTATCTCTGCACCAAGACATGCAATCTCACCTGCCGGCGATCGAGGTACGTGGAGCTCGGCGAAGTGGACCAAGATGATCCAAGACCATTTTCCGAGCAATGGGTGCGACTCTGGGACGAACTACAATTCTGGCGAGAACATCGTCATACAGCCATGCTGCCAGTCAAGACTACATCAATGGATGGCGAGCAGACTTTCCCCGATATTCTCTTCGCACATTGGGCGGCTATCTCGGGGAATCAACTGTATCATACCGCGTGTATCATGATGCTGGAAATAAAACCCGTAGATATACCCTTGCTGTCGTCTAATCCATACTGCTCCGCTATCTGGCATGCCAGACGGGTCTGCGGAATATCATTGACGAATCCGCATAGTGGGAATCTGATTAATGCTATTCAGCCGTTGTATATTGCTGGAAAACTCCTGACGCACTGGGACGAGCATCTGGAGGTTGCCCGGCTATTTAGAACGATCGAGACTACGACCGGATGGGGTGCTTTGTGGCGATTGCGAGATCTTGAACATGCCTGGGGTTATGAGCCTGGTGAAATCTTGTCTGCCATTTGAACTAGCGGTTTTATTACGGATATTTGGCATCCAAGGTCTTCATACATGTTTCTATATGATAGATGTTATTAAACCTTTCTCCGCATCACAGTATGCAGCGTGGCATTATCGTATGTTTGATAGAAATGTTCATAACGGAGATACTCAACCCACAGATAGGACGACTAGCATTAAACAATTTCGTGTTCTTCCATGTTTTCCCATACTATTTCGTGCAACACTACACTCGTGTTCTTATGAGCAACGGCTATTTCCGATAGCAGGGTGCCACATACCGTATCTGACGGCTGCAAGCTCCGTGGCGTATTATTTAAATAGTCAATAACTCCTGGGCGCAAATACGACCGTAGTAGCCACAACCTTTCTGCGTCCTTGAATCTTTGCAAATAAACGACGTGCTAGTACCGACATGCAGTCGGGGAGAACCACTGTCTCCTAAAGCTGTATGATTCATTTCTTTCATTCAATAGGGTTTTGATTCTTAGTAGGAGGCGCACAGTGGCGTCGTTTCTAACAGCCTACAAGGCGGGGAAAGATGCATCCATTACGCTAAAAAATAAAACCGTAGCCTCTGGGTTCCTTTTGGGGACTAGTAGCTTGCGGGGTTGGCCCCATACTAACACCTCAAAATTGACCGAATGGGAAACCCGAGGCTACGGCCAGAACATTTTTCTGTTTTGAAATGCTTGACTTGTTAGTGTATTCGCTGATCTCTCCGCAAATGCAAGAAAGTCCTCCACATTTAGAATTAGGTTTCTCCGGGAAAAAAAATAAAGTGGGCTAGATTCTAGGTCCCACGAGGTTTTCTTGTTGACGTGAAATTTATATAAATTCATGTCCCAACACTGAAATTGTTTATTTTCCATTTTCTTCACTTTTATTAACTTCAAATTATTGTGTTTATCAAGTAGATCGCTCTCTTCCAGAATTTGAAAACTGCAACTTGCCTTTGACGATACGTTTTGAGATGGCCCGCGTTGACTCTGCGTCGCCTGATGTCGAGGCGTCTGTCGCCCAACAGCCAAGTCACTCGAGGCAGCGAGCACAGCTGGCAACCAAGTCATTGTGGCAATCGTTAAGGGACAACCCTAAAGTCCTCTTCATTGCCTTTTTCGCCTCGTAAGACTTTTCTCATTCAAGCAGGAACCCTACGGATCTTTAGTGGTTGACTTTGATTCTACAGTTTCGGCGGTCTAGAATATGGCTACCAGCAAGGCGTTCTCGGGCAGTCCTTAGTGATGTATCGGTTTAAAGAAAACTTCCCTTCGATAGTGGATTCGTCCTCGGCCACTGGATGGCTTACTTCAGTCCTGCAGTTGGGCGGCATTCTAGGATCCCTTTCAGCAGGAATATGTGGAGAGATATTTTCACGAAAGTACACCATGTTTGCGGCGTGCTGCTGGGTCATTCTGGGGAGCTACCTATATGTTGGCGCATCGGCAGGCACTGGGTCGCTTTTATACGCAGGACGTTTCTTCACCGGTGTTGGTGTTGGACTGTTCAGTGGAGTCGGACCATTGTACAATGCTGAACTAGCAGCACCTGAGATGCGCGGGCTGTTGGTTTCTTTCTATCAGTTTGCGACTATCTTAGGCATCATGCTTTCCTTTTGGGTTGGGTATGGAAGCAACTACATCGGTGGCACTGGCGAAACACAATCTGATCTTGCTTGGCGCTTACCATCTATCATTCAAGGGATCCCCGCCGTTGCCCTTGCTTGTGGCATTTGGTTCATGCCTTTCTCTCCCCGATGGCTTGTCAAAGTTGGTCGCGAGGAAGAGGCTCTTCAGACATTGGCCTGGGTGAGAAAGTTGCCCGCAGAGGATGACTTGGTACAGATGGAATTCCTGGAGATCAAGGCCGAGGCATTGTTTGAAAAAAGGGCTTTCCCCAGCACCGCCGAGAAAGGATTGATCCGCATTCAGATTGCGCAGTACGCAAACTGTGTCCGAACAATGGATAATTTTAAACGTGTGTGCACAGCCTGGTTGATTATGTTCTTCCAGCAGTGGAGTGGAATCGATGCTAGTAAGTAAGCTGTTTTCAGCATTTCCCTCCGCCCCAGGTGTAGGAAATTTATTAACGCGATTATAATAGTCATCTACTATGCGTCCAATATTTTCGTCAGCCTTGGATTAACTGGTGGGACAACTGCTCTTTTGGCGACCGGTGTCACTGGGGTCGTCTTTCTTGTCAGCACCGTACCAGCTATGGTCAGTCCGCCATTTTAAGCCTGTTACTATTTCTTGCCGAAGAGATATGCTGATAGTTATTAGTTGATCATTGATAAGGTTGGTCGCAAGCCTATGCTTCTAGTTGGCTCTGTAGTCATGTTCTTGAGCATGGTGATTGTCGGCGTGATTGTAGCCAAATTCCGCAATGACTGGCCAGCCCATGTGGCAGGCGGATGGACAGCAGTCGGTAAGTCACAGCTTCATCTTATGTTCGATCACAAGAGTTTGTTACTTACCACTATTTTTTCTAGCACTGATCTGGCTATACATCGCCGGTTTCGGAGCCACCTGGGGTCCCGTATCTTGGACCCTTGTGTCTGAGATATTCCCTCTCTCCATCCGCGCCAAAGGAGCGTCGATCGGCGCTTCCAGCAACTGGGTCAACAACTTCGCGATCGCATTCTTCGTGCCACCGATGCTGCAGGCGTGGAAATGGGGCACATATATCTTCTTCGCAGTCTTCCTTCTTGCTGGGATTTTCTGGGTTTATTTCTTCCTCCCGGAGACTAAGAACGCGACGCTCGAAGAAATGGATCGTGTGTTCAATAGCCATACAGGCGAACGCGACGCAGAGCTGCTCCGCCAGGCTCAGCGTGATGTTGGTTTGACGGCTCTTTTAGAAAGCAGGGCAGGAATCAGCGATGGGCTGGAGAAAGTCATGATGCAGCAGGAGAACCATGTTGAACAAATTTAAGATGATATACTCATAACTATCGGAGAATGCTAAGTGAAGGAAGGAGATGAAGTTTCAATTTTAGGTAGCCTGCTTTTTTTATTTTATAGATCCCGACGAATTTGATCGATTTTGTCAACCCCTAAGATAGGGCTTTGCGTACTTAGTTTTCTCCCCTTCGTGCGTACTTGAGCAAGTCAGCTAATCTTATCGAATATCTGCTTGTTCCCCTTTCAGATTTATCCCATAACACCCAGTTCACAACAACCTTGATTCTTTGACAGTCCTTGGAATTAGATTCTCCTGCGGCCAGTAATAAGGTTCTAATGAAAATCCCTACTTGTTTCTTCTTTCTACCTGGCAATCGGGAATTAACCTTAACCCTAACCCTACGTAGCTCACCCGGTCCAGCCAATGAAAATACACTCGCTCTTCTTTCTGAGTTTCTCTTGTGATTGGGCCTAGTGGCAAATAATTTACGTGATACTATATGGAGAAATTTTTAGCCTTAACCAATCAAGTTGCGTCGGCGACTTCCGATATCCACTTCGTCCTAATATTGAAACAGACTAGTCCAGTTTCGGGATACAGAGGCTCAACCGCCTTCTTTTGGCTGTCTCTTCCACCAGTGCTTGGAAACAAACTCCCAAGCGACCGAAATGTGTCAGGCAATATACGCATATTACAATGCCTGCCAAGAGAACCACTCAACCCGGGAAACAGCGCGTCCGTACTGGTTGCTTGACCTGTCGGAGACGCAGAAGGAAATGTAAGCATACAGAGCCTTTCTTCAGTGGGATTATTACTGACCTGCCCATTCAACAAGGCGACGAACAAAAGCCTTGCTGCGCAAATTGCGAAACAAAAGGATTTACTTGTAAATACCCTTCAAAAGTAACCTTCGTGCCTGCTGTGAATCCGTCGGACGTGCAGTCGAATGGAAACACAATCAGGGTAAGAGCAGTCGAACCAGAGTTGTCGATGAAAGTAACCAACATGGAAATAAATAGTTTATCAATCATACCAACAATGCCCCGTTTGTGTCTCATTCGTCTCGGGGCCGTGATGACTTACAATACACCCCGGCTTCAACACCAGGCCAAAATGATATTTCCCATCCATTGACTCCCCATATCGAGGAGAACAGACGGCATGATGGTTTAACGAACACGAATGATTCTGGCTCGTTGTTGCTGAATCAAAGGAATGCTTCAATTTCTCATAGAAGTGGCGGTGGACTACTTCCAGCTTATACCCTGGATGTTGAAACAGGCTTGCTGCGCCATTTTCGCTACAACATATCTCCCTGCATGGATGTAGGTGACCCTGGATCCTCATTTGGACTGAACTGTATGATCTCCGCTAGGAACAACCGGCCCTTGCTGGCGTCGATTCTTGCGCTTGCTGCTTATCAAAGATCGCTAGTCGTATCTGCTGGGGCTGATGAGGATCTGGCCGACAGTCGCCGATTCCGCAGTGAGGCTGAGAATAGCCTAGCTGTGGAAGAAAACCGCTTTACAAGACGACTCGGATACACCTTTCTGATCATGCAAGACTTCTTCTCCCCCGGTCCATCTCAGTGGCGGAAATTGTCGGATTATCTACTCGGCAGCCTGGCCGATATCATCGTCCAGCCTACTCTTGAAGATGATTTCAAGGAACCCCTATTCTGGATGGCTTTCAAAGTTGGTAAGTGGTCCAGCCGAAATGGCTCTATCCAACAAGCTGATTATTGGTGTTCAAGATCTCGCTGCATCCGTCATCTTCTCCCAACCACCACAGACGCCATCCTTCTCTTTCGTACAAAATTCACAGCCACAGTCGGTCAGAAGCATATACCAACGTGTTCATTTCCTTCTAGGCGAGACTCTCTATTTGATATTCCAAGGACGCGACCCGTCAGACTGCAGGCTTGATGTAGAGCAGGCAGAGCTCCTAGAATCATCACAGGAATCGAGGCCTTTGTCGCGATGGACATATCTATGGACCGAGTGCCAGAAATGGTACAAGGCGCTTCCGGTGCAAGTGCAACCCATTCTAGAGATCCGAGGTCTAGATGCCAAGCAGATTGATCCTTCGACAACCTCTTCTTTTCCAGTCCTAATTTATACTACTCCTCTCGCTCTTGTTGCGAACGCCATTTATCATATTACGTCTCTTCTACTTCTAAATTATAGGCCGCGTTATCTAAAGACCTTGCCAGGGCCTCGGGGCGTCACATCACCTACTTGGCATTCCCAGTCCATCGCTGGCATTGCAACAAGCAATGAATCTGTTGGACAATGGGACCCAATACTGATTGCAGGCCTGTTATTAATCGCAAGAGGAATGACTCACAAATCGCAGCAGTTGGAGTTGCTAGACCAGCTCCGAAGAATAACAGCAATAACTGGGATCAGTTTGGAACAAGAAATAGAATCTATCAAATCAAAAATCCACATGTCACGGCGCGATGAAGACGAAGTTTCGTGATGAAAACGAACCTTTTATATTTTGAAATAACCGATCTACCTCTATTCACTTTTGATCTCATACGCGAAGGGAATGCTTTGCATTGCACCTTGTCGCTGTACACAAACTGCTGACGCAGAATTCGCCTCTCGCACCGCCTGCTCGATTATCATATCAAAATCCTCCAATTTTGCTGAGGATGTTCCGAGAAACCGAGCGAAAGTGACGGCAAAATAACCGACGAAGGTATCTCCGGCTGCTGTGGTGTCTACTACATTCTGCACTGGTACACCTTTCACGATCCCCTTTCGACCGGTGCTAGTCGAGAAATATACCCCTCTAGCCCCAAGTGTGATGAGGACAATCCGGACCCCAGCAACCTCGTGGAAGCCTTTCGCTAATTCTTCCAACATGAATTCATCCTTTTCTAATGTCAGATTAGTGGCGGAAGACCTGTCTCCGAGAATTGACCTCTCCATTTGCGCGGCTTCAGTCTCGTTCATGACGAGAACGCTGGTGCGTGCTAGAGCGCTGAGAGGGACACCTTCTGGAAATACGGGCGCGGGGTTGAAAACAATATGCGTCGAGCACTCTTTATTATTATTAAAATGTTCTAAGAGTCGCAACACGGTCTCTCTTGGAATCTCTCCCTGCAAGATGATTACGTTCGGGGCATCGAGTTGCCGTTGCTGTTGTCTGTCTCGGATAGTAGTAATGATCCTCTGGACATTCCTCATTCCTTCATGGTTTGCACCAGGAACCACCAGTATCCTGTTTTCACCATGAGCCGCATCTTCGACAATAATTGTCGCGGATCCGGTTTGGCTCTCAATCCGCTCGTCAACATCCGTCGTGTCCACACCGGATTTCTCCAACATAGGCTGGATTAGGTTTGGATAATGTCCATCCATAGAGCCTACGGCTCCAATCATGCTTACGGTGACATCTTGTTGACTCTGCAAAGAAGAAGGAGAAGCGAACAACGCTCGACCACAAGCGACGGCTTGATTCGCACCTTTTCCACCAGGGCTCACCGAGAGGCATCTGGCCGTTATTGTTTCTCCAGGGCCGGGACACCGATGCGTAGAGACTGTAAAGTCGACGTTCAATGAGCCGACAACGCATATGTGAGAAGACATTTTGATGTGTATATTGTTCGCTTGATTATGACGGAAGTATATGCGTGTATGTATGGCTGCTCAGAGTGATTATTGCTGGAGTTGAAGGAGAGGAAATTAATGATGAATGATATGTAATAATCGCGAATAAAATTCTTACTTTATCGTTTTGCTACGTATTTATTTAATAGACTCTGTTTTAATGTTGACGAAAGTTCAGTGTGTCCGAATACGGAAACCATAGGCTATGTCTTCCGCAACTTCCGCAAATGGTAAGCCGATGGGGTGTAAACCACAGTCTCTTCCGAATTGGTCTTTCCAGCATTTTATATTCTACTTGATTTATGGATGACGACGGATCAGAGAAGACGGTGGGCGAGCTAGCGGATGGGCTCGCCAGCCACAGGCCCGCGCAGCCCTAATTACCCCAGGCTTATACATATATACATAGTAATTAAACAGGGTTTCATTGACACTAGAAAGAAAGCCAGTGATTCATATATCCATTCGCCAATTGAGAAGTAAATGTGTTAAAATGCCGAGAGCTATTCAGTACCGCCATACAGTAATCACTATGCAGCGTTCAGAGGCAAGCCCTGAGTCCAGCCAAATGCTACTCGAAATACTAATTACATGTACCTTTGCCGATATCCGAATACATGTTAGCATGCTACCCTTACACGAACATACGATTACCTGTAAACTCCATTTATTTTACCCGTTCTATATTCATATTCCAAACGCCGTACATCGACCAGATCCTCACTAAAACCTCTTCAAAAGAGCAGCCACCTTAAACGGCGCTGCCGTCTTACTCGCGATCTCCTCAACAGTTACGTCTTCAGCAACTTCCTTCAGTGTGAGGCCCTCAGTGGGGTGGACGTCAAACACGGCGAGATCAGTGATGATCTTCCAGACACAGAGCGGCCCAGTGAGAGGGAATGTGCAGGCTGCTATCGTTAGAATGAACAGAATAGAGCAGGCTATGGTAGGAACTTACCAGGAAGAATCTTTGGGTTGCCCTTCTTATCCACATGCTCCATGGTCACTACAACCTTGGTCTTGCTCGGGTTTGCGACGAGATCCATGGCACCCCCGATTCCCTTGACTTTTCCGGGGAGCATAAAGTTTGCCAGATCTGTTTTATCAATAATTAGCTTGCATGAAATGGTAAATGGGAGGTAAGACGTACCGCCATACTGGCTGACTTGCAGAGCACCCAGCATGGTAAGATCGATACGACCCGAGCGGATCATGCCGAAGCTTTCGTGAGAACCAAAGACAGATGCGCCGTTAGCCAAAGTCACGGTTTCCTTGCCAGGGTTGATCAAGTCAGGATCTTCCTCGCCGGGTTGCGGGTAGCCGCCGAGTCCCAGAATACCGTTTTCAGACTGCAGGATGACTTCAATGCCCTCTGGGAGAAAGGCCGGGGCGACGAGAGGCATGCCAATTCCTAGGTTGACATACATGCCGTCCTCGAATTCCTTGGCAGCGCGCTTGACAATACGCTCGCGTCTGGCAGCAGCATCACCGGAGCCTAATCGATATATAATCAGATACAGCTTTTCAACGATGGCTCGCTCAATCGAATCGTTAGACTTACCAGCTTTCAGCAAATCATTAGGGTCTTTAGCAAACGTGAGTTTCTCAATCTTCTTCTCCTCCGTGCTTTTAATAACCTTGCTCACATAGACACCCTGCAAGTGAATTTCCTCAGGCGAGAGCTGGCCCACTTCAACAATCTCATCGGCTTCAACAAAGGTAACCTTGGCATTCTTTGCCATTGCCTCATTGAAGTTGTTCTGCGCTTTACGGAACTGGCAGTTTCCAAATTTGTCAGCCTTGGCCACGCGAACGAATGCATAATCGGCAAAGTATGATTCCTCGAGGACGTAGTTCTTGCCATTGAATTCGCGGGTTTCCTTGGGCTTGGACTTTTCGGCTACTGTGCCGTCCTTGTTGTAGCGCACGGGCAATTCGCCGGTTTGAACTGCCCCATGTTAGCTTTCTAAACTACGTTTTGTGTATTACACTGATATTCGTACCGATTGTTCCATATGCAGCGGGGGTATAGAAAGCAGGGACACCAGCGGCACCAGCAGCGCATTTTTCCGCGATTGTGCCTTGCGGAGTAAGTTCAAGGGCAAGGTCGCCCTCGAGGTACATTTTCTCAAAAACTTTATTCTCGCCAATGAACGACGCAATCATCTTGCTAATCTGTCGCGATTCCAGAAGTTGCCCTATTTTGGTCAGTTCCTGAAATTGTATCTACGAAGACATGTTATGTTAATCAGTACTCACCCAAACCCACACCAGGCATGCCAGCGTTGTTGGAGACGACTGTAAAGTCCTTAAGCTCAGGACGATCGCGGACAGCATTAATCAACGAGCTGGGCACGCCGGAGAAACCGAATCCGCCGACAAGAATCATAGACGAGCCTTCCAAGTCTTTGATAGCTTCCTGGGCGCTTGGTGCGATCTTGTTGATGGCTCGCCGTGAGGCCGACGACGAGAAGTCGCGCCGCCATAGCGGACGGAACAATGAAGGGCCAGGGGTCTTGACCTTCATTGTTGATTATTAGAGAGTCTCGTTAGAAGAAATAAGAAAGAAGAAAGAAGAAAAAGAGAGCAAGGAAGAAATAGTAGATCGACTGTTAACCGGGTGAATAGTAGACCGATGGTGCGGTATCCGACACTTTTCGGCTGTGGTGTCGGCTAAGGGACAACAGCTATTATCCGCTGCAACCAACGCTCATATAGTGAGCAATTGTTGCCATTATCAGTAATTTTATAGACGGATAATCTCGACTTTCAGCTGCAACTAATTACATACTAACACTACAAAAAGGTACACCCACACTGGTACCCTGTATTCCCGCTATACCCGTACTGCCCCCGCAACCAATTCTACTTTGTGGAGTTAATATTGCTAAGGCTGTATCATCATGTAATCTGTTCAAAAGATTATTTTTATTATTTTCATCACCTTAATTATGAGTTCTCGAGAGATATTTTAGAGCCCATACCATAATTGATGCATTGGCAACCTCAGACATGGCCTTCCTAATTAGGGTTTATTTCCCGTTCGGGTTGTGAATAGATGCCTCAGTAAGCACAAATGCAGCGCCTGCCGCTCGCAGGCTTTTTCAATAATGGTTTCCTATATAGCTGTTAAACTTCTTGTGTATTAGCCATCGTTATTGACGGTAGTGAATATATCAAATTGATAATTTAAAGGGGCTGTCCAGAGAGAAATAGACGTGATCAGATTTATTAAATCTGATCAAGCACATTTAAAGTCGCCATGAAATTGGATAAGCTGGGAGCTTGCGATGTCACAGTAAATTTCTTCACTATGAAAGGTATCCTCATTCTAGAAGGATATATAAATGCAAAGTTGTCGTCTATCCAAGAATGACGATCATTGAAGCCCAAACCACCAGGAATGTCATTGTCTCAGTATTATTTTCCACCACCTGCGGGATAAGGAACATAATCATCATATTTTCTCCCAATTGACCCATCCGCTTCCTCAAACGCCCGATCACCAAATAAATAGCGCCATGCCAGATCGCCAATTCACCTGCCCACTCATAGAAGCGTACAAGTTTGCCGATAGCTAGAATCCCATTCGACCATCTGCGACTAGGTGATTAAGTATAGACGCGGGTTTGATATATTTTATATTATTAAACAAGACACCACAAAGATATTTAGGACATATCTCAATAGACAATTACTCACCCTGTTCTTCAAATGTTTGCATCGCCAGGGGAACTTTTGCACGATCTTTCGGAGAGACAACTGAGCCAGATTGAAATAGAGCTCCAATTCATCGCAAACGAACGGATCATCTAAATGAACCCGCCGAAAATGCCTTTTGAATTGAGCTAGGGCTGTTGTAAAGGGCCGCTATCGGGAAATGAAATCGCTTTCCGGTTAGCGTCATGATTGCGTTTGCGGGTCAAATCGTCACCTTGAAGACTCTTTCGACATTCAATTGCACGAATTGTAGCTGGTTTTGTCGAACTTGTAAACGTTGGTTGGAGAATGCCACCGTAGAGGTTGAGATTAATGACAAGTGTGCTTGAAACTTGCAGGCTTTCCCAGCCAAGCAGATCACAAATCCATTGCAGATAATGGGGGAAATCCAGTCCGCAGTTATTCCATTGTACATCGAGAGTTTGTGTTTATGCGGAATGTTCGGGAAACACTCAAGTTCTGGTGGCTCGTCGATATCGAACGGTAATCCAGGGAAGATAAAGAACCACGAGCCATGGCCAGTTCACTCATCCTCAAGGAAGGATCCTGCTTTCCGCCACACTTCGTCTCGTTGAGAGTCGTACTCGGCATTAGTTCAGCCACCCTAACATGCTACCATTTTTTATGGAGTTACGTGTCGAGATAAGTGGTTTGTTGATGCATGTCATTCTCGTATTGACTAGCTATGGGTAGTAACCAATAAACCTTAATTCAGTGCAGCGTTGAAGTTGATACGCTCGTTACGGCTCAGTGATCCGCCCTCCGCGAGTCTGCCGATCGTTAGCTGAGTGTTAACCAATGGTCGGTATTGTTGTCGAGCGGTGGCTCCTTTACTCCAATAAGGCGCAGGATGTGATATAGAATAGGCGCTTTAGGTCCACAATGGATGCCGCGTCAACGTTATCTCTCATGTATTCATAGACATATCTGTATCGTAGGTTGGATTTGGTGTAGAAAGCAAATGGATATTGATTATCAGCTTCGATGTCTGATCTAAAGCTTTCGGCTAGCTTAGGGACGATATAACATCCTAATGAAAATCAGTGCTAGCAAGTCTCTTTTCCAGTTATAATGCCAGTCATTGGATCCTTTATACATTGCACGGTTCTCAGGTCGCCAATAAGTGGCCAGCAAGGATAATCGAATTTTGAGGCTGCTTTCTCGTTAGTCATTTTCAGGACGAGGAATTGAAAGCACTGTGAATAGTCAATGCGTCCTGGTAATCCTAGGATTTCGATAGTTGTCTTTCCAGCTCACTTTGTAAATTAGGCCTTTTTTTCTTTGTTTACATGCAACAATCCTTCTCACATGCCATTCGAGATGGATTCTTGTCTCTGTTGATCTGATTTGTTTGGTAGTTGAACTGTTACGCTTGGAGGTAGTTTTGCAGCAAGCTGTCCCAGACACTGTTCGCCCTTGTAGCATCGCATTGCTGTTTCATTGCGGACTGATTTCCCGCAAACTTCTCATTCTCCAAGACAACTCCTCTATAACTTTAGTTCCTTATGTGACCATGACATTTTGAAGACTGTCCACGCATAGTTTAACGAAAAGAGCCTCTCATAATTGTTACATAGATTCTCCAATATGCTCTTGAATTTCTGTTGATCGAAACTCTCGACTGTAATAGCTTTCACCTTCAGTCCTTCTCTGAAACCGTAGAGAATGGCGTGCACTGTAAGGGTGAATCCGACGGAGGCAGCGAACTTGATTAGTTCATAATCGTATACATCTGGTCGCGGGTTGTGTTTGTGAAGACATGTACCCTTCTTGATCAAAAACTCGACTATCTTGATGTCTTCCTGCTATATCAACTAAAAGTGGTGTACTCATAACGACATTTGTAGATCCCATATACATGAGCTTCGTCATAGGGTGTGAAACTTGAACCAATTTTCGGAAGAATTTCTTTTTGACGAAACGACGTTTATTGCCTTTTTTTGGTCTATAATAACTGCTGCCAAAAGAAGCGAGGGTAGTAACTGTATTCTGCCCTAGGAACCGACAATCACTGGAGAGCTGGCGCTCGACCTGTTGAGTTCCATTATTGTCGGATGCATAGGTGTCGTAGGATACATAGAGCCACTTTAAACTGCAATTCCGAAAACGCGTCAATCTCCAGCGCCGGAGATATTTTGAATGGAAATTCGGGAGAAATGAAGACACAAAACACGTCTTTGAGGAAATGCCAGAATTGGCCTTTGACGACTACGTTTCCGTTTTCATCGATGATCTTCCCGACAGGTAAACCGTCTGGGTTATGCCAACCCTCAGTTTCCTTCCAAGAACGTGGAAGTAGGGGTTGCGAGAGAGGATTCCTCATCTAGGGTGTGTCATTCGAGTGCATGCCCTATTAATAGATAGCGATAGCTTTCTCAATGACGAGTTAACGAATACCTGGAGTAGCAGTCAAGATTCATTTAACCCCAGCAATCATCTTCAGGTCCGCAACCTGTCCAGTGGACTCAGTATTCAATTAGTAGACTTAATCTACGGCCTCCTCAGAATAGCCGGCTTCGACCGTTGATGTCGGCCATTTCGTCGATTGAACTTTTCTCAATCAGCAGCCGTCAGACTAGTGAATCGAGCTTGTCTTCATTTTCCGATATTTGCTAAGTGTTGCAGGATTTATTGGCGATACCCATGACCATGCCACGTTGATCGCGATACTAGTTTGTAAAATTGTCCTTGTGATCATACTTCGGCATGCTTAATCAAGGCTGGAGCTTATTGGCTAAGATTGGCTCTCTGCTTTTGGTCTTGCTCTAGTGATTGTAGTGGCATTGATATGCTTGTATGCCATTGCGGTCGGTTGTACGATCCAGCTCCCAGAGGAGCACGAAGTCATAAACAGTGTGAAAAACGTTCGAGGTAATCGTTTCGGTCGATATACGATGACTAGATTCTTGCTACATCCCTCCCCCCTTATCATGGTTGTTCCAAGATACTTGAACTTGCGATCAGTTGGGCCGTCGGAATATGTGTCGTGGTTTGAAATTGGCGTAACTCATTCGAAATTTGGAAGAGTATGGATAGGATCATGCCAATCTCGAAATAGAGATTGTAATCTTCAACCGGTTTATGAGCGCAAGCTTCTAACGTACCGCGCGGCACGCCGTTTGTCTGCCGGAGACGATCGTGGATGTCATGAACTAGTGGCAAAGCTCGACTAGGATATAAGGGAAGTCCCTACGGGGGACACCGAGTGATCCTGCGATTCTTCCGACCGCAGATGTCTGCGTCAACCCTTTGATGTAGGCCTTCGCATCAGCCTGGTATTGAATATACTCGGCCGTCAACATGTCACACTGGATCTCGCGGCGGATGGCGATTAGAATATTATCCCCGATTCTGGGACCAGTCCAGAGTGGGATGCGGGAAGAAATCCTTCACTTCGTGGCGCATAGCTCGTGAATTTGGCGCAGTGCGAGAGCAAGCGATTCGGGTTTCTTCTTGATGTAATCACTGTTCCAGATCCAGAGATCGAGGGTTTGCAACATGACCATATGATCCTCCAGCTGAAAGGAGTGTTCATCGAGAGAGCCGCCCAAGATGCCTTGGTCGTACGTGAGCGCCAGGATGGGAATGGCGTTGGCCAACGTAGTGGCGATCTGTCGCATATTGAAGCTGTTTCGGAGCATGTACAGGTACACCTTGACGATCTATTCCTGCCCAAAACGCCGAAGTCTCCCGGAGACAACGGAAATTGATCTATTGGTGTCCCAATGACACCGACCAAAAAGGCAAAAGAGTCCAGACACACATGGTCTCGGTGGTGGTCGGGGAAGGGGGGTTGAGCGAGCGCGGCGGACCCTCAGCTACCATAAACTTCTTCAAAGAGTCGGTTCTATGTCGCTCCCCCTTAAAAGAATCTGACACATATATTTGCATAACAAGTCTACAGCCTCATCCCTGCACGGTTCATCAAGGCCAATAGTGATACCACTATCTGAAGTACAGTAAACACTGATCAGGAAGCGGTTTTCTCATCACTAGTTTTGAGATCACTGGCACGCAGTCCTTTCACGTGGGCAGCCAGGAATTCCACTGAAAGTGGGAAAGATGAATCATCGTCAGGATTGTCTGATGGGTCTGAAATAATGTCGAACTTCAATCTAGGGATATCCTTGCAACAGGGGCAAGGGCTGTCGGAGGCACCGGGACACTCGAGGCCGGGTTCGCCGGCCGGGAGGCCGACGTTGAAGAGGAGGATGAAGATGAGTACAATGATGGCGATGATTTTTCCGTGCCGCTGACCTCCAAATGTCACAAGTCGAGTTTTCTGACAGCCCCCTCCGCGCTCAAGAAAGCTAAGTTTCCATTTTGATCAATATACCTTCGAAGCTTGGAGGAAAAGTATTGATTAGTAAACGTAGTAGAGTAGCTGTGTGAGAAGTCGTGTAGCATTATGAGATTTGAGAGTTATGGAGGCGTTATGTTCCGTTTTAAGAGTGTCGAAATCAAATTTCCGCTTCAGACTCCTTCAGGTCTTTCTCCACCTAAAGGGCATTGTCGCTTAATGGCCATTTTACCTTAGGGTCGACATCTGTAAACACCTTCTCATCATTATGGATGAGAAGGAGCAGGGATCTTTTGACATTATAATATGGTCATGGTCACATCGTTCTTGTATATTCCAGGTATGCTGGGGACTTTGGGTCGCCAGAACTGTGTAGAGCCTTAATTGGCCATTACTATTCAGGTTTATTCACGTGCCATGTATTCCGTCCTGTCTTGATGATAGAGAAACATCAGTTCCCTAAAATACGGGAGTATTTTAGAGAAAGCTTTCAGTTGGGCTTTCATTGGATGGTCAATTGCTGTCCTCCGGGCGTAGGCTTTGCGAGGCTGACCGGCCACAGGTGAGGGTTTTAAAAGGGTTGGTTTAAGCTGCTGTAACGGTTTCACCACAGAAGCATAGAAAGAATATGGTTTCAGAACCAGCCGGTGGCTCCAAGCCAGTGCTCTAACTGCTGTAGCTTCCTAGGAAAAGATAGCTCGACAATGGTTGCCGCACGTTCTTGCGGCGTGCTGAGATCAAGCGAATTCACCCGCCGGCAAAGGAGATTGACGGATGGAAATCCAATAAATGCTTTGACTGGACTAAAATATGTATTGCGTTCTTCAAGCACTTCGAGAATGGTAGACAAATGCCGGACGTGCTCTTGTAAAGTCCCACTGGCAATAACAATATCATCAATGCACACTTTTTGATAGTCTTGCGACTTCGACTTTGAAGGTTTTGTAATCCCACTGTGATTTTCAAGGTAGACGGCGGTATTATGGAAATGCTTCATGGTAGTTGCGTATTCCTCCTAGAAGGTCTTAAAACTAATCGTGGTTAGATGTGATAAAGGATTTAACATGTTGGAAAATACCTTGACATTTCCTTTTTTTTGGTCTTTGGCTAGCTTGCATAACAGAACTCGTGCTGTATGGTAGCTAACATGACTTGTTTGAGCTCACAGTATTGCCAATTCATGCGTATAACGTCGATTTGAACTGCTGGAGGTCTGATTCTGTTGAAAGTTCGCATTTTGCCGCGAGCGTTCCATAAGTTGATTTTTTGATCCATCCAACACATTAAAGGCTTGAATAAGTACTAGGTGATTTGAGCAGTGTTAGATTGTTCATCCTCACAGCTGATGTGACGTTTCAGAAAGATATTAGCAAAGCAGATACCTTGAACCACTTTTTGAAGGTCTTCAGGAAAAGTGAGACTATGGAATTGGAAAAGGCTGAAACCATCTAAGTGGCATCAGACAATTTGCCCAACTTATACCAGGATTTCGAGTGCATCTGCAGTTGGTTTTGAGAAAACGGGGGGAGAGGGAAAGATTTCCGGGCAAGGTGATTTCTTTGTGCCCCGGTCAAGCAACTATCGTATGACCTCGTTTGCTTTGATACAAAGAATATTAGACGCCGACAGTATGTAGGTAACACGGTATATGCAAAGACTCTTTTGTACAAAGGCTGATGTTGCCTGCTGTCATCTCCGGTCCATAATATTTCCTAAAATGGAGCGGCATCCACACGCAGGGCGTCGAAGATAAAGGAATTGCAGGCGGGTTAAAGAGATATTGAGGATTCATACCGCCATGTGGATCACCGTATCACATGAGTGAACAGGTTTTTGGGGCAGCCTAGCCGAGGCAACGTGGATGAGGGTGTAGTAGAATGTGAATTCCTCTTATTTAGGAATACATGTTTTTTATCCTCCATATTTAACCTCATTTCTATGCTCATGCTTCTACATGTCTCATATTTCGATTGACTCCGTTAGACAAATGCCTACACAATGCCTAAAGAATATACCTAGAGGTATATGATAATCAGGGGTTGCAATAGTGTTTGTGGTAAAAGCAGTCTGACAAACAGGTTTTTTCAGGTCACCTACGACGATCAGCTGTAGCGAGGTGTAACCTCCTACGCACATATGACAAAACCGAATACAATATCAAGAATTTCTGTCTTCGTCCGAATTGACACTACTTCATGTCAGATTGAAAATATACTTCAGGAGACTAAAAAAGGTGATTAAAGTCTCTTTCATCAAAAAGAAATTCTTCCACAAATTGCTTCTAGTTTCGTCCTTTATGACGAGGCTCATGTGATCTTGTGATCCCGCCTATATACGAGGTAAAAAGAGATCAAATATTGTTAATATCAGTATGGTCAAAGCCTCTCTACCCAATCCATTGTGGTAGTTGAAGAACAACGCGAAATTGCTCAACGGCCGTCAGTGTGGCTTTATTGGCAAGATCATGCTAAGCTAAAACTGCATCTATCTCAATTACCAAATTTTCGATCATCTATACGTGCTCGCTTCAGCCATTTCGTCGATGAGCCCACCAAGGTCTGGGAATCTTTGTGTGGACGTCGTCAGACGGCACTACTTCTGCTCAGTTCGCTCACTTCGGGTTGCCGTTAGAGGGATGCAGAGGCAAGCGTTTTACACTAAGGATATTTGACACTTTTCCGTCCTATAACTCGAGTTCTCCCGATAACGTGGTTTTTACCGAATTCCTCTTCGCCCCGTCCGTTTTTAAATTCCCTATACTCGACTGCTTGATGCTTACAATCCAACGACTGCCGAGTAAAGGTCGTGTTGGGATTATGCTAGAAAAATTACACTGTGTTCAATCCAAATCACTACAGATATGACAAGGATTCCGAACTGGGGCTCTTCAATAAGCTTCACAATTGGAATCATGGCCTGGAGAAATACGTAGTCGATATCGACTTCACATGGGTTGTTATTGGAAATACTATCTCCACAGACGTCGAGAAAATCGACTCTTCCATGCACGATGAAGTTCCGGTTAAGCTTGAGCTTCTTCTCGGTGACAGTACTCGACGGTTGAAATTACTTGCTTTTCCTTCTTCCTGTATAGTTCTTTACATATTATTTCAATATGTCGAGCTGGTGGGGAGAATTCAATGGCTACTCCGTTGATATCTCGCAAATCCTAAAAAAAGGCTACCAACCACGTTGCCATGACCTTCTCTGGAATGACCCTCTACAACAGCCAGCATGCTTCGGCTGGATCTACTAAAGCTGGAGGACGAAAGTCCAATGGTGGAGGAGATCGCCGCTCTGGAAAAGGTGGCCTGGGCACTTTCCAAGAAATTGTCCGACAGGTCTGGGACGAACTCTGCAGAATTGGCAAGCAAAGTGATGACCGAGTTTGACAAGCTGTCCGCCAAAGTCGAAGTCTTCTCGAAGCATCTAGCTAATATAGAGGCTCGTCTCGCAGAACGACACTAAATTACTGAATTGCTGCCAATGCCTACAATGGGCCTCAAACATTATCATCAATAGACATCTAGTTGCAGCACGAGGATGGCCTAACATGAGTGAAACGCCTCTATGACAAAGCGAGAACTCGACTTGTTTGAAGCAGATCGCACACGGAATGCTGACTTCATCTTGTTTGGCGTGACTGAGCAAATCTTGCGATCGGAGCTTGCCGCTTAGAGTATGTTTCCGTTGAATCGTATATTCCTCCTGACGGAATCATTATCAAAATAGAGAGCCACTCCCAAGAAGGGTTTCAGAGAACACATGCGATTTAAATTCACCCGCGACGTCCTAGCAACGACGCCGAAGTGAGCGCATGCAGGGCAGTCCAAGAGTGGTCGACGACACGCCAAACTTCGCTCTAGTAATGATGGGAAAGCAGAATCCAGACCTTAAAGAGCTGTAGATTTATGCACCAGTGACGTCTGTTTATGAGTCATTAAGAATGGTTGACTTTGGGGTATAGCACAGCGGGCTCTCGAATTAAGTCCCCTATTCGGTCGAGCCAGTAACAATAACCGGCCTTTATGCCGCAGACACGGCGGTACTGCAGCGTTCGATATTGCAGACCGACAGAACGCTCATAGCATGATTTACAGCATTGCACGTTTCCAACTACTTTGCGCTCGGTGGAAGAATCCTGTTTTTCCCCAAGCGCATCGATTACTAGGACGGGAAAACCATATTAAAAACGACATAGTCCTTGTCTGCTGAATACCAGCTGAAGAAAGTGCTTCTAATACCGGCATGCCCTTACTGCTTTATAAAGATTGTCTTAACAACTAAATAACTAGACTTTTGATATCTTTTAAATCAAGAAATACATTACAGTATAATTAAAACTATATAAACATTAAAGTATCTAGTATATTCTATATAATAAATATTATTATTCTACACTTTTTTAATCTCTTATTATATATAGTAATTGATTTAGACTTAATCTTAATATTTCTTTTTATAACACCTTTTTGTGCGTTAAATATAATAAGGCTGACAAGATTTAAATCTGCTAGTCTTTGAATATAACTATGGCTAGGGGCTTAGTCCAGTAGACAGCTCTTCAGACGCACCAGGTGGCCTTGCCATTTGACCACCAGGCCCCTAATGAACCCTTGTAAACACTCCCAATTAAGCTGTAATATAGGACTCGCTCAGGGATCCAATAAGGCTCGAGAACATGACATAATATCACAACACGACACACAGGAATCTAGGTGCGCGGGGCGCCTCAAGATACAGAAGCCCATATCTCGTACTTGATTCGCCAAACCGTATTCATAAACGCGCTAGAGAAGACTAGGGCTTAGGTTCTTCGCATTTAACAATAAAATGTCGCTAGCAGATACAGAGGTCCATATCTCGTACTTGATTCGCCCAACCGTGTTCATAAACGCGCTAGAGAAGACTAGGGATTAGGTTCTTTGCAATTATCGCAGAACACCCACAGGGCTGTGTCCAAGAGATAGTCGAGAAAACTTACAAATATCAGCTCATGTGAGCCATGTGGAATTTCTGGATGGACTATGATTCCTCATTGGCCTACGCGTGAGATCCGTCATGCGGAGCTTATTCTAGCGCCGTTTAATGTTGGGAATATTTGAGGTGGTTTGTGTATGTATAAAAGGATATGATGGAATCAAGAGCATTTCAGTTCACCCTGGTATAGATTCAAATCCAAATCCCATCAAATCTTACAGAGTAATACACCTCATTCTTCTCAATATCAATTGATAATTAGCTGCCATGGCAACCTCGTTGTCTGATCTGACTACTACTGTGGAATCTGCTTTGTCGAGCCTCCCACCTTCTGATAAAATCGAAGATGCCGAGCGTATGCGGCTCCTAGGCATAATCAACCAGCTTCAAACGGCGCTAGAGCCTCCTCTTCTGTCTATTCAGCGGCTTTGTTTCTCAGTATGTCGTCACTAGCCATTGTTTTCATCTGATAGATAGCCCGGACTGAGATTTGGCTAGCATTATGGTATCGTTGCCGTTCGGGTCGCCCAGGGTATGGGGGTTTTCGACTCATTCGTCGAAGCCCAGGGTACGGAGATGACCTTAGCAGAACTTTCATCAAAAACTAAAGGCGATGAAGCGCTTTTAAGTATGCCTTCTTCCTATATTTATGAAATTGCAGCTAAGGGGGGGGTGGGTTATGATCATGCTGACATGTTTCTTGCTTAGAACGTATTATGCGTTATCTTTGTGCGCATCATATCTTTAAGGAAACTACTCAAAACACATACCAGCCTTTACCGCTAGCCATGATTTTCGGGACCGGCTCTGTACCCGGAGACATGATTAAACACTTGTATGTACTACAATACATGCCTTGAATTGATTTGCCAGTATGATAGCTGCTGACTCTTCTCTTTCAGTCATACAAATTTACAAGTGACTGCAAAGATGTTTGAGTATTTCGAGAAGAACGGTTATAAAAACCCTGAGGATCTTAACGACGCTCCCTTTCAACTTGCATACAACACACGCGATACCTATTTCGAATGGCTGCAAAAGAATCCTACAGAACAACAAGTCTTCAACTCGGTCATGACGGAGAGTCTACAGTATTGCGGCAAGGACTGGTTCAACATCTACCCCGTCCCAGAGAAGCTGAAGTGCTCTCCATCCCGCGTTTTGCTTGTTGATATCGGCGGTGGTGTCGGCCATGATATTATAGCTTTTAGGAAACAGTTCCCTGAGCTACCAGGCAAGCTGGTTGTTCAGGATCTGGCCCACGTGATTGATGACATCCAAGAGCCATTACCAGACAGTATTACTGCAGTTGCACACAATATGTTTGATCCACAGCCATTCCGTGGTGCTAAGTCGTACTATATGCGAACAGTATTGCATGATTTCCCGGACAGACAAGTCGTGGCTGCTCTGTCTCGCATCCGTGAAGCCATGGCGGAAGACTCCATCTTGCTCATCCATGAGCACACGGTTCCTGAAGGACCTAATATGCCACCGCTAGCAGCGACTCTTGATCTTCATATGATGGAAATCTTCTCCTCCCTAGAGCGAACAGAGGAGCAGTGGATTGCTCTCCTTGAAAAGGCAGAGTTCAAGGTGAATAAAATCTGGAAGGACCAGTCTAATGCCCATCACACTGCTCTGTTTGAGGCTACTTTGTAATGAAAACGAAGCTATTAGAGTCGATGCCTAGCGCTTACCTACGACGCGGGAAATCCCAGGTTTATATATCTCATACTAGGTAAATAGGAGATAAATAAAGATAAGAATGGTCACATTTGAAAAATAATAAAAAGTGCTAGATATGTACATATGTAATCTATATTATCAATTGACATAAGAAGGTTCACGGTTTAATAAATACATATGTAATAATATCATACAACCGAAAAACGCAGTATGCTCAATAGAGATTACTCTATTTTGGAAAATTCAGGTATGTGTGATGGTGACTTTTTCCCGTCTACCTGAAAAATTTTGGCAGCTCTAATCAACGACCAGTTAGTAGCGTCCTGTGCGGATCTCAGGGTATCAAACAGAAACCGAGCCAACTCTTCATCAGCCTCTCTATCGACCAATGACATGTACATATCTCGCTGGTCTTTAGTCTGCAACTCTGTCTTCATAGTTTCCAGGGCCAACGAGGCCACTACATTAGAGTTGATAACCCCTTCACTATGCGGCCAGGACAGCAGAACGTTGATTGCCTGCAAGCGAAGTGAATATTGTGGACATCTGGACACCACCACATAAAGGCTTGCAACACAACAATAATCCAGAGTTATTGTTGGACGGGCTGGAAATTTAGATACCAATTCTTCGCAGGCAGCTAACAGGGTCTCGTATTCAGGGAGCAAATCAGCAGGTACTAACCCGTCAATGAGGCAGGTCTTGAGGCCAAGAATCTGACCAAGGCATTGCAGCTGGAGAATTTCTAATCCCACCTGTTCCTTATGACTCAGCTGGTGAAAGAAACGCTTGTGGAATATCCCGGCTTGTCGTTGCAATTGATAGTAACTAGAAAGAAGTCGCTGCTGTTTGTAGAACAATTTACCATACTCGGCTTTAATTTCAGTACCAGAGAGCGGCCAGCACTTTGCGAGAAAGGGAATCCCGATGTTAAATAGGTAAGTCAAACTTTGATATGCATCATCCAGGCATTTTAGTGGAGAATAAAAGCTCTGCTCAGGCCAATTCTCCTCTAATTCATTACTCGTAAATAGAAAAGGCCCTCCCGTCCCAAAATGGGAGGACTCGATATCTAGTCGTTGAAAGGTCCGAATCAAACAGCTATCTAGGGACAATTCATAATGTTGTGTCAGGAGTCGCTGTTGTTGAGTCTCTCGCAGGATCAGAAGGCCACTACGCAGGTGCCGGAAGGCACTGTCGTACTTTCCAAGAAGTAAATCGGAAAGAATGAAAAGCAGACAACACAGTAACAGCACCCGACGATACTGGGGATCCTGGGAGGCCTGGCGATAGTTAAGATGCTCAAAAGCCCGAGAGGCCTGCTCAAGTGCGAACCCGTGGCGAGGCCGATGAAGATTTTCTCCTGACAAGCGCATTTGGTTTTGATTTGAGTCTTCGTGAATGGCGCCGAGCATACTGGCGGCATGATATACGGCGCGGTCAACATGACCCATCTGCAGGGCTAGGTTTTGCCAGAGCGGCGAGTTGGAGAAGGTTGCCAGGCTAGGAATTGAGCAATGCGTGAAATACGAAAAGAATCGTCTCTCCTCTGTGGTGGTAACCCAGCCCAGTGCAGACCCAATATTTGCATGTGGGAGAAGTGCAATGGCAAGCTTCTTGACCGGCAACCGAGTTATATCGTACCCATCGCATTTGCGAGCTGTGGACGTGCAATTATTACATATACCGGGGGCTTCATCGCACTTGATGTGGCGAGCACTGCGCTACGAATCAGTTCACATACGCTTTTAAACTCCAGAGCTTATTCTCACCGACAAGTTCGGCATCCCGCCAAAGACCGCTTTGCGAGTCTTCTGCGTCGCCTCGTAGGCTGCATGCGATGTAAGACTCTGGTGGTACGGAATTAATTCCCTGAAGATAGCGGGGCGAGAATTTATCAATTGAGGCAAAGGAAAGTCATGATCAAATGAAGCTGAAATCGTGGCTCAGCCCCCACTGGAGTGCAAGATTATGTAAGAGTGTTGGTATTACAATGTCTAACTTTGAAGAGTTACTGGTGCCAAAGCTCCGATAGACTACAGGGGGTTCACCACTCACTCACTATCTGGTCCCACTCAACGCTCGATTTTGACGATTTATTAAAAAAATATTTTGACACTTTACACAACCATGTAATAATAAAAATATTGGATTTTTTGGTGTAGTAACAAGTAGGCCTTAGAGAGTGGATTTGATTGATTATTCACTAATGATAATACTTTGAGAGTTATATTTGTCTACCCCTATGAATGTAATATTCCATACCCTTATATCTCGACCCTTTAGCGAGATATTGAGTATAATATTATGATTGAAATAAATTAAATACGGTCTCAAAGGATCCCCGCTGTTGTATGTAAAATTTCTTTTTTTGTTTTCTTCTTATTTTTTGCATTCTTTCCCTAGGAAAGGTGCAGCTCCTGTGCACGACGTTCAACCTCTGAGGCTGACAGTATCATACATAGCTGCCACAACCAGCAGATGATGAGCGAATAATTTTCGAGGGTTTGCTATCACTCAGATTCCTCTGGCTTCTCATCCTGACAATAATCCCTAAGTTTTTGGAGTGGCCTGAAAGTGTGAATTACAAATGCACAACTATGATTGAATCTTCTTTTCTTAATAATCAGTCTCTAATAGAGACCCCACACACATTAGACATAGTGCTGTACCCCGGTTTCAGTGGCTATCGTCGTACACCTGAATATGCTCATTCTCTTAGCAGGATTGAACCGGGGGGTTGGGAAAGGATTAGACGGAGAATTAAGAGGAGCCAGCAGCGTTACAGTATGTAGTTTGTAACAACAGGAAAGTCAGGTGGATGGTACCCCGTAGATTCAGTTGTTACTACGACACAATAAGAGAAATATAGATGGAATAAGAATGAAATCGTTCATTGGTAAGACAGTTCAGAGCTCTACAGACATTTGCATCCGCTGGTGCCCCAGATCATAAACATGATTTTTCTTCTGGAAAGGAAGTGCTGAAACTCCGATACCACCCATGACCCTGCAAACCGGCTCCACATGCGATCTTTTTTATTTATGATTTGATGAGTATTTGGAAGCTATGTCTACTTCCTGATCGCACGCTGGTAGAATGCCAGCTCATCACCCTCCAACAGGTATCCGTCCAGACGACCGCTCTGGCCGGGGCGGGACGACACAACAGCGTACATGCGGCCGGCCTCGAACTGACGCTCCAAGGCGGAGTCAACCTTGCCGGATGCGGCGAATCGGGCGGCCTGCTTCTTCTCGACGCTCTTGCTCTTCTTCACCTCCTCGGTCTCGGTCTTCTGTTGGCGCCGTCGGCCGAGGGTCTGGCCGTAGTGGGCCTCGTACCATTGTCTGAATGGGGCAGGGTCGATTTCGACGACGGCCGCCTTGGTGAGGGTGTTGGTGCGGACAAGCTCGTTGTTGGAAGGGTGGAAGACGACGCGGACGACGCGGACCTTGCGGGAGATGCCCTCAGATGCCCATGAGAAGTTGCCGGACTCGAGACGCAGAGCACGGTACTTGGTGTTTCCACCGCGAGTGCGGACAAGGTGGATTCTCTTGTTGCCGATACGAGTGTTGGCTGGCTGACGACCCTTCTCGAAGGCTCTGTAGAAAAGTAAGCCGTGAATCCTCATCATCCCAATTGTTTCCATCACTGGAGTGTAGTTCGTACCTCTTCTTACGGTAGGTGGCTCTCTTTGCGCCGGTAGCAGAGCGCTTGTGGCGGGAATCACGCGAAATACCCATATTGGCGTTTGATGGACTGGACCACTGTAAAGGTCAGAAAACTCAGAGCCGATAATTTTAAGCGTATCACAAAAAGTATCAGAAAATGTGATTGTGATTTTTTTTTTCTTCCGACAAAACCAATCAATTGAAAGAGTTCGCAGCAAGAATCAAAAATCAAACATCAAAAATGCTGTGTCGAGTCTTTGTGGGGCTGAATCGTTTTTCGATGTTCACACACAGCGTCTTCAATGCCGATTCTCCAATTCTCCAATCTCCAGGTCGAGGGGTGTCGAAGAGGGTGCAAATAGCTGAGAGGACTGGAATATACTAACCTCGTATCCTGTAGTCCTTCACCGGATCAGCGCGTCGGGTTGAGTGGTGGGTTGGCGGTTGTCGGGTCGAGATGTGAAGTCGCTAACAAGACAACCTTGAATTTTGTCGCAGTGTGGCTCCGCTTGCTCGCTTAGTGTGCCCTACCGCGCTAGCCGGGTTCGGCGTGATCACGTGATACGCGCCAACCAGATTTACCCTCTTGTGCATAACATTTAAGATTTTTCTTAGAAGCTGATTGGAGTATTTCAAGCTATCGTAAACTATCTATGTTACTGTAACTATTTATGTGCCTTTTTCGCCCTCTCTCTCTCAACAAGAGCATCAAACCGCTGCAGGCACGTAAACCCTTCAATAAAGTTGTTGATAAACCAGCAGAGCCACAGGCGCGAGCCAAACGGAATGTTGTGTGGCTTAAGCCTGTACAGCGATAAATAAATTGCCTCGGCTAGGTGGATGGCCACCATGAGGATGATGAGAAGGGGCTGAATGGTATGACAGAAAACCGCAAAGCCAGGCACATGCCGCAGCACAAGATCGTACAGTTGAGAGCCCGGCTCGAAATTGGCTCGTCGGGAGAACGCAATGAAAGTCAACAAACAGGTAGTAAAGATCACGGCTGGAAATCCCGTGGGTGGGCGATATTCCTTAATGGTAATGTCGGAGCGACCGAGGGCCTTGAGGCAGTGGTGGTGCATACCGACAACTTGCTCGCGCACCTCGCTGATTGAAGACAAGGCTGGCTCGAAAGGCACGAAATAATGTGTCTTGTTTGTAGAGTGGCCCGTGGTGATGGTCAGCCCAGTAAGGCGCACCTCTTCGAGCTTGGCAGACTGCGACTCTCGACGAGGGACTCTGTTGTAGACCTGCAGGAAGAAGGCGAGGGAGTCTTGATGGTTGGCATTCATGTGAGCGCAGATTTGCTCCTGGCGGAGTCGATGTTGGTCCGCTTTTCCATCAGCTGCCTTTGCTCCGTGAGAGCCATCGATGTTATCTGTGCCAGCCATTTTACATTCACGGTTCAATGATAGATGAATGCTCTTCTTGACGCACAACCAAGATGGCAGTTGGTTGGAGGGGGCTTACCTAAAGAGGCTTAGCGGTGACACTGCCGAGGCACGATCATAGCCAATAACATTTCTCGATTCCTTGCAAATATAGCAATGATTTGATTCTAATGGTGTATTACCCTGCCTTTGAGGCTAGGGACGGATCAGTTCCTTTCTCTACGAAGATGGAGCAATTGAGGAGTGTTTACTTCTTCAAACTTTCAGACAGAGTAGTGTTTTACCAGTCGAGTCTTACTATAGAAGAGAGAGAATGAACTATAAATATGCCAATCTCTCACCAGTGCATACATATTTAACTCTTTAGACGTTACCACCAACTTGAGACCGCCTCCGTCTCTCCCTATTCGAAAGGAATGCGATCAACGCAATGCTCAGAAACTGCACTACCGTCGTCGACAAACTCGAGATGAAGCCCTTCCGGAAACGCGGTGCACTGGTGGCTGGATACTGTAATATCTGAGTCCAAGCCGCCATGGCCTGTCCGATGGCATTCATACTTGCGGTCACAATGGCACGTTCCTCAGCATCGTTGGCCATGACAACCGTCGCCCAGCTCATGGTGAGTGGACTGATAGCTGTTACTACTCGTTAGCAAATGCCTCGTTATTTTAGGGTAAAGGCATGAACCCACCTCCCTCGAACCCCGTAATGATAAAAGCAGCCAGACGACCAGCCTCTCCAACATCATATGCGACGAGTAAGGCGACTCCAATCAACACTGGAACGCTGGTCACCACCGACGGAACCCAGAAATTGCGCAATCTATCAGCTGCCACACCCGCTACTAGTGCCGCTACGACAGACAGCGCTGTGGCTATTGTAGGCAGCGTGTTGACGTGCGATACCGAGTATATTTCCGGCTTTGCTTTGAGATAGAGGCTGAATGGGGTCGAATAGGGCATGAAGTTCTGATCCATCAGGATCCAGTGCACTACAAAGACATACCAGTGCCAGCGCCCAAAGACTCGTTTGAAGATCGCCCGCGAGACTTTCATCTCACTGGGCGCTACGAGGCCTTTCAGGCGGCTGTTGGCGAGGGTATATTCTGCTTCGGTTAGTAGACGTGGTCGTTTGCGGTGAGGAACGTCGGGGAAGACGATGTATCCTCTGGCTTAATGTTAGCACTACTATAAACATTGACTATAGGGATTGGACCATACAGTATGGATGTCGGCAGAGTAATGACGGTGCAGACAATAAAGAGCCATCTGTTGGAATATGTTTAGCTAACTGACAAAAATATAGGGTGGTGATAACGTACCGCCATCCAGCCAAACCGTTGACGTTATTCAGATTGGTATAAGCTGCAGCCTGGAGATATCCAGCAAACATAGTCCCGAGAGGCGACGCAATGAAGAACAGGGCAACACGCCGTGTGACTTCACCTGGCTTGTACCACGATCCGATCACATATATGACGCCAGTAAAAGAACACGACTCAAAAATGCCCACGAAGAACCGCATTGCATATATCGTGTTGAGATTCTGGGCCCAGGCACAGCCGAACGTGAAGAGACCCCAGCCAACTTCTAATGTCGGTAGGGCGATGTTGATAGGGAAGCGAGTCAACAGATAGCACGCCGGGATCATCGAAGTGCAGTATGACGCCCAGAATACAGCGGTAATGTAATTGAGTTCATTCCCACCCAGGTGCAGGTCTTCTTTCATGCCTCTGAAATACAATCAGGACATGTAAATACATATAAATGAATCTTGCGTGTATCCACTTACGATACGTATGCATTGGTGATGGCTTGCTGATCCAAGTACTTTGTGAAGAACGAGAGACAGCCAAAGACAAGAATGAGTAAATCCAATTTCAACACCAGTCTTTTCTCCAAATGCGGCATGTCCTTTGGATACCATTTGAGAAAGGTCAGCAATCGCAGCCATGGCCCATCACGGCCTTGGTCTTGCACAGAGTTGCCCCTATCGGTTGCCGACGACTCTGGCACGTCGCTGATGACTTCGAAAGTCTTGGAATCTTCGCCTGCCATTGTGCTGAATTGGCATGGATGATGGTGTGGACAGCGACATGTCGGCTACATATATAACTATGTACTGTAAGGCGAAATTGAATATGGTTTTCTTGATGCAGCTAATACTGACGGCGGATAGAGTGATTAGTGGGTTCGATGGTGTGCTGGATGCTTCGGCAATGGCTCCGACACATATTACCACATACAGCAGCATATTCTCGGTAACTCTTTTCGGCAAGACCTGTAGATGCCCTATTTATACCATAGATATACAGATAGACATTCTTCAACTAAGAAAAGGCTTCTATCATGATACATATGTACCATTGAAAGAACATGATGCAGAGCTGCATCTTTAGTAGATATCTTATCTTTAGTAAATATCAATAAGAATAACGAGCTAACCATCTTTAGGCATCATTGACAAGATCTCTGGTTGTTAGCAAGAGCAACCTCAAGCATCACAATAGGCGAGTCAGTTTCCAAATGCCTAAAAGAATAGTTTGGATGAGTGAATTTGCGTGTATATATGTAGTGGGGATGAGTGAATTTGTCTTGTAGTGCGTTTAGATTTAAATAATTACATATTATTAATAATAATTAATCGACCACCTAGTAACTATGCTGTCCTGTTTTCCGACAAAAATACCTGATTCGGCATTTAAATGCACGTCAAGCGGGTGAAAATGGCGTGATGGTCCAACATACTCTGATTGATAACGTCTTAATCTAGGTTAACACCAGTACACACATAAATAAGAGTGTTCTTCAATTTACATTGAAATAATTGAATGACTGCATAGCGAAATAGCAGAATATAAACAAAGTCTATCGGATTAATTCACAAGTATGGCAGCTAAAAAGCACATTCTTTTAAATGCCTTCGACATGTCCACTGTAGGGCACCTGTCGCCTGGCCAATGGAAGGTGAGCTCAACCCTATATGTACAATTCTAGAGTTTAACCTGTATATAGGATCCTAACGATCGATCAGCAACTAAAAGGGGTCTCGACTACTGGGTCAACCTCGCAAAGACCCTCGAGCGCGGCGACATCAACGCCCTGTTCCTCGCCGACACCTATGGCGGCTATGATACCTACGAGGACTCTCTCGACAACTGCATTCGGCGCGCGGCCCAGTGGCCGATGACTGATCCGACGATTGTATGCCAGCCTCTCTATAATTCAAACGTTACTTTTCCTGTTTTTTTTCTTTCTTGTTGACATGACAGTTAGCCTATATCTGCAATGGCGGCAGTCACGAAAAACTTGGCGTTTGCAATCACCGCATCAACCTCCTTTGAGCCTCCATTCCTCCTGGCCAAGCGGTTCTCGACCCTGGACCATCTAACTGGCGGACGGTTCGGGTGGAATATCGTCACGGGGTGGAAGAAGGGCGCCTTTAAAGCGATTGGACTTGACGAGCCTACAGACCACGACAAGCGGTATGCGCAGGCAGATGAATATCTGCGTGTTTTGTACAAGTGTGTATCCTCTATTTTGTTAACCAGTTGATAAGTGCATCGTTAATGACTGGAGTCAAGACTGTGGGAGGGCTCGTGGGCAGATGATGCCATTGTCAAAGACGTCGAGACAGATACCTACGCAGACCCAGACCGAATCCGAACGATAAAGCATGCCGGCGAGTTCTATCATCTGGAGAGCAGACACATTGTCGATCCAAGCCCACAGCGCACACCGCTGCTCTTCCAAGCGGGGACTTCACCGTAAGTACTTGAAACCCAGAAAAGTAGTCAAGTATCTAAAATAATAGACAGTGCTGGATCGAAATTCGGCGCAACACACGCCGAAGCAATCTTTGTCTCGGGCCACAGCCCGTCCGTACTGGCGCCTCGCATAGCCCACATCCGGTCACTGGCGCAGGAAGCAGGGCGCGATCCGCAGTCGATCAAGTTCTTCGGCACAATAACGCCTATTATCGGACGCACCGAGGAAGAAGCGCAGGCCAAGCTGGCGCAGGCGAAGAAATACGCATCTGTGATCGGTGGGCTGGTTCTGTTTTCGGGCTGGACGGGCATTGATATCTCCAAGGTGCCGATTGACGAGGAGATCGATCCGGTCAAGCACTCGCTCGAAAAGCACAAGGTGCATTCGATTTCCGAGACGTTGACGGCGCGCACCCCCGAACTGCCCTCCATCACGCCGCGCATTATCGCGGAGACGGCGGCGATAGGGGGGTTGGGGCCTGTGGCCGTAGGGACGCCGGCGCAGGTGGCTGATGTTTTTGAGAAGTGGGTTAATGAGGCGGGTCTGGATGGGTTTAATGTTGGTTATGTCACGACGCCCGGCACGTTTGAGGATGTGGTGGATTTGCTGGTGCCGGAGTTGCGGCGGAGAGGGCTGTATCCTGAGAAGAAATGGGATGGGGAGGGGGAGGGGTTAACAGCGAGAGAGAAGATATATGGACAGGGCCAGAGTAAGCTTCGGGATGATCATGTTGGGGCGGGTTACAAGTATGATGTGTATAAGGAGGAACCACCGTTTGAGAGGGAGGCTTAGCCTACGCGTAGACGGTGATCTAATCTATCAAATATTAATAAGATGAATTGAAATGAGTATAATTAAGAATATCAAGTTCATCGTATCTACACGCATCGCTGAACAAACATAAACAGTCATTCCAAAAAGAAAAAGAAACATCATTGCCATTAGAGATAATCGTCAGAGAAGTGTACAATAACATGTAATCGTATATGTTGAGGTTGGTCTATGCGTCACAATCATAAGACAGGACAGTCGAATGGTGAAAACAAGACAGCTTGGACGAGCGATTGATCCATTGGTGGTATTTGATAGCGGGAACTATCTATTTTCTATGCCCTAGTCCCTCCATGTCAGCCAAACCAAGCCCTAAAATCTTTTTTTGAAATAGAGATATCTAGCACTTACAGTAACGCTAGAGTCAAATCACCATGGATACTGGCCTTCAGCTCAACCTCGATATCCAGATTCAGCTCTAATTTGAGCTTCAAGCCCTCCTCATCATCGATTGACTTCTTCGAGTCTTCCGCCATCTGGAATTTCTCACCACCCTGATTGCCACCGCGCTCGGGGATCTCGCCGCGCTCTTGACGAGCCCGCGTGACGGGGCCATCCATTGATGCCTCATCACCGCCGAGGCGCTCAAACGGGGCGACGGCTTGGGATTCATCCTCGCTCTCGTCGTAGTAGTCAAAGGAGCGGTTATCGCGGCCCTTGACCGCTGTTCCCTGTTGCGGCCTCCTTCGGCGTTGGTTTTGGGCCTTGTGGTCAGATTCTGTTTGGGGCTCGTCAATGTCGTCTTCTGAGTACGAGTCGTAGTCGAAGTCGCTGTTGCTGGCGCTGTCAGAGTAGTAGTCGTCGTCGTCGTCCTGAGGAAGGTCCTCTTTTGTTTGTTTTTCGGCGGTAGCGGCCATGTTTCTCGCTGTCAATAATGTCTTCCTCGATATCTCAGGTGTCTGTCCCAAGTTACAAGTTTCGGTTTTTATTGAAAAGGGATGTGATATCAGAGGGTAAGTGTGTTTCTATTGAAAAGCCAGCTAGTGGCTGCAGCAGAGGGCATATAGTTAAGACGTAATGAGAACGCCACTTAGCACAGAAGCTACATCATCCTGCGCCCACTCGAGGGGTAAAGCCAGTAACGCAAATAAGAAAACATAATAATAATAGAATGATAGAATAATAATAGAAGTAAACGATGACGAGGTGGAGAACATCTCCCGCCAATCGACGTGCACGATATCCACGCCAGTCCCGATACGGCAAGATCGAGCTGTCAACCTGGAAATTCTCCGAAGACGTCACTCTAGAACATACTATACCCTACACACTATACTCTATGCTATACACGACACTATTCACGATACTATACACGATACTATGCACTCTTTATTTATTGCGATATGATATTAATGTCCTGATTGGGAGGATCGTATTGTACTAGACTTGCCAACTTTTATATCCAATATCTTCTATTCGATGTGGAGTGTAAACCAGGAACGGGTTCTGCCTTGACGTCACAACCACCATCTAGAGACACGTTTCCTGGTTAATGTCTCCGATCTCATCAAACCAACAACTAGCCACTCCACTTCTCCATCTCGATTAGTCTCCCCTAGCACCACGTCTGTGGCTGCCAATTCCACGCCAGGACGTCATCCACGTCTCAGATCTCGCGATATGACGCTACACGCACCGCCCATTGATGCAGATCACTCAATTGATCTACCAAGACTGACGTCGCTGGCGTCACCTACTCTACAATATATTATATCAACCCATCTTCCATTCTCTTGACGTAGTGCCCGTCCGTTATAGATAATACCTTCCCAATCCATCGAATCGAAAAGTTTTGATTCTCGTTTCTCACAATGTCATCTGAACAAGCCAACACTTCTGAGGTCTCTCAAGACACCCCCAACTCATCCTCCCCATCTACCACGCAGCAGAAGAAACCACCGAAACTGAACCGCAAGAAGCCTGCGCCTGCTGAGGAACAACCACAAGCAAAACCTGAAGAAGAAGAAGAAGAGCAGGAACAAGACGAGCCTGCCCCTGAGTCTGAGACCGTTAAGCAGGAGCCCGACGAAGAAGAAGAAGAAGAAGGAAAAGAAGAGCCCCAACCCGAACCCGAGCCCGAACCTCGTCGACGCAACAGACGAAGCCGGCCGAATCGTCGCGTCCAGAGATACCACGACCCCGAAGACACGGAAGAAATCGAGCGCAGCGACATGGACGGCGGTCAACAAGGCGGACGCCGGCGCACGCGCAGCGGGCCGAGTAAAAACCAGCAGCAGCAGCAGGGCGGCGGGCTCGGCTCTCTGGGCGGCATCGGCGATGTTGGGAATACCGTCAGCGGAGCGACAGACATGGTGCAGAACACAGCCGGTAAGGCGGTTGGCGGAGTCACCGACTCGGCGGGAAAAGCACTGGGAGGCGTACTTGGTGGCGGACAGAAGGATGATGGCGGAAAAGACGAGCAGTTGAGGCTGCGTTTAGACTTGAACCTGGACATCGAGGTGCAGTTGAAGGCGAAGATTCATGGTGATTTGACGCTAGGGTTATTGTAAGTTTTACACCCCTCTTTTTGATTGCTGCTAGACTTTAGTAACATGCCTAACTCTTAGCTCCTAGGAACTAAACCAAACCTAAGCTGATATCATCTGTCGAGGATGAGGTTGTTTTGACTTATTTTGCTGTGTTAATGTGGATGTGCAGGCCAGGTTCAATGTGGGCTGTTGGAAGTTTTTGATCATCTGAGCGGACTTTGGCACTGTAGTTTGTTCTATCAAGACTTATATGTTGTTAATTGATTGTATGTTATTTAATGATGGAATGATATTATTATATTGCTATAATTCAGTAATTGATGTCCATGCATTTAATTAAATACATGACTGACAGTATGCAACCATCACTCTTACATCACTTAAGAGTGAATATAAATTGAGTTATAAAATGCCTATATGAAATCTACACCTATTATATCCAGGCATACATGTACATAAAATGATGCAGAAATATAGACCTAAAGCCCCGCAATGCTCATCAACGCATACCCAATCGTCACAATTATCACAAACGAAATCAAACTCGCCGGAATGCCGCGGGTGAGGAAGTGGCTGACACGGAGATAGCGCTGGCCCGTACCAGGGATCTCCATCATAATGGCAGCTATATCACAACACTATTAATTGATGTGCAAAAGGATGATATAGAAGGGGGAGGGGACTTACTCATATTAGGGAAGCCGCTGGTCGGCAGGCCCATGGCAACAGAGCACATCAACGCACTGGCCATGACGAGCAGGTTCGGATGCGGATTTTCCATGCCGACGCCGACCTGCTGCACAAGCGGGAGCACGATCAGGGCGGCGACGGTGTGGGAAATGAACGTCGCCATGACGAGGATCAGCGCGGCGAAGACGAGAAGAACGCCGTAGAGGCTGAAGTCGGCCACGCGCTCGGTGATTGCGTTGGCAATAGTGTGCAGGAGGCCAGATGAAGTCACTGCCTTGCCTAGACTCAGGCCACCGGCGGCGAGGATGATGATGGTCCAGAGAAAGTTGTTGAAGTCTTCTTTGGTGAGAATGCCGCTGCCGAAGAATAACACCATGGGGATGATGGCGATAACCCCCATGTCGCCGAATACCGTGTCGAGCTGGTGGCTGAAGCACCAGAGGATGATGGTCACGAACGTGGTGATGGTGACGAACCATTGTACACCTGAGAAGCGATCCTTGACAGGGCGGATGGGGACAATGGTTGTGCCGCGGCTGGGTTTGAACGTGGCGAGCAGTAATAACCATATCAAGACGATGGAGAGAATGCAGACGGGGATGGAAATGAAGAACCATGTTCCCCAGCTCAGCGCAGGGTACATGTTCTCCAGTGCAATGATATTCTGAGGCGATGCGATTGGCGATGCTGCACCGCCGACATTCGCAGCCAATGCAATACCCAAAATCAAAGCCTTTGAGAAGTTCGACTCTGGCGGCAGGTTACGCAAGAGTGGCTGGATGATCGAATAGCATAGCACTGGAGCTGCCACATTGCTGATCCACATGCTCAGGAACATACTGACAAACATGTTCGTGATGAGCACAACTCGGGGACTGGTACCAGCCTTACTCAGAACAAAAGTAGCCATTCGACGAGCGACATCGTATTTCGACAACGCAGCCGCAATGGTGAAGCCTCCCAGCAACAGCATAATGACTGGAGTCCACATCGATGCAAATACAACTTTGGTAGCCGCCTCCGGATCCAATCGCTTGTGTGGTTTTTCTTCTGATCGCATGACTTGCAGTATGACAGCCAGGAAAGGCACCAAAAGCGACGTAACAAACAGCGGAATAGCTTCAGTTGCCCATAGTAGACTGACAAATATCACCATAGCCAAACAGTTTTGCTGTTCGGGTTTCTCCATGATGGGGAGTGAGAGCAGAGCCGCAAAAACCACGATAATCGTCAACAGCGACGAAAACGACAAGCTGACGAGCCACTCGGGAAGATAGAAACGACCTAGAGGCGTATTGATTTCCTTTTTCATAGTCTCAGCATCTCCCTGCCGTTGTGCCGCAGAGGGATCGTGGTCTCCGCCGAGTAAAGTCCGGCGAATGCCCATATTCGCTGCCTGCGTCTTGCGCTCAATTCCAATCATTTCTCTCCACACGGTATTCCTCTCCCACACTACATGCTCTCGCACATGAAGTCGCAGCTCTCGCCTCGCAAGCGACAGGTCTCCTTTCGTTACAACATCCGCATACATCTGCTCAACACGGCGGATGTTCTCATCCACATGGTTTGATGTGGAATCCGTGAAAGGATAGGCAGGCGACACCGTCCCATTAATATACGGTCTTCGCAGATTCCGATCCAGAATCTTATCATACTTTTTCAAAGCCTTGGAGAAACCAGTCTTATTCAATTGAATATAAGACTTCAGCTCGCACAGCGAAACATACAAGCTGATCGTCCTCTTTTTCAACGCCACACCGGCATTGAAAAGATCCTGGAAATGCTGATCTGTGTGATCTTCGTCGTGTCGACTACCACCATGATGCCAGAGCCGGGAATCGCCCATCTCGCTCGGGATCCCATCAGACCTATCGCCAGCATCTCGATACCGTCCCACATGCGTCTGCGATCTCCGACGCGGCTCGCCTACATGCGAATCCTCATCACTATCCCCCTCATCGTCATCGTCATCCTCATATCCCCCTTCACCAGCAGAACCACTGATTGTGCTCTCGCGCCGATTCTGTCTCAGGCCCAGTGACTGGAATATACTCCCAGTGCGCGGCCGCGACCCTATGCTCAACGTCCGCGATTTGATCACCGTCTCGCTGACCGGGTCCATATTTACTCCATCTGTATTGTCCTTGTACTGCGCATGCTCCTCTGCCACCTCCTCAACCTCGCCGAAAATCGATAGCTCTTTGACCTGGTAAAACGACGAGATTTTCTCCAACTCGGCGCCGAGCGCGCGTCGAAAGATCGTATCCGTGTCCACTGTCGAGTCAAGCAAAGGCGCAGACTCGGCATCGGCGACGCCATTGCTGTCAGGGTGATGGGTTTGCCTTTCTAAACTATATATTCTATTTCCCCCCACCCAAATCGTCAGCAGCTACCAAGTATAGTATCATAGGGGTGGGTGTAACGTACAATTTCTTGAGATTATCATATGCAATGTAGTAAGCACTCCAGTCCGGCACGGCGTTGAACTGGATGCTGTGCGAGAACTTCATGTTGGCAGGATCGTATACGGGGGTATTCTCGTGGCCGAGTTTTTCGAGAGCTTTCGCCCAGAGGATGTGTTGTGAGATGTAATTCTGCGCTGGACTCGATTTTTCCTTTTCAGCTGTCCGATTCTTGACGTCGAACTCGGTGCGGCCGCTGCCTGGATGGTCCCGTGTGACCAGTGCGGCACCGGTCCGTCCGTGGGTTACACCGTCGTCGCTCGAGACACAGGGGGTGTCGACTTCGCCGGGTACTGAGGCAGAAGAGGGGCTGGGATCGAGTGTTACGAGTTCGATGTTCTGACGAGCCGAGTCTGTCGTCGGAGGCGCCACGACGGAGCTGAGGATACGAGCGGGGGGTGTGTTATTTTTTGCAGCTGCATATATAGAGAAATATACAGGTAAATGGGCAGCCAGATACAACAGTAGGCTTAGGGTAGGCCTCAATCAGAATAATAATGTGTTCATGGTCACCAGGGATAGAAATCCAGATCCAAACCTGCTGCGGCTGCAGCGGCTGATTCGTCAAATTAGAGCCGCCGGACATGGATGTGTCAGCCTATCCTCTCTCGTCCCCGTTAGTACTAGTAACTACCGGCAGTACCTGCGTGGATAACACTGGCCATTATTAATAAATGCTGTATTATTGTAAAAACACCGGATAATGTACAGTATGATTTTAGATATGTTCCAGCTAGCGACTACCAGGAGGCTTCAATTGCAAGTTGGTCCGGCCAGAAATACCGACCTTGTGAACCTGCTCTCGCTTCTCCCACACCCCGCTTCGGCCCTCAGCAACTGCCATTAGCTCGTTGGCTACGCGCATAGCCCAGTCAGTGTCCTTTCTCTTGTCTGCAGAATCCAAGATCCACTTAATAGCCGTCCGGCGTCTCTGGCGCATCGACAACGGGACAGGCATAGGCACGGACGCACCACCGCCTGCAAGACCCTTCTGCTGACGGATCTTGATCAAGGGGGAGACCGAGTCAACCAAGAGGTTGAGGTATAGGATAGGATTCAAGGGGAGCTGCGGTGCTGGTAGAGTTGTTAAGAGACGTCGTCGAGGGTCAATCTTCGGAGGGGGCGAAGTGCGAAGATGATTCAAGATAACTTCCATATTCTAATCATGTTAACAGACAGACACAAAAACCAGAAAGAGAAAAAAAGAATCATGAAAGGTACCCTACCTTCTGAGCAAGACTGAGCTTACCATCTTCCATAAGCAGCTTGGTAAACTGCTCGACCACCGGGTCGTATCGGCGTTTAAAATGATCTGATTTGGACAGCGGCGCAGGTGTATCGAATTTCATTCCTGGATTCCGGTCAATTGCGTCTTCCGTAGCCAATGTAATCATATCCGCAACAGCCAGCACAGACGGGTCTTCGATACTGTCTGCAGAATTCTGAACTTCTTGCCCCAGTCTTGCGGAAGTCGAGTACGAGCGAGAACCCGAAGCCTTCTTAGCCTGGTCCCGTAGAACCTTCGGGGCGTATTTCAGCGCATCTTTGTCTCTGCGCAGAATCTATCCAAAGCGTATAGTTAGCGCCGTTGTCTGGTGATTGTTCATATGACTTGCCTCATCAATTGGAGTCCCCTGCTCGAGCTCCGGCGACCCCGGTGCATTTCCATCGCATTTCTTCCCACTCAGAATCCTGTCCATCGCTGCAGCTTCATGGCTGACATCTGGTAATGAGTCCTGGGTTGGGCCCTTGGGTTGGTCGTTGACTTGCTCTGGAGTTTGTTTCTGCGGGTCAGATTTCGACGAGAATAGCTGTCGCTGTGGACGAGCAGCTAGGTGAATGTTTGTTGCTGATTCTGTGCGTGTGTTCCTCCACCAAGTGGCCGCCGATTGCGTCTGTTGGCTTGGACGGTGTTGCTGGCGGAGGAGAGTCCTCGTTGCGAGGATGTTGATTCGTGGGGGCATTGTCAGGTGATGTAATGTATGTTCTGATTGACGCCGCAAAGATTCAAAATTCTGGGTGAATTCAGAATCAATGGAGATGCGTGTGGTATGCCAATTGATGCTGCTAGTCTGCCAAGTTTCTTGCTGCGGCGAAAAGAATTTCCGTGCCGCCCTGGGCTTGATAGCGTCACTCGCCACACCTAGCTGATAGCCATACAGAGAGAGAGCATCATTAAGCTTGATTCTTTACCGGCTTACATTAAGAAGCTTTAAATCACATGATTTTATTTCATTCGATAACTTTACACAAGCGATATTTTGAATATTTTGACAGCGGAGATGCACCAGGCGTCACATATGATAATGGCCTAGCTGTGTCGACATTTAAGTTCAAGCCAAGTTGTAGAAGGCTTAATACAACCCTCCTCAAATAGTTATGTCAATGGGTGGGGAATTTACATCGACAGTGTAGTAAATCATTCCGAGCGATGCGATTGAAAACACAAAGTCAGTGACAGTGCGAATTGAAGACGACATGTTTCCGTTAAGTAGACGTGTTGTCTGGATATACGTAAAAGGCAATGGCAAGGATGAAGTACCTAGCAAGCCTAATCAGTATCAATGAGTATATCAGCTATTGGAGAACTTACAATCCCAAGCATAATCCACCCTCCAAGTAATTCGATTTACCGTCCTGAATGAGGAGAATAACGACGAGGGCTGATATAAAGAACGAAACCGTTTCAAAGACATGGAAATGCAACGTCATTTCCACACCCATAATCCAGCCGAGAATAACGAGGAAGGGCGTTACGAATAGTGCAATCTGCAAGCTGCTTCCGATTGCAACGCCAATAGCAAGATCCATCTTGTTCTTGTAAGCCACGACAACAGCGGTCACATGCTCAGCAGCATTGCCAACGATCGGAATGAGCACAAGACCGATGAAGGTCTTGCTCATGCCAGTTTTCTCTACAATGCCCTCGATGCTGCCGACAAGGTATTCGGCACAGATAGCGACCAGAATCGTAACGACAACTAATGCGACTCCAGCGGCAAATGGGCCGAGAATGTGATGTTCCTCCTCAGCTACAACTGCTTGGTTCTCGATATTGTCGTCCCCTTCGGCGCCTTCCTCGAAAAGATGGGAGTGGGATTTTAGCTGGAAGTATAGATACATTACATAGAGGAGTAGGAGGATGATGGCGGTGCCATGTGAGAGTAAAAGAATGTTCTTCCGAGTCTCATCAGGGTTGGTCTCGTAGGAACCCGACATGGCAGCAAAGAGTGATGCGGGGATGATCAGCGATGCTGATGCGACGGCCAGCAGTGAAGACATGGTCGAAGCAACTGTTGAATTGAACGACTGCTCGGAGTATCTTAGGCCGCCGACTAGGAAACAGCAACCTAGCACTAACAGAATATTTGAAAGAATACTACCCAGCATGCTTGCTTGGACAACACGGATCTGGTTGTCTTTCAAGGCAATAATGCTCACCTACATAATCAGCACAACTGTTACCTCAAGGCCGAGATCGAGGACCAGACTCACAATAAGTTCCACCGCATTTCCGAAAGTCGCATTCATTAGACCACCCAAGGTCTGGCCCATGGTAGCTGATAACTCTTCCGTAGCAAAGCTGAGCAGTGAAGCCAACGGCATAATAGCGAGGAAATTCAGAACGAAGACTGTAGCGGCGCCCCATTCCAAGACTCCGGATACAATACCCAGCGGCACGAATACCAAAAGGATATGAACGTAGTTGCTCGCCAGGGTAGCCCAGGTCAAATGGACGGTTTGGTAAGGCAGCCTGACCCAGAAACGCGAGTCTGAGAGGTACGGCGACTCTGACGAGTGCGAGCCATCATGGTGGGAGTGCGAATGCAGCAACGGCGACTGCTCGTTGGGCTGGACGGAGCCATTGCCAGTCATGGTGCGTGTCAGCGAGCCTTGTCGGCGAAACTGCTTTTTGATCGAAGCTATAGCGGCCAATTGAGTCTCATCAGCAAGCCGTCTTATTCACTTCTAGGGTTTAAAGAGGCAATTACTGCGCCACGATGCTGCTTTAGTACTTATGGTACGTAGTAGGCGCACAGTGGTATGGTGGTACAGTGGCACAGCACTACTGGTGAAACGCTGGGGGAGGATGGTAGAGCACGGGAGGGAAACAAAGCATTAGGGAGGATCACGTACTCATTGTGGCAAAGGAGTAGATTATAAGAGGTTTTATGCGGGGATGCTTTGCGGTCTAACACAGCCCGACCCAGACTCGAATCACTTGATGAAACCGGAGGCGTGGAGCGAATGACTGGAATGATAATGCAATCGTAGTAGTGATGCTCAATCAAAGTTCAAGCTACGCCACTTGAGCATTAAGTCAATCTAATCAGCGAGCAGCCAAGAGGCGCCAGACTGGCCGGTCGGTTGAGCAATGACGGTTCTGCTAATCTGATCCCTTGGAACTCTTCTGGGGTTTGGGCTGTCACGGCTCAATACTCAGTATTCAATAAGCAGGGAATGGCAATAGCAAGGGCAATAGCAAGGGCAATGGTAATGCTAATGGTGTGACCGTCACGGGACAGCAGCAATGAGCTCTTCAAGAACCAAATGATGTGAACAGCTTGGCGATGGTGGTGATTGAAGGTGATTGCTGTGATTGCTGTGATTGCTGGGGGGATTCGGGGAGCTGTTTGCACAGCCTCACTTGGCTGCGCCTCCCATTGGCTGGCCTCCTTGGCTTTCGACGGGGAGTCGTCGGCGATACGTCACCATACACACTAGTTGCCGATTTAATTTAACCTTCTCTTATTCTTATTATATTATTTTTATTATTATATTACCATATTATTATTGTGTTGATTGTACAGAGTATCTTACTGGACATACCATCGATTCTGCCAAGACCGAAGACCGAAGAAGCTATTGGGCTTTGTATAGAGTTAAATAGTTTGCGCCAAGCATTCTGTTGCGGAATAGCAGCGCAACTTTCTCTCTTTTGATTTTCCCTCTTTCTTCCCTTTTTCCCGTCAAGTAACGCAACTAGCGCTCACACCATCATGAATCGATATCTCCACCAGTCGCTTGAAAGCATTTTCAAGAGTAATCGCAGCTGGGCGTCGTCCAAAAAAAAGACGGACCCAGCCTTCTTCGACAAGCTTGCGGCTGGGCAGACACCCAAGTACCTGTATGCTAGATAGCTCATCTCATCGTCGCATATTTATAGTATTTTTCTGCTTACTATAACTAGATACATAGGATGCAGCGATAGCCGTGTTCCTGCTAACGAGATCATGGGTCTCGAAGCTGGCGAGGTTTTTGTCCATCGCAATATTGCCAACCTCGTGCCAAACATCGACCTCAACGTTATGTCTGTGGTCAACTACGCTGTACGGCACCTGCACGTCAAACACATCATCGTATGCGGCCACTACAATTGCGGAGGAGTCAAAGCGGCGCTGACACCAGCTGACCTGGGCATACTGAATCCTTGGCTCCGAAACGTCCGAGACGTATACCGCCTGCATGAGAGCGAACTCAACAAAATCACAGATGAACATGCAAGATATAACCGACTAGTCGAACTGAATGTGATCGAGTCTTGCAGAAACATTATTAAGACTGCCGCCGTCCAACAAAGCTATCGCGATCATCAGTACCCAATCGTTCATGGCTGGGTATTCGATCTGAATGATGGCCTACTTAAGGACCTCCATGTCGATTTTGAGAACATGCTGGACGATGTCATGAAAATTTATCGTCTGTCGCCCGATCCTACCCCTTCACAAGATCCCAAGCGAGAGTCATAGCCTGTAAATTTTACACGGAAAATTCTCGAGTCATTACGTAGGTTGCGCCGCCTGAGAAAAATAGAAAAGACCATATGTTATTACATACACTGCTAGGAACCATTCGCAACAGCATATTCATGATGGGCCAATGCGCCCATCATGACTCCTCTGTAGCTTCAGTTATTGAAAGCCCCTTCTCGCTAGCTGGATCATAAACGATTCCGTGGATATGTAGCTGCCCTTGCCTCATTGCACTGGCCACTTCCGGGAATTTACGCAACGTCCGCAACTGTTCAAGTATATTCAATTCAACGAAAGACCGGTCATCTTTGACGCTTGGCAGTTGATCGATATAATGGCGGTGCGTTGCGTAGAGAGCGTTGAGCCTCCTAGATAAATTTCAGTTCCATCAAAGCTTATCCAGTCAAGACTCATACATACATCAGCCACGGGTCTCTCAACCCATCCCTCGACGTTGCTCTGACAATGCCACATCCGTAATGACCACATACAATTATGTGCTTCACCTGCGAAAGGGGTAAATTTCGACATCAATGGATTCTCCGAGATAATGGCCAACCTTAAGATCAACAACAGCGTGTTTCACTGTAGTTTCGCAGGACAAGTCCCCATCAACGATCATATTGCCAATATTCCGATGCTCAAGCATCTCGTCAGGAAGAAGGTCGAGTATGGTTGTTTCTTTGAAGCTGCTATCGGAGCAGCCAATCCAGAGAATTTGTTTTTCTGGACGTTGAAGGCTGGGTATGAAGTCCGCCTCAATAGGCTTGGTCGCATAGGATGAGAGCCGTAGTCCAACCATTGTTTAACGCCGAAAACAGGAGATACTGGTGATGTTGAACGTTCTCAGGTAAAGAGCTTGTGTGTTGCAGGATAGACAAGTGACGTATTCACCTATGCCAAGGTTTCGCGGGTAGAACATTTGTGATGAAAATATTGTGAGATTTTCTTCGAATACGTGCTACGAAAGCTCTGCTTTTACACTCTGGCTCGGAGAACTCGCCGCGGTGATTCAACTAAGTGTTAAGCTCGGGAAAACTAGGTTCTTGGTATGTTCCGAGATATCACCGCGCGTCCCGAGTTATCCCCGTAGAAGCTATTTGAGCGAATCAAGAGCTGAAGGAATATATGGAGACGATTCATAACCCTGTCCTTTGATTCAAACAACAGCATCGCAATAAGTCACAGCCCAGCTGTGTACTCCTTGCTCGGTCAGTCTTGCTCGGTCGATCCTTCTCGATCAGTCATCTTAAAGCCTTCACACCCTTATCCCGGCGATAAATAGAATTCAAAACCGAAGACTTCACGTCGCGTCAACGTTTGAACTGTTAGGTGGTAAAATTTTGCACGCTCCTTGCATAATCACAGTCACACTCAATCAATCTCGTCGGAGGTATGGTGCTGGTCCCCCATCTCCTACATATAATTATTTTGGTCAGCGTTACTGAGACCTTTGTCTTACAGTCAATATGATCATCACTCGCGGGTTTTCTCTGACGAATTTTGTCATTGCCAGTTCAGCCCTCTGTTTCCAAGTTTGTGTCTTATATCCCTGGCATCACAAACTTGAGGATGAATTCAAAAATTTAAAGAATGAACATCTCCGTCTTCTGAAGGAAAACGAAGAGAATCGGTTAAAAGAATTAAGGAGTATCCGGGAACATTTGGGTAATTTCTACACTAAAGCTGAGTAGGAATGTTTTCCTAAGCAATGTGTAGCTGCTCGCTTGGGCGGCATAGGATGATCACCACTTTATGATTTTAGACATCATGAAAGACTGTTTACGTTCCTAACATACTACGTTTGATGCCCATTCTTAGATCTCCTTAGCTATACAATACCACAGCTCTTTCTGATACTTGACTGATTATATCTCACTCGACTAAATGTTATTATGTACCGCCAACTATACTAGTAAATTTTGTCTCCACCGGAGCCTGGCTATGGTATTCGTCGTACCAAAACAACCAGATATAGTGTGGCTGTTAAAGTGGACCCGCGGGAATGTCCCCCTGCATTTAATAATGATCCTTCTTATCCACCTTTCCAACGGTCCTGTGAACATGAGAGCCGAGGATCGGACGAGATATTTAAATATGACGCAGAACAAATTAACTGTCAAAAGATCAACGATACACTGACAACTTTGTACTGATGAAGAAAACCAGATAGCAGTTGAAATATTTGAAGACAACATCAACTACTAGCAGTAGCAATACCAATTGATAGTAACTGTAGTACTGTACACTTCGCGAATCGTCACAGGTAGTATATAGTATCCGGCACTCTGATTGGCCTGCGGCCCTTTTATTCATCCGCCTACCATCTGATCCCGCCCAGCCACAGCAATTGACACCCGCCAAGTGGCTCAACGTCTAAACTTTCACATAGGAGCCTATTAATGCGTGAGAATTTGGTAAAATGACGGATCCATCTAAACCCGTCCGAAAACGACGACGCCCTGCGTTTTCTTGCACCGAGTGCCGTCGTCGAAAAGTCCGATGCGACCGAGCTGTCCCTTGCCTCCAGTGTACCGCTTACAACAATGCCTCGGGGTGTACGTACGAGGAAGGCCATCGCAGTCTTCCTGTTCGGGCGGCCTCTAGTACACTCCGCAGTAGACAACAAGAAGACCGAACTCAGAGTAGCCCTAACGCTCCGCGCCATCCTGATGTATCTCCACGAACCTCAACGCCAGCTGCCCCCGGTGGGCGCCTTCAAGGCACAATATCGAAGACTAGGGTTTTCGGCTACGGCCACTGGATGACTGCTTCTTCAATGGTAATTTACTATCCTTTCTGTAATATGTAATTGGCACCTTGTTCTTTGCTTACAATCCTTTCAAGGGAGAGGAATTTTCCATCTTCGAGCCCATTGGTGAGTATTACAAAAATGTATTCCAACATGCAGACCACAGTCCCACAGACGAGGTCACAAAAATAGTTGTCGAATGCAAACAACTAGCTCGAGATATTAAGAAGCAAAGACCAAGTCGGAGACGTCTCGCTGTCGATATTCATCTGTCTTTTCTCGACCGTCAGGTGATGGATGAACTCGTCGCCCTATATTTCAACACGTTTGAGTCTTGCCATCGTATAGTCTATCGACCATCATTTATGGCGGAGTACAAAAACTACGTTGACAGTCAGGGGTCCTCCGAGAACCCTTTTCTACTGCAGCTTGCACTGGTCATCACTGTTGCAGGCGCATTGCACGGCGATTCCAATGTTCGCGGTGAGATAGCCGCGAAAGCACCAACATGGATCCATATCTCCCAAACATGGCTTTCCGCACCACTGGAAAAAGATCGTTTGACATTAAAGTGTATCCAAGTTCAATGCTTGCTACTTCTGTGTCGTCAAATATACCACGTTGGAGCGGACCTTGTATGGATTTCAGTCGGCTCGCTCATGAGAATGGCCATGCATATGGGGCTACACCAAGACCCTAATAAACTTGGAGAGATGAGTGTGCTGGAGAAAGAAATCCGCAGGCGTCTGTGGTACACCATCCTGGAAATGAATGTGCAAGCGGCATTGGATTCAGGGGGTCCTCCCATGATTCTGGATGGGGATTACAATACTCAACCGCCGTCTAATATAAGCGATGAAGATCTCGAGCATGTCGTTCGGGAGGAAGAGCTTTCGAATAATCCTTCTCGAATGTCTTTGCAATCGCTACTAGCAAAGTCACTTCCACTCAGACTGCGAGTAACCAGGATTATAAACAGTCTACAAGAGGAACCTTCCTATAATCAGATTCTGAATATCAGCAATGAACTAGCCTCAGCATGTCGTGAAGTGACTACCGTTCTCGACCAAGCCGCTTCTACAAGCAACTCACACCCCACAGCTAAATTTGCACAAAGCTACTGCAACCATCTCCTCCGTCGCTTTCCTCTCTGCCTTCACTTTCGATATGCCATCAAAGCCAAATCAGACCCGCTCTTCAGTCATTCCCAGAAAGTGGGTCTTGAAGCCGCGTTAGATCTTGTATCTCTCCTTGAAGACGATCTTTATAGACGCTTACTCCTCGTAGGCGGTGGCATGTTTCGTGATATTATCACCCGAGGTGTATTACTCATATTCTTGGAACTGAGTCCGGACCCGGAAACAGAGACATCCAATTTTGCAAAGAAAAGGAATCGCGCTCGCCAGGACCCCCTGCTCCGTGATGCGCATCGTGTGGTACAGTATTCTGAAGATAGAATCAGACATGGCGATACCAATGTGAAAGTCTACGTGGTTCTTCACATGTTGATGGTCCAAGCTCAAGGTCGTTTCGATGGCTCACTAACTGATGATAATATCACAAAAGCTTTACATGATGGACTGTATACATGTCACCAAATACTGAAGGATATGGTGACTGATATCAACAACCAGAACAGTAATAACTCGACATATTCTGATATTGACTTTGAGTCCTGGACATCTAATGACATGAATATGACTGCACAAGCTGATTTTGGGATGAACACCTTCAACAATGTCGACGATGCGAATATAAACTTTGACTTCTTGGATTATCAACTTCCTTCTCAGTGGGCAGATCAAACATGGAGTTGAAATAATATATGGTACATTTATAATACATTGTCTGTAGCAAAAGGGAGGAGAGAAAAACATCTAATTAAATAATCCAAACCCAATATTCTATCTCACTTTAGTCTCGTCCAGCTCTGGATACTCCGGGAGCTTCCACCCCTTTGTATCTTCACGCAGAACCATTCGAGCGAGGACATCCAGTCTCAGGAGTGAGGTGATCCAGAAAATCAAGTACATCACTCCAAGCCCCAAGGTAGAGGACGGGAATTGATCCATATAGTTCGGATTGTCCCTCAAACCCTTCTGCATACGATCCATCAGCGGCCTGAATTTCCGCTCATAGCCATCTAATGCAGCCGTGATGCTTCGGCCCTTGTCAGCTGCATCTCCAGACCCATCTCCACAATGCCTTGCGATCTCGCCCGCAAGAACATAAGCACCGGCAATGCCACAAGACGTCCCCATCCCCGTCATCGCAGACGGACAATACGCCGCATCACCTACCAGTGCAATACGACCACGAGACCACTTATTCAGCACAACAACGCCAATCCGCTCACAATAGAAATCCTCGGACTTCCTCATCCCTTCCATAACCTCCTCAGACCGCCACCCAGCCCCACGGAAAACCTCTTCCAACGCTTCCTTTTCGTCCTCAAAATCCTCCGTCCTAGAACTCTTCAGCTTCACCGACGCTTCTGTTTTGCAGAATAGATACGCTTGGTACTTGTCGATATCGTGTCGGCGAGTCATGATCCCTCGGCCCTGCGTCGCCACGTAGATCGTTGCATCAAACCCGTCGCCTTCCCGCATCTTCTCATTAACAGTGAAATAGCCTGCAAACACACCGATTGACTGAAGAGGATCTCTGCCACCAGCCTTTCCCTCCTCAAGCATAATCTTCCGCGTGCCAGACCACTGCCCATCCGCGCCAACAACGAGATCAAACCGCTCTTTGGTCCCATCCGAAAACTTCACGTCCGCAAACTGCGCTGCAGTCTGGTCGATCCGCTGCACATGAACCCCAAACCTATACTTCACACGATCCTTACTCGCATCATGAAGCATCTGGCACAGATCACCTCTCATAATCTCGAAATCGCTGGTGAAACTCTGCGGTCCTTTGGCGGAGGGGTTGTTATGCGCGGGGAAGTACCCCCATGATCGGCCTTTCTTGTCGACGAGGCGAACACCTTGTTCGTTTGCAGCGACTGCGCGGAAGGATTCTTCGAGACCCATGCGTTTGAGGACAGTGATGCCGAAGCCGCGGAGGTCGACTTGGAGGCCTGTGGTGCGCAGGACGGGGAAGCGTTCGATCACGGTGATTTCGTGTCCGAGTTTGGAGAGCCAGAAGGATAGCGCTGTGCCTGTGATGCCGGCGCCGCAGATGAGGATTTTCAACGGGGGCATGTTGTTCTGTCAATGATGTTGTTAGATAGGGGTTTGAGGTTGATGTATATCAATGTATCAACAATATCAAGATAACCCTGTATATGTAGACAGTAAGCAATGGATTGAGAGTGAAAATAGGTCCGGTAAGCCAGTCGACCTTTATTTATACGTCCATCGGGTATATTTTATCCCAGACCTGCCGAATCGAAGAGATAATAAGATTGGGTCTACTGTTTGTGGCTTCATTTGCTGATATCCCGGCCAGCACCGATATGGCCGATATGGCCGACACGCCCGAGTATAGGTGAGCCGCCACTAAGGTTAAATTTGCATGGCCAAATTGCACAAGAATTACCCTTGTTTAGCTCATATGATTCTATGCGGAACACGAGCATACTTCTTATCCGATTTTGCATCGGCCCTGTGAATATAGAGCAAAGGATGAGGGGGAGATTGTAGAGGAAGATCTCGGTAGCACTACAGAATCACCCGAAAATGGGCAGGCAACAATTAAGAAGACCCTATTATGGCTTTATACATTAAGTTAGTGTGATATCTCATGGCACAACAGCATAACACCTTTATCATTTGCGGTGGATATTCTATTTGTATTTCAAGCAGTCGTAAATCTACCGTGAGCGAGGCGATACCAGGGAGTTCAGCTAATTGCATGCCTGAACAGGCAAATTTATTTAGCAACAAAGGAGAATATAACCTATTCTCGGATACACAGGATGATGAGTGGTTCTTCTCTTACATTGAAAGCAATGATATTCGCAAAGTGGATCCGGATTTAAACAAGTGACCGCGAACAGTTGAAAGCTTGACATGAAGATGAAAAATAAAGCCTGACATAAAGTGTATTCCCTGGATAGATGAGAATGTTTTCAGTCTGAAAAGCTCTTAAAGAAAGGAGAAAGTGACGAGAAACATTCTTATAAAAGTCTGCTTAACGGTATTCTGTGAAAGGAATTATAGGGCGAAAATTGTGATATTTTAAGGCCATCTATTGGAAGTACGGCTTAGATATTATAGTTTCAGAAATTATAGTTCTAAACTCTCTGTGGGTAGAGATTCTGTAGCTAGAGAGTCTATTAATGGGTTTAAAGATAACTATGTCTATGAATCTATGAACAAGAGCCGCAGCTTCTCCTTCAAAATATAGATATCTTAACACCAACAAGGGACTTTGATAAGACGTAGAATTCTAAATCTGATCTGCTGGATTTATAGTCCAAAAAAAATTCCGTAACTCCACAACTACCGTGTTACAGACAGATTCGAAACCTCCTTCACCTGTCACACACCTGGACCTACTCTAGTTGTCACTGGCTGTGTCAAAGGACAATACAATAATATACACCACACAGACGTTCCTTAAAGAAAACTTAGTAACAATATAATAAAACTACGAAAAGAATTAAATCATTATAGAACACAACTAAAGTAAAAGAGATATCTTGAGGTGCCATAGTACTTCAAGTAAGATTGCCTTACTAATCCTCTCGGTATAATCAAAGTAATTTATATTAAAGAACTATAAAGAACTAAATATATAATAGTAAATGAGCATCCTCATATACCTAGTCTTCCTTATTCCATATACTGTATATTATATACTTTCCAAGTAACAAGTATAAAGTATACAATATTCTTTTACTAATATCCTGTTATTTTGTATACTGTTAACTTAAATAAAATAACAATATATCTTTTATATCATTATATGACTCCTATCTTCCTATTCATCAGTACGTCTTACTGTCCATAGCTAGCAACCATTTGCCCTTATATTTTGTGACCATCCCTTCCTAAGCGTAGTGTCTTAACATCATACAGGTAGTTTCATAACATCACCCTTTTTACTCTCTCTCTATTTAATCCAGCCCCACTGTGGATACACTAATTGTAAGTCTAGTATAAACAGGGTAGTTATTATATTTTACATATTGCTAGTATATTTCGTACATGCTCGTTACGTTCAACACACCGGTCGGTCTGGCATTGGCCTGAGATATCCTCAACCGTTCAACTTTTCAACGCAATGTGCTGCGTGCACGTATCAGAATAAATATACGACTATAATACCACTAGAAATCCCTACTAAGTAAGGGTTGCGCCGCTCTCTTTTTGGTAAAAGTCCGACAGCACGTGAGATTCACGTGATATAGCCATTCGAAGTTCATGGACCTGCCACAGATAATTGCACACCAGTGTTTAGAGATAGTAGTGGTTTGGATAAGTCAACTATGATTTTTGCGTCAGTGGATTCGTGAGAGACTCCTGTCAGACGCCAACCAACCACCTGTATTGTAAGTAACCCGAATTTGAAACCTATTTACATCACGTGCTGATGTCCTGCAAGGCTGAGTTGGCGAGGGGTAGCTGGTGCGGCTAAGAGACTTCTAGAGAAGGAAAGAATGTTTTACGACTTCACAGAAACAACTTGGTCTTGGATATAGACAGACCTCTATTCTTTACATCTATCCTACTCACGTCAAATCAGTCTCTGCCCGAGCCTGATCAGGACCGCGTCCATCATGTCAGACCCCAAGTATAAGAAGGCGAGAGGCGAACTGAGCGGATCACACCATCAAAGCCATCTCAATGCTCAAGAGAACCTGCGGGCTCGAGAAGCTGCGAACCAAAGGTCGTCTCGACGTATTTCTCAAAATACTGAGAGACCTAGACATTCACTCAGTACTAGGAACCGTGCTACTGTTCAGCAGGATAGGGATCCTGAAAGCACTCCGAGTTCTGGGAGAGGTGAAGCCACAATAACACCTAACAGCTCTGAAGAAATGGTTTCCGGTCGCAATGTCATGGAGCCAAAGGAAACCCGACCCGAACTTGTGTCAGGTAAGTGTTAAGATCACCACAGTAACCATTTGGATATTAAGGGCTTCTGGGTTCAAATAGATAAGTCAAGGACCAACGAATCTCCCGAAGCAAAGGTTCGGAAACTTGAATCACAGATTCGGGAAGTACGAGAAAATTCAGATAGACTTTCAAACGTCATATACGAAAAAGATAATGAAATTACCCAGCTACGGAACCAGAGAATCACACTGTTCGAAGAATTGCAACAAGCTATTTCTGACCGCAGGGATTTTGCTAGATGTCAGGACGAACTTGCCAGGGCGCAGCGCGCGCTGAGTATGATGCGAGAAGAAATAGGAACGTTAAATGGGCTACTTGATGATGCCTCTGCGCAGACGAGTGATTTGCGCGCCCAATTGAGAGATTTACGCTTTCAACTGGATGGGGCGCTTGACAGGGGAGCAGAACTATTAGCCGAGAACCGCCAACTCAGGGAAGACAATCGACGACTTCTTGTGAGGGTCAATGAGCTCCAGCAAGAGATTACACGTATAAGCGAAGAATTAGACCTTTGTGGTCGGCGTCTTGCCACATTTGAAGAACAAGCTGGTCGCCCAGTTAGTGGCCCGAGAGATTCAACTCCAGAAACTTCATCAGTAGAGGCACAGAATGGCGGCTCTATTAGTATGAGAAGAGTTCGTCCTCTTTTCGGAAATGATCAGCTTGTTAGGGAAAGACCGTTGAAAAACGGAACATTCAAAAAAGAATATGTCAGGAAGAAGTAAGGTAAAACGGAAGCTCTATTTTATGTTTTTATGTGATTTAGCTTGCGGCCTTTCGGGGGACATTTAGAGTATATGTGAGATTGCTGGGAGGATTTTATTGCGTCACAATGTCTTGATGTTACAGACGGTGGTGGTGGTGTATTCATACGCTTACCTCTCCCCTTGAGTTGTTTATAAACCACTAAGGTTTATGGTCTGTGCTATAAACGGCTAACGTAGTACCGCATATAATACAAATGTATTAGTGGATTCATTTTTCGCTTTGTTAATGACAGGATATACCATATCTAACTAATGACTACTTTTTAAGAGGGGTAGTGTGGTAAAGTACTTTTCAAGCAAAACAATACACCTCAGCTGAAACACTTGAAAAAACCGAATCAACTAGGCACCTTGGCAGTGGGGCAAAATTAATCAAAGAGAGATGTTTCGAGGTGAAGGAGGTTTCGAATCTGTCTGTACCCTTTGTAATATCGAGATCTCTTTGGGTTTTAATCCGTCTTCTTCCCCTGTTCCACCTGCAGTTCCAATGTCTTATGGCGTCGATTGAAATGAGCATTACAATTGTCCTTCCGATTGAAAAATTTGCAACATCCTTCAGCTGGACATTGATAAGAACCCGGGGATATATGAACACTTTTCACATGTCTCTCCAAATCGACCGTCCGGGCAAAGTGTCCATTGTATTTACAGCCTTCCCACTTGCACTCCATCGCAGCTGTTTGGTTTGCCTCCCCGGAAGGAAGAGTTTCAGTAGACCTTGCAGTTGCTTGATCACTAACGAGAGTGTCGATCATCCACTCGGCATCAAGGGGATGTACATTTAGATTGACGTCATGGTCATTGCATACTTTTTCATCATCGGAAGTCCTAGATATAGGCACACCAAGCGTACAGTTGCTAACTCCATGTCTATTCCCTCGGCTGTGGGTTGAATTCTCGGTAAGAGCACCACAGAGGTCGGTGGTCTCGTTGATCAGTCGTCCAGTTATAGATGGAGAACTAGCCGATGTATACAAGTCGTACGAAAGATTCGTGGGGCAAAGATATCCATCATCAAGATCTGCGAACGTAGGTGCTGGTAGCCCGAGAGTAGTCTCGGGGTAAAAGTTCCGAGTAGAAGGGTAAGGAGGTGGTATTGGAAATCCGGAGGCCCAGTTGGTATTTGGAAGTCGATCCATTTTTCTTTCTGACTCTAAATTGACAATTGTCAGTTAATAATGTCTTCGAGTCCTTGCGCTCTTCAACCTCTCATAAAATTCTTACTTGTTTTGAGATACTCCTCTCGTTTTGGTAATTCAAATTGCTCAATTACTGATGAAATGATATTCTTGAGCAGTTAAAGTCTGCAAACAGTAGAATGATTCAACCCTGGAATGACCATAAAATCTGGCGGATAATAAGTAGGAATGTATCCTAGAAAAGGCTTGCCATGACTGTATCAAGTTTCATAACTCAACTGCCTCTTTCTTTTATACATCGGGGCAAGAGCTTGAGGTATGTGGCTTCAGCCAATAGAAACACGAGCCTCAAATGTTGCTAGCGCACGCCGATCGCCGCGCAAACTACGCGTATGATTTTTCTTACGGTCATAGTAAAAGGAAATCTATGCACGGACTAAGGCAGTGCGACCGGAATGGTTCTAGCGAGGCACTTGCGTCTAGAATACTACGATAAGCCGTTAGGAGTGGTTTGGTATCGGCCAGTGAAACGTGTTCGTCGCCCTAAGTGGCTTAATCACGGATCGCTCACAAGCTAGGGACGACGCAAGAAACGAACAAAGACGCTCAGGATCGAGCTTTTTAACGACCAACTGGAGCCATGCCCGTCATGATTCGCGAGGCTGTCCCCTGCATCATGATAAAAGCATGACCCACACTTGTCTGCCATGGCCGACGTACTCTCAGCCCCCTATCCTATCTGACAACAAACGCGGCAGTGGAGTCTCACTAGAATCATTCTGGCCACACCAACTCTGTACTTATTTGTCGAACTTTAAACCACTATACCAAAAAGGGCGCAACCCTTATTTAGCAAGGATTCTAGTTTCTGACATTATTTCGCGCACACCGCTTGAACGGCGCACCCCGATTCCCATACAAAACTGGCATTTTTGCACCCTAACTATTTCGCCCCTTTTATGAGAAAATATAGTGTAAAAATGATATATAATATAAAGCTAATTTTATATATTCTTAGTTTTACTAGATAATTATTAACAATTATTAAGATAATAAAGATGTATTAGAAATACATAAAATAATAATTATTTTTACATTAATCCTATTAATATTGAAATATCTTCTTACTTATACTATATAATAATTACAATATCAATTTAGGCTATATTTTCTAATAAAAATGGCGAAATATCAAGGCCCAAAAATGCCTGCTTTATATGGAAATTGGGGTGCGCCGCTCACGTTACTGTACAGATACACTGTAAGAACGCAGATATGTCACTTTATAATTTGTGTGAATTTCTCCTTCTGTTAGCTTTCCCGTGTTAGGTAAGGTGCTGCGTTCTGCCAGGGCAAGCGCCTCTCCCGATCGGGCAGGCGGTCTGTAGAATACTGAAATTTGTAATGTACTGTATAGTATTAAGAGTACGTTTTACATTTTACATTCTATCTTATACCAGTTGACAATCAGAACCCTGTTGGCATCTCTTCCTATGTTAAATAGCCGAACGGAGACCTTAGTGCCGTATTAATAATTATTCCGGTGTTGCTTTACATAAGATGGAACTAGCGGCTTAGATATTTATCCTTACGGATTCTGCGTTCGATTTGGGATGTCGTGATTGCTTTCAAATAACTTCAACCTGAATTAGCTTCACTGGTTCCTCTTCCTGTTCCTTCCCATTACCATAATATTACTCAGCGATGGAAATAGACTCGTTTTTGTCTGCACACGAGATTGGCGAAGGCCTTCCAGTGTTAATAATTCATGGTTGGGAGTTAGATGGGAAGGCCGAGGAGCTGGACTTTGAGCCAATTTTCACAAAAGCACTCCAGACTAGTCTTCGCCGGATCTATGTGGACCTTCCAGGTATGGGAAAAACACCTGCAAATAATATTAAAGATCTAGACGATATATATCTTCGCCTGGTGCATTTTATTGATGCTCGGCTTGGAAAGTCAAAATTCTTAATTATGGGTTCATCATGTGGTGGCTACCTCGCCCGTGCACTCGCTCAAAAATACGTTGATCAAGTCGACGGTTTACTATTACGAGTGCCGCTTATCGAACCAAAGGACGACTTGCGTGATCTCGATACCTTTCAACCATTGGTTCTAAATGAGCAACTCATGTCGAGCCTATCAAGCGAGGACAAGGCGCTACTCGGAGATATTCACATCCAAACACCTACTTATATCAAGTCTCTTAAGGCAAAATATGAAGCTATACTTCCAGCATTGAAAGCGGCAGACAAAGAAGTGCTAGATCCGATTCGGGCAGACCCACAGCGATACCAGATATCTCATGCTTCAGACAATACGCATTCCAAGTTTTTGGCGCCAACACTTATCCTATGTGGTCGACAAGATGAGGTTGTGGGTTATCGAGACAGCCTCCGCCTGCTGGAGCTCTACCCGCGATCGACCTTCGTTGTTCTAGACCGCGGTAGACATGACCTTCCTGTTGATGAGAATGGGGTTTTTGAGGCTCTTGTTCGTAATTGGTTAACTCGGGTTGATGAGTGGCGAAGTTATACAGATAAATAAGAGCATCTCAAAGCATTCATTTTGACCTGTGGACCTTTTGTGCCTAATGAGAGTCTGCCTACAGGTGTTTCCGTACAACTTCCAACTCCTAACATACATAGTCCTTAAATGATTTAAACCTTTCTCCGTGTAGGGTACCACCCAAAGAAGTTAAAGGTAACTATAGATACTCGAGCAACCGCAGGGCCCATGTTTCCAGCACTCTATCTTCAAACCAATCATCTCATTTCGTAACGACAGCACGCCGTCCTTAAGCTGTGCATTGTCCGAATTGATTATTTGATGTTGGGGTGGGTTGGTGTAAGGATGGTGCCTGGAGTTTGGAGTGTTTGGTGTCGGCCAGTGAAACGTTGTGATTTCGGAGTCGTGCGTTGCTAGTCTGTGACGAAGCGGGGGGCTGTTTTGGCTTTTGGAAATCCGAGTTTTTGATATACACCAATGGGGACTGCTAGCTAGGAAGCGAAATGCAGCCGCATGCACAGACCAACCCGACATTGGTTGGACAAAACTTTATGGCCCCGCTTATTTATATAACTGGCATGTCAACTGCAGCTTTTCCTTAAGAGGAGAGGTTAGCGTATGAATACACCACCACATTTATATAAAGAGAACCGAAACTTCCTTTACTCTCTCATTGACTAATCATGCCTCGCCGCTGAGAGCTTACTGCCTTGAGCTAGTAGAAGTGAAGTTAGCTGGGAGCCTATCGCTGCCACGCACATGTAATTTACTTAACGTATGAGGCTAGCCTAGGCATCAGCGTCAGTGGGGCACGATCAATCGATACGAGAATAAAAAGGTCAAGCTGGTTTCGAATCTCTGTGTGTATTTGTTCATTCAACTTTCTCTGCTTCAACTTAGCTTTTTAAAGTATTCACCTCAATTATCATGCTCGGCCATGTCTCCATCCGTGTATCGAACCTTGAAGAGTCGGTAAACTTCTACCTCCAAACCCTAGCCCCTCTGGGGTTCGAAGTGATGCGCTTTCCTACCGTTGTTGGGTTGGGGCCAACTGAGAAGCCTCAGTCAGCACCAATTCCCTGTTTTTGGCTCCGCGAGCATACACCTGGGCCCGAGAATAATCATTCACTTAAGCCTACTCCTATACATGTATCGTTCTACACCGCAGAACGTCAGAAGGTGGAGGAATTTCATCAGCTCGGTCTTGCGGCTGGGGGCAAAGATAATGGCAAGCCAGGAGTACGATCCTTTTTTCCAAATTACTATGGTATGTGGGATTCTTGAGTTTCTGAGGCAGCGATGGAAGGAAACTAATATCATCTGGTTGGCAGCTGCCTACATCCTAGATTTGGACGGGAATAATATTGAGGTGGTTTGTTTTACACCTTGATCTCTTACTATTTTAGAGTTCTACCGAGATAAGTACCAGGGCAATATCTAGATTAAAGATAAGGCTTTGATTGTTGAACACTTATTGTTCAATTTTGGTGGCAACTATTGTCATGATCCATTTGTAATTGAGCATGCTATTTAGTATGTTGAATAAGGATGTTTTAATTATGAAACATTATTTATTAGGTAATGCTATAGTATAGCTACTTCTGGAATAAATTAAATAAATTAATGGTATTTGATATTTATCCAAGCAAAAAACAGTGTTGATCAGGTTATCTGATACTAAACTTGCATAGAGAGTGGAGGATCCCTGTGTTAACATTGATGGGGTAACTATCTGTTCATGTGCGAAATCGTCACCAATGGGACTGCTAGCTAGTAGCGAAATGCAGCCGCATGCACAGACCAACCCGACATTGGTCGAGGAAGAAAAAAGCAAAAAGATTACTGCATCTACCCTGGTCGGTGACTAACGAAGGTGGGCTCAGGATGTACCCCCCAACCACAGTGTACAAGGCTTTTGGAACTGACCAATGAAGGCCTGGTGATGGCTGGGACCTATTTCCGGTCAAGTGAATTGTCACATTTAAAAGCTGCGTTTCCCTGCAATCTGCGTGCCTCAGAGCTAGAATCTCTATCATTTTGAAAGCATCCACAATGTGTGAACCGACAAAGGGGAAAAAATCTCGACTCAACTGGTCCGAGTTCAAAGAAACAATACGGACTTTGTACATTGATGAGAATTTGCCGCTCCGAGGGCCTGGAGGCGTCATAGAAGTCATGAAAAATGGCTACAACTTTTCCGCCTCGTTCGTGATAAGTGATACTGTTTTGATGGTACAATAGGAAACTAAGCGATTGCAGAAACTCGCAATACCAGAAACATCTGAGAGACTGGGGATTTCGTAAATACCAGAAAGGAGAAGACTTGAAGAAACTTGCTCGCAAGTGTCTTAAACGACAAAGAGAAGGCAAACCTGATCCTATCATTTTAATGAACGGGAAATTGGTGCCTAAGGAGAAGATGCGACGAATACTTTCAGTCTATGGATTTACGACAACGTTGGAGTCCTTCGGTCAAGGTAAGGATGCTCTAGCAACGTAAACTTTCGTCTCATAAGTTTTTAGAATCCAACCCCCCAACACCCAGCGGGTTTGAAATTTTATCACCTCAATCGGAACCCGGGTTTTTGGTCAATCTTCCATATTTGTCCATTTTACAATTTCAGGATCAGCTGGATATGATAATCAGTGAGTTAATACAACGGATCAAGGGCTATGCAAAGAACATTACTCTAACACATGACAGAACCTGCGATGATTTCCGAAAGAACCTTGGAAAATTTGTCTTTCTTCATCAAGCAAGGATATTACAGTTTAGCTAATACTACTACAACGACTATCATTGATTCCCTTGTACCAAATGAAATCCTGACTCGCTACGTCCTTGAGTCAGGATACGACCTTTCAAATGCTATCGCTAATGGTATTTCTGGTATCAAACAACTTTCCTGGGCAGGTAAGGAGGTTGAACATGTATGAGAAACTACAATGGCCTATTCAGCAACTTCTTAATAGCCTCTCATCTATACAAGGTCCTACTATAGACTCATTTGTTGAGAAGCTTTTCCCGCTTGCTATAAAATCTTGCGATCTCCTTGTTGTTAAGCGATTGTTACAGCTTTACGGCTATCCTCACGATGTCTACTTCAAATACGGCGCCTACGGGCGATCCATGCTGTTCACGCCTTTGCAACTTTCCTGCTTATATCGGGATAGGGAGTTAACCCAGATTTTAATCAAAGCTGGTGCAAATACCACTCTTGAGAATGGACTATTGGTGTTGGCCATATTGGGAGAAGATGGCTTTGATGAGTATTTGTGGAGAGAAAAGTATCGCCATGTCGATATCGATTTCATTAGAATCCTAGTGCAAGCTGGTGCAGACGTTAACTCCGCGTTTGGGTCCCAATTTCAACGTGGTAGAGAGTATACGGCCACTGCTGTTCTCATGGGTCACAACTCTCCTCTTACAGCAGCATCCTTACTTCATCATATTGATTTGGTGGATTATTTAGTCTCCCAGCACGCTGATGTTCACTTTCGACCAAATTGTACCTCCTCAGCCCTTTCAAATTGTATCCGCATTGACTACCATGCGTTTGATAAGCTGAAATTCGCGAATGAACCTTTAGTAGAGTTTGAGGATGAGGCGTTGGAAATATCACGCATCCTTATAGCCGCGGATGCTGACCCTAATGCTTCTATTCATTACCGTGGTCGGTCTTGTACGGTACTTGAGATAGCGATGAGAAAAGAATTGTTGCGGCTGGCAAGTTTTCTGATATCTGCAGGAGCTAAAGGGACCGAATCCTCATTGAGAAAATCCAAAAAAAGGGTGCCGTTGCCAAAAGATGTCATCCAGAGTTTTATAAAAAATGTCTCTGACAACAGTTTCGATGAAGTAGCTGCTCTTCTCCAACCATCTACCGATTTGGCTTCAGCCGAAGAATTGCCTTGGGGGGCTACTTATCGGGGGAACATAACTTTGCCCGACTATCCCATAGACCGGAATGTGCCTGTCAAGGGTTGTAATGCGCTAATGAAGGCAATTGAGACGTGTGCACACGACGGCCATTTTGAAATTCTGTCTCGCCTTTTTGACGTTGATTTCAGCTACAGAACAGTTGTGATTCAAAATCTTGGCTCCGCATTATACTATGCTGTATCCAGAGAACAAGTGGATATAGTTGATATGCTGTTGTTCGTGGGAACAGATCTGGAAGTAAAAACGGAGCTTGGCCAGACTGCACTCATTGCAGCAATCAATGCAAAGAACACAACGCTGTTTCAGAAACTAATGGATGCGGGAGCCGCAGTTGATTTGGACTTTCATTGCAACAATGACCACGCCTCACCTAGTTCTATTTTAGTGGCAGCAGTAGAATGGGGAGAATATACCGTTATAAGTACACTTATTGAAGCAGGCGCGGATGTCAACGCCTTGGGTAGCAAACGTTTCTATTCTGGCAAAGATTTATCTTATGACAAATGCTGTGATTGTACAACTCCACTTGGCGCTGCACTCCAGAGGAAAGATTCAATAATGGTCAAATATCTTGTAGAAGCCGGTGCTTCTGTCAACAATCCTCCAGACTGTTTTGGTGTGTCGTCCCCACTTTCAGAGGCCATTGAATGGGGAGATATTGATATCGTTCGATACCTTCTTAATCAAGGCTCCGATACCAGTGATCATGATGCCCTTCAGAAAGCAATTCGAGTGAAAAACACTGAACCGATCGAACTCCTCCTTAAAGCAGGCGCAGATCCAAACACTACTGTTCGGCTCCGCGAATACTGCTCATATCAATATCGATGTGAAAAGAGAACTCTACTTTTGCTGGCGATATGCAAGAATCCTCCAGCTGTAAAGATCTTTTTGGAAGCGGGGGCCGAAATAAATACACTCGGGCCTGGAATAAAATATGCCCCTTTGCAACTGGCCGCTCAATGTGGAGGTTTAGACACCGTGCAGACCCTGCTGGACTATGGCGCTGATCCGAACTCCACTGCATCGCGAGGAGCTAAATCCACCGCCCTCCAGATAGCATCAAGAAAGGGAAACATTCAAATCGTACGGCTCCTCCTTGAGCGTGGGGCAGATGTTAACGCAGCGCCAGCGTTAAGATACGGGGCGACGGCACTTCAGTTTGCCAGTATCATGGGCTTTCTTGGAATTGCACAAATTCTTATCAAAAAAGGTGCGGACGTCAATGCCCTACCAGCACCATTTGAGGGCAGAACCGCGCTTGAAGGAGCGGCTGAACACGGTCGTCTGGATATACTCCAGTTGCTTTTTAATGCTGGTGCGCAGACAACCACCATCTTCGAAGTTTATTATGAGAGAGCGCTTCAAAGAGCGACTAAGAATGGACACAACGTGGTGAAACGACTTCTTGAGTCGTATCACCAATCTAACTTACAAACAACTGAGGACGTCTCTAACTCAGAATTGATGGATGTTGCAGATATGTTGGCGCTAAATGGATGGAACAGATCATGAAGGAGCTCGAAAGCGTGATGACTGCTAGATGCGTTGACCTTCTCCATCCACTCCATCTAAACTATCTCACCTCAATTATTAGTAAGATTGGGTCTACTGTTTGGGGCTTCATTTGCTGCTAGTCCGGTCAGTATTGATATAGCCAATACAGCCGACACCTGAATATAAATTAGCCATCTATAGGATTAAATTTATACGACTGAATTTTATAGAAATCATTTATATTTAGATATAATAGGACTCTATAGAAAGTGTGAGTATATTTCTTATCTAATTTTCATTGGAATTAAGAAAGCATAAGGGTCACATTTCCTATCGGGCATAATGTACTATCTAAGGTACTATTCTCTGAGAACAATGGGCCGGTCTACCCGTGAGCCTGCGAGCTCAGGCACCGACGCCAGAGATGGTAAGGGAAGGGTTGTTGTCGAGTCTTTATGAACGACGGCTATAGGGAGAGAGCAATAGAGCCGAAGAAGGAGAGTGGAGCTACGGATGCTCTAGGGAGGGTCGTAGATAAGGTCGTGGAGTTTGCGAGATAGATTGGTTGGTATGTCCATCTAAAGCTAACCCTGAAATGCGTTGTTAGAATACTATATTAACTGAAGTGCTCTTAGCTTCCTAGTCCAAGCTTTTTATACTGTTTGACAAACTCTTCAAACAACTTGTTAAGCCCCAGCAGGTTCAACGGGTCCTTATCACCATCCTGATCCATAAAACAGAGCATGTTACGAATTTCGAATGTAATAGCCAGCATGAAACCCAGCTCAGATTCCATAAAAACTTGTTCCCCTGTATCCGAGTCGCCAGTCTTCTCGTTCCATTGCTTTGAATATTCCTCGCAAAAGTGCCTCTTCTCCTCTTCTGTGTAAGGTCGGCAGTTAGCAATCTTGTTCTCCTCGTCAAACCACTTGAACATCTTTTGCAAAAAGTGCCCACCAATGTCGAACGCTCGGTAATTCTGAAAGACGAACTCAAAATCAATGAGGACAATTTTGCTTTCTCCTTGATTGGGGCTGTTCTTCACCAGCACATTCATGAATTGAACATCGTGGATGCACCATCCTTTTTTTCCTTCGATGGATTCCAGCCTGTCTGTGACCCGTCTTAATCTGGACACAAAGTCATAATCAACGAGATGGTCCATGCTGACTCCTCCTTCATTCGCCAGCCTCTTCAGCTTGTTCATCTTATGATACCTTGCAAGCTCTCTGGTGACTGCATCGTAATATGACTGAATCGGGTTTTTCTTCAGTTGTGTCTCCATGGAGTGAAATACGGCATGTCCTCTGGCAACCTCGGCTCGGATATTTGCGTCTTCCACATCTTCTGGCTCCAAACTGCGTGCGTCCAAGAACTCGTCGACCCTTCCGAAAGTGCCATCCTGTGTCTGAAAAAAGCCATACACCTTGGGGCCAAGACCTGATTGGCCGTAGTCATAGCATAGTTGTGCCTCTTCGTGCTTATTTGGAACCAAGTGTTTTAACACCTCAATTTCTCCATCAAGTGCGCCGTGGATCTTGAGGAATACCTTAAGAGGTTCTGAATGTGTGTCACCCTTTGGATTTGGTCGTTCTACTACACAATTTGTGTTTGCGTATCCAGTTTTTTTTGTCACAACGAGCGTTTCTGGATCCACATTTGGCCACTCGCTGGTGAGAAACGTGCCGACAATATCTTTGATCATAGCCTTTGTCAGTGAGCCATCTTTTGGAATAGCCAGAGGGATGCTTGTGCAGGTTGCCATCTTGTCGTGCCCTTATGAGACAATGATAATCTAGAAGGTGTAGTTTTTAAACAAGTACTGCAGACTAATAGCAGACATAAGATGGAGACAATCTTTTCACATCTGCGATAGAACGGGGCTTATCTATTTGGAAAACCCCCTGATGAAATTCCATACAATTGTTTTAGATACAAAAAGGCACGTTCCTTGTTTGTGCGTCATCCGCCGAGGTTTGTGAGTCATGCATGCATGGAACGTGCTCTGTGGACACGACACCCCATGTTACTAGTCCCCAACATTGAAGAGGGTCCCCTCCGAAATTACCGTCATGACACCCCTCCTATGAACAGCTCAATTAGACACAAAAAGATTCTCAATTTGAACCCAAGAAGGGTCTAATATTCGTACTTTTGTTGAAATTCTCACGCTTAACTCTAGAATATCTCTACAGCGTTACAATTGCGTCAACAATGTGAAAACAATGTGAAAACAATCAACCATCCATTCAAGCGAATGCAGTACTACCTACATGTAAGAAAATGACCGAAATTAATGACATGGCCCATGAATGACAGAAATGATGACTAGTTCAGGGTCGAAAACATTGGTGGACCATGACATATGACTCACATTTAGGCAACCAGTTTTTGTTTTCAAGTACGCACAATCTATTTGGCCAGTTTCCTTCAAAATGAGGGATATGACTTCTTGAGTCGTATCACCAATATAACTTGCATGCTGCTGAGGATGTCTCTATCTATAGACGTTGCAGCTATGCTAATGCTAGAAGGATGGAACAGAACATGACAGGACTTGAAAGCGTGACGGCCGCGTGACGGCTGCTAGATGCGTTGGTTAGTAAGATGGGTCAACTGTTTGTAACTAGCTTCATTTGCGGATACATGCACCGATATGGCCGACACACCCGAATGTAGGTGAGCCGCCCATGAGGTTGAATTTGTAAAGCCAAATTGCACCAGAATTACCTATATATAACCAATACTATTCTATGTCGTTTAAATCATTCATGGTTTCAATAGGATATGCATTGTAACGCTATCGGTGGATAGGATGATGTTAGGGTTAGACACTTCAAATTATATACTGCAATATTGAGTATTGATCAATGGATGTCTAGAACGGCAATGATCGTGTAAATAATTGATAGCATTAATTATTAGAACCACATTGGACCGTCTATGTTTATTAATTTTCTAACATTCAAACCACAAGCCAATAACTATGTATAAGAAACATCGCCCAACTGCACAACAAACAAAACAATGTTCATGAAGCCCATGCCAAATAAAGTAAGTTTCTTAATATATCGATCGTTATAATCGAAGGAATTTTCACTTTATATCGTGCCGCCATTGAGACCTAGCATGTCAACTAGTATTAGCTCCGAACCTGTTAAAACGGGTAAACCTCTTCTTCTTACCTGCAGCATATGCAAGATACCACGTCCGCGTGGCCCCGCCATCAATCCAGGTCAAGTTAAAATTGGACTGTTTGAAAAACGCATACGATTCTTGTGGATTGGTAATGGCTCTGTTCGCGTACAGCACCCCTTTCCAGCCCCCAGAGGCAACGGCCGAGGCTGGATCGCAGGCTTGTTCGGCAAACATTGAATTCCACTCTTGCTCAACGAAGCTTTGGTTGCGTGTGTAGGCTGATGAAGGGAGGAGGGGGAGCATGTGAATGCTGGTTTTAGTTAGTGACTATCTTATAACGATTGATATGTCGGGTGTATGCTTACCCTTGGATGAACTCGAGGTTGGTGCCGAAGTAGGTTGTATGATGGGCCTTGTTTTCGAAGAGCTGGGGGATGAATTAGCCTGCTGCACTAAAATAAAGATCGGTTTAGTACTCACAATACCAGTCACCCTGTTGCCGATAAAGTCTCGGGGTTGATTGAAGTTATTGTCTTCCATCAAGAAGTAATTGCTCAGACTTCGTCGGAGGATAGCCAGCATCAGATTTCCTCGTGCTTCCATACTCTTATCACCACTCGTCTTCCCCCACATCTTAACGGCGTAGGCGAACATGGCATCTTCCGACGTTGATTCCTCATCCTTACCATCCGCCGACTCGAAAAGTCCCTTAGCCCAAGAATGGCCATGGAACCAGTCAAAAGCACGCGAAAAGGGGAATGAAGGGTCATTTGATGCGGAATTACCAGCATCGCGAACCAACATATTCACCCACGCCTTATTCGCGTCAATCCAGGATGGGTCTAGAGCGCCAATTATGGCGGCGGCATGAATGAAGTATCCGTAATGGAAATGATGGTCATTGTAACCGCCGTTCCCGAAGTCTTGGTTCAAATCATTGGTCACGAAGGCGGCGCTGGACACGACGCCTTTCCACACATTATCGTAGACTAACGGGTATTGCTGTTGGTTGTCTACGAAGCGGGCAAAAGCCTTTTTGAGACCATCAAGCGTCGCTGCGGCGGTCTGAGGGTCATTGGCGAGGGTATTGACTGTGTAGACGAGGGTTGCGAACTTGCTGAGAACTTTGCCGCTGTAGTACATACTGTTCAGGTTGCTCTGTGCGTCTACGTCTGGGGTCAATTCAGCCTTTGCAGAGTCCAAAACAGTCTGAATGACATCAGGAGAAAGTTTCGAAATGCTGCCAAACGAGGGTGACCAGGGCGCGAAATCCATGTCTACTGGAAGATTTGGCTCGGTCATAGTCCAGCTGTCTGCCAATAAGGCAGTGGCGTTTCCCTTGGTTGTAGTATGGAGTTGAACTGCTTGTAAGCCGCTCTTTGTATTGGCGTCAAACGATTGCATGTGGTGCGAAAAGGCGAACATTAGCAAGGGAGTATTGGTGGTGCTATTTCCTCGTTTCTCCCAGCTTAGCGTGTATGTGCCGGTGGAATCAGTCACGGCACCGGAAATAGTAGCAGTCTTTGCATATACGCCGGCTGATTGGTCATAGACTGCCTCACCTCCAGCGCCAGCAGGGTTCTTTGCGATTTGAATAGTACCGGAAAAGCCAGCAGGGCCTTGAAGGGTGGTGGTCGACGTAGTGAAGTTGAAATTAGGTGCCATTCCGTCGTCCGGTGTGACATACATGAGCCAATCCTTGCTGTCTTCGAGAGTGATTTGATATTTATAAGTACCTGGCCGTGGAGAACCGGCTACCACAACGTTTCGGAACAAGATGCTGCTTTGGATCTGGGGTTGCAAGCCAGAGTAAATTCCCGTTACAAAACCCATGCCCTGGAGAACAGGGAAGGTAATGCTTTGAGTTGATCCATTGGAAGGTTTTAGAATAACATCAGCAGAAAACCCCGTCATGCGGTCAGTGTTTAGAACACTTGTCTTCCCCAATTCCTTCGCAGACATGATAAGAGACTGGAGGCCAATAGGATTGAGGTAGTATTCAACAGGGTTTCCTGGAATGGATTGACTGGAATTGCCGTAAACCAATTGATTCATGTCGGTATGAGAAATAGCCATTCCCCAGCTTTCTGCTGCTCCTGACCCCTTTGCCCATGACAATGAATAAGGATGGGTAAATGATGGGGTAGTCTGATTTCCGAGGAAGAAATTTGCATAGAACTTGTTAGTTTCTACGGGAGACGTAGTGTTGACCTAGTGACTGTTAGTTATTGATTGTCCTTGCTGTGGCTACACTTACAATTCCAAGCTGTGGTACCGGATGGTCATTCTTAGTGGGAATGTTCGATGGGACGGCATCCAAAGACACTGTCTCGAAAACATCCTGTCCATTCATGCTGGCAGATTTGGCGGCAGATTGCGGAGTTTCTGTTGCGTGTACTGGAGATGCGAGGGTCTGAGTGGTAGACGCCGGAGTAGACGGCTGTGGTGTTCCCTGGCTTGACACAGAAGTAGGGTCACTCAATGGCAAAGTGACAGTTACAGTCTCTATAACGGTTGTGGTCCACTCATCAGAACTTCCAGTAGGAGATGGGGTTTCAGTTACAACTCCCGCATTACCACCGATGCCAAGGTCAATTGAAGGCAGAGGGAAGGGCAGTAAAGACGGATGTCCTTCACGCTCGAGCTGCGTGTTGTAAACCTACCGGAACGGTCAATATAAAAATCATGTACACACGTGGACAGTACATACACCTTTCGTGTCAGCTTTTAATACCCTAAAGGAGTTCTGAGGAGGGTAAAGTGTCGTGAACGACGTAGTGCTTTGAGCACTTTGTCCGTCGACCTAAACATTATCATTAGATAGGTAGCCAGACACATGTAACAAATACTTACAGATGAAGCTATTGACACGTGCTCACGTTTTTGATAGCAGGAAGCCACTTGTATGGCCTGTGACCATGTTAGTACGAAGGGAAAAAGCCAAGTAATGTGGCGTTGCATGATGAGGGTAATTCAAATATAGGATATAGCAAAATTCAGAATCAAATGAATGAAGATTCAGAGCTGTAATAAAATAATATGTCTATTCATAGACGGTGGTAATCAATTTGCGAAAAAGACAGACTCGAAAACTTGACAAAAGAGCGACAATCAATTGACGAGTTTGAATGAAACTCGAAAATGGTGGACTGAAAGAGCAAAAACAATCACTTTGCCGCGAACATGGACAGCCATCGAGTACAAGAATGGGCTGAGGACGAAAGAGAGGTATAAACCGAACGGTTTGTTTATTTCACCTACCGATATGAATCTTCAAGGAGGCTAGAGCAGCCGACTATAATGTGCGGAATGCGGGAGGTGCATACAAAATCGACCGTCTAGTAGCAAATACAGTTGTGATCCGGCAATCGTGGAATGTCCACGGCTGAGGGCTAGGCTAGAAAGAGCCCTCTGAAAGGTAAAATAGGTGAAACAAGAAGAAGTATGGAGGAGTAAGCTGCATGTAGTGGTGAGCACCATGCCCTGGCATGTTGGCCCGCCAATCGCTGTAGTGGGGAACCCCACCCGTGGCTAGTCAATCATGCGGTGCCTGACGATCCAAATATCCGGACCACAAAAATAATGAATATTATAATCAGTAGTGCATTTTCCGGGGAGAAAAAAAAAAAGTGTGACTAGAGGGGGTTTTATAGGTTGGTGATTTTAGTCTGGTTATCGGTTCGGTTCCATACAACTATAAGATGGTCATATCGAAGCCGAGACGGAAGATGGGAAAGAATTCTCTACCAAGAATTGTACACATGTAGATTCTTTTATTACTTGTTACTGAAAAATCTGTCATGCCCTTCTATATATATGATCGGCTAAGATTTTATTGAGGGATTGCTGTGGATGATTTCGGCTCTCGAGGTGGAAATGTATCAAGTGATTAAAGATACTTCTAGCAAACTCCCTTGATACTTTCACACGGTACACCCAAGTAATCATTAAGTGAGGACCTGCAAGATACTTTAGGATCCATCTGTATAGAGGATGATCAAGAAAGCGGCCGCTGCATGGGCTTGATGATGCCTTGCTTGACCAATACCCGGGGTTTGGTCGCCTCGTGGAACGTGTCCGATGTAGACCATTCTGGTCCAATAGGGAGACGAAGAGATCTCTCGTATTGCTGTTTGTTCTCGAAAGGATGCGGCAGTTGCGTAGCCATATACTTCGCATTCTAGATCGTGTTAGCCATGTACAATCATCCACAAAGACAATCAAAGATACCTTTTTTACTCGCTTCTGATTGATAATGACATGTCCCAGTTGCGCATCTTTACGCAGCTCGGGTTTGATTCCCTCAACTTTGGTCAGGAAACGCTTTTGCCTCTTTTGCTGCTTCTTGCTTATTCCTGCACCAGTCCAGTTGCCCCATCCCGGTAACGTGTTGTCAATAACCTGATCGCCTTCCTCCTCGATGGTTTCTTGTTTTTCTTTCTCGAACTCTTCGACAACATCATCTCCGGCGAAGGCTCTCTTCACGAGGTCATGGTTTTTAAGAAGCACCGGTACGCTGTCATCATCACTATCGCTTGAGTCGTTGTCTCGAGTTGTATGAGGCTTGTTGGATTGCACCTTCGACACACGTGCAGCAGCTTTGGCGCTGTCAGCAGAGGGTGCAACTTGACTAGAAATAGAAATATCGACGACTTGATCTGTGTTTCCAGTTTGGCGTTTCCGATTATTCCGAGTGCTTTGAACTAGCCAAGGATTCTCAACCACGTCATCTTCCAGTGAAGCATTTTTCGTAGCAGCCTTAGCATTTGCTGATTTGGTTGTCTTGGTGATACCTCCACGGCTTGACTTGCTATTGCCTTTGCTAGAAGCAGTATTTTCAAGCGTTTCTGTAGCCCCATTGATAGACTCTTCATCTTCAGACGCAACGGTCTCTTCAAATTCATTCTTGTTCTGGGGTGCCCTTGATTGTTTGCTTGCTTCAGTCTTCGATTTACCAAACCTTTGCCGTCCTTCTTGGGGTTCCGAGTCGTCAGACTCATCTTCCCCGTTGAGTTCCCGGCGAAGTTGTTTAATTTCTTCATCATTTTGCTGCTTTCTGTTTGCCTCGGCTCTTTTCATGAAACCCATTTCAAGTAATTTCGAATGCGGTCCTCTCAACCTTTCCGAGTCAGCATCATCGATCGTCTCTAGATCCCGGTCCAGTTTCCGGGACTCTGATTTAGAGCGCTCTTCTTCGTCCCAAATATCTTCCTCGTCCTCAGATTCTGAACTTGATGACCCCAGGTAGTCATCATCAGGTCTAACGCTTCGCCCTTCAATTCGCCTGTGTAGTTCTTCATCTCTTCTTGCCATATCTGCCATACTAGCCCGGGCATCTTCATCCCAAGCAGTACGTCCAGTCTGTTTCAGGCTTTTTGCCCATTTGCTCTCTTTGTGCTTAGTGCTCATTCGTGCTTCTGCTCTCCGTCGATCATAATCCTCTCCATCTAGTTGGTCAGGATCGACACCCGCATCGATTAACGCCTGTCTTTCTAATTCCTCTGCTTTCTGACGTTCCTTGCGATGAACTCGACGGTATGATTTACTTTTAATCTTCTTGATTCGTTTGGAACGAATCTCCTCTCTAAACAGCAGATCTCGACGCTTCCGAAGCTCCGCAGTGCGAGCTTGAACCTCTTCAAGTGACATCTTCCTTGTCTGTAATTCTTCAGCGGCCAGTAGTTGCTTTTCAGCTGATTTCTCGTTTGTTGAAAGGCCACTCTCGACAAGAATCGATTGTATGGTACTTTCAAGATCTGTTTGTGGTTTGACTGGGCCAAGACGGGAGACTTGTTGCTCGTGGGGATCCGGCAGAGGAAAGGATATATGCTCGGCCTCTCGATTTGCTTTCACGGTATCGATCCACCTGTTCAAAGTCTGTTTGCTTTTTTCAAAAGCTGCAGTGCGCTCGATTCTATCCTGTTGTCTTTTAGGTAGAGGCACAGTCAACTTTCCATTGGAACCGGTTTTCGATGACACCGCCGAATCAAGATGTTTGAGTGAGCTTTTCAATTGTGAATCCGTTACAGAAGACATGAGGTCTGAAACGGTAAGCTTTCGAGCAGATGTCAGGCCATATTCAGTGGGCGTAGCCTTTTCTTGCCCTCGGTTGGACTTTCCCGAACGCTCTTTGCCAGTGGCAGTTTGAATAGAACCGACAAAATCTCGGAGCTTGGCGAGCCCAGCCTGATCCCCAGCGTTGTCGTCGTCCGACACGGATAGGTCCGTTTCGTCCTCAATATCGCTCTCCTCATCCTCACTATCATCTTCTTGGCTACTGCTGTCCGAGCGGGTATCAGATAAGCCATTGGCAGGGTTCTTTTGCTTCGAAGGGCCGCTTGCAGCGTCCTCATCGCTCTCTTCTCCTATATTCATATCCCAAGCTGTGGCTAAGTCCACTGCACCTTCCCCAAGATCATCGTCACCTTCTTCGGAGCCAAATACATCGTCATCAGCGGCCTCTTCAGAAAGATTTACTTCTCGTCGTCTGTTAGAGCCAGGGTTTGGTTTCGGTTTCGATTTGGTATTTGTAGAGCTCCCACGAAAGGTGAATCCTTCAAAGCGGTCTTCATCACTCGACCCCAGTGCATCATCACTATCAATGTCGCTATCATCGTCGGTATCGACCTGCCCTACTTTCCATTCATGGCCATCGCTGTCGCTTCCGTTGTCCTCACTGAGTTCTGAATCGTCCTCTGTTCTCCGACGTTTCGTATCCGGGCTATCGCCTTCGTTATCTCGCTTTCGTTTGGAAAAATCTTCGACTTCGCCAAATCGGTGAGAAGGAAATTTTGCTTTTGTTGGAAATTGGTGCTCCGCAACAGCCAAGGCGTTCAGTCCACTTGCCTTTTTCCTGGGCTTTAATTTTGGAGCGCTTTTCTCTCGGGAATTCAGCACATGCGACTTTCGACCTGCCATTTTGTCCACGGGCTCCGTCACCACAGAACAAGAGAACAGCAGAAAGGGAGCTGGTAGTAATAATAATGAGCTCTTCCGATAAGAATTTTTGGAAGACGCTGTGGGGCCGATAATTTTCTGGATTAACTAGGGCTATTTTGGCTAGCGTCGTGTTCTGCCGGGCGGAAACTGCATCGTGATCATCGATTTTCCCAATCCTCTCCTGTGGTCTCCTAATATTGCTGTCACTGAACCCCAGCACATCGCAGCACCAACCATTCGACAGAATGAGGCCGTCACAGCCTTTGATGATGCGGCTGCGGCTGACGACCAAACAGGTCAATGGAGGCTACTACAAAGGAACGAGGTCCGGATCAATGGGGTTTTTCAACAAACACGGCGAGTACGTTATCGATTACCGCAAAGTGCGAACATACGCTGTTCCCGAAAATCTCAAGGATTTCAAGGTAAGTGGCTAAATCCATTCTTGCTGGTTTCCCATTGCTTACTTGCGGATAGCTCACTCCGTTTGTCACAAAAACATTCTCCAAGACGCCTTCGAAGTACAAGACCCCTTTGATGACGGGGAAAGACTACCTGGAGATATGGAAAACTCGAAACTATACAGAATACGAGAGCATGTTGCGATCGGGTGAAACAGCGGAAAACGGATCAGAGAAGTAGACGGGTTGACTTTCAACGAACTGGGAAGGGTCCAGAGACACTAAAAGAGAAAGAATCACCCAAACAACCTCACACACGTTTCGTAATACGAGATACCCTCGTATTACTTCCACCGATGATCGAGCAACAAGAGGACCTTTCATGACGTGCCTGGCAGAAAGAAGCTGAGCCGGATTTATTTGGAGACCAGGGTCCTTGTTTTATACCACTCAAAGCAGGTGGAGTTATAGGAACCAGGCAGCATGCATATGTACATTAATTTCCTGACAAGAAATACACTATTTATTACAATAATAAAACAAAATAAAAGATTGATGAGGCTCTCAATAAGCATAGTTATTGGATGAGCGATAAGCTGGCTGGCCGGGCTTATCGGCAGGCGCCGGCCCTTAGTCAGGCTGTGCAGCATCCCGCCTAATCTGTCATGCCATAGCTTCTTGGATCCAGCAACTTCTTCCGGCTTCTGACCTCATCCCTCAGCCTGCCGGGGCCCTGAAACGATGATACACAGGCTACCAAATGACTTGAAAGTATCGGTCTGCAGAATCTGTCTTTGGAAACTTATCTGTTAGATTGTCGACGAGCTATGTTCCAATCCTTCACCGGGAGCTCGCGCCGGCCGCGCCAGGTGAATCTCTCAGGCCGTAACATCAACCCTTTCGCCTCATCAGCATCCGGACGACCGACAGCACATGGCCACGGAGCCCAGAATACGCTGGCTATCGCGCAGCAGGAGCGTTTACTCAGACAACAAGAAAGGGCACGCCTCGGCGCAGCTCGTGTTCTACAGAGGACATGGCGGGGCCACCTGAGCAGAAAAGCCTCACGAGCGATGTGGAGAAGAGAGTGGGATAAGGCTGAACAAGAGCGTACAGGAACTGCGATAAGTTTTGAAAGTGGCGTGTCTGTCCAGACATATACAGTTATTCCATACTCTTCTTTAGACCAGTGCCAGGTGCAACTCAGACTGCTGCTACAGTTCTTCGAGACATCAAACGACCGCGATGCCTTCCGCCTCCTCTACTTTTCGCACGCGCTCAAACGAACCCTCGAGGAAGTGCCTACAATGTCAGCGGAGGAAGGATGGACACCACTTCTAGCCCGTTTAGCGAAGACGACTTTGCGACTTCTCCTGAAGCTTGCATCTCGTCCGAAAGATTCCTACTTCTCAGGAGAGGATTTGCTTGGACTACTTTGCTTTTTGATAGGCCTCATACCGAAGCAAATGGCGCAGCTTGCTAGTGAATATTATACAGCCATGGTGGCCCTGACAACCAACGCTGAGGTGCTTAGGGAAAAACTGAACTACTCCAAGGAGTCTCTTGTCAAAAGCACTTTAGCACTACTACAACCAATTACAGCAGACACACTCGGAGCTTATGAATGGTTTGCTCGGAAATATCTCATTATCCCGGACCTAGAAAGCCACCTTGGTCAGCTGGATACCATGGCATCGAATTTAAACTACAAACTTCTAGCAAAAGGTCTTGACGCTTACGTGCAGAGCTTGGATGGAAAGCAGCCTGCAAGTGATGAGCTTGAATCACGCCTGTGGCTGTTGGCTTACTTCATATACTTCCGCCGATCTGCGCTCAGTGGGAGCCCTACTCAAGAAGCCCCAGAACCCGAATTTGTCAAGGTGGTCTCAAGTCTTTTGAATTCAGTAGCCCTCTTTGTTTCGCGCCGCCTAGAGCCAGATGATTCTTTCGAATCTGAGGAAGCTCAGAAGTTACCATTGCCTGCATTTGTTGAGGAACAAATAACTAGCCTGGTGAACCAGAAGAATATCACAGGCTTATTGTCCAAAGTCAATCCCGGCACATTTGGAGACAAAAATCAAATCACAGAACTAGACGCATCAGAAGATGCAAAAGCTCTGGCTTCATATGCTTTGACACTTCTAAGAGTATTTCCTCGTCGTGGAGATGATATTCGAATGTGGCTCTACTTGGGATCGGCGACCTCAATGGGCTCATCTGCGATGCAAACAAATGCCAGAATTCCAGCAATTAAATATTTCTGGAACATCAGCCGATCAACTGATCTATTTGCGAAGATAAGTCGTGACTCAACACAGGTGCTTTCCTTGCTGCAGCCTGTGTCAGGGGACGACGCCCGGCACAACGTACAACGTCAACAGAGTTGGACGATAATTTTATTGTTCCTCGAACTATACACATTTTTATTAAAGGTCATGGATGATGAAGAATTCTTTTCCGGCGACTCACTACCAACGAAGATGGATATTAAGGTATCATGGACGAGGGAAAGTGCGTTGCCTTTGAGAGATGTGAAGGACTTGACGGTGTTCTTGAAAAATCTTGCTTTTACACTCTACTGGAATGCAGCAGATCTAGATGATACTCAGGGCCCTCAGAACTCTGCTGGCATCAGAAGCTATTTCACACCCTCTGTTTCCCAGGAACCACTACCTACCGTACGGGATATGGAGCAGAAAAACAAAGAAAAAGGATTGCCTGGGGTAACAGGAATCCCTCTAGATTATTTTAAAGGCCTAGTGACTGGACTTTTACGAGGGATTCATGAGCGCGAGTAAGTTCACTAACTCCCCACCTCTTTTGCCAAATTCATGCGCTTATAACATGGACAATAGTTCTCGCCGTAAATTCCTTCCAGATGATCACTGGCTAATGACCGCTCGCTTTGATATGGAGGGCTTCATCCCTACTGTTGTTGCGGAGGAAGAAAACCGATATCAGCTACAAGAAGACGAGGACCAGTATGAAGATAACTACATGGGTGAGGTTTCCGATCAATCTCTTGGGCTCATCGGCACCGGTCGTGCTCAGCAAGCACGACGCATAGAAGCCTTTAGACGCCACCAGCAACAAGCCGCCCGACGAAAACAGATGGAAGCGATTGCACCTAGGTTGGAAATTCTCAGGAATATGCCCTTCTTTATTCCATTTAGCACTCGTGTCCAAATTTTTCGGCAGTTTATTTATCGGGATCAGATGAGGCGAAGACAAGGCTATATCGATCCAGATGCATGGCGCATGTCTGTTTCTGCGGCATCAATGGGTCGCCTCATGAATGGAGGTGCCGCAGCGCAAGATATCCTCAGTCGCCATCACGCTAACATCCGACGCGATAGTGTTTTTGAAGATGCTTTTGATCAATTCTATGATCTTGGAGAGGGTCTCAAGGAACCAATCCAAATCAGTTTCATTGACAAGTTTGGTGCAGTAGAGGCCGGGATCGACGGTGGTGGAGTGACCAAAGAGTTCCTAACAAGCGTGACAAATGAGGCATTCATATCTTCAAACGGTCTAGATCTATTTGTCGAAAATGACCAAAACTCACTATATCCGAATCCAACTGCTGTGGAGCAACGGAAGGAAGTCTTACGGCAGATGGGAATCAAAGAGACAAGTCCTCAATTTACGGATGGCGTTCGGGATTTACTGAAGCGCTATGAGTTTTTAGGCCGCGTGATAGGGAAGTGTCTCTACGAAGGAATTCTCGTCGATGTTCATTTCGCAGGTTTCTTCCTGCTTAAGTGGGCACTCACCGGTGGCTCAACATCCGCTAGAAAAGAGTCCGCGTACAGGGCCAATTTGAATGATCTGAGAGATCTGGATGAAGGCCTCTATCAAGGATTAGTACGTTATTCTCAGTGACCTTATTTTAAAATTTAGAGCGACCACTAATGAAAGCAGCTTCAACTGAAAAACTATCCCGGAGACGTTGAAGACTTTGCCCTAAACTTTACTGTGACAGACACGGTTCCCATTCCAGGGTCCCAACCTCGCAATATCACCAAAGAATTGAAGCCCGGTGGCGCCAATATTGAAGTCACCAACCAAAATCGCCTGGTCTACATTTCTTACATTGCTCGACATCGGCTTCAAAACCAACCGGCGCTCCAAACAGCTGCTTTTCTGAAGGGGCTTGGTGAAATCATTCAACCTTCATGGTTATCCATGTTCAACCAAACGGAGCTACAAACTCTTGTTGGAGGAGACGCAGGCGAAATAGATGTGGCCGACTTGAGACGCAATACATTATATGGCGGAGTGTACACTATCGGAGATGATAACGAAGAACACCCAACCATCAAGTTATTCTGGCAGGTGATGGAGAGCATGCCGAACGAAGAACGTCAGAAGGTACTCAAATTTGTGACTTCGACACCCCGCGCGCCTTTACTAGGCTTTAGCAACCTTAACCCCCGGTTCAGTATTCGGGATTCTAGTGAAGACCAGGAACGACTTCCCAGCACGAGTACCTGTGTGAACCTCCTGAAGCTGCCTCGTTATGCCAACGCCCAGACCCTGAGAAACAAACTCCTTTACGCCGTTAATGCGGGAGCTGGTTTCGATCTGAGCTGAGCTGGCATTCCGCAGTTCCATTCATGCATACCTGTATGACGAGGGATATACATAGATTTCGGATGCATGTCGCATAGCCTTGGCGCTTGTTTTTCCTGTAAATTTCTTTAATTCGAGACAATGAATGCAATTTTCAACAGATTAGGCATGTTATCGATAAAGAGCCTGGAAGACCAGCTTAGAAAGAACCTGAACATGGAAGACTGAAGATAGTACTATATTTTCCATCTAAAACGCCACAGAACAAGTTGTAACCCCCAAACAAACTAGGTCACATCGAGTACTTAATTTAAATGTACATATTTATAACATCACTAACAGGCAAATATCTACATGAATAAAATCTTTCCTATAAATTAATATTACTGGTATCTCAGTTTTCTATACAGTGGCGACTCGCTAACCGAGTACCGGACGGTGTGACCACGTGATGCGCCGAAAAAACCACCCAGCAAGATTTCCGTTGTTTCCAAAACAGGCTAGACGCTCACAAAATTTCCCTTTCATCCTTCGCCGTGGAAAAGATCCCAAGCTCTTTCACCACCATCTGTCAAATCCCCTCTGCTCAGCATTTGGCACTCTTCTCCCTTTCTCTTATCCCTCTCCTTCCTCAAACTCAAAAACCAAAAAACCGAAAAAAAAAGCGAAAAAATCTCCAAAAAAGCCCATTTCCAGTCGTGACCATAACGTTGTTTGTGTCAAGAAACCAACCTGGTTCCTTCCCACAAATAATCTCGTGATCACCACCACCACATTGCCCACGAGTCGTGTTCTGTAGTCCTGTCTGCAACGTACTCGACTTTCCTCGACTTTTGCTCTCTGGAATCCGTGCTTAATTCCCTGAGAGGTACCAGTCAGCGTACTTCTTCGCCCCTCCTCAAAAGGGTACGCCCCTCCAGCAAACCTCCCCAAAATATTTGCGTCATCGCCATTGCAGTCCAGCACGCAGCTAACGCGCTTCTGCCAGTTCTTTTCACCTATTTATCTAGGAAACATCGGAAATATCATTGAAAATGTCCGCCGAAGTCTCTGCAGCCCCCGCTACTGAGAACGCCAACGGCGCTGCTGACGCCAACGGCACTACGATCAACACCAATGTTGCCCCTGAAAGCGACAGCCCCGATGCGGCTACTACTCCCAGCACTGCCCAGCCTCACTCTGCCTCCTTGTACGTTGGTGAGCTCGACCCTTCCGTGACCGAGGCTATGCTGTTCGAGCTTTTCTCCTCCATTGGCCAGGTCGCTTCTATTCGAGTTTGCCGCGACGCCGTTACTCGTCGTTCTCTCGGATACGCTTACGTCAACTACAACAACACCGCTGACGGTGAGCGTGCTCTGGAGGACTTGAACTACACTCTGATCAAGGGCCGTCCTTGCCGAATTATGTGGTCTCAGCGTGACCCTGCTTTGCGCAAGACTGGCCAGGGCAATGTTTTCATCAAGAACCTTGATACTGCTATCGACAACAAGGCTCTGCATGACACCTTTGCTGCCTTTGGAAACATTCTGAGCTGCAAGGTCGCCCAGGATGAGTTTGGCAACTCGAAGGGTTACGGCTTTGTACACTATGAAACTGCCGAGGCCGCTAACAATGCCATCAAGCACGTCAATGGCATGTTACTGAACGACAAGAAGGTGTTTGTCGGCCACCATATCTCGAAGAAGGATCGTCAGAGCAAATTCGAAGAGATGAAGGCCAACTTCACCAACGTCTATGTCAAGAACATCGACCTTGATGTTACTGACGAGGATTTCAGTGAGCTTTTCGCCAGATTCGGCGAGATTACCTCCGCTACCATTAGCCGGGACAATGAAAGTGGCAAGAGCCGTGGATTCGGTTTCGTCAACTACATTACCCACGAAAGTGCTCAGGCTGCCGTTGAAGAATTGAACGACAAGGACTTCCAAGGCCAAAAGCTCTACGTTGGCCGCGCGCAAAAGAAACATGAGCGTGAAGAAGAACTTCGTCGCCAATATGAAGCTGCTCGTCTCGAGAAAGCCTCCAAATACCAAGGCGTTAACCTCTACGTGAAGAATCTCACTGATGACATTGACGACGAAAAGCTCCGTGAGCTGTTCAGCACCTTTGGCACCATAACTTCTGCTAAGGTCATGCGTGATACCGTCGGTGGCTCTTCCGACGACTCTGAGAAGGAAGAGTCTAGCAAAGAAGAGACCGAAAAAGAGTCCGAGGAGCCTGAGGAGGAAGACAAAGACCAGGAGGAGGACAAGGAGAAGAAGGATGGCAAGAAGTCTGATAAGAAACTGTTCGGGAAGAGCAAGGGCTTTGGCTTCGTTTGCTTCTCTAGCCCAGACGAGGCATCCAAGGCTGTCACTGAAATGAATCAACGCATGGTTAATGGCAAGCCTCTCTATGTCGCTCTCGCCCAACGCAAGGATGTTCGCAAGAGCCAGGTGAGATTCAATGTTCTTCGTGAGAAATTACTCCTGCTAATATGATTACAGCTCGAGGCTAGTATTCAGGCTCGTAACAACATCAGACAGCAGCAGGCCGCTGCCGCTGCTGGAATGCCTCACCCTGTAAGTTTTAGTAACTGTTTGTTAATGGAATTCTGCTGACTACGTTTCCAATTTTCAGTACATGCAGCCTGCTGTGTTCTATGGACCCGGACAGCAAGGTTTCATCCCAGGCAACGCTGGTCAGCGTGGCATGGCTTTTGCTCCTCAGCCCGGTATGGTGATGGCTGGTATCCCCGGTGGACGACCAGGCCAGTACCCTGGTGGCTTCCCTCAACAAGGTGGTCGTGGCATGGGCAACCCTAACCAGCAAATCCCTCAAAACTTCAGCCAGGGTATTCCAATTGGTGCCATGCAGGCTGGACCTGGCGGCATCCCCAACGGCATGGGCTACCCTCAGATGGCACAGGTGCAATTTGGTCGAGGTGCAGGTGGCCGTGGGCAGGTTCCTCAGGGTATTCCTCCAAATGTTCCTAGTGGTCGTGGCGGCCCAAGCTTTGGCCAGGGACGCGGTGGCATCCCTCAGCAACAAGGACATGCTCGTCCAGGACAAGGTGGACGCGGTCAAAACGCCGGTGCTGGAGCTCCTGCACCAGCCCCCGAAGGTACTTCTGGCTCGCTTACTCTGCAAGCCCTGACTGCAGCCCCATCAGCACAACAGAAACAGATGCTTGGTGAGGCTCTGTACCCCAAGATCCAGGCTCAACAGCCTGAGCTTGCTGGCAAGATCACTGGTATGCTGTTGGAGATGGACAATACCGAGCTTCTTGGCCTGTAAGTTTTACCAATTAACATGACTTCGAATTGAAAACTGACAAAATATAGGATTGACGACGAGTCTGCTCTCCGTGCCAAGGTTCAGGAGGCTCTCGATGTTTATGACGAGTATATGAAAAGCAAGGGCCCAGGTGACGAATCCAGTGAGCTTCCTAAGCCCAAGGAGAGTGCTAAGGAGGCTACCGAGGAGACCAAGTCGTAAACTGCTCGCCTCATTTCCGATGGGATGCGAATTGATTCCTGCGATGCGCCTTCCATGCTCGATTTGACGCCCATTTATTTTTAATGACCTTTCCTCTTCTTTATCTCCGGTTCTTCTATTATCCTTTAACCCACATGACCTTATTTTCCTCTTTATTCTGATATCCCTGGTTTCGATAAAAGTTTTTTTCTTTTGCAGATGATCATCCTACTACCTGTGATTGTGATGTTATGATATCTTTACCGGATATTATCTTCTTCTCTATATTGGGATCTAGAAATTAGCTGGCAGGATATGATTCGGGTATGTTAGGGCGAATGGAATGGAATGGATTAAATGTTTATCAATAGTTTGTTCTCTATGCGAGCAACTACGTATCTTTTAGTCTTTCCTCTTTCTATGTCATAACAGATGTCATCATGTTGCTAGCCATTCTCCACGTGTAATTCTGCCCTAGTGCATTTCCTCGCTGTAGCAAACCGCCAGTGATTTAATGTTGACTGGGCGCGCAGGCACGAGTCTGGCTTTGATCAATTGATATTATGGAGTGCAATGGAACGTTTGGTAGGGATTGGCTGCGCTGGTGCTTTTCTATTCTATCGGGTGGGAACTGTTGCTTAGGTATATGTTTTTTGTAGTGAACGCAGACTGGAATCATCTGCCCAATAGAATTGCGATGGTATTATTCTGATCTTCATCCAACCTAGTATTATAATTATATCCCAGAGTGTCTGCAAGTACGACTATATTTTTAGACTTCAATATACAGCACTACACATAAAATTGCATATTCAGCTATACATGATCCTGCTCTGTCGGTAATTGACCCTGTGCAAAAGCATCAAAGAGTGAAGGATCCCATGTTGAGTCCTGGAAGAGGTCTGTCATATTGAGATCAAAATTCGTCGTCATTGTCGACGCGCCAGGCCATTGTAGATCCCCGGCTCTATTACCATCCAACATCAGAAGAGGTGAATATTGGGACAAATCAATGCTATGCGGACTTTCGTATGTAGCAGATTGTCTCTGCTGAATTATGTTTTGTGTTGTGAGCGGTTGTCGTGGTTTACTGGGACCTTGAGAATTATATGGCTCTTGTGCGGCTGAGACGCTCTGTGTGTCAGTGGGAAAGATGGTGTTGTGCTCATTCTGTATGCCATTTTCGTTATATAGTGTGGCGTTAGAAGCTTCGTGCGAAGAGTGGTCGATCTTTCGTCTCTTACTTCTTCCTCTATTCTCATGTCTGAAAGACTCGGATTGACGAGAAGCCATCTCCTCAAAGTTGAATGGGGCAAGGGTGTCTTGGCATTGATTCATGCGCTGTATATTCAGAAGCAGAAACGATAGCGCCGTGTGGCAATGTTTTGCGGTCTCCCATTGCTTCGACATGGACTGCAAGATCTCAAGACACTCACGGATTTCCCTACAGAGTATTAAGCGCTTGTTGGCAAATTACAGGGGGGTTTTTTTGGGGTATACTTACTGGCATCCTTTTGAAAGCACATGTTGCTTCAGTTGGCATGCGAATGCAATCACCAACCCGGACATATACGCTGCTGACAACAGGCCAGGCCAGAAAAGGGGCTGGTGTTTGGCAAGTTGGGTTTTCAATGACGATAGAATATTCCTAGCAGACCCAATGCATGTCTGCAACGATGAGCAGAAATCCGGTGATGCTGGGTCTAGTGAAAGACACGGCCGGTTGATGCAGAGAATCAAATGTTCGTATAAAATCGAGAAGAAGGGGCTCAGATCAAATGGCTCTCCAGTGGGCTCGTCGGAGTTTCCAGCCCTATGGTTGTTGTCAACCCCTTGCAAAGAGCTTGGGAGATTATTCCACCATTTGTGCACGTCCGAGACGAGATAAAGCACGGAACTTCGCCTGATTTGGCGGTTTTGCACTGATTTGTGGAATAATTCCAACGCCCTTCCAGTGAGTTTCCCGTACATGACGTAGCTGAAGAGTGTGGCTTCTCTGTTTAATTGTTCTTGTTGTTTCGAGTCTGGTTTATCTTTCTGCGTTGTGTTTCGGAAACTTGGACTCATGAAGCGTGTTTCATGGTCGCAGGTCCAGTCCACAGAGGATCTAGAAATTGAAGCATCATCAGAGCCATCATGAAGGGAGGATGATCCTTGAGGAATGTGTGGCCCTCCTGGTGCATGGGCTTCAGACGCTCCAGGAAGACATACATCGATATCGGAGTCTTGAATGCCAAGAGGAAGACCCAAGGCTTGGCTCAGATATCGATCAATTGCATATACACACCAGAAGATACGTTTACGCAGGTGACGATCATGTGATGTGAGTTCCTTGTATCTGTATGGACAGCGATGCAGACCTACATGAAGCACAGATCGTAATATCGAGCCACCAACTAGGGATGCGTTGCGAAGAGACATGGTGGCTATGAGATACAATTGCATTGCCAGAAGAGCCTGTAGGGATAGGTTGTCATGTCGGTATAATAACAAACCAACCAATTTCGGAGCATCGGGCGCACTTTGAATCCTTGATTCTGGGGCAAGTTGGTTGTCAGGTTGCAGAAAACTAGCGAGGTTGAAGATGCACTGGAAAATGGTAGTCCAGCAAGTACTTTGGTGTTGTAATGTTTTTGATTGGTGATCGCCTTTTATAGAATCCCTTGAATAAAATGCCTCCATCTCTTGTAAGAATGATGGGCCGTGAAGAAACGGGAATATTGGATGCCACACTCTGAAATACATCATCATCAATTGTCTAGCATGTTCGAGGCTGGGAGCCACCCCCAGGACATTGACGATGTCAGGGTCATATATCCATTTTCTGCGCAATCTTGCATTACCTTCAGAATCTTGGTTGATTGTCTCGTCTCTGGCGGCATCATGTCTCTCGCCAAATGACGAAGATCCTTGACCAATTATTGTATCCTCGGCTGCAGGGAAACCAGGACCTGACGAGAAGTTATCTAAAGGACCCAGGCTTTTCGCAAAGGCTTGCCGTACGGTGTTGACAAAGAAGACACCGCTGGAGCTTCCCACGAATTCGCTTTCATCGTTCGAATGAGCGATTAGCGATCCTAGCTCTGTTGTCCTGGGCAGTATATCGGAAGACTGCATGTTGAATTTTACATGGTGTTGATGGTATTATTAGCTCATATGTGAGTTGAAAGAACAGGTATTTGATGAAGAAGCTAATGCTCCTGGTCGTAGAGTTTCACTCGACATGGTTCGTGTAGGCTAGCCAAGGTTGGGCTTCCTCCACTAGCCGGAAAAACGGTAAATCCAAGCTGTCTTGGGTGGCTCTCACTGATGACGTTGTCAAATAGTACTCTATTTGACTGAAAGACTTTGGAGATATCAAAGTGATTTCTAGTACTCTATACATAAATTTCAGGCTCACAATAACGTATTTTCACCTCAAGTTTGATGCATCAGCAAGGCAACGCTAGCCAATCAGATTGAAGAATTAGCTGTCTAGCGGCTAGCGGATTTCTATTCTCAAATGGGGAACCTGATTGGCTTAATATACATATATCAATGGCAATTGGACGGTAAGTAAATTGAAGTGGACCCGGAGACCAAGTTGGCGGGTGAAAAATCAGCCGGTCCCCAGATGCGGCTCGACGACGCAATTGACAGGAGTCTACAAGATAGATATATTGTTATTATTATTGATTTAAATTGATAAAACTGATTTTGAATAATTAGTGCTTTGAAATTTCATTAGTATCTAGAGTTGAATTGAGTGGTCCCAAAACCATGGCAACCACGATCAAACGAAAAGACAGAGTGTCTCGTATCACAACAGCTTGCAATCCCTGCCGGTCGCGCAAGCAAAAGGTGTGCAAGAACTAGAAGTGAAATGCCGACGCACGTATACACAGTAACTAATGCTTGATTATGGAACATCTAGTGCAGCGGTGAGAGGTGGGTTAATTCTATTTCGAACGGAAATCATGCATCTAACATGTATAGACCAACTTGTGAACAGTGTATTGAATACCGACGCGAATGTGCTTGGCCGGAGCAATTAAAGCGGTAGGTATTTAGTATTAACAGTGTTAAAGCTCGCTGATCCGTATTAGTGGCCCAGCCAAAGGTTATACTGAGGCCCTGGAAAACCGCCTCCTTGAGACTGAAAATGTTTTGTTAACGATACTTTCTAATTTATCGCAACCTCAACTATATTCAATACTATCCGAAAATATATCTAGAAGAGATAGCAAGAACCAAGGGAAACGAGCCATTCACATACCATCACCCTCTTCTCATAAACGTGGAGTGGATTATTGGAAATCATTCCCATTGAGCAGTGCCGAAGATATCCGAAGATGGGAGAAAGACTGTCATTGTGTACGAAGAAGTTCAGTTGTTAGCGAACACGACGCAGATACCATAGCCTCGACGAGGTCCCTCAGGAGAAAAACGGCGGAAACAACAAGAGACGATGTTGAATCTGCTTTCGAAGCTAGCCCTACTACTATAACTTCGCATGAAAACATTAACCCAGATATCACACTTGATGCAATGTATGGACAGACAGTTCACCGCCAGCATCATCCCGCTACAGGCGACTCCCAGGACAGGGCGACGTCGGATCAATTCATTTCACAACCAACGAGAATTAGCCCACACGACGATTATAGCCCTTCTCCCCGACTCGATCAACCTAAGGATCAAGTCAACACATCACAGGAACGTCAGCAGTTAAGTACATGGGAAGCAGCGCCATCGATAGACTTTCAAAGGCAGTTTCTTTGGTAGTTGGTAGGCGGATTGAAAAACAATCAACCAAATTTTATGACAGTTTCCCTTTTAATCCTTGAATTTCTTGAATATATATCATATAAGTAGTTCCCAACTATCAATAAACATTTGAGTCCCTCCGGGGCTTGTACACCGAGTGCAGGAGGCGGAAGTGCCTGCAGTGGCCTTATATGGCTCTGAATTATGGTGGAGGGCCAGGGGCGCCGCAAAAACGACTGCCTGCAAGGGGTGCAGAACCTTATTCACACACAGGCCCGTTGCTGTGACGGGCATGCTCCGAAGCACCCCTATTGGCCCCTGATCCGAGAGACTACCTTAGAGCCCGCTGAGGTCCTACTAGGGAATAGACAGAGGCGCTACGTTGCCTGGATCTTGGGGCTGTCTCAGGGGCAACCCACCGCGAGCGTGCTCCAAGTCAGTTTTCGAGAGGGAGACTTGCACGCCCAATCCGGGAGTTAGTAGCCCCTGGAGGCCTGAGCCGACCCAAATGGTTAAAATTTACTTCGTCGAACTTGTGACACCACATGGCCATCCAGTGACTCCGATGCCAGTAATCTCACTCCGTCAAGGGTCTTTTCCTGTGCTTTGAATGATTACCGCATGATTGCAAGGCCCACTTTCTTTTAGCATATTCTCTCCTCTTCGATATGATTTTATCCCACCACCACAATTGAGGTGCCCGATCTAGCAGGCTATGCGAGGTTGAGTGAGATATCTGACATCTAGCATAGCAGAAACTATGGCGAAGAAGGCCAGTCCGGATTTTTTTCACTTCTACCAACTATGATTCTAGAGTTGGTCTTGATGCAATTTGAGGATCTTTCATCTCTTCATAGTCTATACCGTGTATTGGGTACTAACTCTTTACTCAAGGAGATGCTGTTGGAGTGGTGATTGTCGAGTTAATCATCATTAAATGTGTGCCAATACTAATACAGGTAATGATTCGCAAAGTTGCATATCTACGACGCGACTCTGATACTACTATCTCATCTGTGAATGATTTCATCAGAAAATACATTTATGTCCAAAACTTGAGCTATATTATCAGAAAAGAGAATAAGGAAAATCAGCTCATCCATAGAGAACATCAATTTGCAATAGATGCCAGAGAGCCTGCAAGATCAATTGAACGCGAATTCTTCGTATTCAACTCAAAGAGCGTCCCTGTTTCTTTTCTACATAGAGATGTAAATACCAGACATCACAGGCGGTGAATTAAGGCCGGCAGCACTAGATGGTCATTTCCAACGTTATGCCCCTGACTTTGTCTACCTTGAGTGCTGGTCAGATCTATAGCTCTCACTATTCCAATTACCTGTCCCGAACATACCCCCCTTTCCAACATTAATCAATTAAATACTTGAACCCTGCGTGACTGAGGCAAAGAGGTCCTGTTCGGATTTATAAAAGTCATATCCAAGATAAAATCGTCATTATCCAACGGGTCAACCGATTAACACTAGAGGGACAAAACAGTCTTCATTCCTAATTGCGTCTTATTATTAATCAAGAACTTTGCCACGCCTCCACCATTATATTGAGCTACAACATCGCTAGTCCGTCTTACTAGTCTATAGACAATAAGATCATTTTCCAGTAGTTCCTTGTTCTACACAGCTTACTTTCTTTGTTTACAGTTATAAACGGAATGTTCGTAGCCTGATAAAATGCAACCCGATCAACGAGTAAGGACAATAGGTGCCTGCAGGTCTCTTTATATCCACCCTTAGCTGACACCGGGAACAATTATCCTCTACATACTCACCACCATGGTGATTTACTGATTAGGCTTAGTTTTGTTATCTATTGTGTCAACTGGAATATTGCGCTAGGCACGGTGAAGAAAATCACGTACTGCATAATGGTGCCGCCGAACCGACTACGCTATCTCGATGTCGCGAATGATGATTGGCGTGTTGAGTAACATCCTTGCGCTCAGCCTTAATCCCCCTCCATCAGGAGCTTCTCACCCTCAGAGTGACAAAAAAGGAATTCATGGAGACTCTACCGCCACTCGTCCTTTCATCGTTAAATATGACCTGCCATGGCATCCTCACGACTATCACACGACGACTACACGATCGCGTGGATCTGCGCATTGCCCCTCGAAATGGCGGCCGCGAAGGCCATGCTCGACGATGTCCATGATTCTCTTCCCCAGCCGCCAACCGACCATAATACGTACACGCTGGGTCGACTCGGCGGCCATAATGTGGTAATTGTTTGTCTACCGTCAGGGATTTATGGGACCACCTCATCCGCCACCGTACTGGCCGAAACGCGATCGACATTCCCATCTCTCCAGTTTGGGCTGATGGTTGGTATTGGAGGCGGCGTACCCAGCAAGGTGGACATTCGACTCGGTGATGTGGTGGTTAGCCAGCCAACGGCGACTACTGGCGGCGTGATCCAATATGACTTCGGCAAAACAATCAGTGACGGACGGCTTCAGCGGATTGGGTGTCTAAATAACCCTCCGCAGGTTCTATTAACGGCGGTCAGTCAAATTCAAAGCGACTCTATGTCCGGACAGCGCCAGATACGGCAAATTATAGAGAATACACTCACACACAATGCTACATTAAATAGCCGATTTTCTCAACCTCGCAACGACCGGCTTTTCCACGCGACATGCAAGCACCAGGACGATGCTAGTGATTGTTCTACCTGTGACCAAAATCAATTAATCAGCCGTCGGCCGCGAGCAACGGATGAACCTTATATTCATTATGGGCTGATTGCGTCAGGAAATCAGGTGATGAAAGATGCACAGACCCGAGATACGATCGCAGATGAACTGGACATCCTTTGTTTCGAGATGGAGGCTGCGGGCCTGATGAATCAACTGCCATGCCTGGTGATCCGAGGGATCTGCGACTACTGCGACTCCCATAAAAACAAAAAATGGCAGGGCTATGCAGCGTTGACCGCGGCGGCGTATACCCGAGAGCTTTTAGGAATGGTCCCTGTTCAAGACCGGAAGAATCATCAGAAATCGAGACAGCAACGTTGGATGGTTCCGTTTTCACGAAATTCCCTATTTACCGGTCGCCGCGAGGAAATCACAAAGGTAGAGAACTTACTCTCGGCCCGTGACGGACCACGAAAGATTGCTCTGACAGGACTAGGAGGAGTTGGGAAGACTCAAGTGGCACTGGAACTGGCTTATCGCATGCGAGATCGTGATACCAAATGCTCCATCTTTTGGATTCCGTCTGTAAGCCATGAGAGTGTGGAACAGGCGTATATGAGCATGGCGGAACGCCTTGGGCTACAAGACATTCATCCAGCTAATGTCAAAATGCGCGTTAAGGCGCACCTAAGTAATGAGAAGGCGGGTCAGTGGCTGCTGATCTACGATAACGCCGATGATACCAATATGTGGTTCTCTGACAACGGCACGACAACGGGGCTCAAGAGCTTCCTCCCCCAATGCGATTATGGCCGCATTATCTTCACCTCACGTAATCGAAAACTGGCCAACAGGTTGGCGCCGTCTCATGCCATCCCCATTGCTGAGATGGATGAAGGAACGGCTCGGGAGACTCTTCGAAGCTTTGTCATTCAAAAAGAGCTTCTGGATGATGATACTACCACTATTGCCCTTCTCCGGCAGCTAACATTCCTTCCGCTGGCTATCGCTCAGGCGGCAGCCTATATCAATGAAAATGGCATTAATTTGTCACAATATTTAGTACTATTACAGGAACAAGAAGAATACATCGTGGAGTTATTAAGCGAAGATTTCGAAGATGACGGACGCTATGCGGATATTCAGAATTCTGTCTCTACAACCTGGCTCATATCCTTCCACTACATTCAGCAGGTTGACTCAGTCGCAGCAGAGTATTTATCATTTATGGCTTGTATCAATCCTCGTGGTATTCCACAATCTCTTCTACCACCGGCAAAATCTCAGAAAGAGAAAACTGACGCACTTGGTCTTTTGAATGCGTATTCCTTTATTAGCATACAGAAAGACGAATCTATTAGCCTTCATCGATTAGTTCACCTGGCCATGCGGAACTGGATGAGAGAGAAAGAAAAGCTGGAATTTTGGACATGCAAAACAGCCGATCGACTTATTACAATATTTCCAGATGATAGTCATCGCAATCGCAAGCTATGGCGGGAATATCTACCTCACGCATTGTTCCTCATAGAAGGACCTGAGTTTCAAGAAGAGAAGGTGAAATACCTTTTCTTACTTGATCGAGTTGGGAAATGCCTTTTCAGGGATGGGAGGTATAATGAAGCAGAAGGTTTATATCGTAATATAACAGAAACTTGCCAACAGATGCTTAGACCAGAACATCCCCACACTCTGATCAGCATGGGTAACCTCGCTTTTACATACCGGAATCAAGGCCGGTGGAAGGAGGCTGAAGAGCTTCACGTGCAGGTGATGGAAATGAGCAAACAGGTGCTTGGAGCAGAACATCCTGACACTCTGACCAGCATGAATAACCTCGCCTACACTTGGATATTGCTAGGCAGGTGGAAGGAGGCTGAAGAGCTAGAGGTGCAGGTGATAGAAACTCGCAAACAGGTGCTTGGAACAGAACATCCTGACACTCTGACCAGCATGAATAACCTCGCGTCTACATACTCGAATCAAGGCAGGTGGAAGGAGGCTGAAGAGCTAGAGGTGCAGGTGATAGAAACTCGCAAACAGGTGCTTGGAACAGAACATCCTGACACTCTGACCAGCATGAATAACCTCGCGTCTACATACTCGAATCAAGGCAGGTGGAAGAAGGCCGAAGAGCTGGAGGTTCAGGTGATGGAAGTAAGCAAACAGTTGCTTGGACCAGAACATCCCCACACTCTGACCCGCATGAATAACCTCGCGTCTACATACCAGAATCAAGGCCGATGGAAGGAGGCTGAAGAGCTTCAGGTGCAGGTGGTGGAAATGAGCAAACAGGTGCTTGGAGCAGAACATCCTGACACTCTGACCAGTATGAATAACCTCGCCTACACTTGGATATTGCTAGGCAGGTGGAAGGAGGCCGAAGAGCTGGAGGTGCAGGTGATGGAAATGAGCAAACAGGTGCTCGGAGCAGAACATCCCGACACTCTAACGAGCATGAATAACCTCGCCTACACTTGGAAATTGCTAGGCAAAGACGAAATTGCGCTCCATTTAATGACTGACTGCGTCCAACTCCGCGCGCGGTATTTAGGTCTTGAACACCCAAACACAATATCATCAAGAGCTGCTCTTGTGAAGTGGCAGGGCGCAGATGACTCTCCGTCTACCGCTTGCCGTTGAGGCGTGCTACTTTGAACAAAAACGTAAGGTCAACATTCAATCAAGTGCCGTAGGTGAATATCAGTCTTCGGCCGCTTGAAGCTCCTAAAGTGAGAGGTATTCATTCGTTTTTTTCCGCCGGGTTGGCAGTAGGGCAGAAATAAAGAAAGAGTGTGTTGATGAATTCGATAGAAAATTCAGTATGAACCCCGAAACCTGCTTCACCTCCTTACACCCTCTTCTTGAAATTTGTCCCATATCTAGATTAAATATTATCCCTGGACTACAACTGGTTAGTTCAATACCGCGTACATTTGATATCATAATTTCCCAAGAGCTGGGGGGAGGGAATCTTGACATGCGTTACACTAAACAATGGACTGGAAAGTAGCGCACAAAGATGAGCCAACCAAAAGCATAGCCGAAGCAGAAACATGCATAATAACAAAGTCAAAGAGAAAGAATGCAGGGATAAAAAATATTTAGTTCTAAATAATGCAGAAAGACTTATTACTAATAATCTTCAAGGTCTTTAAGGGTTGAGAGGATTTTAAAGATGGGATGCTTAATAATAGATATTGCGACGAGGATAACCGCTAGTAAGTAGACAAATTGTAATGCTATAGTGCTATAATTAATAGTTATATATCCAAGTTACTCTAGGGATTTTAAAGCGCAATATATGATATAGAGAGTAGGATATCAATTAGAGTTTTTATAGATAAGTGAATATAAAAGCTATAATCCTCGTAGTCTATAGCTACAATATGGTTAAATAGTAAGTATAAAATATAGAATTCAATATAGCATATTTAGCTAGAATATTGATTTTAAAAAGAGAAAACTATCTCGGGTTTAAGAAAGATAAATAGGTGGGTGGGATTATCAAATGTTGAGGAAAATTGTTGGATTGGCAGTGATGGCAATCTGCTTAACTAGTTTAGACTATAGTAGTTTATGAAATTAGCTTTATACACTGGATACTTCTGGTTTTTCTTCTTGGCATCGATCTTTTGTTTGTATGGTACCAAACCATCCATGAATTAATATCTACGTAATTTCCTAGATATTAACTCAAGATATTATATCTTTATGCAATATCAGGTCTGTCATACACCATACTACCCATTTGACATTCCCTAGGCTACGTTATCTATCTGATAGCAATTAGCAATACCCCTCACTTCCAATTTGACCCCTGTCGGTGCGGGCTACACATATGACCACCCACACAGAAAAACAGGGCTGGCTGAACCTCCGATATGCATGCCTAATCCTCGTTTTATTCAGCCTAATATTAGCAACACTATGTTGACCTATTTCCAGTGGTCGCAATAATTCCGATATCACAAATCAAATTCACAACAAGACGGCTCTGACTATGGTCATGTGTGAAGAAGAAGCAAGGGCGTATACAGTGTTGCTACACGGCTTCATTTACTCTCGAGATAGGTTTATTTTCTCAAACACTTTAACAACCATTCACCTACCATTTAACCACAAAGAGGTAATATTTTTGACCTTAGTCAGCTCAACACAATTCTATTGGTCAACATCCATGCATCTCTGCTAGTTGCAGACATTAATTCCTCCTCCATCATATAGACTCGGCCTAGAACAGCATACTTCAGCGAATAGTAAGACCACTTCCAATGCGGAGAAGGACAAATGAAAAGATAACGGCCTAGACCACAGCGTATTAGATCCTATTTGCTCGGGTTCATGGGTGGCTCAAGCCTGCACGCGCGGCAGTCCAGTTTCAAACATATATCAGGCTGCGCCGGGATGACCGAAATGCATTTATTGGCTATACACAGCTTGAGGCTCAAAAACGTGTATACCATTGGGCGAAATAATACCTCTTAATGGTGAGTATTATACGCTCTCGTTAATTTGAATCTCGAGCCTCGCACCTTTGACAATCTATATAAGACTCCCGCGGAGGCAGGGCAGAGTACGTACATACAAGCCCTCTCAGCATAACCTTGACTACAACCAAGCATTCTACTATTTATTTTATCCAAGAATCTCTCCACAATGGCATACATCCCACCCAAAGACATCTCCTTCCGCCTCCGCAATTGCTCAAGCAACTACGTCCTCTACTCGCGCGATAAAAATGACCCTACATTCTACCACTACGGCGGCGACATTGCCGACGACCAGTTCTGGTATCTGATCCCTGGCACAGGCGACCATGCCGATACCTACATGTTCAAAAGCAAAGCCACTAAGAAGGTGATATACTCACGGAAGAGCAACGACCCCAAAGTCTTCCATGTCGATGGCGACGGCAAGTACAATGATAACTACTTCACCCTTGAAGCCGGCAGCGGCGAACATAAGTCACATTTCCGGCTGCTCAATGCGGCCTCTGACACTGTTATCTTCTCGCGGACGACGGCAGACCCGTACCTTGGTAATGTTGCATCCTCGTACCAAAAGTCCGATGACCAGTACTGGAAGTACGAGTTTGAGGATATGGTGATTGATCGGATATCGTATAAGATTGATTCTGGGCAGATCGTTTCACAGACGCCTGAGACCATCGGATCTAATACATTGGTTAATAACTCTGATTCGGAACAGCATGATAACTGGCATTTTGAGAAGACGTTCTCGACGACCCATACCTGGGAATTTACCAGTGGGTTCTCAATTAAGCTTGGTGAGACGGCTGACTTTGGGGTTCCTGGTGTTGCAGAGGATAAGGTTAGTGTTGAGGCAACGGAGACTGTGCAGTATAAGACTGGGTCTTCGACTACGAGCACTACCACGCAGTGGAAGGATGTGCCTGTTACTGCTAAGGCGCATTCAAAGGTTACTGCGACGACTACTATTACCCGTAGTAACCTTGCGGTTCCGTATACTATTTACCTCAAGTCGAAGGCGACTGGTGCGGAGGTTACTTCCAGTGGTATTTACAAGGGGGTAGCGTTCTGGGATACACGTACTCAGATTGACTCGGAAATTATCTGAGCTACGCAGGAAGCACTTAGTCCTCTATGAGAGTTTTCTCTTCCTAAGGTTTTGAGCAGAGAGTGGAGGCAAATCAGGGAGAATATCATTGGGCCATTGTTTTGTCTGTATCGGAATCTGCTAAGTTAAGAAGTTCTTGTTCTTCTAAACACACCCTGGTCCTAATACTAGTATTGTAAGTAAATGCGGTAATGCTGTTGAATCATATAGTATAGGTATATCTCTAAATCAATGTTTCTCCCAGTCTAACCCATATATGTTCTAAAGCATCTTGGCATAGTCTTTGGAAGTAAAGCAAAGGGTGTCAATATATTTTGGTGCATCGGCAGAAGGTTACAGCAGAAACCTGTATAGCTGCATGAAGTAGGGGAGTAGTACACAAATATAATTGAGAAAAAGTTCGACATGAAAGCAGTACGTACTGAATACTACCAAACTTCAAAAGGCTAGATTATGGGGGTCAAGAAGCGGCAGAAGCGCGAATGAGAGATGCGCGTGGCTGAGATCTCTATATGGGTTTCTAGCGATTTCCTGTGGGGGCGCACCTCCCTGGACGATACTAGGCGCGCGCTGCACGCGCCCGGCCCTGAAACGACGAGGGCAGGAGAATGGGCACGAGAAATCAGTTGATTATATCCGGATAAGCGACTGATTTACATGTTTGGAACTGTAGTTCTGCTGATGCGAGGAGGAGCAGTAAAAGAACTGCTACATCCCCAACAATCCCGTGTAGGCAACGGGGCTTGCGGACGAGAGTCTCGTTAGCCTGTGGGATTGGCGGCAAATCTCACAACGACCATAGGAGTCTGGGGCACAGATAGCAATTCCACAGTATGCCCATGTTACGATGACAACCAAGGCAGGATTGATGAGATGACAGAAGCCCCCAGAAGGAGTAAATATAAAAATAGACAAGCGACATGTACCGCTGAAACAGCCTACTTAGGATTAATATTTCATACGTAGCAATAAGAGATAAACACAATGAGTGGTCGTACCAATGAGCTTGATGGGGCTAAAAGAGAGGCTGAGCGTTGCTATTAAGGATGAGGCTGTTATGGCTTAGTGGGGCCTGTCAACGCATATACGCGTTAAGCCTAACGACCCGAAGATCCTACCCGTCTTAGTAGAAGTGCGAGTCACTAGGAGCCTAAAAAGAAACACTAGTGGGTGCATCGTATAAATACACAAATGAGACTGAATCTATAAGAGTATTCACCAGGACAGAATCAGATGAAAATGCCCCATAGCACATTAGTAGCAATATTCATTTCTATTCTTATCATATCGGAAACCCATCTCCTGGGCTAGCGTGAGTTGCCAATGGATGATTGGTGCTGTGGGCTGGAACAAGACCAGGGGTCGGGTTGCCTCTGACTAAATCTACTTTGAAAGGATCCTTCTCAGATCTTCAGATCTAGTCAGAAGACTGAGGAGACAGAAGAAAAATGCTCATAAAAAACCTGCAGGGTATTAATCCATAGAGAACAGACAGTGATATAAATACCCCTTCAAGGTTCGCTTTCCACATTGACTTTACATAACCCTCTTTCATTCCAGACAAATCACTCACTAAAATTCTACAATCTCCATCATTATGTTCCACTTAACTCTTGTGGGCTTCCTTCTTGGTGCTGTCACTCTCGGTGCAGCAGACGATACCTGGGGTCTTTCCTTCTACAGTGATGGTGCTTGCGGAAACTCTCCCGCCTCATTTGGAGATAGCACGACATGGGGTTGCTACAATTTGGATAGCGAGGTTGAGCTGCAGTCTTTTGAGTGGCAGGCTGATGACTGCAAATTTTCTGCTGAGGTCTTTTTTGAAGAGAACTGCGGAGGAGACAATCAGCTAGCAATGTCCTATGTGTGCTCCAGCGCCAATGTCTTGCGGGGAAACACGTTCTCGTCTTTTGTTGTAAGTATTTATAAACATATACTATGCCTTGATTACCCTGGTGAGATCTCAAGCGAGTTAGAAGCTGACTGTTTGCAAATATACAGATTGGAGGTCCTCTCGCCCACAATTGTTAATGGTCGTGTCTCTGTCGGTATATTATAGCTTACGCAGGGCCTCTATCGTTAGATTCTGAGGACACTTAGAGGTTGTTATTTTCCAGAAAGCATATTTATTCCGTGGTTACCACAAGATGGATAGGTTCGAAGAATTATATCAATTTGTCACGTTACAGATGTACTTTTTAGGAAGATTCGTCAAATGTATCTTGTATCTCTGGGAGTATTGGCATTGACAGCATCTCGCAGTAGTCTAGCTAAAGTCTCATTCCCGTAATCGTCCGCCCATAACAATGGTGTTCGTCCTTCAAAATCTTGGGAGTCCAGATTAACACCCTTCCGCTGCAAGCAGCAGCTTGACCACTGTCTCATACCCCATTTTCTGCCGCCCTTGACAGGGGGTATGTCTTTTAGAATCTGCAGAGTAGCAAGTTGACTACTGCCGCATGTCCATTTTATGCTGCCTTTATTATGGCGTCTTTCCCCAAGGATCCTTTGAACCAGGATTGACTACCTCTGTGGCGAGCAGCGATTTGAACAGTGTTTCATGCCCATGTTCAGCCTCCCATGATAGAGGCGTCCGTCCATTCAAATCCTGGGAATCAGGGTCAACACCGTCCGTGGTAAGCAGTAACTTTACCACTCCCTCGTGTCCATTTTGTGCTGCCTTCAATAGTGGCGTCTGTCCCCGTAGATCCTGAGAATCGGAGTCGATACCGTCCATGATAAGCAGCAACTTGACCACTCCCTCATGTCCATTCCGTGCTGCCTTTGACAGTGCTGCTTGCATGGCACTAGGCGGTGATTGAGCATGAGCTCTGGCTTCTAGCGATTTTGGAGCTGTCGCTTCTTGTCCCTGTTTTGCAGCCCACAAAAATACCGAACTGCCATGTTATTGTACGTTGTAGCGATAAAGATCGGGGTTGAGAAGACTGTAGAGCTGAGTATTTGTTTGGGTAACAGTATTTATATCCTCCTCAGATTCCAGTCACTCTGCAATAGACTGCAGTAATTCATTTGGTAACAGGAGAAGCATCTAAATTGTATTCGCTTGATTTGGTTATACTGTCATGAAGAGAAAATACGGTGATTCTTGATCAACATGTCAGCCCCTCAGTCAGCACTAACAACACAGCAGGCGTTTGATTGGCTAGTTTAAGTCAGATGTTTAAGCTCAAGGGTTAATTGAACAGTCCTTAATAGATGACGTCCCTTCTGTAAGTCATTCTTGCACAGCCTCAACGTCGGTTGGTCTTGACATTAAGATCCAACTTGGTACGTGTGGAGAAAATACAGGCGGTCAAGGCAGTTTAACTTCTCCTGGGTGGTCCTGGAAAGGAAATCGAAAACAGGTCACGTATAAGTACCTCACGTGAGAGGGTTGCGGGAAAGGACCAACTAAACGCGCGCTGCACGCGCTGGAGACCTGAAATGATGAGGACAGTATGTAGGGTTTATTGCAGTACCATGGTAGTATGTATAGAGAAGCATAGTAAAAGAGAGTAATGCAAGCCAAGAGCGGTGTTCTAGAGACTAACGCAAAAGAGTATGGAAAAGCACGAATAAAACAGAAGAAGCAAGCATCCAATCAGAAACGTGCGTGGGACGGCGGGCGGGCCCGTGTCATAAATTGTAACGTCTTCCACGGGCTTCCCGCGCACCCATGTAATCCATATAAAATGGCCTTTTTTTGTATCTTAGTATCTCAATAAAATTATATATAAATCATACTTCAAAATTTATTTTATCATATATATAGTATATTAAATTTTGGATCATGGTTTATATATAATTTTATTGGGATATTAAGATACAAAAAAAGGCCATTTTATATGGTTTACGTGGGTGCGCGGGAAGCCCGTGTGCGCAGGAAGCCCGTGGAATACGTTAGATATTCATTCGCTGACATCATGTCCTGATTTTATTCACCGAGCACTGACATATGCCTAGAAGTGACTACAGTAACTGCATTGAATTTCAAGATATTCACCTAATTTGAGAAATTTGAGATAAAATACCGTATGGACTGTTCTTTGGCGGGCACTGGATAAAGCGACTCAAGACGACTCCATGAAACATCAACATTAATCTTCAATCTTCCATCAAAACACTTGACATCAGCTCATAAATCAGGCATCAATCCAACGTGATAACTAAACCAACACCATACTATGGACACCGCCAAAACCGTCAAGACACGACTATGCATGATATCAGACACCCACACACTGACCCCCTTCCACAGCACCCTCACCTCCAAAGCCTTCCGCCATCCGCTCCCCGCGGCCGACATCCTCCTGCACGCCGGGGACCTGACGGGCATCGGGCGTCTCCCCGAGCACAAAATCACAGTGCAGATGCTCATCGACGCCTCTGCGGAGCTCAAGCTCGTTATCGCGGGTAACCACGACATCTCGCTAGACAGCTCATACTACGCCCGTCGCGGCGCCGCACGGCACGGGTCCGCACGCCTCGAGAACCCCGAGGAAATCAAGGCATTGTACACTTCTGATGCTGCCAGGCGGGCTGGCATCGTGTACATGGAGGAAGAAACGCGGACGTTCACGCTCGACAGCACCGGCGCTCAGTTCACCGTGTATGCGTCGCCATATACGCCGGAGTTTTGCGGCTGGGCGTTTGCGTATGAGAGGGACCAGGATCGGTTCAACCCGTCGACTTCGTCGGCGCAGGTTCAGGCGCGGAATCCAGTGCCAGGGTTCCCTGGTGTGGATATTATGCTCACGCATGGCCCTCCAGAAGGGGTGTTGGATGAGGTTAATGATTATGGGGGGCAGAAGAAGAATGTTGGATGTGAGCATTTGCTGAATGCTTGTGCACGGGCGCGACCTCGGTTGCATGTGTTTGGGCATATACATGAGGGATTTGGCGCAGTGCGACAGAATTGGAGGACGCTCAAGCGAGAGCGGATTCGGCAGGATCAGGAGACCGTGCTGGAGCAGAGGTCGTGCTATTATGATCTCTCGAGAGATGCTGAAGAACCGCTTGTGTTTGGCGAAGAGACGTTGTTTGTGAACGCCAGTGTGGTCAATGCTAGATACAAGCCGGAGAATGCGCCCTGGGTTGTGGATTTGGATTTGCCAGTCGTGACTTAGAGACTTATTTCAGGATAAGTTTCATTCTGTGGATGATAGTAGCAAGCTGGATTCGTTACTATTACTACCTCGATTACATGTATATGCTTGGTTAGACTATGTGCTGGTATGACAATAGCGCTCTTATAAGTATGTAGTCTTATGGATACTTTGACAGGTTAACTACATGTCAATTGATCAATTACTGTAGTACGAGTAATAGAATTACATTCGGCATCTGTATGTAATCAGATTTATGCGTTATGTTACCTGGGAACAATCGAACCTGCAGGACATATATTTGAGCCCGGTTGGGACGAAAACCAAGGAAACCAGTGATATACGAAGGTACTGAGATCGATGTAAACGATCAATTGAAGCGCCATGACACATAGATAGTAATTAAGCAGGGTTGATAACGTTAATGTTGATGATAGTAATCTCATCTAGTAAGGGGATCCTACTCCTTGCTATGAGCTGGCTTTTTATAGTTGACCCATTACTTTTGAACGATTTGCTATTTTGGAATGGTTTGTGTTTTTTAATTGTATTTGTAATTCTGAAATTTCCAAGCTTATAAGCCCTATAGACTAGTTATTACTAGGATGCAACAACAGAAACTCGAAATTAATTTTCCAAGCCTCAGAAGCGAGTAATAATAACCACCAAATCTGATATTCCAAAATTTGCACAATTTCTCTAGGTGACTTGTTTCGAACCTATTCCAACGGCGGTTTTCGAGCGTACACAACTGTTCTATAAGTTTGTTCAAAATCAGCCACAAATAAAATTTGAATTTCTAACAAACCAGGAAATAGCTACGTACGTGGTAGTATAACTGTGCTCTGATCGGTCCCTTACCATACCCCTCACCAGCGCGTGAAGGATCTGTGTCTCTTCCACACTCCAACCTAGAATCTGTGTGTGAAGTCGCAGACCGTATGCGTCCAGCCCATCCAGGATCATTGCCGACACATATCTCCCGATCTCCTTCAGTCGACTATCTTTTGGCCAAGGCGTGTAGGGTACTATGTAAGTTCTTTCAGTCACGTCAACGAAACCTTCTGATTTAGCCCATTCACTCAGACGGTGGTAAATGTTCAACTCTCGACCCGACTGTTTTCCAGCTGCATCAAGATTTCTTACAAACTTCATAGTTACCGAGTCATCTTTCACGGTTCCATCGGGGCTCCAAACCCATTGAGCGCTTTCTTGAACCTCAAAATAGCCACCGGGACGTAAACGAACGAATGCTTGTCGAAATAGTCGGGGCCAGTCGGTGACACTCCTATGTTAACCAAATTCAATGAGGAACAATAACGTCAATAGAAGTATTGTGATTTTAAAAAAAAAGATATTATACCCCGATAAGTCTCTTGCGTGAATGAAATCAAATGAACTTGGCTTATCCAGCCAGTCTTTCTCGAAGTCATCAACCAGAAATTCCAGGTTAGGCGGTACCCACTGTGGTTGGATGGGACTGATATCGTTTCCTATGACGTGTGCTTCTGGGAATTTGCTGCACAATCAAGTTAGAACGAGTCTTATCGAAATGAATTAACCTACTCTGCCATATCAAGAGCCCAGATTCCGGTCCCCGTGCCCAAGTCCAAGATTCGTCGTGGACCATTGAGTGGCGCGTTGTACAATTCACCTCCTAGAACTAAGAGCCAGCTAAAGGAGGTTAGGGGTTACGGCGGAGAATCCTCTAATATAAAACTCACATATGATGCGTCTGGACGCCATCAAATACATTTTATGAGCTCAAGTTCCTTTCGTGAAAAGATAAACTGAGATAGCAACTCACCAAGTCCAAACGATCTTGCTCTTTGTCGTCATTAGGCATTCTTTGAACTGGCTAATCAGCGATCGTGGATATAAAAAACTACATAACTCCAATAAGCAGATAATGCCTACGAGTAGCCTCCCTGTTCACTTTTTAATAATTTGTACAGAACCTTCTTTCAGAAGAATGAGGTGATCGGAGTGGACTTACCATTCGGGAACTGGGATACCGTCGCCCGTTCTCATATTCGTATTCCAATACACTGGAGGCAAGCGAGGCGATGTCCGTTCCACCATCTTCAAAATCACTATACTCAGCCTTGTGGTACCCTAACAGTTAGCCTTGCTCCCGAATACATTTTCAGTCTCTCATTGTACTCTTACGTCATCGACGGCGATGGAGGGATGGAGGTTGGGCTGATCCATTCCGTTTTACCGTCCTTAATATATGAAGAGCACTTATGCGTTGGGATTTTGCACTTCATTGTGAGATCAGTTCTACATTTCAATGGCAATGCGAAGAGAATCTACTCACAGAGACGCCAATGCTTATCATTACCGTTTGTGCTATTCCATGCAGAATAAAGGGGCTTGACTGGAACTTCGGCCCGCTAGATCCGATATAGTTATGTCGGTGACCGTTATAAAGTTTCCTTTAGTGCTATTCAAAAGACTAACCTGTATACGGCGTAGAATCAGCTTACTACTCCTGCAATAAATCTAGTTCACTATAGGTTTGGTAATTATTCATGGACTTAATACGCCGTCGAATTCGCCACATTATAATTTGCTTTTTCTCAATGACAACTATGTTTCAGATGGTTCTGGCCCTTGATAATGGTTGCCCCCCCTGAAGTCAACATCTCAATTGCGGCGGAATGGATATTCTTGCCACGCTCTCAATCTCGCTGCTTACTAGATCCCAACCCCAAGCCGACTCGACACACTCCACATATAGTTATTATACCAATGGCGACCCTAGTATTGGATAGACTGTATTTCCTATTTCATACCTCTGTGTGTGCCGTCCCGTGACTCCCAATAATCTACATATTGTCTCAGTGAGTATCTGATAACAAAGATACAAGCCAATGAAGTCACTACCCTGACAGAAACAATGACTTTCTGCATCTGATTGGCGGGAGATAAGATTGCATCCGTGGAAATTAGCACCAAAAAAAAAACTAAATTCTTGGTAGGTGTTTGTCGCCCTAAATTCACCTCCTCCGCGGAGTTCAGAGATATTTCACTCTTCATGCGATTTACATCGAGCTCAGGGACCTAAAGATGTATGTTCAAGAGAGCTACTACACAGAATACCCGTAGACAGAAATAGCCATGACCGTTGATATCGCACTACAAGCTCTGAAGCTCGCAGACCTTCCACCATACTCTATCGTGGTTGTTACAGCAGTAACTGGAGCCATGGGACCAGTCAAAGTATGATTACTGTAGTAAAACAATTCCTTATTCCCAGTTCAATTCTAGTTGGTCGCTCACCTGAATATTTCTTGTTCTATTAATATGCAGGTATTGTAGTGCTGGACTGGTCCGGTTCCGTTTAGGACACATCGGTTCCAGCGCAGAGTAGAAACGTTGTCTTGACAGATACGCGATTCAGTTGACGGCCAATTTGAGTGCAAGGAATATTAGTGTATAGTTCATAAGCAGGTAAAATCGCTTATTAAGTACTCGGTTAATATTCAACCGATATCAATGATCTAGAGATAATTAATGACATGATAAAGCATAAAAGCAGTAATAGATTTTCGATCATATTGCACTTATTTGTTACATATAGCATACATATGTACGACCAAGGCGTCATATTCGAATCTCCTACGTCTAAACCATTCAATGTTTCAACGTTCAAAAAGTAGCAACACATAACAGAAAAGGATCTTGCAGATAAGATTTGCCAATGAAAGAGATTCTCAACCGGAAGGCGCCATGTCCCGACTGTCCAGGAGACTGGTATCAAAATATCAAAATATAGAAAATTGAAACATAAAACCCCACATAAGAAGTAATTATGTTAGGTTAAAAAGAAATCAAAATGAAATACAGAATATAAACCAAGTATGAATTCAGAAATAGAAATTATTCCTCTGGCAAAGGTTGCGCGAAAGGACCGGTGCGCACATTTGCTCGGCTGGCCTTTTTGTTTATGCCTTTGAGCAGGCTGAATCGTTTCTTGACGGAATCGCGAACGCTACTAGTATTAGAGTTTCCATTTGTGCTGCCATTGCCATGGTGGTGGTGGCCACTAGTAACGGAAGAGACGGTTGTAGACGAACCGCCGTTCGCGATATGTTTGAAGCTGTCTGACGTTGCAGGCCGTTCGGAGTAAGATGTTCGAGGCAATGCAGTGGCAGCAGCATCCCATTCACCACTGGCCATTACTGGGGTACTCTTTTTCGGCTCTAGCCTGTTAGGGCGAGAGTAGTATCTCTCATGCTCATCCTGCGACTTGGCTGACTTGACTGATTTCTCCGCTACGCTTCGCGTGTGAGAGTTTTGTCGTTGGCGTTGATGGTCTTCGTCCTCGGTGCCAGTGACGGAAGGTGTATTTTTGTGTTTGGCCTTGGTATCCCCGCCAAACCAGCTTCGTCGTTTCTCGCTCTTTGCTCCACGGCTCGTGCCGCGTGAGTGAATGGTGGCAGCATCGCCGTCGTGGCTTTGTAGATCTACAGATTGTCGGTTGGATTTCATGGAAGCTTGACGCTTTAAATCCGTCGATCTACGGATGGTACCGATCGTCGCGACTGATCCCGATCCACTGTGATTAGACCGCTTGAAAGGATTGACGATGCTGATCCGATGGCTGAGGGACGACTTTGCGTTGTGTTTACCGTGGCTATTGGAGCGTGAATTGCGGATGAGTTCCTGTTCCGGGCTGAATGACCGACCTAGGTCAGAATAGTTCCCGTTCGCGAGCGGAGTGGACCGATTGGTAGAATTGTTCGCACTCGGAGGGGGTGAAAGAGCCTGCTGATATGCTGAGAGAGATGCAAGTTCCGGCGCAAAAATTTCTTCAAAACGACTTAGAAGTTGTGATTGGGTTGCTTGATGAGACGGCCGTGAGTATAATGATAGACAATGTTTGATTGACAGTGCATGGTCGATCAAAGCCACAGCAAGCGCATTTTCCAACGGGTCTATTGGCTTGGGCTCAGCCTCTTCATCTTCATCTTCTGCGCCGTCTTTGTCATTGTCCTGTGATAGGAACGGTCGATAAACTGCGACGCAACTGGACTGCGGTGTATCGAGCTCAAGAAGATGTATCAAAGCTTCGGTCAGGCCAGAAAGACTAGTGTCGTCCCCAAAAGTTGCATGCTGTTCGAGAAGATGTAGTTCCTGTGTCTTTCGCCAGGTTCGTTCGATAGCTGTTTGCAGAGGACTAAGCTCCACCACATCCGTAGCTACGATCTCGCTTCGGCGGAGAATGTTAGGGAATGGCTCTGCCGTGGCGAAGACAGTTCTCTCAACCGAGTGCTCATTGATATCAGAACTGCTGGTATGTCGTTTAGATGTATAGGAGAACTGCACTGGGATGGATATCAAAAGATGATCACGCACTGAATGCGGAACCTTGGAACGCTGATACACTGGATGCAATATATCTCTATAAGGGCCGACAGCGGTGATTTGCAAGAATTGGCCTTCGATATCCTCGATTTCGCCTGAAGATACGATCTGTGCAGCAGGATGTAATTTCTGCATACGGTCGGTGAAGGAAGTCATACGCTCATTAGGCAGTGCTTCAAAAATGAACTGTTTGTCACGAAGAGTTGATGGGAACCCTAAGCCCTTGTAATAGACACGGAAGAAGCGTGGGAAAGCTCGGGTTTCTTTGGCGATTGATTCGTAGATTTTAGCCATTGAACTTTGCGCTCGCGAAAGTTTCGCAAACTCCATGACAATGAATTCATATTGCTCTGCAAGCTCCTTGTAACAAGCGAGCGCATGAGTCCACGCCTTCCCGTCTTCGAAATGCTGGATGATCTCAAAGTAGAGTGCTTCTTTCCTCTCAAAGGCAGTTTGTTCAGGGAACGGCGGATTAGACAAAGCAGGAAGCATTCGTGTCGGATCCCAAGCATAGAGATCGGCATGGAACTGCAATGCTAGCCCCGCCTCGGAGTAATTCCGTTCAGAAGCCTGAGATTGAGCCAGTCCATGGACATATCGTATAAAAATGTCCTCTCTATCCATGTCTTTCATGAATTCCATCAGTCGCAGAGTGTTGAGGCTCTCAGTAATACCGCCGCTGTTGCACGCCACAAGAAGTTCCAATAGTTCATCTATCGTGCCAATGAGGCCCTTGACGTCGGTGGAAAGGGCCTCATCTGATTCAGCAACCTTGTCGAATAGCTCTAACAATTCGGCAATAAAAAGCTTTTGAGTGATGCTTTCGTTCATATGCTTTTTTTGGAAAAGTACGTCAAGACTCGTGACTATCTCCATCTCGATGATGGATAAGTCTTGATTGAGATCCCATTCACTAATGATCATCGTCTGTAAAACTTCCACCGCCACATGACGAAGGCTCTCATGAACACTAAGGCACAGTTCTATAATGCCGGGGACGAGGTTAGGGACGTATTGCACTTGGTAACCGCCGAGCTTTTTCAATCCGTATTTTGCTTTTTCTTCTTCAGTTGTATCCCATCCAATAACTTCCCATGCCTGACGTAAAAGCGCGGCACCTTGCTCTCGGACGTCGCCGCCAATCTTCCAGACTGCTCTTCTTTTCTGCTCAGGGAATGTTTCCAGAGCAAGCGCTTCGCTTGATACAACGCTCAATAACGTAGTGAAAAAAAGTTCCCATAGTCTTGTATCGAAACTATCGGCATCATCAGGAGAAGGAAGAAATGATTGGACCAGTAAGGAACAAATATTCTCGAGGTTCTTCACAGCGGCACGGTGATGGTATATATGAACACTCAACCAGTCTCCAGGATAAGCCTCACAGTTGATAATTGACTTGTGCGCCTCAAGTGCGTTGGACAGGAACACGGCCATGTCGTCCTGCTTGAGGACAGGCAACTTGGGTTCCTGTATATCTGAGATTGCAGCGATTAGACCAGCTAGCTCGACCAGCGACTCATCAAACTTTTGACTGCGCTTAGATGGCTTCACTTGAAATGGGAATGATTTGGAATAAAGCATAGAGAGGTAATCTGTCTCATCAACGCCTTCCAGAACAATCGCGCAATAAGACGTGGTGATCTTGTTCATGAAGCCATATAGTTGGGGTTCAGGCTGCTTCAATAGTTCCGCGACAACTGACGCACAGAGACGTACTTGGTCTCTATACTGGTCAGAGACGGCGCCTGTCGAGCCCCAATACGGTTCAAGCCAGCTCTGACAGCAGGATATCAAAGTGTCTCTTTCAGCGCCAGAAGCAAACACTTCGAGTCTCGTGTAGTTCTGGATGAGAATCAATTTGTACAGGACAAGCATCCCTTTGACATCTTTACACGAGTCCATGAAACTCAAAGCAATCATGATGATCTCGTCTTTGCTGAAGACATTGGCAAGCTCAGGTAACCAACTGTGGAAGTGCTGCACCACCAGGGTTTTACTACCAACCGTAACTGGTGAGGGATTCCGCATGAGAGTCTCTAAGCACTTGAATATTGAATGTAAGTCACGGTTGAATGTCGGCTGAACTTTAGTGATCCCGATACCTTCTTCTTTGAGCTTTTGTTGTTCTCGGGCATTTATAATAAACTTCAAGAGGTGTCGTCCCACTTTGAAAGCCGCACGAAGATTCCGTGATTGTTCTGGTGTATCATTTCCTTGCAACAGGCGTAGATAGCTTCGAACTAAACATGGAGTGGCAAATGGGAAGTTGAATTGGTTTTCGGTGTAGTGATCAACCAAAGGTCCAAGATTGAATCGTCTATCGTGAGTAATACCCAGTACTGTGACGAGAGCATTGAATATGAGATCTTCGTATTCCTCGCTGCCCGCATTGTCAACAAGAATTCCAAACAGAGCATCAAAAACATCCCGCAGTTGCTTGACAATTTCTATCTGCGGAACAAAAAGCATTCGTCGAAGAAGTTCTAGTACTTCACCACCGGGTTGCTTTTTCCAGTTGATAAGACCCAGAATGATTTGATCTTGAGAATATTCTGTACTGCAGAGGTTGGTCTCGACCAGCACTGTGGACAGAGGTGCCGTGACAGATTCGTCCTTGACGGACATCCCTTTGGCTGATGAAGACCATGGTAGGCTCAGATACGCGCCTTTTCCGGTCTCATCTACACTCGAAGTGACCTTATCATAAGCATGAAGCAGCAAGGAGTGAGGACCATCGTGCAAGAATGCTTGGCCATCCCATAATGGTAGCCAGCAGAGCGCAAATGGGAAGTCTGGAGCATCTGCAACGCTCATAATGATATGAGCCCCTGGAACCTCCTCTGTGGGAATCTTCAATCGAATTGTTTGGTCCCATGACGAATCTCTGTCCGTAACGGTTGTCCTCCAGGCAGTATGGCCAGTGCTGTTTGATGACGCAAAAACGCAACGTTCTATGCGAGCACCACGAGCGTTCCGAACTTCCAAGGTCAACTGGAGATTGCGGTAACCAGTATTCGCAGGAACAGGAACTTGGCCAGCTTGAGGATGAGACAACAGGGCGGGAAAACGAAACTTGGCCCGAGAGACGGTCAAGTAAATGTCAGACCTCGGGTTTGCAGGAGCGGCAGCAAAGCCAAGTCTTCTTGTTTGAGTTACATTGTGCATTAGGGTGGGGTTGTTTCGAACAAGAGCGTCGGCATCAGAGTTGATAAATGGGTGGAAATGGAGGTGAAGTCGAGAGGCGCGGAAGGATCTGGTATACCGACCGGAAGGACTTGGTAGAAGAGTACGAACAACCTCATCGAAGCCCTCATCCATATTGTCGTCTTCTTCACCATCCTCACTCAGGGGCGACCAGATATTAATGATCTGTTCGGCATCCTTGTTCTGTCGAATAACATGTGCAACATCTAGAACGCCGACACCAACTGTGCGGATCACAGTGTTGTCTTTAGACGATGTATTTTCTGGTTGACCTCGAACTTCTGTGGAATCGGCTGATTTAGGCGGGTTCTCTTTGATAGTCTCTGGTTGTCCACTGCGCGGCGGTTTACCAGCAGTCCAAACCATGCTCCGCCGGCCCTTCACACTACCCCTGGCACTATTCAGTGACGATGTATTCCGGGTGACCGCCCCATCTCGGGAGCCAGATGGTCGCATGGCGGGTGGAAAAGAAGGCTGAGGCGGCTCTGCTGATTGCACTTTCACTATTAGATATAGCTGCGTGTTTGCTCCAGATCCTTCACCGACATCTGCAGCGCACAGCTCCGTGAACAAAGTCTTCAATTTACTACTGTGAGCCAGCGCCGAGAAGCTCTCCGGAGACGGAACGTCCAAAATGTATGTTTCCGAGAGTGGTTTCAACAAGCCATTCTCTGCCTTCGTAGCGAGATACATATTGAGGGTGACCGGACCGGAATGAGAACCTGTAACTGCCTTGATTTCGAGTAGAAAATGGTGGAGGGATCCAGAATCTGCATTCTGCGTCGGGTCACTGTCCAACATACTCATTTCCGATTGAAGTTTTGTGAGTTCGATTGCCGAGTCTTCTCCGGTCAGCAAGCGACCACTTTGCTTCGGGTCGCGCACGATAATCTCGCCCGTGAGCATCTTGTTGCCGCGTACTAGGCTCCAAACAGTCTCCTGGCGAACACTCGATTTTTCCTTTGACGTGAGAACATCGTGGAGGAGCTGGCGTCTGGCAAAGTCCAGCTCCAGAATGATATTGGATACATTCTCTAACGACGAATATTGGCGAGATAGAAGTAGCTCGTGGAGATTTGTCGAGTGCCACTCTCGCAAACACGATGCGATTTCATCAACGAGAGGCTCTTCATAAGACGTCGGGGTTTCGTCGCCGATTTTGAGCATTGGCACGGGCGCAGCGGGTTTGGGAGAGCCCATGTTCCGCGCAGTGATCGGGGTGGGAGTCAATGATACCGATGCGGATCGAAACGTCGCGACTGAGACTGCCCGTCGACCAGGACTCGGATCTTCAGTGGTGTCCTGAATGCTCTGCCGATTTTGGTCGCCTTCATCAGTGCTTGCTGGGCTTCGGTGCCCATTAGCCACGGCCGCTACATCTCCATTCTCCAAAGCTTTGTGACCTTCCGCGTCCCCTAGATACTCTCGAATCTCAACACAGTTTCGCGGGAATATACCTGAGAACACTCTAGCCTCCAAAGTCTGGCCCTTCACGCTCGTCAATCCGGCGAGTAGCGACGGGGGTGCAACCAGGTAGCCGCGATACCAGGCGCCATTGGCACCGCCCTGTTCGATGATGTAAAGTTCATCGCCGAGCTCTAGTGGGAGGTCGGCGGGCGAAGACGGCTGGAACGGGAATATGGCAACGGCGAAAGCAATGCGAGGCAGCGGCCGCCAGGGCATGTCTGCGCCTGTAAAGATTGTTCGGTCGTGCCGCGCAGCCGACTCAGAATACGGCAAGGCTCGTTGGACAAAACGCTAGGATGGTTGGATATGTGACATGCAGAAGAGACGTGGTTCGTGGATAGCAGCTCGAGGAATGTCGCGTGGAGACTCGCTTGCAGGAGGAATGCCGGAGCACTTTTATTTCTAAATCACGGGCTTGGGAGGTGGTTAGCTCTCAACATCGCAGTCTTTCTCCTCGTTCCACAAACGATTCGTTAGTGCCGAGAGCAGCCTCGAAGCTTCGGCATGCAACATCGATGAATGGACGCAGGCACGACAGCTAATCGATTAGGCCATAGGCAAGTGGCAGAGGCGAGCGAGCACGGAGCAAGCAGCCCCTTTCCCATCGAACAATGCCAATGACCCCAGCCGTGCGGCTTTGTGCTTGCACCGGTGGACAGGGAGGGGCTGGATGAGTTACTTACCTTGGGGAAAGAAGAAGGAAAAAGAATATTAAATGAGATCTTTTCGGATCCCAATTGCGATGGCCAGGGCAAGCAAACGCGCACATACAGATCACATGCGTCCAGGAGGGACAATGGGAGGAGAAAATGATGGCGAGTAGCAGACTGCGGTAGGCTGGAGCGGCGGGTAGGAGGACCAGGGTAAGAAAGGTGCCAACCACGGTTTGTGCTAGCAGCAAAGCCAAAATAACATTAAATAATCCGTCTTAGTTGTCATTAATATTACTGCTCGTTATTTATTGTTGATATTATCAGCTAATGACTAATCCTGGTCTCTGACTTGCTAATTAATATTAGGCAGATGGAGACGGTGGGCATCGTTCAGCCTGGGAACTGCGCACGGCCGATTAGTTATAATTTCCCTACTATTGATTTATTTTAATTACGATCACTTCTTTTTCGTTGTTATTTCAATCCTCCTTTTACTCTTCTTTGTCATGGCTGGGCTAGTGCAAACCTAGCTATGCATCGAGGACACGTACTCCTCTAGGCCTGAAAAATAGGAACTGCTATAACATTTGAAGTATACAAGAAGAACACATTATTGGATTACGTGGAGTCCACGGGTCACTAGATCGTATGGTCCCACCACGGCCGCGAGGCATGCAACAGCAAAGACGGCAACGAGATTTGGATCAATCACTTTTCAATATACTGGATCTGTATGTGAGAATCTGGTGTACTTGAGCTCATTACAGTATATCCATCGCGCTGTATTTAATTGTAGACGAATTGTATAGAATAACCTCTATTCGCTACCTAAATATCGTAAATCATTGTAGATAAAGCATAGAACGGTATCCATCACAGCATAGTTACAATGTGGTAGACGATAATCACAATCCTTCATATGACGCTATAACTGGCGGGAATCGCGCTTGATATAGAGCCGCAAAAAGAATAAGAAGAAATAATAAAGATACCCTAGAAAGTCAACCATTCCCCAAAAACACCTGTTGCAATGCCGTGCCCAAAGTATAGCCGCCACAATCCTCCTCGTGGATGTGGCTAGAAAACATGAAAAGGACAAATAATGCAGAAGATTTTACAAAGCTCTCAGTATGGTGGCTTTAGCGGCGAAATAGAGCAGCGATTTCGTCCCTGTTCCATTCGAGCTCGATTTGGCCCTCATAAACACTGTCGATGACTTTCCTAGTACGGTCATATGCATCTGCGTATCGACTTTCACACTCCTTGAGCACTTTTGCCACCAAACTGCGGCTCAAACCCGGGTCATCTGCGTCACCAAAGTGTTTCTCAACACGTTTCTTGAGAAGGTCGGCACCGCGTCGAAGCTCCTTTGAATCGTATGATGAAATCAACTTCTTCGCTACATGTCTCGAATGACTGGTGCGCTTAGAAATGTCAGTAGGGCTGCTTGTGTTCGCAAGCAGGGACTCGGTAGATTCTACGAAATCTAATAGTTTTCCAAGCGGCCGCCGGATAACGGCGTCCATGTATAGCTTCATATGTTCATGGTAGTCCTGGAATGCCCGATCGCGCCACCGTTCTAAAACAGGTAGGTCACGGACATCAACCTCTTCAAGGTAATGATTCATGTTCTCAATCAGAAGAATGTGATAATTGAGAGCTTCCTTATCCTCTGGGTCGCCTACACCAGTAGTGGTGCCAGGGGCTTGGCCAGGAGCTTCTTTAGCAATGAATTTCAAACTTTCCCACATGGCGCGATTGATCTTGGTATAGGCCTCGTTGACAGACACGCGGACATCAGAGAAGCTAGATGACGCTTGAGAGGCCAGCATGTTTTCAACAACAGTAGAGAAGTGAGGGAATGTTCTCATAAAAGAAATGACACCTTTCCGCTTGTTGATCTTGACTTTGGTTTCTTCAATTCCCCGAATCTGTTCGTCAACAAATCGGTTAAATAAGCCATTCAGACGGGAAAGTAGTTTCTGCAGCGTGTGAACAATAAAATCTTGGTTCGAATCGTCGTATTCAGAAATAGCTCCTTCGAGCGCAGCCAGTACACCAATTCCTTGCCTAAAGAAGAAAATCAACCACATTATCGGAGAAATGCTTTGTAATAACTCACAGTTGCTCAGTTTTCAAAACCCAATCGACAAGATTCTGTATATCAGTAGCCCAGAAGGAAAAGATACTGTCCATGATTTGCTCGACTCGTTTGGCGAGATCGCGGTCAGGGTCGTGCAATTGTCTCACGCTGAAGTCAGGGATTTGCCGTTCACCAGGTTCGTTGGCGGTTATGATGTCGGAGAATTCTACAGTTGCCAGCGAGTTCAAATGAAAGAAATGAACGACAAAATTTTGCTCTTGGGATATCATCTTGAGAGTTTCCTGGAGTGCACCTGTAAAAACTTCATACGGTTCTAGCCTGCCGGTTGGTTTTTCAATCGACCTTTGCCCTTGTTGAACACGTACGGTCTTGCCCCTTCTCACCGTTAATTTGCGAGCCGCGGTCGTTATGCCATCGCTTTCTTTGTCCTTCTCGTGATGTGTGAAAAGAAGCTCGGTCTCATCTCCAGAAACCTTTTTTACTGCCTTCTTCCAAGATGCACAATGATTTCGGAATTGATTCTGGTATGGAGCCTTGTTATCTTGCTCATACAGGTTAATGATCATAGTCCACTCTGTGGTACCAACTTCACGCGCAAATAGCATGAGTGCATTGTACATCCACATCTCCTGGCGAGCAGCATTCCGGGGAGTATTATCAAGTTTTAGAGCATCCTTCGAAGATGATGGTGTATCTATACGAGTTTGTTCGCCGGCTTTGAATGCAGTAGACATGAACTGCCTGAGACGCTGTAAAAAGGCATCGGCTTCTGTTCGGTACTCATCTTTCTTTTCCCGAATTGCACGCATCTGAACAACTTCTGTATCCGCATATACCCCTATACTGCTAGAGTCTCCGGCAGCATCAGCCATGCGCTTTTTATTTTGCCGAATATCAGAATCAATCGTCACCATGGCTTTGTAGAGCATGGCTAAAGCTGCCTCGGTCACACGCACTCCTTCTGCGCCTTTGAAAGACGCTTCTTTCAATGGCCGCAAGTCTTCGGGTGAAATAGAAAGCGTATCGAGAAGATTTTGAAGCTCATTTTGAAGAAGCTTCTGGTTTGCCGTCTGAACCTGTAGACCCTGTGACTGAGCCTCGATATATGCGACGTCATCGTGAAGGGTCTTCCAATTAGTTAGCAAGAGAACCAATGAGTAAAATATGGTAATAGCTTACACCGAGTTCATGGGAGTAAAGAGTTAAGAGACCGTCTAGCTCTTCACATTCTTCAACGGTTCTATCAATCAGCCTCGCCAATTGATCAATTTTACCTTCTTGTTGCTCGATATTTCCAAGCCAACTGGTAGCTTGGACACGACCAATTTCTCGACGAATGTCAGCTTCCAAATCCTCGATTTTCTGGTCGTCACTCAAACGACCATTCCAACCTAAATCGGTAAGGATCTCATCAAAATTACCACCGGTCCCTTCTAGAAGGGTGACTTCGACGCCCAGAGCATTGCAATACTTTGCAATATTATCCTCATGGCGTCTTCTGCGCTGATCCTGGGCTGGCGATCCTGGCCTTGAGCTTGGTTTGACTGCAGCAGGTTCAGGTAGATTAACAACAGGTATTTCTTTGACCTCTTCTACAGGCGGAGAGAAATCATCTGTAGGTGCTCGAGTAATTTCAACTTTGGGAGGCTCCTGCTCCACAACTGGTATCTGGGGTGGTTTTGCTGCGCCGGATACTTGTGTTTCCTGTGGCGGCTGGGGTATTCCTGTTGTCGACGTTGGTTTGGTAGACTCGCTGCTCTGTCCTCGTAGCAACGGAGCAGGAACGACGCCTGTGATACCATCTGGCTCGTTGGTCTGAGTCTTTGGCTTCGCCATGAGACGCTCCCCGGCACCCCCTGGCCGTGGTTTGAAAGCAGAATATGCCGTGGCCGCCTTTCGAAAGGCTCCGGCAATATCTTTCGTAGACTTCTTCTTGATCATTGGACCAAGACCTGGACGATGACTTTCAGAACTGTCTGCCGGATCTGGAGGTGGTCCAGACGTTGGTGCCTCTGGCACACTGCCAGGTTGTGGAGGCACTAGGACTGGTTCCGCTTGCTCAACAGCTATAGTGGCAGGATAAGCCGTATCAGCTGGCTTCTGAATCGGTAAGACCGGAGACTCTTCACCTTTTTCAATTATTGGCGCTGGTTCTGGCACGGCATTTGTAGGTTCAGGTGCAGCCTTAAGTGGCTCCACGGGTATTTTCAAGCTCAAACTATTTGCTGAACCGGGCCGAAGGGATGGTGGGACATCCTCAACATTTCTTGATGATCTATTCGAACGGTCGCTGCCTCGAGAAGGTGGTACACTGCCTGCTTCACCTCTACTTGTTGGTCTTGAAAGCCTACCATTGCTTTCATTTACGAATGATTGACCCAAACTACCTGAGGCGCCATGCATGGATGACGCCGTACCAGATCCAGCTGTGGTTGGACGCTGTGTAACATCTAAGCTCCGGTTCATCTTCGATTCGGAGCCATCTCTGCCATCGCGAGAAGGTGGGGCTCTTCCTACAGGGCGAATATTGGCAGGACTTTCGTCGCGACCCCGCGACATTGTCCTGAGCGGTTCAGGCGATTCCAATGCTTGGCGACCTGCTAAATCTGCCATTTGTTCCAGTTGGGATTTCGCAGCAACTTGATCGTTTTCGATACGGCCGTTGATTTTTGAAGGGGGTCCATCGCGACCTGCCAGTGGCGGCGGCCGCCTAGGAGATGGTGTTGATCGCGGCTCTCGAAGCCGTTCACGGCTTGGTGCTCTATTTGGAGATGGTTCCTGTAGCGGTGGTACTGCTGCCTTTGTCGGAGGCTCAGTGCGGAGGGGCCCTTGGCTTGCGTCGCCTATCAAAGTCTGCTTCTGCTTCTCGTCAAAGCCAATCAACTTTGGAGCCCTGCCGCCGGTATACTTCTTGTAGATCTTTACAAGACTCGCGATGAAGAAGTCTCTCTCCTTGAAGTTGCTTGCTTGCCAGTAGTACGGTTTTCCTACCGTTATGACAAAGCCCACGTTGGATGCCCATTGCTTGTGCTGTTGTTCGACTTGCGTATTCGCTGGTAGGTCACTGTAGGACTGAATCGCACTCAAATCATCCAACATCCACGTTTTACCTATCGAAAAGGTCCCGTCGTTGTTCTCACGAGCTTTGTGCATGCGGACTCGGCCGGATTTCCTCAGCGCAACAATAATCAGCCTTGGCTTTTTATTCTCTGGAGGAGAATTTGGTGGTGCTGGAGTTGACGGGTACGCCGCATCTTCCGTGATCCGGATGTGAGTGATGTAGGATTCGGTCACTGTAATTAAGCCAACATGTCAGTTTTGTTCGAAGAAGGTTTGCCAAGCAGCGCACATATTGCGACAAAGTGAAAGATTGCAGGGAAAACAGAAGAGCTGCCATACATGCCCCATCACTGTCCTGTTTAGAGAAACAGCTACTAACGATCCTCCGCTTTTCATCTTGGAACATTTGGGCCCTTGACATTGAGCCTTCCCCTGCGCCCAATTTCCCATCATCCCGATCTTCTCCTGCAGGTCTCCGAGCCCTTGGCCCGGCTGCGTCGTATCCTCGCGGTGGTGGGCCGCTCATCGTTGTTGTTATTGCAAGGCAGTCGTCTCATTCAGGAGGCTAAGAACCCCACTAGACATGCATGACTCGAAATATCCCCAGTCCGATAGAATACAGTTCAGAGATTTAAGCAGGCTGGCGATAGAAACCTTCGATTGCTCCCAGACCGGCTGGCGGCGAGTAGAAACCGGTCGTTGGAGGTTGTCGCAGTGACTTGGACGGAGATGGCAATTAGCTGGTGTCTGGCCTAGTCCATAGCGCGGTCCTAAGCAGCGTTACGGGCTCCCAGGCCCCCACATGCAGACGTCACAAAAGACAATGAATGGCCTACTCCGCAGGCAGTTTCGGGGTATTTGTTGAGTGTGTTTCCGTAGTTTCAATCTAGACTGAGTCCAGAATGGCAATAGTAATAATAAAAATAATAATAACAATATGAAGAAAGCAGCAGAGTGAGGCCCAGAGGGCGAGTTTATTGTTCTGTGATTGGCAGCAATCTAAACCGGCCATCGGACCAATAAGAAGCTCGACTACCCTCACCGCCCGCGTTCCGTCGCACTTTCCTTGTCAGTATTTTTTTTTTTTTTGGCAAACTACTTTTTCGTCCTGTCCGACGACGGAAACGAAGACTTTGGAAAGACGTCTCAAAGTCTGAGTCGGTCACCTTAAGTCTTAATTGGAATAATGGCTTCCGACAAGAAACAAAAGAAAGGATCGCCCGCGAAGGCAGCTACAGCCAAGGGCTCTACAAAGGTACGAAAATATCGCTGCATACTTCTCTTAATAAAACCACTGACGACTTGTCGATAAATAGGCTGCAGCCCCTCCTAAGCCACTTATATCAGCAGTTGCAACTTTTCTCAACGACTTCGGCTATAGCTCCGCCAGCCGTGCTCTAGTCAAGGAACATAAGCAGCGGGATGGAGAGGATGTTTTGCTTGGAAGCAAGGATGCGGCACCATCTCTCGTGACACTCTACTCTAGCTGGAAAGCCTCCTCCGATTCAAGCAGCAGTGGTGTCGGCGACAACGAGTCTCAATCCAGTGAATCCAGTTCTGAATCGGATTCTGATACCAGCTCTTCCGATTCTGGCAACGATTCGGATTCTGAGTCGACTTCCGATGCCGAGTCGTCAGATTCAGATTCAGAATCTGAGTCCGAGTCCGGGTCTGGCTCTGATGTGGAAATGGACGATGCCCCTGAAGTACAGAAAGAAAGCAGCTCATCCTCGTCAGCATCATCTTCTGATAGTTCCGAGGAAGAGTCTGAAGAAGACGCTCCTCCTCCAAAATCACAAAGCCTTAAGCGTAAGGCTGAGTCTGAGGATGAGTCACAGCCTTCCAAGTCGAAAAAGACAAAGACAGTCGAGGTCTCGAAGAGTTCCTCCAAAGACTTTGAATCTGATGAGGCTTCATCCTCGAGCGAAAGCTCGTCCAGTAGCTCGGAATCGGAATCCGATTCTGATTCAGATTCAGATTCCGACTCCGAATCAGATGATCAAAATGAAACATTGAAAGAAGCTGTGAAGACAGCTTTACCCGACTCCGACGAAAGTAGCTCAGAAGACTCAAGCGATTCTGACGACAGCGACGATTCTTCTTCAGCAGATTCTTCTGAGGACGAAGGTGAACAGAAAAGCTCCAATGATTCTAGCGATTCATCCACTACGCTGGCCTCGGATACTCCAAAATCGGGTCCCAAGAAGACTCAAAAACATGCAGAGAAGGAGTCCTTCAATTCTGTACCCTTGCCACCTGAACCCAAAATCAAGAAGCAAAATACCGGCGCTCGCCCTACAAGGTTGGCTGCTGCCAGCGCTCTTCCCCACGACCATCCCTCAAACAACTACGTTGCATACGCTTATGCAGAGCGTGCCCACAAGGATCTTTCAGTCACGCGCGGGAAAGGTTTCACCAAAGAGAAGAACAAAAAGAAGCGCGGTTCTTACCGTGGAGGACCTATCGATATTGGCCCTTCCCAATATAGCTTCAAGTTTGAAGACTAAACCAAAAAGTTTATCTGTCTTTTTTTCTAGACTATAGATTTTCTGTGTATTTCTTTTCATGTTGAAAACACTAGAGCAGTTTAGGGAAAGAATCATTCTAAGTTCATAGAGGCGTATTTCTTTTTTTTCCGTTTGCTCATTGCTTTTTACTCAAGCGAGGCGCCGTATGGTTTTAAGGAATAAATGTTATTATACAATTGACAATCAAACCAAAAATAATTCTATTTTCTAGATATATTTTGTCTAACAATATAAACATCGACATCCATTATGAATTGCCTCGTGAGCGCCACGAAGAATTCTCATCCAATCGTCTCCAACGCCGGTCCCAGCCAGTCTCACGTTCCCTAACTTCATCAATTTCACTTAGACTCCATAATGGAACCTGAGTTCTCAACTTGGCGCTTGTACTCTTGCTTTCCGGACTCGGCCTTTCATAGCCTGAAAGCTCGAGTAGCCTGTCTTCCGCTGGCTGTGCCGGGTCCGATTTCATATTGATCTCCTCCATACTTATATCCAAATGATTCTGATACCAGGCGCTTCCAGCGCCAATCAGATCATCTGTAGAACCCAGATCGAGACGCATTACGCCGTCCACAATACCAGTATAGACTGTGGCAGAAGTAGATGATGGTGAGGACATGGTATATATGGGACCACGGTACGTCCCATATCGATTCCTCGTAGCGCCAGGTGGGTGATGCGATAGAAAGCATGAGAAATTTCCCTGAGGCATACTTGGAGAAGTTCCATTTGTTTTGACAGACGACGGCATTGTTGCGTCGAAATGGCTGTAGGCGTTTCGCATCCTGAGATCGAAAATATTCACAACTGCCTCAGCCCCGGCTCCGACAAGGAACCGGTTGTTCATCGGTTGAATGCAGTAGATGGGGTTGCTATCCATCACATCGATGTATTCTTGCTCATACATCTTTGGCGAACGGAGATCATGGAGTCTGTGATTGTTAATAGGAAATGAAATATGCCGGTCAAAGGCAAACGTCAGACGTACCTTACTCGGCTGTTTCCCCATCCAGCGAGAAACACTTCCCCATGGGCGCTTCCTCCGTAATTGTCGACGCTGAGGGGCGCGATAGCACCTACTCTTGCCTTCCTCCGTGGCCATAGTGTCCTATGGTATGGGTCGTCGAAGCCAAATTCTCGTACTGTTGCGATCTGATCGCCTAGGATATCCGAGACTACGATTGAATCCGTCTTTCTCCCATAGCCGACTGCGAGTCTTGTTGGGCCTAGGAACTTGGAGTAGTGCCGAGGTGTTCCCTCCTCCGTTTCTCCTTTCAGTGTGGAAAACGAGCTGACGGTCTTATCCTCCGTTGCAGTTCGATACAGAGATATCGTGCCCCCGGAATTGTGTACGGCGAGAATCGGTTCAGTCCCAGGACTTAGATCGAGACTATGGAGCTCTGTTTGGTTGGTGACAAAAGTCTGTTGGAGTTCGGAAGTCGCATCGTCAGGATTAATAGCCACGTGTTCCACATTCCCTCGCGCTCTTCCGTATATGATGTGTTCGTTGCCAGGGATTTTTCTGGGATGGTTCGGTCTCAAGAGATGGACACTGCGGATATCATCATGGCTGCTTACATCCTCTAGATCATTGAAGCATAGCCATTTTTCATGCGCGTTATTGCCTGTCTTTCTGGTTCTCAGGAGTATTTTCTCTGCAGCTCCCCAGGCAAGAACCTCTTCTCTATCTTCCCAGCGCTCACCGGTCCAAACCTCATAACTGTCCAGTGAGGGCCGGTATCCTATTGTCGGGCGATCATGCCGAGTAGGTTCCGCAACACCGACTACTTTAGCATCTTCTAGGGGCAGCATAAAACGGGCAAAAATTGCGCATCTATCGAGCGCCCGCGACCGCGATGTCAGAGCCTGCGCCACATCTTTCCAGTACGGAGGGGCGCCGTCAAGAGTTGAAAACTGGCTCTGGACAAACGCTCGGAAGATCCGACCGTCGGCAGAAACGATCTTATGAAGGCGCTGGCAAGTCTGTGCTAGATGCGTCAGGGAGCTCGCTGTCGGCAGAAACGTGGCAATATGGTATATTATCTCCGATGGTAGGTCTGCCAACATATCTTTTTAAGGAGGGTGGCTGTACGCAACGATTCGCTTCGTTGCACCCCAGGATGACCGAACTATGAGCTTTTAAACGATTCCTTAAATAAGAAACTCCATGTATGATATTTGTCAGTGCGATAAAGAGTGGCGTTCTTGTTGTGTAGACAACCAAGCCTTTCAACCCGACGTGAGTCACAACTGCGAGTTGAAACGGGTGCCTGGGAAAAATTCCTTAGTTGCCGATCGCACCGCCGCACGCAGGTCCAGTTTAGACAGACATCGATCGTAGCTTGCGAGAAACAGCACAGGTCAGCCAACTGATTCGGGAATAATGAAGAGGATCAGGAACTGTGTGTTATCCGTTATCGGCTGTGGACGTCATTATTGTTTATCGATAACCTGATAATCGTCTGGGCCAATCATGTGGGGGGACCAGAGAGGGGGAAGTCTTTCCCACATCCACTCCCAGAGCCAATTCGACTCAACTCGTGAGAAGAAAGGAAGGCTATATGTTGTTAACATTTAATAGGGCTTGAACAGACTGCTCTATATATCTCCTCCTAGTCATCCTCCACGGATTTCGTCACCGTCGATGATGAAACGCTCCGATAAGCCCTTCTTTGCCACGAACCGCGCGAGATAACTTCCATTGCATTCCTTTTAAGCATTATCCTAGATAAAATCTATAAGATGGCTGTGACTTGGATTACGGCCACCGGGATTGCGGTTGCCTCGTGTGTTCTGCTATACACGTATATTCTATATCCAATCCTCGTCTCACCATTAGCGAAGATTCCCAATGCGCATTTCACGGCACCTATTTCTCCAGCATGGATTATTTGGAAGCGCTATAGAGAGCAGAACAACCGAACCATCCATGCAGCACACATGAGGCTAGGCCCAATAGTTAGGCTGGGACCCTCTGAAATCTCGATAAACTGCGTGGAAGGTGGTATCAAAACCGTGTATGGCGGCGGGTTCGAAAAGCACGAGTGGTATCCAAGAGTCTTTGCCTCGCTTGAGTAGGTTTCGCTTCTTTGTTAAGGGAAATTCGCTAACGAGATCTGCGCTACAGCACTGTCAGCATGTTCACCATGACTGGAAGCAAAGAGCATGCAATTCGGAAGCGCATGCTATCGAATATCTATTCAAAGTCTTTTCTCCAGTCCTCGCCGAACCTGAAGCTTATCTCCAAAACAATGATATATGACCGGCTTTTGCCTATTCTAGAAGAGGCGGCATCGTCAAAAAAACCAATCGATGTTCACGACCTGAACTCTGCTCTGACTATGGATTTTGTTTCTGCTTATCTGTATGGGCTGTGCAATGCTAGCAACTTGCTCCAAGACATCTCGGTTCGGAAACACATCCTACATAACTATCAATGCAGAAAACCCTTTGAGTTTTACTATCAAGAGGTTCCTAGTCTGATTCCCATTAGTCGCGCCATTGGAATTCCTGTTATTCCCAAGTGGTGTCAGGATGCAGGCAGCGTGATGGACGAGTGGAATTTGGACCTCTGCGATAAGGCGGATAAATGCATCACTTCTACAGATCCGGAATCCGAGCCAACCGTATACAAACAGCTTAAAAACTCAATGAGGAAACAGTCTAGCTTTCGAAAGGATGATCCAGAAGGCAATGCGCAGGCACTTGAGCAACAGAAACTCGATATTGCTTGTGAGACATATGATCAACTCACAGCCGGACACGAGACTAGTGCAACTGGACTCACCTATTTATATTGGGAACTTTCTAAACATCCTGAAATTCAGACAGATCTACGCAAAGAGCTGCACACTTTGACACCTCCAATTTCCAGCCCTCCCAGTTCGAAATCAGAGCTGCTTCTCCCAAGCCCCAAGGATATCGACGCGCTGCCTCTTCTGCAAGCAATTATTATGGAGACACTTCGGCTTCACGCGCCTATTCCAGGGATTCAGCCACGCATAACCCCGTCGCCATCAACATCATTGGGAGGGTACGACAATATACCGCCAAACGTGAGAGTCAACGCCCAGGCATATTCACTCCACCGTAACCCCGAGGTATTTCCTGACCCTGAATCATGGCAGCCACGACGATGGCTGAAGGATGATCACTCACGTGAAATGGAAGAAATGAGAAGATGGTTCTGGGCGTTTGGTAGCGGCGGAAGAATGTGTGTGGGAAGTAACCTTGCTGTTCAAGGTATGTGGAATCGCAGCCACAACATTCAGCCGGAGAGTACGTGCTGACTATGCTATTTGCAGAAATGAAACTAGCGACAGCCGCAATTTACAGTAATTTTACGTCTATCATTGTAGATGACACAGGTATCGAGGCTATTGATGCGTACACTGTCAGGCCATCGAGCAACAAGCTGATTCTAAAGTTTGAGCATATTTGAGGTGACCCTAAAAATCAGAATGAGACATTTAATGCACGCCCTCGTGCAAACCTGATTATACTAATTACATGCTGCATGTGCAGATAATCAACTTGCAGTTGCTTGCTTTGCGTCACTAGTGCCACCGAATAGGCTTCTTCGGTAAATATTGTTCTCAAGTCCAATCAGAGCGAAAGTGAAAGTATCATAGTTATTAATTCAAATACTTCATTATTATTTGAAAGCCCTGCCATACCTAAGATAAGTAGCAGTTATTCAACTCTGTAGATAAATGTATTTACTGGCAGTGAAGACTCAAAAGCAAGCCATGTAAAATCAATGTGGCATTTGTGCCTACGCCTTTCAATCGATCTCTCAAGTTAGCCTGTCACAAATATGCGTCATTAATTAATCCAATAAAGTCTGATGGTTTGCCATAATTGCCTTGTTTCAGGCTGTGGCGTCAAATTGGTAGACCTCCAACAATAATTCAAGTTACTTAGTACGGAGCAGGAAAAGAAATATAATAAAAAGAAATGAAATGAAATGAAAAAAAAGAAAGGAAAAAATAAGCAGGAAAAAATAAGCAAAAAAAAACAAGATTCATTCAAACTATAATTCGAGAGCTTTCCTGTTGGATACCTCGTACCTGAGCTTGATTGATCAAGGGTTGTTCTGTTTCTTCTTCATTTGAGGTTGCGGACAGACTTTCTGGTTCTGTCTCGCAATCCGTGAAGCAATCGCGAGCACGGAATCATCCGAGTCTCCTTTCCGAATGCTCGCGATAATTTCTGAGTTTTGCACTTCGCCGTCTGCTCGCAGGGCGTCCAAGAGATTCTCGACTTGAGAATGCGCTTGACACAGCGCTGATTTCTGTACCTCGAGCTGGGAGGCGCTCTCGTGAGGTCGTTCCTGATAGTTTCAACTCATTAGACAGTCCTAGAATCTTCTAACTCGATAGATATCTCACGCCGGTGCCGGCTACTTGCTCGTGGGGACTTTTTTTTTTCGATTTTGGCGTGTCTGCGAATCCGGGCATTTTGACTGTTCCGCTAAGGGGGCAGGTTCTAGACAAAATAGACAAATAGGGCAGGTTCTGGACAAAATAGACAAATGGCGCAAGGAGGGCGATATTTATGCTCGATAGTATTATCGTATTTCACACGTAGACCTCGAGTACGTCCTCAGGTCTGTCCTTCATGGGAAGGCCGTTGGCTTTAAACGACCCGGGGCGTCAACGTGTTGACCCATTTCGGCGAGAGATCACTGGGAGAACTTGCTTTGCCACAAAAACAAAACAGCGAATGTTGCGTGAGAAAGCATTACATGAGTGGCGCAGAATACGTGATGGGTTATCCCAATGCGGACGATTGCCCACTCGGGTCCATCAGCCCGGCCGTTCCACGAAGGGTTTGTTGCTGCCCAAAAAGGGATGGTCAGGTATATTGCTCCTAAATAGGATGCATTATCCAAGGTCGACCACTTTTTCAGGCCTTAATGGATCGACACATCCCAATCCAGGGAGTGTAGATGTTAGCCGAACAAATTCTACACCAAAAAGGGGTTCCGTCCCTGGTACGGCGGACTATATATACAACCTTGCCAAAGTCTGTTTTCGTAATGTTTTTCATAAAATAATTCGAAACTCCAATAGAAAGATGAAGTTTTATTACCACGCACGAATTATATTACAGTATTTTAAGTTTAATTGGATTTAATGCCGTAATAATTGGGCCAACAGTGTCCAATTCTATTTTTTTGTAAAAGTGGAGCATCTAGAGAAGGCATCTAGAGATAGCAAGTGCCACTCACGCAGGCGCTTATGCAGGCACTCACGCAGGCACTTACGCAGGCCTTAAGACACGCGTTAAGAGGGGCACTGAGAGGGGCTTTAAAGCAGGCGTTCACGTAGGTCCTAAGACAGGTACAGAGGCAGGCGCTGGGAGGCTCTCATGTAGTCTCTAAAATAGGCTCTGAGGCAAGGCCCAGAGATGGACGCTGAGGGAGGCGCTGATGTACTCTTTGGGGGAGCGCCTCTTTATATAATAATAGAGCCTTAGTGCCGGATTTAGAAAGTAGACACTGAAATTACGAAAACGAATTTTGGCAAGGTTGTACGTATAGTCCGTCGTACTTTGGAATTGCCTAAGCGGCGAAGATAACTGAGATTAGACTGCTAGTCTCTCTTTTGCTATGTTTATGGTTGGATGTGCGTCCCTTACGGTGGACTTCGACTGCAGCGCTGCTAACTATCAGCGCTCCAAGGTCATATTTTCACCACAGCCCAGACCCTAGTAGGAGCAATGTTGATTCTTGCCCCCCAGATGTCCCAGTTCGACGTCCTTTTGATGCTGTGTCAATTTCACTTTTATTCGCTCTGTATCCATCTACTCTCCCCAGCTGATTCTAGGATTTCCCTTCGCAGCTGCCATCGTCATGGCTCTCACTCTCTATTCATAAATCTATTTTCACAAAACACCATCATCCTAACGCTGTCAACTGTCTTGTCTTTGCCAATATCATCCGGCTAGTGTCTATGGCACCGGGATATCGAGGACGACGTCAAAGCTGGAGTGAAAAGCATGGCAGTACCCTGGAGAGTTCTGAGCACGGCTATTGTGTCCTCAGTATGTGCTATCTGAAATTAGCACTTCCGCGAAGTACATGGAACTGCGTCTAGGCGAGGAAAATAATTGTATCTTGCAAATGAGGCCAACGGGAGTAGGCAGTAATGACCCTAACAACTTCATTTCAACTACATCAGTTGATATACGGATGTAATTTGTGATACAGGCACATGTGTGAATAGATAAACAAAGTAGCAAATTTCATTATTTGAAATCGTTCTTGCAATATTTCAGTTAGCGTGGACGTAAGACATGTAAATTGTAAGGTCAATCGAGAATGCTACCCCAACGCCACGGTCGGTGATTATTTTGGCGTCCTTTATCTCCCGCCGTTATCAGTTGACATTCACTTCCTATGCAAAACTCGGTCATGGAGCGTAGATTGGCTAACAGCCTGCAGATTACTGCAGCCATTCACACCTTCTGCGATTTTGGCGTCCAGCTGCTAGGATACATATCTGAAGTAACTGAGAATCAAAGTCGCGTCGGGGCCAGAGATGACTTTGTTGACACCGCAACACGTCAGCTCACGCGAGTGGAGGAGCAGGTGCGAGAGAATTCCATCCAAATCGATGCAGTCCAAATAGCAGCGGAGGAACGGTTACTTGAAAACCTCCGATCATCTTGCCACATGGTCGCCAAAACTCTATTCATCAGACTCCGCCAGTTGAAGAATGCGCAGTCACAGGTCCAGACACAGTGGATCAAAGAAGACGCAGAAATATTAGAAACGCGACTGATTTCGTTCAGGGAAGCACTGCAATCAATAATTCCATGGCTTTTGTGAGCTTCAATGAGGAAAATGTATGATAGCCAATACTGACAAGGTGTCCTCTGAATTAGGGGGCAATGCATCGATCGCGATGTGGAAACGTTAGATGAGGAGCTGAAATCACTTATAGCACGTCTCCAGAAAACCACCAGCGATGGAAATTCTCAGGAATCTTTGAATACACCCGCCTTAGCTCTTCTCGACGGATCTCTAACTCATTCTATAAAGAGGAACGGTCAACCTGAGAAAAATGAAGAAAATCTCTCATCTGATGGCATAACTCCTCAGTCTATCTTCTCTGATCATGAAATCGTGTTACAAGATTTCATACTGGAAAGCTTGAGCTTCTCTTCGATGAAAGATCGCGAGGAAGGCGTTGACGCGGCACACGACAAGACATTCGAGTGGATTTTTGACCCGGACCCGAAAATAAATACCGAAGTGGATTCGCTCTCGAACTGGCTCCAGACAGACAGTGCTGATGGAGTTTTCTGGATCACCGGCAAGCCAGGATCTGGAAAGTCAACACTGATGAGGTTTATTATTGACCACCCCAAAACCCAGGAAGGCTTACGCATTTGGGCGGGCGACAAGACATTGATCACGGCGGGATTTTACTTTTGGATTAGTGGTACACTGGAGCAAAGATCACAGACTGGGCTACTTCGGTCTCTACTATTCCAATTGCTGTCATCAAGGCGACACCTTATCCCCCTTGTTTTCTCAGAGCTTTGGGAACGGTTGAAAACAACCAGTACACGTGACAGGGTCAAAGCTGGAGTTTCTTGGGAGATTTCAGAGCTGGCCAATGCCTTGAAACGGTTCATCTATTGTATCCGACCTAGGGAAAGAATCTGCATATTCATTGATGGGCTAGACGAGTTTGATGGAGACCACCAACAAATTGTCGATTTTTTCAGAGCCGTCACCTCTTCACATCAACACGTTAAACTATGCCTCTCCAGCCGGCCACTCCCGGCCTTCTGGTCCTCTTTTGCCCATGCCCCAAAGATTCAGCTACATGAGTTGACCTATACCGACATGGTCCATTTTGTCCAGGACCGTTTTGACGCCCAGGGGCAAATGCACGCTTTGATGCTGGACAGCCCCGAGGCCGCCTCAATCTTAGTTAAGGATATCGTGAACAAAGCCGACGGTGTCTTTCTCTGGGTATCATTAGTTGTTCGGACCCTGCTTCATGAACATAACTATCAAAAAGTCGCAGACGTCTACTCGCTCCTCCAGACGCTACCGACGGAGCTAGATGATCTGTTTCAGTATATCCTATTTAACGGCAAGTCACAGCATGATATGCACATTGTGTCCCGTCTTTTCCAGTTAATGAGGGCTCGGGAAATTGCCTGTGATATTGCTAGACATGAAGGCGCGGCTTCGATGACAATTTGGGAGTTTGCGCTCGCAGATCAGATCAATTATCAAGCAGCGCTAGCTAATAAAATACAGGATGCAGACGAGGAGGAGGTCTTTAGAAGATGTCAGACATTGTCTGGTCAGCTCGAGAACCAGTGCGCTGGTCTGATTGTGATGCATGACCGATCATCTGCAAGAGAAGGCCTTAACTTTGCCGATGACGAGTCGAGTGCACAGAAATTTGCTGAGAACAAAATTGCCTATGTCCATCGCACGGTAAAAGACTTTTTCGCTCAGCCGGAAATTTGGTCCAAGATAGTAAGTCGAATGATTGATGATGATTTCGATCCACATGCTCGCCTCCTGGGATCATACATTTCCCAACTGAAGCGTCCGCTGCGGCCATTTCGACGCCACAGACAACTCGATGAATGGTGGCCGGGGATTGTTCTGGCCATGACTCACGCGAGATGCGTCGATAAGGAGAACAGAACAATGCAAATATCTCTTATTCGAGAACTCGACAAAACAATTTCTGCATACTGGCTTCCCCGAGAAGCATCATCCTACAACGACCATTGGGCCCGAAACGCGTTTGGGACGTATGAGAAGCGGAAAAGAATAATCTTTCACGAACCATTCCTTTCTCTTGCTGGCAAGTTTGGCCTGGAGGATTATGTGCGCACCTCTCTATATGAAGAGGATTATCAGTACCAAGGCGGCATCCCTCTTCTTGGGCACTGCGTCGAATTTCTAGTCAACCGACGAAAGACAGTCTACCCACTATCGCAGCCCGACTTGGTGGCGACCCTACTTCACTACGGAGAAGATCCAAATCAAAGCTATCGCGATCTCGACCGTAGCGACCGGACACCATGGTTGTTGTCATTAGACTACCTCCGCGAGGGAGATCGTCGTGGATGGATGCAGTATTATGACTTAGACCCCGAGGGCTTGACCCGTTATGCAAAAGTCATTGAGCTTCTCATTATACATGGTGCTGATCCGAATGCACTCCTAGTCGAGACCCGATTTGATCCATCCAACACTGCCCTCGAAGTTATCACAATGGTGTATGAAAAATATGCCTCGCCCGAGTTTGAGCGCTTACGGCAAATGCTTCTTGAGCGTGGTGCACAGTGGAGAAAAGAGACTTGATAGATTAAATCCAGAACTAACTCAAATATCTTCTTCATATTTGGGTAATTGCCAGTCACCAAGCCTCAAATTAGTATATTTAGAAGATCGGTGTCCCGTCAAAGTGATGTATCGGTTTATCAGTTACTCAAAGTAAACTAATGACAGAGTTATAACCAAAATATCATCAACTTCGGCTGTCCTCCGTTGACGTACTAGATATAAGACATCTAAACCTGGTCAATCAGAGTCTTGATTATTGAATTAACCACTAACTAAAAAGGTGTACTTACTTCTTAATCACAGGTAATTCCTTTATCAATCCAAAACAGCACTTTGGCTATCGTCGTGTGGGGATTGGTTAAGTATTATACTAATTTCCGCCGTATATCTGACCCTAACCCAAACTAAGGATACAGTGCAGGCAACAACCTTGCAACTCAAACAACCATTTGATGCATTTACCAACTCTTTGTTAAATATATTTTCACTTCTAATGACCTTTCCTGTCAAATTCAAACTACCAGAGATAAACCAAAACGACAATTGCTGCCTGAAATATGGCAGCAGCGAGGTGTCTCGCAGCGGATGGCTCGTTTGGCCCTGTGGTGAATGAAGAAGGCTGCCGAGGCAACTTCGACTTCACGCTCGCGTTCACGCTGTATTTCTTCCAAATCGCCCCAGCCTCGATCTTCCTCCTCATCGCGCCAACGCGTATTTACTTGCTGTTCGCAAGAGAGAAATGCGTCAAGGGCACATGGCTCAAGTACTTGAAGCTGGTTAGAAGACTATTCGCAAACAACTCAATCACGCTAAACGATGATATTGATGAACTCTAGGTTTTCACGCTCGCATATTCTGTTTTGCAACTCACGTTGATCGCGCTCTGGTCGACGCAATCGATGCCTGCTGGCCCAGTAGGCATAGCAGCGTCATGTCTGAACACCGTCGTCGGTGTGCTCCTTTGCTTATTATCTCCACTGGAACACTCTCGCACGCTTCGCCCGTCATCTATTATTAATGTATATCTGTTGTCTTTTCTCCTAGACGCGGTAGCGCTGCGTACACTATGGATGTCGACTTACTCCACAGATATCCGTAACAGCTTCACTGCCGTCTTCACAGTCAAGGGGGTCCTGGTCGGTCTTGAGGCGGTCGAGAAGAATCGCTATTTCATTACGGAAGAGGATCGACAGCTTAGTCCGTATGCGAAAAGCGGCATCTACAATCGCAGCATTTTCTGGTGGATCAACGCACTCCTACGGCTGGGATATCGGCAACGTTTAACACCGCAGGATCTTCACCCGTTAGATCCTACTATGGCCGCAGAGGTCTTGCACGAGCGATTCCGTCTGTCATGGAAGCGTAGTAAGATGTCTCCCATTGTAGGAGTTTTGAGACGAATGCTGACAAGGAGCCCGTGTAAGCTCAACGCGATAAGCGTCGACTCCTGTACACGCTCTTGGTCGCTCTACGATGGGAACTGCTGAGTCCGGTGATTCCTCGTCTAATATTGATCGCATTCACTATCGGCCAACCGCTTTGCTTGCGACGACTTCTCGTCTATCTCCAGGGAGATAAAGATGATGTCAATATCGGTTATGGGATGATTGGTGCCTACGCGCTGATATACTTCGGGATCGCGGTTCATACCCCTCGCGCAACTGAACCATAAAACTGATAGATACTAATTGTATTTGGCAGATATCATCCGGGTTCTATTGGTCGACGTGGTTCCGTACTCTCGCCTTGATGCGCAGCATGCTGACGACGGCCATCTTTGACAAAACGCTGCAGTCCCAAGCGGCAGTGGCCGAAGACAAGGCTGCGATCACGCTCATGAGCACAGATGTTGATCGGATAGTCAATGGACTACGTGAAGCTCACGAGCTATGGGCCAATGCTGTACAGATTGTCATCGCAACTTACCTGCTGGAGCTGGAGCTTAAATACGCCTGTGTTGCACCGGCACTTGTGGCACTGGGTTCATTTGTTGCTATCACGTATCTGTCCAGTTACACTAAGCAGTTCCAGAAACAGTGGATGGGCAAATTACAGGTTCGCATCAAGGAAGTTTCCAGTATGTTGGATTCTATCAAGGGAATCAAAATCTCTGGCTTGACCCAACAACTACATGATATCATTTCTGGTCTGCGCCGGCAGGAAGTGGACGCCTCTAAACCCTTTCGCCTTTTAGGAGCTGGAACATCAACCATTGCTCTTCTCCCTCAGCTTCTTTCTCCCGTCTTAGCTTTCGCAATCTACGCAGCAGTAGCGCTTCGTGGAGGGGAATCGCTGGATGTTTCGCGTCTATTCACATCGCTATCGATCCTGTCGCTTCTGTCGCAGCCGCTATTCACACTCTTTGGATCCTTGACAAATGCACGAGCCTCTATCGGATGTTTCGAGCGCATCGAGAATTATCTGTGTCAAGAGAGCCATGTTGATTCGCGATGGGACGAGGCCTTGGGGATACAGACCTCGCCGGACGAATTTAAAGACGCTAAAACAACGAATATTAACACCCGTAAGTTGGATAGCTCAACTAATCATGACGCTGATTCTAGTGCGCCTCCATCGGATGTGGTCTTCTGCATGAAAAAGGTGGCCCTTGGCTGGGCTAAACACGAAAACCCAACCCTCCAAGACATTGACCTGACAATCCACAAAGGAACCTTGAACGTGATTGTCGGTCCATCTGGTGCAGGAAAGTCGACATTGCTCAAGGGGCTGCTTGGCGAATCACCCAAGCTGTCAGGCTCTGTGTTCTCATCGGCTACCGAAATTGCCTGGTGCGACCAAACACCTTGGCTTGAGAAAGATGCAACCGTGCAAGAAAATATCCGTTCAGGGTCGACGATGGATGAGGAGTTATACAGTACAGTCATTGACTGCTGTGGCCTTCGGGTAGATCTCAATTCAATGCCAGCTGGGGACCAGACAATGGTTGGCACCTGCTCACTTAGTGGTGGCCAGAAGCAGAGAATTGCATTCGCTCGTGCCTTGTATTTCCGCAAAGATATCCTGATCTTGGATGACATATTCAGCGGCCTTGATGCTACAACGGAGAGACATGTTGTCCAACGGTGTTTGGGATCCAATGGCCTCGTAAAGCGCTGGGGAATGACTGTTGTACTTGCCACCCACTCAACACGTGTACTCCCTTTAGCCGATCATATTATTGTTCTTGATGAGAATGGCACGGTCAGCGAGAGCGGCCCTTATTCCTCTCTTGTTACCGCGGGGGGATATGTTGAGCGTATAGACAAGCAGAGAATCCATCAGCTTCAACAACAGGCTGATGAAGATGAAGACGAGAAAAACAAGGAACCGACTTTGTCTAGAAGCCCTAAACTTGGCCAACAAGACAAGTCGAGCCCTCCTACGAAAAAGCCACCAGCTGTGCCTGATGCTCCACCCCAACCCGATCTCACAGTCTACCAGTTCTATCTCAAAACCATTGGGATCTGGCCAATGATGACCTTTCTGTTCCTGGCGAGCCTCTGGGCTTTTCTATCTGTGTTTCCAGTGCAGTGGCTTAAATGGTGGGCAGAGAGCAACAACAAGCATCCTAACAAGGATCTGGGGTTGTACCTGGGTGTTTACGCCGTATTCCAGGTGGCATGCCTCGGTTCGTCTGCTCTCATGACTTGGCTTTCTTTTAGCTTCATTGCTAGAAAGTCCGGGATTCAGCTCCATACAATACTCTTAACATCCACGTTATCTGCTCCACTAAGCCTGTTTTCGAAGACCAATAGCGGGCAAATCCTCACCAGGTTCTCGCAAGACATCCAAATGGTAGATATGAATTTGCCATTGCAACTTCTGACCGTATCCCAGAGTTTGTTCGTTTGTGTGGCGCAAGCTGCGTTAATAGGTGCCAGCATCGGATGGGTAGCGATAAGCTATCCGGTGCTCATAGCAGTGCTATTTGTTGTTCAACGCTTCTATCTCCGAACAGCTAAACAGATGCGACTGCTTGATCTCTCCGAAAAGGCACCTGTCTACGCGCAATACTCGAACGTCTTGGCCGGCGGTCTGCTTACTATCCGTGCTTTCGCGTGGCAGAGCAGGTTTCAAACGAGAAATTACCAATTGGTCGACCGTTCGCAGAAGCCTTGGTACTTGATGCTTATGATCCAGCGTTGGTTGCTTCTTGTTCTTGATTTCATAACGGCCGCCCTTGCCATTATTATCGTCGGTATTGCGGTGAGGCTCAAGTCGACTATCGGGCCTGGCGGTGTGGCTGTCACTCTTGTGCAAATCATTACATTGTCCGGCTACATCAACCAACTCATAACAACTTATACCTTACTGGAGACAACTCTCGGGGCTATTTCGCGTATCAACCAGTTTCAACAGACGTCTTCCTCTGGGTCAGGCGGTAAGCCTAATGGTAAAGGAGATCAACCACATCCAAATTGGCCGGAGACGGGGGAACTGATACTAGAAGACGTGGATGCCTCGTACGATAAATCGGGACCGCTGGCCATTGACGGACTATCTCTGAAGATCCAGCCTGGAGAGAAGATCGGTATTTGCGGGAGAACTGGAAGCGGTAAAAGCTCTACTCTTCTCGCTTTGTTCCAGCTATTAGAGCTTCGGTCCGGACGCATCCTCCTCGACGGCCTTGACCTGTCAAGCTTAGACCCAGAGGCTGTCCGAGCAAGGCTCAATGGGCTTAGCCAGGAGCCGTACTTCCTCACTGGAAGCATTCGATTGAACCTGGACCCATACAAGAGTATAGAGGGAGACGAACCTCTGATTAAAGTGCTGCAGTCTGTGCGATTATGGGGTCTAGTCGAAGAAAAGGGAGGTCTCGACGTCGACCTCAAGAAGGACTCACTTAGCCATGGACAGCAGCAGCTATTCTGTCTGGCACGGGCATTACTGCGCCCTGGTAAATTAGTGATCTTGGATGAGGTGACTAGCAGGTAAGTTATGCGTACAAGCACAGTAATTTTTGCAGCCAAGTTTCTAATCCTCGAATAGCGTGGACCAGGATACTGATACGGTGATGCAAAACATCATTGCCTCGGAGTTTGCCGACAGGACAGTTCTCATTATCGCGCATCGATTGCACACGATCATGCATTGCGATAAAGTGGCCGTCATGTCTAACAGTAAGTGTGTTGAGTTTGATAACCCTCTGGTGCTGCTGAAGGCGAAGGGTTCGTTGTTCAGCGAGTTGTTTGAGAGCTACCATCATAGGGGAGAATAGCTATTGCCATTCATTATGTATTTATAATTAATAAACTTGTGTTCAATTTATTAAAAAGTATATTTTATATATTATAGGCCAAAGTATAATAATCTTAGGGGATAGTGAATAGCTACTCATTCATATAACTAGACTGGCAGGATCTAAGGAATGGAAATCCAAAATATCAGTTATAAGGATTTCAAATTCTCCGCTTCGTGAATTGCCGAAAACATGCGGAAGGTATTCTGGACTTCTTAAAACTTTATTCTCAACAATCACTAGAATTAAAGGTCTCGTTGATAGAAAACAGAGCAAGAAGTCCATTATGATCAGTGATAGAACCATTTCAACTCACTTATCAACTGCTTGAGACCCGGTGGACCGATTGTGATAGGGCATGTTCTTGGACTTGCCTAATTTCATATAAATATGAATTTCAGAATATTTGTTGCCTTATCCTATTCTAGAACTTGGCCGCCTTCTTAAATATACTGATAATGTTGTCATTTTGTTACAGTTTCTACTGTTCTAAGTGCTGAGTTTGAATGCTTATTTGCTAGCAATGACCGCGTCATTAGGCCTAATATGGGATTCAGAGCACTACACCAAACTCATCATAGAACCTTCGGTGATATTATCAATATCAGATATATTATATACATCTTATGGACATTCCTATGATTCTATACTACTGTAAAATGGTGTAGTTATAGATATTTGCAAACTTGATTAAAGGATAAAGATGGTATAGATCTTAATATAAATTATATACTCTACCAGAATAATTAAAGGTGGTTGTAATAAATAATAATTCAAGGCTAAGGCTTATGGGCAAAATATATGCGTAGAAATCAGAGTAAATGAGCCAATCCAACTAGAATCTCCTTTTAATGTTTCTTGGAATCGAAAATATTCTATAATATGGTTAGAAAGTGCAAATCACATTAACGGCACATAGTTCCAACGTACCTCCTTTAATTCGTCGATAGATGATGCAGTATCCGTTTCTTGAAGAAACCGGAAAGCCTGGGAGTTAATAGACTAACGATCGATTTTGTCAAAACAAGTGCTGAGGCAATCAAAAATGGACTGGACACCGCTTCCGGATTGGGAAATAAGGTGGCGCACAGAGCTGATGTCAAACAGTTGGAGATAGCTTCATTTATTTCTTTCCCCTATCCTCCCTATGCTTAGTATTCTCACCGATAGAGACTAATTCTATTGTTTTTTGATCTGTCACATAGCTCACTTAAAGATCCCAGACTACGGCGGGAATATCCCCATCCATCTGCTTCTCCACGAGGAGGATTCCGGGACTTCCCGTACGCTTGTTCCACCGAGTCACAGCGACCCTCTGGCTGCTTTCCAATGCCACCGCAACCATATCCAGATCACCGTTGATGCTGAACTGCCGTGGGGAAGAGCCGTGGGCCCGATGGAGGCCGAGGAAAGAGACGTCTTCAAAAAATTTTCCACTGGCATCGGCGCAAGCAAATACAGCGAATGAATCGCTGTTCCGGCCAAAAGTGCTGTCCAAGCGATTGGAGACTATTACATGATTGTTTTCAGGCTTCGGGGCACGCTGATGTTAACCTGGTACGTCGCTTTGAGGGGAAGACAACACTTACCGATATTGCAATCTCGGCTGCCTTAGACCCAGTGGGGGGAGCCCTGTTGCCATATGTGCTTCCTTCGTAGACTTTGGCGAAGGAAATTCCGTCTTCTGAATAAATGACTCTAAAGCCACTCAGGCTATTACTCAATTCTTGCACGAGATAAAAGTAGACGTCAGTAGATGTGTTTTTCGCACCTTTGGGAGTCCAAAATACGCCGTGTCTAGGTCCGGACCCTAGGGTTACGGCCAGGGGCTCTACCTGATCAAGGTAGCCCGTCAGTGGGCTGACCTCGAAGATGCGGACGAGGTCAGCTCCAAGGTCAGGAACAAGGACAAAGCGTCCTGTTGGGTCGACAATTACTCCGTGGGGATGAGGAGCATCCTGTCGAGAAGGGACAGGACCGGGACCAGTCATCTCATAGACAAAGGTTTGGGAATGGTTAAAAAGTCCTTGAGCAGGATCCACGGCGTACGTGGTGACGGATGACGCGCTACTACAGAACGAAAAAAAGAGGTCAGCAACGCATGGCATACACGCAGACAGGATCATTTTCTGAGGTATCACAGGAACATACTAGTGTGCTACTGCAAGAAACTGGCCCTTTGAAACCTGAGGCGCGGAATACATTGCAGACATTACCGGTCCAGTCAGAGTTTTCAGATGTTGAATCATACTTAGTGTTCCATTTTGATTTGTTTTGAAGGTGGTGACGCTACCATTTAGAGCCGTAATTCCTTCGTCTAGACAGTATAGGATGCTGTTCTCACTGTCTAACATTAACCAAGAAGGGCTGCTGCCACAGGCAGCGGTCTTGGAGAGGGTGGATAGCTCATAGGCTCCCCTGGTCTTGGTCAGGGCGAGTGATGTGACAGAGCCTGCGTATGATGCCGCATAAAGTCTCGTAGCAAGCACAGTGTTCCCCAAAAGGGATGCCACCAAGCTGATGAAATGCGACCTCATGATAGATATATCTATCCTCTACTCTCTTCTTTTTCCCGCCTTGAAGTAGGGCAGCTAATAGGTCAAGAGATGAGGAGTCGGTGACAAATGATTCGAAAACCCGTACCTTATCCAACATAGGACAGCATGTGCAAAACGTGATTGATATTGGGGCGGTTTGATATACCGGAATCCGATTTCGAGCAAGCCAGTTCCAGACCCTTGGAAATTAGTAAGATGAGATCTCGGCATTCTGCTTAGAAATTGCCACCTGCTGGCCCAGAACAGTCGTAAAGATACGCGTTTACATATTATTCAATGTCCACTGTAACCATGGAAGATTAGGCACAAAGCTAAGGGAGACCAGCCTTGGCACCAAGCTTGATGATTTTCCACAGCCCTGAACCTTTTCTCTTGTCCTGCGTCAACGACTTCTCCCTCCGTAGAGCGAGTGCCAAGGCAGGCTCCAGAAGGTCCATGTCTATCTTGGCGCCAATACTGAGCGTGGGCCTCGAGAACAACGAACCACTATTCGAGAAGCCAGTTACTAGCTGTGTCTGCGCTGCCGAACCAAAAATATCATCTATCCCAAACGCCTCACCGGCCAGGGAGACATTTAGTGCTTACCTAGGGCTAGTATGCGCAATATCTCTTTAGTATGTTTCCCACTAGCTCTGCATGCAAAGGAACGGGTGATGCCACTAGCGTTCCTTATTAGCGTACTGAGCCTTTACCTACCACTATTCCGTTGGTGAAAGGAAGAGAGACTATTAAGCGAATACATAGAATGAGTATGTGAAGGTGTATCCATTGCGCATGTAGCTGATCAATATGCTCGTGGCGCTCCATTCCCACTTATTTGGTATTTTATTCCAATATTGCTCTCTGTCTACAGCTTTATGGTGTATACTAATCTTAGATTGATAGCCACTGCGAAACCTGTACATTCAGAGCCAAGATATGAATATATGGTATCAATTGCGTATCAGTTGTTTACTGCGTTTCATTACCATGATAACCTAAATATTGAATAATTCATAGCGAGGTTTTTAGACAGTCTTCACTGCAACAACGTGCTTCCGCGCCTGTTGCCAAGATACATAGAGTTTTGTCAATGGTTCTTTGACTTAGTAATTCAGGTAATTATCAGTTACAAAGAGTATCTACAGCTTACGTACATGCCGGTGGAGTGCACAGCGTCTTGCAGATACGATGTTATTGACCAGCTACGTCCTCGTGCACGAATCAATTCTTTAAACGCTTCCATGCAAGGTCCATAGACCCAGTCGTTATCCCAGCACTTGCTGTTCAAGTCCCCATAGCACAAGTGGTATCTCATGTATTCTACACCTACTAGCAAAACCACTGCTAGCACGATTTCCCATTAAAAATGGTACAATCTAGGCCCAGTGAAGAACCGAAGTAGAAGAGGGAACGTGTTAATGCCGATCTATATATTCCGGCCACCTGCTGCTCGAGCAAGCTCTGTAGCACAACAACCCATCCATTCCTACCTTTCCTTGCAGTTCTCCATCTTCTTCATCTCTTTAAGATTGCCTCTTCGAAATGGGGTCCGTCTTTCTCAGCACCCTTTTCTTCTCTGTGGTTACGGTCCAGGCCTATCTGGCCTCCGAGCAGATTGATGTCCAGTCCAGCCTTCTCACCGACCCCAGCAAGGTCGCTGGAAAGACCGTTGATTACATTATTGCTGGTGGTGGCTTGACTGGCCTGACTGTTGCCGCCAAACTGACGGAGAACCCTAAGATCAAAGTCCTAGTCATCGAAAAGGGCTTCTATGAGTCCAACGATGGACCAATTATCGAGGATCCAAACGCCTACGGCCAAATATTCGGCACCACTGTTGACCAAAACTACCTCACCGTTCCCCTGATCAACAACCGTACTAACAATATCAAGTCCGGCAGGGGCCTCGGAGGATCAACCTTGATAAATGGTGACTCCTGGACGCGCCCAGACAAGGTCCAGATTGACTCCTGGGAAAAGGTTTTTGGCATGGAGGGCTGGAACTGGGACAACATGTTCCAGTACATGAAGATGGCTGAGGTCTCACGTCCTCCTAATGCTGCCCAAATTGCTGCCGGTCACTACTTCAATGCTACCTGTCATGGATTCAACGGTACCGTCCACGCCGGACCTCGTGACAATGGTCAGCCTTGGTCTCCTATTATGAAGGCCCTTATAAACACTACGTCAGCCCTTGGTGTTCCCGTTCAGCAAGACTTTCTCTGTGGTCACCCTCGCGGTGTCTCTATGATCCTTAACAATGTTGATGAAAACCAAGTTCGTGCTGATGCTGCCCGTGAATGGCTGCTTCCCAACTACCAGCGCCCCAACTTGAAGATCTTAACTGGCCAGATGGTCGGAAAGATTCTCTTTAATCAGACCGCTTCCGGTCCTAAGGCTGTTGGTGTAAATTTCGGTACTAATAAGGCCGTAAACTTTAATGTTTATACCAGACACGAGGTCCTATTAGCTGCTGGCTCCGCTATCTCTCCGCTGATCTTAGAATATTCTGGCATTGGTTTGAAGTCTGTCCTTGACCAGGCCAATGTTACTCAGCTTGTTGAGCTTCCTGTTGGTCTTAATATGCAGGATCAGACCACTACCACCGTCAGTTCCCACGCTAATGCCGCCGGTGCTGGCCAGGGTCAGGCTGTCTTCTTTGCCAACTTCACTGAGACCTTTGGTGACTACGCCCCTCAGGCTAAAGAGTTGCTCAATACCAAGCTCGATCAGTGGGCTGAGGAGACTGTTGCGCGCGGTGGATTTCACAATGCAACTGCTCTCAAAGTTCAGTATGAGAACTACCGTAACTGGCTTCTGAACGAGGACGTTGCCTTCGCCGAGCTTTTCATGGATACTGAGGGCAAGATTAACTTCGATTTGTGGGATCTGATTCCTTTCACACGCGGTTCAGTCCATATTCTCAGTAGCGACCCCTACCTATGGCAATACGCAAATGATCCCAAGTTCTTCATGAATGAGCTGGACCTCCTTGGTCAGGCTGCTGCTTCCAAGCTTGCACGTGATCTCTCTAACAAAGGCGCTATGAAGAACTACTTCGCTGGGGAGATCATTCCTGGCTACAACTTGGCTGAGAACGCTACGCTTTCCCAGTGGACGGACTATGTCTTACAGAACTTCCGTGCCAACTGGCATGCTGTGAGCAGCTGTTCCATGATGTCTAGAGAGCTTGGTGGTGTTGTCGATGCCACCGCGAAGGTGTACGGTACACAGGGCCTACGTGTCATTGACGGCTCTATCCCTCCTACTCAGGTCTCTTCTCATGTCATGACCATTTTCTACGGCATGGCTTTGAAGATTGCTGATGCAATCCTGGCAGACTATGCCAAAAAGCCCTAATGGGTGGAAACGACCAGATATATAGTTCATAAGGGCGTGGTCACTGGCGAACCTGCTCGGGTGGAATCCAACCCCCCAACTTCTGGTCTTCATCTGTCGTATTAGTTAGATTCTCTAAGATGTAGATGATTTAGATATATTGCTTATAGACAAGGGGAGATAATCTCTTAGTGCTTATTGAGTTGAACCTATACAGTCTGATACATATAATTTGTACAGTATAATCTTAGACCAGTTGAATCTAGAACTATGTTGTTGCTTGGGACAAAGCAGCCTTCTACGCTGTCAGCAGCTACAGTAACACATATCTCTGTCAGGAATAGCAGAAGTGTATTTCGAAAATGAATTGTCGATTATAGTGAGAATGGCTGCATATTTCTGTACTTATCGAACTCTCATACAGTGTTAACTCGCTGCCTGTCACAATCGACCATTAGAGGAATTTCTAGAAGCCGTGCTGAGAGCCAAACGGCAAAAAGCTCCCTGTCTCTAACCCGGGCCCATCAGCGCTGAACAGGGACGTAATAAACACGTGTAACTACTTCAATTGCCACGCAATGTCATTAAAAATTGCGGTAGAGCACGGAAGATACATGAAAACAAACATACCCGTGCAATATATTCAGATGTACATCACATTATATATCAACTCATCGGAAGCAAGGGAAGACTAGGCCATAGTAACTAAGAACTGCATTGGTAAGTTTCAAGTAATTCTACCAGTCGGAAAGGTGATGTCCATAGAGCACAATAGGACAAGGCATTCCAGAAAGCACAAGAACGCGTAAACAGGAACGAAAAAAGGGACGCAATTGATGCTTTTAACAAAAAGAATGGCCACTGACTTCATATTGTGGACTTCACTACGAGGCTTGTCGAAGTTATCGCGAAGGGTTTTCATGGCCTCGGCAGAAGCATTGCTAAATCTTATTTATCGTCAGAGTTTGCAGCAGTTGCTTCATGTTTCATGATATTCCTCAGTAAAACAATGATATGGATTGCTAGTCACTACACAGTCTACGTTATCGACCCCAAGAATAATCATAGCTTCGAATAAACAACTAAAAATATCTCTGGGGCAGTGCTTCTCTCCCCATATATGGACAAAACAGGACTGCTTGCTTCTTAACCCTCATAAGCCAATTCCCTCGATTAAAGGAAGGGTTGAGAGGTTTAAAATTAAACACAGAAATTTATCATTCAGTACAGAAAAATTATCACCTCAAGCACAGACTTCTATAATTTATGATCTTAGAGTTCTTATTAGATACTGGTATATAAATTATATTAAATAAAGATAATGTATAGAATATTTTTAATTTTGCAGATTTTAACCCTATCCAGACAGCACTAGCAGATAGCCCTAATCGGGACTAGCGCGCTACGGCTGTTTTCTCGGTGTGCCGGGATAAGATTAAGTTTATGAGGATATATGTAAATTTCCATTTACTCGTTTACTCGTTTACAATTGTATCTGGCTTGCTCTGTACAGAACATTACGTGCCACAAGATCGCTGCATTTCGACCCTGGTAAAGAAGAATGCCCGACAAGGATGCGGGGACACCCCGCGTGTACATTGCGCGGCATGGTAAGTTGATCATTGATCCTATATAACGTATATACATGAACCTAGCACTTGACCCTGACAAACCAACGTAGGAGAAACCGAATGGACCAAATCCGGGCAGTACACGGGCACCACCGAGCTCGATCTGACCGAGCACGGCGTCACCCAAGTCCAGAGCACAGGTCGCATTCTGGTCGGCAAGGGCAAAGCCGTCGACCCATCCCGCATTGCGCACGTCTACATCAGTCCAAGGAAAAGAGCCCAGACGACCTTTAACCTGCTCTTCTCTGCGACTGAGTCGGAGTCGTCGGATTCGGCACTGGATTCGTCGCGAGTCTCGACGACAGACCGTCTCGCTGAGTGGGATTATGGCCTGTACGAGGGCATGGTCACGAAGCAGATTCGCGCGTTGCGCAAAGAACATGGTCTGGATGTCGACAGGCCGTGGGATATCTGGAGGGATGGGTGCGAGGATGGAGAGTAAGTCGCTCACAGTCACCTCACATGCATGTCAGAAGGATTAGGAAGGGCTGATATTATCCAAGATCCGCACAGCAAGTCACAGACCGCTTGGATGACCTTATCAAGGAAATAAAGGCTATTCAGGTAAATCACATGCATGACGAGCCTGGACCGGCGGATATCGTGCTTGTGGCGCACGGCCATCTTCTGAGGGCTTTTGTCAAGCGCTGGCTGGGCTATCCTCTAGAGTTCCCGCTGTCGTTGATGCTTCCTCCGGGGGGTATTGGCGTGCTCAGGTGAGTTCGGATTGATACGTCATGTTTTTCATATTTCGTGCTTCTAACCCGCATATTATAGCTACCAGCACCATAGTATCGATGAGCCAGCGCTGTTCGCTGGCATGGCGTTTCCGAGTTCGTCATAACCGGCATATACAGTAGGTTTTGGATGGACATGGACGACTAGAATAGAGATAGACATTGGCGAGAATATAATTCCATAATTCCATAAAGATGTAAATATATTATACAGCAGCCCCGAATAATCATACACTGCTTGCACTACTAGTACAAGGCAACATGCAGATGATACCTGGCAGAAATTTCACTCCAAAACTCCACGTATGCAACAGAAGGATATTTTGTATAACAATCAAACGCTCAGACACGCCCCTGTTTCTTGCGGGGTCCGGCAACCTTGGGGAACATTCTCATGAGGTGGTAATTGATGGAGTTGGTCTGGACAGTCTTGTCTTTCTGTGATCGTCGTTAGCATCGGATTTGAAATAAATATATAGCTGTATGTGGGGATACGCACCCGTTGGTCCATGCAAGCTTTGAGCGATTCTTCCAGAGCCTGGCATCCTTCAGCACCTTGTCCGGCCGATGCCCAGCAGTCTAGTCAGTTGTCAGTATTGATGACAAATCCAGACGAGTCCAATTGATTGTTCAGCAGGATAAAGCATACTCAGCATCGAAGACATGATGGTTGCGCACGAGTTTTGTTGTTGTTGGTTCGGACGGCGCACTCGGAGGTGGTTGATGGTTTGCAGCCGCACCGGATTCAAGCGAGTCGTAGCACCTTTGGCAGGCATCTTGAAGCCACTCCTGAGCGCCGGCAGTGATATGGTGTAGAATTGTCGCGATTGTAGGGGAATTGTCTGGCCGCGGAAACAACTCGGCGAAAAATGGCTCTGCCAAGACCTAATTTGCGCTCTGATTGGTGGTATGCTTATATAAGCTGCTTTCGGACATAACGTAATCGGTAAGCCACCCGCCCAATTCTGCCGAAGAACGCGTTCTATAGCGATTTCAAATCTTAATTTCTAACCAATCGTTATATGATTAATTATTATGAAAAGATGTGAACGTATTAGCTTAACTCTAGACTAATATAATAAGGTTAAATAGGTATCTCTACTGAATAAACATAGTATAGATAGATTAGTGTACATATAGATAAATAAGAGAGACTGTAGAGCACCTCCGCTTTTAATATTGGAAGTGGATGGCCAATTCAATGTTACTTAACTCTATAGATAAATATAGATCATTTACTCCTCCTAATCTAACCTACACCAACTATCTTATGCCAGACATAGTAGACGCGATTCAGCTGCTGAAGATAAGATGTTAAACACTTAAAAAAATGCCTTCAAACCAGCCTACTAACAAAATTACTAACCCACGAGAATCCGCTAATTACAATGTTGACAGATGAGAGGACATAAGCTAAAAGTGGATTTGTACAAGCTCCAAGGAGACACGGCACATATTAGGAAATGTACAAGTAGATTAGCAATAGTTGCCCTTTCGGCTTAGCCGCCGGGTGTTAATAAATTGTGTGTGTGTGTGTGTGTGTGTGTGTGTGTGAGATAGTAACTATTCTGTACACAATTGTATTAATTATTAGTTATGTACCAATCACCTTACTTCCTCCGCTTCAGCCCTCCACAGCTTATGCAACTCCCATGCTGTTTGAGGAGGGCAAATGACATCATATCGCCCCTGGATGATTGTCACTGTCTATAGATTAGCTACTCCCAATTATGAGGGTACCTTTTCTTGTTCCATAACTTACACGGAATATGTGTGACACGACCAAGGTTTTGCGGGTTGAAAAGTTGACTGTCTTCCAACCAGACGCCATGCGCAAAGTAATGAGCCTCTAACCGGACATGCGATAGCGACCAGCCATCATCATCTATCTTGGCAAATGTATTTGCACTAGGCTCTGGGGCGCCGATGGTTATGTCCACGTGTTCCATCTTCTTGATGCGGCTCTTCTTACTTGGAGGTCTTCGGATGTCAAGAGTTAATACCCCTGCAAGGGATCATTCCTATCGGATGCTGGCAAATGGTTCACAAACTTATCGTAAGCATCTAGGTCTATATACCCCATTTCCGAATACCAATGTGCTCACGGGGCCTCTCAATGTCATCGACAAGAAGATGGGAGTTATTCTCCCGAAGTTCGGCACACGGTTGGGATTTGTCAGCGCCCCTTTGATCGAGCAGTACTACACGATAGATGGCTGGATCGAAATACTGCGTGTTTTCCTTTGTGGTGCGTCCTCCAGGGCCGCCATGAAGAAATATCACTATATTCATTTCTCGATTCGTCTATCTGTCGCTTCCATTGACTTATTCATCTAGTGCTTTGAGCAATGACTATCATCAAGGTTTGCTCTGACTAACCTGGCTTTCCCTCTGTGTTTCCATATTGCTCGTAATGTAGTTTATAAATATAAGTCACTGGCAAATAGCCAGCATCGAATGGATCCGCGTGTTTGTAGCCAGGGTGCCGTTCCAGGTCCACATCATGTCTAGCCATTTTCAATCGCCGTGCTTCAATGAGTCTTTACGATATACACCACTATAGCAGGATCAAAGCATAGTCGATGCTGATATATTAATAGAAAAAGATTCTCGAGGGGGACCGAAATGAAAGCTGAAAGGTAATTAATGGCGTTGTTCCTTCTGAAATCAACTCCGCCCGAGCATCAAATGGAGTTGACGGTCCGTCTACGGTCCCCACCAATCCGGAAACGGATTTGGTAGTCCTATCCGGGTAGTGTTCATGATTGTTACACCCAAAATTTATTAATTTGAATAATCTAAAGCAAGATATTACTCCAATCGAAGTTGGAGACCATGTCACCCTCTTGATCCTCAGGAAATGGCATCACCCCAAGTTCTCCCTCGGCATCACTGGGTTCTGCAAAGCCCACAACATCGTCGTTCCACCACGATGGTACCCAGCTTCCTATTCCCGCCTGCATTGTTTCTTGGAGAATTATGGGTTTTGTTGACGATTGCCCAGCGTCCCGTGAATTGTCTTCATCTTCTGAAGACGAATCGTTCACCTCGGCCTGCGAGCGCTTCTTCCTGCTAAATGTGCCCTTTTCCAGCTTCTCGCTAATATCAAGAGCAACATCATATGTCTTAGAACATTCCTTGAGTGTCTTGAGAAGGAAGTTCATGTGTTGACCAAGTTCTGAAGCTTGATTACCTTGGGGAGATGTTGTGCTGTTGTCAAGAGCGAATGTTACTGCAGTTACTGCCATTGTTAAGCTGTATACCAGGATCAACGGTGCGGTTGTGAGCGAATGCTGGGCGCGGTATTGCCGAGTTATGGCCATGATGCTATCTGCAGAGGAGATGCAGATTTCTTGAGACTGGCTTTTTCGTGCAAATCCTGGGGTTGGTTTGATGAAGTGTCGGTTCAATGATATTATGCAGCTATGATACAGTGCACTTCATATGTCATTACAAACCCGGTGCAATAAATGAGGAATTAGGTAAGGCGCTATCTTACTGTAAAATCGCAAGCTGCGGTGGTAAGTTTTGAGTTGTTGGAGTCCATTGACTCCAAGCGAGAAACTCTGGTAGAGCTGTATGCCATTGAAATAGTCGTAGGTTCAACTCCTCCAGCTTGGCCACTCGATGGGTAACGAGATCCTTTCTGGGGAGTTTGATCAGTCTAGTTGAGAATACCTCTGTCATCATCAATTCGATGATTTTGCCAAGATGGGCGAGTTGGATGAGTATGAGCGATGAGGGTATGATGTCGGTTAATAGAGACGACAAGGCGGGGTTCGCCCCTGGCGTTTCTAGAGTCTCTTTGGCATTGATTCTATTCCAATTCATCAGAAGTCTTCTCATTTTTCAAAGCAGATGAGGGATTACTGGTCATTTTGAAGATCCAAAGGGTCGACGGAGGCATCGTCTTCCCGAAGATAGATGGGGCGCCCAAAATACAAACTGATGACTCTTGGCTCTTCATTAATATGGGAGGATGATCAAGAATATCTTTACGCACTTATCGATAACATAGCATCCCCAGTATACCTTTCTCCTCATCCGCGAATCCTGGCTGAGGTTGATGGTATTGTCATCCTTTACTAGGAACTTGGGGTCCTGGTGAAGTCCCAAGTCTTGTACCATCCGGAATGCCATGCCTTAAGAATTAGCTGCCTGTTATATCATAGATATTATGGCGGATTTACCTGACAGTATCCAGCCCTTGGTATTGTTTCCTGCGCCGAATTCGAACAACGACAGACACAGAAAAGCCTGCACTGTGGTGATGTGGGGACTTTGGAGACTCTTTATGCTTAGTAGCTTATTGACGTAAGGCCCCAGTGCTTCAACAGTTGTCGAGACCTGCTTATCTTTCGAGATCCTTGCACCCAAGCAGCAAATGGCATATAGAAGCGGGTATGACCAGAATTTGCCCTCGTACTTGTTCTGGGTGAAGTCTCCAACCAGGGTCGGTTCGTCGATGAATGGACACTCGGCATTGAGGTGGCGGAAGAACATGGACAAAGATTCCTTGAGTATTATGTCATCAACTTTGAAAATGCCTGACAAATGAATATCTTGCTGGTACTGGTTAAACGTCGAGCTGCGCCGCCCTTGATGACCGCTATTTGCATACCCTGTGACACACCCCTTTTGATATATACTAGTAGGCCCATAGAATGAGCGGTGACCTGTGGTTGTGTCAGAATTTGGTGTAGCACACGATATGAAGAGTCGATATACATGCCTTGAGGGCTCTGTTGCAGGATCAAAGTAGATACTCGAGAGGAGCCGCTGTAATCGAATATGAGGTCCGGCCCAACGCACTCCGAATCTGGAGCAGTCATCGAGGTTTGTGTAAGAGATGTTGATGACAAGAGTGATGACGGGTTTCTTAGAGATTGCTTCATGGACCGTATAGTTGCCTCGTAGGAGGCCAACCGTTCTTCGAGCGCAGCAACATAGGCGCGGCTGACCGGTCGACGTCGAAAATCATCATCCCGAAAAGAGCATTCGTTACCACTGGTCACGCAGTTGTCGCAAGGGCACAATCTCGTGCATTTCAACTACGAAGTATTCTCAGTAGTGCGTTCTGTCCTTGATCCTTCTTCTCACTTACTTTACGGAGTTGACAGCGTCGGCAACTATGATTGGTTCGGTCAGTTACCGCAGGTGCAGCAGATATCAAGACAAGAGTTGGACATACGAGATTTTTTTCTTGTCGCTATCCATGGCCTTCTCTGTAGCATTTGGTAGTCACCAGGACCAGGTAATGTTGGTCTTTTGAGAGTAAATAGAGGAGGACTAGATGACTACTACGAGTACTCGTGACGTGGAGCCCCGGCTCCCGGGCTTGTTTGCCCCACCAGGCCTTTGCTCCTCCAGACTGAATGATACAAGAATATGGAGGGTATGCAAGTCGAGTAGAGTTAGTGTATGCAAAAGCGGGGTATTCTGCTGGCATTGATGAAGCTGCGATTGCAAAGAAATGCGTTTTCTCACCAACATGAGCCAGCAGTTCACTTACATACTATGTATACACCACGGAGTTCACTGCCCGGACCTAAGCTATTCTCGGTCATCTAAAACTCTCTTGCTGTACAGTTATAAATCAAGTCACGACTTCAAATGTTGTCTGGATCCAATAGTCAAGGCTAGGTTATCTTCGTTCACTCCAATTTCACTATCATGGCAACCTCTGACTCTCTCAAGCACGTATCAAGCACCAAGAGACCTATTTCTCTTGAGGCTGGAATTCCTGGTACTAGGCCAACTTGTGGAAAGGCCAACGATGATCTGACCTGTGGAACCTATGAGGAAATAAATTCACCTCCTCTGTTTCCCAGCGAGGAAGAGCTCAGGACTTTGAGAAGAGTGCCTGATGACTTCACGTGGCACGCTTTCACTATTGCCTTTATTGAGTTGTGCGAAAGACTCACATACTATGGCACCGGTCAACTACGTAATAGCCCCTATACTTTAGCCATTGGCATTGGAACTGCAGTCCCAACTATTGGCTGACATATGACAGTGACCAATTTTGTCCAACGTCCTCTGCCCCCGGGCTCAACTACCGGTGCCAGTGGTGCTCACGGCCAGTCCGGTGCCCTGGGGTACGGCCAGCGTGTATCCTACGCCATTAACACCTTCAAGCAATTCTTCTTCTACACGACTCCCCTTCTTGGCGCCTATTTGGCAGACGCACATTGGGGACGCTTCAAGACGATATGCATCTGTGGAGGAATTGGCATCCTCGCCCACGCTGTTATTGTGGTTGCAGCTATACCACAGGTAATTTCAGCTCGCGCTGCATCGCTCTCGACCTTCATCGTTGGCATAGTCCTCCTCGGCCTATCCACTGGGGGTGTCAAGTCTAACTTAGCACCCTTCGTTGTTGAACAGCTGCCGGCCATCGAGATCAAAGTCAAGACACTCCCTACAGGTGAAAAGGTCATTATCGACCCGACAGCCACAGTAAACAGAGCCTACATGCTATGGTACTCTTTCACAAATATCGGCGCACTTTTGGGGATTATTTCAATGCCCTATATCGAAAAGTACTCTGGGTTCTGGATGGCTTGGCTTGTCCCGACCATCCTCTATTTGCTGTGTCCCCTTGTCATGCTTTGGGGGCGTCGAAGATATAACCGTATACCGCCTCAGTCGTCTGTCCTGAGTAAGGCTATGAGGCTTTTGCTATTCACGCAGAAATCCCGCTGGTCAATCAACCCATTCGAAACATGGAAGCGCTTTCAGCAAGGCTCTGTCTGGGAAACAGTGAAGCCATCGTCCATTGAACCCACACAACGCCCACATTGGATGACATTTGATGATGCGTGGGTGGAGGAGATCAGGCGTGCACTCAAGGCTTGCAGAGTATTCTTTTGGTACCCGCTATTCTTTCTCTGCTTCAATCAGATCAACGGCAACCTAGTCTCCCAGGCGGCCACGTTGCAGCTACATGGCATGCCCAATGAAGTTATTACCATCATTGACCCCCTTTCCATTATAGTCCTCGTCCCCTTCTTCCAGTTCTTCCTTTTTCCGTTACTACGCAAATACAAGATCAACGTCTCCCCTATCCGGCGCATCACCTCCGCCTTTTTTTGTGGAACAGCTGCCATGGTATGGGCTGCTGTTTTGCAATACTACATCTATCAAAAGTCTCCCTGTGGGTACGAAGCCAACACCTGCAACTCACCTTCCACCATCAATATAGGTGCACAAGCCGGAATCTACTTCCTGGTGGCGATGGGTGAGGTACTTGGGAATACGACCCTCCTGGAGTACTCGTACACGAAAGCGCCAAAGAGCATGCGATCCCTTGTACAAGCTTTGGCTCTCTTTGCAAATGCTATAGCTTCCGTACTGGGACAAGCTTTCGTTTCATTGACCAACGATCCGCTCCTAGTTTGGAATTACATCGCCGCAGCAATTCTGGCATTCTGTGGAGGATGCATTTTCTGGTTCCAAATGAGAGGCTTAGATCGCGAGGAGGATCACCTTAATGCGTTGCGAGAAGGCGCTGTTGATACGAGAGTCTCAGTTTCTCAGCCACTGGCCAAGGGTGTATGAATGAATATACAAGATGGGAGCATTAGTTTTGGGTCAGTTTGAACTGTTGCAGGAAAATGAATTGATGGAGATATCATGTATAGGAGATTAGAGATGGTTCTAGGTTTCTTCAAGAAGCGAAACTTGACGCTATTCCAATATATCAATTGATAGAACGATTGCCCCTAGTTTCTGAAGTGCCTAAATCTTTATGCTGATTATACTCTCAATACTCTCTTATGTTGCGTCACTTCTTTATGCTCCGAGTTTACATCTTATCTTCAATGTTATCTAGCACTTCTGTTAGGTCACCGATATTATGTAGGGCCATAGGCCACACTCCACAATTAGGAGGGAAGAACTATTTTCTGATTATAGTAGGTCATCTATATAAATTAAAAATTCTATTCTATATTCAATATATATTTCAAAATTTATTCTATTATAGTTCAATTGCCCTCATTTTATTAGGATATAGCCCCACTCTTTAGTTCGCCATATGACGGACAGTCAACTCCGTTTCTGTCACTTGTAAGGCTCGATGCAGGTGTAATATATTTGAGTCCTTGACCAAAACTGTGCTCATATGATTTTGCGACAATTGGCAATACTGCAGCAGTATTACTGCCGCGAATATTACTTGCGGAAGCCAAACCACCTTTTTCCAACATCTCTAGACGGACTTCGTATCATATCAAAATGGATTCAAAGGTCCAGGATCCTCTAAACGAGAAACCACCTGGCCATAATTCTTGGCTCAGTCTAGGATCAGCCGCATACGATTTTCGAGGTAAGGATCATCAGCTACATTCTACAAGTCCATTGCTAATTTCATGTAATGGTCTAGGCGATGTCCGCACAAGTCCAACGGCAGCGATGCTTGAAGCCGTCACTTATGCTAGCCTTCTCGACGATCTTGATCGCTCAGATCCCAGCACGAAAAAGCTCGAAGCATATTTGGCATCCCTGACAGGTCACGAGGCGGGCCTCTGGGTCGTGTCTGGAACAATGGGAAATATAGTCTCTTTGCGGAGTCTTCTGGTTCAACCCCCCTACAGCATTCTCTGCGATGAGCGTGCACACTGCTTGAACAACGAGGCAGGAGGTGCCTTTGCTTTTACCGGCGCAGTTCCTCAGCCAGTACATCCAGCAAATGACAAGTATATTACGCTTGAAGATATTCTTCCACATATCAAGCTGGGACACGGAGAGAAGGTACACGCATGTCCTACACGAGTTATTTCACTAGAAAATACTCTTCGGGGAATGGTGATGCCATTGGAGGAAACCCGACGCATCTGCGACTTTGCCCACGCAAATGGAATTCGAGTCCACCTCGATGGTGCTCGGTTATGGGAGGCTGTCGCTTCAGGCGAAGGTTCTCTAATAGAATACTGCGCCCTCTTTGATACCATCACCATGTGCTTTAGCAAAGGGCTTGGCGCCCCAGCTGGTGCAATCGTGGTAGGAAGCGAGGGTGCCGTCCGTCGCGCTAGGTGGATTAGACAGAGTATCGGTGGTAGCATTCGACAGCCTGGTCTGTTGGCAGAAGCGGCGTACGTTGCTGTTCGGGACACATTTGAAGGAAATCAACTCATCAGGACTCATCATATCGCAGCAAAAATCGCTCAGCATTGGGTATCCTGTGGCGGAAAGTTGAAGTACCCTACGGAAACCAACATGATCTGGCTTGACTTTGAGCAACAGCCTTTTGGACTTGACGACCTCATTAAAGTGGGACGAGAGAGAGGTATTTTCATCCACAGAGACCGCTTGGTGATACATTACCGTGAGTTATCCTTGTTTCCACGAGAGAAACCGCCAACTAATCGAATGAGTAGAAATTTCAGACGAGGCAGTACAAATTCTGCTGGGAGTCATAACAAGGTTGACGAAGCATGATGCAGACATTCTAGATATAGCAGTATCATAAAGACTTGTTACCCCGATTGTGGCGGATATCAGGGAGCAAGCACCCAATCTAGATATAAACGTCTTTGTCAATATATGGAGTCGATGCTAAATCTATCCCCATGGCTTGCATGCAATCCAAGTTATTGTGACGGTCCTGTCAGCATAGGGGTTTTCTCCCTGTCTTAGTATTCTCGTACATAGTTACCTAAAGTCATTGAGTTGATTTATTGATTAGTATGTCCAGCCTGAGAGAAGGGCCACATGCACCTGCAAAACGCCTGCACTTGCAAAAGGCTTGCGGGCGCAACGGTTGTCGATTCTTTACTAGAGTCTGTCACCAGCCAAATATCTGCACTGGTTACGAAATCCTCAGATACCCTTGTATGTTTAAAACACTTGTAGGCAACAAAGCTGTGGTGGCCTGAGAAGTTAACGAGGAAAAGACACCCGTTTGATAATTAAGTCTATTTGGCTACAGGCCTAGGCTGTTTTATTGGGCAAGAGATTAACTTCATGATTGGTTATCAATGACTCACCTGTTAATTATTGACATAAACATACGTACCTCGTGCTTGTCATCGCATGCCACCATTTTCATCGTATCATTTGTATAGAGTCGTCATACACCCACCCACCAACCAAAAAAGCCAATAAGACGTGCCAGGCCGTTATTCCACTCGTAGATTGTTGCGCCACAATAATCCTTTCGTCACGTACCCGTGTTACCTCTGTTATATGGAAATGGAGACGGCAATCGGCTCCAATTGAGCATCATATCCAAGAAAACAGACGGTTCCATCTCGAAGTAGTACCGCATTCCGAAGATACCGATATGTGTGTTATTAGCGACATCGCGAAACTGACTCGTGCCTTGCAGATTAAGAGATAGTATAGATCTTTATAGTTTCATAAATACTCAAGATATTTCTATTTTTAAATTAGAAATAGTTAATTAGATATTTTTCTCTATTTTAGCTGATGTTAGAGACTCTTTTTTGTGAATTGGTGGTATAGTGATGTGTTAAAGTTATAGAATCAATATGGAATGTGTTTTTTTGGCAGAAGTGGGTGGGTGGTTTACATCGGCGGGTGGCTTACCGATTACGTTAAACTGATAAGGTCGGCGTTAAGCAATTGTTTCTTATCGTTCATCAACCTCGCCGTCCTTTATCGAGACGTCGGCGACAATTTCATCTATGGAGTGGTCGCATCATGAGTCTTAGTCGCGGCTTTGTGTTTTCATATAAAAATGCATCGGGGCGCACAGCCCAGCGGTGTCTATCGATAGCCAAAGAAGCACGGAGCCGATTTCAACGACCTTTTTCTGCAGCATCGCCACTGCGACAAAACGAACCACCAAGCAATGGATCTGGGACTGGCGAGAAGAGAGAGGAAGGGGCTTTGTCCCGCCGACTCTCTGAGATGACAGAAGAGGCGTTCTTAGAAGGCGGACGATCTGCACGAAAAAATATCGAAGAGGCTGGCTTCTCGGACGATTTAAAGAAGCAGTTGGAAGAGAAAATCAAGATGAGCACGTTCAAGAGCGAGAATGCGGGCGCTTTTTCAGTAGTAAACATGCCAGTAAGTGGTTTGTCTACTGGTATTCCTTAATATTCCCATAATAACAGGCTTCAGGCCAGTGCAGGAAAAGGCACGCAGGATATCGCAGCGGCAACACCATGGCACAACACCGAAAGCATCCATGACACCGCACTGAGAATGCTCGACGACAGCAAAAAACCCATCAAGCTCCCGTACCAAATCCCCAAGCCCGCCATGCCTGTCAACGTCGACATGCGGCCGGCCCCGAAAACTCGCCAATCGACTGGTTCTCGACTTGCCAGCGCGCGGGATCGCACGCATACATACGCTCTTAGTCAGAGCCCTGGTCTGTCGGACGAGGAGCGGGAGTCGGTCAGAAAGGAGCTCCGATCACGGTTCGAGCCCGGCGCACGCTCGCTCCCGATGTCGATACAGGGACTGACCTCGTTAGCGAACGAGAGAATCGAAGACGCGATTGCGCGCGGCCAGTTCAAAAACCTGCCGCGCGGGAAAGGGAAGAATACAGAGACAGACCCGAATGCGAGCAGTGCGTTTATTGATACGACGGAGTATTTTATGAATAAGATCATCCAGAAGCAGGAAATTGTTCCGCCGTGGATAGAAAAACAACAGGAATTGGCACGCGAGGTTGATCGCTTCCGACAGCGCCTGCGAACGGAATGGCGACGACATGCTGCGCGATTGATTGCAAGTCAGGGAGGGACTCTGGAACAGCAGCAGATACGGGCTCGAGGATATGCCGCAGCGGAAGCTCGTTTGACGGAAAAGAGCTTACTCGATACTGCATTTACGTCGTCAGATGTGGATAAACCGATGGAGCCTTCATTCTCACAGATCAGCCATGATGGCCGGTTATCAAATCCGGTCCAGAGCCCTGCGAATGTCGTTTCATCAGAACAGAAAGAGCCATTACCACATGTGGCTCCTCTCCGGGATCCAGACTTCATGGCTCTTGAGCGTGGCTTGCATCAACTACAGATAAAAGCCCTCAACGATCTGACACGGTCGTATAATCTTCAAGCGCCGCGTCTTGCACAGAAGCCTTATTTGAACCTGGAGCGCGAACTCAACGCCTGCTACGCAGACGTGGCGCCTTCGCTTGCAGGCGAGATTGTCTCTCGCACAGGACACAAGGTGCAATCTCCCATGGCGAAGGCTCATCGCAGGAGCTCTGGTGGGATCCTAGATGATCTTTTACAGAATAACCAGCGTGTACAGATATATGAAGAAAATCGCTACAAGCACTACGGGCTGAAAGAGTTGTGGCGGGATTTGTGGAAGCGCTGACTCTTTACAGCTGTGTAGGATAGAATGAATAGATGTTCAATGTATACATTGTTCTCAAAAAGAAGTAATGGATGAGCCTATCAGAAAATCGACAATGAGAGGGGTCGACAGGCTGTGATTGGGCAAGGAACGAAGCACTAGCCAATAGAGTCAGCCAATCAGGACACACATCGGGTCGAAACTCGGAAGCTCGTGGGCCGTGCACGCGGGCGCTTAAAGCGGGGCTGCGATTGGCCGTCACATTATACACCAACCATTACTCTATTTGCACACAATACACAATCAATACACAACGCCATCTAGAATGCTGGTTCTTATACTGACGTCGAGCTTACTATTATTTGATATGTCTATAAGCGACTATCTTGAACTTGGTCAGAGAAACGAGAGATATGTGACGCCAAATTAGCGACTAAATTGTGACTAAATTGGCGACGCATCTCGGCGGCGCGATTGGCACACGATTGGCACACACTAAACACTCTCCTGCAGCCACCCCGACGCTCTTCACGCGGGCCGGGCCAATCGTTCTGCAGACATGCTCGACTCGGCTGCAGACGACTGTGAGGGAACACACCATCGCCTCCCACTCGCTGCCCGCCGCACACCACTGTCCCCATATAACCATGATATGCCACTCACCCGGCCTGTTCGTGCAACAATCGCCTTGCCTGCTTTGTAGCAGATTGACAGGAGGATCTCAATCATATCCCCTCTCATTCCTATATATACTCAACTCACTCTAGAAATGAGTTGAGCGCTGCTGCCCGCATCATGGTGCTCTTGCCCTGCATCTTCCTCTCATCTCTCGCCGCAGCCTCAATCATCGATGACTCTGGGTCTTCGTCTTCGCCTTTACTGTCCCGCGACTCCTCTTCCTCTTCCTCAAACCAGCTGCCCGTCCAAGTCGGCGGCATCGTCGCCAGCTACATAATCTTCGATGCTCTGGTAGTCTGCCTTCTACTGCTTGTGGGACGACGACTGCGCAGGGCCGTCCAGGCATCCAACTACACGCTGGAGGTGGTTATGATACAGCCCGGCAAGATCACCGCCAGCACCGACCCCAGCCCGATCTCCGGCGACATCAGTTTCCCCAGCCCCGTCCAACCGTCATCTCGCGGCGGCTGGAATATGTCGTGGTCCAGTATGGCCAAACATCATAAGGGCGGCCACGCCTCGACCAACAACAGCGTCACGACAGTTGACGAAAGCGTCGTGTCGGCGGATAAACGCCGCGCGCAGGAGGAAATGGAGTTCCTGTATGCGGCCGTCATGGAGCACGATGCGAGAAAGGCAGCATCATCGGCGAATTCGTCGCCGGTCTTGGAGAACGAGCAGCAAGTAACCACCTTTTCACCGTTGGGCTCGCCTGTGGAATCGCCGCTTCACAGCCCTCATCTGTTCCCACCGCCTCGTCCTGAACCCCAACATCAATATCAAACCCCATTGTCGCCGCGACAGGGAAGCACCACCACGACGACAAACAAATCTCGCACAAGCCAGCGCTTGTCTCGCATCTCCAACCTGTCCATCTTCAGCCCCTCTCGCCTCTCCTCCAACTCCAACAAACTCAAATCTCCCCGCTCAATCCGCGACTTGCCCATCTCGCCTCCCGTGCGCTCGCCAGACGTCGCCAGAACCGCAACCTTCGACAACAGCGCTCCCCTATCCCCACGCATGTACACCCCCGGACCACCACCCCTCGCCCCTCTCACAACGGCCTCTTCATCCACCCCCAAACCCGTACCCGCAAGCTTCGCTCTCCAACCCATCAGCCTGCAGAGCACCCCGCGCTCCAACGCGCCCGCCCCACTGAGCATCACCAGCAGCAACACAATGCTTCCATTCCGGCAGCAATTCAACCCGCCGCTGAGCGCGCCGCCGACAAAAACAACGATTCTGGAGCGTCCGTTGCATGTCCCCGGTGGACCGCGAACGGGGATGCCCACCCCTTACAGCCCGTATATGCCATTCACACCCGTTACGCCGCTGACGCCCAGCCGGTTTGTGACGAAGCGCGAGAAGAGAATGAAGGATAAGAGTAATGGGTTGAGGGTGTTGCATGAGGATGATATGGTGAAGGGGGATGATGAGATGTGGGGGACGTAATCCCTAACAACTCTCTATTATTTATTCATTTACGTTAGGGTATGCGGAGTTGTGATTCAGGTCTTGTCGATAGTTGAATAATAGTTCATAATCTCAGTGCACAATATGCGTACACGCTATATTAAAATCTCAATCTGTACATGTATATATGTAGATATGTAGATATGTATATTGAATCAAAAATCATCCACCGCAGTGCCAACCCCTCTCTCCCTCGCCAACGCGACCAAATCGCCCCCCGTCACCAAATCCATCAACCCAATGCCCACACTCTTATACACCACATTCCCACTCTCCAACCACTTCTGCAGGCCCTTCTCGCCCTCCCCCCCACTCTCCACCTCCAGCCTAGCAGCCTGCTTCATAATCATCAACTCGCCAATCTCAACCAACTGATGTGGCCCCAACTCCGCCTGCACAATCTCGCCGGCTTCCTGCAAACACATCTCCAAACTATCCACCAACACCACGCCGCCTCTCTGCGCATGCTTATGATGGTGATGCGAGTGATTATGCGGCTTCACCTCATTCCTCAGGATATCCGGATGCAGCTCCGTCATATGCGGTTTATACGAGCCAATCGCACTGACCAGCCTTCCCTTTTTCTTGCTCTCCGTCGACGTCAAATACTCAGCCGGAAAGAGCGGCGAGAGGGACGGGGTACAACAGAAAATCGCATCGGCCTTGCGCACCGCTTCCCGCAGCAGTCGATCGTACTCGACGAACTCGCTACTGAGAGCGGAGAACTTTACGCTGCCGCGCCAGGATGCGTTGTTGCCGCTGTATATGTCGCGGAGGAGTTCGGCGGCCCGGTCGAAGGAGCGGTTGATGATGTAGACGCGTTTGATGTCGGGCCCACGCAGGAGAAGCGCGAGACGGATGTGCCAGTAGGCTTGGCGGCCGGCGCCGAAGACAGTGACTGTTTTGACGTGTTTGCGTTTGTTGAATACGCATAGTGAGGTGAGGGCGGTGCGGAATGCGGTCAGTTCTTGCGCGCTGACGAGGCCAAAGGGGAGCCCGTCGGGGCCGATTAAGGTGAGTGCACCGCGGGGGGAGGAGTCGCGGGCGCCAGCTGGTGGCCAGGCTTTGCCTGTGGTTGTGGTGGTGAGGGGGCGTGAGTTTGTTTCCTGGAGGGATTGTTGGTTGATGCTGGGGGCGGAGGAGGAGAAGGACGAATCGTCGCGGTCGTCATCGTCATCGGTAGTCAAGGACATGGAGCTCATGTCAGTGGATAATGAGCTACTAGATCTTCTAGATGAATACTCCTCTGCCGAGAGGGAGACTTTCGCAGACTGCCTGCTGGCCGTGAGATCCTGACTGACCGAGCAGCCTGGTTTGAAGAACTCGATGCCATTGCTTTTGGTATTGCTGAAATCGATGTTCTGCACGGACAGGATCTTGATTCCTGTGGTTTTGCCCGTGCTCGCCGGCATGAACAGTGTCGTGTGGCCATCCTTGTGTGTGATTGCCGTTCGTTGTGGCTGGTACGATGCCGCGCAGCCTTGATCATTGTTGCCTGTCGAGTATTCGCGCAGGGCTTCGGCGAGGTTGCGCTGGAGCGAGAGTACGTCGTCGCGGGTGAGCGAGAGGAGGAGAGCACGGACTTGGGATTCGGAGAGGATTGTGAGAGGCATTTCTTTTTTCGTCTTTTCTTCCTCGCGTGTTGAGTGGGAGAAGGGGAAGGTTGAAGCTGCGGGATGACGAAATGCGCAGATTTATATCGATAAGCACTGGCGGGGTCCTCACATGTTCCCGCCGGAACCGGCCGCAATGTACACACAAGACTATTAACACCGGTGTTATTCTGGTGCTTGAGTCATAGAATTGAATAGAATAGGGATAGAAGTAAATGATTGCTGTAACCGAGAGGGTATATCTACTAATTAAAACTCGAACTGAAACTGAAACTGAAAAAAAAAAAAAAAAAAACAAAGCTATAACGCCGGGCTTTCCCAGCTATCTCTCTTGGTTTTCATCACAGCCGACTGCTTGTGTGGAAACCTGACCTCGCCTTCTTTATAAAAGCCGACGTCGGTGAGATAGGATATCAACCTACAACATCAGCATCATTAAACGTAGGTAGGATGTTAGGAGCTTACTTCTGATTGTCGACCCGCGGCTCCAGCATCACCGTCTCGGTGCGTGCATCAGCCAACCAGCAATAATGAACCAGCGAGCTGAGCCAGACGGGGACTCGATGCGGGCCACGGAACTCCTGCTCACCGACCAGCACGTGCAGCCCGCGATCATAATTGCCTGCGTTCCCCAACTGCCGTCCCAGCCGGTCTTCCTTGACCCAGTAGATCTCAAAGTAGCCAAAGGGCTTGCCGTCCCAGCATCCGAAGACGGGGAAACTGTGTTTACTGCTGAGGCCGTCCGCGAGCAGCTTTTCCTGCTTGGAGCGAGGTCCTGCTTCGTTCCACGCCGAGTTCACGCGTGGGTCGTTCATCCATTTATGTAGCAGGTCCAGATCAGATGGGCCGGGCGGGGGGCTGTAGGTTTGTGGTACGGTTAAGGAGGGTGTGGATGAGAGGGAATGGATGGGTTGGGGGGTTGGGGTTTGGCATTTCCTAGGACTGGTACGCGGAATGAGAGATACTGCCCAATACTCGGGATATAGCGGGTGTAAAACGTCTCGCCTTGATGCGGCGGTCGCGGTCGAAGCGGATGGCGGACGCCGTTAGTAAAGACATACTGTGTTGGTGGTGGGGGGTAGTATGTAGGAAGATGGCTACCAGAGGTATACGGCCCATTGATGGTGTTGAACACATGCATCGGCGGAATCAAGTCAGAAACCGATACAACACTCCCATCTTCCCGGCGAATCCCATCCATAATCGGCGACGTTGGCCGCGAGCCATAGGGCGAAGCGGGCGAAGCGGGCGAAGCCAGCGGCGAGGGAAGTACCAGAGGAGTGTTTATGGCTGGGGTCAAAGTGAAGATGAAAATCCGCGGATCTAGCTGCCAAAAACTGCGGCGGCTAGTGAACAGGCGTTCCCAGTGCGTCGGGTTTCTCGATTCGACGGACTCGGCGCCGACGGAGGAATCGTCGCTGGCGAGTAAACCCATCCGCTCCATTTTCTGCATCAGGTTGCGACCCTTGAAGATTCCCTCGCGGTTGATGCTCACGCGCCAGTCGCCCTTTGGCTTACCGGCATCTGGCGTTTTGCTAGATGCGTCGGTGGTGAGATGGCGGTGTGGCTCTGGTTCGTGGAAGTACCACCACAAGGTAGCCCAGAGCATCATGGCGATTTGGCGGGAGGGGGAGGTTGGGGGTTTGAAGTCGTTGCTGGAGGGGGTGCTGATGGAGGAAATGAATATGCAGTCGTTTTGCAGCGTGGGCTTTTTGAAGCTCGAAATGCGGACTTTGCGGTCCCCCGCAGTACCAGTACTTGCGACATTGCTATTACCGTCATTCTCGGCAATAGTCAGCCCAGATAGAGCTGTGTTGGGAGGGCTATTGACGTCTAGGTGGTGAGTCGCGTCAACTTCTTTCTCAGTGTAAATGACCACCGTCCAGCCTGGAGGAAACGCGCTGTGGTGGATGTTGAGGTCGTTCGATTTGAACGTGACCCCGCCGTACACGGGCGTGATGGTAAAGGTGTTGCCGTTGGGCAGGTAGCAGGTCGACGAGGGCATTATGTTAGCCTTGCGTAGTTTATAGCGGCTTCATTTAGGTGAGCAGGGCGAAGAGTCGTATTCAAGTCAGGCGGCTCTTTTGCTCTGCACGCCGTGGTGGAATAAAAAATGTGGTGTACATGACGTTGAGCTTAAACACGCATGACAGCCTGCCCCTCCCGTAGGGTAGTACCCACATTGTATGTTGTCTGTGTTCTCGTCAGACAATCACTCAACACCGCTCACAATAGCTTTCCCTCATCATAAGAAAGAAACAGTCACACAACAACCTCGCCATGTCCAGCGCGATGGCATGACATAGCGCTCACTAGAGCCGAACTCTTGTCGTGGCACAGACGACATCGACCTGGGGCCAAACCGAGGAAAAAGCCAAATCCTCTGTACTACACAATGACGTATACGATCACCCAACATAAGATGACATGCACGAACCGACGTGGACCTTCTAGCATCCTTCTAGAAGAAGTCTTCTTCCTTTTTTTTTTTTTTTTTCTTTTCTTTTTGACCCCAATAGTGACCGCCGGCCTGGTCATCCATCCATCGGCCTGGGCTGTGGATCGTCGGTGAGCCCGACACGCATCGCTGACAGGCTATGTATCAGTCGCTAACTATAATCTGCTATGTAATTGTTGCACGCTGGTGTCAGGACCCCAAGTTCATGGGATCCTTCGACTAGCGCCAGAAAAGCACGAAAAAGTACAAAAGTTGATGTGTGGATGCGTGGCTTGCTGCCTGTTCGGGTTAGTTAGGGTTACTGCTTCGGTTGATGCTGACAATACTAATATATAGTATAACTAACCACAGTATACAACTGGCCAGCTTCGGTAGTTGCTCTTAACAAATTCTTGATTTGGATTATGCTACATTTAACGGGATACAGTATAGAAAGTATAGAAAATGAATAGTCGGTCTTGATTAGTCTATCTAGTAAGTCGATATTTTCTGCCGCACATGATTACTTCTCTCACTCGTATAGTGAAAGGCATGCCTCATGGTAACAATCCACCATAACATCAAATAAACTCCCATGGAAGAAAAACAAACGCCGTGCCATGCCAGATGCAGTATATAGTAATAAGGAAACGGGTATTCCCCTGAATGCTCCTAGTATAAGTATTTCGTACAGTCAACTCCGGACCATTGGAAAGATAGGACAGATATGACAAAGAAATGGTTGCGAGGCCAGCTCGGCGATGGTAGCAAGAAAGGATCTAATTTTGAGCAATGGGCCGAGATATGCGACCGCCCATATACACGCTAGTAGCAGATGCGAGAAACCGCGCCATCAAACCACCACCGGAGCCTCCCATGCTAGCGGATGTCTTGATCTTCTTGCTGGGCTGCGAGGTGAGAGAGAGTGGTTGGTCCTTGGAGTAAGGGTGCATGGCCTGCACATTGACGTAGCTGTAGCTGAGAGCCGAGCTGGCTGGGCTGGCATTCCCATCGGCGACCATGACGTCGTCAAGGCTGGAGGAGCAGGTGCTCATACTTCCAGGAGTGCTGCGGGCGCTGGGTGCCACGCTGGATGATCGAGAGGATGGGGCCAGTGAGTTGCGGGTTTCAGTTCGCGACAATGCAGGGATGTCTTTGACTGAAGGCGGGGAGATGGAGCGGTTGGCGTGACGGTAAGGGGAAGGTCGACGGCGGTGGTAAGGGCTGTAGCGATCTCCATCTTCCGGCACCGAGAGAGGAGAGTTGCGGTTGAGCGGGAGGGCTTGAGCAGGAGTGTTCTGTGGGCGCTTCTGAGCGGTGCTGCGAACTTCTCCGCGCATCTCTTGCTTCTGACGCCGAAGTCGAGCAGCAAGGGAGTCGGCCGATGCGTTGAGACGCCACCAGTCGTGGTGACGAGTCTGGACGAGTTCCTGCTGTTGCTCGGCGATTTCGTACTGCTTGCGGATAGGAGCCAAGAAGGGCTCGAAATGGTCGAGCAGATCTTGCTCGGTTACGCGGGTCTCCCAGTCTAGGAGGAAAAGAAGCTGACGCTCCATGAGGTTTACTTCGGCTAGGGAGAAGCCGAATCCCTCATAACCCCTGACGACGGTGTAACGGGCCCAGTGCTTGTTCTTGGGACTCGAGTCGTTCAGGTTCTTGGCCGCCAGGATGAGAGAAGCGAGGAAGATGCGGTGGACAGTGCATCGCATGCCTTTGGCGACGGGGGGCAGACGGGCCTGGAGACGGTTCAGGAAGACTAGGGAGGTCATCAAGGTCGGAACCTGGACCTGCGACCGATGCACCAGGGAGGTGATGAAGGTCTCGAGGGGTGGCAGCAACGGGAGATTGTCAGACGGCTCCATTGGTGGGGTACTTGGAGGAGTGGGCTGGCCGTGCTGGTTAACGGATGATGCGGTCACATGGCTTTCGCAGCGGATGACTTTGGATGCTTGCAAGGCCAGATGGCTGATCATGTCGCGTGAGACTGGGAGCATGACGAACTCGTTCAGAGCAGCCTGGTTGTAGGCCTGCATCTTGTCTGTGTCCATGGTTACCCTTATGTGAATGTAGCGGATAGCTACAATTGTATTTTTTTGGTGTTTTCTGTCACTCGGTCCAGCAGAGTTGCAGTCAGATAGCAGAGGACTGAGTCAGATAAATAGTCAGTTGTATAATGCAGACAGTCGAATTTGCAAGTCTGAGAATGCGAATGCGTTAAATGTAAACGTTAGGGCTAGGCGTGTCCCTAAGAGCGAGTGTGGCAATAGTAACAAGCGTCAACGGGTTGCTGCGAGATCCGGCCCAGCTAAGCAATTCCCCGGGGTCAAGAATGTCAAGAATGTGGCAAAGGTATGCTGGGGTTGTCGTGTTAACGTTAGTGAGCGAGCGTTTGTGATGATGGGTCGAGGAGGCGTCCGGAGGCCGAATTAATATAAGTAAGCTGGCGTCAGCGTGCAACACCCACCACGATGGCCTTGTCACTGATGACAACGCTAGATGGCAAAGTCCGGTCGATCGTAGGCTTGTGGAGGGGCAGAGAGCTTGCTGGGTCGATTGACTTGGTGGGGGCTGAAGCTCTATTACACGGGGAATGGTACGGTACAATGCAATGGCAGGCGGCACAGAACGAAACAGGTATACAAATAGTTGGAGTTGTAAGGAAAGAAAAAAGACGAGATTATGCGATATGCGAGATAGAGACGATGTGATATAATAGTTGAAAGAGCATGGCCTCGTGAAGATAGAACTGAGAGATCCAGCAGGTAGTTATAGTTATGCACTTGACGCAGAGTCTGTCCTGGAGGCATGATCTGCTGCATGAATGGGCCCAATCGAGGGTGGGCGGCTGCAAGGACGTCTACGGACCAGTTGTTCGCGGTGGGGAGGCCTGACTCCCAGCGACCAACTGGGCCGGCGCAGGGGGTTCAAGGTTTCGGCCTGCAAATAACTTTGGAGCACGCCAGTTTCGACATCTCGTCGAGGGCGGCAGGAGGCGCCGTCGTGTTGGAGTGAGTGTCGCTGAGCGCGTCGCAGGAGAGAACGACAGGACGGCCTCTCTCTGGAGTTGCAGACTACGTTTCATCCACCCTGGCTTCCGTACTGGCTCGGCCGAATTGTGGCCTCTTCTGCTACTGATAGGCTGCGCTAGTCCCACTGAGGAAGTAGGGATTTCCCGTTTGGGCACGGGTGCCTGTGGCGGCCAATGAGCGCCAGCCCCGCGGCCCTAACGTTAATCATCCGCGACACGGGGCCCACTTCCGACCCACCCGGCAGTTCGTCTGACCTGCGGGCCCTCTGATTGGGTCACGCGGCCCACCCCGGGCTGGTGTCATGCGAGGAGCCCGTCTGGTTGGCTGACTAAGTGTGGCTAGTGCTTGCTCTTGTGCACAGGAATACGAATTATTCTCTCCTCAAACACGCACCTGCGACGCGAACCTGGATTGTGCTTATTCTAGTCACTCCCTCAATAAGTTAAGTTATTAATCGTAATCGTATTCGATTATGAAATAAGATCCTACATTCTTGCGTCTTCGGGGCCCGACAGTCACCGTGGGTACCACTACCCACTAGCCGGACTAGCATTGGAGTGCTGGTGCTACCATTACTATATACGTAGTATACATGTATACTACTGTACCACACTGCAGTGATAGGCAGATGCATGGGACCTGCTTGCCTGCAGCGGACAGACACGAGTACTTGGCCCCCGGCGGTTCCATTGTTTGTCTCTTTCATTTTTGAGTTTATTCCTTCTCCCTGCTCCTCGCCTCCACCGCATTCATCTGGGGAGATACAGTGTAAGGGTATAGCGTAGACAAGAATGCCTGATGTCATCGCATACTATTTAGACTTTGCCCGCTAGCCCCCATGTCAGCCATCTGCTACCTACTACCTAGTAAGGGTACTTAGCACGTCAGTCTCCTAAGACATTAATAACACAGCATATTATTTTGTTTTGCTTTATTTTTGATTTTGATTTTTGAGATTTTTCCCACAAATCCTTCATTCCACGCAGAGGACAAAGCAGAGCGTATATTGCCAAGCAACTTGCCTCCTGCATTCCACGAACCTAGTGCCTAACCTAGTGCCTGTGCAGGAGTCAGCCAGGATCTAATAATTGACCTGGGCCTGTCTAGGACGTGGCCAGCGCCTCGCGAAACATGCAGTCCTTGGAACTCTAGGCTCTTCAGTTAGTTATTTACGGAATGCAGCCTAAGCGCCAGGGGAATCGATCGCTGCCTGGACTGGCCTGTCAGGCGCTTAGTGATACGGGCCTCTGATTGGCCGTCGTCTATATCTATCTACTCTATATATATTCTACTGCATCCAACGCCCCTCTCTACGTCCCTCTATTGGTCTTACGTATACTATTGCGTCCTCCTACTGCCACTAATAATAATAATAATAAATTACCATTGCATCAATCATTTAGTATACTGTACAGTGCATCCATACTAAGTAATGGAAATTAGTGGCGCCATCCGGGTTCGATAGCGTGCAGCTCCCCTGAATCAGCCGCCGCTGATTGGTCTCCGCGTCCTCCACCTCAAAATTCGATTTTATCTTTTATCCTCAAACCTCACATCGCTGTGAACATTCGGTCGTGTCGCATTTCCTAGTCTTTGTTTCGGTCCTTGTTTCGTCTCTGTATTAACATCCCATCCCATTCGCGCTCGTTTACCGCTCTCTACAATGGCTTCGTCCAAAAATAACACCGCCACCCGTGGCACCTCCACCCTTACCATCCTGGCACTGGTACTCGCCGCCTTTACTGCCTTGTTCTTCTATCTAGACCAGCACCTCGACTGGTTCTACGTCTTCGACACCGATCACCTCCACGACCTGTCCAAGCGCGCCATTGCTACCCATGGCAACGACACCCGCGCCGTCGTCGGCTACATTGTTGGCGAGCTGGACCAGAAGCTGGGCGGGAAGCACCTGAACCTGGACGAGGAGTGGGTGTTCAACAATGCCGGCGGTGCAATGGGAGCCATGTACATCATTCACGCTAGTAAGTTACTCAAAGAAATGAGAAGTGACATCTATCGATATCTAGCTTCTATCTAACTTTGATCTACAGGTATCACCGAGTACCTAATCATTTTCGGTTCGCGCCTCCAATACCTCGGACCCATATCGTTATAGAACTAACTAACAAATCTAGGCACCGCCATCGGCACCGAGGGACATTCTGGCCGCCATACCGCAGACGACTATTTCCACATTCTTCAAGGCACGCAACTAGCCTACGTCCCCGGCGAGTACGAGCCTGAGGTGTACCCACAAGGCAGCGTGCACCATTTGCGGCGGGGCGACGTGAAGCAGTACAAAATGGCCGAGTCCTGCTTTGCGCTCGAGTATGCGCGCGGATGGATCCCGCCGATGCTGGGCTTTGGTTATGCCGATACCTTTACCAGCACGCTGGATTTCCCTACTCTGTGGGCGACGACCAGGATCACGGGGAGGGAGATGATTTCCAATTTGCTGCAGGGGAAACTGTAATCAACTCCGGAGCATACGCACATTATACTATGCACTATGTACCATGTACACCGTGCAGGTCAGGAATGTGACGTGAATATGCATGCAAGTCTACTTTAGTATACATTATAATCGACTTCCTTCCTTCCTTCCTTCTAACCTCTCCTGTTGCCGGGCTGTCGGTTGCTGCCGAAGAAACGAGCAGAATGTGGCGGCGGGTTCATGCATATGCACAATTCGATCGATCAATCCATTTTTTACAAAAAAAAATAATCAGCAATGATGAACAATATATGCACGCCACCCTCCTTTCTCCTCAGCCTGCTCCAATATTCCGGCGCCCGATATTCCGAGCTGATCCACGACCAATGCAAGGGATTTGACTACCTACTACCGCTACAATGTAATCTACACACTAATGTTTTATAAAATAATAAACCGCTCTAATATGTAGCCTGATTATTGCCACAGAAATACCAGACCTCGACGCATACATGTATCATCATTGATAGAATGATGATCATACTACATGGCAACTATCGCCACCGTCCGTTGCAGCCATGTACTTACCTAAACAGTTGATGTCGTTCTGCGAGAGATTAATTAGACAGACAGTGCCTGATACAGTATGTATAGATGTATAACTAGTGTACATCCTGCATGCAATATATATGCAGGTATTCGGACCGGAGCGGAATTGAGAGAGACACTCTGAATATGTTCCGTGAAGGGGCCGGCAGGGAAGGGCAGGTTGGTCGGGTAACATCGATAGATTGATAGATAAGCCAGGTCAGGACATGTGTTTCGTCGAGATATTGGCTTTGGGTTGTTTTATTTCCCCGGGACATCAGTGAGTGAATACTCCGGTGCTACCGTAGGTGTTACTCGTGTGGTGGTTAATTAGAATAATTTCTAGTGTTGAGTGTTGAGCTGACGGCAGATGTATACAAATTTAATGTTTTAATCAACTCACTTGGTCTCTGGGTTATTATTATGGCTTTCTGGCTAGACTCGCATATATAATATTTGTTTCTGTCCATATTCTGCTCGCATTAAAAATATTGATTCGAGGTTATGAACCAATCGATGCAGATATATATGTAGCTCACATTTACCCAGTTTGAAGCTTAAAATTGACACCAATCTTGCGATTCCAGCATTAACTGAACCTGTGCTCGAAAATTATCTACTATGTTCTAGTTTATTATTAACGAGCTCTCTACGTAAATTGCTTTTTCAATACCAAGGGTGAGACCGAATATGATCTCCACATGTAAGATTAATATGGCGTATTCCGGTATGAGACTTCAATGTTCAGTTGGACTGCATTGATTCTTGTACACACTGGAATAGAGACAGCTACTTTATTTCAGTCGCTCTACAGAGACCTTCTAATGTTCATCCTATATTCAACTTCTTAAACAAGCTCTGATTCTGGTATCTTCAGGGCCAGCGAGGTCACGTGACGCGTCCCCGCATTGATAATCGCCATCGAAAAAAGTATCTACAAAAAAGTGGTACATCCATCCACTCCAAAAGAATAAAGAATAACATGCCGCCAACGCTCTGTTTCAACTGCCAGGCGGCGCGCGCCGTCATAATTCGACCCAAGAACCGGCGCAAGCTCTGCAAAACATGCTTTCTCGAAATCTTTGAAACCGAAATCCACCAGACCATCACCAGCACCTCCCTCTTCCAGCGCGGCGAACGAATCGCCATTGGCGCCAGCGGCGGCAAGGACAGTACCGTTCTCGCCTCCGTCCTTAAAACGTTAAACGAGCGCCACGATTACGGCCTTGACCTGACCCTTCTCTCCATCGACGAAGGCATCAGAGGATACCGCGACGACAGCCTAGAAACCGTCAAGCGCAATGCCGAACAATACAACATGCCACTCGAAATCGTCGGCTATGACGAGTTGTATGGTTGGACTATGGACCAAGTTGTCGCGCAGGTCGGCAAGAAGGGGAATTGTACCTACTGCGGCGTCTTCCGGCGCCAGGCTCTCGACCGCGGCGCCGCGCGCTTGGGCATCAAGCACGTCGTGACCGGCCATAATGCGGATGATGTTGCCGAAACAGTGATGATGAATCTCCTGCGCGGCGATTTACCGCGGTTGTCGAGGGGCACGAATATCGTGACGGAGTCCGCGGGCATGCAAGTCAAGCGCAGTAAGCCGCTCAAGTATGCGTATGAGAAGGAGATTGTGTTGTATGCGCATCACAAAAAGTTGGATTATTTCAGCACAGAGTGTATTTACTCGCCAGAGGCGTTTCGGGGTAGTGCGCGCACGTTAATCAAGGATCTCGAGAAGATTAGGCCGAGTTCGATACTGGATATTGTGAAGAGTGGTGAGGATATGGCGGCATTGGTTCCGCCGGAGATTAGCAATAATGGGAAACCTGCAGAGGATGAGGCGAGTGGTGGGTGTGGGAGTCAGAATGGTCGGTCTAGTGGAGGCGAGATGGCCGCGATGGAGAAGAGGTTGGCTGCGAACGAGGAGGCGCAGGCAAGGGAGATTGAAATCACGCTGCCATCACGGCGGCCTTCGTCAGTGGTGTCTTTTCAGCAGAAGAAAGGGAAGCTGGTCAAGGGTCAGACGGCAGGGAAATGCGAACGCTGCGGGTATATTTCGAGTCAGAAGATTTGCAAGGCGTGCACGCTCTTGGACGGGCTGAATAAAAGTAGGCCAAAGACGACTATTGAGGTTGGCATCGAAGAGGAGGAAAGCAGCTCGACGTTGATGCGGCAGATGGAGAGTGTGCAGCTGAGTTCGATGTCGTCGGGGTAGTTTAGATGTTTCATTCACGTCTAATCTACATACTCTATAGTGCGTACTGTCACACCGAGGGCAGTCAGATATCTCTCTCACTCGAGAGCATCACCTCATAAGTGCTTCAGCCGGTGGATTGCACATTACTACCTGATCTGTCAATCACAAGCCCATGCTCAAGCTGCTTCACCCCTCCCACGTTATATGAAGAACGCATCCGAACACATCCCTGGATCCAAATCATGGATGGAGATCATTTCAGATATCAACCGGGAAATGGATTGAAATTTTCCATATCTATCCAACACAGCAGACATTGGACACAGTCTCCGGTGAATGTTTGCAGTTCAAATGGCCACAAACTCACAATCATAATATACACATGTCATGTACAATAGTCACGCTCGACACTGATCTAAGCATATCCAAACACAAACATTCCAAACCCCAATAACTCCGTATCCATGAAATAACAAATATGCCTTTTCTAATAATCCGTCGCGATATTCTTTCTATACCCCGTCTGTCTCGACCGCCCTAATTCGCATACTGAAGCGATCCATAGTCAAGGACTTTCAACCGTCCAATCCGTCACGGATAACCCCCCAAATCCCGAATACTTTTCGATCTTACTGCCCCTTCCCATCCCCTACTTCAACAGGTAAATCCATACCGACTCTCCGCGCCGTCAACCGCACCCGCTCCTCCTGATCCATCCCCATGCCCGGATTATACCGCTCTAACAAAGTCGCGTACATGCGTTGCGCGCGCGCATACCGGATAAATTGCTCTGCTTTCTCGATTTGTTGGCGCAGCGAGGACGATTCTGAGGAAGAGGTGGTAGATGGTGGTGGTGGTGATTGTTGGAAGCGTTCGCGAAATCGTTGTTTGAGCGGGGAGGGCGAGGAGAGGGGGCGGCGTGGGAGTTCGCGGAGGAGGGCGCGGTAGAGGTGACGCGATTTGAGGGTGAGGTCTTTTGTCATATTTATTTATTTTGATTGGTTTTGATTGGGAGCAAGGAAGGTGTGGAGGTGGTGGTGAAGAGGATGTTGGGGATGAGGTTGAGAGAGATAAAAGTGTAGTTGGCCCGAAGTGGACTAGCGCGTTGGCATTACATAGATCCGTCTAAACTTTAAAGAGTCGACATGAGGTAGATATAGATCAACAGGCACAAGATATCAACATAGACATTTAGGCTGTTCAAAATCTCACTGCTCAAATGTGAGTAGAAAGAGTAATAATAGACGAAATTGGAATAGTTGCAGCTAACAAATATGGAAGTTTCCTTTCTCTTTCCATTCGACACCCCCTCATTTCTCTGCTAAGATGACTCTCCTGAGAGAGCAAACTCCATTCTATCAACCTTGAGGCATGCCAAGCTGTTTATCAATAACGGCCCTTTCAGCCTTGGTAACGTTGAAGACACCATGCTCATCCGTAGGCCCCTCTTTCTGTCCAAAATAGTGGGAGGGTAGACACCATCAATTGGACCATATGAGAGGTTGAGATATGAATTTGCTGCTGAGTACGGCACACAAGTTCCCCATCTTTGTTTATATAAAGCGAATTTGTCTCTATAAAGGGCCTTGCCTATGTAAAGTGTCTTATCCATATAAGGCGTTTTCGCCCAAAGAAAGCCACCTTCGTATAAAGATTTTACCTATAATATTATGTAACTACTAATACGAACATGGCCAGGAATTTGTGTAACTGTTTCTCAACAGATTTTCTCGTTTCTTATGCAATTTCTATTTACTCGAGAAATAGGAAAAATGCCGGACAGCAGATTTCGTCCTTGAGGCTCTCAGAGGTCGAATACATGTCTTTGCGAATCCTACGTGTTACCACATCATTCTATGAGGAGCCGGAGCTATGTTGTAGGTCAGAGGAAAAATATGATCATTATTCTTGGTTAGTAATGGCAATTCGACGTAAATACGGTTTAGGAACTTAATGCGTAAGGAATACAGGATTGAAAGGAAAGGGGTGTTGAGAGAATGTACGGTGGCGGTACCAAATCTTGGCTGTCAGATAGACTGGATATTACCTGTATATATCAAGAATTTAGATGATTCTATAAATGAGATAATTCTATATATCCACTCTTCTTGTTGCCTAACTATCTAGAATATTTTAAGCTTTTGTCTCCTTTTCCACAACAATAGTCTGTTCCTGCTCCTGCCCATTGCGTGCCTCAACAGGACCGTGGAAATGCCGGTTGCCTGTGGTAAACCATGTAACCAGACTCAGTAAGGCGGTCACGCCAATGGCGGCACTGGTGTAATTCATCGTGGACTCGTTGACAGGAGCTTCGGACGGGAAGTTGAAGGTAATGAATGCGAAGACGAGGAAAAAAAAGCCAATCATGTTCATGGACAGAGATATAGGCAGGCTAAGTGAATATGGGCCGGTGAAAACAAGCTTATCGCGGAAGAAGTAACCTAATATCCGAGCTAGAAGAGCGAGGGCGTATGATACATCTGAGTGAAAGTTAGACAGTGTGAAAATGAGTTAGTATATGTCAATGGGGTGGCTTAAACCTACAAAATCCCGTCGTGGCAATAGATACAACAGTATTAAATCCTGTGACTGTTCCAAAATAAATCGAATTAAAGGCCATTTGAATACTGACTGTTACCACAATTGCATTCACTGGAACCTGCTTCTTTTTGCTGACCTGCGACAGAAATCCCGAAAAAGGTAAGCCATGATCGCGGGCAAAAGCATACAGCGATCGAGAACCATCGGTGATCAAGCTGATCGTGCTAACGAACATGATAACGGTGATCATGCTGGCCATAAAACATGCGGCAGCCTTGCTGTTTGTTGAATCGTAGAAAACTTGCAGAACTGGCGAGCCTGTGCTGGTGTCGGCCGTACTCGAGATATCTCCAATGCAGAAGCAAAGAGTTATCAGGAACACGAATCCAGTCACTGCACCGATTACAACAGAGAGAATGATTGCTCGCGGAGCATCCCGAGAGGGATGGGTCATCTCCTCGGTCATATGGACAGGGGTGTCATAGCAACACATTCCGAAAAAGGCCTGCAGAATACCTATGATGGTGGCCATCGCGGTGCCAAAGCCGGTCCCGTTTTGGAACTCATGGAAGACGAAGTCCCCGCTTTGCTTGTGGTCATTTGTAGCGAGCAGCACAACCACTATGACGACGAACGAGACCATATTCCACAAGAATACGGCTCGGGCTAGTCTATATAGCAGATGAGGTGTCCAGATGTTGATTATGCCACCGATAAGGGCAGCTAAGTATGAGACGAGCACACTTTGCCAACGCTCAATCGTGTATTGCGGAAACACAAGATTAGCCTGTCCTAGAATGTAGTTGGAGATGAAAGAATTATTGGCCGATCCCATAGAGATGATACCTTAATTTCAATTAGCATTGAAAAAATTGACTTCGCAAAGCTGCTGCACCCACCCATTAACATGAACCAGCCAGTCACATAGGACATCTCACGCGCGATTTGCTCCGGTGCCATCAAAGCCACCCACGAGTACTGTCCTCCAGCAACGGGCCATCGGGAACACATTTCTGCCATTGCACAGGCCACAGCCATGGTGAGAACACAGGTCCCAATCCATCCATAAAGAACCACCGGTGGACCACCGGCGCTGACTCCGATTATGAAAACTCCGCTCAACGCCGACCAGCTGGGACAAGGTCAGCCATTTTGACGCATCTAGAGTTTGGCAGGGATGAAATCGAGTGAGTAGGTGCGAGAGCAATTACCATGTCACAATACTGAAGCTGAACCCGAGCATATCCAGAAGGCCATACGACCGCCTGAGTTCTACCGATCGGTTATAATCAGCATCGCTGGCGTACATGTATTGACCGGATTATTTTACCTACCCTGTTGGTATCCCAGCTCCTCCAAGGTCACATCCTCCTGGATCCCCTGTCCCAAGACATGTTTGCTCTTTTCCTCAGAAGGTTTGCTCTCCATGATCTAATGGTGTTTTCACAGACCACGAAGAAGTGGTGGTGGATGGGAAAGAGAGAAACGGCCTCCCGCTTTGGCCGTCGACGTGCATCTCCCTTTATTTCTACAGCTATCACCGTTATCAATTATTGCCATCATGGACGATCCTAACCCGGAATGGCTTATCAGTATTTCAGTTTTCAGGCAGTGGTACAGGGTTCGTCTTATCAGAGATAAAGCTAGCGGCAGAACCGCTAATAGTTTGCTTTTAATTTGCTGCGTCATGCAGTAAGATTTGAGTCATCGGCAGACCCGATGTAGGAATGCCCGACAGCGGCATCGCTCCAGCGAACTATGTAGTTAAAGGATCGCATCTCCGATAGACACTACGTCGCAGCAGTGACTCATTGTGTATGCTAGCCATATATCCAAAATGGCAGTTGTATCAACAACACTCTCGTTCCTTCAACTTGGAATGCAAGGAGCCTCTGTTCTCTTGCCAGCCCTGATTGTGCTGCGTTGCATCTATCGTCTATTCTGGCACCCCTTGTCTGGCATACCCGGGCCCAAGATTGCAGCGTGCACATCGCTCTGGCTGGCCTACCATACCTTTGTTGGAGATGAGAGCAGCGTCATTTTTGAGTTGCACAGGAAATATGGTCGGACGCTACGTGTGGCACCCAAGGATGTGGATATCGACGATGGAGATGCCGTAGAACCCATCTACGCCGCCCAAGGTGGCTTTCCCAAGACCCCGCAATATTCGAAATTTGATATCGATGGCCACAACACTATCTTTTCCGCCTTGACTTTGCCGGAGCGTGCTCGACGTGCAAAGGCAGTGTCGCCACTGTTCTCAACGGCATCTATCCGCAATGCCAATGCTACGCTGGACAAAGTTATAGATGATTTCGTGCAGCGACTGCGTACCGACGGCCAGACTGGCGAGCCCGTGAATTTGCTTAATGCTGCTCGCAGCATGGCCATTGATGCTATCAGCGCGTATCTCTTCCAGCAGCGATACGGAGGCGTTGAGGAGAAAACAGAAATCATGTCCGCATCGCCTTTTGTAGACGCCTTTGTTGGTGTTGGTGCATTTTTCAACCTCTTCCCTGGTCCTGTTGGAGATTTAGTCCAGAAACTGGCAGATTATTGGTGTGCAGACGCCAAATCAAACACTGCCTTTGCACTTATAGACAGTTTCACCAAGCAGCTCATAGCCTCTTCCGTTCCCAAAAGCGGGAGCTATCAGAGTCGGTTGCTGGAACAGGTTTCACCGCAGCAGTCACAAATCGAACTGAAGGATGCGTGTTTTGCAGGGACCGACTCGACAGGTACGAACACGGCAACGATTATATGGTATTTGACAAAATATCCCGACATGTTCGTAGTCGCTTTCTTATAATACAGATTATTGTAACTCCTCGGCTGACTGAACTAAAGGTACTCTCGACTCTGCGAGGAAGTTCATCAAAGAACTGCGCAAAAGGAAGACCCAAGCACAGGCCCGTATTTACGTGGAGTAGTACGCGAAGGCCTTCGGCTTTCGTGGGCAAATCCAACTCGACTACCTCGCGAGGTTCCCAAGGGCGGTTGGCAATTCAAAGGCCGCTTTTATCCTGAAGGAACCAGCGTCGGTGTCAGCACCACGCAGTTACACCTGGACGAGGCTGTATTCCCAGAACCCCAAAGCTTTCTACCGGAGAGGTGGGAGAACGCCACAGTTGCAATGCTGACCAATTTCTTCGCATTTGGCAAAGGCACCAGGACATGCATAGCTAAAAATTTGGCTATGGCCGAACTTACGCTGGCTACGTTGAAGGTAGCTCAAAGTGATATCCTCCGGGGTGCGGAGGTGGTTACTCAGCGTATTGAGTTGAAGGAATGGTTTAACTCGAGGATCAAGGATGAGGAAATTATTATTAGATTGGCGAAATGATAGTTATTTGGGCTCCATTGGATACGTGCCCTTTGTTGTCTCAGCTTTCAGGTCGAGTGGAGATGGATGATAGCGTCTACCTTGCATATTATATGCCCTAACCTGCTACCTCCATCAATCACCACCACAACTCATCCTTTGATTTTGAACAGTTTTACATTGTTTAGTTTTGCCATTGTATTCAGTAGACAAATAAAATGTTCACGGTGTAGATGAAATAAATGTACATAGTGGAGGTGTTTAGGCGTGCTGTATGTTCTATAGAAGAGTCAACGCAGGGCGTCGGAGGTGCCGACATCCACTGGAGTACAGCACAATGATGACATGGTCTAGATATGATCAAGATCCTTTTCACCTAGATTTTATCCAATCTTCAAATATTCCGACTATAATTTTCTATACTTAAGCTACAAAGCGAACAAATAAAAGATTCTAGCCACGCCTCACTGCTCGCTTTTGCGAATTAAGATGCCGATGGGCTTATAATTGGGCCAAGAGATGATATCGTATCCTTCGCTTACCTTTTGTTCCCCAGGGGTATACGCATAATAATGCCTCCAACCTTTGTTACTCAATAGTAAATGCAATTTCTCAACATTCGCTTTGTTTTCGTCAAAAAAGGGAGAGCAAGGATAAACATATTTTCTGAATAGCCGGTTCCCTTGGCATGAACAGGATGGAACTCGAGCTCTTTGGCGTGCTGAACCTGCTAGTTGGGAACCATAATATAGTCCCATTTCGCTGGGCCACTTTCCCACGTCAGACTATGTTTGTCAACAAGGTGACTCTTCACCCGGACATTTATCGCGTGCGTGTAAACTTTCTTCACTTGCAGCATCAAGCCAACGGTAACCTGAAGGATGACCTCCTTGCCAGTTTCCCAGTTGATCTCGCGCTCTTCGACAACCTCAAATCTGAAGTACATATCAATTGATGTAAGGAAGAAGAAATATTGTCAACTGCCTACCCCGAGGTTCTGGCTGATTATGTACTAGTAGGTTGGTACTGTGTACGAATGTAGGCGCTAATGATTTGGACACAACACGTAATTACATTGGTAGGGCATTTGATTGGTATCATCCACACTAGTTATTTATAGTAGTATTTCTTGGTTGATCAATTGATCAATGTGGAGATGGTTACATATTATTGATATAATGCTAGGATTCATTCGTGAACGGTCAACTAGTGTGGATCGATCCAACTGTAGTAAATGTAGTATATAATGTCCAGATCCATATTGAATGGAAGCTAGAAATTACACGTAGTTGACGTAAGGAATAAGCATTTTTTGAAATCACTATAATGCACAGCATTGTATACATGTCTCATAATCCGTCCATTTACAAAACAGACCAGCCGATAAAGCCATTGAAATTCGCTCCCATCAAAATAGATATAATATAATATGTTCACATCCCAAACGATATCCATAGTAGAAAAAAGCCGTAACAAGAGGGGTATGAGTAGGTCATGAAGCAGTTACAACATTAAAAAAAAGTCAATCATCAGCGCTCATGCACGTAACCACCCCCACATTTTCGATTTGTCGACTGCGCCTGCAGATGGTTCGACTGCCATGCTGCGAGCGTAGAGATCCTAAGATAATGTTAATTTGGTTTGAAATGGGTATGATTGAAGTAGACTGACCTCCTCGTCACGCATCTTGGCATCCAGCACTAACCGCTGCACTTCCTCGTTTCGCTGAATGTAAGAGTAGGATGTGCGCTGGCTGCTCTGGATCCCAAGAATAACGTCTCCCATAATCTCGAATTTCTTCCAGTTGATTCGGTCCTTGTTGGACCCAACAAAAGTTTTGTTGCCCTCTTCGGCAGATACAAGGTCGCGTCTGTGGAGCGGCAGGAAAGGAATTCGTTCGCCAAAAGAGTTCTCCCAGGCTAGTCGATAGGCGAAATGGCTTTTTTGTGTACCCATCAAGATGACGAGCCGCATGAACTCTTTTTGGACTGAAAGCGGTATTAGGTCTCGTGTCTGCGATAATCTTTGGACTGGGGTGCCGTTGATGCCCGCAATAACGGCGCCCAAAGAGTTGTAATTATTCTGCCGACGAAGTTTCTATTGATCAAATATATTAGCGATGGCTTAAAAATTATTTAGATAGGCGCTTACCAAGGCAATATTCATAAACTTTTCCATAGCCCTGGCTCGGTGTTTGGCCTTGTCACGCAGTAACACTATACTCGCCACAAAGAATGCAAGATGGTTGAATTCCTGGATCATGCGATTGACGTTTTGCAAACTCTTTGCCTTTTCCTTGTCCGGGCCAGATAAACTGACATGACGGACAAGATCCCGAGGCCGGAACGAGGTAAACATGATCCAGTCAATGCGTGTAAGCTCTCGAGCAAAATCATCATCCGGAATTTCCATAAATTGGCGCCATTGGAACTTGTTGAGAAGATAACGTGGTGTAAGTTCCAAGCTCATGGCCTCTCTCTGTGCCTTTTCAAGTGCTAGCAGAGCATAAGATGATTGTGTCATTGTTGAACCGGATTTTTCTGTACTGGATGTATTTGATAATGTCCCGGAATCCCTCGAAGAGCCAGTCGGAACGTCATCGGAGAGGTCTAAAGAGCTTATGTTGTGAATAACATTGTCGGAGAAAGAAGTGTTTAGTAAGGTGGTAGGGGAGCTGTGAGAAGGGGTGTGAGGAGTAGACTCCGTATTGTCAGTTTCACCATCGTTTCCATCACTGAACGGCCAGCCGACATCGTCATCCTCCACGTGGTTTTCCAAGTGTAAACTTATTTCTTTTGCAGCGAACATATAAACGTGATTTTTCTCGATAGCATCAACAAACTCAACCAATCTCCGTCGTGTTTTTGGATAAGCGAAATCCCCCGGATACTCGGCTGCCCATTGCGCAATGACTTGAAGCAGCCTTAATTGCTCAAAGGCTCTGGTGAGTTGCGGTAAATCGCATTGCTCTGTTTTGTCGAATCGAGTAATCAGGCAATTGAGTAGGGTAGAAGGGGCGGCGAATTTCCGATACAGACACAAGAATATCGAGATGAACTTGCTATCCTGCTTGGACATGGGCAAGGAAGCAAGCTGGTCGACCAGCTCATCAAAGGTGACTCCTGTATCGGTGCTGGAGCCACTATCGGACTGCTTCTCCTTGGGCTGGTCTGAGCTGGCGGGCCTGCTGCAGCTGTGCGCGTCGTCATTTTCGTCCTCCATATCTAGGAAGGAATTGAAGGCATCCGACCCGGCGCTATGTCGCCAGGTGGTTCGCAGCGCGGTTCTGCTGTGGGAGAAGCCTGGCCCGCCAGGAGAGGATGGTCTGTGTGAGTTTAACCGTGTTCCGGCAGGCGGTGCTTGTGGCAGGACTGGTTGCGAATTACTGCGGCCATATCTCGAGGTGGAAGCATTGAGCGCCACGATGGACCCCTATTTCTATCGTCGCGGGAGACTGGTCCCGTCGACTGACTTTCACGAGGTGGTTCGTATGGGTACAGGGAGGACACGGAGAGAATATGCCTAGATTTGGTACGGCAACGGTCAATGCTGCACTCGCAGACTGAAACTCGGTTCCTGTGGGCGACGAGGGAGTCCGTAGTACGTACCCGTTGGGGTTGTAGCTGATGCAATAACTCTGGATGCGGTGCTGATACTGCTCCTTCGCGGTTGTTGCAACGACGTCTGGAGATAGGAGGCGGGCTCCAATCACACGGTATGCTCGGTCACGATTTCCATGAAAAGACGGCTGGGAGACGACTTTTAAGGCCACCTCACGGCTTGGGAGCAGAAGGAAGGATGGGGCTAGTACCGAGGCAGCGGAGAAGGATGGGAGGATCGATGTTGTTACCAACTTATTGCGATGCTGGCCGTTGAAAACGTGGTGCAACAATTATTATCGCAAGGCTCCCAAACTTATTCGAATCAGACGGCTTAGGGGGGACGGGGTTGCTGCAGCCACTCACAGTGCGTGGTCGCTGCTCCCGGTGGGGTCGCCCAGGCACTGCACGCGCTGCTTGCGGTATTATTTCCCTGTTTCCACGCGCTTTACACACGGAGATCATACGTTGCGAGTTTGATCGGTCGTCTTGCTATGTGATTATTATTGTTGTTGCTATCGTACAATGCTATCTCCCTGACTTGTGAAGACGACTGAGCAACTTCTACCAACCGAAGACAATCCTCGGCGGTGGAACCCTCATGAAACACTGCTAGCTCGGTTCATGGTAGCACTGCACTCCTGATAGTCATCGTACTTGGCAGTGGTAAGTGTTACTGCTGATCTGCTAAGCAGTTATTGAAATTCTGGAAGCCGTCACTCGGCTGCCCCAGGCGTATTATTACGCGTCTATTGATAACTCGAGCAACATCACTGGTCTCCGCTGAGGAGGCTTAAGAACCTCGGTCGGGCTGGACATGTGGTTGTGCTATTCGTAGGCGGTCGCAAGTAGCAACGGTTGTGAAAGCGTGACTATATATAATGGAGCTGCGCGTAGAACTGGAGTTGCGGTGCGCATGTGATGGATGGTCTATCATACAACCAGAAAACATGGGCATTGGTATGTGGAAGGTCCAATCAATTTCAGTGTTCGACTCGACATGTAATTTTCATAATGAGAGAAACCAGCATGTCTGTGCGTAGGGCTTCTGGTGACTTGTGTTTGTTTCCTAAATTCCCTAGGAGGCATGATCTCGAGTCTTGAAAAGCCGAGTTTGAAACCTGGGTTTGAGGAAGTCGTTCCAAGCAGCATAATTACTTCAAACCAAATTCTTTTTGACCGAAGACTTTGCCCTGAGGGGTTGGGCAATAATATATTGCTTGCCCGGTGTATGCTTGTCAGTGATCAATCCATATCGCATAGACGACGTCGCCAATTGCTAACATTGTAACAGCAGTAAATCTCATCAAGCAGGACGTCACCATTAAGTGGGGTTTTCATGAGTGCCAGCAACCAACGCCATGAACTTCATAAACCCTTCAGCATCAGAGCCAACGCTCTCGCCGTCCTCACAGCTCTCACGCCATTTCCTGACCTTTCCAAGACCGCGATTGAAGCCCTTTTCCGCCGTCCAGACTCCCCTCTTATGTCCGCCACGATGTCTGCGATGGTGGTTGCCCATGGATACTTGGTTCTGCTCTTGATCCCATTCTTCCTCCAGGGTAATCTTGTAGATCTCCTGCAGCCGTCTCCGAAGGCCAGGGTATTGCTCGAAAAGCTTTTGAAGTTGTATCGACGACCCGAGGTCTTCGAGTTTCAGAGGCTCTCCTTCGTGAATGTCTTTCAAAGGATCAGCCGCAGCACCATTTGAAAGGTCTTTTGTATCTTTTGGAACAGTTTCTGTTGGTTTGGGTGCACAGTATATCTTGTGGGATTGAGTGCAGCCAAGGGAACAGCTTCGGTAAATTCGAGTTAGCAAGGGGAAATTCCACAACGATGTGATCGTACCTCATCAAAGCACATTTCGGACATTTGTATTTCGACGGTTCTTTGGAGCACACCTGGCACAGATTCAACATTTTGGTTTCGGTACCTGCAATTCGAGGTATTGCAGATTTGTTTTGAAAATTTGTACGCCTGCCAGTGCAATGTGGTCCGTGCACGGATATTAAATAAAAACGTCTAGGTATAATTAAACCCAGCAAAAGAGGAAAGACTCTGTAAAATCAAAATCAAAAAACAATCTAATGCTAATGTACGCTCGGAGAGCGCGACTGCCTGACATGAGTGTTTCGCGGTGGGCACGTGACCTTGACGTCAACGCTCTTATTTAGCGGCGCCGCCGGAATTTCTTGCGGGTTTGTCATCAGCAGCATTTCACTGTCTACACTACACTACACTACACATCGCCGTATCGCCTACGATATTAACGGTGCATCAGTAGTGTTCATGATGTCGACACAACAAGCATCACGGACACTGATCAAGCGCGCGCTCCAATCCTCGCAGCGCTCCATTCGGGAGCCCGAGGTCCTGCGATTTCCAACACGCAGATCCATCCATTATATTCGCACAGTCTCTGCTATCACCCCATCAGACAACCGTCGCAGGCCGACCCTTCGTCCAACATACCAGCCACTGGGTTTATCGAAAATCAACGAGCCCTCGACGGGCAACAAACGCACTATTTTCATTCAGACAGAGTCGACGCCGAACCCAGATGTAAGTCGCCTTTTTGACGTCGGTTGACCTTGCCACCGCGTCATTTGATGCAATCAAGTGCTTATAATTATCCAATAGGCGCTCAAATTCCTTCCTAACCATCCTGTCTTGCCGGAGAATTTCCCAACACCGTTCCTCGAGTATCTATCGCCGCGATCGACCCTCGCCCCGCCGCATCCGTCGCCATTGGCAGCTAAGTTGTTGAATGTCGACGGCATATCGTCTGTATTCTACGGGCCCGAATTTATCACAGTAACCAAGTCCAGCGATGCGAACTGGGCGCATATCAAACCAGAAATCTTCAGTTTAATCACCGAAGTGGTCACATCAGGGGAGAACATCGTGAATACGGTAGAGCGAGCCGCAGGCGAAAATGCCCAGGAAGGGGGTAGTGAGGATACACTGGGATATAATGAGGAGGATGACGAGGTCGTTGGCATGATCAAGGAGCTGCTAGAAACCCGCATCCGCCCTGCCATTCAAGAAGACGGAGGCGACATTGAATTCCGTGGCTTCGAGAACGGAGTGGTGTTGTTGAAGCTCCGCGGTGCCTGCCGTACATGCGACTCGAGCACCGTTACGCTGAAGAATGGAATTGAGTCCATGCTCATGCATTATGTGAGTGTATTCTATCATTACGCTTTAATAATCATCTAACCAGTGAGACAGATTGAGGAGGTTCAAGGCGTGCAGCAAGTCCTCGACCAAGAGGAGGAGGTCTCGATGCATGAGTTTTCCAAATTCGAAGAAAAGCTGCGACAGCAAAAAGGGCCTAGTGCTACGGCATCGTCTCCGCTGGACAGCGCTGGGGCGTGAGGGCATCGTAATGCTTTGCCAGCATTTGTTTCCATGTTTGATTATTGAATATAGATGGCTGAACCGTTATATAACCCAAACTTCAAAAGTCTTACACTTGATTGGACATGCATCCCCTCTGTGACGTATATTCCCTGCTCTGTTCTTAGATACCACTCCTCTCTCCCCCATCCCCCTGTGCTCTCGGACAATACTCTGCATAGGTGCATGCATCAAAGCTGGTGCGAGCGTGGCATGGTTAGGTCAGCCGATGATGATGGGCCGCACAAACAAAGGCTGGCGATGCTGGAAGCTTGTGCAGTTCCGTGGTTCAATGTTGTCGTTGCTTGCTTGCTTGTCGGGTGGCCCGTTGTGATTCGTAGACATGTGACGCTTAGCGATTATGGATTTATGATCCTCGGAACCGGCTCGACTGGCGCCCGAGGGATCATCTTGTATGGACACTACGGAGGATTGTCTGGCAGACTAGCTGCTGCAACTTTCCCCCACCTCAGTTGCAGAATGTGGGGTAGAAGGCCGCTAGGCTGTCCACACTCCCTGACGAGTATATATGCATATGCTCTTTATCATTAGGGATCTGACTATGAATATGGTTGAACCAATAGCTATGAGTAATAATTGGCCTATAGCGATGAGTACATATGTAAGACTTGGAAGACGTGCAGACTACGAGGTGATGCTAGACGGAGCCTTGTCGAGAAGCTATGTAGCAAGGATATCGGATATGACTTACTCTGCTTGCAACGTGCCCCGCCGGTCGACGGCGGGACGGTCAGAAATTAGAAGAGACTTCTTTCTTCTATTTTCAGCCATCTCTTGATTCCTATTCTTTGCAAAGCGACCACTCGCAAAAGGAGTGCAAGAGAGATTCACAGTTCCGCCAGTGCGCGGCCTGGGATCGACCAATCCTCCGCTAAGCTCCCAATCCAATCCAGCACCCATACAACAGACACAACACAACTACTCTGTACCATAGTACGTATACCGCATTCCCTGCACAATTAATCAATGCATCGACAGTTCTGGCCACGGCTCCCCACACTTTCAACGACAGCTGGAGAAACGCATTCCTCGTGATTGGCCCTACGCCATGCCCCAGAGTCTCCCAGAAGTGTCCACCGCGGCCAATCAGCACCTGCCCACCAGCTCGGCCCTCTGCCTATTGGCGCGCTGGCTCCATGTCCCGCGTTGGCTATGCTTCTCACGGGCTAGGGCAGTGCCACCGCCCCCTCCTGCTGGGTCCCCGCCAGCTCTTGCAGGCAAAGGCTAAGGAGACAACAGCTAACTGCTCCAGCCTCGCACTATTACCCTATTGCTCTTGCACTATTGCAGAATCCCGGGGGATCTTCCTGCCTGCTGTCATCGCTTGACCCTGTCTGCTCCTCCTCCTCCTCGCCGCCAAGCGTCATTTAATTCCCTCCTCTGATGCTGGCCGCTTCCACGCACGCGAGCCACATTCATCCATCCCCATCGCATCCCCCATCCCCGTCGCCATCCCCGTCCCTCTAGACCACAGCGATTCCCTGCCCACCGTGCACGGTTCCCCCATCCCCGTGCCGCTCTCCTCTCCTGCTCCTCACTGCTAGCGTCGCCGTACCAGGCTCTGTCTCCAGGTCTCCCAAACCCGCGCCGCCACTCCTCACGCACTCGTCGTTTCTACCCATTTCGCCTCCCCCTCCTCTCTGCGCTCTTCTTCTCTCCCTGCTCTATCTCCAACTCCATCAGACGCTGCGCTGCCGTTTCCTCGCCGTCGACGAATGTCTTGCGACCATCCGCCCGCAACCCTTGTCTTGTTTTTCCCAATCTCCATCTCGCCGCCTAGCTGGTTCGCACCTCGTGACATCACCTAGGGACAGCGCTCCAGCCTAGCATTATTCTACATGTGCGGCTTCTCCTGTTCTATTATTGCTAATTTTTTTTGCACCATCCACTGACGGGGATAGATTGCTGCTGGCCTGAAAAATGCGCTACTTGTGCGGTGCGCATTACCCGTTGGCGTCAGTTCGCAAGTAGCACACTCAATCCTCAAAAAAGCTTCCAGTCGCCGTTGGTCTCCAGACTTGGATCAACGCTTTCTCGCTTCAATTTCGATTTCGTTCCCGTGCAAGCCCTCATGTGCCCACGCAGTTTCCTATCTATTTCCCTCATCGCCAATTAAAGACAGGCATACATCAAGATAGAAGAAAGCGTGGCCAATACTCAGCCCTCGCGAAACGCCCGTCCATTTTTTTTTCGTCGTCGCAGGTCGTCGAATACACGGAGGTGATCCGTCTCTCCGCTTCAACTCCTGTACATTCTTTGAGTGTTATTGATTAAATTGTGGAATAGAGGTTGCCGCCATAAGTAGAGTGGTACGTCTAGGCCCGCAACGTGGAGAGCTACATTTATCTGACCTGCCGTGCTAGATACCGTGTTTTCTTAGCTTTTCTTTTCTCTGTTGTTTCGTGAAGAGTACTATAGATTTCGTGCGCGTGGCATTTTCTTTTATTTCAGGTAAGATTTGTCCTCGTTGCGCCGTGTCGCTTGTCATCAACTCAAGATTTCCAATACAAGAACTTGCTAACTGACTTACTTTGGAGTCAACGCTCACTGTGATCGCATTCTGTTCATCACTGCAGACACAGCATCTGTCACATACTCGATCACTATCCCCATTTCTTGCGATTGTCGCTATAAACTCGATCATTTAGATCGCAATGGCCACGACCGCGGGTAAACCGACCTTGGCGTCGAAGCCTGGAAACAGCTCCGCGCCCGGTAATAATGCATCTATTCGCCTCGAAAAAGGTAACCAAGGTGTGAGACGCTCGACACCAGACTCCGAAGCTCTTACCTCCTCCGACGATGAGTTCGACCATCATCATCTGCACCAGACGCCGACAGCTACTACTGCCCCTCTCCCGAAATCGGCTCGCCGCACATCGTGGCTGAATGAAGTGCCGCTAAGTCTGCCGCGGAGGACTTCTTTGACAACTTCTGGCAATCTTGCCTCACCCGGCTCGAACCCTCAAACCCCAACTGGGGACCAGCCTGGATGGGCAACTACTCCAAGCCCCGGCTTGAATGGTACAATGCCCTGGGGTCATGGCAGCCATGGAAGTCATGGAGGCAGTTTTCCTTGGGCAACAGGGATTTGGACCACTGAAGGTCGGAAAGAGCCTCCGACTCGACTTACGGAATTGAGCCAGTCGCCCACGATGCCAAATATTCCAAGTGCCACGGAAGAAATTCTCAGTCCTTCGGCACGGTCCATGGCTGGTGACTCGTCGATCCCTTTCACCATTCCTCTCCACCCAACTCCTAAAACATATCGATCGCAGTCTTATTCTGTAGGCCAACTCGACCCAGAAACTGTCAAGCTGATGTCAAACAAGGCACCAAGTCAGCACAACGCATCCCGTGGAAGGGCTGGCAATCAATATGCAGGAATCCAACACCGTCCGTCACGGCCTAGCTTGCTAGAGGACCTAGGTCATGATCCAGCTCTCCTTGGCCGAGTGCGTGAAGACGAGGATGATGAAGATGAAGAAGAAAACAACGTTGACTCAAACGGCGCCCAGGCATATGCTGCTAGTCAACAACGTGCCATTGACCAGTTGACCAGAGAGAATGCTATACTGCGGCAATCAACTCAGTTGGAAAACGCTCGTATGAGAGATCGCGCAGCTTCTTCTGCTTCTGCGAACAGCAATTTCTCGCTGTCCGGCGGTCTTCACAACTTGCACCGGATCCATGGTAGCGTCCCTGAAGAGTCTGACCTGGCAGTCGAAGATTTGGATGAATTGGGTGAAATTCCTCCTGGCTATGGCGGCATTCGGAACAGTGGGAGGCGAAGATTATCTGAGCATTCTGTCAACCTCGAGAAACAATTTACTCCCTTCGGTTCGGTTGAGAATAGACCGCTGGAGAATTTAAAACGCACTCACTGGCAGACATCTCTTGGATTCGGGAGCATTGGTGAATTACCACAGAGTCGACGCCATTCATTCGCGGAAATTCCGACGAGGCATGGTTCGATTGGGTCAATCGGTGAAGCTCAGATACATATGGGAGCTTTGAATTCTCGTGCAGGCCTTGTTGACAGAGACGATGGCTACGCTAGTGCTATTGAGGGCGCCCTACATACTGCTGCCGAAGCTTCGGTAATGCCAAGCTCATTGCATCAAGCATACGTGCCTTCAGCCTACGGTCGTCCTCAAGCAGGCTTAGCCCCAACCCATCAGAACCAGCGTCTATACATTGTTACATTCAAGTGCCATCGTGCGGATGTTTTCTACATCCAGGAAGATACCGGACTTCAAGTGAATCCCGGTAACCTTGTGATTGTTGAAGCAGATCGCGGGACAGATCTTGGTACTATCCAGCATGCCAATGTTACTTGGCAGGAAGCTAGAGAACTCAAAGAGAAGTATGCCGAGGAGCACTATAAGTGTTTGATGATGTTCTCTCGCCAAGCGCAAAATGGGGCATCTAATGTTGTAAACCCCGGCATGGGTCATCGCAGTGCCGTTGGTGGCATGAATCCAACTGGGGCTCACGGGGCTCATGAACCTCAGTCTACCGAGATCAAGCCAAAGTTGATTAAACGACTCGCCCAGAACCATGAAATTCTTACTTTGCGAGACAAAGAGGGCAACGAAGCCAAAGCTAAGCGTGTCTGTCAGCAAAAAGTCGCAGAGCATAGACTCAATATGGAAATTCTTGACGCAGAGTTCCAGATGTAAGTTTGTCGAATCCATATTAGACCTTCCTTCTATACAGAGGAGATCGATCAACGATTCGATTATGATGACTAACTGGCTTCTAGGGACTGGAAGAAATTGACTTTCTATTATTTCGCAGACTCCTACATTAACTTTAATTCTTTAGTCACGGATCTATTCAAAATATACAAAACCCGGATTTGGATGTCTGCCATCAACCCAGCCTCGTTTGTCACTCCTACCGGCGGACTACAGCCACCAGGGCCAAATGCTCTTAGCTATAACCAGGATCCGGTGGCCGACCGTCGCCATGCTCAGGACAGCCGCGTTCTCAATGTTTCACAGATGCCACAATCCACTGCGAACCTCCGTGACCCTGTCGAACGAGCAGACCTAGGCGGTCATTCAGGCATGGTTCGTAACGCTTATATCGATCCATATCAAGGATTTGGTTCTGCAATTCGACACCATGAACCAGGCTTCGGGCAAAACCTGGCATCCAACGATCCGTTCGCATCTTATCCATCAAGTGCATACTCCCTGTTAGAGTCCTCTAGCCCTGACTATGTTGGACCAACATCCCACGGCCAGCAGATAGATCCTGCCCAAGGCGACTGGGTTGGAAATTTCCAAGGATTATCGCTGGGGTCATGACAAGCTACGACTAGGGCCTAATACCTCGAATCATGTGCGCTTCATAATTCATGTTAGATTTTCGATTTTTACTCTCTTGGTAGATCGACGGGAAGATCTACGACCTGTCACTTCAGATACCATATAGACTCCTGTGACTCGCGTATTTAATCGTCAGATCATATTATTCAGTTCGCGTTTTTTTTTTTTTTTTTTTTCCCATGTTGTGCTTTGTTTCGTCGAAGAATATAGTGCGGGCGGAACCCCCATCTCCCTCAAAAATTTTACGCTCATTCGTTGTGCCTAATCCCATCCGATTTCTGTCTTTTCCAAATTTCGATGCACTTTTCCATGCGTTTCAGCTGCAAATTCAATAGATTGTGAAAACTATGACAGTCATGAAAAAGGCACTAGCGCCACTTTGTTCAAGGACAATGCGATACATGGGATGATATCTTGATAAATGGTTGAACTTTCAAATGTTGTTTATATCATGTTTAAAATGGGGATTTTTTTTTTCAAGGAGTCCGGACAGTCAAAAGAAGAGAAGATGATGGAACATTTACGACAAAAAAAAGAACAAGATTAAAAAGAGAAGATCTGATTTTGGCCGTGTTTTCCCTCCTTTTCCCTCTTTTTTCTTTTTTCTTTTCTCTTTCCACTCCTTGATTGATTGATAGGATGGGCAGCTTTTTATATAGTGTGTAGCCACATATTTTAAAATTGGCAGCTGTTTGTTATCATTGAATTCGTTCGTTTCACATCTTCTGTGTCATAGTTAAGCTATCTATCAAAAATTGTATCACGTGATCCACGGAGTGGAATCCCGTGATTGGCCTGAAATGGCGCCTCGCCTAAAAATTAGCGTCCCACACACAATCGGCTTTAGCGACAACGCCTTCAAACTTCTTTTGTTCCCAGCTGCGACAAAAAGACGACAAACGACGAGGAAGCCAAGCCGACAAGGTACGTTATTTCGCGATATTCCTTTTATGTTTCGTTCGACAGAAGTCTACGTCAATTGATTTACACCAAGTTCTCGCCGCTGACCCCTGGTTGAATAGATGGGTGCCCTCAAATACGTGGAAGAGCTTCAAAAGAAGAAGCAATCTGACGTGCTTCGCTTCCTGTTGCGCGTCCGGTGCTGGGAGGTGAGATCCCTCGAATCCTGATTGTTTTGTCTTATTTGCTTTATATCGAAAACCTACCGCGAGACGAGAAAGAAAAGAAAAACCATTTTGCCTGTCTCACGACGATATGCCCGTTGATTATGGATATGGATGTTTATAAGATATTGGGCGGCATAATTCTATCTTCTACACTCCGGTCTGGTGGACGTGGCACACAATTGGCAGCACTTTGATTTTCGGTCAAAGCGCATGCTGTGTCTTGCTATACACTCGTTGAACTTTGCTGAGAGTGCATCAATATAGCTCCGTCAACTCAATGTGATCCACCGTGCTTCCCGCCCCTCGCGCCCTGACAAGGCTCGCCGTCTCGGTTACAAGGCCAAGCAGGGATACGTTATCTACCGTGTCCGTGTTCGCCGTGGAGGACGCAAGCGCCCTGCTCCTAAGGGTGCCACCTACGGTATGCCTCGACCGATGACATGAATTGACATAGTGTGAGCGAAGTTGGCTGATTTAAGTTTAACAGGCAAGCCCACAAACCAGGGTATCAATCAACTCAAGTACCAGCGCTCTCTCCGCTCCACCGCTGAGGAGCGTGTTGGCCGCCGCGCCGCCAACTTGCGTGTGTTGAACTCGTACTGGATCAACCAGGACTCTACCTACAAGTACTTCGAAGTCATCTTGGTCGACCCCCAGCACAAGGCTATCCGCCGTGATCCTCGCATCAACTGGATCGTCAACCCGGTCCACAAGGTACGACAACTCCAAAAAAGCTGCATGAGCAATGAACAGTGTACTAACAAATACTTTCTTAGCACCGTGAATCCCGTGGTCTCACTGGAATCGGAAAGCAGTCCCGTGGTATCAAGAAGGGCCACGGCTACACCAAGACCAACGCCGGCCGGAGAAAGACCTGGAAGCGCCACAACACCCAGAGCTACTGGCGATACCGTTAAACGTGGATGGGAGGGTTTTGTGTGTTCTTACGAAAATCATGGCACTATTCTTGGTTTCCTGGGGATCTGCTACGCTCAGACAAAATTATTTCTTATGATGATCATTCCATTGAGGGTTTACAGCGTGTTCTTAATGAAAGGTTGTCAGATCTGACATTGGCCGCGAAGAATAAAACTGGACATTCTAGCCTGCAATTCTTAAATATGTGCTGTGCGTAGTGTATGGTGTAGAGTAAATTATGTCGAAAATGATGACTCTTTCCCTACGAGTCCTAAACATCACCGAGGTGAGATTGGGCTTGTTTGAGGTAGCTCATATTCACTTTTGCCCGCTCGTTGGGAGTTTACTACTGTTACTAGTTCTGATTATTACCTCGCTAGCCTTGACTAGTTCATTATGCAATTAATTAATTACTCTTGGCCAGTTCACGTAATATCATGCTGCCATAAGACGATGGACGTACTGCGGGCATACGGATGCTCGGCCAGCTAATTGAAATTTGACGTGGAGAGAAAGCGTTTGCCTAGTTGGCGCGATCGACGGTCTCTACTCCTCTCTAGGAAGCTAGTAGTGTCCCCTCCTAATTCTCGAGTCACTCCCGAACTGATCACTGGTAGTTTGCTTCAATGTAAGACATCTATTTACAGGGAGCCCCGCTAGCTACTTCTTTCTTTCTTATTCTTTCCTGCACATCCTGGACAAATCATCGTCACTGTTTTCCTTACTAAAGCGGGCAGGCCCCTTATTAACGAACTACCTACTAGATCGTCCGACAATCTTAAACCCCTTCACACATGCTTCCACTTTCTCGCGTCCCTCGTTGAACACTGCTAGTAACCTTGACAAACTAGCACCATCGTCGCATTTGATACAATCATCCAGAAACGGGCTTGCTTTTGAGTCGAAGCGTTGCATCTCTCCGCTCTCCATTCATCGGTCTGTTCTGCATGCGGCATGACCCATTCCGCATCACAATTCCCCGGCGACACACGACAACCTTTCTGAACTCTTGCGTCGGATAAGCTGGTGCAAAAGAAAAAGAAAATCGAATCAAAAATATCGATATTCTTTTCACCGTCATCAATATTTCTCTTCGCCCAGCGTTCAATGTGTCCACATGCCAACGTGGTCGTCCCGTATTTTGAGCCCGTCGTCGCCGACTTCGAACCCTAGTCACGCGCGTGCTTCTCATCGCACCATTGATACCGATCGAAGCGCCGCCTTTGCTATTGATTACAATGTTCCCGTCCTTTCTACACCGCCAGGTCCGAATCGGTCCCATAGACGTTCCCTCAGCCAGCCGTTTCCCTCGCTGATACCCATGAATGCTAGGAAGGGCGAAAGAAAAGTAACAAAGGACGACTTTCTGGATTCGGACGATGACGATGACGATGGTGATGCAATATCATATGTACCTGAACCGAAATCACATAGTCCGAGGAAGGGGTGGACCCCAGCTGAGGATGTGGTCAGTGGCAAGTGTATGACATGCAGTTCGGCGGTTCGATGGCCTAAAGACCGTAAAGTCTTTAGGTGTACTATTTGCTTGACGGTCAATGATTTGGAGCCTTGTTTGACTACCAATGATCATAAAATAGATGATGGCAGACCACCCACGCCTCCTCCCAAAGATGGATCTTTCGAACCAAAACTACCAGGTATGTTGATATTTACCCGGCGTTGTCTATAGGATGTGTTCTCATATTACTTTAGCTACTCCATTATCTGTCGAAAAAACGAAGGAAATAATCGACAATTGCCTGCTGGAGTTTCTACAGCGTCGTTTGGCTGGAGATCAAGGGCAGCAGTTTTCCCTTGTGGAACCATCGTTTCGCCAGATCAACCACCCTCAACAAGGCAACCCCGGACCTCTGAAACAAGGAAAGACAGCTTCCCACAACCACGACGAGAGAAAACATAATGCGGGTCTCTTAGGACCTTTAAATACCATGACGCACGGAAACGAGCGAGTTGTGAGGCTTCGGTCTAGTTCCGATACCCCGCCTATACGACGAAATGGCCGCTCGCCGCAAGGTCAAGATCGCTCGCCTCGTGGTGGCACAAACACAAGAAATTTAGAACAAAGGTCTAGGTCTGAAACTCGGCCATTGATCTTCCGGCAGCTAGAGGACTACATAATCAAGTCGTTCACAGGCTGCGACTGTCTTAATAACTCATTTCTGACACCAGGTCCGACGCGGAGAACCGTGAGCGAAGGCATTTATACAAGGAGCCATGCGGATATGTCAATTCTCACTGCTTCGCATGATGCCCCGGAGTTTGAGCTCGATCCCAAAATGTTACTTTTGGGTGATATTGCCGAGAATTCTTCGTGGTGGGTTGGTGGCAGACCCCGTCGTCATGAGATACAAGATGCTACAGTGCCAGGCAGACCTGGTCCTCGCACATCAAGGTCCCGTGTAAACTCAAAGTCTCCACGAATTGACTGGGATGGCGTCGTTGAATGGTATCAACTGATTTTAAACGCAGGCGAATCATGGAGAGATTTCTGGTCTACATTGACCAAGAATGAGCTGATTCTCAAGGAACTGAAGCCGGAACTTGCCAAGATGATTGATAGAGAGATCGCGGAGGCGCGTGTTCACGCTCAAAGGACATTGCTGAAAGCGACTGAAAATCTTCTGAAACGCCCTCGTCGTCCATTACCTCGTCCTGAATCGGCTAGATTTCTGCTGATATTACTGGAAAACCCATTCCTGGCATCTAAAAGCACACCAACGACGCGAAACCTCAGCCCAAGTGGCGCGAATAATGATCTCGTGTCGATTCGTAATTTTAGCAGACCGCGCGAGACTGGGGATCGACGAGAGACATCTGGTTCAGCCCCATCAAAGCCCAGGGGCCTTTCTGATCATTCTGGCATTGTAAAAAGGATTTTGGGTCTTGTCTCCAACCTTCCGGATGATTGTCATCGTTACTTTGTCGGCTGGTTCGCTCGTTATTCTCATGGTCAATATGAAAGATTTGTTAGTCTTGTTGGCCGGTTTCTTACCTATCGATTAACTCGACAGCGTGGCCGCCAACGCAGCGGATATGTGCAGCCAACCAATGGGCTTGTCCCCAACCTTCCAGGAGATATCGAAACTTCCCATGCCCAGCTTCATGCAGTGCTCAGTGGGTTATCTTCAGACCAAGGAAGCGAGGGAAATAAGAAACTCAAAGTTTACACGGAAGATTGGCAGATACGGGCAGCTGCTAGGGTGATGGCATTGCTGTTTGCAGCAAACAATGCCAATGTCTCTCGAAGGCGTGATGCCAGCAATCAAAATACCCCGGTGACATATTTTTCGCAGGATAGAGAAAAATCAGTATTGCCTTTGAACTTTTTTTATAACACTCTCCTAGACTATTCAGATCTGGTATCCGATTTCGAGTCATGGGAGTCACGGACTGCAAAGTTTTCGTTCTGTCAATATCCATTTTTGTTGAGCATTTCTGCGAAAAGCCGTATTCTAGAGCATGATGCTCGTCGCCAAATGACGATCAAGGCACGAGAGGCGTTCTTGGACAGTATCCTCCGACACAAGGATGTCAGTCAATATTTGAACCTCAAAGTTCGTCGAGATTGTTTGGTTGAAGATAGTCTCAGAGGTGTCAGCGAAGTAGTTGGTGCTGGACAAGAGGAGATCAAAAAGAGCTTGCGTATCGAGTTTGTTGGCGAAGAAGGAGTCGATGCAGGCGGTCTTCGCAAGGAGTGGTTTCTACTGCTTGTTAGAGAGGTTTTTGACCCTAATCATGGTTCGTGTTCCTAAACATGGAAAATTATAACTTCATCGCGATGCTTACTGTTATTCAGGTCTATTTGTTTACGACGAAGACTCGCAATTTTGCTACTTCAACCCTTTTTGCTTTGAATCTTCGGAACAATTTTTCCTGGTTGGAGTCCTTCTTGGACTCGCAATCTACAATTCGACCATTCTAGACATTGCGTTACCACCGTTTGCCTTTAAGAAGCTCCTCGCGGCTGCATCACCTGCAAACATGCCAGCAACAACACCAAAACAACCCCATACTTGCACCTTGGATGACCTCGCTGAATACCGGCCAACGCTAGCAAAGGGACTCCGGGCACTCTTAGAATATGACGGCAACGTACAGGAGACGTTTTGCTATGACTTTGTTGCACGCGTAGATCGCTATGGTCAACATGTCGAGGTTCCTCTTTGCTCCGGGGGCGAGAAACGGCCGGTGACGAACTCGAATCGACAGCAATTCGTCAACCTGTACGTCCATTACCTCCTCGACACTTCCGTTCAAAAACAATTCGAACCGTTCAAGCGAGGATTCTACACCGTCTGTGGCGGAAACGCATTCTCCCTCTTCCGACCCGAAGAAATCGAGCTCATGGTCCGAGGCTCCGATGAGCCTCTTGACGTCCCCACACTCCGTGCCGTAGCCACGTATGAGAACTGGCCGACCAAGGACGCCGCCGCAGAATCAGATCCCGTCGTGACTTGGTTCTGGGAGTTCTTCGCCCGTTCCAAGCCATCCGATCAGAGAAAACTTTTGTCGTTCGTCACCGGCAGCGACCGCATTCCTGCCACTGGTGCTGCCAGTCTGAGTATCAGATTGGCTTGTCTTGGGGAAGACTGTCCTCGCTATCCAATTGCACATACGTGTTTCAATAAATTGGGCCTGTTCCGGTACGCCACTAGAAAGAAGTTTGAGCAGAAGTTGTGGGGTGCGATATTCAATAGTGAGGGTTTTGGACTGCGGTAGTAATGCACGTCTATCCACTTTTCCCACTTCGCCGCCTTCGAGGAGAGCGAGGAAGGCTCGCGTCATCAGATACGTGCCTTTAACATTGATCTCCCACATAAACCACCAGGACGACGGGTCTGTCCCAGCAAGGGGAAACTATTCCCCTGGCATTATTCACCAAGATATCGAGACGACCGAAGTTTTCCCCTGTTTCGGACAACGCTCTGGTGACGCTTTTCTCATCGGAAATGTGGACGCTGAGCTTGAGGACCTGAAGTGCTGGATGGCCAGCTTGAACTGCTTCTTGCATAATCTCCTTCTCCACGCCGTCTTGAGAAGATCGGGATCCGATAGCAATGGCCACCGCGCCAACTTCAGCAGATGATATAGCAGTGACTCAGCCGATACCCCTAGACGCTCCGGTAATCAGAATTGTACAACCACTTTGATTGCACTTGGCTGCGGTGGTAGGTGGGTATTTGTCATGGTGTATGATACTAGTATAGACAGCCCCTGTACAGTATTTTACGAATAAGTACCGAATACAAGAAACACAATATTCTGCTGCATTTTGAAAGAAACATATAAGAACGCAACCTCCATGGTTTATATGAGTCAGTTATCATCAGTTAGTTACAATTTGTTCAACTTGAGTCTTGAAGGATATATGTATATCTAATCCTTTAATATACCATAGATCAAGACCACCATAATTGACTATCTCGGTAACCCCGTCCTCAACCATCCCACAGAAGATGATACAATTCAACTGCACTGTCAAGGATTAAGAGGTCTATGGTTCCATTCATTGGACGATCTAACCGATTCGTTTTCGACCCGGTTAATCTGCAATAATCGCCAGACAAAGAAAAAAAGCACTGATAAAGCAACTGGCCGGACATAAGCATGGACTTAAATATGACAGCGCCATATGTGCATCCGATTGCGTAAGGGGTTACACAAACCAAGTGATGCGGACTAATTTCTGGGTTAAGTGGTTAGTTAGAGGTTATCAACTCAGGACCTGCCATGACAGGTGATCAAGTGAACTTTGATAATACCAGTGTCTTTGCCACAGCTCGAATAGTAACGCTTTTGCTGCGTTTTTGGGAGAAAAAGTAAATAATAAAAATATCGAAAGGGAGGTTGAATATGAATATTTCGAATACCGTGTTCTGCCACGATGCCTCCTTTGGGCCGACAGTCTACAGTAAAGACTGTCACCGGGTTGATTTTTCTTTACTCTTTGAAGATGCCATATTTGCAATTCTTCCTACGACTTTCTTTCTCCTTGTTAGTCCCATCCGATTCATTCAGCTTTATCGGAGAGCCCCCAAAGCGCGGTGCAGTTCGACTACTAGACACCTCACTAAATCGGTATGCGAAATAAGCCGTCCTCTAGCCAGTTGTCAAATGCATCGGCTGAAAGAAATCAATTTTTGTCGTAGATAGTAATTCTCGTGTACTGCGCATTGAAATTGGCATTTCTCGTTCTGCGGATCCGCAGTCACACCACCACGCCTCGCTCCGTCCTCACCGTCGCCGCAGCGTCTTTGGATTTTGCTTCCGCTGTTGCGGTCGGCTTATTATCTTATTGTGAACAGGTGAAAAGTGCCCGACCGGCTCCTTTAATCACGACTTTCCTGTCTTTGACCTCGTTGTTAGACGGCGCCAGAACTCGGACGGAATGGCTGATAAGCGGGTCGTCATCGACAATCCCTTCAATATTCTCCGCCTCTCTTGCCACAAAAGTATTGCTTCTTTTGCTCGAGTCGCTTTCAAAAGGTCATGATTTGCTGCAACCGCTGAACAGGAATTATACGACAGAAGAAACGGCGGGGATATTCAGCCTCAGTTGTTTTGCATGGATCATTCCGCTGGTCATCAAAGGATATCGACATCATTTGTCAATCGATGACTTATATCCTGTCAATCATGACATAGCCGCTGCAACGGTGGCCGCGCAGCTGAAAAATGCATGGCAGTCCAGTGAGTCTTTTAATTTGTGAGGGGGCGCTGCCACTGAGGGAGCGCAACTCGTTGACGGTCAACACAGGCAAGAAGAATAAATCCTATTCCCTTTTCTTGGCCACTGCACGAGCACTATGGGTTCCATTATGTCTTCCAATGATCCCTCAGTTTTTTTTGGTGGCTTTCAATCTCATGCAGCCTCTTTTGATTAACAATGCTGTCGACTTTGTCGAGAATCCGAGGGATAAACCAGCTGTTTTTGGATACGGTCTTATTGGCGCTATGGGATTGACATATCTAGGTATTGCTGTATGGAAAGATATTCCCTCCTCCTTCAGAAATATGTTTCTCCTTTTTTTAACACATTTTCTCACTAACTTGCATAGATAGCAACTGCATGGTATCAGTATCTCACTGCAAAAACCCTTGCAAAGATCCGCGCAGCACTCATCGGCCTAACCTACCAGTCTATGCTAGAAATGAATCAAAGCGTTGACAGCATGATATCATCTTCTGTCGTAAGTTTGATCAACGTCGACGTCGATAGAATCATCAACGCTCTTCAGTGGGTTATTGGTATTGCACCCGATGCGATTCAAGTCGGACTCGCCGTGTGGCTTTTGCAAATTCATCTAGGCGCAATCTGTGTGGCCCCAGTCTTGGTTGTTTTGGGTCAGTCAGACAGTTCTTGAATATTCTTTATGGGAGAGAAAAAAAAGGGTTTTGAGCAATACTAAAATTTTTGGCCGTCCCATAATAGCATCCGCTCTTGCATCTGGTCAAATTGGCAAACTCGTCCGGCCCAGGCAACGATTGTGGATGCAGGCAATCGAGACCAGAACGGGGGCGACATCGGAAGTGCTGGGTTCAATGAAGGGAGTCAAAATGCTTGGACTGAGCTCTAAAATTGGGAATAATATTCAAGAGTTGAGAGAAGAGGAGCTTCGAATTTCTAAACGGTTTAGACAGGTTCAAATCAGCAATATCATCGTGGGTACGTTGATGATGTCATCCACTTCTCCAGACCTTTAATCATAATAACGAGACTTTATTTCTCCTTTTTTTTGGTAGGAAATTCACCTCGCCTGTTATCACCAATCATTACGTTCATCGCGTTCGGTATTGTCGTTAAAACGTCTGGAAACAAGACTCCAGACACTGCCACCATATTCTCGGCCTTGTCGCTTTTGTCCATTCTCATTGACCCGGTCAATGAACTAGTCGCTATTGGCCCGAACCTTGCCATGGCTTTGGATTGCTTTAATCGTATACAGGAATATGTCACGCAAGAAAAGCGCGTCGATTATCGAGATTTCTCGTGTTATCGTGACGACAATAACAGCACTGACGCTAACCCAGCCCCAAAAAGAAAGAACGAAATAGGAGCAAAAGGAGCTGCCGCTCTGTCGACCCTAGAGGAGGAGCCCACCGCCGGAACGGAAATACAACTGATCAACGTCGATGTTGGCTGGGCTAGAAAGACACTAACTCTGCAAAACCTTTCACTTACCATAGATCCATTATCCCTGAATATCGTAATTGGAGACGTCGGCAGCGGGAAATCGACTTTTCTCAAACTATTGCTCGGAGAGGTGATGATACTCAAAGGATCAGTGAGGTTGGGAACCGATGAGATTGCCTATTGTGATCAGACGGCATTTGTGAGAAACCAAAGCATCCGCGAAAACATCGTCGGACCGCTCAACTACGATTCAGAATGGTATAGCACCTGCATCAAGGCATGTGCTCTCGATGTGGATATCCAGACCATGCCACAAATGGATAGCACTGTCGTTGGAAGCAAAGGCATCGCCTTGAGTGGAGGACAGAAACAACGTATTGTATGTTTTGACTCTCCTTTTTTCACTCGATGTTATCTAATTGATATAAACGTTTGTAAAAGACTTTGGCACGGGCGGCCTATGCTCGGAAGAAAATAATCCTGCTCGACGACGTACTTGCGGGCTTGGATGCTATAACTGAGCGTCATTGTTTCCATAATTTGCTTGGCGAAAATGGCATTTTTAGACGCCACACGGCTACGGTTATATATGTAACACACTCTGGTTAGTCTCTAATATGGAGAAGGAATGTTCGAACCTTCTTTGCTGACTGTGGAGGACTTTCAGTAAAATGGCTTCCATACGCCGATAAGATTATTGCACTTGGACCGAAAGGCAACTTGCAACAGATGGGAACATATCAAGAGCTGGTTTCCAAAGCTGGCTATGTCCAGGATCTCAAGTTGAAGACCAGTGACCATGTTCCAGAGTCGGAAATTAGTTTGACAAAGGACCAAATTGATCAGCATGAATTCAGACAAGAACAAACCGACAAGGCTGTAGGACTAGTGAATGAAACCGAAGATCAAGATCAAAACAACAGTATCCGCAGCAATCCGTCTTCTATTCTATTTTATATTGGCTCCATGGGATGGATAAGATTTCTGAGTTTTGTTCTTCTGGTCGGTGTTGAGGTTGCCACGAATGCAATGCAGTGTGAGTTTCCTTACCCTCGAAATCAAAATAGTATTTGCTCATATCAATTGCCTTCTTAGCAATATGGCTCAGCTGGTGGACTGACGCAAATCAAAAACATCCAAATTCGAATCTTGGGAGGTGGATGGGCGTGTACGCTGCATTTGGTCTCTTGTCTTTATGCTTTCTTGGCATGAGCGGAGCGTACGTTCATTCTCTATTATTTTCCAAGATATGAACAGACACATACTTATTAATGCAAAGGTATCTCCTGATATTGATCATCCCAAAGTCTTCCAACAGATTACATTGGAATGTCTTGCGGTGTACGATGATGTATAGTTGACCACCTCGCTCTTTGATCTCATAGTGAGGGCTTATCCTTTTATCATGACATATAGGGCCCCAATTACTTTCTTTTCAAAAAAAAACACTGGATCAATCCTGAATCTGTGCGCTGAATAAATCCTCCGAAAGGCAACAAAATTCGCTAACAGGTTCATAGATTTAGTCAGGACATGACTCTAATCGACATGCAATTACCAATCGCCTTGATACTTGCCACTGGAAGTCAGTAAAAAGAGGAATCTATTTTCCATCCCCTTTACTAAGGAACACACCTAGGCTTCGGCAACTCCATTTCCGGCGTTGTCCTCACTTCAGTAGCCACTAGCTACATGGCAATATCCATACCCTTCCTCGTGATAACGCTTTGCTGTCTTCAAAGGGTCTACCTGCAAACCTCACGACAGATTCGTGCCCTGGACCTCGAGGCCAAATCACCGCTGCTTGAACACTTTCTCGAATCCCTCGAAGGTTCAATGAGCATCCACGCTTTCTCATGGACACACCACCTCATCTCCGAGAATTTTCACCGGCTGGACCAATCCCAAAAACCTTTTTATCTGCTTCTGTGTATTCAACGCTGGTTAGGCTTTGTGTTAAATTGTATCATTGTCATACTGGCAATCGTTCTCATGGCGGTAACTGTTGCTCTGCGGGACCGGATCAACCCGGGCCTTTTAGGCGTGGCAATGGTAAGCGTGGTCAATTTGGGACAGACTCTTTCGTCGTTTATCACGTATTGGACTACATTAGAGACTTCTCTTACTGCAATCAGCCGGATTAAAAGATATATTAACGAGACTCCTTCGGAAGAGCTAAAACAACTACCACAAGATTGGCCATCTGAGTTAAGTATCGAATTTCAGCACGTATCAGTCTCGTTCCAGTAAGTTTCTATAACCCCACGTAATCAGAGTGAATTCAATCAAGCTAATTGACCTGCGAAAAGCCCCACTGGCAAGAGCGTGCTAACAGACATCAACCTCTCTATCCCCAGCGGCCAATGTATCGCAATCTGCGGCCGCTCTGGATCCGGCAAGTCAACCCTAATCGCGTGCCTCGCTGGTCTTCTGCGACCAAACCAAGGCTGCATCCGAATCGGGCAACATGTTATATCCAATAGTTCGCAACAAGAAATTTGCCAGCGACTGATCACTGCTATAACCCAAGAAGCCTGGTTTATGCCACGAGGTTGCGACGACACGGTGCGTGACAACCTGGATCCGTTCGGACAAGTTCAGAACGACGAAGAGATTTATCGTGTATTGGAGAAAACGGGACTGAGAGAGCAAATTGATCGTATGGGAGGGTTGCAGGCTCGGTTAAAGCAAGACGGAGACGGAATGTTGTCGATGGGGCAAACCCAGCTGTTTTGCCTTGCCCGTGCGATGCTCAGCAGGAGAAGCGGGAAGATATTAATTATGGACGAAGCTATGAGCAGGTTCGATACTCTCCAGACATTCATGCTGTGCACATGCTGATGATAAACGTAAGTGTCGACTACAAAACGGAAACCACAATACTCTCGTTACTTCGAACCGAGTTTGCAGGCTGGACTATTATCGCCATTGTGCATCGTCTGCGGTTCATTCCAAAATATTTTGATCGCGTACTAGTCCTGCACCAAGGACGAGTGGTCGAGTGTGATACTCCACAATGTCTTTTGGCTGATTCTTCCTCGTTCTTAAGGAAGATGACTGAAGGGGAACAACTAGAGCATGGTGGTCAAGAGTAATCAATCATGTCATGCAATTGATCTTTGAATAATATAATTCATAAAAGACAAGGAGCAAAAATTAATTCATTATCATTTGTGATATTCGCTCCGCAATAATGATTAAATTGAGGATAACAAAAATCATGTGAGGCCAGGGATGACCAATACGAGCCAGTAGTCGGCGACTCGGGGAGGTCATTCCATACCCTGAACTCTACATGAGCATACTATGGAAATGTGTAAAGACACCATAGTTTTATCGGCGAAGATAGCGTAGCCGATCGGCGACTTCTTCTTACTAAGCCCCCGGAAACGATGCCCAATAATCAATTTGGAGGACTCCTGAAGGCAACGGGCAAGATTTCCGAGCGAAGCCCTTAACGGCCCAACCTCGTGAATCCCGGATAGTCATCATGATATCAGGAATCAACAGAATGGAATACCAATTGATACTCGGGGTTTTTCGTTAAATGGCTTTAATTTCTGCGAATAAATTCACTTGCGATAGTAGGTTGGAGAAATTTACTCCGTTTTCAAGATGATGTCACTTCGACGAGCCTCTATTAATACTATTCTATCCCAAGAAGTCCTGTGAAGAAACAGTACTCAAAAATACCAGAGGGAAAACTAGACAGAGAGTCAAAGCGCAACCCTGAACTTATTGTATCCCCCTTCCATTTTGCTTGATCTCTGCTCTTACTAATGTCTGTTTGTTCAAACTTCTAGCTCCTTTTCTTTTGGATGACTGGTAGTTTGTATACATCGGCTGGCACCATTTGGGCCTTCCCACCTCGTCAGTCAGCCAAAGAAAAGTTGACGTCGCGAAGATGCCATGGGAGGTGGATCAAAGTTAAGCGGAATGGAAATTTTTCGAATCTCGATATCCGCATGACCCAAAATTTAGGCACAAAGTGACCTATTTATCGGGTATCAAAGGACATAGGAATCAAAATATTTATATCAATAATGAACCCTAACTCTCAGAACAATAAGATCACGTGTTTGTGAGCAGTTAGGGCAATTGCTATTAGTGCTATTGTTATTTCCCGATTCGGACCAGTCTCGGGGACGCTGTGGGTCCGCCAGCGAAGCCCGCCAAGCATCTCAGCTCGGCGACAATATCTATTAAACCAACCACTGCGAAGAGATACGTAAATTCGGCGACCTCTCTGCACTCAGACTACTCAGCCGCAGCCAGAATGGAGATGCCTTTAAAAAGAGGCTGCGGTTGAGGCTGGTGATACCGTCGTGCTACTCTCTCTCCAATGTCAATTTCCTCAACTACCTGTCTTGGAGAATAGAGCACAATGGGTCGATCTTCGTCTTCAAATAATGGTTTTGTTGGGAAAAATCACGATCCTGAAATGGGGGGAATTGAGCCGACAAGTTTGATCAATGATGTCGTTCAGAACTATGCCTGGAGGAACATGAACGTCCAAGTCAAAGACCGCGTGACTGGCGACGCGTTGTCCATTCTTGCTGATACCAATGGAATTGTCCATGCCGGCGAAATTATTGCCATCATGGGCCCTAGTGGCTCAGGCAAAACAACTCTCTTAAATGCGATTGCCCACCGTGCAGCCGCAGCGAAAGCGACAACGACTGGTGATCGCTTGGCAAACGGCCAGGTGGCAAACCTGCAGCGGATTCGAGACTTGTCCAGTTATGTCGAGCAGGATGATGCTCTTATTGGTAGCTTGACTGTTCGGGAGACGGTCGATTTTGCTGCTGGTCTGTCTTTGCCAAGGTGAGAAATATGTGCTTGAAAAGATCGTTAGAGGAAAAAGCGCATTTGCTAATGGCCTGTTTTGCGAACAGTTCGTTCTCGAAGACAGCGAGGTTAAGAAGAGTCGACGATCTCATCGCAAGCTTTGGATTGCAGGATCAGTCACAGACAATTGTTGGAACACCAATCAAAAAAGGTCTCAGCGGTGGACAGAAGAAACGGCTGGGTGTTTGTAGTCGACTAGTCACCGACCCCAAGATTCTCTTTCTTGACGAACCGACCAGTGGCTTGGATTCAACACTCAGCTATGAGGTGATGAATTATATCAAGAAGATTGGCCGGGAAAATAACGTAAGGTATCCGAGGTTTACACGAACGGCGAGTTAATAGAAGCCAGCTTATTATCATTGCTTCGATTCATCAACCATCGACGGCCACTTTCACTCTATTCGACAAATTATTTCTCCTATCTCGAGGCAAGACATGCTACTTCGGTTCGATCTCAGAAGCGCGAGGGTACTTCGACCGGATTGGATACACAATGCCCTCGGAGGTCAACCCAGCTGAATTCTTCCTGGACCTAATCAACACAGATCTAGTCAAAGAAGGAGACGATGTTGTCGCTCGTGTGAAGGACATCACTGCCAAATGGCTCGAATCTAGCGAAGCAGCAAATATAAACCAAGAAATCGACGCTGTTGTCGCGAAAGCACATGTGCCAGGATCTTCAGTCCCCCAGCTTTCAAGCATCAAAGTTCAAAAGCCCGACAGCTGGACAATTCCGTTGGTGCTTCTGCAACGCTCATGGATCAAATCGTATCGCGATATCGTGGCTTACGGCATTCGAATCATCATGTACCTAGGCTTAGCCATTTTGATGGGCACAGTTTTCCTGCGATTTAGTCCTACTCAGGAGTACATCCAATCGTACATCAACGCTATTTTTTTCAGCTCTGCCTTTATGTCCTTCATGGCGGTAGCATATGTGCCTGCTTACCTGGAAGACCAAGCTACCTTCGTCAAGGAACGAGCAAACGGCATCGTCGGCCCATTCTCCTTCATGTTATCCAACTTCATCATCGGCTTACCATTTTTGTTCCTCATAACTCTGCTTTTCTCTGTAGTGGAATACTGGCTGACTGGGTTTCGAGCAAGCGGCACTGGATTCATGACTTTCATCATGTGGCTCTTCTTGGATCTGGTTGCAGCTGAGTCCTTGGTCGTACTAGTATCCTCGGTTTTTCCGGTATTTGTCGTGGCTCTAGCAGTCACTGCGTTTTCAAATGGGCTATGGATGTGCGTGAATGGATTCTTAGTACCCATCACAATTTTGAATGTGTTCTGGAAGTACGTCTTTCACTACATTGACTACCAGGCATATGTCTTCCAAGGCATGATGGTCAATGAATTCAAATACCGCACGTACTCATGCGCTACGAGTGGGGAGGGTCAGTATCAGTGCTCATACCCGAGTAGTTTGAACTCCGGAGGGCTGGTTGCTGGAGTCGATGTGCTGAGGACGTACGACATTAACCCTAATGTGCAGGGGATGTGGGTGGGCATTATGGTTGCAATTATTGCAGTGTATCGCTTGCTTGGCTACCTGGCGTTACGGTTCAAGCTCTAATTTGTTACTGAGCAAGGATTCTTTTCTGTTTCTTTTCATTAATAGAAGAAGGTGGTTTGGGTCTTGACTCTTGAAGACTAGGAGTGATTACATATGAGGACTATAAAAACAAGTGATATAACTACTTACGTAGAGAATGATTTAATTGGCAACTTTAAAAAAAATCCCAACAATTTACCTGAATGTTTGTTCAATAAAGTTGCTGAGAATTGCACGGCGTGGGACAGCCAAAAGCAAAATCTAATTTTCCAGTCCCATGACCCTCACAAAATCAATCAGTATTATTGACTGATTGATCGATCAATCCACTGGTTTCTACAGGGGTAAACGTAAACGTACATGAGCTCGGAGTCCAAACGCCTCCAAGTTCTACACCGCCGATCTCATCATACCTCTACCTCAAATGAAACTAAAATAATTGTTATAATGAGCGCGTTCGACAAGACTACATGCAGGCTCGGCCGCCGTCTCCTTGCATATCGGTGCCATTGTTGGTGCAAATCCGGGGTTGGCTTTGCAAACTAGAGACCAGTCTCCTCACGTGGACCGATTTTATTTTTTTTTGATTTATTGATTTTTCTTTCTTGTTCTGATTGGTGTGGCGGTGGCATTTATGCACGCCATGAAATACTAGTATTAATGTAGGGCGGTGTCAGATCGGTTTCTTATACGGTATTAGGGGTTTGGGTTAGGATGTGTGTTGGATAGCTGGAGTATCTTGAATTCCAGGATTAAACCCACCAAAAAGAAACACCGGTGGGTGGCTGGAGCCAGCCCAAATTGAAGATTGGATTATCCCGTATACTAGACATGTCCCAGCAAGTGTAGGCAAACAGCAGCACTCGCGAGCTTACATGCGGTATGACATCTCACACCGAGAGCCACTTGCGGACGCTTCAGTAGCATTGTCGAAGCAAATAGAAAGAAATAAAGTAATATAATATTAATATAATTTATGCTAGTGCGGTGTTGACCTCATCGATTCCTTTGATTCCGCCCGCCAGCCCGCTATACAAATACCTCAGCTCCCCTCACGCCACCAACTGCCCTTTCTCTCCTCTTTTCTTTCCCCTTCCATGTTCCCTTCAGTCTTCTTTCTCCATACTCGCTTCTCTTCACAGGCCCTGCAATACCTGTCTATCTGGTCTATTTTAACAGCCCGCACAAGTAAGTAATACAGAGACTGACCCCACCCTGCCCTGTCTGAGCCATGCTGCCCTGTCCACCGAGAAGCGGGGAAACGGAAAAAACCCGCCTAGTCAGAGTCGCATTAATTAATTGTCTCTGACGTCGTTGTGTTGCCCATCCAGGTTTTCCTCGCCCGTTAGCAGTTGCAGTCGAGCATTTTCTGTCGCCCAAAATTCTCAAAACTCAAATCGCAGTTCCAGCAAAATGGCGTCTTTACCCAAGACAATGAAGGCTCTCCAGTGCGTATTTTCCGTATTCTCCCTCTTTGCTGCGTCAATTGATCGCCTGTTTTGGTGGAGATCCGATGTGGGGTACGCATGCCTTGCTCACTCGCGTGGTTGTCCAGGTACGAGAAGCCAGAGACCTTCGGTATCGTCGAGATTCCTCTCCCTACCCTGCGTGAAAACGATGTCTTGGTATGTTGCTTTGGTGTTAACTAGCGAAATAAAAGATGATTGACGTGCGGTGTAGATCAAAGTAAAGGCGTGCGGTGTGTGCGGTACGGATTTGCACATTCACGAGGGCGAGTTCCTTGCCAAGGTAGGCAGAAAATATTAAATTAATCTTGTATCCACCGATGCTAACGTATTTTCTTCAGTTCCCTCTTGTCCCTGGTAAGTTGTGTCAGATAAACCCAGGGCCGCTCACTGTAGCACTAAGACAATGTTCCAGGACACGAGACTGTCGGCGTTGTCGCCGCCGTAGGCCCCAAGGTCAAGGGCTTCGACATTGGTGATCGCGTGGTTGCGGATAACTCTGAACTTTGCGGAGAATGCTTTTACTGCCGCCGTGGCGAGGAGCTCCTTTGCGAGCACTTCGAGGCTCACGGTGTCACCATGAATGGTGGTTTTGCTGAGTACTGCGCCTATCCTGGTATTTCTCCACACACGACGCACTATCTCAAACACAGCTAATCAGAAACAGCTGGCCGTGTTTTCAAGATCAAAAACCTCAGCGATGTTGACGCGACTCTCTTGGAACCTGCCTCCTGCGCTGCCCACGGTCTGGACAAAATCGCGCCCAAGATGGGCTCATCCGTGCTCATGTTCGGAGCCGGTCCTACCGGCCTGGTTCTCTCTCAAATGTTGCGTCAGAATGGCGGTTGCCACGTCGTTGTCGCTGCCCCGGAGGGCCTCAAGATGGACTTGGCCAAGAGGCTAGGCGCTGGTGACGAATACATCTCTCTGTCCCGGACCAACCCGAGCGTTCAATTCGAGAAAATCAAGGCCGAGAACCCGTATGGGTTCGACATTGTCGTTGAGGCTACCGGTAGTGTGAAGATTCTCGAGGACGCTATCAACTACGTCCGTCGCGGCGGTAAGCTCGTCGTGTACGGCGTCTATGCGAACAAGGACCGTGTCAGCTGGCCTCCTTCCAAAATCTGTAAGTCAATCGCTGCCTGGCTATACTGATTGCAGTTTTGATACTGACGTTGATTGACAGTTGGCGATGAAATCACCATCCTCGGATCCTTCTCTGAGACCTACAAGTTCCCTGCCGCCATCGATTACCTGGACCGCGGCAAGGTCAAGGTTGACGGTATCGTCAACAAGACCTTCAAGCTGGAGCAATGGGCCGAGTGTCTCGAGGCGATGCGCAACAAGAGCGCCATCAAGGCCGCCATCACTTTTGACTGACATTCATAAGTCCTTTTGGCTTCGTGCAAGGCCTGGAGAGCTGGCCATCTTCACCGCCGTATATTGTGACTGTTCGATATTTCGTAATTAATGTGATCACGAGGAAAGAATTTTTGAATTGACACTAAATTAAATTCCTGGCATAGAGTAAGCTTATATAAATACCGCGAGCAGTGGACTGAGGACCTTGATGGTCATGACGGTAGTTTCGGCATTGCGTCATCCTCGGTCGTCCTTTCCATATATTTCAATATGCTATGCGTTATGGCACTGTCTGCTAGTATGCATATTAATCCTACAATAGTATCAACGGATCGGAGTATTCGGCTTGATTGGGGAAGAGTACTCACATATAGAATAATGATATTCTTAACAAAATATTAATTGATGTGGGCAGCTGTACTCGGCTACTAATCGTGGTGGTGAGCGTGTTGTACTACTAGTACTGCTGTCCATTCCGTCCCCACAACATCTCCAGGCCCGATTCTAGATGCCATCGTCAAAGCTTCTTCCTACACACACATCAACACGCACCCAACCGATTCCCCATGGTCAAACCGCTCACATTCAAGGGCGACAAACGGCCCAAAAAGCGCAAACACCGTGACGAAGACTACACCGAGCGCGACCATGATTCAAAAGCCTCAAGCCTAGTTCCCACCACGGCCACCGCAGCAGCAAACGACTATGCGGCCGACGAGCAAAGCTGGGTATCTGCCGATATTCCCACTGATATTAATGGACCAGTCATTTTCGTACTACCCTCATCACCGCCAACGTGTATTGCGTGCGATGCCAATGGCAAGGTTTTTGCGAGCCAGCTGGAGAACGTGATCGAGAACGAGCCGAGTACAGCGGAACCGCATGATGTGCGACAAGTCTGGGTTGCAACACGGGTTGCTGGGACGGAGGGTTTTGGTTTCAAGGGGCATCATGGCCGGTATGTTTGATTCTCGGCGATAGAAATAAGACATATTGTGCACATTGATTAATCTTGATGCAAGGTACCTGAGTTGCGACAAATTCGGCATTCTGAGCGCCACTGCCTCCGCCATATCTCCCTTCGAGTCCTTCATTGCCATCCAAGCGCATGATACACCGGGCATGTTTGCGTTCCAGACTCGCGGCGGCGAGAGCGAGACGGATTCGTTTGTGGCTATACAAGAGGACGGTGATGAGACCACGAAGAATAAGAAAGCGACCAGTGTTGTGGAGATTCGCGGTGATGCATCGAGTATATCGTTTGAATCGACCCTGCGCGTTCGTATGCAAGCTCGATTCAAGCCAAAATTAAAGGCTTCAAAGGAGACTAAAGCCAAGGAGAAAATTTCGAGGAGGGAGCTTGAAGCTGCTGTGGGGAGGAGGTTAGATGATGACGAAATTAAGAGACTGAAGAGAGCTCGGAAGGAAGGAAATTATTATGAGGAGATCCTGGATGTGCGGGTTAAGGGCAAGCACGATAAATTTGCTTCGTGAGGGCTGGGTACTACAGATATTCAAGCAAAAACCGCGGTGGAAAAGCTAATCGTTCTATGCGAACATGATATGGAAGCATTCCGACTAAGTACAGGAGCATCTTGAAGCATATTTACCTGAAAAACTAGCATGGGCCCATATAAAGGGACGTCCTTCGAGAACGCGTTAGGTGAGAGGGGGTGACAGCTACCTGGAAGTGTTTCAACACGAAAGTGACTGCCTTCGAGAACGCATAATTGGGTATCTCCGAACTAGATGGGCAACATTGGAGCCCTGAGGATAGAAATCTACCAAATATTTGTACGATGGTTGAATAATTCGTATCTCATTCTCATAAATAGCATAACTATTACCATGAATACATTGAACTTCATATGAATGATATGCTTCACAATTCAGTTTCCTCCTCTGTGTGGTTGTTACCAGCAGACACCATTGCAATCTCATTCCATGCTTCGTAAGTTCCAGTTCGAGCAGCACGGTAAGCCCGAAGACGATTGATACTGGCTTTATTTTTAGTACCTGGTTGGCCTTCTATAACTTCTTCGTGTTTGCTGTCTTCCGACTCCAGCATAGATGCAGAGATGGATAGCTGACTTTCAGCATTCCGTATATCCACCACATTAGAGTGGCTTTCTTCGCGAGCTGATGCCGTATCTGCAAAATCAGCGACAAAGGGTTCCTGGCTCAAGGCTTGAGAATTATTCGTCGCATATGAATTCTGAGTATACTCATCGACAACGTCGTCGAAATCACAAGGAAGGGGCCCGATTTGGAAGAGGACTTTATCACCCATTGCCTGCAAATGATGTCTGGCATCACGCATCAAAGTGTATCTCGCCCTCTTATTCTCCCGTTCTAATCTGTCACCCTCAGTTTCACGCATGTGTTTGTCATGCACAAACCGCTTTCCGGAACAGAATTGGCCGAAGAGACTTTCCATAGAAACCGAATCGTTCCAAGTCTTGGAATCGACTGTGCAAGGAAAGACATCTCTCGGTTTGAAGGCAGACACAAGTTCACAAAGCTCGGCATAGGAAGAGTGCCGAGAATAAGGGAATGTCTGATAATCTATTTAGCATGTGAAGTAAAAAGGGAGATACTGATACGTACAATTGTTTGTGCCTCTTCTAGATTTTCAAGTGGCTTATCACGAAATTTACTGATCATAGAAATCAAATCTTTGAGGGTCACATCGGCATCTTCAGTTAGGCCAAACTCGTCCAGTGAAAGTGATCTCTTTCCTGATTCGAAGGCAGATCGTAAGGTCTCCCTAGTCTGCGAAATAACCTGTTCATTGCCAATCTGTGCGGTTAGTAGTTCCTCAAGCTTTTGCAATGCCATCTCATCTGGCAATTCCAGTTCATGGATCTGATACAAATCCCCCTTTCCACCTCCGGCCCCGGCTTCAGGAATGGCTGCTCCGCATCTATCTCGAGTAATGACGGGAATGATGAAGATGGATTTGCCTGACTTAATACTGGAGCAAAACGCCCCGGGCTCACAGCTATGAATTCTCACAATCTCATCGGATGTCAAACAGCCAGGTATAAATTCATTCCCTAGCTGAAAGCCACAGAGGAAAGTAGCTGCATCAAGCCCAGGCATGCTGTGAGACTGGATGGCCAGGGACTTGTACAGGCCATATTGATACCGATCAACGTGAATCTAGATGAAATTAGAAAATGAGATTCCAATAATTGAACCACGGTGGCCACCGTACCTTGGAATTGAGAGTGGTAGATAGGGCTTGCCAGACTTCTTCGTATCCAAAAGTCCAGGCTCTTAGATAGAAGACAGTCTCTTCTGGATACCTTTTCACTTTCTCCAAGAGCTCTCGAATCCCTTCTGATTTAGAGGGAAATGTTCGGTATATATGCGATTTGATCGCAAATGTAGTATCGAGGTAGATTGTATCCAGTGTTTTCAAACCACACGTGTAAGGAAGGAGCACTGGGTGTCTGGTTAAAGAGTTTACCCACCAGGTTTCGCCTATATCTTTTGGTTAGTAAACCATTAAACCATCTAAAACAACTCTGTCCGTATGAAGATTTCTATCATGGGGCACAGGGAAAGCCAGCTAGCCCTACCTCGAATATCTCCGGTGTATAGTACAGCATTCTTCTTGTCCTCAATTAAGAACATCACTGCACCTGCACAGTGATTGGCGTCGAACAGCGTTACCCGAATGCGTTGCAAGGGGGTAAGCTCGATCTCAGTGGGAGTATTCAATGGTATTGGCCTCTATCACCGAGATCATTAAGCTGGCACATTTCTTTAGAGGTAGATATACCCACCAGCAGCTTTGCCAGGTGCCCATAATGCTGCTTTCTAGACTCGAGGATGCCTTTTGAGAAGTTCATGCGATGCGGGTATTTCTCAATTCGTAGCAGCAGCTGGATTCGCAAAATATACTCAGCGAAGTTCAGCTTGATGAGATCGTCACCTACCTCTTTCGTCACAGCAGAGCAGTAAACGAACGGCGAGCGCAGAGACTCCAAGCCCAGCAAATGATCGCTGTGGACATGGCTGAGGAAGCAAGCGAGTGGCGCTGGCTTGTCGGGCACTCTGCGAAAGTAATCGACTGCGCCGTAGAAGCTTAGCACGAGAGTCCTGAAGCGCACTCCTCCCACTACACGAGAGTCACTTACTCCTTATAGAAGGGAATTCTAAATAGGATATCAGCGAACGAGATTCCACACGAAGAGGCAACAGGATCAACACACCGGAAACGATGCCATTGAACGTCGACATGGCTGGGCGTCTACTCTATGGGGAACAGAACGCATGCTGGATGCAGCGACAGGACGACAAGGGCTGTCTTCGACCAGAAGGAACGACCGGGCCTCTGCTGCTGCCTTTCTGGGCCAGCAGGTTGGTGCCTGCCTACCGAACGCCAAGCTCCACTCGGGTAGGTGCCTGCAAGCCATATTTTTCGGGTGTGTAAATGATAGAAAGGAGTTTTAAAAAAAAGCCACCCCTGCGGGGGGTCGAACCCCGAACCTCAAGATTAAAACTGCTCTACAGTTAGTTAACGCTGGGCTGTTGGGGATTAGGGTACTTGCGTCTTGCGCGCTAGCCAATTGTGCCACAGAGGTTGTGAATGATGTCATGGAAATAAGTGAATTTAGATATTTCGCCTCACATAAAAAAAGAAATTATAGCCGCTTCTTTATAAAAGTGAAAAAAATAGATGTGCATCTGGCTGGCACGCACTTATATTCAGATTATTATCTTTGTGTCTGCTCTAGAGACATGCGGAATCCTTCAGGATTTGTTACACAATAGCCATGTTGACATAGAAAACTAGTAAAAAGATTGGTATTTTTTTCTTTCTTGGTAATCTGTCTGTGAGAAATCGCCGACTCTCTGCTATCACAGGCGGTTCTAACTGACGGACATCGTCCAAGAACGTTCTTCCCTCCATCATTGGCCGTCGTTTCGCCTCATTCCGATCCAACTAAGCGAATTTTGACCTCGCAACCTGAGAAACTTCAAGCCAGCCAGCGTGCGACGTGTTAGTACGATTAAATTCTGCCGGTGGCCACAGCAAGCGCTGATATGATTAGCCTGGGCTTTGGCTGTTCTGCAGCAGCGGGGCCGGGCGAGAAGCGGCTGGGCTGCGATCACTGAAGGAATGGAATCATGCCACTGGCCGATGAGCTGCAGCAGAACGATGGATGCGCTGGTCATTTGCAACTTGTTCGTCAGCGTGCCTGTTGTCATCGCATCGCATCGACTTCAAAAGGCGCCTGCGCCCCAACTCCCGTTTTCTTTTCGTCCTCGTTCCTTTTTTCTCGCTTCTTCTCGTGCGTAGACACCGTTGGATGATTATTAGGATTTATTACTATTACTGTTACTGTTATTATTATTATTCTTATGCTAGTAAAATCCACGGGATCGCCGACTAATCGCATCTGCCGGCGTTCCTGGAGCTAAGCCGCCGCCGACCCTACTACGTTGCGATCAGTGCCACTCCTCCGCACTTGCTATCATTGGGCTTCCGGCTGACTTCATTCAATCAGCCCACAAACCTGCACTGCATATACGGAGGCGTCCGCGAGCCATCATTCGTTTACATTATTTGCCATCATCTGCGGCTTTCTTTCCTGCTTTTTTCTTCTCTTGCCATTCCGCCACCACCCCTCTCTTTCTCATTGCACCCCCCTCGTGTGGTGCCTCAAAGTCCACCGAGTCCATGCGCAGGCTGCCCTTTTCGACAATCTCCATTTTCGCTTAAAATAGATTGCTGGAACCTTCGAAATTGCATCAGAAGACGAAGACGAACGGATCACGATTCGAGGATCTACAGCGCGCAAGTTGTATACGCAGAAGCAGCAGGCAAGGTCCTTGGGGCTAATCCTTACAGTCTGTCGCACATTTCGGCAACATCGTTCTTTGAGGGATGATAACCAAGACTTAAACCGTACAAGGAGGAAAATACCATTTACCGGGTTTCAGATTCACTCGCGGGCATCCGCTTCTTTGTCATAATTTACTACCAGTCAATTTACCCCTCCGCTTTGGCTAGTAGACCCGTCATACTTACAGTCACAGTCAACATCACCTCTCTTTTCCTTTTCCCTATCCCATTCCGCTTTCTATCCTCGAATACGGTGCTACCCTCGCATCCACGATGCATAAACCACCGATTGCGGAAGCCGTACACAAGGCTCTCTTTCCACGACCAAGATCAAATGACCCGCAGTCTTTTTCCGCCCACATCACACGCAATCTGGTCCCCGAAGTTCGATTGGAGACTTCCATGTTTTACGGCTCTCTAGACTGTATTGAAGCACAGTACCCGGGTCTTGACTATTCCTACGCCCCGCATCGAATGAGATTGAGTCGTTTTCCATTTCATCACAAACTGTTTCGAGTATTCGATGAATTGGGTCTCACTGAGGCCGAAATTGCTTCGCTATGTCGTTGGGAGGGTACGAAATCTGCGCGGGAACGGTACGAGAAGGAAGAAGGCGTCAAAGTCCGCGACACTACCGCTGATACGGTCCGTCTTGCCACCCCTCCGCCTCCTCCTTCGGCACGATTCTCTTCAGAGGACCGGACACAGTCATCCGCAAGGGAATCTTCCACACTGAATGGAAATGTCGTCAATGACCTGCTTCCGATGATTACGACCCATCCAGACGAAGAAGAGGAAGAGGAGGAATCGAGCGACGAAGAAATAGAGAGCTACGGCCTGCAACTAAACCAGCGTCTCTTGTATGCAACAGCTGCTCGGGAACGTGGTGCCAACGTTCCTTTAGATGAACAGTGGGAACAGTGGCTCAAAGAAGCTGTTGAACGAGGCAACTATTCGGACATGCTCAACGCGATTCGCACAGGTCAGCCGTTGGGGGACACGTTCAGCAACCCTTCCTCTCCCATACCCCCAAGCAATACGGCCTTGTTAAGCCAACTTGCGCTCTCTGCCCGACAATCTGTGAACATGGCAGTGGCACATTCCAACCAACCACTAAGCCATTCATCAAATAACACATCTGGGACCGCACGATGACACAGTGCGATGTGACGGGGCTCGAACTTCACAATCTGATCCTTCCTATGTCCCTTCTGCGGTTTATTTTCACTTACTCTCACGATATGCATATGTGGCGCTGTTTCATTTTTTATGCCTCTTTCTCACTATATAAGTGACTCTCGGTGTTAGCGAGATGCATATTCCTGTTTACATCTTTTCCTTAGCCAGCAACCCACCATTTCTTTGCTTTCTTAATCATAGACTCAATCATTCCTTGTTTTCTTGATTTATCGTGTGCACAGGAATAATACCCTTGCAATTCTGCCAGCTCATGCAAGTCCTCTGATTCAGTCTATTGTTCTATGCTCAAATGCAGGCATATTGAGTATTCTATTCTCACATTTGCTATCTCAAAAGGCGCTTATATCAGATATTTATTCTTACAAATCGAATGTTGTGCCTGGTATTATGCTCCAATCCCAGAAATAAACATCCAAGTATCGTAAGTAGAAAATGCACTTCTGTATTGCATCTCTATACATATCAAATAATATATAGTTAGTTATACACGTACAGATTGCTGCTCCGCCGCCCCACCCAAGCTCACAGGGCGCCGTGATTGGATCCCTCCCTTCCCCGCAGGAGCTGAGCATTGCTTTTTCCAGAGTCCACATCGTTCGTTAATCCTTGATCATTGATTTGACGAACCTCACTTGAAGACCGCGTACGGCCAAATACAATCAAACATGCTCTGACTGCTCCAGACCTCCTTCCTCGGTGCTCGGTGAAATATGAACTCGATATATTTCGGTCTAATGCTCTCCCCAACTATTCATCATGATAAAGGCTATCTTCTATAGTAAATTCGATACCCAGGAAGGTAAAACGATAGCTCCACATTCTCCTCCATTCACATCGTGATTCTAATTACTATCAACAGGACCCAAGGTTGTCCACCAGGTTCCTGACGGCGCAATCGTCCCGTCAGCAGCGGCGGCCGCACAGCAGACCCCGCTCTTCACTTTCTCCGACATATCCTTCTTCGTCATTCCGCGTCAAGAGTTGTGCGGAAACCTCCTGCAAGTATGCATTGGTGGCTATCGGATTCTGGGTTACCCTATCTGTATGAAGTCTCCTCGATACGACCGCAATGAATTCATCTTCAATTTCTGCCTCGTTGTCGCTGAGGATGAAGACTTTAGCAAATATACAAGTATTATCCAAAAACTCGCAGACTTAATGCATGGCCTGGAAGAGCAAAGCGGATTTTTGAGCCGTGACCATTCGAAGAGTGGTGAGGGTAAGCTGTATAGTCTGTGTGAGACTTTGATGGAAGACCTCAACAATTATAGCGAGTGTATGATTCCAATAGGTATGGGAGAATCTTCCTTTTTGACATTTGTGGATTGGCTTCTGACCTTTTTAGATGAGCTGAACACTCTCAATTTCAAACTTTTCCCCGTCTACCCAGCGCCTCCCCACGTGAAAGCATGGGAAGTGCCTCTTTTCACTGTTCGTTTTGAGACTTTTATGGATGAGAATTGGGATCTCACACTTCAAAGGGTAAAGTTGCAGCCAAAAGCGAGCTGCATTAAAAAGAGCACTACTGAAAGCTTCGCAGATTATCCCATATATCAATGGAGTAAATAGCGTTCGCATTATTTCCATTCTTGCAGATGTTGAGATGCGTCTCGCCTACAAGGCGATCCGGCATTTACTATACTACGGATGTGTTTTCCTTCTCGATATCTTCTCATTCGCAGCAATATATGCACCTACAGCCCAATTCAGCTCTACTATTGCTTGCGATGAAGGCATGCAGCAAGAATGTGCACGATACATCAATACGCGATTTGCACCTGCGCATCCCAAACTGGCTCCAGCACCGCCGCCACCACCGGGGACTTCCTCACATTCCCGTGCCGAGTTGAGTAACTCTCACGGTGGGGGATTCTTACTCGATACCGACGACATTTGGCCAGTTATCAGGGACGCTGATAATACTACTGATGAACCCGACCAGCCGAGACGAAAGTGCCTAGATGGTGTCGGCATTGTCGAGCTATACGCCAGTCTTAAACAAGGCCAGAGCGTCAAGCAATGGTACAGCCTTCACTCACGACAGCTAGCCAACGTCGATGTCCGCCGCTTTATCACTTTTGGTATCATCAAAGGCTTTTTGTACCGCGTCCACAAATATCCTTATGGCCCGCGTCCTGAAGCATTCAAATCTTTGAACCCAAAGATGTCAACAGCGTCTACGGCGTCCATTAAATGGGCTCTTGCTCCCTCAACATCAAGCTCAGTAGGCACCGGTGATACAGATGGTCCTCCGAGTAAAGAGAACTCTATCAGATTAGACCAAAGCGACCTTGTCCAACAAATACCACCACAACCACAACTACAGTCAGGCGACGAAGCCCTCGATGACCAAGGTGGCATATCGACATCATTTCGCAGCAACGGTAACAGCAACATTATTCCAACCCGGCCTGAATCCACTGCAGCAACCTCATATGAAGAGGAAGAAGATGTAGAAAACGAGAGAATAGATAAATTGCTCGAAAAGTACTTGGATGGACAGCATTGTTTTGATGAGATTTGTACCGAGTTGGAACTCAGTGAGCACGACTTGACGGCACGCTTGAAAAGGGTTCCCTGGTCTGTACATATTATACATCGGTAGATTTGACCTAGATTTGGGATGATTGATTAGGAATAGGTGTTCTACTATAACCATCGGTGGTATCTAATATAAAACCATAATATCAATGCAAACATACATTAATATTCATAAATCTATCAACCTCCCAAAACAGCCGAACCCCCAGAAGCATTGCAACGCCGAGATTCCTCTACATATGAGTTATCTAAAACATCAGTGTCGACACCCTCAAATGCATACCCCGTAACTCAGTCTATATACATCGCTCAGCCAAAAAAAGTCGTCAATAATTCCAGAGAAGTGATTCGAGCTTTGCGACTGGAATCTTGGATAGGAAGTATCAATGTGCATTACGGTCACTCCTGCTCCTCATCCCATCCTTCCAATTCAGCCTTTTCGTACTCGGCCATGGTAGCAGGATCAAAGATACTCTCTTCGCTTGACGGCACGGTAGTCTTGCTGTCTTTGAAGACGGGTCCGATGCAGTCCCGCCAGCGCTTGCGACGGTCCATAAGTGTACGGGCCATGTCGCCAATGCCGGGACGTCCAACACCAGCGGCACTGACAACATGACTGCCACCACCTGCTCCGCCAGGGCGGTGCTTCGCCTGCGAGCCTTTCTTGCTTTTGCCTAATGTTCGCGTTCTCTTCAAATAGGCTTGCTGGACCTGAGAATCTAGATCGTCGTGGATGGTACTGTACTCTTGATACGCCAAGCGTTCCTTTGCGATTTCTAAAAGTCGTGTCTTGCGGGCTCCATTGACAAGCATTTGCTTTTTCAGCTCGCCTTGCAGTAACCGCAGGCGCTGAGCAATGTCATCATCGTAATGGGCATCGAAATCAGGGTTATCTTCAGGACCAAGAAAGCCAACGTAACGGAGCTCTGCCTTTAACCTTTCATCCAGCTGGGCATGCTCTAACTTCGCTGCCGGTACTTTGAAATTGTTTGGGGAAGCATCAGGGAAAGAGGTGGCGGCAGGGAGAGGCTTGGTTTCAGATTCACCTAGAGGGTGATCCAAATCCATAAAGGAGTCTCCTAGTATACCATTTATCGATGAATCGCCGTTGGTGGTTCCAGAAGCATTATTCTCGTCGGGGGGGCACGATGTTCGTATCGAAGCAGGGAATAAAGACGGCTGACAAGCGGTCCAACAGACACTTTGTCCGTCTCTGCGACATCGTCCGTCAATTGATCGATGCTACCGCGACCTTGATTAAGTGGCAGACGATCTCGATCGCTTGAATGATCTATACTCATAGCGCCGTCCTCTTCTGCCCATATCTCGCTGTAGTGCTTCTTTGAGCGACGGGGCATTACAAAAGGGGTTGCACGATCTCCCTACATACTAGTTAGTTGAATTTTAGACTGCTGAAATCACAATATCTCACCTTCTCTTTCAAAAAAGCGATATCCTCCTCGGTCAAGGGGCGGACAAAAGGGTCAACCCAAGAAAGAAAAGTATTGGCGTTGACTTGGTTGGTCGGCTTTGCGTTACTGAAATCTTTATCAGGAGGAATTCCAGCCATCATATGGCTTAGATCACTCGGTGGGAAGTGCGCAACACTATAAATTTCTCTCTTCATGTCATCGGTTGTCTCTGAGGTGACATCCCTAATGTGGTAAATTGTGGAATCCTCGAACTTGAGAGGATCAGGCCCAAACACTTGAAATTGGGGGACTAGCTGCTGTGGTTCCGGTTGATGCGAGTCATCGCTATCTTCTGATTCAGGTGATTCGGCCACCTCGGCTTCGTCTTTGAGAGGTGGCGAGGCTAATGATGGAGGAGAAAGCGATGATGTGCTTCCTGAGGCAACATGACGAGACTTCTTCGAAGATGGCGATGTAGCTTCAAGGCTACGTTTACGGTCTCCTACAGGTAATTATTAGGATCTACAGTTTCAGCACCAGAAAGATACATACCTAGTTCACCACCGTCTTGCCGAGCCACCTCGTGTGCACCAACTGCAAGAGGGCGATCTTCTTTTGGAGGTCGCTCCTTTCGTTTTTTCAACTTCCCTCCCTTGAGAGCGCGATGGCCCTCTTCTTCGTCATCTGCCTCTCTTTTCATCTTTCTTTCTTCTGTATCTCTTTCCAATTCCAATTCCCGCTGATCTTCAATGACTTCTTTTCGTCGCTGTGAGAGCTCTCGCATGGCGGCGTTGCAAGTATCGCCCCGAGTATCAGCTAGCTGACTGAGATTTTTGAGATGGTCTTTCAGCAGCTCCAACGTTTTAACATCTGGGATATTGCTACCGCCACCTATCTGCTCTAGGATATCCGCATATTGAACCGCCGAAGACGAAAACAGTTTAGACAGCTCATTATCTAAATATCCAGAAACAGAAGATGTACCAGTTGCTGTGCTTGCGCTTAGACCAGAGCTTGGGGTAGTATTGCGACTTCGCGATCGGCGTGCTTCGCGACCTTTGCCCTTGCTTTTGTTCGCGAGAGGCATGGTTGGATTGAGATCAGGATAAGTAGTCGCTTGTAATGTAGAGGCGCCGCTGTCAATATCTAGCAGCAAGCTCCGATAAAGAAGGTTTTGGTGAGGGTTATAAAAGGCGGCTGATGAATTGCGTTCAATAGATCAGTTTGTTGGCGAGCATCTTCTATCGGTGAGGACGCGTAGGTAGGTCGGCGGGAGCGCTAACAGCTTGAATTTCGAGTGAACGATGGTTGTGAGTATGAAATGATAGTTTCATGTAGTTCCTGACAATTTCATGGTGGTGAGAAGGAATTTGGTCCAACAGCGACAGCGCTGGATGATGGGGTGTAGTTGAGTAAGCGCGTTGTCGAGGCGGGTCACGTGCAAATAGGCGCCTTTTCCCCGCGAATTCGGGCCAAAAGAGGAATAGTGCAATCAGTGCCAAGAATCGTTCCGTAAGGCTGTAAGTTCTCCGTTTGTCTCCGACTGCCTACTGCCCTGTCTGTCATATTCTCCCACGAAGTAGTATTTAACCCACTTTGAATGGCAATCTTTAGGAAATTATCCTGAATTAGAAACGTAACCTGCCGATGAATAAGGAACAAGAAAACGAGCTTCTGTCGTCAATAAATGCTTAACTTGACCTCACTCGGTGACCGGAAGCAATAACCATCAGCGGTCTACTCGGTCTACTCCTGATTTTTATTCCACTTATTTCATTCCCTTTTAATTTCTAAACATGTTGATGCAACCCGATTTCCTTCTTTGCCAGATTTGTGTGCCATTGTTTATACTCGTTTTGCATACATATATACTCCACTAAAGAGGCAAGGGGAACAATACCATGTGCCCAAATATTGAACCGAGTCGGCTACTCGGCATTTATATAGCATAACCAAAGCGAAAACATTTACGACTGATTCAGATATTCTATATTACGTAGAATGGCCTAGTTATATTATTAGATGTCTGTTTGTAAGCTGAGCAGCGATCAATTTGACGGTCTGGAACTTCAACCTACGTTCTTACCACCACTTAGGGCTAAATCCGCCAAGGGTTAGATCTTTAATACCATATAGCATCGAAATCTCTGAAGGCGAGCATATCTCTTACAACTATGCTTATTTATTACGCCGTCTTCGTCATTCAGATGAATGCGACCTCGGTTGAATCCAATGTTTTTGTCTCCAACATTCCTAAGCCCGCAAACATGCTTACCATCGCCAATCTACATTCTTTTCCACTTTCGGTATTTCCGGAATGGCTCAAATCTCCGATTATTTTCTTTCCACCATTACTTCAATTTTTTGGGGTAAACTTCAGCTTTGAAAATTTCTTCTGCTACAGAGATGTTACTATTCCCGTTGTATTGAAGTCGTGAGCGCCGGGTTGATTGCGCAATGGGTAGGTTTCAATGTTCTAAAGCGTGGATGTGGGAGATTATCAAGACTTGGAATTTCAACTAATTGAATAAACGCAGCTGCGCAAAGAATGACCACTGCTGTCACTCTATTTGCAGGACCAGGAACTCTGGATTGCGGCTATACAAATGGCATCGTGAGTGCAAAATATCGTATATCGAATCCAAAAGTGAAAAAAAAGTCTCATGGAAATACTCTCCAGGAAAGCGTCTCATTTCGCTTCGTTCTCGACGGCACAATACGGACTCTTTCCAACAACATGCCTCCTGCAGATGATTCGTACCGGGGGTTATTATTTGTCCCTGATCTCGATATTGATGACACCTGCAACACTATAACAGTGCCATTCGTTCCCAGTAATGTCACGAGACGCATCGATCTACCGGAATATGACCACGACATTATTGGCATTGCGCCCTGGGTGAATGCGAATTGCACACAGGCATATCTCGCCGCATCGCGACGCGAGAATGCTCGGGCCCTCATATTCTATCAGCCTGATAGCAACGCTGACCACGAATCAACCAAACCCCCACCGGCAGACGACAAAATCTGGGATTTGGGGGATAATGGACAGTGGAAAACTGATAACGAGTTTCCGGTTTATGCGATCCCTGGTCCGTCGGGGTCTAAGTTGATGCATCAGCTCACCAAATATTCAGGGCATTCCAGCAATAATAGTACAAATAATACTGCCGATAATACTTCTGGAGAAGATCCGAGATTCGCGGTTCGTTGCGCGAGACTGTATGCTTTACTTGATTTTGGTAAGATGAGATACAAAATATTTTCGATTACAAAATCTCTGACCGTGCTGGTTTATCTAGCACCCGAAACCTCATCGTCTGTGCCAGGGATATGGGTTTTCATTCTCGCGATCTTGGGCGCGTTAGTATTCTTGATGCTGCTTGCGTATCTAACAACACAACATATCCAAAGAAAACGGCGGGAAAATCTCCAACGACGCCTTGTCACAGGCGAAATCGACTTAGAACATCTAGGAATAAAGCGCCTTGTAGTCCCTCCACATCTGCTTTCGCAGTTACCAGTCTACATTTACCCCGACGAAGCCGAGAGAAAAACATCCTGTGACCCCGAAAGAAAATCCCACGAAACGGGTACTACCCAGAGATGCGACTTGAATGGCTCAAACGAAACATTAAATACCGAAATACAAGATCAACAATCACCATCACCTCAGCCATTCCCTAATGAGGTTTACGATGAAAGCATCTCTGCAATTCTCGAAGAAGTCTCACCGAATTCACAACCCCCACGGACGAAAAAAGGCAGCCGTCTGACTTTCTCCCAGCTAACGTGCGCTATCTGCCTCGATGATTTCGTGCCGGGATCTTCGCTCGTCCGCGAACTACCCTGCACGCACATCTTCCATCCAGAATGCGTTGATACCTTCCTTATGCGGGACGGCAGCACATGTCCCGTTTGCAAGCACAATGTGCTCCCACCGTCATTTATCTCGGATCAGGTTACGAATTTCATGGTTCGTCGGGAGCAGCAGATAAGGAGATTGCATAGTCATCAGGACGGTGATTTAGAATTGGAAGGTTTGTATCTGACTTCGTTTGAGAGGATGCAGGTTAGATTTCGTCGATTGTTTCGTCGATTATTTCGTCGGAATCGATTTGGCGCATCTGAAGAAGATGGTCAGATAGAGTCGAATCAAAGGCCGCCGCTATCTTCTGAGCAGTCGGATGAGACTCGTCAAGCGGAGGATCACGATCCGGCTCGGAGGGAGATGATACAGAGACGGGCTATGGCCTTGCTTGGAATGCCGGTGAATAATAACGCGACTCGAATTTCCGAAGAAAGTCATTCACTACCCTGATCAGCTCCTGCGCATCAACGCGATCCAGCGTCACCGTAATGTAAGCTTTGAAACCCCGATTCCGGAATGTTATTTACTGATGAATAATTTCCAGCGAAGAAAATTGATCTGCGACTATAATATCTGCATTTGGAGCCATTTCAATTTAGATTATATACCAATGTTTTGGAGTTGTGGGCTTGTTTGTCGATAAACTAAATACCCTGGGATTGCGGTTCATCATATTTCTCGGTTAATTTAGTATAAGAGTAACCAACTTGATTTATTCCGTTAGCTATAATATTAAATAATTGCTTCTCTATTTAGTATACGAAATATTGTTGTGTCAATGGCAGACTTGTCGCCGGCTCAGCAGTGCAGAGCTTCCCATCAGCCTCCACAGTCTAGTACTTATATCAGAATGTTGTATAGAACAGAAAAGATTTAGTGCAATACTTACGTATCTTTCAGGATCAACCTTCATTTTCGGCATTATGTTGTTATATTTCATATCCTGTTTCCCAATGTTCCTGCAGTTCTTCACTGGTTCGACGCGTTTCCGCAGGTTGTAGGTTTGAACGATACCGTGGGAAATGGAGGCTTGAGATACGAACATTATGGATGTATCCGGAACAAGGACCTGTTCTGTGTTTAGAGCGGATATAGGGCGAAATCTGGATGAAGGAACTTACTCCGAATTGGGGTCGCATGATTATAGGCTCGACGGTTGGGATGGAGGCGTTGGGGTCTCCCTATATAATGCATATCAGATATTTGCTGAAATCAGCGATTAAAGAAAGGCAAATACCATCTGAGCAACAGCAATCATGCCACTTTTGAGAACCATCTTAGGCTTCGTGCCAAAATTATCCGGTGTCCAGAACACCAGATCGGCTACTTTTCCAGCCTCTACGCTACCAATAAGGTGAGACATGCCCTGCGCAATGGCTGGGTTAATGGTATATTTGCTGATATATCGCTTGACGCGGAAATTGTCAGCTCCAGTGCCTTCATCCTCTGGTAGTACACCGCGCTGGAGCTTGTTCTTGTGCGCTGTATTCCAGGTTCGCAGGATCACCTCACCGCAGCGACCCATTGCCTGTGAGTCTGAGGACATCATACTGATAGCACCCAGGTCGTGTAGCACATCTTCAGCAGCAATAGTCTCTGCACGAATACGGCTTTCGGCAAAAGCAACGTCCTCTGGAATGTCCTTGGACAGATGGTGGCAGACCATCAGCATGTCGAGGTGCTCGTCGAGCGTGTTCAAGGTAAATGGACGCGTAGGGTTAGTGCTACTAGGGAGCACATTGGGGTGTTCAACCACAGAAATGATATCAGGAGCATGACCACCACCAGCACCTTCGGTATGGTAAGTGTGGATAGTGCGGTTTTTGAAGGACTGAATCGTCTGTTCGACGAATCCTGATTCGTTCAGTGTGTCGGTGTGGATCATACACTGAACGTCGTACTCATCGCACACTTCAAGGCAGGCATCAATAGCAGCCGGTGTACTTCCCCAGTCTTCGTGCAGTTTTAGTCCGGCTGCACCAGCAAGACATTGCTCCTGGAGGCTTTCTTTGCCGCTATCATTACCTTTGCCTGTGATACCCATATTGATAGGTAATGCATCGCAAGCCTGGATCATCTGGCGCATGTGGGTCGGTCCTGGAGTGCATGTAGTAGCATTACTTCCGGTGCTTGGTCCTGTTCCACCACCTAGCATAGTAGTTATTCCAGATGCAATTGCCTCATTTACCTGCTGTGGGCAGATAAAGTGAATATGCGTATCGAATCCACCAGCAGTTACAATTTTGTTCTCCGCAGCAATGACATCAGTCGAAGATCCTACGAGCAAGTCGGGATGAACGCCGTCCATAACATCAGGATTGCCGGCTTTCCCGATACCGGCAATCTTGCCGTTTTTGATGCCAATATCGGCTTTGTATATGCCACTCCAGTCAATAATAAGCGCGTTGGTTATGACTGTATCAAGACAGTCCCTGCTGCTTCGAGCAGAAGCCTGACCCATGCCTTCACGTAACACTTTTCCTCCTCCAAATGTACACTCATCACCATATACCGTGAAATCTTTCTCAACTTTGACCCAAAGGTCAGTAGATCCTAGCCGGACCAAATCGCCAGTAGTCGGCCCAAATAGACGAACATAAGCATCCCGTTCTAATGAACAGGGGGTAATGAGACCCAAATCTCCTACCGGTTCTGGGGCATGTGCAAAACCGGCTTGCTGTAGCCGAAGTACAATTTCTTCAGCACGGCTCGTATCAACCTTTCCAGACGCAAGATTGTTGCCGCCATTTATGATCTTATTGCCGCCGATTTCGACCAACGTGACCGTCTTGGTGTCACCCGGCTCGAAACGAACGGAAGTACCGGCAGCTATGTCCAGGCGATAGCCGTACGCTTTCACCCGATCAAAATAAAGCTGAGGGTTTGTTTCAATGAAGTGGTAGTGAGACCCGACCTAACAAAATTAATTCCAATCTTGATTATTCCCTGGGGAATATTGCTCGTACCTGAATCGGTCGATCACCTTTACTCATCACTTTAAGTCTAATGCGTTTCCGGCCATCATTAAGCATAACCCTTGCATTCTTGACTGGGATAACTGCACCAGGCTGCCTCCCAGGCTCATAGGCCTGAGGGTCAGGGTCAGGAAATGCCGATTTTGGAGGAACCGGTAGAAAGCTGCCGTAAAGGGCTCGTTCCAAGTTTCCATCCTCGGAACTGATCGGGTGGTGGACGGTGACTAGATACGTCCCCGTGGGAAATGTGCCCTCGACCTGCAACTCAACTAGACTAGAAACCACTGAAGGGAGAACATGGCGACGACCGATCATGGTCTTGCCAATAGACATGAGGTCGGCGACAGTGTGATTGCCATCACGGATGAGCTGGTGAACTTTGTTAGAATGGAATTAATGGGATTTTGAAGCCACTGGAGCATACTTCTTGGAGATTGGAAGATATCAAAGCCTGTATCAGATTAGATCACAAAATAACCGCTACTGTGCTAAGCTGCCGGACGCACCGTTGCTTCGGCATGGTTTAAGCGGACTCCCCGAGCCAGCCGGCGCTGGGCCAGAAAGCCAAGCTGCGATATCACTAGCTTGTCGATCTACAAGTGCGAATGCTAGTTAGTCATACATCTAACATGTATCTCCTACACGATTGAGAAACATATCATGCATAGTCGCAAGAACCCGCAGAGAACAACAATACAGGAAGTTCACTAGCATACCTCCTTCGGAATGAGCTGCATCTTCCTCGCGGCGTACAGGGACAGCTGTAGCTATCGCGCCAGCAACCAACAAAGGTCAAGGGTTTGGTGAATCAGGATTTCGTATAAAAAGCGAGCAAGAACATGGGGATGATGATAGTTATGAATCGCAGGCGGGGAAAAAAAGCAATGAGGAAAGTCAACGTGCTCGCAGGACTTGGAGGAGATTAACTGCCTGAGGCTGCACTGATAAGATAGGGCTGCCACTGATAAGATAGGGTTGCCACTCCTCATAGGCTGCAGCTTACCTATACTCTTCACTAATAGTAACTGCCATTATCCACCCACTGCTCTCTACCCGGATTGGAACCATGAAAATTGACTGGTATTAATTGAACTGAATTATTCTGAACCGCGATAATTTTTGGACACAACCCGAAGACCCAGCGCCCTCACGATCCCACCTAAACCAACCCATGTTTGCATCAAGAAAACAAAACAGAATAAGCTATGCGCCGACAAACTCTCAGATCACAGGATCTCACATTGGGGCCACGGAGAAAAGATTATGTACAAAGAAGCACCGCCACACGACAGCTGATAAATTAGCAACGCGAGTTGCGCACTTACTCGTCTCCACCGACCTCGCTCTTGCGCTTCTTCTTGTTGCGCTTGCCTTCAGTAGAGCCAAGAGGCTTGCGAGCGGACGCAGGATCCTCCTTCTTGCCTTTGGAAACAGGGGTCTGAGTCTTTTTCTTTTCAGGCGAGGCCTTCTTGCTAACAACTGGCGAAGAGGCAGTGTTGGCCTTGCCTCCAACACGACGACGCTTGCCGCTGGGAGGGGGAGTGGGTTCTTTGGGCTCAGGGGATGATTCGTCTTCATCGCCATCCTCTTCTTCGCCCCCTGACGAAGAGGACTCTTCGGCCTCGGCCTCGGCGGCAGCGACGCTCTGTTGCAACTGAATGTCGGCAGTAGCATTGTCGTCTTCAGGAGGTGCAAGTCCAGCCTTATACGCCTGCATCTTGGCTCTGTAGACGGCAAGGTTGTCTGCATAAAGTTTCTTCCAGACCTTTTTGACCTCTGTTAGCATGTGTTGGACAAGTGGTGGGACTCTCGAAAGCAAAACATACCCCCTTCTCCGACTCAGGCATTTCAGCCCAGCGCTTAGTGCCTTCCTCGGCGACATCCTTGGGCTTGGCATCAGAACCCATCTCTTCTGCAATAGCGGCACGGTTGTGACTCATGTACAAGAAGTAGGGAGTCAGGGCACGCTTAGGGGCATTAGGATCATGCGCAACGCGCTTGCGCTTCTTCTTTTCACCTTCAACTTTGCCCTCATGTGGGCTCACGTGACGAGGCAAGCCAGCAAGCAGTCCATTCTCGAGGAGAGTAGAGGCAAGGCCACCTGCGAGACCGCTGCCCAGGCTGCTTTCGATGCCAACAGGGCCACGGTTCAGGACGGTGTTTGCATGGTTGATGTAGGCGCGAGACAGATCAGACACAGCTGACTGCAGAGAGGCAAGGCTGACGATGACCTGAAAATTGGTTAGTTGCAGTTGGTTATAGTTTGGGTATTCGTCAAGTAAGTCGAGAGCCACGAGAGCCGCGCTAGCCCTCTGGATTTCTGCTGCGGCTTGTTGCATGGGGAAACCAAGGTTAGACGTTGGCTCGGGGGGGTCGCGTTGCGAAGGCGCGACGCTGATCTTAGCCATCGTGCACGGCTTTTTGGAAATGAGAGATTGCAGTCCCAAGACAGACAGTCCAACAAACAAGACTACAGTGCAGGGGAATACAAGCCAGGGAAGGGTACAGCAAGGCCTGGGGAGCAACAAAGATGCACAGTGTCAAGGCAGGAGAGGAAGGACGGCGCGGGAGTGTTGTTTGGGGCGCGTCGCGGCGAGCTTTGGGGTGGAACTTGGAGGGAGAGTGGAGGGAGAGGAAGAGCACTTACACTGTCGCGGGTACGAGTAAAGTCGTCAATGTTGACGGTGACAATGGCGTCCTTGGCCTTGGCTTCGTTCTTGCGAGACATGATTGCTATGGCAGGTATGTATGCTATTGTCCTGAGAATGTGTACACGAAGAGAGTGGGAGAGGGAAAAATGCTAGGGAACAGGCCGCGCGCTGGGGCGGGTAGGCAGCAGGCGGGCGCAGCGTGTTATGGTTTGTTTTAGGGGTGGGGGAGGGAAAGGAAGGAGGAAAATTTTTGGCTTGGGGGGGCGGGCGGGAGGGGGCATCAGAAGCACTAAATAGCCGCAGTCACAGGCCGACGACGACACTACTAGGCGGGCTAGACCTAGGGGCTATTTGGCAATTGGCAGCGTTCGCCATTGCCCAACGGCCCAACCAGGGTGGCTGCCCCTAGGCGCCAGGCTCGGGGTGGCTGTTTTCGTACTAGGCTACCAGCGCGCGGCATGGGCACCGCGCTGCAACAGAGGCAACTGGCCAGTCGTCTCAGGCCCTGTTGTAGGCGGTAGCGCTTGCTCCTCCCGCGCTCATTGGGTCTCGCGGCGTGGCAGCTGCAGCGCCGTGCCAGACGGTGCAGTCACAGTGCCTGCTGCACTACATGTACCATGATTTAGGCGTCCCCACCCTCCTTCCCGCCGCTGCCGTTTCAGAGTCTCTCCCAGCCTCCCTCTCCAAGCCTCGGGCTCCCTTCTCCTCCTCTCCCCGGCGTGTGCCCCCGGGACAACCACCACTTCTGGTGTGAAGGTCGCGTCAGCACCACCAAAACCACGATATCCCTTGTCACATGTAACTAGCAATCGCACATGCGGAGTTAATGCTACCTAATATGATTTCTCCTCACATGAAAGCCAAAAAAAATGGAGTGATCGCAGGTGCATCGCTGTTAAATATTAGAGATCATTTGATAATTCTCATTGATTTGTTGCTGTACGTAGCGGCCAAAAATCACGAGGCACACGTGCCCCGCAAACCGACGCTAAGGCCCGAAGGCCCTAAAAAATGGAAAGACTGGAGGGCGGGCATTCACCAAAGAGTGAAAACTAGACACTGGACTTGGAGTGCCCGCACGCTGCGCATGGACAACCACCCGGGCGACCCGGGCACGCTCTGCTCCGATTCGGCCTGCGCCTGGATCTTGCATGGGTTTCTCATCGGCCCTGCAAGATCAAAGAAAGCAATGCGAAAAAGCAATCATAGCTTGGCACGCTCGTTGATTACTCAACTGCTCTGATAAATAATTAAATAGGTTCTAGCACTATCCAGCTCACTTGAGTGTTTCAAGTGGCTGGCGCAAGCAATAGTACTACGTTTTTGATTTCGGGTGGGAAGACATGTACAACCTCGGGCAGCGCTATTTAGGTGCCGTCTCTTTTTGCAGCCCCGCGTGCCAGCAGTGAGTCTGGCGACCGTAGCTTCCGTTTAATATAGCCTCTTGCGAACCACGGTAACGCGGCTATGTGCCCTGCCTAGCGCTCCAGTACCCAGACACCACTAACAGGGCAGCACACTCTAACATTCCATGCCCCCTTGGGGCGTTATAACCTTCATTGCTCCGTGCGGCACTGTTATCTCGACTTTTACTGTGATGGTGAATAGGGTGATTTACTCCAATTCTCTAAGCTTTCAAATCATCAAATAAAAAGGCAGCCTCTAAACTATACACTTTACATACATTTACACGTGTTATTACTTTTATATGTCCGATTCGAATATTGAAGTCAATAACTTTCTGATCCATCGTTGATTACAACAATATATTTTCTAAGTCAATATGGTGCGGATTGATAACAAATACCTAGGATTATTCTCAGCCTAAGAAACTAAATAGTTAATTCGATACATATATCTATGTCCATCTGGAACGCTTCAAATATCGATCTATATATTCTATCATTATACCAACATTGAATTGTAGCTTGGTTTCTTAATCATGTAGAAAACCATGAAACTTAGAGAACATAGAGACGCAGTAAGAGTGATAATTATTCTTGGACATAATTATATTATTTAGCTATAATTGACAAGTTACTTACTCCCTTCCAGTTGTCATTGCTGTTTTTGGTTGTTCAAAAAATATCTGCTCTTGTCATATGAGCGAAGTTGTTGACAACATGCACTTGTATTTAATCTAGATTCCTTTTCAAGCACCTCATCTCCGGACTACTTTCAATTGGCATGCTAGCTAGCTTGTAATGCACTTGTGTATAAGATAGCTTCAACTGCTATCTCATATCAACTAATCTTAATATATCTGCATGATAGGGCATATACAATTGAGGGATATATCAATTAAATACTACATGGGAAGTTGACGTAACGATGTCTAATTTCGATAATCTGAAAGAAAATTAATATTGAATCGCCTGTATGCAATGCTGAATCGAGCTCGACATCTGGAGCTGATTGGTCTTTATATTTACGCACAAAATGGGTTGTTTTTAAAAACTTCAAGGTCATCGCTGGAGCTGATATTTAACGCATTTTTATTCACGAGAGGAAAATTCTAAAGCTACATTGTAGAGTTGATATACTCGAAATCACAATCGCTGCATTTACATCTAAAACTTAAAGACCTGTTCCTTGGAGTAGCCGAGCTCCTTGAGGTAGCCCGTCAACTCTCCTTGGTCCTTCGGGCTCAACTTGCCTCCGCTAATGGCCTTGTACAAGCCAGGCGGCCCGCAGACAAAGACCTTGATATCTTCTTCCTTGGGCTCTGGGAGCACAGTCTTGAGTAGCTCCTTGGTGATGTAGCCTTTGCCGCCAGTCCATTCCTTGGGTGGCTTGTCAAGGAGATAGAAGGCCTTGAATCGCTGTGGGTAGGTGTTCTCCAAGTCCTGAAGCTCCTTCTTCAACAAGATATCCTCCTCGCTGACATTTCCATAAACCAAAGTGACCTTGGTCTTGTCATCGGGGTTCTTGAAGATAGCACGGATCAGCTGGTACATGGGGGTGATACCAGTGCCACCAGCAAGGACGGCGATGTGCTTGTGTTTGTTGGCCACCCAAGGATATTTAGGGATTGGCCCCTTGAAGTCCAGGCTTTGACCAACATTCAGGCTGTGGATATGCTCAGACATGGGTCCATTGGGGTAAACCTTGACGATCAGGTCCAAGTAGCCGGGTTGGTCTAGTTTCAAATTAGAATTAGAAAATTCGAGGCGACATTGCAGACATTTCCCATACCTTCATCAGTAACTGGCGTGTAAGGACGAATGACAGGCTTTTCAGCACCTGGAGGGGTGAACTTGGTGATAAGGGCAGCTGTAGCTCTTTGTTAAAATACATATAGCCCACTCGTCCAAAGGAAGCTTCTTACATGCAATGTGCAAGCCAGAGGGCGCATCCTTGTCGGCGAATTCGAAGCGGAGTCTTTTGGTGTTGGGGCTGAGATCCTCGATTTCCCTAACTTTGAGGTTCACGAAGCCCTGTTCACCGCCAGTGAAGACTGGGCTGCTCAGCTTGGTCTCAGCAGAGGCACTGTTTCCCTGTGTGTATCTGTAGATCCCGGCACCGATGCCAATGGCACCAATCCCAAAGGCAACATTCTTGAATGTGTTGTTCTTGGCGGGTGCCTCGGTGGAGTATTTGCGAAAGCTCTATTTGAATGCACGTCTCAGTCTTTGTCGGACTATTTAGGGAACTTTGATGCTTAGTTTTCTGCTTACCTGTCTCGCAGGCTGAGAGAGCCTGAAAGCGGACCGCGCGAACATATTCAGAACCGATGTGAGGAATTGATAGAAATCAGTCAATCAATCAACGATTCAATGGACTCGAAAGAATTGTAGTGCAGGTGAGACCATGGAAGAGGTTCAGGTGCAGCGGTTGGTGTTTGTTGCTTACTGGCTCGGCCTCCGACAAGCTCTGGCCGTCCAGCCGTTATTATTGGCTTTCGTGACGCAATTGGGGGGGAGCGACGCCGGACATTACTAAGCGCTCGGCCTTTCCAGTGGCCCGAATCCGTCCGATGTCCCTTGGCGTTTCATTGTAACCCAAATCTTACTATGTACGATAAGAATATTCGTTAAATACTAGAATCCTTGTACTTTCTATCCAGTAACTAGCTATTAATGAATACAGTCAAGAACCAGCAATAATGTTGCCGGTGAGGAGTTTATCCATTGCTACAGTGCGGGTGGGAGAAGGATAACGTCTTGAGAGAATCAAAGAGCAAAGTTCTAACCGTGAATGCATAGCATCTAATTCTGCTCGACGCTAGACGAGCCTCGTCGTGGACGGGAGTGACATTAAACGCATACAGAGTTAATATCCATATGCGATCCGCTAGCCGAACTGATTGAACACTTCTGAAGATAGTAAATTTTTGATATCATTTGTAAACGCGGTATCATCTGGACTGGACATGACATAAAAGACCATCAACCCCTACATAGAGGCAGCCAAAAATGCCCTCTTCGTTTCATATGCTTTTCTCCCATATCGATGCTATGGCCATAGACAATTATAGAACCGCAAACCCTCAAACCCCAAAATAAACACAGTACGCTTAGGCGAAAGTGGATGGACGCTGGTGGGCGAAGATCTTGCTGTTGGACTGAGGAGGAACACGGTGAGGAAGGGGGAACTTGAGGCCCTTGGTGAGGAGCTGCTTGATATAAGGGCGGCGGATGCTTTCGTTGTCCTCAATTTCAACGACGCGAAGAATCTGTCACATAATCAGTACTGATATAGGAAGAGAGTTCATTTGGACATAGCTTACGTGAATAGAGCCAAATCGGGCACGGTGGCGGGCTGCCATGTCCTGGTACAAGGACTCAACGGCGTCGGTGCGGGAGAGTTCACGGAATTCCTTGTACATGTTGTGGGTACCGGAGCGAGAATCGTAACGGATCCAGATACCGAAGTTCTTGACCTTGGTGGGACGCTTCTCGTTGATCTTTTCGAGAGGTGTTAGTTTGTTGTCCAGTACAGCCATTCACAGAAAATTCCTTCACGGGTCACATACAATGTTGAGGCTGACGATTTCACCGTTGGCCTTCTTGACCTTCTTCAACTTGGTAAGGAAGTACCAGAAGCGTGACTTAGCCACCACTGTGTTGGGAGCAAAGATACGCATGCGGTACAGCTTGGGCGTCGGGTTCGCCTCGGAGGGCAAATGACGCCCGATGACCTGGTACTCGTTGAGACGACCTAGAAGAGTCCATCAGTATTGTAGGCCAGTAAAAAGCATAAATAGTTCCGGGCACAGCTTGATTTCCACTTGTCGGGGGATTGAGTATTGCGAAGGTCGCATGATCCTTGTGAACGTCGAAGTTTTGTCTGCAGTTCGAATAGTTGTGTCCATGTCAAATCCCAGCCGTCAAAGAAAACATTCGCTCGCATTCAAGTGCAATATTTGCGCGTATTCGCGATAAAAGTGTGTCGATGGTTGCGTGAATTGTCCATGGCAGTCTCACAAAAATCTCGACCCAGTAGGCACAGAACAAAGCGGGAAATCGAAGCTGAAGCCCGGAACGGTTTTTTATGATAATAAAAATTGTGAGCTTACCCATCTGCAGAGAACCGTTAGCAAAATGAATGGAGTGGTTAAATAGAGCATGCACACTCACTTTTGTCGATGTTGTGTCGAGTCTCCTGAAGAAAGGTATGCCGCTGACAGTCGAGTGAAGCCGAAAATGGCGGATTGTGAAGTTCTTCGTGCTAGGGCTGTGGCCCTCCGCTTAAGCGAAGTGGAGGCTGAGGCGCACGCTAGCCGTTATGGGTTCACCAGCCACAGTTGCGGGATGGTGGGCAACTGGCCAGTCACGGCCCGCCAGTATTAATGGCTACTATGCATATGCATCGTTGGTCTCTTTTGTTCTTCCATCTTAGACGGTTATCGACTGGCCTCAAACTTGTAGTACTGCAGAAAGCCTGGGCCAAGCGATAAAATAGCCATGGCATCGGTATTTGCCGACTTCAAAGCTGGCCATACGCAGCAGTCAGGGCCTCTTTTGGCTGCTGCTCTCACACCAGCCGCAACTGCGCAGGATCCCAACCGCCTCCTGGATTTCTACTACATAACCAATAGCGCAAGCTCCGAAGGTGACCTGCGTCATCATCTTCTTTATGACAGACGCACTGGTGTCAAGCTTAGCAAGCAACAAGGCAACGCTTGGGTTAATGTTTTCAATGCTTTTTGGGCCACTATCGCCGAGCTAGTCAAAGTCCAGCAGGAAGCGCGAGGCAGCTGGCTGAAGGTATTCGAAGCGTGGAAGGAGTTCACCAATCAATTGATTCGAGGTTATTCATCCAACCATTTTCAGTCTTGGACGATACCTTGTCTCTATGTCGCTGGGAAATACCTACGCTCTTTCGCTATAAAAGCGGACGCTGCCGATTCCTCTCAGAATGCAGCTTCTTTCGGTAATGGGTTTCAGGACGATGTGGTTTCAAATGTAGAGAAAAATGCCAATCTAGAAGACGCTGCGAGAACGATCAATCGAATGTTCACACTTTGCTTGAGCGACCGGTAAGTAATGCACGTCTCGCATTAACACGTAAGCTGATATACATGATAATAGAGCTCCAATCGAAGAGTCACGGAAATGGGGCATATATGAGACGACAAACTTGTTATTCAAGACGTATTTCAAGGCACGAATCCTATACACAATCCCTTCTCTATATCTACGCGTCTGTCTTAGTCCGCAACTAACATACGTCTAGCTAAACCAAGTTGGGCTTTCCAAGAGTGTTCTTCGTGCTTTGAATGCATCTTCGGCGGACATGCCAAGACTAGAGCAATTTCCAAAATCCCACATTGTAACGTTCAACTACTATGTTGGGCTCATTCATTTCTTGGAGGAAAATTATAAAGAGGCATAGCTCCATAATAAGCCTTTGTCTGCGACCCATTCTAATATTTGTCTAGGCCGAGGAAAATCTTACACAAGCATGGTCGCTGTGCAAAGCAGATGCTTGGAAAAATAAAGAGTGAGTAAAACACTTTTGAAGCTTATGCCATTCTGACACTCTCAAGGTTAATTCTCACCTATCTGATCCCCTGTCATATTGTCACCACACATAGACTACCAAGCCAGCAACTCCTTGCACCCTTTCCTCGCCTGGAACAACTTCTCCGGCCACTTTGCGACTGTATTAAACAAGGAAACCTAGTTGGCTTCGATACCGCTATGTCTGCAGGAGCAGATGAGTTTGTTAAGCGTCGAATATACCTGCCGCTCGAGAGGGGTCGTGACCTAGCTCTTCGAAATCTGTTTCGCAAGGTTTTTGTTGTAGGAGGATTTGAACTAAGCAAAGATGGACAACCTCCTCTCCGACGCACACGTATACCTTTGACTGAATTCGCAGCTGCTTTGCGCATAGGCAACAAAGCTGATGAAAAGTCCCGTGTTGACATGGACGAAGTTGAGTGTTTGTTGGCTAATATGATATATAAGGTGAGTACACAGCAGGTTCGCATGGTTCGCTTAACTAACGAGTTGGTCAGAACATGATGAAGGGCTACATCTCCCGAGAACGCGCCACAGTTGTACTCAGCAAGTCAGGGGCATTTCCCGGGACTGGCGTGTAGATGAAGGGTCCCGCCTCCAATGAGTCTAAGCAGATTCAAAATGATGACACTAGCGCCGTCATAATTGATACTTGGCCAGCATATCCCGATTACCACGTACTGACCAAATAGAAGTACGCAGCTTCCAAAATATCGGCTCATAACCATTCCTGAAAATATCTTTTAACGATATGGTCGATTCTAGAGAACCTTTAAGTAGGAGCGTGGGTTGACTACAGGAACGTGGCAAGTTAATCAGCAAACAACCCATAATGAAACAGATCCGACCAATGGCAATTCTCGTGACCTATCTGTCACATTTCTACAGCTAGTCCTTTATCTTAAGGTCCATGGCAGGCTTAAAATTTCTATGCAAGCTGTTCACTTGAAGCATGTCACTATATAGCTTTTGGCATTTTCGCCAACAAGGTGAGACTCATAGTTTTTTTCAACAAACTGGGTGGTACGTCAGTGAGGATTGCCAATGATTTTTATTTGTTTACTCGTCCTAGGCATATTTGCCCTACTCGCATACCCAATGTATCCGCGAGTACCTCTCCTTGTGCCTTGTATCGCAGGAGTCCTACAATTTCCACAGAACTTCTTGACATCTTTTCTTTGAAGAAGTCTACTACGATGCTCGCTATGTCTTTTATAATAGTCCTCGTATGCGCTGGAAAGAGCTATATTTAGACTATATACATAAGTAATCCATCCGCGAGTTTCACGCTTTGTGCCTAGTATCGCAGGAGTCCCACAGACTTCACAGGTACTTCCCTGTGGGTTTCTTCGGACTGCTCTTTTAGCGACACGGTATTCTACAGTAGCCTTATCAGGAAGTTCTCCTTTGCGATTCCGAAAATCATAACAAGATTCGCAAAGAAGTCCCTCAGAGGGATCTGCTGGGTCTAGAGAACAACGCCGCGGCTTTCGGTCCCAGTCGCGCATAGCTACTTTAGGGCAAGTCATCCTCTTACAAGTTGAATCCGCACACCGCGATGCGTTAGAAAAAGCAGGATGTGGAAATAGTCTATTTATAGGCCAGTCTAGGTTTGTGCTCCAGATAAAGGAAGATTTAATCTTCAATGATTGCGCTATATCATCGATAAGAGTGTCCATCACCTTTGGATGATGTTTCCCTTCATAGCCACGCCATTTACATGTACGAAAAAGGATCATAAAAATCCCTTCAAGTAAAATTAAGTAGCCCTTCTCAATTGAACAGTCTTCAAAAATAGCAATAGGCGTGATATTTGGCTGAACATCTTCGTGACAGAAGAACTTGTAATGCTTCGGATTTTTTTCACTTTTAGGAAGCGTCTGCGGTGTATAGTCCCGTGCCATTGTTAGATGTTCCTTGATTCGCTTATATAAATCATTCGTGGAACCAATATATCCCGTAATTCTTTCCTTATTGCAATGCTCGCATAGGAAGAAATTGGCATACACACCCATCGAGCCATCTACGGAGGATTCTGAAACAAGATCGAGGAGGTCATTTGCTGACCAACTCTCTTGTTCAGATAGCAATTGGACATCATTAGTAATTGTTGGAAGATACATATCTACCAACTCATCTACAGATGCCCTACGAAGACAGCCCCAGAAACCTATGTTTATTGGCTGACCACTACCAGAAATTTGGTTATTCTGTGCCCATGTTACAAGGTACGTTATAGCATTGCAGAGTAATTGAGCAAATGAACGTCTCTGACTTTGACGCCAAACAACATCTGTGTCTGACAATGAGCGAGCTGGCTCATCTACTTCAGGACGTTCGGATTCAACGAGATGGTCGCTATCATCATGATCGCTCTCGTCAAGGACCTCATCCCCCTCAGAAAGGCCTTCCCATTCGGACGAGTCCTGACTGAGAACATTCTCATCTTCAGTATCACTCTTATTACAAAGACCAACGCCTTCGTGAGGTGAACTTTCAATGAGTTCTTTGCTCTCATGGTTGAAATCATTATTATGATCTTCACAACCCTGTATAGAGTCTAGACCCACAACAAGAAGATCCACAGCTGTATTGCTTGCAGATTCACTTCCCCCTTGAGAACCCGGGATACTTCCCGGAACATGAGGCCTTGCATCAACAAACTCAAGGTCATCAACTATATTAGCCATCCCATTATCCCAAGCATGAGGCATTTCAGCGACAGGGCTGGCAGGTTCTTCATTCTCTTGAGGACCAGGGATCTTAATTCCGAGACTGTGAGACCGATCAGTATCAACGCAGGCATTTCCAGATGGAATATCGTCCTGGTCTGATTCGAATATACTATCCGACACTGCATCAGCCGACACAACACAAACGGATTGAGAAAGCGACACTATAATTACCTGGCTTTCAATCCGAGGGTATCTAGTCTCACGATTGGCATCGCTTGAATCCCAATGATTGATCGTCTCATCGTAATTGATGGGACGACTTGGACGAAGAACACGTCGACTAAAAACAGATTTCCACACAGAAATAGATGATCCTCATCTAAGAGACGCTTGGACAAAGAAGTATTTAAAGCTATTATCAGCAGTGGCTGCTATACACCCATCAGCAAGAATCTTCAATGATGAGTATAGAGTTACTTGGAAGTTTTAAGGCAAGTTGATGGAAACACTCAATTATTCATTGCAGATGAATTACAAATTATATAGTTGACCAGCATTACAAAAAGTGAGATTCGAGCAAAGATATACACATCGATCAGCTATTCACAGGGAAGATACACCTTCTTAATCTAACAGACACACAGCATCCCACCTCAAATTGACCACTCACAGTCAGCTATGATGTTTAAAGTGTCATTCACGCTGGTTGTGACTCTTGAAGTGCGTCAACTTGTGCATCGAAATCATCGAAATCCCCAAGAGAGAGAAGAGCATCTCTAGTCTTCAGAGAAGTTGTCTTATCTGCCACGGCCACGGCCAACTTACCGGTAGATAAGATAAGGGGATTGATGCGCTAACACCCAAAAGGAAATTTCTGCATCGCGGGCTCGGGACTCAAACGCTTCCTCCTAGCTTATATTATCTTTAGGTGCCCCATCAGATCCACTAGAACAATCCAGTAAAACCTACCAAAAGAGTTTCTCCGCAAATCGCCAGTTATGTGCCGCCTAACCCAAGAAACCCTTTTGGAATGCCTTTTACAGCATGGAGTAGGTATAGAGGATGTCTGGAGGTATCAGATTGCCTATCGTCTCTCATTCATTGATGAAAAGTTGTACCCAGGTCTTTCGGTGTATAAGCCTTTATGGAAGTAAATACTAACTAGGAGTAAAACCAAATATCACACGTTAGAACTCATTTCAACGCTCTATAGCTTTGCTATTTTGCATAGACAGACCTCCAAAAGAACGGATTTTGATGGAAGACGGGGTCAGCATTCTGGTCGTCTTTGTCAACAATGACACAACTTGCCATCTCGGAACCAATTCCTATCCGAGAATTCAAGGTTCTAACCCCCGAAGGAGAAATTAAAGTTAACGAGAATAGCATATGGAGTCGCTTCTGGAGTAAGTGATGTATTTTGGTATCGATCTTATTGCTCTTGATTTCAAAAGAACGGGCAAATATCAAAATACCTACCCTTATGAAAATCGACAAACAGAAACAACGAGCGTCAATTTCTAAACTTCATATCCAATCTGCTTTGTAGATCAATTTGTAATGTACATGATTATCCCGAAATCATTAATAAAACCTTTCACCAGACTCTTTGGGCAAAGTGTTTCTTCTGGCAATCTTCCCTAATAGCAAACAAACCCGCAAGTAAAAAAAAGCAAGGACGATACAGAATGGATCAAAAAATTCAACCAGATGACTGATCTTGAAATTCTTCATTTTAGAAGATCATAATAGTACAGAAGCACCAGCCTTTATCCATTGAGGATATTTCAAGGTCAGTTCTGAAAGCAACATTAATATTCTGGAATGAGAAGGGTGTGGTATGTATGCATATACGAAGTGGTGATGATGTATGATTATGTTCATGGGAGCCGTAACGACAAGCGTCTAGCGAGAAGAGGCAGAAAAGGGAGATTTCGGTGACTTGGAAGAGGAGGCGAGATCATCCTAAAAAGGAGATATTTGTTAATTTAAAATATCGGAAGATAGGTTTAGCACGTTTACCATATGATTAGACATAGCAACAAAAAGGTCAAAAAAGAGCTTGCCACCCTGCTCCATCTCCATCTGCATCGTGCCACTACGTTTGAAGGTTGATCTGCTTCGAATGATCAGAGCCAGGTAGTGTGCACGGAGTTTGGAGTCTGTATCCGGCGTGTGGGCGTAAGCATACCGGGCACTAGATAAGATAGTGCTACAGTGGACTCCAGATTGTAGACCTTGTTTGCGAAGAGCTAGTCGTTTCAGATCTGGTAGACTATATCGTACAGCAGCACAGCTGAAAAAGATTAGCCGCCCGTGAGGTATAAAGTTGAAGAATGCCGCTTACTATATGACCGTGTCCTTCAAAATCATGGTATCATCGACATTGTACAGTAAAGCAGATTCCCCATCAGTATCCATTTGATCATTCTCTACCTCCCAGGTATCACGACGCTTATCATGCACTAGCCGAGGGTAATAATCGCCTTTGTAGAGAAATTCAAGTATACAAGAGAGGATTTCTGGTTGTTCGTCTGGCAGATTAATCTGCTTGTTATGAGGCTCGAGAAACTGGCCGCGACAGCAGGCAGCAAAGAAAGGTGACATGCATAATACATGCTCGTGTGCAGCAAACAAACGTTGCTCTTTCCCCACTGCGATGGTGATGATGGCCGATGTAAGATCCCTAGCGATGCCGGAAGGTATCAGACCCAGGTCTTGTTTTCACGGATGCAATATGATGGACTTACTGATCGACTGGAGACACGTCGAGTTTCTTGTCTCGTCGGGTTGCCCGAGAACTAGTGGAATGCTCTCTGAAAGACCTCTTCATGCTGCGAGACGTCGATTTGCCCGCTCGATACTTGTCCGAGAAGCTATCTGACCGACTGTAGGTCATCTTCTTGGAAAACATTTTGTCTACCTGATGGAGCTAAAAGAGTCTATGATAATCTGAGATCGACAATCGAAAGCAAACATAAGCAAAGTGATATTAGTTCAGCTTAGTACTGCTGAACCCTGGTGAGTGGTGGCCTTGGGCTCACGGAATAGGGGCATCTTCTTGCCGCCCGACACGAGCAAGGGCACATCTGCGGGTTTTATAGAGGGACGGATGGCAACCCGAGAGCCCGGAGTCTTCAGGCATCATCCCAGATTGCGAGGGAAAACGATAAAGGGCATTTAGCAACTAATAAAAGCTAAAGCTCAGCCGTGCGACACGGTCGACGCGCTGTCCCCCTCCATTTGCTCCCTGATTGGCCCGAAGCTATCGCGAAATTGACACGTTGTCACGTGAGTCAATTAAGAGTGGTCGGCGGCCCCAAGGGATAATGCAGGATTTGCCTAGTCATGCAGCAGTGAGTCAAAGACTCAACGATGGCGCATGGAGAGTTCGGCTAGCTGTCTAGCCTGTGCCGATGCTTCCAAGTTCCTGGGCTTTTGCCCGGGTGTGGAGGCAACGCTGACTGCTCAAAGATGGGTCATGCCGCTGCTGGTGGGTGGGTGTTTTGTACGGTATGGATCGGCTCGAGTAGCTGTTTCCTGCAGGTACGTACACTGGTGCCTGTGCGCTGTAAACCCGATATCAGACGGCTAGACAGTCAAATTTCAGCATTATTATTTACGCTACTATCCCACTACTGCAAGGATCCTGATTGTTGGAATTACTTGGCGTCACCCTGTCTGTCGCCTTGAGACAGGCTAGCGAATGGCTGAACGGGCTAATTGCCATCTCTCCACCGAAGCTCCGGCTGCAGCAACCTCGGAGCTCGAAGTAATATTATTATTATTATTAATAACTCGGCTTTGTTTGACTCGTTTCGGGTAGCAACTGGCAATGATCGTCATTCGCTTCGACCGTGGAGGGATGGGATCAGAGTTGGTAAAAAGGCATAATACGAACATGAATCCACTATTTTGAAGGTTTCATGGTTAGCATGTCACACGATTACGGCGGAGATATTATCTCTTTATTGTTTTCACCATTTGAAACAGCTGAGATAAAAGATTCCAATTTCCTGGAGGTAAGAATAAATATCATATATATGTGGTAGTATTTGTGTGAAGTTACAACGCCATTCTTCCTAGTCGTCATTCATATACTTGGAAGTCCAACCTAACGCCAGCGCAAGTGATCTTCGAGGTAAAAAGAAACCGAAACAAAGAGAATCACAGAAATACTTTTCGAGCATCTCTGGGATGACTCTCGTTTGGACAGTACGGACATTTGAATTTGTTGCCTTTACTAATCCGTTGCAAGGATTCTTGGGCAATGACATGCCCACATGGCATCATCATTGGTGGGTTTTGATCGGTGGTCTGCTCTTTAGAGACGGGACATACGAAAATAGAGTGAAATAGATAAGAGTGGGGGAGTGGTATTTCAACCTAGAACAAAATTAATAATCAATATTCCCGACGTGAGAACTGGAAATTTTAACATACCGGTAACTCATCCTGCGTTGTCCACTCAGTTCTCTTAGCTTTCATGATGGTTTGCAATTTTAGAAGAGTCGGAAGAGCGATAGCACCGGCAGTAGCGGCTATGTAAAGAGGCGAATCTGCTGACAGTCCGAGGAGCGAACAGAATTCTCGAGTAAATGACTGAGACACATCTGACCAAGCTGTCGTGTTATTAAAAATATGTCGATAAGGTGAAGCCTGAAGATTGGGACTGAATGCCATGGCACCCATGAGTTGCTGTATTTCCTTCAAATGTCGCGGCATAAAGTTTGAAAATTCCTGCCTAGCATAATCCAGCGCTGCTTGTCGCCGGGTCGTCATTGGAGACTGAGGATCGTTTCCGCCGTGAAATAACCAAACAAACCGGAGTCTGCATAGATCAAACTCAAGGTTACTCCCTCTAGCCTCCAGCAAACTTCTGTTTTCCCTAGCCCATTCAATTGCCGGTAAGAGGTTTGACTTCTCTTTCAGCTCGTGCAGAATGTAGTACATCGAGGCAAATTGTTCTCGAATTTCACCGGATTGGATCTGATCCAATGAAAAAACTGGCTGGAATTTTTCGTCACTTGAGCGACCCGAGCCTTCGTAATCGGGTTGAGCCGGGGTTTTGTCCTGAGCGATTTCGCTCAGGAAAGTAGATGCGACGGAAAACTGCCCTTCTCGTAGCAGATGCATGGCTATCGCTCGGTTGACAAGGGCAGGAGAAGATGATAAAGCGTCATATTCGGTACTAGGAAGAGGTCGGTCCTTGAACAGCTATTTACTCGGATCGGTCAGCAGACTACATTTCCACGTAGTGAAACCCAAACCAGTAAGATAACATGCCTTCTCTAATGCTTTCGTGTACTTATTGAGACCGCTATGTGCCTCTTTCAAACTGTCGTTTGTTGTATCAAACGATGCTTTAACAGGGTTCTGGAGCTTAGCAAGGGTGATTGAAGCCTTGGTCGGGTCTGAAGAAACAGCTAGTCAGAACGCATCATATCATGGGAGGCAAAAACTGGAATTGCAGGATAGGCCTCTTTACCAGCAGCAATAGCGTTCCGAGCTTCCTGCAGCAAGTCTATCGTGGATTGCACCTCGTTGATTGTCTTGCCAGCCTTCAAACGCCTCCACACCCGATCATGTTCTTTCTGGAGGAGGTCCATGATCCACCAAGCACGGCTGCGGCTAATGGGCACCGCTGAGGTAGAGTCCAAGATGTGCGACGGTCCATATGTCGAGCAATGCCTGATTAAGAGGCAGACGATATTGAGCCTCTGCCGTCGAAAGAGTTGGAGTTGTCTTGTCGGAGTTGCAAGTGAGCTGCTTGTCCATGAGAAGGTGGCGGTCACGAGCCCAGGCTCGAGGTGGGGCCGGGACCAGCAATGCGGTTGGCCGCGAGCATTCATCTCGACTTGCCATTGGCTCTTCGGTTATTGTTGGGGCTTACCATTTCTTGACTTTACAGAATGAAAATAAAATCAATATGAGCTGCTTACTTGCTGTGCTGCCAGCCATAATCCTCGTGGTATAATGACGCTTTTCCAGTCTATGTGCAACAATTGAGGCAGGCGCGGAGGGGGTGGCTGTTCTTATTGGTCGAGTTCCCCATCCGGAGTGACGTCGTTCCTTCCAATTGTTTCTCACCGCCTGCCGCATGTGATCTTCAGGCATCTGCGAAGTGTAGAGTCGAAGACCTTCTTCTCACCCAACACCAGTCCTTTTTGAATGGCGAAGCCATACTCGACACTAGAATGACTCATGAAAAGATTCTTTGATATTCCCAGCGCATGAGAATATATCTTTGTTATCAGATATGCCCCGTCAGTTCCCGTTCCCTCGCCAGGCATCTGTCTTAAGCGCTCCTCGAGAGTGTCGGTCTCCATACTACCTCCAGACAAAGCTCGAATGGCCTCGCTTATAGCGACTCTGTAATTTCACCGCAAAGTATCCTTCTAGAAATGTCGTCGCTCTCCACTGGAGACCCGAAGATGCCCATTGGGTCATCCACGCCGGGATCCAAGCGAAGCAACCATGTCCGTCAGTCGTCGAACTTGGAGGGAGGGGCTATGTCATTTGATAATCGTGCCAGTGCCGAAGAACAAAATGCTCACAAAAATCATCAAAGAATTGTCTTTGCCGACCCTGTCGCGCTCATTTATTTGGAAGAGGACCCATCAACAACCGTTCTGCACCGTCGCACGACCTTACAAGGATACGAGATGTACATTGTCGAGCAGTGGGCATGTTCTCGGGTCCATCCCACCTTTATTATTTGCACATATACCGGTGATCCTTCGCACCGAATACAAGTTGGGGTCTTGAGCGTCCCCACGGATAGAGACAGCTGGTCGCCACGTCTCAAATTATACTTCAACGCTGTGCAACAGTACCATGCTGCAGCTAGAGAGACGCCTCTAGGCACCTTGATGGTCGCGAACTTAAGTGCTTTTCCTTCTGCCCTCACAGTCATTGCGATTCCAGACGGTGATGTGAGAAAACATCGAGAGGACTATATAGTCAACGAGAATTTGAAGCGGCTGGGGTGTGTGGGACGAGCAGGCTTAAAAATACAGCATCCGTCACTGGTTGTTGAAGCCAAATTTCATCAATTGTATCGGACAAGCGACCGTGTTCCTCTTTACACTGCGGTTATGGAACTTGTCAAGCAGTGCCAGATCGCACTCATTATTTTCGACAAACTTGCCCCTGAGTACGCAGATGGCCTTTTATGCGACGTCACCGAAAAGGCAGTAGGTGACTGGTGGGCAGACATTGGTACCGAACTATACAATATTGAGCCAAGCGATGGGATCCTTGGGCCTACAACAGTCTCAGCACTGCTGGGAGCATTGATGGGTGCACGCCATAGATTGCACGCTGTTGGAGCCCCTGTTCCTAAAGATGCATTCGAAGTTTCAAGTATGAAACGGGGAATTGGCAGTTTCCAGAAGTCACAAAAACTAGAACGTACGCGACGGTTGGACCGCCACACTCTCGATAGGCTTCACCGAGTGAGCCAAAAGTCTACTAGCTCTGAACGTTGGACAGGTGCTGTCAAATCAACTGTCGCTGAGTTAAGGGGCAAAGGAGGTGAGATGGTGATGGGGATGGTCGGCCGAGATAGAGGTATAATATCTGATATCGAAACACTCGATCTAGAACGATTTGCCCAGCTAGCCACTGGTGAAAGGGCTCGCTGGCTGTGGCAGGGAAAACCTTATAAAACTGGTTTTAACCACGATCTTGAGACGAATTCTAAGCCGGACGACCTTGTCTTTACCAAGGATGATCAAGGGGGCTATGTTTGGGCAAGCCGAAAGCGGCGCACCGACTCAGAATCCGCCCCAGATCATGTTAGAGAGGAAAATGAGAGCGGTAGACGTTCCAACGATTTGACAACAACAGTGGAAGATAGAGACCAAAATCTTGGTCGAATAGTATCCCGAAGTCTGACCGAAAGAGTGTCAGATGCTCGTGCCGGTTTTGGCAGATTCAAAGATACTATTAATCTACCAGGCCGTCGTTCTCACCACCCTCACCAACAGCAACATCGTCATACGCCGAGTAAAGAAGGCATTAGAGTCGACACTAACGCATACGATAGTGGCGGTGACAGTGAACCCGACCATGCTGCGGTCAGACTTGATCGAATGCCTGAACCAGTTGCTAAAGAGAGTGCCGATGCTCTGGTGGCTACTGAAACTGCAAGTGAACCTATGCATGAAGCGGAGAAATCTTCACCAGCTCCGCAGCCGCAAAAATCAACATCTGATCCACCTGAAATTCACATTCAAGCAGATTCTTCCTCGGCAGAAGAGACGAGTTCCTTACAAGTGCTCCACAGTGACAGACCGCAAACAGTGCCAGAGGAAAGCGATAATGACCTGGAACTTGCAAAGACTCGATCGACCGATGCTGCTAGTAGTCAGGACATACCCGAAGGTCAAGCTTTCAAAAGTCTTCGCCGCTCACAGAGTTTTCCGGACGAAATGTTCGACCTTCCTACGAAATCCGATGGTAATCGATGGCCTCGCCATTTGTCTTTCAGCATAGTAGAGGAAGTTGTCCTCGTTTGGGAAGGGGTCAAGGTTGTGAAAACCGAACCAGGCGATGATAAATCCTCGAACTTCAAACAAGCCATCCTTCAGGAGAGCTCTCTATTCTCAGACGCACAAATATTCAATTCAAAAGTCCGAGGACTGAATCAGAAAACCGTGCCGTGGGTTGAAAATCAAGTTGCTTCAGTTGAGCGCTTGCATCAACAGGCCGCTACAATGCAGGGGGAATTGGGATACATCTACCCAGAGCGCTTAGAAGAAGCTAGGGCGCTCCGAGAGCGCATCAACCAGCTACTAGGGGACGAGAGCGCGCGTGTGACTGAAGAATTGAAAAAGGTCGAGCTGTTAGGAGCCAAATTAGACTATGAGCTGAACGTCTTGGAATCGAAGGTTGAAGATGTCGAAGAATGCCTCCAAGATTTTGAGCGGAACGTTTCTGAAATCGAGAAGCGGATCAAAGATCTTGTCAAGGGAGAGCGAAAAAATGATACATCTTGGTTCTCCTGGTTCGGCAGGAAATTCGGGCACTTGCATATTTAGCTACTTTTTGCATCTCATACCTTTTTTCTTGTATATATAGGTGATTTGCGTCACACATATCCATATAGGGAGCGAACAGCGTATTGATTGTAATATCTGCATAAATAATATACCACTTGACCGTTGAGATCTTTATATCGCTCTTTTTTTCATTATTTGATTCAAACGTCTAAGATCTAGACATCCAAAAGATAGAGATTACAAATCGGTAGTGTCTATTCTAAAAAGTTATTCAACTCAGACACAAGCAGGGTCGCAGTTCGCATATATATTGTACAATTATTATATTTCTTTTGAATAATGAGACCCAGTCATCAAATTATACCAAAAGACACCTCAACGATAATGATATGTGGAAAAAGAGTGGAGAATTTGAACTCTCATCAGGCAAGTAGAAGCGGCTGTAGTCACAAGCTTCATAAGCAGCCTTTCCCCACTGAGCATCGAGCCACGGTGTCAAGCAATAAATCATCTAAGTCGATGTGAATAGCGAAGAAATATAATCTTTCTTTACATGCCGAAGCCGCCGATACCACCGCCACCTTGTCTGTTGGCAGCCTCGCCTTGCATCTTCTCGCTAACTTTGATGTTCACTTCAAAAAACTTGGAGACACAGCGGTCCAAGCAGACAGATTCCCCCTTGTTCAAATCAGATTCTCGGTACTCTGTTGGGATACATTTTGCGTTACACGATTGTGTCAAGCTACAAAATGATAGAAGCCGTTAGCCTGCGTTCTAGAATTGGGCTGGTCGCGGAAGCCTTGAGACAATCAACAAGAAAAGGGGCCTACCGGTTGAACATATCGGATACCATCTCGACTTCAGTCTCTGCAGCAGCAATCTTCTGCTCAGAAGAAAGCTGGGGGCGACCGCCGAATAGGAAAGACATTTTGGAGTTCTGGTGACGTCTGTTGTTCGGATTTCAGGGAAAATCGCAGTACTACTCTATAAATTAGATGGTTAGAATTTTCATCGGCATTTTAATGTGTAGCGCGATCGAATCCACTGACTTGGAGTGTGATTATAATGATTTGAGGTGGAAATCAAGTATGACCAAGGCCAGTCGAGAAGTTTTCCAGTGCAGCTCTCAGACTAATCAGGACCGGGAGCTTGGACCACCTGCCGTGTCCGCCGCCCGCTGCACACAAATCTCTGGCTTCATTCCGTCCGCTCTTCACTTTTCATCCAACCCAGCCAAGCAGGCCGACAACACCGGCACTTCATCTGGGCCGCAAGATATGCGGTGCTTATAATCGCATCAGAGACAGATGCTACCCATTGGCCCTGGTCGGCCCCCCTGGGGTCTTCTGGGAAGAGTACCAGTACGGTAAGTTTCTCATTTTTCCTTGGCCGTCTTCTTCGTCTCCTAGGTCACCTGTACTTGATGAAACAATGCCTATTTCTAGAACCGCTGCGTATGCAGTATGCAGTTTGTTCTGCATACAATGATCTCAACCGGTCTCTTTGTTACTGAATTAAGCCTGGCTTTTGAACAATTCTGGCAACGACTTGCTTGTTTTGTGGGCTTGTGCTAACGAGGAATTATAGATATAGGTTATTCGACTTTTTACGTACTTCGACTCTATCATGTAACAGTTCTAACTATGCCGTACAAAATCCCACTACCCAACACTCATTACACAGAACTCGCCGATGCAGTAGTACAAAATCAACACCTCAGCCGGGCTTCACCAGTCGCCTACATGAAGTTTTGACTGCAGTACCGGAACCGTATCCACGTCTAGAAGACAATCCAAGCAAGATTAGCATCGCTGAATTCCGCGCGCGTTACAACCACCTTGAGTCGGATCAAATAGTAAAGGAGGACACTGTTGCGGTTCAGGGTAGGTGTTGGCCTCGTTCCGGCCCTTGCTATAATCCTGTACTTAGATATGTAGGCAGAATACGATCTTATAGGCTTGCTGGCAGCAAATTGATTTTCTTTGATATCACCCAAAATGGCTACAAGATACAGGCTATGTGCAACCTACGGCAGCTGACCGAAATAACTCCCGAGAAGTTTAAACAACTATACCGTCTCCTTCGCCGTGGAGACGCTTTTTGTAGGTCATATTCCCAGGGTCACTCATAAATACGTAACTGATTTACTTTTGGCTTGTCACAGCTGTGACGGGCCATCCCCATCGAACCGGACGAGGCGAACTCACATTACAGGTCACAGAACTACCCAAACTGCTGTCTCCCACTCTACATGATGTCCCTGTTGACACCAAAGAGCATGGCGCGTCTGCGTATCCCCGACATGTTCAACTCCTCGCCGATAAGCGGACATCGGACATAATGCGACTACGATCGACTATCATACAAAACATACGCCAATTCTTCATCGATCGTTCCTTCATGGAAGTCAACACTCCTGTCATTGCAGGTGAAGCTGGGGGTGCAACGGCGCGACCGTTTGTTACGACAGCTAACGAGTTCCCGGACAAACAACTCTCCTTGAGGATAGCGCCAGAGCTATGGCTGAAAAGACTTGTCGTTGGTGGGTTTGATAAAGTGTTTGAGATTGGCCCATCTTTCCGCAATGAAGGTATGTCACACCTCCCATGTCAATTGCTACGAACTAACGGACGAAAGGAATCGATAAATCTCATAACCCTGAATTTATGACTTGCGAGTTCTATCAGACTTATGCCAATCTTGAAGACGTAATGTCATTAACCGAGAGTATCATGTCCGGTCTCGCTTCGCACGTCCGTCAATACAAAGAACGCATAGAATCTGATATTCCCAATCCAACCATCGATTTCTCGGCACCTTTTCGTCGAATAGACTTTATCCCGGGAATTGAGGTTGCAATTGGTCGAAGCCTACCTAATCTCGCCGCGGATACCGCAGAGGAGGATGTGAAGCGGCTATTTGAAGAGCTCTCAATTCCTTTGCCAGCTCTCCCTACCCTTCCGCGGCTTATGGACAAGCTTTGCGCTACTTATCTAGAGCCACAGTGCCATAACCCTACTTTTGTCATCAATCCACCCGAATGCCTTTCTCCTCTATCAAAATCCTTCGTACATCCTTCTTGCGCTCAAACGGTTGCTGCTCGGTGTGAACTCTTCATTGAAGGGAGGGAATATGTCAACGCATACGAGGAGGAAAACTCTCCATGGGAGCAACGGCGCAAATTTCAAGATCAAGTTGTTTTCAACGCGCAAACGAATGAATGGGGCGAAGTTGACGAAAGCTACTTACAAGCATTGGAATGGGGTCTTCCGCCTACGGGAGGATGGGGTTGTGGCATAGATAGGCTTGTCATGCTTTTCACTGACTCTCAGAGGATTGAGGATGTACTTCCCTTTGGGACTCTGAGGTCTGTCTCTAGACGACTCGATGTTCCTGATGAGAAGAATGTTTGAATATTGTACCAATACTCGCTGATGGATGATTAATTTATGTATTAGTATTGCAGTTAGCGTGCGAGGCGTACAAGACAAATCACGACTTGGACATATTTAAATTATACAATCCATTTAATTCGCATTTTAGAATTAAGAAGTTCAATGATGTTTCAGTGTTGTGATATGATGTATCAATACTGTTGATCTTATGAGGCAGGTGCGGTGCGTGCGGTCGGCCCGGCGACTTTATTAACATCGCCTCTCTTAATCTCACGTCAAACAAAATACATGTAGCTCATGACTCGATACCCAGCACATTTGTCGGCACCAATGGAATATAGAGTGTCTTTCCAGTACTCCTTGCATCACGGATTCTTCTATTTCTCAACTTAGTCCTCTCTCAATAGTTCGCAGACAATAACCACGCTATGCACGCCGCGCGTGTGCGGCTGCTGAATATTAGAGGTGGAGCGTACTCTGGACTACGAACACACAACCACTGTTGTAGGACAGCGTATGCCTGGAAGTTCAATCATGTCGACAAATGCCCACAAGTCAGGGTTAGTCCGCTCCTCCAGCGAAGGAGCTTGGCTGGCCTTGCTTTGCCTGTGTTCCTTCTCCCACCGGTCTTTTTCGTTGGTCTTGTCGTGACACTTTGGACTTATAAGAGCTTTATGATGGTTCTATTTCAAAATAAGATTATTTATATGCGAAATCTACCGCCACTGTCGCGCCAGGAGAAAGTCGAAAGCTACACCAATCAATGCCATCCCGTAAGGTGGATCGAGCGTCAAACCAGAGCAAGTGATGGAACACTATTGGCCGTCCTTCAGGGTGCAGTCGATTTAAAGAGACATACAGAAATAGGAAAAGATGAGGAACACCTCGTTGTTCTCTACTTCCAAGGGTATGGTCTTTCATAAATATACTTGCTAATGATGAACCTTGCATACTAAGATGGAATAGAAACGCTTCGTCAATGCCACCACGGTTACCATTTCTCTCTGATACTCTGAATCTAGTACAAAAATCACTAATAGCAAAAGCCACACATAATACGTCCATGAAGATTTCACTCGTGGCATTATCTTATCGCGGTTACTGGAAATCTCACGGTCGTCCTTCAGGAAAAGGTATTGAGCTCGATGCCCAGGCTGGGCTTCAATGGATTCTGCAGAATTACAAAAATGCAAAGACGCTCAGAATTGTTCTCTGGGGCCAAAGCATTGGTGGCGGTGTTGCTACCACCACAGCGGCACATTACCTTGAATCGAAAAACCTAAAGGACCCAAAGCCACTGTTGATCACCGGAATGATTCTCGAAACCCCATTCACAAGTGTGCGAGACCTCCTTGTAGCTTTCTACCCCCAAAAGTGGCTTCCTTATAGATACCTTACACCCTTTTTGCGTTCTCACTGGGACAGTGAAGATGCATTGAGGCGTATTGCCAACACCAACGACAGGCAAAAGCCCAAGGTGCTTCTTCTTGAGGGAGGGAAAGACGAGATAGTACCTCAAGGACAGGCAAAGAGATTGGAAGATCTCTGTACATCACTTCATCTACCTGTAAAACGAGTGACTGTTGCAGGAGCCCTTCACAATGAAACCTCTATTAAATATGAGGGTAGGAAAGCAATAGCCGGATTCTTGCTCAGACAAATCGACTGTGAAGCGTGACTGGCTTTATAACTTTCTGTGAAGGGTAATTTTACTTCAGAGAGTTTGAAATGGCGGCGGGGCTTTCGAGGCCTACCGAACAGTCGATATCCGCCGTGCAATGGTGTTTTAATACCAATGGGACCTTTTCTACTTGAGAACCTCCATCAAACCTAGGCGGTTTTTGTGTTATTTCATCTTGAAGACTTTCGAGAGTATTCGGAGAGATGGCACATTCAATACGTTGTACGACTACCTTTTGACAGCGCATGACTTTGCGATACCGCCATACATGACCATTGCAGATCTCGTTGTGTTCTGGATACCCAATAGTTAGTACTTGGTAAGAAGTACTTCTAGGCATCTCAGCTTCTTCAATCTTGTGTCTTCGTTTCACAGATATATATAGTAGAGCAACGGCCCCACGATGAGAACCCAGGCCAATAACGACAAACGCTAAATGAATAAAGGGGGCTGGGCAATTCTATTGGCTCAGACAGCTACTAGCCACTTAGACTTCAGTTGAGACAATATGAAGGATATCTTTAAAGAATTCTGTAAACAACTGGCAGATCAGCCGATCCTGAGATAAAACGAGGAACCGGCATACGCAACAGTAGTTAGCTATCAATTGTCACATTGTGAACATGTCTCAGTTCCATGGAGGGAAACCAAGATGTGTGATTGAGGCTTCACCGAAGGAGGCCCAGGACTGGCACATATTCAGCGCTTACGAGGATGCCTGTGAGTGCGAGTCTGCGAGTCTGCAAGATGCCGTTTGGAACCTAGGCTAATAATGCACATAATCGCCGCGAGGCCAACTATCCCTGTATAATTACTGGCAGCTGATTGGCTATTGGTGTGATACAGCCTTGCGCTGCGCAGCCTACATGAGGCTGTACCTGATTCCCGCCCTCTCTTTTTCAATATGATGAGACTCTCCTGGCATCTGGAGTTCCTGACACTCATATGATACTCTCTGCAATCTTATCTATATACATGCGGATGAATCTCACCTGAGTCTTTCCTGTCCTGTTCCTCGTTCCGATACGCTAGGGCGAATGGCTCCTCCCGCACACGAAGATTACTCAATCGCGTGGATATGCGCCTTGCCAGTAGAAGTGGCGGCCGCAACGGCCATGCTTGACGAGATCCACGAAACCCCGCCGCCCAAACCCATCAATGATCCAAACGCCTACACACTTGGCAAATTGAATGGCCATCTTGTGGTTATTGCTTGTTTGCCAAATGGGATATATGGAACCGTGTCTGCTGCCACTGTTATGTCTCACCTATATTCGACCTTTCCTCACATTCAATTTGCGCTCATGGTGGGAATTGGCGGCGGGGTACCTAGTAAGGAAAATGACATTCGTTTGGGCGATGTGGTAGTTAGCAAACCAACTGGTCAGCATAGCGGAGTTATTCAATATGATTATGGCAAAGCAGTACAAGGCGGTCATTTCGAAAACACCGGCAAGCTGAATAGCCCACCACTGAATCTTTTGACACGTATCAATCAGCTTGAAGCCGATCAGATGAAAAAAACAGATGACGCTATTTCAATCATCGTCCAAAACGCCCTAGAACGGAATCCTGATATGAAAAGAAGGTTTACGCCACCAAATCAGGACACAGATTATCTATTTTTTTCTTCATATCACCATCATGATAAACAAGATAACTGTGCAAAGTGCGATAAAACCCAAATGGTCTACCGACAGCCGCGCTATACCAGAGAACCTCAGATCCACTATGGATTGATTGCTTCCGGAGACCGAGTGATGAAGGATTCTGAAACACGGGACCGTCTAGCTAAGCAGCTGGGGATTATCTGTTTTGAGATGGAAGCAGCGGGCCTCATGAACCAGCTTCCAACTCTGGTTATCCGAGGAATATGCGACTACTGTGATTCCCATAAGCAGAAACGGTGGCAAGCATATTCGGCCCTGAGTGCCGCTGCTTATGCGAAGAAACTTTTAAAAGGGGTATCTGTTTACACTAGGAGCAAAAGCAATGACAAAAAAGTTTGTACGGCTGATTCTCTTTCCAAAATGATTTTCAGTGGGTGACACTAACCAATGAAACAGCCTCCCGTGTTAATCATCGTTGCCTGGACGCCCTGCAATATGCCGACCCATCTATCGTCAAGAATCAGTTGAAAGAAGACAAAGATAGTTTGCTCCCCGAGGCTATGAACTGGATATTTCAGAATCCGGATTATTGCCTTTGGCAGAATGAAGACAACGTGCGCCTCCTTTGGATTAAAGGTGGAGCAGGCAAAGGGAAAACAATGATGTCAATCGGACTCATTGATAATTTTTTGGAATATGATTCCTCTATAACCACATATTTCTTCTGCAAGTTCACAGATTACAAGCTTAACACCCTTAAAGCAATCATCACAAGTTTAATCTGGCAACTAGTTCAAAATCAAGCAGAGCTCTTGAACTCTCTTCTAAATCATTGGGACCCAGTGAAGTCACGCTACAAGGAGAGCTTCTCATGGCGAGCACTGTGGAATATATTTTTAGAGATGCTAGACCAGTGTAGGCACCAAAAAGTTTACGTGGTTGTGGATGCTCTTGATGAGTGTGAAAATGATGGTATGGCTGAGTTTCTGACGCTTATTGTCCGGACGGGACTTGGTTACAGCAATGTTAAATGGCTGTTGACAAGCCGGCCGTTGAATAGTGCTGATGAGAGACTGCTCAAGACTACTCAACAACTTGGGGTTAGTTTTGAGCTTAACTCGGATTACCTTAAGACAGCAATCAAAGCATATGTTCAACATAAGGTGAATGAACTCTATCCTCATCACAAGCACGGGGTACAACGGCCACAAAGGGTGGAATCTGAGCTTCTAAATAAAGCCGAAGGGACATTCCTGTGGGTCAGCCTAGTATGTAAGAGGCTTGAGAGTGAGCGTATTCCCGTGGAAAGGGCATTGAAGACTATTAAGCATATGCCGCCAGGCCTGCAACCTCTCTATAAACGAGTGTTTAGCCAAGTCGTCTCTGGCGATGCAGCTACTATTAAGCGCTCCCTGCTGCTTCTTAAAGTGATGGTGCTGGCTTATCGGCCCCTAGCAATGAATGAGCTGGCCAATGTTATGGGAGCCTCCGAGGCCGAGGTAGGATGTGAATGGATAGTGGATCGATGTGCGTCCTTCATCAAAATGCGAGGAAGTGTCGTTGAATTCGTGCATCAATCGTCCCGAGACTTTTTGGCTCAACCAGATCTACTCAGCTCTTATGATCGATACAAATATGGTGATATATTCAGCTTTTATGAACAATACGGGGATGGTGATGTCGCATTAACTTGTCTAAACTCTATGCGGGTATCGACAAAGTTCAATAAAAATCTTATTAGCTTGCCACTACCGAATTCGACCAGAGAAGTGACAATGGCGGAAATGGGAACTTCTAATGACAAGGAACCAATATTGAATAGCATGAATTACGCCGCCGTATTTTGGGCGGAGCATCTCCAAGAAGCAAAGGACAACTGGCTTACACAACATGCTCTTCGTATGCAAAAGGAGGTCAGGAAATTTCTACGTGAGAAGCTGTTAGAATGGCTGGAATGCCTAAGCCTGCTAGGCGAGTTGCCGCACGCCATAAGGGCTTTTAAGGTATTGGAGCGTATTTGTGAAGGAGATTACTTTCCAAACAACAGGCTTTGGAAGCGTAGAAGGCTTCTATTACAGTCTTATGTGCTCGATGCTAATCGTTTCCTCCTGCGCCACAAACAGACGATATCTGCATGGCCCCTCCAGATTTATAGCTCTACAATTGTCTTTAGCCCCAAAAAAAGTCAGGTCAGGTCAAATGATCGTCACATGGAGAAGATTGATAAGTGGTTGAAACTAATCCCACATTTTGAAACGAATTGGAATTCTTCTTATCAGACCCTGGAGGGTCATACGAGCGACGTTGAGGATGTGGCATTCTCTTCAGATGGCAAATATCTTGCTTCAGCATCTCGTGATCAAACAATAAGGCTGTGGGATACCGCAACAGGTAGTCTCCAAACAACACTTGAGGGCCATCCAGGCTCATGCTCAATGAGTGTGATATTCTTCGGCAACCATCTGGTTTCAGCATCCCATAACCGGACAATACATTTATGGGATATGAATCCAAAGAATCCCCAGGAAATGAAATTTCAAAAGATTAAACTCCCAAGCACTCCATATCCGGAACACCGATTCAAGAGTATGGCATTCTCCGCGGATGGCAAATACCTTGCTACGATAGGATCCACAGGATCCACAATGGAAACATCCGGATTATTATGGCTATGGAATATCAATACAGATGATCTTCAAAAGTCTTGTCTTAAAACCACCCTACATCCTAAGATTCCTGGAGGAGCTCTGAAACTAGCTTTTTCTCCCGACAATAAATTTCTTGCCTTAGTATCTCAGGAATACGCAATATGGCTCTTGAACCTCGGCACAGATTATCTGCACAAAATCAATATCCAAGAAATCAATCGAACAGACAAGATTTTCATTTGCCAGAGTTTGGAATTCTCCCCAAATGGCGAGTACCTCGCTGCGGCATATCATAACAAGATAGGACTATGGAATATCAGTACAGGTGATCCCCAAAAGACTCTAATAGGTCATAAAAATTCAGTTGAACATGTGACATTCTCCTCAAATGACAAATACCTTGCTTCTACATCCTGTGATAAAAAAATAAAGCTATGGGATGTCGGTACGGGTGATCTCAAAAAGACCTTCGAAGGACTTCGTACAGCGAGATTTTCTCCGGATACGAAATGCCTTGCTTCTGTATCTGGTAATTTCACAGTACGGCTGTGGGATATCGACCTAGACAATCACCAAGAGATCGCAGAGGACAGCTATATGCATACTGATTTGGTTACCAGTGTGATATTTTCCCCAGATGGCAAATATTTTGCTTCCGCATCCTCTGACTGCAGTGTAAAGTTATGGGATGCAAACAATGGCAATTTTCTAAGGACTTTGCAGGGCCATACAACAAAAATCCTTAATGTGGCTTTCTCTCCAGATGGCAAATATATCGCTTCAGCATCTTATGATGGGACAGTACAGCTGTGGTGTGTAGATGGAGGTATTCTTAAAGCAACCTCGACAGACCATACATCAGCAGTTGAGGATGTGATATTTTCTCCAGATTCCAAATGCCTTGCTTCAACATCTCATGATTGCACAATACAGCTATGGACAATTGAAAGTGGACAAAAAAGGACTCTAAGGGGTCATGGGCATACAGTCTCGAGCGCAGCATTTTCTTTAAATGGCAAGTACATTGCCTCTGCATCCCAGGATTTTACTATAAAATTATGGGATGCAAACACAGGCAACCATCTAAAGACTCTAAGAGCCCATAACAACATAGTCTTAAGCGTTGCATTCTCGTCAGACAGCAAATGTATTGCTTCATCAGGCTGTGACAAGACTATCAGGCTGTGGGATGTTAATGCCTGCTTACAGTCTACAGGGCTACTTGAAAGCAACTTCTACGAATGGCATCGCTATTTCAGAACTTCAGAAAAGTCCGACAATGTCAAGAAAATGAAATTTTCTGTAGGTGATGAATTTATCCAGACAAATCTCAGCCCTTTTCAAGTCAATGGCACAGGCTACAATTGTGGTCTTTACCTGAGAAATGGTTGGATATGGTATGGATTGGTATCAGTGCTTCGGATACCGCCAGATTTAGAGACATCGTGTTATGATGTCCAAGGTAATCGTCTTATAATTGGTTCCGAGAAAGGTTTAGTACTGTTTTTTGAGTTTGATCGTGAGAAATTGGACCAATTATCCGAACTCCGTTATGGCAGATAACATTTTTGGGTTTTTCATTTGGCTTTTTCGTTACTATAGTTTTTATTCCCTACAAGTGTATCGAAAATGATTTACATATATAGTATTTTAGAGTTATTTTTTCCTCGAAAAATGGTCAAGTCAAGGAAGACGGACATATTGATATAGTGTCATATATACTACCTGATCTTCTAGCTTGCTTCTGGCTTCCAATAATTGTAGTTGGTTTTCTACAGCGCACTTGGTGGGTGCAAACAAGACAAATTATAAATCCGGCTCGTGTGCACAACCCCCGGTTTTCCGTGATCACAGCTCGATAAGAAGTAAAGTATGAAAATCAAATAACCGACAGAAGTTAATACGGCCTAATAACTTTGTGTGCTATTAAGGGAGAAGAAAGGGTGTATACTGAAGTTATGGCCGATACTTCTATCTCTCAGGCCCAACCTGTCACAGTTAGCCTGCAGGACCTTATCTCAGGTGAGGGGTAACTCTATGTTATCGTCAATAAATGTGTTGACATCACATTAACAACAGGAACTATTCCTTTCGAGAAATTGACCGAAGCCTTTGGGCCTTCATCTCTGGGGATTATCGTCGTGAAGGACTTGCCTTCCGATTTTGAACATCTAAGAGCCCAAGTTCTTTCCAATTCATCCTATCTAGCCGCCTTGTCCCAGGACGAATTAGGTATACTTCGTCCAAAACCATAATAATAGGAAAATCACTGATAGAGGCATAAAAGAAAAGTTGGAAAGCCCCCAGTCAAAATACCTCGTTGGTTGGTCCTGTGGTAAGGAGACGCTGCGGTCTGGCCACTTTGATACTTTGAAAGGCTCGTACTACGTCAATTGCGCATTCTATCAGAATAAAGAGTTGCAAAGTGCACCAGCACATGATTTTCCAGATTTCCCGCAATATACAGCGCCGAATATATGGCCACCAACGGAGAAGCTGCCTTCATTCCGCAGCAGCGTGGAAGAATTGTGCTCCCTGATCATCAACACTGCAGGTCTAGTTGCTCGAGCCTGTGATCAATATGCTCTAGCCAATATCGATGGTTACCAGGACGGCTATCTTGAACATGTAGTCAAGACGAGTCTAACTACTAAGGCTCGTCTGCTGCACTACTTTCCGGCAGACTCCGCTTCGTCTGAAACCAACCAAGAAACCAATGAAGACGACTGGTGCGCAACCCACGTTGACCACGGGTGTCTCACAGGGCTCACATCAGCCATGTTCATTGACGAGTCCCTTCATCAACCATCCTCCACCGATCCTACAACCCCGCTCCCCGAACTCCCCACTTCTCCAGACCCCAAAGCCGGTCTGTATATCCGCTCACGTACCGGAGAAGTCTTCAAGGTCAACATTCCAAAGGAATGTCTCGCTTTTCAAACTGGTGAGGCCCTTGAGCTAATCACTAGAGGGAAATTCCGGGCTGTGCCTCATTTTGTCCGTGGAGCTAAGACTACCCATGGAAAAATTGCGAGGAATACCTTGGCTGTTTTCACCCAGCCGAATCTCAACGAGGAAGTCCAGCCAGGCAAAACATTTGCAGATTTCGCGAAGGAGGTTGTTGATAGAACTTATTAAAATATCAATCCGATGATGTGATGCTGTAATACCGAACAGAATGTTATTCAAGAGTCCACCAATATCAGTTGATATCTATATATATGTTACAACGCCTTTCGATCCCCATCAGATGTCACTACATTAACTGATATACCACCCAACAAGATGAAAGAAAATCATGTAGAGGATATTATGTGGTAAATTTCCTAAAACAAGCTCAACCCACATGAGCTCCTTTTATGCCATAAAGCTTTAACGCATAATAAAAATCTGGAAAATGAAAATAGTTTCGTGGATATGACCATTATAAAACAATTCTAGGTCGTTTTAATTGGCCTGTTCGAGGGGATTCAGATGTACCTCGAATAGGAAGATGTATAGGAAAACTGGCTCTTCGGGCATGATCATTAATATCCCTGTCTTCGATTTCATCACCTTCATTGGTTCTATCATATGTGTATGTGGCATGATGAATAGCCATCGTTTGATCCCCATCTTCGTCAGAAGACCCTTCTCCCGAATCATCTGTCGAGCTGACGTTGGCACTGGTATCCATATGTAACCCACTACTAACAAGAGAGCTCATTTTTTGAACTTTTGAGAACCGGGATTTTGCCTTGATGGAAGGACGGCCTGCAGTGCGGGGGAGTTTAGCAATCTCATAATCATGCTGAGAGGCATTCCCGTCAATAATATTAAGGACGCCCTTCCACATTTTGCAATCGCGTGCATCAGAATAGCGACCGACGTCTTCGCCATTCAGGGTATCGATTGCAAGCGCTTGTGTGCGGTAATCAGCCCAAAACCAGTCCTGTCCTTCTAACATTCGGTTGTCGGATCTTCGAGACCAGTCCCGGCTAGCTAGCATGCCGTATAAATCAAAACCTAGAAATAAATTGCCGAAAAGAAGTTCCATCGCTGGTGGTTCAAAGCAGCGACCGATAATCATGTCCTGCGAGACTTCCACTGAAGTGCCAAACTTGTGAGTCTGGTACCATGGTCCGTATTCGGTCATTCCAGCTTGCTGAAAAGCGTTGATTACTTGTTGCCGACTGAGAGGAAGAGGTGCATATTCATTGGGCTTACGATACGCCTTGGTAGGAGAAACACTGTAAACTTTGCCGCGCACACGTAATGCATGTTTTTCGGCAAGAAGTGACGATTGTTGATCATCAATACATGAAATCAGTTTGAACTCGATACGATCAATGACCATGACATCTGTAACATTGGGCAGGTCTCTGTCTAGCCTGGCCCCTTTCGGCTTCAGACGCACTGCATCGCCGACGATAATCATTTCTGGGCCGATAAACATACCGCGACAGTAAACTGACGCGTTAGGCCATTTTCCTTTAAAGTGGTATCTGTCAATAAGAGATAGAGATGACATGATAGTCATGGCATGTTTGATTGACGGATGCCAGCTTTCTTGGGGAACCCCTTTGAGGTATATGGGCCACGAGTAAAATGATCGAATAGCGTGAATATGAACGTATTTATATTGTAATAAAGCACTTTTTTCGTCACTGTTTGGATCGGGAAATGTCTCGACACGAAACCCAGAGTAGTTCACGGCCCATTGTTTCGGGGTCGATTCAATGAGGTCTTCTAGAACAACAGGATCCTTGTCCGGCGTCTCGCCGATTATCCCGGCTCTCCACTCAGGGATGTTTTTGAATCGAGAATCTTTAGTTGAATATATCCGATGAGTACCGGACTCATCATCATATCTTAGCTCACCGCCCATTTGCGGTATCCACAATACTACCTCACCAACTCGAGGGATATACGAGCTCTGTAAGCCAAGTCGGACAATCTGCTCGCGAAGCAGCTTATTCTCCGCTCGCCAATCCATACTTTGGGGTTCACGTATGGATTCGTCCATTTCTCCTACCTGTTTTAGTCTAATTATTGCTTCCCGAAAAACATCGGGAATTCCCTCGGAATCCATGGGCGATGTAGGAGGTCCCGTCTTGGGAACCTTCAAAGGCCTGCCTCTTGAGCTTTGTGTGAGGCCTGCAATACAAGTGTGTCAGCGAGTAAGATGGCATCCAAAAAGGAATCTATTACCTGGCGTTAGCCTAGTGCCAGGCTGTTTTAGCTTCTTGCAGCATTCACAGGGACAAGAATCAAGTCCACCGCTCATAAGCCAGTTAAAATGTGTAAAAAATTGATTAGGAGAGTTATAATAGCCACCAGATGGATGACCGTAAAGGAATTTGGCTCGCTGCTGGGATCAACATTGCTCTAGACATGGACACATATTATACTTACTGCAGTAGGGTCGGTAAATCCTGGCCGTTGCAGAAGAGCATAGTCATCGGGCATTCTATCGAGAACGTATTGTTTGCCTGACGGGTAATGTTAGCAATCATCGACTGGTAATATGGTAGATATCAATGAGCGCAAGACATAATTTACGAAGCTGTTTGTGACAGGGCCATGGTTGTTTCAGCTCAACAGCTTGGCCTGAAATTACATGCATTAAAGAATATATGAGAATGAAAAGGCAGTGAAAAATAAATAATGCAAGATCGAGGGATACTTAAACGTAGGCCACATAGCGGTCCTCGGCTTATATAAAAATCATTCAAAGACGCATAGAAATAGAAACAATAATGAAGGCTAAAAGACGTACCTTTAACGAGTTTCCCCGTCTTTTGTATCCACATTGTAGCCAACTTCTGCCTGTAGAGTACGTCACTGACTACCTCCCAGTAATGCTCCTTCGGCCATGCATTTTTGCTGCCGTCGCCGAAATGCTTCGGTGGAAGAGATACTACTTCAACGGTGTCATACTCTGATGAGGCCATGGTGTTTGAAGTATAATTTTTATTTGCTAAGGTCAAACGAATGAAAGTTTTCAGATACAGTCCTGATGGTAGTGACTCGTCTTTAAATTCAAAGTGAGGTAGGAGCAGAAGCTCCCAGCAGGCGAAGTTCCCTTTAAGAGGAGAATTAAGCAAAGGAATAATTCAGTCACAAAATTCTCTCATATATGTTGGATAGGTGTTTGTAAAATACAAAAGCGAAATGTCGTCGAAGTGAGATAAAGTAGCGTGTAAAACAATAAGGAGCGGCAGAATAAGTTCCAGGGCTTTCACCGCCTTTCATATATGTTCGATTGGAAAAATAGAACGAGCAAGTTCATGACGCCCCTTGACTGAGCTCATTGCTTGACAACATATGTTAATGTTGATTACAAGATTAAAATGAGTATTTATGATTCATATTGTACGATGTAGAAATAAGACAACTACCTATGCCATACTCTGAGTACCTATATTTTCAGCAGCTAGGAAATATTAGTAAATAATTTGCAAAATATCAATTTCTACTTAATTTACAGCCACTGGTTCCTCGTCAACTGCCGATTCGACTTCTTCGTATGGTGGAGGATCAAGCTCCCCTCCCGCGACGAGCACTTTGCGTAATTCGCTTTCAATCTCCTCTCTGCGATGTTTCCAATTTTCGACGTTGTCAAGACGCTTTCGTAGTTCTTGTAACTCCTTCTCAACTCCCATCTTCTCCTTTTCTGTGCCGATTCTATCAAACTCCCATTCATCACCAGCCGTACCAAGACCAAGGGTAAGTTGGAAGGTATGGTATTTCTTGAGAGAGGCGCGGGTAGAAATTGTGATGAGAGTGATACCCTTTTCTTTTGATCGTTCGTATAACAAACCCTCGACGTCGGAGGATACAGCCGATGTCCCTTCATCAATAAAAGCATAGCGTGGTTCGTGGTAAAGGAGTCTTGCGAATGCCATTCGCTGTTTCTCCCCTCCACTAAGCACATCTTTCCACTCCTTTCGACAATCCCAACCGCCTTCACGATCTGGGAGATAACCAAGATGTACTTCTTCGAGAATTCGTCCGAGTTCTGCATCTGTTCGGCCATTTTCATGCATGTCCATTGCACTATGGGGGTAGATGACCTGATCTCGCAGAGTACCGATGCTTAAATAAGGCCGTTGTGGAAGAAACATGATGCCATCCTGACCAAAGTTCCTAGGTCGGCTTACCAGTCCTCGGTAGACTGGCCATAGTCCCGCAACGAGGCGTGCAATCGATGACTTTCCGACACCATTGGGGCCTGACACGAGAAGATGGTCGCCAGAATGAACAATAAAAGTAAGGGATTCGATAAGCTCGTCACCACCTTGTGGATAGAGGGATGGTGCAACAACAGGAACATGTTCTAAACGCACACCATCAAAGCCACTGTGAATAGTTCCTTGGACGTCTGCAAGTGAATATAACTCCGGATGACTACCTCGTGGTTGATAGTACGCATTTGCATGTACTCTGTGCAAAGTAGAAATTAAGGTGTAGACACGGGATGTATAGCCAGCCAGTTCGGAAATATCTTTGATGCTATACATCATTCTACCTCCAGCATCAGCGAGAGACAGCATTAGTCGTTTGTTAGTGATGAAGTCCTTCATTCGACCTCTTTCTCGGCCATTTAGCTCAGATGGATCACCTAATTCCTGAGTGCCGCCAACTCCTCCCCATGCAGGAAGGAAAATAGGTATGGATGTCATGAGATATCCGAATGCAGACCATATATACTTCAAAATCATATCTTCCAACATATTATAGCGGATCTTGAGACTGTAGATGCCTTTCATCCATCGCTGCAAATCCTTGAAACTTTTTGTCAAAAATATCTTCTCAATGTCCGCACCGCCATAGAAAGCTATTTCTTCAGCGTTGGCCAATAGTCGCGAATGCAGTCCTCTGAAATCCCCTTCTCGCTTACCCTCGACAGCCTTTAATTTCCCAAACGGTGGCGAAAGTTTACGAAGGACGGTGGCTGTTGTGAAATAGCCGCTCAAGATGCCTGTTAGCGCAAGAGGGCCAAGGCCACGGTAGAGTTGATAAGTGAAGAAGATCAAATCAACGGTCGGCTTCCCCAGAGATGATGTTAATCCTGCAGCAGAGGCACAGAAGAGTGTCAGGTCCTGGGTGATAAACTGGTCAGCGCCCTGACCAACAGCGCCATCCAAGTTTGACAATTTATAGTAGTTCATGTTCTCGTTTAGGTAAAGATCATGGATATATCTTGTGAGGCGAGTTCGGAAGGCAATGGATATCTTCGACTGGAAAAAATGGATCATGGCGTTCGTATAGGAGGCGAGTGTGCCGATACTGCACCATTTGAGTAGGCCCCAAACGAAGGCGCGGCCCTTGCCGGCAACAAGATCTCGAACAATCTCTCCGTCCAATCTAGCCACAATCAATGAGAGGTAGGTTCTCATTAGCAGAAAAACGCCATGGCTCATCAAGAGACCGGTTTCCTTAGAATGCCACCTTGGGATCATAATGCTCATTAGGCTGAGAAACTGGTGTAGAAAAGCGAGATTCAAGCCTGGCTTGGTGGAAAGGGGTGGTATTTGGGAAATAGATTCTTCATCTCCCATACGCACTGATCGGGGAGGATTCAGAAATAACCTGCGATGAGCATCAAATGTTGTTGGTTTGGTAGGATGGATGGTCACTTTGGAGGTTAGGTTGTCCCGGTAAGGTACGTATATGATTCTTGACCCATCTTTTCCTCGAAGACCAGAGTTTCGCCGCAGCATACGTCTGCCTTGGGCGTGTTCTGTGGACTGCTGTCGAAGCCATTTGTAGCCCCCATAGCTGGACCCGATGATGGAAAAAAGCAAAGTGATTGTCGCAATCAGTTTGCTGGTCTTGGACGAATGTTGAAGACGCGCGCGTAGTTTCTGGGTATACCGGAGATACAGGGCGAGAAGGGGATCAGGCCGAAGAGTTGATTGTGCTGCCATCTCTCTTTCGCAACCAAAATATTCGTCATGAGCAGGTTAATAGGTAAAAGAACAGTTTGCGAGTTTATCACTGAAATGACCACACAGGGCCCGACAAGCCTCGCAGCATTCTTCACGGGCTGTGGTTGTGTATCTGATCAGACCATCAAATTTGGAGTCACGCCCTAGTTAACATGGCAGGACTAGGAATGGACGATAATAATTAGTGATAAGATAGAGTGTTGTCAAGAGTCCAGAGTAGACGAGGTGGTCTTCTTGGTGGTTGTTGGCAGTGACGTCGGTTCGCATGTGAAGACCTCGGGCCATGCCAGAGCACGTGCCACTCTTTTCTGCAGGAAACAAGCAAGTACTCTCTCTATTTACCCAGAATGGGAATAACAATGAATTATGCCACAACGGACTCTTGGAAACATTCAACGATATTATCATTAGATGAGCGGCCTCTACTACTTCTCAAAGTGACGATACTAGCCTATCGGCCACTGCTGGACCCTGTTATGGAAGCCTCAAAAGCCGGGTTAGAGTGTGAATGGATAGTAAATCAATTTGCGTCCTTCATAAAAATGCACGCAAGTACCATTGAATTTGTGATGTCATTGATAGACATCGGATTAAAAGTTAAAAACAAAAAAAACACCAAGCATCCTTCATCTTCATACGCAGCCCATCCTCATTAATTTCTTTCTGTTGGGCTTTAAGCAGCGCCTCCAACCGCGCAACCTCCACTCGTGCTTTGGCGAGCTCAGCCTTTATGGCCTTAACCATCTTGATCCCCTCTCCACGCTTGTCGTATAACTCCTAGCACCGGAGTTTCTGGGCCTCAGAGAGGCCAGCAACCCATTTCCCAACGGCCGGCTCCCCAGCTGGCTTTTCCTGTTGATATTTGGTTTTTTTTACGAGGTTTTCCTTCCTCAGCTTCCTCCTCCTCCCTCGCCTATTAATCGAATCATATCAGTGATCATGATCAGTTTCACTTCAATGTATTAAAATCATACCCGCTTCTTCATCTCCTCTTCAACAGCCTAGCTTTGATGATTAGCAAATTAAGAACTCTGATATGTTAGATTGTATAGATATACTAACCGCGGCCAAAAGCGCCACAACCTCTTTCTCAATCTGCTTGTTCTCCTCCTCCTCCTCCTCCTCCTCCTCCTCCTCCTCCTCCTCCTCCTCCTCCTTCTTCTTCTTCTTGGCCATCTTCTCCTTGCTCTTATCGTCAATTATAGACGTGTGAATAAAGTATTTACTATGACATAAAGTATTCAATACCGTGTTAGACAGTGGAATTAATATCAAATATTCAACATTTAATAAAGTATAGAGCATCCTACATAGCATAGAGCATTTTAAATTACATGCAGCATTCATAATAACATTGAGGATTCGACATAGCATAGAGTAATCCACACTACATTGGGCATCAAATTTGACACGAAGGACACTTTAAGCAGCATGGCCAATTGTGAGTGGCCAATTAAGGCCAATTCAAGACGCGGCGCTGCATGCCTACCAGATTTGAAAGGCCCGCCTGCCCTGTGAGCAGCCAGTATAACTGTATACGTACCTCTACTAAACCCTTAATCCTTATAAAGCTGGTCAACTACATAAGTCATAACTCATCTACAATCAACAATTAACCTGTTTCAATCAACCTACATTGATTTCCCAAGTAACTCTACTCCTCATTAAATATTCTTGCTTATTAGAGTCTAGCAGCCATCAGGAATAATAGCTGCGAATGCTACTTCATCCAAGTGTCTCTTAGATGAGGATCATCTATTTTCTACAAAGCAGCCCTCCCTTCGTCGCCGTGTTCTTCGTCCACGTCGTCCTATTAATTACGATGAGTCAGTCAATCAGTGGGATTCAAGCGATGCAACCCGCGAGGCTGAAAACGCTGGCGTTGAAAGCCAGGCAACCATGTTGTTGCTATCTCAATCTGTTTCGGCGGTGTCGAATGATATAAAAGAATCGGACAAGGACGATAGTCCATTTGAGAATCCCTCTGTTCTGTCTCATGATCTCGGAATTGAGATCCCTGAATCTCAAGAGGATGAAGAACCTGCAAGCGCTGTTGCTGTAAGGTCCAGGGTTTGTGGGGGGGTGAAACTCGTGATACGGATGGCGATGAGTCTGCAAGCTCTGGTTAGTTTTGATCCTCACTATTCAACGTTGCTGTTTAATGGCGACAGTTCAATTTTTCGTCCACACCCGGAACACCAATGACATCTAAGATCCGCATCTGGAAGTGTAAATACCCCCTCGTTATACACTGATATTATACGCCGTTAGTGTACTGTATCGTGAATTGTGTAGTTGGCAATGGCCAATCAGCGGACAGAGACACCCGCGACAGTCAGTGGTGTGGTGGATCGAACCAATGGTAGCATAAGCCAGCAGCCGATCGGCGCAGTGATTGCCCCGTTGGTCACAAGCTCGAGGCTCCTCAGCCAATCGATTGGCGCCGTCGCCTGGTCCAGGCTGCGGCATCTCTGTTTTGATGATTCTGATTAGCTAATCAGGATAATATTTTATTCCTGACTGTTCGGGTTGCATGCCTGTTTGTGGCTATTTTCGAAAATCCTGCAAGAGGCGATGCTGCAGCTGCAGCACGAGCTTCAATGGTGGAAAAGCACAAAGCCAGCTGCCAGCATCCGGCCGCCAATGGGATAGGATATAATGGCCATGGCGGTCCCGGACCTGGCCAGCCCCGGTTGCTACCTACTATCAGACTAGTACCAGTAGTAATAATAAGTTGGAACTTGGAGCGAACCTTGCTAGCTCAATTGCTAGTGCTGCTCCTCTCGACTGCGAAGGGAGAACAAGCAGACTCATCTGCTAGTCAAGCGCCCTGCTGCACGAGACCATCCACGCCTGGCGAGAAAGTCAGGAGGGGGACCCGGAGTGAGCCTTGAGGGTGAAATCCGCATTGCGATAAAATAACAACACAACAATGATAGTATCACTTACAATCATGTAAGAATAGGAATAGCAATAATATAATAATAATACTCACTCTTTGGATGCAGCAGTAACCCGGGTTGGCAGTGGTTAGTTACGAGCAAAGCACCACGGAGCTAACCACATGAGTCCGTACCCGCCTCGCCGCCGAACCAGGAGGCGCGCCCAAATAACCTTCGAACACCACCTCAGCCTGAAGATTCGCATTGCGCCCATCGCCAGACGTCAGTGATCCGCCCTCCAGAGCATCGGTCTTCCCTGCGAGGTCTTGCTGCTGTCGTCTCTCGAGCAGCCTGCCTCCGAAGAAGCTGCTGCCTTTCTGTGCCGGCCCCCAATCAAGACCGCCTCCTCGTCCTGAGCTCAGGAGGTGACGAACGAACCAGGTCCGATGTCAACAATTGCAGGCCCTCCCGATTCTGGTGAGTCCGCGAAATCTCCTCTGTGGCTTCACTCATCATCGCGACCACACTGCTAATCTCCTCCCGTTTGTCCAGGCCCAGACCATGCAGCATCGCACCCCCCCGCCGATCAGGTGAATCCAGCACAACATCCCCCATCAGATAACGGCCAGTCCTCGTCTTTTAACACTGCTGAGAACAACCCACAATTGCCGCTGGAGAGCCCAAAGAAGAAGCGCTCCTTGCTCCTGGTTCCGTCGCGAACCTCGTCGAGGGGAAGCAAGAATCAATCATCCGAGATGACCACCGAAACCGCCCAGGACGAATCCACCACCATCACAAATTCCCAGACAAACCTAACCAAAAGACGAAGGGATCGCAGTAAGGCAAGCAGTAAACGGTCGCAGCGAAACAATCAAGAAGACAACTCGCATGCCAAGGGGGAAAATGATGATGACCGCTACCTTAGATCGGAAAGAAAGCCCAAGTCATCTTCCAGGTTTCTGGCCATCTTGAATTGCTGTAGCACATCCGCACCGGATAATGAGGATCCCGATATCCCAGCAAAGAGAGCCGAAGCCAAGCAGCCTGCTTCGCTGCGGCAGGCCGCCAATAATAAGGCCGATACAAGTGCCGCAGAATCAAGCACCGCCGAGTCAAAAGATCATCAGGTTCTCAATGAAAAAACCGGTGAATTCATCAGTCCCCAAGCTCAGGGAGATGGCGTCGTTCATCAACCATCCGTCATGCAAGATGTTTCCCATCTACCGGTCACAGCATCTCGCAGTGAGCCGGCGACTAAGCCAACTACGGCTGTAGCATCAATCAGCAAGAAAGATGGAAGCAATGATGAGATTGAAGAAGACTTGATTGACCGAAATGCTCTTGAGAATTCCCGAGAGGATCATGATGTTGCTATGCTAGATGCTCCTATAGTTCAAAGTATAGAGGAGGAGAATAAGGTAACGGCACAAGATATAGCTCCTCCACCACCCCAACCACCACCAGATGTTCACTTACCGGGACCGCCTGCCACGACGGGGAAACAGAACGTATGGCTACTTCCTCCACCACAGCCTCATTTACATGGTCGAAAATGTCTGATACTGGACTTGGACGAAACACTTGTTCACAGCAGCTTCAAGGTAGTTTCTACTCGCTTGACCTCTTTCGCTTTTCTTTATCTAACATTTTGACGAAACAGGTCCTTGAGCGAGCTGACTTCACCATTCCCGTCGAGATAGAAGGACAATGGCACAACATCTATGTGATAAAGCGACCAGGTGTCGATCAATTCATGAAACGAGTCGGGGAATTGTATGAAGTGGTCGTTTTCACGGCATCAGTTTCCAAGGTCAGATTCAATGCATAGCACTGCTTGAATAACGACTCTTACTTACAATAATGATATAGTACGGCGACCCATTACTTGATCAACTCGACATCCACAACGTTGTTCACCACCGTCTATTCCGAGACAGTTGCTACAATCACCAAGGAAATTATGTCAAAGTCAGTTCCTCACATTCCTAACCAACCCTCAAATTTATATCTAACATATGCTCCAGGACTTATCACAAGTTGGTCGTGACCTCCGGGAGACCATCATCATCGACAATTCACCCACATCGTATATATTCCATCCGCAGCACGCCATCCCCATCAGCAGCTGGTTTTCAGACGCTCATGACAACGAATTACTCGACTTGATCCCAGTTCTCGAAGACCTTGCAGGTGCCCAGGTCCAAGACGTGAGCTTAGTGCTTGATGTTGCGCTGTGAAATTTCTAATCAGCTCCAACAATCTTTGCGCTTTTTTTTTGTGCCGCCTTTGAATCGTTTTCATCACACTCTTCCATCCACCCCTTCATCTCAGTATTACACCTTCGATTTCGGTCAGTCCTAAATGACAGCTCACTCGTCGACCCCATCTCCATTGCCTCTCCATTCCGTTTTGTCTAGCAACAATATTAGACCGATTGTGAAAGAGCACATCCTTTCATACGCAGTTCTGCGCACGGATGACTCAGAGTTGAGCTCATTGATATACTATTTTGCATCTGGCATTGTTGAGCATTTGTCCTTCGTGTTTGTCCCTTTTATCGCACCCTTACTGTGCCTACGGCAATGCCCGCCGCCTCTGCTCCCAGCGAGTCTTGTTCTCTGATCATTCAGCATCACATGGGCGTTTGAATTTGGTTATCAGCCAAGATTTGCTCATATATTGTATTCGTTTTGCTCATTTTGACTTTCCACCTACATCCATGATCATATTCCCCCCCTGGTTTCTTTGTGTTCATCCTATCATTCAAGTGTTGATTCCACTGTCGTCCGAAGCTTTCTTGTTCCTGTAGCGATTTGTTATACTTTTTGAACGAGGCAGGCACTCTCAACTGTCTCAACCAGTGTTCATTTTGGAGATCTTGCAGCCTGGTACTGCCTCCTACCCAGGCATCTGTACATCTACTTCACTGGCCGCAAAAAAGCGTGATGTACATATATAATAAAAGCCTTTGAGTCTGGTATTGTTTCCAAAAAAAATAGTGTGTACATATGTAGATTCCAACATTGCACGGTCATCTTTTAATCTTGAGCTTCACTCAAGCAAGCTAAGCGGCGTGCTTAAAAGAGGAGAAATCTATAGTTGTTCTGTGAAGTATATTCGCAATTCATTGCGGCATTCCAAGCTAGCCGGTTCTGGTGGGAGATTGGAATTAAAATCTTCTCTAATCTACTGATTACAATAGAATAAATGCAAATGCGGCTCGTCTCCATTCAAATTCGCCTGCTCTTCACCAGCTTCGGCTCCGCTGGTCACTTTCTCCTTCCCGCAGCTTCAAAAATTAAATAACCGACAAGAACGCGACAGCAAGTAATAGCGAACGCGACCACCTAGAGCCTTTTGATATAAAAGATTCAGATATGAAGGACCGAAACGGCTGGGACGGAAAGCTTCGAGTCGATGATGCCGCAGATCGTCGAGCCGTCATAACAAACCCGGAAGCTCTGGAAGACCCCGATTACTCGGACGATGAAGCTCCGCCGGCTGAGGAGATCAATGCTGATGAAGGTACGCTGGTCTGCGCGTAAAATACTATTTCTTATGCTCATATTTTTCTCTTCATCTAGATATTCTCGACGATGAGGATCCCGAAGTCAAAGTATGTGACATGCCTTGACCTACCCCGCCATAACGCCTCCATCGATCTTAGGTTATTTTGCTTACTGAACCATCATGTTGAAGGACATAGATCTCGTTCACTGTAGAATATCCTCCATTCCCGCCCTAAAACTCGAAAGATTCGCCAAACTTGAGGTATATTAGCTCTCTGTTCGCTTTATAGCCGTGGCTGATGGTGATTTCTCCTACTAGAAATTATGCCTTCGCCAAAACCAGATTACCCGCATCGATTTTCCTGCTACCCTCGGTGCCACCCTCAAAGAGCTAGATCTATATGATAACCTTATTGGTCATATCAAGGGCCTCGATGAATTCACAAACCTAACAAGCTTGGACTTGAGCTTCAACCGGATCAAACATATCAAAAACATATCACACTTGAAAGAATTAACCGACATCTATTTCGTCCAGAATAAGATATCGATTATTGAAGGGTTGGATGAGTTAGTTCATTTGAGAAACCTGGAGCTAGGTGCGAATCGGATTAGAGTATGCACTGTCGGAGTAGCATTTGTCTGTACTCTTTGCTGATATTTCTGGAGGAAATCCAAAATCTAGATAATCTGAAAGCTTTGGAGCAGCTATGGCTCGGCAAAAACAAAATCACGGAGATGAAGGTAAGTTTCCACATTCTTGTTTATTGCAAGTTTGTTTGTTGCTTACTTTGTTAATCGAAGAATCTCTCTTCTTTATCAAACCTCAAAATTCTTTCAATTCAATCGAATCGCCTCACCAATATCACTGGACTCGCCGAGCTCCGCGACCTTGAGGAGCTTTACATTTCACACAATCTCCTTACTGATTTATCAGGTCTAGAATCGAACACTGCCCTTCGTGTGCTAGACTTTTCGAATAACCAGGTCTCAAAACTTGAAAACATCGTCCATCTCGAGCAGCTCGAGGAACTCTGGGCATCCAATAATCAGCTCTCCAACTTCGAGGAAGTCGAGCGCGAACTCAAGAATAAGGAGCATCTCGAAACTGTTTATTTCGAGGGTAATCCTCTGCAAACCAATAGTCCGGCAATTTATAGGAATAAAGTGCGACTGGCTTTGCCGCAGGTCAAACAAATAGATGCTAGTAAGTTCAACTCTGCCATGGAGTCTCAGACGCAAGTTGACTTTCCTCTTCTCTCCTAGCTTATGTACGCTTGGTTTGACGAAGACTCGAAAAACACGCAGGATGTACTACGACGGCCAGACTTTTGACAAATGTATTTTAACACGGTTTGTTTTAGTTCAATTTTGTACAGCTAGCATGAAATACATGCTCATGCATTTTCTTATAGTGGCCTTGACTGTAGTATGCATTATTTCTGAGAGGTGTTGTGATTGACAATTCTCAAGACTATGTACACATTAATATCTTCTAATTTATGTGCATGTGTAATTTAGACCATTCAAATCACAGACTTGTGCCTTTTGTAGAAACGCCCAGATTGCACCATGACCTATACTTCTTTAGTCTCTCTCCTTCCTTTATCTGCCCTTTTGCCCTTTCTTCCTCCGTCCTCTGGTAATAGCTCCATCAAACTCCCCACAGAAACCCACTCCTCTAAAACTCTCCCTTTCTTGGTTTCTCTGCCTTGGATTTCCTCTGATGTAACAACGTCACCCCGTTTCGACTTGAACGGAAAACAATCCGCCAACACATGTCGCGGGGCGTCTGCAGCAATGATATCCTTCACCCTTCTATCCTGCCTATTAAGAGACCAAGATTCATAGTACGGGTTCCTCCTAATAACCTCGTTTTTGTGGTCTACTTTGGAAGTGGATATTTCACATTGAATGGTTCGACGCTGCGCATACATGGGTGTTTCTGATGAGTTGTGGTCAGATGTAACTAACGCCGCTGCAGTCTTTCCAGGGAGGAGATCGATGGTGAGGGGTGATGCATTAATCGCCTTTCTAGCTGCTTCAGGGGTATCAAATATAGCCAGGATTCTGTTTCTCTTGCGATCCGATTTCTCTATTTTATTGTCTTTATCAATCTGCTTCATTCATTGATTAGATCCAGTCATCCTTTTTCACGAAGAGAGGTAGGAGGAAGAGACATACTTGGATACGTTTAAAAGTCACTACCTCACCAAATTTTTGTAATGCACTAAGTACTGTTCTCCCGTCGGCTATGTTTCGCAAAGGGCGACTTGTTTGAATGTCGATTTGGCGAGATACCACGGAGCGGAAACCGTCACGGACTGCGGAGAAGAGAGAGGATGTAGGTGAGAACATGTCTGTTCCGTAAGGTGAAAGAAGTCATTGCACTAATAATATTTTCCATATATTGTATAGTATTTCACATATCGGAATGAATTGAATGGGTGATGGCTTGTATCTCTCAATCTCGAGGATTGCGGTCAAGGCTAAATTATCTGGAGCTATTTTATATATAATCACGTGATACCCACCCATTGATTACAATCGCACTCTAAGTATTTTTCCCTCAAAAATGCAGACAAAAGTATAAGTATCCATTGTATATTCAAAAAGTCTAACTTATATTCTGACGGAGTAGAACTACTACTCTTACACATGTACACAAATCCGTAAATATCATGTATTTGAGTTGTTCCGCATAACCAGCTCAACGAATGGATTTTAGCAGAGTCAGTCTCAAGAGAAATAGTATAATCTAGAATGAGGAAGTCTACTTATGCAAACATGGGAATGTAGAGTCCGTACTAATTCAAATATGTCAGTCCACTATACCTGGGATAAAGAGGCCATGAAGGGTATACGGGCACATACATTGACAGGATTGTTGAAACGGAGGTTCAAATCCAAACCATTGAAGGCATCAAGCTCTGATTGATCCAGGCTCCATCCGGTAACGTCCAAGTTCTGGGACAGGCGATCGGGGTTGTTGCTCTTGGGGATCACAGCAATGTTACGTTGAGTAGCCCAACGCAGCAGGATTTGCGCAGGAGTCTTGCCGTGCTTTGTAGCAGCTGACTTGACAACATCGTGATCAAAAAGCGCGGGCGTGTTCTCTGCAGAGGACATGTTCAATTCAATGAAACTGAGAGGACCAAATGACGAGTACGCGGTGATGACTATGCCCTCGTTCTGAGCGTACTTGACGAGTTCCTGCTGCTGGAGGTAAGGATGGTGCTCGATTTGAAGGGTAGCTGGCCGGATACGGGCGTGGCGCAATAGGTCCATGATTAACTGTGCACTGAAGTTGCTGATACCGATGCTGCGAGCAAGTTTCTTGTCGACTAGTGACTCCATTGCTTGCCATGTCTCCTGGATAGTGGCCTTACTGAACTCAAGCTTGCCATCAGGGCCGGTCCACCCAGGAGGATAGCGCTCAGCTGGGTCAACGTATTTGAGAGCGACGGGGAAGTGAATCAAGAACAAGTCGAAATAGTCAAGACCCAAGTCCTGCAGTTGCTTGCGCGCAATGGGCTCAACCTTGTCACTGTCATGGAATGTATTCCAGAGCTTAGAAACAACGAAGAGCTCTTCGCGCTTGACAAGGCCGTCCTTGATAGCCCGTGCGATACCCTGGCCGACCTCCTTCTCGTTTCCGTAGTCTAACAGCGTGTCAGTCTGGGTATGAAACAGTATACACCAATATTTCTCGACTCACCACAAGCACCATCGAGAAGACGATAGCCAGCCTTGATGGCTGAATAGACCTGGTCTGCGCACGTGTCATTGTTAACCTTCCATAGGCCGAAGCCCACGAGGGGCATCTCATAACCACTGTTCAATTTGGTGGTAGGTGAAGTCATTTTTGCTAGAATTCCTGATTGGCTAAACTCCGGATAATAAAAGTTGTCCAAATCCAAGCTAATCCGACCAGCAACGTTTATTTGGTGCCACAACACTTAAAGAATATTGATAGTAATGGAAGACGAGTGCACCTCCTTTTAAAGAATCAAACCGTCAGACGCTCCCGCAATTAAAAACATGTGGCCTTTCGACCTGAAAATTTTTTGGTTCCCCTCCATGAGTTACTGTACATTGTCCTAATTATCCTAAAACTAAGGCTAATTAGGAAGTCTCAAAGCAATTGACTCCGCCGAGGTGGGGGAGGGGTAGGCCTGGATTGTATGGCATGGCTTGCGCGGCTTGTAGATGTGCCGCTCCCTAGCCAGCGTCCACCCATAGGCAGGCATGGTTTTAGTACGGATCTGTGGACACGGCATAACTCCGATGGGGTTCTAGTGTTGAATGATACTTTAGTATGGAGTAGTAAAGGCACGTTGAGGACATTTGCAGTGTCCGGCTAAATGGGGGAGGGCTAAATACCCGGACGGCGGGACTATTTGCCGTTCCGGATAAAGTCATGACAAGGAGCTGATGACCCATATTAAATATTAATTCTATCGTTAATATTCCTATCCTGGAGGGTTTGTTTTTCTTCTTTATTCCAGGAAAGAATGACATGAGAAGAGAACTATTGGCACCAGTATTGGAGATAACACTTTGAATGACAGGTAGGTGTGAGTCTAAAGAATAACCCTAAAATTCAGTCCTGGAGAGTTGAGATAGAGCAGTTGAACTTAACCTAACATCGTTGGAACTTAAGGTCCTAAGGTTAGTCTACCGAATGAGCATCTAGGGGTTAGATTGCGAGTTCAAAATTACATTTGATTGTTCAGAGTCGGAAATAATTAAAACGGAAATATGTGGTTAGACCAGAATGACCCGTAGGCAGCAAATCTGTCAGAGAAAGTATAGTAACACTCGAGAAGATCCTCCTACCCAGAAACCAACTAATGAAACAACCAGCATTTGAAACTTAGCATCTTTCACAGAAGATCTCTATACACCATATGTGTAACATCAAAGCAGAATAGAGTATCGCTCATTAAGAATTATCATTATTATCGTTATATTTAAACCGCCTCGACCGCGCTATTATCCGCGTATCGTGCATTTCCAGGAGTTGTACCATTCATGTGACCGCTTGTTGATACCCCACTGACTAGCTTGTCAATCAGGTCATCGGCGGGGAGTATCCCTTCTAAGCCGCTTCCTTGATGTTCCCGAGATACCGGGATTTGTTGTTGCTGCTGCTGTTGTTGATGGTGATGGTGATGATGGCTATTGGTAGGGAAATGCATATGGCCGTAGCTACCAGCGACAAGATCTGAATGCAGGTTTGCCCCCTGCGTTTCCCACAAAGGAGCTGGTGTATTTGAAATATCATGCATAGATGGTGCGCTAGTTCCAAAAATCGAATTTAACACACTGTTGTTGTTGTCATGGATGTGTTGAGAAGACATGTAGTGGTTATTATCACCACCAAGACCATACCCAGGTAAGTGTGATTGAGATGTTAAAGGAAGGTCGTGGACATTGAACATGGCCTGGCTAGCACTTGACGCATTGACACTGCCCGGTTGTGTGGTTTCCTGTGTGAGGCCAGCAAAAGAGTCGAGCACTGATGTGACCGAAGGTTTGTCCACCAAGCCGTCTTCGGGCTTGCTCATATTGTTCAGAAAATCATATGGGCCCTGGGTATTGAACATTTGGGCGACTCCATCCGTGTGATCGGCATATACAGGCCACTGTTGTTGGAGATTCACTGCGGGAAGATGGTGATGGATCATGCTAGAATGTGTGTTCGATTGGTAAACATTGTCCTGAGGTTTGGACGAAACCATAGAATCCAAGGCGATGGGTGGTAAGTCAATTCCAGCCGAAGCTCGAGGGCTGTTTGTACTGGTGCGCTCAGGAGGAGGAATGAGTCGCCTCCAAGTTGTGGTCCCTACTTCGCCAGGCCGAGTCTGACGAAACTTCCATAACAGAATAGCCATTCGCTTGCTCTCGTCTCCTTGATTACCAGTGGAAAAATTCGACATTCGACGGTGACTAGACGGGATGGCCCTCAACTCCTGAACGGCCGAAAGAGAACGGAAAAATTGGCGGGTGCGGTCATCAGCTTCCTGAACGGCCCCTGGACGGCCCGAGTTCTCCGACATTTGTTTCTCTTGGGTCAATTGAGTGAACAGCTTTGCCCACCACGACGACTCGAATAATGGTTTGATTTTTGTTGATGATGCCTTTTGAAGATCATGATAGGTTTCCAACATCTTTTGCCCGTCCTCATAGATATAGGTGCTGCAAGTCCAGTCTTCCATTTGGCTTACAAGAGATACATCTCCCATAGTCGGATGACCAAAGTCAAGATCCAACTGAATTCCTAAGCGAGATCCTGAAGGAGGGAAGTCTCCCATGAGTTGCAAATTGACCTCTAGTAGTATCACGTCGCAATCCAATGGGCTATTAACGTCTTCCACGAGAGAGTACATGTGAGGGAAAGATGTGCGCCATCCATTTAAATTGTCCAATGGCATAGGGAGAGCAACAGGTCGATGCTGATCACCTTGTAGGCGGGTATAGACATGCAATGCCTTGTCAATGCGATTGGCTTGCTGAGGTGCACTCACCCACATGTCGAAGTTAAAAGCATGAACTAGGTGCGAGGTGGCATCGTACATATTGGAACCTAGTGTAACGGGAGTAGGCAAGTCACCATTGTACGTGTGAGAAGCAGCACTGTAATCAGGACAGGCGGGATACTGTTGGCCATTGAGACCTCTTGAAATTTGATGATCAATAGAACTGCGGTACTGAGGTGTGGTTGTTGGAGGTTGGGTGTTCGGTGCATCAGGTTTTTCTCTGACGAGTCTTTCCCCTGAAATTTGTCAGTCCTGGAGCTACTTCGAGTCTCTCGCACTATAATACCTACATTCGGGATCGCCCTTGAGGAACGAGTCTAGAACTTGAAGATGACTAGAGACTTGCTTTCTAGTACGTCGTTTCCCAGTCAGCTTGTAGATATACTCGGCGATTAATTCGTTTCGTCCGTAGGATTTGCCGCGCTCAGACCACTTTCTACGGCCCATGGGAGGATTTGCTTCCAGAGCTATATACTATATCAGTTCCTGTAAAAAAGTAAAATGGTATTAGCATCTCTCACCTTGCTGAAAGGCATCTTCCAATGCATCGGACCAAACGGGCTCGCCGTCTTTTCCAGTATCACGACGCGGTCGTGCTCTGTACTCGAGATACTTCTGAGATTTCAAGTAGCTTCGCTTTGGTCGCATAGCAGACATAGGATGAGAAGCGGATTGAAGTCGTCGCAGCTTTTTTGCTTGTATGCGTGCTGCCAGAACATGACTATCGTGAACACTAGTACTCGACACCGGATGACTGTAGGGAACAGGAGCAGGAGGATATTTTAGAGCTAGCGGTTGAAAATGGCCATCATGACTGCTCCCATCCCCGTTCATCACACCATCGGCATACGACTGTGCATTGCCTGAAGTGTGCTGAAGGGCTCTGTGAGCACCTCCTACACTGTCTAGTGACGGTTGTGCTTGCGATACGAAAGAGTCGGCTTGCCACTCAGCCATGGCGTGGATCGAGATAACCACCTCACAAGAATGGTACCAGAATTCCAAACAGCAAGAAGGAAGGCCACAGTGCCAATGAGCTGAAAACTCGCACCGACACACAAGTCACAGGAATCAAAGTTAAGAACGTAAATGCTACAAGAGAATGTTGGAAACTGGAAGGAGAATGTGAATGCCGGAGCAGGCAACATGGTGTTTATAGCAGGCCATCATGCCCTCCTGACAAAGGGCTGGCCAAAATGGACCAGCAGCCCTGCTACACCGAAGTGCTGCACTACACGCTTCCCCTTTACAGTATTCCTACTCTCTGATCGCGACCCCATCAGGACCGTGTCCTCGGGCTGGGCCATTCGGGGAAGAGCTGGCGAGGAGCATGTTCAGACGGTGGTTATCCTTACCGCGCTGATAAGGGCACAGAAAAAGGGCACGATGTTCGATACTGGATCAAGCAAGGGGTTTCAAGAAGCGCAACCCGACCAAGAGCCAGTCGGAAGTTTTCTCGCGACACCAAACATCATCTGATGGATACAGAGCTCGAGATGCTGCCGTGATAATGGCAATAACATTGGTGGCGATCGAAGTCGAGGAATGTCAGCCAGCCAACAATTGGCACCAGTTTTGGTGCCAAAGAATGCTATTGAAATGAAGAGCAAATTTGCTGGAATGTAGGCCCAGTGCCTCTAGAGATCTAATCCAGGTTCGTGATCAAGGCATATTAACGAGGACGAAAAGGTGTAGATAAGGGAGATTCCCGACGGTGCCTGAATCTTTGAAATCTTTGTTTAATTGTCACTTGCAGCAAACTGCACGAGGTCTCCTGCGGGCACATTGCATACTGCAGCAACCCTAATGAAGGAGAACGTGTCGAAGGAGCATAAGGCAGAGAGACCAAGGTCCACCCCGCAAGGGATACAACACAAAGCAGCATACTAGAGCCAAAGTTCCTGGATTCTCCCTATCAACAGGTGCTAAATGGATTTTAACTGTCATCCTCCTCTGCCCCTACAACAAATTTCTTCCTTCCGACTCCGGTAAGGTTTTGAAGCTTTTCTCGATCTAATTGCTGTCCCGTTTTCTTCTCTATCTTGCGAATCTCTTCTTCTGCGTCGACTGATTCTGCTGAAGCATACTCCAAGACCAATTTTCGGCCTAAAAGATGGGTGTTTTTCAGGGCATCCATGGCGTTTTCTGCCTCCCGAGAGCTTACAAAGTCAGCAAAGGCAAAACCACGTGCTGATCTGTCGAATTTCTTCGGCACTCGCACAGATCGAAGCTGTCCATATGCGCCAAATAATGACCTAACGTCTTTCTTAGTAGCTTGGAACGGCAAGTTCTTGATAATAATCTTTGTCCTTCTTGCAGCAATCTTCTTCGCTGTCTCTTCGCGCCGTCTACTTTCTGCTGCGTCCACACCCTTGTGGGATGTTTTTACAACAAGCGCGTGTTGGTCTAAGGTGTAGCCATCCATAGCCGCCAGTGCAGCTTGAGCTTGCTCCTTAGTGCGAAATTCGACAAAACCAAAACCCATGCTGAGAGTTTCGCCAGGGCGCTTCGGATCTGACTTGGTCTTTACCTTAGCCGATAAGAACCCTTCTAGAGGTTGGAAAACTTCTGATAAACGTGTGGTTGTTGTAGCAAAATTCAAATTTCGTACAAAGAGGGTCGTTGTTGGCAATTGAACCTCGTTATCCTCAGCAGCAAAAGTATCGGCAGCAGAGAAACCTTGAGATTTAGCTTTAATATCGGGAGCCGGATTAATTGTTGTAGTAGCTGGCGAATCGAATAGATTTCTCGGGGCTCGCTCGAGAAAAAGAATTGAATCCCCCAGTTTGCGATATGCTAACCCTTTGAAAGCTTTTTGTGCCTCATCCGGTTTCGCGAATTCGACAATAGCAATTGTTCCGCTCGGAGGAATCAGTAGACGAGTCAAATGCCCAAAAGGTTCAAATATCTTTCTTAATTCTGGTGATTTTACGCCGTATGAAAAGTTTTTCACTAGAATCGCAGTGTTGCCTCGTTCCCGCTGTTGGAACGAGTCTAAGTTGACACCATTCTCTATGAAGTAAGCTTTAGTCTCTTGAATCACGTGTGTTTCTGCATGCGCTTGTTTAACAGCAGCATCAGAAGATGTTGGATCAAGCAGGTCCGCTTTTGAAACTCCAAGTCTGTCTGCTACAGATGACATGACAGCATCCGTCTGAGATCAAATTAGTATCTGCCATAGAAAATCAAAAGCGAGAGAGCTTACGTTCATATACAAAGAGTTCCAATTAAAGGTGGTCGATGATGCTTCCATCTTACGCTTGATCTGTTTCTGTTTCTTCAACGGTAATTTGGATAGCTCGTAATCATCAATTTTATACGACTTCTTGGCAGATGCTGGAAGAATGTGAAGCAAACGCCCTTGGAAGTCTTTTCCATCCAATTCATTGTAAGCATTTACTGCTGACGAGGGGTTTATATACTGAATATATGCAAAGCCTTTACTGGACGTGGTCCGGGTATCAAATGCAACATGTATCTAACGAGAATTAGCCATTGCTTGTAGTCGATTTATAGACCATTTTGAATGTTTGGGCAGCTCTTCAGATCTCAAGAGGCATCTACTAAAATACTCTTGTTGGTCACATCATGTGCTTCGCATCAGATGTCCCTATCAGGATAATCATCACAAGAGCCGTAATCTGGGAAATTTTGATGGTGGACGGTTGAAAGGGAAGAAAACATACCTCTTCAATTTTTCCATATGAGGAGAATATAGCCTCCAGATCTGCTTCTGTTGCACCGTAGGCCAAATTACGGACAAAGAGTCGGCCAGAGCTGCGAATTAGTTCGACATCAGCATTGTAGTTTCTCTCTTCGGTTGTTTCTTTTTGCTCTAATAATTCCTCGTCTTCAGGTGCTTTGGGGGACTGTCTAATAGTGACTTTTACTGCCTCGTGACTATTCTCATCTCTTGATGTTATATTTGGATGACCGAGTTCAATCTGCTCTTCCTCATCAAGAAGACCCAAAAGACGACTAGTCTTTGACCGCAGCCAGTCTGCGTCAGATTTTGGCTGATCGTCCCCTTCATCCATAGTAGAGGGGCTATCGTTATTATCCGGGTCATTTTTCTCCTTCTCTTGTGGGGCGGTTGCTAAGGCCTGCTCCTGAGTCTCAAAGCCAGACGGATCGACTTCATTGACTCTTGGCTTCTTGAAACACTTCTCTGTCTTATTTTTTGTAGGCTCTTCTGTATTGTTTGCTTCGGTAGTTGCCTTATCTGCCACCGAGGGCTGAATTAGATCATCATCATTTGCCCATGTCCGAGTTTTGGAAGGATGTTGCATGACAGTGAGAAATTCTTCGAGCTTGTCATCAACCTTATGTTCATCTGCATCGCGCTTGCGCTTGAGGTTGTTAGTGCTAGGTGAATTGGCTTGGTGCGAGCTATCTTGGCTCTTTGTCGGATTGCTCTCTAAGGCCTGCAAAATAGTTAGCATGCACAATCTTGCTATGCGTCAGCTCAGGTGACGAAGTAGACGCAAACAGCACTCACGGAGCGAGCGATCTCTACAGAGATCTTGGACATTCTCAAATAAGTTTTGTGAAAATATTCTACAGCCTTCTTTGCGTGAGACGCATCTTTGAAACCCACAAAGCCAATGCGGCGACTGGGAATAACGTGTGCATCAGTGACTTGAAAGCGACTTGCAAAGTGCTTTCCGAGGTCCTGATTAGAGAGTGTGGGTGGAAGTCCCGACACATACACTCTGGTGGTCTCCATAGCTGCGTCTCGCTGATAGAGACAGCGATGTGGGAGAGTGTTGAAAGAGGAAGGAGGAGCGATACCGAATCCTTTTTTTTCCTAACCGTTTTTTTTTCCTTCCTCTTTTCTGCCGGCAAAGGCGGCGGGCGGTGAAGGGATGGGGCCAGGTGATGATCGGGCGGCCCGTTTCAGCCTGTCCCGCAAATATTATTATTATTATTATTATTGTTAGCATTATTGTTCTTTGCGCCCAGACTCGCCTCAGGAGACGCGCAGATCAGTCGACTTCATACAGAATCCCCATTAATCTTGCTTCTTGAAGACACGGCACAGTCACGGCACTACCAACTCAGTGTCTAAAACAATTCCCGTTGGTTTCTGTCTGTCTTGAGTAGCCATGGCGACCGAAAAGCGAGAGAAGCTCGAGGGTGAGTCGTGGCGTATCCCGGCAAAACAATGCTTATGCTAACGACAAAGTAGCACAGATAAAGTCTGTGGACATGGTGCGCACGATATTCACCTCGTATGATCACAATATCTGCTAACTTCAATTCAAGACAGAGGACATGCAACAAGAGGCTATCGAAGTTGGTAGGAAGCTCTCAAGCACTCTGAATGGGAACACACAACTGATGTAGGCAGCAACGGAGGCGATGGATAAATACCATGTCGAAAAGGTGCTTAATCATATGCGCCCATTGAAATCCACTTGTCTATGATTTTGTACCCTTACTAACATAGTTTGCTTTTGATTAGGATATCGCCCAATACATCAAGAAAGAGGTCGGCTTCACCCCGCGCCATTCACATGTTTCATTGCAAACTGACTTTGCCTCCAGTTTGATTCACGCAAAGGCGCAACATGGCACTGCATAGTCGGCCGCAACTTTGGTAGCTTCGTGACGCATGGTAAGCTCAATTGGAATATCATTGTCGTTACTGACCACCGGCTAACCCATTGTCGCGCAGAAACAAAGCATTTCATCTACTTCTACCTCGGCCATTGCGCAATCCTTCTCTTCAAGACCCAGTAATTACTTGAAGGCATTCTCAGACCGCAAATTATATACCTTGGCTTGAGAGTTCTCTGAAAGCGGGTTTCATCGGAGCTATATCGGAGTTCGGGATATTCTCTCATCGGTCAAAATCAGCTCACATTTTCTACAGTTTGGCAGAGTTTGTATGGGAATAGTCACTCATCCATCCTCATCTTCTTATCTTCTTTTATTTTCTCGTATGATTGAGCGATGTTGTTATCTTTGCCCGAAGCTACGATTTTCCTGAGTAGCACGGTGCAAGAATCTTATTTATTGCATATACTAGGGATAGTGTCGGTAAAGAATAAATCGGACTTTGATTAGGGAGTTATGCAAACATGCATCAAAGTAAAATAAAAGAATCGCTTGACGGCATAATAAACGTTTCATCTGGTGTTTTGGAGCGTCCTGAGCGCCAAGATAAAGCGTCAGCGCTTCCGTGTGTTTTTCCCTTGCTGCCCTCGCTGCCTAGAAAGTATGCTTAGACTCATCCGATATCAGTGTTTGAAGTCCTGCAACGCCGTCTATTCTTCATCCCTTGATTTGTGGTGCAGCATCAGCATCTAAAACGTCAAAAATTGTGCAAACATTACATCCACGTCGTTAAGAGTACAAAGGAAGAGATACGTCATGGCTATCTGCATCACCTTCGGAACTCAAGGTAAGAATTTATGTTCAGTCTACTTGAACGCATCATGTCTGCGCAACTGGTATTCACGTATCGATTTGATCCATGTATATATTTACTGAAACGGCTACCAACTGCGACATTATGATTCCAAGTACCTGACTACTTATTCCTTGAATGCACATCAAATACTGTAAAGAAAATTATAACTAATGTTGCTGCTGGACTAGAGTTTTCCTCAAGACTTGAAGGGTACGAGCAAGTCCGAGCATTTTGCTACAACTGTAAGTCCCAACGCCACTGTACGCATAGAAAGCATATTCTAACTAGATGTCGAACAGGCGGGAACTGGGATGGACACTGTGAATCAAGGTGGTAAGTCATCTATATATATCACTCATCCAAGGCATCCAGACTTACGGTAATTTTTATAGGTCTTGGATTACCATCTGCTTTCTTGTGAGTTCCTATAGTTGGCCCATGCGAACAGGATCTTCAGTATCCATTCAGGTGCCAAATATGCTAATTTGTCTCTGAAAAAGCCGGTGATCCCACTGTCAACCCACAAATACAAAGTATGCAATTTACTTTAAACCTTATTGCACTTGAAGGCAAAGAGCAAGGTCTAAATATTCTATAGGAGGTCCGTTGTGGTCGGTGCGGATTTACTCAAGATCTCAGGTATTAAGTGGAATCGTCTTTATTGGATTTATGTCACTCATAGACTTTCTATAGTATACGTCCTGATATTACACCGGCTACGCGCCCCCCGCCTGGGGCTTCTTGGGGTCCTGCATATGGACACCCACCACAGCAATATTCTCAACCATACACTGGGCCTCAGCCACCCCCTCCCGCTGGGCAACAACACCCAACGCCCGTAGCATCAGGAGGCAACCCAGAAGCGGGACATGCCTACAAATGAAAACGCGGTCTATTCTCAAAACAGGTGTCTTGAAAGTTTTTTCGGCAGTTTGAATTTTAGCGTTGATTAAGGGTTTGTATGTCATCACTGCCATGCAATATTGGCTGAGCTTACAACTATCCCAGATAATCAATTATATAGCGAGACTTATGAGTTGAAATTGTATGATACCGAACATTGTTGAATTTCATAACCTTTGATGGATACATGCAGATACAAAAACAAACTTTGTAAAGTAAATTCTCTCCCGTAATATCAAAAATAGCCCTGTCTGCGAGCCACCCATTGAACACCTGCTGGCGCGCAATATCGAATTTAGGGTCACTGCGATAAACATTTGAAGGTAACAGTCTCTAGACTACCTCGAGATGGCCTTTTTATGCCGCTACTTGAAGTGTAGTTTTTCCAGAGCCATCAACGGCATTTACATCAGCCTTTGCAGTCAATAACAGCTCAACCACATCTAGATAGCCACTCTCAGCTTGCTGCATGGAGCGCAGTCCCTCCATAATAAGAAACAGCATTGACATTGGCCTTTTTAGCCAATACCCTCTCAATGATCTCTAGGTGACCACCCTTAGGAGTTGATTGAAGCGCAGTCCGTCCACTATAACCAACAGCAACAGCATCAGCATCAGCCTTTGCAGCTAATAATCTTTCAACTACTTCCAATTGACCACGCCGAGGCTGAGGCCGGGCTTTTCTACGTAGCTACATAGGCATTAAGGTAACTAATGCATCTCTAAACAGGCGAATACGTCTTGAAAAAATGACAGATATCGCGCAAACGGAGATTGTATGTAAGATGTCACAGGTGGCATTGCATTCTACTGCCACCCTACCTTGCGACCCGGGCAGCATGAGGGGGCCAAAGGGCGAAGGAATGCGAGCAAGACTTTTGAGCCGCATCAAGTTTGGGTGGAGTTTACTGATTGGTGCTGGGATAGCCACCGATGACCGCCAGCCAGGCTGCCGATGAGCTGCAGCCGTCACACGCAGCAGCGAAGTAGATCTTGAAATCACTCTGGGGGAGATGATAACCAAACGAGCCAGAGTAATGTCTATAATAGCGAAAATCCGAGTCATAAATTTTTAATACATACCACATCACTTGGACATGAAATCACATGATACTTGGTTGCCCTACGCCTGAATTCTCTAACCCTATCCTGTTCAACTAACTATATCTCTACTCATGGAAATTCTATCAGGACCCAGACTATTAGTCTTTGTGATCAAAAAGTATTAAGTACATGTAACTAGTTTTGTTATAGTAATGGAGGACTATCCGAGCAAATAAGTTGTCATAGCTCTACAATTATCCACCCAAGGTCAATCCTCATGCTACCAATTGTCAACCTCATCATAGCTCATGTTATGGAGTCCTGCCCTGGCGGCGAGACGGGCAGTCTAATGCTGGACCAGCAGAGCGGCCGAGAGCCGAGCTCCGACATTTCAAAGTTCCTTGACTAACATCTCGTTCGTGGCCGTTCATTTGTAAAATTCAATGCCACCAAGTGTGCACCAATGCTTCAATTGATATGTAATTGCAGTCGGAAAAATGACACATCCACGCACTAGAGACTTCATTATCCATCCATCCCCTACGCCTACTGCCTATCACATCTTCTTCCTCCCCGGAAACCCAGGGCTGGTAGAATACTATGCTGGTTTCCTACAATCACTGCATCAATCACTGAACTCTACAGCATCTTCAAAATTCCATGTCGCGGGGTACTCATTCGGGGGTTTGAGGTTGCTGCGGATCGAAAACCAGGAAATAAACATACAATTGTTAATGATGGACTTCACAGCATCACCGAACAAACAGATCTTGCTCTCGAGAAGCTGCGACAGTATATCGCCGATCAAGGAGAAGAAGAAGCAAAGGAGCAGAGCACCCAAATAAACGAAAGACCTAAAGTTATTCTCCTTGGTCACTCTTTTGGCACCTTTGTGACAACAGAAATGATAAAGCGGATATCAAGCGAGCGATTTCGGGAAAAATATGAAATAATCGGAAACGTACTTTTGTTTCCCCCAATACCAGACTTAGAAAAGAGTCCCCGGGGAACTAGAGTCGCGGTATGAAATTTACTCTTCTTTGATCCGGTGCTCTACGTATTGCATCCAGGGCTAATCAAGCGCAGAGCCTAGCAAGGTGGAAGTATCTGCCAAATGTGTGTTCGTTTCTGGCAAGGGCCGTGTATTCTCTGCCTCTAGTCTGGGCGAATGCTGTGATCAAACATTTTACTGCTTTTCCACCTGATGCTCTTGAGACTACACGTGCCTTTTTTGGTAGCAAAACCGGTGTGGCGCAAGCACTGTACTAAGCCCTTATCTTTATAAACTTCGAACTCTTCTAACGGACTGATATTAGATATATGGCTAGACTAGAAATTGACGAGATCAAACTCTCGCGGTGGGAATCAGCCTTCCAATACACATCAAAACTGACGCCCACCCCACGAATACGCATTTTCTTTGGGAAAAATGATTACTGGGTCTGTGATGAGCTGAGAGATGCCTTCGTGTATAAATACTGTGATGCTACTGGACCAAAAGCGTTTGGAAGGGACTTGGATATTACAGCAGAAATCGACCCGAGTGACGATGGAGATGAGGCGAGTGTCATGATTCCCCATGACTTTTCGATACGTAAGTCTCTAGCCTCTATTTTTTTAAAAGTTAATAACGCTGATTACCAAGACAGGTCACAGCGAGCATGTGATTCCATACGTGGCTAGATTTATTGAAGATATTATTAATCACGAATAGAATTAATTGTTTTCAGTCTGAAATCAGTGAACAAGCGAAAGTCTAGATGCAGAAGGGTATAAGCGGAATATCGAAGTCCCGAAACAACAGTATCATACATTCACGGATTACTCCGAAACAGGCAACTTCTCATCCCCCGCCACCTGCTCCATGCTACCGGTTGCCGAACTATCTGCCTCTCGTCCCTGAACGGTGGTGGGTTTAGAAGGCCGTCTTTTACCAGTAGCATCGAGAATCATAGATCGTACGGTGTGCACGATACTCTTTCGACCCTCATACAACGGGAAAATAACCACGCCAAACGCTGTGCAGAATAACCACAGAATGCCAACGACAACCCAGCCTGTGAAAAACTTCTTGCTGAAGATATATCCGGAGCCATACATAGGCATCGGCCAGAGAATAAGTAGGCACAAGGTCATCAAGACTGTCAAAGTACGCGCGTAGAATGCAGCTTTGTTGAGTTTCTTCACCTCCTCCTCGGTCATGTCTTCTGGATGGTCGGTTTCACCGGGGATAAGCTCTAAATCGACATGAGCGGCGGCCGCGACTTCGGAGTCGTCGACTTTCCGGATTTTGCGCATCGATTCGTAGTCATAGTTTTGTTGGCCAAAAATGAGGGTTAAGATGGGGATGAAGATGAGGGGGCTGAGTAGAGCAGCCACGTTACCAGCGAGCATTGGGTAACTAGTTATGTTAGTGATGATTCCATATATCTCAGAGATAATGACACTTACTTGGCACCCGTTGTCGTGACGTTCAACTCGCCATACAGAGATTTTGCCGTTACCAGCCAAGCGATTAAAGCAACAGCTAGTCCCAAAGGTGGTGACGCAGCTGCTGCCACCCAGTTTTGTCCTTTCCACAGCAGGGTCAATGAGCCTGGAATCACGGCCGCCGAAATTATGACGCCCATTAGCAGATATAAGTATCCCATTCCGATGCCTGCATAATACAGACCAGTAGCGAAGGCAGCCATGATCAGCGCGTAAACAACACAAGCCATATGGGAGATCCAGACAAGCCTCTTGCCCTTTGCGCTAGGCTGGATGTATGCCTGATATATGTCATATGTGAATACCGATGACACGGCAATTAGCTGTGCCGAAAAGGCGGAAGTAACTGCCATGAAGACAAGCAAGCAAGTCGCAACTGCTCCGCCGTAACCCATCAATTTCACGGCAGCGAATGGTAATACCAGACCAGCCGTCACATCAGATGAGCTCAAAATTGCATCTCCCTGCAAGGATAGGGCAGTCAATCCCATGGTGGTAGCGCACAGCCATGGAATAGCAAACCAGCAGAGGCCACCAATCACATACCCAGGGAATGCGTGAACGGGACTGGCCGCAATGGCTTTGTTGTAGTAGCCGTTATCCAAGAACACCGTACCGAAGTTGCCAATGAGGTTGATGACGAAGAAAATGCCACCTTGACGAGAATGCATGGTGAGATAGCTGCCTCCAGAATTTCCATCTACCGGGTTTGCCTTGGCGGCGGCTGTCAGAATGTCGTACACCTTTCCAGGTGAGCCTAGGACCGGGCTGGTTGCATATGCATTGAAAGCAAAGACGAAAATAATGACGACAATAACAATTGTGTGCAGATAATCGGTGATGAATGTCGCCTTAATTCCACCAAAGACAGTATACAGCACGACTCCAATAGGAAGTAGGAAACAAGCAGCAGCAGTATGCATTCCGGTCAAAGAAGTCAGCACAGCGGAACCGCCGGTGAGCAGCATGGCAGTCACGAGGATGTTTGTCATCAGGCAGAATACAATAAAGACGCAATGGACGATGGTGCCGTATCGCGCGCGAATGACCTCCAGGAATGTATGGGCGTTTGGAGCGCGACGTTTCAGCTCGATAGCCAGGGTCGCGAAGAGGAGAATTTGCACTGTTGCTCCCGCAGCGTAGTAAAAGGGGCCGGAGACACCATACTCATACGCAACTGTTGATGATTGCAGAAGAGTTGCTGCCCATGTCCAGCTACTGACGACTGCGGATGCGACTAATCCGGACTTGACGGTGCGGCCTGCCGTGGAGAACATTTCGGAGGTCTGGACTTCATATTGATATCTGCCAATGTCAGTCAATTCACTAGACAAAATCGGGCGCAGTGCATTACCTCTTCAGTGCCCAGGTGATAAAGATCATCAGCAAGGCAAAGGCAAACCCCAAGCCAACCACAATACCATAGCCGAACCCCTGGGTCAGAGGAACGGTGAAGTGTGCCTCACCAGCCATGGTGTATCTATCTCAATCAACACAGCTTGGGTCCAGTTGCTTCGGATTTCCTTGTGTTTTGTGTGCCTGAATTATCCCTGCTCGCAAAGCAAGGACACCAGACGGACACACGCAGCTAGATATATATGTATAAAAAAGTGAGGAGCCATTCCTTGGTCTGGAGCATTCTCCGAGATCGCAGCTATCATTGGACGGAATGTGGACAATCGTTCGCCGTCTCCTAGTGGCATCGACAGCTGGAATAATAATGCATCATTGCGGTCCGATACGGAGGGCTCCGAGTCAACTCAGCAACGCGTGCAGGCTGCGATAAGGCACGGGACATTAGCTTTTCTGTGTGTCATGGACATTGAGTCATCGCCGGAGGATAAGAGCGAGGGCTCTCCGCACATGGCGTTTTCCCCACGCTTGACGCATTCCGTATAGCAAAAGGCCAAGAGCTGCAGATCAGCCCATGGCAGAAGAAGAAGTCTAGATAGGAATCACATCTCGCCGGCACGTGATTGGCCGGCGTGTGGCTCGCTTATCAGCTGGCGGCTGCTGACTGGGCAGAGATAAGCCCGTATAAAAGCGCCAGCCAGGGTCGATCCCTATCTTTTTTCGCATTGAATTATTGTTTCTATTATTTAAGCTTGTACGTACAGCGCGTGGTTCTGACTCTTGGCAATAATAATAATAACCTCGACTATTATTATTATCATCATCATCATTCCTGACACTTCCGGGCCAGACCTGTGAGCATCATCGTTGATAATTAGTAGGGCGATGCATCGTTCTCTGCTGGCCTCGACATTGTGCTCTGATAGCTGCTCTCCTGTCCGTCTACAAGTTGCGTGGTTTCTCTCACCGTGACGCGATGCGTCAGCTTAATATCGGCGATATTGTTGTTGTTAATATTTGCGCGCGCAAATCTATACCAGTGGCTGGTGGAACACGCTCCCGAACAGCCCTGACGTTGTGATAGGATATTCCAATCACAGATTGTGGCTGGGACTGATCCCTCCAGCTCCCAGAGAAAGATGCTGTTGACTCCGATTATCGTGGTGACTTGAAGGCCAGAGCACTACGAGCCAAAATATTATAGCAAAGACAGCCAGACTCCGGTGAATTTTGGTTTCTGTGTAGTAAAATAATATACAGTAATGCCAGTTTATCTTTCTTTAGAGCAAGCTGCAAGCCCATAACCGTAAAGAAGTATATATCCACGCTGTGCTTAAGCAACTTCAATTCCACGCCACGTCGGATCAGAAGTACTAGAGGGGTATAGAGGAGGAAGGTAAAGGCAAGCGGAGACCTTCATTGACGAGTCGCAAGTGTAGTATCATTTTTTCTTGCGGTATAGATTCAGAGACAGTTGTGCGCTGCACTGACATCATACAGGCCACTGCAGGACCCATGAAAATGTCTACGCAGAGAATTTGCGGGTGATCTTGGCAATGACTGTACTCTCAATCAGCATTTTCCTTTACTGTATATATATCCATTTAGTTCATGTTCAGAACATACCATGCAGACCAACAACAGAGAAGATAAAACCCAAGCTCAAAACCAAAACGACGACAGGATCTACTCGGAGGCCTGGGCTCTCGTCAGTGTAGAGCTTGAGCATAGTGCCGGAGGAGCCACCGGCACCAGCAGAGCGAGTCGATGCCGGTCGCGCATTGCGCAATGATTCCTTGTGGTCTGCAGCAGCGCGTCGACGAAGAGCCGTACGAGGACCACCGGGCGGCGTGGGCGAGGAAGGGCGATTTGCAGAGGATCCGGATGCAGCAGCGGCGCCAGAGCCGGAAGATTTGGTATCAGGGCCAGACTCAGCACCAGATGCGAGAGGAGAAGAGGCGCGAGGAGAGGACTAGTGAATATATTGGATTAGCGACGCCCTGTTGAGATGGAATAGGGAGGGTGAGAGCCGATTTCGTTTCTTGTGCTACATCGAGTGCAGGGGTAATTCTTCCTCACCATTTTTGTGGAGTGCAATTGATCTGCCCGAGGATAAGGAACGACAAGTGACAGAAATATTTAAATATTAGAATAAGAAAAGAAAAGTGTGGCCTGAGAGATAATCACAATGACAAGACGAAAGTTGACGGCTACGCAAAGAGCTGGAGGTGAGGTATGGGGTGACCACTGTAAAGGACACGGGTCACGCTCCGGCGGACTCTGATTGGCTACACGCCCCAGAGCGCCAAGCATCAGGTCACACATATACTCTATGGCAATGCATATCCTATTATTACTTATATACACAATGTTGCGTTCATGAAAGTAGTTGTAAATATAAAAGCTCAATTCTGAATAACGCAACGCTACCTATATGCTTAGATGGGAGACATCAGTGGGAGAAACAATCAGTATGGCATCGCCACAAAACACCCTGAAACACCACGAGGTTCGTCATGAGAAGTAAAGTCTCACTGAAAAATCTAAGTACATGCTGAAAAGTGGACAAGGTCGTAAGGAAAGTATGAACATAAGTGGTATCATGAAATCAACATCGGCAAATTCGATATAACAGTCGTGCAATGCCTCAAATATTTGCAAGTGACACGTATATGTCCCTTCTGTTGGGGGGAGGGGGAAAAAACTCAAATCAACTCAAGTCATTTGGCGACATCTTGCCAAGGCATGTTCTTAGTCAATCATCATCCGTGCGGGAATCCCTTCGCCAGGCACTCTTGAGCCTAGTTCGGTAGACTTCTCCTCATCGTTGCTTCTACGAATCTTCCAGATATGAGGTTTGAGTCCCTTATGGAAATTGTTTGTGCATAAAATCGCGTTAATAATTGTTCCTACAATGAGGAATAGGGTAATGACGGCAAAGAAAGTCAATGATCGTCGTGCTGGGGCATATTCCGCCTCCTTGGCTGGCTGATACATGCGTACCAACTTGAAGAGGAAGTACGCCAAGGCACCGAAATACAAAAGCTAGAAAAAGTGTTAGTTCTCAACTAGAGTAGTCGGGAGAGGACAGAACCAGAACATACAATAATGACGAGCATCCCAGGAGTACTCTCGCGTCTCGTGAAGTATGCGGCGAAGAAGAGAATGATAATGGTGACTGGGATGGCAGCGAGTGTCAAAGCAAATTCAGTATCAGTTTTGCCGGTGACAATCACCACGAATTGTACGGTGAATCCCAAGAAGAAAAAGAAATCAAACTTCAGCAACGCAATGTAGATCTGCATGCAAGTCAGTCGGTCTTGTCTCGCAAGCGATAAGAGCTACACACCTGGTAGGTGAGATATCGTCTCTTCATACGCAGATCGGCACTGATGTGTTTGTAAATAGTCCATGCAAATTCATCGTACAGTTTCCAAGCCACGAAAACCATCAAAATTGAGGTGAAAGCAAGAATGCAAGGGATTGCGATGAGAATTGGTTTGGCTTTTTGCCAAAGGTCATCGTCCAAATAATGATGCAAGGATGCGACCGCATCCTGGATCTGTTCGATTTGCACAGCACCGTAGATCAGCAGTCCAACGTTGCAGATACAGAGTCCAATAATCTGGATAGTGTTCTTGAGCCGAAGGGCATCGTAAACCAAAACCAATTCGTAGACGAAACCGAAAATATAGAGCGAAAGAAAAGTCGGGATTGTCTTTGATGTGCTTTTTGAGTCTGCAGGGGTTTCAAGGTGGATCTGAAAATCAGCAAAAACATATCTACGCGCTATGTCAGCTTCAACAATTCTCATGTTATCATCAACAAAACCTACGCCTCGAGGCCGAGAATCACAGCAGCCTGGATGACAGCAATGGCAACAAATAGCCAGGTCCATTTGGAATTCGGAATGTACATTGCGCTTCGATTTGCCGAGACTTGCTGGTACCCTTGTCGTGCAGCGCCAAACGAAGGATCAAACGAACCCCCAGAAGAGAGGTCCGGGATTGCGTCGAAGGAATTTTGGCGAATTGCTCCTTCACGGAGCCAGACGTGAGGGGGAGGGTGAAGAGAGGGCTTTCGTGGAAGATACCGTCCCTCCCAGGACGAGTGCGACCACAATTAGGAGCAAGACGGATGAATGGCGTCGTACGATCCTTCTATGATAAAGATCTGTTGGGGCTCTGTAGAGTTATTGCGACCTGGTTCTTGTGTTGTTGATGTTGAACACGATGTGCTGGTTTCTGAAGATGTAGTGCTAGCCAAAAGCCAACGTGACCAGTGTGGGGATCGAGCTGTAGGGGATCGTGAGCCGGAAACGAGGGGCGCAAACGAGAGAAAACGAATGGCAGGGGCGTTGGGCGTGATTGAATTCGACGGGGACGGCAAGAAAGAATTCTCAAAGGGCCAGCATGTGGCGATGCCGGTTCAAGTTGGGACGTGCAGTGATGAAGTCGACAGGGACGATGAGAGATGGCAAGGGCCGCAAGGCAGAAAATATGAGACACTGGTTCCTGGTACGGACTAGTTTGATAATAATTAATGCTTTGCAAGGCTGGGTCGTTGGGCAGTGGGTGTGGTGGGTCGGCTCGCTGTGTGGCAGCCTGGCAGCCTGGGGCCGCTCCGGGGTTGATTGTCATTACATGTTTCGTGCAGGCCCTGCATTGATGCTAGATGGATGCGGGACTTGCAGAATCTCGACTGCTACATTCACTTGCTCTTCTATCTCCAGTTTCCACCGCGAGCAATATTTTTCTCAGAGATCTCAAGTTGCTCAGCATAGTAATGTTCGAGATCGTGTATGAAAATTACCGCTAGCGTTTTATGGTGGGTCTATGGTGGGCCTGCTCCAACCGGCTGTCTAGATACTGTGGATAGCCGTTTTATTTTTAATCTTTGGTACTACAAAATATAGGAGAAATATGGATATAAGAAGTACAAGACCATGTCCAATAATATTAATCATTATTAACAATTATTAACAATTTGGAAACATTACTGAAGACAGGAATGGTATGACTGCCACATCTGCAAATGTAAAACCACTACCTCATGCCATGCCTCCACGAGAGCATCTTCCAGCCGCATGACGGCCGGCGGCAGGAATAATACGACCGCGGTAGCACAAACAAATCCCCAGCGTAGCAATAACAATGAGTGCACAAATCTGTGCTCCTTGTGGTAAAATGTTTAAAGTACTAGGTTAAGTGGCTGGTATAGTTCCAACTGTCCATTGTACGATTTGTGCTGGGCCTGATTTGGTTGGTTGTTTGCCTGTTGGTATTGGTACATACGGGATACGATTACGAGGTACCTCGCATGAATTCCGGTTCCGTATATTAGCCGCGACTCAGCTGAATCTCCCGATATGTTGTTACATCCACTTCGGCATCGCACCTGAACTACGATTAAGAGGTATGTATTCATACAATAATAACCTTAATATCGCTTCTTCCTTTCACATGAAAATGACTAGTCACGGGCTAGGGTGTGTGGATTGTGGATTGTGGATTGTTCTCGTATGGATGAACTTGTGGCTTGTGGCTGTGAGGTCTTGGGGCGCAGCAGGGTAACCATCCATCAGCTTGTCTTCAGCCGTTTTCTCCTTTCGGCGTCACCTTCGGCAATCCACTTGCAAGCCTCGACCATCTGGACAACGTTGACATATTGTTTAAAAAGCATAAACACGGCTGAGACACACATCAGAGTCCAGGGAACGGTGCTATCAAATGCCCGGCTTCTAAACCCGCCATATGAGCCTAGTGAAACAAGGGTTACCTGGTGTTACCCAACTCACCTCATTTCCATGCTTTGAGGCTGAATCCAGGATGGCACGTTCGTTGAGAAGGAAAGAAGGTAAAGTGCAATGAAAAAGAGCTCATTAAACAAACAGACTACAAACAGCACATTCTACTATTATGTAAGTAGGGTCGTGACTGCAGTAGGTATTACTCACGCTCACCGTATTGGAGTAGTATATTCTCATCACCCAAGGCCGATTTTCGTCCATATTTTTATGACTTTGGTTAGCAGCACCCATCGCCAAAGTCGCATACATATGCATGTAATGACTGCTAAAGTCCAGACTAATCAAGCACTGGAATAAGATACTCCACTGTGGATAAGTAACTGCTAAGAAGACTAAAAGACATGAGGTGGTACATCGATCAATTGTCATATCTAGCACAGCTCCGAACTGAGACGCCTGGTTGAATTTCCGTGCAGCCATGCCATCGACCGCATCGAGCAGACAGGATACGCTGTAAAGCACTGTACATGTTCGCGGGTGGATCGGCATGAAATAGAGCGAAGAGACGGCAAGGCCAATGCGCATGTATCCTAGCAACATTTCAATATGGGTTTCGCGCACAATATAGATTTTGACTTACCAATGAGATTAGGAATGAGAAGGAAAACATTATCAGCTAGCATGGTAAATAAATAATTTCTCTTCGTTTTGTTTTCAGAATCCGGGTGTTAAAGCTAGATATTGAGAGATCATATGTCTCAAACACTTAGATTTGTAGAGAAATAATGTCAGTATTTTTATAATCGATGGAAGCAGTAGGCAGCAAGGGAAACGCTCCTAGACCGTAACACACAACCAGAGCTGATTGGCCGAGTTCTCAAAGGTGGGATACAGCTCAGAGTACGCGGGGCTATGGCCAATACTGTTGTTTCGGCCTGGGGGTTTCCAAAGTGACAGAAAAGTTCATTTTTCCAAGAAGTTGGGGTTTGATTAAACTCTTCTGTTGTATTACTATTATTTATTGATCTTTCGCAAGACCCCGTAGATGTTTGTACTCGCTGGCCAATCACACTCTCCACTTCCCATGCGGTCAATCCCGGCAGAATGAGTGTCGAAAATATAAATGTGCCCACTTCTGCCTGCCATTCTTTTTCTCCTCTTTTGTTTCCAAGCGTCGCCCCCTTCAATGCTGCGTTTCTTTGCTACAAACAACAGAAGTAAACCTTGTTTGCATGCTGTTCACCTCTCGACCTCCTGGTCTGTACCTCAATACGCTCTGGCCTATTGAAAACAGTCAAGAGACTGCACGAAAGGATTTTGCAAATGAGAAATTCGGAGGAATCTTCAACCCTATTTGAAACCCACTCTATCTCTCTTTTCCATAGGAGGAGGAGACCAGAGTCGGTACTGCCCGCAAGGGCCTGGCGCGATAGATAGCGCCTGCAACTGGCATCAGAAACATTCGGGGCAGGCTGGTTTTCGGTGGTCAAACATCGGATTTCAGTCTGTTATTCATTCCCCATGGGAGAGTCGTTGCGAAGATTGTGTGTGTGGTTGTCACAACTATGCGACACTTTAGTGCAATACGCAGCATGCCTTGCTGCTCTTTTTAAGGGCAGCCGGTATCATTCGATTCCGATCATTCTGTTGGGGGCGACGCTTCACCTTTTTTTTTCTTTTGTAAGTCTGTCATTGCTATAGGTTGTTGGTTCGGGATACTGCTAATGTTAACGTGCTTTTTCCCAAGGTATGATCTTTGTCGTTTCAGTCGACCTAATCTACACTCCAACTCCCTCTACTCTTTGAAGCGGCCTGTGTCGAACGTAGGAAAGTAATCGTGAAGCTTATAGTAAATGTGGCTTGATCATATCCCTGGCTACGCGGTATCGGTCAAGAAAGATGCAGTATATAGTGCATTTTCAATTCTACCAATTCTACCTTGATATTTGATTTTAAGTCTCAAAATTCAGATTAACACGCTCTATTCTAGGCCGTTGCTCTTATTTTATTCACACCAAGGAAGAGTATTAATAGCCCGCAAGTATGTGTTGCATTTAAGAAAAAGAAATTTACAAAGCGGTCGTAATGTTAAGAGGTCAAGAAAATTCATTTCATGTCATTACCCGCCGATAATATCTCAAACCCATTAGTAGTATGACCATAGAAAGAAAGGAACGCCAGCATTTATCGCTTGCACACATATCAGGTCATTGAAAAAGATCGGTGGGCAAAATCGATTGTTAGACCTAGAACAACCCTCGATATCACAAAGCTGGTAAACCCATATTTAGTCTATTACCTTTACATCAGTGCGCTTGCCGTTTAGTCCTCCTCACCAATCTAGTAAGAGGTTAAGGGTTAGCTGGGGTTAGAAACAAGCGATGCTGGAACGTACCTTAGGAGCAAGGAAGAAACGTAAGTGGCCGCTTCCAAGACTGTACTCGACACGTAGAGGCACTTCCTGGGATAGGCACAAGTTGACTTGGCTGGAAAGGGAGGTGGCTTTGCAAAAGTTGACAAGGTACTTGAGCGAAAAAGTAAGCGCGACAGGCTCGCTAAGCTGGATAGAAACATCCTGGTCTGGCTTTTCGACGTTGGTGTGCTGGCGAACTGTGACAGAGCCATTTCCAATGTCGCCTTGGCATGAGAACTTGATGCCCTCCTTTGTGGCCTCAATGACAACTATAATGAATAGTTAGCTTCGTGCTTTCTACATATCATCTGAAAGAACAAGTCCACATACCAGATTCAGAAATCGCATTCAGATCACGGCAGATACGCTGGAATTCCGCAGAAGGCATAGAGACTGTAGCAGCGTATTCCGTCTCGGGAATTGCTAGGTGCTCTTGGTCAATGTCCATCAGCTTAATATCGTACTCGCTAAGACGGTCTGTCTCTGCGCTCTCGAACATAAGGTTGACCACGTCTGGAGAGTCATCTGCTTTCAAAGTCAAGATATCTTCGTTCTGAGCAGCGCGCAGAACCTTGGTCAGGGAGACAAGGTTGATACCCAGGGCGATGTTGCGGTCGCACCGATACGGAGAAAACCCCTCAGCTTTCATCAACATGGAGACGAGAGCAACGTGCGAATTGTCCATGGCTTGGAGGGCGATTCCCGAGTCATTGCAGTCAAAGTTACAGTCTTGAACGAGGTCTTTAATGGCATCGACAACCTATGGAGCAAGAGGGCCTGTTAATCTGGTGAACAGCACGGGAAGAACAAGCACAAGACCTACCCGCTTAAGAAGGCTCGCTTGTTCTAAACGTGCTTCCAACACTGCAAGCAGGTGAGTAAATGGGTGTCGCAGTTTGGGGAGGAAGATTTCACTGACTCTTGGTATATATGCCGTGTGTGTTCGTCCGCAGATGGTGATAGCGATGAGGCGGGGCAGCGAAAGCACAGTGTAGGGCTTGGCTGAAAAAAGTCGGCGAGGAAAAGAAAGAATCGATTGTATTGCAGAAAGGTTAAGGAGATGAGATTCCGAGACGCGACAGTTCTGCAAAGGCTCAAGAGACGACAGGCTAATTATGTGCAGAGCTCAATTCAGTGTTTCGCCAACCCTTTTGAAGGAAGCCCGCAGAAAACGTGAGGAGCGCGTTTGCGGTGGGGAATTGTAACTACGCGTTTCCCATTTTCGCGTACCTATGATGGTGCCTCTTCGGGATTAGCCCGTTGCCCGATGGCCAATCAGGGGACTGCCACGGTACACTATACCACTATACACTAGTTATACATCAAATCGTAATAATATACAGAGAGAAAAATGTGCTGCAGCTCTATCAATTACTGATTCTGTCTAAGACTGGTTTCTAGGCAATGAAAATACAATTTCTTAACATCTTGTTCTGGTTACTCATTGCTCTTTGGCATGCGTGGCACCAGGAGCCATGTCCCTAACACTGCGATTAGCAAGGCCAGAGCAAAAGGCTGCAATACCTGGACTCCCTTGACCTGAGCAATAGCCCCAACTGCAAATGGGAAAACTGCTGCACCTGCGCTACCCAGCGCGGACGCAAATCCGATTGAAGTTACGTGGAGGTGCTTTGGAAGTAGCTTGGTCGCAGCAACCACAGCAGCCGGGAAAAGAGGACCGAGAAAAAACCCCTGTAGAGCGATCGCCACGGCCGATACGTAGAATTGAGGGACCAGCCAGAATATAAGCTCAAACACCATGGCTAGGACCAAGTATATCTATTCGACAACGTCTTCTCAGCATTATTGACAGTAGAATGTTTTAAGCCTGGCACTTACTATAATGGCAAACTTTTCTCCAATCCTTGGCGTGACGAACCCCAGCACTACTCGGCCTACAGTAATGCCTATCCAGAAGCCTGTAGCAGTCATACCACTGGCAAATGCACCGCCATGACGCACCCGTATCATGAACGTCACAATCCAGCCCCCTAGGGCAACCTCTATACCAGCATATCCCAAGAGAAACGTAGCGCAGAGCCAAGTAACCCGCGCAGCCGGTTGGGCAAAGAGTGCCTCTTTCATGTTATTAGCTTTTCTTTGCTGTGGGGTTTCCTCCAGATGAGTTTGATTAACTCGCTTTCGAAAATCGTGTTTGTTCGCAGACCAAAAGGCGACCACTGAAAAGACCAACTCAATCACAGTGCCCCCTATCTGTACATTTAGTAGTCAGATGTTCCACATCACAAAATCATTAGAAAATTTCAACGCACCATGAAGTAATAGAATGTATACCATGGCCAAGCCGCCTTGGTGATTAGAGAAGTAGCGACAAGAGGGCTTAACACCGCACCCAACCCATAGAACCCATGGAGGAGCCCGAGCACTTCATTTGCATTAGCGAGGTTTCCAATCCACGCATTCCATGCGGCATCTGCCAGTCCGTTGCCCAGTCCAGCAAAGATAAAAGAGACCACAAGGACAGGGTATGGCGGGTGGTTTGAGTTGATAATATATGCTAGAAGATGGAAGCCAGGGCTAAGAGCTGCGATACCTCGTTGGCCGAGATGCATATGAATGGCATTATTAGATAATGCCGCTGCTACATACCCTACGAGCGGCGATAAAAAGACCAGCGAGATAACAGTATAGCTGAGCTTATAATACGTTTCGAGCTATCGAGAATTAGAGTGCTAGCTTAATCAAGATCAAGACCAGAATACGCACGTAGGGTATCAGAGCCTGCAAAACCCAGTTACTATAAAAAATTTGTGATGCTTGATCGGGCAACTTACACCATAAGCCGCATCATTTGCTCCCATCATAACAAAACTCCAGAAAGTTGCAAATATCCGAGGCGCATTGACCACTGGATCATTCCACTTCTCTCGCACATGTGCGACAACTCTTTCCATTTCGGGTGACTCGACATATTGATCACTATTTTCCGGTTCGGTACTAAGCGCCAGGCTAGATAGTCTTTGCTCGTCCTGGTTCGTGTATGATCCTTGGGTTGGATGTAACTCGATAACACACGTCGAGGATCCGACGCCATTTTGAACAGCGGCCATCTCGAGAATAGTGACAGTTGGCGCCTCAACTAGAAGGGCGAACAGAGATAATGAATGACTCAGACAGAAATCACCAGGGTCTCGTACGTAGCAGGGAACTTCTCAGCCTGGTGGGGAGCCTAAACTTCAAATCTAGCAAAAGCGGGGAAAGCTCCCCGCTTATTGGTGATAACATAGACAACTTGACATGAACTCCATCTCATTCCATAATTTTGATGTTTCAAAAGAAAGTGGTATCTTAGGGTATGAAAAGTACGCGTAAATATGTAGCCGCTTAAGGTCTGCGATCCAGGTTTATTGCGCCAATTCGCAAATCAACCCACTGACTAGACTACCTTACATGCATACAGCCAATAAGCAGACAAAAACTCCAACCGTCGGGCAATTGTTAAGGTGGCCAATTCAAAATATCTCCTTTCTTTCCCCTTTCATCCCATTCGGGCGTGTAGGTCGAGGTCTGTAGCCTGACACCTTCATTGGCCCTGTCCATTGTTGTGTTGGCCTCCTTTCGATTTTGCTTCCTCCACCATTGAAGAATAACGCCTTTAGCCCAAAGAATACGGCTCCTAGCACGAACCACGGCTGCACACTGCTCAGCAACTTCCTTAGCAAGAATACGGCGATGTAAATTTCGGCAAGCTAACACATGTCTCCAAGCTGTCTGGATAATGATTGCAGCGCGGATTCGCTTAGATGAGACCAGAAGGCGAGAGCACAAAAAGGTAAGGGCTCCGAGAACAAAATTATCGTCAAAGATATGAGATTCAGTAGAGGATGGTGAAACGAGAGAAGCTTGATGCTATCAGCAATGGGAAAGAATCATCGGCAATCGTTTGTCTGAACTTACCAAACTGAGAACTACAACCCAAAGATTGTAGTCGCATCCTCAATTTGCTATGTTGAACGTCGACTTTGTCATCTGCCAAAGCCTTAGAGGTCAAACATTGGCTTTTCTGTTCTCCGCCCAAATAAAGTTCGTATTCATCGATAATACTCTCAAATATTCTGCCGTCTATAAAGCTTGTGTTAAACTTATTAAGCTCAAGCCCCTTCAATTGAGCGAGTGTCGAAGCCCATTTCATCAGCAAATCTTGGTGTGAAACAAAGACCAAATTTTCCGATTCTTCATCTTCTTTGATAACAGTCCTGGCGGTCAAAGGTAACTTCTTCTGTAGGCGCTTGATTTCACTCCGAACGTCGTTCCAATCTATGAGCTCCGGAAGACCCCATTTTCCGACTAATTCCCACAGCAAAGCGATGGTCTTTTCGCGATGACCATCGACTATGTCCTCTGCACAAACATCTCGGACCATGTTCTTGAAGTCTGTGGCTTGGGATAGAGTTTGAAGCACTATTTGCACGTTAAAAACTTTCGTTGCGCGGCTAGTGCAAGGGAATTTCAAATGTTGAGATAAGGGCCATTCCGTCTCTGTCTCTGCATTCTTAGGATTCCTAGGTGCCACATTTTTATCCGTTAGTGTTATGCTGTCAATCCCATCTTTGTCAGAAAACAGATGGGATGCACCAGCGTAAAGCAAGAGTTCGGTCAGTCTCGTCAGAATGACGCCGTCCCGCAAGTCTACAGCTAGGTTGTTAATGCGAAACTCATAATCTTGGAGTTCGTGTTGGCTGTAAGACAACTGGCAGTCCAAATGATTGAGTTGGCGCGTGATATCCCCAATTGAAGGAAGAAGCTGGTTAGCTAAGGCTTGTAGTGCCGTCGTAGAGGTTTTGAATGGAGATGAGGTAGAGAAAAGAGATCTTGGTAGTAAATTATTTGATGAGATGCGACCTTTGTCAAGTAGAATAATGATCATAATGCTTCTTAATACTGTGCGTCGATATAGCGATCCTGGCATCTCATCTTGGCTGGCTGCATTGCGTTCCTTGTCCTCATTACGGAGCAAGAATTTCTCCAGAAATGTGTCTAAGGTGCGTTTTAGCCCTTTGTTTTGTTTAGTTGTCGAGTCCGACGGTCCATTGTAGGGTTGAAATGGTGTATTTGATATTTTACGTCCAATGACGACTTCTGCTGCCGCCCTCAAGGCGTGTAGGTCATATGTATCCAACCAAAAGTTTAAGAATGCTCGTTTCATACCCATATCATCGGGAAGGCGGTTGCCGCGACGAAGGATTTCCTTTGGAGGGGATAAAGCTCCATACAAAATTGAAGCTTGTAGCCGTTTGTATAATAGTAGGAAAGTCTCGCTTTGGTATATCTGAAGAAGTCCATGTCTTAATGTGTCAGAATCTCGAGTATCCAACTTTCCATCTGTCGAGTCAAAAAGACCGTTTACTAGTTGCGTGATAACAATTTCTTGATGTAACAGCCAATTCTCCTCGTACATGATCGGATTCAAGATATCATCGTCTAGTAGAGGATACTGCCGGTCAATGTTAACGGGTCGGATATGGGAAATTGCCAACTTGTGCGGAACGATTGGGTGACTGTTGGTTGACAGATTTGGCGGTCTATTTATTGATCTCGCCAGAGGAGAATCTTCATGGGTTTTAGATTTCGTCTTCGTATGCTTAGCCCTGGTCATCAAACCTGTTGATGGTTTTTCCTGGGAGGCTTTGTAAACCGACTTCCTGCTCTTGCTATCTGCGTCTTTCCTAGCTTTATTTAAAGATCTTGACTGCGTCTTTCGGGCGGTCTTAACAGAGTTTTGCAACGGTTTTCTGACTGGTGCTCCGAAGATGGGGAATCCTTCATCCTTCGCAGAGAACTCCTTTCCGCCACCAATAATGCAACCAGGTGGTATATTTTCCTTCCCACCATTCTTGCCGAGGATATCACTATGGGTGGCCCGCTGCTGAGTGACTTTAGTTGACTGTTGTAGTGGTGCTCCTCGTGGCGCTATCGACATTCGTGATGACGCTCGTGAGGTCTTCTTTGCCGCAATTCGGGTCTCGAGGCTATTTATGGGTACCGTTTCGTCTTTATGCTGAGAGGTACTCGGGTTCGTGCGGTCAGATTTAAGTGGACTAAATAAATTCATGAAGATGGCTGGTACTGTCGTATCTTCCGTGGGAATATACACTGTTTGACGACGTGCATCCTTCTTCAAGTCGTCATCAGTCAATGTCATTTTCGTATTCTGTGTCTGTATCTCTTTCTGATTTGATTTCCCCTCCACCTCTCCTCGTCGGCCAGCATCAATCGAGATTCCTTTATTAGTGCTGCATTGTTTGCCCGCACCGCTAACCCGTGGACGCTGGAAACGCTGTGCCGGCTGAGCAAACAGAGAAGACCTGCCATCCTGTGTTTTGCGCTTCAGACTGTTACTTCCTACAGTACTGGGTAGCGGTATAATGCTGGTTGCCTTGGCGCCTTCATCATGTATGGCAAAAGTTGATTTTTTATGTGCTCGTCGAGGCTTTTCTCGAGTCAACGAAGGTAAACGTATTTCTGTCGTGAAGTCGATGGCAGCGGTGGTGTCGAAATCATCGAGAGTACCATCATTCAAGGGGCCTGACCATGGGTATTCTTGCTCGCTGCTGAGACCTGTCCCGGTGATATTGGACCCTGCAGGACATGGACTATCCATGTGACTATTCATCGCGAACACTGCACGGAGGTGTTCAAACACGCCATGTAATACCACAACGCGTTGCCTGTCAAGGAAGAATGGTCGGCCAAAACAAAACGAGCAGTGGTTGGGCTGTTGGTAAATGAATAACAGATTTCTTGTTATGTGTCGCGGTGATTCGACGGTATGCAGCATGCAGTATCAAAACAAATGGGCTCAACGATAGGTGGAAAACTCGAAAAGTCCCGGCTGTCACTTATCGATCTGGGCCCAAAATCAATGAGGGTATCGGTGGTCAACAATACTTGTAGTCTATGGTTAGATCAAAAGCTAAAGCCAAAGCAGCAATGTGAGGATCATTCTTGAGACAAGGAAGCGTGCGGCTGCTGGTATCTGTTTGCGCGGTTGCCCCCGCAACGCTGTGCTGGTGGCTGCTTCCCCGCAGACTGTCGTTTCTCCAAATCTTTAACGCTACTGTTAATTAATTAATTTCATATTGATTCATGTTAGTCATAAAAATACTAATTAACTTGTCACGGCATATTCTCATTATTCTGGATTCATTCTGGCAACAGAAAATCTATATCTCTCTCAATAGTCCTCAACGACCCTTCGTTGAACACCCAATACTAATTATATGAGATGACGAAATTACACGGTTGTTCCATTGCCTAACTCCTTGTCGCACAATTAGCTGTATTCGCCGCATTATGATTTCGATCGACTAGAGGCATCTGGAGGACACTTTTACTACCATTGGCCACAGCCTATTCTCGGCCAAACCGACTCACCGCCGCATAGAACCCCTTGATGATCTCATCAGATGATAGATGAGATGAGTCAAGTAAGGACTGCAAGCAATATAATGGTCTGGTTTAATGAGCAAATGATATTATCACGGAAGATAGAGGACGAATGACTCTCGAAAGACAGTGACTGCTCGATCCCATTGGGTCCATCCAAAGCAAGGACGCAGATCACCATGCGTCGCATGCGATAGTGCGGACATCCGCATGTGTCTTATATGGACATGTGGGGTGAGGATTTTTTTTATATGGGGGGTTCACCGAGTAGATTGGCCCAGCTACATGGGCAAGCAGCAACTAGCATGCATTGTCATTAAACTGCGGCAAGATCGTAAGTTTGGGAGACATGAAAGCCAGTGTCACCTCGGTAGCTGACCTGTGTCGGGGTGTTTTTGGCTCGGGGGTTTCTGATGGCGTTCGTACTTGGTAGACAGTCAACGGCCGATGCACAGGCATATAAAACCAAGGGGGCTTCGCTGTTCTTTTCTTCTCAACAGGCAGCACCATATCATTTTATTTCAGCGACTGGGCATTGTGGCACGTGCCAAGTTAACTAATTAGTGAACCCGAACGCGCAACTTGATTGGAGGGGCGCAAGAACCCGAGCGATCCCCCGTCGAATTCCCCGACGAGAAGCGTAATAATATTAGGAGTCTACACAATCGCTACCACGCATCTCACGCGCCGGTGGTGTTTTAATGGTTTCCATTTGCACAGTGGCACTCTTGCATGATCACAAACAGAATACCAGACTCCCGGTGCCCGGAAATCGCTATTTTGCGTTCCAAATAAGCCTCGCCAAACTTCAGGGGATGACGATCTGATCACGAGCCGTAACCTAACCGCTCACGACCACTCTTCAACTCTCATTCTTCTTCCAGAAGCCACTCACGCCGGTGCCTCTGATGATATCTCAGCGCTAACGTCGATGTTCATGGGTTATGGAATCCTTAGTCTATGAGGATTCGCCTTTGGCAGATTATCTCGAGGGTATTGTCCCAGCAACTCCATAGCAATCAATAGAGCTGACACTTTCGATTATGGTAGGCGAGGGTGAGCGAGAACAATATTGGACGCCACAAGATATTGATTTTGATATGGGAAACGAAGACGCCGTCCCGAATTTCGCCCCAAGGGGAGCCTCGTCGTTACAAAGTCGCATTCGAAAACAAATTCCTGCACCGTTGGTATTACCTTCGCTAAAGGATAAAGGAACACTTAGAAAGATCCATCGTACATGCTTAGTGAGTGGTTTTTCCCTTGTTCAATAGGTATTGTAGAGAGTTATAGAGGAAAGGCTAATCAATTTGCCTCAGTCCGCCGTTAGCTCTCATATCGGGAAACACGACAATGAAAGATTCTTGGAACAATTCGGTTACGTGATCGTTGCTTCAAATCTGTTGGATGAATACAATGCTTCTTCTCATGTATCTGCAACCAAGAATACGCTCTCGAATGCAGCTGGCTACGAACCTCTTTCATTTTCAACCACGGTCGGTCTAACCGGGGCAGTTGTCACCGCTGCCACATCATTTTTAATAGTGGGTTTAATCCACTGGAGTCGTTCACGATCAAGCTCGGGTTTAAACTCTAAACGAGTCGTTATACTGTTAATCGTATTACCACTTGTTGGGGTGGTGTTTTACGCCTTTGCAAGGCGCCAGTGGCTCAAGTTTGTGAGACATCAAGCTGTTCAAGGAGCATCTCTGTTCATCAACCATGCCCAAAGCTTCGATTCAGTCGTATCATCATCTGTTTTATTTATTCAAGAGGTGGAGCTTGTTTCAAGAGGATACAGGATGTACGCAAATCCACCATCACTTCTGAAAGCTTCTTCGTACTAACTCCTCCACAGAAGCACGCCTTTACCCCCAATCAGTCGACTAGAGGAGACAACTCAACTCCGGCGATGCCTGAGACTGCGTCGTACTATCTCCGAGTGCTTGGTTTCCATGCTTGCGCGATATGTTGAGTCACAACACAATATTAGACAGCTTACTGATTCCGCCAACCTGGAGAAGTACTATGACATCTATGAGATATCCACAGAGGAGCTGACCGATGCAAGTTCGGCTCCACTAGATTGTATAGTAGATGATCAGTACTCACTAAGGTTCCTTCGAACACTATTTAGCCGACTATACACAGTGCGAAAGAGCATATTATGCTGTCTATTGGCTCTCAAAGCAGGAGGGAGTGGTGCAGACATTGTCTCTTGGACTTCTGCAGTGGAGGAGATGCACACCTTGTCAACAGCTACAAGCAATGCAACGAATAAAATTATTGACATACTCAATGAACAAGACCGTGAGTCGGGTTAGTTCTGATACAAATGATCCTATCTAATTGTTAATAGGCGACATTCCCCCGCCGTCACCGCTTGCCTCCGCCTCATCAACTGGTCGCGATACTCTTCGCGCACAGGCTCGACGACTGAATTCACTCTCGCAAGGCATCCGAGCTCTCCACGCCAAAATGCACGTGATGCGAGAAGAATCAGATGGGAATATTCCCCAAGAAGCGACTGAGCAGGACATTGGAGTTTCGTTGATGGCGCAATATGAATCCATCGGCTCCGATATCCGAGGGCTTTTACAGGAATGGGAAGCTGGAAAGGCTGCATTGCTCAACTCTTTGGAACAGCCTGGTGAGTCTGAGCGATTCTCTCTCGCATCAAGCGATGCGAAACTGCCGTTATCCCCAACGAGCAGTTTGGGGGGTCTGACGGCGGTAGATGGTAGCCCAACAAGTGCTCTTAGGGCCCTGAATGGAGAAATTCACTCTCCGTCTAACACAGAAAATTTGAACGAAATTGAGGAGATTCTTGAAGCTATCGTCATGCCCACTTCCCGGAAACGACAATCACTAACGCGTGAGGAGCGCATTGCCCGGGTGAAAGAAGACAGAGCGCAACAGGCTGCAGCTCGAGAGAGAGTGGACGCCAGTACGAACATGCTCAAAGAGCTTGAAACGGTCATCAAGCATCGGCCTCAAATGAAAAAGAGCCAGCGGATAACAAGTATCTGAGTGTACAAAGTGTTATTTCATTCTACGGTACATATTTCATTTGATCATATCTGGATATAAGCGTCGGCGTTCTAGGATTACACCTACATCGAAGAGGTGAGAATTGTGCTGGTGTATATTATTATTCGATGTTATATATGTGGCCATGAACTTTCTGTATAAATAATGGTTATACATGTATATCAAGGGATATCACTCCAAATATTATGTAGTTCCAAACTACAAAAACAAATGCCTGTTATTTCAACAATTGATAATAACATACGAAAGATTTCAATTGCTTTTTTTTCTCTCTATATCAACATTGCCATCCCGGTCATCAGTCAATGTCTCAGCTCTAGTCCACGTGTTCCGATGTAAGCTGCCTTACAGATACCAGACATTGACAATACTACATCGTCAACACAAGCCACTGCGGGCCAGTGGCATCTATCATTGATGTTGGCGATCGGTCTGCTAGGCAAGTACGGTAGTCTGAAATATAGTTATGTATTAATATATAATACAATAATAGTGGCCATTAATCGTACTTTCGAATATATTCGAACATTTAGTACGCAGCGATCAACAGTTTAACACCAATATCATTGGTATACCATCACCCGTTGACGAAAGTGGCTCCCGGCTCAGCCCAACGATCATCCCGGGACCATCCTAGACGCCTAATCGACCAGAGGGCCAAGGAACAGTGGCAGCGGGAATAAACGTCGATAAGTCGTTTCAGAATGGGTGTTGGGGTCAAAGTTTCAACGGACGGCGATGACATCATGGCCCTGTGGCAGCAGGGGCGCTCAGCCTTAGTCGCTGTCAATAACGTAATGACAAGGGGATAGCTAATTATGTGCGAGAAATATTGACATATAAGCAAATGAATAAAACAGCTTATTATCAACAACCGAAGCTGAGACATGATGTTAGTGATCCTTGGGAGTTGGCCGCATGTAGTAGTCCAAAAAAAGTTGAGACTTGGCCATTGCGCTGCTTGGTGATATCAATATCGCCTAAATCTAACAGATAAAGTGCTAACAGTGATACATGTTAATTAATAGTAATAGTAATAACAAAAGTAATAACATAGAAACTCGGAAGAGCAGAAACGAAAGCACTAAATTCACCCCTTCACCTAAGAGACTTGCGTTAATCGTGAGAGCTGCTTATCTCCTGCAGGAATCGTAGTAGTAATCTTGTATGTACGAAGTGTCATATCTGACAAATGACCGGTGGTCTTGTATACCCCCCTCCGCAGGTGGTGCGTCAGGTGGACGGTCATGTGTGTGTGTCGCACCACTAATACCACGTGCTTAGCCTAACTCCTAAATTACGAGACGAATTAGATAGCATGAATGGATCGAGATGACGATGTCCGTGTTTCACTTCCAGAGTACTGGGACGATGAAAGGACTGGGCATGCTGTCTTGCATACAAGATGACGGAGGATGTCTGTTTACTTGTGGTTTCTTATGAGAGACTAAGCCTCAAAGTACAATATACCCCGTATCAATTGATGTTTATGTTGAACATCCACCCGAGGGAGAAAGAAAACGAGTCATGCAGATAACGCGGGGTATTGATATGCCTGTTGTTGATCTCCTAGGTGTCATCTTGGATATTTTGCATTGGCCAGTTATTATTAAATATTCTTCCTGGTGTCAATAGAGATGGGATGGGCAAGCGAGGTGTTAGATATAATATTTGAACCACCAATCATCTCATTTCAAGTCATCCGTCATACTCCCAGATTATTTGTGATTGTACACGTAGCTGAAAACGATTCATGTCAATCAAACATAAAAATAATTAATAATAATTATCAACATCTTGCTGGTATCAATCATAATGTTCTTGCGTGGACCTGCCATATGTGGCAATCGATATGGAATATCGTGCGTGCGCCGATTGGCACGAGAAAATCCCTCATGGATTAGCCAACCTGTCCCCTCCAACCGATACTAATGCCACGCCACCAGTCTTAATTCCCTGCAGGTCGCCCAAAACAGAAGCCCTAACGACGAACGCGCTTCGTACTGGCTGTCACTACGAAGCAATACCTGCCACGCGCACTGGGACAGGCCTCGGTAATGTTGCTTTATCTAGTTGTAGCAAGGTACAGCAGCATCCTGTACAAATGACTGCAGTTTATATACTAAAGCATGTGTATTCTCTAGTAATCACTTGTGGGGGGCCTGACACCTGGCTTTCACTTGGCATGCGTCGAGTTTTCGTACCGATTGCTACTAATTTCTCAGCTGGATGGAGATAAAAAATATCAATTGCGTGTGTATAGGCATCTGTATTTGTGTGTATTTGAATTTTCCTACTTTTTGCTATCCTTGGTACGAGAAATGAGCACCCCACGCACGAAACAATTACAGTGGGAGATCGATCCACAAGTCCACAACAGGAATCCCGGAAACTTGACGGGGAGAATTGGAGAAAATAGCCTTTGTACAATTCATTGCGATCGGCTGGTACCTTGGTTTGTTTTGTTCTCGCTAGTATGTGCTCATACAATTGTTCTTCATATGAACTCGAGGCTTGGGGTAACATCCCCGCCCGCTGGCTCTGATAATTACATGTTTTGTATTGAGATTACTACGCACCTCGGAGTATTTGTGCGCAGATGTACGAATTAATAATATGCTGGCCAATAATAATTATGCACAACATCATCGATCGTTGCTGAACCGTGCGTTGCTCTAAAACAGCAAATCTCGTCTGTGGCGTCCTGTCACTAACTCAACAGCCTGTCAGAGGGGCCCAAGTCATCTCAGCCTTTCCTAATCAGGTAAGATATCTCTTGCAGCCAAGCTGTTAGGCCAGTACGGAGTAGAAGGGATTAGCTTTTGCCTAAGAGCACCCTTGTGGCCGATCCTGAATTCAACGCTCGCTAATTGGCGGTCACGGAGTTGGTGGATTGCAGTCCAAGGCTTGTTTACTTTTCTCCTTCCTTTGCTTTTTCGTGTTTGGGCTAACCCGCATTGACACCATTCGATAATATATGGTCTTGACGATGATGAAACATTAGGTCCATGATTCTATGAAACTGGATATGGACACGGCCTAAGGTCAAGATGGGGTTTGATATACTCTATCCCGATGTCCTGATTCAAGCTGGTGGCTGAGACAGTAGTTAGGGCCTTAATCCGATCTATTCGCAATAATCTACGCTGGTTTCACCGCTTCTTCCAACCAGTAACGTCACCACTTCCGTATTCAGCATTCATCTCCATCATCTTTGCTTCTGTGGCATTATGGTATACACAATCTATTCAGTGAAAGTTTGACTATAAGTAATTACCTGACAGCTACCCGAGATGCTCGTCGTCTGCGTGCTAAGCAGCGATTAGTTAATGATTGACATATCGCGTGGTTTGCCATGATCGCAATCTGCTGACTTGCTAGTCGGTAGTCTGCAAGCATATGAAAGTGAAGATCAGCAGCGCATTAGACTCGAGTCCCGCGAGTAAGCAACTCTGAAGGAGCATAACTGAACTTCTACGACTGGACGGTGTGTTGACGGTTTGACTGGCATATTGATCAATCCCCCTCCAATCGCGAGAAGCTGTATAATTCTGTTGTATCTTGTTGGGCGATTAGTCTATTCATCTTCATGGTAGATAAAATGTGTACGGGAGTACGAAGGGATCCTAGCGCCGAGTACTGACAAATGCGGTCAGGATAAAAGAAAAAGAAAAAAAAGAAACGATTCAAGACAGTTACAGGGGCTTTACAGAGGCTCGTCTGATGTTATTATTATATCGAGATCGTTGTTACTGTTGAATTACAAATACCTTTGTCTGACTATGCGTGTTCACAGTTGTGGGGCCAAGGACGGTGAGAAAAAGAGGGCAGTGCGGTCTGCTGGAGGAGCTCCCGAAAGAATAACGTGACTCGTTGGCAGTAGTAACCGTCGATATTAGGACGGGATGCTAGTGGCCAGCAGGCTCGTAATGTGCAAGACTGCAGGTTTGTATTATTGTGAGTATTAATAATAAGTCTCGGTTATTATTTGTCGAGCCGTTCCCGGGCGGCAGGCTGGTCACGTGAGGATAAAATACCGCCACCTGCCGAGCGTTACCGCGCATTACCGGCGGTATTACGTACACGGCCGTGCCAGGGAAAATGACCAAATAATAAGTTAACTTAGTTGTCTGACCAAGCCAAGCCCTAAGCTCCTCCCAGGGTCTGCTTTGGCCCTGCTGATGCTACCTTGCCCAGTCGTCACTGCGGTCTGGGAATAATACGCTGCAATTATTAGATGTTGCAGCATCTGCAAGCGGCCCATCGCTTATGTTGATTCTGCAGGGCAATGATGACTGCGATTGCATTGGCGGCAAGATGGAACTCATGCCACAGAGCCAACAGCAACACACACGGCGGCGTATCATACGGTACCAGAGTTGGACAAGAAGTGGAAATTACAGCAGAAAATTCTTTAAAGAAAAAAAGTAAAAGCAAAGAAGAGACTTGGTACTGCATAGCCGACCGCCGGAGGAGCACGCATTCTGGCAGCTAATAAAAATAGATAATCGCGCAGCCAGTTGACCAATAGTCCAATACTAAGTGACTGAGTCGGCCGTTCCCTCATTGGGGCGCCGCTGCAGAAGTTTTCTCTGCTACTGCCACAGCCGGCGCGCAGTGGCGACCCGCTGTGCCCGTTATTCTGGCCTGGTAATTTACACAGCCGTTACGCCGTTTCTTACCGCCAGTGCTGCATCGTACCCGCCGCCGCCTGCACATCACGGATCCCACTCTCAAGCCAGTCACTTGCGAACTCTTCCTGCAATTTTACCACTACAATAATAATTATCCCGTTCCTTCTCCTCTCCTTTTCTCTCTTCTCATTCAACCACGACAACCGCGCCGTCACTCTTGCTCTCGCCTTCGCTCTCCCCCCTCTTTTTTCCCCTGCGCTACTCCATCCTCTCCCACTGGTCTTCCGAACCACCCTCCATCCTTCAAACCCGTTTCCATAACTGGTGCCGCTCTCGCTGCTGCGTTCTCCCGGCCTGACCATATCGTCTCTGACTACACCGACTCCTCCGTCATTACCGTTTCTCCTGCAGTCAAGATGTTGCCGTTTATATTATGACAATTTGCGTCCTCCCTGGGACACCTTGAATAACCATCGTGCGTGAACAGCAAGCTCGGTCTATTCCTCAAAGATCGACATCGCAGGAGCTGTTCTCTCTAGAAGATTGTATCTTCCTCCATATCACCTCGCTTTCTCACCAACTTCGAACCGACCTTCATCCTGTCATACATGGCTCACCACCAGCACAGTGACTCACGAAGAGGCCCAACGCTCTATCACTTTTTGAAAATGGTCTTCTCTACGGATTCACCCACACTTTCCGCTGGCCAGGATGTCGAGGTGATAGACGACGGCGACGAACCTCCCGATCGACACCCTGCGCATCATATATCCCCCGCTCACTCTAATGCTGACCGGGTCTATGTCAAGTCGCCCCCGACGATGATGGAAAGAAAAGAGTCTCTTCTCACCCGTGCTCTCTTGAGAAGCCCGGATCTCGGTCCAACTGACCGCAGCGACAAAGCTTCTTATCCCATCAGCAATGCTAGCGGCCACTCCACCGCTGAGCTGACTAGCGATGGCGACCTCACAAGCCCAGCCTACTCTAACACCTCTAGCCCGCCACATCTTCAAACCCTACACTTATCCCAAATTATTGAACCCAAAATCGTTGCCCCGCCATCGGATCCCAGCGAATCTAAAGTGGAGGCTGATTTAGGCCGAAAACGTTGCATTAGTTTTGCCTGTGCGCGCCGGGCAGATCGGCCAAAAGAATCCGAAAAGAATAATGCTCTTGACAAGACAAACGTCAGCGACGAGCCGCCAAAGCGCAAGACTACTCTTACTTTTGCCTGCCCTTCCCGTAACAGTGATACCAAATTTTCGACCCCATACCGAAGATCTGCCTCGCAGTCTCGCCCTCGCGGCTCTCCTGCCCCAGCATCTCGCCATCGCATTTCGAACCAGGATGGCCCAGCTCACAGTCCATCTACCAAGGAAATTTCGGCTGGCAAAGCCTCAAAGAAACCCGGCAGTATTCACACAAGTGGGTTGGGGGATTTCCAGCCGTCAGAAGAGACTCGCTTTCATGAATTTGCGAGCTCTCTCGAAGAAGTCGACGAGTGGATGGTGGGCCCGACTGAACATAAAGAAAAGATTACGTTGAACGACTGTATGAAGAAAGAAAACGCTATCCGACGACTGGGCGAAGAAGCTGAAGCTGAAGCTATTGAGGAGGAAGAAGAGGAAGAAGACTTAGCAGATGGCGACGATGACGGCGAGACCATTCATGATTTCTCTTCCGACGACGGCAACGAGTCCGATAATGAGGCGGGCTTCGCTGATTCGGACGATGAGAGTGATGACAACTCGGAGTATGAATTTTGGGCACCATCTACAACAACCGCCGCCACGAGTGCCGATAATATGGATTTCGTACGTTTAGATACCGACCGTCGGAATTCAAACACGTCTTTGGAGTCTCTGAAGCGTGATACCGAACATTCTCGTTTCTCAGCTCCTTCTCAGATAAAAAAAGGTCGTCGCCCTATCAATATCCCAAGGACTGAAACACCAGATCTTCCAGACAGCACTGATTTTGTATGTGGTACGCTTGACGAAGATCGCCCTCTGGAGGCTGCATATATCTCCGCCATGGAAGAACGTCGTCGAAAGAAACACGTTCCCATCCCGCAGGATATTGATCCCAGCTTTCCAGCCACAGACCCGGAAGATCAAGAGGATGATGATTTAGAAGAAGAAAATGCCGAAGACGAAATTATGGAGGCTGCTGCCAAGATTGAGGAGGAGCTTTTACGGGGCCGACGCAAAGGACCGTCAAGAACCTCACCGCGCATCTCTCCTCGACGCGTCCATTCTCCAGCCCCACGCAAAGCTGGCCAAATTTCGCCCAAACGGTTGAAATCACCGGCGCCCAAGTCCGCTGCTACTGGTGGGGTCAACTTACCTGTCCTTGCGGCTCCTGTTCCAGCAACTGGTGTCAACATCACCGGCCCAGTACGGCGGCCTCATTACAGTCGTACGAAATCTCTACCCAGGACTCCAAACCCGTTCTTTCTAAGGCTTGAAAAATCGAGGCAGTCGATTACGCAAGCGTCATCGCGTTCTTCCTCGCCAGAACGAGCAATTTCACGCGGCCGCGAACTTCACACGCGCGGTCCTATCGATATTATCCAAGGTCTTGAGCGTAAGCGACAGAAGCGCAAGGAAAAATTCTGGCGCCAACATTGTCGCAAGACTGCCAAAGAACAAACAGAGCGCCGTACGAAACATGGCAAGGGTGCCGAGCGTATGAAAGAACTTGGTCTTGAGGTTGCCGAGCGCTTCAAAGCTTACGGTGTTACCAAAGATACCCAGCTTGTTCTATCTGTCTAGATTGACCATGACTGGAATGTGATATCGATAAACACTCTTTCACTCCGTTTTCATGTACATACTATTACCAACATATTTGATTTATTACATTCATTGCTCTCTCATGGTCTTGGAGAGCATCATCCGGAATTTAACGAAATGCAGATTAAGAATTCGATTTCCATGCATTTACAGGCGGTCGTTTCAATTTCATCAATTTTTCTCTTTTCTTTTCCACGTTGAAAGTGCTTTGCAGCTGTTTCCGCTTATGGATTTCTTTCTTCGTACTTTTGTTTCTCTTTCAAAGCATGTTTTGCTTGCTCTTTCAGATTGGTACAGGGATGAGCATGGATATACCCTTGAGTTTGTATGTAACAGTCTATCAATACCGAACGAGAGAGCATGGTTCTCAAGTTGAATGAAAACAAGTATCATTACTTCATCATAATATCCGCTGTCCACGATTTAGCGCGTACACGTATTCTTAAGGCATGGTTTATTTTTGGGTCGAATTCTATGCAGAAGTGTCGTTGGGTTTATGTGAGTGACGACTTGCCAATCCAAATGCCTAGTCGACACCTGACAACGCAGGCACCAAGTCAAGCCAAGGCCGTGCCGAGTCTAACGACACCTCGCCAATTCCTCTCCGGTCTCAACGCCATTATCTATTCCAACAAAACCCCCATCACGCTGTCACGATAAACCTACCTACGCTCCCCGATAATTTCTTTTCGGCTCTTTCTTTTGTTCTTTTTCACGCTCAGTCGCACGTCCACAGCAAAGCAAGTCGTTCACCATGTGGATTATCAACTGGTGTAAGTTTTCTTCCTCTCCTCGAATTCTTAACCAGACGCCATGCGACGATCTTTTGATCATCGGTCTTTCGATTTCATACTCAATTCGACCTACAATATTACCTTGTTGATCAACTTTTGTGTTCATGACGAAGCTTATTCCATTTTGATACAGTCTACGATGTCCTGGCCTCCCTAGGACTTCTTAATAAACATGCCAAGCTCTTGTTCCTCGGCCTAGACAACGCCGGCAAAACGACCCTACTATACATGCTAAAGGTGGGTATTCATTGTGATGGAAGCACTTGCTTTAGGAGCTAGATTACGGGATGCATTGACGACGGGACAATTCAGATGCTAATCATATTTGCGATGACAGAATGACCGGGTAGCAGTTTTGCAGCCCACCGCCCACCCAAGTACGTCCCTTGTCGGGCTTGGAAATGAATCAGAAGAAATGGCTGACTGAAATAAAATAGCGTCAGAGGAACTCGCCATTGGTAACAATCGATTCACCACTTTTGACCTCGGCGGCCATCAACAAGGTCAGCGCCATCTCTTTCTCCCTTCGTCTGACAAAGATTTGCCTAATATATCATTTTCCAGCCCGCCGTCTATGGAAGGATTACTTCCCCGAAGTCAGCGGCATCGTCTTCATAGTCGATGCTGTAGACGAAGAGCGATTTCCCGAAGCCAAGGCCGAATTAAGCGCACTACTGGCGATGGAAGAGCTCTCCAAGATTCCATTTTTGGTACTGGGAAACAAGATTGATCATCCGGAGGCTAAAAGTGAACAAGACCTTCGTATCCAGTTGGATCTCCCCGAAGGAGTTACGACGGGAAAGGGCAAGGTTCCTCTCGAGGGTATTCGACCTATTGAAGTTTTCATGTGCAGTATTATCATGAGACAGGGTATGTTGGTGCTCTATATTAGCTGTTATATATACTAATTTGGTTCGAATAGGATACGGCGAGGGAATCAGATGGCTCGCACAATACGTTTAAGGAATACCTTCCATTTCAGATGACGGGATGATTGCCTAGCATGATGCCTGAGTGACGATAATGAAGACAAGGGGCTGGCGAAAAGAAGGATGAATACTAATCTCGAAAATGAGTCTATCACCCAATTTTCAACGATTGCCTCCGCTCTCGCTCTTCGATATGTAAAAAGGATCACGTACACAGTCATCTCATGTCCTCAACCAGCTAGGCCATCCTCATCATGACCGTCTCATACCTCTTTACTTCGCTCAACTTAATCTCAGAGCCCCATATACAGGTGCCTTATCAGTCTTTTGCAACTCAATCTGTCGTATGGATTGACTGGTTAAATTGGTTTCAATTCGCTATATCACATGTATTTGTCCTTTTATGTCTTTTTTTAAAGCGAATCAAATTATATGTTAGTTTTTGCTGTTACTCTCAGGAGAATATCATAAACCACCAAACTTTATCATAATGAAGGATTAATTGATATGCCGAATAGATACGAATTTCATCTACATGGTACCAGTTCGACGAGCGGACAGTTTAACATTGAATGAAATACTTCTTCCTTTGGTACTGATGAACATCCCTGAAGCTCCAGACTCTCCAATACGTGAAAATACGTATGGGCGGTATATGCCTACCCAAATGCACCAAGTACTTACAACTAGGATATTCCCGTAGTCAGTTCTAGGAAATGGCGTTATAATTAGTACAATGAGGATTCATGATAAGATGATTAAACAAGGCTCATTCATATTCTTAACTTGTGACGTCTCCCTCTCTGTTCGCCGAATATATTACTGATTTGGTCTCGTTGTGTCTTGTCGCCACGTTCGCGCACTTCCTGCTGACCTCCCATAACAAAATGAAGAATCCTGTTCCCTGCCAACTTGCGAGAAGAATGTGAAAAAAAACCTAGTGGATCAGACGAAACAATGAAATGAAAAGTAACGCACAAAACCTGGAAAAGTGCTAGGCCATAATATAGGATACAACAAGGATTATTATCTTGCTTGCTACTTATACCCATTTCCAGGGTTAAAGATAGCTGACAAGATATAATAAATTCGGTCCTCCCGGGTAGAAACAGCCCTTCCCTCGCAATTCGATATAGCCCTTTCAGGAAAAATCACACACTAATGGATAGTCGAATTTATAGAAAAATAAGAAAGAAACTCAATGGGCGCAACGCGGCTGTGAAAACTGTATGTGGATGATCGATGGCGCATCATCGGCGGCGATGACAGAATGTTGGTCAAGTAACGTCGGGCATCAGGTCATTCGGTGGCCTGGCCATATCGGTGATCGAATGGTTGGGTGATTATCTCCGTCCGAACCTGCTGCACATGGAAAAGCTCGTATATTTTCTTTTACTTCTTTTTCTGCTTTCGCGGAGGAGTGATGGGTCTGCCAGTGCTTATACCCCCGTGAACGTACTTTTGTTTCTTTTCGGCTGGTTTCAAAATCTGGACAAATCGCTATTAGAAGATCGAAATCCAAAAGTGGAAAAAGCTCTCATACCTGGAATGAACAAAGTAAGCTCTCATCAACACTCATCATCGCTCCAGCGTTGTCAAATTCCCCACAGTAATTGGGTGCACTGAACAGCGTCACCAATTGCCGTTTTGAGAAAAACTCATAGCCATCTTCAACGACTTGATGAGCACGACAGATGAGGTCCATGTCGTGTTTCTGTAGGAATCGTGACACAACGTCGGGGCCGAATGTGAATGAGACACCTCGGTCGTTTTCGCTCCAGCCGGTTATGTCTTTGTCCGGATCGGACCATAGCAGATCGCAGAGCAGACCGCAGTCGGGAATCTGTCAAAAAAATCACGGGTCAGAATTGAGCTGCAAAGCTCGACAAGCGAGTAGCTCCAATAGCCTCCACTTTTTACATAAAACACAAAACCCTCGTCAGATGGTATCACACTTACATCAGTAGGGCGCATGACCCGGCGGATTTGCTCCATTGAATTGAGATCAGGACTCAAACCTCCATGCATAGTGAAAATCTTCTCATCGATAATGGCGGCAATCGGTAGGCAATTGAAACAGTCCGTGAATGTCTTCCACAATTTGATGTTGTATCGGCGCTTGCATTCATCGTAGAAGCCATAGATACGGTTAATCGAAGCACATTCGTGATTGCCACGAAGGATGAAGAAGTTTTCAGGGTATTTGATCTTGTACGCTAGCAACAGACAAATAGTCTCGAGCGACTGTTTACCACGGTCCACATAGTCTCCAAGGAACAGATAATTTGCTTCGGGAGGGAAACCACCGTATTCGAAAAGACGTAACAGGTCGTAATACTGGCCGTGAATATCACCACAGATCTATCACCGGTCCGTGAGTAAAAATTCGCACCATACACACGGGGATGTGCACATACCTTGATTGGCGCCTCAAGCTCTAGCAAGATGGGTTGTGAGATGAAAATTTCTCTAGCCTTGGTACATAAGTGGCGAATCTCGGATTCCAAGAGTTGTACTTGTTTCCCTGGCCGGCTACCCCTCACCTCCAACAGTCTATCAATGATAGAATCTAGATCAACATCGCCTTGGTCGGCCATGACGTGCCACCGCTTAAAAGAGACACGAAAGCGAAGGTTAGGAGGTCGAGGAGGGAAGGGAGGGAGAAAGAAAAAAAAATAGATGTTCCCCGAAGACTGTCCGCTTTGTTACTGAATAAGGATCCAATCTATTCTGAAGCTGAAGTAATGAAAACGCGTTAGCAAAGTTTCGAAAGATTGTTTTCAAGACATTCCAATTCTATTGATTTGGGATGAAAGAAAACTGGGTGTCTGTGAGTTTTGGGCAGAAAATTGCATTGGACGCGATGTCGCACGCGTTTTATGAAACGTAGGGGGTTGGCTCATTCAACAGGGATGGGGAGGAGTCAACTCACAGACAGGGAAGAAAAGCTTCAAGCTCCCGGTGTGCTGGTCGAAGAGCGGGCTGGATGGGGTTAGGCCACTAGGCCGCAACGATGAAGTCCTGAAACAGTATCTTCTGGTTGGAAATCACAAGTTAACGAGAGAAGCAGCAGATCTGAGACTAGGTAGCGCTGGGGCGATGACTTTCTCGAAGGTGACGAAAAAACGGCGCCGGAAGGTTTGTAGCCCCAAAGGGAACGGGAATCACGAACAAGTCAATTACGCGTCAACGTCTCAGCTGAGAAGAAACGAATAAATATCCGTGAGCTGGATGGAGATGCAGACCAGATCTGTTTTAACTCGATCGTGGTGGCGGGGATGGAAAGAGATTTCGGATTTCTGGCAACTATCGACCACCAAGGGCGGGTTGTGCGAAGAGTGAGCGAACGAGGCGCGATCGTCAGCAAGGTCGAGGCTGTCGAAGAGGCAGGCAGAGTTCAGGGCGACTGATTGCGATGAATGCACAAGAGCGAAGCGATGCAACGGTTGTGGTGGTAGAACTTTTAGGGTTTTTGAAGCCGTGCAGCGCAAAGGGAAGAGGAGGGGGGAAGGAAAAGCACCAGTGGAGGTTGTGGTGGACGCAGAAAGCGAGGGAGGCGCTGGGTGGGAGTCGGGCGGGAAGTTGCTGACTACACTCGTACAAGTTAACAACAGTGAATGATCTACCTACCGACCCAACCCAGTATTATTATTATTATTATTATTATCATCATTAATCATTACTTATTAGCATTCTCTTTTGGCCAGATCAATCCTATACATGTGACGATAACTAGCTAGTCATCACGGTTTGATAATCGATCCTTACATACAATATGTAACTAGCTGGCAGTCATACTTGACAATTTTATGGTACAGCTTGGAAATCGCTTTCTTATCATTCATTATAGCTGTTGCTTGGTCCGGTTTTCTGGTGGTCTTCCCTGTTGTAGATTGCGCATCCCAGTCATTATGATCCAATTCGTTGACTCACCTGCGCTACAGCCTACGCTTCTTATTTGCCTACAGGCGATCTGCCTGGGCCGTAGAATGTCGCGGCCTCGGCTCCACCGGGTGATGTTTGTATACAGTCATTGACTGATTGGCTCGCCTCTTTGCATTAGGATTTTTGATGGGGGTTCACTTGTTCTCGGTGGAGAGGAGGCAAATCGTCGACTGCGTCTCGAGTAGCCTGAGCGCTCAACGGGTCGCACTAGGACGGATTTCCAGAAGCCTATATGGGGAGTTGCAGAGTTGCATACAAGTGGAATCTGGCTTGGTGATTAGGCTATTATTATCCTGCACAAGGCCGCTGTCAATTGTGATTCGCCGAGCAGCCGCCGCATCTCGGTCTCGAAGAAGCCACCGCTGAGAACCTTTGGAAATTAGACTAGGATATGGATGTTGCAACATACTAATTATATTAATGGAACAGCACAGAATAACGAGATTAGCCATGCTGAGTAGAATGTCTTCGTTCAAATAACAAATTTTGTTTGTCTGAGGCAGAATATTTAGTGATGTACTCTATCTAACAATGAAATCAGGAGCCGAAATCGGGAAAATAAACCGATGTAGTATTTTGTGAATGCCTACTGTCTTTCTTACCTGCTAAGTTTTACTAGCTGGTATGACGAATAATGCTAGCAATTCAAAGGTAGTTAACTAACTGGTTATAGAGGAAGAAAGTAGCATCTAGGCAATATGGATCTGCAATTCCAGCATCGTAGAACTAATTAGGTAGGATTGATATGGTGGACGTTGACAGAACAACCCAACAGCGCCGCCTTCTCATCATACAAGCGATCCAACAACAACAAAGCTACAGAGAGAGAAACAAGGTCTTCCACAATACCACCCTCATGAAATTAACACAAAACATAATATCAGAGTTGCGAAATTCTTCAAGCACTTAATCATCAAAACATACCCACCCAAAATCGAATCCCAGAATAAAGCAAAGCTAACCAGAAACACCATATAGTATGCACAAAATTTATACAATCGAAAAGGGGTATATTCTTTTGGAAAAGAACAAACGGTCTCGCAAAAGGCACCAAAAGCGTTATCTCAAACCAGGCAAGTTATGATCGGCCGTATCTAGTCGTTGTTTTTCAAACGAAGAAAAAGTTGTAGTCAACCCAAAGTCTGTCCGCTCAGTATCAACTGGCTGCCAGGACGATTCATAGTAGTAGGACGCATAATAGATGCGTCAAACCCAGTTCCAGTGCGAGGAACTGAAATGCTCTGTTGCTTATGCTGCCAAGTCTCGTCGCCCAGGACACCAAGCCAGTTGCTGTTGCTGACGTCCTGTCTAAGAGTTTCTAGTTTTTGGCGATATGGATCATTCCAATCAAGATCGCGAATAACCGGTAAAGTCTCACGAGCACCATCTCGCTGAGTGGTAGATGCAACAATCTTCTTCACTGGCTCAGCACTGGATGTGACAGGAGCCGGTCTGGAGGTCATGTCGTCAGTTTCTGTGAAAGGATCTGAAAAGACGGACCCAAGAATCAGACTGCCCTGAGGGTTAGTGCCGGAAACTTCATTTCCCGTTACTGACTCCTTGCCGGAGGGGTCAATGATGCGGCGTCGTTGACTTTTTTTTCGACGTTCAGAGCCTTCCACTCGATCGATCACTCTGATAGACGGCGTGTCTTGACGTGTTGGGCCTGGCACTCTACTTACCGTCCTTTCCGGTTCGGGGTCAATTGAGCGAACAACAGGGGCAGCCTCGCGTTCAGCGGCTCGGTCAACTAATTGTTTTCTCTCGCTATACCCAGGGCCTGAAGCATCGATGATGATGTCTTCTGCATAACCAGGAGTGCTGCGGAACAGATTAAAGATGGTAACTCGATGCCCAGTGTGAGTTTTGGTGAAAGGGTTACCCGAAACCCAAATCTCTCGTATTTCAGGGAGACCGGTCAGTCGGGCTATTTCGGTAGGATCAGTCAGATTGTTATCTCGCAGATCGAGTCGTTCTAGGGAAAGAAGTCGTTCAATCCCGGCAAGGGATGACAAGCGGTTTCCTCGAAGATTGAGGGCCGTGATGGCAGGCAATGGGTTTCTGGCAATAGATCGCAAGGAGTCGATCATACAGTTGGACAAATTGAGCGCTCGCAGGGCGACCAGCGAAGCCAAACTTTCCGGGATCTGAGAGAAAAGATTTGAGGACAAATCCAACGAATGTAGTGTGTTGGCGACGGGAGTGAATCCATTCGCAGAGATACTTGTTAAAGAGTTATCGGCCAGACCCAAGTGGCGCAGGAACCGCCATTTCGTAACAGGGAGCACTCCTGCAAGGAGATTCGACGAACTACGGTTGGCATATGAGGACACTTCACTCGAATTGGAACTTCCGGAACCTGATCGAGCCAGTTTGTTGACAGAGTACCCTCGAGAATGTCGCGTCTGCCTAGCGGTAGGTGGGCGTGTAGGTGAATAGCTTCCTGTACGTCGGTGTCCATGAGTACCATCAGATGCACCTCGCATCATCGGGACGGCCTTGGGGCTGGTACTAGACGCCAGGCTAGAATCCGGAGCTGGAGATCCCGGGGCTGAGCTTGGCTTGCTTGCGTCATACTTGTACACTGGCTGGGGTGTAGAGCCACCGATATGACCTCCTAGGACTGGGGACGGCTGAGATTTAGAAGAACGTCGCCGGCGCTTATCGATGTCATCCAGAACGATCTTCGTTAGCAGATCAGCCGGATCATCCAAATTAGCCCGTTTCAGGGTCAACGTGCGCAGCTGTTCCGAGAGCCGGTCCCATCCGTAGAAAGAGCGGAAGTCAATATCGATGATTTCTAGGGCACTGAGGTTCTTGAAAGCGTGTAACGGGACGGCTGTATCCAGAGGAAATTCCTCGTAGCCACGAATGAGGCGGGCACGGTGATCCGGGGCTAGGCGAAGACAGGGGATCTTAGTGAAGGCAGAATATAGGTACTTGAGGTCGACCTCCAAAGCGGCCTTGGCCTTTTCGGATTTGGAAGTCTCTTTGGAGCCCATGCCGATGGTAGACCACAAAGCGCTCATCCCGGACATGACGCTACGAACACTAGATACGGAGTGTATGGAATCGCGATCCCCACGGGAACGACGCGGTTGATTCAAGAACGAGACGTATGAGGAGGAGGAGTCATTGTGTATGTTCTCCAGACGCACGTTCATCGAGCCTACAGGGATGGAGAGTTCCTCGAACTGAGAGAGGAGATAGAACAAGTGATGGGGGGTTAGAGTGAGTTTGGCGGGCTTGACATTGTGGGAAGTGAATTTGAGGGCGCCAAAGGACAGAGCGGCTGCCAGGCTTGATGAAGTCGAGGAGGCATATCCGGTGGACGGAGCTGACTGACGTCTTAGTTGAAGAGCGTTGGCCAAAGCCTTCTCGTGAGTGCGCACGAAACTGGCGAGGTTCTATATTACCGAGCATGAGGATCAGCGAAGGCTCTACAGGCGTTCTGGCATGTACCCACCTTGATAAAAAGCTGACCGTCTTCGGAGTTGAGTTTCTCCATTGTGTGGTCTGGTTTTTGTCCCTGGCGGCAAAGATGCAGGGAATAGATAGCGCTGAGGGTGAGCGCTTACGAACAGGACAGGTGGGTGAGGGCAGCGGTCGACATTTTGCTGGTCCGGCCAGAAAGAATATTCACGAAATGCAGGATCTGAGGAAAGGACAGATTAGTACGACTGGAATTATCAAGACAGAAATCATGAATCGGCAAGGACAAAATGAGATGAGTCAAGACGGAGGTGTCATCGGGCGCGAGGCGAAAAGCAAAAATGACCGGTCTGGTAAGAAAATCATAATCAAAGCAGGGCTTGCTTACACGGTCCACGAGACCCAGGCTGCACCTCTGACCCTGGCAAAGAATTTTTGCCCGACAACAGGAATAAACCACGATGCAGTGCAGCGAACAGAACAAGAGATGCCTCCCGAAGAGAACGAAGAGCGAGCAGGGAGAAAAATTAAGAATCAGACGATGTTGAATCCGACACGGTCGCTCTCGGCGAGGGAGGGGCTGCTGATAACAGCACAGCCGGCAGGAGCGACGGAAGGGATCGAGCAAGCAGGCCAGCCCTGTTCTTGTTCCTTACTCGAGCGCTGAAGAAGCAGGAGAGGGGGAATGGTTGAAGAGCAGAGAAACGGGGTATCCAGTGAAAAGCCAGGCAATATACAAAAATAAAAATAAAAGGACGAGCAAAGAAGCTCACGATCGAAATAAAACAATCCAAGGCAAAAACATAAACAATTACCACCGAGCAGCTGCCGCCTGTTCAGAGAGGCAGGCGGTTGACAGAACTGCCAGAGCAGGGCAGAGGAGAAGTTGATATTATGATGAGGATTGTATGAGAGTATTATTATTATGGCGGCGGTGGTATAATAATGATTAATGATAAATAACAACAACAACAGTATTGGGATTATTATGGTGGAGGTGCAGCATCCTTGGGTCCAAAATCAAATGGTCCCAAGGTTCGCGAGGACCAAATGACTGCGACCCATGGCGCAAGCAGCGGCGCTCCTGTGCCCTCAGCGCCCCTCCCCACCACCCTCGGAGGGCTAGCGGCAGGCTAGCACTCACTAGCCACTGTAGCCCACTGCAGCCAGCACCCGCTAATGCTGCTAATGCCGCTAATCGCAAGGCGCCTCAAGCGAGCCAGCCGGGATTGGCCAGAGCTAACTGCTCAACTTCATCCTGGAGTACGTAGAACGAGACGACGAGGACGGACGAGAGACGAGACAATGAGACGAATACTGGACAGGATGGATGGGAGTAGTGCGCACCATGTTATCTTGCTGATGACACTTGATAGATCGTACAGTCATCCGTCGTTCTGCTGTGATCGCCCAGGAATGTTCTGAGCCTGAGGTAATTACTCGTGGGCAACAAGCTGATAAGCCGGCCCATCGCGCTAGGAGAATGCAGCAGGACAGGCCGAAAAAGGCAGCGGCAGCCAGATATACTATTGTAATATTATTCTGTAGTCATCGTTAATTTGGCCATCATTGTTCGCATCCCTTGACTCGGATCTGGCGGCGAGAAAGAGCGCCGCCACAGGGCTGTTGCGGAAATGATATGATGACAAGGCGCTGCTCAGTCAGCGCGAGGGCTGATCGGCTCCTCAAATAATATAGATGAATAGATAGATTATCAGCAAGACTATCCGTACAGAAGGACCACGATAGAGTCGCAGTGCACAGGCGCAAATGCAACTGCCAACTGCCAGAAGGCAAAGGTGACCCTGTCACCTCGCGAAACAGAACGGGCCCCACAGGCAGAGCCCGCAGCGCACCCTCATTGGGCTATCATGCTGCTATCTGCACAGGCTAATTTCCGCGTCCACCAGTCGCGGCAGGCAATGCGTCAATGTGGCTAAGGGCGAGACGCATGGGCGAATCACGGGCCCGGCAACGCACCTTTCGGTATGCCACCCCCAATGATCTTGCACCCTAGCTGCGGTCATGCACTGCTCCGAGTGGCCCTGTCAATGTCCAGTGATCAGTCGTGCTTGCGGACCGCCCCTCCTCCTGGTGTAAGTGTGATTATTAGATCGATACGAAGTAAAATTCAATACCATCATCAGTCCCTCTTCATCGCCAATTCGACGAACGTGGTCTGCCCATAAAGAGGCTAAACGCCATATCAGATTGGCATTGGCTGAAACCTGGGAACCGTGGTAGCCGTGTCTCACCATGCGCCTCCCCCGTGATTGGCCGCTGTCAGGGAGAGTCGTTGACTTACTACTATGTATTAACTAATCAGCATCATCATCACCAAAACGGACATGCTAATTTACCACAGATCTTTAACCGGGGATCAGAATGCTGCATTCCAAAGATTGACTTTACTTTGTTACAGGCAGAAGCAAAAGAAAAAGGCAAAAGGTAAAAAGACCAAAATCCTTGTTATCGGCGGGGGAAAAGGGCCAAGTAAGGTGAGTGGCCAGTGACCACCCGCATGATCTGCATAGGCGATTCCTGCGAGTATCACCATCTGCATGCTGCTCTTCTCGTCTTTTGGTGTTTGCGCGATCGTCGCAGCTCTGTACGTAGTATGTACCACCCTGCAGACCCGAGAAGACTCGCAGGAAGCAAAAAGCAAAGAATGCAAAAAAAGGTTATCTCTCGTTGCGTGATTGGCCTCATGGCTCCCGATTACATGGGTGCTGCCTTCCTGCTACCAAGGACCTGATTTGGGGCATGGTGGTGGAACTGGCGGTGAGAACCAAAAAAAGAGACGCCAAAATAAAAATTGACGGGTGAAACATCAACTTACCCCTCGTGCCATGTCCTCATCCCGGCCGAAGATCCAATGCCTGTAGAGGGGCCTCTCGCATGACTGGCTGCTGGGGACCTTCTTATCGATCGTCCTCCACGGCGGGGGTTCTTATCAGGCTATCGTTCCTAATCGCTCCGGAGCATCCAATTAATCCGTCGCCAAGGTGGGGGAGAGGATCAGAGCGTCTCTGCCAGACTCGAGGGTGTACACGATTCCATTGCGACAACCTGGAAGGATTCCTCGTGCGATCGAGCAGGATTATCTTTCTGCTATAGATACTATCTCACTTTTTCTCATGAATACTTCTTCCTACTTCAATTCTGTGCCCCTACAAGATCGCCCATATGTAGATAGCGACATCTGTAAATTCGATCATCCATACGTCTATCCTCTAAGTACATGTAATATGCAGCATGCAGCCTGTAGGAACCTGCGGCCAAACCAATACTGTTCGGTGGCTAAGTGATCACCGCCTCCGTGCATGGAATAAAAAGCCATTCTGACGTCGATTGTCGCCACAGCTCATGCACGCGGTTTTTCGAATCAATAATCTGAGTCATGCCGCCAGCCACCAATGTCTATCCCCTCGTGGTTCTTAGCAAGATCTTTCGGTGGAAAAGAAGCCAACAACCAACCCTATCTACGAAATCCGCTTAAACGGTAGGAGGGCCGATCTGCGTCTGTGGATGGTATCTAATATTTACCTGTACGGAAATAAAGAATTAAGGGGGAAAAAAAGAAAATAAATTCGTCTTCAAAAATATATTCCTGTATATCTATAGTTGTTATCTCTGACGCAATAAAAACAGTATCCTTGAATATTCAATTGTTCATGGTTATGTGAGTGTTGTGGATACAAGACAAGCATCAACAAATTCTTAGAAAGAGATTAATCGCTACTTACATCTACAGTATACCGCGAACAGTATTTTTCGGAATTCTATTCTTCGTATATTTCTGCAATCTTTTGCAGAATAAGCGGTCGATCGCCTAGCAGCCTTACAGCTCTTGGGGAATATCATTCATCACATCTTCAAGAGTGGGAAACTGTTAATTTCCTTTTCAATGCTCCCCTAAGAATAGGGATCATAAAATGTAAAATTTACACATGATTGCAAAAATTTTCTTCAACATCAGTTGAAGAGCTTTGGGTGATATTAGCATAGTGAGCTTTATTCAAATACATAGATAAAAGGTTGTTCTTGACAGGCATCTCAGCCACAAAACTGGGGAAGGCGGAGGGGCAATAACTGTGGTGGGTCAAGACATGTGGCTGGTGCGCGAACCACTGTGGCTGGTCATGAGCGGGCCGCTCATAGCATGCGTGACGTCGTTTCTTAGTGTCTCCCTCAAGTCAACAGCGTCATCACCTGCTTAGATCAAATCGAGCCAAGCCCTCAATTCTCTTGCCAGTCTCTTGACCATCTATTTCCTGCAGATTATAGCAAACACACACCATGTTCCCTGAGCTGCGTCTTTACAATGAGCTCCGGCGGTAATTTGTCTCCTTCCCTGTCCCAGCAACCAGTCGATCTGAATGACCCATCCCTGCTTCCCGACTATGAGACCGAGTTTATCACCACCGAAGAGCTGCGTCAATTTGAGGCTGCGCTGAATGCCCCAGCTGCTGAATCACTGATTGCAATTAATGATTGGCGTCCCATCCGTCAACGAGTGCGCAGACCATTTCGACGGCGTCAGAAAACCAAACCCCAGAGAACAACCGACGAAACAAGGGAAGGTGTCTTGTACGCCGTGTTGAAATATCCATTCTTGATCATTGTGTTTGGTTGGATCTTTGTCCTTGGTTTGACCTATGTCTTGACGCGACTCTACATATCCCTTTACGAGCAGTTGATCACATGGACTGGACGTCGGGAGAGACTACGACGGGCACTGCACGCCACGACTAATTATGAAGACTGGAACAGAGCAGCACACCTGCTAGATGACTACTTGGGTAATGAGAAATGGAAAGAAAAGGATGAATATGCCTATTATGATTATCCCACTGTGAGGAATGCGGTTACACAACTCAGACAGTTAAGGGAGGCCGTCGAGAAAGAGGCCCAAGATGAACAGGCAATCGCCACTCACAGCTCGTCTGCCACAGAAGATCTTTGTTCCCTCTTGGAAGCCTGCGTCAAAAACAATTTCGTTGGCGTCGAAAACCCACGGCTGTACAGTGAAGCCTACTCTGGAACTAAACGTCTTGTCCAAGAGTATATCGACGAAGCACATCGCTCACTGGAATCGGTTCTCGAAAGCAGAATCCTGACACGGGAAGACAAGTATCGGCATTTCAGGCATCTGGACACAAACTTTGGGCGGACTGCGCTTTGTCTTTCCGGCGGGGCCACCTTCGCATACTACCATTTCGGTGTGGTGAGGGCTCTTTTGGATAACGGTGTCCTCCCCGAGATTATCGCAGGGACATCTGGGGGTGCTTTGGTGGCAGCATTAGTTGCAACGCGAACTGATGAAGAGCTGAAACAACTTCTGGTCCCTGCGTTGGCGCATCGAATCAGAGCCTGCCATGAGGAATTTCCGGCCTGGGTAAAACGCTGGTGGCGGACAGGCGCTCGATTCGATACACTCGACTGGGCTCGTCAATGCAGCTGGTTCACAAGGGGGTCGATGACCTTTCGAGAAGCGTTTGAGCGTACCGGACGAATTTTGAATGTTTCCTGCGTGCCCTCGGATCCTTATTCTCCCACCATTCTAACCAACTACCTGACATCCCCAGACTGTGTGATTTGGAGTGCGGTCATCGCGTCCGCTGCCGTGCCGGGTATTCTAAACCCGGTCGTTCTTATGAAAAAGAACCGGGATGGCAGCCTATCGCCCTACTCATTTGGTCATAAATGGAAAGACGGCAGCCTTCGTACTGATATCCCTATCAAGTCCCTCAATTTACATTTCAATGTCAATTTCACCATCGTCTCACAAGTCAATCCACATGTCAATCTCTTCTTTTTCAGTTCTAGGGGGTCTGTTGGACGTCCGGTCACACACCGTAAGGGTCGAGGTTGGAGGGGTGGGTTTCTCGGCTCGGCAGTGGAGCAATATATCAAATTGGATCTCAACAAATGGCTTCGAGTGCTTCGTCACCTTGAATTGCTACCGCGCCCAATGGGACAGGATTGGAGCCAAATCTGGCTACAGCATTTTAGTGGCACAATAACAATCTGGCCCAAGTCAGTCATGTCGGATTTTTGGAATATACTCTCCGACCCTTCCCCAGAGAGACTTGCGCGTATGATTCAAATAGGGCAACAAAGTGCCTTTCCCAAAATCCAGTTCATACAGAACCGCATGAAGATTGAAAATCTCATCATGCAAGGCTTACTGCGTAACTCACCTAGTGGAGGTCGTGAGCCTTCGCCATTACTCTCCCGCCGCCATGATGTTCAGAACCACGAACCAGCTGATACGCTTCATTCAGAACCAGAGACTATCTCTCCATACCACCTCGACGTACCTAATCCATCTAAAACAGGATATTCTGTTGGATATAACCATCATCGACGTAACAGTGTTATGGAGGAAATGAGACGTCAATCTGCAGTCTTCTTCGACGATTCAGATGTCTATGGGGATGAAAGTGACGAGGGTTTCCCTGTGGTTGGAAATCGAGATGAAATGATAGATCATAAGGAAATATGAGATGATCATCTACTATTTTCTACGACGTTATGGATGCCCAATGATGACATGTAGATATAAAATTCCCATTCATCTTTATCTAAAATATCGCAAGATGCTATTCATGTATTTTCCAGAGGCAGAATATAAATGCCCTTAAAGTACAATCAAGTTATAGTAATAGCACGAAACCTCGGTTATATTACGAGGTATCTCTCGGTAATCTGCCTCGCACTAGTCGTATCCCCACTGGTTGCATAAATGTTTTGTAGGGCGACAGCGGCTTCAGACGAAAAGTCTTCGACATAGGCAGCCTGGCCGTCATTTTCAATGGATTCCCCGGGTTCACTCATTTTTTGTGCATGTATTTGGTCGCCGATCTCTAGGGCACGCTCATAACCAGCCACAGCCTGATGAAGCAAACCTAGTGAATGATATACACGAGCAAAGTTGACTTCCACTTCCTGCCGCTCCACGAGTAGCGATCCTTTTTTCTCCCGTGCTTTTCGATACAAAGACATAAATGAAAGACCCTGAAGTATCATGAAATGTCGGTTTTCGGCTTGTCGTTTCAATGAGTGATGAATATAGCACAGTCCAATGGACAGCAAAACACTCGGGTTATCCTTATCGATAGCATAGGCTCGGAGGTAGTAATTCAATGCTGGGTAAAAACTGTTCCCAGAGTATAAAATGTGCCCGTAAAGAACGAGCATAGCTACATCCAGTTCATCAGCGGTTATTAGCTCACCATTCTCGTTGCGCGATGTCAATGACGGCTTATCCTGGTAAGCTGTGTCTCGTGTTTGTGCTTGCGCGAGGCGCATCACACTGTCGGGGATTGTCAAGTCCATTGCTTTGACCTGACGGAGCATAAATTTCATATTAGGAGAGGCATGGAATAAAGATTTGCGTGGATCACCGCAAAGTCGACTAAGAATAGAGTATAATCGATAAGTATCTGTCACAAACTGATATTCTTTAGAGAACCATCGTGCCTCAGTAACTAAGGTCTCTTCGTCTTGCAGCCGTAGAGCACACGCTAGATCAAAAATTAGCAAGTGAATAGATGTTTAAATAAAAGCAGATATCCAACTGACTGAACCAACAGACATGAATTTGCCGTGTTTTCTCTTTAGAGTGATACCACACACTGGCATCCGCAGCAGCTGCCAAGGTATTATACACTTCATCACCATCACCTTGTCCGGAAATCATAAAAGCGTATTCCAGAAAGATGTCTAGCCACTCATCAAATGATATTCCAAAATAATCATTAGGAATCGTATCTTGAACTTGTTCGGCAGATACGTTGCCTAAGGATTCTTGAAGGCGCCCGGCTAGTTCCTGCACTTCATCCATAACTGTATCCTTCTTTTTACCACCTTGTGCATCTCTTGAATATCCCAGGAACGTCATATTTTTCTGCAGGGGATAAAAAACACGATTAGACCGGAACTCACGGAGCAGTACATCCGCAATATCAAGCCAGTCTTCCGTTGAATTGACATCACCTTGTCGCATTGCCGGCCGCAACTCGTTCATCTTCGAATATAGATACCGTACATGCCCAGGTCGGTCGGCATCTATCTCTGGGATTGCCTCACGCCGGGACAGAGCATTGGAGAGATTGGGAACAGCTTTGCGCGCAGAAGGGTCCTTAGTACCCTGGAATTCTTTGGCGAGCTGTGCAAGCCGACGATCCCTCCTGCGTGTTCGACGATAACCTCCAGCCTCACCTCGTCCTAACAAGACAGCCTGGTTGACGAAATAAAGAGCCTGCTCTTTCATGCCAAGTTCTTCATATAATTTGGCCAAATTCACCCTAGATTGCAAATTTGTGGAATCATTCTCAACAACAGTGAGATAGCAAGCCTCAGCTTCTTTAGTTCTCCCACTCGCAAAAGCGCAATCACCCATCGCTAAAAAGTAGCTGACATCGGCATATTCTTCCGTGTACTGCAAAGGTTCGTAGTATCGCAAGGCTTGTTCAAACAAACCTGCATCCTTAAGTGCATCTGCTGCCTCACGGAAGAGATCGCCATAGTCGTATAATTGAGAACCTTCAGATTTGTCATCAGGAGTCAGCCATTCGAAATGTGTCTAGAATATTCACGTCAGTCGGTCTATATCTCTCGGCAGGTGGATAAGTTACCAAAGCCTCGTTGTAGTAGCGCTCTCCAAGCTTTAAACGATATATCCCTAGTTTTATACGTAATTCCATTGGAAGGCCTAGGCCGTAAGACTGTATTGGAAATACCCCTGGTATGAAACCGTTTGTTTTTATGCGACGAGGTGAGTCAGCAGCGTCCCACTCTCGGTCATCGTCTTCGCTATCCCAAATTTTATCATCTTTTCGACCAACGAGCCACCGAGAGACGGATTTTAAGAGTTGCAGCCCTGACTCATATTGCCCTATATAAGCGTATAACTCAACGCAGATGTTCACATCTGACCATGAGAACTCTAAACTTTCGTCTGTTTCATGAGACATGTAGTATTCGATACTGTTGGTGTAGTATCGAATCGCTTTCTGGACTTCTTGCATATCGATATACGTTTCAGCTAAATGCCGAAGGGCTCGAATGTTATGAGGAATTTCCTTGAGAATACGTTCATACTCCGTAGCCGCTCTGCCATTCGAACCGAGTTCCCGGTAGGCAGCTGCCCGTTGGAATCGAGCATTATAACTTTTTGGGTCGATTTCAATGATGCGGCTGAAGCAGTAGACCATGTCGTTCAAGGCCTTTTGCCGATCCTCCCCGGATCTCTCTTGGATCAGCTTCGACACCTTGTACCACACCGTCGGGTCCCGTGGTTTAGTATGGGCACCGCTAAAGAGGGCTGATATTGCTTTATCGTCCTCCCCTCGAGCTAGAAAGATTTCCGAGAGTAATGAGTGGGCTGCAAACATTTCAGGGTTCACGAGGATAGCTCGTTGAACCAATTCAATAGCTCGATCGTAGTCACCATCAATGAACGCCTCGGTGGCTTGAGAATGAAGCATCTTGAATTCTGGGCTGGGCTCCAGCGGCCTGCGAGGACCTCTCTTGATCCCTTTGCCTCCTCTGGCACCATAACGACCAGAGAATGGCCCGCGGCCCCTACGTGGACGCTTCCGCGGTGGAGATGAAGATGCCTGCATGCTGTCTGAATCAGGTTCCAAATCATCCTCTTCATCCTGTCCTTGCTCCGATTCGGCAGAAGCGGCCTCGTAATCAGCATCTTCATCGTCGTTATCATCATAACCATAACTAATTAAAATCAGTATCTTATTAAATAAGGAAATCATAGCGCTGGGCCAAACTGACTCCATTTCATCGTCCCAGATCTCATCTTCCGCAGATGAGGACTCATTCGCGTCGAATTGGTTCTGGAGTATGTTTTGTTGGCCAGTTGGGAAGTTTTGCGTGGAAGAACTGGTCGGATCTTGACTCCGTTGCACAAAAGCATCGTCATAAAGACGAGGGTCGATAGCTGGGTGTATTGGAGGCTGGTTCTGACCAGCCTTTGCTGGCCATGCATATTGCACACCATCCATTGTCTGAGAATGCTTGTTTCCGTGGCCCGGGAACTTATGGCGAACTGTTATTCTCAAAATACATATATATGTGTCGTAGTGACTTGTAATCTGGTGAGCACAATGAAGCGCTCATCAATCAGTCATATACAGATCGTGTGGATTAAAGAACCCTAGAAGAATCGAAGCGCAAGTGGCTCGGGCTTGATCTCGGCAGCCAATCAGAGTCACTCATGGTCTGCAGGAGGGATAGACAGACAATAAGCATGGAACTATACACAGTGAAAAACAATTTTTATGGTTTCAGGATTTGGGTAGGTGCAGAGGGCGATCTTTCCGCGAAATGAGAGAGCTGCGAGAGAGCTCCAGATGTAGGCAAGGCAAAGCACGCAAGAAAGAATAACGCGGTCTTACCAGCGGGCTTAGCGAGTGCTGCGTGTAGCTTTCAGAGCATTTATTACCGATCAGTTGTCACCGTATAACGAGCTCTCACCACGATCATCTCCGACTGTGTGGCAGAGCAAGTCTGTGGCTGATGGGCTGACGAGGACGATGAAGTGAGCAGGGTGTGTAAAGCAGGCTAAGCCGCTTGCTCCTAGCTGCTGCCAACGAACTTGGCAGCGACGTTCCAGGCCCCGTGATTGCCCTTTGCTGCCTGAATTAGCTGGCTCTCCGGGCATCGCTTCCCCAACCCAATCAGCCAGTCTCTTATGTGACTGGACAGGCCAAAAATAATAAGAATCCTCAAAAATAAACCCAGACCAAAACCCCAAAACCACAGCCGAGCCTTGAGGTCTTGATTCCCCCATTCGCCGCCCGCCCCTGATAGCCTTCTTCTCTTTCTTCCTCGTCCTCCTCCTTCCATCCCGCTTCTTCATATCTGTCTGTACTTCCTGCCTCTCTTCCTTTTCTTCCCTGTTGGCTTTGTCCGTTCTTTTCCTTCTTTTTGAGCCTCTTCTTCGCCTTCGCCCTTCCGCCGAGGACTGCCGCCCTGGTGTGTTTGACACACGCTGCCAGCCCCGGGTGCCTCTCGTTGCTCCCCCGATCGCCATCCCGAGCTTTCCTAGCCGACCCACGTTGACGCTTCTGATCGACTGGAAACTCCCCCCAATATACCCTCGTGCTGTCAAATAATCCTGTGCAGCCACTGGACTGGTCTGTACTTTAATTCTAGCTGTGCTCGGGGATAGACTTCTTTGGGCTTCATGAGATCCGCTCCAACAACTGCCCAACGAAAGAAAAGTTTGAAACAGCCAGCTCACCAACACGCGACTGGCCGTTGGGGGGATTCTCGACAATCATCTTTCCAATATTATTCCCATCAAAAAAAGAACTCGCAGAGTCTCCAGGAGCTTTACATTTTAATATTCTATCTACTTTTTTTGCTCTAGGTTCTCCACTGCGTCTGCTTCCAGATCCCTCCCACGAGATGGCAAGCCACATTATCGGAAACAGGAATAGCACCCCAGAGGCGTCCAAATCGACATTGCGTCCACCCTCTTCAGCTCGAAACTTGGGAGGCTCTCACCAGCTGCGAGCTTCTGCCGACATGTCCGGATTTCCAAGCCCTCTCTCTGCCCGAAACATCCGTCCGTCGTCGGAAGTTTTTTTCAACCAGCCATCTCATGGTCAAGGCAATATGGATGATGCTCTGGATCAGGCAGCCCAACAATGGATAGCTGATATTGATCAGTATGAGACAACATTGGAAGAAATGGCTGCTGCTACTCTTGACCAGGACTTCAAAGATGAGCTCAGCGCCATCGAGCAATGGTTCCGCGTTCTGAGCGAGGCTGAACGGACCGCGGCCTTGTATGCCCTTCTTCAGCAGACTACCCAGGTGCAAATTCGTTTTTTTATCCAAGTATTGCAACAGATGGCAAAGAGTCATCCCATGTCCGGGGTTCTGTCTCCGGCAAACTTTGGAGAAAAGGGTGAGTGATCAACGAAAACCGTGGTCACAGGTTTTGATTCTAATAGTGTTAGATCCAATGTCTAACCGTTTGAGCGATGCGATGTCCAAATTAACAACTGTCGATGGTTCACGCAACTCCATCGGACGTCCTCCTCCATCTCCAGGTGCCAAAAGAAATTCAGGTCTTGATTCGTCTACAATAAACGCCATGTTTCCAGATGCCGCTGCTGCTATAGCTAAGAAAAAGGCTGAGTTCACTCAGCAGACTGGCAACGCTCCTACTTCGAACCGAAACAGCGCTATATTCGGAGGGGATCGTTCATCTCTCGTCGCCCCAACTATATCCGCTCCCGATGCAAAAAACTCATTAAGCCAGCCACCATCTTCTCCGTGGGCACAACGGGCTCCAGAAACGCAGCCGCCCATTGCTCGCCCTAAGTCGTCTTCCGGACAACCTCAACAGCCGATGGGCCAATTTAGCCAGCCTTCCGCTCTTCGTTCTCCACGTCCCGGCAACGTACAACACACAACAATCACCGCTCCAGATGTTTCTCACCATGATGCGCCGCTCTTGTCTCCTTACAATATCGGTAACTCTAGTTGGGCCTCAATGACCAACACACCCATGGCGCCAACCTTCAATACACAGCAAACTGGAGGATCTCAAGCCGATATGGTAGCCAATGCTACGGCGATGAAGCTAGCTGCTTTATCTACAGTGAACAATCGTATTGCATTAGATGATGCTCGCAAGTATCGCCGTTCTCGTTCCAATGACGGACAAGGAAAGAACTCAAATGCCGGGCATTTGTCTCCTGGTTTAGGCCCTAGTATTCCAGGCGCCAATTTAGTTATGGTAAACGACGCTGGTCAGGTTCTGAATGCCCAGCAAATCGCTGCACTCCAGGCTCAACAGCAGGCTGCTCTGTCCGCTGGTCGTTCGCGCCCAAATTCCCCTGGGATCGCCCTACAAGGGCCCCTTGGCCAAGTTGGATTCACGTCACCTCAGAACAACGGGTTTCTGGCAGCGTATGACCCCAACAATGCCCTTTTGGGCAACGGCTTGAATACGCTCGGTCTCGGGCAATTTGGTTTGGGATCTCATGAAGGCTATCTCTCGGATCATTCTGAGGTACAGCGAGGACGCTCGCCTCGTGGGCGACGCGGTAGCTCTAAGCCACCAGAGGACCCAACCGATCCAGGGCTACTCAAGGACATTCCTTCTTGGCTACGATCCCTACGTTTGCATAAATACACAGACAATCTTAAAGATTTGAAGTGGACTGAGCTGGTTGAATTAGATGACAAAGGACTAGAAGAACGTGGAGTTAATGCCCTTGGTGCGCGAAACAAGATGCTGAAGGTGAGATACATGCATTCCTAACTTTGTCGTTGCTACTAACGGCGTTGTTATTAGGTGTTTGAACAGGTCAAGGAGGCCAAGGCTGAGGGCAAGCTTGAGGGTGCTCTGTGAGCTTATATCTGTCGTTCTTACTCTCTGCCATTTGAAATGAATAGGCGGGCTCTTGATGGCTACGGCAAGCCATGGGAAGTAGTGTGATAATGCTTGGAAACGAATAATTTCACATTTTTGGAAATTGAAACCGACACGATATTCCCGTTATACTTATTCGTTTTTCATGAACCAGAAACATTGACATGTATCTATTTTGAATTGCCTGTATTTGGACACTACGCTTATGTGATATGAGACGAACCCGGCATGAAGTGCGGCAATGTTTCGATTTTCTTCATCGTGGTTTTGGGAGATGCTGGAGGTACATGCTGTGATGACCATATTTGACGGACCGCAATAGGCACCGCATCCTATGTAATGTCGTTGTTGCCAAATGTAAATTTCTTCATTTTGGCTGGAGATTTGAAGTATTGGGACGTATATTTGTGAGAAAATTTTGGATGAATTATGTTTGGAATGCTTTAAGATATTTTTACATATATTATGTACGTTTAGGTGTCGGAACTACCAAATTATGTTTATTAATAAGGAACTCTCTTATAGTCTAATAAATAAGATAGAATCCTCTATATTATTCATCAAAGAGCACACAATCAAAATATAGTAATAACTAATACGATCCAAGGTATATATATTAGTGTCAGTCTTCCCTACTCTTGCAGAATACCGAAGTTATCATCCAGCATCAGAATTACGGCGGCAGCTTCGACACGTAGGGCACATATCCAACCGATCTGGAACTCGTTTCGGGATGGACGATTTTCCATGATTTAGAATCGTAACATCACATGGGTGTCTTAGGTGTCTGTAGCAAGAACACAGTTCGACAATAAAATATTCATTTAGAACCGGCGCATTGCGATATGAATATAATATGAGTGTTGACGAGGCTGAATAATTGAGAAATGGCAAAGCTGACCTGACAGGCGTCAAGAGAGGTTCCATGATTGGAGGAAAGTTGCAGATGCACGCCATAGTTTCCCGGTCTTGACCAATCAGTCGATAACAGTACAGGCGTGAAAGTGATCCGGGGAAAGTATTCGAAAACGACTAATATATTGGCGGTTCTTTGCTAACCTATGAGAGGGTAGTTAGCAAGAAAGTTATCACAAGAACCGCATAACAGTGAGGCACCGCTGCCAGTGTGTAATACTTGTATAGTTCTTCTATTTCTCTCACTGGGAAGCTTCGGACGTTGCTTGGTAGTCTGGAGGACTCTTTTGCTCGCGAGCAGTCCGTACAAGAGTTCGTACCAGTCAGATATAGATCTAGACTCATCAAGCCAAGCGGAACATGCACCTTGTAAATGCGAGAAACGTGCCGTATCATACTAATTCCTGGTACTAAAACTGGCCATGGTAGTTTTGAGGGGAGTTGTAGCACATCACAGTTGAAGGTAGAGGGTCGCGGGTCGCATGGTAGTGGGCTGCGGAAGGAGGTGGGCGCTGGGTTGGGCAAAGGAATAATGAAGGCAAAACAAACCCTGCGAGCAGCAATACCACAAGTAGGCCCTCAATCAAGAGAGGTATATAATACGAACCGGAGGTGAAGACCGTCACTCGTACAATCACCTTCAAGCGGTGCTCTACATCGCCGTTGCTCGTTCAGCACTCTACACTATGGCTACTTCACAGAGATAAGGCCAGTTTATTTATTTCTATAGTGGGAGAGGAATGCGATAACTACAGGCATTTCTTGATGAACGAGCTAGCTAGCTACTTACCCGACAGTACGACAAAGTATGTGATCCTTCTTCTCCAATCCACCGGTCAAGCCGACGAGTTGATGAAAATAAGACGACATGATTGTCGGTATTGTATCAAGAGGGGTTTCAAAAATTCCCATCCTCCTCGCGAGGAAGATGAAGTAGATCAGAGAAAAGAGGAACCCCGGTATACCGTTGGACCTCTAATCAGCTCGGACACTGCGCTGGAGGAAGAAAGGAAAAAGAGAAAATGAAAGGAAGAGAAAACTTGCGCGCTTTATAGTCCACCTTCCGGTATCATTCCCTCTTGCCCAAGATGTCGTTCCATCCTACTCTGGATGCTCATGTCGTTCCTTCCTGTTCTGGATAATAAGAATCATATTACGGCATTAGGACAAGAATGGTATCAAACTGGTATATAATTGGATGTAATGAGTATCTTTCAGCCTGCAGGCTTTTGGCCAAGTGGAAATCAAACCGAGAGATCAGCTCCTCACTGCACTGTTCAGTTTTTATCCCGTGAGTCGAGTGTCTTTTCGAACACGAGCGGGGGGGCTTTTTTTTAAACCACTTGACTTTCAACTTGGCGGTGACCACCAGAACATTTCCCCTTCTTGCCCTACATTTTCATCATTTCGCAACTGTAAGGATTCTTTGTAAAGAGTACAGTACTCCGCACATAGCGGCGGAGGAGCTTGGCTTTTTGGATCGAGCAAGGGAGACATGAGCTTTCATTCAAGCTAGCGATAAGTCAGTGTTCGGATGTAGAGACAGGAGTTATATGAAAAACCATTCCTCTGTATCTACCCTCAGCACGAATGCTTGTTTATTACGTATATTTTTTAGGGCCCATATCCATATGGCAGGCATATGGCGTACATATTATTGCAAATTCCATGTACACGCTTGCGATTTTCTAGCTCTAGTTCGAGCTTGGGCGACGTGATTGGCGGTATTGATCTTGGCACTTCCATCCGCGTACCCACACGAAGCTCTTTAACAAGACCTTTGCCGACCACCATCCGACAGATGACTTACTAGCATTGCGGCTGAGCAATAGTTAACACGGTCAGGAGTTCTCTAGGAAGAATAGAGAGGAGTTCAAGAAAGAGAGAGATAGAGAGAAATCCTGCAGAATGCCACCAACGCAACAGGAGCTTTCGCTTCTCATCCACCCTCTTGTTCCCGAGTCTGTTCAACACAACAACCGCGTAAGCCTCCTGTCTTATTATCATAATCCTCATGTGCGGTGATCATACTAATGAAGATTCTAATACAGGTCCTATCACAGCTCCGCTCACTCACAGCTTTTTTGCTAGGCATCACTGCCGGCATTCTCGGCTTGCAATCAGCATCGGGCTTCACATTTTATTTTGTTGGTACAATATTCGTTTCCGGACTCGTTCAGATACTGTTAATTGGGACAAACTCTCCCTCCGGTGGGGCTGAAGACAATATCGGAGCGTACTTTCCGGGTGCCAGCGGTGGTGAGGTAGAGGGCATTGACGGCACTGGTAAAATCCACGCTGGATCTAGTGGGGGGAAGAGGGCAATTAATCGAAAGGGTGCTTGGAGGGATATTTGGCTTGGTGGGGGGGTTATGGGAGAGGCCTTGAGTGGGTTTATACTGGGATGGGCTGGTGTGGGAGGCGTGTTGAGGTAGATGTGTGACGTGAATTGAATGTGGTGAATAACTGGCAGTTTCGAGTATTTCTAAGTTGATGTTACTGGTTGACAGAGATAAATAAAAGTTACATGGGATATCTACCAATCTCTACGGCAGGACTAAGAGAAGAGGGCAGCAGGTAGGACGATTCCGAAACGGATATCGATTAACGTAAAAGACTCTGCATTCCAGACACTCTGATAGCATTTATATTGAAATTCAAATATCAAGTTTCCTCATATGCTAGAAGTATATACAAATGTAGTTGGGTATAAAATTCAAGGCATGGTGAAGCCCAAATTCAAAGGAAACGACGAAGATCCATACACAATAAAATTGTTAATTCGACTATACCTGTCGTAATTCTACATCACCTCTCTCCGATTGACCTCGTTGCAGTTTCTCTTGCTGTGTCAACGGCCTAGAGACGTGTTTATATGAGTTGATATTCCCCTTGGATTGGAATATCAGCATAAAACGGTTACCGTTGGAATAAAAGGGGACGGAAACTTGCCTTGAACAAAGCGTACAAGTATGGCACGTAAACAACCTCACTCGTCTTTGCGTCAGCTTTTCCCGCTTCCTCACCATCATTCTTTTTAGGCTTAATCCAAACATTCCCTAGGAAAAATCCCGTCACAAGACTGATTCCCAAAATCGGCATAATGGCAATGAAAGCCCACATGATGGCATCTTTTCCGGCATCACGGATGACCTGCTGGACGCTCTGCGGAAGAGAGTTTATACTGTCAAGGCTGTTCGTGTTGTGAGCGTCGAAGGCTCCACTGCTTCCAGATGTCGTCGCACTAGATAGTGCAAAGCTATTTGACCATTTATTGTTGAACACCGCACCCATTATAGTCAAGCCAATGGTACCTCCAAATGGTAGCGCGAATCGCATCAAGGACATTGCTGGTGCGATTTTTTCGGGCCATACGCCTGCAATATGGAGACTGGCAGGCATGAAGCGAGATCCTGTGCCGGCGCCAGCGAGGACCATCATGCCGTTTACAATGCCGGTGTTGCGCGTGGAGATTCCCCAGGCAATAAGCGCCAGGCCGATTGTTTCTTCGATGGTTCCAAGTGTTAATGGCCAGAAGGTTTGAGCGGGCGATACATTGCACATGAACATTGCCATGTATACACCCACTAACGTATTGGTCAGCGTTGTTTGTTTTTCTAGGCTCGCAAGATTGTATGATATTTACCTCCTAAACCCGGAATGTAATATAACAGTTCTACACCCGCTCTGGATGAAGGATAAGCTTCAACCAGTGTAAAGTACACTCCAATATAGTAAAAGACGGCGTACATTGCTGGGACTATTGTCAGCAAGACGTTGGGGAGAATGAAGAGTAACATATGAGAAATATTAGGCCAACTCACCAGCACCACCAGAAAAATCAAGGATAGCAATAAGCAGTGTATCCAGTCTAGTAAATAGACTGTATGGGATCATAGGAACTTGCTTGGGGAAAAACCTAGCCAATATTCGACCTGGCTCGAGAAAATACTCGTACACAAAGAAGAGTACAAAACACACTGCACCAATAATAACGGGAGCGAGAACTTGTGCTGACAACCAGGGATATGTAGATCCACCCCATGCTGTACCTAAAATCATAAGTCCCACACCGAAAATAAACAGAATGGTTCCACCAATATCTAGAGTGGCCAGTCCTGATAGAATCGAGGACCATTTTCTATTTCCTCTATTGAAATGGGTCCCCTCGAGGAGTTCCTTTGAGAGGAGAAAGTAGATGGCGATATGTGACAGTAAAGATATCTTTTTCAAAAAAAGAGTCAGCCCACTACGCTTATAACCTTGAGTACCAAAAAGGAACTCACCGGTATGGAAATCACAAAAACATATCTCCAATTTGCCTACTTATGTGAGTGTAGAATTTGCATTGTTTTTTGTATCATCTTACCTTTGTTAAATACCTATAATCATCGTTAGCAACCAATACTGGGAATCGCAAGGTTCAATAAATTGAAATCATACCCTCCAATGACTGGTCCAACGGAATAGCCGATACTGGATACTAGAGTGAAGATGGTGTTGTTCTTTGCATTTTCTTCAAGACTGACTTTATCCGCCAGTACGATCATAATAATGTTCATAATTCCTGCAGCGCTCGTACCCTGAAGCGCACGTCCAAGAAGAAGCATGCCCCATGTCTGTGCAGCTGCAGCCAGTGTGCTTCCAACAAGCATGAACCCCATTGATATTTGCAAGACAGCATGACGACCGTAGACGTCGGCCAATTGGCCAAATGTTGGTATAAAAGCTGTTGAAGTTAGGGTATATGCCGTGACAATCCAATTCAACTGATCAAATTTATCTAGGCAAACGATCGTCAATATTTCTGTTTGAAAGAAGAAGCAGAAAAGTGTCGCTCACTGAAATGGGACGCAATATATGACACTGATGATGCAACAATGGTCAAGTCCAGGGATGCAAGTGTATACGGCAGCAACAGACCGCCTATGAGTTTCCATCTGTAGACTCTCGCATCGTGCTTTTCTTGCTTGCAAGTAGGGCAGCCATCATCCTTGGTAACAGTCTCTTTGACGGGTGCCGAAGGGTCTGGGGACGGAGATGCTGATGCTAATGGTTGGTGAGAACAGGCCTTTTTAGGCGGGTTTTGGGCTTCTGGTGCAGCGAGGGGCTTGTATTTCTTGTCATATTGTTTTTTGATGAGTCTGAACATAGTATCAGGTGGTGTAGGGAACTGAAAGAGAGTGAGAAAGGATGTGAATTGCGTTTCTCCCTTTCATTTCAGGTGAGAGATCCAAATGCATACTTATACATCTGTTCAGAACATGTCAGCCTGGACGAAACAAAATCATAACTAACTTGACTTCCAAATCCATCCGAGAAAAGCTCGAAACCTGAGTCTATTCGTATCGACCGCAGCAGATTAGGGTTGTTGTCTCGCCTACCATTGGCGGAAGGCGCTGCGGGTCCGTGGGTCCTCTCAAAATGCTACCGGATTTAGCTTAGCGGAGGTGTTCCCAGGCTTAATCGAAAATAGACAGCTCTGCGAAAGGGCCATGATTGGGCAACCTCTGTGGTGGGTTTCGTATTGATCCGATTTATTTGAGGCTGAGCGACGCTGCGCAAGTCAATTCATCGACTTCGTGGTTCTTTACTGGTCCCATCTACGTCATTACGAGCTTACCAAGGGGCTGCAGTAGAGGCCTGGCCAAGGAACATATTGATGGTCGTAAACAGTCTAATACTTCTTATTCATCGGGATAGTTGTTGTGGTTCCTCGTCAGTTTATTTATTAAGACGATTTTCTAAAGCAATTAAAACAACAGCTATCCGAAATAGATCAATGCATGCGGACGATCCGTCCGCGGGTATGCCTGATAACCAAAAATCCACTAATCAACAAAGGATTCTATGTAGATAAATAATAGAAGAAATATCCCAAACCACAGAGAAATATGCATAGCCCTAATTAGATTAATCATGCATCAAAGCCTTTGTGATGAGCATCCACATGTTTAGCGTTTGCCACAGCACTTTGCAATGCACTCGTAATATCGACGTGGAAAAGAGGTCGGTTGATTCCAGAAACAAGTGCAATTTTGCGTTGGTGCTCATACGCTGTGCTGATCCTGAGCTGAGACTGGAAATCTTCACCGTCGTGGCTGCTCTCTTCGACGCCATGATGTTCTCGTTCAGTCGTATGGGTTGGCTTACCATGCTCGATATCATGGGCTTTCAACTTGTCAAGGCGCTCGCGCTCGGCTGCCTCTGCGGCCGAGCTCTTGCCGCCCAATTCAGCAACACTGAAGATAGGTTTCCACCGTGTGGGACCAGTTTCAGATCCGATAGTTGGATAACCGAAGCCTGCAGATGCAAGAGCTCGCTTGGTCCATCGATTGGTAATATTGGCAAAATGCCACTGGACTGGCTGGGGTGAGGCATACACATCCAGCTGATTACGGACATCGATCAAGTTTTGGACGGATGTGACATCGACATTGTTAACTGAGGAGAAGTCCAAGACTATAGCACGAAGACAGGGCAGATGGGTGCGGTCTTCATCGGGTTGTCCCCGACGAGGGCCTGGATTGTTCCATGGACGGTCACCCAGGGTAGGGTACGTCTTCAGGTTAGTGCGGCGAGTCTCCTTGAAAATGGTGGACAGGAGGTAGTCGGTTTCGTGATTGGCATTAGGGTAGACGAAGCCCTCGGAGAAGCGATAAATAAAAACTCCAGGGTAAGGATGCTCGACCGAAATTTGCGGGTTGGAGCCATCATCATGGCTGACGGGTAGGTAAACATTGCGGAATGTGTTGTCTGGGTCATCACTGCCAGCTACCTGCTGTTGGGTGGGTGGCGGTCCCATTGTTCCATACTTGCCATCATTGTCCAGCAGGTGGTCGCCAACCACGGAATGCACCCGAACCTTGCCCAGAAACTCACCGCGTGCTTTGACGATACGCCAAAGGAGCAAGGCTGCAGAAACGCAGATTGTCGTGTAAACACCATTTTCAATAGAAGAAAAGATAGTAACCAATACACCAGCAAAGAAAATGATGACCTCCAAAGGCGAGACAAGCCAGAACTGGTAGACGGTGTTGGGTGGGGTGATCAAGTCACCAACGGCGTGGATAATGACGCCAGCGAGAGAAGCACTCGGGATATAAAAGAAGACAGCGGGGAGAGCGTAGATTGCAAGTAAGACAACCACAGCGGTGATCAGACCAGCAAGAGGCGTCCGCACACCAGCCTTCGATTTAATAGCAGTTCGAGAGAAAGAGCCTGTAGCGGGATAGGCACCAACGAACGGGCCGAGCAGATTGGTGACACCAATCGCCACCATTTCTTGTGACGGATCAATCACATAGTTATTCACGCGACCAAAAGATTTTGAGATAGCAATATGTTCAATCAACAAGACAATGACCGCAGATGGCAGATCAGTCGCAAAGGAAGAGATAACCGAGGTGGTGACCTTGGGGACACCGGCATGTTTGAAACCTTGCTCGTTTAGCTAAATTCATGTTGAGACGGAACGATGTATTTCTTACCTCGAGGCACTGGGCCGAGCAGAGTGAAGGCGGGGTTGTTGCGGCGGTGCAAATTGACCGCAGCACTGATCATGGTGTAGAACAGAATGACAAATACGGTGCGTAAAGTTGAAATGAAGAAGAACAATTTCGCTTTGTTTGGGTGCTTCTTCGCAGCATAGTTGCAGGAGGATCGAATAGCATATAGCATGAATAAGGCAGTCAGGCCCATAGCAGAATCCATTCCGGCAGTTGGAAGATATTTCAAAGTATTAATAATGACCATGTAGGTAGCATCTCTGGTACTAAATGAGGCGGTTTGTCCCAGCAAGGTTTTGACCTGACCAGCGGCAATATTGATGGCGGAGCCGGTCATGAAAGCCGAAATTGCAGTCAAGGGAATGAAATCCACAATGAATCCCCATCGAATCAGGCCAATAAAGCATACGATTGCGCCGGAGATAATCGCCAACGACTGTGCGATGAGGACTTTGTCAATATCGTGCGTTTTTTGGACCTCAATAATGATGTTTCCAGTCAAGGTGGACATAACTGCCACAGGCTATAGAAACAATGGGATATGGTCAGTACAAGTCTGATGGACTCCCAAGTATGGTTGGTTGGCTTACCCCAATAGTGATATCTTTTGATGTGGCAAAAAACCAATAGATCAAGACGCCCATGAATGAGGAATACAGCCCATACTCAACAGGAAGGTCGGCAAGCTTAGCGTAGGCCATACCCTGTGGAACAACAACGGCGCCGACGGTGATACCTATGAGGTCCGGTTAGAGGGAGAGAACTTAGCGAGCAAATCAGGAGAGCTTACCGGCAACGAGATCCCCGATGAGCCATTGGGTGTTGTAGCGGCCAATCCATCTAAGGAAGGGGAACAGATTATAAAAGTACAAGCCTATCGCGTGAACTGATGGAATGTACTGATAAATCCACTCGGCTGAAGTCGGCTCAGGTTCAATATAGGTATCGGCGGTGCCTGACGAAAACACGGATTCTCCGCGTGTTAGGGCATCTGAGGATCCGAGAGGGTCTCGATACTGCAGCTTGATACCCAGGCCTTTAGCCAGGGTATGGCCGACCTTGGTCGCCGTATCACCAGGCATCTTCTTTGGATAGTTATTCGGCTAGGCTTTCAGAAGAAGTAGGGCTCTGGTGAAAAGAATGGAGCTTCACAGAGGGGCTCTAAGCGTATATAAATACGGCTCTGCGAAAGGAAAACGCCGAAAGGCCTCGGGGCACAGCCAAGCTTGCTCACTTAGGACAGAGAACGAGAAAAGAGCGAATCACCTCGATCTGCCCATCCCAATAATGCTAGAGGAAGCGACAAGAAAAAGCAAGAAAAATAATTAAAAGGCAGAAGCGCGACAGGCTCGAGCCAGATCAGGATGACGGGATTTAAGGTTTCCTTGCAGGCTGCGATGTCGTGATCATCCCACACTCAACACTAATCAAGAGCAGCGGCGGCGGCGGCGTATGATTATAGTTCCAATGAGAAAGAAACAAGACGGGGGAATAATAATAATAATAAGGAGTAAGAGTGAAAAAGAAAGTGGGCAGCTTCGGCAAGTTTGTCCTGCTGCGACAGCGACCAATGAGAAGGCAATCGAATATAAAAAACCTGCGAGGAGACACCACCAACCAACCAACTACCGAGTAGTAAGTAGTAAGTACTGTACTGACGGGTCTGAGTGCTCAATGGCAGCAGAACAGGCTGGTGATGGAAGAAGAGCCAAGGAGGGATCTCAGATGGAATACAAGAGAGGGCCGATAGTGGAGGCTGGCCAGGCAGCCTGCACCTTCCTGGTTGGCATCAGAAATTGAAGATTGCAGATTTGCTCTTGCCGCGTGCCCATTGCTGGCTGATGTCGCCATCGCTCCTGCCCCGAGTGCGCTGTGCGCGCCTGCCCAGAGGTGATCGTGGTGGGTCGTGCAGATGGCGTGATTGTCTCCACCGATGATGGTATCTTCTCTCCACTGCTGCAGTTCGTTAGTGTCCGTACTTAGTACTTAGTACTCAACTTAGTACTCAACTTAGTACTCAACTTAGTACCTAGCACTCCTAGTACTGCAGTGACCGTCTGTCCGGAGTGTGACTATGTCACTGCGAGAGAATGAAGTTAAGGAAGTTAATGGACTGATCCCTGCCGTGCGGAGTTAGCAGCGTGGGCGCCGCAAGTAACGCTGCTAGCTTAGAGCGAATCCTGTGCGCTGATCTGTAACAAGTTAACAACTCCCGTCGAAACGGGCCGCCCGTACGTACGTCCTCCACGTGTGCCCTGCGTTACGCGGCATATCATCTATTATCAGTACCACGTTATGTGCAAGAGAGGATCATTCGCTCTTGGCCATCTGAGAGATCCATCATAATCAGGTCGAAGGAGAGCTTTGTTCGACCTTCCAAACAATAAACGACTATACTAATCAAATAATGCATAATATTATTCATTAATGCTGCTTGCCAAGAAATCAGCCTCAAGCAACAGGCCGCGCGTTAGAGCCCTGCACAGTTCCACGGTATATGGCCTGATCATTGGCCACGCATAAGAATAGTAGTATACAAGTTCACGTGGATTTAATTTGGTCGCGCGTGATTTGGATTTTGTGGTCGTTACTTTTTCCGTCCAACAGAGCGTCTGCTGGGGAAAAAGGGCCGAGTGAATATGCAGACCCTTTTTTTAGCGGCATCACATTCAGGGCTTGTGTCACACTCGCAATATTCAAGATCGATTGCGTGATCTGCCAGGCAGCGTCAGATCTTCTAGAACCTCTGATTCTATGACTACAGATTGTCCTCGATTGGTCTAAATATTTCCTTCTTCCTTTTTTCTTTTCTCGTTTCTTTTTCCTTTCGTTTCTTTTCCAAGCTCGTGTTGCAGCGGACCGCCATGTCGGGTCGCTGGTAGTGACTGTCTGCCTATATGTGTTGCATACTATGAAAACGAGCAAGCAGTAGAAGTCATATCCGGGAAGCAATATTCATTTTATCAAGCCGATTAGAGTAGTTGGCTCGTCTGGCAAAGCCGAGAATGTCTCCGGATAAAGCCCGGTATAGACAATATTAAATTCGTTGAATTCTTTGATTTTGTACGTTATAATTAATAATACTATACAACTTTGATTGAGCATTTAGGCTTGGTTATTATTGGTCGATATAACAAATAGCTCCATTCCGTCTTCTATTATTTAACCAATCATTTTGTGTCAACTTTAATCTCTTTCTCGCTTCAACCCTATCATCCATGTTTGTTTGTTTCTTCAAGTTTAACGACCATACCTAGATCTAGGCTATTACGGTCTCTCTTATCATGTATATTTCGTGTGGATAAATCCAATTCTCGCCTACAATGTTATACCCACCATTCAGCCTAGGAATGAGCAGCGTTGTCTCTCTATTTACGTCTAACGTAGTTTAATGATTGGGCAAGTCAGACCATATTTAATTAACCAAGCCAATTCGTAATCGCTGAAAATGACGAGAACGAACATCAAGTGTTTCACATATCCTTGATATTCCTTACAGTAGAATAACTTAAAGAATCACAGAGTATATCGATCGATCCTCTCGATGTTGTTCAGCCTATGATGCAAGTTAGAAACCAGGTGGGAATAATATGAGCAGTTGAACCGCCCGTTCCCCGCATCAGGTCCCTCCGCAATCCCACACAACCCAAAGACGACCAAGAAAGACCATCTCATTGTAAGCACATCGATCAATAGCGACCACAGAAGACATGGCATAGAAAGAACGGAGAAGCACAAAAAGATACAAGAAAAGTATCAGGTCGGATCCAAGCCAAAAGCGCAAACAAAGTTATCAGTTGTGATGGTTGCAAACAAGCCGACAATGAGCTCTTCAGTCTCGGCACTTGATGATGGATGACAGACAAATTAAGAGATATGTGTTGACTTCAAAATTACAAAAAAGCATACTCGTTGTGAACCACGGGCATCTGCTCAAAATCAAAGAGGATTCGACGACGATGCTATTTGCTTGCACGCAGTGTTACAAAGATAATATGCCGTGTACTCGCTCCAGACGGCGCCTTAAGTTCAACAATATTGCTGGCATTGAGAGCTATGATAAAACAAGCTTTCTGGCCGCAGACTCGATAGTGAGGGCTTCGAAGCCACCAAATGGATTTCCCCTGACTGTTCTAAGCGAAAGGCTTTGAAGGTTCCGTGAACTAATTTATGTGAAGAAAGAATTGTGTATATTGATCAGACCGTGGAATTAGGAGCGTCTTACGGAAACGTTAACGACGATGCAAAGAAAACCCATGAATATGCAAGACTCTATTCAACATTCCCCATTGATCGAAAAGAACATCTAGCTCGAGTCTACCTTTGATGTTATATTCAAGGGAATGAGCCACCATTATCTGAAACCCGGGTGGATGGAAATACCTTCAATCCCGAGAGCCATTCAATTTGGATGCATTCACAGTCTTTAATGCAACGACAACATGAAACCCCACGGATCCCTGATTATTGATCTACCGTGAACCCAACTTATGAGCGGGATTACACCATCAACACAAGTGCCACAGTCAACGAAGTACAGGCATTTTTTACATCAAAAGATTTTGATTCAATATTGATGGAGGGCTAGGTAAAATCAACACCTGCAGTAATATTCATACCTCTTGGCGGCAACAAGCTCGAATTCATCTTGTTACGTGATTACATGGATGTTCTCTCGGCATGGAGGACGTCGAGAGACAAGTTGAAGGAGTCATGGGATAGTTTGATTAGTCCCTTTTTCATTATAATCGATATAGCTGCACTCACAAATGTAGATAGCAGACGATTATTCATTATATATCCATTTCACTGTTATTCTGTATTTATCTCCATATACTGCCATTGAGGAGTCGGTTGAATCCCAGAGACTCAACCCCAGTCTAGCTTTAGTCACCATATCCTAACATTGACGAGGTCAAGGCTAGACTTTTTACAAGGAATATGATATCTAAGAGTCTTAAGAGACCCCAAAAGTTCTACCAGACCCAGTGGACTCCATATGATTGGCGATTGGTTCCCAATACCTTTTTGCAGTTTTAGCTTGTTCTGGCTGTTATTCTCCGATACAACGAAGTTGCTATTTACAATATTTCCGAACCATGGATAACGCCCCCCCCTCCTAAATGGAGAAATATTTCCTCATTGTAAACATAAGGATGTAGCCATACGAACGAAATACATTTTATCTAGATCTGGAGACTTCAATGGGAGAACAGAGAACATTCGACAATCTATGAGTAATAGACCACAATGACATGCTTGTACATGTCTGTATGGTGCTTTAGGACAATTTATTTCTCGGGAGACTGATGGGACCGCCTATTTTGAAAGAACTTGTTCAGTTGATACATGCAGGGACTTGTGGGGTTAATCTGTCTATGCAGTAAGATATATTTGAAATCAATGGAAAAAATAATTCAATTTTATTCTCCTTGTCCTCACTACGAAATATCCTTTCTACAAATTACTATATGCAAATTGGATATCTACCTCACTGCAAGATCCATTGTTTGGCCTTAATTAACTCGTGCCTCGCACTTTGAAATGTTGTCAACACCTTAAACAGTCGCCTATTCCACCCTATAGCTTTTTAGGTTATACAAAGTACAACGAACTAGCGATTGAAGAACTAGAAAGGCATTTATGAATACCACTATGGTATACTTATTGATTGACTTCATGCTTATAGTGTAAATTTCCGCTTTACTTTCTTGATTCGATCCGAAGATATCTGACGAGCACTGCAGGACTAGCAAACAGATCTATATAAATCTATTAAATAGAGAAAGCCACAAGATCAATGACGTGTTAACAGCGTACCTGAACTATATAACGAATTATCTTCACACTTGAACAGTAAATCAGAGATCCATCCATGTTCGACACTTTAAATAGGACGTCGAACACACCATGTCGACGAATTAAAACCATAAAATGATATCATACGGTTTCGACAGATGCTGGCGTCTCTAATAAATCACCTGTTCATTAGATATTATCTTGGATATGGATCATACTGTCAAATAGCCACTAAAAAGATATTATAGCTGGATATAGTAATTACGTCGAGACAAAACTGCTGGCTGTCGAGCGTACATGGAGTCATTCAATATGACTTTAGAAAGACGCTGCACGCGAAGATTTTAAGTTTCATAGTAGATCCCTACGTGAGAGTGATATATTAAGTTGACTTGGCATGTGGTGTCCTAAAGACCAAAATGAGACCGGAAGATCTACGAAATTGTTTAGTAACCTTGCGTGCCAAAAAAATTAATAAAGCCGTAAAGCAATGCATTCTAAATTTGAGGTAATGCAAACGCCATGAAACTAGTAGTGCGATAGTCAATGTAGGAACAAGAAAGGCCCTCAAAAACCGTAATGCATGCCATGGACGAAAAGACCCAAAGCATAGAAACAACTTCCCTCTTTAAAAAAAATAAAAGGAAATGGAAACTGATTAAGCATTACTCGCACGGCATGTAGTATGTTGTCATCGAGGCCCGTCCACCAAGAACCGAATCCATCGACCAGTCGGAATGGAGGAAGCCTCGCTACTCTGCCCGTGAGTGGCAAGGAGCCGGATGCAAAACCATACCTAGCAAAAATAGGAAATAAAGAAAAAGACCGAGCCCGTGCTCCTCACATCGAGCCATCATACATCTCCATAAACACGTCGTAACCACATCGTCTTCGTTCATGATTGACATCACAAGTCGATGACGCCAATGGTTAATCGGGGGAACAGGGTGGCCCCGCCTGAACATTGACGCATCAAATAATGTCGTAACTCTTGAAATCCATCGATTGCGCGGAATTCCTAGAAAATGGCTTGCAAATGTCAAAGTCAAGCCCTGCAGGGCGGGTATCAAGGTGAGCTGATCGAAAAGGGGAGACGCCATAGCGTTGTCCTGCACAGGGAGAAAGTAGAAATACCGACACATCTACTGTGAAGCGCATTGTACTCGTTCCGCACCCGGAGGTACTCCGTCTTCATCGTCATCCTCATAAGCAGCTCCTTGGGCTCGCGCACTCTGACTTGGATCCACCTCTTCTAATTCGAAGTCCTCGACCATCGAATCCTCTGGAGGCTGTGGTTGTTCTGCGCGTTTGGGTAGAACTTGTTCAAGAAGTTGCAAGTTTTGCAATTCTGAGGCTTGTGGGAACTTGACATCAAACTGGATGTACAAATTGCCGAAATCGTGATGCCGGAACGATGGCATACCTTGACCTCTGATCATCTTGATTGCACCTATTTAAAATTTAGTATCAACTAAGCCGTAGTCGTCATATAGGTAACATACCAGGTGTAATGGGCTCGCCGGGTGCGACGTTAACGGAAAGCCATCTGTCATCAAGGTGTTCAATATTGATTGTACCACCAGCCAAGGCAGTGAGCAGATCGATTTCTGCGTGGTAGAAGAGGTCATCATCTTTGCGCTGGAATCGAGGATGGGGCTTTTGCTCGATTTCAAATACAACGTCTCCAGGTAAGACATTGGGCATTTGGTCACCCTCTCCTCGGAACTCGATCTTGTGTCCATTCTTGACACCCTTGTCAACATGAACGTGAAGTACTTTCCTTTCAACGATGGTCTTCTTGCCATTGCACTTTTTGCAGCGGTCCTTTTCGCGCAGGATCTCACCCTCGCCCTGGCAGTCTGGACATACGGTCTGGAAACGCTGAATCATAGGGCCCATCTGACGCATCATGGTCTTCATACCCGAGCCATTGCAGCCAGTACATTGCTTGACGGCGCCCTCTTTTCCACCACGTCCATCACAGCCGGGGCAAATGACAGACTTCTGCAGAGCCAGCTTCGACACCTTTCCCTTGTAAATATCTTCTAGACTGACTTTGTGAACATGGTGGATGGTTCGGGCTTTCTTGGGTCCTTGATCACGCATGCCACCGCCGAACATGCCGCCAAATGCACCGCCGCCGCCGAAGAACTGAGCGAAGAGATCTTCAGCATTCATTCCAGCACCACCACCGGCACCCTCTAGGCCTTCCTCGCCATATTGATCGTATATTTGACGTTTTTGGGAGTCGGAAAGAATTTCGTAGGCATGAGAAAGCTCTTTGAATTTATCGGCCGCCTCCGGATTGGATGCGTTCTTATCTACATGGCGGAAATGTTAAAAAATTTTTTATTCACCAGCCTGGACGTTCAGTAAAGGGATGCAGAAAAACGTACCTGGGTGATATTTCAAGGCACCTTTTTTATATGCAGTCTTCAGTTGGGCCTCTGAGGCCGTCGGGGGTACCTGGACAAAATGATTAATCATACAGGATTCTTAGAGCGTAAAGTGGCTTTGAAATTGTAAAACATACCCCCAAAACATCATAGAATTTCGTGTCTTTCACCATGATGGCTGTTGTGAATTAAAGGCCGAGTCAAGCTGAAAGTTGACAGAGGGGAAAATGGCAGGTGGAAAAACCGGTGACAGGCTGCGGTTGAGGAGCAGAAGCAAGGTGCCAGGGGTATTTGGTGATACTTGGTAGCGTCTAGCAAGCCGATGTCGTCAAGAGAAATGTTGGAGGTGAGAGTGATGAGGCTCGATCGGTTTAATAATCGGCAACAAATAACCAGTTCACTAATGATGATCTCGGAGAAGGCTGTTGCGTGGAATTGGAACAGTGGACGCGCGCCAAGCCTTGTGCAGATTGGTGGGCAGGCTGGACTATCGCTTGGTTGGTTCCTTGTATGTGCGAAGAATCGTGAACGCAAAAGTGCAAAAGGGTAGAGTTGGATTGTGTAAACTTGGAATTATGTATGCGAGCTAATTATATCATGGATGAAGGAGCGGCTTTTTCTCTTCTGGCCCATTCTACGCAGTGATCATTAATCGCTATTAAGAGAGCTGTTGCGCCGGAAGGCTTAGCCCGCGCAATTCGATCGGTTTCTGTCCGTTTCCACTTTTCCAAGTCTTCGCTTCCACCCACCGGGTCACGTGCTCGCCCTCGTTTGCCAGGTTTGCCTTGGCCTTGCAGAGTTTTCCCTTTCCCCTTGATGCCTGAGTGCCTGGATGCCTAGTACCCAGCCAGCGCAGCCCCATCAGTGACGCCACTCCTTATCGATAAGGCGGCCTGCGCCACTCCCAGCGCCCCTCATGAGTCCTGCTCTTCGAACATCATGATGGTCAATCAGGGACAGACGAGGCGGCCCAATTCTGTGTAGTTGGCGCTGCATTGCCCTTGAAGAAAGATACCGAGGCGTACGGTTTTTCTCCTTCATAATAGCATTGAACGGGTCAAAGCTGGCCCACGGCAGACATCCGAAAATGGAAGGCAAGGAGGGTCCGGGTTATCTTCACACAATCAGTCGGCAATCTCCGACTCAAACAGAACCTCCGACTGTCTTCCCACTCCCCAAGTGCTATTCCGCCCTACCCAGCACTCTCGTTTAAACATAAATAAACCTGTTGTTCAACATAAGTCGATCTTCTGCTGCTGTAGGACATGGACACTGACCCGGGATTTATCGCCGCCGTGGAAGAGGCTCGCCAAGGTGCCGCGGAAGGGGGAATTCCTATAGGAGCCTGCTTGATATCAAAGGATGGAGAGATACTGGGTCGCGGACATAACATGAGAGTGCAGAAAGGTAGTGCAACTCTACACGTGGGTCAACCAGAAGAGCGCTTTTCTTTTGTATAATTTCTGTGGCTTCTAATCAACACGTTATCTAAAAGGGCGAGATTTCTGCTCTTGAGAATTCCGGTCGTCGCTCAGCTTCCGCCTACGAAGGCGCAACAATGTATACTACCTTGTCGCCGTGTGATATGTGCACCGGTGCCTGCGTCCTATACAAGATTAAGCGCGTTGTCGTTGGCGAAAACAAGAATTTCGTGGGAGGCGAGCAATATCTGCAGAACCGGGGAATTGACGTGGTCGTTCTGCAGAATGAAGAATGTATTCAGCTCATGGAGAATTTCATCAAAGAGAAGCCCCAGCTATGGTATGGCTCCTGTGTTTGTGTTTCTATAAGCACTCAAACCTACGGCCAGCATCACACATGCACTGACAGATAACAACAGGAACGAGGATATTGCAGTTTGAGCAGCTATATATAGGAGTAAATAAAACAAATTTTATTTCGTTCCAATTTACGATAGTCGCATGTATCATTTTATGAGAAACTTTACCACGTCCCTCCAGGTCGTACCAATACATCCAGTCATCACTGTGACAGCCTATGAATCTCTTCAAAAAAGAATTTGAGATCATCCGGGTTGACAAACGGTGTGATACCTATCGGAATTAGTCACAATAATAATTTCAAAAATCTAATGGCGATGCCTCCTACCGTGGCCAAGGTTGGCAATCCAACCTTTTTTACCGCCACCGAATCCCTTAACCATGTTCTCGATAGTAGCCGTTATAGCAGCATGCTCTCCGTACAAAACGCCAGGGTCAGCATTTCCCTGAAGCGTTACTCGTCCGCGAGCTATCTTGAATGCTTCGGCAGGATCATGCAACCAGTCCAAGCCAACCACGTTATATCCACTGTCACAAAGGTCATCTAGTGCATACCAAGCACCCTTAGCAAACACCGTCATTGGTACTGCTTCTATCCCGAGCTGCTGTAGGCGTCTAGGCAGATTGTGAGAGATGTATTGGAGGTATGGAAGGGAAAATTCCTTGAATGTTGCGGGCGACAATTCACCCGCCCAAGAGTCGAATACTTGGACAAGTTGCGCACCAGCAGAGACTTGCAAGGCTAAATACTCAACACAAATATCTGCAATTTTCTGTAGCAGCGCTTTGCTCTCTTTTGGATACTTGTATATCCATTTCTTGGACTGCACAAACAATTTTGTCCCGCCACCTTCAACCATGTAACAAAGCAGAGTCCACGGAGCACCGCAGAATCCGATGAGTGGTACCCTCCCCTTAAGCTTGCTTCTAGTTAGTGTGATCGCATTGTATACGTAATCTAGCTCTTCTTGCACATCGACCTGCTTGCTGAGAAGCTTCTCATATTGACCGTCATCGGGGGACTTCAAAGGTTCGGGAAACGATGGACCCTTCTTATCGATCATCTCCACTGTCATGCCCATCGCCTGCGGAATCACCAGAATATCCGAGAAGATAATGGCAGCGTCGATAAGGCCTTCATAGCGTTCAATGGGTTGGAGGGTAAGTGTAGATGCGATCTCTGGGGTTCGGCAGCATTCGAAAAAGTCTCGGGTTCCTTTGGCTTCATGATACTCGGGTAGGTATCGCCCGGCTATGAATTATACCAGGAGATATTAGACCGAATTTAAAAATCCATTGCTGACTTCCACGAAAAGGATTGGAAAGGATGTACCTTGTCTCATCACCCATATTGGTGGTCGCTCAACAGTTTCGCCTAAAATCACCTGTCAGCTATCTGCTTGTAGATTCCAGCCGGGATACTAAAATAGACCTCTTGCAGCCCTCAGTAGTAGATCATTTTTCAATGGCTCGAATTCTTTGCGCATTTTGACTCGTAAAGCTCTGCTTCTGGATTTTTCAAGCTGGACAGATGGCTGGGAAGACGTCAGCATAAAGAAATGAGGGGTGATAAGGGCTAAAGCCTTATCGTGGGCCGAGGCCCACCGGTTTCTACGTACTAGTAAAACATGTAGTTATATAACCTGTCACTAGTCGCCTTCGTTCAGTTCCTTTTCATCATAGAATTTATTTTTTATTGGCTTTTATAGCTATATGTAGAACGACCTAGATGTTCTGGGTTTTTATTCGCTTGCGGAGATTTTGTAAATTGTACAATACCCCGCTTAGTGACTTTTGAGCTTTGAGCCTGCAAGATTCGTCTACCACAGCATAAACATCTTCCGTCCCCTCTGCTTTGATGTTCTCAAGAATTTGAGATGAGGCGGGGTTGAAAGTCAACATCTCATCCTGGAACTTGATTGTATAGGTCTCAAGAAGAGATTGATTCCCTTTGAATTCCTTCTTCCAAGTCTCAATCGAACCAGGCTCGTGGCATGTATCGACAGAGATGAAGAGCGTAGATTTATCTTCCGCCCACGTCACATCTAAAACATTACCCGAGGTCTCAAAAGATTTCTGGGGTAGTAAACTTCCGTCTTGGAGTAGCAAGAAGCTCAAGAGTTCGGGTGATCTGTCATTCCGTGGTTAGAATGATAATGCCATCAAAGTTGTACTGATTATTGGATTCGCTTACCCGTCAAGTGCAACAAGAACTGCAACTGATGAGCTACCGTCAATAGAAAAAGCCCATATTCCCCTGACGACAATTTTGCCTTGATTTCGATCTGAAGCGATCGGAATCTTGTGCAAGACTTGACCGGTTCTCCAATCCCACACAAACAGATAGTCATCCCCGCCACCTGAGATTAATATTTGTGGTAGAGAAGCTGGAATGCAGAGCTTGCTGACAAAGGCTTCGTGTCCCAAACAATAAGACTCAATAACATGTGTTTGAGGGGGGCCGCGAGATACACGAATTTGTTCATCACGATCCGATGTAAGTATAAAAAGTTGGGAATTATTGGTAGATGTGCTTGAAGGCAAAGACGCAATTGCCAAATCCGTTAGCATAGAGACATGTCCAAGTAAAATGTCCCGTTTTACTGTAGGATTGGCTGTCGTAGGTCTCGCCTGACCGTGATGAAGAAGCTGTTGGCGTAGAGTTTCCAAATTCCTTTTCGAGTGAACGACAAGTGTGTTTGCTGCTGGCGGATAGTGTTTCTTTGTACGAGAAACCAACCGTATTTCATCTTCTGAAAGTAACAAGGGAAGAGCATATACATCTCCGGCTTTATCTGCACAAAAGATTGTACTGTCGTCAAAGGACAGTGAAATCCCGCAAGGCCGTTTTGGCACAGGTCTGTTCTTCATAAGTCTCCTATGCCATTTATGTCAATGCCAGGCTGATAATCACTTACCTCGAGGTTAATTGAGTCAATACTCCATCTACGCCAATTTCAAAAACTCGCACATGTTTATCTTCGCCAGTTAATGCGATTACATATCGACCTGAATGAGAGATAACCATAATCGGAATGGATGACCAAGCTAGAGGTTGAGCGGTAGACGCACTACCACCGTGCGCCACTCCTTGCTCGTCCTTGCCATTACTAGATGGCGTAAGTTTCCTCCTCTTTTCGGGCGGCTCGTCACCGTGCACATCGGAGGCAACCTGAACAGCGCCATTACTGGGGTTCGTTGCGGGAGGCCATGTAGAGAGTTTACGACCATCCTCGGCAGATATGGAATAAATCTTTGCACCTGCAGTCGCAATTATGACATTCAAATCTTTCCTTCCCACGTATCGCAGGCAATGGAACGGATATTGAGGCTTCGACTCCATGGTCGTTTTGGCAGAATTGATCAAAACTCCGTGGATGTGATAAAGTTTGGAGGCCGAATTTAAATGGGCCGAGGAGCGGCGAATACGTGCAGGACCAGTGCAAAAAGATCCAAAGTTCTTCTAAGCCGACGAGCGAAACACGTAATATATTCCTGGAGAATCGCCAATATCAAACTTGAGGTTTTCGGATTTCAGCGTTGTCTGGGAATCTTTTTTTCCAACGGAGGGAAACAAGGGCGGCCCCTGGTTGGTTGGACCCAAGGTGGGGCCAGTTAGCCGAACCACAAGCTCTCCCAAAAAGCACACAACATTTATCGACTTCATACCATCAACCGTCTGAAGAGACATCGCAAATCAACAACTACTTAATTTGCCCTTAAATATCCTCTCTTCAAGAATCAAGAAGACATGGGGGGCAAATCCGCTACCAAGGCCGCTTACTTCGATAAGCTCAAGGGCCTCCTCGACGAATACAAGACGATCTTCCTCGTCTCCGTCGACAATGTCAGCTCTCAGCAGATGCACGAGATCCGTCTGGCTCTCCGTGGCGAGGGTGTTGTCCTGATGGGAAAGAACACCATGGTAAATTTGAAATTGCACATTGTCTTGAGTTGCTAGATATTGATGGTTCTCTCTAGGTGCGCCGTGCTTTGAAAGGCTTCATCACTGAGAACCCAGAATACGAACGTCTCCTGCCTCACGTTAAGGGTTTGTTGCACAACATATTGCTGAAATTTTTTTACTCAATTCTAACATAGCAGTTTTATAGGCAACGTTGGTTTCATCTTCACCAATGCTGAATTGAAGGGTATCCGTGACAAAATTCTGTCTAACCGTGTTGCTGCTCCCGCTCGTGCTGGTGCCGTCGCCCCTGCCGATGTCTTCGTCCCTGCCGGAAACACTGGCATGGAACCCGGTAAAACTTCTTTCTTCCAGGCTCTCGGTATTCCCACCAAGATTGCTCGTGGTACCATTGAAATTACCTCGGACTTGAAGCTCGTTGAGGCTGGTAGCAAGGTCGGACCCTCCGAGGCTACTCTTCTCAACATGTTGAACATCTCCCCGTTCACATACGGTATGTCCATCACTCAGATCTACGATGATGGTCAGACCTTCGGTTCCGAGGTTTTGGACATTGAGGACGAGCAACTTCTCAAGGCCCTCAATACCGCTGCCATCACCATTGCCTCCATCTCTTTAGCCGCCAACTACCCAACTGTGCCGTCCGTTGTGCACTCCATTGTCAATACCTACAAGAAGGTCTTGGCTATTGCCATTGAGACTGAGATTAGCTGGCCTGAAATCGAGGAGCTAAAGGACCGTATCGCAAATCCTGACGCGTACGCTTCCGCCGCTCCTGCTGCCGCTGCCGCAAGTGGTGGCGAAGCTCCGGCTGCTGCTAAGGAAGAGGAAGAAGAAGAGGAAGAGAGTGACGAGGGTGGTGAGTTTTTGCTCCAAGCCTTTGATAATATGCATCAATGGCACTAACTTTTATCCTTAGGATTCGGTGGTCTGTTCGACTAAAAAATTGACTGATCAATATCTGTTACGTGAAAACGAATGCAATGTACTGAATATAGGCTACATGAAACATCTCGATACTCGTGATAGGTCCGCGAATGAAAAACTTGGGATAAATGGATATTGACAAAGAACTTGATTTCAAAACTAACACGTAGACCCAGAATTGAGGTCTTCATATTTCAAACAAGGTACGTTCATTGACACCAATATGTCGATTACATTATTTCTTTTCTTTGAAGCACTTGCACTATCGCTGGCGAATGATTATACATTTTTAACCCCAAGCTGCTCAGCAGCTATGAAGATTCAAAAAAAGCAACAACAAACACTCTAATTTTTTGCTGACGCCTATTTGATATCAAACCATTTTCTCTTATGACAAATTCTGTTTGAAATCATGCTAACTAACATCAGCTTTTTTCTAGGACCCAGACGTAGTAATTTTAGTTACCGAAGACATTAAAGAGCCCGGTGACACATCTTCCCTTACCCTTTTCTGGTTTATGTTTAGATGTGTACAATGGTGCCTATACTATATTTAAAGGCGTAAAATAATGATAGAAAAATTATATTTATATACATATAGTTTATGGGAATTATCTGACGCTTGAGAGTGTGACAGTGCCTGGTAAATCTACAATTATTCTTAAGTATCTGATGAGAGAAACATCTATCTACCGGTTAGAGTCGTCCGTAGAGCGTCCGAATCTTCCACCGAATCCTCCCAGGTCTCTGCGGAAAAACTTCCCGATATTTCTCAGGTTGTCGTTGAGACCGGCAGTAGTGGATGTGGCACTACCATCCAAGTTATCGCCTACCACACGTTGACCTGACAATACTGGAGCTGGAGAAGCCGTTCCAGAACCGGCATGGGAGCCCCCCATCCCAACCGTACCAGAACCGAGCGGCAGCCGATCAACTCCGTCTCTTGCGGCTGAAATAATAGCAGAACCTAGTGTGGTTGGGTCGAACCGACTTGGCCCGCTTATTGAGGTACTGGTAGTTGTACCGAGGTTACTAAGCCCTTGAGATACTGTAGACCCAATTACCGGTCCAGAGGCACTTTGTGAGCTGTGTAAAAGTGCAAATAAGGGGTTGCTTTGTTGTAGATTTTGAGCGTGTCTATCAGAAACTCTATGTAGATTGAAGAGCTCTACTAGATGACTCTGGTCCTGTTTTGTTCGGATGCCTTTAATTTCTAGAACTCGGCGGAAATTTGCCTCGCTTCGATCCGCAATCTGAATAAGATATGCCTGTACTAAGGCCTCAGGCGGTGATGGTCTGACTTGTATAGTCTTGAGCAGAATATCGACTTTTGTGAAACTATTGTTGACCCTCTTCACAAAGCCAGGAGGTGCAGGGGAAGGTAGCAAAGACGCCAGTCCACCCCTTAAGGTATACAGATCGAGCAACATCTAGATAAAGTCAGTGTAAATTTTAAAATGAAATATTGCAAGTCATTACCTGTTCAGCACCAGTTTCCGAAACTGGTCGGCATTGGTAAATTGTACCTGTGAAGGTATTCGACATGAATTCCACAATGTTATCTGCAAAAGCGCGAGCATATTGTTGTTTGTGGAGTAATTGAAGAATATCCTCCCCTTTAGCCTTGGTTTTAGACAATAGCTCGCCAACGTATGAGCTCTGATCACCAACAGTCTCAAGTTTGCTCCAAGGAGAATTTCGCATTTCACGCCAGCATGGTTCGAGTTCAGCCTCAACTTTGCGCACAAGGCCGCGAACTGCCGCGCTGGCGATTCCCATGAAAGTATCAGCTTGGCTCTCAAAGTCAACTGCGGATTTCAAGTTTTCGTCTATTCTCCCTTTAATCTTTTCTTCCAATTGATTGCAGGTGGTATAGCAGTAATCTGCGGTGTTCAGCACTAAGATAAGGTCTTCAGTGGATGGGACCTTTGATGGAGTTTGTGTTGTTGGCCTTTCACTGATATAGTTCAGGAGTACCTGCTGCGCATATTGATCTAGATATCTGGCGAATACCTTCGATAATTCGGCTAAGCTACCACTTGTTGAAAGTTTCGCACACTGGGCTAGCGAATGCCTGTAGAAAGTGAAAAGTTCTGTAGATGAAGGGATGACGAGTTGAGAATGAAATTCTTCGTCTTCCCGCTTGAGAGGCTGCAGTCGGTATTTCGGTAGCAGACTGGCCAGTTGCTTGTCTTGTGATTCAACCCAGACACCTAAATAAGGCTCAAAGGCTTCGGAGATGACCTGTGTGAACACTGGGGACTCCAAAGAAGATGCGATAGTATCGGTAGAAGGCCGGGACGTATTTGCAAATCGTTTATCAAGAGAATGCTCGAAATCAAGGGTTTCTTGTAGGCAAGAAAGCAAGAGATTCACATCCAGGGCCTGCCCACTTCGAACAGACCTGGATAAAATTCCTTTGAAGTCATCTCGCGTACCTTCACAGAATGCATTTGCAAGGGCCTCATTGACTCTCCAAGATGAAGGAAATATAGCCCCATGTTCGTCATCATATGTCTTCATCATCCTTCTAAACCACGAGTAGCGACGCGAAATATTATCCAAAGAACCAGCCTCTTCATTGCCTCGAAAAACCTGCCGGTATTCTCGAAGTTGTGTATTGCAATACCAGGCTGTGAGTCTCGATCGCGCATTATCGCCCAGCGCATCCATCACCAGACAGGCCTCCGAGAGAACACCTCGCCTCTGCATCACCTCACCTTTAGCAAAAGTAATCTCAAAATCTTCACACACTTGTTCTAGAAGTTCGCGCTGAACATCCGCCACATTTCTACTCAAAGTAGCGATTTGATCTATTGATCTGTAAGATTTGAAATGCGCCATCAACTGAATAACTGCCTGAAGAAGCTGCGCACAATCGCGGTATTGTCGCGTCTTCGCCAGGGCCCGAAGTTGTTCGTATGCCGTCGTTAGCATCTGCAAACGCTTCAACGCCGTCATGGAGAGAGTTAGGTTTTTCTTGGCACTGTCTAGTTGCTTTATATCTGCCGTCATGTCCATGATTGCTTGCTCGGTCTTGGACGCACGCTCCCGCACATCGTTGATCTTCTTGAATAGCTCAGCCAGGTCCGCTTTCGCGGCCTGGATGCGCTGTACGCTATCCGCATTGGATGTCACCTGCTCTTCTACCAGTTGTGCGATATCATTGTCTAGTTCGTTTTGGTAAATGCGAAGGATTTCGGAAGTCTGTGAAACTGAGGAAAGAGTCGAAGGATGAGAAAATATTGTGTTCAAATGCGTAATGGGGTCATAATCGACTGTCGAACAGTTAGCCTGGCAATAAAAAAAGAAGGAGATCCGTATTGACCAGTATCTAAATGATCTATACTCGACGCTTCGTTGGAGGTCATGTGGATGGTGGTTGTCATTGAACAGCTTCGTAAGGCTCAAGTGCGGCGTTGTAATAACCTCCGCATGCCAGTCGTGCATCAGTCACAGATTAAATGTAAGGCTTTATTGACAAGATGGTATCCGTTATTGACAGGCTGGCATTTGTATGAAGCTCGAAGTAGACGGGAAAAGAAATTGATTAATTGATTGATCGGAGATTGGGATGATCTTGTTTAAGGAGCTGGCCGGGGAACATCTTAAGCTGGTGGTTGACTAGTGCGATGTCCGCCTCGCCGCCTAGCGGCACCATCGCCGTGAGGTTACTTACCACTTAGCAGTGCACATCGAAACAAGTAATAAATTTTATTAATGAAAGTATTCATACTTTAACTACCCTCAGATACGAAAAGTACCGGTTGCTCCGTACTGTTTACATTCGGCAATAAGTAGACTTAGAGTTTCAATGTTTTCATTGTGATAGCGCTCATGGTGTAGTAAGCGCAAAATTGTTTGATAATACATGACAATAGGAGATCACTCATGCTCCAAGCTGGCCAGTCTATGCAAATTGATTTCATACCACATATAAATTTGTACAATCCCAGATTCGACGCCACAACACCAAGCATAAGTAAGACAAGAAAGAAAAGCTATAGAAAGAGGTATACATGATCTGAAAGTCTCAGCAAACTGTATGATAGAAAACCATCTCTTAGCCCCAATTGGGAAAATTATTTATGGACCGATCGCGAGCCAAGCCTCAGCCGGAATTTCGTTCTTTGCCTGTTCAACCCATGAGCTATGTGTTTTCAAGTAGGGATATGTTTTCCCTCACCTTGGATTCCTCGAAGGTCTTTATTGCCGCTTCCAGATTCCAATTAAGTTGTGCTAATACCCGTTGCGCAAATTCTAGTTTGAGCTTTGTATTAAAGCTTAGCTGCAAAACGAGCTGCTCTTGTTGGACTTGAACATCCGATTTACCCGCTGCTGGTGTTCCATAACCCTGGGGTGCCTCAGGATGGACGACATGGGTTGGGGGGGCTTGTGGAGGATTCAATTGAGTGCTAGGATCCCATGCACCGTATCCCCCATACGCTCTTAATGTAAGCATGTCGCTGATAACTCTGACTTTTTCGGGGCCCTGGCTTGGTCCAAGTACGAAGGTTCGGTCAAAACTGCGAGTTTCCACTTTCGAGCCTGCCATTTCATCAAACTGGCCATGTACCATTATAAGGAACCCTCCAACTCCAGGAGACAGCTGCCCGTTTTGGTCGGGAAGAAAAGGTATTAAATGGCACTCGAACAGCCATTTCATTGGTTGATCAAGAGGTGCGTGTTGAGTTCGCGGCATTATATTCCACATCTTGCGAATCTGGTCAGTACCAATGTACAACCGATTCATCCTAGCAGGGAGATGATTGATCCTCTTCAAGTTGCGACTATTTTTTATCCAATTGTCCCACCCAGCAGTTCCAGAGGTATCTTGTGCCGCACGCGGTGCCGCAGTATTGATGTTGTATGTGAAAGTGGAATTAGCGTCATAATAAATATTGACAGTGCCGTTGCGGTCTGCATCGAAACCAGCAAAGAATTTTCGGATGAAATTTTCGGCAATGTTTCCCTCGTCGTGGAAGAATGGCGCCTGAACTGGAATTGGCGCTCGACTTTGAGCAGCTACTTCCTCATCGGTACGAACTTGAACGTTGTTCAGAGTCTTGAGTTTAGGATACCATTTCATCATTGTATCCTTGAAATGAGGCATGGAACTGATTGGATTGTTGCTAAGGTCCAGAAATTCCAATTGACGAAACTTCCATCGCCATCCACTGAGGGATTTCTCATCCTGAAAACTGTTACCCGAGAGATCGAGTGCCTTTAGGTTCGGAAAATTCTGGGAAAGAATAGTGACAGGCTGAGTGGTCGATAGAGCGTTGTTGGCAAGACTGAGATTTGCAATGGCATCTTGGCTAGCCTGTTGAGATGGAAATTCCAAACTCCAGACTTTCATCAAGGCTTGATAAAATTTGGATTCGCTGGTAGGACTTCGAAAAAGCCCAATTTCACTAAGAATAGGGTCACTGGCCAAGCTTTGTAGGTTGAGAATCTTGCTGTTCGGAATAAACCGATTACTCAAAAAAACTTTCAACATCTTTTTCATGTCTTCTGTAGAAACAGATGACGCTTCATTTTTCTCTACCGTAAGTGATGCACCAGCAAAGGTGTACCCGTTGAGATGAAGCATCCTGTCTAAAATTTCCGGGCGAATAGATACTATAATAGCGTCTCCCTCGACGCGGTGCTACTGAACGTTAGTAAGGCGTAGAAGAATTCGTATACTGCAGTCACCCAAGTGTATACGCAAAAAAGGCCTGAACGTTGTCGTACGTCGCCGAGAACAGATTCGTCATGAAACGACAAGCGCACCTCCAAATCTAGGACGCTGTACGGATACTGCAGCGGTGACCGCCAACGCTAATGTTGCACATACCTTGATAATGTTTTTGCGGCCAGCCTTTGTCGAAGGAAGTTTCTTTTCGAGCCAGTCAACCGTACCTTGAACACCTCCATCGGCGTTCGATGCTGCCTTGCTCTCTTTCCAACCGGTAACACTGATCTCTTCTAGCGATGGGCCACCCTGACGAGTATTGGCCTGGAAGGTTCCATCGTCACATTCAAGAGCCGTTTTGATACGATCAGCATTGAATTTCGACTTGGTTCCGTCACGAGGCTGTGCACCGCCGCGTCCCCGGCCACGTTTTGCACCACGAGTCTTATCCACACCGCCAGCCATATCTAAGTCTCCATCACGATCCGTTCGCCTGGTAGCTAGGTTTTTACGAATGCCACCTCGGTTGGTCGTGCTGGCGCGGTTTTGGGGTCCCTTCTTAGCCATGCTCCGAGAGTTGATACCTAACATCGGCATATTTAGGCGGAGGAAACAATGAGTTTATGAAATGTTTGGAGTGTGGATCTAGTAGTCAAACAATCAAAGGCCCAGGGCCTGCTCAACTATGCCCACGAAGACAAACAGCGCGAGGCGTGGAATCTTTCAGACTCGGACAAATCAAAGCAAGAGCAATAGTATAATTCTCGCCTGTTGAGTTGTGTTGAAAGCGTGACAGCGTCGCGTTGTTGCAAAATTCGCCGTTGACAGTTCCCTTGGTTCGAAATCGGTCCAAAGGCGTGAGAGCTTTGATCGGTACAAGAAGTTCTTTGGATAAAAATGGCTTAATCGGACGAATACCACGGTATGGAACAAAGACTGAAATGACTGGACGCATAAAAAAGGATGCGGTGTTCAGCTGGAGGTTGACAGAAAGACAGAAAAATAAAAAGAATCGCGCGGGCGACTTGCGGCAGTGACGTTGGCAGGCACCCGCACTAGGCAAAACTCTTGCTAAGTCTGGACATCACGTGATATTAAAGGGAGCTAATCCCGATATGATGCTAGCGGGGCAGGGCTGCCGTTGCTTTCCCGATACAGTATTTACCTGTATCGTGCAAGCTGGCCAGATCTCGACCATGCGCAATTCTTTCTTTTCAACCGTCACTCTTTTACCGTGCAACTAGGTCGCCATATGTTGTATTTGCATGATTTGTATTTTGTGAATACATCTCTCCAGAAGCCCTCGTCGTAGGAGCTGGCTGGTTTTCCTTGTGACGACTGTAGCCGTCCAGTTTCGCCCGTTTTATAGTTGTCCTCTCACACACCGAACACGGAAATGGCCGCCAAATCACGGTTTACAAGGCTTGATGCCTTCGCAAAAACAGTTGAAGATGCTCGCGTTCGTACAACATCCGGCGGAGTCGTTACTTTGGTATCATTACTTGTTATTTTCTGGTTAGTATGGGGGGAATGGGCTGATTACCGCCGGGTTGTGGTAGTTCCCGAGTTGATTGTAGACAAGTCACGAGGTAATATCCATCAATTAAAGCATTGAATGACATATAGCTAATCAGTCCTATGTTCTCTTTTTAGGAGAGAGAATGGAGATCCATTTGAATATGACTTTCCCCAGATTGCCATGCGAAATGTTAACGCTGGATGTCATGGACGTCTCTGGTGAGCAACAGGTCGGAGTTGCTCATGGCGTAAACAAAGTACGTTTGAGTTCCGCCGCCGAGGGCGGTCGAATCCTTGATATAGAAAAACTTGAACTGTGAGTTTAGAGAAGTCAATTCCAATCAGTCGGCATTTTCTGACCAATTACTCGCTTTCTCTAGCCATGCGAAGAACGAAGTAGCTATACACCTCGACCCTGATTACTGCGGCGAATGTGGAGGAGCGCCAGCCCCGGACACCGCGAAAAAGCCAGGATGCTGCAACACATGTGAGGAAGTTCGAGAGGCCTATGCTGTGAAACAATGGGCTTTTGGCAAGGGCGACAACATTGAACAGTGTCTACGAGAAGGCTACGCCGAAAAAATTGATGCGCAGCGCAAAGAGGGCTGTCGCCTTGAAGGTGTCCTTCGCGTGAACAAAGTCGTTGGTAATTTCCACATTGCGCCCGGTCGTAGTTTCACCAGCGGAAATATCCATGCGCATGACTTGGAGACATACCTTGACAAAAGCTTGGAAGGAAATGACAAGCATACCATGACACACATCATTCATCAGCTGAGATTTGGCCCTCAGCTCTCCGATGCAATTGCCCAGCGTTGGCAATGGACAGATCACCACCACACCAACCCTCTGGATGACACGAAACAAACAACTGACGAGCCAGGCTACAACTTTATGTATTTCGTTAAGGTTGTGTCAACATCATATCTCCCCTTAGGATGGGATACTACCCGATCCAATCTCGTTCATCAAGATCACGAGGATACGCCACTAGGCTTGCACGGTGCAGCATACGGCACAGCAGGTAGCCTTGAAACACATCAATACTCTGTGACATCTCACAGGCGGTCTCTTTCCGGCGGCGATGACGCCGCAGAGGGCCACAAGGAACGCATTCATGCGCAGGGCGGTATTCCCGGCGTATTTTTCAACTACGACATCTCTCCGATGAAAGTCATCAACCGGGAAGACCGTCCCAAGAGCTTCACAGGCTTTTTAACTGGTGTCTGTGCTGTGATCGGTGGTACCCTGACTGTCGCTGCTGCTGTCGATCGGTTTTTGTATGAAGGCGTATTGAGAGTGAAGAAGATACACACGAATTGAAGAGAAAAGTGGGTTTCTTTGTTGTTTTGTTCAAGGATGTATGTTGTTATGCGGGTGTTGGTTGTTCTCTTTTCCTCCTCTTCCTTCTTATATGTGTGGTATCTCAATCGTTTCCTTTCATTGTATGCTATCCTAGGTTTTATATCTCTAAATTCGGAATATTCTTTAAACAAGAATGCAGCGAGAATCATACAAATACATTCAACAAAAGACAAAGAAGACAGTTGTTTCTTCTCAACTCGGAGTTACCGAGATTCTACGCTCAAACCAAAGGATATGCGTAAATAAATTGTTTTTCTTGATGATGTAATTGGCGAAAGCCATGTCAATCTAATTGCTGAACCACAGGAAAAAAGAGGAAGATAGTGTGGGAGAGGAATGAAATAGTAATATGACTATAAAGGAGAGTTGTGAAATGTGAAAACGCCCGAGCCACCTTCTTTTCAACACCGATGATGCAACAATGATAGATGAGACCGAAATGAAAGTGCACAGAAAAAAATATATGCCTCGAATCTTCGGATGCAATGAAGTGGAAAGAAGGGGTATATCTCAGATAACTTAGACCAGAGGAAGAAAGGATCAAGGCAATCCAAACATACGCTGCAATAACATATAATCAGGCACAGAAAAGAGAGCAGAAATAGTTGTGGAAATTCCAGTTAGGGAAAGAGCTTATTGGTAGCTCGGGTAATGACTTGAGTATTGTTGACCTGGGTATTGTTGACCTGGGTATTGTTGGCCTGGGTATTGTTGGCCTGGATATTGTTGGCTCTGGTACGGTGGCGGGCTTTGATACTGTGGGTTCTGATACTGATGGCTTGTGTATTGTTGGGAATAATGATTCGAGTGTTGAGCGGCTGGTGGTGTGGGAGTCAACCGAGGCGTGTCGTTCCAGGATTGCTGAGCGGCACTATTCGGGGGGTTATTCACAAAATTCATGTGGTTGAGAGCATCCCAGGTGTAGCTAGCGCCGGGCATATTATAGATGCTTCTAACTTTAGCATGCTGCTGCTGTACTTCGTGCATCTGTTGATGCTGACGTTGGGCAATAGCTTGCTGTACCATCTGGTTGCTGACACCCTCTTTCATGCTCTTCTTCTCCCGCTCTCGAGCATCAATGGCACCAATAAGACCACCAGAGCCAACATTTTGTTTGACATTAGTATTGGACAAATTAAAGAAAGCCTGACCAGTCATGCGAGCAACATGCTCTTGCTCCCTAGCGGACAGGTGGTTGGAAATATCATTTTGACTTAAAAGCATATTGGAGCCGCGAGAATTGGGTCGAGGTGGTAGTTCTCCTTGGTTCAGCATCATTGTGGGGCTTCGAGAGTGTGGCCGGTAAGGCATGTTACTTTGGTTCAACATCATAGTCGATCCCCGGGAATGAGGTCGAGGAGGTAATTCTCGACTCGGAGAGTGTTGGTGAGAGGTCATAGCCCAATCGCCAGAATGAGGTCTAACAGCAGCTAGGTATGCGGGTGAGATACGTGGGCTTGATCCCGAACGTTGATGGACAAACTGCTCAGGCGTAATGGTGCGGTTTGCTGGGGACTCTGCGCGAGCATTTGTCATGCCGGGCTGCCAAACTACACTTCTGCGCTTGTCATCTCCACCAGGAGATCGAGATAGCTTGCGAGCATGGTGTCCAGGTGTAGTATCATTGCGAGCTGTCAACTCAGAATCCGATCGACCATGTCCAAATTGATTTAATACATCCGACATACTGGGACTCCGAGTATGTAGACTATGCGCCATTGTCGGCCCAAAATCAATAGTGGGAATGTCAGGATTTTCTTTGGGTAGTTCTTGGTTGGCAAAAAACCGAGCATCTCCGATTGTCACCTCTTGGCTTGTTGGAGGAGCATCCCCAACCGTCTTGAGAACTCCCATTCTCGTTTGAGGAATAGACGCTTCTGAGCGCTTTGTATCGGTCGATCTGCGAGTGCTAGCGTAAGATGGAGATGGCGAATCATTGTCATAGTTGCTTTCGTCATCCAATCGCGCGGCGTGGATAATCTGGCTGGTAGCAGGCTTTGGGGGAGGTGAAAATAGTACGTGGTGAGGTAAAACACGGTCCAAGGCAGCCTCATCAACAGTATGTTGGAGATCTCTCAAGCTCGGATCCGAGGCAGCAGAAACAGGGTCGTGGAGGCTAGCCTGATCGGGATCAACATTGAGCTCTGCCACGTAAACTGGTTGAGTGGGAAGAGGTTTTCTCTTTGTCACCTTGGACGTGTCTATATGCAGACTCGGCACTTGACTTATAGGTCGAGATGAGACAGCCTTAGTCGCTTCATTCTGAATTGGACCGCTCGGTAAGGACTGCTTGCTTGAGTTGGTGTTTAGGAATAGATCAGAGCCGCGAGACGACGGAAGGCGTTCATTGTGCTGATCAATTGGATATAGGCTGGTATGGGGTTCTAGGGGATTAGATGTAGCTGCAGCACCATGTATTCCACCTACTTCAGCAAACTGCGCTAAAGTTGAATTCGACATTCGATTGTTTGCTCTCCTCAACTCAAGCGAGGGCTGAGGTCTGCTCGTGGGGATTTCGCCGGGTTGATGTGCAAAAGCGGGAGGGACTGCCACAGGCGCTGGGGGTCCATTAGGTCGCAGGTCTGGCCTTACAAATTCTTGAGGCGGAGGCCGTGCAAAGGGCTCTGGATCAGAACTGCTCGCATTTGAATGACGAGTGCTAGGACGTTCGCTCTCGAAAGTGACACCGTGGACTGGAGGCTCTGGTGGGCGGTCGCGGAGCAACTGCGTAGCTGGAGCGGAGGTTCTATCTGGAGAATTGATTGTAGTGAATGCACTTGTGTCCGATACGGCTCGATTATGTCCATAATGCTGGCCCGGACCTGGAGGAGCAGGTGCTGTATTCGTGTTGGATGTTTCGATAATAGCATCCGCAGACTGGTTGAATTCAGTCGACCAGGGTTTACTAGGCTCCTGAAACCGGGTGTTTCCTGACCTACCAGGCAAGCTGGATCGCTGACGAGACCGTCCGCCAGAAATGCTGCTTGCAGGACTATTTACGGTTGACATTCGCTGCCCTGTGGCCTCTCTGAGTTGCTTTCTCCAATCCCTTTCCGTCCAATTTTGACTTCCCGACGTATTGATCAGGTTGACAACATCGAGAACATCTAGATAACCATAGCGCTTTTGTTTTGGGAAAGCAAGCATCAAGCTTTTGACGTTATTTGTATCGGCAATGAGTCGGGTTGGCCTTCCATACAGACCAAACGTGTCGAAAACGGGAAAGAGGAAGCGAAGCATGATCTCAAAGCCAGACACCGCCGGGCGAATCTCGGGCATGATAAAAACGAATCCTTCCGTTGTGGAATCTGTTTGCGAGTGGATGGTGATGTTTCCTTCTAACTTAAGCAGGGTCGATTGGTCTATTAATGGCTTCGACTGGGGATAGATAGCATAGGCTGCATATCCGTTGGTAATCGTGGCAATAGGCTGGGCTTTTTTTGTCTTTTTAGTATCGTAGAACTTGATGTTGCCAGTCAATACCGGCGTAGTACGATCGTAGGCGGAACGTTTCTTCACAGATTTCTGCATTTTTTGGTATTCCTTCTCATCTGGTTGCGTGATAACACACCAGCAACGTCTCCATGGGGTTCCAGCACCGAATCTAACTCTAGCCCAGTCCTCATGCTTGAAACGGCAGCGTTCCATAATCATACGAATATCGTTCAGTTCTTTACCTTTGCCGGCAATGATAGAGCCGGTGTAAGCTTCGAGGAGCGATGTGTGTTCGAAAAGAGAAAGGCGGATCCCAGCGGTCCATTGGGTGAGAGAATGAAATGAGTTGAAGTGGAAGAGGTACCGGTTTTTACCCGCCGTTGATATGCTCAAGATATTTTGCAGAGGCTTTGACGTCTTGTCGCGTGTTGGCAGTGTTTCAATCTGTCCAAAGGTCAGAATTTAACCTTTCCTTTCCTTTGAAATAGATACACGGCATGATCGCTAGTAGCGAGAAGGTGAACTCACCATCTTCAGGGAACAATCCGCGAGGTTGATAAAAGTGGGTGGCACCTCCCCATCCTGACCTGCTGCGTCCAGCGCATTAGCGTCCCAGAGTGAGAGCACTGTTCCTACAAGCTGGGCAAAGCATTCCACCCACTTTCGATCTGTACACGGTCGACCCTCTAATATAGAAGGGTAAGTTAGTATCACCAGGGTCCGTGCGGAATCCACATTCTTGGATCGGCATAAGACGTACGGGTATCCAAATCATTGAGTTTGAGAAAATATCCTTCCTGATACAGCTTGTTGGAATGACTATTCAAAAAGGTAAAGACCGGTAGCAGCTCCGGCAAAGTATCACTGGCGATGTCGGTCTGTGGCGCTTGATAGGTGAAGGCCATGGATGCTGGTCGCATGACACTAGATCGATCTGAAACTGACAGCGGTGTCCCGCTCGAACTGGGCGAAGGGCGAAACGGAGCGGGATCATGTTTGTCGATTTTCGACAAGCGACCTGACTGCGCAGGAACCGGGTTTGCTGTATCTTGGGGCGTTGTGTTCTGGCTATGTTTCGGCGCAAAGGCTGAAATGAACGAGAGGACTACGGGGAACAAGCAAGGGATGTTAGCGATCCACGTTTCGATTGCGGGAACGGGAATCGTTCAAATAGCAAAGGCACATGGCAAACTAAGCATTTAAGCATATCCATATAGTAAAGAACTTACCACGCGAGCGACCCATGGTAGAGATGGCTGGATTTTGGCCTCCAGTGGGCGATGATCACCAACGACTGCGGGTTTAGAGGTCTTCACGAAGGATGATATCGCAGCGACTCGAGGGCGGGAGAAGGGAGGAGAATGCGGATGCAAGACGTGGCGATATTAACGATGGTATCAAGCGAAGGTATAGAGGTAGTCAAGTGTCTGTCTAGATTCACAGAAATGCTTCGTTCACAGTGAACGGGATGCTGGCAGATAGGAAAATGCGGCAAACGGTCGATCGAGCATCAACGAAGATGCGAGACAGCGGGGGGGGGTAGTGAACGAGAGACAGTTGTCGCAACGATGCCGATCAGAGATGACCTTCCCCAAGACCGCAGGAATTTGCCATTCAGACGATGCAAAGGGATGACTGAAGGACTGAAGGACTGCGTGGTATAGAAAGACCAAAAATTATTGGCCTAGTTGGAAGGTGCCGGATGACGTCGGCAGGGCAGCAGGGCGGACGGGGCCGGTGCAACGTCGATCGACCAGGCCAGCGTGGCTCTTCTCTTTGCGTACAGGCACTCGCTATATGCTCTAGTACTGCACTCCAGTATAAGAGTACTGTATGTGGGATGAGGCCGAATTACGAGAACCCCAGTAAGCAACCCGCAATGTGTACGTACACACACAAACACAAAAATGCGCGCAAGGCCGTCAGATGCAGATGGCAGCTGACTACTAATGAACGACTAGAGCCAGGACAAGACACCTTTTGTCTGAGCGATCGATTGGTAGTTAATAATAATGCCGCTGGTGCTCCATTTTTTCTTCTATTTTTTCTAGGCGGCCGCTACAGGCAGACCAGATTCGATGATCCATGTTTTACATTTTGCCGCCGAGAAGATTATTTGTGGTCGACCTAGGCCGTCCGCGCGTCAGCAGCGCAGCTAAGCCGAAGCGGGGAGAAACACGCCCAAGCATGCCAGTAGAAAGCGCTGTGTACAAGCCACACAGGCCAGCTAACGTGAGCACTGAGCGCTGCGTCCTGCGTACACGTAGTAGTTATTTATTTGAGAATTCAGATGACTAATATGTGGTCACTCGCCAACTCCTACACTTGCTCGTGACTGGCCTCCCTCCATCTCTGGTAATTACCTCGTGCTGCTCCCTAGGAGTGACACGACCAGAGCCATCTTAAATTAGGATTCAAGTAGCTTAGCTAATAGTTAATAATAGCCGGCGCCACGTAGTGCTACCAGCCGCCAAGCCCGGATTGGCCAGTCGCGCCACATGCTGCCCGCATCGGGCTAGCCTGACTCGCCTGGGTCCGAGTGTTGAGACATCCTCTCCTTATTTTGTCGTGATCATTCATGATTACTGTCTATATTGTATTGCCAAGTCGCGTTATTGAATCCAGGACTTCTTGTCATTATCGTGGCTGTCCTGAACCGTCGGACCGGCCTGAGGTTGCACATTGCGCAACAAAGGGGATATGAGAAGAAGCCACTGCTCTAATGGGCTCTTTGACGACGAGCTGTGGCTGCCTAGTGCTAGTCTTGCCTCCCCCGGCCGTGGAAGAAAGGGAGAGAGAGGTACTTAGGGGATACAGAAAATACAAATCAATGCCATTGTTGCCTACATTATACTTGATTCCTGTCGCCCGCCGTTTGCTACAATAGTGTCCGATGCATTTCCTCTACGGTACTAGCCAAGGCTCCATGTCTCACCCGGACCCGCCGCTTTTGAAAGATGGTCGTTCAATATTGGCTAACTGGGAACGTCACTGCTGGATGTAAATCTTTATAACGTCTCGCCCCAGGCCGCTGGCCCCTCATGTTTTGGATCTAAATGTCGATCACGCCAGCTGAGCACCACTACTAACGGGAAGGCCCGTATGATATATCGTCCTACCCCTGATAGTTACATGTATTGATTCCACGCCCATTTATCATTATGTAGTTTTCGAGCATCCTATTCCCAATTTCCGCCAGTGGCAGGAACAGCGTAGATCCTCCGTTCTTGCCTTACCATAAAATCAATTGTACAGCAGAGTAAGCATCACTCTTTCTCATAGTTAACTAATTTGTTCTCGTACCTATCTAAACAACGTAAAGCTGAAATACGCAAATGAAACAAGATACTGTGGTAGAAGGCAAACGCTGGAAAATTCGGGGCATCAATGAGGAGCAAACAATTCCTCAAGCAAACGTTCATAGCTATTCAGTCACGGAAAATAAACTTGGATCTATACCGGGGAAAACATTCTTAGACTGCAGGGGTTCATCGACGAGGAGCCCAGCGGAATCCCCCATGTCCTGCATCACAGTGTCGTTAAAGTTCGTAATTTCATTGATCTTTTCATCAAACTCATTCCCGGTGAGGTGGAGATCCGTAAACGACTGTACAGTATCTATACCTACCATAGCGCCTTGTTGGGTATCACCATCATCGAGATCAAGCCCATATATCCCAAAAATAGTATTCTGGTTATCATTCTGCAAAGCCCGTTGCATGAACATGGCTTCAATCTCATTTTCTGCATATCCATGCTTGCTCTGCATATGAACCCAAAGGTCGTATTCCCTGTAGAAGCGGTAATCGCAATTGTCCTTTAAGCAAGCAATATGTCGGCCAGTTTCATCAGCATAGCCTTCGCCAGTCAGAAGAGCTATCGTTGATATATTCGACTTTTTGGACCGACACTTTGCTTCTTTAATCCCAAGCAGTTCTCGGCGTTCTGCCTTGGTGTTCAATAGCCCAAGATGAACGGTACGAACGTGTTCTTCCAAGGCCAGCTTGCTACCATATCGCTTGCCACAACCATCTCCAGTCCACCCATCGACTTTCTTAGACGTCGACAAGTCCGTTCCACCACAAACGAAACGCTTCTCGCCTTCATGAACCGAACGAATATGAACGGTCAAATTACCCTTTTTCGTAAAACTGCGCCCACAGCCAGGGACCATGCATGGGAATTGACGCTTTTCATCAATGATAACATCACCGTGAGACATTTCAAGATGGCGCCGTAACTCTCGAGAAGAAGAGCATATGAAAGGGCATTGCGGGCAGTTAGGCGGGTGTACGGACTTAATATGCGCCTGTAACTCAGCATATGAAGAAAAAAACGATACATCTTCGGCAACGTTCTCTGTCGTTGTGTCGGTAAATCCACCTAACCCGGAGGCGCATTCCGTACAAATAAACCGATTTTCTGTGTGCGCGCGATTCTCATGACCCCGAAGATGAGCGGCAGATTCGAAAGCTTGTTCACATTTTTTCCCTGTCACCGGATGAATATATTGGCAAGGGTATGGCTTTTGGTTCAAATGGGTTAATAGTATGTGATTGTTCAAGGTCGAATGCTTTCGGAACGTCTCGTTACAGGGAGGGTATTCAGTGCACCGAAACTTGTCCCTTCCATCATGTGCAGCAATGTGCCTTCGAAGCCTTGTTCCCGTCACAAAGGTCTTCCCACAACCTGGTCTTTCGCAAACATAATCACGCACGGCCGTATGTGCACTTTTGATGTGGTGGTTCAGGTGGGAGGCTCGAAGAAAAGTTTTGTTGCAGTCGTTATGGGTACATTTGAATATCCGTTCGTTATTATGCGATCTTATGTGCTCCTGAAGTCTAGCAGGTCTATTGAAAGCTTTGGTGCAACCATCGAAGGGGCATAGATGGGTCTTGAGTTCCGACGGATATTTGGAAGAAGTTACGGAGAGAGGTGTACCAGGTGTTGCATCATGACACACATTATCAATACTATCGGTTTCGAAGGAAGTCTCAGACCCTTCCGAAATCGAGTCTATGGAATTTGATTAGAAGCAAAACCAGTCTTGCTGGAGAGCCACATACCATCCACATGCTTGGAGATTTTGTTAGGCTGTGTCCCATTATCCTCAATGGCTTTTCTCTTTGGCGCCATGTTGAGCAAAATTTCATGGGTAGTGCGACCACAGGCTCATTGCTTATGATTTATGAAAAACATTGGCGATGTGTTCAGTTGTACGCCAGCTGCAAAGGATTATTCGTGCTGTTGGCAGGTGAAGGAAATGAAATAGTCGATACTGGTGGAGGCGGTGAAGGCCCAGGGCTCTTTTCATTGGACAGCGTTAGCGCAACACGAGCTTTTTTCCGCCGCCTTTTGTCAAGAACTCCATATTCGCATCGTCAATAATTGAACCCATCAAGCCATAACGCTTGCCGATAATTCCAGGCGACTAGGACTAAATCGCCTACTCTAGTCGCTAACTTCCCTTTGCTTTCATAGCTAGGTATTATTTTGGACAATGTCAGACTACGGAGATCATGACGGCGACGATGCTGGGTAAGTCCAATAATTCTATACTTCAATGCCCAAGGATAATTTAAACACATCGCCCACATGATTCCTCAGCATCTGTTGTCATCTATTCTGCTAACAGAAATCGCGTTTAGCTTCGATTATGAGGCCGGTGAGGCCGAGTTCGATGACCACGAGCCAGAAGACTTCCTCGAACCTGAGGATGCTGAAGCTGAAGGATACGAGGGCGTCGCAGGGGCTGAAGACGCCTATGGCCATGCCGTCAATGGAGAACGCACCATAATATCGGGCGACCCCAATGCAGGTGGCGGTCAGGGTGTCGTCGAACAGCATCGGGAGAAAAAAGTCCCCAACGATCAACGCACCACCACGCCGTACATGACCAAGTATGAACGAGCTCGTGTTCTAGGCACTAGGGCTCTTCAAATCAGGTTAGCGACATATCATTGCCAATGATTAACTGAGATTCTAATCCTCGACCTAGTATGAATGCTCCCGTGTTGGTTGACCTTGAAGGCGAAACCGATCCGCTGCAGATTGCCATCAAGGAGCTTAACCAGAAGAAGGTCCCTTTGATCATTAGGAGATACCTTCCCGACGGATAGTAAGTACATGCTGCTTCTTACTGTCCCGAGCTTTCCTGACTGGATCTCTCTAGCTACGAGGACTGGACTTGCGAGGAGCTTCTCTAATTGAAGCGCCATTGACTTTGTGTGCTTTGATGTGTAATTTTTTCCTTCTTTCGCATAGCGGCTGGTGTTTGGCGGGATTCTAAGATAAAATAACATTTCAATAGGCTATGCTTTATCTAGCACACTATTTTCAGGCTAGACTGGCTATGCAAAGTGATTGCCATCCTTTTTTTTGATGTTGTGACATGTTTCTTTTCATTGCGTCTACCAACGTTGACATTCTGACCGTACATCACACTAGAAAACAGAGGTTCCTGGTCATTACAGATACAAACACGTGACTCGGGCTTGTATATAATATATAATAATAACTATGTATTATCGGCACTTCGCTCAGCCGAGGTGGATAAATCGGCACGCGGAGTGGGCCACCATGCTCTGCTGTTCCGTCTAGTCCAATCAGCGGCTGCGCTATCCCCCGCTTGCAGTTGGTCCTTGGCCGCGGAAACTTCCAAAGACAGGAATTCTGACCATCCATCCATCGGTGTGATCAACCGGATACGAATGGTACATAGCAACTACTACCACGTTGAAAAAGAAAGAAAAATGTTACTAATCAGTAATCACCCAAGATCGCTCTCTCCAAGCCCCCGCTTTTCACTTGGTGGTGGAGCATGGAAGACACAGTCATACAGCTAAAAAAGGGCGGAGGTCATGGTTGAAATAATCTTGCGCGCTTTGCTGTTTCTCTCGTCCTATACATACTAACTATTACCCTTGCTGAGCTTTCCTGTGCCATCACTAGGGGAGGAATCCTCTTCATAAATTAATACTACGCCTCTGTCTATCTTTTCTATGCAGGGTTTTGCGCAAAGTTGTTCTAGCGTAAAAAAACCGGCGCTTTCCGTGAGCTGGAAAACACATGATGGCCCAGGATGCCCCAGAAAAGGATCAAAAGTCGATAGGGATTTCCAACAACGCTGTCGATGGAGGCGACAGCTCCGTTAGCAGTGCGCCATCTCCCCCGCAGGAAGAAAAGAAGTCCGGGTATGGTAATGAGGAACACGAGTTTGATGGCGGACTCACGGCCTACCTACAGGTGCTAGGCGCCTTCTTCATGTTTTTCAATTCATGGTAAGCTTCGCTTTCAAAAAATCCCTAGGCTCGACCGTTTGCTAAGCATCAATTAGGGGCCTCATCAATACGTGGGGTTTATTCCAAACCTTTTACGAGCAACAAATCCTATCCCACATGTCACCATCTTCCATCGCATGGATCGGGTCCGTCGAATCCGCCCTGCTCATGTTCATCGGTGTCATCACCGGCCCGCTCTTTGACGCCGGATATTTCTACACTATGATACTACTTGGAACATTTATGGTTGTATTCGGGTTCATGATGACAAGTCTCGCCTCTCAATATTATCAAATCATGCTCGCCCAAGGCATCTGTGTCGGGGCTGGCGCCGGTTGCTTGTTCGTACCAGCTGTGGCTTTATTACCTCAATATTTCAGGAGACGGCGCGCTTTGGCAAATGGAATTGCTGCATCGGGTAGCAGCATTGGCGGTGTCCTATATCCCATCATGTTTGATCATCTCCAACGAGAAATCGGGTTTGCTTGGGCAACTCGGGTTCTTGGGTTCATGGCTTTGGCCACTTGCAGCATCTCAATCTCAGTAATGCGCGTGCGCTTCAAACCAAAAGAAAGGCGGGCTCTTCTTGAACTATCTGCATTTAAGGAAGTCCAATTCAATCTTTTCTGCGCGGCACAATTTTTGGGATTTTTGGGCTTCTACAACTACCTCATTTACGTTCAGCCATGGGCGATCCAAAAAGGAATTGTATCTGAGAGCTTGGGGTTCTACCTTGTCCCGATTTTAAACGCTGCCTCAACTTTTGGGCGTATAATGCCAAACATGATTGCAGATCACTCAGGACCTTTGAACATGCTCACACCTGCAGCAGCAGTATCGTCACTCTTGGCCTTCTGTTGGATTGCAGTCGGCTCAAGCACGGGTATCATAATCCTGTCTTTGCTTTATGGCTTCTTCTCCGGCGGCTTTGTCTCGCTACCCCCAGTCGTGATGATGACTATCACCAGCGACCTTCGGAGTTTCGGCACTCGACTGGGAATGTCTTTTGCTATCTGTTCCATAGCTCTACTGATAGGTACACCAATTGGCGGTGCTATCCTAAGCAACACAAATTCTTACATTGGTGTTCAATCTTTCTGCGGGGCTTGTCTTGCCTCGTGCGCTTTACTTATGTTTACGATCCGTGTTATTCGCAGCGGTCCCAAGATTCTTTATCGAACATGACCAGCAACTGTTCTAGGTCATTAAAAGCATATATACGCACAGCATATTCACAGCACATTCAGGCGTCATTTTGGCTCTTATTTGGGAGGAGAAAATACATCACTACATATACTCATGATCACATACATAGATCAACTCTTGACGCTTTGTAGCACCTTGTTGCATTGCTGGCTGGGTTCCAACTGATGCATAATATGAATATTCAAAAGTAAATAGACTTACCTAATGTCTAAGTACATAATAAATGGGGATACATGATGAAACAAATGAATAGTATTGCCAAAATTGCATTGAAAATAGTGTATATCGCTTGGTAAATATGTACTGCCGCTTCTGAGTAGATCTATATAAATACAAGGCATAAAATGAGGTCAGAATCATTCGGAGTCTGACCTGAATCCCCAACCCCGACACGAATAAATACAGTCAAAAACCAAAAGAAAACCATTCTATTTTTAACCGATAAACACCGACTCCACATGTGCTCAACTACCATTTGGTAAGTTGCTTCTTATTGTACCTGAGGGTGAAAAGGATTCCCCATAATACCTTATGCAAGGTCGTGTCGATTAGAGTCGACTATACGTAAGTGTCTCATCATTCACCGTACCTTGTAGCGCGATCGGGTTAATAAACGTCTTCAGGATTGACTAGGAAGTCTTCTCCATTCTCTCGCACATGTATGAAATCCTTGTCTCGGCTGCACGGCTTGCGCATATCAAAAGCGTCCTCGCCTTCCTCAGACAGTCCGCTCGGGTCATCTTGATAGTAACTGACCACACGTCGAAAGACCGAATAACTATTGATCTGCATCAGCTAGACACCCTTCGATAAGCGAACATCCTAGTACTCACCCCATTCCTTTGTACATGTCCACCGCGACTTTATTTGTTGCACGTGCGTATAAGTCTACAAACCACGCATCGTTTATATCAGACACGTGCTCTAAGCTCTCAGTTAACCGTCTTGCATGACCGAGTCTTCTCCATGCGGGGGCAACAGTCAAAACCGTAATATGACCATGCCAGGGAGTGTAGTGCTCTGAACGTCGCATTGCGGCCGGCTGTTCTTCCAATTTACCCATGACTAGGAGGACAATTAGAATTCACTTGAGCAAACCCATACGTATGTAACGAGGAAACTCACTATACCCCACGATTCCTGCACCTTGGTCTTGAACCACACTGAAAAGAGAAGGCCAGCGCATTAAGTAGTTGAGATAGAATCCCACATCATAATTTTCCGTCAAAGGATCGAGGTTTGTCAGATTCAGAGAGAGCAGATCCGTGGGCGTCATGCGCCGTACGAAGCTCATGGTGGTCGCACTCGGGACGGTGAGCCGCAATTGTAGTACGTTCCTGGAGATAATCACAGGTGAGGTAGCTTGTTGGTCTTTATCGAAGCAATGCGATATAAAGCAATACTCTTTTCGCTCATAGCAAATAATCACGATAATAATAATAATAATAATAATAATCAAAATCACAATCACCAGACGAGTGCCTGGACAAAGTGGGGGGCCGCCTGACCGCCTTCGACGTCACGGGAGGAGACTATACTCGATTGAATTTATCATTCTTCTTGTCGACGCCTGCTCCATCGCGCATATCAAAGCCAAATCCCAAACGCCATCCCGTCGGCTTTGAACCTGATGGTCGATGATGCATGAAACTGCCGCGGAATCATCATCGTGAGGGATAGATGTCAAGCGCCATTTCCACACGAATCCCCCGTTTCCAGTGTTCACGACCACAACCCCTGTTGCTGCTCCACCTGGTCCTGGCGGCTGGCCCGCGCGTTCACACCGAAAAGTAACATCTTGCTTGACTGGTGTTGCGGAATATCTACATAGTGATTCTGTGTGTCTATGATCGACAACCCGGTCTAACCGCCTGGCTTTCCATTTTCCGACAGGCCTAAACCCACCCTGCTGCCACGATGTCGGCGCCACCTTCACCGATGTCTCCCAGGCACCGTCGGCACCCATCGAGTTTGGATATGTCACCGAGCATCAATGGTATGGGTGACAATGGCTATTTCTATGCACAGACTCCTCAATCCCCTCGTCCAGTCTCACCCGAAACCCCACGGCAGAGGAACTCTCAGATTTTGAATGGTGACCGACGCATGTCCGAGGATTACATGGGGATGGCGGGTTCCAGTGGCGGCCTTGGAAATCTTGCAGATGAATTAGCTGATGCTTGGGGTGATGGAGAAGGCTATGATGATGTTTCTGGGATCGAAGGGAACAATCAAGCAGAGAACATGCACGGGATTCGTGAAGAGGACGATACATCAGAACAAGGCTCACCTCACGAGCAGACATCTCCAAGCCATTTAAGTGGCCTACAGCCTCCCCGGCAGAGGGTCAGACAATATCAGAACCGGCATCGGCGTACGGAATCTCAATATGATGGATCTGATTATGGGAATGATTCAGATTTCGATGAGCCTGGCGAGGTTTCTCCAAACCTGGAGAGGCGAATGGCAGGCATCGAGAGCTTGGCTCGACGAGGTATTGAGGATAACGGCAGTTCGACTGATCAGATAATTAAGCGATTCATTGAAAGTCTTCGGGATCTTGGTGGACAGAGCGGCATTGAAAATAGTGCCGCTAGGTAAGATATTCCCGCTGATGCTTGGAAATTCCTTTGGAACTTTGCTGATACTCTTGGCAATGCACAGGCTTATAACTGCTCATACTTCTATTACATCCCACCTCACACATCAGACACGAGCATTGCAGACATTGATCCATCCCCTTCTTTTCTCTCACTTTCCCTTACTCTCTACTGACTCTATCGACGACCTCATACCATTGATTGACGACGGTCTCCTCCCGAATTTACCTTTACCTTTCCAGCCACCACATGTAGCACAGGGCTCGCTTAGGCCGACATCTTCTTCCTCCACCAAATCTACACAGAGTCAGACAGCAGCTGTAGATCCACTGCTATCGCTGCAAACTCTCCTCACTCAGACCTCCGATCTTACATTAACTCTTCGAACATTAAGTGACACTTTACATGAATCCCGCCAGCTCACTTCTACAGCCTCCCGTCGCCTTAGATCCGCACGGGAGATTGTTACTGAGATAAAGCGAGAGGATGAGGATCGAGAAGAGGGTCACCGCTGGATAGAAAGCGGTGAATGGGACCGCAAGTTGCGAGAACGTGAAGCAGGCAGAGTGTGTGGCGAAGTAGTCAGTGGCTTTGAAGCAGTCTGTGGTGAGTGGAGAAGGAAGCTATTCGGTGCTGCTGGAGCACCTACCACTGCAGCTACTGGTGCTGCTGCATGAACGATTTTGAGTGGGAAAAATATACTAGACAACCTAGCATTGTATATTCTGACCTTATCTTGTCATTTTTTTTCCTTGTCATTTTGCTAGACAAAGCTGCGATACCGTGGACATAATTGTTCGATGTTATTTGCTTAGTCCTTCTTCATACACATAGATATCCCCTTACAGTCTTCCCTTTGAACCACCTTCTTTATATCAAGATTTCCTACGACTCTTTTTCTTTTCCCGTTTTTGATATAATCTGAAATTCTGCATCCTGGTTTTATTTTTGTGGTGGAATTAATGTGATGCAGCTGGACATGAAATAACCAAGACTAACATTCATACATATCTTAAAAGTAACTTGGCATACAAATGACTCGATTCATTTCAATGGGTAGTCATAAGTATAAAAATCAAGTGACACGATGGTCTTTCCCTACCCCGAATGTTCCTTTTTCTTGGAACGAGTTGTTTCAAGCCTCAATCTACCATATTCATCAAGAACTTGGAATCAATGTACTTAGATTGTTTTCGATATAAACGTCTGCCTAAATCAATTTCTACTTCGCGTAGGTAAAAGCCCAAAGAAGTTATGCACAGGAGCAGTGATGCCCATTTTGGTGAACGAGGAAGACGAAATGCAGAAAAGAAATATAAATGCGTAACTTTGGTAGATCATTCAGACTAGGGTTGAACATGATCAAAGACACCCTACATGATAAACCCCATAATGGAAAGATTGACCAGGTGGGAGAAAGGAATTATAAAATTTTAGTGAACGTCGATGATTACTGTTGCTGACGTTTCCAGCTAGGAACCCATCTACCAGAGCTTGGCTTAGAATCCTCAGTTTTGTCGCTAGCAGGAGCAGCTGAAGGTGCAGCTGAAGGTGCAGCACTACCTTCACGAAGGTGGCGTGGTACATAGCGGCCAGTTGTACCGCCGTTGGCAGGCGGAGCTTCACGTTGGCTAGTGGCCTCAGCACCTTGACGCTGGTGGGGAGGAACGTAACCACCAGTCTTTCGGGGTGCAGGAGCTTCTTCATTTGGTTCAGCCTCAGAAGCGCCCCCTGTCTCCTTCGAAACCTGGCGCTCTCTCCAGCTTGGGCCGGTACCAGTACGAGGAGCGATGTTGAGACGTGGAGCAGTTCGCTCTGTAGGTTCTGCCCGAGTAGGTTCTGCGCGAACAGGTTCGGGAGCAGTAGGAACACCGGTTTTACGAGCTGCACGACGAGCCTCGGCTTCTTCTTCACGCTGTTTCTGTCTGGCGGCAATTTCATCAAGTTTCCTATATAACAGGTTAGTGACCGTGGAGGTAAGAAATGTATGGGTGATAAAAACGAACTTTCTCTCTTCCTCTCTCTGGGCTTTCCTTTCAGCCATAACTCGTCTCTGCTCTTCCTCGCGGGCGAGACGCTCTTGCTCCTCACGCTCTGCGCGTTCTTCCTCCTCCTGCCTACGACGCTCCTCCTCTTCACGTTCGGCCTTCTCGCGGCGGCGGCGTTCTTGTACCTCCTTGACACGTTGTTTCTTCTTTGCTTCATATTCACGCTCTGCAGCTTTGCGGCGCCTCTCGAATTCTTCGTGTCGCTTCTCATTGAGGCTGTCACGGAACTCATTAAAGTTTGGAACAAGACGGCTTAATCGGTGCTTGAGAGCGACATCGGCCTTGTGCTTGGCTTCGGCCTCTTTCAAAGTTTCTTTTTTCTCGAGTTCATAAATTTCCAAATCATGCTGCTTCTGCTTGTCATAGTCCTCCGAGACGTGTTTGAGCTCCTCACGGCGGAATGCACGTTCTAGATGATCAATACGCTTGGCTGTGATGCGAATACGGTCGTTGAGTTCATTCTTCTCCTTCTCAAGTTGGGCCAGCTTCATAGCACGAATGCGATTGCTGTCGAGCTCTTCGGGATCAATATCGCTCAAATCGAGTCCTTTACCACCACCACTCTTCAGTTCTTCCAACTGCTTTTTAATCTCTTGTTGGCGAATTCGGTCCTGCTCATCTTTGATGCGTTTCTTTTCACGTTCGCGATGCTCGTCAAGCAACCTCTGCTTTTCGGCTTCCTGCAGCTGCTGGGTACGGATTCTCTTACGTGTCTCCTCTTCGCGCTGTTTACGCTGGAGTGACTCAGTGGCTGCCTCCTTCTTTTTCTCTATTATGACCCTACGAGCCAGAATGTCTTCATGTTCTTTGGCAGCTCCCTCGCGAGCACGAACATGCGATCGCTGTTTGGCTTGGACACGAGGAGCGGTGTAAGACGGGTCAACGTAAAGACAAGTTATATGTAAGGTCTTGGCAAGGCGTGAAAGCTGAGAGCGAGCAATTTCAGCAGGCGTGCTTTGCAAGCGTTGAACGGAGCCCACTTCGCTCTCGGCGGATCCTGCGGCGCTGCCAGGGTGGAGAGCCTTGGCCGATGAGAAGATGTCTGAATCGAAGGTAAGGACACCGGCAACGTGGTTAACGCGAATAGCCAGGTCACCTTTCTTGCAGCCGTTCATGATGAACTTTTCAATCATAGACTGAGTGACCTGGAAGGGGTCGGGAAATTGGGCAAGTTCGTAGACAAACTTTAGCGAGACAGACTCGTAGACCTGAGACAGTTGTTGGAACAAGCGAGTGAGGATGACCTGCTGGAGAGGCACAACGTATTTCTCCATCTCGGCGTCGGCACCAATCTGCTTGAGAATGGGGGTAATCTTTTTGCAAATTGAGAGAGGGTGAAAATCAACTTCCAGAATATTGTACAAATCACGAATCTCAGGGCGAGCACGTTTAAGCAGGCCCTTGTTGAGAGCGTCTTTGAACAAAGCAGCACGAGTAGGAGATTGGGCCATACCAAGCAGGTTAGTAAGACGGGCATTCTTGTTCTTGCGGACTTCGTCCACATCAACCAACGCACCACGGGAACGAGAAGTGCTGATGACGGGGATAGAAAGGGCGGAAAGCAAGACAAAAGATGCAGCCTTAGTCATATCGTTTTCCGTGACGGAAGGATTGTCCTTCTTGGTTCCCTGGCCAGTGGCGAGCGTGACAGCCGATTGACGAAGAAGGTTATAGAATCGGTTCCAAGCTGCGGCGTGGAACAAGTAGTTCTCACTAACAAGGAAGATTCGGGCCAATTTCTCATAGTAATTAGCCATCATGATGTTCTTGGCAGGACGTTTGCTGAGACTAAGCAGAGTGTGAATATCTTCAACGCTGCGGAAGGCCTCTTGCCAGAGTTCTAGCTCAACGGCCACATTGAGCTGTTGAAAACGAGTATCAAGATGGCGCTGCAAAGTGTCTGGGTCGCTCAGGTTGATAGCGTGCATCTGCGCGGAGTACTTGGCAGCATTCTGCACATGGTTACGCAACAGTTCGCAAAGGCGGCGGAACTCGGTCTTGCGGGTGTACTTGAGACAGAACTGGAATGCCTGCAAGGCAGTGGTTTGATACATAATTTCCAAGCGAGCATTGTTCTTCAAGATCTCAAGCACGGTCCGGTACGTTTCCCACAAAAATTTGAGCCATGGAGTGACAATAGCACGGTCTGTACGATCCTTGGATTGTTCACCAGAAACCGTTGCCAGGAGGATGGTTTCGGGGGTCTCGATGGCTTCCAGGTCGTCCACATTGGTTGATGGTACGGCGGACTCGAGGGTTGACTGGATTTCATCGGCCTTGGCTTGAGCTTCGGTAACTTTTTTCTCAGCCAACTCAATAAAGTGCTTGAGAACAACCTGTAAAGAATGTATCAGCAAAAATCCTTCTGTACACATGAGTGGGGAGATTCTGGTGTCTCACCTCAATGGTTCCCACGTTGGTGTTCTGGGCAATGTTTTTGTATTGATACAAGCCATCTTTAGCAGCCTTTCCTTTACGCAGATCGACACATAATTCGACAAAAAGGATCATCACAGGCTCCAAGGACGCGACAGGGCTGCTACGAGTCCGCTTCGAGGTGACATGTTCGTGAAGGACGGTGAGGGCCGCTGGGGCCTGGCCCACAGCGATGAGTTCTCGAGCGCGCTATAAAAAGTGCCTGTTAGCTAGAGAGTCCTCCAAGGGACGTTTGACGTGAGGGCGAAAGGCGTACCTTGAGGACATTTTCGGGTTTGATATGGGGTGGTGGAGGCATGGCGGGCAACCTGCCCTTTGGGCGACGTGGATTTTTCTAGAATGGAGATAATCGACGGCTGGGCCAGTATTCAACAACAGCTGATTTTCGTGGTGTTCAGCTGATGGGGTAAAACTCAGAATTTCACCACAGGTCTGGCGATGCCGAGGGGGGGTTGCAAGGCCTGGCGGACTTCGAGGCAAATTCTGGCTGGCGCCTGCTGTTGTGCGATCACAAAGAGCCCTGACTGGGTCTAGCGCGGCTTGTCACATGACGCCTTCCTCAGGAAGCCTTAGTCAGCCTGGCGGATCACGTGAGCCAGCTACTCAATAATCTTATTTAATAGAACACTCATGGCAATTTTTGATAAATAAAAGGCCGGCCATAATTAATATTAAATGGTAATCAATATTATTCTTATCATGAGTGCTGTGCTATTCACTACACAATTATTTAATATACAGTATTGAATACAATATTAATATTAATTAATAGCGCCCCAACGCGGCCCAGACGCCTGGGCCGCCCGACTCTGCACGACACAGCAAGTGCCAAGTAGTCTGCTACTAGCCCCTTCCTGCCCCCATCCAAACGGTCCGCCTCGTCGCCTCACACCACCTCTGCCACCACCTCACCACCACTACCCTGTCGCTCCCTACTACTATCCGATCCGTCGTCGCTACCCACGCCCTCTCGCTCCTTTCCTATCCACCTCGTCGTCGGTCGCTTTGCCATCACTACCACGCGCGCTGTTGCTGCGTCGCGTCCCGATTAATTGATCGAGTGTGACTTGTCGCCCCCCTACCACCGAGAACAGATCACAATGGCCGCTTACGAGATCCGCTCCGGCGGCGACGTCAAGAACAAGAAGCAGAGCATGGCAGACCTCAAGTATCGCCGTTTGACAGAGCTGAACAGCCGCTTGAAAGAGGACTTGGATCGCCCTCGCGTCAAGGTGTCTGAAGCTGCTCTCTCGTAAGTTGTCCCGACGTCAAAAAGCGGACGCTGCCGAAAGGGAGTGTCCACACCTATCCACAATCCCACGTCTTCCCTGGCTATATTGTAGCCCGCCAGACACCTCTAGTCGCTATTCAAAATTCATTTGCTGAACATTGTTGTGAATATCAGGCTCATCAACTATTGCAACAATACTCGTGACTTCATGGTCCCTTCTGTCTGGGGTCAAGTACGTTTTACCCCTTGCAAAGCTCAAATCTGATCCAATTATTCGAGCACAAATCATTTACTAACTGGCTCCAGGTTGACAAGAGGGAAGATCCCTACGCTCCTCAGCAGTCTGGTGGCTGCTGTACTGTAATGTAATGGTCCTCATGACTCCGGCGCCTCATCCGCTTCCAATGATGAACCCGCTTTTTTATCCTGCATTTCAACCCCTCCAAAATTTTCGCCTCTATCATACCCATTTATGCAACGATTGCGACTCGACTTTCTTGAATCTACCTCCCCGATATACTCATTTATATTCATCCTCGCCACGCTTCGATGTGATCCATTCAATTGACATTGCACGATCTGACGAACGGCCGACATTTGTTCAGGGCCGTTTCCTGGCCTATATAAACCAAATTCCCTGTGCTGATCTCAAAATCAGTACACCTTGTCATCAACAGCAGAGTTCTGTTTACCCTCAGCTCAACAATGGTCAGGGCTATATAAGACTACATTGACTTGGTTGGCCGACATTTGGCATATAATTTGACTGTGATAGTTGTTGTTCTCTCATTTCTAGTTTGATGTATCTGCCTCGATGTTCGGCTTGGGGCCTCTTTTTCTTCTCTTTTTTTATTTCCCTATGTCTTGAGTATGTGTTCGTTTCCTTGTTAGCACGACAGGAAACGAAAAAAGCTGAGGATAATGGCTACGGCAACTGAAATTCTAAACCATCCAAAAAAAGCGACAAAGGGCAGCCAACATTTTACGGGAGCTGTACTAGGGATTTGGAATCTTCTTATTCTTTTTTGGTGTACAATAGATTTGTTTTCACCTTTGACCTTTGCACCTTTTTCTATTGGATGAGACAAACTATTTATATTGTTAAATAAACCTGCAGTTCATACTTTACAGGCCGTCATTGTAGATGAGTACCTTGCCAGTATTCCGAGAGATCAACGTGAATATAAACCAGTATCTACTGGTCTCCATTGCACTAATCAGTACTTGCAATATCATCTATCATTCGTATCATTAATACAGTTAACTTCAAACGTTGCCATTAAAGGTCCACTCCCACCAAATATCCTAAAAAGGGTCCTAGACTCATCCATGCTTTTCTTTTTTGTGCTCTTGAAAACCCCTTAGCCTTTTCCCCCAGAATCTCTGATATCCATGGTTCAGCATCACCCGGTGCCGACGTCTTTGACGCGGTAGCAGGATCACGATGTTGCAATTCGCGTCGACGAAAGAATTCACGAACACCAGGGGTACTCCATAGGTATCCATTATCCGGGACCGGGAATTGCAAGTCATCAAGTGAAAGAATGCTACTATTACCATCGTCTTCATAATCATCCAGCATATTATCACCATCATTGCTAAGTTTTGCGAAGATGACGCTGACTTTGTATAGAGTCAGAGCGAAATATTTCAACTCCTCGAGATTCACCCATGCATAAACCAGCGGGTCGTCAATGCCACCTTGGGCCAGCATAGCGGGATAGTATAAAACGCCCTGAGCACGACACGTGCGAACAAGACGCGTAAAAATAGGTCGAATATGGTCTATAATATCATCACCATTAATGTTTTCCGTTGCATTCCCATCATCGTCGACACTGGTTTCCGAAGACATGACATCCGCCGGGTTGTGCGCTGTTATAGCGAAGATGGTGAAGAGGAGAATCGCCTGATAGGACGCAAGTGGCCAGCGCTTGTTAGACAGGCCGGCTGGTAAATGGGGATTGGCAGATGTGCCGGTTTTCCCCATATTCGTTGGTCGGACACACCAATTGCTCTATGCGAATATTAACTTGTGAGAATTGGACTGCCAAGCGAATCTATTTTCGCTTTGCTGATATTCAACTTACCACCTGCGTCAGAAGCATTGCATGCAGACGAGAATGTATCGTCCACGCAAGCTTACGCAGACGAGCTTCTCCAGTAATCCATAGTCCGATCATCGTAGTAGCCAGAACAAGAACACGGGGCTCTGATTTTGGATCGAAAGAATTCTTCATGATGAATGGCCAGAACGGGTGGAAATAATCAAAATACAGATCCACATAATACTTGATATCGATCGAACGCGCGAATGATGTCTCTTCATTTGCAGGTGGGAAATCGAACAATTCTCTCAGCTGTAAACTTGATGGCTGGATTTGATTGCGTTGCTCGGCTAGTCTCACCGCGTCGTCTTGCAGTTGTGTTTCGTGTTGTAGGAGGGCTGTGCGGATATCATGCGCTGATGCACCTGATAGAGACGAAGACGAAATCCCTTGCTGTGTCTGAGCCGTAATCTCAAGGCTGTCATTTGCTTCTTGGTCTATGTAATCTATATAATCAAAGGAAATTTGTTTCCGGGCCCGATCACTGCCACCGCTGTAGGGGTGATATCCGTGGGATTTTTGATAGGTGGCAGTATTCCCGGTTTCAATCTCTCTTTCAAAAGAACATTTTAATCCTTTTCGAGCACATATCCCGCACGGAATATGGCCATCGCATTTGGATTTCTGGGCATGGCACCGATCACAAGCCCTGGCCACACGAGCAACAGGCTCGTCGGGCTTGAGATGGATTTTTTTGTGTCGTCGTAGGGTATCGCTGAGGATAGTAGTCAGAAATATAGAAAGCACGATAAATCTATGATTACATACCTCCTATCGAATTTGACGCCACATTCAGGACATGAAAATGCACGAGATTGAGAATGTCTCGTTGTGTGACGGACCAGGTGCTCTTTGCGACGATAGCTAGCATTACAACCCGGATGTAAACACTTAAAGCGAGACGGCTCCATGTTGATTTCAACTCGCGTGTGTATCATTTAAGGCATATCAAAGTTTTCATATTTCGAAATCGAGATAAAGCACTGACTTTGGCATATTGTTGCCGTGTGGGAGAGCCGGGTGGGAGTGGGAGCCGGCTGTGCCGAGCGGGATATTATTCGTCACGTGGATGTAGTAAACCTTTGATCCAATCAAGATAGAGCTTGCTACATACAGACATCCTAAATTAATATAGGTAGTCATCGTAGAAACTAGAAAACGAAATAATAATAATAAAATATCTTATGCCACGTAGTAAGTATCGCGTGCAGGCATTCGCCGCCGTTTTATGAACGTCATCCTTCATTCCCCACCACGCAGCATCTTCCACATATCGGAGACTTTCACAGAGGCCTCTCCTCCATCGATTAAGTCAGGTTGTTGATTGATATAATACCTATATTCTTATATTCTCCAACATGACAGAACCAATCCCACCAATCGAGCAACAGCCACCAACAGGAGACAAGGGCTTCGAGTCATCGCCATCACAAATCCGCCTTCCTCGGATCACCATCCAATACTGTACCCAGTGCAAATGGATGCTCCGAGCAGCTTATGTGAGTCTCTCATTCATTCAGCCCTATAAACATCTTCAACCCACATCTTTCACCATATTTCAAAAGCTATCAGCAGGTATACCTGCGGAGAAATTTTAGTTGCTTAGATTAACAGTTATAGTTCGGACAAGAACTCCTCCAAACATTTGGCACAGCCATTGGAGAGGTCTCCCTGATGCCAACCACAGGCGGTATCTTCACAGTAACTATGCTACACTCATCCAGGACCAATAGTCTCGAAACCGAAACAAAGCTACTATGGGACCGTAAAACGCATGGTGGATTTCCTGGTAAGTTCAACATCATCACAGATCATAACCTTCGATCTTTTTAACAAATTCTGTACTTATATAGAAGTCAAACAACTGAAATCCATGGTTCGAGATGTTATCGATCCCTTGAGAGACTTGGGACATGTTGACCGAGCTCTTAGTAGAGTAGTCAAAGGTGATGATTCCGCGTCCACACCTCCTGTTGATGCGAAGTCAGACGACAGTGGCAGCAATGTGCCACAGTCTGATCCTAAGATAAGCCTTACAACAGGAGACTCTGGGCAAAGCGCATGTCATGACTGCCAATGAGCAGAGTATATATATCTCCCAGTTATTACGATTACCCGGTAGCAGAAAGCCCATTGTTGGACATATTTACGCTGAGTATCTAATGAAGCTGCAATTTTCTTGTGGCTAGTAATATTGATTACAAAAACATCAATTCAATGTTGATATAAATAGTATAAAATAATTTCGCACAAGATGTCCGATACAAAAAGGGGAGCTTGGAACAATGATATTGACAAGATGCCCATCAGACCTAATACTACGTTCATCATTATACAAACACCGTGACGCCTATATATACCCTCAATGCATGTCAAAAAGCCAGATGGTATCATTTGAACCCAATTGTTTTCGTAAATGTCGAATCGCCTGAGTTCCGCAAATGCCAAAGACGGATCACAACTTATCCTGTACACCAATATAAATAACCCGATCTCAACTCGTACCAGTCCAAGGGAAAAGAATGGAAATAGTGTTTGACGCCAGCCCATTGCCATTTTCTATACCGCCATTATTAAGTTAAACTCCGTAGTCATCATAGCCTCAAACTCAGTATCCGTTATCAGCCTGTTGTTGATACTGGGTTTTTCGTCTCCAAAAAGCCAATCGAAGGCGACTTTTTTTCCGTGGAATCGTTCGATTGTAAGGTATGGATGACTCGTCGTCTGTGTTTTGTATATCCATCTTCGAGTTATCATATTCAATTGGAGAAGAGCCTCGACTGTTAAGCGCGTTTCCCAGAATGGCTGTCATCATGTGATGGGGTTTACTCAATTCCTCCAATTGATGAAACGAACGAGGTTTTTGGGGAATGTAATGGCCGTTTGACTCCAATTGATGCCTGTCTGAAACGGCATACAGTCCCGAGGATGATGGGCGCGAGTGGTTGTCGTCGTCGAGCGGATAGACGTCGCTTTTACTGCTGAGACCACTCCCATTGACATCCTTCTCATCACTGCTATCAACTGTGACAAAACTCGTTGCATTTGTAGCTGGGGATACAGGGGTTTCGACTGTATTTGCACAAGTACTTGCACTTTGTGTTCTCGTGTCTCGGCCGATGCCGTAGGAGCTTGAAGGGCGGGATGCATGTGTTGAAGAACAAGACACACCCCTATAGTGGATGCCATTATGAGTTGCAATGGTTGCATCCGACGAGTCGCCCGTATTACTGCTATCACCAGCGCCTGATGGGGATTCAGATGAATGGCTATTATCATCGTTGTTTGCAAACGTTCGGAAACCCGCAACGGTGGTTTGAGTTAGGTCCACCTGGCCCTCTGCGATCTTCTTTTGAGTCACGGGCGATGGTGCAGAAATCAAATCATCAGGAGGTTGGTCCAGTGTAATCTGGGCGTTCAGTCCCTCTGTCGTTCCGATATCATTTTCCTGTACTGCTGAGACCGGGTATGTATCTGACTTTGCGGGGCTGAGAGACCGTGGGGAGCGTTGTTCATCCGAGTCGATACCGGGAACATCCAAATTTCGCCGCTTTTCACGATCAGAAATTTCTTGCCATGTTGACCTATTAAGCTTGATCTGTTCAACAGTATAGTTCATTTGTGGACAAAGATCGGCAACTCCTTCAAAGAGTGGTAAGGCGAATATGGTCATGAAGTTGATTTGGCCCGTGGCAAGCTTGAGAATGTTACCTAATTCAGGCGGTCCACCGAAGAGAGCAGTTTCCATGCCTACCCCCTTTTCCATTTCACCTTGATGAGCGAATTCTTCTTGTAGAATATTGGTCCATCTTTCAGCGATATGCCAAGGTCGAGCCTGCCAATTTTTTTCTAGTTAGCTACCAACGAAAACAGTGTTTCAATTATCTCATATCGATCAAACATACCACGTTGCTAATGTCAGCACATTTTATGATCAATCCACACATGAGTGATTTGTAGGTATCACGATCTTGTGTGCTCCAGCCTTCTAAGCCCTCGTTTTCGTGATATTTCCGTTGTAGTTCGGTCATTCGTGCCATAAATTTGAAATGCACGCCCATATCAGTTGCTAAAATCGAACTGATAAGAAGTTTTCGAAGGTTAGTATCATTAAAAGCGACAGGCCAGTGACGACGGAGGATTTGGGAAAAGGCGGCACAGTGGAATGCTTCCAACACAGAACTATCGTTATACAACTGAGCCAAAGGCGCATTTAGTTTAACCAAAAAGACATTGTTCACACCGGGATGGCCGACATCATGTCCAATTGCTGATATTAGAAGAGTGAGGGCGTCAAAAGGAGATATAAGAGTTGCAACCATCGACTTCGAGACAGGTGGAACAGGATTGGAAGTATTGATAGGAGGGATAGCGCCAATTCTAAGCAGAATCCAAAAGACCGACTGCATAACGTCGACTGCATGGCGGAAGTTGTGGTAAAGGACAAAGGAATTATAGGCTGCCCGACTAGCCAACAGGAAGGTGCGCAACTCGCCTGCAATTTCTGTCAATTAACGACATATTTTACATTGGAAATAATGAGGCTCACCATCGGTTAATTTCCAGGATTCAACCTCCGGCATTGTCATAGTGTGTGAAAGTATAGAGCAGGCAGCAAGAACAAGTTCATCCTCGCTCAAGTCGTGCGCGGGAAACTCCCATTCGCCAATTGCGCGCTCCACAAACAGCTTGCGCTCGGCAGAAACGGTCAAGTCGCTAAAGCAATCGGATTAACAAGAGACATAAACCTATCAATTTCAATTAAAACATACCCATCTTGAAATTCCTCGATGACGTCTTCGGGGTTGCAAATCGATTTCATTAGCTTTGAGACCCTGTAGACAGAGTTAGTCACGGAGTTGCAAAATATTTATATCAAACATCACGACAAAACGTACATAGTTTCTCGCAAATAAGCATATGGCTTTTCATTATGGACACCAACCCAAGACTGTTTTCTCGATTTCTTCACAGACATGAATCGTGACATTTCTTTCTGAGCAGCACGTCGAACTCGATAGGCGTGAATCATGAGTCCTGGAACTCGCGTTTTGGGTAATGGTTGACATAGTACATCCACAGCTCCCGCATCTAGACAACGTGCCAGTAAGCTGTGCTGTGTAGGTGAGATGATTGGTAAATCGCCATTCGAACATCCCTCAACTTTGGGTGAAGAAATCTCTTCTGTTGATCGCAAAAGAGCAATGGGAATGATGAGTTTCGGACCATCTTGTAACTGCAGATCGGAGGATAACAAAGCCAACAATTGGACTCCGTAAGAATCGGCAGATTCTGAAGAGAATGTAAATCCCCTAAGCGATGCAACGTTATTTTCCACTCCGAGGCTCCCTGTTGAATCTCGTCCATCCCGCCGACGCAGTGCCACAGCCTCGCTGTTCGAGTCGATATCAATAAAGGCAAATATAGGTGTGCAGTCCGAACCGCTTCGATCATTCAATTCCGCTAAGGTGGTGGCAAATGATTGCCCGGAATGGCATATGTAGACTAGAAGACAAAAGCATTAGCCCTGACCCCGAAAATTTAAGATTCTCTAATTACTCACTTTGCGAACACACGTCCAGCAACGATTGCACATTTGTTTGTAGCGTTACAGGTTCTTCTGTAAGTATATCGGAGATTTTCCGGCGCCCGCTAGGTCCATGAATTGAATTTCGATATACCCATCTCTCCGTTTTGACTCGGTCATCTATATAGACCGCACTGCTCAGTTCACCGGCCATTGTGCTACGTCATCCAAGTCGATCAGTTCAACGAGAGCAAATGTAAATGGTTGATCACAGCCGAAAACCCACGCAGGCTAATATAGTGCTAATCATAAGCGAAATTTTGTCGATTTGAGCGGTAGGTCGGTAGGTCAGCTAGGGATTGTAAATGGCGACAAATATATTTCAGGCACTTCTGGCCGTTGAATGTAAGTAAAGGGAAAAGATGTCGACGAATGATGCGTATGTATGTACTCCAGAAGTCGAACCGGAAAAGAGAGTCTCAGTCACCAGGACCGTAAGAGTATTGGTGGCCACCAGCGAGACAGTCAAGAGTTATCCAAAATGGCTCGCCGAGTAGTGCCAGAGAAACGGAAACGAAGTCAGATCTGGCGGCTCGTGGCAGTCATGCTGTCGGCAATAAAGACTGGGGGTGGAGGACTGGTGGTCAGTAGCCGCCTCTGTAGATGTACGTATTAGAGAGACGGCTGATGAGACGAATGCTAACAAGTATGCTCTTGAGAGAGTTTTGGAGAGACGACTAGGGAGGATTGAACCTGTAGGGTTGTAGGGCCGCAGACGACGAGGGTCGGTGGTTGACGAAACTGCTAGTGGGTGCAGGTTAGGATGGTGAAGGGCTTGGTTAATGGCTCGAGAAGCGAAGACAGGTAAGCAGACGCTGGGGTCCGGTGGTGTGGGTATGTGTGTGTGTCTGGAGGAAAGATACAAGAAGATAACAATAATGAGATGGGCCGTACAGAGTAAGTAATGGGATGGGGGGAGGCAGTGAGCAACTAGACGAAGACTAGTCAGAGTGCGGACAGACAGGGCAGACGAACGATAGGGAAGGAAAGGATGGAAGCGATGGATTATTGGAAGATGGGTAGACCCGCCGGGTACAAGGCAGTCGCGGTGTAATTCAGTTACAGAGGAGCAGGAGCAGGAGGAGGAGCAGGAGCAGAAGCCTGGAGGGAAGGAGCGAAGGGCGAAGGGGGGCCGGCCCATTTAGAGGCCGCAGGGGCAAAAAGGGAAGGTGGGTCGATGAGCAGTGTTCTACTGGCCTTCCAGAAGCTCTCCGGGCTGCCGGGGCGGGTGCTGGTTGGCTGGCGTCTCGAACGGGCGATGCTTCGACGGCTTCTACTGGCTCGCGCGACAGGGGGCGGCACAGGCTTGAGCGTGGCCGTACCGTGAAATACGAGCCCGTCTGGTATTTAATACCGCTAATCCAGAATCCTTAAACTTGGTCCTCGCCACACGCCCAATCAAAGTCTAGTACACTAAGGGCCCATTCTCACGATGTCCTGATACGCAACGATGGACGATGGGGCCAAGATCTGGCTGAAGCAGGGGCCTCTCAGCTACATCCCATGGCCATGGAGAAGCCATGGCATCACATCTTCGCGTCTACTGGAATATACTTGACGAGATGCCCACTATATGCTCTGCGTATACACATACGAAAAGTGAATGCCAAACATGAAGTATCAGGCGCAAAGCAATCTGATGACGCCGCGAGTGGGGCCGATCGAGTGCGTGGAGAAAGGATTTCATCCCGTCCGGCATTAACGAGTCATGTTATTGTTTCTAGAAGCTGGTTAATCTCCACGATTCCGTGTTCCCAACCAAAAAAGTGCTGTTGGTCTTCGACTCTTCGCACGCTGCGTCTGCCGTTGAGGGGCTACATCAGAGCGCATCGGAGCTTTATTTCGACGAGATTGACAGGACAAAACCAGTCAGCGCCAGCAAATTAAGCCGGCTTGGCGAATAGGGCTGATTCGGGCTATGCTTTAATTTATCGCGTTTGTTTGATGTATGTATAATACTTCCTGACCAGTAAAATCATTCTATAATCAATTTAATGTAATGGTCGAGGTAGCCAAAGCTTGCTGGGTCGCTCATTATTAGAGTGGCAATTCTTTTCCGCCGACACTGTCAATATATCACAATAACAATACTAATTCTAACCGTAATCGTAATCGTAATCGTAATCGTAATCATAATCCTAATAACAATACTATATTATTGTAGGTTGCTATTCAGAATGCTGTCCTAGTGCTTTAGCGTCGGGGCCAGAGCTAACCCGAAAGCGACCGTGGGGTAATGCGCAGTGACCGTCATTTACAGCGCTATCATTACCGTGACATTACGTCGGCCTGTGGCTAGGCGACCAGTGACTCACCTGATTACGGTACGGTGCCGTACGGAAAATACCAGCGCTTCGCATGTCGTATGTTCTATGTTCTATTATGTACAGTATGAGTGGGGCACCTAGGAGCTAGCGATGGAGATCGCCTCAGCCACGTTTTCCGCTGTTCAGGTTATTCCTAATATCACTTATCCACACAAAGAGAACTTTGGTCGATTGTCTGCATTGCGACGCAGACTGGCCGCCGTCCACTCACACGCCAGTCAGCAGTATTAAAATACGTATCGGATAGAGTGTCAAGACTCAACCTGCGTGGGATTAGTCGACCCAGGAAGCGCAGTGATCACCATGCGCTAACCTGCATTCGATAGCCATCTCCGGTGTGGGCCCGGGTTGGGTTGCACGGTTTGTCGTATTCAGGATTCCGATGTTATCATCATCCTTATTCATTACCATCGTGCTATCATAGTCATAATCGGCTGCGATTCATCAAGGAAGTTGGCGCTAGCCGCCCGTTTAGCTTTTTTAAGGCTTTTAAGCCTTTAAGGTGCGCCGTATTGCAAACAACCTACTACCTAATCCGGGCACGCCTAATCTTAACTAGCTGCACGTGTAACCGCCAAGCCAGAATTGTATCACCATGGCGTCATTCCCAGCATATTCATTGTTATTATTATAATATTAATATTCTTATTGAATATTTTAATTTATTCTTATTCTTATAATATTGCTTATTATACGGCTTATTGTGCTTAAATCCACCCCTACCTGGCGGAACATGCTGCCTATTAAATAATACGATATAGTATAGAGTTTTCATGATACAGCTCCTGCCGAGCACGCGACCGACCCTCATCATTAACCGCATCCCGTTTAGACTCCGGCCCTATCTGTAACATTTGTCAGGCATCATGTATCAACTACCAAGCTCCTGGCGCTTAACCAACTGCCTCTAGACATGGATGTTGTCAATCTTCAATGTTGCCATCTCTGCCATGCAGAATAACTTATTGTGCATTATCGACAGCAACGTTGAATATTAGAAGTGGCCATCTAGCCCTATAGCAGCCGAAGACGTAATTGACTACGTTGCAAGAAGCAGCCCGTGTGAAATTGTTGCAACATGTGTAGCTTCGGGCCAAATCAGCGCCAAGACCGCAGCCTGTCGTGATTTCTATTATTTTTCGTCGCTAAGCACAGCGCGTGGTGTAGACGGCTAGACGTGGTATCTTATGTAAGTTATGTTATTGTTTCTCTGCAGCAATCACGTGGGTCTGTCTACCTGCATAACATCGGAACTCTGAAGATACTACCCGTAGCTAAAGGAATCGCGCGCCGATGTCCGAGGATCACGCTAGCAGACATGTGTATTGCATGAAATCGTTTCAGTGTGTACATCTCATAGAAGATAGCAGGAATACTAACAACAGTTCCTACGTATTTGGTATTGGCCATAGCATCGATCCATCTGCAAGGCAGAGAAACCAGTCAATGGTGGAATTGCACAGCGATGTCGATCATCATGCAAGGAATCCAATTCCAAGGCGAACCAGCGCCCGCAATTTGTAGGCTGGATGCCGCTAGGCCCCGATGGGCACCCTCGCCGCAATGATCGAACAATCGCCATGATTTCATCAATGCATCAATTCATAAATCCACATTCATTCAGTGATCATCGCCCAATTTTGCTGTGTCAACTAGCTTTAATAACAGTCGCAACTGGATTCCACTCAGTTAGGTCCCAACTCTGCTAGCGATGAGTAACCATTATTGTCAGATAAGAAGCAGTAAAATCATCGTATCAAAGGATGTTAGTGTCAACGACGGCTTAGGTAGTTAGCCCCTTAAGTTAATAATATATATTTGATTAGACGCGGACCTATGATTGCTCCGCTCGTGGATTCATTTTCATTGGAATATTCTCATGCAACCTATATATATCAATTGATATCAGCAAACACGCGGTAGACAACACCAAGTCATTAAATCCCGAAACATTTACCACGCTTTAAAGAAATAAACTCCCCACGAAGCATGCTTCCTAACCAACAAGAACATTGAACAACCCCTCCGAAAGAAAACATTAATTGATCGAATGCACTTGCCCCGCCGAATCGGAATCCGACTAGGCACAAACCAGCCGCTCCGTCAATTGATCGCCGAGTCTCTTTTTTTTATACAGCTATACCTAGCGTAGCGTGCCAGAGAACCGATGAAAGTCCTGGTCAATACTTACCAGTTATCATGAGCAGTCCCAAATAGGAATTGACCATTACTGTCTTTTTACTACCGCCACGCCTGGCAGCGAACTCTCTTATTGGGGTACAGGTACGCAGTTTGGCCCCCAGGTCGCGTTGCACCATTAGTCGGGTTGTTGTCAACTACGTAAGAACGGGTGTGTATGCAGTATGTATGTACCTCGCAACATGTCCTGTCGGTCCATGCCGATCGAGTGAATTTAGTCCTAATATGTAATAAGTAGCTACTAGCTAGTCGTCTCGTTAATGATCCATCAACTGGTGTCGCTGACGATTAGCTTGCGAGAGACGGTGGTACCACCCATATCGCAATACGACGACCAATACTACCACTACGATCACTGCGTAGATTCGAATGTGTTCGAAACTGGACTTGACGTGTGTAAACTTCCAATTGCACCAGGGATTCATCGACATGTCGTGTCTCAGTCAAGTTGCAATATGCATAGTAATAAGCTTTCTGGGGGCCATATGTATATAAGCTCGCTTAGGGACCAGCCTCCCAGTATAACGCGCTGGAAATTTACTTGTAAGACTGTAGAGAACATATGTACATTATCAAGGACATGATTAAAGGTGATCTAGGTTTATTAATGCCCGAGCCCAAGGAATTATGCGATGCATCTGCAGACCTGTTTAGAAAGAGCCTTTGTGTTCTATTTAAAGAATCTTTCTTGTCCCATTGCTACCTGGGTAGTATATTTATAGCTGGCGACTCCTTTGACTTGACCGAACCAGAGATTGCACTTGTCAAAGTTGCTTGGAGATAATCAAATTGCGCCATCTTACTCAAGTACATCGATCGGTTCAATCGATGGAAGAATCATGCTCAACAATAATATTTCCAACATTGAATATGTAAATCGAACCTTCCAAGCAATAATCGTCTACCATGCTTTTTCATCACACAGCCGTAGTCTAGATGGCCAACCTTTTCTTTCAACGCCAGATAATATCCCAATGCCTGTTGCATGCCATGCACCAAATACAAAACACAAATGAAATGTAAAAGACAACCACACGAATGATATTATTATACATGGGGATTTCGTAACAAATCCAACCAACCGAGACTGAATAATTTCAGCAGCCTCGACCAAGTAAAAAAGATTAAAAATAAAAAAAGGATGTGCTCAGGAAAGTAAATTTTTCAAAGATGGACTAGCACTTGCCCCCGTGTTTGCACTTGGTCCACCGGAACTGGAACCAGAAGGATATCGCGCACTATTCGTAGGATGTGTAGATGTTATTGCATGCTCTTCAGAACGGTTTGGTGTACTCGGTAATGAATGGTCGACACTTCCCCTTGACATTGAAGGCGAATGGCCCACCATTTCAACAGGGTAGACTCGGGACGGCGGAGGGGGGTGGCCACCTAGTGCACGAGGCGGTGAGCGATGGACAAGGCTTGTACGGATATCAGGCGGAGACATTGACGTTCCAAACGGTAGACTCGGCGGACCATGTGGCGTAGACAGCGCTGGTGATGCATATGAAGGAGTCGAATACGGATGAGCAGGAGATGGCACAGGAAGCACACCAGGATACGGTCCCGGGGGTGGTGGCGGAAGGTGTGCAGCAGCAGGTGGAGGGCTATGATGTGTATGAGCATGCGGAGGCACTGATGTTCCTGCGGGTCCAGGAAAGCTAGGCAAATGCGGAGGACCACTTGGCGGATAAGGGGGAGGTTGTCCAAAGCCGTTTGTTTGAGGAGCCGAGGTAGGTACTCCATGTTTGGGAAGATGCTCGTAACCGTTATACCAAGCTGATCCAGAAGGTGGCAGTGGCGGTATTTGGGCAGGAGGCTCAGGACGGCCTAATGGCCCTTGCTGAGGTGGATGGCCATGCGATGTATATTGTGGTGTGTAATCCGCCGGTCGAGACGTTGGTAGAACGGATGCTCTGGAGGCATCGTATGGTGAAGGATGCGACTCTGTGGAAGGAGGTGGAATTGGCCTTTTAAGATGGCACTTATGACATTCAAACATCAACTCACTCTCTGTACGATAGTCCCCATTGACATAGGGAACAGAGCCCTGAGACAAAGTGCGCGAATGCAAGACAGTTCCGTTGGTCAAATGGCCCAAGCCATTGGCAGTGATATTGCTTCGGTGAGGATTGTCAACAAGCCACCATCGAGGACTAAAGGAGGTTTTGCAATGAACACAAGCCTTGCTACCTTGCGGACCGGCTGGGGGATGTGCTGATTCTACTGGTGTACTGGTGGAGCTGGGTCCTTGAGTATTATCCTGAGTAGAGCCAGCCCCAGAAGCCCGTCTGTTAACGTGGACTGAGCCATTGCTGGAAAGCGGAGCATTAACGTGTTGTTGAACGTGCGCTGCCTTTCGGACTGTTCCTGTCAGACCAAGGTCTGCTTGTTTGTAGGTTCGCACGTAGAGCGCTAGAGCGTTTAATCCATCATGATCCGTGGGTTCGCTGATGTCATGAACGTCCGCTTGTGCTGCGTGAGATGGACACCAAATGCCAGGAGTAACCGATCCGGTTTCTTCGCCTATTTTCATGGTGGTGATTGACTCTCTGCGAGATCCTTTCACAGGATTCACGTCAAAGCCAAAAAGATAATCAGCCTGAAAGGCACACCCAACATGAAACTTCGCGCTGCAGCCTGGATAATGACAAGAAACACAAGACCCATTCTTAGTTTTGCAAAGCTTGCAGATTTCCTGATAGCGATCACGTGGGATGAGACCAAAGCCTTCTGCGGGCTCCAGTTCCACGGCGTTGCCAAATTTGATCTCAGGGTTCCATAAGGCGCAGTTGACATGCACCCAGTTGTTGCCAACAGTTCGCTTCAATGGTTCTCGGGGACCAGTAGGTTTGCCTACAGCCTCTTGCCTTCGCTGATAGAGTTTAATGGCTTCTGCAACCAACTCTTTTTCTAGCCTTTCCTTTTCCCGATCACGTTCTGTTTTCTTTTTATGATTTGATTTTGGGGCTTCCATCAATTCCTGTTCAGTCACAGCGACAGGACATAGCACGCATTCATATATCGTTGAAACGAGAGGGGTTCGATCGTTGGAGCAAGCATCACAAAGCCATTTCTGGGGATAGATGTCAGGAGCAACCCCATAGCAGCGCTGATGAACAGTGAGCCGACAATCCCTGCAAGAGACGAAGGCATCACTAGTAGAATCCATGCTTTTGCATATTGCGCATGGTAATACTTTCGCTCGAGGAGGTTCTGGAATGATCGGCAACGGCTCAGCCGGCTTTTCGATCGGCTTCTTCTTAGGAAGCGGTTCGACCGAGTTTCTAGCGGAGGTGGTTGCACTGTCCTTTTCGGCTAAAGTCCGGGCCTTTTTCTTGACAGGCTCCGACTGGGTATCAGGTGTTATGGACCCATTGACATTGACCCCTATAGATGCTGCTGTAGCTGCCGTAGTGCTGCTAATGTTCAGAGGCGATTCGTCTGAAACCAGCATTTGCGCCAACATCTCTTCATCTAATTTGCGACGCCAGGCCTTGTTACCGCCTGCTTGAAGTCTCTTGGCTAGTTCATCGACGTCCTTGTATTCAATGGCATATTTGCGCCACATGATAGCACATCGATGACATAGTGCCACTGCAAGTTGGGATCCCCTATCTGCTTTCTTAGATGTGGGCTCAGCAGGGATAGTAGCACCAGGCGTTGTAAGAGGTGCACGGCGCCATTGAGGGGACGAGCGAGTAAGACAGAACTTGCACTGGAAGCCTTTTTTCTTTTCGGTTGCTTTGTCGTTATCAAATGCTGAGTCGTCATGTTCATCGGCAATATCATCGAGTAATTTGGACGACGGATCAGCACGTCTAGCCTCCTTTTTCCCTCGCCGACCTTCATAGCTTCCCCAAATGCGGCGTCCTTCGGTAGTCTTTTTCCACATATAATAATATCGAACAACATGTTTTGTCTCAATATTTCCTATATGTCGTCGAATATTGATCCATTCAGACCCATATTTGGAGACTCCTTCTTCGAAAAGCGCTTTTTGATCTTTATTAAGCTTCGGCTCTTTAAGATCCTTGTAAAGATCGGCCTTCTTCAGTCGTTTCAGAGCAGCATCCACATTATAGCTTTCCGAATAGAGATACTCCAACGCTTTATCCAAGAAATTTGTATGGTACTTTGGAAGACCTCTTTCAGACGCGACTTCCTTAGCTCTGGCCATGTACTCATCGATAAAATTTTCTCGCTCTTCTTGGCTCATTTCAGACCCAGGAGCGTCATCTTCCCCCGAGCGGAAGAAATCTGATTGGCCTCTGGCATTTTAAAAAGTAATTCCGCAGTACGCACCTCTTTTCCATTGACCGGGACTGGTTCGTCTTCGCCTCGGCGAACATACCCTTGAGGTTCATCCATGACCCACGGCCGAGCTAATCTGTCCTGTTTTTCGGCCTCTATGGCAGCTTGCGTTTCTTTGGAGAGTTTATTGGCATTGACCTTGCCTGACCCTTTGAACCTTTTCTTTAGGTCAAGTGGCTTTGCATACTGAACGGGTTGACCAAACCATGGACTAACTATGGCTTGGTGCCGTGTGCCAATACGGGAGCTTGCGCGCGGATAAATTCGGTCGTCATAGTCAAGGGCATCCTCCAACTGACAATGAATTCCAAAATATCGATAGGGCCACATTTTTGCCTGTGCGATTTGTGCAGCTGTTGCAGGTTCGGGCTTCTTTTTCTCATCTGCGGCAGGGCTACTTCTTCCAGTCGCAACGGCATCGATCATAGGCTCGTCATCGTCTTCTTCCGGGAGATCTTCTTCGATATCTGGCAGATTTTCGCCCGCCATGGGTGTATTTCGAGCCTCTAGCTTGCGTTCTTGGGCGCGGCTGCATAAAGCACAAGCCCACGCAAACCCACGCGCCGGCTTTTTTGTCAATTTCGGCCTAACACAATTCATGTGGTAAGTGTGATGGCAAACGGCGCAGTCCACAGATTCAGCGCTAGTATCATCAGTAAAAATTGCGCCTAAAATTTGAGTCTCTAGTTCGTTTTCTTACCTAGCTGCATACAATCCGCATTTGATGCAAGTTTTGACCGCACCAGTCAGCTCTTTTTTGCGGGCGAGCTCGCAAAGAATAAATTTCCAGCGGTCATCCAAGACTTTCTTAACATGTTCGGGCACATTAATCACGTCCTTGGTTGGCACTACTTCATAGTAGCGGTGCATGTATCGATCAAACATCTTGTCATACCAAAATGTATCTTTTGACCGGCGGTACTCATCTAAATTTGAAATCTCGGACACATGCATAATTGAGCATTTGCCGCGCAGCGATGACAATGGACATGGATCGGAATGCATTGATGCAAACACAAATCTGGGGTCTGACACGCTTCGTTGAATGTCTTTGGGTCGATAGTACCAATTTACCCTCACCATTTCCACTGGACCTGAGGAGTTTCCTTTTGCCGGGAGGAATTCCATAATGCGACCCAAGTAGTATGGCTCACCAGGTGGCTCACACACCAAGTAGACATGGTCTAGCAATACATTAGCCTTGATTCCCCTGTGATATTCAACGCTTAAAAAAAGAAATAGTAGAAACCAACCGTTTACTTCTAGAGTAGTACCGTCATCAGCCTTCAGCTTCCCGTTCTTCAATCGGGCGCCGGAGTTTTCAAAGGTCATCATATTAGACAGGCGAAAATTCATCTTATTTTCGGACGCTGAATTGAGCGACCTTTTCGTGGTTCCGTTGGCATTGGCACCGGTTGAGCCTGTGGGCGGCTGTTTTCGCTTCCGTGATGGGGCCGAAGTAGCACCATTCGCAGTGTTGGCTGAGAAGGTCGAAGTTCCCGGGATCATGTCTTTCACTGCGGAGTTGGCATGCACTCCGTTCGCCGCGGCTTGGCCCTTGCGGGTGCTGGCAGCAGGGCCCTTTTCGCTTTCAGTCGCCGCAGGAGAGCTGTTAACACTTGAGGTGGCATTTCGCTTTGCAGCAGTGGTGGGAGCCTTTGCAGTGGTAGGGGCGGGGCTGGTGAGTTCAAAATCCATCTCTATGTCTTCGGCATAGTTTGGCCGCGGCGCCCCGTTACGGCCACGAGAGCGTGTGCTGTAGGGGGCAGCGAGAGAGTCAGGAACCAGCCCGACTTCTGATGAAGACGAATTTGAGGCAGTCATGGGGACCGAGTGAACGGCGTTTACTGGCGGCGCATCCTCTGGCTTTTCAGTCTGTGCGGCCTTGGTTGACAGGGTGGTCTGTCGATTTTTCGCCCGGCCTGTCGGGCTGGCGCTGTTGGCAACAACATCAGACGGTTCAGCCGATGGCGGTAGAGATTCCGTGGACTGTCTGTCCTCGGACATGACTGCGTCCACCTAAGAAATGACAGGAGCCGCGGCTGATCCTTGCATGAAATTTTATACTAGAGCCATGTAAGCACAATGGTGGGAGACGCGAGAGAGAGCGAGATGGGTAATATGGGAAACAAGGAGCACGGGTAATGAATGTGTCAAGAGGTGGCGGGAAGATATAGCGTGACGAGAGACACAGAGTGAGTTGGATGGGGAAGCCCGAGAAGAAGTGTAGCGCGAGAAGGAAAGTGGCGAATGAAGACAGAAGAAAAGAGACGGTATTACTAGTAGGCAGAATAGAGTAAAAAATCCATGCGAAGAAAGAAGGTTGCTGAATGGGAAATGAAACACAGGAGGTAGGTGCACGACAAAGATAGCACAGGCGAGTGGGAACGTCAAGAGTCAAGACGACCCGAAGGAGCAGCAGCTATTGCTCGGTTGATCTGCACAGGCGCGCGTGGAGCGGATACGCGGCAGTGGGAGAGAACACCAAGAATATCAGGAGCAGATGGGGGTGGAGGGGAGGTCCAGCCGCGAGAGGAGGGTGAAGGGGAGAAAGGAAAAAGGTTGAGAGAGAAAGGAAGGGAAAGAAGGGAAAGATAGCGACAGGGGGGGGAGGCCGATATCAAGTAGACAGAAAAGGCGGAAGATCGAGGAGGGGAGAAAAAGTATATGCATACAGTCACGACTTTGGAATCAGATTTGTCCAATAGTGGGAGCGGCGGCAAGTAGAAGCGCAGGGCGGCGGGCGAGTGGATCGCCGCCAGGCCCTTTCTGTGGGGACGGACGACAATGGTAATAATAGCAGGCAAAGGCAGGATAGGATGCAACGCGAAAGAAGCGCAGGGAAATAATGCAGAAGATACTCGTGCAATAGCAGCAGAGGGGGAGAAAGGAAGCGCAGAGCAGAGACAACCAGATCAACGACGCATTCGTTGGTGGTGGTGGTTGTCGTACGTAGCGCAGGGTAATTAGTGGATTGGTGGATTAGTGGATTAGTGTGATATTAGTGAGAAGAAAAGAGGGCGCGCGCGAGAGAACAGCAGAGGTGATGAAGGAAAAATGCGCCCAACCTTTGAGACTCGTTGGATTTGGACCTGAGGAGATCCCGGTCAGAGAGACAGGAAGACCAGGGGCCTGGTCCGGGAGGTGTCGACTTGCCAGCTAGGATGACGATGAGGAGGATGGTGATGGCGATGGCGACAGGCCAGGGACCGTCGACCAGGCGATTGCAGTGCGCCAGGTATCGACGACAAGAGCACAGCCGTCAGCAGCAGAAGTCGCTGGGTAAAGGTGCAGACCCGTCGTGAGGTGGTAATGGCTACGAGTAGATGATAGTCGACGATCAATGATATCGACGCGGCGGCGCGATGGGAGTGGAAGCACAAGAACAAAAAGCCCGCGACAGAACAGACAGAATGCAGATGGATCGGTAGAGATAAAAAGTTGCGAGCCGTGGCACGCGATGCAGAGAGAGTGTGTGATGATGATATGGTCTTGGGGGAGGAGGAAGGAAGAAAATTGACGTGCACCAAGCCAGGAAGGAGAGGAAGAAGAAGCAGTAGCAGTAGAAGAAGAAGATTAAGAAATGTCACTCACTCATGGCTTGCGGAACCAGGAATGCAGCTGCCGAGCCGACGTGGAAGGCGAGCGAGTGGGTTCACCCTCACCACTCGCCGGCGAGCCACCTTTACTTTTTGATTCTTCTTTATTTTTTCACTCTCTACTTCTACGTGCGAACTCCTTCCCTTTCTTCGATGCGGTATTCTGATCCCAGTAGTGGCCCCCTCTACGCTAGTTGATCATGCTTCTGGCAGACAGACATCATGGTATATGTACGACGTTGTGACGACGAGCAAGTCGGCTTGTATGTGTAGCACATTGGGGGATTAGTGCTATAGTAGTTCAGAGCAACAATAAGAATATTAATAACACTAGGCCTGTCTTTCACACGACAGTCAGCAAGGCGCGAATGCTATGATCGTTAGGTCGTTATGGTTCAGGCTTAGTGCATGGCTTGCACGGGGGTCACCAGGCAGATAGACAATTATCGACACGACCTGCATCGAGCCAAGCCATGATGATTGGCACACGCCCAATCAGGGGATCCAGCGCGGACAACCGCAACGGCAAGACGGTTCTTGACTATTATTCTGCGCTTTTTCACCAGGAGCAATAATGGCGGCCTGGGTGGCCAGTGTCGATGGAATAGTGGGTCCACGACGGTATCTTTCTTCGATGCGATTCCTATTCCTATTTTATTTAATATTGTACTATTATTATTGTGTCAAGCTGGTTGTTAGTTGAGTTATTGGCCGTCGATTACGTACAGAGTTGCACTCTTCGTTATTAATATAGAGACAATGCTTGGACGTCAAACAGCAAACGCCTCGAACAGCAGACAATAACATTGAATAATATGAAATAATATTCGACGAAAATCGAAAGTTGAGCATGTCCCACGGCCAGCATAGGACGATCAGCTCCCTGGCGACCGATCGTATAATTAATTACTCATAGGGTGCATGCGGTACGACTGAATCATCATATTAACAACAATCCTCTGAATGGACGCGGTGGTTTAGGCATACTCGACTGCTAGCGCCGGGGCCCTGGCATCCAATGAGTCCGCGCTGGTGCAGAATTTGCTCCGTGTTGGCGGGCCGGCGGCTGTTTTGCCACACAGCCCATGCCATGTCAGTGCTGCATGGCTCATCTTCTAATCCTACCCCCCTGGTGGTGCCTGTCCGGGCCGGGTCGCGAGGCAGCACATAATTAGGAAAATGTATACACGTGAATAAAATAAAATCACTTCGATTGATTTGAATTTAACAGGACTGAAAAAGGCGAAGGCGAAGGCGGAAACAATAATCATCTGTGTCATGTAATCGCCGAGTCAAGGGCTGGCTTGGCCCGAATTGGTAGGTACTTATTCGACGATGCACCCCAGGTAGACGCACGTGACTATGCGCATTCTTAATGCTCGTGTTCTGGGGAGGCTTGATCGTTGTTATTATAAGAGGGCCGTGGGATGGCGTTATATATACAATATTAGTGCATACATGTGTTTGTTTGATGTATACATCACTTGATGCGATAGATTACACGTGACGTTAGGTAGTGGTTGTTTAGTATATATATATATAATCGAGGTATAGACCCGAGGTAGTAGTGCGACAACTTCAATAGACTATTAAATGCGGCAATGGTCATTGACCCAATATTGAAGGTGGCTGGCCGCCCAGAATAGATTAATTAACAGCAACCGGCAATATTTAATATTTAATAAATACGCTGAATCAAAGAACAGAGTCAGCCGTCATACAAAGGATGGAGGGCTGCCAAAATAGCCGTTGGCCGAGAACCACCACTAGCCGGAGACCGGAAGGATCCAAAGTTTAGCATCAATCGTACACAGGACTACGCACTAAACCTATATTACGATTGATTACTTATTATTTATTGCTTTTTTATTCGTCATACGAGGCTCTCTGGGGGCGCAGATCATTTGAATATCAGCAGGAGAATTGAATCACCAGATACCGTATGATGCACTGAAGTTGTTATTAAGAATGCAAGATGTGAATCTGATTGGTGGACCTCCGGGCGCAACGCCTGAGGCTGCAAGGCTGCACCATACAACACAGCAACAGCGCTACCCTCGCACCTGCCGTCGACTACTGTTATTGTTACGACAACGACCTAATTACCTCCACTCTTCACTCTTCCACCATCTTGAGTCTGGAGACTTGCTCGATACTCGCCATGCTTGTCCTCTGAATCCCAGCCACAGACGGAGGGTTTCTCCAGCGCCAGACCAGACCCACGGGCCATGGCATCCGGCCAGCGATTCCAAAGCCATGGCTTCCAAACATCAATGGACACGGCTCGCCAGCAGACCACGACGCTGGTGGGCTTGAAGCGGCCCCACGACTACGGCCACCACAGCGTCGTGAATGTTCATACTGCCCATCAGCATGGTCACCAGAATGTCACGCCGCCCAGCGCAACGCACCGTCCTGCCATTGGAAAGCATGCAGATCGCAGCCAGACCACCACTACTGACAATAGTACTTCTAATAAGAACGGGTTTCTACCAAGACAGCGGCCGGTGGGGTTCGTGCCTGCTTCGGCAGCCACTCACAGCCGTCGCATTACGGCTAGCGCGATTTGCGGGCCTGCGCTGGCCAATCCACAGCCGGCCCCTGCAGCCGTTGCCATTGCTTCTCCTGCTCCTGCTCCTGCGCCTGCGCTGCCTCAGGCTCCGGCCAGCCCGCTTTTGTCACTGCAGCATCCCCGATACGGCCTGCCGCCCGCCCTGGTTGCCAACTTCAAAGCAGTCGGCATCGAAAATGTCTATCCATGGCAGGCTTCCTGTCTGCTCGTCCGCGGTCATCTGACTGGCGAGAAGAACCTGCTCTATTCCGCCCCGACTGGAGCCGGCAAGTCGCCGGTGGCCGATGTATTGATGCTGAAACGTATCATCGAAAATCCCGCCCGTAAAGCCATTATTGTGCTTCCGTATGTTGCTCTCGTGCAGGAAAAGCTAAAGTGGCTTCGTCGCATCGTGCACGATGTCGAGAAAAACCTCGCGGATGAGCCTGGCGCTGCTGCTGCGAAGCCGTGGGCGCGCCTGCCAAAGGAGATCCGCGTTACCGGTTTCTTCGGAGGAAGTAAATCACGTACTACCTGGGCCGATACAGACATTGCAGTCTGCACAATTGAAAAGGTGGGCTGTTATATGGATATCAATTGATATGTAAGAACGGATGCCTGACCCCCCCTCGATGTAGGCCAATTCTTTAGTCAATACTGCCATCGAGGACTGTACCGTCGATAATTTGGGCATTGTAGTGATCGACGAGATTCATATGCTCGATGACAATAGCCGCGGATATCTGCTAGAATTGATGGTTACCAAACTGCTTCTCTTGCAGCAAGATATTCAACTAATTGGCATGAGCGCCACCCTTTCCGTGAGTGCCATCGAAGAAAAACCTGCCATCTAACTAATCTGCTGGACAGAACACGGAGTTGCTTGCGACCTGGCTCCATGCTAATTACCATGCTTCGGACCATCGTCCCGTCCCGATTGAAGAGCATCTGGTGTACGAAAACTGTATATACCAAGCTGCCAACTCCAAGGAATTTTTCCAAACTGCCCCAAAGCTGGATGCTGTTTTACTGCAAGCCTCATTGGTACCATACCGCCAAATCGACAGTTCTCCATTTAAAGAATTGTCCAACGTTACAGCGAATGCTGTGGTGTCTCTAGCCGTCGAAACTGCTATGGCAGGCTATGGAGCCCTGGTTTTTTGTGGTAGTCGGCAGGCTTGTCAGACAAATGCGATGCTCATTAGCGAGACGATGCCGCCACCATCGACATTAGATTCCGAGATTTTGGAAAAGAGACTGGATCTTTTGGCTGATCTACAAAGTCTACCATGTGGTCTGGATCCAGTATTTCAAGCGACCGTAGTCAAAGGCGTTGCCTTTCATCGTCAGTGCCCAACCCGCGACGACTATAGTTGCTGAGTATAAACAGTCGGCTGATCGAGAACTCTAGATGCAGGTTTGACGACTGAGGAGCGTGAGTTGATTGCAGATGCGTACGATCGAGGAATCATCAAAGTCATTGTGGCCACTTGTAGTCTTGCAGCGGGAGTTAATCTTCCCGCTAGGCGGGTCATCATGCAAGGTGCCCGCATGGGACGCGACCTAGTTGGGCCGGCATTATTGTATGTTTTCTCGTTGGGCCTTTGTTTTGAAGTACGTACTGCGACTGACGGAAATAGACGGCAAATGCGAGGCCGCGCTGGGCGTAAAGGAAAGGATATCGTTGGGGAAACGTATCTTATTTGTCAAAAATCAGATTTGGAGGCTGTTGCTGAACTTTGGGATGCTGAAACTCCTGCTATTGAAAGCTCTTTGGCACAAGACAATAAAGGAGTGAAACGGTTGGTGAAATCAACTTGTCCGGGACTTATGCATCTTATGCTTATTCTTTCTAGAGCCCTTTTGGAAGCGATCGCCACTCGCTTAGTGTCTGGCCGCGAAGCGATCGAGGAGTACATGAGTTGTACACTTTTGTATAGAACATCCGAATTGGCTCAGTTATCAAAATTGACCCGAGACAGTCTACAAGAATTGGTCGACTCTGAACTTGTATATCTGCGTGAAGATGATTCTTACGCGCCGACAAAACTCGGGTCAGCCGTTGTCGCCTCGTCTTTCTCGCCTGATGATGGCATCTTTATTTATGAAGAGCTCACACGGGCTCTAGAAGCATTTGTCATGGATGGCGAAATGCATATATTCTATATGTTCACACCGCTCACCGTGGCTATGAACACAACTATAGACTGGGTCATTTTCCGAGATCAGTTGGATGGTTTGGATGAGAGTGGCATCCGGGCGCTGCAGTTTGTTGGTGTTCAACCAGGGTTTGTGAACAAAATGTACGTTAAAACGCCTTCCGTTTCAACCAAATTACTAACTGTCTCCCGCAGGGCACAGAGTGGGGGCTCTCTCAGAGAAGAGAATTCCGCGCAGCTACAACTGACTCGAATATACCGGCGTGCCTATACAGCGTTCCAACTTCGAGATTTGAGCAACGAAGTACCTCTATCCACAATTGCGAACCGATACGGAACCTCTAGGGGTGTCATCCAAACCCTAGCCCAGACCTGCCATGGATTTGCCGCAGGTATGGTCAAGTTTTGCCAGAGAATGGGGTGGGGTATGCTGGCGGTGGTGCTTGATCATATGCGAGACCGACTTCAAGTCGGTGCACGAGACGATCTACTTGAAATGGCCCAGGTGACCTTTGTTAAGAGCTGGACCGCAAGATTACTATGGGAAAATGGCTTTCGTAGTGTTAGAGCTCTGGCAGAATCTGATCCTCAGGATATTGTTCCTGTTTTGTTGATGGTGAGTAGAGAATTTCCCTCCTCTATGTCCTGGAACTTACTTTGTTTTAGAATCGGCCGCGAAAAACCGAGAACTATCAAAATCCTGAAAAAGAAGCTGAGCGCTACGCTGCGAAAATCCGGCATAAAGCAGAGGTTATTATCGCGTCCGCGAACAAGATTTATGGTAAGTTTATTTTTGATATAACCGTCACGTGTTTCTAACTTGAATTTGCAGAGCGGGAAATGCAAATAGAAATAGATGAGTGACCCTGCTCTGGTTAGGCCCCAGACTTGAAGATTTTAATACAGGGTGATTTGTTATATATATCTATATGACAATATGTATTCCGAATGCTCTACCTATACATCTTAAAATACCAACACATGCTCATAAACCATCGCATTACTATTCAGACGTGCACCCATATACCTAGCTTAGAATCCGTTGAGCGCGTTCTGGGCATCAATAACAGCACCCTTGTCAGTGAAATCCACCAGCAAGACATTAGGCAAACGGTCGTACTGGCTGTCGCAAGAGGCAGCCTGCGCACCAATGCTGCCATTTCCGGAAGCCGCATTTGTAGTACCAGCAGCATCGCGGTCGGGCACCTTGGCGCCGAGAATATCGACGTCGAGGAAGTGGTTGACGATGTACATGAGGCTATCGGGGCTGGCGCCGGCGGGCCGGTCAATGCTGCAGTTGGAGAAAGATGGGTCAGTGACGTCGAAGGGGGTCTCGAAGTAATACTGGAATTCATCGAGGATGTAGGGCACGCTAGACATGTTTGCACCGTAGTCTATACAGCCAATCAGGGTTAGTACTGAAGACATGGATAAGAGACCAGGGAGCGCACCGAGGAAAGCAATGGCGCGTGTTCCGTTGTTGATCAAATCTTGTAGAGTAGGCCATTGATTTATGGGCAGGACATCTGGGCTGGTTGGTGGGATGTAGAGGTATGGCTGGATACCGCTGCTGTTGAACGACGAGGCGAAGTCGTCAATGGCAAGGTTGTCTCCGTTGGTGACGAGTAGAGTGACAACTTCGTTGGGATTTGCGTCTAGCCACGTCTTCACGGTTCCAAGGAAATCGGACAAACTGCCAGCATCCTCGAGGATGCAGCTAGTATGGCACATATCGAGAGTACCATCGTCATTCTTGTGCGTTTGTCCCTGTAGGAAGCGAATGCCGAACTCGAGCTGAGCAGTGATGTTGAGGTTCTGGTTGTCGGATAGGCCGGAGCCAACGAATGGCGAGTCGTGCGCTCCAATGAATGTGATATTGGAGTATGAGCGATCACAGTATTCGCTGCGTCCATTGCACTGGGCTGCAGCAAACGGGGCGAGGGCAGCCGCCGATAGCAGGGCAAGGCGTTGCATGAACATCTTGACTGAAGAGTGGCGGTACGACTAGCTTGATGGGACTCTAGCACTCTAATCCTCTGCACAGGGAGGGGTTGATCATCGACTGGGCTGGAGCCTGGCGATTGAAAAGAGGATTGCAGCATTCTGGGAGAAGCAGCGCAGACTAAATAATAATAGTATTCGAGTACCACCACCACTAGGAATGATACTGGCCCCGATGCTTGGACAAATCGAGCATGGCATGTTTGCCATTACGGTCGCAATTAAGCATGACATCCTTCTCCTAGGGTGCGATGCGTGGATCGGGGCGACCGAGTGACAGAACCATGACTTTTGGCTGGGCAAGAGATAGGCCGCGGCTGGATGGGGTTTAAGGAATCATCAGATCGTCGGATCAGCACATTAGGGGCTCACTCTAATCTCAGAGAAATGGAGCGGACCCGATGACAGAGCCACAGGATGCTACCCAAAGTCGAAAGCGAGAATATGGCTTTGACGACGCATGGGCCGAGTCTGTCATGAGGATTGGCCCGCGCTCCCTGTAGATACTAGAATCGCATAGTTAGTAGTAGTGCTAGTCGGGCATTGGATGCTGGCTAGGTTTGCAACGATAAGAATAGCTCTTAACAAGCCATTGACATTGCGATCGTTATTCCTGCTGTTATTATTGGTATCATTAGTGCTGTTAGTATTCTGACCAGCAAGCCACGACAGGAACATGAGCATGACTCGCTGGATGTTCGAGAAACGGACCCCATGAAGGCATCAGGCGGGCCAGCAGAGGGGCTACACCACGCTGTGGGGAGCCAAGAAGCCGTGGACGATGGCCGTTCGGTATGAGCCGTGCCAACACCCTAACTTAACAGGCTAACGATGAGTCCTGCGTTCCTGCACTAAGGGGTAACTAAGTGTTTCTCCTGTGTGCGCTAGGATTCTGGATACAACCCTTCCAGTCCCAACTCGTCTATCTCATCGATTAATATGGCCATGATGTTCGCTATGACACCTCCTATTATTACTATCGCATGGCCTATACACGCCCATCGGAGCTAGAGCCGGTATAGTTGTTTTTGTGACAGTTTGGTTGGTTGCCGAAGATGCTGTTTGAAAGGCCAGAATCGGATCAATCGCAACCAAGCAGGAGACGGAGACGTCGGACTCAATGCTAACCTCCTACATATTCAGGTACCGTTTCCCCGATAAGTGGACACGCCTGGCAGCTGGGTAGCCCGAACCCTGCTAGAGCAGAAAATTGAAAGTATCAGAATCTTCTCGATCACCGACATCAGTCGATGAAACGGCTGTCTGTTCCTTCGGCTCGCATCTAGTTGTGTTGTAGTCCGAGTCACATCGTAGAACAGAGCTGCTGATTCCTGCGTCCATTGAGATAAAAAAGACGCAAGGGAGTAGAAAGAAGCACGCCATATAAATAATGCATAAGTAAATAAATATGTGAGAGAACCCGGGTGGCTGAAAGCGGATGTGGCTGGTGAGCCCAAAGGCGGTGGGCGGTGGGTGGCAGAACCGGCCTATCCCGTTAGCAGGCAGCAGCAGCTCGTTATCAACACAACAAACCCAACCTCAACCTCAGCAAGATCCTGCGACCAGTCTTGGGTGCAAGCTGCCCGTTGTCGCAGACTCACAAAAACGCGGTCTTTTGTCGCATTACCACCACGATTGGCAAGGGCCCCAGCCGAATGTACGGCCGTATCAACTCCGCACCAACCACCGCGCCATAGCACCACGAGCTCGGGAACTCACCGGGTTTGCAACAGTCGCCTCTCTAGTACGTCTTTCGAAGCGATGAACATTCAGGGATATTGCCGATGAGCTCCATGAATGAGGGGAATGATGATGGCGCCCGAGAGGATGAGCTTGACCTCGGTCAGGAAGACGCAGACTTGCCTGCCCGCGCCAATGGACATCCTGCCAACCACCTAGCAACAGATGACGTTGAAGAGCCGGAGTCGGCCCAGGACGGTGATTTACCCACAATACTTGCGGACGCCGATGAAACGAAGAGCCAAGAGGATATCATCGGGGAAGCTTCCTCACAGCTGCTGGCCCGAGTCGTTCAGAGCACAGAAGAGACGTCCTCACTACCAGACGATACCCCATCCCTCCACGTGAGTCTAGAATAGCAAGCCCTCCCCCGTGCGTATTCTCCATTTGTACTAATTTAATAGGGCTCTCTGCGCTCATCGCCTAGCAGCAGTGCTTTCCTCCTGCGGGAGTCGTCAACATCAAGCCCTGTCCCGGCCCATCGTCCATTCGACCTTCGTTTTCAGTCCAGACTATCGTCGTCGTCATTCAGCAGCCCTCGACTGTCATCCCCATTTGTGTTCAACAGCCATTCCCGTAACTCGTCTTTCGCCAGTCAACCCTGGTCTGGTGCGGCTGATGTCGAGAACGAACCACCACAAGCTCCCTGGGAAGTTGTGAGGTGGACAAAATTACGTAAGATTGGCGGACAGTCATTTTCAGAGATCGGTCGACGAAATTTCGGACAACCTACTTGTATATCAATCTCAACAACAATTGTCTTAGGTACTTCGAAAGGCGTGGTTCTCGTTTTCGATTACCAGCAGAACCTGAAGATTATTATTGGCCCTGGAACTAAAGGTTCGTAAAAGTGAATTGTCGGACATGTGAACTCAATTTAACACCAGTGTGTAGCCGTTGAAGCCGGCGCTGTTACATCGATTGCTGTATCTGCAGATCATTCGACTGTAGCCGCAGGTCATGCATCCGGCGAGATCTTCACCTGGGAAATCTCCCGAGCTGCACGACCCTTCCTCCATATTCCGCCAATACAGCTTCGTCAGCGTGAAGACCTTGGTGTTGATGGCCATATCGCAGGCGCTTCTGTCCTCCACCTGGGCTTTTTAGGCACCAGACGTACTGCCCTAGTCTCTGCGGACGACCGTGGCATGGCCTTTTCCCACCTAGCTACACGAGGCATGGGCGCAGTAGGAAGAACGGTCAAAACAACAAGGATTCTAGGTCGATATCCCGATTCTTCACTGCAGAATAGCCGTCCTCGAAAACCCAGTTCTGTACTGGCTTTCTCACCTCTGCCTCTAGGAAATGTGGACCAACCAACGGACCGCTTGGGTTTGGTTGCCATGCTTACCCCATATCTTCTTGTCATTGTGTCCACGACCCCCGTCGCACAAACACAGTACAAATCACCGCGCCCGAAAGAAATCGGAACCCATAACGTCATGAGTGCAGCATTGGCCTGGTTCCCGGCAATCAGGTTGAAAGGGAAAGACGATATTTCGCAGACAAAACTTGTATATTGTTGGTCGAATGTGCTGACCGTGCTGGAAGTGCTAGAATCCGAATCTGATGGGGGTTCGACCAAGGACCGCCCCCCTGTCCTTGAATTCCGTCCTAGAAGCCGGTGGAGGGCCAATGAAGCTATCGTCGCCGTACAATGGCTGAGTCGTTCGGTCATGGCTGTCCTGACCATTACACAACAGTTGCTTATTCTAGAGGACAAAACATTACGAGTAACCGATTCATTTGATCTTTTGCACAAGCATATATACCATAGCGATTTATTTTCGTCTCAGTTGCATTCATTGGTCGAACAGTACGATGAAAATGATACCTCAATGCATGGAGTGGTTGCGGATGCCTTTTCCCACAGTTTGAAAGCCTATAAAGGCCGTTTATTCCTCTTGGGCTACAATGACCTGTCCGTAGGAAGTCTGTCTAATTGGGCCGATCGGCTACTTGCCTACATGGAGATTGGGGATTTCGTTGCAGCAATCAGACTGGCGACCTCATATTACCAAGGTGATGCAGAGAAGCTCACTGTCGGCTTGCCAGAAGAGGATGATTTACGGCATTCCGTCGTAGGAGAAAAATTGCTCGAAATGATATCGGCTTCTCTCAGGTTCGCTTTTGGACGGAATCAGGAAGCAAGCGCTGAGAGAGCTCAGAATTCGCAACTAGAAGAACTTGCCGAAGCTAGCATCACAGCATGTACCTGTATAGAGGACTATGATTATCTATGGGATGAGTTATATGACTGGTACGAGGAACATGATGCTGAAGGCATCTTCTTGGACGTTCTTGAGAAATTCATCAGGGAAGGACAAGTGAAAACTATCCCGCCAACAGCATTCAAAGCTCTTATAAATTACTATTCGGCCCATCATACTTCAAGTTGGCTCGAGGAGGTAATCTGCCTCCTTGACCCTACCACAATGGACATTGAACAGGTGACCATATTGTGCAAACAGCACAACCTTTATGATGCCTTTATTTATGTCTGGAACTGCGTTCTCAGAGATTACATTAGCCCCTTGGAAACCCTGCTCGAATTCGCAATCGGCGTGATGAGATTAAATGCAAATGGAAATACCGAAGCATATGTTGGAACAAGCGACTACAACAATGCGATGAAGATGTTTCCTTATTTCTCATTCATCTTCACAGGTCGTATCTATCCAACGGGCGAGGAAATGAGTGAAGATGTTGCTACTATATCGAAGACATTGTTATACACATACTTATTTTCAGGGGGCGTTTTTTCATCGCCAAATCATAAAAACTCTCTTAGTGCCCTTCAAGTGATACTGAAATTCGACTCGTCCAGTTTTATGAGCATGCTGAACGAAGCGTTTGAAGACAGTTTTTTAAATCATTCATCCGATCTAGCAGACGCAGACCGTGTACAAGCATCTACATCACAACGCTTGACAATGAATCGGCAATACATTATCAGCATCTTGCTTGATGTCATGGACAGTCCCGATTATGGGCCACTGGAGACTATATATTTGGATATGTTTATTGCGCGAAACCTGCCAAAGTACCCACAATATATCTTACTATCTGGAACCACGCTGCACCAGGTTCTTGAACGCCTCTGCCAATGTCCGAGCGAGGAAATGGCAGACGATTGCGAATTAAGCGTGGAATATTTATTATCAGTTTACCATCCGCATGATATTCAAGGCTTGATTCCCCTTCTTCAGAAGGCACAGTTCTTCCGCGTTCTCAAATCCACTTATCGTGCAGAGAAACAGTTTCCCGACCTCATTCTCACTTACCTCCAAGACACAAGTGAGCGGGATTTGGTTTTCAAATGCATCCGTGACTGTCTACGATCAGGAAGTGGACTTAGCAATAAGCAGCAACGTGAAGTCATCCAAGTCATTAAAAACAATGCTGGTCAACTGGCGCTTATCAATGTATCGGAGGCTGCGCGCACAATACATGAAGTCCTTCCGTCTCTCCACACAACCTTCTTGGACTCGTTAAAGGGGGATGACTACAAGCAATTTCACTATTTGGCAACACTTTTGGAACCGGAAAACTACAACCAGAAAGCGAAAGTCGCACCTGCAGAATTAAATAGTCCGATGGTTGAACAATATGTGAACCTGCTTTGTAAGTATAATCGGTCTCACGTGGTAGAATATATAGAAGCGCTGCGCGTCAACGAGTTGCGCTTGGAAACGGTTCTTCCATCCATGGAAACCAGTGGTGTTGTAGACGGAGCTGTTGTCTTGTTAGCACGGCAAGGCCAACTACGCCGGGCCATGGATCGCCTTTTGGCTTACCTTGGTACCCTAGAGTCAGGACTTGTTGGAATCCTCCGCAGCGCAGATGAAGCCCCTGATTCTGCCGGTACAGCAGAGGCCGTGAGGGACTTTCTTGACAGCATAGAGAAATACTCAGGGATAGGAATATGGCTGTGCCAGGGACAAACAAAGACTTCCAAACCATCGCAAAACGGAATTGCACGAAACGGCAAGCGGGTATCCATTACTCTACAGCAGCCTCTTACGTTTGAGGAGGAGTTATGGCTAGATCTTATTGACGCAGTGGTGCGGATCTCACGGAGTACGTCGTCGTTATTATATAAGGCTTCTCTCCCCGAGGATTCCAAATGGACGTTAGGGGACGAGAAAGACAGCACAGAAATAGGCATTGCGTTCCGCCAATTGATACAGAGAGTCTTCACTGCACTGCTGAGCTGCACAACTACCGTCGGAGGACCTCCATCTTCGGCAAGCACAGAGGTGTCTTTCCTGCGTGTTCTCCGGGCTTTCCTCTCTCGCGCCGCAAGCTCATCGCCCTCGCTGTCTGAATTACGAACAGTGCTTGCATCAGTCTTCTCTACCTATACCTATGAAGAGTCCCTTTTATCGCTAGCCAATGGTATGCTCGATAAGGACTTATTCGTCCACGTGGATGAAGTTACTAAATTGCGTCAGCGCGGATGGCGTCCGCGAGGTCAAGTTTGCGAAATTTGTCGCAATCGCATTTGGGGCCCTGGTGCTGGGGCGTCGATATGGGCTGCATGGGAAAGGAAACGGGCCGTGGTGGATAAGGAAAGGGCCCGCAAGGCTCTGGAGGATGATAGCCCGCTTGTTAAAGGCAAGGAACCTAGCAAAGTGGAGGAGGAAGTCAATCTCACCGTCAGCAGTAGTAACACGATAGATGAGGGGGATGATGAACTTTCCGATGACCGAGCTCTTTCGAGTCACAAGGCACAGAGTCACACCGGGCCGGTAGTGGTCTTTGCCTGTCGACATTTATGCCACCGTGGGTGTCTCCTGGACAGAAAGGCAGGTGAAAATGGCTCTGGACATCTTACATCTTCTCTCAAGCACGACGCCAATTGGGGACTTGCTTGCCCGATATGTACATAACTACCTACACCTGTTTCATGGCTAATTTAAGACCGGTATATGGACGAAATTAACACACGATATTGTATATAGCATCACATGACCTTAGTTGACACGATCTGTTGGCCTGTTGTTTAGCACGACCCGATATCATTTACAGGAACTTGCTGACATTCAATCATTTAATGATGCCAACATTTCCTGACAGATTGCCGACTTTATCTGGTTAGACTCAACAGCTCCCCGATTTCAAAAGGGAAACTGGTGAAGGTATTCCGATTTAATGTTACTCAGTCATCGGACACCACGACGATTGTACATGTAATATTAAATAAGGTTGGAGATTGTTATATTTGGGATTGTTTACCTGTCATCCAGGATCCAAACTCTGGTGAGCAAGACGAAGCGAAAGATTTAACGAGAATCTCGGCCATCAGCAATTGCAGCTAACAAGCTTGTATACTAGAAAGGGTATAGCTACCGGGCTACTGAGAACGTACTCAGTTACCAGTACCAATTATTCGTTGCTCTTATCCAGTAGTAGAGAGGCATGCTCTCAATGGCATACTACATAGTAAACGAGCTAACGCAAAGGATTAACCGACAAAGACCCGTGGAGGGTACTATGGAGCAGCCCAAATAAGAAATTGGTCGCGCTCAAATCTCCGAGCGGGCAGAAATGCGACCAAGTGCTGGCCGCGAAAGCTATACTAGCATAGCGATGCAACGTGGAGGCGAGGATCACCAAGCATCATGTGCTTGGGGATTTTTTGGTCTGTCGAAAAGGAAAGAAAAGCAAAGCCAGATCTTGTTCAAGACTCATCTCCGTGGCCTTTCCACAAAATATAACCATGATCAATATAAAATAACGAGAGTCATTGTGCGTCGTGTCTTGTATAGTCCAGGCGCGGTGATTGGCTGGGCGGTGAATCACGGGCAAAGTCAACCAGAGCAATGGCAGCCAATCAGTAGCGCTTTGCGGAGCGTTGTGGATGGCGCTAAGCCAGCCGACGTCGCAATACAATCAACTTAAGTAGTTACAGTGCACATACACTACACACTACAATTACACTCTTGTTAATGTTAATGCTGCATTGATTATCAGTACAGGCAGGAACCGGTGCATGATGTGCAGGAATGGCCCTGGCCTGTCCTCGGTCATACATAATCAGGTAGTACACGGCCATGGTGGCTGGACGAAGTACCACATTCTACTGCACTCGCTGGGTCTAGCTGTCAGTGGCGAGCCAGCCTCATCTCGCACGGCCGAAGCGAGGGAGGGCGACGACAATCACTTGCGCGATTATTCAGCTGGATGTTCGATGGGCAAATGGCACGACAAAATAATGGGATGGCCAGATGCGATGGAGCAGCGTTTTCATCTTTAAATACTATTCGCGCGGTCTCTCTCTTCGCCTCTGCATGATCTCTGCTTGCCTCTGCATGATCATCGGCAGTAACTTAGTCAGTACTAGAGAGTAGTGAGATGAAACGCTAGGGCTGTCCAACAGGCCAACCGTGGGTCGTTCCGGGTGCCTTGGACCCACAATAGCTTAGTTTAACGCTAGTCCGTTTGGGTTTGCTCGATCAATCAAGCGTTGAATATTTTATCAACAGTCAATAATCATAATCATTATCATTATCATTATTATTACTGTTGCAAGCATTAATAACGATACTAACGTCGAGACCGGCCTCAGAGTAGCCTTGTTTAGTTTATGCTTATAGTAGGGTGGTATATAGCATAGGCTAGACTATGAAGATCATATACCGCTATTAACTATGTGTTCACTCTGCCGTGCTTATCTTTCCAGGATTACATATCAATTGTACACATGGACACCCATTCTACTCTTAGTCACTCCTCATTTAGTCTATTCAGTATCCTATCTTTATGCTGTTTGGGTATTTCTGTATCTAAGAAATTCTGTTTTTAAGTATTGCTGTGTTTCTGTGTTTCTGTGTTTATTCCATTACAGAGTGTCGATCCTCCAGCCACACCTGGTTCTGGTGTGACCGATCGTGTTTGAGATGGCGGCTGGCGCTGCAGGGGGGCCTGGCTGATTGGCGGCGCAGCACGACGGCGCTAAAGATGATTCATCACCCGAGCCAGGCTAGTCCAGAGGCACAATCCAATAATAGCAGCGGCCCAGCCAGTTCCTGGGCCCAGCGCCAGCGCTAGTGCTGGCGCGGTCATCGTAACCGATCCATGATCCTATCTGCTGCAACGCTCTTTCCTAAGCCAGTCAGCATACTCAGCACCTATCTCGTTCTCCTTCTCCTCTCTAGATTGGACTCTCGCTGCCGCCGGATCGTCGGTCTGGCCTCCTGCTTTTCTTGCCTCTGGTGTGCGCTGAACTGATAAGATGCACGCCCCAAAATATTATCCGTCTATCGCTGTTTCATGCGGCCGGCCCACTCGCCTGCGTTTCGACTGTTCCGCCCGCCATGAGCACCCAATGCCGTCGTTCATGCCACTTCTGCACACTATGATTGTCCTGCGTACGACACTGCCTCTGTGGGGTAGTCACCGAGCAGTCATCCTGTTCTAGCTCATCCGTAGCCGCCAACGTGCCATCCGGGCCATACTGTTCCTATTCGTCAACCCCCCCTAACCTGATGCTGCTGTTATAAAGTCTTGCAGTCTGCTCCTGGCCCTCCTCACAGACCCTTCTTTGCTTCCTTCATCCTCCACCTGAACAGCCACTGCCAGCAGTGTCCCACCCCCCAGCCTTTCACTTTCCTTTAGAAGAGCTTGAGCCTGGTGCTCAGATTCATTCAGTCCTTTCAGTCCACAGGAACTCATTCCTCGTCCTCCATTCCTTGAACCCCTACGGTCTATATTGGATTTCGATCCGTTGACACGTTTCGAACCCAACATTCCTTCAATCTGATCAAGATTCAAGATGCGTTACTCGACTGTCTTCCAACTTGCGGCCCTCGCCGAACTCGGCAGTGCCTACAAGCCTCACGCCGGCCACCGTGTCTCCCACGACCACAAGCTGCACAGCCGTTTATCTGCCGGCGGTCCCTCCAACGGTAGCTACCAGCTGACCGACAACTATCCAACCGGCTTGGACTTTTTCTCCAAGTTCAGCTTCTTCACTGTATGCCCCGACACTTAGCAAACAGTTCGGAAAGCACCATGCTGACTGAACATAGGACGCTGATCCCACCAATGGATATGTCACCTATGTTGACCAGGACACGGCCTCTAGTGCCGGTCTGATTGCTGCTAAAGGTAACGGTACCTACATCGGTGTTGACAGCACCAATGTTGCTTCAGGCAGCGGCCGTCAGAGTGTCCGTCTGACTAGCACTGCCACCTACAACGGCGGTTTGTTCATTTTGGACTTGGCCCACATACCTGGATCTAACTGCGGCTCCTGGCCTGCCTTGTAAGCTACCCATTGGGGACATGATACATGAATTTTCTAACTTGACTAGTTGGACCGTGGGCTCCGACTGGCCCAACAATGGGGAGATCGATATCATCGAGGGTGTTAACCAGCAGAGCGGTAATGCCATGACCCTACACACCAACAGTGGATGCACCATCAACTCCGGCGGCTTCTCGGGCTCCCTGTCCACCAGCAACTGCGATGTTAATGCTGCTGGTCAGGCAAACAACGCCGGCTGCGGTATCGACTCATCCGACACCACCTCATACGGTGACGGATTCAACAGCAATGGTGGTGGTATCTACGCCATGGAGTGGACTGATCAGTTCATTCAAATCTTCTTCTTCGACCACGTCAATGCTCCTTCCGACCTAACCAGCGGTTCCCCCAACCCCGCCGCTTGGGGCCAACCTGCCGCCCTCTTCGACGGTGACTGTGACATCAACTCTCACTTCCAAAACCACAATATCGTATGTTTACTTGCCGCTGTCCCTCTCGATCATCAACTAATTCGTAACAGGTCTTTGACATCACCTTCTGTGGTGCTTGGGCCGGCGCTGTCTGGAGCTCTGGATCTTGCGCCAACTTGGCTGGCTCGTGCAACGACTACGTCCAGAACAACCCTAGCGCTTTCCAGTCCTCTTACTGGCAAGTGAACTCCCTCAAGGTGTACTCCCGCTAGTAAATCTACCGACAAATAACAGCAAAATAATTTCTTGTATCTATTGATATTTTGATGTGATCTACTGCTCGGGATTTCAGCCCGAGCATTGTCTTTGTAAGATTGATTGGTCGGTCATATTGATCTTTGTCGGGACTGTTGATACCCCTTTTATCCTTCTTGTACATATCTTTTCTTCGATCCACTCGTTTGCGGCGCTAATGACATGACGTCGCCCCTCTTCAATTTATATATCCGTCACTCGTTCATGATACCATCTATTTGACGCGTTACTAGAATTGATAGATTCAAAAGTTCAATTTTACTTTCAATCTAGGCTACATATTAGAATTAAATTATTAAATTATTGAATTAAATGCATTGGAACAAAACACCAGTCAGGTCAGCACTCGGCGTTCAAGAATTATGACAAGCGGAATCTAGTAACAAGTTCTAAGTATAGATTATAGTTGAAATCCTAATTGATCCCTTTGATCATCCGTCAAACGTCCCCACTCAAGCAAGAGCCTGAAAAAGTATATTTCCATGTCTTCCTTTCGCAGACTTCTTTGTGCCCACTCCCGGCCTTGCTCCGCGATATACGAGCCTTCATTGTCATGTGCCTCCATCAAAACGACCTTCTTCGGCCCACCGGATGTGTCTTGAGTAATACTGATCCCTGCAAAATAAGCCAGTGTAGACCAAAAGTCATGTAGCCGTATATCCTGAGGCACAAAATGTCGCCAGGGAGTAAGCCGCGAGTCAAACCATTGTCTAAACAGCCCCGTTTTGAATGGCAGACTATGACTCTGCAGAAATGCATGGAAACGGCCACTGAACCCCGCTCCGTCCATATCAAATAGGTATCGGTACTGCCAGTGGCCCTGGAAATCGATAAGTTCTGCTGCGCCACTTCCACCTAATTCTTTTCTTTGGGCCTGGCAGTCGTCGCATCGAACGACGTCGGAAAGGTGGACGTTAGCTTGGAGGCCAAGTCTCTCTCCCGGCGCGCTCCCGTCTTGCACCTGGTATTTGTAACCCTTTTTATCGGACCCTGGATGAGTTAATATTGTTACAGGGTTTGCAGTGTTGTTGTTCACGAGGTGTGTAAATCGTTGACGTGTCATTCCCTGCCATTCACCATCGACGCTGATACCTTCCGAAGTAGACCCAATCCAAAACAAGGCGTTTTTCTTTTCCAGATAAGGCGCGTCTGGATATTCAAATGATGGCTCATATTTAACTTTATCAATATAGTTCCACGGACTCGGAAACATGATGTCCCCAAAGCCCCGTATACTGCTCTGGCTGAAAAGAGGAAGAAGTTGTTGTGACATCTTCCAAGAAGCAGGGCCTATAAAAAACCCATGCAGATGCCCTAGATCAGGCTGGTGACAAATATCACCTGCAAGCTCCCAGTCCGACACAAATTGTTCTAGAGAATGTGGTTTGAGACAATCTAGGCATAGATCGTGATGACTCCAAGCACGTGTAGATCTGGACTTTGATGACGGTGGGCAGATCTGATTGGCTATATCCCAGATATTGGATATGGCATAGTCAGTGAAGAGGGTGCCGCGTGTCATATCCGCAGGCTCTATCGGATCCCACTCGGAATCTCGATTTTCAGACCAGTTGTTGGTGATAGGGGACTCAGTGAGGCCGATAGGCTCAGCTAAAATTCTCAAGTCTGACATTACGTCGTACGGGACAGCGATTCGAGGTTCATCATTGAGATTGAGCAAGATGTCCATGTCAGGAAGATGCTCAGCAAATCCATTTATCATATGCACTGCCGCATTAATCATCCACGCATGAGTAGGTTTTATGCCTTCTTGATTGCGCGCAGATCCATTTCTAATACGAATTGCACCAACATCGCTGGATGGATTGGTTGCAATTCGATGTGTCAGTTGTCGTAAGTTGCGTGGAGAAATTGCTCGAAATGGTAGTAGGTTAGAAAATATCTGATCGAAGTCGTCGATGAACTGGGAGTTTCTGCTAGTCGCAAATTCATACCACTTATCAAACCCACTGTACCAGAATTCTGATTTTAGCGTATGCTGTAGGCTATAATGGACGCTATCGGCCGTGGCAATCAATGACTTACGGTGGTGGATATTGTTTATATCGCCTTTTGTACTCCAAAATAGCGCCTTCTAAATCTTGGCTAACCTTGGCCTGCGTTAAATATAGATCATGCCGGGATTTGCCATCTCTAATGAGAACATCGATTGGTAATATTTGTGATTGGCTTTTCAGGATGAGCATCGAGAGTAAGCCACCTGCACAAAGGACTAGCAGCATTTTAAATGACCATAGTTTCATGGTCTGTGTGAATTTCGACTCTACCTCGAATATTGCACTAGCACTCAAAAACAAGGAACTTGCAACAGTTAGGGCGAAGAAGATAAATGTAACGGTTGAAATAGAAATTTGAATAAAGGGGGGAATCTCAACAATCATAGAACGTGTTAAAGTAAGTCCGAGAACCAAAAATGACACGAAAAGAGATAGGTCAAGTAGGCCAAATCGAGGAAGCTGTTACATGTTAATGGTTGTTAATAAAAGTAAATGATAGGCAAACCTACTATGATGAGGAAAGTGATGAATAGCAGAGTCAATAGAACAGCCTGAAATAGGACTACATGGTAGTATTTCAGTGTCGCGAATACTAGATACCTTCGATATTCTGACTGGATTGGATATGCCGCAATACCAACTAGTACCCACAACGCGACAACTCCCTATGTAGATGTAAGATAGAGTTTTCGGAGAATATCGCATGAAAATGATACACTCACAAGTAGCACAGTCCCAGAAAACTGAAGGGTAGACTTTGCCCAATCTTTGCCTTGTTTTCGGTGAACAACTTCGGCCGCCCCAATCAAAAAGAGAGTATCTAGCGAAATAGAAGCAAGTTTAACGATCTGCGTGTGGAAGGCTCCATGGTTGAACGTAGGGCAAATGTAGGTGGAACGACGATTGATTATTATCGAGGACGATGCTATTCCAGCCAGGGTAAGAATTGCTGCGGATACTAAATAGAGTACGCTGCCGTTTATTATCGGGTATCCCGTTTTCGAAATAGCGATTCTTCTGGGAGTCTCAAAGTGAGAACAGCTTTTCCACAGGATTCGGATGTAATCGAATATTGAGATAAGAAGAGGAATGGCATACTTTGGAGGATTAATGTCAATCTCAATATAGCGTCGCATTATCGGGCACAGGGAACTGAGAGTGCACATACTTCATATTTTGCCGAAGCGCATTGGTCATTAAGAACCGCTTGGCGAAATAATTCGACCCTGATACTCAGCAAAACGCATACCGCGAAGGGCAAAACCCAACGTTTGTAGTCACGGAAGTCTTTCGCTCCTCCATTTCCGTTGGCAAATGCGAAACCGGTAGGATACGACCAAGACAATGGCTGTTTGGTGACTTCCGGTAAGTAGATGGTGTCAATGTTTTCGGGGGATAGATTGTGATCAAATATATAGGGTGCGAATTTAGCCAAACCCAGCAGGCTTACTCCAGCAATAAAGCAAGAGAAAACGGCAGAATGCACTGGGCGATCTATGAGATCGAAATTAGATAGATATTCTACATATTCAATATGACAATAGGACGCACCAAACAGATAATTAGTGTCCGCAGAAAGTGTGATGGTGAGGATACAAAATAAGAATAGACTGTATGCCAATTATTAGTGACTATGAAAAGGGACTTCGACAGAGAGCTTACCTCGATGATACCCACAGGGTTATACCAGACGGCACGGGCATACGATGGGATGGAGCCATAACGAGTCATCCATTCTTCTTGGTATGTTCTATACCTGACCTAAAGCGACCTCGCCGGTAGCGAATATTGCCGGGATGCAGAGTGCGAGGGAGTGGGCTGCGTAAATGGCCATGCTGCACGGAGCTTTGTTTCCGGGGGGTGGTGGAGACAACGACGTCAATTGCACATTTGACCCAGACTTTGTTGTCAGGAGTGGTGTATATCACCCGTGCTGCGGCGTAGCAAAAAGCACTGCCCCTTCTTGGCATTGTGGCATTGTGGCATTTTATTGTTCCTTGCCCAGTGGGAACGTGATGATCATCATCATATTTGGGAAGAAAAAGCAGTAATATGGCGGGTTAAGGGTCCAAGCAAGAACAGAAACAGCGATGTGGGTCGCTCAGTGCAGCACAGGGACCAAGCGTCACGTGGCTTTTAGCCTCTTGTCTCGGCGTTCCACCTCTCCCTTTATCATGTGACGTGTCATGTGATAAGGCGGTGAGAAACTGCGGCGGCTAGGCGGTCAAGGGTGGCAGTTCTTTTTTTAAAAAAAAGATATAGCTGGATCGGATATTTTGATCAGGGAAAGAGTCCTGACTGCAGTACATCCGCCCCCTCGTGCAGTCCGTCAATTTCTCCCTAGGTCGCTGGCTCTCTGCAGCTGGGCTAGCAAAAATGACCCGCAAGGCAATTGACTCGCGAATCCCCGCGCTGATTCGAAATGGCATCCAAGAGAAGAAACGAAGCTTCTTCGTTGTGGTTGGCGACCACGCCAAGGACACCATTGTCAACCTGCACTGGATCATGTCCGGTGTCGATGTGAAGCAGAATAAATCGATTCTTTGGGCCTACAAGAAAGACTTGATCGGCTTCAGCAGTCATCGCAAGAAGCGCGAGGCTAAAATAAAGAAAGAGATTAAACGCGGAATTCGCGAGCCCAACACCGAGGACGCATTCGAGCTTTTCTTAGGTCTGAACCAGATCCGCTATGTATATTATAAAGAAACCGAGAAAATTCTGGGAAACACCTATGGCATGTGTATCTTGCAAGACTTTGAAGCAATCACTCCCAACTTGCTTGCTAGAACAATCGAAACTGTCGAGGGAGGCGGTATGGTACTTCTTCTTCTTAAAGGGATGAAGAGCTTGAAGCAGCTTTATACTCTCTCTATGGATATCCACTCACGATATCGCACTGAAGCTCACGATGACGTTGTGGCTCGTTTCAACGAACGCTTTATTCTATCGTTAGGAAGCTGCGAATCCTGTTTGGTTGTCGACGATGAGCTGAATGTGTTACCCATTTCTGGCGGGAAAAATGTCAAGCCACTCCCTCCGCTCGACCCTACCGAGGAAGGAAAATCGGCAGCGAAGAAAGAATTACAAGTAATCAAAGACGGTTTGGCAGATTCACAACCCGTCGGAAATCTGGTCACACTGGCCAAAACTGTTGATCAAGCTAAGGCTCTTTTGTCATTTGTCGATGCTATTGCTGAGAAGACTCTGCGAAGCACTGTCACCCTTACTGCTGGTCGAGGACGAGGAAAGTCTGCTGCGCTAGGCGTTGCCATAGCTGCTGCTGTCGCACATGGTTACAGCAATATTTTCATCACGTCTCCTAGCCCGGAAAACTTAAAAACCCTATTCGAATTTGTTTTTAAAGGATTCGACGCCTTAGGATATCTGGATCATGTTGACTACACTATTCTTCAATCAACCAACCCGGCGTTCAACAAGGCTATTGTTCGGGTCAACATTCACCGAAACCACCGCCAGACTATCCAGTATATACAACCGCAAGACTCCTTTGCCCTTGGTCAGGCAGAACTCTTGGTAATTGACGAAGCAGCCGCAATTCCTCTGCCATTAGTCCGTAAACTACTCGGGCCATATCTAGTCTTCATGGCTTCGACTATCAATGGTTATGAAGGCACAGGTCGGTCGTTATCACTGAAACTCATCCAGCAACTGCGAGAACAGAGTCGTGGCGCAAGCGTGAAAGATGCTGACACAGACGTTGCTGATCGAGCAAGCGGAAAGTCGGCAAGAAATTCCGACAAAGCAATTGGTGGTCGAACACTAAGGGAAATTACACTGTCTGAACCTATTCGATATGCTGCTGGGGATTCCGTAGAGAAATGGCTCAACAGAGTCCTTTGTTTAGATGCGACTCTCCCAAAGTCGAAACTCAACACCCAAGGCTGCCCCCATCCGTCTCAATGCCAGCTTCTTCATGTGAACCGGGACACATTGTTCTCCTTCCATCCGGTTTCCGAGAGATTCCTTCAACAAATGATGGCTTTATACGTGGCTAGTCATTACAAGAACTCTCCGAATGATCTTCAATTGATGAGTGACGCTCCAGCCCATCAGCTCTTTGTCTTGGTTCCACCGATCGATGAAGAAGCGACTAAATTGCCAGAGCCTCTGTGTGTCATTCAAGTTGCACTGGAAGGTCGTATCAGCAGGGAAAGTGTTTTGAACAGTCTTAGTAGAGGGCAGCGCGCTGGTGGAGATCTCATTCCATGGTTGGTCAGCCAACAATTTCAAGACGAAGATTTTGCTGGTTTATCTGGAGCACGTGTGGTACGAATTGCTACCAACCCAGAATACCTGAATATGGGGTATGGATCTAGGGCACTGGAACTCCTTGTAGATTTCTATGAGGGCAAGTTCACAAGTCTCTCTGAAGATGCCTCTTACCCTTCAGAAGAGATGATCCGTATCACGGATGCAGAACTGGAGAACTCAAACCTACTAGATGATAATGTTCATGTGCGGGACATCCGCTCTATGCCACCATTGTTCGGAAAGCTGTCTGAAAGAAGACCAGATTCCCTGGACTATGTTGGAGTTAGTTATGGATTGACACCCTCACTTCACAAGTTTTGGAAACGTGCATCTTTCGCCCCGGTTTACCTCCGTCAAACTGCCAATGAGCTCACGGGCGAACATTCATGTGTTATGCTGCGAACACTAGCCGCAGGATCGAACGATATCAGCTGGTTGAGTGCATACGCAAGAGATTTCCACAAACGTTTCCTTTCTCTTCTGTCTTATCAGTTCAAGGAGTTCCCGTCTGTCTTGTCTCTAAGCATTTGCGAGTCTGCTTCGGCGGGCTCGAAATCAGACCCCACGTTCTCACCATCGCCGTTAACAAAAGCCATGCTTGATGGCGCGTTCTCCCCCTTCGATTTGAAGCGTCTTGACAGTTACGCAAATAACATGCTAGACTATCATGTCATCTTGGATATGGTGCCCACGACTGCTCAGTTCTACTTCCTTGGAAACCTCCACGGGAAGGTAAACCTGTCTGGTGTTCAGCAATCTATTCTCCTTGGAGTTGGTCTGCAACGGAAGGATATCAGCGACTTAGAGAAAGAATTGAGTTTGCCGTCCTCTCAACTCTTGGCCATGTTTATCAAGATCTTCAGAAAGATATCTACGCATTTCCGTGGTCTGCTCGAAGGTGCCGTAGTGTCAACCCTCCCTGAAAAATCCTCTATTCCTGATGCATCCGCTGCTCATGGCGATGTTGTTGATGATAAATTCCAGCCCCTAGATGTCGGACTGGAGGATGAACTCCGGGAAGGGGGCCAACAAGTGGATGATGAGTTGAAGGAGAAGCAGCGAGCTCTGATAGATGCCCTTCCCCTCGACCAGTAAGTATATCCAAAACCTGCAAATTCTGTGAACATAACATGTCTGATTATTAGTCTTCAGGTACGAGATTAATAATGGCCCAGCAGCCTGGGAAGATGCCGAGAAACAGATTCGACAGGGGGGTGCATCTACCGTGAGCATTAAGAGTTCAAAAACTTCGAAGCGTAAAGCCGGGGAGACGGCCCGAGAGATCTACGACCAGGAAGTGGAGTCCAAGGTTCAAAAGAAGATCAAGAAGGGAACAGAGAGCAAGAAGAAGCAACGATCATGATTTTTATCATGATGATTGCATTTAGTGATTGGCGTTCAGAAGGGACAAAAAGCACCTGGGCGTTCTGGATATTGTGTTCAAAATTCATGTGCATATTTTGATAGTCCTATTTTGCTTGTTTTGATAGCACCATATATCTAAATTATATCGATGTTGCAACATTTGAAGTCATCGATAACACCTGGAGATATGTAAACAGCCACAAGATCCTAAAGTCTACTCCGCTTATTTCATTTTTTTAGTGGAGTATCGTACAAAAAAATTCAACTGTTGACTGATATCCTATAGTTCATTATGCGGTTCCGGCCCTTTGGATGCTGTCTCATCCTTGACTTCTTCGGGCTCGTCCCTGTCCACTTTAACAATGACCCCGTCAGGCAGCTTAGATTTGGTCCCTTCACCCAGTCTGATAGCATCAACCCAATTCTCGACCGCGTGGAGAGAAAAGCCATCTTGTTCATTGGGTGTGTAATGGCGCCACCAGCCACGACGGCCGTTTACAGCAATGATCTCCGTTTCACTCTCATCTGAAAGGCCCAGTTGGGTACGGAGTTGCTTTGAGTAAGAATTAATAGACGGAATATTATAAAACGGAAGGTGACGACCGGCCAGCTTGTGCGAGAGTTCTGATATGGCGGATTGCGCCTCTTTCGCTGAAGCAGGAAGGTCCGAGTCCGTCGACTGAGTGATAGGAAGTAGGGTCAAGATACAAGTGCTAGACTTTGGAGTAAGGCATTTGGATTCGAGAGCCTCAGGTGTAGAGAGCTCCTCAAGTTGAGGAGTGACTGGAATTATCGCTGGCTTCTCCTCTTCGGGTATATCGACCTTTGGCTTGGGTGACTCAGTAGGTTCATCACTATCCACGATTGTCGATGTTTTCGCACCAGAGGTCTTTGATGAATTTGCCTTTTTCTTTTTAGGGCTTGAAGGGGCCGGGTCAGGGTTTGGTTGCGCTGCTTGACTAAGAAATTGAAGCATAGGTTTCTTTTTCATTTCACCGTCGTATATCACCGCATCAACCTCGCCGCCTGGGAGAAGGACAAGCGTTGGGAATGAAGTGATGTCAAACTTTCCTACCGCTTTCAACTCTTTACTCCGAATCTGCCCAATCTTGATTCCACCAAGAAAGTCTATAGCGAGTGAGCGGAGTAGGGCACTGGTTGTTCCCTTCTCAGTGAAAAGTACGGCCTTCGAGGATTCGTCTGCTGTCACCCAGCTGTCAAAATCCTTGTCTGTCAGCTTTTTAACGTGATTGGGAATTCTGTCGATCACAGAGTCCACAATAGCTTTCGCGGATCTCTGGCCCTGGTAGTCCTCTACACGTGGTTTCCCGGGTTTCTTGCCAGGCACTACGATTTTCAGCGTTGGGAAGCCCTGGACACCCATTTGTCCGCAGAGAGGCTTGTTCTCCTCTTCGTCACAGTTGACTGCTGCTACTTTAGCCAAACCCTCAAGGTTCTTCGCTACCTTTTCATATGCTGGCTTCAAGTTTTGACAGTGACCGCACCATGGAGCGTAGAATCTGGAAAAGCATCAACATGAAGTTAGAGCATATAAGTGGTTGGATCTCATACTCTACGATCTGGAGTTACTTGTTAGTAGCATACCCTCGAGCCGTGGAAAACCCGATCACATACAGATGTATGGTTTGACTTTGCAATTAGAGAGTCATAATTTTTAGCGTCCACCTGGAGGACAGGCGAGCTCTTAGTGTACAAGCCGGCAGCCGACACTCCTCCTAAGAGAGAGGCAAGCAGCACGAGATGGATATGGCTCGGCATTGTGAGAAAAGTACGCTGGCAGGGTAAGTGAAAATGAATGCTTATCAAAACGATGGGTGGCAAAGCTCAAAGCATCATGAGTTATATCTGCTGCTATTATGTATAGAAAGAGTAAATGTGGCCTTTTTATGATGCTGTGCTCGAGGCTTTGCTCGAGGCTTTGCAAGGTGTCCAAAACCTCTTGGCGGGTGGGTGCGGATTTCGTTAGAGCTTGGCGCCTCCGGACTAACCAGTTCTTGACTAGGGCCGCTTGGCGAGACTGAGGCTCTTGTTTTGACATCGTCTTGTTGATAGTTTTCTCCTAATTACTCGTGTCTTCCTGCGCCTGAAGAATCGCCGTTGTCTTCAAATGCACCGCCTCTAATGAGTCTCCGGCGGCCTGCAACTACCCCGCTATGGCCTCTTCTCAGCCAGGGGATATCGCGTACCTACCCCAAGAACTCTTTCAGATGATCCTGTGCTATCTCGAACCTGTGGATATTATCCGATGTCGCCGTGTCTGTTCGGCGTGGTATCAGGCGTTTTCGAACCCGGTCAGCCTCGTCCCGATTTTAAAAAGAATATTTCCTTTAGCCCGGGAAATTTGCGAGCTTTCCCAGATTGGCCCAGCGTCTTGCCTTGAAACTTATCCGGAAGAAACGCTGTGTAAATGGCGACTTATACTAGACAGGGTTTCGGAACGATATTATCGTCTGGCTCATGGTCGACCTCGCTCTGCCAAGAAATATAATTTACAAGGGACTGAGCATGAAAAGGGTGGATGCCGACTCTTCGAGGTGTTTCCGTGGGAAAATCATGCAAGCCACTTCTGGGACACAATGGATATGTTCTTTGAGCACGCCTTTTGGACATATGAAAAAGGGCTGCTTGTGTTCCCCAATAAAGACGAGGGAGGTCTTACTCTATTGGATTTGGAAACCGAAAATACATTCATGATACCATTTGTTACTGCCCAAAAGGTCATCCGAAGGATACGGCTTCAGGATAGGCTACTGGTGGTTGAATGGGCGGAATACGAGGCATTCCACTGGCTGAACGATCGAGATAAAGTACATCGCCACTATGCCACCTCATTTGATATCGTCCAAGTTGGGCATGGCTGGGATATTACACTACGTAACGAATGGAAAATAATGTTTCTTGGACATCCTCTAGGTGATAGAGATAGGTTCTACTCGACTCATAGTAGCAGTCACTATGCTATATATGTATGGCAACCAAATCGCAGCCTTTATACTGCGGAGGAGGATGCCCCGATTGAATCTCTGTCTATCTGGAATATTTCCCAACCCTCTAACTATAGGGCATCTCTAGACCCGACCGGAAGGTTGAAAGAAACAGTAGACGACTCTGGCCCGTCTCTAATTACTAGATTCAGCTTTCGAGAGCTCGGATTTTACTCTGTAAGGCAAGGAGGGCTTCCTGGGATCATACGATTGGACATTGATAGTAACACAAGTTCTATTTCAATCACCGAGGCCCAAAATCATGACTTTATGCTAACTGAACTGGGTAATCCTCTCGAATATACCCCGAGTGTTTTGGTGACCACTATTCCGTTCGCCGGACAAGGGCCTTCATGGCGGAGAAAAGTTGATACATTCTACCCCCCGTATCGCGGCAATTGTGCTATGGAAATTCCCCCATGGACAATCACAGCACCATGGCCTTGCTACTGGGGCATCTGCGAGGCAACAGATAAAAAGTCTCGTGTATCTTTTTGCCTCTCGTACCTATTTTCCCAAAATTATAAAGATGAAATGCAGACGAGTAGACTTATGGTTACAATTCATGCTCTTGGGTCAATCACAAGGCTCAGTGAAAAATTATCTGACGAGCTTTCTGCCAAAGGGAAAATCTGTGGTGATGAACGATTTCTTGTCGGTGAGAATGAATATAACCAGCTGACTGTGCTACGTTTCTAATGTCGTCGTTTTGCATGTCACGAATATCGAGGATGAGCATTAAGAGCTTACTTTAATACTGTCTCGAATATATTCTCAAGTTTGAATCCATGTTGAATCCATGTAGGTGAAATGAATAGAACCGTTAATTCCGTTCTCTACCTGGATAAGCATACGAGTCAAGTCATTCCACGTCTAGCTCAAGGATCGCTCACTAAGCACGAAGAGGCAGACCAACATTAAATTAGAACCTGTTTCAAACGGGGGCTTTGTGAGCGCCATTTTATAACATGCATTCAACATCTGAACAATCAAATTTCGAGAACTACCTGGATTGACGTTCAGGAACAGATTTGGTATCGGGAATCGCACCTCTCGATTTCGCCATTTGCAACAAATAGATTCAATTTTTGTGACAAAAATGAAACAAATAAAATGTATTGTTTTTCAACAGTATGCGTATCTACTCGATATCGTTCAATTGATCCATTAATGAGTAAAACAAATGGCGGTTCATATTCTGCAGAGTCTCAGGAATTGGTTGGGGTTCAATTGAACTGGCAGAACCAAGTTTTGTGTAGCTGATCCGAACGCTATTATGTAAGATCATGTCATTTATAAAAAGAATCCCTAGCCACTCTTATATTATAATTTATGGCTATGTAGTACGCATGGGGGTCTAGCCCTCCGGGAGCCCTAATCGCTAGTAGTTGGATATTTTACCAACTGTAGGGGGTTGGGAAGCCCTTTAAGGTGGTCCAAGCATGTAATGTATTCATTATGATAGATGACCTACTAATATAGAATATGGGGAAAGAGATTACCCAAGGAACTAGACGATTTCTGACAGCTAAGAAAACTGTCATTTGGCGGAAGCCAGGGCAAGATTGCGTCCACCCCAAGCTATGACGTAAAAGGTGAAAAGAGCATACAACTTGATTAAACTGTGATAGTAGGCAAACGCAAAATATCCTGGTAAAAATATCAAGTCTTTTGGCTCCCGAGTAAAATATGGGATCAACTTGACCACTTTGCTGGCAAATATCCAAACAAGAAGATACAAGATGCTCACCCCCGACTGATAGTAAGTGGTTCGGAGAAAGTTGTAAATCAGTGCTGTGTCATATAACAAAGCAAAATTGACCAAGCTAGACATATAGATGGAGTACACACACCAAGGCTGCCTCCTCCAGACCGTCCCGTCAGTCAACAAGCTCGCAGTATTGCTTCGCCATTGGGTTCGCACCCACCTGAGGCATTGCGACAGGTACTTAGGATATGTGCCTAGTGTAGTCTCGACTAGAGTATCTTCACAATCTTGAATTTTTATGTCCCAGCCCTTACGCACCTCGTACCGTGTGATGAATTTGTCGTCGTCGGCGTTGAGGGGTCCGAACATGCCGAAAAAGAAGCGTTCATTGGTGAAGCCGTCTATGAATTCTTTTTCCTTGAGGATCTCGGAACGATGTATGGATGTACGTCCAGAGATGGTTGACACACCGCCATCAATAGCATTAGTTGCCCTAGCTTCAAAGTTTCTCCTTTCCAAATAGATAGCTCCAATCAGGTTCCAAAATGCTTTAAAGGTAAACCCTTTCTCCGTACGTCGAACGCGCTTGTTAGTCCCAACTCCACCCACTTTGGGGTCTTCAAATGCCGCAAGGACGCCTTGAAGAAAATGGGGTGATGGCCAAAATACATGATCGTCTAGAAGGACTGTAATTTCTGTAGTAATATGAGGGATTGCTTCGACAATTTGTTTGCGCTTGCTAGTCTCCGATATGAAAAGAACAGTGATGATGGAGCTATTTCGGCGAAATTGCTCCACAATATTTTCCGTATCTTCTGCTACTTGCTTGCCTACAACCACAATTATGAGTTGTCGAGGTTTATTAGCAAGACAAGTCCTCACACATTCTATGAAGTCTTTGTTGTGAGGGTCAACTGTTGGAAGGATAGCAGTGACATTGTAGGGAGTGTAGGACGGCAACGCATTTACTTCAGCAGGTCGATAGATAAAGTAAGAAAATACCGTATTAAGGACGAGTCGAAGGTAGCGGAAAACAAATAGAAGAAGAAAGGGCCAATTTGGGTGTGAGAAAACATATGATAATGCACCTCCAAACAAGTCACCCAAGAACTGATACACTATGAGACAAATAGTGGTGATAGTAAAGACAAAAGCCTTTAGGGCTGTCATCTTGGTAGAGATTTAGTTGGTTGATAAGTCTTCGGATGGATTGTCAATGTTCCTCGAAACAGCTTTCATGACTTCAAAGTTGATAACCATGATGAGTCACCCATATCCATCATATATACAAAATATGACTGATGGTAATTGCTGTCATATATTGGTGTAACCATCTTTCTCTCAAATATATATTTACATTCTCTTAATATGAGTCAATAAAGACATTGATAGCAGATGGTGGTTCTTTGAAGCATGACAAAGTGATGTTTTCGTTGTGATGCTGGAGAACCAATCAACAGAGGGGAACTTCTACAAAATAGACAACAAGGTATTCAATTTTAATTCTTTCATCATTTAGTTTGAAAGAATAAGAGAACAATCCTTTGTATCTACTATGTAATTGTGGGGGTTATACAGAACCTTTGTCCTGAAGACAGTGAGTCACAGATGAATGGAATAGTACATATCTAAATCAATTAAAAAATGTCATTTGAGTTCTTTGTAAATTCCTCCTGGATTCGAGATCTGAAACTTGGTTGATTTTCTTTTCTTGTGAGTTTGTGAATGTGATGCTGAATTTTCTTGATAGATAAAGGCGAAATTTTTCAAATGCGTAGAGGAAAAAAGTGAACTAGTGAATGAAACTAAACGGTCATTTTCTTCTTCTTTTTAGAGATTATCTAATACACCTTGAAATTTGCTTCTATATAGTCATACTCTAAAGAAGTTAGATCAAATTAACTTCGATGGCGTGAATCTCGAAGGCGGTTGATCCCATTATTCAAGAAACAATACCCAAGGAGTCTCTAGTGCATTAAATATATTTTTTTGCACCGAAAATAGCTTTGATCTCAGCTGTAGACACCGGTCAAATGGATTGACTATGGAGATCCAAAGGGGCTCCGTCGAGGTAGGTAATCGGCCTAATTTAGAAACCTTTCCTCAACCTAACATGTACTAGAAAGCGACCCGAGAAAATCATTATTGGATTTTATCAAAGATATTTTGTTACTCACTCTAGCTACAATTGCCGCCTGAAGAAAGTGATCATAAAGTCAGTTCAACTTTGAGATATTTAGTTAGGGCTTACTCACCTAGCGGGATAGCCTTAGATGATGCGGGATGGAAATTGTAACATGTTGATCTATGTTGCAGCACGAATTATATCATCGGCCACTACCTAGACCTTAAAAAAATTGTGCAGAAATGCTTAAAAACTACTTCCAACTGGCAGAGGTGTAATAGGTGGTTCATACACTCACTTCATAGACTGCAAAAATGCATATCAATTGGTACAAAATGGATAAAAGTATGATATCACACTCAAATGTTATATGGACTTGCTCTATTGTAATTTAATAGCTGTGAGGGCATACGACCAAAATAAACGTTTTCAGTACCTTATAAATCACAAAATATTTAGATAACAAGTATATCATACAAAGCTCAATTTTTGGCTTCGACGACGTAGTTCAGATCTTCAGTGGGCAAAGCGAGATCCCTTAATTACCCCCTTCTCTCTAGTGGTACTTGCAGCTAATGCATGCTTTGATTTGGCACGATGGGCAACTAAGGGTATAAAGGGGCATCCATCTACCGCAAACGTCACAGTTTTCAAGTCCAAAATCCTTCTGCCATGGTCCCGAGTGGCAACATTTGTGTGCTGAACTATCATTGGAGGCAATCTTGTTGCTGCTTATGAAACGATTCCGCAAGTCTTGGAAGTATTGTTGCATGGATTCTAGATGGAACCCAACTACCTCCATTCGCAAATCCTCAAATCCATATTGACCACCTGAGTTAGCCAATTTGTATTTAAAAAACCTAGAAACCCCTTCATAGGGATCAGGGATTATTTGGTTATTTTCAATGGTGATCGGTTTGACAAATTCATCGTCAAAAAAGATATTTTCGCCCAGGAGCTCTTCAATCCCACTTTGAGATGACCCACCCTGATTATCTTCTTCTGAAGAATCGCTCAAATCAATGAGAGTATATGATTTGGAACAGAAATTTCCAATTTCATTCGAATCAGTGAAGATTTTATTTCCATCCGTTGCCGGGTAACGAATTTCGTGCCCTTCATAAATCGGGATGTCTGAGCAAATATCGGGTTCGTCTTGTTCATCCAAGTCCAATATCTGTTCGTCATGAAGAACACGAGCTCTCATGGCTTCGGTACGCTTTGCCCGCCAATCTCTCATGGCTTGGCTCTGGAGCTTTTCTTCTTTTTCGCGTTCTTGCTCGTGCTGTCGCTCATACTCTCTCGCCTGCTCCTCTTCCTGTCTGCTTTCTTCGGCCGCTGCTTCCTGCCAGTCCATGAACTCGCAGTAGTCATAGCTGCGCGACTGAACATGGTCATATAAGTTATCATCAATTTTGTCGCATTCAGGGTCATAGAAGCCGTCATAGCTTGTTTCCCACTCATAATATGGTAAGGAATTATCGTGTTCTGCTCTTTGAGCAGGGTCACGCAAAACCTCTATCGCTTCTTGAATCTAAATTGGAATTAAATCTGATCTCAATGTCAGCTGAGGTGAAACAGACTGATAAACGAACCTTTCGAAAATGAAGTAATGAATCATTGTGGTTGTCAGATTTGTCAGGATGGTACTTAAGAGCTAGTTTCTTGTAGGCTGTGTTGATATCTTTCATCGAGGCGTCTCTTGCAACACCTAGTACCTTGTAACAGTCCTCCATTTTGACACGTTGACCAAAGTAAGATATCTTGAGATATTTGACGAAATTATTATTAGCTGCTGCCATAAACACTTATCAAACCGAAGTTTCAACGTCGCGCACTTGTAATAGGATTTGTGGACTGTTCGTGCACTTCGTTTAAGGAAGCTAATGTGTGCGGCGTGTAGAGGGTATGCGGTGTAGCCATTGTTTACCATTTTCTGTTTGCAGGCTTTGGCAGGCCTATTTCATCTGAAAATACAAGACTAGATGGGAATCCTCGTGAAAGACTATCCCACTTCCAACTTTACTCGGATCTACAGTTCTGTGCTCAGTGCAAAGGAAGTCCATGTTAGAAACACGCACGATTATGAAGAGTCTTGCAACATAAGAAAAGTTTGATAGACTAAAGATAAAGTAAAAACTGGTTTTACATGTCTGATGATGGGTCTAGGTATTTATATGGACAAGTTTACATTCACTGAACCCCTCCCAGAGATTTGGCGTAGGAGGATCCTTACATGTCCTCACTAGCGGTAGCACCGGTGATAATTTCGACCAGTTCGCCAGTAATGGCAGCTTGACGTTGTCTGTTGTACAGAATTTGGAACCTAGCATAGGTTAGTCAAATTGCCGGACCATATTGGTTTATATGTTACATACTTCTGAATCATCTCACCAGCATTCTTGGAAGCGTTCTCCATAGCATTACGACGAGCCTAGAAAAATTATTAATCTTTCTACTGAAGAGGTCATCTGATAAATGGACTCACAGAAATTTCACAGGCATGACCTTCAGCCAAAGCCCAGAATAAGCTGTTGGCCAAAGCGTACTCGCGCAAGTTAGCCAATGCCTCCTCCTCGACTTCGAAAGCAGAAATGTTGGCTGAAAAGGTGACTGTTAATAAATTGCTAAAGCTTTTGCAGCATCAGACGACTCACGGGAGTTTGTGATGGCTTCCTCGGAATAGGCCTCAACAGTAGTGGCTTCATAGCTTTGAGCGTTGATAAACTTGTTGTAGATGATCTTGATGCTAGCGTAGTCCGTGGGAAGAAGGGAAATTCGATCGGCAATAGCTTGGGCATCAGTAAAGGTCGGGATGTCCTTGCCGACTTGAGAGAAGCTGAGAACGATGTTCTGGGCATTGGAACGGCTAAGTTGAGCCTTAGCCTTCTCTCCGAGAACAACAATGTCGACGTTGGGGTTCTGGCTCAACAGTCTGCGGGTAGCCTTGCTGAGACCAGAGTGAATACCACCGCAAAGACCCTTATCGGAACTGGCAACAACGTAGAGAGTCTTCTTGTCCTCCAGGGGCTTGGTCTCGGCGGATTCGAAAACGGTGTTGGAGGTCTGTCCATAGACACGAGACTCCTCCATGGCCTTTTGAGCGCGAGTAAGACGAGTAGAAGCGACAATCTTCATCGTGTTGGTGATTTTCTCGATGTTACGAATAGACTTGAGACGGCCCTCGATTTCACGGAGAGTAGCGAAATTCGCAGAATTGGCGGGAGCAGTGCTAGAGAGAATACCAGTGAGCTTTTTCTGTGTCTATAATGACTTAAAACACATATTTGCTCCATAGCTGACAAGCTGGATTGCATATCCTGCCACGACAGAACAAGCAACTCTCGGATGAAGAGACTTACCGAATGGCAGCAGCACTGCCGGCCTTCAAGGCCGGGCGAGCAGCACGAGAGAGCATGGTGACAAAAGGAGGGTGAAAGGAAGACGAGATATCCGCCAACAGCAGCCGCAGTGACAAGGCAGCTAGGTCAATTGATGCCAAACCGCGGAGGGGAGATTCTATCGCAGGCCTTTGGAAGCGAGGTTCTCTTCCCGGGCTGGGTCGGAGCCAACATTCCCCAAGCGCCATCACGTGATGAAATAGGGTGCCTTAAGGCACCCAATGCGCAGAGCTGAGGAAGCCGAGAATCGCCTCCAGTCCGGGTTATTTGAGGCCCAGCTGCGAACTCTTCACCAGATTCTCGCGCATTCTCTTCTGTCTTCCTCCCTCTCCCCCAGAACCTCCTCGCCCTCGACACTCAGAGCAGCCCCCCACCAACGCAACCTATTCAGTTTACTTATCTCGCCATTTTCTTTCTCTCTTTCTCACTTCTACCTTGCTTTCATTGCATGGCTAGTTCCAGCTCAAGCCGCCATTGCCAAGATTGCCTTTACGCTTCGATCCTTCTGCTATAAGGCGCGCTCTGTGCTTCACCCGAGGCTCTTACGAGTGTCTCGTGTGAATCATTTTCCAGTCTCTTCCTCTTTGCCGTATAAGCTATCTACAGCCCGGCTAGCTTCAACAATGAGTTCTTCGGATGATGACACTCCACTTGCGGCCGTCAACCGTTTTCCAGGTAGGCTTCCTCTTACTTTCACCCGAGTAGCGAAATAAATGTTTTCTCTTTGTGCTTTCAAGATGTCTTGCACGATCATCTCCTGCCTGTGGACTCCTCATAGCTAAGTTTATTTACCACAGGAGCCGCTCTCTCGGATGATGTGATCTCAAAGTCTACCGATGCAGCTATGGGTGGTACGGCAAATACCAATGGCAACTTGAATCCTGGCATTTCAATTCGGTTTGGACCAGTTGGAGATGAAGATACTGCAATGGGAGATGCGCCAGGTGAGGCGAATGGGCATACTGCGGGCAAGAGAAAAGCACGACTTAGTGCTGGCAAGAAGTCTTACGTGGATCCTGACAGTAGTGAAGATGACAAGCCTTTGGTACGCGGAACCGCACCCCGAGTATAGAACTTTCGGATTTTATTGTTTCTAACTGCAATCTCAGAGCAAGCGCCGCCGGACTTCAAACCAAAAGCAGCTTCAATCTGATTCTGAAGACGATGTTCCCCTGGCTCAAAAAACGAATGGTACTAAACTACCTGCAGCATCTGAGACCGCCATAGGCGAAGAATCCGACTCTGATGTTCCTATTGAGCGAAAGCTTGCCAAGGAGAAATCTAGGATCGAGCAAAAAGCCGAAAAGGAAGCCAAAGCAATCCGTAAATCCGAGGCTACTTCATCCAAGAAAGTCACAGGGAAAACAGAAAAGACCATTAACAACGTTAAAAAACAAGCTAATGGTATTAAACGAGAGCTGAGCGAAAAAGCAACCCCTATGAAGACTGTTCCTAAAAATGGCGTGAGAGCAGTCAAGTCGGAATCAGTTACGCCAGCTAAGAAAGGAAAAGGCAAGGCAGCCTCTGTCAAGGAGGAGACGGAAGAAGCAGAGGGACTAGAGGAGGAAGAAGAGTATCGATGGTGGGAAGACCCGACCAAAGGTGATGGCACAATCAAATGGACTACTCTGGAACACAACGGCGTCGTTTTCCCACCACCGTATGAGCCATTGCCTCAAAATGTGAAGATGAAATACAATGGCGTCCCTGTGATACTTGAACCTGACGCAGAAGAAGTTGCTGGGTTTTTTGGGGGAATGTTGAACTCGACTCACAATGTAGAGAACCCAACTTTCCAGGCCAATTTTTTCGAAGATTTCAAGGCTATTATAAAGAAAACAGGCGGCGCCAAGGACTCTCAGGGCAAGCCTATACAGATCAAGGAATTCGCCAAATGCGACTTCAAGCCAATTTTCGAATATTACGAGATGAAACGCTTGGAGAAGAAGAACATGTCGGCTGCTGAGAAAAAGCAGCTCAAGGCGGAGAAAGACGAAGCTGAAGCGCCTTTCATGTATTGCATGTGGGATGGACGCAAGCAGAAAGTTGGGAACTTCCGAGTCGAACCTCCGAGTCTTTTCCGTGGCCGCGGTGAGCACCCGAAAACTGGAAAAGTGAAAACGCGTGTGCAGCCTGAGCAGATCACCATCAACATTGGCAAAAATGCCAAAGTGCCGCCGCCACCAGAAGGCCATAAATGGAAGGAGGTGAAGCACGATCAAGAAGGCACCTGGCTGGCTATGTGGCAAGAGAACATTAACGGAAACTACAAATACGTGATGCTTGCTGCGAACTCCGACGTCAAGGGCCAAAGTGACTACAAGAAGTTTGAAAAGGCCCGTGAATTAAAAAAGTACATTGATAAAATCCGCAAGGATTACCAGAAAGGACTGAAAGCCGAGCTTATGGCCGATCGTCAGCGCGCAACAGCTGTCTATCTCATCGACAAATTCGCTCTTCGTGCTGGGAATGAGAAGGGAGAAGACGAGGCAGATACTGTCGGGTGTTGCTCTCTGAAGTATGAGAATGTCAGTCTTCGACCTCCCAATACCGTCATTTTCGACTTTTTGGGTAAAGATAGTATTCGGTTCTATGATGAGGTAGAAGTCGATCCGCAAGTTTTCAAGAATTTGAAGATTTTCAAGAAGGCCCCTAAAAAGGATGGCGACGAAATTTTCGACCGGCTGACTGTAGGTATCCAACTTGGTTTGGCAATCTCGTCCTACTAACTTGTTGAAAGACTTCTGCACTTAACAAACATCTATCGAACTACATGACTGGCTTGACAGCTAAGGTCTTCCGTACTTACAATGCCTCCCATACATTTGCTACCCTGCTGAGGGAAATGAGCGCAGAAGGCTCCGTGGCCGAGAAGGTGAAACGGTACAATGATGCCAACCGCAAGGTTGCTATTCTTTGTAACCATAAACGGACGGTCACCGCCGGTCACGCAAATGCAATGGAAAAATTAGGCGACAGGGTATGTTCTCATTTAAACATAAAAGATTTAGTGCCTTTTCTAATGGGTGATCAGATCAAGGGTCTTCGTTATCAAAAGTGGCGTGCCAAGATGATGATGTTAGACATCGAGCCTAGTCTCAAGAAAAAGAAGGGTGCCAAATATTTTGAGCGGGACGAGGATTTGGATGAAGCTTGGATTCTAGAACACCAGGCTTTCCTCATTGAGGAACAAAAGCAAAAGATAACCAAGAAATTCGAGAAGGAAAATGAGAAGCTTCTTGCTGAAGGTGAGAAGGAGATGAAAGCTAAGGAGCTCGAGGAACGACTATCAGTGCTCAAAGATATGGAAAAGAAGTTCCAAAGGGAGAACAAGACCGGAAAAGTGGAACTTGATGGCAGAGGCCAAACAATCGAGAAATTAGAAAACAACATCACTAAGCTCGAACAGCGTATTGAGAACATGTTACTTCAGGCTGAAGACAAAGAAAATAACAAGGAGGTAGCTCTTGGTACTTCGAAAATTGTAAGCAATTGGTATCATTCCTTTGGTTCACTTTACTAACGAATTATATAGAATTACATTGATCCTCGACTTACTGTGGTCTTCACAAAGAAGTTCGATGTCCCGATTGAGAAATTTTTCTCCAAGACTCTCCGTGAGAAGTTTGACTGGGCAATCAAGTCAGTTGACGAAGCCTGGGAATTCTGAGTGATCAATATGGCTGAACTTTGTGCTGCCTTATATCATTGGCCTCGATTTTAGCGTTTTCGCGTCGGTGTTGTTTTGATAGGAATGCTTGAATTTTTCTTGCTTTTTTTCTCCCTCAATTCAGTCTTTATCTTCCATGTTGTATTGTGCATTTTTTGCCCAAAGTGGACCATAGATCATGGTCTACCTATATATGTACCACTACCCTCTTGGTTCTTCCAAGAAGACAGGTCCTTTTCAGTTGGTCAGTCGCTTCCGAACAGTTGACCTTGCTTGCCAACTAGTCTCGATTGCATTTGACTATATATACAAGCTTGACCCTCGATTGACGCACGATTCGCTACACAGTATTGGTTGCCAGCTACTCATAAACTCCGGTATTTAAATTTAGAAATCTAAGAAAAAAGTATGTGTTCATTAATAATTCGGAGATCCAGAGTAGATCGAGAATAGAAAGCTAATATATATGTGCATCAAAGGATACGCGAATAATCTAGACTACACATACATGTAGTCTCACAGCTGACATAGACATCAGCATCAAAATTTACGGGTTCAATTTGAAAGCGTCTAGTTCTAGACTCGAAGCTTTTCGCACGACGAACCTGTAAAGAAATCACCCATGTTCCATGGTGAGCTATCGGGACATCCACCATAGGGTGATGATACTATACTTGAGATTTTATATAATTGTATGTAATGAAGGAGGATTTAAGATATATTGACTTGAATATTTGCAAATAGGAAGACACAAAACTGTGTGGATATATAGTAGTACAACACTGCCAAGAAAAAAAGGTAAAACAAATAAAAGGAAACCAAAAAGAAAATTTCCGGCTCAAATGCTCATGAAGAGAGTTATAAAAAATATGTGTAGGATGATTTGTTCTGATGCAAGGTATCATAATAGAAATCAAGAGGCTGATATATGATAATGATGATTATTAGTATGGAGGTAAGAGGGCGAATACTGAGGCGTAATCGCGGGAGCATTATTTGATTGGACTCTTCTTATCCTCCCCCCTTCTACCCCTTCTATTGATGTATCGTTCATGGCCACCAACCCATCCGTTCATAGCTGGCAACCATGTCTCGGACGGCATCGACGTTGAATGCAGGCCTTTCTGGCTTGAATCCCGTAGTTGTCTCGAAGAGGGTACCATCGATGCATAAATTTTGGTCTTTGATCATGTCTCTATCAATAAACGGGCTGATGGGGCCTGGCCGGGCGATTTTCTTCTCCTCCACCAGATCAGCCCATGCTTGTAAGGTTTCCTCGTTCATATCATCTACCACATCGTCCAGACTGAGTTTAGCTAGTTGAGATACCAAGGACCCTAAGAAAGAAACTTTAAGGCCGAAAACTTCAGAGAGTGCTTGACCAATGTGTGCTTGAGAGGTGTTGTTGTGGTCGACAACATTGAACACTTTAGAAGCAGCAGGGTCGCTTCCTTGAGCACGTCGCCACTCTGCCACAGTCCAAAGAGCACGCGCAGCGTCTTTGACGTAGAGGGTGTTGACTTTCAAATCTTTCGAGTAAAGCAGTTCCAAATCCCGCTCAAGAAACTTGTGGGTTCTCGCTAGACAGATTCCAATGGCAAAGTAGCGAGAATCGTATTCACCATAAACATGTGGGAAGCGCAGAGCAGCCCAATGAAGATTTGGAATGTTTCGGATGTCTTCGGCAACTTTCAACTTCCATTTAGCAAGATTGTGCCAAGGATCTGTCTTATCGCTCTCTTTGCTGGGCCCGGAACCCTTGTACACCATTGCAGTTGATGCTTCAACATAGACTGGAATGCCTCGCTTCGCGACTTCTTTACACAATCCGATTGACATGGCATGGTTTCGAAATTGATAAACTTCTTCTGGCTGTGAGTATCTTGTATCGCCGGCGCAATTGATGACAAAGTCGAATTGTTTGCCATCGGCGCGGTCAAAGATGCGGGGATATGCCTCTAGAGGTGTGTTTGTTAGAACGGACTAGAGGGTACAATCAGGGGAGGGGAACTTTACGTTCTCGACCAGCGTCTGCTTGAACAAATCGCTCCTTGGAGCACGCATCCTCGAACTCGGGAGCTAGCCATGCCAACTGCGGCAGCACCTTGTCGACAATCCGCAGTTCCGAAGCAAGGTCGTTCTCATGGATATATAGAGCGAGGTATCGGCCAATGAAGCCTGTTCAGAAGGAAATCAGTATGCGGCGCTGTCTTTACCCCACCGAGATGCACTGCAGGGTCAAAAACATACCTAAACCGCCAACGACCAGCACTGCGGGCTTTTCGGAGCCCATTGTCGCAAGAGCTATCGAGTCGAGCAGAGGTGAGGTCGGAGATCCAATGGGGTCGAAAAGTCGCTACCCCTCTCGTTCCTCCAGGCCTCCTGACAGCCGCGTATATCAGACTCGATCGCAAATGCTGAGGCCAGCCACAAAACCGCTTCCTAAGACCAGAAACGATAGGGAGCGAGTCAAGGTCAACGATATTGAGCACAGACTGGGATGCTCGAATATGGCCTGGTAGGAAGAAGAGAAACGACCACACGATCAAGCGAGGGAATGAGCAGTAGGCAAGGGGAAGATAGTAAAAAATAAAAATAATAATACTAATGAATACTAATAATAATAACAACAGAAATAAGTTACTAATAGCCAAGGCTGAGGAAGCGTTCAACGGATGCAGAACGTGACGAAGCCGACAAGGATGAGCACAGTGCGAAATGACCAGGAATAATTACAATAATACGGGCGTCGTAATAGCGGCAGGAACGGTCAAAGTCGCTGGGGAGTGTTTTTCCTGGCTTACTGCAGGAGGCGCGGCGGCTGCCGGCGGGGACTTGTGGGGAGAGGCGATGTTCCGACGTGGTATTGGTATTATTATTAGTATTATTATTATTACTATTTCACGTCACGTGCGGGAGGAATCATTCAATTACTTGAACCTTCCCCCTGTACTGCACCGCAATCTCCATCTGATGCTGGATTTCTCACCATGCGGAACCTGACCCCTGACTATCTGACATGGGGCAAACCCAGAAAGCGAGGCAACAATATTGAACCTTGCCTGTATGCGTAGTACTATCGTTTATCACGCGCAATTGGAAATTGAAGTCCACTTGCCCTGGCGACCATCCAAACCGAGGCCGTCTCAAACAGGGCGATATTTACCGCAGTAATATATCTGTAACACTGACATTGAATATTTCTCATGATAAACTACGCTAGTCAATTTTTAAATAACATGGTGCTTAATTCGAGACGAGCTGAAATACTGTCACCTGCTCACGTGTAAACAGTTCTGAATTATTGAATTCAATTTGATATTGTTGTGAGAATCCTACTAACTATTACTGCATCGACAAGACTGGTATTGACTATTGATAACATCGTCAGGCACACAGATTGCTTAATTTGTTTTTCAACACGTCATTCAATGAATCGTTTGGACTGCACCCAATTTGAAAAGCCCACTAGGTAGCATCGCTTGGGGTGAGAAGTAGCTATATATCTCAAAACTTTTGAATTTCATGGGAACGAATAAGGATATAAAGCAGCCATTACTCCATTGCCTCCGTTATTAGACTGACGACGTCTTCATTCGCTCTCGAGATGCCGTAGAGCAATCTTTAACTCTTTGATAGCGGTATTCACGTCGTCAAAACTCAGCGCAGACACAGCCCATCGAGCATGTTTCTGTGCTTGTGCAATAGACTGGTCGTCTACATTCGAGGCGGGTGTAGCACTAGGTCCCGATGCCGTCATCGTAAGAGAACGGTTCTCTACCGCCGAAATAGCTGCAGGGGCTTTTTGAGGAGGGAATGTCGGAGCGATTGGATTGGGTTGACTGTCTGTTGCATGAGGTTGAGAAATGCTAGGGACTCCCGGTTCTTGAGGGGCACGGAAGGAGTGGGGAATGATTGGAATGCAGCAGAGGAGTCAGGAAGTGTGCCCGGTGTATCTGGAAGCGTCGGAGGAACCTGTGGAAGTGTTAAATCTCTAGGTGTTGATGGTAGCACCGGGACTGCAGGCTCCTCGACGCTGGTTGTGGCCGTAGCTGAAGGGATTTGTGGTGGAGGAATGGAAGACGATCGGGATGGATGAAGTGATTCATCTAGAGTTGACTGTTGAGCAAGACTTCTCTGTATGCGATCAGCCTCATCAGGAACCTCTTCCACCGAAGGTTGACGTTCTCGTGTAGACAATGATGTGGTCGTGCCTTGAAGTGCCTGGACTTCTGGATCATTGGGGTCTAAAGCATCTCCTTCAGCATCTGGGGTTGTGGATTCCACCACAGGATTTGATAGATTCGGGTCCTCTCCATTTTTGACAGCTCTGGCAATCCGGACAGCATGGTATTTGGCGAATTTGATCTTGGACAAAACGTCGGGATCCAGCTCACCCCAGATATGACAGAGCTCAAGAAACGTAGCTGCTGCTAAAAATGTGTCTGCGGTCTGCCTAACGACACTTGTCAATATATGTACAAGCTAAAAGGCCTTGAAATCGAATAGGCTCACTTGGAAGCCTTGTTGGCTCTAACTGCGTTATCGGCTCTGGTGAAAACTTCTAATCCAAACTGCTCCACATAGGCTTGCCCAGCAACATTATCTGTTATCGCGTCATTGTCGGGGTTCTCGGTTTTGAACTTGCGGTAGGATCGTTAGTCGCAATCTCTCAGGTGGCTGAGGATCTGAAACGGCCAGCGTACTTGCTCCAGCTTGTCCATTAAATCGGTCGTGAACTGAATAGATTCTTCGTCGGAATTATGCAGCCCCTTTGATATTATCTGGTTGACAACCCAGTAATTGCCTGCGATAGATTTATTGCCTTAGCTTCAACGACTAGAATTCGACGTCCTCGAGGAGGGGTAGCATGCTGGATTGCAAAACTCACACCAGTACGCGATCACTGGTTTTGCGCGCTCAATTTGCGCTGCTCTACTGACAAATCGCGCGACATCTGCAGCTTTCAGGCTATCTGGAATGGTCGCCATGGCTGGTTGCATGGTAATCAATGTCTTGTCGTGCGAGCGAAGTGAAACTGGAAAGGCCGTGTGGGGTTCATGTCGAAGATGACGTGCTGTGGAGAGCCGAGCGGAGTAGCCTAGATCAATCATCCAACCAGTTGTGATATGATTATTGATTATTGATTAATTGATATATATGCAATGCTTATATATGACAATAACATGGCTTATTTGCTACAGCCTATCATGGCACTATCCATTCGCCTATCTCGACACGTTCCTCACCAAGAGCTTCTACGTCGATATGATCGGTTATCTGTCCACCAGGCCCTCCGATTCTCTCAACAACAATCCAGATACCGCCTTGCTGCTGGTATTCGGGTCGGATATCAAGGTCTGGTACTTTTATCCCCGAAATCGCATCGCTGAATTCGCCGTTTTCTGAGGCTGCTAGGATCTCTTTGTACGGACCCTGGCCGATTTCGATGGTCATGAGCATCGGTGATGAGGCAACGTGACGATTGCCAATCGTTGATTCTCGACTTCGCGCAATCAATTTTATTCTCGTCAGGCGAGGGACACGCAGCGGCGCTATTATACGGTCGGTGCCTGGAGGTAAAACTCCTATATCTGAGATCACTGGCAACCTGCCTGCGGCCTCAGGTGGTATTGTCTTCACATGACATTTCCGGGTAGAAGAAACCCACAGGTTGAATCTCGCAATTTGATCGGGGGCAAATGTAGAACACACTATGGTATATGAGCCCCGACGAAGGTTATTAGTTGCAGCGACAACGCAGCCCGGACGATAGTCACCACTATCTGTGATGATATCACGCTTCTTTACACTTGATACCCGCTTTCCATCCGACCAGAAAAGTTTGACATGAATGGCGAGATCAAGGTCTGATGTTTCTAATAGTATCGATATGTCTGCCTCTTCGGTTATCTGAAAAACAAACTGCGGATTGGATGGGTATCGGGGGGACTCCGTATTCCCCCCCCTGTAATAGGACTCCATTCGCCTTGTATCTGGGACTCATGCGAATATTTCATTTCTGCATGCTTGAGTGCCACCTCATTTCGAGAAAAGGCAGAAAGTGTAAAGTTCTGAGGTAGCAAAGCAAGAGACTGCTCAGCAACTACAATAGTGAAGCTTGAATGCGCATCCATGTCTATTCTCGCCAAGGTGTTTGGGGAGTCCACAAAAGGGCCGCGATAAAAGGCACCCTCACTGAGAATAACACGTTGTCCTCTTTCTTTATACACGTACAAGCTAATGAAGCCGGGCTCATCACCGGCGCCTGGGACTTCAATTGTTCGAAAATGCTTGCTGAGCAGCAACCAGACAGGGCCTCCTGCCTCTGTAGACACCGCGAATTGCGGATTTCCTGCAAAGCATCCTTGGTTCAGACGAGGTTTCGACAAGTCCCACACGAAATGAATATCTTGTCGACAACGAAAAAGACCCGGGTTCCAATTCAGATATAAGTTTTCGAAGTTTTGAAATATTTGGTCATAATCCATCCAAAAAGAGCCCGGAAGAAGGGGGTTTCGTGGGTTTCTTGCTTCGATTTCTTGCTCTTCAAGAGTACGACGATAACTTCCCGGGATTTTGGAGACTGGATCGGCCCATGGATTCTTGATGAGAATCTGGCGGCGTCCTGCTTCTTCCAACAAATCTAAAACAGCATAATCATGCCGGCTGATAAACCCTTGGCTTTCCTCGCGTTGATTTAGTTCTCCTGTCCCAATGGTTACTATTACATCTCCATATTGAAAAGAGTCGGCTATGCGTTTCCATAACTGGTTAGGTGTCACGTCTTCATGATGCAGAAATATTTGCTCTGGGATCCAACCAGTAAGAACCCACAGATCTGTGCCAGAATTACTGCCAGGAAAATCATATCCTCCACGAATTTTGAGATATGCTTTCTCAAGCAGTGCAGGCCACATTATGTGAGGATTATTCCGGTCAATCACGAAGAGCGAGCGCGATGTTTTGGATGATGGAAGCCTGTCATCGATAACAACTTTTCGATAACAACCGTTGAAATGAAAACGGAAGATGTATTTGCCGGATAAAGAAAGACGAGGTGCATTTTGTGTATAATCGTATGGGAACATCACAGTTCGAAACAGCTAATGTGGAAAAGTGAGTCAAGGTGGAAAAAAAAGCTCCTAAGATTAACAACACCTACTGTGCCATGTCCCCTCTCGGTTCTTGCAATCGCAGCACAGAGGCTTGCCACTACAGAGCAATCGGTGGTGACATCTTGCACTAAATCCATAACGCCGGATCCAACAATGGGCGGACTTGAGGATTTTGAATCAAGATGTGAGAATTGAGTAAACAGCTCATCAGGCCTTTTCCAGCCATTAAAAACCTTCTTTTGACTGGCCGAAAGCTTCAATTCCTTGTCCCTAGGTCCAGATTAGATGTGATCCCCAATGGAAGGCAACCGATGATATTCGTTTCACTAACTCAAATTTGCGATCATGTTGTTCTAAGTTGAAGTCTTTGGGTTCGGGGGCCTCTTTCCACGGTGGAAATACAAATTGATTCAGCTTTGAACTTCCCAAGATGATGATTTCCTCTCTTGTCGAGAGCTTCTTCGTAGAGACTGGCTCCTGCAATACCGGACCATTGTTTTCGGGGTCAGGCGTTTGCCATACACCCTTTTCTTTGATTGCCTCTGCTCGAGACAGCCATTCTTTACATTTAAAATCTAGCCGTTGCTTGTCTTGAGCCGAACTGGTCAGACTCAATGCTTTCATGTAATTCTCGGCGGCAGCAATGGCAGCCTCCAGTGCCTCGGACTGAGACTTGGCGGTAGACACATCCCTTTCATATTTCTGTGAATTGATTAGTGATCACTAGAAGAATGAGAATTCGGCTACAATACCAAGGCTCTATCTAGATACAACACATCGGAGATAGGTCTGATGGTGGGGGTTGACATGGCCTGGTTCTACGTGATCAGTCGTCGACTACCCGTAGGGCAGACTGAACGCCACTCGCTCTCCGATGACCATCCAGAGGTGTTCTACAACCTGGTTGCCGGGCAATTGCCTGCTGATGACATCAATTTGGGTTCCAGCGACTGTCTGGAACGCGAGTCGCTGTAGGACGTGACCGTTTAGTAACCGTCTGGAGAAAGTGTTGCGACCGGCGATAAGCACGGTTGATAGGATCGAAAGCTTCAACAAGGTTTAGTGCGACGAGTCTTAGTGGGTGGCTTTGACTCCTGTGACGGTGATGAACAAAGTCGCTGGCGTTTGGCGTGTGCATTTGGCAGAGAGCAAGCAGAATGGCGGCCCGTAGTCTCCGATCCGAGCTTTGCCTCGGCTCAGTCACGCCTTGCCGTTTCCGAGATCACTGCCGTCTGGCTTGTGTCGTTGAAGCTCGCCTCGTGGGCTTGTGGCCTTCTCTTCGGCCGCCTTCTTGCTTCGACATGGCATCTGGGGATTTTTGATTGCTCTGTTCCTACGCTCGCTGAGGTTCTATTTCGCTTGCCCTCATCGTGGTCGGCGACCTCGTTCTTCTGCGTAGAGCCACCAGCCTCTGCGTCATCCATCTACCTAGCCGTAGATCATATTCTCACATTTCCCCCATGACTGGCCAATCCAAACCAGCGCGCCTCTCTCCATGGGGAAGCGCTGTCGCCGGCGCGACCGGCGCGGCTCTGGCCAATGCGATGGTATATCCTCTTGATATGTCGGTGATCCCACGCTCTGCTTGAATCCCTCCTCTTATCTCCTCTTGCTAATCGGCTATGCGGTTAGTGTCAAAACCAAGCTTCAAGTTCAAGTGAAGAGTCGGAAAGGCGAGGCCCAGGATGAGGGAAATACACCCCATTACGATTCCACTGTTGATGCAATCACCAAGATCTTCCAAGACGAAGGCTTCAGTGGGCTCTACAGTGGAATTAACGGTGCTCTCATCGGCGTTGCATCCACGAATTTCGCATACTTCTACTGGTATTCGGTTGTTCGTGCGTTTTATATGGCATCCGTCCGGTCATCCACACCCCCTGGCACTGCCGTTGAGTTGTCTCTCGGTGCCGTTGCTGGTGCCGTCGCCCAGATCTTTACTATTCCGGTATCCGTCGTCACCACACGCCAACAAACGCAGTCGAAAGGGGAGAAAAAGGGATTGCTCGAAACTGGCCGAGAGGTTGTCGAGGGCGAAGACGGTTGGACAGGGCTGTGGAGAGGTCTGAAGGCAAGTTTGGTGCTAGTTGTCAACCCGGCAATTACATACGGAGCATACCAAAGACTCAAAGACGTTTTCTTCCCTGGAAAGACAAATCTCCGCCCTTGGGAAGCATTTGGTAGGTTTTTGTGTACTGATGAGTTTGATGATAATACGGACACTTACTCGTGATATAGCTCTTGGAGCCATGTCGAAAGCACTGGCAACAATCGCCACGCAACCTCTGATCGTCGCTAAGGTCGGTCTTCAATCGAAGCCTCCTCCAGGCCGCCAAGGGAAGCCGTTTAAGGGCTTCATCGAGGTCATGCAGTATATCATTGACCACGAAGGCCCATTGAGCTTATTCAAGGGCATAGGGCCTCAGATCTTGAAGGGTCTCTTAGTTCAGGGCTTGCTTATGATGACTAAGGAACGGTACGTGGCCATTTTTGACTGCCATGACTTTTGCTGACCATAAAACAGAATGGAACTTATCTTTATCTTATTCTTTGCCTACCTTTCAAAAATCAAAAAGGAACGATTAAAGAAACTTGCCGAAAGGGCATCTGCAACCGCTAAGACGAGTCTTCCAGTCACTCTTAAATGATCCCTAACTATACCATACCGTCTCCTTATTCCTCGATGCTTGCTTGGTCTTTGGATTCCAAGGGCACTGTTATATAGACTTTGATGAGAGGAATATATTGTCTATGAAATCTGCTGTTTTAATATCTCAATACTTTAGAATACATCTATGCGATTTCCTGGTCTTTTTTACTTCTTTCCCTCTTTATTTCTGTCTATAAACAGCGTATCAGCTGCAACATCCATATGGTTCTCAATATTAAATATACATAGAGCGGGGTTACTTATAAGTATGGACGTTGCCCGGGGCATGCTGCCAAGACTCCTCCCCGTTGCGCTTCCCTCATGCTTGTTGACTCGCAGCCTTGGAACTTAATCAAGGCGAGTTTTCGAAACCCCAAGCCCTCAGCTTCGCTGTTGCAAAGACTGGCATGGGATGGTGGTCGCCATGGTCTTCTGGGTCCACGTCAGATCCAGAGGGTCACTCCGTTGACTCTCGTCCAGCCTCGAATGATTCGACGAGGGCCGCCCCGACGCCGTCGCGCTCATCAGACTCCTCAACATCATCGAAATCCACGGATTGGAATTCAATTTTGAACGCCTTTGATTGGAGTCAATGGAAAGAACCGGGGAATCTTGTGCCAACTATTCTTCTCACAGGTGGGATTTTGCTTGTCTACGACGTTCACCGTCGCTTTCTTCGACGTATTCCTGAAGCTACGGATATCTCCTCCTCGTACTTGCGTCGCCGGTCACTCCTAGGCTACGTTACTAGTGTAGGCGACGGAGATAATTTTAGGATGTATCATACTCCTGGAGGACGTTTGGTCGGGTGGAGTTGGCTGCCATGGATGAAAGTACCCACATTAAGAAAAGAGCTGAAGGACCGTACTGTATGTACAACTTGATTATGCACACCAACCTCCTCCTCATATGCTATGACTAACGATCAGTTCTTGAAATCTGGCAGATCCATATTCGCCTCGCAGGAGTCGACGCTCCAGAGCTTCCCCATTTTGGTCGGCCGGCTCAGCCATTCTCAGAGGAAGCGCACTCCTGGCTAACATCCTACCTGCTCAACCGACGAGTGCGCGCCCATGTCCTTCGGCATGATCAATATCGGCGCGTAATCGCAACAGTATACGTGCGAAACTGGCTTGACTTCCCCCCTCTTCGACGACGAGACGTATCACAAGAGATGTTGAAGCGTGGCCTTGCAACCGTTTATGAGGCGAAAACTGGAGTAGAATTCGGTAGCAAAGAGCATGAACACCAATATCGAGAAGCCGAAAAGCTAGCCAAAGCCCGAAAGCAAGGAATATGGGTCAATTTTGGGCGCAAAGGGGGAAACACTTTCGAAAGCCCACGAGAGTATAAGACTCGTATGGGACTCGAGCATCCTTTCGAGGCACCGGCAAAACCAGAGCCTGACGAGAGTCGAGGAATACTGGCTTCAATTAGAAGTACATTATTTCCTTTCCGCAAAAAAGGCAGCAAATAGTGGATACCCTTGAATAGTAAACTATTATTTCATGATTACGACTGTATGATTAGCCTTGATGAAGATATCAATACTTATGTGTATATTCATATCTGCGTAATTGAACAATATTATTATACAGCATAATCCAGTAACAGCATCAGATCTGTCATAAGTCTTTCATCTCCATTGAATTTGGCGATGACAGTCGTTGCACATCATGGGCGTGGGGAATATTAAACATCGAGATAGAACATGTGATAAGACAAAAGACGCAGTAGTATACACTCCAGCGCTATGGCTATGAAAACCTTCGTTCAATTTCAGCATATATCTTCGGGCTGATTTCGTCGCTGGAGTTTCCCTCCACACGCCAGAGACAGCCCTTATTATTGTAGTGATCAAGGAGGGTTCTGCTTGATTCCTCAAACTTGTTGAGCCGTTCTTTCCAAGTTTGTATAGAATCATCTTCACGTTGAGTCAAGGGTTCGCCCGTGATATCGTCTTTTCCAAAAACTTTTGGAGGATTGAAATCAGTATTGTACACCCTACCCGACGGTGCATGGATCCAGCGCTTGGTTATGCGAGAAATGATAACAGCTGGTGGGGTTAAGAGGTGAACAGCAAAGTTTATGGGCAGGATTTGGTCCAAGCTTGTAGCTTGTGTGGCGGTCCGTGGGAAGCCATCGAGAATGAAGGACACTGCGGTTGAGGGTTTAGTGGAGGGTGAGGCGGCTTCTCCAGGTTGTGAAGGCGTAATCCAACCTTTTGTTGATAGTTCTGTGGAGATGAGGTCGAGCATGACAGCATCCGGGACAAGATTCCCGGCTTGCATCAGCGTTTCGGCTTGGATGCCTGCGAAGCAATATCAGCGTTAGAGTAATTATACACACAAGTGGTCCATTGCAAGAAATATTATTAGTATGCGCACCTAAAGGCGTCTTCCTTCGAACATTGTCGCGCAGCAAGTCACCCGAGCTGATGGCAGCTAACTGCGGGAATCTGGCGAGTAAGCGTTCGGTTTGCGTGCCCTTCCCAACACCGGGAGCTCCAATGAGAATGATGCGAGCGGCTTTCTTGAGCCGCTTCGTTGTAGATGTCATGACGCTGTGTGGAATATCACGGTAGGTTCACGGTGTCTCGTGTGGGAGACCGCCTTGCCGCGATGAACGGCAGAAACGACGGTGTAACGATGCTGGCTTGGAAATCACAATCGGAATTTGTAGGACATTATGATGAATGAGGTCTAATGATCATGTGAAAAGCACGATGAGTGCTGCAGGTAGCATTGTTCGCCCAGAGCAGTCAAAAAGCATGTGACGAAAGTGTTGTTCCAGAAGTATTGCCGGAGGAGCTGCGAGTCTGATAATCGATCGCCATAGATGATCGCGCACTAGATAACTAGGTGACTAGCGCGCTGTTCTGTGTTTGGTAACCGGTGAATGTCGGAGAGGATTGGCAGCACCCGAATGGGCGGAACGGCTCTCCAGGATCCAGAAAGTCGGGGATGAACGTGGTTGCATGATTATTCGAAGCCAATCTCGATATCGTGATCAATTATAATGGATATCGACATCGACTGAGAGTCCCAGGCACAGCACACATGACGGCCTCAGGCATCTTTCGGGTGCCTCGCAGAGCCATCGGCATAAAGGAGGTCTCTGATTGGATCGACGACCCCCGCAAAAAGGGATTTCTAGCATGCGATTGGCCGCAGAGCTTCCCAAGGATAAGCTGTGAAATTTGGTCTGATTGGTCAATCGGCCGTTCACGTAATTCTTCCCCTTTTGAGAAGGAGCGCGTCGAGCGCGTCTCCCACTAAATAAGAAGGATAAGGAAACAACCAGCTTTCACCGTCGTTCATCACGACCCCATTGTGCTCACCCACGTCACGGTAGTACGCCAAAATGATCAGACAGGACTTCCAGCGCATAGATCCGAAGCGAAGGGCCGTTCTCGACCACAAAAAGAAGCAGTTCGCCGCGCCCTCCTTCAAGCAGCAGGATTATCCCTACCGTCTGAATTTCTATGATGTGCCTCCCACGGCAGAGATCACGCTGGAGGAGTTTGAGCAATGGGCAATCGACAGGTTGAAAGGTAACTCGCTGTTGGCTCTTGTTACGCGAATCGACTCCTAATTTCTGCAGTGCTTGCCGAAATCGAAGCCTGTTCATACCGCAATAAATCTACACAGGAAACAGAGGCGCACATCACTCCTCTCCTCAAAAAGTTCCTTCCTCTCGCGTCTAACTCGTCTGCTACCTCTGGGGTTGTGAGTCAACAATTACGAAATGAACGACAAAAGGACCATTACTCCCACTTCATTTTGCGTCTCGCGTTTTCAGCCACGGAAGACTTGCGCCGCCGCTTTGTCCGCGCCGAGACCATGTTGTTTAGGTTTCGCTTTCAGAAAGATGATAGCAAGGAACGACGCAATTTCATTGAGAGCCTCAACTTAGACTGGGAGCCTGTGAGCGAAGAAGAAAGGCTAGAGTACAGTGAGGAACTGCTGCACTCCACTCCGGGCTTGCGGCGGGCCGATGAGGAAAGCTGGTTTAAGGTTGATTGGGAAAGGGTTCCCGAACTGGTTGAACGTCGAGCCATCTTTATGCGGAAAGGAAAGGCATATGTTCCGCAAAGAGAGCAACTAAGCATGATCATTGCAGATTTCACTGCGCGTTTAGAAAAGGCCATGGAGGTAATGACCGATAATAGTCATTGTCATTGGATCTCTCACTAATCAAAATACAGTTGACAAGTAGGGCCCTACCTCGATTAGACGAGGACGATCGCCTCACTCCAATCCTCAATCATCTTTCTAAAAACTTTGGAAGTGCCGAGTCCGTTTATACCGAAGGCGAAGGCGTTGTCGATGGAGCACCTATCACCGCGGCTTCGATTGATCCGTTGTCACAGCATTTCCCTCTGTGTATGCGTAGTCTGCATATGACCCTCCGCAAAAGTAACCATTTGAAACACTTTGGCCGTCTCCAGTACACTCTCTTCCTCAAGGGTATCGGCCTCAATTTAGACGAATGTATCCTTTTCTGGCGTCAGTCATTTAAGGGGTATTCGGACGACGAATTCAACTCCAAATACAAATATAACATTCGCCATACTTATGGAGACGTTGGAGGCGATTCCAATCGTCGTGGTCGAGGTTACCCACCCTATTCTTGCCAAAAAATCTTGATGGACAGTGCCCCTGGCACTGGGCAAACTCATGGATGTCCATACCGTCATTTCTCAGTTGATAATCTGACTGCGCTCCTTCAATCAACCGGTGTGCACGATAAAGATGTTCTACGTGGTGTCCAGGAAGATGTCGAGAAACAGAGGTTCCATATTGCCTGCAACAGAGTCTTTGAGTGGGCTCATAAGGCAGAAATCAAACGGGTGAAAGAAGATGGGTCATGGAATCAAACAGATCTCGATACCATCGTGCACCCAAATACGTACTTCAAGCGGAGTTATCTACTCAAACATGCAGAGAAGCCGTCTTCGGAGTAGTGCACCATGTCGTACATACATAAATTGACACTTGGCAACATAGGAGCAAGGCGCAATAGGATGATATTTCGGGGGGGATGGTTATTGTTTGAGTACTGTGTTACGTTACTAGAAATCTGACTTCATGAGAATACGACTTAAATGGCTGTCCGAATAAACTTGAATACTGAAATCATTCTTTTCTAGAACACGCTTAAGCCAGATGCGTCTGGCGCAATGCCCCAACAACCCGTAGACACATGTATATATATTTGTAACCTCTGCTGATTCCCAAATCATCAAAAAGGATCGGAACGACCTTTCCGAGCCAGGTGCCCAGCCATGGGTAGATTTGTCTACGCGCGACGCGAAAACAGCCTCATCATAAAGTAGACTGAGGCTGTCGACAGTAATGTGATGTTATGTTGTATGTCGGCGATGACTAGAGAAAAGGAAGAAGAAAGGAAGGAAAAAACCACCGAGGTTTTTATGGCGGCAGTGGAGCTGAAGGCTAGCCGCAAACCGGTGCGGTGGGCGGCAGCGGCCAACAATGCTGCAACCTGGCTTCATGCCACACACCTCCCAATGCCCACAACAGAACCCCCTCCGGTTGACCAGAGCACTTGTCTACCAGTCAACACTCCGGGGCTGCCTCACTCTACAGGTCGTGATTATGCTACGAAGGACTCTTTGAAGTCATCGCGTAATTCTAGTCTGCTTAGAGGCCCCCTTATTCCTTTCGTCACCCCAATCCCCCTCCGACTATTTTGAACTTGCTCCACACCACGCAAGATGGACTACGAGGCGTTGAAGGACGGGTGGAGCGAGGTTGAGGATCGCGATGGTGTCAGACTTAGCTGGAATACATTTCCAAGCTCGCGCATGGTTGGTGTCCCTGAAATGCATGCTCCTATGCAGTGAATTGTCCCCCGTGACTGACCGACACTGTGTAGGAGGCATCCCGCTTAGTTGTCCCCATCGGAGCAATGTACACGCCGCTCAAGGAGCTGACCGACGCCCCGATACTACAATATGAACCTGTGACATGCAAGGCCCCTTGCAAGGCAGTCCTCAATCCTTACGCGTATGCCACTCCTATAAACATATTCCGCAGTCTTTAAACACTATGCTTATTGTTGGTGTAGGAATGTTGATGTCCGGGCTCGTATCTGGATATGTCCCTTCTGTCTTATGCGCAATCCTCTACCACCGCACTACAAAGACATTACAGAGAATACCATACCGCCGGAACTTCACCCACAGAGTACGACTATAGAGTATCGATTGGCTCGCCCAGCTCCAGCTCCGCCGATTTTCGTATATGTTGTGGACACTTGTCAGGAGGATGACAGCCTGAAGGCAGTCAAGGACTCCCTCGTTATGAGTCTTTCCTTGCTGCCGCCAAATGCACTTGTTGGTCTGATCACGTATGGAACAATGGTGAGGAGTCTTTCCATGCTTTGCACGATCAACGGAGAATGTTAATGATAACGAGTAGGCGCAAGTCCATGAACTGGGCTATGGAGAGTGCGCAAAGTCCTACGTGTTCCGAGGCAGCAAAGACTATGCCTCAAAGCAGGTCCAGGAAATGCTTGGACTACTTGGTACTGGCATACGTCCAGGTGTTCCTCAAGTTCCCGGCCGTCCACCACCCCCTATGGGCCCTACAGCGCGGTTCCTCCTTCCTGTGCAGCAAGCTGAATTTCAGATTACCAACATCCTTGAACAGTTGCAACGCGATCCCTGGCCTGTCGCAAACGATAAGCGGGCTTTGAGATGCACTGGAGTTGCTATTAGCGTTGCCGTCGGATTATTGGAAACATCTTTCCAGAACGCTGGTGGACGAATCATGGTTTTCACAAGCGGTCCTGCTACCGAAGGCCCGGGTGCTGTTGTCAGCCCGGAGTTGAAGGAGCCTATTCGGTCTCACCATGATATTGACAGAGACAACATCAAATACTTCAAGAAGGCGGTCAAGGTGAGCTTAGCCGGTGATTTTGCTTATCTGTCCAATTTAACACATTTGATAGTTCTATGACAACCTTGCAAAACGTGCCGCTCATAACGGTCACATTGTCGATTTATTTGCTGGCTGCCTCGATCAAGTCGGTATGCTGGAGATGAAAAACCTATCAAACTATACCGGTGGTCATATGCTGCTTACTGACAGCTTCACATCATCGCAATTTAAACAGTCATTCGTCCGGGTCTTTGACAAAGATGAGAATGACAACCTTCTCATGGGCTTTAATGCATCCTTGGAAGTTCTCACTACGAAGGAACTCAAAGTTACGGGTCTCATCGGTCATGCTATTTCACTGAATAAAAAGTCTAGCAGCGTTGGAGAAACCGAGTGTGGTATCGGAAATACATGTGCTTGGAAAATGTGTGCCATTGACCCTACTTCAAGCTATGGTATCTACTTCGAAATCGCAAATCAAGGCGGGCCTGCGCCGATGCAGCAGGGTCCTCAACGTGGAATGATGCAATTCCTCACATACTACCAGCATTCTTCTGGCCAGTTCCACTTGCGAGTCACAACCATTGCTCGAAATCTCAGTGGCCCTGCTGGTGATCCGGCACTTGCCCAGTCCTTTGATCAAGAGGCAGCCGCGGTATTGATGTCCCGCATTGCTGTTTTCAAGGCCGAGGTTGACGATGGTCCTGATGTTCTCCGGTGGGTCGACCGCATGCTTATCCGACTTTGCTCCCGCTTCGCGGATTACAGAAAAGATGATCCGACATCATTCCGCCTTGAGAAGAACTTCTCCCTTTACCCACAATTTATGTTCCATCTCCGTCGAAGCCAGTTCTTGCAGGTTTTCAACAACTCTCCTGATGAAACAGCATTCTACCGACATGTCCTGAACCACGAGGATACTGGTAACTCTTTGATCATGATTCAACCCACACTCGATTCATACTCCTTGGAGCAAGAAGACAGCCAGCCTGTTCTCTTAGATTCTGCCTCCATTCAACCTACTCACATTCTCCTCCTCGACACTTTCTTCCACCTGCTCATTTTCCACGGAGAAACTATGGCCGAGTGGAGGAAAGCCGGTTACCAGGACCAAGAAGGTTATGAGAACTTTAGGGCCATATTAGAACAGCCAAAGGAAGATGCAAGGGTATGAATATTATCCATGACTTCCTTTGGTGTAGATAAACTAACTTTTTGCAGGAACTCATCGCAGATCGCTTTCCGCTACCTCGTTTCATCATTTGCGACGCAGGTGGCTCTCAGGCTCGATTCCTACTTTCCAAACTTAATCCTTCGACAACCCATTCAACTGGAGGCTATGGTGGCGGCGTGACTGCACAGACTATCTTCACTGACGATGTATCGTTACAGACATTCATGGAACATTTGATGAAGTGAGTTGAATCTCTGGTTCAGGATATTGGGTATCTCGCTAACATATGGGCTAGACTTGCTGTTTCAGGTACCAACTAGGCATGACGCAAAAGTGGCATTCTCCCAAACTACTAGGGTAACCTGCAATGTCTTCGCGTGGCTGTGTGTACCTTTAGCGGCTTTTCTCTTCGTCATTTCTTTCTAAAGTAGAATGAAAATTATACCATTCAAGTCTATTTTTACTAGCTACACATGTAAAGCGAAGTTCATACGACGAAAAGATCGTGTAAATTATTTGCAATAAAAGAAATTGAAAAAACAGAAAGACACACCGCAGCCATTTGCTCCACCACGGAAGTACATGTAAATGTGCGAATTGAGTGGGTCATATTAAATCAGAATATATAACTATATCTACTTTATCGTGTTTAATTTGATCATAAAAATCCAGATTTGTATATGAAATTGGTTGTAAATCACACGAGATTCATTGATTTGGTAGCATACGAACAGTATATCCGATGTCACAAAATATAACACGGCAATAATTTTAGCTTGAAAATCGTATATCATAATGTAATTAATGACTACCAGGCACAAAATAAGAGCAGAAAAAATGTTGTCTGGCATTGCAAAGTGTTGATTAAGGCAATAACGATATCATTGGTCAAGAGGCAATTAGCAATCCACTTTTTGGTCTAACCACCTTTGTCACCAGCCCCCGTCGTAAAGTCACGTGCCTTCGGCTAGCACACAACACTATCCAGAAAATTTTCGTTAACGTGGAAGTTTCAAGCTTGCGAGCCGTCTCCTACAAGCACAATAAACCTTCTCTACCCAAGGACGATAGACCACCTTACGCACCCTCGCCATGCGTAAGTATCATCTCCTTGGTGCGGCATCTTCATTGCCAGGCGACTGACTTGATTTTTCCTTTTTGAATAGCTCCCAAGCTCGATCCCAATGAGGTGAAGGTCATTCACCTGCGTGCCACTGGTGGTGAAGTCGGTGCTCAATCTGCACTGGCTCCCAAGGTTGGTCCTCTAGGTCTTTCACCCAAGAAGATTGGTAAGACAACCCAATTCCACACATGAACTGACCTCAAGTCTCAGGTTAGCGAGTATATGAATTCAGTTGCTAACAGCATATACAGGTGAAGATATCGCCAAGGCTACCGGTGACTGGAAGGGCTTGCGTGTCACCGTCAAGCTCACCATCCAGAACCGTCAAGCTGCGGTTTCCGTCGTCCCTTCGGCCTCGTCCCTCGTCATCAAGGCGCTCAAGGAGCCTCCTCGTGACCGCAAGAAGGAAAAGAACATCAAGCACACCAAGTCGATCCCTCTTGACGAGATCATTGACATTGCTCGTACCATGCGCTCTCGCTCCCTTGCCAAGGAGCTCCGTGGAACCGTCCTTGAGATCCTCGGTACTGCTTTCTCCGTTGGCTGCCGCGTTGATGGCCGCAGCCCTAAGGATGTGAGCGATGATGTCAAGTCTGGAGAGATTGACAGTAAGTTTCTTTTTATCTTCTGATACTCTAAATTTTGCCTTTTCTAACTTCATTATAGTCCCAGAGGAGTAAAATTTTCTTGTTATCGATATTTTCTTATACAGGCACTTGGCGTTTATATCGAGCTGTGCTAGATACGAAAATTGATGACCCAACAAAAATTTACGAGCTATGACCTTAGTCTCTAATGTAGTATATCATTTTGTTCCTTTCTTCTGATGGGCTCATTCCCGATACAGTCTACAGATGCTGTTGATAAACCCCTATTTTTCCAAGTCCTTTGCCACACTCTGGCCGTTACCGTCTGATTTGCCTCGTTCGAGGTCAGTTGGAATTGTGTTTCTACGGTATGGGCCTATTTTGGTGCAAAGAAGATAAATCCAGACCCACTACTCACCGCAATATTCTTTGAGGATTCGTTCTCAGGTGGATATGGTGGTCCATCTTTATGGTCTACATACATCTATGCTACATCAGTCATGTAGTATATGCCTACATGTAAATCGTAAGCAAGGCCATCAGCAGTAACCCAATTTGATGATCTACTCTTTGTTGATTGTTAAGACGAATCGTTAATGATATCTATCATCGTAGTTATTTACATTTCTACATTATTACCTTTCATTTGATAGTTCAACGTACCTATGTATACAAAATATGGTAATAATTCAGTCCTAACCTCGTGATATGCTAGGATCTAGAAGAACTCTCTAAGAAATACAACTTAATTCTACTATGTTCAAATGTAACTTCAAAATGATTCCTAAAACCTTGAAAATGAGTGCTTGTACTAGCATGCTTCATGAAGGTCTTGAATATGACCATATTTTTTCTTAAAAATCACATTCGACTTTAGGATCCACGGTCCATTATGTATATATGCTTGAGATGTTCTACTTATTAGGATAGGAGTCACGTCCACGAAACCAGGCCGCCTGAATGGAGCCATGTGCGAACTTCAACCACGTCAAACATTGAAGATCGCCGTCCACGTGTTACACATACCAATTTCCACGAAAAGAAATATACACTCAAAGAAAAATAAAGCATCTACGTAAAAGGTAAATGTAGTCATCTACTGAAAAAATGGACGTGTGGCATAAACGGGTGAACCTTTGGACATGCTGCTCGTGGCTCAATTGGTAGACAGGGGTTTCCTGGGGATATTATCAATATTCGACGTAAACTACAAACATAAAAATGCACGAAATCAATAGTACGTCACATACTAATCTCATCATATTAAATAGTTTCATATTTGACCGTGGATGCATCTACTTTCCCAACGCAGCTCCGACCATTCCCCGGCCACAAGTTATCACTCGGCATTTTCAGGGAACGGTATTGGCTTATGCACGGAGTGGCCGTGACCAAGTCGGCCGCCTGCAGGTACCTAGGCTTATTATTCCGGGGAGTGCAACCCATGCCAGCCTCCGGAGATGTGCTCAAGCCCTTCTGCGCCGGCACGAGCTTCTCTTGGATTACACCTTCCTGCAGTCAGCTTGATGTGGCTGCGGCGGTTCAGCTTTTCTGCCAAACTAGTCAATACTTATGGTTTCACAGAAGCAAAACATTTGAATGCGTTGTCAGGCGGTGTGCGGCTGATGCAGCGTCGTCACAGCCACAGTGGACACTGCAAGCAATAACCCCCACTAACAGGGAGTAAATGGGACAGGGTACAGGGGGATGCAGTAGTTCGGTGACAAACAAGGCATCAGCGATGTCAGACATACCTGTCCCACGAGTCGTCGCGAATCGCGACGCTCTTCGCCTCGCTAATTGCTTGAAGTAATATTATACTAATAATAATCAGGAGTAGCCAAGGCTGGTGGTGGCCGTTTCAGTCTATTGGTTTCTGATATCATCCGAGGCTACGACATTATGGGGTGAGAAATGCTCGGAGATATGCGGCGTGTCACACAAGGCAAGATCGGAAGCACATGATCGTGACACCTTGCATGTTTCTTGTTGAAATTGAGCACACTATATTAAGCCATTCCATCGATTACGATCATCAATCAATTGAAGTACGACCAAAGTCTTCAATCATCAACCCCCTGTGGTTGAGTCAGTGCCTGCATTTTGCAGAAGGTACGCCAAGCTCAAAGAGAAAAAAGATCGCGGGTGAAATGGGGAATGACAGGTGGGCAGAATTGGGCTGAGCTAGTAGTTTAGCTCTCCGCAGCGATTCGGATTTCTATCGTTGAATATTAACATGTATTTGGATGGTTGTTATGGAGAGAATGATGGAGAGAGCTCCAGCGGGTGGGTCAATTCTTGGTGGCCACGTCCGAAGTATTCCAGAGCAAGCCTGCGAGAGGGCTAGAGCACATATTCATGATGGCTTTAATCAACATATACAGTGTACAATGTAACAACATGGCCCTTGGCGTCCAATGACGGTGGCGTGGGCGACGAATGTAGGAGTATAACAGTACTCTGTACAAGGGTCTATATGTGAGTGGGCATAATTGGGTCCGGGGGTTGACGATCATCGCACAGCTATTCAACAATCAAGATTATTGCAATGTGGCAGGCCCACCAACAAGAATGAGAACGCTCTGGCGGATACCAACTCCGTAGTCATATCGAGAGCGGAGTATAATAGACGAGAGGCTTTAGAGACGGTGTCACGACCACCAACCAAGCAAGTCAATATGATATCCGAGCAACGAACACGAACTCTCTTTGACAACAGGATAGAAATAGGGATTTGCGAGCACGAGGCAATCTGCGTCGACTGCTGGATGCATCATTCATGATTGCTCCAACCCCACAAATCAATCCGCCCGATGACCTCACTGCCTGTCGATCTGTGCTGCGAGAAGGGAAAAAAGAAAACAAAGCGTTGAGTCGCAGCAGCGGTGTCATGTCGGATTCACTATTAGCAATATTTTGCAGCAGAATGGTAATACGTACATATATCATCATAATAACCGCGGAAGAAGGCAACGGCGTTCTGCATATGTAATGGGCATGCACCATCTCAATCGGGCTCGTTCTTGGCATCTGGGCACGATCCTAGTCCCCCTTGCTCTGTAGATATATTAGTAGAGCCTGTAGAGTACCAGTACAATTAGTACACTTCAATATCTAAATGTTGATATTATTACTATCTACTTGGTTCTGCTTAGTCCGGCTTAGTACTGCTTATTAAGATGGATACCTCAGATCAAATGCATGATGCCGGTACTGGCTCAGCCTACGTAAGTAGAGTCAGCCACTTCTAACCTTGTTTTGGCATTGACATTGCTGATGCAACGCTTCGGGCTAGGATTATGACTTGCCCTCTGGCACACCTGGAAGAAATCGGTTAGAGCACTGAAACAAAGATAAGACTCTCGACTTTTTTATAATAATAACTAGACTCTTAAATCATGTTGACGTGTTGGAAGACCCAGGCTGGTCAACACTACCCCGGTCTAGCCCCGCGGCTCCGGCCCATCATTGGCTGATCCCCAGTTTATTTAGCTCCCTGGATTTTTTTCTTAATAAAACAATAATAGTCCTACTCGATACCTCGCTCTTTCAGCTCTTTTCCTTGGTCTGTAGGTCACGTGGCAAGCTGACCAACATCGAGAGATGTGGTATGACTATGTAATATGTATTGGTTATGGTCATGATATGAGAATTATGATTAGCAAGGTACGAATTGCCAGAAATGCAGAGAGCCTGAGACCCGCCTAGGATTGCTTGACTTCAATTCGGGATCCGCACTAGCGACAGTGATTGGCCCGAGCTGCAGCCCAGAGCTAGTTACAGCCCACGGCCCAGGCTGAAGCGCTCGACGGTCGACCTGAAGCAGAAGAATGCTTGATCCCGAATAGGCTATATACTACTAGATATATATATGTAATATGTAGTACGCATCAGCGGAGCGCTGTCTATGGTGTTGCTAGTTAGTGTGCTTGTCATACTGTCAGACTTCGTTGGCCACTGTCATAACCATTCATATGCTGGAGCGGCCGTGCTGCAACCTGTATGGTGACCGTGGTCATTCATGGGGCGGAGCACAGGCAGCCACCGGCCAATTAACGGGCGGCCAGACTGGGCTGGAGCACTGTGTGGGGGCTGGGCGTTCCTTGTAAGATGTTGAACCTGGCTTGGCCCGTCCTGACTGGGCCGCGGGGTCAGATCGGCTGCCAGCTTGCCGCAGATTCCACCGCGCTAAGTCGCGCCACTCCAGCCCAGGTGGGGACATCCTTAATGCAATGGTATGATCGCCCATTATTATTGTGCCCGTCACGCTCTCTTGAAGACGGACTGCTGCTGCAAGAGAGACGAGATGTTCAATATTGAGCTTATATTCTCCGTGCTATCAGAGCGACTATTGTGAGTGATGAGCATGGCGATTTCTGGCGGTACCAAAACAAAGCTGATGCTTTCCAAAACTTTGATTCTGACTCGGTCCTCGAAGCCCTATGGAGCCACCCATCGTGTTAAAGCAGCCTCCCGGGTGGTCTTTTAGTCTGGCACTAAGCAATACGTACCTAGTCAGACTCGCACCAGTGCGATTTTTTTTCCCACTTTTTCATTTTCGCATTATTATTTAACAAAATAAATTAATATTATTGGTGTCGGTTCCACCGAGCCTGGACTCTGGAGAACCCAGAAGCTGATGAAGGCCAGCTGGATTCTCAATGTGGGTATTTCAAGTAGTCCCTGCAAATAAACAGAAGGATATCAAGCCAGGGTATTAATAGGCTCGTGAAGGAGCGACTATGCGGGGTCTCAGAGACAACTAACAGACTGCTAATCTCCTGCTCGAACGACAATGGCAGATGCCCTCCCCTAATAATAATGCCGAGTCACTGTTGTAGACGGATAAAAATAGACCATCCAAGGAAAAGAAACTAATTAGTGCCTGGCTGCGGACTATGGATTGCAGGTTGTATGCAGTGTAATATCATAGTACCATTAATATAAATCTCTTCTCCTCGATCGGAGCGCTGCTCTCTGGCTCAACCATTTCAATTTTTCAATGCTTTCGAGAACAATCGGCCAGGACACGGGGCGAGGATCAGCACCATTGACGATGACTAGTATAGTCTGGTATAGTCTAGTATAGTGCGGGCTAGCGTGCAGCAGGGTGGAGCAAACTGCTGCAACCGTCGAGCCCACCGGTGCAAGCAGCAGCACACATGACGCGGCGGGGGACCAGCAAAGGTTAAAGGGGGTGACTAACAAAGGACCCTTTTGCTATCGACTATCACAGGATGACTATGACGATGACTAAGTTAGTTATCGAGGAGAGAGTACGCTGTACAGGGCTAGTGAATGAGCGGACAGACTAGCAACACGAAACCGAGGCGGACGGCAGTCGGATGGCTCCGAGCAGTCAGCACCAGACGTACTAATTAACTAACCAGTAACCACATAATAAGAGCATGGTAGTAAACGATGGGAGGCGGCAGTATAATTTTTGCTTCCTGGAGGGGACCGCGCTGCCATAGGCTGGGCGCCCGCAACGTCGGATCGCAGAGCGTGGATCGCCCCGTCGCGGGCATCGTTAGGCACGCGCTGGGCCAAGGGCACCTACCTTCTAGCCGCCGCCCCTCCTGCCCACAAAGTTGCCCACAGCCCAACCACAGCCTCCCCGGCGGTCCCTTCCCAACGCGCCCACCCACTGGCACCCATTATTGGCACCCACCGCCCACCACACCTTCCCCCTGCCGCTCATAGTGCTAATCGCCTCCACTGTGGTTGAGGAGGCCCACGGTCCACCTGAAACTTCCAACGGCTCTCCAGCAGCACCACTACCACCACCAAGAAACCAAGCTGCGATTCTTCTTCGATTCCTTGTCCTGCACTCCTTCCATCTGCGCCTGCCATCTGCATCCACACAGCCGATGAGAGAGACAAGAAGGGCAGAGAGGAGGAAAGCAACAATACAGCAACGCATGCCGCCTCTTGTTTGATTCACACATTCAGCATCTGTCACCCCAGTCCGTTTGGCGTGCCCCATCTCCCGCAGCAATAACATCAATAACGATCACCGCCACCACTCAAAAAGTCGGCACTCCCTTTGGAGTGCCCTCCTTCCCCGGATACCTGCATACTTGTGTGTGTGAGTGGCCGATTGGAACACCATCGTCTTGGCGGTGACTCCCGCCAGTGCCTGTTTCCTCCCTTGCATTAACACTTGGCCCTTCAGGAATTCCAGCTGCTCAACTCCATCTCAGTTCGATACCTTCTGGAAGCTCCGTCTAGCATACCGGCGCCCTCCGTCGATTAGTTCCATCGCCCCCGATTGCACTGTCACTGCCCAATCTTCCCGCGATTGAACTTCCGAACCAATCTCTTCCATGGTCTGGGTTCTGGCCGCTCTGCATATACTGACCAGTTCATGATGCGGTGTCGAAAACGTCTCAAGGATCACGCTTGTGGATGAACGCTCTAGCAGCACACGGATACCCGCCAGAATACCCAAGTCTCGACGTTGATTTGCCTCGATAATCTAAGTTGACTGGCAACAAAACCGCGAAATTCAATATTAACAGCCGCCTACCTCTCGTCCCGTCTACCTCCCAGCAGGGCGGTGGCAGGTGGTTGGCGACACATATACCACCACCATGTTGCCATCTGTAGCTCTTCCCACTCCCCATTTCCAACCACATCACCACATAGATCGCCGCCTCAATTATGATATACTCGCTCCTCCTTACGACCTGGGTCGTGTCGGCCTCCCGGGCCCATCCTTACAGCAAAATTCCCACAACAAGTTTACCGGTGCGAGCCCTCGATCACGATCCCAGTTTGCTCATCCAGTTCAACGGCCAATCCCTCACGAAGCACGCGCCACCGACCGAAACACCATAAATATCAAAGTAGGCGAACATACATTAAGGAGGAAGACCCCGAACGGAACGTTGGCCGCAGGCTACGATGGCACTCCCACAGATCGAGCAAATCAACCGCCAGCCGCGAAACACATATTAGTCTCGTCGCTTGATAACCGACAACTTCCTCCGTCGCAATTGCCTCTAACCGTCGATAATTGGCAACCTGAGCAGCATAGTGTATCCCTCCAATATCAGAATTTCCCGCCATCTTTCAGGCAGGATGTTTGTCGAAATACCGTCACATTACCCATCGAGAAATTTCAAACAGGAACGGGGCCAAGCTGGGTTCGGTCGGTGAACTTCCAGCCAGGCATGGATTCAGTTCTACATCAATCACTACCCATGCTTCAATCTCAGCAATATTTTATCCAAAATGGCCCATCCATCCCAACCGTCCTTCCAGCTACACTTCAGCCATGTCTTGGTCCAACTGCTCCAGTCGGTACTGGTCCATATGGTCCATATTGGCCAGACGGTGCTTACATACCATATCGACCTGCCGCTCTCCGTGACTCGCGCTTTGACGTCGCATCGCCATTATCTCCCGAGCATAATCCATCCCCTTTCGATATACAGCCACCATTGTTAGGCCATACATCTTTTGCGACTGCAGCCTTCTCAAATCCAGGCTTTTCATGGAATCAATTACCTCCCGGTCCCGTCAACCAAGACGCCTTAGTCCAGCAAAATTTCCCTCCTCGCCATTCTCATCAGAATGCTTTCGGCCCCGCCAAGGATCAGCAACAACATTTGCCCTACCACGTTCGCGCCGCCAGTAGGCTGAACCCGGAGGCTGCCTGGCATAATAGCCAAAGTGTTCCCCAGTCTCTTGTGGAAGCGCACTCTCGAGTACGAACAGTAGAATTCAAAGAAAAGGTGTTGTCGTGGGCTCACGGCGTATACGTTGATCTGCTCGCCACTCTTCACCATGCACGGAAGCAGAGCATTTCCAGATCTGCTGCGGGCGGACAACCCCAACGACCACTCAAACCGAGCATTTATCCCAAGCCTCCTCGACAACCAGGCCTAGACTTTTCATCTCACCCTAACCTACCACGCCATAATAGCTACCCATCGTCAAGATTTGATGTGCTTCCTCCAGGCTCTTCTCACCTGAACAACAAAGGTCGACAGTCTGAAAGGCCCCTATCTGAGTTTATGTACAGTCAGAATTCTGCAAAATCGCAGCAAACGGAGGCCCTTCTTACCCATAGGAGAGCCTCAGGCACACCGCTCTCGAAATTGGTTAATTCTAGTGACAATAATATTATGGCAACCGCAGCATCTGCATTGGAAATGCTGTCTCATCTATGTAGCGAGAGTAATTGGCAATGGATCGAAGGTATGTTATTGGGTGGTTGTTTGGCATATGGTCTGGGAGATTATGAAAAGGCCACGAGATGGTATACTAGGATCATCGCCAAGGATTCTGGGTAAGTCACCCAATGACGTTTCTTTGTTTTCTTCACTAACCGCATATACAGGCATGTTGAAGCAATCAGCAACCTTGCTGCAACCCTTTTAGCTCTTGACAAGAAGGAGGAAGCACTCCAGCATTGGCTCCGTGCTGTCAAGTTGCGTCCAAGTTTCTTTGAAGCTGTTGAACATTTGATAAATCTTTTGTGCACCAGTCACCGCGGCAAAGAGGCCGTGAACATCATTGATTATGTGGAGAAGAATTTGCGTGTGGCGAGAAACGGTGACTGCTTCAGATCTGATGAGCATGCAAGCGAAACCGAAAGCGATGCCGACAGCACAGCGTCTTATGACCGAGCAGCCTTTGATTATGACAACGACCTGGATAACGCCCTAGCCATGAAAATCAATCTCAACGACTCTGTATCTGCTGGCTTTGCATCAAGTGGCTTTGCTATTCCTGGCTCTGACAATGGCAGAATGCTGGCTCTTGTTCACGCAAAAGGAAATATGCTTTATGCTTTAGGTGACAATGCGGGTGCTGCTACTGCATTTGAAGAGGCCATTTTAATCGCTGCTGGCCGTCGACGCCGCGGTATGAAGAGTCTCATCAAGCAAATTATTGACGCTTTTACTCTCTCTCGAAATGGATATCACCCTGTCATTGACAGCGAAGATTTGAGAGAACCTATCCTTCTACTGCCAGACAAAGCTCTTCAGACGGCTAGTTTGGTGTTTCCACCTTACGGAAACCCGCCAGGTCTACAATATGTTGCCGAAGGCTTGGCCAAGAAAGCCGCCATCTCGACAACAAGCAATTCTTTGCTGTCGCTAGCTAAGATTTATCAAGATGGCATGTCGACCATGTCCACAAATGGTGCTGCCAAAGCTGCAGCCATGTCTGGAGTAAGAGACATTTTGGCGCTCTATTATCTTTCCCTCTCCCTCCAACCCAGTCCATCCACGGCAAACAATGTTGGCATACTCCTTGCCAGCATTCAACACAATAGACCTGGTAGGGTTCGATCACGCTCACATTCTGGCAAACCCGTTCCGCCATCAGACATCCCCGGCGTTGGCCCAAGCAGTGGAATCTCGTTAGCTTTGGCATACTACCAGTATGGCTTGAAGCTAGACTCCAAACACGCCCACCTATACACAAATTTAGGAAGTCTACTGAAAGACATTGGGCAACTCCAGCCCGCCATCCGGATGTACGAACAGGCAGTCCAATACGATGGTAATTTCGATATTGCTCTAGCGAATCTAGCCAACGCTGTCAAGGATGCAGGTCGTATCAACGATGCCATCACGTACTACCAAAGAGCCGTCAAAGTCAATCCCGACTTCGCCGAAGCCGTTTGCGGCTTAGCAAATGCGTTGAATTCTGTCTGCAACTGGACGGGTCGTGGTGGCGTTCTAAATGGATACGGGTTTACAGATCGCGTACATGTTGACGACAATGGTTTGCCGCACGACGTCAACTCAGTCCAGGTTGGATTTGGCTGGATGAAGCGTGTAGTAGATATTGTTGACAAACAGCTGAAAGATGGCGAAGTTTGGGGCCGGGGCATGATGACACCTCAAGTCCTCGAGCAATTATCTGCGCAAGTATCGTCAGTAGCCCAGTTCGGCCTGAAAACTAAGAACTTCAATGCCTTGCTACGATCCTGGGCTGGTCAAAAATGGGAAGGGTCCCGCATTGTGAAGTTGGTCGAGCGTGTCATACGTGCCATCACATGGCAATGGTATCAGGATCGCCATGTGTCTGGAAAAGAATTTCCTCTTTCGAGGTACCGAAGGCCGCAGCTACCAGCTGGTCTCGCAGCACCGAATGCTCCGACTGTTCTTCCTTTCCACACATTCACTTGCCCCCTATCCGCAAAGCAAATTCGTCATATTTCGCAGCGGAATGGCCTACGGATTTCTAGTGCAACCCTTCGATCACCATGGCTTCCGGGTACAGTTTATCCACCTCCTGAGCCCCCAAATCCTTATCTCAAAGTCGGATACGTTTCATCGGATTTCAACAACCATCCTTTAGCGCATCTCATGCAATCCGTCTTCGGATTCCACAATCCCAACAGGGTCAGCGCATATTGCTATGCGACTACCCCCAGCGACAATTCTTCCCACCGTCACCAAATCGAACGTGAGGCGCCAGTTTTCCGAGATGCAAGCAGTTGGCCTGTCGATCGATTGGTAGACCAGATTGTGAGAGATGGAATTCATATATTAGTGAACTTGAACGGTTATACCAGGGGCGCACGCAATGAAGTTTTCGCTGCTCGTCCCGCTCCAATCCACATGTCTTTCATGGGTTTCGCAGGAACTCTAGGGGCTGAATGGTGTGATTACATTCTCGCAGACGAGCTATCTATACCTCGTGACACTCTCAGCCCTGGTAGACGGGATTACCATATCGCAGATCGTCCGTTCGAAGAAGATCATGGAGAGGAACTTGAAAACTGGGTGTATGGGGAAAGAATAGTATATACACGAGACACATTTTTCTGCTGTGACCATAGACAAAGTGCTCCGGGCAGCGAAGATCCAAATATATCTTGGGAACGAGAGCTGGAAAGGCGTTGGAAGATGAGAAAGGAGCTTTTCCCTAATCTCCCTGATAACGCCATTATTCTTGGTAATTTCAACCAGCTTTATAAGGTGAATATTCCTTTTCTTCTTCTTATTATGCAGTGCTAACGTTAGCTATTTGTAGATCGAGCCTACAACGTTTCGTACGTGGCTTCGCATACTTTCGGACATTCCACAAGCTGTTTTGTGGCTACTTCGCTTTCCTGATGTCGGAGAACAGAATCTAAAACAGTGTGCAACTGCCTGGGCCAACGAAGAAATTGCATCCCGCATCATGTTTACGGATGTGGCACCAAAACAAGCGCATATTGCCCGTGCTCAAGTTGTGGATCTCTTTCTAGACACACCCGAATGCAACGCGCACACCACTGCCGCTGATATTTTGTGGAGCGGCACGCCGATGTTGACATTTCCTCGTTATAAGTACAAAATGTGCTCACGCATGGCGTCGAGCATATTGTCAAGTGCTCTACCGGACTCTGAAGCGGGCCAACAAGCCAGGAAAGAGCTCATTGCAATATCTGATGAAGATTATCGCGATAAAGCGAACCGTCTGTGTCAGGATCTGCGGTTTGACCCGAGTGGTCACGGACAGGGAACCGGCCGCCTTATCAGTTTGCGGAAATTGTTGTTTACAACCCGGTGGCAGAGTAAGCTTTTCAACACCCGTCGTTGGGTTAGTGACTTGGAAGATGCATACGAGAAAGTCTGGAACGCCTGGGTAATGGGAGAGGAAAATGACATTTGGTTATGATCTGAGTTTGTTTTCGTTGCCTTCATGTTCAACTTATATACCCATTAGTTTTACATTTTGTTTTTTGACTTTTTCTTGTTTGATGTCATGAATTTGCATCGCTTGTGAACAGATAGCTTTATGTCATGTATGATGCACAAGTAATTTGAGCGATTGGTTCCGTTTTTGCTTGGAATTAGCGACATGCATGGAAGAATCACGAAAAGCAACGATTGGTATTGGCTGTTCTTCTCGGGTTGGCGTTTGAACATGATACTCGAATTCAAGAGATTACATGTATCTACAGATCTTTTTGCGTGGTTTTAATTTTCTTGGCGGCGTTCAAATCGGTATAGGGCTAACTGGCTAACAGGCATGGCGTGGCAGAATCTTTGGTGTTTTCAAAGATCGGATGTCCATATTTTTGGAGGAAGGTTTCCAATTGTATTATTTCCTGAGGTCATGACAAATCTATTTCACAGCATTTGCATTTCGGATATGTTATGACTATCTTGGCATATATATTACCACATACGAATATTAACATGTTGATATGGGAGTTCTGAAATACATGTATCATCGATTGAATTGATGTCAATGCCTGATGATATCATGGGGATATCGGAGTTCGGCCTAAAGGACCCCAAGGTTTCAAAAATGGAAATGCAAGAGAAACAGTGACGACTGCCTGGTTTCCTGTTGTCTCCCATCCCGAGACTCAGGTGGTTGAAGTGACGTGAATTGATTGGTGATGAACACTCATCAACTAGGCCATCCTTGATATTTACGGCTTCACCAAATAACGGTATACAAAATTACTCAAGGCACTAAGTAAAATTATAAACCAAGTACTCTAGCAATACAGGACGCATTAAAGGCGATATTCATAGTGCTCTGAGTAAGAGGGAAGAAAGAAAGATCGTTTCTAGCGTATACCCCTATCTCAATCGAAATCAAGTAGAGCGGTAGTCTATAATCTATTCATTCACCAGTATGGTTACTGCAAAGAGCGTATAATTATCTCTCACATCAAACTAAACTTCCACATTTACGCATCATCGGTTCTACACTTGAAATGTACGTATCGGTAGGGCAGTAGGGTATGTACCGTCACGTGCAAACAATGAAGGGATTTTAATATTCGTCCACAGAGCCTTCTTCAAGGAAGCAGCGAAGGGTTTCTACCCTCTTCTAGATATAACCAAATATTCAATACCCGTAGACTTCAACGCCAGCATCATCGCATTCAGCAGCGCATTGTTTGATGCCGCCTGAGGCACCAAAGGGGACGCACAACTTCCGGAAATCGTCTCCGTGCCAATGGATACGTAATAGGCCCGCGCGTATGCACGTCGTATTTAGTACATTTACGACGAGTCAAGAAACTGCTTAGCGAACCTTCCAACAAACTCAGTGAATTTGCTTAACATTTTATTCTATTATGACTATGTGCAACAGATCACGAATGCAAAAGACCGACTGATCTGTCGAGAATTTCAGTTATACAATATTTGCTGTAGTAGTAGAGGGAGGAATTAATTTATTAATGAGACATTCGTATACGCATTTATTTTCCCAATTAGGTAATTCAGCACATATTGGGGGTGAGATTCATATCGGGTTTCAGTACGCTATTCTCGGTGGTCTATCTCAATAATGAAAATAATAACATGGGCTGTTAAGTGCTACTATGTATCTTGTACAGAGATCAGATTCCGGGCTCAAACAATAGCTCCTCCGCACCTTTTTTATCGTTCATATAGTTGCTTCGGTGGGCACCTCTTTCCCGAATTGACTTAAATTCCACTTTGGCAGCCGTGTGGCTATGGCATGAGTGTTCCAACTTAACAACTCTCTGGTTATACCTGCAGCAGGCATTCGCATCCCCCCTAGCCCCCATCCGACCAGCAAAACAGACTAATCGCCCTGCATTGAGATCTTCGTTGTATCTACTATTGGTTTGTCCAATTAAATGACAGTACATAGGGTGGGTTGAAGGCGGGCCACAAAATGGCTGGTTACTAAATTAGGTCCCAACTTTTTCTTGCCTCGAAGATCATCCAATAAATGGCCGACGATTCAAGGAAGAACATATGCGTATTCCCAAATTTTTGGGAAAACAGAGCACTAGTCCTGATTTGGATAGACCCTCTTCTGACAGGAAAACGGGCAAACAAAAAATACTACTTACTGGTCTGCTACATTACGAATACTACGACGGAGCACTGGGATGGCCATGCAATGAGATCGCAGCTGTGGTGCCATCGTTCCCACTTGTCCATTTCTCCGAGATCGAGCAGCATTAACGAATTTTACGCCCGTGCATGAATAATGTGAGAGGGCTCACGATTCCAGATCGATTATCTCCACGAGCGTCGTACGAATGGTGAAGACGGATTTGCACCGAGTATTGTATAACCTCACAAAGGTCATCTGTCCATCCATCAATCGAGCGCATGATAGTCGCAGCTCTTATTACCGGGATGGAACTTGATTGTTTGCTCAGGCTTAAATCTAATTCCAGAATTCATATTTATTTACTGTAGATTGTTTGTATACAGATAAGGGTGCCGTACCTGGTTTTCTTACAGACGTTCCTCAAAGTCGGTACTCCATACATGAGTGGATCATGAACACCTTGCCTCGGCAAGTCCAGTTCTGTTAGTATCGCCATGCAAAGAACGTCATGCTCCATAGACGCGCAACAATATTGAGAGTATCCTGTAGAGCAAAGACCCTGGACGAATGAAATGCCTCGAACGGGAATAGCTTGATTCTCTTATTCTCCGCACCAATATTCTTGAGTGTTGGGCGACACCGCGATCGCACCACGAAGTGCGGCGAGACACGGATTATTTCATGGCTTAGGGGCACGGCTAGGGTCTGTGAGTAAACAAATAGTGTGCTAAACATTCCGTGGTAAATGATGATAGCGTACGGAGACTCCGTTGCACGGTTGGAAACGCACTAACTTATTAGAGCGGAAAGAAAAGAGGCAGATGAGATTGAGTTCTGAATCTCAGATGTGCGCTAAGCCGTTCCGAGGCCAAAGTTCACCTGAGTATTCCAAATAAATGTAGCCAATGGAGCGCGGGGAAAATGATCCCCGGGTGGAGCCCGAAGTCTAAATGTGGTCGCCGACGCCTTCGGTGACCACGGCGGCGACTTACACGTAGGGCTACCGGTGGGGAAGCGCCAGCCGGTGCAGGGAACCCTGGGTAACCTCTGGCCAGTGACTGGCTTGCGGGCTTAAACGACCCAAATAGCCCCTGGCCTGTCCTTGCCCTTGCCGTTGGGACCCACCCGCACCCGTTGCCATTTAGTGGTAGTGGCTTGAGACGTATCACTTGCTTCCACCACAGATCTTCAGTCTTCTAGAGACACAAAAGCCCAATTTAGCGCCCTCAGCATAGTAATAGCCGTTTTGAGCGATCGGGAAATAGAGCTCAGACTCTACGCCTAAACCCGGGAGGCTGATTTAAGCGAGAACTGGACGATGCAGGATTCCGCCCGTTGTGCACTGAATCATAAATATTTGTTCCATCAACCATGAATAGGAATATAGTGTAACGGCCATGGTGGTAATCATAATGGAAATGTTTGGTATAGAGGCGATTCTCAAAGCACAATTTCATATATTACTTTCTCCAAAAGGAAGGTCGAAGATGGTTACGGCGAGCTGAGCAAGATGGCTTCATTTGACTGGTAACAAATGAAGAACTCGGATTTCTGGCGGTCCGATGAGCATCTGCGGCGGATCGGCTGTGCATCATCTGCGCAGGGTCCAATCAACTGCTTGAACCGGGAATATATTCTGCTTCAGCCAGAAAAATGCGGGTATATTACAAAGCGCTAAGATGCTTATTAGACTGCTATATAGAGCGGGATGGTGGGAGCTACACTATCAACTACAATGACAAATGTCCGATCAATAGTGTCAACTTGCAAGAGCTAGTACAGAGCTATATGATCGTCAAGCCTAGATGCTGTTATCATAGTGCTTTAATCCCGAGGAATAACGACATCGTCATAAGCACCCTACGGAGCACGGTATTGTGGCCTGTGTTCTCCTCATGCGCTTGTCTTCGGATGGAAGCCTGTCAGGGATATACGAAGCTGCCGCAGCTAAGTCATCTGAAACGAAAAATACAAATAATAAATGACGGCTATGTTCACACGGCATGGTAGCATCCAGTGGCAACATGCTGTGGATAGAAAAATTATAAGAAGAATAATAATTTAAATAATGCAATGTACATCGAAGCTGTACTATATCCATCTGCTGGCTGGCTGGAAGCTCGCGCCACATTTAGTGTCGTCAAGCGCCTATTTCCAACGGTCATGGTTAGCACGGACACTGCCCGAGCCAATCACACTGCCGCAGTCCCTGACTAGTCCCGAAAGGGCATTTGGTAGCAACGGCCGACAGCCGTTGCCGCGTCACGTGCTTGGATCTGGTAGTGCCTAGCATCATAATAATAATAATGCCATATTGTGTAAATGTTGATGCAGTAGAGATTTACAGATGTACTGTTGTGACTACATGCACAGATCATATCCGCTACCATCTATCGTGCTGTCGGGTTATTGTATGTTGGGCCAGCTGTGATCTGTGTCCGTATAATGCGGTAGGATATACGATTCTCAACCCCCCCCACAACCAGATCCAGAGCCGAAAAGGGGCAGCTTGGCCTACTGGAATAACGTCAGGCCGAATTCAGCGGCATGGACCGCTGGTTATCCATCTCAATGTTTGGTAGAGAGAAAAATTTTTCCTGCCAAGTCATATTCATAGGAGTGACATGGCTTGTCGATCTTATTGGAAGCTGTTAGATGAAGTAATCTAATGCGATCGATAGACCAAAAATTCGACGACCCGATGGCAAGGATCGAGCAAAGCTATATGAAATGTTATTATGATTTTAAGTATTGTGGTAGTAGCATCAGGCACTTGCTACTCCGGAGTATATAGCATAAGCCGATATTAGATAGAGTTCGCATGACGGAAGCTGGAAGCCTTGCTGGGTCCCGAGCAAGGCCGAGGACGTATGAGAAGCTCGAAGGGAGCTGCCAACGAGGAGATGGGGAGGCTGCGGCGTTAGTGACAGGCTGACGCGGGGCGTTGCAGGGACCGTGCTGAGAAAATCATTGAAGGGGTTTGCGAGGTTAAGAGTTTTGGGGTCAGGGCTGGCTGAACAGGGCAGGTTGGCTGTCCCAGAATGGAAAATCAAGTGGCTGCCGCTCGGGAATCGAGTCCAGTTTGGGCGAATTGGACTAGCCGTACTCGCCGGTTGATCGCTCAGGCGGCGCCATGATGGTCAATCAATCAATCTGCGACTGAGTCGTGGGCATGGCTACTTTAGTATGATTATTATGAGGTTTAGCCCAGTATCAGTATTACCACGGCCAGTAGCTAGCGCCGTAGCGAGTAGCCGCCAATCACGCGCCGCCCGATGCGAGCACGGGGGGCTATGCTGGCGACGCAGCGTCTTGGATGGCCCCTGGCATTCACACCGGTGCACTGGATCGCCCACTGACTGGCTGCCGCTGTGCCATGCTCGTACGCCATGTTACGCCTGCCAGGTATGATGTATGTCATATGAAAAATAACAAAACAGCAGCATCCTCCTAGAGTCTTGCAGTCTGATTCTCCTCGTCCTGCCCCGCTGTCTCGTCCCGAAAGGGCAACTCATCACAGCCAGCCAGTCAGCCAAAAGAACTGCGGGATGAAGATCCAGAGCGTCCGTTGTGATGTCTGAAAAGCACGCCGATTAGTATTGGCTGTTATTATTTATTATATTCATTCGTATTATTGCTATTATTGTTCATTATCACCATTACTATTATTGCCCCTATAATACTTGCCGATATATGATCCACTGCTCTGCCGCATTTACATTTAGAGTTTCTGCCTGACAACGAGTCAAGCAAGTGCTAGACCGTCTCGTACAGTCCCGATCCCCTGCAAGTACCAAGTTGCCTTTCTACTAGTTAGTGAGTAAACTACGTTGTACGCGCTGTAGTACCTCCACCCGTCAATACTCGCACACACACACTCTCTCTGTCACTCGCACCCTCCTCATGCTTATACCCATGCCCATGCTCATGCCACCTCGAACCTGGCCCAGTCCCTCTCTAGTCTCTTCTGGCCATCCATCCCCCGGCGCCTGCCCTGTCTCCGTCATTGGTCGTGCTAGCATCGTCGCTTAGACCCCTGTCATCCCGCCGTCCAGCTGCTATGTTCTATATCCACTCCGTCGGTGTCTCCTCCATTACCTAAGTTAGTTTTCCTGGCTTAGTCGTCCTAGTCGTCCTAGCCGTCCTAGCCCCGAAGATCTTAGATCTGTGACTTTTGCCCCATGTTCTTGACTGCTGCGTACCTGGGCCCTGCTTAGCGCCCTCCGCCAAAGTACTACATATCTCCTAGGTGCCGCCTCCCTCGGGCTGCCAGTCAGTCCCATCATCATCACCGTCACTATCACAACCACTGTCGTCGTCGACCACCACATATTCGCTTCCTCAACAACATAAAGTGCCATTCTACAGTAGACTCTACGCCACACGAGAGTTGCATTCTACCTCGTACAAGACAGTCGGGTGAGTAAAAGTTGTCTCTAAACCCCTCTTGCTCCTTCTACACCCCACTAGGGCGGCCATTGTATTTGGTATATAGCCTAGTCTTCTCTTTGTTGTATACCTACCTTCGACTTTCTTTGCTTTTTTAATACATCTGCTTGACGGCATCTTTATGAAGGTTCATCTAACATGCGACTTAGGCTGTCACTGCATTCCACATTAATATGGCACCCACTCACCGCCGTGGTCCTTGGGTCCCAGAAGAGGACAGCACTCTGATGCAGTTGGTACACGAACAAGGTCCCAACAATTGGGTTCGCATTTCTCAGCAAATGCAGTTCCGGTCTCCCAAGCAATGCCGGGAAAGATTCCATCAGAACCTCAAGCCATCGCTCAACCACACCCCCATATCCGCAGAGGAGGGGCTGATGATCGAGCGCATGGTTAATGAAATGGGAAAGCGCTGGGCTGAAATTGCCCGCAGACTTGGTAACCGCAGCGATAATGCGGTTAAAAACTGGTGGAATGGTAGTATGAACCGCAAGCGGAGAGGCTTGGTGGTCCAGACAGGACACCCATCTCGCACTTGCAATGGCCGAATTGAGGCCCCATATCCACGAGCCAGCGACAACATACGTCGATCATCATGGTCATTCAAAGGCCATCCCGACGGAAGCCCAGTCGCCGTCTCTCACCTGATTCACGAACGGTCTGACTCTCCGAACAACAACCGTCGTTATCTTGCACCCGTTGTTACCTTTAGCACTCGACCTGTGGAACCGTCTATGACATCCCCCGCCTTCTCGGAGGTATCTACGCTTGATCCACCATCTTTAGTTTCTGATCACAATTCTGTATCTTCTGCTTCCCCTCGGACACTACCTTCGCCTCAGATGCTACCTCTTCCAGTTGACGTTCGTCAGGTCTACGTGGAGCGTCGTTGCAGCGTGCCTACTTTTTTACAACATACTAATTCCTCGAAAGAAGATATTTATGTGTCTTCTGACCCAGATGCGAACGCGGTGCGAAAATGGGAAAGCGAATACCACAGTCCTCAGCCATTCAAACCGTCAGGCCATCACTACTCCAACTCTGTGCCGGAAGCAACAGAATCTCATGAGGACCGCCGAGACTCTCGCATGGGTCTAAAGTCATTACTGAATTAATTCTTATGTTTCTTATGCGAATTAAAATCATGGCGTACTGGTACTATTGTTTTCTTAATGGGTATGCTGGGGCGGGGTCTATTACTGGGATATGGTTATGGACACCAAAAAGGGATTTTACACACAGTTTATGGGAACGGTTTCTAGGCGGCAAATAGGCAGCATTTCTGGCGTGTGATTTGATATGTTATGTTCTACTATACATAGTTTTACTTGTTCTCCTATAATGTATATTATTGTCATTCTATGCAATCTCTAATGAGCCTCGTTGTATGCGAGGAATTTGAGAGCGATTTCAACAGATACAAGAAATTAATTACATTACAACAGACGGTAATCATCTGCATATGCTACGACTGTCATAAGCCTGCAGATGTCTCGTGCTCGACTATTTTTGTCATTTTGTCTTGACGAGTGGCGAGCCCTTCTTTTGCAAGGAAGCCCAAGCCGACGGGCCTGCCTCGTGACATGAAGGCGCCGATTAGAAGCAAGGAGACTCCCAGGCGCTTTAGTTTCTTGTCAGATCTAACCCAATTAGCAATGATAGACCGCTGTTCTGTCTTTCCTTTTATGTTCGTCCGTCTTCTTTTACATAGTGTGGTTGGTTGACTATCGGGGAGTTTGGTTCCTTACTGCCGAGTTTTTCATGGAAAACATGATTAACTAACGATCGGCCAACAGCAGAATCGACAGTCGCCAATCAGGATACAATGGGTACCGCTGCTAGCCTGATACCATCTACGACGATACGCCAGGATTCAGTATTTCGTGTTCCTAAGTTCTCGGGAAATAATTAATTGTGATAGAGTGAGACGAAACCTGTTCTGTGTTTCTACTTGTTTTGTGTGGCGTTCGTTGACGAAAAAAGAAAAAAAAGAGAGAATACAGTTTGGGGGTCTTTTAAGCCTGCATTTCGCGCAGAATTGAGTTAGTGACTGGTAACTATTTCAAAAAACGGTAAACTGTAACAGTAAGAGCAATATACAGCCAATACGAGAGAGTTTAAAAACAGGTGTTCCAGCCCGATCCTGGCCCTCGCCATGCTGCAGTAGCCATTGGTCCGGCTGTTTGCTTGCATATAGCGCGTTTGAATTTCTGAAAGAGAACCCTGCCTCAGGAAAAAAGGGGGCTGAAAGAAGAGAAACGAGGGGGAGAAAAGAGTGCTGTCAGCACCGTTAGAACTTTAGCCGTTAGCGCCGCCGCCTGCGTATCGCGACGAGAATCCTCCTCGATATGGTGACGCTTCTCGGATGGTCCGACAATAATATTAATATTAATAATAATTCGAATATCCATCATGCGGCTATTAGCAAATAAATCAAAATCTCTTGAAGACGCAACCTCGTATTCAGCCCGCTGCTGGGATGTTTTCGTGAGCAAATGATAATTGACCAACGAGTTAGCTATTGTTTAAGAGGTAGGATTCGTTAGACTTGGGAAAAAAACCAGACCAGATCAATGCTTACTGACGTTCCCAGAGTTGCAGACCAGAGCGAGGTGACGTTTCCAAGGATTCTGGTGTCTACCAAAGTCGGTTCTTTTTAGCTGCCGGGCGGCAAATCCACTCTACCCGCTGCAGATGCAGGACGTAGCCGTAGGATGCTGTCATTGGGTGGTGGGATCAAGCGGAGAGATGGAATTGCAGGCGTTGGTGAACTCTGAAGGTTAAACGAGTTGAGCTCCTCTGATCGCTGGGCGCTGGCGCTTCAGGGCCCGAGTTTCGGGGTGTCAGCCACATACTCCGTACATCGTACATCACTCGATTCCCAAAATTTGGGAGAGCGTTAAACCGAGAAAGAAAAGTGTCTCGTATAAGCTTCAGCTTATATAACCACACATAAGTGCAGACAGGTTGCATCCAGCAGTAACAGTAATTAACAGAGAACAGTATTTCACGTAATTAGGATTATTACAAGTCACCAGCCGAGTTGTAATTACCAACGTTGTCGGGGCATGGGGAAATCAAGTTCTCCAAAATTTGCAATACAACCTGTAGGGTTTCGGCCTTGTCGCTAACCTTCTTATTTCCCATTGATTTTCTGTCATCGAGAAATGATAAGGATACATCAAGTACATACGAAGCACAGATGGTCTTTTTAATCGACAGGCCAGCTTGTTATTTCCCGGAGGAACACGGACCGAGTAATAATAATGACCATCAGCCAGTGCGAAATGCAGCAGAGATGCAGCGTGTGCTCTGTGTGCATGGCCCAGCCAGTTGGTACGGGCGCGATAGTGGCTTGTTGAACTGCAGATCGCCACGAATCTGGTTATGGAATGTCAAGAAACGGTAAGCTTCCGACACAACGTCAGCTGCGCCACACAAATACTGAGGCCATACAGCTTCGACTATTGACAGCACAACAAGGTTTCAGTAGGTCGAGACAAGCCATCAATTGCTTCATGTGATCTCCAATTTGGATTTGATGCGTGAAATCACATCAATAATGATGTTACTTAGCGCCATCGTAGCAAAAATAATGCAAGCATTATTATCAACGATGATCCTGTTGAGCCTTGAGTGTTGAATAGTAATGTACGCATACGGACAAGACTGCATGCTGTAGGCTGGGATTGGCTGGCCAGTAATTAACCGTACAGATACGTCCGGACAATGGGGTCAGGTGGGACGAACGGGGCTGGATCCATGGCTCAAGCCTCAAGGTCGTCCGCAAGGAGACGGCGGGGCCAACCAAGACTGTTTGTCTTCAATTGTGTCTGGAAAGTGGGAACCTTAACGCAAGCCCCGCCACAGGTTCCGTGCCGCCAACCAGATCCCGCTAGTAGCTTCCAGGATTAGCGCCTGTCCAAGCGAAGTCGACCGAACAAAGCCGTCGAGCGTCGAGCCCCGTTCCGCTCATCGATGGGGCCGCCGTTAGAAAAAGTGGGTCAGAAGTCTATTGTATGCCCCGTGGTAACGAACCAGGCCCGATTTTCTGCGTCAAGCCGTTTTGGGCAAGCCATGTTCTCCAGTCAGGATTGGCGTGACTACTCTGACAAAAACGCCTTTCCTGTTCGAGGGCCATTCAGCGAGTGCTTTCTAAACCAAGTAACGCGCCATGTAACACTGGCGTAATATATACCCAACAGCTTTCGTACCCTGTACTTCGTACATACTACAATTCCTATGATACTTGGTGTACAGGTACCTACCATTTGTTTTACCTATTGCCTGATTGATGAATGATGTCTCGAATCCTCCTACCTTTCTGTAGGCATTCGATGCGATGTCCTGAGTACTGTGCCCTGGTTTGTATGACCATATTCATTAGGCAGAGTATGTAACAGGGTGAGCGGCGACCACCGGACGTTGCAGCAACCAATCCGTCTCGGATTGCTCTACGATTTTGAGACTACAATGATCAATGTGGATTATTCCGGTTTTCTTTGTGCAGAAATCGACGATCATTATCAGATCATACGATTTTAAGATTAAAAATAATACACACTGTTTAATGTTCTGCTGTCTTCCCTCAACCGCGATCCTGTACTAAGTTTGCCGAAATACAGTATGCTTAAGCCCCGTTCGTTCTCTGCAGTAGTCGTTCTACTGCAGAGACTCGCGAAGGGCCCGTGGCATTTTCCCCTCCTCTTCTGCTCCTCTATTGGATTGACGAGCCGCCCTAGTATGTTGCGTTGTCTCTCGATTGTCCCGATAGACCGTTTTGGTTGGATGCTGTGTAACCTAGGCTTTCGCGGTGGTGGCTATAGAGATCAATCGAGTAATGCAGCCCATACGTTCGGGATGAACCCCTCTTGTTCATGACGAGAACCAAGGCTCTGCAGATTCCCACAAACTTGGAAGTTGGAACTAGACGATCGGGTGATGTGCTGCACGACCCACAATCTGGGGTTTTCCCAGTTGATACTGACAAATAGCTACAGCGGAGGAAAATGTATGCACTATGGTATTTCAAATGTCCATTGCATGAACTGCCGGTCGATTTTGATAATGATAATGATTTGTTGATGTAACTTGGTCTGACTGGACAAGTCATGGTATGGCTTTGTGCGTCTTCTTTCGATTTCGTTACGACTATTTTGTTTCCTAGTAGAGAGCTTTAGACCCGCCATCCATATATATCATATCACTCATCTACGTAGACGAATATTCGATGATTTACAGATCACGCATCGCATTTGATGGTCCGACTGTGGTCATCAAGCTACATAATAACTACTTGCCCGGTCTCTTTTAGGTTAGAGTAATCAATATTCTGCGATTCATCAATAATGAAACATGGCCGGTTCGCAATAGTCTAGAAAAGATCATAATATATCAGTTGGCCATGCAACTACATATGTACTATTGAAATGGTTCATTGAAATTGGTTTAATTGCATGTGACCTGTCTATTATTTTGCTTCTTTTTCCACTACTCATACGAAAGATAAAGTTGCATAGTCCTACGGGATTGAAGGTCTAAACGCAAGATGTTGAGGGATATAATGACCAATGTTGTTTACTATAGTCTCAAACAAAGCTTTTATGGTGTTAATAGTTTCACGGCATATCCTATTGATATTTAAGTTGAGATGGAAATGAATTTCGGATGCATTGGTAATAGGATTCGATTATTCACACGCTATTTGGCCCGCTTCACAGTTTTGCAAAACGGCTTACGGAGATGATAGAAACCATGAAATCTCATCACTATTCCCGTTAACATTTGATAAGCTATGTCTAGCTATGGCACATGTTCTCTGAATCAGGCACCGATGCGTATCCACCAGCTTTGCAATGACATCAATTAAATCTAAAAGTACCAAGTCTCATTTATGAGTGCTTTATCGAGAAAAATTTTGGTCTAATACTACTTGAAATGGCATTAATCTGTTTATCTGTGATGAGCACTAGGAACCTATGATATGCTCAGCAAAGCTTTTCCTAATTTGTCAATGTCTGGCCCAGGAACATGCAACCTTACTCATATTACATGTAAACGGCATCCTATCAAGTAATATAAGACAACAGACCGAGTTTCGAGTCGACAGTCGGGTGTCTCAAATCCACTACTGAAACAGGGGCTACACAGAGGCATCCCCCCCCACGCCACAATACTCGTCACCATCCACAGGACCTGATACTATTGTAATGTATAGGGGCCTCTACAGACACAGACTTGTCCTCTTAACCTTATTTTTGGATAACGCACGCCTAGAGAGCGCGTAATGATTACATTTGTCGGGATCAACAGAGATAAGTGCGTTATAGACCAAGTTGAAGGTACCAAAGAGACCAGAAGCTTTATGGTGTGAGGACCTGTTCAATTCCAACTATTATCACCTGCTTCTTCTTAAGTCAACGAATATCTGTACCCTGATATCCTTTTGCTAAGTAGACTCGGACTTCTACTTGATATATATGGAATCCTAGATAACCAAAACTCCAGCAGTATGCATGCAAACCTGGAAATAATACATTTTTCTACTGCGTGAAAATTTGTCTGAGTCAAACCATCGATGCGTATTGTTTCCCAAAATTTTAGGACCAAATAGCACCAGGTCACCGAAGCGGATAATACTGGTGGAGGATTTGAAGACTTATAATCAGTTGACCACCATTCATATGTATTGCAGACGAAGCTTTTTACAAGGCCATTTATTATTATGTAGTCTATTAAAGGAGTGGAAATAGGAAGGGAAAGAAATAAACAGTAAAACAGTGACTATGGCCTGCATCCATGTTCATGTGTTTACCTGGAGAATTCCTCTTGGAAAGATGAATGAGATTTGAATTGTTATTAGATTTCATAGTATCCTCTGTGTAAAGAGACCTTGTTTCGTAGTATGTATGACATGCGCCTTCACCCAATCAAGCCCGGCTAGTTTAAATGCAATAAATAGAAATAACCAAGAGGGATATCTGTGCATCGACCCGACCCGCCTCCGTAATAAAAAAGATAAATTTAGCTTGGTTCAAACAAGTAGAGGTGAAATCCCATTTCATCTCATAAAAACATGTCTTCAGCCCGACGACGTCTACCACCTCTCCCCTCCAGTTTGTCCGAGAAAAGCTCTTTACCCACGTTGGAACTGTACTTGCTTGGGAATAGTTCCTTCACGCTCTGGGTATTTCCCTTGATTGATAGTCCATCCGCTTGACCGCGAATAGCCATGCCTTGGTCATTTGCAGCCCCTTTTATGTAAATTTCCTCTCTGCCACTTTCCTGCGCTCCATCCATTAAGGGTACACTCATTCCTCTCGCGAACAAGTCTGCTGTTTCATCAGCAGCATCGATCGCATCTGAACGACGATGGTTACTGTTGGTCTTGTTAAGAAAAAGTTCTTTCTTGAAGTAGTTTGCGGCGGTTTTGTTGGGAAACAGCTCTCTTGTATCCCTATCACCACCTGAAGGGAACAGTTCTCTCTTGTCATTCGCATGACCGCCGCTGTAACGGGGTGAGCGCTCACGAAACCGCCTGCGACTCTGCTGCTGCTCGTCGTCGCTTCGTCGCATGCCATCGAGGTCATCTCGGCCTGGAGATGCACTTCGGTCACGAAGCCTTCCTGATCCCGCCCCCTGCTCAGGAAACAACTCTCGTTGTTGATGCCTTCCTCGCCTTGGTCGGCGTCGATCTTCGGCATCCGAGAATCCCTCGCTTGACTCGCCTCGACGATCATTGTTTGTCGGCGTATCATCGTACATATTCACATTGAAATCATCATCCCCGCCCCTATTGCGACGTCGACGATGTTCGCGGTCGTCAAATCGAAGCCGACGGTAGTCCCCGTCGTTGTCATCATATCCTCCTTGCCTGCGCTTTTCAGCAAGTTCGCGGCGTAGCTTCTCTCGAGGGTCGTGCTCAGGGTGCATCAAGTAGAAGCGACTGGATTCATGGGCGCGTGGTTTCTTGCGATCCGTTTTCACAGCAGATCGTACTTGCAGGACCGACTCCGAGTGTGAAGACAGGGACTTGGCGGTGCGGAGCCGTAATGTTGGCAATGATGATGTGTCCTCCTCTCCCAATTGAGTAAGTGCAGTAAGAGCCCGTAACCCAACTTCCTCCGATGAATAGACAATGTTTGCAGATGTATCGTCGATCCATTCAATGCGACTAGGTTCTTCTGCCGAGAAATGTTCCAGAGCGAATCGCTTGATATCGTCCGTAGTCAATTCATCCACGCCTCTGACATGTAATTTTTCATGCTGCGCTTCGGCAGTATGCGGGTCGACGGCTCCCTCCTGGATTATCGAAGGTTGCTCAATGTTACGCTTTGAGGGGGTATGTGAGCTAGAGATCAGAGATTGAGGGGTCGCGATAGAACTCACTGTTTCGATGTTCTCGGGATCTGGCAGGGGACCCAAGTCAAGATCCATGTCAAGATCCATCGAGTTCTCCATGGTGTCGACGGTGGGCTGCTCGTTCGTAGAAGGCTGCAGGCTCGCCACCTCCATAACGGTTGCGATTGCGGCTGATGGTGAGGGGAAAGTGAATGAGAAACTAACGTGGCGTTTATAGAAAAGCAATGAATTTTATAAATCGGCAAGAAGTAAAAAGACGAGATAAACAGCCGTTATCAGGTGGGGGGATCTTTTGGTACTTTTGTTTTTGAGCTGATGATAATCGCACGCAACTGACAGGTCGAAGTCTCAACCCGAGAGGTCGGATATGCGGGTCCGTGCACCGGATGCGGAGGCGCCGAGGCACCAGCTATTCTTCAGCCTCGTAGAACTCGATCCATGCCTGGTGTTTATAATTTTTGAGAAATTTATTATGTAGCGGCTACGGTATAGGAACTGGGAGCGGATGCAGAGCTGACACAAAGCCGAGTCTTGAATAATCTCGTCGGCTTCTCTGAATATGCATAGATCCGACGTAGTCTATTGGTATACGTCGATTCCGTCCACCGTTCCTGTGCCGCTCTTTCACCTTCAAACAATTAGTTGACGAGTATTACCCTGCGAATTATACATAATCGATATCGGAACTCAGCTTTATGCAACGACACAAAAATACACTGGAAAAGAGAAACTAGAAAGAGAAAAGACGAAAGAAAGATAGGAACGATGGTACTGCATACACAGTCTGCGCCTTCGGTACCTATCGCGAGTATCCTCGTTGCGCGGTTTCTACGATCCAACAACTATACCGAGTCTTTAAATACTTTCATCCGTGAAGCAGGACTGCCCTCAGATGTAGGGCAGACAGCAGGAAGACAGGTTACTTCCAAGTCAATTGATGACCCCGGCAACGCAGACCAGTGGACGCTTGAGGATATCATCCAAGAGAAGAAGAGATTCGATCACAGCCTACGATTTGAAAGATATGGCGAATCACAATCTCAAATAGATAAATGGAATACACGTGGTAAGTTGGAAAGATTGGGTGTGTGATGTGATTCTTACATTGTATGCTCTGTTAGCCCCATCACAGCCGAAAGTCATAGAAACACCAAGTTCGACTAATATTCTTTCTGTGTCTGTTGGGCCTTGGCGCCTCTCTGAAGAACAAACGAGCGAAGTGGCTGTTCCGTACATCGTAGCTACGGGGGCTGACAAACGACTTAGTCTCTTCAATGCGGACGCAGACAATACAACCGCTCTATCAATACCTGGGCTGTCAGATTCTCCCATTCTGTCACACACTGGTATTTGCCATGGGTTGTTGCAGCTAATAACAAACATGTCCGGCCAATTGCTTCTAGTTCAAAACGACCAAGTTATAGACCGCAGAAACGATCATAACAAGTATGCTGTTCAAGTCAAGGCATACGAAGACCAAGATAACCATGTCTGGATTACCACCGCTGGATGGGATGCCCGGGTGTTTATATATCGCATGGAACTGCCCTCTCCATCGAATGAAGCCGCAATTGGAGACCCTGTTGGGACGATAAAACTGCCCACGAACCCAGAGTCTATTCTCATTGTACGAAACCCGGAGAACCAGGAGCTAGTGCTTCTGGTTTCACGGCGAGATTCAACGTATATTTATTTCTACAGCCTGGAGCATATGCGTTCCATCAACATGTTGGTTAAATGCGAAGAGAGCGGGAAACAAAACCTTGCACCACATTCCAATGCATGGGTTGCGTTTTCTCCCTCGTGCTTAGCATTAAGTCCCCACAATCCCGGACTCATAGCTGTTGCCTTATCAACACTACCACATATGAAAGTCATGATTGTCCGCCTGCTATTTCCTTCTGGGGATGACAGAACAATCACCAATAACGACAAAAGCAATGCCAGCGTAGAAGCGACAATGTCCCTTAGAACCGATGAATCTACGTCAGAATCCCATCTCACCCAAGCAATGACCGCATTGGCTCTTCAGAATCGTGAAGACGCCGCCATTATAATACAGACTAATACGCTTGCGCCTCAAACTGCCTACTCAACACCACAAGTTGTCTGGCGTCCTGATGGGTCTGGACTTTGGGTCAACGGAGACGACGGGATTATTCGGGGTGTGGAAGCCAAAACCGGTAAAGTAGTGACAATCCTAGAGAATGGTCACGAAGCAGGAAGCAAAGTCAGAAGCATCTGGGCAGGCTGGGTTAGTTCTAAGGATTCAAAAGAAGAATGGGTTGTGAGCGGTGGGTTCGATAAGAGGCTTATTGTTTGGAAATGATGGCGATTTGGATTTGTCAATGAGTCATTCGATATCCCACAAAGAAATATTACTTAAGTGATATAACATATATCGACTTGGAGTAGAGGCTTGATAGCTGGTGACAACTAGATATCTGTCATTAGCATTACTCTTAGGAGCCTAGAAACTAAGCTACGATGCAAGGGAAGTGAAAAGTTTCTGGGATCGCTGCTCTTTACGGTTGGTGTATATAATTCCCCAATTTTGACATTATAAAATTCAGTAGAGTACAAATGAAATGCCATTGATGAAGAAAGCGTCTTCAATATAACTGGAGTATAATTCTACATAGTTTTTGAAATAGACGGAAACACGTTGTGTGTAAGTTGCATATGGAATATTTACATCAACAAGTCTACTTCACGTGGGCCTGAAGAGTTTCAAGAACCTGCTGAAAAGTTAGTATGTGTATTATAACCAAAAATGGATGCGGCATACCTCAAGCTCGATCTTGGCCTCAGCGATATCCTGCTCGCTACCACTGCCACTAGCAATCTTCTGGGCTTCGGCAATTTGGCTACGGATAGCCTGAGATTTATTGTTAGGTAAGATTCAATTTTTCACCAATGTGAGACTTGTATACTAACATCAGCGGAGAAATCTTCGAGAGCGTAAGCCTCAACAGCATTGACGCTGAGGCGGGAATCAGGCTGAACAACGGCGAAGCCACCAGAAACTATGACCAAGCAATGAAAATCAGTAAAAGTTTGAACTTCATATTTATTGCAAGTAACAACGGCATGTTTCCAATTCCCCGTGTTGCTGTGCAGTATAATTTGGCGGAGTACGTACGAAAGAATTGCTTAGTGCCACCGCTCTCCTCGATGACTTCAACGAGACCAGGTTTCAATTGCTCAATGGACGGAACGTGGTTCGCAAGGATACCCATTTCACCGTTCTCAGAGGGGATGTTAACTTGGACACTGCAAAAGAGGTATTAATTCAAGTCGGAACACCGAAAACAACATCGAATAAAAACAGTTCTGATCGGTCAAATTGGAAAACATACACGTCGGTTGACTTATAAAGGTTCTGAGTAGAAAATATAGTTAGCTATTAGCCAATCCAAAGGGTGGTAAAATTTTTTGATAAAGTGAGATTGTCTGATAAACCAAACACATACCTGGTGAGGCATAGCCAGGGACAGCTTGATTTTGTCGGCCACAGCGTCGGCGTAGGTTCTACGGCCGATAGGAAGACGGACAGTGGTAGGACGTGCCCGGAGGGCAGCCCGAGCGAACCGGAGAGAGCTCATTGTGCAATGGATTGAAGAGGGAAGGGTTTGTAAAGTATCCTTCAAATGCTGAGGTGGTTCAAGGCAAACGGTCGAAGTCGGAACGGCTATTCCTAACCCGAAGGAGATGCTTGGCATTTAGATCACGTGACGTGTGTGTATAAATTATTTTCGCTCCGTGATCAACCGGCTACTTACTTGACAAGCCAAAAAACGAACATCATACAAATTCACCCTAATCTATGATTTGTCAAGAGTTAAATATTATATCAATGAGCTGTCTAGTTTGAAATTGTAAACAAGGCGGATTTTGAGCTTGGTGGAAAATACTATTTGTATGTGAACGCTCTCCATCAGGCTGAGACTGGGTACTGTAGCAATTTCGAAGCTTTTCTTTTGGCTTGAAATGCCCCAGGCCTGGATGACAGCCACGGGATGACTACTTCGCGAAGACCTCATAGCTACGGCTGCCTATTGCGTCTATGATAATGAGCAACCCGTGACATCGCATAACAGTAATTAAAGGTCGGAGCGTTAGACCACGGGCCAAGTCTCATCACGTGATATTAAGAAAGGCGCTAGCCACATCCGCCTAAGCGAACTTGCCCACAACAACGGGAGCCCTACGGTAGCCGCAAAGAACGGTCCTCAGTTCAGTCTTGCACCACGACAAAATACTCATCACGACAAATCCGTCAAGATGGCCAGTATGTTTGCTATTCATTCCATGCATATGAGCGCATTATGTGTTGCTGACTTGTCTTTTTAACAGAGTCCAAGAACTCATCTCAACACAACCAGAGCAAGAAGGCTCACCGTAACGGGTTCGTTGCATCTTTCCCCCTTCGCAGTCGATTTCGCCAGGAGAACTAGATATTCTAGTTCATCTACGTTGTTGGAAAAACAAAGAATTGTGCAGTACACCGCTGATCGCAGTTGTTTTCAACCTACAGCATCAAGAAGCCCAAGACCTACCGTTACCCTTCCCTCAAGGGCGTTGACCCCAAGTTCCGTCGTAACCACAGACACGCTCTCCACGGCACCGCGAAGGCATTGGTATGAATTCCTCTGAACCGGCATATCTATAACGCAAGGCTGACAACTCTAACAGAAGGAGCGCAATGAGGGTGTGCGTGAGGTTGCTTAAATTTTCTCACTGTATTGAAAAATTACAAAAATGAACGTCTCTTTACGCGGCGAATTGTTCTTGTGATAACGACTTGATCATGACTGTCAAGTAAATGACAATTGAAGATGAAACTTGGGCTTGGACAAACATAGAAGTGTTTGATGGTTAAACGGGTTTCAACGATCACTTAACAATACCACAGACGGATTGTTTTGAATACAAAACCCTCCCTCCTCGATAGATCAAGATTATGCCCGACCTTCATACCAATCAAGCAAGCCGATTAGTATGAAGACTACCGTCAGCCCAATTTTTTATTAACTGTATCGTTTCCGATTTCGTTACTTCCAGGCATTTGTGTGTACAGCTCCGTGGCTCTTCCTATGCCCGATTGCTGAAGGATTTATTCTTTCGTGCCGAGATCATTTGCTCTCCAATTACCAAACACCCTCTCCCTGATTCCCGTGGTGGCAGGGTGCATGGACGGAGAGCTACATATATTGTAAACACGCTGCAGCGTTCGTAGAACGATTACTTTGTAGTAAACGGAATTGTTTTTATTCTGGATGGGGCTTGTACTTCTATCTAGGCCGAATGATATGTCTTATCAATATGTAACGCTGTAATGAGTAAATTTACACCTTAAGTCTCCCGCCACTGCTGTGCTTTGAAAATAACTTTTGGGTTGCGCAAAGCATGCACATTGCGAATCAATCTCACCTCGCCTGCCTTTGTCTCTCGCAAATGCGCTCGGAGCCTTTTCTGCTCGTCTGTCAACTGCTCAGTACTGGCAGGGTCTATAGGGGTCGCGAGCTCAGCAGTTCGCGCTTCCATGGTTTTCTCCAAAACATAATGCATGCTCGAGAGCACCTTCTCAGTAGCCTTTGCAAGCGGTAGGTCAGTTGCGGGGACATCGTCGGGCGATACCCAGGATGTGGTGGTCTTTAGGGACGGGGACGATGCGAATACTGCTTCGCGGAGACGTGCCACCATCAGCGCGGCGAACATGTCACCTGTCCCGTTAAAATTGCAGTTTAGGGTGGGCACGTCGATGTTGAATAGTCGAGGGGATCCATCAGAACGAATGGTAGAGCCGATTACAGTAAGTGTTGAGGATGGTGTCGAGGAGCCGTCAAGACGAGACAGCTGCACTGATGTCACAATAATATGGGGTACCTTGTAAATCTCGTGGATTTTATTTATTGCTTTGGTGATATCACCAACACTCGAGATTTTGACTCCGGATAATGTTCTTTACACGCATTAGCTTTCTTGTCTCGAATATTGAGGAAGAGAAACCCACTCTGCCTCAAATTGATTCGGCAATATCAGATCGGCGTAGTGAATTGCATTTTTATATGCCGGCACAACATCTTCGTTCACATATAGACGGCCTAGATCACCCATAACAGGGTCCAGGACTGTAAAAAGCTGCTTAGCAAAGGCTATAATGTATGTAATAATAGAAAGAAGGGATAAACTTACTCCAAAAGAAAGAACCAGGCTTCGATTCTGCTCTGCGTTTCAGGTCTCGTGCAATATCACCAACAGCTTCGACGGCTGCAGCGGATGGTGCATATCCGGAAAGCAGAACGTCAAAGTCGGTCAAATAACTTTGGACGAGTCCTTCGTAGAGGTCCCGGATCTCTTGGGCACTAGTCTTGGTTCCCTTCACTTGTCGATATCCAGTGTGGTTGCCTATAGTATATCAATAAGTATAGTTTTATGTATATGTCAATGTTAGACTTACTGAAATGCACTGTGTTGATACCGGCCACTTCACAGCCCAGTGACTGCATGACATATGTGGCCATTGTGTTTCCGACAAATCTGCAAGGATACGCTGGTCAGTTGCCGGTGAAGACAAATGGTTTATCATTCAAAAATGACATATTTTGGCACGATTATAAGCAAGGGCTCTTGTTTATAACTAACCCGTAAGCAACCTATTTGTGCATTAATATTTAGGCAATGAAAAAGATACATCAGGCAGGTAAGCACGAACATGACTGGCTATAGCGAGGACTCTGGTCTCTGGGACCATATCTTGCTCGCCAGAAGAGGCCATTATGACAATTGAATGGTGTATTAATATTACTACTATGGCAACATCAGCTGTCTAGGTCACATTTGCTAGATATGGGCGGGATTATAGCGGACTGCAAAGATCGACAAACCGCACACTGGCAAGGTATGAATGAAAGTCAACGTATCGAACAGATTCTTGACAGAGCCGAAACAACCAACAAAGTTTCTAATTCGACTTTCTGCACTTATTCATCCGAGTCTGTTGATTAGTAAAATCACAGAAGACGCAACGGTTATCGCTGAAAAGAATCGACCAGAGCCCCGCTATTCGAGCACGTCGCCGCCACCCTCCCCGGCTGATGCGATTGGCTGAACCGCCCGAACTATGGTGCCTTTCAGGTCATAATTGCATTGTTTTCTTCATATATCAATATCAGAGGACGATGTTTCTAATCAACCTTCCAGAGATTACTAGTTAACCTTCTATTTGATATGACTGGTGCGGCGAATTGAGGTTTCAATATACTCTCTTAGTGATTCAAGTGCCGAAACATTCATAATTCGTGTGACAATATCCATCTACTTCCAGGTTACTTTCCAGTGCTGCCGAATCCTCCAGCGCCGCGAACGCTCTCTTCCAATTGCTCTACTACTAAAACCTCCGGAGTGTAGATCTAGAAAATTTGTGTTAACATAATCATCCACTTAAATGCTAATCGGCGGCTTACTCTTTCCAGAACAAGCTGAGCGACTCTGTCTCCTTCCTTGACTATTGCACAAATCGCGTCAGTTACGTTATCATACAAAGAGAGTATTACGTACCTGTGAAGTCTACGTCGGAGAAGTTGAAGAGCAAGACCTTGACTTCGCCCCGGTAGTCAGCGTCGATAACACCAGCGCCTGTGTCAATGAAGTATTTGGAAGCAAGTCCACTTCGAGGGGCAACGCGACCATCTAGTAAAGCCATCTGAATTAGCTTGCTCACAACCCTTCTGGTGGGAACAACGTACATGTGCCCTCAGGAACAGCGATCGCCAGCCCGGTGTCCACGAGTGCCTTGCCCTTGGCTGGAATGACGGTCTCCTTTGCACTGTAAAGGTCGTATCCAGCAGCAAAGGCTGAGCCACGAGTAGGCGCCTTCGCCGACTCGACCAGCTTCTTCACCAGGAGCGCAGGCTGGGGCTGAGAGATGGAGGTGACAGCAGTGCCGTTGCCATTGGAGAGGGTCATGATGGAGGCGATGTTCGGTGTAGAGGAGGCGTCGTTCTCTGTGGTCTTCGTTCGCTTAGGGAGCGGGGATGCAGGAAGAGAAGGGGGTTCGTGGACGGATGTCGTGGCTGTATCTGGAGGAGGTGGTGTGGTCTCCTTTGTCATGGTATAGGATGGTGAGCGCGGAAAGATGTGTGTGATGGATTTCCGAGTGCCAATGGATCTATAAACGAGAGTTCATCCCTTGGATGCAGGCCGCAGCATCTGCATCGAATGAAGGGTGGGACGCGAGAGACGCGCACCGCGTTCTCATTAACTAACGGATAAGGGCAAGCCCTAGCCCCGATATGGAAGTCTGAGGAGCTCAACGCTAGCGGGTGGGAAAGCGGAGACTTCCGCGGCTAAAGGCAATGTTGTCTCCAATTGCCTCGGCCTCGGTTGCTTGGAGGTAGTAGTACTAGCAAGTCAACCATGACATCCCATTCCCCACGAAGCTTCGGTATTACAACGAGACAATATCTCCCAGCCCGTTGTCCTCTTTGCGACAGCGTTTGATTGAGCATCAATTGGCAATTCGGTGAGGCCGTCTCATCGAGACCATTCAACAGCCATGGCTGGCCCCATGCGACAGCCGATTGACATCACCTCGCTCGAGAGGTACCTCGAGCAGAATCTACCATTGATTAAAACACCACTAGACGTGAAACAGGTACGTGGGATTTTTACACTGGTCGCAAAAATGATATTATCGTTCTAATGTTGGCGCAGTTTGGCTTTGGACAGTCTAATCCAACATACCTGCTTACTGCCGCCGATGGCGAGAAATACGTCCTGCGCAAGAAGCCTCCCGGAAAACTCCTCTCCAAGACGGCACACATGGTCGAGCGCGAGTTTCAGATTATCCATGCTCTAGAGAATACAGATGTACCGGTCCCAAAGGCGTACATTCTATGTGAGGATCATAAGGTCGTTGGGACTCCGTTCTATATCATGGAGTTCCTGGATGGGAGGATGTTTACCAATCCCTCCTTCCCGGGCGTTAGTCCGGCTGAGAGAAGTGAACTGTAGGTGACGTACAATGTTTACCTCTGTGTTGCAAGATAGCTGACCATACAGATGGCGCGACGCTCTTCGAACTCTCGGTAAATTCCATCGAGTCGATCCCAAGTCAGTGGGGCTGGAGAAATTCGGGAAACACACGGGGTTCTACGATCGGCAGATTACTACATTAGGGAGAATATCCCAGGCGCAGTCGCTCGCGGTGGACGTGGATACCAAGGAGCCCGTTGGAGAGATTCCGCATTTCGGGTACAATGTGCGTTTCTTCTCGAACAAGGCTAGCCAACCTCGCGATAGGTCTACATTCGTGCACGGCGACTACAAAATCGATAACCTGGTGTTCCACAAGACGGAGCCGAGAGTGATTGGCATCCTCGACTGGGAGATGGCCACGATCGGCCATCCCCTTTCCGATATTTCCAACCTGACGAGCCCTTGGCATATGGACTCGACGGAGTACCAGGCAGAAACTTTCCAACCAGGCCGTACACCGGGACTGCCCAGCCGTGAACAGAGTCTGCAATGGTATGCTGAGGCTGCCGGGTGGGATCCTCGACCAGATATACGCTGGGGCGACGCATTCTTCTTCTTCCGCAGCTCAGTCATTATGCAAGGCATTGCGGCGCGATATGCGCTCCGACAGGCAAGCAGCGCGCGGGCTCGAGATTATAGCCTGAAGATGAAGCCATTTGCAGAGGAGACATATCTGCGAGTGAAGGATGCAGAGGCCGAGCGGCAGCAAAAGGGGAGACTTTGATATCTAACAAGAAGGGTGTAGAATGACCTCGTATGAGTACGGACTCCGGAGAATATTAGTAGTACCAAGTAGTATTTACTATCAAATCGACTACGTACATACTTGTTACTTCTAGTTATTAATTTATAAAATAATATGAAATCTTATTGTAACGCCCCTATACGAATGTATTGGGGGGTTTGATGTTTATCATATATGGCGCACGTGCCTTGGCACACCGTCCACAAATAAAGGAACGGATCCATATAGTAAAAGCGGAGCGAATAGCTACCCACGTACTAGGAAGCTTTATTTGATATAGGAATTAATATATTCACGCGCTACCAGTCCTATCCTCATACTTATAGTTTATGATTTAAATTTAAATTTCTTTTTGCTTTTTTCCCTCTTCATCCACCACTCCGTCTATGACATTTTCCTCACCATCTCACCAAGATGTTTTTGTTGGAAGCACTAAATGAAATCATGTATAATCTCCAGTTTGGGAATCATCAGGGCAAAGTGGAGAAATATCTCAACGAAGTAACCGTGGGTGAGTGTAGCCAATATGAAGAGCATACATAGTTACTTACAGCAGGAGTTTAGATTCGCTATTGAATGACCTTGGACAAGTTCTAAAATCAAAATTATCAGAAATCAGGGGTTTGTGGTCAATATTTGAAGCACACTGTTTTACTGATGATGAGGAACGATGTTAGTATTGCAACGATTGGTCTATGATTGTGATGGTAACTAATAGAAAACAGTTTGGACTAAAGCAAGTCTCAAACACCATATTGAGTGTATCCACCCTGGCGTTATCATCACTGAACTTACAATCAATCTCCTCTGGCGATGCTTTCAGTTCCATGCTTACCATCCATTTCCACGGCACGACGTGCATCAAATTCATGAAAGTGCATTCCAGCGTGCGGTTATCCTTCTTGCTGTTCGAGGGACAGACCTCCTAGGCACCCAGGACGGAGGAGATTACATTTGGCGGGAAGATACGGATTTTTTCCATGATGCTGACTTCAGGCGAATTCTAAGAAGTATCAGCCATGCATCTGTCCAGAATGAGTCTGATCCGGCAATGTCTGTTGTCAATGATGTTATGGACGTTCTAGCTACGACGCAACCACACATGGTGAATTTTGCACCGTCGCCAGATTTACTGGAACCTGCAGCTAGGAGGCTCCTGGACAGCGTTCCGGTGCGGGATGAGTTACGTGCTGACGATTTATCAATCCTTCTTGCCTTGCTATTGCAATTGAGAGTGCATAAACAAAAATGGGGGACGAGCCTTCATTTTGGCGAGTTTGACCAGGGGTCGAGCTGTGAGGAGCTTGCTAGAACTATAACGACTGGGATCTTCGTGCGGGGTAGTCTCAGCTCTGACACGTATTGCAATGTGATAGATGTCCTGGTTAGTGAGCCGAAAAAACTTCTCTTACTAAGGATCTAACTTCTTCTCCAGCCAAGTCTGCGGACACAATTCTACCAACTGTGGGCAGTGCTCTTTCAACCGGCAAAGAGTAGAGAAGAATCACAGTCCAATGCCTCTCTAGCAGCTGATGTTATACCAAATGAGATTCTCCAGACCATCTCACTGTTTACACCTCAACAATCAGTATTCAGCCACTCTCCAATATCTAAGGATGAGGGTATTGTTTTTAACATTTCTACCCAGCAACTAGCGGTATCCGACGATGTAACAATAAACCATCTCCTGAAATCTCTTCTGGATGACACGAAACATTCACATGTTGCCCTTTTCGCAAATAACACATCATCTAATGTATTTGGTGCATACTTTCCCCCGCTGTCGCAAGCAAGCAAGATTGGACGAGGCCATTTCCTCTTTCAACTAGCCCCACAATTTTGTCTCCTTCAATGGACCAGCCATTCGATTCCTCTTACTGATCTCATTAACGTCCGTGATTCCAATTCCACGCTGCTAGATACAATTCGAGCAGGTAAGATGCTGCCATCTACGCCGTATAGGATTGGCAACCCGGGCGAGAAAGGGAACAGTGGGGAAGGGAACAGTGCTAGTCTATGGATAAATCCAGATACTAGGTCTATTCAACTTACTGGACAATTTCCGAATAGTACCAGATACAAGGTTCTGTGTGAGAGGACAAGGGAGGACAGTGTAGATGGGAAGGAGATGAGCACCGAAATCGATCGTCTTTATATCCTCCGCGTGTCTACTTTTGGGATAGATGCGGAGCTTGCTTTCCAGAATGACATTGAGACCAAGTACCGTGCTCCCTCTGTTCAAGCAGATCAATTGATTCGAGGAGCGGAGCTGGAGGCGAGAATTCAGGGCTTTGGATCACCGCTGTAGAGTTGCGAATCTCTCTGCGGGCCAGAATTACGTCATGTGTTGTTTGACTGTGCGTGTTTAACGTAGTAGGTTTACGAGTCGCTATGAATGAGAAAAGTTCGGTCGAAGAAATATGGCTGTAGTTTTAACATACAGGAGGAAATAATGAAGGAATTGAGCAATGCATTGTGGAGCGATTCACCTCCTAGATGTTTCTTCACAGTTATACAAAGGATTCTACATTCTTTTATGATCTAGAAAAAAAAGACGATCATCTTTAGGGTGAGTGTTTGCAGTATTTTTGTGATATTCAACAATTAAAGGCTATGCATCTGAAAAAGACAACGAGCACAGCAATTCAATTGGAATATCGTGATGTATTTACCATCCGAGGCAAGGTCCCCACTTAATCTACGAGAAACAATGATCCAGATTGCCAGCCAGATTTCCCACAGGATCAAGAAGAGATGTCCCTCGCACTAGCACTAAAGACGCAAAAGGGAGAATGAAAATGACAATCTAGAATGCTCCATCCAACGCCGCGCCAATAAGGTAATTATACTGAATTGAACGGTGGAGTAATACAGCCTCAACCAACGTACGTAAGCTTGTCTCAGCTAGCGGTATTATTTCGCGACTAGCGAATCATCGTCATATCGAGGTAGTACTGCGTTCCACTAATTACTGGCTGTACGTGGAATAGGCAACCATATATTTTATTTCGCTCCAGCAGACTTCAATGTTGGTACTTTCCTCTGCATCCATCTATTTATAACAGATACAGTACATCAGCTTACGCGGTCGACCACATCACCAACTCCTCGTCGTCTTGGCTCGAACAGGGATCGGCGAATGGAATGTGCTCCGAATCTCCGAGTGTCCGAAAGTGGCTGTGCCGTGAGAGTCCTCTCATGATATCAACACATCACATGTAGTCATGCAAGGTGAGTTGTTGCCAGACCAGACTGCTGGTATAATCAGGCATTGGAAAGTCCAACAGTATTATATATTTAGAAAGAACGTTGTGCGGCTCAACTTCGGGTAGCAGGGTAAGCACGCTAAGCCGGAGACGGACACCACCTCGCGAGTGCTGAGTCCAGTAGGAGAAGGACATACAGAATAATAGTCGCACGCATCCGTATTTCCGGACCGCGTGCCAGCAAGACCAGGACGAGCGGCGCTCGCTTTCCTCGCTCGGACTCTTGTGCATCCTTCCCGCAGCCACCGGGCCAATCAGAACGCAGGGCAGGCCGGCCTCCCGTTGGCATACCCCGGGAGCCGCATTATTTGCTCAAGCCCCTGTCAACCATGGGCCGGGGGTTCTTTGTTCTCTGCTCATTGCCCAGATGACGTCCTTATCAGCAATGCAGCAGCGCCAACCTGCAAGCCAGAGAAGACAAGACTTGAAGCATCGTAATGCTTGAATATCCCAATATTCAGTACTGAGGCCGCCTGAAGACGACCGCACCGCGGCCCGTCTTACGTATCCCTCGCACGGGATTTGACGATCAGACCCACCCAGCGCCACCAAGGCCCGCGATTGGCCCAGCCAAGCACCCACTGCGGAACGCTTGCTGGATCGCGACCCCCGCTAGCCGCATCTGGCCCTAGTGTAGACAGACTGCGTCCACTAGAAGAGCCTCAAGCGTGCCTCTTTCCCTCGCGGTGCCGGTGGATCAGCCGATGCCAGCTGGGAAGGAGGTGTCTGCTGCTCCTTCCATCAGTGTCCTGTTGGCAACAATGGTCAAGATTCGAGTCGCAGTAGTAATGGTATTCGCATTGTAGTTCTATCATCAACTCTCTACTCGACGCGTCGTCTTGGCTGCTTGCGTGGCGCCTCGCCATCTCCTGCCCGTCCCCGCCGCGCTCGTCATCCATCAAGAATAATAATCATAATGCAGAGGACATCATCCTTTCCCTCCGGCGCGTTTCGGTGGTGCGTGCGTGTGCGTGTGGAGGAATGTGGCTTGCTGGCCTGTTCGCCCTCCCAACCAAGGCCTACGTCCTCTCAGCCCCCTGTCTGGCTGGACGCACTATCGTGGCTGGCAAATCAATCCTGATAACAATGCGTTAGTGAAGCCTCACTAGAATCATTCCGGTCACACTACCTCTGTACTACTGTACTTAGTACGTGGTAACCGAGGGAGAGTCTGTCGACGCTGTCCAGCCTGGGAAACCCGACGTCAGGCCTCGTCCGAGGGGGAGATCGGCGCTTTTAATCGTGAACCAGCAATATTTGAGGCTCGTGCCACCTCTCTTCGCTCCCACGAAGAGCCGCATTTCTCACTCCAGAATCTTATTTTTGTCATAATTTTTTTCCCACCTGTGCCACCCTTGCACGCTCTGTCGCCATCACCACCATCATCATTCTCATCTACACCACCGCCATCAACATCTACGCCGTCATTTACATCCTGGTAAAAATTCAGTGTCTCGGCAACCGATGCAGAGTCTGCTGGGCCATTTCAGCCTCTTGTGTCCACTGACCGCTCCACTGCCCAGCGACCGTCAGGCCTTCCCGCCTGCTAGCTTCCTACCCAATTGACAGGTTGGCATCACAGTCAAACTCGTCGCGTCGACAGCCATTCCATATTATTTTATCATCGCCCCGTCTCTGTCTCTCTGCGGCCTCTCTTTGATCTGAAGGTAAGTGGTATTTCAGGGGCCTGATCTGCGGTGTTGCCACTCGACAACTACGAGGAATTGGCGCCGCAACTGATTGCGCGGCGTAATTTCCCACCTAGCCTCATCCCGTTCACTCCACAACGACTCGTCATTGGCTGAGACAAAGGCGCATTCGTCAGCTCCATCGAGGCGAAACACAAACGTGGTTTGCGCGGCCATTTCCAACAAACTTCCGCCGCTGTTTCCGTCGACGTGTCGTGCGAGAAAGTGCCACCTTATTTATATTGGCCCTCGCAGTGCGGCTCTGTCATTCACTAACCTCCCAGTCTCTGCGACCGCCTAGCCGCTGTTTCCGTATTCGGCATCCGACGGTAAGTCACTTTTTCTTACATGCGCACCCGACCTGAACACACGTATGGGAAGCTCTGTTTCCTTTCCTGCTCTTCTCAAATAAGTTCCCCTTACTTCTCTTTTATAATAAGAGATGTATCTTGATATATGTAAATTTGTTCATCCCGATTGTATCGCAAACTTATTGTGGCGACCTGCAACAGCCGTATAACATAGCCTGATCATAATGCTAATGCCATTTTTAGGTCTCAAATAAATACGTCCACCTATCTCATTACTTGATTATCAAGCCATACGCAGTTTATTTTGCCTTTAACTCGGCTTGACAGCCGGAATCGGCATCCACTTGTCGGTCTCCTGTCTGCTCTCTCTCTGTCTTTTCACTGCCCGCTGCATGTTGGTGAGGTGTCGCCTTCATGTTGTCAGACGTGTATGATTCCGACGATGCCTTGAATCGCTCTCCGGTCCTCAAACCGGCTGTGATCAACTATGGCCCTGTTGAAACCATTCCCCCGTTCCAGCACAAGCGGTCTCCCTCGGGAGAAGGGAAAAGGGATGGATCATCAAGCCCAGACAGCTCAGAAGGCCGTTCGCGTAAGCATCATCGAATACATAAAGAAATACGGCCTACCCTAGGAGATTCTGTCCTGATCGGCATTCTAGACCCTAATAGACCAGACATTGCTAGGCAAGCTGGAGAAAACCCGCTCAGGAGCGATTCAGAATCAGATGATGACAGTAGGCGTCGCGTGAAGGTTTCTTCCCAGCCTAATGTAACAGCTAGTGAAGTTGCCAGCCATGCCTTGAATATAATGCCCCCACAACAGCCACGACCCAATACTATTTTACCCTCGATCAATGAACTCGTATCCCACGAGCTACATTTTTCACAAAACTCTTTCCAACGGCGGCCTTCGGAGAGGCTTATTTCAGATCAAGACAGTTTGGCAGCGTCCAGAGTAGGGAAATATGCCATTTCTCCATCAAGTATGCCGGCTCAAGAAATTCTTCCTGCCCTCCAATCACCACCTCACTCGGCCGCTGGATCGCCGGAGAACTCACAAATTTTACCATCAATGAATACAGTCCTGAGGGATCTCAGCTCCGTTGCGCCCAGTCCATTTAGTGTTTCCGCTGCATCTCCGCCTATTATGCCGGCTTCAGTACGACAACGACAAATGTCGGGCCCATTACCGCCACCAAGTCTAACACCCAGTCAGATGCCAACTCCGTATTCTCACTCATCTCCAACGAGTATGAAGGATATGACTGGTGTGTCGCCTGCTCCACATTCGCAATATGCCTATAGACCACCTGGATTGAAATCTGAAATGTCCAACATGAGTTTTCTCTCTGAATCAACGCCAATGGCCGCTCCTGCAGGCAAGAGCCCTATCAATAGCTATCCCACGCCTACCGAGACAAAACCGACAGAAGAAGGCTCAGAGGTAGCAGTTGCTGGCGGCAATGTGTATAAATGCCAGTATCCTGGTTGCACGGCAGCTGCATTCCAAACCCAATACCTTTTGAAGTATGCGAGCTTTTTTACCTCGTCTTCCTAATCTAGTGCTGATTTTGATTCTAGCTCTCATGCCAATGTCCATTCACAAGACCGACCACACTACTGTCCAGTTCCTGGTTGTCCCCGTGGAGTCAGTGGTAAAGGATTCAAAAGGAAAAATGAGATGATTCGCCATGGTCTTGTGCATGATTCTCCAGGTTATGTGTGTCCGTTTTGCACGGATCAGCAACATAAATATCCTCGCCCGGACAACCTGCAACGGTATGGTTACTATTTTGACGTTCTAATAAGGTTTCGTTGGCTAATTGGTTTCAGGCATGTCAAAGCCCATCATTTGGATAAAGACAAGGATGACCCGGAGCTGCGGATGGTGCTCGCCCAGAGACCAAAAGGAAGTGGACGCGGACGTCGACGACGGGGTCATACGTGATGGTGACGAGGCTTATAAGACTTTTCGCTTTCACAGAAGCCCTCCGAGACGACTTGGCGGACTGTCTCCACAGCTGCTCAAGCAGTAATAGCACCTTTTGTTTACGGAAAACCAAAGCGAAGGTATTTATCCTCACGAGTGAGCCTGCCACGTTTACTGATGAGTTTTGCAGCTTTGTTTGGTCAAATTGCCGGAATTTCTTTCTTGTCCATATTCGACAGATGTCCATAAATTTTTATTCGATCAGCTCACCTCGACCCGCCAAATAACCAGGGAGAATAAGTGAGACTGCAATGATGAGCGGGGCTTTCTACATGGCCTGATGAAGTGACGAGTTACGATCCTGTATGAGTTTCTTATGTTAATTTCTTTGATACTTTGATACCTTGCACACCGTGGAATCAGGAGACAGTACATGGTTGATGCATAGACAGCGGATTGTACGGAGGCAGGAATATTAGCACTTGTCCATATGGTTATTATGTACATACTTGCAGTCAAAATGGCATTTGTTATTTACATTGAAACACGGAATTGAGTTGAGATTTCCTATATGAAAAGATATGTGCGACGCTAAAACTCGCAACATAGCACCGCTTTATGCTCAGCCCAGCTACGGATCACTCACTGAGTAGGACCCGCAAGCTCCAGGAGGATGATGGGGCTCACTGATTAGTGAGTGTGCAGAGCCCAGAATGAAGCCCCCAAGGCTGCTCCCGAGACACTCAGTGATCATGCCGAACGTGACCATGGTGATACTGCCTCAGAATATGAGGAATAGAGAAACATTGGGAGGGATGGAAGATATTGTTACGGTGAAGATGGGGCATGTTGTTAGCCAGCCGACCAGGACAGTTTTCTGCTTTACCTTAGAGAACTTCTTGTTTTATTGAATAGCGGTATGCTTGCGTCCGAATTTCTCGACTACAGGAGTCATGTAAGTGGTCATGCAGATTTCATGCCTGTTTTTAGTTCATGGTTACGATGAAGTCGTCCTCGGTAGAGATTGCTAAGAATATTAAACCCTGCCCGAGGCCAATATAAAGCTCTTAATAAATTCATTCTAATCTATATCTGCAAAACCCACTCTCACTCATCTACAGGCCCTAAAACTAGTTAGCCAGCCATAACCATTATAGTCTATAAGGATCTTCAATAAATATTGATTCCAAACACCAAGACTTTCTATATTATGACTTTATAATTGCAAATTAACACTATCGATAAATAACAATGAAGTGAGAGCCACAAAAAGCCGGAAGTAGGCCGAATTTGCAATTAATCAACGGCTAATGATACGAGGATGGTTATTAGTGGTAATTAGACTGCGAGTAATACAGGAATACCATGTGCGGGGAAAGGACTTTTACAAACTCTATACAGGTTCCCCGCATTAGCTTAAAGACTAGAAACAAGACATTGCATCTTTTAGCAAATCCGGAACGATCAGACCCTCAATAAGATTTGTGTGCCGTCCTAGAGTCGGAGCCAACTCCGTGACCCCTCCTGCACTAGCAAGATAATCTAAAGCAGGGCAAAAGGTCTGAGGCCAGATTAGGGTTTTTTCTCTACTGTATAAGCGTTGCGGACCTTCTAGAAGAATCCCCGAAGGTGCTGCATATGTTCTAGTGTGTTGGCAGCCTTTTTTATTGACCAACTAGATCTAAAGAAATTAGCACCTATGTCCCGCGTTCTCGTGCACTCGCGGACTTTTGGGGTCTCTTCCCCGAGTAGATGAGATCTTCCATTTCTCTGTAACATTTTCAGCTAAGTGCTACCTCGGTATTTCACCAAAGTCTCCATTCGTTACATCCACAATCCGATCACCCCGCGGAAACTTTCTAGTTCTCCGCGAATGCTGGAATGTTGGCAGTTGTAATCTAGATTATGATTGAGGAGCAAGGAGTATATAATATGGTCCATGTCCAAACTGAGATTCTCAAGTTGTCTCCATCTACATTTATACCTTTAACGCAAGAAATAAATATCTTCTGCACGTACGACCACCATGACCTTGGGCCTCAAAGTTCTTGCTGCCGTGGTCACAGTGCTGAGGGTTGTATTTGCTGGACAAGTCAGCTACAATGAACAGTACCGACCCCAGTATCACTTTAGCCCACCGGAAAACTGGATGAATGACCCAAATGGCCTTGTATATCACAATGGTGTCTACCATCTATTCTATCAATATAATCCAGGCGGAATAACATGGGGCAACATGTCATGGGGGCATGCAACCAGCTCAGACTTAACCCACTGGAAGCAACAGCCCATCGCCCTCCTCGCCCGTGGATTCCCTGACAATGTCACGGAGATGTTCTTCTCCGGATCTGCAGTAGTCGACGCTGATAATACCAGTGGCTTCGGCGAGAATGGCAGGATCCCTTTGGTTGCCATGTATACTTCTAATGTAAGCTCTCTATTCTTCTCAATATAATTCAACCATTCCTTGCAACGATGAGCATTGACATTCTTCTTTTCGACAAACCTTCTAGTACATTGTCACACAAACTCTTCCGAGTGGGAAGACAGTCCAAGCAAACCAGCAAGCTCAGTCCATTGCTTACAGTCTGGATGACGGCATGACATGGACTACGTACGATGTAGCAAACCCAGTAATTCTGCAGCCACCTGCTGCATATTCGGACCAGATCCTCAATTTTCGCGACCCCAACGTATTCTGGCACAGCCCTACCGAAAAGTGGGTTGTCGTGCTCTCCTTGGCTGAACTTCATAAAATTCTGGTTTATACCTCCGACGATCTGAAGAACTGGGTTTTCGAGAGCGAGTTCGGTCCCGTGAACGCTATCGGTGGGGTGTGGGAGTGTCCAAACCTATTCCCACTCGTTGTTGATGGGAAAAAGAGCAGCTTGAAATGGGTTTTAATGATCGGACTCAATCCTGGTGGACCTCCTGGAACAGTCGGCTCGGGTAGTCAGTATATTGTGGGTGATTTCAATGGAACCACGTTCACCGCGGATCCTGATAATGTATATTCTGAAACCACGCCGCCGCCAAGCGACAGCGTCGTTTTTGCTGACTTCGAAGGCACTGGAACATTTGCTGATCTGGATTGGACTCCTACGGGAGACTTGGTCGGTCAATCACCAGTGAATGGCACTTTGGCTAACCAACAACCGGTGACTGGTTACTTGGGAAAGCGTCTTGTGAACACGTATCTAAATGGGGATGCCACAACCGGAAATCTTACCTCTCAATCGTTCACCATCTCCAAACGGTATATTAACTTCCTCATTGGCGGTGGACGAGATTTGGAGAATACAGCCATGTACTTGAAAGTGAACGGCCAAACAGTGCGATCCGCGACAGGAGCCGACAGTGAGAACCTTCTTTGGCAAAGCTGGGATGTAGGCGCTCTGCAGAATCAGAATGCTATAATCGAGATCGTCGATACCGCAACTGGTGGCTGGGGCCATATCCTAGTCGACGAAATCAGCTTCTCGAACTCGATCGCGCGAAGTCAAGTGGCTAATTGGGTTGATATGGGTCCAGACTTCTACGCCGCTCAGGGTTATAATGGCCTATCTTCGAACGAGCGAGTTGTCATTGGGTGGATGAATAATTGGCAGTACGGCCAGACAATCCCAACTTCCCCATGGCGCAGCGCCATGTCGGTTCCCCGCCGGCTCTCGTTGACGACGATTGGTGGAAAGCCTACTCTGGTACAGAATCCTACTGAAAATTGGAAATCCATTGTGCCAGCTAATAGCATCGTTCATGACGTCTGGCATTCGGTGAATGGCAACAAGTTACTCGGTTCTGTTGGGAAATCATTCAGGGTTGACTTGACTTTCTCTGATCGACCTTCAGCTGCATCGGGAGCTTCTTCTCAGTTTGGAATCATCGTCCGGGCGACTGCGGACTTTTCACAGCAGACGCGAGTAGGCTACGACTTTGCAACCAAGAATATGTTCGTTGATCGAACCCAATCTGGCGACGTTTCGTTTGATAGCACATTCGCAGACATTTATTACTCCCCACTCACGGCAAACAATGGTAAAATCACAATGAGTATTTATGTAGATTGGTCCAGTGTTGAGGTCTTTGGTGGCCAAGGAGAAACTACCCTTACCACTCAGATATTTCCGGCGGATAGTGCAACTTACGCTCAGATATTCTCGACGGGGGTCGCAACCAATGATGTCGACGTTCGCATCTACAAGGTTTCTTCGACCTGGTAGCATTAGATAAACTGGCTAGTAGCATCGGAGAGTGGGCGATTTCGTGTGCATTGCGATTTGTTATAGAAGTGAACATATGTACGGTATCAATTGATATAGAATTATATTGATATCTACATCAATTATACTGCCGCAGGCCAGTCTCGATCATATTGATAGAACAAACAATGGTGTCTATCCTACGAGTAATCTCTCCCAAATTTTGTAAGCAAGTTCAATAATGTCAACATAGTTTCTAGGAAATTTGTTGCTCAAATTGGCAGGCAAATCTATCCCGATAGTTCCACAAATTAAGGTGTTGGAATCCGAGCGTAAATACTGCGAGTTATCGCAGATTTTTAAATTTACTTGGCAGGTGCAAGCTTGTAATAGGCAAGTTGGCATTTTCTTAATGAACTTATTGTTAGATATTTCCTTGAGAAGTTTTCTATCTAACGCGCTTTACCGCTGGTGAACGATTTCTTTCACAAGAAAAAAAGAAAAGAAAATCTGAACCTAATTATTGGCTACATAGCTTTCAAGTTACGTAGCTGCTCTTCAAGGACACACCACATAAAGCCTAGCGATCGACCACATTCGTTTGGTCGCCTTATGCTCTGCACTGCATGTTGGATGCGTTCAAACACCTTAGGTTGTGCTATAACCTTAAAGCATTCTATGCTTTGAACCTTCAGGGTGGCTAGGCATATAATGAAAACACTATGATAGTTCAGTGTAAGCGTGTCTGTAGGCTGTTTCTATCTTTTGACTAACCTCGTGTATAATGACCAGAGTTTTGGCCCGCAACGGGGTGCAATCACAGTGGCAAGCGACAAAAAGTTCATCACTGAATCAAAAAATAGCCTAGAGTGCACGAGGACGTCCGCATCGGCAACAACTCCGTTTTCCACGACACGGTATACGTATTGCCAGTAAATCGATACCTGTAATTCATAGTACTTTAGACGAAGGAAATCGACTAGAGGTGAGCGGGAAGCGGGAACGGTTGTTGGGGACGATCTGGCTACGACTGCTTCACTGAAGCGTAATGTTTGTGGAATAGACTCGAACCACTCTTCTAGCAGAAATGCCTGCTCGTCTGCGGTGATAGGTGTAGTTTGGTGGTGATGGCCGTTTAGTCCATTTGTGGACATTCTTTCAGAATACCGTTGGGATATTAGTTCGAGTTCGACTGCTTTCAGGAGGTAAGAGACTCGGTCTTCGCCAGCCTCGTTTTCAAATGTTCCACTCATTAGTGACCTTGGGGAATCACACTTGAATTGAGAGGTGAAATTCCAAACATCAGTATCTCTTTCTGGAAAAGGGATCATATAATCTCGGTGGTGTATGCGAGAGGTATCTACTCCTAGGTCAATCTGGGTAGAAATTTCACTTTTTGAGATCGATTAGAAGTTAGTTTCTATGAGATCAAAAAATTAACGCGTACGGACCTCTCTATCAAGAAGGCTGCCCGATAAACCCGACGTGTGATAGCAAGCTCAGTTGGATAATTTCCATCGGTATATCTAGGAGGACTGTCAATACGAAAAGATCATTTCATGATCGAGGAGGGGGAGGTGTCTGAAGTTCGTGAGTCTAGTACATTTTGAGGAGCTTCTGAACCTTGGAAGTAGCGAGAATTGCAAAGTCGTGTGCTTGACGTGGCCGCAAGAGACAGGAAAAATAAAGACTAACAAGAACGAGGCATTGTGTGCTTCTCCAGTCGTCTTCTAATAGTGAAAAGTAAAGCATAGATTGAGCGGCATCAAAATAACATGACGCAGTCTGTAGGGAAGAGGCGGACCCCATGGTCTGGCCCGCCACCAGGAAACCTATTGCTGCGACCAGTAAAGATTGACAGGATTTGTTTGAGGGAGGGAAAGAATTTGTATTTGCGTCAAAGAATTCACTTGTGAAATTAGGATGTAGGATAGGATACCACCTATGTACGTGTTCGGAGAAAGCGTGGAGTGCCCTATGGTATTGTAAGGATATGCTTTTACATAGCTTTATAGAAGAATACGGAATCAGTGCCAGCCGTACGTAATAGCCCTCTCGTACGGAATGCTAGAGGCCCGTGGAGCTCTGGTAATTCCTGAAATGCAGCCGGAGGAGGGGTTTTCCAGGCGGTACAAGATTTCGGATAAGCCGGGGTCCAGACCAAGAAATCTCATGAGCAAAGGCGATTTTACAGCTAAGAATGGGAAGACTGGTCGATATTGTTTCTGTGATATCTCCATCAGTGACCGTATATCAAACATCAAGCGGTTGGATAAATGACAGGGTATAGGGCCTCCTACATTCTGCATCTGCATCTGGATAGGGGAGGGATGAAAGGCATGAGTGATTGTAGAGGCTATGTAATCCAATCGTTGTTTAATGCTGGAAAGCTCTTGCTCTAATCTGCTAACATTGTTACCACAGTGACCTATCTGGCGAAAATGAATTCAAATGAGGGCAACACCCACGGTGAAGGTTGAGGGTCAGGAGCTTGGGGATACACGCATTCTGCGTTCTGGTTCTGACAACCCAAACATTTTGGCCGCTGGCCATTACATCTTGTTCGGCGTGCTCGACACTGTTTGCAGGCTAAGAATGTTCGTCTTTTCGTGTAAGACGGTCTTTCTACCAGGCCTGACAATTCCATCTTGACCAACCGATTCTGATACAAAAAAAAAACATAAAAAACCAGTCGTGATAAGAACAGTTTCTTTATAGTATAGTACGAAATTCTAAGTACGTCTGTAGAGAGGGTATCTGGTGCCATCCTATTTTTTGGGACTGGGACTAAACGAGTGAAAGTTAATATGCTTTGAACTAGTCAAAATATGGAAGGACTACATGCAAGATGCAAGACGCATACTGCCTTGTGTTTGCTTGTAATATTCTCATTCCTTGCATCAGCTCTTAGGGCTAATCTCGACCAAATATGCTACCAGAGTCATGGCACTGGCGCATTGGTTCAACGGTGGCGTACAAAAGATTATACGACTCGTCCGTACACAATGCCCTAGTAACTACGTATTGAGGCTAGAACAAGCTAGAAGCATTTTCAGCGCTTTGTCCTTCTGGGGTGGGCAAATCAACTCACCGGAAACACGATCGATAATTTCCTATTTTATTCCTCGCGTTCTGGGATTTCCGCTCCGTTCTCCAATGATGCCGTCCTTTTTCGTAGTCCTATGTTGCCGAGAATGACTTCCAGCGCATCGAATTGTCTAGTTGTGAGGAAGTTTGTCTCGGAGATTCTTCTCAGTATCTTGGAATGGACTTACGCAACAAGGCTAAATATTGGCTAGGGATTATGATTCCAGTCTGAGAGAGGTCTGTTCTCGTTGGTTTTCCCCACCACAACCGTTCGGAGTTGTTCGCGCCGGGACTTGACGTACTTTCGCGGAGGGCTAATTAGCCTCCGCGACAACAGTCACGTATCTATTTCTTTCCTATAGAAGCCATAAAAGATTTGATGTCAGCACTAGTGGAAAGTTAACGATTCCACAGAAATATCGCTTGATATTCGCTTTTCGTAGAGAAATTTGATTCATTGCACAAGAATATGTCTCTCTCAATTGATGTATATATTAATAATATTAAACCTATTTTTGTGGTTTAATCTCTCCATATTGGTATATATCATTACTTGTACAACGTAATTTATTTGTGCGGAAGTCTGATTTATGAATTTTCCGCGAAAGTTTGTGTATTATGAAGTATATTTTTTGGTAGATTTCCCCGCAGAATTTATCCCCGCACTAGAGGAGAGTAGATACCAGATACACGACTCGCAATTTTGATTGGGAGGGGGGTCGTTCTACTCAAATGGAGAGAAATGCTCCTCACCGTCTGGTAGTGTTTTTTCCTTTTCTTTTCGTGCTTTTCTTTTTGGGATTTTTTGGGATCTGTCTTTCCCTAGATGCCCGCATGCTGCTTTTCATCTGAAGATGTGTCAAGCTTGGAAAAATGAGTCTTCAAAAATTGGATAACGCCTCGGTCGACAGATTTCATCTGTTCATTTCCAAGAGGACGATTGGGTCTATCTCTCGCCCTGTGAATGATCCCGATGCGTTGGTACTCGAAGCCTGGGCCCAGGGCCTGATGGCTGGGTCTTTGATCATCATGGCGGCGATAACGATCGCAAATATGCGGGCTGGTGTTCTTCTCCATAGGCTGATTTTACTAGAGGTAACTTTCTCATATACCACCCTTTGTTTTGGCCCCAAATTGACCGACGAACTTCTCTCTCCGTTTTAGCTGGTCCTTGCGATGGCTCATGGAACATTCATTTTCGTCCCGGAGCCGGCCTACGGCTGGTATCTGGCTGCAACGGCGGTCGGCCTGATTCTGTCCTGGAGCCTGCACAATTTGATCGCATGGATTAAAAACAAGCCTTTCATGAGTAGGCCAGTGTCCTTGTTCTATATAGGAACAATCATCCTAGTTCAGCCATACTGGGCTTTGGAGATGTACGCGAATTTTGCCTACTTTAATGACATCAATCAATTATACGACAAGATTCGCCCATTAGAGGCTCTCTTTCGGTAGGGGCATCACATATACCTTCTTATTTCTCCATGCCTTTTTTTCGTTATATCTAATTATCACAGGGATCCTTGGTGGATATACACAACGTGCAATTTTGTGTGGGTAATCAAGACGCACTATAATCTTAGCATAATCGGACTCGTTCGTGAATGCCCCCGGTTCGGGTTAATGTTGGGATCGATGTGTCTATCAATTATTTTCCTTGTCCTAGACATCCTCAGCGTTACTGGTGTTTTACGTGGAAATATGCCGCTCGGTATTAATCCTTTCTGGAAGGTGAGTTCCACCTATTTTCTACCTATTTTTTTCTGAATCACAGAAACACCAAAGGGTGTGTGTGTTATTATATAGATGAGGTTATGAGAGTCACAGGAAAGGAAAGGTTTGGAAGAATTACAACGAATACTAATATAATACTTTCCTAGCTATGTTTTATATTCAAGTGCCTCTGCGACACTCTCATCCTGGATGATTTCAAAACCGCACTGGACGGATTACGAGACAGATTGTTTCCACAAAACGTACTTGCCGAAGTTCAACCCTATGGTATGTTATATCTCCACCCCCAAGTTGTGCTTCTCTTAAATGCGTCACATTTTGCAGTCTCTTATTCTTCCTCTCGATATTTAGAATGCCACGATCTTCCTTCTGCCTCGATAGACGCCTCCGATGGTGGCAGAAAGCACATTCGATCATCCAAGGGTTCAATCAGTATAGAACATTTGGAGTCACAAATTCCCAAGACCCCGTAGCAGGTATATTGTTACTTTTTATTGAATTTGAGTATATACTTTAATATTAAGAAAATATATATATACACGAACAGATGCAGATATACTTTCACTGAACCGTGCGGTCCTCTTCCAACTTGAACTAGTATGTATAAAACCTTATCTATTGGGCAAACGAGGAAAACCATTAGTACATAGGATCTGTAGTTTCTATTTAGTGGTGGACGTGTTGACTCAGACCTTGCATGTGCTTGTGATTCCAACTATCATGCTATGCAAGCTTCCCTACGTTAGATATGAGGAAATATTGCTGTTCATCGGACCACCATGTTCCGATGTGTGGCATGTCATCGGGCTGAAAAGATGCCAGAAGTAGTATGGCCAAGCTTTGTGTCTAAGCGACATTTGCCCGACGGCCTGTGCGGCGTGGTAAGTTTGGCTGAGTTCAGGCACTAGTAAGCCAGCCCAGTCTATGTGCAATACCCGTGCTCTTGCCGTATGTGACATGCGGGTTGTACGACCCCAGAAGCGATTGGTTGCGAAGATAATGTGAAAAATGGCGTCGGGCGACGATGTAGATCGAGATATGCCGTAAGACGGAATAGGAAACCAACGCTTCGGCTCGGCTTTTGGTTGGTGACCCATGTGAAGCACTGCACAGCATGTGGAATATAGTTAAGCCACTAGAAGAACACTAGAAAAAACGCTAGAAAAACGCTAGAAAAACGCTAGAAGGGAACTAGAAGGATTTAGAAAGCCTCCAGAGCTTCTAGAAGTGTTCTATCAACCTAAGAACGAATGCCATAGCCAATTTAGTTGTGCTTCGCTGAATCCACTTTTACAACAGGACCAGTTGACATGACTCTCTTATTGTAACATTTGAACTGATAGACACCTGATTCTACGCTAGATCATAAGCCTGAGACTACAATCCCGGTAAGTACATTTAAGTAAATTAAGTAATACTAAATATGATGTATGATGAGTCCGTACCCACCAAATGCGCTGCAATCAATGACGCTATTCGTAATTTTTGGGCGGTGTCTGGTCATACACTTCGATACACTACTGCCACAGTCTCTCGGTCTATATATAATTTCTCAATAGTTCAGTGTATGAAGGTCACATTGTCAATTGAAACCCTTCAAAATGGCATCACAGGATGCTACCGATGCAGTCAATCGGCGTCGACGAGGCTCGCTTGCGTGCAATGCTTGTCGGACACGCAGAACAAAATGCGACGGTCTGCGGCCCAAATGCTCCTTCTGTAGGAAACGGAATAAAGACTGCATTTATCAGGAAGTCAGAGAGATTCCTCCAACACGGTGAGTTATCTACGAGTGTAATCTCTTTTCTCTTTGATTGCCAATCCAGGGTCAGGATACGTGTAGCTAATGCTATGATGATATCAGATTTGATATGGAAATATCTGCTATTTGGGAGCGATTGGACCAAATCACCAGTATACTCAGACCAGAGTCAACTTTGGGGGAGATGTCTGTGGCTACACAACTGCATGCCAACCTCTCCCGGGGCCAGGATATATTCCCACGATATCCGTTCATGGTTCTTCAAAGCCAGTCTTTCATGGGGCTTCTTGGTTTTAATCCCTCCATGGCTCGAGATATAATGCTCATAGAGCGTGGGGAACCCATTTTAATGACCCATTTACCACCGGAAGCCACGATTTGGATAGATATCAACCACGCAAATCAGTGAGTAATACATAACCCGAAGTAGCCCGCATGGTGCCTACATTTCTCAAGAAATATATGATTAGAGCAGCAAACTGATGCATTCTTTTGGTACAGCCTTTTAGATGTTTTCCTAGAACAGATCAACATTTGGTATCCAGTCTTACATGCCAGTTTCATAGAACAGCTGCTTCAATCAATCGCAGAATCCTTTCCTACCTCTCCAGAGTCATGCCTCTCGCTCCTAGTGATCACAGTTGGATCACTTTTTGAGTGCGGATCAAGTTGGCAGGGGATACGGGAGCAAGCCGGTTCAATCTACCTTCAGACTGCGTTGGAAATGTTGCCATCAGTCTTAATTGATGACTCCATTCGGGGGGTACAGTGCCTCCTACTGTTTAGCATCTACTTCAACTGTCTCCTCCGACCCTGCCGAGCTCTTGATTTCGTGACCGTGGCTTCATCCAAAATCCAAAATCTTCTGAAAAGGTAAAAAGAGACTGTCCAATATCAATTGACTGGTACTATGAGTGCAGATTGTTAACTAGTATATCCCAGACTCAATTACGATGCCGACCCAGAACAGCTATCTATGGCTAGAAACTGTTACTGGATTGCCTGGTTGATTGAAAGGTACGGCATACCATATCATAGATATAAGGTTTAGCTGACTGATTTGATATGCTAGTGAACTCACGGTGCAACTTGGTTTCTCTGAAAGTGGTATCTGCGATATGAACACTATGGTTCCGATACCTCTGAGTACTAATGTCATTTCGGAAATTGAACTTTCAAACTGCACCTTGGAAGATTCTAGTCCGATATCTGACACTAGTACGTTATACGACCGACTGTCATATTTTATTGCCGAGATTGCAATACAAAAACTGGTTCAGCGCAGTACCCGGTACATCTGGACTGATGCAGATTCCGGTTTCACATTTGCGCCGATCGTCGCCGCTGAGCTAGAACGGCAGATGGATGAATGGTACCGTTATCTTCCGGACACCCTCTGTTTTTTGGATGGTGATGATGAGGAATTCACCAATACAAGTCCTCATAACCGAGCACACGCCGCATTCTTACGGACCCAATATTTTGCATTTAGGACGTCCATCTATTGGCCAGCCGCTTATCAGGCCATCGATGTGGGAGAGGCAGACGCGGCTTTGCTGCTTCCCTGTCAACGGTTTTTTGATAGCTACATACAATTCATCACCAGTTCGGCAAGTGCAGTCCTAGTATGCAAGTCTCATACTTGGACATTGCTTACCAGGTAAGTTGGCGTTGTCAACTTTTGAGAGGGTTGTCTTGCTTGAAGTTAACATAGGTATGATTTTAGTGTCTTTGTGATTTCGGCGGCTGCTGTAAAGGCATCAGTGACCCTATGTCTGAAAGGAGTTGTCAGGCCAGAAGTCACTAAGGGCTTACACACAGCCCTCCGCATGCTGAGTGAGGTTTCCCAGGTCAGCCCTTCTCTGGCTTTGTTGCGAGACAATCTTCACCAGTATATTTGCAGTCAATCGTCCTTCTCAGGACAGTCTTATACACCTTGATTACTTCAATAGATATAGAGCTATAGATAAAACAATGTAAACACGACTATAAGTAATATAAGTACGTATGAGCCTTGACACGGTTCTCCAATATCTTTTTTAATTTGTTTTACCGTAACTTTGGCTTTTTAACGCCGTTGTACGCTAAAACAGACCGATAATCATGTGAAGTGCTTTGTGTGATGTCCACTTTCCCCGGGCACGATTGAGATTCTTAGCTGTATTCAAATATCAGCCCATTTTCAACCTAACAAAAAGTGATTTTTCAAAGCGCCTTAAATTCCGACTTAACGACATCGAGCTACTAACTATTTATCGGCTCACCGAAATACCAAAGTAGTATTAACTAACGGGCCGGACTCTGCTGAAAGGTGCCATCGGGCGGATTTTTAGGTTTCTCTCCATAGAAGTTTATATTGACTTGCCCACATTAGTCGAACTGTCCCGATCGTAATGCATGATTGGAGGACAGCACGCATGGATGACAGTTTATGTCGGAGGCACTGCCGGAGCGGGGTTCCCCGTTTGGTCTGACGGCCGATAAGTAGGATCACAGAGTAATTGATCCAATAGTAACTCTATACCCAGTACTGTACGAAAGATGTACTCAGTACGTACATAGTGTATTGGATCCACCCACAATCCTCTTGGCGCGTACTTATCTGGGGTTTAGTGTTTACTTATGGCGCAAATACGATTTTTCCCTTGGACAAGGCTTGCTTCCTTCGTCCCCTGTAAATTACTCTGTGGAGTAACTATCAAGTACCCCCCGGCATAATTAATCTCTAGACCTCATGTGGTCGCGGAGATACCCCACAGCTCCGCATCACGCTCTCTTCACACTAGAGAAGACGAGAGGATCTAGTTAAGGTTAATGCTTTGGTTCGGAGAGTACGCATGTGAAACGGCACCCCCAGGGTAAATTTTGATCATAAATAAAACCCGCGCATCATCCTTCAATCATTATTTCCTGAGCAACATCTAAACCTGAGCTCTTCCTTAGCCTCGTCTGTTGTACAAGCCTGTCCTTATATCCACTCCAGGGAAGGAAAATCGTTGTAATAATGGGCATCTTGCTTAAACAGCCTGAAGGGACGGCCGGGAAAGCATGGCCCTCCATCTTGATCAGTGGATTTGTTGCCTTTGGTGGTATTCTATTCGGGTATGTAGGATGATCTGATGAGAGACTTGATAACGTGCATGAGCTCAACATATTCATGCAGCTATGATACCGGCACAATCAGTGGTATTTTGGCCATGCCCTACTGGGACAGGACATTTTCCACCGGCTACAGAGATGCCGACGGCATTTTAACCATCACTTCCAGCCAGTCTTCCGCAATTGTCTCTATTCTATCTGCGGGAACCTTTTTCGGGGCCTTGGGTGCTGCTCCTATGGGAGACTTCATTGGCCGGCGTATGGGACTAATTGCTTCCACCGGCGTCTTTACTCTGGGAGTCATTTTGCAGACTGCGGCAACAGCAATCCCCCTTTTCCTAGCGGGACGCTTCTTTGCTGGCTTTGGTGTTGGTTTGGTCTCCGCCTTGAGTAAGTAACAATGTTGTACATGACTTGTTGCGCAGCCACTAATCAGATATTCGTGTTGAAAAGTCCCCCTTTATCAGTCTGAGACGGCCCCGAAATGGATCCGTGGCTTTATCGTCGGCTCCTATCAATTTGCCATTACCGTCGGTCTGTTGCTGGCGTCGGTTGTTAATAACGCCACTCATGGCAATAATGACACTAGCTCTTACCGTATCCCCATTGCCGTTCAATTCGCTTGGGCCATCGTCCTGGTGGTTGGCATGCTGATCCTCCCGGAAACGCCTCGCTACATGATCAAGAGAGATAACCACGACGCTGCGATCCGAAACCTAGCTAAACTCAGACGTCTCTCGCCAGACCATCCAGCCGTGCTCGAGGAACTCGCTGAAATCCAGGCCAACCACGACTTTGAAATGAGCGTTGGCAGTGCCACCTACTTGGATTGTTTCCGAGGTAGTCTGGGAAAGCGGCTTCTAACTGGATGTCTTCTCCAAGGGCTTCAGCAATTAACGGGCATCAACTTCATTTTCTATTACGGCACACAATTCTTCAAGAATTCTGGATTCCAAAATGAGTTTGTCATTAGCTTGATTACCAGCTGTGTCAACGTCGGTTCTACAATTCCAGGTCTTTATGCCATCGACAAATGGGGGAGACGTCCAGTCTTGCTCTACGGTGCCATTGGCATGACTGTGTCCCAACTTCTCGTTGCAGTGCTAGGAACAACTACCACCAGCCAGGATGCGCTTGGAAATATCATTGTTCACAACGTAATGGCACAGAAAGCGGCCATAGCTTTCATTTGCATCTATATCTTCTTTTTTGCTGCTTCTTGGGGTCCAATTGCTTGGTAGGGCCGACTTTCCTCTTGTTTACTTCAATTGATAATTAACTAACGACAAATCGTAGGGTTGTTACCGGAGAAATCTTCCCCCTGAAGACCCGAGCCAAGTCTCTCTCTATGACCACCGCCACAAATTGGCTGCTCAACTGGGCACTCAGCTTCTCTACTCCGTATTTGGTTAACTACGGGCCCGGTAATGCAAACTTGCAATCTAAGATTTTCTTTATCTGGTTTGGCTGCTGCTTCCTCTGCATTACTTTCGTATATTTCCTGATCTATGAGACCAAGGGATTGACCTTGGAGGAAGTCGATCAACTCTACAATGAAGTTAGCTCCGCTAGAAAGAGTATTCATTGGAAACCAACCATTACTTGGACCGAAAAGAAAGAGAAAAAAGCCGACGTTGCAGAGCAGGAACACCTCGAAGAGCGTAGCGAACAAGCTTGATAGAGAAAGAGATGTGTCTTTCTAGGTGATAGGATGGAGAGAGTGATATTGTTACTAGCCCATGTTCATTTTCCATTTGACAAGAATTATTTCGGCTATATTTCAATTGATATAGGTGAATTGAATGGGATGATAACCCCTCAGAAGCAATGAAGCGCTTGTTCATCCCGATGTCCTAGACTTGTAGCGAAGTGCAGACACTGACCTATTAACTTCGTACAGTTGTTTATATGTTCTTTTGCCCTCGACCATTTCTAGTAACTCCCATACAAATTTTCAATGTTCTTCCCTCTCGGCCTCCATACAATGACTTGTATCATTATTATAGTGGTTATTTGACAGTATAATTAATACATTTAATCTAACATGTAATAAATGTAAGAGATATTATAGATATAAGTATAATTGAAACTATATAATAATAGTTTACCATTGAACTCCTATTGTCGGCATTGATTATTGTCATGGGCCACCGCGTTCGAATCTGGAAACAAACAGTGTCTATTCTCAGTCTCCCACAAAAGCCTCTCCTATATTCCAATTTTTTCTTGATTTTCTCCTTCGATAATATTGGTTTTTATTGATCATCCTTATATCCATCATATACACCATCTCTATTATCTCTGTTATTTATTTTCATTAATAGTTTAATACAATCAGCCGTTAAGATGGTGGAAGATAATGTATTCTTTGATTTCATACATTTATAAGCTGATATTTTCTCATTCTTATCCGGTTCTATTCCCATTTATTTCTTTCGTTTCTCTTTATTCTGTTTTGGACGATAGCATAGCTAAAGAGCATGAAAAGTCTAAAGAAAAATATCATACATCCAGAATATAATATTACTTTATATCAAGTAGTAGCTAACGCTCGCCGAATTAAATTAATCCTCCACGTTGAAGTAAAAACTCGAGCCATCAAAATTGATTCTGGCAATTGAAGTAAGCTATTGTGTTCCAATTTATTTGATATTGATAATTAATCTATAACATTGGCACAATTCAATGTTGAACCCTCAAATTGCATGCTTCGATCCGAGCATATATCCAAAGGAGAATATTACAGTGGCGAAGCAACAAGCGTAAGAAAAAGGAAATTGCTTTGATTCACCTCTACTTGACGCGCTACCAACCATCACGCATATGTTCCGAAGAGTCAGCATTCCCTTTATTATCCGGTATAAATGGCATAGCTTGATATAAATAGCACATCTGTAGCAATTTATGATTAGTTTGATTTTGATATTTATTTTTATTCCCAGCTATTAATAGTCTCGCCATCCTGCTGGGATATACACAAAATCAAGGTTCTGACACAGTGGGCGTTTTATGTCCGGTTCTATGTATAGATTATGAGGAGCAGGGATTAATGCTGAGGAGAGCATCATCAATTGATGACTTGGCGCTGAAGTTGGGGCCGTGATGGGACCTCGCTTGGGAGATTGTTGATGTTCACAATTCAATTCGATGGTATTATAAATAATTTGTATTCTATTAATATCGAGGATGGGAAAATACGAAACTGGACTAGAAAATAAATACTAATAAAATTGGTTCTTTCATAATGAGTCTGCCTTGTCTCAAAGCTGTTTCGGCTCAAGCGCTCAAAGTTGGTACCTGGCTATGATGACATTACATACAGTGACCATATGCACAAGGAGCATTAGCGATAAATAAATTACAGTCACACACACTACGAACTTCCAAGCTTATAAAAAGCAAACTACCGCAGTAATTAATAATGCCAAGACTACTTAATTTTTTATTTCTTTTTCTCCTGCTGCGTCTACAGTCCGCTAATATATGTATAGCATAGAAGCGAAGTTTGTTGACCAGCGGAATCTATCCTAAGCGGGTATATCCTAAAGAACCAAGTTCCGAAATAAATATTGTAATTACCATACAGCCCAAATATTCGGATATTCATAAAGCGGTATTGGTCGATCACCTACACCAATATTCTCGCCGAACAATCTATGAAGCTTTACAGCTGTTGATCAAAACTCAAATTTAAACCACAATCAATCAAGTGGTAAAAAGTTTAAAACATAGTAAAATATATAAGTAGGCAGAATTATTTCTTTTTACTCCCCTCTATCCACAATTGGAATGGCCAACATGCAGCTGCTCTCGCTATAAGGCTTGTCCAGGCCAGAATGCAAAGAGTGGTCGAAGCTAGCCAAGGAAGGATATCCGGGTCGGTAGTCGGCAATTTGAAGGGCCATTGAGAGTGAGTCTACATGCCTGCAGCTGCTGTGTGCATGGTGTGCATGGGCGTGAGACTAGTCGGGTCAGCAGAGTCAAGGTCAAGTTGTGTGGCTGGTATATAATAATTGTGCCACGTCGAAGAGCGACTGAATAATTAATCTCCCCGCCTGCCACCTGACTCAGTATCACAAACCGCGGACTTTATTTTTATTCCGACTCAGAGAAGAAGGATTGACAAGTTCGATAATTCATCTAGAATATTAATATTAATGTTAATGTTAATGGCTGCTTAGTTGTATAATTATTGCCTTCAATGACATAATGCGAATTTCCAACGTGGACCCCACCCGAGCCATGCCAAACTGGACAAGACTAACTGGGCTCCTGATCCTGCATTTGTAGGCAAATAGGACTAATGCAAAGCGATAGTCCCGATGCTACTTCCTGACGTTATGACTAACAAGAGAGCTCCCATGCCCACATCTTTGTAATGAGAAGTGGGGAAACGCATGGGGAATGAATTCTGAGATAGACGTCTCGTCAGTGCGAGATATCTAGTAGCCTTTTTCACCAATAAAACCGATAGGGAAAGGCAAAGAGATGTATACAGAAAGTAGAAACGGTTTCAGATTTAGGACGGACGTACACTCCGAATCTACCTCACTGTCTGAGACTCAGAGCCAGTTTAAACGCTCCGTATTCTGTATGAAGAAGCTGTGGCAGATCGAGTTAAACTCACGTGTAAATATTAATAATAATATTAATTAAGCAGCTGGTGGTGGCTGCGCCTCTTGTGTGGTAGCAATTAGCACATGCAATATGAATGCTAGCCCCGCGACCCTTTGCCTGACCCAAAGAGGACGATGATGAGCATGCTCTTGCTCGCTTCCGGGGTGCATACTTCCGCGGTTAACGACATACGAAGAGGGCGTCTGCCATTATCTGCAGAGCATGCACCATACTCAAGGCTCGCGGTAGTAGTGTAACTGTGATGGTTATACGTTGAGTATAGGATGGATCCGTCCAGCTTCGTATAGTCGCACGATGTACCAAGGCCTAAGACGGCTAGCGATGGATAGATAAGGAAGGAGACAAGACGCACAGCAGGCGATCGGCAGGCGATCATTCCTGATCAGGAAGAGCTCTCAGTAACCAAGTGAAGAGACGGAGGAAGTAACAGAGGAAGAGACCCCGGTAAAACCTGCCACGTGGGGGGCAGGACCGCTTTGGGCAGTGCCGGCTGGCACCAGGTTGGACCTAGCGCTGCCGCCCCCACAAATCGACTACCTAATCTAGACATTAAGTGGCACTGCCCGCGCGGCACGGCAGGGGCTTCCGTGGCATGTAATTATAATTTGGGTTAGTGTAGCCCTAATCAGGGCTACTCACCCTTTTCCTGAATACTTGGTCTTGCAGTAGCGGGGCCCGCGGACAGTTCAACAGCGACCACTAATCGTTCGCGGTGCTGGCGACTCCTGCTCAATCTGTCCGCCCCAATCGCAGGGATCGCCCAATCACCCCCGGAGCCTCGAGATCTGCCGATTGATTTGCCACGTCTGATCCACCCGCAGGCCAGGAATCTGTGATGTTCCCAATAATGGTCAGAAGGCTGAACACCTCGTAGATTACTGTCTCTCATGATGGTGTTATAACTGTGGGGTGCTTTTGAAACCGCTGTCTCAGACGCTAAACAGGTTACAAGAGCATCAGTAAGTCCGTCAATCAATCAATAAGCGTGTTCAATTCTCCCGGAAAATAATAATAATAATATGGTAACTAATAATACATAGCAGGATGGTATTGTGCGAATAGCAACAAAGAGTGGTGCTAGCGAAATGCAACAGATGAACTCCAAGCAATGCTCTCTCAAAAAACACGAGTCGTCAAATCAGATCCTATCCATCGATGCCATCATCATCATCGACTCCCCCGGTGGTGAATCCGCCGTACATGGTCTTTCATATTGTCGACCCGGCTGAACACGCGGTCACACCCATTCCATTCGCATGTAATCTGTGGGTTGTGTTTAGCTTCGTGCCGGGCTCGGTCCTTTTTGCTAGAAAATCCACCATCGGTAGCTTGGGGGCAACCCTCGAATCGACAAAAGAGGTATTTTTTATGTCGATTATAGTGCTTCCTCAAATCACAGGCACGCGTGAATACCGTTTTTGACGAGCAGCCGGGATGGGCACAACGCCACGTGCCATCGGGGTTGCGAACCCCGTAGTCGGCCAGATCGCCCGCATCGGGCGATTCAGATCGATGCGTCAAAGCCCGCGAAGATTGTCGCCGCTGATGGTGACGATGGTGTGCGTGATAAGAAGAAGGCGAAGTAGAAGCTATTGGAGACGTGATTTGAGACATGGGCGATGAGTATCCCACTGGTGACTCGCTGGTGGCATATCCTTGGCCCATCGCCGGACCAGAGACGGGACCATTGTGGTGGGGTTGATAACCCATCATTGATGTAGTGTTCGCTGCGCCGTATGCTCCGTCCTCCGTGTATTGGGGATGGTTACTGTGATAGTACCCATGCCCGTAGTATCCCGGAGCAGCGGCAGCAGCCGGCACGTTCAATGTGTAGCCTGTTGTTAGGACCGTTGTGTGAGGTTGTTGGCACGTAGTTGAAGATGCTATATCGCTAAAGAGATGGTGGGCCATCTCGTCGTCTCCTTCGAGGGCCCGTTTGGCCTGGTCGGAGAAGAAATCTGACATATCGAGAATGTAGGGCAGTTTTCCGCTGAAAGAAGGAGATGCGTAGATATCAGACACAAGGAATGGATACATCATTGTGAACGCCATGATGCTTTTTGTCAAGATTTTATATAGCAAAGATAATTGATGTTACGACACAAAAGGAGGAAACTGAATAAGCAACAGTCATCAATCAGTTCTGTGAAGGAAATGGTGTCACCTTCCAGAGAGGGGCGAATCTAATAATAACAATTCTGGTTTCTCAGTTAAGTCATCAGCTGTAAAGATAAGTCTCGTTGATGACTTTGATGATGAAAAGAGTGAGGGCTATCAACAAGGGTTTATGTGCCGCAATGGCCTTCCTTATATAAGTCAAAATCCGATTGCACGAGCATCAAAGACATTGATCAGTGCTCAGAAGGATCCATAAGGCATACGCAGGGGTGGGTGCCACACTGGGTGGTGCTGTCTATGGCGGGCAAAAGTAAGGAAAGCTCGTGCATTGGTGGCCCGAACTCAGGCACACACCGATCATGGAGCTTCAGTTGATCCTCCGGAGTCTAAGCATCGAAATCCTTCCCATATGCACGTACATTGTCAGGATACAAACGGGGGTGGGTTTTTTTTGGTAGTCAAAAGCCGCCCCCTCGGGGTGGTCCGTGATTAATGCATTGACTCGGTGTTGAATGAAACCGCCACGGTGACTGGATGACTCTAAAAAAAAGACTGGAGATCTTGGAGGGGCGACAAAATATGTGCCGTGAGAACGAGACTTGTGCTTCTGTCTTTCTACGGTTGAGATACTGGTACACATACATGTAGCTATCCGGGCTGTATGCGGTTATGATTATTCAGTCTGGATGATATTAAAACCACATATGTAAGTGACGAATTACTTAGCAAGCATGAGTTATAGAGTCAACCCTCCCATTTCCAGTGCTATCCATTTCTTAGTATCCCGTTACATTCATTGCAGGCCTTTGCATTTGGTAATATTAAATCATAGTGTACTACTCCATACTATTCGACAGTACTGACTGCGTTACCCACCTTCTGCCACAGTTCATTTTATTCATGCCGCTTAACCTTATTCTGTGTTGTATTATTAGCCCCATCATGACTTTCTGCTTGGACATGTTGTCTAATTCTTGTACTCTTTCTAAAGAATGTAGATCAGAAGATACAACATCCTACTGTGAAAGGTAGCCCCCAATAGACTCAACAAAAGATTCAACGATAAGTGAATGGCTCATATGCTATCCCCAAAATCTGGAATTTTCGGATGCATACACACTCACCACACACAGTACGAGTTCATCTTGCCCAGTACATACTCCACGGTGTAGGTAATGTGGAGCTTTGCTAATAGTAGTGGCTAGGTAGTGGCGTTGGCCTTCACATGCGAGTAGCCCCCCTGTCTGATAGCAATAAAACCAAACCGTCAAACTCAAATGCATCATGTCCAATGAAATCAGGGTTCTAGGTCTGGTAAGAATTGGCTCTTGTGCTTTAGAATGCACCTCCAGCAATGGCCAATGGTCCAATGCGCTTCGTTGCACGATCTATCCATGTTCATCATGTTTCGAGCCCCCCTGAACTAACAAGTGAGGAACGACCTGCAGTAAAGTCCGCCTGCACATGTGGTTGATACTATTCTCTCCTGCAGCTAGCATCTCCAGTCACGCTGGCTATCAAGAAGAACACCCAGAAGGACAAAGAGAAAAAGCAATATCATATGCCAACAGGCTAGCCGCAATGACCCAGTCCAGTAGTAACTGCGACAGCAGCCACTTCACGATTGGATCTTTCGTGATTTTTCAAGACAAATAAGATTATCTCCACAGTACTCTTTGGAGATGGCCGTTGGGTCGTAGGCGTATAAGTGCGAAGATCATGCTGGTGATTATTAGTAAAGGTCCCCCAGATATTAAGCCCTCATGGGTATTATCCGGTCCTAATTGTCTGTAAATGGCTTGGATGGCGCCTGGGGCTACCATTTCACGTGAATGCTCCTTCATGGAGTGGCATAACAATGAAACATGACTGCGTCTGACTCCGTCCGGAGGCCGCCGACGAAATTCATGCGAATCCCAAAATGAGATTGTTGATCATTAAACTGCATACAACAAAGGCATGGCACCGGGTGACAGATAGGGCTAGCCAGCTGGCGTCCATCAAAAGGATCCGAATGCATGCAGGGTTAGGGAGTATTGTTGACTAGTGCAGTCCCATAAATTTTCCTGATCGACATCCAAGAAAACTTAGTAGGTTAGCGTGGCCAAGCCGACTTCAAAAGGCTTAGGACTGGCGGGGTAGATGCTAGAAGTAGAAGCAGAGGGTGCTAGCGTCAGCAATTTAACTTTATACTGCAGGTAAATTACTCAGGTAACAATCCCTACCAGGAATACTTCTTTCTGTACATCGCAACAAGTTCCCGCGTGGCACTAGCTCGGCATAACTTAACTCATAATCGACAACCCGGCTCCTTCTGAATCCTCACGTGGGGGATCAAGAGTGGAGGGAGAACTATGTCCATTTTTGTTATTAACGAGTCATGTACTAGTATATGTAGGATGGAGGAGACAGACTGCCCCCTCTTCTCACGTGGCTCCTCGACCACTGCTTTGTGGCGATAACATAGTAGCAATTAGCTGTAAATCACATACACTGTCGAACCACACCTGGTACTTCTCGCTTCTTATCTGTCGCAGTTGACTAATACGCTCTTTTCTTCCAGTTTGACCTCACCATGATCTGATACCATTGGATTTTATAAATACCAAATATAGAACAAAATCAGTGTAAATTGAATGACAACTGACCAGATCACATCAGTTATCGCCAGTATTACTACGCCCTACACCCGAATGATGAGTTGTCATACCAAGCCTGGGGGTGTAGTAACGCTACTGGAGATGGTCACCGGCCGTTTCATAACTCTAGTGTAGATACTCTCGATATTTGGGGGTTTCCCAATGTTACATTGTCATGCTAAGCACGTTGAGGCCATGAAAATTCTGCTGCTTTGAATCAGGCTGCCTTCGGTGACTGAGGATGCAAACGACAGCCGGAAGCGCTCAATGCTGTGCAGGGCAAGTAGTATCTGTGCCCGCGAAAGACTGCCATGAAAATATCCAAGTGACTCCGTCCATATCCCACCGCAATGCATTAGAAAATGCTAGATCTTATTGCTCTATTGAGGGAGACCGCCATCTTCAGAAAGAAGTGGCGTCCTTAAATTCGGGACGTTATTGATATCATCCGACTCTTTGTCTGTCCGGTCTTTATAGAGAATATAATGCTGGACGACGAAAAGTACGTCAAAAATGATGGAAACATTACCCAGCAAGAATTTGATGGGATTCCCGGTCACAGCGCTCCAGTCAGCATCAAAACTCGAGTCCAATATCAGCTGACCAATAGAAAGAACTCCGCCAGACAGGTCGAGAATGATCTGTCGAATGTCCCATCCTACTGTGGACTTGCGTTTGTAGTTGAGCCACGCTTGCGGAACGTACTTGACTACAGTGACGACGACTTTTACATATGAAATGCCGTAGAGCTATTATGACAGTTAGCATGATTTTTTTGTAGCCAAACAAGAGATGGGTTTATAACGTACAAGATCAATCCAGGCCCAAGAATATGGATCGGAGCCACCATCCGGGCTCTTAGTAACGACGATCCACGCTAACAGAGCGATTGCTATTAAAGACCCCCAGAAGAGGCCTGCAATCGGCTTGCTTACTCGCTGATATTTTGCTACCTTGAAGCCCCAGATAGAAGGGTAGAACTGCGTGTATACGAGTGTGCTAAGGATGACGGCATGAACGGCAAATGCCAGGTCATTGAACCGCACCGAAGGCTTTGGAGAATGCGGATTACGCGCTGCATATTGCTCTTGGATCAGCGGGGAGTACAGAAACACCGCCGCATATACAGTATAGCAGACAAATCCGAGCACGTTAATGGTCGGGAAATCGATAGCTAGGCCGTAGGTAGAACGACGGCGGAAATTGTTGATTGGCTGGGGATAGAAGGAGAGCGACCAGCAAAGCATGCTGTATCTTGTAAGAACAAGAGCCATAAACGCCTCATACAGGTATATACTTACTATATCCAGCCCAGTAGCCTAGACCAGAGAAGCAGTAAAGTCAGCATCTGAGCTGTCGTTGAGCGGAGATGGGCGGCACAACATACCATGACAAGAGCTTGACGAAGATCTCCAGCGGAGACGGGCTACCCATCGCGTACTGGCGAAAACAGTCACGCTATATGTAATTATATTAATATGTACCAGAGCAAGGCAGGCGGTCCATGTACAGCCTGGAGAAAAATGGTGAAGATGTGGTTGTACGGAGGTGACTCGAGATAAGCTATCAGATGGACCCGCTTTTGCGTGATCGATAAGGTGTGATTGCTGCCTCAGGCCGCACTCTCCACTAGCGCCGCTCGTTGTCCACAACAACGCACGGCAAGCCCCGTGGCTAAACTCGAAACAGCAGAATGTTGTGCCCGCAGCCCAACGACCATCTCTCCTGCTCCATCTCTCACCCACGCCAATTCATCTCGATGTGCAAAACCCTCCATCTGTACGGAATCCTTTTTGCTGCTTGAGTCTGTTACCCCGCTGTCAACATCAAGACCTCGTAAGCAGAATCGCCCAAATCCTGCTCCGTCTGAGCATCGCTGTTATCAATTCAGCCTTGCAAAAGTCGGGTACAGACGATAACTCCGCATAAAAGCCTCTATCGATAGTGTTGCGCTTTGAGAACCATCAACTTGACGTCGCATGGTACATTCTTCGAAGTGGGGGATCTTGCGGGATCGCCTCCATTGAATCTAGCATTCCACGACTTTAGAGCCCACGTGGACGGCGTGGTAGGCACGCATCTGAAAAGCAACTTCTATACACAAAGGACACAATGACAGACTCGCTCTCCCCTCCGGGGAGCAGTGTCTATGCGTCCGACACAATGTATGTTGGTGATGGAACCTGGGACAGCACGCGCAATACATTTCTACTCCCTAACCTGATGGGACTCAACTTTGATACTATGCGATATAACGGTGCGTATCCAATTACTAACAAATTCCTGGAGTTGCCGGTTTATTCTGACTTGAATAGGCATGGGTAATCGATTCAGAGACATGGCGGGTTACCACTCTATGATAATAGCACACGGAGTAATCGCAACGATTGTTTTCCTTTTCTTTGTACCAGCCGCGATTTTAATTGTTCGATACTATCCGATACGGGATCGCTACTGGGCATATAAATATCACTCGTGGCTTCAGGTGCTGACATTGCTATTATCGACAGTCGTTTTTATACTGGGATGGTTCGCTGTTGGGCCACGACGGAGCCTGACAAACCCACACCATGGAATTGGATTGGCTATATACGTTTTGGTTATATTCCAAGCGCTCTGGGGATGGATGTCCCACAAGGTAGAGCTGGGAAAAAGACGATACCGTTCTCCACTAAAGCTAGTTGTATGTTTCCCGGTATATTTCCCGGCTTTATCATTTGTCTAATACAATCTTGCAGATTCATAGGTGGTTGGGATGGGCTACAGCAATTCTGGGCATTGTACAGATTCCGCTCGGTCTAACTCTATATGGTTCCCCAAAATCTCTATTCATCCTATTTTCAATTGCTGGCTTCTTTTGGCTTGCTCTTTTCTTTATCCTTTCTTATCTTTACGATGAAGGCGGGTCGGGCCATGAATCCGGATATGATAGTCGTGGCAGCTATGTGTCAGGGCCATCTGCTCCTCCAGAGGAAAGGCGTCATAGTGGGCTTGGTCGCACAGCAGCCGCCGCCCTTGCAGGTGCAGGATTACTAAAGCTTTTCCACAGTCGGTCACATAAACACGCTGAAGAGGATGTTCAGAGCTCCTATTATGATGATAAATATTCCGATGAAGAACGGTCGGAACGTCGAACCGGCTGGGGAAAGCGTCTACTCGAGATCGGCGCCATTGGTGGAGCGGCTGCACTGGCGAAATCATTCTTTGATAGAAGACGACAAAGAGAAAGTGATAACGAGTCTGGCCGTTATCGACCAGCACATGCTCGCAGCGATAGCTTGACAGAGGAGACCATGAGTAGAGTTGAAGAAGGCCGCCCTCCTCCTCCTCCGGCTCCAGGAAATCAGGGTCCGTACTTACATCCCGCCAGACGGCAGAGCTATAGCTCTACGGATTATAGCTACTACACCCACGCCGAGGACGAACAAGGCCATGGGGTTCGCAATGCAATCCTTGGGGCGGGCGCCATTGCCGCTGTTCGAAACCTGTTTAAGCGTCGAAAAGACAACGACGAGCAACGGCGTATAGACGAGATTAAGCGTCGAGACATGGAAGAGGAGCGACTAGCTAGGGCGAACAGTAAACGAAAATACACTGGTGATGGATTTTTCCCTCGCAGACAACGGCCTTCGCAATCCGTGCTCTCTAGCGACATGACTTCGGACATTACCCCGCAACCAACGCGCCGGGGGAATCGTACCCAGGAAGCAATGGTGACTGGGGGGGTCATAGACGGTTCCTCAACTGCTCCGCCCGTTCCTCCAGCCCATGGATATGGCGAAAGTGCAGCTGGTACAGAGCTTGAAGCTGCTGCTGTGGGAGCTGCTGCAGGCGCAGTCGCCGGAGAAGCCAGCCGCCGTCGTAGCAGTAGTAGCCGAGCAAGACGACGAGACGATCGACGTGATGACGTTTCATCACCACCAGTGTCTGTCAAAGTCAAAATGCACAATGATGGACGTCACGTCACTCTGCGGCGGCTTACTGAAGAAGAAGCGGCAGCTAACAGAGAATCAAAACGTCGATCAAGGGAACGTCGCGGTTCGAGGAGACGCGGTAGCGCTAGTTCACTGTCAGGTAATGAAGGAGCAGGAGGCTCTGACCGATGGCGACGAGTCGAGGAGATGGAGCGTCGTCAAACAGAACAAGTCCAACGAGAGCAGGCGGCTGCTCGCGCAGCAGAGTCTGGGGCCACCGCGGCTATTCCACCTCCTCCACCTGGCCCTCCTCCAGCAGCATCTTATGCTGCTACTAGCCAAGCATCGATACCTCGCCCTCCTCTATCAGGTCCTCCTCCAGCTGCGTCCTACGCAGCCACCAGTCAAACATCAATGCCTCACCCACCCCCATCAAACCTTCAATATCCTCCTACCGCAAGTATCACGTCGCCGACCTGGACAGGCACCGAGGCAAGTGCTGATTATGCAAATAATCGGAGACGGCGCAGGGCTGAGCGGGCTCAAGCACGAGCAAGGCAACAAGCCCAGCATAGTGTCGAGTTTACTTAGAAGCCACTTCCACATATCTCTCTCTATTTCTCACATGCATGATGAATATCAATGATTCGATTTCCGGGAAAATTCTGGATCATGAACGGCGTTTAATTACTTATACTCTCTGATGTTGTTTTATTCCTTTTTGTAGTTGTTTACATTCTGCACTTTTCGTTTTGAAGCTGGGAGGTATTTTGGAATAGGGCGAAATTTCTTTGTTCATGATAAGATTTCCAACTTCATTGTATATACCGTGATTGCGAGGGAAATTTTGCTTTTTTTTCCTGCTTCCTGCAACCGTGTTTGTGTATTTTGGTTCTGCGTGAGATGTATTTTTAGTTGATAGTTTGAAAAATTCGACGAGGTGATGGATACATTAGTTTTGGTTGATACACCTATATCTACACACAAACTGTTCCCTAGTGCACGTGAGAACCCGCTCATTAAACCGAAGCATCCACGTACAGGTCGTTCCAACCGAGATCATCGGGATCGGTGCGGTTCTTCTCAGTCGTGGAGAATGTGAGTTCTTCTTTTAGCTCTGGAATGCCTCGGTGAGAAACTGGATCTGGATCTAGTACTACGTAGGAATAACCTAGATGATGAGAAGAAAGGGGTAGCCTGATTGTGTTTAGTTGTCGTAGGATATTTCGTGCTTGTTGCTTGAATGACTCCCTCTGGGACTGAGAGATGTATTGGCAGGCAATATTCAGTCCAACTCCAGGTATTTTTTCCTGCATGAGGACATCTCGGCCATTAATCTGCCTAAACAAATTAATATTGCAAGGGATGAGCTGCAAATAGGGCGTGGTATAAAGATTTACATTGCCTGCAAAGTAAATTCGCGGCACCTTCACACTACCAAGAACGCCTCTGGCCAAAGCAGGAACCTCCACGTCGTTCGCATCAGAGTACGAATAATTCCGATCTGCCCATCTACCTTCAAGTTTACTTGCATCATGGCTTTCAACCCTCTGTATCTGTCTTTTGAAATCCTCTCACCTTATCCATCATAGATTTTAGGCCTGTTTCTCGCAACTCTCTAAAAAGCGCAACAGCATTATTTATAAAGATGGCTAGGCGTCCATCCATCCTGAGAAATAATAACTGCAACAGATTCCCAGAATGCCGGACATCATTCCATCCCTCCCTCTCTGCTGCGTGAATGCGAAGCCCATCCTCCGCAAAATGAATAGGACATGGAAAGTTGAAACCCAGTTCATCCCAATATCTGCATGGTACTTGGACTAGTTTTTAAGAAAAAGAAAAACGTGCCAAGCTGGACACTTTGAGATAATGAACCAAACTTACTTCTCGATTCGGATCAAAGATATCCTTAGGAAGCTTCTCTTAATTTGAAACCGCAGGTACTTAAGCTCTGTTCTAGCGCCTCTGATGGTGGGTGGGTTAACCATGAAGACGTCAACAAATCAACGGCACCCAAAGCTGGAAGTGCGCGAGTTAAGAGAGCAGGCTCGCTGAAAATAACACAGATAAGATACGAGGAGGAAGCTTTACTCGTTATGATGCTATCTGGGTTCACACTATTTGATTGGGGGATAATCTGTGACGCACGGCGTCAACGGTACACAAAGACGAGAATACTGCACTAGGTGGTCAGGGATACACTATGCTTTGGTTTAGACCAAAGTTGGAATTTACAACACAAGCCTCTAATGATGTCTGTGCAAGAACCAGCCTTCAAGCTCTGATTTGACATACTGCGCGTTAAGATCCTGGATCGCAACCCCAGGGTGATAGGGATCTCGCCAGAGGCATGAATATCCATCCCAATTGACGCAAGTTGCATTTGGTGCACCGTAGGCGGTTGGATTATCGAGTGCCTGGTCGAAAGGATGTTGTGTGTCTATGAATTTTGCTCTGGCGTCAGCGTGGGACGACAGGAAGTTAGAAAGGTGAGTCTGGAGTAGGCTGTTGTATTTTGCAATAGCAGCGGCGTCCTGACTAACGGCTTCGCTCCCTCGGTCGATAAAAACGGGCGTCCTCTGCATGGCTGTAATGTGAAAGGTTAGCTTTCAAATAGTAACAAAAAGGATGCGTGGAAATAAACTCACGAGGGACAGCAAGCAAGATAAAATTTCGGACCCCTGCGTTGTACAGAATCTGCAACTGGCCAAAGTAACTGGTCATGATTTCGTTGAGGAGACTGTCTAGATTAGACAGCGCATAGGTTCCTCCTAGGTCGTTAATTCCCATCCATATACCTGCCAGGGTATCATGGCTGTTCCAAGGAGCGGAGGGCGGCTTAGAAGCAATGCTATTGCTAAAGAGATTCACCTGTTGACCAAGGTCGGGAATCGAAAGACTCCCAGGAGCAACAATGCTGGAGTTTGTGGTCGCTCCAGCCACAGCAAAGTTGAAAGACAACGTCAGCGAGGTATTATACTTGGATATCAAGAATCCGATCCAATTTACGCCTCCATCTGTCGTCTGACCCGGAAATGCTGGGTTTCCCAGAGGATTTGCAGCGGAAGGATAGCTGCCAGAAATATTGAAACCCGTTGCCGAGTAGGAGTCACCACTAACAATGATGATCTTAGTGAGAATCGAGATTTCCCAAACCCGAAAACAATGACTTACAATGTGATGAGGTACTTCGTGTCAGCTGGCAGCCTATCAGTCCCTGGCGCTAGTGCTGGGGCAGCAGTAGATAAACCAAGGGTAAACAAAAGACCGGAGAATATAAATTTAGCCATCTTGAAGAGCCTGCCTGTTGCAAAATCTCTTGGAGTGAATTCTACTCCGGGGAACTGTGAATGGTGTTTTTGCAAGATTGAAAACTCGGGAGAGAAGGTCGGTATTTAACCTGGAGCCCACCATAGGCGATCGAAGGAGGCATCATAATTCGGAGATATCGCATCAAGAACACCGGTGAGTTCGGGAATTATCAGACACGAAAAACAAAGAGGGGGACGCATAAAATGGCAGCTGTTCGTCGTGCATTTAGTAGTCATGTTGATCAACCCAGGATTCCGTTCGCCCGACGACTCGCAGTTGTGACGTTGAATCCGTTGAGACGCTTATCTGTATGGCCGCCACAGGATATTTAAAGCCTGTCTCCAAATCAAGGTGAAAAATCCTGCACTAGGGGGACTATTCTCCGTAAATAGCAGCGATTAATATCAACCCCTCGGGGAAGACGCGGGGAAGACCAACATCACACTGCCTTAGCTGAAGAGTAAGTTCCATTCTGATGTCTGCTCTATAGAGTTGTAGGTCGCGATTGTGGCGCTCGTGTTGCAGGCTTGAAGGAAGGTAAGTGGCAGACTACTTGACCACAGAGCATAAGCGTCAACATTAACACCAAGTACCGTCAACTGGGTCCTATACTCTCGTTTTATCCTGGAATCTCCCGTGTTTGATTTTTCCGGATATCTCGTACCTAGTGGAATCTATCGAAGAAGAGCGTCTGGTCGTAGCGGACGGATTCTAAACATGTGTCCGAGCCAACTAGTGTAAATGCGGTATTTCAACCTGCCCCATGAGATTGTTTCTTTCTGTTCAGTCAGTCAACCTCCTAATCCAACAATGGTTTCGACTTGACCTCATCCTCGATTTCATTCGGATTACCAGCCAATACTGTTAGAGTTCATGTTTCATGTTTCACTTATACCGGCACCTTTCTCATTAACGTTTATATTACCGATCGGTTAAAGGGCCGGTTATTTCCCACTGTCTCCCCTGCATCTTTAAGACTATTACCCGACTGTAGATTCCCCCGCTGGAACACCAGTTGCGCCTGAGGTCGGGAACTACTGAGGGGTACAGTTCGAAATCCGGGGGAGGATCGTCTTGGAGTTGATGTTGAGTATGTTATTCCTGGATTGGCTTAGGTAACTCGGCATGGAAAGCTAGGGTAATAAGAGTGACAAGAAGTGGCATGATAAAAGCCTGACACTCCGCGTGGTTCTGCCTGAAGAAGGCGCTTAGTTCTTTGTCTCTATCTGATAGGAATTCCATATTTTGGATCAATGGCGATTGTTACCATATAATATATGGGCGTCACAGCTTCCCCAGTAGCATTCGAATCTGAAAGCGGGCTTGCAAAAATAGAATATAAGTCTAATTTCTAGGTAAGATAGTAGAATTACCAAGAATTATGATATCTTGTATGATTTTCTTAGTAAAATTAAGCTGTCGTGAAACTACCTGGTATGTAGATTCAAAAGGATGATAGGAATTACTTATTCTATCAATACCTGAGGCCCTATCAAAATTGATAGTATAGATTCTGGATTGGAGATTACCTCAGCCCAAGTATGCTCTCCATCGACCACGAACTTGTCATGCCGGAGCGGTGCTACTTTGTAGGACTGAGTTTACTAGCTGCTGGAATTCCATCTTGAGGGGATTGAATATAACTTGTTCTTCGGATCATGGTTATGGTTATTGTTTTCGATTCGCGGGGTATGTAATCATGCAGCCTCTTGTTGCAACATTTGAACGTCGGAGTCAAGTACGAGGAAGCAAGGAATATTTTGGTGTGATTGAAGGGATTAGCGTATGTGAATTAACCATAAACGATGACCAGTATTTGAACATGCTCTGGTTAACCGCCTAGTAGTAATATCAAGGTTTAAATAAACTCCTTTCTAGGTCTACAATGTATAAAGCAAATACAAGAAATGGTGAGGGCCAATCTAGGAACGAATTTGATGTACAAAATTTACCATAAAATGTTAAATAACCCTGTTTGGAAATCACTACCGAAAGTTAAACGCCTAACTTACAGAGCAAGCGTCGAAAGCGGTGACTGTTAAATGGCAATTAAATGATTAAACGCAATATATTCTTTGAAGTGAAACATCGGGCCAGGTCAGTAATTTATCCAGCATCCAGTCCCAAACTCATCCTAAAAGCTAACTCTGTATTGTATTGGCATAATCGAGAAAGAACCAAACATAACATTGTTCGCGTAATGAATCAGCTTGGAGCAAGTGCCAGTCACCGAATTCCGTCGCAGAACACTCCAAGAATCTTCGTCAGCTCAGTTGACCGAGAGTAGATACTCGGTAGTTGTTAACTGTCCAGATCCAACGAAGGGCTCAGTTCCGGCTGCAATAGTACCAACATACTGAGTAGAAGGGTAGCCTTGATGTTGAATCAGATATTTGAAAAAGTCGAGAAGATCCGCATTGAAAGACGTCTGTTCACTTTCAGCGACAAAGCTAAAGACTTTCCACGTAGTATTGATGCCGTAGTAAAGCTTCCATGTAGCGCCAGCAATGTTGACTGTTGCGATCGGGCTCCCAGTACTAGAGATGGGACCAGCACCGCCAAGCGCACCGAGCCAGATCATAATCTCATACGCCGCTGCTCCGTTGGGAGAGTCGCTAGTAAAGATATCATAGGAGACATCCGCGACGATATTCGAACCGGTGTAGCTACGCGTTTCAACGACGGTCACGTTAGTTGTTTCTATGGCAGTGAAGATCTCGATAACCGAAACTAGAATAAATATGGCTCCTACCTCCAGACCCAGGTTGTTGGGATGTTTTCTATGGAAGTAAACTGCTTTTCATTGAATTTCAACTCAATGTTCGAGTAGCTCTTTACGCCATTCGAGGTTCCTGCCCAGTCCCAAACAGTGTGCCATGAGACTTCATTTCCGCTTTGGTAGTCAACGGCAGAGCACTGCCATCCAGATGTAGCAGAACTCTCGCCCCAGAGGTTCGTGTACAAGGTGTACGGTCCAGCAGCTTTGGAATCATATTGCCCGCACAATTCTCGCCTAGCAATCACGGATCCAGTTACGGCATTGCCCAGGGTAAGAATTGGCAGTAAGAGAGAATAAGAAAGCTTCATCGTAATAGTGTGTAGCATGCGAAAATAAAAAGAGCGTAGAGCGATAAAAGAGCGTAGAAGTTGGAGTATCAAAACGAGAGTCCGGCTGCTTGGGCTTTTCGAGTTGAAGGTGAGAGAGCGTGCGAGGGTTTATATTGATGGAAGCCGGAGTATATACATGTTGGTTCCTGTCCGCACAGTAGATTCAAAGCTCCCAGATGAAACCTCGTGGAGCGGGGGCCGGTTCCACTATCCTCGTATTCTCATCTAGATATGGATAAAATCGAAAGGCATCGGAAACATCTTAAGAGGCTGCGGGTAAATCTCGGCCATTTCTCTCAAAAAATGCTTGTAGTGGTCGGCGCTGTAAGCCTAGATCGATAGGGATTCTATGGAAATTATCCGCTCTGATGGTAACTGAGCGGGTTGATCATTGCAGATTGATTTAGTACAATCTAATTAACTTTTAGCTTCCGGCATATTGTCCTAAATTGGTGAATCGATCCACACAAATCGACGGGAATTTGGGTCTAATGGGGACGTTTCATCCTGTCTCCGGGTAGACATGGTGTTTTCGGGAAATTGCACACAACATTGAGCCCCAGGATAGCTGTTGCCGCTCAGTTATCCGCCCCCTGACCATTCAGTATATAGGGGCTGGTAAGGCATGCTCAGCGAGATCATTGAGCGCCCCGTGCCCTGGGGGTGCTGCTCAGTAAGCGATCCCTGAGGATGCTGCGCATAAAGCGGCACCGTGTCGCGCAGCTCATCGCTTTTATGTAGGTCCATTCAGAGGTATTCCTGATTCTTTTATACAACATATACAGTCTATCCCTAAGCACCACCCGAAACATGTCTAATTAATAATTGCTCAAATCATGTCCCTGGCGGATTAATCCCTGACAAATCCGTTTCTACAAGAGACATAATGTTGACATTCCCTGTAAACCAGTTCTCCAAGGAAAACGAGTCTCCGCCAAGCCACGACCCTATAGTATCATTAACCCCATTATAGTCTTCTGCAGCTGCCGGCGCAGCGATATTATTGGCGTTGTGGTGGTTGTTATTGTTATGGTCTCCGATATTCAAGAATCCGGCTGCGTTCGGAAAGCCGAGAGCGCTGAGGTATGGTTCAAAGTCATCCGTGACGAGTGAGGAGAAATTGGGGAGTGCGTCATCGTTGGCGTTACTGTGGGGTGATTTGGGAGGTGCGAATTGCTCTTGAGGGTGATTTGTTGCTACTGCAGCGGCTGCTGCGTTATCAGGGTGTAGATGGGGATGGTGGATTTCTTGTTGCTTGATTTTGGTTTTGATGTAAAGATCGGCGACGCGGTGGAATACCTGGCATAGACGTCGGAGTCGTTCGGCGGCTTCGACTGCTTCGCCAGGGCAATGGAGAGAAGCTACGAAGTCGCCGAGACATTGGAGGTCTGCGAGATTCGCGGTAGCGATGGCATGGCAGAACAACACCATGAAAGGAGTGAAGGGGCAATTGATGAGGACCCTATTGAAATTAATAATGTCAGCCCAAGATTTCGTATATTTGTGGAAAGATTCGCGAACCATGAAATGTATCCATGCCAGATGTAGCTACTATTTTTGTACCGCTCGGAGTTGAGTTGGTGGGCCCTGAGTGCGGCGCGAGCTGTCTCAATGCATCCATTGCTGAAAATAGGCGAGTGATCTAGGGGACCCGGCGGCACTACTCTATACGCGAGTGTCGAAAGAGCGTAATACATAATCTCAGAAGACGAAGCGGCGGCTTCGTAGTAAACTGGGTTGTATGCCCGTGATGGGTCGATCTGAGCAATCTCTTGATACCACAGCTGCATGTCCCCAACGATTTGTTTCGCCCTCTGGGTGCGATCACTGGCAGGTCCGGAGAGCGAGCGAGGAGAATATAGCTCTTCGTATATGCGGCCCTGAAAATAGCCAATTTTTACCCAGTGTTGGTACATGGTATCCCACATACTCAGTTTCGAATCATCTGACGGTTCTGGTAGAGCGAGAGTTATGTCAAAATCTTGCAGAATCGAGGAGTGGCCTAACCGGAGGGATAGGCATTTGTCGAGAATATAGGTAAACCAAAACATTCGGGTTTTCAGCTTCATATCTAGCGGGTTGTCTCCTGGTGACACTACGGATCTATGATATCCAAGTGTCTGACATAGTCGCGCCGCCGTCGACGTCAGTGCCCAGCATAACGAAGGCTGCGATATGTCTATCGCATACGATGCCTGTCCGGGTAGTTAGATACATTAAAAAAATTATTTTATGGAATGGAATCACTAACACCGATGAGTAACGCTTGGAGATTTTCGCTCGTGGGCGCCGTAAAGATACTGAAGCGTGTAAGAGCATATTCAAGGTTTGCTCTACAAATCGCTGCATTTTCAGAAGCCTCAGGGAAATTCGGCACTTGTAGGCCAGCCAACCCATTGAAGAGGTGATAAAGTCCGCCATTTACCAGAGTGAACGTGGCCATAGAATAGTCCTCCGTTGCAAAGTAGACCTTCCTGCATAACTCATTAAACTGTTCGAAGTCAATGAACGGCAGATCCAGAAAATTTTGCGTCTCTATAAAATGTCAACATATAATAATTTATCACATTCGTTCATGAATTACCCTTGCAGATACGCAACAAAGACACAACCGACTCCATTGCCGGCATTTTAATAGACGACAGGTCCAGCGTGGACGCATCACCTTGTTGATGAGGAAATCGATAGTCCTGATTTGCCGACAAAGAATGCTGCTTTTCAATCAAATTCCGAAGTGCAAAAAGAGCATCCTGCATTTCGGTGTTGCTGCCGAAGCCCGTGTCGTTGTTCATAGCACTCTCGATAACCCGACTGGCATGCATGGAATGTGCTCTAAGCGACGAATCGCCTTCAAAGGCAGCTTTAGGTTTCGCATCACGCCTGGTCGTTCGCGCTAACTGGAAAGTAGTAGAAGAAGAGGAAGAAGGTGGTGGGGGAACTGTCTCTATTTTCGACGAATGTGATGGACTATTGGAGGCCGTTGCTGCTGCTGAGGGTCTAGATGGCACCACTGCTGCAGAGAGCGAAGCTAGGTTCTCTAGAAGGGTTTCTATACGGGCCAATCGGCTCTCGATGACCTCGATTTTCTTTTCACTGCATTATAGTCAGTTGGCTGAGAGATTTGGTTTCACGTGGAATATGAGACGGCATACTATTGATCCGATATGAGGATCCGCTGGCGTTGTTCTTTAGGCCTGCTAGCTGTGCGGCAGACAATATCTGAAGCCCTGCAGTTGGAGCAAGGCGATCTCTTGTCGCATTTGATCTGGAGAGATGAGTATTATGTCAATTACTAGACTATCTTGTGTCGGAATTACCTTTCTACCGCGACAATTGTCGCACTGTGAAGAGAGTCAATGGATGATGCCTATATCAAGGAGATATCGGAAGTGCTCACGGCGCGCCATGTAGGGGTATTCTCCTCCCTCCCGGCGTCATCGCTGTCTTGCTGCATGCTGCAATGACAGTGGCAATTTCGTACTATTGATAAAATAATTAATTAATTAATTAATAAATAATGTCTAGCAGAGTTGGATGTTTTTCGAGCGAAAAGGGTCAGACGATCTGGCTGAAGCAGGCAGGAGCAGGCCGGAGTCCGCGGGTACCGAAGGTGGAACACCACGGCAGCTCCTGATTCGCTAGCAGCTAACTAACTGATGCGATAATTTGTATATAAATAGTTGAATACAATATATACGAAAATACAATAGATACGATATTATGGTAGTATATATATAGTATATACATTACGAGGCCTTAAACCGAACATAAATACGGCCATCGCTTGCTGTCATTCCATGATACATGCATGGCCGTGAGTCTGGAAGACTGTAGGCAAGGTAGGAAAACGCCGAAATCGCTGAGAGCAGTGAGCAAAAATGTTACAAAATTCTGTATGATGCCAGAAATAAAAAAGGTAGACATAAAGGACAGGATGTCATGAGCTGAGGCAGTAGGAAACAATCTATAGGTTGAATGAGATTGCATAGGGAACGCTCATAATGATGCTAGAAGCACTCCTGAGAAAGAAACCAGGCAAGCAATAGCCGCCGATGACGAGATACTCCTTCGCTGGGAGTTTGCCAAGGAGGTGGATGCTTGGCTGCCTACATTGACGGTCGCATTTACGAAGTAGGGCCCGCAGTCGACGTTGATGATTTGAGCAGCAGGAATATATGTGTCGACCAAAGGGTTCCCCTTGTGCACCGCCGACTCCTGGAATACTTGCATCGTTGCTTGCGTGCATTTATTGCAGGTTGGTTGGCTGCCACCTGGGAGGGAATTGCCCAGCGGGAGGAGGTAGAGGTAGTAGTTGGATACGTTGGAGCTATTTGTGGCGGCTTCCGTGAAGCAAAACTCCTCGGTCGATGGATCCTTGAGACATGCAGCGGTAGCAATGGGTTGGTAGGATACCAAACTGTCGTATGCCTGTGTGACGGTGGGATTTCCCAACTGGTAGTCGGCACCACAGTTGTCGTTGTTGATGAGCTTGGAAGCTAGGCCGGTCATAAACGTGGAGCACGAGGTAATATTGGCCGAGCATGAGGTACCAAGGACGCCATCGAGAGTGGTCGCCGAGCTCATCATCTTGAAAAATGAATTCGAGTTTTGAAGAAGAGGAGAAATCGCGTGGCATGATTGATATGCGGTATCGTTGAGGAAGGTTTCGAAGAAGTTGGGGCAACTGGAGGATGTGAAATTGTTCCCAAGAGTGTCAAAGGCTGTGGGAAACGAGTTGGATCGTCTGGATAATGTTGATGATGGTGTTGCTATCCCGGCATCCTCCACGGAGGGCGTGATCGGCACACGAGCGACGATCGGGTCCGCCTCAGCATCGAACTGATCTGCATTGCTCGGATCGGAAGATTCTATCGACTCTGGATTCTGAATAGGTGAACCGTAGCCACTGTTTATTAGGAATAAGATTAATGTCAGATGCAATATGGCACCGACGAGCGCGCCTCTGACCCGGGTAGGTAATATGTCGAGAGGCGCCATGGCGGCATAAAAAGGACAACGCAAAGGACCAGAGCGGTGGTCGTTTGATGTATATTAGATTAGTGAATGTGCAATCAGCAGGCGAGGAATATCGCCGTTAACGAGTGTGGGTCGTCAAAGACGAGTGAGCGAGTGTAATAATGAGAGTGGTTGTCGGCTGGGCATGACTTTGTCAACCAAGCACCGCATCCATCGATCGATCAAAGAGCATCTAAAGCGACGCGCTGGAGTCGTGGTTGTAATGGATGATGGCCTTTGTGTGCGTTGCCGACTGAAAGGACTCTCATTGCCTCGATGATCCGATGCTGGGACGAAGATGGGCGTCGAGAATCTTGGCTGCACGCAGCTAAGCGAGGATTGAAACAGCGTGTGTCGGCGGCGACCTTATCCTTGCTTTGCTGTGCTTGCTTTCACTGTTGCTGGAATCCCGGGGTCGTCTCCTCAACCACGCGCGCCGGTCAGGTCAGTTGCTGAAGCCAAAGCCAGAGCCAGGCACAGACACAGGTACGTGCCGGGGCATTCTTATACGACACGAAGCCAACATGGTGGCTTGGCTTAGCCCGGTGACAACATGAGAGGGGAAACGTCCGTGGATGCAGCGGCGCGCGGTCTAGGCCAGGCACATCCGGCTTTCTGCGACTAACCGAGTACTAAAAGGCTGCTAAGAGCGTCGCCTAGGCTGCTCCGGGCTTAAGGCACTCCACCAGCGAGCGGACAAAGAAGGCGAGAACGAGAAAGTCTTAGAAAAGGCTCTGCGTTCCGAGGGGAATGCACTGATGCAGCAAGGGTTGCAGGGCTAAAAAGCCGCGCGTGCCCGGAAGAGACTAGGATATCATCTCAGAGATAGGCCCGAGTGGGCTTGACTTCGTTCAGGAACAGGATGCTGTGCACCATCGCAGTCACAATCACAATCACAGCCATGTGGGCAGTACACCCGTACCTGAAACCAGTACAGCGGTCGCATGGGAGGTAAGCTATTTTTTTCTAATTATTCTTGTTGTTTAATATTAGCACTCCTTTTGAGTTCAACGGTCCGACTCCTGAGTGAGTTAGCCTTGCTGTCTTAGTGAGACGGAGAAAATTAAAGAAAACTAGCGTTGAATTGATACCTAAGATCAGTATCTGTATACGTAAAACTGGGCCAAACAGTTCATACCAGGTTCGTACCAGCCTGGCCAAGGAGCGCCACGGCAGCTGCAAGTCTGGTTTTCTATCACAGGCAATAATATTAATAGTCATGTTTATTGATTATTATCTAATATGCTGAACAGAGATAATACCTTACAACAGGGTACGGTGCACGCACTATACTCAAGCTATCAGCCCCTGAACGGCCCACGTCCCACCGTTTTCTATCGACTACCGACTTTCGGCCGGGCTGGATCATGCAGCACAAATAGAAACCCGGTATGCATTAATTGATATGTATATTCAAATAACATATATCTTATTTTCTATTCCATTGGATATCAATTGATCGGCAAGGGTTACATATGCCAGCCGCCTACCACAGTGACTGACTACTACTACATCAGTGATTTAAGACATCCGGAAGATAGTTGAAAGCAAGAGAGCTCGGTGGTATATTCCTCAAATCTGTGTGTCAGAGAAGATAACAAGAAATGACGTATGTATGGGAAGAAAGAAACGCTCCAGTTGCATGAAAATAGACAGCAGAAGAATGCACCAGCATCAGCTCTAATTATAGTTAGCGTGTTGTTCAGCTCCTTCGATTGGCGTTGGTATCCCCCATTGCGATACCCACTAAGCTCTGTTGTTGCTGAAGTGGAGCTCCGAAAGGATCTCCTTGGCTGGCCGTAGACAGTGCTGGGCTGGCGAGCGCATCGCGATCTCGTCGGACGCGCATGTAGGCAAGTTTGGTGAATCGTCCGACCGAAGTCCAGAAATGTCGCCCAGCTTCATGGTTAGAGATGCGGTCTAGGAGGTCTGCAGTAGCCTCCCGAACGGCTGGATCCTGGTGCAACAGTCCGAGGCTGACGTAGAACAGCCCAGCCTGGCTCTCCGGTGTGACCGTGAGCAATTGGCAGATACCAGCATAGTCTCGTATTGCGTGCGATAAAGCAAGATAAATGATGCCCGCATCCTCAGACGAAAGCTTCAACGAACGCAGTCGGTCATGGTGGTGCTGTAGATCCATCGATTTAACAGGACCAATCGCATTGTATGACGTCGCAACATCTTGAATAAATCCATAATAAGACCGGGTATTACGCCAGCCTTCAATTCGAGAAACGGACGCGGCCAGCTCTCGGATTTTGCTCGCCTCGTCCGACCACACGTAGCCATGACCGCGAAGTGATGCCGGGTCCGTAGGGTCTGCTTTCGTGCCACTCGGGCTGTAAGTGGCATCCTCTCCTGGTCCCATAATGTATAGAGCGGATGCACCATAAACGCTTTCCTCAAACGCGGCGGCGACTCTAGTAAATTTGAGGATATAAGCCCGCCATTTGGCACGAATCACCCCCTCTCCATATCGCTGACTGATGCTTTGAAGAATATCATTCATGAAAGCCACATCACCGGTTGGGTCAACAGACCCCCCTCCCTGTCCAGACGAGCTTCCACCGTTCTGCTGTTCAAAGAACCTCGATCCTTCTGTGATTGGTGCCTGCTCAATCCGGCTGCTGATCTTCATTCGACCTGTTGGGAGGTCACAAAGTAAATCCCACCATTCTGGATGATTGGCAAAGGTCGGGTTTGTAACCCCGGCGACGAACCCAGGCACTTTAAGAAGATCATCAATCTTCGTGAGATCTGTGTATGGGAACGCATGGCGAGTGAAGCCCCGAAGAATGCCCCCAGACGCCAAAGCACACGCTGCAAGAACCGCTTCCGCAACTTCCCCGGACGGGCGGTTATGTCCAAGGAAGACCACTCGTTTCTGAGTTAGCAAAGCATTGATCAACACAATGATCGGGTGCGTATATGCACCATTAGTGGTGAGATGGGAATGAAGGGCAAACGGTTGAGGCGTAGCCGAGTGCGGAGCTGCAAAGATCTGAATCAATTTGACCAGTGAAAAGTCTCCCACCGTCTCTGGCCAAATGACGGTTGGGACCTTGACGGGGATCGGTATCTCGTTATAGACTACCTTGGATTCGTACTCATGCGTGTCTCGTGGGAGGGCGTAACGTGTCTTGGACGACGAATCGGGCGAAGACGGCTCTGATATTCGCTCAGATTCGTCATCTGCAATTCGTTGCTCAATCATGCGCTCGAATTTCTCAATAAACATGTCTTTCGAATCACTGGCCTGCAGGATAGTTCGCTCCAGTAAAGAGAACCGGGGTAAAAGTGAAAGATCCATGGCATTCACAGCGTCATATAGACTGGCAAGAGTTTCCGGATAGGGTGATTTGAAATACTCTTCTAAGGCTAGCAAAAGTAATGGCTAGTGCCTGTCAGCACTGCATCTCAGACTCCATCCAGAATATCACTTACTTTATATATATGAAGAAATGAATGGCGGGTACAGATGGCCATGGCTTTCACAACGGCGCCACTAGTTCTGGTCAGTCACTGGCAGAAATATCATGCTTCAAGGGACAAACCGGCGAACTGTATTGTCTTGCTTCGTATTGACCAAATTCAACACGTACATAAGAGGCGGGCCTTCGCCGCTTCCGTCGTCATCATCGTCGTCGTCGTCTGTATCATAATCACTGCCTTCTTCTCCATCATTCTGCTCATTGGGGTCATGGCCTTGGCCTTCATAAGAGTCCATCTTTCCTTTATTCTTTCGCCTTTTCTTTGATTTTTTGCCTCCTTCTTCATCATCTTCGTCGTCTGAGCCCGTATCCTTGTGTAGGAAGAATATTGTCCAATCTTGACTCCGAACGTGAGTTTGATCGGGAAGCATCAGCTCCGCAAGCATACTCTCATCCCCACTAATGGGAGCGGGGTACTGGTGCTCCATAATCGGACCGCGGTCGATGTGGAAGGAGGCTACTAGAATATATTCAACATGGCGTTCGGGCGAGTCTAGTGGATACTGGGACTTGAAGCGCCGTGATTTCCCAGTTTTAAGAACATCCGGATGCTCTACTGATGGACGACGACGAGTGGGCTTTGCATTGCTTGGAGAGCGTCTCACGAACGAGGCTGCCGGCGAAAGGCGAGGCAACCCATTCGAGCTGAGCTGGGAGGATGATGGAAAAGAGGCTAGGTTTGGAAACTTCTCTGTCTGAGAGTCGCCAGTCGGCGTTCGAACGGGAAGAGGATTCGCCATGGCATGTAATACTCGTATAAAATCTGTTCAATCAGAAAGTCATGCTCCTAGTTCTGCTGGATCTGCTGGTTCGGTCTTGCACAGCTTCAGTCTGTGTTAAAGATATGCATGTCAGCGCACTGTTGTCAGTTGACAGTAGAGGTATAAAATCAGGGCCATGAGGGGGGCCAACTAGGGTGCAGAAAGTTGAGACACTAGGGTGCAAAAGTTGAGACGTCAGTTGACGTACAGGTAGAATTAACTGATGACCGGTGGAGATGTTTAGCGATAGTACGTAGCAACAGCCAGGCTCGGCCAAGCGCCACCAGGACTGGTCACATATGATGGGCAGCCATGGAAGCAATTGAAATTCGGTCACGTATGGGAGAGAGAAGAGCGTGAGCCATGGAAAAGAGGCAAAGAGGCAGGAAGCGCTTGCTCTTCCCCCCTGCCAGGTGGAGTCTCGGCTTAACCCTAAAAGCTGCCCCACCCGCCTGCATTGGCCAATCAGCGCCGATCCCACGCATGGCAACCACTTTGTTTACGTCCTACGCCTATTGACTAATTAACTATCTATCTCTTGCATATGCTCTACTTCATATTCACCCTCCAGACCTGTTCTTGTGCTGCTTCACGGCTATCACATCCGCACCGCCTTCCTATGCCCCCCTCATGAGAAAGTGAATGTGTACGTGCTTGTCCCGTCTCGCCGCTTGACGCGCCCGCAAACTGCTAACCATACTGGCAGACACATAGCAACCATTGTGGGATGATATCCAAGCTTACGTGAAAGGTGACTGCATACTCACACAACAAAGATGAACTCGAACGCACCGTACAAACCATCTCCTCTGTCCTTCAATTCACCTCGAGCCTCTCCCTTCCGGCGGCCATCATCACCAGGTTCGCCGACGACCGCCATCCGCACAAACACACCAACCAGCTCTCCAGGCAGAGGCCATACGCCCGCCCAATCGCCAAGCAAGCTCAACCAGTCCTACACCGTAGGCGACAGTGAGGAGGCAGTGACCGAAGATGACCAGCCAGCGTTGACCCCCAAATCTCCACGATTCCGTGAATCACCGTCATCGCCTACGAAGAACGGCAGCGGGCGAGGGAGTTTCTCGTCGTTGAAAGCCTCCCAATTGTCACGCCCAATTTCAGCCGATACTGACACTTTGTCCAAACTCCCCCCGGCGCAACTAAGGGATATGAGGGAGGCGTTTCAGGTACTTGACCGGGACAACGACGGCAATGTCAATCGCGATGATGTGGCTGATGTTCTCTCAAACTTGGGTATGCTTTACTAATCTGCTAGCATTGCTTAAGGTGTCTCTTACTAATGCTGGTTGATGGAACAGGCCAGGACCCTTCATCTTCGGCGACTGCGCAATATTTCCCTCCCGGAGCGGGACAGACAATGAACCTGCCAACATTTCTTAACACTCTTTCCACATTGATGGCGCCGCTATCTTCTCGAAAAGAGCTTCTGAATGCGTTTTCTGCCTTTGATGATGACGATAGCGGGCAAGTGGACATTGCGGAACTACGCGACGCTCTTTTGCACACCAGCCCAGAGGCCGGAGAAAACCCTCTCAGTGAAAGAGAAGTGGATGAGGTGCTCAGTGGGTTTACAGGGAGGAGAGCCTTCGCTGGTCGAGGCAAGTCTGCGGGGTTGGGTGGAATCAAGCGAGGCGAAGTCTTTCAATACCCAGAATTTGTTGGCAGCGTCATGGGTGGCTCAGAAAGTGGTGCTGGGTCTGGAAACAGGGTAGAAACCCCTCAAGCCTAGAAAGACGCTGAGAGAAGCGAGGTGCATGACGGGATGGGTTTGGAGTTTGGGATAATTTCAGGTGTTGGTGTAGTATAATGTATCTATTTCCAATTTTTTAGCCTCAACGTTTGGAATAATTGAAACTCCAATCTCTAGATATATTGTAGACCGTTGAAAATAATAGAATTATAGATATAGAAGAGAACTAGATGGCGGCTGTCATTGGTGACGGAAGTATCACCGCCCAGCCTCACGGATTAATTAACGCGTCTTTTTCCATAGCGGATCAGCTCGCGTGCACCCCGCATTGTCTTCCCCCAAAGAAAGCTCCGATTGATTTTCACCTGGAAATCCGATCATGATCAATCAACCCTTTCCCACATAGTCACGGCCACACACACAAATCGCATACAGTCAGACGCTGTTGTTGGCATCATGACTTCTTCACGCCCCTCGATTGTGAACACCAGCCTCTCGACATTCGCACCGCCCCCAGCCTCGCCGCAGTCGCCCAGAAAACTTCGCAAATTCCAATCGCATCAGACTCTGACGTCGACCTCATTTTCAACTTTCGGGCAGCCTCCGGCGACACAGGGAGTCCCCGCCCGCCAGCGCGGTGCACTTGCCAATGCCGCTCCACACGACACACCATCCGATGCTCAGCTCGATTCGGCTGGGCGACATCATAGCCGTCAGCGAGCCAGATCGAATAGCGATACTGGCTCCAGCTTGGCAACTCCATTGGTGACAGCACCTCCAAAGGCAAGGCGACCGGCCAGGAAGACCGGCTCTTCGGGGTATTTCTTGAAGCGATCGGGCCTCGAAACATTCCTGCGTGATGGGCCGGCAGATGGCAAGCTTCTCGAAACACTGCAGGAACTGAGGTTGATGGTGTTGTCAAATAAAGTGGATGCTGATTCTGATGGCATGGTATGGATTCTTAGAAGCGCCCAAATTCTGGATAACTGCTGATGATCTCCGATCTAGTCTACCCATCGAATATATCTGTGGTTGGTGCTTTTTGCCATTCCTCCATTACCAACAGACGAATACCTCAATCTCGTGCATCGAGGGCGATCTCCAGTATATACAAAAATCAGAAATGATACTTTTCGGACACTAGCCACGGATCCTCTATTTAAACGGCGGGTCACCGAGGCAAGTCTGATACGATTGCTGAATGCGGTTGCATGGAAGCTACACGACACGCAGAATGCCAAACCACGCTCGCGACCGTCTTCAAGAAGGAAAGAGTTACTGGAACTTGCCATCGACAGTCCACCAACCATCGCCGAAGAACCCGAGGGAGATCCAGGGAGGGAAATGAGTGGTGCAATAGGCAAAGGGGCTATCTATGTCCAGGGCATGAACGTCCTTTGCGCCCCCTTTCTCTACGCAGCTCGCAGTGAAGTAGAAGCCTTTACTCTCTTTCATTACTTTGTGACCAAAGAATGCCCCGGTTATGTTCGAGGTGCAATGGACGGGGTGCACAAGGGTCTGCGATTGGTTGATCGTTGTCTAGAAATCGTCGACCCCAAGCTTGCCAGCTATCTATTTTCAAAGGGAATGCAAGCCGAATTGTATGCATTTCCATCTGTCCTTACCCTGTGCGCCTGCACTCCGCCTCTACCGGAAGTTCTTCATCTATGGGATTTCCTATTTGCGTACGGTCCACATCTAAACATTCTCTGCATCGTGGCACAACTCAATTGCATGCGAGATGCCATCATGCAAAGTGATAGGTACGACCACCAATATATTTCTTCCATTAAGAATTTTTCTAATTATTTCTAGTCCGAATAAACTGTTGCGCTCGTTCCCGCCTCTCGAAGCAGACAAAATCATCAGCCTTACAGTGTCCTTCATACAGAAAATCCCTGATGATCTTTACGGCGACCTCGTTGATCACGCCAAATAAATGCATTGACCGCATTCATCCTTGCAAGCGCCATGCTCAGTTGTATATTATTGATTCATTTTTATTGTATCTTATACCTTATTGTCCTGCCGAGCTAGCCTGTGCGTGCAATGAGGCTGATATTTTATTTAACGACTTTATGTTGATGCCAATTATAGACATCTATTATCGATGATAGATCATTTTTTACCTTCTGGGTATCTGTCTACATGCCCAATCAAGACGCCTCCCATTTACATCTTGCACACTGACACAGTCCTCCTAGCGCACCCTGAGCCCATTCCCTCCTCTGCCTAACATCCAGCGCAATATCACAATAGTGATTCAAAATCTCTTCATCTTTACGAATAATGGCCGGAGAGGGGTGCCTCGTCCCATCATCATCACCATCATCACTACTGTGGTTTCTCGTCCTCCTCCAAACAGCCTTCTCCTCATCCCTCCGAACCATAAACGTAATCTCCCCACCCCATTCCCAACGCACATTCGGATCACAGGAATGATTCGCCAAGCACCACAACGGATGCACAGCACACACCTCCGGTCCCCCATCCCACGTTGACAAACGCCCAGACGCGGTGCCTCTGAACTTCGCATATAGCGTGTTCAAAATCCACGTGTCGTATCTGTCCAGTGTAGTAAATGGATCAAGCCCCATTTCCTCAACGAAGCGCATAGGCTGGAGGATATTGAGTTGGAAGGAGAACGGGAGCGATGATGATGATGATGAGACAGAAGGGTCTTTTGCCTGCTCGTTGCTGTCGTCGGGGTTATACTCATGGAAATCACCCCATATATACTTCACCTCTGGTAAATCCAACGGATGTAGATCCTGTGTGGCAGCCATGGCGAGTGCTCGACCGAGGAGCAGGAAGTACAGGTAATCCGCCTTATCCTTCGGATCGGCCACATCCTTGCCAAGCGACTGCAGACCTTCCTGGCCACAGATAGCAGAATGGTAAACAGCCTGCGCCTGATCGTGGCAGGCCTGGCTGCAGAATATAGTATCGTCGCATTCCTGGCACGCGACTGCAGCCTGTTCAGCACTTTCCGAACCAGTCTGCAGCTCCGGCAGTGGCCCGTTGCAGGCATCACATAGATCGTCGTGTAGTCTGTTTGTTGCGGTCAGGAGCGATGATTCGCGTAGGATGGTTTCTCCTGGTAACAGATCCCGTTTTGCGAAGAGACCGAGTTGGATTATTGACGTTTCGTTTGCTCTTTCGTTGTTTTCTTCTTGGGCAGAGTTCTTTGGCTCGTGGAGGACAGGCAGAGAGACGGCTCTAACTTCGCAGTCAGGGGCTACGCTCTCTAATCGCTTGTTGAGCAGTGAAAGTGTCTCAGGGGCGTTACGATCTGGCTCATGCTGGTTCCATGGGTAGAGGATTCGGCGGGCATAACCCTGTCCAGGAAGGGAGGCCGGGTCTAAGTCTTTCTCTTCCTTGTCTTTTCCCACCGCTTTTCTTTGGTGCTGCTTTATTTCATTGACAACTTCTCCGTCGAGTCGTGAAATAACTTGATCGTATCGTTGTGAAGATGTCTCTTTGTCCAAGGATTGAAGATGCTCCACCGCCCTAGTCAGGAAATCGTGTGCATCACGCAGACACCCACAGCGAGTAAGACTCTGCACGAGCAGGAAATAGACATCTGCAATAGTCTCATCATACTCGTTGCGCGAAATATCGACAAGGTCATCATCATCATCATCCACATCTTCATCATTATCATTAGGTTCAAGACCATCTGCAGTCTCCCGCTTGCTCTGTCGGGACGATGATAACCTGCGTCGCGCAACATACTCAGCGCAATCAGGGTCAACAACGCCTTCCAAAAGCGTCAAAGCGCGATATGCATCTGCAGCAGCGAGGTCGTAAAAACCTAACTGCGCATAAACCTTCCCTCGATCCAGATATACATGAGGGTTGTGGGGGTCAGAATTATTGTATATCGAATGCGACTTTTCGCGGACAGAATCGACTAACTCTGTATATCGGGGGTTGACCTGCGAAGCCATGACTTTATTCTCAATTCATAATTGAGGTGAATATATAGATAGATAGGGAATTAATGTGGATGTTGAGTGGAAGTGCCATGGAGGGGTTGCGGAGAAATTTTCTATATCAAATGAAAGAGAGCTTGTGATTGGTTGGAATTTCTCAATATAGAGCTGTACAGCAACCTAATAGGAAGCACATATTCCCCAAAGGAACATTGAAGGAGACCAGGTATTATTCTCTATAGATATTGAAACTAGGTGCTCCTTCGCTCACTCAAAATAAATTATATATGCACGTTTTGCAATTTGATACTATCACTTTCCCAAATATGTTAATCCTAGTTTCCAGCCTGCCTCGGTAGAAGTCCACAATAAATCCGTTATTCACGCATGCCATGCTTTGTTTAGTAGGATCAGTTAGATCAATGCAAATAATTAATTATCCTGATAATATAGGACAGATTCCAGCGTTGCCGGCCATAACAACCAAAAACCGAGTGGCTTGATTCAGATCGGTAGGACTGAGCTCACATAATCTATTCGAGCTATATTAGTCAATGTTCTTGTTCAGATGACGTTTAACTCACAGTGCAGTTTTCGTCGAGCACTATAGTAGTACCTTCGCCGGTGTCCACGGGGGGATTTGTGCCTCCCGTCGTATGTCGTTGTCGTAGCGATTGAGCGAGGCGAGTCAACATGCTTCTCTGTTCGAATGTTTAGTATAGATAAAATATCAACTAGATTGACTACACTTACCGTTATGTAAGCATCACTCATGCCGCCCTGTCGATCTACATCATTCTGGCTCATTATTTGGTAACTATCTTTTAATCTCTTGCAGCTACGCAAGCCAAAAACCTGCGAGCCACCTGCACTATTACGTGGGCGACTTCCGAACATATTAGCTGGGTTGTCCGGGTTCAAAATGTTGATACCGTAGCGTGCATCAGACTGCAAACGTCTGTCAGGTGAGAAGATTTTGATGGTGTTGTCTATTCCGGATACAGCGAGGGTCGGTTCATAGGGGTGACCTGGACAGTTAGCTCTTGCACCATTAGACCTGAAGGAGACAAGACGAACCTTGTACAACGTTGACAACTTCACTGTCACCCTCAAGAATATTGACCAATTTGGCAGTTTTCCGGTCCCAGATGAAAACATGCCCTGAATCACTCCCACTGACCACATACTCATCATCCATTCCATAATAATTGATATCCTTTACAGTCTTGATGTTGCAATGTCCACGGTAAATATTTTCATGGGTGCCGCATGGAACGTTAATATTGACGCCTTCTCGAAATCGGCTGGTTGGAAAGCTACCGCGTCTGAAAAAGTATTCATCTTCCTCACCCTCTTCATCATCGTCATCATTTTCTTCACTATCGTGATCGTCGTCATCGTTATCACTCTCGCTAGAGTTGTTGCCATCCATTTCAATATCTTCAATCCCATGTAAGGAGATATTCGAATGTCCGTCGAAAAACATTGCGTTCGCCGTTTCGGAGCCGTCTAGATTTGCCCTCCGTCGGTTGGAGACTAGACGGACTTCCTCGACCACATCCTCGTCCTCTTCCGGATCAATATCCTCTTGCATACGCTCGCGTTGGTCATCCTCATCGTCGTCCTCTTCTACAACCGCTCTCAAACCGCCAAATGCACGGTTGACAAATTCGAAGTTGATGCCTTCACCTACACTCATGAGCAAGCCTCGGCCAACCCGAAGACCCCAAAACTTCTTGGCAGCATTTCCATTCAAAGCACGTACAACACGTTCCGAAAATTCATTCTCTTCGTCCCAAGCAGCTGCACCATCTAAATCTTCTAAAGATAGCTGGACCGCTTTTTCAAAAGCAGTGACAGCGTCCTGTTGTGTCAGGAATAGGATACGTGCTTCATCATGCTCAAACCGAGAAGCATCAACGTCCACAATAGGAGAAGATCCAGCTAGATCTTGAAGGTAAGGGATGAGATGATCCTCGATTGAGCGGTCATCTCCATGCTCAGGGATCGGGAATCGCTTTCGATTTCGCGGCGAGTTGTTGCCCAATTTGAATCCTTCCACAAGAGCATCGCGGCCTCCGCCAAGCCAAAGAAGGACGGCTTTGAGAAAATCATAACCAAACTGAGACTCTGTGTCAATCATTCCATCCTCCGATGGCGCAGGAACGATGGTTGAAAACAAGTCTGTCTGTACATTTTCAGGTTCATCACCATAACCCTCAATTTGGCCTCCCAAGAAAGTAGCCAAAGTTCCTGATGCTTGAACGAATCTTCGAGTCGACTCCCGATTTCGTCTAAGAGTCTGTTGTAGAATGACATCATCCGTCGTAGGGTTCATGGGATATCTCCACGATCTTTGAATCTTATCCATCGGAACGAGACAGTCGCAAGCGTGCCCCAGTGCCGAAGTAAAGGAAGGTTCATACGACGCTATATCGTAATGCCGCTCTGATTGGGTGGTTTCACGAATTGATCCCTCAATAGAAAATAGCGCTTTTCGTAATTTAACCAGCCCCTTGGCGATTTCATGGCTAAGTTTTTGAGCTTCGTTGAGGACAGAAGTGCGTGCTCGTTCAATGGCTTCCTCTGGGGCATTAGAAAATGATTCGTTGCCCATTGAAATAGGAATGTTTTCGGAATCTCCATTGCCGTAACGGATATGAATGGATACTTCTGGGTCGTCCACACCGAGGTCCTCAGATCTCCTGCGAGACTGGTGTCTATTTGGGCTGTTGAGAGAAGTCGAGGAGGGGATATTCCCACGCTTACGTTTCCTCGTTCTAGACCTTATGTACGTGGCATCTTTCGTTTCAGTTTCCCGGGCATCGGGACTGCGGACCAGGTCAAAACTATAGATGTGGTCACCGGACCAGCTTACTACGATTTCGTTCGGACGAGCGTCACTGATTTTACACGCCGTAATATGGCCATTATCTTGGGCTTTCATTTTTCTCTGTCCACGTGGAGCGAATCTTCGGACACATCTTGTTGCGCTGCTCATAGCTTCGTCGCCGTGGCTGTTTTCTATGGGAGAAAAATCACCTGATTGGCCCTTCTCAGCAAGTAGATCGCGCCCCACCATGCGACGATCATGAAGGAAACAATGCAGATGTGCGCCTCCTAATGCAATGTAGTGTGGCTGGCTTGCAGAACAAGATATGGTATTCAAGTCGAGATGGTATCGTTTATATGATATCAAAGGGGGCGGGACATTGGTATCATTATGATGGATACCAGGTCGATAGGCCATAAAACCCTGGCCACCCTGAGGCGCCGGATAAGCTGAAGATGGCTGACGCAAATCCCATTGGCGCACTTCACCGTCCTCTGAGCACGTTAGAAATAGATAAGGAGATGACTCGGTTACGATTCTCTTGACACGGTCTGCATGAGAACGATAGACACGGGTATTGGTGTTGTGGGTTGTCAGATAGCGGACTCCAGTGAAAAAGTCAGTCAGGCGTCTAGTTCTGAGCGACGCAGCTCCATTCGTTGCAGCAGAAGTGCCGTTCTGATTCTGTAGAGAATATTCGACATCGAAAATGCGAACCTCAGAATCTCCTGCACAAGTGATGAGGGTCCGGTCATTTGAGTGGGGCATAAACTTGACGGAGAAGATATTGGCTTTGTGCCCGGTGAATATGGACGTGCTCAGCGAAAAGGGAGACGTCGATGATTCAGGCTGGTAGGAATAAATGTTCAAGTATGTATCATCAGAACCGGATGCTAGCAAGCGCCCTGATCGTGACCAACTGTGAACTGTCAGTATAATTCAATGGGCCATATTAGATGGAGATTGGGTCTGGTTGATGCTGGTATTGCAACGCAAGGCTTTTTTTTTTTCCCCCTTCGTTTGAAATCTCCAACAGAACTTCCAATCACGCACCTTAGAGCATTTACACAGCCAGTGTGTCCACCCAGCTCGTTGACAATGTCCAAATCATCCATCCACTCCGCGGCACTGTAAATGCCCTTAAGACTGGCCCTCTGGGAGCCATGCCCCAGCTCCCTCTGCAAAATGCGATCATACAACGACGGCATCATATATCCGGCGCCGGCGCTCTGGGGTAGTGGACAGAAATGGTATAGTTTCTAAGCAGCTCGGCACAGCAAGTGTCGAAGAACCATCCTTAATTTTATTTGCTCTTGTTAAACGCCGCCGCCCATTATTCTTCTTGTCGACCAGGCAAGCGTCGTCGGAGCCATCGACGAACAGGCGCTTTGTCGCAAAAAGAGAATAAGAAGGAACAGTAGCACCTGGGGGTTGGAGTAGTAATGAGCGTTCCACTGTTTGTCGTCGCGGTTGATGGCTAGTTACCAATAGAATTAATCGACAGGAGGATTAATTAATGCCGGCTGTCGGACTCCGGTTCCTCACGCTAGACAGCAAACACGAGGCAGAGGATGGTGTGCAGCTGCTAGTCGAGAGTCGTAGTTAGTTAGTGGAAGAGTATAGTGAGGTAAAAGCAACGGTAATAGTAATAGTAGTAGTAATCAAGCATGGCAGAGGCGGGCGGGATGCATCACGTGCTATCGCAAAAAGGAAGGAGTACTGGGACGGCTTTCTCCTGCGACTTCCACTTCACATCGCCCAGACTGGTACTAGTATACTAGTTACTTCTCTTCTCTCTTTTTAGTCGATGGCAGTAGGAACCTGTAAGTGACTTGATTGTCCTGTACCGGACGAGCCTAACAAATGACATCAGACGGTCCACTCGGCTAGAAGGCTAGAACGTCGCCTAGTGACCTTTGGGGTTGGATCTGCTGCCGAATTATTCCCGTTCTCGCCGTGAAACTTGCTTGCGAGCAGCCTGAACAGGTTCCAGCTTCCAGCAGCCTGCTAGCGATCGAGATCTCGACCACAGCTCGCCTCTTGTCCAACTTGTGCCCGACACACAATCAGGAAATTCGACCACGCTCCCGCCTCTCCACCGCGGCTGCAAATCAGACGATGAGAGCATTATTATCCAAACCTGACACGGCGCGAACCGTGGTGACATCAGATTAACAGTTGACTACGCCGTCAATAAGATAAATCAGCCCCCCACCAAACCCACTCCGGCTGAGGATCCTACCAGGACCGTTGTGCCGGCACCACCGCCGGTGCCGACTCTCGCGCATAGACAGGATTCCCATAGGCAAGCCATTATTACCTATCTGATAGGCTACTGGTTCGATTTGATGGTGCGCCGGAGGCTTGAGCACGCTGGACGGATCAACGCGCATTCTCAGGCGTCGTCTCGTGGCTTTCTACTAGTTCCATGGGAACTTACGCCCAGACGACCACTGGTCCGCGTGCAGTGCATATAGAGGCTAAACCCGCTAGAGCCCACGACTTGCCTACAAGAGACTAGTAGGAGCAACAGTTCACCGATGTGACTTGACGGTTGTCTTGAGTCTTGACACGCAGATAATCGTTATAATGGTAATGTATTAGTTATATCTGCAATTAAAGTGACAGTGCAGCAGGACATTATTGGCCCGTCAGGCAGCCTCTCGTTTGTGATGAATCTAAATCGGCGTCGGAAATGGAGTCGTATTGTATGTACTGTTCGTGCTTGTGACAGCTAGTGAGGCAAGGCGACGAGCCAATAGATCTTATTATATTATCACGTTATAACAGGATCATAGAGGACCGCAACTGCTTGCACGTATCATGAATCATTATTTATGGCCGTTATAAGTATTAATGGCTTATGCCCGCGACTCAGATCGCGCCTGGTCTAGCTTTTCCCGGAGTGAGGTAGAAATATGCAATGCCGTCCGCAAAGCCCCATCTAATTGGGCAGTTTCCTGGTCTAATTCTCGCATGCGGTTCTCGAGAAAGCGACAGCTCTGCTCGAGTTTTTCAATATCACCACGCAGAAGATGATTCACCGACCCGTCGTCTACGTGCTGTTCATCCTCGTCGGCGCCTGTCCCAGTCCTTCGAACCTGCCGTTCAAGCCGTTGGATTGTGCGTAGCAGGTTCAGGCGTTGTTTCTCCCACTCTTCCTTTTCCGCCTGCCATCGTTTCACGTCGGCTGCGGTTTGAGTTTGGAGTTGAGAGGACATGGACATGATTTGCAGGTATTGGTTGCGACTTGCAATCGACTCCTTTTGCGCCTCCTCGCGCGTCTTGATCAGATCGTTCACTTGGGCCTGTAAGTCTCCCACCTGGTACTGGAGGTTTATCCTCTCTTCAGCCCACGAGCTGGGAGCATCGGCACCGGTGGTGCTGGCCGGATGATGGGTTTGTTGAAAGCTCGCATTGGCGAGGAGGTTGTCGTAGTCGCGTTGAAGGGCCTGTAATGCAACGTTCTTGGCACTGACTTCGCGGCGAAGATACTGTACTTGCACGTTATTAGTCGCGGGATCTGGGGTCTGAAGAATTTGTGGTGACCCGGGGTGAGAGTCTTTCGTTGCGAGGGAGGAAGCTAAGGAAGGTAGGGATGGAAGCGTGCGATTCAGCGGTTGTGGCGCCTCAATATTCGATATTTTCGACCGAAGGGCTCCTAGATTCGTTGTTGGTGACAATGTAAGCTGGATAGAGAAAAAGGACGACTTGGTAGCCATGTCGATTGAACATCATCGGTGTCGTATTCTTACCTGTATCACCAAGATTGTGCACAGCTTCCGAGCTCAAGGGTTGACCACGGACACTTTGCCGCCATTCGGCACGAGGTGTATTCGTTCGCGACGGTCCGCTGGAGTAAGGGGTGCTGTGGTCTGAACCCGGTTGACCCTGTAGTCGCAATCCGAGTAATTGGGGTTCAGGAAATGAAGAGAGGTGGCCAAGATTGTGTATAATTTGGTCTATGGTAACAAGGCTCCATTCTAGCTGCGCTCGTGGATGGAGCTCTTTGAAATCATGCGGTGAAACCACGCCTCCAGCCTAACAGGGATGACTGCCCTTAATCCTGTTCTTCTATAATCATCATGACAGAGATACGCGGGGATTTCACACCTCATCTGGCGACCAACTGTGCTGAGTTCCAGTCACACCCCGACGAATGACGGCTTCAATCTGTTGGATTCCAAGCGCCACTCGCTCGATCAGAGGTTGGATGTGGCTGCAATTCTCGCATTGAATGCCTGCAAGCGGACTTCTAAACGCCTGTTTTTCGTTCTGTTGAAGATGATTAGATCTAATTATCCTCTATTTCTCTTCCGCAAACCGATATTTTCCAGGGTGCTAACCTCCCAACGCCCGACGCCCAAATTGGGTACCTAACCACGCAAATAACTTAAACAGAAAAGAAGAACGTACCCCTTGGAAGAAAGCCATACTCGTTTAGCCTTTGCCCTGAAGCATGGCCTCCAACATCGCACAATGCCCAGAAACAGCCAATGAAGGCCCACAAAGAGAGGCAGGTTAGGACCAGTGATTCCGGGGGTTGCACTAACCCGACGTCTATTGGAGAAAGGGTGTTTCGAAGCAGCGAGAAAAGGCGTCTGCTGGTTTTCAGCTTACGTGAGCAAGGCCAGAACAGATGCTCGCGTAGACGTATTTCTTTCCTTGGGGCTGACTGCGGTTCTGCCCTAGACACCATTATTTATGCGAAACGCCCTTCCGAATCTGGTACATCTATCTCTAACCTAACGAACGGGCGGTGCTTTCAGCCTCTGCGGGGCACCGAATTAATGTACGGAGTGGGATAAAAGCATGCTGAGAAGCATCAAATCAGAGTGGATGAGCTGCAGAATATGGTGGAAAATCAGATTCACGATCATATGTGCCGCTGACTCAGAAGCGTAAGTGACTAGCCAGCGTGACCTGCCGCTGATTCGAGACGATCAGATGGATCCTCTCCCAGACATCCTGTCCAGGTGTCCACCAAATCCCAAACGCTGAAAGGTTTTCTAGGGTCGAAATGCCATCGACCCCAGATATACGTACAAACATTCACATCAAGCGCGATCCCGGGTCCCGAATACCACGATGGAGCCAACCTGACAGCTTTTGGTCACCGTAAGTTCGTCTCTAGGGGCGTTATTGTCCAATGTCCATAGCGCTGGGAACCGCCCGATGGGCAAGCAGTGAGAAGCGCCACAGAGCCGATACGCTATACGGCGATAGTGCTGATTGAAGTTCACTAGACAGTTTGCACGGGCCGCAGCAGCTTATTATTACAAGCTACCAGCCAACCGTGTGCCCGACACGTTCAGAATTCCAGCCATTCAAAGCAGAGCCGACGCGAAGTGTTTGACTTTGCTCGGAAGCTTCGGAAGGATTCCGGCCCGAGTCGTCTGTTTGTGATATTCCAGACTCCAACCGTAGTCATCCGGTGTGTAAGTCTATTTAACTTTATAGTTCGTATTGCTCAGCCTACTACCACTTCGATTATTGAAGATCTACACAAGAAAGACGTTACGTTAGCTATAAGAAAGCTTGTTCCAGCTACTTGAATCTTGAGTGCTCTTCTGGTATCACTGAAGACTTGAAAGGTGGAATTTCGTTAAGGAATTGATGTTCTCCGTAGGTGGAGAATGCAAAGAACTCCCTCGAGGCCTCCGCTCTCTGTACGTAAATATCTCCTAGCCAATTACGTAGTATCAAAAATATCTATTAAACCGTCGATGTATTATATGACTATAACTTTCTAACCTTCTATATTTTATACATATAGACAGTAGAGGGCCAGTTATTGACACATTGAACGCAAAAAAAAGGGGGTGGGGGGGAATGTAAGACAAAGATAAACAAGTGTATAAGATTCACCGTTATCTAATCGTGGACTATGTCTATGATCCACAACAGAAAAATGACTCTGGATCATAGTCCAAGGTTCTTGTCGATATCCTCGAGGTCGTTCGTAACGTCACTAGCCCTTCATATCACCTTGGAGTCGAGCTTTGTGACACTCATTACAGTTGACGGACTTTCCTCCAAATTTCGATTATTTTTAGAAGAATATGCATGCTGGCTACAAATACCAAGAGGAGCTTCTGTCCATACTTGAAAGACGACCAGGTCTATGGCAAGCTATGCTTTCAATTAGCCTTCAAGCAGAAAATGAACACAGAAGAGAACCTAAGTATGTGATTTGGATTGATGCAATAAACACCAACGATGATGCCTGGCCTCAACTAAAAGCATATATTTTGTCTATACTTTCAGATTCCATATCAGTGGAGCTATGGCAGGCTAAGAATACGATTTTATTTATCCAGACGTCAGAAATAATCAGATGAAGATATAGACGGTCACAACTACGAAGAAGTTCAGGTTTTCAATACCCCAAAACCAGGAAGCCCTCCAAATTCGGTCTGCAAAGGATATCGTACTTGTTGATGTCACTCAGTCTGTACTATGTCCCAACGAAGTCTTTTCTAAGCAACACAAAGACCTGTCTGAACAGAGCACATTGAGGATTTGGGAGGTTGAAAGCTTGGATTCAATGAATGAAGAATCAATCCAAATAGTCGGCAAGTATGGCCAGACTTCCATTTTACAAAAGGCTTTCTACATAGCATCAAAGTGGACGTTAAGCTACCGTATGTCATCTGACTCATATAAATATGGTATCTGCATGGGCTGTTCGTTCTCCTAATCTTGGAGAGGCCTTTGCAAAATCGGAGACTCAGGCTCCTTTGTGTTTGCGAAAGGTACTTGGCCATCAAAATAATCTCAAGCGGGGGTATGAAGGGAGAGGGACTGCGCTAAACTTGGATACTTTATCCCCTTTGATGATGTCAAGACAGAGATTGAGTCTCTGACAGGGGGAAATGACATGGCCACCATGCGCGATGTAAATGCCCCCAGATGATTCGGGATAGAGACCACTTTTCTCCCAGCTACCTGTAATGTGCAGGACCATAAATTCATGTCCTATATACCATCTTTGGTGAAGCACCTATCGGATTCCCGGGAGTAGGCATACCGTTGTGAACTGTCTTTTAACTTTTTAGTTCGTTTTGCTCAGTATTCCACGCTAATGTAGGATGCCTCAGGTGTTTGGCGTACTTTACCGTACACCTTGTAGGCTTGTACGTAGCATGTCAAGCCGACTTCCAGGCTCCTTGTCTAGGTTTAACCTGGCGTGGCTGTTCATCTTCCAAAGTGTGTAATTGGTCTGCAGCACGACTGACCCACGCCTTTTCTAGCGTGACAGCCTCCAACTCTATCTCCCGCATTGCTTTTAATTCATCAACCATCAGGATCAGAAAGTCTCGATGGCCTCGAGCAATCTGCATCAAAGCAGAGCTGTCGGCGTGTTGAGAGTTTTCGAGAGCAAATAGGGCCAAATTCTGCAGTCCTCGCAAGCAATATTCCGCTTTACTCGTCAACGCGTCTACTTCGTCTCGCCACGCCCGGTCCATTGGGTAAACAAATTGCACCTGATCGGGGTCCATATCAAACCCGGGAATTTCTCTGCGACTTTCCCTCACATTCTCCAACTTTGCTAGCCAGTCCTCGAATGCTTCGATGACGAGTGTGTAGCGTCCGCTGTCGGCCTCCGTTAAGTGCGCAACTTCCTGGATTACCTGCGAAAGACTTTGTATTTGCGTCGCAAAGTCAAGTCTATTTGCTGGGTTGTCGCAATCAACCGACCAATCATGGAGAGCTTTCAAATTTTGTTGTCGCTGTGCGATTTTCTCCTCTGCCAGTAGCCCCTGATAAGCACTTGCCACCTTATTGTACCTTTTCCGTAACTTGGACTCTGTCATTGACCGCCACTCTGCATCTTCCTGCATCGATGACGAGTAGAGGAGATACACTTGTAAAAACTCCGTTTGTAAAGCTGCGACATCTGACCGCGAAGCCGGTATGCTACTATCAGCCTTTCTAGTGTTACTCTCAGTGACAGACAGCCGCACAGCCTCTCGTTCCTTTTTAGGACTAAAGTGTTGCTGAAAAGTATTGAAGGCTGGCCGCTGCTGCGGCTTTAATAGAGCTGGCCCCAACTTTTCCGGCTGCCTTGTGGCTTGCCCAGCCGACAAAGTTATTGTGTTACTGTTCAGAACCTGGCTGCGGTGCCTCGTATGACCCTTTCCTTCCCCAGATACACCAACCCGCGATGCCGATGGCTGTCGTAGAGACGCAGATCGTGTGGGTCGTGATGGCCGCTGCATTTGAGTTTTCTTGGGCGAGACGGGAGGAGCAGATACTTTGGCGTCATTCTGCTGCGATTTTAAAGGTGAACGAGGTCTCATCGAGAGACTGCCGTGGTCAATTTTTGTCCGAGTAGTAGAGACATTTCTCCCAGCCTCGGGTACCTTCTTCATCGTATCTTGTGGGTATGGTTGTCCAGCACGATGCGATGATAACGGTGTTGGGTCTCTTGCAGGCTTCTGTGTCGTTGACACTGTATTCGACGACAGTTGCTTCCGGTCCTCTTCATTTATATTCCTATTATTGACCTGTCCTTGCGGTTGCTCCGTACGTCGAGCTCGCATGGAAATGTTCCGTTGCGGGAGGAGACTCTTCCTCTTGTTCGCGACATCATCGGCGTTGGCAAAGGTTGGCGCAGGTATAGAAGAAATTCCAGTTGTCCTGGGCGGCTGTCGCAGAGGCACCCTCGATCGTTCTTCGGCGCGTTTAGGGGGGTCGTTGTGTGTTGTAGACATCTTGAGCACGGGGAGGAAGCTAGTCACTGCTGAGGGAATAATGAGGCATGCATTGGTCGGGCGCGGAATGCATGCTAGAGATAAATTTCGCACAGCTTTGGAGAGTTGATAGCAGAACGCTCATGCCGAGCTTATGCAGGGAGGGTCTTTTGCATGTTGTATAGTTTAATATTGATTGATGTGGATGCTCCTTTGGGTGTTGGTGAATGGTTCGGGCCGCTAAAGCCTACCAGGCGGTCAGTGCGCCATCTATTTTCTATGCTTTACATCTATATCTTCATTTATATTCATTCATTTTCAAATATTATTGTTATTGTTATTATTCAATTGACGGTGTATTTTTGTAGTTATCTTATTGCAGCTCTATGTATTGCAGGATCCAGAACTATGGCTATCCTGGAATAATCTCCATTTTGACAACACGATGTAACAACCACACATATAAATGACTACAAACTGGCACGTTTTGGGAAAGACACATTTTCTGTCGCAGCATCGTCTGAGAACCAGGATACCTTGTCTCCGCCTTCTGCGTTGACCAGGCCACTGGGAAGGTCGTGACCCTCCTCAGTATCAAAGATCTTCCTTAGAATATCCTTCTTCCCACCACCCGTGGCCACAAAAGCGATACTGATGGCGTGTGAGACAACGGGCAGCGTGAGGGTGATTCGCCGGGGTGGAGGCTTGGGTGAGTCCGTGATGCCGACCACCCAGGCATCTTTCTCTCGCAATTGGGGATGACCTGGGAACAGACTGCAGGTATGTCCATCTGGGCCAACGCCCAACAAGATCAAGTCGAAGACCGGGAACTTGATGCTATCCTTTGCGGCGAAAGTGCGCTTCAGGTCGTCCTGATATAGATCGGCCAGTTCAGTGGGATCGTCATCCGTGGCGTGGTCGGCGTCAATGGTGTGTACAGTGGGGGAGCCCAGACTGGACGGGATCTTGTCGAGCAATTCGTCCTTGATGAGGCGATAGTTGCTGTCCGGGTGGTCTAGGGCCACGGCACGCTCATCGGCAAAGAAGATCTCCCATTTGGCAAACTGTGGTGTGTCCTCGGCAGTGCCCTTTCCAGGAGCAAGAAGGGCTTTGGCGAGGGTGTGTGGAAGCGAGCCGCCAGAAACGGCGATTCGGAAGGAACCGTGTCGGTTCAGGGCGGTGTTTTGATGGTTCAGGACATATTTGCGAAGCTGCTGCGCCAAGGACTCGACATCCGGAAAGCTGTAGAGACTGGGGGCTGCGCCGGACATGTTTTGCGGAGGAGATGGTGTTGCGGGAAGAAGTCGGGCGGGGTTGTGAGGGGTTAGAGTCGGATCAGTTGATGGTGTGCGAATGCATGAGATAAGGTGTGTAGCCAACCGTAGAGATCACAGACGAGAATGCGCCTATCGACGGGTCGAGTCTCGGTCAATGGGGAGAGAGTCCTGTATTGGTGAGTAGCAAGACTGCATGAGGTTGTGGTGGAAGACGATTCCGTCATCCTCCATACCCTTATACATCTACGCTGTGCGGTGACGTAGCTACACTGTACACTGCACACTATACAGATACTCCACGTATACTCTTCACTCGTTGAACAACAATCATTTGGCTGTTAATTCAGCTGTGTGTTAAAATTCTGCTCCATAATATAGGCCTGAGGTATCAGTCATAAGTGTCCATCGCACATTGGATACATAAATATGTGCATAATAGACTTGACAAAAATAGAACGGGTTAGTAATATTGACACAACATGTAAGCAATTGCTGTAATCAATCGATATGCTGCAGGACTGGCTCACATATAGCCAGCCTATTCTTCCATAATCGTACGATATAACACCAATTGCTCTTCTACATCTGTGACTTTAGCGCGCCCCAACCGTCAAATCCGGTTTATCTTCTCCTTCCAGGAATAATCATAGATCGAGTCGATGATGAGTCCTGTCTGGCGCATCGACGAATAGAGACGGCGGACAGTGGCATGGCGGCCGGAATCGACGCTAGACGATTATTCAGTATTACTCAGTGTTATACGGTATTATGGTATGTACCGTACAGAACAGCCGCATGTGAAACGCGACTCGGGCATCTCCGCCGATCACCGATTATTATTGATTGTGCACACTACTAATTAGGCAGTACTAATGACTAAGGGCTCGTTACTCGATATTGGGCATTGGTGCTTGTATTATGCCTACCCAACAATATTCTCCTATTCTCATATTCTTCCTTCATTTACCCTGTACTCCCTCCTCTACATGCATCAATGTAGATTATTGTAGAATGTAACAGGGAAGATAATCGCTCATGTACCGTGACGTCATGGCACACGCAGGCGCGCGCCCGTCTGCAAGGAGGCACGCTACTTGTACTGAATAAGCATGCCTTTAAACATGTACGTAAATGTCTACGACAATGTTTAACACTAACTGTTTATATTTATATATATATATATATATATATATACAGATATAAATATAAAATAAAAACAAGTACAGGCAACAACAATAATGGCTTACGTTATACATACTGTACACGGCGGTACCAGCGATACATAATACGCACGATTAAATACAACCGTGGGATCCGGTGGCGCCAGCGATCCTCAACTGCCTATTACCTGATTAGTTGGTTAATAGTTCCTAGTTGGTTCCTAAGACAATCCTGATTCAGAGAATAGTTAATTTATTTGTTGCTCTCAAGTTTCAGCCCATCCTCGCAAATATTCTCCTCTATTCTTCTCTACACTGATCATCCTATCTTCACTGCACCTCCCTCCTGCCATAACTCTCCTGCCATATCGTCGCATATCAACATCACCACTGCCTCCTATTGATCTGGCTAAGCCATACCAAGTCCTCGTGACTTGGTGCACCAATCCACCATCATGAGCTCGCCCTCGGTCCAGCTGCAAGTGCAAGCGCCCTCTACATCTTCGGCGCTCTCATCGTCAGAGTCGCATTCCTCCGGCTTCCTAGACATTGTGCGATGCTCTCGCTGCCAACGCTCGCTCAGCATCCAGCACGCCTCCTCATCCTCTCCTGCCCCGGGCGTCGTGCAATTCGGCATGAACTCCTATTACTGCAGCCGCTGCGCTTCCATGGTTGGCTTCAACCACTGATGGCCATAGCTCCTAGAACGTACCACACGTTTACCAGCGCTTTACGCCTCGAATCGGAGGATGATATTCGGACATCCAATCAACGCATTCGCTCGCGGGCCGAGTACATTACATCACAACACGGATTTTCCTCAGGTTAATGATGAGCATTTCGCGATGTTTCTCGAACATACTGCCGTCACGAGATCACTCCACAACCAAACACCTTGACCGCGCACCAAGCCGATTATATTTGCTCAACAGATACATACTCATTACGATACTTCGAAAGGGGAATTCATTTCACGACGCGGGGTAGCATCTGGCATGCACCCCAATCATCAACTATTTATGCACGTGCATGGAATGAATGTTATTAGAGCGTTTGTTTAGATAGGCACCCAGACAGGACCAATACAGTTCTGGACAGCTGTTTGTTTTATTACATTTGATCTTCTTGGCTCTTGGCTCTTGGCGCTAGCGTTGTATTTTCATACCCCTCCAAATGTTTTCGAGATACCCATACTTCTGCACATCGGCGCGTTGCAATCATATATAACATATCTTGACTCAATTATATTATTACCATTCTTATTATCATCGCTGTCATCCTGCTATCAATCAGTGCGTATTTGGCTTCTAGCCTTTTGGCCCTTTCGGACCCCAACCGACCAACTGATGTTTCCAGATGTCTCAAACTAATCTCAAACTAATCTCAAACTAAGTGTTTAGATTTCAGACTGCGATGACTGCAACAAGAATGGCCGATCTGCTGACAGCCCAATTCATCTATAGCAGTATAATTAGCCGTTATCGACAATCTGGTATCACGTGTACAATATTATCTAAGGCTGGCCAATCAGACGCTGTTCTGCATCGACATTAACTAATTGTTCTGTGCAGTCGTAACCACGCATTCAACCACAAGCCTGCTATTAGGCTACTACATTGTCTTGATGATGTCGAGCAAATGAACGGAGGCGACGGAGGGTAAAGGCGTTTCGTGCGGCATGTTTCGTGGCTTCGCTTCGCCCAGTTTGTGTAACGCATCAGCTCCATTCTTCGCATTCCATGACAATGAATTGTCAGCTCTGAAACCCAGAGGCATTTCGTTTCAGTCGTTTCTTTAAATAGACGCAAGCATGCAGCCATTCCAGACGGACTTACTACGTATACACACTGGACTGCTGCGTATTACATACATGCTGTCAGTGCTATCAGTGCTGAATCCATGGAGATACAACCACGCAGTGGTGGTAGACAGACAGAATGGTATACAGCATATGCTCTCTACTTGTGTTCGACGTTGACTGCTGTGTTGAATGTCGGCGCACACCGCTTGACCCTGCAGGGGTCGTCACTCACTGACTCTGCTACTTTGAATACATATATGTATATACATTTTTGTTATATCACCACCTTATTATACCAACAAATCCGTACAAGGATATCGACGCTTCCTATCGACGGCAGCAGACTCATTGACACGTATCCACCGATTCAATAATTGCACCAGTGGCGATAACCTCTACAGCCTTTTCATTGACACTGCCCAGTCCAGCCGAAGCGGTGAAACGGACATGGCCAGCTGGTCTCTCGACTGCTCTGCGCTAAGCCATGGCTTTGGCAAGCATATGCAGGATCAGCCAATAGCACGTCACAAATTTACCCACACAATGCAATGCATCTCATATACCTTGTATCATTCATTTCGCATGGCATGGCATGGTATGGCTCTGCATGGCATTTGATATGAGACTTGTGCAGATATAGAAGGTGGATTTGAGTTTGTCTGATAGCTGGATGGGCACACACCTCCCGTCTATTGAAAACTCACATTCGCCTATTTCTTTTATTTCATATAATCCATTGCAACCCCACTAGACTGTCGGACACTCCGCAATTATTGTTTCTGGCATTATTGAACGCCACTTCGCAGCAACGACGATCGATGTCCTCGTAAACCGGCTTTTTCTATATGAATGACTGATCGTATGCAAATTCTGGAACAGCTGACCGACCTATACTATACCGTATGAATGGAATCGAAATTATTGAAAGCAATCGGATAGTAAAGGAGACGCCTGATTTGCTCTTGGAGATGATAGTCATTCGGTGTTGCATTAGACCAATAGACTCCCGCTATCGTCACGAATTATTTTTCATAATTGATATGGATACTCGTAGATGAGATTGCTGATTACTATTCAGTCTAAGACTAGCCAATTGTCAGCTTGGAACGACATTGGGGTCTTGGTTTGAACCAGGTGGTGCAGAAAGTGATACCTCACATGAGTTATAACCTAATTGACGCAGACCTGCACCCAGCGTACGCCATGGGATCACCGCCCGAGGAGGGATCGAATCATAGTACGTTGTTAGCCGGGATCTTTCGCGTTCACACGCTTTCAATTTCTCTGAGCGAATTAAAGGCCTCGGTAGATGGGAATAAGGATTGGACCCCTGCAACCCGTCACTTTGGGATCTGGGTCGGCCGCGGTTTACTAGTGAGTATATACGTAGTACGTAGTGAATTAAACGAGTTATGCATGACCTACACAAAGATTTACTCCCCGCTATTGAATAACTCCGGTGGTTCTGGTGTTGGAAAAGGATGAGGAATGCCCGGAATTAGAATAGAAGGAGTGGATACGGATATCACTATCGCGAGTTGTAAGCGGACATAGGAAAGAAAGAGAGACCGAAAGAAAGAAAGATGCCGTGGACATGTCAAATGCACGTTGACAGCTGTCTGTACACTGATTGCTGGTGTGGATGGCATCGCATGCATCATGTGTGTTTGGAAATGAGCAGAAAACCTACGTATATACGCGAGAGAAGTGCGTTTGCTCCCCAAGATGTCCAGCTACTCGTTGAAAACTCGCTGTATCAGATTATAATCGTTGTTTGTTTGATTGTTTCAGCCTGAGCAAAACCGAATAAGCGTGTACCTGCATGGCTGCTGAACTCGGATCTGATATAGTGATATGCCATTTTACTAAAGCTAGTCCACGCGGCGTGGGTACATCAACTGATGTTGTGTTAGATTGACCGGACTAAGATCATAGTTGGTCGGATAGTCATTTCCGGTCTAGTATCAATTGATATACATGATACTACATGGTACTAAGATTCTAGTGGACCTCCCCAGGATCTAAGTAGTAGTCTAAGATAATAAAAATACGAAATAGAAAATCAACGAGCGCTCACACAGACCACCATCCTCCCACTCCCCATGTCCCCTCAACGCGAGAAGCGGAGAAAAGAAAAAAGCAATGTTTAGTCCGAGTTTAGACTGCGCCCTGAGGCCTGGAAATCTATAGTCAGCTACCTATTTGCGTTTAGTCTTTTGCTGAGAGACCCGATTCGGAGCAAGGATGAGAGAAACTGTTGCAGGTTATTTTTCTCTCTTTCTCAGACATTTAGACCCTGATTAGTATGACACTAGAGAAGAAATAGATTTGAATGGCTGCAGGAGATCTGACCAGTTGACGTCGGAAGGAAAAAGAAAAGAAAAAAAAGAAAATACACCGACGGGGTTTCAAACGAGGCTGCAGCTGAGTTTTCTACCCTGATTGGAGAGACAGACTCGTTTATCCTGGTGACCAATGGAGGATTATTGGTTTGATTTCTTTTTTTCTTCCCTTCTTTTCCTTTTTTTTTTTTTTTTCGGGGAAAGGCGTGTTTGCCCAGACCCTTGCAAAAAGCAGGAAAAAAGATCAGCCCAGCTGCTGCATGAAGGTGGCGGATGACGAACTGGACAGTTTCCTCAGGGTTTCTGTGGGACAAGCCTTTTGTTTTCCATAATTTTCTCTCTCGTTGGTCCTAATCGCTGTAGTTCGCTTTGCTTATTTTTCCTGAGCGAGCCAGTCTTTTGACTTTTATATACAATCCACTGCTGACTGTGGTCTTGCGACAGACCGGCCTCCATGCCCTAATCAATATTATATCCTTAGTCATCGGACTCTATATCCCAGGGCTATTATCTGCAGACGCCACATTTATTCCAGAGCCTTTCCGGAACTCTAACATTAAGTTTCGACTTTGTGCTAGAGGTTTTGTGCGAGTGTAGATGTCAGCTGTCAGGGAAGACGAGACCAGTAGGTAATGATACGCGCAAGGAAACAACATTGACATCCACAGAGCGTGTCCATCAACAGTCTTCCAGCAGAATAATTCAAGCCTCGCCAACTGACTGGAATTGAATTTCGGAGATGGAGCCTTCGCCACAAGAAAAAGGCCGTCGTGGAACAAAAGCCGGGGATGAGGAATTCGTTCTGTATCTCCAGGGTGTGAGTGTTCGACTGCCTCTTGATAAATTGGTATCCTGACTTGTCCTACAGATTCCTGCACACTGCCGCTGGCAGGAGCTCAAGGACTTTGTCCGCCAGACGGCGCTCCATATTCGTCAAGCCGTGGTTTATGATGACCAGCATGGTTATCCGACTGGGATAGGCCAGATCATTGTCAAGAACGAGGATGAGGCATGGCGTACTTTCCGTCAGTTTACCACACCTATCTCTACATGTACACTGTAAAGAGAAAATTCCAAAGATACCTACTGACTCTATTGTTTGTAGGAAAGCTGTCTGCGAATGGATGGAATGGGCAGGCCCTGACGGTCACTCTCGCAAGAGCCAGCTCTCCAACGATGCCCATAGCAGGGCCAACACGAAGCCCCTCGACAACAGCACAAACGCTGTCATTTGGTGCGAATGTCTCTAGAAACCCAGTCACCGAGACTCCAGCATCGACATCATCCGTGACCCCCGAGTAAGTCTGCCCACTTGCCGAATATCTACCAGGCACTGATAAATCACGCTCTGAGCCCCTTGGCAACACCTTCTCCATCAAGCTATGCACCATTAGTACCGATAGCACTCATGAATTACGCGAATATGACCCCAGCATCGCAAGCAATGCCTACCACCATGTCCGCCGGATATCTTCCGGGTCCCTGGACGGCCAACCCCGAAGCTCACCCCTTCTCACCCACCGCCACCATGTTCTCACCATCCTTCAGCCAAATCGAATACCCCTACTACCCAAATACCCTCCCAGTAACCCAGCAACACATATACACAGGCGGAATGGGCCCTGCGTTACAACCTCCTCCACTATTCATCCACGCACCCCCCTACTTCCACCATCATCAGCCAAGTTACCATCCCCTTCCATGTACTTTCGAAGCACACAAAAGCCCTCTTTATCCAACTTCAAGCTCCTACGCCAACACAATCCCCCGGACATTCCCATTCCCGCCGATATCTACCGTCATCATTGATAACCTCCGACCAGGGGTGGATGTACAAACCCTCAAGACGCATTTCCGTGGAATCGGCGTCATCGAACACTGCGAGATCACTCCATACGACAGCGGTAATGGTCAGCATCAGCAGATACACCATAGTTCAGGGCCCGGTCACTACGCAACGGCGACGTTTCAGTCCGCCGATGAGGCGGAGCGAGCAGTCCTCGCGTTCAACGGGACCATGCTGGCTGGGAATCAGATTGGTGTGCGTTTGGATCTGGAAGGCAGTATTATGGCCCCTCTGCCTGCTGTGGTGGAAATAGAAGACTGGTCTTCCTCAGCCACAGCATCGCCATCGTACTACCAGCACCATCATCAACCACCACCGCCACCAGCATCCTCATCCTTCCCAGGTGAAGGATGGAACATGTTTTCCCCGTCTACCTCGACCACATCGACATCATCATCGTCGACAATTGTCGCGCCATCGTCTTTTTCAGTATTAGATTCCCAACTCGAACCGGGCTCAAGACTCCGACGAGATTCCGGCAAGGAATTAGTTCATAACGAAGGCCCGGACGAGAAAGAAAAGCCCGAGCCTTCGACGACAACGACAACAACAATGATAAAAGAATCTAGTAAAAAGTCCCACTCCTATTCAGCTTCTTCTGCCATCGCGAACGCAGCGTCAACTGCAGAATGTGGTACTACCAAACATCAACCCCTGGTCGTAAACGGGTCGATGACAGGGCGCGCGAAAATGTAAGGGGACGCGAAAGAAAAATTGATCATGACCATTTCTGTTCTTGGCGAAGAAGAGCATGGGTTAGCGAGGAAGGATAAATAAAACTAGAGCTTTGTTTCTGTTCTGTTCTCTTCTTGTTCTGTGAATACTTCAATATGTGTGTTATTGACATGGTTGAGTTGAATATTGATTGCTAGATATTGGTATCAGCGTATGCACATATATATATAGATATTGATTCATTTATTACTGGAGATTTATATTATGAATTAATATTTATGGATTCTTGCTGCCTAGTGACCGGCGATCCATCGCCATATTCTTCCCAAACATGCATGTACCAAGGAAAAGCACCAAAAAGAGAACACGAAGCGGTAACTTTGGGGTTTTGAGTAGTGTTTGCAGTATATCGAAGAACTACCCGAACTTATATACATGGCCGAAGGAAGCCAGAATGAAGATCACGCCTCTCAATTCATAATTAATATGCTGTTTTGTCCATGCTATTACCTCTTAGAGCCACGAGGCGGAGGTGTGAATGAGTGCGAACGGGATTTCGACACAGATCGCGAGCGCGTGTATGAGCGTCCGCGGTTGCGTGGTGCACCGCCATCTCCGCGGACAGGAGAGAGAGATCGGGAGTATGACCGAGGTCGAGGTCGAGATCGAGATGGAGAGCGAGATGGAGATCGCGTGTAAGATCGTGGGCGGTTGCGTGCTCGCACCGGCGAACGGGAGCGAGAGACTGAATATGAGCGAGATCGCGAGCGTGAATAAGATCGGCCACGGGGACTACGGGCCCGGCCACCGCGGGGAGGAGACCGAGAGCGAGAGTATGAGGGGGAGCGAGAATATGATGCAGGTCGAGAGACGGACCGCGAATAGGACCGTCCACGATCACCGCGATCACGGTGCACCGGCGAACGTGACCGGGAGGAGGAACGGGATGAACCAGTGTAAGAGGAGTAGCTCGAGTATGAACTAACGGAATCGCGGTCAGATTCGTCGCGCGTCGCAGGCAAGGCTGGAAGCGTTGGTTTTGGAAGGTTCTTCAAATGCTCGCGCATTTCCTCGGTGAGAACACCCATGCCAACGCTGGTGAAGTAATTGATTGAGAAACGTGTGTTGCGAGGGTTGTCTAGCGGGAAGAGGCCGTCGAAGCTTGGGCGTAGAACAGGATCGGTCAATCGCTCCTTTAGTTTCACCAGACCAAGGTGCTCGGCGAGGTCTTGGAACAAGATCTTGATAAAAATACGGCTGCTAGATGTGGTTTCTTCCTCGTTCATATGAATCAAAGAAAGGACATGCCATCCGATGGCGTCGTTGCTCAAGATGTGACCGAAGAACCGGGCAATGTTGCGCAGACGATTTGTTTCATAACGGTGGATGGTTTCGTAGTACTTTGCAAACGACTCTTCAAACAAATCCGACCACAGGCGATTCAGCTTGGCAAATCGTTCACCGATCAAACCGTAGAACTTTGAGTAGGTACGCTCCTGGGAGCAACACTCAATGATCATTGAGGGCAGCTCGTGCTCCTGGCCAGGAGGAAGGGAAACCTTCATCAATTTGTGACAGCATTCTTCAAAGTCAATGCTCGACATGATGGTCAGATAGATTGTACGTCGGAGATTCACAAGGTCGGTGTTGCTTTGATCCTTGATCTCCATCTGCCTCTCCTCTTCGGCTTCCTCATCATCGGAACTGTCCTCGGATTCATCATCACTGTCGTAGTCGCTATCTTCGCCAAGAATCTCTGCCTTGAGCCTCTTGTAGGCATCTTCATGCTCTTGCCATTCGGTGTCGAATTTGAAGATGTTTAGTCCATCTTGAGTTTCGATCTCGTCATCTAATCCCACACGATGTGTGATTTGATCTTCTTCTTCGACTAGATCGAGTTCCTCACGGACAGCTGGGTTGTCTTTATACTTGTCTTTTCGTACCTGGAACAAGACTTCAATCATGTATTGCACTCGTTTATCGATATCGGCCTCGTGTAGGATGTTCCTGAACTGGTCGAACACTGCTAGGGCAATGGGCCCGCTCATCTCTTCCAGATGCTGGCCAACTTCTCGGGTCAAACCGACTGCAATCTCAACACTGTCGTCTGTAGGCTTGTGAAGCAGCAATAACAGAATCTGAGCTGCAAGCATTTCGTGGACGACCTGCTGGTTGCACAGGTGCGCAATGAAGGTGGTTGAAGAAATACAAACTGCCTTGTCGTTTCGTTTAAATGCTTTGCGGAACTGAACGATCAACCGCCCTAAGAGGAGCTCGCCCACCTGAGGAAGCTTTGTGTTGACAATAGCCGCCATGGCCGCGTAAATGGGAGTGAAGGGCAAACTGGCGGCCTGCGCCTTCATGATGCTTCGACAGAATAGACCTCGTCCACGAATCAGATTTTCACCGAAGAGCTCGGGCACGATATGTTTGATGTTAGACACGTTGATCTTGTTGATCAAGCCGTTGATTGATTTCTTCAGGGCCTCCCATGCCATCCTTTGATACTCCTTGCTGGATTTGTCTGTAATCTGGGCTTGCAAAGCGCGTAAACGAGCGGGTGGAATGTATGTTCCTCCCGACCGCATATTTAGCAGCTTTTCATACTCAGCCTTGGCCGAGGCTTGCTTCTCCTCCTCAGTCAATGGCTTTCGCGGTGCATCTTTTTTCTCTTGCTGCCGCAACCTCTCTGTGAGCTGTTGTTCCCTTTCGAGAGCGCGGTCTGCATCGAGACGGGGAACATCGTCTCTCAGGTCTCTCGAGCCGGCCCCTGGAGGCGACCGCCGACGATGAGGGGATGGCGATCGAGACGGAGGGGAACGCTTCCGCACGCTCGACGGTTGAGGTGAGTAGGACGCTCCTGGCGGAGGAGTTGGCACGCGAACCGCCGACTGAAGCACCACCGGATCCGACATGTCTGGCGCGGCCACTCTGGAGAGCGAGTTCTTGGTGAGATCAGAAGAGACCTGGCCGTAGTCGACGGCGTCGTGGCTGTCTTGTGAATCAAAAAACTCGGTGGTCTTTCCTGGACCGTAATAATTCAAGGCTCTTCACTAGCGCGCCACCTGCCTCCAGATCACGTGACAAGTATCGACCTGGCCAGTCTCCGCAAAAGGAGCTGCTGCGGACGGTCTCTCTGCCCTCTACAAATCCCCTTTTGCGTGTTTGAGAGAAATTCGGTTGCAGAGTCAACATTATGGTAAGCTGGCTTACACTTCACCTACAAATCGAGTACTGATCACAATTGCTCTGCTAGCTCGGTCCTATTGTCGGTTCCGCCATGTTGTTGGTCGCAACTGCGATCTTTCTTTACTACACGACATGGACTATACTGATGGTAATTCGATCCTACCACGCTTGCAACTTCAGACGCACAATCGACTAACTGTTTGACCAACTAGCCATTTGTCGACACGGGTCACCCGCTCCATGACCTGTTCCCTCCACGCGTGTGGGCGATCCGGATCCCTGTCATTCTCACGCTCCTGGGCTCAGCTGTCGTCGGGTCATTCCTGGGTATTGTGATGATCCGCAGCAGCAGAAGGAAGGCTGCCAAGGCCAAGGCAGCGGCGTCGAAGAAGAAGACTTAGATTGTTTGTGGACTGTGCTTGGGTGACAGGGACGGAAGAGCCATTCTCTCCATTTTATAGCAGGAGTGAGATCACAGCTGTAGGATTGTATACGATGAAGCAAGCTAGAGTAGGTCTTTTTTGGTTCCTGCATTTTACTATACCTGTTCCGCGCCAGGATCGGCTCTGCTGTACATCACTAGTTAGCTATATTATTTAATACACCACTAGAAATGTACGACGCATGGCGTGGTCGTGCGCGTACGGTAATCAGAAGATATCAGTGGCTCATCATCCTAAGAGATGGCGATGGGAACCCGTGACTGGCAGGCGTCACCTGACGCCTGCCAGGAATGACATGACTCCATCAGTTCGCATTAATAATAACATTCAGTTGCTGTCAGAAGAGGAGAAGAAGGGGGATGGCCAGTCATTCGCCCGCCCAGGGCTGACTGACCGTGGGACATCATCATCATCGCCATCATCGCCATCATGCATGTGTCAGAGTGTCCTCCAAGCACCACTGTCTACTGTATACTGTAGTTAGGGAGAGAGGAGGTACCCCACCCAAAGGCTAGTTAAAGCTCCGGACCTGGCGGCTGCCACGCCTAAGCCTGTTCTTGCCCCATCATACACCTTCCCCTCCCCCACCCTCTCTATCTTCCTCCCCCCCTTGCTCTTATCTGCCTGGACCTCTCCTCTCTCCCCTCTCCCTCCTCGACTCGACCTGCCTCGTATATACTCACTTCTCCTCACTGCTGAATATCAACACGTTGCTACCGTCATCGCGTTCTGACCTATCCTCTTCCGCTTCTCTCCACCTGCCAAGTCTTCCTATATGCTCTGCGGTTGCTACCCTGGGAGCCTGGACGCGCTCACTACTATTACTAGTTACGCAAGTTGACATCGTGTTCTGGAAACACTGCTGTCTGTACCGAGTACTTCCGCGTGTCTGCGACCGCTATAACACCGCGTACGATAGAATCCCAACCGGGCATCTCCTCACCTCATCAACACCAGCCCGGCGCCGGTTCATCCGATCTCACTAGACGCTTGCCACTGCCAACGGCCGCCGCAGCTCCAGCAGTAAGCCAGCTGCTATTGATATCTATATATCTGCACCACCAACCTCCGGCTAACTGTGTTTGGCCGGAGCTGTGTGAATGCCCCCCGCAGCATCAGAGGATTTCTTCCACCCTATTAATCACCTTTCGCTTGATAATCATACCCCGCTGTCGCAAAGCCCTGGTTCGGTACAGGAGTCAACTGGCGGCAAGAAGAAGAAGAAAGGGAAAAACAAGCATGGAACAAAAGGAAAGGATACACTGCTACCACAAACGGACCAGATGGCGGCAGACGAGTATGTCCTCCCCTAGTGACGTGATTGGTATGACACGACACTGACAAACATCGTATCTGCATTAGAATCCAGCCTTCTCCCCCATCCCAGTCCGATCCATCGTCATATCCCGGCAATGTGTTCACTCCCCCCTCTGGCAATGCCGTCATCTCTCCGGCATCCCCGGTCCTAGGGGCGTTGGATCCCATCAACAACAACAACCCTGAGAGCGATACCGTCCTAAGGACAGACGCATGGGCAAAGTCCATTCCATTCGGGAAAAGCCCTCCAAATGACATTTTAGACCCGGCCTTTGCCAGTGGTTCTCCCCACAGTATACCAAATACACTCGAAAGAGCTGCGTTTGGGAGCCACATATCATCATCAGCGTCTCCTCCTATAGCTCCGACGAGGCCGATGAATTATGGTCCAGTTGGCATCGGATCACCACGCCATCCATCTATTGATAGACAAAAACGTCACTCAATGGGTGCTCACTTTCAAAGCCAACCACCACTGCCACACCTGCCCCAAGCCCATTTCTACGGTGCTCCAGAAATCGACATTCCATCTCCACACAGGTCTGGTGCTGGCAGCCAGTACTCCTTTTGTGGGTGGGACTCTATCCCGGGCCCTTTTCTGAAGACAAGCAAAATCGGCGGCAGAGTGCTCTTGGTTGGCACTGATGGGGAGCTCCACGTCATCGCGATAGAAAGCCAGAAAACACGTACGGTCGGGACACTGACCGGTCTCAATGGACGCGTTCTTGACGCAAAAATTTTAAATTATGCTTCGAGACCCGACCCATATGCATCGTCTCGACCTCATGTGGCTGTTATCATACATGGCCCGGTGGCCCATAAAGACGAACCTGGAGACACTTCCTCGATTGGTTCGGAGCAGAACGAAATTCTCCCAGGCCTACCCGGAAAGTCGGTGCCAAGCGAAAAGCCACAGAATAAAGAAGACACCCTATATCAGACAAGAGTGGAGATATATTCCGTCAAAACTGGGGATCACATCATGAGCCTTTTCCAGAGCAAACCTGCACCCTGTTTTGAAAGTTATCCCAATCTATCTTTGCTTGCCCCAGCGCCCGTTGGGAGCCTAAGACTGTATACCACCACAAACTACGTCATTGTAGCTTCAGGGGTCAGCGGTGAGGTCTTCATCTATGGCATTGTGTCGTCTGGATCTGCCGCTATGTATCAGTGTCTCGGAAAAACATGGACTACGATACAGTCCAAAGAAGTCAGACGCTACTCCACTTCTTCTAGTTCTACAGACCATGATGGATCTCAAGCTGATAGCCAACATGGGCCTGGATCTTCAGAAAACCCTATCATTTCGCTCAGTGGACGGTGGCTTGCTGTTGTTCCACCTACGTCTTCGTCCAGAGCACCGCCCTTGGGATCTGTCCCACAGCAGTGTACACAGAGGAAGATCCACGGCCTAGACACACACATCCCACCATCTAAGCCGACTATAAATTGTGCCACAGACGTGGGAGACGGCGAAAGTCTGTTCGATAAAGTTGCCAGAGGCGTCACCCAAGAGCTTTTCAAGGGTGCCCGATGGATGGGTGATCAAGGTCTGCAAGCGTGGAACAATTATTGGAATAAAGATCAGCAGGCAAGTCAAGGTGGTAACCGACGCTCTTCTCCCTATCCCGACACCCAGCAGGGAACACATGCCCTGTTTCCGCCCACTCATGGTCAAGAAACGTCTGGGGCGTCATCTTCTGAGCCAGACTTGGTTTCAATAATCGATCTGAAAAGACTCGAACACGGACAAGACCCTAAGGGGACTTCTCCAGTGCCATTTGCAACCTTTCAAGCTCCCAATGGATGCAGCTATCTTTCATTCGCGCCCAACGGCCACATGTTGCTAACTGCAAGTAAAAAGGGGGATGTCCAATATGTGTGGGATCTTATGCAGGCCAAAAACTGCAGAACAGCTGCATTCTTGTCTGATGATTTAACCGGCAACAACGCCTCTACTTCCCATGTACGGCTGATAGCAAGGTACTCTCGGTTAACCACTTCGAACATCATTGATATCGTTTGGGCGTATCCCACTGGGGAGAAGTTCGCAGTTCTTACTCGGAAGGGCACAGTCCATGTTTACGACATCCCTCGAGTAGCGTTTCAATGGCCACCTCTTCGACGAGTACAAGCGAAACCTAGCCGACCGCAGTTAGAAGACCCGGCATCATCCACCCCAGAATCGGAAGGGGTAGGATCTGCCAGCCCGTTTGTGAGTGCTATGAAGTTCATGGGAGGGACTACGCAGCCGATTCTCGCTGCTGTCCGAGGTCGTGCCCCTAGTGTAGGAAGCAGCTTTTCTGGGACTCCTAGTTTTGGTATCTCGTCGGCAGCTGGAATTGGCGGCAAAGCTGTTGCGGCTGGTTTGAGCAAATCTATGGGGGCTGCTACTGGCACGGTGAGCACGCTGCGACACGTAGGGGAAAACCGATTGCACTTGACTAGCTTCGGTAGGGACCCTATGGCATCTCGCGTTACGTGGGTCTTGATTCACAATGAGAGTCTGTTGGGCGTAATTGATTACGGCTCATTCAAGATATATAAGGTCAAACGCAGCACAGATAGAAATAAAGCTCGGCGTCACCAACCCGTCATTGGGGGCAAAGTAGCAGAGATGAAACTGCCAGAGTATATGCAAAACCCTTCTGGGCCTCTGCAAATTGGCCTCCCAATGGATGATAAGGTGGTCGGAAGCTGGTCATCACCACTGGCTACATCCCATCCTTCATCGGTTACGAAACTAAGTTCCCAGCCACTCTCCCAGGCCGAGATCGAGACCAACACTCCTTATCAACCATTCCATACAGACCGGAGAGTCACACTGAATGTTATCATTGACCCTACATCAGCAGCAGGGCCTCCATTAGGCTCATGGGTCTTTGGAAATGATATTCAGACGCAGAAGCTTCATGTTCAACCTCTACCCCATAGTGATGATGAGGAGCTCACTGGCCAGATGATGGGAAACCCAGAAATGGAAAATTTGATCAGTCTCGGTAATGGCGGGGATCAAGTTGAGGAAGTTGTCATCACAACAAAGCGAAAGAAGAAAACCTCCGCTGCATTATCGCCTACTGGTCACCGGGACGACGACGACGGGTTCTTTGAAGATGACTGCGACGTTCTGGACTTTGCCCAGGACAGAGTTTAACAGATTGTAACTCGCATTTTCTTTTATGTTCTTTTCTTGGTACTCATTTTGCCGACATTCTAGACACCTGGGCTTCGTGGAGTTAGAAATCGTACTGGGTGGGATTTTAATGATCAGGAGTTTGGGTTATTATTTCTGAAAGCATATTTGTGCGCATATTTGTTCAACACATTATTATGATGCTGCCACAGCCATCTGAATTTGGAGCTGGTTTGCAGCTGCCTATGACATCCAATACCCCTCTGTTCTGTTCTGTTCACTCGTTCTGATGCAGCCACAGCCATCTGAATTTGGAGCTGGTTTGCAGCTGCCTATGACATCCAATACCCCTCTGTTCTGTTCTGTTCACTCGTTCTGATGCATTCTGGGACGTTCCGTCACCACTCTCTAAATATCGAAACGAGAAAAAAACTTGCATAAAGGAGAAATCTACAAAACAGGGCTAGCTATCATTAGAGTACTCGATTGAATCACTGTTTCTGTTTAGCATCAAGTTATATTATAATCATTCATGCAATAACAGCCGTCTCATCAACCCACCACTTTTTGAACTCGCGTAGCCGTTTCGTCCGCTCCGCTGCCATCGCCCTCCCGGTATCCGTCTTCATCATACTCTCCAACTTCTCCAATTTCTCCCCAAAATGCTCAATCGACTCCTCCAACTCCCAACCCTCCACCCTGCCCTCCTGCCTCCTCTTCTCCCCCTGCGACCCCAGATACGTAAACGTGCGCGCAATCCCCACTGCGCCAATCGCATCTAGCCGATCGGCATCCTGCACAACTGCCAACTCCCGATACCGCTCGTCGACAAGTAGATCCCGCACTTTCTGCGGATTCCTGATTTCGTGGGAATACGAGACGTGCGAGACGATCGTCTGCACTCGTTCGGCAAGCGCTGTGTCGGCGCCGTGGGATTTGAGGATGTTGTAGACCATACGCGTGGGATCACTCGTCTCTTTTTTATTAGTATCATTACTTTGATTGGTGCTTGTCTCTGGTAGGTATTTGTGATCCCCGATGTCGTGCAGTGTGGCCGCCAGAGTGATGATGGTCCGGTCGTAGTTGATCGCTGTATCTGGGTGACGAGAGAGCTCGCCTTCGAGAACCTGGTGAGCGAGCCTGACCACGCGGTGCACATGTGCTGGGTTGTGCGATGGGTCGTGGCCGGACATGGATTGGGTCATATATCCTGTCATAGCCTCGAGGAGGGGTTGAGACATTTCACCTGAGCCTATTCGATGAACCTATTCAATGCAAGGATTTGAATTATATTGAAGGAATCTTGTGGTTCGTCTCTTCACAAGAGAAAATTTTGTATAGAAGTAGTATGGATCAATATTGAAATTTATGAGGGTGGTGCTGAAATCAGGCATCAGCCGCGAAAATTACTCGAAAAATACAGCTTGCTCCGGTATTATTCAACACCGAGTAAATAGTCAATGAAGAAATGATTTCATTGGGCAATACGGTGCGCAACTGGCACTATGGGGCTATACCGCAATAGGCAGCATGCTCCTTCCTGCAATATCGTCGCCTGGTGATTGCACAGTGCATACAATTGCTTGATTTTTGACGTTGTATTTTTATGCTGAGGGCCATCAATCGCGTTAATGCCGTTCAGAATAAGTTAGAAGGTGGTATACATTAATTATGAGTGGTATAACTACACGTATATCTGAGAAATACAAATGGAATGAATCATCAGTCACAACAACACTTCCCTCTCGAGCTGCGCGGCGGCAGAATCTGCATATGACCTGGTGACAGCTCATAGCATGATAGCAGCAACAATGGCGCCAACAATACCAGCACCTCCAAGTTGAACGCCAATTTGACTGGCAGCACCCGTATGGCTCGCAGTAGCACTGCTACCACTAGCGGTAGAGCTGGTAGAGCCGGTGGACGAGGAGCCTGTGCTCTTGGCAGTGCCAGACTCAGATGCAGAGGCTGCGTGATCCAACTGTGTTAGTGTTTGGAAGCTATAGACAATACGTTGAATCACTTACAGCCCGTAGCAGTGGCCTCGCTGGCAGAAGCACTGGCGGCACTGGCGGCACTGGCGGCACTGGCAGCACTGGCGCTGATTTCAGCAACCAAGCCAGTGGCTGGGAAGAAGTCCGAGTTGTAGCACGATTGTTCGCAGCTGGCGTACCTGTCAGTGTCGGCAGGGCTTCCATTTCCTTGCGGACAGGCGGCGACACAGGCGGTGGTATCGTTGGCCATGGAGTTATTGGGGCATGGCACTTTGTAGCACTTGGCTTTGCAGCACACATCGGCAGACTCGCCTGTAGAGGTATTTGGATTAGCTATAAAACAAGGAGAATGGCGGCTGAGAGGAAGCTACTCACAGTTCGTAGCGCAAGAAGCCTCTGGAGACAAGGACGAAGTTGTCTCGGTGGCAGGAGAGCCCGTGGCAGTTTGGGAGGCGGCAATGGCAGCCAGGCCAGAAAGTGCGAGGATGCTGAACTTCATTTTGAGAGTTTGGGTTGTTTCAGAGCAGACTAGGTTGGAAATCTAATGGAAGTCAAGAGATCAAACGAACTTATGATGGATAGAGCAAGCGAATGTGAGATGTGAGGGCACAAGAGAGTGGGAGGACGAGAAAGGAGGAAGCTGCCCTCTCCTGGCATTTAATATTTAATATGAGAACGATTCCTCCTGTTGCTACTATAGCTTTGTTTTGCATTCCTTCCTAGCAGCCAGGCCCTACGGCTCCACTGCGCGGCTGCTGATTGGGCCCGAGGCGAAAACAAAGACAGGGATGTCTGCTATTCAAATTATTGCTACGCACTAGTATTATTATTGTTATTCTTGTAGTGCCAGGGTTAATATTTCTTCACAGGGATGGGTTGGGAGCCCCTTGAACCTGCAATCGGACGCCGAGTAGATGAGCATGACCATCACCAGTTCTGGTTGTTATACCTATGTATGACATGTAGAAAATCCGGGGAAATCGCCTGCGGATCGATCATCCGCTAAAAGTAGTCCAGCACTAAGCAAAAGCAAAATACTTTAAATGGAGCTGATGCCTGGGCGCCTGAGCACCGAGGCACCAAGGCAGTCAGCCATCCCCCATTTCATCATGCATTGTAGCGTTTGCTTTTCCTTTTAACAGCCAGCTGACCGAGGTGTTGTAACTCGTGTTGCGAACCAAACACAACAATTGCTCGACACACCGAAGAATACCGCTTATTGGTCGGGCTATGCAGAAGTCATGTTCTGGAAATGACAGCATTAATCTAAGGCTGTCTTGGATATTTGGAGGACAGGGAGATCCGGTATGCCTTGACAATCGTGGCAAGTCAGGAAGAATTGTAGCAGTGCGAGGTGGCTACAATATATATAGTCAAGAGTGTTCTACAGCAGCTCTCTGATACACCATATCTCGTGTGTGACAAGACTGAAGCTGCTAAGGGCAAACAAAGGAAGCGTTGAACGGCAGCCAGACTGCCCAATGTCCCCACCTAAACCAGAGACTGACGACAGTGAGGATATACATTTGTATACAAGAGTACGAATTAATGAATTCAGCTTTCGAGTTTCTCAGCGATTGGTTACGCACCAGCCGACCAAGGAGCACTTCATTTCCCCGCAGCTATTACGTCTAATACAAGAGAGTGGACGTCAACCAAGTTCATCCCTTCCCTATAGGCATTCAGACCGATATGAACCGTTCACTAAGTATTACTCACTCAGAAGTCAGCTCGCATGAGTGGTCATTCCTAGAAGGCGGATGGGCTCCTTTGGCGGTTACTCCCTGCATATTCGGAGCGCCTGTAAGCGAACCACATCCATATTAAACAGAGGTAACAGCACACCTCAGAATTTTCCGTCCAATGTTACCGAAACATACAGCGCTGGGTGGATAGAGAACGAATAATGGCAGACGATCTGGGTATGAGGCTCTTGTACTGACCGCATTTGTCGACTAGGATACTCACAGCCAACATATTAAAATTTATTGCTTATTTACAGTTGTATTGAGACAAGAAGCTTGGTGCCTTGGCGCCTCAGCACTAAGGCATAAATGCATTTTCCGCTAGTATAGTTATAGAAGGTTGATGGATCACGTGCTTTCGTGTTGGCGCGCCGCCGACCGCGTCGCGATCATTGTGATTGTCGAGTGAAGCCTTCTTCTCCTCATGCATGGTGGTGCATCCAAAATGTCTGACACTTTCAGCGAGATTGACGATGATGAAATTATTGTGGCAAGTCAGTCAAGTGCCTTTGATCCCTGCGCCAGTGACTCCGATTTACCGCGTCCATCGAAAAGACGACGTCTAAGCAACGACGCCTCCACGAATGCACCTCGCGAAAAGGTCTCAAGTCAATCGAGTGATGATGAACTGGAAGAGTTCGACAATGGAGATTCCGATGGTAGTTTGCCATTGCCACGACGGCACCAACATTCGGGAGACGACGAAAGCGACGACGGATACCACTCCAAATACAAGATATTCGTTCCAAAGATATCAAGATTGCAAGAGAACACATTCGTTTCGCAACTAACACAACCTCACTCCAGTCCATCCCGAATTCGCGGCCCTCGCTGGAAAAAGCCGGACGAGAAGGTTCAGCAAACTGTGACGCCGGAAACCAGTGTTGATCATGCTCGAGACGGAGACAAGAACATCGGAGAGAATGACGACGATCTACAGGCTGCCATAGCAGCATCGTTAGAATCTTTTGCGGAGGAAGGCAATATGGAGGAGGGCATAAGGGTGGATCCCCAGAATACGACAAATACAGCCCAACCTGCCCCGGCTCAGAAGGAAGAGGCAGGATTCGATCTGGACGATATCCCTGACGATGCATTTGACTCGTCTCCATGCTTGTCGCCCAAGAGAGGGCCTGACACATCTGCCCCCGTGTCTCATGCTCAGAATAGAGGCCTGCAAACACAACGTGCAAATCTTCGCCAGACGACATTGTTTCATCTAGCTACAAGGGACCCTTCACAACCAGTCCGTAGCTGGTCGCCTCCTCCTAGAGATGAACCACCAACCCATCACGATTTAGACACTGAAGCAATGCGGACTTGGGTGTACCCTACGAACCTAGGCAGGATTCGAGACTATCAATTCAACATCACTCAAAAAGGTCTATTCTACAACCTTCTGGTTGCACTGCCAACAGGATTAGGAAAGACATTCATTGCTGCCACGATTATGTTGAACTGGTTTCGTTGGACGAAAAAAGCCCAGATTGTTTTTGTCGCGCCCACGAAACCACTGGTGACACAGCAGGTAACGGCCTGTCTAGGGATTGCAGGAATTCCTCACTCTCAAACGACGCTATTAACCGGAAATGTACCGCCGGGTATCAGAGCCGAAGAATGGCAAACAAAACGCATTTTCTTTATGACCCCCCAGACTCTGATAAATGATCTCAAGACTGGAATCGCTGACCCAAAACGTATTGTTTTACTTGTGGTTGATGAGGCTCATCGGGCGACAGGTGGATACGCTTACGTCGAGGTGGTGAAATTCCTGCGACGCTTCAACCAGAGCTTCCGAGTGCTGGCCTTGACAGCCACTCCTGGTTCCACAGTCGAGGCAGTCCAAACTGTTATTGATGGTTTGGAGATAGCGAGAGTAGAAATTCGTACAGAACAATCTCTGGACATTAGAGAATACGTTCACGCTCGTAATGTTGACGTTCAGACTTTTACTAACACTGAGGAGATGCATCTTTGTATGGATCTTCTCTCGAAGGCATTACAGTCGAGCGTGGATCAACTTCGCTCTCTAAACGCCTACTGGGGCCGTGATCCAATGGCCCTTACTGCATATGGTCTCACCAAAGCACGGCAGCAGTGGATGACTTCTGAAGTGGGAAGAAACGCACACTTCGGTTTAAAAGGGAAAGTCAACGCTCTTTTTACTGTTTTGGCTAGCCTAGCCCATTCTATCGATCTACTAAAATATCATGGCATTGTCCCCTTCTACAAACACCTAATATCCTTCAGGTCTAATACCGAAGGTCAGAAGGGCGGTAAATACCAGCGTGCAATCGCACAGGATGATCACTTCAAAAAGCTCATGAATCACATTGAACCGTGGAGTAGAGATCCTGAATTTATCGGTCATCCAAAGCTGGAATATTTGAGAGAGGTTGTTCTCAATCATTTCATGGATGCTGGAGAGGGTACTGATCAAGCAACAACCTCAAACACAAGAATCATGATCTTTGCGCATTTCAGAGACAGTGCCGAGGAAATCACGAGAGTACTGAAGAGACACGAGCCAATAATACGACCGCACGTTTTCGTTGGACAAGCCAGTGCTAAAGGTTCAGAGGGCATGGACCAGAAGACACAGTTAAGTGTTGTTGAGAAATTCAAGAGTGGCACGTACAACACCATTGTTGCGACATCAATCGGTGAGGAAGGCTTAGATATCGGAGAAGTCGACCTCATTGTGTGCTATGATTCTTCTGCGAGTCCAATTCGGATGCTCCAACGTATGGGTCGTACCGGCCGAAAGCGCGCTGGTAATATTGTTTTATTGTTGATGCAAGGAAAAGAAGAAGAATCGTACAGCAAAGCCAAAGATAACTACGAAAAGATGCAAGAACTCATTGCCAGTGGGACTCGTTTCGCGTTTCACGAGGAGACATCAACACGTATTCTCCCCAAACATGTGAAACCCATTGTTGATAAACGAGAAGTCGATATTCCTCCTGAAAACTCACAGCAAGAGCTGCCGGAGCCAAAGAAAAAAGGCCGGGCTCCCAAACGACCCCCGAAAAAGTTTCATATGCCGGACGACGTTGAGACTGGTTTCAGGAAGGCTTCTCGCATTGGGGACAGCGGGAATGCTGATATACTCACCATGGTCGCGAAAAAGACGAAAAGGCCAGCATCCACTCCACCTCCGCAAACTGTCGAGGTTCCGTCTACCCATGAAGTGCTACTTACACCCAAAGAAGAGAGGGAATTGGAAATCAGATACCGTAATGTGGGAGGTACCACGCCTCAGTTTATCCGTCGACCTCGGAATGATGCTTTCCCTCAGCTTCAGCGAACCCTGCGACCTACCAAACTGGTTGGCCATGGATCCTTGACACGACGAATGGTGACTGCTTTAGACAAAATAAATACAACGCACCCGAATTGTGAAGATCGATATAGTTCTGTTTTGGAAAGGATCCGACAGAATGCTTCTGCAGTATCTGTAAAACAAAAAGAGACTGGAAAGAAGGCACATGCATCTATCAAGAAAAACGCGAAAAAGGCCGACGATTCGAAATTGCTTCCTGTGGGCTCGAAGTCCGCGAAAAGTAATGCAAATCCTATCATCAACGGCTCGTACGCACCCCAAAGAGAAGCCAGTCCTTCCTCTTCGCTGATGTGCTCCCCTGGTGCTGCTGTCGGTTCCAACGAAGATCTTTTGAATATGTCTCAAATCATTGTTGATGTCGATGACGTCGATTTTGATCTCCCAGACATTGAAACCCTTGCTAAACGGACGAGTGGCGGCAAAGCTCGTAAAAGACAGCGACTTATTATTGATGATGACAATGATGACGATGGATTCCTTTTCTAGCCCTGACTGCTTTTGTTTCATATCCTGTTAGTGGCTTTGGATACGGATTTCAGTTGTATTGGGCTTTCTGGATAACGATGTACATGGAAATTTATAATTCTGATATTCAATTTTACCGAAGAAAATACGGAATTAAAAACAAGGCATTTTTATTAAGTTTTATCCCTTTACTAATGATTTACTAATGACATAGATGGTTGCTGTTTTGGAAGGTCAAGCCTCGTAGTAGTGTTGCAGCGGGCCGCCAAATACATACATCGCTCCACGACCCCCAACTTTAACTAATCTTCATGACTCCGGACAGAGTCAACACACTCTACCCTCTCTGCAACCATGGCGGATACACAATTCGACAGCGCCCTGTAAGCAGTTACTGGTTCTACCCTATGCCTCCATTCATCCTGCCATAAACTCTCCCTCCTCATCCACAACCATCCCGCACCATCATCCAGCTCCAATCAACCCCGCGCTTCCCACCCTTCCACAAGCTGACGAACCTCGCAAACAACCAGTGACCTTCTCCGCCGGCTCTCGCCGCGCGACACAGGCGACAACCTACAATCCATCACAACCCTGGTCCCCGATCTAACGGAAGACCTCCTCGCCTCCGTCGACCAGCCGCTCGAGCAACGGCGGTGCGCCAAGTCGAACCGCGACTACCTGCTTTGCGACTACAACCGAGATGGCGACAGCTACCGATCACCCTGGAGCAACGAATTCGACCCCCCGTTAGAAGATGGTACAGTACCCAGTGAACGAGTGCGCAAACTCGAGGTTGCTGCCAACGAGGCTTTTGACGTGTACCGAGAATTGTACTATGAAGGTGGCATCGGGAGTGTTTACTTCTGGGATTTAGATGATGGCTTTGCCGGGGTTGTCTTGCTGAAAAAGGGTATATTATTTTCTTGCGTGTGGTCGCGGTGAGAATACTGATTTTGGTTTGGTCTGCAGGTGTTACCCCCGGTGGAAAGAGCTCCGGAGCGTGGGATAGTATCCATGTCTTTGAAGCGACCGACCGTGCACGCATGTCGCATTACAAATTGACTAGCACTGTCATTCTACACCTGGCTAATGAGTCGGATGCATTGGGAGAAATGGACCTTAGTGGAAATATGACTCGGCAAGTAGAGACTGATCTTCCCGTCGAATCTGACGCCAGCCATGTCGCGAATGTGGGAAGGCTTGTCGAGGATATGGAACTGAAGATGAGGAATTTGCTACGTACGTTGAGGTTCAAAGTATGATATGAGGATGGATACTGATGGCTACAAATAGAGGAAGTTTATTTCGGAAAGGCAAAGGACGTCGTTGGAGACCTCCGAAGTGAGTACATTATTGTCTAGTATTTTGGTGGTGTCATCTAATTTCGTCTGCTATAGGTCTTGCACCCTTGTCAGAGACGAGCCAAGAGAGGGCTGCTCACCGAGAGATGATCAACTCGATGGGCAAGAAATAAAGGGACTGTCTTGGTGGTGGTCGAGACGAATCTTATGACGAGCTGCAATGAACGATTTGTCTGCGAGAAGCCTTCTTATAGTCTTGGCCTGAAACACGTCGGAGTTTTGTAGATATCCGAAGAAATTCTCTCTATAAGGTTTCACAAGACTTCAAAACTTCGTATGATCATTCCATTGGGCTTATATCCATGCCAATTCGAAGATCTCCATGGCAACGTCAGATTTCTGACATAGACCTGAATATCAAACAGACCATTTGAATTGATCAACAAAGCTTAGCCCTGTGTATCCTAAATCAGACAGCTCGTGCTCGTTATCGTGTATGGTTTGCTTTTGAAGCCTGCGTCGTCTAGTCATGTCGATATAAATTTCAGTCAGTGTCCATTTTCTCCTCGTCATGATTTTGGTCGCGTAATCTTTTAACCAGCTCTCTGGTGGTAGCCCACGATTCAGCTTCCTTGTCTTTGCCCACAGTGTCCTTACGACTGTTTAGCCAACTGATTTCGAGAGGATTGAACACCCCCGCCGCCGTCCCGCTTCCACCTGCAGCAGTAGACCCAGCTGTTCCCACCGCTGCATCCCCTCTAAACGACCCGCTGGCAGCCACAGACTCTGCATCAAGTATTCCTGCTTCTTCTAGCGCATACACTTGTCGACGTAGTCGAACATCAATCGACGAGAGGAGGGCGAAGTATTGGGAGGTCGCAGTCTTGAAGGCTGCTTTGCGCTCCTCAATGGAGCTTCCTGATGCGGCACTGGATTTGTCATTTGCGAGCGCCTGAATAGCAAGCCCAGCTGAGTTCACGAGTTTGGCAACATCCTACGCGCAATGTTCATGTTAAGACTGTTCTCTTCCTAAGCTTTGGTTGGATCGTACCTTGTCAATGTCGTTCAATTGCCTGATTCGGTCGGCAGAAGAGAATGTTTCACTCTTCGCACTGGGTATTTCCTCCATCTCGTCTCACTTTTGCAGGGATACTTGACCGCGTTGTGTATATTGTTCTTGGGAGAGAAGCTTCGAATCACGTGTGCCGGGGAAGTTTCCCACTAGTGCGCCTTCTCTAGTCCTAAAGAAGACTAGCGCATTATCAAAAGCCTCCCTGGCCGCTTTCAAGTTTGTATCCGTGATACAACTTCCATCAATCCAATCTGAGTGATATCATCCAGGCATGTCTCAGTCTGCGCGGGAGTACTTCATTGAATAATTTCACACGATATTTAAATCTCTTCAACCGCCGGAGAAACGGCCGACAAGCGCCATGTCTGCGCCCGGTGGTGGTGCTCCAAGCCCTGCTCCTCGCAGCGGTAGCATTGGCCCGAATACCTCCATGCAGCCACTACCTCCTCAGCAGCCCATGGCTGCTAATCCTCCTGTAGTGCATACGCCAACAACTCCGGGGCCTTCAGGACCCCCCCCGGTGTCTCAGCAGAATCTTAATCAAATTGTGAGTGTACTTTATGTTGATGTTATGTGTTTCTTGAAATGTAAGGGGAAAGAAAAAGATGGCTAGTCTCGTCTATTTTAATGCTGGTTTGCTGTATCGCCCATGAAATTTGATTTCCACTATCGAGAAGTTGTGCAGGTGTGTAGCTTTTACAGTCTGCATTATTTCTGTGGAAGTCCCTCATCTGTGTTTCGGTCATCTTGTCACAAGCATACATAGCACTGAAAGGGAAACCAAAGGTGAATGGCTTTTAGTTCATCCTTTGATCTTCTGACCTATGAATGCTGTGAGAGGACAGACCAATCCAGCCTTCCAGCCTCTCTTGGCAATATCACATTGATGCCTGTTTGTATCCGTTTGAAAAAGTACTCGAGATACCCCGCCACGTTTATATGGTCTTATCATTCCACTCATATTTGATTCATCTCAACACCTCGTTTCTTTCACACCTGGCTATCGTTCCTCAAATCTAAAGTTATGGCGACATTGCGAGACCAACGGCTCTTTGAGGCGGCCGTCCGAATGGTAAAGCCATCGAGTTTTGCATAGAATTTGGATCCCCATAACTCATGACCCTATTTTCCATCCCGTTTACCCCTCCTGTCTTGCTTTTTGGAGAGTGTGTCAAAGGGATATCAAAGCTCTGCTTCCACTGCCACTACCTTCCATTGTTCTCCGTTCTACTTAACCTTTTCCAAATTGTTTTTCTCATCTTCTTTTCAGATATTGACTTACCATGCTTTTATCCACAGGTCATTGACTACCTGGCCAAAAAAGGCTACACCAGAACGGAGGCAATGCTTCGTATGGAGTCAGCCAGTCAAGAAATAGATGGCCGATCTTTACCCCAGTCTAACGAGAATCAACGGCCCAAGTACCAAGCTGGTTTTGGTATGTTTGATGTTATTTATTTTGGATGTTTTCAGACACTGACATCTGAACTGGCAGATCTTTTAAAGGTTTGGATTGAAGATAATCTTGATCTGTACAAGGTACGATATCTTGGGCTCGATTAATTTTCGTTCTATTAACGGTCTTTTAGCCCGAACTTCGACGTGTTCTTTGGCCTTTATTTGTGTATTCCTTCTTGGATTTGGCGACAGCTTTATATCCACAAGAGGCAAAGCAGTATTTTGAAACGAATAACAATCTCTTTCTTCCCGAACATGCAGAGGATATACGCACACTGTCAAAAATTACTTTGCCCGAACATGTTCAAGACAACTCCACTGCCAAATTATATCGCTCCAACAAATACCGTTTGATTCTTAGCAACCCTGCATTTTCAAATTTAATGCAATTCTTAGAGAACAAACAAAAGGAAGGAGGATCTGTGATGTCGGCAATTCTGAGTAGTTATTGCAATGTCACCACCAAGGATCGGGCTTCCGACGACCGTTTTAGCTTCGCGGCTATGTTGGGTCGTTCTGCGGAGACTCACACATTCCCTGCGGAGGACGAGGGTATTCCAGGTCACCACCCTGGATCGGCCTATACTGGCGATAACCCTGCAATGACAGGAACTCTGCCTAGGCTAAAACTTGGAAAGTTCCCTCCGGAACCCGAACTAGAGAGTGATGTTCGTGCAGAGCTTGAAGAGGAGGACTCAAATAATCCTCCTCCCCCGGTAGAAACACTCTTGTCCAAGAGTATGATCAAATGATTAAAAAAGAGGAGGATGAAGAGGCTCCTACGCGGGCAGAAGTCCCATTTCCGCCATCTACCGCGCGTGACGTTGCCATGGAGGTTCAGCGAGTCAAAGAGAATCGCGATCGGTTCCGTATTGAAGGCCGTTCTGGTGGTGTTGGCGTTGCATGCTCTGTTTGCATGTTTACATTCCATAATACTCACGATCGGTAAGTCTATATTTCCATCTGTGGCAAATCCCAGACCTAACTTCTCTATCTAGCATGATATGTATCGACTTCTCTGATGACAATATGCTGGCCGCTGCTGGCTTTGAAGATTCATACATCCGAATATGGAGTCTTGATGGCAAGGCCATCAGACCCAGCCACGAAGGCGTGGAAGAGATTACAGGCACTCCTTCTAACTCGAAACGTTTGTTCGGTCATTCTGGCCCTGTTTATGCCGTGAAATTCGCTCCCTCGGCTCCTCGTTCAGAGGGCGAGATCGCTCCTACCAATGCACGTTGGCTACTCTCCTCATCAGCCGATAAAACTATTCGACTCTGGTCATTGGATTTGTACCAGTGTATGGTAATCTATAAAGGCCACGACCAGCCTGTCTGGGATCTTAGCTGGGGACCATATGGCTATTACTTTGTATCTGGAGGACTTGATAAAACTGCTCGTCTCTGGGCAACCGATCGGATTCGTCAACAGCGAATTTTCGCTGGCCATGATCAAGATGTTGACTGCGTTTGTTTCCATCCAAATTCGGCATACGTCTTTACAGGGAGCTCAGATCGTACTGTTCGAATGTGGGCAGTGACTACCGGAAATGCAGTACGCATGTTCACTGGCCACACTGGCAACATCACAGCTCTGGCGTGCAGTCGCAATGGAAAGTATCTTGCATCTGCTGATGACCAAGGCTCTATTTTCTTGTGGGATTTGGCTCCTGGCCGTCTTTTGAAACGTATGCGTGGTCATGGAAAGGGCGGTATCTGGTCACTAGACTGGAGCGTTGAATCGACTGTGCTGGTATCTTCTGGTGCTGACAATACTGTGCGAGTCTGGGACATTGCGCCTCCAGCACCCGAACCAACAACAAACCAAGCACGACTGACGGCTGAGAATGGCACGGGCACGAAAATCGACGCCAATTCCAGCACTTCCAGCGGCCAACCGTCTGCTTCAGTTGGCCCTGGCAGCAGCAAAAAGAAAGGAAAAGAGAATGTAGTAACACCTGACCAGATCAGCGCGTTCCCGACGAAGAAGAGTCCCGTTTACAAGGTCAAATTCACGAATATGAATCTGATTATTGCCGGTGGTGCTTTTCTGCCTTAGAGAAGCGTGGATTTGAAGATAATTTTATTCACATGACATCGGTATGCGCTACTTGAACCGGCGGCGATACCCTGGCGTTGGGCACTTGGGCACGGCTTGGAGTTGAAGGTTTCATTTCCTTTCTCGTTTTATTTTCAGATTACTGGTGCTAGGGAGGGAACTAGTATTATTTAAAAACATATATGATAAACTTCGGAACCTGCAGCAGAACCATTGAATGATCTCCTTTGCTCTTACTGATTAAGCTGTTCTACATCAACTGGTAAATAGAACTTTAAACGACCAATCGATTGAATCCTACACCTCACTTATGTAACTTCAGATTGTCTCGCGTTTGCGGAACTCGACAACGTACTGTCCAGAACATTCCTCACCACAGAGTTACGCTGGAGGAAGCGCTTTTTCTCCCGGCGACCACGCTCCATTACTCCACACCGTCTCGGATATGGCAGTCACCAACGCCCCCTGCTGCAAATAGACGCGCAGATTCAATCCATTTGGCCCTCTACCCGATGATATAACTGCAATCTGCATTCCTGGAGTGCTGGCTTGATCGAAGTCACCGTCATACCAGGCGGTACCAGTATAGTGCACTCGCTCTACCACATGGTTGTCAGTTGTGGTATAATACACGCGAATGCAGATACTATCGCCGAAGCTGGTGAGGGCAATGGCAGTGCGTGGAGGCGCACTCTGTGAAGTGAATGTTCCAGAAGACCATCCGGTATATGCATCGTAGGCTTTCTCAACAATGTTGGAGCTGATTTCTTGGATATAGGTCCTGGGGAAAACTCATGTCGAGGTCAGTTGCTGATGGTATGTTATCTTCAAGTGAGGAATTGAATAAAAATTGCACCTGATACTCAATTGCGACTTTTGGAACGAGGTGCTTGCAATGCCCGAGCCAGGTAGAGCCTGGCTGAGGTTCACCCCTTTTGACCAGCCCTTTTCATCGGCTTAAAAATGAAACTGGTTTAGTTTAGAGACTGGCCGTGAAGATTGGAGCGCTGGACCACATACAATTCCAACCAAACTCCTGAATGGTATTATCGTTCAGCTGCGCATACACCCTCAGCAGCAATTGGTCAGTTCCAGCAAGGAAAACTGCCGCGAGCTTCGAATAGGGGGCGACAGTGACGCCCACCATGCTGAGCTGGCCATCGTACCATCCGGTACCAGCATCATAGGCTGCTTCTTTGAGGGTATTGTCCTGGGAAACATAATATACTCGGATCTGAACTATTACATTAAAGTTGATGCTATTATGTCGACAATGCATTTAAAACACATACATGGTTCAGCTCCTTAGACGTAGCAGCAATCGGTGAGCCGATCGTCGCCTGAGCGATCACATTACTGGGTTGTCCCCCTGCCCAGCCATTTTCATAGCTACTCTCACGGATGCTTTCAGCAGTGTCTTTAATGTAAACACGGAGGTGCGAAGTGGAACTAACAGCGGCAATAGCCGTTCCTAGTGGAACATTGGATAGAGGTACGCATGTTGATACCAACTGCAAGGAAAAGGTGATAATTACTTACCTAAGAGGATCTGTTGGGCTCCAACACTAGACATGCTTGGGAGGAGTCAGCTCAGGATTGTAAATACGATATTGAAGGAAATTGTTGGCTGATCAGAGACTGATGCTGCGGAACATGAATGTTGCGGGTTTTCTCAATGTCTTTATAACCCGTGGCCATGCCTTTCGGACAATTGATTCAGCTTCCACTCACATATCTTGTGGGCATGAGATCATAACATCTTTATAGCCAACGTGTGACAGATATACAAGAATAATTCAGCCACGCCTTCAATTGAATTTCAAACCAGGCACATTTTAAAACAGACCTGTCAGTCAATCATCTCCAGTCACGTTCATACACTGTAGCACAAACAATGCAGAGAATTCAATTACGAGAACGTTGTATATTGCAGAATACCCTCGTCATACTATGTAGTTAATATCTCTGGTGCAGCGGTCTAGTTGCAAGAAGTATCCTGCAACTACATAATGATTGGGCCTTTTATGACCGAAGTCCTGTATGTCTCTCTCAGAGCTTCGTTCAATATTTGAACTCGTGAGACGGTAGAACTAGTATTCCTAAAAAGCTACTAGGTGCAGACACAAGTATCATATGCCAGGTGATCATCTGCAGTGCTAGAATTTACCCCCTTTTTGGTTCGATATCCCTGGGGACTGGCGAGGCGTTTGAGTACCGCCTGATGTCGTTTTGTCCAACGGTAAAATTTTCATCGGCATTCAATCATAATGCATTGAGGTCACCGGCCTTGGAGGCTATAATTCTTGAAAGAAGTGGAATTAAAAAATTATGGCTCTCTTTACCAGTTAGATCCATGAATGCTGTCCCATTCAACCTTCCCCGGTCCCTTAACAACTCTGCCCTCTGCTTCTCTTTCTGCTTATATCTCCAATGATAATCGAGAAGCAAATGACGAAAGAATACCCGAATTAGTTGGATATGATAGTACTGTTCAAAACTTGAAGTGTTGTGAAGGTATAGTTATTGCTGCCTTGTTGCCTGAGGCAGCGATCATCTGACCTCTTCATGATATCAGCACGTGAACCAATCGAAACTGAGGAATTAACGATATATCGAAGTTAACTACCTCTACTAAATAGAAGACGTATTTCTTTGTCACAGTGTGTCTGCGATTAGACCATTACATCTCCTGTTAACGCCTTTCTGATAGAAGTGGGGGCAGGCTCCCGATCGCTCCTTCAACATCTCCCTCACTCTCACCCTCACACTCAATTCTACCATCTTTCCACAAGGATCAATCGAGGTCGGCCAGGAAACGGGAGGTTTGCATGGATGTGCCATTCAGCGCAAGTAGAGTGCTAGATCGCGTGCCGTATGCATGGACAATATGAGCGACCTTCAGAAGAGCTTCGTCAAAGCGCGGCTAGCCAAACTGCCACCCGACCTGCCTTTTCTCAACGAGAGCGATGAGAATAGCAAGTTCGGGTCGACCGCAGAAGAAGACGGCGACTCATCCTCAACCTCGTCAGCTTCGTCGAATGCAACCATAATGCCTTCGCCGAGCAAAGGATTGTTTTTCAAGCAGGCGTCGTAAGTCTCCTGATTCCTGGCATGTTTGATATGTACCCATCTAATATACATTCCAGCACGGGATCATCGCGAAAAGACCCTAGCAAGTCACTGAGCTGGTCTGAGTTCTACTCTCAAGAGCTCTTTCTGGAAGAAGATGTGGATGATTTGCATATAGTGCATCACGCCTACATCACGCCTCCTAGCAAGTCTGGTCCTCTTTTTGTGACACACCACGGTGCAGGCTCATCTGGGCTATCATTTGCCGCCTGCGCCACTGAAATTCGCAAGATTCTCCCCGATGCTGGCATATTGTCGTTTGACGCCCGGCATCATGGAAGCACCACCGTGCAGTCATCCAGCGGCGAAGCTAAAGCTCCTAATTACAAGCTAGACACGTTGAGCCGCGACGTGGTCTTCGTGGTTCGAGAAACGCAAGTCAAGATGGGATGGCAGGAATTGCCAGATATAGTCCTTGTCGGACACAGTCTTGGAGGGGCAGTTATCACTGACGTTGCGAAGAATGGAAAATTGGGTAGCAAAGTGCTAGCCTATGCGGTTTTAGATGTCGTCGAAGGTAGTTTTCTAACAATAATACGCCGATACTCTGGGTGCTTACTACATTAGGGTCTGCCATGGATGCATTACAGAGCATGGACACATATTTGTCTACTCGACCTACAAAATTTGCTTCTTTGTCATCTGCAATCGACTGGCAGTAAGCAGTCCTTGTTCCTTTTTGTATTCGTGTTCTTATCGTCTAAACTTAATGCTGCAGCATTCGCTCACGGACAATTCGGAACAATATTTCCGCTCGAGTCTCCGTTCCCTCGTTGCTTAAAGAAGAAGAGGATCCATCTGATCCTTCGCGTCCGTGGGTATGGCGGACAAATCTAGCAGAGACGAAGCCCTTCTGGGAGGACTGGTTTATTGGACTGAGTCGCAAGTTCCTCGAGGCGAAGGGCGGTAAACTTCTGATCTTGGCAGGCACAGACCGACTGGACAAAGAGCTATTGATTGCACAGATGCAAGGTGCGTAGAATAACTTACACGACCATATCCGGCGGAAGTCTTACTGACTGCCCATCTTTTAGGGAAATATTCGCTCCAGGTTTTACCCTCTGCCGGCCATTTCGTCCAAGAAGACCAACCGGCCAAAACCGCAGGCTTTCTAGTTGATCTTTTCAAGCGCAATGATCGTGGTTCTTTGGTCCTGCCGCCAAAAGTTGGCGATATTCTAGCCGCGCGGGCAATGGAAAAAGGAGTGAATCAGTAAAGAGTCTGCTTTTTTAAAACTGGAATATCATGAGTCACGGTAGACGAGCAATAAATACATATAGATGGCGGCTATATAATTAACCTGTGAGCCTCGGAAGCCGCGGCTACTCTATACTTTTAATTCTATATCCAATTGACAAACACAAACACCCCGGCCAAGAGCATTTGCAGGATCCGCAAAATCATAGTTGCATCCGACCGCCAACAATTTGGAATCCCGAACACTCGAATTCAGCCACCGCACGCCCTATACAAGCTCAGTTGAGCCACCGCGCTGCATTTCGTAGCCGAAGCGGGGGGCGTCACAGGCTTCGTCGTGCGCCTTTGTTTAGGCTGCTCCACCGCGATAACATCCAGCATCGCCAATAAATTGAGAAGTTCTCAATGCAATGTCAACTGTCTATATGCAGCTTCTTTAACCCCCTGTCTGCGCCCCACCAGCTCTCTTCACTCCTGTAGTTTTTAGTTGATATCATATCGACGACTCTACAGCTCCTCATAGTGCCGTCATAGTGCTCTCGGTGCATCATCATGACTGAGTCGACGCTGATCCCAGCGGGGAGATACATTTTCGAGCGTGTTGCTCAGCTAGGAGTGAAGCATGTATTTGGCGTTCCTGGTGATTTCAACTGTGAGTCGATTCTTCTATTCTATACTCCTAATCTGGACCATGCTAAGAGGATAATCAGTGACGTTGCTGGATGAGCTTCTCAACGTGCCCCAGCTAAAATGGCAAGGAGCATGCAATGAGCTCAATGCTGCCTACGCCGCTGATGGATATTCCCGTGTACGCGGTCTCCCAGGAGTGTTGGTCACTACATACGCTGTTGGCGAGCTCTCTGCCATGAACGGCGTTGCAGGTGCATATGCAGAACATGCAGGGATGATCCACGTTGTCGGAATGACGGCGCGAAACTGTAAGCTGTAGACGAATCTATATAATTAAGGCAGATGCTAACAATTTTATGTATCAGTACAAAAATCTAAAGTCATGATCCATCACACGTTCAAGCCAGAACAGGATCACGCGATTTACGCCAAAATGACTGAGCCCATTAACAAAACACAGGCACTCCTATTCGATGACGCGACTATGGCTGAGGAGGTCGACCGTGTGATCGTCGAGGCTGTCAAGAGTAGACTCCCCGTCAGCATCTACGTGCCGACAGACTCGGTCGCCGTGTCAGTGGATGCGAAACGGTTGCAGATTCCGCTAGATCTGGAGATTAAGAACGATCCGCAAGTTGAAGAGAAGATCGTGGAACGCGTCCTCGAGGAGATTTCCAAGGCGTCGAATCCGGCAATCTTGGCTGATGTGCTGACCATACGCCACAAGGCTCTCGCAGAAACACGTAGACTGGCTGACTTGACCCGATTTTCGAGCTACTCAACGCCGCTCTCTAAGGGGGTTATTCATGAGAACAAAGAATACTACAACGGTGTTTATAATGGCCAGGGTGAGTGAAGTACTTTCTAGAATTAGTGGTGGGGTGCTGATCAGCTGTAGTGTCCTTTCCTGAAACAAAAGCAGCGCTCGAAGGGTCAGATCTGGTGTTGAACATTGGCCCACTTCTTTCAGATTCTAACACTGGAGGATTCACGCGTGGCCTGTCAGACGATAAGCTCATCATGCTTGCACACGATTACTGTGCAGTGAAAAAGGAACGCTTTGACGGGGTGCACTTTCTGCCTGTTTTACAACGAATTGTTCACGAATTAGAAAAGAACCCTTCAACCTATAAGCTTCCACGATCACCACAGCCGAAAGTTGAGGTAACTTTTATTCCTTGGTCTCTTGTTTATCACATTCTTACAGCTTCTAGACCCCCATCTTGAGCGATTCCAAATCGGGCCCAATTACCCAAGGCTATACCTGGCAACGACTTGGAAAATTCACGCGTCCCGGCGACATAGTCGTCGTCGAAGCCGGCACGGCGCAATTCGGCATGCCCGATGCCGTATTCGCCGAAGACGTGAGCTACCTGACACAAATCTACTGGTCATCGATCGGCTTCTCTGTTGGCGCTTGTCTGGGAGCCTGCACAGCAGCCCGCGAACTTGACATCGATAATAAGCGACGACGCGTGATTCTAATCGTTGGAGAAGGATCGTTGCAGATGACTGTTCAGGAAGTTGGATCGTACATTCGATTCGGATACACGCCGCTCATCTTTGTCATTAATAACAACGGATACTCGATCGAGCGGGCTATCCATGGACCAAAGCAGGAGTACAATGATATTAGTATGCTGTGGGATCACCAACAATTGTTAGGGTTTCTGGGTGCGCGGAAAGAAACTGGCATCAAGAGCCGGAGCTTCGCGTGCAAGACTGTCGAGGACTTGGAGGCGGTGCTGACAAACGAGGAGTTTGTCGAGGCTGATTATATCCAGGTAAGTCGATCCATAGAAACATCCATGAATGAATGCTGATGAGCGTAGCTGTGTGAGATATTCATGGACAAATTCGACTATCCTTGGCGTCTGACTGGACAGCTGGACGTCGTCCGCAAGAGGGCGGCAGCATTGCAAGCGAAACTTGATGGTTGAGACTGAGAGAGGATATGAGTGATGTCCGATAGATACGTGCCATTGTCATGAACACAAGACAGAATAACAACTTCAACCTGAAATCTCCAATACACATGTAGTGCCTGGATGTAAAGTAAAGTAGTAATTGCAACATTGAATGCCATCTCTGCATTTGGCCTATGACGTCAGCCCCTCCTTCCTGATCAGGCACGTGCATATTCAAGCTTTAAACTGAAATCCATTTTTTTATCTTTTTTTGTGATTTACATCATAGTCTATATTGTATACTGTATATTTCATTTCATGTCCAAAACGATATCTTTTGCCATACTAACTAAGTTGTCTGGACTGGACCAAGATGGTGTCGTTCAAACCACAAAACGACGAGGCCGGACGAGCCGAAGAAGCAGAACACCATGGCGAGTCCTCCACACGACGAGAGCCTGATGAGAACACTCGTTTACTACCACATGGGTCCAGCGAAGGCTATCTGAGTCCGGATGACCCTGCTGTAAGTCTCCCTTCATCTGAAGAAGCTACCAACTAACCAATCCCAAAAAAAGGTATCACCATACAACCTTTGGTCCGTCCGCGCCCTTCGTTTCTTCTCCTCTCTCTTTCTCGCCATCAGCTTCGTTTGGTGGGTTCTTCTACTCATCTCAATCTTCGTCAGCCCCCCCGGCATGCACAACCGTGGTTCAGGGTTCACTGATTTCTCCTACACAACCTTGACCGTCGGCAACCTTATTATTAGCCTCCTCTTCTTCGCCGTCCCGTCTCGGCCAATGATCATCTGGAACGGCATCCTGGCGCTTCTATTACTCGTTGACGTGCTAATCATCGTCGCTGTGCCTCGTCTGCGCTTCGAAGAAGGTGGTGTTGGCATCGCATCTGTGGTGTGGGCTGCGCTCATCACCATCTATAACGTCGCGCAGATCTATTTCGTTGAGAAAGGGAAGGAGCAGGAAGAAGAGCGACTAACCGGCCGCGTGGAAACCCGCCGCACGCTGTTGGAATGGTTGGCGGTGTTGGCTGAAACGGTGGTTCTGGGCATCGTCGCGATTGTAGTCATTCTCCTCACTGCGACACTGATCCTGCGCGCCCGAGACGCCAGTATCGAAGCCCCCGGGAAGAAATACGCTGTGAACAATGCAAAATACGAGATTCATCTAGCATGTGTGGGGGACAGTGCTGAAAATGACAGGCAAAATCTATCAACAATCCTCGTCGAGGCGGGCGAGGGCCCATCTGAACACACTCTCCAGCCATTCATCCACAACGCCTACGCCAACGGTACTATCCATCGCTACTGCTACTGGGATCGTCCTGGCTTCGCATGGTCTGACAACGCCCCCTCCCCGCATTCAGCTGGCATGTCTGCCGATATCCTCTCCGAAGCGCTGGCTCTGGCCGGGGAGCAAGGCCCATGGATACTCGTTTCAGCGGGGGTGGGCAGCATCTACAGTCGGATCTTCGCCAGTCGCCACGTCCACGACGTCACTGGTTTATTATTAATCGATCCCACACACGAAGATCAGCTACAGAAGATCGCCAGCCCAGGCCGCGGCTTCAGGCTCTGGGGACGGGGTATTGTCTCCCCTCTGGGCTTGGACCGACTTGCCGGCGCCATTTTCAAGGGCCGCACTAGAGAAGATCGAGTCTACGGGCGAGTCTCCTACCAAGGCGGACGCTTCATCAAGGCCAAATTACAAGAAAACCTCGCTGCAGAGAGTATGACGGCAAGCGAGATCGCCAGTGCAAAGAATATCCAGACGCCTGAAACGCCACTTGTGATTGTGAGCTCGGGCGTGGAGGTTGGCCGAAGCGAGTCGTGGGCAAAACAGCAAGAGGCGCTGACCAAAATCACAGAGCATTTGGTTGCATGGGATATTGTCAAGGGCGCACCGCATGAGGTTTGGGAGACGCTGAAGGGGCGAGAGGCGGTGGAGAAAAGACTAGGTGAATTGGTTAGGCAATGATGAATACTGGTTTGGTGGTTGTTCATGTTTGGAGCAGATATGTGTTCTAGTCTCAAATTGTATAAGTTGTACTCGTAATGATAATATACCTGGATAATATTGTTTTAATATTGTTTCATCATGTCGGTTGATTTCAACGCAGAGTCCTATGCAACTCCGATTGACTTCTCGAGATTATAACAGGTCCATCTATTTGAGTTTCTCCATGATGTATAATAGCAACTACCAAATGAAATTTTTGACATCGAAAATTTTGTGGGATCGCCGGAAGGATGCAAATGCCACGTCCTAAAAGGATAAGATTATAGTCTGAATGAGTCAGTTTTGGATCAAACGCAGCCAGCACTAGGGAGTCGGGCCATCATGTATTCGGTTTATCAGGCTGTGTAGATTGTGTTCCTAGCATCCGGGGTACCGGGTATTCAAATTCAAGGGCTCGTAGAAGACGCAGGTTCTCTGATAGGGTGGTGTTCGTTCGAAGCGTTACTCTAGGCTAGTCCCCTTAAACCTCTTAGCAAGTCGTTCACTGTCTGATCTCGGAGACACGGATCTTGATTGCAGATGCCGGTGTTTCTGAGCAAAAGACGCAACAGGTGCAGGTACATCCCCGGCCATGGGTAGCCGGGGGCGCTTAGGGGGGCGCTCACCGCTCTCCTGGAGAATCGCAACCAGGGTGGCCCATCCACTGGTATTCACAAGCTGTACGCCATCCGCAGTATCGTGGGTTGTAGCCACACGGGCCAGAAGTTTCTCTTCGTCCTGGGTCGCAGTTGGTTATTAGCTGTGGAGTTCCCGTACATTCGAAATGCTTACCTCGTTAAAAGTCCCTAATGAGAGTAGGAAAGGGAGAAGGTGGAAATCTGAAACTGCGCGGATTGCTTTATTCGGGTCACCGTGGCTGATCAATTTCCTCGCAACTGCACGTAGTTCTTGGGGTTCCCCGATGACTTCTCTGTTTTCTATTGGGAACGTGCTGTCTGTAAAGATAGGCGACTCTTCTGTTGGGAAACCGTGAGTCAACGTGACCAGTAAGTACTCCACTGGGAAACTGGGTTTGGCGTTTTCCTGCACGTTGGCACCGTACTCGTTTATCCTGCGGTAAAAGACTTCAGGTATATATCGTAATTTGCTACCTGCGTCATCATCGTCCTCGGATTGCACAAGCATAACAGAAGGGTCAGCAGAAGGCTCAACGATATCTGCCCTAACCATCTCCATGGCCGAGTTGGAAGCTTGATAGGCACTGACTGCGATAGCTCCATCTTCATCGCCGCTCAATACGCAAGTGACAAAGTTGGAACCGAACGCGCCAGTCTCACTCCATTTTGTTGCTTTCGGGTGCCGTGTCTGGTGTCGAGATGCGAAGACAATTTCAAGTGAAGATAGCCAGTATGAGTCGACATGTCTCTTACATATGACGGAACCGTTTCCTTTGCCAGCGTCAAGCAAGTCAGTAAATATCACGCCAACCTTTTGTAGGCCACAAAGACGAGCAACTTCGTCAATTTCCTTTTCGTTCTCCCATTCATTCAGAGTAACCCCGTCAACTTCATCAACTTGCGGTGGCTCATATATGGCCTGTACAACAGCTTTGATGCCTAGTGGCACCTCCGTATACTCCTCGTATGTTCCATAAAGATAACCTAGGCGTTGAGCCCCAGATTTTCGCCAGAAATCAAGGAGTCCATTGATAAGACTTGGTGAAGAAAACTCGACATGGTCAACCATGCGAAATTCTTGAGGCTTCAGGGTAATCGCACTAGGCTGGCATTTAGTACAAATACCTTCGGGCCACGGCGGATGCCCAGAGGGACAATTTCGCCTGACGCGGTAATAGGGTTCGCTTAGAGGTGGCATGAAGGAGCTCTTGAGCTCTGGTTTGTTCTTTGACGAGTTGATTTTCCGGAGATATGAATGAAAGGACAGGTGTTTTATCTTTTTGTCGGCTAAATATTCGGGAGCATATGGTTCCAGAGGCATGCAATAGTCACACATGCCCTTGGGTCCATGTCTGCACATTTTAATATCTCGCGGTCTAGGTATTTTTCCATCTTTCTTGTCAAGAATGTCATCGAGTGGCGATTGTTCCACCACCTCCCAAGGGTTTTTGATGATAGTCGATGGCGACGATGGCTGAGGTGGAAGAGCGACGGTGGGTTGCTGAGGGACAGCAGCTCCGTTTAGACGTCGAGACTCGCTAGTAACATTTTGAGCGGTTGTTTGTTGTACATGGGATGTACCGTTTGATATCGCCGGTGTTTCCTCGTATCCAAGAAACAACTTGTCGCCATGTCTGTCACGGTTGTCAGAAGCCGCGTGCTGCACCCAAGCTTGAAGACCTACGATAATCCAACCCTTTCAATAGAAACACCATCTAAACTGTTCAACGACCTTTCTTGGCCGCCTACGCCGATAGGTTTGTTCGAAAGGATAATCGAGGTGGGATCGGTGGATGGAGGTAGTTGCTCGAGAATCTGAGATGTTATTAGCCAAGTTGTCGACTCCACAACAACCCGACAGCCCAGTAAACATGGCCACGAGCTTTCTTGTGTGATATACCTTGGATCTCAGCTCAGGAAACAATATGGATGGATTGACAGTCAAGCGAAACTGGCCATTTCGGCTCTCAAAGCGGAGTATTATCGGCCTGGGAGGGGCCATTATGGGGTGTTCGAAGACAGACAGTGAGCCGAGACACAGGTGGGTGGGTCAAAATAGAATCCAAGATAAAGCAAATCAGAGTATTGAAGCTTCGTCTCTATAAAACATTATAGCCTAATGGTAGGATGGAGTGTAATGGTGAGATGCCGTTCGAAGGTGAGAGCAGCGTTTTAGTGGAGGCTCCGCCGTCACTCGTCATAGTCGAGGAAGCACCGAGCTGGCTAGTCCTAACACGGTTAAGACAGGACTGGGGTATTTATCAGCTTTGGTGGATGTTTCCAGCAAAACACTACATTTGCTCCTAGTATTATTGATTGGTAAAACATGTTTTATTGCTTAAACATGAATAGCTCAATCCGACTCTTAGTTTCAGGATTGAAAATAACTATAACTCGTCTCTGTACGGACTATCGTTTGACACGACATTGAATTCCTCACAAGCACTTGGGCCCAAGTCTCAGCAGCTGATTTTGTTTTGTATTCATGACTTTTATAGATAAGTATGTATTTTTTGTTTTACAAACATTAACATCATAAGGAGTATTAGTTAGCGTGAAATATACGAAACGGGTATAGGGGCATTTAGATGAGGTTGCACTTTGCTGGCAAACCACACGGACCTTCCTTCTCTTTCTTGTTATCCTGTTGCGACGCAGCCGTTTCTTTCTTTGAGGATTCCTTGGAAGCCGAGGGAGCTTGCGACGGGTCGCCATTACTGCCATGCAGTCAGGCGAAGGAGACCTTGGAGACGCGCTCGTAGAAGGACTTGCCCTGGATCTCGGCGATTTCAAGTTCGAGAGCAGTGGGCTGGCGGCTGCCATCGGCACCGGCCTAAAACACAATGAGCATGCAAATCAAGATGCATTACTGAATATCCACTTACAAAAGTACCAGCACCCCATGGGCTGCCACCATGGACCTCGGAAAGGTTGGTAAGCTGGGCGAAAGTCTGCTTGTAGCCGAGAGGAACATAGGAAAAGCCATGGTGGGCCAAGGTACTCATGGAAGAAAGGGCAGTCGACTCCTGGCCACCACCAGGGCTGGCAGTGGAGATGAACAGACCGGCGTACTTGCCCCAGTAACCACCACTTGCCCAGATACCGCCGGTGCGGTCCCAGAAGGCCTTCCACTGAGCGGGGAAGTTGCCATAACGGGTGGGAATGCCAAAGAGAATGGCGTCGTACTCAAGAAGAGTCTCAGGGGTGGCAATTGGGTAGTCGCCTTTGGGAGGAGCGTGCATCTTGGTCAGGACCTCTTGAGGGAGGGTTTCGGCAATCCTTTTCGACTTGTCAGCGCCTGGAAGTAGCAAACAAGCGGAACGCATACTGATAGACATCAACCTTGCCGCCAGCAGCCTCAATGCCCTTCTTCTCAGCCTCGGCCAGCTTGGCGATATGGCCGTACATGGAGTACTGTGATCTAACATCAGCTGTGGTCATGATGTCAACGATCCAAGAGAGGACATACGAAAACGATAGCGATCTTGGCCATTGTGACGAAGTATGGCGATGGGGATGCAGATAGAGAGGATAGGAACAGAGACGTGAATGTGCAGACAAGGAGATTGCAATGCCTTGACAAGGGCAATGGAAGGGATATGGAGGCGTCTGCGAGTATTTAAGAGAAGAAGCGAAGAGCTGGCTGGAGCACCCCGCCTGCAAGCAAAGCAGCCTGCCATCTGATTGGTCGTTCCGCGTGCAGTCGTACGGCATCTCGGAGAGCTTCTGCACGTCCTGATTGGCCAGGAGCATCCCGAGAAGAGAAGCCAAGATGACCAAATCCTTACCAATCGATTAGTTAATGACTTCTTATGCCCGCTTACTCGTCTCTGAGTAACCACAGAGTATCCCAGTGCTCGGATATCCGGATATAGCTGCTATACATTAATCATCGAGCATGGACATGTCAAAGCGTTGAACTTGGATATTAATAATTATTAAGTGATTCGTTTCGGTATAGGTGCTCGACTAAGCTTCTGTGAAGCAAAATCAGATACAATAATCAGCCACATTAAATACGCCACAGCTCACGATCACAACTGCCGGTGATACGTTATCATTGTCTAGAGTCTACCTAACCTTCCATAGTCTATCGAGCGTCCATGGCGCTGGAAGGTTGCGGAGGAAGAGACGAGAGCTGGAAAACAGCGGTAGACCGTCATTATCTGCGGTAGCTGTTCGGCAAGTGAAGAACTGATATTCAGGATATTTTTGAGCCCGGGTGACCCCCCCAGTAGTTTTCGTCTTCGAAATTAAACATCCCATCATAGTGCATCGGCATGGGCTCGTTGGATTCGACGTGGTTAGTATTCTTATCTAGACGCTTCGAGTTGCGGACTTTCACAATAATTTCCTTGCTTCCACGTGTTAATCTTTCCTAACTCAGTCCCTTTCTCAATAAAAAAATGTAGTACACATGTACGATGATACTACATTGATGGTTAAGTTTCACCTTGAGCAGTAACGATCGACATCAATGGATGAGCGTCAAGAATCTGCTGCCACAAATATTGAAAATATACTTTATATTGTAGTATCAATTAATTCAATACATAAAAGTCTGATTATTTGAATTTGATATTGTATTGGGATGGATTTAGAGTGCTTCCTTTCTAATGCCCTTGCCAGCGTTACAGTAATAACTGCTGTTCGGTTTAATCGACAACAGTTCGCACGTTGAAACACGTTTTGAAGAGCAGATCTCGAGCTGGTAAAAACCAGATTGTTCACTATGGTACTGGAATTTACATCATTACTTGTACAGAATGTTGGCAAGAGCTAGTGTTCTAAGCAACTCTTGCGCAAGGGTACAGTCGTAGGAATACTTCAGCCAGCCAAGAAATGAAGCAAGGGGCAGCTGTCAACCAGAGAGGTGCAACATATGACTATGTTCTTCTTCGACAAGCCTCCACGATTTTTACATATGATAGTGAAGCCGAATAACGCCGCTGTAGGCATTTAGGGCTACTCTCCCAATGTCGCGCTAAATTGAGGTGCAAGAACACGCAGTGCGCCGTGAGTCTAGCTCATTGTAGGCACTGTACTTGGTATATACGGATTCACTTAATCGCTACATTCCTCGGGCATGACACAGGCCTGCAGATCCCCTTTGGCATGCGGCTTTTCTCGGGCCAGAACTGTACCCAATTTAGACTACCACCTTCATATCTCGTAAATATTAGGCAGTGGAACTCAGGAATTATCGTAAATGCATTCCATAGAAGCCCTGCCAAGTAAATATATCCACTAAGCTTCACACATCTCTAGATAACCAATCTGATAGCTTTCCTGTCCTACGATCGGCATGTGGCTTGAATAAGGAATCATAATCTTTAAAAGTGACATAGCTTTCTGTTACCCGCTCGGAAATCTAATTCGTACAGCTGCAATAGCGGCAACTTTCCTCCATTATTGAAAGATTCTTCGCTCTCTTTGCCACAGTCTCCCCGGCTATTCTTATATGGAAAGGGGCATATTTGCTAGTGTGATTTGATATCTGAAAGTCCATGATAGTGAGACAAAATGCATGCATATTCGCCTGAAATGGGTTAAATTATGTTGTATATTATATCGCCTAAATCACAGTTATATGTTGTATTTCTAAACTACCAAATATTGTTATAAATATACATGTAGCAGAAGCGCTCGTATAAAACATCTGAATAAAGATGGTCAACAAGAGACATGGAGAAAGGTTCAATATTTATTCAATTTATTCACAAGGGACAAGATTGAGAGCAATGAACATTGAAGTGTTAGCTATTTTTCAATGTTAGCTAATAAAAACATATCCAGTGATTCAATGTTGTATATTTTCATTATCGTTACTATACACCAGGGAATGGAATGCAATACTAGTGGTAAGAGTACAAATAGAAGTCGTACATGATTTCAAGTTCCGTCCAAAACTATTTAATAAACGAACTAGAACCGAAATTCATGGCTACTCAAAGCCGTAAATCGTCTATTGTTCAAACTCAACCGGGTATACTAAACGCTCCATAAAATGCAAAACGTAATCTAGAGTCCACCAATATATTTCACATCCCTCGGCCCCTCCCTCTGCCTCTATAGCGCATAAAGCCTCCTCTGCCGCGCTCATTTCTCCACTCTCGTTGTCTTTCTTCCTCCTTCTCTTGCTCTTCGCGAATCAGAATGCGTTCCCGCTCGAGATCCTCCTCTGTTTTTTCAACACGGATCTGAGGCCGCGGGAGATTTTCCGGCCAGCGAGGATGTGCGCCATGTTCACAGGCCTTACCATCAGGACAGAAGCCGACTAGATAATACGGACAGAGGCGTTGACGAACATGGCGCTTGGCGCAGATGGGTCCTAGAGGGCAGAAACCCCTATCGTAGTGTTCACATCGCGGCAGTCGGGCCGTTTCGCGGACGTGGTGATACAGACAGTCTTCGCCGTTGGGGCAATATCCGGAGCGGGAGAAGGACTGGCACTCGGGCATGCGCCTGAGGTTGTACTCGTGGAGATACTCGCATTTAAAGCCCTTCTTGCATAGACCCTTGAGGAAATGCTTGCAGACTAGGGAGCCGTGTGTGACAGAGGGCGCGAGACCGGACGCGTTTGTCGTCGAGGTTGTAACTCGTGACGGTGTGGGGTGTCTGTCGGGGCAGGTTGGGCCAAGGGGGCAATGGCCTTCTTTGAATGCTTTGCATACTGGCACATCGGTGGCAAGGCCAAATCCGAATGTTCGTCGGAGGAATGGAGTGAAGGAAAAGTCAAAGTTGGGCGGATGCGTAGAATCGGCGGTTGTCAGTTGGTCGACTGCAGACTGGACGTCAGCCGCCATAGCTGGTATTGCAGGGCTGTGGTTGCAGTTATTGAGCTAGTCAGGATCTATTTCTGAGTGACTTGATTTCGAAATAGCGCACAAGACGTTGTTGGAGTGGGAGAGAATGATATCAAGCTATGATCACAAAATCGCTCAGCAAGCTGGCGCGATGTGAAGCTCTGAGCTGATGCCAAGACGGCGGAAGAAAGCCGTGGAAGGTCACGTGACGCATGCTTCTGTGCGATCTATAGATTGATATGATTACTAACGTCGTATTTTCTAACAAATATGATGTATGATGTATGATCCCGGTTTATATTGAAATTGCCTTGCTAATACTGGGGGACACGTCGGAACTTGGTATATGCAGCATGCAAGCTAGCAGGGACCTGATGTGACGACAACATGCGATGAGACCGGGAGACTTCGGGGAAATTGACATATTAATAGCAATGTATCCTTTCGACAAGTCGCTTAGGATGCAGCTACAACTGTATGCATGATTCTTTAACATCGCTGCTCGTTGTTGGCGGCCACTGTATTTACACCAGACATACCCAGACGCTTGGCAGCCCTTTTCAGGGGTCAACTGACCATTCGCATGCGGCCGCCAATCGCGGTTTCACGCAAAATGCGGGGTGCATGGATAATTTGGATATGTCGGACACGTAGCGATGTAGCGACGGCTACGTAACTAATTTCAATCGACATTCTGACGATACGGCCTGAGTAAGATTTGGCGGGATCGTAGACATGCATCTCAGTCATGGATGGTTGCCGGAGGCCAGTTACGACATTCTGCCTCAGCACACTGACTGATGAGATTTCCGGAATCCATCGTGGAAGCCCCAGAATCTTACCTTGTCTATATATTGAAAAATCGAAAGAATATGTTATTCAATTCAATGACAGCATCGGATCGTGGCGGCCCGCCCACGCAGCCCCATCAGGGCCCGGGCAGAAAAGCTTCTCCGTGGCCAGTCCTGACTCTGCTAGCTACTGTTCACTAAGGGCTGCTAATGACTGCTAATGCAGGTCATGGCCATCCCCGCCAAAACCAGCTCACCGTGAGACTACGCCCTGCAGGCGTTGAAAAATTTTCATTGAAAATTTTTTCCGTAGGGCATTGCACGTCTCAATCTGTTCTCGGCCGTTCTGTTGAGTCCCTCTTACCGCCGACAAACAATTTGTTACCCAGTATGGTCCGCCATATGACAGCCGTTGAACGACGAGAGGACTGAGCCAGAGCGTGACGTTCATTTCTGTCAACAATTAGTGGGGATCGCCTTCCTAGCGAGGCGGGAGTGGGCAGCCCCTCCCATTCAATTCGCCATGTAGTATGGCCATATATTTATAAAACGGCACAGTCATAGCCTCACAGGTCTAAATAATCGATCTCGTGACCCTGTCTGGTTTCTGCCTAGTCGCTCGGAGGCCTCTCGTGAGTTTCATATAATTGGCGAGGAAGGAACGGCAAGACGTCAGGACGCCTCCTCTCTGACGACCAACGCAATCGGTTCAAGCTAGATCAGGCAATGTGTGGTGACAGTAAATACCGCGTACTATAATTGTCAACCGAGTGCAGAAGATCCTGCCTGACCAGGCAGGCGAAACACGAACAAGAATGAATAATCATACGTGCACTTCGGCTCGACAAGCTGAACTGGGATCGGCATATCTTTTTTGGGTAATTTGCGGAGAAAATGGGGGTGCCGTAGTTGTGCACGCTTACAGCGCTCGTACATGTGCTAGCACTGCGAGGCTTAGTTGCATCGCCCATCATAGCCTATAAGCCTATAGGCATGGGCCCGTGGGATGGTTCTCGATTCAAGTCGTTCTAGGCTCTAGCCCGCCCCATCGTACTGTTGATTTTTTTTCTTCTTTTCCTCTGTCCTGTATCCAGTATGCCGTAATGAGTTCTTGTCCGCCAGGGGAGTTAACAAAAGGAAAAAGACTGACTGGCTGGCGAGCAACCCCGAGCTTCTGGTGGCCAGGAACGAAAAGAGGAGCGACGTGTAACTTGAAAGAGGTCACGCTAGGACTTTCCATTTTCAACAGCAGCCTAGCCTAGCCTTACAGAATCTTCTCCCTTGTATTTGGATGTTCTTCTTCTTCTCGACAATCACCAAAGGGAATAAGAACGGCAGACGTGCAAGCAGCAACAGAATAGGCCAACGCGACTTCCTTTGCGGCCTCCCAGTAACTCCTTCCTCTCTCTCTCGCCTGGCGCCTTCCTCCCTGCACGGCTCTCCCCCCGCACCTACCACGGGAGATCGATGGTGGAGGTGCGACTGCTGACTGGCGACTGATGGTTGCTGCTGTTGATTGAGGAACCCTCCTCCGTAGTCAAGATCTATCTTCTTCACTGCTCTTGCCATTACCATTGCCATCACTATCACCATCACCCTTCCACTTTCCACGGCTAGACTCCCATGCGACTGATATAACGAAGGGCACATCCAAGCGTGGGCTTCAGGCCTCCTAGATGTATTCATTCATGACCCCGTCCTTCTCAGGTCCAGATGTATGGCCAACTCCTCCACTGCTAGGCGGCGGGCCGACTCTGACGCCATCTGCCTTTGCGCCCACGCCATTAGAGATCCCCATCTTCGCAAACGCCGCTTACTACCCTAATTGGAGGATCTATAAGAAACAGCCTCCGTCGTCGTTGCGGCTGGGTTTCGTCTCGCATGTGTTCTATGCCTTTGCTTGGTATTCTCCCTACGCAATATGATGATACATGTAGTGGCTCGTCGCTAACATCACCTATGAATAGGGTCAAGGAAGACGGCGAGGTATATGTACGATCGATATCCTTTCGTCTTGCAGATCCCTGCTGATATTAATACTCATCTAGCTCAGCGATGAATGGGCCGACTCCCAAATGCCCGTTGACGGAACCGAGGGCTGTCTGCGTGCCTTTACCCAGCTGAAGCGCCAGTATCCGCAGATGAAAGTCATCTTATCTGTAGGAGGCGGTGGGAAAGGAAGCGAGAACTTTGCCAAGGTGGCACGGAGTCCACCGGCCGTTGAAATCTTCATTCGCAGCGCGAGGGCATTAGTCGATCAATTTGAGTTGGATGGAATCGATGGTATGCTTGTTGGCCTTCGCCCGCATGGAAAGTGAATCAAAGTCTCACACTAGATCTCTAGTCGACTGGGAGCACCCTTCCGATACTCAGCAGGGCCTAGATTATATCTACTTGCTGGCTCAGCTCAGAACAGTACTGCCAGCACCACAGTACGTCTTGACAAGCGCACTGCCCGCCGGCGAATGGGCGTTGAAACACATCAACCTGGCTGTTGCCCAGCAATACGTGGATGTATTTATGGTCATGTGCTATGACTTTTCCGGGCCGTGGGTTGATCGAACCGGTCACCAAGCACAGCTTTACACGCCAACCAAACCGCACAATGATGCCGCGTCTACCTCCTGCCAGTCAGCAGTGCTGTACTTTATGAGCCAAGGTGTGCATGCCAAAAAGCTCCTCCTCGGTGTTCCAGCATACGGCCGGTCATTCGTCGGTGCCGAACACGTTGATCAGCCGTACTCAGCTTCTGGTGGTGAGGACGGGGTATTCGACTACAGCGAGCTGCCTCGACCGGGTGCCAAGGAGGTTGTCGATGACACGGTAGGTGCAGCATACTGCGTCAGTTCTGATGACGGGTTTGTGTCTTATGACAATACGCGAACGGTTGAGCAAAAGGCCAAATTTGTTACCAGTCTAGGACTAGGCGGTCTTTTCTACTGGCATATTGCAGGCGACAAGCGAGGGGCCGATAGTCTACTCGAAACAGGATACAACACACTGCACGAGCTATAAGCACGTGAATGACTTACGAATACCCTCTCCCTACTTTACTGATCATGGAAGGATTCTACATTCCTAGTATTATTACTACTTGATTGTTGTGTGTTTTGCATTCGACAAGCATCGGAACCGGCAGGTGGTTTTTTTTTTCTTCCCATTCTCTGCGTTTCATTCTATATCATGATGGGAACTGCGAGCTTGTTGATACTGCCCTATGGCGGATGGCTTAAGGGTATAATTCTGGTAGGATTCGTCAATTGGTGCAACCCAAAAAAAAGGAAAATTTGGGGGTTTAAATAAAAAGCATGGGCGGTTGTCTGATTGATTTTGAAGTCCGTTTTAACTGCGGCTGTTTATTTTTATTCGGTACCATACAGTAAATATATACCATTGAAACATTACATTGGACCGGTCATACATACCATTCTTCTCCATCGAGTACATACATAATATATGATATGACATTGATCATGTTTTTGTTGAAAAAAAACCATCAAACTATCAATCAACACATCTCGTAATAGAACTAGAAGATCATTGATATACAATAGAGAACTGCAAACCAACCAATCAAATCAGACAAAAACAAAAATATAAGATTTATAGCACGGGTATCATAGTATATAGATAGATATACCCTTCCGGATATACCAATATCAAATATATGCATAGATGATTCCAACCCAACCGGTCAAGAAACTACGTAGCCAATATCAATCCAGAATATCGAAATGACCACGGGTGCATCTGACCCTTCTCAGGATATTGATCGAAATCCAAAAGAAATTCGCCTTTGTTGTGGGAATTCGGAGAAAAGCAAAATTTAGGAGGAACCAGAAGATGCCAAAGCACTTGCGACTGCGGACAATCCCGAATCATCTAACACCTGGGTCACGTTCAAAGTCGTCGACATGGTGTTGCTCTTGAGGGCTTCGGAGTAGTAAGTGATTTCTTGGCCGTTATACTCGCTGTGGTTGCCGATGATGTCAAGGGGAATGACGCCAGAGGGGTACTTGGCTTTGGAGCCAAGGACCAGGTCAATGACCTGGACCTGGTCGATTATGGATTTGACATGGTAGGTGTTACTACCAGGAACGAGGACGAGGTCGTTGATGTACGAGGTACCGATTTGTGCGCCGTTGACGAAAATTGGTAGTGTCACGTTGCCCTGAGGAATGTATGTTAAATATATAGGAAGGCAGAAAGGGACGGGGAATGTAATGTTTCTTACCATTGCAACGGAGACAACACCAGGGTTAGGAATGTTGGCAGTGCCGTTCATGTTGGTACCATCGGCAGATGCGGTGAGAGAGATTCTGACGTCGGAAAGACTGAAGCCCTTCAGTCCGTTGAGACCTACAGCACAGATTTAGTGACGAACCAAAATCAATGAAAACAGAACATACCTTTCATGGGAACGGTCTTGTTGAATGTTACCTGGCTAGTCGGTAGAACCATTTCCTTCAATTCCGGCTTTCCGTAAATGTTCAAGTAAAAAGTTTCTGATGTCAAAACAGCCTTGGTAAACTCGGTGGTCGCATCTAGGTTGTATAGCTGCAGCGTAGTGTCGACATTGATGATCGCGCCATCCTCGGCCTGGATCTGAGGGACCATGACATAGGCAACTGGCGCAGCAGCACCTGCCAAGCCAAGCGACGCATTAAAGGCGAAGATCTTTGGGTGGTAAATGGCCTTGTTGCCCAAGACCTGGGTCTGGTTGACATGGATGGTGTTCGGGGCTGGGTCGGAGAAGACCAGCTGAGTGACGTTCAAAGTGGAATCGTTCACATCGTTCTGGGCAATCCTAGGGTAGCCAACGTAGACGCTATTTTTTTTGTTAGCACCGGGATATCTTCATATATTCAATTGATATAGAGGCACTTACAGGGGAAGAACGACGACCAAGACGCAGATAATCAAGATGATAACGTGAACCCACCACCATTTCTTGAAATGCGCACCAACACGAGACAGGAAGCTCGGTTTCGCAGTGCCATTCACATACCCTTGATGCACCACATCAGGCTTTGTGTCTGACATTGTAACCGGATGAGAGAAAATTGCTACTGCGGCGGGTTGAGTGGGTGGAACGGGGGAAGAAGTGAAGAAAAAAAGAAAAAGTAGTAGTGGCGGCAGGGTTCCACCAGTTAAGGAGAATAATGATGGATGGCAGAGACACGAAATGAAGAATGAGCACGAACGAGAGGATCAGTCGAAGCCAGTGCTATTAATTACTATAAGAAACCGAGGCGAAGAGAAGAGGCAATTAAAAGGAAAAAAGGGCGTATTCGATCCGGGGATGCGGGGAGGGAAGTAACGGACAAGGGAGGAATAGCAGGAAGGAAGCACCTGCCAGCTGATTCGATCCTGCCGCTGGGGAAGGAAGGATGTCGAGGGACTCGAAAAAAACCTCGGGATTTTCTTTCTCTCTACGACGACACTAATAATCGCTACTGCTCCTGCGCTCGGGTTGGCTGGGGATGGGGCATTATCACATGGACGACGACTACAGTACCAGTCTGATTAACGCGTTTAGCCTAGCAAGGGTGTCCAGACCGCGGTTGATGGTTATCTCTATCTCCATCCTGAACCCACCAGACTGGGGCAGTGGCTGTACGGCTGGCGCTCGTTCTATGATAAATCGGTTCCTTATTCTAAAGATATGATCTGCTGCATCCTCACAACTAGCCCGGAAGCCAATGACCAGGAGAAAATTTTTAACAGTGGAGGACCACCCAGGCGTGGGCGCTGCACAGGAATCTGCATGATCGTAGTGCAGGCCGCAAGGCCCACTTCGCCTGGTACTGTTGCACTACTGCGTGTCTGACAGCATTAAGAAGGTTAGTTGAGCTGACAGTTGCTGACTTGATTGGTGCTGAGTGCTGATTAGGCTTGCCTCTAGAATTCCTTTGCCTTTCCAAGTTGATTGCGATATTGGTACGAGGAAGGGGCGCAACACTGCAACCCCAGGAAAGAGTACGTATTGTCTTTGACGAGAATCTCTTTAACAGGCTGTATTCCCATTCGTTTACATGGCTGCAGAAAACTGGATCCAGTCAACATGTGTACAAATGCAAGTTTCCGAAAACGTCAAGACCCAACAGCGCTGCTTGCTTGGAGATTGGTTAGGGCACCACGAACCGACTCATCCGCCGAGGATGTTTGGCACGAGACGTCGAGACTCCAAGACTCTAATTAATAATACGAACATTATTGGACCGCAAGCTGGTGGTGGCGAGTGCAAGCGATAGGAAATTCGGAATAGGCAAGGGCCGATGGTCGCGCAACGGGGCGATATACCAAACAAGTTAAACGCGACTCGGAGGGGACCTTAATCCCCGCAGCATCTCCAGATTCTCTCCAATCTGGGCAACCCCAAGCCCAGTGATTGGCCTCACACTCGGCGCCAAGCGGCCGGCCAGCCTACCAGAACCAACGAGGGACTTCATCTCCGAACGGCCCAAAACCCAACCCTCTTAACATTGTCTTCGCCGTGTACTTGGTCCAGTGTGGAGTGGAAATTATTCTGAGACTGGTGCGTATCTAGTCCAACTTCGCGACAACACTACTCCTGCGGGTTGCCAGCCACACCCCAATTTCTAACACTACGAGTCTCGCCAAGCATGTGGACCGAGGATGTCCTCCCTTTCACGCGGAAATCCGACTCACTGTGCCCGTGATCGGGGTCGGGTTGGCATGCCCGTCTCGGTATTCAACCCTAATTGACTAATACAGACATGAGTTTCAATTGGTATATCTACAAGATATCAGGTTCCAAACATTCCTCAATTCGCATCTGAAAATTGATATTATTTGCATACCCCTTGAAACCTGGCCAAGTCGGTCTTGTCTACTTCTTGATTTCTTCCCTGTGACCAGACACGTGTTACTAACCATCGCCTCTGCTGGCGTATCCTCGCCGCGCCGTCCCGACGAGGCTCGAGGGTAATTAGAGGGTGGGCTCGGAGCATCGTCAGGCGTGAAATAATCAAAGCACACCAGGAGCAGAAACGTAGAACCGATATCGCACAACATTGATCAATAATAGGTGTATTCATTATGCCAGGATGTCTATCTCTCGGTCATGCCTCAACCCGTCCATAAAGGTCATCTTTGTATGAGCAATAGCGATTTCCGATATTTCCCCGAATTTAAACATGAAATTTCCGCCTCTTCTGTAATGTCTATATATTGACTCTGATACGCAGATCACGCTTAGTCTAATCTAATTAATTGCGTAGTCTTGAGTGCAATAGAGCGATTTCAGCTGATCGTCGTTCTGTTGGAGAAAGATATAGCATCCATTTCATCCATTTCTGACTAATACGTATGTACCTTACATCAGTTGATGTAGTTTAGAATTGGACATATATTTACACACTTTAAGTGAGATCTCATACAACGTATTGGTTTCGAAACCAATAGCTAATATTGATATTCCTGTTCAATATGTATGTATCCAAGGCCAAAAAGTGACAAATGATACACTGTATCTATTAACCTCGCACTAACGTAAACACATAACACAAAATCCGACAAAGGGCAAAAATGTAGAAGTGAAAGTTTGTATTCAATATCAAGGTTCAACCTATACCAATGTGGTAGATGGACTAGATAAAGGGAAAGAAATAAAGAAAGAAAGAATAAGATTATGGTGGAATGCTGATAATAGCTAATAAAGAGCAGAGTATAGCAGAGCATCATTCGTAGAAGCAAACACACAAGACATATGATAAAATAAAAGATAGCTGGGTTATAGAACATTGAAATTAAGGGAGTATTAACGATAGTTAGAAAATAGATAGATGGTTAATCGAGGCTCGCCCCAAGCAAACACCAGTCAGTCGCAGGGACTGTTGAAATCGAGATGGTATGATAATTAGGGTATCAATAGAAGAGAATTATATGCTGAACGTCAGCATGCAAATGGAAAGCTGAAGTAATAAGTTGCCAGAAAGGTCAATTGGCGGCTTGCACAATGGTACAAGGGAAGAAATGCTCGCTGCAAGAGCAATGCTGCCAGGCGAGTAGAAATTTTGAGCATGTATTTCAAGTATTGGAGCTGAAATGGAAATGCGCAAATGGTAATATGCAAGACGTAGTCGAATCAGAATGCAAAAGCCCAATTATATACGATGAACAAAGTTAGGGAAGAAATAAATAGCCCCTTAAGTGATGTATGTGCATGCCGTGAAGTTTATGTTTATGTGTATGCAATATCGTGTCGATTTTGAGCAACTGTCTAAACAGTCGATTTTTTTCGTCCAAAGATGCTGCGAGTTCGAGATTTGCTGCGTGGATTCTTCTCAGACATGCCTGACTGGCGACTACGCGAGTGCCGCGATTGTCGCGAATCGTCATCGTCGGCCATGTACTTATCCTTGTAGATCCTGGGAAAAGTTAGTATGTCGAGTATCAAGTAAATAAGAAGACAAAGTACTCACCAACTATTACCAACCATGCTCATACCCTTAGCCTCCGCCTTTCGATAGTATCGTGCAGCTTTCATCAAATCCTTTTTGCAGCCAACACCCTGAGCATAGCAGAAGCCCGCTTCAGCCAGAGCATCCGCATCACCCCACCGTGCAGCAATTTCAAAACATCGCAAAGCCAAAGCTTTGTCCTGTTCAATACCCCAACCATTCAGATGACTGACACCGAGCTCATATATTCCCAAGGCGAATTGTGCTCGGCGTGCTTTGCGCGCGGCTACATCTTTACCACCAACAGATTTATCATCGTCGTCGTCATCTGCCATTTCGAGGCCAGCCGAATCAACGGCTTTTCGGAGCCACTGTACTCCTTCTCGCTGATTTGGTCGCATGCCCCAGCCATGTCGGCAAGCTAATGCATAAAGCAACATGCCCGTTGGATGATTTTGCTTGGCGGCTATACGCAAATGGTATGTTGACTCTTGCAGAGCACCCTGCTCATGGCACTCGATACCCTTTTCAACGTGCTCCTCTACCGACAGGTTGTTTACGGCAGATGCTGTGGTAGCGGTGGTCTTAGCAGTGACGGGTCTGATAGTGCTAGCTGAATCGGCAGAGGACGACTTGGAATCATCTAGATGCTCGCTCATGGAACGATGAAGAGTGTGAAGCGGTTCCTGTGAAGATTTGAGACCTCTGGGGATCTCATGGGATTGGCGTGTAACAGGAGTCTCCGGGACAGTATCCAAGGGATCCACAAGCGTAGGGATGGGCTCTCCACCTAGGATCTTGAGGTTTTGATCCTCGGTTCGTGGCTGTTGGACGGGTGCTTCCATGGGTGCTTCCTTCGGTGCTGCCTCCGGCGATGGGGTACGATCGCGTGCATTGCGATTAGGTGGGCTCTCGAAAAGAGGCTCTTTCCATTCAAAGTGCGGGGTTTGTAACCCGGCGAAGACGAGCGAGTTTCTCGAAACCATGCGCCCGCGGGGCAAAGAATATTTGGTGTACACATAGGATGACACGGCAGACGACGGCATCTCCTCGTCTAACGGTGTCATAGGTTCCCCTTCTAGAACAATCGGCGCTGGTTTGTTGTCTCTTTGGATTCCCGTTCTGACAGATCCATCTGAAGCCAGCATGACAGTCGAAAGTATAGTGGATTGGTTGGATGTCGGTGCTTCGGATGGTATTACAGGGGAAGGGGCCGACAAACTGGTGCTTGATCGGCTCAGTGGCCGGGAAAAGTTGAAAGATGGACGCGGTAGGTAATTCGAGGCTTCTGAGCTGACCGAAGGAGATCTTGGGTGTGATCGAACAAACGGGGACATGGGAGAATGAGGCATGGAGATACCACTGCCGGAGGATAGTTGGCGCGACTTGGAGAATGTTGAGCCTGCATTCGAACTTGTGTAGTCGTCATCAGAACTCTCTGGTTGCATATATTTAGGATTGTAGAGAGAGTGCGGCATCGGAGACACTGGTGGTGCTAAGGTGGTCGAGATTTGAGGTTGATTCGAGTCTGAGGAGGACCCACGAGAGATCGATGATGAATCCTGGGAATTGGAGTGAGGAGTAGGTAGATTACTTGCTGAATCCGAGCCATCTCGGTGCAAGGCCGCATCTTCTTCAGGTGTCTCGACCCGCGGTCCCTCAAAGTACTGGCTGGATGCGTCCTTTTCGTAGTCTTCGATCCTCGGCACGGGAGTATGACTAGGGTCATCGAAACTGCCATCGCCATGCAGAATCGACAAGCCGCTGATGCGCGGATGCTGTGATTGAGGTCTGAATTTCGGATCTTCTATAGCTCGCCTAGCTATCAAGTCGGGGCTGCGTGTGACATGCGACCGTTGAGAGTGGTCCGAAGTGGGTGAGCGAAAGTAGCCCGGCCGCGGCTGCGATAAAGATCTGGCGACGCTTTGAGGAGGCAATCGGCTCATCCGCCGATCTCTTCTCATCGACTCATCCAGCTGCCTCGCCAACATGCGACCTTGAGCTGCGAATGCGTCGAGCGGAGAGAGGGCGGGTGGTATTTCACCGTCGAAGTGTTCGATGCGAGGGGAGGGACTCCCTCGCGCAGAGCGAGAGCCATCGCCATGTAGTTCGAGGAAATCTGGCCGCGAGCCCATAATAGCGAATTTACAGGCGGCGGAGCGAGTGAACTAGGCGAGTCGTTGAGCCTCCTATCCAAACGGAAATTTGGCGAGGTGGCAAGACAGCGACCCGCGCAACAATGAGCAGTCGGATGGCAGTGTTGACGGTCGACAAAGCGCTTTGTTATCCCAGCTGCAGTGACTTTCCACAGTCGTCACCATTGGTGCACGAAGCGCAGTTGAAACTAGAAGGCGTGACGAGGCGCAGTTTATTTTGGGAGGGCCGAGAATTCGAGGGTGAGACAGACAAGTAATGGTCGGGGGCAAAAAACGTGGCGAGGTGGGCGGATTGATTAAGGAGTGACGGCCCAGGGGGGGTGCGGTGCAAATGCGAATGCAAATGCGAGTGCGAGTGCGGGTGTGCGATCGAGCGGCTCTCAAAGCAGCATATCAGGCTAATTTGTTGAGGGGAAGGAGAGAATGAAGTTGGATGGATTGGTTTGCCAGATGGAGGATTGGAGATAGGGAGAGACTGTAGACAGCGGCAGTGGCAGCGGCAGCGGCAGCGGCAGACCTGGGGGGACCACGGCCCATAATAACCGTGATAGTAGCCAATAGTTCGTCAGGTTAATTACTGTTTGTTGCTACTCAACTCCATTAATGGCAGGAAATAATATTACCGTATTACAGAATTGAAGAATTCACATATTATCCTGCTCGTGGTTATTATTATTATACTGACTATGGCTATTGCTGTGGATTGTTACGAGAATGGCATTCTGAATAATTCCTGCTAATCATTACAAATAGTATTCTATTAACTAATTAGTTATTGGTAATTGATCCTACGAACGATCTTATGGTTCCGTCACCAACTAATTGACCAAGTCTGTCCGCAATACTAATAATATGTCTTGTAACTTATAAGACAGCAGTAGTGACAGGAGTCAGGGGTAAAACCTTGGCGCTCGCCACAACGGAGTACATGCATGGCATTAATACGAGAGCCACTCTGTTACGTCAGTTTGTCTGTCACTTCGACTGGTTCATGAAGAAGAGACCACTCGCACAGAAGCTGAAGCAAGACAGGAGCGAGCCGTGCACGGAGAGAGACGAGCGAACAGAGGAATCTGAAACCAGGCTCATCTCGGGCTGGATGGCGTAATTTGTTGGGCGGGGCAGAGTCTGCAGCAAGAGTCCATTATCCATCAAGATCGACATATGCCAAATTGCCCTTCCTGACTGTTAAAAATAAACTCTTCGAGGCTTTGACTCAGCATGTTCTGGCCCTGATCACCGTAAGCAGCGTCATGGTAATGTCATGCTGCAGTGACGTGCTGCTGTACTTTTCAGAGAATAATCATCAATGTAGAATAATACCAGTTGATTCGTTGGTAGTATTATATTCTGTTCGTCAGAGATTTAATTGGCATTTAGAGCAGGGATCGCTCGGCACCACGAGTCACTGTGAATAAAAAAAGTCGGTAGTTGCTAGTATTGCACTCAGTATGAAGTAAGCGATAAACTGTGAGGAGGCCAGACACCCGTCAATTCTCAGTTTTTATAATAATAGTAGTCATCTCTTTAATCATAGTTTAACCCTAAGACAGAGTATGCAAGGAGCCAGGAGCAATAGGGACGACGAGAGTCGCTTAAGAAAGTTAAACGGACGGCTATCCTTGAGGTGTGTAGTATTGAAAGAATAAATAATTAGTTATTATTCAATGAAACAAAAAGTAGTGCACTTATCACATATCACATAATTGTCTCTATGTAGGTTGTCTGTTTCGGGTATAGGGCACTTCTCCAGACTGTTACAGAATCCGAGTTACAATAACGCACAAGTAACTTTGAACTAAGACATGTGGAGGCGATCCTCTCATAAGTAAATGCGCTGCGTGTCCTCGTGATGACCAGCATACGATACCCCCATGAAGCGATGATGAGAGCTGTTTGAGAGTCGATCCCTGATTCTCAACATAGAAGAGGAACAAAACAACCAGCCAAAGAAGTGAGGAAAGAAGAAAAGACAACAAAATGCGCCCACTCCTCAGCCTCTTTGGCGCTGATCCTTCACTTGATCACCAGCATCCCTTCGAAACCTCATGGTGCCTACCACCCCTCGTGCTCGCTGGATACCGCGCCATTGTCGCCATCTACATCTTCTTCTGCATCTTCTTCATCTTCGGCTGGTATGCTACCCATGACGAGGACGCCACGATCGGCCAGTCCTTTAGCTACTTCACATGGCTGAACTTCTGGGGCATGGGCTTCTACTTCCTCGTCGCATCGATCCATACCTTTGTCTACGCGGCGATAGGGCGATCTGCGATCTTCAATAAACTGCCGCGAGCCTTCATTGGCCTTCACAGCCTGTTCTATACCTGCGTCACAACGTTTCCGTTCCTGGTTGTGATTATCTTCTGGGCGATTCTGTATTCGGGAAGTTGGTATACGTATTGGTTTGGTGCTTGGAGTAATGTATGTGTATTCACTTCTTCGCCCGCTAAAACGATAATCGCTAATCTAGAGTCTGATCAGATCTCTCAACACGGCCTAATCGGCTTTTATGCGCTCCTCGAAGTCTTCCTCACCACCACCCCACCCCACCCACTTCTCCACCTGGCCTTCCTCATCCTACTACTTCTCCTGTACCTCGCTCTCGCCTACCTGACTCACAAGACCGAGGGCTTCTATACATACAGCTTCCTGGACCCCGGCAACCGCGGTCAGCACAGCGGCAAAGTGGCCGGCTACGCCTTTGCGATTCTGGCTGCTATCATCGTTATCTTCGCTGTGACTTGGTTCCTGATCTGGTCACGACGGAAGCTGACGGGTGGGCGGATCAAGAGGGCGAGGAAGGATCGGGAGCTGGTGTATTCGAATCAGCGGGGGCGTTTGGGTCGTCGCAGGGGTATGAGAAGTGATCCTGTGAAGCGGTTTAGTCTAGATAGGGTTATTTATTTTCAATTCTTGGGTTTGTTTAGAAAATTCTGTGGAGGATTTGGTTTCTGATGTACGCGATGCTTGTTCTTCATGTGTTAATATTTGCTTTTCCCTACCTGACTGGAACTGTGAACCCTAATGATCATTGATACCCTGCAATTACATATGTACATCAATTGATTTATAGTCATGCCTGTGTCGGACTTTAAAATAACCATAACTCATTCTAATAATTCATCATTGATATCACCATTATTCCGAATTACATATACCAGAGAGAGCAAATAGAGCAGAGTATTACCAAAGCGGAGAATCGGTTACACAGATACTGGAGAACTACCTACACCCTCTCCCACCCAGTCTCGCTGCTCGCTCCACTATCCGACGTGCTAAGAGCATGCCCATTGCCCAACATCAACCCAACGATACTGGCCGGAATCCAGTATCCAATGATTCCATACGAGCGCGATCCCCGTCCCACAAACACGACAGCCTTTCTGCGCTTCTTCTTTCCGAAAATAGACTTTTGCGGAGGCGTGAGACTGTCGAAGACGGCGTGGTACAACGCGCGGCCTGGCGAGCCACGGATTGCGCTGGGTCCATTGGATGCTACAGGTCGCTGCTCGATGCTGGACATGTATGATGGCCCGTATAGCGCCCGTTGCTGCGGGCTCCATGCGAGGATTTCGGTGCCGGTGACTTGGGAAACGCGGTACTGCGAGCCGAGGTCGAGATTGCCGAGTCGCATTTCGACTACGTCGGTGTTACATGGTGTGCCGTTAGAAAACTGTAGCAGGCGAAGTTCCTGTCGTAATGAGGTTGCGAATCCGGAGAGAGCGCGGGTGACGGCGACTTCGGGGCCAGCGTAAGGAGCTGAGAGGGAGGAAGAGATGGAGGGGTAGAGAAAGAGGATTGCATTGCTATGGTTTCGGTGTGTGAGGAGAGGCATGAACATCTGAGTGATTAGTATTGGTGAGAGGAGTCGTGTGTTGACGGTATCTGCCCAGCTTGATGCGGGGATTGTCGGTACTGGGCCGGTGGGATAGTTTAGAGAAGGTAGTATAATTAAGCCACTTAGGTGGCAGGTATGCGGCTGGATACCAGGCGCGGGGGATTGCGGTTGTGATATGAGGGAATAGATGCCATGAAGTGCTGGATGTATTCCGGACGGTGTGGTGGGGGTCTTGTTTAGTTAGTGATAATGATCATAGATCTAGCATGACGCGTACTCACTGTTGTCAAGTCGAGATGCAAAGCTCGGATATCCGATCGATTTTGCGTCTGAATGATATGCTCTTCTTCCACTGTTTGAACAACGACATAAACAATAAACCCACGGCGCTCCAGATCCTCTGCAATTGCTCTCGTCATAGGCTCATGAGGAGATCCGGCGATGACTGAATTAACTTAGTACCACAGCCTATGACTAAAACCACATCAACACATACCGACAATTTCCTTTCGAGCCCCATTTCCGGCCCTTCTAGCCCTTCGCTTCTTTTGATCAAACGCGCGACTACCCAGTAACAAAACTCCACCGGTCCCGAAAAATGCCACTATCGCGGCAGTCCATGCCCTATTGCGCAAAATCCAGTCGTAGACTCGCTCCGGGACTGAGCGCGGTTTCGGGGGGTGCAATAATCGAGCATCGCGAGCACTGCCGTATACTATAGAGGGAAAATAGACTGTTAATGTGTCTTTGACCACAGTGGCAGCGTAGTCCACGTGGCGATCGATGGCTTCTGCCACCTCCGTCGAGTATCGCTTTACGTCATGCGGGATGGACGACAGCTGGAAAAGACATGTCAGAGCCTGCGCGTTGTATCAGATATTGGTATTACTCACGAAATCTAGAAAAAATTGGTCATCGCTCGTCATTTCGAGATCAGTATAATAAAAGCACTCATGGAATGATGGGAACTGGCGATGAGCAGAGGCAGAAATAATCTACTCGGCGATAGCTCGATATCACCGGCTAGTCACATGACAACTACGCCGCCACAGTCTCGATCTCCACCGCCCGATAACGACCAGTTTTGTGAAGTCAGGTCATAAAGATTTTTAAACAATACATCGCAATGCCTACAAAAAGAGAGACTGGGAAGGCTGTCACTTCCTGTACGGAATGCCAGCGTCGGAAACAAAAGGCATAGCATCCGTTATTGCCCTGCTGATGATAGCAAGCTAACAGGAGATCTACAGTGTAGCCGCGAGTGGCCATGCAATCACTGCCAATCAAGAAATATACCTCACCTTTGTCAGTTCATTACCGGAAAGCCCGATAGGAACCCTCACAAAATAAGCAAACCCTCATCTAGCAATAAAAGGTACGTTAAACAGGTCATGTCACCCCTAGTTCCGCAAACTGAATGCGTACAGAACCTCGTCGGGTATCCGGAAAGAGAGCTGCCCCAAAACTGCTCCAATCAGCTCAGATGTTTCCGAGAACTCTGAAGATGAGGGGTTTCGCGCTATGGGATATATGCCTGATGAGGGAAGTTTTACCAAACTTTTCCCTGATGCTGATGGTGACTTCGTAACATCAGATACCGAGGCAATCCTGAGCTCTATGCCCCCAAAACCTTACATGGGTAAGATAAGAGCCTATCTTTAGTAGACATTGATTTTGTTAACTGGAAACAGAATCTCTCGTCCGGTATTATCTGAATGAGCTCAACTACCAATATTATATTCTCTATCCCCCGCAGTTTTTGCAGGAATACACGGCTTGGTGGGCGAAAAGAGCCAATGGACAGAAGCTAGGTGCTGCCTTTACCTGCCTTCTGCTTAGGGTCTGCGCTTGTGCGACCCAATCTGTTGGCGGAGAGCTACGCCAGAAGCTTGAGCTTGAGTTAGGAGAGAAAACACAAAATCTCTCGCAGCGATATCATGAAGCCGCTCAACAACTTAGCTCAAAAATACCATCGAGAAAAGGGGGCCTAAGCCATGTTCAGCAGTTGCTATTGACTGCCGCCTGGTTCAAGACTGAAGCATTGTTTGCAGACTCCTGGCAAGCTTTGGGACCTGCGATACATAAAGCCCAGGAATTAGGTAAATAAATTCGAATCTGTTATATTTCTTTGCCTAATGTACTTCTAGGTATGCATAAAGATGCACTGAACAGGTGTTTTGCCGACTTTGAATGTGAGATGAGGAGGAGAGTATGGTGTATTCTTTATATATGGGACTGGTATGAACGAGAGCCTTGTCTTTTGGATTTCAACGATTGACACGGGAATAGGCAAATGTCGTCGTCTCTCTCTCGACCGCTCATAATCAGCGATTTAAGCTTTGAAATGCCGACCGAAAAACTAGAAAACGATTCCGAAAACAATGACAATCTCCCATCTCCGATTACACATATCATTCTCCAATGCCAATTAATTCAAAACTTGTCCAAGATAAGAGGACTTACGATGGATGATGTTCCTGATCTTCAAGTATACACTGCACTGCAGGCTATTAATGACTGGTTTGAATTTCTTCCATCAGTCTACCACCTCTCAGATCCGGATACACGATGGGATGAAGCGCATCACTACGTCTTATTGCAGCGTCTCCAGCTTCATACTATAGGGAACATGCTACTGTTTCAGTTGTTGAAGCCTTTTCTTTCCGGATCACACCAAAACGGAAAATACAGTGTCGATGATTCTTTAACAGAGGCAGGGGTTGATTGCGCATTGAAACTGGTTGATATATCGCATCGATTCTACGACCTTTCATATCCCATCTATTCAAAATTTCACGTTGTCATATTCGTCATGTTTGACACAATCGCTGCTCTTTGTTCCGCCATTACCCACGACACCGACTGCGAGCTGTACCGGAGACAGGAGGCGATTAAAAGTATTTATCTGATTTTGAGTTTGTTGGATCAAGTTAAACACTTTTCTAAAACCGCAGCGGTGTGCCATAGAACTCTGTCTAGGCTTGTGATTAAACTTCCTTTGTCATCACAAGAGAGACTGTCAGATGTCACTCAATCTTCTCCAAGTTTTGGTGGGAATCTTGGGTCTTCAGAGCAATCTCTCGACGAGATATCTGCTAGTAACAGTTTCACATTAAGTGATACCCCTGAAAACCCGTTCCCAGAAGGATTGAAAACCCCTGCATTATTTGACCTTCCCGATATTTCGTTTGAGAATGGGCATTTTCCTACTATAGGTGACCTTTCTGTTATGGACCTGGGAGGGATCGGGTGGGAAAATATTGGGTTGGAGATGCCTTTAGGGTTTGTTCCATGAATTATCTGAGATGATTGTCAAATTAGAAATTTACGATAAACAACTTCGCTGCATGTAATATAATAAATATCCATACTATTTACCTGCTTGACTGATCGTTTGGGACCAATATGCCCTTTTTGGGAGTGCCACGTGACTTCGTGTCGGGTTTCGCGGTCTTTCGCCACCTGAAAGTTGTAGGTCTTCCCATCAATTTTTCTAACAAACATCCAAAAGTTGTTTCACTAGCTTCTCGTCAATTTTTTTGCCTCTTCCTTTTTCATTTTGGTTGGAATTCTAATATCCAATCTGTGCCTTCTGATTCAGGGGCGACGTGTCGTCGGTGCCTGCGTGTTGTGCCTGCCTGTATTGGAGCTTATTCAGATTACAAAGCTCCTTCTGGATCCATCCACAACACAGGTCTTTGCACAACAAAGCAGGCATACCTTTCAATTCGCTCATCTAAAACCAAATCTGCAAACAATCACAATTCTCGCATGATTTATATTTCTAAATAAAACAAACAAAATGCACGAAATCGACCCGCTGATCCTTGAGTATCAACATGAAAAGCAGCGACCTAGAGAATCAGAAGCTCTTCTCATTCTGCGCAAGGTGGCTTCGCTAGTTAAGCCGATTATGCGACAACGTAGCTGGAAGGTTGGAACTTTAACCGAGTTTTATCCGCGACAGAGAAATCTGCTTGGTCTTAATGTAAACGCCGGCCAAAAGATCTGTTTGAGGCTGCGGTATCCTAGTGATGAACGCCAGTTTTTGCCCCTTGAGCAAGTCGTTGATACTATGTTGCATGAGTATGTTGTATACTTGATATGTTACAGACAAATATTCTGATTGAAAGGATAGGTTATGTCATATTGTTCATGGGCCTCATAATCGAGAGTTTCACGCTCTCTGGAAACAGCTTCGCGACGAGCATGATGAACTTGCCATCAAGGGATATACTGGAGAAGGATTCCTTTCAGAAGGACAGCGTCTCGGTGGTCGCAAGATGCCTATCGACGAAGCCCGCCGACTCGCTCGCACAGCTGCTGAACGGCGGAGAACATTGTCCGCCGGCTCTGGACAGAAGCTTGGGGGAACACCACTCCTGAAGGGGACGGATGTGCGGAGAGTCATCGCTGATGCCGCTCAACGACGCATTGATGTTACAAAAGGATGCGCTTCTGGCTCCAGCGAAAGCGATGAGCTTGTGGAAGAGGCTTCTCGGAACGGCTTCCGAACCAAGGCTGAAGAGGACGATGCAAATGAGCGGGCAATAATGGAGGCCTACATTGAGATGATTCAGGAGGATGAACGTACGAAATGGGGCTCGTTATATGTCCCTCCTAGTCAACAGAATCCCGCTGGACCGCGAGGAACTGTTTATCCAAATGCCGCACCTCCTGTCCCAGTGCATTCGAGGCCCCGCAGGCAGCTGGTTTCTACCACGAGAACTCTATCCGAATCTGAACCTAATTCTGGAGCGAAGAGCAGTGATATTATAGACGATATACCATGGTCATGTTCAGTTTGTACACTCGAGAACCCTCCTACTTATCTATGCTGCGACGCATGCAGCAGTGAACGACCTACACCCTCGTCCCTGACAGCCCAGTCTCGACTCGTGACGAAGCCTACCACAAGTCACACGAGGAGGGATTTATCGAAATCTCGCAGCCAGTCATCTTCTGATGTCTCCAGTAGTCGAGTTCTCTCTCTTAAGAAGAATGCCTTGGAAACTGTCGCTGCATTGGAACAAAGCAGGTCAAAGCGGCCTCTTGGCTGGCTGTGCCATGTATGCGGTGCATTTATGGAAACTGAGTGGTGGACATGTTCAGCCTGTGGGACAATGAAAGCTAATTCATGATTTGACTGTCTTAATTATCTGTTTTGGAGGAATTACGAATACTTAAACTTATACCCTGAGCGATGGTGTTAGGGATTTCAAGATCTGCCACGCATTACATATGTACCATGAAATGTATGAAAATGACGATTTGCTTCTATACTTGAGTTAAGAACATCTCTGGTCTTCTGAAATTCTTGTTCTGTATTTATCAATAATGTACATGCCTATGTATATCCCACGTGACTTGATAGAGTGCCGATATTGCCTGTGCGGCTACCCTATGTTGTTAATTCTGAGCGCCTGAGACTTCCTCATCCGTCACATGACCTATCTATTCCTGGAGTTAACTCATAATAGGAGTACATATGATGAGAAGATCAGTTACAAGCATAATTGGTGCTCTGGAGGAACGAATTAGTGCTGTGCTGATTCATATTGTTCCACGCCTCGTCGTTCCTACAGACCGAGCTCTCTAAACACTCTAAAAACGCTCGCGGAACAGATGATTTACAACTAGGTTGTCTTGACAGGCAGATTTTACGGTAGAAGCCAACTATAAAAACGGAGATGATATAAACATACAATCACCTAGGTATCTAACTATATTAGTAATAGCGTGATATTATATAAGCAGCGCCTAACTCCCGCAGCTTGAAAATTCTCTTGTCTCAAAGCAGACACCATTCGTCGAAAGCAAGTGACCACACACACCAACAACTTGATGGACCGACTAACCAACTTGACAGCTTGAATACTAAAATCTTCATAACTACGGCATAACCAAAGCAACATTATTTTCTGCTTACAACAACAGGTAAACCATCCACCTAACCCATTCCATTTCGTTCATCCCATCTCCACCTACACACACAATTGATATGATGAGAAAAATTTCGAACCACAAAATTAATAGGAAGAGCCGGAAGAGGTATGGCACAAGAAACACTCTAAAAAAATTAAAAGAGTGGTGTGCCGTCGGTGCTTAGAATTGGTTCTACTGAAGAAGATTTGCGTGCTGTGATGTTTTGGTTATTGACGTTTGAGTCTGGTCTTGATGAAGGTTATACTAACTTCAGGGGAATATAGGGTCAATCACGATTTTTCGAATTGATATGATGGGATAATAACGGAGGAATGGTTATGGATGGCATGGATAGAGGTACCGTTGGAGATACCGATTTTATATTCGTTTTAAAGACATTGGATTTTGTGTAATTGCACGTAGTGCCATGACTAGAGTACACGAGTTTTATAGTAGGATATCTATACTTTTATTCATAAACCATCCAAAAAAACAAACACTCACCGCGCCAGAAATGCTTTTACAAAACCAAAACTAAGCAATGTTGACATATGTTCTCTTAATACCCGATGAAGTCTTCGAAATTTGCTGTTCCTCCCATGTATCCACGTCGACGTAACTTTTGCTTCCTTGTTCACGCACCTGCAACCCTATAAAGTGCAGGGCAGCGAGATTGAAACCCATCTCATCCTTTTGCTTCGCTAGCACCTCTCGCAGCGTCGACCGGATTCGGTTCAGCATCGGCCGCATCATCTTACTCGAGACAATCTGGCGATGATGAGTCTTCAACATGAAGAAAAGCACTCGACATGTCAACGGGACTTCCCACTGTCGACTCGCCCAGATCTCAAGGAAAGTGAACAGGGGTACAAGTTTCGAAAACGGCAAGACGAGAAGCGCATCTTGCAGGGAAGCAGCGGGGATGCTCTGTACGATATTGAGAAGATGTCGCTCGGCTGAGACATTGCCGAGAGCCATATAGATCGCATTTCTCTGCGGGGGCGCCGCGTTGGGGTTTTTAGCTTTGATGGCTCTCCATTGACGCATGGTTTCTAGGTCTTCCATGCCAAGGTCGAGAGCCTCGATGATTCTTTCACCAGCCATGAGAGTGATGACGGTTTGTTTGCCGGCGTCAACTGCCTCGGGTTTCTCGTCTTCGTTCTCCTCATCTTCGAGAGAGGTGGTGAGTGTGTTTTCGTACAGTTCTTCGAGTTCCTTTTCGCGTTCTTCCTCAAGGAATAAAGGCTCATCGGTCTGCTGCCATATGCGGATGCTCTTGTCATGGCTAGCACTAATGAGGAACTCGCCCGAATGCCCCATGACAAGAGCCCAGATCTCGCCGTAATGGCCTTCTAGTTTTTGAATCTGCTCGAATTTATCGCCATCCCAGTATTTGATTACCCGGTCTTTGCTGGCGCTGAAGAAGTTGTGGCCATTTCCCTCGTTGTTGTTAGGTACAAAGGCTACCGACATGATGCTGTCTTGATGTGCAAAAAAAGCCCTATGGCAGTCTCCAAAATCCAAACCCCAGAGTCGAACGTTCTTATCGGCAGAGCAAGTGACGATCAGCTTGCTATCGTAGGATATGTCCATGTTCAGAACGGGCAATTTGTGACCATAGAGGTTTAGGAAGAGCTTTAGAGTATCGACAAAGAAGACTTTAACGGTGTTATCAAGCAACGCGACTGCAAGAAGTCGGGAATCGGGAGAAAACCGAACGCTAAGGATATCATCTGACACCTTTAATGTTCGAGTATGCACAAGCTTCAGCTTAGGAGTGGTACGTTTTGTCCCAGGGATCTCCTCTTGAACGACTTGGAAGTTCCAGAATTTCGCCGTTTTGTCAGCACTCCCAGTCACCATGGATTTGCCGTCTGGATGGACTTGTAGAGTCCACACGGGTCCATCATGGGCCTTGACTGTATCGAGTAGTGTTGAGGATGCAATGTCAAACACTTCTAGGTCGCCATTTTTATTTCCAACCACCACGATCTTGTCGCCTGGTAGGAAAGAGGAGCATAACGAGTAGCCACAGTCCAGCGTCCTGAGACAACTTGATGTCCGTACATTCCAAATTTTCAGGGTGCCGTTGGATGCTGAAGCTAGCATTCTATCGTCTGAACTAAGAGCGAGGGAGCGTATGTCGGTTCGGTGGCCAGGTAAATCCACCGATAGAACCCGGCTGTACTCTGTTTCCTCACTATCTTTGGCCCGTTTTTCCCCAGCCGCCACAACACTATATGTCTCAAGTTCATTATTTGTGGCCGCAGTAAGAATCTGTAAATTACCAGTGGACTTGGTGGTCATCCAAGCAAAAGACTTCAACTTGCCACCTGTTCTAACAATCACATGCGGAACAAAGACTTCGGAGATAGGTGGCGGTAAATTGTCATCGTTCTTGTCCTTTTCTTCTGGGATTTCTTCGTTTGAAGCTTCCTTCTCCTTCCTCCTTTTCCGCTTTCTAGCAAGACTCTTCTGTACTTCTGTTGACGAACGAATCCGCCAAATCTCGACAGCTTTTTCTGACCCATGGATACCGATGTAATCTGCTCGTGGATGAAATATAATCCCAGTGGTTCGATCTTTACCCTGTCGATATAGAGTACCCTGTTCGGTCAAGATCTTTTTGTTCTCGTAGCCTTCCTTTTCCTTGGCCACTTCCATCATTGTTTCTTGGTTAATAGACCAAACTTTTAATTCGCCGTCGTTTCCGCCAGTTATACAACCACTTTGGTCTGGCGACAACCCTAAACTCCAGCATTCACCGTTGCTTTGAGCGACATGTGTCTCAATACAGTGCTTGGAAGAAAGATCCCAAATCTTAATTAGAGCGTCCTTGCCGGTTGACAGCAAAAAGCCACCGACGGCAGTCTGGTCTGTCATTCCGTCGCTGGCCCCATCGCTTGATGACAGGAAATTCAGCGAGGTGATCTGATCCGTGTGCCCGCGTAATTTGTACAAGCCAACTTCAGAAATGAGGTCCCATACGATAATATCCGTGTCTTTCGCACCGCTTGCTAGCCGGACACCGGACTGATCAAAGGCGAGTTGTGTGATTGCGCTTTTGTGGCCGTTGAAAGAAATAATCACCGTGCCTATTCTGGAATCCCAAAGGCGAATGCTTCCGTCATCGTATCTGTTTGAAAGCGTGTCATTAGTAGCCGAAGATTGAAAATTCATTCCTAGACCTACCCAACCGCGAAGACATCCTCGTCCGCCTTGCTCTGCGTGATTGTAGTCACTTGGGCCTTGCAGTCGGCGTCTCGCCATTGGCCTAATAATTCCCCTTTCTTGATATCCCAGCAGAGAACCTCTTCATTGGCGCCGACAACCGCCCGCCCAGCGCCCGTACGCCGCTCAGTGCCGGAGATATCTTCGTCTCGAGTCCATACTGCGTTGGAGGAGGAGGAAGTGACGAGACCGAAAGTCTTGGAATGCTCGAATTTTCTGGAACAAGAGTTAGAGAATTTGCCCTAAAAAATAAATTTGGAATTTCCACTCACAAATATGACTTCACCATGGTCAAGAGCTAACGACGTAAATCTGGAGCTCTGGATCGGCCTCCGCAGCTTTTTTCTACTATCGATTGAATGGCTTTTTTTTCTGCTATCGATAATACTACGGGCGGCGACAGAGCGCTGTATAGCAAAGGCGGTGAGCGGACCAGTTACGTACTCAGCACTTGCGGGCGCATGACGAAGGACGTCCACTTCCAGGAACAACACAACAGTAAACCCAGGCATTGCCTTTCTGCTTTCTCTTCTACCCCGTGCGGAGAGTTGTTCCAGTGCCATGCGCACTGTCTCGCCATAATGCTTCTCCTCGACTACCACAATGTGCTCATCCAATCGCTTCTCATAGAGCGATTCTCTGGGTAATTAGCCCCGCTGAGATATCTCCATGTGTACTCTTCAGGCAACAAAGCTAACGCGAGTGTACCAGAGCCGCACCAGTATCAATAGACCAGATTGTGTCTGATTTTGACGGCGTGACATTCCATGTTTCCACCCCAGAATCAAAGACCAAAATCGTCATTTCCATCGCCCTCAAATGCTTCCGCGAACTCGTGCAGTATGGCGCCCAAGCAGTGCTGGAGCGGGAATATGGACCTTATATCGTTAACCCAGAGGCCGGGTATGACTTTTCGGTCCAGGTAGACTTGGAGGACCTGCCGGCGGATGAAGAAGGAAAAGAGGATTTGATAAGGCGCCTATCGTTGCTCAAGCGAAACGTTATGGCTGCACCCTTCGAGCGTGCTTTCGACGAATTTGCTAAGCTGTCGGAGGAGGCATCCAAATACACTACAGAGTCTGCTCCACAGGGCATCAAGGAGGGAGGAGAAGTTATGGCTGTTCACTACCGAGAGGAGGAAGCGATCTATATCAAGTCTAGCCATGACCGCGTGACGGTTATCTTCAGTACTATCTTCCGTGAAGAGACGGATCGTATTTTCGGCAAGGTTTTCTTACAGGTAAGCATAGCACAATTATTATAACAGTACAAGGCATTCGCTAATAATCGTAGGAATTTGTTGATGCTCGAAGACGTGTACAGACGTTGCAGAACGCCCCTCAAGTCCTGTTCCGAAACGATCCTCCTCTTGAATTGCAAGGAATTCCGGGTCTAAAGAACTCGGGAGACGGCAAATACAGCTATATTACCTTCGGTTGGTCTACCTTCGCGTATGTATCAGAACGAAGCAGCTGACGAATCAGTTCTTTTCCCTCGACACTTGACGCCTCAACGCCGCAACGACAGCATTTCTCACATCCAGACATTCCGAGACTACTTCCATTATCACATCAAGGCATCTAAAGTGAGTTTTTCTGTCTTTTAGAGTTGCTATTTGTTCTCATCGTCTATAGGCCTATATCCATACTCGTATGCGAAAGCGTACAGCAGACTTTCTCCAAGGTATTCCAGCCTATAATCCAGCGTACTCATATTATTAATGACTATTCTAACTTGTTTAGTCCTCAACCGTGCGAGACCGGAAAACGAGGAGCGCGAAAGGAAAACAGCCAGTGGAAGAACGTTCCGTGTCCAGGGATAATTCGTTCGAGTTTCTCATGCATTTTGGATCAGAGGTCTGTTGCTGGTGTCAATACGATGTATACATGTTTATCTGTGAGGTAGATGTTTCTGGAGGCTAGCTAAATGCAACGAAAATAATGCACGTTATCCACTAGAGCTGTGTAGGTCATAGTCAGATTTGTTGCAACAGGGATGTAGAGCCCTCGAACGAGTAAGGGAGTCCGCGACTCGGTATCTTTAGAGGAGAGGTACGATCAAGCAATGAATTAGGGGGGCGAGGGTCTTTATCCGGCTCCTTGACGCTGTTTGTGGATTCTCCACTCATGACAGACTCAGGCGCATCTGGTTCATGGTGTCTTAGTCGTTGAATGGCCTGCACAACCTTCAAGATTCCCTCATGATTAGTTCTCAAGTTAGAATCCATAAACGATGGCCCCGGATAGCTAAGTCGCTTTCCGGGCAGTCTCTGTGAGATCGTGTAATCAGAAAAATCAGATGGCCCTTAATATCAATAAAGAGGTTAAATGGAGGGGTTAGTTATGAAAAAGTTAATCGTACCGGGCTATATATTAATCTGAACTAAATGAAGAGTAGGGGGCGGGGTAGAGACAGCTGAAGCGACCCCAGCTGCATGGTGAAAGAGGCTGAAGACACGCTTGCATGTGCTATCTGGACCATGATTTGCTCCCTTCCACAACCCGCATGAGGCTGTGTAAATGCAGCGTATCTTTTTTGGTATTTTGATAGCAGATTTTCTATTGATATTGTGTAGGTATTAATTAGAGTTCTGTCAATTTATAATTTTTTATGCTTTCTGATATTATTGCTTGTATTCTAAAGCAGCACACACATTTGAAATTGACTTTACTAGTAAACATCAGTTAATGTCGACCATCAGATGAAAACATGGAGAACCAGTGAGATATCATGTTTTACTACCCCTGCTGCTGCTGCACAGCGCTTTGGAAAAGCCTGGCCAAATCATGGGCTGCATCATCGGATCCAAACATTTTTTCTAACAGAGTGTCCGTCTCATCGCCAGCTTGCTTCGCACGTTCGACTAGGGCGGTTTCAAACTCCTTCAATAGCGGATCCAACGTGCTTTGAAATGAGTCGGTATCATTTCCAGATGTCTCATATGCTTTGATGATGGTATGTGCTAACAGAAGCGAGTCATTCATGGCGAGGTTGACACCCTCTCCTGATGGCAACATCAAATGAGCCGCGTCGCCGACGAGGGTTACGCCGGTTTTGTGTTCCCAGGAGCTTCCATGGGGGAGTTTATAGAGCGCTCTGATGTCCAGACTCGCGCCCGGGTTGTCTATCGTCTCCTCGTCGCATGCGGTAGCCACCAGTTCCTTGATCGTGTTGCCGAAGGTGCCAAGAAGTGTGTCATCACTGAGCAGCTTGTCCTTGGCGTTTGTAGCTGGCTTACCAGCTAGGTCATAGGACGTGGCGAAGTTTTCGTCAGGGTGTGTGAGCCAGAGGTAAACCCTGGACGAGTCGATAGGTCCGCGCTGCGATATTATTACGTGCCTGTTTCCGAGCGAGCTGAAGGACCCAGGCCCGAGAATATTGGCTAGATGAGGGTACTTTTTGGTTATGTCTTTGATTGTGATGGTGATATTGAGCGTGCCGGAATATTGTGGCATCGTGTTGGTGAGTAGCTTTCGGACCTTAGACCACGCGCCGTCCGCGCCAATGACCAGGTCAAATGTGTACTTGCCATGAGTCCCAAAATCGAGCTCAGTTTCGGTGTCACTAGGAGTGGCTAACTTGGTTGCAGATAGTAGTCTATGGTGCCACTTGATACTCTCCGCTGGAATGTTGTCAAGAAGGAGTTTGGTTAGGTTGTGGCGGGAGATTTCTGGGCGTGCGCCATCAGCCGTATCCGTGGCGAGAATATTTCCATTCCTGTCAGCAACTATAAAAACCTCGGCGCATTCGCCAGTGAGTGGTATGAAGTGATCATACAAACCACACTCTTTGATGACCGCAAGCCCAGATTCTGCATGGAGATCAAGCATCCCAGATGGCTTAGCCAGCTCTTCCTCGGTAGGTTGCTCGCGTAGCTCAAAGATGGTGAATGGAATACCATGCTTGTAGAGCAAGACGCCCATTGTCAGTCCAGCAGGACCTCCGCCAACAATGGCAATTCTTGGATGAGATGGCATGGTTGAGGATTGCATGATTGATGCTGAAAGTATCTTTTGTGCCTGATGGACAAGTTGAGTGAAATGCTCTGACTGAATGTCCCTGTACGATTTGAGCAGATCCGCGTTTGCAAGTTATTCTTTGTGGGAGTTGACCGTTGGCTATTGCGTCTCACAATCGACAGGGAATCCCGATGTACTTATAATCACGGTGAAACCGTTTTCGGGGCGGTAACCTCCAAATGGTGAGGTTGAACCCGTAGGCATATGAGCCATTTTCGGGTTGTAGCTTTGATTCTTTGTCCGAGCATTTCAATTCCAGGATGAGCGGTGCCGTGTTTGGAGACCAGGCGCTGTGCTAGACGAGATTTCGGGTTATCAAGAACATTATCCGAGTACGAGTCGGGGCCCGAAGCGCTCAGTAGGAACGACAGGCAATCTTTCTAACCCAACTCGCAGCTACTCGTAAATCATATAGGCAAGAGAGCAAACGACGAAGAGCTGGTGTTGGTGTGAGTAGCAGCTCGGACGTCGTCGGGCCCGAGGAAGCCCACCAATCAGAAACGCTGATGCCATACCTCCTCTCTTCCACCAGGCGAGAGAAGACACGACATCGAGAACTCCTCATTAACATCAAAAATTATGGCCATCTAGTTAGCGGGTTAGCTTATTCGACATTTTATCACTCCTAACCTTGCTCTTCTGTATTATGAACGATGGCAACTACAGAATCGTATTCTTCAGGCATCCACGGCAGACCTACCTATTCCTGTATACGCTGTGCTAACCGCAAAGTCAAGTATGTTAGGTGCTGTTGTGTATACTGTTGCACTATTTTACTCGAGCGAATAGATATGTGTCGGGATCACCCCCAACTGATTTTTCATGAAATGGCATTCGGCTGCTCTTATATCAATTGATGATTGCTGACCTACTAGTAAAGATGCGATCGCAAGCTGCCATGTAGCGCCTGCGTTAGACATGACGCCCACTGCGTCTTCAATTCTTCTCAGACACCTCGAAACAGATCCAAACGCCTCAGCATCCAGACTCTAACTGGCCGACTCAGACATTATGAAGCATTACTCCAAGAGAAAGGCATTGATCCAAACAAGCCGAAACAGTCCGCGGACCCTGAATCAAGCCTTCGACCCAGCCGTATGGCGGCGGAGTCGCGTAATCCAACGTCCAACCAGCCTGAACCAAATCGATCCATGAACACAGCACAAGTGATACAGGGCCCGGGACACTTTAAGTTGGTCGACAAGTAAGCTCATTCGGATACTTCATACATATACGCTGATAGCTTTCTAGTTTACTGTGGACAAGAATGGTAGAAGAGGTAGGATACCAGAGCTGATTCGTATGACTTCATTAGAGAGTACCATGCGCTGATAGTGCAATTAGCTTCACGAGTCTCAAGATGTCTTAAGAGATTCCCCAAATGATAAAATTGACGCAGAAACATCCGATGATGACTTTACATTTGTCCTCAGCAATCAGCTTGCATCCAATAGTAAACCTCGCCATCCACCACTAGGAGACATATATCAGTTATGGCAAATTTTCATAGAGAACATTGATCCCCTAACAAAGGTCCTACACGTTCCTACAGTGCGGCCAGCAATCGAGAAAGCTGCTAGCAATATCGAGACTGTCCCTCGCAGCTTTGAAGCACTCATGTTTGCCATTTATAGCGCAGCTGTTATGTCTATGACGGATGAAGAATGTAAACAAAAATTGTGTGAATCCCGGAAGACCCTCCTGTTGCGATATACATCTACCACAAAGGCAGCATTGTCACGTGCCAAATTCATGGAAACCACTAGCCTTGTTGTTCTCCAAGCATTGATCATTCATCTCCTTGCAGTCCGAGATATTTACGAGCCCCGTGCCGTATGGTCTTTGACAGGCGTGGCTGTTCGCATCGCACAGAGCATGGGCCTTGACCGTGACGGAGTCCATCTAGGCCTTTCTCCATTCGAGACAGAGATGCGACGACGTATTTGGTGGCAGCTCAAGATGCATGACTTCCGGACCGGCGAGCTTTGTGGCATCGCTAAGTTTTATGATCTTCACACCAGTGTCGAGAGCACGAGATGGCCTACCAACATCAACGATGACCAACTATACCCAGGCATGGTTTCTCTCGCGACTGAGTCGAGCAAGCTGACAGATCTCGTCTTCGTTTCTCTAAAATGTGAACTCCTTAACTACGCTGCGAACCGCGCCGCCCGCCTTCGCCAGCAAGGAAAGGCTTCTAACCCATGGGACCCTCCTACGCCAGGAAGCGATACTGCCGACATAGATGAATCCTTTAAAGAAATTGAAGTACTCCTCGAAACAAAATATTTACGCTACTGCGATCCTTCGCAGCCTTTGCATCTCATGGCCATGCTAATGGCTCGGTGTTCCATAAACATCATCCGTTTCATGTCGCATCATCCACGAAGATGGGCTAACAGAGAGCAGATACCAGAATCTGAGAGTCAATTGGTCTGGGAAATCTGTATCAAACTTCTAGAGCAACATAATATGTTGCAGTCAAATCCTCAGCTGAAGCAATTCGCGTGGCATGCGCCATATTTCCAGCAATGGCACGCTATCATTCACGTACTTGATATCCTTCGAACTAATCCACTCAACACCGGCGCGGAAAAGATATGGAAATATATTGGCAATACATACGAGAACAATCCAGGTATGATATTTGACATGAGAAAGCCTATTCATGTAGCCGTAGGCAATCTCTGCTTGAAAGCATACGGCAACCGTGAAGGCGCACTGCAAAACGAGAATACGCTGCAAATACCACACTTCATCTTGCAACTACGTCAACAGCGCAATTCAACCAATACAAGGAGAGAAGAAAGATATGCAAAGGACAACCAACCCGAGGATCTAGTCAGCAGTACCCAGCCAAATCCCCCCAATGACAACCTGAGACTGAGGCCGACCTCGAACGACAGCGTCAACAATTCGAGCAATGCCATAGACTGTACTCATATTAAGCACAGTACAACATCACTGCCCCCGTGTTTTTCTCTTGTGGAAACCGCGGTTACCCCTGACATCGATCCATTATCATTCAATTTCGGATTTGATGACGGCCAAGTCGGCAATATAGACGATGTAAACACGCATCTGGATTTCATGCTAGATCAAGATTTCGGCATAGGGGATACTGCTACGCAATTTATTACCTGGGATCAGTGGGACTCCTGGCTTGCAGACTCTAACATGATACGTCCGCGCTCGTCATGGGAGACCTTTACGACTGACATCTAATCTAGCTTAAGGGGTTTATCTTCTATCGTTTCTAGAGCCTTGCAACAATTGCTTGCGATCATGTTGGCGAATGAGTTTAAAAAATTGATAAATAACCCCTAGATACCTAACTTGCTTGTAATTGCCGCTGTTACTAGATCATGTAGTCTTCTATATCAATTGATATAATTTTGATTATTACTAAAATAGAAATATGTAAACCCTAATCTATTTTATAAAGATAATGTTAAAGTTTACTCAATGAGCTGTTATAGGAGTATTCTAGGTTTAAGAAATTGCGTAGTCTAGAATCAGGTACTAATAGAAATACGTAGTATATTTAATTAAAATTGTAGATCGCGAGTCAATCGAATGCTGAGATGCTAGTTTTGGTTGTGTTCCTCAGAAGACTCAATCTGGAGAATCGAGGCTCCCCCCTTGCTGCACGAGGTGCATCATATTCAACTTCAATCAATACAATACCTAACCATTTCAAATCAAGGACGGGAATTTCACTGTTGCTGGTAAGAAGATGGACCCTTTCATCAAGACTTCCCTGTTCTTGCCACTAACAACTTCCAGCTTTTCCTCCCGAATAGGCGCTGGATGTCAAAGGGCAACACAATATGATTACGCTAATACAAGTAACATCGTTACTGTGTGTGGATTCGTGTACGGTATCCTACAATGTCAGAGTCCCGGAAATCCACTGATTTTCGGCCCCAGTTCGAGCTGGTCGATTCCCATATATACTTGCGCGACCGCTACAAAAGGCCTGATCAAAATAGTGACCTTTTAATTCAACGGTAGTGACGATCTCTCTGGTTTGATGGTCACCAGAATTCCGATAAACCCTATTCTGAGGGTTCCTTAACGCCGCTATGGGGTGTTGAGAATACGAATTAGTCAATGATCGATGTTGCCTCCTTCTGGGGCTTCGTTACGCTAGGTATTGCTAGCCACATATACATATCCACCGTACGGCAAGAAGATCCTAAATATCAAGATCCACCTGGAGGTAACTTCTATATATATGTGTTGGGAGGCGTCTATGGATCTACACCAATTGAACTTGACTATAGTGGTGCATCTAATTATGCGCTCATTCGTCAATAGAAACAATTAACACAAATATCAACAGGGACAGCCCGCATGATAAGTCTCATCTGGACGGATCTAGCGGCCAATTATGTTTTAGGAACTAGAAGCTTGATATCTTCTCCTGAACCATTATCGGCTGAAAATTCCAATGATGTTAGCAAAAAGGTAGGTGAAGCATAAGAGACAAGATCAAACGTCACCTTCCCCGTCACAGCATGTGTAAAAAAGAATAAGATATCAGATTCTTTATGGCATACCGGCCTTCTCCTACTTGGATTGACATCGGTTATTTTCGTCTGTGCCTCTTGGTCAGTTCTTCGAAGCTCTGAGCTAGGGAAAATGCGAACAATACTCGACCGAACCTCGATAGGACGAATCGTTGACTCCTCTGAGTTTGAACCCCCTGGTATTCTGATAAGCGTTATTACGTCAAAAAATGGGTCCATGCAAATGGCAAACTTCAAACTACCCTTAGCGAAAAACTGCACGATGAAGCCACCGACAAGAATGATGTGAGTCAAGAGATTTCGCTACTACGTCATACTAATTAGCGTAGCTATATCATATACTATTTGTCATTTAGTAATATTACTATAAATGGTATCTATTATAATTACATCGTAAAAATAGTTATCATAGTTCAAAAAATCATTATGTAATAGTATCAAAAGCAGTAATAGAGAAGTGTTAAGCTTATTATATAGTATTTCGGCCATTAAGTCCCCGGAACACCGGCAGGAGGCCGCTAGGGAGGCTTCCCCTTAGGGCCGATCTATGGGGGGAGGCTAGGGAAGGAGAGGGGTACCCAGCGGGGCCCCGCAAACCCCTCTATAAAGATTACCTAGCGCCTACTGAAACGACATCAGACCTTCATAGCTTAAAGCTGGGCAAGGTCGTGAAAATTGATTGAATAAATAAATAAATGTATAGTATTTCTATACATATATATCAATCGATAGCGTTGGTGATTTTTGACATTGTCGTATGCTTACTGGGTCTTACGATTTAATCGACCCTGTACCAATCTCATTAGAGATTTGAAGTTATAGGGAGTAGCCCAGGCTGTTTTACACCGGCATCCAGAGCAATACACTCTCTGACTATTCTTGGATTCACTTATGGCTAATTTTAGTCGGGATACCGTGTGACTGCAAATGTTGGGGATACCTTTACAAACTGCTTCATCGCTTAGTTATACTTGCATATGTACTTCTTTAGAGCTGGCTTGTAAATGCCCAAGACATCAAGAGAAATTGTGACATTGAAATCTTATTGGCATCTCTACATAATCGACCTCGACATACTATGTATGAATGTACAAACAGTGCCCAACTATGCGGCGCAGAGGCATAATTACAGATTTAATATATAATGTCTCACAGCATTGGTCGCTAGTGTATCAATTAGCTCTAATTTTATACAAGTCAGCGATAAATCCCAATTAATCTAGACTACCAGTTGACGCTCTGATAACAAAATTCTTGTTTAATACCACCTTGTGTAACCTTGTGCTGACTTTTTAGATCAGTCACACCCAACGTGCTCCGGAACGTACGGGATTGGAGGGCTGCAACCAGATATCTCCACAGGCATGATATTTTGTTTTTATTTGTATTACTTTTCTTTTCCATTCCTTTTCTTTATTGAGTCAGCTCTGCCGTAATGCGGCAGCGCCGCAGCCCGGTCAACCGCCTACTTGGCGAGTAAGCGCCTATGCACGATTGGCGGGTATATTGACAGCTTTATCGGATCATACTGTGCAATCACACGGACTGGAAATGTGACGGGACTTGCAGATGATTATTGCTGCATGCAATAGTTGGTCTTACGAAATGGGACTACAGTATGGAGTTTCTAGCTAAATAGGGAGTGTCATGTAATTAATCGGTTGAAAGCTCAATCATCAAAGGTCCTCGTGGTAGCTGTCGTTTCGCCCACGTTGATCACCCCCGTTATCTCAGGGTTGGCCAGCAGACCAATGATACATACGTGTTCTGATCAAGCCAAGAACGAAACTTCGCATATATATGTAGCTGCGGCTGCAACCTGTGGAATAATATTGATTTGGTGTTCTTTTTTTTTCGGTTTTTCTTTGTTGGTAGCCCGCTGCATGCTTTCTTTTCCTAGGGCTTCTGCGGCCTTGCATCCGTCCACATTCTTGAAGTCGGCCAATCACCTTTTCGCTTTGCCGCAGTAGTGGGAAAAAGCAAAGACCGCGAACGAAGGCCGGGCAAGATATATCAACTCAATTCGACTCTGTTCCGATGGACTTGTTTTTTTGATCTTTCAAGTACACTCTTCTCTTACAGCCGTCATGGCTGGCTTCTTGCTAAGTTTTGTTGTTGTTATAGGGTGTCAAATGTCCGTGTGCGTCGATTGAGCCTATACCGCCGTCATTTTCACAGTTTGACAATCGTGTACAAACATACCGGATTATAGATATGAATTGCAACGCCCGGCGTTTGAGATATGGACTTTGGAGCCAGAAACTCAGAAACAATCAAATTCACTCGCACAATCGCCGGTCTTGCGAGAGTTTCAAATAGGAGAAGAGATACAAAGGCGGAGCAAGCAGCGCAAGCAAGTGTGAAAATGCCTGCTACTGACTGGCTCAGCAAGCTCCCTTTGGAGCTCATTCTGATGATCCTCACATATCTACCTATCCATTCTCTTGTCACCTTTGGTGTCACATCGAAGAGAAACTATAGATACCATGCACTCTGCATGCGAAAACTGCATATTGGTATCTTTCATAAACGATTGCACTCCACGATTGCATTTCTTGACACCGATTCGATGCATGAATTTACAGAAAGCCACGTTTTTAAAAACAGCACAAAGACGCAAAGCCATCAAATACCAGTGGTTCTACCGGAGAGCGCTCTGGGAATGGATATAATAGGTTGCAGATCGCGACCACGAGCTCGTTCTCATGTCTATCGAGCGGTCGAGTCTAGACCGGGAAAACGGCTCTATGCTGAGCTGCTGAATGACAAAGGCATTAGGTTTCTGTCATCTGCCGAGCAAACCATACATGCACAGAATGAACAGTTCGCCCAGATCATTAGTAGGTACGGAATATCGCTATTAGAGTTGGAATTCATGGCGTATGATATCAACGACGAAGGCGCCATCGCTCTGAGTGCATGCTGTGGCCCGAGGCTACGACATCTGGGCCTTCGCTTTGAGCATCCACACGTGAGAGATAGTATGCTTAGTCGAAATTATTGGACGAAGCCCGCGCCTGGTAGCCCAGCATGGAACGCACTTATTGGGATCGGTCCGATTGGAAAAGGAATTGGTATGGATAATCTGGAAAGCCTGGTGTTGGAACGGGCCGGCATCACACCCTGGCAGCTGCAGATGCTTGTAAAGCGAAACGAGAAGCTGAGAGTTCTAAAGTTGCGGACTTGTGCTGCTGCTCAACCAGAGTTTGTGAACTGGCTGGGAGGTATCGATGTTTCCGAATGTGAAGAGGAGAGCCCCCGAGAGAACAGTGAACCAGCCCCTGGGGCGTTGCTGAGAACTCTATGGATAGAAAACTGTGACAGCATTCGCTCGGTTCACCTTTGTTCTGGTGAAGATGAGGAAGGTAGCGTGGACTTTAGCTTAGAATGGGTTAGTGGACTCACAGGGCTGCAAGTAAGTGACATAAACATTAGACGCAACCCGAATGATAACTAACTCACGATAGTCACTCTCTCTGCGTGAGTGCCGGAATATTGATCCTCAAGTTGTTGAAAGAGCGAATGCGAGGCTCTGGCATATTCCCGAGGTACACCTGCCTCGACCAATTGACTTCCGCCATTCGCTGGAGGTCTCCATTGAAGTCGACCCTGATTATGCCTAGAGTAGAGGCTGATGATGGAAGCTGGCTGGCATATGCAATAGTCACCGTCTTTCTTTGAGATTTCCTTTCGTAATGATGTGTATTCATATATCCGTGTATTCACAGATCATTGCCAACTGACAATTGTCCTGCAGCGGTTTATGCAATCAATCAAGCTCACTGTATCAATAAGAGGTCTCGAGTATTGTATATGGAAGAAGATAAGATGGTGTCTATAAAGGTGGCCGACAAACGGACCATTTCCTGTTCAGGAAGGAACTAGCCCACCCACAGCAGCAGGCTCCTTTCCTCACGAGCAGCTGGCGGTGGCTGGGAGAAGCAGCTGGCATTGTAGACCCATTCAATAGGGCGAGCCTCTTTGCACTTCCATCAACAACAATGAAGAATGTCTCCCATTCACATTCGCACTGGCCTGACTCATCGGGAATACGTATGACAGAGGGAGGTGGCTGTCAACAGCCATCTCAGCTGCCATCCCATGTCTTCATTACTACCTTCTCCTCCTTATCTACCTGAGATATTCGCAGGATACCGTGAGTCGAACGACCTCACCATGCCTGCCCTCAGAGAGTTCTTTTGGCCATCCTTCGGTTTCCATCTCGACTTCAGCACTGATCCTTCTCTGACTGCTTCTGCTATGCCTCAGAATGACCTCGAAGTAGGGCCATCTCTTCCCCATCAGCAGCTCGCAATTCTGAGAGCACCAAGCATCCTTTTCTCGCCACGCAAGCCGTCTGGAGCCGCCTTTACGATCAACTCCAAAGATTGGTATGACGAAAACTACGACCCAGGCTCCAAAAATAAAGACAGTATGTCTAGAACCCCGAGAAGATCAGAGGACATCTGGGAGACTGTGTATGGTACTGCAGGGGCCGTGTATGGTGTTGCCAAAGTCTTTGTTGCTTTATGTCGGAGCTTCCGAATTGATGTACGTCAATTCCCTGGTTGATAATCCCTAGTCCATTCTAACTTAACTACAGCTCCATATGCCTACTGCCGGAATGTTGAATTTCATCGACAAGGCGGAGGTTCTGCTGAGAAACGGTTCCGTCATCGACTTTGTCTTCACGATTGAGGACCTGTATTCTAGCCTTTATGCACGACTCGAGGTTGAAATCGCTCTACTTCATTTTTGCGCTATGTTTGGTATAAACGACGGTAAAGCATGGCGCAGAACAGACCCAACATTACCCGAGCCTGGCCACCTCTACACTATCATGACTGCTTGCCAGCAAGTACTGACTGATAAATCTGTCTGTTCGACATTCGACGACCACTTAGTCAAGTACCACCAGCGTCGCTTTGTTGAAGAGATGACTAGAAAATACCAGGTCGACGGAACACTGCCTCCTGATTCCACTGGCTATCGCGCCCACGCCGATGAAATTATCCAAGATGCTGGCTCGCTAGCCTTTCGTCATTGGTGTAAAATCTTTCCTGAAATGCGATTTCTGCCTATCGGAATTCTGGCATTTTTGTCAGAGAAATACGTCTCAATTTACCCTCGTCCCCTTTCTCAAAACAGTCAGATGAAAATCAATATATCATTCGGCAATATTGAGCCAGAAAACAAATCTGCATGGGATAAGGACATGATCCGTGCTCATCGTCTTTGCACCTTGGCTCAAATTGAGGGCAAATCGGTTGGAGAATTGCGGCGGGAGGAAGAACCTTCCAACGTGCTGCGATACGCAAGTGAACGGAAATGCGTCTGTCTCGAAATATGCACCTGCTCCAGATTGTGTACCAAGTTTGCGAGCACGCTATGTCCTTGTTCGTTCCGCTGGGTGCGAGGAATTATGATCCATCGCCCTGAATATGACATCGGCTACTATGATAAAAGCACCATCATGGGAGAACTCACATACGAATCCCTGGCGGCGCTGCAACGCGACAAACCTGAGGATGTAGTACGCCGAGAGCTCTACGGAGGTATCAATGTTATTAGGGAGGAAATGATCAAGCATCACATGGCTTTTCAAACCGGCGAAATCGATATTCTACTGGTATCATGAGAGTTGCATCCGCCGCACTTGTTTTCTTCCGACCACTAAGTTCCAGTCCACCACGACTGATTTTCTAAAGTCGATAAATACTAGCACAAAACTCGGAGATTTCTGAACTTTGAGTTTGGTGGACAGCTCTCCGTGCTTTGACTGAAGATGATGCTTGCGATTTTCTTGTTTCACGAAGCACCGGACGACGGGGTTGACGACTCTATAGTTTGCAATGACTATGACGACCTTATGGCTAACGGAAATTATGATTTAAAAACTAGAATAATCTACATGAATAGGAGCAGTATTCCATCGTTCTCTTATACATACCAATTTTACACCGGTGCCCAAACGGGAAGAGCTGCTTATCAGGCCGGGGTGGGCCCCTTATCGGGCCAGCTAAGCTCAGCTCATTTTATCCTGCTGAAACTCGGCGCTCTCAGTATCTTACCATCTCTTCCTCTCTTTATGTGCCATCGCAGCATGTTATGAGTATCCCTATCCTTGTGCGCCGCCGGTGCACCACTGCTGTGTGGGTATGGTCACCACCAAATCAGTGCATTCCCCGGCATTCCGTGCGATGAGAGCGCACTGGATATGCGCCGCCAGTAGCAGTCAGCGGCCGCAACTACGCTTGCGTTGGATGACCACAAGAAGACTATTTGTCGCATCGCTATCCCGATCGCAAGCTTGCGGCTTTCACACTTCATCGTTCGGATCTAAGACACCTACTCCCGAAAACGTCGATTCGAGCCTTGCCAAAACTCCCTTTCATTTCGAAACTGGGTACGCATTGCGGCCAAAGCGACCCTCGAGACCTTTCCCACCTCCTTTTGTTTCGATTCCGTCCTCGTCCTTTTCCGATCCCTTAACCACGCATTTTAAGAGTCAAGATAGGCGGCCGAAAGTGGGAGGTGAAATTATACGCGGCCTGACTAACGGGGACGACGCTATCCTCGCTGCTGACAACTTCCTTGGCGTTAACGACGGTGTTGGGGCTTGGGCCACGAAGCCGCATGGCCATGCAGCGTAAGTATCCATATAAACTAGTCGATGCCAAAAATTGACTTTTACTTATATTTCTGTGACAGCCTATGGTCTAGGTTGATACTTCATTTCTGGGCCCTCGAGTGCGAGCGACGAGTTTCCTCCACATCGCCTCCAGATACCATTGCATTCTTGCAACACGCATACGAAGAGACACTGATCTCTACAAACCAGTGGCTGGGGACTACGACTTCAGCAACCGCCCTATTACACACCCTCGACGAGAAAGCAGACGCTAAGCCGGTTCTCTACGTAACCAACATCGGCGACTGCCAGATTCTAGTTATTCGCCCTAGGGACAAAAAGATTCTGTTCAAGTCTCGCGAGCAATGGCATTGGTTCGATTGTCCGTACCAGCTGGGTACCAACAGCGTCGACCAGCCACAGAGCAATGCAGTTCTGAATACTATAGAGCTTCAAGAGGGTGATATCGTCTTGGCTGTGTCAGACGGCGTTATTGATAATCTCTGGGATCATGAAGTGTTGACCAACGTTCTTGAGAGTATTGATAAATGGGATACTGGTGATGTAGGAAACTGGAAAGTGGAGCGCGAAGTAGGACCGGCTGGTAGCATGGTCTTTGCAGCTACGCGATTGTTGAATGCTGCTCTGGCTGTTGCTCAAGATCCGTTTGCGGAGAGTCCTTACATGGAGAAGGCAATCGATGAAGGACTCACTATTGAAGGAGGTATGTGTTTAATCTACGTTAAGGACTCTGTATTGTTGAGCTAATGAACATAGGGAAAATGGACGATATCAGCGTGGTCATCGGGCAATGCAAAAAAAGGACGTCATGATCTGCAAAAGGATATCATACAGCATATCATTATCATATTATCACATACAAGACTGGGTGAAAACGAACATCACACGCTTCATGAAAAGTCACGCAGCACGACAGGACACCCACGAATATAGTGCCAACCAACTATCCATACATCTACAGCGAGAAAGTTCTCGACATCTCTTTCCATGTCCGGCAACGTTTCATTTCCCGCTTTTGATTTGCTTTGAATGACGAATATACCCACCTTTGCTATTTATTTCCAACATGCATCTGTCATTGGTTTGGAATTATAACACAGCACGGTTACGGGCACAGCAGAATGCCACGTTCAACCCTGCGAACCCTGCATACATGTATTTTTAGCACTATTGACCACTACCCGCTCCTACGTACATAATTTCCACGTACCACGCATTATTTAGCAAAAAGTCGAAATGTTATAAATTCCTTCACAAAGTAAGGACACTACTTGTTCGAATTCCGACGGCGTAAGGGATACCATCAATACCAGTCTGAAATCGCGGCATTCGCATTGCGAGATTGGAATGTAAGGACCGAAAATTTAGATCATCTAAACTGTACCAATGATGCCACACACGCAGCCGTGCAGCCAAAAAAAGAAATATGTCATTACTGATTAGTGAGCGACAATAGCAGAATCGGATGATCTGCAACATCCTACTAGTGCTATGAACTAGCAATATGCATAATTCTAGCCAAAAAAAAAAGGGTCTGATGCCGATCTTGTGTAACCGCGGTTTTTTTGTAACTCCTTTTTGGATTACACATGTTCCGGAAGAAGGGTTGTACGATGATTCTGGGCTGCTCGGTCTGGGTATCATCCTTCCACCCTTTTTAAGAGGAAATAGTAGTCTCCTTGGATTGGTAATTTTTGCTGTTTTTTTCAAGTTATAGAATTAATGACGTTGTTATAGTGAGAGCAATATGTCTGAGAAAGGAGAAACGGAGGTCTATCTGGACAGTCCAACGGAGTCCGGCCATCAGGTCGATTTGAAGGTCTGTGGAGATGTTATTCTTGTCCCTCAACCCAGTGATGATGTTCGGGATCCTTTGGTCAGTATCCTCTCTCAAGCAATTTTTGTCTTTGCTATTTACTCATTGCGTTGTGCTGATGTATCTTCAGAACTGGAGTCAGAGAAAGAAGTACCTGATTTTAACAATTCTCACCCTGACGACTTTCAGTGGCCATGCTACCGGGCTTGCGAATCAGCTGGGGTTCCCTGCACAAGCTGAGTTGTACCACAAGACCTTGACTGAGATTTCTTATACAGTGAGATACCGAAACATCACCCGATGGCGCATTTTTTCATCTGATATTGTTTGAATAGATATCCGCAGATGTAGCAGGCTTTGCAGCGGGACCACTGCTCATTATCCCCTTCACACACGTCTTTGGCCGCTGCTCAGTTTTATTATGGGCCACTATAGCTAGTGCTAGTTTCAGTATCTGGTCCGCGGTGATGACCGGTCCGGATGACTACATCAAATTCACCATCTCACGGTTATTTGTCGGGATTTTCGGTTCGACGCCTTTTATTATAGGGCCGCAGTTATTGGTGGATATCTTCTTCCTTCATGAGAGAGGCAGAGTCTTCAATACCTTTTTTGTGGTTTCGACTCTTGGAACGGTTGTTGGGCCGACACTAGGCGGGTTTATCGTTGCGCATGCGCCCTGGCCGTGGCAGTTTTGGTGGACTATTATTTTGGAATGGGTGGTAATTGCTCTGAGTAAGTTGGCCTGTATCAGCGCTGGAAAGATCTATGGGAAGTTGATTATGATTTTAGTATTTGTTTTCGTAGAAGAAACGACCTTCACGCGAAATAATGGGAGAAAGTACCCTCCCCAACCGACCAATTTTTTCCAAAATCGTATCGCAACCTATTTCCCAGGAACTGCGGTAGCACACGGAGGAGGGCTGAAGGAAGCAGTAAGTGGCGGGATATTATACTGTGCATTCAAGTTTTGCCTCCATACTCACTCTTCATACCGTAAAGGCTCGCTCGGCGAAGAACCAGTTTCTCATCGGATTGTCACCGGTCACTATGTTGGTGGGAACTTATATGATTGGAATGTGTGGGTGGTTTGTAGCTATCAATACCCTGCTTGGTGTCTTTATTCAGGGTTCTGTCGAGGATGGAGGATATGGCTTCGATTCTCAGCAGAGTGCCGCCTGTAAGGTTGATATCTTTCGCATATACTAGACATAGCTAACTATGCTAGTTTCCATCACCCTTTGGGTTGGTCTGCTGGTAGCCCAAGTATGGGGCTACTTTGTCAATGATCGGATCCCGCTCCGATTCTCCAAGAGAGCCTCTGGGGTCTGGAAGCCCGAATACCGACTTCACTCACTCTGGGTCCCGTCATTGATAGTCATGCCCATCGGACTGGGCATGTTCGGTGCTGCTTTGCAGTATCATCTGCACTACATGGTCCTCGCCACCGGGGCCTTCTTAGTGACGGCTGCGTCCAACGCAGCAGTGCCTGTTTCTCTCAACTACCTGGTTGAATGCTTCATGAGCCACCCGATTGAGTTGAACTGCGTAACAGGTCTGTATCGCCTAGGCCTCGGCCTCGGCATCCCGTTTTTCATCAATGCTTGGGTTGCCAAGGTTGGCGTTGGCTGGGTGTTTGGCATGATGGCGTTTTTTACTCTGGCAGAGTTTCTGTTGATTGTGGTGCTGATGCTGCGTGGGCATGAGCTGCGGCAGATCAGTTTTGGAAAGCTGAATAGAGATGAGGAGGGAGTTCAGGTTGTTAAGTGAGCTTGAGGAGATGCGGAGAGCAGGTTCTGGCTCGTCGTAGATAATCACGATGAATTTTCGATTTTATAAACACAGTGAGGAACATTCGCTACAGTAAACAGCCAAGAGAACAAAAACCTCAATGGAAGAACAAACCAAAGATGTTGGAATATACAAGAAAATAATAAAATCAAAATTACATGCAAGCCTTATCGTTATCGGAAGTGGAGCAGCTGGAGCCGCACGGGCCACCCTGCATTGACGGCAGAAAAAGTTGCGCGGCCGAAATTTGATGTTCAACCTTCATATTTACGAAACCACACGTCCTATTTGATTCTAGACAACTTTCTCCCCTTTTAAACCTGCAAAATGAGGGCCAAGCGATCAAAGAAGTATCGCAAGCTTATGCACCAATATGAGATGACTTTTGGCTTCCACGAACCTTATCAAGTGCTCGGTATGGCTACTTTAAATCGATACGGTTGGCTGATTTTCATTCTGGTTCTTGCTAATTGATACGGGCTTTCTTTACAGTGGACTCAAATTTCTTGCGCGCTGTGCACCAATTCAAGATGGATCTGATTCCCGCCTTGGAACGGACATTACAAGGCAAAGTCAAACCACGTAAGTATCGTCCGGAGTGAAAACAAACCCGCTTGAAATGGCTAATAGTTGATTGGAAAAAGTACTGTCAAAATGCTCTCTTGCCGCTATAATGGCGGCCCAGCCAATCAACCCCCGGACGAACAATCCTTTCAGACCTCAACATCTCCCCCCGCCAACCGTCCTCCCACTCCGACACTGTTCCCATAACGAAGACGATACCCCCATCGACGAAGTCGAATGCCTATTATCATTGCTTTGTCCGAACACAGAGACGATGCGTAACAAAGAACATTATACCCTCGCCACCGCTGAGCCAGTTGCGCTGGCTCATGACGAACTGGACTCTAATGATGCAAAGAAACGAAGACGTGCAGAAGCAGCTTTTAATGAGAGGAATGAGAAATCCAGTGCGCTTCGGTCCGGTGCGAGGTCTATCCCTGGCGTTCCTATTGTCTATGTGAAGCGCTCGGTTATGGTTTTAGAGCCGCTCAGTATACCGTCTGAAAGGGTTCGAATAGGAGTGGAGAAGGGCAAGTTTAAAACAGGCGTCCAGGCTGCGTTGGATGTTGTCAGTAATTTGAAGAGGAAGAGGGATGACGAAGAAGAGGATCCTGTTTCTCGAACCCGAGGCCCTAAGAAAGCTAGGGGGCCTAATCCGTTAAGCATGAAGAAACCGAAAAGTCGGGCCAAGCAGACGCCTGATCAAGAAGGAAAGAAAACAAAGTCGAGGCCAAAAGAAAGTGAAGCCGGTGGCGATTTGGATAATGCTGATGGGGAAACAACCTCAATGCCCAAGACGAAACGGAAGAGAAGGCACAAGAACACCAAGACTGAAGCAGACAGTACAGAAATTCCAGCAGAATCACTAACAACTGGCGGAATAGAGGATTAGCGGCTGTCTTGATGTTTTTCATTGTATATCATTTCATGGCGTTTCACAGGCCTTTTACTGGAGTTTATGTCATTTCTATCGATGCAAAAGTGAAAAGTGAAAAATTGGAATTTAAGAATGGAGAATTATTCCCAATGCAAAACCCTTTTACAACCCATGCATGTTCATGGCTTCATATATACACAATGCTGTTGTACACCCAAACATCCAACGCCTTTAAAAAATGCCAATCGAAGAACAATCACAACGATCCTCAATCGATAAACCCAACCCCTTATATCACTCTCTATTCCTGCTTCTGAGGCAACTCGCCTTGCTCTCTCGCCCTCTCCTCTGCCCAGATCTTCTCAATGCGCGAGCGTTTCTCTCTCGCTTCTTCGCGGTTCTGTTTCGCGCGCTGGAGCCGTTCTGCGCTGAGACAGCGGTTTACCTCGCGTTTTATGTCATTGCATTGGCCAAGCGTTTTCCACAGGAAACCGCGGGCATGGCATTCATCGAGGGCGGTCATGATTTCCTCGCAGTCTTTTGCAGAAGCAGAAGTTAGCGGATACCTGGGAGTTTCGTGATAGGATGAGGAAGCAAAAACGCACTGGCATTCTCTGGGGTGTGAAGATGGGAATGCATTTTGGATAATTGGCAGAGAAACTTATTCGACTTCTGTATAGGATTCGCGCAAAATAGAGGCGTTGGTTGAAATGGCTGTGGTCTGAAAAGAAACCTCAAAACTCCGCAATGCGACTAATACGATTGGCTCTTGGCATTTTGTGGGGCTGATAGGCGGTGAGGTAGCTGTGAATTCTGCCGGGCGGAACGCGAAAATCAACACAGAAAGTGGAAAAAAATTCTCGCAAAATAAAGATTCAAATCTTTTGCAAGTCTCATAGTAGACGAGATTTCATTTTATATTTCTACCTGGGATATCTCAGATATTATCACCAACTTTTACAGATACAATCTTTCCATTCAAGAGAGATTGGATAAGATATCGGTCCACTGATTTTCCAACCCACCTATCAGCGGCTATCCCCGCTTTATCACAGGAAATTTTTCTTCTTTTTTATCTTTCCCAGATCTTTTCTTCATAACATCGTAGAAATGAATTCTATGATTACGACAACTACATGGGTGCACCGTGGGGTCGCCGCCCAATTCCCTATAAAATATGACATCGATGAGGAGGAGATCAACCGGATATCGAAGCTGGCCCGGCTACAATTAGAAGATGCCAAAGGGGATTTAGAAGCTGCTAAGGAGAAAGTCGAAACGGAGGAGAATGATGGTGATTCAATGGATGAGGACGGCGATGGCAAGCAAGGAACTGATTCAAAAAAACAACCAGCGTATGTAATTCCAAATTTTATCAGAGAACATGAGTGCTAACAGATCTGGGGACAGAGATGGAGATGACGATGATGACTTGAAGGAATACGAACTCGATCATTATGATAGCGACGAAGTTGATGAAGACGGCGAAGAAGTCACCATGTTCGGCAACGTCAAGTCCCTAGCCTATCACCAGCCGGGCGATAAAGACCCGTACCTCGAAATCCCCGAAGACGACGACCAGGAAGACCGCGAGGAGCTGCAGATCTTGGGAACGGACAACCTCCTGATTGCGGGGAAAGTTGAAGACGAAGTTGCACATTTGGAGGTGTACGTGTATGAGGACTCCGCTGACAATCTCTACGTGCACCACGATATCATGCTGCCCGCTATCCCGCTCTGCACTGAGTGGCTGGATTTCCCTGTTGGAAAGAACGAGGAGAACCGCTCAACCGGAAATTTTATTGCCGTTGGTACTATGGACCCGGATATTGAGATTTGGGATCTCGATATTGTTGACTGCATGTACCCGAATGCTATCCTTGGCCAAGGCAACACCAACGATGACAAGCCAAGCAAAAAGAAGAAGAAACCAAAGAAGGCCAATGATGAATACCATGTCGATTCTGTCCTGGCACTGGCAGCAAACAGACAACACCGAAACCTTCTGGCATCGGCATCAGCAGATCTTACAGTTAAACTGTGGGACCTCAGTACACAGAAATGTGCTAAGTCCTACACTCACCACAAGGACAAAGTTTGCGCTCTCGACTGGCATCCTAAAGAGTCAACTGTCCTATTGAGTGGAAGCTATGACCGCAGCATTGTAGCCGCAGACATGCGCACCCCAGAAGCCAAGGTTGCTCGATGGTCCGTTGCATCTGACGTCGAAACCGTGCGCTGGGACATACACGACCCGAATTTCTTCTACGTGACCACCGATACTGGCATTGTTTATAAATACGATGTGCGCAACACGCCCACCAACCCCGAGAAATCAAAGCCAGTGTGGACTCTGCAAGCGCACGACGACTCCATCTCCTCGTTTGACATCAACCCCACCATTCCCGGGTTTTTGGTCACTGGCTCGACTGACAAACAAGTCAAGCTGTGGAACACAACAGACGACAAACCGAACATGGTGGTATCCCGCAAACTCGAAGTAGGCAAAATTTTCTCAACGGCCTTTGCCCCTGACCCAGAAGTTAGTTTCCGTCTTGCAGTTGCGGGTAGTAAAGGCGTGATTCAGATTTGGGATACGTCGACTAATGGAGCTGTGCGGCGCGCGTTTGCGGGCCGTGTCCCTGATGTCGCGCCTGGTTACGACGGCGAAGTTCATGAGAAAATCACGGGTGTCAACCAGAATGATGAGAGCGATTCCTCTGAGGGGGAGGATCCAGAGCCTAATGATGTTGAAAAAGATGGATGGGAGTCTATGGAAGAGGATTAGGCATATAGATTTGACGCTGTTGAAAACTGAGATACCCGTTTTGTAGCAATTTTTCAAATTCTATATGCATGACAGTGGATTCAAATATATTTAGTATGAGAAGTATGGCTGAGGTATTGAGTGATTTGTTAACAAGGTCATTTCTTCAACCAACGTCGTTTCAATCACACACGTGTAACTGAAGTCAATTATATTACATATGTAAGATAGCAGAACCAATATACCAGGATAGGTAGAATGAAAACAAGGATGGAGTTGAGACTAAGTAAATAGGACCTGACGTTGACCTTATAAGCAAGTAGCGTTAGTCCATTGTTACAACTCAAATCCAATTAGCCCTAATTTCGACTGCGGTAATATCAATGGAATTAAATCATCTACATGCGACTTCTCAGGCGCTTAATCGAGTTCACTGCTGGTATGCAAAATCTAAATAAGATCCCAGTTAAAAAATATATATATACTCAATTTTTGTCATAACACCTGGACGACGTGATCGAATTTCTAGCATGCTTATCAAACGACAGCGTATAAAAGCTTTTTCAAACTGCTCACATAAAGATCAATCTTCAAGTCTATACTAAGATATAGTTGTATTGAGTAAAAAAAGCATTAAAAATTTTACAATGTATCAAATAAAGCTAAACTAAAGTGCGCAGTGTTCTGGTCAATAAGAAAGAGATTATTAGGTTAAAAGCCAGCTAGAGCTGATCTTCAACAGTGCACCAATCAACGCGGCGTAAGTATTGTTGGAGTGTTCAAAAAATGGTGGATCGTCAGCAACAGCACCACCAACAGGAAGGAAATGTCTCCGATTCTGAAACCAATACTTCCTTTTCCTTAGTGTATTTATCCTAGGCTATTCCATATCTTTCGCCAGACTTGTCCTGTATTTTCCTTTGGAATTAAACGTAAACATTTTTAGATATGCCACTGTTCCAACTGCTTTTATGCTTAATTACCCTGGGGTTTGGGCTGTTGCGCTTACATTACTGGGTGACCCGGAGAAACTTCATCCGACAAAATGACTGCCAGGAGACACCTTCGCTAACCGGAGGTGCTCATTTCTTCGGATTAGATATTGTCTACCTATTATTCAAATGGTCAAAAAATGGACTCGAAAAGCTGCCACTGGACAAGCAGTTTGCGTTTCTTGGCTCGACATTCAAGATGCAACGCTCCTTTAGGCTCATCATCTGCACCATGGATCCTCGCAATATCCAGTCCATCTTTTCATTAGATGCTGTCAGCTTCGGCAACCACCCCTTGCGACACTTTGCATTTTCGCCGCTCGTCGGGGATGGGGTGATGACAATGGATGGAGCCTCACATGAACGTGCTCGTGCCTTAATCCGGCCGATTTTCTCTAGGACGCACATCGAGAACGAGGCCGTGTATAATGTGCACGTGCAGAAGCTGATCGATTTGCTGCCAAAGGATGGATCAACCATCGACCTGCAGCCTCTCTTCGAAAGACTGGATCTTGACTCATCCACCGAATTCATTTTCGGGGAATCAGTGGCATCGCTGGATGCTGCAGACTCGCTCTTTGTGCCACATAAGTTTCCGACTGCTTTTAATATTGCGCAGAAAGGCATGGGGGTGCGCTTGCGAATGCTCCAGTTTGACTTTTTGCATCGTGACAAGATGTTCTGGGAGTCTTGCCGGACGATTCGCCAGTTCGTGAAGGAGTCCGTTCAGCGGGCTTTGCTTAGGCGTAGAAAGCGCGTCTCCCCGGCTGAGAAGAGTTATGTCCTCGTTGACAACTTAATCGAGGCTACCCCAGACCTTGGAGAAATTCAAGACACACTCATGAATGTCTTTCTCCCCGGTGAGTATCGTGGCTAATATGGATCCTACCATAGTATCAAGACTCTAACTATCACAGGCCATGATACCATTGGCATTCTCCTATCCAACATTTTTTTTCACCTGGCTCGGAATAGGGATGTATGGCACAAACTGCGCCAGGAAGTTCTAGGCCTGACTAAAATCACGAAAAGCAGCTTAGGACGACTTGAATACATCCACCACGTCATCAACGAGACACTTCGACTCAACCCCCCCGTGTCAAACATGACCCGCATCGCGTTGAAGGACACTACACTACCAACAGGCGGCGGACCAAAGGGCAATTCCCCCGTATTTGTTCCTCAAGGCACCATCCTCAATAGCAGTTTCCAAGACCTCCATCGTCTCAGGGACATTTATGGTGATGATACAGAAAAATGGCGACCGTCGCGATGGGAGGATCTTCAGCTCTCCAATTTGGCCTGGAAATTCCTCCCGTTCAGTGGCGGGCCGCATGTATGTCCGGCGAAGAGTTTGGCCTTGAATAGGGTTGCTTTCACGGTTGCTAAGATCGTCAGGGCAGTTGATCGGATTGAGAATCGTGATCCTGTGCAAGAGTATGTTCCCGCGTATAAACTTGTAACAGCGAGCCAGAATGGGGTCAAGGTTGCACTGTACAAGACTGCTCCTTAACTAAGCCTTTCAACGTCGAAAAGCAGGTAAAGAAATAGAAATGTTAAAAAATTAGATTAACAATTGAAGTAATCCATTAGCGTAATCTGAAGGTATTCCCAAACGCCTTTTCCCACATCCTAGTCCTGTTTATTAATATTTTCCAATCATGGTGAGATATCTGGAAATCGGAGTCCTTTCACTACCTTAGTCCTGGAAGAAATATAGCGACGATGGACCAACCAATGAAGAGGCTTTCCCGCTTATCTCGCGACTCAATTAGCAGTAAATGCTAAATTGTTGGCTAAATCCCGACGAGACCCAGCGCTATCTGTGGATCATAAGCCGAAACTTTCGCCCATGCGTTTTGCGGGGATTGGGATGCCGTTTCCGTCAACACTCGATATCACTCTAAGAATGCATCTTCCACACCTTCTTGGCCTCCACAATGTCCATTGCCCAAGCCAGCAGAGAACCGCAGCCCTTGCAGCCCCCGCAGCCCTTCCAGTGTCTCGTCTGCCAAAGCCGCTTCACCAGACATGAGAACCTCAAGCGACACGCTGCACTCCATTCTCGGCCTCAAGACCGAACCGCTCTTTACTGTCAATTTTGTCCTGCTAAGTTCTCGCGGCCCGATCTACGATGCCGTCATATGAAGAGAAAGCATCCCGAACATGAGCAGACACACACTACAAAAAGGTCACGGCAAGAACGGCCGTCTTTTGGACATGCGAGTGACGATGTACGCTCACCCCATGTAGAGAGGGCCTCCCCAGGAAGTCAAGATGGCTCTTCGCCTTCGTATCCAGGCGAAGACAGCGAGTTGAGCTCGACTGCCTGGAGTACAGCCTTGCAGTATACACAGCGCCACCGTCGAACAGGGGACAGCGCACCGACGAGTAATATAGATAACGCACAGCTTATTGCGGATTCCTTGACGCCGCACTTGTCGCTGGCTGAGACGAATCGCCTTGACCAGACTATTCAAGATGCGACAGATCTGGAACAAAGCTTACTACTAGAGACGTCGTTTCTCAAGCGAGCAAATGGCCTACATACGCAATCGGATCCGATTCTTACCCTGCAGTCTCGCTCTTTCGATTCCGGCTTGGCCGGTTTTAATTTCAATCTATTATCGAATAATCTATCCCAAATTCAGGAGGATTGGTCTCCGTCCACGTTCCAAATTACGCAAGGCTGTGATCTCTTCTTCAGCCATGTCTCACACTTCATCCCATTCCTCCATCAACCTACATTCGACACAACCCAAACTACTCCTTACCTGACCCTTAGTATTCTGAGCCTTGCCTATCAATATGGCGAGGACCCGGATTGTGCTGATCAATCAGGTTCTGGTGTGAGCTTGTCTAGACGTTGCTTTTATCAAGCTCGGGCACTCATTGCCGCTGAGGAGGGAAGTTTGGATTGTTCAGCAAGTTATTTGCCCATGGTCCAGTCATATCTCTTACTTCAAATTTGTGCCATGATGTATCTTTGTAGTGATGACTCAGCGCATGGTCTCAAGATGCATTCTGACATGATTTCTCTTGCTCGAGCCGGCGGATTAACACAGCCGCTCCCAGTTGAATCCGCCATGGCTGAGGACCTTGACTCACTGTGGCGGCAATTCACCAAAACAGAGTCACACAAGCGAACTCTTTTTGCTGTCCACCAGATTGATGCATTGTGGTATCAACTCTTTTCTATACCTCGGCAAATCTCTCATTTGGAAATCAAACATGAACTCCCCTGTTCAGAAGATCACTGGACAGCATCTTCCTCGGCGGAATGGGCACACCGGCAGCTTGTTGCAAAAAATCCCGGTCCCCTTTTGCAATATGTAGATGCCGTCCGTCACTTTCTATCATCTGATGCCGACCTCAGCGCCATTCCAGCGTTTGACCCGTACGGGGCTATCAACATTGCCCAATTCCTGATTTCTAGCGCTCGAGAAATATCAGGTTGGTCCACAATGACAGGATTACTTAGTATAGATAGATTTGCCGCTTTACGCTCATCGCTCATCGCTCTCAACCCTTACATCCACCCAGAAACTGAGACCGCAATGACAACGCACGGAGCGATATGCGCTGCAACATGGCAAACCGCTATGATTGAGCTACAGATGTGGTCCCCATTACATACTGATGGTGTCGTAGGAGCAAGTGTGGACGCCCTGTTGAAGCAGTTGACCTCGCTGGCTCCTTCTTCCGAGTTCATTTGCGAAGCCAACACTATCAAAGCTATTCAGACACATATTGACTGGTTCTTACGCTATCTGGATACAACACTTGTGCCAGATCGGGAAGCACCGTGGGTTACTTTATACGCTTATAAAGCGTTTTTAATCGCCTGGCAGCTTGTTCGTGAGTGGGTGTCAGATTCAATGCGGGTCGTTGGTATCCAAGATGGTGACATTGAGGGTGCTTTGACGTGGGCAAGAAGAGTCTTTGGGCGCAGACAGAAATGGCAGCTTGGAAAACTTATCATTTCTTGTTTGGATGAACTAGGCCAGTAAACCTTTTGATGATGCAAAAATACTGGATGATCTGATATTCACTTTGCCGGCACGATAACTGGTGTTATGAAACTTCACTTGACATTACAAAACCTATAGTCTATGATGAACATTGAAGTTGGTTTCTATCCATGTTAAATTAAATAGTGGCAATTGAGTTCAAAACTACGTAAGTGGATGTTTCGAGATATCAATAAATGTTTGAGTATATCGTTGTTCAGTATCAAAATAGAATCCCGGTGACCATCAATACATCTCATAGCGCCAGTTGAGCAGCACCATTTCCTCTGTAACTCCACCCTTCAAGACCTTTGCGATCTCATTCGGATCGCCTGAGTCTAAGCGTTTATTCTCACGCAAGACTAGCCAACGATAAAACGTAATCGTAGTAGCCAGCAACAATGCAGCGCCCATAAGTGCTCCGAAAGCAGCATAGAAATGTGGCGCCGAATAATATAGGTATGAAGTCCAAATGTTCGCTGTGCCACCAATGGCATTGACTAGAGCAGAAGCCGCTGCACGCTTGGACACCGGTCGTGCAAGGTGGAGATTGATTGTCTTGTAGAGGAGAAGCTGCGGCCCGACGGAAGCAAAGGGGAGTATCATCATGGAAAAGTAGCGTGCGCCGACGTTGACTGTCGTCATTGGAATTATATACATAACGATGGAGATAGAAATGCAAGTGATAATCAGAGGGTAAACAGTGTTTTTGCGGTCCGAGTAAAACATGATGACGTAGTAGACAGCACCAGCGAGAATGTAAGGTGGTGCGGTCAGGAGTAGGCTGATAGTACGAGAGAAGTTGAGCGAGTTGACGAGCGTTGGAAAGTAATTGGCGATAGAACCTTGGGTTTGTGAAAGCATGTTACAGAAAATGAGAAGCACCAGCTTGGGATCAGAAAGTGCTTTGGCGAATCCTCGCCAAACACTTTCGTTCTCATTGCCTTCGGCTGCACCGGCTTCAGATTCGATACGCCATACGGCCAGATCACGCTCCAATGGGGAAAGAATGCGACTGTTGTGGGGGAATTCAGGCATAATGCAGGCGCATATCACTCCAAGACCAACTGTAGCGCTACCCTCGATGATGAATAGCCACCGCCAGCCGGCAATATTGTGTACTCCGTCAAGCTGGAGAATAGCTGCGGCAAAGAGTCCACCAAAAGCATTTCCAACTTGCTGAGCAATATAAAGAGCGGCAATACGCTTTCCAAGCTCCTTTTTCGTGTACCACGAAGAGAGATAGTAGATTGCCCCCGGGAAAAAGACTGCCTCAGCTGTCCCAAGGATAGCCCTTACAGCCAATAGTTGCCCATAAGTTTTTACAGCAGCCGTTGCCGCGGAAATAGCTCCCCAAACTGCGACAGCACAGCATATATACATGCCTGGTCGTGCGATCTTGGTGATGATAAGGTTGCTTGGGATCTGAAAGGGTAGATAACCAACAAAGAGGATCGAGATTGCGGTAGCAAATTGCTGAGTGGACATATGTAGATCTTCCATGATACCCTGAAGCTTGGCCGCAGCCAGGTTCTGACGATCGACGTAGTTCAAAATGTATAACACTCCAATGGTTGGGAGGACGAGCAGGTCGACCTTGCGAACAATTCTTCTGTTGAGATTTTCAAACTCGGCCTCGCTAAGGCTATGAAGAGTCTCTGGCATGGGTCGGTATGGCGTACTGCGAGTATCGACCTGGCCTTCTTTACATGATACATTGTCTTCGGCGGGAGACTTTTTGGTATCCATGATGGAGGGTTAAACAGGCAGTGAAAAGTGTGATCCTTGGGTCTCCTCTGAGAGATGGCTTTGTGGAGCAACTCGAGAGACTGTCTTCATGCCCGACATATATGTGCAGCAGGAAATATTATATCACACTCTGTCCCTACCGCTAAAAGGAGGCTATAAAGAGAGAAGACCCTCGGTCCTCCTCTAGCATTCTAGCATATCTTTCGGCTCATTCGGTTCATGAATGCATAGATAAGAAGGGAGGAGCACACAAACCTTATCAGCAGGCCTTATCAGTGCGATCGAGGCCTTTCTCCAACAAGCTGGGGATTTGGTATAGACTGCACTAGTTAATACTAAGTAGATAAGCCTCGATACTGTGTTGGAAAACTGGGGAAGAGGAGTTTAGGGGTTTTCGAGATGGAAGGTTTGGAGGAGCTCCGCTCACGGGAAGGCAAAGTTTCGGCGCTTCATCCGATCGGCTGCTTCTATAAGCCCGGCATGGCAAGATGGGAACCGTCGCAGTAGGTGATGAGAGAAGTAAATACAGGGTCTACACTCGCCTGTCTTTTACGTCTCTTTCTCACACATCTGACTTTTACCCTGGAGCTCTACACGAAATAAACTAATTAATGTGCTGCCACCATGGGTTACCTAACCGCCCACACCACTGAAATTGAGAACCCTCGTCTGAGGTTACTCAAAAAAATTAGAGCTGGCGAGTTCCCACTGATGACATTTATGGCCATTCCTTCAGTTCGCATGGCCCAAATCGTCGCTTTGACGGGACTCGACGGCATCATCATTGATTGCGAACATGGCCACATTGGAGACGATGCAATGCACAATTCTGTCGCGGCCATATCATCACTCGGGGTATCACCGATAATTCGCATCCGTGGACCAGCCCATGACATTATCAAACGTGCCCTCGACACTGGTGCGCATGGAATCATGGTGCCGCAGATCAATAACGCCGAAGAGGCACGACAGATTGTTGCGTCTTCGAAGTTCCCCCCTCAGGGAATTCGGGGTCAGGGGTCAGCGTTCCCTGCCATTGGACATGGTATTACAACGCCGGAATATATGAAATCAGCCAACGAGACAATCGTGACGATGATTCAAATAGAGACCCGTGCAGGAGTCGAGAACGTCGAGGCTATTTGTGCTGTGCCAGGAGTTGATCTTGTCTTCATCGGCCCCAATGACCTTGCGCAGTCTCTCCTTGGGTACGTGCCCGCTCGTGGAGATGAACCAGAATTTGTGGCGGCCATCGATAAAATTATCACTGCAGCACGCAAGCATGGGAAGTGGGTTGGACGCATGGTTAACAATGGTACAGCGGCGAAGCTTGCCAGCCAAAGATATGACACAGTTGCCATCACTGGTGATACAAAAGCGATTCAGAATTGGTATATTGCGGAGTTCGATATTGCTCGGTCTTGAAAGGGTCTAGGAAAACCAATTTAAAATTTCTTAAGATAGATAATAGAACACCACATATGTAACCGTTCTTAATTTAGTGGCTTGCCATAGCCTGACCATAAGATCCCGGTGAAATTGCTGATGCAGCATATCTATACATTGAAAACCATTATGTCAACTTTATCTGCTTGACTGAGCTGAGAGAAAATGTAGGTATAGATGGTAGCTTGCTAATCAAATGTTACACGTGAAATCGAAAGGAAGACGTTAACTTGTGAGTAGAATACTTTTAAAAGGAAGATTAAATGCACACGCGTAGCTCCAGTATCTTAAACATTGTACATTGCATAACTAGCATTGAAAGTGTACTGGGATAGGCACACTGAACCTGAAAATACAACTTTTCATTGATTGAACATTGGATCCATATATTCTCAACATTTTAGCATTACAAAGCTAAGTGTTAGACCTGAGCAATGCACTCGATTTCAATAACAGTTCCTTCGCCCGGAGGCAGTGCCTGAAGACATGATCGTGATGGCATCGGCTTGGGTAGGAAATCAATGTACACCTCATTCATCGCGGCAAAATCCTTCATATCGGCGAGGTAAACATTGTACTTGACCACCTGCTCCAGCGATGAGCCTGCAAGCTCAAGAACCTCTTTCAGATTTTGCAAAACAGTCCTCTGCGTAAGCAATAGGGGTCAGTGAACAAGCCTAGTAATAGGGAATATTTGCGCAAAGGAAGCTCACTGTCGCCTGTTTGATTTCTCCGGTAGCTGTTTGTCCTGCGCAAAAAACAAGTCCCGGAACTTTGACTGCGGGGCCTACAAGAAACAATCCAACTTGTTAGTAAAAATTCATGAATCATATTTGATATATCGTTAAACATCACAGGCACTCACAGTTATGGGGCTTGGGAGGAAATTTTTCACTAGATATGAGCTGGCGAGACATGCTGTCAGATAACTGAATGATGGAAAATTTAGGTGAACAAAAGCAAAACGACCAAGTCTGGAGGATAAGAAACAATTTCTCGAAGTCTATTGTAAATTTCGGTTTATATGTGAGAACTTCTTCGTTCGGGGCGCCAGCGGTCTGCTTTGAAAGTAAGAGTGGTGAGATTCTTATCTGTCGATTATCGGATAAGAGGAGCTTTAGCTATACCTGGTCTTTTGCAGAATCGAGCTCTTACAGACTTACATGTGTCTTTTCAACATGTCTGACTAGCATACAAGGCGTGGGCGGAGCTCCTCCCACGGGACCCACATCGTAATCGTAATAGGAGAGTTTAGGGCTTCGTCTTTGTCTCAACCAGGTATCCCTCGGACTCTAACTAGTCCAAACTTGAAAGTTTAAGTTGATGCACCTAATAATAATAACGCCTTGACATCATCATCTGTGATAAGCTAGAGGAGCTCTGCGGAAATAACGAAGATAACTGGGAGGAGCATATTACGAGTGAAGGAGATGTAGCAACGAAAGCGCCGAAATCAATATTAGCCTTTCTCGTTGAAGGACGATACCACGTAAGATGCGAGCAAGCTATCCGGCTATCTTCTTACTTGGGTTGCTCTCTTCTAACCTTCTAACCGAGGAGCTCACCCCAGCGGAGTTCATAGGGTGCCCCCGAGACATGCACATCATTGAAGAGCTTCAATGTTGTATAAAGGCATAAGAAGGAATAAGATATCTATACCCCGCCATTGTGAGTTAGTAGTTTGAACACTCTTTATACGCTCAGTCATGGCTCCAACTTCCCCATTCAATCCACCTTCGGCCAACCTTCCAGGCAAGCCTTTTGTGCCGGAATGGACCCCCCCTCCAGTCACAACGGAAAAACACAATTTCGCCAAACTACAGTCGATTGACCTGTCTTTGCTCGACTCAGATGATCCAGCCGTTGTTGATAATCTGATTCGACAGGTCAAAGTTGCAATTCGTGACGATGGCTTTCTGTTCCTCGAGAATTACGGAGTTTCACTTGATCAGGTGAGATAGAAGAATCCCGAATAATAGGATTATTGACGAGTCACTGATAGATAGTTCTCTCTGAAGCTTCACCGCCAGTTTGCGCTCGCGCAATACCTATATAAAAATATGAGTGATGCCGACAAGGAACGTCTTCTTTTTCATCCAGACAGCGGTGTTTGGTCCGGGTACAAACACCCATATGGGTTCAAGGTAAGAAATAGACCTCAATTTGAACACTTATAAACACAAACCTGGAGTGTGCATTGACCCGCATATATTAGCGCCACCGTGGACCTCCGGATGGCATTGAGCAGTTTAATTGGTACAAACCTGACTGGCAAAGCATCGATCGTATACCGACATGCTTACATCCTTTCATGGATGAGATCGAGGCATTTTGTAACTACCTGACAAAGTCTGTCAATCGACGACTCTTGACCCTTTTTTCCCGTGTCCTAGAGTTACCTGATGATTATCTATGGGACAAAGTACAGTCGCATGGTAGTCCAACCGGTGAAGGCTACTTTCGCCATGCACTTTTTAGACCTGTGCAGAAAGAAACCGAGGAAGCATCAAAGGGCCTTCGCATGCACGGCCACACGGATTTTGGTCTAACTACCTTGCTCTTTTCGGTTCCTATATCCTGTCTCCAGATTTGGGGCCGCGATGAAAAGTGGTACTACGTACCTTACAAACCAGGAGCGCTTGTCATCAACATTGGTGACACCTTAGAGATTATCTCTGGCGGCCACTTCAAGGCCACACGCCATCGCGTCTTCAAACCCCCTGTAGACCAGTTACGTGAAGAGCGCCTCTCACTGGTGCTATTCAATAGCTCCGTTGGCGATCTGCGTATGGCGCCTGCGAAAGGTGAGAAGATTGTAGTATGAGATCGTTGTTATAACACGTATTCTAATATTATTACCAGACTCATTACTCATCCAGAGGGAGGGCTGCGTCGAGGAGCAAGGCGTCTACAAGGAGTTCAAGAGACTCACTGACCAAGGAAAACTTGTCCCTACCAATCGCCAATGGCGCGAGATTCAGATTTCTACAGCCACCGATCCAACAGATACTGAACGCAATAGAGTCGGAGCTGATCAAGTGCTGATAGACGGGAAAATTATGCATCAACGAGAGTACATGGGGGTTAAAGTTATGCTGCCTGTTTGAAGTACATCGCATACATGAAAGTGACGCTCCGAGAAGGATCCAATATTTGGTCTACACGAGGAAACCAAGAGGCGTAGTAGTTGAACTTGCCTTCCGGGTCATACTTCTTTTTGAGGGCTTCCAATTTCTGCAGTCTCCACGGTTCAAACCCGTACCAATTCTCCTTTTTATCACCTCCAGCTGCGTAGTTAGTGTACGCGTGTAATTCTGTCTGGTCGCTGGCTGCGAATAAAATCTGACGCAATTTCTCTCTAAAAGCGATTGCCTTCGCATCTAGTTCTGGATTCTTTGCTTTGTTATCGTAGACAATCACAGGAGCGATGAGGATATTATCATCTCGATGTGGAAAGGCAGTGGACTCACTAGGAATGGCCTTGACTCCAGAAGGGGGATAGCCCTCAAACATGAAAAATGAGTTTCTGAATTCTGGTGTTTCGGAGGTTTCTTTGGCAAAAAGCTCATATACCTCCCGTTGCGCTTGGGGATTGTAGTTTTGGATATTAATAAGGAATCGGATTACATGGAGTCCAAGTTTATAGCTTGTGGGGATTTCTCGTCTAGTCCTTGAAAATATATTAAAAGTAGAGATCCTATTAGAGCCGCATCTATGGCGACCTCTGCTCCAGAAGTTGTGTCAAATTGACCTCTCCTTTCTCACGGGCAAGCTGGAGGGGGTCTTACCCTCCCAATCCACAATCGTACTATCAACTCCGCGATCAAGTAGATACTCGACCATCTCTTCTAGGGAAATATGAGTCTCTTTAAATGGTTTCTCTCGGATAGCACAATGAAGGACATTTCCAGGGGATATCTCAACGGCTGGACGTTTTCTCCAATCCATGTCTTTGATGTCTTCATTTACGTCAGCACCTAGTTCCAGAAGCCGATCCACATTGGCCATATTCCGGTCCACCACCGGCCTACGAAGCACCTTTTTCCCATGAATAGAAGCTCCATTGTCCACCAGCAACGAGATCATATCCGGAGTCGACATACTCGCAGCCAGAGCAATCGCCCATTCACCCTTGTAGTCTTGGACGTTCGGGTCTGCACCTTGGTCCAAAAGCAATTTGGCAAGCTCCAGCGATCTTTCTACTGCCCTCCAGAGCAAAGGGCCGACCGCAACTGAGAACAAAGGGCCGAGAAGGTCAACCCAGTAGTCAACTTTCATTCCGTAGTCCAAATATACCGCGAAAACTGCCGCAGGATTGGCCCCTTCAAGGGCTGCAGTGACCGCTCCATCCGAAATCATACCCCACTTCTTGTATTCGTTGGTCACAATCTCTTGCGATTCCTCGTAGGCGGAGGGTTTTACTGGCCACCATGGCTTGTCCTTTTGAAACTCAGGGAGATTGGCAAACATGTAACGTATCAGGTCAGCCTGGCCATATCTGGCCGCATCCTGAAGAAGACGCGTAGCGGGTGGTATGGAGAGTGGGTCGCAGGAAGCAGCTTCCGTCAGTGCCGACTGGAGTCGAGCTATATCTCCAGTGGCACACGACTCCAGTAGATCTTGCGTAACTTTGTGGTGATCAGGACCTTGACCATTATTTGGTTAGTTCTAGCTGTACAAATAGCATGGTAGGGATTGGTACCGGGTGTAGACATGGTCGGCGGTGGTGCTGGACACGCAACTGAAAACCAAAAATTAATCTTCCTTACCAAAGTCAATATACTTTGTTGGTCTGGCAAACTAACTTGAGGGAATAGTTCAGGGCTGTCTCACCTTATAACGGCTTGCAACCTTGAAGATCAAAAGAGCGGTTATATGGGAAACAACATGAAGGCTCATTATGCAAACATATTAAATAATCGGCTGCGTGCATCTTCGGACATGTGCCAGCCTCCGCACTAACTATCATTCCCCTGCCATTGCGTTACCCCTCCATCAGCCCTGGTTCACCAGAAACCGCTCATGCGATGCTTATTGGCTGTCCCAAGTCAAACTTTTTAGCAAATTTTTGACCATTCTTTTATTCATGGTTAGATGATGTTCTCTGGACAACATTATTACACCAGCACCAGTTAAAGACTTTTGAAGACATGTGAAACAAACAACAGCAAATTTCCGGAGGTATGAGGCCACTTAATTCATTTTACCTACTTCTCTTGTCCAGGATGGTTGGGCACTGACTAGAGGCAGCTATCTGTATAAGATAGCCCAAGCCATTTCACCCGCGTGGCATACGAGGCTTTTTTTTGGTGCCTGATGACTGGAATTTCCGAACCTCCACCGAGCTGTCAACTCAGAATGCGGCCCAGTAGCCGTGACGAATTCGAAATAGCAATCATTTGTTCCCTCCCTCTCGAGGCGGACGCTGTTGAAACGCTATTCGACGAATCCTACGATAAATTCGGCCGGATATATGGCAAACAACGCGGGGATACGAATGCTTATACAACTGGAAGAATTGACCAGCATAATGTTGTCCTGTGCCATATGCCTGGGAGGGGAAAACGAAGTGCAGCGAGTGTAGCTACTAGTCTAAGAGTTAGCTATACTAGCATCAAACTTGCATTAGTCGTGGGTATCTGTGGCGGAGTTCCATGTCCGCCTAATAATAGGTCTCACATTTTTCTCGGTGATATTATCATTAGTGAAGGAATCATTGAATACGATTTCGGAAGGCAATACCCAGATACATTCCAGCAAAAAACTGGCCATCCCGAGACTCTAGGCAGGCCGAACCAAGAGATTAGATCTCTCCTAAGTGGTTTGAAGGCTACAAAGACAATCAGTGAATTTCAGAACCGGATCTCACAGTGTCTCCAGGACTTGCAGGCTAAGTCAGAAAGGAAATGGAGGTACCCAGGCATTCAGCATGATATACTCTATGAGGCGTCCTATTGTCACAAGCATTATCAACAAGGCAAAAATACTCCGAAGTGCATTTGTTTCGACCGGGACTCCCTCTACGATATATCTTGTGACGAAGCACAGAAAAAAGACTGTAGGAGCCTTGGGTGCGAAAGACAGAGAATCCTCCGACGTCGAGGACCCGATGTTCGAGACCCTATTAACCCTAATTTCCACATTGGGACCATCGCATCTGCTGACACAGTAATGAAGTCCGGATTGCATCGTGATAGACTAGCATCCAAAGACGGCATTATTGGCTTTGAAATGGAAGGTGCTGGAATCTGGGATAGTGTACCAGCCGTCATTATCAAAGGCGTGGGCGATTATGCGGACAGCCACAAGTCTAAAACCTGGCAAAATTATGCTGCTGCAACAGCCAGTGCTTGCGCCAAGGCCTTCTTAGAATATTGGGTACCTACTAAAAGAGACTGTTAGTGAGACAAGCCCTAAATGAATGTGGATGATGTGTACCAACTAGGATTTAGTCCCCACAGATTATGATGCTTACACGCAATTCCCCGGCGGTCCCGCATCATTTCCCGACACTCATCATGATTTGTCTTTTATACAGCAAATGGAAGGTGATGACAGTGTTAATATGGAACAGATTTACTCAAGTTTCAGCCAGGAAACAGTCATGATGCTTAGGCGTTCTTCACCCCTGCAATACGCGAGTGATAATACTTATTATTCAAGTCCAGCTTCCTCTCACGATCTAATCGAATATGCTTCCACTCTCTACTCGCCTGACTCACCGCAACGCAATAGTAGTGACGGTTTGAGGTCTCCCATACGCCAAATGCCGAGGGATATACGTCGCAAATACTATCGACCACAAAGAGTTATTCCAGATTAGGTTTATTTATTTTTATTTCCGATCTTAGAAATTGTATTTAGAAAATTATATATAAAATAGTAGAATGAACAAGGTGCGCGAATCAATTTGGTCTACACATGGATGAATATTAACTCGTTAATATTCTCTCTACAGAAATTATTTCGTCTTTGGGCTCTTGAAAATGTGACATATAGTATCAATTGGTTTTCAACATAACACCCTCAACTTCTTCATTCTCGTGGCCATCTGATTGAAATATGAGATGCCTTTAGGAAGTCGAGGCGGATTCAAGTGACAGAAGTGATAGATGGAGATATAAGAAGCTGACTCCCTCTTCCATTGTCAGTCGATTTTCCACTTTGAATTCGCTGCCAATCATCTCCATCATCTATTTTGCTTGCTGAGGCAGGACGGCTTTCCACGTCACCCGTAGGTGTCGACGAATAAGATAAGGCGGTAGGGACTGGGTCTTTAGACTTTAAGGATGCACCAGTCAAGCGAAATTGAATTAAACTGGCCTCTGAGACAGGTTGTTGTGATGCTAGAGCATTATATCGGGCATGCTTTTTGCACTCCCACAGCCCTGCTTCGAGAACCCGGAGCTTTTCCTCTTCCTCTTGACGAGCATCTCGTACTGCATCTGTCTCCTGGCATAGTTCTTGCAACTGTTCCAAAGACAAATCACTTACTATAGAAGGACTAAACAATTCCGGGAGATCCTTTAACAAGCAATTTTCCACAGCTAAAGATGCGACATTATCAATGAAGACATTTAGAGCAATACCGTAGTATGCAGTCATACAGTCCAGGATTTGAGAACAGGCATCGTAGTCCAGCGTCTCCGATTGGCGTTCCTTGCCTGTAGGCATTCCCTTCTCTCTACTCTGTAGCTCTCGCAAATTAGCAATGAATTGGCGGTTCAAAGTAGCGGGATGCCCCGTCTTAAAAGGTTCTAGGAGCTCCGTAACTTTTTCATTTACTAATCGGAGCTTTCTTTCCAGGGCTGGGTAGAAGAGGCCACGCGAGAGTCTATGTGCCATATCAGGCTCAGTGATGGCGTCCAGCAGGTCATCGAGAAAAGTCTCCATTATTTCGCACACCTCACGAACATAATCTCGAGCAATCCTGCCCCATGACCTAGAGTTCTGCTTGAACGCATGGTCGATGACAGCAGGATTAAAATTGCCCTGCAGTTCACGTCCTCGATATTGCTGCAAGTAGCCTTGAATTTTCATCATGTAGTCAGCGCGATGGATTTGCTGAGGAGACGTTTGCGTGATTTCAGTCTTTCCATCCACAATTTCGTAGGTATGGCCTCGCTCATACATCTTATTAGCGAATTCTTCGGACATGTTGAAAATTATGGCTCGGAGTCGACGAGTAGAGTCTTCTCGGTCATCAGAAAAGAAATCGTGCGTGTAATAGCCGTGAATAGCATCTCTACACAATACTTGGAACTTAACACTCAGTTCAGTCAAGAAATTCATCTGGTCCTTAGGCGAATTTCGCGGGTTCCCGAACTTTTCGAGACGGCTGTGGCAACGTCGTATCTCTAACTGCACTCTCCGGGTGACTTTAGGTAATTCCAATTTTATGCGGTTAAGCAATATCTCTCTTAGTCGGTACTGCAACGATTTTACCCCAACGGTCTGCTTTGATAAGGAGTCCCATTTTCCTCGGTTGAAAAACGTTGACTCGACTACACGTCGGTTGAAACTTTCGTCTTTTCTTTCTATGGCATTAGCATTTCGTAGAACATGCCAACCATGTAGAAAAACGACGTCTCTGTTACGGGCTAGCTCGATGTAGGTTGCCTCTCTGTCCGAGCCAGTTTCCAAAGTGTCTGGTTTTGTAATGATTCCCAGAGTCCGGGAGCCGGTTGGATCATATTCTTTAGCCAGACGAATAACGATTTGATTCTCTTTGTAATTTTGTGCCGAGACTATTGCCAGGATAATACACTCCGGTTGAGCCATGTACTCCTCGACTAGGGCTTTAATACCCAATACATCATCGTAAGTTTGGCCTCGGTTTTGTGTATGGATAAGGCCTGGTAGATCGATTAGGGTGAGATAAGGCATATCAGGGCCAGAGAGGCGCAGTGTGAGGATGTAATCGCAGGCCCTACTCTCCTTTTTGTCTTGGCCAATCACTTTACTGGCTTCTTCAATCAGTTTGGGGACATCTGACAACGAGGCACTCCTCTCTCCCCCAATCCTTTTCCCGGATTTTGGAAGTTTTGTATTAGTAGCCGAAGGTCGAGGCCGAAGTTCGGCTACCGCAGCTGGGGTAGCCGCTCGTCGGAGAATAATCTCTGTTGAGAATTGAGTGCAGTAATGCTCGCTCTTTGGGAATTCGACTCCGGAGAGCGCATGCAGAACAGAGCTTTTTCCCGACGATTGGTCACCACATACTATAAGCTGGGGCAGAGAGATGTAGTGATCGACGCCTTTGGCTCGCAGCTCGTCGATTGTATTGAGCAAGCTCAGTTGCGTATTACTTTGCAGTAGATTGACTTCATTCATCATGGCGGTAGTGAGATGAGAGGATCCGAAGATAAAACTTTTGATAGTTCCGAAATTAGTAATCGAAGGCGTTCACGGTGCGGTCTTTTAGGTCAACTATTGTTGCCTCATAAATACTTTTGTGCCCTTACTCTGATGAGCAACTGTAACCATTTCAAAGCCTGGGCACCACTCAAGAACTAATAATCATCCCTCGTGAGATAGAAATTTTTTTAGATAAGGCTCTGTGACTCAGCCATGTGAGGCTCTCATCAGCCAAAATTGAGCCCAACTACAGCCACCATTGTAGACGAGGCTGAGCTCGCCTTGAGATAGGATTGGCCAACGGTATGACACGCCCAGCCAGTAAAACTGCCATACTGGCAGCCTGTCTTCCGCCACTCTCTATGTTGTGTTCTACTTCATACTTTTATTCCTACCTATATATTATTTTATTTGTTTATTTCTTACTCTTTTTTCTTTCTTTAGAACGTAGGAAATATGCGCATACATACCTATGTGATGCAGGAACGATATGACAGGCCAAATGTACGACTCTATCCTATGCGGTGTACTCGGTGTCGCCGCCGTCGAACTCGTTACCCCTACAACTCTTCGTTGTCATATCACATCATCAGTCAGAGCAAAACTGGTTTATTCCTATCACGTAACTCTGACATTTCAATCTGTGGCAATTACCAGGATATGAAGCTTGTTCTCCTTTCTCCGCTACCCTAAACTAAACACCGATTGCACAGCGCAAATGAGCTGGATTGATAATAAGAAAGCATGCACCACTTACGGTATAACTCTTCGGATCAAAAGCGAGCATAATCAAATTAAGCAACTACAGGGATACGAATCACTCACAGGCTAATTTTCAAATCCAAGTCAATAGTGCAACGAAACAGAACAAGAAATCATAACGCCCAGAATAATGACAATGCTTGCTTGATACTAGGTGGACAGTCCATCTGTATTGGGCTTCCACTAAAAGGTCGCTGAGTCGACAAAGCTTGTAGATATCCAAACATGAAACTCTATTCAAAAATTACAGTAGCTTTATCACTGATTAATTCTTGTCCCCAGTGCTCCACTATTCTATCATTGTAGTCGGACTTCTGAACGAATGAAGTTGTCAGGTCCCTGATTTTGTCAACGCCGGAGAAAGAAGTCTCCTGGACCCTGTGCGAAACGATAGACCCATGTACACAAAGCTTTATGTGGCTCAGTGCTTTATTGTCAGGCCTAATCATTTGCATATGATCATTTGATACTTTCATCAAATCGGGCTGATAGAGGTCGCTCGGTTTGTAATGAATCATTTCATATCGAGTGCCGGAAGGAGGAAAGCACATAGCTCGGAGATAGATAGCATCTTTGAAAAGATTTATCAGATGATCTTGAAGCTTCTGATCGCGATTGGATCTTTTCAATAGAGTTATATCTATAAAAGGTTCAAATAGCTCCATAAACTCATCTCGCAATCTCTCGGCGTGGGCAAGAACAAAGAGCTGCTTGAATCGGTCGCTTCTTTCAAACATACGCCGAAGCACTACCCGGTGAAACTTCACGGCGAAGTCACCACTCGCTAAAAAGATATATTTAGATTCCATTCTGGGCAGCCCTGTTGCTCACTTACCTGCATCCTGCAAAGTGTCCTGGTATTCCTTCAAAATCAAACCCTCGAAGTGGAGTTGAGTCCACATCTCCTTGGAATAGAAAATCTGATCACGCATAAATTTGAATAATATGGCTTGGAATGACGGTGAAGTATTATTTTCGAGCATTTCCTCGTTTGCAATGCTTTCCGAAATAAGGTACCTAGTATATTCCTGTAATTCTTGGTGAGATTTGTTACGAAAAGCCCTGCGAAGCAAGTCGGCAGCAAAAAACGCAAAGGTTCCGATTTTATCCATGAATTTTGTTATAGAAGTTTTCATATCCATGTCTGCATTGGCTTCAGAAATTCTGGATAAGTGTCCATTAACTTTTATAGCTCGGCTCAATTCGAGTTTGAGATTTTGTATTTCTTTATGCTGGGAGGATATCCTGTGCAAAAGGTTGTCATCGACAGGTATACCAGGCATTTGCCGCAGTTTTGCAGATTCGGATTCCTTTGCCGTGGCGTAGAAATCTAGTTTTGCATTTTGCTTCGAGTTCTGCTGCTCCAAAATATGGATTTTTCTCTCCAGGGCACTAACTTTTTCGGTTTCCCAAATGGTAAACCGATTTACTTGGTGCTCCATCAGTCGATACTTTTGACCTGAATTCATATCTGGGGAAGAGAGTGTTTTTTTGGTTGCCAATGAATCAGGAAAAATAGATGCTAAAGTCTCACGGACCTTGGTACCGTCTGAGTGAAGGTTCGGCGTTTCGCTTTTGTGTTTAAGAAAAGAGCCTGTATTAACGAAGACCATATCGTCTTCGTCAGGCTCTGACATACTCTGGCTCAACTCTGTGAGAGGACTACTAGACGATAGTTCGTCGTAAGGATAGCTTTTTTCTAGTAAATCAGAAGTAAGGCTTGTAACCTATTACAGTGCAGTCAGAAATCAAGAGTAGAGTCAAGAAATACTTTAACCTGTGAGCAGCTCTTACATTATCAAGATTTGTCTTGCTGAGAGTTTGAGTCTTCTGTACTTCGCCCAAGGTACTTTGTAGGTTTCTTTTGCCATTTTCGTTCAGTCTAACAGAGCTTATAACCTCCGTTTCAGGTGAAGCCCGCATAGACTTGTTGGAGCGACGCTTTGTATTCATTATGTTTGTCGGGTCAATAACCGCCGAACAAAATTGAGGTGGGATATGCTCTTTATCAGAGTCTATAGACACCCAACCTTTCCACCGGCCATGGCTTGAAGAACTCCCGCTTGATAAGTATGTTGGCTTAGGTTCAGGGAGAGCCTTTTCCCCCATGTTAGAATCTAACGAAATCAATGTTTTGGTTTTATTGCGCCCTTTTTCGCTTCTTGGGAGACAGTTGATAATGCGAATGCGCAGAAATCCAAAGAAAATAGTTGAAATTGAAATTTGTTGCGTTCGTGCAGGTGGGTATAGGACCCAAAAGGAAATAAAAATGCGGCGCAGACTGAATTTCAGCCTGATCTGAGCATTTTCGGTTTCATGCACGAACTAGTACAGAATTATAGCCCCCACTGAAAAAACGCCTTGTAGCATGGTCTTCCAGCCTTGTTGTGAAAAGGGGAAAGGGTTTTCCTGTGTCGCTACTTAAGTAGTGATAAACAGAGACAAAATGTCCACGTTTCCTACCCGACTATCAGCAACTCAAACATAGCGATGATGCGAAGAACTAATCCTTCCCGAAGAGTCAGACAGAAGCGGCACCATGACTTTTCTAATGCTGACACTGATTCAATGACTAGCCTACAGGCAGATGACGATAGTGCTACTACTATAGGTGGAGAGTCACCAACGGCATCCCATGAGGAACGGCCCTACAAATTCTTAGTCGCACTCGATTTTGGAACAGCGAATACTTCAGTATCTTACCTCAAATTTGACCCAAAAAACCCTCCCACGAGACTCCACAGCAGCGATATCAAATCCATTAGATCATGGCCTAACTCGCCATCGAAGACGAACCATACAAACGCAAGATCCGCAAACGTTCCAAGCGAAAGTTGGTATTTGAATGGAGAATATCTTTGGGGATATTCCGTGAGGCGGAGAATTCAAAAACCTCAACCTTCGGACACAATTACTGAGTCGAAAAACGTGATCAAGTTTTCGAAACTGCTCCTCCAAGACGGCGGCAGATCTTTTCCGTGGTTGATCGAATTATTACACCGCATCAACAAAACTCCCCACGAAGTCATTAAAGACTATCTTATCCAGATATTCATGCATACCAAAAATGAGTTGAAGAAGCATGAAGATTTCAAAGACTCTTCTGCTGCCGTGGACCTTGTAATATGCATTCCGGCTGGCTGGTCATCGAAGGCACAGATAGATATGCAAATCATTATGCAAGAGGTCGCCAAAGAAGTAGACTTTGGGTACCGAGATTTTGAACCCTTTATAATCCATGAGCCCGACGCTGCTGCTGCTCACCTACTAGAAGCCCTTGAAGGCTATGTTACACTTGAGGTGATTTTCCTTTAGCTTCAGTCTCTTTTAAAAAAATTACTGATTACAAGGCATTACAGCAAGGCGAGACGTTCATCATATGCGATGCCGGAGGGGGAACTGTGGTACGTTGATGGCTCATACGTTAATTTCTCGTTTTCATTTTACTTTCTTTTTGTTTCCCTTTCTGTTCACAGAAGTCTTCTGACTGATGCCTAGGACGCTACTACGTATCGTGTCAAGGAAGTCAACCCATATCGATTCAAAGAAGTAATTCATCCCGCGGGTAAGACTACATTCCGCGGTACTTACCTGAAATATTTGCTCATTTCGTGATCTCCACAGGTCTTAACTGTGGATCTAGCTACATCAATGACAGACTTGCTCCAAAAATAAAGCAAAGGTTACAAGGAGAAACGTACCTTGAAGAGATTATGCCCATTGATTTTTTCGTGCAAGAGGCTGTTTCTTTTGACTTTGAATATCAAATCAAGTATGAATTCACTTATGAAGAGTACTTAGGCCAGACTCCACAAGAACACTCTATTCGGATTTTCGGTCTTCGAGAAGACGAGCAAAAGAATTTTGGCACAAGTATACTTAACCTTGAATGGTCTGAAAATCTACTATCATTGCCATCGAGCATCATATACATACAACTGGCTAACAGTTTTTCAGTGAAGAAATTGCTGAGTGCTTCAAAGACAGTATAGAGGATACGGTTAGCTTGCTCAAACAACAGGTTGAAGGCGTTGAAGCCATTCGGGGCTATTCAGGCGTTCAGGTATACAACCATGTTTACACTCAGTCTTCTTTCAAATTGATGTTTATATGACTGATATATGATATGGAAAGAAAATTCTTCTTGTTGGTGGATTTTCCCAGTCCCCAGCTTTACGACGCAAGATTGAGGAAGAATTTGCAGCAAGTGTCGTTTATACAGATTTGTCAGTGCTTCTAAAGAAAAGTTCTACATAATTTTGGGCGGTGTTAGAATGCTAATATGAGTATTCTTTATACAGAGATATGTCCTCAATTGTCTCCCATGGTGCAGTTTTCCGTGCATTGAACAAAAAAAACGGCCCGGAAAGAAAGATAGCAGCCAGCATTGGAGTACTAACGGAAGAGCTGTTTGATTCTAATAATCCGGGGCATTGGACGATACCCGAGGGCACACATAGCCATCTCGATGGAGAACATTGGGCACGAGATCTTATTGATTGGCACATAAAAAAGGTATTAGCCTACTTTATTCCAGAGGCTTCATTCCTTTGTTTGTTCTCGGAAGACTGACATGAGAAGCACGCCGTGTTGAAAGCCAAGCAATCGTCGAAGAGGGTTCTCTTCCAACGATTTGAAGAAGGAGAGGAATGGGAAATAAGACAAAGACTATATTTGTCTGATCAAAGAGTTAAGGACTCCTATTACTGCCATAGTGCCGCGAATCAAAGTAAGAAAATGATGCTACCAGAAGGGCAATAGAACAAGAATGTTCAAACTAACTGGTCGTCCTTCAAGGCGCTATTGTTGCCGGTGTTCTTAAGGCGGATTTGTCTGAGTTAAAAAATACTGGTCAAATTCAGAAGATAGAGGCAGTCGCGGCAAACTCAGGTCCCTATTACGAATTCCACTACGAACTCGAACTAGAAGTTGATGGACGCAACCTCACGGTTAGACTAATTTATCCACCTGGCGGATATTGTTACGATGAGACGAGAATATGCATTGCAGCTTACTTCAAAGCGGGAACCGAATAATGAAGCATGGGTGATAAATGTTCGTGGACGTATGTATTCAGTGTCTTTTTATTCTAGAAAGTCCAACCATTCTCAGCTCATAGAAATGAAGTCGAACCGTAAACTTTCATGGATGCATAACATGACAGTTTATTTGCGTAAATAGCCCGTATCGACCCTCAACATAGAGAGAGTCGATTCGAAATGAAAATACCATGATCAGGTATTGGCCATTTTGGTATCCTGTTCATCAACTCCGTCGTTTGACTCTTCGTCCGATGATATTAAGATTGGTGAAGGTACTGATGATGCTGACGTTTTCATCCCTTCTAAGAACTCCAACCATTTTTCAATGGATTCATGGTTTTTATTAGCATCCCAGTATTCACCGGCGTCAGTCGACTGATTGATATAATTAAAACCATCCTCGAGTCGCGGCCCTAAATCAGACGGCACCGAGGTATAATAACGTCCTTGATGACAGGCACATTGGACCAGTTCTAGGATTTGTTCAATCTCGCAAACGTTATCAATATAAAGGCACCGTTTTGGAATATCGCCATTTTTATGTAATCCGTCGATCATAATACACCCTCTGACGTGAAACATAAGAGGCTTCATATCGGGCCATATTTGAATACCTCCGAAGTTGTTGGCACTTTGTTTAGTTTGAATTTGAGAAAATCGCAAATACTGGTCAACAGGCTGTCTCCGCCCTATTTTATGCCTTTCATATGTAGCTGTCACCATCTCATGAACATTAGGCGAGTTGTCCAAGACGAACCCAAAATAACCCGCTTTACCCCTGCTTACAAGAAGTTCATTTTCAATCTTGCCTTCACGTCGATATGTTGCACTTGATAAACACATCATGAAGACGGCTGCTGTGAGATTCTGGCTGACTGATTGTTCCTTAAACCGCCGGATGTATTTCACCAGTGCGTTTCTTAATACATTTGACTTTATAGGCCTCTTCCTCATGCCAGCGGGAGTTGATGATGGAACTCTGGCAACTTTACTTGCCATTATCTTCAGGGCTGCCTCGGCTACTGCAAGACACGTAATTTGACGTACTGGCTGCCATTTCGGTCCCATGAACATGAGTATTGTGATGTGGGTATAAAAGATCTCCTGCTCGTCGAAATTTTCATCAGACTGCCTGAGGGCTTCTCCTGTCCAACAATTTTCAAGATGTCTTAGTGTAGCTGCATCTAGTCTCCAGGAACTCTGCGTATATCGCAGAATTTCGTAAATTGCTTCTCGAGATGCTTCTACCGATGTATACGAAAGAAGGAAATCTTCTATATCATTCGCCGTTATATGTAGCGCTAGAAACCTCGTTTCAATAATGGATTTATCTCGTACCGCTCCAAGGGGATCAATGATGCTCAAATAGTCTAGATCAGAAGTGGTGTCGTCGAATGAATTATCCGCGGAAAAACTTCCAACTTCGGAGAAAGCATTCAACCACCCTGAGACAGATCTTTCGCGCATTGAAAAAATATCCGGGTCAGTAGTCGCAATAGCATCAGTGGCGAGAATACCGAGCTCGTTTTGTATTGATGACCGGTATATGTCACGAGCCCAGTCAAAAATGTAGTCCACAATCAAGAGGAGCTGGATTGCTCCATCCTTTCCTCGAATATCTCCACTCCATAAATCAATGACACACTATATCCGCGAATTCATTACATTAGCAAATTGTGAACTATGGAAGAGACAAAACAACGGAGAAACATTTTTGAACACTACATTTTTTACTTACCCATTTTATATCACCATTTTCTCTTTTCACAAAGCAACTTGATACCTTCCAGCGCTCGCCATACGAAGCAAAAAACCAAAGAAGAGGCCCTGTTTTCCAGCATGATTCTGAGCCTGTTGCTTCTTTAAGGTCGTGCTGCAGTTTCAAAATTCGTCGTATGCAAAATGCAGTTTGCATTTCAACTGCGGCCGTGTCTCCTTGCTTGCTCGACTTGGCCTCTAAAATGAGAAAGGGAAAGAGAAGTGGTTCACGTTCCTCTGCAAAGGGGCTCATTTCGATCATATCTCGTAGTCGTCTGGATGGGTCTCTTACAGCAGCTGAATTCATCAATAAGCTGAACTTTTCTGTCTTTCTCAGTCCGTATACCCGATCTGGCAACTCTGACTCTTGCTCATTTTTTTTCGGTTTCTTTATTTTCAATGGTGGATCGTGCTTGATGGCCGCTTCAGCCCTGTCCGAGAAAATCATATTTATACCAGACTCATAGCCATTCCTAAAATCAATGAGACGCCCCTTCCTTCGATATACTGATTTGTTTCATCTTACAGTTGATCAGGGCATTCACAGGCCTTTCTTCTCTCACGTCGTTGTTCTAACGAGTCTGCAAATGGCTCCAGACTGTTCAAAGCGGCTCTAATTTCTGATTCCCAGAGCCTAGAAGTGCATTCAGGACTATTAATGAAGGCAGTCAGCTTGCATTAAATGTGGCCTGATTGAGTTTTTGAAATTACTATCGAATTCTCACTTACCAGGTAACTTCGACACTGAACCGGTGGAATACCTCCGGTTCGATATTGCTTCTCCAGCTTCTTTCATTCGGTCCAGCGTCATAATACTTATCTGATAGCCCTACAAGCCTTTCCGCTCGTCGTGTGGTTTGTGCCCTCCATGGCTTTTCGATCGAGTCAACGGTAATGCTTTCCCTATAAGTTCCGTGTTTTTGATCGCCCAGTTTCTGGACATCTTCGAATAGTCTTCTGTGGGTTTCCGGCCACCGAGAAGGATCAACTGGTCCATCAAAACAGATTCCGTACTCCTTAGCAAGTTCGTGACGACTGACAAATTCCGCAGCCAGCATGGTCTCGTAGGTTATGTAGCGTTTTCTTCATCAAGCTTCAAGTCGGACTACATGTCGAAGGGATACTTGACAAGTACTCGGGACTCAAATCTCACAATCTGCGCCGCAGTTTTTCCTCGTTGTGGAATACATCACACTAGACCAGCGACGAATCACAGTGTACTACATCCCTGTACTTTCATGGCGTCCAGACAAGGCGCACTGCGCTAAACTGATACTAATCACTAAATCAGATGCCACTAATGCATAACACATGATAACCAGAACCAGCTGTCGGAGTTGACTAATTATTTCTCGTCTTGGGCCGGTTAGTGAATTACGCAAGGGTGTGGGCTCTTAAACACCCCCCTCGGAAGCGTGACTAGGTAGTACTGTAAAATATTAATCTATGTAAATTCAGCATATGCCTTCTTCTCTATGCCGACTTGAAACTGCAATCAAATTATAATTAAGCTCTTCTGTATATTTTGACATTGTAAGATTGGAAAAAGCTTACTCTTGTTGACATGTCAAATACTCGGACGGAGGTAGGCTAGCGATTCGGGGGGCCTGGAAAGGGCCCCAGCCACCCCTGGAGCCGTTCTCACTGCAGTATAACCGTTATTTATATTCTGATATCGAAATTTCACAATTCTTCACGTATATTTTACCACGAGTCAACTATTCAATACCATTCCCAGAATTTATACCCGATTTTATCCCAAATTCTTAATTATTTACTTGTAAGTCTGCCTGAAGACACTCGGTTACGTGTAGAGCAAATACTTCTGTGCTTTTATGTCAAATTTTCTCCTCCTCCTTTTTCGCCCTCTGATGAACTCAGTCAAATCATCAAACCATGCATATTATTAAGGCATTTACATACGTTTACCCCAAATCATTAAATCCCCTATTTCCTACATGTATCTTATCCACCTCATACATATACAAAGGCAGAAGTGATATAGGATAAAAAAGGGATAGGCTACATCAGATATATATAGGCCTCGGCACTTATTTCCGGACAATCAGAGTAGGTCTGGAACTAAGGCTGGACGTAGATGCCTAATAGTAATAGCATGACACTGGGATTATTGGTTGAGTAGAGACTTAAATTGGAAGAGGAAATTGATGCAAAAACACGTTACACACCGAGGCATTTGATGACTACACGTGGGTGAGTGCCTCAGGAATGAATATATTCATATGCATGTAAATGTATACACCTTAGCATATACAAACCCAGGATCCTATGTGCAAATGCTTTCGTGCCATATGACATGTGCCAAGTATCTTTACTATTCAATAGTTACATATGTAGCATAAGAGAGATCAGGAGTCGACACTTTCCGGATCAGTGCATGAGGCTTGCTGCCCTATCCCTCACCGCCGCCTCTCCCTTCTTCGCCCGGTCAGTCGATGTCAGGGCAACTATTTAAAAGCAGAAATCGACTACTCTACGCGATGTAGGGTGGCAAGCTGGCGTCCCTGGGATCGTGGCCTCCCACGGGAGAACGAGCAGGAGGATATTGCTGTAGAGCAAACATTAAATGCTGATGGCACCCGAGGACGTGACTGCGTAGTCAACAGAGCAAGACCATGATCACTATTTTTGATATTTAGTCGTTTACTATCATGTATCTAGCTTATCGTGTTTTATACTCTTAAGGAAATAGTATACTACTATTACTCTTCAACAATCCTTGCAGCCTATCATTGTGATAGTACTCTACTTACTTTTAAGATTGTTTTAAATATCGTTCTCTCTTGCCTTCTGTTAACAGAATATCCATCTCGATCCATATCTCGGTGACGAGTTGTGGAACCGATTGACACAGTTGTCGGATACCAGTAAAATACTTGCCCGCTATATAGATATATTTGGGTTAATACAACTTTCTTATAATATATATAACTATACATTTGGAATAACTATATTATATTAACCATTCTAAGTTGTTTTACAAACTACCGGTGTTTCTTGTGTTGAAGCAGCTTAGTAAGCTTAGCGTTAGGAATCCACTTAACTGTGAGGTCCGGGCCCACCGAGCCTACAACTGACCGAACGTCTGCAGGCCACAAGCCGGCGGGAACAACCTCAAAGTGATACATCAGAAATGATGCAATTACCCCTCATGCTCGCACTATAGAACCTAATTAGGAAGTACGATGCTTTCTAATCATGCGTATAAGCTTGAGGACTTTCCCCAGCAGTAGGAAGGCCTCAAGCGGTTTATTCTTAAAATATATAACCCGTTTTCTTAACATATTGATTTTATAGTGCCTCGCCGCCGAGTAGCCTCCTAGTCGATTTTAAGTAGGATCCCAAACCCACTATGGAGTCCTTCCAGACAAACCACCACTTTATAGATATTATATTATAATATAGTCTTGAATTATCTTCGGATCTCTGCATTTAGCACGTTTATAGTTATATCTTTGTTAAAATCGCGATTTAAGTTCAGTACGATATTAAACTAGATTATACACTTAGTTCTCTCCGACTTGTTGATTTTCAATTTAAGAAAGAAGATAGTCAGCTATTTCTCGTACAAGAGTTGGCTGGGGAGGTAATCCTTGCTTATCTAAATCTAATATCTATTTGACAAGCGAATCTTATTTAAATTCTGATAATTTATGTCCATTGGCGCGTATTTCAGCTCGATAATCTATGCCATTTAATCTGTTTTGAAGAGTCGAACGGGTGATATTATAAATCACCGCTGCTTGTCGTATAGAGCGAATTTTTTTATTTTTTAAATTGGATAATGCTAATTGTATTTGTCCCTCTTGCTCAGCTGAATTTTTTGAATTTTTATTGCGAATTGGTGGCATATTGACGCGTTGAATTTTTGAAGATAATATAGAACGCATTCTCGGGCGGGAGTGGCCAGCTCGGGTGTGGATTACGGTAAGGATAAACACTATCCTTTACCAGTTATGGAGACTATCTGGAAAACCAAGGAGGTTGTTGACCTGAAATGGAATTTCATATGTAACTTAACCTCGGTAACTGCTATTTTTTGAGTTAAGATCCTACATTAGTTTGCTTTAAATGTTTATTGTGGACAGTAGGGCTCAAATATAAAGTACACTTCTCTGGCGGGCGTCCACATTTAAGAGTCTAACCTAATAATTAGGGATACCTACCTAAATAGAGGCCGCATCCCCCAGGCTGGCAATATTTAGGGAATACTCTAGTTACTAGTACTAAATTTAGCGGTCCCATCTCTAAATTTAGATTCAGCACCCTATATTCAGGTATATCCGATTATCTGCCTATTTTTAGGCTTATCCAACCGAAATTTAGAAATACGTAGGACCTAACTATAAATCCGCGATGTAGCAGAACGCTTGCAAAGCTGAATAAAAGATAAATCCTCAAAGTCATTGGAAGAAGTCGATTTTAGCTGCTGGACCCTGTGGAGAGAAGCAGCTAGAAGGTCCCCGTAGATCCACTTTACCATTCACGCTCCGTTTCCCTTGTTCCTTCCGTTGCTTGGTCAATTAATTTTGAGCTGTGAAAACTCATACACATGAAACAACCACTTGCGTAAGACTCTAAAGAGGGGTCGCTTTTGTTAGAATCAAAACAAATGCCCAATTTTGGTGTCAATACGCAAGGCGCTGTCATAGGACGTGAGACAGAGGGTAATTTAAGTTCCCTCCAAAGTTTTCAATGTGGAACGACAGTGTTGACTTATGTCGCCAGTCATATTATCAAGCAGGTATTGCCTCGGTTGTTGATCAATTGAGTGGTCGAGGTCTACATTCTAATTGAGCGTCCATGATGAAAAGGCCCCCAAAGACAACGGTTGCATGATCACATGCAGACGACAATATGTCCGCTGTACTTCTGTCTCTAGACTTCTCGACAACTTTCTGCAGACGATCACAACTACGACCTTCACAAGGATCATAAGGTAGATATTTACCGCGCCCCCAGATGTGGGTGCGGGAAAGTCTAACCGGATCACGCCCATATCTTTCGGCTAAACCTTTGAGACAAAATATGGTAGTCACCAAATAGTTCTGGCCAACAGGAGGCGGAAACCATGTGCCGCATACCTGTATTCTCGGTAGGATTGGCTGTGGGCTAAGGCCGTCACAAAAAAGCGTGATGACTCTCTTTGGAGATGAACCTGTTGTCCAGTCCTTCCAGTTGCTTTTCAGCATCTTCGGCCAGTCTCCGCTGGATTTCAGCTCAATATAGGTTGTCAAAATTGTATAAATACGTGGCTGGCGTGCTAAGTGCGCGAAATCTATGCCGGACAATGGTATTCGTTTCGTGTGCTTTCCCTTTGCAGGTTTTAGCAATTCATTGTCTTGTAGCTGATCAAAAAGATTTGAAAATTGTACAAAAACGCCTTCCAAGTCGATATTGGACTCATATGCGGCTTCTTGACTTTTAAATCTGTCAAAGGTTTGTTTCACATCGTGTAAGCTCATGCTGTCAAAGTCCGGGTAAATTATATGGGCTTGTGGGTACTTTGCTTTGACCCAAGCTTGCAACAGATATATCACTACGTATATCTGGGGTAGCATCCAACCGATTTTGTTACGGACATCGTAGAGTAAAACATAATTAGCTCTTGTATCATCGAGGTGTTTTTCAAGGCTGCGATCATAGAGTAGCTGCATTTGCCGCTCTTTCTTTGGTAATATCCGAATCCCTGTCGAAGAACCACCTGAAAGACCTATTGCACCGCCACTAAGGGAGAATGTGATTGTTCTGTTCCATTCTATAGGCCAGCGCTCTTTTCTTTCTTTTATTTCACTCCAAATAGATGTCGTTGAGACTGTCCTTAAAGAAAAGTGGGCAGCTGCAGTAGAAATTTTAGCATTTTCATACATGCCTAAAAAATGACGCTGATGTTGCTTCACTTCCTCATAGAACTCATCTGGAGATTGTGTAGTCTCAATAGGTAGAAGGTCTGGCTGGTTTTTTTTCACCTCTGTCATGTAAAGACGAGAATTTTGCGACTCATAGAGGTGCCACTGCACCGCAGACGCCTCGTCATGTGTTTCAAGTCTTGTATGTATTAATATCGGGACTAAGGCGTTGATTCGGCCCTTCAAAACATAGCCACCCCTATAAGCCACCGGATAACTGGCTCCTGCGAAGGTGAACATGAGACTGATTGGCAGTTCTATACCATGCATATCTTTGGGGCGAGGAGGGATCGGGAAGTTGTTGGCAACATTTAGGCCATTGAAAAGCGGGTGCCAACATGTCCCGCCTCTTCTCAGGCTCTGGCCTGGCATGTCTTGATGCATGATTCGAAGGCATATACAACCATCTTTATCAGCAGACGTGAAGTCCTCAGGCAGAAAGCGATTTATGACTGCTCTGGTGAAAGAGAGACACTCCGCAAGAGGTTCTTTGAATGTGGCAATAATCCATGCTAGCTGCGAGCCAACTTCACCAACTAAATCGCAGTATTCATCCATCTTTCCCTTCACCCAGAATATTTGGATTGCTACATTGCATTGCGATGACGACGGAGAACTGCCAGTATTGCATTCGTACTGAGCACATTTCAATATCATTTCCACAGATTCTCCGAAGATATGTAAGGGCCGCACTGCTAGAAGTTAGCGGGAGAAAATAATGCCACAACAGATAGACAAGTTTCTACAAGTATCCAGTCCAAGTGTCTGAGCAGCCAGTACGGATTCTGACAACCAGGTGAAAAATGACATCCCTCTTGTTCCCCACCGCCAGTTGATATAGCGATCAGCTTTATCAGCAAAGGCACTCTCAGCAGAGCCGGTAATGGTCAGGATAGACTGAATTGACCGGCCATTCTGAGTGTAGAAATGAGTCAAATCGGCAAAAAAGCAAACAACTAGGAGAAAAAAGTTCAGTCCTGCATCAAAGATAGGCAAGAAAATTTACCAGCACCAAGAGATTTATGTCCACGCTTGCGGTAGAGTAGCTGAAGGCATCGTAGCACAGCACTCAGTTCTTCCGTTGGTATATCGTGACCGATTTTCGCTCCCGCAGTTGCAACTAGACTATGTTGAGATGATAGTTCACTATTTGCAGGCTCGCGGATGTTGATTGTAGTCATATTCCGGGACATTTCTTGCAGCAAATTATTGTTGAGACAACCTCCAACCCGCCTTGTCTTCCAACCAAAGCCTTGAATTCTGCCATGTATAATCATATCACTGGTACAGAATACAAATTGTAAAACATCACCTGTGCCATAATTTTCAGTAGTCATGATATCGTTTTTCAAATGACTATCTGCTTTTGAGCACATATTAATACACTGTTGTACTGCTTCCCATTCATCACGTAGTCTGGTCAAGACTGCCAGATCTTGATCTTTTTGAGATCCTAAGCCTTTTCCTAGTAAGACTAATAACCAAGCTAGTACATCCTGTCTGTACTTTTCCAGTCTTGCAGTTGTAATAGCTAAGCCATTTTTGCATCCCTGTAAGCCTTCTTTAGTATGAATTTCAGATATAGTATTCAAGTTGGTATAACCAAAAGAACTGCTATTATCTTGGGGGTTGAGCTCAACTTGAGCGATGTTCTCAGATAGATTTGTGTATATTTTCAAGCATTTCTCCGCGCTTAACCGCTCTTCTTTCATCGTATGAAGCTCTGTATAAAGCTCTGTATTCTCCAAGTCAGATACAGAAGCATTTTCCTCAGAAATATGCTCAAGTTTATCATTGATATTTTTAAGATTTTCTTCAAGGTCGCTTTCTGCAAATTTGATAAGCTCTTTATAGGCTTCAAGAGTTTCGGTGGTGACGGAAGATTTGCGACTTATCCCATAATCAGCGAAAAGAAAAAAATTTTTAAGTTGTAAGCGATTCAAAAGGACTTACAGACTTGCGTTGGTAACAGCGATATTGATTGTTTGCTTATACACTGCCAGAAGCCGTCTAAAACCATCAATATTATCGCCCATATATCTCAGATTTGCCCAGTCATGAAAACTTATCTGGTTTTCACCATAGTTTGATATAAGTTTTGCGATTTCCTGTTCAAAATCTTTACAGGCACTTCCACATCTTTTTAATGGAAGATCAAGCAAAGTAAGATCTTCTTGAGCTGTGATTTGAACTAATTTGTCAAGAATATCGAGTTCTGCTATTAAAAATTCAAGCTCCTGTAGCAAGTCACGAACATGTTTAGGAAGTGATTGAAAGCCTACTACTGTCTCATACAGTGCAAGGCTGGAGTTTAATGCAAAAGTAGCCAAAGGTACTAGCCTAGAAGCTACACCACTAGCTTGTGACATAATGTAAATGAATTTCGAAGATGATTATATTGTGAGAGTTTGTTTTGATTTAAGTGAAAACACTGAAATGCCCTCAATATTTGAGGCAAAGGCCAAAGCTAGCGCCGGACGCATAAATGTGACAAGTCAGAAACTAAAGAGTTAAGTTGTAGACAACACACCGAGCCTAACTGCGCTCATTAAGCGAGATCGCTATTCCTCATGTGTATTAGATTGCCATATTCACACAGTCATTATTGCTAGCATATCGGAATTGGTCGTTAGTTCAAACAAGTGTTAAATCCTCTTAGGTACGTGCTTCAACATACTTCAAACTGCTTGGATATGATAGTACAAGCTAGCAAGTAATAGTTCCCATTTAGGTAGCAATTACGATGATAGAGAACCTAGAGCACAGGTAAGAGCCGTCAAGCGAATCCAATCTGATCTATCACATTTAGAAGCTCTCTGCCTAGCTCACCACCTATGCCCCCTAGCAAATCTGGCGAATGCAATATATCAGCCAAGAAGCCAGCCGAGACATCGTCCCAACATCCTTGCCGCTCCTGACGCTCAAAGTAGTGGCTGCGGGCATGACTAGTACTTCCAATTGATTGGTGCCAGTCTGTTATGTCATCTGTCCCACTAAGATTGAGCCAATTATCTCGAAAATTTGCGTTTAACCACCCACGCTAAACGATTGAGAGTTAGTCACACCGGTGCACCCAGTGCTAGCACTAGCCTTTGACCTCAAAATCAAGGGTAATCCAATATTCTTACTCATTTCCGTTATTATCAGTCTCTTTCGACTATCAAATAGTCATGGCAGAAGCTATTGGTGTGGCTTCTGGGCTGTTGGCTTTGGCCACTTTCGCCTTTGATTCTAGCATTTCGCTTTACGAGATGGTTAAAAGCTTCCAATATCATCCTATGCAAGTACGCGATTTGCTAGAAGAACTAGAAGCTTTAATAACAGTATTGGGACCGCTCACTGAGATTGTTCAAAGTACAACTCAAGATCTTACTATACTCGATCTTCCTCTGAAAAGATGTGGATGTGCTTGTAAAGAGTTTCAACTGGAAATAACAAAATATCTATCTCACTCTGGTAAAAACCGATTAAGTTTTCGCGACTGGGCGAAAATGAGATATATGAGAGATGATATTGATGGGTTTCGACGACTACTTGCCGGATACAAACTGACTATTAGTATCGCCCTTACGGATGCTAATCTGTGAGTCACGAATAAATTACTTATGACTTCCTTCTCGCTGATAATCATCTAGTCGCAAGTCTTCTGTCACTGCCGAAGCCCTTGCAGCCCACAAAGACCTGATCGAAACTGCAAGGGACGACCTCGAAGCTCTCCTTGGAAAAATTGATGAGAAGCTTGACTGTATACTTGGACAAGCAGTGACTAAGTCAGACTCGGATATTTTAGACCTGCACCAGATTCAAGAAGAGCGTTTAAGTACAGAGAAATGTTTGCAATTATGCTTACACCTGTCACAGCATATCGCTCAGATTCCGCTTAGTTCCCAAGATAGTAACAGTTCTAAATATCTCGACTCAAACAATTTGTCTGAAACAATCACAAAAGAAAGCTTAGCTGTAACAGCTGCAAGATTGGAAAAGCATATGCAAGATATCATAGATCGTCTATTAATCTCATCAAAAAAGGATCCAGGATCTCAAGACGATCTAGCAGATTTGACTAGATTACGTGATGAGTGGGAGACAACTCGGCAATGCATAGATGTCTGTTTAAAAGCAGATAACTATTTGAAGGAGAACAGTACTGTTACTAAGAACTATGGCACTGATGATGCTCTGCAATTTATGGTTTCTACAAATGGAAAGATCTTACATGGTAAAAAGCAGGGTTTCGGGTGGAGGACCAGGCAGATTGGAGGCTATCTTAATGATGCCTCGCTGCAACAACTGTGCCAGGATATGACTAGTCGTCACCTCAGTGTGGCTGAGAAAGAAGGCTCGTTAACTCAAGATGATCCTAAATTTACCACTCCCGGTCAGAAACAGGCCGTACCGGCGGAATAAAAAGAGGGTGATGGACAAGGCTATAAGCTCACGTCTCAACCATCATCTACCGATCTTGAAACAACCAGTTCATCAATAACTAGCCCATGTCGTTCCAAACAGATATAGAGAATTTGCCATTCAATGTTTCGTGTTCAATTTAGATAGGTCAGCCATCGCCAACTTCCTAACATACCATTCATCGGTATGAATGCACCTGTATATTGAGGCTAGTCGAAGTACTTTTCACGTGCTCTATTTCATTAACCTTAAAGAACAAGGGTCTCGGGTCCGCATGCATAGATCCCGGGGGAAGGGAGGGAAGGAATACAGTAATACTAGAACAACAAACACTGAGCGCCAGAGGTACTATCGAAGACCAATAATATCGGATTATGCCCTTGAGTTTAGAGGGCTGCTGGAAGCAGCCAATTGCCAAGATGTATTAGCCGCCTTATCTCACGACACCAACCACCACCCTTACTTCCTGCCCGTCTATCGACGTAGGTTCTAGCAGAGGTAGTACTCGAGTAGTTCGTGGCCACGGAACCTGAAACAACTGGTCAAAATATTCGTGTTGGCCTCAGGCGGGTTTATCGTGTTACGCCTTTTCATATCGTCGTCGGCTTTAGTGAGGCCTGTTGAGAGCGGATATGACGATAAAGGTTTGAAAACCATGACAGGAACAACACCGTTGGAGGAAGCTGCAAAACGAGGAAATTTCACAGTCCTATATACTCTGTTAAAAAGTCTTAAGGCTGGAACAGAAATATAAGAAAGGGCGAGCATAGAAGCAGCAGGAAATAGGAAAAGTGGGAAGACGTTTTGAAACTCGTACTTAACCAACAGGAAGAACAAATCCAGATCAGAGAAGCAGTAGTCAAGCCTGCAGCAGGAAACTGGAGAAATGGAGAACAGATTATGATACTCCTACTCGACCAACGAGGGGACTATATCCAAGTCATAGAAGCGGTAATCGAAGTTACAGCAGGACACCCAGCAATCGAAAAAGAACTCATAACAGATATTACTAGGCCAACAGGGATAACAGACCATAGAAGAAGTGGTTAAAGCCATAGTAAAAAATTGGGCAAGCGCAAAAGACGTGACGACACTCCTGCAGGATCGTCAAAGTGACCAGATTCTAATCACCAGACAAGCTCCAACAAGAAGCTGGATTTAGAAGATTTAATGGAAACAATTTGCGGTCGTTCTCGAAAGAAGTTATGTACGGGTTGAAAGATATCCATGTTCGCTACTGTATAGCGGGAAGAGTCTTCTGTACCAGATCACCAGGGATTACGCTCTTGTCAGATTTATCAGGTGCAGGATGCAAACAATACAAACATGAAATTGATACTATAGAGGCCTGAGGTCTGAAACTAAATACATGAAAACAACAACAAATTTATACACAAAATCATGCGCAATTTTCCACTAGATCATCAAGGTGATTTGTATGATCTGTTTGATTTGTATGATTGGGTGTTGAACCTGGTAAAATAGTAGAATAAGCCATATAAAAAATTTTGAGCATTATGACTGGTTCGTTTTGGATTAGTAAGGTAGGCATTTTCCGACACCCCGGGCTGCTCACGTGGTCAAGAATATGTGAGCCAAACTCAACACCAATTCAGTGAAGACACGATTCATCTTTGTCACTGGAATTTGTGACGGAGCACCTTTCCCTGCCAAAACGGTAGAACATATCCTTAGCGACGTGATTATCAGCAGATGTATTGTTCAATACGACGTTGGTAGAAAGTATCCGATTGAGTTTGTTATGCGGGATGGCCAACCCCAGTGGAGCCCTCAAGAGCATATGTAATCTGCTTGCTATATCTGAAATAATACTTGCTCGTGATTAATTTGAAAAAATAGCTTTACGTAAGCCTGAAGAAAATTCAGCATAAAGCTGTCTGAAAGCTATAGATTACTAAACATTAATAATCAGATGTTATTTAAATTAGCTGTTTCAAGCAAGCTATCTTCATAAGCATCGTTACTCTCTCTAATTTTTATACATAAGAAGCTAAAGTAATAATTTTATACTTATTAAGTCTTATAAAACTTAAATACAATGATCTTAGATATAATAGTAGGCGATATATATGTATAAAATACTTGGCTTTTCGTGGGTAATATCCTGTTCCTTTTAATGAATGGAATAATGTGAGACAACTCGTAATAATAATGCGATTTATATAGGTAGGTATTGCCGAACCCTGATTTCACGGAATCTAATTAAGAAGAGCTATGTAGATAGTTGAACGCAAGTTGCCTCTTCCTGGCCGCATGAAGTAGATTGGGACAGGAAACCCCTATCTTGCACCATGTTATATATGAAGTCATCTAAATACCAGCCGCCCGTAGAATGATCCACCAGTTGGCTTATCAATGTTATCCCGTAGATGATCAGTGGGGACCCATGCGGATCGATACACATTAAGGTACGGAGAATGTAGATTAGCAGATCGATGGCGGCCTTGTCGATGACACTGTGGACGCAACCATACCGCCCTAACAACTGTCAAGTCGATGTCATACACCATACTACGACGTGCGTGTAGAGGTTGTACTGTGGCTGGAACGCCACGTAGATATCATGTGGCCCGTGATCATGGCAGTGGATATATATGGGGTTGCTGACTATGTCAACTCCGTATATGGGAGTGCATGTGTGCTTTCTAGAATATGACCCGGACGTTGCAGTGGCTGGAGATGGAGATGACGTTCGGTGGATGGGTGGTCATCCATCCTCGTCACGGGCGAAAACTCGAGATCCTACAGTAGATGATTCTGTGCGCGGTCGGCCTAGTGCAGCGACTCGGAGCTCAGGCCGGAAACAATATTATTCCATCCCAGTAAATGTGATAGTATTGCAGGCGTTTCGTTTCTAAACAGCGCAGTTTCAAGTCGCACGCTACAAGAGCGTTCTCTAACACGACTGCCTGTGACTTATGCCGGCTAAGCGCATCTGGTAAGGCCAGCAGACTAGGGGGCCAAACACTCCACAAGACGTCGCACTTCCTATGCCGCCGGTGTGCCAGGTTGTGGTGCTAGGCGCCGTGTGATTGGTTCCTAGCTCCTTGCTGCCGTACAATGTGAGGTCAGTGTGCAGGGAGACCGATGTTTCGAACCATCTGCGCCCTTCCTACACCCTTTCCTTGAGCGCATGATTGCATTCTACAGGATGCACCAACCCCTATCATACTGCACTCCTTGGTAAACTTCGACATTCTCCGCTAGATTCTTCAGTACAACTCGAAATCTGGCCAGCAAACCGTGGTTCTGTCATAAGTGGGCCGCATTATCGGTTGTGATTGGACCAGCAATAGCTTGTTTCTGGAGGGATTCGTAGTTCGGGCGAATTGCAACCGCGGCGCGCAGGCGCTGGCGCTGCACTGATCCCCACCGGGACAGGTCGCAGCGGGCGGTCACTGGCCCACAGGGTCGGTAGTGGATGCTACCCGGCGGCGCTCCAGCCAAACAGCGCAGGGCAAACGGAGCATGGGGCGCCCAGGCCCAAATCGCAAAGTCTAATTCTGTGCCTGTCCCTCTGTCCCTCTGTCCGCCCTTCTGTCACGGTCACTCTTCCATTCTACCTGAGGCTTGCCGCCGTCACCTCACTTTCTCCTTCCCTCTCCCTCAGGTCATTCATTCCCTGAGTAGTGTGCTCCTGCATGCTTCATCGAGAGTGGTCTTCGCCCCCTCTCTGCATTCTTTTCTGCGAGTCCTGGTTGTCCGCTCCTTTCACTCTCTCGTTTCTCAGGCGAGAAACCACTCTTTGACTACTACTACCACTACAAATTTGAATCATTGCAGCGCAATTCTCGACTTTCCTTGTTCCCAGTCGACATTGATAGTGCGAGTCTTTAAGTCCGTGCTTTATCGAGTTGTTAAGACACAAGCACATATTCAACTCGACCTCAATCGCATTATAGTACTTGTCGACTATTTCGACTATCCTTCGCCGATAACCTTCAATCAAGAGATCTGTGATCTCGCTGCAAACGCTTGTGACAGTCGAACCCTTCCGGACTGGTTTTCGGAGGTATCATCACGCATATCTGGATCGTTTCTTCATCTGAGCATCGCGCATTTCGTCTTGCTATCTTGAGCACTCACTCGTCCACTGACAAACGCAATCCATCCGCCATGGCTGTCTCTATCAGTCGCGCCTTCACCAAGCGCACCAAGCGCCCTGAGATTTCAACTCCCATGCCATTTCGCGAGGGCCTAGTCAAGTATTCTGCCGGCACCATTCGTCGTGGCAAAATTTCTGGTCCCGTGGAACTCTTGTCAGCAACCAACCCACTCGTCTACAACGCTCCCGATTTGAGCGGTCTGTCGTCATCCTCATCCGCCTCTTCTCTGCGTTCTGGAGATGAGAGTGACTTGACTCCTGCATCGCCTGCTACCCCAGTATCAGAAGACGCCATGCCAGAGCCAAATCACCTGTCAGGCTATTTCCCAAAGAGATCAGCCACTATCACCAGTACAACCCGCTCATCGACGTCTTCCACCGGCCTTGATGCACCAAACGTGCCCAAGCGTGCCCTTTCACACACCAAGAAGTCGCATCAAGATCTCGCCCGCAAGCGTTCGATCTCCCGGTTGTCGCCACCTCCCACTTCCATGAACACGACCCCGCCGCGCCGCACTCAGGATGTCTTCGCACCGGTTCTCGAATCCGGCGACAATCCTTTCAGCAGGGAATTGGACAAGGTCAATGAGGTCGCTGAAGATTTTGGTGCGTTGAGAGTTTTGGATGAGGAAGAACAGATTCTGCTCAGCAGAGGCTTGAAGAAGTTCACCGTTGATGACTATCTTTGTGAGATCGAAGAGCTTTATGGGGGTGTTTTTGACGACCACCTCGGCCCTCTGGCATCCAACTCGTGGCTCTAATCATAACACCAACCCATGTCTCGACCTTTACACTAAACGATTCCACGATCCTTAAAATATTTTTCTACTCGCAGCAGGACTTTGATCCGTTCGTCCATTCCTGTCAACACACATTATCATGTCACATTCTCTATACGGTTTCTTATCGCTTGTTTTTTCATCGGGGGTACATACCATTGAGTTATAAACGTTTTGTCTAGGCGTCATGACCATTGCGGAGGATTAGTTTATTTGGTCTGGCGCTGGCTCTTCATGCACATACTTAGGGTTGAAGTAGTTGCTTCGACTTGATTTTCTTTTGGCCATGTGCCTATGATTAGGTCAATTTAGGATAGGTTCAAATTGTATTTACCAACTGATTGCTGTTGAACACTGTAACACTAAAACAACAGTAGAGTTCAGTGTAAGGCGAAGCTTTCTGGCATTAATTTAACTTGTGTTTAATTACTTATTCTTTGATTTTATTTCTTATTTTTATATAAAGACTGCCTGTACATGTTTCAGACCTGCCTGTTCAAGCAAGACTAGCGCAAAATGTCTGAAGCGAGAGGCGCACAATGGCAATTCCCCGCTCACCGCCTTCTCCAGGTGGAGAGCACCTGCCGACCCACCAGAATATTTTTCATCCTCCTCGAGCTTGCCATTCTCGAGAATCGTGGCTGTCTGCCCTTTTGCGAAGAAGTCTTTCCTGAATTCTGCCTGTCTATAAATATAACACTACCAGCAGATTCTATCGCGCACCCACAGGGCAGACAGACCGTTATTCGTCGACGCCAAATTTTCGTTCCTCACTAATCTTTGTCGTGTGCCTCAGCTTTCATCACCGCCTTATTATTCGCATCTCTTCAAATGGGTATATCATCCAGACATACGCATGTAGTACTTCCTCGCCAAATGATCGCATCTCTTTATTTAAGAAGAAACCTCATTTGCGGTGCCGTTATTATTCACAACCTGTGACGGTCATCCTCGCCCCCGCCAAAACAGTTTTAACGCCGAAACCCGCTATCAGCACTATTATCGGCATGCCGCACTCATCGTTCCCCGCCCCATCCATCCTCAAGACGTCCAAGTTGGCGTCGACGCTGCCAGCTGCAGCAGGAAGGAAGCGCAAAATGATGGACATCGATATGTCCTCGCAGCCGACCTCCATACCTTCCGAGGCCGACACCGGGAGTCCGGTCAAACGTCCGCGAGTCAAGTTTGACTCGTCCGTGGAGACTAGACATCTACCTGACCTGTCGCCTGAAAGGCAGCAGCAGAAAGAGAAAAGCGTCTCCCTTGTTCGGGAAGAAGTTCGAAGAGCTATCCAGAGACATGTTTCGGGAGCAGACAGTGAAGCTTATGATCTCATCAAGCAGGTTTTTGCTACTGATGCAAGGAAGCAGGAGGATGATGAATCAGATGAAATTCCCAGTCCGACATCGATGAAACGTCATCTGATGGGTCTACTGTCAAATGTGTCTTTGCTAGATGGAAACTGCTCTGGCCTTGTAAATGCCGTGTTGAGTAGTGAGTGGCTAGGAAGAGACGAGCCATATGTCAAGCTTTTTATCCGGTTCTTGGGGAATTTATCAGCGGCCCATTCTGCGTTTCTGCGTCCGGTGTTGAAGATGCTAGTGAACTACCTCGGAGAAAGTAAGGCTTTCTTGTTCCGTTGTTCTAGTTGTTTTGCTGACTGGTCTCTAGTCCCTAAAGGCACTGGACGCATTCCCGGCTATGCAATCACCACTCATGGAGAAATTTACGACAGGGTTCACATGGCGCTACGATATCTCATGCAGCTATTACCAGCTGGAAGTGTAACTCTTTCGCCAATCCTGTCTGGCCAATTTCCGTTTGATACGGATTCAGCACAGGCCAATGTTTGTTACACCCGCAACTTGACTAGAATTATTGAATACGTCCCTGAGCTTCAGGCAGAAATCCTTGCTTTAATCACCGAAAAGCTTGTTAAGATCGATGTGCAAATTCAGGTCGACATGGAGGATTTCGAAGATGAAGTTGGCGAAGGCCTCTTGGAAGACCTTTCTCGTCCAATTGACTTGGAAAAGGGTGACGACGAAGACGAGTCCGATAATGACTCTGTAGCCAGCGATGATGATATAACCGACGTTGAAACGCGACGGCTCCGAGGAGTTAAGGAAAATATTCGCAAAATCGATTCAATGATTGACCATCTATTTGAGTTTTACTCCCCACCATTTGCACATGGAACGGACGACGAAAAGAACAACGCATTAGATCTGCTTATTGCACATTTTGAAGGCATTATACTACCTACCTACCGCTCTCGACACACCCAATTCCTTCTTTTCCACTTCTCGCAGTCTTCGCCTGACCTTGTTGAGCGATTTGCTGCGACTTGCATCCATATCATTTTTAGCAAGAGTCAGCCAGCAATTAGACGTCAGTCCGCGGCTGCATATCTCGGAAGCTTCGTTGCGCGAGGCAAACATGTATCACCGCGTGTAGTACGTGATGTCTTTGATATGCTAGGAGACCATCTTGATAACCTTCGCGCTGTACACGAGAAATCATGCCGAGGACCAGACCTCCGTCGATACGGTCCCTTCTACGCAACCGCACAAGCCCTCCTATACATATTCTGCTTCCGCTGGCGCGACCTCACAACGGCATCGGAAGAGAACGACAGTCTCGACAACGACGACATCGACCTTGAAGACGTCAACTTCCCTCAATCCGTAAAGGAAGTCCTCCACCGCGCCATCTATTCCAAACTCAACCCCCTCAAGGTCTGCTCCCCGGCCATCGTCTCCGAATTCGCGCGGATCGCCCATCACCTGCGCTTCCTGTACGTCTATTCATTACTCGAGTCCAACAAAAGACTACGGATGTCCACATTCCGAAATATGTCCACCATGGCAGACCCGCACTTCGCCATCGTTGAGCGCGAAATTAAAGCCGGGAATGATGGCGGATACCAACTCGATGCTTACTTCCCATTTGACCCGTACCAATTGCCGCAGAGTCGACGGTGGTTGGATGGCGATTATGTCGAGTGGCGGGGTATTCCGGGGCTGGACGATCAGGACGAGGACTCAGATAGTGCGGCGGAAGATCAGGATGCGGATGCATTTGATGATGATGAGCCTACGGGTACGGACGAGGAGTGATCCTCCTCATTCCGCGAGATATACGGGCTATTATATTGGACTATATATGGGTTTGATACCATTTTTTTTGTTATATTGGGTTATGATGATGTCAAAAGCTAGATGATTGGTATTTACATTAGCGCGGCGTCTGGGGTAATCAATTAGATGAATATATTACGCCTACATATACACTCATTTGATAAATGTTTGAACATAGCAGTGTTAAGACTTTCTGTCTTTCGTCTGCATTTACACCAATCTATGTCAGATTAGGCTTGAAGACTTCTCGCGATCCCATCCGTAGAAGTAAAAGGCTCAAATATTATTAATATTGGTAAAGGAGGGCTCCTTTACCCAGTCCACTCTTGTGGTGCTATCTTCCAACTTTTGTTCTACTCTATGTACCCATCAACTGATGTCAACTGGTTTTGTATACACTACCAAACACATTTCCCTACATATGTACGATCTAACCTTAGCCTCGCCAGCATTACAGAAATTTGGTGCCCTACTTCATATAAATTAGTGCTGCTTCATAAACGTTGCGCGCCCTGCCGTCTCAAAACAATATATAGCAATTTTCAGCTTGTAGAAATATTACAACTGATAACTCTCATTCAACATGTCATTCACGGATCAAAGACCCTCCTGGCGCGTGGCAACTAAACTTGAGCAAAGAAGCTTGCTGCTTGCTGTGAACTGCGTTGCTGGTCTTGCCATTTATTTTTTCGGTATGCCCTCAGAAACTAGATTCATCGGCCCTCATTGCAATATTTCAAATTCTCCAGGGTACGACCAAGGCATGATGGGAGGCGTGAACACTTTGTACGACTATGTTAATACTATGAAGTTTGGTTTTATCAAAGCCAAGGGCACGGTCGTGGTTAGAGACACCCTTCTCCAAGGCGGTATTGTTTCTGTCTATTATTCGGGTACGCTCGTAGGTTGTCTATGGGTGGATCTCTTGGCGACCGATTAGAGGATCAAGAGTCTTGCTATTGCCTGTGTATGGGGAATTATCGGTGCCTTATTGCAATGCTCGGCTCAGAATTCCATCTGGATGATTTGTGCGAGTCCCAGTCAACGGGATAGGCACTGGGATCCTCAATGTCATGGTCCCGATCTGGGCATCTGGGATCACAGAATATAAATCTAGAGTAACCTTTATCACTATGGAATTCACTCTCAACATCCTCGGATGGCTGTACGTAATGGGGTCTTCTTTATTGTTGTAACTCAAGCCCGTAGCTGTTGGTACAATAAATCCTTGATTTCACTAGAAACCGTGTGCATGGGCTTACTATTAGCCATGAGTGGTCTCCTTTAAGATGTCCTTTGGCAAATTACCCTCTTCGGCCACCCATTGTCTCTGCGACTCGAGAGTATGCAGTATACTACAGAGTAACCCGAATTAATTTTCTGGGTCACCTAACCGAATCATTTGGTGGAATACCCGAAGGAAACCTTGTCATCAGAATTTCTGACAAGCTGTAATCAAATTTGGACCAGGGCTTTCTAAAGATGAAGTAATACTCGGTGAAGAGCTTATGATCTGGAGTGATAGAATTATTAAAATTTAATTATATTAAAAGCCTTATATTGTGAGTCCTTTAAGTGTTCAGTGAATCTTACTCAATGCGTGATGTACACTCTAAATTCTATAACCCGATAGTTGGGAGACGAAAAATCGGTGGAGCTTGGCATGGCTCTCCTTGAATCCAGCTAGCAATATTAAGCTTAATCCTAGCTAAGTAGGTATTCTACTGGAGATATTAGGTACCATGTAACTAACCACGGCCTCCCTTCCTGCTACTGGCTCCCTTACTGAATAAGATTTTAATTCACAACTCACGTCTCAACCATATCATCATTCCACCTGGCTAACATCACGGGGTCTCTTCCGACTTCTCCCCTATTACGTGTGATAAGTGGGATACTCCATTTCAGCATCACGCTCCTTTTGTGACCCAACAAGAATCATCGACGGATGAAAGATATTCATAGCAACCATGGCGAGGAACATCAGAGTTGAATCAAAGACGTACATGAAAACTTCATGGCTAATGAGATACCCAGCGTTGCCTTGCGCATATTCTACTAAACGAAAGATCGACCGCACCAGGATCAGGGCACTGGCGGCATACAAGCCCACAAGGACTGTTTGCCATGAACGGGTCGTCCTTTCATTCAGACGAGCGGCTAGTGCTATTACTTCGGGTGTTGGCTTCTTGCGGATGCGAAGGTGGAATAGAGCACAGGTTATAATAAAAAGGCCGAAGAAGACCAATTGAACACAGAGACCACCGACGGTGACGTGCTCTCCTAGATTGTAGCTACTGATGGTGCCGCTGGCCATAATACCACCACCTGCAGGACAGCATGCCATTAGCATCCTATTACACCTTGAGGGGATCAGGTGCCCGACGAACCTGCGGCTTGCATCACGAATGCGATCACATCGCCAGTGACAAAAACCTTGGTCATCCACTTAATTGACACCACGCTGAGTCCTTCCGCCCGCAGGTAGACGATTAGCCGGCCCAATACCATATAAATCGATGCAGCGTAAAGGGGTGGAGCGAGAAGAATCAAAATAGCCTGGATGCTATAAATCGGAACTGAGTCGGTGTTGTTATGGGCCAAAATACGGCAAATATAGCCGATGATCTGAACTGTTCATGAGAGATTCATCAACCGACCATAAAATCATGAGGAAGTAGGGAGAGCTTATTTTGGTACACCATGCTGCCCACTTACAAATGCCTCCAATTACAAACGCAATGAAATACCATGCTCGTCTCCGGTAGAGTTGGTAGATATGGTAAATCGTTGTAAGAAAGAACAGGACCGCAAACACTACTGCTGCTGCAGTCGACGGGGTGTATCTATAGAGCTTGAAATCAATATGATCATTGCTGGCCATGACGAGAATAATGATACGCTCAATGAAAGGTCGGATTTCGTATTATGCCAGAGAGTGTATAAGAAGGTGTAAGGGCCCAATGACGAAGGCGTCAACTGGTGGGTGGCTAAGGTGTGTCTTGTGGGAAACGAACGAACACACACACATATATATATATGGACAGGCTAGGTTAAAAGTTAACCCAGAGGACTCTTTAGAGGAAAAGAGTACTCTTGGAAAAAAGAAGAACTATTGACGAAAAGAGAAGGCTTTGTACTTGCTAAGGGTACCCCTACGATATGTATTCTTATATGTAAAGTTTCAGGGCTTGGCATCGACCCTGGGTTATGCGAACACGAGTATACGAGAACGAAAACGAAAACGAAAACGATGATTCTCGGTTGCCTGTTTAGGAACCAATACCAACAAATGGTTTCATACCATGGGGAAATTCTCAGCCACACATAATAGAGGCTGAGATAAGCAGTACCTGCAGTTCCAACTTAAAGAATCCTAAGCAGCCGACTCCATCAACTAATATAGAGAGCAACGAACTTCGAATCAACCAACAGGCCGGGATTAAAAAGAGCTCGGTCAAATCAATTTGAGAGGAGCGAATTATCACGCGAAGCATCCGTAGCCAATAACTCCATCCAAATGCTACCGTGTAAAGGGTTAACGAATTGAAAGCTCTGATAATTTACGAGCATAATTTCAGGCCATGAATAGGTGAAACTCAAGGATCTAAGATTCGTCGAGAATCCACTCTTCCTCAGTAATAATGATTGAGAAGATCAACTGCAATGAAATAAACCTATATATGAGTTCGAAGGGATGTTTATATATAATTTGCTTTTTTGTCATTGTGGTGACCATTTTGCGTATCCAAAATTGTCAACTGGTAACATCAATGTTGCTATTTTTTTAATTGGTAATGACTCTATAGTTTAGCTATCGAAGTATACAACCTAGTCCGTATCTTGAATAACATAGCGAAAGAATTGCTTCTCTACTCGCTTCAGATTCCACAATCTGTGTTTGGGGAATAGACTGAAAACACTCGCCTGACGGCCTTTCCTCCAATTCCGTGCTTCAGATATGCATTGACCTCGCTTGGATGGACCCAGCCGAAAAGAGTCATTAATCCCAGCATCAGAACAGCGTCGAACAGGTAAATATACACTTCGTGTGTCATAAAGTATCCGTTATTTCCCTGGGCATATTCCACGAGGCGGTAAAGCGAACGAATGAGGATTAGACAACTACCGCTGTATAGGGTGTAGAGATGTTTCTCCCATGGAATCCAAACACGATTTGCGGGTTTCAGCCGTAGGCGCCAGTGGAAAACGATTGCAGTGCCGATGAAGAACAAAAAGAACAAGAGTTGAACAACAAGACCCCCGATGATAATATTTTCGCCGGTCTGCAATGAGCTTACTGACCCGCTTGCCATTATACCACCACCTTATAATGGTAAATTGAGTTTAGCTATGCTATTCTGTTCTCTTGATTCTGGTTATCAGCGCAAGAAGACTCACCAGCGCCTTGCATAAGGAAAGAGATAACATCTCCACAAACAAATATCTTCGTTAAAAACCGTCGTGGAATAGGGGCGTACGACTCTCCCTTCGTGAGGAGAATTATCCGTCCTAACTCCATATAGATACTGGCTGCGAAGAGAGTTGGTGCAATGAGTAACAATAATGTTTGCATGACATATGGGCCCACGGTCCAGTTAGGGCTCTGGTGACTTGACATGCATCGCTTATAGGTAGAAGAGATATCAGCGTCATCTTCACAATTCCCGAAGTTAACAGCTTACTCCTATATATCCTAGCCATTCAACTAGGCACAGTCAGGCTTGCTCAAACTCCCAAGTTTGTAAACTCCACACTTACAGTATCCGCCAATCACAAATGGTATAAAGTACCAAGTTCGAGTCTGCAGAAGCTGCCAGGTATGAATTGCGGTGGCGCCCAAGAACAAAATAACGAATATGACTGCTGCTGCCATGGAAGGGTCATAGCGATACAGCTTGAAATCGCTGTTGGAATCCGCCATTCTCGCTGAGCGAATATGACTATCAACACAATAACTAAGTCAGTTATTGAAGTGAGGATAAACAATGGAGTCTTGGGAAAGGATGATCTTGTATGTTTATCCCTGATCAGACGCTGTCTGAGGATAGGACACATATTATATAATTTTCTATTGCCAGTGTCACTATTTATGGTATTTGTGTTATTGTTTCAGATCCATCTCTAATACGGCATGGCATACAATGTCACAGAGATAGGATCAACGTGGAATGAACAATCCTATTGGACTAGCCATATCATATATCTCCAGTAAGGCCGCCGGAGCGCTGTTGCCTAGGGTCTTTTCTCAGACATGTATTTAGAAACCTAGTCCATTGTGGACCACACATGGTAGCGAGAATGACTGGTGTCAATAACCAAACAATGGCGCCACTTGAGACGCCAGCCATGTTCTCCATCCTCCGCTGTTGCGGTTGCGGCCTCTTTCGAGAGCAAGAGGATTACGTATTCCCTTCGGATACGCTCCCAAATGCACATCTAGTGCATTGCACTAACGGGGTGAGCGATGTGGAACGAATATTTCGACGAGTTAATATCGAGTTTAGCCATAGTATCGTTATCGTTATCGTATTCGTTTTCGTTTTCGTTCTCTTTCCACCTGGCTCCGCTCTTGGGAACTCCACTAAATACACTAAGTACTGCCGTCAGAGTGTATTAGTATTTCCGACCAATTTACAAATACCATAATTACAGGCCGTTGTCGCTGTCATAAAATACATACAACAGCCAGGTCACTTTATGAGTCAATAACTCTAGAACCAATTAAAGTTTATTCAGCTCGGTATTTTGGAATTAGATTTGATTTATGGGGACTCATAGACCACATTATAATTTCTTCCAGATCAACGTAATTACAAAGGTCTGATTTACGTGTAATTAAAAATACCAAAATTCTTACACGATCCCTAGAGAGTGTTGCCATTAAGAGGGAGCATGTGTTGACTTGTTTACCTCAATTGTTTGCAAGAACGTCCGTACGCATGACTAGCTGTGGCTCTTATATATTTAGCATCCGAGCTCCCTGAGAAGATAGATTCTTAAACCCCATCCACCAAAGCAAATCTTCCATTTACTAAATTCAATGTCCAATAGCAGAAATCGATATCCTTTATAATTAGCAGCAGTAATATTAGACAGAAAGTAACGAGACGTGGTTATAAGAATACGCATGAGATTGCTTCGTAATTCGCATCCGGTGAATGAAGGTCATTATGTGGAGTTTCCGCCTAAAAGGTACGGCCTTGCTGGTCCTCTATCTGATATATGCGTTTGGCAATATTGCATATGCCTAACAAATATATGTCCACACCCAAGTTCCACCCGCTGAATGCTGCTCTACCGCGACTTCGTCCAGTCCTGCCAATAATCTTCCCACTCGCCTCATTACTGCTACGCACTTCCCAAAGACTTTGTATTTGGTGTTTCAGGCGCTGCCCGCTAGGTTGAGGTCCCAGTTGCTGACGAGGGAAGATCACCAGTGATTCTGGAAACCTTGGCTGGGACGGCTCAGAGTTTCGGAGTTTCGGATTTTGAGTATGATTACCTAGCGACCAAGAACTATTACCTCTATTAGCAAGATATTTCAGCGCTTGGCAGCCATTGCATACGGTACCTTTGATTCACTAACCCTTGGATGTGGATATTGCCTTTTTGCCTCCCGGGTTCTGTCAACTCACAGGGACTGAACACTACGACGATGTCATTGACTTCGCCATCGAGAACGGGGTACAGCCAATCGCGACACTTACACATTTGGATTACTTTCAACAAACCTCAAGCCGGTTGCGTTAGTTGGCCAGCTGTAGACACCGTAACTAAATCTAACGCCCGTTTATATCATTTTTACAGGAAAGAGCTTAAAGGAACAGGGAAGATATCAATGAAGAGGGACGCATGTCTAGGCGTACCACAGGTTCCTTCATATGCTTCCGACATAATCGCAGCGTAGCACTGCATGGACTTATATGTAAGACCTTCTTGAATCCTCTGACCATAGGCCGAGATTATTCTATTTCATACAAGATGGCGATCTAAGACTATGTGCCCTTGGCGGAGCAAGATTTGAAGTACCTCAATGGAACTGTTCGTATGTGCCAATAAGCGGTATCTTGTCATATTGGGCTAGAAGGGGTGGGACTAACTGACAACAGATTTTGTTGTGGTTGATCCTACTCCACTGCAACTATCTACCCAAGCAAAATAATGTTATTGTCTGAAGCCAGCTCCTGGGCACAACCAAAGCCGATGCTAGTTGGCGAGGTAGTAAATAGTGCCTAGGTTTCTTTGGTCGGAGTAGTAAGGCAAAAGCCGAAGTGATGCTACAGCTAGTGTAGAGACAAGAATTCACGCATCGAGAAAGTGCTGTATATCTCCATGAATAGACCTACTTACCGTTGGTATAAATACCTACAGTCTTTATCTAAAAGAGGAGTAGTGAGCACGATCCAGAGTACCATTTAACAAGACTAGTTCCATAAAAGATAAGTGAGCGGAAATTTACACTAGAGGCAAACCCTTCATGCTACATTCCCTTCAGATGAAAGCTCTCGTCAGCGTCCCCAGTACTACTACAGGAGGCTCTTAGTGTTCATTTCTCTAAACCCTACAATATCGCTCTCGATTTTGAATTGGTCTACATGTCAACTTAAAATTGGAATATCTACAATCAAAGATCTAAAATTCAAATGGAGTCACGACAACTCTGAAACCACGGCAGCTTTGTTCCTTGCCCATTCACAGCAGGATGACCATTCGGGATTAATTTGATGTAGTGCCTCTGAGGTGTGTCTTATCAGTCGAACGCCAAAGTTTTTCCCCCACCATTGGTTGTGCACGTGAAGCAGCAAGACGCCGTAATGAACGAGAATAAGCATGGCCAATGGATCACCCTCCTTGAAGAGGATCATAAGGTCGTCAGGAACCATAACTGGCCATGCGACTATCGCACCCGCACCCCTCTCTGGAAGTCCCACAATTTCCCCAAAGCTTTTTTCAAGACAATCAATCGCGGAGAGGTATATATTGTGCTTCTCAGGGTGAACGTCTTTTCCTAACTGATCAGTACGCTGCCGCAGCTTCAGCAGCGCTTCAACGTCTTCATCATCCTCTGGGTCCATGTATGGTCTGGGGTAGTTAAATAGTGCTTTCATTTGTCCACCTCGAAGTGATCCATGGGAACTAGTCTTTATCGCACGAACACCACGGAGAAGTTCGAAAATTGATATGATACTGTCGCGAGGTGTTACGAGATGCTGGTCACCGTAGCATTCCGGAAACGCAAATGCCAGGACGGTAATGATCAAGGAAAACCCGAATAATGCATGACAGTTTTCCTCTTTAATTCCATTTAATGTAGCCTTGAATTCCCGTAAGCCTGAGGCCTGATATTGTACTGCAAGTTCCGTGTATGTCCACCTGTTGCTTGGTCTATGCAATGCAATGTGGAGGGACGCGAGAGCCATTATACCATCCATTAGAAACTCATGCTTGAAGGCTTCCGCAGGGATCGATCTTTTCCACACGTCAAGATCAGTTTCGTGTTGAGCCATTGTCTCGCAAGTGCTGGTCGCATAGTGATGCATAAGTTCGAGCTCTCGCAGCCGCATAAGCTTCGTGACTGGCTGACTGGAGTAGTATCTCGAGTAGATGCTTCCCAAATCTGCACTGATATGCCCTCTAGCACTTGTGCTGTCTGTACATGAACCATCCTCTGCAACTGATGGGCTTGTGCTACAAGCTCGTACGAAGTTATAAGAGCAGCCAGTATTGCGACTGATACAATTCTGGCATCGTGGTACCTGTTCATCGCACTGATCCGGTGTTAGCAACCACTATATGGATTCAGGCTATGCCGCGCAGACATGGACCAGGTTTGCGGTTACGGGCCTCTCAGCCTGCGCAAGCAATATTTTGACACCAGGAGAAAGATCCTAGCTTACCTTAACACGCCTCTGCTTGCATTGAATACAACCTGTGCGCGATTTCCTGTGACTCCTTCGTGGAGCCATGAATTTGGTACCTAGGTTACAGTACAAGCAACTGTTAGGAAAGGCGAAGTCGCTGGTGGAGGGATTGGGTGAGGGACTCGGAGTTTCGAATGATAAAGATCCGATCGAGAAACCCGACGCCGATTTGGAATTTTGCCCCAGAGAAAATTACAACAGTTGTTTGCGGCTAAGATTGGAGCAAGCTGTTATAGCCATTAGCAAGATCACTTATCAGCGCTGTAGTTGCTTGGGATGTTTCAGCCTAGGAAATTTTAATTCGACGGAAGGGCAGTCTAACGCATACGGAGTAGATATTTGCATTCGCGTCCACAGAGATTTTGCGTGACGAACGTTCCTGTGAATGCGTATAATTTTTCTTTGGTCATGTGGTACCTGGGCCCAGCGGTAACGGTTGTATTACCAATACAGATAATCAAATGCACTGAGTCGTAAACATACCATACCGCATGATTACGGGACTGTGAAACAGATACCTTTATGTACATGGTTTAGCGCCCCTTGACAATAGGATTAGGAAATACTACAAATGCATGCACCGTTTTTGCAATCAGCTGTACAGTACCTCTCTTCTACGTACATTATTAAAGCTATATAAGCTTTACTGAATTGTATTAGTTATAATAGTATAAGTGATGGCCTATTTGAGTGCAAGGAATTATAGTGCGAGTTTAGTACGACCCTAGATTGCAATAAGGAAGAAGTCCAAATTTCGAATAACTGGTAACTAGACCTAATTTATACTTAATTTACTAGTAGAACTAATTATTTATAATTATCTGAATAAGAGTAAATTCTTAGAAATTATTGAACAATAACGCATGAAAACCACGGTTCTGAAATACCGATCCATGGCATGGTAGATTACACTAACTGGCCGACAATAAGCTTAATAGTTCAAGCCTAGCAGTTAGATAGGGCAAGCAGCTGACAAAAGTTTGAATATAGTGGACAAAACTGGATGAGATATAGGAGCCCTCCCCATATCAATACTAACAATGTTTTAACTTTTGTATTATCTACAGGTGATCCCCCAAAAAAGCCTAAATTGACCTGACATGAATTGGCGTGAACACAGATAAACAGGTAGAAAGCCTTAATACTATATTCAAACTTTTGTCATCCTACTGTATATATACATTTCAACTGGTTTTATATACACTACCAACCTTTCTGGTACAGGTAGCCCACTATGGTGTAATTATACTGTCCTTCTCAGCCTCCCATCTACACTAACTCTAGCCAATACCACAAAAATAGCTGCTACTGTTGCCAGCCCACCAGAAATAAAAATCGCCGCACGATACGGTGCAACACCGCCCTTCCCATCACCTGCAATCAATTTCCCAGCAATCGGTGTGCCCATTAAGTAGCCGCCGGTCCAGCCCGAAATTGACATAGCCATAGCCACCGCGGCCTTACTGGGATATGTATATCCCACAGCCGTAGGCATCGCAACAAAAAACGCGCCATTCGCGATTCCATTCAGTGCCGCGAAGACAACCAATGGTGCCAACCTGCTCGAAACCGGCCAGATGGCCAGCATACTCCCTGCATTCACCGCCATCGTCAGCAGAAGCGTGTTCAGCGCTCCGAACCGGTCACACGCAAACCCTGCGCTGAATCGCCCCAGCGCCGTGCAGCCATTGAACCCAGCCACGATCGCGGCGCCGACTGAGGCCGAGAGCCCGATGGACTGCGCGAAAAGGGGCAGGAAGAACGGCGGCACGAAGAGCGTGAAGGTCCCGATGCTGCCCGCGATGAAGAGCATGGTGAACGGCAGGGATTTGAAGAGGGAGAAGTCAAGAATGGTAGAGGGGGAGGAGGAAGGGGAGTGTTCCTTAACGAGCAGGGCAGCTGGGATGCCACTGGCCAGGGAAATAAGGCCGAAGATGCGGAATGTCCATGCCACGCCGACATGGTCGATGGCGTATTGTAAGACCAGAACGAGCGTGGTCGACCCAATCCCGCCGCCGAGTTTTATGAGCCCATTCGCGGTGCCGAGTTTCGAGTGGAAGTATTGCACGGGCAGGGTGTTGCAGAGGGTGAAGGCGATGGCGGAGCCGAGGCCGAATGAGACGCCGGCAGTGCCGAAGAGGCCGGGGATTGTAGTAGTGGTGAAGCTGCTGCAAAGACTACCTAGACTCATGAGGAGCACGCCGAGGAGCATGCTGTAGCGGGCGCCGAGGAGGTGGGAGAGGCGCACGCTGGGTAGCATCATGGCGACACAGAGGGCAAGACTGAGCGAGCCGACGAAGGAGAGGGTGCTGGGGGAGCCGGTGGTCAGAGAGCTGGTGAGAAGTGCGGTTTGCAGGACTCCCCATGAGCCGCTCCAGCCGTTGATCAGGAAGGTAATGATTGAGCAGGCGAAGACAACCGTCCAGCCGTAGCCGCCGTCAGGGATTGCATCGACGGCGGAGGGGGTGGATTAGCATCATTGGCATCATTAGTTAGGTTGGTGTCGTTGTTTTCCAAGGAGTTGAGCTCGATAGTGGCGGTGTGGGAGTGTGACATGGTTACATATGCATTCAAATGTTTCAAATGTTGTGATGATGGAATAAGATGATGGATACAAGTTGTCGGGTGACCCCGCTTCGAGACTAACTAATAATAGATTGTTGGTTTGATAAGACTTGACCCTAAGATTTGCAGATATTCTAGACGCTGTACCAGATATATGGAGTGATTGAATCAACAGATGTGGGAGTCGTGTGAATATCAATTGATATTTACGATATAACCGGCTCACCATCCTGTCTCCTTTCCTAATACGCGTCCCTGAATAAAATTTTCTTAATATAATTAAATATAGATTTTTCATAATTGAGAAGAAGAAAATGTATTAATAATAATTATAAACTCTGATTTCTAGTGAAAATAGAAGCATATCTAGTATTTTGAATCTATATAAAATTTAAGGCACAGCTCTAGGCGGCGTGCCAAAAGGCCTGGATCGATGCTCTGAAAAGCGACCCCAAATAAATCAAGCTAGACCCCTTGACATTAATGGCGGCTCAAGTAAATTTGAGTCAGCTCACATACTCTACCCTAAGGCAGACGAAGGATTCCATTAAAAGAACCACCTGTTGAGAGAACAGGTTACTTTTACTAGAGAATTTACCGCCACTAAATCGACAAGCCATGGTGTTTGTATGTTTTTTTGATACTAAATAAATATATGAACTATTCATAAATATATAGACAGGAATAGATATGTGTACTAGAATTAATTGATATATATTCCCTTTAATATACTATATCTATTACAAATATAAGGGCGTCACATTCTTCGTCGCTATTATCATTCTTGTTAATACAATCGTTGCCTATCATGTGTTATCGCTTTTGCTATACTATCATATTGACAATCGTCTTCTCATCACTCAACAACCAGGAACTGGAAATCAAAATCACGACAAGCATTCATTCTTATTGATAATTTTCCTTTCTGAGCAATGCTTTGCCGCCTCCAATATCTTGCCAGGTAAAAGACACAATATTATGATGCTCATCACAGCTGAACACAATCTTGTAAGTATAGGTTGATTGAATAAAGCGGCCTCTCTTTGCTTCCTCGTCATGAGCCATCAGCCAGGTAAATGTATCGTAGTGATAATGCTTGAGCTTGTAGGATTGATCCTCTCGACCTTGGATGATGAGCTGTAGATCTTCTCCGTCGAAACAAACATCTATGAAATAAAACCGGCTTTCCCAGTAGTACCGGCCGCAATATTGTTCTAGTGGCTTCAGAACTGTTCCCGAAACGCGCTCCTTGCTCAGTGTCTCTTCTGCTTCTGAGAATCGTGATCTTGTCACTTGTATGCACTCTTCAGTCAGCCTGATGAAGTCATTGATATTAGGAGAACCAAGAAGGCTGTCCAGGTACATTTGTGCAAGCCAGTCGGCGCTGTCACACAGTTCACCAACACGATGACGCAACTTTTAGTGTCTGGCAACAAGTAAACAGAGCTATAGAATCCCGCCGTTGTACCTTGATGGTAAAAAACCTGTTGTGGCAATGCTCCTCTGCCAATGATTGGCATGCTCTGCACCATGCCACTATTGTCCGAGATGATGCCTAGAGCACCAGGTACATAACCGCGAGCCCACCCAAATCCATACGTGGTGTCATTATACGCAGGCACTGTTGGGTATGGAAGAACAGAATGTGCACTGAAAACCGTTGGCACATGTTTGAATGGAGATCCACTGATGCTGTGCGAATTATCTTCGTTCCGATGCTTGTACGCTTCCAATAGCGCGCAATAATAGATGAACAGTTCATTGACGTTGCTGCATACGCCCCCCGCCGGGCCCATTATGGATGAGTCGTCGATGGCTTGTGCATCAACCGCAAAAGTGGAAGCGTCCTCTAATGCCATAAACCCTTGTGCAGCATTTGGTAAGCTCTTCCACATTGCCTCGGTTGTGGTATGCTTCATTTCCAGAGGGTCCCACAGTCTCTTCTTAACGATCATCTGCCATGGCTGGCCCGTCACTCTTTCAAGAACCGCTGCCGCCAAGCTGTATCCCCAATTGGAATATCTCCAAGAGCTTCTGAACGAGAAAGTCGGCGACATAGCGTTAACCAGGGGGAGCAGATCTTTTTTATTAACGAGAGACTTGGAACCGCCCTGATACCACAGGACATTGGCCGTCGGCAAACCCGTTCGGTGAGAGAGGAGATCAACAAGACTACACTGTTCAGTTATCGCTCGGTCGACATTGTGGAATTCGGGAATGAGGGAAGACACAGGTGTGTTCCACGCAACAAGGCTCTCATCTAACCCGGAACCGGCTGCTTGAGCCACCATTGATTTTGTTAGGGAGCCAATGTTGTAAAGAGTATCGGAGGTTGCCCGCTGTCTCCGGGAATGATCTTGAAACCCAAAGTTCTCCGTCAGTTTAATCTCGCCATTATGAAGGACTCCGAGTGAGGCCCCTGTAGAGCCGGAGAGAGAGATAATTTTCTCAGCGATCGAATGAAGCGCCTGCAAGCGAGTGCGCAGTTCGTCCATTGTCTTGGCCGTGTTACTGTTTCCTTGCTATTTCTTTCGGCCTTCTCTCCGCCTTTAAAACAATGGCTTGATCATGAATATGCAAGTATCTCTATGGGCTCTAGAAATTAGCAATAATTCCAATTTAAGGCAACACAAGAAGTTGTGTTGTATGATACTAGCTGAGGGCTCTCATTTAAAGTGCGCGATGGCTGATTAGACGGCGGTGTTGCCGCCTAAATAACAAAGATGTATGTAGTGTAATTCCCCGGCTACCCTGTCTCACAGACAAATTTAGAAAAGGAAGAACCCAATGAAATTCCGGGTAAGTTATTCCCATTGTCTTCTTTACCTAGACCTCCTGCTTCATTCCTTCCTAGATAGAGCAAGTGCACATCCTGTTCTCACTCATCATATTGCTACACGCTATTCTCGGACGGCGTGAAGGTCTGGTTTCTGGCCTGTTATCAATAAGCAGCTATCTATCATTCTCGCGCTTCTGATAGCGGCTAGCCAATACGATGGAAGTAGACAAGCAAGCAACGCCATTGAAACGAATGCGGGTTCACAAACTACACCATCCCAGCCCCTAATGAGAGCGGCCAGGGCCTAAGTATCAAAGCCAGGAATACGTTAAAAACGCACGATATATAAATTACAGGAAAAAGAGGCTACTGCGCTATCACAGGAACATACTGCCACGCAAATATCACGTAATTTCAGGTTGAGAGGTATATCAGCTTGCATGTCATGGACAGCGCTACTCGAGCGGGGTAATTCACCGGAAGACTATGATCTGTATGATCACTTGAAAACCAACCATCCAAAGCAAGGTGACAAAAGTTTGAAGATAGCGCTAAATATTTGAAGACACAGAACATGAGTTTAGCTGCGCAAAAGACTTTTTGTGCCCGTCTCCGTAGAACAAAGTACAACCCTTACTGAACCTAGACAATACGGTATAAAAGTCCCTTATTTCATTTAAGATCCTCAGTTTCACAGCCCGTATATTCAAAATATTTTTGCGCCTAGCTTTTCTGAAGGCACGAGGCTAGCAGAATCCGGCTATGCTAAGATTCCTGTCCATGAAGATCGCGCCAGTGCAATGAGAACAATAGTGGCAATCCTGCACTACCAAGACCTGCACTACCAAAATGCGAATGAACTTGTTAAGGTCGACCCTGAAGGCCTCATGGGGTGGTGTTAAAAGTACTCGTCCATGGCACAAGCAAAAATATCCGCTTTTATTGTGGATGACGGCAGGGTGCTTCGCTGCCATCAGAAATAAATTGGAGCGGGCAGAGAATCTGTGGCCTCAAATATATAGACAGCTGACGTGGAAATGCGTCATCTGTAGGTATGAGTAACTGATACCTGCTGAAATCTATGGTTTATACTGTATAGAGATCAGATTTTAAAATAAAACACACTCAGAGAGATATAAGCAAGTATAAATCATAAAGAAAAATTGCGAACGCACAAGGCATATAAATGGTGATCTTATCCATATCAACTACTATAATCCAGTAATTGTTATCCACTTTTAACCCTCAACGAAAATATACCGTTGTTGTGAGGATTCTAAGGTAATCTTGACCACCAACAGAACCAAATTCAATTTCTTGGCTAATCTTAGCACTGCAGATTCATCTCTAATTTTTATCCTGGAAGATATATGACAATGAGTTAGCGAATGCGGTTAGTAAAATTGTGCTTCTCTTGACTCCAGAGTGCATACCGGACCGAGGCAATTGTTAGGAAGGTTTCACGTGGACTAGAGGTGTTAGGGAGTAGTTTTTTGGGGTATAAACCTGGGAGATCCAGGTTTAAGAGTTGGTATTTCTATTAAATCTTATTTTTATTTAATCTATGCATAAAGTTGTATGAGATCATGACCGTCACACCTCTCACAGGACACGTCTACAACCTCACCCCTGGCGAAGATGGCAAGCTGCGGGAATTTTGGACCCTTTTATTTACTGTTGTGGCATTGACCCTCTCCGCTGTATACGAGGTTCCCGTTCCGGAAGGCTCACCCAATGATCTTTTGAAACTTTTGGACAATATCCAAGAACCCTCGATTGATGGTCTCCTTAACGCTTTGAAGACAAAATCAACACCGAGCAGCTCAACCCCGGCAGATAAAAATGGCGTCGACACACAAAGTTCCCTCGACAAAGTGGAATCCCTTGTCGGCAAAGCAGATAAGAACATCATACTTCAAGACTTGTCATCCAAAAGTATCACAACAGAGCAACTGAGAACTCTTTTCGTGGAGCTTCGGAAGGCGGGTATTAAAGAGTCGGAAATTAAATCCATAGAGAAAGTTCTGACAAAGATGAACCTGGCGGAGATGTGCTTCGCTCTGCTGAAGATGATCAAGCAGGAGCATCCTGATACTCTTCTCCTCCGGTTTCTACGCGCCCGAAAGTGGGATATCCCCAAGGCCTTTTCCATGATGGTGTCTGCTCTCCTGTGGAGAAAAAGTATGGAGGTGGAGGACGACATCGTGCTCAAGGGCGAGCTTCATGCTTGGGAACTTTCCCACAATGCCAAACTCAGCGCTGCCGATCAAAAAGAGGGTCGAGATTTTATTGCTCAACTGGAGATGGGTAAGAGTTATCTCCACGGACTGGATCGAGAGGGACGGCCCGTGAATGTGGTCAGAGTGCGTCTGCACAAGCCCGGTGCGCAGACCCAGGCTGCTCTGGAGCGCTACATCGTTCATGTCATTGAATCAACCCGTATCCTGATCGCTCCTCCAGTTGAAACAGGAGTATGTTAATTAATCTACAGCCATACAAGGTTATCGCAGCTGACATTCCTTGCAGACTATTGTCTTTGATATGACGGGTTTTTCGTTGCGCAATATGGAATACTCGCCAGTCAAGTTTATTATTCAGTGCTTTGAAGCAAATTATCCTGAGTCACTGGGCCTACTCCTGATCCATAACGCACCCTGGATATTCTCGGGTTAGCGCCTTTTGCCTGACGCTAATCAGAAGCCTCGCTGACAAAAAAAAATAGGAATCTGGAAAATCATTCACGGATGGATGGATCCCGTCGTAGCCTCCAAGGTTTGTTTCACTAACACCATCGACGACCTGGACAAGTTTATTCCCCGGGACAGGATCCCCAAAGAGCTCGGTGGCGATGAAGACTTTGAATACAAGTACATTGAGCCGGATCCAGAAGAAAATGCGGCTATACACAACAAAGCCGAGGGCGACGCTATCATGTTCGAGCGGATGATGGTTGGGTTGAAGATGGTCTCTGCCACAGCAGCGTGGATCCACGCAGCCTCATCCGCAGAGACAGAGGAAGAGAAAGAAGCCGTGAGCTTATTGAAGACGCGCCGAGAAAGTGTTATTGCAGAGTTCCGACAGACCTATTGGAAATTAGACCCGTATGTACGAGCACGGGCGCTCATTGATCGAATGGGTGCCATTCAACCGGATGGGACAGTGAGGGATTATTAGTGAATTGGTTCATTTCATTCTTTTTTTTGACTTTGCCTGTTATTTCGTGTAATATGAAAACGCAAGTTGTGGGCTTTTGATGTTCTCCCCAATAAGGTGTACACTCTGCCACCACTCACTCTGCCACGAAGAATATCTACTGGCTGTGTGCCTGTCGACATACGAACAATACTATAGTATCAACTATATTATTATCAGTAGTAATATCTAAAAATTGCTTGTAAAATTGGTCAAAATAGGGTTTATTACAGGTGATTAGTTCCTAACCCCGCCAACTGCGTGTCTACTACGGCGGATGTAGGAGCGAGCCAGCTGGGGCTCATGACTGCTGAGCTTTGGGCACTGGGATAAAAAAAGTACAACAAAGAAATACGATCGTAGAGTTAGTGCTCTACAAACTTGCAGGCGCTGATATAGTCCTAGCGCTAGGCTGACAGAAGGTCCCTGTGGAGGATGTATACAACCCTTCAGGGAAAATCGACGTTTGAATCAAAATCGACAGTAGATTTTTCTTCTATTATGTAACAGAACTAAGATAAGCTATGGTAGGGTATAGAACTTATATAACCAAGCTCATACCTATAATACAGCTAGGAAGAACTCAAGAAGAGTGTACGATTTGCATCTAAAATCATAGTATACGCACACTTATACTATATTTCTTTTAAATCATACATGATTACTATTACTATTTTAATATCATCCTATAGGATCTAGTGTAGACGTCTCTCACCCTATATTTTGAAATTCATATAAAGTACCAAATGATATTAATATATTAAGTCTATAAGTATACGAACCTAGACAATTATTTAAGCAATATCAATTGATACTGAAGTGTATTAATATTAGAAACTTATTAACACGTTCAAAGGCTACACATACCTAGGAAGTTGTTAATTGATACAGGGAATCAATTTATGCACACAGGTATTATTATTCGGGGCTTACCCATATCGTATTGAAGCTAGTGAATAAAACAGGGAGAGCGAGTGGGGTAGGTGTTGAATATCAGTTGATATGCCTCATAGGAGAGATCGATTGGTATTGATTGCTTCTCGATGTTCCTAATTAAGGAACGGGCTATTTCCTACTGAGATTGCACACCATACACACTTGGGTTGCACATGATCGCTTTCTGCGCAGAACCCTGACCAAAAGAAAATACCTCGGAGGTTCAAGTGCACAGGGACTTCTGCCGGCAGGCAGTTCAAAAAGGAGGCCTCCCTATAGGTGCAATCCCACTTTACACTTTGGAACACACGTATCACTGTGAAAATGGCAAGCCTCGATTTCTTCCTTGTTCAGCTCGTCCTTTTGCTGGTCCCTCTATACACCGCAGCTATGCCCGCCATGGGAAGGGAAATGGAAAACCTCCTACCAGTTAATCCCTTCTATACTCCTCCCCGACGGGCTTGAGTTGACAGTCCCGGGAACCATCCTACGATCTCTTGCAAAGCGTAGAAGGTGAAGCTTGTATAATAAAATGATGTGATGTGAGGTACATAGATAGGATTGCCGAATGAGGAGTGATTAAGTGATGCCTATAGAAATTAGTACGTGCAAACTTCGTCAAATTAAATGCGCACCGAAAGCGGGGAGCTCAGAAAGCGGGGGGTTCAGAAAGCGGGGTATTTAAACCAGTCTTCTTACAAGGCTACTTATGGCCCAACAGCAAGCATACTGAGATAAAAGAGTGATCAAAAGAAGAGTCCATTGCGGTTTGTTTATGGTATAAAACATTAAGTTCTAAAATTCAACTCATAATCATCCATTTTTATTCCGCATGGGTATTTCTCTCTTCATGGCTGAGACACTTAAGCGTAAAAGGGGTCTTTCTCCAACATGCTAGAAATATGGGATACAGTATAAATCTACACTTTCAATCTGGCCAATAACATCAACATGAAACTGGGCCCGCATCTCTGTTTTAACGGTGTGGAGTACGAATACACTTTTTGTGAAAAGTATTTCAATCATGAAGCTACTATTTACGATCATTGTAGATAAACAGGGACCTACGCGTGGTGTGAACGCTGCTCCCAGGTGTTTTGTTTCAGCTTCCGCAAAGGATGCCCATCTTCGAAATTCCAATGCTGTGACAAATAAGAATGGGAAACATTTAACGGAGAGAAATGTGCCAACCTAACAGGATAACAGAATGTATGACCAGGGTGATTGTTTGGCAGATCTCAATCCTGGCCATGGGCTCTGGCTGGCCGTAATATGAGATGAGACCTGGGTATTGGTTATTTTATATGGTTAGTGTTAATGGTATCTGGCTGTTGAGGAAGAGATATAAACAAGTATTGATTGAGCAGTATATACAGAAGAATAAACTAGTCTATCCAGCGCCATGCCACGCTAATTCATGCAAGAGTAATATCAGTCGTAATAGTAAAAGTAAAGTAGTACATCAGTGCTGGTCGAAAATAGCCTTCATCTCAGCGCACGCTGCCCGGTAGATGACGTTGATCTTAGCCTGGTCGCGGAACGGATTGGGCGACTTGTCCCACGCATGAGGCGCCTTCTCGACCATCATCGCGCGCACTTTCTTGCCCATGCCCTTGAGCCGCCGTACAAACCGCTGGCCCTCGTTAAGCAGCATGTCCCATTCACACGTATACAAGAAGACATGCTGCGGCAGGCCGTCGTTGAGCATATCGTCAGGTGCTCTTTCGGGCGACGCAAACGGGGAGGAACGCTGGTCCACGTCTGGTAGGTAGGACTCGTCGAACAGGTTGGTGAAAAATGCAGGCATGGTCTTCCCTGGAATCACGCTGGCGGCGCGGCGATGCTCGCGCGAGGCGACAAAGTCGAGGAGCGGGTACCAGGCGAAACTGGCCAGGATTTGGAGGTTGTTCTGGCCGTTGACGAGGTTCTGGGTCGAGTCGAGCGGGCTGATGTCGATAATATCGCTGCCGGCGTCGGTCTGGATGCGGTGTTGAAGACGCAAAGGCACTGTGATGGCGAGGTTGCCGCCCGCCGAGAAGCCCGTCACCACAATGCGCGAGGCGTCTATGCCCAGTTCGCCGGCATGGGCGGCGAGATAGAGGAGGGCATCAACGCAGTCATCGACGGCAGCGGGGAAGGGGTGTTCGGGAGCGCGGCGATAGTCGACACTGACGAAGACTGCTTCTGTTTCTTGGAGCACACATTGGGCCCAGTACGAGTCGTCGGTGGCCGAGCCCAGGGTGAAGCCGCCGCCGTGGAAATTGACGACGACAGGCAGCGGGCGGCCGGTGCGCGTCGCTAGGTGTCTGTAGTAGGCTGGCGGGCAGTAGAAGTAGAGATTGACCTTGCGGGCCTTGTTGTCGAAGGGTATGCGGCGCACGAAGCAGTGGCCGGGCGGCCACGACGTGAAGCCGGTGGTGTGCAGGAACATGCCAATCGACATCAGACAGCGCCAGAACACGGCCTGGACGTGCAGCCACCAGCGCGAGCCGTCCATTGTGAGATTGGATAATGGGTATAGATGGTAGCGGAAGCGGCGGATGCAGAGAGGGTCGAATCGGGAGGATCAACAGCGATCGAGCGGCGACCAGCGATGAGGCTCTCGAAGGTCGTGTGATATTCCACACGGGACCAGGCCAGGGACCTGCAGTGGATAGCGGTCACTGCACGTGGACGACAGCAATAGGAGTCTAGAGTCTGTGCCAATCAACGGCGCTCGATGTACGGACGTCCGCACTGGCACGAGCGACGAGGAGAATCGGGGATTCGGTGCCGTTTCTCGGCCCACGCCGGAAGCGGTGGCGGTTAATAGTCGGCGAGGCGAATTATCCAAATTATCATCCACAGGAACAATACCTGTAGTATTCAGGAGTCGACAATAAACGACAGTGGGATAGACGATGTGCAGCGAAGCACAGTGAATTGAGCGGGGCGAAGTTCTTTATCTACGACGAAGCAAGCACGAAGTTACTTATTAATTCCTTAATTAATCAATCTGCTTGTCCACGTAATCGCTGAGCCACGCGTGAGCCACGCTATCTCTCCAGCGAGTTACCACTCTCTGGTGCATTCTATTTAATGTTTAACATTTAGTATTTAATGGTATCGCACAGACTGGCGTCAACGTATCGACGTATCAATGCATCAACGATAGTAGACCATAGAGACAGTGACATAATGGCCATGACATCAGCGACTCCCAGCCGGCAGGGAAGAGACGAATTAATACGTTAACTAAGAATTACAGCATTTGCTGTTATTCTTTATTCTTGATTCATTATTCTTGATTCATTACGTCCGTATTGTTCAACCATAAATAACGCATGATCTCATTGCCTCGGCCAGCTCTGTATTCGATTTCCTTCTTATTTAACGGCTTCGCCTGCTGCTCGGGACTGGAACTGGCGTAGATCTAGCAGCATCTAGCCGTGCATCGACTCGCTGTTTCCGTCGAACCGACAGCCGAGCCCCTGCACCTTCTTCTTCCTCTCCCCAGCACTCTGCACGGCTTGCCAATTGCTGAGAAAAAGACAACTATACCAGATATCCAGCGTGAGTGTATTCTCTATTGTCCCCTCCTGATTATTCATTCGTTGTGCATTACTTTGTGTAAGTCAACTAACCAGTCAGTTAAAGTTAGCTGGGTGATTGCTGGCAACTGACTAAGCAGTGCCCCTCCCTGACAAAGCTTCGCGGGCAGCACTATCGTCCACATCGTCCGCTCAGTGATAATACTCGGATCCCCCTCCTCCCTGCTGAGAAGAGGGAAGAGTGCCAGCTGCTGAGAACAAGAACAGGACAATTGCAATTGCTTGCTCTCGGGCTCGATATCGCTCCACCATGTCCGGCATCAGACGTGCCTTGTCGAAGATCCGCCACAAAGGCGAAGGCGGGGATACAGACTCCAGCAACAACCACGTCAGTGGCACCACCAGCCCAATCTCCCCACGCCGCTCCTTGGTCAACTTCCTGCGCGACCGCGACGACATCTCCTCGTCCGATGATCAGTCCGACACGGATTCCTCTGCGCCCCTGAGCAAAAACCAGCAGAAGCGCATCGCCCGCCAGCAGCGGCGAGGCGCCAAGAGCCGTCTCAGCGAGGAGCAGAGGAACGACTCGGAACAGCGTCGTCTCGACAAGGAGTCCGAACATGCCCGCACCGAAACCCCCGAGATGGCCGCCCGCTACGGGGACCTGCCTCTCGTCCAAAGCCAAGAACGATCTCGTGAACCGCGCATTCGTCTGGATGAGATCTCGACCGAGCTGATCGGCAAGGAGGTGTCCTTCACCGCGCGCCTCCACATCGTTCGCAACATGAGTGCGAAACTGGTGTTCCTGGTCTTCCGCCAACAACTCACTACCTTTCAGGGCGTCCTCCATACAGAGGATGGCAAGATATCGAGGGGGATGGTTTCCTGGGCAGAGCACTTGCGGACCGGTACCATTGTTCGCGTTCGTGGTATCATGCAAACACCTGCGGTGCCCGTGCTTGGATGCACCTTCCACGACGTGGAGCTTGCCATCCAACAGCTCCATGTAGTCGTGCGTCGTGAAGAAGCCGTCCCGTTCTCCGTCTACGAAGCCGAAGTTCGCACCGAAGAGGAAGACCGCGTGGAGGGTCGCTATAGTCATATCCCGGACCGCACCCGTCTGTCGAACCGTATCCTGGACCTTCGTACCGGCACCGCCCAGGCCATCTTCCGCCTCCAGTCAGCTGTCGGCAATCTGTTCCGCGCTGCTCTTGATGAGCGACGCTTCATTGAAATCCACAGTCCCAAGCTTCAAGGCGCCGCCACCGAGTCCGGTGCTAGTGTTTTCGAATTGAACTATTTCGGACGCCCTGCCTTCCTCGCGCAGAGTCCTCAATTGGCCAAGCAAATGGCAATTGCCTCGGATTTTGAGCGTGTGTATGAGATTGGTGCTGTGTTCCGCGCCGAGAATTCTAACACCCATCGCCATTTGACCGAGTATACTGGATTGGACATTGAAATGGCCATTGAAGAGCATTACCACGAAATGCAAGAGACCATTGATGCTGTCCTCAAGCATATCATCAAGGGACTGTACAGCAAATACCGCCGCGAGATCGAGACTGTGAAACACCAATTTCCCTCGGAGGATATTGTGCTTCTCGACCAGACTCCCGTCATCCCCTTTAAAGAGGCAGTACAGCTGCTCAACGATTCCGGTTGGAGAAATGAGGATGGGGAGCTGGTTGCCGATGACGAGGATTTGCACACTCGCGATGAAATCCGACTGGGTGAGCTGATCAAAGAAAAGTACGGCGCGGACTACTACATCATCGACAAATTCCCCCTCTCCGCTCGCCCATTCTACACCATGCCCGACCCTATCGATCCTCAGTACACCAACTCGTTCGACATTTTCGTCCGTGGCCAAGAGATTGTCTCTGGTGGTCAGCGTATCCACGACCCCACCATGTTGGAAGAAAACATGAAAAAGGCCGGCATCGATCCCGCTTCAATGGCCGAATACCTCGAAGGATTCAAGTGGGGAGCACCACCCCATGCCGGTGCCGGTGTTGGATTGGAGCGTTTCCTCATGCTTGTCCTCAAGCTTGGCAACATTCGCTTGGCGTCCATGTTCCACCGCGACCCCAAGAGCTTCCCGGCCAAGCCTGAAGTCATTCAACTTCGTCATCCAGATGCATCTACCCTTACGCCCATATGGCAAAAGGAAAACCCCGGCCACAAGGCCACTGAAGACGAAATGCAGCGTCTGGAAGAGCTCATTGCCAACTACGGTGATGCCACGTCTACCTCATGGATGGATGACCGCTACCTAATCTGGCGTGAGCCGACCACCGGTGCTGCTATCTCCTACATCCCCAGCTACAATCATGCCATCATCCCCGGCGACCCTCTTTGCGACCCCAGCCAATACGAGCGTGTCATTACTTCCTTCCTCCACTGGCTCAAGCGTGAAACCAAGCTCAAACCCATTTGGCTTCTCATTTCACCCGCGGTTGAGGAACTGCTGGGCGAGAAGCTCGGATGGCGGAGCTTGTCCTGCATTGCCGAAGAGGTTATAGACCCAAGTCGTAACATGATGGCATCTGACACCGAAGTCGCCCGCAAAATCCGCCATGCCCAAAATGAAGGCATCAAGATTGTCTCCACGCCTCTGGGTGAACTCCCGCCTCAGGCAATTCGGGATAAGATTGACCAGCGGATCAAAGACTGGCTGGCCAACCGCAAGGGCACACAGATCCATCTGTCTGAAATCGTCCCGTGGCGCGACCACGAACACCGCTGGTACTTCTACGCTCAAGACAAGGAAGGCAACATCGCTTCCTTCGTCGCATTGGCCATGCTTGCCCCTCAGCGCGGCATGCAAGTGAAATACACCCTCGACTTCCCCGGCGCCCCAGGCGGCACGATTGAGCACATTGTCACAACTGCCATCCAGACCGCTGCGAAGTCGGGTGTCAAGTCCCTGACGTTTGGAGCTGGGGCCACGGCGCGTCTAACACCGGGCCACCACATGAAGGGAGCCAAGGTGCGCATGTTACAGCACACGTACGAGGCTGTGGCGAAACAGTTCCACTTGACACGAAAGAGCGAGTTCCGCATCAAGCTTGGCGCGCATGAAGAGCCCTTGTACATTGCCTATCCTCCTCATGGACTGGGCTCGCGAGGAATCCGCGCGATCATGAATTTCTTTGAAGACTAGTTAGGAACCGCACCGATTGGAGTAGTATATCTCAGTGTTTAGAAAGGAGTAGACTTGGCTAGGTTGATGATGGGTGTGATATTTTTTTTTTTTCTCTTCTCATCTTGCTTTTTTTTTATTCCCCTTTATTCCCCATTTGTTTGATTGGCCTAGATGCCAGCAACCGATGTAATTAGGCAGGCTGCGGGCTGCAGTCTACATATGTAGCAGTGTTTTGTATTTCGTTTCGTTTCGTCTCGTTAAATACTTGTTACTTACTGTTGATGCCCAGTCTCGTCTCCACCAACCATAAGTCGGTGAAAACAACAAATACACAGCATCCTCTACCATCAGATGTTGAACAAACTCGTACATTTACTTTTGACTCTAAATTATGGCAAATCCCAGCCTACTCCAATCGGAGCACATCCAACCTACCCGCGCACGCGACTTGGCAGGGATATTGCTTGGTGTCAGCAGCAATATGATTAAATAGTATGATTAAGTTCCGAGCTGTTGGTTGGCTGACCGTCTGCTCATGCAGGAGAAGCACTGTAAAACCACTACGTCGGTATTAAGATTGTGTCGAATGAGCGGTGAGCCCGTCAGCCTGTCGCATGTCAGCCGTCACCGCCTAGCCCAACATTGCTTTTCTTTCGTGTGACGCCCAGTCGACCACTAGCAGTGAGTTATTTGGTTTAGTGGTGAGTAGTCTATTGGTATGTTTAAAAGAAGTCCATCGCCTCGTTCTGGGCCCCAAAAAATGGGTTTTGTGTGTTCTATTGAGTGATTGAGCTGCTTACAATGAATGGCGGACAGACTGCGAGAGAACTTCGTGAGCATGGCAATGCCCTGTACAAATCTGGGAAGCTGAATGAAGGTATGATTGAATACAAGTCAATTGTTGGGGTGTGCACCTGCTGGGTCTACACAATTGATCCCCTACATATATCCATCCCATTATCTTTATCGTCTTATTAGCGAGTTGATGCTAACGTATTCAGCGATAAAAATATACCACGACGCCGCCCACAATGCCAGCGAAGACGACTACCTACCTTGGTCCAACCTCTCCGCCGCATACTTCGAGACGGGCAACTACAAGCAAGCCGCCCACTGCGCCGTCAAGGCATTGAGTCTCTGCCATCAACATCATCAAGCCAACGCTACATGTCTCGAGCAGAAGCTCGCCCCGCGCATCCTGCGCGCCTATCTGCATGCCCACCAGCACGATATGGCACGTGCATGGCTCAAGCAGCTGTCCGATTCACACACTTTACCCGCCGACGAGTTACAGCAGTACCAATCGTCCCTCGACCAGGCACAGGCCGCGTGGAGAGCAATGCCAGACGAGAAAGCGCACCGGGGCCGTCTGGCTGCTGATGTACCTCGGTATCGACCTGCATTGTTAGCCAACCCTCTCAGCCCCAAGTCTCTAACAAATCCTAACATGATATTTCCCCAGCGCCGGCTATCAGGAATTCTACACCGTCGGCCACGACGAGGTCACCGACCTGCTCGGCCTACCGTTATGCTCCGACGTGAAGAAAGACATATCAGTTTTCTTCGGTGGGATCGGCGACGCGCGGCACTTCTACGGCCAGCTCGCACTTCTCGGCGCCATGGAGCGAATTTCCTCGTCGCATGCCGCGGGGCCGATCAAACGGCGGTATCATTTCACGCTGAACGACAGCAAAGCGAGCGTGCTTGCGCGCGATATGGTGCTCTTCGCCATGTTGGATGAGCTGGCTGTCTCCAAGGATATGCTGCAGACGGAACGGACAGAGATTTATACCGTTGTTTATTATGTCTTTGTGGGCATTATTATTCCACGGTTCGCGGTGAGGAGGTTGCATAGGGTTATTGATAGGGTTATCGAGGGGTTGGAGAAGGGTGGGAATGGGTTGCTTCCGTGGATGAGGGTTTATGAGAAAGACCGTGCAGAGATAGTTCGATCGTTGAGATTCTGGAAGGCTCAGGACGATGGTGGCGGACCTCTTGCTGCTTTGTACTCGACGGGGGCGACTATTGATAGAGCGGTTTTCCAGATTAGGCAGCAGGATGTGTCGCAAGAGATCATGTATGGCACAGACTCTCGACGAGCACCGCCAGGCTGTCAAAGGGAGTTTAAAACATACCCCGAAGCCCCCTTCCTGCAACCGCCACGCAGTATTCTCAAGGACCACGAGCCGGAGCTGCTCAGGCTGCTTGAGACAGAAGCCTCGACGGAGAAATTGAGAGCTTATCTAGCCAAGAACTGGTCTACGAATCCGACCTTGTTGGATGAGGACTGGCATGTGAAAGCAATGGGCGATCTCGACGTTGCCCATGATCCGTTTGAAGTCTACCGAGCAATGCACGACATCCTGCGTGTCCAGGAAAAAGGAGGACCACGGAAAATGAAACTGTTCGATCATATCGCTTCCTTTTTTCAAATGGTTGTTGTCGCCTTACGCAAAACCCGTGGGCGGCTGGTGGCTGAATTGCTTCTTGACGATGCCGCAGCGGCAATTGATGGGATCCGATACGGGCTGATTGAGGGTAGGGAGAGTGCGGCGCCGAGCTCATTCGATCTTGTGCATGTCTCAAATGTGGCAGATTATATTGGAGGCGGATTCTTCAATTTCGTCACCGCGAGCAAAATCCTCGGCGACACTTCCAAACTGATGACCACATGTCTTCGGAACACGTCGCTGTGGCGATCTCACGACGAGTTTAACAGCGAGTATATGGCTGTCAGCGACATGAAGATGCTCTCAAAGACCACTCAGATGAAAATGACCGATAAAGAAGACATCCCCATGTTTGAAATGTCAGGCTACATGGACTGGAAGAGGGAATCCACCCCATTCCCTTACGAACTTCTCCTCCCACGAGCAGAATTGACTCGCTTCGTATACACGCATTTCCTGAAAGTAGCTCTCCCTTGCGGCAGGAGCCTCTCGGATCATCATTTCGCACACTTTATCTATCCAACACTGAACCTGACGAATTTCTTCCGTCTTCTGATCCACCTGCACGAAATAGGGTATCCGCCGCACTGGCTAGCTGATGTTCTTAACAAAATCCTCGATGACCAAGTCATCACCACCGCCAGACCACCACAACAAGTACCCATGCAACCAGACGAAATCACACGACAGAATCAGCCCGCGAGACTCAGTGTGGCGGCGTTTCTTCCAGAAATGACTACCCTCACAGCCCTCTTCCAACGGCTTCTCCCCTTCACACCCCTCACAGCTAGTCCGCTCCCGGCTCTCGATTCCATATACGAATACACCATCCAATTCGCCGAAGTCGGACCAGCCCCGAACGGCGAGCCGGCGGCAATGGTGCTGGTATTTTTCAACATGCACACGCACGTGCCGAACGTCAATATCCGGGACGAGCTGGACCCGTCGCCTGAACAATCATCATCTGGCAGCAGCGCGGCTTCGAAATTGATAGAGTTCCGGGAGAAGGGGTGTGTGGTGGTCACGACGTTCACGTGGAGTGGACGGGATCATCAGACGGTCAGGTTCTGGATGAGGGAGGATGTGGTTGATAAGTTCTGGACGCGCGGAGATTCTTGGTGGTGTGGATTGTGGAGGGTCGATGATTGGATGCTGATGTCTAGGGCGCCAGAGGAGGCGTCAAAGCTGGTCAGGGGGAGGAAATGGGTTGATGGGGAGGTAGGTGATGTGGATATGACGGGTATATGATATGATTTATGACTGTGTGAAGGAGGTAATTTTTGGTGGCTTATTTTGGTTACAATCTATGGGTTTGATCAGATCAATATTTTAAATGTTAAGAACGGTGACGCAAGTCAATAATTTGGAGTTGGAATGTAAAAGTTGCGGTTAAAATAGGGCTTTTGAAATCATCTATTTAAGAAAATATTAAATTGATATTTAAAGCACAGGGCTATCCTACTTCATTCTGAGCATAGCTTAAAGGTACTCGTTTCGCATAGTGCAGTGCTCAAGATTCATTGACGTCAACTGGCTGTGTACTATCTAGTCAGAAAAGTAGGATATGCTTAATGGCCACGTTATATAACAGATCTTAGGTGTTTCCCTCTCATTTGCAGCTTCGTCACATATAGCACCAATCAAGGCTGGGACGGCTTGCATGACCGGATGCAAGGCTGTGATGTTTGACTGTCTACCCCACCAGGTCTATGAATTCCTCAACATTTTTGCTTCTAACGACGGCGATAACCAAGTTCTTATCGGCAAAGCAACTCTCCATGACAAAGCTATTTATTGGGTGGGTATAATTCAGTGACCCTGTTATGCTTCGGCACCTTTAGCTAATCGTAACAGTGGCCTCGCCTCGCACACTACCGATGCAATTCTGCGGCAGGGGTTTGAGAAATTTGGGGAGGTGGAGGCCGCTGTCAGTTATAATCCTAATCAGTTAGATTGATGTTCAAAAGGATTGATTTGTGCTACTCCGAAAATAGATTGTGATTAAGGATCGCGACACGAAACGAAGCCGGGGATTCGGGTTTGTCGTTTTTAAACGCGAGAGAGACGCCATTGATGCAAGAGAAGCCATGCACAATAATGAGTATGGAGAAATAGCCTGGATTGTATTCCTATGAGCACCTTGTTACTCACAAAACATTTCTGCCCACAGGTTTGACGGCCGAAAAATTAGAGTCGAGAAGGCATATTCTGGTAGGCCAGACCGAGAAACCCCCGGGTTTCATGGTCGTGGGGGCTACGCTCCCTGGCAGCGGACACGAGAAAACATCTTATCCATCACTCCACCAAGAGATGAACTGGTGCCCACCAATCTTGAGCCATCAGCTGTGGAAGAAAATGTAGGACCCGAGCTACGGAATTACCGATCTCTTCCTGTACCAGGTATTATATCCGCAACGAGTTAAAGTCCCAAAGATCAGTCTTAATGATAATGGAATAGTAGTAGGCGGGGGGATTACTCCCCGGCCGCTGTCGAGGAGGGCAAATCGAACCAAGCTCCTCAAATGTACCAGCCGCAGCAGATATTCACTTCCGGCTGGGAACTGCCGTCGTTACTTAAGAACGTAACCCCCAGTACTAGGAAAGATTTCATCTTCAACGCCATCACTCTACTATCAACCCAAGGTCATGTCGAGCTAATGACTTGCAGGCGGTACCTCGAAAGGGTTCAACCTAAAAGAGGGGTCAAGCTGGTGGAGATTGTTATTGATGCCTTGATCTCTTCAGAAAATGTCTCTTGCAAGTTCTTTTACGCCAGATTGCGAATTAGTCCGGTACTGACGCTTTACGGCTAGTGGACCAAGATACGGTAATCCAGGCAACACCTGATCGACTGACTATCATAACTTCTCGTGAGGACTCTCAAATCAACGACATCGCGGTTTGGCTTTGTCTCACCTTCCGAGAGCCTAGCAACATAAGCAACGTCATGATTTCATCGGGCTCATTCGACGGTGCAAGGTTTAAACTAAATATATTATCCAATGTAGTCTCTCCCGCGTGTTGGTTTAAGCTATTCAATAACGCAGTTATTGTCGTGATGCCTGGGGAAAGTACTTTTCCGTCCGGGTGGCTATTGGAATTGAGTTTTGGGGCCTTGCTGCAGCTTGCTGCTGTGGAATACCCTGTTGTAATAGATTCTGGAATAGTACTCATGGGCTACTCGACAGCCTTGATTCCTGTTGATATAAATCCAAACGGTCAGGTGATATGGCATCTTGAGGTTGCTTCTGAGAATCGGCAGCTCCGGAGATCTGAATTACAGGCTACTCAAGGTTCTTGGTTGCAAAAACAAACGTTAGAAGAGCTTAATACGGAGACGGCCCTGTTGGGTTGGTGCACATCAGCACAGGTTCGTTTAGGCTCTGACAGTCTCGAGCCTAATGTGACATGGTCAGATGCCAAGGTCAAGCCCATTACATGGCGCTGGAAGGGAGCCAATCTGCAACTGCTAGCCCAGTCGGCAGCACCCCTCCAGCTGGGCGCTCAGGCTGGATTTGCCTGGGAGCGTACCATCAATGCCATCCGATTCACTCCGGGGGAGAACTACTTACAATGTCTGGCCAACAGTATGCTTGAGCACGCCATTCTATGCGATGTGAGTGCACAGAGATCATGGCTTGTACCTCTTATTTCCGTCTATCATCACATGTTATTGGTTTATCACCACGTAATATTTCCAGGGGATGACCGACACCCGATCCCAGTAGTGGCAATGTCCGATGCATCGTCGAGCTCGTGGGATATCCTGCGAGTCTCAGGTAGCGTTGCAGTTGAGGGAAGCGGCGAAGATAGGTTAACTGTACGCGAACTCATTATGGGGTTTTCAGTCAACTTTGCAATGACATCTCTACAGCCGCCCAAGGGGTCTAGGATTTACGGTTATGAATTCATGGATCTGGTTGTGGGATCTTTACGAAGTGAGCTGAAGGCCGTCGTGGTGGAGAGCCAAGGTCTGGGGTGGGCACCACTGTTGAATGAGGTACCTTGCCTTTTCTGCTCTGAGCTGGGAGATGCAATAGTCGGAACCAGGGCTGGCATACCAGATTCTCCATGTAACTACCTGCCTACCGGCCAGAACCTACTCGCATCGTCAATCGAGGCTATTCAGATGCTATGCCGGAAGCAAGGAAGCACTCTCACAGGTGTGTCTGGGCGGGTCACACGAGATCACGTACTCTCACTGCATGGGCAGCCATTCATTCAGTGTCCCCACAGCCCCGGGGCTTCATCATGCTGGGACCACCCGGAAGAGTTCATACAAAAGATTCGGCGTGGGACAAATGTGGATAGCGGTGAACAAGATTGCGAAGAGTGTAACCCTCCTGTCCGGGGAGCATTAGTCTTCGGCAGTACGAAATCACAGAGCCTCAACTGGGCTTCGAAACTGCGGCGATGACCCTTTCTCAAAAGAGTGACCATTTTAAGTTGGGTATAATTCTTTGTGCTCTATGCAAATGTCGCCCTCTTATTAGTCAGCCTGGGTAAGTATTATTTATGAAGTGATTAACTTTATAATAATTCTACGCTTTGTATCATTTTGTGATTATTAGCCTTTTGAAGCTGCCTTAGGTTTGGAGGATGTGTAGGCTAACCACCTACAGTCAGTAAATCTCGACTTTTTAAAACTTAGTATAATTAACATGGAAGTGAAACCCATTAATTGGCCGTAAATCTCAGCAATTAGATGGATATGTCCTTTAATTAAACACTAATAATAAGGTTTCATACTAGTTGACGTGTAATTGACAGAAGAATAGATCAGGCCTCGAACATAATATAAACTTTATGTAGAAGTCAACTGCCTTTTTATGTAATATCAACTGGATGAGGTGGAGATCAATCAGACAAAAAGGGAAAATATATCATCCTATTACTCTGTGCTTGGAATGACTTAAAGTTTCAACCCTGCAGTATGCTTGCTTGCATATGCAGCTACGAGTGCTCGCCACCGGGTGATACTAGGTCTCACCGCTACATACTAGCCACCTACCATTTCGCTACAACTAGTCCAAATTTAGAAATAAACTTTAGCTTTAAAATTGAGTGTGTATCTTTAGCAATGTTACACATGTATTGTCTAGTATTTCGTGAGAAATACAAAAACTAAGTAGGTATTTCGCTACATAGCCCAAGTCAATCCACGTCTCCATGTAACGAGCAGGATACGCACTGGCTTTGTATCCGGCGGGCTTGTTTTTTGTTATAATGAGCTATTTACAACTGAGCCCTTGGAAATGTCTTTCTTTTCAACAATTCTTTGAGCTGCCTCCTCAGAATCTTCCCACTTGGACTCTTAGGAATTTGCTGCAACACAAAAATCCCACCACGTAATCTCTTGTGATTCGCAATCTTCGGATTCAGCCACGAATGTATCCCCTCGATAACCGTCTTCGGATCTTTGTCCTTTGCTAAAGAGCTCAGAACCACAAACCCAACGGGCAGCTCGGTAGCCTTTGTTTCAACCCAAGCCCCAACGACGCCTGCGTCAGCAATATCCGGATGCTCAACGAGTTTTCCCTCAAGCTCGCTGGGAATCACCTGCAGTCCCTTATACTTGATCATTTCCTTGATTCTATCGTGAATAGCAATGTAGCCTTCTTTGTCAATAGTGCCAATATCCCCCGTTCGGAACCACCTTGTCCCATCTTCGTCGACATAAAATGCATCTTTTGTTGCCTTGTCGTTGCGATAATAGCCCTGGGTTACATTTGGACCACGGCACCATATCTCGGCTGACTCGGACGATCCATCAGCGGACGTTGCAGCATCTTTCATGGTCTCCGGGTCTACAAAGCGGAACTCCATATTAGGGGCAATGCATCCAACGCCAGAAGCTCGTTTGTCCATTCTGTCGTTTGGAAACGCGGTAGCCATCGGGGAGGTCTCCGTGAGACCCCAGGATTGGATACAAAACACCTCTGTGGAGTAAAGCTCCTTGAATTTGGCTTCAAGAGCAGATGCCAATTCAATGGAAAGCGGTGCCGCGGCAGACATGATTCTTCGGACGCTACTCAAATCGTATTTCGCGACTCGTTCGTCCTTGACGAGCATCAGAGCGATGGGAGGGACCAATTCTAATCCGTCTGGTCGATGCTTTTGTATAGAGGCAAGGTATATATCGAGATCGAATCTCGGCATAACCACAACCGTTGTACCCCAGACGAGACACTGGCACATATACATATTCAGTCCGTAGATATGGCTAAAGGGGAGAAATGCAACGGCTGTAGAGCGTTTTATGCGCTGTGAGGGGAGTCCGGAGTCCAAGCAGTGAGAACGCCACTGTTGCAAATTCGAAGTGATATTCTGGTGAGTGGAAATGACACCTTTGGCGGCACCAGAGGTTCCGGATGAAAAGCAAATGAAAGCTGCCTGGCGAGCAGCTTCTGATGGATGAATTGGAGTAAGATCGCCTTGTGGAAATGTCCCGGCAATATGTTCGCAGGTAGAAGTACCAGCGCCGTCTAGCAAAATGATTTTTTCAATAGATGTTCCTTTGGCAGCCTTTCGAGCAGTGTCGATGAGCGACGAGTGGGAAATGATGAACCGAGCACCGCTGGTTTCCAGCTGAGCATATAACTCTATCGAGGATAGAGCCGCGCTTGTGGGTGCTACAATCGCTCCAGCGCCGACTATTGAATGACATGTAATGGGGTATTCGATAGTATTGGGGCTGAACAAAGCTACCACATCTTTAGGCTTCAGTCCAAAGGTTTGCTGAAGGCCATTTGACAAAGAACGAACGCGCTGTATGACATCTCTAAAGGTATATTGCTTGCCTGAAAGGGCGTCGATATACAACGGCCGGTCGAGCGGGGTGTTAGAGGGATTGGAGAAAAGAAAGGACACCAGGTCTACGTCCTCGATGTTGAGGCTTGGCAGGGGCGAGCGATATATTTTTTTGGTCATGGTGGAATTTTATATTGTAATTGGAGTTGCCAACACCAAGTGATGTTCAGTTGATAAGAAGGAAGAATTAGTACTATACGCTAGGTATTATGAAGTCAAAGGATGTACGAAGTACATCCTTTGTTTATTTAAACCAAAGGCACGAAAACTCTATAATCTAATTAGGTTTTACTTTCGAGGTGTCATCCATCAAAGCCGAGGAGAAAACGGATTACTTATCATCGGGATCCTCCGAACCTCGCCATAGTCAGTAGTTTCGGCAGACGATTCGGGACTTATCCACTAACAAACTTTATTGACACGGGTATGTTCAATGTTTGCACATATTGAAAATTGATACGTGGTATATTTATATGGTAGGACACTGCGCAGCGCTGCATGAGGCTATTAGGGCAGGATCGATATATACAAGACAGAGCATTATATAACACTAGTAGAGGAATAAGATAGAAATGTATACATTATGTACCTCAAAAGTTTGCGATATGAAGTAGACAAAATCTAGATAACGGGATATATAAGGACGTCCATTTTGCATATACTTATTTTATTTTTCGTAGTTTTTTAACTTCTTATCTAAGATACTCTAATGATGCATAAAAACTAGCTTAAACAGGAATGGTGAAGGGGTAAATCGGACAGTGGCAGCCGACAAAGATAATGCGACGCAATGCCATGGTTGGACAGGATATAGCAGGAGCAAGGCTAACACCAGGGGAATTATGAGAGTTGAATATACCAGAAAACCAATAAAATGAGAAGTATATTATCTTACTTAGGTAATCATTAGAAGAATAAGATATATTATATATCGTATATTTCCCGAAAATAAATGATATACAATATACAGAACTTAATAGGAGGAATATCAATTTATACAGTCACTCATTCTTAATACTTAGTTATCTTATCCTTTATAGCTGTTTGATCTAAGTTACTCTAATTTCTATCGAGAGGGTCAGCAAGTCGATCTATATTTATATGCAAGGTTCCATGTTATCTTAAGGGATCTCTTCTATATAGTTGTGTTATTAGACTCTCCGTATATCAAAGGCGTCTTGGTATATCGTTACTTGTCACCCTGGGAACCCCTGTGTGGTTCAACCCTTGTATCGTTCCTTGACACAGCCAGTAGCAAGTACAGTGGATCCAGGCCCGTCACAGCAAGTCATTGTGGTAGCCTATATCCGGGTAAGTGGCTTTGCTTACCCCAACCAACACTGCTGATTCGATGCGGATAATGTTGCATCGTGGATTTTCACCCCGGTCTCCCAAGCATTGGCATAATATGGAGGGGGTCGAAATTAAAAAAAAAGAAAAGAAAAAATGATCTGCGGTACTTGGCTGCATATTGATACTACCCGGGCCGAAAACCGGAATTTGTTTTCCCCTAGAGTCGGCCTTGGCTTTAAGGCTTTCAGCGGCCATCTTCCCATTTTCTTGGTGTTTTGCTAGTCACACCACGGAGTCTAGCGGGCACGTTATACGTACAACCTTGCCAAATTCGGTTTTTACTCCCAAAATTTTGAAGTCGTACGTCTTATTTATAGTATATTATTTTGATTTTAACACTCCCCAATCGCGTTAGGAGGAATAATATAAATTAGAGTTGATATGAAATACAAAATGCTCTGCTATATCAAACCAAGATCTTTTTAAGGCAATATATTTTGTATTAGGTATCAATATTAACCCCAAAGGGGAAACTATATTGTTAGATTGGTTTGGCAATATTCAAATGTGAAAAACTTCCGCCTACTGTCCAGTACTAGTCCGATTAATGTGAGCCACGTCAGGGCGGTCAAACCAGTCCAAAATAGAACTTCTATAGGCTATTGCTCTCTCCCACCCTGGTGCCGAGGCAGGAGTTCAGAATTTATCAAGGTACTCAACTAAATCAGTATAATAGTCGAACTACTAGGCGGATTTAGATAACGGTCAGGGTCATATATTTGAAAAACCCTAAGTGGGGATTAGTGGCCATTTTAGCTTGAAAGTCAAAAACTGAATTTTGGCAAGATTGGACGTATCATATCGCCATGGAAATGCATCTCGGTGCATTAGTTCAATCGGCTTCGCTTCCTATTTTACGGTCCGCTGCCCAGCCCACCCCCAACCGCCGAGCCCGCCTTAGCTGGTGATCTGCCGCAATATAGCACGTTAAAAAAGTCCTGTATGTGCTGCCTAGGGATGAGACACTAGGGGGTTACATGATCACGTAGTAACTATGTCCTCTGTGCTGGCAGATACCGGTGCTGTGCGGGCCATTTCTGCCCGAAAAGACCGATTAGAATGCCGATCCGTTTTTAACCATAAATTAATCCTTTGGAGGGGTTGTAAACCAAATTAAAACCAGAGGAGTGACTGGGAGAAAGAGATGTAAAGAATTTGACACTCATTGATAATAATCTTCTTGAATCTAACTACAGTTGCGTTATATTGAATCAAACAACCTAATTATTGAGGATTTCAGTCATAGAGCACCAGACACCGAACCTCAATAGAGCGCCGCAGGGGGGCGTCGTGTGGCCCGTTATGATCTTCAAAGGCCCCGTGAGCCATTCCGATCAAGTTACCCTTGGGTTGAGAGTCAAAATCAACGAACAAGAGAGCCTCATCGGTAGTTAGATTGCTGACGTAGTAGAATTTGTACTCGGGGTTAAACGTTAGGCCTGTGAAGTGGCTCTTGTAGTTGTTTTTGGTGTATATCGGTGTAGTGGCACCATCTCCACGGCTGAAAGTGGTCGAGTCAACCAAAGCCAAGGGCCACTGACGAACAGTCACGCCGACAGGGCGCCAAACATTGATGATGCCCCAGTGTTTAGAGAGCCATCGCTCGGCCTCTTCGTCGCCGAGGACACGCCGGAGGTTCACTTCGGCAGTCTTGGCATCATTGTCCATGTGCATGGTAGATAGGGGTTTGTTTGAAAAGTTGAGGGGATCGAAGAGATTTGTGTCCTATACTGATGATTAGTCTGTGATAGTCCCATGTAGCGAGGTTATAATAATACAGTTTCAATGCGACGATGACGATAGTTGTAGGCAATGGCTTTGGCCGCGCCACTCTTCTCCTTCACCAATGCCGCACACTCGTCAAAATATTGTGATCGAACAAAGGCATCACTCTCAGCTTTGTTGGGACTCAGTAATGTCTCTTCCGTGAGAATAGTTGGATGGTGAACCCACTCCACACCCTCGAACGAGAGCGACGCTGGGGGCTCGTAAGTTCGTAGGTCGGTGATCTTGACTTCAAGTTCTTCGCCCTTTCCTATATTGCTCTGGAACTCCTCACCCTTCTTGAAATTGAGCGTGTGTGGCTTGTTATCGGTAGTTCTTCCGAAGAAGCGCACTGTACCTGTGGTTGATAAGGGTTCCTTCCAAGGGACATGATCGAAAGGCTTTTGTTTGGAGAAATGGCCAGCCTCTGCCTCGGAAACAGACGAGACAGTCTGCTGAGACACTGACTGGAGCTTAGCAGCCTTGTGAATACCGGCCCTGGAGATAGGCGTCCATGGGACAAGGAACTTAAGGGAGGGTTGGGCAACACGTCGAAACATCTCTGCAAACTTAATCGGCTCTTGATTAGATAGTCCTCGCTGTTCGTGTTGATTTGACTGTAGAATCTTTTGTTCAAGACTGCGGAGGCAGATAAGATATGTCAAAGGCAAAGCGACTTGATGAAAATAAGTTGAACTCATACTTTCAGTCAATTTATGCTTCAATCTCTTGATGGCAGTAGGGGACTGTGGAAAGGGTGCCTAGAAGTCGATCGCTGTTGATGATCTATGTCAAATTGGGATCTTACTGCGTCGAAGCCCAGAAATGGATCTTTCGTATATCAATTCCCTCGATGATAACGAATAGACGATACTCAAGACGGCAGGTGTACGACCACAGCCAGTTGAATGGGCATAATGGTCAGCAACTATCACACTTTTAATCACCAACAGCATGATAACAGTCTTGGCTTATCAAATTATGTGGGCTACTCGCAGGAAATCCACCTCAAGCCATGATAGATGCATCGTTCACATAGCCCTTCATGTCTGTTGTGTGAAATATGGCCCAATCACACTTGACTGTCCGACATATGGTCCCAACTTTTGCCCACAGAATCCAGAAAGCGTATATGCAACCCCCTGGCTCTCGTGAATTGCGTATTCATAGATTGAACAAGATCATTTTCAGCCCCTTCTATCGAATAATGATGTCTCCAGCCAAATCTGGGGTAGTCTAGTGGAGAGAACATGCAAGCGGAAGGGCTAAGAAAGAAAAGCATTGGTGCGGATGCTAACATGTTGGTCAGTCCGTACCGACTAGCGGCCGTGAGTAGGATCGGCATCCTAGGACGGGATTAAAGACAGAAGCGAGGTTCGGAGATTTTGCAACAGATTCAATCCATGCAGAAAGACGGGGAGGGTTCGCCGAAAATCGCACACAAAGTAATATTAATAATGAGGCCGAGGCTCAGCCAAGCTTTCCCTCATATGCCATATAGAGCCCCCAGAAATTATTGTTAGGAGTTTGGTCAAACACATGACATCGTACTGTTCGTCATGTCTTCTGAGAAGGATGCTCTACAACGGCCGCAGGAAAAAACGGGTAGGGAAGATGTTAAGCCGGAGCCTTTACTGGATTCTCCCTTGCCCGCTCATCCAAGAGAGACTGAGAAGGACCAACAGTGGCTAAGTGAGTCACCGAAGCATGAGAATGAAGATGTGTACTCAGTGTTTACGCGGGGGCAAAAGAATTTCATTGTGATAATGTCCGGTTTGGGCGGCTTTTTCTCCCCTCTATCAGCCAACACATACCTGCCTGCCATTCCGATGCTTTCCAAGGACTTGAATGTCTCATGGACACTGATAAATTTGACCATCACGGCATTTATGATCTTTCAGGGTCTGGCACCTTCTGTATATGGAGACTTGGCCGATATGATGGGTCGTCGACCTGCATACTTGATTGCTTTCATCGTGTACATCGCAGCGAACATTGGTTTAGGACTACAGACATCCTATCCAGCCCTATTTATACTTCGATGTCTCCAAGTAAGCTCACACTATGACTCTGAGGTCAGGCCAAAAGCTTTTTCTCGCATTGACACAATTGCCAGAGCGCCGGTAGCGGGGGTCTTTATTCTCTAAACAGCGGTGTCGTAGCTGACATTTCGACAACTGCCGAGCGAGGGAAGTACATGGGAATGGCGCAGAGTGGTATAATGGTAAGTTGCACGTCGCCCTCGCAACATGGTCGGTCCGCTAATCCTCTCGGCAGCTGGGACCCGCGATTGGTTGGTATTCTTTATCTTTCATTATGATGTGTACCCTGTTGACTTGGTCAAGGCCCTATTATCGGTGGTTTACTAGCCCAATATCAGGGCTGGAGATCAATTTTCTGGTGCGTGCAACAGCCTGGTCAGCCAACGTCTTCAAAGATTCCCCTTCGCTAACAGTTCGACTCAGGTTTCTCGTGATCGTAAGAAATTCTTCTGTCCTAGAGAAGATATACTCAACGAGACTAATATCTCCCCAAGTTCGGCGGGGTTTACATTATCGTACTAGGGCTGGCCTTCCCTGAGACAGCTCGCAAGGTCGTCGGCAACGGCTCCCTGCCTCCTACAGCATGGTGGAGCCGATCACTCGTTGGGGAGTGGGCACGTCGAAAACAAGAGAAAGCTAATCCTAGCTTACGCGATGGGAAAAAGTCAGAGTCTCAGAATCTGGCTCAGAAGCGCATACTGCGATGGCCTAACCCGCTGAAGACGCTTTTGATCATTGTCGAGAAAGATGTGTCAGTCATTCTTTTCTACAACGCCATCATCTATGCGTCATGGTACACAGTGACGGCCAGTTTAGCAACACAATTTACAGTCGTGTACGGACTTGATACGCTTCAAGTAGGACTGTGCTATGTGTAAGTAAATATCTTCTTTCTCTCCCTCTTTTTTCTTTTTGTATTATTACCTCTTGCTCAAGATGCAACCAAGATGAGACTGACATAACTGGTTGAATTAGCCCATTCGGACTCGGTGCAGCGGTATCCATTTTTGTCAATGGCAAGCTTCTTGACTGGAACTATCGTCGGGTGGCCCTGGCCAACGGTTGCACTGTCGATAAGAAGAAAGGAGACGACTTGGCTAAATTCCCCATCGAGCACGCCCGGCTCGCCATTGTCTGGCCGTTGGTGTATGTCGGCTGCATCGTGATGATTGGGTACGGGTGGACGCTCGAAAAGCACACCCATATCGCGGCGCCCCTAATTCTAACCTTCGTCATGGCACTGACCATGACAGCGTGCTACAACAGCATGAACATTTTGCTCGTCGATCTCTACCCGCAATCACCGTCGACTGCATCGGCTGCTAACAACCTGACACGTTGTCTGATGGGAGCTGGAGGCTCTGCCTTGATCAATCCTATGATCAATGGTATCGGCTCCGGTTGGTCCTTCACCATCGTGGGGCTGGTGGTTACCGTTTTGAGTCCGATGCTTTATGTGGTAACTCAATGGGGCCCAAAATGGAGAGAAGAGCGGCGTCTTCGATTTGCAGAAAAGAAACGCCGGCAGGAAGCAAGTAAAAGCAAGGTGTAAAAAGGTATCAAGTTTGAGAAAGGGCAGAGAATGAGAGCGATATGAGTCAGACTGGAGGTTTTTTTTTTTTTAGAAGAAAAGAACAGAAGAGAAAAATAGACCTGGTGATCTACAGCCTGGATTGTGTTGGGATAGGATGAGAGAACGGTTGTTGAATCCGTTCTCAGGTTTTGAATGTTGACATGAGTAGCCTAATCGGGCAGGTGGTGCATTACGGCTTTCGATAGAGCTAGAACTTTAGATTTCATACTTAATGAAATTATGACTTGCGCTACCACTAAATCACTAATATCCGTAGTTATATATCAAATTAGATCTTTGCAATCATAAGTTGTCGATTCTCACCATCCGATTGGAAAGACCAACGTGCTCTGCTTGTTTGGGCATAATTCTTTTTTAAGCAAGCTTTCCTAACTCTATTTGCACCTTGTTCTGAAAAGTAAAATCAATGAAAATCACCAATTACATACCGTTCGAGTCAATAGAGCCAGAGAAGGGTTACTGTCGCTCTCACATAGGATACAGGAGCAATTCACAGTGGAAAAAGTCATGGTTGTGTGCTGTTGATAACGTGTAGTAAATCTTGTCCCTGTAGGAATCGCTCTACATTCTCGGCTGTTTCTTCATACCAAGTATTCATGATGCCATTCTCAACGTAGCCCATATGTGGTGTCACTAAGAGATTGCTTCGTCCATTTCGACCCCATTCTTGCGAACGCCAGGGACTGGTGGCAGGCAAGGGTTCGATATCGAATACATCCAGTGCAGCACCAGCAATCTGATGGGTCAGCAAGGCGTCCTGTAGAGCCTGGCTGTCGACCAAGGGACCTCGAGCGGTATTCACCAACAAGGCAGAGTCTTTCATCCATGCTAACTCCTGACGACCAACAAGGCCTCGCGAACGTTCACTGAGGACATAGTGCAGGCTAACAACGTCTGAATTTTGGAATAGCTCTTGTTTGGAGACAGCGGTAAAAGTTGGCCTAGCAGAGTCTTGCTCTAGCCCGCCCCCCAAAACTGGTAACCCCATCTCCTTGGCCTTGTCATTGGCCTTCTGCTGCGTCAAATTCTGGCTCCAGCAAAGCACCTTCATATTCCATGCTAAGACGCCAATCCGCGCCACTGCTGCCCCAAGTCGACCAAGACCTACTACCCCCAGCGTCATACCTGTTAAGCCTTGAGCCATTTGAGTCTGCCATCCATGAGATGTCTTCAAAACTGCATCATCCATGGCAATGTTCCGCGCCAGCCCAAGAATCATGGCCCAGGTATGCTGTGTTGTAGGGTGGCTTCCACCGCGCTTGATATCCAGTTGCGGTCTCGTCGCTGACAGGAGCCCTTTGCCACCAGTACGGCCCTTGCCTGGCGCGGCCACCACAGTGATCCCCAATTCATTGGCAGTTTGGAGGTCAAAGGTTTCAAATTGCGTGCCCGTGGCCAGCAGCACTTTGAGATTGGGAAGCTCCCGTAATAAAGAGCCGGGAAATGGGGTACGTTCGCGCATTGTGCTGATCATGTCAAAGGGTCGCAGTTTTTCAATCAGCGCTTGTTTCTGTTGCTGGGTCGTCTGTGGGTGGCCGAAAGCGGGGAACGCATCACGAAACACGGTTACTGATAACTGCTCGGATGGTATGTGGTTGAAATGCGTGTGGGAAATATCCAAATAGTCATCTAGTACGGCCAGAGAAAGTCGTTTTGGTGCTACTGTTGTTGCCATGGTTCTTGATAATCTGGCACACTGCCGCTGGCATACTATGCCTGTTCTTGTGTAGGCCATGTTTCTAACGACGACGGCCAGGTCCAGGAAAAAGTGAAGTTGCAGGTATCAAATAGTCCTCATGCGATATTAATGGATGCAACACTGCCCTAGTTGCTCCGCAGTCGGCAATAACAAGACAACGCCGGCAACGGCGCGTAGCTAGCGACGGAAACCAACAATTCAATTATTGCCAGGATCTGCAGTGCTAGGATTCACATGAGTGCAAAACAGCGAGAGAATTGGGTGTTGCATTAAGCCCTAAATCATCCGCTATAGTAATCCATTCGGCTGCGCTGTGGAAAATAATAATGAGGAGGTACGGCATTGCGTACGGTTTGAAACTGCCGGTCCTAGAAATAGCCGCGGATGCTACTCTTACATATGTACTTGGCAACGCAAATACTTCATGATGGCGATTTGATGTACATATCTTACTTGCTATTTTCAGTAGGACTGGGATAACATTAATTGGTTTAGTATTCTATCTTCTATCCATTGTCTTCATTATTACAATGATTTGCTTTCTGTTCTATTCTCCAAAAGCCACTTACCAAATTTAGACATTGCTTGGTAACGATGCGAGATCTTATTCTTCTTTTCATCATCCATCTCAGCCAGAGTTTCCCCTTCAAATTCAAGAATCGGTTCGAAGCCTGCAACCACTACTGTTTAGCAAAGATATTCAATTTCCCATGTGTATTGATCCTTTACCAAATGCCGAAAGTTCTCTAATCGGAACTATCCGCCCCTATTGAAATGACGAGTTTAGTTGTCGCTTGGCAGGCCTTGATATCAAAGACTCAAAACCCACCTTTAGTCGCCCCTGGAATAAAATAGGCTTCTCTCCTGGCCCTGATGAATAACCGGCTGTACAGACGGCATCCGCTGATTTATCTTCGAATGGATCGAGCAATTTCAAAAGGCCTTCATTCCCAATCGTGTCCAAAAACGCTTTCCTTTTCAGAATTAGAAAGCCTCTCTGCCTTTCAAGGAAACTCGAAATTTATTTACACATATGGTCCGGGCATGCCGTTGAGAGCGCTCATTTCAAGTGCCGAATCCTCCACTAGAACAGGGCCCCCGATCTGCCGTTGAACAGTTAGAGTATTCTTTTAGCAGAAGTTAAGATTAATAATCTGACTATTTCTGCTGCAGTGCGACATTTTTCTCGAGTGATTTCCTCCAGGCTCCCTTGAACCTCAACAATATCTAGAGCCTTGGCTTGTATTGTGATGGTGTCATTGAGAATCGCTTGCACTTCTTCAACCTTGTGTCGATTCCCAGTGACAAAGGTGACACTTGGTCTCGACATGTCAGTAGGTTGAAATATTCAAGACAGCGTAGTGCGGGGCGGAAGGGCCTGGAAATGCAGGATGATGCTGATAATGAAGGTATAAATTGATTGATTACATTAATTGATCGCGCAGAAAAACATGGTGCGTCTGGCTAATCCCAAATTGGTTTAGCTATAATACATCGAGATTGTATATTTGATTCTACAGGGTTAGATGTGCTCGTCACAGCCTGAAATGATAAAAAGAAATAAAAGATTTTATTGTAATTTGTACACTTTTACATGAGAGGGCAATCTTGAAACGCATTGCAGCAGAAATTCAGCCGACGGAAAGCAGATCAGCAGTGAGAGCAGGCATATATAGTGACAACTTCGATATTCCAGATAGATTCAAAGCCTGTTGCCTTCCGCGGGCCAATTTTGCTTGAATTTAGATATTCAAACTGTTCAGGTCTAAAAAATCCCCGTGATGCCCACCACCATCATCATCATCATCAGAAACATCTTCAACATATGCCTTTCTGTAGTTCGAAAGTGAGGCCGTAGTAGTGTTGTCATCTTCGTCATCTCCGTCATGCCATCGGTCTTCATCACCATCTTCATCACCGCCTTCATCACTGGGTTCATCACTGCCTTCGGTACCATCTTCGCCACTGTCAGAAACATCTTCAACGTATGCGGGGTATACCTTTCTGTAGTTCGAAAACGAGGCAGCAGAAACATTGGAGCAATCAACACTCTCCGCAAATTTGGTTTTGCTCGCTTTTGTAGATTGATGAGACCCTTTAACATTATCATCTCTAGAAGAACCCTGGTTGTTGGCAGTACCAAGAGTAGTTCCATCAGCAGTGGTGAACATTCCCGTTTGCATTGACCTGGGAATTTCTCTTGGTTTCTCGCTGCTAACACCAGGTTTCTTCTCTTCGGTGTTCTCGCTTCTCTCTGAGATAATAGTACCTGCCGCATTGTAACGAGGTTTAGACAGTTTCAAATGCCGCTCTATCACACTGGAGTTCCCCCACCACAATTCACCTCGCTCCAAGATCGCTTCTTCAGATATGCCAGTATTCCAAACAGTGCTTGAGATTTGGCATTCCACGTTACTATCATCCAGCTTAAACTCTTTCAGATCCACCGATTTCCAATACAACCAATCGCGCGAAACTGGACTAGTTCGGAGAAATAGGCCACCAGTATCGTTATGTCCAATCTGAGCACATCGTCTAGGATATTCATAAGATATAAGCCCAGACTCTCGATGAATCCAGAAAATACGACCGAAGATTGTGCAAATTTTGTTCCATCCATATAATGCCAGCTTGTGTTTTTCGTCTTCCTCTTCTTCCTCCTGCTCCTTGGGCGGGTTCCAGAAGCAACGCTTTTCGCTTCCCCGTGCATAGGTGTCCACATAGAACAACCGATTATTATCATCAATTCGCCAGTCCCAGCCTTCTGGGAGAACTGGGACTTGTTTTTCGGGGTGGAGATCTTTACGTCTTATTTTTCTCCACGAAAGCCATAAAGATGGTGGTACTTTGTATAAAGGGGGCATTTTAGGTACGGTCTCGGGGGACTCTTCTGACGAATGACCATAGTTGTACTGACCTGTAAAGGTATTGGGATTTTCTGTATGGTTTCGAAATGAAGGGTAATTCTGATATGTAGGTGGCGGTATAGTGTCATATTGATATCCTTGGTATGGTGGTTCATATGGGTATCCTTGGTATCGTGGGAATGTCGTGTAATGGTATGGACCTGTAGGATTATGATAGTATCCGGGTGCGTAGGGGTCTTGCAGTGGCTCCGCGGGGATATACGGATATTGCGGTGCCATGTAAGGATTCTGAGGCCGTGGAGGATAAAAGCCATGGGGATTAAAGGAGTTTGAAGTGGCTCCCTGCTCAAAGCCAGTAAAAGGTTCGCTTCGGTCGTTAGAATACTTCGATGCATGGCGACGATTACCACCAGTAGGCGAGAGCGAGTTTTCTCTGGATTGGTCACTGTTGACTGTCGCAGCTGTGCTCCATGGGGAAGGGCTTCGCATTCTTAAGTCGTACTCATCGTCCACGAGTATATAATTGGGCTCAGCTACCATGGGTTGGCCATCGGGTGCTTCCACCGTTGTATATCTATCTGTGGTTCTCCCGCGATCTGGGACCCTTCTAGGTCGTCTAGATGGTGCACCATCGGTCCTTCTGAATCTAATAGGTGGCAGTGGCGCCTGAAATACCGTTGACACGTCAGAGTCCGATGATGTGTCGGAATACAGATAGACCGGTTGTATGATAGTTGACCCTGATCTGGTGGTTCCTGCGAAGTGACCTTCAGTAGGTTCATTGGCTTCAGCATCATCTTCAAGAATAGGCCCTAACCCTTCCGGATTGCTTGGTCTTGCGGAGGGAAAACTAATTTTGCTACTCAGTAATCTGGGTTCTATTAGACAATTTCTTCCATAGATACGCACCTTGACTGAAAATCTATAGATTCCTCGGTACCGCCCAGTGTCAACTCGCGCAAGTGAGCCTTCAACTTGTTGGCGTACTTTGAGATTTGATCACTTCGAACCCCGGATTGGATGAGATCTCTGCGGAACTCCCTCCAAATTTCTTTGTTGTCATTATCATACGTGGTCAGTCCGGAATTCATAGATTGATTGTCATTAACATTGTTCTGTCGAGCTAAAAACTTGTGAAGTTCCGCTAATAGTTTGAGGCCGGGATCTTTATCGAAGTCCTGAAGAGAGGGACCAGCATGCACATGAACTAATCACATCAATTAGCTTCCACAAATCATCAGATACAGCTTTCTTTTCAACTCACTTTTTGTTCCTACACGTGGTGTTAATATGTCTATATTAAACTTTTCGTTATTCCCAGTGGAGATATTTACTTACCAATGATTTCGTGGCGATCTCCCGCAATGTTCCCCAGTGTGACTCCATAATTAGCGACCGTTCCATACCCTGTCGGACCTTGGGAAACTAGGGGATCCATATATTTGATAAGAATGGCATCGTCTGATGATTTGGAGATTGAAGCAATTGGAGGAGCTGAGAATACGAAGCAAAGCAATAAGCCTGCCCCCTCGCTAAAAGTATGACAAGTATGACTAAGGCACCAATTTTTCTTTGCTAGAGGAGGCCGACTTCGCTTCAGCCTTGTCAAGTTATCGCCTCAAGCTACAAGATTAATATTACCCCATCCCAGTCGCATACTAATTATATGCTGCGGCACCACGTGGACCAATCAGGGAGACATGATCAGGTCTGCAGCTCTTCTTCTCCGGATCTTTATCCAACGCCTCTTCACACGAGGTAATTTGGTATACTGTTTGGTCGTCGATTATATTTGAGCCCTCTTTCTTTGCCTATTTTATATCTCCTGTGGGAAATGAAAGCTCTCCATTTCCATTGATCTCAGAATCGCTCGCTTCGGATAACCCTAAATGAAACCAATCTCACCCTTGTAAAGCTGCGGGGCGATATTGGTGGCGTAAGAGATAACCTTCAATCGTTATCCCTGGCCAGTAGTAGGGTTGAAACTGCACTGTCCCGGCCGAGCCTACCAGGGTTGAATTGTCAGCAGACCCTGCAATCGTATGCCGTGCTACAGCTAATCTTCAGCCTCGTGTCCAAGTATTAAGTTGATGTAGCGTCGTCGCAGCTTCGGCGCTTTTCGGCAGTATCATTACCTGGCCCAAATAAAGGTCAATTTGAGCTCAGGTCATTTTGCAAATATGGCTTCTCATCAGCAAAGGTCCTACGCAGACTACACAGTCGGCTGGATATGTGCGCTCCCCTTGGAAATGGCGGTTGCCAAAGCCATGTTGGATGAAATTCACCCTCGCTTACCCCAAGCCCAGAACGACCACAACATCTACACACTCGGGACGCTGCATGGACACAATGTCGTAATCGCCTGTCTCCCCTCGGGTGTTTATGGGTATTCATCAGCGTCTACTGTCGCTGCACAGATGCTCAGCGCGTTCCCCGCCGTACGATTTAGCCTTATGGTGGGCATTGGAGGCGGAGTCCCCGGTGCAGGAGGAAATCATGCTGACATTAGGCTTGGAGACGTTGTGGTGAGTAAACCAACAGGCACCTTCGGTGGAGTCGTGCAGTATGACTACGGGAAAACCATCAGTAGAGGCCGCTTCAAACGAACCGGCACTCTTAATAAGCCGCCGTCCATTCTTCTTGCCGCTCTCGCCAATCTTGAGGCGGATCATACGCTCGGTCTCTCACAGATTGATTCCTACCTCTCGCAGATGCTGATGCGGTATCCTAGTCTGACCAAGTTTGCCTCCTGCCCGGGCCCACAATTTGACATTCTATTTGAACCTGAGTATCATCACATTGACTCTGCAGATGGTACATGTCGCAGTTGTAACCCTCGCTATCTAGCGAGGCGGCCGTCCCGGCCATCAGGCGATGGTCCTCAAATTCACTATGGATTGATAGCGTCAGGGAATCGGGTGATGAAAGATGGGCTAGTACGTGACCGAATTGCGCGAGATCTAGAAGATAGCGTTCTATGCTTTGAAATGGAAGCAGCAGGTCTGATGGACAATTTCCCTTGTTTGGTCATTCGCGGCATTTCCGATTATGCAGACTCGCATAAAAACAAACAATGGAAGCCATATGCGGCAGCAGTGGCGGCGGCGTATGCAAAAGAGCTATTATCTGTGATTCCTGTATGGCATGTCCGGAAAGCTCCTCTCATGCCTAGCGATGTTCCTACGTCAAGCGACCTACCGCCATCTGGGTATAGAAGATCTTATAGTAAGATGAAGGCTAAAGTCCCAGAATGGCAATCTGGCTTTGGGAGTGAACGCGATCAGTATCCTGTTAGTCCCTACACACTCCATTGAAATCTATGGCGATGTGGTTGATCATGGTGAGCTGACAATCTGTATAACAGGCATCCATACAACAGGGCGGTACCTGGTTTCAGGGCCCGGTTTCAAACAATGGTGTTATAATGGGGAATATCAACTCAACCAACGGGCATCAAGTGCATGTCTTGGGATCTCCGGGGGCGGCAGTATATCTAAATGCCTCTGAGCAATAGACGAACAGTAAGGGAATGGCAAGGGGGAAAGTTTAACAATAAAAAGTTTAGGTTTGCAACGGTGCTGCCGGTCGAAGCAGGTCGTCGAGGGTTTGGGACGATAATTTACCTGAATAAAGATTATTAGATCTTCTCTGCAGTACAAAGACATGCTACATGGCTCTAGAAAGCACTCTAGAAAGTATTTCATAGCAGTTGATTTTCTCGAGACATTTCCTGTCTGGTAGTCACTGTAATGGTAAGCAGGAATCATTTATTCTAGGCACTCAGGACAAGCAAGAAAAGTTAGTGGCAACTCACAAATCTACCAATATAATGTGCTGACAAGGAGCCAAACACAAATTCTAGGGTGACTTGAAGCCTAAAAAGATTCAGAATCAGTCATACAAAATAATATTAGTCTACTTATCAATTGCTCTTATCCATAAGGTTTCAATAGGCTACACAACCCTAACGCAAATGAAAGAGGTGAAAATTGCGGGGCGGTTTTACAGAAACTGGAACAACTGAAAATGATCAACTAGAAGAAATGCGCAATCAGCTGTAGAATACTGAACTTTCATGTTATTATATCAGTTGATATTGTATGCCTGAGGCACTATGTCACGTGTGTCCAAAAAAGGAAAATAATATCCTTCCATATCCTATCATACCCCTTGTCCCTGACAAGGCCATTTCTATATGTTCGCCATTCGTGTCCTGTTATTCATGTATGTTTTGCGCATAAGGCCACCAATCCTGAAAGCTGGGACGAGAAGAGGAACAAGATGAATAGTGAAATTTTGAGCGGTAAACTTGTCACATATAAACGTAACTGCTATTAACCTAACTGCTATAAACCCATCTGCTATAAACCCATCTGCTATAAACCCATCTGCTATAAACCCATCTGCTATAAACCCATCTGCTCTATGCTAACCCACTAGACCCAGATTGTGATTACAAGGCATGGCTATAATCCATGCTCTTGGGCTCATCTTCCAGCTCATCGAGTCATCATTCACATCTAGGAATTCAACAGATCCACACCATCATTCTGATAGTCATTGAACATATGTTTAATGTCATCCTCCGACTTACCATGTTTGATGGCATCGAGAAGATGATTCACAATCCTGCATTGGGTAGGGCATGTCAGTATAGATGCCAAATTCTGAGCGCAAGAGTACCTACAGCTTCATATCCTCTTTGGTCATGGATTTCAACCCTTTCTTGCCTAGCCACTTCCCCATATCAACCACTAATTGATCAAATCCTTCAGCCATCAATTCCTCTGCTAGTAGATCACTGAAAGCAACCGACATCTCCCCTATGCCGACTCCGGCAATTAAGAAAAGTTCTGTGGTAAGAACTCGATAAACGGTGATAGCTGTCACCTCATTCCGCATGGCGGGATTGCCAATGTGCTGCCCAATAGCAGCTTTGGCATACATGCCTGCATATCCCGCAACAGCAGATGCGACTGCAGCACCGACCGGCCCGAATAAAGCACCACCAACCAAAGCAGCGCCCATCACAATGGTTGAGTAGGTGCATTCAGCAGCAGCACGGACCGCCTCATCCTTTAGAAGATCCAGGATGCGCTGGTTAGCGAGCGATCAGTTTCCTTAGTTTTTTAAAAGATCACGCTCACATGGTCACCCGATATCTCATCAATGCCAGCAACTATATATCCTATTACTGGAATATCTTCCAAAAGCCTGAAAAAAGGTCCCCGCAGATCCCAGGTACCAGCGCTGTGTAGCTTGGATCAGCAATTGATCGCTGCTGAAACAGGAAAAGAAGAAAATAGAAAAGGAATAGCAAATAAACTCACGCGTCTTCCATAATCAAGTTTCCGTCATCGTCGATACTAATCCACTGGTCCATCAGCTCCCAACATTGTATATCGTCGTTCCAGGACTTGTTGATTCTTTGCAAGCTGACCCAAAAGTTCCACTGGTCGTCTAAGGACCAATTTCTGGCAGTGTAGTCGAAGTGGCCATTTTTCTTCCTGACAATCATTCCGTCTTCATTGGCAAGGTGTTTGCCCAGATCCAGTTCGGTGGCGCGGAGTGTCCCATAACGGGTGAATGCAAAGCCTTTTATTACGGTCCACTGATTAAGAGTTACATGACACAAACGCGACCGGATATTCTTGGGGCTAGTTCATGCCTTTCGGTCAGTACCAAAGTAATAGCGACTCAATATAGGAAACTTACGGAATTTGATAAACCAGTTGGCCATTGTCATTATGGAAAATCAGATCCAAGCACAGCGGAATTATCTTGTGATTCCAGCTATCGTCTAATTTGCAGAGTAACACGGCTCCTTCGGCAGCGAGCGTCAAGTTTTCTATGTTTCTGTTCGAAGTAATACCATTGGAGTCCAACCAAAAACTGCCTCCTCCCGTAATGGTAAAGCCAACATGCCAGTCAATGGTAATCTCAGAGTAGCACCATTGTCCATCATCTCGTTTACAGTACGCACATAGGTTTGTTATATCCTTGCCATCCGGTTGATGTACGATGGAGCGAAGGGAGATATTCTTAGATGACGTGGAAAAACCCATGATTCAGAGTAACGGTGAATTTCAGGACGATGCGGAAGATAAGGAAGAAGAAGCAACGAAGAACGGTGGGAGAGGATAATATAAGGGAGAATCGAGAAAAGGGCCAGAGTAGATCATGTTCATTCCATTTTTGAGGCTGGCTGAATGTAGACCTCATGACAGCTGAAGATAGGATATCAACTAGCCTTCGACCAATAGAGAGGATTGGGAATGTCTTTAATTTGACTGTGTTTAACTCTAAATTACCAAAAGGGTTAAGCGGGACGCAGTAAGGCACCAAATAGGACATAGTGGCACTGGATATCCCTCGCGATTTATAGCACACCACATGGATCGGTTGGAATCGGATTCTCTTTGCGTACGCCATCATCCCCGACGGTGGCTATTTCATATTGGTGTGGTACGGGGCAACCCTCAGGGCAATGGAGGTAGGGGAACTTGAGGGAGATAGAAGATTGGTGGTTGGGGGCTGACGGAGCTGAGGGTGCGAGGTGGGAGTTTATAAAGTTGAGCACAGAAAAATGCCCTCAATTTACCAGATATTTAAATGTTACAGTTACTCCTATGAGCTGCTCGACCTCTACCGGAACATTGCCAATACAGTTGATTAAACAAATCACGAACTTGGACATTTAGATTGAATCCATAGGCCGCTAGCAGTACTCTGAGCAAATAGAGAAAAAAATTTTTACGTGCGGTATTGTGATGGACTCATGAAGGTAAACTTCTGATTCGTAGCCTGGCTGGATTAAGCTTTTGATTCTAGTGTAAAAGGGGTAGAGGTATGATACTTGTTTTAGGAGTAATATTCCACACATCAATATAGATTGATTTATGCATTATACCCCAATACAGCCGTTTTAGTGGTTCTTTCAGGGTCGCTGGCGGCTTAAGAGGCCGGGGTGCACTAAAACTAGCATACAAAAGTCCTCTCTAAAACTCAATCCCACTATAAATAGCCCCTCTAAACCTCAAACTCTTCCGGGGCACCCGGACATACTGCCTGCTGCCTGCACGACGCCAGTTGGCCACACTTTGACGGTCAAAATTTTCTATCACACACGTTAATATATGTGGTCTTAGGTTCCAGATTCACGTCTTTTTGCAGCTTTTTCTTTTCTTTTTCCTTTTTAAAGAGAAATGCCATTAATTGGACGATTTGCCAGCCAATCTTTATTAACGATAAGGATAATGGTTAGCAGTCTACAAGGAAGCCTTGGAAGAACTGGTATTCCGTTCAATGCTCAGAATCATCGCAACATGATGGCTCAACGCAATCAGCTCACCATCCGCATCCCGCACAAGCACCTCGAGATCGAACTTTCCATCTTTGATTTGTTTCGACGACACGCGAACAGCTAACCACTCAGTGCCTTCCTCCGGAAGAGCCATCTTGGCCTCTATATTCATCACCACAGTCGGAAACCACATTTCGGCGCGCTGCTGATCTTTTTTCCGGACATCCTTTACCTCAGCATCGCTGGACCGCTCAGGCGGCGCATTCAGAAGCTCACGCAGAGCCGGCGCCGCCAGGAACGTGTGCATGTTGTGCGGGAATGAGTCTACCACATACGCCAGCGTGCCTTGTGTGATGGGCTCGCCGCTCGTCAGACGGATCCACATATCCAGCACCCCTGGGCTCAGCGGTTCCTTGCTAGGGATGTAAAAGCGCCAGTTGGCCAGCGACGGCATCAAATTGACATATGCCTTGGGAAGTTTTGATTCCTCCCAGACATCGTCGGCGCCGTTGGTCTTTAGAGCTTCAAAGTCAGATACGGATGGGAGTTCGGCTGCGGGAGTTACTTCGTAGCCTGTAGGCATTGAAATACCGGAGAATGTGCGTAGGTTTGTGTGGGTGGTGTAGGCGAGTATAATGCGGCGGGACACGGCGCGGTCGATCCATGGCGCTTGAGAGAGAAGGCCGCCTTGATAGAGCGTTAGGTGGAGGGTGGATAGTTGGCGGCCAAGCTTGACATCCTCGATTATGATAATGGCAGGCCCGGTCGATGTCCGGTTTGGATACTCGAAATGTGCGGTCAGCGTGTCGGGCTGACCGCGGGGCCCGAGGTGTTTGCTAGCTGCTGCGAGCATGCATGCCGATGTGTAGCCACCATTCGGGACTAAATTAGTTGAGGGTCAGAGCAGTTACATATTTATGTGCTTATATCGTGATTGAGAGCGACAACGCTAGGGGGACGAAAGGAGGAAGCTAAAGTACCTGCGCCAATACAGAAGGCCTTGTCGAGATTGACTCGGTATGTGTGAGAGTCCAGCTGCTCAACCTTGGTAGCTTCGGAGAAAGAAGCAGAAACCCCGCCTGCTTTGCCTGCGGCCATGGCGATATTCCAGATGTCGTATGGACGAGCTCCAAGTAAGAATGCTTCCAGGTGGTGACGGCGTCGATAATCAATTGATAAAGGCAGCAACAACCTCGGTAATTGTCACGTGTGTCACTTATTATTGTTAATGTTACTTTTTTTTTGGGTCTGTTCTGTTGGTTTCTGTGTTATGGATTGGATGAGCGTTGTCTTATAAATAGATGTGACGGCTAAGGAAAAGGAACAAGGACCATGCCAAGTAGGGTTATTCTAGTCGCTGACTTATAATTTCTAGTGCTGACCATAAAAACATGAATATAACAGGCATGCTCAACTGCTCAATAAAAAATAGAATAAAACGAAATGGAGTAACAAAATATTAGACAAAATATATGAAACATCTTAGTAAGGTGACACTGCCCTATCCAGGGCTTATTCTCTTAGACAGATCCGCCTGACCTAGAGTTATTGCTGCATTCAATTGGTGTTTAGGTGTGGCGTTTTTGTTGACGCTGCTGGAGAGGGACAGAATAATATTTACATGAAGATGCTGTTATATACCTATTCAATACCCTACACACTGTTCACTGTTGTTGCGTCTGGTATACGATACATACCTTGACGATTTATACTTGCTACGGATGTATTATCTCCAGTCACATACATAATTCATTGAATTATTAATGAATAGTTTGATACATGTACATCTGCTATTACTAATGTGTACAATCGCCACCAAGCGATCCTATCTATCCCATACCTAATGGTCAGACGAGTGATTGCTCAGGCAGTATTGAGAGCAGCAATTTCGTAGAACAGCAAGAGAAAAGAGAACGCGAAAATCAGAAACCCACCCACCCACATTGATATCCGGAAGTAAACGTAAAAGCATTTCATCAACTGCATAAATACAAAAATCCACCCTGAAAGAGAAGGACAAAATAAGTAATAAAAGCTGATATCAGAGACCTTCTAACGCCAGTAATCAAAACAAAAGATCAGGGCCACCCACCCACCGTCCGAAAGGGTTCAGAAAGAAATAATAGAAAATGGAGACCACCGCTGTTCCGGGTCCAGGTGGAGTTTCGAATGAAGAGAAATAAGCCCGTCTATCCATTGACCGCAGCAAGTCATCACCAGAGTGGCAGATGATGAGGTATTCAAGCTGCGGGGTCACTCTATTATCATCAACTCGTCTCTTCGTGCCTGAAAATATAAAGAAATAGAACGAAAATTTCAAGTTAGAACTAGATCAGCACTCGCGCGTCTAAACAGCTAGGTAGAATCGATGTCTGTTGCGCCATTTGCATTGCTCATGATCTGGCTTTTGCTATCCTCACTAGGGGACCTCGAGTTCTGGGCTGTAAGTTTCGACACTGCCAGATTCAACTGAGCCTTTGTATCGTCCAATTCTTGTTTTAGGGATTTGATATAGTCAATTGCCATTTCGACAGTGCTGGCTTTGCTGATCGTCTGTTGAGAATTCTTCTCCTTCTCCTTGTCCCCATTTTTGCCAGCGCTAGCGGCTTCTTTGCTCTCCTTGGCAGCGTGTTGGTGAGCGAATCCCGGCGGAAGAAGCGCTTCGATTTCTTTCAGAGCTGTATTGATTCGATTGCGACGGCCTTGTTCGGCTAGCTTGTGGTTTGTGCGCTTGGAGCTTAGATTCTCAGCGAGGGTCTCGGGATAAGACACGCCTGGAAGGAGTGTGCCGTCCAGAATATGCTGATAGTTCGATTTAGACGCAAGGTATAATGCCGAGTTTTCACCTGTAATGCCTGCCATCATTATATCAAGTTAGCTATTTTGAAAGTAATTGGAATAGAAGGGGGAAAACACACCATCTCCGCGCACCAATGGTTGAATACTAGGACTGATCCGTGGTCGAAGAGCCGGGCTGACATGAGAAGAGCTCACACTCTGCCTCTTACGGCCATTAGTAGCCTTTGATTCAGACTTTTTCGCAATTGGTCCACTAGGCGATGGCATCGCTCCCGCTGGCGTCAACGACCCAGAGACAGGTCGTTCTGCAGACTTGGGCTCGGCCAAAGGAGTCGACTGAGTTTCGTTCGTGGTAACCGTCGTATCAATTCGGCTCGGTCGTGGTCGCAGTGTTGTCGCTGCCTCAGGCAGTACCACGTCTTCCATAAGCTCATCCTGTGGCTCGCCTGTGACTAAGCTAGCAAAGCCAGAAAACTGGCCAACAGGTTCCTGCGAATGTTGCGGCCGATTGCTGATCTTCATCAATGTAGCCGGGGTAGCTGGAGCACTTTCATCTGATGCATGGACCTGGGGCCGGAAAGCCGGGGATTTGCGTGTCTGTGGTACTGCGGGCGGGGGCATCAGCGGCTCTGAGATGGGTTCGGGTGATACAGAATCTTGGGAGCTGTCGTGACCGTTGTAGCGTAATGAGCTTCCCCCACTGGTCGGTGGTCGAATGGAAGCTTGTTCCTGTCCTAAGCCCGCGGCAAGATCATCGGCCATGAGTTGCGTCTGCTTCCTCCAATTTTTAGGCTGAATAGATGGCGAGGCTTTGGCAGCACGTCCGCCTGCTCGGGTCACAGTTGACGGACGACGTCGTTGTCTTCTAAAGACAGCGGGCGACGAAGGAGCTGATGTCATCACCATGCCGGCTGCATCCATCTGCGACTGGGCGGTGGGAGGCTGAGTCGTAAACGGATAGCCATTTGAATTCGAATTCTGGGCTTCCAGGGCGGGAGAGGTCAGTGGCGTGAAGTATTCACCCGGTATCGTGTATTCAGGGAGCCGAAACTGTGTCTCCAAGGGCGTCATCGCGGGTGACACCAAGGGAGTGTAAAAAGCAGCCTGTTGTGCGGTTTGATGAGACTTGTGTGAGCCAAGATGGGATATGGAAATTCGTGTTACCTGATCATCGTTCATTTGACTATATCGATCGTAGATCTCATTTCCCATATCAACGCGCTGCGGATAACGTGCAGCGCCGCCATGGAGCTCGATGCTATTTGGCGTGGGTGGGATAACATGCTGGCCCTCGGGATAGTGATGTGGAGCCGAATGGGGAGGGTATTTTTCTAGATGATGCTGCGCGTGCTGGTGCGCCAGCTGGAGCTGGTTATGTTGGGCCATCTGTCGTTGCTGATGTTGCTGGTGTTGCTGATGCTGTTGTTCATGTGAAAAGTGGAATGCTTGATCGTCGACGGACCCGTTATTCGGAATGCCCATGGCCATGTGAGGTGCGAACTGAGGCGGCGGGCCGGCATGGTCGGCATTGACGTGCGAGTCCTCAGCCATGGAGGTGACGATGTGGTTATCGGGGTGCTGGATTGTGCGTTGATGCTGGACCGATGCCGGGTTGTGCCCCTCCATGTCGGTGAAATCGAGGCCGAACTCGAGGAAACTGGAGAAGTCGTCTTCATTGCTGGGGGCCATCAGCGTCTCCTCAGGCAGCTGCTCCGGCCAGGAGACAGCAGCGTCGTGGTCCATTGCCATTGCACTGGCTTTTCGATAGTCGAGCGAGGCGGGCTGCGTGAGGGTTCGGAAGGCGCCCCGAGAGCGGCTGGCGACGATGCCGCAGGTGGCACTGCGGGAGAAGACGACGAGCAGGCGGCAATGCGATGTCTCATGGGACAGTGGCTCGAAATCGAGCAGAGACGGCGATGATGGTATTAATTGCGAGGCGACAGCGACGGGCGGTGGTTGCAGGTGAGGAGAAGGCAGATGGAAATTTTCGTTGGCAGCTGAAGGCTCGCGGGTGCGATTGGCGGGTCGCACCCAGCAGGGAGGAGGCACCGCACTGCGTACCCTCTTCGAAGTAATTAGACTCTTTACTCTTTTGGCTTCTCCGAGGACGCTGCTGCTAATCAAGCCAGCCGAACTGTTTCCACTCGCTGGCGCGCTGCTGATTGGCGGCGCCGGGTCCTGGAGGGGTCGCCGGAAGAATAATATTATAATACTATTCGAGGGTGGTGTCCCTGGGAAGTGGGACAACGCTGCATCTTGACGAGCTGCCTTTGATATCTTCTTGTCTTCGAATAATCAGCATGGATCGATCATGCGGGTGCAGGCATGGGCTGAGATCGTGCCGTCATCATGTGCTGGAGAAGGGTCTAGCCTGAGCCCATTAATATATCACCTGCATGCTGCTACGTACTAAACGTGAATAGTAACTACATCTGCAGAGCTTACCCTGTACCTTCTGGAAGAGCTTGGAAATAAAAATAATAATAAAACATCTGTTCACCAGTATTGATGCAAATGAGCGTGCCTGGCAGCACCAGAATACGATTATTGCCATTACCAATAATATTAAATAATGCCCCATCCAATGTGAATTTTGCTCGGAAATTCCCGCGCCGACACAAATTCAGGCAAATTCAGCGGCAAAAGCGCTAAACCAGAGACACAACTAGAAGCTGCGTGCACTAGCTGCATCCTGTTCGGTCTAGTGTAGTCACCCTAGTCTCTTACTACTGTTATTATTATCATATTGCTGTAACCCTGGTAATAATGGAATAGTAGACTACTCTTTGTGGCAGGCGACTTAAATGTCTTAATTGCAGTGAATTTCCTTTATCCGGTGCCCACGATGCAAACAGTGCAAACACTCGACGCTTTACTTACCCCAGGTCGAGTCATTTACCAGTAAGTGGCCAATCATTCAATTATGACATAGTCCCAATAAATTACAACAGTCGGCGGGTAAGCATGTAAATGGTAAATGGTAAATGGAGAGCATTCAGGAGTAATAGAGTCTAGTGTAGAGTACAGAGACTAGTTAACTATAACAGTTAGAGTCGAGACAGTACGGGAATGAGGTTAGATGCGGGGAAGGTAAGCCGCCCACCACACGTGATCCTTATCATCAACATCATCATTATCATCTGTATCACCGCCAGATAACGAGAGCGATAGAAGACACCGAATAATCTCGCTCAGATGCCACCACTATGCGCCCTGTCGTCCCCGATTACCTGCAGTCCCCGGCTCGCAAGTCCGCCTCGTGCGAACAGCCTGTTCCGTCGTGGGCCGACAACCAGACCACCTTCTTCCTGGCCCGCGAAACAGACGACGACCTGATCTCCTCCAGGCAGAGCATCTCTCCGCGAGAGAGCATGTACGGCGTTCAGAGCCTCGAGGAAACAATAATCACAGCAGACAGCTGTGTACCGGTCAGAGATATCACCCCCAAGGATGTCGAACCACCCAGACGCCGCACGACGCTCAAGCCATCAGATCTGTTGCACCATGTTGACCGGTCCGATCTTGCTTCGCACGGTCGAGTCTCGCCCATAGCCGCGCCGTCCCGTCCCTTGACGCCGTTTGGCCTGCAGGACGACCCGTCGTCCTTGCCCAGTAGCCCCAAGTCGACATCTACCCGATCGCTGAAACCGTTGGATGATCTGTCTATCACGGACGAAATCAACAGTCAAGTGTTAGCGTCCAGCGGGGAAGAAGAGGATGAGGTTCCGGAGACTGGTGATAAGCCAAATGATAGCTCATCTCAACTTATCATGCCGAGTATCCGAATGCCTAGTAGACGTCCGTTCACGGATAGAGGTAAGGGCTTTGGCAGATTTAAGCTTCTGGTAGCCGGGCCCAAAGGTAATAAGTCCATCGTCACTGCGATCAAGGAATTTAGCTAACCCGGCCAGGCTCTGGAAAATCATCGTTGATCAAGTCCATAGTCCAAGCCTGTGACGATATAGTCCATGTTGACCCGGTAGAAAGATCAACCTTGCATGAGAGTCACCGGCCACGTGCTTCCACAAACCCCAGGACTGCCGCTACCGTTACCCTTTCGGAGATCTACGCGAGCACCAAGCCATACCCTCCGTGGTGGTCTGATCTCGAGGACTCGCGTGTCCTTAGACGGCGTAAAAACTCTGGCGAGATTGTGCTGGAAAGAAATCTGTGTTTCGTTGATACAGTATTATCTAACAAAAACCGACTAAACCAAACCGAAACCATTATTCAATACATGAGGCAGCAGCTGTCCCGTGCTGTGACCGCCGTGAGACACCCTAGTCTTGATTTTCAAAATATGCTAGGAGGTAACGGGGGCTCACAAGTTGATGTGTTACTTTATCTTATATCAGAAGGTCAGAACCATCTAACTATATTTACTTATACGGTGACTAACATTACTTCAGAAACACTGTCGTCTGATGTAGAATGTATTCACAAGCTCTCTGATTTTACCAACGTTATTCCTTTAATCTCCAAAGCCGATTTACTCTCCGCTTCTCAAATCACCGATCTCAAAAAGTCGTTCCATTCGCACATTGAAGGTCGCGGTATCCGTCCATTCTTCTTCGAGAGTTCAGGCTCGCACGAAGCCTCATCCCCGCAGTCCCCTTTTGCAGTTTCTTCAGCCCGATCGAGTGATGACGATAATATGGACGCCAGTGTCCTGATGAGCCCAGACTATATCCAGCCTTTATTCCCATCCGAGCTCAGTGGTTTGATAGACAAGATATTCGATTGCGATAATATGTCCTGGCTGCGTCACTCAGCAGCCAAAAAGATTATTCAAAACGGAAGCTCAGGTCCTCCATATCAACCAGAGCCCGTTTTCCCAAAGACTTTACGCCAGCGCTCTATCAGCCCCGCTAGGTTCTCCCCATCTCCAGGTCTGACCTCGAACTTTCTTTCCTTGGAAGGGGCCCCTGGCTATGCGATGGCACGAGTAACAGACTATACCCAGAACGAGGAGAAATTGGCGCGAGTGCGCCTTGCGAAATGGGCCGCGGATCTGCAACAAAGCTTACAGAATGAGCGCGAGCGATATGCTGCTCTTGCACGGGGCGATCGAGCGGTCTGGCTGACGGAGCGACTAGGCGAATGTGTTGTCGATGGTAGCCTCGTTCCAATCCACCAAACACCCGGCTTTCCTACGTGGACGTTCGGCACAGACAAGGCAGGCGGCGTCTTAGTCCGCACGTCGAATGGGCAGACAGGGAAATATCGTCTCACCAAACTCAACCCCAAAGATCCTCTTGGTCTAGTCCGTTGGAACGACGACCTGCGTCGACGGGGCTGGATTATTGTTCAAGTAGTCGGGAGCTTCGGCGTGGTAGGGGGTTTGGCGCTCTGGCTGGCAAAGCTCTGGGGTTTACCGTCTCAGAGCTTGTCCGAATGGCAGTTCCACTGGATCAGTTCGCAAGACTAGACTTTCTTTACTTTGTTTCACCCACTGTCGCACAATGCATGTTGCCACGGTTTTGATCGGTACTGGACACCAAAAGCTCTCCATCAATACGCGTTTCTTATGATTATATACGACGATATCTATTACGACATGAAACAACGCTGGCGCGGGACATAATCATTCGACGGGGTCACCATTCTCTCTCTTCTTTAACCTCAATTCGTGTCTCCACACTGCCACTCCATCCTGATCAAAGCAAGACAAGTAGTACCAGTCGATCGAGCCGGTCTCAAATCTATCTATACGCCAAGCTGGTAGCTGAAGCTTGACAGGGCTGGATATTTTTTTTACGAGAGTATCAATTGATACACGATGGACATTATCGGAAGATTTTCACTTGCGCTACAGTAGTAGTGTAGTTAGCCTCATCTAGATATCATGAATGCATTTATTTAATCGTGATTCTGTTCAGCTCCTAGCGTGGTGAGTTAAGTAGCTGCCCTGGCAACGGCGGCGCCATCAACTCAGCTCTACTAATCTGCCGCCACTTTGTTTGCTGCTTCCATACAGTAATGTATGCGCATGCGCAATTATGCGTGTGTTGAAGTAAAGTAGATAATTAATTCCAAGATGACCAATTTCTACGGTAGTGACAGCCTAAGTTCAATGTTGTCTATCTAGAAAATTGCTGCAAAGCCTGTTGAGGTGAGTCAGTCAAGTGGGTCGTTCTAGATGGCTCTAGAGTGCGGAGTTCTCCAGCTTGCACAGGGCATGCAGCTCACAGCATATCCCAATTGCAGCATGAACAGTTCACAGACAAACCCGAGAACAAAAGTCCGAGGAGCAAAGCAAACGGTGATACTTACATGCATGGATATGGGCCTGGTAAAAATAGGAGAATCAGTAGAAAGACATCGAAGGTCTGATTTGCCGCTAACCATGTCTGGAAGCAGGCTAGCTTCATGTGACCTAGCGCCAGCCTGTAGAATAGAATCGATTCGAAGCTACAGGAAAGCGCAGGCAACCCGGTCGTCCTCCACCACCAGGTATTTTAGCCTTCAAACACAACCTGCTCGCTTCTTTTCTCTCCCCAAACTCTCTTCTGCCTCGTCTCCAACCGTCTGTGTTGCTAGATTAGCTGTCTAGCTGCTCTGTGATATCCCTTTCCTCTTTTTATTTGTAGGTGACTCTTCCCCCAAGCTCCTCGCTACGCTGCGCCCGCGAGAAAAAATTTCAGCCTGGTAGCTCTCCTCACTAACCAACCTGCTTCCAGGATACCCTTCCATCCCCTCACATCTTCAAAATGTCCGAGACTTTCGAGTTTCAGGCTGAGATCTCTCAGCTTCTGTCTCTGATCATCAACACCGTCTACTCTAACAAGGAGATCTTCTTGCGAGAGCTCATCTCCAACGCCTCCGATGCCCTTGACAAGATCCGCTATGAGTCTCTCTCAGACCCATCCAAGCTCGATTCGGGCAAGGATCTTCGCATCGACATTATCCCCGACAAAGAGAACAAGACCCTCACCATCCGCGACACTGGTATTGGTTTCACCAAGGCTGTAAGTTCTAGACTTGTTACCCATTTATCGAATAATTGCTGATAGTTTTTTAGGATTTAATCAACAACCTCGGTACCATTGCCCGCTCCGGTACCAAGCAGTTCATGGAGGCCCTCACTGCCGGTGCTGATATCTCTATGATCGGCCAGTTCGGTGTCGGTTTCTACTCTGCCTACCTTGTTGCTGACAAGGTCACCGTTATTTCCAAGCACAATGACGACGAGCAGTACATCTGGGAGTCCAGTGCTGGCGGTACCTTCACCCTCTCCCCCGATACTGAGGGTGAGCAGCTCGGCCGTGGCTCCAAGATCATCCTCCACATCAAGGATGAGCAGACCGACTACCTCAATGAGAGCAAGATCAAGGAGGTTGTCAAGAAGCACTCCGAATTCATCTCCTACCCCATCTACCTCCACGTCCTGAAGGAGACCGAGAAGGAGGTCCCTGATGAGGATGCCGAGGAAGAGAAGGCTGAAGAGGATGAGGAGAAGAAGGCCAAGATCGAGGAGGTTGATGATGAAGAAGAGGAGAAGAAGGAAAAGAAGACCAAGAAGATCAAGGAGTCCAAGATCGAGGAAGAGGAGCTTAACAAGACCAAGCCCATCTGGACTCGCAACCCTGCCGATATCACCCAGGAAGAATATGCCTCTTTCTACAAGTCCCTCTCCAACGACTGGGAGGACCACCTCGCTGTCAAGCACTTCTCCGTCGAGGGTCAGCTCGAGTTCCGTGCCATCCTCTTCGTCCCCAAGCGTGCTCCTTTTGATTTGTTCGAGACTAAGAAGACCAAGAACAACATCAAGCTGTACGTCCGTCGTGTCTTCATCACTGACGATGCTACCGACCTCATCCCCGAATGGCTCAGCTTCATCAAGGGTGTTGTCGACTCTGAGGATCTTCCACTCAACTTGTCTCGTGAGACTCTTCAGCAGAACAAGATCATGAAGGTCATCAAGAAGAACATTGTCAAGAAGACCCTCGAGCTCTTCAACGAAATCGCTGAGGACCGTGAGCAATTCGACAAGTTCTACAGTGCCTTCAGCAAGAACATCAAGCTCGGTATCCACGAGGACTCCCAGAACCGCCAGTCCTTGGCCAAGCTCCTCCGTTACAACTCCACCAAGTCCGGTGATGAGATCACCTCTCTCGCCGACTACGTCACCCGTATGCAGGAGCACCAGAAGCAAATCTACTACATCACTGGCGAGTCTCTCAAGGCCGTTCAGAAGTCTCCCTTCCTTGACACCCTCAAGCAGAAGAACTTCGAGGTGCTTTTCCTTGTTGACCCCATTGACGAGTACGCCTTCACTCAGTTGAAGGAGTTCGACGGCAAGAAGCTTGTCGACATCACCAAGGACTTCGAGCTCGAGGAGACCGACGAGGAGAAGGCCGAGCGCGAAAAGGAAGAGAAGGAGTACGAGAGCCTTGCCAAGAGCCTCAAGAACATCCTCGGCGACAAGGTCGAGAAGGTTGTTGTCTCTCACAAGCTCGTCGGCGCTCCTTGTGCCATCCGTACTGGCCAGTTTGGCTGGTCCGCCAACATGGAACGTATCATGAAGGCCCAGGCTCTCCGTGACACTTCCATGAGCTCATACATGGCTTCCAAGAAGACCTTCGAAATCTCCCCCAAGTCCGCCATCATCAAGGAGCTTAAGAAGAAGGTCGAGGCCGATGGCGAGAACGACCGCACTGTCAAGTCCATCACCCAGCTGCTCTTCGAGACCTCGCTCCTCGTCTCCGGCTTCACCATCGACGAGCCCGCCAGCTTCGCCGAGCGCATCCACAAGCTCGTCTCTCTCGGCCTGAACGTCGACGAAGATGTTGAGACCGCCGAGGAGGCGTCCGAGGAAGCGCCCGCCGCCGAGGCCACTGGCGAGAGCACCATGGAGGAGGTCGACTAAATCACCACCACCACGCGCTATCTCATGTGATACGAACCCCTGGATGTAACATGATTTTTTCATAATGGACGAAAAACTTGGGGTCATGCTTCCGATGGATGGATTGTGACTTCGGCGTTTGAGCGGTTATTTAATGACTAAAGTGTATTTCTTTTTACTACTTCAATGTTTCATTTTCATCTCTCGGTTTGATTTCCTGAGTCTGTAATAAGAGATGCAGGTCTTAGATTAAATAAGAATCGAATTGCTTTGAAAACAACCTACAACCTACAACCCATCTTAATTCGTATTGTAAATGTAAATCCCCTTCTTCATTTTACGTAGACTGTGATAGGATAAGGTCAGCTGATGTCGTGCCTCGCACGTGGAATACCACCTGCCCCAATTGGCCAGCCCGAAGGACGCGTGTCGATGTCGATCCCTCGGCCGTACATGCATAAATGCATAACTATAAATGATCATGACAGGAGCCGTTCCTGAAGGCAACCTCGCAGCAAGCCAGAGACAGAGACATGCTGGAGGATAAGGATAATTTATAAGAAAGTCCGCCATGCATTTCTTCGCTCTCACCGCGACGCTTCTGCTCCCCCTGGCTTCTCAGGCCATCGATATCATCTCCTCTAATGATGACGGATGGGCAGAGGTCAACATTCGCTCGCTGTACAGCGCTCTGACCGCCGCTGGTCACTCCGTGGTGATTTCTGCCCCAGCCGAAAACGAAAGCGGTACCGGTATGTGCTTAATTCGATTATCAACATAGACATTTTTCCTGACACTTGCAGGCTCAAGCACTCGTACTCCCACCGTCTTGACCGAGGCGTGCGAGTTTGACAGCTGCCCCGTGGGCAGCCCCGCGTATGGCTATAACGCCTCACAGCCGCGCTTCAACTACGTCAACTCGTACCCGGCCACCTCGATCCAGTACGGCATCCAGAATCTGTCGACCAAGTTCTTCGACGGCGTGCCCGACCTCGCCGTGACGGGCCCTAACGTGGGCAACAACCTGGCTCTGACCGTGCTCTTCTCCGGCACGGTTGGTGCCGCCGTCTCAGCCGTAGAGAGTGGTATTCCTGCGATTGCATTCTCGGGAGATACGGGCTCGCAGACCGCGTGGAATGTGTCGCCTACACCACTGTACAGCCAGGTGTACGCGGAGCTCGCGACCACCCTGACAGACCATCTAATCGCATCGGGGGCACCTCCTTACCTGCCGCCCGACATCTGGCTGAACGTCAACTTCCCGGCCGTCAGCAACGACAGCTGCAACAGCGCCGACCAGTTCAGCTTCGTGCTTTCGCGCATCTACACGGCCGTTCCCCTGATCTCGGGTGCCGATGTGGAGACATGCGGCAGCACACGCCTGCCGACGGAGACTGCGGTCGTCGACACCGCTGGTTGTTACGTGGCTGTCTCGGTGGGCAACACTGACAAGCGGGATGGGAATGCCACCCAGCAGGCTGTGGTGTTGGACAAGCTGAGCGACCTGCTAGTGTGCCTGCCATAGCAGTAAATCTACCCTACCTGATTAGTGCGTGGTAGTAGTATAGTACATAATATATATAGCATATAGTGCATATAAAATTAGATATTCCTTAACAACATCTCAAATTGGCTAGGGTCGGTTATGAGCCATAGAACGCATGATTTTAGAAGAAAGCGGTCAGCTCACATTCTGCAATAGAACGGCAAGAACAGTCATGGAAAGGAAAAGAAACTCTTCAAAATTCTCTGGAATACAGTTTTCCGATATAAATATCTTGTTGGACCAGTATAAAGCTACACATATATTGATTTAATACTACGTCCCGTTGACTCAAATCTATGATATGGATGAGTCTAGGCTTATACACGAACTACTAGGTGCTTAGTGATGCTTTGAAATGGAAGCTTGCGTGCAAAAATCTAGAAATATGTGAATGGGAATCGATTATTGAGACAATATCTTCCCAGGGTAATGCGCTCTGTTTAGAGATCATATTTAAAGGAACTACGCCTAATACTGTATTCCTTAGCTCGTAAATATCATTGAATTGCAGTTATATACATGCGAAAGACCACATTTACCTCGACTTGAGCTTTTTTGCTAGCTTAAAGGCCATGTATAGAGAAGCAATCTAATGAGTCTTTTTATATTAATGATGCCGTATTTATAAAGAAGTTTTAATTTATAGAGTTATATAAGTCGATTATAGACTATTATTTAATAGCACTGCCGAGCTGACTGAATTCCATATCATAGCCCTGCGGCTTGAGCAATGCCAGGCTTCCTCTCCTCAAGAATCTTGAGTGTCTGCTCGTACGCCGTCTTCTGCACCCTGCGTCCAACGTCGGTATAGATCCACGACTCGACTTCTTGGTTTGCCCCATCGCTCTGGAACTCGCCGTGCGAAGTTGCGGGGGCAGAGGCTGCAAGCACAAACGTTCTAGCGCCAACCTCGGCCTTGCGGTCGAGAATACTGCGTAGGATACGGACGGCTAGAGGAGGTTTGATATCACTACGGCCAAGTGTAGATGTGCACAGGCCAGGGTTCACAATATTAATTATGACGGGCGGAACAGTGTCTGTGTTGGACTTGGACTGAAGCCGGAAGACTATTTCACGTGTGAGGAGGAGCTCAAGGAGCTTGGTCGCCTGGTACCTTTTAGATATTCCCCATCAGACATTAATATAAGTTTTTGGGGGGGTTTCCATAAGATCTCAAAATGTAATCCTTACCTGGGTTGCTGGCTGAAGGATGTCTCGTCATTCAACTTGGCGTACAAATCCGGAGCGTTGATCTCGGGAAATTTGGTCAGACGGTGTGCCTCAGAGCTGACAATGACAAGATGCGGTTGTGATCCGACGAAAAATTTATTTGTTTCATTGAGCTTAGGGAGCAGTGATAGGGCGAGCAAGAAGGTGTTAAGCACGTTCACCTGGACGGTTTGCTCAAACCCCTCGCACAGCGTCCAGACATTGGTGTTGATGCCAGCGTTCTCGACGACAACGTCGACACGCGGCAATTCGGTCTTGACGCGCTCAGCAAACTCGAGTGTCGAAGTAGTGCTGGAGAGATCCAGCGGCCAGACCTCGATAGCATCGGGGTCTTTGCGATGCTTAACGCTCCTGACAATGTCCTCCTTTGCAATCTCCCCTTTGGCGGGGCTGCGCACTGAGAGGATTAAGCGGGCACAGTTGAGTCGGTAGAAGTGGCGCGCAGCTTCGAGCCCAAGCCCTGCGTTTGCACCGCTGACGATTACCGTCTGATTTGTGAAGGGTTCTTCTGGATAGCGCGGTGTGACGAACAACTGCGAGTAGAAGAACGTGCGCAAGGCCGAACCAATCTTGGGTTCAATTGGAAATTCAACCCCTTTGTTTGACATTGTTTCAGTTTTTTTCTTTATTCTTTATTTTTTATTAATCTAGAGAAAATTGGTTCTCTCAGAATGTATCTACCGTTTGAGGCGAGTGGCAGGCTTTTGGTTGAATGAGTTGAATGTGGTCGAAGAATAATAATGATAAGAGAGCTTTATATGCATTCCATAATACTCAATAATCAATAATTAATTATCAGAAGAGAGTCAGGGAATAATGTTTGATTTATATTTCTCTCACCTCTCCGAAGAGAGAATGGCCGTTGCCTAAATAGGAAAATCAGATTATATACCTAACCTTATCTAGATAGGACCCACCATCGGCTCGCATTTCTCCAGGTAACAATTCCCCCAGAACTTGAGTGGACTAATTTCTTGGCTAAGATAGTGGGAGCAATTCCCTTAGTAACATTTGAAATTTGGATTATGGACTTCGATGCACAAGAAAGAATTCCCTCGATCCCTCTGATATAGGATATGGCAGCTGCTACCTAGGGATGTCATATTACCAAGAAATAACTAGCCACTCTGCTGCTTGTGTACATAAGATTCCATCCTGCAGCTGCTATAACAATAATCCCACGGGCCAACCACAGCCAGAAATAGACGGCCCGTAGGCTACACATCCTTTTCGTTGTCTTCTTCTCTGTATTCCATCTACTAGTCTCTATAATTCCCCCAACCCCTACGCATATAAGTGGCTTAACGCGAGGAATTTGTTTATACATTGAAACACTAGGCACTAGTTTGAAATAGGTAGTAGAAGGAATTAGGGGCTTAAACCCCTATCAAGCCTCTTAACGCCCACTGAAAATGAGATCTTCATAGCTTTAGTAAGTATTATTACAAGTTGTGACAGTTCGGGTAGCTCAGGCGGGTTGTCGAAACCCAGTCAAGACACCAGAAATTGCTTTGAAGATTCCTTTCTCATGCTTAGTTTTCGATAGAATAGCACCAATTTACTCATTAAATGACTGGCACCTCACAGAATCCCCTCAAACACTTTCAACCTCCTCAGTAATCTTCTTGGTGGTATTATCCAAGTCCTCGGGCTGGTTGAATAAATGCGCAATGTCTTCTAGGGAGCGTTGTCGGGTCTATAGTTCATCAAATCCTGTTAACAAACACACCAATGCGACTGGTAGAAAAAGAGGAGCGAGCGGGTAATTGTTATAGACATACCTCTGGACAATATAGCCAAACAAACACAAAACTCACAGCCGTACAAGCAATAAACACCGTATAATACCTCCATCCAATCTGAGCAAATGCCGTCGGAGCACATTGCAGGAATATAATTGTCGCCACGAAAAGCCCAGAGACGGAAACCGCCAGCCCCTTTGCGCGAACAGGAGTTGGGAAGATCTCAGATGCATAGATGTAGGAGGTGGCGTCGCAGGTAAGAGAGAAGCAGGTGATATGCAAGAAGAGAAAGAATACTGCGGCACTAGCTGCTGCTGTATTCGAGTTTCCCGATTTTTGATAAATGCTTAGACTGATGCATTCGCCAACGAGCGCGACGATTACGCCGGCAAATCCGGCCATTAATAGACGGGTGCGCCCGATTTTGTCCACGATAAGGGAGTTGAGAAAGTTGCCAATGGGGCACACGCTGATCCAGCCACTTTGGATTAGGAGTTGGGGGACAGTGCTGAAGCCGAGGCCGGCGTATAATGATGGTCCGTAGTCTGGGTTGAGTTAGAAAAGGTATACGATGTCAGTGATGAGTAGAGAAGACTGACTGTTAATTACCAGAGTTGCAGTTCCTTGACATGCAAACAATACACAGAACCCGATAAGGCATCTCTTGCGCATGGATGGGTCGTAGAATAGATCAGCAAAGGTATGTTTATCCTGTCTTTCTTGATATATAAGGGAACGAAGATTATTAAATTCCTCCATGACCGAAGTGGAAACATCAGCGTTAGAAGCCGATGGTTCCGTGTGAATAGCCTTGAAAGCGACTAGTGCATCCTCAATTTGGTCGCTATTGATCAGCCACCTAGGGGATTCGGGGAGAAAGAATATTCCGCATGCGAGCAAAAGCGGTGGCAGGCATTGGATTGCTAGTGGGAGTCGCCATTGTGATCCTGGTAGGTCAACAAAATAGAAACCGAGACCAATCCAACTAGCAAGTGCATATCCAATGCATATCATCACGCCATGAGTCCCGACTAGGAAGCCGCGGATCTGTGGAGGTGCGATCTCTGATTGATACAATGGAACGAGAGCAAGCAATGCTCCTAGAAAGAACATTTAGTCTGGATTACAGTCACGAAATATAGCAATTGACATATAGTCGAACTAGCCAAGAAAAGGGAGGTCGCTTACCAACACCCAGCCCTGTAATAAACCGGAAAACCAAGTACATAGCAATATGCACACTGCCCGCTTGCAAAGCACCACCAATAAGACTAACCAGGGCTGCAATGAAGATCGCTTTCTTGCGGCCCAGCATATCAGCAGACCCTATACACGAAAGAGACCCAAACAAACCACCAGCCTGAAATAGGCCATTGATGGCGCCTTCTAGTTGGGAGGCGTTTGGACGGGTGTCTAGAGCAAAGTAGGCAAGGAAAGAAGGCTGTCCAAGCGTGGTCGAGATGATGCTGGAGCAGTAGCCGTAGGTCAGACTACCCAGAGCGACAAAGCCCACAATCTGAAATTAGAATTTAGCTGTGGTTTCTGTTGCAAGTTTTCTATCCAAAGAAAAAAGACGCTTACTAGAATGTGAAAGGCAGAAAGCGATAGTACCATGGTGAATACTAGTATACGAAGTATATCTATCGAATTGTTTATGGACCTGGGGGAATAAAAAATGCGGGGGAGTCTGGAGAATATTATGTATCTTGGGGGGGTGGGGGCACCGGGGAGAGTTACGAATCCTTACAATCAGGGGTTGTAATATGTTGAGTCACCGAAAGTTACCTCCATCAATTTCTGGGGCACCTTCGGATCAATGGAAATCTGCTTTCAGTTCGGCGTCTTAAAACCCTTTATCACATCTTAAAGTGGAGGACGCTCGGCCTCTCGGCATTTCCCTCTACAAAATCATACACCGGGCCGATAAAGTTTAAACATCTTGTTCATATTCTGTTATTGCATTAAAATTATTCTTCTCTAACATTATCAATCTTTTCCTCAATAGAGCATAATTAAATGTCAAATGAAAAGTTACCTTTATAATTTAGATTTTGAGTTAGTGACGCATATGAGATTCAGAGTCTGATTGGCATTTGGAATAAATTCTAATTCATCTATCAACTATAAAAGCACAGCTTTTGACCTCAATATGCTATCCTGTTGATAGATACATTCATACTCGAAGGATAACCTTCCTAGCCTTGTGCTGTGCAAACATCGCAAAGCCTTCCGAAGCGTCCTTCAGGTCCAACTCATGAGAAACGTAAGTTTTCAATTTAGCTTCGTTTTGTTTGAGACACTCAAGGGCGTCATTGAATACAGTCCGTACAGGGACACGACCAAAGTTCACACTGCAGCCGTACTTCAGTCAACAATCTTATCCCCTTAAATAACATTATGATGGATACTTACGTGATGTTCTTCAAGTAACAATCAAGCCCCGTGAAAGGTAGCTCTGATTGATGGAAACCCACAGAAGACAGTATCCCGCAGGGCCGTAGTAAATTGAACGCAGAACGAAGAGCGTCTTGATTTCCGACTACTTCGACAACTGCATCTGCCCCTCGACCATCTGTAACAGCCATTATTGTTTCCTCGATATCATCTTGTCCAAGTTTGAGGGAAGTCGCACCCAATTGCTCTGCTTCTTTCAGGCGATCTTCGACGCTGTCAACAGCGTAGATCCTCCTTACTCCTTTGGATAGGATCGTTGCGATTGCACAAATTCCCACCGGTCCACATCCTAGAACCACAATTGTCTGATCAAAGAGTAATTTAGATTTACCTAACGTGTCTTCTGAGGTAGCTGGTGTATTCTTAGAAAACCCATTGGTAGCCTTCTGAGAGAAACTGGTCAACGGCGACTCAAGCTGATTGCAAAGTCCTTCGATTGCGCGACTGGCGCCGTAGTAACCTGTCGGGAATATATCACACATCATAATTAAAAGTCGGTCGTCCAATTCCGGAGGGACACGCTGTAATGTGCCATCTGCAAAAGGAACACGAACGAACTCAGCCTGGCCTCCGTCCAGCTGTTGGGTGCCAAAAGCCGTTCCTTCGACACATCGATTGGTAAGTCCTCTCACACAATACCAACATTTCATACTGATATAAAATAATTCTGATTAGCCACTTCCATATTGATGCTCGAAACAGAATATTGAAAGCTTCAGTTACCAGACTGGTGAAAATATAGCTACAACGGAGTCGCCAGGCTGGAAGTCAATGACTTTGCCGCCCACTTGCTCAACAGTTCCAACAAATTCATGGCCCTATATGATATTACACACAAAGTTAATTTTATGCTTGGACAGATATAAATGCGCCACTTACCATTATATGTCCCGTACCAGTTTTCTGGTGGCCGCGATACATGTGAAGCTCGCTGATTTTAGGACGATAAGTAAGCGACAAAAAATCATCAATTGATTTGGCTCTTTGAACACACCTTCCACATATTCCTGCTGATTTGACACGTACAATTGCATCAGTCTGTTGTTTTATTTGAGGCTTTGCTTTTCTTTCAACGGAAATGTTGAATGGCCCGCGAAATACAACGGCATTCATTGTCTGGATGGCCATAATGAATTGGATTTTAAGTGAGTAGTAGTTTTCGAGCGACCAATTAATCATGAACAACCACTGATATAAATCACTTGAGTCCAGAGTCATTGTAAGTGGCTGTAACTGTTCGGCTTCTTCGGCGTTTAGAGCATGATCAAGATGCCGAACCAAACCCTTATTAGGGTCATCGGAATACGTCACGCTGGTCTTCATTCCATCTGACCCAAAACGTTTTCAATATTTTGAAAAATAAATAAAGGTTTCTTCTTATAAATTATTCTATTTCTTAAAAGGCATTTATCTATACTGTTGAAGGCCGCCCTTTCATCTATCTAGGTTTTGCTCTTCAATCCGGTCTAATTCGCCCGATTCCCAAAACAGCAATACCCAGAATCCGATATCAGAATATCACAATGAGTGACGCTTTAATTGGGCTTCCTATTCCAATATCCTTCAGAAAGCTTTACATCAATGGCGCGTATACGGAATCACATTCTCAACAAACACTTTCCATATACAACCCTAAAGATGATACATTAGTCGCAACAGAAATTCCCATCGCTGATGCATACGACGTCGATCTCGCTGTAACAAATGCTGAAACTGCTTTCAATGGCCCATGGGCATCATTTACTGCGTCGCAACGAGCAGAGTGTTTTTACCGTCTGGCAGACCTTCTCGATAAACGCCTCCCGATGATACTCCGACTTGACTCGTTGACAACCGGAAATCCAGTATCTTTGATCCCGACAAGAGAAAAGGGCTATATCAGAAATTGCCTCCTTTATTATGGTCTGTACACATTCTATGATATTCGTTGTGAACATTACTTACTCAAGGCTACTATCTAGCCGGCTGGACCGATAAGATGCGAGGAGATTATTACCCTGCTGACGACGGATTTGTGAAACTGGTTCGCCATGAACCATTAGGGTAAATATTAATGGGTTTGGCAAAGTCAGGAGAATATATAACTAATCCAATTTCCCCATCAGTGTATGCGCTGCTATCAATCCATTTAACTCCCCTGTGGCATCGCTGTTTATCAAGGCGGCGCCTTGCCTGGCAACTGGCAACGTGCTTATAATAAAACCGTCAGAAAAAAGCCCCCTTGGCTCACTAGCTGTTGGACCTTTATTTGAAGAGGCGGGATTTCCTCCTGGAGTTGTACAGGTCTTAACCGGCGACGGCAGCACAGGGGCGCTTCTTGCCAGACATATGCGGGTCAGAAAGGTAAACGGGAGTCCCTCAATATAAATTTTTTTTCGCAGTATATCATTGCTAACTCTCTTCATCAAACATCCAGATTAGCTTCACGGGAAGCATAGCAACTGGTAAAAAAATACAAGTAGCGGCTGCTGAGAGTAATCTCAAACGCGTGACTCTCGAACTAGGTCGGTTTATATTTCTCTATTATTCAATCTTTTCTCAAGAGAATTCTTCGCTTAATCTGCATTTTGGACAGGCGGTAAAAGCCCAGCTGTGGTATTTGATGATGCCGATTTGAAGAATGCTGTAGATTGGTGAGTTGTCTTACAAAGAAGGTTTGTGACCAATATTAATTGGTATATGCAGGACTCTCAATGGTATACTTGCCCGCAGTGGACAGGTCTGCGTGGCATCATCTCGTATTTACGTACAAAAGTCAATTGCCAACGAATTTATTAAGCAATACACAGAGCGTATGAAAGCCGCTGCTACAGGTTTTGGAGATCCTCAAATACCAGAAACAAAATATGGTCCCCTTGCAGATTCACCTTCATTTGAAAGAGTTCAAGGAATGATAATGCGTGGAAAGAAGGAGGCAGATCTGGTAGTTGGTGGGAACAGAATCGGAGATGTCGGGTGCTTTATTGAACCTACAGTTTTTCTTAATCCAAAGGACGATGCTGAGATCTATAGAAACGAAGTATTTGGTCCAGTTGCTGTGATTAAATCTTTTGATACGGAAGAGGAGGTGGTCTCGTTGGCAAATGATACAGAATACGGACTAATGGCAGGCGTGTTCACAAAGGATATCAATCGTGCATTGAGAGTATCTCAACGAATTGATTCTGGTGTTGTTGGTATCAACTGTATCAGTGTCATGAACATTCAAGCCCCATTTGGCGGCAAGAAGGCTTCAGGGTATGGAAGGGAATTCGGAGAATATGTAAGACTCCATCTAAGATTTCTTAATAGAAGCTAACCGTGTCCTTATAGGCGCTGAGAGTCTTCACTGAACCAAAGACCATCCTTATCAAGTAAGTTCGTCTCCTCTATTTTTGTAAGGTAATGCTAACTAGATTGTGTAGTATGATGAGTTCCTGATGGGTTTAAATTTTAAACAATTCAAATTTGGCGATCGAGTAAATTCTGATTGCTGGATCATATATTGTCATAGTTTACTTTTTTAAGTCTACACCAGATTTGAGAGTAACATGTTCAATGTTGATGTGTTTGAGATTTATTCTCCGTCAAGTCTTTCCAATTATGTATCAATTTATCTATCATTGTCATGTCAAGATCGACATCAGACTCTTTTACTAGCCTTACAGGCCAATAGTACGAGCATTAGTTGATAGCAATAGTTAAATCCGATCACAGACAATCTATATTCAAATAATTTGTTTCAGTCTCTTTGGCCGTCAACTTTGATGGATGGGGGGGGCTTCAAAGAGTCGAACAATATCAATAAAGAAGACATCCAATCTTGTAAATATACTTACATGATCTGCTCAAGTACTAAACGAGCACTGAAGAGTAAAACAGCAAATGATATAATCAAATTCTACCTCGTGCCAGAAATCGAACGGGTACATCCACAATCCGACTCCTGATGTATTCGCCAATGCCTTTTCCTAGTCCATCGATGCGTGCAGAGCTAGCGATCCCACCACCTAAGAAATCCAAGACACGAAAATGGACCGCCAAAATATTTGGGAATTCGCATCTCTCAATACTCCGTTTAATCCCCGTTTCAGTCAAGTCTTTCCAATCGTTTCCTAACAATTTTTTGAAGCAAGATATCGTTAAGAATGATTGAAGCCATGGATACTCATCTTCATGTCGAACAAAGATACCTACATTGAAATTATCGGCTTTGTCTCCAGATCTTGCATGAACAATACTTCCTAGTGGTGCACGTTCGGTAGGGCCGAAATAATCAAGAGATACCGGACTATCCGTTTCATATGAAGGTCTTTGCAATTGATATTCAGACGTAAGCACTGGTGGCGGTATTTCGATTGTTTTTCCCGATGATAACTTGACAGTTTGTTTGATTAAACACTGAGAAACGATAACGGGGAAGATCTCCATGAATGGCTTTGGATCCATTGTGCGAAAGTCAAGATTCATATGATAGCCTGTGGTTACTTCATCAGGCAAAGACGTTGTTGTAATAAGATTTATTGTTGGTGTTGTCGAAAAGTGAAACACGTACCTGGATAACTCTGCATTCTAAGAGCATAAATTGGAGTCTTGAACTTGTCACTTGATATGTCTTTCTTCTCTCGGGCTTGGGCAAATACGCGGAGGGAAACAGTCCCTGCTTGCTGGCTTTGTGGATCGCTTGTAGGTGTTCCATATACTTCTACGGAAAATTTGCTAAAGTTGTTGTTTCGAAAAGCACTTTTCAACTGTTGTTTCATCATTTGCGCTTTTTCCGGAACGTCAAGCCCATTGATGTAGAAAGTTGCCTCCGCCTGGTAACCACCCGGCGCAGCAATCATGGCTTTGGTTGTAGCTGGTGGTGGCATGCCCTTGACGCCGTCAACAGTAACTCTGTCTGGTGCTGTTTGGGTAACTCGGATTTCTTGTAAATCAGCAACGGTGTCCGGGTTTAAATACAGCTCGCCTTGCAGTTCGTATAATAACTGTGCGATTGTATTGAATTTGGTAATGGCTCCTCCATATTGCTCAATTTTCGTAATTGTGCACGCTCCAGTATCATCAATCTCGGCAATAGGGAAAGATAGGTCGACTAGTTGCGGTAAGAAATCCTTGAAGCCAGAGAAATTAGCCCCGGTAATATATGGGCCACATTCAATAAGATCTATCCATGGTCAGTTGGTGAATAATTGGAGTTAAATATCTCACATACGTCCAGCTACAAGAGCTCCAGCAAGTTTGTTCCAGTCATCTTTCTTCCAGCCGTACCACCATGCAGCGGCACCGATAACTGGTGATGCATCTGTTACTCTGCCGCAAATTACTATCTGCGCACCGTGTTGTAGAGCCTCATAAATACCCCAAGCGCCTATATACGCAACACCACAGTGAGGTCTCAATTTCCAATCTCTCAATCGCCAGTCTTCGTGGTCTAGGTGATGTAACCCTGAGTTGTGCTCCAATCCATCGGAATTTGTGACTAAATCTGATATGTCATCACCCAGAACTTGAGCAACAATGACTTGTTCGCATCCTTTTCTTCGACATAACTCCTCTACTTCTCTCGCGAGAGATGGTGTATTCAGTGCGCCGGCATTTGTAATAACTTTGATGCCCCGTTCTATCACAACGTCCAGACTTTCGACCAGTTGGGATAAAAACCCTGATTCATATCCAAGTTCCGGATCCTGACTTTTGGTGATAGCATTCCATGCAATATTCATTTCTGAAAGCCAATCACCCACGATCACATCGACATTACCATGACGTGCCATGCGGGACATAGCGGTTGGACTGTCACCTGTGGCGCCAGAGACGTTACCAACACGGAGACATTTTTTAGCTGTCATCTTGAGTAGTATCATGTAAGGGCGGCCTAAAAATTATGAAAATGGCAAATTAATATCAGCAATTCGAAGTAAGCTAGGATTGGCACATATGTAAAGTGAATGTATACCAATTTAGAAATCTATAGGTCGGTCACATGTACTAATAAAGAAAAGGTGGCACTTGAAGAGCCCATTATTTGAAATTATTTGCTATCAATGAGTAAAGACTAGTTCAATATGGAGGGGAATTACCGAGGGTAATCATAACATTGGAGCTGTGTGCTTGTTGAAACTCCTCTCGGCATCTCAAAGATATCGGAGTTTATGTCCGATTCACTTCGGCGACGACGCCGAAATTGTGGCAAATTCAACACTCCTCCCAATCCAATATCAATAGCCAATTAACAATATATCACTCAATTTCGGCTTTTTATCAGCAACTTAGCCTTGTCATCAATGGGGTGACCATCGGACTCAATGACCCGCAATCGCATTGAGGAATCGGTTCCGAGACAGCGCGTCGCCTGCCGCCGTTGCAATACCAAGAAGATCAAGTGCAATGCAAGTGGAGAGACGGCATGCAATAACTGTCTTGCATCCAATACTGAATGCATCCTGATCAATTCCCAACGCGGAAGGTAAGCCAGCTTACTCAATTTGAAAGATGATGACCTGTGGACTAAAACAGACATGCATTTCCATAGATACACCCGCCGTCATACCCGGACACGCGCGGCGAATGTACCGACATTGTCACAGCAGCAGAAGGCTAGCATCGCAGTAGACGCCCGTCCTACAGGTTCAAAAGTACACTCCCCGATATTGCCCTCTTACCAGCCACAAGTTAGGTCTCCTCAGGTTGGAAGTGACGGGTCTACAAGCGTTGCAGACCGGGATCCTAACGGGGCATTTTACCTGCATATTGCAGATCAGACGGTCAACCCGACCAACAACCAACGTATTACCGATAAAGTGCGCACTTTATTTCTAGGCGAATCTTTCAGCCTCACTTACGTCGTCCATGATGTACTCTCTCCATTCTTAAGCAATGCTCCCCGCTACAAAAAAAGACTACACTTCCCCATAGGTGAGGGATATGATCCATCAGTTGTGGGACAGCACGATATTGTTCAGAACCAGAGAATCTTATTACAGGAGCGTAATCTGCTTTATCAACTGGAACCCTCAACCCTAGAACGTTTGCTTGGTGTTTTCTTCCGATGGTTTAACCCAGCATTTCCGATCCTCAACCCATCAGAATGCATGCAGAACTGCCGACAAAATGAAATGTCCCTTTTGGTGCTGAATGCCGTTTTGATGGTGACAGTCACCATCTGTGATGACGAAGAGCTCGCACTTACACGCTTAGAAAACCGGCATCAAGCGAGGGCGGTGTTTTATCATCAGGCGAAGACACTTTTCGACTCTGACATGGAGCCGGATAAAATTAACAGCGTCATCGCCGTGTTTTTCTTGAGCTTCTGGTGGGGAGGGCCAAATGATGAGAAGGACTCATGGTACTGGCTGGGAATTGCGATTGGACTAGCGCAAAGCTTGGGAATGCATCGATCGTAAGTACCTGGTATTGTAAATGGGGAAATCGACTTTTTAATTATAGTTTGGGTTTCAGAACAGCAAGATCTCACATGAGTGAGCGCACCGCTCGTCAATGGAGACGGATCTGGTGGTCATTACGAGTAAGTTCCATATAACCCAAATTAAATCAATGACCTTGTTCGACATGCTAAATCCCTAACCGGTTCGAGATGTTCTCACAAGTGGCTCTATAGGTCGTCCTCAACATTTTTCTGAGCGCGATTGCGATGTAGAGATGTTGGAACTCGAGGATATTTATGATATATATACGGAAGAGGATTCGGAACAAGCGCATTATGCACACCAAATTGCGCGCTTGTCAATTATATGCAAGTATTTGCCTTTTCCTAAAGAAAACGGAGAGCTGATCATTAGAAATGTAGTCAGCAATATCATTGTTTCACGATACGCGGCTCGCCACGCGGATTCACTCAGTCAGAAAATCAATCTAGAGAAAGCACTGGACAACTTTCGTGAGCAGATACCACGCCCTCTCCAGTATTCTGGTATCAACCCTGATTCCAAAAAGGGTTTATGGTCAGCGATGTTATTAATGGCTTTCAAGTGAGTCCACTCTTCATCATGAGAGCTGAATTTCAAATTAAACCACAATTCTTTCAAGTTTTGGAGTTATCCTTCTCTCTCGGCCGCCTCGGAGTATCGATATCGACACAGTCATAAATCCTGAGTCGTGGGGAAATCATTTAATGGCACAGTCAGCATCGAATGAGGTTACAAGACTTATGGAAGACCTACTTTCAGCAGGAATGGGAAGACTGTGTCAAATTCATACGTGAGTTTCACAGACCATTCAGCATAGTCAAGGCGAGTTTATTAATGGTGTCGCGCTATAGTATACCGGCGTTATTCAACGCCCTCGCAATGCATGTTTTCTCTATATGCATGTCCGGTGCTATCGGTCGAGAATTGGCTGAAAACCGTGCTCGGACATGTATGCTCGGGCTGCGGTGTCTGCAAGAATCCTGGCCTGTTAGCGGATGGATTCTCAAGCTATGGGTGGATATAATGGAGAGATTAAAAGCTAAGCTCAGCTGTACACCAGCTTCAAGTGATATCGTCCCTCATTCCGCCTATCGTGGACGAGATGTGGTAGGGGACTTTACGACGCAACAGCTACGGACACAGCTGAATAGCAATGGTTCACCGGTATCACCGTCACTACCAACGACTGCTGCGCCGCCTATAAATGGCGGCTTTGATGATATGGGAACTTTTAGAAGTAATAATACCCGTCTGAATCCATGGGTGCTTCCAAATAACGATTACACGCCTGGCCAGGACCAACTTTTGCCCAACATGTTTGTTCTTGATTGTTTCTCCCAAGACCCGGTAGCGGAGCAACTGAGCTTCTTTGACTCGTTGAATGTTCCTGATTGGGATAATATATAGAGTAAACCTTATCGTTGATCCAGAATCACGAGTCCTGAAAGAGGGCTGGTTCCTGTGGACTAGAGTATATATAGTCTAGTCTCGTCATGCAGTCTGCCTCGCGCTCGAAATCTTTTTATTTGGGGTTATTTTACAGGTCTGCGCTTTTTTATTGGGTTATGCAAACCAATACAATCACATAATGAACGTGTATCGCTAAGGCTGAGCTCTTGCAGTCGATCCGTGTATTTGCTTTTTTTCAGATATAAACACTAAGCATAGACCTTGCCCTAACACAATAAGTTCATTGTTAGTCAACATTGAAGTTAAGGCCACATATATGTCGACAGCAACATTTGAAATGCTATCAATTGATATGTTTTTTAAGTATATATAAAATCTTGAGAATAATGTAGATATTCCGCAGTCTAGCAATTATTTTCTACTACTGCCGTTAAGTTTTTGACGAAAAAAACCCAATTATCGACATAAGCAATGCTTGGTTTCCATGAGATAGAGAGAAAAAGAGGAAATTGGTAATGGTTATCAATCCTTCTCCTTTCTGTGTCCATTCACATCCACATATCAACTGATGAAACTCCTATCAACTGACAAGATTCCACCTCCTGAAATCATTCCCTCGATCGGTTGTTTCCCCTCTCAACCAATCCAACCCACGACGTCGTCATCATATGGTGCTGTCTTTTAAACAGATAAAAGGAGAAGAAAGAGCAAAGAACTATAGTGTAACATACAGCGTGAGGAATAAAGTGTAACCGAAAACCCCAAAGCAGATGAACCCTTGTAAAAGGTTTGGGGATTAGTCGAGAAACCACCGGGATGGAAAAGGAGTACATAGAAAGAAATCTGGTGAGAAAGGGGGTGAAAATCAGGCAATTTACATAATTATAACCAGGGGAACATGATCATGAGTAATAATCGAATGCGACAAGGGGGGTGTTAAAGGATAATAGATAATAAAAGCAGAAAAGAAAAAGAAAGACCTCAGGCCCGCTATGCTAGAAACAAAACAAAACCAGTAAAGCAAGTTTTAAGACAACCAAAGCTGCCCCTGGTCAGGGGAACTTCAAGATGGGGAAAAAGACAAGGGAAAAAGGTCAAGTCGCAAGAAACCAAACGAAATTTGATACAAGAATCGAGTGCCGCGCTAGAAAACTTTTTTCCAAATCGCGAAATTTTATGATCGCAACGAACATATCGTCAGCTAATACCGTGTCGTAATTTTAAAGATTGCATGTGATAAATATCGTAGAGTTCTTTGCTGGAAATCGTCCCGTGTTGGTGTTATTCATACCATCAGCTGTCTGGCATCACTTAAGCAGCCTGGGGCTGGCTGCGACCCTTGTTGACATTACCGCCGCGGCCGCCGCGAGATGCAAATCCGCCACGAGCTTGATCGCGCTGGAAGTTGCCGCCACGGCCCTGGCTACCAGCACGGCCATCAGAGCGGCCACGGTTGGCACCACCGCGACTAGCAGGGAAACCGTTGCTGCTAGCGTTACCAGCGCGAATACGGCGCTCTTCCACAGTGATCTGCTCGGTGCCGATCTGGTGAGGGTTCGCAGCAACGGCGGCGTTGTACGAAGCTTGGTCGGCAAAGTCAACAAAAGCGCAGTTCTGGATGTAAAGTTAGCGATGACTATACTTGAATTATGTGGGAATGCATACCCTAGCGCGGTTGACATCAAAGTGAGTCAACTTGCCGAAGCGAGACAGAACAGTCTTCAATAAAGCAGCGTCAACCTTCTCGTTGACATTCTTGATATAAGCCGGGTGCTTGTGCTCGTCGCCAGAGCGAGCCTGTTTCTTGTTGTGCTCATGGCCAGCAGTTTGCCACCCAGCCCCATCAATTGAAGACTCCTGACTAGCAGTCGATGACTCAGCGACAGCAGGTTGTTCCGGCTGCGGTTGAGCATTTTGAGCTGGCAGAGCAGGCGCTACTGAAGGCGAAGGAGCAGCAGTCTTGGCCTGGGCTGTAGAAGCAGCCGCAATAGCGGCAGCAGCGGAAGCACGCTTGTTGGCGGAAGCAATGCTAGCCCACGTCTTGGGAACAGACTTGGCAGGAACAGCAGGCTCCTTCTTAGCAGCTGCTGCGGCCTCCTTGGGGGCGCTGGCAGCCGGGGTGGGTTGAGGCTTCTCGGCCTTGGGCACCTCGGGCTCAGTGGGAACAACAGGGACCGCAGGGGTCACAGGAACAGCAGGCTTTTCCGGGGTTGCAATTCCGTTAACCGAAGCAGCCTCAGATTTCTCGACCTCACTGTCGGTAGTAGAAGTGACAGTCTCAGCCACTGATTCTTCAACATTTGCTGGAGCGGCAACGGCCGGTTCAGGCTCCGGTGCAACCCCGGGGTGGGAGACGGAGGTATCCTGAAGCTCAGCAGCCTCTTCTGGTTCGGCTTGGGCAGTCTCGCCAGAGACAAATTCCTCCTCGTCGTCTGCAAGGTAGCGGAAGATGTCATTGAGCACATAGTATCCGTTTGGTTGTTCGGCAAGAACGAATGTCTGAGTGAACTTGCGGGAAGGTTCGGAGCGGTTGGAGATTTCGCCGATAACAGCGACGAGGATGTTTTCGAACGAGGCCTGGGAATCGACGTTCAAGACACGAACCTTACAGTCATGGAAATCGAGTGCCTTAATTTTCTCGTTGATGGCCTACGTAGCAATATTAGCGCACAAGATACCCATAATCAGTGATGCTTCGCCTTTACCTTTTGACCAACAGCGACTGGGACGGACTCGGCCTCAGTTCCAAAAACAAAGTGAGAGTGTCGAGAGTAAAATAGAGGCAGCTTCTCTGGGTTGCGACTCATAGTAGTATAGTATTGCTCGACGAAGTACCAGCCTACCTCATCCTTAGGAATCTCATTCTTGCCCTCCTGCAAGGAAGGGCCGTTTGAGGGAGTACCAGTTGGCGCCGGGTGGTAGCTGTTACCCACGGGATTGACGGCGGCATGAGAAACGTAGGAGTCAGGGTACGGGTGAGGAGTAGCATAGGTGCCATTGATAGGAGCCTGAGTCGTGTCGGCCATCATGAAATGCTGTGTGTGGAATGAGATCTAATCTAGCTCGTCTAGGTTGGAAGTGAGATGTTGTCGGAGTGATGATGGCAGTGTCGAGCTCAACGTCGCGTCTGAAATATGAAATATGAATCTAAAGTACGGGCGCTCTTTGTCGACACGTCACAGACCTAACAACGAAATGGTCAGTACAAGCACGAGTGAGTAATGAAAGCCCGCTGCAAGAATAGGCTGTGCTTACCCAAAGAGGAATATGGATCAATGCAATTTTAAATCTCAGAAAGGTGAGAAGGAAAGGTAGATGGAAGCTTTGCCGCGCTAAATGCTAAGAATCGCAGGAGGGCAGCGGGGATTGTGTGAGCGACTGGAGTTAGGACTTTGGCAAACGGAGAAAAAGTTTCTTCGAGGCGAAAGCAGGCTAAGAAGGGACAGGAGGGCGGCGGCGCTGATGGATAAGGGGAGTCAAGAAAGGATAGCCTTGTCGAGATCAGAGAGGAAGGGTCTCGTGGAGGGCGAAGTGAAGAAAGAAGCGAGTCTGGAGACTTTTGGATGGTGGAGGAGGTCGAGCGAGGAGCGGAAAGTGCGAGGTCGCTGGCCCGTCACAAATTATGTCCCTAACCCCGATGTGGGCCCGTGCACGCGGTGGTGACTAAGGCGACAAGGCATCTCTTATATTATGCCATCTATTGATGTCAATGATGATAGTATATACACCTCGCTTTGACATGGAAGTCATTGAACAAGTCATTTGAGTAAGAAATTGATCTTGACATTGATATTGATATTGATATTGATTTCAATACGCTGGTCTCACTATGGTCTGTACCGCAACACCAAAGAATATCAGTCAAACTGATCCAATCAACGAATAAATGAGCATAGCAGGTATATATAAGAGAGCATTTGCAGGAAGAATGGAGACGCCAATCATAACCAAGGAGGTCGTCGTTGAAGCCGTAGACAATATGCCGGGTAAACCAAGAACAAAGATAGACAAGGAAAGATAGACAAAGATAGACGCAGAAAGATTGAGCATATGTGTGCATGTATATCGTCCTGATCAGCAGATCAACATTATGCAGTGGAAAACACGCAAGAAAGAAGCAGCCGATCAATTCTCCAAAGCCTTCTTCTCGTCCAATATCACAGGTTTCCGCATGACGGCGTCTTGGCCCGTCATCCTCCGGCCGAGCGCACGTTCGACTTTGGCACCGAGAGCCAACTTGTTCAGGTTGTCAGATTTCTCTGCGCTGGGTATGAATCGCTGTTGTTCGAGCGGTTTGCTCTCGAGGCGGTCGAGGCCTTCGGAGTATTCTTTGATTTCGGCCATTCGTGGGTCGCCGCTAGGCAGCGTGCTGGTAGTACCGTCTGAGGCCGCGAGCGAGGGGACGCCGCTATATGTTGAGAAGCGCTTTGATTCGTGGTGCTATGGCGAAATCAGTCGATGCTTAGTAGCCAGAGACCGCAATAGGTCCATGAGAGAATAGGTAGAAGAGAGAAGGTGCAGTGGTGGGTGACGTGAATGGGAGGAGGCAGGATATCAAACCAGGGGGCGTACCGATGGAGCCATAATAGGCCTCTCCGAGTCCAGGGAAACGCGAGCCATCTCCTATTTATTCTTGACACGGACAGCAAATGGTGCAAAGAGAACCAAGCGTGCAGGTGGAAAACCAGTGGGTGACAAATGTCAATCGAAGGCAGTATTAGGCAAGACCCTATTTTTCCCCTTGCCCACTTTTTTTTTTTCTCCCTCCAGCCGAACACGATTGTTATTGGTATGAGCCGAGTAAAAGCAGAAGTCAGAGGAGCGGTAAAAATGCGATGTGACGAATTTGTGACAAGTCACTGCCGATTATTATTCTTCTTCTTGCCAGTGGTGTGGAGGTGGGAGAGGGGGATGCCAATGCCGATGGAGTCGCCGGGCTCCCCCCAAGCTCTGGGCGCGCGAATGAAAGAGGGGCTGCCTGTTAGTTCGTCGTCTTAAAGCCACATCCGATGGCGATCAACGAGTCTCTTCGACGCAAAGTTCACAGACCGCCCGGAAGACGTTCCTGCCCTTAATGCTAGACCTCGTGGCCGCACGAGACTCTTGCTAAATGCCAATTTTACCGGCTTGCACATGCATGTATAGTCGGTAGACGTTTCGAGTTCCAATTTTCCCCAGCCATCCGGCAACGATGAACTTGTGAAACCAGTCATGTGTGCGATACCACGAAATCCGAAAAACGGGGTGTGTTGCAATAAGCAGGCTACTGCATAGAATCGCCATTAAGCCCTTCTCAGGCCATCAATTGATCCGTTATCATGGCTGGTGAAACAAGGCTTGCATTGCGGGTGGAGTTCAGCCTTCAAATGATAATCTGGCCCCTTTCGCCACGTGTTGCGACTCGCATCCGGAAGCAGAGGAGAAAGTAAGCAAATCAGTGAATAAGGCTTTGTATTCCACGTGCGACTGTATTTTAGCCTGAGATCTAGTTCCCTTTCAATATCCACGAGTCGCGAACCTAGGGGAACAGCCGACAAAGAGTCAAAGACACAGGCATTGCACACAATGGCTTCTCTGCCCCACAGCCGTCAACGGGGCTCGTAGCACTTTCTGACTGTTTGCGTCTTGTCTCAGTCTGCGACTGTGGTTCCCTACGTTGACCTGCGTGATTGTACTCCATGGTAGCACCAGACATGTCCAAATACGTATGTAATCAACAGATCGACCAGGCTATTGCCGCTATTGAGCGGCTATTCTCAATACTGCTAATATTGAATCCCCCGATTGCCGTTCTACACGTAGCATCTGTCTGACATCGCACACTTCGGTGCCGGAAAATCGTTCGGCATGGAAAGCATCTAAGTTAGGCAATAATTACCGACTCCTGAATCATAGTAAACCTTTGTAGCTCTGCATATCTATGTCGGTAGAGAGAATAGTGAGAATAGTCATGTCCAATCAGAAGCCGTGCACCATGTGATGTCCCTACTCCTTCACCGCCTCACGTGCGCGCCGACCGCCACTTTTGGGCTGGCAGATAAACCGTACTTCATTGGCTGAATATTGGGTATGTCGCCTCATGCGGGGGAGTCGATGATGATAGCTTTTTATTTTTTATTTTATGATATCGTTCCTTTTAAGCCATAATCATATATCAGCTAATCACGAAATGCCAAAACCAAAATCACTTCTCAAGGAAGCTGGCGGTGGGAAGAATAAGCAGAAGAAGAAAGGCCGTCACCAGCCTGTGAGTTTAGCTCTGGTTGAAAATATACAAAAACATAGACGACATTGGATTTGATCTTCTGACGTATGACGTGCTTCCATTGCTATAGGACCCTGAAACAGCTGATGAATTTCTAGCTGGTGAGATAGAAATTAATTAATTAATTAATTTATTTTTTTTTTGGAAACTAATCATGAATGCAGCTGGCGTCGAGCAGGAAGAAGGCGGCGAGAAATGGCGAGCCGGTGATGCCGTCAAGGCGATGCGCTTTTTCATGCGCGCCATTGAGATTTACGACAACGGTCTGAATAAATACCCCAAATCATTTGATTTGGCTTACAACAAGTAAGATCAAATTCAATATTGTTGATGGTTAAAAAAGACTAGGAAGTGAGTTGACTGGTTTGTCTAACTAGAGCTCGAGTTCAATACGAAATCACCCAACATCCCAAACTCGCTACCCAACTGCCCGCACCACAGGCGAAGATACTCCAGATTGCGCTCCAGTCTCACCGGGAGGCGCTCGTTCTTGAGCAAGATAATGCCGATGTTCTATTTAATACGGCGCAGGTCCTCACGAGTCTTGCCGAGAGTTTGACCGAATCCAAACGTCCCAAAGAAAGTCACCTACAAGAAGCACTCAAGTATTTGCAGGAGGCATTGGAGTTGTTTCAAAGATGTCTAGTACTTCAAGAGCTTCGGTATACGGAATCCCAGGAACAAATTGAAATGATGGAATCGGGTGAATATGCAGATACCGCCGGTAATACTGGCGGGGAGGACTTGGCCCAAAATGCACCGGAAGAACAGACAGGAGATGAATCGTCAGGCGAGGAAGAGTGGGCCGCAGTGATTGAGCCAGTGACCAAGAATACACTGGTCGACACAGCCGTGGCGCAGCTGGAAACCCTGTCCACACTATGCAGCCTTCTTGCGTTAGATGGGCACAATGGCTTAGCTTGGGTCGAGGAGTACTCGTACGATTTATTGAAGACAAAAATCGCGGCCTATGTTGAAGGGACAGATAGGGAAGACGAAGTTGCTCTAGCTCGTGCGCAGTTCGTGGCTGCCTTGACGGAAATACTATATAGGAGTGGGAGGATTGATGTGGAAACGTATCAAAGGGAGCTCAGCAACGCATTTCCACCCGAGCTTGATTTGTCGGATGATCCCGAAGGTCTGTGTAGCAAAGCCGAAGCTCTCACCTCTTTCAACTCTGCGATTTCCGACAACCCTCCAGTATCCAGCGATGAGGAATTGCAAAGATCGGTGACCTTGCGCTGGCAAGGACTGACCACGGCACTGGAAGCATTGACTGCAAGTTCAAAGCTGGCGACAACTGATAATGTCTGGAAGGTACATATTGCCAGAGGAGACACTGAAATGTCGCGGTGGAGGCTCGCCGGACCACCCTGGAATTATAAGATGGCACAAGAATACGCCTCAACACTTCTCAAGAATGCACAAACGTATTATCGCGGGGCTGCTGCACTAGCCCGTCGAGACGGTGCCGCTGGGGAGGAAGAAGCTTTATGTAAAGAGGCTTTCGCAGCAGCTCTGGCTGGAGATGGATCGAAATTAGCCCAGTTGAAAGCTGCCGGTCCTGAGAAGGTCTTCACTGTTGTTCAAGATATGGTTGAGGACGGGTTGGTTGCGCCGACAGATGCAGAACCATTAATTTCGTAAGATTTTTTCATCGAATCCTGTACATTGTACATTCACATAGATAATCAAACAATACCATCGAGTTGGTGATCTTTCAGGCTGCGTTACTTTTTTGAACATCCTCGTCGACTTGCATACTTTGCTGTCGAAGACTGTTCTCCCTGCTGTACTGCGTGGATGCATTGGCCGATCCTTCGAGGTCTGCCATAACAGCTTCTAGCCCTGATAACAATGATTCAATCTCCTTGCGCTGAGAAATAATCTTATCGGCCAATTCCGCGTTCTGCGACTGCGTGGTCTCGAGCTTTGCGTTGAGCGAGTCTTGGGCATGTTGCAGGTACGGCGCTAGATGCGCCTGATAGAGGTTGTCTGCACCCATCATATGAGGGCTATAAAAATTAGCTGGATTCGCTCAAACATCTTATGAAACGAATTGGATGGACTTACGGCACAGCACTCTCGCTCTCTCCATTATCCTTCCGCCGCCTGGCCTCACTCACCAATCTGTCCAATTCATTCAGCCCCTTAATCGCCTCTCGTTCCCTGACAATCTCATTAAACTCAGCCGTTGCGCCTTCTTCCAATTTGGCGTTTAACTGGCGATGCACCGACTCCAGGCTCGCTGGCACGTGCCTCGCGGGGGTAGGGAAACATGATGCGAAATTCTCGTATGAGTTTGCTTTCACAGTTGCACGGAGGGCTTTATGATAGATATCCTGGAATCGCGAGGCGCGCGGGCCTGGAGTCAGGGCAACAGGCGGAGGTGGTGGGGGAGAGGGGGACGCAGCGGTAGTTTCGACGGCTTCTCCCTGCTGTTGAGGCTGCTGAGGGTCGGGCGCGGGCGTGGGCGAGGGCATTTTGAGCAGTATTTTATAATATATCCTGCCTGCAGTTCAGAGTTTGGTCAATGCAGAGAGGAGCTTGAGGAAGCAAGTCATTCCAAGGAATCCAAGCGGAGTTAGAGTTGGCAACGCGACGCGCTGACCCGCTCTAGCACCCCTATTGGCTACAACATACTTCTACAATCATCCATTCACACTGTTACTATTTGGCGAATCGATTTGGTTAGGAATACAAGCCTAAGTTTTCTATAACTTATCTATCTAGATCTATTATATACGAGTTCACATAATTATTTATTATAAATTAAAGCTTTTAATACTTTATTAGTTAAAATATTGTCAGCCAGCTAGTGCAATCTAACACACATGGAACGGTATGTCAAAAAACCATCGGGCTGAACTACGACAGATTCAAGAACAATGAGCCTCATCCGATGTAACTCTTTTGATTGGTTTAGTGACTCACCTCTTTCGGCGACTAGTGATCTTCTCAAAACGATCAACTGTGTGCATTCAAAAATCGGACTCATGAGACATGTTTTCGGGAATGGCCACGGCACTGAGGAAAGGTAGGACATACTAGGCGGCAATCTTGCTTCTTAACCTACTTTTTGATAGGGGATAGCATTACCATCTGCCATGTAATAGCTCCACTTCAAGTAATTAAATAGAAAATATCTTAGCCATATATTCGTCGAGGAAATTGCACTTAATACAAAACTAGTAGTACTATTTGGTAGATCATGAGATAAAATACAATAATTCTTAAACATGAAAGCACCATAAAGAAAAAAATAAGAAAGTTATCTCATATAGTCTCCCTTCCTTCATCCCAACCCCAGCCTATGAATACCTTTATACGTAGAAGTAGAGCAAAGGAGTATCCAAAAGTAAAATACCTAATTCCCAATAATTTCATCATAATAACAAGACTTAATTGCCCTCTAGAAAGTATATCCATAGATGCTTTTATCTTTTCTTTCCTAAAATACACCCAAAAAATACCCTCAAATAGAGCTTTGATTTTAGATTTTTTTTTATTTACTGTCCCTCGCTAGTCTAATAGTTCTTACTGCAGTCCAAATAATATTTATCACAGTAACATCTTTCACCATCATAAAGATACTTCTTTATAGTTCCATAAGTATTGTAAGTTATATATTAATTGATCATCCCATTATAGCCACAGCTAAATACAAGAATAAAAGGATTGCATATAATATTTCTATATAACGTTAAGCATAAGATATACCAAAATCAACTGAACTAATCTTAAATCTGATAAAATTAATTTAATCAGTATTTTGCTGCGTTTAATTTTTCTCTGAAAGAGTGCAAATTAATCCATACTTTCAATAGGCTCTTGGAGAGTTTATCAACCTACCACACAGTGAAAAAGCAACAAGTATATTGAATAGTGCTGCAGTAAGGAAAACTTCAGTTGAATATGTGCTAATGTGTTCTACCCAGGAAGTTGGGTAATTTATATATGAGGACTATGTTTTTACTGAGGTTTGTATACACTTGATAAATGAGCAATACAGAGTGCCCCTAATATTAATCTGTATCTAGCCGCCATGTCGTTGTCTATTACAGCACCCGACCTTGCCTTACAATACAACTTTACTACATCAGCTTGATTGAGAGAAGTCAGACAGGGCATAAGCCTTTTAATCACTGCACCACTGAGTTATTAATCTAATATTCAGTGTTGATCTCATGACCTTCTAAGCAGCACTTGTCATCCCATGGATGGTTCCTAAGTGTTAGTCAGGGGGTGATCTCTTCTGTATCAATTGGATAACAGATTAGTGTTCCAGGTCTGCTAATTATAGACTCCAGTGTTCACTATTATTAGTATAGCTAATTATATCTTAAACTACGAGTGATTATTGATTGTTTGGTTATATTAGGCTTTGTTATATGTCTTTTCAATCTTAGCTTGGTTCAGAAAATTGGGCTGTATATTAGGCAATAGACTAATGGTAAAGCATGGCCCCTTCTGAGGCTGGTGCTACACTGTATAGCATGTTATTAGCTGTAATCGTGTTTAGTTTTATTGATCTAAGTGTTAAGCGCCATCTCAACATGCAGTGTTTGAATTGAAAGCTATTCCCGGAGCTGAACGAACAAGGCTTCTCCATGAAGGCAAGTTCCTTTTGTAAGCTGAACTCAGTCGAGGAGTACAATGTGTGGAATTGTCTAACTATCTGGTCTTTGGCTGCGGCCATAACGGGCGGACTAACTGCCAGTCTACTGCCCTGCCTATGGAACCACTCTGGGATATTGAACTGGCGATGAGGATCGTGATAAGGAGTGATTATTGGTGTCGCCCACCGCCTTCCCATTATTAGGATGCATGCATGCCCTTCCGATTAGGATTAGCGTATCAACCAGCAGCTGGCCAGTAACTTAACTTATCTCTGCTGTAATCTGGATTTTTCTTTTCTTTCCCAACATTTAAAGCCCATGTTCCGGCACAACTAACAATCGTTGTTGCAGTTCTGTTGGCGTTCGTTATCAAACGCTGTTCATTTTTACTTCTACCATGGTCGTGCAATTCTGTGCGGATTGCGGAAATCTCCTTGACGAGTCACCACAGGACCTTGTCACTTGTGCAATTTGTGGAAAAGTGGCTAAGAGTTAAAGATATCTCATATCTGTCGCCACGACATTTCGTTGACTTCAAACAGATGAAATACTCTCTCATATACAAGTTTCTGTCTCTAAAGGCTTTCCATCGCGACTGCGAACCAAACTCACATCCTACACACAGAAGGTTACTCCAGAGACAATCGGTACAGGGCCAGTCATAAGAATGGACTACCCTGAGTGCCCATCGAAGGAAATTACCTGGATTGAGGCACAGTTACGGAGCGCTGATGAAGGAAGCACTATTTTTTATCGTTGCACGAAGTGTGGGCACAGGTAATCTATCTAGCTTTGGGTTTGAAACGATAGCTTTCTTCTAACAAAGTTTGATAGGTGGTCAGAGAATAATTAATCTCCTTGATTCATAAGTCAAAACTTCATCGGTGTTTAACAGAAACAGTGATTGTTCTTGTCATGTTTGCGACTTCAATGGCGCTTTGCTGTTTTTGGCCTCGTACTCAATTTTGAGTGGAGAGGTTAATTCAGACCAATTTCAGCTGTCTGCATGGGCTAACCGATTCTTGTAATCTACTGCTACAACTTTTTGTTTCACGCCGCGCTTCCAGCACACCTAGGTCAAGTAGTTTAAGATGTCTCCTGATTCTTCAAATAATAGGCGATCATGTGAGGCGGTGCTTATGGTAATAGTCATTTGGGCATGGTTGCAGCGAACTGAATGAGAGGAAGACTGGAAATAGACCAAGTTCGAGAAATGACAAGGAAAGTAAGCCTGACGATTTTGAGAACATGTACTCTTTGTTGTATGTGCAGAAAGGAAGCGGGAGCGTAAATTCTTTCCAATGGTTACAGATAGAGCAGCATGGCAGGGCTGTTAGACTGAATATTCAATCGCGTAGATCCACCCTAAGAGTCCATGCTTACCATGTTTGACGAGACAGTAGGCTGCAGGGAGAGAGATAAAAGCATAGAAGGCTAAATTGGCCAATTCGAGGGCTTCAGTCGAAGGTGTCATGCTGAAATTAAATAAACTGTGAAGTGCTGGTGTGTAATCAAAAACTATTGAATGTAGAAGTCGGATGGGAAGCTTTCTTGGTTCTGCAAGATGGGTTGTCTGATTCCAGAGGCACGCCCACGGTTTTATGTCTGCTGCAACAATTTAGGCGAGTGCTTTTCTTTTCTGGATCATCATTTCAATATCTATACAAGCCACTTTGGGAGTAATTTCAGTTAGCAAAATACTGAATTGAAAGATCGGCGCCGGGTTCAGCTTCTTATACAGCCCTGCCAAATACCCATCTTGATTGGCAGATTGGGTGGTGCCCATTAAGGAAGTGAACCCGAACCCGAATTTTAGCGTCTGTACGCATTGAGTATTATGGCATGGCACCGCCACAAGGATTAGGTTGCATGATTACAATCCTGAGCATAAATACCCTTCTAGATCCGTCAAGTCTTGTTTTAACTCAATCAACGCCACAGTCAAAGAACATACTTTGGACGACATCCTTTCCTCCTTTCCATAACAATCGTATTTATCATCAATCCTCTCCTCTTCTTTACACATCGCCATGGGTCTCATCAAGACTGGTCTTACCATTGCCGGCGGTTACGGTCTCATCAAAGCCGCTTCCAAGTGAGTCGCTCCCAGCCATGGGTTTAAGCCCAAGCAGGCTAATCAACACCTCAATAGAGCCGCAAATAGCTATGAGGAGAAGAAGCAAAATCGTCCAATCCAGCCTCAATACCAACCGCCTCCACAACAATACCAGCCCGGCCATGATCAGCAAACGGGAAACATGTATACGAACCCGATGAACAACAGCCAGCCACACCCACAATGGCGGTCTCCATACGAGTCTCAGCAAAATCATGGAAAACAAATGAACTACACCGCGCCTCAATCGCAATCTCACGGTATGAAGTCTCTGGGAGGCTGCCCACCCCCATATGACCAAGGATCCATGTATGAGATGCCACAGGATATCAAGCAAGGCTCGGCGTAGGATTATTATTCTGGGGATAGAACTAGATGTGGCTTTATGGGTTAGCTGGAACTGGCGTTTTGTGTTCTTGTCTACTTTCAAGCTTTGCTAGCTAGGAATGCAGTTGAATCTCCGGGAAATAAATTTGAAATACCCATATCGCTTACTGTAGTAATTGTTGTTGTTTCATTTACCCTGACCCGTTTGAAACTCTGAACTGAGGTACAAGTGTGATGATATTCTAAACCATTAATGAGGCAGGTACAGCTATTTATAGTCCTGATAGCTGCATTCATACTGCCTAGCGCGGTAGTTACCTACCAGGTTACTAGTGGTAGCCTGGCACTTATATGAAGACTGGATGCAAACAATAGTGGATATCCTATTGATATAAAGAAGGCCTGAAGGTCTCACAACCGAGAAATCAAGATAGCGACCAAAAGATTGCAGCCTGGTAACATTACTCAGCTGATGATGGCCAAGAGCAGATAGGCCAATACGGGCTCCTTGGGAGTCTAATATTTGTAGCGAATCTACTGTTGGTCAGAGGAAGCGGCATAAAGATAGAGGAACCAAATAGAAGATTGATTGACGAGCAACTTAGTTACAGTAACATACAGAAAAGGAGATAGATACATGCAATTTGGGACGGAGTTCATATACAGGCTCTCAGCACTTGTGATGTAGGCAACAATATAAGCACTAGTGTAGGCACCATTGTATACTGTAGGCATCAATTCCATGCCGAGCGTCCTAACTTTATTCATAACAATATTCCTTGGGGATCGGCGCGAATAATGCGGCAACCCAGAAGTCGATCGAACGCTCTCTGCCAAACACGAGAGAACTCACCTTCTACGAACAGACACTAGCGCCTTTCCATCATCTTCACTATCAGCCAACCGCATGGCTTTCATGACCTCTGTCGATAGCCCACGGGGTAATGACCTCCACTCTTCACGAGAAACGACAACACGGCTCTCTATTTGTGAGACCCTGACCACATCGCTCCCCGGAGCTTTCTAGGACCACCACCACTCCTCTGACTACCTGTACTTGTGGAGATATCTGCCCCTTTTTCCTGTGGGTTTTTGGGTTGTTTTGCTCCACACCATCAAAATCCTATATACTTAAGGAATTGGCTACTTCAAGGAACTGCAACACCGCGGGACTAGAGACCTGGGATATATGGTTTTGTTTTAGGGAGAATTTCAGTTCGATGATCTCTGGACTACTGCAGCTACGTAAATGCCCCTAAGAGTCTCTTCGTATATGATAAACTTCTTTAGTTAAGGGCTAAACAAACTACGAGCTGCCATAGAACACCCAAAAGCTCAATATGCATCTGATCTGTGGATATGCCTTGATAATCCAGATGTAGTTGGTGAAGGTTGCGTGATACCGCTGAAAAGGGATATGAATTCCCGCTTTGTTCTAAGGTCTGAATTCGTCCAGTAGCGTTGCGAGAGGCCTTTGACAAAAATACACCGAGATGGAGGGTTGAAGCTTGAAAATCTAAAGTGCTTTCTTACCATGACTGTGGTTCGCATTTGCCATCAAGAAGAATGTTTGGTTTATATAGGGACCAATAGACGGGAGAATAAAACACGTATTGACCAAAGATTAACGCGATACACAGCAGTTTAATGAAATAATATGAATTTATATCTGATATTATGTGCAGAGCACAAGATGTAATACCTGGAATTAAGCTAACATCGAACTTGCTTCGTCAAATGCCTGTGAATGAAGCAGCCGTGTCCCAATTGTAGTTTAGGTTACTCATATTGGATTCAATGCACTCTACTTTTCCACAATAAGAGGTAGTAATTGCTCTGTGAATCTCCACAGCAGAGATGAATCTTGCGTGTGAAACGCAGCCCCTGTATAATAAGTGCTTCTTTTGCCTTGCATTGCATAGAGTCTCTTGTAAAAGCCGCTCTCTATCGCGCTAGACGATACAGTCAGCTCGAATGGCGTATGACTGGCAAAGATCGCGAACTCAGGGGACTCTACCGAAATGGTTCTATTCGGGAGACGTTGAACACTCGCGATGATATCACTCTGAACTTGTACATCAGCGAGGGCAGTCGGACTGCCGTATTTGACATTGAGTAGTCCTGGAATAACGCTCGGTGAGATGGAGTAAATTCCTGGCAACACAGGCAGGTGATACGTTGTGTTTATGCCTATATTTTGGACTGTAGTGTTGTCATTGATGCCAGTGTAGCGCAACACACCGGTATAGTAAGCACTGTTTCCAAATTGCTGGAAAAGTGATTTTTCTGTAGCATCGAGGTCGAATCCATCGAGATTATCTAACTTTGGTGGTATTGCAAGCAAGATCTTTTTGGCCCGAATTTCCCTCCTCCCACAAGGAGTGGTGACAGTTATGCTTGAATATCCTGTGATGCTTCGTTTGGTTGCCACGATACTGGTATTAAGGAGTGCATTATCCCCAAGTTCGGCTAATGCTCGCTCGTAGATTTCGCTATTGTCATGTTTGGCAGTTGTGAGGAATCCTTCCTGGATGCTCTTCAGATCTACAAGTCCGAAATTCTTCATCACATAGAGTGTAGGCTGGTGGAGAATGTTTCCAAGACCTTGGGCATATTTGAATATAGTTGGCACTGTGTCATCCAATGCGTACTTTTCGACGAAATCACCGAAAGGAAGAAGGAGATCAGTTGGTACTGGGTTAGGCAGATCAAAACCGAATTCCAAATAAGGGTACTTTGCCAGTTGCGTGGCGTACGCTGTAAGAGCATCGGTAGCATTGCCTGGAGAATACTGGCTAACCAGCTGCCCAGTACGGTAGTCCACATATTGAACAGCCGATGGAGCAAATTCGTTCTTTGTCAGCGATATTTTGAACCGGCTGAAAAAGTTTCTCACGATATCCCAATCCTGCCAGATTTCCACACCAATATCAATTTTGCCTTTCGTAACTGGATCAGTGTATGTATGCGTGTGTCCACCAAGGCGGTCGTTTCGCTCGACTACAACTACACTCTGACCTATGTCCCGCAATCGAATCGCAGCATAGGTACCACTAGAACCACCACCAATAACTGCCACATCTCTGGTAATGATACTCTCGGTTGCACAGTTGATAGAATCGAGGTTCACACGCTCAGCAAGTCCTGCCGAAATTCTCCATAAACCAAATGTTATGAGCTTAAGGGAAACTCTCGTATATTTTTTCATTATGCCTTTCAAATATGAAGAAAGAAACGGACAGATAACGATGTGATCTTGTGCATAGATAACCAGGCGAATGCACTTTTCTCAATGAGTAGGCAGAGAGATGTTGTTCGTTATATAATGTCGCGTTTTCCATGCGGATCAGCTGCTGATCCTAGTCCTACCCATAATTTACCATTACGCCAGGACTGTGTATCAAAGTCAGCATTGCATGTCCTCGGGTTCGGTTTTAGAACTCAGATTGATTTTGAGAATTAGTTAGCTAGACTATACTAGCTCCATTTGGTGGTCGTTTCTGTGGACACTAGCAGATCCTGAATTGAAAGACTCAATCTGAAGAGTAATTCCATGCACACAGCTAGAAGTGGTGTGGATATCAGTATGCTTATTACGAGAATCAAGGCTCAATAATATTATTAAGTCATTTTCATAAACTGCAAAAATAGAGCAAGATGGACAGCAGAGATATTGTAAGGTACGAGAAGGTAAGGAGTTATGATTAACTATTTATGACGATGGCATACTGTTACGTGGTAAAGATTTCTTACGTATCAGATACTAGTAGCGGAAAATCCCTTCCTACTATGATACTATGATCCGACATCGATGTTCTAATTAGGGTAAGTATCTGGGTACTCTGTATGATAGCTGCCCACATGAATCTTGGAGGTCGGAGCCGGTTTAGGAGGAACGGCGAGACACATTGTTGATCTGCTCACTCGCCTTGGAATGGTTTTCTTCTGGTATGTGGTCCTTTGGAGGGGTGATGGTTTTTTGAGGACGCCAGGACACATGCTAATGATGCTATTGTCGACATACCGTTCTTGAAGACCAGTTTAAAAGCGGACGGTTCAGCCGTTTTGCTTGGAAGGAGGTTACGGACAAAGAGAAACTTGTTGCTGCGGTGATTTTCGCTTTTGCGAGGGCAGAATATAGCTCATAACTATAACAATAAGATATCGCTCTCTGTTGTTTATTACTCAGCTGCACATAGGTTAGGATTGAACAGCACTATAATCGTACCTAGTTAGGAACAGTTAATGATTGGTTCTTTCAATATTTTACAATGAATAGATTTTATTTTGTAATCTTTGGTTCTGATACATATCCAGTTTGAGTCCTTTACTTAAATTAGCATACTCAATTATATCCAATTACACTACAATGGAAAATTTCAATTATTACCTCTAGTCTTAGTTTGGATATTGCTTGTGATAACGTTTTCTCTTATTCAGACTTTATGTCGCTTTCGGGTCATTGGCCATAATTGGTAAAGGAATGATGAATCTCTTTTTCTTGCTACCGACTTAGACATAAATAGCGGTAATTTAATTTACAACAAAGCGTAAATAACTTTCATACAGCTGTCTTACTAGCAATATTGTTTGCAATAGGGTAATATCGGTATAGTCTTGTATCGGAAGAAGTCTGTTAGATAGGCGATCAGTTTTTAATGACCCTATCTTATGCTTTGCGTAATTCTCACTCCTTCTAGTCTCTCTACTTCTTCTTCTTCTTCTTCTCCGCCGCCGCCGCAGGTATCCTCATTCACACCGCTCCCGACTTTTGTTTCGCATCTCTATCGTATTATTTACTTTACTCTACTTCTCCATACGAGGCGATTCGTTCACATTGTGTCGTCACGATCAGCAGACAGTTCTTTATATATATCAATGGAAACAATTAATCAGCCTCGTACGACTAACCTACTCCGCCTCTTCTCCCGATGCGACCTTCGGCGTGGAAGGCGTACGTGTTCTTCCAATCGCGTCGACGTGGGCTTTTCGACGTTAATATTCCGTGTCATAAGACCAACGACCACGAAAACGACTGCGATCAACAATTGGGGTATAATGCTCAGGCACACATTAACTGCGAGTGATGTGGCGAACTTCGATTCGGACTGGAAAATGGAAACGGCACCATATACGCCTCGAATAAGAATCAATGGTATAGATATCACGACCGCATAGAGTAGCTATAACTCCCCCAAATCGTATTAGTAAAGTTTGCTAGGATACACATGAATTAAGAGAGGTTATTGGATTAGGTATTACCAACCTTACTCCCAAAGTCATATTTAGGGGCGGCAGGATATGTTTGTCGGGACGGCAATGATATTAGTGTGTAGATGGCAAGGATGATCCACGCAATTAACATCAAAGCATACCCAACTTTAGCCATGGAAGCAGCCGATGAGGGCGGGTGTGAGCTTGTCATAGAGCTGATACCACTGGCCAGAATAGCTAGACCTGTGGTAACGAAGATGTGATAGATGATGATGAGGGCCCATTCAAGTTTGTTGTTGACAATCGAAAGATGTGCTCGTCTCCTATGTAAAAGTTAGCTACAGTAATACACTGGGACAGTGCAGATACCCTCACGCTTCGTGTAAAAGACCTAAGGCGGACAGAAGCAGCGGGGAGAGGCCGATGTTATTTAGAAGTACAGCGCTCGAGCTAGTGGACCCGTTGTTGTCAAGTTGCATTCCTAAACCTGCCACTCGAATGGTCACAAATGCTGTAAGATATAGCCACCCAAGGATGCCAGCTGTTTTGTGTCGATAGAGAATGTATAGGACTGGGAGAAAAAGGATAACATAGAGGACAAATTGAGATGTGTTGAGAGCAGACATTGGGCCGAAGAGATATCGTGTATGTAGATAGGAGGAATAAAAAGAGAAAGCACTTCACTGGAATAACTTCTTCAAATCAGCATAATCTTATTTTTCATGTGTTCCTGAATAGAGAAGATATATTGCGAAAATCGCACCCTTTAACATGAGTGATTTATTATATTCTGAATGATACAGTTCGAGGACAGCATCGGAACAAAGCCTTGAACACAGCCTCCAAAGATACCCTAAATAATATAGTAGTGACCTTTGCCAAGTTATATCACTAAAATCTATGGATAAAGTCTATGGTGTCTAGTATCTGGTTGGTAAAGATCGGATTACCAGGTCCGGCAAAGAATCCGAAAGCGAGGGAACGTTCACCGATCTGCTTAGCCTCAATTTACGTTAGTCCCTGCATAAAAAGCCAATACCGAGAACCTACGCCGAACTATTCAAAAGTTCGGGTGTAAGTATGAACATAGACACTTCCTTTCATTAAAAGTAGTTCCACTTTCAGATTACAGGTGAGCATACCTCGCCGAGTTCTCCACCAGACTCCCCCACTTACCTTTGGAGGGGCCGTATGAACTCGTTATGTACACAGCAATTGGTAACTCTAATACGCTTTCCGATGCTGACATGTCTTCCTGAATCAGTACAGTAACCCGATACCGACACTGCCCCTGCACAACACCGTTGTTTGCGTTAAGGACAGTCTCAACAAGCCTTTGCGACACAAAATCTCCTGCGCCATGGTGCATTATCGGAATCAGACCTCTCTCACGCGTTTGGCAATAGCTTTGAGATGCAGGCTCATAGGCGAAGGAGGCTCAGCACTTATATCTTCCCAGTTAGTGTTGATTTCGGAACGACTACCATAATTAGAACACCGAGAGCAACCAATCAACCTACATTTACACCGTGCTCTGCTCATCAGTAAAGCCGACGGTTAAGTCGAAGGTTCAGACTAAGGGCGATCATCATCGGAATCATTACATCACCAGCTAGATCATGAGTTCAGACTGTTTTGGTGACGTTCAACAAGATTAGCCCGCAGATTAACCCTTTCCCCAAATAAAACCCCCTGCATGGTGTGGCACGAGAAAGTAGAATCCGATAATGTGGCAGTACGCTGCGATCAAGCCTGCGCACAAAGAGACAACTGCATGAACCTTACTTAAAACCGCCTCACTCTAATCCCTCATTTCTCCCGTCTTTACTTTGTCCGAACTTGATTCTATAAACAAGCTATAAAGTATATTTGCTCTCAATAATTAAACAAATCTCCACGGTAACGCCTTTCCGCACAAGAAATGAAATAGTCGTAGATCACTTATGAAACATCATTTCCATCCCTGATTCAATAACATTCAATGGCCACTTCATTGCCCACCGCCATTCTGCAGGCATTATACTATTGATTCCACGAATCTCTTGCTCTGGGATGCCACGGAGCCACCAGACGTTGTCTGCACCACTCACCAACGCGAAAAGGTACGCCAAGATGACCAAAGCGCGAGGTCGTCGCTGATATAGCAGTTGAAGAAACCTTTCTGTCATAATAGGAGGAAATGCACACAGTCGCTTTCGTATTTGGAACTCAGATTCATGGTTTCTGAGTGCAAGGTACATGACGTCGAGGTAGGATACGCCATATTTATATGCATCCATCGATACTTGATCAACATATTCTATATCTGCTTGACAATGCAAAAGGAATGAAAAAGTTCCCTTAGCATTGTTTTCAAGCTGATTTTCGTCTGGTAAGTGTTCAATGACTGGTTTCGCACGAAGGAGAGGCAAGAGCCTGCCTCCAGGCATCGTAAGCCTGTCGTATACCTGTGTGAGGACTGGCCGGATCCCACGTGACATGGACAGCCACAGCATAGGTGGCTCGTATGGACCAGTGGGCATATTGGACCTGAGAGCCAAGGTATAGAACGAAATCAAGATGGTTGTCATGCAGATGGATTCAAATTTTGGTCCTGCTGACTCGGCCAAGGCTTTCTTATGCTGAAAGAGAGCAAGGTCAAGGTAGAATTGATGACTATTCCAACATTTGTGTTCCATTAACATCGACTTTGACTGATGAAGGGCAGACACGGCGAACAGAGTATATAAAAGGGGCTTGTGTTCGAAGGCCATTTCTGGAACGGTGATATCCCACATGCGTCGCACTTGCGGGTCTCCGGCCATGCTAAGAGTCCCCGAAGTATGTGTGAGGTAATGATGAAGTAGGCGAAGACTTAGCAAGATGCTTGACTCAGGCTCAGAAAGCAGAACAGGGAAGATTGAGCCTAGGAATGATCTCTGCAAAGGAGAAACAACATCTTGACGTTCAGAAACCTGGCTCTTTCTGATCCGCTTAGATATTCCTTTGTCGGGAGTAAAGGTTTGAATTTTCAGCGCCGGATATTCGCAGTCAACAAGATGGCGGGCACATTGGCTACATTTCGGTCGAATTTCATCACACTACAGAACGCGATCAGCGGACACCGAAATCCATTGGAAAGCCAACTATACCTTTACTTTCCTTGCTTTGCACCTGCGACACCCAGTTGTCGATTTCTTATGCTCCAAGCGGGGAGCCTTTCGGAGCATATTGGATCCTAGGACATTCTCGGATTCAGCATCTGCAGGAATAAGATCGAGGAACTAAAATTACTTCTTGATTTGGTGTACCGTGACTTAAGTGGCGCGACACCAGTAACTTTAAATTAATACTGTAAGTTACTCGGAACAAGCTACCTCAGTATCCTCAGACGTGTACTAATTAGGAAAGCGGTGACTCACATGATCTCAGAACTAGTCCTAAAATGATTAGCATACATAACCTCTTTTCGGTCCACATTCAGGTTACAGGTCAGGTGAGCCGTTCTTAGCGTCGGGCGAATCCTTGGCCATTTCTTGCAACAAACAATGTAACGTACACCAAAAAGCTTGTATGGGCGCTATGTTCACGCCGGCAATTTTAATGTATTTGTTGGATTGATTGGGTCGAGTGGTGGAGGGCCTTGGACGTCAAATCCAGTGTAAAGTGATCAGGCGCATGCAGCTGGCTTGTTCAGGGGAAGGTAACAGGATGCAAAAAGCCTGGTAAGGAGAATTAATTAGCTATTCCCTTTTTTAATAAGTTTAATAAGACTATAAAAGATAATAACTAATTAAGAAATTTTAGCATTATACTAGGGTAATATAAAGTTCGAAACACCAATTGTGGATTCATTGTTAGTCACTTTAGTGCGCTTCTAGTCCAGAAGGGAATCCGTACTTCCTCAACTACCATATCCTGCGAGTGGTCCGTTCACAGCATCTGCCCTCATCGTTGTGGATCAAATATTTTACTTTGACAGCGCTTAAACGAGGCAGAGATCTGCTGTAAGGTACTTAGATTTCAACCCACCTAGTCATGTTTCCGCTTTCTATACGCCAATATATATATTCTCAAGGATTCATTCCTCTTAAATAGACCTGCCATATACTGTCGTTCCCAATATAGTAACATTGACTACGCGCCTGAGTAAAAGAGCGTTGTTTCAGGGTCACCAGCGGCAAAGATTTCAAAGTAACCAGATTCAATGGTGATGTTCAAGATGTTTGATTATGCCCTCATTCTGGCGGCTAGAGATCTTAATATAAAAGTGAGCCTGTTTCCTAGGTATTGTACCTTGGGGTACACAAAGCTCGACTTAACCATATCATTCGCTATCTACTTCAAGTCCTTACAATGAAGGGCGGTCATCTACGTTTGGATCTTCACTGCACGAAATAGGTGAGGCATTAACCTCTGTCAAGTTTGCGGGCATCGATTCATACGAGAGGAAACCACACAGTGGTGAGCACAATCAGAGAATATGTAGGAGTTCAAAACACCAAGCCACGGCGTCCAGAATTCACGAGATAACATTCATCTCCTTGAAATAAGGTTGAATTAAAATTCCTTAGACTACTCATTAACCCACAAGAAATTCATGAAAATTGAGGCCATAAGGAAAGCTCCAGAGCTGTCGGACCATTAAAAATGGCCAAAGGTTCCCTCGTCCATCATTCAAACGGGATGTAGCGGTCGGGATGTCCGACTCCTTTCTCAGTAATGAATCCTCCGTTTCGTTGGAACAGATAAGATAAGCCTAGATAGCTTTTGTCAAAGGAAAATAGAATTCATATTTTTTATCTTAAAAGTACTTGTGCTTTGCTAATCAAAGTGGTTATATGACGAGTGAACTAGGGAAACAACTGAGACGTCAATAGTCGATCGGACTGTCCGAAATTGAGTATCCTGTCCGCACTATCCCCAGTCTGGGGGAACAATCTGCAGATCCTCTACAAAGATAGGAAACTATATTACGACTGATTAAGATGAGACTTTGGAATTCAGCAAGGGAAGGTGTTATCCGCCGCCCAAGATCTTATATCGCTGATACTAAGGCTTGGTTTTGCTCCCAAATTTACCATGTTCGATACTCGAGCCAACATACTCTTGTGTGGATGCGGTGCGGTTGGCACTATGGCCGCAGTCGCACTGGAAAGATCTGGATGTGCGGCTGTCACGGCAGTGCTGAGATCAAATTTTTCAGTAGTTGAGCAGAAGGGGTTTACAATTGATAGTGTGGACCATGGTAGGCTTACTGGATGGCATCCATCATATAGTAAGTTTGTATTTTAGCATCGAAGCCGGTTGACAGCATCATGTTGCTTACTATTCTTGATAGTAGCGCGCTCAGTTGAGAACGCAATGAAGCATGGGCCTTTCCAATTTATTGTTATAGCATTGAAAGCCCTTCCTGATATATATTCAATCCCTGAGCTCATAGCCCCAGCCGTAACGCCTTTTGAGTCAACAATTGTTCTCATCCAAAACGGCATTGGAATCGAGCAGCCATTCATTAATGCCTTTCCACGTTCCACTATCCTATCCGGCGTGAGCATGATCGGCGCCCATCAATTGAGCAGCGGCGTGATTAGGCACGACAGATCCGACATTCTCCACCTAGGTCCAATCTATAACGCGTCTATTTCAAGAGAGAAGGAGGATGAACTGGCGGCTCTTTTCTCCTCACTCTACACATCCGGTGGCGCATCTTGTCTCCTAACTGAAAACATCACATGGATGCGTTGGAAAAAGCTCGTGTGGAATGCATCTTTCAATAGTGTTTGCGCCATGACGGGCCTTGATTCCGGTGCTATTATCGACGCCGGGGGCGTAGAGACAATAATTCGCCCAGTAATGGACAAGATTAACAGTATTGCCAAGGCCAGCGGACACACTCTACCAGATGGCATCCAGCAGTTGATGATTGACTCCATGCCGCGGGAAATGCACTTTCGTCCGAGCATGTTGGTCGATGTTGAGCGTGGCAACCCTATGGAAATCGAGGTCATTGTCGGTAATCCACTACGCATAGCTCAGGAGCTGGGCTGTGAAACGCCAATTTTGCGTATGATTTATGAGCACTTGAAACTGGTTCAGTGGAGAATCCGTAGGGCTAAAACCGGGAGTCGCTTACAGAAATGAATATAGCCCTTCCAATCGTGGTTATATCTCAAGATTTTAAATGATCTGTCGCTTCAAAGTATAGTCACAGTCATGACCTGGCTTGGAAAATAGTTATGGGGATTTGCTATGACGTATGATGAATGAAAACTTGCTAAGGATGTCATGAGTAATATGAAACATGATCAAGAAAAAAAAAGATAGACAAAAAAGAAACATTTAGTCATTAAACAACTTCTGTGCCAGCTATTCAACTCAATTTGCAATAGATATCCCATAGACCAGAGGCACCCAGCCAATCCAAAAACACTTCATTCAATCCTTGTCGTAAAAGTTCGTCTCCCATATAGTACTGTCTTTTTTTATCCCAAATTAAGTTCCCCATTGTGCTTGTAAGAGACTTTTCTAAGCGAATAGCCTCAATCGAGCTTTGAAGATCTGTCCAATATACACTTTGGGGCATCCAGACTCGATCGCTGTCTGCACCTGATGCAAGTTTTTCAAATTCTGGTAGAGATTGAACAATTTTCCATATTCTGGGCGCATCATAGTACGCTGCACTACCGTACGCTACCAACATCCGCTGGTGTTCCTCGGGTGTAATCATCTGCCGTGAGGTTCTTCGGAGGTACTCGGTTTGCTCGGTTAGAAGTTTTTCTAGAACTACTCGGTCTAAGGCCAATTCTGGTTCTTTCTCAACTGTCTCCAGATAATGGGTGATCTCGTCTCTCAATTTTCGCAATCTGTACTGGGTCCATTCGGGGTAGAGAATGTTTAGATTGGCGTAGGGCCTGATGTTTGTCATATAGCTGGAGTCGTAGACAGTTGGCACACTTGATCGGTATGAAGTGATGGTAGATATGCGTTCCTTAACCCCTCTGGCTCGAGCAGCTAGGTGTTGAACTTTGCTGCCTTGAAGCATTACTGCATGACCAATCCGAGGCCCTTCAACCTTGGAACCTGTCAGTTCCATGTACTCAGCGGAATGCAGTCTAGCCTACCTTCTGAGCTGTCCCATCACCCTTTTTAATATATGTTTCTCCTCCAATCATACCCTCGGTTTCACTTAGCATTAGAACACAGACATAAGGATAAGAATCGTAACTTCGGTTAAGTTAGTCTCGAAAGTATTAATAGCAAATGAAATGAAGGGGGCTTACTGCCATGGGATAATAGCACTAGCATCCTTTAGCGGATCATAAGCCCGTTCTTCTGGACTCAATTCCACTTTCTCAACCGCCGGCTCAACCTTGAGCTTCTTTGTCATTTCTGAAATGGTAGCTCCCTCAACTTGGATGTTGGTATGTCCAATCTCCGTTGGCATGATCACATCCAAAGGCACACCCATTGCCTCAGAAACTATCCTCATGGTCTCAGGGTGTGTCCAGAAATTTTTGATGAATTTCGATTGCTTATGTGCACCACGGAGAACCAAAGTACCTGGAAAAGGCGAGCTCGCACATTGATCGAGTACGTTTTGCTGGAACAAGGCTCTTCTGTAGGCTCTTACGCCTTCGCGTGACAGCAGTGGAAATGCTGTCGTTCCTGCAACGGAAGAGGTGTCTGTAGTTTGATCTAAGAGCAAGTCTTGCATGGTAATTTTCTTTTCTGGTGGCGAGTAATGGAGATGAATCTATTCGGTGTAAGTTGACTGACCAAACATGACTGTTCTCTCTTCCCATATGATCTTACTTTTGGATCGAATGTCTCTTCCTTGTCCGTACTTGTAGGAGAGCCCCAGAACCATGCACTTAGCCAACAGAAAGAATCCATGACGCCTACAATATAGCAATTATATAACGCTGAGTAATGTCTCCTTGAGGTTTCTAACCGCGTTGCCCCCCGTTAACGCACAACTCTCGATTCTTCGGACCTGTCAAGATCTTTCTCGAAATGCGTGGCCGCTGTGAATCGAGGAATGGCCTTTCCATACCCTGAATTGCTCGAGGAGGCAATAGATATGATTCACAGTCGGACTAGCCGATACTGAGACTGGCATCCAGCAGGAATGGATATCTTATCGCTTATCGGTGGTCGGGCGGAATCCATTTCCTTTTTCGGTATATATGTCCCCGATATATCGAGCACCGTTTCGACACGGGTACTCAAGACATCTAGATCCACAGATGGCCTGTATTATTAGTAGTAGTAGTAAATCAAATTTTACGTCCGCATTCAGCTGTAAGCTATGGCAGGCAAATGCCCTGTAAATTCTTAGTTATTATTCTGTCGGATCCGCCGCCGCCTGTATTTATGATACTATCAGAAGCCAACTGACCTTCGTATCTGCCGAGATGTAGTGATGACACGAGAGTTGCTTACCTCTCTTTTCTCATGTGCCCTGATAAGGGTATTCTCAAGGATTCTGATTCGCCAATTGACATCCTTGGGAAGCACTGACATAAATTGAAATCGTCCTGCTAGGGAGCTAGAGGACAACAGATAATCATAGAAGATCAATGAGGATTTCCATTTTTACAATTTCTTTTCTCTTTTCCCTCTATAAAAACAATATTATCTTGAACTCACCATGGAAAGCAGTGATCCAGCCTCTCATAATGATCTAAAAGTCGCACCACCTCCCGTAGTCGAGCAACTCGCTCTGGACGATAAAGGGCTAGAAAAAGATCACATTGTGGCACCAGATCAACTCGATGAAAGATATCGCACTACTAAATGGGAGATTTGGGCCTATTACGCGTGCGTCATCATTAGTTTCACAATGTAACTAGCTTTGATTGAACCATTATACTAGTTACTATATCGGGAACAACGGACTGTCTCTATTCAGTAAGTTCTACAAATCGAATCTTGATTGATCCTTCCTTCTCTAACGAACAAATAGATTTTGCCCCAACGGCTTTCCAAAATCTCCTCTACCAAGCGGCCGGAGACAGTGACAGTCTATTATTCGTTGGAAGACCTCGATCCATCAACAGCATCGTGCTCCTATGCAATGGAATTTCATTTGCAATCCAAATCGTGGTTTTCCTAATCATCGGCAGCTTCGCTGATATAGGGAACTGGAGACCTAACATTCTCATCGTACTATCTATCATCGCTTATGCCCTTGGGTTTGCCTGGTTGGGCGTTCACACAGAAGATAAATGGCATATAGGTGCTGGGCTCTACATAGTTGGGCTAATCGCCTATCAGACTACATTGACTTTCTGGACTGCTGCGTTCCCGGGACTTGCGCGCAACACGGCTGAAATGAAAGGCCATGCTGATGATCTCGTTGGAGGGAAGATTTCTCGTGAAGAGTACGATTTCGCTGATACGATGAAGAGGAGTCAGTTGGCCAATGTGGCATTTTATATTCAGTCGCTTGCGGAAATTGTGATTCTTGCTATTATTGTTGGGATCATGTTTGGGATCGATGTTAATGCTAGTGAGGCGAATAATAATTGGGGACAGAGTGTGCTGATTGCATTCGCGAGTGGTGTTTGGTTGCTTGTCTCGTTGCCATGGTTCTTTTTAGAGAAGAGACGGCCTGGTCTGGATCCAGGGAAACGGAATATCATTCTGATGGGCTTGTCCCAGTTTTCATATGCTCTGCGTCAGGTGTGGAAATTGAAGCAGAGTCTGCTATATCTTATTGGTAGGACCAAAATGATCCCCTCCATTGTATGGATTCTGGAATGACTTTTTCCAAGGTTATTTCTTGCTGGGTGATTCCTTGAACACCACGGTCACCGTGATTGCCACTTTGCAGAACGGCATAGTAGCATACAATACCTTGCAGTTGACATATCTCCTGATTGTGGGGATTACATCCCAGGTACGTTCCCCTTTTGAAAGCATTCTAGATTCTCTTCTAACTAGTGTCCTCAGGCAGTTGGTATTTACGCGTTCTGGTCAATTCAACAACGATATAAACTCGGGACAAAAGCTATGTTCAATGCCATTGCGTTTTGTATTATCCTTCTTGATGGCTGGGGCATGATAGGCATTTGGACTAGCAAATTTGGCTTCCATCATATTTGGGAGGTTTGGGTGAGTGGCTGATTTCTGTTATCGTCATTTCATTATACAGAAGAAGATTGTGTAATAATCCATACATTAACGGTCCTTTAGATCTACCAAGTCTTCTATGGTCTCTTTGTCTGCCCCTGGTACAGTTATTCGCAAATCATGATCTCTGAAGTGACACCTCGTGGCCATGAATTCCTTTTCTTCAGCCTATTCAGCATTGTCGGGAAAACATCCTCATTCATTGGGCCAATCGTCTCCAGCGCTATTATTGACTCCACGCCTTCTAAAAACGCATCAACACCATTTTACTTCCTGTTCGTATTGAGCCTGTTCAGCTTCGGGATCTTATTCGTCGGCGTGGATCTGAAGAAGAGTCGATTAGAGCAGGAGCAATTCTTGGAGGAAAAACGAAAGTTGAAGGGAGATGTTTCATCCGCATTGTAAGATGGATGGAGTGTAACTCAGAAAAACAAGATCAGATATTTAGTAGCATCGAACCGAAAATATTTATCTACCTACTCTACAAAGTCTTAGTTTTCATATATAGAAATTTCCAACAGAGATCTTATACTGAAGCCTTTCCACGCCATGTTTGAATAGTAGCTCATACTCACTAAATTAACCAAGATAGAACTGCCCAAATCCGAGTCGGTTTACCAACAAGTTTTCGTGATTACCACACTTATAAAGGAATATCATTTCCTAAAGTTCCGAGAGGACATCAGTGGAATATGAAATATATATCACAAGGCAAGGCAATAAAGCCGTTGATTTTCAAAGAAGAATATGGAAGCAATGATTCCGTGACATCTATTTCACCCTGGTACGGAGTTATTTTGTTGTTAAAAGTCCTCCTCTTCATCTTCTTAGGAACAGTCATACCTAACTTGTTGACTGGAATGCCCAGGACTTGCTCAAGTTCGGTCCCAACCTACAGATGCATGCTATAGGTTGGAAGAGTTCTCCCCTAATTCTATAAAACTTGCGGAGAGTTTCTATACATAATGCCGACTGAATTATTCTCGGACAAATGATTGGACTTTCGTGTGACAGCCTTGCAGCTGCACATGCAGACTACTCCCCCTGGTGTCTACGAAACCACATATGCCTTGATCGTGCTCGCCCACATGCTGTCATGAGCCCCACGATCACAATTCGACGCACCCCCGACTCTTGTATCGCTTGTTTTAAGTTTGCCTCGATAAATGGAGAGTTTGTTCTTTTGATGAAAATAGGCTCGGAAATCTGCGGAGCAGCGTAGGGCATGAATTTCGCTGTCGGTTTGGAGGGGTGCAAGGGAGATGATTCAAATGGAGAGTGGTGACAGACATGAAATATTGGAGAATGCGCTTCTCTGAATGCATGGAGAAGTTTTTCTACGTTTGTTTCGATATCTGGCGTTGACCGAACTTGTCCCCAATGAGTGGGATCGAAGAATCCTTGTTGGATGCTGGAGAAACCTAACACTAAGCCTTCTCTTCGTGTGTATATAAACACATATTTATACATACAAAAGTTGAAATACTAAGTAGGACTGCTCAGTAAATAACAATAAATAGAAAATAGCTATATACTTATTAGTTATAATAACTAACAAAATAAATTTTATTTTAATACATATATTAGCTAACTACGGCGCGTAGCTATAAGTTATACAGTCGATTTCTCTTCTTATGCTTAGTATTCTCGTTGAATGATATCACATACTTTAGCCATTTGCCGGTCGTAACAGTTATCACGGTCCTCAACCATTCATTTATCCATTGTGTTCCTTCAAGTGCTAGAAGCCAAGCAACATCATGTTGTTTTACGATCATGACTCGGATCAAGCTCTAAGATAAGCATAAATATCCTTCTCCCAGAATGGTCGCTTCTTATAATTCCCTAATTTCTCTGGCATGGACTCGATAGCGTCCGCCAATGCAGGTCCATTACCTTCAGCAATGATATGTGACAAATGCGTCATATAGGATCGTACACAAAACACGATTGCCCGGCTCTTTTTTAGACTCACAAGCGACTGCCGCTCACATCGAAGGTAGCATTTTTCAAGGTCGATTTTATCTTGGATTGTAGGCAGATTATGCCCCTGTTCGGGGTAAAAGTTGTTGCCATCAAGACGGAAAAGATCTTTGCCATCTGTTTGGAGGCTCCACTGTTTTTGCTCAGGGCTCAAAAGTTAAAAGAATAGCTTAAGTGAGAAGGTGCATAATAATTATAAGTAAGTTACTACAGTATAAAGTATTGTCGAAGGGCGAGGTAAAGGCGAAATTGACTCACATTAAAGCGTTGAACTTTCGTTCCACCTTTCATCCTGGAGAAGAACCTATCGGTCCCCCTTTTGATTCGCTCCGGATACCCTGGCACTGGATTGTGAATCTCGGCCATCGACAGACCGACTCTTGAAGGGCTATCAAACCCACCGGGAAAGCAAGCCAGGTATCCTTGTAACCGAAACTCATTTTCACTATCGGGGCACATGAAATAGAAATCTTCTTCAACGTTCTCAGAGAGCATAAGCAGCTGCTTAGTATTATCTCGCGAGACTTCTGACAATCTCCAGGTCTTGCCGCTCACAATGTTTTTGAAAACATCGCCTCCTTCTAATCGGAATAAATTGGGAAACCTCCCGAGAACATGCCTAATAACCTCTGTCCATAGTTCCTGGATAGCCAATGAGGATACATCATTGACACCGATTGTTTTGTCGGGATGATTCAGTATGGTTTGTCTCCTTTCGGCAAGTCGATCAAGATAGCCATTATCAATCTGTATCCAATCGTCGTTGGGGCAATTTTGAATTCCCATTGACACATGTGCCCGAGAAAGAAACGGACGATATGGCCTGGGTTCGGTCGAAGAAAAGTCAAAAGATGCCACATGATTCTTCAGATGAGAATACCGAATATCTACTGAGCGTCCACTCTTCAGAAAGAAAACAAAAACAATTGGAAGAATATAAAGAATTATCTGCCACCCGATGGGTTGCGATAAGTCGGTGAAAATTCCCATCGTCTGGAGAGAAATATAGCAAGAGTTGGATAGATTCCTGAGCAGAAATGTGTACTGTAGAAAAATCTAAACACAACCTCCAACGTCAGAAGGCTCGAGGACTGTTTCTAGGGCTCTATAAATACGGACAATCATCGACCGCCAACCCATAAACGGATTATACGGAACAAGTCTCCAATAATAGCATCAGCAGTTCAAGATCAAGTTGGCGTGATTACATGTGATTATGCCCCCTGCGTCTAAGATAAAAGTAGATTCCACATTAGGCATCATTGCTTTACAATAAACAAAGGTTGACATACATGAAATGAGACATTTTCTAACTTAAATTTTAGCACCACCGTGACACTACATTTATTAGGGTAGCATTGAAACCAATGCACAGTGCCGCAAACTAGGGCCTTTCTAAAGGAATGGGGACAGACAGTGTCACAGCGGCCTTCATAGCGTTCCATTCTGATTCATATCATTCTACCATTATTAGAGATGTAGCTGCACAAAGAGTCGTCATTGCGTACATTACAAATAGTTTCAAGTGGATGTACTGAGTACATGTAGGTATGAGGCGATAATGCCATCTAGCAGGCGACAGCTGCACGTAAATGACTCTTCGACAGGAATGTGTGCCATCAAGTAGGTGCCAAGGAAGGCCATGTAAACTGCTGGAAGCGGCAACATCCAGCCCAAGTCACGCAAGTGCGGTTTTACAGTATTTCTCATTCAAGGACCTCTTTCAACGGAGTTATTATCTGAAGTTGACTCGAAAGTGGCTGAATTCTCATAGGATATATATGTAAGTAGCATCTGCTAGCTCATTCATTGGCTGTGAGTTATCGATTTCCATGGCATTAATTAGAAATATAAGTCTGAGTTTCTTATAAATTATTTGTCTAGATCTATTTATATGCAAATTTACGCTATTTTTTGTTATTAGAGATTATCTGGTCTAAATCAGTATTTCTCATTATCGATAATTTAGATTTTGGCTACTATCCAAACCTTATTTCCAACAATATTGAGTGAGCATCAAGAATTTCAATATCACGACGCCAATAAGTATATAAATCCAAACTGACTAACATATTATACGCTCATTATACGTTCATTATACGCTCATTATTCTGATATCTCTGACCTCGCCTCATTCGGCCTCGCAAACTGCCTCGTACTCTCCGACTCATCAAACGACCTGAGACTGTCTAATCCAGAGCTTTGTGTGTCATACTTTCTAGTCACCTGTTTGAATCGCAATGGAACCTTATTTGTCGTGTAGCTTCGATGGCCGTGATGTCGACGGCGGATGAACGACGTGATCAACGACGACGAGATGGCAATGTAGATGATGCTGTTCCAGAAGCCCTGCAGGGGAAGAACAATCGCAGAAGCGAGCTCCAATCCGAAGCTCATCGACTCTGGACGAGCTAATGTCCATACGCGGTTGATGGTCGATGGTACCTGGTCAAAGTTCATTAGCCTCACCCATCGAGATTGAAGATTACGCTCACCCATGTTACGATGAGAGCAACGAAATAGAGAGCTGCATATTTGCAGTACGCCCACGCCGCTGCGTTATTTATTTCATTCCGCGGCCTATGTCGTGTTGTCGTTGACTGGACCAGAGTTTCTTTTAGCGTTATTGGTGTCATGGGAATGGCATTCCCCCTTTCCACCGTCACCGAATATCTCGCATAGCTTCTTCCAGCACCCCTCGCTATTCTTTCCGACTCCTGGTCTCCTCTATCATGCGACTGCCTGGCGACGGCGGCTTCGGCATCAGCATCAGCATCAATCGGGCTATTCGCCAGATTCGCCGCCTCACTGGTGATGCGGACGACCTTGGATGCGTGGATCTCAAAGCCACTATCGACGGTCCCATGCTGATCGGCACTGCTGAAGTTCTGCAGAAGACGCCAGTTTTTGAATATATGCAGGCCGACTCGGATGTAGATGCCGAATGTTATGAGAATGATGAACCACGCAGGGCCGTAGAAGGCGGCGATGCGGAGGATGTCCCAGGAAGTTGACACCCAGCACCATATCTTAGATTCTGTTCAGCGTCTAGCTTGCTTGTTTTTGTTTCTGATAGTACATACCACAGCAGATCCATATATGGGGCCCTTGGAGTCGCTGTTGATAAAGAAATATACAAATGACGGGATGAACGGGAGGCCATAGCACATCAGTACATATTTCCACTCCAGATTCCGCAAGGTCGAAGCGTCATATTTTCGAAAAAAGGTCAGATAAACGTTGCATGCCATTGCAAATGTCCACAAGGCGTCCGCGGGCATGAACCTAGATAGTCATCAACACTGACTCCTGACTCTTGCGCCTCTCGGCCAGATCTACTTACCACTGAATAAAAAATCCCTGAAACCGACAAAGCGCGGAATTCTCACCAGCAACAATCCCAGACCGCGACACCAGCGTTGCGGCATTGGTCATCACGTTGCCCCAAGCGGCATAGAAGACGAGACGATTGATGGGCTTCCGGAAAGAGCGCGAGCCCACGAAGGTACTGATAACAAAGGTTGTGCCGATCAGAGAAAGAATCGAAGTTGCTCTTTCAGCTGCCATGATGGCAGATAATTGCGAGTCGCTGAGAGACATGCTGGCACTGCTGTTGAAAAGCAGATGAAAAGGAGGAACTAGTATATAGCGCAAGATACAACGAAAGACTGCTTAAGACGGCAGGAATGCTATACAACTCATTATCAATAGCATGGATATCGTGAGTATGCTGCCGGGCAATGAGCGAACAACGGCCTTACGCCCCTTTATGACTTCTCAAAGGAGCGTTCGAGGTATATGTCTGCGGATAAGGTGAGAGCAGGCGTCAGCTAACAATGAACGGCGACGCAACAAGACTGGCTTAAGCAGGCCAGGATCATGCCATGAAAAACAAGAGTATTATTGAAAGGATATACTCTATTAAATAATGCCATCACCCGATTTCGACCTATACCCGACACTGGAACAAGTAATAACATTGAAACGGAGGCAACCTCCGTGGGAGGGAGGGAAAGAAAAAGCAATTCTGATATGTTCTCCATTTAATTTTTATTAAATTTTTTTTTAAGTTCAAGGTGTGAGATTTGACTCGTAAGGCACATTGGAAATTTGTTCGTACGAGAACAGCATTTCATTGCTAGGCGGCGCTGTGCAGCCCTAGTGCACAGGACCCTAGGACAACATGAGGCGACTGATTGGTCAAGCAATATCAGCAGCAACCTGGTGGCCGCGCAAGTGCATTGCTCAAGCCTATTTGTTAATTTTGCAATTAAACTTCCATGCTGATCATGTACGTATATAAGTACACAAGGACATGGGTGCGATTCACATGCACACCGGTATTTGCGTCGGGGCAATATGAGTAAAAATGGGCTTCAATGCTGCAACCAGCCGGCGTGTATTGATATACTAATGCTCAAGCACCTGTGTACATACACGGTCGGAATAATTATTGCATTGTGTCGAGGTACATATCATTAGTCGTGTATGTTTTGTGCTCGATAGACCAGGCGGCATCAAATATCCTTGTATAGACCCCCCGTGCTGGGTATTACCATAGCGTCTGTACTATACTCCCTGGATTTATTGGACCAGGCCTGTTTGGATTTGTGCGGTACTGGGATTATTATTAGTGTTGGGCAAGATCGAATCATAATAATCACTCACACCCAGCCAGACTCATGGCACGAGCCAAGGAACTTCCTCCAGACAAAGACTAAAGGATCGACTCGAGATACGATATTCCTCCAATCGTCTGACATGCCGAGAACGAACTCGCCTGTCATGCTGGCGTCCAGCCTCATATGATCCGGTGTAGGTGCGACAGACAGCAAGTGCACGGTGCGGCCTGGTGCACCTACACCGCCCGACTGGAGTCAACAGACAGCATACAGCCTGCGATTACGAACCGGACGAGGATGTCACGGAGTATATGCCTTATTCGTTGAATCAAGCCAACCGAATTGCGGGGGGGGGGAGAAGGGGAACAGGGCGGATTCGTAGCGCTCATGCACGACTAGCCCTAGTCAACTGCGCCAAAACCACTACTAACTGTTAACCAGCCTACAGCTATAGGCTATATACAGGGCTAGAGACGCCACCATTTTGACTAAATCTATACTACATAATCCATACCGCTAATAAATCCCAATATGTACTAACCAACAAGTTCTTTGTCCGGGGTTACGCGCAGTAGTTGTAGCACAAACCAACCGCGGTGCAGCTCGCTCACCATTAACACCTTCATGGCTCGGATGAATTTGAATATCGGCTAGAGCGACGCCAATGCTCCGTCAGTTTCGGAAAGGGAACGTGAAATGAAGTCAGTCGTATTTCCGAGAATGATGTGTTGGTCAGGGGAAATGTTACATAGGTCGGTGTGACTGCTCTTGCATCGGGATTTGTCTTAATATGCGATATACTTGCGGTGGTGGGACAGGAGTTGGGCCCAACTCAATGTTTCAATGTTTTGATGTTTTGATGTTGTGTGATGACATCTATCGTTCATGATTGATTTCAAATAATGATCCTGTGAGTCGTTGCGGAAACATGCGACGCCTAGCTGGGCAAGTGCTGGTGTATTGAGGTTTCACTAATGTCAAATTATGAACCGACCTACAAGTCTACTTTTCAATAGCAGCGAATTCATCCCTTGATAATACATAAGTACGTAGCCCTATACCAGTTGATCTGCAAAGACTCAGTAGAATGCGAGCTTTTGTTACCCATATCCGAATGCACATATGCACTTCCCTCCCAAAAACCAGACTCGACCGGCGGATCAATCTTTACCCAGAATCTACATACACGTAGACGTACTATACTGTCTTACTAAGTAGTCAGAGCAAGTGCACTCACCGTTTCGCATTCTCATTTACCCAAACCCTGGCAGTCTCCAGAAGGTACTAGTTACATGTTCGTGCAGGAGACTAAGACTGCTTTCGCGTGATGATGACCATCATCGCTGGAACATGTTCGGTCGCAAAATCAGGGCAGATGTTTTAAAAGGTCTTGGCTAGTGCATGATTCAGGTAGATTCCCTCTAGCGTTTGACTTTCAGCCTATCTGATGCGTCGCGAAAATTATCTAGAATGGAAACAGAGAAAAGAATTTAACAAAATCAATACGAATGACTATCTTACTAGAGCTCATAGAGAAGTCTGAAATCCATACGATGATAATATGAATTACTGAATATAGTAAAAGATAAACCGCATTTCTCGGGTATAACGCCTAGCCCTGCAATGACAATGTGTCCCATCAATTGAACCCCAAACTAACTCCCCATTTGACATCTAGTATCCAGGCTGTGCGGCAACCATCTTGCCATAGCCCGCCATTTGTGATTGTTGTTGCTGCTGATGCAGCTGCACCTGGAGTTGGGGTAGATCGTTGAACCATGGATGTCGTAGAGCGTCAGCGGCACTGATTCGCATTTCTGGACGCAGCTGAAGCATGCGCGTCAGTAGATCCAACCCCAATTGATCGATTTGTGGGAGAATGAGTCTCAGATCCTGCGTCGCGTAGACGTGGAAGTTGGGCTTGTATTCTGGGAACTGGGAGATGCCTGGCCAGGAGCGCTCCGAGGGTGTGCCCATCAGCCGGAAGATCTTTTGCAGTTGGTCTTCGTTGGTGGTGCCGGGGAACAGTGGACGGCCTGTATACATCTCTGCCATGATACACCCAGCAGACCAGATGTCGATGCTCGTGTTGTACGTGCGGCTGCCGAGGAGGACGTCGGGGGCGCGATACCAGAGCGTGACGACTTCGTTAGAGAAGGTATTGACGGGAATACCAAACGCACGGGCTAGACCGAAATCGGCGAGCTTGAGCTGGCCTTTCTTGTTGATCAAGAGGTTCTGTGGTTTGAGGTCACGGTGTAGGACGCGGTTCTCGTGGCAGAAGGCAATGCCCCGCAAGAGCTGGTGCATGAACGATTTGATCGTGATGTAGTCCAGCGAGCCGTGGTCTCCCTTGGTATCCATGTAGCGTTTCAGGTCTCGGTCCATGTATTCGAACACGAGCATGAGCTTGTTTTCGGTGTGGATGACATCGTACAGCGAGACGATGCTTTCGTGCTTCAGCTCCTTCATCAGCGAGATCTCGCGAATCGCCGTCGACGGGGTGCCTTCCTCCGAATCAAGGTGTATTTCCTTCAGAGCCACCATCTCGCCGGTCTGCCGATTGCGGCCTTTGAAGACCTATGATCCGGGTCAGGTATGGTCTTCACACCAATATTTATATTGCGGGTGTGTGCGTGTTTTGGGAGTAACTTACTGTGGCATAGGTTCCCTCACCGAGCTGTGGTTATGTTAGCCACGGTCATGAAAATATTAAAATATCAAAGGGTTTGAAGGGAGGAAAGAGGGCGCACCTTCTCCAGCTGCTGGAAGGAGCTGGGCTGCTGAGGCTTGTCCATGCTGCGCGAGTATTCTCTCTGGGACTGCACAGAGAGGGAGTGCGGGGTGGTGGTGGTGGTGGTGGTGGTGAACAGCAACGAGCTGGGCGAGACGAGCGAGGAGGCGATGTTGAGGAAGGCAGCGGCACGCAGCGATGAGTCGGGCGGATTGATGGGATGGATGTGATTGTAATTATTATTGCTATTCTGCATGTCGATGATCTCCAACCAAGTCGAATAGTTAGTTAATCCGCTTCAGTTTTGGCGCCGGTTTGGGCTGTCAGCGCCAGGCCCGTGCCTGCGTGGCCAATCAGCGGGCTGCACCGCGCCATGACTCGACGTCCTTGCGTCTACTATTATCATCTTATATGCATATGTATATATATTAGACTCTATTTTTATATACTGTCTAGAGGCACTCTTTATGGCAAGCGCGACACCACCTCTGGGAGCACTGCCTCCGTCCTGTGGTCGCACCGCACATGGTTCTGGAGATACCGCTCGCCCAGGAGCTCCCCAAAGATCTGCGACTCATTGCGCACGCCTCCAACGTTAATGATGCCAATGGCCATTCCTCGTCGGTGCGCTCGCTCGACTAGCCGCCACGCAGAGTACGTCGCCAGGCTGCTGCCCATGATCAGCAGCCGACCAGCATCGTCAACGGCTTCCTCGGCTGTACTGCGCACCATCGGACTAGTAGATTCCCCAAACATGATGACCGCAGGCTTCAGTATACCAGCCGTAGACGATGGCGACCAGGCGCCGTCTTGCTCCTCTACAACCGCCCTCGATCCATCTTTGAGCAGCGGCGGATTCGCCAGGCAGCGTGGACACGCGGGGTATCGGAAGCTGGAGTAGTGTGCGTGAGGGAGATCCACGTCGCCGTCCGGGTTCAGCTTGAGTCCTCTCTTCTGTTGTTCCTCAGGGTTATTCGTATCCAACGCGCCTGATCCCAGCATCTCATGTAGGAAATCCGCCCAGACAGGATTGAGCTGCGTCAGGGACTGCTGGAAGTCCTCTCGCGGCACTAGATTATGGCAATTGACGCACACCACAGACCGTAAAAATCCATGCAACTCAATCGTTGCCAGGTCTGGGTGCGCAATCGGATGGAACGAGTCTACGTTCTGCGTAATCACACAACTGATGTAGCCCTTACGACCCAGCTCAGCGACAGCCCTATGCGTCGAGTTGGGTTTTGCCTTGGCCAACCCGGGCCACCCGACAAAACTGCGTGCCCAGTATCGCTTTCGAGATTCGTGTCTCGTCACGAACTCGTGGAAATAGGTTGGGCGATACGACTTGTTTCGCACGTACGTCCCGTTTTCGCCCCTGTAGTCAGACAACCCCGATGCTACCGAGATTCCGGCGCCTGTGAGGAGAACCGTCTGGCCATTTTTGCCCACGTCGATGCCCTGGAGCAGAGGTGAGGGCGGAGCAGAGAAGAAGTTGAGCAGGGCGTCGATGGCACCGGGGACCGTGCTCGCGGTTTTGGGAAAGACGATGGCGGGTGGCAGCGGGCTTGTGTAGGGGATTCTCAGCGGCGACATCGAAGCATGATGAATATAATAATATCATTGACGGAGGTTGCAGTTGCACCTGCAGGAACAGCAAAGAATGAAGGTGAGAGAAGACGAGAGGACGGAGGCTTGGCACGCTGGAGCATGTCGGATATATCCCCGCCTCGTCTTTGTGCTATCCCATTGATACACTAACTATACTATTCCATTGATATGCATTGTTGTTATTGATAGGTATTATTAACTACTCCGTTAATATTACCGATCAATCTCATCAGATACTGCTGCGTGTGCACGCATTGGGCGTATCCAATATCGATATCAATATCAATATCGAAGAACCACTCGGAAATCCGGCAAGTCAGCGCATTCCGGAAAAGGGACACCCGGCACCACCACTGACTACATGTTCATACGCCCGACAACATCGAGATTCGCACTCAGTCCAGTGCCAGCTCTCGCGAAGTACTTCTTCCCCGGCCGGTAATCCAAATCCGCAATGACAAGTCGCCATTGATCCAAGGACGGGGGCAACGAAGGAAAAGACCAGGGTGTCCTTTTTGGTCGTCAGCATTTTGTGCCTGCCAGCTTGATGACTCTTCTGGCGCTGCGTGGCCGGGGCCGCGCGTGCCACCACCACTGTTTCCCCGGATTATTGTTCTTCTTATCCCCATCGAATTCGACACTTGGTCGTCACACGACACGACGACTTTACCAGGCCCGCGTGCTGTGTGCTTCCAGGTCGTCGCGCATTAACACAACTCATCATTATTCCCCTCGCCTGATAAATCCCGCCCAGCGCAGACCTCAGCTCGATTCCTCTTCCTCCCTGCATGCTACGACTCCCTCACCAACAACACCAACAACAATAGCTCTAGTTACATCTTTAATGACGACGCAAAAAAGGAGCCATGCTGGCCATGGCCATCACCATCACCACCATCACGACAATGTTTACCTGACCTCCAAAAACAAAAGCGACGCCGGCGTGCGGATAACCCGCATTGGACTACTCGTCAACCTGGCAATGGCCATAGGGAAATTTCTGGGCGGCTATTTCTTCCACTCCCAGGCCCTGGTCGCAGACGCATACCATGCACTAACGGACTTGGTCTCCGATTTCATGACCCTGGGCACTGTGGCGTGGTCGCTCAAACCCCCGAGCGAGAGATTCCCCAATGGCTACGGCAAGGTCGAGAGCCTGGGTGCGCTCGGCGTCAGCTCGCTGTTGCTCTGTGGCGGTGTCTTTATGGGCCTGAATGCAGGCCAGGTTCTCTTGTCGCAGTTCTACCCCGACGCCTTCGAGGCATTACAACATGCTGGTCTGCTCGTGCACGGCCATTCGCATGGGCATGACCACAACGCCGAGGTTCTAGGCCCGAATATCAACGCGGCCTGGCTGGCTGCTGGATCAATTGTGGTCAAGGAATGGCTCTACCGTGCTAGTAAGATTTATTAGATTTAATTGATCATGACTGTCACTGACATTTGGTTTTCTTTTTTAGCAATGAAAATCGCAAAGGAACGCAAATCATCCGTCCTTGCCTCCAATGCCATACATCACCGCATCGACTCTCTCACCAGCATCGTCGCTTTGGCGACCATCGCCGGCGCACATATCTTCAAAAGCGCAGCGTGGCTTGACCCGGTCGGCGGCCTGGTTATTTCTTTGATGGTCATCCAGGCCGGATGGGGCAACACCAAGACGGCTCTTCTCGAGCTCGCCGACACCACAGTCGACGACGAAATCAAAGATTCCGTTCGTCGCGCAACATCAAAGACGCTCGCCCAAGTTTCACGACCCGGGGACGTGGAACTTCGAGATATCCAAGGAATGAAATCCGGACAAAACTACTTGATGGAAATCGAACTTGCGGTTCCTGGCTCTTGGACAGTTGAACAATTCCGCCACATCGAGGAGACGCTGCGACAAGCAATCGGCTCGAAAGTTCGCGGCGTGCGGCGAGTCAAAGTGCGCGCTGTGCCGCGCGAGCTCAGCAATGTCAGTTTCATTGAGGAGTTCATCCCTGGAGATGTGAGCCCGCGGAGCAGTCCTGAGCCGGAAGAGAATGGACACAACCACCAGCACAATGGGAATACAAACAATGGAGTGCATAAACGGCACTAACCGGCGATTGAAGAATAAAACTAAAAACTAAACTCAATCCTGCTTTGGCAGGCCAAAGAATAGCAGATATGAGCAGCGAATAGACGTCTGTCTAGAAGCATGTGGGATTCAAATTCATCATTGGAATACTAGGTCACCTTTGTCAGGATGTAATAAATCAGCTAGACCATACATATTAGACATGTATTTTTGAAGATATTTCCACAATTATGCAGACCAGGATCATATTAAGCGGCCGGTTAAATGGACATCTAGAGCTTGCGGCAACTTACCCGAGCGGCCCAGCTTGCTGGTAAATCATGGCTGCATCTACGAATACGACGATCCTTACCGCATAGGTCGACGCCTGTGTAATCAGCTGTAATGGATGACAGCACTCCTTACATCATCGGAACAAACCACAAAAACAATAATATTTAATAAACTGGCGCATGCGCAAGAGAACCCGGTTATTTGCCTGCCATTTAGCCTTAAACCCTACCCTAGGACTGATTTCTTAAAGCTCTCGCTCAGCCTGGCCCGATTCAAGCTACCCCTCCAACATTGAACATTCCTGTGCCAAATACCCGGGGTTAACTATCTAGGCTGTAGGGTATAGACATCGACTGTGTGTCTTTGGATCAGCCGCAATGGCGTCGACCGGCGGACCGCTGTACATCGGCTTTGACCTCTCCACGCAGCAGCTCAAGGGGCTGGTGGTGTCGTCAGACCTGAAGGTGGAATACGAAGCCAAATTCGACTTTGACGCACACTCGCACGGCTTCCAGATCAAAAAAGGTGTGATGACCAATGAAGCTGCGCACGAGGTGTTTGCGCCCGTGGCCCTGTGGCTGCAGGCGCTGGACTGGGTGTTGAAGACGCTGCAGGACCAGGGTCTTGACTTTCGGCGTGTGAAGGGTGTGAGTGCTGCGGGCCAGCAGCATGGCAGTGTGTACTGGAGTCATGATGCGGGGAGGTTGTTGGCTGGGTTGGATAGGAATAGGACTCTGCAGGACCAGCTCGATGCGGCCTTCTCGCACCCGTATAGTCCCAACTGGCAGGATGCGAGCACGCAGAAGGAGTGCGATGAGTTTGATGCGTATTTGGGCGGGCCCGGCGTGTTGGCCGAGGTGACGGGGAGCAAGGCACATCATGTAGGGCTTTCCTTTTTATATACGGATGATTTTTTATTTTTTTTATTTTGCTGTGTTGATGGCTAATGCCGGTGGGCATTGGAATAGCGATTTACAGGTCCTCAGATTCTTCGCTTTCAGAGAAAATATCCCACGCAGTACAGGAAGACATCTCGGATCTCGCTGGTGTCGTCCTTCATTGCCTCGCTGTTTCTGGGATCAATTGCACCCTTCGATATTTCAGATGTCTGTGGGATGAATTTATGGAATATCAGACAAGGTGCATGGGATGATCGCTTGCTGAAGCTATGTGCGGGTACTTTCGGGGTAGAAGATTTGAAGCAGAAGCTTGGAGATGTGCCCGAAGACGGAGGCATTCACCTGGGCAAGATTCACAAATACTTTGTGGAACGTTACTCCTTCAACCCAGACTGCACGATCATTCCTTCTACGGGAGACAACCCATCTACGATTCTCGCGCTTCCTTTGAAGCCATCGGATGCGATGGTTTCGCTGGGAACGTCAACTACGTTCTTGATGTCGACTCCAAGCTACAAACCAGACCCCGCCACCCATTTTTTCAACCACCCGACGACGCCGGGGTTATACATGTTCATGCTGTGCTATAAGAATGGCGGGCTTGCGCGAGAGCATGTGCTGGATGCGATTGACAAGACGGTTGAAGGAAACGCGGCGGCGGACGGAGGGCCGTGGGCTAATTTCGACAAGGCGCTCTTGGAAGCACCAGCGATGGGTCAGAAAACAAAAACTGACGTGATGAAGATGGGTCTTTTCTTCCCGCGCCCTGAAATTGTCCCGAACCTACCATCTGGCCAGTGGCGGTTCAACTACAGCCCTGAAACCCAGACCCTCACAGAGACGACTTCAGGCTGGAACCAGCCTCTGGACGAGGCTCGCGCCATTGTGGAAAGCCAATTCCTTTCGCTCCGACTTCGGTCACGAGGACTGACTACGTCTCCAGCCGAAGGTCTTCCAGCTCAACCCAAACGTGTATACCTTGTTGGCGGAGGGTCCCGAAATAAGGCTATTGCTAAAGTGGCAGGCGAGATACTGGGCGGTCACGATGGCGTGTACAAGCTCGACGTCGGGGAGAACGCATGCGCGCTGGGAGCCGCATACAAGGCTGTTTGGGCCATTGAGCGACAGCCAGACCAGACATTCGAGGATTTGATCGGCAAGCGATGGCGTGAAGAAGACTTTGTAGAGAAGATTGCCGACGGCTACCAGCCTGACAGATTCGAGCAGTACGGAGTCGCCGTGGAGGCGTTCGATCGCATGGAGAAGCAGGTTGTGCAAAAGGAATCTCGTTAGATAAATGCTCATTCGCCGTTCTGGGCTGTGGCATGATTTGTTAGTTTGGGATAGAGCTAATGTAAGACTTTATGTCGTACTTTAAGCGCCTGATAAATGACGTAGTTGATCCGCGCTGATGCTCTCATGCGCAGGTGCTGCGGCTGGCAAAAAGTAGCAGAAGACATGTTGAATATCCTGCTTTCGAGAAACACGACGAGAGTGCCTGCATAAATGACAGCTGCCAGCAGAATAAGAAGGTAGTAAAAGGGGAAGAGGTCAAGAAGATGCATAGGAATGCATATGTCATGGTTAGCGTGTGCCCAATCAGGTAACAAGGGTCGTGCCTGCCTGGGCGTTCCACTTTCCCGCTTCCACAAAACAACCGACAATATTAAATGCTGCACACCGCAGAGCTTGCCACAAGACCAGCCCTCTCGCATTCAGCTTTGTGTATTATCCATTGCAGTGCCGCCTCAATGTGAGCAAGCTCGCTCTCTGCCACCCTGCAGAAACTGACCGTCTTGCAGATTATTCCAATCGCCCTCCTCCGTTATCGCCGCAAATTATGGCCGCCTTGTAAACTCGATCCGTGACCTTCCCCGTCGATGTGTCGAGCACTCTGGTCCTTCGCACGCCACCCCCTGCCCCCATATAGGCACAACTCGTTGCATCTCTTGTCCTCGAGAGTCTCCGCGACTCGCCGGGGCAGCTCACGATGGAAGAACAGGTAATTTCTGATCGGTGACGGCATGCCCGTTATCTGCCCCGCCCCCTCCATCGCCGCACCGCAAGTCGCTTCTTGTACGCCCCTACTAATGCGGTCTGTCTCTTCTACTCACAGGTAGCAAATGCCATCGAGATCGCCTCCAACCCTACCTCGGACCAATCTTTGAAAACACAAGCCTTCGAATACCTGAACCAGCTCCGCTCCGACCCCTCGGGATGGCAGGTCTGTCTGGCAATCTTCACCAAAACACCGCGACACTCGGAGATTGTTCGTCATGTCGCATTGGAAGTTGTCAACAGTGCCGCCCAGGCGGGGATTATTGATCTCCAAGGCTTGCAGTATATCAAGGATGGGTTGATGGAGTACTTGCGGCAGGTCTACGGAAGTCAAGGTGCAGCATCAGATGGTCCCGCCATTCAGAACAAAATCGCCCAGACCGTTACCTATTTGTTTTCTGCACTTTACGGCAATGGCTGGGAAAGCTTCTTCGACGACCTCCTCAGTCTGACGACCAGTAATCCGGCCGCAAATCTTCGGGACAACTCGCTTGGAATAATATTCTACCTCCGAGTCACCAACTCTATTCATGACGAAATAGGCGATGTGCTAGTTTCACGATCACGCGTGGAACAAGAAAAGGCAAACGCTTTGAAGGATCTCATTCGTCAAAGGGACATGCAAAAAATAGTTACCTCCTGGCAGGAGTTTCTGTCTCAATGGCAAGACGGCAACGACCAGATTGTTGAAATGTCCCTGAAAGCCATCGGTAGCTGGGTCAGCTGGATCGACATCGGCCTCATCGTTAATCAGACAATGCTCGATCTTCTCTTTCAACAACTATCTCGTGCTCAAAAGTCTGATCTTCGGGACGGCGAGGATAAACTGAGGGATGCAGCTATCGATGTGTTTACAGAGATTGTGGGCAAGAAGATGAAACCAGAGGACAAAATCGACATGATCATATTTCTCAACCTCGATGGTATCGTCACTCAGCTCTCCAATAGCGAACCGCTCCGTGGAAATCGATTTACTTCCAAATATGACACCGATCTTGCCGAAACCGTTGCGAAACTTGTTAATATTGTTGTTCTCGATATTGTTCGTGCAATGGATAACGACACAATCGACGTTGCAACGAAGGAAAAGGCGACCAATTTGCTCAAAATTTTCTTGATCCATGTTCTTCGATTTTTTTCGGATGACTATGATGAAATTTGTTCAACAATCATCCCATGCGTCATGGACCTTTTGTCTCACGTTAGAAAGGTCTCCAAGCAAAGCCTTGGAATGAGAGAGCAACATGCTCCCATGTTGCTCCCTATTCTAAAAGCTACCATTGCAAAAATGCGATACGACGAAACTTCATCATGGGGCGATGAAGATGAACAGACGGAAGAGGCCGAGTTCCAAGAGCTGCGCAAGAGACTGAATGTCCTACAGCAAAACATTGCCGCTGCTCACGAGGAACTCTATATCAATGCTCTTTCCGAGGTGGTTGGGAAGACATTTGAAGACCTTCGTCAATCAGGCGGCCAGCTGGATTGGCGTGATCTTGATTTGGCTTTGCAAGAGATGTATTTGATCGGCGATCTTGCTGTCAAGGTTGGCGGACTCTACAATAAGAATAAACCTAACAGCCCCGCAGCGGAGAGACTCGTTGAAATGATGAAACTGATGGTTGAGTCTGGTAATTATATTATCATTTTTGCTCATTTCCAAGCTAACTTCTTTCTCAAGACATCAGATACTTCACTCATCCTGTGACTCAGCTACAATTTATGGAAAACTGTGTACGGTACAGCACTTTCTTCGAACATCACGCACATCTCATCCCCGGTGTTCTGGAAAGCTTTCTCCAATTTGCACATCACTCTATTAAACGAGTGAGAACTCGGTCTTGGTACCTCTTCTTCCGTTTGGTAAAGAGTGTCCGTTCTCACATCGGAAATGTCGCCCAGACGGTAATCGAGGCTTTAAGCGACCTGCTAGTCGTTCAAGCAGAGCTGCCGTCCGAAAATGACGATAGGGATGACATGTCTTCATCAGGCCATGAATTAACATACGATGCCATTTTCTCGAACCAATTATACCTTTTTGAAGCCGTTGGATCGCTGTGTTCCACTCCAGGTATCCCTGCGGATAAACAGGTCATTTACGCGCAGTCTGTCATGAATCCTCTATTCGTGGATATGGAAAGACATCTGGTCACTGCTAAGTCTGGAGATGAGCGGGCCTTACTACAGATACATCATGATATCATGGCTCTTGGAACACTTGCTCGAGGCTTCTCGGAATGGACCCCAGGAATCACGAGCGCTGGAAAGCCACCCACAGACGAAATTTCAGAGGCTTTCAATCGAGTTGCCGAAGCCACGCTGGTTACCCTTGAATCTCTCAAGACATCTTTCAGTGTTAGAACTGCTGCGAGGTTTACGTTTTCTCGCCTCATTGGAATTGTCGGCCTGAGACTCCTCCCACAACTACCTAGGTGGATAGATGGGCTATTAACAGAGACATCTTCTAAAGACGAAATGGCCCTATTTTTGCGACTGCTGGATCAAATAATCTTCGGCTTTAAGACTGAAATATACAGTATTCTGGATACTCTCCTCACACCATTCCTCCAACGTGTTTTTGCTGGTATCACGGACACAACAACAGGCACAGACGACGAAATTCAACTTGCGGAATTGAAACGCGAGTATCTTAGCTTCTTGTTGGCCCTTTTGCAAAATGACCTTGGTTCTGTCATTGTTAGCCAATGTGAGTATTTTGTTCTGCGTGCAAAGCTTTATCTACTATATGCTAATAGTAGTAGCCAATCAATCTATATTCGACTCGGTCATATCTACCATTGAACATTTCATTAGAGATGTAGATGACTTCACAACCGCGAAAATGGCATTCAGCGTACTATCAAAGATGGCAGTCTCTTGGGGGGGATCTGAGACAACTCAAAATGGTGTCACCGCATCTCAGGGTGCGATACCTGGATTCAATCAGTTCATGTTCACTCGATTTTCGCCACTGTGTTGGGTTCTCCCAAGCTCTAGTGGCTTCAACCCTAAAGATGCACAAGCGAGGCAAGTATTGGGCGAAGCTGGTGCATTACAGCAGACAATTTACTCAAAGGCCGGCACTGAGTATACGGATTACCTTCGGGGCCAAGAGCTTCCTGGGGTGGGTATGGGACCGGAGCTAGTTGAAGAATATATCAATGCTTTGACCCAGTTGGATGTAAAGGGGTTCCGAGCATTTTTCCTGGTAAGCGAGATTAATTCCTGCATCCGATAGACATTGCTAATTTTTATAGTCTTTTATTCAGCGGTTCAGCTCATAATACCCATTTTCTTACTCGCCGTTTTCTGTATAATCCATGAAAGACCTCTTTACTTGATTATATCCCACGCTCAATACCTTGAAGAAATTTGAAACCTCACCCTAAGAGCGGTTTGTGATTCTTCATTTTGCTTTTTCATCATACATATTTTCGACTTTTGCATTCGTGGCGTTTTCATACACGCACTACTACTCATACTAACATTGTAACATTGTCCTCAAACTAATGAGGGACTATTGCTGGAATACATTTACCAAAAAAGGGCGATTGAGTTTGAATATCTACATGCTGATAATGTTTCAAAACAAGTCTCAATATGACTACGAGAGCGACTGGCACATTGTTTACGAGGAAATGTTTAAAAGAGAGAACCCAGAAATTCCGATATCAAGATACACTTGAGATCATCACCAAGTCGTACAAAATAAACAATATATTATGTATTAGGAATTAAAGGCCTGCCTATAATACATAGACAAAAGGACGAAAATAATAGAAATATATCCGCGAGTGGTCACATTTTCCAATTCTCACGCGTCGATGATTGTATCGCCTTTCTATCATCACTTCAAGCGAGGTCAGAACATGAATTTTATTATCTGCTATCTTCATTTTGTCACCGCGAAAATCCCCATATCCTTTATTTACAATAAATGAATGAATGATCTTAGCAGAGAAACAGGATTTGGAAAAAAAAGGCCACCCACTATGCAAATAAATACTTGGCGGCATGTTCTACATGATCGTCCGAAAACGTCGCCATAGTATAATAACTATGATCGTAATCCGGCTGATATCGGATATTCACACCGGTCACACCGGCTTCTTTGGCTGCTTTCTCGAAGTTTTCGGGTAGCAGTTGGCCTTGTTTGTAGAAATTGTCGCCGGTGCCCTGGACAAAAAAACGCAGGGTTGGTTAATTACCAAGGATATCGGACCTGGAAAAGAGGGCAATGGTACATACCACGTCAATGAGCACGTTCAACGGCCCCTTCCATTTCTTGACCAGCTCCGTAGCGTCATGTTCTTTCCACTTCTCTTGATTCTCTTCGCCAAAGTAGCCCTTGAATGCCTTCTGGCCCCAGGGACAATTAACCGGGTTTGTGATTGGCGCGAATGCGCTGACGGATTTGTATTTTCCTGGGTTTCGTAGGAACTTTTAAACAGTCAACAATACGATTTTTTTTTTCCGTTTTAGAAAAACAATTAGTAAAGGGAGCTATGTTACCAGTGTCAGAGCACCGTGTCCACCCATACTATGACCCGTGATACTGACACGGGTAGAATCGATTTCCCTGAATGCCGCAAAGACTGTTTGTGGAAGTTCTTCCGTTACGTAGCTGTACATATTGTAGCCCTTGTCGTACGGTGCCTTGGTGGCATCGACGTAGAAGCCAGCACCACTGCCGAAATCATAAGCATCGTCTTCCCCCTCAATATTCAGACCTCCTGTACAGCCCCTCATTGTAATCAGCAACAAAATCTATTTACTATGCAAGTATGATCAAAGAAGTAGGTGGTCTTACGTGGACTCGTATCCGGATACAGTACCGCAATGCCATTCTTACTCGCACCGTGCTGGAAGAACCCTTTCTCCGAGCAATTCTCCGCGGTGCAGGTCAAACCAGAGAGGTATATAAGCAAGGGAACTTTTTTATCTGGGTGCGCAATGGCTTGTGGCGGGAGATACAGATTGAAGTTCATTTCGCAGTTTGTGGTTGTGGCGTTGTGGCTCAGTTTGAGGAGTTTACCGCCAAAGGAGGCGATTGTAGCTTTTGTTGTTACTGCCATGGTGGTTTGATTTTCAATAATGGTCTTATGCAGACGGTGAGGTGTTTCTTGGGAGGCGGGCGATGTATATGAGTAAAGAAAAAGGTGTTAGTTAAGCTCAAGCTCGCAGCTACGACGTCAGAGGTAGGGATATATAGGTGGGGGGGCTCTCGCCGTGAGGGGCATCAATGTATATAGCCAGTGAGGGGAAGGCTTCGGAGTGGGTGAGGGGCAGTTTTTCTCAAGTAGGAAATCGGTGTCTATCACTACATATGTACTGTGGGGTCATGCTATCAGCCACTAGCTATGTTCAATTAATTGTATTGATGCAGGTGGATGATCAAATAATATCATTATCATATTCTACAGATGAGCTGCACCATCTATTTTGCTTATAAACATGGGTATCAGCAAACAGAAAAAGAATAAAACGCTAAAAATACATCCAGTCAACACCCCCAATGCTTATCTGTTAAGATATATAGGAATACCATAGATCACCGGCGCAGCTCCGTTCAAATACTTCAATAGACACGAGTTGCGAGACATGGCGATGGCCTCATCGAGAGCACAGTTTCCTTCTAGACTAGACTCAGCTCGAGCTGGCTCTTTACCCTTCGAGCTTTTCTTGGACTTGCTAGAGTCCTTCCGTTTCGTTATTTCTTGGTCATTCTCGCACTCATCTGGGCCAATTAAACCCCATTTCTGGAATGCGCATTTGGCAAATCGATCGATATCTTTATCTGTCACGTCCCACAGAGTTGCTACAAGCGCAGGAGATCCAGCTTGCATATAGTTCATTGGTGTGCCGTATGGCTCCAGCTCTCCAGTTTCTGTGAGACATCCACTACTGCAGCCCATGAGGAAGGCTACCGCACATTTGTCGAGGCGTTTTATTGTGCGTCCCCGAATGTACTGCGCTCCACTTCCGTGCCCAAAATACAAAAAGAGGCTTTTGCTTTCTAGTGCAGACTTAAACTCCGCTTCAGTGGGTTCGCGTTCGGTGATAGAGGACCAGCCGTTCAGATTTGACAATGTATTCTCAAATGTGCTCTGTGTTGTCTTCAAATCCCCACTTGGGTTGAGCACGGAGGTGCCATTGTTACGATCAATGTGAAAAATTTGACTCGACTCCTCTCCCATGGCCCTTCTGAATTGAACGATCCTTTCACGAAGGCATTCCAAGGATGGCATGCGTGAGACAGGTAATCCCTGCAGACATGGTAGAGATTCCCAAGGAAAAGAGTGCAATGACTTGTCGAGTACTAGGATGGTGTGATTCGGATGTTGTATATCTTGGGATGCGCTACTATTGTAGCTGTTCAATACATCAAGCGTATCAACAACCATCATGTCAAAGTCAATCTCATCGTACGCGTTGCGTTCACCTTGGAATTGAAGAATGTCGACAACGAAATACAGCAAGTCCATCAAGGAGTCTTCGGGATTTTCTTGTTTGTCGAGCCCTTTGAGTCCAACAAACAGTCCAAGTACATTCTCATGGATTTTGATCTTCTCTTTTCGGCTGCCCTGCTTTCGTCGCGAAGGTAGATGCTTGTCTAGTATTGTCTCAAATGACGCAGCAAATCGGGAAAGTCTTTCTGGGTCTCGAGGAGTCGGGTCGAATATACCCCGGAAACCACCTAACCAGACATTCTCGATGTTCTCTAGAAGTGTCTCAAGTCGACGATCTAGAGATTCACGTGTAGTCCACCAATCCTTCTTAGATTGTCTGTCTATCCGAGTTTTGGCGTCGTGGGCACTAGCATTGGCAAGTTTGATGATCTCCTTCATCTCGTTCTTACCCCAGTCAAATGTGAAGTCATCCTCACTTTCATCTCCTTCGTCACTTCGCTTAAGTGGAAGCCGTAGAAGAAATGGTGTGCTGTCACGGGACATTCTGGAGATAATGAATTCTGTATGGTCAGAGTTCAATGAAATAGATAATACGTTCCAGTCGCAGGGCAGGATATCGACATAATCTCGCGAGAAATTTGTGATAATGTCCATCTTCTCTTCTAGAACGTAACATGTAGAGGTCGGCCAATTCATTGAATCCACATTGCCAGAGAGTTTCTTATCAAGGCTGATGGCGAGACGTTCTCGATCGAAAGCGGTAATGCGTCCAAGTTCTGATAGGTTAGTAAATGAAATGTGTTCGACCTGGCTTGAGAGCTTACCATTTGCGTTCACCGGAGTCAGGATATCCTTGTCTATAACACCCGGTTTCGTCGCATGTAGAAGCATGGAAATACGGCCCATGAGGCACGACGCAGCATGTCCCTCCATCGTTGATCCAGACGCAACGGCCTTTCTAACGGTCTCGCTTATAGCACTCTTAGCCTGAGACATAATGCTCCCAATATCAATTTCTTTCTTAGCAGTCTTTGCAGCGCGACCTCGTGGTTCCTTTGCCGTTGATTTTGATCGTTTCACAGGTGCAGTTTGTTTGTTAGCTGGAGAAGTCATAGCGTCGATAACAGCTTCGATTGATGGCACGGATAAGGTAGATTCAGGGAGAACGCAATATACAGCATGAGTTGCGATACTTCTCATGGCATCTGCGAGTAAATGTTCAATTTCTTCAATTTGAATTGATATCTGACTTGTCGTGGAAGGGGATTCTCGGAGGTTTTCAAGCAGTTTGGACGCTTGATCCAGGTCTTGAACGGCCAACAAGTTTACAACTTGTTGTCGGAAAATCTCGTTTTTAAGAGCTATAATAGATTGCGAGTGGACTGCAGGCTTTGGAAGAACGACGTCTTCTGTCGCCTTAGTAGTGGATTTCGGGGTCGCTCTCGTTTTTCGTGGTCGTCGATTTGGGAGGAGCTCGGTTTCTTTCAAAACAGAAGCTTGACGAATTTTCAGGTCTGCCATTTTGTCCTCGAGACTGCTGTTGGTAGGCTTGACAGAAAATAATGAGTCTGGCTTTACCTCGGAAGCGCGACCAAGCAATACTCCGGCCTCTTCGAGAAGTCGCAAAGCTTCTTTATGCTCTCCGTGGCCTTTACTTAAAGCCGCCAGACTGATCTTCAGTTTGACGACCTCCAGGTTGTTGAGAAGATTCTCAGACGAATATGGTGCGGCGTTAAGAACCTCCTTAGCTTCCGACAGGTGATTTCCCCGAATCCACTCCAGCCCTAATTCAGCTTGACAAGCGATTAAGCGTAAAGGAGCACCGAGCGCTTTGTTGACCTTCAGAGCTTGTTCGCCATAGTATATCGCGTCTTGAAACAATCCATTGTAAGCAGAAAGACGCATAAGGTTTAGGAAACATTCATTATGTGAGGCCACATGGTTCCAATAAACCGCCCCTTCTCTGTAGCTGCATGCGGAAGAGGCAGACGCCGAGGAAATTTCCATATTTGCTACACCGTCGATGACAAGATCCATCTCCGATATTTCTTTTGTCAGCTGACCCGATTCTCTTTTCTTTTCAGACAGGTGTTCTAGTTTAGCCCATATCCGGGTACTCAGTCTGACTGATAACTTGGCATGGTACAAAGCGACTTCTAGGTTTTGTCGATAGTAAGCGATACGGGAGAACAAAAGAGTTCCGTCAACAACCAGGCGTTCCCACACAACTTTGGAATGACTTCGGTTTCCACCAACATCTGTTCCATTCTCTCTATCTTGGTAGAGCTGCTGGGCAGAAGATAAGGCTGTTTCAGAGAGATCCGGATTGCCGATCTCTAGGTAGTATTCACTTCGTGCTAATTGATATGCCACCGAGGACTGATTGTCAACGCTGTGAGTATCGGCATACTTTTTCGCACGATCTAGTAAGTAGAGAGCAGAGTTGCAATCTCCACGGCGACAATACTGCAATGCGCAACGTGATAAGATTAGCAACATGGACGACTCATCTGGGACTGGTTGAAGTTCGAAAATGTGGATGAGAAGCTCGGATGCCGCCAAGTAGAGCTTCCAGAATCCACGGGCATCGAAGTAATCCGAGGCCGCCTTGAGCTGTGCAATCCAATGCTCGCAATCATCAACGACAGAGTTGAGTGTATCCCAGGTCGTGCAGTTTCGCATCATAAAGGTCCAGGACGCGATGGTATCTCCTAATCTGTTTATCTCAATATCATCATCGTAGAAAGAGAGGGCGAGCCTGAGAGAGTTTTGAATATGTAATACAAATGGTTCTAACATGGCATCTTTTTCGGAAGTTTTGGATTTGAACACGTTTGAACTAGCACCTTTAGTCAAAGTCTCAGTGACCACATTGTCAGCTGAGTTGGGATGGTCAAGAAGAAAGCGGAGTATGAATCGGATAACACGTAAACGGCGGATCGGATAAATTTCCAAGGAATAAAGCGAAAGAAGTTCAGAGATGAGCATTTGGAATAGCTCCCGGAAATGATCGGTGTCAGAGTCAAGGCCATGCGAGCCTGTAATTATGGCTATCTGCCATTCAAGCAGAATTCCCCGCTCTTCAGAAGGCAAACTTTTGTTATCAAAAACATATTTTTCGTCATTATCTGGTCGACGTATTTGCATTTTGAGATATGAGGACAGAACTCGGCCTAAGATGAAACCGGGACTTTGGGAATCATTCAGAGGGTTAACTGGAGGCTTTCCAGAGAGATACGCCATGTATTGTTGAAGTACCCCGCAGTCGATATGTTCTTGTATTGATCTTTGAAAACATGAGAGAGATTTTGCGCCCATTCTTGCCTCCAGGTACAGATGTGCAAGTCTTTCAAATTTGAGAGCAGCAAAACCGGCTACTCTTTCGGCAACTGGACAGTTTTGTAGAAGATTGGCGGACTGGTCAAGCAGTGGAATAAGTTCCTTGTACCCTTGGCCTGCTTCTTTCTCCTTGAGGTAACGAGACCAATAAACATTGGACAGCTTCACTGTCGATGCCTTCCAACTATTGCCATCATCCAAGGAGTGCTCGTCAAGATTCTCGAGGTTACTCAATAACCTTCGAGAGTCTGACAGGACTGGCTGTACAGTTTCCCAAGGCGGAATTTGACGCAACACGGCTGTTTTCCCCAATGCGACAGACGAATCCACAGCGGAAAGTATGATGTTCTTTAACCTACACAATACCGCCTGGGCTTGTATTTTGGACGTTTCATCATCCTTATCCTGCACTTGACGACCAATATATCTCCTTAGGAAGCGGATGAATGCATGTAAAAATTCGACAGTTGGGTTGACTATGTCGTCCTTGGGGTTAGAATTAGAAGAGAAGGAGTCTCCAAAGCTTGCCATTGTTAGTTTTTTAAGCTTGGCTGACTCGACCACTAATTCTTCAAGCTCGTGACTACTACCTTTATTCGGCGATTTCAGTCCTGTAGCCGCAGTCACAAGAGAGTTGGCTACCAAACTCGGAGAATAGTCTTTGATGTTTCGGCAAAGGCACAGGTGTATAAAAGCAATTCGACATTGAATTATGCTGACTGCCAAGGGTTGTTCTACCTCTGCGGATTCGATTGCATTGGAAAAGAGTTTCAAGGCCTCCTCCAAACAAGAGGCATCTTGGGCAATTCGACCAAGAACCGAAGCAATTTTCCATGGAAATGCTATTGTGGACATGCTGTCATTCGTGCCCTTCGATTGCAGGCGCTGTACTGTCCTGTATATTGAGACAAAATCAGACCTTTGAATTTTCGATCCGTTATTCGAGAATGTCTCCAGAAAGCGCAACAATGGGTCCCAAAATTCACGTTTGAGATCAGGGATGTGACCAGATAGCTCCCATGACATAGTACGGACCTCCATTGATAATAATTGTAACGTGAGGGTAGAAAGAGAACGTGTGTTAAATTTTTTCGTAGCAGGATTCGCGGCAATCGACTTCTGTGACAAAGTTGCCAAAGATGAGATAGTGTTGGACAAGGAAACCAGTTGCAAAGCGGCCTTATCTTTGTCCAGGATTTTAGCTTCCAAAGACTGCAAGATAATCTTGGCGGGACTACTCGGGTTTGATATAGCAAGAGCACTACTCGCTTTTTCAACATTTGAAACTTTTGCCTCGGAGATAACGAGTTTCAAAACATTTGTCTGAAATGGAACAAGAGCACTGAGAACTGGTCCTGCATGCTCGACGTTCTCCAACAGCAGTAAATCGGCCGCAGTTTCTGTCACAGAGGTATCCTCAACCGGTCGAGAAACCGAAGCCTTCGACGAATTGTTGCCTGCTCTTGATTGTATAAACTCTTGTAGACGCCTTTTCAGCGCTTTCAATTCTCTGTAAGCCATATTGTTCAATCCGAGCGCGATAAGTCTTCCCGCAAGTACACAAGTTCCCTGTTCAAGTTGTAGATTCGGATAGGCGTCACTTCCTGCTTTATCATTCTTTAGTGTTCGAAGACTGGCAAGAGCTAAACTCGCGCATTCCGCTGCTGCTACCAAGCCATCGGCAGACGATTGCTCACTCGTACCCGATGAGCTTTTGCTCGTTTTCAATTTTATTGTTGGGGCGATGACCATCTGCTGGTTTGGCGACGCGGGTTTCAGGGGAGATTTGCCATTGTGCTGTGACGCACTGATCTGTAAAGCATCTGATAAAGCCCTCGAGACTGCATTAAACACCTCCGTTGCAAGCACCAACCTGTCTTGCACGGACAACTGTTGTGTCTCCTCGTCGCCTTTAATATCGGTAGCGGAAGGTTGAAAAACGGCGACTTTCGCTGCAATTTTCGGATTCACTGACCGCGTCGATTTTGTGCGAGTCACTGTGCTTGCAGTGGCCTTTGTTGATTTACTGTTCGAGCGAGCCTTTTCTGACGACGCAGGCTTTGTGGTGGACCGTAGTAGCGATTGTAGAGAGGCCACTGTTGACGCTGTGCAAGTTGTTGTTGATTTGACGGCTTCCTTGACAGACTCTGGGAGGCAGGAGTCTGCCAATGATGTTTTTACCGCCATCCTTACGCTTCGTTAGGCAAGTTGTGTCATGAAGTGACAATATCCTGCTAAGTTATTAGTAAGAATCGCATTTGATGTGTCGTGACTTTAGTGATTTTGGAGATCGCGAACACTAGCTTTACCCCGAACCTTGGCTTTACCCAGGTGAGCCGTTGCCGGGACGACCACGCCGTTCTGGAAGGAACCGACAAAGCAGGCCACTGCGCTAGTCGCTTTTTGGATCCTCACATCGGCCTCAGGCCGCCAGGTCTCCGCAGCAAAGCAGATAATTTGCCCAGTATCATAGATTGTTTTAACGCATGGTGATCCTACCACACCAAGCACCAGCTAGTTATGATGAATCCCCTCAGATCAGCCAGCCGACGCTCCGGCTATGCACTCTCGTCTCTTTCACCCTGGCGAACATCCTACAAGATCGGACTATCACACTCGCAAGCCCACGGACGATTTCGCTCTACCACTACTAGCACTGCCTCCGACGCACTACCCCGGATCGCCCAGACATCATTATGGACCTCAATAATCCCAAGATTCATCCGTGACCGCTTTAGAGCACCATCGAGTCCATCATCAACCAAATCGGCGTCACAGGAATGGAACCCAGCGACATTCTACATCGTGATATTCCTGCTCATCGGCTCTCAGGCTATTCAAATGCTGCTACTGCGGAAAGACTATGAGAACTACAATCGGAAAACGGATGCCAAGATACGGTTGCTGAATGAAGTTATTCAGAGGGTGAAGAATGGGGAGAATGTGGATGTTGAGAAATTGTTGGGGACGGGGGAGGAGTCGAAGGAGAGGGAGTGGGAAGAAGGTTAGTATGGGCTTATGTCTTGTTCGGGCTTGGTATTGAAATCCGATGCTGATATATTTCTGATGGTTGCGTAGTGCTTAAAGAGATTGAAGAGGAAGATTCTATCTGGCATCAAAAGGCTCGCAAAGATTCAGCGCCCGAGTCTGCCGGGAATACAAGTAAAGAGAACAAGTCTGTTGAGAATGTAAAAGAGCACAACAAAGGTCGCCCTCAAGAGCCAATTTTAAAAACAGGGGCTATGTCAAACATCGGTGGAAAGGGTCGCTTCTATTAGAAATCTTCATACCCTGAAGCAGCTTCGGCTTCGACTTTAAAATGTGATACCCATGCATGTCTCCATGTATATAGTTGTATAATCCTCTTGGTGAAAAGTTGTAAGAATATACATGTATATTTTCTCCGATCGACATCTGGAAGTTTCTAATAATCTCTATCCACCCTAACAGAAGCAATGCAGTATATTCATAGGGCATCGCAGCCACTCTATCCGAAGTTGAAACACCGTACTTTTTGTACAGCCCGACAGGAGGATCAAAGAAACCATGACTCTGAAGTCAAAGACAAAGCCGATCTATCTATGACAGCCAGGAAGAAGAAGTGCTCCAACACGCACCGCACAATCTATGTGCGAAGAAAAGCCCGCAACTAATACAGCATGCGCTCGCTAACAAAAAAGACTTTCAAGTCTGCCCATACTCAGAAAAAGAAACCCAATGCAAGAAAACCCAATAGATGAGTTCGTAAAAAGAGTAACGGGTGGAGAAGTACGAATTTACAATGACGGACCGCGGCGAGATACCATAATAAGAAAAATGTGCTTTTTGGTACCGTTACCGATTCCTCAAGAGAATCGTTTGGTGATAGTCAACCAGAGCCTACTGCTGAGACCGGCCGAATATTTTCGGGAGTGAGGTAGCATCAGGAATTCGGATGCGACCAAAGTTCTCATCCAAATCCAGTATCAATTTCAGGGCATTCCTTGATCGCAAGTATGGTAGCGGGGCGCTAGTCGAAGGCACGGACGAGGTTTCCACAGTTGAAAGAGATGGAGCCTCTTCTGCTGATCCGGGTAAAGGTAGCATGTTCTGAAGGACTTCATATGCAGCTAGTGTAAACCCGAACTGCGGTGACGAACGAAGAATACGGGCAGGGCCGCCTTTGAAGAAAGCCTTCAACCCTTCCTCCTTCCATATCGTTGAAGCACAGTGACGCAAAGATGTATACTTTGTTTCTCCTTTACGAGCTTCGACTTGCAGGCGAGTCTTGATCACGTCACATGGAGTTGTAAGGTAAGCAGCTGGCATACCGGCGATAGCGCCAGCTGTGAGCAGCTGTACGACGCCCAGTTTCTTTGAGGGCGATTCTCCGAAGAAGTCAGACTTCAAGTGTGCATAGGTCGGGAAGTAAATGGCAGAGAAAGGAACTGAAAATCACGAATTAGTTTTATTCCCAGATTAGGCTTCAATTCCACTTACCATCACGAAGAAGACAAGCACTAGCACCCTTATATAATCCCATGAGACCCAAGTTTCTGACAATCCACATCGCAGAACGTTTCGGGGTTCCCTCGACATTCTTAGCAAGCTCACCCTGGACTTGAAGCCGAATTTTAACGATTTCCAGGGGGTTGGTGAAAACCTTGATATAAGTTTAGTACAATTCCCGAGGTGCGAACACTACTCAACTTACAACTTGACAGGCACCAGCACTACCACCAGCAAAAACTTCCCAAGGCACTTTAATCTTACCAGTTTCCTTGTCGGTGGCATAGCCTCGGACAAAGTCATTAACAGTAAGTTTGATAGCTTTCTCGGGAGCGACCCCAATGAGTTGGGGCACAACACCGGAATACAACCCAAGGACACCTTCATTTCGAATCACCTTCTTGGCACAATCGAGAGAATTGTTGTATAGTCTCTCACCGGGGCGACCGCTTCGCTGATTTTGCATGCGTGTTTTGACCAAGTCAATAGGGTACACCATGAATGCTCCAAAGGCACCTGCAATGCTTCCGAGGGCAAAGTGGTGCGCGGATTCGAGGATATTATGCAGAATTGACGACGTCTTTTCGGCGACTTCTTGGACGGAACCATCAGCCAGTGTAGCCAAGGAGCGATCAGAGATATGCCACGAGGCGTCGATGACTTTAGCAAAGTCTTTGAGTGAAAGCCTTCCGCTAGGCGCATCCAAGCCTGCAAAGTGGAAAAGAATATCTGCTTCCATAGGTGTAAATTGTGAGAAACGAGTGATACGAGCAGACTCGTTAAGAAACTCGGTCCGAGTGATTTTCCCATCTGGGCTTTTCTTCGTAGCCTCACGAATGATCACGTCGATGATGTCCATCTCGCGAATAATATTTTGGAAGGCGCGGACATTGGCGTAGGAAATCTTGCTTCCGGTAGAAATGTTGCAGAGAGTAGGGAGATGTTCTAGCAAGTAATCCGATAGCTTGTGCTTCGAAGTCTCCAGAATAATTCGCTGGAAGTCTTCTGGGGCAATGTATCCATCGCCATCCTTGTCAAAGAGGTGGAATGCCTGGCGAATGCGCTCGCCTTGCAGACCTCGCAACATTTGGGCGAACTGTGGATATGTCATATCATGGCGAGACTTTTTCCTGCCAATGTACAGAGACGCCCATTCTGAGTTCCAATCAAACGGTATGCTCTCGTTGTCCTTATTCTGATCATATAGCTTCTTGAAGGTGTCGAACTTGACGGCGCCAGTTCCGTCTATGTCGAATAAGCGGAAGGCGATTTCGTATTCGGCATCGGGCTTAGCGAGCAAGTTCTCAAAAGCTGCCCAGTCTGTGAGATTGATTCGGCCGGTCTTTCGGCGATCGGCTACCTGGAAGAGGATTCCGTATTGATCGCGCCTAATTTTGTGCTATTCAATAGTGTTAGTATACGATGGCCATGCACGACATAGACAAATGCACGTTGCAACACTCACGTAGTCTTGGTTGCGTGGAGCAATTGCATTAACAAAATCCTCCTCTGTCATATACTGCTCTCCAGTTGTCTCGTCCTTTTGCGCAAACTGTACGAAATTGGCTTTTATCTGTTGCGACAACTGGAGCTCCTCCTCCTTGCCCACGAGCGTTGCTTTGACGGCCTCGGTGACCTTGGTCATCTTTGCTGGATATCGACGCCGTTCTCGAAAGACAGGTTATTTGCAGAACAAAGGATTGGGGATGCGCCTGTATGTACGTAATGGGCGATAATGATAATCTAATAAACGGCGAGCTGGGATAACAGGGCTGAAACTGTCCAGGTGGCAGATGGGGCTGGAAGTGAGCACACGAAGAGCAAAGCCTGGAGGGAAAGGAACAGAAAAACTACCCAGAATCGCCAGCGCAGGTCTGCACAAACAAAGGCAGTTCTGGGGATGCAGAAAAACGAATGCTCGTCAGCGGGAATACCTGGTGACGACGGAAGAGAAAGAATTATGCAATCGCGAAGAGTAGTTGTATTGGGTGACTACTATTTCCATGTAAAATGCTAGAATGCATGGGAAGTCTTTTTGCGGCGTGCGCGGTCCAGCCTGGCCAACCAGCGTCCGTTCGGGGAGGAGCCAGCCAGGGCCTTTTTTCCTTTTTGCCTTTGCCTGCCCGTTCCTTCCTTCGTTGCCTGCGTGCCTGGCGGGTTATCTTATATCATCATCTCATACAATTAACGCCGATTCTTATTCTATTTTCCACACAGCTTCTACTTATAGCTGGTTCTCCGTTTTACTACAGCTGCTCTACAGTAGGACTCTTGAGTATCTGCCTCTTCCCTGACTTTTGCTCCAGTCACACGACGTAAAAAATGGCCTGCAGTCGGAGGTCGGAGGGTGGCGACCCACATGGCTGATTGATCGATGAGTCCTGAGTCTGATGGCAATGCTGATAGCAAAACCACACCAAGCAGCCTTGTGCGACAGAGCAGCATCCCGGGGAGATGTACTATCGACCTGTCCTCTACCGGCTCCTAGCTACGCACTCACATGGCACTCTGCCTGTCGTGTAATCTGCAACATCGCTCCCAGGGGTTTGGGCGACATGGACAAGGATATAACGATCTACCGGTGTCGAATCTCTCACATGACAGACCACCAGCACCGCTATCGTCGAGAAAGGACAAGCCGCACGGTTAAAAAAGATCGTCCTGCAGATTCTACCCGAATTCTGCCGACCTACTGAGCTCCCTTCGCCTTGCCCATCCCCACCGTGGCTGCCCGGGTCAATCCGGTGTGGAGCTGAGAATGCGGGTCGAAAGTTGGAGAACAAAAGCACTTTTCTGACTCAGGCTCTCGGAGTACGGAGTAACCCTGCTGTTGGCAATAGCATTATCGATTTTCTCTGGCCAAGTCGACTGCAGCAAGTACAGCTAGTGATTGTAATGGCTTACGGGATACTCGGGTTCTAGTGGTATGTTCAAGATCAAAAGTCGCCCTGAGCGGTCTGATTGATGAGGCATTTATGTTTAATTCGGCGGACAAGACCAATCGCAACGAAGTTTGGATCGTGGCGTTCTGCATCTGCGTAAAACTCAGAATAGGAGAAAAGGAGGGAAAAAAAGGAATTATGCAGATTGACCTGAGCAATGTGCAAGAAATAATACTCTCCGATGGAGAGCCCCTCACCGAGTTGTTCTTTTTGTCCAACTTAGCCCTTCCCCGCACTACCCCAATTAACTTAGCTACATACAACTTGGCTATAACGACTTGACTACACAACATGCTATACCAATATGGATCAAACAATCGAGTGTATATCTTGTTCTTGCTGCCATTATATTGTTATTAGAGAATTATCACAAATTGTGTTGCATTATAATTAAATATATGTACGTAGCTTGGTATATTCTCATCCGCGTCGTCTTTTCGATCTACGAGTGACGGTAGTTTCAGCAGCCTGAACAATAACTTCCTCCTTTTTAATATCCTTGTCCACGTCCTCATCCCGCGGCCGTTTCGCAGTGACCGTAGACACCACTCTAGTTTCCACCGGCGTGGCATCTTCCTGCTTAACCTTAACGTCAACTTTCGAGCTCAGCCTCTCCGAGAAACTTCGCAAGTCGGCCGTGAACAAAACACTATGCGCCCATCCAGCTTCCTTGCCCCAGAGCCTGCGAAAATGGTTCCCAATAGCATCATATGTCGCCTTTGTCAATGACTTATTTCCACTTTTTCCGAATTTGTAGTCTCGTTGTGCAATCTGCCAGACTGGAATGACCATGTTAATTAGACCAGGAATAACAGGAAAGAATGATAGTTGAAAACTTACCATGTGTATCGACCGGCACTGCTTCTCCCCAACCAAGCCCCATCAAACAAACGCAATCCGCAACCTTTGGCCCAACGCCTTGTAATTCCAGAAGCTTTTCGTGAGCATTACGATACCCATATCTTCCCTCCGGTTTCATTTCACTTCCAGAAACAGCTTCAACACCCAATACCGGACTTTCTGGGTTCCGTAGCGAGTCTAACCACCCCTTTTCCCTCTCCTTCGCCACCATAACTGCTGTCTGGTATATATACTTGGCTCGATATCCAAACCCCAAATTTCTCAGGCTAGACTCGACACCATCACCCGTCAATGCCTCTGGATTCGGAAAATCGTGGTACGGACGACCGTCAATTGTCCCAACCAGATCCCCATAATTCGTACACAGCTTATTAACCATTTGCGAGATCCGAGCGATATTGTTATTGCTACTGCATATGAACGAAACTAAGGCCTCCCATGCATCCTGATGCAAAATGCGTATGCCCGTGAAATTAGGTGCTTTCTTCTTGAAATTCGGGTCGGAATCGGACCATTGCGAGTATAGCTCTGTCAGGTTGGAGGCTAGATTGAGGTAATGCGTAATGATTGCCAGGGTATCATCGGACGCCGAATCTCCATTTGTAAGGATCGGTTTGTGGTCTGCGTACGATGAAGGGGTCGATGACTGCGGTGTTGGGAATCCAGGGATATAGGATCTGTAATACAGGTGCGACGGGTCCTGCTTGAGGGAGATGATGCGTCCACGGAGAACGCAGCGCCATTCGTCATTTTCTGGCAATTGCTGCCATCTGAATTAAAGCTTGAGAAGGCGTTCTGCATAGAGATGGGTTTATTGTGTACCTGAATGATTGGCCGCATCGCAATGTCGTGTTGATGCACAGTTCGCTCAGACCGACAGGCAGTTTGCGCCATTCGGAAAAACCGAGAGACATATTGAAAGTAAAGAGCGTCAATGTCCAAGATTCACCCCATAGCGAATGCAAGTGAGTTTTCTAGCCACGAGCAGAAGACGTATTGAGGAGGCGAAGTACGCAATTGCAAAGCGGTACTGAGCCAGTATAAGCGCGCGCTTAATATTCCCGCGATAGGCGCCGGGAGGCGGGAAGACGTTCTTTGAAGCTCGTCCTGTCGTTTGCGCCGACAAAAGATTTCTGGAGCAACACTTGATTCCTCCACGCTCTGTGCTCACTCTGACGGTCAATTATCGGAGATTTCTAATCTCACCTATTGAGTAGCATTACTTGCGTGGGTTTTATTTTCATCTGTCAAGGATTTTCTTACCTGGAACCTGTGAAGCTGAAGCAACAATGAACGGAGACGCATACTCTGCCAGAGGTGAGCCACCCAAGTACCAACCGATCAAAATGACATTTGTGCTAACTCCTACTGTTTCAGAGCCTGGGCGCTCTAGGGATTTCTATGTATGGCTATTCTATTGTGCTTTTGTACGAGCTTGCTGATTTGTTCCTATCAATAGAGAGACGAACGGAGGGAGCGCGGAGATCGTGGTGATCGGGGTGATCGGGGTGATCGAGATAGAGGAGAAAGAAGACGCTCAAGATCTCCACACTACGGTTCTGGTCGGGGCTCGCGACGCGAACATGAAGCAGACTCGTATTCCTCGAGTCGCGATTACAGGGCTAGAGAGCGCGAGGATCGCTACACGAACCGTAGAGACGAGCGAGAATGGGATCGCGATCGAGGAGATCGCCGTCGCCGAGACATTGATGACCGTCCTGCACGTCGAGAACGTGGCGACAGGGGTGATCTATTCGAGGAACGTCCACGTCGTCGGGAACGTGAGCGCGAGCGTGAGGGTGGCCGGGAGAAGGAGCGGCGACGAAGCAACTCACCTCCTCGAAAGAGGGAGCCAACTCCAGACCTAACGGATATTCAGTCCGTTTTGACACGAAAACGTCGTTTGACTCAGTGGGATATCAAGCCGCCTGGATATGATAACGTTACAGCTGAGCAGGCCAAGCTATCTGGTAAGTGCACGGCCATTATTCTATCAAATATATCTTGATACTTATCGTCTGCAAGGCATGTTTCCTCTTCCAGGTGCTCCTCGTCAACAAGCTGTCGATCCTTCACGTCTACAAGCGTTCATGAACCAGCCAGGATCAGCCGATAATGCGGCACTCAACCCTTCGAATTCCAGACAAGCTAAACGTTTATTTGCTTACAACTTCCCGGATACAGTGACCGAAGATAGCTTTGTTTCGTTTTTCAACCTCCAATTGAACGGTCTGAACATTATAACGGGAATTGACCCTTGTATATCTGCTCAAATAGCAAAGGATCGTTCATTTGCACTTTTAGAATTCAAGACACCAAACGATGCCACCGTCGCCCTGGCTTTTGATGGAACAACAATGGAAGAACACGAAGCCATGGACACTACCAATGGGGGCGTGAAAGGCCTCGAACTGCGCCGACCTAAGGACTATATCGTTCCTCCTTCTGAAGAGCAACAATATCAAGAGGGCGTGATTGCTAATGAGGTGCCTGACTCGGCAAACAAGATATGCGTGACAAATATTCCGACATACATTCCCGAAGAACCAGTCACGATGTTACTGAAGTCATTTGGGGAACTCAAAGCTTTTGTGCTTGTCAAAGACAGCGGAACAGAAGAATCCCGGGTAAGTTCATTCAGATATGCGATTCGAGATGGTGCTAATTCTCATTAGGGTATTGCCTTCTGCGAATACATTGATCCCGCGGCAACTACAATAGCAGTTGAGGGTTTGAACGGCATGGAGCTTGGTGACAAACATCTCAAGGTAACTCGGGCCAGTGTTGGGTCCACACAGGCATCTGGTCTTGACATGGGAGTCAACGCCATGTCCATGTTTGCAAAGACAACTTCTTCAGATCTCGAGACCAGCCGTATTCTACAGTTGCTGAACATGGTGACACCTGAGGAACTTATGAACATTGATGATTACGAAGGTACGTAGTCCACTTTTCAAGAATAGCCTTGTGCTGATAATGTTTCGTAGAAATCTGCGAAGACGTGCAAGAAGAATGTTCCAAGTATGGTCAAGTTCTTGATCTAAAAATTCCCCGACCTACTGGTGGGAGCCGACAGTCTGCTGGTGTTGGTAAGATCTTCGTCAAGTTCGACAATGTCGAATCTGCGACTCGGGCGTTGCAAGCCCTTGCTGGACGCAAATTCTCCGACCGCACTGTTGTGACGACTTATTTCTCAGAGGTGAGTTCTTGTTGTTCCATCAAAAGCTTAGCTACTTACTCTACAACAGGAAAGTTTCGAAGTGGATGCATGGTGAGCCAAGGCACCTTTCCCACAACATTGTATCCGATTCCGTCTCTCTTTTTCCCCATCAATTCGGCATCAATATGACGCCAGTGGCAGTACGCAGGAAGCATGTCTTGCCTTCCGTATCTCAAAAATGTTCTCGGTATTGGCCGAAAATATGAAGCTCTTGTGGACATTTAGCACTGTCTTTGTATCATTTGAACGGGAGGTCTCTGGCCCAGCACTTGATTTTTCCATCACATTTCTTTACCATTTCTGTTGCTGGTATGATTGACGGGCAGTTTTTTTTGCTTTTCTTTCGTATTTGTATGTCTCAAAAATATTCGTCCGATCAGATTCGCGGGGGTGAGCAATCGTGGTTGATGCATGTACTATAGTTCATTTATCTTGTGAACTTAATGACACTAGCAAATTTGATCAATTTCTTTGGATCAAAAATACGGATTCTGAATAGTTGGATACACATTTATCTCATTTACCCGTGTACAGAGCCGACACATGCCCGTCAAAGTACCATTAATATAGTCAACACCAATAATAATTGACAAAAGTAAACCGACACAACATTGCTGTTGATGTAAACGTCCCATCATCCAAAACATGGCTAGGTCTACTAACTACGCAGAACTTGTCAGTTTGACCATCTCGCAGCGGTACCAAGTACCAAGTACACTCGATTAACCATCAACTTTTCTAGCACCAAATCAACCACACACATCCTATTGAATCTGTTCTTCCAAGATCCACCATGCACAGTACATATCAATTGATTGATACGTGTACATGGCCATACAAATAAAATTATTGTATCGTATATGTTTTACATCCAAAGACGCCCATCCCACTACAAAATCCAACAGTCCATCAAATAGCACCTCTCGCCTAATTACCTAGCCACATACGTGACATAGGAAGCTAAGCTCCTTCTGTCCGGGGAACCCCATATTCCGTGTTTTATACTCCGTGTTTTCGCTTATGTACTCCGCATATCCTAACCCTTGTTTTGCCGAATATGCTCATGATAGTGTTATTATTGTCTTGTGATTATTATGCGGGGAAACTATTGATAGTCGGATGAACTAAGTTATGCTAAGCTGAATATTTGAGTTTGATTGATCCTCGGAATGTGAGATTGTCACATGGAACCTCGGCCGCCAAATATGGATAATCGAAGGAAAAAAAGAAACGAGGACCAATTTTTTGATAATAATCCAATCAAACGTCTTATACATTTAATGTTCCCGGGGATAGAACCATTGACAAGTTGCTTTTTTCCCTGCACAATAGTATTGATTAATCGATTCACCGATTGGGATAGAGTTAGGGTTTGATGGTTCGGGAGATGTCATCTCTAGCCGTGACGATCAATTCACTTACTTCCTACTTGAGTATCAATATCTACTCGAATCTGGTGTAGAATTGATGAATCGAAGCACCCTACCTGTATGCAATCCGAAACACGGGCAAAAACCACGACTCCAAATGCCAGTTTGTTGCTTTGCATGATCCATGGCAACATGCGTATCCAGGGATCCACCGATTCGAATAATGAAATCATGCAAACGATCAATTTTCTACATCAAATATCGAACCTAATGACGACAAATCTTTCCTTAGTAAACGAGGCATTGGTTTTCATTACGTTTATCATGGCTGTCAAATACCGATTCAATTCCATGGGCTGAACGTCGCGAGGCTGGTTGGTGAGAACATGATAATGTCGATCAGAGACAAACCATAACAATTAATTATTAATAACGCGGAGAAAAGGCATTATAATAACAATAATAATAATAACAGCCATCACCGGTAGTCTCGAAAAGGAAAACGATATCCCATTCATCGGCCTTCCTGGGATTAATCTGGGACAGGGATGGCGGAATCTGCCGCAATAGCAATAATCTCCATCACCCCCTGAGTTGCTAAGCATGAATTTCTGACCACACTAACCATCACTCTTCAATATTATTCTCTGCAGTATTCTTCGCGTGGCAATTCCCTTTCCGGTAGCGTGCACAAGACACATGCCGAGTGCACAACTGCATATGAATATTATTTCAATCCATGCCTAACTAGTTGTACAATGTGGATTCCCAGATCGGCAGTATATCGATCCTTCAAGATTCTGAGTGAAGGCGAGCCACAAGGGCGAATTTTTCGAGGACTTCTTTTTTGGGGCTAGTCTTATACGAGTAGTGCGTCATTTAGAAGAAGCCGAGACGCTGGTCTTCTCCATGGTACTGCTCCATGCCATGAGACTTGGCCCGATAGACTTCATGTAACAATTAACTGGCTTAGCTATACAGTAGACTCACTAGGCTGAGGTGCTACTTGCTACTGCCATGGAGATGGTTTATTGCTGTACAACGGTACAATACTATGTATTACATGAGGTGTAAGTTACTAGGTTTGAGCTACCATGAAAAATAACATACGCCAAACCCAACCAAGGAGGAAAGCCGTTTTTAGAGGCGCCAAGTCAAGCCCCGCTGCACTAATGCAGGTGGTATGTGTGACGTCTTCCCCAAGACGGCTAGACTCAGATGTCTCACCCGTTTCTACATAGTAATTTATTATTATTAATTACAGGCAGCGAGCTAACAGCCCGGCTTCACTTTCGCTAAAATTGATTGATATTATTAACCTGCAGTTCTTTGATGATCCTTCTCTACGCGAACATGTTCCTCCGTTGGTGAATGAGAGTTCCCCGGAGTTAGTTATCCAATTCACAACAGAAGACTGCCTGTTATGTTCAATTGAAAATTTCATCGGTTAGAGAACTTGTTTACGTACATACAAGTCGACTTAAAGTTACAACCACCAGTTGACCGGTCACCCTGTTAGGTAGGGTGATGCATAAGATACACAGGAAAGAAAGCACTGTGACAATGGAACTCGAAAGCAACACGCCCACGTTTCAAGATATCTCCGTTGCCGGCGCAGGTACCCATGGGCAGAGTTACATTGACGACAGTTCTACGGCACGTTCCAGAATTCCAGAAGAACCCAGACTGCAACCCAGACCACATACTAATTAATAGATAAGATAAGTACGCACTGTACACCGGCCCTGCCTTCTTTTAAGACGCCATGTCCATAGCCTCTCTTACTAGACTTGCGGGTCTACCGGAAACAAACGCGCTCGAGCCTTGTCTCGCAACGCGCCGTACTTTTGTACCGAGTATTCATCTACCAAGTCCTACTACCGTCAAGGCGAGTTCTACCTACTAAGAAGCGCAAGCAATGCGGGCAACCCAGATAAGGATTGATCCCACAAACACGGCATTTGTCTGGGAAGCTTTGCGCTACGATTAACGCTATTTCGTGGCGTGGCTGGTTCGTGCCTTCAAAGGTTTTGAGTTTCAATTCGAACATGGTGCAAAGCTAATGTTTCAAAATTCGTCAGTGGCAGGCGAATTACGTAGCTATGTACAGAATATATGGAACGCTTATTTTTTTTTAATGGCAACGATTTCTCTGTAGGAGTTGTGTCACGCTTGTTCTGAATTGGTCTCGATGTATACATATTCATCCCAAGTTAGAATCCCAGTACGTACTAGTATATATGCATGTCGTGGTCATGTACTCCAGCTCTTCTTGAAATGTCAATAATCCAATTTACACTAGAGTTGCAATCGCGCTTGACGCTGATCATAAAGCAGAACTAAGAAAATTACGTTCTATAACAAAATTTATCCATGCGCTGAAACTCCAATGTTTGGGGACTGATGCACCGGAATGACTTTGTTATCGGAATCTGACCGTCCCATCTTTGATAGAAGCTCGAGAATCCCCTTACTCGGTTTGGTAATAAGAGGTCGGACGTACTATGACATTTTGCGCCATTATTGGGTCTCCATGTGGAAACCGAATGAACGATCTTGGGCATAAAGAATATTCGGCACCAGCGAAAATTTAAGAGGGTGGCAATCTCAGGGGTTGAAGGCCCCACCAGCTTTGCATTGACAATGTCCCAAAAGTTGACACCGAAATATAATAATCTTGAGAGGCAAAGAAAAATAATAAGTGTCTGTGCGACCAAAGTATCAATTTTATACATTGGTAACGAGTGATTATCCTAATATTGGGATATTCCACTAGTAGAGAATCCGGCGACCGACGCCTTTTCCTTCCTAATTCACCCAAGCTTCAAAGCTTCTATAATGATCAATCATAATAGACAAACAACATGCTAGAAAAAGTACGATCTCCGACCTTTTTTTATCCTCAATACAGCGTTAATATATAGCTTCGCCTGTAAGGCTATAAAATACAGTGAGAGATCATACTTCATAACAAACTCCCGCCGACACCATGCTAGAATGTAAGCTGTGAATGGAAAAGCATATTAGACATTTTCAAGGATAGTGCTAAAAGAAAAAAGAAGAATCATGGCATGATTAGCGTCCGTTTACGTAGGTATGGTGACTCATTTGAGAATTGGATCGCGAATTGGATCGCGCAAAGCTTGAAGTCACATCCCACCCGTACGAGTTGGCGCCATTGTTTTGTGATGAGCTGGGAGGTCGCGGCGATGAAAAGCTCATCGTCGGTCTTGTATATGAGGCATCCATCCCATAGTCGACTTCTTTCGGCAAGTTGCTGCCGTAAACAACAGGACTTGGTGTTCGCACCTCGACGAAAGGCTCAGGAGACTTGGCGTGCTGACGTGGGTCGAGCATTTCGTAGTCGTGAGTGACTGTAGGACGAGGACGAGACCGTGCATCGACTGAGACAAACTCAACACGCTCGATAAAGCGGCTCCTATACAGGGAGATCCAACCTTCCACCATGGACCAACGAACCGTGAAGACGATGTTCCAAAGGTTAGCAACGGCGAGCAGTACCACCATGGCAACCAATTTAGCTTCCGCAATTCCGACTAACTGGGCTTCGCTGGTGCACTCCTTGGGATTCTTCTTTTCCAGCAGGCAGAATAGCCACGGTTCTGCATTCACACGATTTGCCTCGGTCAGCGCTAATGAATTGTTAAGTTGAACAAAGACAACAAAGAAGTAAATGACATTGGCGAGAATGGTCATGACCAAAGCCATTGATCTCCACTGCAATTTAATCACTCGGTGTATACGTTTGTATGCCTGGCGAGCAGTCATAGTGCGCACGCTACCCTGGTACGAAGGCAAGCCAGAGTTGTTTGTGCTCGTGGGATCGGGGTCGAAAAGGGATCGAATGTAGATGTGGATACAGTACCCCATTGTTATAAATTGAATCAGGAGCGCTAGCCCCGAGAATACCATGATTGGAATCCAGTAATCGCCCATGCTGTTCGGACTGTTGATATGACAAACCCCTCCAAATCGGTAAGATACCCCGGTGTAGTGCAGCATCAAGGCGGTAATGAGGACTGGAACGCCGATTCCAGTAGTAGCGGAACACCACATGAATACTGGCCCGATGATGACTTCCCAGCACACCTGTAGATGAAGAGCGATGGTGCGGAGGAGACTCCAGGTTACAACGGCAATGCCGCCAAATAGTAGAACAGCTCCGCTGAAGGCACAAGAAATGTCTGTATACATGTCGTTCGGCGTGATTTCGTCATGGCATTGTTGAGGTTTTGTGCCCAAAGGAATGATAAAGGCTACCTGCAAACAGATGATTGCCAAAGTAAAACAGACGGTGATGTATTGACGGTTGGTGTACTTTACTGGGACTACCAAGTAAGTGAGAAGGAGCCATGCTTGGAATGGCAACAGCGCAACAGCAAGCCAGCCAGCTGCGTTGGTCTTCGAGGTCACATCTAAAGTACATTAGCTTATTAAAGAAAGAAACTCGCGCGCCTCAGCAAAAGTTCCTTACTGTCAGGATACCTCCAGTCTTGCAATGGACATGGTAAGCAGCATGAAACCCCTCCAACCGACTGACAAAACCGTCCACCGATATCTAGGTACAGGGGTCAGGATACACAGCACTTCCAAGTGAGATTCGTTGAATATCTCTTACATCCTGTGGCGTTGGAGAAAAGACTCTCCTGTAAGAATGGCGACGGACAGAGTCCGTTTTTTGACGAGGTCATCTTCAGTCCGGTTTTCGGTTTCCGACGTATACAATCACAATCCGATGTCAACGAGAGAGGCAGTCCTCATATTCAGTGACTTTTGGGCGTCAATATGGCGAGGAGCTGTCGGGGGGGCGCGATCCTGCGCAAACACGCCGGGCTTGAACGACAACTGCTCAGTGTAGGTGACCTCCCTTTGCGCGGGGAAATGACTAGCTTGGACAAAAGGGCAGCAGGGTCCGGTGATATAACTAAGAATGGCTGAGCGGACTAAGAAGTGGATGGCCCATGGCCATGGCAGCTTCTGAGGTCGGGATCCACCGGCGGCTGTTCTACATAGGGGAGTCGAGGATGTGTATGGAAGACTCCGTACGGGGCGTGAACGGGCTTGGGAAAAGGAACCGCGGAACATCATGGCATTCGACCAGCTAGTAAGAGGTGCTCCATCCGAAGTCGGCGTATGGTTGGCTGTGCTTCAACTATCGCGGAAACTTGTGGCACTTTGTTCTGAGGGGGGCCCCTGTGAAATTATGTTCTGGGCTGTGGACGACCCGCCTCGCGAAGCACTAGCTTGCACCACTGGATGACCGAAGGCGGGGGGTACACGGTTGTGGAAGAAGTGCGGGAGAGGCTGGCCGGTCTGCTGGGCTTAGGGCAAGACCCGCAGCCAATAAAGCGCCGGCCCACCGCCCACCAGCATGGGCCAGGGGTAAGCTGTATCGTACGAAACGCGCAACTGTAATTTACGGTCTGTTACATAGGTGATACACTCAGCCCACGAACCGCGCCATTACAGCCAATAAAAGTCGTGTATCTCCAGATCGCCTCTTCTATTTTACATCGGAATATTTAATTTCCGTTGCTTGAATCTCCTCGAATTACTCCTCCGACATTCAGACATAAGGTTGTTACTGTCCTCATCAAAGTAGTCTTCCATAGCCCTCCTGAGCAATTGGTTTCTACAAGTCCATCTCGGCAATCGTCCAGCCGACTACCTTGCGTAATCCCAGTTAGGAACGGCCAGGGCCCAACTGAAGCCAACATTTCCCTCAGCTGGGCTGAGGCTGCTCTTATTGGTGCTCCGGCTAGCCAATCAACCCAGACTTAGAGGCATCGCACATTATGCGTTTTTATCACCTCCAACTATTAATGAGTCGTGGGAATGCAATTAGCGAATTCAACGGTTTGCAGCAAGACGCATGATATGTGTGCATAACCAAACGCCCTTCAACAATCCGTCTCCCTCGTAGCGATGATTATTATGATACAGTCTAACCCACTAGCTGAGGGAAGTTTCCGAGTCTCTAACCCCGACACTCGTCGAAAGCAGGGAATCCTTTCCTAAATTGATTTCGAGCGCAACAAAGCTGTTTGGGCTACGCTCGTAGCCATACGTACTATGGGCTAGGCACTGGTAGGGGTGGTTATCCTTAGGGTCCACTCAGATTGCGAACAACAGTAAAAGGGGAGTGTCATTGGTTTGATGCGGCTTTCATGTCAGACTCCGGAATAATTGTTGCAATTAGTTGACTCGGCAAGGAAAACAAAGGCCGGTCTGCAGCCAATATTCTGGGAGTTTGCCATTGACTATAACTGAAATGGAAATGGTTATAATGGAGTCGAGACTCGGGACTATATTACTAAGGCTTGGAGGCTGCGCCAATTTTGTTATGCAGGGGTACATGTATTGACTTCATGCAGGCAGGTGCACAAAAGACGGCAGCCAGCTGTTAGCAACCTAATAGAAAAAATATTCTTCTTTTTTGTGTAGTAGTGTCCCTCTGCGCCACCGTTCAAATATAGTTTCTGACTCGTTTAGTATAAAACAAGCAGAACACCGTTGCAACGTATGATGATAAGCCCCAAGCCTAAATTATATAAGCTCGATACCAGTTGACGTTGAAACAGCTGATTGCGACACCATGTGTTTGGCAGGTGTGGGGTGTTTCGGGTAGGCTTCATCATTGTGAGACCATCAAATATTCAGTTAGAAATTAACAGTTGCATTCCAATCCAGTCCATGATCCGGTATTGTTATGTGGTTGAATGATTGGACGCGTCCTCTTCGTACAAAGCGTGGGTTAGGGCTAGGATTTTTAAAATTCGCCGCGGTTGCGTTTCCCACTAGCGAGGATCCTTGGCCTATTAATTGCACTCCTACTATTAGTCAATACCTACTACGTATTGGATTGCATTGCGTTGTTCCTGAATCAGAGCATAATCGAATTCCAAAGATTTGGATGACTCGATGTCTGAAAGTTTGATGCTAAATCTATTAATAAATATTTCACATACAAGGAAAATCCGCATTAACACGAATGAATACTTGCGTGTGGCAGATACAAATCAAAGACGCTATGGCAAACCCGACAAAAACAACCCTAATACTGTTGGCAAGGGCTGCAATATGATTGCTACGGCTAAAGAACATACGGTTAGATTTTTTAGCATGTAATACGCGTAATAGGTGGTAAAGGTGTAAGAGGTGCAAAAGGTGTAAAACGCATCGATTGACTCACTCTGCATGCTGGATTTCTACCACTCCACTTATCCGTACCAGAGACCATCCGAATAAGTAACATAATGTAAGGGGCACGATGCTCAAGGTCAAAATAAGTCTTTAAAATGGACAGAAAAGCAAAGAAGTTTCCGATGTGATTGAAACCTAAGATAGTGTCAAGAGGGAAAAAAGAACATCAAAGTATTCTTGTTGATAATCAGTTACTAGGAAGGAATGACTATTTTGACGGAAAGTCCGTTTATGGTATGATGCGAGATAGATAGTTGAGTTAGTAATGAAGTGAGTGATGCCACGATATTGAGGGAAGTTAATATTGCAATTCTACTTTTATGACTGTCTGCATAATTCGTATATGACAAGACTCGCTTCTTATTGCGCGATACATCACAATTCCTTTTCTGTCAATGACAGTCATGGCCTCTCATTTGCCCATCCTTAACATCAATGGGGCGGGGATGGTCAAGTTGACGAGCCGTCTGGCAAGAGGTAAAGAGTCTGGTTCTCTGACTGTTGATGGCACAGCCCAGCCCATTGATAACACACTTCTATAGGTTAACTGGTCTAAGTAGGATGGGTAATTCTATATACAGTCAACCCTATCTAAAAGTAACCCCTGGTTATGGACAACTGAACACCGTGCCAAAATTGATTTACCATACAAATTCCCCTAATATCTCTTTACAAGATTATTCCTTATTTTTTCTTGTCCTCCATACAATTCTCTTAAGTATGGATGAACTAGCTTTAATAAAGCTAGGAATCATATCAGATGAGGCTTTTTTGGCAATAAAGCCATCGAATCTTCCACCGGGTATTACAAACCACTAATTCCATTATTAAACTCATTACGGAAAACAGTCTTTCCACATGGTGGGAATTGGAAAATGAAGATTCGGGGCTGTATACCCGAATGATAGAGATACTTCGTGCAGCCCAAAATGAACACTTAGATAGTTCTAGCTAACACTTTTTGGTCTTCTGATATTGTGGTTTATTTTTAATCGGCACGCGTATTCCTTAACTATGTCCAGCAGTGTGTAGATGAGTGATATTATGAGGGATCATTCTTCGACATAGGAATAAATATATTCACGCTTTACCAACCCTGTCCTTACATGGAAGATCTCTATATTATAGTAATTAATAGTAAATATTGCTTATAAATAAAATATAATGTCAAATTTTAGAGTATACAAACGTTACTTGACAGAAGGGGCCATGTGAAGGTGGTTTCCATCAACCTTAACCATAGCTCTACCATGATCTACAGTAGCCAGCGTTCTCACTGCAGCAAAATAGAAATATTCAATCTGTTTATACTAGGGTACCTCACCCGTGTCCCTTGAATATCCGCACGTCGTTCTAGAAGCAGACGAAATGTGGGCTCCGAGTTTGCGATAGAAGCAGCAGATAGTGGACTTATATCTTCCCGGTTTTTATATGGGCGAGGTTTGATCACATCAGCGCCTTTATCCTGAACACATTGTATCCTATCCATAGGTGCTCCAGCCCTCAACATAATAGTCGTTATCAGATTGAAGGCAGTATCACTATCCTATTTGTTCCGGTCTGACTCGTGGATCGCCTTGTCGTAGATCAGACGAAGCAAACCGGAACTTTGCTCGAAGCTGAAGTGCGATAAACACAGATAGCGTCGGCATAATCGAAAATCCTTCAACAAATGACATGCCTTGCACCTGGAGGTTAGTTAATAATTTATTCGCACCAGGGCCGATACTACATGTTGATTCCGTACGCGCCATCAAGTCTTGAAGAATACTGGAAACCCAATCCCTCTCCAATCTGTAATTATGGGAAGATACTCTGGATCTTTATAAATAGCTATCTAGCATACAATTGCCTTGAAGCGCACCATCACATTCATCTAGGTGCATGTAGTACATTACTGAACAGATGGAAATATGATTCAGCCCGGATGGTCTAGTGGTATGATTCACGCTTAGGGTAACTCCAATGTGGTTATTTGCTGTGTGAGGTCTTGGGTTCAATTCCCAATTCGGGCCAAATTTTTTTATTTCTTTTCCAAATTTTTCGGATTGGTTTTTAGGTATGAGACCGAGTAGTTTGATAAATATTTGGGCATCTATATAGCCTTTCACGCTGCATATTTTATAATGGAATATGGTCATCACAACATCGCAACTCGGCAGGGGGGTCATCAGCTACTCATCAACCTTGAATTTTTACTTTCATGGTCGTCTGTGTATTTCGAATACTATACTGTAATCATTTCGGGTACCTCGTTGTACCAGGAATGCTTCTATGTCAACTGTGGTCATTTTGTTCTCATTCGTCCGGCCTGAGAAATTTGCATCGTGAGTCTTTACCACCCGATTGCCAATGATTGTTCATTCACACAAGGGAATGCGGTGAACCGATCCACATCAAACTGTCATTTGTGAGCTAGCAATTGTCGAAATGGATAGATAAGCTGCGGTCCATCTGACTCAAAACTGCAATCCTGCGAGACCTCGTAACGTGCGGTGACTGGACCGCCACTCAACCCGTTGCGTCTACTGGGCAGCCCAATGGTAGCCGCCAGGGGCATCGCCTCGTTGATGGCCGCCGCTATTGGCCTTGACCTAAGCGCTTACCAGGAACCAAAAACATTGCTCGTTGTCCAGTGAGAATATGCGCTTAAGTCCATAGTTAAGTAATGATAATGCCTTGTATGCCTTATCAGCTGCGTAGGATTTTGCTCCGGGCGATAAATTGCCTACCAGTCGCCAGACAATCCGGGTGCCTTGAATAAAGATATCCAACTTCTGATAATGGCTAATTCCGCCAGAGAAGCACCCGCATGCTGCTCTTTTCAGCAGTTTTACACTTTTACTGAAGACCCGCATTGCGATACCTGATTCTTTAACTGCTGGAGCGAGCCACTATCTCAGTTCTTCTCATTTTAGATACTCCTTCGGATATGGATAAAGTCGCCGACGGGTCATTAACGATGTAATTTGTTGGTATTCGAGAGACGTTATGACTGCCACCAATATATTTATCTATGCACAGTCGTGCTAGTTTTCACTTCTACAGTTTTGATTCTACAACGTACAGGCGGGGAATAGATTATCTATTCATACTGTCAAACCAGGAAGCCACAACTCGTCGTTTGTACCGCATCTTTGACCATTCCATAGGCATCGCGAATGCTTAGAACACGAGCCGGATCCTCCTCACCGAAGAGCGGCGTGATCTTGCCGCACTCAAGTGCGAGCTGTGTACTTGCACTGACTTCGTCCCATCGAGCTAATGTATCTCCTTCAACATCGATATAACCAAAGATTCTTGTGTTGTCAGCAACCTTATCGACAATGCAGAATATCGTAGGAATGGTCTACCTTAATCTTGATGTCATCCATGTCGAATTCTTGTCCTTCACTTATATGCTTGAGGGCCTTATGCCATCGATTTCGCAAATCCTCGTCTGATAGCTGAGATTGTCATACTCTGTCGAATCGTAGTTTCCTCATAGATTCTAGTCTATGCGATGTAAGTAATATGCCTCATATAGGATCCGCAGTAGGAAATTAATTTTCTTACAGCTAACGGCACATTTCCCTTTCCAGCCAGCTTGATACATAATGCCAGGACAGCAGAGCTTTCTATCGCCTACGAAGCGCCTTACGCACTCGTCGGCAGATGGGGATGACAGCTGTCTCCTAGCAGAGCAATATTCCTACTTCGACTCACCCAGGTGGATAACGGAGCCCTATAACAGATCTTCCAATCTAGGCAACTGGGCGTTGCTCTAACCGCCGATGCAATTGTCTCATCCAATCTTCAACCAGCTTGCGCACGTTATCCTTGTTTCCGGGTTGAAACCAGATCTCTTGGATGTCTTCAGTGTCCTTATGCCTGATAACCCGGTTGAATTCCTCACCATCCCGCAGCGTATTCTGAACAATGTGCCTATCTTCTCCAACCCAAATATTCACACAATCCTTCTGCAACAAAGCCTGACGTTGAGGTATCTCTTTAAAAATACTGCCCCCGAAGAAGGCCTGATAACATGCATATCCGGACTTTTGGGTGCGTCTTTGAAACCCAAAACGAGTTCTCCAGCCCTAGATTTAATATCATCCGCACCATCAATCAGATCTGCGCAGAATGTTCTGCCGCGTTTTAGTGTAACGCTCGGCAAGTCTTCATCAAAAGAGACAACTTCGTGGTCCATACTGATTTCTACACCCTTTTTTCTCACTCGGCTGATAAACGCAACATGATATTACCCTCTATGGCCTATATATCCAGCCATATCCTTTCATCATTATCAGCGCGATGTCAAAAACACTCCCCTTTCTACTTAGGGCCGGAACTAACCATCACCCCACCGACGTATATTCATATCGGGACTCTTATTGCCAATAGCAATCTCGCCGAGACCAATAGGGACGCCAAACCGGAGGAACACCCGGACTTCCTCAAAAATGACAACCTCGAAGCCGGCATGGTGCATGGTCATGGCACATGCGAAACCGCCTAAGCCTGCGCCCATGATTGTGACTCGAATTCCGTCATGATCCTTGGGATAGGAAGGAATAGAATTGGACATGGTTTCTTTTCTCAAATCTACCCGGTCTTTTCTGTCAGTTTGATCTACACAATATAGTAAACTCCAAAAAAATAGAGCTCTTTTATAAGAATGGCCACGGGTTGGGACTAAGAAGGGTGTTGTGTTCAATTGATGTGAAAGAAGTTGAGTAACGAGTTGACAATTATATTCTAGCCCTCAAATCATATGGCCAAACTATGACACCCCGGAAAAATTCTTCCTCTCAGAGGAGTACGAAGTAGCTATGGAAAACTCACTCGATATCTTTCAATCTATAATGGCACAATTAAATCTGACGTTTGTACATGTATGGAAAGCCATAAGTGACCAGGACATAAGAGTGCGGAGGATACCCCATACTGTCATGGAAATCCCCCGTCGTTTCTCCCCTCATAAATGGTCGTTCCGGTCTTGATGCAGCTACATAAAATCAAGTTTCGAATAGATGTAGTCGTATTGAGCTGGCTACAACTTACTTTGCTGCTGTAAGTGATATTCGTACAAACTATATTATTTGATGTGCACAGTTGTATAAAACGGTTATATAATATATTGCTACAATTTTCGGTAATGAGGATGAATTTCTCGGTTGATTTGGGTTGATATTGATGTAATTGACAATAGCCTATCAAGCAAACATGCAATACATAATTGTGGCAGTATGTGTCTATTTCAGTGGATTCGTTCCTGACATCCAAATAAGCACGCGAGTAAACTTGCCATCTTCATCAACATCAAAGAAATTACAATTATCCATATCATTCCTCGTCCCATCAATCAACTCTCCTGTATATCTCTGCTCAATTGCGACTCGCCTCGTGACTGGGTCCACAATGATATTTTTGATATCATGAAAAATTGTCTTGGAGTTGTTCACGAAACCAGTAAACATGCCGCGAATCTCTACCGCGCCATGATATGTGACGTTATCAGTATAAACTCTGAGCATTGCGTCGGGAGCGAAAAATGATACTATAGTATCAATGTCTCTGGTATCGACTGCCTGAAAGTATTTATGGGCCAACACACAGAGGTCACTGTGGGTGAGGGGCGGCCGGGTTTGTTGGGTCGCCATGGAAAGGATATAAGAGCTATTCCCACGTTATGAGTGTTTTATCGTTGAATGCTATTTTTGATATGTGCATTCCTTCAGGAGACTGTGTTTTTACTTTACAACGTGAATATATAGGTGAACACGGGCCACCTATCAATTGATGTAGGTGGGACTATGTGTACCAATGCCCCGCCAACACATGCATTCTGTCGATCAATTAGTTAATTGATTGATTTTGAACTGTAACATTGGTGATAAAATTTATGATACACGTGGCTATACTTTGATCTTCTTGTTGTGATTGTGATCGGTATCATTTATTTCACAACAATTGTCTAAAGCTCATTCATAAAATTCATTTGCTTTCGCGTGTATCATTCCAACATCATCCCAATCAGCCCTCCACATCTGTGAAGCAGAAATTACGCGAGGCAGAGACAACCCGGCGGCGACCTAGGGCAGCGATAAGTTATATTAAAGTGCGAAAATTTGGAATATTTGGTGCTTAAGCTTCCTTGATTTTTCAACACATCCAGAATTACAATTCTTTGCAATGTCTCCAGAAATAACAGTGTCTGCAGTTCCTGTATCCAGGATCAACAGAATATGTATCTGCAGTAGTTAATTGAGCCAACAAATATGAGATACTTCTCTGGCCGTTTTCATCCATGAACTCGCAGTTACAGACAGGAAAGAATAGAGAGGAATCTTATCAAGGGAATGGCCAAATGCCACGGAAGATCATCAGTGAGCATGCAAGGAAGCTGCCTTGTGGCAATTGTTCCTGGGTACTTTATGGTAAGCCTATACCATTTTCGAAGTCTATTCCGCGCTGACTCTGACCAGGCACCCTATACGGAAGTGCTCAAAACCAGATAAAAGAAACTCTGGAGGTTGTAAAAAAGCCTTTGGAGTAACCAAAAGCACGATATTTATACACCCGGAGCATGTTCCAGCCGATCACTATCTTCGCTCAAGAGTAAATATCTGCTCTGGGGTACCAGAAATCCGAGAGCTTGAGTGGCTGAGTTGGAAGAAGAACGGTGCACATCTACTTTTCTTCCCAGTTTGTCCAACAAAGAAGCGGGATGCCGGAAGATTATCGACATTGCCATCTGAATTCATGAAGGGTTTGGTCTCGACCTTTTCCCGACGTTCTGCATCGCCCCCAGGGAACTGCGTCTCATTTTCAACACAGTTTATGACAAAGCAGCTCTGCCTAGAGACAGCGTTCAGTAGCAGTGATTAGGAAAATGGTTGATGAATGTGCAATGGTGGGATATAGCGAGTATCGCACGCATATCCTTCTAGCCGACCAAGTGGCACAAACATACTCATGGAATAATCAAACATTACTTCGATTTCACGAAAACCTTAGAGATAGCCTTGATCCCAAGGGTATCCTTGCACCTGGTCGTAATGGGATCTGGCGCAAAAGGCACCGTGGCCAGGGGTGGGAATTACTAGCAGAGGGGTAGTAGCACTTCATCTCCAAATCCAAAGCTGTAATCAAGTTATCAAAAGACAGATGGATAAAACTCAAAACCGATCAACCTGCACCATTAGCGAAATAAAACTTCAAATATCAAGGTTAGATGAGATGTGTGCCACAAGAAAACCGAGACAGTAAACTTTCGTAGTTCACGGTAACGCGAGACCGGGCTATCTTCTTACGATCAAAAAATTTGGAAGTGCTTTTCAAGGAGTCCTTAATAAAACCGCAAAAGTCCTTTTCGTGTTATAAACGATACTCCGAACTAGGAATCGATATTCGCGAGAAAGCAAAGAGTTTCAGGCGAAGCAGGATTACAACAAAGTGTGTTGAGAGGCCAGCAGCTCAACCTCACCGACGCGCGCCTCATACATGCTCTAACTGTGGAACGAGGCGCCATTATCGTACGCCGTGTACAGACGCTCCTGTATCGATATGATGGAATTTTGGCAGGGTAGAAAGGATTGATGTTTCGGATACTTTTTTTGCAAGGCGAGGAGTATTTGGCTCGCATGTAGCAATCAGCGCAATTGATAAAGGAATATATTTTGTAAATTTTCAGATAATATAAATGAATTTGTATAATTCTAGCGACACTATGTACGTAACGAGCTGATCGTATATCTGTCAGACAGGAGCTTGCCTTGAAGTCAAGTCAGCCAAGGTATCAAATAAATCGAACACAAGAGTAGACAAAGAGATTTTCGAGAAATCAGAAGTCCGTTTCGATCATCGAGGCAACACCAACAGAAGCCGATGCGCCTCTGACACAAGAGGTACCAGAAAATAAAATAAAAGGATGTGTTTCATCATATGATTATTTGAAAGGGGGAATTTATAGAATAGGAAAATACTGACCTTTTCAAGGAGATAGGTGCCTCAGACGCAATAAGAAAAAAAGAAAAAAAAGACAAATCTTCCAATATGAGGAAAAGATAAAAACAGCTGCGAAAAACGAAGCTGTAGTTTTTATGGGTCAGAGCGGATCGGAAAATCCCTTAGCGAAAGGTTTGCCAAGACAGGTCACATGATCCACACTGCCCGGCATATTCACCATCAAAGTGGGCATATTGAACAATCTTTTCTAGAGGTCATTCCGCAGTCGACAAGTCGCCCAACGTTTCCGGCAACACAGAACAAATAGTTCATAATGGGTCGGTGAGTTACACTTCTATCGAATCGCTACGGGATAATCGAAGTATCCTGCTATCTCGGCGATCTCTCTACAATTGGCGTTCGCAGCCGCTAACTTGAATTCCAGTCTTCACTCCAAGGGAAAGGGCATTTCTGCCTCCGCTATTCCTTACTCCAGGACTCCTCCTGCCTGGCTCAAGACCACTCCTGACCAGGTCACCGACCACATCTGCAAGCTCGCCAGAAAAGGGTAGGTTACGATTGATGGTGACTGAAATGATTTTCTCTAACTTTTCTTTAAGTGCCACCCCCAGTCAGATTGGTGTCGTTCTCCGTGACAGCCATGGTATTGCCCAGGTCAGGAACGTTACTGGTATGTTTTATTTCGAATCTGAAACAAAACTGGGAAGGCTAACATGATTTGTCTGTAGGTAACAAGATCCTCCGTATCTTGAGATCCAACGGTACGAACCCCCTTGAAATTCCTCTCCACCCATCGTAGATCGACTGGCGAGGGAAATCGATACCAAGAATGGAAATTCAAAATGGAACGACGAGTACGAAAAATACTTGCAGATGTCGCATCCGAACAGTTCTATTCTTGGTACACCGATAACCCCCGGTCACCGCAATTATGCATTTTGCATATACTCTGCCTCTGTTTGGTCATATTCAAGGCTGACAGAGTGATCTTTTGTAGGCCTCGCCCCTGAGATCCCTGAGGATCTTTACTTCCTCATCAAGAAGGCTGTCTCCGTCCGCAAGCACCTTGAGCGCAACCGCAAGGACAAGGATGGCAAGTTCCGTCTTATTCTCATCGAGTCCCGTATCCACCGTCTCTCTCGCTACTACAAGACAGTCGGTGTCCTTCCTCCCACCTGGAGATACGAGAGCGCCACTGCCAGCACCCTCGTTGCCTAATTTATCTTGGACCTTGTGTACCTCTAGGCCCAAGTCACGAAACAAAAATATCTCTTCTGGGGGTGCACAGGCTCGATTCATATCCAAAGTCGACATTGCATCTGTCTCTCGAATGATAACAGATACGATAACAACCGGATACCCCCGATTTCTTCTTGCCAAGGAGAATGCACTTAAAAATCCTGTTGTACTTACCTTCTTAGGAGAGAAAATTTCAAAAGTTTTATGACCGTCTGAGATATAATGATTCCCCTGTTTCAAATATAGATATCCCACATTTGACATAATTTATTACTTATCATTCATCATTAAATCGCGTATATAATGAAGATTCACACATATTTCACCTCTCTTGCAACTGCGTTGCAGAGCTCAACTTTTATCCCAGCACCTGTCAAGACATGTATCCACAGCCTTTGTGTATCACTGAGTCGATCATTTTCCGATTTCACCTCCACAAACATAACTTCTTTCTTCTCTGTATTCCATAAGAAGAGATCCGGAATCCCACCTCCACGTTGCTGATACTCCTGCGCCATGACTTTGCAAACAGTAGCTAAGGCGGAACCATGGAAGCACTGCGCAATCTCGACAAGATCCTCGACTGGGAAAGTCCAGTCTATACCTACAATGCATGTTTGTTTTGAAAATTCGCGCGAATGGACGTCAAGGATAATAGATTCGGCTTCGTCGTTAGCGATTTGGACGAGTCGATGGTTGATTTCAGAGGCACGGGAAGGGTAGAAGGCATCTGTATGGAGATCTAGTGGACAGGTTTGGAATGGTGTTTGGAAAACGTTGGGTACATAGGTGAAAAGAATGTCGTAGAAAAGGTAGCCGAACTATATAGCCTTAATCAATCCCGCCCTAACAAATAAGTAAAGATTGAGAAGACATACCAGCGTGCGAACAATACCCCCTTCTGCATGATAGCCTTTCCAGCCTTGGTCGCGGTACCAGCTAAGACACATATTTTCGACTCTACATTCTCCACTATCCTCACGTTCATCGAGCCAGACGGTAGGGCGACCTCGCCGTGTTGTGGAAGTAGGAGTATCGCCATTCACCTTTGAGCCGGATTTAACCGGGGAGTCCTCTCTCTCAATACGGATGCCTTCAATCGTTCGCTCTTCAGGTTTGACTAAAAGAACATGGCCGAAATCATGCTGCTCTCGCTTTACTACCTTCAATGACTTTTCCAACTTCATAATTCGCTTCTGGAGATCGTAATGAAAGATGACATGGCAGTCTAGATCCTGAAGCCCAGCTTCACAGGTTTTGAGAGCCATTCGTTTCCAAAATTTCTTCTGCGAATCATCACTTCGGTCCTCCTTTGGCGTGAGAGCCCAGAGGTAATGTTCCTCTAAAAGGGCTTTCCTTTGATACCATGAGCCGCGGCGAGCAGCATGGAAGAACTTTTGATCGAGTAATTCAGTCAATAGCTCATACTCTCTTTTATGTTCTTTGAATCGGGCAAGAGGGTGAAGAGTCTTATGGAGAATTCTAGTATAAACCCACGCAGGGGAAAATCGGCGTAAATAGGCACCTTCGCCAGCGAGGTAGATGCTATCTTCCTTGCGTTGTTCTTCCTCCAGTAAGATTTTCCATCGGGGATAGACTTTATCGCCCAAGTCTTTGATTCTCTGCAGACGTTCGGTGGTTGGTTTTCCACTAAATTCTAGGATATTGTCGATCTCAAACTGAATTCTCAACGCCGCTTCAAATTCTAGTAAAGCAGCTCTTGACGGAAATATCGATGTAGATCGTGAAACAATATAATCAGGGAAATTTTTGCGGGATATTTTGGCCAAAATAATGGTCGTTAGCGATTTCTCTGTCCACTCGGTAGACCGATAGAAGACCAAGTGTACTCTCTCAAAAAGTTTCAATGGAGCCGGTGAGAGTTTGATGCAGTCGCCAGTGATATCTAGAATCTTTTGGTGAAAATGGTTGTCTCTGTTGCTATTCTCGCTGTCCCAGGTAAGTCCACCTTGAGTTTGGCTCGCTTGGCGGAGTGCCGTCAAAAGCTCGGTCTTATTCTTTCCTTGCACTTTTGCATCTTTGGCCAGCAATTTGAGTTCATCCAATAGCAATAAAGAGGATGCTTCCTCTAACGAAGTTATTTCCTCGATTCCCTCGGCGAATCTGAACGAACTCCCTAATGTGTTCTCTGCCGGAGGTTCATATTCTGCCGGGTTCTCGTATTCCGACGACGTGGAAGTTGGAAGTTTATGGACATGTCTAAGATCCGTCACAGTTTGAGATATATCAGCAATATCTTGATAATATCCCAGTCGGTTTATCCGATGCCATGCGGCGGTTTTGCGAAGGAAAAGCCGAACGTATCTTTCAATATTTGAAGAAAAAATCAATATCTGAGCGTATAAGAGCCTTTGGGGTGTGTAAAAACATACAAATACTGTGCCTCATAGCTCATATTTCTCCACTGACTAAAAACATCCAACTCCGGCTCGTCGAACAGGTGGGCCTCTTCTTCTAACACGGTCTCTAGCGCAAGGTTGAAAGCATCTACATAGATGGAGCTTCTTCCCTTTTGCCATTTTCTTTCTCCTAGCCTTTGCTGAAGAGTAAGTTGCGATTCCTCATCATCTGCTTCAGCTGCCTTTGAAGCTTCGTACTGCTCGATGGCTTCCTGACCGGTCGCCACTTGAGGAAGAGAAGTCTCCAATTCTGTTTGACTCCCTCGAGGCAGATCATCGTCTTCGTTTCCGATCGGGACTTCGCTGGGGTCTGGGGCCGGGGTCGTATATTCTGAATCGAGCGGTGGAACAGATGATTCCTTTTCGCTTTGTGGTGTATCTCCACTGCAAGACTTGTCTGTTGAATCTTTCAGATTGTCATCCGACAGCCTAATCCGCTTTGCAGTAGGGCGACTTGTTTCGAAAAAGTCGAGGAGAGAGGGCATATTTCACGTCTGATGACATACCATCGAGACATTATATCCAAATTTCATCAAAATTCGCAGCCTCGAGGTCTGTAGTTGAGTTGCGCTAGGTACAAGAACATCTGGTAAATACCCCACACGCGCACCGTGTTAATTGGAACACGAGATCATGTGACTTGATATCAGGTTCAATTTCTCAGCAAATGAAATACAAATGCTGTTAAAAATAATTCTAGGCCAGGCTTATTGCTATTGTGATCGACTTGGTATCGGAGACACCCGAAGCCTCTTTGTAAGCCTATATAGCCCTAGAGAAAGTTTGATTGTGGCTTCCTCAGTTTATGCAACGTCAAGTCCAGTGGCGTTATTGTACTCCTATTATCGTTAATCCTTTTTATATTATTATCCTATATGAATGAACGCATAAGAAGTGGCTATAAAGTACACGACAACTCCATATAATGTCAATCCAAGCCTGAGATACGATAGAGTCGCCCCACTTATGCAACAAACAGCCAATCGGGGAGACTTAAAGCCAGTAACTTCACTCCTTAAGCTTGCTCACGGAAGCTGCAAGTCATGCATGTCCCTCCATTGTTGCGCTCTCAACATATTCGTATTAAGTTATTTCCCTTCGTTTTTGAAGCTACAATTTGAAATCAACCACTGAAAGACAGCGATTTCCCTATCAAGGTGCGTCAGATAAAACATGGATTCCTAGCTTGCGATTTCTCCGCTCTCCAGCCCAGCATTTCCAGCTCAACAACATTCTTTCTCTCTTTCTATCCCGAGACCCCAGATATTCTCATACCTTATCTGACAATATATATTCTAATACCAATATTTGACAATATATAGGAACCCGCTCAGACCTAGAAGTCTCCCATCAACCACCTATCTTTAGAATCATCCCCGCATCGTCTTCCCCTTCCAAGTCAGCAAACAAGCAAACTCTCAACCATGAGTTCAAACGGAACACCCGTTGGCAATCACTCGGAGCCCCATAATTCAGCGACTCCAGTAGCCGGTGGACCGGATACAACGAGTTTACCGACTGTAGCTGGTGGTGCACCGGCGCGCTTATACATGAACGAGAAGATTGTGCCATATCTGCTGGAAGGGATGAAGAGAATTGCGCAAGATCAGTATGTTTGATGCCTTGGGACTACAACGAATAGATTGTCTGGAAATTTCGCAATGGGCAAGACTGACGGATTTTTCTTACGCAGACCGCCTAATCCATTGAAAGTGCTGGGGGAGTTTCTTATCCAGAAGAGCAATGAAGTCGAGCAAGAACAAAATAATTGATTGTATATGGAATAAGATCTTGTGTTTGCCTATTTTTTAAAGGCGTGGTGAATGGCGTGGTGAATGGCGTAGTTTTTGAACATATTGTTGATGGTCTTGACTATAGGCTTATACTGCTTTCTATTTTTTAAACCATGATTCAACTGGTCTCTACAGTATGAGAATCATGCATCTGACATATCAAACAGCATTTGTCCTTCACTTGCGTAGTGTTTCATTTTGATCTAAACTTGATGAAAACATTGTATAGAAGAGATTACGGTACAACGAAAAAGCCGAATTGTAGAGATAGCAAGTTCCTTGTTCATAACCTAACCTCATGTCAGCGTGTTTCTACAATCAAAAAACTTACCCTCTTATCAGAATCGCTTCCAAGGCAGAACAAGCCGAATACGAGTGCGGCGAGCTGGAGGAATGAGCTGATGTTGCCGGGATAGACATTACGAGGTGGGAAGTCCGTCACGATGGTTTAGGTGTCTGGTTTGGACTTGACGATACAATTTGCCATGGAAGACGTTCTCTTGTCAAGGTTGCCTCAAAGCCGACTTTCGACACGCCATGGTATGTGCTTGGGGGCGGGGCGAAATGTGACTGGATGAATTAAATCTTTTTGTGATGAAAATAAGAACGAGAAATTTTTGTGTTTGCTGAATCGCAATTTTTGATCGAGTCGTTACGTGAAAAGTTGAATACGGCCAAAATAGCTGACTATCGACTAGGATCATTCCGGAAAGTTGCAACGTTGCAGTGCTGTCCAGGACGACCACGGTCATATTACAACGCAGTAATTAAAAGAAAGTTGCTTTTTTGCTTCGCCGCCAAACATTGCCGTAACCTGAGAGCGAATAGAAAAAGCACATAAGAAAGATCATCGTAGAGCGAAAAGTGACGACAAGATAGAGAATAGTTGATACAGGTCGATCGTGAATTTAACTGGCGGTCTTCGAAGTACGGTAGAGTGCCAAAGCCGATTCCTTTTTTTCCTTTGGTCCCCGAGTGCACAAAGAGATGAAGACATGAAAATTAGGGCGTATGCTGACCGTAACCTATCGCGCCTTTCCCCAAGACCAAAATAATGAACATACCGAGAAATACAGAAAGAGGAATTGAAATTTGACGAGATGAACAGAGCCGGCTTGTAGAAGAATCTGCCATCAACTGCGTCTGCAAAAGTCATGTCCAGATCAACTGCCGTTTGCAAGGTTCGATAAACCACCTACCTAGCGCTGTATCTCTCCTCACCACGGCCTTCGTAGGACCGACCACCGGCACCACCGGTATAAGGGTCACGGCTTTCACGAGGAGCCTGATCGTAGCTAGGAGCACTAGCATCACGATCATAGAAGGCGCCGCCGCTGCTGCCGCCACCAGCACCAGCACTAGCACTAGCACCAGCACCTCCACCGCGACGTTCCTCACCACCGCTACGACGGTCTTCACCACGAGGGTAACGTTCCTCGCGAGAGGCGTACCGATCAACTCCACCGCTTCCACCACGATAACCACTGCCGCCGCCACCGTACTCTTCACGATAGTCATCACGGCGGCTATAATCGCGGTTGTAATCACGCCCATAGTCGCGCCCACCACCGCTGCCGCTGCCGCCGCCGCCGCCGCCGCTGCTACCACCTCCACGGTAACCATACTCATCACGGTAGTCACCACCACGGCGGCCATAGGAGTCGTACCGGCCATAGCGGTAGTCATCATAGCGGCGCGAGCCACCACCGTATCCACGACGGTCATCATAGCGGTCACGGCCTCCACGAGGAGGACCACGGCGTAGCTCTAGATGAACTAATTAACACTGTATATCTTATTATAGGGAGAAAAGAGTAAACTCACCTCGCTTAGGGGGACCAAAGTACTTTCCGGGAGTGGGTGTGCGCGGACGGGCACGACGGGCTTTCTCGATGCTGAGAGTACGGCCCTCGATAACCTCACCTTGCAAGCCTTCCTTAGCGGCATCAGCTTGTTCGGCAGTGACCATCTTGACGAAACCAAATCCACGAGACTCCTTGGTGTGAGGGTCAATCATGATAGAGCAGTTCTCAACATCGCCATATTTTTCAAACAAGCGAGAGATATCTGCCTCGGTCAGCCGAGGGTGGATGCCAGTGACGAAGAGGTTGGATCCAGGGTTGATAGATCCTTCGTCATCCTCATCCTTCCTAGAATCACTGGCGGGGGCTCTAAAGAATATCGTGAGTAAAATGCTTTTATTTATCGTAGATAGTCTAGGGTTTCCAAGTGTGTGCTTACCTGTCATCGGCACGGCCGTTGGGGGAAAGGCTGCGGTCACGGTCAACACGCGAATCTCCCCGAGGAGACGCACTGCGGTCGCGATCGTAGCGACGGTCGTCTATCGTCAAATTATCAGTAAATTATCGTGACTTGAGTCGTTGAGTACTTGGCACGCACCGTCATAGTGACCGTTCTCGTTCTCGTACTCCATGGCAGACATTTTGGGCGATGGAAGGTGTGAGTGATGGATGGTTGAAGGAGAGTCAAGTCCAGATGGCAAAGAAAAGAGATTCTGTGAGGGTCTTGGCGGGAAAGTGGAGACCTGCCTCGCTGCTGCGGACGGCGAGGCTGAGCTAACTCTTAGGCAGTTGCAGTTGCAGTTGCCGTTGCCACAACAATAATGAATAACGACAGCTCGCCTTTCCTTTTTGACACTGCTATTTTATTTCCTGTGCTAGTATGAGAAGCTGTTTCCCCCAACTAGAAGTGAAAGGAAGGCAAGAGACGACTGCCAGCCAGGTTTGCTTGTTCGTCTACTTTGGGAATAGCGCATTAAGCTCTGGCAGGCTGTCAGCATTACAGCTGTCTTCCACAAATAATCAATTCTCATTTCGTCTGATTAATCATAATGATGATTATTGCTGCGATATAGATCTTAAACGTTATATGCTGGGGACTTGAGCGCTCTAGGTCAATTTTCACCCTTCCTGATTGGACAGCGAAACAATGACTGACGCGATTACAATAGCTGAATCAATAGCTGAATAGACAACCTTACAACTCTCGGCATTCAATATGTTATCATTACCCTGGTCATCCGTATTTATTGATAGAGGCTATATGCAGTACGTATCGTAGAACAAAAAGCCATCAAAGAGGCCAGAAAGTTTCCCACCAGAGTTTAATATCGAAGAAATCGTAAAACCACCTTCTAGCCCTGTACTAGGATGCACCTAACAATACTAACTCCAAAAATTACACAACTGAGTCCTATGAATTAATTATAATTCCCTCCACGCCGGCGCGTGCGGTGCACCTTGACGGGTTCCGATATTATCCCGTTAGCCATGTCCGAGACGTCGGTTGACAGCCCGAGGCCATTTGCTTCTTCGTTGTTTACCAAGCCTTCGAGCTCGTCTTCGTCAAGCTCACTCAACTCTTCACTCATTCCTCGCATCACATCCCGACCCGTCCATCGTTCCTCGTGAATAGTTGTTCCAATAGGGTCGAATGGTTGCATGTACCATTGTATGCCCCCTTGCGCGAGTGGCCCTTGCTGTTGGTCACCCTGAGAGCTCAGAGGCGGTGTGATTGGGCTACGGACCGTTCCAATGACCCGAGGACGAGGTTGGGAGCTACTGACACTAGCATTGTCTTTTTTGGCGACATCCTGATTCGTGTCTTCATTGACAATTTCCACCACTTCCGCGGCTGCCTCGCCATTGGTCGCCTCGTCAGAGGGTACAGGAGCAATGCCATTGCACTCTGTGGGTTTATGATCTTCATCCTCATTCGCATGTGACGCTGGCTGTTGAGTATCTGCATCAGGCATTGGCATGTCCTCGTCATTTTTGGTCACCATTTTGTCTTCCCGCAATTGTGCCTTTGTGTCCTTCACTTCATCCACAGCTTCATCTTCAACTACTCCATTAGTTGACGCACCAAGATCGTGAGCATCAGGGTCAGTGACCTCAATGACGGAAATCCTGCGAGATAGGACACCGCTCTCGAATATGGCATCAAGTTCTTTGAGTTCCTTCTCAAAAGGCTTGCCACTCAGTTCGCTCTCCTTGTGAATGGCTTCTTCGAGAGACGGTTGGATAGATTTGATGATTCGCTTTGCTAGTTTTCTCTTTTCACGCTGGTCTAGGGAGAGTTCAGGTGCCCTTCCACTGATCTGCATCTGCAGTTCTGCAGTATCCTCGGCCGGCTGCACGCCAATCTCATTGGTGAAAATATGTGCTAGATCTGCCGAGAATGTGGATACGGTTGTATAGAATCGTGACTCCAACCGAGCACTGACTGCTTGTAAACTTGGACTAAAAATCCCTTTAGGATCGAGCCTGTTTCATAATTAGTCGAGAGCCATGAATAGAGTAAATGACATGGTACTTACGCTTGAACTTTCTCGAAAATTGGCCAAAGTAAGGGTGGTATGGGGAAGTAGACAGTGTCGACAATGTTACGAAGTACTTCAACATCCTCCAGTTTCTCCGTTTCACGTTGCTTCATGTTTTCACACAGAGTGCGAACCTTGTCAACATCAAAAGTAAGTCGTTCTGCAAAATCAATACGACGCTGCAGTCGCGAGCGACCAATAGGACCCATAGCAACAAAATTCCGCCTCGTCATTTCCATAGAAGAGAATGTCTCGAGTTGAAGTTGTAGTCGCTTTAGCAGGGCTGCTCCTCGACGAGCTTCCCGCTTGAGCGTCCAATATTTACAAGCGTCTTCAGCATATTGCTTCCTTTGGCGAACAGTAAATCGCTGCAAAGAAGCAACCACAGAGTTCAACAATGTTTGAGGAATAACAGGAGCACCAGAGGGTAACTTCCAGATAGTTCTGGGTACGGCAGTGCGCTTCCGTTTGTTGCTTCCTGCATTAAAGGTCAGATGGAGGCCTGTTCCGGGATGAACATTATTTTCTGTTGGTTCGCCGCCGTCTGGGATTGATGGTCCGAGAGCAAGAGCTGCAGCTTGGCTGTCACCCCATCGTTTACCATCCATTGTATTTTTGTAGTACTCAACTGCATCGGCATAGGCAATATCTGTTCCATGTTCTTTCCGCCAGTCAGGAGGGACGTGCTTATGGCAAAAAGCTTTCAACAAATGAGAATCCATGATGGCAGAGTTCCCGTGGCCAGTCTTCATCTTCAGGTAGAGTTGAGCCCGCCTGGCACATGTCACATGAAAGGCGACGAAGCAATTCTTGTTTCCGCATTGAATTGAAGCGCCCATGCGCTGTTTGCAGATATAACATTGTAGCTTCCATCGGCTCTTTGGGACCTTTTCCACGTCTGTAACGGGCTCCATAAGCGACTGGTTGCCAATACCCACCTCAGGAATCCAAATTGAGCACAGAAGATGTGACCATTTTGAAGTGTTTGTCTGCTTGAAGGCACCTTCGGTATTAGGGCAGAAAATACAATTCGGTGACCCTCGTCCAATGAGTTGGCATTTCCGGCAAAGCCACTGGCCTTCGGGAATATATGGCACACCATAACACTCTTGATGAACGGCAAGATCACAGCCATCACAGAACACTATAGCATTAGAATTTTCACAGTCCCCGTCATCACAAACAGCACATTTACTGTCTTGTTCTTCGCCAGCGCCGACTGGTTCACCATTGACGGCAGCAGCAGAACTAGATCGTGGTCGGTGTGTTTGTGGTGGCTTAGGATTCGGTTTTGGAATCCGCTTTTCAAGAGCATACCACTCTTTCTCAATTTTTGTCATAGTGATTTCAAAGACGGCAGGTTTGATAGGTTCTAATTGATCATCTTTCCGTTTGGCGTTATAATCTTCTAGCCATTTTTCATCTTGCTCGTCCATATCGTATTCGACTCTACCGACACCGAGAGACCCTATGGCGGCATTCGAGTCTCCGTCTGTGATAGGAGGATCAAGGTCTAAATCCTCCTCTATAGCACCTTCTGCCATACGAAAGAGCTGGCGATCGTGTCGAACAAAGAGATCACTCTCTTGATATCCCACACTTGCCATAGTCCGATCAACATAGTTCTGCTGACCCACACCTTTTTGCTCGTAGCGAACAAACGGGTCTCTGGGGTGGAAATTAGGCGTAGGCAACGTAAGTTTCTCGCGTGGATTAGGTCCTGGAGGTGGAACGGTCTTTGGTTGTTCGGGGGTAAGAAGAGCTCTGAGCATTGCATCAGGACGCCTTGGCGGCCGGCCAGGTCTTCTTTTGATAGGTGTTTGCGGGGCCTGGGGAGTGGTAATTGAAGAGGTATCGTTGTTATTTCCATCAGCGCTCGGAGTTGTACCATTTTGTGACTGGCCATTTTGTATAGGCTGTGGTTTAGTCCCATCAACTTCTTCGGCACTGAATACTGCCAGTTTTACTTCGATATCAAGGTCTTCGTGAAACTCCTCCCAGCCCCGCTCTTCGCGTGGCTTATATCCATCGCCTTGTTGGATCGCCAGGGCGGCGGCTGTAGACGAGCTATATCTGCCTCGGCTTTGGGTTCGGTCTCTTCGTGGACGAGTGGAAGGAGGAGTTGATATGGGAAGCGGGGTGGTGGTAGCTGTTTCGCGACGACGACGTGGGGAGGAAAGACTTTGGACGGATTTTGGTTCTTTGACTCGAGGCGGAGCTTGCGTCGGGGTTATAGGTTTCTTCTCAACCACAGCATCTATTTCGATGAACCTGCCACCGCCTCCAGGACCGCCTGGGATGTACTTTCGTTTCTTTGGGGGAGGGCCATCGCTTGGGGGAGGCGCCCCGTTTCGTGGGTTCCGCAGTGGCGCCATAGATCGAGCTGACGGTGTGCGCTTTTGGAACAACGGTGCCATGCTATTATATAGAGTAGAGCTTGGAGCCTCTCTGCTCGAGCCCTGCCACTGGTAAGGTGGCTGCGGCAAACAGGGCCAGGGGGTGACTCAGGCGCTTTGTAAGAGAAGGCCAACCAAGAGAAAGGGGAAGCCCAGATGAAAATTCGTAGATAAGGTGATACTCATGACTTCACTAGGCCGAGGGGTCATCCAAATACTGGCCGGAGAGCAGAGAGGCGGCGCGAAGGCTCTTGTCGCATCCAGTCTGCAGAACGCGAAACTGCGACGTCGGTTATCAACGTGCTGAGTCTCGAAGCACGGGAGGAGATTGCGCTAGCCTGTTTGGGTATGGCGGGTGGTTGCCAGAGCGCCAAGCCGAGAGACATGATATGATTGAGCTCTCCGCATCCAGGAGCTCCATCTGAGCTTAGAGAGAGCTCGACACGCGAGAGAGAGTCGCAGTTGGTTGCAATATGAGCGGCCCTGGAGAAGACCGGTGAGTTTCATCCTACTTTCATTTTGCTTGACTGATATTGCTGTCTACTGCTTGTTGGCCTCATTCATTGTGCGACAAGTGTGCACGCGCAAAGATCAATGCTGACGAGCCACATTCTTTAACCAGATGGCGCGGTGGCCGACCATTCGAGAATCGTCAGCCCACGCAGAGGAATTCTGGCCTGGGCTCGCGCGACCGCACAGGAGGCTCTCAGGGAGGAGGCTCTCGAGGAGGTCAGTCCAATTCTTGGGCTGGTCCCCGTGGACAGGCGGCTCCTAGTCCCACGCAAGAGCAACATATCCCCGTAAACGAGTTCAATGCTGCCGAGTGCAAAACTGCGCTGGAACGAGGTAAGTCGCCAAACCCGTTCGAAATGTTACACCCTAGAATCGCCAACTGATACGCTCACAGTTCCTACCCGTGCGTTGACTACTTCGTGCCTACGACAAAAAAGATAACGTACTAACGATGCCATCCAACAATCAGAACCAGCTCCCATAAAATACAGACCCTCAGGTCTTCCAGCCAAGGATGTAGCTACCAATCGTGCTAGCGGGCCATGGGGTGTTAAACGTATGTTTCGTCGTTCCATAAACAAATACCGTATATTCAAAGTCGGTCCTGACATGATGAAGCAAACTCAATGGCCAGCGGGAAAGACTTCTTCCTGGAACTTCGAAAGCAAGTAGGCGCCTTGCAGAATGGTAGCAGCATATCCGGCGGTTGATGCGAGACCTAGGTCAGAGATACTTGCAACAATCTATTCTCCCATCTACAACTTACCAGCGGCAATCACGGATAACTCGACATACGTATTTAGTTGATGTCTTCTACTAGCCCGTTGTTGACCTGTGTTCTTGCCTACATTTCCTGCAAAATACTTTTATTTCGGTCTGTCTGAAACCAATTGTACATACTTGTTCACAAGATGGGCTCCTTTCCCTATCTGTGATTCGTCTCGGTGGAACTCTGACTATTTTAGACGGAACTCAAAAGTAGACACCGACCTCAAAATTACATGCATGACCGCGAACTGGCCTCTTTCCACCTGTTTCCACCTGAAGGGATGTAACACACCTTAGTCATATCATTCAAGCCGAAACCCCTAAGTATAGTTAAGACTCCACGAGCTGAGGTATTATTCAAAAATTAGCACACATGGAATAATAAACACGAATCGATCAACATGATTAGACGGCAATTGATAAAGATTAGTCAAATGTCAGGACGCAAAAAGAGGCCGCTTAATCGACAGGCAACGATTTGCCTGAGACAGCCTCGCGCTATGCCTCCCAAGACAGTCAGTTATGGCGGCGTGCTTACTACACTAATGTTGGTCCAGACAGCACGGGGCACGAACGGGGCCAAAGGAGAAATTGGCGTACGTTATGCACGGTCAGGAATGTATATGTTGTAGACCGAACAACAATAATAGTACAGATAGTACAGGTAATGTCTTTTTATGATTCCGATTGGTACGTGGACGAACCCGTACTAACCAGCTACGACCATGACTTGGGACATCAAGGGCGTACGAAGCGTGCTGGTGTATCTACTACCTGCGATCAATTAGCGGTTGATGATTGTTAAGCAGAAGTAGTCGCCGAGACCTGTGGAAACATTTGAACCGATTTCCGATACAGGAAGTAGAAAGAAGGGAAAGAAAAAGAAAATAAAAGACGTTTGTTCAAGTGTTGGTTGTATAAACCACGCTGATTGCACGACGCGTAACAACAACTAGACATATACTCTAAAGAGCCTAAACCTAATCATCACAATCTGGCAAGGGTTCTGGTTGGTTGGTAGGTTCGAGCTTGTCTAGTGACAAGTTTGTTACTAAGCACTCCATGCAACCAGGCCGGACCCTGCGACCTATATTTAGGTTCGGTTCATGAATAATCCTCACCTATGGAGTAAGAAATCCCCCTGCTCTCCACTGCGGGCGATGCACGCGTGGTGGTGGGCCACTTGATAGCGTTGGGTGGCTTGGCTGGGGTGTCGACGATGTCGGGATCCAATATTATCCTCGTTTCAACGCCTTCAGCAATGTTACTACGTGCAGTTAGTGGTCTGGGGTCCATTACATAAACTGGCTAGCCCAATCTGATGCTTATAAATAATTCAGTAGTCATCGTAGGCCGGCGGCCGCTATCTAAGAATATATATACGCAAATAGTATATGGCTATGTGCTCTTCCGCCAATGGAGTCCGCCCGTTAACCGCCGCTGTTCCTTCGGGGCTTTGGCGCGGAAGCAATGGAGAGTCCGCTGAGTCTGCCTTGCGATGTGCGTTCAATATCGGTATTATTCTTGTCCTTCTTCTTTCTTCGGTCAGAGGACGGAAATAGTCCAATGAGCCAAATTTAGGTTCCGTGTCAGCCAGCCGGCCCATCCATCTTCAATGTTCCGACCTGCATAGAAGCCGTCGAACGATTACCGAAGCCCGCATAAGCTCCGAGAGATCGATTATGATTACTGGATTGTATTCAGTTTTATTTACTGAAGATTTACGGGGCCGAGATCAATATTGGCGGCAAGATAAAATTAACCATCTTCTGTGACTGGTACCAGCCATGCAACTAAGCTAGCACTGCGCCGGCGGTGGTTGTGCAATCCTTCAAAGGATGTAAAGTTGGCACCGTGCCTCCACCTCCCCCGCCGGGCCCGGGGAGTACGCGACAGGAATAATTTTATACGGCGGCCGCATTTAGTCGGCCTGGCTGACAGGTTTGAAGGGGGAAAAGGGCACGTGTCTTGTTCTAAATCGACGATCCTAAAAAGTGAGACGTTCGATTAGATGAGACTTGCCCAAGGAACTGTTTCAGATGCGGCAGCTGTTATGAGCGTTAATTTCTTTGACGACAAACCAACACCGTCTTCTGAATAACATGTGAGATGAAAAGTACGTGTGTTGGAATAGTTAGACTAAGGAAAGACACGAAGCGCTAAATCCTTCGATGCTGATCATTTCCCAGTGGCTGTAGATACCACTGCTACCTTAGTGAAGAACGATTGGACTACGAGTCCGGTCAGCAAAGCGATTGGTTGTGTATAACCATGTAGTAGTATGTACCTAACTTCTACCAACGAACATGCACGATAATCGCACCACATTCATAACTGTTGATTCTTTCGCAATGGTCAGTGTTTCAGACGCTCGATCGTGACCTCGATTACTTCTAATATCAATTGATCCTTATTCTGGCTCTTGGCTACAGCGAAATCGGCCGGATGGTATCGGGCCATCGGCCGATCCCGTTCACGGGGGGTGTCATCATACATTGGATCTTCTTGCGTAACCTTAAACCGGCCGCACCGACGGGACGCCGTTAGTAGATACGTATCGTCACAGTCGCGTCCAGATTAAATTAGATGACTGAAATGAAATAAACACTGGAATGATGACAAAGGGTCGAAAAGCGTGGCTTCGATGTCACGGTATACCTTATACAACCGTATACAGATACAACGGTGCTAGTTTCTCCCATGGCACTGATGACGTTTTTGAGGGCTGAATAGGCTGATACAAGATTAGCGCCCGAATGGAGATGGTGTACGTCACCAAAGCAGTATGCACTCGCACCACAGCGTGCAGTGCAGAGTAGAGCAAAGTCGGCGTAAAACCAAGAGATGAAAATAATAATCAGAATGAAGTGCGGTGTCCTGACTAAGAGCAGCTGCGGCTGGCGGAAGGAACATTCGAGGCGGGCCCGAAGCAGGGACGCACTAAACGGTCGCCATATATAGCAACGACTAGTCCCGATACGGCATAGCGGTTCCCCCTCCATTGGGTCGAGCCTTGCCGGGCCCTAGGCTGATGCTAATAATACAATCTGCACGCCTAGTGAGGAGAGCGGAAACACTGAATATAGAACATAGAACATAGAATACAGAATGTGTAGAGGTGAGGAGAGTGCACACAATAAGCAGGAAGGCGCCCGGAATCCAGACAGCAGCGCAGCGCAGGCAGGTGCGACCTGCCAGGCGGCCCCATGGCTCACGCGCCCCCAATCGCACCTTCCATCGACCTTTGTCTAGCCGGCTTACCATGGCACTTGCCGGTTGCCAAATTTACCAGGCCTGCAGGCACACTGCCGGCCTGTGCCGTGTGTCTTCTCTTCTGCTTCTCGTCCTCATCGCATTTCCAGCGACAACATCGGATACATGATAACTCTCCTATTAAGACCCCGCTGGACCTGCATTTGGATGCATCGCCCCCAGGCCCTCTGTGCATCAGCCTCGGTGCCGGTGCTGTAGCATGTTCCCGCCCGAAAAAGGCCTCGAGCTGCCACTAGCCAGGCCGGCCGGGATCAGTTACGACTCCATCGAGCGACCCTGGTCGCAGACAATCAACTAGCATGTTACACTTCCGTCCTGGCGCCCACTAGCCCGATCAGGCCCGTTTCCACCTCCAGATTGATAGAGCTCAAACACGCTAGAACAACCCATCTCCAAGAAGAATGCCTCTTCGAGACGAAGCATCGCCAACGCCCTTGGCAAGGCACCGTCATGGTCCCACTCACACCTCGATGCCCCTTCTGATGGCACATCACCTACGAAGGTGTCAACGAGGCTGTGGACCAGCCCGGAGTCTAAGTATTAATAAATTGTCCTGCGGCGTGCATCATGGTGCGCCTGTAGCGCCGCCATCCCAACCCATCCCCAACACTTGCCAGTGCTGTGCCGCTAAGCTGTTGACCGGCCAGATATAAGCTGGCCAGAGCTCCCCCTCATTTACTACCATAGTGCCAACACTTGACTCATGGTCCTTCATCGCCACATTCAGTCAAACAGTCAAACAAGCTGCCACCGGGACGATCCGTCTTTCTCTCCCCAGCTCGATTTTCGGCGCACTATTTGGTCTCAACCACCGTCTCGGCTTCATTCAATGCCTCAACAAAGACAACTATCTGTGTCTCCCCAGTAGACCGCTGTCATCAGAAGATCCGAGCATCCAGCGCCTTGCCTGTTGTTCAATTGACCCCATGCAGCGTTTCTCACCTTCACAGAACTCGACTTCGCCGTCTCTGAGCCTCAACGGCCAAGATTGTGATCTGGCCGAGATCACTCAAGGTTTTGGGAACGGCGGGCCCCTCAGCTTCACTCCTCCACTTCTAGATCACGCACAAAGCACACAGGACCTGGAGTACTCCGAAGCGGGAATGACCTCATATCAATTTAGCCCTATCCAGGCCGACAACATCAACCTGGCGCATCCCAGCTCTCAACGACCACTTCCTGACACCGGTAGCACAAATGTCTCATCGACGTGGTCGGGCAGTGATGATGCCGTGCTAATGAATGCTCGAGCTCGCAACCACGGCTGGAACCAAATTCAAAAAGACCATTTCCCTAACAAAACAGCAAATGCTTGCCGGAAGAGATACGAGCGTCTTGTGGCAAAGCGTAGAGTGCCTGAATGGGATCAGGAGAAACTTGAAAAACTGTCCGCTGAATATAATCGGCTACGCGAGGAGACATGGCAGGCACTCGCAAGTGCCATTGGTGAGAAATGGCAGGATGTAGAAAAAGCAGTAAGCATCGGTCTTAAAAGTATTAAACACAACGATAGGAGCTGACTTCTCCCCAAGTGCTTCGACAGGGGTCTGAAATTATTGACCTCACCCAGTCGGGCCCATTATCGAAATCACAATCAGGTCCAGCGAAACGAAGTAATCAAAGCTTCTGTACCGCCGCCTCAGCCTCGCAGGGACAGTGTACTTCCCCTTAAGGACATTCTGTCAGCGGATTAACTTTTTGTTTCCGAGTATCTCAACCTCCTTTCTAAATACCCTCTAGCTTTGATGTGTTGCGAAAATTGCATGATGGACATTACCACTTGATACCTTTGCATTGTGGCTTGCAGCGCTTCAATTGACTGTTTATTCTTCTTGCTTCTCTTCGAATCATCTACCTATTCCGTTCTTGTTCATACTCTACAATATTCGGATTTAACTTAAACTCTATCCCTATTCATCCCGCTCTCCTTTCCTTCTTCTTTTCTCTTCTTCTTTTATACTCTTCCATTTTTGTACTGTGTTGATTAACGATTAACGATATGATGGATTGATCCAAGTTGGACATGAGCGAGGTAATGAAAATTGGGACGGTATGGTATGGAGTATTGACGCATGATCTTCCTTTTTCCTCTTTCTATCCTTCCTTCTGATTATGTATTGACCTATTAGTCATTTATCAGCCGCGTTTTTTTACTTATCCTTTACCTTCCTTTCTGTTGATGCATTCGGGATGCTACAACCCAGAAGTCTGTTTGTGCTGTTCATGTTATATATTGCATATTGCATCTTGTCTCGGCATACACGCGGGTGTTTATGTGGACTGTTGTACATTTCTGGGTATCATTACGTACACGAATAAAGTTTGCTTTTTCTCTCTATCTTTGCCTTCTTTGCATTTTATGTAGTTCCTCGCTCTGTCCACCCTCGCTCTGTCCACCCACCCGGCCCCAGGATGCCACCATCAGATGCCTGCGGATCAAGCGTCCACTTCCTTAGAGCTCTCACACTCAAATCCGTCACCCATCCAGCCTCGAACATCTCCAACCCAGCCCATCCGATCATCGCTGCGTTATCTGTACAAAGATAGGGCGGCGGGGCCACAATTTCCACATTCTCAAATCCGCGAACATCCAGAAAAGAACGCAGCACTTTCATCAGGAACTGATTCGCCGCAACACCACCACTAACAACAAGCGTCTTAACAGCCTCGCCCTCACCACCAGCCTGTCGTCTACGCGCCTCCAACATCTCCAACCCAATAATTGTCCTCGACGCCAAATGTTCAAAACAAATCCGCATCGCCTCCCGCGCCAGCGCAATCCGCTCGTCACCACCCATCTCTCTCCCAGCAGATTGATTCTTCCTCGCAATTCTATCCACGGTACTCGCGACACATGAGAAACTAAACTTCAGATCCCGCGTGTTAGCGAACGGCGTCGTGATCGACCATCCCCAAACCCCTCCCTCATGCTTCACCGTTTCCTCGCCGCGGGTCATTGGGGGCCGGTAATCAGCGTAATCTGACGCGCCGCGCGGGAATGCGAATCGCTCGAGGAGTTTACCGTACATGGTCGTTTTTGAGGATTGCAGGATGGACTCGGGAAGAATGTGGCGAGATGATTTGTCTAGGGTTTCGCCGATGGCTATATCCGCCGTTGTGGCCAGGACTTCGTGCTCGAGGAGGGATTTCGAATGAACCAGCATTGAGTGCCCCCCAGAGGCGAGAATGGAGAGGAATGGAAATTCAGGCTGTAGTTTAAATTTCAATGGATCAGTGGTATTATTATTGTTTTTGTCGTTATTCAACCCCGACACGAGTCTTGGCGTCAGGAGATGCGCTTGCATATGATGCACGCCCACCAGGGGTTTCTGCCACGCGACTGCCAGCCCTTTCGCCGTATCCAGCCCAACGGACAAATTCGACCTCATCCCAGGCCCTCTCGTTGCGGCGACAAAATCTGGTAACCGTCGACGAACCCCATCCGCAGACAGCGTCACCGCAGCATTAGTTACGTAACCTGATGTTGATCCACCCTCACCGGCCACGGGAAGAAATTGCAACGCCTTCTGGACCAGTTTACCAAGATTTTCTTGGTGCGATTGCAGTGCCTCGATCGGGTGGATGCCACGGTATTGACGTGTGTCGGCGGTGATGTTCTCGAGGAAATACACTTTTGCAGCTGGCGACGACGCTAGGGAGGTGTGTTTCTCGACGATGGCGACGGATGTGTCATCGCTATAAGCCAGTTAGTGTCAGTACATAAATCTAAATTATATAAACACCTAAGAATGTGAAATGGGACTTACCAAGAGCTCTCAATAGCGAGTGTTAGCAAACTCCGCCGCCATCGGAACGCCAAATGCCTTGCGCCAGCATGTGCAGCGGCTGGCAGGTGAAAGCGAGTCGTTATTTGTGCATGATGTAGAATCAGCATTTCAGCCACGTGTCCACAACGAAAAAAGCAACAGAAAAAGTAGAGATAACGATTTTAAAGATATCTAAATGAACACGATTGACTTGGAGCTAGCTCCTCCGAAAATTCCGCGCACGGACCACCGGCCGAAGCCCTCACCCAGAGCCCTAACTACCTTATGAATTGGGAAGGGATGATGCTGTCAATTTTTGTTACCTCTGGAATACGTCTTTTGTAGATTTTGGGTTTGCATTCTGTCTATGTGTGTTTGGAGCAAAGAAAACACAACTGCCGCCTGTAAAACAAACCAGCCACCATCCATTCCCTATTTAAATACAAGAAAAAAGGTGGTCGAAAGGTCATGAGAGAGTCCGGTAACATTTGAAGCATCAAAAAGGGAGTTAAAAAAAAAGATTCACATGTATCCTTGTCTGTACCATTCGCAAAGTTTACGTGTAGAAGTAGTAAACAGCAGCATAGTCAACTTCAAAAGTTCCCTTGTGACCGTCGCAAGTCGCTGGAGCGCTACCACCGGCAGTCAGGACACGATAGACTTGCTATAAACCCGTCATCAATCATGTCTAAACGGATAAATACTGAAATAATTTGCAGGAAAAAGCTTACATGAATACCCAGGCCATCCTTATATCCAAGCTTCAACCACGCCACCGATCCTTCGACCGCACTCCCCGGGGCACTCACGCTCTCCAGCTTCTGCGACTCTATCCACTGCTGATTCCCAAATGGCCTGAAGTCAAATGTCGGCGTAGTCGCATCCACGAAGAAGTGCTGGCCTACGATAATCTCATTATTCTGATCATTATTACCAGCTAAAACCGAGTCGGTGAGTCGTTTGACCGTCAAGGCAGCGAGGACAGCAGCATCAAGTGGCATCTTGGCGGCAACAACGGGCAGTTCGGCGAGAAGGTTAGAGTCAGCGGCCGCAGCGCATGAGACATCGAAGAGCGTGGCGGTGGCTCCAATGGCGGATGGGGTCGTTGCACCAGCGCAGCTGTAGTTTTGGGTTCCCCGTCCAAGAGCGACATATTGAAGTGTTCCGTTTGTCTCTGGCGCAGAAAGCGCGATGGTTGTTTTGTTGAGTGGTGGGGAGACGTTGTTCAGACTGCAGCTAGTGATGTTGAGGTTGCTGAGTTTCTGGGAACTAGAGAATAGAGTAAGGGTGTCGGCGAGGACGGGGCTAATCGGAGCGGCGCCCGCCAACAAAATAGGAAGGATGAGAAGATTGAGAAGCATCTTCATTTTGACGAAGATGGTGGATAAGGAGAAATGGTCTTTGTCGGGTTAAAAGGGCTTGTTATGGTGGTGATTGTGGGTTGGATTGTTTGCTGTGTTGTTGTTTAGATGTGATAGACACTTGCTCTTGCCTCTATTTATACTTTCCAACTCTGTACAACGAAGATGTGCATGAGGCAAGAAGAATATGATTCAACCTTACAAGGCATACCCAGTTCAAATAGCGACTCTGGCATGCTGTATTTAAGTAGAAACGATTAGCTTTCGTTGCTCAAATTTAGCAGGCAACTCCACCAACATGTAAAACACTGCCGGCAAAATCCATTCTCGAGACAAAGAACATTTACCATTGTCATTGAAGTAGAGTAAACCTCCCCCACCCAACAGTGACCCGCCCACGACCGCTAAAAGTGTCTCTAATTGAGCATAGTAGAAAGCAAGATTGTCAGAACATCCGAGTGAGCGAATCATTTCCGCCACTTTTCTATAAGTAAGCTTTTAGTCGATTATTATTAGTCTATAACCGCCATTAATGCAAATATTGACTCATTAAATATTAGCTTTTTTTGAGGTTGGTATGAGGTTGGTATGAATAATATACCTGTAACAATAAATGTAGGAAGATGAGTAGATGTTGAAGCATTAAATGTGTTATGAAATTTTAGATTTGATTCTTTAACAGTTTCTATTACTATTTATTTAATCTTTTTCATATTATATTTAAATTTCATCATTATTTTGAATTATTCTAAAAAAGAATAAGAAATAAGTTCAAACGAGTCATGTAACTAGTGCCAACACCACAGAACTCAATATGGATGCATTTGAGCGCCGACCCTGACTACTACCCACCGACTATTAGGAATCATGAAGTCAATGCTTCTAGAAAATCTTAATTTTCCCATTTTTAGTACGAAATTAATACCACGTTTACGTCAATGTTTCCATATTGATTTACGTTAATAATTTGTGATAACTTTAATACCTCATTTATGTCATTGTTTCTGTGTTGATTTACGTCAATAACTTGTGATCTCAATTAATGTCGATGTCAGCATTGAACCCATACATAAACAATCCACCTAATATACAACCAAATAAGATGTCTCCCAATCCAAAAGTTGAATACTCAGTATGAAACTTCAAAGTCGATTCTAATTGATGCATTAGTTCCAAGTTCCAACACCATGGTTCAGCGCTAACTATAACCGATTTGGCTAGTAATCAGAGCGATGCGGAAGATGATTGGCTGCGAGAGGTTGAAACGCCAACAATATTCTAAAAATAATAATTATAATTAGTAGCTCCAAATATACACCAGGGTCTGATTCGCAGCACGGCTATTAGGCGGCTTGCTAGGTCGGGATTTAACGAGGCTTTACTGGGCTGACTGGATTTATTTATCAGCATTTTAGCAAATTTGAAAATCCCGTCCATGCTGCTCTTTCCTCTGCTCATACCATATCAAAGATAGCTCATAACGCCAGTTATAAATGGTGCATGCTGTAACAATGAAGAGCATCCTCGGCATTGCTACTACCTTTATCCACAACATTATCTCTGTTACTATTAATAAGGATCAGTGTTCTTTATTACAAATGTGTCTTACTCTAGATCTTTGATTTCGTAACAAAATTGCGAGATAACCCATTGTCAAAATGGGCCTATGGTCACGACAGGCATGTTTGACAGGAAAAACGACGGAGTAACCCCGGATTACTCTGTTAAACGAACTATTATATTAAAATTAATTATCAGGCCCATTTGTGACATTAGCATAACACTAGAGATAAGTCAATGTGTGGCATTAGTACGGCTATATCAATTTATAATTAGAGATAGTCCTTATTATTCGATAGATTAGAATATGATTATATGGTGTTTTAGATATTACCTTTAATATTCCTTCCCACCCCTCCCCCACGCCCCCTGGACGTATGGCTGCTTCAAATGTTGTCGTTAGAGCAGGATAAGGAATTTGAAGAAAAATTAAATTATATTCAATGTTCTAATTAGTGATCCATATTATCAGATTCTTTATATATCGTTGCAACTTGTTTTAATAGACTTTCCAACTTCGCCAGGCTAAGCTTTGACGAAAATAAATAAACCCCAATGTAGCTAGTAATACAACAAATACTAGGGAAGACATGAAATTCGACTTGTGCATAAGTAAAGGGTTCACCTCCCGTAATATTTCTGTACGGGCGAATAAATCCTAACCCTAATCCTACTAAATTCAACACGAATCAATTGATGTACTCTTATGAAAAAGGTCTTTCAGAATTTATATACACCTCGTCTCAAATACCGTGGGATAATTTGATGCTAGCATGGATAATGGTAATTCCTGAAAATCTCAACTCCTAGATTGATTGTTACGTTAGACTGGGCAGGGGGTAGGATCACACACGCCATATGTGTACAAGTGCTCTATCTAAACAATCAATATCAACCGTCTGTTGTGAACACACTTTCGATATTCCACATCAGTGGATCTCTAAATCCAATCATGAATTAGCGACAGCATTCGGTGCAGGTAGTTCAAGCGTGGTGAGATAACGCTGCATGACGGAGAACCGTTGGGATGGTTTCAGTCAATGGGGACATCTAATGTGCCAACATCCAGACGCAGAGTAGCTTCAGAGCTGCAATTGATAGTATAGTCGGCGTTTGTTTTGGGAAGAACAGAGAAAACTGTAACGAGTACAGTTGGTTCCAATTATTCCCCATGTCCAAGGAAATCTGCATTGATGCAAACAGCCTGAAACTCGTCAATATTATTGGTATCTCATTGCGATTTCAAAAAAAATTGACAAACTGCTTCCACCAGTTGATATATATTTCCACACACACACACACACACACACGATATATATGTATATATATATATCCCTTATTTGAAATAGCGCTGCGTAAAATAGGATCAATCGATAGCGTTGTTTTCCTTATCCTTAGCCACTTGATACTTCCTGCCTTTTTAGAACCATTATTATGAGTTGATAAGCAAGCGCGAATTCTGTTTGGCCAGAAACACCTATTAGTAGCCTATTACCAACATTGAGCTTGCACCAGCACTAACAAACCAACCAGATGTATCTACACACGCTCATTTGACACCCTCTTCATTCCGCCTATTAGATATTTCGGTTGCTTGCAGTTCAATGAAGACTAGTGTCTTGCAGCTCAAGTGCTGTAGCCTTTTCACAGTTGTATAGGTCACACTCTTTGTGTTTTGTATGATCTTGAAATGAATCTAATCAGTCGTGTGTAATTTGTATGCTAATAAACTTATATCTCATTGCATAGGAATAGAATGAATGCTCTTACCTATGTGTCAATATATATTTATTTGAAGCCTGGTTACTCGGAGAATTGATAACACATTCTTTCAACTCCAGTGCAAATACTTGTAGTGTTCAGTATTACATATATTCAATTATTTTATTCCATTTACTGGATTGCCTCACATGTCGTCACCTGGCCATTGTATCTAGCTGAATCCTAGGATATTACATCGAAGAGTCACTGACTGTGCTATTCCATGTTCAGGGTGTCCAGCAGTGATGGTATAAGGACACTTTAATATCGTCGTTACATTTTGTTACATAAAGGTCAACTACATCGGGTTGATTGGATAGGGGGACGATTATCTAACACATTTCATAATGTAGACCAACGAGATGTAGTATTCATATATCAAGTAACCTGAGCTTAGGATTCAAACCAAAGAACCAATTCGAATTGACGATTGCATTGCTAGAGTACAGTATATATTCCAGAACGCACAAGACCAGATATATGTACAAGTGAGAATGTGCATTCGAATGAATCAGATGATCTGCAGAAACAACCCTAACAAACAACACAGCCCATGCGTCTCCCTCCAACACCACAGTAATCAGTGAATAAAGAATGAACATCTATTAAGAGGTAGAGACTGTAACGACGAGCACCTAGACAGAAACAACGAAAATCGATCGAACAGCGAAGGGTGAAAAGCAAACGCAAAAAAGAAAAATGATATCATCCAACAACACAACATCTGCAGATGGTATCAATGATTGCAAGGATCTCGCCTGCATAGTGCAAATTGCAAACCCTCGGTCTCGCGAGGTCATAAGTAATGTGAACCGTAAAAGCGGCAAGTCGTGCCATGCCGAAACATTTTCCAGGGCAGCCCAAAAATGAGGTCTATCGTCGTAAAAGAGAAAAAGAAATGAAAGTCATCACCGGATTTCCCATCCCATTCGTTCCTTTGAAACGCTGTGCATTTCCGTTCCTTAAAAAACAATCCAGGTGGGGTATCAAATATGAACAGAACCTGAGCCTGCAGAAGATAAAAAAGACGCGTATGTTGTACAATGATGAAACGAAAACCATCTGAAACAGGATATCATGATGCGCAACGACTCAATCACGCAAGACGCCGAAAGAAACAGAATCAAAGTCGCTAAATCGACAGCGGACAAGCGAACAACGCGCCTGAACTTATATGCACGTAATATAAATCCTAGCCCGAGGGTTGGGAAGTTTACTCTTCGTCTTCGCCAGAGCCGGTTTCCTTTTCTCCCTTGTGCACCTTTTTATGCCGTCGCAGGTTGGAAACAACGGAAAAGTGGCGACCACAGCCTTCAACGTCGCATGCGTATGCTATGAAGGGGTTAGCAAAGGAATTTTAGGTAAAGAGAATATCCGGACATACGCTTTTCACCAGTATGGCTATACATGTGAGTCTGAAGAGATGATGGGCGCGTGAAGCGCTTGTCGCAAACCTTGCACTTATGCTTCTTTTGCGCGTTGGATGGCATCTTGGAGCTGAATTGGCTCATCATCGACTGAGGGCCGGCAGGAGCAGCGGCGCCGAGAAGAGTATTTGGGCGAGGCAGGGTTCGCGACGGAAGACCATCGTACGACTCGGAAGTGGAGCTGTAGTCTGTAACTGATGAGTCGACTGATGCAACCGAGGCGCTGTAGTAGGGATAGTTTCCTGTAGAAGACATGGACGAGACCGAGGAGTGGGTGGATGGGAAGCCGTATGAGTCCGTAGAGCCCCGCGAGTTTCGAGGAGCGTAGATGTTGCGCGGTGTCAAGTCCTGGCTCAATGCGACCATTCCGCGGCTAGCATCGATCGCGTCACTGTAGGTAGCAGCAGGTTGAGAGACACGGGCATCATTGCTGGAGCGCGTTAGTATAATTCTCCCGTCGGTCGGGTCTAAAGGTATAAACTTACGGATGAGATATGCGACGGCCATCTTGAATGCCGTGGCCATAGTTCATGGTTGGGTAGTTGGCAGGGGTGAAACCGCCGATCGGGGCGGCAGCGGTGTAGGAGGGAGCACCGTCGATGGTTGAGCGAGGGAGTTCATGTGGCATATTGATCATCTCGGATGCTCCGTACGGAGCGGAGGTTGAGTAGTTGCTGCCGGCAACAAGCGACGGGGCGGACACGGGAATGCTCGAGTAGGGCATGGAGATGGCGGACGGGCGGTTGACATCTCCGTGCTTAATGGGATTCAAGGCCAGTTGACTGCTGCCCATGGAGGTTGAGGTGTAGACGGGAGGAGTCGAGTGCGAGGAGGAGTGAGACCACGGATCTGTGAACTGGGGAGTCTGGCTGTGAGGCATATTGTTATGATAGACGTGATCGAAGCCCATGCCGCCGTACTGGCGGTTCTGGTTCTCAATGACCATCGTCATGGAGGCTTGCGTGTGCGAGGCTGGTGTAGTCTAAGTATGTTGTAGTAATTCACCTGGCGACGAGGCAGGCAGGAGCGCGCGGTTGAGGATCTACGGGCAGATGCGGTGATACAATGGCGTCACCGTGGGAGGGCTGCGTAAGTCTGTGTGCTGTGTTGTGCTGTGTCGATGTTCACTGGATGTAGTTGGACAATTGAGTTGTCGACGAGCCGTCTGTATGTCTGTGCAAAGATGAGAGGCGGAAGATTGGAGATGGTGAGGTGTGGTGACTCTGGGGAAGGGGATCGGCGTAGCTTAAGAGAAGGAAGGAGCAGCGCCTGGTATTATTATTTAAGAGTAGGAAGGTATCGGTTGTGTTCCCATCAGAAAGAATAGTTCCGTTCCATGTATGCAGCGGATGGGCCCTGTGCCACTGACGATGTTCCGTCGGGGGAGGCTGTAGATCCTTGACTTGGCCGGACTAGCGCGAGCCGACTGCTGCCCTGCCCCAAACGGCGCGAATATCAATGGCTCCCATGGCTCGCGCACAGCGGAGCCCGGCTACCGCTGCCCATTGGCCGGCAGCCGGTGGGCCCCGGTCTGGGCTAGCTGCTGTTTTGGGCCTTAGTGGCTCCTTTAACTCGGGCCTGCCAGCCCGTCCCAAATGCCCAAAAAGGGTCTCAACTAATTACTGTGCTCCGTGTGAAAGCTACGGGGAAATTTCGAGCGGTTGTGGTTGGCTGTGTGCTCCTATTCCATCTCCATGTCCGTTTTTGTATACAACACAATAATATCTACTCTGGGTAGTGTGCCCACTAATACAGAATAATGGATGCTAAATACGTAGTGGATAATAAATTTAAATTAGTAGGTAAAGGAAGAATGGTTGCAAACCGAACTTTAATAACTTGGGGCCATGCAGGAATCTGCGCATCGGGCGGCTTGTCGGTGCGTCCTACAAGCATCTTGAAGCCTAATCCTCTCAGGAGGGACGGTGGATGGGTTGGATGGACGATTACGGAAAGCCGAGCTGCGACCATAACAAGGGGGAGCCTGGGAAGGTGACCCGGGGCGGTCAGGTAGTCATGCTACATGGGAGTGGTGGTGGCACGGGAAGAATATCTGCCACTATGTGCCATATCTGGCCTGGTCCGAAAAACAGTATGTACCTCTGCCGTCCCGACATACTGACAAGGTGGAGAAGGAATCCTCGATGACACCAACTCCCAGCCCTGACTGGCCTTGGGGGAACCTAAAATGGACTCAAAAGTCACAAATGGAGGGGGCGCAAAATCCACACGTCACTAGTCTCCATGGGGGAGGGAAACAAGAGAGAGAAATAAAATAGTAATAAAATAAAAACGACGCTATCTTGAATAGATTGCTTCACGAGTCTTTCTATGGATTGTTTCAGGATAGCGGGGGTGGTTGAGGCAGCGAATAAGCGGCCGGCAAGATGAGCTAAGCTAGAATGGCGCACCAGGAGTAGAATAGCGCAAAGTTAAAAGTGGCCGGCGTCCACTGACAAGGCGCAGGGCGGGGGAAAGGAGGGAGAGAGAGAAAGGAAAGAGGAAAAGGAGCAGCCACTCCAGCCAGTGACACCTCCGGGTGGGGCTCCGGGCAGGCGCGCTGAATGGCTGGTGCTGGGCTGGCAACGGGAGATGCCTTTTAGCCCGGTGGGGCATCGGCATTTACTTGGTGATCCTACTGGCCTTATGTGGGTGGCAAATATGTGCTGGGCTCACAACCTCCAGAAGCCTACAGCCTACCTCGAGGAGCATGCCGTGCCGCCAGGAACCAGATCAGCACAGGACCAACGTGCGACATCTCGTAAGGTTAAGCATTCGGTATTTAGAATTCAGTCAATCGAGAGGACGGTTCTTCGTGCGAACCAGTAAGGTCAGGGAGCCGGTGTACCGAGGGACACGGGACGCGGGTGGGCTCATTTGGTGGCTTGATGATGGCTTGCGATGGCTGATGATGGTGGAGGATGGCGGCCGATGGCTGACATGGCTGAATAGCTGCATTGACAGGTGAACGAACCACGCATTGTTAATTCAATGTCAGCCATCTGCTACATCCTCTCGCATCTGAAAGTACAGCTACACACCTTCAGTGTTCACTGCACGAGGTACAGAGGCCAATCAGATGGCGTAGGGCCACTTCTCGAAATAGTAAACACGTAGCAAAAATGCAGCTTATGAAGCGAGATGATGCTATGACTAATATTCATTATTTGGTTTCTGGGTTCACCTCGCAGACTATGTGAACAAAGCGGGGCTCCTGGCCAACCAGGGGGTCTCTACTTTCCATTCAATTTTCAACTTTTGATCCCCTTTGCAATTTATCAACTTGTCTTCGGCAGCATTTGAGACGAGCGAATGTTGATATCAATATTCGAGGATGTCGACGTAGAGGAGTCATTACTATTATGAGAACGGCACTATTCTTTATATGCAATATATCGCAGCATCTACGTACAGACATACTACAGAGTATCCGTACATACTACATACTAAAAACAGAGGACGGGGTGTGGAGCCCCACTCCTGCAGGCTGGATCCTCGCAGCGCCGTACCTGCACACCGACGTCACCAGTAGCAGCACTTCCCTACCAGTTCCTTCCCCCTACGGCAGCTGTGAAGCATCTCTGTTGCTCGCGATAAGCATTACTTAGTCCACAAGACTGAAAGCCAAGACAGATGGGATCCTGGCTGCAGCATCTCACCTAGGAAATAGCCAACTATCCCCGTAGCGAATCATCCCTCTGCGCTCTCCAGTTTTCCCCAACATTCACACGCTGGTTTGGACATTCCAATCCTCGTGACCGCGCAATGCAACCAGCATGACATTTTTAATCCCGAATTCAGAATATCCTGTCCCAATTTCCAAACCATCACACGCAGAAGAAACATGGGTGGGCAAGCTGCCATGTTTCACTTGCCGGAAACCACATCCAGTCAAATTACCGCGAGATGTTGCATTCACTTTTTGTCAATTCTTATCCTTATCCATTGTCCCTTAAGTGATCCCTTAACCTTCACGGATTGATACCCTGGTCGACATAGCCATCTGTCACGCAAAGGCTGCACCGTGAGACCACGTCGTCACGGACCACGATCTACCGCCACCATGCAGTCGAGTGGATGCATGTCGCCCCGCCACGGACCCCAACTATTCAAGCTTCGAGCTAAGAATCGGTGGGCAGGGTGCTATGCGGATGCGCCGAGCGAACGGGCAAGGTCCGAGCTGGCATGTTCTCGGGTCAAGAACCCAACTTTAGTAATGGTAATGATAATAATAGATAGCATGTAGGCGATTGTGTTGGTTGAGTGGGAGACCGGTAGAAGGTACAACGCTGCACGGGGTCTCCGGGTGGAGGAATCTTGAGGGGTTCGTGCAAGCAGCCAATCAGCGCAGTGCCGTGCCGCGGTGTGGGCGCTTTGCCAAGCCGAGGCAGATGCCAGGAACGATGCAAGGGTAAATTCTTCCGGTGCCAATACTTGGATATACTGTGTATTCCTTGATCCTCTGATGATGGATATTCTATTCACTACGTTACCTGTTTCATGTTGATAGTCAATATTAGAAGTGGTAGAGTGCAGACTGGATCCAGGTCGTACCGGTGGCCCGGTCGTAATCCGTGTGAAATCACATGTTACATCAATTGATGTCACCGCGATATATAAAACACCAACGTTTGAAAAAGGACGTATAATATAATCAACTGATGACGATAATAGCAATAATATATGTTGGTTTGATGTGAAATATGTAATTGCACCATTGACTCAAGTAAGCAGTCACTCCTATCTGAGACATCTGGACATTTGACACTGCTGATGCCGCAACGTCGCAACACCGACTAGCTGTTGCGACTCTGCGCGGCAGACGTTCGTATATGCAGTGGATAATTGGGTATAAGCAGTCAGATAGAAAGTCAAATAAACTCCATATTAATCTACCAGATAAGCCGATGGATCCTTGTTACTGTATAACGTACTGTAAGCAAGTGCTGAGTAACTTGTCAATAGTAATTAACACGTCCACTGGCCCGGTGATGGAGAAACTAGGATTAACCAGGGAAGCCGGAGATCAGGACCATGAAACGCTTGGGCCGATGCTTCTGGCGCAAGGATGCGGCCCCACGCATCTCATACACGGGATTTACACTGCCACGACATAATATTAATTTTTAATTGCGCAGCAGGCATAACACCAGATATATTATTATGAATACTTTTTGCTACACATGCTATCTCCTCTCTATTTATTGTATTCGCAGTGGTGATAGTTTCTATATTCAACAAAACCAGCCTGGAGACTTATGTACATGTTGACCAAGAATCATAGTATGTAAAGGTTAATAGGTAGAACCAGGGAGGGCCGTGCTGATTGGCCACGCCACTGGATCGTCGCGATGTTCCTGAAAATCCTCGACGGGAAGCCCTCGACGATCCCTGTCGTGCAGAAGATCTCGATAATCGCATCGCGGATCACTTGAGAGCCTCAAGATTGCCAAATCAACTGACGATAAAGATAGCATCTCACGTCTTTTACAATTTTCTCTTTCTTGCTGGACTTGTCGCTGCACGGCAAGTATTCCAAATCCTGCGTATGTAAGTAGCACTAACTCCTACTACGAAACAGCAGCGCCGACCAATGAAAATTTTCCCAGCGCAAAGAGTCTCCGCCCGCACACACACAAAACCCATCACACAAATACGATTACTGCTAGTATGCTGGTGTTATTATAGGGATGATATCATTAACTCCGCCGGGCGCTCGAGCTCCCAGCAAACCAGGGCCAAACTTTGATTGAGTCCTGAACCGTGGATGATAACTTGTTGGTACTGACAATGAGAGGGTGGTTCTGACTTCTGATATCATGGCGCTTCCAACTTCTCCACAAACAAACGCCTCCGGTTGCACGTTCGGGACGCCCAATTTAACTTTCCAGACTATCATATTCCGCGCCTGGGAGATATTGATTTCGCTGATTACTGGTTTGGGGATAGTTGGTACCGGGACTTCGACTCAGACGTCTGCCGAGGTTTTACTGTATTGGCTCGCAATAGTATAATAATTATGTCTTATTATGGATATGGATATGGATTTCAGTAGCCGATTCCTGCGCACTGATGAAAGCTAAGTATGAAAAATATATAGACCGAGGATTAGATCGTACGTGCACTGCATGAGCAAGTAGGAGGCAACAACAAGAGGACGTTATTATTCTGTTATTATGACGACCCCGCTCGCCGACCACAAGATGCCACTCTCACCGCTCATGCTGCATGGAGGCATGGACTAATGAGGTTCTGGGTTCTAACCGAACATGAAGCATGGCTGAACTTTGCAGCGATTACCCCTCAGTCATCCATAAACTGTCACAAGTACCCAACTATCCGGCTGTCCAACTATTTACGGGGTAAAACGTACGGATACATGTACAATAGTCGGGAGGGCGATAATAAGTTTAGACTTGCCTTGCCGCGACAACAGATTCCCAGATTATCATTGGCGAGCAGGCGCCATCGTCAATAGACATGCGAACTAAGCTACGACCGCTCACTAGAAGGAGATGGTACTTGGTAGTGTATAGAGCCTAACGAGAAGACTGAATAATGAGAACGTCTCCACTGGTAGGCCAGCCAATCAGATAACACAGCTGCACGACTTTTCACAAAAAGACAAGTCACATGCAGCTCCTATTGGCTGAAATTCCCGTGCGTGGCAGACTCAAATGTTCTTCAATATTCCGCTGAGTGTAGAATAAATGCAGCTCGACACTCTGCCGTTATTGTGGTGCAGCAGTAAATAGTGCATCTCGGTGGGCAGGATTGCTGCCTGAGTCCGCAGCCCGATTTCGGCAAGTACTCAGCCCCTACAAGTGTGAACGTAAGACTTACTCCTGTCTCTTGCTATAGAATTAAAAAACACTGATGAGAATATTATCATAAGAATAATCTGATCACCCGATAAAGGCTATTAGCGCGAACTGCTCCAGCTTCGCATTGCGCTGGATTGGTTCTGCTGACGAGTGCTGAGGGCCTGAAACACGCCGTCGACGCTGCCAGTGGAGACAGCCCTCTTTTTCTCTTCAACACTAGCAGTGCGTTAACTTTTCGACCCTCACAAGCGCCAATATTATTGAATATTATTATTTGAAATCCGCGTCAAAGCAAGGATAGGTATATACTCATCCGGTTAGTCCTACACAGCCCCTAATCATTAACCCTTCGAGTAATGCGTGCTCAAGAGTAATAATGCGATGCGACCTCGGTTCGCTGTGCGTGCACAAAAGTAAAGTAAAATAACATCGATGCAGTGAACCCCTTATTCACCTTTTCTTGCTCCTAGTCGCATTTGCTGGAGCAGAAAGTAGACTGAAGGAAAGGGGCATCCTCGTTTCGAGACTCCAAGTGAGTCGAAGCAAGGTTCAGGATTCGCCATCATAAATGGTCATAAATGCGTGCGGGTGGAAGCCGCCGGAGGTATGCGTGTCTTGGCATGACATCATAGGATTGCCAACAAGACAAAAGGCAATCAATACAATAAACATCCGATTCTCTACGAGTATCGAAGTTCCCGAAACCATTGATTTGAGGACTTGGTCAAGTGATTCGTATCTCCGATTGTTTTCCTGGACGATATTAGGTGACCGCTTAACGATGGAGTCCAAGATCTATGTTGATGAATCGATCAGTTGTTCTGGCTTGTAGATCTCATGGATTCCACATGCCACGCACATATTTCATCCCGAACTATGTCACAGCATTTCCGAGTATCGCTGTAGGGTTTTCTTCTCTGTTGACGTATGCAGATCCCACCCGCAGATTCCTCGCGTTTTACGCACAACCCACAAATCCTTACGTACAGTAGCAGCAGCATCTGCATCCTTCCGTATCAAGCATGGCTTCAACAACTTCCTCCTAGGATGACGTAGTTGCACGCGCTCATTCTTTGGCGGTACAATACTCGTCTCTACTTTGTACATATCTTAGTTCTGATAGTTCGTAGTTCGCTCGGACGGGTAATGACGAAATGGACGCCTAGCTTATGACTGAGAAATCATGCCCCTTTGTTGTTGTTATGTGTTGGGAGCTAAGCAACATCACCGTCATTATTACTTGTTGGCAGTTACCAGTTGCTACTGTTCAAGACAAGCAAGGTACACAAATTGATTGGATGCAGCGTACAGACTATGGATTACGGAGCATGGGTGTTACACGAGTCTGCTCATAGTTCTCCTCCCTTACTGTTTACATGTGAGATTCCGGCTACGTCGCCAACTGAGAAGGCCCTGTACGTCAGTTCAGGAGCCTCTCGTATGGCATATTGTTGTGTCTGTATGTCATATTTTTGATATTTGGTCTGGATGGGTTGTGGATGATGTCAGATGTGCTTTGACTGATGGTGAGATTCGTATATCGCGCTAGTCTTCGTGATGGCTGAATTGAGTAGATAGATGTAGACGTTTTAGTCTGGTGTTGGTTGATCGAATTGTTGAATGGTATCAATTGATAAGTTAAGGTGTTAGACTACATGGATGTATTTAAATTGATTGTGAATTTATTGATTAATAAAATATCAGTAACACCAGAACCGTGGAATCATTATATAAGCGCCTAAGATATACAAGTTAAAGCACAATATTCAGCTCCGGTCGCGACAATCCATCAGTTTCCAAATCTGGGTAATAAGGAACCATCGCATCCGCGCTTTGTACATACGCATCATTATACAATCTCCAGTATGGCGTACGCACTTTACGCGCAGGATGGAACAGACCTGCCCATACGTAGTTCATTACCACGCCTGTGCCAACTGCCATGCGGATCGCGTCAATCGCTTCGATGATCCGATCAATCACGTGTGGGCTTGTCTCGAAGATGTTCGGGTATAGCAGGTTCAGCAGGTGCACCATGGCGTCTTCGCACCCAAGACCAACCACACCGAGGGCGATATGTTTGACGACGCTAGCTGCTGTTTGACGGTGCACTTGGTCGCGGTCAATTAGAGCGTCTTCTAGTAGAGGAGTAACAGCGTAGACGTAATCTTTGGCCATTTCGCCAATATACTCAAATAGGAAAGACATGGCCTTCAGGACACCGTTTTGAACGTTAAGTTCAGGCACCCGGTACTCGTTCATTAGCGCTGGAAGTACTGTGAATGGCGCGCAGGTTTCTGCGACGATACCGATGGCGACTGCGGTACACACACGCGACTGACGCTCTTGGACTCGTAGATTGTTAAGCAACGTGGCAAGCACGTCCTGAGGACCAATAGCTTTAGCAATGAAACCGAATGTGTTGTTAGCCGCTCGGCGGATACCCTTCTTGTGAGCCTTTAACATGTCTAGTAGCTCAAAGCAGATACGCATCCATTCACGGGCGTTGACTGACTCTGGTCCACGATCGGCAATACGGCCGACCAAGTCGATGGTGTTTTCCTGCACTTTTTCATGCCGATTTCGAAGGATAGGGGTAAGTCTAGGGAGAAGATCACGGATTGGTGGCTGCATCTGGTTGATACCTACGACGGTGACGATAGATCGCAAGGCGCCCAAGATGGAACCCAGAACCTCAGGATATTCTTCACCAAGGTATTCATAAAGTAGAACACTGAGTTTGCCCATAAGAGCGTCCTCGCCGCATTGCTTCATAACCATTGTAACACGAGAAACCAGGTCGGCAGCCTGTTGGCGAACGGTAGCAGACTTGTGGTTCAACCGCCATAGAATAGTACTAACAATTTGAGGGAGATATGGTTTGCATCGGGTACCAAGAGCATTAACAACGGTGCCAAACCCATTCAAGATGACAATGTCTTCAATGCTCTGCTCTTGGAAAGCAAGCAGAACACCATCAATAAGTCGTTCTTCCAGTCTTTCAGAAATATCAGCCGCTCCCAGAGATGCAATTAACTTCTCCACAGTCTCCACCGTCATCTTGCGATAAGCTTCGCTTTCATCCTTGAGGTTGGTTACAATGCGCTCTAAGATCTCGCCGACGCCAACTTTTTGGCCTAGATCCACTGTTGTTTCGACGACTTGGCGGTAGTTGCGCTTATCCAATGCCATGCGCCTTACCCAGAAACTCTTGAAAAAGTCCTGGAGCACGTGTTCTTTCAAGTACTGTGCTGTCACACCATCCGTCTGGGCACATTGAGACACGACCTTCAATACAACCTTTTTCATCTCCTCATCGGGGGAAGAGAATTCACGGAGAAGGATCTCCATAATCTGACTGGTATAGTAATTTGCATATTCTTCGTCCATCAAAGGAATTATATAACCGACAGCCTTCAAGAATCCAGCAAGACCCTTTCCACGCTGCTTTCGAGCACCTGTCCAGAGAGGGTTGAGGATATCATCGAAGCTTTCGATACCGTATGGATTGGCTGCCTCGGCCAATGCGGCAATGGCCAAACTGGTAACAGTTCTGACCTTTGCTTGTTCATCACTGAGGTTGTCTGCAATGCAATCCACCAAGCCCTTCAGGTGCGGCAGAATAGCACATCCCATCAAAATTGGAATTTGTTGAACGATTTTAACACCGGTGTGGCGAGCTTGCCATGATTTCTTACTGCGGCAAACAGCGCGAAGAAAAGGAAGAAGGGCCGGTATACCCAAAGCAGACGCAACCACAGCGAATGCTCGAGCTGTAGTATTTCTCACGTATTCATCAACATGATCAATATCTGGACGCATAGTACTGATCATATGTGCGAGACCAGCGGCCTTAGCCAAATTCGAAATAATTTCTCGACCCTCAACGCGAGCATAGTAGTCCTGATCAATGAGTAGGGGCTCAATAACAACCAAAATTTTGTGTGTGTAGGGTCGAACAAGGTCATCTAGTTTGTAAAGTACGCGGTCAATAACTTTGACAAGCAAATGACGTTCCTGATCCTCTAGTGATTTTTCCATCAAAAGAGGAAGGATTTGGTTGAAAAGAGCTCCAGCTCCGAATTGTCGAGCATTGTCAGTGAGTTGGCGTAGAGCGGTCTTACGCATAGGCGGCGTTCCGTTCTTGACTTTCAAAAGCAGTCGCATAATCTTCCTCTCCTTCAGTTCTTCCACAGATAAAGCATTCTCATCTGCGCCATCCACTAATTTTCCAAAATATGCCATATCCTCTGCTTTGAAAAATTGAAGGTCGCCAACTCCCGGGATATCCGTGGGAAGCTGTTTACCGAGTGTGCGAGCACTCTCTGGTTCCTGCATCATGAAGCCACCATATCCACCTGTGCTGGCCACAGGGGCTGGGGTGCTCGTAAGCTTTCTTGCAGGGTTTCTGATAGGCTCATACCCAGGAGGAGGATCTAGGATCTGATAACCTTCCGAGGGAAGCATCATATCCAAATCTTCATCTGACCAAATACCATTGCGACCAGTGATATCGGTTCCAAAGCCGGGTGCTGATGGGTGCATCGGTGTTGCAAGGCCTGGCTGTCCGACCGGTGTCGCACCGATTCCGGGCGCAACTGGTGCTTGATCCCAGCGGGAGCGACGCTTGGGTGCTTCTTCTGGTGTAGGTACGGCTGGAGTCTGGTCCCATCGCGACTTCTTGGCCTTGGACTCGGTCTCCTCTTGCTCAGATGCAGCGGTCTCGTCTGCAGATGCTACATCCCATCGTTGTTTTCTCTTGCGTCCGGCGGCTACTGCGACAGTGGGGCCAGCATCGAGGTTTTCCTTGTCAGCATCGTCCTTCAGAGTTGCCTGATACTCGACAACATCGCCATTTTCAGCTTGTTTCTCGGAAATGAGTTTCTTGACACGCTCTTCTTCCTTTTCAAGCTCACGAAGGGCCATAACCTCTCGATAGGTCTGACCTTCAGACTCGACATTGGCATGCGCGTTGGCTGCAAAGGGGTCCGCTCGAGTCGGAGTAAGAGGGCCGCGGTTGAACCGGCGCTTCTGGTAATCAGTTTCACGGTCTGCAATCCTGGCAGATTTTTCACGGCCGAGCAGAATGTCCTCCTCCTCAACTCCATTTCCGCTAGCCATTTCATTGATCAGCTCCTTGCTGGCGGTATATTGACCGACCAGCCGATGTCCTGGGTCTGCATCCTCCATATCCTCATCGCCATCTATAGCGATGGAGGTATTGTAACCAGCATACTTATCGGCGCCATTGCGATCATACAACTCCGTGTCGAAGGATTCAGTCAGAGATGCCTTGGTCGAAAAGTCAGTGCGCTGACTGGATGGGTCAAATGTCTTTGAACCTTTTTTTGCAGCGGCAGCGGCATTCCGCTCAGCTTGTAGGCGCCTCACTTGCTCAAAGTCGGCTGGAAGTAAAGTCAGTTGGTGAGATTTTCGCGGGGGGGAGATGTCGCCTACCGTCAGACATATTGGCAGGCTGCAGAACGACACAAGCGATGTCAACTCAGAATAAAGTTGCAAGGCTACATCCAGGGTAGTGAAGTTGACAAACACGATGCGACGTTGGATGGAGGTTGGCCTGTGTCGAATGCGATGATGGGAGGTTGAAGTCGTCGTCGAACGCGATTTTCATCTTTTGCCGCCAGCTGTCCGCAATCAGACTAGCTCTTGATCAAGATCACGTGATTAATTACTTCAGCCAATAGAATATCACAATTCAAGGCCAATTAAAACGCTCACAGTAATACATTAATATGGAGAGTTGCACATACACAGATAATTCTTTGATTTACCATTATCAATATTATCTTTTGTTTATAGAACAGAATCAGCGTTAATATGCATCTGTCGCGTTCAGTTTACTGCATTCTAGTCCAGTCAGGAAAATCATATTAGGTAAGAAGCGTCATATTGAAATAGCTAAATTGTCATCAAGTCATTAGGTGTTTTTGCCTTGTCTTTTTGTTGTCATAATTCTGCACTGTATACATGATTTCCGATAAACAGAGTTTCCATACGCCTTCAGTATCACTCTTTTCATTTGCCAGAGCAAAGTCGAGGTCTTTTTGAAAGAAATATTAATTATCCAATGTCAAGGTATCACTCGGAGCCGGACACGATAGAAGAGGCGATGCGAGGCTAACTCGTCATTTGTCTTCGTTTCTCATTTGGGTAAAGAAAAAATATGGCTTCTTGCTCGCCAGCATGGAAACAAGAAAATCCTTTCCCTTTCACGACCTTGACACCCACCGCCTCTCCTCACGCGACATTTTCGCATAACCGCCATAGTACTCATCTTTGTTCTCAATAGGCGTGACGCAGTAGACTGTCGGCGTATTCTGAAACTGAATAGCCTTCTTACTCGAGCGCGTTGCCGAAGAAGCAGCTGAATTGGTACCCTTCTTCAGAATACTCTTGGACGTGCTCGAGTTGGTGTAAGCATAGGGCTGCGGCACCTGGAAGCTCATGTCTCGCGAGTAAGCTGGGCTCATTGGTGAAGGCGAGACTGGTGTTCGGGGTATTGGAGCTGGCGATCGCAGAGAGAGAACGGGACGAGGAGTGTTTGTGGCAGCAGAAATGCTGAGTGACAGCTTAGGCTTGGCTGCGCGTGCGGCGTACATTTTTGATGAGTTTCTCAAAAAGACCGATATTAAATAGATGAAGTATGGAGTTCGTGAGGACGGATATCCACCAGGGAAATCAGATCCAAAGTGCGGTGTATTATTTAATTCAGAAAAGATACGATTGATCAACAAACGTATCTCTTAGAGGAAAACAAGCAAATTCTTTGACGTCGGTGAAAGAAGAATGGTATTTTTATTGTTTGTGATGTTATGTTTGTCGATTGGACCAGCCAATCTAGGATAAGAAAGATACGAAAATAGAAAAAAGGAAGTAAAAAGATAATGAAAATAGCAACCGATGAAACAGTTAACGTTCGAGAAAGAGCAGAGAGGGATTGGGGCGGCGGCTATATAGTCAGCCTGGGAGGAAGCGAGCAAAGGCCTCGGGGTGGTTGGGGCGGGGTAGACTGCGAGAACTTCATTCATGGAAAGTATATTGCGACTGATTGGGGTTTGTGATGCTGCAGGTTGGTGGTGATTGCTGCACAGCACGCCCAATCAGCGCCCCGGCCTGTCTGTAAGCGCCGGCCGCCTGCACTATCACCAGTCTATCACACATTCTAAGCCAACGAGTCATGTCTGGCTAGCCAATGAATAGTGATACTTTCAGTTTGGACGGATTCCCACCAAAGTACTAACTCATTCTCTACGAAGTTGGCATGAACTTTTAAGGAAAGAAAACTTAGTATACAAACGCAGAGCGATGCCCGGCCAATGAGACCACATACATTTGACAGGCCGTTGGATTTATCAACATCACATACTAGTGTCAAGCGAGCTTGCGGGAACTGATTGATATGAGATAATGGCGCTACTATTAAATTGGCTTTTAGAGTTGTCATCTTGTGACTCATGGCATTGACTGACCCCTCATACTGTCGATCCCGGCCACGGAGTGTCGGACTAGTCCAGACCACAGTATCTCGCTATTATTGGATTGAGTATGTGCTTGCTGTGCATAGCAGCACGTTAGGCACATGATTACATCGTTCGGCTTGCATTTCTTCACACTTAAAGTTTGTGGACCATATACTTTCGATCAATCATTTAGTCGTATTGAAGAGACTATGACCGGAAAGTTGTGAAGAATTGGCATATTGGCGTTTCTGATGTCGGATAGGTGACCAGCACATGTCTCAAGCATAGTTATCTATCGGTAAGCAGGATTTTGAGGTGATAAGAGCCACTCTAAACGAATAATAGTCTAGGACTATTGAAAACTTAGCGAGGCAAAGTCGGATACATCAATAATCGTAGTCGGACATAGCCTAGCTACGTATGCAGTAGGTCGAAAATGATTTTTTTGACGGCCCAAAAATGGATCTAGAATACTATGGGTCTCCGCCAAACTTACCGCAGAACTGATGTGATGTGAAATTCGTACAAATTTCATTAGGGTCAGGAGGAAAATTCTAAGTAATTAGATTGGCGAATTGAATTATTTGAAGACCTGAGTGACCAGAGTAGCCGGTCTAGTATCATGCTTACCTTCTTGATATTTCATTATGCACACAGCTGTTTGGATAGTAAAAAAATAAACTCAACGTGTCAATTTTTCAAACTAATATCAAAAATGAAATTTTGGACCTTCTTACTCATATGCCGAGGCAAAGGCTCTCATATCAGGAAGGCTGAGCGTTATTCAGGACAATGAGAGTCGCTAATCATACCATCCGCAATTGTTTCTTATTTATGAGACACAGAACGGTTTCACAAGAAAAAGCATGTTATAGAGACGGGAGTTTTGATCGCTGCTGGGTTTGCAATGTATATGGCCATTCGCCAGTGCTACTTGAGTGGATACTGATGGATCCTTGAGCGTCATAAGCATCCGCAAATGGAGGATGTCGAGATAATCTTCGTTCACAGCTTGTTCAAATATCATTACATAGTTTTTCTATATCAAGGATTGTTCTTCATATGCCCAAACGTTCCCACCACCATTTTAGTGTTTGTCAATGGTATAAAATACAAGGTAGAAAGAAGAGAAGTATATAGGATATTCAATACAGGCTGAGGGAAGAGTTTAGGATAATAGTTCTATTATGTACATGTATTGATGAGCATGAATTTTAAAAAGTCATTTATTGCTGTGCTCCCTTTAATATGTACAGTATTGGCATATAACACAAATCAATAGCACACCATCTTACTCAACCTTAATAACAACTTTGCCTACATGTCGTCCCTCCATCAAATACTGGTATGCCTCGCGAGCTTCACTGAATTCAAAAACCTTCTCGTCAATCACTGGCTTCAGATCAAGCCTCTCAACTGCACGATTCAATTCCTCAAGCTGTAACTTCGAACCTCCCAATACACCACGAACGGTGATCGCACGGGCTAACGTCGACATCAAACCGGGACCAGATCCAGAATTTCCATCATCCGCAAGGAATCCCACAACAGAAACAGTTCCTTCAAAGCGGACTGCTTTGAGTGATTGATCAAGGGTATTTGCGCCTCCGACGTCAACAACGTGATCCACGCCAACGCCATTGGGTGTGAGTCTTTTTGCAGTTTCTCCCCAGTTTTTGTCTTCGTTGTAATTGATGACGTGTTTCACCCCAAGACTCTTAAGTAGTTCTACCTTCTTGCCTGAAGAGGTTGATGTTGTTGCAATCACAGTCGCCCCTGCTACCACGGCTAATTGGATCACGAAGAGACTAACTCCACCAGTTCCTTGAGTCAGGACAATATCTCCTGGTTTGATCCTTGTGACAGCACTGCTGGTGTTTTCGCTTCCATAGAGAGTATTCCAGGCCGAAATGCCTGCACCGGGTAGTGCACTTGCCTGAATAGCAGACAAATTACGAGGAATAGGTACCAGTCCCTGTTCCTCGTATGTGGCGTACTGGCGTAGCCAACCGTCTGTGCCACCTCCTCCTAGGGTTGACGAAACTTTTTCAAAATCTATTCGGCCGGCTAGATGAATGGGAGTGATTGTAGCAGACACTTTGTCTCCCACCTTGAAAGACTTGACACGAGCGCCTACGGCCACTACAGTACCCGCACCATCCGAGGTAGGAATGTGAGGTATGTTCACAGGAAGGGGATACTGGTTCTGTTTACCAGTGTTAGTTTGTTATCAAAGAATTCCTTTGTGTCAAGGAGGTAAGAGAGAACGAACCCGAATGATGGCTATATCTCGAAAGTTCAAAGATACGGCTTCAACTTTTATCAAGCAGTCGTGGTCTCCAAGAGGTGGAATGGTAACTTCTTGGAGCTGGAGGTCCTGAAGTCCATTCTGGCCGACAACAGCCCATTGAGCAGATGTTTTAGGAATTCGGTATGCCATTCTTGTGTCTTCTATTCCGAACGTATCAATTGATTATGTTCCAGAATTTTCTTCTTTTTCTTTTTTTAATTTAAATCTTTGGGTGCGATACATATGTGGTTGAAATAATGCCGATGGAATACCCCATTGCCCTTTATCTCTTATTCGAGATGACGCCAATTTTTATTTTATTACCATTTTATTCCGATCGTCACCTCATAGTGGTGAATGATTGGTAATAAACGTATTTACAAATTGCATTTTACGAGAACTATCCTCAGTTTCTCCCCCAAAAGTTGACAGATGGATATAATTGGTTCGGCATATAAAGCGTCTTCGGCATCAATTGAGCCGCTCGGATACTAATGAAGAACCCCAGCTCACAGTCGGCCTAAAATTTGTCCGATGATGAACGAAAGTTGAAATTTGAATACTAAAGAAAGTATCCAAGAATGAAATGTTGTCAATTTCTGATTTTAGTGAATTTAGGGCCATGTTGAGGATTATTGACAACGTCTCCCCCTCACGTCTACCTTGATTAAGCCAGTTGGTCTGCCATTTTCTCTCCTTCTCTTTCTTCACCAACTTATACGAAAAAAATATATTGAGTTAGAAACAAAACCGTTGTCTACAATGATAGCTAATGAGAAAGGAAACTTTTCCGGTATACCGCACGTGACTCGCACAGCCCTGTGTTGATCCAAATCGTATGGAGGTTGGGAAGCGTTCAAGTTCATACTGATTTAAAGAATATAATTGCAATAAGGATAAAACAATAATATTCTATACGGAATTATATATTTCAAAGTGAACAAATCCAAGTTCATGGGGATGCTTGGCAATGCGTCATGTTACTTCTGGCAGCACTGAATTCATCTACTACAGTTGGGTCAATTTTGAAGTTTATTAAATGCTTCCTACATGTATTCGTTTAAATACTGAAAATTGTCTTTTCCCTTTCTCTCCAAAATATGAAGACCTCTATCGTCATCAGCTTGTCAGCCACAAAAACTAACTAGTATAACTAGTAAGATTGACCACCAGGAATGTCGGCATACTAAGCGGGGAGAGTTGGTTGCACTAATTCTGGTGAAACATGGGGAACCTGACCGGCTTCAAGAATCTCGACTTGACTATTGATGGAGTCTTATTTATCCGGCTTCTTTTAAATGTGACACTTTCAGATTTTCAATGATATCTCCATGATTCCGCGTGGCATTGGGTGCTATTGATTGGGGCTTGTAGACTGGATTGGCCTATATAATGCGGGGCAAAGAACAAGAACACTACATACGTGTAAGAGATGAATAGGATTTTTTAGATATTGCGCACAAAAATTATATGATATAAACGGTATTGATTGCATCCCATAATAAATTTGATTACTGTGTTTGTGAATGGTCGATATCATGAAACTGACTACGTCCTTCCCAATTTTGGCTATGACCACTGCCGCAGCGCTGGCACACCTAAGAGATGTATCGCCGGTTTATTTCTTCACTTTGTAAGTGTTTGGTAAAATATTTTCTTTCTGTCTTTCTTTCATTTTTCTACAAGAGATCAATGAAAAGAAAGAATTAACCTCCATATTTGTAGCGGGGACTCGTATTCCATGACTAGTTTTGATACTAGTGGTGTGCAACCGAGCGCGTCCAATCCAATGGGCAACCCTACATTAGGTTTGTTACTATATCCAAGGTTTCTTTATGATACTCTATGAGAAATTCATATCGTTGACTACCGTTCTCTCTATCGCCCAGGCCAAGGAACAACCACTGGAGGCTTGAATTGGATCGAATATCTTACTACTGAATGCAACAAGACCTTAGTTCTCACTTATGACCTCGCAGTTGGTGGGGCTACAATTGACAACGACATTGTTTCTAATCCAGGATATGATGATGATGTAGTTTATCAGGTTGGGGTGTTTGACTCAGTTTACAAGGATAGTCCTTCGGATGCTCCGTGGACATCCTCAGACGCGGTTTTCGGTTTTTGGATTGGAGTTAATGAGTAAGTTTGAACACAGATAAATAAACAAATTTCATATTATTTAACGGAAGGAGGGTGAAAAGACGTTGTTGAATTCGGGCTGACATCTATCTAGTGCGGGAAATTCATATTGGAATTCGGACCCCGAAAACATTACTTCAGCCCTAGCAAATGAGTACGAGTCACTCGTTGAGCAAATATATACAGACGGTGGGCGCAAGTTTCTGTTTCTGAATGTGCCCTCTATCCAGGAAAGTCCTTTTTGGGAAAGTCAAGGAACCACGGTTGTCCAAGAACTCGCAAATTATCTCACCGTGTTCAACGGGGCGATCAAGAACATGACTTCAAATTTCCAGCAGAAATACTCCGACGTAAGTTTAAGCAATTCTTTTTAACTAGAAGGAATGACAGGGGATTTTCTTCTATATACTATAGAATTTCAATGTCAAGAACTGATAGGCTTTTGGTAGGCTACGGTTGTTTTCTATGATTCTTTTACTCTCATGACGGCCATCCTAGCCTCACCCACAAAATATGGATATCCAAATGACACAGCGGCGTCATGCTATAATTCAGATGGGAGCACTTGTGTGTGGTGGAATAGCCTACACCCTGGATATAAGTTTCATCAGTTAATGGCCGAAGAGTTAGCACCTCAAATATCTTCCTTCGGTGGATGGTGATTCTTCAATGTTACAACCCAAGTATCATTGGATTCTAAAGCCAATTAAAAATATGAAAAAAGCCCATAAACATATTTAACTTGTTTATATAGTATTCATAAGATGATATATTTTTATCTTTACTATTTACTGATTAAGATGCCGAAACTAACAGAAAAATATGTAAGTGAAGATAAAAGGAGTCTTGGGACATGGTCGAGATGGAAAAAAGTAAATAATAAAAGAAAACATCGTTAACATAGCGGAGCTCATAACGGAAAAAATATACCCTTTTTGTCACAAGCATATGAAACTTCAAATCCGCTTCCCAAGGTACAATAAGCCAAAACAATTAGGCTCAGTAGTATCCTCGTGTAATGCAAGGAATCTATCCCTTTCATCCCCGAGTGATATGTGCGAAGTAGTGCGAAGTATGGCTATCTCGCTTTAGTACTGGAGGTGGAGCAGGAAGATGCTTTGAGCTTTCTTTCCGGCGGTCCTTCATGTGATCATTCTCATGCTCAGCAGCAGCAGCAGTAAGTGTAGAAACTTCTTCTTCCTCATCCTCTTCAATGATTGACCAACGCGGCCACGTCTCGTGAGATGTTGCAGGAGGATTTCTTGCATATGGAAGGCCGGGCATGCCTAGTACTACGGGCTTTGGGGTCCCTTCCTTAATAGACTTTTTTGACGATGACGAAGAAAGTGAGGATACCGAACGGTGAAAACTCAACTTCGAATTCGATAGGCTCAGTCCAGCTGTTATGTTTGTATTTGAAGATAACGGCACCATGAAGTCAGAAGTTTGATAAGGAATTGAAACCAGCCGTCTCACAGATGACCCGACAAGCAATATAAGGCTGAATGTCAGGTGCAGGTTGGCGATGATTGTTGCAATGGTACCATCCACACTCGGGAAAGACGATTTGTTTTGTACTTGAATGAAATGGATATGAAGTGCTGGTAACGAAATAATACTGTATCTTTACAGTTAGTAAAAATATTATTTCTCAATGTATTGATGTGGTTAGAAAAGTGTTATAGACTAACAGTACCCGACAGGTTAGGCTCGCAAGAACGCGAAATTTCTTTATTTGAGAAATTCGCACCCAATATAGGCACATGCCAGGGTAAACAAGAAGGGTCATCTCACTTGTTATATCGAGCGCCGTGACAACTTTCCAATGAAGAAGCTTCATTTTCCATAGTCAGCTCATGCAAAACTGAGAAAGGAAGGTATAGCATACGAAAGATGAGCAACGATGATTGACGTTTGTCCACGGAGTTGATGTGCATCGAATAGCTAGGATTAAAATGGACGCAATCCAAGTGGCGCCGCAAAAGAGCAAAACGTTATTGATAACCCAAACTGGCACTCTATTTACTTGCCGAAAGATATCTCGGGAAAAAATGCCAACACAGATCCTGGAGCATCCGATAACTGTCACGTAGAAGAGATCCGCTGCATATCCTGTCTGCAATACGCACAGTATTCATAAGCCAGTAGTCAATTTTCGAGCCCGACAGAGACTTGCCTTATACATAATATCCTCTTGAGACCGATGTCTTTCCCATGGTATTTGAATGTCGTCACTTCCCCATCCATGTTTTACTTGGACTAAAACCAACGCAAACTGGCAAAATGCGAGAACCGAGGCAACAAAGAACACTACATCATTGTGTTTAATGGCATGTCGCTGCTCATGCCATATATATGCAGAGTAGGCGTTGAAGCAGAGTTTAACAACGACAACAGTGATACAAAACGAGACAACGATATACATAAGGGTAGCATTATCATTCAGAATAATATCCGAAGGAATGCGAGGCGGATCTGTTATTTCGCTAGACGACATTATTAGTTGAGATAAGAAGTCATCTCAGTCAAATCGCATACCCAACAGCATGAGCAAGCTAGGTGGGAATAGAAGCTCAGGTAACGGCCCATTCGTGTTTACATATAGGACAAGACTAGAATTTTTGAAGTCATTTTATTTCGTCAAAGCCAAATTGAATTTAGAAGCCATACATATGAGCTCAATTCAGCGAATGGGCTCAAAGACAGTACAAGCGTCTATTTTCAGCATCGGGCGCATATTATTTGCTAGTGCCTTTTTATAGACATCTTCAAGCACCTGGCTTCACTTCTGGGTGCCGAGAGCTTCTGTTTAAGCCTGTGGTTACAGTATACCCCGCCGGTCCTTATTTCTGGGTTATATGTAGGATCCAAAGAACACGCTTTGTCTTAACGGCCGGAAAATGGACGAACTCACCAAGAAGATCTTATATTTTAGCATAACAAGCAGAAGTACCGCTGCAACCGGACTTGTTAATCCAATTAAAGCCAGTAAATCCATTACTGACTAAAGGGCGTAGATTCAATACTAATATTTTTCTGTTCTTTGTCTTAAGTTGGAGAGCGTAATGCTAAATTTGCACTCTCTTTGTTTGATTGAAAAGGCACTCGAAAGATAAGTTGTGGCTTTGTCCTCCTCACGGGAACTTTGGAGTTGATACAATTCTGAAACACCTAGAAAGGTGGATTCAATGTGATTAGTCTTGGTTCGAGAGTTTTGGTGATAATGACGAGTTTCATCGAGTCCAAAGAATCGTGTTTACTCATTGAACATTGTATCAACCATGATTGGAGGAAAGGGCACTGCTTCAAGTAGCAATTAGGTTTAAAGAAATTTGCCATGTGTGTTTGAATATTTCTTGCATACGCTGAAAAAAAGAGAGGGTGGGTAGATGCTAAATAATCCACCTACGCCCACCTCGAAAAAATATGGAACGGAAAGAATGTATAAACAAAATATATAACTTGTCTTCGGATACTATTTTGTACTCCCCTAGGCTATACCCTCTTCCTACTGCGCCATACCAACAAAGATCTAAAACTGCTCCGACGACGATAGCGGCCCCCTGGGGGGTGGGGGGAACATTGAACCATGCAATTTCAGCGTATGTAACAGTAGCTACCACAACCCATCACGGATCTCTTCCTAGGCTCTGCCCAGAAGCATCCTGTGAAGTGAGATATCTAATTTCCCACAAGCGGTAGACAGCGGTAAATACAGGCCAACTGCTGTAGCATTTACTCCCCTCAGGAGATCATTAACCCATTTATTTCTTAAGGCTCGCCAAAAGCTCTGAACAGCGACTGTTAACGCAATTCCTGGAAGCAAAATACCCAGGAAGCCTAGTAAAGAACCAAAAATGGTTGGAAATGGAATTGATTGCAGGAAAGCGCACCAAGGTACACCGCGAACTTGAAGTTGGGCTCAAGGAAAAGCTTGAATAATAGCAAGTCCGAGGAGAAATTCACGACTTGAAACCAATTCAGGCCCTAAAATGTATGAACGAAGTAGCGGAATCACAATTGGTCCCCCTCCAAATATGATCGTACCCGCAAGATACGTGTTGGCGAAAAGATCGAGTGCAAGAGCAGGCGTAAGCTTGACGCTACAGCCAACAAGTACGCCAATATAGGAGGCTATTTGGTGACGTTAGTTGTCGAGTGCCAAAAGATGGTTTGGAATTGGGAAGATACCAAAGAAGAGGACAACAATAGCGATACCAACTTGGACTCGGATTGCGTGATCGGAAGAAGCCTGATGTTGATACTGCTGTTGATCTTGGTCCGAAGAGCGCTCTGGTGGCGTTTGTGGATTTTCAAGACTCGGATTTCTGCAACAGTCACATTTCTTCGTTGTATACTAGGACTATCTGTCACAGTTTCTTTTTAAGGTGATGCTGTTTGTAATCCAGGCTTCCTCATCTTGAACATCCAAGATCGACCTCCTCTGCTTCAACTTAGCCTTTAATATTCTAATCCTTTGACTCATCCAACCGTCCCAGATCACTGTTGCAAGTCCGCCGATTACCATAAGCAACGGGAAATACCATAGGGTGTTATAGCACATTGCTGCGCAGGCGCCAAAAATAGCAAGGATACGGGGTAACTTGTCCCTAATAGCTTTCTCTGCTAGCTGAACAGCTGCAAGGGCGATAATGCCAACAGTCGAAGAATTAAATCCGAACAGAAGACTATAAACTGGAGACAGAAGGATATCGCTGATATGTTGAACACCAAAGGACAAGGTATACATTCCTCTTGCTCCGGGAAGACTGGATTTAACATAACATCTTTCACACCTCATCAGGGAGATGCGCTTTACCTCCATATAAAACACTGCCACTACGAGTATGAAGCCAGCACGCGATAAAATTAGACAGAAAAGCATTTTTGTGCTGCCTGGTCCCGGTAGAGCCTGACATATCGCAAACAGTTCCTGATACTAGGGAGCTAATTAGCTAATGCACGGTTTCAATACATTGAGTGACATAAACTAAAACTCTGCCTATTACCGGTTTCCAGCAATGTCAAATACTCACAGTTTGTTAATCTACACATTTTTCTCCACCCTTCCCTTCGACAAATCTCTGATGGACCGCTGAAGGCCGTGAAGCCAATATCCCAGGCGCGAAAGGAAACATCGCTTAAATTGTCGGAAAGTGATATTTGGCCGTCATTCCCGCGGTTAAGTCTTAGCCGTCTACCATGGATGAGAGATCTTAGTGCAGATATGTGGGAAGAGAATGTCGCTGTGTGTATTATTTTACTGGACATGAACTAATGTGGGCATGGCGCATTCGAGATTATTCCTCAATTAATGGAGGGATATTTGATTCTTTTACATGTAGTGACTACACAGTTCAGGAGGGACACATTTTCCTTTCTGCCACTAAAAATATGCCGAAACGACACGAGGATAGGAGAATTACAGATTTGGTATCTACATGTACATATGTGTTTCAGGTTTGACTAGGTTTTAAAGAACAAAGCGTATGCCTTCTAATATAATTTGTACGATTCCATATCTTCATTTAATTCAATGCTGATAATGCTTTTAAGTATCAAATTTATATTATACACATGTGCAGACTGGAAAGAACACATTTAATGGCCATTGAGAATTGTCATTGGAGTATTTGGTCGTCCTAGATAGAGGTTACTCCAGGCCTTCACATAAAGTCATCCCACGAAGCAGTCTATAGATAACGTAACCAGGCCAACACTGTAAGGCAGGCACTGTATGCAATTGATTTGTATCTGACGAAATAGTACTAACCCGTAATTCTACATTGTCCTGAATTACAAGGCATCGAGGTACCAGGCTGCTGGACCTCAATATTACGGGGTGTGGCGCAGTGCATGCAGCATGCCACGTTTGTCACCCTTACTCAAAAGTCCAACTTGGAAAAGTAAGCTAAAAGGGTCTCATTACGAGTCGGGGTTTTTTTTCCCGCTTGCCACGTAGACACGTGTTCAACAGTTGAATAAGCCTACACGCCCCGGTACATCCGTCGATCATCGTTGCAGTGCCGCCGGACACTCCGACCTGATCTACATACAGGTATTCTGTACGCTGTGGCTATGTACCTATGAGCTGTTTGCGCATTTAGATACGAGCTGAGGCTTCTAACAGACGGTCAGGACAAGGCTCACAATCATTGTCACCATGGCGCACACCGCGATATTCAGTTCCAAAAAAAAACCCCCCTGATAATCAATTCTATTGGTGCACCATCCATGAAATTAGAACTAAGTATAAAATCATTTTTATTGCGGCGCAAAGCAGAGCACGAGGTCCATAGGTACTGTTAAGACATCCACTGCTTTTCCAGGGCACTGACTTTGGCTTCGGGGCTTCGTTCGGGGCTTGCTTAGGCGCCGAGCTGCCTTGGGGCTTATACTGAACCCAATCCTAAGGCCTTATACAGTACGAATTTTTCTATAGTTATATGCTATTGGGTTGATAGCTGTCTCGATTGCCTGCATCAACTAGTAAATCAATAAATGTTTTTTGGATATCATTGAATTACATTCCGTGTAGACGTACAATGTATCCGTATCAAGATGATTAAACCGTGAGGCAAGTTCTATACACATGTACACCCAGATGACTAAACCGTCGAATTAAGTCCCTTTAGCGATCCTTGAAAAAAATTTTAGTTTTCACCAATTTTCGAAGGATTACAACCACAGTGACAATGAAAGGGTTCTGTTCACGTGACATGCGAGAGAACCGGTTCACGTGATGTCATTATTATTGTGACAGAGCGCGCTCTCGGAGCTGATATCACTACAAGCCCAAACATTCCTGTCTGGCATTGTCATTTCGTCACCACCTCTCTTTTCTTTTCCTTCGATTCTTTGTTTACCTTACCACGATCTATTGTCCCTCTATCGAAGTTCATAACCATCATATCCACCTGAAACTACACTCCTACCTCTATTCTACTATTTACAATCCGCGCGCAATCGCCGTCCTGCAGACCGCCAACCACGCCCGACCGATATTTTGTCATTTAGCCCGTCGCAAGAATTGTCGCAAAGCCAAAGATGACTTCAGAATACGAAAAGAAAACCGTCGCACAATTGCAGGAGCTTCTCAAAGCCCGCAGTCTTCCAACCACTGGAAAGAAGGCGGATCTAATTGCACGACTGCATGAGGCTGATAAATCGGCAAATGAATCTGCTGCAAAAGAAGCCAAGGCCGATACCGTCGAAGATGTTATTGATTGGGATGATGATGCACCAGGAGGCGAAGGCGCTCCCAAGGAAACAACACAGCCTACGACAGAAGCCAGCGCTGCTGTTATTGCTGCCGGCGGTCAAGGAGCAGTGTCCAACCCCGTCGCTGTTCCTAACCAGACACTAGGAGAGGATCCTGCTAAGACAAATGACCTCCATGTTGAATCGCAGGCCGGTCAGACTGCTGCTGCAGAAGAGAAGAAGGAGGAAAAACCTGCCGTGGATTACAGTATTGGTCTTCAAGCAACCGATTTGGAATCCGAGTTGGAGAAGCGTAAAGCCCGTGCCGCGAAATTTGGCATTGTCAATGAATCTGGCGACGCAGAGACGGGAGCCGATAAGGCTCTTGAACGAGCCAAGCGATTTGGCACAGGCGAGTCGGCGCCTGCTATCAACGGTTTAGATCAAGCACTACCTGAGCGTTCTCAGAAACGAGGACGAGGAGATGATCAAGGTGGCCGAGGTGGAAAGCGACGTAACTTTGGCGGTCACAATCGTCATCGCAATCGCAATGGGCCATCAAACAGTAACAAAGGCAACAATCCTGCGGGCCGTAGCAATGAACCGAAGTCTGTCTTCAGCGATAAAGACAAGGCTGCACTGGAAGCTAGAAAGAAGCGATTTACTACGGCTGCCTAAATTCCATGTGGATCCTGATCGAGCCTCTTATTTGGACCAGCTTTCTACTTTCGTGAAATGTATTTTTGAGACCGAGGATTAAGATTTTGGCGTTCAGGCGAATTACCTATGGGATGAAACTTGTGTATGCAGAAATAATTTGTAACAATCCAGCTCATGAAAATTCATATCTGAGCGAAATCTCAATTGATGTGTGTGCGACGCTTAATGGCACCAGTACACCAGGCATCATCGCGCCGTAGATTTGTTGAGTTACATTCTGGGTTAGTAGGTATACCGGATGCTAGTGAGCCAACGAGAATGATATTGAATAGTATCGTTATTCAACGAGGCTGTCATTATTCCAATTTCACGTACATGTTATAGTGATGGCGTTGCAGTATTATTAGACGCAGGCTTGTAGCTGGTAAGACTCAGATGCCGATCAGCTGAAAGGTGCATAAGTAGTTGCTCTAAACATGGCGTTTACCTGCCTCTAGTAGAAACAGAGCGGTCACGGTAAAAACCAGACCATGCGTAATATATTCCCCCTGCAGTATATGAGACGACGAAGGCACGTTAGTATATAGAGCTCATTTCGCGTGCCAAACGGGGATGAGCACTACAGCTCTCAGCAGCAAGGCTACAAGTACGTATACAGTGCGAATCAATTGGTGTAATTATAAATCCGTATGCCGATCCTTTCAGCAGAAATCAACGAGTCATTTCTAGGTATTATCGAGACTGCTTCAAAAATAGTATCCTGTTTTGCTCGGCGATGGAACTCCATGGTAGATATAAATTTATATCTTGATGAGTTTCCAAGTCTAGTGTCGCATAGACTTTGGCTTCGTGAACGAATAAACCGACTCATCACCCCTAAGGATTCAATAGAAAGCATCAGCACAGGTGACAGTGTGCGTTGAAGATACACCACTGTAACGCCCCGCATATTGCACACGAAGCCTGGTCAATCAATGTTATGGGCTGTGTGAAAACTGCATAGAGTATGGTACGGTTAGATATCCAACACGCTAGCTTCACTTGAGCGAGGATCATAGGCGTGACTGTGATACCGTTGAAAAATTACCTTTTTTTCTTTCTTTTTCTCTCATCTTAGTGGGTTAGTCCTATGCATCGGAAAATTATGACCACGAAAAAGGAATAGTGTCGTATGCGTGCTGCTTGAATTCACGTTCGTTTGACTCTAGACCGTAGGAGCGACCGAGAGTAATGGGCCTCCGTGCGAGGCTCAGCTCGCCCCTGGCTGCACTAATGCACGTCAGCGATCGAATCAGACTCTTCAACAGCGCCTGGTAGATCTCACTGGCTGACTAGGAACGAATCGCTGTGCTTCAAGACGTTGCGTTGAAAAACCGGGCGGAAAGCAAATAATGAATTATCCCTGGCCTCGAGTAACAGGCTACTGGAAAAGGAAACGCCTCCGACAGAAAATAGGATGAATGGAACCTGGAGGAAAAAAGGTTCGGCTCGAAGCCTATGAGTCTGACTGTTAGAGACAAAATTTGGTAAACTACGGAGGAACCGTAGATCACTGCTCGTTGGATGACGGCGGCAACTTATCGATACCTGTCCGTAAGTCAACCGCAACATTAATAACTGAACAATACTCCGTGCGCACTCATACTCAGTAGTTTGATGCCGGGGTCGTCCAGACTGAAATATGGTTGCCCGACTTGGCTAGAGCGTCCATTGCCCTTGTAAGTTGTAATTTGTAGGCGTTTGGTAGTAACAGCCAATAAAGCTAGCCTCACCAATAATAATAATGGCCCGGCAGACGCCATCGGGCCATTCTCAATCGTGGACGTGTAGTTTGAAGCCAACGTCGGTAGTCAAAAGACTCGCACTTTCCATGCAGCCCTGCTTATGGCAGCACCGGTCTCGTGACTGCGCATCTCGTGATCGGCAGCAGCCTCGGAGTACGCCGAGCCAGCAGAAACGTGCACACGAAGGCAAGAGCGAGCAGGGCAGTCACCTGATCCGTAGCTGCCTGCTGCAAACAAAAATAGAAAAAACAGGAAAACTCTTCCAGTCGTGCATATCAATATCATCAATGCTACGACACGCACCAGTGGGAGCAAGCATCACATTGCTCCGCTCTGAATCGTGCATTTACTAGTCCTTAGTTCGTCGTTAGCTGGTGACTCAATCATCAATCCGACTGGACTCCACTGGCACCCAGCCCGTGCACGTACATAACACGCCACTATCGCTCCCCTATCACGTCCTGGCTCGTTCGCCGGACGCTGGCGACGGCCCGCTACGCTCATCAGAATTTTCTCCAAATCCTGAGGTCCTTCTGGGTGGAGTCGAGTCGTTGCGTCTGATCCCTCGCAAACGATCTGATCCAACCGTCTGCCGCCGTCAACTGCTTGTTCGTCCATTCACTGGCATACAGTCTTGCTAGTCTATGTTACTCGTCTTCGTACCGTCCCCGATGCTTGAGGCCCCCGATGGGGACCCTCTTCCAATATGGTGACTCGTCCATAGAGAACCCGCGCTTGTTCGTGATTGTTCGAATTACATGAGCAAGTACAGACATGGGCATCAAATCGGGGTGGTAGGAAGCCCCGTCGATCTCGAGAATGTTACGAATGGGGGTAGTATTGTTCACCCAAACACCCCGGCAAATATTAATATAATCCCAGATTGTAGCCCAGCGCTCACTCACAAAATTTTCTTCTCTGTAAATTTGCAGACAGTTCAAGACGCTTCCACGGAGAGTTGGAAAACCCTGCTCTATTCCTTTCCTCACGAAGCTCCAACTCCAGCTGATTAACGAGTGACGTGTTCGCCCTTTACCTTTTTCAATCGGCCGGCGTTGCCTCACTGCATACTGTTCCAGCCTCCAGCCACGATCTTCCGATGTGGAGTGTGAGCCCGGCCCACTGTGTGGCGGAGTCTATGCATACTACAAGTACTTACTATATATTCCGCTTCATCATTTTTTTAGACTACCTATATACTCAGCCTTGAACGGCTTTTTAGGCCGCCTGTTGAACCTCTTTAACATATGGGTGTTTTTGTAACCTGATTGCTATTCAGTATTGATATTTCCTTACGATCCGTGCGCCGCTATATACACAATAATATTTTTAATTTACACGCCAGCAGTTTGAGAAGAAGTCGCTTTATTCGGGTGGCCAGGGCAAGCTTGATCACAAGAGAAAGACAATAACGTTTACACGACTTTACCGGATAACGAGAACCCGAAACCCGAAGCTGATAGTGTAAACTATTCGAGTATTGCGTGTGCAATATTAGATCGACAACACGCTGAAGTCTCGTGATGACATTCTTTGGTGTTGGTATTTGAAAAGAGTTGGACAAGCCGTCTTCTAAGTCCGATGCTGGAACATTGGTACGAGGCCGCGCAATGTCATCGCATAGGTTTGATCGGGTCAGGAGATCGAGGGTCTTTGAAAAACAGCCCTCATTTCATGATGCCTCATCCTCGCAACCACAAGTTACTTCCATAGCGAAATCCCCGGTCGTTGGACCTCCCAGGTCGAATATTCCAACACCACTCAGTGCTTCAGTTAGGCGCGGGAGCGAATCTCGTTCAAATGCTGGTGAGAATGAACAATTAGTGATCCATCCTTTGGCAAAGACATCACGATCTATGTCCAGTGATGATGCTCGACCGACAGGACTTCCGCGGTCTAATGGTAATCCTTCGTCGCTTAGACGCCCATCAGCACCCTCAATTTTCGCCACCAGATCCACTCCTTCACCTGGACCTGCGACTTTTGCGATACCCACTGCGAGCTCAGGGAAAATTGAGACTGTTGGAAACATGAGAGAACGTCCACGGAATGTGCTTCGCAGGAAGGCAAATTTTAGGAAACCAAGTATCGATACAAACCAAGCCATGGAACAGTCGCAAACTGGTCCCAAGGTGTCTGCAAATATTTCGTCAACCTCACTCAGTATACACGAGGCACAGCCGGCACATGGCATGGGTATCATGACACCTGTTAGTAACGATGTGCCGTCTTCAGAAAAGTCATATATTCCATCAACGAAACTTCCTAAGATGAAGATTCCAAAACCGGTCGAACAACCTCCTCTGCAGCAGATTCCCAAGGAATTTATTGGGCTCCGGACTGTAGTCAACACAAGCAATCTCCCACCTCCGCCCACACCTATTTACGCCCCAAGTGCAAGCCCGTCGACACGATATTCTGATTCTCCTGGTATGTGGAGTAGCCGGGGTTCGACACCGACGTCGCTTTCATCTTATTCACCGGGAATAACACAGCCTGCAACGGGGTACAGATACAAGCAAAGCCCTACTCAAACGCGTCAACCGGCTCTTTCACGAAGTACCACTACCCCTGTGTCTCAAACAGAAGTTGATGAACCCACCTTTCTTGGCCCCATAGCCGCAGACCCTTATGCAAGGCTTGGTCACGTTAAAGTCGGTATTGTCGAAAATAATATCAAAGATACCGTGTTGCCCAGGAGTCCGCCTCCTCGCAAGTCATCGATGAAGTTCAGGCAACCTCAAGAGTCAGACAGTGAGGATTCTAATAAACAAGCCACAGTCGACTATTCGCAAGCTGTGGATGATACTGAAGTGGCTTTGTCTAATGCAGATGTCGTACCTGATGCAAAACCCTCAACAGATAGCAGCCCGGTTAGGCCAAGACGACCAAGTCGCCAAGGAACTGATCGCTTGGAACAGGCCGTATCTCCTATAATCCGTAGTAATCTAACAACTTTACGAACCACCGGACACACTCGAAGGGAGTCTTCTGAGAAATTGGTCTCTCCTGAGCGACTTCGTGGAATGCCAGTAGGATCCGCGGCTACATCTGTCGAGTCATTTCAATCCAGTTTTTCTACCCGAATTCCATCTCGCAGCCAGAGTCCTTCACAAATTCCAAAGCGATCTGCGCGTACTTTGGTCAAATCTCCACGACCCCAAAATGAAACAACAGACGCAAATACGGGGAGAAAATTTGGCCTTTTTAGCAAGAAATCGAAGCCCAACTTGTCATCGTCCAAAGGTGACTCAACCGATAAGTCTTCCCGCAAAGGGCCAGCGGCCGGAACTGGCCACGAAGGTTATGGAAAGTATGCGAATCGAGGACGCAAACCTAGCGTTGGTAGCAATGGTGGCCCCAGAGCACGGTCGACCAGTACAAGTGGTGGGAGATCTATCGGTAGCGGAAAAGGTGGTAGCCGTCAGGAACCCGATATCGATAGTTTTTTTCTTGACCGTTTGGAGCCTGTTGTCATTAACGGTGGTGGAATGGATCGAGAAGAACTCTTTAGAACCCAAAGCGGCCAGAGTATCAGCAGCTTAAGTGTCACTTCAGCTCCTGATTCGTCCACGATGAGTACGGGGACTATAATGAACGGATATTCGTCAGAATCACTTGGAACATCCACAGAGCTTACTAAACCGACAACACCGTCACTTAGCTCGGAGTCGAATTTTCCTTCTCAGCCAGAGCGTCTTCATGGAAGTAAGCCACTTATCCCCCGAAATGACTCCTCATCTTCCTTGTTGCCGACTATGGTCGGAAGGCGCCGTGGGTCTAACGATACACGAACGGGCTCGGAAGATAGCAAAGACGCCAACTTTTCTGCGCTTCCCCTAATTGCGAAAACCTCCAGCAAGTCGACTCCTGCACCTTCAACGAAGAAACCAGTCAGTAAAGTCAGTCGGAAATGGAATTTTTTCCATAGAAGCCAAAAAAGCGATCAGAAAGATTCCACTGCTGAGGCCAGCGAGCCAACTGAAGCTCAACTTCACGCTAAAATTGCTATTCTGCCGAACAGTCGACCTGTTGCTCACTATGCTCTCCTTGACGCTGATTCGGACACGCTTGAAGACATTTTGATTCAAGTTGAGGATTCACCACTGAGTGATGATGATTCCTTCTTACACGGAGATGCTAAGCCTGATCCAAATCTGCAAGCCCGACATGGGACGTCAATTCTGCTTCCCTCTCCTCCTGCACTTTGGTCAGAGTTCACCGATTCCAAAGCCAGCCCACTGCAAAGTCGACCTGCATCGCCAAAGGTATTCTTCCGCAAGGACGATCAGAATGGTCAGGCAGAAAGTGGAAGGCCAAGTCGATTAGCTTCAGTTGGACGGATACCGCAAGTTGTCTCCCGACAGGACCGTGATCATAAACCATCTTCTCAATCTTATTCACGACCATTCTGTCGTGACGGAGCACCTTCATTTTATACTACAACTGGGACTAATCCACATGACCAACATCCAGTGTATCGACCGCAACTCGATCTTCAAACCGAGTTTCATGGGAAAATTTTCAACTCGGATTCAACTACCCCAAAGCCAGCCAGTGCTCCAGTCGTCAGCGAAACCGCGAAATTTGCGTCTAGTGCATATGCTGTGAATGAATTCTTGCAATTCCCCCCTCGAAAGCAATCTCAAGTTTCCTCTTCTACTTCAGAAGCCGATTCTATCATGGCAGTTGTAGCTTCTATAGGACCTAGACTCGATACCGCCTGTGAAGAGGACATATGGACTGAATATGATGATCTCTTGGATACTGTTCTGACTGTGGATAAAGGCACTGCGGGTAATAAAGAAGTTAACGAACCATTTGAGATGGTTACGAAGGCAAGCAAGACTCTCCAGGCAGAATTGAATGCCTTGGATGACAAGCCCCGTGTTTCTGTTGCGTCCGACACATTGTCTATTCCTGTTTCAGAGTCATCCGCACAATTAAGTGACGCCTCTGTTCGGCTACGACGATCTAAGATTGCTACGGCCCTGCACACTTCTTTGTCGCCGTCGCCGCAAGTCTCGTACAGCGACCTTATCGCTGGTTATGCGGAGCGTAACAAAAGTGGCAATGATCTGACCCTACCGGACAACCCTGGGGTCCCTCCTAATAGTGAAGACCAGACAGATGAGCCACGATCACCGACACCGACAAGAACTGACTTTGAGACTACTCGTCGGCGAAATACGATGCTGTTTGACATGGCGGAACGAGACCGAGAAGGTGCCGCTGCCCAAACAAACCTTCGGTCTGCTTCTTTGATGACGAGTAGATGGCTCTCATTCGGGCGTGTGCTATTCAGTCCAGCCCATAATCGCATCAAGGAAACCGAAGCAGAACGTATTTTGATTATCGACGGTCTTGGAAATGACGACTGGTCCTACTATTGCGCCCTTACCTATCCTAATGCTACGATATATAGCTTAAGTATTCGGCCTGAACCACCCTCATCTTCACCACATCCAGATGCTTGGAAACCACCTGTGAATCACCACCTTGTTCATCACCCCAGCGCCAGTGCAGCCTTCCCATTCCCTAAAAACTTCTTCGCTGTTTGCATTCTCCGGTTTCCTCCTGCCTATTCAGAGGACGGACAACGGAACGTTGTTTCTGAATGCAAGAGGGTGCTTCGTCCTGGTGGGTACATAGAAATGAGCGTTATAGACCTGGATCTGGTCAACGTGGGCAACCGGGCAAGGAAGGCCGTGAGGACTTTGAAAGAAAAAGTCTTTCTCGCTGATCCAACCATTAGCCTAAAACCGGCAAGCGACAACATTCAGAGACTACTAGGTATTTGTGGTTATGATAATCTAAACAGATGCATGGTCAGTATTCCAGTGGCTGGAATGATTGGGGGTTCTTCAGACTCTTCAAGATCCAATCGTTCGGTGTTTGATCAATCTTCGTCGTCGCATACACAATCTCCATCACAACCGCCATCCACGACAAGCAGCTCGCAGCCGCATACTAGGACTCCGTCTGATGATGCGGAGCTTTCCCTCGGTGACTTATTGTCCGACCCTTCTCCATCGGCATCAAACGATGAATCCATCACCAAAATGGTGGCTAGGGTGGGGCGGTGGTGGTATACACGATGCTATGAGATACCTGTTCTGGTTGACCCAAGTACGGACCGCAGCATCTGGGCTGAACAAAAATTGTTGAGAGAATGTCAGAAACAGGGCACAGGCTTCAGGCTACTCATCGCATACGCTCAGAAGCCAAGTGAAAAGAGGAGAACCGTAAGCGTGTAACGATAGCCTTCCACTCGCGACGACTATCACTATTTTTATTTACTCTTAACCCACGAGAAACGAAACCCAACACTTATTACATATTTTCTTTTGCACTATACGACGATAACGATAACTTATGATGATCGTGATGATTTGACACTTACTCTCAGATACCAGACTGGAAGTTATTTTGTTAATTTATCATCTTGTTACGAAGCGACTTCTTCAGACGTACGGAGCGTGTTTCTTTTTTTCAAATGATAAACAAGACGCATGATGGACCTCGCGGTCCTTTCTTTGCCATCATCGGTCACTAATGTGGCATGGTTTTCATTATGGGAATTTTTACATTGATGGCGTTGTGAGCCTATTGGTTGGGTTTTGATGGTTATATATCCTTGTTAACTTTTATGTCCTGGCGGCTAGTTTCCTTTTCATTTCTTTTGATTGTTTCATCACCTTTCCATGATTTCTGTGAAGGATGGAGGCTGTTTGAAATGTTCTTTCTTTTTAATTCTGTTCAGAGCAGGTCTATGGATGGATATCGATAAGGTTATCTTAATATGGAGATTCAAATTTACAAATCTTTCAAACTTGACTACCGATTAATCATGATATTACTTCATTTTAAGTAGATCCGTATTAACTTATTGATTGGTGGTGTTGATAGTTTTGATAAGCTCCCGTTTTCAATGTTGGAGAGAAAAGACAGAACGCCCGATCAAATAAATGTAAAGGTACAGAGAATGATGAAAGTATATGCCCAATACTGCCCTATTTCCTACCTATCCCTAGAATAGTTACAGAAACAGAAGAACCTTCTTTTCCAAGCCGAACGCTCATTTAATTTTTCTTCGTTTGACGGGGGAAAAGTAACACAAAAAAAAGAAAGATACATGATTGTTTCTGGATATGTCATGAACCAACTGGCCGGAATAATCTTTTATTTTCCGACTTTGGATTTTTTCTTAGGTCGGTCTTCTTCCACTTCATCGTCATCCTCATCAACAACATCCTCATCGGCATCTGCATCATCCATTTCGGCTTCACTACCGCTGCCGCTGCTTTCGTGGGCAGAGTCGTATTCTTCGGCGACGTCGGAGTCGGAATCAGCATGGAAATCTTCGTCGACAGACTCCTCATCCTCGTCTGCAGAGCCGCGGTCGAGTTGAATTTCCTCTTCACTAGAAAGGTCGTTGTTCTCGAGAGCGGCGGCGAGCAGGGCGGCAGTCTGTAAGTGGAAATTTAGTTTCTGATACGAAAGGTGTTCAAAGATTTATATGGCAGTTGGGTGGATCTTACTTCGTCAACCATCTCGTTCTTGAGCCGGATGTTTTTGGCTTTGAAGAACTCTTCGAGGGGTTGTTGCTCCTCGCTGGCTGGCTATTAGTGAAATGCACTAAAGTAGACATCTTTGCGATGTAGAATGATGCTCACCGATTAATGTTACTGAATTGGTGCTCCCCGAGACCCCCCTTTAAGCTGACTGTAATATCGAATGTACGGCTTGCAGAAATGGCTCCGCCGACACGCGACATGGTAACTACAGAGATGTTCTCCATCTGAATGTATGTAGCTGGTTTGGGAACGAACATTAGACTCTTATCCAAGAAGTATAATAGACCTTCGTTGGCTTTGATGGAACACTTCACGCCACTGTGACCGTGATGGCTGATAAAGTCCTTTGATGGCATGATGACCTTCTTCCCCGAAAGGCCACGGAAAATCTTGGTGATGACTTGATGGATAGGCTCCTCATAGCGGGGTTCAAGCTTGTCTTTGTAGCGCTCTTGCAGTAGTTCCCTAGCCGTAATTTTAGAAAAGGAGAATTATAAGCGAAAGGGTGATAACATACTCTGTCATGTTGAGCTCAATGCTGACTTCCTCGTCTAGCTTCAATTGCATAACTAGGAAAGGATACCGCGTTTGACCCTGTCGGAGTGGCGGGTCCAGACCAAAGACGATCAAAGTGTGCATCTCATCGTTCTTAGGCAACAAGAAGAATTTCTTTATCGACGAATACTGAATCTTGTAGTCGTATGTCTTGCCACGCAATCGGAACGATGATTCATACATATCAATATCGAAACGACCTCTGTTGTCAAGTTAGTGCTATTCACCCACTATGAAGCGAAAGAATATTTGCATACCTAGGAGTGAGATGTAGAACATCCAGGAAGGTAGCAAATGTATCTCCAGCAACATCGCCAATCTCGGCTTTGTCCATCAAAGTTTCGTAGAAAAGGTTTGCTGCATTTTGCTCCTCTGCACCCTCCTCTGGCTCCTCCTGCTCTTCTCCCTCGCTGCCCTCTTTCTTGACGTCGCTTCCGTCGGCCTTTTCCTTCTTTAATATGGTGCCTGGAATGTAAAATCTCATTTCAACCAATTCGTCTGTCCCAGCAGCGGCTTTCCGACCACGGTTTTTTGTGCTTCCTTCAATGTGGCCGTTTGTCTTTTCGTCTGTTGGCAGAGCGAATTCAACAGCAACTTCATTTTTGCCTGCTAGGTTTGTGTTGGAGATTTCTGAGTAAGGGATTTCGAAGGCAGGGCGGTTTTGCACATTAAAGGCAAGTTCGGCTTTTGTGAATTCTGCTTTGCCCCAATTCCATCCTCGCAGAGCATGTTCGCGTTGCTCGATTGCAACACCGTACCAGACTTTGAAAGCTTTGCTGAGTCGCTCGAAGTCCTAAGTGGCAAGACACAAAGATTAGTCGGGCGCAATTAGAGACTAGGGTGAGTGCATTTAAAAATGAGCTAACCTCTTGCTCAAACCCGTCAAGCTGGATGACACCTGATGTCCTGGAGAGAATCTTCAACTCATATGCCTTAGCTGCTCGACTCCATTGCGCAGCGCCTATGTTGCTGCTATCTAAAGTGAAGGTATCTCCGCCACCGGATGGTCGCCATCCCATACCACTCTCTGCTAGCTTGCATTTTCCTGGTTGTTTAGACAGGTCGAGATAGATGTTTTCGAAACTCTCCCTGTCATGAGATCTGTCAGTTTTTGACAATAGCAACCCAGAGAAAGTAGACTCACATATTGGAGGGGCGCCGAAGCTATTAGCGAGAAATCTGTGTTCTTGGTTTGATCAGGGATTAATATGCCACTTCAGTTTTGTTGTCAAGGAAGTATGGGTGAGAGGATAGATTGGTTCGAGTGAACTATCGTCGTAGCTGATAATTTCTGGAGACTCGCGCCGCGTTGTTCGCGCACGCGGAGCTTGCACATTTACGGCCATGTTGGGACTAGCGCAAGAGATTTTGATATAAGTCACGTGACCGCGCGAATAGCATCATATCAACTCATAGGAGCGGTCAAACAATTTGGCCTGGGATGAGAATTTACTGATCATATTGTGATATATTCGTACAAGAATTCCCTAAATCCCGGCAAATACAGCTGTTTATTGGGGACAGTCAGTCATCTAGTTCCGATTTATTCGGCGAGCATCCAGGCCTCGTGTGTACCTTTAGATGCCAAATTAAGCGTGAAATACTAGTCGGAATCCGATTTGTTTTGGTATGTACAATTTCAAATGTTTCGTTCAACGTTACTATCAACTGTCGATACGAGTAGTCAACACTCCAAATGAGAGCTGGGCGCCTGGACTGAGGCGACCTTAGATAAATGCATGTCAACGAGTAAGCGGCGCGTTGTGTGGTGTCAGTTGGACCAGGAAAAGGCGATACTTTTCAAAGGCTGTCTCCTTTCAGATCAAAGACATCGATAGTTGTGAATTGATCGGTGCCCTGCAGATGTCGTAATGATGTCAAGACTCAATACTATAAATGTCCCGCATCAAAGTATCTTTGATGCTCCTGATACGAGGAATGATTCATGATTAATTTCAATCTTTCCGTGTAGCACCGAATGATTGCTTGGCCCGTTATCTGCAGCGAGCCAATCAGACTGCGCGAAGGCCCGGGAATGGCGTCGATTTAGTGATGTGTGCAACAAATACTGCCTCAACTCGGGCGGTACACGTACGCATGTCAAATTACGAGCTGCCATATGGCGAGCCAGCGAAACCAGAATCTTTGTCTCGGAGGATTGGAATTATTTTTTGGGATCCTAACGCTTCTATACTTGGACATACAAAGAAGCTTAACATAACAGAGGACAGGCCAACATGAATATTAATGATGATGCACGCCTGCCCGTGGCTCGGCTGGCAGGACGAGCGTCTATTGGCTGCTAGCCAGCCCTAGTCTTTGACGGATGACGCTAGGCCGAGATGGCACGGATATGTGCCGCGTTTATTGGTCTGGTTTCGACGCTAAGGGCCACTACAAGCCGCTAAGCCCCATTCGCAATCTTACGGGATGGGCGGGCCCCTAAGGCTAATAGTTTGGCTGGGTCAGGGACCGAGACAAAACAAGCTGGCGGCCGCACTTCACCACCAGCTCCTGCCTGTTATCCTCCCTATACGACTGCCTCCCCTCAGGCTTCAGTCCAGCGGGATCTTCCCTCGTCAAACAGTGCTCGCCACAAGTCCCTGCTGGCCCGGCTATGTCTCTCGCTTGATCAGTTTGTCTCTCTGGATTGCTTTTTTTCCAACTACACCACGTTCTCTTCTCGTACACACGTCGGCTCCCCGTCTTTGGCCACTCTGGTTTCTTTCCATCAGTCTTTTCTGTCAACTGCGATTTTCTTTTCTCGTTGTTCTTCCGTATCCTTAATCAAATAATTCGACCGCCACAGGGGCCAATGATCGACGGTGTCTGTGAATGAGATTGGAATTCTCCCTTTCTGTTGCCGCATGCTTTCGCGGCCACCATAATTAATCTCTTAGGGGTTTTTTTTTCCTGAACATTCCTCGCGCTTTCCTCGCGTTCAGCACACCGACGAATTTAAAACTGGCCCTCCCCGCTAATTTCTACCGATCACATCCTCTGCCGCTTTTTGATTGAATAATAAATCGTGGACTGGCAATAAAATATCCCAGTGGTCTGTCGTCGCTATCTATGCGATGAGGATCTCCTCACTGTTGAGGTCTGCGACGGCGGCTGGAACATCCATTCTTCTCAGCACCTGCCAGGTACCAGTCGCCACTGCATTCACCGCCACTCCAGTATCGCTGCCAGACCTTGACCTCTCCCCTCTAGGCAGAGTCGCCTTAACAGGTGATTTTGATTCAATATCCATCTACTCCTATCAACAACAAACCGAGTCCCTACCGTCAACAAATGGCTCGCAATCATTGCTTACAGAACTCCCTAATGGCGTTATTGCTACATTGTCCACCGCCGACGCCGATATTCTCGCCATGTGTCCATGGACACGCAAGGATGGAAGCTTTGCAGGGTTGATAGTTGGCGGCAACTTCACAAGTTTAGGTGGCATTCAAGCACAGGGAATTGCATCCTACGACCCAACGACAAATACTGTTCATAATATGTCTGGTCTGTCTGGCACCGTAAAAACCTTATTGTGTGACCAAGAATCGGATTCGGTGTATGTTGGCGGCGATTTCACTGTCGGTAATTCGACAAACGCCATGGTTTGGAACGGATCAACTGGCTGGCAGTCCTTACCTTTTGATGGATTCAACGGCCCTATTTCGTCAATTGTGAAGAATGCAAATAGCCATTTCATCTTCGGTGGAACGTTTGATGGCTTGACAAGCTCAGGAAGCTCGGGAAATTCGACTGCGAGCTCAAATCAAAACTTTTCGCAAATCATCAATCTGTCGACGGCCAATGTTTCTAGCGATGCCCAGACAACCATTTCTGGGTTTATTGATCCTCGGAATATCATCTGTAAGACAGACGGTAGTGATAGCGCCGGAAACACATGGTTGTTGGATGATTACTCCCCGGGATTCTGGAGAGCTGATATGGGTTTTACTTTCCAACCGACCAAACTTCGTTTATACAATACCCATTACCAAGGCAGAGGTACCAAGTCATTCCGCCTCCAGCGCCTCCCTGATACTGGTTACATGAACTTGACATACACCGATTCTTCTACTGGCAACACCGTAGCATGCGACGCCTCGTGTCCACTCTCCAATGATGCCTCAGAGAAGTACCGTGATTTTGAACTCGTCAATTCTGTTGGCATGTCGGGCTTCATGATTCAGATTATGGAGTGGTATGGCCAAGGTGCAGGACTTGATGGTATCGAGATTTATCAAAACCAAATTTACACATATGCTATTAACGACTACAACGAGCCAAGTTGTGGAGTTGAGTTTCCCTCTTCGGTAAAAACTACTGGTGACTGGACAACAACATCTGGAGGCTCTTCAGCACCCTACTTGACTGGTAACGTCACCGGCTCCTCGGACTTGTCTGTTACGTTCCAACCAGATATTACACAGTCTGGCAATTACTCAATCCTTGTCTATACACCCGGCTGCTCAACTGATGGCACTTGTGGATCCAGAGGCTCTGTTAATGTGACGGCGACTTTGGGTTCTTCTTCTAGCACGCAAGCAGAACGCCCTGTTCAGACGATCAGTTGGCAGACAAACGAGTATGAAAAATATGAAACTATTTACACCGGCTACGTCGAAGCAAGTGGCAGCAATTTCCGACCTTCAGTCACTATATCACCAGCGGCCGGACAAAACAATGTGAAGGTGGTAGCATCTCGTGTCGCCTTCCATCTAATCAATGCAACCTCTACTGGGGAACTTAACGGGTTGTACGATTACGACCCTACTCAGAACTCGACCGATACTGACTTTAAAACCGACACTATCGATTCCATTGGAGCAAATCTGGATGACACCGCAACTATCAATAGCCTTGTGCAATCTGGCGACACTACATATGCGGCAGGTAATTTTTCGACTGGCTCCATGCGTAACATCATCTCTTTCACGACCAGTGGTAATGCTACTGCTCTCGACGGTAATGGCCTGAATTCACACGTGCAATCCCTTCTCCTTGCCAACGAGACACTTTATGTTGGTGGGAACTTTACCAACACCGCCCAGGGCGGATCGCAAGGTCTGAGCTATGTTGCAGCTTACTCCACAGGTAGCAAGTCTTGGTCTTCACTTGGCGCGGGAGTGAACGGTCCGGTTACTTCTGTCTTGTCATTTCCGGTGAATACTTCTGACGGCACAATTGAGACCACAATTGCAGTCAGCGGTAGCTTTGACCAGATTCTAGCCTTTGGCTCCAACTCATCGGTGACTGTCTCCGGATTTGCTGTTTGGGTTCCGTCACAGAAGAACTGGTTGGAGAACCTTGACGACTATCAGATGGCTTTCAATGGTCAGTTAATGGCAACTGCTAATGTGGGAAATAATACAACTATCCTTGCCGGCTCCCTAAAGTCCGATGGTATCTCATCTAGAGGGGCAGTCTCCTTAACAGATTCAAACCAGCTTGCTCTACAGCCCCTTCCAATCGATATCCTGGCTAGCCAAACTAGTGGTTCTGTCTCCAAAAGAGATACTACCTCCCAGAACCAGACTGGAGTGTCTATTGGGCTATTTGATACAAGCAATAATCGCAATCTTACCATCTTAGGCGGTCATTTTACCGCAAAGGATACCAACGGTTCCACCATTCAAAATCTTTTATTCTTGAATGGATCCAACAGCGATATGGTGACAGGTCTTCCTTCAGGTGTTGATAGCAGCTCGACTTTCACTTCGCTAGCTGTGCAAGATGATACCTTGTTTGCCGGTGGTGTGATTACTGGTAGTGTCGGCTCGTCTAGTCTCAACGGTCTTGTTGCTTACAACCTTGCTAATTCGAGCTTTGTCTCACCTCAGCCTCCAGCTTTAGCAGGTAGCTCCGTCACGGTAAATTCAATCACTGTGCGGCCAAGCTCAGAACAAATTTATGTCGGCGGGGTATTTGATTCTGTTGGAGCTTTGCCTTGTCCTGGGGTTTGTGTCTGGGACACCTCTTTGGGTCAATGGAGCCGACCTGGCGGAAACATGCAAGGCGTTGTGTCTTCTCTTCAATGGGTGGGAAGTAACAAGTTGTATGCTGTCGGGAACTTGACTGTTGAAAACAACAGTACAATGATTGCAATCTACGACGTTAGTTCACAAAAATGGACTGCGGTTGATGGCGCCTCACCCTCTGCAATTCCTGGTACAGTCACGGCATTTGGACCAGCAGCCACTGATATGTCATCATATTGGGTAGCCGGTCAGGCCTCAAATGGCTCGACCTTCATCATAGAATATGATGGCACGAAATTTAACAGTGTTGGGCAGCTTTTTGGAGAGTCTACATCTGTTCTTGGGTTGCAAGTTATTGGGCTTAGTAAGGCTCATGGCAGCACAAGTTATTTGAATGATGATCAAACGCTGCTTATTACTGGTCAGCTGGCCATTCCTGGGTTTGGAAACGCCTCGGCAGCCCTCTATAACGGCTCTACTTTGTCGCCCTTCATTCTGTCGACGACATCCGACGGTCAAGTCGGCAGCATTCATCAAATGTTTACCGAAAATCAGAATACCTTTAGCGGTAACAGTAAGTTCACACCGTCTTGATTTTACTCATTAGCCGACGAACTAACAAGCGATAGCCACCCACCATCTTTCTGTTGGACTTGTTATTCTTATCTCGTTTTGTATCGCCCTGGGTTGCGTCTTCCTCATTGTCGTCATTGGCATTATCTTAAACAAGATCCAAAGACATCGGCAAGGCTATGTCCGCGCTCCGACTGCATATCATTCAGATCGACCAACCAGCATGCGACGTGTTCCTCCCGAGTACCTTCTCGACTCGTTGAGACAACGTACCGCGGGAGTGCCTACAGTTTAACCTAACTGAACGATATCAAACGTATCGTCACATAGAGTTGGCATCGATTTCTTAGACTTCGCTACACTCTCTATCTCCCTCTCTTCGATCATTTGGCGTTTGGAGCATCTTCTAATACCCTACTAATGTCTAGCGATTTTATCTCCGTTGATGCAGATAAACTTCTGTGTGCAATAGTGCACTCTTTACCCTCTCTGTCAATATTTCCTCACCTGTCTACTCTCTCTAGTCTCATGTGATCTGCGAGAACCGCTATGTACATACCCGGAGATTTGTGGCATAATGATAGTAATGCCTAGAGATCGATTGAAATGCATATATTCACCTCGTCTATAATAACCAAAGGGACATGTTCGTAGTCATGATTTTAGAGCTATACAGTTCCCTTGCTCTTCAATTATGAGCCAACAGCAAGGCGTGTTTTAGATAGTTAGGCAAATCATATTCCAACAATGTATACATGAAGATTCTATGGCGATGAAAATCTCTGTAGTGAAAATGAACCGGTTCTTCTACCTGTTCTTAGAAAGCTAGTCTAGAGAAAGACATTTATAACAAATTTAATTATCCAGATTCTCACCCTGAACGGTACCTGGGTTAGAACGATGTCTTTAATGAACCGGCAGTGCCAAGCATGTGGGGTTCGTAACTTCGCGGAGTAAACCATCCCCACTTTGCTGCAAACCCGACAATGCACGTGGACAGCGCCAAACTAGACTGCCTTTTCCATTCTTGAGACTGCGTATTGTTGCATTGGCAACACATTGTGCGCGGTAGCTTTCCTAGGCGGCTGTCAAGAGCTGCGGATGCTGTGGTATCGACTTGGTCGCGCCCAGCGTCAGTCGGTATGCGATCCCGAACAGGATGGTGAGTGCTGTGTGAGCATCGACTCTATCTCTTTGGTGGAGACAATGATAGATCAAATTATATCCAGAGACAACATAACTGATTCAATTAACAGCTTAACATGTCGCGCTCGGAAGTTAAAGTGCGACGAACAATACCAGACGACTGGCGATGACCCAAAACCACAATGCTCGCAATGCCGGAAGGCGTCGAGAGACTGTCGGCCGAGCGAGGGCATTGTATTTCGTCATCAACAAAATGCTTCAATGAATAAGGATGAGGTATCCTCTGGCCGTGGTGGCTTGAATGGTTTTTACTCTTACAAAAATACGTTCGATGAGGACAGCGTATGGCTGGAAATCCCAAAAGAAGGTACGAATATTCAAATTTGAGCATGCAATTGAATCCTGGCCTCCTTGGACTGATTCCTTACTGAATAAGACGAGTATTATTGTTAACATACTTCCTACAGTAATTTTCGTGGATAACTCGGATCCCGACCTCGAGGAACTCGAAGCATCCTTGCTGGCTGCGGATTCTGATATAGATGGGCATCACACCAATGGCTGGGGCCATGAGTTCCCATTAATAGATCAGGACAGCCATGGTCTGAGTTCTCTGTCAAATGCTGCAACGCAAAGTCATTATACATTTCATGATTCCGTCGGAACACCGACAACTGATAATAGCAGGATCTCTTTAAGTCATTCGAATCTACCTGCACCAGCACCAACGACGATTTCCTCGCCAAATAAGTCGCGCGGCGTAATGCCTCCTCCCGCATCGCCATCAGTGTCGATTACATCATCTAACAATAATATTAACTTTCTACTCAATCCTTCAAGTTCGATGTCTCCCCCGATTGAATCGAGGTTAACGACGCCATTGGGAGTCAGAGATCCGTCATATACGCCCAATGCCACTACATTATCCAGAAATACAACAATCCACTCAAGATCGGAGCCAAAGGTGGAAAGTAGTCATGAAGTTGCCTTTCTCTTGAGACATTTTGCAGAAGGCCCTGGATACTGGTATGTAACATATATTAGCTAATGATATCTCATATATCTAATCGTTGTAGGATGGATCTTTTTGACATTGAAATATATTTTTCGTCTCTGGTGCCAGTCAAAGCTCTCTCAAATCCGCTGTTGAAGTACGCAGCATGCGCCTATGCAGCTAAACAGCTAAGCCGGGTACAAGGTTCAAAGCCTGTCATGGGTGGCAGATGCTCGAAACAAGCATCGATTGAACTATGGCCAGACGCCGAGAAAGTTGACTGGGAGTGGTATGGTGCAAAGTACTATGACAAAGCTATCCAGCTTTTGATGAAAGAACTACAGCATGATGCAGAAGGACCAGCTCCACTAAGCACGTTAGAGGCTTTTGGTCAATGGGAAGCGACCGAGTTAAGCAAGGGCGGCGAGCCTGCACGTAAGCGACGTAGGCGTTCTTCCAACAGCCGTTTTTCTAGCAGTCACTCTGATGAAGTGCTGGCGGCAACGGCTATTCTTTCGGTCTATGAATTTCTAGACGCCACGGGCTCCGCCTGGAACCGTCATTTGAGTGGTGTCAAGTCCCTTCTGGATATCGCCGAAGTCGGTATGATGCCGCTTGAACAGGAAAAATCCCCTGGAGGAAGTGCCATTCCACGAAAAGGCCCAGAGCGTAGCCTGCGAACGGCTACGTTTTGGAACTTTGCTCGCCAAGATTATCTAGCTGCTTGCAAGTACCACTTCAGTATTTCTATTGTTCTTTTATGGCAGCTAATCGCCTATTAAATTTTAGTTATCAACGAGTGTCAAACACGGTTAAACCCGGAGGACCTGTTATTATGGACAGAAGCTGGTCTGCAAGTCGACAGTCACGGTTTTGTTCGCCCGAGCAACACCGACGAAGAGAGTATTATGCGAGAAGACATGATATCAAACGCTCTTATTTGGCTGTTATCGAAGATTGTCAATTTCATCGGCGCCGGTGACCAGATCCATTTAACTCCGACTGGCAACCCAGCCGAACAGGGACCTATTGGAGTTTCACAAAACACATTACTTGAGCGATGGTATCAGTTGCACCTTGAGCTTGATGCTTGGTACAACGGACTACCCGATACATTCAAGCCATGTGCTAGACTTGAGCCTACACGAATTCCACACCAATTATTGAGCGATACAGAACACGCTCCCCCGTTTCCTGAGATTTGGTATAGCATGCCGATGTGCGCATCTACAATGCAGCACTACCACATGGCTCGAATTTTGTTGCTTATCAACAAACCTCACGAATCTACTGCTCGTCGAACGACTGTCACAGATAGACTCCGATCATACCGTTCAATTGAAAGCGAAGTTCGCTTCCACAGTCGTGAAATCTGCAGTATTTCAATGTCTCGAATGGATGCATCTGCGAGGATTCATTCGTTACAGCCTCTTTTTGTTAGTGGACAGTGTTTAACGGAGTTGAGCGAGCGACAGACAATTGTCGAACTTCTCAGGAGCATTGAAGCTGATACCGGTTGGGCCACGGAGTATCGAGTGAAGCAGCTTCTTCGTGAGTGGGGTTGGGATGAAGCCAATACTGTTTAATAAATAACGACTGAACTTCTTGATCCCTGGACTCTGCAGAGGGAGAGGCCCTCCACTTCATATGTTGGCATATATTATCAGAGACGTGGCAGCGTGCCATAAATGCACGCGCATGCAATTGTCTTTGGAGACAGACTTTGTCTTACCTTATGAAGTCCTGATGAATCCAGGCACTGGTTAAAATCAAGTTAAACCTTCTCGAGCGTGCCGACATGATATTGGTAAGCCACTAGTGACTTTCTGCCTCAGGGGCCCATAACCAATATAGTTAACCAAATCGATCCCCACAGCCAGAACCTCAGTATTCTTTTCATGACCATCACTTGTTCTTTTCCCAGTTTTAAAAAAGGCATCCCTCGCTATACTTTCTATATTCCGCCTATGCGGAGAACCCCGCAAAACTCCTCGGGTGGGTCAGTATCGACCACCGCAGACGGAAAGTATGCCGACCAGACTCCAAGCTTATCATATCGGCGTTGTACCGATGAACGTGGGGTTGGGAGTTTATTAGTCTTTGGTTGATTTTCTTGTGGTACATGACTCTTGTACATGTATTTCCTTTGAAGGGAAAGTTTTCCGGGTGATAGACCGATCTGGCGTCAACAAGGGACTGTCACGGATACTCAGCATATAAACCTCAATGGTCCCTCAACCCTCTAACTCCAGTCGTCATCAATATTCACTCTAACTTCACATACGCCATCAAAATGTCACAATTAGACACAGACATCCTCATCATAGGCGCAGGCATGTCCGGCCTGAACTTCGCCATCCGCCTCCAACAACTCTACCCCCATAGCTCCTATCGCATCGTCGAGTCCGCGTCTGATCTTGGCGGTACCTGGTCTGTGAACACCTACCCAGGATGTGGGTGCGACGTCGCATCGCATTTCTACTCTTTCTCTTTCGCCCTGAAACCGGACTGGACACAGAAATTCGCACTGCAGCGGGAGATCCTGGAGTATTTCCGCGATGTCGCCGAACGCTACGGTGTTACGAGACATATTGAATACGAATCAGCTGTTCAGAAGGCCACATGGGATGAGAACTATGGGGTTTGGGTGGTCGAGATCTTAGACAAAAAGACTGGTGTATCTAGGCTAGTTAGGAGTAGAGTGGTGGTATCTGCTGTCGGGGCATTGTCGATTCCAAAGAAATGTGAAATTCAGGGTGTAGCTGAGTTCAAAGGGAGACTATTTCATTCTGCGAGGTGGGATCATGACTTTGACTGGGCTAATAAAGAGGTTGTTGTCATTGGTAGGTGAAATTTTCTCATATTTCAAATACCCACATTGATACATCGATATATACTTATGATGGAATATAGGAAACGGTTGTAGTGCAACCCAATTTGTCCCAATTCTTTCTAATGGTAGCACTAAAACAAACTACATCGTTATTCGCAAAGCCGCTAAAAAAGTCACTCAATTCTCGCGTCAACCGCACTGGATCGCCGAAAGGCCGAACCCGGTCTACTCATCCCTTTTCAAATGGAGCATGCGATATATCCCACTTGCCATGCGTCTCTATCGCTTCTGGCTGTACGCAGACATGGAAAAGGATTTCTTCGGGTTCTATCTATCTACTGGCGGCAAAATCCGCAGAGATCTAACAAACACACGGATTGAATATATGAAACGCACAGCGCCAGTGAAATACCATGCTGCATTAACTCCGGCCACAGAGATTGGATGCAAACGCAAAGTCAATGATACGGATTATTTTGATTGTTTGCATAATGATAACATGGAGCTTGTTTGGGATGACCCCGTGACGACGATCACGGAGACGGGTGTCAGGACGAAATCCGGGAGGGAATTATATGCAGACGCAATAATCTTGGCTAATGGCTTCGAGACTCAGAAAGTTTTGTATCCACTAAGCTCGGAGATTAGAGGCGAGGGTGGTGTTAGCCTTGATGAACACGTACGGTTCCTCTTTCTCTTCATCATTATGCAAAAAAGCTAACAAGAGTTATCAGTGGGATAAGCTCTCCAATGGGCTCCCTCAAGCCTACTACGGCACCTGCGTCTCCTCCTTCCCCAACTTCTTCGTCATGATGGGTCCAAATACAACGACTGGCCATCTCTCCGTCATCTACTCCACCGAATGCCAAGTAAACTTCTGTCTCAGAGTCCTCAAACCCATTCTCCAACGCCGATCACCCCTCTTATCACGGACCCCGCAACTGGACAGCGTCTGCGTTACACCCGAGGCTGAAAAGCGGGATAATGCATGGATTCAGAACCTTTCGAAAGATCTCGTCTGGTCCTCCGGCTGCACGAGTTGGTACATCGACAACAAGAGCGGGAGAAATACGATGCTATATCCGGATTGGCAGTTTAAGTACTGGTGGCGCAGTGTTTTTGTGCCTACGAGTCGCGATTTTGTGTATAGGAGAAGTGTGAAGGATGTTGGTGGCTCTGGCCCGGGAGAGAAAAGGAATCGGCGTAGCTCGTGGAATGGTGTGGTTGTTTTGGCTTCGGTCGTAGGGGCTGTGGGCTTGGGTACGGGGATTGCGTTTGGAAGTGTCAAGATTAGCGGTGATATTGATGATTTGTTGAAGGATATATTGAGTGAGCTTAAGGGGGTGCGGGAGAGTGTTTTAGGTTCTTTGAAGAGTGTATTATAGATATCACTTTGGTATGTGATATAGCTTATGATGAAATTCATGTAGTCCCCAAAACATTGATGCATGTTGATAGTCATTAAACTTCCATCCTATTAATCTATCAATTGATATATTTATCCACACGATTGACTCATTGGACCAATAACTAATGTAATCTCCTCAAGGCTTCAATCATTTTCTGCACCGTCGCCAGCTCAATACTGGCACCTATTAAGCCCAGAATCTCCTCTTGGACTGGCCGCTCGCAATCCAGAAACCTCTCAATCAGCTCACCGTCAACAAATCTAAACGGCTCTTCGGCCTCACGCACTGTCGAGCGGAAAGCTCGGAATTTGTTGAACGACATTTGACCTGGAGAGTCAACGTAGGCAGCGATTGTAGTTTGAAGACGCATGAGGAAGTCTTGATGTTCCGGGTTGATGATTGCAAAAAGGTATATTGATCCTTCGACCTGTATTTCCAATCATCAGTATCGAAGGCAAATTTAATTGTATATAATTAAACATACCGTCCCTAGGAATGCCTTCGGAGTCACGGCAACCGTGGAAGTTTGAGGGATGTGGACTGGTCTGATCCTGTTTACCATTTCACCGAGAAGCAACTCACTGGTTACTTCTAGGCGTCGTCGATCTTCGTCTGTAACGCCATCCACGTTCCGGCGAAGCACAATGAGGTTCCCTTCAGCATCGCTGACAAGCCATTGGTTCAGTCCAATATCTGCAACTGCTGTGGTCCATACAGTTGCAAAGTGACGGGCTACTTCTTTTGCTTCTTCTTGAAACTGCTCATTTTTACCACTCTCGACAACAGAGATACTCTTCATAAGATCGGCAACAACAATCGTATTGCCATTAACAGTAAGGTCAATGGGCGCCGTCGACGTTCGGTACACGGCGGATTTGACCAGTTGAATTTTTCCGAATCGTTGCTGCTCAACCTTGAAGACAATAACCTAAGTTTATATTAGCAATGGCGACATTATTACCCTCCAGATTGTTCAACTTACAGTCTTGATAAGAGCAGCAACGATCTTGTCGCCCATCATAGCCAACGCGCGACATGCTCCTTTGACAGGGTGGTCCGTAACCAGATTTAGTTTTCTATTTGGATCAATTTCAAACACGAGAATACGTCCTCGAATCGACTCTTCCCCTTCGTCATCCAAATATGCGGTGCCAACAATGAACCGATCCCTGGAAATTGACTGTCCTGTTTCATCTTTTCCAGAAGGTATTTCAGCACGTATCACACTTTCAACCAGCTCATCTTGATTCAGATCAAAGGAATCTAGCTGTCGGAACATTATTTCGTCGGCCAGCACAAATTGACTCTCCACTAATTCTGCGCCATCTTGCAACGTGCGTTTAATCGTCCCGATACCAAACGCTTTCTCCGTAGGAGAATATGCCACTCGTCTAACAGTGGCCCCAATTGGTAATGTCTGGATCTGCGTAGTGCGCTCTTTGTCTACAAGTGCTATTTTCAGATCGCTTGCCGTTGCAACTGCAATAGAGTCGGGATAGGCCTCCGTATTGAAATAGCAGACTCGGGTTGCGCCTTCAGAGTTCACTGCCGAGTAGATGATCCGGCCCTCAGAGCCGTATATCAGACTAGGATGCTCGCATGTTGCAAATACATTGAATAGCCCATCACCACGAGGAAGTTTCTTGAACGTTGGTTGCTCCGAGCCAAGGATTAGTTTGTTTATACCGGTTAACGAGTGGTTGCTCGCATCATAAGAGAATGTCACAACACTACCATCTGCCATGGAGACAAACAGAGTTGACGGACTGTCTGGCAAAATAGCAGCTAAGACAACGGCTCGTGGGAAAGCCTCGTGAGCAGTCCCTAGCGATTCACTTTGCAGTTCATTTAATTCTTGCAAAGATAGAACAGACACTTGCGCTCTTTGTGGAAAAGCTGTGATACATATCCGTGAGGGCGATGATGGGATCGTAACACCGGAGATCTGATTGTCCTTGCCGAAGTCCTTTTGCGAGATGACCTTGAGATCACGCTTTACTTCCAAAACAAACAAAATCTGACCTCCTACAACGAGAATGACGTGCTCCTCGTTTGATGAAGCGGATGTAATTGTCTGGCAATCCGGTGACCAATTTGTGGTAACCATCCCACTCTCAACCTCAGCTATACTCGCGCCACTTTCCGTAACATGTAAAATGCGACCCCCAGATAGATTGCACGACAACAAGGTATTCTCTGACAAGTTCAATCCGAAAAATTCATCTAGCTCTTCAACTTCACCTTCGGGGCTGAAGGAAAACACCCGCGTCTCGTTGACAAAGGTAACCACAAGAGTGTCTGAAAAGTTCCCTGTACTAGAAACTTGGAGTGACCACATATCGGTAATGTGCTCCATTTCTCCCAATACACCTAGCTCTTCCATACCCACACCACTTCGCACACTCCGTAAAGTTCCGTCGTTAAAGGCACCAGACCCAGTGACTATGCGAGCCTGGCCGGATGAGAATTCGTGGGTATAATTTTCCCCTTCCCGGGTACCAAGATCCATGATGGTGAAATCCAAAATAGGCGCAATGTTAGACAAGGTTTGAATAACTTCGAAGGAGCCATCACCGATGCGAATAACTTGGGAATCACCTTGGTGGGATCCAACGAAAGTTACACCGGCACCTAAATAAACCAGAACTGATGCTCGCGAGGTCTGCCCGAGGTAATCTATCTTCCAGCCTTCCACCTCGTTTTGAGTATCCAGTACCAACATCAGGAAATACAATCGACCGTAGTCATCAGCAAGTAGCCATCGTTGGCCATCAACCCGTTCCCATGCAACAAATATCGTAGCCTCGTCAAGAGGTCTGGAAATCGTTTCGTTACTAGCATCATCAATGTACTTAATAGAAGTTTCTCCCAAAACCAAGAGCCCCCCTAAAGTCCATCAGTAATAATTTACCATCAACAATTTAGGATAAGCGGGGCTCACCTAGAGGCGCTGGAACTGGTATCAAATGCGAAGCTCCCAGATCCAACTCTTGAGCAAAATAATCCGTGTCTTGAAAGACAGGTTCTGTGGGGGCCTCGAAATTGAGTTCTCTAATTTTCAGCTGGACTTTTCGCTGGTTATCTTCGTGAAGTAGTGCTAAACGCGGATGTGCTTTGCTCTCAACATGTAGGAAGGCGGACGACCGAACCATAAGCTCATCAATCCTCGTGATCATGGGCTCGCCCAACTCTCCAATCTGGATTGGGGGTTCGTCCGGATTACTATAATGCCCAGTGCTGATTACTGGCGGCTTCCCTCGTCTCTTATGTGCTTGTACTATTGGTAGGACGGTGATAATGCCTTCGAAAATTTCCAACGTCATAAATTTTCCACTCGGGTCAATCAGACAGCGGTCGCCATTCTGGGTCTCTCGAGATGCCTTGTCGGCTAAATCAACATAACTCCTCTCTGTACGAACGATTTTCTTCTCGCTGTCCCATTTTAATGTGAAGTATGTATTCTGATCAGTGCCGACGAATAAATGATCGGTCGTCGAATTAGCCGGTACTGGCAGCCGTGCCAGCATGGAAACCTTTGCATAAAGCGCACGAGAACTTGTCAACGTCAGGCCATCGGGGGTGAGCGAGTAGAATTCAAGGCGGCCTCCTTTGCTAAACCCGATCAATGGGCAGTCAGCATTTTCCATCACAGGATAGACTGGCACTGGGAATATACGTACGCGACAACCAGGCAATCTTCCTCCGGTTGGAAGAACTGAAGCTTCAGCGCGTGTCGAACGCTGCTCGCGCGGTGAATTGGGACGACATAGGCCATGATTTGGCAGATCCCAACTCCCAGGATTTCAAATCGAGGCGGTCCCGCAGGGAATCGTGGGCGCTGCGAGTCGCTTAGACGGCAACAGTCGACCGGTGGTAGAAGGCTTCAAGTGGCAGTCCCTCAGAGAAAGAAAGTAATAAGATCAGATATTTAATATTATGATCTTGACCTTGGTATTTCTCTGGCGACAACCTGCGTGGTAGAGTTTGTGAAGGACGAGCGATAGCGCAAACAGGCCGATAAACGAACGGGAGATGACGTCCGGGCTTCCCTAACCCGCAGTTGCACCTTAGCTCCAGCTATCAATTAGCTGGTCCGATAACTCCGGGATCGACCAACATTGTTTTTTATATACAATGTACATTTTACCTTTGGACATGCTCGATTTATGTTTGATTCGCTCGAAACGCGTGTTCAATGAATCGGTTTTCTGTGCTGTAGCTTGTTTAATTTCAGCATGGTCATTGATCAAAGCTTCAGCCGGTACTGTCGAAGCCTACGTATTCAAATGCAATGTGATACGATCTGAATAAATATTGCACTACTTGTCAGAGCCTTGAGAGACACAGTAATCGGCAAGGTCAGGCCTCAAACACCGAAAAAAAGAAATATAAATCTTCCAAACCCCGAATTCCGTTCGATAGGAAAAGAAAAGAGGAAACAACTCCATTTCATATACCTCTCAAGGGTCAAAGAACACACAGATGGAAGCGAATATGAAAACAAACAAAATGGTATCCAATGAAGGCGCTATCGAGAAATCTCCTGCAAATATTTATAAACAACCGAAAAGTCCTTTCCGGGGTGTGCGTCGTCCACAGCGTCGTATAACCCACGAGCTGTTGCAGCCAGCTCTAAAGGTGTGCCCGACTCTTGGGCCGCTGCGATTGCCAGTTTCAAGTCCTTCCTCATGAGACTAATTCCGAATCCGCCGTCGTAGTTGCGAGAAGCGGGGGCCTTCTCGACAACTCCAGGGACAGGGTTGTTGACTTCGCTAGGCCAGCAGCGACCAGTCGACGAGTTGATCATGCTAGCCAGGGCCTTCGGGTCTAAGCCCCATCGAACTCCGAGATTCATCGCTTCGGCCACTGCGATATTATTGATGGCGAGTATGTAGTTGTTGGCAAGTTTGCCGCTCACCCCGGCGCCTTGTTCGCCCAGATGCCACGCATTCTTGCCCAGGTGAGCCAAGACTAGTTTGACGCGCTCGACCAAGGCGCCTGTTTTGGAGGAAGCTCCGAACATGAATGATAACGTGCCAGCTTCAGCGCCAACCACTCCCCCAGACATAGGTGCGTCAACAAAGCGACCATGATTTGGTGCTTGGACAGCATATGCCACTTCTTTCGACGAGGCTGGGTCGATAGTGGAAGTGTCGATAAAGAGGCGCTCCCGCTCCAACGTCGGTAAGGGACCAGGTTTGAGAATTGAGTGAAAGACGTGTTTTACATGAACTGGCTCAGGGAGACTGGTGATGATTGTATCCTATTTATAGATCAGAATTAGCCAATGTGTTACATTTGGTCGCAACGATTTTTGAAAGCATTGATTGTAAAACTGGTATAAGAGAAGTCGGAAGGAAGATAAAGGCAGCTTACTGATTTCTCGGCCAGCGCTCTCGCGCTGTCCGTAATCTCAACAGCATTTGCGCCTGCGCCGGCAGCTTTAGCCTCGGCAGCAAACTTTTGCATAGTTGCTTCGTTGACATCATGTACAATGAGAGTATCTGACGCAGGGATCTTTGCACGGAGATTCCGTGCCATTGGATAACCTATTCGAGTCCTGTTAGCAATCGTTGCGCGTAAATCACGTAGTCGACTACTTCAGAAAGCGGGAGAAGCAGCATCGCGCGCGGGGTTGCGACACAACAGGAATGTCGGCACGCGATCTGCGCAACGTAGGCTAGGCAGTGTGACAGAAGGGACCGAGGGGAGCAAACTTGGAGAATCAGAGCTTACCCATTCGACCTAGCCCTATAAAACCCCATGTCATATCTCGTTGCGTAGTTGTGGAAAAGCATCGTTGGGAGTAAGCGTGGCAAGCCACTCTCCGCAAGGGCAGAGCACGTGCGGGGATCATGATGTCGGTAGCGGATCGAGGGGAAGTCGCAGCGAAACGACGCGCTCGCTGAGTTTTATCTATAAGCTCAAGAGAAAGAAGACTGGCGAGCAGTGAAGATAGAGAGGAGATGAGGAGTGGAAGAGGAGAGAGGAGAGAGAGAGAGAGAGAAACAGGCGCACAGATAGACGGCAGCGCCAAAAACAGCAACGGCGGAGGCTTGGGTGTAACGGCCAGCAGGCTAGCAGCAGCAAGAGGGATTTATAGCTAATACCACCGCTTCAAGGACGTTTTGGGAACAAATGAAGCATGGCAGCCAGCGGTCATTGGGTCTCTTGAATGTGTTGCGGGGGCTCAGCCGGGACAGACTGCTCCGTCAGGAACCAGGGAGGTCACTCGGAACCCCGGTTCTTGCCGAGGTGCTCGAGTATCTCACGGATGGACCACTGCGAGGCCGTACAAAGAGCACAGTGGACTGTAGACGTGGCGGACCGGACGTGCCGGTCTTGTCGGTGCCTGCTGCGTCTGCTGTATGGGAAAGCAGAGCCGTACATCCTCCATTGATGTCCGGAGAACGGTGCGAAAGCAGGGCCCAACCAGACGGCAGCGATGCATGCGGGGAAAAACTGGGCTGGAGGCCTGGCTGGCGGCGGCCTCAGGCTGTCAGCTCCACTTGGCCCAAGTTAAGCCTAACTAATTAAGTAAGCAATTAGTGACAATCCGGCTAACTCCAGCCCGCCGCCAGCCGAACTCCGCGGGTGTCGGGTATATTTTATTTCAATAGGATCAGTAATACACATTACAGCTCTTAGATGGGGATGAAATGAATTGAATCGTATGGTATAGTATGTATGATATGTTCATATGCACAGTTAGAGACTACAAAATCTGTCCGAATATGTATAAGAATGAGAAACGCCGGAGAATGGGAATTGAGCCTTTCCCTTGTGCGCCAAGCATGATTTTAATATGCGCCGTCAAATGAAAAAAAAGTTGTAGTACAGATACCAGCTTATAATGAACAAAAAGCATCACGCTCCTCCCTGCCCTGGGGACGTTGGGCTATTCACCGAACCCGTGAGGAATTCTGCAGGAACTTTGGGCACTCGTGGAGAGTTCGCCGTCTGAACAGCTGCTCGTTGCTGAGCCCGTAAAAGATCTCGTTGCCGCTCCTTGTCGCGCGCAGAAGCGGTGCCGCCGGTTAGACGCCGCATGCCACTGCGGATCATTGACTCGAGAGATGGCGCAGTCTCGGACCCCTTCCGCGCTGTAGTTGACGATGCACTACGTGCTGGACCTTGAAACCCCCCTGTCCGCTCATCAACGTCTGAGAATCCCTCCTCGAGCTCACTGTCCGAGAAGAACGTGGCTTCCATTGTCGGGATAGTTGTGGAAAGGCTCGATTTGTGATGTGCAAGGTGGTTTGCCGGTGAGGTTACTGATCGGTTATGCATCGCTGGTCGTATGGTGGCGCCGAGGCCCGGTACGGCTGCACTTGTTTGAGAAAGTGGTGGTGAGCCAAGATTTAACATGCCGTCGAGTCGAGTTGGGGGGCGCGATGTCTCCGCGAGGCCGTTATGGAAAGACGACGAGGAAGGTGTTCGAGCAAGGGATTTGCGGAGAATCGGCGCTGTCTGTTGATCGTAGAGGCTTGCTGGAGTATCCACAAAATTGCCAGGGAACCCACGTAGACCTGAAATCATAACAAAGGATGAATCCACTCCGTCGGTTTCGTCAAAGAAGTCATCCAAGCTATCAAGCTTCTGAACAATATCGCCCATGTTTCCGTCCGTCTGAGTATCGATCGATTGCATAGTATCAGCCCGCATTGATGGGAAGTATGATTCGTTGTACTCGTCAAAATGGAACTCCACTTCAGGAGTTGCAACTCTTTGTGCTTCCGTTCGATCAGCTTCGGCACATGTGTAGAACACGGCGTGCACATTGTGACGAGTATTAGCCGATTGAGACGCAGGAATGGGGATAGACCACCCGGTCGGTTCCGGAATTCCGTATAGACTTTGAACACGTTCGTACTGCTTTCGAATAGCGCGGGAAGAAGACGAAGATGCCATGCTCATTCGTAGATGCTGCCGTTCAAGCGGATTACCAGAAACTTCCATGATGTGATCCATAACCTTGAGTGCCTGAGGGCAAAGTTCAGTCTGCAGAAGTCGCAGTAGAGGAGAAATCAGATCCGGTCCGTGACAAGTGACCTCGGAGCGCCGCATGTTCATTTCCGGAATCAAGGCACACAAGATACTCATGACCTTGATGCGGAACCATGTCGTAGTATTCGTCAATAGTCCCATGACAAATACCAAACTATACACCTCTTGTTCTGGGAAGTAGTGGGAACGTATTTCAGAAACAATATGCTGTAAAAAATCCTGCTCCTTCTTCCACTGAGTATTAGCTAGTCCGATTAGACAGGCAGCAAGTCCCTCTAAACCATATCGCTCGGCAACTTTGCCTAATAGATCAGCCCTGTCCAAGATTTTTGGGTCGCATTCCTCGACGTCGAACTGACTAAGGAAGTGAGGTAGGTTTGCCAACATGGCAAAAAGTAGTCGGTTGCTACCCCCGATGATGGCATTGTCTGGCAAGGCTATCAGCCGATGCAGTAGACTTAGTGTTCCATATAATGACTTCGATGACTTCAGGCCTTTGTACACCAAGTCTTGGATACCACTAAAACCGCCTTCCCACAGTGGAGGTTGATTCTCCATTAGTGTACTTACGACATTTGCGTCACTCATATCGATCCTGTCTAGTAGTTTTTCGAGCATGCCAATACTCTCGATAAACTCTGTCTCATGTATAGTATTGAGACATGCACACGTCGTCCAAAAAAGCTGAGGATAACGCATGAGATCCCCTGGTGCGAGAGAACTTATTATCACCTTGAGGGTGGTCAAAATCTCCATCGAAAATGTTTGATAATCGGTTTCTTTGTCAGCGATGGTATTTGAGAGTCGAGCCAGCATATCAGCTAGCATTCTTGGTTCAAGAGATGTTGAGATGCAGCGGAAGATCTGAAATGATCGACAAGCTAAATGGCGAACGGGACACGAGGTAGCCCAGCTTAAAGCTTCCTTGGACCAACTATCACCGATGTCGTCAAAAGTCAAGCTGAAGAAGTTGACAACCTCTCGTGTAACAAGGGCCATGGCCGTTGGCACTTTTGCTCCCTCATCATCTTCGTCTTTACCAGTATTATCTTCATATTCCCAGATCATTGAAGTTTCGCTTTTTCGAATCGACTCCACGAAGTCCTCGATGGCTTTTCGGCTGTCGGAAGCGGCTTCATCTTGTATCTTTGACGCAACGAGCTCATGTATAAGATGCACAAGCATTTCTCTTGCTTGTTCCTGGACTGTAAGGTTATAATGATCCCAGAGTATCAAAACCACGTGTAATAGTTTGACAACATCGTCAAGAGCCAGAGTGACAGGGGCAACCATTAAATCTACGAGGAAAATCATTGAAAGCTGTCCCAATGACAGGCCGGCCTAAAAGAAACCAAGTCAATAAAATAATTTAAAACTTCAAGACCAAAAAATTGAAGCCTTACCTGCTTGTTCCCTATTGGGAGGACCTCATCCAAATCGGCGACATAGGGTAGGCCTCGATTGTCAGGCGGTGTGACTACGGTATCCTTTCGCTCTTGTACCATATGTTTCGGCGCAACATGCAACAAGAAAAATTCGATGACTTTAGATCCTGCTGGGGTGGAAGACAGGAAAACCACGATTTGCTTTGCAAACTCAACGAAGTTCTGCTCCTTGCGATCTAGACAGAGACCAATGATGAAGTCGAGTACAACTTGCACATTGCCTCCATGTGGGCCGGTGGCTAATGCTTGCCAAAGAGCCTGCACCTCATTAGGTAGGATGCTGCTGCGACTAATAGTGATTTCGAACAAGTTTGCAAGTAGCATATAAGAGTTGGCTGTGAGTTGATTGTTGGGGTCGATTTGCAATTCCATTATTTGAATCCATGGCAATACTGCTGTCACAATATTGCGTTGTCCGTCAGGGGAGAAGGTCCGGAAGTGCAAGCAGAACTCGGAAAATATGATGAAGGCCAGATCACCATGTTGTGAGGCGAGTCGCTTAGATATCTCAAACTGGGCCAGCTTATAGACAGCTGTGGTCTTGTCAGAAATGCTGATATCAAAATCCTGCAACCGGGAGCTCTTCTGTTGTCGCTCCTCTAAAGTACGAAGGAGTCTTGCAGACTTCATCCGAATTTCGCGTTTCTCATTCCCCAAAGTGTATAGGACAGCGGCAAGAATTCTCCAGAATGCTAGGGAGTAATTGGTCTCTTCAATAAGAACTTGGGCGACAACTTCGAAATAGCTTTCAAGGGGCTTATGAGGATCAGACGTGTAAGTTTTGCGAGGTTCTGACATATAGCACTTTTCTACCGTTCGCTCAAGTAAATATGAGTATTCTTTGTTGTGAATGATCAAGTTCTTTAGTGCCCGTTGGCCAATAGCATGCAACTTGTCACTCATAGTTTCAAAGATACTGTCAATCCATTTCAATATTCGGGTGACATCAAATTGGAGAACTGAGCCACCTTCTGTAATTGTGCTGATTGGCCCGGCCTATCCATAAAATCATTAGCTTCCTTTCAAGAAATTGATGTAACAGAGAAAAAGGCAGTAAATTATGCAATGATAGCGAAAGTATAGGGCTCGACTTACGCATAACGATGCCATAGCACTTAGTGCAGCTACGCGAAGATTCTTCTTTTCTATTTCCATCGCTGCTGCTGTATTTCGTATCTCCCCGGTCTCCTGCTGTTGGGCAATAGCAATCCTTCTCATGTTTTCTTCACGCTGAGCGATTTCTTTTTGGCTGGGTGAGTATCCACACCAATCCTCCATTAATGAAAAAGCAGATTTGCGGGATTCAAATGACAACCAGCGGGAGGGCTCTTTAGACCGATTGATACCTTCAAAAAGCTCCTCCATGAGACCACAATAATGGGAACGTAGGCGTTGGAAACCCCAATCAATCTGCACCTCAGCATCACTCAGGAAAATACGTAAGTCCTTTGCGTATGTGATAAGATTGTTAACAATCCAGTCATCATTGAAAACATCTGGCTCCTTGAGAAATGTGGACGTAAGTTTGTACACGTGGGTGACTTCAGTACGTAGACGGTCAGTCTTTCGGCTGCGGCGAGGGCTGCTAGGGGTCCGAGTATGGGTGCCAATCCGGAGTTTAGCCTCTTCATTGCATGTCGTTACCGCATATTGTAAAGACTCGAGAAGTGTGCGGTAAAGACTCTTGTTAATCGAGCCCAATGCTGCAACAACAGCATCTCTGATCGAGTCAAGCGACGCAGACAACAACGGGATTACAAAAGCAAACAAAGCTCGGGCAGAGCCAATTTTATCCTGTGCAGTTTGTGTCGCTCTAGAAGTCTTACGAGCGTGCTGAGCGTTGGCTAGTTGGCTCTGAGACTGTGCCCCGACACTATTAAGCGTCGTGCAAGCCATAACTAGGTATAGCTTCCACTGTTCAATCATGATCTCTGCAGGACTACTAGCTCTACCTAACGTTGTTCGGCCCTGCATGACATCAAGAGAGCCATAATATTGATGACGAGGCATCTCAGCGAGAGAGGTAATGGTCTTATGCATGTGTACGAGCCTGGCGCATACAATCTCCCGGGCAAGCGTGACCGCAACAGGGCATGTGTCAAATGTGACGCGAATTATGTTAGGAAATACCTTAACCCAAAGCGTGGAGTCGTACGAGACTTCGCTGTTACACAATTCGATTAATGTGTTCTGCGATGCACTCCTCCTCTTTCCCTTATGTAGACGACTCCTTTCTGCAACTGTAAGCTGCTCATCATTCAGGTCCATAATTTGGTGAGAGTCCGCTTCTAGAATTCGAATTATTCTTGTGCTTTCTTTGCCAAGAGCACTATCAAATTCCGTGACTAGCCGCAGCACCGATATTGCGAATCCGCGCACTCTTCGTGACTGGGAACACAAGAAGAAGAGACCGTGTGCTTCGATTTCCTCAACATAGGCAAGGACACTAGACAAATCAAGCTGCAACGCTCGAGTACCGGAACCGGTGTTACTTTCAGAATGGTCGGATGAGGCTTCTTTCGTCTTTTGCTGGATTTCTTCAATCCAGATTCTCAAGAGCTCAACGTACAAAGTCAATGTCGACTCAATATGACCAGGCCCTAGCATTCCTTCGTCCGACATTGTCGAATATCTTGCGTCGAAATTAAAAATGAACCGAGCAAATCCAATGATGACTTGCTGAGCATGTGTTTGGCGAGCAATGGACTTGAGGGACTCGGCTGATGACCTGGCTATATTCGATTGCACATGAGCTGTTCCTGTGCAGAGGAGATTAATCAAAGAATTGAAAGGGATCTGGTCCGATAAGCATCTGGGAATCGTTTGCACAGCTACGTGTAGAAGATCGTAGAAACTCTGTTTCTGGTCTATTATCGTTGAGTGATCGTCGCGTCGAGCGAAGCTGAATGCCTCTGATATGGGTGTCTTGGGTGTTGAACTGCCGAATTTTTCGTCAAGGGCCGCCTGGCCCCCAAAGGTGTTATCACAGAGTAAGGTGATTTTGCCTAGAACTTCACAAAATCTTAAATAATAGCCTCTCGCCAAGTCGTTGAGTTTAGAGGTGTTCACCGGTCGTGATAAGGTAAGGCCATTAGCAGGTAGCGAAATGGATTTAGGGTCCGCCAAAAGCTGCGGTCGAGGAGGAAGAATAAAATTTGGAATGTCAACAAAGTGCGTTGATATAGGCCCAGCTGGAAAAGGCGGATAGAGTTGATCGCCATTTTCTAGGTCGGTCATTATGGCGAGAAACGACCTAATTCCCAACACCATTTTTTCGGGTTCCATCTGCTCGATTTTGAGTTCCCTTCCAGACATGAAGAGGTCTGAGTTTATCAATGGGAAAATGATGTTTCTGAAGCACAAATCTGGAAGTTTGAAACCAGTCATTCTTACGAGTTGAATCAATGGCTCGACCACGGCAGGCTCAGTTGTGAGATACGTTCTCTTTCCTGGAGGTAAGGCGACCTTGATCACCTCATCAACTCTCCGAAGGGTCACGTTGGGGGGGTCTGGGTATCTAAACAAATAGGTCCATAATAGTCGACATAAAGCTTGAAGCGCTAGCCCTCGAGTAGGTCGATCCTTTAGGCGTGCAGGCAGACTCATAGCCAAGGACATCCATTGACCAGCAAAAGCGTCCTTGGAAGAGACACAGAGCAATACACTGTATATAGGAAAAACTGTCATCCAATGTCGAGGCTTAGCTAACATTTGTGAAAGACGAGGCGTTATTAATTCCAAGAATTCTTTCCATCGTGAGTGCGCAAGATCGCAAGCGGGGTTCGCGGCGACCGCAAGCAAAACTTTCTCAATGATATAGCAATAGGCCTGTTTGACCCTTTGTCCATGAGAATTGACAAATAGTCGAGCTAATGAACGCATAAAATCACACGTGCTGGTCCACGCTTCTGCGGGATAAGTTTTGATACTGAAGTGCCTCATTCCCAAGATTAGCAATTCCACTTTCGCATCGAACTCTCTGGATTGCCCTCGGGCAATAGCATCTTTTTCATATCGCTCAAGTTCGACGAAGTAGCGCGCGGTGACCCTCGTAAAGTTCGTTTCGCTCATCTTACCCAAGAGTTGTCCGTATATTCGCCAATTAGCCATCCGTAGCGGTGAGGCTGCAATTTGCTCCGGATCCACGGTCTTAAGCTGCCCGAAGACTATATCTTCCAATCGCTCTGTTATATCATTTCCGATAGCGGCCAAGCTACTTTGATTGAATATTTCAATCAGAACTCGGCAGACTAAATAGACCGACACTGTGGCCTGGCGCTCGGCTAACTGTATATCTTCTTGTGTCTGTATAAGAGTTGGTTTTGGTTGTAGATTCTCGCTATTTGATTCGGCTTCGACATTGCCTACATGGATAGGTTCTGTGTTTCGGCGGACAATAGTTCCGTTCTCGGGAACAGTGGTCTTCTTCTGAACAGAGTATAAGCATAATTCTAGCTTTCAGAGGGAGTTGGTTTACCTGTTTAGCGGTGACTGCCGCCTCTCCCTTTTTCTTTCTCCATAACATTATTGTGTCAATCAAAGGCTTTGGCTTTTGGCGAGCGATATGACCCAGAGCAGAAATGCACTGGTCAAAAACCGGATCCGCACCTTGGCCGCAGATCTCTTCAACGGGCGCTTCGACTTCAGCGACTCGAATGATGCTTTGATTTATCTTAGTGTCGGCATGGGCCACAAACTGAAAGAGATAACTCGCATTAGCCAGCATCATAATGCACGTAAGGTCCACCTACCGAGTTGAAAAGATGATGCAAAGCGTATTCGCCGACTGTTTTAATTTCCGGCTTTGAAATAGAGCGACTCTGAGAGCGGCCTCTGCGACCTTCTCCACTGGACGATGTGGTTTGAGGTGTAGTACTTTTTTCTTTCACGGGACGTCCTAGATCATCATCTTGAATTGTGCTGAGGCCATGGCCTAGACCGCCGTTCCCATTACCCGAATGCGCCGAGGAAAGTTCGGGCTGCTCTACTCTGCTCGCAAGTGATAGGTCTGAATTCGAAGAGAGAGCATTCGTACTACCTAACCCAGCCGAGGCAATAAGCTCTGGGCTTAAAGGACTTGTGGAGGACGTATAACTCTTATTTCGGAGATGCTGGATGCCATGAACGATCGACGTCTTACGATGGTGTCCATATGTAGAAAGAGAAGGCTTTCGCTCAATGGTACCTTCTTGGCGACCGGCGTTGGGCTCAGGACTCTTCGAATGAGATTGACCAGGACTTCGGGATTGGGCTTGAAGTGTCGAGAGACCTCGAGTCGAAGTATCGGCCGGCCGTCCCCTCGCCAGAGTAACGGAGGGTTCTCGACTATGCAGACCGTTGAGGCCCGGCGAGGGTCCGTTTCTTGCGAGTCTGTCAGGCGGCGAGGCCGGGTTGTGGTGCGACATGATAGGAGACTCGTTGGAGCTGAGGGGCATCGTCGTGGGTGCAGCTGCCCGACGAGGATGTTCAGTCGCTGCAAACGAAACTCAATTAATACCCATGTTTTTCATAATACCGCAAACTCGTCACATCTGATGATAGCCGACTATGCACGCGGCGAGGGAGCTGGGATGGGTGTGGCACTCACGGGTGACTTGTGGTCTAGAAACCGCCTACCATCGCACGGTAGTCATTGGAGTTCATCAACGTGGAGAAAATAACGACCATTTCTGAATGGCGCGCATTAGGGTGTTGGTCGTGTCTGGATTTTCTGTAGAAAAAAATCTAAAGCAGTGGCGCTGGCGCTGGCGTTGGTGTCGTCGTAGCTTGTTGCTGTTCCTTGCAGACTCGGGCAGGGAGGGCAGTTGCAGCTGCTAACGCCGGCGCTATCGCCCTTTGCTATCGCCGCGACCCTCCTTAGTCATCTAAACCAACCTTCCATTCTGTGTAAGACTTGGATTCTTATTCAAAGGGAACCGAGCTTGTTGTTTGCACAATTTAGATGGTGGAATGAGCCCATGTTTCTTGTTAAATCTCCATTAGGTATAGTATTACGATCACAAAGCTATTTCATGGGAAGCACTTTGACTTTTCAAGCAAGTAACCGCCGAAAGCCAATGTCAATGCAACTATGAATGTTGGACTTGAGGTCTAGGTGGTCAAGCTATGTAGTTTGTCTACAGTTGACTCCCACGAAGCAATGAGTACCCCGCTAGGTTAGTACTACAAGAAGCACGTGTCCATTGCTCTCAATCAGTCGAAAACCGGCTCAACACTCGGCAATTGTATAAGGTATAAGACGTTCCTACAAAAATCCCCCACACCGCAGACCCCACTCTCCTGCCGGGGATCAAAAATATGCTGCATCATCGGTTCATGAAATACAGAAGTTTCAGATTCTCTCCTAGGCATTGCCAATTGCTAGGCTTTATACACTTATCAAGAAGGGCAAGAGAATTTGATAGACCAATTCTCGAAAATTTCCACGTCACTCTACCCCCAGCCATTCCGCTATTATTTCCCACCGTTCAGTAACGTGTCGTATCAAGCAGACATGTGGCCGCTTTCTCCATTCAGAATTTCAGATGAGCCAGTCGGCGAATGTGGAGAAAGACAAGAAGAATAGCGGTGCCTTGAAACTCTGAACACGCTTGATCCCCGAGCCCCGTATTTTCCGCAATTCCGCAATGGGGGTTCCGGTTACCCCCCGCGTACATGTACCTCTGCGACTTTTGTGTCTGCTTGTGAGTTCTGCAGCAAACCGAGGCAGGCTCCTATTCGCGAACGTAATACCGATTTCGTAGCTAGAAATCGATGTATACAAATTAGTTGCGAAGAATTAAGGGTTGGTGCTCCTGAGCCGAGAATTAAATTGTCCGAGGTGAAGAACATATCAAGTCGACCGTAGATCGATATAGAACCAGAAAGAACAGTAGCGTTAGTCGTTACTCAATGTAGGCCGTCCCACACCACGCCTATGAGCGCCGCTTCGACTACCGAATCCGAGCCATAGCCGATGAGACAGATATAAAGTGGCCAAGGGCTTCCGTCCGCGCCAGGCACTAACTATAATAGTCACACGTCAGTTTTGTATTATTCTTGTTATTCTTTGGGGACAGTCTTTCACTGTTGCTTGTTCTGAAAGCCTCGGGAGCAGTGCTTCCGGTATTGGACGTTGGTTCCGCCCAATAAGTTAGGGAACTCTTAATTATTGTCGCCTGCAGCCGATCCCGTGCTTGGCCCGGATCAGCCACTCGGTCAGGCTCAGTCAGCGTGCGTTCAACACATGATTGTTCGTTCATTCAAGAGGAAGACGTGGCTTTAACTTTGCTCTGTCCCGACTCGCTTCCTCCGCCGATCACCCTGAGTGCATCATTGATTGATTCTTTGAGTCGAAGCAGCGGATTCAAAGCAGCCAGTCCGGACACGTGTGCGGAAAGGGGATAGCGTCCTGCGACTTCTGAGCCGCCCGTTCCTCGCCAGTTGTTCACTCTTCTTTCTCCCCTCGTTGATCTCGACAGTATTGACTTCCTCTCCAGCGTGCCTGGCAACCGACATCATGGCGCAAATCGACACTCTCGATCTGGTGGTGCTTATCCTACTCCTGGTGGGAAGCGTGGCTTACTTCACCAAAGGAACTTATTGGGCTGTCCAGAAGGATCCGTATGCCGCCTCATACGCTGCCGCGAACGGAGCCAAGGCTGGGAAGACGAGGAACATCATTGAGAAGATGGACGAGACGGGCAAGAATTGCGTGATTTTCTACGGCTCGCAGACGGGTACCGCCGAGGATTACGCTTCCCGCCTGGCCAAAGAAGGTTCTCAGCGATTCGGCCTCAAAACCATGGTGGCAGATCTCGAAGAATACGACTACGACACCCTTGACAAGTTCCCCGATGATAAAATTGCCTTCTTCATTCTTGCCACCTATGGCGAGGGTGAACCGACCGATAATGCTGTGGAGTTCTTTCAGTTTTTCACTGGCGAGGACACCGCGTTTGAAAGCGGTGCAACTGTCGAGGACAAACCTCTCTCCAGTCTCAAATATGTCACCTTTGGTCTTGGAAACAACACCTACGAGCACTACAATGCTATGGTCCGCAAAATTGACGAAGCTTTCACTAAGCTGGGCGCTCAGAGAATCGGTGATGCCGGTGAAGGTGATGATGGTGCCGGAACAATGGAGGAGGATTTCCTTGCCTGGAAAGAGCCCATGTGGGTTGCTCTTACCCAGGAGATGGGGTTGGAAGAACGCGATGCCGTCTACGAACCCGTTTTCTCGGTTACTGAACAGGAAGACCTAACTCCTGAAGATGCCTCTGTCTATCTTGGTGAGCCTAATCTCAACCATTTGGAAAGTGGCGGTAAAGGTCCGTACTCTGCACACAATCCGTTCATTGCCCCGATTGCCGAATCTCGTGAACTTTTCACCGTCAAGGACCGAAACTGCTTGCATATGGAAATCGATGTTTCTGGCAGCGGACTGCATTATCAAACTGGTGACCACATCGCTGTTTGGCCAACTAACGCAGGTATTGAGGTCGACCGCTTCTTAAGGGTATTTGGGCTCGAAGGAAAGCGCGAGACCGTAATCAAGATCAAAGGACTCGACGTCACCGCCAAAGTTCCTTTCCCGACTCCGACTACCTATGATGCCGCCGTTCGCTACTACATGGAGATCTGCTCCCCGGTGTCTCGTCAATTCGTGAACACACTCGCGGCATTTGCACCCGATGAGAAGTCTAAGACCGAATTGGTTCGCCTTGGTAACGATAAAGACTACTTTCATGAAAAGATCAGCAACCAGTGCTTCAACATTGCACAGGCCCTTGAAAGCGTCACCACCACACCTTTCTCGACTGTGCCATTCTCATGCCTGATTGAAGGAATCAACCGTGTTCAGCCTCGTTACTACTCGATTTCGTCTTCTTCCGTCGTTCAAAAGGACAAGATCAGCATCACTGCCGTTGTCGAGTCTGTGCGCCTTCCCGGTGCCACTCACGTCGTTAAAGGTGTCACAACGAACTACCTGCTAGCTCTCAAACAGAAGCAGCACGGAGATGCTAATCCTGATCCACATGGCCTAACCTACTCCATTACCGGTCCCCGAAACAAGTACGATGGTATCCACGTCCCAGTTCATGTTCGCCATTCGAATTTCAAATTACCATCAGACCCTTCCAAGCCAGTTATTATGATCGGTCCTGGTACTGGCGTTGCACCCTTCCGTGGCTTCGTTCAGGAGCGTGCTGCACTGGCCACTAGGGGAGAAAAAGTCGGAACAACCCTTCTCTTTTTCGGTTGCAGAAACCGCAATGAGGATTTCCTGTATCAGGATGAGTGGAAGGTATGCATATCCCGATTATCTAAGTAGTGGAGACTCTACATCTGCTAATAAATGATTTCCCACAGACTTACCAGGAGCAACTTGGAGATTCCTTCAAACTCTTTACCGCATTTTCCCGTGAAGGACCAAAAAAGGTCTACGTGCAACACCAGCTGCGCGAGAATGCCTCCCTGGTCAATGATCTTTTGCAACAAAAGGCCAATTTCTATGTGTGCGGTGATGCAGCACACATGGCCCGTGAAGTCAACACTGTACTTGGGCAGATCATTGCAGAGCAGCGTGGGATATCGTCTGAGAAAGCCGAAGACATTGTCAAACACATGAGGAGCAGTGGAACGTACCAAGAAGATGTGTGGTCATGATCTCGTTTTACTGCTCGTCTTTCTTTCACATAGATTTGCTTCTATTGTCCTATTTTATGACAACGTATTTAAATTTTTACTTTATCTCAAGACTTTGACGCAGGACATGTTTGTTCTTTTTGTTAATCTTTGGATATCATTTTCCTGTTTCCTGACGGCCTGTTTCTTTTCTTGTTACTTGGCTTATTATCATATCCCTTCTCATTTCCTGCAAGCAATAGGAGCTCGCGCTTCCAGGCGGCGTTGACAGTGGCGGTGATGTTGAGGTCCATATGTTAATTGGCGTGATACATGTTATACATGTCATCATTGCCTTTTGTCTCATTGCTGGGATGAGGAAATGCATTAGAAGACTCAGACTGGAAATGAAATAATTATACCGCTATAGATTAGCAAATAATAACTACTAATTACGTGCATACGAGTAGTCTCAATTGATCAATGCTGATGTGAGACGGCCCCTCAAGCAGCTCAAATTACATGTAATTTTTGGTCTTCCTCACAATTGCCACTGACGAAGCCTTTACATTAGCTGTCTATTTTTCTTCGTCCCAGAGCCCGAACGTGTGAAATTATTGTTTACATATAGATGCTGTTTGGAATTACGCTGAAGTCAAGCGGGTATCAGGTGCGGTTCCGCACTGAGGACGGAACCGTTCCGGGACCAGCAAGATACCCAGCATCCATTCTATATTACATAGACTGGTAATAATAGATTGTCAATTGATATATAAGAAAAGGTCTGTGCTAATTCAGGCGCTTCTATGGTGTCCATGTCAAGTGGGTGGTTGAAATTATGTGAATGCTGGTGTTTGTTCGAAATCATCAATCACGAAATCCGAAGATCAATATACAACTATCAATTAATATCCGCAGACGGTATTGCCACAATGGAATACAGATCTCAACATCTGATGCATGCTAAGATCAGTCTTTCTAAATAATTGCCACGGGGTGTATTCCACAGGATTATTGCCCTATTGAGATTGGGTATTTGTATGAATTCCTCATCAGGCTGGCGTTGGTTAATCACAATCAAAACCATCAATCCTCAACATTGAAATATCAATTGATGTCTTTCTACCGCCAAGCAACAGATGGCACTGCATTTGCATGTCAAACTACAATTGACATAATACTGATTGAAAACTCAGAAGAATACCTGTGCAGTGACTCAATCGTCCAAATCAGCTTTTGCGAGGTCCGCGGCTTCCTCGCCGGCGGAGGCAGGAGCAGGCTCCTTCCCAAAATGGCCGCTGGTCCTGTCCTGCCGTCTACCATGCCGTTCCCTATGATATTTTCCCTCCTGTTCTCTCCCTTTTCTTTTCTCTCCTCCCCCTTCTCCAAGCATCAAAATTGGAATCAATCGTTCATCAGAACCCATTACTCATCCCAGTCATTCTACTAATACTCATCTACTTGTACTCCTGCTTATCGTTTCCTATGCTCCCGTAGCCGTCTCGAGATCTCTCCGCCCAGACCTGGACAATAGAGAGCTAGGTTTTCGGTCTTGTTCATTGCTCTTGGAAGGCTTTAGTAACAAACGATATCCCCTCGTTTTCATCAACCAGAGTGCGTTGTCCTAAGTACACCTAGTCCTTGTATTTCGCTCTTGCCGTGTCATTACTCCTTACTGTCTTCGTTTGTCTCTCTCTTCCAAAGGGTATCTCACCACGACTAGTCCAAATTCATTGTTACCTCTCGTTATGCCTCTGCTTGTTTCGTACATTCACATCACGCAAATGTCTTAATGACATTGTATGTACTAACAAGATCTGCAGGGCAGTATGAATTCAGCGGTTCAAGCCCCCGAGATTAAAAAGGAACACGCTTACGATTCAGGTAAGTTACCTCGTTTGCCGACTTAACTCTTGTTAATAACCCTAGCCAAATACGTTCCTCCAAATGGCAAACTCAACGTCCCGCCCCGGCTTCGTCCAAAGGGGCCCGAGGAAAGCAATGGATCTTCCTCTCACATTAATACTGACTTTGCGACTCTTCCGAGAGAAGTCCTTTACAATACCCCTGTGATGGTGAATGGAATGAACCCAGTTAGCCATTATGGTCAGCGTCAAGTTACTCCCCCCGGACCAACTATTCCAGGCATGTCATTGCAGCCATCTGTTCCCCCAGGTGTGTACTATCCGGGATTCGTTGGCGGAGCACCCATAACGCCAGTGAACTTCCCATCCTTGCCATGGGGAGTACAGGGAGCCGGCATGAGCCCTGCCCCTACTGCTTCCTGGTCCGTTGACGACGGCAAGCATTCTCTTGTTGATTACGCTGGAATAAATGGCTGCCATCCTTACACTCCAATGATGGACCGTACTGCCATGACCCCTTATTCAATGCTATCCCCTGTTAGTATTCAGCAGCCTTGTCTCCAATATCAAATGATGAAGACACCCACTGGCTACATCATTCAGGATATGGAAGTGCTCACTCAGCAGGAGCCGCCAATTCCTCGTGCCATCCCCGCAATGTGGACAAACCAATCCGATTTGACTTTGGCAAAGTGCCTAGAGAATCGTGAGGGTATTACTAACGTTTACATCCGTGGTTTTCCTCCAGAGACTACGGATGAAATGCTTCATGCTTACGCTTCACGCTTCGGAGATATTGATCGATGCAAAGCAATTCTAGATCTCGAGACCGGACTTTGCAAGGGGTAAGCGTTGGACTGCTTCAATTCTGTTGATATGCTATTGACTCAGTGACTAGATTTGCATTTGTTCAGTTCTACAACTTTGACTCATGCGAAAATTGTATTCGTGGTTTTTACTATCTCGGCTACCAAGCTTCCTTCGCACAGGTAAGCTATTTTAGTCGAATTTGTCTTTTAGAAAGTAGCTGACCAAGGATAGAAGAGCCGAAACTCTCGCCTCAAAGACTTGGAAGACCGGAACTCCACCAATATCTACTGCACTAACGTACCCATTGACTGGTCTGAGGCTGTAAGTTTTCGTCTCTTTGTTGAATTTCGGAGGTGTTAAGTGATGGGTTAGGATCTACGCCGTCATTTCGAACCATATCGTGTTGTTTCAGAGAAGATCAGCCGCGACGAAAAGACTGGTGTTAGCAAAGAAGTTGGATTTGCCCGGTATCGAATCTTTCCTGTGCATGTACTGTTGATGTCTTCGCTGATGAAATACTTACAGTTTCGAGAACCGCGACATTGCCGAACGGGTCATTGAAGAATTCCACAATGTGGTCGCTGGCGATGGACATAAGCTGCTTCTTCGCTTCGCCGATACCAAAGCTCAGAAATTGTTGAAGCAGCAGTCTAATGAGCGTCGTGCCTATAGAGCAGGCGAGTATAACTATTCAGTTGAGGTCGTTCAAGGTTCAACTCCCTCACCAGCGACTTCACGCCTTGGAAATGGACCCGCGTCACCCATGTCATTTCAGTCTCCAGCATGGACACCCGCCACCACCATCTCACCTTCGTATGTATTGAAAAAAACGTAGCTATCTACAAATTGTCTAATCTTTTGCAGCATTCCCGTGATGAAGAACGGTGGCGTTCGCCGTGGCATCCATGTTCTTGGTGCTCGTGCTTCGAGTAACACCGAAAATACCCCAGTAGCGTCACGTGGTCGTGCAGCTTCCACCAGCGTCGCTGCTGTTCCTGAGAATGGTTTGGTTGCTTCGCCTTCTAAGTCCGTGAATCCTGGGGATGAATCTGCTACCGCTACACCTCGTACTCCGATTAAGAAGATTGTGGGCAACCGCAAATCCAGTTCGGTTTCTCCGGTCACCTCTCGAAAGGACATCGAAAAAGTGTCTCCGAAATCTGCAGCGAACTAGGACCACCCCTTGTTCTTCTCAAGTCTTTCAATATTCCACGGAGTAATACTCATAATGAGAAGGCTCCTTGGCTGAGCATGTTCCGTCATTCAGGAAATTCTATGAAAACATGTTATCCTATACAGTTCAATTGTTTATCTAGGTACGCATCCTCGAATTTTTACTTCATATATTTTTGTTAACTTATGCAAGTTAGCTCGAGCCTACACGTCGTGGTTTAAACCTTTGAAGTTATAGTGACTCTTTTCTTTACGCATCGCCTATTCTTCTATATATTATTTCTCGTCACTACGTATGTTATTATTTGGTTTCTTACACAGAGATTCTGTCGACCGTGGAGACTTTCGCCGCTCATCGGCGAGGCGCGCTGGAAGCAAACATTTCGTAAGGCTGGTATGAGTTATCTGGATTGAAGAGCTTTTATAATTATATGAGATATCAAGATATGAGGCTATCATACAATGTATACATTTAGTCAGTTAGAAGAAGCAGGCAGCTCGAATGACACTAATACTTGTAGCACCATTCTTTGTCCAATGAGCGTACCTTTTGAGAGCCCATATACATTTGATCATTGTAAGTTCTCAGCAACAGTCATGGCAGACTTTCTTTCCAGTTATTTTATGTCTTTCCCTCGATGGTTTTCAAGGATTTCATCATCGATGTGAACATTTGAGCCTTCGTGAAGATATGATAGCGAGATCTAGCCATAAAGAACCACAAGATTTCGTAGCGAATAAAAGTGAGATAGAGACCTGCTAATCTAGCCAACACCTGACGCTTATGCCTAGAAAAAAGAATGGTAATATAAGTTGAGTACACCTGGAATCACCCTAAGACCTTCGTCTTCTTCTTTTTCTTCCCACCCTCTTTCTCTTTTTTCGTTCCCTTTTGCCAGTCCCTCCAACTGCCAATTCTTTCGTCGCGTGTATCCTCCCAAGCCTTCTCAGCGTCCCGTTTGCGTTTGCGCTCTTCTATCTCAGCTTCTTCTTTCCGCTGTTCGCGGCCTTCTTCTTGCATTCGCGCTTTGAGCTGTCGACGCCTGCGAGCCTCCTCTTCAAGCAATACCTCGACCGTCTTTTTCCGCCACTCCGCCTTGAACTCTTCTGTTTTCAATTCCGGCGAATCAAGCGTGTATTTGTGTTCGCGAATTAGGAGTCGCCGAGCGTCGGCGATACATTCATCAAGATGTTCCCGGGCTTTCTCATCTAGCAATGTAGTCTGTGCTTTTTTGAGCCGATCAAAAGCGTCTGGGGCTAGTTCATTTTTCGTTTTATCCGGATGAATTAGAAGCGACTTTTTGCGATATTGGAGCTTGATGTCCGACTCGGGTACACCAGGCTGAAGGTCGAGAACAGCGTATCTGTCGCGAGGGCCAACAAAGTCAGTCTGACAGTAGCAGGAAGCGTGGCGATTAGGCATGGGACTTACGCATCCAGGGGAAATGCTTTTCTGATACGGTCTATCTCTGCATCCTGACAACAGCAAAGTCAGCACACGGCCAGCGGACACAACTGTCTTTGGCGCAATAGCAAACCTTGTTGAACTCCGAAGCTTCTTTCTCCAGAGCATTAAGAGCCTCCAGCTCGTCGTCAGCCATAATCGCGACGTCACAATTTATCAGTAAAGGTTTAAGAATAATGATTCCCAGAAAGCAATGGCCGCGAATATGGCAGATATAAATCGCGAAGTGGGGGATGCGATGCTGGATTTGAGCCCTTGAAAGGTCCGGGCGATAAGACCTTTATCTCCACACATGCTCGTTATCGATCAGCTGACTAAGCACGCCGCAAAAAAAAGTTGTCGGCGACCAAGTTGAGGGTAACAAGAAACACGATCATTCATGAGCACAGCAATCACGACTATGGCGCCTACTGATGAAGCTCCTCGGAGTCGGAAGGCTGTCGATAGGAACCCACGGAAACTCAAACAGACACGAATCGAAACGGAATTGACAACAATCAACCAACAAGTGGAAGCACTCGACCCCAAAATCCGCTTAGAATCTTTTTCGCAACTCCCTCTCTCTGAACCTACTGCCTCCGGTCTTGCGGCAGTCCATTTTAAGAGCCTGACTGACATTCAGTCTCGAGCGATTCCTTATGCACTCAAAGGACGGGATATTCTGGGTGCTGCCAAAACCGGTAGCGGGAAAACCTTGGCGTTTTTGGTTCCTGTGTTAGAGAACTTGTACCGAAAGAAATGGGCTGAGTACGACGGTTTAGGGGCACTCATTCTGTCCCCTACCCGAGAGCTTGCTATTCAAATATTTGAAGTGTTGCGCAAAGTTGGCAGGAATCATTCATTTTCTGCGGGGTTGGTTATTGGAGGAAAGAGTCTGAAGGAGGAACAAGAACGCCTTGGACGGATGAATATTCTTGTGTGCACTCCTGGCAGAATGCTCCAGCATTTGGACCAAACGGCAGAACTTGATGTGTACAATTTGCAAATGCTAGTACTTGATGAGGCGGATCGAATTATGGACATGGGATTTCAGCAGACCGTTGACGCGATTGTCGAGCATTTACCGAAGACACGCCAAACATTACTATTCAGTGCAACCCAAACGAAAAAGGTTTCTGATTTGGCACGGCTGAGCCTTCAAGACCCGGAGTACGTTGCGGTACACGAGACTGCATCTAGCGCAACCCCGTCGACCCTCCAGCAGCATTATATTGTGACACCTTTGCACGAGAAACTTGATACACTATACAGCTTTATTCGCAGCAATCTGAAATCCAAGACAATGGTGTTTTTGTCATCCGGAAAACAGGTCCGCTTCGTATACGAGTCATTACGCCATCTTCAGCCTGGTATTCCACTGCTGCATCTCCACGGACGTCAGAAACAAGGTGGACGGCTGGACATCACAACTCGGTTTACTGAGACCAAACATGCCGTTCTGTTCTCGACAGACGTAGCGGCAAGGGGCTTGGATTTTCCGGCTGTTGACTGGGTCATTCAAATGGACTGCCCTGAAGATGCCGATACCTACATTCACCGAGTTGGACGGACAGCCCGCTATGAGCGAGACGGACGTGCCGTTTTATTCCTTGACCCCAGCGAGGAGGCTGGCATGCTTAAGTGTCTAGAGCAAAAGAAGGTTCCTATTGAACAAATCAATGTGCGGGCAAAAAAGCAACAGAGCGTTAAGGACCAATTACAAAACATGTGCTTCAAAGACCCGGAACTTAAATATCTAGGGCAAAAGGCATTCATATCGTACGTCAAGTCTGTCTATATACAAAAGAATAAGGACATCTTCAATGTCAAGAACCTGGCTCTTGACGAATACGCCGCCAGTCTCGGACTTCCTGGAGCTCCACGTATCAAGTTCATCAAAGGAGAAGACAGCAAGATACAAAAGAATCAACCCCGTGCTCTACGCTATACATCGTCAAGCGACGAGGAATCTGACCAAGAAGATGGCACCAAGAAAAACAAAAAGAAGGATGGTGTTCGTACGAAATACGACCGTATGTTTGAACGACGCAACCAGGATGTTTTGGCCGATCATTACGCGAAACTCATCAATGATGATGGTACCATGATAGACCAATCCAAATCCATCCAAGGCGATGCAGACGAAGACGATGACTTTCTCACCGTCAAGCGTCGCTTCGAAGCTGGCGACAGGGCCCTTGGAGATGACGGCGATGGCGAGTCTGATTCTTCCTCAGCTTCGGCTTCCAAGAAACCAGAAGCCACCATGAGAAAAGATGTCAGAGTTGTCAAAATCTCCGATGCGTCTGAGCCACTTGTCATCGACTCTAAACGGCGTGAAAAGCTTCTCAAGTCCAAGAAAAAGCTACTCAAGTACAAAGGACATGGCACAAAACTCCTGTTTGATGAAGAAGGCAACGCGCATAATGCGTATGAGCTGGAAGATGAAGACAAGTTCCGTGCGGGTGGTGACGCTGATACTCAGCGGGCCAAGTTCTTGGATGCGGAAGCAGAGAAGACTCGAGCGGCTGATATCGAGGACAAGGAGGTCGCTAAGCAGAAGAAAAGAGAGAAGAAAGAGAAGCGTAAAGCGAGAGAGCGTGAACTGGCAATGGAGGACGAAGAATCAGGAGACGGCGGTGTTGCCGTGTTGGCGCCGTATGAAGGCGATCAGGCTGGTGATATGTCCATGTCAGATTACGACGAAAACCAGCGAGAATCCTCGCCCCGAGAAAACAAGAAGAAGCGAACACAAGGTCGCTCGTTTTCTGACAGCGATAGCGATGTTGATGACAAGTCTCGTAAAACAAAACGTTCTAAGCGTTCCTACAAGACGAAATCGACTTCTGATGAACCTGTCGAGGTTAATACTCTGGAGGATTTGGAAGCATTGGCAACTGGTTTACTCGGCTGATTCATCTCCTCGTTACTTTTTATCTTACATATATAGATTCTCGCCTCTCGTGGATGCGTAAGTACCATGAAGTTCTATGTTTTATACCATCACTCAGCTTTGCATCTGCTGGAGTTCATCTTATCATGGATTGATGTTTGGGTCCCTAAAAGTCGTGTATTATTTATGACATAGCGAGTGAGCCAATCAATTCAAATTGTTTCTCTGGTACTCTGCCACTCATCCACTTCAGTCCTAACCAGGATATCCAATAAAGTGCCCTAGCCTGCTGGTCCCATCGGAGTAATCGACCACGTGGTTGTCCTGCAATCGCATCAAAATTGTCGACGACTGACAGCTCCAGACCCCTGGAGGGTAGTGGAGTGACAGGAGCCGCAACCACGCTGAGCGGCCCCTAGAGAGCTTAGAGAAACCGCGCGCAATCCTTACGCAGCCCCCTAAACTGCTTCGGGCCGCAAAACCCACCGCGCCCAGTGTTTCCCCGAGGCTTTTAGGTAACAGCAAAAAATTCTCAATGTAACGCGCCATGACCACAGCTTCTGATTGGAACACTTTTCAAGCACGCAATCGGGCTGAGGATATCATTATCTTCTCGATTCTAAAATGTCCGATCAGAAAGACCGTGAGCAGGGGAAATTTTCTCTCTCCATGATCGCGTGGCATTTCTTGCTTGTATGAACGGCTTCACCTGGCAGCTAGGTTTTTTCGCTGTTAGCTCCCGGCCGGCCAATAGTTGCCTCGTGCTCTCGATATTCTCCATTGCCCTTCACTCGCGAATTCTCCACTCTGGGGAACCGCCTGCGACCGTCTGGCCAGGCGCATGTTTATAGCGGCAGAGCCTATATCGACGGTTTGAGATTTGTCTGATCCACGATTGGTAGGAGGACAGTGGTGTGCGCAGCAGTGGGTGTGTGATAAGCATCATGTCGGATGCGGACATCGAGAAACGGCCTCAAGGCCGCGAGGCCTTGCCGGACTATGGCGATAATCCCATAGACGAACAGAACCCTCGTATTGTAGTTGCGGACAAATTGAATCGGTCGTTGTCTGCTCGTCAGGTTCAGATGATTGCCATCGGTGGCACGATTGGCACAGGTCTATTTCTGGGTACAGGAAAGTCTTTGGCCACCGGAGGACCGGCGTCGATGCTCATATCCTATGCAATCGTCGGTGCGATAGTGTTTGTCACTATGCTCTCTTTGGGGGAAATGTCGGCATTCATTCCTGTGGCAGGTTCCTTCTGCACATTTGCTGGGTAGGCATTATTCTATATGAACGATCTTGATTAGTCACATTTATTAACTCTTTCCCCAGCCGCTTCGTGGACGATGCATTTGGATTTGCCCTTACCTGGAACTATTGGTTCAACGATGCGGTGTCGACGGCCTCGGATTTGATTGCCCTTCAACTGCTCTTGCAGTACTGGACGGACAATTTCCCAGGATGGGCGATATCGCTGATCTTCCTGTTTGTTGTTATCGCGCTGAATGTTTTCTCCGTAAAAGCATATGGAGAGGTAGGCACACTCCGACGCTCTCGGCTGAATCCACGTACTGACAATAAGTATAGGCGGAATACTGGCTCAGCTTGTTGAAGGTTGTCACCATAGTGGTATGCTTAACCCTGCCAATTCGATGCGACGTCCCGACTAACAAATTCCCCTAGATATTCATCATTCTTGGTATCGCAGTCAACTGTGGTGGAAACACTAGTCATCACTATATTGGCGGGGAGTACTGGCATATTGGCGATGCTCCCTTTGTCGGTGGTATCGGCGGATTTGCGTCGGTTTTTGTCACTGCTTCATTTGCATAGTACGGTAGCAGCGCTCGAGCTAGGCTCTTCTGGTAGAATCATACTGACTATGTGACAGTGGAGGCACGGAGTCTATTGCAGTGACTGCAGGTGAGACGAAAGATCCGTCCAAGGTCCTGCCACGCGTTGTTCGGAACGTATTTTGGCGGATCCTGCTGTTCTACATCCTGTCGGTCCTGATGGTCGGTCTCAACGTGCCATACAACTATCCCGACCTGAGCACCAAGTCCAGCCGCACCAGCCCCTTCACGATCGTCTTCCAGCAGGCTGGAAGTGCAGTGGCGGGCAGCTTCATCAACGCCGTGATCATGACGAGCGTGATCTCGGCCAGCAACCACGCGCTGTTTGCAGGTTCGAGGTTGTTGTACACGCTGGCAGTCGACGGTTACGCGCCTTCCGTGTTTGGCACGCTGAACCGCTTCAAAGTGCCGTGGGTGGCCGTGCTGTCCACCTCCGTCATCAGCGGCCTCTGCTTTGGCGCCAGCTATATCGGCGCTGGCCAGCTATGGACCTGGCTGCAGAAGTGAGTGTCACTACATTCGTGCATGTTTTTTGCAATTCATACTAACAACACCCGCAGCATCGTCGGCGTCTCCAACCAGCTCTCCTGGATCGCCATCGGTATCGCCTCGCTTCGTTTTCGCGCCGCTGTCAAGAAGCAGGGTCTCGAGCATCTACTGCCCTTCAAGAACTGGACGTATCCCTATGGACCGATTATCGCGATCGTGCTCAACTCCGTACTCGTGCTGGTCCAGGGCTGGTCAGCGTTCAGCCCCAGTTTCGCGGCAGTCGACTTTGTCAGCTACTACATCGAAATCCCCGTCATGATCGTCATGTTTATCGCATGGAAGATCATCAAGCGAACGCATTTCGTCCGCCTTGATGAGATGGACCTGGTTTCGGATCGGTATGATAGCGGGTTTACGCATGAGGAGCGCACGCAGGCACTGGAAGTCGCGCGTCGAAGTCCGTTTGCTCGTGGTCAGTCGTGGAAGGAGAGAGCCTTGACTGTCGGGACGTGGCTTTTCTTCTAGAGGTTTTGCTCACTTGCCTACACATCTGTATATAGATCTGACCGTTGGTTTTTCGCATTGCGCTGCCTAAGGGCACTGCATATTGATGAGCGATCTTCTATATCTTAATTAACCTCTATTCTCAGTGACACTTGTCTTGATATACAATCACTATCAAAATTATCTACAGATTGTGTGACTGAAGCCTCCAAAAATAGCTGATGACGAAACACCAAGACGACATACTAGAGTGTCTTCAACTACAAATAGCCCCAGTGACTATTTAACTACATTAGTCAAAAACTCACGATACAATAAAACTTATCAGTAAGCAATCGTTTTTCCCCCCATATCAATTGCTTATAGTGCGATACTGCTTGATCTAAATATTAAGACTACTTACAAATAGATCAGGTGATTAATTTTTGTGAAATACACTAAGAAGTAATTTAGACTAGTCTAGAAATAAACTTATATTATTGGTTGATATGAGCCTGCTATTATGCAAATTTGTATGAGGAATCAATTTTGACATGGTGTCTAGTTGCTTCTTTTGAGGGATTGCTTTCCCGGGTTGCTTAATGGTAAGGTTTACTGTAGTTTCTTTCCCCTCTTTTTACATTTTTACATTTTACTTTATTTTAGGACTACATTTTCGCTCCTCTATCCCGAGGGGAAAAAAAGAAAATCGACTGAATTTTGGGCCCGGCAGCGTTATATAGAAGCCGAAAAAAATCAGGGAAATAAATCCGAAATTTCCATCCAATCATGAGATAAAGTTTCGAGGAATAAAATAAAACCCATAAAAGGATTGCTTCTTAATAAGACCTAAAAATTATCCATTACGAAATGCGAATCTGACTTTAATTGATTTGATAGTCGAGATATGAACTGACTCGACAGAACCCTCGCTGGCCCCATAACACGCAGCGGGGTATGCAGCTTAGCTACTTAGTCCATAGCCGTCTCCACGAGACTTGCACAGGGGCGGGCTTGAAATTTCAATTGAGTATATTCTGCTGCAGATCTCGCCGCTAATCAACACAGAGAAGGTTCGTTAATTATCGTTGACTAATTATCGATGACTCGTTGTAATCAACTGGTGTGACCTGGCCGTTGCAATTCGTGCTAGAGGACGACGAGCTTCCACTTGGAGTATTGATGCTCTATAAGTATCAATTGATACGAAAGTATACACAGCACAAAAGAATATTTATCTTGGCCCGCAACAGTGCCAAGGCAATGATCGTAGGAGAAATAGAACAGAAATTCTCCGTGAAGATCATCTGCTCGGACTACGGAGTAAATTAAGCTGGGTCGGGTAAGGCCCATACAAGGTTATGGATCAATAGTTTGACTTGTGCACTGATGTTAGTGTTTATGTTGGTAATTAGTTTCTGCTTCGACCCGGAAATAAATCGCTGTCCCCACCACAAGTTGATAGTTAACTCAGTCACTATTCACTAATAAGCAATATCCCGTTACCAAGGCGAAACCCTTGACCGCCGTGTATAGCCAAATCTTGTTCCCACCGTTAACTGTCGTGCGAGTACGCCCGGACCTTGGTATATAGTAATATCTATGAATATTTTAAATGCGACGGGCCCATGGTACATCTGACAGGCCACACCGCGCTTCAGTTCTCCTTCACTGGACCTTAGAAAGCATGGTACTAATTTTCATGCTAAATAACGGGAATTCCTTCCTAGTTGACGGGGCGAATTTGGCTTCACCGTTGGTCTTTGGTAGCACGAACCGTCGAACTAGTACTTGATAGATTGGGCTTCAGCCTTCCGCATCCAATACTGCATGAGCTAAGCTTTGCATGTTTGCCTCGCAGAACAACATCACTCTGATGGCGATAGTGCTGTCCATTTATTCGGGCATGCATGAAGCCACAGCATGTGAGTTGCAAACTAGAGATTAGCGCCATTACGGCCAGGCAGTTGGACTAGAACGCTTATTTTGCGCACGAATAGGAGGGAAGCCAGCATTTAATTCATATTTAAATTAATTAATGCAAATGCTCCCCAGCGGCTTAGCGTGTTACCCTGTTCGGACCAGGTGGAGATTTTGCAATTTCTCCTTTCGCGCTAGCGCGCAGCTGTCGAGTAAGTTTAGCCGGAATCCAGCCCCGACTTCCACCAATGGGCACCTCTTGTTCTTCTCACTATTCTCAGGTCACTGAATAGTAGTCTGATAGTTAATGATAATAACGATAATAACTCTGATCGCCTTAGGCATATGTGCTGCAAAGATCAGGCACTGGTTTTCCTAAGGTACAGTACAACAATAATAGTACGGAGTATGTGCATGTATTATTATTATCTTAGATCGTAACCAACAATAGAGCCCGCCGGCCCAACATATATGATGCCAAGCACGAGTCTCCCAAATAAGGCAGTAGGGTTGGTCATTCAAGGTTCCGAAGATGAGGTTCCTCCACAGCATCGAAGTTTAATCAACCAACGTTTGTGAACGATCGACACCAAAATCCGGGAAGGGTGTGAAGGCGTATCGCCGTATTCAGATTGAGGGTCTACGCGCCTCTTCTATCTATGGTATTATTGTCCTGGATACGTACTTAACTGCTACTGTGCAGTAGTGCGATCGTCGGATACCGTGTTGTCGCCGATCGAGTAGCCTTTGACAGGCGGGACGATTTTCATATTAATGATTGCTCCAGCCCAACGTCCCCTGCTTCATCTCTCCTGGTTCCAAGAAGTTACAACAATCTAACGTTCCACTGCCTGAGCGCGAAAGCAGAAGACGGCGTGGATATGTCTGACTTGGCTGGACATTCGAGGGACTCGGCAGAATTCGCGATTTCGCAGCCTATTGGGAGGTTTAAAATGTGGAATTTTTCTCACTCGCAGTGGGAACGTCGGGGGATTCTGTGACCACGGAGTATTTCATATTTCCGTTCGAGAGAATATAGTGTCACTGTGTAGTAGTACTACTAAACAGTACTAATGGGCATCCTTCGAAGCCACAGCAAAGTCTATTTAGTCAGGCGCAGACTTGAAGACCCGGATTAGGGCACTAGTTGGCTGCAGCTGAGTGAGCCCCGGGACGATCACCAAATAGAAAAAGAAAAGAATAAAAAGAAAACATGATGCTTGGTCATCGTTATTGGATGCGTTTCGAGATGCGGTGGTTGGAGGTGTACTGCTTGGTAACTCGGTGTGGGTTCAGTCAGGGCTCCAAATCTGCCGGTACGTGTTATGATTGATGCGACGCTAATCAATTCATGTGCTCTCGTGGCGAATGTGGAGCATGTCATTTCAATCACCTGATTTACGTGATCTCCCAGCTGCAGCCGAAGCTGAGTCGATCAGGCTTCAGCCCCGGTTCGTAGTTGACCCAAGCACGGGTACTAGTACGTATTACCACTTATAGTGTATCGTGATTTTGTGTGAACATTCAGTTTTCATGAAGCAAGATGTTGATTTTGTTGTTCCCTCTTCAAAGTTGACGCACTGTACCTTTCTTTCCCACTATGAATTCGAAAAAGGGCAATGATTTTGAACGTAGGCCAAGTATCTACTTCGCCATGATTGGATTCGGAATAGATGATGACAATCGCAAGGTAGAGTGTGGCATAACGGAGCTCTCCGTACTAGTTGCTCGTCGTACCTATTACTTGTCATTGATAGTTACATCTGATCGCCGCATCACTGTTATCCATACCTTGCGTCAAGGGGCCGCTCCACTCCGTAATGATGGGCCAATGGAGCCCATGGTCTCTCAATGTTGAGAATAAACTATCAGAGAAATGTCTCCTTCAAGCTCTTGTTGTTGTGGGAGTGATAGCCCAGCAGGAGGAAGGATGCTTGACTCGAGTCGATATCGATTAGTGGACGGAGCACTGGGATTGACTCTGTTGGCCGCTGTCTTCCTTGTCCTCCCTTTCTTTTTCTAGCCTCAGGTCAGAGCATCGCAGATTCATCACCTATTGGTAATAGACTGTGGAATACTGCACACCTACCTGGATCAATATGGCAACCACTGACTAACTAGTAGTAGTAGTAGGGGCTGCTCGTGCTCTGCATCAAGCACGGCAGGCAGCAGGAAAATAATAATGGAACGCGTAGAAGTAACTCGCAGTAACAATCATGAAATGGCGATACGAGTCACATCTCCCACCACAGACACTAGTTAATAGGTACATGTATCTTTCGGAAGGAACGAGCCGAGCCAGCGGAATCCGTTTCGGGAGGCAGTGGACTGCCTTCCCTTTCCTCTCCGTGCTCCTGCCCGCTCGACGTGGTATCTCAACCTCCTGTGTATCTGTGTATCACCCCAACAATCACAAAAATTCCACTCTATCAGCATGCTTGGCTACCCTATTATGAAACCACGACGCTGCATCCAGCGCCTCTAATCGACAGTCGCCCACGGTCAGCTTGTGCGCACGGACCTGAACCAAGTCGTTCTTGTGGTCGCGGAGTGTGGGACAAGCACCACAGACAGCTTAGGTTCTTATGGGAACAGCATAACGTGCGCCTCCGTGCCTAACACATATGCTATTATACGATTCACGACTATTTGGAACGTACGGATTACGTACCACACCCCACCAGTTTGTGGCTGATCGCATTTGCGTTCGAAGCTTTACTTGATGGACTGTTGCGACACCAGTGGCTTTGCCGTCTATTGATTATTGCTCTTCGGGCCCCTTGCTACGGCGTGACTGCCTATTGGGTCTACTACAATACTACTGCACCTCACGCTACGCCTTCACACAATAATATGTCCACCTGTCGTTGCAAGGGGTTTAGCGTTGCATATTTCACATTAGACCCTAAGCCTTTTGAATAATTTCCAGGGATTAGTCGATCCCTTGGGCCCCGGACCCCGGGCCTCCACTCCACCGAACTGATCTCCGTGCTGACAGCTTGACACCGACAGCAACCCAAGCGTCGGGGCATATCTTTACCCTGGGCAGTTGGGGACGCTATTCTAGAGCTAGGTGGTGACTGGTTAGCGAAGGAGTCGAATCAAAGCTGGGTCGGAATATTTTCTGCAATGAAAGTTGTTCCTGCTTCCTAACTCTGTGCAACCCTAAACTTACTGGGATTATGTTTCTTGGACGTGTGATTCGGCCTTTGAAAAATTAATTCGCCTCAGAAATGGACGCTGATTTGCTCCACTTGCAAAGAATTTTCGTTCAGGACATGAGTCAATCCGGCTGCGACAGCTACCTTAGCCTTGTCCTTTCGGATCTTTAGTTATGGCACCTTTCCCTATATGGAAAGAGAACGAATGACAAATTAGGTCAAAGTACCAAACTAATCACCCCGTACGAAGCACCATGGACAATACGCATATATGCACATCCAATAGTAGGAAGGCTTGCGTTTTACGGATCACGGGAAATTTTTACAGAATGGCGCATTAGGAAGTTAGATGATGGTGAGTGGAGTCCTCACTGCCATGATTCGCTCGATCAACATGATCTACCATTAGGTCTGAGCCACGAGCCCACGACGAGGGAGACGATTGCCGGCAGTAGCCATGAAATCCCTGCTCCTAAGTGCTGCACAAATCTGGGGTTAATTCTGTCCTCCTCCGTATTTGCTTTTGTCGCGTGTTTGCTTATTCTCGGGTTCTACTCACACTTCGCTAATGTAGTGACAACCTGAAAGACTCAGAGAAATATCGCATCTATGGAGACTCGAAGATTTGTCGATCTGAAGGACAAACTTATAGGATATTGGAAAGGACGCCTTCAACTGTGGAGTGCCTGTTGGTGTTGCAGCAAACTCGCAAACGTAACCACGAAACACGAGACACGCGGTTATAATTGGACAGAGCAATTGTGTCCTTGATTCGGCCAACCCCCTGGCGTTGAAGGCCGTATTAGAATACGCATATCTGCCCCATCATATTTCCGCTCTTGTTAAGGCAGCTCCTACATTATTAGTCAAGCTGTTGCTTTTACGGTGTCATATCAACGAATCGTTCGTCTTCAGACCCCGGCAGAACCAGACTGGATGCAAGGTAAATTTGCATTGCATTTGATTGACGTAAAACACATGAGTGGGTTACATGTAGACTTTGAATCATTTGCGAAAATGCACAGGTATGCATACTGAGTGCGAATTGTACGACATCGGTGTTTTCCACCAGAGGGCACATAGATGCACTTTCCCCATTATGGTTGGTAACAGTACTAGCCTTCGCATCAGCTCAGAGAGATACTACTGTAGCGTTCATGCCGGGGAGTCAGGTACGATAGTCAACAAAAATGAGGTTCGTGATCGGATTGTTAGCTTTGCAACCAGGGCGGCGAATCATGGCAACGTAATCCTATTTCGGTGAACTCTGTTTTCACTCTTTCATGGGGATAAAATATCCGGGATTCAAGATCGGAGCCCCACGGATTCCCGGCCATCCCAGCCCAGGCTTTGCTCCACCGAATCCATTGTTCTATTTGCCGATAAGGGTGCGAGGCTTGCTAGCACTTCTAGGCTGCCAGCCCTTGTACCGCAGTGTCGGTAGGCCATTTTTTTCGCCCGCCAAGCACGGATACATCGAAAATTAGATACGCACGATGCGTCTCGATAGTTGGGAGAATGGAGTCTTGGGACCGCTACTCGCTCGAGTCAGACTGCAATTAATGGCGACTGAAATATGAAAACGGCTCAAATGTAGACAGTTCGATGGAGAATGTCCCTGATGAGATCGCTCAAATCCAACACCTGAGATTACGCAGCGGTATCTAGGGATGTGTTCAATTTAAAAGCCATGACAATGGCACATAAGCAGCGCTGGACGCAGCTGTCATATGCAAATACTAGGAGGAATTATGCCACGGACACTATTATGTGGGCTCGCATCTCTAGTCTCGATATCATCGCAACTGTGTGGACGTCGCGTTATTTGAGTTATCGCGACAAGTTACTCCGTATCTCGCGCCGTTTTGGCGTACCCACGGTCTCCACCAGTAATGATTTTCGCTGGAGCATGTCAAATTGTCAAGCACCCAAGTGCCAAGTTTCTAGAGCAGGAATGCCTGCCCTGTGCAGTCAGCAGTAGGCGCGTCACATACCAATCATCCGTGCCATTTTGTATACGAATCAGCGCTCCCTATCTCCCGTATACCGCTTGATCCCTTGTGTTTTTCTTCTCCTTCTCTTTTGGGACGATGCCATGAACCTGCCACCGGACTCTCACCTGGCGTTTTAGCCTCTTTTCCTTTGGCTCGTCTCCTGCGCTGGCGATTGGACTATTGGCGACTATTGGGGCCGGAGCAAAAACAAGACAGGCGACAACGTCGATCCATCCGTCGAGGTTCGCGACCGCTGTCTGACGCCTCCGATTGGCTTCGGCGCATCATCTGGGGTCTCTAAATAGAGATAGCTCCCCACTAGTCACTCACGCTGATTCGACTCGCAGATTGAACTCATGTTCGAGAGCTCGACCCTCCCTCCTCCTCCCCTCGTCCCTCATCGCCGTCTAAAATTGTTCGTGATGCCCTTTTCGGCTGTCAGCTAGCCCTTTCCGGCTTCACTGGCCCTGTCCGCTGACAGCGGCAGCCATTCTCAAGCGTTCAGCTACTGCAAGCCACTGCAGCCGGCAAACCGCGGATCCTCAAAGCACAGGTCGGCACAAAAAAGGAACATCCTCGTTCCCAAGAACTTGTCGTTACTATTACGAGCTGGAATAATGTAAAATCAGACTTGGCGGCCTGGTCCTGGAGGTGGCTCCAATAGCTCCTCAACCGTCGATAATATAGCGGAGGCTACTCCATACTTGACGGTGGAAGGCGAAGCAATTGATCAATCACCTCCCCCAATCAAGGCATCCCGACCACCGACTCGTGACCGACAACCTATCGAGGGAGCAGCTCGTCCATTCTTCGCGCGCGCCGAGTCGGTCGCGATTAGGGGATGGTGGATCAATCCGCTATGGAGATCAGAAGGCTACCGCTACAGTTAATCTTGCAGACTATTTCCGTAGTGCTCCAACCGTGACTTAGTAAGAGCTGCACTGTCCCACGGACCACGGTGAATGCAAAGACTCATACCATTCATTACCCGCACGTCTCAAATCCTGGGCTGTAAATAACATGGGCGTGCTTTCCCACCGGCGCCCCTAGCTACCAGAGCTTCCAGACACTGTCATGACCTGCAGGGTGGAGGCGATCACCCAGCGCGCGCGCACCCCATCGTTGCAGATCTTGGGCACTGCTCGAATCCTTCCCTCTCTCATCATTCGTCATAAGCTCCAACGTGTGGGCAATGGGCATACGCCGGGCCTCATTACCACTAGATATCAGTAGCCCGCAGTGATCCACATATTCTTCTCTACAGACTACGGAAGACTTTCTCAACGTCCCTGATCGGCTTGGGGCATATCTCGCTGCGCTTTTCTTTTTTTCGTTTCTTTTTTATTATTGCGTTTCCTTTTCTTTGTCTTACGCTTTTAATCCAATTTGCACACACTCAAAGACAATATTGAGACGTGTCATCCATTAAACTCTCGCTATCAAGACGCGGCGTCGATCGTTCCAGGCATTAGGGTCGCGCAGAATTGAAGAAAAGGGTCCCCGTTGCGGTATCTGATGCAGAACATTTTGATAGTGATCTATCTCGCTACTCCGATAAATGGTTTGAGCCCCTGACGGACTTATTCAGCGGTTGCACGGTCAACAGGTAGATATTGGTGTGAATTGTCAGTAGTTTTCTTTCTCCAGCGGGTCAAGGTCTTGGGAGACCTGCCGAGAGCAGAAGGTGCAAGAGGCAAAGAAGGAAAAGGATCCAGGCTGTCTGCCACCGTCATCAATTCGCTGAGAGAGACATTACTGTCTGCGAGGCCTAAAGTTTCAAAAATAGGTCTACATAAAACCACACCATCAATCTCTCCATCCTTTTGAATCTGCAAATGTTTCTATCAGCATCGTCACTCATTTACTCGGTATAGCTGCGCTATACGATAATATTGTCCTAGCCACCGTACAGACCTGATCACAATTTACAGCAACAACTCCAATGCAATCTCTACTCCTTCCCGCTCCGTGGTTTTCAAATACACATTTTGGGCCGCACCGGTTTGATATCGACCCTGGCCATATCCCCATACACTCCCGGCCGCCTTCCGCAGGGTCGAAATCCAGCCTCGGGGCACTTCACATACCACTCCCTATGTCCGGCTCTCTGCCGACAGGCACTCAGTCGGAAGGTGCAGATGTCATTCAATATCAGCAGCAATCGGGACCTGAAAGACCAACCCCAATAGATCCAGTTCGTACGAGTTTGCCACCGAGACTGCCGACCTTGAATCCCATAGGCACTTCAAGTGTAACGCAGCCGCCGCGGTTTCTCTCTCCATTGGGAACACCAATCCATGGAAGCTCGGCTTTTCAGGTCCCCGGCATCAACACTGGGCTATCGCAGGTTTTTACGGAACCACCGCAAACTTATGGCGTGCCGGCCACCAGTACCGTTCGACCGTTACCACCAAGATCCACGAGACGCGCTAAGGCGCACGTTGCTTCAGCATGTGTGAATTGCAAACGGAAACATTTGGGATGCGATTCTGCCAGACCATGCCGAAGATGTGTGTTATCTGGCAAAGCGGTAAGTCTTCTCGATATCGACGAGCATGTAAATTTTTGAGTTAACAGGGATGGGTATAGTCAACATGTGTTGATGTCACACATAAAAAACGAGGACGACCACCTCTCAAGGCGGAGGAAACCCCTTTACGCGCATTTTCTTCGGTCGAGGGAGCAATGACGTCGAGAGAGCAATATCAAGTGGGATCTGCTCGTGGACACGGCCATTCTAGGACTTCTTCGCGGGAGATTCGACCAATCACCGACTTGCAATATGTACGCCCTCAGGGAAATAATGTGGCAGGGCCAAATGTAAACTTCGAAAGCATGCCTCCCCATCACCAACGTTGGCAGCCGCTCACATCGCCTCAAACGATGCCAGCTGGTCGAGGTCAACCGCCTTTGGCATCTCCGGTGGCACCTCCCTTTCAGCCACCATACACTGGAGCCAACTATCCCCAGAGTCCATACGCGCCTTCACCTGTCCCATCATTTGCAACGTCTGCAACAGGCGCTGAGTTCCGACCTGTGCTAGCGTATGGTGATCGTCCTCCTGTTGTAACACCACCAACAGTATCACCACAGCAATACCATCAGCCTTATCCGCCGTCATTGCCACCACATGTGAATCCACAAACACCAAATCGTCCAGGAGATACTGTAGGTCCGTCTCTTGATATTCAAGATCCTTCTCGTGATACTGGGTTTCGACTACCGCCAATCCTGCCTTCGCCGACGGCGTACGCTCACGGAAGCCCAGCACATTCTCACAAGCGGAGTGGCTCATTCCCTGATTTGGCCGGATTTCAAACGCAAGTCCAACCTCAGCCTCAAGAATCACCACGCTCTTTATTCGACCCGCCGACCCGTGTGGATTTGCGGTCACAATTCCCAGCGATTGCTAGGCCTCAGAGTTTGATCACCGGACAGGAACAAATGAGCCCGGATTTCCAAACACACCAGTGGCCAGATACTACAGGAGCTAGCGGAACAGCATCAGACCGTCGGCGAAAGAGCGAGGCTGATCATGAGGAGAACCCACAGCCGGCTAAAAGACGAAGGATGGCGTTAGACGACATAGTTAACGACTAATTATGGGAAACTATGCAGGAATCGAATGGGGGAAAAGTCATCTCGAATTACATGCGTTTTCAGGAGCGGGAACTCCAGTTAACTGTCTAATCTTAATTGTCTGCCGTTATTGGCAATAATACATAACAGTACGCTATTGGGTGTCTAAGTTTTGATGCACCTTGTTTGAGCTTGTACAGATTTGTGTGCTGAATCTGCGTGATGTTGAATGATTTCGCGAAAGAGCTTGGTGCATGGCTTGCAGTTCCTTTGTTTTGGAAAAGTGTAGATTTTCTTGTTGTTGGCAAGGACTAGACTTGGTTTTCCTTTTTGTTTTTTCGTCATTTTATCCTGTGTTGCGCTAGATACCTCACAGTTATTTCTGTTTCGGGTGAGCACTGCTAGCCGTCGATATTTCTACCTTGCATTTTGACTTGTTTTGTATACTTACCATGTATAGCGCTGATTGAGCTTGGAGTATGATGTTTCTTTATATCATTCTTACTTTTTGCGGTTATTTGTTCAACGATATGGCATACCGGAGTTATTTTTTCTTTGGCTAGTTCCTCCTGAATGTAGAATACCTCTGAAATATCTTCGGATCTTATTTTGTCGAGTTGACCTGATTCAGCGCTACTTTTCAGTATTGATTCATGTAAACATATTGCTTATGGGCTTCATCAATGGCCATAAAGAAAACAGCGGATGCAATTTCAAACAGAAGATACTTTCATGTTGTAATTAACGAAAACATCTAGAATAAGAGTATTCATATTTCAAATATAACAACCAGCACGACCAACACTCAAACTGATATATAAGAGCAACTATACTACTTCTTCGAATTCGTAGCCAGAAACAACACACAACTACCGACAATCACCGTAGCCACTACGGTGAAAAACAATTGCGTTCTCCAACCACTCTGCACAAGCGCCACCCTGCGACTGTACTTGGTCACGGTGGTTACATAAACCGAGAACCCGCTGATCAGACACGCCAAACTCATGCACCAAAACACAATGCCTAGTGGCAAGGAAATGTGGCGCTCAAGTGTGCTCGGCGCAGATTTGAGGTGGAATGAGACTGTGATGGCAGATGAGACGACTGCAAGATAGATGGCGAGCCGCAGCCAGGAGAGAAAAGTGCGCTCGTTGGCGAGATGATCGCGAGCATCGGACGCGGTGTTCTCGAATATCAAGGCGCCGAGCAGAGGCCGCGCAAGAAATAATGGGCCTGCGGTGAGGGGATGGCTGTTGGGATGTTAGCTGTTGATATAGACGACGTTGGTTGCATTGTATAGACGACTGTTATAGTGTAGTATGTATAAATAGCGGATGGATGACAAGATATGATAATATCAACTAGCTTTTTCTCTCTTGCCTGTACCCATTTGCCATATTTAACACTACGTAGTGATGCTCGTCTCTTCAGAATGAATCACGTACTCTTCAACGACAACTGGTCTTGCATTTGTCGGATTAACTAGAGGGTTGAACCTGCGCGGCTGGAGGATGGTCGATGGGCCACTATTATCCTGGGCCATGGTATTGTCGCATCGTAGTTTAGGGTGATAGTTCGAGATGTAGTGTGGCCATCACCATCATTGACTGGAGTTATCGTGGTGCGCGTGACTGGACAGAACGAGAACATGCCGAGGGGTTTCATGCAGACAACGTGCGCTAGCCTAAAATGGCATCATACACGTATGGAGATACACGCTTGCACAAGTTAGAAGGTGGAAAATATGGGTAGAGACTCAACACATGCCGACTTTTCATTCTTGACCTGATGTCAATATATAATATACTGACACTGCTTCTGTGCATGTAGAATAATAGATACATACATGTACCAATATTGATAAGAGAGGCGAACCCGCAAGGACTTGCCCTGTTGAGCCGGAGCTGCGGGGCTGCCGTTTTCCTTGTTCGGTCCAATCATAGTTGGTCCTGCCATAGAAAAAGACCCTGAAAAGTCGACGCTCTACAAAATCTCTTCAACTGCTGCCACTATTCTATTCTTCTCTTCCTCTCCTTGCATCGAACGCGATTACGAGGAGCTATGATCCCAGAGGAAACGGTGCAGCCGTCGGAACATTAATTGTAACCAGCTAGTAATCGCTATCAGAATATCACCGAGTGCGGAGTCCAGATTCTCCACTTCGCATCTGACTCAGTTGCTTCGACCTTTTTTTCGTCCTTCACTCCTGTCACTATCATCCTTCATTCTATGATGATGCCGTAGCGCTGTATCTGTATGCCGTTGATTCCACTGGGTGAAACGCTACACGCACCAGCTGCATTGATATAGCAGTCATTCAACATGGCCTTCAATAGAGCCGCCCCGCTTGCTGTCGAGCAGAGTGATGAGTTCAGCCGGCCACTCACTTCGGGTTCGCCCATTGCTCAAGCTGCCATTGCGCGCGATCTCGCTCAATACAGTGACCGTGGCGGAACTGACCATACGTCTGACGACGACGACGACGACGACGACTATGATGCTAACGACACATCGCTAGTGCACGAGACAAGCAATATCTTGGGCACAACACCGCATTCTTTAGCGGGCTCATATCGTCGCCTTGGATATTTTACATCCGGATCTCGAGGTATTGTTGTCCCGCACGATGCCGAACAAGAACCGTGTTTGTCCAAGCAGGAATTAGAGCGTGTTTATGCTGAAGAAAGAGACTTGTTGACTGATAACAATTTCCTTACTGCTCGTCGAACGCGGACTAGTTCTGTAAGTTATTTGACTAGTCAAATTACTGCTGGGCTGTTGCGCAGGATGCCTTCTCGAGAGCCAGACGAGGAAAACCATCAGCCGGCAAATTCAGAGCCGAATGAAACATCGGCTTTGCTAGGAGAAGAGACACTTGTTAATGATGAGGAGGAGATCGACCGAAAATGGGAGGAGGCAGTGACTGCTGGGCTCATCCAATCAACTTGGAAGCGAGAAGCGCAAGTTATTGGGCAATATTCACTGCCGCTTATTGTCACTTTCTTACTCCAGTATTCCTTAACCGTGGCCAGTATCTTCACAGTTGGTCACCTAGGAACAATAGAGCTAGGAGCTGTGAGTCTGGCAAGTATGACTGTCAGCATCACCGGATCAGCCGTCTATCAAGGTCTTGCTACCAGCCTTGACACCCTTTGCGCCCAGGCTTATGGATCTGGGAAGAAGCAGCTAGTCGGGCTTCAAATGCAGAGGATGGTTTTCTTCCTATGGGTAGTGACGATTCCAATTGCCCTTATTTGGTTTTTCGCGGATAAAATCCTCGTGGCTATTATCCCGGAGACAGAGGTTGCTCTTCTTGCGGCGCAGTATCTCAAAGTCCTTATCTTCGGCGCCCCAGGATATGCCTGTTTTGAAAGTGGCAAGCGGTTCGTCCAGGCACAGGGCATTTTTACAGCATCCCTGTATGTCCTGCTCATTTGTGCTCCGCTAAACGCCTTTATGAACTGGTACTTCGTGTGGAAACTCAACCTAGGCTTCATTGGTGCACCCATCGCTGTTGCTATTACCGAGAATCTCCTACCACTATTTCTTTTTCTATATGTATATTTCGTCGCCGGTCGCGAATGCTGGAATGGTTTCACGTGGCGTGCATTTGAGAACTGGGGCCCCATGATCCGTCTCGCTTTACCAGGTCTCATCATGGTCGAGGCCGAATGTCTTGCCTTTGAAGTCTTAACGTTGACATCGTCCTACTTGGGAACAGAAGCCCTTGCCGCTCAATCTGTCCTCAGCACGATTAGCAGCATCACCTTCCAGATCCCCTTCCCCTTGTCAATTGCAGGTAGCACACGTGTGGCTAACCTCATCGGTGCAACCCTCGCCGGCGCCGCGCGTACAGCCGCAAAGGTGACGCTGAGCGGCGCAGTCATCGTGGGAATCCTAAACATGATCTTACTCTCATCCTTGAGATTCTCCCTCGCGGGTCTTTTCACGTCAGATGAACAGGTCATCGAAATGGTCGCTGCCGTTCTCCCTCTTTGTGCCGCATTCCAACTCTTCGATGCATTGGCAGCAAGTTGCAATGGTATCCTGCGGGGCATGGGCCGTCAAGAAATCGGTGGCTATGTACAGGTTTTTTGTTATTATGCTGTTGCAATGCCGATCAGTATGGGCACGACTTTTGGTCTTGGATGGGGACTTTGGGGGCTATGGTCTGGTGTTGCGATTGCCCTAGGACTGGTCTTTATGATTGAGGTCGTGTTCCTGAGCCGGACGAGTTGGGAAAAGAGTGTGGAGGAAGCCAGGAAGAGGAATGCTGTTGCTTGATATTTTACCCATTTTGGTTGCATTTGTGAGGAGACTTGCTTGATTATTCCCCATTTTGCGTGCAGCGTGTTCTTCTGGTATGACATATATACATATATAGCTGATTGAATATCAAATTTCACACACTGATTCGTACAGGAATACCAAAACTTATACGGTCAAGATGACATCAACTGGAGCTATCTATCATTTCTTTTATTAGACTACATCAACCTAACATGTGCCCAGAGAGTGGCCTGGGCCCTTTGATAATACCATATCATAACACATCAACTTTAGCCCATCGAGAGCATAAAGAAAAGAGAAGCAGAGTTAATACATTTAAAATTCCAGAATAGCCCATGTATATTCGTCCACCGTCGAGAAGATCAATCCATCTCCTAACAGCTCATTACCAGCCTTTATGACATCTGTCGATGGCAGGTTCAATTTGGCGGATATGTTCTGCATGTGTAGCCCCTCATTACTCTGCGGCTCGTTCTTCAACATATTGTAAACGCGTCGTGCCGTGGCAGACAAGTGTGGTGGAAGTTGCGGGCCCCCGCCGGCGTTGTTACCCGCACCCTTCTCAACTGCACCGTACGCATTGCCAGCAGCAGCACCACCCTCAGTCTTGGGAGGAGGAGGTCCATGCTTAAAGAAGAGATGTGCAGCAGTCGCCTCGAGGAAATGCACATTAAGCTCATTGATATCGGTCAAGGGACGCACAGAATGCGCACCTAGATATCTCTTATTCCCAAAGACCTTGACCGTGCCAAAAGCCTTGACATATCCAGTCACTTCAATCTTTTTCTTCGCATTCTGTTTATCGGCCCCTTGCCCGTCAAGATCCATATCATCGCCGCCTACAGGTGCCGACTCGATCCATTTCTTGGCTTCTATTTCGCCCGTGCCGTCATCGATTTTGTATGTCACGTTCGTGCTTTGTGTGGAGATGTTGCGTACTTGACCGACGCATAATACGTAGCCTAGGTCAGCACCATCGATCTGGAATGGGGCCTCCGGGTGGGTTTGAGAAGCTTCAAGTAGTTGTTTGATTGTTACGGGGCGGAGAGTGTGGTTTTTCTCTTGCTAGGTCAGAGTTAGCAGGAAAATCTTATAACAAAGTCGCTGAAGATTTGGATCACAAAATATTAAGTGAAATGAAAAGAAATAGTCTCACCCTTCCTGCGGCAGGGCTGTTCATCTCGCCAGGCATAAACCCTCCACCACCACCCATGCCACCTTGCCCTCCATACGAGGTGGTGGTGTAATTTCCATAGCCAGAATCTGCAGCTGTCAGCATATTTCACAGCCAACTTACATAGCAGAAAACTTACCCATCGCGTATTTCCCGCTTGAAGACTGCTGTCGAACGATATGGCCGGGGTGTGTGGAATTGCAGAAATTGTTGATCTCTCCATATGTCTCTTTTCGGCCGACGCGCGGGGTGACAAGACGCGTCGTGCCTGCCGCCAGATGAGGCCAGGCGGTGTGCTACGGCAGTAATCTTTATCACTCTCACCGCCTTCGGATATCAATCCATTTTTTGATAGCGAAAAAAATAGAAAAACGCAAGCGCGAGGACGAGAAGCTGGATTGCACCATCATCCCTCGTAACTATGCCTGACCGAGCGGCTTCGCCAGCCGTCTCCGAAAGCGAGTTCGATATCTCAAAGGCTCTTTTCAAAGATGATGCCGCTTCCGACGCCGAAGACTGGGAACTGTCGAAACCGAAGAAACAGAAAAAACCAATACTGGCTGCCAGTCTGAACTTGCTCGACGATGTCAACGATGATGACGACGGCAACGATGAGGCTTTCATTGCCGCAACCCAAGCCGCTGCAAACCGGAAGTCGTCCAACCTCAAGGGCCGAACGGTCAAGAAGGGAGGTGGGTTTCAGGCCATGGGTTTGAATGCGCAGCTTCTCAAAGCGATTGCCCGCAAAGGTTTCTCTGTGCCCACGCCGATTCAGCGCAAAACTATACCTGTTATTTTGGACGAGCAGGATGTCGTTGGAATGGCCCGCACCGGTTCCGGAAAGACAGCTGCGTTTGTCATTCCCATGATTGAGAAGCTGAAGAGCCACAGCAGCAAAGTTGGGATGCGGGGTTTGGTGCTGTCTCCATCGCGAGAATTGGCGCTTCAGACGTTGAAAGTTGTAAAGGAACTCGGTCGTGGAACCGATCTGAAGTCAGTTTTGTTGGTTGGTGGCGATAGCCTGGAGGAACAATTCGGTGTGATGGTTGGCAACCCGGATATCGTTATCGCAACCCCTGGTCGTTTTCTGCATTTGAAAGTCGAGATGGGGCTTGATCTGTCAAGTGTGAAATATGTAGTGTTCGACGAAGCTGACCGACTTTTCGAAATGGGGTTTGCTGCTCAGCTCACTGAAATTTTGCACGGTCTCCCTGCCGCCCGCCAGACTTTGTTGTTTTCTGCAACTCTTCCCAAATCACTTGTGGAATTCGCTAGGGCTGGCCTACAGGATCCAGCACTTATCCGATTGGATACTGAAGGAAAGATATCCCCAGATCTGCAGAACGCTTTTTTTACAGTACAGTCTGCGGATAAGGAGGGCGCACTGCTTTACATTCTAAACGACGTGATCAAAATTCCCACCGGGCCAACTGGGGCAGCTCAACGCTTCGCGGAAGAACAGAAAACTGGGCAAAAGTGGTCGAAAAAACGTAAAAGGTTTGAAACGGACAAAGCAGCTAATGTGACCGCATCGCCTACGAAACACTCGACTATCGTCTTCACTGCCACAAAACACCATGTCGACTACCTGGTCAGCATTATCCGGGAAGCTGGGTTTTCGGTGTCATATGCATATGGTTCTCTCGATCAGACTGCTCGTAATATTCAAGTACAGCGGTTCAGAAATGGGGTAACAAATATATTGGTTGTGACGGATGTGGCTGCTCGTGGAATCGATATCCCCATTCTTGCGAATGTCATCAACTACGATTTCCCTTCGCAGCCCAAGGTGTTTGTCCATCGTGTCGGACGAACTGCGCGTGCTGGTCAAACAGGTTGGAGCTACAGTCTCGTACGGGATACAGATGCCCCCTACCTGCTTGATCTGCAACTTTTCTTAGGCCGGAAATTGGTTGTTGGGCGACAAACTGACAAAGTCAATTATTCAGAAGAGGTTGTTGTCGGAGGATTACCGAGAGATGCCATTTCCACTCATTGTGAGTGGGTTACAAAGATTCTAGACGACTCAGAGGACTTGCACGCCCAAAAAGGTGTTTCGAACAGGGGTGAGAAACTCTATATGCGAACAAGAAATGCTGCATCCTTGGAAAGCGCAAAGCGGGCAAAGGATATTGTTACTTCAGAAAACTGGACTTCATTACATGCACTGTTTAATGATGAGAACAGCCAGATGGAAGTCGAGCGTGAAAAGATGCTCGCTCGTCTTGGCGGATACCGGCCACAGGAGACCATCTTTGAAATCGGTGGTAGACGCACGGGCAAAAAAGGTAACGACGAGGCTTTCGAAACAATAAAACGAGTACGTTCTACGCTTGACAAAAAGAAGAAGCAGCGCCCTGGAGCCGAAGAAACCACCGAGGCTGCTGAAGCAGATGCCGCCGAAGGAAGTGATGACAACATTGAGAAGGGTTTAACTTTCTCTGATGGCGATGAGAATGATCAACTTGACAACTTAGACAACATGTCCATGGCTTCTGAATCTGACCTTGAAGTTACATTCTCTCAATACTCAGGCAACAAATCCAAATCTAAACAGTCCTCGGAGGCCACAAATTCCTTCCAAAACCCGGAATATTTCATGTCTTACATCCCTGCTAACACATCCCTTGTCGAAGATCGTGCTTATGGTGTGCACTCTGGCTCCAACTCTAACTTCGCACAAGCCTCGCGGGATGCGACAATGGACCTGACGGCTGACGAAAAGCTCGGGTTCGGAGAACATCGGTCTGCTATGCGTTGGGACAAGCGTCACAAAAAATATGTTTCTCGGCGTAACGATGAAGACGGCTCCAAAGGCGGATCGGCCTTGGTACGCGGCGAAAGCGGGACCAAAATTGCGTCCAGTTTCCGTAGCGGGCGCTTTGATGCCTGGAAGAAAGGGAAACGAATGGGTCGTATGCCTCGTGTGGGCGAGGCTGAGAATACAGCACTTTCGGCGGACTTTAACTCATCAATATCCGGTCGGAAATTCAGACATAACAAACAACAAGCGCCGAAACAGCTTGACAAGCTGCGCGGTGATTATGAGAAGAAAAAGAAGCAAGCAACTGCCAGGGAGCGTGAGGAAGCTGCTTCTGAGGGCGGTGGTGGTCCTGCTTCATACGGTAGAAATGGTCGTGCGCCAAAGAATGAGTTGAGGAATAATGAAGATATTCGCAAAGCGAGGAAGTTGAAAGAGAGGAGAAAGGAAAAGAATGCTCGACCATCGAAAAAGGGCAAAGGCAAGGGCCGGCGGTAAATAGTACAGTTTTAGCAATCGTATATAGGAGCTACTTGTCATTAAGGATATCATAAATAAAATTGAATGATGCTATTGAATTAATCTAGAGCTCCTATAACAGTAGTGGGCGTTGATGTCGTATAAGATTGTTAAGAGGTCGGATATTTTTGAAGTTCAAAAAGTGGTATCATTGAAAAGACATGAGACGGGCTCGTGATGGGAAAGAAAAACACCAACATTGCCCTATCACATGCGGCGAATATCTTTCTCTCCCTTGAATTTCTCAAAGGTGGAGGCACCGAAATGACTCCACCATTCGAAAAGCATCGAATTACAGATCAGCTTGAACCACGGGGTAAACTTCAGCGCTGGATCATTAAACATGCTCTTGAGCTCATCTGGGGTGACGTATTTGATATCTTGGACCTCATTTGGGTTTGGATTGACGTCGACATCCGCCTGAATGAAGAGGATGTAGTCAACTAGGGCGTATGTTAGTGCTGTATACAATTTATTTTTATATTAGATTGTGGATGAATAAGACTCACTTTCATGCTCTCCCCATTTCCCATCACTAGGAGCAAGGTAATGAATTCGCGTCAAAAAATCGAATTTGTCAAGCGGGACCTGCTGTGCCTTGATTCCCAATTCCTGGTCGAGTTTTCGCTGAGCGGCTCTCTTCACGCCTTCGACTGCGGCGGATAGTTCTGCGCCTGTTTCACCGGCAATACCGAGCGGATGCTACAGAAGATATTAGTCGATATTCCAGTATCAAATTATTGGTTTTCATGACTTGCCGAGCAGCAGGTGTTTGTCCATAGGTCGGGGAAAGTAATTTTCTCGGCGGCTCTCTGCTGGAGTAATAGACGATTGTTGGAGTCGAAGAGGAAAACCGAAAAAGCACGATGAAGGAGTCCCCGATCAATGTTTGTCATAAGATGGCCTAAAGACAAATTTCGTGAGTATTAATATGTTGAAGTCAAAGCTCAACAAAGAAAAAAAGTCCATACAGGTCTTCTTGCTTGCACTACCGATTGGCTTGTCATCATTGTCAAGAACAATGCAAACCTCCTCCATCAAACGAACTTGCTCCTCGTCGTAGCCTTCAAGATCACCCCCCTCTCTCGTGGAAGAATCGCCATTCGCTGTTGGCAGCGTTTGGTGCGCGAGAGAAGTGTCAACGTCAGGGAAGAGAGTCGCGACATTGTCTGCGGTGATCACGACGTGTGCCGGCGCGACGGTTTCGGTGACTGTTGCTGTGGAGCTCATGATGAGAGAGGATAGCAGGTAGAGTTGTTGTGGTTGCTATTATTGCTGTTAAATTCCCAGCGTAGTCAAACCTTGTATTCTTAAAAGTATGCTGATTGTCAGGAGTTGCAGTCAAGTTTTCCCCGCCTCCGGGGCGTAACTGGGCAAATACCCGCCGAGCCTGGCGTCCCCGAGACTCGGAAACACCGACGCCCGGGCATGCCCAGCTACCCCCTTTGGGTAGAGTTAGGTTTAGGTTTAATCCTTGTATTAATGCCTTGATTTTATGTCCAATATCATCAACTTCGTGTGTGAAGGTAGTGAGGGTATATCGCAGCATACGCGAAAATTTTGTTTGCCATAGCCATTGATAAAAGCAGAAAGCCGACCCATATCATTTTCACCAATCGTAAAATATGATTGTACGCCACCAATTGTTTTCGGCCAGGGCTTGGGAGACAGAGAAGTGAGGTGGAATATCAAGAAATATCCAACGAATGACAGAGAAGTGGTTTGAGGATATAACATTAATAGGACGTCAGTGACTTCGCTTGAGAACACTGTCTTCCTGTCCTTGTATATGTCAAAGGGCAAAGTGATGTGCCGAGAAGGTATTGGATCCATAATGAGAAAGCCTTGTCTTTAAAACGTCTATAGGAAACTTGTTAGTCAGGAGGCTCCAGAAAACTTTGAGACTCTCAGGTTATAATGGTTTTGTTGAATAAGAGGTTGTTATCGAAATTGCACTGATTTTCTTCTCATGATATCAATAAATCAGGCATCCTCAGTCTAAGAAAGGAGCATTGTCAATGGCTACCTAGTCAATTGCACTGAATTTTGGAGATTTTCTATGCTATTTCTATAAGGAACTAGATGCGATATAAGCATGAAAGGCTTGATATGATATTATTTTAGATAACTGAGATAGATGGGTGATATTGGGAGTAGATGACCGCAGAATAAGAATAAGAGTTTGGAGGAGAGAAAATTCTCCTCCCATGAAATATCCCCCGATTGCATTTAAGTTAAAAATTTATCAATATATTTTCTTCGGTTATGGAGGGTCGCCATTTTGATATCGGGCTAGAGGCCATGGAGTCATTTCGATATAAATGAATAGATAATATTGACAATTCTGGGTACTGCCAAGATCATATTATCTAGGTATCTTGGTGATATAAAATTTAAACCCAAAGTTTTCTTTTTTTTTCTTTTTTAAGGGCTAATAATATAGTAGAAGGGGAGAAGGGCCAATCAAGAAATAAGTTTATTGGTGCTTTTTATCGAGAAAACTGAGCATGATGACGGAAACTAATCTAACGTACGTCACAAGCAAACGGGTCATACAAGCGAGCAGATCAATGTAAATCACATACAAAATAGACCTTTTTTAAATCTTAATATCTCCCAATTGTTATATTATAACTGACCCTAAAATTTAATATACAAATAAAATATAATCTAGAAATATATATTCTATAGTTCTTAAATTTCTAAAATAAATTATTTATAAAAATAGTTAGATTGTTTAAAAAATACATAAAATTATATTCTATTCTTTAAAAGCTTTCTTATTTTTATTTTCAGCTAGTGAAAATTATTATATTATTATTTTATAAGTAATGAATTAAATAATTAATTTTAGTGGTTGATTATAATATAAAAATTAGAAGATATTAGAATCTGAAAGAAGGCTATTTTGTATGTGATTTGCATCGATCCGCTCGCTTGTATGACCCGTTCGTTTGTGACATATGTTACAAGAGCTTTCTGGTGTGTTGTCATTGTGCGCAAACGCTCAAATCACATGACCTCTCCAGCTGCTGCCTGAGCAGTTAGGCATTAGACCCGATATCAATCCAGACCGTCATAGAAGGTCTCTATTAAGACAACACTTAAGAAATGTGGCTCGCTCAACTTTAATTACCGTCGCTGGGGCTACTTGGGGAGCTCATAGTGCACATGTGTGCACATGTAGAATAACCCTTGTTCCAATTTGCTTTCCTATTTTTACAAAGCAAAAGTGAGCAAACTATTTTGTAAAGCTTGGAAGTAGATACATTGAAATTCTTGAAAATTTGCTCATCCAGACAGAGAACATGAATTAGGGCTCGTAGGGACCACAGTAACTACCATATTTCTCTCTTTTAAAGCAAAACCATATAGCTACACCTTCTAGGTATAATTATATGTATCGAACGAAAATATTAACAAACGCTTGGTCCAAAACTTCAAATTCTGCCAGGTCTTCTTTAAGCTATAAAATTACAAGTAGTCAATTATACGTTTTACTTTATTTTGTTTCTGAGAGGAAAAGTTTTCTATTATAAATAGAGAATTCAATTACCTCTCAATAAAACGATAGACCATAGCCTTACCTTAACATAGTGACTGTTTCCAGTCTTGTGAATTAAAAAAATGCAAATGACACGTAAAGCTGATATATGAGATCTGCAGACTAATGCCTGAAGATAGCTAAAAGGCCAATACATATGCAATACTCCTAGGACCACATTTCTATAAGCCACAAACATTAATAATCTTCATATCAGGGATTTGCATCTCCACCAACCGGGAATAATGCAAAGACGGTAATATCCTATCCAATGAGCACGCAGTTAGGCTTAACGGAGTTAGACGGCTTGACAACTCACCTAGCGATGCAAACACTAGTGCTATATAGTAGCACATTGCAGATTAACTTTGAATCCGATCTTTTTTCATGCTGTCAGGAATTCAAAAATGGATATACTACATATAATTATGTACGAGGTTCCCCCCCCTTCTCTCTTTTGCAGCATTTCCCCGAGAAAGTCCGTAAGATAGCGCCGCAATTATTCGAGAGGATCGGCGGGCTGTAAGTCTTTTGTTAAGCAAGAAATTCAATTTATAACCTCTCTTTGAAGAGATACATAGAAAATTCTTTGATTTTTCGTTGTCTTGATTTGTCATGGGCATAACCTGACTTTTTCACACAGGCGCTAATGAACACTTCGATAATCATATTGTAGATGTATTCAAAAACAGTAACCAAAATTATCGATTTCTATATATTTTTAGCCACATAAACAACACACAATATCAGGTGGTGAATCTAGATATGCGTTCTATATATATAAATATATTTATTTATTAGATAGTCCATAGGTATTGATAGCCAGATTGATAAGGAACGTGTTATGGAGATGTCAATAGCAGTCAAGTACAAATAAACCAATCTAGACATTAGGTTGACGTCAACTGGTATGTAGTAAACATAAAGGATCCATTGTGCAATACCCCCTTTTCTAAGTTTTGATATACGGGGATCTAGCATTAATTCCAACTTTGCCACGATTCAGAATTATAATTACCCATGGCTATCGTCCCAGATCTAAGTATGATTCATTTACGCTATAAAATTGTAGAATTTGTAACGTTATCATAGATGTCACCAGTATGCTCGCATATCCTTGACAGTACACCAAAAGAGGGGGGTTCTATAGCTAATTTCTGGCACATATCATATATATATGTAGCAAAGAGTGTTGCCTTGGTTGTCTATAAGGTAGACTGCGAAAGAAGTTAAATACATCAATTGATTGTTCAATAATATTCATATCTCAGTTCCTTCGCACCAGTTGACCTTAGTAATATTACTGACACTGATCAACTCCTTTGAATTATAAACAGAGTCGCCCTCTGTTCTATATAGTTTATGTATCAAGACCAGAGGATACGAAAATGTCCACGATATAGTAAGGGTGAAGGGTATTTGTAAAGCTATCTTTTCAGTGCCTATTGCCCAAACGTAGTCTTACATCGGCCTCTACATTGCCTGGTTATGCATACTCGGGAGGACAGCGCAAAGCCGCGACAACACAGGCGAACATGCATCGATTAAGCAGGCCATCACCAGACTTAGACTGAATAAAAAATTGTACTGCGTTAACGACAAGCACTGAACCAAAACACAAATCAGCAAATGAACAAGCATGATGCCTGAAACCTGACCCTGCACACTCGGTGGCTCGGCTGGAAACGATGATTGATGATTGGTGAGGTCCTAGCCTGCGTCGACTGATGTAACTCTACTAAGAGAAAATACCTCGTGGTCAGTGTGTTAGTGAGCTAAAATAGTCACAGAAAACCCCACGAAGCCTCGAGCGAGAACACAGATGCAGAATCAGCAGCAGTGATAGGCCGGCTGCCTGTTCTGCTTTTGTGATGCCGAGGGGCTGATGAGCAAGGGTCATAAACTCTAAGGGCTGCACAGAGACTGGATAGACCAAAAATCAATTGGTCGGCCTCCCAGCAGTTAATATTATTAGCACCAATGAGTGCAGATCAAGGCCCCGTGCATGATCGCCATGGTTTAGACGCCGGAAGAGCACTAAAAGCGCGTCAAATACTCGTAAGCAAAGCCCTAATGCCAGATCCAATGATTAATCCTCCGTGCCGAATGTCAATACAGCACAGCGCATCCAGCTGAGCCACGCGACTCCTTCGGCCGAGCTAAGAATAGCAATTATGTCTTATTATGCTGTATAGACCATGAACTGGGTGTTTTGTGTTTTGTGTTTCGTGTTTTGTATAGTGTTTCAAGAAACAAAACAGCTGACAAGGCTGAAACCGAACGACTACGCTATTTCAGAGCGCTGGATGTGCTTTTTATTTGATTTAGCGACTGTAATTTTAATGATCCTTGCTTTGGAAAATGCATCTACTAATGGGGTCTCTCACAAGCGTCCTAGCTTTGGATCAACCCGGGGAGTTTCTGAGACCTGGCTTCCCGACCTCCCCGCCCCCAGTCCCGATGATCGATGTCGTGTCAGGATATTATTCTGGGCCAGGCCACGAGGCTCAGTCTAGGACCGGAACTAAGCTTGGAGGACGGAGTTGTAGTTTGATACGCAATATTAAAAGCTATGATACTCTGTATTAGCTTGGGCTCACATGAAATGAACCTGGTGGCACTCGAGCCCTTAGTCACAGCGTTGACGTGCGTCTGCAGGTCTCTCCTTACGGCTTATGCTTATCAGGAATAAGTCTAATAATCATGTGGACCGTGAGAAAAAACAGGGTTTTCGGGAAGTTTAATTATATTAATGATGGAAAGAAAAAAAGAAAAAAGAGTGTTTAGCGCCAACATTTTAATAAAGCGAGCATTGGCCATGAGGGCTCGACGTGGGGATGATGGGCGCCAGCGCCTCCTGAAATTAATACCGAGTCGCCGATGATGAGGATCCCAGTTGCACTGATAAAAATAATCATCCAGTAATATGATGAATAGTAATACTGCCAGGCCTGGGAGAAATGCGTACGTAATCAGTTTAATTGCACGCCCTGGCCGAAATTTTGCCGAAAATCGTGGCAGTAACCAAGCATAGCGTTTAGGGGGACAGAACTATTAGTTGTACTGACAGTGTAGAGCCCAACGCAAGCTTAAGCCTTAAGCCTCGTTGGCGTGGTGAAATGTGCTCAGGCGCCAGGCATTTGGGGTGCTGCAATTGATTTGCATTTATTCAGCGAGAAGAGTGATGGGGGAAATGTGCCTGCAGATGTGCAGAAAGTGTGGGGTAGCGTGAGGCTTTGATTGAAGAGAAATGAGATCACGGCGCTGATATTGCCGCCGTGATAGATATTCGTTCATAGAATGATTCGATATGAAGTAATATAGAAACAGGTGTAAATCTTTAGTCTTTCCACGTCTATAGCGTTTGAATTTCAATTCTTCGATGCCCAGATAGAATCATCGTCTATGCATGTTAAACGCCATTGTTAAAAAAAGGAAAAAAGAAAAAAAAAAGAATATTTGCACTGGCTAAACATGTTGGAGAATTTCTGCTTATACATCCATTCTAGGAAATATTGACTCGAAATTCAGCTGGAAGACAAACGCAAGAAAGGCGTAAGAAGAAGAGCGCTCGTGATGCATAAATCGATCTGAATGCTGTAATCCTAACTATGATAATGCAAAAAATCCACACAAAGAAGTAAAGCTGAGTTTGGCGCCTCTCTATCATATCAAGTCCGGCGTTGAACCTGTTTGAATTTGTCGCTATTCTCGGCGGATGGTGACCTGCGCTTCCGTCTTGAACAGCCGGTTTTATTGTGTCTGAGGATATACATTAGCAGCGGTCTTTGCATTCTCGAAACAGAATACTCACCGGTGTAGAGTGTCCATCCGACTATAAGCTCGACCACATCGTTCGCATGAAAACCTTTTCTCTCCATCATGAACCTTCTCAAGTTTATCAGTATAAAAGTATCAATCATTCAGGAACAAAATTTGCTTACCGTAGAATAATGCCGTTTCAAATCCGTCTTCCGCCCAAAAGTCTTTCCACAGTCCTTGCAGGAAACAATTGTCCTCTGTTTCGGATCATGTCGCCTGGTGTGTTCTCGACAATTTGCGCGTCTGGTGAATTTTCTACCGCAGATTTCACACAACAGCCCTAGTTCTAAAGTTTCAGTTAGCTCTGTCTTTCACTCCCGTTCATATTCTGCATACCTAGAGAAAGAGAATCTAAAGATGGGGATCTTTCAACGGACCCTCGGTGACAGGTTTCAGGCTCCGAAACATCTGCTGATGGGGATCGCCCATCTTGTTCGTGGCTTTCGCCCCCAATTCCCAAGTCGCCGAGTCTCTGGTCAACTGCCAACGAACGATGAGACAGTGTTGTCCCCGAGGGCGAAAGCGACTGTTCCCACGTGGGGCTGTGAGTGTGTGGTTCCTGCTTCGGATATCGCACAGGGGTACTAATTTGCGATTGCGGAGTGATAGGCCACACTGTAGCTTCGTGGTATACCGGACTTTGACTATTCCTCGTGTTCATATTCGCGTTGTAGTAGACTGGAGCAGTATGGTCGCGAGGCAACTCTGAGTAGCGCATCATAGACTGACTGACGACTGGATCGCCTGGGTATTGTTGGCGGAAGTACGGATGGGGACCGTAGTCTGGCGCTCCAATAGTCGGATTGAAGCATGCTGATGTGCCAATGATGGGCTGGGCCGCCCAGTCATGCATGGGTAGAGACTGAGTCACCGGAAGACAGGCAACGTCCGGCACGATGCCTAGGCCAATCGTCGTCGGAGGGGAGTAGTCTTGAGGCTCCATCTTAACTGACACCGAGGTTGACGAGCGGAGGTATGAGTCATTGAGACCAAAAGGGTGTTCCGAAGAAGGTCGTCGATTTGGACTTGCGGTGGCAGATTGCTTAGGTTGCATGGTGTTGAGTGAGGAAGCGTATGCTTCAACTGGACAAAGACAAAGTCGCGTGAGACAGATGATGCTTCAGAGCAGGTTGTAGACGGTGTAGACGGTAACGAGAGGAATGCGCTGCTGAAGCACTCGAAAAACTGGGATCAGCTATGTGGGTGACAGCGATGGTGAAGATGGGAAGAAGGCCTGTATATATAAATGCAAGGTGGGTCAACGAGATTGCCAGTAACGGGCGTCCGAGAGAAGTGCCTGAGAACGAGAGTGTAGGGCAGCACAGCGCTTGCCATGGAATTAATAGGTGATGACGCTTCCAAGACAACCTGACTGGGGGTCATGCTTCCCTTTGGGGTACCTTGTCCAGAGAGGGAAGTAAGTCAAAACATGATCGAGCCAGTGTCCGCAAGGCAGACTTCTGCAAGACGAGCGTCTACCAGGTCGGGCGAGAGTCCGGCGTCGATCAGATAGGCGCGACGACAGGTACCTCCGGCGGGCTGCAGGTGTGGATGGAAGCAGAGCGAGGTGGCAAGCAGGGGCGAATCACCGGTCATTTGGGGGATTATCCAATAAGAAATCTTAACGGGGGGCAGGGCTTGGGGAGGGGCAAGTGCAGAACGGTGTAATTCTTGTCGGTGGTGAGCAAAAAGGCAGCGCGAGCGTGGGATTGAAGATATGCGCAGGGCCAGGCAGCGCAGGCAGCTCGCAGCAGTGCAGGAGGTGCAGGAGTGCAGGGCAACGCAGAGGGGAAAAGCCTGCATGACGAGCGGCGGCCGGGAAGCACGCTGGGCCATTGCAGCGAGTGCTTTTTCGTCCTTCATTTTTGGGACTGCTTGAAGCAGTTTAGGCCGGACCCGACAGTCTGGATAGACTAGCTAAACGAGGCGGCTGTGTGTGTCTGATGCTGCAACGTGAAAGGCCGCCGTCGCAGCAAACTGCCCGCAAACAGGCATCACCAGCCAGTGGCCGTCGTGCGTTGCTGGCCGGTGCAGCAGTAGGCCAGAGGGATCGTCTGCGTGGGTGGTGTGTCGCTGCCAGCGTTGTGTGAGCGTGGCCTGCCAGTGTGATATCCTGCCAGTGCCAGCCTAGTCGCAGCCACTGCCCCCAAACGGGTGCTATTTTTTTCATCCTTTTTCCCACCGAGTATCTCCAGAAAAGAGAAGCGGCGGATGAACAAGCAGCTGAGAGTGCTGAAGAATGATGGTCGAGGATGAAGATCTACAAATGTGCGCTGGAGCGAGCGACTGTCTGGCGATGGAGGATGGATGTATCGACGTTGTCCCCGGAATTAACCCAACCCCAAGTCCTCGCAGAACGGGCACGCCGTGGAAATGGCGCCCCCCCTTTTCTTCGCCTCTTTTCTGCGCGCGCCCAGCCATTGCATTCACTTTGCGACAGTACAGAAGCAGAGAATGCTGGCGTCCAAGCCCTAATCGAGGACGGCCGCGAGATGTCAGAATCGGCAGGCGCGGCCAGCTCCCGCTCCGATCCGCCGTGGCAATTGGCGCCTCGGCCGTCGCTGAACGGCTGTCAACCACTCGTTGCAGCGGGTAGCTCCCGCAGTTGCGCCGCGCCAGGCACCCCTCCTTCTCTCCACCCCCTGGCAGTAATGGCCATAGTAGCTATGATAATACAGCAGTATTATACGACGTGCGTGATTGTTACTAGTAATTAGTACAATAATACCTCAGTCTCCAATCGTCAATCGTGTCTGAACCAGGGCCTTGGCCTTGGAATGCGCATCATATGACATATATAATCTACAATCTATAACATTAATCTATCGCTGACTGGTACACGTCTGTACTCTGAAGTGCGGACTTGGCTTTCTGCCGAGCCCTCCGCAGGTAAATATTAATTAATATTAAAAATCCGGGCTTCTCCAGTGTGACAGTGCCATGTCCACCTCCTGATCAAGTCCAAGCTCTCTGCCGGTGCCAGCGCTGACCCACAATAAGCCCTTCGGAACGGTCCTCAACGGAGTCAGCGCCGTCGTCACGCTTCGTCCCTAGCATCCAATGACCGCGTCGACGGCTGCCGGGGAACTGTGGCCCGACTTGCCAGAGTGCGTCCTGGCCGCGATTCTCGCCAGATGGATGATAGCGTAGCCGACGAAGGAGGGGTTTGAAATGTCTGTCGAGATCTCCGTCGTCTAGCTTCATACGCTAGGATGATCATCACAAATGGGAGATGTGTAACTTTCAACAGCACGATGCGGAGTCGCCGCAATGCCTCTGACGAAAGGATCAGTCGTAACGGTCGCAGGCACAGCAGCGGAATTAAATTCTAGACCAACAGCATCGTGTTTAGCACCATCAAACCCTGGCGCATGTCAAGGGCGTAACTAGGCAACTCACTAGGGGAGGCAGAAAATACGTTAACCGGCGAGAACTGCTGCTCTCGAGTACATAAATCGAAAGCCTAATTATGCATATATCAGCTCGACCGAACGGTACGTATTACTGAGGGCACTGACTGGAAGAGATACTCTTCCCGCGCATGTGCCATCACCTGTGTTTATTTGCGCGCCGTGATTAGCCACACCCCTTGTCCCGCACACCCGCCCTGACGTAAGGAGGAGATTGCAACAAACTTACTCCTTCCAAGCTCAGACTCATCAAGCTGATCAGCGACGAAATCAAAAGGATATTCGTCATGCAGACGAAAATTATCCTAGTGGCATGGAATCATAATGGTCAGTTGGCTAGATCTTTTCAGCGCGGCGCTTGTTTGCTCACAAGGCAAAGCTGGCGCTTCGCCTTGTACTATGATAGAAGATAGCAATATCGAATAGAAAAATTATAGTCCGATCAACGTGACTCACCGCAAATGCGGCTTTGGGTTTGTATAGAGTGGGTGCCATATGGAATCGAAACACTCAGCGCTGATCTATGAAATCAACACTCACATAAGAACATAGCCAAAGACCGGGGAGATCTAAAATAGCGCGTCAAAAAAGCGTGCACTGTCAGCCAACCGATTCTAGAAAAACAGAACAACAGCCACACTTACATCTTGCGCGATGTCCTGAGAGCCAATCAATTCAGCCACACCATACAAAAACAATAAATCGGCCAACCGGGCAGTGACATACAAAACCAAGCGTTGCAGACCTGTTTTCATCATTAGCCGCTCCCTGGAAAATCGATAGGACCTGTCGGTGTGCCCTACCCAAAGAACACCTTGACAAGGATCCAAGACATTTCACTAAGAGTCAACCGATCACGAGCTAGCATGGTAAACGTTGTCAGGAACCCTTGGCAATCAGAATTAGCCAATGCCTACGCCACACAGAAGCAACTACCACTCACCAAGATATAACACTATGACAACCGGCATGAACTTTAGAAAGGCCTTAGTCATTTCTTTTAAGACTAGGATCTGAGGTAAACCATGTTAGTAGGTTTCTAGAACAAAACAACGAGGCTGTGCTGCCTAAAATAGACACATACTAGATTCCCAAAATAGGCATTCAAGCTAACGAGAGAGCAAATCCTATTTTCACCGCATCAATATCACGCAAGTAGCATGCCATACAATGGCAATGAGCGGTCACTATTGAACACACCTAGGGACTAAAAACAATGCCTCTAGTGATAGTATGTCGAAAGAAAGCTCGATGATGTAACCGCTCTCTTTGGCTAGGCCAACAATACCTGAAACAATCATTCAGACACGACCCACAGACCAAGGACGCCTTAAGAGGAGTTTGGATTCTATTCAAGGGGGGTGGTGGCAGTTCAGCTAAGGCAGAATTCGACCAAAATGACTCACGGCAGACCAAGAAAGCGATGCCCACGCCAATGATCCCCAGGTTCCAGAGGCTCCAAAACTCCAGCTGGTAAAAGAGCATTCCCGCATCCAAAATGCCGCTTAACTCGTCGTAGGCAAACGCTGTGATCCAGATGTACATGAGGATTTCCACTGTATTGATTGCACTGGGATTCCGCTGTGCTAAAACCGCGTAGTATATAGTAAGGAACGAAATGAAAAACACTGCTTCGAAAGTTTTGCGATACACTGGGATACGAAGCCGGCAATAAGGATCGATGTGTCTGACAGGAGAGGTAAGATACCTGAGTCTTTCACGGAGCCATTCCGCTTACCTTTTCCTAGAAACATGGGGCGTTTTCTTTGCATGCACATTCAGGCTATCCCAGAAAACAATCTCGCCGCGCCATATATCATCAATAATTCTTTGCACAACTTTCTGGCTAAGAAACTTCTTAGCAAGGACAATTCCCGCGATCTCCAACGCGTTGAGACCATGGAACGCTAACTGGTTGTTGTCTATGCCAGGTTCGTTAAAGGTGTTTCCAGTGTTGAGTGGTCTTCTAGAATCGAATACGCTATACACAGATGAAGCTGAGTTTGCCAACAGAGGAGTCCTCTCGTGTGAAAGTTGGGACCCTTCTCTGGTAGTAGGCAGGGATCCTTGCTCAGGATCCTCAGTGGTCACGGACGGCCGTCTTGAGTCAGAAAGATCCTGCAAAAGAAACTCTATAATTTCTCGGTGATTTAATGAAGTCAAAAATTGCCAGGCAACATATTCACAGGCAAGACCACGACTCTCATTGAGGCCGATTTCATCGTCCGGAAGGTTGTCAAAATGCCATTTCAAAACCCTGGGATGTCAGAGCCAACAAATATTCATTGGGAAGCCCTCGTATAAGACTTACATAAGAGCACAGATCAAAGTCGGGTTATGAACGTTATCAGACAGGTGCTTTATTAGTGGCCGTAATCTGTGACCAACTACCGATAACCTCATATCATCGAATGAACAAGGAACATCTGGAATTGCGGTTATGATGTACCTGTGTTTGCTTAGATCATGCGCCACAATCAATGCCTGTCAGACTTACTGGGAGATCTTCCTAGCTACATCCTGCATAGAGTCTGCATCATCAATTGCAGGCAATTCAAGTTCGTTCTCATCTAGCATGTGAGAGGAGAACGATCGAGAGAGTCTAGCCACCATGATCGCAATTCAGGATCAGTGTAGACTTTGCTATCGATCGCGCTAGATAAAAATTAGCAGGGGAGTCGACCTGCTGGTGTCGAATGAAAGGAGGAATACGTATCTAAGAGAATATATTAGAATCAACGGATTACAAATGTAACGAAGCCGCTAGGCCATGGGTTTAAATCAAATTGAAATGCTGTGCAAAATAGAGATTCTATACTGACTGGAGATGTCTCGGCAGGAAGAAGCGAATCACTCAGCTTGCCTTTGCGAGTGCCAAATTGGCGTACAAAATGCTGTTGCCCGACGATCTAGAGTCGAAACTGTATCGCATCCAGAATTATCGCATGTGCAGAAGGGTATAAATTAGAGAAATTGACCTCCAGGTTCCATCGCTGGGGAGATGCGCGGATGAAAGCGACCAGGAGGGCCGTTTGGCTGTTGTCTCATAGTTCGGCCACGAGGGCGGCACGGGCCAATGGGGCGGCGGACTGGCTGCTTACTAACGAGACGTTGGAGCGTGACGTCTTGCCGCAGTCCCACCACAACAGACTAACAGTCCATCGATATCATCAATCATCGGGATGCCCTTGCTGGTTGATCCGGCATGCCATCACTTTCTACAGCTGCTCTCGCCAACACGACTAGTCTTTGCACCCTGGCTGCATGCTATGGAGTCAGGCCAGCCGTCATGAACTAGTCCAGCCACTCCTGCATCTCGCGCCCAATTTTCTGTGGAAAGTCACCATCGTACTTGCGCCGAGATGGGTCAGGGCTATTCTTTGACCTCCCTGTCCGCAGGGTCGGCCGGTATCGACGTGCCCGAGCTATCGGATCTACTGTATGAAAAGTCCCTGGGTTCAGCAAGGTTTATGAAAAGCATCAGAGCTCGCCAGCAGAATGGCTTAGCTTTTGTCAAAGTTATCATGAAACCGTACCCAAGCTTACAGCTGGACCCCTACGTTAAAGCAATAACCCGTAGGAACCATTCTCTGGGATTTGCTTATTATCCTCTAACACTTCTTCCCAGGTGAAAGAGAGCTGCTCGCCAGTGTCCCTAATGCGTTACCTTACCAGCGCATCTTGGAGACTAGTACTAGTGGATATTTGGTTCGCCAATACATCTACAGCTCTCTGTACGACAGATTGAGGTAATTGGGCTACACAAACTCCTTGGGGTTTTCTAGACTCTACATTTAGGCTAACGATTACAGCACGCGCCCCTTCTTAGAGCACATTGAAAAAAAATGGATCGCTTTTCAACTTCTGTGTGCGCTTCGCGACTGTCACTCTCAAGATATCTTTCATGGAGATATTAAGACTGAAAATGTTCTAGTTACTTCGTGGAACTGGCTGTACCTATCTGATTTTTCATCTTCATTTAAGCCAACCTTTCTCCCAGAAGACAATCCAGCGGACTTCTCTTTCTATTTTGATACATCTGGTCGACGAACCTGTTATCTTGCTCCGGAAAGGTTTCTAGAGGCAGGGGAAGAGCCGGAAGGAAGACAAGTTAACTGGGCAATGGACATTTTCAGCGCAGGATGTGTCATTGCAGAGCTCTTTCTTGAAGCGCCTATTTTCACACTCAGTCAGTTCTACAAGTACCGCAAAGGAGAATATAGTCCTGAGCATAGCCATCTATCGAAAATAGAAGATCGAGATGTTAGGGAGTTGATTCTTCATATGATTCAGATTGACCCTGAGTCGAGATATTCAGCCGAAGAATACCTCAATTTCTGGAGACACAAGACTTTTCCAGAATATTTTTACAGTTTTCTTCATCAGTATATGTCTCTCATTACTGAACCAACTTCAGGAAAGACACATGTCGATGCAGAGACTGGCAATACAGGCGAGCCCGATGATCGAATAGACCGCGTTTACCTAGACTTTGACAAAATATCTTATTTCCTAGGCTCTAGCCCCAAACTATCCGATGATGGGTCGAAAATGGTTACCACAAAACTCACCAGCCAGGTCCTCCCGGTTCATTTAGACCTCCCCGCTGCTCAGCATGCATCCTCAAAATCAGAGCCACAAGAGGGTGCTCTCATTTTTCTTACTGTCGTTGTGTCAAATTTAAGGAATACGGCAAAATCTTCCGCCAAAGTGAAGGCTTGCGACTTGCTTTTGGCATTTGCTGAACGGCTTCCTGACGAGTCTAAACTGGATCGCATTCTGCCATACGTGATGACCTTACTCAATGATCGATCTGATGCTGTCAGAGTGGCAGCAATACGCACCCTCGCCCAACTTCTTTCCATGGTCAAAGTCGTCTCTCCAGTGAACGCCTATATATTCCCAGAGTATATATTCCCCAGACTTTACCCCTTGACTGGAGATACGACAAACAACACTAGTCCTATGGTCCGTGCTGCATATGCTTCTTGCATTGCCTCACTTTCGCAATCATCTTTGAGGTTTTTAGATATGATTCAAGCACTTAGGACAGACACGCGGCTACGATCTGTCATTCCTGCTGGCTCTGAAGCTGACTGGACTGAGGATGCTAGCTTTCATAACCTTTATGATGTCGGGAAAATTGACCTTTTGGAGTTCTTTGAAACCCATACCAAGTCTCTTCTTACTGACAGCGATCCATCTGTACGTCGCGCTTTCCTTGGATCGGTTCCGAGTCTTTGTGTTTTTTTCGGAAATGCGAAAACAAATGAGGTAATTTTGAGCCATTTGAACACTTATTTAAACGACAAGGATTGGATACTCAAGTGTGCATTCTTCGAGGCGCTTGTTGGTGTTGCAGCTTATGTCGGAAGTGTAAGCCTTGAAGAGTTTATTCTTCCTTTAATGGTACCATCGATGACGGATGCGGAGGACTTCGTCGTCGAGAGAGTTATTCGTTCCATGACAGCAATGGCTGATCTAGGCCTATTCCAAAGGTCAACCACATGGGAGCTGCTTCACATTGTCGTCCGATTTTTTCCTCATCCCAATGGATGGATTCGAGAGGCGGCGATACACTTTGTGGTAACATGCTCAAAGTTTCTATCCTTTGCAGACAAACATTCCATTCTCACACCGCTTGTACGACCATTTTTGAAGACGAACATCATCGCGATAACAGAATGTGAAATTCTTGACGCACTCAAGCGTCCACTACCAAAGGCCGTGTACGATATGGCTCTTGTCTGGGCGCAGAAGTCTGAGAAAGGGGCATTTTGGAAGGCTGCAAACCGAGACAGCGTTTTCAGTTTAAATGTTAATGATGTCCTCGTTGGCCGCGGTTTTCCCAGGCAGGTATCTCTCTCTGGACAGCCTAAAAACGAAGAAGACGAACAGTGGATTTCGAGGCTAAGAAGCCTCGGTATGACTCAAGAGGACGAATTCAAGCTCTTTGTTCTTCGGGAATATGTTTGGAGAGTGGGTATGAGGTCAAGCCGAAGCTCCGATGTGGCGGAAACGTCTAATTTGAATAATCTCATAACATTGGCTCAGTCTGGGGTTACACCACAGACTGTTTTCTTCGACAAAAACCAAGGCATCAAGCAACGAAGGCTGTCAACGGACTATGAACCCACACAGGGACACAAGGGTACAAAAACTCACACAATAGCAGACGCACTACTAGATGCGTCTACAACTATTAATTCTCAGGCAGCAGCTCCCCAAAGACACCATCGATCAAGTGCTACCGCTGTAGAGGCCATAAAAAATGGCCCACAAAGCCCCTCGACCTCACCTTCGCCAGCCCCCCAATCGGCCTCTCAGGAGTCTTCCGCCCCAAGTTCGGACATCGATCAGGGGGCAACTGCAAAATTTCAAGATGCCGACAAGAATTTCGACCGGGGTAGCATAGCAACAGCAACAAACCCGGGAAATCTAACCCCAACGGGTTCACTCAACCGAATTGAAAGAAAATCAAGTGCTATAAATCTTCTGAACCGCAAAGACAGTGGCAAAACTTACGCCGAAACAAGTATGAATTCGATGAATGCATTCGGCAAAGTAGATGTCCATTCTCAACGCAAGACCTCGCCATCTCCTTTAGGAATGGCAAAAGAGAATGCAGTTCAGCAAACAGTCCCCCAACAATACCATGCCGGACATTCCTATAGCGGTAATGATCCGGTGATCCTGAAGCTTCTAGACAATGTTTTCGCTGAAAATTATCCTACTGATCTCTTCGATCTTGGTCCGTTTGTGAAAGAAGTAGATCCCCGCCGCCCAATCAAGAGAGCTAGTGGTGAGAATACGGATAAACCTTGGCGGCCTGAAGGCGTGCTCGTTGCTATGTTCGGAGAGCATACAGCGCCAGTTAACCGGGTAGTAGCTGCACCCGACCACTCCTTTTTTGCTACAGCCTCAGATGATGGTACTGTCAAAGTATGGGATACTACCAGACTGGAGAAGAACTTAACGCCCAGATCACGCCAGACATACCGCCATGCCCCTGGCACGAAGGTAAAATGTCTTACATTTGTGGAAAACACGTACACATTTATTAGCGGGGCTACCGATGGAAGCATTCAGGCAGTTAAGATTGACTATCACAAAGTAAATGAAACAGTGCGCTACGGCAAATTACAAGTTGTTCGTCAATACCAGCTGCCAACAGGAAATGATGGTGCCGTTGAATACGCCACTTGGGTGGAGCACTTTCGCTCGGAGGCCCAGTCGACGTTACTCATTGCCACCAATACTTGTCGTATCATAGCTCTTGATATGAAGACGATGCTTCCGATCTATTCATTGCTAAATCCAGTTCATCACGGGACGCCTACAGTGTTTTGCTACGATCGTAAACGTAGTTGGCTTTTGGTTGGGACTTCACATGGTATTTTGGACCTCTGGGATCTTCGATTTCGAGTCAGGTTGAAAGCTTGGGGTCTTCCAGGTGGAACAGCAATCCATCGACTTCAGATTCACCCAACCAAAGGCCGCGGTCGATGGGTGTGCGTTGCGGGAGGAAGTGGAAATGGGGGTGAAGTCACAGTTTGGGATATTGAAAAAGTCCAGTGCCGAGAGGTATACCGAGCAGCATCCCCATCAGTCGCGGTCGGCAACCAGTCTTCACCGAATGGAAATTCTTCAAGCCATCGGACATCGGTTGTAAACAACTTAGTTGCGATGAATACGGTTACTAAAAGCTATGAACCTTGGCGAGTGGATGAAGACCGGCCGGAAGGAATGCTTAGTCGGTTCGCGAGTACGTCGTCAACTGGCATCGAACCCAACACAAATTTGTCGCCAACTTCACCCGGGATCGGAGACCGGAATGGCATTTGTGCTCTCAATGTTGGATTCGATATGCCAGCGGATGGTAAAGAGAGTACTAAATGTGGATTTGCGATATCGGCAGGGTCGGACCGTAAAATTCGATTTTGGGACCTTGCTCGGCCGGAGCTCTCAAGTATACTGAGTGGTTTTGACGCAGCATCTGATGCAGGAATTGCTGCAACTCCCCGATACGAGAGCGTTCAACCAGCACCTAGCCTCACCGTCACAACGGAGCACATGCCCAATGTTCCTGGATCTAGCAGTCGAAGTGGTGGTAGCGGTAAAAAAGGTAGCACCAGTGCTTCAAGACCACCTCGAAGCACTGTCATTAGCCTACAGCAGCAGCAACTCCTCAAAAGCCATTTGGACTCTATATTAGACGTGGCTATCCTCCGGGTACCGTATGGAATGACCGTCAGTGTGGATCGGGCGGGAATGGTCTACGTGTTTCAGTAACAGCAATAACAATTCTCTTTGATGTCTCCAGAATCTAGAGTCAGTGGATGGAGCCAAAGGAGTGCTAATTCTGTTGAAAGCGGGTAGATTAAGTGAATAGTATTATTCGATATTAGATGACCTAACTATATTTTGTCTTAGAGATACCTCATTTCAGATGATATTTGAGACTAGCTAGATATTCAAATTTTATTTTTAGTCCAGTATTTTAGATGTAAATACGATCTAAGTCAGATTCTTATATAACGACGACGCTTCAACCTCTCTGACCCAAAGCTTCCAGGGCTTATCTTGAGTCCCCTCATTCATTTTCCGGCAACCCTCCGATTCTATGCCGTTCAAATACGGAAGGTCCTGCTGATCAAATGCAGCCTGTGATCCAAAATAAGCTTTATGAAGCATGACTGCATTTGTCTGAACGCCCGCGTTTGTCTTGGTGTAGAGGGCCCGATAGACTGCCTCTGGAACATTCTTCCCTAGTGTAGTAAAGCCATGCCGTTTCATGAGCACGACGGTGTGATCAGGAGACTTATTGTTTGGGGATAAGGAGTTATTGGTCTCCGTGAATAGATTGGCAAGTTCGGAGCCGAATTTAACTGTGTTGACCAGCATATCTTGCTGGTCGCCATCCTGGTAGAACTTTGTAATGTCATAGATGGGGACATGCTGGCCTGGCATCTGATCAGAATCTGATATTATTTGACAGAGACAAAAAGAAGGAGAAAAAAAAAACCTAAAAACCCAGCCATGTGAAAAGCTGGACGCAGGGCTACACCATTCATGGTATACGGTAGCACTTGCTCAGCATGGCTATGGACAACGCAATTGATTTCCGGGTACCTTTTGAAAACTTCGCCATGGATAAAACGCTCTTGGTAGCCTTTTTTACTGTCCGGATTTACCGGAGAACTGTCATGGATGTAATACTCGATTAAATCATCCGGAGACTCGACTAGGGCTGGCGCGAGATATCCAGACATAATGTAAACATCCGGTTTCTCAGGGTGGCGAATCGAAACGTGTCCGTATGCGTCGACTGCATCATGGTAGTGAAGTATGTGGTTTGCGTACACCAGTTCGCGAAGAGCCTAGGAGTTTTTAGCAATCATGAATGTAGATTGTGACGACTGTACTATGTTATACCTCTCTAAGGGTGTTTGACGACATGGTTTTCTTTAAATCTAGAATGTTCGTAGACTACGGATATTTGATGAGTCTTGGAAATTATTTTATTTGAGACCAGCCGTTCGAATTTAAAATCATTCGAGGTGCACGGAATGCCACACCACGCTTGTGCAGAGAAACCCGGATTTGCTTCCGTATGGACCCCGTGTCACACTCCGAACTTGAAATTTCAAGCGGGGTAATAATTAAACAATTATTACTACTAGTAGTTCGAGTAGGTATGGAATGATAATTTTAATGCTTTAAGGCCACTGATAGACTTTAATAGGCTGATACAGGAATTTCAGTATTTCATTTACATATGTAGATGTTGCGTGCTTTATTTTATACTCAAATTGAAGGTGAACAAATTGAGAAGGAATAGGTTTCTGGGGATCATACTATTACATTTGAAGCACCCATCAATAGGTATTCCATGAGTATGATTCTAGATCAAATGGTGTAGAGTCTAGCCATGCCATATCCATTATATCAAAAGTTGTCCCCAGATCACCGAGATCCTGAATTTCTGGTGCATCATTTGGTCTCAACTGCTGAGTAGAATTCACATCTAACCATGGATCAAGTCTGGACGATTTGGTTGGCTCCGTGGCTTCTTCATTTTGTGCCTGGATTCCCCCGACAACTTTCTCATGAAGGACTTCCAAAGTGACGAGGCATCTTTTAGCGGAACGGCTGTACTCTTGGTACGCACGTAATGTCTCGAGAGCACAGTTCCAGGATTGGGTTAAAAGGCTTTCATCGATATCAGTAGCGACAGATGGGTATAGACGGGTAGCTGTCATAACAGTGGCAGCAGTGTAGATATCTAATAATATATGAGCTGAATCCTTGCAATAGTTGCTGGAAATGACTTATCAAACATACAGAACACGTTATACCACCAAGCTGGAAGCGGTCCCATAGAGCCATCTTGCTGTAGGTTACTATGGATAAGCTCAACAAGTTGCTGGGCCGCTTTGATGCATTGAACCACACATTGTTGAGCAACTGAATATTGTAGAAAGGCGTCTGAGAAAAGCTCGGCCCACGTTGTATCACGATCCTGAAAGAATGTGAATACAGGTCGAAAGAGTAGTATGCGCAAATGAAGATATCTGACAGTTTGAGTAACTGAGTGAAGTTTGGATCAAATCCTCGTATTGGATTACTTACCGTGCTTGAAGCACATTGGATTGTCGGTGAAAGACAGAGCCAAGCTTGCTAACTTCATTTTGACCATTGAACTGTAAACAGGAAGGAATTTCTTTCTTCCATCTACTCAAGCCTGCTTCAACCCGAAAGATGGAATTGTTGTCCCAGCATTGAAGTTTTCCATAGAGAGTAGCACTATCGGAATTTGGGCTATACAGAGATAAAAGAATATCGTCAAGCATTCCATATAGCTTAACAGTCTGGATGAAGAATTCAATTTGTGATGGCATTCCTGCTCGCTGTTCTCCAAATGTTTCAGCCGACTCGAGGAGATATTCATCGTCAATAGGTGCAGGGAGAGGTACTGCACTAGCAATAGCCCGAGAGATCGTTAACGGGCGCCCAAATGTCATGGATAATATTCTAATATCATCAGCCAAGCTATTGTGTAAATGGAAAGGAACATACCTGTCCATCATCACACAACCATGCCATACCCTACGTGCCATTTCGCGATCAACTTGCCGCGGTAGGTTGGCGCTTGTCTCTGGGAAGTGCAGACCAAGGCTTTGCGCAAGTCGGATAGCCAGACCAACCACTATCCAGCAGCGGTCGCGCGAGTTTGTGCTTTGTAAGTATTGTGCCATTAACAAAAGAATTTGGATAGTTTCAAAGGAGCTTCCATCGAGAAGCACAGGCTGTAGAGTTCGTTTGGCTATCTTATAGTATTCATTTGATAAGGCTTCTCGCTTGGCAGGGGAGCTATCTTCGCTCAGCTGGGAAGCCAATGCGAAGACTATATTGAGTAAGCACGGAAACGTGGGACTGTCGCTTTCCGGCTGGTCTCCGGTCCATAGTCTTTGATAGCTCCGAATAAATGACTGTCGATGAATAAATGGATACAGATTATGAACCTTTGTCCAGTACGTATCTAGTAGTCGGTCTGCAGTTCTTCGTGGAGGAAGAACATACTCAGGATATACTCGCGACTCTGTGGAATCAAACGAGGATAGTGAATGGGAAGTAATTGAATGTCTTGGTGCTGGTGTACCATTGATCGACGATATCTTTGCATCAACTGTAGCCTGGACTTGTCTCATAAAGTTCGCGACGCTCGATGTGCCGAATATGGCATGTGTAGGTAGCCCATTATCGATTTTTCCCATGCCATCATCATCACGAACATCAACATCGCTATGCCGTGAAACGAAAGACTGATCATTATCTACAGTGTCGCTCAAATCACTGGAATGAATCTTGCGCCGTGTCTCATCCAATCTGATCTGTAAAGAACTCGGTATCTGCCCTGAAGAGTTCACTGGTTGTCGAGCGTGTGATTTTGGACTGTTTGTAAGCTCCGTATTACCACTGACATGATTTTGACGGTGATGGGTTTGATGCCGATTCACCAGGGCATTGTGAGGTAAGGAGGACTCATCCAATGGAGATACGTAGTAAGCATCATACAATTGGGCTTGTGGTGTATTTTGCTTAGGGATTGGAACTTCAGTCTATGTTATGTGAGCCATATGAGAAAGCAGTACCTAGAGACTGGAGCACCCTACGTGTGAGGTTGTATCATTCTCTCGCTCATAGCTATCGGTAGTAAGGTCCTTCACCGAGCCAGTACTCGCACTTTGCCCACGCTCTAGCTCGTGAATTCGAGCCTCAAGCCGAGAAATGTAGCTGCGATCACCATTAGTACGACTATAGAGAACTACAGAATAGGGAGGCTAAGCAACCTTTTCGAAAGCGAATGAGAAAAGCTTGAGTCAAGCTCGTAAATGCAATTGGACGGTTTATCTCTTCTCCTGCGACAAGAGCCACATACTTGATTCGATTAGCGTCGCTAAAAACATCTATTGGCGATATGTCATCTTACCTGGTTTTGCACCATCGCATTTGGTTTTTCGTAAACGACAGCCCTTGCAGGCGATCGCGATCTTGGATCGTTTTGCCGGGCGCTGGTATTCCGTCTCAGCAAGCGCCTCGTTGTCCAGCTGAGTCGTGGCTGTCGCAGCGCTCAGGGTAGACTCCATGCCGGCATGCCATGCAAGTAGACGAGTTCCGGAAATGGGTCCGATGCGCAGGAAGACTTCCGAGTCGCTGCGCCCGTGTATGCTATTGAAGGGGGCAGCTCCGGGTGGAGAGGCCAGAAATAGAGCCTATATATGCCTGCATCACTTGATGGCGTCTGATCTCGGTACTTCCAAGCTCCTGATGCCGGCAGGCCCTCCACTTCCCCGCATTCCCCAGGCTTGTCTTATTAGTCCAATAGGAAGAGAGCGCGTCCGGTATTTGGAATAATTGCTGGGTATAGAATGATATAGACTGTCTAGTTCGTATTTCAGCGTGATTAGGGCGCATGTAATTGTGATTAAGGGTGTCTCTGAATTGATCAATAGGCAATCATCGCCCTGTTACTCTTGCCACTAGCAATAAGGCTACGTTTTGTGGCAAAGAAAACAAAAGGGGTTCCGAGACTCTTCCCTTTTATGAGAAGCTTAAGTTTGACAATAAAGTTGAGATTTCATTGTTATAAGACGAAGAAAGCTTTATTACCAAACTGAAATCTTCAAGGGGATAAACGAATATTCTTACCTCCTCGCGGCAATGTAGACAAGTACATTGTAGGGTATGTATAATAGATGATATTAAACTATTTCGTCCTAAATGCACAAAATTTTATACATTTATCAGGTCCAATTTCCTCTGCATCTCTGCTTCAAGTAATAATGTATCCCTGAGCCTGAAGGGTATAATGGGTGTCAATAAAGTTGAACAAATTTTAATTGACCAAGACTCCGATCTTTATCACTGCACTTCATATACTCTCATGTTCGGCTGGTATACCCTGCTTTTCTCGGATCTTCTCGCCTTTGAAAAGCATGAAAACGAGGGGAAGAATAGTTGACAAATTAATCGCAGCAACTACAGCAAATGCCACATCGTAACCATTCCGGTTACTGAACGGAAGCGCATAAAACCCAACATTGAAGGCAAAAACTAAAGAGCGACTCATTAGTTCTGCATTTCCCAGCTGATGAAAGAGGGGGGGCCATACTTGATTTGAATAAATTGATAATAGCCCCGACTTCTCCAGACTGAGGCTTGTATGAGTCCGTGCAATATGTGTAGACCACAGTATTTCCGAGCTGACAGCCCAATCCCGCGACAGCCATACAAACAGAAGACTCAATCCATGGACGGTGGAGTTGAATACAGTACCCGTATGTCGCAGTACCGACGGCCATGATAGGGCATAGAGGAAGTAGAAACAGGCGAACTTCAGGTTTTGCAACGCCCCCATGTCGTCGAGCATACAAATTAACAATCAAATCGCTGATCCAACCTGCAGCTGCTTCTCCTATCATGCAACCAATAGTAAGAGGGATACCCATGAATAGGCCAGTTTGCTTGGTGTCAAATCCATACACGTTTGAACTAATGTGGGATCCTGTCACTGCAAAGATGGTGCTTCCGTACCCATTGCCAGTCATGTAGTAAATGCAAGGAATTGTTATAGCAGCATATTTGGTCATTCGGAAAGAGAAAGCGTAATCTGACAGATGAATCTTACGGTCCAAAATTCTGCCAGTGAAGAGCAATTTGGACGTATAGGAACGTTTCTCGGGGCGATTGTGGCTCTGTCGCGAGAAAAGTGTTTCTGGAAGCGTAAAGACAACCAGGACCCAGAGCGCACCCTGAATTATTGCCGGGATCCAGAAACACCATCTCCAGCCCAGGTTCTGGCTTACATAGCCACCAAAAATGGGAGAAATATGTGGTCCATTTGTCACGGCCAGTACGTATATGCCCATGTAAAAGCCTCGCTGGCCCTGATAAAATAGATCGCAGATCTAGAATATATTAGCCAAGTACAAGAAAAAGAATGACTTGGAAACGATGTACTATCGCAGCCCCAAAACCTAATGGTACGCTTGATCCTATACCGTTAAATATTCTTCCAACAACCAGCCCTCCGTATGATTTTGCACCTGCTGACCCGATATTCGCTGCAGCTGCTATGAGGGTGAACACCTGAACCTTTGTGAGTATTTATCCACCATATAAAGTTAGAGAAACGCACCACAAAAAGATTTCTTCTACCATAAACATTCGCAAAAGGTGCCATAAACATAGGCGTGACCCCAGCAAATAGAATCCACACAGTCGTGCAATACGAAGCTTGCTGAATACTGACATGGAGATTCTTGGCTAACTCGTTGAAGGCCGGATTTGCAAGAGAGGCACTCACTATTTTTGTCAGATACAAGAGCAACATCATCACCAAATTCAACTAGTAGTCACCTTGCGCCATGAATCCAAGCATCGAAACCAGCCCAACAACATAAACTTTTTGAAAGTATGGCCAATTCTTATAATCGTCAGTCTGAAAATATTCAGAATACCAGAGGTATCTTACTAGAGGGTCTTCCACGTGATCGCTTGGCTGAGGAACGAGTACGACACCGTGTTTATCGACTTTTAGCTGAGACATACTGTTATTAGAAGGACTGTCTTCTAGATGCTGTCTTTTATCTTTAGGACATTTCTCCGTGTCTCCAGAGGAAACCGGCCGCCCTTGATGTCGATCCATCGAAACCTTGTAGGATATATTGCTTTTTCGGTGTTTTATCTCGTGGTTTTCACGTAGCTGTAGCAGCTGTATCCAAGGTTACTGCATACATCTAAGGATGTCATATTGAGGCTATTTTATCCCCTGGGAGTATGCAATGAGGACAATGCTTTGTTTCCCCAACCCCCACATACTTCGGGTCGATCCCGGTTCCTGCATACGTACAAGATCGGACTCGGAAAGAGCTCCGCATGTAGAACAGTCGGGTGTTTTCATCCGGTGGAAATGAGGGGTAATAAACAAGATGATCTAGGCCAAGGTCAAAATAAGGTCTGAGAAGCTTGTCAAGTATTCGAATGTTGCAGAAATTGATTACTTTGAAGCAATAACGTCTTCAGCTGTTCCTTGATCCAGTACATTTACATCGCATCCGTTGCACATTCGAAATACGAAAACGGTAATATGTGAGATAAAGCTGTCTTGTAGTCATGTATTCCCCATAATGACTGTGTATACTGACATAGAATATTCTGGATAGGGCATATACGACATCAGATGCATTTTTTGAATCATTATGGGAGGTTCGTCTTGCTTTTCCAATAATATAAACTGCAAACTTAAAATCATTCATAAGGCGGGAATCACAAGATGCTTCGTAAATCTAGGATCCGATCATCCTAGTATTATGGAGTCCATTGCCAAAGGCCAAAGGAATTCACCCAAGAAATTTCCAAAAATAATTACCTGTCCAAATGAGGTATAATTGCGTTGTCAAGATTCTAAAAGCTGGACGATATTGACTGTCAGAGGATAGATGGTTGCGCTGTCCATGGCCGATGGTTATGCTCGTTTCACGAACAAGCCTCAGTGCGTAATTGTACACGTCGACGTCGGTACGCAAGGTCTTGGTGCGGCTATCCACAATGCATCCTGTGGTCGAGCCCCAGTCCTGATATTCGCTGGTCTATCTCCTTTCACAGCTGAGGGTGAAATGCGCGGATCCCGTACAGAGTATATACATTGGATACAAGACATCCCGGATCAGCGAGCAATTGTTGCGCAATATTGTAGGTATACCGCGGAAATCAGAACGGGGAAGAATATAAAACAAATGGTGAACCGCGCATTGTCATTTGCGATGAGTGAGCCTAAGGGACCCGTGTATCTGATGGGCGCGCGGGAAGTAATGGAGGACACCTTGGAGCCATATAAATTGAACCAGGCGGTCTGGAGTCCGGTTGAACCAACATATCTTTCTGAGTCTGGAGTTAAATCGATCTGCAATCTACTCGTCAATGCAGAGAATCCATTGGTAGTAACAGGTTACAGTGGTAGAGATCATCGGGCAGTAGGTGAGTTGGTAAAATTAGCAGACAGGATAAAAGGGTTACGTGTCCTGGATACTGGAGGAAGCGACATGTGCTTCCCTGCTGATCACCGGGCCTGGCTGGGGTTGCGATTTGGCGTTGACGAGAGCATAAAAGAGTCCGATGTCATTCTTGTTGTCGATTGTGATGTCCCATGGATACCAACAAAGTGTCAACCCAGACCAGATGCCAAGATCGTTCATATTGATATCGACCCTCTGAAGCAGCAGATGCCATTATTCTACATAAATGCCATATTGCGCTATAGAGCAGACGGCTACACGGCTTTTTCCCAACTATGCTCGTATATTGACAGCAATGATGAATTGTTATCTAAACTCGCTGGGCCTATTTACATCGATAGATGGAATTCTTTGGGTGAATTTCATAATAGAAGATTGAGCAATATCGCTAACTTGGCCACTGCTGGTAAAGATGGGTCTTTCACAACCTCCTGTCTGACTTCGATGGTACGCAAGTGGTGCCCTCCAGACACGATCTGGTGTATCGAAGCAGTAACCAACACAGTGCTCGTAGCCAATCAGATCCAGGCCACACTTCCAGGGTCATGGATTAATTGCGGCGGTGGTGGATTGGGCTGGTCAGGTGGTGGCGCCTTGGGAATTGGGATAGCTGTCCAGGATGTCAGAGGCAAAGGATTCGTTTGCCAGATAGTAGGAGACGGCACATTTCTGTTTAGCGTTCCAAGTAGTGTTTATTGGATCTCGCGAAGATATGGCATTCCCGTTCTAACAATAGTCATCAATAACAAAGGTACGGCTTCCCATTAAAGTTTCATTGCCGTGCTGACAGTCTGCAGGATGGCAAGCTCCGAGAAAGTCTCTCCTTTTGGTACACCCAAACGGTCTTGGATCTCAAATCTCTAATGAAGAGCTGAATATCTCCTTTGAACCATCGCCGGATTACGCAGCGATTGCGAAGGACGGAGCAGGCGGGCAGCTGTGGGCAGCGAGTGCGAGGACTGTAGAAGACCTCGAAAGGCTTCTTCCAGAAGCTGTGAGTGCCGTGCAGAACGGCACAGGGGCTATACTTGATGCCCACATAGCGTTCAAAGTGGGCGAATTCTGAATTTCAGCTCAAGATAGAGAGAACCTTTGGCATTTCCAATCAGGAATAGAACAACGCGTCATTCCCGTTGTCGTATAAGCGAGAAACGAATGAAATTCAATGGATATGAATTACGACCTGTATACCACTTTAGGAGTTGAACTGTGAGGTATAGAGAGTATTAATAATAATTCGTCGTGAGATTAAATAAAAATAGAGGACGAAGAATAGACGAGACAGCCAATGGAAGGCAGCAGCGTTCGGGCTTAAGGGGCCCACCGCGAGGAACAACTTCCTTAGCCCCGACTTCCTATCTTGATCAACATCTGAGCCCCAACTAGACCCAGCATTTTGAAGTAGGCAGCTGTAACAGTGTACCGCAATATGAGCTCTCTGCCGTGCAAAGCATATAAATCGTGGGAGAGTTCCCCAGTTACTTGGCGGCTGCTTCGTGCAAGACCCCCTTAGGGACTCCTCCAATTCGTGCGGAAACAAACATAAATTATTATCAAAATGCTTTTCAGGTCTATCATATTGCCTTTTTTGGTCATTTTTTGGGCATCTTTGGGCAGCGCAACCCCCAATTGCCCATTTCTTGGATTTGATCTCCCATCGGCTCGTGCTCCTTCGAACAGCACGGCCGTTCATACAGCGAAGAGGAATGTAACTTATCTCATCCACGAGCTGTTACACGATCAACTAGCGACGGTCAATTCGACCTCGTTCTCAGTCCAAGCCTATTCGACCCACGAGGAGAGCGTTCTTTTCGAATACCATTATGCAGCCCCAGTCGGACAGGTTGGCACCAGCAGCGTTGATGGCAACACTGTGTACCGAATTGGCAGCGTATCAAAACTCCTGTTCATATATTTGTGGTTGATTGAAGACGGTGACATTCACTTCAATGATGCGATCACGAATTTCGTACCCGAGCTTGCCCAGGATGCAGAAACTTCGACTGGTATTTTACAGCCTCTATGGAGGGATATCACCATTGGTGAGCTAGCAAGCCATCTTGGAGGGATCGGGCGTGATTGTGAGTCTTTAATATTGCCTTATAGAATGTATAGTTTTATGGACTTCTTCCTTGCTGACAATCATAGATTCAACACCCTCGGAGGCTTTACTTGTCCTTCCCCCCAATACTCTCTCAGAATTAGATCTCCCTCCACCAACCGAAACGGTACCTTGTGGGCTGGGAGAAGCAAGCAGACCGTGTGACAGAACAGGTAAATATATTCAATTTTACAATCTCATTCCCTTTGATTTCTTTCTTTTTTCCTTGTCACTAATTACAATAGACTTTTTCGAAAACTATTTGCAGCGGCGACCCGTTTTCACATCATCGAAAACACCAATCTACTCAAACGTTGCATTCCGAATTCTGGGGTATGCTCTTGAGACTATCACCGGAATCTCCTTCGATGACTTATTCACAAACGATTTCGTGAACCGTCTGAATTTGCCAGGGACAAGCCTGTCTATACCGAAAAATGGGACTCCGTCTGTCATTCCAGTTAGTCCTGAGGAAAGTTGGTGGAATTACGACTTGGGAGAGAACGCTCCGTAGGTAACCTGGGTCGGGCATTGGTATTCGTCTGTGATTTCTCGATTACTGACTATCGGAATTTCTCAGGGCTGGAGGAGTTTATTCAACTCCATCGGATCTCTCGGCTATTGGGCGATCAATTCTGAAATCATCAATCTTGTCCGCGTCCCTAACCCGCCGTTGGTTGACTCCGCGTACCCACACATCTTCTCTTATAGAGTCAGTCGGCGCACCTTGGGAGATAGAGCGCGTTCCGCTTTTGCCGAACCAAACCATCGATCTCTACACCAAAAATGGAGGAGTCGGTCTCTATGGGGCTCTCCTCGTCTTGTCGCCCGACCTCGATTTTGGAGTGACCCTCACTGCCGGGGGACCCGCTAATATTGAGGTTATGGAAGCACTTATAGAAGTGGTGTTGCAAAATTTTATGCCTGCGCTGCGATTGGCAGCTCAAGAAGAAGCACAAAACAATCTGGCAGGGACTTACTCCAATCCAGCCCTTAATGCTTCAATCAAGATTAATACGCAGGCAAATAGGACAGGGCTCGTTGTCTCGGATTGGATTTATAACAGTACAGAGGTCTCGGCCATTTACAACGTGGCTAGCGGTTCTGATCCAGACACGCCGCTGGATATCGCCCTCTACCCTACTGGAATTCAGTCTGGTCTCAAAAATGGAACTCAAAACGTGTATTACCGTGCTGTTTTCCAGGAACAGGCACCGGACGAATCACCCGATACTACTCCTGGTACTATTGTCGAACCGTGCTCGAGTTGGGCATCTGCTGACTCACTCTCTTACGGAAATGTTGCCCTTGATGATATTGCCTTTACGTTAGATTGCAAGGGGAGAGCAATTTCTGTTGAGCCTCGATTTCTAGGCGTTACGCTCAAGCGTCTCTAAATGGGTTTAGAAATGGCTTAGAAATATTAACCTTAGCGGCAATTATTGTTGTATCGTGGTACTGGCTGGACTGACTTTACCAATATTTTTTAATTATCTATATCACAATTATAAAAATCCAAACATAATCTTCTAATATAAGAAGAGATACGACCCTTGGAGTGGTCTTTCTTTGGACCAATCGGCTTCAAATGTTCTAAATGCACCCTTGCAACTCACCTATCTCTGGCTTCGAGTTCCATGATCTTGAGTGTAAATTCCACATACTCTTGACAGGTCTTATGTGGTTGTGAGATGGAAGGGTCCAAGTGGGCGGTAGACACGGCTGTAACAGCGAGAAAATTTTTACATATCTAGTTTAAAGTGAATAATCGTTCCAGGTCGTTGCCTGATTATGGTTTATTACTACTCTCTATTATGAAGTTTCTGCATGCGCGAACTTTTTGGTGAGGGAATCCTTTTTGTTGGCCCCGCTCATCTATGATTGAACAAAGGAATGGTTACAGACAAGCCGGGCCAACTTTTGGTTCAGCTGTCCGTTATAAGGATCTCGGTTTTCCTTTTGATTTGAGCCCGCTATTCCGACTTTCATATTAGATGCTTATATATAATCACATGTTATAAATTCGCTTGAATCCCTTCTACAATCAAAGTTAATATTGTGGGTATACCGCTCACCATTATTGAACCTGAGTTATGCCTAAACCAACAGTTATTTTCGTTCCTGGAGCCTGGCTTCCGAAAGCTTCTTACGGCTTATTCCTCCATGCCTTGGAGAAAGAAGGGTTTCCAGTTCATTATGCCTCGTATCCATCCTTTGACCCAACCGACAACTTGAACGCGAGCTGTGAGCGTGATGCGAAAGTTATCCGCGGCGAGGTTATTCAGCCTCTTGTTGAGGGTGAAGGCCGGGATGTTGTCTTATTCATGCATTCCTATGCTTCTATGCCCGGAAGCGCTGCTGTCAGCGGGTTTTCAAAAACCGAGCGTGTCCGAAAGGGCCAGGCCGGCGGTGTTTTGGGGTTGATATGCATAGGAGCATTTCTAATTCCTCAAGGACTCAGCTGTGCCGGTATGCAAGGTGGAAATCTGCCAGGCTGGATTCTGCTTGATCAGGTATGCAATTAATTTCTCCGAGATACTCACCGTCTAAACGACTTCGTAAGTACTAAATACAAAGACTAACACCTCGTCATTTTCTTCATTTAGCCCGAGAAGGGAGTCAATATTGCAGACGACCCGGTAAAAACATTTGCAGCTGATGTAGACCCAGATCTTGCAAACCAGATGGCTGCACAGTTAAAGCCACATTCCAATTTGGCTTTTACATCAGAGCAACCGCCTCCGGCCTGGGCTGAAGCGGATTATGACGGCCGCTGTGCTTACATCGTGACTGGAGATGACCAGGCTGTTCCCCAGGCTGCGCAGTATGGCATGATATCAGGTACCGGCAAAAACTGGATTGTTAAAGAATTCGCTGGAAGTAGCCATATGGCGCCTTTCTTGACGAAGATTGATCCATGCATTCAATTTTTGCAAGAAATTTTAGACTTGTTTCCGCAGGCATGATCCTGTGCCGCTAGATTAGGAATTTATAAATAGAATGCTGGATGATTGAGCAATGCACCAATTGATATAGTTCTTAGCTACATGTAGACATTACATTGGTATGCTCAATAGCAATTTACCTTACCCAGTGTACATGCCACAAGTGCTACTAATACAAGGGGATGTAGAATTGAAAATAGAAGCAATATCTAGAGTAGCAGTACTACTCTTTTCATATCTCTAAAAATTTGGGTATCCGAAGCCTTATCCTACTTGACTCGTTGCTGATAGAGCTATTCCAAGGCGTTAGTGACATCTTCAAGCGTGACCTCTAGTAACCCACCAATAGGGACTTCATTCATAAACGCCTGGCCGACTAATCTCTTGGATACAGTTTCTACATTCTCCCATTTGCCCACAATTTTGTCTCGCCCAGCTCCTTGAATAGATCGATGTTCATATCTCGATCCTGCTTTCTCATTGAACAAGATATCCTAACCTGTTTCTCACATAGCCTTTTCTGAAAAAGACAGAGGCAGTCTTTGGGTTTCATCTTGGGAAATATCATCTCGGTAGATCTGCCGCATAATCCTTCATTCGTGCTCATGAGTTTGTTCATTCCATTTTCATAGCAAGCAAACGTCATCACAAGCTTGTGGATGTATCGCTCTTTGGTCATACAATCATCCAGCTTGCTGACGGCTTCCGATGCAAACTCCCTATGTTCCTCCTTTAATCCCCAGGCGGTAAGCCTCGTCGACGAATAATACTTTGCAGAGTACTCTATTTAGCAGGCTCCACAATCTTGGTCCTGTATGGCCATGTGCTGTGCCAACGAGATCAGTTACCGAGCAATCGATAACTTCGGTGGTAGAGAGGAACCCCATAGAGTAGTATATTTGACCAAGAACTCAAGAAGTCGTAGTCTTTTCTGTTCCTTGGTGTCTTTAAAGGTGAAGCTAAAATGACGTGCTCTCGTGGGTCTAGGCCATATCGTCGCATATTTGCTGCCATCTGTTTGTAGTCTTTAAAGACTTTGGTCACGTCCTGGAAGCCAGCCATGTTGTTAAGTAGAGAGCACAATCTTCATTAACCTGTGATCCATGATCATACTCTGGATCAAAATCCCAAGGCTCTAGGACGATTGTACATGGAATATCTTCCAGGCTTCGATTTTTCCTCGCCAACATCGGTAATTAGATGTGGTATATTAATTGAGTTGCTCCACATCGTGGTGTGTTGAAGTCATGGTTATTAAATCGTATATCTGAGTAGCTGAAGTAGACATTATCAAAATGAAGTAGTGAACAATATAAGAGTAATTTTCAGAATATATGAATTTACAGTACGTGCAGGAGAGAAAAGAAATGATCAAGAATGTAAAGGAAAGAGCAATCAATATATACGGCAGCCGCAGCCAATCCGAGGCTTCGGTGCAGCCAGGCGGGATCTCCGCGGTGACACCTCGACACCTCGACACCTCAGTCACTTCAGTCACTTCAGTCACCTCTCCTCCGTCCCTGAGCTCTCCCGCTGCCACTGAAGCTTCTAATAGTCCCCCCAGAGAAGATATGACATGACAATGTCCGAGAGGAACGGAGGCCCGTCCTCCTCGGAAAAACTCTCAAGTCGGAATGGCGCTGTTGATTCCGCTGCAATGAAAAGCACAGCTGTGCCCAAATCTGCTGCTGCGGTCAGCCATGCGCTTCCCCCGGAGCGGGCAGATGCTATATGGACGCGGACGAAGGTGGTATTATCATTCTGGGCGGTTATTATATTTTTTGGCATTCCTATGTGGTGGAAGACTACTTCAATTTACCGGGCCTCGTTACCCCTTGAAGAGATGATGAGCTGGGCGGAAGGCAAGGTGCGCAGAAGTCGATTTCTATTTCTCACACCTTGGAAGCTAACCCACGACGATATATACAGGCATGCAAACCAGAATATCCGCTAGAAATCATCCTCCGAGCACCATCAATTCCATTGCCCGAAGCGCAGAACCTAGTGCGAATAACACAGCATGCTCTGGACGATTTGAACGAGTTTCCGGTTCACCATCTCCGCCTCAAACTCGCAGAAATTACGGCGGTGAAGAATGCCGGCGAATTTAATTTAGACATTGGTATAGAAGGCAATTCAGATGCTGCCTTGGTCGTGAATCTTGTCCCTGAGGAAATAGCAACGCCCAAGTCCGAGCTGCATTCATATTCCCCGCGCCTGGATATTTTCTACCCACCGAATCAGCTTCCATCTGCAACGTCGTCGAACTCGCCATTGGTGACATTTATCGCGGACGAGATTCAAAGTCTTTACATTGAAGAAAAGGCGACGATTGCGCATATTTTGAAAGAAAGCAATATTGGGTTAGCATCATCGCCGGGCACAGGTCAATCAACCGGAGTCCATTCTATATCACCCGAGTTAGCAGAGTTTGTGAGCTCGCGTGTCACTAGGAGTTTTAAATACGCTGAAACATATCACCTTTCATTCTCGCTTTTCACTCCCGGATCTGAACCATCCTCATGGGAAATCGAGACCGCGATTCAGGAATTCATGACTCCGCTGCTTGACGCCTTTTCGCCAATCAGTAACTTTTCCATCGACTCTCAGGTGCAACTATATGCTTCATTCTCGCCTACATCACCCCGTCCAGAGTTTGATGAGACTACTCGGCAATGGACTTTGAAGCAGGAGGATCTCAGTGCTTTCATCAACGCCGCCGAATGGCCATTGAGCCCTAGTATTGGTAGTGGTCCGACAATCAACTTCGTTCTCTATGTGCCAGCTCCGACCCAGTCACCGCTAGTGGTAAAGGAGAGTCAAGCTACAAGCTGGGTTGTGCCGCAATGGGGTGGTGTTACAATTGTCAATCCACCTTTAGTATATACCAACGACAACCCCAGGAACCCATCGCACTTATCCCAAGAATCTCTCAAGCCCGCACTCCTGACCTTTTCTCACCAGCTCCTTACCCTGCTAGGTACTCCAGCTACACCATCCGCACTCCCTCTCCGCCTCCAAACACTGATCCGCACTCGTGCCGCTACGCTCCTACTCTCTGCATCCTCGACCATGGGCTCTCTTGCTCGTCTCACTCAGTCACTCGCCTCCATTCCTGTGCCTGTGACCGTTGCGTCTTCTGTGTCTACTACTTTATCTCATCTTACCTTGACCTGTCAGCTTCTTCGTGAGGGCAAATTCAAACCGGCCCTTGCCAGTGCGCGTATTGCCGAGAAAGAGGCCGAGAAGAGCTTCTTTGAGAAAAGTATGGTGGGACAGATGTATTTCCCAGACGAACACAAAGTAGCAGTATACCTGCCATTACTTGGGCCAATTGGAGTACCTTTGTTTCTGGGATTAATAAGAGAATTGAAAAGATTTGTCACTGATTTGAAACAGAGGAGGGTCGCGAAGTGATGGAAAGGTTGTAAAATTAGCGATACCGTCATGTTGTATATCGACAGAATTCAAAATGCCTTCAATTTTAAATGCTGCCTCTGATTCGCATTATTTAAACCAATAATATATTATCAAAAGAAACCTCAAACTGCGACTATGAACTCCCATAAATGCCAACAAATTATTCCTAGGGTATCGGTATATGACAACGCCGTCTATAAGCACTTTTCGCCATCTAGGGTTCAGTTTGCTCCTAGAGAAACAGAGCCTCAGTATTCCTTTTCGAAAATCTTTTGAATGGGTTTTGCAGCCTGATAAAACCATTAGCACATATATCTAGAAATCACAAGCAAAATTATAGAAAATCTTACATCAATAAACCGCTCCAAGTCCTGGTCAAGATTGGCCAAATCGTCTTTTCGCTTTTTATTCTCGGCAATGAGAGCCTGCTTTCGCTTCAGAAGCTCTTGCCTTGCCTGTTCTAGCTTCTCTCGCTCCGCGTGTTCATGGTTGATGCGGGCGATCATGAGCTCGTGTTCGTCGTCTTCGACATGCTCAGGGAATAACTCGAGGAATTGTTCAACGGGAATAAGTGGAAGAGACAGGTACTTGTGGCTGTAGTTGTGAATGTATGTTAGTCGTGTGTCCTTTTTATACCACCGCATAGAATCGTGGAGATAATAAAGATGGACTCTTACTCGTAAGATTCGCAAGCCGCTATCTCCCCCACCAGATGTTTCTGCTCATAATACAGATTCTGTAGCTGAAGATGCAACCTGTCGATTTCCTGACGAGCCTCTGCAGTCGACTGCTTCGTGTCGCGCACTCGGAGTATGGCATCACGGTTCAGACCGCGCAACTGAGCGAGCAGCGCAAACAGGACCTTTTGTTGCTTCGAAATGGCGGTGAGGGTATCTTGAGACGGAGGGTCGACGGTTTTTGTTGGCTCGAGAAGGGCCAGCAGCTTTTGGCATTCGCCATGAGCCTCTGCGCTAATTTGCAGGACGGGCAGCAGGGCTGGATCGGCGACGATATCACGGACTGTCACCGTGCTCGCCTCAGCCATGGCGGCGGGGATGGAACGGTAGAGGGTGGTCACGGTAAAGCCGATCCTCGGGCGAGCAGCGAGGAGGAATAGCAGAAGTGATTCCTAGAGCCTTGTGGTTGGGTGGCGAGCAATTGATAGTGATAATAATGATTCTCTTATGTTGAAAAGGACGAGCCAGCCAATCACCGATGCGACGGGCTAGGATACCGCGCTCTATAGGTGCTTCGGTGTAGGGGCCCGCAACAAGCGACGAGAATGGGCAGATCCAATAATATCAAGGGTCGTTGCGCAGAAACTTGATCGATGCTGTGTTGCTGCAGGCAAACTCGACGTGGTTGCGATTGCCGGACTAACTAGAGCGAAGCATCGGCCCATGTGAAGAGCCTAAGGCGCTCAGGCTTGATTTATGGCTGTGAGTGGGGACGCCAAGCCTCGCCTTGGCTCTCGACATTCCTGTCTGTCTGCGCCTGCCAGTATTGCCCCTCGCGATTCCTCGCTCACATACATGATATGATATTGTTATCCTGCAGCGGGCAGCGTACAACATACAACTGCAGTTTCTGGTCTGTCGGCTAATTGTGATGCTGAAGTGCAACCACTGCTGAACCGATACTCTCAACCCACCCGCCAATTTCTCAGCCGTGCCAACCTCCCCAACAACAAGACTCAACGATCACGACATGCGATAAGAAGAATCACACAAACCTAGTTGCGATATCGTAAAAGATGGCGTGCAAGGCTCGCACAGTGACAATTGATGCCTTCCAAAGCGCTACCTCGACCTCAGCGTCAACTCCCTACGAAGACACACCCCTGATCCGCTCCCGCAGACGACACTCGTTCCAGCATGCGAGACGGTCGTCCTGTGACTATGACGCAGATGCTGTGTTTCTCAGAGTCAGTGGCTCATATTATGATGACTGAACTGGTCTTATTGACTCATCGTTTTAGGTCGAAGTTTTCCTCGCCGAATTAGAGAGACGGCTACAATGGCTCGAAGAATACCGCAAGTCACACATGGAGCAGATCGACGCCAGCATGCGTAGAGGTTACGCTGCGCTTGAGGCCGTTCGTGACTCATGCTGTGCCGCATCGGGCGAACTGATGGGTGGTGGTAAAAAAAGGGCAAAGATTCTTGTCGAAACATTAGAAGATCGCTACAACGAAGCTCTTGCAACGAAAGAGACACTGGGAGAAAAAGCATATGCCGGAATGCGATTGATGGAGTCATTTTTGAATGAAATTGAATCAAGGTCACATCTCGTCCGTGAGGGTGGCATTTATGGTGCGCTCGATGACGGATGGAAAGCCGTCGACTCGAGCCTGAGTCATGCCAGAGAGGCAGTTGATGAAGGTATGGGGCGAGCGCGACGAGCGAAAGAGGCTCTGCGAGAAAGCATCGACCATGCAATTCAACTCGCTCAAGCGAACCGATTAATTCATTATAAAGATCTGCCGCACCCGTGGAGAGTCAACCCGCATATCCACCAGGGTTATCGATTCATGACCTCCCCGGTGGAGTGCGTGACATCCATGTTCTTTTTCTCCAATGAATTAGTGAATATTTGGTCGCATTTGATCGGTCTATTCATCGTCTTATCCGTCGCATTCTACTTTTACCCGCTGAATCCAAACTTCGATCTAAGCACAAAGGCCGACATAATGATCGCAGCGGTCTTCTTCTTCGCTGCATGCAAGTGCCTCGTCTGCAGTACAATATGGCACACAATGAACGGGATTGCGAATCAGAAAGTCATGGAGCGGTTCGCCTGTGTTGATTACACGGGAATCTCTTTCCTCGTTGCAGCCTCAATCATGACCACCGAGTATACAGCCTTCTATTGCGAACCCACGTCCCGATGGATCTATATCCTTCTTACCTTCTCTCTTGGGGTAGGCGGGGTCATCCTTCCCTGGCACCCAACTTTTAATCACCCTAACATGTCATGGGCCAGAGTCGCATTCTACTGCACCATGGCACTAACGGGATTCGCTCCGATTGCGCAACTGAGCTATACAAGAAGCTTCACATGGTGCTTGTACTTCTATGCCCCAGTGATGAAAAGTCTGTTAGTATACGGTCTTGGCGCCTTTATCTATGCATCTCAAATTCCAGAGCGCTGGTTACCTGGCTGGTTTGACTACTGTGGTGCAAGCCACAACATATGGCATATTGCTGTACTCGGCGGTATCCTCTTTCACTACTGCGCTATGCAGGAGCTGTTCGCGGGTGCCTTCGTCCGGGCGCAGGGAGAATGCCCGAATTTGGCTTCTTAGAAGCCTTTCTTTTCAAATTCTTATTTATATAGACTTTTTATCTTTTCTGCTCTGCATTTCTGGAACCTCCATCATTATATAGAGCCTTTTCGTAGATGTTATTTTTTCTTGTGAATTTTTCATTTTATTTTCGGTGCATATGGTTCTCATAAAGCAAAACGCATTTGGAACGATGAATAAAGCCAGCCTCGCATCAAGCGGTTTAATAACGCCAGAACCTTGAAGGGTTAATGAAAGGATCGATTAGTTGCATGGATATGGACAGCAAGATCACTTTACAGCCGGCTACACATATGGCAACAAACTAGCAATAGAAACGGATTTTCAGTGTCTGAAATATCTTCCAAGTAAATCCATTGATATGTAAATTTTTTGAGCTTCCATAAGTATACCACTCCTACTCTTTCCATAGCAGTCAACATTCTAGTTACCCTCTTTCTCCCGGAGTAAAATACAAAGATTCGTACGGCGGAAACCCAGTCGTCTCTTGCTCCGAATTCTCCATATTATTCCCATTAGCCGTGCTCACACTTGGGTCCCAGAGGGGATCCAGAGCCCCAAAATAGAAGTCCTGCATGTGGCCGTCCCAAGCTTGCTATGATTCAGTAGTTAGCACCCACCCTACATTCACTACTGCGTACAGCAGTGTTGAGATATCCACTTACCCAGTCAGGATTACTCGGAGCATCGATCATGGACTGAATGACATCAAGAGTACTTAATGATGGGTCAACCTCCTGAAATGGCTGCTCTTGCACTTGATTATATATCGGCAATGCTGCGTCTAGACTAGCTGGGTCGGTTGTTCGTCTTATGATGCCGTTGCCCGTCGAGGTACTGGTATTGGACACCGGGGGTGTCGGGATAACGCCACCGGTGTTGAGGCGATGGGAGGGGGTTGATTTATCTGTTTGGAAAGTTAATGGTGTAGTGAAGGGGAAGAAAGTGTAAGCATACCACGTCTATCAGAGCCACTATATCCGACGCTTGATGCGCTCTCTCCCATTGCAATATCATCGTCTCGAGCGGGCGATGTGTTCCTGGGGGCTGGTTGCCGGGTTTTGGTTATAGGCTGCTCTGGATTTCCGGTATTCCCATCTCCTTGTTTCCTTCTCTCGTCATCTAATTGGGCCTTTTTCAACATTATCGTCAACGCATCGAATGCCTTCCTTGCCTCGACTGAATGTTTCAGGTTCGTCCTCCAGATATCCCTTGACTTTTCCAAAGCATCGAGCATTTCACTTCTCCCATCTAGCACGATAGAGAAGCCGTAGCCTTGCTTACGGGTTTTCACTTCGTCGGTATTACTCTTCGCCAGCTCCAGACAAATCACCATGGCAGCTAGGACAAAGTCGTGGTTTTGCAGGGACGTGAAGAACCAGCGGTGCGAGTAAAGCCGGCCGCCGACTTGAGATTCATGGAATAACTCATGCTGATGACGCAAGGCTTCCTTTGCGGCATTAATACACACCCAACGCGAATAATTGAGACGGGAGTCGTGGTGCGCTTCAGTGAGATATTTTCGATGCAGCACAATCCGTGCTTTTTGGTACAGGACATCCAGCGTGTATCGTTTCATGATCACGGTCTCGTCGTCGGTGAGGGATTGGTTCATGGGTTTCATGCGCAGGGACGACGCCATCGATTCATGCGCTTCTTCGAGCTTGCGGTCTAGCTCGAGGATTTCCTCGTACGAGGTGGGTTTACGTGAGTACGCCAAATCGGAGATTCGGCCAAACATGTCCATGATGCGGGACTTGGAGATTGTGTATGTTGTTACTGTTCGAACGGATTCTGGGCGGGATGGCGGTAGTTCTACAGTGTTTTCGTCAAAGTCCTCGTCGAAGAGGTTATGCGGGAGCTCGGTATCGCTCTGCCAGGGTTGGAGGTGTTTGGGAACTCCGACTTGAAATGCCGTTAGGGCGTCGAGTTGGCATATCACAGCCCACGACCGTCGGCGCATTTCACCTTCAAAGGCGGATATGTTGCTGTAATGTTTCGGGTCGCGATGGTAGCCCATGCGCATGGCGAGTTTGATGGCAATGCCTAGAATAAGGGACACGCTGATGGGTGCATTGCCCTTTTTTGAGTATTCGGTTGTTGCGTACATCAAGAGTGCTTCGACTTTCAGTTTTCCGACTTTCGTGTAGTTGGAACTGATAAGACACTGGCAGCAGTTTCGTTGGAGTCGGTTGATCATTTCGATGGGGTCTCCTAATGCACCTGGTAAAGGCTCGAGGCTGCGGCGATACATGCCGACAGACATGGTCAAGCTGGCGTACAAAAGACCCAGCCATGGTAGAGATACATTTTCCGGTTCGAGCCAGAATTGATCGTACTATTACAGTATGAGTAAGCAAATTCGAGTCGACATGTGCAATAGAGATTGCATACCTCTCTTTGAAACGTAGGAAAGTGTAGGATAACTACAACTAATGTTAATTCTGTCGAATCGGCTGGTTATAGAAGTGTCACTGACCTAGTGTAGGATCTCCTGAGTTCAAGAATCGAGCCATTAGACGATCCGATATAGACCGCTCTGGGAGGTCTGCAATCAGCTCCTCCTTGGTCAAGGCACGACCGCTATAAAACAGCAATGCCGGACTGGATGAATCGTGTACTTCATCAGCCTCCTCATGATACCCATCATCAGTAGAGACATCATCATCGTGAAGATACTTTTTAACTTCATTAATCTGTTTCCAATGTCAATCCATATTCCGAATTGGGGCAGAGCAGCAGCAGCAGCAACAGCAACATACATCATCCAGAATCGCCCGCCAATGCGAAGAGTCCACATAAGTAGTACCCATCTGCTCATTATTTAAAATCTTCCCCGGATCATCTTCTACCAAGGGAGCCGCCGCCGCCGCCGCCTCCGTTGTCACCGAAGGATCGGTTGCGAAATCTGTGACGTTCCAGCTGGCAGCGGCGCCACTGCCACTTCCATCCTGCTGTTTCTTTTGCTGCGCAAACGACAGGATCAGATTCTCCAAATGCTGCATTCGACTCTGGATATGCGATGGATTGGACGCTGCATGAGATGGGCGACCACGTGGGCCATGCCCGACGTATGTACATGACGCGGCGTCTCCGCGCCGAGTACATCGGTCGCAGGGATGTGTGCGGTCACATTTCAGCCTAGCAGATAGTTTAATTATCGAGCCGGGAATATCAATAAACGATGGGTTAATCTACATACTTGCGATATCGGCAGGCCGTGCAGGAGAACTGCACTCTGCTGCGTTTCTTATGATTGGCATTGGATGATGCGGGGACTTCCTCGTTGTTGTCAAGGTCGGCCATATCGCCGGTGATCGAGCGTTAGGGTGGAAGCCGAGTGTAGTCTGAGTGTTGCGTCAGTTAGCTTATTCCAGCTAATTCTTAATGGTTTTGATCAGCTTTTCTGTTTTATATCAGATCGTACAAAATTAGCTGTGCAAGAAAAGAGCCCGCAGCGCTCAACGTATCTCCGGGGCTTCGATTGGTTCTCGGATTACGAGACTTAACTCCGACATGATCGCCACCAACATTAAACATTGAATTATTAAATCTTGATGATCTGTGGCTTGCTTTTTTTTTAAGAAGTATATAACCATGTATGTACATATTCGGCCGCTCTATCCTCTTATTTCAGCCTTCATCGAAACCACACCACTGTGATTGTAGATATTGACTGTGCTCGCTTCAGCCCCCTTCTCCAAGACAATCTCATAGTCTTCATCAGCATACAACGGACTTGTCGCCCTGTAAGTAATGCTTTGAGGCACGATCAATGAGGCATCAGCATACCCCTTACCGCCTTGTTCATACCGAAGATCCCGCCAAAAGTCAAGCATAGAAATAAGATTCAATGGCCCATGCACAACAATATTCTTATGCCCTTCTACATCTTGAGACCATGGCACAGAGTAGTGGATTTTGTGGGGATTAAATGTTAGTGCTGAGAACCGGAAGAGCGTGACTGCGCTCCTGTTGTAAGGGCGTTTGTAGACGCCTTCCATAGGAGTAGATGACACCAGCTCTGACGGTTTGGTGCGGCCATTACTACTCTGCGATAGCGATGCTAGGTTGTTCGACTCCCTTTTGGGCTGTGGGGGGTTTGTTGGTAGGGCTTCACGGAAGACCCAGTTCCTGCATGCCGTCAGAGTCACTTCGAATAAGATAAGAAAATACATGTAAAGAGGACAGACCGTCGATCAACAACTGCAACACCATCCTCGTTCGAGAATGTCTTCTCAACACCTACTACAATCATCGCCTCGCCTGTCTTGCGCACCACCTTCGGTTCTGAACTGAGCACCGTCGTGGTCTCCTTTACCTCCTGGCCCACGCGCAGCAGATTCAATTCCCCCCGCGCATCGCGCGGCCAACTGACTTCTCCACCAGCCCACATGCGTCTAGTGAACGGTGATTCGGGGTTATACGACATATCCGTGCCATCAGCGCCCAGCTCGGTTTCGAGGAATGCGGGCGTGAAGTATACCAGGTGATAAGCTGGGGGATAGGAGTGCCTGTTGGTGGCGGGGATGCATTTGATAGGTTTGGGGTGCCAGGGTACAGGGTTGGTCGGTTTAGGGTGAGGGAGAGGAGCTGGAGTTGGTTGGCATCTAGGACCTGTTTTCTGATCTGGGGCCCTTGCGACTGGAAGCGAGAAAGGAATGCTGAAGCAATCGACGCAGCAGAAGCAGCAGCGGCGGTGTTATGTATGGGAGATGTTGTGGAGAAAGCACAGCTATGTGGTTTTTGCAGAATGGTCTTCCAGAGACCTCTTGTAGGGGAGTGGGATAGCATGTTGCAGACCGTCCTTGTGGGTTACAGGTTCATTCTCGATATTAATTATTAAAATAAGTCGAACAGCGATCTATAAAGGAATTGATGCTGAGGGCATACTGAGCAGATAGCCGACTGTGATCGGATTCGGCACTGCGTGTGGAGAAACTAGCCTGATTGGTTCCATGCATACAGCCGACTCGGCTCCAACATGGCCTTTGCGAGCCAGTGTTGGTGATTCTACAAAAAGATAGGAAATGTCGTTAGAATATATATAGATATATGCATATATGCTACTCGTCCAGGTGCGGATACGGTACAAAGGTTGGTCGGTCATGGGCATGGGTATCAATCGTAACGGTGCCATTATGCTGTCTTCTAGAACAGTTCATCCAAGTCGTATACTTATAGCCTGACTTGGGCCGCAGAGAGTTGCGCCCAGTCGGCAGGAGTGAAGGGTACGTATTTGTTGCCCTGTAGCCAGTACAGGCGATCGTTGGGGGAGACTTTGCTGGGGTCCACTCCCTGCTCGCGGAGAACATGCTTTTGCTGCTTGTTGTTCCCCGTTCGCTCTAATTCTGCAGTCACCCGGAGGAAGAGTGGCAGCGCATAGCTAGGCAGATTGGAAATCACTTGCACAGCAAGCGAGTCCAATACCTGCGTAGGGACGTCAATTAACCCGCTCTTGAAAACGACGGCGGCGCAGCCCGCGCGTCCGTCGTGGTGAGGCAAGGAAACGCCATACACGTTCGCTTCGAAGATATCGGGATGGCTGCCGAGGATTTCGGCCACCTCGCTGGTTGATACGTTTTCACTCTTCCATCGGAACGTGTCCCCAATACGGTCGGTGAAATACCATCGACCTTCAGGATCCCATCTCATAGTATCGCCAGTGCGGAACCATGCGTCACCCTTGACAAAGACGTCTCGTATGATCTTGGTCTCCGACGCTTTTGCGTTATTATAATAGCCCTGGAATTTGTCTGAAATGTTTTGCGGATCTAGAGCATATAGCAACTCGCCCGGTTCTCCTCGCGGCACACGTCGGCAGAGTCCGGTGACTGAGTCGCGCCGTGGAGTCTGTAATTCATGGTCGACTTCAACAACAGCCATAGTGCCTCCCAGGATGAGTTCCCCGATGTATCCATTTCGGCCAATTGCACCAGCAGTGTAGTCATTGGATGATAGATTCCAGTGTCCAGAGAAACCCTCGGTAGCCGAGTAAAACTCGCCAATCGTTTCGATGCCGTAACGCTCCTTTACTTGGCTCCATACGTCTGGCCGCATGCCATTTCCGTACGCCAAACGCACCTTATGCTTCTTGTCAAGGTCCTCGCCAGTAACAGGGTCAGTTTGACGAGGAGCAGCGAGAAGATAGCGCATGGTTTCGCCGACGTACTGGATAACCGTCGCGTCACTATCACGAACTTCGTTCCAAAAGTTCCGAGTCGAGAAGCGATGGCCAATCACGATCGTCGACCCGTTAAAAAGTGTAGCGGTGAAAGCTAGAATAGCCGCTGTTGCATGATAGAGAGGCATACACTGACTCAAGTCAGCAGCCATACTTAAATTTTCACAGTTGAAAACCACTTACGGTAAAGATTCGATCATCAGGCTTCAGCTTCAGCCAATTGCCAATGAAGATACTTCCAGCCCAGCACTTTGACACACCGACAAGGGCAGGTTTTGGGTATCCAGTAGTGCCACTCGTGAATATTAACAAAGTCATGTCGCTAGGTTTCGAAAAGCTACGCACGCTATCTTCTTCTCTAATAGCGGGCATCTGTAGGACCTGAGTCTCAACCTCCCGGTTAAAGAAGACCACTTCCACCCCTCCCTTTCCATCTCGAAAGTCGGCAGACGATATTGTAGCTAGCTGCTCCTCGGAGAAATGACTCCGAATCTCCTCGTCGGCGATCAACACTCTGGCGGTGGATACTTTGATGCAATGGGTCAGTGGTTTCCCACTGAGGTTATAGTTGATGAACGCCGGAACGGCTCCGATGCTACACAAGCCCATCCAAATGAAAATATAATTGGCCGAGTTCATAAAGTCCAGGGCGACAATCTCCTTCGGCTTGACGCCCAGATTCTGCTTGAAGAATTGTCCATATCGGAGAACGGTCTGATACGCTTCGTGGTATGTCCATGTTTGGCCGTTGTAAACGATGAATGGTCGGTTCGCAGACTTGGGAGCCAAGGCGTGTTTCTCAAGTATATAGAAAAAATTCAGGCGGTCCTGACGAGTGGCCAGTTTCACCCTAAGGGTTATCGCGAGCAAGGTGGTGATAAGCTGATAGTCATAGAAGAAGGACCATCTTGCGTTCAGGTAGGCGAGCAATGTGGCAACCGCGGGAGCCGCATATTTCACAGGGACGTCTGGAAGAATGGTTAGTTAGAAAACCCTCGAAAATGATCGTTATCTCCGGGAGGCGTACTAGGGAGAGGCGGAAGCGACGGCATAGCGGTGAGTTAGCCCGACAAATCTTGGATGTACACAACGAAGTCTAGAGAAACAAGATCCGAGCGCGAGAAAAACACAACGCAAAGCCAGGCATGAGAAGGGGGAGAAGAGGGAGAAGGAGTAGGAGAAGGAGAAAGGCGAGCGGGAATTTAGCAGGTATTATTAAGAATGTCCGGACATTACGAATAACAGCAGCATGATGCGAGATGGGAGTTGACAGGCTAGTTAGCACTTAGTAGCTGCTGGTGTCAGTTGGTTATGCATGCGGTGCTTCCCACTTTACCTCGGCCGAACCGCACCCCCCACCACATGCCACGCTTCCCAATCGCAGCTCTCGTGCCTCTCGCCTCTTGTGACCCAGGAATGTCGGAGTGCCGCGGATGCGTAACTGTTCATTCTTCAGGTTCGTTATACGAGCATGCTTGTGAAAGAGTGGTTAGGTCAATCAATATACGCTAGTCTTTTGCTGTTATTGTTGCACAATCCGCTTTATACATAGCTAACCTACGCATCACCGATAGGGATCAGCCTATCGATTGTACTTGATAGCGCCACCCTTATCAATTAATTGAAGAGGCCAAACATTGAATGCCAGCAATTATTATTGGTGACAACGCTATCTAGTCCTGTTGTAGAGAAATAACATATAATTCTATAATAATGTCGCCTGTTGTACTATCACATCTACATGCTTGTAGTATAGATCTCAATTGATGTTACATACCCCCCCCCAATCGCAGTGTGGAATTACTCGCAAGTGCCGTATTGTGTGGGAAGAGCTTGTAGTTCTCGGCTGCCCCCCCATGTTAATTTGAAAACAGAGTCCAGGACTATCACATCGATCGTGTCAAAGAGACAACAGGAAAATGAAAAGAAAGAAAGAAAAAAGAAAAAACAAATCCTAGACAGAACCCCGCTGTTGGTGATCCGCCGAGCCGGCTGCTTGTAGTGACGATCTATAAACTTCATTCATTGCGAGGCTAGAGGTATGTAAACTTTTAACCCATGTAAAACAAGATCCAAGGCTACTTAGCCAAAGGCACATCGTCAATAAATTCCTGCTTCATAAACTCACGAAGCCTCTCCAACGCTTTCTCCAAGACCTCGGTCTCGGAAACATATCCAATGCGCACATAGCCTTTGAAATCACCATCACGGCCAAAGCACTGGCTACCAGGCACCACCAGAACGCCGGCTTTGTCATTCAGCAGCTTGCACAGAGCAATATCATCCACTGGGCGGCCCATCTTGGAGAACTTCACAAAGGCAGTCGTTCCAGCGCATGGTTTTACCCAATCACAACCCCATCGATGAGATTCAATGAACTTTTCCAGCAGGTCGAGGTTTTTCCGGGCTAGCTGGAGATTTCGGTCTAGCAGGTTATGGATGGTGTGTGGGGCAAGAGCAAACGATGCAACGGCGTCGTCGAGCTGGCTGACGGAGATGGTGGTGTAGTCCCTACCTACTGCGCACCGTTCGATGATATCTTTATTCCGCGATGCTATCCATCCGACCCGAATACCTGCGAGACTGTAGGCCTTGGACATGGAACTGGTCACTACTGCATTTTCATATCCGAGAGAAAGTAGAGAGGGCGGGAATTCCGGGTCGGCTGGGGAGATTGAGTGGAACAAGGGACGATATACTTCATCCGCATGGATGATGATTGATTGGCGGCGAGCAATGTCTACAATTTCCTGAAGCTTTGAGCGCGGAATAATAGCACCTGTCGGATTTTGAGGATTACTAGTAGCCACTGTAAGCGAGGTGTTCGAGATATATCAAAGACAATGTTGTGCAATCAACTTACTTTAGAACAATTAATTTGGTATTCGGACGGATCAGACTCTCCAATTCCTTTGTGTCAACTTCCCATTTATTCTCTTCTCTCGCCTTCCAGAGACTGACCTCAGCCCCGATGGACTCAGGGACCGAGTACAGCTGCTGGTAAGTTGGGTAGTGGACAACCACATGGTCTCCAGGGCCAACCAGAGCATAGTGGAGGAGGAAGTTTGCTTGGATAGCCCCGGATGTGATCAATATATTCTCTTTGGGCAATGAGTCCGGTGTCTTGACCGAGTACAGACGCGACAGATGCCCCAGGAACTCGTCGGAGCCTCGAATAGCACCATAGGTGAGTTTTTGTGTCAGAGAAAGAGGCCTGATGGATTTTTCTGAGGACAGGTTTTGAAGGTCTTCAATGGAGATGGAAGCACAGCATGTCTCAGCTATGTTGTACGTTGTTTTGGTTTCATACGTGTCCATCCACTATGCGACTTGTCAGTAACAAGTCATCAGTAAATTGTTGGAGTAGCTTAGGGATACATACTTGCTCGACGGCGAAAGGCTCGATTTTGACCATTGGGACGATCTGCAGTTATTTCTGATTATGACCGATGTGAAATTGACTACAGAAGAAAGGGATAATGGCAGACAGGCTTTATATTCACAGTTGGGTAGAATCGAAGGATCAATTGATGCCACGCCCTGCAACATCTTCCCCACTGTGGAGTCACGCAAAATCATATGTACACTGCGGGGTACCGCAAGTTGATGCCATTGGATCATGTAGAAAATTCTGGAATTCAAACATAGAGAAACCTTGTCATGGGGATAACATCAACAAATTGAGTGTGTTAATTCTAATATCGAATTCTATTTATTTCCATAGATCCACAGGATAGAAAGAGCACACACGATCCGAATTGAATGCGATTATCATAAACAGATTGCTCACTGTTTAAAGCGAGACATTAGGTTTACATTAAAGATAAATGTTATGTCTCAATATGGAACTAAATCTCCTCTGCAGATCGCAGCAAACGTTGTTGGTCGAGTTCCACTCGGATAGCTTCGCATCATTTTCATCCCACCCAAGGCTAGCGGTTTTGGTTCAGGCTGGAAGACAAAGTCGAACTTTCCCTTCGCTGCCGTGACCTTGGGGATCAATAGAGCGTTGAGGCCGCGGTCATCATGTTCCGAAAGGAAGAGTCCTTCGTAGGGTTCTGAGATATTGCAGAGAAATCAACCTAATCCCTAGTGTAATAAGGCCAGAGGTCTCTCAGAGTATGAAGACCTATCATTTCTGGATTGTGAACTAGATCAAACTGCGGCTTCGAATGCTCTTGAAAGTGTTCCAGCGTCTTTCCAAGTGAGGACAGATAACAGTGCATAGCAGTACATGATTATATCCATAATCATTATGTAGTACTAAACATTGAACAATCGACTGTGTACCTGAGAATGTGACGCAAGTCATCTGACAGGCGGGGCGAGGTACGCTCTTCCTGCACCATGATTGGCCAGCACGGAGCGATCTTTATCCGGGCGCAGTCTTAGCGGTCTTCCGTCCGGCAGCCTAGGTACTCCACCAATTAGGTCATAGGAGGCCATCACACTTCCCCAGCTTGCCAGCCTCACCTCGCTCCTCATCGTCATCACCAGACCTGCCCGCGACACTGCCTAGCTATCGGGCACTGCACCTTCGTTTGCAACATAAGCATCTCTCTTGAACGAATTTCTCTTTCTGTATGCGAATCAACAGTCCATTTCATGGCTTGCTAGCAATTTGATCCTGCTGTTGCCTGTTCCGCAACGGTTCCACCTATCTCCTGCTTCGTCCAGAGCTCTGTCAAAGCATTCCAGAATGCGAGCCATATATCTTCTTGGGATAGCAAGCGCCCTAGCTTCCTCAGGGAGCGGTGTTGTCGCTCTCAACTACAGTTCCGATAACATAGACCCTCTATTTTCCGTCTTCGACGACCGGCCCGCCGACTGCCCGCCATGCTTCAATTGCCAACTCGATGCGTTCCAATGTCACCAGTTCGCTTCTTGCAATAGATACACAGGGAAGTGCTCCTGTCCTCCCGGCTATGGCGGCGACGACTGTTCCACACCAACCTGTGGCTCTCTCGCTGATGGCGTCAACCGAGGCCCGCGCCAAGATAAGTACTGCAATTGCAAGGATGGCTGGGAGGGAGTCAACTGCAATGTCTGCAAGACGGATGAAACATGTAACGCAATGATGCCGGATGGAGAGGGCGGTGTGTGTTATACGCAAGGACTCGTTGTGAAAGAGAATCATCAAATGTGTGATGTTACAAACCGCAAAATTCTTGATCAACTGAAAGAGCGGAAACCACAAGTGACCTTCTCCTGCGAAGCAGAAAGCAAAACATGCAATTTTCAATGTACGTCTTATCAACAAAACTATCAAATAATCACTGACTTTGCATACAGTTTGGGTTGACCAGGTCGAGTCGTTCTACTGTGCTCTCGATTCATGCAGTTGGGGAATGGATGCGGAATACGATCGAAATAAAACACATTACAACTGTGATAAGGTCCGCTGCCAGTGTATCCCGGGGCGCATGCTTTGTGGCGAAGAGGGTTCAATAGACATTGGGGACTTTCTTACTGAGGAAATCAAAGGCCCAGCAACTTTCAATACTCTGTCAACAGATGCGGGTGTTGAAGATGGAAGCACTTTTAAAGAGCCTGCTATGGATGATTTGATTAAGAGCGTGTTCGGTGATGAAAGCATTACGCTGCAATGCCACTCCGGCGAGTGTCTCTACAAGACAGATGTGCCTGGCTACCAGCGCCCAGTGAAAGAGATCAACAAGCCTCTTATTGCTGGAGTCATTGCTGGTTGTGCTCTATTCGTCGTCGCAGTGATTCTAGGCATCTGGTATCTTTCCAGGCGTGCCGCTTACCGCGGTTACGGTGCCATCAGACTTTCTGATGATTCAGAAGACGAATCTGACAAGCTTCTCAGCGACCAGCGCGCCGCTTCGTTGCTCTTTGAGAATGTTTCATATCACCTCAATGAGAAGGAGATTCTGTCTGGTATTCAAGGGGCCGCTCACCCGGGTGAAATAACGGCCATCATGGGCGCTTCTGGAGCTGGAAAGACCACCTTCCTCGACATCCTAGCACGGAAAAACAAGCGCGGGCTGGTTCAAGGTGAATTTTACGTCAATGGTGAGAAAATCAGCGATAGTGATTTCAAGAGCATGATTGGCTTTGTAGACCAAGAAGACACCATGCTTCCGACTTTGACTGTTCACGAGACTATCTTGACGAGTGCTCTTTTGCGACTTCCCAAAGACATGAGTCGTTTTTCTAAGGAGCAAAGAGTTACTGAAGTTGAAAAGCAACTTGGTATTCATCACATCAAGGACCAAATTATTGGCTCTGAAGAAGGCCGTGGGCGTGGAATTTCTGGCGGAGAAAAAAGAAGAGTAGGAATTGCTTGCGAGCTAGTCACAAGCCCGAGTATTCTTTTCCTCGATGAGCCTACAAGTGGTTTGGTGAGAGAACTCCCATTGTTCATTTTGGTGCTGTTTACTAACTTTCGAAGGATGCATTCAATGCCTTTAACGTCATCGAGTGTCTCGTGACCTTGGCAAAGACGTATAATCGCACTGTTGTATTCACCATTCATCAACCACGCTCCAACATTGTTGCTTTATTCGATCGACTTATCCTCTTGGCTAAGGGAAAGACTGTCTACTCCGGCCCGTTTTCGACTTGCCAACAATACTTTGACCATATTGGCTACTCGTGTCCTTCTGGCTTCAATATTGCTGACTTTCTGGTTGATCTAACCATGCATGCCCTCGGCTCACAGACACCTGTCGAGGAAGAGAATTTGCTAGACGTGCACACTGACAACCTAAAAACTGCATCTAGCAGCTTGCGAGCTGTTAAATCCATTGCTAGTGCATCCAATGCTAGTATTGATGAGCTTGGAAGAAACGCTCAAGATGCGACATCGCGTGCTAGCAACAAGCGACGCCAATCTTTGAAGCAACGGCAAGATAAACAGCTCTACACTCGGCGAAAAGCGGACCTAGAAATACCTCCTCCTCCGACTCCTAAAACTGATGAAGACGAAGCCAGCCCTACAGCAGCGAGCAATACTCAACAGTGGCTCCGACTATCTGCTCGCCGTGGCGCTGTCCCTCCTCAAATCCTTGATGATCCGGATCAGCTTCCTCCACCAGCCTCGGGCACTACCGACTTGGATGTACTTGTCGCCAACTACGCCTCGTCAGACGTAGCTAGCTCTGTCCATGAAGAGATTGTGTCTTCTATACAGCGTGCTAATGCGGCAAACGGGAACCAGAATGCAGATGCCCTTGGGAACAACGTGCCTGCAATGGGATATGCTCGTGTCGGTCTCCTGCGACAGTTTGTGATTCTCTCTCAACGGACGTGGCGGAACTTGTATCGCAATCCGATGCTGATGCTAACCCACTATGCTATATCTATTCTCCTGGCAGTTTTGTGTGGTTATCTGTTTTACGGACTCACGGATGACATTAAGGGGTTCCAAAACCGACTTGGCTTGTTCTTTTTTATCCTTGCGCTTTTCGGTTTCAGCACATTGACAAGTCTTAATGTTTTCTCTTCTGAACGGCTACTCTTTGTTCGCGAACGTGCAAATGGTTACTATTCGCCTCTTGCGTATTTCTCTGCCAAGGTTGTTTTCGACATTGTGCCTCTTCGTCTAATTCCCCCAATCCTCATGGGTGTTATTGTTTATCCGATGACTGGGTTGATTGCGGCATGGCCCGAGTTCTTGCGATTTGTTCTCATTCTGGTTCTCTTCAACTTGGCTGCTGCTGGAATCTGTCTCTTTATTGGCATCGTGTTCCGCGATGGCGGTGTTGCTAATCTCATTGGAAGCTTGGTCATGCTATTCAGCTTGCTGTTCGCCGGTCTTCTTCTCAACCACGATGCTATCCCTAAAGCGGCTTTGTGGTTGCAAACTGTGAGTGTCTACCCCTTTTTCATGGCTACGGGTTATACTAATTAAGTTGCAGCTATCCATCTTCCATTACGGATTTGAGGGCCTAATTGTAAACGAGGTTACCTTTTTAACCTTAATTGACCACAAATACGGTCTGGATATCGAAGTTCCAGGAGCTTCGATCCTAAGTGCATTTGGGTTTGACACCCTTGCTCTTTGGAGCGACGTGATCGGGCTTGCCGTTATTTCTGCAGCGTTTATCGTTCTTGCGTATGCTGCTATGCATGTTCTATTAGTGGAGAAGCGTTGAGCGCTCTGCACTTGCATATATATACTTTACTGCGTACACGCTGACTGATACCAAGTCATTGATGTTTGTGAACTTATAGAAATTTTACGTGTGACTTGATATCATATGCGCTTGGTTCTGGGTTTGGTTTGCATGGTTTCGCAGGCAGGAAGTCAGCCCTGATGTACCTATTATAACTTTTCTCATAAGAATTCAATGTCTACAAACATACCTGATCTGTCGAGCAAATACCTGTACTTGATAATATATGTAGAGATGTAGCCGGATTCGGTGACCCCGCTTAGCTCAACATGGGAGTTTTCACATGACCGGGACTGCAGCAGCATTCCGCAGAATATTCTTGCAGGCTTCTAATATTGCGTGGTTGAACACCTTCAGAATAATATTTACACCACACGTCTACTCTTCTCCAGCGCCAGATAATTCGACATCCTCAGCGTCGACTTACGCAGCTCCAATTATTGCCAGGCAGAAATTCCCCACGCGGCTAAGCTAGGCCGGCCTAGTTTGCATTCGATTCACCCAGCCGACTCAGACCTCACCAAGGCTTAAGCTGCACAAGCGACCTGACCTCCAGCCAAATCCACAACTCTCCGGTGGCAACAACCAAGCCCTCGTGCCTGTTCCCTTTATCGCGAAAAAGTTCGTACCTAGCTCGGTGATCTTGTTCTCCTAACCTGCTCTTGGGCATCCCTCCTACCTTTCTCCCACTAGCGATCGCGGCTTGTCGGTCATCCTCCGCACTCAACCCAACCAGCTGCTGTCCACTTCTGAATATATCTGATCTTTCTGATCGACTAGGAGTTTCTTCACAATGTCCGGTGAGGCTTGGCTGTACCTGTTGGCGGTGTTGATAAACGCCGTCAACCTGTTCCTCCAGGTATTTTTCACAATCATGTACAGCGATTTGGAGTGGTGAGTAAGCTGCTATCGGCCATGGGATGGTCCGATAGAATGTCCTGCTTTGCTTTATGACGCATTCTGACCATGCGAAACCGCAGTGATTACATCAATCCTATCGATCTCTGCAACCGCCTGAACGCCTACATCGTACCTGAAGCCGCTGTCCACGCCTTTTTGACCTTCTTGTTCGTCATTAATGGCTACTGGCTCGCTATCATTCTCAACCTCCCGTTGCTTGCCTACAATGGAAAGAAGTATGTTCTTACTAAACCTGGGTAGAAGGACACCTTCTAACGCGCCTTAGGATCTTCGACAACCAGCACCTTCTAGATGCTACCGAGATCTTCCGGAAATTGAATGTTCACAAGAAGGTGCGTACTACCAATTTGAAGTCTTGGTTTAGGGTAACCTAACGAATATGCAGGAGTCTTTCATCAAACTTGGTTTCCACCTTTTGATGTTCTTCTTCTATCTCTACAGCATGATCGTCGCACTGATTCGCGACGAGACCCACTAAATCCGTAGCAAGTGACCATGCTATTCACGTATGACCTTTTATCCGAGATTCTATGCGAGGAAGTCATACGAAGTGGAGAACGAGCATTCCCAGAAGTTTGCCACTGGAGGAGAGAGTAGGCCCTTTGGAGTACTGGTCCAGACTGGATAACTTTTCGCTGAGAAACGGACTATGAGTGACGACTGGAGTTTGCTACTGATTTAAAGAATGGTTTCGAACGAGGGTTGTTGGCTGCGACGACGATAAATGGCACTGGTTTTTTTACCCTTTCGACGATCTGTGTGTGGGCATGATGCTCCGCAGGGGACTGTGAGGTGTGTAAAGGTTTTCTCTGTGCTTTTAAAGTTGTATATACCTCTTGCGCGATTTATCAATCGCCCAATCAATATACCTAATTTAAGATCTCTCGCTTTGGCTAGTAAGCTATAAAAATTATGGCAGCGCAACTGCACATATGGTCCGTGTGGCGGCCCGTAATATTTCAAGATAGTCGATAACTCTCCACTACTACTATTCCGCCGCAACAAAATCATATCTTACACATTTCCCTGTGCCCATCATGGCTTCACTTCTGGCCGGAAAATATGATTCATCAAGCGATGACGAAGCCAAGCCCAATACAACATACACCTCAGCGACCAAAATCGTCGCCGCTCCTGAAGTCAATGTAGAGGTTTGGTCCCCGCCACTACAGCAAGACATGAAATCAAGAGAATTTTGCGGGTACGATATCTAACAATGGTCATACAGGATCAATCCAGATTGCAGCTCATCACCGGAGCTGGGAACTCGACTGCGCTCACATACAACGCGACGTACGATGACTTGACACGCCCAGCGCAAGGTCCCGTCAATCCATTTAAATCTAATAATGGCGTTGGCAATGGGCTGAAACGCAAGAATGTGCCTACGGGCCTCGCTGAAGAGGCAGCAATCAGTGAAGCGACCTTCATTGCGCAACACCGCACGTTTCAAAGCCTCGGATACTCGCGTGACCCCAGCAAGCCGGACGCTTTCGTTGGTGATTTAGCCAGTGCCGCGCAACATGGCGGAAGAGACTTGGTGCAAATGCGGCCATCCAAAGAGGCATCAGCAGCGTTGCGACGGAAGAGACAGAAGAAGGGAGATCCGAGTATTGTGGAGGGGGAAGGGGCGTATCTGGGGCCGTGGGCGAAATACCAGAATGATGGTCAGATGTATGAGGAAGAAGCGGCTGAGGCGGACTACGAGCTTGCGAGTGACGAGGAATACGTCGAGGAGGAGGGAGGCCTCGCGATCTCGGAGCTAGGTGCCATGGCGACTGATTACCAGGAAGATACGTCGCAGAGCGAATCTACAGAGTTTCATGGTAGCGAGCAGTTCGACTATCTTGGACGAACTTATATGCAAGTTTCTCCAAGCATCTATAGGTCTATATGCGTTTTGCTAACCTTACATATAGGCATGTTCCTCAAGATCTCGATATTGATCTCAAAAAGGAACCCGGCAGCGTCAAGAATTTCATCCCCAGGAAACTGGTACAGACTTGGCAATCACACACGAAACCGATTACATCGCTCCGCTTCTTCCCCAGATCCGGGCACTTATTACTGTCCTCAGCTGCCGACGGAAAAGCCAAGATCTGGGATGTTTACCACCAACGCGAACTCCTGCGCACATTCTCCGGCCACTCCAAAGCCATTAGCGACACCACCTTCCACCCCACAGGCACCACTTTCCTCACAGCCTCATACGACCGGCAAATCAAACTATGGGACACTGAATATGGCAAATGCATCTCCCGCTTCACCACAGGCAAAACCCCGCATGTTGTCCGCTTCAACCCCGACCCCGAACACTCACACGAGTTCCTGGCCGGCATGTCCGACAAGAAAATCGTGCAATTCGACACCCGCTCCGGCGAGCTCGTACAGGAGTACGACCACCACTTGGCTGCCGTTAACACAATCACCTTCGTTGACAACAACCGCCGCTTCATCACCACCTCCGACGACAAATCTCTGCGAGCATGGGAATACGGAATCCCCGTGCCCATCAAATACATCGCCGAAGCCGACATGTTCGCCATGGTACGTGCCTATCCTCACCCATCCGGAAAATACGTCGCCTTCCAATCCGGCGACAACCAAATTGTCGTGTACGCGGCAACCGACAAGTTCCGGCAGAACCGAAAGAAGGGATTCCGTGGCCACAACAATGCGGGATATGCCATTGACGTTACGTTCTCCCCCGACGGCCAGTTTATTGCCAGCGGTGACTCTGGTGGTTACGCCTGCTTTTGGGATTGGAAAACCGGAAAGATGTATCATAAGATTCAGGCGGGTGGGAAGGAAGGCTCGGCTGTTACGTGTCTGGACTGGCATCCACAGGAAACTAGTAAAGTCGTCACGGGTGGTTTGGACGGTCTTATAAGGTATTGGGATTGATTGGTGTATAAAAGATGTTAGTTTAATTGCGGGCTAGTATGAATATGGTATTATTTGATATAAGAAGTAGATTTTCTGTATTCATATACAATTCCTTTGAGAAGAGATAATGGACGGTTTTCAAATGTACAATGTTCCATATTGTAAAACCACTTAAATGCCGCGATACTAATTAATTAATGGTGAGAAGAGTAAGACGCCGAAAGATGCATATCACATAAGCCCAGTGTAAGGGATATCGGCCCTTGTCCATTCCACTCAACGCCCGCTCACGAGGAAAAGTTATAGACAAGAGGAATTGGAAGTAGACATTCAAAAGTAAGATCTCGTAAGATTCTTTTTGGGGTGTGAGAGTGATCGATTTGGGTTGGTAGAGCGATGAGAGCGGAAAGATCACTGCTCGAATGCAAGAACAAAACGGATCAAAAGCTCGCCATCTCGATATACGTGCTAATGAAGCTCAATTTCTTGCCCTCTTCTGTATTCATAATGCGCCGAAACTCGTCGTAGTCCAATTTAGCCCCACCGCCGCGTTCAATGGACTCGCGCTCTACTTGATTGAGGCGCGCCCAGTATGCTAATTGACGGCGAGATGGTGTGCTTGATAGGTGTTTTTGAGGAGGGAGGGTTGGTGAGGCATGCACAGGAGATCCAGTGGATGGCGAGGGTTTTAAGATAGGTGAGAACTTGGGAGCTGTTGCTTCGGCTGCGTTGGAGTTGTCTGGGTGTGGGGCGGGGAATGTCGTTGATCTGTCAAGCTGGAGGCGAAGAGACAAAGCCGCTGCAGCGGGGATGGTTTCTTCTTCATTGGGTCGATGTTGAGGCAAGGTAGGGTCAATTGCTTCGACTATCTCGACTTTTTCAACTTCCTCGGAAGTGGTTGCGTCAGGAGGGGGGTCGTCAGTGATCACGGAATAGCCTGCAGCATTCAACAAATCATCCAGGGGTTTGTCGCCTGTCGACCGGCCGATTGGCTCTGGGCTGCTTGTAGCAATGGGTTTCTTTGGGTCGAGATATGACTCGATTTCAGCAGCCCATTGAAGGCGTTCTTTGCGAGTTCGACGAGCCTCCATCAGCAAATCCTCTTTCTGCTTGAACAAGGTGTCGAGTAGATCGTTCATTCCTTCTTTCGTGGCCTGGTAGAGTATCTCCTTGCCAACATCTCGCTCTGGTTCTGGCACCTCAAACCCACCCCAGCGTTCTCCCACTGAAGTTGAACCGTTGGATCGAACATCAAAGTCGTCATCTTCGAAGCGAACTTTCGAAGACGATCGTGATCGAAGAGACGGAGGTCGAGACGATTGTTCAGGATCAAGTGCCTCGTCGGGGGATTCGTTCACATCCGACTCATCCTCAAATCCCTCTGGAGCAGCGGCCCCGTCTTCTTCATCGGTGTAGAATTGCCTCCGACGCCAACGCTCATGGATCGCGTTTCTACGAGCTTCTTCGATTGCCGATGAGCCAGAGCTTTCTTCTGACTCCGATTCTTCTTCTTCCCCTTCTTCCTCTTCTTCTTCGTCTTCCTCCTCCTCCTCCTCCTCCTCCTCCTCCTCCTCCTCCTCCTCCTCCTCTTCGGTTTCGCTCGCGCTTTCGACCTCGGCCACAACTTCTACTTCGGCTTGGTCATGCTCTCCGTCGTTTTCATTTTCGTCATCGCCATCCTCCTCCTCGCCCTCCTCTTCTACCACGGCATGTTCGTAGTTTTCGATAAGCTCTGTGTCGATGTGGCCATTCAATGGCGGAGTAGGGGGCGATCCAGTCCGCACAGCTGCCAAAGGGCGTGCTTGTCCGAAACGGTCCCGAACAGCAGCTTCGCCTACAGCTGTATAAATATCGCCATAGTCCATGCTGTCGGGTCGCAGCACATCACCTCCATCGACAACCTCCATATCTCCATCAAGATTGGTGCGTTTACCTTCTCCTGTCCGGGGGGGCTCTGCATTACCGAAATTTCCGCCAAACGCTGAACTAAGAGGCCGAGTTCCCAGGACAATATCACGTGCGATGGTGCCAGTGCCATCGCCAGATCCAAAATCTTCTTCCCATCCATGCACCATATCCGCAGTTAACTCCTTGATGAGGGCATAAAACGCGCGGAACAAGCGCAAGAAATCTTTCCGTTCAACATAGCCATCCCCATCAATGTCGTATCCCTTGAAGATACGTCGCATTTTTTCGTCGATCGCCTTGTTGTTGAAACTAGCTATTCCTTTCAGAAACTCTTCAAAGCCAATGAGATTATCCCCATTGGAGTCATAAAAGGCAAACATGCGGTCAAAAATCAGGCTTGGTGGTGGGGGTCGAGAGGATGTGTTTGGAACGAAACACCGATCGAACGTTTTGCGATCAATAGCCATGCCCAACTTGTTCGGGTCTGCAGTCCAAGTAGCATTGGCTAGACATCGAAATTGGTCCCACAATGCGTCAAGCTCTGTGTTTTCAAAATTCGTCTCTTTGACTAGACGCCGTGCCAGAGGAGGTGGAAGGTTCTTCGGTAGGTTCTCAGGCTTTCCAGGATACCAGACTGGCCGTGCCTGACGGGGATTGCCCATATACGGTGCAGGTATACGAACTTTGAGAAACAGGTGCGTCTTATTATGAACTTGCTGTGCTTCGCACATCTCGCAGAGATCGAAATCCACACAGTTATCACATCGATACCGGATACCCTGAATAGGCATCATACCACAGTTATTGCAGGTCACACCACGGTGAATATATCCATCCTTCCTGGCTTGGTCCTCAGCGATGTGGTAAAGGAGGTTGAGCAAGTTCTGGCCCTCCCGAGTAGGCTCCCCATCAGCATTGTCGTTACGCCAGGAGAACATACTCTCATTATCTCCCATGCCAGGTACTGGTTCATCCAATTCTCGTATATCAGACCCTTGAACAATAACCCTAACACCATACTGTCGACGATGGCGCAATACTTGGCCAAAGTGCGGATCTTCATTGATCGCGTCAAGCATGGCATCAATGTCAGCATGTGTAATTCCCCGTTCATTAAGCTCTCTGATCAAATACTCGCGCTCCGTGGTTCCCCTGGGAAATCTGTGGCCAGGTGGGAAGTCGAGAGAAAGGAAGTTCTCAAGAAAGTAATTCTCCATCATTTCACGGTATCGGTCCGCAGTATCCTCATCTATTCCGTCTATAGCCATGAGCTGTTCACGAGTACCAAGAAATGAAGGAAGTAGGCCACACTCGAACCTGGTGGTACCACTGATCTCGATTCTGAATATTCCATAAGGGACATTATTGCGCTCTTGCCGTTCAAGGTGCGCGATCGCTTGCCAGGACGGACTATCGACAACATCACTGTAACGTGGACGGCGGTTGCGACGGAGAACAGCACCTCGGCGGCGTAGCCGCGTGGTATTTTCAGACGAGGCTCTTGTATTGGACCGTAGATACAACAATCCGCCCACTGCAGCAACGCCGGCGATCGCGAGCAACAGGGGGCGGTATCGGTGGTATTCGTCGGCCATAGTCCGGGCGATTGTATCAAACTAGTTTCCTGCGTATTCGGAATGTAGACATGTGTGCAAAATCAGACTGTGGCTGGCTGGGAGGAGCTTCGAGAGAGGTTTATGTTGACATTGCTGGCGATGACTGGAACCGATTCACCGAAGTTTCAGTAGAAATCGTTGTCCTCAATGCGCTGAATCCGTGAACTGACAGACAGAGGAAAGAGGTTGCACATATAGCTCGACTAAAACAAATTTTATGAGCAGGCGATGTGCACCAAGTTTCAAGACATGTTTGACAAAAAGCTGGGAGATCCGTAGTTGTTATGCGGTCATCAATTGAATTAGTTGAAGGCGGAGAGCTGGCTGTGCGCTTTACCCGTTTTGGAGTCACTCATGAGCAGCACCGATAGTAGGGCTTATTCTTGCGAACCATTTCCATGTTGTAGATAATAATTTTTTTGCTCATCTATTGTTCTATTCGACAGTACCTATATCAGGCTTAAATGATCTCTATATACCATCTATACGATCATGAACTCGTGGCCAACGACACTGATATCCCTAATATCTCTCCACGCACCGTCAATTCAATCGCTTCTCATTTATAAAAATGCTACCGAAGAGCGCAAAAGCCACCACGAAAATCTGAAACCCAAATGTCAAGTTGGTTGACCAGCCGTAGGACTTACGAACAACATCTTGCAAGGCCGGCGGTAAGGTCTTGATGAAGTCCAAAGATTGTCGTACATCTCGAATGATGTGGTCGATTTCTCCACTGTCTCGCAGTGCTGTCTGGAGCCGGTCGCGGAGAACTTGCTGTTCGACTGTAGCGGATAGTGATAATCCGATTACAGAGCCTAGAGTTCTGAAGAGATAGGAACAGGCTGTGACAACGGCTTGATTTTCGGGAGAGGCATTGGCGACTGCAATGAGGAGGGAATTGTTAGTATCGAGCTATTAGAATTAAAGACTGGGACAGTTAAAGCTTACTCAGGCCAATCAACGTTGTCGTGACGCCGATTCCGTTTCCAAAGGCACATATGGTTGAGCCGACAATTATCAAAACAGCGTTGTTCACAATCGTGCCCGAGAATAGGAAAATAACAGTCATACCAACTGTGAGTAATGCATATCCAATCACAGTGATGTTGTAGTATCTTCCAGTCCGCCTCATCAAATACCCTGAAAATAAGGAGCCTGATACTCCACAAAGGATAGAAGGCAGCAGTCTCATACCTGCCACAGTTGCCGATACGCCGTCGACAGCCTGGTAATGAAGCGGCAGGTAAAATATAGCAGCCAACCAGCCACCAAAACTGAAGAAATTACAAGCATAGCATGCAAAGAGAGTCTTATCGAAGATGAGATGCCCCGGCGCGAAGGGTTCGGCTGCAACGTAGACTTCCACGAGTATGAAAGCAACAAATAAAACCGACGAGATGCTTAGCGGTATGTAGCTGATAGGTATGCTCCAGGAGACGTTGCTCCCACGATCCAAGCCAATAAGGAAACCTAGAACAGCCCCCACGAGAATGATAGCTCCGAGAAAGTCAATGCGTCGTAGCTTCGAGCGCCAATCGCCTGTATCAGGATTGGGAACTTTGAGTAGAACAGTGACAAGAATAAATGCCACCAGGCAAAGAGGCACTTGCGCGATGAAAGCCCTAGATTTATGAGTAGGTATACGTCATACGTGGATCCATTTGACTTACCAGCGCCAGCCAATATAATCAGCCAGAATACCACCTATCTACGTTAGAAAATATTTCGTCAAGACGGGGACGTGTTACCTAGCGGAGCACCAAGACCTGATCCAGTAGCATAAATAATGTTGATAATTCCCTGCCAAAGACCTCGATCACGCAAAGGTATAATATCGCTCATGAGAATGCTGACAACTGTTGTCATTCCTCCTCCACCAATACCTTGATATACCTAGAGAGTAATCAGTACGATCGATATAAAACAAAAACACAACTCAACATACCCTCGCTGCAATCAATTGATTGATATCCTGCGCAAGGCCGCAAAACAGATTTCCCGTACCAAAAATCACATAAGCAAATAACAGACATGGTTTCCGACCAAAGATGTCGCTCAGTTTGCCGTACAGTGGCTGGAACGAGGTGAGGGTAAGGAAGTAAGAGGTCGCGATCCAGCTTGTCAAGTTGAGAGCATTCAGATCGCTGCCGATTTTTCCGTAACTTGCGACGATGATTGTCTGGTCGGCGGCAGAGAGAAAGACCTAGACAATATCCATTAGCCCTCCGAACTGACAGGTCAATGAGATAAGGCGATCGCATACTCCTATCGAAATAGCACCGAATATGTATTTCAATTGATTGGCGGAGATTTGCGCTTTTCCATCGGGAGTCGGCGCACTTGCTCCATTCGAAACTTCTTGGTTGATGGTACCATTGGTGTTTGTCACGCCATTTTCTCGCAGCAGAGGGGTGCTCTCTGTTGCGATCGCTTCCTCGGTAGACATCTTGGATGTACTGTACTCCGCCCAATGGTTCCGATTTTATCAGAAACTTGAAATAATAGACCGCTAGAAGAGTGGAAATTGACTATGTCATGCTTCCCATGAATCTTTGCATCTCCTCGGTTCCACATTAATGGCCTCGCGAATCGGAGGAAGCAATTATAGACTCATAATCTCGAGAACCGACGTGACGCTCGCTAGTTATGTAAGATGTGAATTAGCGGGGGAATATGCATGCACTAAGTAATTCCGCAATGATAAGACGCGGCGATGCTATCATTTCTGCATTTGATTATTCAGCGTGCATTAATTTAGTTAACTATTCAGTGGGCCATTCGGCATAATCGCCGAGCTCCCTGCGTGCCGACGAGTAATCAATATTATTGATCTGTATGTAATTACGTGAACAGAAGGGAATAACATTTATTTTAGCTGCCTGAAATTACGGAAAATGAACCCATGGGTATTTTGCTCGCTATTTTGCTCGCTCTGGATGCTTCGAAATTGCAAAGCGTTATGCCTGAGAAATATACCAAACTGTAAACATGCACGCCATCACCTCGTAGTGAGATCTATCATGTCGTCGCCGTATCTGCAGATGGAGACGGCTCTGGCAGAGGAATTGGGCCACCAGGTGAGTCCGGAAGTCTGGCTGTCAAGATCTCGACGCCATCTTCAGTCACCAGAAGAGTATGCTCGAACTGCGCAGACAAAGAGCCATCGGCAGTCACACTGGTCCAGTCGTCGGGCCATGTCTTATCTTTATGAATGCCAATATTGATCATGGGCTCAATGGTGAAGCACATGCCGGGTTTCGCGGCTCCAACGGTCTTGTTCTTTGCATAATGCGGGATATTCGGCGCAGTATGGAATAGTTGGTTGATACCATGTCCACAATAACTCTTGACAACACTGCAGTCACGACTTTTTGCATGTTTCTCGATGACATTTCCTGCTTCTCGGAATAACCACCCCGGCTTGACTAGCTCGATTGACTTTGCAAGACATTCTCGAGCGGTTTCGACAACTCGGACGGCTTCTGGGTTGGCCTTTGCCTTGTCACCCACATAGTATGTCTCATTCAAGTCACCATGGAAGCCGCCATGATACAAAGTAACGTCGATATTGACAATGTCGCCATCTTGTAAAGGTCGCTGATCGGGGATACCGTGACATATTGTCTCGTTAACTGATGTGCACACTGATTTCGGAAAGTTTACGTAGTTAAGAGGAGAGGGATATGACTAAAGAATATCAGTAAGGTTTGCAGCTATTAGAGCTGATCTTCTTACTTCACGTTCCAGACAAGCCTTGTGAACAACTTCGTCGATGTAGTCTGTTGTCACGCCTGGCTTGATTTCCCTCGCTGCAATGTCCAAGACTTCTCTCGCCAAGCGACAGACCTTTCTCATCCCTTCTTGTTCTTCCTTGTTCAAAATGGTGATATTATGGCGCCCAATGAACTTCTGTTCAGATCGCGGGATCCCATCTTTGGCATAGTCGGGGTGGGGGATCGTGGCAGGAACGACTCGACGCGGCGACAGAGGATAGACCGGACGGAGTGATCCGGTGAAAGGATATGTGGGAAATGGGTTGTATTGACCGGTAGCTGGATCTGGTTCAGAAACTACTTTCGGAGGGAATAGGTTGCGGAGGAGATTACTCTTAGGTTTGTGAATAGACTTGTGGGAGCCCTGTTATTCAAGTAAGAATAAGTCCATAACACATTCAACCCCAAATAAACATACCCAGCTGCGCTTAAAGCAGTCTTGTGAGCAGAAGAAGCTGTCTGTGCCCATTTTCAGGCAGGTGGGACATTGCAGAGTCCCCGCATCGTTGGGGCACTCAATGCCAATGCACTTGCGAGTCGCAACGTCCGCTGCCATGATCGGCGAGGAAAGGGTAGAAAAAGCGGATTGGCACGGAGAGAAGGGTCGGCTGGGACCTTGCGAGAAGCGGTGCTCCCGAGAAGCAGTGTTCCTCGGTGGTTTGTCAATAAGCAACGGAAAAAATTGACACCGGTGGCGGGGGTGGGGAGGCAATTACCCGATACGGCGCTTATCAATCGCGGAAGAGAAATCTTTTGACCCGCGACGACCCGAAGATAATGCCTGACTCACAATTGAATCACAAATCACGTTGAGAACGCCCGACACGGTATTGCGAATAAAGGCGTGTGGCCAGCAATGGCAAGCCCTCCGAAACAGAAGGTCGTCATCGTGGGTGCTGGCCCTGTTGGGTCTTTGGCTGCCCTCTATGCGGCTTCTCGAGGGGATGATGTTGAGCTTTACGAATTGCGAGGGGGTATGAGACCGTCCGATACTGTCATTCTTGTTTTTTGCGATTGAATCAGACCTTGCACCCAGCGAATCCTTTGAATATTCTTTCCTAACACATGTACTCCTTGCTGAGCTTGCATCTGAAAGCTATATATTATATTTGATGCTAAGCGTTACTCTTTGGGAAGTGCGATTGATCTAACCAATAATCCTATAGATCTCCGGGATTCATCGATTGTTCCGCTAAATTTCACAAAATCGATCAATCTGGCACTGTCAGAACGAGGCATAAATTCCATGCACCAGTCGGGCCATACAAAGGCTATCGATAACGTTCTGAACAAGGCCATCCCTATGCACGGGCGAATGATCCACGGCCGAGATATGTCTGGGAATCTGTGGGAGGCATCTCAAGCTTATGATGTTCACGGAAGAGTGAGTGAGCGCTTTCGAATAGGATGGGCCTCAGGAGTCTGACAGCGTATTAGGCTATCAACTCTGTGGATAGGGCGACATTAAACAATGCACTGCTTGACGAACTTGATAATATCCCAAACGTGAAGATATTCTTCAACCACAAACTCACAGGGGCGGATTTTAAGTCACGTAGAGCGTGGTTTGAGCATACACTTCCTGAAAAGGTTAAGAAGCCGGAGGAAAATCCCCCAAACAGGCGGCGATCTATTGATTTTGACCGCTCCCCTGAAGTCCAGGTGCAATTCGATTATCTCATTGGAGCAGATGGAGCACATTCCGCATCGAGATACCACATGATGAAGTACAGCCGAGTGGACTATCAGCAAGAGTATATTGATATGCTGTGGTGCGAATTCCGTATTGAGCCCACGGCGGATGGCGAATTTCGCATCTCTCCAAATCACTTGCATATCTGGCCGGGTACAGAATTCATGTTTATCGCATTGCCATCGCCTGACAAGTCATTCACTTGCACGCTATTCGCGCCCGCACATTATTATGCTGGCCTTGGGAACACGCCTGAAGAACTGTTTGAGTCGTTCCAAGAACATTTCCCTGGAGTGTCCCCAGAATTGATTCCCCCAGAAGATCTTTATAACCAGTACAGCAAAAACCAACATCTACCCCTGATCAGTATCAAGTGTCGACCTCATCACTATGATTCGAGTGCTGTGATCATCGGAGATGCAGCACATGCTGTTCTGCCATTCTATGGACAAGGACTGAATGCTGGAATGGAAGATGTCAGGGTATTGTTTGAAACCTTCGATAAACATGGGGTGCACGAGATCAGCGATCCTGCTCGTAGGGAGAGTGCTCGCGCTGCTGCACTTCAGGAGTACACAGAGCAGCGAGTGGCCGACGTCCATGCGATCAACGACTTATCCAAGGGCAATTTCCTCGAAATGCGAGCAGGGGTCAACTCACGCATGTACAAAGTACGCAAATTCATCGAGGAAAACCTGGATCGTTACATCCCGCAGTTGGGATGGAAAACTCAATATGCACGAGTCAGCTTTAGTAACATGCGGTACTCTGACGTCGTGAGAGCGGCGAAAAAGCAGCGTTTGTTGCTCAGTGCCAGCGTCGGGACCGTGCTCGTTACCAGCATCATGGCGGGCCTGGCACTGGGAGGGGTGTTGGTGTGGAAATGGCCTCGACAGTTTGCACCTCACCGCCTGCTGTCAAGCCTGACGATGAAGCAGTATTATCGAACTGCGTATCAATGAGTGATCACTGCTGGTGATAGAATCAAGGGGATAGACAAAAGGGAAGAAGGTGGAGGGGAAGGGAGAGATCAAAGGGGAAGAAGGGGAAGAAAATAAGTGCGAGGAAGTTATCCATGCTGGAATTGAACCAGAGCTGTCTGACGACACAAAAAAAGGGCGAAAAAGGCCAAAAAAAAGCGAAAACTAAAAGGTGCCTGCCCGTTCCTCCTCGGGTTTGTCCTGACCCTTAGTTTTAAGCTGCCATCATTGAAAGGTCGATATCAGACTGAGAGGCCAGTCCTCTACTACCATGGACCAATTAACCACCAGACCATCCTTTCTCGGCTGCTGAACGCTCCAGGATGCGAACGATTCATAAAGGAGCATTTCGTAAGGACGATCACAACAAAAACATTCCATTCTGGTCCCCCTTCACCCTGTTTGCACATGTATTATGCTAGACCCTCTCATAGAACTGGAAGCTGTATTTAATTATTAGAATTAGAGAATTAATCGATTGAGCACCAAGAGCCTGGTTAATGGGGATATATGCTGGATGATCTGTAAATCTGATGTCATGCGCTAAAAGCGTTTGACAGGTGGGTACTTCTGTCGGCACTGTGTTTGCACGCATTTTGTGGTACCTGCCTGACTGCTACATTTCTCTGTGTACTTCCATTTTTCTATGCCATCGTTAATACGCTACACATAATGATTCCTCCTATAGTAATCTACTCGTCGAGACTTCTGCCATACATCTCGATATGCTCCAAACTGACATGTCTCAACCAAAACAGCACTAGTACATATCTGGCAGCTGCTGGGTCGAACCGCTCGGCAGCAGCCGACCAGCTTATCACCCCACCGATAAGATGATACGTCGGACTTCTATCCGGCCGAATTATATCTTTGTATTCCCTGCACGACCAACCTGGCTCTTTAGAACTTGATACCAGCGCATCTCACCACCTGGACCTGTCGAGTTGCCACACCTGGCATTGAGTTGCGCGTAGAATAGTCGTACACAACTGCCATGGCCGATCAGTCTAAGCAATCAGGCTCGATCTGGCCCACTATTGCTCTCGTCGCAACCATCTTCGCGGCTCTTCTCTCCATCCTCATTGTGCCCTTCAATCCCTTCAACCTGACCATCGACGTGCACAACGACGCTCTCTGGTCGCGCATTCTGTCGTCGCCCATATTTTCGTCTCCGATATTCACTCCAAAGGAGACTTACAACGAGACGGACTTTGCGTCTCGCGCGAGAGCCATTCTTCGGAGTACGCCGCTCGTCGATGGACATAACGATTTCCCGTTTTTACTGCGGTCGCAGCTACGTAATCAGATCTATCAACATGATTTCACTCAGTTGCATCTGGGAAGCCATTCGGATCTGTTCAAAATGAGGAAGGGAATGATGGGGGGCCAGTTCTGGAGTGTGTGGGTGCCGTGTCCTGGTGGCATTGACTCTGGACTGTTGAATTTCACTGCACCATCAGGGACAGAACCGGGCTTAAATGAACCTAACGTATGTTCACCTTCGCGTCCATATTTATTCTTCGCTTATATGAATTACTTACATTTTATTAACATATACCAGTGGGCCGTACGAGATACTCTCGAACAGATAGATATTACAAAGCGCCTCGTAGCAGCCTACCCCAGCCACTTCCAACTCTGCACCGAGCCATCGTGCGTGCGCACTGCACACAAAGCCGGCAAAATCGCCAGTATGATTGGCATTGAAGGCGGCCACCAAACCGGCAACTCGCTAGGGGCACTTCGACTGCTCTTCGACAATGGCGTTCGGTACATGACATTAACACACAACTGCGACAACGCGTTTGCGGCTGCCTGGACTGGCGTTGACGCAACCAAACCGATGGACAGCCGCGAGGCAGACAGCGGATTAACATCCTTTGGACGCGAATTGGTTCGTGAAATGAACCGCCTCGGCATGCTGGTTGATCTTTCCCACGTCTCTGCGAATACCATGCGCGATACTCTCCATGTCGCCCGTGCACCAGTCATATTCTCGCATTCTGGTGCCTACACGGTGCAGAATCATGATAGAAATGTCCCTGATGATGTTCTGGTTAAGGTCAAGAGTAACGGTGGGGTGGTTATGGTGCCTGCGGTGTCGTTCTTTCTGAACGTCAAACACCCTGACCAAGCAACTGTGGAGGATATGGTTGATCAAATATTCCATGTTGCGTCTGTTGCGGGTTGGGAGCATGTAGGCATTGGCTCCGATTTTGACGGAAGTTTGGCCGTTCCGAAGGGGTTAGAGGTGAGTTGTTTCCTCTGAGTACAATTTTTGAAATAAATAATCTCATATTGATGATAACCAGGATACGTCTAAATACCCCCACCTGCTTGCTCGAGTCCTCGCGCGAGGTGCCACCGACGAACAGGCCAAGATGCTGGTTGGGAATAACATTCTACGTGTCTGGGAGGAAGCCGAGAAAACCGCTCGGAAGATTCAGAAGGGAGGAGAGTTGCCGAATGAAGCGTACTGGGCAGATAGGGAGTGGGGACCAGATCCTGGTGATATCGTTCCTTATCTATTTCCTAGAACCTAGCCAGTGAGGTTTATAACCCTAGTTTCATCTATGATACATGGACATTGGATGATCAGAAATATACATGTATTCGGTGTTGGGTAGATGATAAAACAAGTTTGAAATTGCCCTACAATTATAATACATAAAATTCAAAACCCGCAAGTATAAAAACTATATATAGAAATAGAAAAAGGGAGAAATAGCACACTTAAGGCCGTTACGGGTATCTGATGCAAATTGAATGATAAGTAATAAGGGCCCCACTTATCCAATACTCTTCTCAAGTCTCTTCAAAAACCCGTTGACCTTGTTCTCAACCTTTCCAGCTCTTTCTTCGAGTTTATGGTGCCGTGAGTTGGGGTTCGCCATGGCCTTATTAGCGTGTTTTACTGCGTCACTCTTGGCTTCGTATTCTGTTGGGCGATAGACCTGGCTATGAATGTCATACTCGCTACCAAAGGAGCCGGTATGCTGGAGCACAGGTTGCGCGTAAGAATAATTTGAATAACCGCCAATAGCCACACGCTCGTCTTCCGCACTATGCTCATAGGCCTGCCCATAGCTTCCAGACTGTGAGTTGTGTGGGGTATGAGAGTACTGTGGGGGAGCTTGGCCCTGGTGGACATCATGAGCATCCTGGGCAAATAGATGCGCGTTAGGGTTCTGAGGAGGTGGTGCAAAGTTCATTCCGCCAGCTTGCACCGTTGGAGCGCTGGAATAAGAAGGAGCTCTGATACCCGGGGTTCCGGGGAATGGTTGTGTTGGAGGAAATCCAGCACTTGGGGGTGGAGAGCTGTATCCATATTGGGGGAGTCCGGGAACAGTTTGAGCTTGAGTCTGCGACAGGCTACCCTGTATCTGGGTCTGAGGGTGATATAGTCCCTGATCTGCGGCAACAGCGGCTGCCAATCCGGTACCTTCTCCCCCATCCATAGGAGGCGGGGTCTCTTCGCGATACTTGATGGGTTCAGGAGCTGCAGGAGCGGCTGGGTTATAAACAAGAGGAGCATAGTTTGCAGTTGGTTGATTTGGCGTCTCATTGGCAGCAGGCTGTGGTTCGGATTGCGAATTCCGAGTCTGTCCATTCTGATACGACGGGTCGGAGACTGCTACATTCTCAAGCTTTTCAACAACTGCACTCACCGCCGGCGATTCGGCTTGAGCCTGTGGACGATTGGTTTCAAGTTGCGCAGCCGGTATCGCTCGCTGGACTGCATCCAAGAACTGATCGGCATCCTCGGTGGTCCAGAAATAGATATCTAACGTATGTAGACGAAACCGACGAGTTTTATTATTGCGAGGATCGGTAAACGGAAGAAGCCATTGCTCTTGAGCTCCTATCGGGCTGTGTGCCGACACAGGGGAGTTTTCGGCCTGCGCACCAACGGTCAAGGTGCATAAAGTGGGAAATCTGGTGGAATGAATGATGTGGACATGATCCAGAGCTGGCACATAGTTAGCCCAAGGACTCCGAAAAGTTCAGTATAATCGAGAGTCTCACCTCCATGGAATGCATCCTGGTCGCTAGTGCCAGGGTTGTTCGCAACTTCTACCCTAGCACTACCCCGCACCGCATCATAGTACACATACAAGTACGAGCCTTTGTCAAACCGGTGATAAACGGGCTGTGGAGTAGGCGAGGTGAAATAGTAATGAAGATCCGCAAAGCTGAGGCGGTGAAAAAGGTCAGATCATTTTGGTAGGCCTGATGAGTATGTTTGCCCTGCAAAGAACACTTACACTGTTAGTACGCGGTCTTCACCAGCGAGAGGAGGCATGGTGTCGGCTTGAACAACGGATTGCGGAGGTTACAGAGAAGGCACACACATGGAATGAAGACAACAGAAATCCAGGCGATGAAACCCAGTACATTATAAATAATCACAATGCGAAATGGGGTAGAAACGCACTCACCTACTGACCAGCAGCACTCTAAACATGCTCGGCGGCTAGAGCTGCAACATGGATGGCTGAGAAAGGCCCTCGTCGCCCAACGCCCTGTGATTTGCTTGCGTGGAACGACGCTAAGTAGGAGCTGCTCGGCGCTTGTGCCAGGACGGGCTTAGCTCCATTAGCACGTGACTTGCGGGCGTTGGCAACTTGGCAGTTTTGGCTCCTGACCGGCGGCACAGTTTCTCCGGCTTTTTTCGTCGGCGAAAACACTCGTGTTGATGTCGAGTGACAGACCTGAAAGAAAGCAAATGAAAAGCGACCAGCATTGGAAAGAGCGTCATCACTACGAATTCAATTAATGGCATTTGGATTGAAGGTGGGGATTTCCGTTGATCTTTGCTTTTGGAATTAGCCTCGACTGCTAATAATGCTAACGTTGCTTTTATCATCTCAGACATTATATACTCGGATCACCTGTTAACCTATCATCCAGGCTGTGAGCCTGCCTAACCTGCCGAATATGTCTCTCGTCAACTTAGCACATGTGTTTTCACACCTCAACAATGTCACAAAGGCCCGACTGGGTTTAACGTCCATCCCAAACACAAAAATGCACCTCAAATTAGCACTGTCCATGCAGAACCAAGGACTCATCGGCAGCGTTGTTCGAGCAGGCAAGGCGCCTCCACCACCTCATTTCCTTACGGGGCAGCCAGCAGTCGGTGGCGCGCTCGTTGAAGTCGAACCCGTCACACAACAAAATGTCGCATCGCGGCGACTTTGGCTTGGCCTCAAATACTGGCAGAGTGAGCCTGTCCTCGGAAAGATAACACAAATCAGCAAGCCAAAACGAAGGATTACTATCGATCTTCCTGGTCTCCGTAGAGTCTTGCAAGGCCAGAGGGACGGTCCCATCGAAGGTCTACGGTCACCTGGAGAGTGTTTATTCCTTGCAACTGATCAAGGAGTAATGGAGGCCCGAGAGTGTGTTGAGAAGAAAGTAGGAGGCTTGGTTTTGTGCCGAATTAATTAAGGCATTGAAGATTTGTATATGCATCCATCAGGAGTTAGTCGGTCAGACCTTGTTTTCATATGTCATGCGTTTCAGATTTTCGATTCCTGTATTATATATGTACGCTAAGACGAAGCTCTTTTCACTGTCTAAAATAATACGGCTCACTTACCGTGAGTAATTGCATCGAATTTAGATACTATGAAGACTCACTAGGTTCAGTTAGAAGCTGGCAATATCAAACGATCTGGAGACTCAGGAGCTATTCTTGCAATACGAGCTATTTTAGAGCTGTCAAACAATCAACAACGGGAGATATTCTCCAATGCCTAAAATGGGCTTATACTATTAATTATCATTCACTAAGATATGACCATGCTAATACACAAGGCAACCTCGGGTTTTTAATCGGAATAGCCCGAGGCCGAGAATTGGCCCTATCATTAGCCCGAAGACAGTCAGTCACCCTTCATATTTTCGCACCCCCGAGCTTCGGATTTACCATTAGCAATATCCCTTCCAACAAGATACAAATAATGAACCCTCAGAGCTCATCTGATACTGCACAACAACGACGGAGACGGCCTCCGCTGGCATGCGAGCAATGCCGTCGGCGGAAGGTGCGTTGCGACCGAAATCTACCTTGCACACCTTGTAGGCGTGCTAGACAGTCTCTAGCTTGTTCATATGCCCCTACCAATCATGTCTCCCAAGATATAACCTCAATTAATATCGATAGTCCAGCTCCTACATGTTCACAGGGGCAACCAAGTTCCAAAAAACGGAGCATCACTTCGGTCTTGTGTGGAGAAGAGGGTGAAAATGCCGACAACCTCGGGGCATCCAATATCTCATCCCCGAATACGCAGCTTATTGAAAATCTTCAGTTACGGGTTCGTCAATTGGAGGAGCTAGTGGGAGCTTGTGGCATACACCCGATTACTGATGCTGTGGTAACGTCTTCGACTGCAGCTCTAGAACAGAGCACTGTACATCACCCCAATCCAATTGGACAGAACCATTCCTCGCAGTCTGGACGTCCACAGGCATCTGAAAGTTATTCAATAACTGCTCCGCTACCGCGTTTGCGAGTGTCATCTGAGAAGAGCAAGTTGTTCGGGGCCAATCACTGGATAAACACGGCCGCGCAGGTAGCTATCTCGCTTTATGGTTACCTGCAGGTGTTATATTAACGTTTACACAGTTTCAAGTGATCGGTGACTTTACTCCAAGAGACGTAGAATTCTCTTTTGCAAATGAAAATATGGCTGACCTTCAAAACGCTGTGAGGGAATGTGCCGGATTACGACGGTCGTGGAAAACGCGGCTATACAATGAGAATACACTTCCTATTTTGGATATATCAAGCACGTTTCCTGATAGAACTGTATGCAACGAGTTAGTTCAGTGCTATATGAGGACGCTTGAGCCTATTTACCGTCTCTTTCATATTCCATCTTTCTGGGAAGAGTATGAACAGTTCTGGAACAACCTGCAAGCTTCTCCCACACAATTTGCAATGAAATTGGGGCTAATTCTCGCTATTGGTACTATCTTTTATGGAAACCCCGAAAATTGGGAGCACCTTCAAGGACTATCACAGAAATGGATATATTCTGCCCAATGGTGGCTAACTGGCCCATCAGGACCGGCGACTTTTAATTTGGATGGTATCCAGATATGTTGTCTGATAATCCTATCACGTCAAGTTGGATGCTTGAGTACTCCTCTATGGATTTCAGCAGCATCTTTGCTACGCATGGCTATGATGATAGGGTTGCATCGAAATACGACTCTTTTTCCAACTCTTTCCCCATTCCAGGTGGAAATGAGAAAGAGACTATGGGCAACGGTTGTAGAATTGAGCGTCCAGTCCGTGATGGATTCTGGAGTGCCTTGTGCACTTTCCTTGGATGATGGGGATAGCGAAGGTCCTTCAAATATTGATGACAACGATATTTCCCTAGGAAGCAAGTCGCAAGTAATACCAAAAGGCAATCGAGTTCTCACGGACTCTTCAGTTCAGATTTTACTGGGAAGGTCACTTCACGTGAGGCTCGAGATAGCCCGCCTAATTAATAAGACGTCTCGCGCAGATTTAACCTACGACACCACGTTAAAACTAGGAAACGAGCTGCGTGCCGCCTGTCGCGAAGTATCCGCTTTCTTTCAAGCTCATAGCTCTACCCGAAACAAGCATGAGACTGGAGTGACGGACTTCCATCGCAGATTCATAGATATGATGCTACGTCGATATATTTTGTTTCTACACCGGCCGTTTATGATTGAAGCTCGAAAAGACGCACGATATTATCTGTCACGGAAGATATGCGTGGAATCTTGCATAGTCATGGCATCATACACCGAGAAATTAGATGAAGCATCCGAAGATTCGATAGACTTATCACGTCTAACTTTTGCTGGAAATATATCCTTCAAAGGACCACTTTGTATGGATGTTATTTCAGTGCTGGGTTTCGAGATTCTGATGCAAATCGAAGAAGGGGACTCACTAGGAACCATTAAAACGCCAACGTCACAGACAGGAAACGATATCCTTGACGAACTAGCGACGGCTACCCGGGCACCACTGTTGAAATGCCTTATGCGTATAAAAGACCAACTAGAGCAGACTTTCACTTTTGGTATTCCGAGTCTCAAACGCTATACATATGCTGCCGCTATTTTGAGCTTGATCCGAACTATGGAAAATGGATTGCCTCTCAAGCCAACAATTTACGAGGACGCCACAGCCAGCCTGAAGACTTGTGTCGCGTTGCTTAAGAAATACCAAGCCGATCGAAACCAGACCGTACCAATAGAAGCAGCACAATCAGATGATGTTGAGAATATCTCTTCCTTGTTCTCCCTGGATGACTGGGTATGTGAAACATCATCGAGACTAAATAAGTTCACCACTCATGCAATAATAGGACTCGAGTACCGACCTGGACTTTTCGGATCTTCTCGGCTTCCCAGGGCTTTTCGATCAACCGCCCCATTCCGGATAATTAAAATAGCAACGAAAATTCAGAAGCAACCCGAACGAATATGACGAAGTTCGGTGTCAATCTCGGTGAATTCGGCAAGCTCGCCCGTATTGTCAATATATATGACCCCCCAGAATGCCGGTCCTGTTATCCTCAAAGAAAGTGTTTCAATAATGAGATCGAAAATGTATTCTCAAACTTTTTCTTTTTGGCACAAGTACCCAGGGCAATTATCACGCCATCATGTCTCACCCTTCCAAGTGCAGCCTCGAAGAGGCGCAGGAAAGTTTCTCAAAATCGCGACGTTGTGCACTGTGACCTATCTTGTGGAAAAGGAAATTTCTTTCCTCCCAGTATGAAATTACTTTAAACAAACTGGATTATAACACTGTTTCTAAAATGCTGCAGTGAACGAAGAGCTTCAGATATACACAACAAGAAGCTTGGAATGAACAAGAACGGAGAGACAGCCTGACCTATCTTTCGGCTTCCTCAGACCGTTAATTACTCTATACCTCGCTTATAGCATTTTCATTTAGATTTTGTATTAGTTGACATGTTAGTGGTTCCTTAGATTCCAAGCTATAAGCTATGCCATCCATATCCGGTAGCATGCGGGCATGATTCCTTGTTAGAATTCCGTGTATCTCAATGATGACCAAAAATAATTCATATAATACTGTTCTACTTGCCAATTTGGTATTTGTCTAGTTGTCTTCTTCAACATATGTTGTACAGCATAAGTTAACTGACACTGTGGCTTACGTCAACCAGAAGGTCGGCCAATCAACATCTGCACTGGTATGCATGCAACATCTGAGACCATCCGAAGTTGGAACCGTCAACATCGAACGCTCCTCTACGATACAGCAGACATCACTTGTTACTAATTGAAATACATATACAATCTATATACCCTCCGATGGAGCTTAAAAACGTCCTTATCACGGGTGGCTGTGGCTTCGTCGGTTCAGCGATCGCCAGGGCCGTAGTGGAGAAGTACCCAAAATGCCGCATTACCGTCATAGATATAACGCCGCCAGGCCCAATCCATAAAGTGCCGTCGCAAGCTGAATTCATCAAAGTAGACGTGACATCTGCAGCCCACGTTGACAAGGTACTGCATCAGGCTCAGCCCAACGTCGTCATCCACACAGCAGGTATCGTGCCCGGTCTTGCAGAGCGCTTTGGGCGACGACTCCAGAGTGCGGTGTGGAAGCTGAATGTTGACGGAACAAGGATTATATTGGAGGCTGCGAAGCACTCTGGTGTCAAAGCTTTTGTCTTCACGAGTAGTTGTTGCGTGACAATAGATGATATGCGCCTGCCGTACAGAAACATTAGCGAAGAGTGGCCCACATCGCAGACATCGCTGATATATGGCGAATCAAAGGTTCGCTTTTTGAACCCCCCGGGCGAACATGAAGGTGGGATGGTTATTTGGGAGGAGCTGACGAATATCTTGGTCGTTCTAGGCAGCTGCGGAGAAACTAGTGCTCGAGGCTTGTTGCGCCGAAATGGTTACATGCTCACTAAGACCGTCAGTGTTGACGGGGCCCGGTGACTACCAGCTGCTGCCGGCAATCCATGCGTGTATTGCGAAATGGGAGACACCGTGGGTACTAGGTGATGGCCTCAATTACTGGGACGTAACCCTGGTACAGAATATTGCCGATGCACATGTCCTTGCTGCCGAAAACCTACTTTCGACCAGAACCGCGGCAGGCGAGGCCTTTTTCATTCAGAATAACGAACCCATCACATTCCGAGATTTCTGCCTCGCGATCTGGGCGCATTTCGGCCATATACCACCCTTTACCGTGCACGTCCCCGAGTCCTTGGCTTGGATGGCTGGTCTAATGTCTGAATGCTACACCTGGTTCTCTGGCACTGAAACTACCCTCAGCAGGGGAAGCGTGAAGGATGCATGCCATATGAGGTATGCAAGTGGCGATAAGGCGAAGCGTATACTGGGCTATGAAGCTCGAATTGGCCTTGAGGAGGGCATTCGGCTTAGTTGCGAGGTGAGTAGAGGGCTTGCCTTTGTATTCGTTTGGGTTCAGAGCTAACTGTTGCCCCAGGATTATGCCCGTCGACTGGGCATCAAATTACCCGAGAAACCCAGCCTAAAAGCCAAGGCATCATAGGTTCATGTTGAGATAACAAACAAAGCCGAGACACCGGTGATCGTAACCTCTGAATGTCTTCAGCCTGACCCTGTAATCTAATCTGGTATAATATCGATGATCTCTGGCCGCGAAGCGTGTAATAAATATGGGGCAGTGGTGCCCGTTTCTTGCATCCAAGCTCTTAAAAAGCAAAAGGCTAGATTGAATAGCCTGTTTCTACGCTGAAAATTGATTCATCTCCCAACCTGTGGCTGGCTCCTGGTTACATCATGATTTCACCTACCGGGGCTGGGGGCGACTTGATATCTCGTGTCGATCATCTTATCTTGTGTTGTCTACGAAAACCACATCATTTACGAGTTAGCGTTATTGCAGAAAGCCACAATCAAAGTAAGCTCAGGACGAACAATAGTAGCGATAATACGTTGCTCTTAATGCAGCCAGGTGATCTTCCATTGGTTGGTATGCGGCAAGCCCTAAGCCACGGTTGCTTCCCAAAACGGCATACAATTAGGGCAGAAACGCCGCCCGGTCAAACGGGCCAACAAGCCTCAAACATGTCCCAGACAAGCCACTGACATAGCCAGCCGCCGAGCAACCTTCTCTGGTTTACACTCTTTTTCAATCATTTGTTATTGGATTTGCGTGCGTCCTGACAAGAACGGGTAGCCTGATGACGTTCGCCCATGACTTCGGCATTGGGCATGACACTTCACGCATATATGCCCAATGTCCAATGGCAATGGCCGACCCTTCCGGAAATGCATAAATATTCTGTTAGAGCTTCGCATAAGGCCTAGATTAACTCCAAACCACCTTTGGGCACCAGCTTAGAGGGTTTTAGCAATTGGGTGCACTAGAGGGTTTACTGACGATCACTTCCTGGAGCGTTTACTAACGTGGTGTCAGCGTCCCTCTTCCCCGGTACTGGAATTGGCGTTGCATGAGTTGGCTCCTATCAAAACCGGGGTCCTAGCGCATCATTTGATCGGCAGTGTCTGCTTTGCGGTAATAAGTGGGCGACAAACGGGGTTCTTCATAATAGCCTACCAGTCGGCAATCGATCCCATCTCTCGTCGAACACAGATCTCCATTGAAGCCGCGAGGCACCATGAACCACACTCGACACATCGCAGAGATACACTGCTTATCTTCGCCATTATTTTGATCGAGGTATCGGGTTTTGTCCGTGGATTCGGCCCAATCCGCCGATTCCATGGTTCTCCCCGCGCTATTGGGAAGAGCTGCCTTATTGGGTTCGATGAATGCCCGGAGTTGCTGCCCAAACGACCTACGAAGGGGTTGATCAAGGGCCATTTCTTTTCAGGTCTGCAAGACCATGGCAAGGAAATCCCTATTGTTCGCCCCCCTAGCTCTTATTATAGACTACTACCAGTCAGAAACAGTTAAAGGCCCCCTCTTTTTTAACTGGGTTGATCCTTGCACAAAATCTCAAAGGATCCGCCAAACGTTTCGAGTGTCTTTCATCGCGGCCCGTAACTCGACATGGGAAGTTCTTATACCGCGAAATACTACTACAGAGTGTGCTCCACTTGGCCCCTAGAATAAATGCACGTAATTCTGTGAGTCCGCAGTTACTTTACTTGTGGCCCGATCCGAAGGACTTTGCAAGTTCGCCACTGGCTTGACACTGCGTAATTATCTCTCACTAATAATTAGGTTGGCCGACCATTCGCCCCTCAGGCCCGCAGATAAACAATGGCAGTAATGAGAGAGTGTTTGGCGCCGCTGGTTGTTGAATGGGCAACAATTGCTCTTAGTCCCATCCCCCGTCTCCGGGGTTCCTTTACTCTAAACTATGTATATAAACACCCATTAGCCATTTCTTTCGCCTCACCTGTGCAACCCCCAGAGGACGTTAAATAAATATCCTTTTATTTCCCTTTGAGGTGCGGATCCAAGTATTTATATTCGAACTTTCTTCTCGCTACACTCATGCCTCAAGTGCTTGCTGCTCGATCAGTGCCTTTATCATTAGGCTTCAACCCACTTCCAGGAGTGACATCGCCAATGGACACGTACTATACATCTTCTGCCGTTCAAGACAGCTTTCCACGACGGAGGTAAGTGCATCCTTACAGTTGACTTCATTGATTATTGACTAGATATCCTCAGTACATCATCCTCGCAGCCTGCCTACTACGCTGGTTCTGCAAATGGCCCTGTGATCTACCAACAAAGGTACATTTACTTCTGAAGATCTCCATCTATCCTTGACGCATACAATGTACTGAGTCCACCTGGTGCATTTTCACAGTGGGACCCGCGGCTTTTCAAACTCCCATGACTATGTGGATATGGATGTTGCAGGTAGAGCCGCTGGACAACCCAATCCAATGGATTACCAGTCCTATTACAGTCCATCCTCTTCTTCGTCCAAGTATAGGCGATACTCGAGCGCATCGATGACTCAAACACCAATCGGACAACCACCTCGCCAAGTCTCTATACATGCAGAGTGGGATAGGCCAGCCAGAATCTCCCCGGATGGCTATATGCGTGACCCGGAGTCGCCCCGATCTTACGACACCGCAGAGTATATGGTAGAAACGAGTGGCAAGGTTCGTCCAGGCGAAAAACCTAGAGGTAGCGTTAAGTATCATTCTCAAAGACGATCATCTAATCGTGATGAATTTGACGGACCACACCAACTACTCAACCCGCCATCTCCGAAAACAATTGCCGCTCAAGACCGCGAGCTACCCAACCTGCCTACTAATCTCGATGTCTCAGAGCAAGACCGTATTCTGTGTGAGGTTAATGACCGCCTCTCACAGTGCGCATTTGATTTTGTGGCCAAGTATCAGTTTCCAATTCCTATTGAGCCGGATAAAAGACAGGTGAGGGTACCAGCAGACCGGGAATGGACCGAATGGGTTTACCTTTTGAAAAGACTGGCCACCAAGCGTCGGATCCCTGCCCGGGTTCTTTATAATGGCCAGATTAAACAACTTGTTACCGTTTTGGAAAACTCCTTGGAAATGCGTCACGCCGCAAAACATCAATCCAGGCCCGTAAAAGATGACCGTAATGTCCTTCAACTTATTTCCGCTGGAACTCAGGTTGCCAAAATCCTAAAGGATGCCACTGCCATGGAGTATTTGGACCGTTTATACCAGGAAACCGAGAAACGGATTAAAGACCGACAGACCCGTCGAGTCAAATTTGCCGCTTGAAATGATTATGGCCATATGTACTTGGATAACTCTTTTGCACAACTGGTCCTTTGTGCCTTTTTTTGCTTTTTTTTCTTCTACGCGCGTTGCTGCTTTACGCCGTTGTTTAACCCGGCAAAGAGAGATGAGAAGATGATGAATGCTCCGCGTCAATTTGTGCATGCCGACCCCAATTCCTGGGAGTAAATTGAGGGAAAACCCGATGGTCCAGTGAATATTTCAGGAGAATTTTAATGGAACGGCCCGAGTTTCAGCGACTTTTATCTATTCCTCTTATCCAAGCCTGCATGAGATCTGGTTAGCGAAGCATATCGCTAGTCTTTGCTCTGAATACACGAACGCACCATTGACTTGGAAGGACGGAACATCGAGTTTCGTTTGTTTGACATAGCCTTTACCGTTTGAAGGAGTACGCGATGAGGATGATAAACAACCCGGACCTACCACCGCCTAGGAGACACAAACCAGATATCAACCATTATGGAAAAGGAACCAAGAATAGCGCACTCTACACAAGCCTGTGTTGTTGGGTGGGGAAAAGGAAAGAACAGTAACAATGGTGATGAAAGATTGACGATCATTCTGATTGATGAGGCTGCTACTTTTCATAGCCCTGGCCAGGGCTTGTCTGCCTGCCTTGAGGATTTGATAACACTTCTGAGCCGTACCCGAAGGAGATATAATAGGATTTTTATACATGTAATGAACCCAATATCAGCTGGTACAGCTGTCTTTGGAAGGATTGAGTAACCGTGGAGTCCATCTTCACTTGATATAACATTTATCATATTGCTCGGGTGTGGTAATTGTTGTTTTTGTTTTCGTTTTTGTTTATGTTTGTGTTTTTTTCTTCTGATTTCGGTGATTTTGTATGCTTGATTTTCATGCTGTGTTCGTGGTTTGGCTGTCTGATATTGGTTTTTGCCTTATATTTCTATCTGATATTTCTAATTATCCTTTATACTATCTGACTGGATCCTCCCTGAAAGATTATAAAGAGATTTCAGAATTTCCGAAACTCACTGTGCCATATACCGCCAGTGCTAGAGGTTCTGAAAGCCTGGGTTCGCTTGGTTTTAGACTTATTCCTACTCTAATATTGGAGGTGGGTTACTCATCAATTAATTAATACAGCTCAACTGGTATCGTCGTTAATTGATAGTCGATATTTGATCCTGATGCGTTTTTCTATGAAACTACTAACCACTATTGATATAGTTGATTTTGAATTCCAATTTCGAAGATTGAGAATACCTGGGAGATACAAAACACTGGTCATGACATATGTAATATTATGTATACTACAATTATAACACATGTTCGGCCATTTTCGTTAGGCTAAACACCCAGATTTTGGTCCTAGGATTTAATGTCCATATCTGAGAATTTAGCGACAGCCTGCATCGACCATCAATTAATGCATATATCAATTGACGTATATTAAAACATCTAAAATGCGTACATCTATAGATGTCCTATCTAGTACTTGTAATACAATCAAATAAAAAAATCAAGCAAGATAAGCCTCCTGTCATCTGCCCATAAATCAAGATGATCTTTCCGCCATTTCTCCCAGGAAAACTTCTCCTCATGGCCATCACCTATCTCTCCTGCGAGTTTCAGAATTTTCTTGAAAGTAGCCAAAAAGGCTTCGTGCTCAAGATATTTCCCCGCTCCGAGACCCATTGCAAGAGAGCAAATGTTATCTTCAAGAATACGGAAGTATCGTGCAAGATCGGGTCTTCGTCGCGCTTCAAGAGTTGCAGCGATATATTCATTTGCGTTTATGCCTTCGTCGTCACCGTTATTTCTGGATGGTTGGGGTCTGAGTTGAATTGCTGACGGACCAAAGGCTTCATACCCAGGTACCAGTCTGGAAAACGTCCAATCTTGGATTTCCACGATCTTGTACTGTGCATCCACTATAATTTTATCTTCAGTAATACTCGTCGAGTGCTTGAGATAGAAGTGACTCGTGTCTAACTCCGGTTCATTAGGATAAAAAGGGTTGAAACGGCCTTTCTCTGCAAGTTCTTTCAGATAGCGAAAGGCTAGAAAGGCGTCGACTGGGAATCTGTTGAAGATTTGCCGATTAGTGATCATTTGCAAAAGCGTCTCGGCCCATGTCGTGTAATATTCTGTTGCGTTATTGAAGGGTCCGATGGAAGCGAGGGTCCATTCTAAGTATATTGCCATAGTCTGAATTTCGCCTAGATATCGAAACAGAGAGCATATTTCCTCAGGGATTCCTTTCTCTACCAGTCTCTTTCGGGGCTTGTCGAGATCGCAGATAAAGTATGCAAGTTCGGAATATATCTTTTGCCATTCGCGACCCGATGGATTCAGAGTGGAAAGTGGTTTGCCTTTGCCTGCAGCAATGGCATCCACAAAGAGAATACAGTATGGGTCAAAGATAAACTGTTCGTAATGCGGTGCTGCTTCCACCCATGCCGTATGTCGTAAATGATCGAGTGCAGCAACATCAGCGAGCATCAGAACTGCCGCCATCTCGCTCTCAGGAGCTAGTGGCGTAAAGTCGTCGCGATAAACCCTCATCAACAAGTGCTCTGCACGTCGATTCTTGCTGTCATCACTGGGGGTTGCTGGAGCATCTTTGCTGCTTGCAATTCGGAAGTCAATATAATGTTTACTTATTCGGACTGTCCCTCCAAAATGCACGGTATCGTCATTCGTGCTTTTTGCTAGTCGAGCTACGAATCCCTTCTCATACAACCTTGCTTGGGCTTGTTTTGCGAGCTCATTTTGTGTTTCTTCTCTGGAAGCACTGGTGAGCGGTGATTTCTGGAACCAATTGAAAGTTAATCAAGATATATCCAACTCCTTCATCCATGACCAGATATGTTGTGAGTAGAGAAATGAAGATCGGTTCGTTGGGGTTCTACATACATCACAGGTATGCTCAGGGCTGTCCACGTGGCGAAAACAGTAATACTTGCGACATCTTTCGCAGCCTCCGATGTCAATGGCCGCCAGTTGGGTGCAATCAACGCTTGAGCAGGTTCCATATCGATCGTCTCCCTCGACCATTATAAATAATGCCAGTAATCAAGGGATTCTGACCGAACATGTCGATTGTCCACGCCAATTCAGCAACTTACACAACCCTTTTGCATTGTTCGCTTCTGCCTGAGCCCTAAGCCGAAATTGGCAATTGATGACTAGCGAACACCCCCGCATCAACCATCCAGCTAAACACTGCCACCGGTATACAGAGTGTCCAGTCATGTTTCCATGTGTTGTCAATTGTACTTGAGATGTCCCGGATAAGAATGATAGGAATAACAATAAGAATATAATAATAACAGTCAACCTATGAATAATACAGATCCCGTAGTTAAAACAGATCAAATCGAATTTCTCGCCAGTGTGAGATGCAAAATTTGGGACCGGAAATGAGAAAACCATCGACAAATATGCCAGAGAATTTAGATACAAGAAGGGAAAGAAAAGAAAATTGCTACACAGCAGTATCAATGCAAACAGCTGAATACCGTGGTATACCTCAAAACACCGAAGAAGCGCCAAAATACAGGAGATCAAAACTCAGGGGGGAATAAAATATAGACGAGGTCTCTGGAAATTCAACGTAGACCTTTCGAGAACGTAATTCAAGTACAACGTATGTCTTTGCTAGCCTCTTACTTAGATATCTTCGATCTTTGGGTCTTCTACTTTTTCAGTAGAGGGCTCATCTGAGGAGGGTTCCTGGGAAGTCACCACAAACTCCTCAATTGAATGTTCAGGTTCACTGGGGGCAATTTTGGCATCTTCAGCAAGTTGAGCACGAGGTTGTTCAGGTTCCTTAGCGGTCTCAGCATCCGGAACAGGGTTTGCAGCAGGCTGCTCCTTCTCTTGATCAGCAACATTAATATCAGGGACAACGTCTGAGGTAGTCTCTGAAATAGTCTCTGGGACAGTCTCGTGAGGCTGCTCTTGTGTGTTCTCAGAGCTTTGGATTTGTTCTTTGTCAGTCTGCAACTCCACAGTCGGCTGTTCCTTAGCTAGTTCATCTTCAGCTTGCTCCTCAACCAGCGTCTCTTCAACTGGTTCGGCGGCATGCTCACCGGTAGCAGATTCGAGTTCTTCACCTTCCATATTATGCTCAGTTACCTGAGCGTTTAAAGATGAATCGGTAGCGGAAGGCTTCGGCTCGTTAGCAATGACTTCTGCGGCTGGCGGTGTCTGTACGACATCTGGTTTAATCTCAGGAGTGGCAACCTCAGCAACTGGAGCCATTTTGACAACCGGCTTTTCCGCTTTGGGTTCTACCGGAAGAGAGGAGACAGGCTTTGGCACAGGACCCTTGTGTTTGCTCGCTATCTTTGGGACCTCCGGTATCCCTTCACTTCGAGAAATATTTGCTACCTTGGCTAGTTTCGGTGGGCTTCTAGGTTCGATCCTATCGTGCATTTTGCTCGCAGAGCTTGCAGTTGGACGCATCATCCGAGCAAGGAACCCTTCTTCGTGCGCGCCACGCGAGGATGTAGTGCTCACCCGGGACTTGGGACGATCAGGGATCGAGTGTGCAGCAAGACGAGACACATCAGGCCTGAGAGTAGAAGGTTTGCGAGACAGAGTCTTAGGCGAATCCGTTTTGGGAGAGCTTCTCAAGTTTGCATGGCTCTGAGAGCGTGCGAGACCACCGGTCTTCGCTGCTGATGCAGCAGTTGGGGTTGTCAAAGAAGCTGGAAGGCGTACTGGACGAGTTGGAGACCTTGTCCCGGTCTTCGACCTGGGGGACGCCTGTGCTGTCGAATTCTTACTGACATCGTGAGAGGGAGTGCTTGCACGCTCTGCTCTGGCACTGGATGCTATATTTCTGGATATAGCAGTCCTGCCAGTAGCAAGTCTGTCTGATTGGGGAGTGATTCGAGACAAGACGGTAGCCGATCTCGTTGGGGCCGCAGCAGACTTGTTATCCTTAGAGGGTGTGCTTCTAGAATTCGATTTACCGATCGAAGTATCTTTTGCTATAGCCGCAGAGGATGCACTCTTCTTAATAGTCCTCGAAGATGTAGGCTGCTTGTTCACAGTCAAGTGGCCAGTCTTGTCAGATGGCTTCTGCGCTGCGGTAGATTGAGGGGCGGCCGACGGGTTGACCTTGCGTGTTGCCGTAGTCTCCAGTGTTGCCTTCACTGCTGGAGCTGGGGCTGGACGGTCGCCATTTGCATCGCCATCGCCATTGCGTTGAAACGTCGCAAGAGCGGTACGGACCTTTTGAGGAGACGAGCTGAGAATCGAATTCGTCGAGGCGGTTTCGAGTTGTGTGGAAGGTGATACTGTAGCAGATCGCTGCGTCGAGTCCCTATCTGTGCCATAGCTGTCGGCCCTTCTCAGAATACCGGGGGTAGGAGAGCCCTGGGCATTTCTCTCGACAGAGACAAAGTTGGCGCGGACTTTGGAAAGGGGCCTGTTGGAGGAGGTATCATCGGACTCGCCGGAGGGTCGGCCACGAGAAGGAGGGGAGACGTCTGGGCTGTTGCTATTATTATTATTATTATTGATGCTGTTGTTGTTCTCGAACTTGGCCAACAGACTTCGTACGCCACCAGAAGCCGGGAGAGCAGCCATTGTCAGAGGATGGAGGGATGCAGCCGAGGTGTTGGAGAATCGGAATGGTTGAGATGTGTCCAGGAGGTTTTAGCACCTGCCGCCTCGTGGACGGAGGGCACTCTGCAGGACGAGAGGCGCTAGAGGACACCTGGCTTCGAGGGGCTAAATGACCGCAGGCGTAGTATTTAATATCGATAAATATGTATTCGTACAAATAGAACGTGTGCTGACACGAGTGATGTCCGGGTAACAAGTGTTGACGGGGGGAAGTTGACGTTAGCGGACTACTCCAGGGGGCGCGCGGTGTCCTGTCCTCTTAACCTCCCGCCTTCGCGGCCAGGCTTCAACCGGCCCAGGGTTAGGGGTCGGATGATCATCGAGATCCCCGAGATCCCCACTCGGAGATCCATCACTCTGGGAATCAGGCACGCGTTGCTTGCACGGACTGGATCGATAAGAGAAGGAAATCTCGTATCATTGACACAACGTCCTCTGGGTGGCCTCTATCGCGGCCAGCTGTGCCACCAGAGCATCTCCAACAAGACTCCAACCAGACTCCAACCAACTGTCTCTACAGAGGGCCGAGGCAAAGCCCGGCCGGTTGTGAAATACCAATCAATCGATAATTGATTACCATGTCGCACCGGCAGACAACTAGCTGCTCCGTAATCTAATAAACCTATTGACTTGGAGCAGAAGCAGTCGGAATGCCATCAGCATCGCGCGTTTCGCATCCCGCCTCGATGCAACCATTCTTTCCCTGGCACAGCGCCTCGATCGCTCTTCCCCACTTACCTTACCCCGGATGTTTGATTAAAATCCTAGTCTCTCGTTGTAACTGAAAATTGGCTCTTCTCGCACACGGTTGAAGCAACGAGCATGGATATGGTAGTTTGTTTACATGTGCGAATTTCTTCAGCTTACAAAAGCCAATCGGAACGCGCTCTGTCCTCCGAAGACCCTGCGGAAATATGTTTTTCCCGCTCCCATCTCGAATAAAATGCGGGCACAGGGCTCCGACAACGGACTGAGTCACTTAACATTGCAGGCTCGAGGGCAAAAAAAAGGATCATGGCTGCTAGAACGCTGCGGATAGGTCAATTGCTCTGGAATTCGTATTTGCTTGATATGGAAAGACTAACGTGAGCGCTTTATACAGGTCTCATTCCTGGGGATGGTATCGGGAGGGAAGTAATTCCGGTTGGTACTCCGAGTGTCGCCTTCCATCTTGGCTCTGTCATAGGCTAATGTGCTGTGTTCGGGGCATTGCAGGCTGGTCGTCGACTTCTGGAGTCGCTACCATCGTCATTGGGTCTGAAGTTCTCATTTGTTGACCTTGATGCTGGCTTCGACACCTTCAAAAGGACCGGCACCGCTTTACCTGATCAGACGGTTGAAGTGCTCAAGAAGGAATGCGATGGTGCATTGTTTGGCGCCGTCAGGTAATTACTCATCTGTCCATAGACAATGTGATAATTGAGCTCCGCAAGCTAACACAATTCGCCACACAGCTCTCCCAGCACCAAAGTCGCGGGCTATTCTTCCCCAATTGTTGCTCTCCGCAAGCGTCTCGACCTCTATGCCAATGTCCGGCCCGTCAAGACTACTGCGGGTGGTAGTGCAACCGGGTCTCCAATTGACCTGGTCATCGTTCGCGAAAACACCGAAGATCTCTACGTGAAAGAAGAGAAGACAACGGAGGGACCCAACGGCAAGGTCGCCGAGGCTATCAAGCGCATCTCAGAGCGCGCTTCTTTCCGAATTGCCACCATGGCTGGTGAGATTGCTCTGCGACGACAGAAGATTCGCGAAGTGTCTCCTGGTACCTCCCACATCTCGAAGCCCATGGTCACCATCACCCACAAGTCCAACGTCTTGTCTCAAACCGACGGGCTTTTCCGTGAAACCGCTCGACAGGCTCTTGCAAACCCGAAATACAGCTCCGTTGAAGTCGAGGAACAAATCGTGGATTCTATGGTCTACAAACTATTCCGCCAGCCTGGTTACTACGATGTTGTTGTGGCACCTAACCTCTACGGTGATATCCTGTCGGATGGTGCTGCGGCGCTGGTTGGTAGTTTAGGACTTGTTCCCAGTGCCAATGTCGGTGATGGATTTGCCATCGGTGAACCTTGCCACGGCAGTGCACCTGATATCGAAGGCAAGGGAATTGCTAACCCAATTGCAACCCTCCGAAGTGTGGCGCTTATGCTTGAATTTCTTGGTGAAGAGCCCGCTGCTGCTAAGATTTACGCTGCTGTTGATGGCAACCTTGATGAGGGCAAGTTACTATCTCCTGATCTTGGAGGCAATGCTACCACTCAGGAAGTGCTAGATGATGTCTTGAAGAGGCTGTAAAATATTTGTTCTTGAAGCCATATTTTCCAGATCAGTTGAATAAAAGCTCGTTTTCCATAGTCTATTATATAGCTAGACTCTGTTCTTTGTAAAATAAATCAGATGCTTTTCGCCAAATACCCACTAGATCAACTTTATATAGGAACCAAATTCTCCCGTATCAGTCAACATCGTCTGGTTGCGGACTATGCTGCTCCTCCTTGTCATATTTCTGGGACGCTCGTTCTTCTTCGTCGCTACTGTCAGTGATAGGAGAGCTTCTTTCACGAATTTCTTCCTCCGTGTCGTGCAAGAGGAGTGTGAGTAGGACCACGAGGATCGTCTGGTTCGTCTTCTTATTCTTCAAAGTATAGCGCAATTTGTGATTTCTTTCGCTGATGTACTTTATAACATGGAGATGAAAGCCCGGTAGACGAAGCGAAAAATCTATTCACAAAATAACACGTTAGCAGGGAATCCTCATGTTACATACAGTTAGTCTACCCTACCATTAAATCCCAAATAAGGATTCCCAAAATCCACCAAATACTCCCTCCCCTTCTCAAACACAAAATCTTTGCGAACATCCTCACTCAGAAAATGCTTTCTCCTGTGGCCCGGGTCGTCGGGTATTTTCATTTTCTTCCGAACCTCTATCCCACTCCCTTCAGCCCCTTCCTCAACCACGTCACTGTGAATATCCACTGTATCCTTCGTCTTATCATCGCACACAATTTCCCCAATTCGAAAATAATTCCATGACGCGACACCAGGACTGTACATATATGGCTTATCGGCATATGCATCACCCTCCAAAGCCGGATCAATAGCCCATTTCACGATATTCAGTGCGGTGTTGAAGCCCGGTGGGATACTCTCGCGAATCGGTCGATCAAAGTCATTTCCGAAAACAAGATCGTTGCCGCAGATATCATCTTTGGGCACGAAGCTAAAACAGATTGAATACTGATCTTTGGTATGAAGCGGATGCGAGAAGTATTCGCTCGTTAATGGGGAGCCATTCGGGAGACCTGGGTTTATACACATAATTCAATCCATGGTCAGTGATGATATGAGAGGGAGCCTTACCCGTGTAGCCTTGAATCCGCATACATAGGTTGACTGAAGCATACTCATTCTCAAATCGTAAAGTCTTGTCTGAGTTGACCGGGACAATCTGGTGTGTTTTGACATCGTATTCAGGCCCCGCCGACACTCGAAGACGATAGTTCGAAGTTTTCGTGCCTTCTGTGGGATTATTGACGTTGTTAGACATAGCGAGAAATCTCAGTTCCAGCTCTAGTCAAGCCAGGTCCTCGATCCAAAATCATGTTCTCTGATAGAAACAACGACGTTGTTGTTATTTCAGGGTCGACACAACTGCCCGTGCGGGAGAGGTAGACGTCATACCGGCGTCGGTGTACAGCTGCCACGTGAGCTTGTGCCTTCCCTAGAGCTCGACAGCAGCCACGGGGTTTGCTTTTCGGCGCAATTGCACTGCTTCTTGTGCCTCGAAGTGTCTTTAATTCAAATTCATGCCACTTACATACTGGCTTTCTCAAGTGAATTCTAGACAAGTCACCCTCAAGGCGAATCGCACTAGATCTCTCCCCATTGGTCGATCTTTCGAAGTAAGCATGCTTAGCGTCGGAGTTCAGATGGGTATGCAAAAGAACCCCGAAAGACGTGCCTAGAATCGCCAACGATAGGACGTACGCGAATAGCGAATACCAGAAGCATCATGAAAAGGCTGATTAGCTTACAATATCGCTGTAGTGTATATTTGCAGCATGGCTACAAGGCGACGCAATGGTTTGCTCTCCTCGTGCGAGCCTTGCCGACAGTCCAAACTCCGCTGTGATCACTTGATTCCAGTATGCGGACGATGCATCGAGACACAGAAATCCCACAAGTGCTTCTACCACCCCGCACCGTTAACCCGACCTAAAAAAACAGAGGGATCAGCTTCGGCCCAATCAGGGAATGGGAAGAGGGGACAAGCCGTTTTGAAAGAGAAGGCCAAACGGACAACCAATTTGCTGCAGTTGTATCGAGTTTCTGTACTGGAGGCTCCGAGCCCGGCCAGAGAGCATGAGGAAGACTGTAGTGCTTCGACCAATCGCAGTCGACATGGTAGAGTTCCTGTCTCTATCACCGGCTACCTTGGGGCTTCTAGCTGCTTAGCAGCATTTGAAGAGCCCGACCAAAGCTATTTCTCCGATGCCAATTCCTGTATGGAACCGGATGTTCCTTCTGTGTTACCAGATCAAATTAGAGCTGGGGCTAGGATCTTAGGTTTGCTAGAAGATTTACCCCTGTATGACGTCTTGTTGAATTATCGATATTCGACGTGTAGGCCTTGGGTATTTGGCCAAAGATTATCGACCGAGATAATCGGATCGCTCTACGCCTTGCGTGAGGAGATTTTTCACTCTACAAACCAGACCAAGTCTTTGAAGAAAAGACTGTTTACTTTTTCTCGAAGATTGTTTCGTAACATCTCAGAGCCTATCAAGACAGATAGAATTACGATGCCATCTCAATACTTTTCTTCAATTGCTATGAGATGGGAAACTATTGGACTGATGTTTGCATGGGTGGCTCTTTCAATGACCATAATTCCTGATAATCATGAAAAATTGCGAATTGATAACGATGGACGAATGGTGGTTGCGAAATACGAACTGAGAGATCTTGCAGTTGAAGTAGTTGAAACTTGCCTGAGTTTCTGTGATGACGCCGGTACCATGTCTGATCCGTTGACATGGCTACTGCTCCAGCACACGATATTACTTTCTGATATTTATGGCGAGACCGGTGAGTCTTATCCGTGAATTTCTGTGCCTCATTTTATTCTGATGCCTTTCCAACTCGCAGATTTCAAGCCATGGCGGAAACTAGGCGACTTGTCAAACATTATTTTTGCTCTAGGCTTGCACCAGCCTGAAAATCGCGATGTCTCCAGCATCCCATTTTTTCTATCCGAGCTCCGCAAACGTATCATGGTTGCTGCATATTCATTGGATAAACAGCTTGCGACACTTCTGGGTCGACCTCCACGGATAGCATGGCAATATTGTAGTATACAGTATCCTCTCGATCTCTCTTACGATGAGTTGTTTGCCGCTTCACTAAGTAAAGAGCAAGAAAAACAAATTCTAAGTGGCCTTGGTCCCGATGGCTGGAACATCAAAGGACGGATTACCTCGGGTTCTCGGGGTAGATTTCATCTTATGATTTCAAAGATACGGGAAAAGGTACTCGCGGTATCGCTATCTCCGCATTCAGATGATGGTGCTCAAAAATTACTGTATGTTCAATCAGATAGCGGAGCCTTTTCTTGACTTTAAATGGCTGATACAAGAACAATTCACAGGGAAACATGGATTGAACATGAGCAGATGTGCTCGAGTCTTCCGCCAGCTCTAACTATTCAAAAGTTCCTGTTTGAAGAAAACATTCTAATAGATATTGATACAAATATGGAGTCGCTAGCCAACTTGCAGCTTGAATTTCTCAACAATGACTTGATGATCAATCGGCAACTCGTTAAACAAGCTGGCAGTAATGGAAACAGAGCAGCTCTTGTGAAAGTTGCAAGAGAAATGTTAAGTAAATTGTTAATCGTTATTTCTCATGCTACCTCTGAGCGCGGGTACTCCAACTCGATATGGAATGTAAGTTATTCGGTATACGTCTAGCTCAGGCAAATGTTGATGATGATATGAAAACATGCAGCTTCGTTACCTTGGTCTGCCATGCGCTGGTGTTCTTGCATTAGAACTCCTTCAACCGTCGAAGACATACGCACTGGACGAAGAACCGTTCCCTCGTTCCGAAATCCTAGAAAATCTAAGAACATTTGCCTCCCATCTGGAGAAGTCCCTTGTTATCAAAGACAGGAAACACCTGATTACTCGGAGAGGACTAAGCGCCATCCGTAATGTCCTCAATCGTGCCCTATCTCCTGTCGAAGGTCCTTCAACTCTGTTACATGCCCATCCAGTCGATCAAGGTGTGACAATGGAAGCAAAGACATCTTTTCTACAGCCGGCTCCCTTCGATAGTCATGATGTTAACTTCATGATGGTCGAATTGGACAGTATTGACTGGATTCAAGAGTCAATCCTCCTAAATTGCACTTAGATGCAGGGACTTAATTTATCAATTTGAAAATCATTGAATGAAAGAACTGATTAAATCGTAGTACACCAGGTGGCTCCCAAATGGGGCACAAACTCGGAGATAATATGTGGTAAACGCTGCTATATGTTACGCCTTCATATGCAAAACAATCTATGACAGAGATAAGAAAATAGAGAGAGGTGCCCGATCTTCGAAACACGGCTTGAATACAAAGGAAAATAATACAGAGAAGGAATACATGCGGTTTAGACATTCTCATTCGACATCGACAACACCTGATTCAACAACAGGCTCTGTAAACTCTTTCTGACCATGAATGGGGTTATCAACCTCTTCAGAGAGGTCTGCGCTCCAAAATCCAACTCCACTGTCCAGGCTTCTGCGATCCTTGCCTCGCCCAACACGAATGTTGCCAAGCGAGTAACGTTTGCTCGGTGTCGATGGCTCACTCCCAGGCAGGCCAAGGTTTGAGTTAGTGTCGTCATTGTCATCCGACATCTCAGCAGTTGGGCTCAGCCGCCAATCGACCCTCTTGGCCTTATCATTATTTCTATACGGAGTAGGCAGTTCGCTCCCTGGAGAACTGTCTGCTGTGTTTTTTGGCTCGGCAATATCGCTAGACGAATTCTGCCAATTTGTGGTTCTAGCTTTGGATTTCCTCTTCTCATTGCGAAGAGAGCTCAAGCCCCGATGTAAGATATTGCTGAAGATTTGTTCTAAATTTTCACGAGATTCAACCTCTTCATCATATTGGGCCTGTAGGCCCGTGTTGAGGGCTTTCATCTTTTCGATATTATTTTTACCGTCGGAAATCTCGCTTGACAGGGTTTCCAGCTGCTTCAAATGTCTGCATCGTTCTTCGAGATACATTGAAACCTCGCCCCTAAGAGACTCAATCTGAGAGACATATTTTTCAATCTCAGTATCTTTAGCTTCAAGCTCGAACCTAAGCTGGGCAATGGTTTCTTCTGCCTCCTGCGAATCTCTGGATGTTTCAAGAGCCTGTTCCAACTGGCTCACAATAGATAGATACCTATCGTTATCCTGTTGAAGCTTTTTATTAGCATCGATATGTCTACTAATCGTGGTTTGTTGATGCCGAATTTGATTTTCACGCTGTAGAACAATTTGCCTAGTAAGCAGCATGTCACCCGTTAATTCGTTGTGAGCCTCTTTCAGTGTCACAAGTCGACCCTGCTCCAATTCAAGCTTTTGGAGGAGCGTATCAAACTCGTTTTTCAAAGCACGGTGCATGTTGAGAGCACCCTGTGCTTTCGACTTCTCGGATACTAGGGCATTGGCAACTTGCCTCAGTCGCGACGTGAGGGCTAGCAGAGTCGCCTTTCCGTCGTTTAGATCAGAGGCTGTTTCTCCAGGGAATGTACGCTCGAGATCCATGCGGGCAGAGCGGAAACATGTACGCAAGTCGTTGAGGATTTCGTCGATAGTCGAGCCAAAAAATCCTATGTTGGAGAGTTCGATAAGAGTACTGTCTAATGTCGCCACGGCATCATGATCAACTATTGATACTTGAGATGAAGTGTGTTGCATCGAAGGATGCGTCGCATTGGGTACATCGGAATAGCAACGATCATTGTGAGATCGGAAAATCGGCGAAGTCGACATAGAAGGCTCATCAACCATCATAGTGTCCATAGTGCCACAGTCTTCCAGGCCAGTCGTAGAAACATACTGTGCAGCTTCATCGTTCGCAGATTCTTTCTGAAGGCTCTGGACATGTGCTTCTTCCTTTTTAGTCTCGCGGTTCTCCCGCTCGATCTTGTTCATTTCATCGCTCAATCCGGATCGCCAAAGTCTACGTCTGGTTCGGGGCTCGACAACCTGCCGCAGTGGAGTGAACTGTACATACGTCGGCAGATCTGACTTGAAGCTTGAAAGCAGTGGATCGAACATGAGGTTGGTGTGTCTAGGTGGCGCCGACCTTCTTCGTCTACGATCACTAGGTGTCTGGCAGTCAGAATAAGCACGATCCTCGCTCATTGATGTACGGGATATTGCCGGCGTCAGTCCGGTATTTCCATTGGAGAGTTCATGGTCGATAACAGGGCCAGGGTCAGAGAAGCGAACTCTTTTGGACCTTCTGGGTGTTTTTAGTGCTACCAGTGCATCCTGCGCCTGCTGCCGACAGGATAGCAAGGGTGATGTACCAGCTGGTGAGGGGGAAACATCACGACCCCTCTTTCGATTGTTACCAGTCGAGGTAACACCGTCCACTTGGTTTTCCATAGCAAATAACGCGTCTTGTGGACAATCAGCAAAAGCAATTACCAGGAGTAATCTCATATTGACATGGAATGGACCATACCTCCACGCAGAGAAGCAGTCGATGCCCAATTGGTTGAAGTGAATAAATTGATGGCGCAAATCTGTCAAGAAACTATGAAAATACTAAGAGAGTTGTTGTCGAGAGAGTTCTCAAGTTGTGTTGCCGAGAGCGATTCGAGAAGTAAATAAACAATCGCCGGCGGTGTCAATTACCCAGCGAGGTCAAGTCCGTACAAAAACAAACCAAAGCATCCAGTTATTCTGATTCGTCGACGAGAATTTGCCGCAGCCGAATATGAAAATGAACATAAACATAAACATGTAAACAATCGAGTCCGGCAGATCCAAAAAGGACAAGTACGACAAACGCGTGCATACAGTAGTGTCGCAACGCAATAAACGGTGAGAGAATTTATTGGATATGATAACAACAAAAGTAAATAGATCACTAACAAGCAAGCTAGCTACAGCAACTAGATCACACCACAATAAGACTAAAAATGCAGGCAGCAGGCTCCAGTTCTTTTTCGTACCTCTCATGTCAATGGCTGAGGTTATTAGTTCATAACAAGCACGGACTTGTACATGATTGCCAAATTGGGAAAATGTAAACAAACTTCTGGATGCGGGACCCACCCCACATATTGATGCACTCTGCTCTCTGCTGTATAACATGTTGTCTACAGGATTCGATACGTTTTTCTTTTTCGTCTTTATTTTCCTATGGTCAATTCACATGTCCCATTAGTTTGTAGTGTATCGTGTATCAGGTTGTATGTTTGCCTAAAGAATATATATTCCTCATAATCACGTACAGTCAATCTAATAAATCTAAATTCATTCACTGGGAACCTCATCCATTGAAAACTTCAATATTATATTTCTATAAAATTGGTTAACTTTGTAAATGGATGCTCTATTTGTTCTCTTAAAATTCGTAAATATCAATTCAACAGTTTGATGCATTTTCGCTAAATCAAGGAGCAGCAATGGGAATGTATTCATGAATTATATGCCAAGTGTCGTTCACAACATCGCGCTCAGTCCATGTGAATCGTAAAAAGACCTGATCATCCCTTCGATTCCACTTCGCAATGTCCTCCTCACTCGTCCCCGGCGGAAACCCATCTCGTGGCCGAAACATATGGATAGGTCCAAGACGCGCTTCTTCCGGGATGAGCGCTGCAGTTGGATCACTAATATCTAAGTCCATAAGTGTAGGATATTGACTTGCAGTGAATTCGGACTCCGGAATAGCGAAAAATTCGCCAAGGTCAAACTTCGAAACGTCGTTGATCATGGTTCGGCTAGGGGATTGGTATTCGCTGATTTCATTTGTAGGTCCATTTGTGGGTTCCGGGGTCGTAGAGGCGATCGCTTCTTGAGCTGCTTTCATCGCCATTCCGTATCTTTCTTCTAGGACCATGACTCGTTCGCCGAAGCTTACGGCGGAGTGGGATTTGTGCAGTCCCTGTAGCTGAGGTGCTCGGCGCAATAGAGCTAGCGATGTGCGTCGGATTTTAGGATCGCGACATCTGAGACAGGTGAACCAGAGCGGATAGCCGACGTTGATTTCAAAGGTAAACGGTGGCTGAGTGCCATCCGACCGAGCCAAAGCGTCAAGAGAGATGCTGGTATGTTCAACTATATTTCGGAAGTTAGGTATGTAGGAGTCAGTAATGATCTGCGATGGCGATAGGCAGGTCTCGGTTATTATAAATAACACTTCATGATAAGTGAAAAGGAGGGCGCTGATGCCCATCTGTCGTTGTGTTAAGACCTCTTTTGTACGTAGTGAATCCATCAATTTGGTATAGGCAGAGAGCCAGTCCCTTAATCCAGCTGATAAAATTGTTTGCTTATTTATTAATTCCTGGGGTACGGTGGAGGTATGAATTGTTCGTCGATATTCATCACACATATGCTGCAAGAGCGTGATCTTTACACCCAGCAGAACGAGGGCTTCCCGCGCAGATTTGAGAGAGACAAGTTCTTGGATCAATTCATGGTCAGTGTCTCCAAGTAAAGCGTGCACCGGAAAGCCGGAAACGGGGAGAGCGATAGCTCCTAGGCGGATGAAGATTGGAACGATTGTATCCTCGATCAAGGATGCTTCGGCAAATGACAGGATCCCGGCGACCATTTGGGCGCGTGAATCGAGGATAAGACGCACCCCCTGTGAATAAAGATGTATGGCATCTTCCACACTTCCCTGGAGAGCCTCGATACACATAAATAGTATACATGTAATTAGCCCAACAAAGATGTTTAGGCGGCCATCTTCAATTCGCTGCCGAATAGCAGACACCGAGCGTGAATACCAGTACAGTGCGTCTCGGTGATTTTGGTTGAGAGCGCGCGAATGCTCGTGGCTTATTGGAACGAGATCGGGACATGGATCGGGGCTCTCAAACAGTGCACTGATGGCGATGATGGCATCCCACACAGCGGGCTCGCTCCGGCAAACCTGCGGGACGATGGTGCTCCAGAAATCAACATCCAGTTCACCACCAACTAATGTGGCGGCGTGTTGAAAATAGTAGGCGAAAGACCTACGCTCTCGCCACACCGTGTTCGGTGCTAACGAAAGCGGGTTGTCGAGGATGGAAACTGAGCCATCGTACTCGCACTTGCGACCCGTGCTGGTGCAACGGATACAGTGCGGCTTTTCCTCTCCGCACTTGACTTTTCTGATCCTAGAAGATGTTTAATACTGGACACTCTCTATGAAAAAGCTACCTACTTGCAGGTTTTGCATCCATGTCTTGACTTCAGATGGCCCGTTGGACTACGCCTCGAACGGGCTGACGGGTCAATGACCATATTGCCGGCATTCCAAGGAGTGTGCTTGGTGACTACAGGCCAAGATCAAGTTGTTGGAACGTCATCTCAACCGTGTTTCACAAATGATGTGAGGTATTGGTGTATATCATCTCCTTAAACTTACTGGTTAGGCTATTATTAGACCCCGGAATCTTTAGCCCCCAAAACTATTGGTAGCTCACCGCCTGCTTGACCGCCCAGGAACAAGACTGGCAGTAACACAAAACACCAGCGCACGGACCACGTCATGGTGAGTGACAGGACGATGGCCAACGCCGGCCTTTCTTATCTCTTCCTCTTCTTCTTGCTGTGCATGGCCTTTCATTCAAACATGCTCCAAGAGCACTACCATTGTGCTATGCTCTGTCTGTGAAGCTTCCTTCTCTCTTCTCCATTCTGTGGGCTATCGCACATATCTTATGATGTCATCTTAAGGATTGACGACCACGGAATAATCCAGCCTGGATAGGGCCATTCACTTTTAGCATGGCTGATGCACCCTCATCAGGTAGCGTTGCGTGCCTCACAGTACTACCCGATGAGCTTAAACAGCACATATTTTCATACCTTTCAGCTGTGGATATTGCTGCCGTCTCACAAACTTGTCGAGTTTTGTACCAACAAGCCCAGGAAGAGAAGCTATGGCAAGAGCTTATTAATGATCATCTCCCAAAGAGACTTGAGAAACCGGGCATGTTTGAGTCTTTCCAACGTCTCTATTCCGCCCATCATCCGTACTGGTTTTTGCCGAAAAATAAGATTTGGTTCTCCGATTTCGAATACACGGGCCAGCTTATTATTGCTCGCTACGACCACCGCAGGGGTGTCATCGAGGCTTTTCGGCTGGTGGCGGGGATAAAAGAAGAGACATTTTCACAATGGTCGGCTAACCCAGAGGTCATTATACAGTCCTTTAACCCTCAGGTGAGACTCTGGATGGATGATCCGGTTATTGAGATGAGAAACGCCGCCTGCCTGCCCCCAAGAGATCGACAATACTCTCGCGACTATTTCAAGATGTCTAAGACAGTACAAGGGTCAGGTCCTTGCAGCTCGTTTGTATTGTGCCGTGGAAACGTTGGCAAGCGTCCACCGATTCGTAACGATTTTCTCTGGCCTCCTGTTACTATTCCTAGTGAAAAGTCGTTGCGGCGAAGTCACGAGATGCTTAAAAATGAAAAATCTGGCATGTTCCTTAACTCTATAAGCGAGTCTGAAAATCCCACCGCGATCTCAGACACTAGTTTTTATATCCGCAAGTGGCTTCACTTTGGACTTAGCCAGCCAATGATTCCGAGTGACCCCGGAGACCAATTGTCGACTTATGCAACTCTTAGTCCCGAGCTCTACGCGCCAACGAAAGAGAAGCCTTTCCAGGGAATTTGGGTTGGGGATTATAATTTTCACGGATGTGAATTCCTCCTATTTCTACAGAGAGATGCTGGCTCGATCGCACCACTGGGTCACGCTGATAGAAGTCAGTTTGTCTTCTCCAATGGTGTGCCTGGTATACATACTGCTGGATTGCATAATGAGCATGAGTTTGAGCGAGCTAGCTTACCGAACTCTGCACCTAGCAATGACGCCGAAGAACATAATGGAATGGTGTTCCGCGGGCGTCTTGAAGGAATCAAGCTCACTGGTGACCCGAACATTCCTCGTGGCGAAATTTCCTTTGTCGCAGAGGATATTGGGCCAAGTGGAACCATTGGTATTGCGGAAGATGACGAATTCAGGGGCGCTCGCGTCGTTCGTAGCAAGGGTCACATTGCCTTCCAGCAATATACAGATGGTAGGTGTAGTCTTTTACATCTATGCGCCTTGGATGATACTGACTATTCTTGCAGATCGGTGGGTTGAGACAGAATTGTTTCTCATATCTCCAGACTGTGTGGCTCAGTATTGGAAGCCTATGCGCCATGTATCTTTCTTCCGCAGAGTCAACATCGATCAATACACCAATATCTGAGGAACGACTTGCTATTTTGCACATGTCGGGTTCTGAATACATCATCGGGGCGTTTGTGATATTGAATGGACTTGTCTGACACAGTAATGTTGGGAATTATTGGTCAATCAAGATTCGTCTTTATGCATCCCTCTTCCCACGCAAGAAATAGACACATGTCATAGAAAGGGCCTTATGGTCTCTTTTTGTACACTAACAGCCAGATGCAGGTAGGTTTTAGCAAACACAAGGCATAATGATATTCCAGACAATAATTGTGATGGGTCTTAACGCATAGCTAAGCTAATGAACACATGATAAGCTAATAGCAATAAAGCAAAACAGTAATGATGTTCCTTTCCATAAAAATGGTATGCGCCATAAACTGAGACAAGAAGCAATCCAAACGCCACTTTGTATTAGCAATAGCTCTCAGGGTAACAGTACTGCACCCTTTATCCAATTCTTGAAGAGACAAGAGAAGAGACAAGAGAAGAGACAAGAGAAGAGACAAGACAGAGACAGGATAAGTGTGCCTGTATCTGTCATGTTTATGTCCCTCTGTACAGCATTAAGGAGTGGGTTTCCGGCATTGCCACCGACATATATAACATCCCTCTCATATTTCATTCATTATATCAACGTCGTCGTTCAAAGTACGAAGTCGAACCCAAAACAGCGACAGACTGGTCCATAATCCACTCGCCCACGCCGAGATAGCTCTCTACCCATTTCTTGATATCTTTGCTGTCGGTAATCTTGTCAGAGTTTAGACTGGGGCTGTGCGCACGAGTCCTAGAAACATCGACTCTGTCTTACTTTCTGTTCGGGATGGAGAAAGGAAGCAGAGCGATGTTGGGGACAGTCGCGCAGACGTTAGCTATATCCGAAGAAACTAATAGTGTGTGCAAAGGCTGCGGACCGCAGTTCTAATGACTATGTTTTTCGGGGGACATACGTGAGGCCAGTTGATCTTTTGATTCCAGCGAGGAAGGCGGAGACTGTTGATTCTTATTAGCTGCAGGTTTGACCGGGCAGGTGGGAAGAATAGTTTGTACTCAGAACCGCATCGAATGCGTAGTGTGTGAGGCGACCAAGCTGTACAAATCCTAGTCAGCTATACGTACTGATACGGTATCTCGTCGAACAGAACGTACCACCATTTTGTCTGTTTGTGCGGGGAGGACGAGGGAATAGGTTTGCTGATCGGGGATCGGCGAGAAGATATGTCGTAATTATATGCTGGTTCAAGAGACGGGTTTTGGTATACTGTTTGTACTCAATAATGTATCCGCCTGGACGGACTGATAGACGAATAACGACCGGCTGTAGTTGGTCGCAACAACTGATCACCGTCGTGATCACGGGGCAACCCGGCCGCCGAACGCCTGAGCCAATCAAGTGATGCAAGTCAGCTGACCGAAAGCATAGTCACGTGATGGAAGCGTTATCGATAACGGTAATTCGTTCAGAGCTGTCAGCCAATCAGGGCTCCGTTTCGCTCCCCGCTTGGCACCAGAGGCAAAAAAAAAGATGCGCCAACAAGAAAGAAAAAGCAGACTCGGCGATGCCAAGTTATTAGAATTATTTTATGCAAGACAACAGCGGCTGTGTTATGGTTACCTCTGGATGGCGAGATCAGCATCAGCCGATGCAGCGCCTCCTGGCAAGACGTATCATATGCGGACTTTTTCGCTTGGCCTTTGGACTACGCTGCATGGCATCGATAGCGCGCTTTCCTAAGGCTTGGATGCTGAAATTGGAGGCGGCAAATAGAATAGAATAGCTGTCTTCTATCATTGAACTCTTATTAATTACCCTATCCTAGTACGTCAAGCGCGACTTATCAGGTCCGAAGCCCCCGCGGTTTTCCCTAACCGGCACACCGGAGTGCCTCAGGCCGTGAAGGCTAGCAGCCAAAGCAAACAATTTTGACGCTGTTCCCAATTGAGCCTTGGGCCAACAACATTTTCTGTAGCGCCCACGTCTTCCTCCAGCTCCCCCCATCCACCCCTCACTCGCTCCTGCAACAGCTGCCTCTGCGACTTTTCTCTCCTGCCTTCCTGTCTCTCTACGCAAGGCAATTCTGCAGCAGTTTTTGCTTCCCGATAGACTTCCCTTTACTTGCCATCTCCCTCCATCGCCGCTCTCGTCCCAACAAAAATGGCTGCCGCCAATTCTTTCGACCACCTCACCAACCGCATGAAGCTGGAATGGTTTTCCCAGCTTCATACCGAGATGGTCCCGGACAGGAACTATCGTCGTACCTCCATCATTTGCACCATTGGTACGGTCGCATTGACTGACCCCCTTCTCTGCTGAACCATTGCGCTGATAGCCCCTCCAGGTCCCAAGACTAATTCGGTCGAGAAGATTAACATGCTCCGCAGAGGTAATCTCCAGAGCCGTCAATCCATCAATTACAACCCGAATACTTACAGTTTCAACAGCTGGTCTCAATGTCGTTCGCATGAACTTCTCTCACGGCTCATACGAGGTTGGTTCTCGTATTTGCGAATCCACTGCATTGATCGGCTAATTGTCTTGCCTAGTACCACCAATCCGTTATCGATAACGCCCGAGAGGCCGAGCGCGTCCAGGCGGGTCGCCCTGTTGCCATTGCCCTTGACACCGTGAGTTGTCCTGTCAGCATTGACTTTCCATTGCTCACACACTTCCGTTTGGCAGAAAGGGCCCGAGATTCGTACCGGAAACACTATCGATGACAAGGACTTTCCTATCGCTGCTGGAACCGAGTTCAATGTCACCACCGATGACAAATATGCCACTGCTAGCGATGACAAGAACATGTACGTGATTCTCCTGATAACCTCGTCGACTTGTAGTTCACGTCTTCTCGCAATTAAACAGTAGTCGAGATTGGCTCACTAATTCATTTTTCTTGTAGGTATCTTGATTACAAGAACATCACCAACGTGATCCAACCTGGCAAGCTCATCTATGTCGACGATGGTATTCTCTCTCTCGAAGTCATCAAGGTTGTTGACGACAAGACGGTCCGCGTCAAGTGCCTTAACAACGGCAACATCTCCTCCCGTAAAGGTGTCAACCTTCCCGGTACCGATGTAGACCTTCCCGCTCTATCTGATAAGGATAAGAACGACTTGCGATTTGGTGTTAAGAATAAGGTCGACATGGTTTTCGCTTCATTTATCCGCCGCGGTGAAGATATTAAGGAGATCCGTAAAATCATGGGTGAAGAGGGCAAGGAGATTCAAATCATTGCCAAGATCGAGAACCAGCAGGGTGTCAACAACTTTGATGAGATTCTAGAAGAAACTGATGGTGTCATGGTTGCTCGTGGTGATCTCGGTATCGAGATTCCTGCTCCCAAGGTCTTCCTTGCTCAGAAGATGATGATTTCCAAGTGTAACTTGAAGGGCAAGCCTGTCATCTGTGCCACTCAGATGTTGGAGTCCATGACATACAACCCTCGTCCCACCCGTGCGGAGGTTTCTGACGTAGCTAACGCGGTTCTTGACGGCGCTGACTGTGTCATGTTGTCTGGTGAGACTGCCAAGGGTAACTACCCTTCGGAGGCTGTCTCCATGATGCACGAGACATGCCTGATCGCTGAAGTTTCGATCCCTCACTTCAGCATCTTCGACGAGTTGCGCACCCTTTGCCCTCGTCCTGCTGACACTGTCGAGGCTATTACCATGTCTGCGGTCAGTGCTAGTCTGGAATTGAACGCTGGTGCCATTGTTGTCTTGACCACAAGGTAAGGCTTTCTCTTGCTGACATGATCATTCTCCTGCTAATATTGATTAGCGGTAAATCCGCCCGTCTGGTCGCCAAGTATCGCCCCGTCTGCCCTATTATCATGATCACTCGTAACGAGTCTGCTTCCCGATACTCTCATCTGTACCGAGGCGTCTACCCCTTCTACTTCCCAGAACAGAAGCCCGATTTCAATGTCAAGATCTGGCAGGAGGATGTCGACCGCCGCCTGAAGTGGGGTATCTCCAACGGTATCAAGCTCGGCATCATCAAGAAGGGCCAGAGCGTTGTCTGTGTCCAGGGCTGGCGCGGAGGTATGGGCCACACCAACACCATCCGTGTGGTTCCCGCCGAGGACAACTTGGGTCTCGAGCAGTAAATAATTTCAAGCCAAGCGTAATCAAGCTAGAAAACCGACCGATTCGACTTGGAAAAGCGGTTATAAGATCAAGTAGTCCGGGGTGTGAACCCTACATGGGTTTGCATGCAAGTTGGGAATCCATCAGGTCCTCACAGACAGGAAAATGTCTGTCCATTAGACATTTAATAACAACACCCAAAGGAAAAAGCCGGTCGCTCTGCTGGATCATTCTTGTCCATTGTTAGAAGACTAGTCATTTTTCTTCTTTCCAGTTTCGAGCTTTTCATCCTGTATCTGAGAGCATGAGCATGACTATCATTGCAAGTTTCACATCCTAATGTTAGATTGTACTTTGAAATGAAATCAATTCCTCCTTTCATTCATCAGGAAAAAATAAATCGAAGGGAACTGTGTTAGTGTAGGCATAAATGACACAGATTTGTTCGGATTCTTCAATATTACATGAGAAAATCAATCCATGCATAATTTCCGAATCCTCAAGGAGCTGTTAGCATGTGTAAATAAATACCCGAAGAAGAATGACAGAATTCTCATCACGATACACGCGCCCCATGTGTATCGAAACTGATTTCTTCCTTTACAAATCATGTAATTTCATGATTTGATTCTCTTCTTCATTTCACCTCTTCTTATTTTTGAAAAAGGAAAATAATAAAAGGTAATGAAAATGGCACATCATTTTCTCATATACCCGAGGCTTGTGCCTCGGTCCCGCTCCCCCGAAATTTGCCGATGGGCGCAGTCAGTTTGGTCGTTGGCGTGAGCCTTTGGGATTTTGGCAGATCCTTAAGGCTGGGCTGACTCTAGTTATTCTAGTGAAGGTCATTTTCTTTCTCTGCGTGTGTTGGTTTCATATCAATTTACTTATCGTCATGTTTGCAAGTATACTTGTAGGAACAATATGGATCATTCTAATAGTTCATAATGAGAAGTATTATTATACTGATGTGATCTCGTTAGAAACTAGACTTTTTGGTTTATTCTAGAGCTCTTCTGTGTCGCTATAGTATTTAGAGAAGTACGTAGTATGTTATTATGCATAATTACCAGAATAAGCTAACATTTGAAACCAAAAAAGCCATCCATGTCAACTATCAATCAGCTTATATCTGGGTTGTAATCAAATCTGGGTATCGTAAAGTCTTTGTATCATTGTCACATCACATAAAAAACAAATGAAATGAATACCGAATCCTGTAATCCATGTACATTATTCATTATTCACGGGAGTCACTAGCAGGTCGCTGTTCTCTGTATCGATGGGTATTGGCGTTTGCATATGGGAGAGGTGATTCTCAATGCGGCGACTGTCTAAGTATGTTGATTGGAATTGATGCCAGCAACTTGGGGCGATTTAGCAATTTGGACTTTAGAACAAAATAGGAAAAAGAAAGGCTTACTTAGGTGCATGGAGGACGTATCTAGCCATTGCTTCTCTGAATCGACTCTTGTACTCCTTCGGACTTGTCACAGTCGGTCTGTTCTTACCGCCGCCGGCAAAGCCACGATCTTTAATCCAGGATTCAAGCTTCTTGTCCCAGGTATACGTTCTAATGCAGTCAATAATTCCAACGACAAGTTCCTTGCGAGGCTCGTCAATTGCGATCATCAGGGAATAGTCCATGACGTTTTGTCGACCAAGGAACAAGGTGTCATTCCATACGCTCTGGCTGAGTAGCTTCTTTGAATGCTCGCGAGTGAATAATGGTGTCTCGTAGATAAAATCAACCATGTTCTCGTCAAGAAGCACCTCATCGCGCTCTCCAGTACTTTGCACCTTGCGATTCCGCATCGACCCCTTGAGATCGAAGATACGGGTGGGTTCTCGATCATAAAACAAGTTTTCCATGAGAAGCAAAAACCAGTTGAATTCAACGCCTGTAGCAGGATTCTTTATAATGACCTGGTAGAACCCACACATCTTTGCAATGGCCGACGGAAGTTCGTGGAATAATGCCTCAGACATAATTTGGAAGTAGGCTGGAGCAAACTTGAGGAATGCTTGTGTTTCGATCTGAGATAATGATTTCAGGACAAAGCGATCGTCGAGTGTTTTGAGAAAGAGTGACTTTGTCTTTCCGCCTTTGGAGTCCCATTTGGCGCATCGAGAAAGAGATTCAACGATACGATCTGCTACACCACACTTCCTTCGCAGGGCATCGAATTGTTCGGCGTAAAATACTTTGCACAGCATTTTGGCTTGACCTTCTTGAAATTGATATTTCAAATGTGTGCCCGTGGGCCTAAGAAGAGCATGTTCAACGCTGACTTCGTCCCGTGCTTTCACCTCTACATTCGGAGACATCTGCTGCTTGTCCTCCTGATTGTAATGCGCCTGAATACTTGCAAGTTTGCTTTTATAGTCGGCGGAATCCAACGCAAATGCAATCAAGGAGGTCGGTTCGTCTTCGCGGACGATAATGTCACAATCAGCGAAAACATGATCCGATACTTTCAAGGGGTAGTCTAGAGGCTGCCAGCCGCTTGCAGACCGTTCAGCCCAGAAGTTCGTCAACATCTTTACCAATGTATTCCGTTCATGCTTGGGAAGCTCTTTCAAATCGATCTCGTCATCAATTTTCATGGATTCTTCAGGTGATTCTGCGACGGCTATACTATGATCCTCATCACTTGGCGTCTCCTCAGTTTCGAAGGAGTTCTCAGTCGTGTTGTTCTGTTCTGGCTCCGGAGAAGTTGAAGTGGTATTATCAGCAGGACCATCCTTGCTGATATTCGTATCCGTTCTGAAAATCTCATCACTATCCCTAGCAGCAGTTTCTAATGGCAACTGTGACTTCCCAGAGAGCAGTTCTTCTCCTTCACCAGAAGGTTCCCGCTCCTCGACAGCTTCACGAACATTTTTGTAAACCTCCACAGTGGCTTTCGAGGATGTCATGGGGTATGCACGTGAATGCTTGCTCTTGGCGGCTCGCTGTAATCGTTCGCGCTGTCTTTCTTTTTCGAACTCCCTGCTTAGCTGTTCGAAGTGACGAGCTAAACTGGATACACGCGGGCTCTTCTTTTTGCTTGGAATTGAGCGGGGGATTAATGAATGGCCCGCGGGAACTTTCCCGGACTTCAATGCACCTAAACCAAGACGATCAGACAATTTTTTATCACCAGTCTTGTATTTGTCAATCGCAGGTGGGCTAGGCAAAGGACTGGGAACTTTGCTCGAGTTGCTGAAACCTGATTTCAACGCAGCCATTGGCCCTGAGTTGCCCTTCTCTCGTAAAGTCTGGAGAGGTTGTGAATATGCCCGGTGCAGAGGAGGCGACCTGGCTTTGCCATTCCGACGTGAGTTACTCTCGGTGAATCTAGGAATATTGGAAGTGTTAGGTATTGGCTGAGGGCTAGATGCACTGCCCCGGCGGCTTGAGCTTTTCTTTGCAGGTCGAGGATGATCGAGTAGTTCAGGAGATGGAGTAAGTCTGTCCGAACATACTGAGGGTGTACCGGCTCGTGAGGCAGAATCACCATTTGCAGATGCAAGATCATGATCACCAGACATAGCATTCGAAACCGCGAGATCCAGATGTTGTACTTCTTCCTGGTTGGCCACGCTTGTATGAGAACCAGGATCATTCCTTGAAGCAATTTCGGGAATATATTCCGGCGACTCGTTTCGCTTTAATTTTGTTCCGCCTTCGTCGATTTTACCAGAATGCTCCTCAACAACCGAAACAAGTACGTCTTGTGCTTTTTCTGGTGACAAAGTCATTCGACGTACAGATCTCGGGCGTGGGGATTTCTCGTCTAGTTCCTCAAGGTCTTGCTCAGTGGGAGTTGTTGAAACATCCTCAGAAGATGTCAAAGATGTGACAGAAACATCCTTATCAAGAAAGATCTTTTTGAGTTGCAATGAAGCCAACCTTCTGATATCCTTTTCTGACGGGAAGAAATTTTTCTCAAATTCAGCAAAGCAGGTGTCCCATTCAACAACCTTTTCTTGGACAGCTCTGAGAACTTCATTCAGCGGGATAACTTCCCAATAATGAGAATTCGTGTATTTATCCTGTAGGTGCTTGACTAAGCTTGCGTGATCTTCATTGGCCTTTTTGACGAGCATTTCGGTTTCTTTCCTGCATTCTTCGACTTTTTCAGGCAGAACACTCTCAGCATTTATAAGCTTGAGGCGGGCCTTCACAGAGCCCATGAACTTGGAGATTCGGTGCTCAAATTTGTTGTAAACTTCATTTCGGAGGCGCAGGTCATTGTCGACTTTCCAGGTCACTCGCGCACGTGGAACAATTATTTCCAGTAGAGTGATAGCATCATAGTGAATCCGAATAGCCATGTCTTTGAATCCAAAATATCGCAAGTAATCGCGATGGATGTCATGAGAACAAACTCCAGCTCTTGCGCGAAGATCTCTGCTCCAGAAGGACAGTTCAAGATACTTGCCAAACGAGTATCTCCAACTGCTTTCGGACATAGGAATAACCTGGGTCTCGTTCCCGCATATTTTACAACAACTCCACATGAGTATTCTGTCTTGCAAGCCACGTAGCTTCGATGGATACGGCTGCACAAATATGCTAATCTGGGCCTCACCATGAACATATTGGCGATGATGTTCACACATACGCTTTTCGCATCCGTTCACGTTACACACTGAGTTTGCTTCTAAGCACAAGTCTTCAACATATTGGCCTAAAGTGCAATCCGCTTCAAATACGTGATCGTCACCTTCGTGTTCATTGTAAAAGTCCAAGGCAAAGATATCGGGCCCAGAACAAGGAATAGAAGTCGTAGTGCAAACTAAGCTGTAAAGCACTACTATATTCTGGTGAGCGAATGGATCAAATAAATTCTTGTTTCCTGAAAGATAAGCCTCCCACTGCCGTTTTTGAGTTTGGTAGTTGTGCATAGCCCTGTCAAATTCTGCATCGTGTACCGCTCGCAGAACTTCCTTCACCTTTTCTGAAGCATTTCCCGGGTCTTGATGAACCATTTCAGGTGTGATCAGCATGAACTTTTGAGATTTGCTCTTTTCATCTGACACGTGCTCCATTGGATCACGGTCACGTAGACTTTTTAGATAGGATAATCGGCGTTCTAACTCCCGGGCCCTCATGAGTAGATATGGAGCCTCAAATTTCACACATGGGGAGGCTGAAAGAATTTTTGTCTCGTGCTTCTCAACCATATCTTCGTAGTAAGTGGGCATTGGAACATCATCGGGTACGTCGGTTGCAACAGTTGCACGAGTAAGACCGGCTGTGCCGTCTCGAGTAGATCCGTCGCCCATAGTTGGCTGAGCAGAATCCCTATGAGTTGTAGAGTGTTCGCTTGATGGCAATCCCTTGAGTACCAAGCTTTTCTCACCAGTGTTAACTTTCTTCTTGCTAACCTCCTCGGTTGTCGGTAACTTTGCAAACTCATCTCTCATCAAACAGGTTTCCAATTTCAAATTATAGACCACATAGACCATGAATTCAGTGATCCGCTTCACTCTAGACAAAACATCATTGTCTGCACCACGTAAGACTATAGTGCAGCCAAGTTCCTCCGGGCAGCCTGATATGTACATATACGTTTTCCTTCGACCTCCAAAAACGTAAGTTTTCAAGTCGAAGCTGTCACAGTGCCCCGTATGAGCTGGCGTTGTGACTAGTTTATCCATAGAGGTTATTATCTTTGTCTGTGTGCATCTTGAGACAGCTTCGAGGACAGATGGTTTCACATTGTATGCAGTCGCAATATTGGACTTCTCGAGAAGTTCGAGGGCAAGCCCTGAGACGCTTTTCTCAACAAGAAGTAAGCTAGGTCGCAATGCTGCAATCCTGCTGACTAGATTTTCGAGAAACTCTCGTTCTTGTCGGATCACTGGTTCAAGACTCATAAAATGTTGTTGATGACGGGCATATTCAATCGCAAAGGTAATAATCAAAATGTTGGGATGAGATATACTGCGGGGCATGCTTTTCAGGGCTAGATTTTTGGTGAAAACCAAGCCAGAAACATATGATGTATCCCCAGGACGCCCCCCCGGTATCCTTTTGAGCTTCACGTAATGACGAATGTCCATATCATCACCGCCTTGCACATCTGGGTCAACCTCATCCGTGGCCTTTAACAAGATCGGCAGCAGCGCCGTCTCCCAACTGTTTGAGTGGGGAATGGAGAAGTCCTTCAAAAGCTGTCGAAGCAGCTTACGAACATGATCTAAGCTCACTCGATTCAATTCAATAGCGGGCGCACTAGATCCCCTCATGGATGAACTCCTTGTCATCTTGAAGCCACTGCCCGATGTGGGTACGGCGGCATGAGCAGTATTCGGTGTAGGATGTTCATGAAACAATAAAGCATTGTCCTTAGTAACACGCGGTATGGGGCGTTGGTGGGCGCTACTTGCAATGCTAAGATTACGGCGTCGAGAATTGCGTGGGAGATTCACGGCTTTGGAGCTGCTGATACTAACATCATCTGCTTCACGCATGGAGCCAGGGCCATTTATCGTACTGCGGTCGCTGAAACGAGATCGGCTTTTCTTTACTGCTGCAAGAAACCCACCAAACGAGGCCTTCTCATGGTCATTGCTTTTGGCCAAATTGTTGTCGGATACGACTGAAAGTAAATTGGGCTGTTCGTCTCCACTGGATGCATCGTCCGATAGATATTGAGCCAGGTCAGGGTCAATAATGCTGTCCCTGTGAAAAGCTGGCAGCCGAGTATTTTGGTTTGTATCGTCCAAATGGCGCCGTTGAAACGGAGCACGGTCTTCATGGGAGGTCTTGAAGCCTCTTAAAAGTTGCTGTCGCGAGTGATGTCGTTTGTGGCTTATTGAATGACTTCGAAGGCTTGCAGATGATCTAAGTGACCTAGAAGATGTTGGACGAGTCAGCGGCCGTTCTGGGCCAATCTCTAGAACAGCAGATCGTCGATTTCCACTTTCTGCCATGCGCCTTGTTGCTGGGATGGCCATAGTAGGGGTTTTGATCACATGTTCCATCGATTGAGAGATAATAGAAGATGTATCGTCATCCTCCTCAGCGTGAGCGCGGTTGGTCACAGCTCCGTTGAAATCAAAGCTAGCAGCATCAGCGTTGGCAACTACTGGACTTTGCTCGATATCCGATAGATCTGAAGAATCAAATTCGCGTGAGTTGATCATATCTTCACAAGGTTTGCAAACCCTGATGGAGCCGCCTTGACCAAAAAGTGTCCCCGGTATGAGTGTTGTGCACTTGGAATCGAAAATTTGGCCGCATGTGCGGCAATGATGTTTTCGTCGAAACGTGGTAAACGGCTCTCCGCATAAAAAGCAGTCCTTAGCATTTTCATCTCGCATCCAGAATTCTCTGCTCAACAGTTTACTCTTTAGCTGAGAAAAGGCGCCATGCTGATTATCTTCGACCTTATTCATAGCTCTGCTTCGAAAGGACTGATTTGTAGATTGCTCAATCACGGCTGAGCGAGTAGTAGCCGTTTCGCTTGATGATGCCCTAGACATCACATAACCCGGCAATCGACCTGTGCTAACCCGTGTGACGAGTTTGTCTCGAGGTTTATCAAATGAGGAAGTTGAAGATATTGAAGGCCTTGATCCGTGGTCTCCTATAGAAGCAGACGTTGCTAGAGTGGTGGAGGTGCGCCCATCGGGGAGGGATATATCGTCATTTGAACCTTGCGTCAAACTATTACTAGCGGACGTTGGGGCTGTAGATTCATCAGCATTGAGGGAGCTCGAAGAGGTTGTAATCATGTTTCCTTGCACAGAATTTGCTTCGTGGTCGCTGTTTTGTATTTCTTTGGCCTTCCGAGTGGTGGTTGCTACAGACGTGTCTAATTCGGGAAGATCGCGATGATCATGTAGTTCCGATACAGGCTTCTTCTGTTTATCCAAGTTTGGTGTATCATTTCCGGTCTTTGTATTGTGATATGGATCAGGCAATGTTTGACCATCTCGAAAGTTATTGTGCGATTTCCCAGTCAACACAGGCGAAAAGGATCGTTGACTTGAAAAAGCAGTCGCATTTCCACTGATTGAAGATCGCAGAGAGTCTTCACTTCTCTCTGTGACGCTAGGCTCCACAACCAGCGGCTGTGTTCCGCTAGAGTTGACGTTGAGAGGGCCATCTCGGAGTGCATTAATATTGACTTCTGTCACCTCAGGGTCTGCCACTTTCGTGAGCGGTGGCACAGGCGATTTTACAGCGGGCGTAGATGCCACAGATGCTTTTGATGACACACTTGCCGGCTTTGAAGCAAGCTTATTGTTTTTGGTTCCAGGGCCGTTGTTGAAAGTATCTGTGATGGGAGAAAAGGCGCTCACTGATGGCGATTGAACCTTAGAGACCTGACCTGAAGTTGTCTGAGAGCCCTGCGCGTAACCAATGTTTGCAGAATTATTCTCTGCCACAGCTACTTTATTGGAAACGTCCGGTGACGGTCCTTCAGATCCCCGACCACCATTACTCATCACATCTTTGACACCGCCAACAGATGCTCGTAATCGACTGTAGAGTCCGCTAAGACCTCCATGAGGATCATTTGCGATGCTGTTGTTCTCGGCAGCTGACGAAGGAACTGGTGGGTTCGTGAACTCGTTGAAAACGGTAAGAGAGTCAGATTGATAGGCAGCCGAATGGATTTGATCCAGAGCTTCGTTCAATGTTTCGCGCTCGGCTTGAGTTGACAAAGAAGCACGAGAGCCACGTCTGCCCAGAGGCAGGAATATCGACGATGCTGATGGACTCACCGGCTCTGCAGCTTTGAGAGAAGTCATTCTGAATGACTGGCGGAAGCCTATGTGTTAGCGTTCTTGACAAAGCAAGGTCATTCTGGTGGCTTCGTATCAAGGTACGGGCGCGTTATTTGTTCAGCTCTTTAACATGCAGGAACTTCGGGGTGAGAAAGTCTTTCCAGGAAGAAACGAGAAATGTCAGCACAGGAAGCCCGCAACTTTGCAGCCTGACTAATTTCTTGTTGATGCGGAGTTGCCTTGATCGACGGGCCTGGCCGCCCAACGATGATGTGGTGCATGTGATGACGTGGGGTGGCGCGTGAATGGTGTGGCTTGCCACTGCCGACGCGAAAGGTGTGGCTAAGCCTGCCATATCTCCTGTTTCGGTTTAGTTAAAAATCACGCGTCCAACTGACAAACAGACGAAACCCGATTTAATGTATGACTGCAAGTTCAGTCTGGTCGCCTAGCTGGTGTTGTATGTTATGTGAAATTACATCCTGAACTGATGTGTCACTAATTTGCTAGCAAGGGATAATGACGATTGGCACAGTCCAGTGTTTTACGTGCTAGGGGAAGCTGATCCTTTCATGATCCTTCCTAATATTCGACTTCTTGGCCATCACCTTATGCCGGATATCAGGATCTACCCAAACTTGCGCAGTACGTGCACTGGAGGGTCTCGAAACGGTGATTACTCGTATTTCATTTTTGGCCTATTGTAGGCTTTTGTCATTTACAAATTCATTTCCCCTCATGCATTTCGCATTTCGCCTTGCTATTGCTATGTCGCATCCAAATCGAGCGCAAATTAACTGATCAAACTTGCTCTAGGACATAGAACCCTATAACTCGAGGGCAAAAATTGCGGTATTACGCCCAGGTTGACCAGAAAAGATCCTTCCGATTTCTCGCAATAACCGTTAGCTACAACCGACCTTCAGTTTCTCCTGACCCCGCAACCAATAAGTCGGATATCCAGTTTTGGTTTCGCAAACGGCCGTATTGTTTATAAATTTATTACCGCAAGCAGGACCTGTGCAGATTCCTGGAAGAGGGCTATTTTAAGTGCCGGTGCTCGCTGAGGATCTGATATTGTAGTCGCACCGCTCCAGAATACACTCTGTTGACCAAATTCGAGAGAAATATGACGAGATTCATGGATACAACTTGAAGTATTACACAAATTTGGAGGATTCTTGTTCTGAAAATTTTTGAATATGACCATGGAGGATTTCAAGCCTGAGGAGAATTAAATACGAGTGATCATTGTAAAGGCTGGGCTTATACTGCACACAATGACGCCTGCAAACTCCAAGCGCAAGAGAGGCATGAATCAAGCTATTGATGAGGCGAGAATTCATAAGGTTCTGGAAAATCAACGTGGATACATCGGTGATCACGAGAGCCTTGCGCATTATGGGGCCCACCCATCTCCGTCCAACTCTATAAAGTCCCAGGACCTGGATATCATACGAAGTTCTCCTCCTTTTTTCGAATCACAAGAAGTTCTAGCAACTCAGTTCCCTCCTCAAGGCCTCAAAAGGCGGTCTTCAACCGATTCTGTACGGTCCCAAGAAGGAGATGTAGCAAAGCCATCTCTCGCTCCATCTGAATCACAGGAAATAATGGCAACACAGCTGCCTCCACAAAAGTCACCAAGTTATATAGCGAGACCTCCCATTACCGATGCTTTCAACAATAGAAAGTCCCTTTTACAGCATCTTAAAAACCCCAATATTCAACGCAACGAGCAGATATCTCGATACCCGGCTCCTGTTACGGTCACAAAACGAGGACTTGCTATTGAGGCTCTCCTTAACCCCAGAGTTGATACCAAATTAAGCGGGGGCTATTTACCCGCCGAAAATTCGGCTGAAACTCCAGTGTTAGAAGTCAAGGATTCTACCAGTTCTTCGCAACCACAAGTGAGCCCGAGAAGGAGCCCTCTTCTCCCTTTGCCATCAAAACTCAATTCACCTCATTCCCCTCGAAATAGGGGAGTAATACAATCTAGAGAACGCTCTAAGTCGCAATCAGATATTATTAATAGACCCCGCCGTATAGAGGACCAGCCCACGCCTACCGAAGTCCCTGCCGAATCATACCACACCAAATCAATTGAAGTTACACGTCAACCGCATATACCTGGCTCTGATCCATGGAATGGTATGACTAAGATTAGGCGGAAGGATGTAAAAATCCCCAAAGATCAGGAGGACCTCTTTAATGGTTCTGAATGTTGGATACCTGCGAATGTAGGCCATCCTACCCCCCACGGCCACGTTCCTCCGGCACTGCTCCAGGAGTGGAACAGGAGGATGTCATGCAAAAACGTGGTAAATCCGTCGCCTGAAAGACTAGAAACACCATCGGCACAAGTGCTGGACGATTTACCACCCCTTTCTCAATCAGGGCTACAGCTAGAAGACGAAAGCGGATCGGAGGTAGAAAGGGCAGCCTCGTGGAGTGTAAGCCCACCCAGACACATTGGGGCTGCCAACCACCCTGAGATTCTGCCGCCTGACAGCAGCCCCGTTGGGCAAAAGAGGTTCCGGGTTACCAAAAGCACTCCAACTCAGAAGAAGCGTCCCAAAACCAACATCAGCAACCATACTAATAATCATGATGTTGAGAAAAGCTCCTCTCCAGCATCTCCAGAAATATCTCAAAATGATGTTATTCAGGAACCAATCATCGCTGATGATGGCCAAGATGTTGTCGTTGATTCTTCAATATACCCTTCTCTCGGCGAAAACCCAATATCAGTTGAACTGGAGAGGCCTGTAATTACCGACACGGATGATGAGTCGGACATGGAAGTTTCCATCCCATATGCATTGGGTGCAAGCGTTCAAGAGGATATTGCCAGCCAAGTTGAGCAATCACAGACCGTCGATCCAGACTCCTCAAATCCGAGTTGTGCCCCTCCTGACAGGGTTCAGATATTGAACACGCAGTCGTCTAGCATTAATCGTGCTAAACAAAGGTCAAACAAAGCTGGCGCTACACCTCTATCTTTGGTGGCTCCAAGTAGTTCATCTGACGTCAAGTCACCTTCACAGACTACTGCGAATTCGGTGGGAAGCCAGGAGAAAAATTCTTCGTTGCTATATGAAGAGAACTTGGCACTCACGCGTGGGACTATTGTGGCAGATTCACAAAACAGTAGCGGCGACACCCACCAGTCCAGTCATTCTTCTCATCAAGACGGTCAACGCGTCCTAGATATTGTTCCCGATAGTTCCATACCCTCAATACGACTCCAAACGCAAGAGGACTTTCACTATGATGAGACGCATAACGAGGATATACAAAATAGTTTCCTGGATTCGGTTGCTGTGACTCCTTCAATTACTTTGAAGCGAAGCGCAGAAAACCTAGGATTTTGTGGAGAAAGTCCATCGAAACGGTTTAAGAACGATCATAACAAACTCAATATCGCACCTGTGAAACAAATTACGGTCGTTGCGGAGACCAAACATGTGTTCAAAGACAAGCACAGGGATACCTTTGATACCACACCCGACGGACCCCTGAGGGTGTTTGAAATGTTCAAGAAAACATATCCGATCTATAATGGCGACTTTGGCCATTTCAAAAGTCTCTGCAACAAATTGCAATCCCTGCGTGGCACCGAATTACTACGACATTACTTCTGTTGGGATGACTTTATTCTTAAACACATTATAGACTACGGCAATTATGTGCAAACATGCGTTGCGGCTGGTAAGAACTGGGAGGACTACGAAGTATACTTTTGCGCCAATTTCACAAAACCCTCGTTCAAGAAGCGAAGTTTGGTACCTCACACGCTAGACGCTGTCGTTTTGGAGCCCAGGACTATATCAATAAAAACCCCCGTGGTTGATATAGAGACAGAGGCTAGTTGTGGTCGCCCAAAGAAACCTCCCCAAGTCTCACAGGCGTCGGCTATGGTGGATATCGGCATTCAAGCCAGCTTAGTGGATCAGGATATGACCCCTGCCACTTCTGATACTACATTTACGGTTCGCAAGTCAACCCGAATAGTCTTTGAAAGCCCGCCCGATCGTCCAGAGACCACCGATGATATGTATACGGTGAACAGAGGGACGCAAATTAATTTGGAAATCCCAATGCCCCTAGAGCATGAGAGTATGGTTATTGACGAGACACAACAGTCTTTGCAGGCTGAAAGTGATGGGTCGGAAGGCGAAATCGATGATGAAATGGACGCCGAGCGTCACGAAACCGCAAGCCAGGAACTTGGGAATGAGCCAGAAGACGATGTTGGTCACAGTTACATTTCGAAAGCTGAATTGGTAGCAAACATTCAGCGAGAGGATCGAGAAGCTGTCCAAGATTTGTTCAACACACTGCTACCGCAACCTCCTGCAGATCCGTTCATCCGCGAAGTTGACACTCCGTTTAGAAGCTGGGCTCGCGCTGATCAAAATGTGGTGTCTGAGCGCCGTCGACGTGGTGGCTGGCCGGTGCCATGCGATAAGGATGGAAATATCCTGGTTACACATTATCCTCGTGTTGGCGGGAGGGGAAACAGAAGGTCGATTCGAAAAAAATCCAGGTCTGCAGTCAACTATTGATTCTTCAGATGGGAATCGTCAGAAACCGGCGAGACACACGAGCCTGGTGGTTGATTTGAGATACTACCTACCTAATCTAGCATTATAGTTTAGCTTCGCATATGCATTGTCTATAGTCGCCATTAATGGTAACAAGCTTCACATTTAAACCAGATCATCACCTTCAAAATTGTATATAGCTGGATAGGATGATATCGTTTCAGCGCTTACAAATGTCCAGTTAACGGTCAAGTATAGGAGTGATAAATACGTCTTTGCATGATTCTTTCTCTGTGTCTGATGAAATATCCCAAATGTCACCATGGTAGCTATTTCTAAAGTCGGTCGCTTTATGTATCTAACTGGATTTGGAAGACATGGTCGTGCATTAATCCGTATTCTGTACAGGTTGGTCATAAGTAATGAGACGATATGGAATTAATAATTTCTACTGAGCAACATTGTGGCAGGTTCCATTGCACCGTGGTCCTCACATGAACCATTGTTTTGTTTCATCAAGAAAGACGCAATTCCTAATTATCTAATGTTGCATCCACCTTACCCAAACTCCATGCGAGAAACGGGAACATTCTTAGTCGTAGAAGATAAGGTCAATGGGATCAACCCCATCCCTTGAGGCCAATCCACTGGCGCCGGCAGCTCACAGAAGTGCATTTCCCGAGAATGGTCTGGCGCCGGCAATGTAAAATCTGGACACAAGATGATATAACATTAAAAGCTGCGCCGTCGCTAGCCTGACTCCAGATGACTGGTGTAGTATTCTCGGCTCCACCCCGATAACTAACCGCCCACTAAGTGTCGTCGGCTTGGAGGGCTGTTATCTTTCGACTACCGACATTTAAGCCTTCAGTGTCAATAGGTGTGGCAGGGGGCCAGGAGGTACGTACCGCCAGGAACATGGATTACTCAGATATTTGAAAGCAAAAAAATCCTACTCGTTTTATTGATTAGGGCAGGTATCTCATCACCCAGCGGATTGATCTGCAAGGATCAACCCGAGCAGCCAATCAGAGCAGTGAAGATAAACTTTGCGTATTACCCTGAGTCTGTGGCACAAGGCACGAGGGTTACATTGCTGTATGTTTTTGTGAGAAACGTAAGGCTAGGTGGGTACTATTCGAGACTCGCGTGCTTGGGTCAATTTGTTTGACTTTACACTAAACTATTATGGCGACTCAACTATTATAGCAACTCCTCTCTATACAATATAGAAGTAGTATGGCATTAGTCTTGGCATCGTAAGATGTATGAAATCCTGCGGCCTGCAGCCCTAGGGCTTCCAACTAATGTTGTATTGGATCCTTTTACGCCCCTACAATGGACACCATGCGCCCCAATCGGCTGTATCACTCAAAGGATGCTGATGGGAGTGGCCGGAGCGTAATCTGTAACCCAAATCACGCTGCCAATTAATATTTCAATATCAAAGTAAGTAAATGACAATACGTTGAATCTCATAATCCGACCCATATCACGAACAAGGCGGTGGCACCTAAACTTCATAGCTAAGAGGATCGGTAATAGTCCGCGGGTTGGACCCGAATCGGGAGTGCCCTACTATTGGTTCAGATGTTATGGTCCACAAATATCTTCAACGTTTCAGAACGACTATTCATATATCGAGTATATTGCTGGCTCTACATAACCTTGGGAATCACCGATTAGGATCATCTGTTAGTCTGACGTCGCAGCAAGAGTAAGCGACGTAGTTATCTTTTATAGCTACATGTACACAAATTGACATGAATTTATAATCTCGTTATGGATTAACCTTGTACATATAGGTCTTCTGTAGGCAGCAGTATTAAACATGATATGTCATCACAACGACCTTACTAAACAAAATTAGATAGTTGTGAAAGTAAGAATATAAGGTTATAGGAAAAGGAAACTGCGCCACAGTAATCCGTAAGCTCATGACGCCAGCTGAATTGGGTTGGATTGGCATGGCGAGCGAAATGCCTGTTAACGTGCTTATTGATATACTTAGGAATCATGCAAATGATGTCAAGTAAAGCTACATGTAGTTCTTTGAAAACTGATTTAAATGCCCCCACAAATTTGTATACATTCTTTGTTCTAGTTGAAAAAAAAACCATGGCAACTATGCAAAAAAACTAAATTTCAATATTTGTAGTACTAGTTATGGGTTTTTATCCAGTAGTAGATCAATCCTTTTCCTGGGAATCACAAGGAGTAAATTAAAATTACGAATAAGGATACCTATCTATTTCTATATAAGAATTTAATCAGCATATAGGATACCAAGTTTCCATGATTCCTATGGGGGTTGCTGCCATTTGCTTCCAACTAAGTAATTAGGCTAGCACAACGTAGCATGATAGTATTACAATTGATCTACATTTTGAGAAACGTGGCCTCGTTTCCCTTTTAGCAGGGAGATCCTTACAGACCTGTCAAGCCAACGGACCTAAAATCTAATCCTGGCCCCTCCAATGGCTTCTAAATCTAGCATACCCAAACTTTCCTCAATTAGGCAGCTTAATACACATGGTAAAAACCGGTTTTCAAAACCTCAGCCAACAATATATGATATGAAACGCTCATGGCCTACCGCCAAACTTTATAGAGCATATAAGTAATTATCCCGAGAGTGGTTGTATTACTCACGTAGTCTTAGCAAACTATCGGCCTATCCGATGTCAGTCTAATTTTTCTTTAGTGGAAGTCCCCAGGAAGAGAAGTCGCCCTTATAAGGCACAGAGACCCCTCCTTCGCTCCATATTATATATGTACCAAACCCAAGTGAATACAGACAGCAAACACTGGTCTTCTGTAGCCATTTAATCATGATGACAGGCCAAAGCCCAGCCGTCATTACTACTGGCTTGATGAAGCGCGCATGGTCTAAACCAGAAGGTCCTGACCCGAACCTTGCGCAAGCCAAATACTTTGCAGCAGCCTTCTCAGCCATTGCTGGTCTTTTTATCATCTTCCGTTTAACAAGAAAACTATACATCAACCACAGAAGAAACAACGGCCATGAATCGTCGGAAAACTCGCTAGTGAAAGGCGTGAGGTATGTCGATGACGAGCTTAACTCGTGAAGACAACCTGCTAACGCAACCTTTCTTAGGTCTGTCTATGAAGTTTCAACGTCTAAACTCATATTTGGATATAATGGTGGCCTTGTGCTCCTATACCTTGCATATTGGGCTATCAACGTCGTATTATACCTCACGAACGTTTCTTTAAATAATTTACACGCTGTATGCCGATATTTCTAATTACCCAATACTCTTGTCTCAGCACTAACTAAGAATAGGTCGGAAGCCGTCTAGGATGGTGTGTTTACAAGACCTTTCTACTCATAGTTACATACATCTTACGCTAATTCTTCTAGGATGGCCGTCCTTAACCTGGTAATAGTCATATTCCTCAGCCTCAAGCATACTCCTCTCGCGCTCTTATCAGTCAGTAGCTACGAGAAGCTATTACCTCTCCACAAAGTTGCCGGATACACCACCATCATCGCCGCATGGGCCCACGGAATTTTAAATTTCAAATATTTCTCTGACTTGGGGCTTCTCAATGCAGTTGTCGAGGAAGATGGACTCCTTGCTGGTGTGCTAGGTATCATTGGCTTTGCTGTCATTGGTATTTCTACGTTTCCGTGGCTTATGAAAGGTGGCTATGAGGGTAGATATTTCTTTTCTAATAAGTATAGAAAACAATTCGAATAGCTGACTCAAAATTAGTGTTTTACGTGCTGCACTTCCTTCTCACGTTGTTCGTCATTATCGTCATCGGCCTTCATAAAAGCATAATAGCTGAAAAGGTCCTCATCGTTATACTTTTGATAGCTTCAATGACATTCGTCGACCGAGCCCTTCGATTCGGCAAACTAGTCTACTATTCGTTCGGAAACTATGCAACACTAACAGCCCTACCAGGCGGGGCAACTCGCGTACGACTGCATTGCTCAATAAATGCAAAGCAAGCCTCACACGCATACCTCTGGATACCTTCCATCCGCCTCATCCAAACCCACCCTTTCACGCTCGTCTCAACGAACCCCGTTGAATTTGTTGTTCGAGAACATGATGGTTTTACAAGAGATTTACACAGAAAGGCGCAACAAGTTGGGCCCGAGGCTAAACTACGCGTCTCGCTCAACGGTCCTTACGGGGCACCAACAGAGGACTTTACGGCGTACGATGACGTGGTTCTTGTCGCTGGTGGGAGTGGTGGGAGTTTCACGTTCCCGGTGGCATTAGACCTTGTTCGACGACGACAGCAAGCGAAAGAGGACAAGCAGGCTAGGATTAGAATTGTATGGGCTGTAAGGACCAAAGACGCGTTGAACTGGTATCGGTATGAGCTCGAGGAACTCATCTCGTCTGGTATCGTGGAAGTAAAGCTTTACATGAGCATGCTCCAGGGTACGAGTAGCTCCAATAATTCAGTTCCCAGCAGCTCTGCATCATCAAGACCGAATCTTCAAGATGCTGAGAAGAGGAATCATGGTAACAGTTTTCTGGGTGTCAAGATCGAAGAGGGTAGACCAGACCTTGACTCCCTACTGAACGACTTTATTGACGAGGCTGGCCCGAGTCGGAGAGTTATTGTTGGAGCCTGCGGGCCGCGTAGTTTCATGAATATTGTGCACGCTCATGCATCGCGGAATGCCGGAAATGGAGAGGGAGCTGTGGTTACATACTATAATGAGGTATATCTATTCATTATTTGGTGATTTGATAGTATAAGTGCTAACGTGGGTATTATAGGAATTCGGATGGTGATTGTTTATTGAAGTTGATATGATTTGTATTCATTTTACATACGAACTCGATTATCTATGCTGCTTTTGTAAATTGGCGTGCGTAATTTTCTTAAAGGGCCTTCTATCATTTCATAACCAATGACATCACAATAATAGCAATTTCTAGTTACTCATGACTTTCACAACTCGTAGATAGAAATAGACTTTTCTGAACTAGCGAGCTTTCCCAGTATTCCACATCTGACAAGATTAATTGATGGTACACAAACGAATAAAAAAAATTCATACTTATTTGGTGATCACTACTTTCAATTTCAAGTAAGGTAGTTCAGCCATTGCATCAAAGACATTACCCATCTCGGGATATGACCCAAAATCTATATAATCCAACTATTTCAAATGTTTCCTTCATTACACCATTGTATAACCCCACAGAAAGCCAGTAGTGTACAGTCGTGACGTTTGAATTAGGCCTGTGCGCTCTACCCCTTTCGGCAAGTCTACGAACAACCAACTTGCCAATGCCGTCTGTCGGTAGATCGCCATTATTTAAGCACGAAGGAAGCCAAAATAGCTTCAAATTTCTTTCCGATAATTTACAGCCACATATGTCATTAGTTAATCCCGCATATCCGAAACGTTGAGACGCATGATTGTGGCGTCCGGGGAATCGGGGTATAGCGTAGCTTGGACAACTACATTTTCTACAAATGCGTCTGTATGTAGGTTTGGGTTATTCAATCAAAGGTGTTATTCGAATGACAAATATTATTTAATGATTTGATTCCGCTTTTATACAGGAAGCGAAGTAATTCCTTTTTCTTTAATACCTATTTATTATATCACTGCGCTGATCTGATTTCATAAATGTAGATAGTTCATATACAATGTCCCTCCTACACAATCAAAACCACGTCCATCAATATAACACAATAATAGATTTATCCCAACTACGTAAATCTTTTCCAATTCCATACCGATATCTTCTAGCAGGTTTCAGTTAACGATGTTTCATCGACATTGAACCAACTTCCCAAACCTAAAACTCCAATCTCTTAACCCTCCGCATCCAAGAGCTCAATATCACCAAACAAATTCTCACATCCATTTCATACCCAAACAATCACGGCCTTATCCCGATCCCAAACCAGAAATTATGGTTTCTACCCCGTGCAGATCATTACCAAACCTTCAAAGTAACACCGGACGAGCCGCGTGGCGCTCCAAAACCAGGCTACGATCAAACAAGCTTATTTCGGCGGGGTAATGGAATCTGTGAAATTCAGTATCAAAGATAACGCCTCAATACTTGATAGGAATAGTTTCGCGTTTTAGCTCAGGCTAGTTGCCTTGGGGGCTTGGGCTGGAGAGTAAATGCCGAAATTCCGCTAAGCGAGATTTGTTGTTTCCCTCTCACATAAATACTGTATAAACGAGAAATTAATGAATCTGAAATAGGTCATAAGGGTGGATTTATCTCGTTATAGGGTATGGAACATCATTCTATTAGGTTAGTCTATCTTTCACACATGGCCGGGTTTAAGGTGCGACAATAGTATGCTCAAATAGAAATCCACAGAGTAGAGAAATGGATGTACCTGCATAAGTTTACCGGATAAGTTTTAATTATTCATTCCATATAGCAACCTCATCGGCTTCGGGGAGTACCGCCCCTACGTTTCATCTTTCTACTATACTAGTTTACATGTCACGAATGACTGCACTAGTAATCCCGCTATTCTCAGCCTTTGCTTTTTTGGTATATTAGTTGGGTCCAAATATACTTAAACAAATATATAATATTGTGTGTTATTCCTGCAATTAAAGTCTTGGTGTTTGGTAATGGATATAAAGTTTATAAACTGGCGTGTTCCTTTGTCAATTGTGATAGCTTTATTTCTCAGAGACCACAAAAACGAAGAGAAGGTTTAGAATTGTCATCGATTAAACAATATTCAAAATGAAAGCACAGACTCTCGCTGTCCTTCTCTCCGTCTCGGGCATTGCCCTCGGCGCTCCAGGACGGGTGAAGAAGCGCTCTGGATTTCAATGTACATCTCCCACACTCTGAAAAGGCCGGCGATGATCAACTAACACTGGATCCGATGATAGGGTTCGGTGCAAATGAATCCGGCGCAGAGTTTGGCCAGACGTCGATTCCCGGAGTCGAGGTACCCATCAACCTGCTGTTCGATTCAAATCGAGACACTGATGAGTTGGTCTTAGGGAACTGACTATACTTTCGCCAGCACGACCGCTATTCAAACCCTCATCGACGCTGGAATGAATATCTTCCGAGTGCCGTTCTTGATGGAACGCATGGTTCCGAATTCGCTGACGGGGTCAATTGATTCTGCCTATTTTTCGGGGTATAGTAATGTAAGCCAGAAGCGAATGTACGTGGTTTGATGGCTGTTCTAATATGTGCAGGTTATCAATTACATCACCAGCAAGGGCGCTTATGCAGTGGTTGACCCTCACAATTTCGGTCGATAGTAAGTACACAGGGTTTCATAAGTGCGAATGTTTGCTGATTGTGTCAGTAACGGCAACATCATCAGCTCGACCTCCGATTTTGGCGCGTTCTGGAAGACCGTCGCATCGCAGTTCAGCAACAACTCCAAAGTCATCTTCGACACGAGTACGCACCCTCTCGTCCTTTTCTCATCGCGAATCAAGCTAACCGATTAGACAACGAATACCACGACATGGACGAATCCCTCGTCGTCTCACTCAACCAAGCTGCCATCGACGCCATCCGCAGCACCGGCGCAACAAGCCAATACATCTTCGCCGAAGGCAACTCATACACCGGCGCCTGGACGTGGGCATCCGTCAACGACGACATGAAGAGCCTAACGGACTCGTCCAACAAACTCATCTACGAGATGCACCAGTACCTCGACTCCGACGGGTCGGGGACATCGGCGACCTGCGTAAACAGCACGATCGGGCAGAACAGGGTTGAGGCTGCGACTGCGTGGCTGAAGGATAATCACAAAATCGGGTTTTTGGGTGAGTTTGCTGGAGGCGCGAATAGTGTTTGTGAGAGCGCAGTGACCGGCATGCTCGACTATTTGCAGCAGAATTCGGATGTGTGGTTGGGTGCATCGTGGTGGGCGGCGGGGCCCTGGTGGGGGGATTATATTTACTCGATTGAGCCGCCGAGTGGTGTTGCGTATGAGAGTTATATGTCGGTTTTGAAGCCGTATTTCCCTTGATTTACATTGACTGTGGTGGGGTGGGGTGGATGTCAATGTGTCCCAGCCCTCTTGTCGTGTCACTCTTGTCGGCTGCTGTGCAGTTCAATTCGTGTACATTTCCATGATATTCTCGTTCCTTTTTCCTTTTGTCTTATCAGTCTTCAAAAAAGAAAAGAAAAGAAGGGTCAATCTGATACCCGATGTCATACCTAAGCTTGCCTTGAACAATCCGACGCTAAGCCGCTCTCAGCCTCCTACATATCAGAATAATCTCCGCCCAAACCATGGTGCGACAAATCTAAAATAAGGATAATCATAATATTTTAGTACAAAGTTACTAAGATGAATACCGATCAGTGGTTCGGCCAAGTGTTCTTTATAGCCGTCAGGGGTCAAACTCGGATATATGACAATAATGTTAGTTCCGCTTGGACATCACATACATCAATCGATATGTACCCCGTCATGAAATCATATCAACAGGTCTTTGTATCGCCCAGGCTTGGCTAGACGGATGTGAAATTTGTCAATAGGCTTGGACTGTTATTCTCCGAAGTCAGTAATAGGAGCCCATCTTATAGTTATAAAGATCGTCATTTGTGCGACAGTGAAACCTATTCTAACAGGCCCTACGACGTATACTTCTACGAAGCTGCATATAGCAAGACGAGAAAGAATATTCTTAAAATGATATATGATAAAGCTGCATCTCAGTCATCTGCATCCGTTCAGTAATATAACATGACATGCACCTTGCACCCGTTCATAATATAATGACAAACACGCGTTTCAATCCTAACAATCGATAGGAGATTGAAATAGAAATCCCCGTTTTAATGCCCAAACTAGAATCAACGCCATTGATGACCAATCTAGCAACTGCAATATTGGTATGCCAGCATCCAACGACTTACACATAGAAAAATCGGTCAGAGAGGTGACAATGATAAAAAAAGAAAAAAGGTATCCCAGTCTAGGAATATACACGCTTTCAGCGCTGGTAAAGAAAGTGGCTGTCGAGCCAGGTCGAATGTAATGAAGCGAGAGAAGAAATCCATGGTATATTAATCAAATAGCCGACACCATAACCCAGCAAGTTAACCAGTCGTGATGAATATATAAAATTCGGGTATGTCGGGATCGTAGATCGATGGAGGACGAATCGGTCATGGTGTATATATATAATATCGAATAAGAGAAGCTGTCAGAGGGAGGTTGTGACAGGCAGATCGCTACTGTTATCGGCGACCATCTGGGCCTGTATTTTCGCTTCCACTCTGCTGCCTGGGATGGACCCATTGCGCGGCATCTTCGTCTTGTGTGAGAGGTGTTTTTTGCTCGTCTCCCCGGATGAGCCGCGACGAGCCTGGAAATAGCGCTGTGATCTCTGCTGCTAGTGCAGTTGTGGTGAACATGCGCAGCTCTCGCTCTTCCCGCTCATCCTCTTTTCGCAATCGCCGCAGTTCTTGTTCGGAAAGTTTCTCGCGCCGTAATCTTCTGATCTCGTAGATTCCCCATAATAGCACATCCTCGGGAACTCGATTTCGCTTCGCGCCGTGTTTGGAAGCATTGCGAACGTAGCGGCGAGTCACGTCGGTGGCTCCATCGATAGAAAATGCAATGCAATAAGAAAGTTTCCAACCCCAGCCTAGTCAATGTTAGACAAATCAAATCCGGGATTTGGAACTAAACTGTAGACTCACCTTCTGTGTAGAGGCGGGGCTTATCCCACATGCCTTCACAAGCGTCGACGTGCACCCACCTCCTTTGGTGTTCCGAATACACCTCAGTCCAAACATGGTCCTCCGAATTCCACACCCATCGGACTCGGCTCCCTAATGCTCGGCAAAGCATAGTGAAGCAGTTGGCCCACTCGCCTCCTCGACCGCATCGGGTCTGCAGGAGTTGCCAGACATCCGAGTAACGTGGGAATCGCTCCAAGGTACCACAGCCCGAACACTTGTAACCTTCCACTCGCGTAGCACCTCGTGCAGTTTCATCCGGGGTGGGAGGGACCATTCCGTAAGCGATGGTGGGCATGAAACATCGGGAACATTGCGGATTGTTCACCCAAGTGAAGAAAGAGTTCTTGAACCATCTAGCAGAGCGTTAGCATCGTCTCACATCCAGCCGGCCGGTAGTAAACTTACTTTAGTAACGACTGAATGACGAAATCTTGGTATCCCCATTGCGGCTTCTTCCCGACACTTGCACTCTGCGCCTGGTGGATTTGGTGGTCGTCATCGGCCTCGGCATACAATCGATCCAGTGGGATCACGGTCAGAGCCTCATCCAACAGGCCTGGGTTCTCGTATTTTGTCGGGGTTACAGACAGCACACGGAGTAGATTGCAAAACTTGACCGACGCAGTTTCTTGCGGATGTTGTGGCATAATAGGCAGACGTCGAGCGGCGGGCGACAGTGTGGATAGATGCGAGGATTGTGACGGGGCCGGAGACCCTGTGCGCGAATTGTTCTGTGACTGTTGCTGGAAATCATTGAATCTCTTGCTTCGCATCAAATTCTCGAAATCCTTAGAGAGCTCGGCGACATCCAAGTTGCTCGCTGTTGCTGGGGCGCGAGGAGCCCGCTGCGGCTTTTCGGCCATGGCGATCAGATCGAGACTGGGCGGGCGCGCGATTGCAGGTATCTGTTGTTGCGGGAGATGGGATCTATCTCCTCGCCCTGGTGGTTGAGATACCGGTAGGTCTCCTGTTCTGCTGAAGAGACAAACTGCACGGCACAGCCCTCGGCTCCGGCTATGGCTCCGTCGCCACTCGTAGCGCTAGGGATGGTCTGTCTAGTCGGCGGTCGCACAGGCGATGAAGTTGACAGCAAGCCGACGACGGGCAGTGATGAGGTTGTTCAGAGTTGAAGGAGCTGGCGGCATGAGCTGGAGAGAAATTAAGAAGAAGCAGCAGGGCCAGCGCACAGAGGAGGCAGACGTACACCCGGACGTGGTTCGGTGGGTTCTATTACGAAGCCTGCTCCTGGTTGCTCCTTCCGGCACCCAGCGCCAAGACCTGCGACTGCCCTAATTATAGCCTTCCTCCCTTCCCACTCACCACTCTACTACATATTCTTCTACTTCTATATTCATGTATAAATGTGTAAATATATAAATATAAATACATATATATATTTGTATGTACATAAGCTTGCTACATATTCATTCTGCCATTCTACACTCTCTCCATATTTGATACGTGTCTGACAGCGCTGAGTGTTCCCGTAACAGGACATAATGAAATTGCAGAACACGCAAGCAAGTCAGGCTCCGTGGCCGAGAGCGTCGTCAGCGCGCACTCGCGGGCCAATCACGCGGCTTGCCGGCACCAAGGCCGCGCGTGTCCCGCCCCGACGGCTCTCCAGCCTCGCGTCCATTCGGCGCTGCGGCACATGCCTGGGCTTGGCACGCTAAAATTCGAATGGTTTGACTTTTGCTTCGCTGTACTGCTGCTTGTTATGCCTTGCGACCGCTCCCTTTATTATATCGACACAAAGACATGTCAATGAGAGTATCTCGGTATGATGCGTCTTTCGCTTTCACGGTCTCCGGGCGCACTCGAGTGAAATACGCTATACCCGAAACTACCGGTATCCACAGGGCTTGGCGATCTTCTCCACCTGATCATCCCCCAGTTCACACGCCGTTCTTCTATGCATTCAGGTACTGGGAAGTAGTCTCTGAAGTCGCAATGTATGCACCTACAGACTCAAATGGCTTGGTCAATCTCATGCCTGCTCGGCTGCTTGTGTAACCTGTCCCTGCAGCTGTCCAGAAGCCACATATGGGCAGATTATTCCACCATTCATTCAGTCGCTGTTGAGCATGTTCTCTCGGCTGTGCGCAGTGCATTAATAACGTTATCTATTATCTGTATAGTTTTGCGCCTTGGCACTGCCAATGCCAATAATTAGCCCGATGATTATTAGATGGAGCCGCATTTGTCGAAGTGTTGGCTGTTGGACCTTGGCAGGGTATGCGTAAGCCACTATATAATAAGCATCGCCAAGCATATATAGTGACACCACCGGATTACGTATATATTTGTAATGTGGTTCAGTGGATGGACTCATTACATGTACATGCACATGCACATATATTCAGTATTGCCACGTATATAATCCAGATGCATCCCATGACTTGTTAAATATTAACTAGCTCAACATCTAAATTATCACCACGCCATTACGAGGAGGACTACGTAGTTGCATATTTAACCTTCAATTAATATATGATTAATGAACTGCGTTACGAATCAATCAGAGAAGGCGCATTCCATTCATCACCACCTATGTACTAATATGTAGTCATCAAATATGACATTGCACATGACAACGACTGGAGGACGCGCAATCAGAAAATAACAGTCGATTTATAGTCCCTAGTGGTATATTCAAATTGGTTAGATACTACGGCAATGAGATAAGTAGTAGTAAAATATCTTCTTTATACCGAACCTTTTCCCTATAGATATGTATATACACCAATTTATGTCTGACTATACCATAAATAACTACGGTTTGGTCCTAGTATCACTAAGCAGTTTAGAGGCTCTAACCTCCAACCTTTACAGTCTTAGCTGTCAGTCTCCTTCTAACATTGAGATATACTTCTAGAGTTGTTTGACTATATCTATCAATATCTGTACTGTTAAGGTTCACGTTTCGCCGATCCTTGACTGGCCGTGGTCGATTTTGGGGAGAGTGCGTCAGATGTCGGCCTTGGCGGTGATTTCGTAAGTCATGAGCGTAACATATAGAAAAAGCAGTAAATGCCAAGGCCTGGCAGGTGCGGGAGCGGGCACGGGCGGCCAATCAGAGTCGCGAGAAATCCAATTAACCATCAACTGATAGGTCACACCTTCAAATGTATGTGCGAAACGACATCATTGCAACACCCCCCCATCCCTAATTATGAAGTTCTCTACAACTTGCTATGGAGGAATGTTGACGACGAGGATATATAGTCAACCACCCCGAACCATGACAGCGCCGATCATCCGACGGGAAATTCGATGAGCGGCTGTTGAAAATAAATGTCTGTCTTTATTATGATCATGCTCTGCTAACAATATCCAACCAAGCACACCAAGTCAACCCTTGGACAGCTTGAACCCCCCCCGAACCTTCGTCTGGAAGAAGCCAAACGGATCATATTTCGCAGCCACCTCTCGCAATTTTGCTACTTGCGCCGCTCCATAGCTCACAATCGGATCCTGCCACTTCGCGGCATAGTTCATGTACCTGTATCGAACGTTGACACCTTCTTTCTCTGTAATCGCCTCTATCTCCCTCAGCAGTACTTTGGTAGCAGCCTGGACCTCCGCGGATGCGGACGTGTCGGACCAGTAATTTGACAAGAGGCAGAGAACGAGATCGCGCTCGGGGTGGCTATTGGGTGCGAAGCCGAAGCTGTTCTGTGGTGCCGAGGTGGGCGGAACGGGGGGAATGGCCTGGAAGGTGAGGACGGCTAGTAGGGATTCGACGTGAGAGAGCGCGTGGACGGACGTGTTCCAGGCCACGAGGATGGACCGGAGCGCTGGGAGCGAGACTTTGAAGGTAGTTGTTGCATAAACGGCCCTACGCGATCAATTTACCAAGTTCGTATCAATTTGGAACACGGTATCGTTAAAGTCAGATACACACGAGGGACTTAGCATACAGTTGATCAACTGGTTGATACTCAGCCAGCTCCTTAGCGAAATCAGTCGTATTTGAGATGCGCATTGTGTTCGATAATTGCGGTTTAATGGTCGTGAACTCGGCTAGCGCACTAGCATTGACTATAGGCTTGGTATAGAACATATTATTAGAGCTGGTCCTCAAGTTCTCCGCCGCGGTATAGAGGAAGCTCTGCTCGAGTTCCGCATAAGGGTCGAAGTTTTCCGGATATTTAAACTTGGCGAAAGCCAAAATTTGGGCCTCATCGCAATCGTCTGGGTATTCAACTCCACCGCCCCAGTAATCTGGTTGCTGGAAGGAACGAATATCGAAGCGGGTCACGATGCCAAAATTGTTCTGTCCTCCTTTCAGCGCGGCAAAAAGATCGGCGTGGCTGGTCTCATTCGCATTGACAATGGCGCCGGATGCTAGCACAACTTCCGTGTTGACCACATTGTCGCAGGCAAAGCCATGCTCGGGCGAGAAAGTAGAAAGACCACCTGTTATCAAGATGCTCAGGATTTGCTTGACGAAGCAATCTAAAACTAAGATACACGTACCTCCGGTAGTCAGCCCTCCCACACCCACCGTTGCCACTCGTCCTCCCACAGCAGCGAGTCCGTACGTGTCCAGGACCTGGTACACCTCCTGCCATAGTGCACCCGCACCGACAGATGTGATGGATCCACCATTATGCACCTGTACAGCATTGAGCGTTCGCATATCAAGCGTAACTCCCACATTCGCATTGGCGGCGCCGATATTTGGCGAATGGCCGCCCCCTTTTACGGAGAGCAGTGCGGACGGAGAGGCGGCGATGTGGTTGACAACTGTCACCACGTCCGACGCGGAGGCGGGACGGACGATGCATGTTGGGTTCAGACGTTCTTCCACAAAGTAGTAGGACTCGACGGAGCTATTGTAAACGGTGCTGTTGGTGAAAAAGACCTTTCCTGGAAGAAGGGTGGCTAGCGCAGCACAGTCGGTTGCAAAGCCGGCAGTGCAGCATATGGGCAGCAGGGCAAGGCCCAGAACAGAGGGGGCGTTTCGCATGATCCAATGGAGTAGCTCGATCTGAGTCGGGTAGTAGTTTGGATCCTTTACCCAAAGAGCTTTATGCAGCAGTTAAGGGAGAGGGTGATAATCGCTTCATAATATATACATGTCGTCGCGCGATCAGCGAATGGCCAATGATAATATCCCCATTAGTCGTCGAGCATATCGTCACCCATTACAACTGGGACCCCATGCGCATGCATATCACCTACCATCATATGTAGTTGGTCAATTGCAGTGCCCGTTCAGGCGGACCTGGAAGCTGAAAAAGCAACATTGCTCGTTGTATTATTTAGTGCACGCCGTAAGTACGTAGTTGGACTAACCACTCGGCGATTAATCTTTTGAAAATATCTCTGGGATGTCGAAGCTAGTCCCTAGCACATACTCGTTTATTAATACGCGTTGCCTGCTCAGGGTTCTTTCGCTGGACACAGGCGCTATTTTAGTCAATATTACATGGTATGTAAAAACAAGCCATTGTATTACACGGCGTTTCGGGATATAAAATATTGTGGGCCATGCATGTTTGACTAGGATAATATATAACTAGAATATTGATCTACCTAGCCGAGGCTGAGGGCTGTTGGCTGCATGTTGGCCAGCTCACTCGTCCGCTCAGTCAACTAAATGATGCGCGACATGCAAGACTCGGTACGGATCATCAGATCGCAGATCAGCCCTTGACCGGCACATGTATACAGAAGTGGAGGAGAGGGGAAAGCCACTCAGGACAAGTGTGGGGTTGGTATTTGAAACTAAATTCAATTCTACGCCCAGAAGATGATTGGAAATAAGGAATGTTAAGTGGCCATGAACCATGACATTGAGCGACATTAGCAACGTGGATTGTAGTTTGGATAACCCACAGCATGAAGAATAGGTCACAAACTCTACAGAAAAGGACTAGCTGGGACGTGAAGAACGAATTAAAAAAAAGCAAATACTGTATAAAAACCGTCCTCTTTGCAGATGCAAGTTATGGTGTTTGTACAGGTTGTGCTCCGTTACTTAACCCGTTAATTCGGACCGACGACGTAGTAGCACGCGTGTAGAGTTGTATGGGATGCTGAACGACTCCCACGTCCAATGCCGACGAGACCTCTTTGCGTCCAACTCAATTTCATAGTCAACGAGCAATGTCGCGACTACCAACTTCAGGACCAAACTGGCATGATGTCGACCGGGACTGGAAAGGGCGTCAGCTCTACAAACAAAGAAAAGAGAAATTCGAGACATAACGTACCATGCCAACGATCCAAGACCCCAAATCAAGTAGTTCTCAGAGACATCGGTGAATCGATTAGCTCGATCATGGCATTGGCCATTCGTAAAGCGGCGAGCGTCAAACGTCTCCGGCGCCGGGTAAACCTGGGGATTATGAGAAGCAGCGTACGAGTCGGCACAGATAGTGGCCCCGGCCGGAATTTGGGCATATCCATCGGAGAAGGTGTAGTCTTCTAGAGCCTTCCGACGAATTGCGACTGTGAGACGAGTCACGGAGAGTTAGTGTTGAAGAAGTTGGAAAAGAGTTGATATTCACTTACTCTTGTCCAAGGAATTGAGCCTCGCAGTCTCTCGCATAAAACCATCCAGCAGAGGCAGCTGGTTTAGCTTGGTGAAACCGTCAAGTGCCCCATTTTGCATCACCTCATCTCGCAGAATCGACTGCCATTCGGGACGGATGCAGAGCTCATACATGATATGGTAAAGATTCACCCATGGCTGGTGAGATGCCGCAAGCCAGAGGCCAAGAATTGACTGGGAAAGAGTGAATGGGCTCCAGTAGTCACGGTTAGGAAGGGATTGTTCGATCAGGTCATAGAAGATGGTCGACTAAGAGGTGGGTTAGCAAGTCACATCACACCCGTCACAATGACCCAAAGCTTGGCATGTCCTCGGTCTATCGTACCTCTTTGATGCCCTTCGGCTCGTCCCAACTGTCGACCCCCTGATCAATGATGGGCATAAGATAGTTCTGAATTTTGTGCATCTCCCGACCTCCTCGCGTCATGATATTATGTACCAACCTAGTTAGTGTCGATAAATTCGTCAATCAATGCTAACCTGGGGTAGCACACGGGTAGACATACGACGTTAAGAAAGAAGGAGTGAACTGAAAAGCGCCCATGCAAGCAATGGTCTGGTTCGGATGTCGTAGAAGGGCCTCGGCTAAGTCAGGATTGGACCCTGGAAAGTATCAGATCTTACCACCGGCATCGCATTGGGGGTAGAAAATGCGAACCAAGGTTTTCTCCAAAGAACATAACACCCATCAGTCTTGATGAGAGGACCTTGGCCGTGGAGGCGAGGGGAATCAAAATGGACCCTGGATATTGTATCAGCATGGACTAGTATGATTCATTGTCCCAGGCATGGAAGAGAGACCGACGTGAATCTGGGATGGCCAAAACTTCCAGCTCTCCATCGAGAAAGGACAGAAGTCGTTTTTGTAGCACTGGATACAACCGTACAAGTTGACTCGGCCCATTGACGTTGAGTACCCTCCCAAATAACCGTGATTTGATAATATTGAGCTCGTTGTGGTCGAACTTGTTCATGGTATGTTTGAAGCCGAACATCTAACAATGGGTTTGGCTCACTTAGTATCTTCCAACCGTGTTCCTCCACATAGTCTTAGCTCCGAGGAGGGGCATCTTCTTACATCTGCGTACACCGCTCTCTGAGATAACACAGGCGTGTCGCTCAATTCCAGCAGTCTCTTTTTGTCTCCGGCAATGATGATCGGCGGCGTGCCCCATGGTTTGTAGTACCTGCCATTGCTCTTCCCATCAGGTGGTCAGTGATGTCCCACCCCCGCCACACGCGCAGAGGAGGGGTGACATACAAAATCGTGAATTACGGATCTCAATTTTGAAACTAACGATGCGACAGATACAGTGAATTTGGAGATGTTCGAGCTCTAGAAGGTGTTCAATCAGTTTCATCATCAATTCCTTCCAGGATCACTCAACCAATCGTGCATTGGGAACATGTTCATACCTTCAGAGCAAAGAAGAGCTCAGACAGAACCAGTCCTATGGCAGCGAGCCAAAACAGCCAGGTTGAAAGATTGTCAAGGTCCATGATAGCCATTGTATTGAAGCTAAGGTCTCAAGTTGAAAGGCATGTATACGCTGCCACAAAGTGTGTCGTTATGTATAAGTATAGATGAATTACCCTTTCCCTCTCTGTTTATTTTATTGTCGACAGTGTTCGCCGCTACGACGATGAGTAGTTTGTCTGACTGGCTTGATAGCGCGAATTGGGCTATCTACATGTATCACGTCAACCATCGTTAAGACATGCTAACACGGTGGGTTTAGATTGATCCGTCCGGATAACAACGCTCGACCCAGGCGCCTTGCTAGAGCGGCTAATTAATAAGCTCTCCATCTATAGACCGTTAATGATACCGCCCCCATCACTAACCAAGCGTGACACTGAGGGGGCTTGCTTATGCATTACGGTATTAAGGTATCGCCAATAGACTTACTAGCTCCGGGGCTATGCTATCAATAAAATAGGTATTGTCCAGAGCTTTAACGCCGAGGAGTATCTAGAGACTATATTAGATCAAGTAGTCCGAAGACTAGCCAATGAATTCTAGATTTTGTTGGTTTCCTTCTGCAAACTACCCCTGTACTTGTACCTCCAACGATATACAGTGTTTACATCTTATCCAGCCCAGTACCCTTGACGAGACCACTGTCCTGAAATAATGAAAGAATCATTAGCTGAAAGCTGTAACCCGCATCTGTATGTCAGAAATTGACCACCCACCATGAAGGATGTTGGCAGGTAGTTGGAGCCAAATTTGACAGCACTGGCATTATCACCACACCAGAATTTACCAGTGGCGCCCGTGGTAATCTTAGTGACGACTTGATCGCTATAGGTCATCAGGTCCATCCGGGTCGAGCCATCGATGCCCTGCGCCCGAGATGCAATGGTGTCCTCGATTGAGTGGTATGAGGAATCGGCGGGCAATTTGAAATCTCCAAAATAGGTTTGACCCTGCGTTTTCACAGCTCCCGTCACGACGGACAAGACGCCAACATTGAAAGGCCTAAGCTCCAGACGAAGGGTCTCGGCGATAATCTCGATGGATCGCTTAGAGGCAGCGTAGCTTCCTGCGAAGATGTGCGCGGTTAGTCTTCAGAACAAACATGTACAGTTCCGCTTGCGGGTCTGGGCACGTCGAAGCATCCTTGCAATGAAAGGCAGACGATGGGAGGCAACCATGACAAAAGTAGGTTGGTCTGATATACTATCCACTGAGCCAATGGGAGCCTACTTACCCATCCATGGAACATTGATATAGCCCGAAATGGAGGTGATGAAAACAATCTGGCCCTTGGCTTTGATGAGTAATGGTGCAAAGGCCTGGGTGACTGCCACTGGTCCCCAAACATTAGTGTCGAAAATAGCGCGGGTGGCGTTCAGGTCTTCGTCCAGAATGGGCATGAAATGGTTGCGGCCTGCATTGTTGATGAGGTAGTCCAGGGTGCCTCCCGTTTGATCGCTGACCACCTTGGCAGCTGCAGCAATCTGATCAGTTTCCTTCACGTCTAGCGTCAGGAGGGTGACATTTGGGAGGCCTTGCAGCTTGGACATCTTCCTGATGTCACGCGTGGTGGCAAAGACGCGGTAGCCTCGTTGCTGGAAGGTCAGCGCGAGCCCGTAGCCAATGCCATCGTCACTGCACCCGGTAATGAGAACGGACTGTTCCGGCATGACGAGCAGAGAACACTGGGGTCGAATAGAGACGAGTGAAGAAGAGACAAAAGAACCAGACTATAGTGTTTGGTAGAACGAACGAAAGGGCGGCTTAGTATGATGGGAAGAAGGATCAGAAATTTAACTAGTAGAAAGGAGGGCGTTTCTGATAAATTATAACACGCATCACCGCTGGATGGTTGATTTAGAGGGCTAATATTGGAGTGTGAAGTGTAAGGCTACCCATGAGCGGATGTGCTGGCCATTATCGAGATTGTGGCAATGGGAGGGGAAATGATCAAAAAAGACGAGGCTGGCCCTCATTCGATCGCCAATCAATAGCTGCGGCGGGGATAAGCAATGACAGGGTCCAATTTTCTTTGTCCGCCTAGGTGTAGCTCCATTTCCCTTTCTGTAATAACCTCACTGGCTCATCGTTCATATGCCTATGCTTATATTGCACAGTAATATTACGTTGGAGATGTTGTGCTGAGCTTCTTCTTGGCCCCAGCAGGGGCAGGGATCACGCGTCGGAATATTGAGGAATGCGATTACGACTCATTCGTATACATTCCAGAATGTCTGGAGCTAGCCAGGGTACAGCTCAATGGGTGTCTCAAAAGTGTTGGCTGGGCGTTAACTAAAATTTAGTGGCTAGGTGTCAAGGTTATACAAATAAAATTTGGTAATTTGTTTTTACTTAAAAGAAAATCAAAAAATAATTTCTAAAGATTTATATAGGGAGCCAGGGAACAAGGAGGTAATTATTTACGCTGTTACCGCACTAACCCTAAAAACCCTAAAAGGGAAGTTGTTTGTACTGATACCCGTTTACCGTTTTCGCACTAAAGTTTTATTGACACCCGCCGAGCGATCCGAGACACCCCGGAGCTAGCAATTCCTGATAGATCAGCTCTATAGTATTAGTTCCTTCGGCTCAACGAATGATTCGAATCAATACCTTGCTGGTCTCTTACGGCGGACTAGTGAGGGCTTGCAGCTGTTAGCTGTAAATAATTTGATCCCTGCCTTGTATCTCCGGCATTAGCGCATTAGAAAGGGTGGTGGCATTACAGTGGTGTATTGCATGACTCCAAGCCTGCCTTGCATTCCAATTCACGGTTCATAGTAAGAAACCGGAGATCGGACTGCGGAAAGCAACGCCAAAAAAAAAGGTAAAAAAATTAGAGTAATTACCTATGCTATACTCGTACAAGACATGGTGGACACTAATGGCACACAACATGCGACTACTAACTGATTAAACGGCATTTGCATCGTACTGAATGCCCTGGTCGATCCCGTACTGCAAGCGGATCCCATCATCAACCAGGCCATGTGGCCGTGGCTCCGCCCGGATCACCGTGCGCACGGGCTGTTCCCCGTCCAAGGTCGCCGTGCTGTGGGGAGCATCTTCCACTCGCCTGTACTGGGACTTGTCCGGTATGGGACGCAGCGGCCATTGGTCAGACGATTCATGGGAGAGATCGGCATTAATGCGTTTACTCGACCCAAGCTGGGACGAGTGCGGAATGATCCGCGAGAAGAGCCGGCTCAAGGAACCGCCTTTGGTGCGGAAAAAGAGGGCCATGGATGGCATGCAGCTCGCTGTGATTCCGACACACATTTCGACCAGGCACATGGTGAGTACAGGGAGCGTATAATAGCTGAAATCATCGGTGTGATGGTCTAGCTTGTTCTTGAAGTAGATGCTGAGAGACGACGCGACACAGGCTCTAGGAGAGCATTAATAAATCACGATTATGTGAGAGGAGGAGAGTGAAGAGAACATACACCAAACCGGTCCCAAAGATAGCCAGAACGCCCACTTTTTTCTTCCGACTCATCTGTAATCCCCAGATAGGGAACATGGGGAGGATCAAAATGTACAGGTCCAGGGCGAGACTGCCAGACGCAATGGGGATGGTCATCGTTAAGGCCTTTGCGTATCGTGGCGAGGTAAATGACTCCTGCCAGGTCTGCCCCGGCGCGGGGCTGGTAAAATAGAGAGTAGCGATGATGATGGCGATGTAAAATCCCCAGGTCACAAAGAGTCCGGAGTAGACGGCATAGCGATGCCATCTGATACTTTGAAACATCGTGAGGTACATCAGGAAGAAGGTGGTCTTTGCAAAGCCCCATACGATTGATGTCACCCAGTTCGAAAAGTACCCCGACTAAACTGTCAAGTCAGTATATGCACCGCTGTAGTCATGAAATCGATCGTGTTCGCTCTTACAATGATAAAAGCGTCGCTTGAAACATGAGCGACTGAGAGATCGTACATGTGTGTCCCATACTTTCCTTTCACGACGGCTATTTATCACGGTCCATTAGAGGAGTCGAACGGAGATAATAGGGTCGATTACCGATAATACAGATCACAAAATAAAATATCGCGCCGATCTTATATGCAAAGTTCATGAGCAGGCCACAATAAACGTATAGCGGAATTTCTCAGAAACTCACCACTGCAACCAGTCGTGTCCCTGGGAATTGACACTCGATTAGCTTTCTTCTTTGAACGAGGGCGGGTGGATTGGGAAATATCACTTACAGTCCTCCGGTGCGGTTTTCCGTCTGATAAAAATTCTTGTGTACAAACTCAACCCCGCCGTGAGGAGCATCAGGGCCATCATGATACTCCCGACGATAACTAGAATATTGCCATCCGCTGGTGGATCTACAAGGTTGGGCACCACGCCCGGCGGCGGGACTCCCGCAGGTGTGGTTGCCATCTGCTCGGGGGTCAACGAGCTGGCCATTAGTAGTTACAGAGTGGAACTAATTTGCAACGTCCTTGCCGACCGTGAATGTGCGGAATCTTAGGCTTTTGAATTAATTCAAAGAGGTTATTGACAATTTCCACCACTACCATGCTCCGAGAGAAGATGATTCGGCACAAAGTAAGCATTAGCCAGATCAGATCGTGGACCTTTCGCAGAAATGCGCCAGGAATCATAACGAACGCTGATTTGACAGTGCTGGGAGAGGGGACAATTCTGTCAAGGGTGGCTGATAAATGGGGATAGGGCCAAAAAATCCATCCCGAATCAAATAGTCCTCGTATATAGACGACTGACTGGCAAGGGTGTGAATATTACCCCGGCATTTCAAATGCTTTAGTTATGCAGCCTGATAGCGTCTTGGCACCTTGGTAAGTAATAATACCGTTGCTTGTGCGCTAACACTGCAGGAATGCCATGCCTGCTGCTCTATTATACCTGAGCTGAGAGCGAAACATCCTCAAACAGTATTTTATCGGACTATGATTGCCGCCAACACTAGTCGGAATACGCTACCAATACATTCTAGGCTCCTCTGTCCACGCTCGTCACATACTATCCAGCAGCAGCCTTATGCTCTTAAGGGATTTGTCCTTTATAACCTGGCTCGTTGTATTAAAAGGGGGTTGACTTCTATCATAGAAGATACTCAGCTCACTAGAGACACTGTCCTATGTAGACACACTCATGATGTCGCTCGAAAAAATAATCAGCAATATGTCTTCTACGTTCCCACCCTTGCTCGCTCGGACCACCGAATATCTTCAGAGTCCATTTTTCTCGGCTTTCCTTGTAGCGAGCGGACTCCTACTATGCTGGAGAATTTGGCGTTTCTCAATCCAGCCCATGCTCTACCCGAATGATCCAAAAGAGCTACCCTACTGGATCCCCTGTAAGAAATCCCGAATTCTCCAATAGAGGAAGTCCCGATTCCCACAGGAGCCCTAGATAGACTGACTCAGAGCTCATTATTACCAAGGACTATAGTCGTCGGTATGGTTGGTCCAGGAATTCCAACCTCTCTATAACGAATATCTAACATAGCCCTATCCCAGGACATGCCATTTCTTTCCTTTTTGACTTCAATGGATCATTGGACAATGCCATGTGGGTTCCCTACCGATGGCGGTTGCATCTCAGCTAACCCAGTTCTCTAGCAAAAAGAAAGGGAGCTCTAAGGAACCGTTCGGAATCACTATGGCGGGTAAATCCATTTACTTGCTCACCAACCCGAAAGATGTAGCGGAGGTCTATCGCCACGAGGATACCCTGTCCAGAGACATGGTGGTAAAGGATTTGTATTCACGCACTGGAATCTCGATGGCAAAGGTCGAGCGACTCTTGGTTGCCAATTCAGAATCGCCGCATAACAAGGGACTGCCGCGTCCTCTCCACTATGTTGATATTGCGATGGAATATTTTCGTCGGGAGCTGTCACCGGGGGAGCCGCTTGATCGCTTTGTTGACGAGGCCGCTCTTCCAGCAATTCTAAAGGCATTCGATTTTGGTCGTACCCACGCCCATTCGGCAATTCTGCACAACAATGGCGACTCTCTCGTGGTCTCGTTGGAGCATCTTTGTATTGAAGCTCTTATCAATGGCGTGATAGACACCTACTACGGTCCCAGTCTCCGGAAAGTGAATCCCGATTTCGTGCACTCCTTTATGATGTGGGAGCGGGTGAACTGGAAGTACATCTTCCAGCTGCCGGGCTTCCTCAGTAAGGATATGTTGGATGCAAAAAGTGACTTGGTCGATACATTTGTCACTTACTTCGAAATGGACCGTGCCGAACGGGGTTGCGGTAACTTCTTTGTAGACTCCGTGGAAGATACGCTTCGGGAGGCAGGAATGGGAAATGAGGAGGTTGGAAGAATATTCTTCCTGCACTCTTGGGCGTACGACTTCACTTCTTCGTTTTTCTGGCCCACCTGGATGTTTGATAGCTGACTCACTTTGTAGGATTCTAGGCAACATGCAGAAGGCCGCCTTCTGGATCATTGCACATCTGATGTACGACCCGAACTTACTTGAAGCAATCCGCGCCGAGATTCTCCCGGCCGTAGAAGGGGGAGAGGTCAATCACCAGTATCTTGTCAAAGACTGCCCGTTGCTTGACTCGCTTTATGCAGACATTCTTCGCGCTACAATGAGCAGTCCTATGGTGCGCGACGTAATGGAAACCACCACGATAGCAGGAAAGAAGCTGCGGAAGGGAAACCGGATCATGGTAAGCAATATCCACCCAGTAGTTCTTCCAAGATTGCCAATAATATGCGTCTCTATATGCAGATATCATATCGTCAGCTGCATCTGAACACTGATGTTTGGGGAACAACTCCCGAATTGGTGCAGCCTGATCGATTTTTGCGGGATAAAAGCCTCAAGACAAACAATAGCTACCGACCATGGGGAGGCGGCAGCACGCTCTGTCCGGGTAGATTTTTTGCAAAGAAGGCAATATTTACCTTTGTCGCCGTGTTGCTGGGTCGTTACCCGACTATTCGCATCGACGAAGTGACGGTGGGAGGCAAAAAAGGAGGCAGTAAACCAGCATTCCCGCGTGCAGATTTCTCTAAGCCAATCCCGGGAATTGTGCCCCCGATTATGGGTGATGATATCAGGTTGGTGCTTCGTTAAGCGATTGCCAGTGAGCAAAGAATGCGGGGCCCTGCAATACTGGTCACTGGCGACGAAGCCAGAAAATTCTCCGTAGAGGATAGAGTCTTTGTGTTAGCCTAAATAACCACTAGAAATGCCATTACCCTATGGGCAAACCGCTTTTGGGATAGTGGTTAAGTGCCTAACCCTTTGCATACAGTCTAGCTCAGGCCGTACACCAAAGATAAAGGTGCCTCCCCTTTCATAGGAATAGGTTCGCGTCAATTGCACTAACTTTTAGTCTTATTTTCAAACTCCTGTCCTAGTGTTGTATAATAATACAAGGTCGTATTCGCGGGATCATGCCTGGCCCTCCCGCTTCTTAGAGCGACGCCCGTCAGCACGATAGCCATACGGACTGTCCCGGATAGGTTCAACTATCCATACTTGCGCCCGACCGAGCACTACGAATCATAACTATGACAAGGTACAAAAAAACAATGGGATTTAATTCGACCACCAGGGGGAATTCATGCGTGCTGAAAACGTGGCATGGCAGGGGTCTGTCTCAGTTCCTAACCATTCTAGAAAATGGCCAAAATATTGATCGGTCAGGTCTGCTGAGCGGCCAAGCTTCGGACCGATCCATTGGAAATTATTTAAGAACAGGATTCCCTGTAGTTACTGATGACCGACCCGTTTATCTTCTGTCTTCAAGCTCGACTTCTACCTTGGCTAGGAGTAGCTGGGTTCAATTGAGTCCCTGTCAAGATGGGCGCCAGTACGTTCTTTATCGTTGTTTCCTTTTCCACCTTCGGGATGGTTTATTCCCTGGCATTGGCCAACGCAATGGCTTGCGGAGCTCTATCCATTCTCATGCCAAAGAAGGTCTTCTACTCCAACTCGACCAGTTACACAGCGGCTCTTGAGTCCTACTTCAGCCTCCAAGAACAGGAAGTGCAGCCCGAGTGTGTAGTCATTCCGCAGGGCGCCCATGATGTTTCTGAAGTTGTTGAAACGTTGGCGGCATTTGCTTGGATTGGAGCTCAGTTTGCCGTCCGAGGGGGTGGCCACACCAGCTATGCTGGGGCGGCCAATCTCCAGGGTGGTGTCACCATAGATCTGAGCTCTCTCAATGAGGTGACTGTCAGCGCTGACAAGTCCACCGTTGACCTTGGACCTGGAGGGAAGTGGGGTGCGGTTTTCGACGTACTAGATCCTTTGCAGATTACAGTCCCTGGTGGCCGAGACTCAGATGTCGGGGTCGGAGGATACATTCTCGGAGGTGGAATGAGTTATATTGGCCCCCTCGTCGGCTGGTCTTGTGACAGCGTGGTGGAATATGAGGTAGTCCTGGCGAGCGGCAAGATAGTGAATGTCAACAAAAATTCATATCCTGATCTGTTCCTGGCTCTTAAGGGTGGAGGCAACAATTTTGGTATCGTCACCCGCTTCACGCTCAAGACATTCCCTCTGGGCAATTTCTGGGGCGGCTTCCTGGCCTACCCGGTAACCGCTGTTGACCAGCAGATTAATGCTCTATCGAAATTCCTGGGAACCGAGCCTTTTGACCCTCACGCAGCCATGATCCAGAGCTGGGGGCACACCTCGGGGATGACCACTATCAGCGACGGAGTATACTACACCAAGGACGTGCAATCAACGCCAGCTATATTCCAGGACTATGTTGATAAGAGTACCATGCTAATGGGTAGCTTGCGCACGTCGAACATGTCCAGCTTTGTGGCGGAGACTGATTCGTACCAGTCATACAATATGAGGTTAGTATTGCCATGTTGGTACTTCCATCTCTGGTTAGAAATCAAATCGACTAACGTATTGTCCAGACAAGGATACTACACAACGTCCTTCCTGCACACCCCTTCAATATATAGTACTATCTACGACATCTTTAACAGCTCTCTAGCTTCAATAACGAAGGTCCAGGAAATAAACTGGTATCTCACCATCCAAGCCACTCCAGCTCTCAACGGCACCAACAGTTTAGGCCTCAAACCCGCCAGCGCACGCCTCGTCAACGTTCTCCTCACGACATGTTGGTCTAGCGTTTCTGATGATGCGACAGTGGCCACTACCGCCAAAAACCTCATTTCGTCCATTGAAAATGCGACTCGTACGGAGGGTGTTTACCAAGCCTACAAGTACTACAATTATGCCGACAATTCCCAAAAAGTGATCAGTGGATACGGCTCGGCCAGTGTGGCAAAGCTTCAGGCGGCTAGTAAGAAGTATGATGTCTATGGTTTGTTCCAGAACAGTGTTCCAGGTGGCTTTAAATTGTGGTGATTTTATGTGGTGGGGACCGAAGATGGTGGATTGGTGCAAGCTAAGGAGCCCGCACAAATAATTAATAAATTAGTTAATCTATCAGTATTATTCATTATACTATAAGAAAAAAGATTATTATATAGAAGACACTAGATCTGTTTGACCGATCTCTTGCCGAGTCCCACGATTAGGAGACGCCAACACGTCCCTGACCGTAATACGGTGGACTATAGGGAGCACCATACCTGACTATCGACACTTATCATCCAGATGAGGATAGCTAAATCTTTGTTGCTGCAACCCTTCTCCATTTGGACATGTTGCAAACAGATCACCATTGTAGTCTATGAAATTTGAAAACAAAATAAAATGTTATAGTACTCTACTATGCATCTATTGAAGAGGATACGATATTAATATGTAAGTTTATTCACTATGGTTGTGTTATATTTTTATAATGCATATTTGGTTAGCTGATGCTCTGAGAAGAGTAGCCTCCAACAGATATCAGGAGTTAGCGAATTCAGTAGGATGAATGGTCCCGAAATGCGATTCGGATTTTATCGAAGCTGTTTTTTAGATAGTTGGTTCTAGAGGCGAGGCTAGAACAAAGTAGAACGGAGATAAGCTTTTCCCGGTGCCCAAACACCCTAACTCCGATTCGACGCTAGGTCTCCGAATCTAGTACCTGAGACGCAACAACACCAAGACTAGATAGCTCAAGGAGTAATTCTGGTTGCACACCGGCGATAAGGCTACCCCCGTTAAGGAGGAATTCATTGAATTTATATATAACAAGGATGTTAGTTGACTTCAAAACTGGGACAGAGTACAAGAACGATGACCGTAGGATACAGCAAGGATCAGCCTCAAGGCTTCACCAATCGCATCGAAAGGATTGCCATTGTCGGGGTACGTCCGCAAGTCAACTTAACACAGAATAGAATCGGTACAGGTATCACTAACAATAAAACTCCAGGCCGGCGGTTCAATTGGAAAACATCTCACAGAGCAACTCCTCAAAAACGGCAACCATGTTGTCACAGCCATCACCCGCCCTAGCAGCACCAACAAGATGCCTGAGGGCGTACAAGTCGCTCGAGTCGATTACGGGAACGACGATGACGCAGCTCTTGTGGAGGTCCTCCGTGGTCAACAGGTCCTTCTGATTACCATGAACGTCATGGCTCCCCCCGACACCACCATCAAACTCATCCGAGCCGCCGCGAAGGCCGGTGTCCCATATATCGAGCCAAACTGGTACGGCCATGACGCGGCCAACGACCCCCTCTGTGATGATAGCATGCTCAAATCCAGACGTGACCTTTTGATTGCAGAAATCAAGCGTCTCGGCGTAAGCGCTTATCTGTTCCTCGTATGCAATTTCTGGTACGAGTTCAGCTTGGGTGGTGGAAGTGACCGATTTGGGTTCGATTTCACCAAGCGCACATTCACCATTTTCGATGATGGCAATGTGCCCATCAACACGAGCACGTGGCCTCAGTGTGGTCGGGCCATTGCGAAATTGCTCAGTTTGAAGGAACTGCCCGAGGATGAGAATGACAAGTCCCCTACATTGTCCCAGTTCCGGAATCGCTCTGTTTATATTTCGAGTTTTAGATTGACGCAGCACGATATGTTCGAGAGTGTCAAGCGCGTCACCAAGACGACAGATGCGGACTGGACCATCACACATGACTCGATTCCGGAGCGGTTCAAGGAAGGACAAGAGGGTATGAAGGTGCACAATTGGGAGGTGTTCACCAAGATGCTTTACAGCCGGATGTTCTTCCCGAATGGTGATGGGGACTATGAGTCCAAGCGGGGTCTGGACAATGAACTACTTGGCCTCCCGGAGGAGGACTTGGACGAGGCCACGGCGGAGGGGATCCGGATGGGAGAGAACAAGGAGGTGCCGTTCTCTCATTGAACAATAGAAAACGATGTGGAAATATACGTATTCTTATATATAAGACATCTATACAGTAATCGAACAGATCTGATTTGTAACATGTGGACTTGGAGACGGACAAGTTCAAATGTTGCCGAACCTCTTCCATGTATGCGCTTCCCATAAGTGTCTGTGACGATTAGCCGAAGACCTCCATCCAATGACAGAGTATTAATGGCTGTCAACCTTCTTTCGGTAATAGTATATGTCGAAGAATTTAGGTAGTGAGAGAGATTATTGATGTCGAAACCATTAAATTCATCGCCACAATCTGTCCTCTCAAGGCCTGACACCCAATCCTGATTGCGCGACGATTGATCCAAACTAACTGAGAATGGCGCTAAATTGGTATTCCTGATTCTGTTACAGGCGACTATGTATACGGCGGTATCATACAAGAAGGTTACCTTCTGTGAAGGTCTTGGTCACTTTGGTAGTCAAAGCCGTCACATATACTTGTTTCATGATGATTGCGTCGTATCCTTCCATGGTGGATGATTTGACTTAGTATGCTAAATTCTGTTAATTAATAAGGAGAAATATTATTTATTTATCACTAACATTTGAAGACACAAATATCGTTGGGCCTTTCATTAGAGTTCGTCCAACAGTAATTGCAACTCAGTTCTCCCCGTTGAGGGGCTTTCATTTTGTTGTGATACAGTCTCATATGTTGTAGCTCCAGTAAACCCATTCAAGGCCCACGAAGTGAATTCGTCGTCCACCCCAAACAGCCATGGGGTATTTCCAACCAGAGGGGAGGTAGAATATTGTGGGCCTTCAGGACTGATCATCGGGGCCTGAAAAAGACTGTCTGTTGTACTGTATGTAACGTCAGGTATTGAACTTCTGTTGTATACCTCTTGTCTCTTTGAATCATCTCGGGAATTTCGGGGTGTTGTCCATCTAGCCACGACCTCGATGAATTTAGTTGCGAAATGCGCCGAGTAGTAACTGTCCTGCAGCTCCCGCATCATCTGCCAGCACTGATTAAAGCTCTGGAGGCCATTTTGGCGGATCTGCTCGTCGTCTGACCGAGTGTCAGAGATGTGACTTATCATTGCCGGTACGAGGGCACTGAATCCTGTCTGCGGAAGAAGACGAAAAAGGTCAAGTTGATGGAGGTCTAGAGCGATTCTAGTGATCTCATTAGCTGCGGAACGTACGATGGTGCGCGGATTGCTTCCGGCATTGTCTTGATTGGAGGTGTTCCAGAGGACACTTGTAGAGCGGCTTTTCGGCATAAAAAGCGTGATCAGTGTAGCACAGTAAACCATGTGCAGTAGTGCACGGTGAAGCTGAAGGGAGGAGTCAGGAAAGTCGGACGACTCAGGATTGTACGGATTATACAATGCTTCCTTTGGGAGACGTTCTCGCCACAATTGTAGATCGTGATCATAAGCTCTGAGCCTATGTTGATCTACCTTGCCAACGCGGGGCAGTAATACCATTGTAGTCGATTTCCCCCCTGAGGTTAGACTGCTCTTATCTGTCATGGCGTATTCCGTACTTAAAATATCTCTGAGATGCTTACAAACCTTCGTCATCTCGATGAACAAAATAGCGAGTTGACGTTGTTTTTCTGGCTGAAAATTTTGCATCGCTTCTAGAGGAATGTCGTGGTATTCCAAAGATACCAGTTCGATATCAAAATCTTCGATCATCAAGATAGATATATCGTGTTCCTTAGGGGATACTATCATTGGTCTCTTTAGTCCCAAAGAAACAATGGCGTCCCGGTTGTACAGCGACCACCATATACGTCTTCGCAACTTCTGCAACCCAGGATCTGAATTCTGCCTGGCCTTGCGTTGGTTCAATCCTACGGTAAGCGCCAGGGAATGCGCCCGGCCAATCCAATGCCAAGCATCTTTCTGATCATCTGGGGTTTCGTACCATAAGGACATTAGCAAAAGAGACTGAATCAGACATATCCGATCCTGTTCGTAGTCTTGATCGTAAAGTAACTATTTCCGGATTAGCATTATCCATTTATTTCATTCTTCCTATGTGACGGGTTCTCTACCCTAACTCTCTTAAATAGGGCTTTACGTGCGGCTTTCCTGGTAAGAAAGCCCATCATTCTCAAAGGCTTAATACCAACATAGGCACTTCCGGCAAACATGACAGCTTGAAACAGCAGTAAGCTTATTTTGCCACCTAGGGCGTTCGTACCTCGCGTTACACCCAAGAACTTTGGCAAGTCCAAGACCGGCATGAACGGATGGATGTATTGGACGTAGCCCTCAAGGATGGAATTAAAGAGTGCAGGAGACGGTATAGACAAAGCACCCTTCTCGGTAAGATAGCGTATATCTTCATGATCTAAGTGCGGAGGTAGCGGCTTTATGTAAGAAGGTAATGATTCACCGGACCACAAGTTAGAGTTAGCCTTATATCTACCTTCACTTGACATGGGGCTTGGTGGAAGATCTGTGCGAAAGTCTATGGCCCCTTGCTCCCATGTCGGTGATGGTGGATCTCTCTGAGTGCAGCCCTGGTGTTCGTCTAAAATGACCTCGAGGACACTACCTTCCCTAGAGCAATCTTCTCGTGCATTCTCTGCCGAATAGTATTGAGCAGGCGGTCCTGGCGAATTTCGATTGAATATCTCGGAGCTTTCGTCCGGCGTGATTGCTGCTACTTGACCTTGTGGTTCTTCGACCGCTGTTGTCTCAAGGGCAGATTCTCGACGATTGCGTGGGGTCTTGGAGGTGCTTTCTAACATTCGTTGACGCTTTCTTATCCGGCTCCAGCCAGCCACGTCAGTGTATGCAAATAGAAATAGACCAGTCAAGGACTTAATTTCGAGAGTAGGGTTATGGGGAAAGGGCAAAAGAAAATTTATTCCGTTGCTTACTGTGTCCGTTGGGTCTTTGCGACTTCACATTTTACCTGGTCCAGCCTACAGTTGAGGCAGGGCACGCCTTCCTCGACGTTGCAGCGAACCTTTCTGAACTGACAGAATGTGCAAGCAACAGTAGCCCTCCTCTTCTTCGAGAATCCGGGTTGGCGATTGCCACGGCCAACAGTTGTACGTGGTGGCTCCATTGGGGCAACGATGACGAATGATTGAGAGACTCTCGGACTAGAGATGTACTAAGTTTTGAACACTGTAACAGATAAATAAGCTCTCATAAAGGCAATACGCACTTGATGAGCCCAACAAAAATTTGGAGGGATCAGAACTCTGCGTAGTAAGTAGGAAGTAGGAGAACTACGGTTCTATGCGGGGGCCCTGGAGAATATAATTAGCATTTTGCGGGGGTTGGGGTGGTCTGGACACCAGTTGACGGCATCAAGGTTCATATCCCCACATCTAATTACCCAATCAGTTGATACATGTAGTTAGTCCGTACTACCTAAATTCTATTGGGTGTGTCTATTGTTATCGGATATTTTGACCATCTTAGACGAAGATGATCTCGAGCCTTTCATTGTTCGGCCTAGGTTGCTTCTATTAAACGAAGCTAGGACATTGGATATGATATCTAACAAGCAGGAAAGGACCTGCAACGGAAGAAAGTATCGAATTCTATTTATCCCCTAGTGGTGTTTTTACCATGTCTAGTTTGCTTGCAAATAAATAAAGTGGCAGATGTATATGCCTTGTAACGATGTTTGTTACATCTTTGTCGTTCTCAATCGACCGAAATTATCATCTGATAAGAGAAAATTAGGATACTCGAAATCGTAGCTTGAGTCTCCACCATGCGTGCGCCAAGCGCCTCCGTCCACTATCGGCGTCAACCGCAATGTTCAGCAATATGAGTCGTCACTTCTTTAGCTTACCTACGAGGATCTCGCCATTGACATAGTTCCCAGCATCGGAAAACAGATAGACGGTGGCATCCGCAATCTCCCTGACATTACCCAATCTTCCTAAAGGAATCCTAGCAACAGACTTCTCGTTTCCGGGTTTCGTCAACCTTCGCATGCCTTCAGTGTTCGCAATAGGCCCTGGTGCAATCACATTTGCCGTCACGCCTCGTGGCCCAAGCTCAATGGCCGTATTAGCCGCTAGTACATCGATACCCGCTTTTGCTGCCAGTGCGTGGGCTTGGAGCGGTACACCGGTGTAGTATGTCGCTGCACTGAGGAAGATGATGCGTCCACCAGACCTGGCAGACTTCTCGCTTTTGGCACGGGAAGCAGACTGGAGTAGAAAGGGAAGCGTTGCCTTTAACGTGTTGAACGCACCCACGAGGTCTATTTCAACGACCGTCTTGAATGCGTTTTCCGAAAGCTGAGTTATAGGTGCTAGGAAGTTCCCTGCAGCTCCAGCACTTGCCGGTTTAACATAATTCTATTAGTCAGGAATTCCTTAAAAAGGGTGTCCAAACAGGACTCACATTACAAAATCGATCCCTCCAAGCTCACTCGCACACTTTTGAACAGCTTCCCGTAAAAGCCGTGGATTTCTCACGTCGACTGAGCCGTACCCAAGAACCTTCGCTCCAGGCCGCACCATTGCAATATCTCTGGCTACTTTCTCTGTTTTCTCGATATTCCGCCCAATAATGCAGGCATTCGCACCGAGATATACGAGCGCCTTAACCTGCGCGCTGCAGATGTCTCCACCCCCACCAGTACAAAACACAACCGTCCCATCTAAGGGGTACCGTCAGCTAAACATCTCTTTCATATCAAGATAGCTAAATACTCTACCAAAGATGTTTTCTCTCCAGACGTTGCTGACATAATTATTTCCACCTGGTGTCATACTGTATACTATCAATATGTTCAACAAATCAGTCAAGTTGAGGGAATAAGTTTAGCCAGCCCAGGAAAATAATTTGCCATTTTAGTTAAATTTACATATGGTAAAGATAACCATCCTAGAGCAGTCATGGACTGGGCTTGGAGCTGCTCGCTGTATGGGAATCTGAAGAGTCCCTCGCTACCCGAACTTACCTCGCCGAGGCAAGTTCGGTTTGTTTGCAGCGCAGCAGATGGGCCATAATCACCCTCGATGTAGCAACTGACCAGATGCTTGCCCATGTCTCTTGTGGAATTAATTCAACTCCCTTAAAATCACAATTACACGATTTAATTAGCGGTGCTGCCGCCGCCTATTGCTTTGTAGGCGATATTCTAGAGCGTCAGGGTTGTTCTCGGTTAGGGTTAGGGTTAATGAACCTGCTTCCGAATTTGGCAAGGTTACGTGTCTCATGACCCTTCCCAGATATAGGGAGAGATTCCCAGGCCGTTTAATATATATAAAAATCGAAATCTCTATGACGTCTCAGATCTCGTAACCGTCACCTGTTTACAATAAAAATCCTTATTCCGCCAACAGACAACAATCACGGCTGGTGTTTCTCCGTAGAGATATTCAAGTCTATGTTTTTCAGGAGTATATCCAGTTTTGCAATATGCACCATAGAGTATTTTACGGAGTTAATATAAAGAGTTAAGACACGAGTACATGTACATATGTAGTTGACAGCTTGAATTCGATGCAAACGCGGATTATTCCCCCCATCAGCATTTCATTTTTCAACTACCAACCCCTTTCCACCCCCTTTGTACATCAGAGTAAAATAAGTTAAACAACCATACTATCTGGCATTACAACCACATCCTCGATATGTTCCTGTTGTTTGCTCTGAGGGCGGGTTTTCTCGTTGGCTTCTCCTCCCCCATGACGACCCTCACTGGTAACAACTAGTTCCTTAGTGCTGCTGTCGGTATGTATATCTCGGGCATACACGGCCACCTCATCCTCATCACCAAACATAGCCGCCATCTCTTCAAGCGGGATGCCTTTAGTCTCTGGAACCTTCCAGATAACCCAGACAAAACCGAGTCCAGATATAATGATGAAAACCTAAGACGAAGAAATATAACAGGATTAGCGGCACGATACATTAACAGGATCGCTTTAGAATACTTGTTTCTCTCCTGCTCATCAGGTGTTTCGAGTCAAGGAAACATATCCAAGAAGTAGAAATGTTCAGATAATGAAACTGAGCTCACCAAGAAGAACTTCCAGCCAATATGCGCAAATGATGTGGGACTAACTTGAAGATATACAAGATCTGTCAAGGCGTTGGTTGCGACGGCCAAAGCGAGTCCCTTGGCGCGGAGGTGATTCGGAAAGATTTCGGTGTAGAACACATAGCCACCAACGTCCACACCAATGCTGTAGATGAATATGAAGAAGTACAGAGCAAAAACGCCCACGCCCAGGCCTGCCTTGTTAGTTGCTGTGCCTCCGTACGTCGCCACCATGGCCGCCTCGATCACTAAGCACAAGCAACAACCTCCGACACCAAGCGCCATAAGTGGCCGTCGACCCCAGCGGTCAACCACCAAAGAGCCTATTAGATTTGCTGGAGGGCCAACTGTAATAACATATTCGTTAAAAATGAGTATCAAAAGTATTGATAAACTTCAGCGGGTGGGGGCTCGTGCCTGATATATAGCCACATAGTAGCCGTAACTGATCCCGTGTCCCGAAACCTAATGACTGGTAGATAGTAGGGCCCTGTGTTGTGTATGAGTATCACAAAAGCTAAAGAAGGTAAAATAAATGTTGTCATACATAATTGGTTATTACCAACGGTCCAGCACTTTGACTCAGGAACGCGAAGGTGACGGCCAGAATACAGCGTCTACGATATGACGGTCTCCGGAACATCTCATACCAGGATGGGTCAAGGGTAACATCTATCTTGGTTTGTTCCCGCATCTGGTAGAACTCTCTGCGAGCATATGTCTGATTGGGATCGTCAGGGACGGTGTGGAGCTTCGAGATGATATTCCACGCCTCTTCCGGCTGTTCCGACATCAAAAGCCAGCGTGGTGACTGAGGAAGAAACGGTAACATGAAGAGTATAAGCACTGGCCATACCAATGCAATTCCGAGAGGGCCGCGCCACTGTGTATCTGAAGTGGTAAGGTCGTAGAATGCTAGGCCCATATAAGATGCTAAAGCGTAGCCGAGTGTTATCATCACACCGTTGATGCCAACAAAAAAGCCACGCAGTTCAGTTGGGGCAAGTTCCGCCACATAGACGGGAGCTGTTAAATCATTAAAATCTATTGACAAAGTTCCAGCAATAGGAAAAGCACACATACTAATTGAGAGAAATCCCCAGCTCCCGGCCCCGGCAAAAAACCGGAAAGCAATGAACATGCCCGTATTCTGAGCAGCGCAAAGCAGTACCCCTCCGATGATAGAAAGAACAGAGCAGTATGCAAACGCCATTTTTCGACCCCATTTGTCACTTACCCAGCTTGCGATGATGACACTGAAGAATGCCCCAGCCTGGAAGTTCCAAATCAACAGGGGTTGCACTCATATCATTTTTCGGGTACACTCACTTGGAATACTCCTGACATTGCCCCAGTAAGACCATCGGCCCCCGGTTTCATCTCCCCGTCGGGTGTTACCAGGTTCATGTATTTGAGGAAGGCTGGCTGCCCCAGGGTTGTCCCAATAATAGAAGCTGGATAACCGAAACCTATCTGGCCCGTAGATATGAGGCAACATATCCAGAGGGTTCTCCAGGTCCAAGGACGGGATTTTTGGGAAGTCATATTGCCCGCCATTGGAGATAGGCTCTTACCTGAGACGTGGTTCTCGTCTAGCGGGGACGTCGAAATCACGGGTTGCTGGGAGTTGAGAGGATAATTGAACAACCGAAGTAGTTTTATATAATCAGATTGGAGGTTGAGCTGTTGATTGTCGCCGCAAGGTGAATTCTATATTAAAGAAAAGTTGAAAGGTTGGGACCAAAATTTTCAAGAAAGGGCGAGGAAGGTACTGGTAGTTCATGCTTAGAATCGGCAGAAATTACTGTCCGACGTTGCGGCTTTATCCCCACCTATTTCCAAAGCTCCAATTTTGAACAGGGGGTCTGAAAGTAGTAGATTCAGAAATAAGGTTGATGGAGTGGAATTTCCCTTGATCTGTATCGTTCAATATTCTGTTGTTTACCGAGGTCTGCTCATAATGAAAACTTTCCCAAAGCCTTAATAAAGCTCGGAACGGCATCGGCAACAGTCAAAAATAGCGGTTCAATCAAAGGTATGGTGACTTCATAATTGAGTTTGTGTCTATAACTAATTCGATTACGGTTAACTAGAGCAGACTTGCTGTCAAAACTGGCCTAGGAAATTACGATTTCGTTTTGGAAGTCAAAATCAGTGACAAATTGCCTTTTCCTCCCTCTGTTACAACTTTCTCTTAGAGTTGAATGTTCCATGATCGCGTTACTCGGCTGAATCGTCGAAAATGCCTTACAAGTCTCGTTGGTCCGTCCCTATTGAAACGGCCAGTTTACCCTCGTTCCTCTTCGGCTCTTCGCACAGCAAGCTTCCTGAAGTTCTCTCATATGTCGACGCTGACCGGCCTGAGACGCATTATTTTACATTCCATGACTACCGAGAGTGGTCGAAACGTGTTGCAGCCGGTCTCATTTCTGCCGGTCTCATTGCAGGAGACCGCGTGCTGTTGTACTCGGGGAATAACCTCTTTTTCCCTACTGTCTTCATGGGTGTGATCATGGCAGATGGTATCTTCACGACTGCCAATCCAACCTTTACCACCCGTGAGTTAGCATATCAGCTGAAAGATTCTGGGACCCGTTTCCTCTTGGCGGCAGAAGGAAGCTTGGCAGTGGCCTTGGAGGCGTCTAGAATCGCTGGACTATCACAGGACAGTGTATATATTTTTGATGATGCACCTTTCGATAAACGGGGGGAGGATAAAGAAGGCATCCGGCATTGGAGTCATTTGATTTCTAACCCTGAAAGTGGCAATCAGTTCACCTGGAAGCCCTGCACGACATTGGAAGAGGCGAAGCGAACTGTCTGTCTTTTGTACTCCTCTGGAACCACAGGCGTTCCCAAAGGGGTTGAGCTTTCACACTACAATCTGATTGCGAACTGTTGTCAAGTGGATCACTTGATAGATTTAGATCCACGTTTTTCCCGCGATAGTGTTGAGCAGCAGCGGTGGCTCTGCTTCCTACCTTGGTACCACGGTCTGGCACTCATTTACTTCGGAACCGTCGCCCCAAGGAGAAAAATACCAGTATTTTGCATGAAGCGGTTTGATCTACATAAGATGTTATGTCATGTTCAGCAATTCAAGATATCAGAACTGCTTCTAGTGCCTCCAATCGTGGTGGCCATGGCCAAGTCTCCGACCATTCGGAATGGAGCATATGACCTTAGTAGCGTACGAAAGATCTTAGCTGGAGCTGCTCCAATGGGTCGAGAAATCTGCGAAGAATTAGAATCGTTGTGGCCAAATGGACAGGTAAATGTAAAACAAGGCTGGGCAATGTCTGAGTAAGCTTCACTGTGGATGGAGTAGTGAGTGAGTGAGTGAGTGAGTTAACTTGCAGAGCAGGGCACCCTGCCAACTCCTAAATTGGGACACCCGAGAGACTTCTAAGTCGTCATCTGTCGGAGAGTTGATGGCCAACTGTGAAGCAAAGATCATGGACGACGATGGGATTAATGAACTGCCCGATGGCACCGCTGGCGAGTTGTGGGTTCGCGCACCAAATGTGATGAACGGATACTGGCGCAATGTACCAGCGACTCAGAACACCATAACTACTGACGGATGGCTAAAGACCGGTGACATTGCATATATTGATGCTCATGGAAAGTTTTTTATTGTAGACAGAAAAAAGGTCGGTCCCCCTTTCCACTGGCACTTGCCAACCAAGACATATATGTGACAAAAGCCCTAATCGGACCTTTTAGGAATTGATCAAGGTGAAAGGCAACCAGGTTGCCCCAGCCGAGCTCGAGTCAGTTCTGCTGGATCATTCCGAAATCGCTGATGCAGCCGTTGTGGGTGTTAAGGTGTAAGGCTACTCTCACTCTGATATCCTGACTATGCGACAATAGCTAAACAAAATTATTACAGGGAGGAGGATGAACGACCGCGGGCGTATATCGTCAAGAAAAAGGGGGCTTCTGTCACCAGAGAAGAAATCCTGAAGTTTATGGAGAACAGAGTGGCTAAAATCAAGAGAATAACGGGAGGAATTGTCTTCACCGATGAAATTCCCAAAAACCCTGTAACTCAGTCCCTAGAGCTGATGGAAGCCAAACTAATTTGTTATCAGTCCGGCAAGATTCTTCGACGACTTTTACGTGAGCGCGCCACCGCTGAACAAGCTCCCATGGCAGGCATAATGACGAAACTATGAGATTTTGATGACTTGACTAGGGACCACATATTCGTGTGATCACAGAAAAATTGGCAGCTCTAAATAGCAAAGAGACTACATGTATTTGCGCTACTCTCCAGAAGTTTGCGCTCGAGCCTAGTATTCATCGATTTTTATCAGCATAATCACCAAATTGCAGAAGCACGAGATGTCCTCAAAATTAAGTATATATAACCCTCTATTAAACATAGTTTGGACTATCGAGGGGTCTATACACAAGGGGAGTGGGACCAGCTTGACGTCAACTGTTTCCATCATATGAATTCTCTGCAGCTCTTAATAAACCCCAGTGTTGCACATTGTAATGCTCCCAAAGTCAAATTTCAAAGACGACTCCATCAAAAGTGATATTCTATCAGAATTGACGGGTCTAGAATTAAGTAGGCTGTTTAACGGTTGAGCCTCCTGCGAGAGAATTTCCGGTATGGATGCCGAGCTATTCATAATATTTCAAAATCCCATTAACTCAATAATTATCAGACATAAAACTTGAAATAATCATAAAATTGACAGCAAAACCAACAACTAGATTCACCATGTTATCGTGTCGCAGACACAGGACAGCGGGACTTCTAAAATGACTCCCGACTCTCAAGATTTCGGACGGAAGATAACGACTCGTCTAGGTATTGGATAATACATGAGTTAAAATTGCTACTGTATTAGCTTTCGATATACTAGACGAAGTTGCGTTGTGAAAAATATACCTCAATGTGTATTAGGCGTGTCTGGCGTGGCAACCACCGAATCAGCCCGAGTCCATGATACGATACAACGATACAACTCCTAAAATTAATCCTTTGTTCTCTCTAATTCATTGGTTTTTAAGTTGGAAGTAACATCAGTGATAGGAGTCTTGTATTTAGAACATATCTCGAAGGAAAAGGAACTTTACTCTCGTATTTTCTAGGCTCCAAGCTCATAACCATTCGCAATTCATTGTTTTTATTAATCGATAACTGAAGTTATGGCATAGAGCAGATACGTTTCCTTGTTCTAAATAGTCTTGCTTGGCTGGCTTGGTATCCATCTGCCATACCAAGCCAGCATTAATCCCGGGAGTGATCCCTGGGGAGTCGAATCTAAAGTTCTGCCCCGAATCTCGCGACGGATTTGTACCAAATCAATCGACTAGAAGTTCATCCAACACCCCACTCGTGTAAGAAGCCTTCCCCAATAATTCGGTTCAGCCTAACAATGCCTCTTAGAGAAGAAAATCTTGACATCTATATTTATGGTAAGTTTTACGAAAGCGCCTTAGTTACATTTACTGACTGCCCTAGGATTTTTTCTCTCAGACATCTCAAACGATCCAGTTTGGAATTGGTATACGCGAGAGAACTTGACTGATAATGCAGGGAGGTCTGGTACAATGCGTGTCTGTGGTTCGATAGATTCTTTTGACTAGCCAAATCTAAACCAGATCAGGTCTGTCCGCCCGTGAAAGGGTTCGCTATAATGAGACTTCATGCTTATATACCGTGACTTGTAGGCGAAGTACGTTGGCCATGCTTTCTTCTATCTAGATGTGAACAAAGTTAATAAAATAAGGAAATTTTAAGTCAAAGCTCTGGGAGAGCAAGTTAGGTTTTTTTTGACTGATTTGATCTTCAAACATCCCACGGATCTAGATATCTGAGTACTGAAAAACCGTCAAAACAATCTGAACTTCAGTAAATAATTGTATTGACAATTTTTTCCGAACGAGGTGAGATATTTATCAGTATCTTGGCTCTGCAAGTCGTACCCGTTTTCTGAAGTGAAATAAACAAAACTAGACATTATCAAAGATGTATTTCTTTATTTGGAACGACTTGAACTTCCCTATCTCCATGAAAAGCTAACTCAAAATGATCAACTAGAAATTTCCAATGATCCCTGGAACTGCTAGAATCTGGCCTGAACTTTCTTCTCAGTATCTCCCAGTGCCCAGTCACTGCGCTTTTTTGATCGAACTGCATTGGATTGATTCACAGTAAACCCTCCGGCTTTGGTAGCAGGGTTATATCTCAACCCTGTCACCTTTTTCACCTCTTCATTATCGACTCTTCGATTATCCGCACCGTCCGCTCGCCGGTAAATAGTTACAACCCCTGTCCCACCGAGTCCAACATTATGCGCCAATGCAACGTGGGAATTCTCAACAAGTCTGTTATTCGCCCAGCCGCGAAGTTGCCAGACCAACTCTGCGCACTGTGCAAGTCCCGTAGCACCTAGAGGATGGCCCTTGGAAAGCAGGCCGCCGGAAGGGTTGATAACCGTACGCCCGCCAAATGTGATATTCCCAGCTCGTACGTACTCATGCGCCTTACCTCGTGGGCAGACACCTAGAGAATCTATAAAAACCATCTCCGCAGCCGAAAAACAATCATGCAACTCGATGAGTTTAACGTCCTCGATGGAGACTTGTGCTTCAGCCAGCGCATCATGCACCGCGCGCTGAGTGATCCCTGCTCCTACTAAATTCATGGCGGTGCGGTCAAATGCTGAAGGATTATCAGTCGCCATTGCCTGGCCTGCAATAAGAATTGCTTGGGACTTGAGTTCCGGTCGAGCTTCAAGGAATGCCTTGGACACAAGGACAGCAGCAGCACCGCCGTCACTAGTTGGACAGCACTGTAATTTGGTAAGCGGATCCTGGATCATAGGTGCATTCATAATCTCGTTGAGACTGTAGACATCACGGAACTGTGCGTAAGGGTTATGCTGTGAATGAGAATGATTGACTCGCGATATTTCTGCAAAGTCGCTGGGTGTGGCTCCGTATCTAAACGATATATCACTCTCTGTAACACGCGGACACGACAACTGGAGAAGGGAGACTCACTTCTCCATATATTCTTGAGCTGCATACCCAAATAGCTGTAAAGCAGGCGGTGCATTCGTGTCGCCTTTAGTGGCATGTAACAGATCCATATGTCTTCCGACTGGGTCAGCGCGATCGTTCCAGTAGCTTTTCAAGCTTCCTGGGTTCATTTTCTCGAAGCCCACAACTAAGATGCAGTCGGCACCACCGTGACTGATAGTGTTACGAGCCATGGAAAGTCCAGTAGATGCTGTAGCGCAGTTATTGTTCACGTTAAAGATTGGGATCTCCGTCATCCCGAACTGATAGAAGACTCGTTGACCGCAAGTACTGTCGCCATAACAGTAGCATGCAATACCTTGGTCAACGTCATCGTAGCTGATATGGGCGTCTAACATGGCCTTGATGCCAGCTTCATAGCCAAGCTCCGTGTAGTCTACTTTTCCACGAGGCTTTGCAAACTTTGTCAAGCCAACTCCTAAGACGTATGTGGGTGCCAGGTTATTTCGTGGCATCTTGCGAATATCAGCCTAGCTTCAATGCGTGGGAAATCGGGATATACTTTGCTCCTATTTCTGTTAATATCCTGTCTGTAATCTTCTAGTCAACTAAATAAGTGATGAAACGTTAAAGCGTGTCGGCCTTCCGTAGATAAAAACTCACTGTATTCATGGTCTGCAGATCAGAACCCGACCTGCACCGAGGAAAAGAAAAATCCATACTATTCCCGAGTCGGAATTCCCCAACCAAATTCTAAAGTATTATTAACCTCTTTGTTTGTCCCTCCCGAATTCCCGGGGTTGACATTGTGGCGGTAATGCTAAGGTCGTCTCGACCCGGTTTTGCCGTGGCGAGGTTGCTCGGTATCTCAGTGACAGCTTCGCCCAGTTCTAAAATCAGACAAAGCACTCAATCAATACTTGAATTTTGCTGTCATGGTGTAACCGTGCATACTTTTAAGTTTCTGAATGAAAATATGACCTTACAGGCAAGAAATAGTGAGCCCGTGCAGACCGGCAATGGTACAGTCTAACTGATACTTACTAGCCCTGCATCGGCTCAAGACAACTCATAGCCGCGATTAAGTATATCTGACAGCCAAAAGCCATCCACTCTTTTCTTCTTGATGGTCGATTCTGAGACAAATTTCTACTAGTCTGCTGCAATTCTTCTGCAGACATAATTTCTGGCCGCCTTGCTGTAATTGATCACATCTCTACATCAAAGGGACTAGAAGATGTCGTCCTTTAACTTCAAAGACCAGACTGTCATCATCACAGGGATTAGTCATGGGTTCGGAACCGCATATGCAACTGAGTTTGCAAGACGTGGTGCGAATCTCGTCGTGAATGACACATCGAAAGAGGTCAAGAGAACCGCACTCTCTCAAGATCCGAGTTTTGAATCTCGCTGACATGGTCCTTTATTCCAGGCTGTCGATACTTTAGTTGAGGAACTGCACCGTCTTGGAGCAAATGCTATTCCAAATTATGATGATATCGGCGAAGGGGACAAGATCGTTGATACAGCGGTCTCCAATTTCGGGACTGTCCACGTGTTGGTCAGCAATATGGGGACCATTGGGCATAAGAATTTCGCCCTCCTGGGCAATGAGGAGTGGTTGTCAATGCTGAGAGTGGACTTAAAAGGATCTTACAAGGTATACGTCATAGTAGTGTAGTCAAAGCATCGTTTCTAATATGTATGATGTATAGTGTGCAAAAGCCGTTTGGCCACACTTTCGAAAGCAACGATATGGACGGATCCTTAACACAGCATCGATAAGTGACTCATCTAGTCAAACGCTGAATTATAGTAAGAATCAATCTAGCAAACAGAACGATAGGAGAACTCACCGTGATTAGCGGCGCTGTTCGCCCAGTTAGGCTTTACTGAAACACTTGCGAAAGAAGGCATGAAGTACAATATCTTGGTCAATGTCCTTTCGCCGGTTTCCGCCACAATATTTGAGCCACGATGGGTGGTCCCATTTACTATGGTGTTGACGCACCGTTGGAACAATGAAACCGGTTGCCTATTTGAGGTGGGAAATGGATCGGTCCAGAAATTGAGGTGGGAACGAACGAAGGGTGCTCTGCTCAAACCAGACTCGACCCTCACCCCGGAAGCCATCTTGAATAGATGGAAAGACGTAATCAACTTTACTAATCCTGATTATCCTAATGGTTCTGTGGATCTTCAAAGCACGTTGGAGAGGACTCAAAAGTTGATGCCCAGCGTCGGCGGTGACCGGATAGAATTCAAAGGCAAAGTGGTACTTGTTACTGGAGCTTCTTCAGGGTAAGATCCCTGAATATTCTTAGTTGTCATTTCGTTTCGGGTCGCAACATGCAGTACGGCCGTTTTTCTAACTTTTACAGACTTGGTCGCTCGTACGCACTACATCTAGCTACACGGGGCGCATATGTAGTAGTGAATGACCGGGCTGACCCAACCCCGGTCGTTGATCAGATTCGACGTTCTGGTGGCACGGCAGTTGGTGTGATGGCATCCGTTGAAGATGGAAATGTCATCGTTCAGGCGGCGATCAACAGTTTCGGTCGCATTGATATCCTTATTAACAACGCCGGGTTCGTACGCGACAAATCCTTCGTTAACATGACAGACGATCTCTGGGACTCGATTATTGCGGTACACCTCAATGGTACTTATCAAATGACTAAAGCGATCTGGCCTTATTTTGTTCGACAGAAGTACGGAAGAATTATTAATACCACCAGTACCAGTGGAATATATGGCAATTTTGGTCAGGCAAATTATGCCGCAGCCGTATGTAATACTATAGAGACAGTAAATGGCTTTATTTGATAATATTCAGGTGCTAATCAACTTTCTAGAAGCTAGGGATTGTTGGCCTCTCCAACGCACTTGCACGCGAAGGAGCAGAGTTCAACATTCACGTTAATACTATCGCTCCAGGTGCCAGTACCCCTGCGCTTGCTGCTGCTCTTGCTGGCAGCAGCAACGATTACAAGCCGGAGTACGTGGCTTCATTTGTGTCACTGATTGCCTCTAATAACATGCCCGAACCACGGAGCAACGGTCTATTCGAGGTGACATGTGGGTGGCACGCACAAACAAGACTACAAAGAAGCCAGGGGTATGACTTTAGTTGCGATTTTCGCTTCTGCGGTGATGCCGAACTTACTGCAGAAGCCGTTACAAAGGCTTGGAAGATGGCGGTCAGCTTCGAGACGACGGGTAGTAAGGATCCAGGGGATAGCCAGGCGTTGCATTCCGACGAAAAAACACGACTCATGATCCTTCAAAACATTGACAGAGGAAAGAAAATGCGGGGAAAGGGAACTGAATTCATCTACGGCATAAAAGATACCATTATTTATAGTAAACTGCACTCTAAAACCAATTAAAGTATGAAAGCTAATTATCCAGACCTTAGTGTTGGCGCCAAACGACGCGATCTATCTTTAATATACGAAAGGTCTGGATCTCTTCACCCCTTACCTACATTCGGTGTAATCCCATTTTTCAATACTGCCCTCCCTTTTGATATCAGCGACATTGTTCCAGGTTTCACACCACACAAATTCCTTCACGGTGAGCACTACCTTGAGATCCTAAAGCATCCACTCCCAGCCTCCGGAAAGTTCATCACGTATCCGAAGCTGGTGGATGTCTTGGACAAAGGTACTGCGGCCATCGTTGTCATTGGCTACACCACGGTCGATACTCGTACTGGTGACAAGGTTCTTTACAACCGAACCTCCCTTTTTGTCCGAAATGTGGGCAGCTTCGGCAACAGAAGTCTCGCAAGCGCAAATGACAAACGTCCCGGAGATAGCCCCTTACACCCACCAGAACGAGACCCGGATGCCAACGGAACTGAAATAACATCTCAAGAACAGGCGGCCTGGTACCGGCTCACCGGTGACAAAAACCCGATGCACATCGACCCGGCCGTGAGCCGGCGCGGTGGCTTCGACATCCCCATCCTCCACGGATTGTGCACATTCGGTATCTCAGGTCGGCACATTTATCAATGCTATGGGCCATTCAACAAGATCAGTGCACGATTCACGGGAACGGTCCTCCCGGGACAGACACTCCGGACGGAAATGTGGAAGGAAAAGGGGAGTAATGTGATTATCTGGCAGACCAGAGTCATGGAGACTGGAAAGCTTTGTATTCAACGAGCCACTGCTGAGCTCTTGGTTGAAGACCATAGTTCCATTTATAAGCTATGAGTCCGGCCAATGATGTTCAACTTTATGACAGAGCCGATTATAGTATCAGCACCGTCAAGGAGCCGATCCAGGCAATGAGAGACTCTAGCTCGCTAAGGTTCTCTCTAGTCTTGAAACCCCTCGTAGTATTCGAATTATCTCAAGATTCTAAGAGATCCGCTGGATAGTTAGTTTTACATCAGGAAATTATAGTTATTCTTTATCCAATCGATTGCCGACGCACCGGCACCAACGGTGATTTAACCCTAACCCTAATATTGAAAACGGATAGTGCATTTAACTGAATAAAGTCCTTACACCTGTCACCTAGTATATACCTGCGTATTCTATCGAAACAATACCTGAATCCATTGTAATTTCGAAACCCCATATATGCGGGACATACAAATCTCGCTGAACTCTTAACGAGATTTCTCTAATACCTACACATCCACGCGCAGTTCGATTAATCGAGTGTACATAGGTCCACCCAGCTATTCCGGAACACCCGGATCGACAACATGCGACAAAGAACTTGAATGAAGCAGAGACACGTAGATACTCTCCGCACCCCACTGGTACAGTAAAACCTAGGAATAAGCAACGGGAGGTCTGTGCCAAATCGATTGCTTAACCCTAGGCTTTATTGTACCACTGTCCGGGAAATGGTGAAAAGGGATATTTCTCCAATGCGGGGATATCTACTGCGAGAAGTGTTAGAGTTGGCGGGACGGCGGGACCGTTGACCAGAAGAGAAATCGAAAAATGGCCAAAGTTACACGAGAGTCGGAGAAGGCTGGCCTTCTGCTAGAGACGCCGAGATAAAAGGTAAATATTATGTCGGCCTTACTCCCTCTTTCTACCCCTTCTGAAGAACTGATCTTCATCAGACTTTGCTGGCAATGAAATAAAAAAATGGCCGAACAACGCCCCGCCAGTTTAAAAGAGTATGCGCAGACAGACACTCCAGCATCAGAAGAGAAAGCCGGCCAGGGCTCCCATGTCGAACAGGCGCTGGATTCGAATCTTGTCTATGACAACTACGATGAAGAGCCTGAGTTTCACGCTCGCACGTGGATTGCCGTGTTGGCCATGTTTTTTCTGAATCTGGTCCAGGTTTTTGCCTTACAAGGACCACCGGCGGCGGTAAGCAACCATCCCATACATTTATCGATTATGATCACCAAAACCAATGATATACTAATAATTATACAGTTAAACTACATAGGCAAGGACCTGAATGACACGCAACGAGACACCTGGGTTCCCAATGCGCTGTCCCTCGTACAAGCCGTGCTAGCACCAGTCATCTCCTCGGCCTCCGACACCTTCCAGGCTCGGAAGACAATTCTTGTCAGTTCCTCAGCCATTTCGTTCATTGGAGCTGCAATAGCGCCCGGCTCGTCAAATATCTACCGCGTCATTGCTGCGCAGGTGCTTATTGGTTTCGGATTTGCTACCGTCCCGCTGGCCTATACGGTGCCGAGCGAGATATTACCTCGGAAATGGAGACCGAGTAAATTTCTACAACCCTATTTTTATAAAAGATAGACGCTTATGTTTTATTTTGGACAGTGGCACAGTCATGTATGAATATTGCAGCGGCTATCGGCGCGATTGTTGGGCCGTTGATCATTGGCGGGCTGACCAGGCGGAATGCGCATACTGGTTGGCGGAATTTCTTCGTATGTATCTCCCCTAACACACTTTTCCAAATTGCTGAATTGTGATCAGTGGATCCAAATGGCCCTCTGGGGTCTTACGGCCATCTGTCTGTTTATCGGCTACCGCCCCCCTAAACGCCATACTAGCCTGGACCACCTCTCACTGATCCAGAAACTGAGACGTATCGACCTACTTGGAGCCTTTCTCCTGACTACTGGTCTGACTTTATTCCTCGTCGGGCTGAACTTGGGCGGTGGTATCTATACCTGGACGGCTGCACCCGTTTTAGCGACCCTTGTCGTCGGGTTAGTCGTACTAATCGCATTCGGGCTGTACGAATGGAAAGGCACTCGAAGTGGAATTCTACACCATGACCTTTTCCGCGGCGGCAAAGACCGAGGGCGTACATTTGCACTATGCGTGTTGCTTATCTTCATCGAGGGGATTTTATTGTTTTCCTATATTCTGTTCTATCCGGTTATGTAAGCCCCAATCCCCCTTTCCACCATTCAACACAACAAGACTAATTTGACAACCACAGGACGTCCAACTTATTTGAAACCGACCCCTTCCTTGAAACTGCCCGAGACGTCCCCTTCTGGCTCGCCTGCGGTCTGAGCACGGTAGCTTATGGCTACGCCAGCACCAAACTCCGCACCATCCGTCTACCACTATTCGTCGGCTTTCTAATCTTCACCGCTGGTATCGTCGGGCTAGCCACTATCGAGCTTTCCAACAATGCCTCCGCAATCGTCTTCGCTGGTCTCGCTGGCCTCGGGTTCGGCGGACCGCTTATCCTAATCATAGCCGGCGTGCAGCTCTCCACGCCTCACGAGTTCATGGCAACAGCTACGGCCGCAACAGCATGTGCGCGCGCGGTCGGCGCTACGACATTTACAGCCATCTATTCTGCTGCTCTTAGCACGAGATTGGGCAGTTATATACCCGACTACATTGCTGCTGCAGCAATGAAGGCCGGGCTGCCGCAGCCTTCGGTAGGGCCGTTTATTGAGGCGCTTTCAGGTCATAACAGTACTGCCCTGAACAATATTCCGGGTCTGACGCCGGTTATAATCGATGCTGGAAGCACGGCGCTGAAGCAGGCGTATGCGGATGGTGTTAGGGTGGTGTATATTATTGCCGCGCCTTTTGGGGCTCTGGCGTGTGTGGTGTGTTGGTTCTTGGGCGATATGAAGAAGACGATGAATTATTATGTAGATGCTCCTGTTGAAAATTTGCACGCGAAGAATGAGGGGCATGCAGCGACGGCCTAGTTGAGTTTTAATACTGTTATCACATTCAATTTATTAATTAGGGGGTGTATTCTGTATACATGTATGTGATAACCTTCACGTTTATGGTGATTAGAATCTATGACAATGTATAGCTTTCATGCTGGGGATTTTTACGATAAGATTAGATGCATAAACGAAACACAAGATTAAGCTTTTATTTCCCCAGCATGTAAAATCTCAACATCTGATTGGATGACTATATATGTATAGCTAACGCCCGGTTCGCATATACTTACAATAGAGCTATATATATATATATTTCATCATCAGAGAACTTGAACTAAGAAAGCATATGGACTGTAAATCGGCATCTAAGTAAGATAATTCCTCCCAATTTTCTTTCTATAGCTAGATCAAGAAAGAAATTGACTATGTACAAGACGGATTGTACCTTTTGGCAACTATGAACTATCAACTCACACACCAAGCTACCCCAAAGTAATGTAACAGAACTAAAGACCAGTATTCGACTCTCCCACCGTCACATTCTGCACTATACACCCTGTCGTCGAATATATACTCGCATACCTCCCCTCCAACACCGTCGTCAACCACGTCATCGCCCTCGCAGCCCCATTCGTCAACTCATCCACATGCCCTCCTCGGGTATTCCTCTGATACAAAACATTCACACCCAATCCACACACCCTCTCCACATACGCATCCGTTTGATTTATCGGCGTAATCTCGTCATGAATAGCCTTGTATATAAACAACGGAGTCTGCGGAACCCCATGATACGTCATGATGGTATTCAACTGCAACGCCCTTTTCACCGGCTCTGCTTGCATAACATCCCTCCCATTGATAAAGTAATCGTACATATTCTGCCCATTAAACGCTGCGTGGCCTTGATCATACGACATATTACGAATAGATAAAAAGGTAGTCTTGTTGTACGGCCCGCTAGGCTTCAGGTGGTCGAGTATGTAGTTGTATGCGTCTGGGTACTGCGACGTCACGCCCAATAGACCCGCGATGCCGTGGCTTGCCCACATAGTATTTCCGACGGTGTCAAAGACGTATGTGGTATTGCAAACTAGGCCGCCGAGGGCAGCACCGGTGATCTTGAGTTCTGGTGCGTATTGCTCTTGGAATTCGAGTGCCCATTCAGCTGCTATAGACCCGCCGGAGTACCCCCAGAGCGCATTCTGGGCGTCGATTGCGAGGCCGAGGTCTGAAGATAGCACGGCTCGGATCGAGTCTAGTACGGCATGAGCTTCCTCGATACCGGCAACGTTGCTTGCAGTTGGGCCCTCGAAGTCGGGGACATTAACGAACCAGCCACTCCCCAACTGGTCTCCGTATGGGGGAGTAGAGCTGGAATAGAGAATGTAGCTGGGGCTGGAGTCGACGTCGACGGAGTTGTAGGGGATTAGGTAGGAGAGGAGAGCAGAACCTAGGCCGGAGACGGTGGAGTTGGTGAGAGGCGTGGAAGGGATGAGGAGGGTGGTGACGGACCAGGAGGGAAGGTAGCGGCTGTTGGTTGTGCGATAGACAATGTTGTATGCTGCAGAGCAGTTGGAGCCCATCACAGCAGTAAAGTTTCCTGGTGCGCGCCGGATACGGAGGATTGTGCCCGGCGTGGTGTATTCGAAACCAACCGGGGCGGTATAGAAGGGATCGAGACTGGGTGGGATGGCGGCTGGGAGGGAGGTGTTAAGATGGGAGATGATAGGGTCATGACCGGTTTGTAGGGCAGATGACACTGCTGCCAGCAGAGACAGAGTGAGGGAGGTGAAAATGGAGGTATACATGTTCATGATATTATGCTATAGTAATTGAACAGTGGGCTAAGGAAAAGAAAAGACGAAGGACAAAGCAGCATTAACCTACGGAGGCAAGGATCTTTATATGCCCTCTTTGACCAGGCTGAACTAGAAATTTAATGTAACCGGTTATCATCAATTTTTAAAATTGTCCAATCCAAAAATAAAGAGCTCTAGCTGCTAACACTACTACTGCTAATTTATCCTAAACATCAACTATGCAACGTCAACTTTTCCCAAGAAGGAAATGGATTCTGTCTACAGAGCCAATGACAAGGATTTTGCTTCCATGGTACGTAGGTCGCATCCCAAACCACATGGACTTTACACAACGTTCCCACAAGCCCAAATAATCTCCGAGAAAAAACAAAGCAAATATTTCCGATAATCATGGCATCATGCAGGTGCATGGTTGTTTGTCCCACATCCGAAATAAGAATATAACACGTTGATGATTTAGTGTGAGTATGTGGGGATGGGGAAATGGGAATATTGTTGACGGAGATAGAGAGTTTGCCGAGATGGGTCACTGCAAGCTTTTCTTGGTGCTAGCAGGGTTGGTAGACCCTAGAGAGAACTCTTTGTTAACTATTGGTGCTACTACGTACTAACTAATCAATGCTTGAAGTGTCGACAGGGATTGACGGGTAGTCTTAAGCGGGCAAATGAAACTTGAACTTCTTATCTTCAAGAACATGCAAGATGGGATGATGCATCTGGGTACCAATAGCTAATTAAATGTGTTGTTAAAATACTACCTTACACATGTACCATTCCAGCAGTCATACGTTGGAAATACTTAAACGTAATCTCATACAACATCGAATTATCTAATCACGACAACAACCTCACCGCATTCCCCTTCAATACCACCCTCCTCACCTCCTCATCCCACTTCACCTCGTCTACCATCCCCTTCTCCATCTCCTCCGCCAGCTGCACCACCAACACCTCTGGAGTAAACGGATAATCACTGCCATACAATAACCTCTCCGTGCCAACATACCTCAACAACCCGAATATCTGATCCGGGAACGGAAACCCTGCAAGATCGAAATAAAACTGTCTCGCGAAAGCCTCTTTCACAACAGTGCTTGTCAAGCTCTGATCTGCGCCGATCAGTGGACCAAAGCCTGTGAACCGTTCAATCAGCGGCGGCAACGCGCCGCCGGCATGTGGGATTATGAATGTGATGTTCGGGCAGCGCGAGATTGTGCCGGAGGTGAATAGGTTGATCACAGCGCGTGCGGTGTCGAAGAGGAATTCGAATATGGGGTTGGGATAGTGGTTTGACAGGGCAGTTGTCGCCGGAGTACTGGTCTCGCTGTTGGTATTATTACTTTGCAGACGCAGACATGGCGTGGTCGGGTGAATGAATACTGTCGCGCACCGCCGATTCAGCTCGTCAAAGATGGGGTTAAGGCGGCTATCGCCGAGATAGACTCCGTGATGGTTTGTTTCGACGGTGACTCCATTGGCGTGCAGGGTGTCAAGCGCATAATGGATTTCAGTAAGGCTGCCCTCTACGTCCGGTAAGGGGAGTGAGGCCCAGAATCCGAAACGAGTGGGATGCTGGCGGGATAGGCCGGACGTGTACTCATTACACTGTCGGGAGAGTTTTCGTGCGGCTTCATGGTCGCCGTCGGTGAGATAGGTACCTGGAGTGCTGATGGAAAGTATTGATTTGCTGATGTTGAGTTTGTCCATTAAACTGAGATGGGATTCCGGGGTCCAGTCCTGGAAAAAAAGCATTAGGGTATTATCCTTGGATGTAGAAGCGGCGGATGGCTTACTGGCAGTCTCGGCATACCGTCTGGTTTCGTATGCCCATTTTCTCGACATGCTTGCTGATAGAAGGGGGGAAGCAGATGAGTATGCGTGTCAATGCGTTCTTCAAAAGGCATTTTGGAGTTTCAATTTTTTTTCCTGTTTTTGATTCAGAGTATGTTTACAGCAAATCAAAGTGGTAAGTTAGCACGAGGAGAAATCTTCAGCAAAAGTCAGAAATACAGAAACGGCATTGGAGACGTGCAAAAAGCATACTGCACAGGTAAGTACCACCTAAGAAGCTCTGATATTGGAAGGAATCGGTAAGAAACGCCGTGAGCGAATGGTTGAGCTCTGTTGTTTCGACGAACTACTCGTTTGCGATACATTTCTGCATCGTTGCCCCACAGGAACGGCGGGGCTGCGGGACGAAACAGAGTTTACCAATAGTTGCTTTGACTTTAACCCACGGATGGAACGCGTCATCTTATGGATCAAAATTAGGAAAGCCAGCCAGTGTCTGCTTTCTAGTATACACGGGATAATCGCTGGATAGGCGACAGCAATTACATGCTAACTTTCAGAATAATGCGGCCTGTCGTGAATCAGAACTGAGAACAACGACGCCATCTTCTGGCTGATGCCCCAGTGCCCCAACCTAGTCAACAAATCAATCAAATGAAACAAGGTACTCGACTCCGACGTTGTCGGGCGAGTTCTCTTAAACCCATTCGCCGCAAATAATACACGCCGGCCATCAATGCCTGCTTTGGTCAGCTCCGGAAACTCGAGTTCCGCAGAAATCGAAGATTCTTGGCGGCCATGATAGTCATCCCGGCCAAACCGGGTGTAGGCGTACCAAATCAACGATGCACGATAGAGTAACCGAGGAACATGGATTGCTGGTTCTTCGCCGATGGGTATTCGTTGCAGGTGCTTCAGTATCAACGCAGCGTGAATCGCGCATCTATGGCCAGCAGCCGAGGAAGCCCAGATTGTGGCGTACTCGGCCTGGTTCTGAGCTTCTTCAAACCCTTCGCGTCCAACAGCGCATTCAATTTTGTTCATGTCGCAATACAAAGACATAAAGAGAGAGTGCCATAGGGCTTTGAGGCTGAATGGGTCAGAATCGGTTTGGTGACGGAGGTGTTCGTTGTAGACTGATGTTAAGAATTGTGTGATTTGTTGCTGGGTTTCGGGGGAATGCACCTGAGTGTGTTCCATGATGTAGCTTGCTTTTTCTTCGAGGAGAGAGTAAAGTGCGAAGGAGGGTGATACTGCGATTATACTAGACATGACGGATGAATCAGTAGAGGTGGTTCCGTAGGTTGAATCGGTGAGGTCGCGCTCTCTCAACACACGAGCCCAGCTTTTGGCAGTCGGTGCAGTCCAGGCATCATTGTGCGCAACCGTCAACCGTGTATTAGCTGAACTCCGTAGAAACGGTTCAGCCATAAATAGTTCAGCGAGCTCTGCATCATGAATCCGAAGGCCAACGGCGACTCTGCGCGAAATTAGAACTGAAATCACATTTAGGGATTGTCAGGGTAGTAACAAACCGTTTCTTCTCCTCGCTGTGTACCCACCGTCTCCACGCAGATTCAACTTCTGTCTCCGCGATTCCTGTGGAATGAATCGGTGCAGTTGTTTGATCAAACATTTTTTGCCGCCGGGCCCACTATGAGTCTCATAAGTAGTGCTCAAAGGTAACACGATGGCTTGACCTACTGCTATTATTGTACCGTGAAAGGTTTGCACGATTGCAAGATGTCTCGGATTCTGTCTATATTAGTAAATATTAACAAACGTACAGGGTAGCAACATACTCCAGAAAGCATGCCAAATGTCTGGCCTATTAAAGCTGCTTGGGTCATGGCAAGTGCGTCTGGTGCTCCTCGGACAATGTATGATTCCCACTAGACATTGGTTAAACACCTTTCGATAAATATGCATTATTGGACATACCGATGCAAGAATAGCTTTGTTCAGCCTTTCAAAAATCCTGACTCCCTGCGCTACAGCAAAGGACGAGCCTAGGAAAAGACTGCCAACGGAACAAATAGACAAGAGAAGCAAGGATCTCTTAGCAGACGGACGAAAGGTAGGTGCATGGACGATAGGAAAAGTTGGGTTAAATCGTGTAAAATACATTTGAATACATAAATTCTAGTAGCGCGTTAGCAGACAAAGTAATCTCTAAGGGGGAGGCCGTACAAGAAAGTCGGTTGATGGAAGGGGTTCATTATTGACGCGTTGCTGCAGCTCCCGAGATAAGTCTTCGCGGTATCGCTCATCGACACTCGTAGGCTCGTTGCTGACATCTGGCGTGATATGGCCAGATCTTTCTGGACTTAGATATGTAAACCACTGTCGCCGAATATAGTCCTCTCTTGGCACGGTGATGATCTCTGTCGGGCTTTGGATGACGATATTGTTGTTACTATTATTATTAACTTGGGTCGATCTCGCACCACTCGTCATAAACCCGTCCGTAGACCAATCCAGTGAGTCAAATGAAATTCCTGGTGGCAAGATGTGCGCATTCAGCACACTCATATCAAAGTCATCGCGCACTAGCCAGCCGGGGATCTGGTGACTACTCGGACTAAAGATCCATTGATTAGAATTTGCAGTGTCTATTCCAGACGTTTCCAATGTCGGTTCAAGCGCTAATTGATGGTGATTCTGCCCATCCACTGGCTGCGAAAAGCTCGATCCAGCCCAGCCAGACATGCCGGTGAGCTCTAACGGCGCTGGATAGTCACAAGGCAACGATTGATTAGTGGCGTGTGACTCGTGCGTTGATGGTGATGAATGGACTATTGATGCTGTTTGAGCGGCATTAGATGGATAGCTGTTGGCGGGAGACCCGGCTGTGGTGGTTGAGAGCACTGGGTTTAACAGTGTCGAGATTGTCTCTGCTGATTCTGATGCATGCTGCGATGGTAGTCGTCGATCGTCCATGTGCGATCTTGAGTGTCGCAGCAGCGAGTCACTATCGAAGTGTTATTTCCTCTTCATCTGTTTGGGTCACACAACATACTGCCTGGTGAAAGACTTGCCACACGTCGCACAGGAAAACGGGCGTTCCTTGGTGTGGCTGCGTACATGGCGTGCGAGATGGTCGTCCTTGGAGAACGTCTGCGAACACCACGAGCACACTCTTTTCTTGCGCGCCATACGTTTATCAATCATCAGCGTGATCGATCATTGCGACAAACTTCATCTGGGGAAGTGACGACGGAAGCTCGCGGGGCCCCGCACGTGCTTTCTAGTTAGGGTTATGGTTGCTATACCTAATATGGTTTAGTCCCATTTGTCTTTCGATTGGTCTTTGATTTTGTCACGGCGTCCATAATTTATCCTTTTGCAGGCCACTAATGACTATGTATAAGAGCTATATTCAGGTCCGTACTGAATGAATGATATTGGAGGATATTGATGTCTCATCATCCTCCTATGTCACTAGATCAATGATGTAAAGACGACACATTGATGAATTGACATATATCACAACTCTACACTACAATGCTCCATAGACCTTCAACTGACAGATTATTGGGGAGTAATTACCTTTTTCATTTTCTAAAGTATATTTCCCTCTTTCTCCAGACTCCAGCTCGTCCCACATGGACAAACAGGTCCCGCATTGACCGCACGGATATAACTTTGTAAACTCTATCTATTCCCGTAGACCGAAATAAAAGAAACACAGGCAATATCTTATTTTCAACTTCAAAACGTAACGAGCCTCCTACAAATATTGACAGCTACGTAAAATGCCTTCGTGGACTCACCTTGTTCGTTTCATCGCCGTCGAGGATAGCCAAGAGCATCTCGGCCAGCTCGTCGATCCCACCCGCGATGTTGGGCGAGACAGTGCCGATGGCAAGGAGATTACAGTGTATCTAATTGACGGAACAATCTTCGATGGAAGAGTGACTAAGGAGATCTTGCATGTCAAGCAGGTGTGTTATTCGCAGCCAATCTACCCACCAAACTAACGATATCAATTTGCAGCTACTCTCTCCAGTCTCGAGAGAGGATTGCAACTATATCCGATGTCTAGGATTAAACTACAAGGATCACGCTAAAGTAACTTTTATATATGTTCTATACTATGTTCGGGTTTCTAATGTTCATCAGGAAGCCAATCTCGCCCTCCCCAAGGCCCCTATCCTCTTCAGCAAGCCTCGCACGGCCTTGACCGGCCCCTTTCCTGCCACCATCAATATCCCAAAGTGTGCACAGGACGAGACTAGTGACTACGAAGCCGAGCTATGCCTTGTTATTGGAAAAACAGGAAGGAATATCCCTGAAGACGAGGCTCTTGACTATATCCTTGGGTATACCGCGTCCAACGATGTCTCGGCGCGTGCACTCCAACTAGCTACTACACAATGGTCTTTTTCGAAAGGACTTGATGGGAGCTGCCCAATTGGTAAGTCTTACGAACTTAGCTTCGCTTGTATTAACGCAGACTAATCTAAGTTATATAGGACCCGTCCTTGTCGCTCCATCCGTCATTAATGACCCCCAAACCCTATCTATTAAAGCCATCCACAACAACGACACTGTGCAAGACGGGCATACTAGGGACATGATATTTGATATCAAGAAGCAGATCTCATATCTCTCGCAAGGAACCACGTTAGAGGCTGGCACACTTTTTTTGACGGGGACGCCAGCTGGGATTGGCTATTTCAAACAGCCGAGAAGGGTTCTTCGTGATGGGGATGAGATTTCGGTGCAGATTGAGAAGATTGGGACGTTAGTGAATAAGGTTCGGTATGAGAACTTGTAGGTGAAGATAGTTAGCAGATATAGCAATGATAGATTTAGATTGAGAGAGATATTGTACTTTGTCGTGAGAGTGTTGAAATTTAGTATAATAGTTTGAATAAAATGTACAGAGCTATGTGGTAATAAAATCATTCTGTGTTACTAATATACCAACATTGAATTGTACATACATCAATTGGTCGATTATCCATGACGAGATTGTCATTGCCGTCATGGTACCTCATGTAGATGTATGGTCCTCGTTCTAATTTTGTTACATAGAATGATCCCAGATTGCTAATTCTAGTGAGTGGCCGTTATCTGCTGACTACGTTCGCATATAGAGTTCGTATGGCAATCAGGTGTTTTCCTCCGTATCTTCACAGATTCCACAAGCGCCTGTTCCTCTCGAAGAGTCAGGCGTTGCGACAGAAAAAGATAAATAAAATGTCATACGCAACTAAAATACACGGCGACTATTGTACATACTATAAATACATACTATTAATTATTACAGGACAAGGTAATTACCGAATGGCCATCCATGCTAGTTGGTCCGAATTATCTAAAAGATCATGCGTTGAGATTTTATTCCGAGGATGCTCCCTGGTTAGCTATACTCACTTGTAGACCAGTATTAATGCTGATATATTTTTCAGACTGAAAAAACTGTTAAAAATAAACGAGCAAACGGGAATAGAATCTCGGGCTGTTGTAGACATGTGGAATGATCCTAGGTGGAATTTAGACACTCTTCCAACAGCGGAGGTCCTCGATAAAGTGTTTCGCATTCATGGAACTCAGCTTGCAAAAGCGACTGCTCTTAAAGCGCTAGAGGACGGCGGTATGGACGCGACTTCCAACACCCATATATTCGCAGTCACACGCACCCACTCCGGTTGTCCTGGATATGACTAGCTAGTTGCGCGGGAATTGGGCATTCATAAAACAGCAGAAGAGCTCTTCTAAAATGGCCTAGGGTTTGCTGGTGGTCTTGCGGCTCTTCGAGTGGGCATCGAATCTAGCAACTGCAGCTACTTATTGTAGTCATAAAACCAAGGTTCTAGTCATTGCCTGCGAAATACGCAGTACGCATATTCGAGCACAGTTGCACGCAGCATCAGAGTCTGAGGCTAGTGGAATCGGACTTGCGCTTTTTGGCGATAGGGCATCTGAGCTCGTGCTATGTAACTCCCATGCATTGAGTCATAGCGCACCCAAGAGATTCTTGATAGTTGATTGGCGTACACAAATTTGGGGGACGTGTCAAGAGATGCCCTACAACGTGACATCGCATGTCTTTCATCTATCGTTGTCGAAAATGTGCCAGCTCTTGCGTCGGCAGCTGTGAAGACACCTTCCCAAAACTTGAAGATGGCAGTATTTCTATCCCTCAGTCGGAATTTGACTGGGCGCTCCATCCCGGCGGCTCAGCTATCATCAAAGGTATTCAGATATCTTTGGGCCTGTCTGACTGCGCCCTGATACCGACAAATGAAATCTAAATGAAACGGGGAAATACGTCGGGTGCTGCCCTCCTGCTGTCTTAGACACAATTCGTATACTTAAAAACCGCAGAAAGGATAATATTTCCTGCAGTTTTAGACCTAGTCTAACAGTCGAGATGGCGCGTTTGGAAGAGTTTTCATGAAACCGATAGCATGAAACACGATGCATTTGAATACCATTTAGCTCATTGATACATGTACTTTCCATACACTACCAATCCTTCATATAAAGCAAACTACTGCAAAAACCACCCCGGCACCTCCGGGCCCCAAACAGCCAACGACTCATCTCCCGCCGGCCCATACCCAATAGGCGTTTTCTCATTAACCAAATCCCCATCTGCATAATGCTCAATCATATTACCAGTAGTATCCCACCAGTAATCAAAAATCTGGGAACCGAGAATATGCCGGCCAACGCCCCACACAGACTCATACCCCTTTTGGGCGAGCCACTGATGGCCCAGGTTCTGGGTATCATAGTCGTGGACCTCAAACGAGCAGTGGTGGACATGGCTAGTTGCGTTGCTAGTGATGAAGAAGGAGTGGTGGTCGACGAGCTCCTCTCCGCGGTCGATATGCGCGAACAGCGCGACGTTTTTCTTCTTACCGTCCGGGCTGGTGACGTATAGAAAGTCGGTTGGGGCGATGTTGAAATTGGTCGTGTAGAAGGATACCATTTCGGTGAAGTTCTGGGTACAGACGCCGAAATGGCCAAGCTATATCACACATACTCTCTCTTATCAGAAAATAGGTTCTCTAGCAATCTGAGCGTGCGGATCAGGGTGAGGGAGGCGAACTTTGTGCACGGCCGCCGGACCAGGCTTAAACCGCTGAAACTTGAGCTTGCGGGCCTTCTCAGCCTCATAATTGAGGGTTAGTTTCTCAGGGTACGCGCCCGTCGCAGCGGGTGTTTGGCCGAACATGAGATTTACAGGGAATCCATCCGGGTCGGTTAGGGTTAGGATGTAGCCGCCGCCAGGTGCATCTTTCATTTCACGGATCTCGGCGGCTGATGGGAGCTTTGCTGCTCTGATAGAGCATTAAAATAAGTGTATTGAGTGGAAGTGTGTATTAATTTACCTCTCCAAATCTTCGTAAGACTCGACTTGAAAAGTCCCGCCGAGGAATTTCTTCGGCCCTTTGCAGGCGTAGTACACGTACTGATCGCTGCCGTATCCGCGGAACCAGATCTCATTATCGGTTCTGCAGGCGATTCGCATTCCAAAGTCTGATACTCAGCAAGTACACTTTACACCAGTACCCTTTTTTCAAGAGAGAAAGACACACCGATGAGAAAAGTGGTAATTTGCTCCAGATCCGGATGCTGATACCGCATATGCGCCAGCTTCACCAGCCGGATTTGGTTCTCCTTGTTGATGGCGGAGCGTTTCTGCCAGCTGGAGAGGTCTTCTGCCTCATCGCCGATTGCGACGACGTCGGGCACGGAGGCGCCGTGGTTTGGAAGGACGGTGGTAGCCTTAATTTGTATCAGTATTCAAATGTTTTATTTTAATATATAGAATGGAAGGCAGAATCTAGACCAGACATACCATGTTGAATGTGTACGGTAGCTACTTTGATTCCCCGACCTTACTACAAGGGGAAATCGCTATTTAAACGGGCGATTTCTCCATGCTAATAATATGATATAATATTATAACAATTAATGTGATTTGTTGGTGCTGTATATCCGGGGTAAGGTCCCGCCGCTATGACCAGGTCCCGCTCCCGTTGTCACACTGCATACCAGCACCCCGCCCACCTCTGGCATAAGCTCTCTCAATCATTATGATTGGATGATTGATGATTGATGTCCCGCCGGAAGACTTAATCGGTAAATCAACAATACATCTACAGCACTATATACAACTTATAAAAAATACCGACGACATTCCCTCAACACCAAACCTGACATCCACAATAACATCGAGCCCTACCATCCTTCCATTAAAAAAGGCATAAGGATAACGATAACGATAACGATAACGATAACCATGGTAGAATCGACAGACCCAACAGAAAGCGAATGCGAAACCACCGCCATCCTGATCTGCGGCTGCGGGCCCACAGGCGCCATGCTCTCCGCCTATCTCGGGCAAATGTCTATTCCCAACATCGTGCTCGAGCAAGAAGCCGACATCACGACTGATCCGCGCGGAATCGCGCTCGACGAGGACGGGATTCGTTTGATGCAGGGTTTGGGCGTTTATGAGGAGATATATACCGAGATTGGCACATGTAATCATCAATCATCACATCTGTGGGAACGTTTAGGGTTAGGGTTATGATGCTGATGGGTGCAGGTATGCATTTGTTCAAGTTTGTCGATGGGTCGGCGTACGATTTGAGTCGGCAGGCATTTCTGGAGATGGATTATGCGACTGTACGTCCACATTATATCTATACAATGTATATATGCATGAGTGGTTGACGATGGACAGACAGAAGGAGGCACCGGCCACGTCGGCTTCATATGCCACAAACAGCCCGCTCTCGAAAAGACCCTACGTTCCAAAATGGCAGCCAATGGGTTCAGCGAGCTACGGTCTAGATGCTCAGTGACCGGGCTGAGAGAAGATGAGAACTGGACGTACTGCGAATACACGGACTCGAGCGGCGCCACACGCCGAGTCCGCTCAAAGTTTTTTGTCGGGGCAGATGGGAAGACGGGCTATACGCGGAAGAAGTATCTTGAGTCTAGAGGCGTGTACATGGAGCGCGCACACAAGTACCTCACCCACTTTTCCTCTTCCGCTTGAATATCTGGATTGACATTCACTGACTGATGTGATGTGATGTATGGATAGTGCGTTTTATGAAGAAACCTGGGTAGCACTGAACTGGAAAATCTCGCTGCCAACTAAGGCAACACATCCCGATTTCCCGCTGTGGGCACTGGGGTATACGGCAGAAGAGGTCTATGATTTGTTTTTCCCCGTGAATTTCCGTTTCCTGTGCAATCCAGCTCGGCCGGCGGTATGCGGCCGCTTTGGACCGCCGGCAGATCGGTTGTGGAGGTTCGAGTTTGTCGTGCGAAGGGATGAGAGGGGTGAGGAGATGGCGGAGCCGAAGATGGTGAAGAAGATTGTGTTTCCGTATTTGAAGCATCCCGGGCGGCGGTATGGGTATGTCAATTTCCAACTAGAAGAGGAGAAGAGAAGGATTGTGCTGACGAAGTATGTAGGCTTGCGCAGGATGTGCAGTTTCCAGAGGACTGCATCCAAGTGTTACGGTCACGCCCATTCATGTTCTCAGCCCGCAGCTGTAATAAATGGTCTGAAGGACGAGTTATTCTCTGCGGCGACGCCGCTCATGTTTTCCCTCCCTGTCAGTCTGATCCGCCTACCTCACCTCTTCTTTTGCATTTTCACTGCTAATACCACTCAGTCGGTGGGCAAGGCATCGCATCTGGCTTTCGCGACGCATCCTCTCTCGCCTGGCGGCTCGCTTTCCTTTGCAACCCATCTCGCTCGCCGTCAATCTCACACTCCAGCATCCTCACAGCATGGTATCTCGAGCGCAAACAACAACTCGAGAAATCCCTGGCCACGACGATCGAAAACGGGCGATTTGTGACCGAAACCAATCCGCTCAAAATCTTCATTCGCAATTGGTCGTTATGGCTGATGCAGTTGATTCCCTCGTGGCGCCACGAGTTGCGGCTGGGACGCCGGAAAGAAGGGATGGTGCGATATCAGCAGGACGCCGGAAATACTCCATTCCCGTTTCTGGCGCAGTTGAATGGCGGGTTGTGTGTGTCGCAGGTGTATTGTAAGCCAGTGGGGATGGAAGGGAAAGGGAAAGACGGGGTTGTGTTTAGTGATGATGCGATATTTGGTGGGAAGAAAAAGGGACTTTTTCAGCTGCTGGTTTATCTGAAGGACGATAGGGAATTGACGGGTGCAATGGCGGATATAGCGGGTGTTGAGACGCTGGCGAGGGGGTGGTTGAAGGATGCCGATGTGACGATTGTTCTGGAGAGGGAGGGTGGGTATCAGGTTGATGAGCGGTGGAAGGGTAGATCGGTGTATACGCTTGCTAGCGGCGAGGAGTTTGCGCGGTCGAGGCTGTGTAATGGACGGCCGGAGCCGCAGTTCTATGACCCGTATCGTCTGGGTAAGGAGTTGAAGGGAAACAGGTACACGATTATACGCCCGGATAGGTTCGTGTTTGCGTCGTGTTCGAAGAGGGAGGAGCTGCAGACTGCGGTGGAGGGGATGGTGGCGTATTTGACCAGGGGGGAATTGAATTAGAAGGTTATACTTATGCATTGTATTCTATTATTAATGACTTGGAGGGAATGAAATCTAATTAAACCGCTTCGTCACTCATCATCGTCGTCGTCAATGCTATTCGTGTGCAGAACAGCGAGATAGTTCTGCAACAAAGGACTTGCCCCAAAACGCACTAGAGAAGGTCAGAGTTAGAAGTATACGCTAGAAATACTATAGGAACCTACCTCGTATACTTTGACGTATACTTCCACAGCTTCTGGTACTTGGCGGCACGCTGCTCCGGCTCCATAGACACCGCCTGGTGATATGCCCTGGCGAGATCTTCAGTGTTCCATGGGTTGACCACCAAGCTTCCATTCAAGCTCTGCGCCGCACCGGCAAATTCCGACAGAATGAGAACCCCTTGGCGTTTCTGTTGACTGGCAATGTACTCAAACGAGACCAGATTCATGCCATCGCGCGTCGACGATACCACGCACGCATCGGACACCGCGTACAGCGCGAGCAGCTCGTCAAAATTGACGGATTTATGCATAAAATGAATCGGCATGTAGTCCACGGTTCCTGTATCGTCTTAGCGTGTCTCTATCAATCTTGATGCTGGACTCACCAAATCGCCCGTTAATCCGCCCTACCAACTCATTCACGACGGTGCGCAAGCTTTGATATTCCTCTACATCCTGACGACTAGGTACTGCAACCTGCACTAAAACAACCTTGCCAACCCACTCCGGATGGTTCGAGAGAAAGACCTCGAGAGCGTGCAGTTTTTGCGGAATACCCTTGATGTAATCCAAGCGATCCACACTTACCATCAGCTTTATGCCTTGGAATTTCGATTCCAGACTGGCGATGCGATTCTGTACTTTCGGTTTATTCAGGCCGTCGAGAAACTTATCTGGGTCAATTCCAATTGGAAATGCGCCCACAGCCACCCATTGGCCTTCAAAGCGCACGCTGTTGGGGGTTGTGTCTAGGTTTCTATATAATGTTAGTCCAACAGTATATTACTATGTAGGAAAATACCGCACAATAGAAGAGAGCAGCTGCTTAGAAAGTGGCGTGCATAGTCAAAAGTATGAAAGCCAATGAGGTCGCAGTACAAAACTCCTTTGAGAAGATCCGTCCGCACAGGCAAGACCCGATAGATCTCGCTGCTTGGAAATGGGGTGTGCAGGAAGAAGCCGATTTTGATATTCCTCTTGCCAAGAGCCCGCAGCTCCTTGCGAAGAAGCTCAGGCAGAAGCATCAGATGGTAATCATGGACCCAAACCAGGTCTCCATCCTGGGCTTCTTGCGCGATAGTATGCGCAAACAGCGAATTGGTTTCCCTATACGCATCCCAAGCAGCCTCATCAAACACAATTTCGCCGGGATGATAGTGCAGAAGCGGCCATAGAATAGAGTCTGTGGAGGTCAATCGGCTGTCTGAAAATGTACGGTGATTACTTGATTACACACTTGAGAATCCGTTGTAGTGGCGGTCGGCGAGTTTGTCATCGACAAACACTGGAATGGCGCCGTATTCCTCTCGCAGCCTCGACTTGACGATCTCGACTTCGTTTTCAGGCACCTCCAGACCAGGCCAGCCGTACCATTGGAAGGTGGTGGTTTTTGCCAGGCCACTGAGGCCAGTTACCAAGCCGCCCGAGGACATGGAGAACTCATATTTCCCCCCTTCTGAGCGCCGGATTGTAATGGGCAGGCGATTGGATACCAGCAGCAACCGGCCACCTTCACCTTCACCATCACCACCACCACCTGCACCAACCTCGTTCTGCGATGACTTGGCGGGGCACATCATATAGCGCAAAACGGTACAAGCAAGTAAATGGGCAGCGTGGGTGGAAAGATGAAGATGCAGATGAAGATGCAGATGACGATGCAGATGAAGACGAAGCAGGAAGCAGGAAGCAAACAGCATAAAATATAAATTATAAACACATTATGTCATAGTCATATGTTCCTGACGGCGCACAAAGGAAGGAAGAGAAGCCGAGCGTCTGGTTGGTGGGGAGCGACCCACCTATAGCCTTGCGCGACTTCCTTGTTGACTCTATTCTGTGCATACTCTTCTTCTGTTATTCCTTCCTGTTGAGATATTCAACAGCCTCAATTGTCGACAGCTTAAAAAGAAGAAAAGAGAAAAGAACCAATGTGCTGACACGCTAATTGCATGCTGTGCGGGGCATTCATCTCTACCACTTGACTACACATCCAGCGTGGTCTAGAATGGCAATTATATTATATACAACACTGTATTAACACCCATCAGTGGATGTGAATGTGATTGCGTCTGTGAAACAGCATCGTGACGTGAATATTGGATGTGACACTTGGATGATGGTACATCAAGACGTGGCTAATGTATACCAATATATAGCTGGTGCACTATTTCTCTCACCGCTCAAATGAATGGCTGTCACGCAGTTTATATTAAGTAATATCCATTAACATCATTTGATACATACATATTCACTATCTTAGCAAATGTAAAATGTCCAATTCCAATCTATTAATTGCATACGCTATCTTTCAACTTCACGTGTCTGGCTGCTAATTACTAATAATTCTTATAAATCACTGCCCTAACATCACTGTATATGTCTCGCTTTGCGGAAATCCTCTTTACCCTTCCCGGTTAGTATCCTGCCCGATCCAGCAACTGGTCTTTATCTACCTTAACGTATTTCACCAGCAAACAGGCTACCGCAATTGTCATACAAAACTGGCACTTTTGGGCTCTCAATATTTTGCAACTTTTATTAAAAAAGTACGAACTGAAATTGATATATAATATAAAACTTATTTATAATAGATATTAAGTAAAATATCAATTTCAGACTATATTTTCTAATAAAAATTACGAAATATTAAGGGCCCAAAAATACCAGTTTTGTATGACAATTATAGGTGACCCGTTTGCTAGTGAAATACGTCCGGAGATATACATTGGTAATTACTAATATCCGGCAAACGAGCGGGCCATCGGCAACAACATCATGGGTCGCCGGGCGAATCAGCGTGTTGGCCAGTGTCGACGCAGTGTAGTTCGTGCTATACAGCTTATAAATCAACTACATGTGGTTATCTACAGTATATCTAGATGATGAGGAGTATAAATAGGTCTGTCCGCTGTACACTATTCTCCCACCCCGACCCCACCTCCTTGACCCCCCGGAATCGATATCGTTATCGATATAGATATAGACATGTCGACGCTCTTCTCACCCCTCAAACTAGGTCGCCACGAGCTCGCGCACCGCACGGCTCTAGCCCCCCTCACACGCTTCCGCGCCGACGACAACCACGTCCCACTCCCCTTCGTGAAGGAGTACTACGCGCAACGCGGCTCCGTGCCCGGCACTCTGCTCATTACTGAAGCCACCATCATCACGCCCCAGGCCGGCTTGTACCCCAATGTCCCCGGCATCTACACGCCTGCTCAGATCTCCGCGTGGCGCGAGATCACCGACGCCGTCCACGCGCGCGGCTCCTTGATCTACCTGCAGCTCTGGGCCCTGGGCCGCACCGCCTCCCTCGACACGCTCAAGGCTGAGGGCGTGCAGGACCACCTCGTCAGCAGCAGCGCGACGCCGCTAGAAGGTGCTCCGGTGCCGACCCCGCTGACCGAGGAAGGGATACAGGCGTACATCCGCGACTTTGCGCTCGCAGCGAAACGCGCGGTGGACGAGGCGGGGTTTGATGGCGTTGAGGTTCACGGCGCAAATGGGTACTTGATAGACCAGTTCATTCAAGATGTGGTGAATAAGAGGACAGATGGCTGGGGCGGGAGCGTCGAGAAGCGAGGGCGGTTCGCGCTGGAAGTTACCAAGGCAGTGGCCGAAGCCGTCGGGGCAGATAGGACGGCGATACGGCTGAGTCCGTACAACACGTACCAAGAGATGGGCATGGCAGACCCAGTCCCGCAGTTCACTTATATCGTGGGCGAGCTGGCGAAACTGGGGCTGGCGTATTTGCATGTCGTTGGGCCCCGGGTGACGGGCAGCACGACGATTGAGACGACGAAGGATATTGATTGGCTGTTGAAGGCGTATGGGAATGCGTCGCCCGTGGTGCTTTGTGGCGGGTTCTCGGATAAGACAGCGGTGGAGGCGGCGGAAAAATACAAGGGGGAAGGGTTTGATGTGGTAGTTGCGTTTGGGCGGTGGTTTATATCGAATCCCGATCTGCCGTTTAGACTCAAGGAGGGCATTGAGTTTGCGCCGTATGATAGGAGCACGTTTTATCAACCCAAGGTTGTAGAGGGGTATACGGATTATAAGTTTAGTGAGAGATTTGCGCTGAAGGCTGCAGCGTAGGTGGATATGTTTGAATAGACTGCCCATGCATATAGATAGAGAATAAAGTGTACATTTAACAATATGCTCCGAATACGACAATTGTTGACCGTCCACATAATAAACGAAAGCATATCCAACGCCTATCCAACCATGCTGTCCAATACCCCCATAACATAAACTAACATAACTATTCATTTCTCCTTCTCCTTCTCACTCTCTGTTTGTCTCGTACTCTGCGTTTGTATCGACGCTGAATCCTGTGCAATCAACGTCGGCGCAATCCGCCTTTTTTTAGGCGGTTTCTCGAGCTCAGTCACATTTTCACGGACATGTTTCTGTCCAGTGTTGACATTCACGCTAGGTTCTTCTCTTTCAGACTCGCTGGCTGTGCCGATGTCCCGTTTACCTAGCACCGTGCTGCTGAATGAGCTGGTTGCGCTGTGGGAGATACCCGGCATGGGGGTTTGCGGGGGTGTGGTCAGAGGGAGCGGTTGCGATGAGTTTGTTGCTGTGACGAGAGGGACGGAGCTGAGGCTTGGCGTGGGGTTGTTGATTACATTATTGTTGTTGCTGTTGGTTTTCGATTTTGATAGAGAAGGCGTCGGCGTCGGCAATGGCGTGTTATTTGATGACGAGCTTGCTGAGTGAGTGGCATGGTGGGAGGTCGGTACAGGAGGGACATAGGGCTGGCCCAGTTCGTCGGGTGCGAATGAGAGAGTTGAGCAAAAGCCATCCGACGAGCTCATAACCAGCGTTAATCCATCCGACGACCTATCTACGTTAATCACACACAAGAATAGAGTAAGAATAGGATAAGGCGTACCAAGTCAGATCAGTAAAGGTTGCATAATGTAGATTGCTCACCACGCAAAGCGGCGTTTGTTGCTGTGTATCATAAATGAGAACTGCGTCTTGGGTAGCAACTGCATAGACGAGTCGATATGGCAGTGCAAACGCAGCACTTGACGGTGTATCAGTTTCGGTCTTTGGAGAAGAAAGCGGCTTCGACGCATCCGCTGCAGCTGTAGGAGGGGGTTCCATTGACGGATGGCTGGTGACGCTGCCGCCGACGACAGGATCTGGCAACGCCGGAAACGACTCGTCGCCAGAAGACGTGTCGATGGTGAGTTGGTGTGTAGGTCGGGAGCCCTGTCTGAGAGTGTAGAAAATCGGGGAACACCTCACGGCTACAGACGGCTTCTTGTGTCCTGGCAAATGCGCAATCGGGGGTTTACTGAAGCCAGCACGGGTGTAAATATACACTGTGTTCGTAACGTCCTCGCCAGATTTTGTTGGGTCGCTAGTAGACGACTGGGTCGTTTTGTATTGCCCTGCAGGCGTCAATAACAGACTTCCATCCGGCGTAAACGTCAACCGACGGAAAAACGAGGTGAAGGATTCGTTGGCGTAGAGATTTGAATTCCTGACCACTAGGCCCCCGAATAAACTCGGCGATGAAACCTCCATAGGCTTCACTGCAGGTAATGGCAAAGACGGAGCGGGAGAGGCGGATCGACGGATAGAAGGAGATGACCCAAAAGACGAGCGGCGACTGTGGGATACTGGTGGAGGGTCCATCGGCAGGGTCATCGTCTTTGGCGTGCCAGGAGTAGACGGCGACGGCGAGGCAATTGCCATGGCGCTGGGCGGTTGGGGCTTGTTTTCTGGAGCAGGACTACTCGCGGGTATCCTCCTCGCAGGCAGATCCATCTTCAAGAATTTCCCGTGTGTAGTTAAAGAAAACTGGCCATCCTTTGTCTTCAGGCTGTAGATATGAACGGATCGGTCTGAGGACTGTGTAGCGATGAATTCGTTGAGGGGGTCCCAAGCAACGCCTTGAACGTAGTGCGAGTGTTCCGCGATCTGTCGAACCATTTGTCCTGTATTCTATTTTAATATACTTCATACTTCAATCAGAGTTATATCATACCAGTTTGAGCATTGTAAATACGAGCGACGTTATCCATGCTGCCGGTGATTATAAAAACGCCGTCTGGAGACCAGGCCAGGTCATAAATCTCCGCTCCAGATGACCGACACATATGCTTGACTCGCCAACTCTCTTTATCGTCAGCGTGATCCTCTCCCATCGCGGTCATCCCCAACTCCGACGGGCCCGACGGTACCCATAGCAGCACGTTTCCATCGTCTCCTGCAGATGCCAGCATCTCACCTGTATTCGTCAACATCAAAACCCAAGAAAAGGGTAAGAGTGTGTACCTTTCGGCGAGAATCGAACCACATTCACAGCCTGCGTATGCTTCACCATCGTACTCAAATACGTGATCTTGCGCTCCTCCCCCGACCCCTCGACTTTCCAAAGCTGTTCGTGTTAGAATAGTAGAATCGGACGCGAGCGAGGTGTAGGAGAGCATACTCGAACATTATTGTCACTGCCAACAATCATCGTCAGTATGCCATACCACAAGCAAAACATTCAGAAATCGGACGAGGGATTAGACGCACTTTCCGGCAGTCGCCAATCGACCCTTGCCATGTGGATCAAAGTGTACTGAGTAAATGGGGGCGTTGTCGTTGTGCCAGGCGATCAACAGTGGCGTAGCTTTCATGGTGAGCTACAGCCTATCGGTACAGTGCTCCGCAGAGCACTGCTGTGTGCAATGTTCTGTCAATTCAAACGTCGAGCAATGGCAGACGCATTAATAATATTCAACGATCATTGATGGCGAGACAGCAGTGATGAGAGAGCACAGGAGGTGGGAGGTTGAGGTAGGAGGTTGGAGGTTGAGGAGAATAATTGTTAGGTGGAACAGAGCAGCCGACGGGAGCAGAATATCACCAAATAAGTGTATGTTCAACCATACTACTATTTGGTTGTTGGCAGGCTCTCCACAGTCCACACCAAGAAAATGAAAGGATGCCAATAAGGGTGAATTAATTATCGAATAAGAATTGCAGACGAGGCCCTATCGTCGCATGTGGCACGCTCGGACAACCGTACACACAAGAAAGTAGTAACCTAAAGTTCAGCCGTTCGCGTTGTTCTCTAGTATTAAGGACGGCGTCGCGTCGCTCCACTTAGTCCTCTGCTTACTGGTAGCCCTAGTCTCTTGACTGGTTACCCGCATTATTAATATTCACGCTTGACTGGACACTAGAGTCTGGGTTAAATGGCAGGCCTTATCAGTGCAGGATGATTATTAAATTAGGTAGTTATGTGACACCGACTGTCACAACAGTAGTCTGCTCAGTCTTACTTCTCCATACATGCATACTCATTGCCATGATCAAATATAATATATTAATACACGATATTAAAACAATTTCACTCATCAACCGTAATGTTCAAATGTTTAATATTTACATTGAGATAATCGATAATCACGTAATCCACTTCCCAATTGTCTCGCCAAACCAGCTCTTGGCCTTCTCCTGCCTCTTATTCCGCGCCTCCTGCTGCATCTGCAGATACGGCGAGGCCTCGTCGACATACATCCTTTTCTGCTGAAGATCCGCATTGATCGACCGAATCTCAAGTTCGCGTTCGTGCGGCGTGAGGCCTTTGAGTGAGTTCGGCGGTGTGAAGCCCGCAGGCAGCTGCTCGCCGCCCGGTGTGATATTATCATCCTGGCTCATTGGAACTGGCGTCGATGTCGGGCTGAACAGAGACGTAATCGGCGGTGGCTCGTCGCCTGCGGCCCGCGCCTCGGCTACGCGCCGCTCGTAGTCGAGCATCTGGTGATAGAGCTTGTCGGCGTGCATCTGAATGCGCTCTTCTTTCTCCGCATCCCACTCCATTGCCGCCGCGTATCCGAGCGCCTGCAGGAATTTCTACAGCAGTTAGCTCATACAGCCTCATACAAAGAAGAAAAAAGAAATAGAGAGGGCATACAGCCTGCGTCGTAAAACAGCGCGAAAACTTCCGATTCTCGTCCGCACACATCGTCGCCCGCGCCTTCGCCATACTCCACCAATCCCCCTTCTGAAAACAGGTCGATAGGGCCTCGTGCTCCAGCGCGCAGTTCTCCATGGCCGCGTCCTGCACGGCGTCCTTGCGGGCCTTGAATTTCTCGATTACGCGCTCTGCTGCGGCTTGCGAGTGTGTTGACTCGGTTTCGGCGAGGGGCTTGTATGTTTTCCAGAGGTGGGCGTAGCGGCCGTCGGGGAATAGAGAGGGTACAGACGTAGGAGAAGAGGAGGCATTATTTGAGGATGGGTTGGTGGTGGTAGTGCTGGCGCTGTCTGGGAGGGTGTATGGCGCTGGCGTTTCTTGCCTCAGGTACTCTTGCAGTTCCGGGTCGAGGTTCTTGGTTGGGTCGGGCGTGGAGCCCCAAAACCAGCCCATGTTAGAATATCAATATGAGTTGCTCAGTAGAGAAATGTAGTGGAGTGTAGAATTAAAGTGAGTTTGTGTGTTGTATCTCTGAGATCGTCATAATGCGGAGAACGAATTGCAGCGCCAAGCCCGCCTAGCGCCTTCTGTCTCTGTATTAGTCCGCGTTGATATACAACATATACATACATACACGCGCTTTCCCAGCGCGACACTCAACCTCCACCCTCCCCCCGGAGCCTGGAGTTAAAGCCTATGACAATGGAATCAAGTACGTCCTGTACATCCGAATCCCCAATGAAATCTAACCAAACTCTCGCTAATACATACCAGCCCGCGAGGAGCGGCTGCAAATGCGCCAGCGCGGCGCCGGGTACGCACCAGCCATTACACTCATTAAAGAAACGCCGTCTAATTGTTTCGTGACAGGACTCGCAAAATCCAAGAAGTCGATTTTGGATTCTCGTTCGGATCGCCGGTGGCCACTGCGACTGCGGGGAGTATTAATCAGGTGCTTGCTGACGGGCCTGCTGCGAGGACGACGACGCGAAGTCCGAGAGCGAGAACAAGTGTGAATGCTGCAGCATCAGATGACCTGGAGCAGAGGAGTAGTAAGCGCAGGAAAATTGGTTGGTATGGATTCTCTTGTTTTGGGCTTTGTTGACGGCTTTTAGAACAGGGGAATGGCGATGCGGTTGTCTCACCTACGCCGGGGTCTGCACGTGTAACAAGACGGTCACCACCTACGAGGGGGTCGAAGCAGGATCAGACTGAGGCCGAGGGGCCTTCTAATGATCAGAATGTAGATACAAATACGACCACTGATCCTGTGCAGGGTGGGGAATCTACAGAGCGGGAAACAACTTTGCGGCCTGCTCAAACGAGTACTGAAACGAGTCCGAGAAGCAATCGCGGAAGACGCAAATCGGGGACAGATCGTTCTACAGAAGTGCAAGAGAATAGTGCTCAGGATAGCGCTACAGCTGAGTCGAAGTTACAGGCGGCGGATAGAAATGGAGAGTACACAGATACTAGCGCGATGTCGAGGTCGAGAAGACAAAGGACGAAGAACACACAATCTGCCGAAACTGGCGATCGAGGAAAAAGAGGCAGCGCACAATCCAGCACAGAGCAGCCAGATTCTGTGGGAAATGCCAAAGACACAGTCCAAGATCGTCCTAGAAGAAAAGGCAAAGCAGCGGCTACAGAAGTCGTGGCTGATACTGGTCCTGAGAGTGTTATATCAGAATCTCGTTCTAAGAGGCAGAAGCGAAAAGAGAAAGAGATGGAGCCAGAACAAGTTCAGAACGAACCTGATCGTAATACCGAGCGCTCCCGAAGGCGGTCTTTGCGAAATACCAGTCCTAGGCAAGACGAGACCGAATTGCAAGCTTCGAAACGACGCAAAGGCAAACAAAAAGCATCAGAACCAGAACCAGAACCAGTCAGAGAGCCAGAGCCAGAGCCAGTGGAAGAGGAAGAGGAAGCACCCAGCCAGAAACAGAAAACCAAAAGAAAACATCGCGAATCGCGAAGCCCAGCCGAGGCACCTCGACGCAGGGGCCGTCCATCCCTTGACAAGGACATATCTAATAAGGACGCGGGTAAGGTCGCAGCAGAACCTATCACTCACCCTCCACCTTCATCTACTGGATCAGAACGCCCAGCGAAGCGCCGCCGCGGAAGGCCATCTACAGACGCCGAGCAGCGTCGACAGACGAACCCAGAAGAGAAACGGCGTGAAGGGACGGTCGCAATCACCGTACACCGTCTCGCCAACACCAGCGCGCTCGGTGACGCATCGTCCGACTCATCCGACTCATCCTCTGACGAGCTCGACACCCGCAAGACCTTCCCCAGCCGCTCCGGCGTCAATCCAGCCGACGTGTTGTCTCAGATCTGCCAGGAGATACTCGACAAACACGTTACCGGCCTCAGCAACAGCATCGCCAATGAATCCAATCAATCAAAGCGGTCCGAGGCCGTCCGTCAGCACAAGGCCGTCGAGGCGTATCGCAGCCAGTTAGAAGGACGGCTCTTCGAGCTCAGCGAGCTGCTCGAGAGTAACTTTGCGATTGGCGTGAAGCTGAAACGTGCGAAGAGGGAGACAATGGACATGCGCAACCGCTTGCTCGAGGTGCGACGACAACGGCAGGAGATTGCTCTACGCATGGACGCGGTGAGGCTAAAACATGGCGAAGAGGAGGATGCAAAAATGGTATTTTCTCTCCTCTCTTCCATACCTGTTTTTATCTCCTTGAAGTAGATAGAAGTAGATAGCTAGCTAACTCTGATAGTCCCGCAACGCGATCAACAATTCACTACACAATCTCGAGCTCACGCTCGACCGGAACCGCGTGCCCGCAAAGACCGACACCGCGAGCGCAGTGGCCGGGCTGGAGTTTACGTTAAGGACGGTGTCGGAAAACGTCAGTTCTGCTGCTGAAGGCGCGCAGGGGGGATTGCTCAGCCAAGTACGAGCATTCAACGCGCAGTTAGAGATGGCTGCCAGGAAGCTCTCTTAACTACCTGTACGTCTACATATGTACGCTAAATGTACTAAGTAAATACTATTATTTATTAAGCTATTAAGATCACTTACCTAAATAATTACCTACATAAAAAAGTGATGTGCGGCGCTAACTTGCTCGGCACGGTACCGCTTTATGCGCAGCAGGCTCAGGGATCGCGCACTGAACAGCACCCCGGGGAGCGGGGCGCTCAGTGAGCGATCCCTGAGCATGCTCAGCCCGGGATGGGCGCCCTGGAGCCGCTCACTGAGCACCCCGAGTGCTCAGTGATCGCGCTGAGCAGGCCCTACCACTGCCCTCTGAAATTCCTATGGCAACCCGGCGAACGCTTGCGGACCCAACGTGTATTCATGGTCCCTGAATGGGCCTGTTTGGATGACCCGGCTTCATTGTCAAAGTTTATTTCGATAACATGTCCTGATTGCGACGTGCTGAACAGGCGATTTCGGTAGCCTGGTTGGGGTCGCTTACTGAACACGACTTGTCACCACCGTCCCCTCGAATCTAGTCTCTTGCTGCTTGTCGGTCGCATGCTGCGAAACTGGCAGTCTTTATTCGTGACGCTTTGTAACGCGAACAACCATTGAATGTCCGCAAGTGAGTCCTTAGCTTCCACCTTCCGTATCACCCCTCGTCTGGCGACAGATCTCCTCTCCCTCATGTGCTGGACTCCGAGAGTTGATGAGAAGTCGCTGTACCAAAATCTCTGGTATGTGCTCCCGGGTCCTACGGCTCCACATCAATATGATGGGGTAGACGGAAGAAACTGGCACGATTGAAAATCCTGGCTCTGCATTCAGCAGATACTATTCCTGAGTTAAAGGACTCTGTTCGTGACCCGCCCCAACTCCGTTTTCTTCGCTTTGCTATGCTAACCCCTCGCGGCTGATTTCGATGCTAACGGGGTTCCCGGTGAGAAGATTCCGATGTCACCGCTTGCTATAGGAAGACCACTTTGCGTGGCGTTTTGAGGTGAGGGGCTAGGAGCATCGTCTTCCAAGATCGCTCTATCGAGAGCGTCTTTCCCTGTGCCGGCTCTTAGGAGCCGATGAATGCAGACTTTGGTACTGCAGACGTGACTACGCACTACCCATGACCAAGCACAAAGGGTACGCTCAAATGATCTATATTGATTCTTGGGCTAACTCTAAGCTCCCTCTGCTGTCCTAGAGTCATGGCGTCTAAAAAATTCCGCTCTCCTCGACGGTATGTCTGCGATGTTATTTGCAGCGCTTTTTGCAATCCTTTCATTCGCTATTGGCGATTCACTCAATTGCTAGCTTCGTTGAATATTGGGCGTAAATTCTGAACTAGATCGCTAGATAAGAGGCTTCTCACTCTTGAGATCGCTGTTCCTGTGGAAGTTTCCCTCTTTTATTTCATCGAGAAACGAGTTATTGCTTTATTGTCACAACGTTTGAACCATGTAAATTCCAATGTGAATGTGAATTTAATGTGATGCGGGAAGATAAATAAGAGGGAGCCCTGATGATACTTTGTGCATGAAGCGCGGACAACTGATCTGGATTGCAGAAGTTTCTTTTGGACCTATCTGTTCACCGAATTCCATTTCCTATTTTGAAGCCATACCGATATCAGGGGTGCAGCATCTATAGCGATGTGATATATTGTATGTCCTAGGATGAGTGCTGCATAGTTAGACTTGTTCTAGCTTTCGACCTCGCGCATGCTATCATTGTCAATTTGATGTTGACTCTTGTAGCCATTTAAATTATTACGGTCCTGTGGTTTATCTAGAAATCAAGTATTTTTGCTTCGAGCTTCAATTATTCAAAATTTTTATTTCCGCAGAGAGCGATCAGAAGTTTCAAGTATCAAAGGGCTTGGAACAGTATTAGATACTGTATAGATACTTTGAGAACTTGAAGGGTCAAATGCTTAATGCCTGGTATCTCTCTCGGCGGGAGCAATTAAAGTAAATTGATCGAGTAGTTAATTGGAAGGGAATGCATCATCTTCGTCCCCCTCGGTACAATTAAACATGCTTTTTCTTAGGACTCCTGCTATTCACCAAATGACGGCTGCATGGACTTGACTGGACCACAATTAGGCGGGTCTGTCTTGATCGCCGTAGTCAAAGAACATTGTCAAATATCCCTTCATCCATGTCAATTTCCCAGATGTACTGAGCCTGGAGATATGTTAACTGACTTGAAACGAAAGATAACTCATGGCACTGCACAATGTATGCATATAGGCACAGCTTGGGAATTCTAAGTTGATAGAATGCTCAGCTCTTTTATTTTGTGCCTATTAGAGGCATGGAGACACACAAGGGACTGGTTGAGAGGCTTAATTTAATCATTAGCTTAGATATGATGGTATGAGTTATAGGTAGGATAGCAGGGGAAACTTATTCCCAGTTGCTGGTGCTAGAGAATACAAGCTGTCCGTCACCGGTTCACTTATTTAAGCCGTTCTCGCACATAGTTTGCTTAGCACATAAGGCCCCATAGCATGTGATTTCATCTAGCATATGTCTAGCTAGGGCATATTCTAGATGAAATCACATTTCTCCTGCAAGCTTGCGCTAGCCATCACCACCAGGGCAGCAGCCGTCACATGCAGTGAGACACAATTTTTCTATCCAAACAAGATACAGCCATACTTGAGCACCCGGGCCTGTTTCGCATACAGACGTGAAATGTCCTACGTATATTCTCCGCCTTCAAATGGTACTCAGATGTCAACGGGCCGCCGTGGACTGTGGCGAGGGAAGTCAATGTCTTTGATTCGATTTTTCATCGATTTCGGTATTAAGAACAGTGGATTCACTCCATCCATGGTCGCTGCATTAGGACTACTGGTCGGGGTGACTACTTGTTTCTTGAGTTGTAGCCCGGCTTTTCCCTGCAGGTTTCCTAACTCCCGTCCCCTGAAACCGCTTTTTTAGCCGAGCCTCACGATTACGTGACTTGGATGATGCGGGCTCGAGTTCAACAGGATGGTTTGGTTCGCTCTAGCCGTCGGCCACATCCTGCACATAAGAGTCGAGTAGTGAGCTATCAAACGCATAACGATCCGGCCTTCGAGATCACTGATCCCACCATGATGGCGGACGATTTGAGTGGTCAAGAGTTCGATGACCGATCAGATGTCAATTTGAGTCCGACGTATTGGGCCAATACTTTGATTTTGACGCTGCATCATAGTGCGCGGAGCCAATGCAATGTAAGAATAATAACGATAATACTTGATAAGAGTTTTCTTATCACAAGGGTCATAACGTCATATATTTATTAGTGGATGGATTAAAATCTATCAACTGAAACTAGTCCTCCAACGGATCATGGACATGGGTATGTATGTCAAAAGTCTTTGCCTCGTGGTCAAGCGCCCATTCCTTGATTGCGTCGAAGTCACGACAGGTATGTAGGGTGGTTAAAAGACCTCTTGCGTTATTTGTCTCCTCGTACCACTTCCAAGTAATGGGCGAGATATCCGATGAGCACATGAAGCTCTGTCGCATGGAGTCAATACAATGATCGATATGGCCCATATCCATCATGGTAGTCTCATTAACGCCAAGATCTTGATGTCCTTCACCAGCCCAGATTTTGAGTCGGATCATGTTCTAGATAGTTCATAAGATTGTCAGTGCCCTCTGTGTGAATATACATGTACCCGTCTCGTCGCAGACCGCCAAACTGCGAGAAGACGGGTATACATTGACGAAGGCTACTGACCAAACAGTGGAGTTGGTGGAATACGTCGAGTTGTATAACATATTCTCCTGGGTATTCGGGAATAGGCACGGTTTTGTTCACCAGTTTTGCCGCTTCGCTCATAGGGATCCTGCTTATGCCAACTAATCTGTTAATACAAATCGTTTTAATCACCTGAGATACTTACAGGAGTAAAGGTCCTCCCAGGCTGCTAGATTCTCTGGAGTAGGAGGTCCCTGGTATTTAGTCAAGTCTGGACTGATGCTGCGCGTGAAGGCGAGGTTCTTGTATCTGATTGCCTTTTCGGCGGGTGCTTAGAGAGCATTAGGCAAATACTCAAGATAATAATAGTGAGTTAATACTAACAATAGACATGATCTAGTACTGTTCCATCTATACTTTTATACGGACAATCTTGCACTGTTTGACCTTTCCAAAGAACTCCGATGGCCACCAGGAGTGCAGCCAAGAGAGCCCATTGCGCGACAATTAGTCGCTGCTGCCTCCGATAACTCAATCCCAGCGCTGAGTTCGTGTATGAGTCTGATGAGGACTCATCGCCTTGCAGAAAGCCTTCTTCCTCAGGCTTTTGTGAAACGCGTTGGTAGGTATCTGAAGGCATTCTGTGACATGGCAGAAAGGAAGGTTGAATGAAGAAAGATAAACCTGTTACCAGGCTCATGCGGCAGGAAGGCAAAAGTTACTGCCATATTTAGTCTAACCAAATCGAATAATGAATTCTAAACTACCATTTTAACCGGCCATTAATATTAATCCGTGCTATTGTTAGAGTGGAGATCCATTGGTGATATCGCGCCATATTAATTTCTACGCTTGTAATTGTTATCGGTATGGTGAAATGGAGACACAAATAACACCATAAGGCGAACAAACAATCCGCTCAAGCATTAGATAAAATGCTATGTATAATACGTCAATTCGAGAATCCAGACAAACTCCGTACTAACTCCTGAGCACCATATGTAAGCATTGAGGTAATCGGAACGAGGAACGCAAAACCATGCTACAAGCAAGTGGCGTTCAGCCGGACCTGTACAAAAAATGGCACATCTTGTATAATTACTTATCGTGCCATATAAGGTAAGAGGATGCGAGGGTGGATCCTCGAGAAGGTGCCTATATCTTGACTAACAACGTGGAATACATGAATTAGTCCTAAACTCCTAGGTAGTCTGTATGCCGTGTGCTATGTGCTAATAAGTATACAGAGCAGTCTTTTTCATATATAAGCATCGTCAGTCAACAGGACAGTTACCGACGGCTGATCAACCAGCAATGCTCAAAACCTTATTAGGAAGGTCGTAGAAAGGCTCGAAGAGTCGAATGGAATAACAACGAATGAAAAAATAAATTAAAAAAGCCTGTCGCGTGTAGATAAGGCGGGGTAGCCAACTAAGCATTTTTCCAATTGCCTATCATTTACTAGCTCACCAACAATTTGCAAGCCACCAACGCACTAAGATCACCAACCAACAAGCTTATCAGTGTGTAGTACGAGGGCTGAGGAAATGCGTCGAGCCGTTCCTGCATCCGCGTTACGACTAACAGAAGCGTTATTTAATTCAGTGCAGCTGTGCATGGATGGCGATGTCTTGCCTTATTGATAGATAAAAAGGGACACGATGGACGATGAACGAAGATTCAGAAAATAATGATGTGACGGGACTTGATGACTGTCAACCGGGAGATCGAGATGTTTCGATGTTGTAACAATGCGCCTTATTTTCGTGATCCCTAGTTGGAACAGTTTTCGCTCTGTAGCAGGAGGCTCCTGGGTTTTATAAAGTTTGTTTAATTAACTCTATACAATATGATGGGATTTCTAACAAAGTTAGTGGCTTGGCCAGGGATATTACCTATTTAATTGGTCATATACGAAGTAAGTAAATCGTTTGTTATTATAATGTATTGCCATAGACCCCTGTAAAGGCATTGAAATGAAAAAAATTGCGATGTTGGAAATTCTGGCTAAGCAACTCCGTATTGTTGTGATGGGCGCTTCAAGCCGCGAACGTCGGAGTCAACTAAAAATAGTAACCTCTTCATGCAATATCCCTCTTTGAGGTAGTTCTAACAATCGCAGAACAGACTGGGAGGATTTTGACTGGCGGGATATACCACAGAAGGTCTTAACTCTCACTATCCACAAGAGGCAACCTTCATAATTAACGCATAACTAAGAGTTTTAGGCTACCAACAGTTTGTTGGCATGTTATTAATAAAGGATCCGATAATGGTTGATACATGCAGATACCGAGCTCGTACTATCTTGTTTATAAATTTCGATATGGCGCGATGTCACCTCCATATCCACCATAAAAAGATAGCTCGATAGGCTCAAGCTCTTCCACCTTATGAATTCTGCCACCAACCTCTACGGGGTACGTAGGTGGGAGTGGGCTTCCAACTGACCAATGCTTTCTTCAGAGAATCCTGCCAAAGGTGGGACACAAACACGAGAAGCAATCAGTCTAGATGACATAGTTATGTATAAATACAGGCTCCATGTCTGAATCGGATACACCGAACCAAGTGTCATATTCTGGCTTCCTTTGGATTATTTTTGATTACACTTTTCATCATGAAATCCACCCTCGCTGCTGCCTTTCTTCTGGCTGCGACATCGCTCGCTGCCCCCGTTGTAAGCACTATTTATTTCGGATTTTATCAATTGACTTGCTGAACATGAATGAATATAGGACAAGCGTGATGTCGACCTAGTTGACGTGTCTACTCCCGACGGCTGGGGATATAAGCGCGGTGCTGAGAAGCGTGACGTCGACTTAGTTGACGTGTCCACTCCGGATGGCTGGGGCTACAAGCGTGACGCCGAGAAACGCGACGTCGATCTCGTCGATGTGGCTACTACTGAGGGTTGGGCTTATAAGCGTGATGTCGATCTTGTCGATGTCGCTACTGCCGAAGGCTGGGGATACAAGCGCGATGCTGAGAAGCGTGACGTCGATCTTATCGATGTAGCCACGACTGAGGGTTGGGCTTATAAGCGTGATGTCGATCTTGTCGATGTCGCTACTGCCGAAGGCTGGGGATACAAGCGCGATGCTGAGAAGCGTGACGTCGATCTTGTCGATGTAGCCACGACTGAGGGTTGGGCTTATAAGCGAGATGCTGAGAAGCGTGATGTTGACCTGGTTGATGTTGCTACCACCGAGGGCTGGGGATACAAGCGTGATGCCGAGAAGCGCGATGTCGACTTAGTCGACGTGTCCACTCCCGACGGCTGGGGCTATAAGCAGTAGGGATGCCATGCAAATCTGGCTTGGGAGTATAACCTCTAGGAGTGATAATGCATGGATTCAGTTAGTTCCTCTTAGTTAAGTACTTGACCAAAATAGCAGTATGTGTTGGATAATGACAATATTCATGTATCCTTTGGAAAGGCTTGAAGAAATAATCAAGAAAATAATCTTATTTGATCTATTTTGGAACAATGTCAATAGCCGTGGGCGTAGAATGGGATATTAAGGTCAAATATAGCGGCTCCGAGGCGTGCTCTCCCAACCTCAGGATGCAAGAAAAGACTATTTCTATTGATGAAATCTATGACCAGAATGATTAAGAGTACAGGCTAACCATGCGGACTATTCGGACTTTAAGAGATATCCACTCTATCTCGCTTACCTTATTGAGCAGCCGCCTTTGATCATAGCACCTTGAATCTCTCCTTCCTTGAACTACCTCGCCATCTCTTCAAACGTCACCCATTCAACGCCTTCGTGGGAGCTAATGTGTTCAATGAGCTTTTCGTGCAAAAGTTGAACCTGGGGTCTACCCGACACTTGCGGGTGGATGCTGATTGGGAAGATAAAAGGGTCGTATTCGCGGCAGTAGAAATCAAACTGAGATTTCCAGTTCCGCAGGACGACGGAATCCAGTACCAGGTCTTCCGGAGTTGAGTGGAGGCCAGTCATCCAAGTGCCAGTTGGCCGAAATTTCGACAATGCCAGGTGGCTGAAGCTTCGACATGGGCGTCATCCAAGACTCTGCTGGTTTGCTGACGTTTGTTTCGATATTCGTTGGGGCATTGGGTAGATAGTAGGGCTGACAATCATGATGCATAAATGAGTGGTCATAAATAAGGTCGTGCTCCTCCAGAAGTCGGACTGTGTTGCCAGATGTTGCCCATGCTGGTGCAGTCCATCCACGGGGCCGTTTACCGCTCATTTTGGTGATAACCTCTATGCTCTTGGCAAGCACGGCTCGTTCTTGTTCTTCGGAAAGTTCGGACACGAATTCCTGGGTATATCCATGCAGACCGCCGCAAAATTGTAAGCACGGTCATTTTCGAGCTGAAGAGACATCAGTACTTACATCTCATGACCGTTGTTTACAATATCCGCGAAAATTTTGGCAGGGAGAATGCTCGAGACTGGCACCTGGCTTCGGTTTAGTCCTGATCAACTCTGGGATAATTTGAAAGAAAACTTGCTGTTTCTCGATGAATTCTGGTAGCATAGTCCGACTACATGAAAATATCAGAGTCTATAATACTAGAATTGGGAATTGCTAACACTATATCCACTGCCCCCTACATTCACCGCCGGTTATTCTGAAGATAACCATCCGATAGAAGGATTGGACAAAGGCTAACCCTATAAAAGACATGTCTGTACCAAAAACCCCCTATCAGAAGAACTGGCTTCCTACCGTGCAGTCTGCTACTGTTCCCAGAGACGGATGTACACGCTCGAGCAGCAGTAAATGACCCGATTGCAACCCGATTGCAACAGATTCCACTCTCACACTCTGAATGTGTGCGTATCTACAATGTTCCATTGCCTACCAGAAGCCATTGCATGGTCACGCAAGAAACAGGGCACCGTCCCACCGTCCGAAATACAAGCTTGAGCCAATTGGCCCACGCAGCACAAAGGACATGCGGTCTTGAAAAGGGGCTGTAAACGAAATATTCAATACTAGGGTGTTGTGAATTACCATGAACTGCTGGGTATTATACCGCCTTAACATGACTAGTACGTAGTTTCTTAAAACCCCTCTCGTTACAATTGTTAAATTTCAATCGTACGGAGTGGAGATTACAATTAGGCGTGTGGGGACGCGGGAATAATGCATTATTGCATCAAACGTTGCTTCTGAACTTCGTATAGCCGCACTTGATACTGTCTGCCATTTCCTTCGATGCACCGTATCCAGACTATCGAACAGTCAAAAAGCAGCAAGAACTACGCCTCAATTTTTTAAAATATTCGCCACCAAGCCCGGCGGTATCAGGGACATCATAATAATATTGTGGTGGCAAGAAATGTCAGCTAAAAACATTGCATTCGGCGTCTGGTGCATTTTCGCGGACATCTCCTTTTGCATTCATTAAGTTAGTGGTTTACCAACTCCACAAGAAATGATCAGGGGCTCGACCCGAGTGAGTTAGCCCCAAAATAACCAACCTAGAGAATCTAAATTAATTTCAGCCGTATATCTCGATACCTTGTTTTTAAATTACATAATTACAGAGACACAAAAGCTGTAATTTCAATTATGACAATTACAAATGCTTGTTTGGAAAATGTGCCTAACTGTTACACATATAAGGACATTAGTGACTTTTAGTCAATCTGCGAATTTAGACCTTTATCAATGCCGTCTTCGCTAGGCGTCCTACTATACGCCGTCAGTGCCCGCCCTCGCAGTTCATGATGTGGACGCGACCGATCCTGAGTCTCCTTTGGGCTGCGACAGAAATATTCTTGGCACTAGCTGACGTTGAACCATATTATGCATCCGAAGATTATGAACAGGGTAGTTTCGGGGAATGGCCTCAACAGTCATACAAATCCTCATCAGTGATAGGGCCTGTGTTGAATTATCATCGAAGTGAGAAATGCAATGGAGATGGGAAGTATATCATGATTACGCCGCGGGGGAATAGCGTGCCTACATGGGGCCCCATGATCCTCGATGGACACGGAAATCTGGTCTGGACGAAACGATATGGCCCAACGTTTGGCCTGAACGTTCAGAAGTACAGAGGAGAGAACTATCTCACATTCTGGGTGGGGGATGATCAGGCCGGTCACGGTAGTGGCAACTATTACATGGTAGTATATTCCTGTATTAGTTCTAAGGGTTTATCTAATATTGTATAGTTGGATTCCGCGTATCAGGAGGCGTACAAAATTAGTGCTGGCAACGGGAGAGCTGCCGACCTCCATGATTTTATCATTACCAGTGAAGGAACGGCAGTGTTAACCCTGTATGATGTGTTGCCAAACATTGATCTCTCTTCGGTTGGTGGGCCGGAGAGAGGATATCTGTTGGACTGCGGATTTCAAGAAATTGATATCGAAACTGGCCAAGTGATTTTCGAATGGTGGGCATCAACCTATTTTAGTTATGACGAGGCATATCGAGGTGTCGAAGGCCAAGGTCAAGAAGAGAAGACAGCGTGGGATTTTTTCCACATCAACAGTGTCGACAAAGACTCAGTTGGCAATTATCTAATTTCTTCAAGATATATGCACTGTCTTGCATATATAAATGGTAAATCCGGAGATATTATATGGAAGCTTGGTGGGAAGCATAATATGTTTCTCGACATGGTTGGAGGTGCCACGAACATTAGCTGGCAGCATGATGCACACTTTCATAATAATGGTAAATCTATAACGCTCTTCGATAATGCCTCCCGTGGTATCGATGGATTCTCACCTGCCCCAGATGATCCTCCCAGTCGTGGGTTGTATCTTGATCTGGAAACGGAGAATCTGACTGCGAAAGTACGGCATACTTACTGGAACCCCCGAGGAATTACGAGCATCTCACAAGGATCCCTTCAAATTCTTGACGGAGATGATCGCGTGATAGTTGGTTACGGCATCACTCCTGCTTGGACTGAATACACGATTGATGGAGAGGTCCTGTGTGATGTACACTTTGGCACCGAGTTAGGCGTTCCTACCCGAAATGCTATTTCCTATCGCACCTCTAAATATGCCTGGGTCGGACGACCTGAAACGACCCCGGATATGGCGATTGATGGGAACCAGGTATATGTTAGTTGGAATGGTGCAACAGAAGTTGCAACATGGATCATTGAAGGAACTAGGTCTACGAGTGAAAATTGTCGTGGGGTTTGTCGGGAGAATTATCATATTTTAAGCTCTCGGCCAAAGACCGGATTTGAAACCGTCATTGAAATCCCCGATCATAGTTCTTATCGGTTCCTTCGTGCGCGTGGCCTTGATAGGACTGGGTATCTGCTAGGCTTCACAGAGACCATTGAATTGGGAAACACTACTGAATCCAGGCAGATTGCGAGTTACCTGCGTAATCCGACTGATTGGCTCTTATTTTCTATAGCACCAGCTATCGTGTCTATAACTCTTCTGGCGGTGACAGCAACTTTTATAATAAGAAAGAAAACGAGCCAAAATGGTCGACCTTGGGAGAATGAAGAAATCGAAATAATCGGGTTGTTAAAGGCTGAACGTTCACTTGAATGACTGGTGATGTTAATTCGACTTGTAATATACGTAGCATGAAATTATATACGCAAACTTATATTTACAGAAAAGTTTGACACATTTTCGATATAGACTTAGATATTATTCTTCCAGTCTCGGTATCACGCATCTATCAAACCATCCCATCGTCGCAATGTCTAAAATTATCTTTGAATGATTTTGAGACTTCCGCATAGCATGCGTATGTTCCGCAGCGTAGTCTCTTAATGCGTCCCCGTCTCTACACTTGTGATGCTCACCATAGCCTACATAAGTATCCCCAAATGTATACAGAGTAGAATCTGCATTTCTCATTGGTACCTATAACTAAATGGTATGTTAGTGTAATAGGAAAGCTATGGATCGAGCAACTCGTCTAACACGTAATACTACAAAAACGTACTTGTAAGAGCTCATCAAAGCAATGTACAATATGGGCCCAGGTGGATTCGCTTTTTTTGCTCAAATCCACACCAGATATACCTTTGCCAAATACTTCCTGAGAACCTCTTGCTTTTCTTATTACAGGTTTGACTCCCTACGGCGTATTCCACCCTTTGAACTCCTCTCTATAGTGATGCAAACGCCTTGCTCCCTGCATATCACATAGAAATTACTATCAGACAATACGCAATCAGCTCTTATCAGACGGGGTATAGAAAAATTTACACCATATGGACTTAGCTATTTCAATACTGAATTACAGAAGTTAACGCTGGTTAGATCATCCGTATTCACAATACGCCGTACTATAAGTTACATACGTTTCATTACGCATGGCGCCACAGATCAGAGTTGAAGATCTCGCGTAAATACGGTATAAGGTTATACTAAACATAGTCCTATAACAGCTCTAACTAAAACCGCGCGTTATCTCCCGGCCTTAGGCTTACAGTACTATAGCGAGCGAAACTTAGTGCGGCAACCTTAATTGATGCTTCATTGGACCACGATGTTCTCATTTAAGTTCAAATTACATGACTCGACAGACTTCGTACACTACGATTTATTGTTTTGGAAATGGCAATCGTCATCGAAATGAGCGGAGACGATTGGCTGCACGATTTATCCTTCTGCAAAATGGGATTCGCTAATCGATTATTTGCCGCTTTATTTGGGGGCATTTTCACTTCCCAGCTCGTTGTATATCATGTCGTCCATCCAAGCAGTCATTAATAATTGCTATTAAGCCCCTTATATCATGATGCATACTTTCATTGCGAAATCCCGAGGCCCGAGGTATGATGTCTTACAGGAATGCTAACTGTATGTTTATGGGTGAGCTGATTTGCAGTAAAAAAGGGGGCGGTGTAGGTAGCACTCTAGGTTTGCTCCTCTACATCTTTCGCGACAATATATGCCTATGTAGCTTACGACTGTACTCACTTTCATCTCTATAGACAGATATACGTAGATATTTAATTATAGATCAGAAGCTGAATTGATAGTCTTCAGAAAATATAACGAGAATGAACATTACTCAGGAGGGTCGCTTATAACGAAGTCATTCATTCATTCATTCTCACCTAGCTGATATACACGTATACCGTCTAATTATTTGGAATTTATTTCCTCTAGGAGAATATTCACGCCTTAGTCTGTACTACATATATTATTCAGATCGTTTAAACCCTCATTCTCACTTTGCATTTGTCAATCTAACTTGGTAAGACAGTACGTGAAGATCTCCTACATACTTGGTTAGATATATCACTAGCAGGCCTCATAGCGTATGTGCTGACTGAATAATTATGCACTTGGTTTATTGTGACACTGAATAAAAACATATATTACGGCGACCACCAGTACGACTGTAGCAACCATTGAAAGAATAGACATAAGGACAACGAGGAGTTTGTGTTGGGTGAGAATTTAGTATAGAAACACTGCATATCATACCTTGATAGATAAATGGATTATCTCATAAGTTCAGCTTGCTATAGCCTTTAGATAGAATAGGTAATATATCCGTCCACTTCTTAGTAAAGATACGTGTATCTAACTATTGTGGATAGCGACCTTATGGAACTTAAGCCTCAACCCTTCGATATAGCCATGACAAGATTAACTTGGCCCCGATAATGCAGTGAACCTCAAAATGCCTCATATACGAGCCGCCTCTGCTAAAATCTGACTTTCACAAAATCTATTGCCGTCTCTGCATTGACGTACTTCAAGTCATCTGAGCATCATGCGATTAGCCTGACCTTCCCTGTTTCTGTTCCCCACTCGCACCTTTCCTGAAGGAGAAAAAACCCACATAGCCTATCTGGGCCAAGATGAGAGGGCTAGCTATGACCTTGAGGTCTTAGCATTCACGACGTTGGATCGAACGCCCCGGATTTGCAGAAGAGAGTCAACCAGCTTCTCTTCTTTCTTTTCTTTTCTTTTTCTCTTCAAAGCAAGTCAATTTCAAAATGCCCGAATATCTACGTCTTTCGCAGTCAGACTCTGGCCCTTCTATCTCAGAATTATCGGGGAAAGAGGCGAGTTTTGACAACCCTCGACATTACAAATCTCATCATCATCCTCAAGGAGCTTGCCTCAGTCGTCAGCAGTCATTCGTTTTATACCTTCTGTCATTTGCTACAGCGTTGCTGGCCTTGAATATTCTTTTGATAACGCTTTTTTATTTTCGGTCGCGGAGATATACATATCAACCTGCTAGCCATTCTCCATTGCTGTCGTGGGAATTAGACGTGCAGAATTACAAGAAGGATGGCGACTTTAGGAGCTAGGGTGATATCCAGTATGTGTTTATTCTATGCTCTACAAGAAGTATATTGTGAAATAACTTAATGCCTCAGCATGATAAGTCTATATTTGCGACTAAGTTGCTTTAAAAACATAATTTACTTGGTCTTTTATATCGACATCGTGATCTTAGTATCTACATCGGATGAAAATGATGGATAATTTCTTTGGTAGAGCAGATTCCGGACAGCTAAGGAATAATTCGTGTATGGATATATCACTTCCTCAAGATAACCAGAATACCGATGGAAGTGGAAATCCCCCAAATCCTCAATCCCTCATAGTCAGCTTCATCTACCCTCTATCACCAGATCGTGTTCGATGACGGGCTTGTAGCAAGTATTTAAACGGCAATATACAAGTAACGAATTGAGAATTTTAGTTCATATTATCAATATTATATATTGCTTTTATCTCTAGATTGATATGTAGCACGAATTTGATATACTACGAAAGTATACGGTGTCTGCTGCTCGCAATATGTAGTGGTAAAGACTGGATGCGTTCATTTGAAAAAGCTCTCTGAAATAGTAATGATCGCTTTGTTACGATAGTTACATGGTTTGACCATACTTCTAGCACCGATCCCTAAAATTGTCTCCAATCCTCAAGTATATCCCCGTTCCTTTCGGGTCAAGTATGGCTAATACTTGAAGCATTCAGTGCAGAATTCCAGCGCAGTAACCATTTTATTCAATCCCTCACGGCTTGTTCAACGTCGTCTGTTAGATTTGCTCAGCGGCAGTCCCTTTCAACGTATACAGAAGACAACTTACGCCAGGAAGACTGGGACAAGGTCTAGCAGTCGACAGTACCTCCCTCAAGGGTATCACGCGCCTCGACATCAGCAGCGGCATTGACTGGGGCTGCGACCGCAATCATGGGCAAAGCAGCCAAGAAGGCAAGGATGGCTCCAATAAAACGCATTTTGAAGTTTGAAAGTAATCCGTAAGTAAAAAGTTTGATTCAAATAATGATCTTGACAGAAGGATGTTTGTTTATAATGAGCCAGTTTAGCCCGGAAACTCTTTGCCTTTTAAGTGATTCCCATCTCGCCGAATGTCCAATTTCATCACTTCGTATAACCTGCCGCTTGCAGATAAACAGAGCGGCCTTATCAAAGGATTTAGTGTATAACGTAAATTCTGCATGTATGGTATAATATTGATCGACATAGATATTTTATCCCCGGAATAGAAGAGACACTAATTTCTTACATTGATTACAGAGCTTATCAATTAAATCAAAATTACCACCTATGAGAGATACAGTGATACACAAGTACAATAACAGAACTTGAGTCACGCCCTCGTACTTATCAAGGCCGCACTCTGTACGAGTATTCGCCGCCACCGTCCATTACTATCGGCGACTTCGGTGAGTCGGGCAATGCTTTGCTGACAATTGAAGGCCTCTCCTCTCAGTTGACGTGCGGCTACCCTTGACCTTGCTTTTGCCATAGTCTCAACCACGTTACTTCCGTTTTTGCTTCAAAGACTTGTTCTCAGGTGCCTATAGATTTCACAATTTTTCTTCTCAATATCAATCCTTTTATGTCCGGCAACCATGCAGTTTGGACGTTCGAAGTATTCGAGTCTAAGCGATGAGGAAGAAAGCCAGTCTCTGACTGGAAAACGTCTCAAGGGCTCTGAGTTGCCGTGTGGCTGTTATACTAGGAGAACAGGGATACCTATCAGGAAAATTTGTGTTTCGGCCATTGTCGTTGCCAACATCTTGCTTTTTCTTTCCACCATCGCAATGACATTTATGTCTAAGGGAACTCTCTGCTCTGAGAAAGAGATGAGCTCATACTGTAAGTCTTGACTGCCGTCTTCAATTTCAGATACTGAGTAAAAAGCTCCTATATTCGACCGACTGGGTATTTATAGATCGGAATACCGGCACAATTACACCAATTACTGGTGGGATAATAAACCTTCCATTTTCCAACAAAGGCCCTCACCTGAAGTTGACGAAGCTTGGGAAAGATTGACTAGCACGGAATCCATCGCTCTGAACACAGATGAAGTTCGCAAACTAGGGTATGACCCGGAAACTGTGTGGCCAGCACCTGCAGATGAATTCGGGGAGGGTGTCTACTACGGGGTCATAGACGTATTTCATCAAATGCACTGTCTGAACATGCTCCGAAAAACAGCATGGCCTGCATATTACGGAGATATGAGAGAGAAAACCAAACACACACCACTTAAATGGGAAGATCACATGCTTCATTGCACGTACGCCGTTCTGCGAAGTCTTATGTGCCACGCAGATGTAGAAGTTATCGTCGGCCAGAAATTCAAGGGATGGCCTGGGCTTAACCTGAATTTTGCCTCCACCAAAAAGTGTCGCAATTTCCAGGATATTCTGGAATGGAAGGAGGCCAATACAATCCACCAGAAGGCCCCATGGTCGGAGTACCCTAATATACCAATTATAGAGCAGGATCCTCAGGGAATTTTGACCCCCTATGGCAACCATCTAGGACTGGAGGACTGGGCAGAAAGTCAAGGTATTGATTTAGAGATGCCATCAGAGTTGGCCTGGCAACCAAAGAAAAGCAACAACGATCCCGAAGGTCAGAACAAAGAGGAGTAATCACTTTACATATTAGATAGTTGAAAGAATGAACTTTTTTTTACTAAGTCTAATCATAAGGCGTCGTCTTGTGTTTTCATGGATACCCCTCGTGGCTTTATTATTGATAACTCACTGGCGTACTAGAAATAACAGGCTTTTCAGCTGTTGAATGATATTTTGCAGAAGATGGGCCAGTATTTCGGCGCCTTCTTTATTACATACCTCCGTATTCTTAGCGTCGTCACTGCATAATCTAAGTAAATATAGATGTCTATACTAGGGCTGACGTCGTGGTCAGCAGTGAGTCTCAGGACAAAATCCACTTTTATTGAAATTGTGAGACTGACTGTTATGTCAGTCCCCCCAGTGGTTCAACATTACACTGATTTACTATGGGATAATTGAACTGGATGACTATGTTGATTTATTCTGAATCTCTGGCTCATTGCGAGGGGGGCGATAGACAAACCCCATACAAATATCAATTTAGGTGCACTCTGACCGCTACCCTCATTGGACTATTACTAACGGTAGGCAGCATCACATGAAGCCACAGTTTCCCAAGCCTCATTGATTGAAACGCAACTTCTCTGACGAAAATATATATGTCGCTGAATCCTCTTCACACCTCGTCGAGGGCTTGATAGGGAATGCCAAAACCTATCACGACTTCAGCCTGCTGTTAGAGCGAGGGCCACACAGATTCATCCATTTATCGATTGGGGGAGAAATGCCAGATATGGTCAAGCAACAGTATTTTAATCTTTTAATCTGCTCGTGCATTTTATCGTCTTATATTATCTTTCGTTTTGATACGGAATACACAGAAGGGCCACGTTCTATCGCTAACATCTTCCTTGCCTTCGCAGATCCAGTTTTCTTTTTACATTACGCTCAAATAGATAGACTATGGTGGAAATGGCAAATCAAGGAACAAAATGGTGGCTTTCGAGGTTATGATAGTATAAATGGTGTTTTTGAACCTTATGACGATACTGCATTGATCTCAGACAAAGATATGCTGATATTCACTGGGCTTGGTGATGATCTAGAAGCTGAGAAGCTGGGGATGTAATTTCAACGAATACCTCGCTACTGTGCTACGAATATGAATGACGAAGCTTTCGGCCATTGACCAATCTAGCTATACTAAGTGCGACTTTTCGTCCAATGATATTGCAATATTTGAAATTTTTACTCTATACCATTTTATTTAATCCTCAGAGTTCCTTTTGAATTCGACTATTTGTGTTTTCTCTCTATGAATATGGACAGTTTTCCCATCATTCTTTCCAAGTCTCAGGAGAATGGAAATAATCCGGCAGTCATACTGCCTCTTGCATACCATATAACTGACAAGGGATTCACCGTATCGACTTTCCTGATTTTCTAGCTTCTATAAAAAAGATTGATTGATATCAGTATTCATATCGATTGGTCCTCAAGCCTTAGGTAGCTAAACATGAAGTTTATTGCGAGAAGTCTTCATTATGTATTCTCAATCGTATTGGTAATATGGCAAGCCAATCAATCAATTATTGGACAATTGGACCTTGATATTAAATATTTAGTATATGTAATTGGTCAATTCTCACTGACGCTCCGACTTTTGATCAGCCAAGACTAGAGATTCAGAACCCAGCCAATTAAACAATTTGTTCGGTTAGGCTAAAGCTGTCAACATCGTTTTGAATTCCAGCTCACCTTAATTTTTTACGCTATAAAAAAAAAACACCCTATTCACAATACTCTTTCCCAAATTAAAACAAACTTTAAAGATGTCTCAGGCCCCAACTATACCCCAGCAAGACCGACCCCCATGGTTTCGCAAACAGTTCGGCAGTCGCTTCTCGCCAGCCATGCGTCAGCTACTTGTAGAATACAGCAAAATTCCAGCTGCAGAAATAGATGAGCATATTTACAGCATCCGTGAACGAGCATGGCAAACCTCTCCATATCCGTGTATCGGCGGGTTCACTTTCTTGGATTTCGCGTTTGCAAAACACCCTCGATACAAGACTGTACTTGGACAATTAAAGACAGAGAAAGATGATATTAAATTTATTGATATAGGATGCTGTTTCGGGCAAGAAGTTCGCAAACTTGCCTTTGATGGGGTATCGCATGATCGATTATACGGATCCGACATCCATCCGGAGCTGCTAGAACTTGGGTTTGAGTTATTTAGAGACCGCGACAGATGGGCTTCTGCTACTGCTGTTGCGCCATCCTTCTTCCCTATGGATATTTTTTCACCCGTTGTTCCCGGTGATATTAGGTTTGATATTGTGTATATTGCAATGGTGTTCCATCTCTTCTCACGGGAGAAACAAGTGCAGGCAGCGACAGAGATTGTTACCAAACTTCTTGTTGACAAGCCCGGTGTTATCATTCTTGGATCGCAAGCTGGAACGATCAACGCCCGCTCGGTGCAGTCTCGTCGACATGCCGACAAGGCATCATTTCTACATGACGTTGATAGTTTCAAAGAAATGTGGGTAGAAGTAGGCGAAATGACAGGGACTACGTGGGCAGTCGATGCAGTTCTTACAAAACCATGGGAGAGTCCAGAAAACAAGGAGATTGCGGAGAAAGACCGCTATTTTGTGGATGACGATGTACGGTGGTTGGTCTTTAGCGTTGTCAGATTATAAAATTACTATTGACCTAAGAAATGATATTTTTTCTAATCCTAAGCACAATTTACACGATCTCCTAAATATACCTGATAAGTCACCCCTCAATACATACATGCAGTAATAAGATCAATCCCCGCATACCATGAGGCCAACTGAATTACATCATTCCCCACTACTCCAGATACTGGATGACTCGGTATACTGTATGGTCTCCAACTACATGTACCGTCTCCGTCGATCTCGGTCTACCCTTATTATGCTGCGGTGTGTAATGACATACATACATGTATTTATATATTGGGGTATATCCATGTGACCACCTCCACTCGCTGATCCGTAAGCAGATCAGTGATCCGGATAGCCCGGCCAACAAGCTCCATACTGGCTCTCGTTGCGGGGATACTCCGCATTATCGTCTAAGAAACCAGTGATCACTGGTTCAATAAATAATGTTGGGTTGGTGATGTACCAGTCCCGCGTGCGGGGAACGGGATCGACTCGTTACATGTAGGTTGTCTGCAGCCGATTCTTACTAAGTACTGTGCTATTACTATAATCTAATATCGGCGATGGCAATGATCTTCAGCCCAATTTTTAGCAGTTTATAATTTATATTCAAATCAACCAAACTTGGCTGAGTTTTTAGTACCAAATAGTGTGGAAAACACGTTAGAAAATATCGAATAGGTTAAAATATTGAAAATAGATTAGTCTCCGCCACAACTCAAGTTTTTTTCATAATTTATTCGGCTCGGACGTTATTCTTTATGCATATTTTATCGGTCACTATTTTACTTTCGGGATTGATTTCTATTCTTATTTTTTTCTTTTCTTTATTTTGAAATTTGGGGTTATTAGTGGAACCTCACCAGACATGCAGGCAGACTATCGATGAATGAAAATAGGAATCTATCGGAGGATAGAAAAGGTGAATTATTGAGATGATTGTGGGTTCAACTTTGTCTTCCTAAATAATTATAGGTTAGTAGGTTCAATAGTAATTTGAAACATATATTCGACGCCATAAAGTAAAACATACGTCAATTGATTGATAAGTACATTTGCATGATGTTGGGGTAAAGAAGTAGATATGTAAATTACACGTGTCGCAATCACTGTACAACTCCAGTTGAACTCTTCTATACGATGCTCAGTAGATGTAACATAACATGGAGTGTCGCGGGTGCATTGCAGGGATCAGGGTTGGTGAAAATAACGTCGACTTCTATCTACTATCGATCTAGCTATAGGCACGAATAGTACGGAGCTGTACTATTGTCTCATCAAGTCAAGCATAGTATAGTATCCCACAAACACAAACGCAGTGTACTTATTTATAATTTTACATGTCTACTAATACGAAGTTCGACGAACCCTGGGTCAACGACCTTAGGATAGGTACGGTGAAACTAGGTCAAAAGCAATTTATTAAAATCTCCCCGGTCTATTTTGTTAGTCTTAGAACCTATATTATTATTAGTACGGGATCACTTTCCCCTCTGGGCTAGCCGCGGACTGTCGGCCGCACAATAACACGCGAATCAGCCATGCACGTGAGATTCAACTCCTATTTTTTGAACCTCAACCCAGTCAATAGTACTAGTACTACTTACTAAGGAGCAAGGACGAAGGAGTAAGGAGGAGAAATGAGTGGTGGATTATTTGGACCAGGCCTAGACTAGTCTCATTTATGAGCAGAGACCCACTCGCTGCGACAGTACTGCAGGATCAATTGGCTCGGCCTTACACTATTTCTTCATCTGAGGACAGAGTATTTTACTACCAATTATGTAAATCGTCCCATATTATTACTAAGCTGTAGACGCAACAGGAAACAAAGACGATGCTGTATGACGCGAATACGTGGATACGTGGATACGTGGCTACGTGGGTACGGTTCATGCGTCGCTGGTTGCATTAATAATAATACTAATTACAGGTAGTATTAGAATCGTAAAACTAATATAAAACGGCGCTCAGCACGGACAAGTCTCAAGCACGATCGGCGGTTTGCCTCTCTGTACATACTATGGCACAACGTGATATGTCTGTATTCGGACTCGCATAGAAATGAATTCGACTTAGTCAGCTGTGGTACAATTGGAAGTGTATTCTAATCGGAGAGTTATGTAATGGAGCGTAATATATGCGTAATGTAATGTGAGAAATATGCGGGGATTACATCCTTGCACCCGACGCTGTCCTGATTGGTCCGTGCTACCCCGGACGCCTTTCAGCCAATCGCCGCGCCACATCTCCATCTCTCCACCCATCCACCAGCCAATGAGGGGGGCCACCCTTTTAGCCGACAGAAACTTCCATTCACCCTGGCCAATCAGCTCATGCGTCGTAGAATTTCCCCTCATTTGCGAGTGCGTTCTCTGCTGTTTTCTGTATGATGTCCGCTCGCTGTTAGCCTGCAGCAGCTGCATGGGCCGAGCAGTAGTCCCATCTTGATGAGCAGACGGGCTCGATCCCGCTTCCTGAAATTTGGATCTCCGGCCGAGCTCGAGTCCGCTCGTCAGCGGCTCACCTGTTGCTGCTCCCGAGCTCCAGTAGCTAGCATGTCTCCGTCTGCTTTATATAGAACCCCTTTCTGCTCGGTCCCCAGCTTACTGCAGCTCAGTCCAGACAGCCCAGGACCTGGTAATCTGCAACTTCAATTTCAATTTCAGATTAATTAATTACTCCTTAATTACTCCTCCAGTCTTGTTTCATCCTCTTGCGGGGCTCCCGTCTCAACCCTGTCACAAGCACTCCACCTGCAGCTGCCGTTTTCTATCAACGATACTATTATAATATAATATTATATTGTCAGTGCATTGTCTGAGGTGAGTGTGTGCATGGACTAGCACCCTCTTGCATGCATCTATATTTATAATAAATATCACCCCTACTGTCTGTTTTGGGCCACGCTGTTGGCTTTGTTGTGTGTTTGTACCGTGGGCGGGCTGTTTGTGCTAACATCACGCTAAAAATTTTCTCTTGCTCATCTCTTTCTCTCTTTCCTCTCCTCTCATCCTCTCACTCATCCTCTCATCGTCTCATCGTCACTTCTGAATCCCATCTAAGCTAAAGAAAGAAGAAGAAAACCATGGCCGACATAACCCCCCCGATAAAGAGGCCACTGTCGCCGCGCCTGCCGCCGGGGCCAATGGCACCAGGGCTGTCCCTCAGATGTCGCACGAGGAGCACGAGGTTGCGCGCGCTGCCGCTCGCTTTGGATACGGTCCTCTGGCCCATGTCAACACCGCTGAGTCTCGCCTACCCGCCTTTGGAGGTGAATTCCAGCCTGGTCTGTACCGGCCCGTGAGCGACCGCAAGTTCGCCAACCCTGCGCCTTTGGGCCTGTGTGGTTTCGCATTGACTACCTTTGTTCTTGGTGCTATCAACATGGGCACCCGCAACATCACTGAGCCCAGCATCGTTATTGGCCCTGCCTTTGGCTATGGTGGTTTGGTCCAGCTTCTGGCCGGCATGTGGTAAGCCCATCCCCTTTTCTTTCTATACATGTAAGTTTCGTCGCCAGACCACTAACAGAGCCAGGGAAATGGCCGTCGGCAACACCTTTGGTGCCACCGCCCTCTCCTCCTACGGCGGCTTCTGGATTGCCGTCGGCATCATCCTGACCCCTGGAGGCTTCAACATCGAGAGCACCCTAACCGTGAACGGCCCGCGTGAATTCAACAACTCATTCGGCCTGTTCCTAATGGTCCGTCCCTTCCCCTTTTACTTAAAATCCATCCTACTAACTCTGCCTAGGGCTGGTTCATCTTCACATTCATCCTGCTCCTGTGCACGCTGCGTTCCACAGTTGCATTCTTCAGCCTTTTCTTCTCCCTCGACATGGCCTTCCTGCTGCTCGGCATCGGCTACCTCGTTCAAGACGCCAGTGGCGCCCCGACGACCAGCATCATCAAAGCCGGCGGGTTCTTTGCGCTCCTCGCGGCGTTTTTGGCCTGGTACAATGCCCTCGCCGGTATCGCGGACTCGAGTAACAGCTTCTTCGTTATCCCCGTTGCGCACTTCCCGTGGAGCGAGAAGGGTATGGAGCGCAGGACCAAAGCTGAGCGGGAGACTGTTTAATCGTTCCGTCTTAAAATGGTAGGATGGGACGGTGGTTACTCATCTGATGAGAGAGAGAAGAGAAGAGATGGTGCAGGAATTGTCGTTTGCGATACCCGTGTGTACTACACCACCCTAGACTTACTTGTGCCTTCCTGGTCTGATCGCTTTGATCTGCTGGTTGGTATGGTCAGGGTTGGTCGATGCAGCCTAGCCCGTTACAGTCGTTTCCTTAAATATTGTGCAGATCCGAAAACATAGTTCCTAGTAGGTACTCTAGTGGACGCACTAGGACTATAATGTGTATCTTAATCTAATAATGCGGAGGAAATCAAAATGAATCAAGTTTCAATTAAATAATAAGAATAATCAATCGTAATGTACATCATTCGTTAGCATAATAACATAACCATACAGCTAATATCATAACTATACAGGTATACCCATTAATATATATATATATATCTACTCAAGTCCAACTTGAATCAAGTCCGTTTGAATAATCGCCCATAACTCCCGCGCCTCGTCGCGATAACAGCGCGGCACGTAGAAATACCGCTGCAGCAGATCCTCCAATGAGTCGAAGGAATCGATTCGTTCAGATTGGGTATAATCCGTATCTACACCCATGCCCCCTGCGATTTGGAGTGTGTTATTGGTAATATTACTCGTCTTGATAGCGGAAATCACCACATCGAGGAAAAAAGCGCGACTTGGGGGTATCAATTTCGCCGCGCAGTACCCGATAAACCCGATCCAGATGAGGAGGGGGTGAGCCGATTCGTAATTTCCCGCAGCGAGCCCATTGCGGACCCCCGTTTCGAGTGCGAAGATGGGCGCGCAGAAGATCGGGCCAACTGCAGGGTACCAGGCCCAGGTGATGGTGTTGTGGAACAAGAGCATGGCGAGGCGCACGCCGCCTTCGATGGTGTCGTCGCCGCGCAGGACAGGAGTTGGGTGGGTAGGGAAGGATGTAAAGCGGTCGTTGCAGAGAGTGTATTCGATGTAGAGGACTTCGTTGTTGAAGTATTCCTCAATGTCCGGCTCGCAGAGCAGCGGGGGTGCGGAGGAGAGGGGTTGGGGCTTGTGGGTTTTGTAGATTTCGCAGAAGATCGTGAGTGAGGTTAGGTCGTCGATCGTGCGGCGCATTTCGATGCCGAAGAGGCCGGGGACGAGGGCGAGAGCGCGGAGATTGGAGGCGAGGGGTCCAGCGTTTTCAGGGAAGAGGATTGCGGGTGTGTGTTCGGGCATGGTGTAGCGGATGAAGGGGAAGATTGGTTGGGACATTTTCTTGCAGGCGGCGCGGATGTCGGTCCTACTCAATTAATATCTGTATATGTAGATATTAGATGAACTAACCACTCGATTTGCCATCGTACGTGTTTGGCGATGTCTGAGAAATTCTGCCGCAGCGAAACGATCTTGCGTAGACCATTCAGATGGATCATGATCCAGTCGAGATGGCCGCCGACAATCTGACAAGTTAGAAAAGTCGACCAAGCGTCAAAGCGTCTAACTAACCTCAATCCCTATCATCAGAGCCACCGCCGCTATCAAAGCATCGCTCGACGCTCTCGACGGGTCCGATAGATCCGAATTGATCAGCTTGATAGTCTCGCCCCGATGGTACAGCCTGTCGAGGATGAACGAACTCCCACGCTGCGTTGCCGGATCTGCGAAGAAGACGCCGACGGACAACGCCTTGTGTGTGGCTGCCAGAGTGATGGCCGAGTGCATCAGAACTGGACTGGACTGGATTAATGCAGTCCAGTGACTCTGTAACGATGGGATACCGTGGTTCTGAAACGGCGCTGCTTGTCCGACGAGAATGTACAAGACTATAAAATTAGATTTGAACGTATGGTATTCCAGGATAGAGTACCCACAGGTATGAAGATGCTGGAAATGCGAATTCGAAACCGACACTTGAACGGCATTGAACGGGTCGCTTCCCCCAACGCCTATATACGACCAAGGATGCGCAAGCAGAATCTCACCCTGCTGCAACGGGTCTACCTGCACACTCTCAACCATCTCAGGAGCCGTATTTACAATGAATGTATCCGTATCCGCGATAAAAGTATTACTATCCTGCTGCATCTTTTGCACCGCGCCTGTAGGCAAGTCGTCCCCGCTCTCCGGCGACGCAGAGTCCTTTGAACTCGCATGCTCCGGCGACGACGAGGATGAGGTCGACGAGCCTGATGTGAAAAAAGTCGGCGGCGACTGGCTCGACTTGCTGGTGGCCGCAGGATCCGGCCGAAAAGCGAGGTTCTTCCATGTCTTGTTCTTGTTATACCGTCGAGTATTCTCCAGCCGCTTCTTCCGGTTGTGCTCGGACATGACGTGCGATCGAATCCGTTTCAGCGTCTCCTCCCTCGATCCTCCCTTGACGGACTGCACGTCAGCGTTCACCCAGAACAATGGCGATCGGCCGTTGGCCTTGCGCGGCGGGCGCACCTGTGCCGATACTGTTGTGGGTTGGAGGTGCACATTGCGGCGGGGTGCAGTGGTCGAGGGACGTCGTGCTGTCGCTGTGGCTGTCGCGTCTGACTCCTGCTTCTCCTGCTCTGCAAAGACGGGAAACACCTGCTCGTATGCGTGCGTGGTGGGTTGCGATGCAGCAGGACGAGTCTGGCTGGGGAAGCCGGGCTTGGCGTCCATGTCCATCCCATTGACTTCCAACACCAACACCAACGCACGGCTAGTCTGGACTCTGCTAGTCAGTATGTAAGCGAGATAACGCAGAATGCTACTGCTGTCGTTTGTATCTATCCCCGACTGCTCACACAAGGTCCGGGCAGACGAGTCCCGGCTGCATGGTTCAGCGGCGCTTAGGAATATAAGAGGGAAGATCAGAGTGCGAGAATAATAATCAGGAATGATCCAGACAGATTCCAGCGCCAGAATGTACAGCCACTGTTTAGCCCCGTGGATGCCACGGATGGACGCCGACCCGGGCAAATCAAATCGAAGCTGGAACAATCAAGCTTTGCTCTAGAAAATGCCGAGACTGGCTGTTATCAACTGCCTTAATGCGTAAGCGCCGTTCTCGAGCGATGAGGCACTGCCGGAAATTAAATGGAGCTGCGTAGCAAGGCCAATAGAGAATTGGATAATGGAGTCAATCACGTGGTGGGCCTGGCCACTCGATCGGCCGTCCTCGTTCCGGTCGTATTTCTTTTCTTTTTTTTGATGTCGTTTACTATTGGTATTTTATTGCAAGTAGAAGAGTTTTGTAGACGGACGTTGTCTTGACATGATACATCGAGGCTCACTCGCGACGATCGCACAGTAGATACTGCGTTTAAGCTTTGGCTATACCGGCCAAGCGGCTCGTTCTCCAGTATGCTGATACTATAGACAAAGTATATATCAATGGATGTCATCATAGTATCATTTTAAAGGACTTATTGATTAATCTCATATTAGGCTAATATCGATTAATAGCCAGTCTATTTTTAATATAAACAATTCCAAATAATGTACACCAATTGTTCAGCCTCCACGTGCTATTTATATATAACATTCAATGCTGAATCAATACAACTAAGGATAGACTACTATAAGCATATATCAATTGATAATTATCAGGACTTTAGATTTCACCAAAAGCATTAAATATTTGAATCTTATTGGTGCCATTCTTTGCACATAGTGCAATATTCTTACTTAGATATATATATGTACATATAGTTGACTTAGCGCCAGCTGATAATGATATTATTGCAATTGATGTCCAGAATAATTAATAACATATAGTTTATCTTATTATGTACGTAAACTCGGCTACTTATACCTAAACTACATATGCAATTTAGATAGTTTTTGTTATTAATGCTGGTATGTAAGTATGTATATGTAAGCGTGGTGGCTGAGCAGATATTAATAGAACTGCACGTGCCACTCCATCACCTATCAATCAACATCAAACATCAACATTTGAAATAATATAGACGCGCTTATGGTCAATACCCAATGACATGCATTATCTATCAAATACGGTATTGTGTAGTAGCAGATTAGAAGTATCCACAGAAAGAAGCCAATAAAACGAAAGAATGATGCGCTGGTGATGTTGCACAAGTTTCAAACATAAGATACGATTATGTACGGTCTATTCACGTCATTCCCGGGCGAGGGAAGATGGGCACGGTGTCGAGCTGTTCTAATCCCCCCATAGTCCCGTGCTGCCCGCCGACTTGCCATGCTTGGCCGGTCTGCTGGTTGATAAACGCGCTTTGGCGGAAGGGATTGGTGCTGCCGGTTGGATTGGGCTGTAAGGGTTGGAGAGTTTGTTGAGACGCGGTTGGAAGCGCCGGGGACTGCTTGGCGAATGGGTTTGTGCCTGTGCGTTGAGGCTGGAGGGGATGGGCGGTGGGTTGGCCTGGCTGAAAGGGGGATGGAGATGGAAGTTGTTGTGGCATTGGTGGTGGCTGGGATGGAGGAGCCATCGAGAGTCTCTTTGAGAAGGGGTTGGTGTTTTGCCGCGTTAGTGGTTTAGGGGCCTGCCCTGGTTGATTGAAGCCGCCGGCACTGCTACTGGGATTGGAGATGAGCATGGATGCTCGGAATGGGTTAGTGCCGGTCTGCTGCGGTTGTAAAGCATTTGATTGTTGTTGGAAAGTGTTTTGCTGCGGTTGGAAACTCGTCTGTTGTGGTTGGAATGCGTTTGAAACGCCTTGTTGCTGTTGCTGTTGGAACGTTGATACTCCGTTTTGAGGAATGGCTGGCAGCGTGCTCTGGAATCCATACGATTGTGGACCGTAGCCACCGAATCCTGCACCCGTGGGCTGGGTCTGGAGTTGCTGAGGCGTGGCCGGTACTGGTGCTTGGGGTTGAGGTTGGGGTTGAGATTGGGCAAATGGATTAGTGCCCTGTTGCTGATTGTAGCCACTAGCAAAACTAGTCTGCTGAAACCCCAACTGAGACTGGGGCTGCGCAAACCCTGTTTGCTGAGTGGGAAAGCCCGTTGGTTGCCCTTGAAACATCTGTTGACCAAAGCCGGCCTGTTGGAAGTTTTGCAGTTGCGGTGGTTGGCTAGGTTGTTGCTGATTCATATCAATCGAATCGAAAAAGTCAATGAGATCGCCACCTGCGGCCTTGGTCTCTGGCTTTGGAGCTGGTGCCGTTTGAGGTCTGCTGGGCGTGAAACTAGACGGTGCATTGGCCTTGGACGTTATCGGCGACTTGCTGAATGACGAAGTTCGCCCTTTCTTGCCATTCTTTTGCACCCGATAGTCTCTCCGCCGTAGGTCGAAATCAGGATCGTTCAGGTCATTCTCCAATAGCTGCACGAGATCGGTTGAGGCGTGTTTGAGGTTCGGGATCTCCAATCGGGTGGCATACTCGAAATGCCGGGCCACACCGAGGAATTTGACCACCTCTTCAGTTTGCGCGCCGAACGTTTTGTAGATTTTCAAGGCACGCTCGCTGTCTGGGCGTGACATCTCAAAATAGTGCTCTGAAACAATTAGTATTTTCAAATAATTAAGGCAATCAAAGAGAGATCTCACCCAGGACATTGATTGTGCCTTCATTCATAACAGAGTATAGAGCTAGCAGATCGAGGGTCAAAAGCCGGAAAGCAGTCAGGGTGATTTCATTTTCGACATCATCTGTCAGGAGCTAAATATCGAGTTAATATCAACACGCACCGCTCAGATAATTCAACATACGTCACATTTCAGCAATGCCTTGATCTGCTTTTGCACAACTTCCGTCTCTCTTAACAAGCCTTTGTCGACTGTTAGACGTTTTAATCGGCCTTGTCCACTACGGACGTAGTCGACTTTGGAATCCGAAAAGGCTCGGGCGCGAGCAATAAAGTAATCGGAATATCTCCGGATGTTGTGTCCCTGTGATTGAACTGCCAGGAATTAGCATAGTCATTATAAATAGCAGTGAAACTCGCCTTCTGAAAAGCTGCTGATTGCTATTTTCCTCGGATTCTCCGCAAGGTATTCCAGCGTTGCCGATTCGGCACCCTCTCGGATCATCAAGTGAAGCACGATGAGCGATTTAAAAACAATAGTCCATGTTGAGTCGCGTAATCGAAACTGCAACGTGCGAAAGATTTCCGCGACACCGGCCTCTCCGCTGCGCGTTGCTAGGAGAATATGCTCGATATATTTCGACTTGGGGGGGGCAAGCTGTAACAAATTCGGTCAGCAAAGAGCCATCGGAATCACCGGGCACACCAGAACGGCCAATAGTAGACGTACCTTAATCTTTGTGGCCCCTTTGACCGACTTTTCAAAGTTCTGCGTCATTCTCTAGATTGTTGATAGGGTAATGCAATTGGCGATAGACGGAAGTCCAGGGCAGACGTGACGGCTCCTCAGCATTGGCCGGGCCAATGTCCAATGTGCAAGACGCGCGAGATACGGTGTTTAGATCAACGATTCAGCGCTCAGCATCATGCTTGCTCGGTGTGACATGCCAATAAGGGAACGATGTGCCCCTCTGCGCAGAGGGTAATGATGACGGTTGGCGAGCTGGTACGGATAAATACCGATACACGGGAAGAAATAGCAGAATAAAAAGAGGTAAACTGCAGGTGGTCGAGTAGCCGGCGTACAGCACGGTGGAAGACGATTGCAGTCAGACTCGCGGTTGAATAAATAATCGTGGACCGCAGACTGCATGAGTTGGCAGCAGTCATAACAGGATTGACTTGCGGCTGCCAGCGTTGTCGTCCGTTTGCTGTGGGTCTACTGCTGCCGCTGCTTGCCAGTACTAGAACATGACTGCCGAATGAATGTCTTGGCACGTCTACCGTCCTTCGACTTGTATCAACACCATGCATGATACCTTGTACGTGTGCTTTACTGGGTCGAGATGGCCGCGGTGAATTGCTATATCGATATTTGATTATCAATTGAGATAAATCTTTTGACTGAATTTTTTCTCTCACTTTACCACCACTTCTTGGGTAAAATATGTTGGAGAACAAATTGCACTGTACTCCCAGCTAGACTCTGAATATGAACTGTTATTTCACCACAAGACACTTCTGAGAGTGACAATGTGACAAGCAGGTCACCGAGATGGTGCCTGGAGAACCGCCCTCCACCTTACCCTGCCATCGCCCCTCAACCATGCATCTGACTTTCTCTCTCTCGTTCTTTCTTTTCAGCTTCACGTCCCTCTCATCTGAAAGATAGGCTCTCACAAGCGCAGCCTTGGTTGATAATATTATTATTTATTCCAAACAGATTATCTACCCTGTGCCGTACTCACACACAGTTCTCACTTTCAGATTACTTGACATTGTACCATTACAAGCTCACCTTCTTTCCCTATCTTACTAGGGCAGCATGGGACCACCTGTATCCCTCAACTTCAGGGAAAAGCGGCCTCATCATAGCTGGACCCAGGAAGAGCGGTTCCTTCTATGTTGCATGAGAAGGTTCTTTGACCTTCACCATGGCGAGGTCACAAAAATTTTCAATGAAATATATCGAATCAAGATATCAGCCGAAGGCTTTCCTCCTGATGGCCTCAAAAAGTCCACTTTAGTAATTCAGTGGGAGGACTTAGGACGAAAGCTACATCATGACTGGCGTGTGGTCCACGAGCAGGTCTCATTTAGTGAAGGACCTAGTCGCTTCTCGCACCTCTTTGAAAAGATCAGAGAGTCCGCTCGCAGATGTCATATTGGGCTTGTAGCGAGAGCACGAGACTTGGACGTGTCTCGATTCCAAGTCAAGGTTGAAAGAAGACGACAATTACAGAAACCAGCACATCCAGTACAACCACCGCCACCACCGAGCCGATCAAACCTCATCACGATTGCAGATGAACCAACATCAATTGAGAGTCAACCAATAGCTCCTCAGCTAATCCAACGACCTGAAGAGAATGTCAAGGCCAGTCAAATGTCGTCTACGTCTGTAGTGAGTCACCAATGTCTTACAAATGACGCCAAGGTACTAATCAGTGACATAGCAAATTGAGCCAGGGGTAATAACCGACCCAATCGAGCACATTCGCTCCTATGGACTCAACAGGAGGGAAGAGTTTCCGAAGCCGCCCAAACCAGATCAGATGCCTTCTCTCCTGTTCCGCTTCTCCAATGATGAAAGCGCGGGTATCAACACACGGTTTGGCTACATCGCCTACGCGTTCACTGAGAACCTGGCCAATATTCCGAATCCAGCAGAGCGGCTGGAGGAGTTTCCAGCGTGGGTTTGGACTCACGTTAATAAAAAACGCATACCCTCGCCTTTCATCTCAACATCGATTGATCCGCTAATCCCGATTCACCGAGCTTTAAGAGCTAACAGAAATGCTATTGTAAGTATTGTTGACCCGGGACAAGTTAATCCAGATCATGTTTTTTACATGAGAGATCTCATGAGGCGTTACTCCATCAGAACCATGGGCTATTACGGGACGAAAGAATGGATCATCTGGGGATCCATTTCCCGGAAGGCAATCCTCACCACGTTCAGAATCGACGAGCTTTTAGCTTTAGCAAACCAGCACCAAGATATAGAAGCCGTGCTACAGCTCGACAAAATAGCTGCTAGCAAGACTGTTAAAACAAAGCTTCACGACAAACTGTCCGAAAAGAGGTTCGAGAATGACTTTGTTGTAGGAACGACTATTGGGAAACTAGTCAAGTTACTTCGAGTTAGAAACGAATATGTCAATGATGTCGCTCTCGCCCTGAATGTTTCTTGGTCATTTGCTTCCTCTAGGAATACGGATGAATATCTTCGCGGTGTGGAATCGGGCCATGATGCCACTAAGATGGAAAATGTTGAGGCGATAGCACCCAGCACAAATGAATCTAGCCAGTCGAGCGATAACAATAATTCTATCGAGGACTATGTGATGGTGGAAAAATCATCACCGAAAAACAACACCGAGAAACATGAAGACCCTGCAACCGAGGCTTCTCGGATCGTTCGTGAGTCCATGGATAGGCTTAGTATTTTCGATGACGCCGATGACAACGTTATGGTCATCACAAACACTCCTACCCCTTCTCCATCGAGTGGAAAGGGCAAGGAAGCCGTGAAAATTGCTGAGAAACGACCAGCTCTGCATCAGTTCTCTTCAGAAAGCAAGGTTCGCAAGACCAGTGACGAAACATTCTCAGCTAGAAACAGAACTGTAGCTACACTCCATATCTCTATGTTTAACCCGGAGTCAGCGTCTTGGTCGCCAGTTCACGCAAGTCCCTCGCCTGAAGTCAACCATGCACCGTCTGTGAAAGAAGAAATAGTGCCCTCAATCGAGAGTATCCCTTCTAGCGCTCAAGTCCAACGTGTACCTTCCGCGGCGCCGGACGTTCAAAACCCTCGTCAGTCGGATGCACCCGTCACACCATCAAAAATAAAGCATAGCCCACACTCTAGCAATGCCAGCGATTCAACACTTAGAAACGACACGCCCGGTGGTGATCGTTTCGGCGACGAGCGGACACATACTAACCGTATCATGGACTATGACTGGTCCGCCTTTTGGGACTCGATAGGGAGTTCGACGTTTAGTGAGTGAATCGCTAAATTTACTGATTTTGCCAAGTGATACAAATATTTTCTACGATAGAGGATGAGATATGGAGACATATTCGGGTTTTGAGCGGGATTTGTAAGCACGATGGGCTGATGGACTTGATTTAACTGTGAGATTCCTTTCTCATGTTGAGAAGGCGTATCAGGTGGAGATAATGGTCATTCGCCCCAAACTCTGGTCAGAATCAATATCGTGATTGGTGCCATCGTGTTGAATATCTGCCGCTGCCGAGTCGGGCTCTCCCCCAATATAGGCATGTTTACCACCTTCAGGTGTATTATCTTCTTTCAAAGTTAGAGCCGTCTTTAGATGGATACCCCTTTTCGATGTTTGGTCGGCATTTTTGGTCGATAACTGTGGATGGGACTAGATTTATCGCCTTAAAATTGCCAGACTTCGCCTTGTCTCGTCTCATTACTAAAGTGGAAAAAAGAAAGTACACAAATCCATTGATTTGCTAATGCAGTAAAAAGTTTACTTATACCAAGCCGAGTCACCTAATGTAAGAGATCAAAAAAAATTTCTAGGGAAACACCTGCCATACACAAACACTCGTCGCCGATTAATCAACCCATCCATGTTGTGAAATGATGATGACCTTTGTTTTATTTCCTCGCGACTGGTTTGCAATAAAAAACAGCAGTTTAGCTGTCAGTCCCATTTTTGAATTTTTTTCCTCCCATGTCCCGTTTTGCTGTGTCGTTATAATATCCTCACAAATGAAAACCCCATGAACATTTCAAAATCTAGCGTTGATTTGTTTAGAATTTGGAGAAGGACTTGACGGCCTTGCCGGTGCGGGGGAGGACACGGAGAACGTTGAAGCGGACCTACAATCGGTATTAGTAAATTCGCTGAATATACCATCGAATATCGAACGTTTTGACGCGTATTCGAAATGGAGTAGATCTACATACAGTCTTGGACAGAGGACGGCACTGGCCGACGGTCACCTGGTCACCTTCTTCAACACGGAAGGCTGGCGAGACGTGAGCAGCCAGGTTCTTGTGGCGCTTCTCGTAACGGTCGTACTTGGGGACGTAGTGAAGGTATTCACGGCGGATGATGAGGGTACGGTGCATCTTGGTGGACACAACGGTGCCGGTCAAGATACGGCCACGGATGGAGACGAGACCGGTGAAGGGGCACTTCTTGTCTTGAGAATAGTTAGCATCGCATACCCAAAAAAATTGTCGCAAAGCATCTTGAATTTGTGGGTCCGAGGAATCGCAAATTGATATTAACGCATATGTTGTAATCGTCGAGCCGGTTTTCTCTCGTTTCCTGTGGCAAAAATAATGCTGGATATTCGTATTTCCCACTTAAAAACTGTGATTTCCATCATATGCGTATCGTCGATCAATGCGAGTTCCTCGGTTTCCAACACTTCAGATATTCTTTCGACGTGATATTCGTAGAGCGTATCATACCGATGTAGCTGCCCTCAATGGCGGTCTTGGGGGTACGGAATCCCAGACCAACGTCCTTGTACCATCTTCGGCCACCCTTTCCGACTCTCTTGGACTTGGCCTTAGACTTGGAGTTGAGGAAGATGTGAGGCTGCTTCTGGAAGGCGCGCTCCGACTGGACGGTCAACTCGGTCGCCATGGTTGCGAGGAATCAGGTCGACACTGCGAGAGGTGATGTCGAGCTGGGTGAAGAGAGGGGTGGTGGTGGTTGTCGACGTCGAAGGTTGAGAAATTTGTGCGGAGCCCAGGCTGCAAGTCTTGCTAGATGGATAATTGTGTGCGAAATGTGCGATGTCTACACTAGTGCATAAACGGCATAGCGCACCTCGGCTAGGGCTTCTTTGGTTTGTTTACATTTGCCGCTGCAGGCCCGATTCGGGAAGGCGGTGTCGTTTGTAGGTCAAACGCGCTTTGCATCATCATCGCTGCTACCGTTGCCTGTCGTTGCTGCTATTGTTGATGCTGTTGTGTTTCTGATTAGTGCTGCGTTTTTGCGCGCCATTGATGTCACGACGGGTCTTTGAAAACATTGTTCATTGCTATTAATTTCTTCTCCATCCCATCTATTGCCCAATAATGGCGTCGCGCGACACCGCGGGGGCAAGCGTTCGCCCTCGCTCTCGACGTTCAATCGCCTACGTACCGAAGAGGAATGCAGCGCTGGATAAGGAGAACGCTACGGCAGATATTGACGCAATGAAAGATGCGACTGCTGCTGGTCGGACAGTGACGCGAGACAAGAAATCGCGTAGCAAAAGTTTAGGACCTGGGGGATTAGATGCGCTTCAAATATCAAATGGCAATCGACGAAAGGTACACCACCTTATTCTTACTCTGACCTGGTGAAGTGGATATTTACTCATTGATTCCTCTCTAGTCATCGATGGCGATTCCTCTGAAATCTATTCTCAAGCCAACTGTTCCACTTTCGCCCCCCCGCCAAATACCAGCATTCGATGGTGCACGGAAACGAAATGCCAGCCGAAGCCCGTCACCAAGGAAGTCGCGAAATACACCGAAATCGCCTCAGGCAGAAGAGGGTCTCCTCATTGATTTTTCCACGCCTGCAAAGGCCCCCGTGACTGGCACAGAGCAATTGGACAATCCTTTTGACGGCTTCAATGCCGGCTCGGCCATCCGTGATGCCAAAGAACGCGAGGAGAAAGAGCGGAGGGAGCGTGAAAGAAAGGCAATTCTTGAACAGAGAGAGGCCCGGCGGAAGTCTATGGGTGAGTTACGATGATATAGGTGGTTGGACAGCGCGATTAACATTCGATAGGTAACCGCAGAGTTTCATTTGCTCCCGAAGCTACCCTTCACACGTGGAACGTTGTTGAACTGGGAGAAGATTCGACGGCTTCATCTTCATCAAACTCAACTAGGCGCGCATCTTCATTGGCGAACTCCACCAGTCAAGCCCCTGCCGACACTCCTGAACTCCCAGCGGACGAGGAATTCGACGAAGACCCGGACGTTTCATTCTCACCAATTCAACATGGTTTGCAAGAACAGCCAAGGGAGTTCTCATCAAGTCCATTTAGTGGCAGTTCTATGGGTGGTAGCGACGGGACACGAAGTCCGATCAAAGATGTTGATGATGCTGAATCGGACAGCGATAATGATTTCGACGGGGAAAGCACAGCGATGAGCCTTGATGATGTGACTGCCCGTACGAGTGGCTCAAATCAAACGGATGATTCTAACACAAGCTCGAGTGCTCGTTTGAACGAGGCATTGCGACAAGCCGCTCGGGAAGCTGGCACCAGAGACATCGACTTTCACGAGCCTGGCGATACATTAGCTGGCAATCAGGAAATTGCGGGTGCATTCAAGCCCTGGATTCAAAAGGGCCAAAGGATTAGCTTTGATGTGGAAGACATGAGCGCTTTACAAGATCAAGAAAATATAAATCCACTCCAGGATGCAAATACGAAATCAAGTGACGACGATGACGGTGCAGATGATGTTGATAACGAAAATGAAGATCTCAGTATGGAAATTACAGGCGCTGTAGGACGAATACTTGGAGGAGCCGCTAATGGCCAGAATCTGAATCGTCGAAAGTCAATAGCGGAGCAGAGCAATTATGACGAACAGACTATGGACCTGACTAATGTTGTTGGCGGAATTGAAGCAACGAAGTCGCCGGCCAAGTCAGATGCTGACAGTAATATGAACGAGGACGAGGAGATGACCATGGAATTAACAAATGTGGTTGGTGGGGTACTTAGCAAGAAACCATCTAGCACTGAACAGCTTAATCAGGATCTGCTAAGCGTGACGCCTCAGCATGAAGAACTAACTGGTCGTGACTTTTCGGAATGGGGTGATGGTGACGAAGAGGATGAAGATGACGCCGCAATGGATTTCACTGGAGCAGTTGGCCGCATCCTTTCCCCCATTGAGGAGAGTACTGAATCACAAGATGGACATACTGAGGGAATGGACTTTACTACAGCTATGGGCCGGATTCTGCCTCCTGGGTTGGAAACCAACACTAAAGAGCAGGCGAAGCAACTTATGGAACTGGAGACGGATTCAGGTCAATTGGCTAGCTCACCATTTCAAGACAATGTACCACTATCTCCTCCTAAAGCTCTCAACCCACAGGATGTCGCTGCCGTTGTTTCAGAGATAGAAAGTCCTACTCTTGCCAGAGTTCGCGTACAACGGACGAGAAGAGAGTCTGCGTCGTCTGCCACGCGCCTTTCTCCTCCACGACAAACCACACCCACTAAACCTCGAACACCTTCAAAACAACTCACTCCACAACCTCCTCGACCGACTACTCCTGAAAAAACCCCTCCTTCCAGCAACATCACTTTCCGTAGTGCTTCGCCAAAGAAACTCTTTCGCGAAGAGATTCGAGCCTCGGCGAATAAATCTCAGTCGCCAGGGCGCAGGAGTCTTTTTGAGAACAGTGCAGGTGGCGAGTCGGCTCCAGCATTTATTCTGCGTCCCCATCCACGATATTCATCCGGTCTTGGTATTGATAAAGAAGGCCTGGGATCGCCAAAGGTTGCTGCCATACTTGATCGTCGACGCTCTATAGGTGAAGATGCCGAGGATTTCGTACCTCAGGATCAATCACCCAAACGACTTCGGTTTGAGGATCCTGTTAAAATACACGAGGAGGTCGATCGCGAGCGAGAGGAAGAGGAACATAGGGAGGAAGGACACAATCTATCCCTTCAAGCTAGTGACCTTGATCCGACATTAAGTCTGAGAGATCTCATCTCCAGCCTGACGCCTAAGAAGCGCAAGGTTGGCAACCGCAAGAGTCTCCATGTTGGTGCTGCTAAGGGCCTTCTTGGTAAACGCCCTCTTGAACTTGATGAGGACGAGGAGGAAGAAACTCCCAAGAGAATTCGTGCCATTTCTGCAAGCCCTGTCAAGCCGGTTAAGCTCCCTGCTCCTCCATCGAAAGACGAAACAGTGCGCCGCTCAAAACGTAGCTCTGGGAAACTCTTTGACCTTTCACCAGAGAAGCATGGCAGTTTTACACCTAGAGGCCAGCCTCCAGTAGTTTTCAAAAGTCCGATCAAATTGAAGAGTCCTATTAAGAACGTTCAATTCAACACCGAGCCCACCGAAGAGGAACAAGAAAATGGCGAAGAGGGTGATGAGGAGGCGGAGGGCGATTTGGATTGGGAACCGCTTCAGTTACAGGATTTCTTGAACTTGACCAACATCCACTTTATGGAGCTAACCACGACCAAAAGACGACATACCACTGTTCCAGGTAACGACAGCACACTGAATCGTTCAGGGAGCTTTCATCGAGGAAAGAAAGAATTCAGCTTCGAGGACTGTGTCGCAGCTGGCTTCTGCACAGTTCCGATGCTTGAGTTGTATCAACACGTAAGTGACGTTCAATTGTGCAGTGAACGTATTTCGCTAATTATATACGGAAGTCTTGTCGTGAGTTGAAGTCGTATATTTCTGAAGGGCGCCAAATTATACGCTCAATCGAAACTGAGACGTTTGCTGATAATCCACCGCTGTTCCGTGAATATGTGACTGCACCACCCGACATTCGCGTCGTTATGGATAATCAATTCCGTAACATCAAGACACATGCTAGACTTTTGAGTAAAGCTATGTGGTATGAATGGCGGATGAAACTCTTGGAAGGTCTCAAGGAAGGGCTGGATCGTCACGTGGAAGAGATGAAAGATGATGACAACGCTCTTGCCCAACAAGAAAACGTCCTCAACAGTGTAGTCCCCGACCTCGTTAGCAAACACACCTCTCTCGACTCAGAAGCGTCGAAATTGCGGGAACTTATCAACGAGATGGAGAATTGTGATCCTGATGAGTTGCGCACAGCAAGAGAGAGACTTGCTAAAGTGGATGCTGAGATTACGACCAAAAAACAACAGCTCCAGGCAATGCAAGAGGACTTACAGGATAAGGTTGACACCATCGAGGCTGGGACAGAGCTCAAGTCGGAGTTTTTGGAGCAGATTCGAGAAGCAGAGAGAGTTAGAGAAGAGTGTCGTGGATGGAGCGTGAAGGAAGTGAGCGCTCTCAAGGGTAAGAAGTCTGAATTCGCTCTGTAGAAGTCACATCTAATTCAATTATTCTTTACTAGACTCTGTCGATCTGCTGCAATCGCAGACGGGATGGTCTGTAGTATTGGCTGCCGATGCACCTGAGCTAGCTGGTCCCGTTTTGACTCTGAGCTACAAGGAAGAACTTCAAGTCAAACTACACCCAAAATTATTTACAGTGCCTGACACAGCAATGCAAGTGGATAGCCTTCAGGCCGTTGAGCTTTCCTATGTTCCACAAAGACCTGGGTCTCCTAAATTTGTGGCGCCTACTATTACTCCTACCAAGGCGCTTATTCTGTCTTGCCTACAGAAGAGGATCGCCTCCATACCCCCGTCTTCCATCTCTCTCAAACAGCTATTCGGTTTTATGTCCGACGGATGGAATTTGACCCAGAAACTGGAGGAAGAAATCCGGGTCTTGAACTTCCAAGGTGTCACCAAGACTATGCTGGTGGAGAAACCTGATGCCGAACCAACCTTGCGAGCCCGATGTATCCTTGTAGGCTCTATTGGTGCTGGGGAAGAGCAGAAGCGTGCTCGAGTGGATGTCGACTTTCACATCACGCCTCGACTCAGCCAGCACAAGGATGACGGTGCAAACGAGACCCAAAAGCTGGAAGTAGGCACCGACATTGCCCTTACCAAAGTGTATGGCTTCGGTAACAACCACACCAAAGGTCTGTCAGACACGCAAATGCGAGAAGTCATTCTGTATCATCTGGGTGTCTCCAGCAAAGGAAAGAAAGTCTCGCCGGAACTGAAACAACCTCAGCCAACCGTGGGACAAGGACTCTGGAGCAAATCGGTACAAGCGTTGGCGTCGAAGCTGTTTTCATGATTTGCAATTTAGTATGATTATTATGTGGCGTTAGCGTGTGAGATGCGATCTTATCTGAGCCTTAAGAGCGGCGATCTCTGAGATTTTTTATTGGCATCCGGGTGGATGTTGGGGCGTTTTGTTATCACACCACTGCTTTTTAGCCTCAATTTTACGATGAGCTCGAATTGTTATTTCTGCTAAATATCATATCAGAGGGTCTACGATCTAATTAAGCTATGAACCATATATTGCTAACAAGTCAGAAAAATCGATCGGTCGACCGCAGCAAGCAGACGCCCGATCGCGGCCGATTTGCGCAAATCAGATGCTCGTTCTACGATCTCTAACTAACGTTAAAATTTAAGTCTAATATAACTCTAAAAGTTAAAAATTTTTTTATACGCACGTAGGCCATTGCTGCATTACTAATGATAGGTTCTGCCGCACTGGGCGGCGGCCGGCATTCGATTGCTCCGTATCCCGTCCTACCTAGCACTTGCTGCATCAGCAATTGGTTCCCTCGCCCTCATACAGTACTACCACCAGCTATCCAAGCCTCGAAAATCTCACCTTATAGCTCCCATACTCGCTCGTGCGTCTGCTGCTCCTCGTCTTGTCTGCTCGGCTTCACGGACTGCGCCTCTTCGCTGCTCTTATCTTAGTCTCCGTTATCTCCGCCGCCCCCGCGCGCAGAGTAGCCCCAGAACTGGTGCCCGTGAGGAATAGCAGCGTCATTTAACCAACCGCCACTCAACGTCACAGAACCCCTGCTGCCGTAGCATGGATGTTTCCCTCGTGCGATCCCATTCTCTAATCGGTCGGTTTGCATGGGACTAGTCTGCAGCACAGTACACACACAGCGCGGCCGTCAGACGAGGAAAAGAAAAAAGGCGACGCCGGTATGATGCAGGCCGTCAGTGGCGGTCGCGCAACCCGTGTTCCTCATGGAACAGGCCCCCGGAAAGCATCTCTGCATGAGACGAAAAGGATTTATTCAGATGGATTGAAAGAGCGGGGTGTTCGTCAAGAAACGGTATATCTACCTCCCTTCCTCCTTCTGCGTGCCGCAAGCTTCCGGAGCTAATATGAAGGAAAATCGTGATAGACGTGTGATGCGTGTCGCCAGCGAAGATCGACATGTACCTTTGAATTTTCGGTGCCGATTTGTGTGGCGTGTTTGAATCGGGGGACGAAATGTACTGTAACGCAGTTTAAGCGGCCAAAGGTTGATTCGGTGAAAAGGTATTGATTGGGAGTTTTTTTTTTGGGTCTCGTTGGGGGACTGTGATGCGGATGCTAATTCTTCTTTGCAGAAGTCAACATGTACGGAGACTCCAAACGAGGTTGAAACAAATGGAGGATTTGCTGCGATCTGCGGGGATTGATCCTGGGGATGACGGAATGGATATTAAATTGGAAGATGATGGTGATGGGTTCAGCTCGGACGATGACGTGGATTACGCCCCGCCTTACGAGAACGAAAGCGCATCAACACCATCACATACCGATAGTACTCCGAACTCAATGTCCTCTCCGCAGTCTGCAACTAGTCAGAGCATCCCGTTCAATTCGGCGCTTTTCATAAAGTCGGACTCGGGGGAGGAGCCCATATATTATGGTGAGAGAGCCTGGAGACTGTAGTTCTGATATAGCCCCATCTAATGTTTCCGCAGGCCGTGCTTCGACTTACTACATCCTCTCACGAGACGGAGTTCAGTTTATCCGAGATAAAACCGGTGAAGCGGATTGGCCCAATGCTTTGTTTTCACAACCTTGCTGGAAGACACAGCCGATATATTGGCGTTCGGATGTCTTTGCCGATTTGTTTCAATGTCAGGTTTATAGGGCGCTACCTCCTCGATCAGAAGTATTCTCGCTCCTGAAGACCTACTTCCGAACGATCAATCGCATATTTCCGGTTTTCCACGAAGAGACGTTTATGCGCATGGTGGAATGGCAATATACACAGCAGGATTGTACGGACGTTGGTCGATGGGCGAGTATTAACGCGTTATTGGCGTTGAGTTATCGATATCGACATGGACACACGTCAAGACCCGAAAAGGACACGGAAAAGGCTTGGATGTACTGGAAGAATGCTGCAGCAGTGTTGACCGAGTTGTTTTTGCGCCGGAATGATTTACTGGGTGTGCAGACTTTGCTCGCTATGGTAAGCACTTCATCGAAGTCTATCGAATCTGGCTCTAGTCTGATTTAGAATAGGCAATATTTGTGCGAGTGAGTGGAGGGATACGACAGGCTTTACCACTCACCACGGCAGCAATACAATCCGCAGACGCTCTAGGGCTACACAGGAGGAACGCTCGTCCTGACCTTAGTCCGACGGAGCAAGAGATTCGGAACAGGGTTTGGTGGTGTGCATTCTTTCTGGATCAAACGTAAGATGTCTGAAATTTGCTTAATGGTATTTAACTCACAATGTTTTTAGCCTTTCTATCCAAACAGGAATGGGTAACATGCAAAGCGCGGACGAGTTTGATCTTGACTTGCCAAGCGATGATCCCGACCTCGGAGACAGCTCGACAGACTGGTATCCCAAATGGTTTCGCATAACTTGTGCCCATGCTCTTCTCCGTCGCAAGATTTACTGCGAGCTATACAAGAGCCGAGCCTTCTACAAGACTTTCGCAGAAGTTTGCAGTACGGTTGACTCCCTGAATGCCGAACTAGAAGAATGGAAAAACCAGAACCCATATCTCGATTTCAAGCCCCCTAAATCAGAAGCTTTGGACAGAGAACAGGAATTGGAGGTGCTTGCCAAATGCTCTCATATACTTTCCTACCGCCATTCGTTGGCGTTGATCAACCGTATGCCACTCCTACACGAAGTCGCGATCTGGAGACGTCTCAAACCGGAAATCGACCCCGTTCAGTTTGTCTCTACGAACTCTACTAAATATAGTACGATCTGTTTACAAGCTGCTCGAGATTCGTTGAAATTATTGCGTGGATTACCTTGGAGGGATCTCGGGTATAGTTGGTAAGTAGATGTGTTTTAGAACTAGTAATATGATTCTGAGGCTAACTCTGCTTAGGTGTCTTGTGGATTTCCTCTTTGTCGCAAATCTGACAATTTTCTCACATGTTCTGCGGGTACCAGTGAATCCCGACACCGCGTCCACTGAGGAGAATCTGGAGATGCTGAAAACCGCAGCAACGTATTTCAAAACAGTGGCACCGCAGGATGGCGGGTCCAGACAGGCGAAATTCATGGCTACCACGAGCGAAATCATGGAACGCACAGCACGCAAAGTCATTGACAAAGCACACAAGGACGCACAGGCCAAGCCCACCGAACAACAGCCTGTATCAACCCTACAAACACGTGCCCTCAAAGACAAGCCATCCAGCAACGTCCACATCCCTAACGTCGACGGCCTTCCGCCAGTCCAATCATCCGGCTATTTCGTCCCTGGCGAACCACACAACGAAATCAACGCAGCCGACATATTCTACGAAACCGCTGACCTGGCGAAGATGATCCCGCATGAAGATGCGCCACTGACTGCTCCGTATGCATGGATGTTGCCCGACATGTTCGGGCCTTCGGTGGACTCGACACTTGCCGGCGATACGGCTGCATTGCCGTTCATGGATATGCCGTTTGCGACGGCGGATTATTTGGGACAGACGAATCTGGACGTGGCGGCTGGAGATGGAAATTACCGTGCAGGTAACGGCCCGGCGATGAATGGGGATATGCTCTTTGGATATACATGGAACAACGTTGGTCAGTAGTAGAAATTATGACGACGACGAATCCTCGCGTCGACGACAAAGGCATGTCGAAATTGCTATTGTACTTCGTAGTACAATGGCCCCATTACTCCTGGCCACTTCGCCAGCCCGAAGGCTATAAGATCATACATGATCAAGCCCGCGCTGAATGAGCTGTATATATAATGATTCTCTAAAGAGGACTTGGTTTGCATCAAAATGGCGCTTCGATCGGTAAATAATTCGAGTATCCCACTTGACTTGACTTTATCTTGTTATGGGCAATGTACGGCTGGTTAAGGGAGGATGCAAGGAGTCTCGTTTGAAATGATTAAATATGAGTTATGAATGGTAGCCGCGGGTGTTAGGATAGGTTTGGTATATAACATTGAACCGTCTTGCATATAGTTTTTGTAATCCCTGATATTGAATATTACATATTACAACTTTAATCATCAAATCAAGTTTGACGCAAGTTTGATTGGACTTTCAGTATTAAACTGGTCCAAGATCCTCAGCTCTAGACTCGATGATACATGTAAACTTCCAATTTCATCCGCGATGCACCACGAAAGCGAACAAGGCAGCTAGGTCGGTGGAAGACGAAGCCTATTTTCGTAGCTCCTGATAAGGAACGCTGCATATTTTGCGGCCTTGCTTTCAGGGGTTGGGGTTCCTTCCTGGCAGCCATGGCATGCAGAAGTCAGAGCGCGTGAGTCAAAGCATATCTCTCTTAATGCCTCTTCTAACCGCGTCTAGTCTATCTGACTCCAAACAACAAGGTCAAACTAACAGGGGTTGGGGTCTTCCAGGATCATGAGTATTTCGTTCTCGATAAAGAAAATGCACAATGGTATACCGAGAAGGACAGTGACTTCTTCACAGTGTATGGTATGCGGGAGATGAAGGGCCTCTACCTGTTTCACGATCGATGCTGGGGTCGCGTCATGGAGCATTTTTCTCCTGATGAGTTCGATTTAGTCAGTCTTCACAAGGCTTTATTACCTTTTCCAAGGTCAACAGGTCTGCCCCTACCCTTTAATCTAACTTCTTCCATATAACAAGTTACTTGTACCACCTAACAAGCTTTAGAGCCACCTTCGTACTGCCTCGCGAGTAGATACGAAGATAAAGAAGAGGCTCTTTATGCTCTACCCTCTATCGATCAACTCATGCTGTCTCCAAAAGCGGTCCCTAACACCCTGGATTCAGTCAGAAAGCTGGCGACTAAAACCGATGTGTTCAGTGTTCTTCCAGTTGAAATATGTGAGATTGCCGCAGTTCATCTCCCGACTCACGACTTTCTCTCATTGCGCAGTATCTCCAGAGCAATGGTACCAATATTTGCAAGTGCACATTTCTGGAGATTACGATTCTTTATTAACGAGGAACGCGGATATCTTCATTTTGCGATTCAAAATTAGCCAACGACAGTAAGAATCCCGACAAAATGAGTCACGAGACTGACTGGCGATTACTTTATCATTGTACTTGTAAGATCAAGTGCGGCCTGGAGTTTGATTTTCAGATTGGCATATGGGAATCAATGAGATGGTTAAGAGACGCAACTTTGGCCTTCAAATCCGGTACCACTGAGATGCCATTGCACTACCGCGGCAAGGCGCTCCAAGACTACCATAATTATTATGCCACTTTATGGATGGGAAATACACATACAGAGTCAGTTGATATAGGCCCATCTCTTAGTGAAATTGCAATATCAGGGGTCAAAATTGGTGATTACGCGTATATAAGTGGAATCAAATTCATTTTTGATGATGATCGACCAGATGTCTTGATCGGCTATGCAGCACCTGGGGCGACGATTATGCATGGACTGGTTGACGAACGTCAACAAGGACTTAAGTGGAAATTCCTAGGGATTCAAATCAGAGTAAAGGTGTCAAATCTGCTTGGTTTCAGTTTCTATACTGATGATGATTACATCCGATCGATCATGATACTCCATCTCACGGAAGTCCAGCTGGCTTTACTCATGGGACTTACCCTGGGGGGCCATCCCTCTATATTCCTCGTAGATGAGGTCACCAAAGTCATTGCTGTATTTGAAGCGAGTTCAATTCTAATTTCTAACACCATCGACAGAGTCATGAGACTAACACTAGGAATAGGGCCTTAAGTTAGTCAACCTAGGAATTCTCGGCAGAGTAAGAGACCCAGACAACGTGCAAGGTTTGGAGGGTTACCGGAAGATACTCCGACGGATGGGTTAGACTCTCGAATGCTGTAGAATTTGGGGGTCATGGAATTTATTCATTCAGATGCGTATCATTTCTCGGTACAATAAACTATAGTCTCAGGAATATCAAATGTTATGTGTCTACTTACAACAGCATTTGTTCCTTTAATAAGTATCGAATTCTAGCTAGAACAAGATATATAAAACTCTATTTAGCCCTCTGTCGCTAGTGTCTATCTAAAATTTGAATTTGCGAATTGACCGTATCTACCAGAGGTAAGAACAATGAGCAATTTCATAATTACCTTGTTTACTGCTGAGCCTCACACTAGCTGGGGAGAGGTAATCGAATTTCGATAAGGCTTACTCGAGTCAAGATTGAACATCAGATATTTTGGTTCGTTTTATTAAAGCAACTATAATCGTTCTAATAATAGGCGAAGAAAGAAAAGAAATTCCACGAAATAAAAACCAAATGTATAAAGTGAGACAAAGATACAAAATATGGACTGGTCCTACTATCTCCAGAAGGCCCATTTCGACCAACCTGGCCAACTTGTATATTAGTGAATAATAGTTTAAATATTGAATCAATTGTATAAAATATATATTAGAATAAGGATTATGCTAAAATTCATAATCCTAAAGAATAACCTTATTACTCTAGGCTTTTTTCTAGCTCTAAAGAGTGGTATTTTGCGTAGTTTTGAACAAAATACCCTAACAGTAGATGTCTCACGCTCATTCCAACCCCATATCATGCCAATTTAAATATTATTGGAAAGATTTCTAATATATACTCTATTTATTATTAATTATTAAAAAAATCTCTAATAATTATACTAAAAATAAAATAAAATAATCCTCCGCTCTCCACCTTCAGCCAGCCTACCAAGCAAACTTTGCGAGAATCCCATTAGGCCAGCGGCGTGCACACGCTTTTCGTCCTTCATCAAGACACAGCAGTCCGATCCCGAAAGTTGCTGGCAAAAAATAGTGCTGGGCAGGAATGCCAGACGTGCCAAGGACCACTTGCAGTTGGGGGATATACAGCCATATCACGGCGATTCCTAGGGCTGCCACTATAGCTGGGAAAAGTAGAAGGTTCTGCGTTTCCTTATTGAATGCTGGCGGGTGCTGGAAAATGGAGAGATGGCGGGTTCGTACGCTCATGAGGTTGAACCATTGCCTGATTAGACAATGTTAGTAATGTGGTTATAGGAATATGTGAAAATGGTTGCTGTTTCCTTACATAACCACAAGGTTCATAAAGTAGATAGAGCTAGCTTCGTTTAAGCGCGCGTTGTAATAGTCCACGTCGATGCTAGATGGAAGGTTTCCAAAGCTGAACCAGACATCAGAGAAAGGAATACCTTGGCGCTCGAGATACCAGAATGCCATGGAGAAGGAGCAGACACTTTCAATAACTCCGATAAAAGCATATGAATGGAACATTAGCTGCCAGTTGACGAGACGGGTCTTCTTAGGATGGCGAGGTGGACGGAGGAGGACGTCAGCTTCCGGCTTTTCATATGCCAGAACAACAGCCGCGATGCAGTCAGTGAAGCAGCTGTTATGTATGCCACATTAGCTTCAGACTGGAGGTGTTCGACAAAGTCACAGACCTACCAGATGATAATCATCAGAAATGACGATAGAACCTGTGGAAGTCCAAAAATAACGTTGCAAAAGACTGGCCAGAACTCTGAAAAAGACCCAGCTGGCAATAGATACGCAATTGTTTTCTTCAAGTTATCGAAAACAACCCGCCCATATCGGACAGCTTCGACAATAGCGCTGAAGGAATCCAATAAGACCATATCTGCTGCTTCAATAGCAATATCAGAACCGCTCGCTAAGCTGATACCAATATCTGCAGCTTTTAGGGCCGGTGCGTCGTTGACTCCATCTCCAGTCATCCCAACGGTTTGGTCTCTGGCTTGGAGCTCACGAACGATGCGAAGTTTCTGGTCAGGTGTTGTTCTGGAAAATACAACTTCGGGATACTGGCACGCAAGGTTCCACTGATATTCGTTGAGACTCAAGATATCTATCCCAGAGAGTAAGAGTGCTCCATTGGGCTTGATGGCCTCCCCTTCATCCTTCGGGGCTCGGGGGAGATGCGAGATATCATCAACCGACGGCGACGTTACCATTCCACACTGACGGGAAATTGCAACGGCCGTCAATCCAAAGTCACCAGTAACCTATATGCGTCGCGAATCAGCCTGACCCCTCATACATAAAAGCTTTTGAGGAAATCCAACCATAAACATGCGAATTCCAGCACCACGGAGAATTTGCATTACTTCCGAAATTTCCTTTCTGGGGGGATCGATAATACCAATAAGACCAACAAGAGTGAGACCTGATTTTGCTTCTGAGATAATTTGAGCCTCAAGTTGATCTGAAGAAGGGTCTGGAAGAATCGTATCTGGAGCAAGGATCTTACGCCCAGCGAGAATTACTCGTTTACCCTCATTGGACCAGCGGTCCTTGATTTGTCGCATTGTGGTTTCAATTTCAGGTGTCATTGATTCAACTTTGCCATCTGCATCGATATAGGAGCTGCATTTTGGCAGGAGGATGTCCGGAGCCCCTTTCACCGTGAGAAGGCTAAAGTATCAAGGTATCAGTATTACCTCTGAAGCTTTGAGAAAGTGGCTGAGAACGGCACTTACACGCTGTTCGTATCGAAAGAAAGAGCCTCTGCAGATGAAACACCAGTACCGACGTCGTTGGTTTTGGCACAAGTAACACCCTTAACCATGAACTTGCGCTTGCTATCGAATCCTAATTCAAACGATTCTTTCCACTCCCGGCGAAGCTCCATGACTGAGTCAAGACTCTCCGAAAATCGAAGAATGGCCTGATCCGTCGCATCGCCAAAAATTCGTCTCTCAGGTAGGGGGAGATGAGACACTGAAGCGTCAAACTCGGCTGCGTTGCACAGGCCGGATATTGCACGAAGTTGCTGAACTGCGGATCTTTTATTGCCGTTGGTTTCTTGCGCGCTATTTCCTTGAGGGACAGTAAAAGTTTGGTTGCCAATTGCATAGTCGGTTACGAACATTTTGTTCTGTAGGTAGTAAACTGTCAGTACCATCCATGTCTCAACCTACATATTCGTTACTACGTTGACACACCTGGGTAAGCGTTCCTGTTTTATCGCAGCAAATAACCGACACTGCACCCAATGTCTCGACGGTTTTGAGAGACTTGCAAAGAATTTTGTTTTTCTTCATCAGATTAGCAGTGATGGTAAGCGTTGAGGTTACCGCAATCGGAAGACCCTCGGGAATATAAGCGATGGCAACGCTGACACAGTCGACAATGAGAGCAGGAACGTTAATCCAATCTGGATAGTCTTTATGAAGCCATCCACCCCTAGACACGTAACCGGCAGGTCTTAATAATTTGTCTTAGGTTACGAAGCAGAGGGGTAGAGTCTTACCAAACTGCAGCTAGAATAACGATCCAAGTGATCATAATGGCGAAGATCAATAACACAAAACGAAATATTTCTTTCTCAATGGTAGTTAACCCTGTACGAGGCTCACCAGCTAACTTGGCGATTTGGCCGAAGACCGTCGAGTCTTTCGTCGCCACGACAATTCCAGTTGCATGACCACCAATGATGTGAGTGCCTTGAAGGCCAATGCACCGGGTTTGTAAGTAATTGTCATCCGTTGAATTGACTGAGATATTGACCGGTTTAGATTCACCTATGGCCGGTCTGTTATGAGCTGTTTCTATCATAGTCGGAATCGCGCTTACCCGTGACGATAGAACGATCCATGGATGCATCGTGAGAGGCGCTAATAAACCTGAGGTCGGCGGGAATACGATTTCCTGCCTTCAGCAAGATCAGGTCTCCCGGAATAATATCGGTCGCGCTAACCTCGACCTTGGTGTTGTCACGCATCAAGAAGCATGATTCCGGTAGCATTGCGGTGATCGAGGCCATCACACGAGACGAGGACCAATCTTGCCACGCATTGAATGCAGCTTGAATAAAGAATACCGCGATGAGGACGATTCCAAGCGCGAGATTCGCCACAGCAGGGGGATCACCAAGGGGCTTCCAAGAAACGAAGACCAGGATACCGCCAATCAGTAGAATTGAGCCAAACCCCTTGAAGAAATAGCCCATGATTTTCCAGAACCAAGGATTTGGCAAGGGCGAGATCTTGTTCTGGCCATACTTGCGCAGTCGCTCCTGGACCTGTCGGTCTGACAGACCAGCCGCTGCATCGACTTCAAATCGCTTTTGGATCTCTTCAATCGACAGAGTATGCCATTCGATCTGCTCGAGGTCTATTAACCGTTAGTTGATATACGGTTGATAGTGTGGCTGAAAATACCATATGCGAGTTTGCCCTTAGTTTTCTCTGCTTCGAGCTGTGTTTTTCGTTGGCTTTCATCGATTTCGAAAGACCTAAACGTCGAGTCAGCGACTAGGTTAGATGTAGAACCGGAATGAAGAACGTGACAACACGCACACGCTGCGGTATTGAATAGGCAGGGCTGTAGCAGGGTCGATCTCATGACGGCTGTGAGTTGACAGTCGTCGCGAGCTGAATCGCTCAGCCTGGGATGTATTCCTTTGGCTCGATCGAGGTCTATGACCAGACTCCTCGTCGGGTTCCTTCCATTGCAACGGCCGTGTTGCGCTCATTTTTGTATTCCTTGGCTGTTATACACACAGAAATGAGAGAAACTAAGGGGGTCTTATTTTTCTTCTCCTCACTTTCGAGGACATGATGATGGCCTTTTAAACCCCTGCATCGGCAAATACTAGCCTCATTCGTTGACTAAATTCTGAGAGGAAAAACTGCTTTGAAAGTCAAAAGCACAACTTGAGGTCCGGTTTGGCGTAACTGTTATGTTATAGAAACTGCGACAGAAAATGGCTCATGGAGTGTGGTCTGCGTGCGGCATTTAAATATGCCAATGGAGATGATGCCCTAATTCGTGCCGCAAAGCTGGGGCGCCACATGGTCGCGGGCCCTTACGGGAACAGGCAATTCCTTGTCCCTGACTATTATATCAAAGAGGAGACGAGTCATGAGAATGTCGCGGGAATATTGCCCTGAGTCGTTTTTATGAGGTCATAAATATAGCTAGCTCATGTCAGCAAGAAATAACTTGTATATGAAAAATACCGCACTCAAACAAACATAACCCACCTCGCCTGGAGGGTGCTGCACAACACTTAACAAGCGATGCGATAGAACAATCCATAAGTCTAAGGTCGCAACTCCTGCAACTCAGTGAATCATTACGTAAAGTAAACCAGGGTTTAACGATCTGTTATAATTGTAGTCGGTTCAATTGGCCCTGAAATAACTGAGGTATATCGCGCATACAATGTTGCCATTGGGTCGGTTGACCCCTTAATTGTGATATAATGAAAGACTTGAGGGCTTTCAATATACGGTCTTCTGAGACCCATCGCTGTGAGTCTGAATACAGAACAGACTTATTGATAATGTTTTGATAGGATCCGCATAGGTCCTCTTGCACCTGCCAAACGAGAGTTCTTTCGAGTTTCTCCAGTCATCCTACGGTGTATATATCCATGACTACCAAAAGTCACAATGCGCAGAGAGTTCATGCTAATAATTGAAAGGTACCTGGTACTTGTGGATCCCTAACATCTCGGTTATATAGTTGTGAATGTAGGCGAGGCCGTATGTTCCATGCCCGGGATTCAGTTACACGAGTCGTCCAAGTCGACAATTTGTGAGCCTCTATTACGTCAAACCTCAAAAAGTGGAGAAGGAATAGCTAACACAGTAATTTGAGGTTCTAATACAGAATCCTCCGACAATCCGCCTGCTCTTCAGGGTACCCCGTGTAGTAGCGCGGAACTGCACTCAATCAACTCGGATTGCGCGGTGTGTACAGAGACTCTTGCGTATAAGGAGAATGTTCGAGTTTTTCCATGCAACCATGCATATCACGCAGAATGTATAGATCCTTGGGTTATAAGATTTTCCGGGACTTGTCCGCTCTGGTAGGTCTTTTTCCACTAGACAGAATCCTCGGGTCCAGCTTCAGAAGATATGTGTTAACGAATAGCCAACAGCCGCAGTAAAATCCAAAACTACGTCCCTGATACTTCAACTTTATCTGTATCAGACGTCGGACAAGTCATGTCATCCTCGGCTACGCTTCCAACAGCACCTCACAATATCGCCCAGCTACCACTAACTTCACAGCCGCGAGCTCTTTCTGGAGTCAATAGAGCTTTCCGGTCTCTTTCCTTGTCCATAGATTCTCATATAATATCCAACCAGATGATATCCGATGACACTGACGTGTCAATATTAGCGTCAATGCGGAGATTGCAGATGTACAATCAACCCTCAAATAGCACGGGGCTGTCACATGCAGTACCCAGCAGCGTGCCTGGCCGCTGGCGGTTGGGAACCACAGTAAGAAGGAGATTTCGGTCTTTAGTTTGAAAATGTTTGCCTAGCTAGTTTTAACTGGAGCTGACCACCTCATTGCGATTGGGATTTCAGCATTCGTTCTTTTGGTTCTTTGGGCTATACTAAGCTTTCCATAATAATTTCAAGTAATCTAAAATTACACTATTTTGGCCAACGATAATATTTAAAGATGTGCAAGGCGGTCTTTCAAAATGACTGTCAAGTTTTTTTACCATTCTAACAACCCTGTGAAGATCTCCATGCGGCTGACACGGATTTCTGATTCATTACGTACGTGCTAGATTCTGTTTTTATTATAGACACTAATCATTTTTAAAATTTGGGACATTATGATGCGTAAAACGGTTGAAATCGTTTTTCTATATCCTAAATACTTTACAGCCGTTCCTGATCCACAGAGGCAGGAGCAGTGGGAACAGGGCCATTGCGCACGAACTGCGCTGCAACAAAACCTAGAAATGCAATAACAGCAACTGTCCACCATGAAAACACGGCAGATTCCAACTTCAAACCCTCTTGATATAAGTATCCCGCAAAAAATGGCCCTAGAGTGCGGAAAAGGGCGGAAGCCATTTGTCCAATTCCATGTACTTTTCCCAATAGATGTGCAGCAGGCGCGCTATTATTAAGTACTATTATCGTTGCCGGTATGACGAAAACCCGCCCGGTGACATGTATTAACAATGTTAAGAAGATAGCGGGCCACATAGCTGCAGCTGGCTGAATAGCCTGAAGAAGTGGAAAGGCAAGATAGGCCAGCAGAAACAAACTACTGAAAGTTCGATAGCTGTTGACCGTACCAATAATGTCATTCACTCGTGGATAAATGAAGATTTGTATAATAACCCCGATAACACCTGAAATGCTTGTAGCCAATCCGACGCTTTTTACCGACATCCCAAGGCCTCCAGCATGGCCACTTACTTGATCCTCAGGTGATGCACGAGCATTAGATAAAAATAATGGCCAAAGACCAGCGAATGCTCTGTATTGAAGAGTAACAGGTTAATTGTTCAGTGTCCTTTCAAAAATTCCGATGTGCATTGGTTGACTGCTTACCCCATGTGGAAGTCGAAAATGGCCTGAGAACCAAGTGTTGCGATAAAAGTAAAGGTCCAGATGCTCATAGATCTTCGCACTGGACTGCTCTTTTGAGCCCGATCCATGCGTGGACCTGATCCAGCAGACGCACGCTCTTCGAGTTCAGCTGAATCCATATCTTCGGGGACTTCCTGTATTAGTGCTGCGTAATCAGTTGGTTGACGACGCCCGACGAGTCTGAGAATTAAGTATTTCAAGTTTCGTAGCGCTTGGTCACGAGGTTCTAAATTTGTGGCAGTCTACCGACTCTATTAGCTTTAGTACCATCGTACTACCACAGTGCCATACCTCTTTTGTAAAGAGAAACACCACAGCTGAAAGCAAAAACATCGTGGCCGCACTTGCCAGCGAGGGCAGGGCATATGGAAATCGCTCAAGCCAGTGGGAAGCTGGGTCTCTTGAAGCGGAAGTAACTTTCATAGGGTTTGAGAGAAAGCCGGTGATGACTATTTACATTAGAGATTGTCATCCGACTTTCGTTAATATGAATCATCACTTACGAGGACCCAAGAATGTAGCCACATTGAAAGATAGTGATAGCAAAGAAAAAGCCCGGGACTGGAATCTGCTCCTTGCTTAGCCTAAACCCAAGGTGGGTTGATTTAAAGACGACTTGCCGTTTCTCGACTATATTTTCTGACATCATGGTCCGACTAGAATTGCAAGTCCGTTAGTATAGGGAATTGCGGTGTTCAAAGTTAATAACTAACACAATGCCCACTGTTCCATTTAATAAACCGCCAATTACTCTAAAGACAACTGTACCAGAAAATGAGGTGGTGAACCCTAAGCCAATACACGACAATCCTGTTCCACTTAACCCAATTAAGAGGACTGGTTTTCGACCACACCATTTTTTATCTGCACAGGATCCCCATAAAACTGAAGTGCAAGTTTGAGCAGCAGTGAACGCTCCGATTGCAATCCCTGTTTGCCACGAAAGAGTTATTTCCGATGCAGATGGATCAATAGCTTTGAGCTGATAGTAACATATCGTCTGGAAAGAAGCTATTTGCATAAAGTCAAACACTCGACAGAGAAACAGCAGAAAGAGCTGATCTTTCTGTGGGAGAGTTAGCCATGACGTCTCTTGCCCTGGGTTCAGACTTTTGCTTTGAAAACACGGCATAGTAAGGGGAGTCTATTCAAAATAATTAATCTAACAGCGAACGAAAATGACACCCAAAATCTTCAGTAACTACACTTTGCCTTGTGACCTCAATTATTTTGCAAACTATTCAAACAACTGCAAATTACTTTTATTTGTCAATAGTCAAAGTACTTATCTCCGGCATAGTTAGCTGATCACGCAATGGGCTGGGATGATGGGATGATCCCGGACTATATCCCTACAGTGGGGAGAACCTCGTACAGCCCCGGTCCGCGATACTACATGCCCAAGGCCAAGGCAATTGGCGGTCAACTCTTGAGGACCATGCGCAAAAATATTGAATCCTGAAAGTGGGCTGGTGTGGATGTTTTCCCAGATCATGTCGTCAGCAAAACCGCGTCACGGCGTATTCGCCTAATAACGAACAACTACCGACATTTTTGGATCATAGAGGATGATATTGGAGTTCAGTGAATTTTTATACAGTGGATTTTCCAGTCCAATTAGAATTTACACTACACGCTGGCCACTGGGGTTTGTGACTTAAGCAATTAGAGCGAGCGAACTTGCAAGAATATATCGAGAACGGTAACACCTATTATATATTTCATGATATTTTCGATGGATTTTCCATGTCAAATGATGGTCGTGGTTGACAACTCAAGGGTTTGAATTGATAAAACGTACGAACTAGACCAAAAAAATATGATCTGCATTTCGCCCAACACTGGCTGACGGATGGCGTCTGAATACGCTTAATACGTAGATGGATAGTGGCAGACACTAAGCGATCCTTCCAACCTAAAAGTCTAATGAATAGACGTGACTTGTAGACAGGCCTGGTTAGTTGTGAAATTATGTGTGGGCCAATATAGTATTCCTTGAAAATCGCATATACGCAGTAATTCCAAATGCACGTGCGGCTTCGATAACAGCTTGAGGCCAACCCAGCCCCTCATTCCTACTACCTCGCAATAAAAGTAAGTATTGACTAGTAAGGGAACTAATATTGCTCTATCTAGGCTGTATGTAGTATTTATGTCTGCCGAGATGCTCGGACTAAAGAGTCCTTACTAGTATAATTACAGAAGAATTCATGGACTCTATCAACCCCGCGAATGGCCCTGAAAACCTAAGTCGAACGGCGTTTTGGATCGACTAGACATTATCGTCTCCTTCAATGTCTAGATAATCTCATGGCCTTTTATCTATGGCTTCTCGGCGTCGTTTGGACATCGTTTGCACAAGCCGATGTTGAGCCATACTACGCATCTGCGGATTACGATAAAGGTGAATTCGGGCCTTGGCCGCTGCAGTCGTATAAGTCCTCCTCTCTTGTAGGACCTGTGGTGAACTATCTTTTTCGCGCCGAAGAGTGCAACAAAGATGGGAAATATACGTTTATTACGCCGCGTGGATATAGTGTTCCGCAGGCAGGGCCATTGATTCTCGATAAACATGGAAGTTTAGTTTGGACAAAAGGCTATGGGCCATCATACGATTTCAATGTCCAGAGATACAAAGGAGAAAATTATCTTACTTTCTGGGTGGGCAATGATGACCTAGTTGGGCATGGGAGTGGCAGCTATTATATGGTATTACAAAGTTCATTGAAATCGTGACTTTTTATTAACCTTTGAATATAGTTAGATTCTTCCTATAAAGAAGCCTACAAAGTAAGCGGCGCCAATGGTAAAGCCGCTGATCTCCACGAGTTTCGCATTATCCATGAAAATACAGCAGTTCTGACCTTGTACAATGTCCTACCAGCAAATCTCTCATCAATGGGCGGACCGGAGAATGGGTATATTTGGGACTCTGGATTTCAAGAACTAAATATTGAAACTGGTGAAGCAATATTTGAATGGTGGGCTTCCGCTTACTTTGGCTACGATGAAGCATATAGAGGCATTGAGGGCGAGGGAGAGGAGAAAAACACTGCGTGGGACTATTTTCACATCAACAGTGTAGACAAAGATCAAGATGGAAATTATCTGATTTCCTCGAGATATATGAACTGTCTTACCTATATTAATGGGACCAGTGGAGACATTATATGGAAACTTGGAGGGAAACATAACATGTTTGTCGATCTATCCGGTGGCGCGGCCACAAATATCAGCTGGCAACACGATGCCCGCTTTCAAAAGAACGATACAGCTATAACGCTGTTCGACAATGCTTCTCGGGGTAGCGATGGATTTTCTGTCGGCGATGGAACATCCGAAGAATACTCGAGTCGGGGACTCTACCTTGATATTGACAAAACAAACTTGACTGTGAAGGTGCGATATACATACTGGAATCCCCGAGGAATCACTAGCATTTCCCAGGGGTCCGTACAACTTCTCGAAGATGATCGTGTGATTGTAGGGTACGGGATAAACGCAGCCTGGACTGAGTACACACTTGATGGACAGGTTCTTTGTGATGTGCACTTCGGCCCTGAATCAGGCTTTGGTACTAAGGACATTGTCTCTTACCGAGCATCTCGACATGCTTGGGTTGGTAAACCTAAAACATTACCAGATATCGCCGTACATGACCACAAAATATATGTGAGCTGGAACGGAGCCACAGAAGTGGCAGACTGGGTTCTAGAGGGAGCAAAGACCAAAATGTCGACAGCTGAGTATCATGTCATAGTCTCTCAACCTAAAGATGGCTTTGAGACTGTTATCTTGGTTCCAGAAAATCCGTCTTACCGGTTTATCCGTGCTCGTGGTCTCGATCGATCTGGTTATTTTCTCGGCCACACAAAGGTAGTCGAGTGGAAAGTTACCAAATCCGAATCTCATGACCCCCATTTGCATACGATTTGGTGGGTTGTATACACTGCAACACCAATTATTATTTGCGTTTCTTTCTTGGGTGTGGTTGCTATCTATCGCCAAAGAAGGGCAAATATTACGTCTCAGAATGTCTTGCAATGTGACGAAATGGAAGAACTCGGCCTTCTAAAACCTAGTCAGGAATGATAGTGTATACCAGCTAAACGGCCTCAGAACTGAGCAGAACTTTGAATAACTTTTAGGTGATGGCGGAGAACGGCCCTCTAGAAATGAAGATTGGGCTGTATGGGGCTACCATTATAATACAAACGGTAGATACATCTGACCTAAGTTAAAACGTAAGGACATGTCAAATTGAATTTCGCTGTAGTCTCAGACTGTGGAGACCTCATAAAAACATACGGAACCAAATCCTCGGTCCGCTGAGGTCAATGGCACTAAATACGTCTTCAAAATAGTACTAGGGATGCAATTATAGCACATTCAAGTATTTATCAACAGTGCAGCTATGGGCGCAAGTAGAATATGCCGTGATACTTCAAAGAAAAACCAAAAATTAGATGCGGATATTGTAGAGTACAATACAATCCAAAGGGGCGAATAGTTTTTTTATTAAAGGCTAGTGTAATACAATTGACACCATCATATGCTCGAAACATTCGAAGTTTGACAGTGGGTTCAGTGGGGGCGTTTCACAACGGCCAAATATTTGACTGAATAACAGCTGCTATAAAATGACAAATAAACTAACTTCTAGTACACATGTAGCGTTGATCGGGCTATAAATATACATCATTTAAGGCCGAAGCTTCAGCCTTCTCCCCCAACACAGCCAAGATATGCGATTACGCAGAAATATCTAACAATGAAGTGGGTCGTGAAACTAAGCCACTGGCTCTCGTCAGTGGCTCACCCATGCGAAGATATTCTTGAGCCTTGACCCAGTTGTATCGACGGCATCTATCCACAATTTGTAAATTCTATCTGGGGGCCAAACCACTTTACCTAGTAGGCTATTGCCAAGAACAAACATTCCGTCTGTGGTATTGTATAGATATTGTATCTCCACCGCCGTACTCAAAGACTCTCGTTCATTTGAACGGTCGCATCTGACATATAGAGGCGCCAATATAACATGTCCTCTTTGAAGCATTTGTCGTCCATCGTGAAACATGAGGTAGGAGCTAAGTTGATTGCGTAATATTAGTGTCGATTGTGTCTATGCCTAATGCAAGAGCTAGATACTACTCTTATCATTACTCCGGGGCTGACTGCAGCGCTAGGATAAGCGTGCAAATTAAGAAAAGTGGAAACGAGCCAAGAAAATCCCAACTCAATGTGGCATTTTATTGTTCGTACGTATATACATGTGCATACACTCGCACAAAAGAGCGTGACAATCCTTGGCTGAGGTGACCGCGCCTCTTCATCAATTGATCAAACAAAGTTGTAACCAGCAGCATTATCATGTCTTTGTGTAATGCTAACAAGTTACGACACCAACCATGGACAGATATATTCACTGGTGATAGTTGTATTGATCGCCGAAAATGTCGCCGCACTGTACCTATGAAGGTCCTCGCATTGGGTGTTGGTCGCACAGGAACAGCCTGTAAGTTCGAGGATATCTCGCTGCCTTAGGAAATAATCTACTTTTCAATGCTGCATTTTATATATAATCGGGAATTTGATTCTAATAATCTATATTTTGCACTTGATTTTGTTTAGCTCTCCGAACTGCCTTACACCAATTAGGCTACATAAAAACCTACCACATGATGTCAGCTAGCATTGAAAACCCCCCAGATTGCCTCATGTGGCTTGATGCGCTGGCAGCAAAATATGACGGGGTTGGAAAGTTTGGGCGTAGGGAATGGGATCAACTACTTGGAGATTGTCAGGCAGTCTGCGATTGGCCAGCTTGCGCATTTGCAAAAGAGCTCATTGAGGCTTATCCGAATGCGAAAGTCATTCTGACTACGAGGGACGTCGACTCATGGCATACGTGAGTATTTTCCTTGATTTAATAGACAAGTTGCTGATTGGGTTTCCCGGCAGATCTACAATGAAAACGGTATATTGGCGTGCTACCGATGTCGAACACAAGTTCGTTTCAAATTTTAGCTGGGCAGCAAGCATGTACTATCCCATGATTAATAAATTTTTTGCAACATTCTTCCACAACGACTTCCCCAACCAGGGGAAACAAATTTATCGTGAGCATCTGGCCGAAGTTCGCAGCCTAGTACCACCTGAACGATTGTTGGAATTCAATGTCAAAGACGGATGGGAGCCACTCTGCGAATTCCTAGGAGAGGAAATACCGGAAAACCCGTTTCCACGTTCGAATGATATTGCCAACTTTATCGAACGAAGCCGAAGACGTAATAGGAGACAGATGCTAAATGCGGTCCTGCAGCTATTCACTGTGGTATTAAAGCTGTTGATTATCTTTTTTATTGGCCATTACGCCCTGAGGCGGTTTGATGTCGTACCGAAATTTCCAGCGGCATTGAATGAGACAAGTTTTTGGACTGGTCGGACCACTACGTGTTGATATAATGAGTCTGCTTTAAGTCTGGGCGGCGAGAATATACTTCAATGTTAGGACAAGCAGACATCTGGACGTTCTTACAAAAATACCGCGGGCAGGAGGCTTTCCTCTCCCAGCGCCTCGAAAATATGAGTTTATGAATTTTATCGAAAAGTAGGCAGCACAAGCTGTCAAATGATTGCAAGTTGCACATGCAGAATTGGAAACGTGCAGGGAGACATAGCTCAATGGACGATGAAACAAAATTTATTTATTCCTAAATTGATGAAAATCATATGTGAATACAACCTATTATTCCGAATGGCAAAGAATTGACATTCTTTGTACGATGATATTTCAAATGTTGATTGGTTCCATTCTTATGTCGTTTTCAATGCTGCGAGAAGTTCTATCCAAACTCCGTCATAGAATCAATTGGAAAATTTCTCTCTATTTTGCTCACAGTGACTATATATCACTCATCTATTCACATTCACAAATCCTGTTGATGGTTTTACGGATGGTTGGGCACCCGCAACGTGTTTTTCAAGCCGTGAAGAAGTATAATCGAGAATGACTGAAGAACACAGTAAATAATGTTCCGATTTCTTAATATCGGTATTTTTTATTTTTAGACGGAAGCATTCCAAACTGGATTATGTGTCAGATATACAATAATATACTAGGTGATGTCACGTTTGACCAGATCATTGACTTTGAGGTGCCGAGAGCAGCGACTAGCTGAAACTATATCGTGTACAATAATCTCAGCACCCTGGTATAAATAATAAATGGGAAACACTTCCGACCAGAATTTTCCGCTCCCGTACTTGACAATAAAGTATGGGTCTAGCCATGGGTTCGGTGTGCGAACAGTACCACGCAGCCAAGAGAAAGGAAGCTGTTGACTTCCTGCGAGCCAATACACCTATTGGCGCCCGTCACAAGGATATAGGACCCAGAAGGGAGTTCGAGATGCTGCGGGGGTATTTTTGCAAATGGTAATTGCTTGAGAAAGTCGGAAGGAGGTAGAGATTAGTTTCAAAAATACTATGGAGATGCTAAGCCATTCTTTTATAACCGAAAGCCCTACATATTAATCATGTTGACATGTTGGTATGATATATGCTGTCCCTTCTAGTAATTGGCTTTAGGCAAGTGGGCATCGATCGACTATAAGCGAGCGGACCAAGCAAAAGATATAATGTTGCACATATCACGCTACCAACACTTTTCAGCTGTCTCCTAATTGAGAATTTTCGAATAGCGTATTGACACTTCTTATTGCGAGTTAAAAAAGACTCAGCGTCGCCGGGAACTAAAAAGTCCTAAGATCTATTGAGGACATCAATGAAGACAGAAATTATAACGAGCAAAAGTCTTTACAAACCTTGAGAACCGTTGAGTGCAAGACGGAATTTTCCTTTGACCAGTCTTACCCAGCTTGCATAAGGCCCCAAATCTAGGAATTTTTCTCCCTACCCAGTGGAAATGAGATTTTGAGATATGTATGTCAAGAATGGTTCATGCTGTGTCATCTAATCTACACAAGCTCGTCATAACTGGGGAGGTAACCCTAGAGATTCAAACATTCGATCTAAACATAGAATGGTGCAGAAAGAAAAGGAAAATGCCTTCATATATCAATTTCATCATCAAAATTGACCAAGAAATTGATCTCTAGATATATTAATAGGTAGCAATAAAAACATTGATGATCTAGAACCAAATTCAAAGTAAGAAAGACCAATTAATTGTATCCACATTTGCAGCTCTTCATCTAAATTACGTTCATGAGTTATATTCCTTAGCATTAAAGCTTGTTAATCATACATGTACATCGGTAGAACAATAGCTGCATGCAATCATGGCATCTCGAAGCTCAGAATAGTGACAACTCTCATCGCCCCTCTGCAGGAGGTCTACTCTATATTCCCGTGTTGGCAAATTCGAATGACTCATGTTTTAATGCAAGGATACAGTCGGATCATCGAATTTCCTCCTCCAACAACCTCCGCTACAAACGACAATCCATCTGAGGTATCATATTTAGAAGGGAAAAGACGCCGATCGAAAGCTAAGGGTCGGTGACAGGGCTAATTGAGTAGTAAAGCTTTTATAACCAATTAAGTCGTAATTAGATATTGAAAGTTATATACAGTTAACCAAATTTGCTATAAATACAAAGAATAGTGACAAGTTGGGAGGATATCCTAGAGCAGTCAGCGTTATGCAGAGACCAATAATTACCCCCAAGCTGGTGAATATACTGATCGATCACTGCTCAGAAAAATTGAATGCCATGGGTGCATTGTTACTAATCGCTCAAAACCGCAAATTCAGGAGCTAGTTCCCCCTAGCCCAATAACTAAAGATTGCTGCAAAACAATCTCGGATCCTGCCGATGCCATGGATGTCGCATTGACGCATCCACTACAGCCATGGTCTGCTCATTCCCTTTCCTGCCCGAATTCCTCAACTTTCATCCATACGGCACACCATCTCCGGAAGGCACGATCCCGGCCTTCGCTGCAACAACAATCAATGTTCTCGCAGGCCAATATGATGCTATTGGCCATGACTCCAGACTCGTCACAATCTGGCGAATTCAAGGAACTTTGTTGAAACTTGTATCTGAACGCGATATATCCGCGCCGTCCATCAGCTAGCTGATGAAAGGACGTGGAAAATACGCGTCACGGTCCATGCGACATCTGGGATGGCAGGAGTAAGAAAGGACCTAGGGAATACAGCAAATCCGGTCACGAAGATATTTTGTGTGAGTTCTGGGTAGTTTGGGGCGAGAGGTGAATAGCAACATGGGAACCTAGACTGTGGCCGACTATGTGTGCAGAACCGTTACGGGATTTGACACGTATGAGCTGAGCGACATTTTGGGAGCATGTTTTGGTTGAGTGAATGTGACTGGCCATGCCCTGGGAGGTCGGAAATTAGAAGGTGATAGGATTGTGGCATGCATGTATGGGATGGTGGTTGGTGAGGGTGACACCGCGAATGAGAACCACTGTTGTTGTGCGCTTGGTGTTGTAAGTCGTATAATGTCGCGACATTTCATTCAATTTTAGTATGTAACAGACAGAAATCCATATGTGTTGTGGAAATCCTAATATATTAATTGTTCGACGTAATCATTTATCTTTTTGCACCCGACACTACGAATGACTAGTGGGTTTCATTGCTGCCTAGCCATTCAAAAATAGAAAAACCGGATTGACAACATTGTGCTTGATTAACTAGCTGCATCTCCATTGATATCCTAAACTACGATAAACACATTTTATTTAAAACTGCAAGCAGTGATTGCGACAAAAAAAAAAAAGCGACCCCCAACCACATTAAGATGAGAACATTAAGGCCACATAACAAATCCCGCCAAGGCTGTCTAAACTGCAAGGCCCGCAGAGTCAAGGTGGTTTTGACCCTACCCAGGGTAAACGCATTTAACTGATGGTTTCTTTAGTGTCAAGAGACACGCCCTAGCCCATGCTACAACTGTAGTAGTCGGCAACTGGAGTGCATATACCCATCCAAGGACCAGCTAGTGCGTCGACGCCATGCGACACATGGAATCTCGTATAGACGAGGAGAGGAAAGGGAACATGATTTCCTCGTCAGCACCCCAATAAATGGACATTACTTACCCTCATCACAAATGGAATTGGGCTCACCTTCATATATGTTGCCGGAGGCTTTCACTGGACATGACCTAAGGTTCTTACATCACTTCTTGATCACCGCATATCCTCATCTTCCTTTTGGCAGTGAAGACTTGTGGAAAACATCTCTGCCGGCGTATGCACATGAAGTATGTTCTATAGATTTCTGAAGCGAACCTTGAAAAGTTACCCAGTGGTGTACTAAATTGAATTTAGTGTCCGCACTTAATGCACGCAATTCTCTCTCTGGGAGCTTCTCATTTGTCCTTAATTTCGCCGAGAGCGGACGAATATACCCCTCTAGCTCTTGCTCACAGAGGTAAAGCGCTTAAATATCTTGGTGACATGCTTGCAGCAGTGGACCAATACACGAAAACTGATCTAGACTTGATCCTGGCCACAACCTATGCGCTTACATTCCAGGCAAATTACATGACTGATGGATTAGTTGATTTTGCTGTCATGGTTCGAGGCTGTACGACTGTCACACGGCGAATTCGAAGTCAGGACCAGGAAAGCGATATGTTCCGTCTGCTTATGTCGGAAGCTATATACGCTCGAGTCTGCTCTCAGCTCCCCTTAACGCCATGCTGGGATGCTGACATGCTTGAAATGTCTATTGAGGCAATAGAGGGTATACAGCCTCTACTAGAGACAAATGGTCACCGAATCAACTACCACGCTATCTTAAATACATACCGTTGTATGCGGATCTCTGGGCAGCAAGGCTTCATCGCCTTGAGTGAAGTGTACAACGGATGGGGAAGTATGGACTATCAGGAGTTCATGAATTTCCTGGATTCTGGAAACCATGTCTCTAGACTGTTGTTGCTCCATTATGTCACTGTGACAATTATGATGAAGCCAGTTTTTAGTATTTTCAGGCCGTCTATGCGAGAAAGTCCTAAGGACACACTCGCTAACCATCAGTGGGGAATTGGTATCTATAGAAGCCTTCCTGCCAAATTTCGCGGCTTGGTTGAGTTGCAGTATCGGTTTATTGTTACGGATAAGGCGTGGATTGAGGAGGGAGGTACGATATCTGCAAGCGTGAATGCAGCCGACGTTTTTGCAACTATAACACAAGAAATTTGAAACGAAGTAAACGGTCATTTAAGGCCTCTATTAACAATCCAAATGTACTGGTAGTCCAAGAAATCCCTAACAATCCAAAGAGACAAGCATGAGGAGGTGCGCCGAAATACGGCGAAGTACGCAAGAGTCGGTAGGTCGAGACATAAGAAGAAAAGGTCGATGGAATCTTGCAACCTTTTTCCAAAAGGTTCACAGAGATCGGCCCAGTGGCTGCCCATCGCTATCCCTTCCACGAGACTGTAACTCTGTCGGTTTGTCCTCAAGAATCGACGCGAGCCATCGTGCAGGATGATACCACCCCATTACCACCATCGCAGCAAACATCGGAACTGCCTCGAAGACATAAAGCGGCCACTCATGAGTCCACGTATAACCTCCTATGCCGATAGAGAATTCAATGACTCGGTAAATCAGACGAACCTAGTAGTCAGCAGTTAGTAGGTTCGGTCCTGGTCAATAACAAGGACAACATAGGAGTATGATTTACCGTGATAAAGAAACCTGCGATATAAATCCCATTCAACACCGACTTCACCTCGGAGCCCTTTGTATCCCTTGATGAAAGAGGAATTATGCGAATATGGTACCAAATGACAAGAATAAGGAAAATCGCAAAGGTAACAAGCTGTAACACCAGCCCAGCAATGAGCACACCTATACCGGCATCTTTCGAGGAACCTTGCCAGTCATTCGAAGAAGCAATCCCACTTCCCGAAGCTTGCGTGAGGAAACTAAGAATATCCGATATGACAAAGATCCGTGGGATCCAGGCTAATGAGATCTTGCCTGCTAACGGCGCTGGTAACCTTTTCGCCGTCGAGCCATTCGAATATCGTTCTAGGCTCGACCGAAGCAACCGTCCGATCAGGATATACAAGCTCGCGCAGACAAGAACAGGTGCAATAACGACTAACGTCGAGGACGTTGCGTATAACCCGACGTTGTCTGGCATCTTGATGCTGGCAGCACGGACGCCGTAAGCGGCTACTTCTATTGCGGCGCCAATCACGATTGGGATGAAGTACCCTGTTCGGTTGTACTGCCCTGTACAGGGAGCAATGACCGTTATGTAAAAATGGTAGAGGAAAGGGAGGACGTAGAGGATGGTGAAGATGATGGATGCCGCCAGCGACGGTTCATAGAAGTATATGGATTTGCCCATTTTGTGAACTTCGTCTCTTTTAGTGTTTAATTGATATGAGATAAATGTCCTGAATAAAGATCCTTCTTTGCGATCTATCTTGAGACTCGTTCAAGCTTTATATATTTTCATTTAATGATACATAAATAGACCATTTATCAATGATCTAAATAGCCCACTGCAATAATTCATTGATACATAGTAGAGAAAAAGGCGCTATTCAATAAGCTCAATGCTATTGGTCTGCATTGTGGAACTCGTATTCGCACTTCGCTTTTCGCTTTCCACTGATATATTTATCAGACCGGGACAGGCGGGGAATTTTATAGGTCAAAACTCTGTTGCCTACATGTGTCGAACTATCGATAATTCTGCTCTGACAACATGTATATTAAGATACAAAATGGATTTTGAATTTCGATCCCAGCCTCAGTTGATCCAATTATCGCACATTAGGCAGCGATAAAAACTTCTTGGCGACCTGTGAAGATGGATGGACTGGACTGTTGTTCTCTACAGCTAGTGTCGTCCCTGGACCAGATGGAGTTATTTCCAAATCTTAATCGATCCAAATATAAATATACTTCTCCTATAACAGCGATGATGCAGTTTCTATTTCATCACTTTCAATGACCCTTAGGACTTCATTCGCTTTTATTTATTAATCAATTTGTATGACCTCACCTAGCTTTAAGCCATAAAGGTCCCGTTTTAGTGCCCTAGGGAGGGTCTTCAGGGGCCAAAGTCCCAAATTCCTCACGCCGCCTGCTCTGAACTAGTGTCAAAACTTTCAAATACAATTACACGTTCCTCGCTCCGGGCCGATTATATACCAGAGCGATTCGGGCGCTTTATAAGGGCTCGCGGGAGCCCGGCCACCCTGCTGGAGGCCGAACAGGTGGGCGTCGCGTGCCGATGGCAGACCGCCTAGAGCTATCATCGTATAAGTGTCTAATGGCCTACCCACCTGGATACTTCTGGACTCTCTCTCAAACGATGTTCTGAACGGCCTAGTACATGTGCAGTTTGGGTATACGTGTAAATAACCAGCTATATGAGTTGTGTAATTTGTGGAAATATTATATACGTTTCTTACAGTGCTTGTGAATTGAAAATACCGAAGTGAATCGATTTTCAACTGTCTCTAAAAGACAATAGCCAAATCACGTGTTAATAGATATAACAACATTCTTTGCTTATATGAACCGCCTCATGTACAGCCATCCGCAGGCAACCCCGCACCCAGAGATCATCATCATCGTCAATATTTTTATTCCAAGTCTCACATTACTATAGTTTTAGCTAATACATTCACCCGTCCTTGTTCATTTTTAGGATCCAAATGGTCGAGGTCGGGCTTGCAATGAGCCTGACGCCCCTACTATCTTATTTTATGGGGAACGATGCTTGATACATACTAGCCATGTCGAGATAGATCCATTTTCTGTTCATCTTTTCAAGTTCCAAAGTCACCTACAATAGAGTAATATGTCATGGGATGGAGATCAATTTGTGTAAATTTTATTGTCGACAATACTATGGAGAATGGCAGGAGGCTTGGAAGCGGTGGAAATTATTTCATGAGCTTTAGCATTAATATTATATATAAATAGATAATTTTATCGAAATATACTAGAGCTATGGGTTTCTGCGACCCGCCATCTTCATTTCCTTTTCCTGGAGAGCATATACATCTGTACTCTAGCAATTGTAATCCCTGTCCTATCAAGTTCAAGTAAATCTCACACCAAGAACCATCATTCACTAACCGCCTGATTTAGCGCATTCACCCTATAACTCTCACTGCGCTCCAGAAGTTCTAAATGTGTGCCTCTGTCGACACATCGCCCATTCTCGATCAGGAAGATCACATCTGCCTTGCGAATAGTGTACAGGCGATGTGCAATGGCAATGATGGTCATATTCTTGGAGACCTTGTCAAGGCCATCTCGAAGCAATCGTTCAGACTCCGCGTCAAGAGCACTAGTGGACTCATCTAGCAACAGAAGTTTTGGTCTACGTACAAGCGCCCGCGCGATGGCCAGTCGCTGCTTCTGTCCTCCTGAAAGCCGATCTCCGTTTGGCCCACATTGGGAGTCATAGCCATCTGGTAACTCCATGATGGTATCGTGGATGTTAGCCAATCGGCATGCTTCCTCTAGTTCCTCCTGAGTCACCCTTTGGCCTGGTCTTGCGCCCAGGGTTAGATTGAATCGGATGGAACCGTCAAACATGAAACTTTGCTGCGGAACATAGGAAATGTCATGACGAAATGTGTCTGCTCCATATGCGATGTTGTGACCGTCAACTTCGACTATTCCCGATTCTGGCATATAAAGACCCTCAACAAGTGATACGATTGTCGATTTTCCAGCACCACTCGGGCCGACTAAGGCAGCGAATTGCCTGGGCTGGATGCTGAGATCCAGGCCGTGGAGAACTCGAGTGTCTGGCCTTGCAGGATATGAAAAGACAACCTGCTTAAATGTAACGCCTATGCCGCCAACAGATGACTGTGGCTTCTCACTACAAGTAGCAGTAGCTTCAATGTCCCAAATTGGAGTGAGAGGTGCGGAAAGCTTGTTCGTCGATCCCATTTCGAGCACGTTCAATAATCTACGTGTAGCCTGGAATGCGCGCGAAACATCAGGAGCGAGGGCGAACGCTTGACCCCATAGCTGAGAGCTGACGAGTAGAGCAATTTGTACAATAAAGAATCGAGTTTGACTGTACTCGCCGGCGATAATCCTTGTCGATCCCCACCAGTATGCTAGTGCGTAGAGAAAGTTGCTCAGCCCGTATCCAGCAGCTAGCCACAAGTTTGCCCATGCACTGTGCATGGCAATTTGACGCATGGGTTCCTCAAGTGACCGACGATATGTACCAAGAATCTCGTGTTCTAATGAAAGAGACATCACGGTTTTGATTGAATTCACCGCCTCAACAGCAATGGCGTTGGAATTTGCAAATGCTTCCAAATGCTTCTCCTCAAAATTCGCTAGCGTGGTGATCCGCATATAGGCGGCACCCAGCAGCAGTGGCACTACTGAAAGACACACTATTGCAATTTTCCAGGCTATTATGTGAGTCATGGTGATTGACGCAATCAGACTAACAAGAATTGATAGAATTGTACAGACTACAGAGCCAGTGAGACCACCCAACGCATTGCTATCATTCGTAATTAATCCAAGCAATAGAGACGGGTTCTGACCTTTCGATTCGTGCCATGCCAGATCCTGTTCGAGAATCGACCGCAAAGATAGTACGCGTACCTTATAAATAATTTGCTCTGATACCCAGCCAAATAAGGACCAGCTAACGACATTGGCGGAGAATTCGATGATAGCTAGGATGAAAAACATGAGTCCGAAAAGTTCACCGGAATGGCGAATGGAGCTTGGTTCCTCGCAATAACTGAGCTTGCCCACGACGTTACCGAAAATAACTGCTGAACCACAGTATGTTCCGCCAATAATGACCGCTCCGACTATGGCGATGATCAGCACAAAAGAATATGGTCTGAAAAGAGCACCCATAGAGCGCGCCGTCGACGTCAGTCTTCTCTTGTCAACATCATTCTCGTTTCTTGACCCCTGGCTTTCAGCCTGCAAAGCTTCCTTATCCGTCTCTATGGTTGATGTCTGAAATTCTGCAGGCTTATCAATGATCTCTTCTGTTGAGAAGCCAGAGCGAACAGAGCCAACACCCTGTTCTTCATTATCCTCACTGCTGCCGCTGACATTCAGGTTCTGCAGACGAACAAGCTCGGCATAGGCACCATTGGCTTCTACTAAATTCTGGTGTGTTCCTTGCTCTACAACTTTACCTTGACGCATGACAATAATATTGTCTGCACTCTTGATTGTTGAGAGCCTGTGAGCAATTGTGATTACTGTTCTGCCAACGGCTACTTTGGCCAAAGCTTGCTGAATGCGCATTTCCGATGCTGAGTCGAGAGATGCAGTGGCCTCGTCAAGAATAAGTATGCGTGGGTTCTTGACGAGGGCGCGTGCCAGTGAAATCCTTTGTTTCTGGCCACCGCTGATGAGATGGCCTTTGGCGCCAACCGAGGTTCCATACCCTTCATCAAGGCTTTCAATAAAACCTGATGCATCTGCTAACACAGCAGCATTTAAAACCAATTGGACAATTTCTTGCACCTGTGCCCCATAGTCTTGAGATGCCGCCGTTAGGTCTTGGCCATCTCTTACTGCTGTAGCCACATTTGCGAGGATGTCACTCATCAGAACGGTGTGCAGATGTTCATGACTGGGAGAGTTAACGAGACCAAGAGCGATATTCTCGAGAATGGATCTGTCCAAAAGATATGGCTCCTGCTGCACAAGGCTAATCCAGCTTCGGACCGTCCGAACATTCAACTCCTTGACATCGTGGTCATCCAGTAGCACAATACCTTGATCCGCGTTGTAAAATCGGGTTATCAAACCAGCAACGGTGGATTTACCACTTCCTGAAAGACCAACAATAGCAGTGTGCTGACTGGATGGACATTTCAAAGACAAATCCTGTAGTACCGGTTTTTCTGGTCGAGATGGAAAAGTAAAATGTACATTGCGCAGCTCCACACTTCCAGAAAAGTATGACAGGACTCCACCGGTATCTTTGACAGTACCGTCAATCTTTGATGAATGTTCCATTTCTTTCTCTAGCTTGGTAAAAGCTACCAAGGCCGAGTCAAAACTACGCAGAAAGGGGGTAGCCTGGCTAAGAATCAAAGAAGCTGGAGCAATAAAATTAGCATATATGCCTTCAGACTGAGAGAAAGCTAAACGAGAATATACCATCCACAAGAATGAGGATCACAGTGAAGATAGAGCCAACACTAATGCCACCATTAGCCGACTCTACGGCACTCGCAATTTGTCGTGAACCTTGCCAGAAGGCAAGACCATTCGCCGAAAAGGCGATAAAGTATAAGAGTCCAGCCTGGATCGCCATGACTACGGACTTCCATACACCAGCTGACAATGCCGGGGTTAGGACTTCAACGAATTTCTCCTCTAGTCGCGCATTCGCTGACAGTGAGTGCACAAGTGCTATATTGGAAAATGCCTCCAGCGCCACCGATGACGCTTTACCTATGCTCTCCAATGAGCGTCCAAAATACTTTTGCACAAAATATCCGCCACCTAGCGCCATAATAAGATATGCTGGGGTAAGAGATACCAGCATACCGGCCAGCTTCGGATCTTTGATGAATGCCACGACATACGCAGCGATGAAGAAAGACACGCTATTTATAACAATACCGACCTTTTCATTCGCACCCTGCTGTACGACGGAAATATCACCGGTGATACGAGAAGACACGTCACCAGCAGGCATATTGTCGAAGAATGCCGCATCCTGGCGCAAAATGGCGCTGAAGTATTTCTCGCGCAGCCGCTGAGCTAGCCGTTCACTAGAAAGATTCCAACAGAGCGTATAGATATATATAAGCACAAAATAGGCAATTCCGACGTAGACGATCACTAAGATTTTGGAGTTGATTCCGTCTTGGTAGGATGCAGCCGTGGAGGACTGCACTTCACATGTGGCCGAGTTCAATCCATTAACCAGCTGTCCAAAAACAATTGACATGATAGGGAATGGCACTCCGGAGGCAATTGCGGCGAGTAACCCGATAAAGAGGATAATCAGGTCAGTAGACGAGGGGTCACCGTAGACCAGTAAACGACCGAATGATCCGGCAAGGCGCCATATCTGAACAAGGGTTCATTCAATACATCTCACGCACAATACTTTAAAACAGTAGCAGAACGTACACTTCGCTTTGCCGGCGTCCTCTCTTCCGCAGAGACGTCTGGTTTGGCAGCCATGATGTCCTCCAGTCTGTGCCCTTTCACTATCGTTGATTGTGGTAGTCAAAAGTCATACGATCAAACCCCTACCAGCATCAGACGACAAAAGGGAAATATGTGCAAGAACAGCTCATAATTCATTACCTAAAGTCTAACAGCTAACTACCTCCCCAGCCTACCCACCGAATTAAATTCTAACGGTGATCTAATCCCTATCAGGCATTTGGTTTTGTTTGAAATAATTGCTTTGCTTGCGACATCGGAGTACCATACTTCTTAGATAATCTTATCTGATCATGCTAGGTACCGTATGTGGGGCGCACTATGTGACGTTGGCCCACCTTTTCTAGTTTAAACAATACGCCTCAATACGCACTAGTATTGATTTTCTCTCCCTTGCTGTTCTAGCATAGAAAGCGACGAAAGCGACGAAAACGACGAAGCAGGTGCCATATATAGACATTTAATTGGATATTAACCTAGAAATTTATTAGATGAAGGCGTGGCTATATGTTAGCGTATGACAACAATAGTCCTTGACGTAAGCCTTTTGTTGTGACAGTATAGCTTCATGCGTGTGATACTAGTAGTAATAATACATGTGGACCCCTTTAGACAGGATCTGAATACCGAGAACAACCGATTGCCGTCCCTTTCCCCTCGGAGGTAGAATAAATCTTCAACCCTGCATGTTGCGCAATTTGTTTTCTGCCTGCCTTTGTACCATACCCGGGGATTGTGTCTAGCATCTCGAAAGGCCATTCGCAGGTATTATAGCATTAAAATGGGCGAAATAGCCATAACGGGAAGCAGCAAGCCAACCGCCATCTCGCTTCCCAGCTCAGAACAGTTCTGTCTTGACAGTGAACAAGGCGAGACATATCAGATCCAAATATCTTGGCCATTGCATTGGCAGAATGGTCGCGCATCTGATCACGGGCCACTTCCCATTATGTAAGTGACAGTCTAGTAACTAACTAGTTGTCTCAAGACGTGCTCGCTAACCTGTTACGCCTAGATACATTGTAGATGGGAATGCGCTGTTCTTGACTGCAACTGAGACAGCCTGGCGTCGCGCGGCATCTTCACATTTCGCTGGCGGGGGCATCATTGTTAGCATCGGATACCCATTAACCGGAAAATTATACGACGCACGAAGACGTAGTCTAGATCTGACGCCGCCGACAGCCGCCCCGATTCCTGGGTATGGAGGCGCAGACATATTCATAGACTTTATCGACAAATGCGTTCGACCCGCGGTCAAAGCCCGATTCCCCCATTTGCGTGTGTCCAGAGAAGCGCTCTATGGACATTCCTATGGGGGACTGTTTGCCCTCCACGTATTGTTTACACGACCTCATCTATTCGACTGTTATTTGGCTGGTAGTCCGTCGATTTGGTGGAATAGCCGGTGCATCTTACACGAAGCAAAGACATTCATCGAAGAGAAGGAAAAGCCTATGGATGAGAAGACGCCGTCGCTGATGGTTTTCTGGGGTGCCTTCGAGCAAAACCCGCCTCAGTGGGACAACGAACCGCTCGACCACTATGAAGGAAGAAAGCAGATCGCGTCAGATTTGCGAATGGCTGGCAATGCCATCGATCTTTGTACGATACTAAAAGGTAGCAAACGCTTGCGTACCATCATAGATTATGAGTATGATAGTGAGGAACATACTAGTGTCATGCCATGCTCGATTAGTCGGAGCTTGACCATGTTCTTTGAAGATTGGCCCCTGCATCAAGCATGGAAGAAGGGCGAGACCATGGAAACTGCAGCCATCCGATAATTATTTTTGCTTTTCTTTTCCTTCCGTTTTGCTGTTTAAAAAGATTTGCATCTTTATACGTAATAGGGGTTGCAAGCGCTATTCAAAGGAAAATTAGTCCCCAATTTTTTTTGGTGACATGAGCTTAAGAGACGAAAGAAATAACTGAGACATTGTTGTTGTTGTTAATAACGTCAACAACAACAACCATAATAATAATGCGAATAGTTAAAAATACCCTCATTTGCCCCACTTGTCCCCTTGTAGAAGGTATTTTTCGGAAGTTCCTTCCTAGCGGCGTAAAAGGGGGGCAGGCGTCGCCCACTTCCGAGGAATAACCCCAGAGGTGCCACTGTCGACATTAGGAAAAATAGGGGGGAAATAGTCCCTGCCCTTATACTAGTACCATCATCTAACGATTGGAATTCCTATTCGTAAAATATATAGTACGATTCCCACGGATCTATAGATGTTTTATTTTCTGCTGGGATTTGTAGTGGACATCTAAAAAGTTGGTATAATTAGCTAGTGAGAACCGATCATTTACTCCTATTGATAGTATTGCGTTGTCCAATGATAGTCGTAAGGAGCAGAATCTTAGATCGGGAGAAAATAATTTTTGCGAAATAAACACTGAAAAGCGCTCACACAACTCCACTAGCACGCTAGGACGACCGCGACCGAACTTCGTCTAAGCCAGCCGCAATCTAATCTTATCCATCTAAACTGATGCGGTACGTAACACCTCTGGCTACATAGATACGAAGAGCCTTTACCTAACATCGGCCTAGTCTAACCGCATGACGTAGGGATCAACCAGTGTCAGAAATGGTTTCAAATAAATATGTCTACCGCAATAAGAGCAAATTAATTACCGGCACCCATAAGGTGATCCCTTTTGGTATAGTGGTTTTACGGCGGAGGTAATATACTCATCCTTCAATCCAGATCGGTCAGCATCTTACGGAAGGAGTGGAAACAGCAAGTAATATTAAGCATTCTGTAGCTATCGAGTGCAGGCAAGACCAACATAGCTAGCCATGATGCTCATCATCGGGGGTTAACTAGTTTGACCGAGCATTTAGAGGACTGGGGGCCAGATGGTGTCTGGGATTATTTTCTTATTATAAAAAGAAGAAGAAAGGAGACAGAAGCAGCATACACAATCATAGAGCAATTGTACGAAAAATTGTCTATAACTACAACATATCGAGCTGAAACATTTTTCCCGCCATGATGATCAAGAATCAATCGGCTTTGAGTACCACACGTCTCAAGCTGGTTCCTCTTGGACCCGAGCACCGTGAGTTCACTATGCAATTAGACATGAATCCAGAAGTCATGAAATACGTTGCCTTTGGTAGGCCGTTTACCAGGGAAGAGGCCATCCAAGTGCACGACTGGCTTCTAAATTCCGCAACATCCATACCCGGTCTCGGAACCTGGGTCGGTTTCGCAAATGGCGAATTTGTGGGCTGGTGGATACTGGCTGCTATCCCTAGCAAGGAAAATCCTGAAATCTTCATCGCCAACAAAACCGAGTACGGCTTCCGACTCCTTCCGAAGTTCTGGGGTCAAGGATACGCAAAGGAGGGTGCGCGAGAAATGGTCCGACATGCCTTCCAGGATCTTGGCATGACAGAGGTGATTGGTGAGACTATGGCCATCAACCAGGCTTGTCGGGCGGTTATGGCTGCCTGTGGCTTGAAGCACGTGAACACCTTTTTCAATAAATACGACACACCCCCTCCAGGAATTGAGGAGGGCGAAGTGCGCTATTCCATCGCCAAGGAGGAATGGTTGGCGCTTGGTTCTTAGCCTCACTAGCCTCTGCAGGACTGCCAATAATACGTATTTCCTTGTACAAGGTTCGAGTCTACTGCTCATTTTGGGGCAAAATTATCCTGGGTAGCTGAAAAATGTCCGCTTCTGTGCCCTCTGTGGATAGTATTTGAATATCCAACTCGTCTGAACATCTAATCTAATCTAATCTAATCCGATCATCCATTTCAAATTAGGTAACATATACAACAACCAACTGAGTTTCCCCTGCCCGATTACTCTAGATAGCTAAAGGAATTATTGAGTTTTTACTGTGCACGGATAATTTCCTCGTCGAATAATAGCTAATGAAATTCTGGCTGCCACAAATATGCGTAATCGGGAACGCCAGTTGTATACATCGGCTGTCTGTGTGTTGTGTTGGACTCTGGCAATAGACAGCATATAGAGAGCTCTCGTCACCACCACCCCTAACAAACACGTGGTGGCGCGTTTACCGGATTATATTGAGATCCTGGCACACCATTAGATACACTTTGGTTCCGCTCTCGTCGGAGAGCCATGCTTGATTGGCCGTCAGAGGACGCGCTTTGCACAAACACGGCTTCTAAATGTCGCACGTATTAGTGTAACAGGCTAGTTGTAATTATCGCTTCAAGTAACCCAGTGCCATCCATGTCTCCGAACGCGGCATTCAACTTGATCCATTCTTTAGTGGCTCATGTCTTTTTTTGTTTTTTCTTTTTTGTGATTCTTTCTCATTTCACTGCGAAAAACGGCCGTCAGGCCCCGCAGTGTAGGCTCTAGACATAATAGACCGGAATCACCTCTGCCGTAATCAGATATTTATTCGATCTCTCGCGCTTGCTATCAATCTCTCATTTGTTCGGAACGTGTATTCCTCTACCGTGAGAGCAACAATGGCAATCGTGCAAAAATTCCACACAATTGTTGGCGGAAAGTCCGTCGACGACTTTGAAATCGACCAAAACCCTCGGCAAGCGAATGCAGACGACAAGGAAGCCGGGCCTGCTCCCGTTAATGATTTATCTATCAATGAAGAGGCCAAACCGGCTGAGAATGCGCAAGCCGGTGCCCAAAAAATCGAGGCTGTGACTATAACCTGGAAAAGGTCGTCGATGTATACGATTTTGGTTCTGTCAGTCTTCTTTGCCCCTCTGCTGAATACGCTGCTGCAATGGAGTTGTGCGACTGACTTTAATCCTTTCCAACAGCATCTGGTTCCTCACATTAGTCAACAACTTCAAATCTTCTATTGTACTTAGCTTGACTCCCTATGCTACGAGCTCTTTCTATGGCCATTCCTTGTTGACTGTCATCACCATCGTGGCAAATGCGATGACGGCTGCGGTTTATATTCCCATGGCCAAGGTGCTAGATCTTTGGGGTCGTGCGGAAGGCTTCCTCGTAATGCTTGTGTTCTGTCTTCTGGGTTTGATTATGTTGGCTTCATCTCATAATCTCCCTACTTACTGTGCTGGAGAGGTAAGATACCACCTGACATAACAACGCTGCCATCATTGCAATTGTCTCTGATAGCCATATCAATGTTAGGTCTTCTATTCAGTCGGTTTCGGAGGTCTTGCTTACAGTTGGGATGTGCTCGCAACCGATGTGACCAATTTGAGAAATCGAGGTTTGGCATTTGCTTTCACCTCATCTCCGGCTTTGATCTCAGCATTCGGTGGATCCAAGGCCGCCGAAGCGTTCTTGAACAATGTCAACTGGCGATGGGGCTATGGAATTTGGGCAATTATATTGCCATTTTTTGCCCTGCCCATCTACCTCTTGCTAGCCTACAATCTGAACAAGGCCAAGAAAAATGGTATCCTTGTAAGGGAAAAGGAGAACCGAAAGTTCAACCTGCAGACAATTTGGTGGGTTATTACAGAATTTGATCGTGAGTAATGACCAACAGGCTCTTCCAGAAAGGGACACAAAGAAAGCAGCCTCTACAGATTGCTAATTACTCTTCTTGAAACTAACAGTTCCTGGAGTTGTTCTTTTCGCTGGTGGCTTTGTCGTGTTCCTTCTCCCTTTCACTCTGGCAGCCACCGCGCCTCACGGTTGGCAGACGGGTTATATTATTGCAATGATTGTGGTCGGTCTAATAGTCATCATCATTTTTGGGTTTTATGAGACTTTCTTAGCCCCTGTGCCATTCCTGAACTATAAATTCCTAACTGACCGGACTGTTCTCGGTGCATGTCTTCTGGATATGACTTATCAAATCTCCTACTACTGCTACGCCAGCTACCTCTCATCCTTTTTGCAGGTAGTGTACGAGCTGGACGTGGCTACAGCTGGATACGTCTCAAACACATTCAGTGTGGTCTCCTTCGTCTTCTTGTTCCTGACCGGCTGGCTCATCCGCGTAACCGGTCGATTCAAGTGGATTCTGTGGTTCTGTGTTCCACTGTACATCTTCGGACTTGGATTGATGATTCATTTCCGGCAACCTGGAGGATATATTGGATACATTGTCATGTGTGAGATCTTTTTCTCCGTTGCTGGCAGTATATTCATCCTTTGCGTACAACTGGCAGTTCTCGCTGCTGTTGATCATCAACATGTTGCTGCCGTGCTTTCATTGCTATTCGTTATGGGCAGTATTGGTGATGCGGTCGGCAGTGCCATCTGTGGGGCCATCTGGACAAACACATTTTTGAAAGAACTTGAAAGAAAGCTGCCAGAATCCGCTTTGCCCAATTTGTCTCTCATCTACGAAAGTCTCCCCGAGCAGCTCAGCTTCCCGGTTGGAAGTCCCACGCGTGACGCAATCGTGAGTGCCTACGGCTACGCACAGGTAAGAATGCTTGCTGCCGGTACGGCCTTCATGGTTCTGGGTTTTATCTGGGTTGGTATGATGAAAGACATTAATGTTAAGAACAAGACACAGACTAGGGGTAATGTTCTTTAAGGGACTAAAATTCCGTCGAGTAAAAGGGATGCTAGGGTAGTCCATTTAATATAGAGATGGGCGTAATTTAAAACCTAGCCTTTCTTTGGCTTTTGTGTATTACCGAATAAGATGGTAACCCGACTCCTCTGGAAATGCGTGTCTTTTGTATTTAATCATCACTCACTTCCAAGTTTCGCTTATATACAAATGGAATGTAATACATACTCCTAACAGTACCGTAGCTCTAAGCATCAATATTTCCACCACAAAACATAATAAGTGAACACATCGTTCTGTGTTTGTCGACTTAGGCGTATATCTGTATTTTGCAGCACCTCTGGATTTCATTTTATAAAAATTGTGAATATTTCAACTATTATATTCAGAAATAGTTCAGATGCTACATAGATGCCCGACGGAATAGACTTTAGTTGTGTTAGTTAACGTAACCCACCACTGAACAGATCACTCAGCCAGCTATACATTACCCAACGCAGAGTTTCTCAGTATGCGAAGTAAATATTCTGACGCTCTACAACACCATATAATATTAGATATTTATAACATTTATAAAGTAGCAGTAAATCAGCATAGAGATTAGTAGATTAATTATTAACTTACTACTAATATTTTCTAATATTTTATTCTAATATTTATATTTAATTAAATAATAAGGGCCTTTGGTATATTTAATTTTTAAAAAGAGATTAAGATTGTTTTAATTTTAAAAAAACAGCTCCTACGTCGGTTTCACTTCTCAATGGCCGACACAACAAACCCGTAGAAATCCTTTAAAGCAGGCTTTTTCAACCAGACCAACCTTAACGTTCGCATTACTCAGCGAGGGAGCTGATAATTCAATTATTAAGTATGTGGTCAGAAGGAACGCTAATCTAGGGCAAACATGAAGTCAAACCTATGGCTGTTTAGAATAAACCCTAAATCTGGTGAAAGTATAAAGTTAAACAGATGACGTGGCTTTGCCTGGTCAGAAGGGACGCTAAATCTCAAAGGTGAAGGCAAATTTAATTGCGCTGATCAGGATAAACTTTAAATCTGGTGAAAAGTGAAATTATGCACACAACATGGATCTAGTTGGTCAGAAAGGGCTATATCAGGGCAAAAATGAAATCAAACTTAATTTCAAAGGATTTTCATCACTGTAGAACATAGAACATTTCACGAAAAGGAGTATAGAATGACATGATCGCCCCTAATACTACAGCTAGAACATATATAAAACATTCAGAAGTTAATTTTGCATGCAAAATCCAGTCCCCAGGACATCATACCGTGGACTCTCCGGTGTAATCTGTCTCCCTTGCCGACATTTCCTCGCTGGCCCCTCATATCCTTTGATAGGAGAGCAGCTAAAACAGCATCGATGTCGTGAAAACTTGCAGTTTCACCCATAATTATATACCAGGTACAGTTCCATAGATTGAATTCAACGATGACGGTGGCTATGATGTCCAAAGCAATTAAGACGGCGGGATCCACAATACCATTAACGCCATCTCTATACTCGTCTTGTCAGATTCAGATGGATTCTTCAAGTTGTTCTGTAACTCGCCCGTAATAACTGTCAACAATGGGCGGGACAAGAAAAGTCAGAAGCAAAAAAGCAACCCACCATAGTATTGGAGCCCGATGCATTACAATCTATTTTTGAATTACCGTCTTCCCAGCATAGAGATTGGACGACTTGGACTATGGTCAGAAGAATAAACGAGTTTTGACAATGAACATTAATATTTTACTCAAACACGAATCCTGAACTTTTTCAGTCAATCTTTCAACAATCTACTGTGTTAAAATTCTCATTCTGCTTCATTATCGATGCCTCAGTAATTATCAGTTGATTGTAATCTATAGTCACGGCCTCATCTTTCTCGTATAACATTGACAAGGTGCAGCTGTCCTGGGCGTGTATGCCACGATCATCGACGACATCATTATTCATTTTAATGTTCACTTTGGCGCTTCTCACCTACCATCCGATAGGAGCTCGGCCCGTTATTTTTTCAATTAAAGGAGGGACGTTGATGAATGAAAAACGAGCATATATTTTTACAGTTAAATTTCATGTAAATATAAGACTGTACTGTACATTCACGACTCAGAAGTAAGTAAAGCCCAATACATGCCTTTTATCGGGCCATCCTTAGCTAAAACTCTCGCGGAATGTCACAGCAGGGTAGAGTATAGTACGTTCTACGTATCGAGAACGTACTGCGCCCCATCTCGTGTTCTTCCTGGGTTGAGAAAGAGGGAGCGCTAGCGTTGATTAGTCGTAGTCCTATTTATCGTCTCCGTCGCGGCTAGTCTAGTTTCCTACCTTTGAGCCGTCTGTCCTATCGGATGGTACGCCCCAAATGAGGAAATCGCGGGGTGGCGCACAATGAATGACTTCGTGATGTGATCATGCAGAGGACAGGGCTAAATGAAACAAAGTCCCATCGTAATCAACTGTAATCCGAGCCGAGATGACTAACGCAAAGTTTGTAATTGAGTTTCATTTGAATTGTGACCAGTATTCCGAACACTGAAATGAACCGGCGGGCGTATGATAGCCGGTACCCGATTCAGATCTGGAGGGCTGACTATTTGATTTCGAGGTGCTGTCATCCTAACCTCCAATACACATACTCAATAGCACTTTTGAAGATCTCAACAAATAAATATTTTTCAGAAAAAACACTGACCCAAAACGATGTATACTTTAGCCTTAATAAGATTACGTCCGAAATTATCTGAAACATCAAATTACGACAGAATCCAGTGTTTCTACAGTGTCTGTAATTTCGACACACCCTCGCTTGCAGAATACTTGGACTGCTTACACGTGGAATAAGGAGAATTGCTTGTTCCAGGCCTGTGATGTTGTTATACAATTGCTCTTCAGATCAGGTGAGTGTACAATCACACTGAGTAAGGAAGTTTCTGATTCTTGGGAGGTGCAGCATGGTGAATATTTACCTGGGTTTTATAAAGCGGTCTCTTCAGCAACTTCGTGTCTAAGCTATCCGTCGACAGTGACGTTTGTACAAAGTTTGTGACTCCACAGTCGAGCATCAGGTGACTCTGATTGGATTAAAATTCTTTACTCAAAGAGTTTAAGTGTCGCTTCGAACTAGCTGTTGGTTTGAATTGACTAATCCCATGGGGATCAGTTTAGTGCCAAGACTTCCCCGCACCCCTTTTCAGCCCAGTGCTTTTCAAGGCTTTATCAGTTGAGCTCGTCCGGTCAACGAGGGTGACGGCTAGAACACCGAATGGAAATGATGGCCTTTGGTAATCTAGATAGAAAACGACGATCCGCATTGGCATGCCTTAACTGCCGAAAGAAGAAAACCCGATGTGATATTATATCAAAAGGAGCAACACCTTGCTCGCGTTGTCGTATCAATCGCGAGGAATGCCTGGTTGCAGAGAGCAGACGGGGAAGGTAAAGTCATATGATCTGTAACTTTCCATTTTTCCAAGCTAACTGATTATACTATGATTGCAGAAAACGGGGCGAGGGCTTTCGCGAGAATACAGATTGGCCGGAAGTACCGACCCCGGCCCCAACCTCTCAAAATCTATTCTTGGGCCAAGAACCCTTGACTGAAGGCCACTATCCGCAACCAACTTTAGAAGATGAAAGGAGCACAATGGCAGTATCTGTAAATCAGATGGGCAATTACTCTAATGGTATGGTGGTATTTTATGTCAGATTCCGAACTCTTTGATATCGAGCTTATCGCTCTCAGAATCAATTCATGTCCCACCGACGATTCAACCTACCGAGAGCGCTGCAAGCGAAGACTCCAATAATTTTTTACCGGCTTATATTCAACCATTTCCCTCCGATTGGCCACCTTATGATGTTGAATTCTTGAAGCGGAAAGGAGCCTTCACATTACCTAGTGATGAGCTCCGCAACGCTCTCATTGATAGCTATATATCCTGGGTGCACAGTTCTTGCCCAGTCATTGAATTGCATGAGCTCTTATCCCAGGTGCTACATTGCGATGGCTCCAAGGGAAGAGTAAGCTTGATGGTGTTATATGCTGTTATGTTTTCGGCAGTCGCCTTTGTGCCGTTTAAGTTTCTTCGCCGTGCAGGTTATGCCGTACGACAATCTGCTCGGGAGCTCTTTTATTTTCGCGTCAAGGTACGTATTCTAGGACATGCTGTTTGACGGGTATCGATTTCGTGAGCTGATTTACAAGCCTAGTTATTATACGATTTTCGGTACGAAGAGGACCGCATCCGTACAATACAAGCTTTGTTATTAGTGTCTTACTGGCAAGACAAACATGATGCCCTACAGAATCATTGGTATTGGGTTGCTCTGGCGAATGCCATTGGCCGCACCATTTCTCTGCATCGCGACCCCGGTGAGCAGTTGTCCCCGCAGGCGGCGGGCTTGCGAAGGAGATTAGGCTGGACATGTTTCGCACGAGACCGGGTTCTTTCGATTGGTCTGAGACAAACGCCTTCCATACTACTGAAACAATTCACTCTGCGGCCGCTGGAAGTATCGGATTTCAATATTCAACCCTTCTCATCGGAAATACTAGAGACGTTCGGACAGTCGAAACTACTCATAGATCAATCTAGCCAAATTGCTCTAGCCGAGATGTATATTGCCCAAATACAGTTGGCTGTCATTTTAGACCAAGTGTTTGATGAGCAATACACAACTCAGATACTTCGACCTTGTGCGACGAACGAGCTGACTACGGCGCTCATTGAGCGGGACTACGACAATGCTATCGAGAAACATGTATCCACACTCCAAAATTGGCTTTCACAGCTGCCAGAGTCTTGCCAGTATCGTCCCACACCAACGCCCTTTTTGAAAACAGTCGACAAGATTGTATTACTCCACCGAGCTTTTCTTAATATGTTCTACCATACCGTTCATTTGGCTCTTTTTCAACCACAGCTCCACAAGAAAGAAGTTTCTGAAGCTGCCTTACACCAAGTGCGTTTGTCATCGGTTATGATTACTCGTGTAGTAGAGGAATTGCAAAACCACGGTGCATTGCGCTTTCTACAATCAGCAGCCGTCTCGATGCTTGTACGTGCGGCTGTCAGTCATTTGTATGAGTATTCAATGATGAGCGAGGCGCAACGGGATCACAGTCTCCGCCGGTTTCTGGACTGTGTCAGCTATGTGACACAGCTGAAAGACATTCACATGTATGCGGGTTTCTCTTCGTCATTTCTCTGTTACTCAGCTGGCAAACTCGGTATTTCGAGCCAGTTGTTGGCTGACTCTCTGTCATTTGACTACGGGATATGGGAGGACGTGCATACTCCTGAACGGTTCTTTAAGAGGCCAACAACAGAACGTAGTGCCACCAGTAGCCATAAAGTGGACCCCCAAGCTCAGCAATCGTCAGAAAACGGCCAGAATACGTCACTAGCAACTGCAAGTCCAATCAATATGTTCGATGGATCTTCCGGAGCTCATCCGATAGACGAAGAAACTATAATGGAAAATTTCGACAGGAATACAAATACCATCTACAGTCAAGTCTTACCATCTCAGTCTGGGAGATGGTTCAATGACATCGAAACATGCTCAGATCCGACATATTTGGCATCTTTGGATGCCTGGTTTAGGGATTGTTTCGAATCGCTAATTCAGGAGGATTGATTTCTATTCCATTAACCAAACAATTCTTTCCGTCCATTCTAGCACCCAATATGAACTTGATGCAATTCTTTAGTTGAGATGACCGTACCCATATTTCGTCACCTGTATTTTGAAAACAAAACCATTTTGGAAAAAAGGCATACAGAGCTGTCGGCATATCTGTGTAATAACAAATGTGGAATGGACGAATATTTATTGAAGTCAGTGGCGATGTAAGAATACATTCACTCTCCTTTGAACCTGCCTAGTGAAAGTTAATGTCTGTTTCGCTTCGTTCTCAGTAAATTCAAAGACGTTCAACTTATGAAGCTCAGAGCCTTGTACCAGCAACTTTGAAGTGGTTTGTCGACGAAGTAACCGCAAAGTTCGTACTGTTCAACCTGTTTTGAAGAGTTGCGTACAAGTATTTAAATTACGATAGCCCAGATGATAAACAGATTGCCAGGTGCGCAAGCTAGAGAAGCTTAATCCCTGCAAGAAAGACTCACTATACTAGTTGCCTTGTATACAACACGGAAAGTTAAAACAGTCAAGCATACAGACCTCTTTGCCACCAACGACACCTCGCACTCGCAGCTGGATCTCGCATCTCAAAAATATTATCTAAATCTATATTCAAAACAGTTGTATTTTCTCCATGCAATGGGAAACTTGGCCCAATTTTCGATACTGGATGTCCCGTTTTCGCGAAGCTCGTGATGTAATCCTGTAGAATCAAAGCAACGGTGTCGTTTAAAACGGCAGGGTTAGGACCGTTATAGAACGTGTATGGGAGGTCCTCTGCATGAACCCCAGGTGGTATGCTAAATCGATATGCATAGGTATGGTTTCCGAAAGCACGATTGACGTAGTCGGTATTGCATTGAAAACTGAAATCGGACAGAGTTAACGCACCTCTGCCAATTCCATCCATGTACCCATAGCTGCCATTGAAAATGGGTGGGTATAATTCATCTGATATATACTGTCGAATAGATTCGGCGAGATTTGGTGGCAAGTTTTCAGTTAAATATAACTCGTATCCACTGGCATTCAGTGCCTCGGGGGTAATGAATAAGAGACCTTCATCCGAGTTTGAGCCTACCATTATTCTCAGACTGTTGTGGAACCGGCCATTCATCAGTAGCTGACCTGGTAACGCAGGGACAAAATCACCATCAACAGCTGGTCCGAAGGTGAAATCCCCGTAATACGAAAATTCGCCAATGTGATAAGCATTTCCGGATATTAATTCCCCTGAAGGTAAAGTTCTAGCCTCCTCAACTGAGGTCACATTCAGAATGTCAAGCATCCGTTTGAATGTGCGGTCCTGGCGCTCTCTATCAGGAAGAGGCAGGAATCCGGGACTCTGGAGCAAAGCTTGTTGAAAAGGTAACTTGCCCCTGGATCCCCCGTAGGCCGTGATCTGATGAAGAATAGATCCGCCACCGGCAGATTCTCCAAATACTGTTACTCTTGCACGGTCTCCACCAAAGAGATGAATATACTTTTGTACCCATTCCAAGGCCATTTGCTGGTCAAGTAAACCGGCATTAGGATTTCCGTCCTTCTCGAATTCCGGACCTGCCAGCCAGCCAAAAGCACCGAGCTTGCAGAGACGAGGATACATAAGCATTATGTTCAATACAAATCAAAATCAGACTTACCCTATAGTTAAATGCCACGAAAATCACACCGTCATTGCCATCATTCATACTTCGTCTGATAAGCCCAGGAGCCCCAGTCTGCGTCGTCTTATCTCCAAAGGTATATCCGCCGCCGTAGATCCAGACCAGAACCGGGGCCTTTCTCTGGTCAACCTGCTTACGGATGGACGTTTGTTCCAGAACCATCTTCGGAACCAAGATATCTAGAAACAGGCAATCTTCTGTCGTTCTTGGGTCTAAAGGCGTCGGAATATATGGATAACTAGACAGATTTCTCGAGCCATTGAATGATATTCCTGATAGGTAATCCGGCACGAAGGCACCTTCAAGAGTAAACCATTTAGGATAAGCTTGTGGACAAACTCTTCCAATCGATGCATCTTGAATAACAGAACGGTTTGTTAAAGGCAGATGAGGCGCACGAAATCGTCGATTCCCAGTAGGTGGCGCAGCGTATCGAATGTTGCTGAAATTGTAAAATGCGCCAGTTTCCTTACCGTGCGATGTGAGATTCTTGGAAGGTAAACCACGTTTGGGATGAAATTCTTTCACTTACATTGAAATACGATGCTCTATAGATTTCATAGCCTAGGTCAACAGTTGGCATCTCTTCGACACTTATGGAACAAGATAGGTGGCATAGGATAAGTCCCACCAGGGCCACGACCATTTTTTGAGCCATGTTACAAACAGTGATGAGTCGTGAACTGATCAAGCTCACCTTTAGTGACCCATTTTGGAATTATTTTCTATGAAATATACATTGGGTCTATATGGTTGGGCTATTTCTGTGTGATACGGGCGGAAACAGTAACCGAAACAGACTCTCCCAAATCAAGGTTCGTCTAATTGTATTTTTACTATAACGAAGTCCTCAATCTACGTCAGGGGTCTGTGAGTAGCATTACGCCCATCCGGCCAGGTCAAGCCGAACCATAACCGATACCATGAGATACAGCGTATTCTGACCGGTCATCCGGCAATGAGATTCGTCGACGGCAGTCGAGGCTAGTGATTGATTATATTGCGTTCATATAATTAGACTATACACTATGGCTGCTTGCATTCTCCTAACTAAAGAGCAAAAGCGGATTGAGAGTCAAAAGCACACGCCTGTTATTTGATTGACATCAGATACGTCACATCTTCAACATGAAGAATTTCATGGAAAATGGATGGTTCTACTCACGTAGACAAATTCTTCATTATCTGAAGACACGTCCATCAAGTCTGAAGCCCCCAAAGGTTTTTAATATATTGTCATGTCAAGTATTTCGAAAGCGGCTAACTAGGTAACAGACAAAACTCGATAACCCGATTCATGTCTTAGGGCAATTGAATCGTCATCAATGGCTTATGTTTTCTTGTGGATTTATTGCATGGGTTTGGGATGCGTTTGACTAGTCAGTCTGTCAATGTCTGTGATTTCTTCGTTAACTGACAGTTTTCTGTCCCAGTTTTTCGGTCTCGTAAGCTTTGTGCCTTTTTCCGGTTGCCTTATACTGCATTCTTATCATTTGTTATCTAGTCTAACCCTGACCGATATCGCAAACGATTTCGGAGTTGATTACTCAGATGTTTCATGGGTCTGTGATCTCTCCTTTTCTAGTTTAAGGAACACGGCGCTCATTGTCTATTCAGGGAATGACCATCACGCTTATGTTACGTTCCGTTGACGCCCTTATATTCGGCACCATTGCCGATCGCTATGGTCGGAAGTGGCCCATGATCATCAATCTCTGTTTCTTCATTGTGCTGGAACTAGCGTCAGGGTTCTGTCAGAATCTTTCACAGTTCCTTGCCGTTAGGTCGCTTTATGGCATTGCTATGGGAGGTAAATAATGCTAACTAGACTCATCAAACTTAGCTATGTCACTTGCTAATTAGGGATAAAAATAGGAATGTTTGGTCCTGCAGCAAGCACTGCTCTTGAAGAATTACCGTATGACGCGAGAGGAATCCTGTCTGGACTGTTCCAGAACGGCTACTCCACGGGATACCTCCTGGTCGCCATATTCTATCGAGCTCTGGTGCCTACGACCAGGCATGGCTGGAGGAGCCTATTTTGGTTCGCATCTGGCCCACCAATATTTATTATCGCCTTCCGGCTTTGGCTACCTGAAACAAATCATTTTCAAGTCCTACAAGGGGAGAGAAAGGCAAGAGTTGAACTCCTAAATTTATCAACAAACGAAGACATTGTATCTTCATCCCCCAGAAAACGGAAAGAAATGATCGTCTTTCTCAAAGATGCTGCAAAATCTGTCGGTGAAAATTGGGTCTTACTTATCTACATGGTGATTCTTATGACCGGTTTCAATTCATGTTCTCACGGCAGCCAAGATTTCTATCCCACGTACCTAAAGGCGCAGGTTGGATTGGGGCCGACAGATGTTACTGTCATTTCGGTGGTAGGTCAGATTGGATCTATCTGCGGAGGGACAGTCATAGGATTCGTTAGCACATTTTCTGGCCGACGCCTCGCCATGTTGACTGCTTGTGTATTTGGTGGTTCTCTGGTGCCAGCGTACATCATCCCGCGTAATATGGGTCTCGTCGCTTCTGCATTTTTTGAGCAGTTTTTTGTGGGAGGTGTATGGGGGCCAATCCCGATTCACTTGATGGAACTTGCTCCTCCATATCTCCGTACTACCGTCATAGGTCTTACTTATCAGCTGGGTAATCTTGCATCTTCCGCATCGGCGACGATTCAAGCGGTGATTGGGGAGCGATTTCCGCTTCCGCTATCCTCAACTGGAGAGAAAACATTTGATTATGGCAAAGTCATTGCAATATTCATGGGAGCCGTGTGGGTATATGTGTTTATCTTCTTATTTTTAGGACCTGAAATGTCACAGGAAGAGAGAGAGCAAGAAACCGAGGCGGTGCGGGACTTGGAAGCCAAGCGACGAGAAGGAGCTGATCTGGCCCAAATCGGCGCAGACTTGGCTGGGGGAGGTAACAAGGATATGTTTTCTATACAGGTTCATCTTGAGAACGTGACAGTCGCAGTGGGTGAGATATAATACTATTGTTGTTGATCTCCGACGAGTCCATTTGATCTGCCTCAGGATGCAAGTATTGAAACTATTGTGCAAAATCTTGAAATATACTGTTACCTACTAAAAGATATTATTCAAGGTGTGAAGCCATTTCTAAATTTACACTTTACAAGTTTAACAAGTTATATTCTACATAGTTTGTGGTCTTAAAATACTTTCAGTGTAGCCGCGTAAGTTCGGGTAGCTAGAAACGATAGTTCCGAGTACAATGTCAACTTGTTTTATCGGGAATAGTTCTAACTAGCTGGGTAACACAAGCAAGGTGGTTGTACAATTTTAGTCATGGGCGGCAGATTTCAAGTAGCAACTGCTATAATCCGTAGCAGTGATTCAAGATCTTCAGAGCTTCAACTAATTAGGGTTGAGATTGCAGATCTGAAATATGAAGTTAGAAATCAGATCCACCTTCGAGTTGTACCAGTACGGTTCCAGCTATTGTTTGGAATGTCTATGCTGCCAAATTCGCCTGCGATTTCCATGTTGCCTTTCGCTGACAAAAGTTCAATAGACGCGGCATACGGTAACTTTACAGTGATATTATTTTTTGTCGTCCCTCAACGCTTGATCACTCTTTCACCGTTTTAATCGGAACAAAACAGATCAAGTCACCGAAGAACTCCAACATGACTGATTCGAAGCTGCCCTGTTTTGTGGTGGGAGGCTATGTGGCCTTGGGTATTTTTCATCGAGCCTTTATTAGCCGGAATCGAATGCCTATCCCCCTCTTCTCCCACATTGAATCTGCCCCTTTTGGTTTCTACGAGGATCTTGATTTGTGACAACTCTAGCAAGACGAACTCCCGCCTTTTTCGATAGGTTGTATAGCGGCAGTTGTTGAAACAAGCTTTGTTCATGATGAGATCCAAAAGCTCATGCTGAAAGACCTGGCCTGTGGGAAACCTATCCCACGTTTGCCAGATGCGTGTTAAGACATGCTCACCATTTCGGAGCACAACAACTTAGGCGAACCCGGGTATGTCTTTTGGCCCTCGGATGTAGCCGTCAATCTACCTTTGCAGTCGAGAGTGGCATGGTTTCTCATTCCGCTGGCACCAAACAACACTGGTACCAGGATGCGATCCACGGTTTTGTTAGGATTCTGTAGGGAGAGGGGAATAGCTTGTTGGTGTTGTATATTTTTACAGTAATAACCAGAATAACTTTGTGTAAAGATCGCGTAGACAATACTTGAATAAGCTTGCATGATAGAAAAGTCTTCATGTTCAATGCTAAAAAGATTTCGAGCTGAGTGGCGTCTGCATATACTAAACTCGGAGAAGCCATATTACATGTCGGTATTTGAACACCGAAAATATTGAAATTACGTTCAGCCGATAGGTCCGGAGCGGCTGGTAAATGTTGGTTCATGAGCCAAGAGCCCGAATAAGATCTACTTCTAGCCCGATCTAAAATTTCTAGCTGAGAATTTTCCAGTAGACACCACCACAAGGCTCGCAAGGCTGGAAGAGCCCGGTTCTTGCTTGAAGGGGTATTGACGGGTGAATTCATAAAATAACGACTCACAGCATTGCCAATCCTTGAATTTATTCCCTTCCTTGTTATCAATCCTCCACATGGCTCCATATGGTGCTCAAAGCAAAGCTACAGCTATCTAACCCCTGGACTTAGAATCTCATTTCTGGATCTATCCTCTTTGATTTTCGTCTCATTCCGTAGGACTTGAATGAGACATCTTGATATTTTCCACTCTACTTGCTCCTTCATGACGCTTATCTTTGTTAAGGTTTACGCCGCATGAGAGCTAGTTGTTGGTTGATCCACTGGGAAGCCTGTGTGTTGTAGGTGTGAGGGTACTCCATGTGGATCATAATGTTATTGCCACTGGCGCAGAAAGGGTCCCCGGTGTTACAGTATGAATGGATGACACTAGCGCAGGCATTGCAGGCTCCTGCTGGTCGAGCATATATCTAAAATGCACGGTGAGTATACAGTAACCTAGGAATACTGGCTCTTTAAATTGTCACACTCAGCCCATTCGTGGTCGCTGTTCCCTCATCCCATGACTCGCCTGCGACATGGCCAGGATCACCATGTCCGACGACAGCTGCAACTATATTCCGTCGTCAGCGACAGAATTCGTTACGGGTACGAAGAAATCAATATCGCCAACATACTATTCTTCCCTTGCGAAGTAGTAATAGTTGGGCTGCCAGTGCTGCCATTTGCCGCATTTCCAGAGCTGCAAAGAGCGTCTAGGATAATCTGTGCGCCCTGCGAGTAGCCTATAAGCATGAGAGTTGTATTAGAGCATGAAGCATATTCTGTGAATTCATTCGTGTCTGCTGTGATACCCGTCCACACATCGTCTATATATATAGGAAATGATCCCCCTGGGTAGTTAATTGCCTCTTGAGTGGTTCCTGAACTTTCATTGATGACTAGTTGCGCTAGAGATCCTATAGAGCCGTCTCCAGGATACTCACCAGTCCTCACGCGTGCAACAAATAGGTGGATAGGAGCACAGCTCGTCTGTCTCTTCTCAGGAACGGAAGCCAACGAGTATGCAGTGACCATGACAACAGTCAAGAGGCTAGCTGCAGCAGAATTGCATTTTCCCATAAAGACCCGCGAGGGAAGTGATTTATAGTTGCTAGAATGCTTAACTCGAAGCTTCGAGTTCGACGTACTCTCCATACCGTGGACTGGCAGTACCAGCCTTCTTATATTTTTGGTCTCTGCCATATTTTCCTTATCCAACGCCAACCCAAATAAAGACATCCGCAAACTTGCCCTAGATTTTTCCCCCGAAGCACTGGGTAGGTGTTTCATACTAAGCCGGGTTCGGCTGAAGCTAATGTAACAAGAAACGGCTATGGTATGATAGCCGGTATCCGATACACATCACTTGTGGCTATATAGAGTTTCATACTTGGTCTATTGTAACGATCTTCATGTGGAGGGATAATATAACCTTGGTTCTAAGCTTTAATGATCATAAACGGTGACTCGGTTACAGTGTAAACGGTACAGTATAAACTTCACTGTAACAGCTTCAATTTCTCGAAGTGGCAGCGTCATCCTAATTAGGGAAAGGACTGGAAATCTAGAGTTTCTTGGTACAGCATTGGTGCTCTTGGATCCATGCAACTAAGTCCACTTTGCAAGTCTCTTTCTCTGACAGGCTAATCACGGACATGGCGAATAAGGAGCGTTTAAATCTCGAGAGGCTTAGTTTACTTCGTCAGCTGAGGTCGATTGAGGCTTGTTCCTTCTCGCTCGAGGATTAGCAGGCTATACTATGTTCAAGGCAACCAATTAGAACTAAAGCGTCATTGCACTGAAATTTCAAATTTAAGAGAAAGGATTATTACTACCCAGTTAGGTACGAATTATAACAGATTCATGCTTCATAGCTGATGGGCCTGACAGAGTAGGATAGAACCATGCGCTTGTCTCCGTGTAGAAGAGTTTCCCAAGAGTCTTTGGAATACACCTTTATCGAATTTCAGCTTTGCGACAACCATGTATGCCAATTGAGATGGCCTTATATTACATACGACCCGCGTTTTGTCTCCTTTCCCACCTCTCGAAACTATCATCTACAGAATCAGAAATTAACTGCTGGGAGATAGCAAGGGGATTAACCGTTGAGTCTGAGACTCGATAAATGGGACAGGTCAATTTCTTTTGCCGTCGTTAGGAGGTGGACGGTTAACTAAAGTATACAATTTGTCAAAGTAGGATGATTGTCTTCGGGTTCTGTTTCCATAACTGCGGATCATATCCTCAAGTGAAGCAGTTGGGACTAGACTGTACTAAGGTCGGGAGAATGGAGGCCAGAAAGGGCGCAACGCCGGGGCACAGATACCAATCCATATCTCACATCAATAATCACTGGTAAACCATATATTGGATCGCGGTGCGCAAGAAAAGTAAATGCTAGACACTCACAATGCCTAATCCCAGCTATACAGTAGAGGTGATAAAATGCCGCCTCTGTGTGCCAGCTGAGATCGAAATCGAAATCTTTGAAAAAACCATCCATATAAATAGTGCAATATACTCACGTCGCAACAACAACAAGCTCCAGAGCGAAAATACGAATGATAATAATACGCTATCTTAGAAGTACTAATTCATGATTTCACGTATTAGTAATCTCAATCTACGGTGATTAGAACTATATAAGGGGGCTAGGATGGCTCTAAGCAAGGACTTAAGTGCCTTGGAACATCAACAAGTATGCGAACACAATTGCTAGACCAGGACAATGGCCGTGGCCAAGCAATATTTCAATATTCGGATACCCGCTGTGAGGCCAGGGTCAAGGGGGGGTAGGAAGAACCATGACAATACGATCCGAATCCAAGTAGATGAGAACGCGAATAACATCATGGAGTTAAGATTGAACCCCATTCCATCGTTAATCAACGGAAGAATGATATCCCAGAGATGTCAATTCCGGCCCAGACACTCAATTCAGATACACTAAAATATGCACATAGGAATTTGTAATAGACTCTCAGCTCAAATTGCCATGCAACTAGACTTCAAGGCCATGTACATAGTATGTCATTTGAAGCCACTTTTACAGGTCCCGATACTAACCGCCTCCTATCACTTAGACTGGCGCGGGTACTACGAGCCAACATTAATCTGCTCGAAGGCTTCACATCCAAAGGGCAGGCCCTGGTCCCTTGCTAGTTAGTGATTCCTACTAGCGTGCTAGTGCATCCAAATTGATACGGATAGCTAAAAATGGACTCTATATTTTCTCAATAAATATGCTTTAAAACTCTGAAGATCTTGGTCCTATATTAAAAGCTTATAATTATAAGCTTTTACTGTATTAAATAAAGCTACAAATAAATTTATGTAAAATCTTCTAAATAGTAGATCTTTATTTCAATCTAATTATCTTTATGATTTACAAAGAAAAATTCTTACATCAAAATATAAGAATTTAATAACGTATTCAGAATCTTATATATAAAATATTAATGACCCTATAGAGTTAGTTATGCATTACATTACGAATGTATAGAGAGCCACTGACTTTATAAAGATTGTCATTGACACGTAGCATTGTGATATAATATAACTCAAAATATGATTCTTGAGGGTAGACTGCAAAGTTCTGTACAAAGTTCTGTAGACTACCAGGTTCCTATGAGTACATATATACTGGGATTGACTAATTCTGTTTACGGTGCAAACCCAGACATAAAAGTAATATATCGCACCTTCTTACACAATTTGAGTACCGTTATGCGAATGCTACATTATGTCTGTTGGCTGTACGGCTTGATGATACTGCTGTATGGAACCATCGGCTTACGCAGTTCTAGATAGCCTAAGCCTCCCGACATACCAGATGACTTCGGCTCTATAATGTCTCACTGGTGGTTCGTATAGTTGGTTCGGCAGTAGTGGGGCTGGATGACATCTCCACCAGGGCAATGGCCTTACTCTTGCCCATCCTTGCAAATACATGTAAGTTACAGAGATAGTGCAAGGCGAGCGCTAAAGTGCATGCAGAACAGACAACTCAACAAAGAGGGGACATGAGAGGATTCTAGATAAACCAGAGTATATTGTCTAGTGTGGGGGCAAGTCTGTGTATGATTAGTCTATTATATACATTAATAGCGCATCCATATCCCTCATCTAAGCGGCTGCCTCAGAGCCCTTAGTGCGCTTATAGTACCAAACAGCACCCTTGCTATGCGCGCAGGACGTGTCACTACCCACACTATCAGCATCAACAGGCTTATACTTCAAATCCTGGGGCCGGCCATGGGCATGGAAATAATACCAGACCTCATCCAAGACGGTTCGCCCGTTGTCCTGGGAGCCTTTTCCGGCTGCGGTCTCATTGAAGCGGGGACCAGTGCAGCCCAGGTATGGCACCGCGCCAGAAGCCTGGGTCAACGTCCATTGAATTTCGTCGAGGGTGTATGCGGTCTTGTTCGACGGAGTAATTCCAGCTGCGGAGAGCCAGTCGTAGGTTGGATGGCGCAGGAAATAAGTGATTGCGGTCTCGAAGAAGTTGACGACGTCGGAGTGCGGTTGCGCGTCTGGGCCGAAGCAGGGGGTGTCAAAGGTCGAGTAGCAGGTGGCGTGTTTGGAGAACTCGTGGGCCCATAGATTCTTGCTTGGGGCGCCTTGGTTAATCCAGTACTTGCTCATCCAGGCCAGCAGATCGAATTTGCCGAAGGGGTGCAGGAAGGTGTCGATTGAGGGACCAGTGTAAGGTGGAACGCGGGTTCCTGAGTAGGTGGAGATGTTAGCATGTTTTCGATCAAAGTGATGTGAGTTCAACTCACCGTTTGCGGTGCCTGTGGTGGTGTTGGGAGAAGGGGCCGGGTCGTATTGACGGTTCAAGTCGCAGTACTGCGTGTACGAGCCATTGCAGAAATCGGGCCAGAGGCCGTGGAGAGTCCAACTGTTGGCGGGCAGAACCTGGCCCTCGGATTCGAGGCCGGTGTAGGTATTCCAGAACTGGGTGCTCAGGAACAAACCACCAAAGGTCTCGGAGCAGCAGGTATCAACGAGGCCGGGATGAGCTTTGGCAGAGCACGACCACACGGGTTCCTCTAGAGAAGTATGTTGGTGTCAGGAAGTGTGTTGGTATCAGCCAATTGATCGTTGGGATAATTAAAACATACGTAAAGCACATGTGTGGTTCAGGTTGCTCTCGCCGTATAGCGACGCCGAGACGACGCTACAAAGGGCGGCCACAGCAGAAAGCGAAGCAATGCGAGGCATTTTCAGGCCAGGAAGATTCGACGACTCAATTGTCCCTGAACTTCGCTCGGAGTCGCCCGAGATTTTTGAAGTATTTAAATAATTGTCATGAAGGCGCAACACGTGCGCTGACAACCAGCTGCCCGGAGCCGCCAAGCTATGTAACATCAGCCCGCGCCGCCCATTGGCTGAAGCATATCGGGTTTGTCCAGATCTGGCAAGAGATAACACTAGCGCGGATCTGTACTGCAACGATGATGCCATGTGCGCCGTTCATTGGCTGAGGCAGTGGATTATCGGACCCTCTGCACGACTGGCCAATCATGATGCTTTCTGCTCGGTTCTGGAAGAGTGCCAGATGCATCGTTCTTACCTCTCTTCTTCTCGTCTTTTCTCATTCCATTTCTCTCCAGTCTGTTCTGTTCGTTGCTGATAGATCTTCTTGCAATGCGGTGATAGCTTATATGCGTTCCTGCCTGAAGATGTATCGTTTCGTGAAGATTCGGCCGTCAGAGCCTCGATCAATATTAAGATGAGCACGACTCGGAATGCGTCCGATCGTATCCAGCAAGATGCATCAAATATCAATTGAAGTGTGCGAGAGTGCTCACCAAACCAGCGGGGCTGAAAGCTGCTTTATTCGGTCACAATATCCGTATCGACGGATTGACGGATTGCAGATTGACAGCATGTCGACCCCGCATAGTCATCTCCCCGCGCTAAGAACGAAGATTGGTTTATTTGTCAGCGCATTGATTGGCCATTAATACAGCCATCTCGCTGAATTTAAAAGTTCTTCTTTCTCTGCCATCAAGATTATTGTGATTTGTCCAGCTTGCTATCATAACCACAACATGGCGGTGTCGGTGGGAATACTCTCTATCGGTGACATGGGCCTAGGCATAGCGCGTCTCCTGCAGGCGCATTCTTATCGCGTATTGACGGTAACGGCCGGTCGAAGGTACGTTACAATATATAAATTCACGAAAAAATCTATAATTCACGAGCCGTGCTGAAGGTTCCAGCCAGGATACCATCAACCGGATCAAAGCAGCGTCTATTGAAGCTCTGTCCACCGACCAAGACCTCGTTGTACAATCCGACTACATTCTCTCAATTGTGCCACCACGAGATGCTCTGGCAACTGCACAGCGTGTCGTGGAAGCTACACAGCATGTCGACACTCTTCGCAGACGGTCAGAGCGTGAGAGTGCCTCAAAGAAGCCGTATTTCTTCGACTTGAATGCCATATCGCCACGGTCAGCGCGAGAAATCGCAGCGCTCTTCTCGCCAACCACCTCTGAGGACGACACAATTGCTTATTTCCTCGATGGCGGGATCATCGGCGGTCCGCCGTCTCTCGACGCTGTGGGTCAAACGTGGAAGAAGCCGAGCCTGGTGTTGTCTGGCTCAGTACCTCTTCCGGGCACATTCGCAGCGCTGGCCGAAACGCTAAACATGAAGATCGTAGGACCGAAAATCGGGTCTGCGTCGGCACTCAAGCTGTCATTTGCGTCACTAACCAAAGGACTGACGGCGCTGACAGTACTGTCGTTCTCGACGGCACACTCAGAAGCGGTGCTGCCAGAACTGTTGGAGCATCTCAACGAGTACTCGCCCAAGACAGCGGCGTTGAGCACGGGCGGGATCGCAGCGATGCCTCCCAAGGCGTACCGATGGGTGGAAGAGATGCGTGGAATCGGCGAAGCGTTCGACACGGAGGGCCACTGGGACGGGGTGGGCAGCAGCGTGTACGGGGCGTTTGCAGAGATCTACCGGGGAATCGCAGAAGACACGATTCTTGGGCAGGAGAAAGTTGGCCAACGCAGGCGAGGCACCACGGCAGAAGATGTGGCTGCCATTGTGGCTGCGGCGAAGAGCCATCCATGACGCATCACGTGGACAGCTTCTGCATTGATCGTGACTACCTGCTTATTTCGGCATACTTTGGAAATGCCAATTGCCAATTACCAATTACCAATTACCAATTGACGTTCGGGGAAATCCGAGACTTGTCTACATATGATGTCAGTGCAAATTTGAGGGAGCCAACATGGCTCAGCTGAGACCCTGAGCCGCGATGCTATGCTGTGAATAATAGAAAATAGAGCTCGTCATCTGTGGGCAATATCACCATATCGCATCTGGAGATGCTTGTCCCAAACAGGCATAGTGCGACGGTTGGGGCCGTAAAACAAATGACACAAATAATAATAATGATCCTTCAAACTTCCACGTTTTGCTGTGTCTTACTATTAATTAATTAGTACGTAGTAGTAAAGTAAGTGCAGGTCTGGACGCTGTACGCATCCGGAGCAATTCCTGAATAGAACGACGACCGAGCCAATCAGAGGCAGATCCGGGCGGACGAGAAAGGATTGTGGGGCGAGACTCGTACACCATCCATACATAGTACATCGCCATCTACATCCATACAGATATAACTACAGTATATACTGTCTCCAGTACGTCACCTGACCAGCATCCGTACATATGCAAATACAAAATACTGCATATTATATAGTATATAACGGATGTACAGGCACGTACATGTATTTAAATAATAAGCGCACGCAGCGCCAAACAGAAAATGCGCCGCCTCTGATTGGCCGCCATGGATCACGACATTTCCCCATCGCATTCGACAATCACCCTAGGCCCGTAGCGCCCGAATCGCACCAATCAGAAGGCGTATATCTCTAAGATCGCCTGCTTAGCCCCGCGGCGCCCTGGGTAAGCCCCTGCCGTGTTGGCCAGCAGACTGGACGGCAGGATCATCACGTCTTCAAGCCAAACGTGGAGGGAGCCACGATAATAAGATTCGTTAATCCGGACCTAATCATCGTTAATGATTAATCAATGACAATTAACTAATCCCCCATCCTCATCGCCCTTCACCTGGGAACCACGCCATGGCCGAGGGCCGCCGCCAGCATCTGCAGAAACCGCAACACCATCCACAGCAGCCACAACCGCAACCGCAATCTCAACCATCCCAGTCTGTTCTGCAGCACGACCAGACGCAGACGCAGACGCAGGCGCACGCTCAAGCTCAAGCTCAAGCTCAGGCGCAGGCGCAGCAGGCTCACGCACAGCAGCAATCACAGGCTGCCCTATCTTCTGCCCGTCTGCAGCACTTTAACTATTTGGCAGCGCCCACCACGCAGGCCCAGGTGCAACCCGCCCAGCAGCAGCATTATATTGGGCTTTCGTCCTCTGCCTCTGCTTCTGCGTCGGCCACCACTGAGCGACGGCATTATTCGTTCGATACGGATCGTGACTCTCGGCGATTTTCGCTCAGCACGGCGCTCAACAGCATGGATTACGACCAGACCGAAGGCCTCGGCGGGCTGTCTGTCAGTTCGTACGAAAGCATCGACGACGACCGCAGCGAGCCTGCCATCCGCGGCTACCATTTTAATGGTGAGTTTCACTCCTTTTGCTCTTTTACTTTGTTCGTATCTTTTCTGTTCTGTTCTGCTATTTTCTGTCACTTGAGCCCTCGCCTCTTGCATAATCCCGATATTCCTATTCGTCATCAGCACCTCCGGCCACCATGGGGCATGTATTATCTATTTTAAATCTAGCCTAGTCGTCTGCATGCCATCTGCTACTCTGCCACCCTGGTAACCAGTGGTGCTGTTAGGCCAGGTGAAGCTATATCCGCCGCTGTTAGACCGTGTGTAACTCACCGCTGTTTTGCTTGGCACACCCCTTTCTTCATTCCTCTTACCATTCACCGCGCTTTGATTGTTCTATTATTCAATTATGAATTTGAATTGTTCGATTGCCCGCGTCTGTGCGGCTGCGGCTGGTTGTCGGTCGTATCGATATCGCGACATCACCGAGCACGCCATCTGGCGCCCCGATTGCCTTTGCCTTTGCCTAGCGATGCAGTCGATCATCCACGGTTCCCCCGGATTGAAGTCTCCAAAGCTTATTCTCTTCTTCTCTCACCGTTGCCTTTTTAACTTCTTTCTGGCCATGTACTCACGTTCCGCAGGCGAGAAACATATCAACTATCCCATGCCCGAGCAAGTGCTCCCCTATTCAGCGTCGCCGCTGTACCCGTCAATCCCCTACCAGATTGACGAGCTTGGCCATGCGCCGGGCAACTACACGCCATCCGACGTGTCCTCGTCCATCTCGCCGCCCAACGGCCAGATCGGCAACAACAAGTACAGCACCGTGCCTTCGGGCGACCGACTGGCCTCAGCCCTCGGGTTCGAGGAACAGTCTCGCATGACCGCCGATGAGGACAAGCGACGCCGAAATACCGCTGCCAGCGCCCGCTTCCGCGTGAAGAAGAAGCAGCGCGAACTGGCCCTCGAACGCACCGTCCGCGAAGCCAGCGAGATGAACGCCAGCCTCGAAGCCCGCGTCGCGCAGCTGGAGATGGAGAACCGCTGGCTGAAGAATTTACTTACTGAGAAGAACGACAACCAGACCTCGCGCATGCCACCGCCGCCGCCGCCAGAGAACAGCACGGCACTGACCCATTCAGATCCTGCAAACGCAGGCAACCAAAAGCCGATTCAGCCGAAGCGCACTGTTGGGGTTGGCACTGAGAATTGACCAACATAATGTATTTTCTCTTTTTGACTCTACTACCTATTTCTGTCTTCACTTTCCGTCTTCACTTCCTGTCTTCTACTACTATTTCTGTCTTTATCTTGCTGATCGGGATACTATCGACTATCCCTGGAGTTGGGGTTTGATTGGGATGTATGACGGCATGATTATACGAATGGCAGTCGATGCACTCTTTTCATTTCAAATCTATTCACGTAAACAGTAAATACCTACAGTAAATGCAGACTACATCATTGTCACCTCGAACATTTGAACTAGTTACAAGATCTCCTAATCTACCCGCTATGTGATTGATTGATAATGAAGAATGAGCTGAATCGAGTTAGTCCCAACGCCTACCTCACTAGTTAGCAGCAACATCGATCTACTATTGATTCTCGAACACATGTATTAGTACCTATGCGTAACGAATGCTACAATAACCTTCCCCCATCTTTCCCATCCCCATCCCACCTACCCTTCCCTTTTCTAACATATGTCCACCCTAACGTCTAATACTGCCCGCCGCTCCGCCTGCGACAGATGTCGCGCCCACAAACTGCGCTGTATCCGCGAGCCCCTCCCCAAAACCTCCACCACTGCCACTCTTCCTGCTGATAACCTACTTGATCCATACTCGTCATCGTCGTGTCGCCGATGTCTGAATATCGGTGCGCAGTGCACGACTAGCGCGAGCGCGAGGATCGGGAGGCCAAATGTGCGGGGAGGGGGGGTATGTTCATTACTATGGCACAAATACAACTACAACTACATTTACAAACACAACTACAGATACAAGTGTAAGCGCAGGGACAGGGATAGGGACAGGCACGAGGAGTGAGAATGGCTGGAAGGGGCCATCGAGTGGATATAGAGCACCACCAGATACTGCTCCATCACCCGCCGACATCACCACCCTCAGCCCATTCAACATCGCCGAGCCCTTCCTCTTCGATGCTGGGCTATTCATGGACAACAGCGACATCTTCGAGCCTCTAACAGTCCCCGGGTTCGACGGAACTGAGTCGTCCGTAGCACCAGTATCAGTATCATCGCTGCAGGGAACAGCCTCCTCATCGTCAGATGCATGTGCATGCGAGTATGGCGATGCAGAGGGTCGAATCGAGCACATCTCACACACCTTATCCACATACCTTGCACAGCTCTCCCTCGGCCCACCGGCCATCACCCTCACAACCATCATCTTCACTCACCCTACCCCTACAAAAGGGGAGTGTGAGAGGACGGATACGGTTGATAATATCCTAAAGTACACAACGCGGTACGTCGAGGCGATCAAAGCGGTACACCAATCGATTACTTTCAGGAGTAAAAATGGTGCGCAGAAGATTGACTCCACAATGGTCCTGCGCCTGCTTACCGGCTACGTGACGCTGATCAAGCTGTATCTGATTCTGTTCGCGCACGTGCACGAGTTTCTGCAGGATATCATCACGGACTGTGACGAGCAGGAGGATGGAGTAGGGGGGAGGAAGTTGGAGGGTATTCCGGGGATACAGATCCTCGGGTCTGATATTCGTACGTCTCCCTCTACATCTACGTGTATAAATAATGTATGTGTGTGTTTACGTGTAGGTGTGGGCTGACGCACTGGTGTGGTGTAGAATCCGGCACGTTGCAAGTCACGCTCTTCACGCAGATCATCACGCATCTGATTGCGTCTATCGAGCAGATGCTCGGTCTGCGCGTGGAGTACAGACTCGATAACAGGCAGCGGAAAACTGGGGAAATGAAGAACGGTGAGGAAAGGTTGTTTTCGGATGATGATGAGGAGATTGTTACTGCCGTTATGCGGAAAGAGGCTGCTAGCGTTGATCCGATGAGAGGGTGTGGAGGGGTGGAGGTGCTGAGGGCGACGATTGAGCGGGTTAAGAGGCTTGTGGAGAGGCTTCCGCTGTAATATTTAATGTACTTCTTACTATACTTCAATATTACGTATTAGGTTGATGGGTGTTGATGTATGTCGGAAGGTTAATTGTCCAGACTATTAGTGATATTAAACTAGAATAAGAAAATTAACGCCGAGACAACCGTCCCGCAATCGTACATACACTGTTGAGTACTGAGTAACCTGATTCTGATATTGGCATGATAATCGACATAAGAAATGCGCCTAAGCAGCAACTGCATCGCGCTCTTCAGTTCGGCCGCGATGCTCGCCGTTGACACCGCTGTGTGCAATACTGCCGTCGTCCTCCACCACGCCGTCGTCGCTGACGTCGTCAACATGGTAGTCTGCGTGCTGGTCAGCCGGCACCCACGAGTCACGCTCCTTCAACGACTGATCGGTGAGATCGCCCTCGGCGTGGCGCTTGATATTGTTAGCGCGACGCTGTGACAGCGTACGCGACCGCGTCGACAGATTCGAGCGAACTGCTGCTCCAGATGTGACCCAGTTAGTCAGCGCATCCTCGCAGTCCTGGATGATAGCCTTGCTGGCATCGTATCCGTCGTATGCCTGGCGGGTCTCGCCGGGGGTAACGGGAGTGTCGTCAACAAGCTCCAGCAGGTGTTTGCCGTAGCCGGCGATGATGGCAATCTTCTCGCAGTGCTCGCGAAGAGCGTCGAATTGGTAGGTGAAAGCCCCCTTCAATTTCTCGCGGGTGATGTTGGACAACTGCGCCTCCGCAACCAGCGATTCGGCCTCGGCACGCACCAATTCCTGCTCGAGAACGACAATACGAGGGGAGTTGGGATCCTTGTACTTCAACTTGGCGATTTCGTCGGTGATTTTCTGCTTGCCTGATAACTGTCAATTACGGTCTAGCCTATCAGATAGAAGAAACATACGGTCTCGGCTGGGCTGCACAGAGGCTTCGATGTTGCGAATGCTCTTAATCGTAAGACGGTACTGATCATAGCGGTCGACAAATTGATCCTCCAATTCACCAATCTCGTAAATCAAGACACCGAGCTTATCCGTGACGTCCGAAACATCGTCGTCGCAGGCTTCGCCCCAGATTGACAATTGTTGCTGCAATTGTTAGTCAATAATCCACCAATCTGCTGAATAGACCACATACGGCGACTTCCATGCGCTCCCGGCCAACCAGTTCCATACTCCTCATTACGTTTTTCTCCATCTTGACCAACTGCGAAAGCTTCTTGGCCAGGTCGGGACCGAATGCACCGGCAGCGTTCTTGCGGAAGGCATGGCCTAAACGGCTCATCTCAGTCAGCAAAAGGGTGGCAGACGGATCTCGAAGGCATCTGCGAAACGCGAAGCGTCTGGAGAGGTCCAATTCGCTTGTTCGTGACATTGTCGACGAACAACACCAATGCAGCGCAAAAGACAACAAAACGCAAAACAAACTACAAAAGAGGTGCAAGGTTACTCACCAAAGTTGCTCTTCCCGAACAAGCGACCGGACTTGGTGCTGGACGACGGCGGCGGCGGGTTTTCGATCTGCGAGGCAGTCGGGGCGCGAGACTGGCGCATAGAGTAGGTGCGATGCATGGCTGCGCGGGAGTTTGTAAAAATGGGAAGAGCGAGGGGTGAGCACTATTAATGTCTCTCGTCGCGGCTGAAGCTGATCTGAAACTTTTTGGCCGCCGGTGGTGTGACGTGAGGGTGAACGCAGGCGGGGTCACTGGCGGAAATCAATCAATCAAAAGGGGCCAGCTGGAAGGACTGAGGCTGAGTCAGTACTGTACAATCCCTGCCAGTGTAATTGGGAGGTCGGGTTGAGGCACAATCTAGGATCTCTTGTCCAGAGTATGTAGTTTGTAGTAGGCTGTATGTACGGGTCGATGGATGCGCAACGGTATATCGAAGATTATAGATTATTATAAAGAAAAGAGCAGAGAGCTCCAGCCGCCCAAGTGGGTGACGTCGTCGCAAGCGGCTTGGGCGATGCCCGAAGCGGCGGCCCGCATCACGTCGAGCCCGCTGATTGGCTGTGCACCGTCATCAAGGCCTTGCGCTATCTGCTTATCCAGAGCTCTTCGATCAAGTGCACGAACCTGGAGACAACTCAGCATAGCTGCAGGGACAGCGCTGTAGATCTGACGCCGCAGAGTAGTCTGCTGTGCGCTTGGAATTGGTGCCATTCCTGTTGTATACACTTTGCACGGCTGTAAGCAGTAGTTGCAATAGTGGTACATCGACGACGTCATCACTGCAGCAACGGAAGCCCGGGAGACGACGACGTCATTTCGCCCAAAGTTGGACGATTTATGGTTCGACACTAGGTCCGATCTGGACGGCTCTTGTGCACAGCCTCACCGAGCAACAGCAGTGGCTTGCCTTCGTTCCCTATCTGGGGTTGTCCCCTATCAATCTGGGAAAGAGATCACCGCTTTCTTCTGCGTCGTCCTTCTCTGGTCAGCCGTAGCGCCCAATTGGGAGACGCGGACAATTTTTGGGTTGTAGTCGGCTCGCTCATTGGTCAATGGCGTGAGGAACGACTGTGGCAAAGATAGAGATGTATCTTAAAACTCGTAGCTTGAGCTATGGCAGGATGTACAGCATATAGGATGATTTACGATCAGTATCAATACAGTACTGAAGCTATTGTAGGCTATATCCATTGATATTTATGACTGAATATATCGCCGTAAGATATCAGGCTAATCTCCCCTTCTGCGCTTCCTGCTCTCTTTGGCTTGTTTGGCTTGTGTGGCTTGATTTGCCTGTTCTTTCTGTTTTGCTTGTTCTGCTAGCCGGCTCAAGGCTTTGTCCATGCGGCTCTTTCCTTCTGCGCGCACACGTGGGGCAAACGCTCCTGCTCCAAGGCCGCCGCCGACAAACCGCGTGATGTTGGCCTGCGTGCCTTCCTGCTCGCGCTTGTTCATGTCGCGAATCACCGGCAGCAGAACCTCATCCGTCCTTTCTTGCGACCAGCCGATCGTCGCCATCAGGTAACTGCGCAGCCCGTTAAGGTCCGGGACCCCCCATTGGAACTCGGATGCGTCGTTGTCGACCTCGGGGTTCAAATATGCCTCGTCGATATGAGTGTCCGGGAACGACGGCGGCAGGAACAGCTTCGTCGCCATCTTCTTGAACTTCTTGCGGAAGTTGTGGTGTGGGTCATCAGTTATTTCTACTCCCAGCTGTACCTGCATCCACCAGTCGCGGAACTTTTCAAGGTCTTGAAACTCGGTGATGATCTCCAACGCAGTCACCGGTCCGACGCCAGCAATGCCCTCCGTGTAGTCGCTTCCAAGGAGATGGGCAAATCGAATTAGCTTAGGGCGGTCGAGGGCATATTCCTTCTCAAGGTCGTTGGCAAGAAAGCATTCTACGTATTTGCTTTGATTGAACATGTTCTTGTAGATGCGAGTGCCGCCGAAAAGGAACGTGTCGCTGTCGTCAGTCACAATCCCATCTACCAGGCCCAGAGATACGAGCTGCGCACACTGCGCTTCAGCTTCCATAGGCGCCGTAATATACGGTAATCCAAACAATCGAAGCAGTTGCTGACATTCAGAGACCATGATCTGAGATACTTCATCAGCATCACGTCGGTCTTTCTTTTGCTGGTTGCGGAGCTGTTTCAATTCTTGCTCAAAGTCACGAGCGTTTTCAGCCTGCGTTTTGTTGTTGAGCGTAGATGCAAACCGAGCATGTTCTTCCGCTTCGGCGGCTAATTGCACCATTAGGTCCTCATCTTCTGGGTCCGAATATGGAACCTCATTATCAACCATGGCAGCATCTTGCTCGTCCAAAATAGCCGCACTAGTCTCTGCGAAAGCAGCTGTGTTCTGCACTGGTACTGCAGCAGCAAGTTCCACATCCTCAAACTCCGGAGAAGGCGATATACTTTTCACTAGGTCGGTGTTCACATGAGCGGTAGCACTGGTGGCTCTCGCTAATGTAGATTCTTGCTCGTCATCGGTGGGCTCCCAATCGGAAATTTCCTTCTCTTCGCCAGCACCTTCTTGATCGCGAAACACAGTCTGTGTTTCCGCCACGGTCGATGGTGTTGATGGTTTCATGCGGATATTTTCAGTAATATCATCCATCAAGGTAGGCTGTTCCATGATTTGTTCCACGGATTCTGTTTCTGATGCTTCTTGCTCTTCAGCGTCAAGGTCAATAATCTCTTTTGATTCTGGTATTTCGTCGACATCGATAACCTCTGGCGATTTATTTCGTGATAAAATTTCCTGGTGAAACAATGTATCGTCATACTGCCTTTTCACGGGCTCCTCCTCATTTCTATCTTCGATAAAATCCGCTTTAACCCCATCATTTTTGATAAACCAAGGCGGAAGAGCTTCGGCTTTCTTCTTTTTTCTGCTTTGAATACTCTCATCTTGCCTCTCGAAACCACCCGCATCAGCTTCAGGTGGGGCGGTTCGAGGCAATTCCTCTTTCGCTCGGTTGTTTATCTTCAATGTCTCGAACGGCAATGGGCCGTTGAATTTATATTCTGGACGAACTTCTGGGGCCTTGGCCTTGGATCTTGGCTCTGGCTGTGCTTTCTTAGCCTGCGCTAGAGCCGCAGTAAAGTCCATCTCATCCCCATCCTCGCTCTCAGAAACACTCATAGAGTCAAACGTGGGTGGAGCATGTTTGGCCAGGTTGTCTGTATTTACAGGTTGGGTAGATTCCGCTTCCGGTGCCCTCTCTAGAGACATTGCAATAGCTCGGCTAAGATCTTCATCCTCATCATCACCAAATAGGCCAGCCATATCTCCGCTAGCAGGGCTTCTCTCTACAGGGACGAAAAGAGCGTCATTATCTTCATCGTCAACTGTACTATTGGAAATTCCCGCTTCCTCGCGGCGCGCTGTGTATACTGCTTTCCTCCGATCCAAGGTCTCCGCTTTGTGCCGCTGAATAGCCTCATCGAATATCCCCTTTTGTAGTATGGGAAGCTTAGGTAATCGATTGAGGCCTTCGATAGGAATGTCTTCAAACGCATTGTCGTCGTCTTCATCATCTTGCACCGGTAAAATATCAGGCTGACCATATTGATCGACATCGATCGGCCGATCGGCCACTGTTCCTTCTTTATTCCCAACAACGCCCAGGGCCCAACCACCCTCGACATCGGGATTTTTGACCAGCACATACTCTTTTCCGCGTTCGCCCGCAATTCTTTGACCACTATTAAAATCTATAGCCTCTTCTCCATTCATTCCGTTTATGTTCATTAAACGTTGAGTTAGGTCATTTCGTTCTTTGACTCGTTCTATCTGGAACTTGGAGAATGCCATTCGATCTGGAAACATAGAATCAAGTTGTTCTTTAGAGTAGCCCATTCGCAGACGACTACGAATTCGGGCGGCGTTGAGGATATTGTATCGATCACTTGCGGGAAGACTCATGAAGAAAGGACTGTCAAAATCAATCTTCGAAAAATCATAGAGATTGATATCTTCCCCATTATGGAACTGGCGAGCGTATTCCTCTAGCTCTTCTTGCGACATGATTCGCGGGTCGTCAGCTCCGCCCATGTGATCAAGAGATACATCGAGGTCAGGCAAATGATAAGTATCCTTTTTACGAAACTTTCGATTTTTCTGCCTCTCTTTCGGTGTCATAAAAGTTTCGTCGACATATCTTGCCTCCGCCGATATTTCTCCTTGTTCTGTCACCTCAATATTTCCATGTCTTCGCCTGGTCTCTTCCTCCTCGGCCTGCCTCTGAATCTGGATTGCGAGGAGCTTGCCAGCAGTTCTCACAGCATCTTCCCTTCTACCCTCTCGCCTCTTCCTTCGAGCCGCAATCGTTTGGCGCTTAAGCACCGGAGCTCCGCCATCGAAAACAAAAACTGGCTTGATTCCGAAGAAAAGCAGCTTACAGATCCGACGAAAGAAACCAACCACATGAGCGTTTCGCAGAGCATTTCCTTCTTTGTCTCGAACCGCTTTGAGAAATTGGTAGATCCAGATGGACGCGTCGACTGCGAGGCGCTTGCGATTCAACGTTTCCAGTTTGATTGGTCGCGCACAGGGCTGGACCACAGTCCATAGTCCGGTAACACCCATGGCTGAGATTTAAGACCCCAGAAGTAGATTTATCAAGAAACCATTGCAAACCTGAGAAGAGAGCTGATGCTGAGGCAGCCGTTGCCCGATGGCTGCATGTGTGAAAGTGGGACGATGGCGGTCGGGATGACGCATTGTCAGAAACACGCATCGCGAAGTCATGTGATCTCATATATCCGCATCAGGAAGGCGGGGATTAAACGGACGAATCCACTACGAGAACGCGGGGCTTGGCAGGTGAAGGCACAATTTTTGCTCAATCAGAACTTCACTAGACATCCCCGAGATTTGCTGTGTTGGTTTAGGACTGGGTGTCGGAGCTGTCTTTGGAAATGCAAAGAGCTCCACTATATATTTTGCGTGAATGTCGATATCTTTGGAGGTAAGTAGTCTGCAATTGAGTTGACCGTAGCAGCAGCTAATTTTTTCTTGAGCATTTTGATGGCCGTGTCCCAGTCACTGGCTTGAAAACGTTCCAGTATGGGAATCTATCTCTACTCCTGCAGGGCCAAGGGCCTTTTGCCTCGGTGATTAATACAGAGAGCGGGAAACTGCTCTCCAGAATCAGAGTGTTTAGAAGAAACAACATTTATGGATATATGATTGATGAATCACGACACAATGGAGCCGATAATATAGATATACTGGCCTGGGGCGGCCAGTCTCTACGTATAATCAGTATAAGTAGCCAGGACGGCAACATATCAGTCGCGCACACGACATCCGAATATGCGGCCCCTGATTGGATATATGATATTTGTCCCGCCAATGTTGACGACAAATCCAGTCTTGCCTATCTAGTTACCGGTCACAATTCCCTACTCTGTCTTGATGTGGGAAACACAACTACTTCCAAGTATTCTAAAGCTATACGGCTGCGACGAGTCGCCGCAGGCGTTAGATCAACACTTTACTCAGCCAACCTCGTAGCCCTTTCACCTTCACATATCTTGATAACTGCCGGCACAGTTTTCGGCGAGATCATTGTCTGGTCTTGCTTTCGAGAGACGGAAAATTCTGACTACAGCGGAAGTGCCAAGTCCTCTATCCACCATTTCTTCACCGGCCATGACGGCTCGGTTTTCGGTGTAAATATCTCAGATGAGATGACTCTGACGGCTGGGGGAGGATCCGGCAGGCTTTTAGCGAGCTGCAGTGATGATAGGACGGTTCGTATATGGGACATTTCAGACTGCTGTCACGCGACGTCTACGGATGTGACGGCATACTCTACAGACGGATTCGATCTTCGAAGCACCGGTTATGGAAGCACAGCACCTGTCAGCATTGCGGGTGGTTCTGAATCGGCGGTTGCAAAGGCGTGGGGTCATGTTTCTCGTATATGGGGCGTTTACTTTCTTCCAGTCAAAGAGGGAACTTCTACCGTCATCAACCTGGTCTCGAGAGGGGAGGATGCTACTTGCCAGCTGTGGAGGTTGGATCTGAGCTTGCAACCAGGCAAGGAAATGAGATATGATTTGAAAAACATAATGCAGCTAAACCATCATTCTGGCAAGCACATATGGTCACTAGCACTAGCTAGAGATGAGCACGACGCAATCACGGTATTTAGCGGTGGCGGCGACGGGGGAATCAGGACATTCAGGCTAGACTATTTCGGCCACCTCGCTTCCAAGATAGAACTGCCTGAGCGGTCACCATACAACTCGGGCACGATGGTGAAATTCGCGCATTCCAAAGTCGACAATGGTGATCTACCCCGATCTTCAGCATTTGTTTCCAGGGACAGTTTTATTGTAGCCAATGCTTCTGGTGCAGTGCAGCTAGGGTCTATAGACCTTTCTTCGACATCCGCTAGATTTCAAGAGAGGCCGCATATTACTTGGCAGGGTATAGCCGTGGAGCAGGATCTTCGGTCTGTCTCATTGATGGATTCGCTTCCACATTCCGGGATCGCTGTTATCGGCAGCTCGAGCAAACGACTGTGGGTTTATGATCATCGCACGAAGGCCTTGACTGAACTTGTGACTGTGCAATACAGACCTGTCAGGATTGTAATGCTTGAGGGCACAGTTGATGCTTCGGATGGTAGGATGAGTTTCAGTTTCATTGTATCATATGCAGATACCAGGCAGGTTGGGCTGTTCAGATATGACTTCTCAGAAAGCGGACAGAATCTTCAACGAACAGAGTTATCGCTGCCTACTCATTTTCAGGCAACGGTTGCGGCAATCTTTTGCCATGGAAAATATCTAGCGATTGGAGGGAAATCGGGAGGGATATTGGTATACAGACTAGATGTCGAGGTAGATAGGATTGATCACTTGTTTCACATGGAACGTGTCCATGGCAAGGAGTACGTGGCTTGTCTTGTCCCTATAGATGACCCGGATAATACAAACACGGGTTACATCTTTTCAGGAGGCCAGGACGGCCACTATTCTGTACATCGTCTCCGACACCAGCCCGGTGTTGGTGGGAGCGAGGCTTTCCAGGCCATCCATAGAGCATCCACGCCGTTTTCGCATGTTGAGAATGCATATTTCGATTCAACGACCGGCGACTTTGTTCTCCTTGGCTCTCGAGGTGGGATATTTATAATATGGAATGAGACCACGCAGACAGAACTTATGAAAGTCAATTGCGGCGGCGGCCATCGCGTTTTGCAGTTTATGCCAGGTCTAGGTGAGTCTGGTTCTGGGATAGTGATGGGGATTCTGCAGAGGTTTCTGCATATTGTTGTCACAGACTCTGTTACACCTCGCCCTCTTCGCGCTGGGAGTCATGGCCGTGAGCTTAAGAGCTTGGCTATAGCCAATGTGACGGGTGATGCTACAAGTGTACCGCTCATTGCGAGTGGTGCAGAAGATACCGCGATACGCATCTCTATACCACGCAAGGTTACAGATGACAGCATGTCAGAATCTTTACAGTGCGTAAGGGTCATGACACGCCACGTTGCCGGCATCCAGCATGTCAAATGGTCAGCTAACAGACGGTTTCTGTTTTCGAGTGGCGGCGCAGAAGAGTTCTTTGCCTGGAGGATTCGATATGTGCCGAAGTTTGGAGTGGCGGCATTTATGGAAGCTGCTATCCCGAGGGATAATGCTGAAGTGGAGTTGAGGATTACAAGCTTTGATGTTCTGAATTTGAAGTCGACGGCCGACGGGGACTGCTTTTTGTTGGCGATGGTTTACTCGGATTCTCAGGTCAAGGTATGGTTTGGCTCGAAGTGACTAATTACATGGGAGTGTGCTGATTGTAGGTGTAGATGTTTAAGTATACTAGCTCCCCAACCAAGTGTGCTTTCGACCTAATCGGCAGAGGTATGTATTCGACGAACTGTCTAACCGAGGTTCATTTCGTGGAAGTTGGCTCCACGACATATCTAGTCACGGGGTCGACCGACGGCCATCTTGCATTCTGGCCACTAGGCCTGGATAACGAACAGTGGATTGCAGCAGAGGGTATGCTTTCTATAAAATGGGTGATTCACCATCCCATCCACAGCAGCAGCATCAAAAGCCTCGACATAGCCAAACTATCACCCACCTCTCATCTACTCATTGGCGGTGGAGACGACAACTCCCTTTCTGTCACACTCTTCCGATCAAACGACACTAACAAGTCGGATATCGCGACTGTATCTATCCAGAACGCACATGCATCAGCCATTACAGCCATCAAAGTCTTGACCACCACGTACCACCCTTCCTCTAATCACCCCCCCTCTGCAGCAGCCAGCAGCAAGAGAAATCTCATCACCGTCACCATAGCATCCTCCGGGAACGACCAGCGCGTCAAAATCTGGTCTGTCTCAATCGACAACAACAAGCCCGCTACTCAAGCCGTCACGGTTTCACTGGAAATTAACCGCTACTGCTCTGTCGCAGACATTATCGCAATGGATGTGCTCGAATCTAGCGAGAGAATGTTGGTGATCGGCGGTGTGGGCGTGGAAATGCTGCGGTTATGAAAACATCTTAAGTACATATATAGTGAGAATGTCAACATAGGGCGGAGTAGTAAGAATTTGTTCATCTGAACTCTTGCTTAATTATATATATTATTAGTGAGTTAGAATCCGAAATCTATAATCTACAGGTAATGACCACCAAAGAATATATCACCTTCTCAATTCGCAAGTCTGGCTTGTCCTCCTACTTTAAATACCTCAATTGATGTATCCTAGTGACATATAAAGTAATATTATCTGTCCGCCTTCCATGTATCTTTTCTCTTACCATCCAACAATCCTTCACCAATGATCCAGCTCTCCCTCCTAGCTACAATCCTGGCCCGTTAACTATCTCTTCCAAGCAAGATATGCCAGACCAGCCACATGGGACAGAGCGTGTGGTCGAGTTCATCCGTTTCCATAGGGGGAGAAAGGCATTTGTGTATTTCCAGCAAAAGAAGGAGTTCCTTCTTCTAATTGGTGCTGTGGATTGCTCTCAAAGGGGGAGGAATTCGATGATAACATAGTCATATACGGGGACGTTTGTTGGGATGTCGGATAGCCCATCCATGCATCGTGATGGAGATACGGAAGCACACCAGTCTTCTTTTCGGTGGCAAGCTTTCCAATGTGGTGATAGTGCAACTGATCCATGGAGATCTTCCGTGACTGGAAAGATACGCTTGAAGGCGGAGGACTAAGCAACGTACTCATTGTCATCGCTGGACTGTAAGGAGACATTCTGTTGTATAAGAGAGGCGGTGAAAGGGGGATTTCAGATATCCGATCATAGAGATCATCAAATGAAGACATGGTGCTAAAGGAATGGACATTCCCGTGCGGAAATGAGCGGCTGAATACATTTATAGGAAACGGAGGAGACTCCTGTGCCGGGACTGAAGAGTAGGACGAGCGAGTGTATGGTAAGGTCAGAGGGGCGATGGAATTTGAGGTCGCTTGATAGTCGCCCAGCTGTAGTAAACGAGGAGAACGTAGAATTGGTGTAGGCTCTAGAGGCGACATCGTGACTAGAGGTTCAACTAGCGGAGGAAATAGTACAGAGGAGACTACCGGTAAAAACGGCGACATGTGTGGACGATTTTCAAGTGAGACCATTCCCGCTCCCGACCCTTCTTCGACATAGTCATTTAATCTATGCTTGCGAGAATACTGGGGAAAGTCATTACCAGGGAGTTGTCGTGTCGGGGATTGTATCCGAATGGGGGAGCCAGCACTCAATGGTGGGCTCAAGGTATTTTGAGATTGATGGAGGCCGGTTGTAGGATGGGAGTGTGATTTTGAAGCTGGCAATGACGGTAAGCCGTTTGGGCCAGGCGAACGTGCCGGGTTTGGTGATGCTTGCGACACAGGATCGGCTAGGATTGGGTGGTTTTTAATCCACATACCCAAAGCCTCATCAGAGACGGCCGCGAACCGACCAAGTGTAGAGCGCCAGAGCGTCCAGTCTTCGTAAGAAATGAACAGATTGTACCGTATGTTGCTTAGAAACTCGATTTCCATAGTGTGGATCTCATGTACTGCTATTCCAGATACCTCAGCCCAGGTTTTATTGGTATAGGTGTTGTCATCCAGAACTATAAGGGGTTAACTAAATATCAACCCAGAGAAGGTACTACATACATTTGTTGCCCATTAACAATGCAGTGGTCAGCAGTCGGAACTCACTGCCCCTTTTTCCTATAACCTTTGGGTTCGTCTGCTTCAGGCGATAGATGAAGAGAAGGGCCAGTATAATGACATTATGGCTGATTTGGGTGGTGAAAAGAATCATTTCCACCCATTTCTGGAATCCTATTGTGGGCACTGCCTCGGTAGAGATAGGGACGGCCGTCACCTTTGAATACTCGATGGCTATCAATTTAAATGGATTCTCAAACCAGAAGAGACAGGTAATCTAAGATCCCAGATTAGCGTGCAAATCATGTGTGTGTTCTGGGTGATATCCTCACCTGACTTGCAAATTTAGCAATGCTCGCCTTTGTATTATCAATTGCAACCGGGTTCCGCAGATACAAAGGTATCGATTCCTTGTTGCTCGTGTTCTGGCTCTGTGTCTCTGGCGGAGGAGTGGCGACAGGGGTTTCTCTAATTGACAATGGGATATACCCCTGACTCGTTGTCGCATTCGAGATTCCGATAGACGAAGGGACTTTCTGGGAACTCTGAGAAATGGCTTGGTCGGGAGTTAAAGGGGTTTGTGGTTTTGATGAACTCGAGTAATAAGGCGTATAAACGCGGACAGCCTGGGGAGTTTTGGGAGTAGAAGCTATAGAATCCTAATTGGGCAAATCATTTAATATACTGAGAGCTACAAGCATGCTAACCTTTGTTGTAAGAAGGAAGATTATACCGAGATATTTCCTTCTTAACCTTTGAGACGGAGATCTTCTCGCGGCCAATACACACTTCGCTTTTTTTCCCCTGACGATTTCGTCGTTCAATGCGATCAGCGATAAATTTCCAAGTGGCTTCAGGATTATCCAAGCGTTTTCGAAAACCCCATTTTCTGAATGTCCGTTCGTATTGTGCCTTGCTACGAAATTGTCAGCTAAAAGTTCTAATGATTTCGGATTCCATACCTAGCGTGGAAATTGTGTTTTTCCTTCATTACACCTATCACTTCTTGAATGGTCATTCCGTCCTCCAAGAATAGCTTCTTCAACGTTTCCTTGTGAGTATTCCATCGCTCCACCATGGCCGAAAATCAAAGAGAGAAACTCGCTGAAGTTTAGGGGAATCAAAAGATGCAGTCGGAAGAATACATATGTAAACTCAGATATAGAATGTACAAGCTTATGGGATGAAGAACAACCTTGCAAGCCCATGTATATAAGAAAAAGACATCCGGAAATGTGAAATATATAACAACAGATCAGCCTCGTTGTAGTCTGAAAGTTTCGGCTGGTGATTGGATGTGGCCAAACCCTTCATCCCATTGCTGGTTAGCTCCAACTTTCAAGGCTCAGATGATGATCCAGCGGCAATTGGTCGAAGCCGAAACCCTCATCAGGGGACCACGAAGCACTAGCGCCAGTATGGAATACATGTATCCATCCATAGTAAAATTACTTCCTACTCTTCTGCAAGCGCTTAAACCAACCGAGGTTCGGATTGGTTGCTTCCATAACCATCTCATAAAATTGTCGATTTGGGATCACTTCAGACTGATTGGGTTTTTCCAAACCCATCAGTAATATATCATATAGCTACGAGTGATGTAGAAATAGCTTTAAATATCAGTTTTCCCTCGTTCCATAGGCGTGGTTCTGGATGATAGTTGGATCTTAGTATTCTCATACCTTGTAGCCTCAAATAAAGACTGTTCTCATTGTGATGGCCATTTCAACTGAAGCAATTATCGGGATTATTGCCGTCGTCGTCGCATTGCCACCGTCTCTCCTGGTTTTTTGGAAGGTCATCTCCCGTAGAGGCCGAGAAAGAACAGCAACAGATATCGGTACGTTAATTATCTAGATACTTGGTCTGTTGAGCCGACATCGCATTGCTAACTGGGGCTTCTTATAGAAGAATGTCATCCACGGGATGTAGACTCTATGCGATTGTAGAGATGTCTTCACATCACGTATGCAACTGATTTGGAAATGGACTTTCGCTTGAAGGTTAATTCTTCTTCCCGTTACATACATTACTATCATATTGGTATGATACCTAATGGGTTGTATTTTACAGGAAAATTATAGTCCGTATACGTTTTGCCGAATGTAGCCCTCGTCGGCCGTCTACAGTCACGAAGCCGAATAATTTCGTGAAGCGCTCGCTATTTGCGAATTTTATTCGAGAATAAACTTGCATGCGGTTGGTTGCGATGTCAAAGGAGAAATATGTGTATATCCAAGATAGTTTGGTATTACTGTGTATATGTGGAAGAACGAGGCTTGTCAACGCGGGCAAGTAGTTATTTTTTTAGGCAATAGACGAAGGTTCTAGACTTGCTTAAGTGCATTTACACGTTTTGGCACCAGTTCGGGGCTGGCGGCGTGGGGAGTTAGGGGCTTAGGCCCCTAAAGAACCCTCAACTGTCCGCTAAACCGAGAAATTCGTAACTTGAAGCTGGGTAAGGTCGTAAAACTTGACTAAATAATAAATAGTTCCAGACTTGTTGGAAGGAACCACAGCTTACTACCAATACTATTAAATTTTCTTTCGGGATTTGTGACCTGGTCAAGTCATCAAACAAGTTCTGGCACTTATTCATTGCCTTGGAAGACTATTCGACCCTCCAACGTGACATAAGCAAGGTTTATAGCAAGGCTGTCGAAAGTACTGAACTTTGGAATCATAAATAAACCTGAGCAATGCCCTGTGTTTCCATGTATATTTCGTGTATCATAACAAGCATGACCCCGTTCAGCCTGGTTTATATGAATACGTTTATATGAATATTTTCAATGGCGGTCAGTCATGCCCTTTAAGAGCAAGTACGGCGTCCTTCGAGTTCGTTGATAAGTGAGGTAATAGTGTTGATAGCAATAACATGGACATTAATGACTATATTTAGTCTCTGCACACGTGATCACAGAAAAACTTGAAGGTGTGCGTATATTTCTTGACGTGATGTCTGCTGCTGGAATTGAATGTTTCTGCCTAACTCTGTCGGCCAACCAGCCACCATACCCAGCCACCAGCCCCACCCAGCCTGAGGGCCCAATAAGGCAACACGGAGCGCTCTGTGGAACATTGCATGCTTTTCGTTGCAAGAGTTCTGTGGACTTGATCGTAGAATAGTGTTATCGATATAAAATATCTAAATTCGTACTATTCGAACTATTCTATACTACTATATATCGGCCTCAAATCTCGTCCTCCATAGCTGAGGAATTCAGGCACGCCGATCCATTCCAAGCCAATGACGTCGGTCGCCGTCTCCTGGGCCGAACTTTCTCTACACCAGGTCTTGGCAGGCCTCATATTCAATCTGTGCAACATTGTCCTACACAGCAGTGTCTACTTGGGTATCTCTTCATTTTCCATCTTTGCTTATTTAACCAAGTAGTCCATGGTACAGCCACGCCAGCCACGCGAAAAATAGAAACATACGTGGACTGCGACCCGCTGGCAGACCGCAAGCCCGCTTATCGCGTCTGCTCCCCGCTGAGCCACGCTGGGCAGACCAATCAGCCAGCGCGCTCTAGTGGGGCACAGCAATTTTGGGTGTGGATTGCCAGCCCTGTTGACGTGCCTTCGTTAACGGTCGGCAAGGCCCGTCTCAGTATTTATTCCTGCCTCCGCCGTCTGTCTGACTTGTTCCTACTTTCTACATTCAATCACTCGCTCTCGACTGTGTTGTACTTCACTATTTCATCACTCGTTGTCGTATCTCATCGCTCGCTCGCTCACTTACTTGCTTGATCGATTCATTACTTGCCTGAGATTGACCACCATGGGCAAAGCAGGCCGCATCGCGTGTATCTTCACCCCTTATGTCGTCAGCGTCGCCGCGCTGGTGGCTATCATTTTCGTCGGGTTGGGCAGCACAAAGTCAGGCTCCGGCACTCTCGACAACCTCTACTTCTTCAGGGTATGTCTCTAGATGGTTACATTATGAAGAATTGGCTAATACTGGAATAGGCTGATCTGAGCAATTTAACCTCGTCGGGAGGCTCGTCCCTCGCCGATGCACTTGCCAGCGACCTGGGCGACCTCGCCAACCTCGGCAGCGATTCCTTCGAAGTTGCCCTAGCAAAGTCCAAGGCCGAGGGAAATATTCGCGATTTTTATGATATCGGTTTGTTGGGCTACTGTTCCGGCAACAAGACCAGCAGCGGCAGCTTCGAGGTCGATTACTGCTCGGAACCCAAGGCTGAATTCGCCTTCGACCCCGTCACGGTCTGGAAACTCAACACATCGAGCAGCGATTCCGACAGCATTCTGCCAAGCAACCTCAAGAAAGCCATCGACACCTACAAGACCGTCTCCAAGTGGATGTTTATCGCCTATGCGATCGCATTCGGCGCCACCATCGTCGAGCTTCTTGTCGGCCTCTTTGCGATCTGCAGTCGTCTGGGCAGCTTGTTCACCAGCATATTCGCTGGTATTGCCTTCTTCTTCACCATCGCCTCCTCGATTACTGCGACGGCTTTGTTCGCTGCTCTGACGGGAACGTTCAACTCGGCGCTGAAGCAGTATGGTATGCACGGCTCGATGGGCAAGAACATCTACGTTGCCACCTGGATTGCTACCGCCTTTGCGTTCGGTGGATCACTGTTCTGGCTGCTGAGCTCGTGCTGCTGCTCCGGTCGCTCGCCGTACCACGGTGACCGCCGCCGCGGCCGTGGCATCTCCGCCGAGAAGGCCCCCTACACATACGAGCGTGTCGGCAGTCCGTATGGAGGCGTTCAGCCTACAACCCCGTACATGCACCAGCAAGCCCCGCATGATGTCCCCATGGACACATTCCACCAGAGCAACAACTACCAACAACGCCAAAATGCGTACGAACCATTCCGTCACGTATAATGACTTTTTCTTTTTTCCGTTCATTAGAGCAGGTCTGATGTTTTGATCTGTATTACGATCTCATGATATGCCATGCCTGTGTTTATTATACTACATTATGTACAGGGGATACGGATAAACCTCGATACCCAATGAATCAATTCGGTTTTTACAATTTACCTATTAATCTTAATCGTAAGCTAAGGGGTGGTTATTCATGCGCATTAATAATCATTAATATTGTAGATGGGCCTTCTCATTGGCGACGCTGGTGGCTGTTGAAACCTGAGGCTTCCGCAAACGGCGCTAACTATCCGTACACTGTACTAATACGAAGTACAAAGTAACTAGTGTAGTACGGAGTAGAACTTACTATGGATTGTTTAAACAAAGAATGCAAGGATACCCGGCAAAGCTTCATTCTAGCAAACAGTAAACAACACGATCAATTAAGTTCAAGCTCGTGACCCCTACTGTATTTGCGGTGCGGACAGGCGACGGCCTATGAATAGTGAAAACTCAGCTGGAATCGGCCTTGGGCTCAGCCTCCTCGTGTTGGTTTGCTTGGCCCGCCCCACTTTCTATTTTCGCCGTGCTACATTGCACCTGCCAAGGCACTGCTAACTGCTAAGGTAACTAGCGGGATGCCATGCTCTGCCGCTAAGGGCTATACTCGGATTGTGGCGATGGGAAGGCGCCTGGTCGTCCAACACTGCTCCGTCGTATGTGCTGTGAATAATAATCCACCAGCAGCAGAGAGCATAGGTGCGATGGAACGAGCCAGTCATCGCACGCTACAGTCGAGCAGCACTGCAGCCTACCATGGCTCCACCGCGCCGTTCTCGTCCAGCGAAAAACGGGGCCGCGTGGTCGTCTCGTCATGCTACGCCCAATAGTCGCATCGCCGCTCCGCCGCAGACTCCGAGCCAAGATCTCCTCGTTCCTAGCCCGTATTTTTTCGCGAGTCAAGACTCTCCTTTTCCTTCAGCCTCCCCCAACCCAAACCCTCCCAGTCGAACAGAGCCGGTGAGCCGCAGAAAAAAACTGGGGATCGCTCGCAAGCGCTGCTCGCCGTCGCCGTCGTCATTCGCTATATACGACTATATAAGCCGCCCCCAGCCGCAAATCTTCGTCTTGTCTGTCTCCCCAGCTCCTTTTCGGTCACTCCACCACCTACACACCTCCCTTCCCCTACCGCTTATTGAGTCCTCACCATGGCTATCTTCTCGTCCCTTGGAGGTTTGGGTCTCGCCCTATTGGGTCTGACTGCTACAACCGCTCTCGCCGAGCCTAAAGTCCTCCATATGCCGTACAGCCGCAGTGCGAACCCCAGGAATCTCGCCAAACGCGCCTCCGACACTGCGCAGGTCACCGTGACAAACGATCTGAGCTACGGCTTGTACTATGTCAACGCGTCGGTTGGTACACCCGGTCAGCAGGTCAGTCTGGTGCTGGACACTGGTAGCAGTGATGTGTGGTTCTTTGGACCCGGCGCTTGCGAGTCGTCGACCCAGTCACAGGGCGATTGTTTTGGAGGAGATTGTAAGTTTTATTTTCTTTCAGTTTGCTTTATTTTTATTTTCATTTTCATTGTTATTTTTAATTTTTCAATTTTATTGTTCTGTCGATGCTGCATTTAAACTTCCGAGCCATGTGCTCCATGTGCTCCCGCATACCGATCCGCATTCCACTGTTCTCGGCACTCGCTAACTTTATGCCTCCAGACGATCCTACCAAATCCTCTACCAGCAAAGTTATCAATAAAGGCGGATTCTCCATTCAATATGGAACTGCGAACTCCGATGTCCAGGGCGACTATGTCCTTGACACTATCACCGTTGGCGGTGCCACTGTCAAGAACACCACCATGGCTGTCGCGTACAAGGTCGCCGAGGTTCCCGCTGGAATCTTGGGTATTGGATTCGATACCAACGAGGCCATCGTAGCCGAGGGAGGCCACAAATATCAGAGCTTCGTCGATAATTTGGTCACCGATGGTGTGATCAGCACCAAGGCCTACAGCCTGTGGCTTAATGACTTGTGTATGTCGTGGTTCTTTTCTCTGTTCTCATGAGACCGATTGCTAACCATTGTAGTCTCGAGCTCGGGAAGCTGCCTCTTCGGCGGCTACGACACCAAAAAATTCACTGGTCAGCTCTTGACCGTCCCTATCCAGGCTGATGCCCAGAGCGGCGATCTGACCAGCATGACCGTCGCTTGGACTTCTCTCCAAGTCACTACCGGCAATGGAGTGAAGACAATTACCTCCGACAACTTTGCTAGCGCCGCATTGCTCGACTCTGGTACAACTTTGACCATTATCCCGGAGGATTTGTACTACGATCTGTACGAATTCTTCGAGGCTGCTCCGGCTCCAAATCAACCAGACGTCATCCTTGTCGAATGCGATCTGCTCAACAACGCCGACGGCACGCTGAACTTCCAATTCGGCGGCTCCAAGGGCCCTGTTGTCAAAGTACCTTACTCCGAGTTCGCCCTGCCGGCCACTTCCACTGACGGGACGTGGATTAAATTTGACAATGGTAAATTGGCCTGCACGCTTGGCCTACAGCCCCAGGATCAGTCAACCCCCGTTATCCTCGGCGACACCTTCCTCCGCTCCGCCTACGTGGTCTACGACCTCGACAACAAGGAAATCTCCATCGCTCAAACCATCTTCAACACTACCGATACCAGCGTCGTCGAAATCACCAAGAGCAGCGCCATCGCCAGCCTTGTCACCGGCGTGACTGTTTCCCAAACCGCCTCCGCTGGCTTCGGTGGCATCCCCGGCTTCGGCAGCGGTGGCAGCACCCCCACCGCCACCGCGGGCAGTGGCTCCAGCAGCGTCAGCATCGGCAACATCAAAAGCGTCCCAACCAAGTCCGGCGATGCCTCTGTCGCTGGCACCAGCTCGGGCTCTAACTCAGGCTCCGGCTCTAGTCCCAGCTCTTCATCTTCCTCTTCCTCTGGGAAGGGCAACGCCGCGGGCGCTTCATTCCAAGTCCCCGGCGCGCTTCTCAGTCTGCAGGCCGTTGTTCTGAGCATGTTTATCGGCGGTGCCATGATCGCATTCCACTAATATCCTCCTTCGATCTTTCTGCGCCTATTATGATTATACGCGCGGTTTGATATATAAATTGGTTTTGGGCAGTAGAGTAGGAGACGCAGGCGCTTGGTGTCTTTTTCTTTCCTTTATCTAGCTTTGGTTTTGGCTTCTCATTGTATATACCAATCCGCCTGGTTAGGTCGGGATATTGCATATATATTCAGCGCTATATAGCATATATTTGAATAATGATCGCTATCAACAAATACACGTGTTTCCATCCAGTACGAAATATAACATTTCAACATTTGGGCATTTTAGCTACATAGATGTCAGTGTCACGCACCTGGATCCACTTTAGTTGTCATTGGCTGTGTCGTGGAGCGATACGATAGTTGAACCACACAGAGGTTCCTTGAGGGTAACTAGTAGCGATATACTATATACTAAGGTTGCCGAAAGGTACGAGTAGTTAAGTAGCACAACTAAAGTAAAAGAGTTGCCTCGAAGTGCCATAGAACTTCAAATATGATTGCCTTGCTGACCCTCTCAGTGTAATCAAAGTAACTTATGTAAAGAGCTATGCCAAGATGACTAGATACATAGAAATGAGCGTGGTTATATTGATAAATTCCTTATACAGACTGCAACTCATCCCGTATAGCCCTTTAGAAGGTCTTGCATTACAATTGATCTCCTTTTCTCATACCATGAGCTTATATAATCTCAATAACCGTTTTACCAATACTACGAGAAGCACTTGACATCTGAACACATGCTTCTCGTACGGCCTTTATATCTTCGAATTTCACCGTTCTTCCAACTATGGGTTTTAACTTGCCCTCGTCAACCCAGCCAGCTACCCTTTGAAGATCAGGACTATTTGCGTTCTGAAGGGTACCTTGCCAGTAGATCCCATACCACCATGCATGAAGCCATTTCCATCCCGCTCGAAAGTCTAGAGCCAATTGTACGAGAAGTGGGATGTGAAGATTTGGAATCGCAGCTTTGACACTCTTTGAATCTATCGTCCCATATATGCTTGTAATTGAACCGCTATTTTTCAGGAGCAGTGGATACTAATAATCGCATTTTAGACGACAAACTGGGTAATAAACCGACGAGAGAAATTTTTGGGACTTACGTATTCTTTGCTTACTCCAACGGTGTCAAGCAAGACATCCACCGATCCATGTGGGATCTCTTTCAGAACATCCGATTTTTTGTAGTCGATAACTAATCCGACTTATTAGTATATAAAAATATTCCACCGGACGTGGGTCGAACATACCTTCATCGACAGCGCCTTTGCCAAACAAATCATTCACTTTAGACACGTTATCTGTAGATACAGTTGTGATGACTTTCTTCGCGCCATAGACGCTTTTCGCAATTTGACAGGCGATTGAACCGACACCGCCAACTTTGAAAATTATTCATTATTAAGGAATGTAGCAGCATTTTTAATTTTAATTTTTGGAAATAGAAATACGTACGTCCAGCCGCTATCAGGATAGTCTTCCCGGCGAGTCCATTCGGCACCTTGTCTAGAGCTTGTACGGCTGTCATTGCTACCATAGGCAACGAAGCTGCTTCCACATGGCTCAAGCTTTTCGGTTTATGCGTAAGCAAGGAAGCTGTTGCTAAAGCGTATTCAGACCAAGCTCCTGTATCTGTAGCAAGGAGAGAGCAGAAAACCTCATCGCCAACCGCAACGTTATCCACCGACGAACCGATTTCAACCACAGTTCCTGAGAGATCAAAGCCTAGCTTGAGCGGAAATCTATGTGTAGTCTATTGAGCTTACGAGCTGTGGATACTCGATTTGTTGGGGGGGGTGTTTTTGAAGACTAACGGCGGTGTCATTATGGCCTTGAAGTTGCCTCCAGCAATCTCCATATCAACTGGATTGATACATGCAGCGTGCACTCTGATGAGCACCTGATTTGGAGTCGTAATTTTTGGAACAGGGATATCGGCAATGCCGAATTCTGTAGGTTTGACATACGCATGCACACACAGAGAACGCATCGTTGGTGGAATAACAGATGTCATTGTATTGGCCAATAGCAAATTTTCCACTATACAGTAATATATAAACCCAATACGTCTGCCAAATTGTCAAACTAGAGGCTAGTGAATGTCACGCTTCACCTCTCTTATATAAGTTCGTAATGCAGAGTTACTTGGAGATCGGGCCAACTAACCACGTGACGCGGACAGAATATTGTGCCGTATCACTACCACCCGGGCTATTATTCTCCCGAAGAGGATTCTGATTGAGAAATGATAGAATTGTTCAGCACCGGTTAGCTTTCACTGGCCTTTGAGATATTTCGATGCAAAGTTGAACTGTTGTAGAGAACACATGATGGAAATAAAATGACGGGATTCTAAATAGGTGCAAGATGCAAATAATATAAACACAGAATTGATATAATTGAGGTCTGACAATTTGAGAACTAACTACATGTCAACAGTAACAATTTTATAGGTAAAACCGTCATGATTTTGCTTAATAGATCATCAAGCTGAATTGTATGATGTTGTTGATGTGTTTGATTGCGAAATTCATAGGTGTGAACCTAGAATCTGTTTAATAAGATGCGTGTTTATGTTTGTGTTCCTATTTAATCGCGTTTATTTATGCGGTTGTATTGACTGTGATAGCTCGTGAAGACAGACACTGGAAGAAGTCGATTTTTTATGATAACAGAAGGGCTTGTCTATTAATCGATGAAGCTCTTGAGCATTGACCTACTTGCAGGAAGATCAGGGTTTTTCTGTCGTCTCTTGATTTGCTAGTTCTCTTCTGTACATAGCTTATCTCGAGAAGCAGAAATAGTGCCGTGATCAAAAGAATGCTTTCTTGAAAGAGGTCAGCAGGCTGCGTGATGAGTGTTTAAATACCTATTGGAATTGGAAAAAGACCCAAGCCTGAGACTCCAATTTACCGATCACACCCTTCAAAGCTTGGTGCAGTCTTTAGAGAGTCGTATTGTAGCCATTCTAAATAACGGAATTGCTTGCATCAAGTTTGAACGCAACAAGCAAAGGCCCGGTTGACGCAGTATCCCAATTGAAGCCATAGAAAGATTCTAAATCTAAAAATAACGTAAAACAGATCAAGCATTGTGTCTGATAAGACTGGCAGCAAAATTGCTATGTGCTGCATCTTCGATGGCTATTCATGGTAGAACGAAATCGAAGCAGGGCATAACGCGTAATTTATGCCAAAACCACTGATTGACACCCTCTAATATCTTGTTCATATAACAAATGAGGTGGAATATAGGCCTTTGCCTTATTCTGCTAAAATAGAGTGTCTACAACTTAATATAATAGCACTCACATAGAGCGCCTACACCTAGATAGAAACGTTTCGTCTATCTAAAGCGGCTTTGCCCATTAATTGATACAGAACATCTACGCCTATATAGGACAGGTTCTCCTATATCGAGCGGCTTTGCCTGTATAGCGAAGCCGGTATTCGTTCATAAAATCTTAATACACATAAAATATTACATTTAATAGCGAACGATAATTAGAATAGCAGGTTCTGATTACTGCGTGGCACCTAATCTACAATGTGGAAATAAAAGTTTCAGAGTAAAAACATGAATTGTCCCTAGCATCGGTTTCGTCCGCCACATTAGTGAAACTCCAATTACGAAAGAACTTTTTTTATTAGTTAGAGAACAATTAACTAGGATGGATGAACTACAGGAGTCTGAATGACTGGGTAAAACATCATCCCGCCACAACCACGCAAACTATTGACAAAAGAATCAGTATATAGTCAGGTATTCATGGTTCGTTCGATTCTCCATCGATGGTGACAATTTCTCTCAGAAGGAATGTGAACTAAGAAGTACCTGCGATACTAAGGTCAACCCCATTTTGGTGCATTCGACGGCTACAGGCCTAGAGGCTAGTTTTGATATAAAACTTCCACTATCTCTAGCGCAGATAGTCTTATTACACGAAATTCATAGAGTTCTCCACAAAAGAATGAATAGGGAATGTTTGTTAGTACGTCTCAGAAAATAAACATCTTATACGAAAATTGAGATTTCTTTATAACATTGAAACTAGGGAGGTTGTCGGAAATAATATGAATTAGAATTACCTGAGTCACAAAGGGCGAAATCTCCTTGCTGCAGCCCTAAAAGGTTCGACTGATGGTGAATTCATACCTCGTTTCCAGTCATCTACCGATGGTCCAAATATATATTCAGACCGAAAGCACTCTGTTTCATCCGTCCCCTTCTGACAATCCTGCATCCCTTAAAATAAAGTCACTCCGTACGTGATCAACTACGTCGGTCTCTGTGTCCGCGAGACCCAAGCCACGGTGGATTGGTATACGCGGGTGTTCGGCTTCGAGCTCATCGGCAACAACATCTCGTATATCATTCCCGACCAAATCCCTGACGACACCATCTTTGGCATCTACCAAGACTCCCTGCACAAAGTCAAGATAGCGCACATGGTGACCTGCAACGGGGTCGCATTTGGGCTGTTCGAATTTAGTGATCTCAAGCCCAGCACCACCGCCATCAACTCTGTCACCCGTTCGAGGAGGGATACAACCGCAACGGACTGTTCCATATATCTGCCTGACAGATTCAAACCCCGAAGCGGTCGCGGATCTGGTTGAGGAGGCCAGCGGGCGGAAGATCGACCGGGAAAAGCCGTCAAACTGGCCAACAAGATGGTGGATTGTCTGTATGTGGCGGATCCGTGGGGGAATGTGGTGGAGGGTGTTGAGCGCCAGCTTTGATCGATTGGCCAGTCGACTCAACCGGGGTATTTGGTGGGGTGATTTGGCATCGGATGTCGCGTCGCATGAGTTTCAGGCAAACATGGCCGCGTATGTTTGATATGAGATATGAGATAAGCCACATAGGTGACTCGCTTTTTGATATAACTCCCTACCATACCTAATTGTAATGGTATTTCGGCCCTGCCCATCTACATTGCCCTCCTCACATCTTTTTCCGTTCACATGTTCACCATGGACAGCCACGAGATACTTTCTACGCCCACAATGGACGACGCCCAACGTCGTCTTCAGTCTCATCTCGATGAAATGAGGCTAGAATTTACCCCCGATCGCCACTTTGTTCGCTGGTCGGCCTCGAACCGCCGCCACCCGCGTAACTGGCCTATGGTGCGTAAAGTCTACGACAGTAGCTTGATCATCTGGTTGGATCTCTTCACGTATGTGCGGATCTCATACGAGCAATCGATTCGGAGGCACTGACAGGTAAATGCAGCACCGCAGTGAGCACCGCTGGAGTGAGTTCGGTCTCCTAGAAACGGTGTAGATGAGGTTGACGAGGCGATTGGCTGCAGAGTTCCGCGGCAAACAGCGCACAGCAAGAGTTTGGCACGGAGCCGACCTTGTCTATCTTTATATTTGTGTCGATGTACGTCCTATCCTACGGTTTGGAGGTCTAGTTTCTCCCAAGTATTCACCCACTGTCATAGATATCTTCTGGGGCAGGGTCTCGGCGGCATCATCTTCCCACCTTACTCGGAAGCCTTTGGTCGCAAAAAGCTCTACATCATCAGCACCGGCCTGTACAGCATCTTCTGCGTCCTGGTGGCCGTGGTGCCGTCATTGGGCCGGTGTCGTGATCGGCCGCTTCGTCACGGGCTTCTTGTCGGCCATTCCGACCGTCGTCGTCGCCGGCAGCATCGAGGACATGTTCAATGCCAAAGATCGCATCTGGTTGATCTTCCTCTGGGCGATGGTCTCTAACATGGGTTTGATCACCGGGCCCATCATGAGCACGTACATCACCGCTGCGCTGGGATGGTGAGTTCTGTCTGCAGTTCGGGCCGTAGAGTCCAGAGTCTAATCCGCAGACAGGAGATGGGTATTCTATGTCGCGGCAATCGTTCTGGGGATCACAACCAGCCTTCTTTTCGGCCTGCGTGAATCTCGCCCATCGCTGCTTCTCGTCCGTGAAGTCGCCCGGCTGCGCCAAACCACCGGCATGGACGACCTCCATGCGCTGAATCCTGACCACACGCCTGACCTGCGCACCTTCGTCCGCCTCGCCCTCTTCCGGCCTGTTCACCTCTTCTTCACGGAACCCATTGTCTTCATGGTCTCAGTCATGAGCGCTATCGCCTTCGCGTTGATCTACCTCTTCACCGAAGCCCTACCCCCCGATCTACGAGTCGTTCAACTTCTCCGCCGAATCCGCCTCGCTGCCTTTCCTTGCCATCGGCATTGGCCTGATCGCTGGCATCCTCACCCGTGTGTGCGACAACCGCATCCTACAAAACCACCGACGAGACGGCCACCCCCTCACACCGGAACACAAATTGCTTGGTTTCACCATCGGAGCGCCTATCCTCGCCGGCGCCCTGTGGTGGTTCGCCTGGACGATCCCCCCGCACGTCCAGCATCTGCACTGGCTGGTCTCGACCGTCGCGCTGGTCTTCATCGGGTACGCGCTTAATGAATTTGACACTGTGCTCGCCGGGTACCTCGCTGACAGCTATCTGAGCTACGCGGCGAGTGGGTTTGCGGCGCTGGCGCTGCTCCGCTCGTGCATATCCGCGGCATTCCCGCTGTTTGCATCGCAAATGTTCAGGGGACTGAGTGCCAACGTCGCGGTCTCGGTCCTGGCAGCCTTGGCGACCTTGTTTTGCGTTGTTCCGCGACTGTTTACGCAGTATGGAGAGCGGATCCGGGCCAGAAGTAAATTTGCCAAGCATAGTTTGCAGGTGTATCATGATAATGGGGTGGATAAGAACGGTTATTAAGTGGGAGAGGTAGAGAGTGCAACATGCCTGGTGATTAAGTGCATTTTGGGTTGGCTCTACAGGCTGCTACTAGATGTTGAAGAAGGTCAGTGGTATTACTAGATGTTGTGAATCTCCCACTGGCAGTTTAATCTATGCCATGACTTAGCGATTTTTTCCCTTAAGAAAATGAATGAATCAATGAATCAATGAAAGTTGCAACACGTTCTTGTAAAACACATAAAATCTGTTGATATACATGCATACAATATAAATTCTGCTAGTCATTTTCACCTCCAACATCACCCCCCCTCGTCAACCGGCCACCTGCAGGATCAAAATGCACTCCACAGTTACTTCCAATACTTCAATCAACCTGACCTTTGGCACCCATTGCAGCTTCTCTTTAGTCAGGGCAATATCTGGCTGGCGTCTGAATGGATCACTAAAACGTTCTTGGTTCCTTCGAAACAGGTGTCCAAAATTCCTAGAGGATTCTCGGGAAATCATTTGGGGCTGGCAGGACAAGCAAGATGATAGATCTCGTCCACCTTCTTGACGTCTGGAGGGAAAGGTTTGGTAACATCATGTCTGCAGGGAAGCCGTAGACAACAAAAAATACGTGATGTGATGGTGCTTTCTTACTGTATGAACATGAACCGTTTGTGATGTTGCAGTTTGGTCATGGATTTGATGGACCCAGTCCATGAGTACATGACAATTACGTGGTGATTTTGTTCAGGGGGGGAAACCAAGGGGGATCCCAGAAATCCAGTCCCTTTCATGAAGCGTCAGCACGTGTAGGGCTGGTGCTTAGAAAGCGTTTAATATTCCTTACGCCAGTCACAAGGATGGTTGACATCTGGGGCCTTGATGTTGAAGTTACGTTCAATACAAAGTAAAAAACACAATTGCCGCAATCGGTAATCTTCCCATGCTAGCTTCCGAGCGGGTCTAGACTCAGCCGATTTCACTCGGTATTCTAAATGGAAATAGCCGCAACGTCATCTCTTTGCAGAAAATAAATTAATAACCAAATGCTCCTCCCGCACTTTCTTCATCGACTTTTCATTACGGCTATTCCTAACTCTGATAACCGTCTAAAGACTGACATCAGGTGGCCTTCGCTGAATCACAAGTCCCGTAATCCAACAGGCTGTTCTTGAGACAAAAATGAAACCAGCACTCAAAGGATGGCATCCAGGCGAGGTAGATCTGCAGCGGAAACTCGGTTTCTCTGATGCTATGCGGGATAAATGGGCTAGTGTTAAAGATGCCATGAGTGAACAGCACCGTATCTTCCATACGTCGAACCTGCACTTTATCCCCATCACTACGCTAGACGACCGTGGGCGACCATGGGGCTCACTACTTGCTGGAAACAATGGGTCTATTGGCTTTGCTCAGAGTCCTAATGACACTACACTCAGTCTAGATGCTACTGTATGGAATGGCGATCCGCTATTGACAACGGTTTCAGCCTTTGCGGACCAGGAACACCGCAAAAATACGGATAAAGAGAGATTCTTGATTGCCGGAATCGGTGTTGAGCATTCTACAAGGAGACGGAATAAGTTTGCTGGTCGGCTTAGAGGTATCAGACAGAAGGATGATACTACTTACAGGCTGGATTTAGAGGTTACCCAGGCGCTGGGGTGAGTTGATACGTATATTTTCTTTGCTATCTCAAAGAAACTCCAGCCCCGGATAAGCCAGCATTATTTTGATCCTTGCTCTAATACTAAGCGCATTGTCAGGAATTGTCCAAAGTACATCAACGTTCGTAATTTGGTACCGCATGCTGATACGCATCCTGTCGTTGTATACCGTAATATGGACATGGCAGCTTGCGACACACTGCCAGAAGAAATCGTCAAGTTTGTCACGGAAGCTGATACAGTATTTCTGTCATCTGTTTACAAATCTACAACCCAAAATAACGGAACAAATCCCTCACATGCAGGAATGAATATTCGAGGCGGACTACCGGGTTTCATTCGAGTCGACCCTTCTGATGCTCGCACAGTCGTAATTCCTGACTACTCGGGGAACCGGTTTATGTCGAGCCTAGGGAATATTGTAACCACGCCTGTGGCAGGGTTAACTATTGTTGATTTCAAGACCGGCGACGTGTTATACTTAACCGGTACAGCGCAAATCTTCTCCGGCCCTGCGGCAATGGAAATCATGGCGAGGCAAGCGTGCCTCACGACCATCAAGATAACAGGCTACACCTTAGTACGCGATGCATTGCCAGTACGACAAGAGCAAGGAACACCAGTGGAGAAAAGCCCATATAGCCCAAAAATAAAATATTTACGTGCTGAACCGGAAGGGCTATCTGGCGCAGCAGGTAATGGGCTTAAAGCACGATTGGTTTATGCGACACAATACGCTAGTGATATCGCAATTTTTCGATTCGATATTATCAACGCATTCGGTGATTGCGCTGGGTTAACCATACGCCCGGGTCAGGCGGTCGTGCTCGACTTCATGGATTGGATGGGCCCGCCGACGTATTCACACATGGCAAACGACGCTCCCAGCTCCATAAATGACGATCGAGTGCGCACTTGGACTGTGTCTAGCGCGTTTCAGGATGGAGATTCTACTTGGATTGAGATGACAATGCGTGAAGTGAAGAAAGGCGCGGTGACTGGCTCCTTGTTTGATATTATACGCGAGAATACCGGAAACAATTGGGGCGAAAGAGTACAATTAAGTGCAAAGAATATAATTGCAGATATTGTAGGGGTCACTGGCGACTTTTATCTGGGAACAAATGAGGTTCGAATGCTTTGGGTAGCTGGGGGAATTGGAGTCACGCCCTTCATGTCTATGCTTACTGCAATCATCCAAAGAGGCTATGGTAGCAAGGCTGATATTGTTCTTGCCCTTGCTACCAGAGAACCCGAAGTTTTCATAAAGCTTATCAAAACATCACTTCCCAGGGCTTTGCCAAAAGTCCGGGTCAGAATTGATGTTTTTACGAACGAGGAAGATGCCCAGACCCATGGACTGGAACAGATGAATGTGGATCTTTTTTTCCACAAGGGTCGTATCTCAATGGATTATTGGCCAACTGTTACGGATGGCCGTGACGTTTTTATTTGTGGTCCAGGAGGGTTTGGCGATGCAGCAGAAGCTGGGATAAGAGCCGCAGGGGTACCAAATCACAAGATATATAGAGAAGGCTTTTACTGAGGGAGGAAATGGGACTTTTAATTTCATTTTCTTTTAAGTCGTATCCTAACAAATCAATGCCTCAAATATTTAATGATCTATGCATTATTCTGTCGTTAGAAATTAGAGTATAAACGACCACAACTATATAATCACGAAGGGCATGGTCTACGCTGAATTTGGAATCAAATGATCATTGGATCCAATCTGTCAGCACGGGTTGATCCTGCAGCCAATTTTCAGTGACCAATCTTCCACCGTCATAGAATTCTACTTCTAATTCACTGCTGCTACCAAATATATCCTTCTAGCTCCAAATGCGTAGACGCCTGCACTTGTTAAGGAAATCATTTCGTTCATGATCCGAGCTTTTCGGCCTCAGATAGTACGTGATAAACGCACTTTTGTTCGAAGAGGAAGTAGAGGGAAATTCCGCCATGACGCAGGCTGGCTTACACTATTTCCTTCCATATTTTCATCTTCAAATCCCCCTAGCAGTAGTATAATTTTTTGCGAAAACTCGAATGGGAAAGAGCCCTTCTTGTTCGACACTCCCCATTCTTCAAGTGATCCCACTCTGACCATGATGGCAAAGGGCAGCAATGAAGAATCTGATTGATAAGCAGAATTTTGGAGCGGGGATGGAATTGATTACTCAGCGTTATTTGGTAAGCAAACCTTGGCAAACACCAAATTAGGCAGGTGCCGCATTTTGCAAAAAAATAGCTTACCGTAAAATTGAGAGGGGATGTTTCAGTCATGCACCTTGTGTAATTTCAAGGATTAGAACAATTTCTCTAGGACCACTTGAATAGAACTAGATGAATGATAGGATGAATGATAGGATGAATGAGGATATGATAAATTAAGATCGTTTTACTCCCCCGAAACCTGGTAAATCGCCATTCTGAGGTTCCGAAGAGGCAAGAAGTTTAAGCGAGATAAGCGAAGTAGACAAAACAAATGAGATTCTATTGTTGTTTGTATGACGATCTAGCCAAAAGTTACATAATGGAATGCTTGCAATGTTGTGGGCATTTCTCTTCGTTATTGGGCACAAGGGTCGGTATAGTTGTCTCCGGATGACCGTTTTCATTGCGATTGAAGCAGCTACAGTTTGTTGGAGGGAAGGATTGCAAAATTTAATAAAGTGATTTGCTATATTCGACGATCAAGCTTGTGCTATTAGCACCCCGGCAATGAGAGATATATTTAACTAGATATTGGAATAACCTGCTCAATTCATTTGATAGAAAGAGAACGACTTCTGGCAAGAATGAAATCATATTTTCAGTACAAACCATTTTCAACCCAGATTCAAAGGCAAAGGGATAAGGTGAAACCGTTGAAATGTTTTGGGAAACATACCAGAGCATTTCATATATCTAATAGGAACAATTATAATGAGTCAGACATCTCTAGAGTTGACGTACAGAGAGACGAAAGCTCTGGAACAATATTTATTGTTCAGTTGGGGGGGCTGGATGACACATGTACTTCTTGTTTAATCTAATACTTCTTCATCAGCCTTTGATTAATTTTGGGACTATCGATAGCGGTATCTGATTGAGTATATAAGCACCTACATGAGTCGAGGCTAATTGGTATTTATGTCGGCTGTTGGAAACTCTTATCGTATTGAAGCGACGTACAAGTCCTGGGTTTCTGATAGGGCTAACAAAGCCTCTAAAGGTATGCATTGGATTTGATTTTCCGGTTCGTAATTGGAGACTCATACTCAAGATCGACTTTATATTTTATTCTACTGTAGTATAGATTTGTATCATAACCCGAAAATTGTATTTCTAATCATGTCACTAAATAGGGTGACCTTTTAGACTATAAACTGGCTAGTCATAATATGCATGACATGATCTAGGTAATAAAAAGTGTATCACTGGGAAATCACCAGGCAATCTTCGCTACCGGACCACTTGGCCAAAGTCTCACAGCAAGCTTCCGCAACTCATCCATGAACAAAATACCCAACGCCATCGGGATCGGAATGAGCCAGAACTCAATCGGCGCAGAACCAGTGCCGAAAATGGACTGGATTCCAGGTTCTTCAGTAACAAAGACAGCAATGGCAAGACTGATAATCGCGCCCACGAAAAGCCAAGGATTGCGTCTCTTTTTCTGCGTCAATGGGTCGGCTTGCAGAATCGACAACCGCTTGTTGCGGACGCTGAGAATGTTGCCCCACTGGAGGATAACGAGGGTGATGAAGTAGACGCTCTGGCCGACGGTGTTGAAGTTGGTGAGTTCGTCTTCGGTGTATCCGTAGAACCCATCTGAGTAGTTCTCAAATGCAAAAACAAGTGCGTGGAATGGAATTCCAGCGTGCTTGTACATGTATAGGAAAAACATTGAGTGAGCGGCAATGGTCTCCATGACGCCCATGAAGAGATAGCTCTGAATGTAAATCTTGAGGTTGATCAGATGGTCTTTCTTGTGGTTGCGTGGCGGTAGGCTGAGTAGATCGAACTCTTCTTGCTCCATGATAAGGGACAAAGCCAGGAATAAATCGGTGAAAACGCAGATGATGATCATCAAGAACGAGGACAGTGGCAAGGGGACACCAAAGTACACATTCATAAGGACGGGCCAAATTTCGGACCATGAACCTGCAGGAAGCAGATAGCTGATGACCTTCTGGAGGTTCTGGAAGACAAGACGGCCAAGACGGATGGCTTCAACGATTGAGTCGAATTTGTCCATCAAAACAAGATCTGCTGCTTCGAGCGCTACATCGCTGCCGGAGACAACGGCAACACCGACATCTGCTGCACGCATGGCTGGAGCGTCGTTGACACCGTCACCAGTGACGGCAACAACATAGTCGCGTTTGCGGAATTCGTTGACGATTTTGAGTTTCTGATCCGGCATGGTACGACCAAAGACAATTTCTTGGTAACCGCAGACGAGATCCCAGTCTTCGTCTGTGAGGTTGGGGATTGACGGACCTTCTAGAAGAAGACTGGTCTGTGACCAATCGCTGTTCCTGCTGTTGCTGTCTTCATCACCCTCGGATTGGCTCTTGTCCTTTTGTTCGATTGCGTGTCCGCGTCTTTGAACGAGTGTCTCCATCGTATCCGGTTCAGCGGTACTGGTGAAAATGCCGACTTCGCGAGCAATAGCTGCACCCGTGAGACCAAGATCGCCGGTAACCATGAGGAAGCGAATACCAGCACGACGGCAAGATGCCACAGTGGCTGCGGTCTCCTTGCGAGGGGGGTCAATTATACCAAGAAGGCCAATGATGCATAGATCAGTCATTCCAGTAGTTTGTATTTCGTCGCTGAAAGCATTGGACCCGACAGTTTCGCGGGGAGTGATATAGCGCTGGCAAAGCATTATAATACGCTCAGCATTGCGAGACATTTTCTCCTGGACACTAGAGAGCTGCGACCTTGCGTTTTCATCGAGGGGCTGAATGGTGTTGGTCTTGTAGGACCAGTAACGGGAGCAGCGTGGCAAGAGGATGTCGGACGCGCCTTTGACAACCATCAGATAGCTCGAATCCGTAGCCTGCTCGCTTTCGGTTTTATGCAGGGTGAGCATCCACTTGTTGGTTGAGTTGAATGGGATCTGAAATACTTGAGGGTTGGCATTTTTCATCGATTTGAAAGAGTTCTCTTTCACAGTTTCGACGAACTTGAGCATCGCACCATCTGTGGCGTTACCCTGAACAAGGCGCTGGGTGATTGGCTTGTCCATGGTTGACGAATCGAATGCACCGTCATTGCAAAGAGCAGCTGCTTTGTGAAGTTCGGTCAAAGCTACGGAGCTCTTGTCCTGAATCGTAGTGATAGCTGTGTCAATTGGCATAGTTTCATCCACGAATGTGGCTGTGACAACAGCCATGCGGTTCTCAGTCAAAGTACCGGTCTTGTCGGAGCACATGACATTCACACAACCGAGCGTTTCAACAGTCGAAAGCCCTTTGGGTAGGATGTTGTTTTCCTTCATGCGACGCGCAATCATCATCAATGTGAGAGCCACGCCAACAGGCATACCTTCGGGGATGAACGCCACTACACAGCCCATCACATCATCCAGCATCTCAATGACATTCATAAACGCGAAATGGTCACGGCGGAGCCATCCAGCCCAGGTGACCAGAAGCAAAATAGCGAGGAAAGCAGTTAGCCCGACAATAATCATCACGAAGCGGTTGATTTCGCGCTGGATCAGCGTCGCCTGGGTTTTCACTGAGGTTGCGCTCAAGGCAATATGCCCCATGACTGAGTTTTTGCCGGTCAGTACAACCACTCCAGTTGCACTGCCATTTGTAACCATTGTGCCCATCATCGCAATGTTCCGAGTTTCGAGGAAATTTGTATCGGTGATGGTTGTAGCGCCTTCAACTTCATCAGATTCACCCGTGAGCATCGATCTATCAAAACGTAGGTCACCGGATGTGCTAAGAAGACGTAGGTCGGCTGGGACTTTGTTTCCGATACTGAGCTTGACAATATCGCCGACAACAAGGTCTGACGACGGCAGTTTCGCTGTCTGGCCGGACCGTACCACGAATGCATCTGCAGGAAGGAGGTCGAGAATTGCCTTCATGGTCTGCGCTGTAGACCAGTCTTGGAAAGCGGAGAAAGAAGCCTGTAGGAAAATCACGATGAGAACGAGGATCGCAAGACCGAGGTTGTATGGCGCGGGATTTGGATCGCCGAGTGGGCGCCAGCAGATGAAAAAGATGATAACACCGATCCAGAGAACTGAGCAGAATCCACCAAAGATGTACTTGAGCAGCTTCAAAACATAGTTCTGGCGACGATGAGGAAGCGTGTTTCGCCCATCGCGCGCCAACCTGGAAGCTGCCTCAGTCGATGATAAACCATCGTTGGGGGCAACATCTAGCTGTGCGCAGAGTGTATCTGCGTCGACGGAGTGGTACTCGAGATTCTCAAAGGTAGCAGTATCGTCGACCTTCTTTCCTCCTTTCTCAGGTTTGCCTTTCTCATTGTAACTACTAATGGGGGTCTTGTCCCCATATTCCACGCCACGTTGGTCGATGGAAAGCCCACGCACACGATTGGACTCGGAGAGCTGGAAGCTCATACGACGGTACTCGATGGGGATTTCAGAAATGGAGCGAGCACGGCTGCGCGAGCGAGAGCTCGAAATCGAGGCCCTGCTGCGCGAGCGATGGCGGCTCAACCGTGGTTGGACCGCATAGCTGGAGTTGTCGCCGTAGTCCTTCTCATCTGGCCTGAAGGTGATGCGCTGAGGGGGGGACACTGCAGCTTCCGCATCTACGTTGTCGCTGCTGGGCTCGAAAGGAACGACATTTTTGGATTCGTCGTCCGCTTGGATTTTGGGTTCTTCGATTCCCATACCCTCTTTAGAACAAGGGGGTTTGAACGAGGGGGAGCAGGGGTTGAATGCACACGCAGATCAGATTATGCAAGAAGGGGGCAACTGCAGGTAGATCTTTGTGCGAATAGAAGAGGAAATTAGAAAGAAGCCATCTTCGAGGATGAAAGCACCTGCAAGTCCCTTTTAAGGCTGGGAAAGCGAGAACGCAACCAGTGGAGCTGAATGTTGCAATGACTGTCGATGACCAAATTTTTCCAGTAACAGAAAACGATCAAAGAGCAAAAAAGAAAGAAAAAATTGGACGACAGGCCCGATCCATCTACGAACATTGTCACGGCTTCCTCCGTTTTGGCCATTCTGGGCATTTCCGAACGAACTAGACAGGAACAAACAGATGGAAAACTTAAAAAGCAGCGACTACAGTCATTTTAAGTTACGTAACAGCGACGCATAGAAGCAAAATACACCTGTCAGCGTTGTGTCTGAAGCGCCAGAACGATTGGTGAAGCAGTAATGAAATAAATGCCTCGTGGCGAGGGACTGCTTTGCGTGCGGCGGTCTGAAAATAGTTTGGTTGGCGGGAGCGATTGTGGTTTGCTCAGAATTAATCTCTCATATAAAAAATGTAAAAAACACGGGAGCGAAAAGCTTGTTTTAATTTCAGACCACGCCCTAATGTTATTATTATTATTAAATAATTATTGGTTATTGGAATATTATCGCCGCGCTTGCACGTGCGATGGACGAGTATCAAGACGCCTTATACGTATTATTACGCTGGTATTCAAACGGTTGGCAGCGTTGTTTTCTCCGAGTCAAAAATAGAAGATACGACGAAAGCAGAAAGAATAAAGAAGAATCATCGACCTTCATTGTTTCTCGCATTAAGCGACGAAAATAAAGTGAGTCATAGTCGCGTGGTGGGTGAGGGTCTTTTTCTCTTTACAGCCGTAATTTTCAGCTTCCTGTCAATGGTCTATAGCTTCGAAGGCAGTATTTGGTAACCCGTACAGCTATTTGGAGCTGCCTACAGTGGAGCACTCTGGCTGTAACCCTCACAGACCGAGACGCCCCTCATCCAGTCTGTCTGCAGGGCCTGACTAGCTGTCAGGCGAGATTTGGGCTTGGTGTGTAGCATCGCACAGATGGTATTTTGTCGCGCTTCCTGTTACAATCGTAGTTAGCATTAGTACGATTGAGAATGGGATGCAGAAGAAAAGGAAGAAATTTTGGTGGCGATTATACATACACTACCCCCTAATACGAGCTCAATAACACTGCGCTCCTCACTCCCGTAACTTTTGGCGTATTTATGATACAGTCCATCGCCTTCATGGGCGATTCGCCAGGGCCAGCGGCCAGTTCTCATAGCAAAGTATATTATACCTACAGACCACATGTCAACGGCCATGGGGTCAAACCTTTTGTCGGTGAAGACCTCCGGAGCAATATACGGGACTGTGCCCAACACGCCCCCAAGATATGCATTGAGGTTCTGGTCTGTGTCTTCTTGTGATGTAACTTTTGCCTTTTGCCATGGCAGTTTGAAGCACTCGGCGCAGCCGAAGTCGGAGATTTTCAAAACACCGTTTCTCGTCAATAGTAAATTCTCTGGTTTGAGATTTCGATGTGTGACTCCGACACTGTGAAGGTAGTCGACGCCGTGGAGGAGCTGTTTAAAGAAGCAATCGGCCTCTCCGTCATCCTCTAATTTGGTGACTTTTTTCAAGAGGCAAAACAGATTTCCGCCCTCACAAAACTCCATTACCTGGCAAAATTCGTTACCAGCAGTGGTTGTTTGAAGCAGGTCCAGAGTTTCGACGACATTGGGATGGTGTAGGGAGTGTGAAATACAAAACTCCGCCGTCAGATTTCTGAGATATCGTTTGGTCGACTGTTGTCTTCCCTGGCGAGTGAATATCTTCACCGCGTAGAGATTCTTATTCCCATTCTCTGTTGTATTAATTTCGCATTTCGCCCCTCTTTTTTGAATCAAGCGAACTTTGGAAGAACTGTTTGAGTATAGAATATCTCCATGATAGATGTATTTTTCCGAAAGCAAAGATGGAGACACACAATTCGTGCTATCGTCCCGGGTGCTCTTCGGCTTTTCCTTATTACTGTGGTATTTATGTGCCACCCGATCCAGCCAGCGAAATGTCGACATAAAGGGAAAATGCATGTCGGGATCTTTCCAACGCTCCGTTCTAGAGATGACGATACCATCATAACAGATTATTGAATCATGGCCATCTGAGGTTGAATGATAGAGGCAATGCCGATGCCCTCCATCAGCTAAACGTATGTACCGCTCCGTAGAATTTTTGTTGTTTTGTCCACGGGTGGCCTTCTTTTTCAGTATCGGAGAAGGCTGGTTAGTTTTAGTAATGGATCCCGGAAGAGTCTGGGATGATTTGTGTCCAAGAAGATGCTGCCGGTCTTCATTTTCAGAAAATGAATCGACCTGCGGCATCATCTCCGGATCGAAAGGGTAGTAATGGGTGTTCATGAACGAACGACTAAGATGGAAACTTTTGCTGAGAAGAATGAGACATGGCAAGGGCAGGCATCATTGTAGGCAACCCCAGTATATCTATGTCTGTCTAGGAACGAAGGCAGAGCGCGATCATTTGTCTCCATTAGTATCAGGGGTGTTGACCGCATGTGCGCATTACCTAATGTCAAAACAAGCCATTGGATCAAGTATACCGCTCACTACGCGCTATAAATGCCTCATAATGCGGAAGGTGTTCATTGTGTCGATGACCCAATATAGCATTGCCATTAGATTATTACCGCGAGATAATTTTATAAATAATAATTGATAAATTTATTATGACATTAAATGGTGCAATTTCGATTTACCTGGAAAGTACACGGACAGGCCTCCACGGGTAGTATGTAGCACCTGTTATCGAGGGAATCCGTACTATCCTAGCTAACAAGAAAGCTTTGAATAGAGTTTGCTTGCCTATTTTAATTATCGGCGACTATTATGGTGCCGATACAGTGCCAAACAAAACTAAAGAGTTATATAAGTTAATATAGCGTATTCTTTTGCGTGATTTAGTCGACGTGCCGGATTTCATTATAGCTCGAGTATGAAAAGCTCGTCTTCATACAGAAAGCCGTGTTTGAAGGGAAAAGCACCTATCTAAGCTTTGGGCGGTCTAGCTCAATAATTTAATTTCTAGTTTCCTTAAAAATATTAAAATTTTACCCTTTTCCAACTGCATATCTACGCGAACTCAATTCAAGCTTGCCTGTTTGTAAATAAATCGCCAACCCCTCTTCATGTATCTTTAGTTTTCCTTGTTTTAGTTTCCATTGAGCCATGGATAAGAGATACTTTATTCTAAAGTCGCATCTTGACTGGGAGGAATCTCAAAGCAATCCACATACTCGTGAATCACATGTATTTATACCTTGATCCCCAATGGAATCTCCTTGGCTTAAAACGTCTTCCGTTGCAAGATGCTAGTAGCACAATACTCATGAAATCTGTTTTTGCAAAAGTTTCCCACCCATATAGTCATTTTCACCATGGATATGTATGACGGTGACATGACTTGAAATGATAGGTCAGGCCATTCATTGGCTGGGAAAAATTGAAGACTCGCTATTAAAGCAGAGCTGATTGGGTATAGAGATGGAGGGTCTTTCCATAAAGCGCCTAGCGCGCACTCAATGTCCGTAAGTAGATTGACCAATCGGGGCCTTCATCTACCAACAAAATTTCCTCGCGTTGAATACTTTTCTATCTCTTTAGCTTGAATTATATATATAAGCTGTGAAATCCTATCGTAAGAGTATTAATTTAATTCTATCTATTTTATCTGTACAGGAGATTTGTGGAGTTGTTTTACAGTATTATACAACAGGCTCTGCGCATACAATACATGAGCCTCATAGAACAGTTTCGGCATCATCTTGAAATCCTTGACAGACTGTCCTCTAGGGTAAAGATTCGAGCATTCCACCATGACATATGTCACAACTGCCATCTCATCCGAGATCTTTTCCACGATGAACTCTTGAAAGCCGCCTTCCATCAACCGCCACGGCATGCCAAATGACGCGGCTCTGTCGACGGCGTTGAATAGGCTATCTGGAAATCTCCAGTATATCACTGCACCAGCTGTGTCTATGGAGCTAGCTTCGACGACGTCTTTGTTTGAAGGAAATTCGGAGCTAGGTTCAGGAGCTCCCGAAGGAAGATCTGGCAGTTCGAGAGATTTTCCCAATGTTGTGCTCCAAGTTCCGAGCATGAAAGCTCCGGGACCTGATTTATCCCCAAACAAAAGAGAAGCGGGTGCAAAAGACAATGGCGGTACACCTCGATCCATAAGCCGCGCTTCCAGTCCCGCAGCCCGCGCATCGAGAAATGCTGCAACAAGATTACGCATCAGATACTCCGCGTCATGTTTCTTATTCTCACATTCATGGCGGCATCTTCCGTACTCTGCAAGAAGTGACACTGGAATTTCGGCTCGAAGCGCTGCAAATGAAGGAATCCACCGAGTTTTATCTTCATCGTTACCTGGTGGCCATGGTTTCAATAGGGTTGAATGCTGTATTCCCCATGATGTTGTGTGGCTAGTAATTTGTTCACCTGTTTGCTCCACAAGTTTGCGACAAGCGCTTGATTTTGGAACTTCTGTGATGGAGATTCTCGGGCATGAGTGGTCAAACCGTTGTTTCCCAAGGTATGCAAAAACACCACCTAGAGCGGCTAAAGTCACAAAACTTGCAGTCAATCCAAGTCGGCTTCGGATTATAGTCGTCATGAATACGAAGGAGGGGATAATGCAATTGCTGAACAGAGTAAAGAGATTTAGGATTCAATCTGGGGAGTTACCCAGTTAAGGGCGAACGGGTCGTCGTGTATAAAAAATATAAATGAACTCTTGAGCATGGTAGAATGATAAAAAGTGGAGAAATAATAGATCCTAAATATATAGGCAGTTGTCTCAGCAAGAATGTTAGGTGCGGGTGGACCCGGAGCAATCTAACGTCGTGCACGGTAGGTCCGGATAAATTCGATTATTTTGAACCTCGTGATATGAAGAGTTTGATGAACTTCAAATAGAACAAAGAATAATTAACCTTGACAAGAATACGCTAGTTTTTGGTTAATTTATCTATCCGACTTATGTATATGACGTCAATCCCGATATTACTGAAATTGGTGCTTGGTTCCATTATCCTATTCGCTTGCTTTAATCTGACTTTCCTATTTTCTTGCGTTGAGAGTACCAGGATTGAAGATTCAACGCCAGCACCTGTACCCATGCAACACCTGCCAGAACACAAATAGCCGTCAGGGCATGGCGATATAGTGGTGCGTCTGAGGTCCGGAATATCTGCGAGCCAGAAATACCCGCACAATTCGCAGCCATTACAATTAATCTGTTCCGAGATTATTAATTACTTGTATTACTAGAATACGGGGGATTTGGATAATACATACGCCATGGCAATGCTGCGCTCCTGAGGAGTCTTGCAGTACACTGAAAGCCAGCCAATGTTAAGAATGCTGTACGCGAACTTTGATTAGCACTCACATATTGACAGCACACGGCATGATTGATACTACTTACTGGACGCCAGCGTAGAATAGATTGGCCGCAACGATAACTCCATAGCGGTGCCATGAAGATGAGTGCACTGACGTTTGCTGGAAGCAAACGTACGTAATGACGTTCCATGTCGCGCCAAAGAGAACTCCTGGCCCGCGATGGCCATATTTATCGCTAAAAGTTACAGTGTAAATAAATTTGTCTCACGGTGTGCACAGAAAAGGTCCACAAACCTGACATATGATACAATGGCCAACAGAACCATAAAACTATATACGGGGACGGAAGCCAGAGCATTTGCATTAATGGCGCTAAAATCCAGGGACTTGATCATGCTCGGCGTGTATTGCGTCAGACCTTGGAAACCGGACATGGAAACCAAAGTAATGAAGAAATGCTGGATGACTCGGGGTTGGCGAATGGTTTTGAGGATGTCTCTGCCCGTGATCTTGATGTGTCCACGAGCTTTGAGGGGGTCATCGAGCAGTACCCTGTCTTGTATGATGCGCGATTCTCGCTCAGTAAAATAACTCCAACGGCCGAAGCTAATAAGAGGGCGTCCATCTCCGACACGAGGTGGGAGAAGGAGAACAAACACAATGCCGGCGAAAATGGTAATTAAACCCTCAACTGTTGTAACCGATTAGTCGGCCTTATGGCATTAAATGGGGGCAAGTGAAAAATACCGAGAAATATCCATTGCCATCCAGCCAGACCTCCTTTCCCGGAGAGTCTCAGTAATCCGGCGGAGATGAGACTGGTAGTAGCACCAGCAAAAATCTGCCCAAAAAAGAAAAAAGTCACACGCAAGCTGGTTTCATCCCTTCTGTACCAGGTTGATAGGTAATATAGAGCACCTAAGAGGTGGTCAGTAAGAGGAGATACGTATAGAATTTTCTCATGTCCGGCTAACCAGGAATAAAACCACCCTCAAGCAAGCCTAGGAGGATTCTCGTCACTAGATATGCAGGGTATGATTTGATGAAGGTCTGGAACGTTGCGACTAGTCCCCAGGCAAATAACTGCCCGGACAACCATCTCTGGGGCCCGATACGCTGGAGGATAATATTGGATGGAATCTCGGTGATAACTATACCGGCCGACAATAGTTGAGTTCCGACATTGATCTGATTCGTGTCGATTCCCAGGTCTTTTGTGATCGTAGACGTCAGAGCAGCACTTATATTCCCACGGTCCATTTGCAGGGCGAAAAAGGCGAGACCGAGAACTGGCAACAGGATAAAGTCGACCCTACACGTTAAAAAAATAGGTTAGATGATGCAATTTTTGTCTGCAAAGACTCCCAATCAGGTGGAAGATATACGAACTTGCGTCGAATTGCACTCTCCTCCTTCTGATCCCAGTCGCATTCGATAGAGGCATCGTTCAGCACATCGCCTGGTACGTCGCTGTCCGAATTCCGTTCTTCGTTGGTAACGTCACCAAAAGGTGTCTTTTCGGCGAGTTTTCCACTCATCGTGATTGCAAAAAAGGTAACTGAAATATCCCTTGCTTGCGAGTTACCGATTCTCAATCCGCAAACATTCCAGCTTCTATCTCAGCCGTCTCCCGCAGCGAAGCCGTAATATTTATTCAGCCGATAGTGAATCATTGTCAAAAATTATTATCAACGGACCAAGACCACAGGCGACTTTCTCAATGGCTGGACTAAGTACTTAGTAACGTACCTCGCCTTTGCGACAGAAGATGGAGCAATGGCGCCATCACGGCTCCATTGAGTATGAATGCGGGGCCCACTTCTCTATACTGGCGAGTCAGGCTATACTTATGTATTCTTCGACATTGCTGTAGAATTAACTTATTGATTTATGAATACGTACAATCATAGGATAGAGGTCTGTTGCTAGCTGTTGATAGAGGTAGGTTATGTCCATCGGGGCCTGCGATGTGATCGATGGATACTAATCTGCTTGAGATATCTCCGTCAATTAATATTCCTTGAATACATATAAAGCTCTCTTTCAGATTATGTCTGTCAGATGTCAATTTTGCACATGGCCACACTGCAAATCCTCTGTTTAACTACTTCATTAAATAGTGAAAAATGAGGGCGTAACCAAAATAATAAAAATAGCATAAATGAAATGAAAATTAACCCTCATAATGGCGCGTGATACGCGGCCCGTAATCCCCCTGTGAATGGAATTCATAACCATAACCTTGAATCGCACTCTCTCCACGAGAAGAGTAAATCTCGAAATCCGTACTGCGTTCGATATAAATCATATTCCCTTAGCAGTTCCCGTGTGAATGGAGATATCCTCCTGATTAATGGCTCATACATTGCTACCTCACGACGTGATCCAAGTACCCAGAGCAAACAAGTTCCAAAGGAATATTCACGACACCTCCGGAAGAGTATGCCTCAAAGGCTGATAGAATAGCTGGCCCTGCATCTGTCGTCCCATCCATCACAGCGCCGTAGTCAGTGACATCACAAACCTTCGTGCTCATTTCAGCATTGGCGATATTAGGGCGCTAGCCACCGACTATGAGGAATTGACTGACTGACCCTGGCGTGATAATTTTCACCTGACCGGAAGCCGTCAATTGATCAATTGATGCGGCCATCTAAACTTGTTAGTTTTAGCTGGAGAAAAGCGTAATGATGGCAAGTCGCTAGCTATTGTCATGTTGTACGAAATTGATCTTGACAGCTATCGTGTCTCCGTTTCTTATAAATTGATTAATCTGGATGCCATAAAACAGACAGTAAAAGGGGAAAAGATCGATGAAAGAGACATATCTATGTAAGATATTTGATAATGCCTTTTCTTTCGGATTTTACAAAGAAAGCTTAGACAGGACTATCACAATGTTCATTATATTATCCACCGCTCCAACCAAAATTAAGCTTGTCGAACTAATGCCAAACAGTCTCTGAGGTGACCTATAGATCAACCAGTGATATTTTATAACGGACGATATTGTATCATGTTCTTCATAGGAGTTTATGTGGACAATCGTATCTTCCTGAAGAATAACTTATTACAACCTCGTATTTCATTTTCGATCAATGCAACCTTCGCCCCCGACACGATTAACTAAATGGAGGGTGGCGGAATGTTGGATTTATTACTGGTCCGTAAGCGGGAGATCTACAGAGCATTATCTTAGATTTACTATGAAACGATTGAATCCGTCACTGACGAGCTGAAACACGAGCGATCAACATGGTAAATATGGAGTCTTTTCTCGTGGTGATAATAAGCTCGGGTCATATTTCCCGGTTAAGCTAGGGCTTCGAAAACTGAGTTCTGTTGAAATTGAACCCGAGATTATTTAGTCAGCTCTAATCTTCAATGGTTTATCTCATAACTCTGGGACTAATAAATCTATCCACGCAGGATCATTGAACTCAAAATGAAAACCACAACTTCTGTCGCAGTAGGTTTGTCATTGCTGAGTGTCGCACATGGAGTGGATCTCCAGGTGCAAGCCGGCTACCATGTTATTTATTCGTACGAAGGGACGGTGCCGCCAACTGAACTGTCCAGTCTTATTGAACAGGGATTGGTAGGAGGTGTGCTGCTCTTTAGTGACAATGTTGATGAAAATCTGCCAGCCGCGATTGAAAGCTGGCAATCCACATATAAAAACAGCTCGGTTTACGCGGGATCTCCTTTGCTGATCATGACGGATCAAGAAGGAGGAGAGGTGAAACGACTGCCAGGAGGGCCGACGTCTTCTGAAAAAGTGATCGGCGAGGCATCGGATCCTGAAGAAGCTGCGTCGCAAGCGGGTTCACAAGCCGCCTCCGCCCTTGAGGCATATAATATGAATGCCAACCTGGCCCCAGTACTAGATGTATTTCGTACTCCAGGAGATTTTGACGACCAGTACCAGCGGTCATACAGCGACAATGCGACTTTGGCAGGAGTCTGCGGTGCAGCTTTCATTGCAGCCCAGCAATCAGCAGGATACATTGCGACTGCGAAGCATTTCCCTGGCCTAGGAGCAGCAGCTTCCAATGAAAACACGGATGAAGTGCCTGTAACACTCAATATCACGCTCAACGAAATTAGATCCATTGATGAAGTGCCGTATCAATCTGCTATCGCAGCCGGGCTCGATATGGTAATGCCATCGTGGGCATTGTACCCTGCCTTTGATTCACAATATCCATCTGGTCTCAGTGAGAAATGGATACAGCAGGAACTAAGGGCCCGCCTAGGCTTTAAAGGGGTCACTATTAGCGATGCAATTGAGGCGGGTGCATTAAAGGCATTTGGAGACGATTCAAATCGGGCTCTGTTGGCTAGCCGTGCCGGAATGGATATCATACTCGCAGCTGCACAGAATGTTACTCAGGGACAAGCTATTGTGAAGGCCCTTGCCGATGCATTGGGTGGAGGAACATTAGATCAATCTTCATTTGATGCTGCTACACAACGTATTCTTAGCTTGCGGCGGAAAGTCACCCCCTCAACTCGATAGGGTTATTTGAAAATTAAGGTCTGGTCTCCGCCAATTACCGAATATTAATGTCACCATATTCCTTTGAAAAGGAATCTATGTGTATAACGTGAGATAAATTAGACATCTATTGTTATTTGATTCTTCGGTTGCCAGGAAGTTCAAACTTTTCATCTGGAAGGGCAGTTGGCTAGCATTCGATGCTCTTGACAAACTTCCGATCAGAATGACTTGACATGCTCGGAGTATATTATGCACCAAGCACATGTAGACTATTGACCATTGGCAGAAATAGAGGGGAGAAAATGATAAGATGTCTCCACGCGTAAATTCCGACCTCTGTCGGTTTTGGAGATTCTGGAGAATCAGGTGGACTGGGCGAGGTCCTGATTTGGCATGAAATGCGGTGATAACTACATATACCTGCAGATGGAAAACAGCCTTTAAAGCCGTTGGCACTTATCAGTTGCCACGTGCCTTCTTTGCCAGAGTAATTGTTTATAATCCGCGACGAATGTCTTCAAAATGAGGACTTCGGTTATGTCACGAGCCCTATTCGGCCCAAATGCGGGATCACGGCCAATTTTGCTGTTAATGTCATCTATACAATAATAAATATATATTTACATTGTCTAAAAGCAGGAATTCGCCCGATACGCTTTTTGTCCTCTCGCCGAAAAACAATTTGACAATAGCTCTAAACATGCGAAAGATTAGGGGACTTGTTACAGCTCGGGCGGCATACTGCATCTATTTTGAGGATTGGCCTTCTCTGTTTCCACACCATAGGTTTACAAATTTAATGATGCCTGCCGTATCGTTTCCAATATCAGCGTATCCTATACTGTGGGGTCAAATCAACATCAAATCAAAATTCCTACTTCAACCTGTCCCACTCCACGTGGACCCGCTCGGCAAAAGATACCGCAGAGGACAATAGCATACCATTTCTGCTCATTCTGAGTGCACTTCTAGCACTGATACCTGTCCCAAGCAGCTCAATTATGAGGTTAGACGATGTCAAGTATTGAAAACAATACGCGTAGCAGAGTCGCCAAGGCGTATGCACCCTTTTTATCACATAAAGGATCTTAATGACTGACGCAATCTTACAAAAAGACGTCGAACGTGTCGACTAAGGAAAGTGAGATGCTCAGGGACGGTCCCATGTCGGAGCTGCACAGCTCGGAACCAACAGTGCATTTTCGAGGAAACCGATCGCAAGGTCGTTATCTCAGAGAGACATTTGCGAGACCTCCAGCGCCGAGCTTCTGCTTCAAATGCACATAACCAGGAACAGACCACACATCTACCAAGAACAAGCGACAGCTACTCACCGGCGCATCTAGCAGACGACGAAGAGATTCCAGAGGGTATTGATAATGTTGATAACCACCCGTCTACTTTGTCTCAAAACGAACCCCCCACTTCCCCGATTATTCCCACCGGGCCATGGAGAGGAATGAATGCAATCAGCCGGGTAACTCCTTAAGAATACAGAGAAAAAGGCATTATTATAGCTGATCAAGAGCAGGCATCTACATGGGCATTTGTCAGAAAGGCCCTCTCTATTCAGGGTCTACAGTATCAGAGGCGACATATACGCCTGCCCCCGAGAGCCTCGTATGGTATTGCATTGTGTACAGACCCAGCCCTATGGAACGCTTCTGATATAGCCTGCCTGCCACGGTCAGAATATATTGCTCACCTTGCCCGGACTGCAGACTTTCACCTCAACACAAGTCTCTTTCTCTTTGATGTCTCAATATTCTTGAAGAATCTTCGTGATGATACGACGCCCGATCGCACGGAGCCGCATGCGGGCTCCAATGTTTGGTTTGCGCAGGTATTCATCGTAATTGCACTTGGCAAGCTCTTCCTAGTGAACAGAGCGTCCAGTCTTGGACCTCCAGGAACAAATGAATTTGTACAAAGCATGAAGCTGCTTCCACTTTCTCCCACCCTGACAGATCAGGGAAGCCAGGTGATGTTCATTGAGACTTTGTGTCTCCTGTCGGTTTATGCCCAAGCAGCCGATCTACATGGCACCGCATATATTTATGGAGGTTTTTATACATTGTTCCATCTGATCTGCGCTAACATGGGTGTAGACTGGCCAAGCTTCTAGACTTGCTCGCTTGTGCGGATTAGATCGAGGGAAATTCGAAACTCCTCAGCAAGACTGTATGACAAAATTATGGTTGACTATATGCGTGCTAGATAACAGACACTCTGCAGTTGTCGGTACTCAGCCGGATTGCGACGCCAGAGCGATAATGCTTGAGAGGATTAGTTTCACCCCTTATCTTCCAGTTCACTTTGATCTATCCATTGCTCAAAGACTGAATTGTGTCATGGAAGGTAAAGATTGGACCCAAAAATGATTTTGATTATTTCCAAATAGCCTAACATCCGAGGCCAGTTATGTCAAAATCATCCGAACACCAAATAATCAATGTCTCAGTCATAAAAGGGCTATCCATTCAACTTGCAGCCATAGCAAAACTTGGGCAAGAAACGAGGAAGTTTGATCCACTATGTTGTGGAAATTCTTTGGTATCTATTTCAAGATCAGTTGGTACACTGCATCTATTATATTGCCATGTATGAAGCTCTAATTAGTTCTGATATTCATTCCTAACTCTTTTGCATAGTGCACTCTTATGGCTACCATGCCGATTCTGATAGAATTTGTCAAGAAACTTGTGAATGAAGGTGACGAATACCTTGAATCACAAGATGTACTTCTGGAAGCAACATATTCAATGGTCCGAACTTCCGCTAATGCTGCGAGCCTCAGCTTGAACATACTTTATGCACTACATGAGCAGAGTCTTCTTGGTACATAATTCCTTTCCTGCTCATTCCCAAATGAACTTACATATATGCAGAGGTTTTTATGTTCCGCGATCTTGAAATATGTTTCTTATCTGCACTCACACTGTTTCTTGCCAACACAATAATCCCGGATGCCACGGATCCATACTTCATCGACATCGCAAAATTGATTCTGCAAGACATGTCTCAAGCTGGAAACTATCCAGCAGCCGCACTCCTTTATGAGCTAGGGAAATTAAGTGAATCTATATTGAACCTGCGAATAGCACCCCCCATGCATAGCGGGGAGAGCAGCGGAAGCAGCAAAGTCTCAAAAACTATAACTATTATTCGGGACGGCCAACGTCTTAACGAAGCCATTTTCAACGTGATAATAATCAATCCACGATATCATCATTCTTCGAGTCTAGAGACCGGAACTCTAACAGACTATGCCTTTAAAACGGGAAATCACCGAAATTGCGAGCATGATTCTTTCTCTACAACGAGCCCTGCAGAGACATTACGACAGGAGTTGTTTAAACAAACAGAGCCCGCTGAGTCTACGTTACCGATGGCCAGTGTGTCTTACACACAAGATCAAATATATATGCATGATTTCGATCCTCTAGCGAGCTGGGTCACATTCGATAATTCGGATTTAGAGTGGTTAGACACTGTGCAATAACAGTCTTTTGGTTTTGCCTTGGCGCTTCCTTGCTGACATATATTACACCTAAACCCAAATCGATCCAGGTCAAAATGTATTAACCCATCGCTTTGGTATATTGCTTTTCCTAACTATATTTCCAGGCTGTTATTATTTAACATTGATAATTGGCACTCTGCTGATACCTTCATTGCTGCATATGATTGCGTCGTTCTCTTGGAAGTCATGTTATATAAGCAGTAAAAATCTCTATATTAGATAAACTAGAGTTCATCGTTGCATTTGTCATAGAAAGGTATACTACATATATGGGATTATTATAATATTACAATATTTCTTATCATGGAAGTGTATGAGGCTACACAGGAGCATCAACCGCCTTCCTGAACAGTTAGCATAATCATAAACTTACTGACTGCACGATTGATCTATCAATTGATATGTTAAAATTCTTTTACGTATTCAATTGCATGTATAAAATACTATGAATATAAAACTTCAGGACCCCGGGAAGCATCACATCTATAAGCTTACAGTTCGTGAAATGAAAATGAAAAACCAAATAATTATATGTTGAGAGCCCTTACTTATCTGACCTCATTTTATCCTATTATTTGCTAGTGCTTACCATGCTATTTAGCCTACCTTTTGTGAAGATTGTCAATCGCTCACTGATTACGGGTGATACCGCTCGACGATTCGGATGCGGGTTACCGAGCCCGCATCTCGCTCGGACCTTCCATCCGAGCCCAGCCGAACGTTCTGCCAATCATTTGCCATCATACACAGATAGTCATCCAGTCATCAATACTAGACTTGCTGGTACACCGGTTTCTTCTCAGTGCTTCTTGGGAGAGCTTCAGCAGTCTCTAATCGACAACAATGCTTCAAAACAATCTTCTCCAGAAGGTATCTGAGAACCATATCTGTAAGGTAAGATCAATACACAGCAGCTTGATATGTCTATCTCCGTGTCGAAATACTAGCAGTAAACGAGACCCTCAAAACGAATAGCGAGCTCATAAGTAACGTTTTAAATTTAGGCATTCGGTATTAAAGTCGTCAAAAGCAATGAGGTCATTCTTCTAGCGAAAGCCGCTGGATATGACGCCGTCTTTATTGACCTCGAGCATTCAGTTCTTTCTACCCAAGATGCAAGTATATTATGCTCCTCGGCACTATTATCGAAGATTACACCGTTTGTACGTGTGCCATACCAGTGCGGCCAGGGATTTGTGCAAAGGGTGCTTGATGGAGGAGCGATGGGTATTATATTCCCGCATATAAATACGGCAGGTATATTAAATCTTCTCTTTTCTCGTTTCTTGAAGAAATACTTTCTAAGATACGAGTTACCAGAGGATGCCAAGAGGGCAGTTTCGACAACAAAGTTCCCCCCTCACGGCAAACGCTCCCTCACGGCAGCAGTACCCCAATTTGAATTTCAAAGAGTCGGTGCTAAGGATGTAATACAGCAGCTTGACAGTACAGGGTCAACTGTTTTCATCATGGTTGAAACTGTTGAATGCCTCAATAATATTGACGCAATTGCCGCCATGCAAGGCGTCGACGTCCTCCTGATAGGCGCAAACGACCTGTCCCTAGAACTTGGTATTCTAGGGGAATGGGAGCACTGGAAGTTTCAAAATGCCCTACATAAAATCGCAAACGCGGCGCAGAAAAGCGGAAAGATACTTGGGGTGGCTGGCTTGTATGCTCGTCCCGATATCTGCAAAATGCTGGTGAGGGAGCATGGGGCTAGATTTGTGCTGGGGCATCTTGACGTGGGCCTGTTAGCCATGGCTATGAATAGAAATGTTGAATTGTTGAGAGATATGGAGATGTAATAATACATTCACAAGGCTTAATGAATGAATAATGTTGCCAAATTACTACCATTACTATCCAATTTTCAAGCATTAATTAACATTCATCACTTGGACAAACGTAGTCTAAGGAAACAATTTAGTTCTATTTGTATCGACACGTCATTTGAGACGCCGAAAGAGAACCAAAAAAAGTTTACAGTTGTAACTAGTGCGCTTGAAAGTGTAACCAAATAAATAAGCTACCTCTACGGGCTCGGACTATCCTCCCGAAGGCGATTCGAATTCGACTAGAAACTAGTTTTACTTAACATGCCTCTGCGCCGAAAGAATTTCGTTTTCAACCAAATTGCCTATTTGCTGCATGTCTGTGAAGTACTTGGACCTTGGGCTTTCAAAATGGCGGTGCAGACTGGCGCAGATATCCTACGCAAACTGCTCGATAAATCCAAACCAGCAATCGCCATGGCAGCTCATAATCCACTCAGTGCAACTATAGCAGCCGAAGCTGGATTTGATTCTGTATGGATCAGCGGATTTGAGCTTTCAGCCTCATATGCAGTGCCAGACGCGAGTATCATACCGATGGGTACGCATCTTGAAATGACGCGGTGTATAGCCGAATCCACGTCAAACAGGAAGTTTCCAGTTATCGCCGATATTGACACGGGCTTCGGAAATGCCATAAACGTAGCGTATTCCATTCCACGATATGAGGCAGCCGGTGCGGCTGCAGTGGTTATCGAGGACAAAAAGTTCCCCAAAGATAGCAGTTTGCGGCTCAACGGCCGACAGGAATTAGTCTCGATCGAAGAATTCCAAGGAAAGATCGCTGCTGCAAAAGCAAAGACTCATTTGATGCTTATTATTGCACGGACCGAGGCCCTAATTGCCGGTTTGGGAGAAGAGGAAGCTCTGCGGCGGGCACTTTCTTATGCGGAAGCCGGTGCAGATGCTATCTTGATTCATAGCAAGAAGTCTACACCAGAAGAAATTTTATCGTTTTGTCGTGCCTGGCCAGATGAACAAGTTCCTCTTGTACTTGTACCGACGAGCTATACACAACTCTCCTTTGCCGATATCGCCGCCCTTAAGAAAGTCGGGTTAATCATCTGTGGCAACCACGCTATACGCGCTTGTGTTGCATCGATGAGAAAAGTTTTTGGCAGGATATTGAAGGACGGTAGCATAGCTTATGTTAATGAGGATATTGCATCCGTTTCAGATGTCTTCGAGATTCAGGGTGATGCTGCATTGCGTGCACTTGAGAAGGAATATCTACGCTAAGAAATATGCCATTGCCTCAGTAGACTTTGATAAGAATTGATAGTCGAAAGGAAACAGCATATCCTCCTTTAACTATTTACTGTAAGTGTAGTGGTTATAAAACCACATCTCTAACGAGTTAACAATGTTTACTAGTATGATGCAGAAGCTTTAGGGAGTACAGATCGCAGATCAGAGCAAGCGGTGAGCTTTCGTATTTCGAATGCCGCGAGAATATCATGTTAATTCACAGAAACCCAAAAGGCTAGCCGAGCTGCTGACTGGATTTGCGAATAGTGTGTACATACATGTGCATAGACATTCACCGAATTGGGAACTTCCGTCTGTCATCACGTATACATGCATTACATGTGATTGTTCTGTCAGTTAGTTCCAGCTTGAGAAAAGGGGTTATTAGAATGGTCCTTACCGTTAAGTTGTGTTAGTAGTGAATAGGAATAACGACAAATCAACTTTCTTTTTGCTGAGCGGTCTGAGTCCTTAAATTTCATATATTTATCCATAACGCTTCTGTAGATGTATCTCAATTATGACACGTCCTACGAACCACGGGCACCAGACAGCATTCCCATGTATATAGGATTCCTTCTATCCATATATTACCACAGAGATTTTGCACGGTTAATATTTGCAAACGGATATCTCAGTACAAATAAAACCCTAACCTCGAAATGTAGAGAGAGAGAGATAAGGAAGAAACAGAAACAGCGAGCCCGTGGAAATGAAAAAAAACGCACCTCGCCGGTTACACGTAATCGCCGTCCCAGCTCGCCGGTCCATGCGACTTCTGCACCTGAACAAGTCTGACACCGTCATCATCGCTGCCTTGAGGGTAAGGGACAGAGTATTGAGCAAGGTATTTGTCGCTGTTTCCTGCATTTACGCTGAATTTGCTACCGTTATGGACTGAAGTGCTGCTATTATTGGATATATCTCTGTCAATCAACTCGACAGCGCCTGTCTTTGACTGCGACTTCAAATATTCAGTGCGGCTGCCAGTGCTGTTTATGGCATATGAGTAGTATGACCGGATGTGATCGAAGCTGGTCGAGACGAGGGGCTTATATGTCGGCAGACAGGCGGAAACAATGGCTATGCCAACATGAACGTTCATCCAGAGGGCATCTTTGTTCACCTGCAGCCCAATGGGATCTTGGTAGGATACTGCGATACGAATTATGGCGGTGATTATGACACTGTCCCAAACCGGCGGTTGGCAAATGAGCATACAGGAAATAACAGGGAAACACACCAGCCACCAAGTAAAAAAATCCCTGCAACAATGATTTTGCGATTCTTTGACAGCTGCAATTTGCGCACTTCATTCACTGGCAGGATCAACATGAGGCACTCTAACAAGAGCTCAATCAGCATCATTGTCAGCCAGAAGATGCCGTAGAGGATACAAGTCGGCTTCGGGGATGTCCACCATGATGACGGTGGATTGCAGACCCAGATTTGCACGATCGTGCCAGCAATAGTCCAAAGCGCCTGGACTATGATGAAATAAAGCGAGATGCGGCTAAACCAGCTCGTCTCAAAGATGCGGCGATACAGCAGCAGAACAGAAATATTGGTGATACCGATCGCTGGGAAGTAGAATGGCCCGTAAATATATATAAACTGTATTTATCCATCAGTAAAAATTGACTCAGCACTGTCACACGTGCAACTTGTGGTACTTGAAACAAAAACCGATGCTTCCTTACCTTTGCGTAAGTCTGATAATTAGGGTCCTCGGCACCATTTGTGATGGCGGAAAGTGCTTTCACTCCTAAGATTCCATAACTAGATCAGTCTCTTATACTTCGATAGAAAAGACAAATTTCGTCTAACCTCTCAGTTCCAAACCAAGCGCAACAATAAATATCACCTGTGCCAGCAGTATAGTCCAATCATCCCACCCACAGTGCGCTGTCTTGATGAGTCTCGATGTGAAACGCAAGATAACGGCGACAGTACTAAGAGCGCCGAATACGAAGCCTGTGAACCAGATAGCTGGTGCTTGATCCTTGCCAACGTCGGACATGCTTTTGTAATTTATCTTTCGCTCTCTCCACAGACTGATGGAATCTGTGACGAACAAGATGAGCTAATGGTCGCTATTATGATGCTGCCGTATCCAGCCATTTCAAAACCAGTTATATAGGACAAGTTGTAAAATCTAATTTTACCTGTTTACACTTGATTTGGGAGATGCGGCAATGATGACCTAAAACATGCTTATGCACCGAAAAGGTGGTCTAATACATGCAGGCGCTCATGTTCCAATCGCTATAGTCTTCGCGACGTAAGTGGCTATCCATCGGATACAATCTCGCCTTCTAGTGCTGAGCGCGGGTGGGTTAGAATTGGGGTCTGCATGAGCCGCCCTATCATGATATTCGAAGACAGTGTCAATTCTTCAGTCCCAACGCTAATGCAGAGCGAATCATCCCTGCAAGCGGCTACACTAGAGACCCGTGTAACGTAGACTCAGCTGACGAATAGCCAATTCCTAGAACATCGGTTCTCGAGACAGAGGACATAGTCCATTGGCCGCTACCCTCTCTCCAAATGGCCCCAGCATAAAGGAGATTGACAGTGGCAACTGCCGACTCACCCTCGTGTAAGACCCGGAGAACATGCAAGGGCCTACATCTGCACATGCCTATGTCTCACAGAAAGCTGGCAGTACTTGGATTTATCTCAACTACACAGTAACGTAATCACATAGTAATCGTATAGTCCGTGTGTACTTCAACACCATTCGCCAAGATGCATGCATACTTTTACAGCTAGACATTTCGTCACTTGATTTGTTCAGTGAGTATATTTTTCATTGAATATTTGTGCGAAGCTCACAAGTCCTATGTATTTCAATAATGTTCTAAACTTAACTAAGTACTCCATCCGTAAGGCTCGAAGCGACATTGTGGTATGTATTAGCTAAATGTGCATGCAGACTTTCTGGGGCGACACAATCAACTTAGTGCATTCCTCAACCTCCAATCAACACCTAGGACCCCAGCTTTACCATCCTGAAAGTCGGCGAACTATTCGACATAATCTGCGGTCTTTAGTTCATTAAACGAGCACTATTATCACAGCCAATTCTCTAGAATTCGGGTCTATTGGTTGGCACATGCATCTTTCACCACCAGCCTCTAGCAAGCACACGAATCATTTGTTCGATAGCTTTTACATAGCATCAGAATAACATAGTTATTCTTCACTGCAGACAGTTTCTGGCCCTCGTGGTTGTTTCCCAGCTGACTTCACTATCATTTTGCTCTGTTCTTCAATGTACAGCCCTTTCAATGCGTACAGTTACGAATTTTCTTCCAGGAGAAAACTTTTTAGTCTCAAAATAGAGTCCTTGACGTCTCACGTCTACAACTTCCAACTGAACATTGGGACTATCCAAAAGCTTATTATTATCCTCAAAGATAAATAAATTAGGAGAATAGAAGGAAGGCATCAGAATTGGTCATGCGCCTGCTTATTAGGATGTTCTCTGTAGCAAGACTCGACGACCTACAGAACCACAGCTCTATAGGACTAACTCTGACGAATTACGCTAATCCTTTATACAACGCAGAACAGAAACCCCCCACAAGCCAGCAAATTCAAACAAGTTCTCACTGAAGCATTGACCAAGAACGCAACAATCCCAAAAGACCTTGAAACAAGACTTGAGGATTACACTGTCAAACATCGTGAACTTCTTTTCCTCGTGTGCGGGTCTTGCGATGACAAGGTCTGGGCTCTTGTTTGTGGCATAGTTAATGTTAAATAAGTTTTTCAACTCCTTGCTGACCATTATGGGAAGGTAGACTCAAGAGATCCTTTCAGACTAGGCTTGAGCTAATATAGTACCAGGACCAGTGTCAGTCCTATTTGCAGACAACTCTATTCTAATAGGCAAGGGTGCTGGTTGAAATATTATAGAGATGAAACTTCTCAAACACTGCTTGTTTGATCCACGTTGAGGAATATCTTTTTTGTATAAATGACATATTCAACAACCCTGGAATTCTGTAGAAACATTCGAGAGACTATAATTGCTTCTCCAGGAGCAGGTTAGTAGACATCTATATTTACACATTAAAACTGAAAAGAATATGCAATAGCAACATCTGTCTAGTCTCCAAAGATTATGCATCTAACTTTATGCACTAAGTTAAAACAAAAGATATGAGATGTCTAACATTTAGTCAATCGGCAATCGCAGATGAAACATTTGAAGAAACAATTGGAGGGTTAAAAATATTTCCCCCTCTTGTTTCTTTGGCGTTTGTGATTTACTGAACGTTCCCGCTCCATGTTATATAAAGTCCATTTATGACTTATCTGACATATTACAAAACAATCATGTTTCTAGTCCATTCACTACTCAGAAGAACCATTTCTTTCCAAAGGAAATAAGCTCAAATAAAGTAGCAAATGTGATATCTGATCTTGCAAGCTGAAATTTTGTTTTAAAGTTTATACATTTAATTATCCAGCAATTTAAAAATCTACATACCTCTTCCTCAATTACACTTTTGCCGGACATTTTTCAGTCTAACCTACTTTTCGCCATGAGAAACCTACACTTCCTCAAATTCTCGTTTCATTCTCTTCAACAACTGAACACACCTCCCAAAAGCCTCATCATGTCTGACTTGGACAATTACAGTTACCGCAGACCCTTTTATTCCCATCTCACACTGTTGAACAAAAATAATGGTGCCGATGACTAGCACCGATGTCCTGTCACCGCTACCTCGAGTGAGGACATCAAAACATTTTTCAAAGGATTGCAGAAGCACACCAAAAGCAGCAACGCGGCAATAACCAACATGCAACCTTTCAATGTAGCGCAGTGGACTTTTCAAGCTGCAGAGTGCTATAATGTGAGGAGCTTGTTATTAGGATCTACCGTTTGGATCCATTTTGGTACAAAAACATCCAGAAATTGACCGATAGTCTCAGCGATGCCAATATCACACTCTCTTGGACTTGGACGATGCCAGGGGGAGAAACCGACCGATACGTCCTCCCCAGAACGTTTCTTTTGAGGATTATTGAACGGGTAGCGAAGAGCGTATCTACCACATTGACGATCCTTGTGTTCACCCATCTGTCTTTGTCGGTTTTGAGAAAACCATGCGCTATATGTCTAAAAAGACGGTGGGACGTGGAATCTGTCAGATTACTGCAGTAATTTTACCCGGAAAAAATGGGTCAATTTTATGAAAACAAATTGAGATTGTTGAAATTCAACTAGTTGCTTATTATGAATAAATCTGTACCTTATTTAAGCGGAGAATTTTTCCCCTATTTAGAAGAATTCATGCCCCTTCTTATAAAATATGTTTTCACCTTATTGATCCATCGAACCTTCGCTTGAGGCGGACTATGCCGTGAATCGGCACCCCCAAAATTACTCATATTATCCAACAGAATGTAGTTCACTTTATAAGTTGCAACTATTGTAAACGTGGAAACCGTTGAGGAAAGAGGGACCGGAGAACACGGACATGGCACGCGGAACAGATAGAGCGAGAAGCAGGAGGACTTTGACTCAAGTTTGCCATCGAAGTGGAATTGGAAGTTATAAATTATCAAATACGAGACTAACACACGGGGAGCACGAATATTAGAGGCATTGGCATTACTGATTGCTTTAAGAGAATAGGCGATAGTCCTTGTAATGCTGATAAGCTTGGGCTCAATTGAGGCGATTCGAAAATATATTGAATTAACTTAGTATCAGAGTAGTCCTGGAGCATGTAAAACTACAGAAACCTGAACCCATTACTTAATAACTAGAGACTCGACACTGATTAACGATTAGGTTATACGAGAAAGGCAGAGGTGATGAATTCAGTTCCATATAGTGAACACCCCCTTTACATGGGAGTGAAATAAAAGGGAAGATAGATGAGGAAGTGAGGGATAAAGGGCGGTACTGTGCCGGTGAAACATTTCGCTGGTTTTTAACTACGAAATATTGCAGTTCTACGTGATATTCTAGATAAAAGTTCTTCCGGGCTATCCCAGCATATTGTAATTGATCCTATTCGACGATTATAATTATACGGACGTGCCTTCAATACATAAATATATTTGTGGCAGCCGTTTCGTAGATTTGAATAGTGAATCCATATATTTATATATCTTTTGAGCCGATTGAAAATATATATATGTATCATTTTCACAACTGAATGAGATCCCGGCCACCAAGCATGCTTGTTTGCTTATTACATAGAAATCAAATTGAAAGTTCGAATAGAAAAATTAAACTGCAGCACCGCATTGTGTACAGAAGGTTGTTGATATAGCCGTGCCACACTGGCCGCAAAACTTCCTTGTCGACTGTTGGTTCATGCCTGTATGTCCATAGGGTTGCGGTAGGAGAGGGTCCGTAGTAGGAGCTGGAGAATATTGAGGTTGGCGGTGTGGAGGCGCATAGCTGGTCGATGTCTCTGGTTTTGTTGAGTAGTCTCCCATGGAAACATTAACGTAGGTAGATGGAGCCGCCTCATAGGAACGGTAACGACGACGTTGAGTGCGATATATGATGAAAAGAATCCAGAATGTAAGTTTCAACACACCACCAAGACAAAGACATGCGATTCCTCCGTCCCAGAGACCTATATTTCCATAGCTGTAGCAGTAGTCATCGTAGCTATAGTCATCATAGGATGTGCAGCCAGTATTGAAGCTGTTATAGTATGCGCCGAGAAGGCCTCCGCCGATAGCGAAGAATATCAATGCAGCGATTATGACGCCTATTGGCCACCATTTTGACAGTGGTCGCTTTGCTGGTGCACCGTATGTTGGTTGGTATGCCATTGTGGAATATGCACTGGTGATTATATTCAAGGGTGCAGTTCATGAATTGGATGTAAGGGAAGTTGGTTGATTGTCCTCCGAATGGACATCAAAGGGTCTTTAAGGGTCATCCTATTAATCTAATTTAAGTAGAAAAACTTCCGCCAACATAGAGGCTCATTCGCAATTTCCCTTCTTTGGGGAGTTAGGGCACAAGTCAGGTCAAGCGGGGGCTCCTTTCAGCTCGTATTCAGTGATGATCCCTTGGATGCTAACGCTGCTGGATACGAGATGGGGCTTTTTCATTTCCCACCCGACCCCCCTTCCCGTTTTCAATCCTCATATGTTCACTGGAAATAGTTCGCCTAGCAAATAATAATGATCGTCCTGAGGCTTAGGCACACATTCAGCTATTCAACGCTCGACCCACCGCTTTTTCGAAACCATTTCTTCGGGTCCAACGATTCTGCAATCGAATGCGAATCGTGGAACGTTCCCGATTAAGACACAACACTTAGAAAACTCTATTCCAATATTAGAGTCAGTTTGGTCCTTGCATGTATCACCCTTGTAGGTTTGGTAATTTGGTGTCGTGTAATAAGCCCATACCTAGCATCTCACTGACATGGTCAAAATGATCAGCTAATAATGATGCTATGTGACTTTAAAAAATGATTCATCGTTTTCTATTTCGTATCCCCTTTCTTCTTAATCCATATCGCCGCTCTATTTATCTTGGCACTGGGCATGCATGTTTACGAGCTGAGCCAAGTCGAATACGAGGCACAAGGCTCCTATGCTCAATTAAGCGCGCTCACTAACACATTGAATTGCTGGATGTCGTATTTTAGTATAAAAATTTCAACTTGATTTGCAATAGTAGCACCTGACAATCCTGCTGTCGTGATATTAGCATATTTACAATCGGCATGGGACGAATTGAGTTCCGCCTGTCGTGCGTTACCGTTACAAACCAAATATTGCTTAACGGCGCTGTGGGCATGAGCATTGTCTAATACCCTTAGATGTCTTCAAAAAGCTGTATGAATCGTATGACAAGGCTAAGAAGTACATATAAACGAAGAACTATTCTAGCTAGAATATAAGCATGCCGTCTTCATGTTTGTTAAGGGAATACAACGAGACTTAGCTTACTTGAGTAATTGATGGTTCACAGCGAGATCTAGGCCTTGGGGTTCTATGTATGGTGTCTTGGCTTTTGAAAATTGCTAAAAATGCATCTTCCGAAAACGCCATTTTTCACGATAGGCTAGCACCGCCTAACGCCACCTTTGGGCCATCCAGATGGTTGTGGTCGCGAATCCTGCCCATGTCGATCAATGAATCTGAACCCTCATGTACTACTAATATTATATATCAAATCCAATAGAGGCTGCGAGCTAGAAGGCAAAAACGACACTTAAGAAGCGTCAAGCGTAGCCGAAAGCTGAAAATGACGACGCTTTCTTTAGGATGGAAATTTAAGGCATGGAATACAGATTGAAATTCGCGACCTCTTTCGAAAATGAACTTATCATTTATTCAATTGGCTTTTAAAAGTTGCGCTCACATACAATAATCAAGTCAATTTAGGACTAGCCCCTAACTTAGGAAACCTTTGAAAGAATGTGTTACATTTGAAACATAACGTAGCTAATACACATGTAGATAATACCCTTTAATCAAAATAAGTCTTCGATGCAGGTTATGCGCAAGGAGAATACTGGGCCCCAGACCACCTGAAAACCCCCTCCCTTCATGAGGAAGCAATAGGTGCTGATAGAGATGGAATCGCTCGGGCAGTTTTCGAACACAGAGGTTCTAGCACCGTAGCTGCACGTGCTGATATGAAGAGTGGCGGTGTAAGACTGGTTGAAAAGAAAGAATATATATTGAAGGCAGCACTCAAAGTCGGGCTTTCAATTAAATATAGACTACAAGTATAAGCAAGAAAATTTCATGATTTCTAAGAATAACAAAAGGTCTTTAATCATGCCCAATCAATCTCTTACTACTTCGAGCGTAAAAAAATAGTCGTTGTATTTACCAGTGTTACCATGGCGTTGGTCGTGGTATTGTTGAGCAGCTTTACGGTGAGAATTCCCCTACTCGTTGTCTAGTTCGATACACTAAGTTAATAGCCTACGAATTCTGTTCTCAAAATAGTTGCCGGCGCAAAAATAGCATTGGCGATGTCGATGACCCTCTTTCTCAACGACTGATTTCTTCATTAAAAACCAGCAGTGACGATTCAGATCCGCAGGCAAACTAGGTACACCGCAATACATCATCGTACAACGACCAACTGTCCCTTTTCCAATCGACATTCATGCTATATAGAAAGATCGATATCGTAATAGCCAATGCCGGTGTTAGTATTCATCGCAACCCTTTTTCTCCGACGAATCTCACCAGCGACGAAATTCTCACCGAGCCTAGTACTCAGAAATCGACATTAATCTAAAGGGGCGATACATCCGGCTCGATGGGAATACTATTGTTTAATAAAAGTCCAACTACGCATCACAGAGGTGAAATAGTATTGGCATCTAGTATAGCAAGCTTCAAGGAATGCGAAGGTCTGACTAGAATACAGCAAGTAAACATGGCGCTATCGGTGTGATGAGGGGGTTTGGCGTTGCAAGTAGTAAAGGAGGGAATTAAGATCAATATGGTTTGTCCGTGGATGACAAGTATAGCGTAATTCAATCGTCAGTTACTTGCAAATACGGACTACTAATGCAGTAATGTAGAAACTCGCATGATCAATGGTATTGAACAAGGATGGTATGAGCTCGGTCTACCCACCAACGAGCCTGCGGACGTCGCTATGGCAATCCTTATTGGTGCTCCTGCGAGCCGAGCTTCCAAATCTCCGGAGGAAAGGCATGACGTTGCCATTCTGCAGATCTCGGGAAATATTGTGTGGGTAGGGGGTGGGGAGAGCTGTGGGATCGAAGATAAGCTGCAGGGTCTGGAACCCAGTTGGCTGGACATCAGAATAGCGAGGTATTGAAGAAAGGCCAGGGGTATCTATCTACATTCTACAGGTACAATTTGGGATAATAAATAGAGGATGCATTGATCTAGAATTTATACCAGGAACGATAATATCTCATCCTCAGCAAATGGCTATATGGCCAAGACGAAGCCAAATGGAAAGTTAATTCTCGAGTTGTAGTCTCTGAATGTCAGCTTATTCAGCCTCTGGCCAACACCCAACAACTTCTCTATTATCGCCGTCAAAAGTTAGGACAACACTAGCGCCATACTCAAGCGGATCACCTTCCCAGATCACAAAGTCGGAATTTCTTTCACTTTTCTGTAAGCCAAGAACATCATCAATCTTGATTGAAATAAGATCAATGGCCTGCTTTGAAGAGATGCCAGCCTCTTTGGCAATAGCGGCTGCTTCAATGGGTAGGTTGGCAAGATGCCAGTCATCTATTTCCATGTGTCAGAATTTAAAAGCCTAAATATGCAGAAGGGTGAGCTTACGGCCGGGCAGCAGGGAGAGCGCAAATGTGACGTTAGATTCCAGAAGGACCTGCACAGGAGATATGGTCAAAGGAGGCCCAACGAGGAGGTCCTTTTTCTCCCATTCTGATGGAGCAGAATGGGCGGCGTTGAAAATGACCGGAATTCCAGCTGATGCAATTTCATCAGCCACCTATATTTCACGACTTGTCAGACCATGTTTTGAAAAAGATTAGATCAAGAACGTATAAAAACTCACAGCTGGGGCCTCTGAAGCACCGTAAATCACCAGGTTGACTTTGGGAAAGTCGTACTTGATTTTGACAAGTTGAAGAATATCATACTTTTCATATAATTAACCACCCATAATCTTGGCTACCTGGATGGAGATGCACTGACCTTATTCTCAGAATGTGCAACCACTGGAATTTTCCCATTGGCGGCTTTTCCATACAATGTGTCTTTACCCTTATTGTCATTCAAAATCCTTCGAAGTGTAGCTATAGACTTCGAAACGCTTGGGGTTTGCAGCGAAGCTAGATACATGTCAGAATTGCTTATATTGTATGAGTAAGGTTGAAACGCACATTTTGCATCTTGTCCAATGGAAATGTGCAACGCAACGTCATCTTTGAAAATGCCCCCATTGATAGGATTACCACCCTCGGCTGTTTTAATCCCAACACTAACGCCCTGTAAGAACCCGTCGCCGTATGGGTACGTGATGGACCTTGTCACACCCCCAATGCGGGCACGATTAAAAGCCTTTCCTTCAAAATGAATTCCATATTTAGTGTACAGCGCAGTTTCAGGATCTAGTACATTAGCTGTCCTATCAGCGTATCCATCGGCAGTGGTCTCCTCGGATTCGATCTCCGCAAGGCCCAAAGTATCAGAAATAGTAGTAAGGCCTGGAAGTACGTGCCCGTTTTGAAGGGTGATCACACGGCTGGTCGATGTTGTAGAGATGCATCGATCCTGATCTCCTAAGCAACTTATTTTTCCATTATTAATTACCATTGTCAAGTTGAAGCTCGCGGACGGTTTGATATCGGGAGTGTCCAAGTAGAAATTCTTGATTCCAGTAACGACAATGCTTTCGTCTCTCTTCGGGTGTTCACAGAATAATTTGATATCTTCCGCGGCGGTCTCAGCGCGCATTCCAGGTTTCGTATTATCAGCGGCTTCTGGTGAGAAAGACTTTTCCTCAAGTGTAGATTTGCCGTCAATGTATACCTGCAACGCATTTGCCCCGGCCGAAAGAGGATGCGAGTTCCATACAACAATGTCGGCGTCGTACCCAGGTTTCAGATATCCTACACGATGATGTAGTTCAAGAGATTTAGCCGGTACGCTAGTTACTGACTGTAACGCGAGAAGCTCTGAAAGGCCGAATGAATGAGCCGTAGCAGCTTGAGACCTAATCAAGTAAGAATTCCGTTTGATATTGAAAAGAAAAGCGAAACCTACAATAAGTATCTAGCGTTGGTGTTTTCATCAACGTGGTCCTGTGTTAGTTATTAGATATATACCATTCAAACCCTGAACAAGTGACGGGAGATACCGATTTATATGCGACCGGCACACCATGCTCTGTTAAGATCTTTCCGGCCCATAGATTTCCATCGTATGCTTCCTTTTTGTACAAGCTAAAGTCGGCAAATGTCGCGATCGTAATATTTCTACCGTGCCGTAAGTAAAGTAGCACAAGCACTAGAATCATGCACGTACTGTCCACTACTCTTGATTAATTCGGGTACCTTCCATGCACTCAACGCGTGATGGAATGCCTGAATGCGGAATCCGAATTCTTCACTGTGAAGGAGCATATCTTCAAAGTCTTCCTGCTCGTAACAATGAACATTAATACCTATCTTTCCTCGTAGCATTGCAACACTAGAATCTAGCTCAAGCTCCTCTGGAAGCCCACCCTTAGCATAAGGCCCTTCAGCTAGGAGGGTTGCAGCAGCTGCAGAGTCTTTTCTCTGCCTGGCGATCCCGGCGGCGGCACACCAGGCATCCTGTTTCTCACGCAGTTCTTTTGCACGCGCCATATGATGGCGGAAGTGCCAGGCATTACCCATACGAGTGTGGTGATATACACGTCTGGGGTTCTCTCCACATGCCATTTTCAAATATCGCCGTCGGTTTTCTTTTGCAATTCCATGTTCAAGAAGGAGCTCCTCGACGATTTCCTCGCCGTACTCACCACCTCGAAGGAAGTTTTTAACTGGATAGGCCTCTCCGCCCATGATATTTGCTGAGCCGGGAAGAATCAAGGATGTGGTGATGCCGCCAGACGCGATGATCTTGGCGGCTATATCGTAAGGCTTGATAGCGTCGAGTGCTCGGACCATTGGAGTTAATGGACCAGTGGCTTCGTTGATCTCATTGTCATCTACGTAGCTTTCCAAACTAGGCCAAGGAATAGCTAGATGATGTGAGTGCATGTCCACGAGACCTGGAGTGACAAAATGTCCATGGTAATTGTGAACAATTGTATTTGCGACGGCGTCGAAGTTGTTGGCACCACTTGAGGTGATTGACTGCACAACACCTTCTGCAAAAACAATATCTACAGGCTCTGGTAGAATGGAGTCACCGTCAAACACAGTCACATTTCGCAAAACTACAGTTTGCTTTTGGCCACTAGAGACTTTCCACCGCGGATTGGTGCGATTGGCTGACGGAGGAAAATCATACGTTTGCCATGGTGCCTGCAACTCTTCGCATCTCTGCAGGTGGGCATCTAGTTTATCCCATTGAGAATGAGACAGCTGGGCATCTCCGTGGAATTCCACGACATAATTAGAAAGCTCTGGCGGACGGTAGAATGTAAACAATAGAATGCTAATTGCGATAAGAGAAGGGAAGAGGAACACGCGACGAGGCCCCACTCGCCGGAACGCGGTGGAGGGAATTGTACCCGCCAGCTTCAATGTATCCATGATGCTTATATCAATTGGACATCACGCATCAAGTTGCGTATGCTCAGAGAAAGAACCAGTTCTTATCTGGGTCTGCGGACTGCAGAGCTGTTGACATGTTGCTCCGAACTATGTGGGGTTTCCGCGATAATACTTGACTAGCGAGCATAACAGCAGCTTAGCAATTAATGATGTCAGCTGCTAACTCTCCGATAGGCTGCGACTGTGTAGTTCGATTAAAATGCTGAATAATGGATAGTTTCTATGATTAATTGATTTTCAGTGAGCCATGCATATGAGTAAATATACGTACATTGCTGCAGAATATGTTAACATCTACTTATTTGTTAGATAACATGGATGATTTTGGATGGTCGCCAATGATTCGCGTCATTCGCCCCTAATCAGCACTCATCACATCTAAATGAAACTTTAACCAATTAAATAAAAGATTATATATAATAAAAAATGAGTTAAAATCTTGAAATCTAAAGGTATTCTTCTTGGTAAATTGGATATAAATTTATTAATTATAAAAATAATAAATTATCAAGATTATTGGGCTTCACAACGTTGTTCATTACCTTATCTCGATCGAACACTGTTTTGGTGATTGACATCCCAGATTTTAACATGACAAAAAGAGTTTTTGATTTAATGAAATAGTATTTTAACAGCTGATAGAAGTTGGCCAAGCTCCTGAACTTCATATTGATCTAGCCTGCTGCGCTGTGAAGAACTCGATTGTATGTAGCCCAACTAGAGGGGGGAAAAGATCAAAGGACGAAACAGAAGTAAAGCTTCCTCACCCAATCCTCTGTTTGTACCTACAAGTTCCCGGCATTTGTATGTACATTTCTACCTATTGAGAGACCTCGGATCGATATTTCCAGATTGGCGTCCAATGCATCGATTTGTCTTGCTTTTAAAATGGTAAGTTGAATGATAAGAATTTAGGAGTTCAAGGTTTATTATCACTTTTAGTTCAAAGAAATATGGGTACGAAGTCACCATACAAGCTTATAATAATATTGCAACACATACAACTAGGCTTCAATCACGATAAATAAAGTTAAATGGCGCGTCTTTAACATAGTGTTGTTTTGGATGGTGTCTCCGGGGAACACTGATCTCAAACACTTTGGCTCCAGAATCTGACACAATGGCTCAAATGTCCGATAAGCGTCGAACAACATAAGATCTTCGACCCCATGTGTTGCTCGAAGCTGTATATACAGCTCTTCAAGTCGAGGCAGCCTTGACAGCACTGTACAAACTTCTTCCCAGGTATCTTCATCTTCTGGGGGAAGCAGATAAGGATTCTTCCACGTATCACATTCTTCTAAACGACGAACAAATGGGTACATCATTTCTTTAAAGGTGTAGTGTAGGAGCAGTACTCGGAAATGATCCAATCTAGGCCTAATCACGGTTCGTGAAAAGGCCATGATTGTGTCTAGATAGTCGAAGTCGAGAATATTCTCTTTGTGAATGATGTTAGTTGTTTCTGAATATCTGTTATAATTAGCTGATAGTTAGAAATAACCAAAAATGGCGACACAATAAGCTTTCTCACTTTACCCGGCATGTCACTGGAACAGAGGGAAGATTGGTAGATTCACAATCGAGTTCGTCCCCATTAGAATAGACCACGACAGTCCAAGCAAGCCCTTATAACTTCTGATGTGTTTGCGACGACGACAAGTATCAATATTCATGGGCAGGTTAAGTATACCACTGCATGGGATTGCTGAAAGCTGCCCACGATTCCGTACTATATGTAAGCGTTTATTTCCCAGAAGAAACTGTCAAATTGTCTGCCGGATTTCAGGTGGCAGACGCGTAAGAAGGAAAGACTGTTCTTGATTCGATGTATGTTGAGGGACCAGAGCCTTTTTCTTGACGAATCCAGAAAACTTATGTTGACATTTTTCAATCAGTGTATCCTATAGAGGTAAGGTCAACACCCGGGGCCATTGTTCAGGAAGGGGTTACACAGTCAAAGCATTGCCGTCTCTGAGTTCTTTAAAATAGAAACGCAGTATGAGCCAATACTCTTGATCAAGGGCGTGCTTAACCACACTGGCAGTCGAAAGTAATAGACAAAGATCTTTTTATGTGAATAGAATAGAGAAATCTGCCCAGTCTGGAAGATAATCAATATCCACAACGTGCCAAGGTTTAGTGATCTAACTACAGTTTGTGAATATTCGTCGGGCTATTATCTGATAGAAGCAAGAACTAGCAAATAATAAGAACAGCAACAACAACAACAACAACAACAACAATGATGAGATGATGATGATGATGATGATAGGAAGAAGATGGAGAGAAGGGAGAGAAGAAGGAAAAGGAACAGAAGGTAGAGTGGAAAAATGGTGAGAGTTGTGTTTCATTGTTCGAGCACGGGCTAGTTGATTTTGCATATAGTGACCAATCGTGGGGATATTGTTCTATACTTAAACGTGCCTGATAAATGTGGCTGTGAAGTCGTTTCACTAGAATATACTTATTTGTGTTTGTTGAATACTTTTCCCTGTCTCATCATTCCTACCAATCTTGCACTTTATTCTCGTAGACCTCTTTTGCTTTTCCCCCCTCAATTATTCAACTGGGGGAGTGTTTACCTTGGTAGGTGAGAAAGATATTGCATGTTGACTTGAAACCCCTCTTGATTGTATCTTTACTCTTTTGAACCAATTTTTCACCATTTTGAGCGCTTTACAATGAAGGACATTAGTCTTCATATCGCACCAAACAGACTAATCAGGCACTCGGAATAGAACTGGTATAGTGAGATAATTTAATTTTTAGCTCAGTCTTATCTATTGGTGTTAATGCTAAGGCGCGCCTTTTTAGTGCCATATGAAAACCAATATCCTGCCACTGTGGTCACTTACTACTTCAATGTTGACATGGAGAATGGCAAGTCGCTCATGGATGGACTCGCGATTTACGTGTGACCTACAGGCAATCCTAACTATGTGTAGTCTGAATGTTTCGATTCCGAAAACTACTAGTTGGAATATTGATTGCAAGAGAAATTGTAATTTGAGGCGGTGTTGAGCTCATTTCATTGAATCTAAGCTACACACACGAGAGGATCCGCATTCTATCATGCCCGCCGGAGGGAAAAACTCGTGATAAATGATCATTTTGGAGGTATGTCAATGCCCGACAAAACCAAGCCATTCACTGCAACACAAATACCCGAACCCAATAATACTGCGCCAAATAAAAGTCGTGCGAATTTTTATTTACTCGTTGATTTCGCGCAAGCGACGGAGGGTGGAACGAGCAGCCGAGGCAGCAGGGGTACTATTCAGTAAGATTAGCGGCTTTTCCTTCGTCTTCGGTAGGCGGAGAACTAACGCGAGAGTGTAGGCGCCACCAGTGATGGTCTTCTTGCAGCCAGAGCAGTGCCAGATACCGACGGAGTGACGGCGGACAGTGTTGCGACCGCAGAATGTGCTAAGCCCCTTATTAGTTTCGTTCTTCCCGCTAGTCTCGTTTATTCGACATACCAGGTGTAACGGGCGTGCTGGGAGACTTCCATGCGCTTGACTTGCTTACGGAGGGAAGCACCGTATCTAATTTTTGATCAATATCCATGTGCGAATCCACCAATTTCACAGATAGTCATACCTAACACCGTACTTGCCGGTGATACCGACCTCTAGAAGTCATCGTTAGTAAGTTCTTCGGTTTCTCATTAAGCGAAATTGTGAATTCATTGTCGCTGGGTTTGAATATTGACATGGAATCGATATTTCGACGGCATGGTGTATCGTGGTAGGAAGGAGGTCTTACTGGTAGTTCTCTTGGCCATCTTGACTAGCTGTTAAACGATCAGCACAATGTTCGAAGATGCAAATATTAAAATGATTTTTCAAATTCGAGGTCGACCAAGGGCGCACTACACTGCGACAGAGAGGCGAATTGGTGTGGAAATTGTCCGGGAAATTATTTTCTTTGCATATTTGGGGCTGGAATCGATGATTTGAACGTACCTTCGAACTTGATGTCGGGCTGGATAAAGGGTGATGGATACAGAGTTCGACAGTTTGTGGATAGCCTCGAGTTTGGCGACTGTGCGGTGGTGGTGCGGTGAAAACTTTTTCCGGGACGCTTTCGGGCACCACGTCGCTTAGCGAGCACAGGTCACGGACTGCGGGATTCTATTGGCTGGTCGACACTATGCCCCCACCCGCAACATCACTTACAATTCACGTCCTCAATGAGATTACGCCAAAAGGGTTATGAGAATACTGGCTTTATACAAGCAATAAACGTATTAAGGATGCAGAGAAGCTGTGTCAAGAGCAGTCCAGTCGTGGAAATTGGCTATTGCTTGTACAAAGCCGAAATGTCTCAACGGCTTTGATCACTAATTTGCAAATAGTTCGAGCATCAGCCTCTCAAGACTATTTGCTATCTGGCAGATTACGGCTCAATAATGAAAAAAGATTGACGCGTCAAGACTTTCTAATTCAAGCTAACCGATGAAAATACAATATGCATAAGAAACACCCCCATGGCCATCGACTCAAATACTCCAGAATGACAAACAAGTCAAGTAATCAATCTACGTGATCGGTAAGCTCTAAGTGACCAGCACTTAGAAGCAGCCAGAGCAAGCGTCCTATGAGGATCATGTTAGCGTTTTCGATCAGTATGAGTTGCCGTGCAGTTGTCGGTCGCTTACATTGGCAACAGTGGAGCCGACAGAGGCGAAGCAGGCAACATCAGCAAGAGGGTCTTTGAAGAGGAGTTAGTTTATCTTATTTAGTGACTTTTGGAGCAGGTCTCAGGGTATCTTACCCAAGCCAGCCTGGGCGGCAGCAGCACCGCAAGCAGCGGTATCACCAGCGAGAGAAGCGATGCACTCTGTTCGTGTTTGTTAGTCGTGTTTTATGCACGGCGGATGTGATGCTTGAACGTACTCAAGGTGTCGCAGCCATCATCCTGGAGGGCTTTGATGGTAGATTGGGCTTGGACCTTGAGGTCAGCCATAGTTGCAGCCTTGCCAGATGCTGGTGCCGCAGAAACAGCAACGGCGGAGGTGATGAGAGCAACGACGACCTTGGAGAACTGCATGTTGATGATATTGAAAGAAGTTTGTAGATGAAAGTTGAAAAAAGCGTTTTTGCTTGTTTTTGAAGTTGCGTTGAGCTGTTGTTGTTATGATTGTGTGATTGATGATGAAAAGAACGAATTTTCGATGGGAATCGAAGATGTATTTATAACTTTTCTCTGACTCTACACTGACTTCATCAGCCTTGAAAATAGACTACATATCTCATGACGTTTCATCTAACCTTCCATGTATGGAAGGCCTTCAGCAGATCAAAGATGAGGCTAGAAGATTGATCGAACATAGACGATTCGCCCAATAGAGGCTTGGGAATATGCCCGTGAACCTTCCAACCAGTCGATCCACATTCCTTCACAGAACTAGTGCTGTAGTAGTTTATACCCCACGAACCCTATTTGAATGAGCAACCACTGCTACCACAGTTAGGCCAGTCGTGTTCCAACACTCCATCTACGTCTATATTATTCGTTACAACGTCCAGGTGTCAATAGCGATAGAGCTTAACTATATAAAAAAATGGTTAATATTCTCTAGAGAAACAATACGCAAATTTTAATGCTGATCTAGAAATATCTAATGGCATGCTACAGATTAGACAATGATGAAATCTGGGGAAATCTAGCATTAGATTGGCTATATAATATAGGGCAGGTTCTAAATGGAATACGGGCATGCTTCATCCTACTTGTTAGAGAGAAGAAAACCAAGCTCAGCCTCAGGTCATGTTGGCTTTGGGGCGATGATGTAAATGGAGCTTGTCGGCGACTTGTTCATCCGGCCAAAGATCCTGACCGAGAACGGGAGTTTCCCACCACGATTATCTGGCTTAGCTGCCTGACAGAAAAAGTCAGAGAAAGTCGATCTAAGAATAAAACCCCCCACGTGGATCGAAAAGCGCGGTTCGAAATCTAACATTCATTGTACTTGACAACAAGAAGTAATCGCGGCCCCAATAGTTTATCTGAGACCATGGGCGCCACAAAAGCGCCCCCGTCGATCAACGGTGAATTTGCCCGAATCACCATGCATCCTACCAGCCGCCTCGTGTTTCTGCAACCATCCAGTAAGATCAGCATGTAAAAACGCCTCTTTTTGCAGTTTGTGGGGTGAAGTCGGATTCATCTTCAGAAGTCAGCAGGCTTGTCCCAGAACAAGCAACTTGACGTATGTCGGTAGGCGGATATCGGTACCTAAGCTATTTCTAGAAGCCTACCCCTTTTAGCGGGACTGAAGGACCTGAAACTCGCACTCAGCCTATAGAGATGCTTTAATAGACGAGATATGTCGCATGGCATATTTTAGTCTGCAACCTTCTGTACACCCCCTCGAATAACTCGGTTGCTTACAGAAGCGTTTATCATTGCCTTCGCTGTAAATATTTCATCCAGTTCGTGACCAATAGAACTGACGCTGACAGTTTAATCATCCCCGTTTTGAACCATTATGACTCCCTGAATGTTTGGAATCGGTACTATATTGATACCAAGAAAGATATTTATGGGTCTATATTTCCCCATAAATCCATGTAAGAAGGCTTCACTATTTCTACTTATCAGGTGAGACAAGCGAGGCGTTTACAGGCCTCAAAAGTATGGCTTCAATTACTGTACCGCAATTTAGCAAATATATAGTGAGGGATTTTCTACATACCACCGTCCTGATAGGGATTAGGCAAATGTTGTGGATATTTCTAGCCCCTTATAAAATCAATTATGGGTAGTTTTCATCTAAAAGTTATGTCACGAGGGCTTATGCCTCTCTCTCGTCTGTGATAGAAGAATTCAATACTAAGCCACTAGTTAAAGGCTAGCCTTCCTTCGTGTATGTGATATAGGTCATCAACCAGGGCATTCAGCTTGTTTTTGACCTTTTCATCATTCAGCCCATCCTCGAATAACCTAGAGATCTAATACTTCTTTTTTCCCCATCCATTATAGCATAGCCCCAAGAACCAGTACTATTATTTATTGCCATTCACCAGGCAAAGTCTGGGTAAAATAAATAGAATTAACCGTCCAACTTGCCCAGCATCTCCATCTGGGAGACTCCCGCGATCGATCGATAATTCGTGTGGCGGAATGTATACAAAGAGATTTCAGTCGAGATTAGAGATGAATTGACCTTTAGCACTTACGAAAAGACTTGATGTTTAATACTAAGGTATATTGCAGTGTCTGAGGACAATTTATGTCTATTGATCGCTGACACAAGTTCGTATAGGTAGACAACCTCCAACATTCCGATCAACGATCATTTCCAAACAAATAGAGGACAAAACATCGCAAAGATAACAGCTTGGCGCCGAATCGTTGCTCAGGAGGACGGTGCGTAAACCAAGATTTGATTGGGAAGATAGAAAGAGTCACTTGAAGAATTTGGAAATCATTCTGATTCTTCTACTTTGTATATTACTCCAAAGCTTTCTCAAGCTGGTGATATAACAAGAAAAACAATAATTTCCCCTAATAAGCGTGGAAATGATTGTCGTCTTAAAAAGCTCCGATAAACGATATCTGTTTGTGACAACGGTTTGTGCAATCATTTTACTTGACTATTATAACAAGCCATCTTTATTCTCAATTTAGGTAATAAGAAATCCGTTTCCTCCAGCAGCGTTGGCACCTGTGAAGATATAAGCTTAACAAGTCCACATAATATCGGATTATAGAGCACCTACCAGCGACACCACCACGCTTATTGCATTTGCCTACAATCTTCCGCGCACCGTATGCCACGTCACGACTAGATTCAGTAATATCCAGTCAGCATGAAAAATATTATTGAGACCAAGGTAAGGATATTCTCAAGATCAGCCAATAGGAGCTCGCACTACCTCCACCCGAGACATTAGAGCCACCAAGAGCAGCCTTGCCAGATGTACAGAATATGGCATTTGCACCATTCACTGTGCATTTCTTTGTGTCCATTGACACAAGCCTGGGCATTACTGGCTGGCACTCGCCCACCACCTTATCCTGGCAAGTGAGCTTAAACCGCTTCTCGAGAGGAGAAGGCTTGCGCTTGCCTTATTTCTCAGTTAGTAAAATTATATCAAACCCCAATCTATAAGTCTTTGGCTTACGTATAGTTTCATAGTAGAGATCCTCGGATGTTAAACCAAGGGACTCCAAGCTAGGCGGTCCTGGTCCTGGAATAATCTCAGCAATTCCTCCCTGGGGAGCAGCAGCTGGGATAGCAGATGCGCTACTTAAAGAGGCAATAATGGTAATGAGTGCGATGGTGGTATTCTTGGGCAACATCTTGCAAACTAAGTCTTGTGGTAAAGGATAATGTGACAGATAGATGCTAGCATATATTGACTGGTTTAAATGCGAAAATTCACTTTCATTCCAAGGCAGGGTACGGAATTGATGCCGGTTAAAAAAATTGATCAGTTTTGGGACAGAGAACATCCGATTTATACTTCGCGAGACAATATCAAACGGCAGCTAACTTGGTAAGACAGACATTGGATCGTGTAGTTCGACACTTGGATTTAAGCTCCCACGCAGCTGAAGAAAACATACGAATAATCTCAGATTCATTGATTAAATTCATTAATTGTCTATTTTATTACGTATCTCTCTACAATCGACTTTATTGTTGGCTCAAAAAAACACTCGAAGATACTTCTTGATTCAGGTCGGCATACGACGCTAGAATGAATCGGGCCGTATCTGATGCCCAACGTTACATGCTTATTCTCATTTGTTCACAAAATATAAGCAAATCCAATTCTTATCTCAGCTCTAATAGATTCTCTTTGAGAAGGGTAGAACTAGTGGTCGCATCGCTGCATGATGCTTCTCCACCCCCGCAACTAATTATATATACATCTCAGCGGGATAAGACCCTAGAACCTCAGTGTGTATCGAAAATTTATTTATAGATACCGACGGTTCCTGGTCCGTGAATCATTGTGCCCATACCAATCATTCCATCCCGCGCGGGATGCACCCCTAGTAATTGTTTCGTTCATCGTGGTCTTTCTAGAGCTAGTAACTAGCCAGTAGAAGGTTACAACTATGTTGAATGACGATCTCTGTGCCTTTTAAGGGTAATGAAAATTACTTAATGTCATAAAAATCGTGGCGGTGTAGCATTCACGGGGACTCTCTTCAGCCGCACTCATTTATGATTAGACATGATGCAAAAATGTAGCATTTCGTTCTAGAAAGACCTGGTAAATTCCGCAGAGGACTAACATCTGACTTACAGAAGCAATATCACTCCGTCGACATCGTTGAGTTTGAAGTCGACTATTTCCCAGCAGAATCTATTGATAGATAGTTTGGTGATATACAGGAATTTGCACATGCTGCACGATCATTTTATCCATATTCTTGTTAACTTTCTGCAATATCCAAAACGTCAATTCTCTGGGTCTGGGGTAAGATTCCACGCGTATTCCAAATAAAGAATCCAGTGGTAGCCATTAGTCTCGAGGAAGTTCAAAAAGTCCTCGCCTCACAGAAAGGTATAGGTATTATGAATTTGAAGAAGTTTGTGATTCAGGTACGATTCTTTATTTAATAACAATGCTTGACCATAGGGAAAGCTATTTGACGAGCCTCAGAGCACAGCATCACTTTACGGCAGGCCACATGCGAGTTGCTTCAGTCAATCGAAATTAATAACCCATTGAAGGTACGTTGGTTGGTGTAGAGTATAACCGTGAAGGAGGAAAGTAAACACAAACGTAGAGAATACACGGATCTGGCACTCGCATGTGATATTAAATTGACTAAAGAGACGACTATGCTACAGAAGTCCGCAGTGTTAGTAAAAAAAGATGTTGCTACTTCTCTGGAAAACTGAACAACCTGAGGAATTATTCGTCTAGGCGTGCCGGAGGTAGTGTCTGGAGTTGTGCTAATTAGTCTTACAGTGGACATTTCAATCCCATTTCCTGTGGTACTTGAAACAAATGAGGAGACAAGAGTATCAGTCACGAGCACATGTTCCATTCAGCTTGCATCCATAATACCTCGTAAAAACGGTGGTAAATCTCTGCCTAATTTAGTTAAACATTACGAAATCCTGGGCGGGAATAGAAGTCTCATAAATGATAAATGGGTATAGAGCGTTGAAATTTACCTGATCTACGAAGCATGTTATACTCACAAAGAGCAATTGAGTGGTAGCAACAAGACTACATTATGCAGATGAAAGTTGATAACGTCATCAACGTTGAAGCTCGATACAATTTGATAGAATGTTAAACTTGATTATTCAAAGAAAATCGACAAGTCTGAAAAAGGGGCCTAACATTCGTCTTCTCAAATATATATATGTACACATGATAAAAAACCGGTATGTCTTATAACATTGAAATTCCATATGTTTAGAGTACATAATATTGTCACTAAATAATTGGATAAAAAGATATGACATATATGAGGATAGAGATATATGCCCCGGTCAAAAAAAGAGTTGGCATTTCAGATGAAAGTGCGCAGGTGTAGAGGCAACAGGATAGAAATATCCATCACTTCTGTAAGAAATATAAATAAACTAATCAAAGCAAAGATGCCTACCCATATATGCCATACAAAGCAAGACTCTAGAAGAGCAAAGAATAATTTTATGTTGTGATACCTGCCGACACAATTCAGGTGGGGTGCCATGTAGCAGCTCCGCCGCCCCGAGAAAGCATGTAGAGAGGCCACAGTTCCCCGACCACAGGAATGAAATGATGTTTGACACCACTGAAAATAATTATGGCATTAAAATAAAGGTACGAAGAGAATGGATAAATCGCAGCTTTATATTTGTTAGTACATATGTAAGAATATAGTAATACATAAATTCAAGGACGCATCATTCAATTTTACTGTCAATGATTTCTACATACATAAGATTCGCTTAAAGTTGATAATTGTTAGTAGAATCGGTGATGTTTTGTAACAGCTTTGATTATCTAATATACTACTAGTTATTAAAACCAACGATATCGTGCTCAGAATCCGACTGGTGTGAAACCCACACCCCCCCTGTTGCATGCATAAGGATGCATTAGTAAAGATAGGCTACTTCCTTTCTCGGTTAGGGGACGAAATTCTCAAAATTGCAAGATTATTGAAGATCCAAACGACTTCCGAAATATTCGAATACCGCCGCTATAATTTTTGAAAGATCGAAGATCGTACTTTGGGAAATTCTTAGCCCTCTCCACGGCCTGCCATCAATATTAAATTTAGAGTTTTTCTTTAAAAAATAATTTCCAAAAAGTGAGGAAAAGGGTAATTATAGAATCGGGAAGGCAAATGGCCTCTCACAAAGTATCAATTGATACCGGATACTCGATAAATTACGCGATAGGTACAGATTTTGCACTACTCCCGAATGGGAAGTAAGTGTCCCAAATGTCATGATGGGTCCTGGAGGAAAGGGACTTACGTGGTAGCCAATGGCAGTGACATACAAGGTCGCCATTGAATACTAGAAATTCTAGAATAAATATATCAAACGTTCATCAAAAATTTGGAAGGATTCAAGCAATGAAACCGACCAATACATGTTCACGACGCAAGTTATTACAGCCGAGGTACTGGATTTGAGTGCAATTGCGAGACTTTTGTTCTCCATTAAGACGATTGAATGCTTAATCCCGGATCTCTATGAGAATATGACAGTGTGAGGGTATTGCCGTTTTCTGGATTAGTGGAACGGGGATCCTTGCGTGGTACTGCTGTTCGGGGTGCTGCTGGGATTGTTGCATAGAGCCATTGACATGCTGGGACCCTCGCTTAGTGCTGAGGAATATAGCCCAGTTGGGCAAGTAAACGGGGGTATGCCTTTGTTTGTGCACACACCACGGTTATAGATTCTTGGCGGCGCTTCGAGAATTACTGATTGATCAGAAGCAATCCGAGGCAATAATTGATGAATGAAACGGGCGGTCAAGATAAGCAGATAAAACCGTCACGAACCATGGCGTGCATGTCAACCCGATACTGCAGTAATATATGAGGATCGTTTGCTTGCAATTACGTTATTTTTGATTTGAAGTGTTGCACAGTAGCTGGCGGAATGGGAGTTCAAATTCGATGTTTTCTGCGAAGGAGGTCAGCTTCGGACATGACACATGACACTGTCTATATGTATGAAGTGCATGACTAGTGAGTTTAATTGTCCACTACTGTCGATATAGTCAGGCCGTCTATTCGAGTCAGTCGATGCCAGTAGCCGCCAGGAAGCAATACGTACAATTGATAATTGTTTACCCTTCTTTCAAAGACGCGTGTTAGTGGATTCCCGGACAGTATATATCAGACAGGCATACATGTACTGCAAGGTGATAGGGTAAGCAAAGAATCGTGGTCAACATTTCAATAGACGAATAAAATGCGTTGGTATCTGGAATAACCATGCTCTTATGAGGCAATCACGCCGTTACCCTGGATTGAATTCTGCAATTCCTCGACATCGCACTGCGAATTGGACCTATATCAGATGTCGGTCTCTCGCGTAAGAAGTAATGGTGCATATTCAACTTCCTGGCCAGGCCATTGGAATGTGAAGCCTGTGCGGGTGTCTCAGGCGTTGATTCACCGGTCTCCGAAAGCACCAAACTGCTCAACTTTTCGATAGCTTTCACAATTCAAAATAATTTTGTGCTAGGACGTCGTCGGTCAAAATTCAAACACTTGTAAACTTGAAATGTACAAACTCCGGAGTAGGGGGCCTAAAAATAGGCGATTTATGAAGGCGATTTGTCACAGGCGGTGGGCTCTCCTGTATCCCAAAGATTTAGCGTTGCCGCAGCCGAAGACTAGCCCCACGATGACGCGCTATGGGAGAAAAAGCTACATTCATCTAACAAAACAAGGCCTTGCAGTTCATTAGTGGGTGTATTTTACGCCACGGGGACTGACTAGCATTTCTGAACGGCGTTCATGCCATGAGCTCGTGTGTTTTCAGACTTTAAAACTCAACATACCTCCAGCCTCCGAGCGATCGACGCCGAATTCCGACGGCAGGCAAATGCTAGTCTGAAGTCTCGTTGATGATTCGAAAATCTCTTATTGAGAGGAGGATTCATTCTGCCCAAATCATTTGAGTGCTACGAATCAATGCGATTGATTATTCTTCAACCACCGATAAACCAACGATGATGGCTTCCCCGATCAATGTAGCCGGAGGAGAACCCGCAAGAATCAAGAAGCCTGCAGTAAGAATTGCCTTCAAAATTCGTTTCATAATGACAACTAATTCGGAATTCTAGTGTGATAACTGTAAAAACCGTAAAGTGAGATTCTGCTGGCAAAAACCAATGTGTTGCAAAGACAAGAGTTATTAACAGCCTCCAGACAAAATGCGACCGCAACACGCCTTGTTCAAGCTGTGTAACGGCTAGTCTAGAATGTTACACCGCCCAGCAAGCCATGGAGAAACGACAAAGAGTTTTAATCTCGACAAGATACGATGAGGCCATGGAAAGTGTTGATCGTGTGCTTCAGGAAGTGCTTCAAGGTGTCAACAAAATTGTAGAAAAGACCGAGACTTGGCGGAGATCGCCAATGGACCATCAAGCCTCTCCAGCAAATATTGTCACAAGCAACCTTCTGGAAGCATCAAGTACCGTGGAGGGGTACAGAGGCGATTCGTCGTTTAATGCTCATGTTAAGCGGGTGGCGGATACTCTGAAAAACGCTGCATCCGATATTGGCTCCATATCTGATTCTCCTGCGGGTGCCGACAGTCAACACATTTACAATGCCATGGATACTAGCGAACTCGCGAGCCAATCGTCAGCTGATTCTCAAGTTCGCGAGCCCATACAGTTTCCTGAACTAGAGGGCAGATCTCTCCCACCTATGCACCCTGTACTTTCATTACTGCGTATGATACAAGATGAAAAACAGCCCTTATTTTTCAATATCCCTATCATGGATGAAAAAGAGTTCACGGATCTCTGTCAGAAAGTTTATTTTGCTATCCAACGCTATTCGGTCATGACATGGACAATCGTTAATGCAGGGCTTTACTATCTCTTTCTGTCTATTGAGGAGGAAGATTACGACCGATTGGGTGTCAGTGCTCCAGAACTGAATGGGTATATTCAAATATTGTCGGCGAATGTGGAGGCAGTAATGGCAAACCTGAGGATGATCTTAGAACCATCTGTTGAATCATGTCAGGCCTTGGCGTTCCTCGTGAGTATGTCTTATGTTTAGTTGATGCTAGTACTAATTATTGCAGTCAATGTTTGTTATGAGGTCGGGTCAAATTTCCATGACATGGAGACTTAATTCGGCCGCCGCAAGAATGTGCATTGAACTAGGACTCCATCGCTTGCCGCATGGCGCCAGTGGACGCAATATAGCAAGAAAGCGCAAAGTATTCTGGCATATATACACCATGGACAAAGGGTTAGCTATGACCTTAGGAAGAACACCATCGATCCACCAGTACGACGTTGCTACTGAAAAACCCGCTTTTCCAGAGGATTTATCCAAAGTTTCGACATAGTAAGTTTTCGTCTTATGCTTTGCTACAAGAACAGGAGAGTTCTAATGCTAGCCAGCGATCTGACGGCTTTTCATTTACATTCGGGCTTCCTGGATTATGGTATTATTTCTGGAGAGATGTATATTGAATTGTTTTCTGCGTCTGCACAACGAGTACCACAAGATATTCGTATTAAGAAAGCCGAGCATTTCGCCGGGAGACTGATGGAAGTCAACGACAACGTTCAAAAGGTTAGTAAATCGAGATTTGAATGAACTTTTGTTTTTAACATCGAGAAAAGCTCCTCCAGGACGAGCCACCTACAGACACTAACTTCGAATGTTCCGGAATCCTTCTCGATATAATGATGCACTGCCTTGTCACAATAGTCTACCGCATAGTCCCTTGCCAGGCGCCGAATTCTCATCCACTACAATGTAGCGATGGCTGTGTTGACGCAGCCCGGAAAGCATTAGCTGCTATCGATAGAGCCAGACAAGCAATCTCGGCAATAAGTCCAGCAGGTTGGGTTCTATTCCTTAATACGTAAGTCGATTCTACCTTCGCTGTAGTGTTGAAACGCTTAAGCTTACTTCTAAAAGATTATTCGCCTTGGTGCCGTTTACACCCTTTATTGTGCTGGCTGGAAATACTGTCGCGAAGCCATCAGCGGAAGATCTTAACCTTTTATGGTCCGCACTGACTAGCATTGAAGCAATGTCTCACGAGTCTCCAAGTTCGCAGAAACTATACAACACATGCAAAGCATTTTATCAATTTGCCGAGGACACATTTTCACGCAAAATGAAAGGCGTGACTTCTACTGGTGCTGAGAGCGAACAACTACTCTTTAATGCAAATATCTCGCATCCAGCGTCGGTATGGGAGAATGAGATGAATGAGACCAGCCAGTTTGAACAGGCCATGGCTCCACAAGCGTGGGGTGCGTTCATGTCTGAATTCGTGAATGAACACGACACCAACTTCGAACCAGCGACATTGGCATCCGTCCTTGAACCATATTTGCCCTTGGACCAGGAAATGCGGTATTGATGCTACCCTAGACGCCCTACGGCGACGGGCTATGTAGGGGTGATGATCATGAAAGGGTCGATAGTATTAAGAATCATACACAATATACGGTAGAAAACGCCGATCACCAAGTTCCAACCAATACTATTTTCTATAAAGACATACCGGTGAAGTCTATTGAAGTCTTTGGGAATAATATTAATTGTGCGTCCCATATCGACCGGGCCCGAGGCCCCGAAAGCAGGGCTGACCTCGAGTGGCGGAACACGCCGCCGTGGACTCGAGCCCCGTCAATCTCGCAGCCTATCACACGTTTGGTTGCATACACCACTGTATGTCGATCTCTTGTCCGAAGATCCCGGTTACCACCATGGATTAATATTTTGTTTCAGCTGGTTGTCGTTATTCAGTGCATGGTATATGCTAATATCATTGCAGGAATGCTTATCACTAAAACTTAAAACCTAGTGCATTGATTTGAAAGGGTTTGAAAGCTATGGAACTAAAAAGGTCGAAAAGTCTCAAAACTATTGCAGCTAAAGTGGGATCGATCCAAGGATCACGCTTTTACTGTATATGATGACTTGAATTGGCCCCGGACGACGGTCAATATTCCTCTGGAAAGCCATCTCCTGCCTTGTCGTGCCTGAATTTCCAGGATAATGACTACTTGAACAGCCTGAAGTCACTGTGCTACGATGATTTGTACAAAAGCATGTCTTTGTTCTTTCTTAGGGTTCGTTTAGTTGCACGTAAATTGATATGTACTATTGATTCTGTAAAAAGCCTGATTGTTCTTTTTCAACCAGATTACGGTTGCACTCTGAACGTGACAACACAAAATGAAAATATCACCGTTGGTTTGTATTTGAGAGTGTTGTATAGATTGAGGATAGGTAGAAAGTAAGCCTCATCTCACTGAGCCTCTTTTCTAAGTACGAATGCAACTATCAAGGGCATCAAGTTTCTTCTAGTGCCCTTTCATGACAGAGATAAAACTAAGGGCCAACCCAAGGACTGCTAACCCAACCGAAAACCATAAGGCACCACGGTAACCGAGCAGCCAATCAGCTTTCTTGATTCTGCCGCCGTTGATGTTAGTCTCAATGGTACCGGCGAATCTCAGGCCCAGAGAAATGTTATAGTTGATGACAGTCATGACTATGCTAGCACCCATACCCTGATACTGCCGCGGTATCGCATTCGAGAAAATAATGGTGGCGGCAGAGAATGATATGTCTATACTGACGGTGATGATCAGGACACTAAAAAAGAAATATGTCCAATAGGTCGAGTCTGGACGTCGGACTGCCGTTAGAATTGACACAGCAAGGTAGGCAGTTTGCCCTATAGCCATTATCCATGATGCGGGGATATTCTTGCTTAAAACTCTGCCTACAACAAGAGCCGAGATGAGACCTGACGGAATGACGGAATAACGGCAATGAACCACGCTGCCATTTGGAATGGAGTGTTATTTCTAATCTTGATTGCAACTTCCAGAATATAGAGAGCCTGATTATGTATATTAATATACATGTCTCCCAATGGACATGAGTGTAGGGGAAACTAACCCATATCCCACCGCAAGCCCATCCTGTTGCTGTGCAGGCAAAGACAAAGGCGATATCTGAGTTGAATGCGGAGAGGGGAAGGATTGGTGATTTTGCCCAGCAAACTTCAATTAAAAAGAACAAACGCCAAAAGCACACCAATAACCAGACAGACATAAGCGTAGGGCTCCTTCCACCCGGCCACAGCAGCCTGGTCCCATGCAAGATTGAACAATACCAAAGCTCTGACACCAGTAACCCCCTCCCGCCCGGAATATCTAAACTATCAATCATTTCACGTGCGGATCTTTTCTCTTCTCGGTGTACTGGCAAATGCGGAATTGTCCAGGAAGAAAAGGCCGCAACCTCAGCGAGAACAAAAAGACCCCCAAATAGAAAGCCAGCAATGGCTCCAAATGGTGCTGCTGCACAGACCCAAGCGAAGGACATGTTTTTGCGTGGTCCGGGGGAGTACGATTGTCCCAAATCGTGAGTCCATTTGGTAACGTCAATGCGGGACCCATGCCCTAGAATACACGCGCCAAAACAAAAAGAACAAGCGACGAATACACTGGGAGGCCTGCTACGAGAGACCACAGCGAGTACCAGCTCATACCGACAACGAAAAGTTCCTTATTGCCAAACTCGTCGCCCAATTTTCCGCCAATGAGAATAAGTGTACCCGATAGTCAGACTATTCCCAGCTATAAGCCAAGATAGCTGACCTTGGTTTGTGATGCCAAACGACTCCCTAATCAAATTCACTGTGGCCAGTGTATTTCCTAGGCCAACTTGATTGGTGAACATGGCGGTACATAGAGGTCCAACAAAGAGGATCTGTCGTGCCGTTAAGAGACCATCAGCGTATGTATACTCATGCTTCTCAGGTTGTATTTTGGATGTTAAATCTTGGTCTGATTTCAAGTCAATTAAGTGTCAATTAATATCATCGGCTTATACCTTGATGTAATAATACATGTAGCTGAGCCGTTGGCTTTACAGAAACCTCAGTTTCGGGTGCTGATGCCATGACAGGAAGGTCTTTCGGAAGAACAACATTGAATATTGAACTACTGTGGAAGACAGATTCAGGGACCAAGGCAATGCATAGACATCAATTGATCAGTCGATTCTTTTATATTAATCTTGTGTCTAACTTTATAGACAGTGTTGAGAACAACATCCTTGCCAAGAGCCGTTTTTCGATCTTCAACCACCGTTTTCCCGCGATCCCAACTCTTGTCGGAGACATAAATAAGACAGCGAAAGGTTTCCCCATTTTAGACAGGATTGCGAAGGGAAACAAGGAGCTTGTTTATCCGAAATGGATAGCTGTTTGCACACATCCGAATAGTGGCTGACAAACCGAGAGCAGAGCAAACACGTCAAACACAATAAACGCCAATCAGGAGTGGTTCTAGCAATGCAAATAGCGCAAACAGTGCAAACAAAGGTAGCTAATACAAACTCAACAACGATAGTTATGTTTGCAGCCTCATTCCTGCCTTTGCTCTCACCGTGTACATTATTAAGCATTATGCAACTCTCACATTAGGTCTCAAAAGATGATAGACATAAAAATCGAAGAGATTCACCTCCAGAATCCCATATTTTCCCACACAAACCACAGTTCCTTCCCAAGTGTAAAATATTTGATCTTACATAATGGCTTCAAGCTCTCCAGTTGTTCTCATTTTCGGTGCTGGTAGCAATATTGGTAGCCATGTTGCTCGTGCATTTGCTGCCAAGAATTACAAAGTCGCGCTTGTGGCTAGAAAATTGAAGGAAGCAGAGAGTACACCAGATCAGCTTCACATTCAAGGGGATTTGTCCGACCCCAGCGCTGTGATTGATGCTTTTGCCAAGGTGAAAGCAGCATTTGGTCTACCAAGTGTTGTTGTATACAATGGTACTTATCACCAGCCTTCTATATTCTTTCGTTGTTATATAAGTATAAAGGATACAAGGCTTACGAACTGTAGCTGCTGCTCTAACGCCAAACGACAGCAAAAGTCCACTCTCTCTGGGTCTACCGGACTTTGTTCGTGACCTTAACATCAACACCACGAGCGCCTTCGTCGCAGCCCAACAAGCAGTAAACGCCTTCGAAATGCTATCCAGCTCTGCTTCAAGGACCTTCATTTACACTGGCAATCTCCTCAATACCGCGCCAATTGCCAGTTTGCTCGATCTTGGGGTGGGAAAGTCAGCAACGGCACATATAATTCACTCTGCGTCGATTGCTTATAAAGACCGAGGCTTCAAGTACGTTCCATTGCGAGCACAGTCTGCTCGAGTACATCCACTTATCCACAGATACATTGACTTTTACTAGGTTCTACTACGCAGATGAGCGAACGGCCAATGGGGGGGCAGCCTTTGCCGTTGATGGCGAAGCACACGCAAAGCTGTTCACTCAGTTGGCCGAAGACCCAGCTCAGGGTCCATGGCAGTATACTTTCGTTAAAGGAGTAGGATATAAGTCCTTTTAAGCCAGTAGGTTATAGGTACTTGAGAACCGCAGACTTTGTTCACGCCCGTATGATAAGTTGTATGAACTGAAGATGTCTCAATATTGTTTCGAATAACTGGGTTTCTAGGAATTCATTAGCGAGAGACATTTCTTAGCGATTGGTTATCTATGTTAAATCTCCCATTTAAATGTCAACTGCTTTTATTGGAATGAAATAAATAACATTTGTCACTTATTTCTCTTAAATACATGTATGCATTTTACAGATATATTTACAAAAATTCTTTCTGTTTCAAAGGAAAACAAAAGAAATAGAGAAGGAAAAAAGATAGAAGAAACAATCTTTCTTTTCTATTGCATAATATCGCTGTTGTTATTCAGAGATTACTGGAATCCTCACCTTGGTTATGTCGGTGCCGAGCCACCCCACCTTCACATAATGCGACATTATCCAAACCATCACGATCACGATCTTGTCCTGCTTTCATCCATCTCGATCTTCATCTACTCCCAAAATGTCCACAATAATCTGCCATACCAAGTTAAACCGCCTCGGTGATTAAGACGTTAAATAGCAATAGTCATGACCCAAGAAGTCCGCTCCAAACGGCGTCAGGTGGCTCGTGCCTGCGACTGGTGTCGAGCGCATCGAGTTAAATGCGACAGCAGCTTTCCATGTCGAAATTGCCTAGAAAGAGACCTCAGCTGTAACAAAAATGTCTCAAGCAATACCAGAACACTTCCAGATGCTCTCAGGTCCGCCTCTCAGGGTTTCTTGGAGTGATGGCAGAACCGTAGCTGACCCTGCCTTCTAGAGAAATCGAGCGTCTCCAAGCGCGAGTCAGGGAGCTCGAAAGGCAACCCCAGAATTCAAAGCACACTACTAATCATCCATCGGTCAGCTCCACCTCAGCACTTGTATCATCATCATCCCCGCCTCTTGACATAGCGGGAGCGGTTACCAAAGGAGAAGAAAGAAGAAGGCTGTTAGAAGGAATTTACACCAGCACAACTCAGTCAAATCAAAGCCAGTGGTACGGGCCATCGTCCTCCTTTTTTTTCATCGGGCGAATGAGCACCTATATGAGTACGGTGCTCAACCAGCCTCAACTCGACCGTCATATGTATCCAGATACCGCCAGCAAAGTGTCTCCTAGTGCACTGGCTTCAAAGCAGGGCAGCGACAACCTTGAGAATAATTCTATGTCTATCGATCGCGCATCATCAGATGGATATCTGACGGCAACTCAGGAGGACTACTTTCTAGATTTATTCTGGCAATCATATCATTGCACTGTTCAAATTGTAGATGAAAGCGAATTTCGCCAGCATTATCGATCTCTATGGTCGGCTTCTTCTGCATTGCGGGAACCATGTGCGCTTGTCGACATCATACTGGCTCTCTGTATTCAGTGTGGAATTGCTCTCATGCCTCGAAATAACGACGGCATAGAGAGCAGATTAGATACAGGAGGGAATGACGCAAGCATTGCTGGGAGGTTGTATTATCGACGATCGCAAATGCTTCTATCATCTGATCTGGAAAGTCCGACCATGATGACTTTGCAATGTCATATTTTTTCCGTCATATATCTCTGTAATGCGTCTTTTACGAACATGGCTCATACTACTCTTGCTATTGCTGTGCGGACAGCTCACATCCTCGGCTTGCATTTAGAGCCCCCGGAAGCGATACCCCGACCTCGGAGAGAGTTACGCAAACGCTTATGGTGGGCTTTATATGTCATTGAAAGCAAGATATGTATGAAATTAGGACGGCCATGGTGTGCTCAAATTTCGGAGGGGACCTGCCAACTTCCGGCAGATGATCGCGAACTGGCTTTGGTCTCAGGCTCCAATTTTGGCATGTATGGTAATAATGTGACATGGTTGACATACAGTCTATTCAACGCCAAGCTGATTCTTGCTGCTCGTGCTGTCTATATTGGTTTCTCTGACAAATGCGCAGACATTCTCGCCATTAATGACGGGAAGAGCCTCTACACGGATTTTCAAAGCCTAGAAACCTGTGCGGAGTTTCTTGCAGGTAAGATGGAAGTACTTCATAACTGGGCCCAAAGTGTTCCAAATGCGCTAAAAAATAAACGAAAACGGGAGGGTAGCCCATTATCAATCGATGGACCTGCCCTTGAGGTGGAGATGTTTGCACCGACATGGCTTCAGCGACAGCGTATCGTTCTTGAGTTGCTTTACCATAACCTTTCGATGAACCTGTACCGACCTTTTATCTATTTTTCATCAAAGACAAAAGAATATTCCTCATTAAATATACCCTATCCCATGACCGAAAGTCACGCTGTTTCATGTGTTAATCATGCGATAGCGATCACGAATATCATTCATTAAATTCTAACTTCTCCGATCTCCAATGTCTTGAGCGGCTGGCTAGAAGCATTTCAATGGGCGTGGAATGCTAGTCTGTCTCTTGTAGGCTTTCTCGTTGCCTATCCGATGTCCCCGTTGATCCAAGCTGTCCGCGATGCAATCAATGACGCTATTCTCATCTTCGAGATTTTCGGAAACTCTTTCTCCGTTGCAACTAGCGCTGCCAAAGTGACTCATGAACTGGTTGTAAAGGCGGATCTCGTTATTGATCAAATTTTTAATCAGGGGGCGTCTTCGAATATCTTATTATATGATAATCTCGGACTGCAACCCTCCTATGAAGGGCCGAAACAGACCGGCATGGATCAGGTAGGTATATCATTTGAGAACGTACCAGCAGATATGTTCCCAATTACCAGTTCCATGGATATGGCGTTGTCAGTGGATTCATTCTATTCCTTTGACCCGTTGTATGCCGGGGCCACCAACCTAGCAGCTGAGTGGGTCTTTGGCCAAAGCGAAGTATAAGAATACTTTTCACAGCATTGGGCTCGCGTATTTCCATGTGTTTGAAAAGAGGGTTGTTTGACAATTAAATCGTTTCTATACGCTAATCTAAAAAATGGGCCCGCTATGAACGACTATGATTTGTTGAAAATCTCAGTTTCATTAACGATGAGGTATTTGAAAACCAGAGTTGACATTTCATGATGTAGAACTTTCAAGTAATAACCTTTTGCCTACTCCATGGTAAGCACTGCCCGGAACCGCACCGATCCATTTAACATTGCTTCTATATTGTAAAAGAATTAGTTCTGACTCCATCCTAAACCATATCAATGCTCATGGAACTTACCATATGCCTCATTGGCTTTTTCCAGAGGAAATCTTTCGATCATGCAATTGATATTCTGAAGTTCTGTGAACTTTATTGCGTCTTCCGAATTCATGGCATGACCACTCGGCCATGATTGAACCGAGAGTCCGTATCGAATCTGACATTCCCAGCATTAGTGAGACACCTTGATGATAGCATTGCTGTTTCATTTAAATGAAGGGAATATATACCATTCCGCCAGTATTTACAGGAACATCACCAATATCTTTCATAAAGTAGTTAGTACGAACAGCCCAACTATATAATGTGCGAGTCAGAACAATTAACCTACCGGATAGAATGAGCAACTTTCCAAGCATGTCCAGCCCCTTCATCAGCGGCGATATCACCTCCACTGACGGAGCAGTACAGACAATCAGTGACGCCCTTCCGAGTCTCTGCAAACTTTCACCGGCGTTTTCTTTGCTAGTGTCGATGTACTCATGTGCACCGAGCTGTCGAGCAAATGCCTCCTTTTGCCTTCCACGCGACATTGCAACAACACGATAACCGAAGCGATTCGCATATTGGATCGCCAAATGGCCTAGTCCTCCGAGACCCTGAATAGCCACCATCGCACCAGGAGCTATATTCATTTGGCGTATGGAGGTGAAAACGGTTACCCCAGCGCAGAGAATAGGGGCATATTCAGCTGCGTCAACGTGTGCTGGTACACGGACGGCAGCTTCTGCACGGAGTAGACAGTATTCTGCATCTGTTATAAAAGATTCATTAATTTTGGACTTTACATTCGGTTGTCGTGTTTACCATACATCCGCCGTCTTTGCTGATACCGTTAATTTCTTGGTGGTCGCACATCTGATACAACCCCCTTTTACATGCCGCACAGGTTCCTGTCAACTTAATCAATAATTTCACTTCAAATGAATGATTAGAAGACTTGAAACACACCATCATGACCCCCATGCCAGCCGCCACCAATTCGGTCTCCCAAATTCCACCCAGATACGCCATCCCCAATAGCCGCGGCTCGTCCTATAATTTCGTGTCCTGGAACAAGCGGACTGGAATCATATTCATTAGTAATTGGAATAAATATATCATTCAATTTTGCATACAATCCTCTGCCTGCGAGATTATTCTGCGCAACTGTATCAGAATAGCAAACCCCACATGCTTCGACCTTGACTAGGATTTCCCCTGGTCCCGGATTCACTATGTCAGTCTCTTGAATGATCAGGGGGCCGCCGGAATGTGTGAAGGTAGCTTGTTTGAAACTTTTTGGGAGACTCATTTTGAGTTTTCTTTCCCTCTATAGATGTGGAAATATCAATGTTACGTTTCTATTGTCGGTTCGTGGCATTAATGGTAAGGCTTAGGACTTGTAGAGAATGATACTTATGATAAGAATGGTATTTTATTCTTTCTGAACATCTAGAAGAAGAAAGCAGAGTCTCTTCTAATATACAATTTCTGTCGTCGTCACCATGTCGTAAAAATAGTCCGCCTAAGGAGAGTCGGAGCTGATAAAACTCTAATCCAGGGAGACTTGGCTTCATGTCCTGAGTTTCCCTCAAATGTGTCAGATAAAGCTTAATTATTAATTAACCTAAGAATGCATTCCCATAAATCATAATCCCCTCTTTCTCTCTGTAACCGCGTGAATGAGATTGGTGGTTTCTGGAAATCCGGAGTCTCGGAGTTGGAGTCTGGAGGCTAAAAGAATGGGTGGCCACAGCCTTTATGACCTCCGAAACTCCGGGTACCGGTTCCTCGAACATCTTATCACTTTATATTACCATCTATAAACATATAAAAACTACAAAATATGCATTAATAGTAGACCACTAATTACTTAAGTCCTAATTCTAGAAATTCAGCAGGTGATCAAATTCGGTGGAGTACTTATATACAAACAGCCTCTACCCTCGTCACAATTTCCTCACTCTCCTCAATATTGAACAACCATAATCAAACCAATTATATTCAACTCAGTGAATAAAATCTAGGGAGAAATTGAACTAAAATGTCTACTAAAGGTCACTGCAATTGTGGGAGTGTCAAGCTTATACTAAACGAGCTACCCAGCTCCTGCATTCTATGCTACTGGTGAGTCTTGGGCACACCTTTTCTATCGCGCTCCGTGGAAACTAATTATGATGAGCAGTGGCAATTGTCGACGAGCAGGAGGATGTAAGTCTTATTCCTATCATTCCATACTTTCCTTACTGGCATCGCGAAATTTCTTATCAGATTGGAGTAGTGTGTTCGGCGAATTACAACATGGCAGTGTCAAATATCTCTCTGCAAGACGACTCGGGTGCCTTGCGAACGTATGAAGACCACAATACGACAAGTGGAAATGTACAACATGTAAGTAGAGTGCATGTTCCGAAACTATTGAGGCTTCAAATGCTGAATCTCAATAGAGAAAATTCTGTGGAAATTGCGGATGGTATAATGCACCTCTTGAAAATCCCAGAGCGTCTTTCTGATACTTTTTTCTACTGTAGTGCAATTCTCAGTATCGAATCCTCGAATCCCGATATAGCGTTTGTCAAGGCATCATTATTTGAGAAGGTTCCGGCACCGACCTTGGAAGTTTTCACCGAGCAGAAGCCGGCGTGGTTAAGAGCATTAACTAATTAGTCAATGAATGGAGGGGACTGTCACAGCTGATCATGTTACTTGCGTATCAAAGAAAAGCTGAGGATGTTGTCATCTACGCAGTGTTTCTGTCGTGGTTAGAGTCTTTATTTAATCTCCTATCCTTCCACCGGGGATATTTCCTCATAGAGCAAGGGGATGAAACAGCCACTACCAATGTAGATTATCATGTAGTGCGGCGATATAGCTCCGGTAGTTTCTACATCGGATGAAGATCTGCATCATTTTTCATAGCCGATGCATCTAGCTTCGACGCTTTCCAGAAGAACGGAGACCGGGCGAATAGAAGAGGAGTGTCGGGGGAATGTCCAGATTTCTGACCAACGAGTGTCTCAGGCTAGGAAAGCCCGTTGACTTTAGCGCGGATGCTGCAACTGAAACGAGGCGGCATTACTGGCGGGGGAGACCCTCCACAGGAACGGGACACGAGGCGTGTGGGGGAAGCGAAACTCCCCGCAAGCAGCTTCAAACTTCCATTGTTCGTCCTAGTTGTGTGTTGCTCCCTCAACCTTTTCTCAACGTCAAGAGCCATCATACGTCCAGCTTTTGAGGCTTTCGTAATTTTGTCGTCTGGTTGACATGGTTCTGGGAAACCGCAAGGAACTCGCCGCTCGATTGTAGTCTGATATCGCCCCTTGAAGTCTCCTTGAAGTCTCTCAGTCTTACCAGCTCCAGTGGCACCGATATGCGACATCCCCGAATTGCGCTGTTTCTTAGCTGGGTCTGTTCTACTTGACGGATATGTTGGCTGAAGAATCCACAAACGATCAGATGGAGGAGCTTGAACACGAGGAAGAAGAGGAAGAAGAAGAAGAAGAAGATGTTGCTCATGACAAGGACGTCGCTCACGAAGAAGGCGTCGTTGGCGAGGAGGAAGCAGTAGCAACGACGGGTGTTAAGAAACGCTGGCGCCGGAATCGCGTCGCCTGCGATGCCTGTCACGCCCGCCGTGTGAGATGTGATCGCGCATTTCCCTGCTCTCGATGCGTTGGAAGTAGCATCCGCTGTGAGCTGACACGGGAACGCCGCAAGCGGGGTCGTATTCCTCGAAATGATGCCTCTCGAGCAAATAGTTCCTTTGTACGAGAAACACCAAGGGCTGATTATGGTGTTGGTAATGGGCAGAGGAAGCCAGAACCACACCAGCAAGACTTTATCAGCGTGGTAACCAACCCCCCTCTCGCCGACCAAATCCCACCAACAGCACATTTCTCTCGCTCCGCTCCTACCTCCCCAGATAAAAGATTGGAACCATCGGCGAACAGCAGTGGTGAACGCCAATCGCGGACAGAGAACATACAACCCTCGCCCAAGGAATCAGGGACCGGGGTTGCGAAAGCTGTTGAAGATTGGATGTCTAGATCAAACGGCTTCCAGCAAGCCCCATATCCATATCCGATATTTGGAGATATTGGACTCGCGGATGGGTTATTTGACCTACCACTCGAAATGTTTGGGATGAATGATATCAATGGTTATCAAGTATCACGATCCGCATCGCGACAACGTATGAGCAACGGTCAAACTCCACGGGCACAGGAGGTGCCTCTCAAATATCCTGTTCTGGCACCACTAATGCCATTTATCGAACCGTATCTTTCTCGAACCTTGGTATATGATCTGATTGATTTGTACTTCACAAGTGCATTTTCCACTATCATGCATCCGGTTTGTCATCATATTCACTGTTACGTTGTACGCAAGGCATCATTCCTAAGCCGCGAAAGCCCTCGCAACAGCAGTCCAGCATTGATATCTAGTATGCTCTGGGTAGCAGCACTTGACGACCGGGCTTTTTCATTATCTATATCACCTCAGAAACGTAAGAAACTTTGTCGGTTCCTATGCGCTTTGACAGTCCGGCTCTTACGTCCATTGATCCACGTTTCGTTCAAGGATGACGATACTGTACCTATAATCGAAAACGATCACAGCTTTCCGAATCCTGCCTACGACAATACGCAATATTTTGGAGAAGGTGGTGATGATAGAGGCCTGGTTGGACCGGCAGGCTCGTTAGATGATGTCATTACATATATGCACATTGCCTCGATAGTATCTGCAAGCGAGCAAAAGGCTGCTAGTATGCGATGGTATTTTATCCTCCTTTAACTTGTCTGTCCAGTCTTGTCTAACAGAAAATTCGGATAGGTGGCACGCTGCATTCACCCTGGCAAGAGAGCTGAGGTTAAACCAGGAAGTCGAGGTGACACCAAGTCTGGAGAGCCCAGTCGAAAGTTCATCCAGACCCTTTGAATTTGCCGAGGGTACGGGCCGAGCTACCGGTAGCAACGGCGCCCATGCTGATTATTTCTCTCAACCCGGCCGGTTGAGCTTGAATTGCATATGCACAACACCACATCGACCCAATTTAATGACAGAGGAACATCGTGAGGAACGTCGCCGAGCATGGTGGCTGTTGTATATCATGGACCGTCATTTGGCACTATGCTACAACCGACCTCTCGCATTACTCGATGCCGAATGCGAAGAACTTTTACTTCCCCTCGATGAGGGACCCTGGCAAGCTGGCGAGGTACACAGCAACAGTCCCAAGCCGGATGGCCCTCAGTGTCTCGTGACAGGCGATAAAACAAAAAGACGCTGCTTCCCAAACTTTGCGTGCAACAATCACTCCGTTTTTGGGTTCTTCCTACCACTTATGACCATCACAGGAGAATTAATTAACCTTAACCAAGCAAAAAACCATCCAATTCTTGGTATGCGACTCCAGGGTAAGGAGGCCTGGGATGTACAGGTCAACGAGGTTCTACGCCAGTTGGATACATACAAGGCGACTTTACATGCCTTTGCGTCACAACACCCTTCGCCTCCTGCTCCACCACCACGGCATGCCTTAGCCACACAGCAGAATGGGGTATCCCCATCAATTCTCAGCGAAGGAGTCAATATCGACGAAAATAACCTGACTTCTTACCATTCCTGGCATACGCAGACCGTAATTGCCTATGCATCCTATGTCGTTCATGTACTGCATATTCTTCTCATGGGCAAGTGGGATCCAGTCGCACTGCTCGAAGACAAGGACTTCTGGACCTCATCTCCCACATTCGCATCCACAATTTCGCATGCTCTTGAGGCCGCGAATGCCCTAGAGCAAATCCTACACTACGATCCAGACGTCAGCTTCATGCCATACTTTTTCGGCATTCAGCTTCTTCAAGGCAGCTTTCTGCTCCTCCTCATCGTTGAGCGATTGCAAAAGGAGGCCGGGGAGGGTATCCTCAAGGCATGCGAAGTTGTGATTCGCGCAACGGAGTCGTGTGTCGTCACGCTGAACACAGAGTATCAACGCAACTTCAGACAGGTTATGCGAAGTGCAGTTGCACAGGCTAGAGGGCGTCCTGTCAATCATAGTGAAATCAGACATCGACGGAAGGCTGTGTTAGCGTTGTATCGCTGGACAAGAAATGGAACGGGGTTAGCTTTGTAATCCCACCTTTTATATTTGTAAATATGTTTTTGACATTTTGTACATGATGACCAACAAAAGGGGAGAAGATGATGAGTTGTCTGTATTATTGATCGCTATATATCCATCAATGCCGTTATTCTCAATGTTCAACCTTATGCACGCGCTCAGTTTAACGACGGATCAAAATCTATTAAGCGTAGTTCATGAATTATCCAAGCAAAACCCCGCCTTTCTAACAAGAGGCACCTGCTTCTCATCCTGCTGTGTAGGATTACTATTTTCCAAAATCCATTCTCCATTTAGCGCTTCATATACCACGCCGCCCTTCTCAGCTCTCTGCATCATTTCAGCATCTGCCAATGTTCTCTTCCCCGTCTCCCAATCCCATACCCATCCTTCTCTTAACCACATCCATGTCAAATAAGCCCTGAGTTCTTTATCTTGAGGGATAACTCTTTTCCACTCCGGCTCGAAGACTTCCCCACCTTCATCAGCATCATTATCTTCGAAATTTGAACCATCTGACCAAAACCCACGAAGCCTATCCCGACAAAAGATGCGCCATGAATCAATCGCATACGCCCCGACACCCGGTAAATGCGCAATTTCCCATCCAACTCTTCCATCATCATCGCCAATGGTCTCATCAGCGCCAATATCTGCACCATCCTTTTTGCATGGGTAGTGCAGTTTGCGGTACCTACGTCCCTTTTCTGGCGGACTCTTAAGCCATTTTTTCGCCAACGCGATGAATTTTGTGGCTCGTTGGTTTTGGAACCCGAGATTGTGTATCATGCCCACTATATCCTCGTGGTTTGCTTCAGCCATGGATTCAATGGTTGGATACTTGTCGAAAAGTTTGAAGAAAACGGGGATAGCGACTGGTCCACGCGTACGGTTGAGAAAAATTGTGGCTATGAGGAGCCGGAACGGGTCGCTTGAAAGCTGCTCTTGAACCAGCCCGAATGAATGGGCGGATATAGGCGGGAAAGGGAGACAGGAGGTCTCAACTAGTGGTAGGGGTTTGGGGAAGTAAGGGGATAGCTTGGGTGGTAGTTTTTTGGGGGGTGACGTGGATTTGGCGTGTCTATTATTGGGAGATAGTCTTGTTGTCGGTGGCTTTTGTCCATCTGGATTGGGGTTATCTTGAGTATTGTCTGCGCCACGGTTTGTGCTAGGCAAGTGGTTGGAAATAATCGGTTCCTCCACAGATACACATATCTCCGGATTTCCAACAGCAGTTTCAGTAAACCCGCGACTTTGAAGGCCATCTGCCGTGTCGATATCGATAGATTTCCCAGTCACCCTAACATTCTCACACTGTACCGAAGGGGAATCGATTGTCACCTCCGGGCTACCAATGAATATGTCCAAGATAGACGAGCTGTGAGAAAAACTGGTATCACCATTATAATTACTCTCTTTCTCTCCTTTTTTAAGAAGAAGACTGTCACTTTGACTCTGATGTAGCTTCTTCACTACCCTCGTGTTGGATCGAATGAAATAGCTCGATGTCTTGGACGTCTTTCTTGAATTCTTTTTTGTCGCATTCTTGCGACTAACCATGCTAAGCCTACTAGAAGCTTTCTTGTGATACCTAACAATATCTTCAGATATAAATTAATAATAGTGCTGATGATCAGGTTAAAAGATAGATGGGTCATAAAAAGATGTTTGTTTGTGTTGGATTACGTAATGGAGCAATGTGGGGCTGAGCTGTCCAATTATTTTTCTTGTTTTTCCGTCGCCCTCCAATATGCACTGCAAGTCTATCTGCACCGAAAGAGAAGGGCAATACATGAGGATAATCGGATTATATCGAACATTACGTATTTGGAGCAGACACACTGTCCATTATGCGCAATGTTGGAGGATGCGATAAGGTGTTGGGCCAAACAATGCAAGAGCAGTGCTTGCCGAATCTCCCCACATGCACAGTCTCCATATTCTACCTACCAGCCCAAGAAATATTTCTCCTCGCTGTACCTGCAGGGCTTTGAAACGTACAGACCAGTAACATGTCTCGTCCGTTGATGATGTGGGAATTGCCACTCCGGCTTCGTGGTGATCGCAATACCAACAATATCCAGATAGAACAACTTCCGCATGCAGCACGAGTCTTGATGTCATTCGTCTTCATGGGGTTATCTACTATCGAGGCCACCAATGAACACTCTAGCAGGGCTGTAGCCAAGAAATTTGCACGGATGGCAACTTGTTTAAGGGGGATGTTAAGACTGCGCAAATTGCTTTTATTGAGTTCCGAGAATCCCGCCCATAGCAATGGTCCAACCGGAAGAATGCAAGCATCAACATCCCTAGCATGTGTCAGTGACCCATTTGCGGGGTTTTTAGTGCGACGCATACTCCTGTCAGCTTTTAGCGCTTGCATAGAAGGCCATATACAGCGTCCATGTTCACTATTGATGATTGTCTAGGAACGAGAAAACCATGCTGTTTTCAAGTCCGAAAAGGGCGAAAATCTTTGTCGCGATTCTGACCGTGTGCTTGCTTTATTCTTTTACTAGGTGGTCGTACAGAGCGTCGCCGTCGCGGCTTGTACAGGCTAGCCATCCCCAGCAGCAACAACAGCAACAGCAACAGCAACAAGTGCCGTCCTGGAAAGGTGACGAGTTAGAGAAAGGGTTGCACAGCAGCGGTACTGAGGATCATGATAGTGATAACCATGGACCGCATGATACCCTTCCCCAGGTTATGCCAGATAAAGACTACACAGAGTCTTCGACATCCCTGTCAACCTACCTAATCAGCGAAACCGACCTGATTCAAGATGCGCACAAACGATATACCACGGCAGAAGCCTTCCTACCGTATCTTCGATATATAACGACACACCTCAAACCTGTAACTATGGCAGAATCGAAGGCGGGATGCAACTGGATTGCGCCGCAAGAAGTGAATTTCCAGTATGGTGATGACGCGGACTGGGTCACGCAGGATCGCACGGACTTTGAGATCAACCTGCGGCGGGATCAGTGGCATGAATTTATCAACAAGAAGCTACTTCCTTATGCACGATTCAAAGACCGGTTCGATGGGAGAGGTATTGTAATTGTGGCGGGGAACCAGAAATCATTGAAGAGAGTCCGCGTCATCTTACGGCAGCTGGCGAAGCTGGGTTCGCACATGCCGATCGAACTTCATTACTGGGCAGATGAAATGACCGAGGAATCAAAGCAAAACATGACGGATATGTGGATTCCCGGAAGGATGTTTTTCAATGACTTATCAATGCCGTCAAATATTATCAAAACGAACCACGATGGTTACTACATCAACTACCAGCTCAAAACTGCCGCAGTCATGAATTCGCGATTCGCCGAACCGTTGCTTCTAGATAGCGACAACATCCCCCTCGTCGCTCCCGAGAGTCTGTACGAATCCGACGTGTATCAGGAATACGGCACGCTCTTCTGGCCAGACATTGCGCGCACACGTCCCAACAATCCCATGTGGGCGATCACAAACACACGATGCAGGACTGACGAGTACGAGCAAGAAAGCGGACAACTAGTCGTCGATAAACGCCGCTATTTCTACCACTTACAACTCGCAGCGTGGCTCAATAACGAGCAAGCAGACTACTACAACCAATTCCTGCTTGGCGACAAAGACATGTTCCGGTTCGCATGGCATGCGCTGAAGACCAAATACGGGAAGCCTAAGAAATGGCTTACCAGCGTCGGAACCCTCTCGGACGATGGGTACTACTGCGGCCATAGCTTTGCGCAACACTATCCTGATAATGATAAAGTCGCCTTTGTGCATGGCGGGTTGATCAAGACGATGTCCAAGGAGGTTCTTCGGTGGCAGCGAGAAAGCCGCGGGGGGATTTTTCAGGTTTATAAACGGAGTGAGTTTGATGAACAGCATGCCGTCAATGTCTATAACTCGATAAAGTGGGACGGTGCGGATTACCTGCCGAATCGGTCTGCAGATATCGAGGTGGCGTCTTGTACGGATTTCTGGACTGTCCAGCCTAGGCCGCTAGAGGAGATCATGCCTGGGTTTGAAAAGCGTTTTGAGGAGCTTGGAGGGTACTGGATGCTTGATGATTAATTTTCAGGTGGTGCAAAATGCGAGTTCATATCGTTGTTCAAATGTTGAGACGAGAGCTTAAACCTAGGAATAATTTCACGTGAGCACATGATATTGTACAAAGCCACAGTAAATTTATGCATGAGGCATCTACCAGTCCAGCTAAGCACGAGATGATCTGTATCCAATGGTATAAATTGATATATCAATAGGTTGATAGCTGTTGTCCGGCCGATTTCACGGCCTTTTCTGTGAACGCACATAAACATTATAAATACGCTTGGATATAAATAAAAACGAGTAGCTACGTCAAATGACAGGAAATATAAAAAGATTGTATAACAAATCAAACCCGCAACGAAAGAGCGCCACCAACTCTATTGTACAAAACACTAGCATTTGAATGTGCTGGGTTATTTATTCATGCATGTATAAATGGTAAAAGGACACAGTCCTATTTGTTAACACCAAGTCAAGACTGGACCTTGCCAGCTTCTCGGACCTCGTTCATGAAACTGTCTTCATCACTCGACAAGTTCAAAATCCAATAATAATGTTGCTGCTGACCAACGCCGGCGTTGGCGAACTGACCGCCACCGTAACCCATTATTGGGGTTGGAGAACTATGGCGCGTTTTGTCTTTGTTGTTTTTCTTGCTACCAATAACAGCCCCCATATCGTGAGGGCCCCAGCCAACAACGTGCTTGAGTTCTTCGCGTGACTTCTCGTCTGACGTACCGAAGCCAAGGAGTTGGGTCTGGAGACAGCCTAAAATGGCGACGCCCGCTCGAATGATAATACGATCACCTTCGAATGCCCAACAGTCCCATACACGGCTCAAGCACTCCAAGTCAAGGCCATTGGTAAATAATGAGCGAAACATTGGTTCCCAGAGTTCGTCATCTGACAGATGGACGGTTTCGTAGAGATGGGTGAACAGTTTAGGAAATTTGTATCGGAGTGTCGCAGAAGCCAAGCTATAGGTACGAGTCATAGCACCGCGATCCTGAGTAAGGAATGCAAGAGGAAGGGACCGATTAAGAGCATTGGCCATTACAATGAACGCGGAAGCAGGGGTAGGTAGTTGCAAAACAAGAAGTGCGGCAATGGTCTGGCAGATGGGTCAGCGAACCTGGGTAGCTAATTATTAGTCACCGACGCTTACATGAAGACCATAAGTGTATCCAACATCACTGCGATACATAGCATAGGCTTCCAGAACATCAACGAGGGTTTCGCGTAGCGGTCCGCCCTCTTGAAATAGATGAAGGTCAGGGAAGGCAGATGAAACATCCCGAGAGATAGCAGCAAAGCATTCCCGCATCCGCCGAGCAGTCTCACCAGTGTCTTGATCCTTAGAATGCAGATTTTTAGCTCGTTGAAGTGCCTTCTGATATGAGTCTTCGGTTAAAGAAAGCTCATTGCCGATGGCACGTCGCCATACAGCCCCTCGACATCGAGGACTAACTCCACGCCACCAAAGCTCTCGCGTTCGAGGCTCTGAAACAACTGTATCCCAATTAGGCAGGACATGGTCTTCCCAAATCTGCTGAAGCGCCTCCCTGGTACTATCCTTTTCGCACGCCGCGGCTGCTGCCTTGGCAGCCTTTTTCTTTTCTGTAGAAACTGGTTAACATCTGCAATACATCAGATACTTCAATATACCAACCTGTTTCCTTTGCCTGCGCCATCATCTTTTTATATTCTTTCAAGTGCTTCTTTTCCTCCAAAGGATCCTTGGGAGGCAACCAACTCGGGCGCGTGCGACTTAATACTTTCTCTTTCTCCTTGCTTACAGGCAACGGATCTATCATAATGTTCGATTTCTGCAATGGAGGCAGTTCAACCATGCTGCCACCCGAAGTCCGTTTTGAGTCAATACTGGTACGCCCGGAAGCGGTGCCGTTTTGGACTCTTTCTTCGCGCCTCCGCTCCGAATCGTCAGCGTGGTATTCAAGGGTTTGAGTCAATACTTTTGCCTCTTCAGATAATTCTGCCATGGCCAGGTTATAAGAATATGTGCGCGGGTTCCGCGGTGATATTTGGCCCCTCTCTGGACCGGCTGAGGCTGAACGTGTAACCTGTAACCTCGACTTCGCGCCAGGTGAATGTCGAGAGGATGAAGGTCGCGACTTTGAGCGAATTGGTGTCAAGTTCTCCTGCGAGACCGCATGTGATAGGGGAATGGGCTTGGGGCTAGTTTGTTCCGGGCTGTTACTGCGTGATTGCGATCGTTCCTGAGGCGGCCGGGGAGACAATGGCACGTTCCACAAACTAGTATCGCCTGGCAGATCATCGTCTGAATCATTGTATTCGGCCTCTAGCTCCTTCACAGTTTTTCGATTAGGCTGCAAGGAGCCGCGACGAGAGCCATGTGCGGATAAAGGCGAGAGACCCATGCTGGCAGTCGACGGGGAAGGAGACCGAACAGCAGGTTGTGGAACAGGCGTGGAGGGCGAGACTGAGCGGGATCGATGTGGACGATTTTTGGGCAACGGGCCATTTGCCGCTGCATAGTTTTTCGCCATTCGGCGGCCATTCTTCAACATTCTTGGATCCAGCCCTCGCTGGTTCATTCCCATCATGCCCTGCGTCTTCAATTGCGGCGGACTAAACGGGTTCTTCTGGCTCGATGACATCGATGTGAGGTCCCTCGTAGGCTTGGGTGTCGGCGTCTGCGTTGATGTTGTAGCTGCGCTGTTTAGACTAGTCATGCTACTCATGCGCGAAACAGCACGTGGCCTGCTGTTGGCTCGTGAGCTCGCTCTGGAACGAGAATATGGGTATTTATTGTTCATATTTTCCGGATATGCCAGCTCCGGTTCATCGGCTAGACCAATGTCTTCGAAATTAGAGACATCCGCAAAATTCACGTCTTGACCGGAGTCGTGTGAGGAGGAATGAAAGGAAGACGACTTGGAGGATTTGGAGCCGGACAGGTCGGGGGGAGAATTTGGCGAGGCTAGCGTAGCGGCCGCCATGGTTGATCTTTTTGTTTTCTAAATATACTTATGGAGAAGGTCCAGTTCCAGAAAGTATCACAGCCGCGTGTCCGAGGTTGCAGTCAGGGTTCAATTGAGGCGTGATGTGAAACCCAGGAGCTTGGCCCCTCGGCAAGTGACAGGGCGGGGGTCGGCTTACTCCGAGCGGTTCTAGAAATCGAATGATCAATGGGATATTATTGGTATATTGGATTCTCGGACAGAAATGCGTTGGCTCGAGGATTGTCTGGTCGGTGGAGGAGGGGGTGGGTAAATAATAAAAGAATGAGAGATAAGAGAGAAGAGAAATAGGGGAAAAGGAGACACTGTCTGCCTGAAAAGAGAAAGGAGAAAGAATGGATGATACGACCTGGCCCAAACAGGGACGATCAAATGCAAAACGAGAGCAATGAAGAAAAGAAAAGAGCAGCGAAAGAGTGGACAAGTGTGAGATGCACGCAGCGACAGGATGAGAAGAGGAAGAGCAGCCTCGATGCGAGCAGGCGGAAAGAGCGAGTTCAAGGTTGGATGCGCACAGCGCGCTTAGCCTGATTCGGCCTTGGCGCCTTCGCATGCGGGAGGGTTGCCTGAGGCTGCCGACCCCGAACCCTTCTTCTTTCCTTCTGTATACTACTATAATTATATTCAGTCCAGCTCTGCATAATAATGCATAGTCAGGTGGCCGATGCAGCTAGCCCTGCACCGTCATGCGTGGCTGTCCCTCGGCCACTTTCCTGACATCCATGTTTGTTGACGCTAGCCTTGTTACATTTTTCTCCCTTGCAATAATGCCTTTCAATCCTTCGGCCACTGGCAGTTGGAGCAAATCAAAAGCCACGGCAGTGCACTACGGAACGCCACAAGCTTGGTGTCCTCTCATTCCACTATTCTACTGTTTCACTAACGAGGTTGAGAACAGAATTGCGAAGGCGAGAATTAGTAGTTAATATTGGGAATGACAGAGGACGAAGCGAGACCCTAGCTGCGCCACAGGACTGGCGAGTATTCAACATAATTCGCAGCCCTTGCTTCTTCCTTCCAAACCTTGTGCAACTCTCGAATCTCGATCGAGTCGGCCCTAGGCTAGCTAATTTTCGTTCTAGGCCCTGCTCCTTGATGACAGGTGGAGCTTAAAAGATAGTGCGCCACTGCACCTTCTTGACCGCCTTTCAGATGGAATCCAACCTGGGCTGTGGTTACTACTACTCTAGATTCTTGATTGAAAAACAAACATTGAGTGAGGTCCTGACTTGATGAGTAATGCTGAGCCCACTTGCATCCAGTCCATTGTCAGTAGCTGCCTCCTTATTAGGTAGACCATTCTGTCCTCAACATGTGGGTCAACACACAAACGCCAATTGAAATTGTTATTCTTATTGCAGACCTTAATTAATATTGTTTAATACAATGAGTGTAGCAGTGTACGTGCTGCCAGCAATGACGGTAGAAAAGTTCTGACTGTAAATCGGAATCTATAGGCAACTGGCGGGGCGGGATCATAACACTCACGGCCATGACCGGCTGTGGAATACTATTCAAAAGGATCTTGATGAACCTCAGTATCGCGTGCTCGCTCTGTGCTTTTTGATATCATTACGAATTCTTATTTTCCCTGGATTAAGACAAAATTGCAAATATGATACTAATTCTTCTTGACTTATGAGAAAGTCAACTCAAACATTTGGACCATATCGTGTATCACTGGGTTAGTGGATTGATGCTTCAGTTATTGATCTTCAGTCAACTGACTCGCCCGTGCGTTTCTAGGTCAGGAATCAGAAAAGTAAAATTCGATTCTTGAACAAGACGACCTGTGGTATCAAGAACAAAGATAATATAACCCGAAGAAGCTCGCTCTCATAGAGATTCGGCTCAAAGAGGTCAGACAATGAAGATTGAAATGCTTCATTATTGCCTGATTTAGAAAGCACTGAAGCGGACAGACAAAGAGACGAAGAAAAATAAATAACATTAAGGTAGAGCATCAATACCACTGTCAGACAATTAATGATGGCTCCTGGGCGGTATATTATGATCAAGACTCCTTCCTACGCGGAGGAAGGCTTTAACCATCTATCTTCAGAGATGCGCGAGTTTTTTTTCTTTTGATTACTCAGTCGACTGAACGGAGACCTTCGATGAATGGAGCGATTTTCAGAATTGCGTGCAATCTGTTGCCATTTGTACCATCTGAAGGAGCCCGGCCAAAGCAGGGAGCTAGATTCAAGCTCAGCAAGCACACTCCGGAGTCCACTTGATCCACCTTCGAAGATCTGCTCAGTCACTTGAGAGATTGCGGCGCCTACTTGCGCAGAATGACTCGGTGGACCGCTTTCTTCCTTTCGAACACCAAATGCAAGGCGAAAATTAGATCTTCTTCCATCAAGACATGACTTCATTAATCCTTTAACAATGTTCTCCTCAAGGTCAACCTCCGCCTCTTCTGCTGCATCTAACAAAGCTCCACTGATGGCCAGCAGCAGGAGCGAGGATGGAGAAACCAGCAAAGCAGAAAGAGCATTTACGGTATTAAGCTGTCCTTTGGTGCAAGAAATGAAAAATAGTCGCTCGAGTAATTTCGGTCCATCCTGGAAATTGACGTTATTATTTCCCGGGACATCTGGGTCCGAGAAATGGATAAAGTCACAAGCTCTTAGCAGAGAACCTACTGTTAAGAATGGGAAGCTCCATGCCAAAGGGGTGGTATATTTTCCTACGTCGTATGACATATGACCATCTGCGTCAACTACTGTCTCTCGCATAGAGTTACAGGTGTTGAGGACGTCGGCAATGCGCCTTTTGCCTTCTGGTTGGCTCATTATTTGATGCATTTCAAACCCCAGCGTAGTCAGTATAAAGCATAGAAGCGGTCGTTTCTCTATATAGTTGCAAATGTCGTTCTGGGATCCATCTGCAAGCTGATGAGACGGCGAAAGAAGCATAGGCTCCAAGTACGGCAAAATTTGCCTCATGTATGTTCCTCTCTCCCAGCGAACCAAACTTTCAGCCTCGGCAGGTGAAAACCCCAGATCAAGTGAGCTTTCATCCTGTTGAAGGAATGTCCTGACGCTTTCGTGTGGAAGTTGCAAGATATCCCATCGAGTCGGCTCCAAGTATTCGCGCTCCTCGGTTCGTGGCACGGCAGGGATAATTTCTATGAACGAGCCACATAATTTCTCAATTTGTCGTTTGAATGACCCCCAACCCGTAATTCCTGCAAAGGCATTTGTATTTTCTGTACTTCCATCGGCCCTAAAGTCATGGGAGATAATTTCCAGTAGGTCCTGCAGCTGGAGCTCATACTTGGAAGATACAGAAACCCACATCAGAGCTCGACGAGCCTTCTTTAACGTGTTCAGGTTTCCTTTAAAACTCTGGAGAAGGTTCACTACAACCCGAGAGTAGAGGTCTGTTAGCTCTAGTGGCAGGTTTTCGAGCTCAGCCTTCAGCGAGTTAACGTCAAATAACTGTTCTTCCTTGCATTTCCTTTTCAGTATATCAATGACGGTTGTAACCCAAAGCACAACTCCTTTAGCATTCACCCTCAAGTGGTTTTCAATATCTGAAAGCACAGCCCTCTTCTCCAAACCAGCATTGACAAAATATTCTAGCTGAGTACTATCAGTTCTTCCGAAATCAAAGGTAGAAGATCGGGACCTCGATAGTGTCTTGGTTGGGGAGTATTCATCATCAGAATCAAAGCCATCTAATATCCGAGATAGGTCCTTTACTCCTTGTTCAATAAGGAAGACTATATCAGGGCGGTTGACTCGGTGCATGGATATATGATATTTTCTCTGGAGGGTCTTACTGATATCATCGGATGGGCGACTCAAGAAAATTACTCTCAGGGGAAGCGCTTTCAACGTTAGGCCGAGAATAAATTGTAGGGCTTCTGCCCGCGAACAATCATCCCCATGATCGTTAGCATTTGCTTCGTCCAGTCCATCGGCGACTATCAAGCACGACTTCATTTCCGTATGCGTGGTTGTGAAGACGGCTGACATAGCATCTTTCAAGCTCTGAATGGGCCAGACAACGGATTCCTCCTCGGTTTGTCGTGTCAAGAGCGACCTGTATGCGTTTCGGACCCTCTCGAAAAGGTCGCGTGCCTGAGAGAGTATTTGATATAATACCGCTGAGAACATCTGTCTATGTAATGTAAGATTGTCTCTGGCACTGTAGAACCATGAGGCAACTATTGACTTCGTAGCCTCAGAATCTCCCAATAAACTTGCCTGCATCGTTTTTGCAAGAACCGACTTTCCACTCCCTGGCTTACCGGCAACCCATATGACAGATGACGCCTTGGATTTCCAAGCAAGGTAGGACGGGTCGTTCCAGATCCAATGATTTGTACCAACTGTTGCCGAGACAATACGATCTCGCCGGATGTTCATGTTATTAAATTGGAGACTATTCAGACATTCTGTTTGATCTATCAGCATGATTCAACAATCTTTGCAGTAGGTAGGTACCTACCCAAATACTCCGTGTCAATATCAATCACTGCAGAGTGACGGGAGACCATTGGCATAGTTTGAGGATCTCCGCCCAATATAACAACCCTAAGATTCACGGCTCTGGAGTTTGAGGATGGGTCAAGAAGTCTTCTGAGAAGCATCCCGACTTCCGTTCTAACATCATTGTGCAATGAATCAACGTTGTGCAGGAGTATCACCCACTTCCTGTCCACATCCATATCCATGAGTAATGTCAATATTCTTATAACCTCCACGCGTAGGAGCTTCGGGTGTCCTGGGTCGTGATCAAAGATGCCATCTTTGATGAGGTATGCAGGGAATGTTGCGTGTGCGAAGTTGAACATGTAAACCTGTTGGAGCGTATATACTAATGCTGAAGTGGCTCTCACTGACCAACCGATACTCTCTAGGGCGGGAAATTCCGACAAAGAGGGGGATTCGTCGGAGACGTGAATAATAGAAATATCCTGTTGGAGTAGGAGATGGCCGAAAGCTGTGGAAATTCGGTCCGCGCTCTCGGTTTGACACCAAATAATAGGGTGACGTCTGGTTCCTCCAGGTGATATATCACTCCATACGCGATAAGAAGATGTCTGCACAATCCAATCTAGAGATTCGTCCGGTTCATGATTTGAGAGAATATTGAACAAATTGTCTACGTTTTTTGAAACGGACTCACAGAATTGTGAGAGACTGCGGGTATCTCCTGGATGCCTAATCAGCTACTGTTGGGCTTTGAGGAAACATTTAATTTCAATGTTAACTAAGAAACAAATACATAGTATAATTCCAAGCATAGATTTAAATTTCAAAGTCCATCAGAAGATAAAATGACCTACGATAGCTCCATTTCTGGCTTTGACTCACTTTCTGGATTGATCGGCTCTGTTTGTTTCAGCTCTTCAAATCTTGTCCCGATAGCTGCTTCCTTCATGGCTTCTTCATATAGCCAGTAAAAGTTGTTTTCCACGAAATCGTAAAGATCTTTGTCATCTTCTATTTCGGTGTTGAATTTGCACATATTGCTGTGATCTGCCTCCAAACCTAATATTGTTTCGCGATGGCCCGGTAAGCCGAATGTAGCAGACTCTTTTGTTACAATCTAAGTTGTTCTGGTGAGTCTGACAGCCAGGAAGCGTGATGAGGCTGACTTACAGTGCTTTTTTCTTCCCAAAACGAAACAATCCAATAGTTTTCGAGTTGGTGGCGGAAAGATTCTCGGAGGAAGTCCCCGAAAAGTGACCCTGGAGTGAGTACTTTAATGATGGAATCATTGGCGGGGAAGCCTAGACTCTTTGCTATATTCGCCGCAGTCAATCCGAGTTTATTTTTTGCTGAATCGGTATTTCCGCCTGCATGGGGGGTTCCGAAGAAGACTAAGCCTTTCCTATGTCACTAGTTAATATGGAAACAAAGGACGAGCATCTAGTTCACAGCGTACACAGAGGCTTCGATGTCTGCATAATGGCTATTGTCGTGTGCATTGACTAAGGCTTGTTTGATAAGCAATCCCCCAAGACTATGGCCGACCAATATCAATGGCCGAAGTCGATCCTAATGAGGATCAACCATCATATTACCATTTAGCAAATGCTCAATGACAGCTCACCCCTCGTCTTTTGCCCTGCAGACAATCGAGGAACTTGTTTCCCGCCTCCCAAAACTCGCCATGTTTACCGCTGAATACACGCGAGTCGTACTCATATAGGAAAATTCTAGCCTCCGGGAGACTTTTCGGCAAGTCTTCCTGGAGCCAAATCTTTCCTTTATCACCGTCTCCTTTTCGCCAAGTATCCCAAGCGTGTTGCTTTACATCCTTGCCTTTCGGGTTGAGTCCGTGTACTGCGACAATACTAGAACGAGGTATAAGTACTTGTGCGAGGTTTAGACGGTCTTCAAGAGCAAGAAGCTCACTCGATTTTCGGACTCTCCCCGCCTTGGGCTAGCTGACGAAGGGCTGGAGGCTGCGGGGTAAAGTCAGCGCTTGGTGAGTGCCTGGTTATTTGTAAGGTACACTTGCCATATCACCACTATAAGTTGTTCCGTCTTCAACTAGCAACCCTTTAAACGATCCTCCCAGACAGGCCTCTTAATGGAATGTTGGAGTTCGTAGGAAACGAAAATTAGTGGGGGTTGCAAGCCTGACAACTAGGCGAAATCTAACTAATATATGGCGGACGCTAACCCGCGGTGCATATACTTGCAATGACCACTTCCTAGTGTACCAAACAAACTGAATTGAAGCTATTCAAATGACGCGTGAGCGAAAGAATATTCAAACTAGAAGCTCATTTACTCTTTTGCTCAATATATTTGCAGACTAGCTCATTTTCACGGCCTTCCAGCTAGTCTAAGTATCAAATAAAGCTTCATTTTCTCTGGAACATCGCCAAGACCTTCCAAGTCGTCTCCGTGACTAAAATGCAGTTCTCGGTGGGAATCACAATCCACGCTCAATGGCCGGCGTTTTCGCTGGTAATTCTGTTACTAATCAGTATTATCAAAGCTTTAAGACGTAGAGCTTCATGATTTGTATATGGGAAGCATTGTAAACGTGCCCAGTTAATGACTTCGTCATGTGGCCCGTGTTTAATTCAGCCGCACGGATTAGGCTCTCTCATCACAAGGCAGACTGGAAGTATACCTTTCTGCCTGGTACCCCACAATGCCATTGTTTATTTATTGATTTACATCTAGTCATTATTTCCTTATATTTTCTATTATTCAAGAAAGTGAAGTGGGAAATAAGAAGAAAATTAGTTCAAAATGTCACTCACAATCAGGCCAGACTTTCTCTCACCGCAAGCACCACCAAATGTAACAAGCAGCATCATCGATTTCAATTCGACAACGCCTCGGATCCGAGCATACAAACGCAACTTTGCAGCCGTCATCGACAATTTTATGACCGAAGCCGAATGCAACGAACTCCTCGCGCTAGCCGAGAAATCAGCCGCCCTCTCATCCGACAACAAAATACAGACGCCAATATGGGAACGCGCAATGATCAATGTCGGTGGTGGGAAACAAGCGATGGCTACTGACGTGCGTAATTGCGGTCGCATAATCTTTGACTCGACCGAGCTCGCTGACCGGCTACTGGCGCGCCTAATACCATTTTTCCGTCGATGGGATATGGAGCGCCTTGAAAACCGGATGGCTGTTACGGGCCTTACCGGTAGGCAGAATACCTACTATCTGACGCGGCTGAATGAGCGGCTACGGTTTTTAAAATATGTTGGTGGTGAATATTTCCGGCCCCATTGGGATGGAAGATACATCACACCGGATCGCGGCGAGGTCTCGTTCTATACAGTCCATTTTTATCTGAATGGCGAGGGGGAAAGTGGTCAGGATCTAAAGGAGGTATTGAGAAGAGAAAAGGAAGAAAGAAAGTGGGGTTGTGACGGTGAAGTGGGCGACTCGGAGGAGGAAAGAGGAAAAGGGAGGTTGCTGGGAGGTGCCACCAGTTTCATTCCTTCGTGGGAAGAGGATGATCAGGCGGTTCGGGTGTGGCCGAAGACCGGGCGGGTGCTGGTATTCCAGCATAATGACCTCCTACATGGCGGTGATTCAGTCTATGGAGGTACCAAATATACCGTCCGGACTGACGTTATGTACTCGAAAACGAACCCGTTGAGTCAGGCATCTGCCAAATCCTGATTGTATAGTTTCCATTGGTATCTCATCAAAAACAGTAAATTTATATACATATGCATGACAGTGGGTATCATGAAAGCAAAAGAAAAGCCAAAGGAATCTCATCTGATAAGCATAACATATGTTCAAAGGTCTTTCAAGTGAAGACACATTTTTGCTCCTTCAGCATCCATCGTAGTGGACTTGTGTTTGCTTTCACAGACTTGTCTAAACCAACTCGGTCGACAATCCTCGGTATTCAACCACTATGTCAATGGTGTCAACTTATCCTTCTGACAGCCAAGACATTTGTCACTATCCGGACAATTACTGAAGATGGAGTGCTAGTATCCAATAATCCAATATCTCAGAACCAATGAATCTGCTCATTAGCAGCAAACAAGCCGAGCGCGACGCTATGAACAGGCGCATCGCTCCAGCGCCCGTAAAAGAATCCACCGGTTTTATCTAACCATTCGAAATAGGAAGTATATTCTTCAGGGCTCCAGAAATCGAGATCACCGACTTCAAAGTTGCTCCAGAATGGCACGTGCTATAGCCGTTTGCTGTCTTGCTGTGTTTGGGTCGCGATATATGAGTCAGTCAGCCAGAGGAGCGAGTTATCGTGATTCAAATAGCCAGGGTGTTCATCCAGGAATGAGGTTGTCGTTGGCCACAGAGTGGGTATGGTGTTTGGGTCGTCATAAACGTTGATGGTGAATCCAAACGTCTTATTGTTGGTTTCCATGAGCCGGAAAACGTCGTATTCAATATCGCAGAAAAATCTATCCCGTATCAGTATGCTGCATTCAACGACACAAAGGTGCCAAGACACACTGCACATTCGGTTCGATTCTCCAATAGTACTTAAACTAATCCAAAGCGGGATGCCGGAAAAAGAATCCAAAGTATCATCTGCACATCTTATGGTAATTCAACTAGTTACCGTGCTTGATCCATGCCCGACTGGTCGATCCAGTCCGGAAAATCCCAATGTTACTTGGGAATCACCCCCGCTTCTGCATCATCTTATTTCCTCCTTCCTAGTATTCGTCTCGCTCCAATCCAAACGAACCATACCGCAGGGCAAATATCATCAATTGATGTATTCAGCTCGAAGCTCAAATAGTTGACATGGGATTTAATCGTCTCATCCCTGCCAACTCGAACATGAGAATGAAACGACAAACCAAAACAGACCCAATATATTGCGCTGCTACACTGAGTGCCTCGAGCATGCCAATAAATAATAATGATGACAGAACCATGGTGCCGAATAGTATGTGGGCGAATCCTGCTCCACTTGCAAGCCACTGCAGAGAAACGACTGTAAAGCCATCCGCTTCCTTTAAATCCATCGGCATTTCTTGGGCTGCACAAGGTGTTGCTTCCTGTCTCAACATATAGACCAGCCTCCCCCATACGCTGTTAGGTTTCTTCATCTTCGAGTCGCTAATCTGCGAGAATTTTTTTCCTGCAGGAGAAATTCGAAATGCACTGGCAGCGATGACGTGCACCACCAGTGGGAGTAGCGTCCATAGCATTGGCATGAATGAGTTTTGACACTTCCAGTTCAAGACGGTGTAGGTGCCGACTGTATAAGAGCAGTAAATCACATTGACACAAGCTCCAAAAGCGAGCATGTATTGAAACGAGCTGATTATAACTTTCCTCCGGTGGCTCTGTATCTCTTTCGTCGCAAAATTTCCAGGTTTAGCATCCAAAACCTGGAGTGGGCTGGAATACTCTGCGAAACGGGTAATCGAAACTGAGACACACCCGATCGCTAAGAAAATGGCAAGAATAGGCCGTCGGGATGCGAGAAGAGACATTTCTGGAATAGTCGGCCCAAGACTTGCGAGGAATGTGGGAATGATGCCGAGGAGAACAGCAGCACTAGCCTCAACCGCTTTCTCCTCCTCCGGTAAATTAGATAGAATGCATCTTATTTGAGCGTAACAGAGGTTTGCAGTAGCCGGTTGGAAGCCAGATGAGAGGTACTTTTGGAGCGTAGAATTGCATGTTTCGGTTGACACTGGCAAGAGAACCCAATTCATAGACGGATAGAAGTGACTGAACCGTTCCTGAGCGATTGACGCATGGACCACTGTCAGCTGCAGCAGAAACAGAACCACGGCCTTGCACGCCATCTCCGTGAAGTAGGTATATTAGACCTGAGGAAGGGGGAGAAGCCCGTAACTTGTGTGATTTATCAATGCTCAATGTACACTGTTATATATAGCGCAGATCCTTTTAGTTGCCGAAGATCTTCCATTTATGAGCATTTTTCGCTATTTGTCCAGCAATCTGGCCCCCAATGCGAATAGCGCCACACGTCGCATGACTTGTTGGACGAGATTTAGCGGATCCGCTAGCCGGCTACACGCGTTCCCAATGGCTGAGTCCGGACCCTGGTGTTCGAGAGGAGTACATGCCGAACTGAGCAGTAAGAGATTATTGGTGAAGTCATAATACTAAATCTTTATAGTACCTATTTAATGCAGTTTCAAAAAGACCTTCCTAATCTATTGTAGAAGGCAGTTGTCCGTCCCGCGGTTTCTATCTCGTAAATCGCAAAGTTGAAACGGCAAGTTGACGTGGCTAAGCTGAAAAGCCGGCAATTTCAAGCACTGCCCTGAGTTGCTGCAGGGATTCCTGGTTAGTTGCTGGACATCAACAGACCGAATTAGGTCAAAACAGTAGCATCAATGAAGACTAGGTTCCAGCTCCCCTAAGCGAGACAACTGTAGAGAAAAAATTATTCGTATAGCTGTTTAACTTATCGCGGGCGGTGGGAAAGACATAAAAATTGTGCGGCTACCAGTATTTTCTGAGAAGAAAGATAAAACATTCCGTTTCTAAAAAAAAGCTGCTTTGGGCTGTCTGACTTGCCTACTACCTACTGTATGGTATTTTGAGCTTTGATTTGGGAGATGCGGCGGCAATGCGCGACGTGTGGATGGTCGCTCCGAGGACGATCGACAGCGGTTTGTGTATCACAGAAGCAAAGCCCGGCCAATTAAAAGTAGCTGTAGGTTGATGCTTGGCTCCATCATGTTCTCCATCCAATAATGCCAACTGCAGTGCGATATGCGTAGTGTGATTCTTGAGCGGGCACCATGCAAATTATCTATGCGGGGTTATTTCTGTGCTCCATTAAATTTGACGATATTCGCTTCGTAAGTCTTGGTAGGTTTTGTTAACCAAACCAAACAGAAGAAACTGGCAGGACGTTTGGATCAGCCAATAAACGACCGTGTTGGTAATCATACGCAAGCACGCGGATTTGTGTTTGCTGTTGACAGCCTACGTTGTTGTTCTATGCTTGCAGGGATAGTCCAATCTCTCCGTCTGGTCTAGCAGCAGAAACAAGCAATCAGGAATTTTACTAGTCTTTGGCGTCCATATGTGATGTTGAAATGGCTGATGAGGACAATAATTGAATGCGAACATTACACAATTCCTAATAAAATTGGTATATAACAGAAAAGCAACATAGCCACCCCGCCCCCTCCACTTCCTCAAAGAAAAATTTCAGACATCGCACGCCCCTAAAAGCCGAAAATCAAGACTACACAACCCTTTCTATCTGACTGTCCTTAAACAAAGGATTATGATCGATGACTTCTAACGAAAGCTCAACAGAAGGATTGAATAAGTCGTCGTCTAGACTATAAAGTCTATGGTTACTTCTCTGTTGCTGAACAGTCGAAGCTTTCATATTACCAGAACCACAGGGCTGGCGGTCACTGCCAGCAGGATGAGCATGAGAAAACTCTGCAGAGCTGAGCGTATTCTCTGTGCTATGGCTGTTGCTAGGCGCGCTCCTCTGTAGGGAGCGAATAAAAGAGGATGTCGACACAGCCTTTTTAATGCATAGAAACACTGGACGCAGTGTTGGCAGACAAGCGCAAATGATCCCCATTCCCGTCTCGATGTCTGACCAGGCAATTACCCAGACGAGACTGTACGTGATGTCAGACGAAATGAGCTCATGGTCGAGAAAGACAAAGAGACGGAAGATAGAGGTGAATATCACACTTTAATAATTAGTTATACAGAAGATGATTTCAATGGGTGACATGGTGTATGTTTAGGTTAATACCTACAATAGACCCAATCCGAAAATCAGTGTCAACAAAACCTTCTCGCTCAGTCTCAATTGCAATCTCCATATATGTGGGAGTGGTAGAATAATAATAGCGATATCACTCGCAATATTTGTAACAGAGCTAGCAATTGATCCGGAAACACGATTCGCGCAGTGACCACGTAAGTCCGTGTCCCATCTCTTCTGAACAGGTACGCAAGTGAATATCAAAATGAAGAAGAAAGCAATGAACCACGTAGTAACAAGAAAGCCAAGACCCAAGACCCATCGCCGAAAATGTGTTGCGACATCAAATATGCGGTGTTGCATCAACAGTACACTGAGCTTGGTGAAAAAAAGGGTTAAAATATACAGTAAATCACTTGCCAAAAGGAGTTTGTTCACAGCGATCAGGTCGTCTTGAGGCACGTCGATAGCATGTTTCCCCAGGCCTTTTTGTACCATAGTCAGGTAAACGCCACCGATGCTCAGTCTGCAGATTAGTGCAGCTGCAATAAGTGCATCGTCCCACCAGAATCTCTGTTTTTTAAGATGTCGTGCAAGCACTCTTAGCAAGAAAAAGATAATGGTAAGGATCGCCATCCCCGTCATGCACCATATCTCTGGACGAACCATTTTAGCCCGTAGCTTTGGGAATACCAAACATCACCATCGATAGGCCACGGCAGTCATGACTTGACAAATTGATTTTGAGGCAAAAGCATGGGTTCAAATATGTGTCAAGTTTTCCAAAACTTGAAAACCAGATTGTGGGCGACAACCTGACCATCTTGTAATTGTAGGCCGTTCTCGATTCCAGACACACTATCGAGTCTTATGAGGGAGCCAGAGCTTTACACAGATGGATACGATCCAGAATGAGGGCTCTTTATTCTTTGTCATATGTTTGTCTTGGCAATTCCTCCGGACGAGGCGGGCCAAACTTGGGGCTGGTAAAAGAGTGTCACTTACGAAGCCGAAAACTCTTATATTTAAAATGAATTATGCGGCAAGAATGTATTCAGTAGTTTTAAAGAGGCATCTATTTCCTCAGTTCTCACAACTCACGTCACTCGATGGTTGATTAACTGTCGACATGCAAGGAATAAATGGCAAGTGCCATACAGCATTCATATCATGCTCATGTACGCAAAGCGGATCCCAACCCTAACTGCACAAGAATCAAGATTTAGCGTTAGTTCTCGACCCTACAGACTCTGGTCTTCCTTTTTGCTTGACACAATTGCCCGGCTTCATCATTCCCAAACCGTTTAAACCGTGACGCGGATTCGGTAAGCCGCTGCAAGCGCCGCCCAGCAACAAAGAAAGGTGCAGTGGTGGAGGAACTCAATCGCGGTGATCACGATTAACTACACGCTAATTTTGAGGCAAATAGATTTTCTTTGTTCTGTTCTTTGACAGTTGGCAAGTGAGGTCAGTGGGACAATTAGCTGGTGAAAAGTACGCTGATTGGCGAAATAAGCGCTTTGTTCTACATTTTTGACCTATTTTTGATTTTTCAAACAGTCAAGACATGTAATTTGAAATATTTTCAATATTACAGTTCATACTACCTCAACTACGTCAGAATATCATAAGGTTGATAGTAATAAGGAGACGATGTCCGGGGGCACTCGAACGCACTATCCCCACGTTCATGAGGGGCACCGTCATATGGGAGATTACTCTTAAGTGTCAGCATATTGAGTTACCTGAGGCACCCGGTCACAGGTAGTGCAGACGATATATCAAATTTTCTCCCCTCCCCAACGAAACTCTCATCTAGTCGTCAGTTTATCTAGTTTATTTAAATTCAAGGTATTTACCTGCTATTTTATCCCAGACACGTCTTGTTTTATCCACAAATACAAAGTGCATTGTATTCCAGTGCATGAGTAGGCAGACTTAAACAGGTTTATCATCGGCCAGGCTAAGTAGGTAATGATCTATTGGGATACACTATACATGACCTCATAAAAGACCAATGTGTGTGATCGTGCACATTTCTAGTTCGAAAAGGACTAACTCCAACATTCACAACCCGAGGAGGTATAAATATTTCAGCAACAAGTAAGTCCCATCTTTATGTTAATGCATTGCCGGAGTTGCGTCCTGGAGCTTTAAAGCTCACCTCTTTGGACAAAACAAGTAAATTTGAAATAAAAAGGCATTAAATACCTTCAATTTGGATAAATTAGATAACTGACTGAGTTGACAACGGCTTAGGGAGGGGAGAAAACTTGACATAAAATACAAAGACTGTTGAACTACACGTGATCGAGTGCCTCAAGCAAACCATATGCCGACAGCATTTTCAATGTTGTTGCCCCAAGCGACTTATAGAATCTTTGTTAGTTTAAGTAGGAAAGAGGCAGCAGCTTAGCTCTGCTATCTGCCTGGCTAGCTATGCAATTTAGAGAAATATGGGAGTTTTGGAGCTATTCTTGAAAATGAAGAATATCGGTGGTTTATTAACAAAATGTTGCGTTGGAGATTTCTTGATAGATGAGCCAACTACTATTGTATGATCATAATGAATATTAATTTAGGCTTGACAAACTTCCCAGCTATGGCAGATAGAAACTGGTACCATGTGGAATATCACCGTCGTTTGCTAGTCTTGTAGGCTGTCGATTAGTACATTGATTCTTTGCTATCATTCACATGATAAAAAAGCTAAAGCATTGTGACTGCATCTTTCTAGGAGAGACCCGATTGGCTATCATATATATGTATATCTGTTTGTGTTTGTAGCTAATAGAGATGTGTGACACGCCAACTAGTAGCCTATAATCAACCTAGACTGGAATATTTAGGAATGGAAAAAAAATCTTCTATAGATATAATGCCTACTAATGAAGTGTAATCAAGCGCGGAAGTTGTTTGAGATAGCCCCATCTGTGGAGGATGTGGGAAGAAATTTTGGGTGTAATGACGATTCTCTGCTTTGATAAAGTACAGGAGCCCTTAGCAGCGTCTCAGATTTTTCGATCACGAGAATTAGAATGAGAAAAAAGGAAAGAAAGAGAGTTTTTGCTAAGATGGGTTTACTAGGAAAGGTATGTACAAATAGGCGATCAGCTTATCCCTGTATTGTGCATGTCATGGAGCTGCATCGCCTCCGTAGGGATCATTTGACTACACGTGTTATCCATAGCGCCGACTGTAGGTACAACTCGATGGGCAGCAGTGAATCAGTTAAACTTGTCCGAGAGCTCTACTGCGTTGATACTGATAAGGTCAGGCCCCAAATAGGTGAGATGCATGGAGTAGCACAGAGATCGCCTGCCCCACGCCGAAACAGAGTACCCTAACAGCTGACGATTCGGCCAGAAAAGCACCTTAAAAAGAAGCCGTTCTTTTGTGGAGGAAAGGGGAAAGCTGGCAGGCTCCATGACTCGTTCCAGGTGCATGGGGAGGTGATCTATTTTCGGTGATGTGTATGCAGATGCTTTAAATCGCGTGGAACTCGAAATGTTTCGCATTTCCTCCATATCAATGCACGGCACTCGCCAACTCTCGACCAGTTAATAATTTGAGCCTTGAAGTGAATTATTATGGGTCTCCGCATGCTCAAGGTAGGATACATGTTAATTATTGCCGCAAGGTCTAATTTTTCGCCTAGACAACGAGCTTGCAAGCGTCCCGAGTACCGTTCTGCTCAATGACGACTTGTCAAATGGAGATACCACAGAAACGGATTTAAAACATGAGACCGGCAGAAATGCACATATTGTACTCTCCCCGCAGCCCAGCAGCGACCCAAATAATCTAGTGGAAGAAGGAATTGTTTATTACTATTCTAGCATTTGGTGGCATGTTGAACGCTGGCACAAGCGTAAGCGTCTCTCTCCTTTCCTTACCTTTTTGAGTATTAAATGTATGAGTAGGGTATCCTTCTTAATGTATCGTATTCACCAATCGCGAAATCACTCAATCGATCTCTAACAGGCGTTGTCCTCGTCTCTGGGTATAATCATCTAGCAAGCAGGTTGTTCTGTCCATTTGTCTGTGCATTCAGTCGGAAATATGGCAAACAGCCAGTATTCCTCGTTTCAACACTCTTCGACATCATCGGCACTGCCATAGGCGAGGCGAAACTGGATTACGAGTACCTACTCGCAGCACGAATCATGCAGGGGTTCTCGACCAGTGCTTTTGAGTCTCCGCTAATTGCCGTCGTGGGTAACATGTACTTTGTTCATCAGCGGGGGCTACGCATTGCAATAATCAACTTTATTCTCGATTCTGCCTCAAGTTTTGTGTCCATCATATACGGTCATGTCTATGCTGATACAGTGTACTATTAGTTATTCCATCTCTTTCAGGTATTCTTTGTCCTCCAGTTTGCGGCAATGTTCTTGTTCTGTCCTGAAACGACGTATATTCGAGACGTCCAATACGAAACGGATGTTGTCACTGATGAGAAAATAACTCATATTAGCCCATCCAACCCGAAGAATGTAGATAGTGGGCTGATAGCCACGGATACAAGATCTCAAGCCTTGGACATCCCCCAAAAGAGAACATTTGTCTAAGAACTTGCCGAATTTACAAAGGTGTACTCGCCCGATACCATCATCAAATTCTTGTTCGGCCCGTTCCTTGCTCTGCTGAACTCAGCTGGCTGTTATGCAGTCATTGCATCGGGTTTGTAGAACAGTTGGTATATTTGCGTCGTCTATTATTCTGTCGGGTATCTGTGCTGGCCCACCGTGGAAATTTGGCCCGGCTTAAGTTGGGTATCTCGGACCTGGTCCGGTTATTAGAGGGGTTCTTGGGACTACTATTGCTGCGTGGTTGAGTGATCCGGTTATCAAACGGATGGGTAAAAGGAATGGCGGGATATAGTATGACTTCGTCTTCCATCATTGTGTTAGTGATCAATTGGCTGATAATCATCCGCCGGCAAAGCGAGCCCGAATTTCGCCTTGTCTTATGTCTCTTTCATGTGTGACCTGTAGAATAGGCATGTTTTTATTCAGTCATGCAATGCAAATCGGCGCCAACGTGGTCCTCTGTGCTTTTCTCAGGGCATCATAAATTTTGGAGTTATTGTGGGCATCTTCTCTACTCTATCCTATGGTTTAGACGGTTTCCGTCGGCAAAACAATAAGATTTTCCTCATGAACATGTTATTCAATGCTAGTCCCTTTCCACCAATTTTAATTTCTATAAAACGCGGCTAACGGCAAGGTTAATCCAGAATTGCATGTTCTACGATCTCAGCACCTTCGCCAACAATTGGGTTGCTGCCAACGGGCCGGCGTAAATCATGGATGTATTTGGCGGTATCTCAGTATCTCTGGCATTGATGGCTATTCTTGTTTATATTTATGGCACGAAGTTATGCAGTTGGTGGGCGCGTCATGATTTCTTCATTAAATTTGGCATGGAAACGTCTGGTCCATCTTTCCATATGGGATGACCTATAACGAATTTACTTGGCAATATCAAGTGATAGTGTTTGTGAGATTTTAAATGTTATTAATGAAACTGATGAGAATATAGTAGAATTTGTGCCAGAGTACTTTTTCGGTTCGGGAGATCCATTGAAAAAAGGGATTGGTGCACGCCAGTAGAGGCATTTCAACATCGAAAATATTGTCTTTTACATGTTGGATACCTTAACGAAATATATATTTGCATGATCCCACATCCAGCTATAGAAGAATATATACGTAGTCTCATTTGCAATTCATGTTTTTTTTTTTTGAAGACTGTACGTCAATTATTTTCAATGCTTCCTAATACCAAACTCGACCAAGAATCAGAATATCCACATTCATGTGAGGTATATGTTGTTTGTTTTCATACTGAGGAATGAATACAGACTTGGAGCTTTTCCGGGCCGATGCCCAACTAATCGATGACGCATACAGTCACGTGATTCATATTGATGCCTCAGAACTAGGGCAGCAGCCCCATACCAAGATAGGTCCGCATGCGAGAGCTCCATTCCTCCTTCCATTGTATGGTATACCAGTCGTGCCGGATACTACCTCCTGATATGAGACTCAGACAATTGATAGGGTATTAAATTACATGGATCTATTTGTTAAACGGTCATAATGAATAAATACAGGAATTATTACAAAACTTAGCTGTTTTGAAATCTCTATACCGATTGACACCCCTTTATTTGAAAAAGGTGCCGTACGAATACAAGTCATGTTGTCATACTTACGAAAGACCCAGCGCCAGGTTCTCCCTGAGCAGCCAATCAAACCGGCAGTTTTGGGTCTTCATGAAACGACTCTGAGAAGCCTTCGCCCACCCATGAACTGATTTTTTCGGTTCAGCAGAAGACTTCTATGTAAATAATACCACGTAAGACCCGCACTGAGATCGGGTCTTTTCGTTTTCTTTGTTTTATTACTCGTGTATGGAATGCTATCATTAGGAGTTTGGTAAGATAAAAAGATATAAATACCAGCATTTCGCGATGCAGGTGCAGACGAATTCTTTCTTCCTCTGCATATATCACCGAATTGATGCATAAATTGAGGCATGGCTCGGGGGGAAGCAAGCGATCACCATCATGTGACTGGTACTGCAAGGTTGTCCTGTTGGACGGGATTCCCCCTTAATCGGCATAGCGTGGTGAGAAGGAAGGTTTCCCGAAATGATCACCGGCGACATCACATTCTATACTCAGATCCTTTCCATGGCTATTTTTGACCAGATTTTCTACGCAATTGAGCATTTATGGGGTGGTGTATATGTAGAGGTGTTGAATCACGCTGCTGTATCTGTTATAGCTCCAAGCTGGTGGACAAGGAGATATGTCTCCCAGAGGGAGAGCAGTAACATGGCAGATCCCGGTTAAATACAGTAATGCAGGATTGTATGGGTAAATTAGTTTTCGTAGGGGATTATCTAGCGCGGACCACTTGAGCTGCTTGCTTCGGCCAATAAGATAGCCGAGAGCCGCGCGTGTATGCCAACCTGCCGAGGATGTCGAATAATGGCAATCCGATGACCCGGTTTTGTGACGAAACGTATGGTTAGGAGGCTTGCATGAGATCCACAATCCAGCGCTCCCGTGAGAGCCTCTGGAATCTGCAATGCTCTCGGGTTGTGTTTACTCTTGTCTTTATTATTGACGGAACCGCCTCTCTAACTGCAAGGTACCGACGGCCAGCTGCAGACGTGCTCGGACAGTGCATGGGCAGTAGCAGTGCAGGGCAGGGTATCCCGAGAGAAATTTTCTCGCTCTGCCGGGGCTTTGCCATACCCACATGGCTGGTGGGAAGCCGTGGGCCACTTGCCTGGACTCGGAATCCCGATAGCTGCGACGACCAGGTGGCCAATCAGAGGTGCTCCCGAGCGGGGCTGGGCATCCGATCCGGCCCGATTGGGATAGATCCCGTCAGAACGTTCCGGCAGCCTCATCAAATTAGCTGATATTATTGGCTGGGGCTATCGGTCTTGGCGTCCCACTACCTCGGTGAGATCCACTTGGGTTCAAGCTGGATAAGAAAAAAAAACAACAGCTCTCACAGCTCCCCCCGTCAGAAAAATATTCTCCCAGACCTGCTCATCCACACTTGACTAACTGGTTCATGAATACGAAGCTGGGGAAGCTCAATTGATGTTTGCTTGACCGTGCATCTCTGGGGATGCCACTTACACAGAAATAGTTCAATGCTGATCCCATTGTGTAGCTTCACGAGTCCCATGGCCCCATAGTTATAACCACGTCACGTCGTAAGACGGCGGTAATAGCCCGGATCCGAATCAACCCGAAGAATAGGTGGAGGGAAATCTTCATGCGTATTGTTCCGTAATAATGAAAGAAACCATCCAGAGTTCTGCGGTCCTCCATTTGTATAGCTTCCGTAATGTACCGTTGCTGGTTTTTCGCTCGTTTTCCGTCTCCTTGAACAACGGAAAAAACAAGCCCAGCTACCCGAGCGCAGTAATTAGCTAGCTTGGAAACAGTTGGGAAAGGGAGAAAGCAAAGACTCCCAGACACATAAGAAAAAAAAGGGACCCACAGCCGTATTATTGAATCGGTCCTAGTTAGGCCACTGTGGCCCTTTTCTTTCCCCTAACTAGCCTGCCTCTTCTTCCTTCCCTTCCTCCTTTCTCTCTCCAGAAAAGTTTTTCTCATCATCAAAACACATCTTCCATTCTCCCCTCCTTTTCTTCTTCTACATCCCCAATTCTCTTCAGAGAACCAAAACAACATAATCACAATGGCCTCCAAGATGCTCACCTCCCGAATTGCCACCATGGCTACCTCCAGCGTCGCTCGCTCGACCGTCCGCAGCCAATTTGCTGCTGTGCCCAAGCGCACCTTCACCAGCGCTCTCCGTCCTCAAGGCTCTGCTTTCCAGACCCCCAAGCGCACCATCCAGGCCACCGTTGCCCGCCAAGCTTTCCAGGCTCAGGCTCGCCGCAACTACTCCTCTGAGATCGCCAACGCCCTCGTTGAGGTCTCCTCCAACGTCGGTATGGGTACAGCTGCTATCGGTCTCGGTGGTGCCGCCATCGGTATCGGTATGGTCTTCGCTGCTCTCATCCAGGGTGTTGCCCGCAACCCCTCCCTCCGTGGTCAGCTTTTCTCCAACGCCATTCTTGGTTTCGCTTTCGTCGAAGCTATGGGTCTTTTCGACCTGATGGTTGCTATGATGGCCAAGTTCCTGTAAACAATTTGCTTTTCAAAACTATTTCGTGATCAACGCGCACCCATCATCCAGCATTCTCGATCTCTCTTTCCGACCATATTCGATCCGAATTTTGAGCCGCCGACGGTTTACTTGATGATCTGTTTCGTCTCGAACTTTGCCCGATCGATCAACAACACATACCTCGAACCGATAAAAAAAAATAGAAACCCGTCTATCTCTTTTGTATTCTACTATCTCTAGAGGCATAGAAGAAAATTTTAGAAAGGCTATAGAACAAAGGCATAGAGGGGGGTGGGTTTTGTGTGATCTATTTTGTTTTTTGGAATGAAGAAGCCACCCCCAGTTTTTTTAACCGATTTCGGTGTGTGGGATGTAATATCATCATGTGTACTACTTTCTAGCATCATCCAGCATTATCATTTATCATCAAAAACGATCTCCTATCGTTCCTTTCATTTCTTATTCTACCCCTTGGAACAATCTCCACTGAACCACTGAATTGTACATAAAGAGCTGGTGAAAATCTAGGAGGCTGAAAAGGACCGGATTTTTCATACCATCCTTTGACCGTACTATATGTAAACGTATTTCTCCACTCCCAAGCTTGAACCCCAGATTTGACCAGCTCTGGAGGCTTCACGCTATACCTACTACCCCGGATTCAGTGGATTGGATTTCGTAGTGTAGTGAGTTAGGGGGACTATTTAGCTAATAACTCAATTCACCAACTGGTGTGGTTCTCGTGATCCTACAATTAAGATTCAGCCCCCGTCCTCGTTGAAAGCATACCGCATTGATTCTTTCTAGTATACCATGAGGGTTGCTTGAATACCTAAGATCAACGTCCAATGCAGAATGAAATTCAATTTAGTTGTTCCTGTCGTGTTTATCATGAAGAGTTTTAGCCGAGGGCTCCGCTCGGAACTCCGGATACGTCACTATTATTGGGAAACGCAACAATCCCCCTAAGAAATCAAGTTTTGAAACTTTATTTTATTGGCGAAACATTCAACGCTAGCTTATATAGCTATTGTACTAATTTCAAATCCAATTGGCACGTCCACGCCGGGCGAGCTCTGTACCAAGCACCCAAGTAGCTGAAGATAGGAGCTTGGTCCGCTGGCCAATCATGTTGCTTTATACATGTCAAATCTAAAGACTAAACAATAGTGGAATTCTAGACAATTGACCTGGAGGAAAATATATCAGCATCAAATTCTTAGTGAAAAATTGAAACAAGAGCTAAAAGTCCAACCCCATAAAAATAGTTCCCTCAACAGGTGTCTCATAATACTTCTCAATTTCCCGAAAACCATATTTTCCATATAATACCCGGGCACTGGCCATGTACTCCCCCGACAGTGTATCCAATCTTATCCCCTTGTACAACCCTGTTCCTCTGGCGTGTTGAATAATCGCTTCGACAAGCCTTGCTCCTAGCCCCGAGCCGCGTGCTGACGGGGAGATGTAAAGTCTCTTCATCTCGCAGTATCCTTTATCTTCATTCATAGTCTTGTCATCCCCATCACTGACTGGACTTGTGGAACTCGTCGTTGAAATTGTTGTTGATATCGGCAAAGCCCGAACAGCAACACATCCGACTATCATCCCTTGATTGCTCACATCGCGTGCAATGAGTATAATACCGCCGTTTTCTGGCGAGTACTTACCGGGAAGCGAATTCAATTCGGTTGAATAGTCCTGAAATGTGAGATCCAGTCCGAGAGCACTGGTGTAGTCGGAGAAGAGGGATATGATGGCTTCCTTGTCGGTGGGAAAGACTGCGGGAGTGATTGTGTATGTTTGTGTTGACGACATTGGGTTTGGTGCGTCTACCTCAGTATGTTATGATAATAAACGATCTTTTTCAGATCTGCAAGATATCTATCTCGAATAATTGTGGAACTATTTCAAGTTTTATGTAGCATGGATTGAATTGATTTGGCAAAAAGATGACAGTCTGAATGGATGATACAGGTTGGTATGATATTGGTTGCTGAAAACCAAAATCTCGGCCACGAGAAAGATATAATAGGCTATGAGACTTATTCACTTTGTGAAATCGCCAAAGTAAAAGGTTTTGTTTACATGTTAACATATTCAGACGAGCCTGAGCAGCGGAGATAATGAGTCACTAAGTCCGATATCGGCCCTAGATGTCTGTTCCTCTAGTAACATGCAGTCAACAAACATAACAATTCGCGACCGTTGTTGCTATAGGATCAGAATACATAATATTGAATATTATTTAAGTTTCTATTTCTGTCGTTTTTGGCCTTCTCCTAAACTGTGAATTTTCAAGTGCTATTAGTAATAATAACTGTTGTACGATCTAGATGATTCATGGACGGATTGAAAGATCTAAACCAAGAACACATAAACATAAACCAATCATTGGATCATTCCATTACTGAGTATTTTATTGTTGAAAATGATTCGACTGAAAATAGGACCGAATGTAACTTTGAGACTTGAAAGCCCATGTAAGGGTTATGCGAAGTGAACCATTCAAAGGAAGCATCAGGTAAATCTGACTTTAGACATGTCCCCAAAATCATCAAACAAGTGTGCCTTCGTATAGCCCGCGTCAAGGAGGTCATTGAAAACATCCAGCACGGCATTCTTTTCTACTCCCTTCCATATGTCGTCCAACCTGTTTACTGCTGTGTCGCTCAAGGGACCGGCTTTCAGCCATTCCAGTGCAATTTTCAAGCTCCTTCCGTAGCTACACCCAATGATGACTGCATCACCGAGCTCGGGCCTCAAGAAAGAGTGATTTCTTAGCCATCTATAGGCTAGCTCCGCTTGGGAAATCCCTTCCTCTTGAGCAATCTTTCCAAAGCCTGCCATAAATTCCAACATATCCGTCTTATTGAATAATATGTTGAACATAGGTTTATAGTGATCACTTGCAAAGCGACCCTTAGGATTCACTGCGATGTCTTGAGGTTTTTTCGCTAGGAAACCACCGCCTAAAGGGGCATATGCATGAAAGGACATGTTATTTTTGCGAAGGATAGGAAAGATATCTGTTTCAACGCGGCGACCCACGGCATTGTAGAACCCCTGATAGACAGATGGCAAAACGAATTTATTTTCCTTTGCGATGCTGATAACTTCTTCTATCTCTTCGGCCTAGAAATTCAATAGACCGAAGTATTTAAATGCGCCTGATTTGTATAATTCGTTGATACCTTCAAGTGTTTCCTTAAGTGGTATCTTGCGACCAGGAGCATGGATGTAGTAGATATCGACCTTTATATTAATTAATCAGTTTTCTATCATGATTGAAAAAGAAACGGAGTACTGTAAAGTAAATACCTGATCAACACCAAGGGTTTTAAAGCTCCCCTGTCTAGATCGAATTACATTTTCTTTGGTCATCTCAACATGGGGCCACAGTCCACCAGGAATTTTGGTATTGATTTGGAATTCGAAAGTTGCCACATTTGTCTTCCCTATCAATACCTCACTATCCAATATAACGGGGAGGTATCGATGGTGTTAACACCCTCTTTCGCAAGGTACTTTAGAATCTGACAGATACGATCCGGAGTGAAGCCATTAGCGCTGGTCCAGTCAGCTCCCCCATATATTACTCTTAAGTGATTGGTCGTCATTTTTGTTTTATGGCTAGCGTATATTCAATGTCCTGAAGAGACAATATAATAGTCTCTCAGTAACGTTTGAAAAAGAGATTTGCTCAAAAGGGAAGTCGGGTACGTTCAAGTAGGTACTTCATACACCCTACGTACATCACAATCAGTAACTGGATGTATGAACTACAGAAACTCGGAGTTCTATAGTAATGGTGGGAAGACACTCCATCTAAATATAGTAGGGGAGCAAGAAGCACGTCGACGACGGTGTGACGCCCGCCAGCCTCTTTTTTCCAAAATCAGAGAGTTACCATATTCCACTGCAGATATCCAGCTAATAAGAATTTCCTTACATATCTCAAGCGAGAAGACTAATTTTGTGGCCAGCTCTATCCATCAAAATTTCAAATCTTCAACAGGATCGCACCAAAGCCGCATTACACCCAAACATATCCACGGTCACCTCCTCTCTTCATAGCCATCAAAAATAAGAGTTTTAGGCTTTGAGAACCATTTCTCCTTGGCGATGCTGGTCCGTAGTGGAGACACGAGGAACATTATGCATGACATGTTCCATGACAGAACGTGAGTCGGCAAATAAAGGCCCGGAGTACATATTGCCTGCATGTGCTGTTCATTGTTTGAATTGTCGCCCAACCGGATAAGTCGGAAATAAATTACACTGAGCCATCTCCATATAAAATTCGGCAAATAATAGCAAAAGGGTAATTTCCCGCTTCCCTACCAACCTTGTAAGTTCGACAATGGCCGACAATGACGTATCTGAAAAGCTGGCAATACGTAGACGTCTAGTATTTCGATTGCTTGAAAAAGGAGTCGATTGATTCTTCCAGTAGTTATAGAGTATATGCTGATGGAATTCCTAGCAAACCCTTTGGAAAGGGGTCCTGACGCATTGCGTTTTGGTTACCCGGTCCAAATCGAATTTCTTCCAACTCGCTTGACATAGGTTCTAGGAACCCTATATAAGAACATGGCTGATGACAATGTTTGGCTTATTACAGGCTGTTCGTCTGGCTTTGGGCTTCACTTAGCTCGCCTGGTTCTATCACACGGACATCGGGTCATCGCGTCTTCAGGCAGCCCTTCAAGAACCCCAGACGTTGTCCAGGAAATCGAGGGAAAGGGTGGGCATTGGATTAACCTAGATGCGACAAGCCCAGACATCAAGCATACGGTTACAAAGGCCACCGAAATCTATGGTCGTCTTGACTTCGTTGTCAACAATGTGGGATTCTCGATCATTGATGGGTTTGAAGACTTCGCGTGAGTACATCTGCTATATGCATGGCTTGCCGTGCACGTATCTCCTAAGTACTGATATACAGCCCAATGTGAAACCTACGTTTTTGGTGCTTTCAACATGATGCAAGCGGCACTCCCAACTATGCGTACTCAGCGGAGTGGGACAATAATTAATATTAGTTCCACTGGGGGGGCTGCGTACTGTACCAAGCCTCAGTCTATATTCAGCGTCCAAGCATGCACTAGAGGCTCTTAGCGAGGGAGTCTCGAAAGAGCATGCGGAATTTGGTGTGCGCGTTCTTATGGTTTGAGCTAGGGCCATTTCGTACTGACATTCTCCAAACCAAATTTGCGTCTGATCGGCCTCTGAGTAAGTTCTATTAAGGAACCACCATAGAGGAGATAATAGGATTTATCAAGAGTTCAAATGGAAAGCAAGCTGGGGATCACCAGAAAGCTGCACAGTGAATCTACGAAGTTGTTATGGGTGAGGGAATTGCTAAAGGAAGAAAGAATATCTACGCTTGATTCTGGGGAAGTCGGCCCGGAATACGCTCGGATGAAGCGAATTTACAGAAAAAAACTTTCGACGCCTTTGAGGACATCGCAGAGAGCGTCGACTATCGATCATCTCACTAGCCCACCTAAGCATAGGTGTGGCTATGGGGGTACGTTGGAGTAGAGGTGAACCCATTCAGAGACTCATTAGATCTGTACAATATTAGAATTTGGATTATTTTTTTAAAGAAATTCCCCCGGAAAGAAACTAGGAATTAGTCCCATCAACTTTCTTTCGTCGACTACCCACGATGCTCTGCAAGTAAGCGAGACGGGACGACTCTCAATTAACGTAGCGTATATACGAATTAGCGTCGATTAAAGAATTTATCATTAATAGGTGACGCAATAAAACAATTATTTTCTCGGACTTCTACATACAATTAGAGGAAATTGCATACATGTCATAAAGTGTTGCAAATGATGTAGGTTTAGGAGTAGATTCTTAACATGTTATGCACTCTTCTGTAGACGAAACCTGAACGAAGCTACAGTAATCCGGAAATGACATCATTTTTTTGGTTAAATTTGGACTAAAATTGAAATGTCTAGGGTATCGAATACTTCGATAAAATCTTCTTTACTGAGGTTTAAATATGGCCTGTTAGACTCGAGATGTATTTAGTGCTTCCGGTTTGAAGTTAAAGTATTGATGGTATCTTGCTCCCCGGCAAGGTAAAATGCAGTTGGCCTGTATTCCAAAGCCGACTTTCTCTCGTCTGGCGACAAAACGCGCAAGTCATGTAGATACGATCGAATAACTGGTAGATTAGCAAGACTAGATGAAGAAGAAGAAGAAGAAGAAGAGAACGGTCTATAAATATCGGCAACATCACGAACGAACCGAAAAAATCCAAAGGCATCACACACCATAAGACAAAGCTGGATCCCGAGCGCAACGCCTCCTCAAGCAAACCTTGTATGCTGAATGGCTAGTATCGGAGGTCGGTGGAATTCGTCTATCGGTGAATTGAAAGGTGGCACGAGACTGGCGCCACAATCTGGCAAGTCCGTCACCATGACTCTACGTGATGCGTTATTCTTGTAGGAAAGGTCATCTAGTCGGAGGTTGCACTGAGCTTCGAGAAGCTCACGTCCTGTCCCCAGACAGCCTATCTCTGGCGCTCCATTGTCGGGGTTGGTATGCAACCGTTCCGTTAAATGTGGGTAGTCATTAAGAGCATAAGAGAGAGCATTTCGCAGACGGTCAATCGGGATGAGATCTTTTCCAGAGCTGAATGTCGGCTTTTCATAGACAAAGATATTTTCGATAGGAACCGGAAAGATTACTTCGTCTAATGGGCCAAGCTTGAACGGAATCTCATCTGTGGACATCACGTCATTATTCTCACAATGTAGCGGAAAGCGATTAATAATTTGTACATCAATTTGGCCGGCTGATGTGGACATTTCGGTGACAGAAAAAATATTAATTATGGAGGAGAGAAGATGATATAACGAGTGAGCACTTAAGACGACTTTGGATCGGCTTATTCTTTTGGATCTGAATGCGATGTTGTCAGGCGTCAAAAAAGAATATTTACGAAGGGACAAATGTAACGAAATTGTTGAAAATATTGGCATATAAAGATTCTAAATTAACCCAAAATTTTCGGGTTTCCAATTCTAATTCTTTGTTCTCAGTCTCCCAGCGTTATGTTACACAACACAAACGGAAGATTGCGTCAAAGATCGGACCCGGACCTTTTGTTTACTTTTAAATTTGTCCGAGAGAACAAGGTGTGAGGCAGCTCGTGATTTGAAGGGAACTTTATCTATGGTCTCGTGTTTTCATTCCAAATGGTATAATTTCCTTTGGCTGCGTAATGAACTCGATACAGCCTTGGAATAGAATGATGCCTGCTGTCTTAAGAATGAAGTGAGAAGCTGTGCAGCGAATCAAAGCGCAAATGACTTCCCGAGAGGTACAAATCTTTTTTCAAGTTTGGAAATCAAAATCGGATTTAGTTGTACAATATAGTAATAGATTTTGGTAAGTTTCCTACCTTCTATTTCAAGTATTCAGAGTATATCGTGAGAGAAGCTGTAAATAAACGAAGGGATGCATCTAGCTGAGTACATATCGGGATATATCAATTGATCTACTAGGATCGAGACCTTAACTGATAATATAAGATTCCCAAATAGCCATAGGCAACTTAGGATACATTGCAAATTTACTCTTGGGAAGAACTCCGAGCTCGTCGACAAAACAAACAATATCGCAAAGTTCATATGTTACTTCAAAAGTTAAATTGTATGTACAGCATATGTTACGTTTCAAATGCGTTTAAGCCAAATTTTCTCTTTCATCTGCTTATTCCATCCAATGCCAAGCTCGTATGGGTTTCCGTCTGTTCCTACGCGGAACTCCGCGGGGTAGGTCTCCGGAAAGAAAGCCCCATAGTCACCCTCATGTTCTGATTTGATTACAAAGTACTCACCACTTACATGCTCGAAGCTCATGTACTCTGGCCACGTGGTGTCCTCCCTATCGGCGCGCAGAACACCGCTTGACTTATCAAGATATATGTCCACTTTTTGGTAACCAGGATGAAAATAGGTACCAGTATATTTCTGTAGAGAGACCGCAGTGGGAAGGGTTGGGGAAGGGAGATTAGGATAGAATCGTTGAATGGAGTTGATGTTCTTTTCCCTTTCTGCTTTTATAGTATTCAAATCACTAAATAAAAGGTTAGTGATCTCTAGGATTAAGATGGGAATTCATGCTACGGAACACCGTATTTTTCACATACCGTTGATTCCAATCAAATCTTTTCTCGGGTGGCACATCAAGCTTTTCATCAATTAGATGGAATGCAAGAGTGTGTGAAACGCAGTTTGAGGTAAGCGCAGTGTTCCCCAAAATTGTAACACTGTATTTGAGCTCTGGAATTAAAATAAGCTCGGCCCCAAACGCATTCATGCCACCCGAATGTTCATAGAATTGAACTCCTTTGTAGACACCGATTTGCCAGCCGAGTGCGTACGAGAGAGGCCCGGTAAATGGTGCTTGGTGTGGGATTAACGTGCGTGGCTCCCATATAGCCTTGTATGTTTCCTCAGATAATGGTTTTTCCCTGTTTATTAGTGCACGAGCCCATTTAGCATAGTCTAGCACATTGGTGATCACCGACCCTGCACCAGAGATTTCATCGAGCGGCATCCATTCCACCTCTTTGAAGCCCTTTTCAGGGGAGTATGAATATCCACGAGCCAGATCCTCCTTGGCAGATAGGGCATCCTCTCTACTGAAAAACGTAGCCGTCATCCGAAGCGGCTCCCAAATGCGGTGGGCTAAGGAGTCGCCCAACCATTCGCCAGTCAGGGTTTGGATGACGTGAGAGGCTGCAACAAACATGAGGTTGCAGTACTGATACTGCGTGCGAGGCTCGGCTGTGAGTGGGAGATGGCGCAGCTGACGCACCATCTCTCGTGCAGCTACATCGCGGCTGAGGCGATTGCCGTAAGCTGCGTCATGACTTGGAAGACCTGTTCTATGGGACAAAGCATCTTCAATTGTGACATGCTCTGTCGCATAAGAATTCTCGAGAACAAAATCGTCTCGAATCAGATCGCTGATTGGGGTATCCCATTGTACGTGGGGATATGTTTCATTGTCCTCCACAAGCGTGGCCATAATCGCCGACGTAAAAGCTTTAGTAGTGCTACCTGCATAGAACAGTGTCGAAGGTGTGACTGGTGTTGATGGGAAAGATGCCACTCCATAGCCCTGTCAAACATTTTAGGAACCAAGTTTCAAGAACATTTGGAAAGCTACCATAAGGTGTATGGTGTGAAAGATATACCTGAGCCCAGGTGTTGTCTCCGTCTACCACAGCAACTGCGATCCCGGGTACATGCCATAGGTCTAGTGTCTTTTGCACCAGCTTTTCGAACTCTTCGTTGAGTGGATTACCACGCATTGTCACCTTTAGCTCTGATTTATTTCAAATTGAAAGAGCGTATCCTTTCATGCGGTGACTAGTAATATCTGAAGTGGCTTGTGGTATCCATTGATTCCGTGCGGGGTAAGTGTCAGCCTTTAGTTGTCCCTTCCAATTCTAGGCTCCAGAATATTGAGATGACGAGAAGTGATCCTCACAGCCACAATAAAATATCATATTTAATTACTTAAGAACAAATTGAAGAGCTTGTAAGCCTGCGGTATACTATTTTAAGTCTAGAGAAATATTGATTTTCCTTTGACATACATGGAACTATATGGAGAGTCGCTTGGTTAGCATCAGCCTGAGACGACATTTGAAGTAGTATATTTTCATTTATAAGGCCATTATCTATACCTTGAAGCTGTAAAAGTAGTATGAGTGAGGATATAAATGACTGATAATAAAATAAACAAACCCAATCATGCCGGAACTCAAATGAATATATTACACCAATAACTGTTGAAGTCATCCTTGTTGTCCTGCTTCATGGGTCAAAACCGATCATAAATTACTATTCGCCTTTGATCATTTAAATACTTTATTTTCTCTAGCCAATCAATTCGACCAATCTGATCTGGTGCCAGAGGAGTTTGATAGGGTCCTTCCCTATTACGCTAGATAATTTTTCAAATACATGTCTACCCGGGTTGTGATTCTGTAAATCCGCTCCAAGGAAGAACCATATAAAGTCGAACTTTTCATTTTGGCTCAACAGTATAAGTGCTGCACTGCAGAAATTTATCCTTTATCAGCAGGGAATTCAAGAAAGGAAAAAAAAGTACAAGCAAATAGTGCTACCGATTTTTGAGAAATTCCCGACCATAATAAATCATTCGTAAACTTTGAAGAGAGGGTATTAGATCTCATCATAGTCCATTCTGCTATTGAATCTATTTCAGTATCTTATACCCATGTGTACCATATATGCTCCTGAATGGTTTTTGAGCTTGTTCTTTTTCTTGAAAAATTTCTTATTACGACAGTTGGGATTGACGGAGACAGTGCAAATGAGGGACCAGAAATGTCAAGGTACTAGTATCCTAGTATCCTCATAGCGCTTCTAGCTATGAATAGAGATGGATTAGGGTAGTTACGACTGGCTATAATGGGCAAATAGCTAGGAATTGGGCTATATGTGTGTGGTGAGCTTACAGACCATTCTCCGTTACACGGCGAATGAAATAATATTAATCTCTGGAAAGGATGAATTTCAAGTAAAATTTCATAGAAAAATGTGATCCGCATCTGAATTGCTCTGATGTGGAATAATGTAGCTAGACATACATGCATGAGACTCGACTATGAAGATAATGGTCAATTTATGAGGTCTGTCAAAACCGACATTTTGAAGAAAAGGGTAGGCATTGTAGCTTTGTGCACTGCTTGAGCGGAATTGACAATGGTGGTAATTTATTAAGTTTATGACCTCAAATGATTGAAGTTGTGCAATGGCTGAACTTGGCCGTTTTAAATACTATTATCTATCAAATGCTATATATGAAATAAGTTAAATGTACGATCTAAAAGTCATGTTGTTGGGATGCGTTTGGGATACTAGAGTTCTTGTAAAGATTTATGAAAAAAAGACAAAAAAAAAAGGTCTTGATTGTTTAAAACTACATCTATCTACAGGCCATTCTCACATTGGCGTTTGTCAATGATCTATTGATCACCTCCGTAAGTGTCTACTTACTTGATGCACGGACTTCTCATTTGTTGAAGACGATTTATATTGGCATTAGAAATTTAAATGGTGACATTGTAAGCCTAAGAATGATGATATCATAGAACATGCCTGCCCTAAACGCAGGTCACATTTTTCCTACGATGGTGTGCTGATAACTTACTACAGAGTCGCTCCATTCGGTCGATTGAGAAATATAAAGATTGAGATAGTGAAGCAAGAGTTAATTGTGTAAGACGAAAATTCAAATTTCGTGGCGCCTCGGTCTAACTGGGATTGACCTGGTGGGTAGTACTTTGTGAGAGGGCATGCCTTGCCAAAAGATTCGGCAAGCTTGATTCTTCAGTGCCGATTAATCCGATCTGAGCTGCTGGTATATTCAATCAAAAGGACAAAAATGAGCCATTATCTCACTGATGCGCGACGCTCCCCCCCTCCAAGTTCAAAATCTAAAGCATTTAAGCGAACTGCCGACCAATTGCTTTGAAGCTTAATCAAACTGTTTGGAGAGTGTAACGAACCTGGGTACCTTTTTCCGCGCTAAGGTAGCCAATCATGTTGAATGGAGACCTGACCCATTTACCAGTGTCCAATGGGAAAGCGTTCCTTACTTTTTGGAGTTCTGGCTAGTGGCGCATTGGCGCATTTTTCATTGAACTTTCCAGAACATTGATGATTGTTGTGACTGGCCACTGAGACCCACAACGTTAACCGTCCAATAAATGCGTTTCCAGATCTAATGAACCATGGAATTTGAGGCTTCGCAAGCTCTTTATCTTGCCACTTGTGGTTAAGATTGAACGCCGGATTTGGAAATATAAAGAGATTTCCGCTGGCGTTTTCGCCTTTTCGCCTGGGGCCGTTTCTTGTTGACCCATGATGCGATGACCGCATAATGGAGACGGGCGTTCGTCTGTACCTCTCAGGCACCAGGCACCAGCCAATGAAAGTACATACCATACTATTGGGATAACATCTTGTTCACCGTGCTCTCGTGAGGGCTGCCGTTATTGAATTCTCCTCTGGAAAAGTCGGTGTATATGTTCGCAGTCACACTGTAGTTTATGGAATATTTTTCTTGTTTCACTTAGGCCAAGTGGTACAATAATATTAGAAGATATTGGTATGGCGGTCAGGAAGTTCGATGTGCACGATTAGCACATATCTCAACTACCACGAAACGTTCTGGTTGGTCTAGAACCCGCTCTAAGATCTGATTGAGGTTCTAGACTGTTATTCATTGAGAAGGAAGATCCGGAGTAGTGACAAGGTGGCGGGGAAAAGTCGATGGAAATACCAGATTAGTTAGTTCCGGTAGATTAGCTGCGACAGTCAAGGCTTGACATGGAGGTGGGGAACTGACAAAAAGTATGTACTCCAGAGATCAACTCCATTACAGCAGTCATTTGGCATCCTGGTTTGCATGTGGCCACATTGACGACCATGGTACACACGTTTTGCTGAGTCAGGAGAAGGGTATATATTCTGACTCAAGCCCTCCCACTTTTCAAATTTCCCTTCTCTCTTCCATCATTGAGTCGAAGGATAACGTTCATTTATACCACTTCTTTTTCTAGTCATTCTTTCCGGAGTTATCAACATCGATCTTGTATCTTGGATATACCCGGTTCAAGCTTACTTTTCAATCATTTATCAAAAGAAATTAGTCTCATCACTCTTTTTTTACATACCAAACAACATGAAGTTCCAGTATACTGCTGCTGCTGCTGGTGGCCTATTCTTGGCCGCTGGCACCTCTGGCCAATCAACCATTGCAAGTGGTGAAGGCTTTGGAACATACTACTACGATATCCAACAAGTTGACGCTTGCGGCACCTCTTTCGAATACCAGAACCAAGGTGGCGTCATGTGCAACTCTCAGTCTCTCTTGTCCCTGGACCAGATGAACACAAACTATGTTGTCGCGATGAACAACAGCGACATTCGTGCCGATCCCTCAAAGTACTGTGGCAAGAAGGTCGTCGTTACTGTTAACGGCCAGCAATCTGATATGCCGCTCTTCATTGGAGATGGATGCCAGCGCTGTGCTACTGGCTCTGCCTCTAGTGATACCTGGGACGCACAGGGTGCTCCTGGTCTTGACTTCAGCTACAGTGTTCTTAACGAGCTGAGTGGAGGCAGTGCCTGTGATGATGGCCATGTTGCCATCTCATGGGAGATCTTGGATGAGACGATCTATGACTTCTCTGGATCCGGATCCGGATCCTCAGGATCTAGTAACTCTGGATCTAGCACACCAACAACGTTGGTGACCAGTGCTGCGTCTTCTCCAACCCAGGGATCGTCTTGCTCGAACAACGCATGGCAGTGCAACGGAAATATTATCGAGCAGTGTGTTGACAGCGCTTGGAGCCCTCGTGTTACCTGCGCCGCTGGTTCCAGCTGCCAGGGTGACTCCAACCCTTACTGCACTTAGATGGAGCATCAATCACGACTCGTTTGGAACGAGAAAACACCCTTTCTTTCTATAGGACAAGCTACCCAGTCGCTAGAGGCGATAGTAGCGAATCCATGTCAAGGCTGCGCCGTTGAATTTATTCTCTTCTCTTGTTATGCTATTATTTGATTCTGAAGTATATACAATCTTACATACACCTCTTTCAATTTTATATTTCATATATTCTTTTCTCAAAGTTAGAGTTTATAAAAAAGTGAATCTATTTGAAAACATCGCCATTTCATAATGTGTTGCAATTCATGGCAAGAAAATTCTCGTAAAAATTCATAGAATCAGATTATTTCTAGGCAACTCTATTCATGGAGGTCAGCCAGTTTCTGCCTATCAACTATCCCAATCCCGGACCATTGCTTCCCCGCTTTTCTCTGTGTGATTGGTGGGATCGCTGGTAAGCCGTGCCTAGACTATAATCCCTCGGCTTTAGCGTGCGGTTGGCATGTTCGGCATTGTCTAATACATCTGCCTTGCAATTACATGGAATTGAAGACCGCATGAATTAATTTCGCATCTGTTGTCAATTCTACTAACAAAACGAACATTTATATAATATATTGTTGTTGACTATCAACTACTGAAAAGGATGGAAAACAGTTGGCAGCCATATTTAAAGTCGATGGATGATGTCTGGTCGAACCACACGGATCGTGCGGAGAGAAGAAGGGCGCAGAATAGACTAGCACAACGGGCAAAGCGTATGCTAGAAGAACTTAAGTTTTGGTATAGCCTAGTGACAGAATCTGATATTATCAAAATAATAGGAAAAAGAAAATCCCGCGCACAAGTCGCCAAGGGCAATTTGTCTGATCAACAATCAGCCGGACAACAAGATATACCTGGGAGCGGTGAATACGAAGAGATCAGTATTGATAACCAGCCAGAAACCCAATCGCTATTGCAGACACCTACCACTGCTGAGATCCCTAGATTGGAACAAGTCAGCAGTCATAACCAGGAAAACTTTCTACCACCATTCAACAGCAATACAAGCACTCACACTCAGCCTTCAGACCCTAGCTCCGACACCCACTTCATGATTCTCACCTCCTGTCGAAGCCATGAAGCTTTTTCACGAATCCATACGATTCTTCAGCTTAAATGCTCTTACGCCCTCGCTATTCATGTACCGCCATTCGTCCAGCCACCGGCCTCTCTAGTACCGACGCAGGAACAACTGACTATTCCTCATATGATGGCCATTGATCTACTTCCTTGGAAAGAGCTACGCAGCAATCTAACCCTAGCAACCGATGTTATAGACTATGAAGAGTTCATCCTCGATATGACATCTGATCAGTTAAAGGTGTGGGGCTCAACGCCGTGGGACCCGATGGGGTGGGAGGTTGGGGAGAACTTTGTCAGAAAATGGTGGGTCTTTATGGATGAAAGTATATTGTATACGACAAACTTTTGGAGGAGGCAGAGGAACGAAAAACCATTGGAGTTTCCAACGGTGTGAGTCAGGCGGAAAGCGGTCATAAGGGTTTGCGTAATTCCTGAAATAAATGGAGTTCTCTGCTAGGTACTGAGTCTTTTATCAAGTATTTTGAATAATGGTATTATCAATCATACAACGTGAACTTTCTTTGACCATGATGAGGTATATTAGATATCACGCTAATGGTGGCGCTAGCTGACGGCCTAGCTGACGGCCTAGCTGACGACTAGGTCAACTAGCTGACGAGATGCTGCGGACCACTCTGTGTTTATGTATCAAGTTCGGCTTTGATTATACGTTTAACATCCTTATTTCCGAGGTTATACGTATGCACTAAAGAAGTTACAGAAAGCTTTACCCCACACGAAAAAAAAGTATAAATACTCTTTATTGCCTCAGAGGAACGAGTGAAATAAAATGTAATTGACCCTTGAGCTTATATATGATTTGCATTGATTCATTGATTCATTAACTTCTTTCCAAATATGGCAGAGGTGCACGGAACATACGACGACCACTTCGAGTCGGTCAAGAAAGCCCTGAAAACAAACCTGGATAACGGGGAGGAGTTGGGCGCAGCAATATGTGTCAATATTGGCGGGAAGAACGTTCTCGATATCTGGGGAGGCTACGCTGATAAAGAAAAGAAGTCACCATGGGAACAAAGCACCATTGTCAACGTTTGGTCAGTGACCAAGAATGTTGCGGCATTGGCAGCATTGATGCTTGTCGACAGGGGAGTCCTAGATCTCGATGCCAAGGTGGCTGAATACTGGCCCGAATTTGCTGTGAAAGGTAAGGATAAAGTGACTGTTCGGCATATTCTGTCTCACATGTCAGGAGTCTCTGGCTGGGACGCGCCTTTTGAGGATAAAGATATGTATGACCTAGAGGCGTCTACTGCGCGTCTGGCGGCTCAAGCACCTTGGTGGGAACCAGGAACATCATCAGGCTACCACGCATCAAACTACGGCCATTTGATCGGAGAGCTTGTCCGTCGCACTACAGGCAAGTCAATTCGGGAGTTTATTGATGAGGAAATTGCGCGTCCGTTGGGAGCGGATTTTCAAATCGGTGCCCTTGAGTCGGACTCACATCGCATCGCAGAGCTCATAGCTCCTCCCCCAGCTGATATAGCAGCCTTTTCATCACTCGATCCAAATTTACCAGCCGTCAAGACACTGCTGACACCGCCTCCAAATGCACTCAAAGCAAATACGCTGGAATGGCGTCTTGCGCAGATTGCTGCCGTCAACGGACATACTAATGCGCGCGCACTGGCTCGCATTTTTTCGGCTGTAGCCCTTGGCGGGGAGATTGACGGGGTACGGTTACTTTCGCAACAGACTATTGACCAAATTTTCGACGTACAGTACGAAGGCGTGGATCTGGTCCTTTTTTGTATGTTACGTTGGGGAGTTGGTTATGGCCTCCCGCATGTCGATAGCACCCCGTGGATTCCTCAAGAGCATGTAATGTTCTGGCCGGGATGGGGTGGGTCAATTCTCTTGGTAGATGTGAAGAAGCAAATGACTATTGCATATGTGATGAACAAAATGGGAAATGGGGTGTTGGGAAGTGAACGAACTCGACAATACGTTGAGACGATCTATGACGTTGTCAACCAACTCCATACGGGGAGTTGATGTGATGGTGCGGTTCAAACAGGTCAACAATTACAAGATTGTACAAATGAAACATGGACAAGGATAATATTGAATGCTTCCATGTCAGCTTGTAGCCCACTGTGAAAGAAGCCGTCTATGTAATTTCTAAAATATTCATTTAGCATGGAATTTGTGCATCAAACAGTTTTCTGCCGCGAACGCCAACATGGCACTTGAAAACTCCTCCATGCCATTTCCCAGATTCAGGATACTTGTCAACCTCAGGATCCTCCTCACTAGTAATGTAAACATCTTCATCGGCAAAAGCAACAGCCTGAGTTGTAATTAGACCGGCAATTCAAATAGCGAAATGAAACTAAATGAAGCGGCAGTGACTCACAGTTGGACACCTTGTTGGTACCTCGATTTCAGCTGTCACTTTTCCTTTCGGTGAAACTTTGACAACTTTCCATGCACCCCAAAGCGCAACCCAAAGATTTCCTTCTTCATCCATGGCGTGTCCGTCAGGTCCGCCTTCATCTGAGTGCCAAAATACTCTCTGATTGGTGATATTGCCAGTAGAAGCATCAAAGTCAAATGCGTAAATATTTCCGGTGGGAGTGTCAGTCCAGTACATGGTCTTGTCATCTAAACTCCATGAGATCCCGTTTGGGATAGTCACATTTTCAAGCATGCGATGGAAGGAGCCGTCTATATCGAGACGGAAGAGGGTGCCTAATTATACATGTGAAGTTTTGAGTTTCCATTCATTATATCAAAGAGGGGAAATTCGTACCAACAGGATCAAATTTGCCATTAGTGACAGCTGGATCGTTCATTGCGCCGACCCAGAAGCGACCCTGGCTGTCAACGCCGCCATCATTCGCGCGCATGATATTTTCATAGCCCTTAGAAGTTTCGGCATCGTTCCAAAAGCGCTGGATATATCTGTATTCATTGCTGTTGCGTTTAGCTATTCCGACCCCATGCTTTCCACCAAAGAGAAAGCTGTCTTTTGATGATGCGAGATTCGCAGTCACACTGGAAATTCTATCAGCTTCACTACGGAAATGAAGGAGGTTATTCAATAAAGTTCACACACCCGAATGAAATGTCGTAACCAAATTTCTTAGCAGAAGATGGGCCTACGTTCAGATCTACCCACCACGTATGGCGTTTGGCAATATCGATGAAACGTAGGGTGTTGGTTGATTGTTCGTAAAACGGTCCCTCTGAAAGGCCGCATTTGAGGTCGAGGAATGGCTTGCATTGTCAGATTGGCGGGTGTATTTACCTTAGGAAAACGTACCTGCGTTATTTTGAACTTTTGCATTTTGCAAACTTTTAATATATAGCTTAAAGTGATGTGGTGAGAGCCCAGGGAATGAATGGCCGCGGGGTCGATATTTATCGGGGGACACTACTCCAGAGGGGCTGCAAATTTGATGGTCCGCCCAGGCGCCTTGTATATCACCGAGTACGTTGACGCCTTGGTGGGGCTTATAGTGGGACCGACACTTGCCAATACAATATTTTGAAATTTATTATGGCCGTATTTCGACGTGAATATAACGTTTCGATTTTGCTTTCTAGCACACTGGAGAGGCACAATCTGGTCAGTTTCATAGGGCCCTTCTTCTGGTAAGGACTCAAATACAGTACATAGTTTCAAGAAGTACCGTCAAGACCGTAGACTTCTATTGAAGCGAAATATTGGGCTTAGTCTTCATAGTCTACGATCTCAGTATACTTTGAAGATTCCCGAAGAATCATAGCTAGAAACTTGTCAATGAGAATTTGAAGGCTGCGGGATAGCGCCATTTAAGAGCAAAAAGTGCATCACTTCTTCGTGGCCTTTTGCTGCTGCCCTTGCGATGGGTGTTAAGCCATTATTGTCTTGTGTATTCACATCTGCACCGTTTTCTACCAAGGTTTTTACTACGCCTGCATGGCCTTTCCCTGCTGCGAACGAAAGCGGCGTCCGATTTTCCAAATTTTTCGAGTTTGGGTCTGCCCCGTACTTCAGCAAGTAACGGGCTGAATCCGCAAATCCGCCTTCTGCTGCATAATCAAGTGGAGTACGACCCTTTTGATCTTTGGTGTCGACCAAAGCTCCCCTTTTCAGAAGAACGTCGACCACTTCTTCGTGTTGATCTCCCTCCTGAGTGTGCGTGTACCATGGGTAGCGATCGACCTGTTTTGCGGCGTGCGATAATGGAGTAAGACCGTTAAAATCTTCTGATTCTAAGTCAATCCTTTTCTGTTCGAGAAGTAGCTCAACAACGGCCAGGTGACCATTTCTTGCCGCGATTGATAGAGGAGACAGACCACCAGCCCCCTTTAGGTTCGGGTCTGCTCCGCTTTCCAGCAGCATCCTCGTTATTCTGGTATTTCCTGCTTCCGAGGAGTAAATCAATGCCGTTCTGTGATAGCAATCCGCGGAATCAATATCTAATCGACTAAAAGCTCCGTTCAACAGAGACTCAACCGCTGCTTCTTGTTCACGTTTAGCCGCCCACACCAATGGAGTGGTGTCTTTTGTGTCTTTTGAATTAGGATTGGCTCCTTTTCCGAGAAGAAAACTAACCATCTTTGCCTGACCATATTCTGCCGCGTGTGATAGTGGGGTTTGACCATGCCTATCCCTTAATTCAAGGTCGACACCCTTCTTGAGGAGCATCTTGGCGACTTGCTTGGAGCCGGATTGGGCCGTAATTGCCAGAGGACTATGGCCAAAGCGATCTGGCATATCAAGTTCAACACCCTTACCAATGAGGGTTTTGACAATAGCTGTGCTTCCAGACATGGCGGCATTCCAAATAAGCTCCTGGCCATGACGATTTGTACATTTGCAATTCGCGACCTTCCTTAGGAGGAGGTTGAAAATTCCCTTATGACCGGAATATGCGGCATACACTAGTACATTTTCTCCCTCGTCGCATTGAGCGTGCGGAGAGGCCCCCCGTTCCAAAAGAAGCTTGACTACTGTCTCATGTCCATTTTCAGCGGCAAACATTAGTGGCGTCATACGATGGAATTGACATGGTAAATCGACATCGGCCCCTGCGGCCAAAAGAACTCTTACAGCTGCTTCAGAGCCTCTGCTTGCTGCTGATGCCAACGGGGTCCTCCCATCATTGGCTATTGCATTTGGGTCGGCGCCACTTTCCAAAAGAAGCTTGACAATAACAATGTTATTGTCATTCGCAGCTCTTGTTAGTGGGCTATCGCCTTTCTCGCAGCTTCGGTCTGGATCTGCTCCGTATTCGAGGAGTAGCTGCACGATTTCATCTTGCTTGTGCATCACAGCTAGGAATAGAGATGTGAAACCAAAGTGGTCCCGCAGATTCACATCACATTGATTCAGGATTAAACGCTGAGCAGTTTTAAACTGACCGCGCTCTGCGGCCCATAGTAGGGCTGATGGTGTGGCGTCATGCTCGGAATATTGATAACGTCGCACATGAAATTGGTATAGGAACTCGTTTAAAAGTATGTATAAGCGGGCATTAGTTTGAGTAAATGCATTGATATCTTTCTGTGAATCTAGAAATTCGGTTATGGTGTGTAAAAGTTCATTGGGCAGGGTAAGCAGAGACATTATCGGCCATTGATGAAGAATGAACGAATGTTGCTGGGAGGAGAGAAAGTAACATTTTATATGCCTAGCCAGGTAATATTTCATATTTTTCTAATTTTAAATGAGTCATTTTTGGGTGCGTGAAAGTTATTTGTCATTGGTCAGGAGTACCCATGCCGCTGACAGCTGTCCAATGATCGACATTTGAAACTCCAACACTGCCACGAAGGAAAACATCCAACACTCACAAATATTCACACCTACTAATATAACAGCGAAAAGATCCAATACTGGGTCTGGCCGAGATTTCCTGAAGGTGGTTAGATGGTTTTAAACATAATTGCCACGACAGCCACAGGTTGTACTTCGTTTCTGTCTAACCTCATTTTAGTCCATAAAGTGCCGCTTTATGGCTTTATAGGCAGTAGTTTTAGTATTTTTCTTGCAATTCCAAATAGTTTCAAGCAAATAGTAGTATTTACAACAATTTAGAATGTTACGGGACATTTTCAGATCTTCCGACATCGATTTTCAGAAAGGGAGAAGTCCGCTCAGAAATTCGAGCTATGTAGATTGAACGACACTTGGGTCTCTAAATTTTGTCTCAAACCCACCCTCCATCGACAACCAATCCCTGGTTTGTAACACCCTCGCTATCATCTGCAACAAGCCACAATGCCATGCGGGCAACATCACCCGGCTGCAGAAGCCTCTTCAACGCCTGCCGACTCAGCACCCATTCTTGATACTCGTCAGTTAGAACCTCTTTCTTTTGTCTCTCGGTAGCAATTGCTCCTGGCAAAATGCTGTTAACTCGTACGCCTTTAGACCCAAGCTCATGCGCCAGCGTCCTTGTCAACCCAACAATCGCAGCTTTGCTAACTACATACGGTGCAAGTCCTGTTGCTGGGACTGCCCAGGTGATGCTGCCCATATTGATGATCGAGCCTGAGCCACTGTCAATCAATGCTTGGGTCAGGAATTGCGTCAAAAAGAAGTGGTGGCGTAAATTAACATTCAAACTATTATCCCAGTCGTCAACTGTAATAGATGATGTTTCCTGTCGCATATCCCTGGCTGCATTGTTTATCACTGCGTGAACCACAGTCTTGCTTCGGAGGATCTTTTCACAGGCAGGTTTTAGCGAGTTGTTGATATCGGTAACGTCACAGTGGATGAATTGAGGGATATGAAGGATTTTTGTATTTGTTTTGCTTTTTTGCTTTAGGCTTTCGATCAGAAGGTGGGCTGCATCTGTTTGGATATCGAAGAATATCACTTCGCTGCCCTGCAGTGCAAAATGTTCCACAAGCGAACCGCCGATCCCAGTTGCACCGCCAGTGATGACCACAACGCGGTCAAGAAGGCTAGGATATGATGCGTATTTTGATGTCATGGTCATAATTTCGCTGAATTTTAAAACGAAGCAACTCAGTTCCCTTCAGCGTGCAGATCAAATTAGTCAGTCCATCCTTGTGCGGGGTTGGTTGTTGGCCGACATTCCACTCGGCGCCTCTCCGATCGGGTTCGCAAGTATCCCGAGAAGTGTTTTGGGCATGCGTATAATGCTTTTTTTTTGTGATGAAAACTTTCAAAAAGTATATTTGAGCTCTCATCGTGATTCTTAGTCACCACCTGGGATTACAAGCTAATATGTGAATAGGTGATAGACTTCACTCCTCACAGTTCGACTCATCGGTTTTAATATTTGAGTATCTTTGTTATGAATAATGATATCCCGAGTTTATGGCTATCATATGCTGCCTCTATTCTTCCGCCTTTTCTCCATTAGTTGATTCTCAGGGCTAGTCGAAGTTGTTTTTAGAAACATCAACTGATCAACTATGTTGACATCAGAAATTGCAGTATGCACCACTAACCACCACTCGGAAAGCAAAGGACGACCTACTTATTGTCAACAGACAAATTGTTGAATTTGTTATGTAATACATAATAATAGCATGGACTATTACGATTAGGAAATCACGAGTCAACGAAATAGTCAACGCAGTTACTACGGCAAAAGTGGAATATACAGTTCTTTTCCTCTTGGTAAAGTATCGTTAAAAATTTGCGATCCCAAATGAGAGATAATCGGCCTAATCGTCATTCTTGTCCGCTATACATGTATTTATACTTCTACACCCCCAGCAATATCTCTTTATTTTTGTCTCTACCCTTCTCACACCTTCAATGTTCATATATTCTGTTTTGATATGTCCACCCTCCTTCGTTGCGGCCCTACAAGACTTTTTCCATTTCGAAATAGAAAAAAGTGGCGAATGTAAAAAGCGGGGTTGAAATCTGATGATAGGTGAGATGTTTACCAATATTCAATGTCAATATATCATTTAACACGCTTATAGGACCAAAAAAATTTGATCTTTGCCAAGTTTTCAAGTTCCATATTGAAAATACACGATTTCTAGAAATATCAAGTCGCCATAAATTTTGACAAACAATTGCGAACTTGCCGATCACCCCTGCAGAAGAATTCAGTATGAGAAAAGTCGCCGACATATCGGCAAATGTGGTATACAAAGAACCAAATTAAGTTATACGAAGACCAAGTGGGGGGCTTCTTGGCAGGTCCGGCAAATGTGGTTGTGCTGGGTTTTCTCAATATTCTGTATGGTGCCCTTGAATCGCATGTCAGTATTAAACTATTTTGGCCCATTTCGACTAAGGATGATAAATCCAAAGGCTATTCCTTATAGCGTGTGCCAACGGAGGCCTAATGATTATTGCCATTGTCAGCATTTTCAGCCGCAATGATGAAACTTCGTCGCCGCGACTTGCATCTTTTGACGAAGAGGAGGCAAGAATAGTAACCATGTCATTTGAAAGTTGCTAGGGGGCGAGGGGCTGAACGGATTGTACTGCAGGCCTCAAGTGCGACGACTGAATGGTCGCAGATAGCAGTCACCTTTGATTCTGAATATGATATTGCTGCATGCCTCAGATTCTAGAAGGGATCTTCACGGGCCGAGTGTTGAATCATCCTAGTTTCTTTTTCCGGAGTGTCCGACATGGGGACAAACACGGACAAGTATGTTTCAACGCCGACAATTTATAATTTGCCACCTTTGGGTTCTCAAGGGGCCTTTTATCTCTCAATAACAAAAGAGTGTGGATATGAAAGATTTTAGAAAGTCGTTTGTTAACGTATTAAAGTGAGATCAATCTCTGAAAGTACTTACGAATGGAGATCCGCGAAAAAGAGAACATTGCTGGTATTACACTCCAGTGTAACCAGTGCACCCGCCGGTATTCGACCCAAAGTGCACTTCTGCGACACAAAAAGAGCCATGACCGAAATGCTTGGTACTCCTGTGAGGTTTGCCATCTAAAGTTCTCGCGAAAGGATATTTTGCAACGACATAAACAAGTGCATGGTAATACCGAAAAGCTCTCGGAGCGCAAACGCGCAATCCACGCCTGTGATGAGTGTCGCAAGAATAAAATTCGCTGCAACAGTGATTACCCATGTCAAAGCTGCATAAAATCCGGGAAACAATGTACTTATCTGACCCAGGTGTCACGGCCAAGCATTCAGGGCTTCCGGGGAAGACGCAAAAACGTTACGCATGAGGCAAGACTTCCATCAGAAAGCATAGATGCGGATTCACCCCAAAATCGTAAGGTTATATTTTTCTAGATATTCACAGTGATAAAGTAAACTAAACTGGCGTAATAGAGCAACCTAGCCGCAGTCAATCAGATGCGTCGAATATTTTTCTTCCAATAGTGCCACACGGGGATACATTCACCTCACTGTCAAGCTCCAATCAGTTGCTACTGACAGATATTGATTTACTATTATCTCAGTCACAAACAAACCGCAGTTTGACAGCGAGACATGCTGTAAATTTTCCCGCGGTGTCTGAACTTGTCCCCTCGTGTACGACTCGGTCTAGCTTCAACGGCCCATTGCATTTAACAGACAGCATCGGATATCCTAGCTTGAAGCAAACCGATCCCTCAACTTTTTCAGTTCTTCAAACCTTAGGTCCAGCAAACAACTGGTTTCAAGAACTAGCACTACCTATGGCGATATCGCACAATGTCGTTCGCGATATGGTCCAACAAGCTGCCGCCGACTTCGTGGAACTTGAAATAAAAGATGCCGTATGGCGCAGTCGTAAACGGCGTTCCTTTTCTCACGTGATACTAGACAATTTCAACCTTTCTGCATGGATGAAAGGGAAAAAGACACACTTATTACACACTTTTGTTACTTCTTTCTTCGATAACTTTTCACCATTATGGCCAATATCATGGCGACAGGGGTTTGACCATGATGCGGTTGAGCCTCTGCTTTATTTAACAATGACTGCAATTGGAGCTATGTATGCTGGATGCCCCAGTGCAGCATCGTACGGCCTTATTTTACATCAGGAGCTATGCGCAGTTCTTCCTGATTGCTGTCTTTTGTGTGCGGATATCGAAACAAAACTGGAGGCTATTTTTGAAGCTCTCTTACTCAGTGAAATCATGTCTCTTTATCGAGGAGACTCACAAGCTTCCACTTATGTGAAGCACGCTAGTGCCATTCTTGTCGCCCATGCACGCAGGATTGGTGTTTTTCTCGAACTTCCTGCTCAACAATTCAAAGATTCAACTTTGGAGATCTGCCATGACCAGACGGAAAAGAAACTTCAACAATGGATCCGTATGGAACGAAGAAGAAGAATGGCATTTGGCTTCTTGCGTTGTGAAGTATTCTCCAGTATAATTTTCAACACACGACCTATTATTGCAGCGGAGGACCTGCGTCTTAGAGCTCCATGCGATCATGGTGTATGGATGTATGTAGGACCAGAATGGAGGGATAAACTTCTCTCGGTCGTTGAAAAGGTTGTTTGTTATCCGCTTTACTCTGATCTGATGTGCACCATTACAAAATGGGACCGAAGCCAGATTCCTCTTCTTGATCCTTATACACACGAGCTCGTTCTATATGGACTTCAAATATCTCTTCTTACCTCATGCCACAATAGCTCTAAATTATTCTCAAACTTTCAGAACTCTGACCAGCTATCAACTAACGACCCTTCCGTTGTTATCACGGACTGGCAAACACCCATTGAGGATCTGACTTTATCGAAGATTCTGCGTCACATTGATGAATGGAAAACTGTACAGGACAAATTCCAGGCAGCTGGTCACAACGGCACTGATAAATTACGAAACCCCTCGGCACAGCTATTATATCATATGGGCTACATCAGAAGCAACGCGGATCTTGTAGTGCTTCAGGAAATCTTGTCTTATGACAATAACTCACCCTTGAGAACGGAGTCTCAAGAACGAGCATTCAGAAAAGTCTGTTGGTGGGCTACCACGGATGCAGCCAAAGTTGCCTTACTACATGCATGTCACGTCTGGGCGGTGGCTGAAAAATACCTCATGATGCAAAGTCACCTGGCCAATTCCAGCTTGAGGTACGATCAGGGTATTGATATTTTTTCAGTCATATCGCTTTGTTATGCGGCTATCGTCATCTGGGTTATGGCAGAGTTATGTCCCAATATTGATATCCAGGTCGGACATCCGGACAACAATGATGCCGACTTTCTTGTAGTAAATTCTGGAAATATTCGCCAAGGTATTGAAAAAATTAGTGACGTTGTCACAAGGGCAAGTCCTCCGTCGTGGCAAACAGCGTCTTTCCTCGTTATGAGCACGAAAGCATTGACTCATAAAGCACTGTATTTATTTTAGAATTCGTATTCGAGACGAATGATAGTACTCTCTCGGCTTCTTCGGCGTCGGGACTTGCTGAAACATATTATAATGATCTTAATACCGCCCATCTACTCACATATTTTCATAATAAATAGCCATAAAGATATTACGGCCCTGTAGACTGGTAGCTGATGCCTCAGGCACTGGAATATAATCTGCGTCACCAAACCATGTATCCTTACGTACCGCAATATCGTGCTTCTATCAGTTTTCCAGTCTTCAGAAATGATGAATTTCTCCTCGAAGATCCCACAGTGAAGCGACAATCATTCAGCATAACGCAGCATAATTCCTCAAGCTGTCGGTGTTGTGTTGTTAGCCATGACGTAACCGAGTGAATCGGGCACTGTTATGAATTATCATTCATTCGATGCTCTAATAGTATTCCGCGACAAGGAAAAAGTTTACCCCGATGCAATGCAGGCTCAGAGGGTTTATTGATGATATTGAAAAAAGATGAGATGGCTGATCCGAGGATCGAAGTCAGGGGCGACCCAATCGGTGTGGGTACGGCATATGGGGTGACCTGTGTGTCCTATTGCAGGCGTCTACAGCCCAGACCATCAGGGTCCTTTTTCCAAGCTTTGGAGATTGTCTTACCACCGCCTATGTACCTCGATATCTTAGTCTTTCCACCCACCGACAGATAGCTTACCTACCATGGCGACTGTACACAATGTAGGTACCAATAATACTATGAATATAACCACGGTTCCCACGGAGCTGCTGCTCCTTATTGTGTCGCAACTGTCCAACATTGAAGACCTGCTCGCATTGGGTTCGGCCTGCCGTGTGTTTCACGAAATCATCACCCAGCAAACCTCTCCACGCGTCATCCTTCGTCTTTTCGCCTCGTCCGCCCCGACCTTCTGCTCGCCGCATCCTCACTTTTTAATTTTATCGCTGGCTCGTCAAATCGCGACATGGACTTTAGCGGATCCTACGGCGCGGAAGTCGCTGTTGATTGAGGCCTTTCGGGGGGGAATCGACTCTTTGTACGATTTCTGTCTGCAGAACGCCCCATTTGGCTTGTCACTGGATCAAATTCGGCGAATGCATGCGATGCGATTTAGTATCATAAACCCTCTCTCAGACGCGATCGATCGCATGGCCGGGGAACAGTGGTATAAAACTCCGAGATTCTGGAATGGCGGTGTATCAGAGGCCGAAACACTCCACACCGACTCTGGTCGGGCAACGATGCAAATTCTTATATACGGAGAGCTTTTTGGATCCACTATGGACGTGTTTTTGCGGAATGGTGGGAATGATCGGCCGCTTGAGGATGTAATTTTCACTCAAGAAGATCGCTTTGAATTTATCAAATATTGCATACCGGACCTTTGCTGTCGCTCATGGGGGGAAATATTTAAGGTGGAAAGTACTGGCCCCTATGCACCAGACCTAGAGGGAGAAGGTGTAATAGAGGAAGATCAAACTGCGTTGCGGCATATCCTCGCGTGTCGGCGCTGGCACCGAATGTGGCAGAAGGCGAAAGCTATAGTTACTGTCAGTGACACTAGAACTGTACCGGAAGAAGAAAAGTTTGACTTCACTGCTCTCTCGCAATATCTTAATCGAAGCAGAGAGATTGAAGTGAAAGATGATATTAATGAAGAAGACTGGAGAGAAAGACTGTATCGCGAGGCGCTCGTATATCAAGGATTAGAGGGAATGCAGTTGGTAATATTGCCTTATGGAAAGGTGGACAAAAAGGTGTTAGATAAAGCCAGCTGGATTCGCAAAAGGATAGGAGATATGGAAAATCCGTTTGAGTGCGTGAAATGGGGAGCAAGGTCACAGATACCCGTCTCTGTAGCACCAGACCTATTGAGAGAAGTTCAAGTAGCCAGTAGATCAAGATATCCAGGTAATTCGTGAGTGATATATCAATTGATAGATATAGGACGTTCAAGGGTCATACACGTGGGCATCGCACTAACCAATTTTATGTTATCAACTCAGAGACTTTTAAGCAATGTCGTCAACTGAACCCAGTTTTCTTTGAAATGTAAGTACATATCTACAGCCTGATATCAAAAGGAAATTGTTTGCCTGCAGGCCTCAGGCATCAAACTTTGAACATTTAATCAAGAGAGCTGTTTGACCAATGGAAGTTGGGTTAGCTATGTAATTTTGGGACTTTGGTAGATCGAAATTGCATCATCTCTGAGAGCTGTGATTGGCTAAAACTATAAAATTTCCCCGACCGCCTACCCTAGAGGTCGGCGGTGAATGCAGAAGAGTACTTCAGCCTTCCAAATAGTCTGTTACTCAAAGTTGGCAAAGCCATCACGTATCTCCATAGACATATATAGCGGTCTGAGATGTACTATAAGTTGAGGAAATGCTATCAGCATTTCTATCAGTCGAGAGCTGAATGCAAAGGATCCGTTGGAAAATAGCTCCTCGGTGGTGTTGCTGGCAGAAAACTAAGATGATAGCCAATGATGAGTCTATTAACAAGGCGGTGGGGTTATAGGTTCAGATTCTGCCAGCAGAAAACCTAGCTCCGCACTGCCAGTTTTGTCTTGAACGATTTCATTTTCAAGTTTTTGTCATCACATTACTTCATTACTTCTATGTGCTCGGGGCTACAAAAGATCTTGCTTTACTAATTCTCTCCAGAACCCAATCTCTCGTGTTCACTGCAATTTAGAATGTTTCGCAGCTGCATTACGCAAACAGCCTCTGCTGCGGGGCGCTCTGCGACCGCCGCGCAGTTCGTTTCGTCAGCAACCAGAAGTTTCGCTACAGTAGCACCAACATCGCCTGTGACATCTGCTTCTAGGGATCACAAAATTGTCATCGTCGGAGGTGGTACCGCTGGTCTAGCTATCAGCCACCAGCTTTTACGATCAGGCAAATTTGTGCAAGATGATATTGCTGTCGTTGACCCCGCGACATTACATCACTATCAGCCTGGCTGGACTTTGGTCGGTGGTGGTTTGAAAACGAAACAGGAGCTACAAAGACCTCTCAACAGTTTAATTGATCCAAAATTCAAGTTTTACAATGAAACCGTTGATACTTTCCAGCCGGAATCGAATCTAGTCACCCTTGGAAACGGCGACAAGATCGGATACGAGCAGTTGATCGTCGCACCGGGTATTAATATCGATTACGAGAGCATTAAAGGCCTACCTGAAGCATTAGCTGATCCAGATTCTTTGGTTTCAACTATTTATGGCTATGATACGTGTGACAAGGTGTTTCGTACCGTTGAGAAGCTGAGAAAAGGAACTGCCATATTCACCCAACCGGCCGGGCTTATAAAATGCGCAGGTGCTCCACAAAAGGTCATGTGGCTTGCATTGGACCACTGGAAAAAGGCTGGTCTCTACAATGCTACCGGTAATTCCGACATCAATATTGGATTTGCAACCGGAATTCCTGCCATGTTTGGTGTACCCAAATACAGCGCCAAGCTTGAGGAGCTGCGAAAGGAAAGAGGTGTGGAAGGGTTTTTTCAACACGATCTAACTGCCATCAATGGTAATACTGCAACATTCGCACTTCCAGATGGCAAACAGGTCACAAAGAAATTTGATCTATTACACGCCGTTCCAAAGATGGGACCTTATGCATTCGTCAAGAACAGCCCCCTTGCTAATGAGGCCGGTCTTGTTGATGTTGATGCTGCTACTACTCGCCATACTAAATACCCCAATATCTGGTCCGCCGGTGATGCTTCGAGCCTCCCAACTGCTAAGACGGCGGCAGCTATCACCTCGCAAGCTCCTGTCTTGGTACGCAACTTGCTGCAATCCGTAGAAGGAAAGAGCCTCGACGCAACATATGATGGATATACGTCATGCCCGTTGTTAACCGAATATGGTAAAGTTCTCCTCGCCGAATTTAAATATGGCGGTGAACCTAAGGAGACCTTCAATAAAATCGGAATTGATCAGGCCACTCCACAGCGTGCATTCTACCACCTGAAGAAAGACTTCTTCCCCTGGGTGTATTATAATTCTATGGTGAAAGGTACCTGGGGTGGTCCCAAGGGTTGGATTCAATAAAGATAGGTGTTGAAGATAGAACTTGTTACAATAGTTGTTAGATCAAAACTAGATTTCTGTGCATACCCGCTTTTTACCTCTGCATAAATATGACATTACTATAAATCACGGAAGTAGACAATATCGTCGGTGCTTGAAGTAGTGCTGAAATGTAAGAAAATATTTTGTATAGGTTGAAAGTCATAGATGCACGACGTATTCAACCGAGTGAAATATCCTGAAAATTACGGGTACTATGATTACTTTTCCTTGGATTACCTAAATTTTATGTCCTTGGTTCATTGAAAAGCCTAAACTATGCAGTACAATATCTGAACCAAGGGTTTGCGCGTCGGTTGCAACTGAGTTAGGGCGTACAAGCCAAGTGACTCTTATCGATGCGGAGTGAACTATAACGATAGCACTAGTCCTCAAGTAGAGGAGATGATGAAGTAAGAAGAAAGGGGGAAAGGAAGTTGTAGATATGGGTTTTCTAAAAATACTAATCAAACGCGTTGAAAATCGCAATTTAGTGATTATTTATTGTCTACTTTTGATTAGCAAAACATATTGCGAGTATTATAGCTTCAAGAAAGACTTACCAAATTTGACCACTTTTCCCTTTTGAGTATATGATAAATTCTGTGAATGGCTCTCTTGTCCATTGAAGTAAACCGCCGTTTTTGAGACAAGGACGATGGTTTGATAGAAAATGCGATTGAAAATATTTTTCTCTTTGCGGATTATCACCGGAGTTTTCCTTTTCGACGTGCAAGGTGAGAAGATATTCCACAATATTCTTCGTTGAACTCCCGACCTTTCCATTGATGGAGCGCCTGGGATTGACCGATCTCAAATTGAATGTAACACGATCCGTCAACGCACACCTCCTCATCTATGGGTAGTATCAAACCTGATTCACTCATCATCTATCCCATAAGCCTTCAAATCCTCCGCCATTCCTTTCAAGGCATAGACAGCACTATGCGCACCTCCAAATATCTTCAAATGTCGTTCTCCTCTAAACTCCAATCCAACCTTTTCTAAAACTCGTTGACTCCGCTTATCCTTCGCAGAACAAAATCCGAAAACTCCATCCGCGCCGAGTTCCTTCCTTGCATAGTCGATCAGGCCAATTGCTGCCTCTGTGGCATACCCTTTGCCACTTTCCTCGGGTAGTATAGTATATCCCACATCAGGCGCAGTATATGCATTAGGAGGCTCGCCTTTCATAAGAGATACGATTCCAATTGGTTTGCTCTCTTCTAGCGATGCTTGGGGATGCGGCTTCAGAGATACTAGCATCTGACCATATCTGTTACGACTGTAGTCGCTTTGGACTTTTCCGGCGATGAATTTGGCTGTTTTTTCAGGCGTATCCAGACCTGTGTTTCCTTCCGCTTGAATAAAGTCTTCCGTATTCCACAGGTGGTGGAGAAAGGTACTGTGGGCCGTGTTTCCTGATTCGAGATAAGAAATATGTAAGCGTTCGGTTGGAATGGTGAAGTTTGGTGGGGCGTTGAAGGTGGTAGCCATGACGGGCAGATCTAATTGTGATTCTTGCTAAGTATTGAACGTGTAGATGGCGAGTTGAAGGATCAATGAAAGAAATCCTGATAATTCATATTCTTTTGAAACGAAGTTGGGTTATTCCCTTCCGGTTAGCGTCGAGCAAGAAATCTATGCTGACCTTGTCACTAGCTGTGAGTCACAGTATGCCGTTTTTATTCGGTGTTTTGGCTTAATTTGGTTAGCCGGAAATGCGACGGGACAATTATCACGACAGCACTTGATCCTTCAAAAGCACATATTGCGTCTTATGAGTATGTCCCCGCCTTCTTATCGTCCCACATGGTCGGAGTTGCTGGAAAGTCACAGGCTTGTAACACCTGTAGGGAGAGGAGGGTGAAGGTACGCAATCATCCAAGGCCGAACAAAATGGCACCGGTTACCGCTAGTTTTATTTTAAATACATATGCATAAAATAAAGCTATTTGAGTCATCCGTTGGTATATCCTTCCATTAAACCTTGCTGACCGAAAGCCTTGACTAGTGCGACTTGAGCCGACCCTCTTGTCTGAAGTGCATTTCTTCGAAGCGAACATGCGCTGGTTATGGGCGAGATCTCATTTTTGTGAACAGAACCCCATCAAGACCAGCATCGACTGCGACGTCAGTGCTGTCAGAGCTCAAGGCTCAGCAGCAGCTGAAAAACAATTTAGCTACTTCAAAAACGGAGGCTGAGTTGCACCGCTTATTTTTTAATTCTTCCCAAAATTGCCAGGAGTTTCGAAAGTACGCTGTCGAACTATTGAAAGCTACATATCTTCCCAAACAGTCAGCTTCGAACAGCCCCAAGGGAGAGACCAGCGACGGAAGCTATTCGTGGGCGTATAGCCTGACAGACCTAGTCGAGCCTAGCAAGTCATTGGATACTTCGATCTTTGCCTTCTGCCTTGCTCAACTCCATATTACTGCCACAGGCAATGTCTCACTTTATCAATGTCTTGACCAATATAATATTGCTCTACAGCAGCTTTATTCAGATTTAGGCGTTCCGGGCCGGCAGTTACGAGAAGAAACATTGGCTGCTATTTTAGTTCTATCAACATGTGAGGTATGTTCAGGAAACTATTTAAGACATGATCCAATTCCACAGGATCTTGAGTACAGTATTATTTACGAATTTCATTAGCTGTTCATTAGTAAGGGGAATAATGGCTGGAGCATTCACGCACACGGCCTCACAGAGATTTTACGATTGCGTGATCCGGGAATGACGATCACTCCAGCATGGCGACACTTATTATCACGCCTGAGGATTATCTGCGTAAGTCACATCGAGTTTGTTTGTTCTCCATCTAACGAACCACCAGGTTCTCGAGGCTTTGACCAACCGACAGGCTCAATTTCTTAAAATTGATACATGGGGACAAATTATAACCGATCCTAGATCCAGCGATGCCCTGAATGAAGTTTATCAAATGATTATAGATGTTCCTTTCATCCTCGAAAAAGCAGTTGCTTTGCCTTCCATCGACGATTCAAGCATTCTCCTAAAAGAATCCATAGCGCTTATGCAATCAATATTTGCTATACTACAGGCTATCAGATCATGGAATGATGATTTCTGGAACGTCTCGCCAACTCCTCGATTTTGGTTGGTGCCAAGCCGTGTAACTAACCCAGCCGATGTCGATTCTTCGAACAAAATCTTTCCATTCTGTTTCGAGTTTTCCTCCATCAACGTCGCTGTGGCGATAGTGATGTCCTGGTCGGTGGTCACTCAGCTGTATAGCAATATTATTCAAATATATGACCTTGTGCAAGCAAGACTGGGTCGTAGTGTTGAGCTTGATGATACCCTGGCTCATGCCGACCCATTTTCGGTAGACATACCGACCATGTTGGGGCCTCCAGGAGGGAAAACTGAAGGTTCTACTACTGACAAAGGCCGCTCAATACAAGAAATTCAAGAAGAGGGAACAAGGATGGTACGCTACGTATGCCAGTCCCTGGAGTATCATCATAGGATAGAGATGGGAACATATGGTGGTCACGCAACAACCTATGCATGCTGGAGCGCTCGCCAGTATTTTCGGCTGCATTCCGGGCATGAGCGAGAGCGGTTATGGTTGCAAAATATACATAAGACAAAAGGCCCAGGTACACAATGGGGATTATCGATGATGACATTTGTAGATATCGCCGACCCATTAGGGAGTTCACCAACTAAACAATTATAACAAATTCAAATCTTGAAGAGGATACCACTCCATCGAAGTGTCTGTAATGGACGCAAGTAGTAGTTCTTCGATATCTTATTCTGAGCCCCTTAAGATAAACTATGATTATCTTTAAAAATCGGGCCGTACGGAAAGAGTGGTAGCGCATGTAGTTTGACTAATTAGTATTCGGACCACTAGCCAACGTAATCGGACACCCACCGACCACTGACATCTGTGTATTGCATATAACAAATATCTATTTTTAATACATTATTAATACAGGTTTTCATGTATATATATATTTCATTTTATTTTATAATTTATATATCATTTTACTGAGATATATTGACATTAAGACGGCCATTTTATATGCAATACACACAGTCAGTGGCGGGTGGATGTCCGATTACGTTAACCCCCTTATCGGCGTTCTTTTCGTTATTCTGATCTCTTCGCATAGCTTGCGGGACTGATACCACTTGGCGACGCTAATATAGTGATCGAAAGATGATACCGCATTAGGACTAGGGCTATCTCTAGCCTAACCAAGCTTCATTGACGTAAATATCTATATAGCCAAGGAGATCGCTCCCACAATTAGATTTTTTTTGTCAATGGGTTCTCATATTTTGATATAATAAATGATCAGTTGAGAATTTGTGTTGCTTTCGTGTGTCAATATGATGTCAAAAGCAGACGATGACTCCGCCAATCACCAATCGGAGAATTTGGGGAACAATAAACACGAACCCCAGCTTTCGGAACCGCTTTCAGAGAAATTGCAAGATTCGACTGCTGTTGGGCCGGATCCAAACATTTTCCCAGATGGCGGCTTTCAGGCATGGTTTTGTATTGTCGGTGGATTCTGCACGATCTTTGCCAGCATGGGTTGGGTGAATTGTATAACACCAATTTTTGGAGAGTAGTAATGCAATTTGTTGACCGAGATAATAGGCATTGGAGTCTTTCAAGACTACTATCAAGCTCACCAGCTTTCATCTTATTCGCCTAGTACTGTAGCATGGATACCAGCAGCACAGTCATTCATGTTATTCTTTTTCGTGGGTTCATAGCACATACGTTTGGCTTCTATAATGCTAATGTTGAGTAGGGTTTAGTTTCGGGCAAAATGGCAGATAGCTACGGCCCACGTTGGCCGTTGCTAATCGGATCCTTTTTACATGTTTTTGGGCTGATGATGATATCGCTATCTAAAGAGTACTATCAGATATTTCTTGCACAGTGTATCTGCAGTGGCATAGGAACAAGCTTTTTATTTTACCCCAGTGAGTAAACCAACACTCTCGTTATTTGATATTCAAAAGCTGACAGTGCTCAGCTGTTGCTGCAGCAGGCACTTGGTTCAAAAGACATCGAGCACTCGCGTTCGGTATTATGGTGTCTGGATCTAGTCTCGGTGGTGTCATACTTCCGATCATGGTCCAGAACTTGATTCCAGAAGTCGGATTTCAATGGGCAATGCGCATTACTGCATTCCTTCTTCTTGGGCTTCTGATAGTCGGTAACATAGCTGTCAAGTCTCGCCTCCCTCCCGTCCGAAAGCCTTTCTCGGTGAAAGAGTATTTCATTCCATTTTTTGAAATACCGTTTCTACTGCTTGCTATCGGTTCCCTTTTAATCTACTTCGGTGCATTCTTGCCTTTCAACTTTATCATTGTTCAGGCAAAGGAGGCAGGCATGTCCACCGACCTTGCAAATTATCTCATTCCGATTGTCAATGCAGCAAGCATTTTCGGAAGAATCCTTCCCGCCCACCTTGGAGATATATGTGGAGTCTTCAATGTATGCATTGTCTTCACGCTTTTCTCAGGCATTATAAGTCTTGCGATATGGCTACCTGCCGATAACAATGGCCTGTTGATTGCCTTTGCGATCCTATATGGTTTCGCGTCAGGTTTGACACTGGCGATTATTCCTGCCTTGGTAGCTTCAATCTCAGACATTCAAAAGCTAGGCATCCGCGTAGGCACCTTGTATGCCTTCTCCTCATTTGGTGTTTTATTCGGTAGCCCGATTGCTGGGGCAATTGTGACTTCACAGAATGGCGGCTACTCCGGCCTTAAGATCTTTTGTGGTATCACATTAATCGCAGTAAGTACCCTCAGAGAATGTTTAATATTGAATATTAACGGTTATAGGGTGGTCTTTTTGTCGTTCTCTCGCGGATCGTATTAGTTGGCCCTGGACTGCTGGCTAAGAAATGAACAAAATACTTTGGTAAATTTAAAGAAAGGATCATAGCTCGGCCGGCGTACTGTTTTTGAGATTATCAAAGCAAATTCGAAAGGTAATAGAGCATAGCGGGAGTGGGTGGGAAATAAGTAAGTGTATATGTTTACAAAAAGAAATGTTAATTTTGTGAGCCGTCATATAGAACAATATAGAAAATAGATTCATTTATTACTCTACCTTTAATTACTAAAATAGCAACAATTGGCTCCCTCCCATGCCATCTTCAAATTTCCTTGTGATGTCATGTGGTTCGCCAATAATTTGTTTCTCTAGTCGTATTTACCAAGATTTCCATCAGTACTTCTTGTTCTCTCAAATCCGTGAAGCGATCGGAACATATATTACTGGCCATACACACTGTAAGGAGACATGGCCAGGATTTGCGATTCGACAGTGCTATTCCACATGTCTCGAATACCAAATCCCTTAATTTTGGATCCGTGTCATCCATAGACTGGCACCTAGCAAGACCTACCTACCACACATGCGGCGAAAAGAAGATGAGGATAATTCGAAGTAAACATATGGTTTGGAAGGCAAGGCTGTGGCAATCTTCTAGAGACCAGGGGGGGAAAATTCACTATGCTTTCGATTTGATCTCTTAGAGTAGATTGAAGAAAATGATAGCGGTTGAGATTGGAGCCAGCGGTTAAGCATTTCAACAAAATGATGATGGCATTTCAGGCTCCGATCTGGCTCTGTGTCGCAAGAATATTGTAAAATGTGAGCGCCAATAATGAGCAGTCGGTTAACCCACACATGGTCAGGGGCTCCCTCATTGAGTAGCAATTGTCCCTAAGCCTTGGTATTTCATTGTTGTATTTCAGCGAGGGACCATGGCTTTTAGTCAGACATAATATACCCTAAAAGAAGCCAGTATTGCCGTAAATGACTACCCTGTTTGCACGGTGGTTGAAATAGTGTGGCGAAATCTCCACTTAGGCTTTATGCGAATACATTCTCTTCCCAATCTTTCGCATCTTGTGTACTTCTGGTCGTCCCATTGCCTAATCTCAGTTTTTGGATCAGCGCGAAACTTCGATATTATTTTTGAGGTGGGGGTTATTACACCTAATTACTATATGGACAATATTAGATCTAGCCGTATAGTTGTGTACAAACTATAACCGGTTTTCCAGTGTAATCGCTAAAACACAAATAAAATATAACAAGACATAAACCGCTGGATTAGAAGTCTCATATTCCATCAACTACATATGTACAAGTATCACTTGGCATATATACATATGTATATTTAAAGTTGATCAACTGATTACCTCAAACGTTAACTGTCAATTGCCTTACATATAGCGGTCACATATTCCTCCGTCCTTGCAGTGCCCTGAGTACCAAATCCTAGCTTGTTCATAGCGTATGCAATGGTTAACTTGCGGTCAAGGTCCATAATAATAATGGAACCACCGTAACCACCCCAGTAGCAGACGCGACCCTGTGGTATCCATGGCTTGCTACTTAACTTGCTAGGTAAGGCGAACCCGATGCCCCATCTAATGTGGTTGAGAAGAACGAGGTCCTTGACATGTGACTGTTCGTAAAAAATCATATTCAATGTTTTGGGAGAAAGAAAAGTCTTTCCATCGACGGTTCCACCCATCGATATAGGACAAAGACTACGTGCCACCGAACGTGCATTGGCGAACCCATTGCAAGCTCCTAGCTCGGCATTCCGAAACTCGGCTGTTGTGGTAGCTCCATCCTTGAAATATTGTGTCGCCAGTGCTCTTGCTGCAATGCTTTCCGGGTCTAACTGAGATTGAGTATTATGCAAAGGTGTCTGAGGCGGGATATAGAGCTCAGCGATGCGTCCCCAGTCCTCTTGCGGGGCGCCGATGTGAAAATCGGCGTTTAGCGGACCGGTGATTTCCTCTTCAATGAATTGTCGCAGAGACTTTCCAGTAATGCGTTTAACTAATTCACCAATTAAGTGACCTTGCGTGATGGCATGATACCCGGAGGCAGTTCCGGGAGTCCACCAAGGCTTTTGTTGCGCAAGGATTGCCGCTCCCTTAGAAATATCGTACAGCTCCTCCAAAGTTATCGGCTCTTCCCATGCAGGAAGGCCAGCGTTATGGCTCATAAAGTGGCGTACCTCAACATTCTCTTTACCATTTGCTGCAAACTCTGGCCAGTATGTGGCTACTTTTTCATATGGATCAAGGAGGCCGCGATCAACCAGAATCAACGCAGCAAAGTTTGTAAGACATTTTGTTGTTGACCAAACAAGTACCAATGTATCTTCCTCCCACGGTTGTGAGCAATTCGCGTCTTTAAAACCGCCCCAAATGTCGAGCACATTGGTCCCGGCCACATTAACGCAAATTGAAGCCCCGATTTCCTCTCCAGAGGATATGTTACGCTGCAGGAGCTGTCTAACTCTATCGAACTTGGGGTCACAATGCCCGTGGACGTCCATTATGATCGACGGTTTGCAAATGAATATTTGCCTACTTATATAAAATGTATCAGACTTTATTCTTCATCATGGGGAAGACTTCGGTGGTGCGGGGGATGTGCCGATGATAGTCACTAGTCATACCGAGGCTAATGATCATCGTATCTCCGTGTTAGTGCGGTAAGACAACGTGGGGAAGGGGCACGAGGGGGATATGCAGCTTATGTCGAAGTCAAGTAATAACAAACGTATTAGTCAGCTTATATAACTTACACTCTCTCAATTTTGTAGTTGGTATTGCAGTTCAAGTCACATTCCGGCAGACACTATGATGTGCAACCGAGGTCGTATCATACTCATTTGCATTAGTTGTGCTTTGTCTGCAGGATTAGTGTTCATCAACATCGGAAGCTCTCTCCTCCATAGTCCCACTTAATTCAGTCGATGTGATGCTTATGTGTATGTCATTTCATTGTTCCATTATTGGATTCTGGATACGGCATTTGAAGCAGACAAGCAGGGAAAGAGTGCTTTTTATTTTACAATTCCCTTTTCTCGTAGATAAAATAATGTTCAATAGATTTCGATCTAGCATTAATACTAGAATGCGAATTTACCAGTTTGTGCATTTCTGCCAAGTTCCTGTAAGAAGAAAAACGATTATCGCCAGCCAAGCATTATTAGCATCTCCGCTGTTTGTATTGTTTGCACTCCCTTTTGGACTAGGGTTAGGCAGAGAAATTGGGAGGCATCGACGACATGTTGCTGAACAGTAACGATATGTCTCGTCTCTATGATTTCTCAATAATCTACCATTTTATCATGGCATTGTGGCCTCATCTGTGGCGCGTTGTTGCGCTGCTTGTGCTGGCTGCTTTTGTTTTGCTCGTCCCACAACACGCCGCTGAAGTAAACTGGCTAGGCGGGTTTGGTAGTAGCTACTATAATATGAGATGGCCTCACGAGCGGAGTGACCGATACTCGCATCTTCGAAATCCTATTACGCCTGCAGAGCCTGGTGTAATTCGCTACGGTGGAGGAGGTAGCGGCTTGGAAGGAGTCTATAAAACGCTCACGACCAACCAGTCTATCAGGCACTTATTGCTGTCCTACAGGAGCTACGGATGTATTGTTGATTCCCAGCCGTTTGCCTTTGAATTCGGCGACGGTGATCGATTTCCACCCTTGGAGACATTATATCTGTAAGTCTACAACGCTTTGCATTAGGATCGATTGCTAATAGCCCAAGCTCTGAATACGAGTTTATGAACACCCGTGAATATGAGTACGAGAAACAGCGATGGGAGACTTCAGTCCTCTACAAGTTATTGAAGACATTGGCGGGGCTTGGCCTGAACTTTACGCCAGACAGTAGGCTCACAGTACCTGGTAAGCCCAAAGCGTGACTCGAGCAAATTTGAGTCTAAAAAGTTTATAGAACCAAACATCGACAAATGGCTACGAGTGATGGATTTTAGCAATATCCAGGATCTTGAGCTATCCTGGCCAGAGGATATCTTCTTCCACAGGCTAACCAATAAGCTTCCAAAAGTAAAGCGATTTTTGCTGCGAGCTAATCTCAACCAGTATCGTGACGATTATATTATGTTCATCAAGAGCCTTGAAGGTTTACAGACCCTTGAGTTGGTTGGAACAAACACAAAGATCTGCAAATGTCATGGCAATCGTACATTCTTTCCTATAACAGATATTTTGGAGGATCGAGGTCTGCATCTACGAAGCCTATCACTGCATCAATTCGAAGGGACCGACCCCGAAAATCGCCGCACGATGCTAAGTGTCTCAGAAATAGAATATATTTACAAAGCATGCCCAAACCTTACCCATCTCGGATTGGACATTGATCGTAATGGGAGCTGGCCACTCGAGCACCTAAAAGCCATTGTCCAGGGACAAAGTGTAACTTATCTCACCCTTGGTCTGGAAATTGGTGCCGACCTGCATCCACCCGGAAACTATTACCCTCACGTTGAATCTTATAGTTATCGTCAGGAAAAATACCGCGAGCCTTACATCGATTCCAATTCTGCTCATCAGCTGTTCACGTTGATGCGCGACGCCAAGGTCGGTGAGGAGCTTGAAAGGGTCGACATTGTGGTCGGTGACCAGAGAAGGGATTGGCGAGGCGGACTTCGAACAATTCAATGGCACGAAGGTAGAGCCTATAAAATGGTTTGCAGTGTCAAAGATAAGGAAGGAGTCAGGTGGGCAGCCGGATTACCATGGTGCATGCTTGAGCGCGAATTTCTAAGAGAAGAAAATGAGGAGGAATTGAGCGAGGATGGAGAAGTCCAAATGTTCCGACCCCGCATACCTGAGGAAACTGTCGAACTATTCTAATCTACTTGTAAGGAAATGTCAATTTAATCCTTATTCATAATAACGAGACATTTTGTGTTTCTGCAGTGGGTCGGAATTAACCTAAGAGACACTAAAACGTTGAAGATGGTTTCGAGACTTCCTCAATGTTACCATTAAATAATGGCTCATTATATCACACGCTACACATCTGTCTCGTAGTGTTTCATGAACGATCAGAATATCCCGCAACGAACAAAGGATGCTTTCCTATAAGTAAGTATGTAATTACCATTATTTGCGCAACTTTTATCGACGATTTATCTCTCAACCTCAAATCTAAGAGACCATTGATTATTCAATTCTCACGTATATTAAGGTTATTCGCAGCCATATTAGCCTCTTCGAATACAAATTGTAACCGCTACAATGAGCAACCGGAAATATAAAAGCTGCTCGGGATGGAAAATTGCCTTTTGGTTAGTTATTGCTGTGGGCGGTATCATTCTCATCCTGGTGGGACGACCACGACCGACTCTCTAAGCCATTCATAAGGAAAAGACATCACAAGCAACATAAAAACTCGATTTCATTCGGATTTGATTTCAATATCCAAGAAGTTATCAATACATTCAAAGCGATGACCGGTGGAACGCCTCAGGGTTGGTGTTCTATCCGAAGAATAGTGATACAGTCTTCATTCTGTGTAGTTTTCATTTTAGGAATGCTTAGGATCTGAAATCGCCGCATCAATATCAAGAATTACAGTTTGGTCGAGTAAGCACGTTCGAAGATGCAACTCTTTGCGGTGGAGGAGTAGGTCGTTTTCAAACTGTGGAATTAGCAACGGCCAAGTTATACTATTCTTTTTCGCTCTCTTTTAAGTTTGAAGTGCAACCCCCAGTTTTGGCCCTTGGTAATAATGCATAAAGTGGAATACAGAATATTCACTTAGTCATAAAACCTAGCTGTACAAGGTTAGCTCTATCTCCGTTACCATGGCAAGATTATATCAAGCAGCGCTATCTCCTATAACCAGAATATTTACAGAAATATTTGAAAAGCCGTTGTACAATTTATCATTTCCCAACTATGACATATATATGGTTGGCAAATCAATAACTAACATAACTATCGAATTATAATGTACGTAATTTAGACGCCATATTACTAACCGGAGCATTCCTGGAACATCTATATATGTGATCATTTCTATCTTCTATAGACACGATTTCTGGATTCAGGTGATATAATATTGACTAGGAATGCGACAGCCTAGGAAATATTAAGCTTTTCTGCTTTCGAATTAGGGCTACGATCATGAAAGTATTACCCAGCCGATTTTGAAAAATTTCCGAACGGATCCGAGTATAGATTCTATAAAATATTGAAGACGTAAGAGCAAGTGAGTGTGTTGATCTCAAATCGGGGATTTGTTTCGTTTCACGATAAGGATCTTCAACTCGATGTGTAGCCCGTCAAGGGTTAGTAGTGTCGTTTGTAGCCGTTTATTAATTACTCTTCTTGGGTTGTATTTTTCGATACTAAGGTGTAACATTTGGGATTATTATTGATCCTTTGCTATACCTTTTTTGGTGGGTTACTATCTGGATTTCTCAGATTGTCTTTTTGTTTTAATAGCGGTTCGATTGACGTAAATCTAAGTATTTGATTTTGTCGAGAAGAACACAAAGATTAAATACATATTGATATGATTCCATTGCAGATATAGCTCGGGAGAATTATAAGGACATTAAACGCAGGAAGTAGAAGTCTAGCACACCAAGATTCTAAGGAGGACAGGGTAGCAGGGAGGCAATCTTTGTATCTGGATTTCCTTGAGCCAAAGCCACCTTTCACAGATACACAAAGGCCTATGAAAACCAACAAGGCATGAGTAAATTCGGGAGGCAATAATCATCAAAGACAGGTTTCGGAGGAAAGTATATGTGACTACGTACAAAGAGCTGACATATAATTGGACTATACAGTCTTGTGGTAAGTTGTATATGGCAGGTGACTTGAAACCCCCTTTTAGCTCAATAATGAATCTCTAATTCACTTTGAAGATTCAGGTTATGTAATACTAAGAGTAAGGGATGTCGATTTCTAAGCTGTGAAACGAATATATGAGGCTTTATTTTGTCCAGCTTCGCATAAAACAAATATCATATAGACTTTCCATGAAAAGTGAATTTAGCATTATTGAAAGTCTCCATTCAATTCATTCGTAGGCTCCACTATTTCAAGTGAGACTTTTTATTTCTAGATTCCTTTCTTCTACGTGGCCGATTTTGAGGTAGATGCTGGCCAACTCCTTCCCCAGCGCTTGTAAAGAGTCGACGCTGGCTTTAGGAATCAGGGAAAGCTCATTGAAGAAGTCCGCGATCTCTGTGTGATCACCGTCAAATTCATCCAGCCCATCGATAAAGAAGAAAAAGTCAACATCGATAGCTATTGTTGCGAGAATTTGACGGAACAGTTGTTCCTTCAACATGGGGTTCTTGAGTAAGAATTTCATCAGTGTCGATTTTCCCGATGCTGCTTTGCCATTGATCTAATATATCCCACTTCCACTCTGCAGCCAAGCCACAAAGCTATCCCATGGTCGATTGTGGATCGCAGGGTCTTCGAAGATCCAAGCGAACGTGTTCTCATGTGCCGTGACGATAGATTCGTGACGGTCATGAATACCTTCAAAGCAAAAGCTCTTCAGAATCGCCTTCTCAACAAGTGTATAGTCTGCTCGCGTGACTTGGTGTCTCCGTTGAAGCTGGTCTCCGTCGTGAAGGTGCTGTTGAGAGTGAGACGGTATTTCCATGTGTCGTTCGGTGGATGTGATGATTCGACCACCTGGTTCAACAATCAACGACTCTGAGTTGTTCTGTCTGTTCATGAGCGAAGTCTTTAGGGAGTCCAAGCTTTCCAACAGTGCATCTTGGCCTGCGCGAAAGTCCTTGAGAATCTGCTTGCTGATCTTGCTTAACGTATCATAACGGTCGGATTGCTGCAATGAATCAACGTCGATTTCTTGCCTGATAATCCATAGTTGCGCGGGTCAACCTCGACATCTGCAGATGAGCTATCGCAAATTTCCCAACATTCTAGTAATAGCTTAAATGTAAAAAATTTTATCACCATACCAATATTGTAATTAAAATCAGTAATCATACTGTACATTACCATATCAAACTAATATTATTCCCAAACTAAGCCATATGCATCCTAGTCTATCTTGACATGTGTTTAGTTCGATTTAACCTTCATTATGAATGTCAAGCTGATTATGCAATCTACTGTAGCTGATGTTTCTCCTTTCAAAATCACTCAGAGAAGGTTGGAGTACTATTATCAAATATCATCATTTCGACGGAGATTGTAGCCCCAGCAGCGTAATTGATAGCACTAGGAAAGAACAAGCCCATGCACCACCACTAGGAGCAGCCAGCAAGAATCTACTACCCTAAGTAGGTTTTGGCGAAAATTTATTTATTGCTGATACTGCAGTTGTATCGATATAAAAGATATTCTAAATCGGGTCACATATCATTAGTCATTCCGGTGACGTCACGACTCACGGTTTCTATATCTGGTCAATGAAGCACACTCAAGATAACCGTCAACCAGCTTCAGTCAATTATAAATAGTCGAATTCAAGGCCTAGAGATTCGAATTGATAACTATATGTCACGCATTCCAATGAAACATTCAGGAAATAATCGGACATGTTGAGTTTACTCAATTCCCCACCTACTGATGAGAAACTTTGTGAAGCCTATCATCTCGATCTTCAATCGCCTGATGGTAGCTCCATTAAATTCGGAGAGCTTGTAGCAGGCAAAGGGGACTGCATCACCACAGTGGTCATATTTAGTTCGTATTAATAACTACCTTGAGGTCTTTCTTGTTTATTTAAAAATCGGAAATACTAACCATTAAATGTGTCTTATACAATCAGTCCGACATTTTTTCTGTGCTTATGATCAAGACTATGTTCGAGCCCTATCGAGGCACGTCACAAATACCTTCCTCTCCAATCTTCCGGCCCCAGCCGGCCCGACACAACTTATTGTCATCGGATGCGGAGATCACTCACTGATTGTACCGTATATGGACGAGACCACCGACGCGTTCCCAATATATACCGACCGTTCTGGGACCATATACGAGACACTTAGTATGAAAAGAACATTAGCCGGGATGGTTCGCCCCCCAGAGTACACCAAAAGATCATATCTTCTCAGTCTCTTTCAGGCATTGAAGCAAATGTTCCGAAGTGGGCCGTCAAGAGCTTTCAAAGGTGGGAGTTGGAATCAGAATGGTGGCGAGTGGATATTCAAAGGAGGGAAACTGCAGTATGTGCATCGCATGACACATGTTTCCGATCATTTGTCAGCAGGAGAATTGCTCAAGATAATTCAATTGGACGAAACCCAAATTGGGATGATGCAAGGAAATATTAGAAAGTACTGATGGTGCGATCTGTTTTGATGCGTGTATTATAACAATGTTCTGTCCTATTTTCTTGGTGTGCACGTGCGCAAAGGTGTCTATTAACTATACCAAACATTATAAATATGAGCTTATTTTATAATTGATATAAGCAGAAAAGTTATTTCTCTTTCCCCTTCACTATAAAAGAACAACCAGTAAATTAAACGACCAATACGATTTGCTAAATCATCCCAAGGTTGGCAGATAGATTCCGGCAAGGCCTTGGAAACATTGATAACTCCCACGGTCCCTTGCCTTATCACAGTTTAAATTATGCACAGCAGCCCACTACCAGTCTACACACGTAGTGACGACTCCGACTTTCTTATGGTCAATACTGAAGTGCTGAACTAATCTAATTTAGCATCGAAATAACGTGGAATTTCACGTTGAATGGGCATAACTAAAATACTGGATATTGCTGGGTTGTGGCACATCGACAGAATCAAGCAACACATGATCGGTAACGACCCTAAAATTAGAATAAATCACCCTCGGCCACGCAGAGCCACCACGCCCGGTTTGCTGAGATGCATGAATGCCTAGGCTGTGCAGCCTTTGCTATCAGCCTCGACGGCTAATTCGACAACAACGTTGTTCGAAGCCCGAAGCCGAAAGTCAAAGGTCCACAGCCAAGCATGGGACTCAGCCAGAATTCATATTATTGCCAGAGGAAAATAATGATCAGAAGGAAAAACAAATTACAAAACCAGCCTCCAGAAAACGGACATTGACACTATCTCCCAAAGAAGCAAAGACTCGCCGCTATACCTGCATGGTTCCGAACTTCCATGGCTACCCGAGAGAGACACTAGGCTAGACTAAGAATTGCTTTGATCGCTGAATGGCCATGTATCTGCTGTGCCGCATGAACAGGGATCGATTTGCGACTAGTTCGATATGTAGCTCCAACAATCGAGCAATTTCGTTTTTCTTTGTGCAAGTACGGGCACGTCACACACTAAGAGCATTAGTTAATTACTGCTGGACTAATTATGACCATCGTCCCTTTTTCGTACGGAGGCCTCTCCCGTTCATTTCGCCCTGCCTGTTTGCTTCACAACTTTCCTACACTATGAAAAGGCAATGCTGAAATGGATCCTAGAATTGAAATCTGAAAGCCGCGTTAATCCAAGATCAGCTTCGTGGTTCTCAGAATATTCTTTGCCACCCCCCAAAATCCCTTGATCATGTCTCGAAAAATCTTTATTCTGGGGTTCCTATTCGGTATTACTCCCTTGACTGTCGCCGACTTCAAATTTAGCAGTCTCTCAAAGAATACATTGCAGCCAAATCAGGTTATCACATTTAATTGGACTCCCTCTAATGGTGGGAAAGTCGACCTGCGATTGCAATCACAGGATGCAGATTATTCGGACACCATTATAAAAGGTACAACCAACATAGGGGCTTATACATGGACTGTCCCTTCGGATATACCGTCGGATTCACACTACGTTATCAACATATCCGATTCCAGCGACTCCACGAATACTGGTACTAGCGATTCTTTCTCGGTTCAGGGTTCTTCATTTTCCGTGACGACGAGAGCTTCTTCGACATCAACATCAAGTGCATCTTCAACCTCAACATCAAGTGCAGCTTCAACCTCAACTTCAGCTTCCACGACTTTTACAACTTCGACATCCTCCGTAGGAGACACGCCTGCTACTACTCAAAGTAGTACGAGCACAACATCCTTGCCCCCCTCACCTCAGACTTCGGCCACTACTTCAGCCATCTCCTCCTCTACAGGTGTGACTACGCCCAACACCTCTAATGGCGGTTTGTCAACCTCAGCACGCAACGCGATCATCATATCCTTGATCCTGGCCGCCGCACTAGCCGGCTTTGCTGCATTATTCTGGCTATTTCTCCGCCGCAGACGACGATCAAAAGCTTCCGAGATACCTGCCGATGATGGTACTCTCAACGCCGAAAAGAGATATACCGATGACGGCAAAGGATATATGTACAGCCCAACCCTCTCACAGGGTGTCAGGAGCTCCCAAGCTACACAGAATACAGAACTATGGCATTACAAACCCGAACTACCGGGATCTGATCCAACGCGGGAGTCGGGAATACAGTTTCTCGCACCCGTTGAGCTGCCTGCCTGGGAGCCAAGTGAGATTGACCCATTGACACATGTCAGTAATGAGGAACAGCATGGTGTACATGTAAATGATATTCATGAGAGCACCTCTCGACCAAACGAGGGGCCAGAAGCTTAAATGTGAATATAGTGAATTTAATAAGGCAGTTAATATTAATGAACTAATACTGTTTCATGTCGGTTTGCTGGTCGAACGACAGCTCCCTTAAAACTAATGTAGTCATATTTGTCTGTATTACGACTATGACTAAAAGTAGTGGATGCCACACGTCTTTATTCCGAAACTGTCTTTTTTCGTGAAACTTACGAAATAAAACGAACCTTTGATGCAGCGACTTGAGCTAGATAATTTTGATACATGAGTGATATTTTCCCTGATAACAAATCATGCCAAGTTGCATGAATTGTATTGTTCGTTGTAAAAAGTATAGTGTAAAGTCCCTTGTTGGTTCACCATGCTGAGAGCTGTTAGAATAAGTAGTCCTAATAGCAATAATTAGACTTCATTCCGAAGAATCATTTCGTCGCCTGCTGCTGAGGAGGTGTTTTGCCTGGAAAAGATGAAAAGTGTCAGTAAGACCTCTTTGGGCACAAATGTAATTTAGAGGAAAACAAATGAAATAAACGAGAGGGGAGCAGAAATATTCTGAAGAGACAAAGGAACAACATACCTGGTTACCACCTATTTCTGATTTTTCATTCGCGACTGTCTTCGAAGCAACTGGCGTACAAGTTTTGCGACATCGGCACGATCCGCGGTTTCCGCCATATGGATGGCCCATTCGAGCTCCCACTTTAAATACTTCCGGCTCAATTTGGCTTTGAGCAAAATCTCTGCCACGTCGAAGCTTTTATTCCGGCAAGCCATCATCAACAGAGGATCGTTGTCTCTGGCCGTTGCACCGTGTTTCAAGAGGAGTTCCACGATCGGGCCACGAGATCTGTTTACAGCATGATAAAGCATGCTACTGTGGCCCCTTGCAAAATTAGGATCGAGTCCACCGTCGAGAAGAAATTTCAGGATTTCGAAATAACCGTGACATAGTGAAATATAGAACGCCTCCCGGCAATGGCTGCGAATGGTCTTGCTAGGGTAGTCGCCGGCCTTTAATTTATGGAGTAGTAGTTCTACTGCATCTTTGAACCCATGAGAAGCAGCAATCGCCAATGGGAGATTATGTCGGTAGGGTCCATAAGGGACAAGGTTGGCACGATGACTGATCAACAACCTGATCACTTCAATTTGATTCTGTCGTATGGCACCCATCAGCGCAGAAGCTCCACAGTACTCCCCTTCTCCAAGGTTGATGGGCATTCCACCACTAATTAGAAGCTCAACGATTGATACATGACCAAGTTCAGCCGCGCGTCTCAAAGGGTAGGAGGTATAACCATGATAGTGGTAGCCTGAGTAGTAGCCCTTATATAACCCAAAGTTTGCCCCTAATGCGAGAAGCTTTGAGAGAATGTCTGGCTTATTTCCCTCAGAAGCTTTGAGTACACAGCGAGTAAGATCATTATTGTAGCCGGTGGTAGGAATGACAGCAATACGACGATAGAGGTACGTGTCGAGGACCGCAAACAGGCATCTGCATGTCGTAATCATTCGTGTTACTTCTTTGGCACCAAGGTGATTGGATATGAGATGCAATAGCTCATTTGGAAGCGATAGAAGATAGCATTTGTTGGAATTATTGGGCCGGCCGACGGAAGAGACACTCATCTTGATGAAGCTGTCTCTTGCCGGTCAGCGCAAGGATTCCGTAAGAGTTTGAAGGGTTGGCGAGTACAGAGACGGCAACTCGATATCAGGTAGGCGCACTGGTGGTCGGAGGAAGAGAGTCTTTGCGTGGGCAACAAATTCAAAATTAGAAGGGAGATATTAACCAACCGTGTAAGCGCGCGGCATAGGCAATGGCCATTGTTCGAGAAGATAACAGCGCAAGACACGATCAGACGAAACAATGTACAACCATACAAACGGCCGTTTGTTGTTCTTGCCTGAATAACACACAAGGCATCACATGACCATGGCTACCTCATCGGCAGATAAAACAATCTTTTCTTCATACTAACCCTTCATTTGGAAATGTAAGAAATGGGAGAAAATGGAAGTATACTAAATCAACCATGGAGGGAATTCCTAGGATACTAAGGGTGAAAAACTATATCTTCGCCTTCTCTTCAAAAATATGATTTCATCAAGAGGAGAATTACTTAGGTTATGGAAACTACATATAGAAACCAAAGAACTCATGATTATTAGAGTAATCTATAAGCCAAGTACGTCCACTATCGTATTAATCTTAGTTATATTGATATTGATTCGGTCGAAAACGCTACATATTAGTTTCGGTGATATTTCCGTTTGCCCAGCCCAAGTGTGAATGTGAATGCCTACTAAAAACCTGATGCCATATACAGAGTATCTTTGAACAATCACCTTTGACTACAACGTCGATTCTGACGGCGACTTAGGATTTCAGCGTGCTCGGATATAGTCGAATATCTCACCTCGAAAAAGCAAGCCCAAGAATTTGCTGAGATCGCTCGCCTAAGGATTTTCCTTGCCCCATCATCTTACCATCGTGCTGACATTAAGTTACTTTCCAAGCCTTTCTCCTCATTGTGACATTCATTAAGATATTTTCTGTGGTCCAAAATGTTTGCTCAATTGAAAGTTCTACGGATATCACATGAGTTCCGTCCTATAAGTAGGCCGCTCTGCGCGTAACATTTATCGTTTTTTCTCCTTTCACTCCGCATACTCACAGCAGTTGTCTTCTATATCATCCCATTTATCAGCACGTTTTCTCCTCCTGAATACATCTCACGCTCGACACACAGTGCGAGTCTAATGAGTCCCCTTCGCTGGCCAAATGGCCTCGTTGACCTATCACTATACTGCCTAAAATGTCGCCAGGCCATGACGTAGACTGGGCTCTCGCAAGCTACCAGAGACCAGACACGTTGCTAAATGTCAAAGGGAAGGGTCAATGCCGTCTTTCATCGCTCTCAACCAAATTGCTGTATCTCTTTGCTGATTATCTGGACTCAGACGATATCAGACGAATGATCAAAGCACGCAAGTCCTTGCGCGACGTCCTCAATAAATACCTTTATCGTCGTATTGCATGAAATCGGGGACGCACACTACTGAATAATGTATTCCATTGTGAATGATAGACCTCAAACACCGTCAAACCTTCTTAGCCTAAAGGTTTAAATTCGATACTATTTCTTTCCCGGGTCTCGTCGATGATAGGTATTGGAAATTCAAAGTCGATCATCGACTTGCCGTTTTTTCACTGTGTTATGCAGCTCATTATGGACATATTAGAATGGCTAAGCTTCTACTTACCGGTGGAATGAATATCGGCGAGGAGCATATTGGGTTTCGCTATTTTCAGGGTCCTATGACGCGACCTTTGAAACCATTGTGTTGTGCTATTCAAAGGCGACATCATGAAATGATCTGATTACTTATCAGTCATGGGGCCCTTATTCCATCTAAGGAAAGGCAAAATCAGCAAATGTGGTCTCCACTCGCGATTGCAGCATAGTCTAGGTTCAAAGACGCAGGATGATCATTCGTGCGCTGAAGGAAGCTCCCCAAATGCGAAAGGGCTGTTTTTATTCGACAGTGCCAAACAGCCTGCTACTACGCTGTGACTGAAGGACATACTGAGATAGTGAAATTGTTTGTACGTGGTGGTCTTGATCCTAATTTTGGAAGTGGAGGCAAGGGCATGCTCTCCTGGGCCACAAAAACAACTCTCTTGGTATTGTTGAAGTTCTTCTACAGAACGGCGCAAAACCTGGAAAGACACATCAGAAATAATTGAAGCCTGTGGAAATCGCAAATTTGAGGTGGCTAAGGGTTTACTCCAAAGTGAATTCGACCTTCGAGACCACTGGGCTCAGCACCTCAAGCTTTTGGTGAAGATCAACGAAACAACCGCATCTTGAGAATAGCAGTCGGTTTGGAAATTCTCAAGCTCAAGTGAGTGAGAGACAGCCAATTAATGTCCGATATCAAGAAACTTTCTTTTGTTAGCAGTATCAACCCTATGTTCTTTTACGTCGTATTCCATCAGGGTGCAGTCGACACCGATATCTGTGCAGTTTTGGCCACAGTTCGACTGACCAGAATAAGGTTTCACTCTTTGATATTCTGTTTCTATTACTGACTAGGACCGTATAGAAATCGCAATGACTTTCGGGAAGACACAGCATGTTACAATTTTCTAGCAGTTTGCAGTTCGTTTAATGAAGGTCGTGGAAGGCACTTGGGCCCAGGGCAAATATTCCAATTCAGAAACTTAACTTTCCTATATCTCATCCTCTTCTATGATTATTTCGCAATGCATGCAATAGCTATCTATCTTGATTCCAAATTGAATATGTCATCTGGTTCTTTTGATTAAGATGATGTAGACCTACGGCGCATATCAGTCTCGGTTCTATGGAAGTATTCTGTAGTTGCCTAAACAACACAAAGGAATCACATGAGCGCGCCTGACTTGCGACATAAAGCCATCGTCCTTGCATGTTACCCTCCTATATTCTACCTCAGCACCCGATTTTGGGCCTTTTGGGAAACCGTCATCGATGTCCTTCACCAATCTGCCAAACGAACTCGTCCTTCTTATTGCCAAGACACCCGATCAAAGCTACCTCAACGCTCTCGTCCGAATATCCCAACATCTTTACGAGCTCCTGCTCCTCTATCTCTACAAATACAACGTCCGATACTACAATAGCCTTACTCTTCTTCATACTGCCTGCCAAGGAATTCACTGGTTAGCCGTGGAAGTTTTCAAAGCCGGAGGAAGACTAGAACAACTCTCTGGTTTCGATGGAGTGTTTCTAGGAGACATATCTCCGAGTCTAGCAATGAAGCCCAATGTGCATCCCCAGTAGATCGCTGCTCTCTTGGGTCACACCGATGTGCTCAGCCTCTTGTCAGATGCCGATCAACAAACCATATTTACGACGGAAATATGGCTCAACAAATTATTACAAAGGACAGTCTGGGATCGCAAACCACAAGCAGCGAAGGCCTTGCTCGATAGAAATGTACAAATAGACGACGACTTTGTGGATTTATACGGGCTGTTAACTAAGGCGCGGCGGCGGGTGATACGACGATGGTCCAATTTTTGATTCGCAAGCGGTTTTTGGATCAGTGCTTTCATTCTTGTTCAACAGCTGCGTATCATCGGCGTTGCGACATGGTCCGTATTTTCTTAACGGCTTGTGTTTCCGCTAAGGATAGGGAAGATGGAGCTTCACAGTTGATGGCTACTATAAAGGGGGGGCGATCATTCGACAATTCAGCTTCTTGCGAAAAAGGTGGCTAGACTGAGAGTTGTAACTACAGATGAGTTCAAGAGAGCTCGGGATAGCCCTCATTACCAACCGTGTCAGCGTTGTCAGAACATTGGATGGTCTCAGGATCGCGTTGTCGCTTATAGAACTGATGCCGATATTTTCTATATTTTCTATATCGTAATGTGGGTTATCCGCGTTACACCAAATTGAGGGTTACGCCATGCAGTTTGGCATGATGATCACCTCCAGATCATAGCTGATGTCGTGTTTTTCGGCCACGTCGACCAGGCCGCCATTTACAACAGAACAGAATAATATTTCTGAAGTGCTTCTTGTTAACAATATCTAGTCGGTATTTTACAACCATATTCGCCGGTTATGGTGAAGCGTACCCGATTGGGAATGGCTTCAAGTACATGAGTCAGGACACGTGATATATACACCTAGTAAAGTGGTCGATACTCTTCTGCCGCTCTGAATTTCACCAACTTCCTTGGGCGTCTGCTATTGGGCTAGAATTTGGATAAGGTATTTACGGACGCTATTTTCTGTTCTGTAGGTTGCTAATAGTGTTAAGCTCCTCAAACAGATGGCGATTGGCATATCATGTGCTTAGAGAGTCATTCGACGCCTAGCAGGAATTAAAAGACGGTGCTTTGCTACTGTTATTCTTACGACTAGGAAAAATACAGGGTTGGTAAATCAAAGGTATCAATTGATTGGCTAAGTCGTTTCATTCGTAAAACGAGCGCTCAATGACGGCCTCACAGAGAAACCTATAAGCAGGACAAAGACCCGAAGGCATATGGTCTACGATGCGATATTGCCTGTCTTTTTTGTTTCGGGTGAATTATGTACACCGAAAATGATAGAAGCAGAAAATAAAAAAAATGGTCGCCTTAAGCCTCAATGCAGTATTGATAGCCTAGCCACAGGTTGCTGCAAGATGAGTCCAGACCTGGATTCCAGTCCATGAGCTGGGACGCCGTGATGCCGGCTTCAGCCTCAACCCGGAGACAGTAGTCGCCGGACACCACGGTGTAGTACTTCTTGCAGGCGGATTTGGCCTGGGGGTAGACGGGGCCAGACGAAGAAGAAGCGGGAGTCGCACCGGCAGCGGCAGCAACAGTGGTGGTGGCTGCTGGAGCGGGTGCGGCGGTGGTAGTTGGAACAGCAGCAGTCGTGGTGACTGGAGCGGGGGTGGTGGGTTCTGGCGAGGGAGCGACGCTGGTGACGGGGGCAACGGTGGGCGAGGCTGAAGTAGTCGTGGTACCCGAGGAACCGCCGTTCCCACCAGAAGTGAACGAGCCCTGGGCGCTGGTAAGAGACCCAATGGTGCCAGTATTGCATGAGCTAGCACCAGTGGCCCAGCCCAGAAGACGGTTGGCAACATCGGAGACGTAGCAGTGAGTAGCAATGCCCTGGCCGAGGTTGCCGCCGCTGGCGATGGAACCAGAGTTGTAGAGTCGAGCGGCCTTGTAGTACTTGGTAACGTCGTCAGCGCCAGCCTGGGCGAGGAGTTGCTTGAGACCATCACCGCTGGAGGTGCCAGCAGTACCGTCGGTGATCATTTGGGTGATCTGGCTGGAGGGGCATGGGCTGAGGACACCTCCATTGTTGCAGGATCCAGTGCCGTCGTGGCTTTGCATGAGGCCAGGGTTGATGACGCCGTAGTTGGTGGTGGGAGCACGCACACAGCCATTGCTCTCTTGCATAACGATGGCGAGAATGAAGCGGGCATCGACACCGGTAGACTTAGCGACGGATTGGATACTGTCAGACAGGGCGCTTATCTCGTCGTCTGAGTTGTTGGGGACGTTCCACTGGGCACAAGAGCTGGACAAGACTTCCTTATTGTTTGAAAACCTACACACGTTAGTCATGCTCTATTCCGACGAGGAGAGGAAAGCTTACATCTCATCAAACGACGAGATCCAGTCGTTGATGGCGGGCCAGCCGTCAGAGACCTCGCCATTGCCGCCGAAGACGGTGTAGGCACTTGTATCACGCTTGGGGAATGAATGAACGCTTGCTGCTCCTGCAACATCGCGAGAGGGAAGGGATGGAACCGGGGCTCCGAAAATGAGTGCTGGAAGGCTGCCGGCAGCCAGGATCTTGAGGAGGTTAGTACAAGCCCTATACAGAAGTCAAGATGGAACTCACAAAAGGAATGACAGACATGATGCCTGGAAAAAAAAGAGCGTCGAGGGAGTGGAAGAAGTCTCGCTTACTTACCAAGAGAAAAGAAGAGAAGGAGGGACACCGCCGCGTGGGCGTGAGCGATTTATATAAATGATTATTCGCAGCATGATTCATCCCAGGCAGGCATCCTCACAGGTGAATCATGGTCCAGCGCCGACGTGCCCACTACTCCACCTGAAACAACAGTGTTCTGCCAGTAGAGCGGCCTACGCCAGGGACACCGAGGAAAATTTATCGGACTGGCTGCAGGAGGCGCTGATCGCAGGCCAGCGACAGGCCAATCACAGCAGCATAGTGCTGGCGAGCCAGCGCGATGAAACAACCGAGACGATTTAGCGATTTAGTCGGCGCGCACTGTTCCCCGCACGCCGTACCGCCGCCGCCTGATTGGGCCCAGCCAGAACTGTGCCTGACTGCTTTGTACTTAGAACATGATTAGTCGGTGTTCTCCGTCTATCTACTTGTTCCTGTTCCTCATTCCAAGACAGGATTATTGGCCTGCGCTGTAGTGGCAATCTATGCCGCTATGGAGTAAGTCAACAGTTAGGTAGTGGGGGCCCTCAGCTGTGATGTTATTAGCCCAGCCATCCTGCTACTGGGGAGCCTTGCATAATGACTTTGCATTGTCGATATTCTCCGCAAGCCTCACGCCACCAGGCCAACTGCGCCGAGGCCGTCCTTGTGATCCTTGTAAATGTGATTGTTGTATGACCCTCCCGTACCGAAGTATCGACTATGTAGAGTATGTAGAGTATGTGGTGTGTAGTTGTACCTGATGAATTGGGCCAGCAGACTTTGTGTTGGCACCAGCTGTTGGAGAATAAAATTAAAAGAGCAATTAAACGAAATGAATGCCAAATGACGTGTAAGAGAGAGGAAATGAAGTGTCGCGGCGGCGTTTTCTCTAACCCTGCAATAATAATGCATCATAGCGCCTAATTGGTTCCTGGGGCATGAATCTTGGCGCCAAGGCGGGATGTTACTAGGCACCCAGGCACTCAGGCATCAAGGCATCAACCAGACTCTAAGGCACTAGCACATCTGCCTGAGGAACTGGTCATTACCTATAGGCTGGTCGGGACTAGCCGTCCACGTGAACCTTGTCGGCCCATGACTGGCCGAGACAACCTTGATCGTCAGAGACAAGCTTTGATAATGCGCTGACCAGACACAGCATGTCTAAACACCACAGCGAAACTATTACGCAGAATACAGAGTCCGATATTCTCGCAGAATGCAGAGAAAGCGCTATAGCTGCTGTCCTCAGTGCTACAGTGGAATCATAGTATAGAATACTAGATAGATACTACCGCTATCTCAGCATATAACCACCGGATGTTCTCCTCGCAGTCTATTCATTGGTCTATTAAGCGCCAATGAATTGACTCGTTAAATGTACATTCAATAGTGTCCGTCACTCAAAAAAAACGCAGGGTAGTTCTCATGGTGTATCATTTTATTTTATTGTATGTAGGTAAAAGGTGAACGATACCATACATTCTAGATGTTTTGATCGTCTTAGCCCCGGCATTGGCAACTGGAATATCACAATTTCAAATGATCTTAACATTCTGAATTTTAGACTACATGAGAGGAAAAACAAACCACCTTGTAGAAATAAGCAGTGCAAAATCCGTTCAGCAGCGTTCATGCTAGTTTTCTTTGAAAGATATGGAAGCAAGGATGAGAGGCCTCTCTGAAAAATACATTTCTTCCAGGCCACCTCTTTGTCGTGGGAGTATTAGAGAAATATTTTTCGGCTTTACCGCTACCTCTTGCCGTTACCAACATTTAGCAGAATGATTGAGACAAGGAAGATACCAATTAAAACAAAAGGTATCGCACGACTCAAATTTCTCCTTCTTCTGCCAGATGAGTGTTCAGATCTGCAATCGCACGGTCTTGTATTCGCCTCCGGGTCACGCTGGCCCATTAAAATCGTCTGATGTTGCACCGTTGCCTGCGAATAGCTGGGGGGAGCCTGACCCAGGTAGGCGTTCTGCGGCCGAGAAATTTGATCGACCGGATGCATCATATTGTTTCTTTGCTTGATTGGAAATTTCACCAGTAACGAGTGGTCACCAAGCAGAAAGAAGTATTATGCTAGATAAAAAAAAGACAAGGCTTTTGGTTGCGATTTATGATAAGTGTAAAACATTGTAGCCTATCTTTCCCAAAATGGAAATGTTTCCCAAATGGGACAAGGCATCCTTGCTCTAAACTCAAATTGCGGAAATGAACAATAGTTGACGTTAGGTAAGTAGGACACAATCGGATATCAGCTGATGCGCTTAAGCTTTTTATTTGTGGGAAAGCCCGAGGATCATCGACTGAAGCTTGTTTGGCGTGGTGTTGTGGTGTTCTATGAATATTATAGGTTTATACCTTCAATGTGGTCAGCCGGTGGCTTGTCGTAATCCTCGCCTATGACTAAGGTTTTATTATTGAGAACGTAAATTTGCATATCCTTGATAGAGATCAATGATGTGATACAGAATTATTCCTCCTTCATATGGGTATTTTACACAGTTGCCTGAAGCATATCTGCCTCGGGAGTTAATTGGGCCATGGTTGAGAACGGGCTAGTTCTGGTTTAAGCCTAAGATGAACATGTTTCGTAATCGATTGAGAGAATATGAATTGTCAACTTGTATGTTACGTGTCATCCTTCATAACTTTCTTTCTTTTTGGGTAGAGAGGGAAGGCTGCTTTTCCATCTTACATCCTTAAATAATAGAATAAATCAACTTCCTGTTGAGCGCTCAGCTTTGAGAGGAGATCAGGCCGGCAGGAAGACGGATTTATGGATGAGAGTCGGATGCACAAGATGCAAGAAAAGCCAATTACATTATTTCCGTCCAGTCCTAGAGGTTGAGCTTGTATACGACCCTAGAGAGCGCTGTACGGGTACATGTAGAGCGTGCGAATTCGTCGCCAAGGACATAATATGGTAGTAACGATTGTGCAACGTTGCCGTTACGCGATTGTTCTCCACAATCTGCATCAACTCTCCGGTTTCGCTTTTGGCTTCTTTGCATTCGTCAAGCTTCTTTTCAAGACGTCCCTGGATGCCTTTGAAGTTGTCGACCTTCAGTTTCACGATGTAAGCTTTAATATCCCTTTTTGCGACCATCTCGTCCGCTTCGGGTATCGTATAATATTTGTGCGATAATGTGAGGCGTAGGCGAGGTGTTTTGATGATGATAGGACGGATTCAGGCACGTGTTTGTAGCCCTGAGTAGAATCTTCCTCTTTTCCTACACACACACACACACACACACACAACTCATATTAATTATACGGGCACTACCACGAACATATCCAGTTCCGGTTTTCGCTTTTGTCCTTTGTTGGGAGCCCCCTTCAGGAGTGAAGTTTTCAGGTTTAAAACTTGGAAACTTGATGTTAGGGTTACTGGATATTCCAGATACTCACATCTTTCCTGCAACTATCTCCCGTAGCTAGATCAGATGTTCGTTAGTAATCATTTCTCGTTTGCCAGCAAGATACACTCACTGGCTATTGATGTTAGGAAGGCTACGGTGTATACTACGGCGTGAAATTTGCGGTAAGACTCCGTCTGTCCAGACATTATAGTTTAAAGTTGTTAGGCATAAAGCCTGGAGAAGTATCTGGTTTGAAGTTATTGATTGATTCTGGTTAGATAGAAGTGCCAGCAGCCTGCGCAGCAGCTAGATACTAGATAGACGGTGTAATGCACGGGAATTCTAATCCTCTATGGGTAGAGGCTGGCAGAATAACAATGAGCTATATTGGCATAAGAAAATCCTCTCTAAAAAAAATAAACCTCAACGTCCTCGTTAAAGGATTAATCAAAGAAAACTGCAATATCAATGTCATAATCGCCTCTAAGAGCCCCATCGTGAAATTAAATCATTCGGTAGCCGTAAGAAAATGTGCTATGAGTCGTAAGTGCTGGCTATCAAAGAATATGTGGTGAGATATCTGTTATCTGTGTTTTGAGCGTAGGTGAAAAGTATTTGTCTGCGCTACTAGAGGCTTGCCTTCTCGTTTTCAACGCTTCACTGGAGGGCATAGTGGTATTTAGTATTTGATATCGGATCAAAGAGTATAAACTGAGATGCCGGCTCATTGATTATGTCGCTCATATTGAATACAGGCTTTGGAGAAGTTTGTATTGTATCAGAAGCCTACAGATCTTTTCTTTGCTTCGTCCTTAGTCTTGACGTTGCAATCGTCATCCGCGGCCGGCTGTTTTCCACTGGCCTTTGTTGAACCGGGAACGTAAGTAGGGACCGTGATCCGTCAGCAGTAAATGACTATTTTTTATTCCTTCGAAGCACCGTAAAACGTAAGTCAGCCTTTCCGTTCAATCAGTAATCCTTGAGGTAGATCAGTCAATAATTGAATTCATCGGTGTCTATTATCTAGAAAACTAGGCATGAAGTTTTAGGTGTTTCATTATACTATGAACACACGCACCTGGTCAAGGTAACTCGCTGTCTGAGGCCATAGTTCACCAGGCCGTCACAATCCTCGTCTTCGTGAGTCATTTAGTTGAAACCATCAATTGATCTCGTGCCGCGAGCCACCTCAGTAGGTACTTTGTTCAAATCGGCTTTCTGATATCCCATCTGTAAAATAAAACCTACCTCCCGACAGCGACGATACCATAGGATTTGTGTGGCCAACTATGTTTCCCCTATTGGTCCTAAAGATATCCCTCAAGCTGATCGAGCACTCCTTTCCAAGCAGCATTTGATAATTTATAAGCCTGCTTTTTGCATTGAGTGATTAGGAAATGGCATTCTACTGCCGTTTCCGATTCTGCGGGTCGACTAAAGGATAAGTAAGGCATATCAACCGGCTCTACCAGCTAGCCCGGAGATTTTCCGATTCTTTTTTAGGATAATGAAGGTGTAGTCGGTTGTAGATAGCCTGATTTCTCCGTCCATGAAACGGGAGACATATTGGCGCTCCCACCGCGTGTGGAAGGACGCTCGGGCTAATGTAGGCGTGGTCGGTTATAACAACCGGATTTCTCCGACCATGAAACGGGAGACATATTTGTGTTCTCCATATAGAAGCAGCCAATAGAGGACGCCTACGACTCTCACCTTAGCGATGACCTTGCATAAGGAAGTGGTTTATCGAGGACCCTTTTCACCCACTGTTTAGTGTGAGTCAGGAATATGTAGTTCGAGAGTTTTTCTTGCTGAGCTGTGGATGATGATTCCAAATTTTCATCCTTTCCTTGTCTCTTAACGATCTGGTGGCCATCTTTATCGAGCGCTGATCTGCACGGAGAACTTTCTCCATAGGATAGATGTATAGCAAGGTATCGAGTAACTGAAGGCAGCGTACGTTGCCGAAATTCCAACTGGCGCGATTCCCGTCCTCTTCCTGCATTGCAAGGCAATTGATGAGCTTGGCCGCGTCTCAGTTGCATTGCATCCTCTCAGTGAGGGACAGGGTGCATACGAGTTCGCGCCGGATCGCAACAGGGGTGTCCTCGCCGATCCGTTTGCTGGTAGGATCCTGGAGTCGAGGGGAATTCGGGATGAGGTGGATCGACAACCAGTCATACTGAAGGTTTATTGACCGTGTAGCTGACCACACACCGCTACGTGCTGGAGCTTCGCATGAAGTGGACGAACGTGCGGTAGAACGTTTAGTCCATATCCGGATTCATCATGGTTATGTTGTTCGGAAAAAATATACATCCCCCCAACCTGGCTGAGAGCGATTGTGCCAACGGACACATCCAGATTGTGCGACATGATATAATGGAACGAAACTTCTGGACAATGGCTTTTAAGATGTTCCCTTCGCCGGTTTTGTTGGAAGAATTCGTTATTGGATAGAGGAATCGTTAGCCCCTTCATCGAGATGGCCGAGATTGGCTTTTCCTCTTTTGATTGTAATTTTCTGCTTTATTTGAGGTGGTGGTAGATGAACAATTGAAGTCGCCCTCTTGACGTTTTTGTAATTTGCTGTGGACGTTATTCTAGGAATCCTAGAATCCTTGACAATATTTCATTATTATCTGATCGCTTGGCGTCGATTTTGATCCTATGTTTGACTTTGCCCCTGGATTCATTAATCCACCAAGCGATATCCTTTGCAAGTTTTGCTCTTGATTCAGTGTATCCAACTTCTACTGCTACAGTAGGCCACTTTCGTTCTTAATGGGTTAGCTTAAAAGATACATCAGCTTGTTTGCTTCGATTAGGGCATTGACGCGAGTAGCTTGGCATAGTGAATTCTTCGCCGGACATTCATCTGAATAGCAAGATTTATAAATTCGATTCGAATTGCCCGCAGCTGCGTCCTCGTGAGGTAGGCTGGGGATTTTCAGGACCTTCTCGAAGGCGGCAAGCTCGGCATGTGCGGCAGGTCTAGTTGCTCCATTTTGAAGGTCGCCGGAAGAGATTCATGATTTCACCGACTATCGAAAAGACACCTGTCGGGAGGATCTGAAACCCGACTCGGTAGGTCTTAAAACACATTTTTCAAGTTGCGGTTCGCCCTATCAACTCCGACCAATATAACAATGTGAACTTGACCTCCCGAGCTCTCTATCCACCATTTAGCATCTGTTGGGCAAGGAATCAGAGACACCGGATTCAATCCCAAGAAAAGGACAATCCTCAAATGGACATCCAATTTTTTGATCCAAGCTAAGACCTGACCGCGAGCGAAATGATAAACTTGCAATAAGTATAGTGATATGAGGATAGAAAGCAGTATGTAAGCCCCAACGCTATGATAATAGTATCATCGACTCTCTAGTGAGATGAAATGTGGAAGAAGGAAAGATTCCGTAAAGGAAAAAAGAAGGATATAAGAAGAGCTAACAAACAGCTTTGTTTATGTGCCTAGTGGCTTACTCGTGATACTCATATTAGTCTAGGGGCTGGAAGGGCGGTATCAGTTGGAGCATATCAAACACAAAATTCGAAGGAAAAATTAGGGCCGACATCCCGAATAGGAAGGTGGCCTGGGCTCCACTAGAATCGGCCGCGGTAAGGACTAGTTCTTTGTATACGGAAACGATTAGGACAATCGATTGCCTCGTTTATATGCATACAAATGGTGAGGTGTAGTCATTAATATACGGTTAGTAGACAATCTGCTAGGCACCTACAGAAACCCCTCTACAGCCTCCAAGAACTTCTCAGGCTGCTCAGCCATTGGCAAATGGCCCGCTCCTTCAATGATAGCCAGCTCAGCAGTACCATTCCCACCATAATCCTCAGCCATCTTCTTCATTCCCTGTGGTAACACCCCATCTCCGGCTCCAACAACGAATAGACCCCGAACGGTACCGGTCTTCATAGCGTCCCGCAAGTCGTACGAGTACAGGGCTTTGACGCTCTTTTTAAATCCTTCAAGGTGGTTGTCAAAGACATACTTTTTGACCTTCTCGGCGCGTGCTTGGCCCACACCGCCGTCGTAGCTTTCAGCCACAAACCAGCGGCGTGTGGTCGCTTCAGCCAGTTTTTCGCCGACAAGCCTGGCACCGGTGGATGGATCGGTTGGCGCTTGTGGGTCGTTTTCGGCCAAGGCGATGCGTTCTCCCCATGCGGTTGGGTTGCTAGGCGGTGCCAGGGAGTTGGTGTCACAAGCAATGAAGCTCTGCACACGAGAGGGGTATTTGAGTGCGACATTGAGTGATGTGGCGCCGCCTAGGCTGACTCCGATTACGAACGCTGCCTTTTGCACGCGCATGGCATCGAGGATGGTGATGACGTCTTGGCTCAGCAGATCGAGTGTGATTGGCGTCTCGCCTGGGTCACTGGCACGACCCCGTGGGCGGTAGCGTAGAACGCGGTATTTCCGGTTCTCTGGCTTTGCGAAAAACAAATCCAGGAACTCGTCCCAGATGCCCCAATCAGACAGGATGGAGTTCACAAAGACGATCAGAGGCGCCTCTGGATTAGAGCTTCCTTCGAGCTTGAAGGGAAGCTGCACCCCGTCTGGGGTAGTGACGAATGACTGGATCAGAGCTCGCTTATTGGCTGTTGTTGACGCAGAAAAGGTCTTGGTCAGTCCGTCCCGAGATGAAAATGTGGCCGCGTATGCAGCATCAGATAACGAATTCAGGTCTCTTGGCGCCGGTCCAAATGTGTAGTACCATTGATACGCACGTCGGACACGGCCAGAAACTACAGTACCATAAACATCCTTGGCCCTATCCGATGACGTGGCAGCCTTGAACTCAGGCCCTCCAAGGCCATTCTTGGGCGCATACTCATGCAGCGCCAGGTACTCCTTCGTCTCCGCCGATGGATTGAGAACGGAGGAAGTAACAAAACGCCTTGAGCGGCGCCAGCCAGGCACCTTTTTCAGCATGTCAACGTGTTCCTCGTTATACCAACTAGTAAGCTTGTCCTCTGTTCCAGGCTGGATCTTGAAGCACACTGAGATTAACACAGTCCCCTCTGAATCCGCGTCGATGTCCTCCGCCTGCTTGTAGTCATCCGCTTTCCATTCCTTTACAAAGTCAAACATGCGTCTGTCGACTGAGATCTGTGACATAGTCTGCTTCTCGCGCTCCGTCTTGATAGTGTCTTCGCGCAGGGTGGTATATGGCGGGCGCACAAACTCTGCCGAGTCAGTGATATCATACAGAGCCACCCATTCGTGCTTTGTTGCGCTGTAGGGACTCTCGGCGTCGGCGTCGGTTGCGCGATAGCGGAAGCCGTTGGGGAAGAAAGGAAGACGCAGGCGAAGGGGGCCGTGTTCGTTATTGTACCAGTCGTGGAACTGAGCATCCGGCAAGCCGCACTGCGGCTGCATAGTTACGTAGAGGAGGCCGGCGGTCATTTTGGCGGTTGTGTTTCAATATTCCAAGGAGATGTCTGGAATGAGGTTGTTAGTGAAAAGACCATCATAATATTGACTGAATTAATTGTTCTCCGGAACAACTAGGAATAACAAGTGACCTCCAAAAGATTTATCCATCCATTGCTCACCTATACAACTAGCTCTCGGAGACATCACCGATCAGCCCCCCGCATCCAGGAATCAGCTCAATAGTAACGTCAGAGCAGGGCAGCAATCGCTTCCAAAAAGAGGGTTGCATTCTTCAGGATGGTGAAAAGGTTGGTTTTCTAATTATTTGGCGCAATACCATTGTGTCAACCTGCGAGCGTGGCAGTGATGAGCATTAGCCGAGACGCATTGCCGGGGGGGAAATATGTTTGCAGCGTCGGAAGGCGTGGCGGGGCAGTTGCCGATAAGATAGCGCCATATATCTTTCCGTTTAATATAGTGACATTGCCAAACAACAGCTGGAATTCATTTTTCTCACAATCAAAGTACAGGATGCAGATCTAAAATATTCAATCAATAAGCTCGACAGCTACATACATTCAAAAAGAGCATCGACTCATTTCTTTGCTCTGAGCTTATTCAGATTGAACATGCGCCGGAAAAACCATCCATAGAACCCAAACCACAGCCACCCACCTGCCAAAAACTTAATCATGCGCGTGCGGTTCCCCTCCCATATCCAATTCCGGTACCACCGAGAAGTCGAGGATGTGCTTCCTAGGACCTGTGACACTACGCTCCGAGCATAGGCATCACTGTTCATGGCCCCTTCTTGGCTGTGCTTGACGCGACGATGGTACTCGTTCATGATGGGCTGGTAGATTGAGTTGGGGAGAAGTTGGCGATCCTCACGGGCAATCTGAGATTGGACGCCTCCAGTAACAACAACGATCACTTTCACGCTACAAAATATTAACATAGGATAAAAGGAGATGGGGGCATTCCATACTCGAATGGTTCAAGCTCAATTCTCAGGGTGTCGCTGAATGAATGGAGAGCTGCTTTGGAGGCATTATACACCGAGCCAAAAACATATGGGACTATCTAATTCCAACAAAACGTTCCAGTCAGATTGTGGACGCTCCGTGTGAACAAGGGATTTATTTGACTCACTCCTGATACAGAGCCAATCTGCACGACCGTCCCCTTTGCTTTCATAAGCAAGGGTAGGAATTTTTGGCACATTGTAATCACAGCAAAGAAGTTGGTCTCGAAGACTGCTCGTGCTTCTTGGAGATCGACCTCCATAGCTGGAACAGTGTAATCTGTAACAAAACATTCAGCTCAATCCAACCGGTTCTATGACAGGGCTTAAATCCATCATACTTCGTCCACTGTAACATCATATGTTAGCTTTTGACCATACAAGGGCGAGGAGGGCCGGCAAAATATTACGCATTATTAACCAAATAATCCAACCCCTTTGAGCCTACTCGTGACTCGATTTCTGTAAAACAGGCTTGCACGCTCTGCAAATCATCAACCACGAGATCTAGAGTCTCGATTCCAACAGCTTCAAGATCAGCGATTTTGGACCGATCTCTTGCTGTCGCGAAAACGCGTAGGCCCCGTTTATGAAAGGTATGACTCAAAGAGTGGCCAATTCCTCCAGGGGAGCACCTTGGTTGAAGGAAAAAGGTCAGCATACATTTCTAGACAAGGGGCGTATCCATCAAGGGTTAAGGTGTACCCGGTGATAAGCACCGATTTGCGAGAGTCTGTGGAACTAGCCATCTTTACAATTGAGGAAATGGTAATTCAAAAAGAGAGAGGAAATATAGGATTTTCAAAATTTATTGAATGAGAAACTCGCTGCAACAAAAAGGTACGTATAGGATGGGCACTGACATAGCACGCGACCGACATAGCACACGGCCAGCACGGTACCGGCATATACAAGGGCTGATATTACTGCCTCCACATGATAGGCGCTAGTTTAACCGAGGTTAACTGTTCATATATTAACTATATCAATAATCAACCATCTAAAACGCCCGTATATTGCCATCTCAGCGACTTCACGGCGATGACCTGATATTATTCGTTATTCCTCCGAAATGACAGATCTCTATGGGAACGCGTGAAGTTCCTCCACGGAGAGACTCCAACCGTACCAACTAGCACGGGCCGCAATGGAGCGACCGTTACGTCGGGAACTGTTTATGTATTTTAATAAATAATGTTTAACTTCAAAATTCATGTTTCATGCGATAGCATATCATTTCCAGCACGCGTACAATATGAAGCCATTTTCGCGACTGATCCGCTTCGAGTCCGGGGGAGAGACATTCTTCGCCGATCTTAGCACAACATCAGAAATACCACCAGCAGGATCATCCATAACAGCGTATCGGACATATGATGATCTCACAAACACCCAAAATCCGGTGGAAGTCGCTTTCGGAAAGGTATGCGTTATTCTCATACTGATTGTATATAGCAATGCTCAAGATTATCTGGTCCCAGTTACTTGCTCCATTGCCACGAGCCGACTTACCTATCTACTGTGTCGGGCTCAATTATCGATCCCATGCAAAGGAAGCCAAGGTGCGAATCTTCTAGCTTGCCAATCTATAATTTAGGCGGTTCCATGTACTGATCGTATGGATAGCTCAATATTCCCATGAACCCACCGGTGTGGACCAAGCCGCCTGCTGCTCTGGCATCGGCTGAAGAGGACATTCGGATGAGTCGCTATTGTGCATCAAATTTTCCAGACTGGGAGGTACGCTACATTTAATTTCTTGTCAAGTTTTTACAAAAAGAGACGACTAAGCAAAATGCACTCTTAATATTTTACAGGGTGAACTCGTCTTTGTCACATCCCGAGAATGTCGAGATATCAGTATAGACGAAGCAGAGGCATGTATTCTGGGGTACACAGTAGGCAACGATCTCAGCTGCCGGTTTTTCCAGCTTCCAGCGCAAAACGGTGGGCAATTTTACTATGCAAAGGCATTCGATAAATTTGCGCCTATCGGGCCTGTACTCGTCAGCCCAGAGCAATTCAACAGTGGCAAGAAAACAAAATTGACGACACGGGTCAACGGGCAAGTTATGCAAAATGTTGAGATTCAAAAGGATCGAATATTTTCGCCGGCGCAGGTTCTTAGCTTCATGAGTCAGAGTAGGAATACCCACCCTTTATTATTATAAAAATAAAGCTGATATGTAAAATCCAGGCACAACTATACCCGCGTATACTGCGGTTATGACAGGCACCCCAGCCGGCGTAGGTGCATTCATGACACCCAAGAGGTTTCTACGGCAAAACGAGGTGGTGGAAGTAGAGATAGATGGGATAGGAATTCTTCGCAACAAGATTGTTTTTCCGGATGGCCAAGATTCACTACTGTAAGTTTTTCATAATCTGCCCTTGGGAACTATATTAATAACACCCGTAAGAAATGATTCGCGCTGACGGATTCGTGGTATCACAAAGTTTTACATATCTACGAGGACTTGTGAGCATTATCATTCATCGATTGAGTGGGTGGCTGTAGATATCAATTGATGTCTTCTCGGAAACATGTAAAATATAAATTTATATAGTTCATATAGCATGGCGAATAAGCAGAATCTTAGATAAGGAAAGTTCGATTATTCATCACGGTTTTCCTGCTCCTAAATATGTCAAACGTAGTCAGGATTGATGCTCTAGAGCATATCTCATCCTGTATACAGCTTTTTGAATAGCAAGTAATTGAGTCTGCAGATCGATGATTGGCTGATGTCTCTTTGCTGTGGGGTCCCCGCACTGTTGGGGCACGTGATGCGTAACCTTCAATTTCTCCTACGCAACCATACTCATCAGAAGTAGAGAGTATACACTGTAACAATAATGTCAGATTGGATCAAGTCCGAGATCTGGTACTCTTTATCCTACTTTATTCTTTGGACTTGATGCGCTACCGAAATAAGTCAAACGGAAGTCCAGCGGTGTGATGAATTCCACAAAAGACGAGCACCAGAGTGACCGTGTTTGTGACCGTGTTTGTGACCGCTGTGTCCAGTCAGTTCTTCCACCATACAAACCCAAATCTTCTTTTGGTAGTTTGTATCAGCCGACTAACTTATAAGCAGGAGAAAAGTTAAATGTATGACATCTGAGTCAATACCTGCACCAATCAACTCCTAATTGATGTTCTTGTTCAAAGGTAATCAGCAACGTCCGACGTGTTCAAGATGCCAGGAAGCTGGGATCGCTTGCATCTACTCGTCAAAACGTCGTAAGCCTGGTCCTCCGAAAGGAGTTCGTCGAAAACGACGTTCTCCCCAGACAGGGACAGACATACCCACAGATCCTACTCAGCTGATGGAGGAATTAAACTCGAGCATCTTTCCTGGCCATGACGTCAACTCTGCGGCTACGAATATTTATTTTCCGTCAGAGAGCGGATTTCCCGATACAGAAACGTTTCTGGGACTAAACTTTTCTAACACGCATTCGATGAGGGGAACCCAGCTACTAAATACATCTGGCACTGAGAGTGGATCGCACGAGTTGCCATTTACTCCGACAGAAGAGTTGGATTTGTAAGTTAAATTTATTTCCTTTTTAAATGCAGTTTGGGACTTACTAAATACAGATTGAATAATTTCTTTGCCTATTTCCATCCATCCGGCTTTCTCTTTCAGAAAAACAAATTCTTGGCTAAGTATCATAATGGGCTCCTGGACAGGAGTCTAATAAACACCATCCTAGTTATAACTTTACTGACATTGAGGCCACGCACCACGACTGACCATATTAATCTCGAAGATCTACTAGACAAATTGAGGAACTCATGCTCTTATGCCATTGAGACTTCCAGTGGCTTCCTGACTCTCGATGTCTTTAGGCAAGCCTGTATGCTTGCCTTTTTCGATTTCCATCAAAGACCCGGACTTCAGAGTTGGATGAAAGTCGGGCAGCTGACGCGGCATGCATATCGACAGGGGCTAAACCAAATTGAAAATCCCGACACATGTGCAATATATCAATTTCCACACACAATCGCTGAAGATATTGAAGAATGGCGACGCGCGTGGTGGTTCATTTATACTCTGGATTCATATTCGAATATCATGGCTTCAACACCCTTTTTAATTGAACTGGATGGTGTCCATACCGCGCTGATAGGTCAAGAGTCTGAAAGTACCAGCGATGAAGGCTTGGAGAAGTCAGAAAGAGCTTTTCTAGCATCTGAACCAGATCAATTATGGAAGACCATGCAGACGATTGTTGCCAATGGGAATGAGTTGAACGCCAATATCCATTTAATTACAACTACGATCCTGCGAATGGCTGCTAAACTATCACTCCTACGCAAGCAAAATCCATCAGAAGATTTATTCCGCCGAATAGAGTCTCTCAAGGGCCATATATCAGCTGTGCGGCTGGCAATGCCGTTACGTTATATGAAGCCCACGCGTGATGTGATCATCAACGAAACAAAAGAAAGGCATCATGAGCGATTGGTTTGCATACTTCATATTCATGCGGCTTTGCTTATGCTATCTATTCCTCCATATCCGCATAAAGATGAGGATGCGTGGCTTCTTGCTTGGCGGCAAACCCTCGAGCCATGTGACGATATTGTATCTGTTCTCAAAGAGTGGGACGGTTCGTTTTCTTCTAATACAGACCCTGCTCTATGCTATATAGTGTTTGCTTCGCTAGTTGTTATTTGGCTACTTGGTAAATACGGCTTTGAAAATGACGTCGAGGTACGAGAGAGAATGGGCAGAGCGAGTGACATTCTGACACTATTCCTGGACCACTTTGAACCATTGTGCTGTCAGCCTAGAGTCCTCAAGAGTAGGTTTATTTCTATCTTCCAACTTGTCAAATTTCCCGCCCTCTGACTAATTTTTATAGTGTGGTTTCAAAAGTTTAAGGTTCAATACCCTGGCTCTTTTGGATCAAAGCAGATTTCGCAGATATTGCGATCAATTAACGTTCCATTTCAACTGAACGCATCGCATCCACTCATGCAACAAGACCATCTAGGCGCAGGCTCTACACCACCACCTCTCAACCCTTTTGGAGAACAAAGCTTAACGTCATTGAACTTGCTCTCACCGAGTTTTGACATTGACGACCTTCAACTTATAATTTAGATGGTATACGACTTATAAATTCCCCCAAGTTGTATATATACAGAGATAATGAAACATCAACCAGCCTTATTTGCTGCAAAGTCACTCGGGATTTCTGGTCCCCATATAGCCAACGGCCCTCCTACACTGCGCCTATTCTTATAATCGTTATTGACAAGGTCTCCATCCGCATAATGCTCAACTTTGAACCCGCTCGAATCTAGCCAGTAGTCAAATATTTGACTCCCTAGAATATGTCTGCCAACACCCCAAACAGGTGTCCATTTCTGATCCTCCAGCCACCGATGACCCATCAGTTGAGTATCAAAATCAGCCACTTCGAATGAAGCATGGTGAAGGTACGTCTTTGATGTTCCCGGCGGTGCTCTTCCTAGGAAAAAGCAATGGTGGTCAGAATACTCTTCGCCCAAGTCGAGATGCATGAACGTCATGAAATCAACCCATTCAAATTTATCATGTCGCAATATGTCTGAATGAACAAAGTTGAAATTAGAAGTATAAAAGTCAAGTTCTTCTTCGAACTCGCAGCACACGTATCCGAGATGCCCTAGTTTGTGGACGAGAGCTGGGGCCGGTTTGAACCGTTGGAATGTGCCGAGTCTGCCTTTCTTGAACGGCTCATTCAACGGACCATATGACTCGATTATTTTCGACGGCGGTTCTTGAGATGCATCTACATCTCGCTCCTTTTGACCGTAGACGACATGCATGAAAGTCCCATTGGGACGTGGGATCGTAACGAGTTGCCCCCCACCAGGCGCATCGCTGAGATTTTTGGTGATAGCACCTTCAAGTCTACTCGCTTTCTCGAAATTCTCCTCGTCTCGCGCAACGAACGCCGCCCCGAGGAATCTTGACCGGCGATTTTGACTCTGCGACGCGACGTAGACATAGGGATCCCTGCCATAGCCCCGGTAATAAATAGTGTTCCCGTGTCGCTTTTCTTCCACAAATCCGAAATCGGCCGCGAATTTTTCAAATGTTTTTAAATTGGCATGCTCAAAATACACGTGTCCGAGTCGAGACAGCTGGACTTTTGAGTGGTGATTATGCACATCTGGGATTGCAATGGGAGCGACAATCCATTCTTGCACCGAGCGAGGAAGGCGGGCGACGACGTCGACGATGAAAGACATTATTGTTAGTAGTCATTTACAACTAGAATTAATTATCAATATCTAGATCTGTTCATTATTATTTATTCTAAATCAAGGTGGTGTGTTTAGGAAGACTTGCCAACCGTCCAAGGATGATTTTCGAAGATGTTCCGCGGAGCAACCCTAACCTCAACAATCATCCTAGTTCCCAACCAAATGAAACATAGAACACCCTCGGAACGGAGTAAATATGTCAATAGAATGTATTATGTAATTGAATTAATTTATTTCCATAGGCTTCTCACGTCATAATGTAGCTCCTGTCGGTTTTCCCCGATAGTCCTGGTTACATGGTTTATATGTAGCTTTCCAATGTAAATACAATCTATAGTGATTGTATACAAGATAAATTCAAACGAACTTCTAAGAGGGCAGTATTAGAAGCACTTTTACGGATTTGAAGGAGGCACCACTGGCACTGGCGCCATCCGATACTCCAAGATATCATCATCCACAGAGACCGAACCAGAGTGCTTTGTAACGACAGACCACGGCACTATTATTCCTCCTTCCACGCCATAGTAACGTTAAATACCAGTTCAAAATATTCGACGCATTTCAATGGAGTCAGCCCCAGTTGTCGTTGTCGGCGCAGGGCCTTCAGGGCTCGTGTTTGGATTATGCCTTGCCAAATTCAAGATACCGGTATGTTCACATAAAATGAAGTTCCAACTACATCACGTGCATAATTAGAGAATATTAAGCTAACGGGAATTCAGTGTATCATCCTAGAAAAAGAAAGTGACATAACCGATGATCCGAGAGGCGTCTATCTTGCCGGAGACGCCTTGCGTGTTTTATGGAAACTTGGGTTGGGAGATGCAATGCCATCGATTGGACATGGTTTGTTTCTTCATATTTTCTACTTAATATAGAGCATTTTTGAAGAAAATAGCTAATGGTGGAAATGTTCAAGAATTGGACGCGATATATTACCACCCAAGCTCATTCAAGGCACCGCCGTTTTTGACCATCCCGATTGCGCATGATTGGATGGGACATACCATCCCAGGTGGTATCTTACAGAGTCAGCCAAAACTCGGTACGCAAATAGTCAATAGACACAAATCAACATTGTGAACTAATCGTTAAAAGAGCGCGCGCTTAGGGATGCCGTTCAAAAGTCTCCGTTCTGCACTCTCCGGCCAGGCTGTGAAGTCGTGGACCGAGAAGAAAATGATGACTACATGATCATAACCTACCTCGATTTGGATAACAATATCAAAAAGAAAATCAAAACGCAATGGCTCATTGGTGCTGACGGCAAGCGAGGCGTCGTGCGCAAAAAGTTCCTTGAACCGAAAGCAGGTATAAAGCAAGAGGATGGAATATTCCGTTACGATGGGACCTGGGTGGCGGCAAATCTGCATATTTCTCTACCTACACCTGAGACGCATCCTGACTTGGGTCTCTGGAAACTTGGTTTTACGCCGCAGCAGGTTTATGATGTGTTCTGGCCACAAGGGTGGCATTTCTGTTCGCCGCCTGGAAAAGCAACTGCCTGTGGAAGATTTGGACCACATGAGGACCGACTTTGGAGGCACGAATTTGCAGAGCCAGAGTGGAATGATTCAATGAATGCGGAGGAACTGCTCTGGGATCATCTGACGCCAATGATTACTCGATCGGAAGATAGCTCTGGGCGGCAGTTTGGAAGCGAAATCACGTATCCGATAGACTGTATTGAGGTTTTAAGATGTCGCCCATTTCGCTTCACCCATAAAGTTGTGAACAAATGGTTTGATAATCACACAGTGCTGATCGGCGATGCCGCCCATGTGTTCCCTCCGTTTGGAGGACAGGGTATTGCGTGTGGAATTCGAGATGCGGAAGGCCTTGCATGGAGGATTGCAATTCTGGCAGGTATAAAAGAGCCTGCCCCTTCGAAGACTTTGAGTAACAACCTTTTGTCTTTATGGGCAGAAGAGAGGCGTATGGGGGTCAAGCTGTCGATGAAACAAACAATGATGAGTGGGAAGTTATGCAATGGAACTGCAGGCTGGTTTTTTTCGTCTATTGCACCAATGCTGGTGTATCTGTTCACGTCGCCGATATTCTACAATCTTCCATCCCCAATGTCTCGAGGCGAGACTTTGGGCTACCAATTTGCGAAAGATGGGTTTTATCTGAGACAATATGCGGGGGGCAAAAAACTTGCTCAGATATATGGCGTTGCTGAAATCGCAGCCGATGGATCCTCAAAATCTCCTACGCGAAGAAAAATGTTATTATCAGACCATATTATCCATTCTGTGCCTACAGCTCTCACGCTACTTGTGTGTGACAGAATTACGCCCCAGGAAAACTCGCAATTAAATAGATTGCTGGAGGGTGGTCCATTACACCCATTGATCCTATCCAAGCAATCAGTCATCCACTTCTATCCCAAGTACATTCATAATAAGGAAAGCTCACTAATTGCAGACAAAGCTCCTTCTATCTCATGGTCTCCAATTCCTTCTGAACTCACAATGGGCTCAGTTCTACGGCCAGGATACAATCCTCAAACCTTTCAGAATCGTCTTGGAGGGGCGATTTCAAAATACGTCATTATCAGGCAAGATAGTATTGTCTTTTCGGTGGCAAAGGATCTTCAACAACTACAAGACTGCTTGGATAATCTAAATGCTTATGTCAGTGCTTAAAGTTGCCAGGTTTCTCAAATTCCTTTGAGAACTTGGCAAATCAGGATATCATAAGAGGCTCACCGGAGCTGGAAAGCGCATAGAAGTGGTGTACTTTAGATATAAAGCCAATATAATTGTCTTAAATAATGAATTATTTGTCTTTGTAAACAAGAATTTTAACCGTGGCTAGGACAATTTAGTAGACATCGTAATCAGATGGCGATTAAAGTCTCAAAATCAGATATTAAGCCTCGATGTTAGATATATAAGTCACAGTTAAGAATATCAATTGATAGGCACGATACAGAACTACATATGAATAATGCTCACCCATTAGCAATGACCGGTTAGTTTCAAATCAATCGATTGGTTAGAAAATAAATATTTGATATGTATACGAAATACAAACCCATCCAACACCATACAATGTGATCATTAAGCACGCAGAGCACAGGAACTTAATAGACTACGCCAACTTTGGCTTTTTATTACGCCCCTTTCCTGCACCAGCACCCTCATCAACATCCATCATATCCACATCCGATGGCGCGTCCTCGTCGATGAAATCAATTTCCTCGCTCACATCAGACCCGTAGTTAGAAGGTTCATCATCGTTTTCCGAATCCGTATCAACGCCAGCTCTCCTCTTGAGACCCTTCATCTTCCGTGTTTGCATGTTGGCGAGATCCTGCTTTCCAAGATGCACACGACCAACCTTATCACCAATTATGTCCATGGAGATATTCTTCTTCGTCCTGGGTTCTTCGTTGGGCCGTTTGCCTTGTTTCATGGCTTCCTTCATCAGGTTAGGATCAGCCTCGCGAACGCGGCCGACCTTGAAGTCAAATTTAGGTCCTATTTCCTCCAACTCAACCCGAGGAAGTTTGTGTCCACTGCGTTTCGTACGAGTTTTATACCATCGCAGATGAACAATAGGCGATAAACCAGGCTCGGCAGGCTCCTCAGCGGCAACCATCATCAGAAATTGGAGTCCTTCAACGTCAATCTTATCAGTCTCCTCGCCCTTGAATATGTCTAAGAAGACGCTTTTGATCATTGCATAGGTCCCGGATGCGTTATCCTCCCATATACTACCAGCAAACAGCACCATTGGCTTCATCCCAATCCCCATCTCAAATTTCAACGCATTGGGCGCTGGAATGGCATCTCCATCGGACCCAGGTAGTAACAGCAACTCGAACATTTCCAAAACCTTCGCATTGTAAATCCGAGCCAGTGTGATGCAATTGGGTCGCTTCTTGTTGCTACTTCCATAAACCACGATACCGCATTCATTCTTACCGGCCAAGAATTCAATGCTATCAGTGTTTTCGAATGGGCGGATATTATCGTTTTTTTTATGGAAGAGAACCGAATTGGGGTTCGTTAGTCCATGAAATGTCTTGAGCAGAGTGTTCAGTGGAACCGGACATTTTGTGCCGTGCAGGAGCAGTGTGCGTTTGGTGGGTTCGATTAATTTTGGTTCTTTCTTCTTAAGAATACGCGCTGTGCGCGGATTCTTGGGTTTCCTGTTAAGCAATGTGTCAGCAATGGGAACAGTAATTCAGCAAAGCGAGCTCTAATCGACAGTCGCTGTAATAGTCCTATTCGCTATGATATGCTAGATGGAGGGTATTCGGGTTGCAAACAAAACAATACAACGGGCAGAACGAATATCACTTACACTTCTCGAAGCATCTTGACTCTGCTTGTGTGACAAATACCAAACTCCTGTTTGAAGAAATTCCTGACAGTCTCGCTTTTTTGGAGGCGGAAAAAAAGTCGAGAATATTTGTCTTGGCATTCCTTATCGATAACCTTATCTCGGACCGATAAGCTCCACCTTGAGACCAGCCCAGCTCATCCTCGTCAGCTTTTTGTATTTTCATAATCTAATTGTTTTCATCAGGGCGAGGCTCTTTTCGCTGTTCACCATTCTCATAACTTGCCGGAACAAGTTGGTATTACCCCGCCCGATGTCGTTCATCTGTAAACTAGGCGCTACTCCCACCGTCTCGCTACTCCAACCGTTTCGCTACTTGCTATCCGAAACCAAAGCCCCTGCGCCAGAGACGTCGTTATTATCAGCCCCCAGCCAAACCTGAGACTACGGCCAAGCAACCTGTAACATTTGTCAAGAACAGAAAAATCTAAAATTGTAGTTCTCATTTTGGATACAAGCTAATAGGGCATCCTCTACCCACACGACGCTAGTCTCAACTTTTCTGTGACGTCTGATGAAGTACTGTCAAATTCGGAATCAAGATCTAAAGTAATATTGAGGCAAACACGGTACTAGACTTCAATAGATTAGTGTGACAGTATTGGAGACAGGAAGCCCCTAGGCGTCCAAAGGAAAACCCGCCCCGGATCTTATTCTTTTTTTCTTCTCTATAGTCTATCTCTAGAAGACATCTTTCTCAATGAACCCTTTCACAATTCCATTAAGTTGAACAAGCCCCCAGGTGGAACTCCAAATCCTCTTTTCTAGTAAGCGTGAAATATTGGGCTATACCACATCCTTTGAGATCGGCGAAGAGTCAAATCGAGAAAATAAACAATATGCACCTAAGGGGTATTCTCCTAGGCATCGTTGCCTTGCTTGTCGGATTCCAGGTAATACATTCATCCAGTCTGACTGCGGAAATCCTAAGATGTATCAGGAAATCGTCGAAGCTCATCACCATGTATTGGGGCATGATCCATCGGCAGCAGGTATCCGTAAGCATGGGGGAGACGGAAGGCGAAATAGCAATGCCAGTGCAGGATCACAGTAATCTTCTCCAAACTCCCAAATGAATGTTGCTGACCATATAATAGGGCGACAGTTGGAGTCATCCAGCCTTTGAACCCCAAAAAGTCAAGTTCACACATTGTGCAAGCCTCGTCGCAGGCAATCCGGAAAACGGCCTCTTCGGCGGCATGTAAGTCTCGCCGCTTCTGGGGGTGATTATAGCTGACCAGAAAGCAGTGAAACCAACTCCAAGTACACAAGCAACGGCTCAAGCAACTGTGCAAAACTCGGCAAATGCTGCGCCAGCCACCTCTCCTGGTACCACTAGCCGACAATCTCTCCCATGAATTGTACGAAAACTGCTAACCAACCATGCAGAATTTACGACTCTGACGACCGTGGTAGCCGTCAGTGCTGCCGGGACTACCTCTATCGCACACACTGTAACGGGTGTTGAAAACGGCAACGGCCAGGGGAGTAGCGTCGCAGTTGCCTCAATTCCCACATCAACGCCCATTGCAACCTCAGTTCCAACCTCTGTCCCAACCTCTGTCCCGACGTCAGCAGTCGCAAATGCAAGTGCTCGTGCTTTTTTTTCCCTTGTGACAGTAATATGTCTAACGTTGATTCAACAGGAACCCCAAACGCAAACATCTGTGGCTGTGACAACAAGCACACCAGAAACGAACCCAGCTGCCGTTGCAGCCTCGGCACCCAAAACAACATTGACAACGACAACAATCCCTCTTGCGACAACAGCGGCCGCAGCTCAGCCACCGGATTTCAATACTATGACATTTCATTCTGCGGTGACGATCATGTTGGGTCGGTAATAGGCGAATTATAGCGTATGCAATATAAAATATACCGTTGGCGTTCTCCATATTCGTTCTAGATAGGGCGCTATTGTCAAGTCACAAAGTATGCCCGTTAATAGTTTTTGTACAACATTCCATCTTTTTAATGCATTTGCCTTTCAAGACGGTTCAGTGGAGATGCTGTACATCGTATCAAATAGATCGTATCAACTAGCTTGCAGTTCAGTGAGTAATTCTTGTTATGACGGTGCGTTTGCCTCGAGGCGAGCCTTTTTCGCCCGGCGCTTTAATTCGCGCTTGGAGAGAGGCTTCTCGTTTTCAGGGACTGAGCCCAGAGAAGCTTTCCGTTTGAGACTTTCCCCATTCTTTTCAACTATCGGAATATCCTTCTTTTCATTCTGCTTCCCAGGGGTATCTCGGGGTTGGTTTTTTTTCTGTCCACCATCCACGATGTCCACGATGCCTCGCCAGCTAGTTCGCTTCAAGCTCGATAGAGCAACGACTTTCCTAACTTCCTCGCAGATGGCTTCTTTGCCTCGTTCCTGGGAGAACCCCCAGAGACAGGCAAGGTTGACAATATCCATTGGTGCACGTATTGCTAACGCCCTCTTTGCCTCGCTTGATATTATTATACCTCGACCTTCTCGGGTTGCTCTAACGAGAGCTCGCGCATTTCCAATGACGTTTCTGCGGGCTTCAGGCCCACCTCCAGTTATCCCAGAGCTATAACATATTTCGAATCTGACGCCTCGGTCGAATGCAGACTTGAGAGTGTTGATCTTGAAGTGGGAGGGAAATCGGACAGAGAGATCAATCGATATCAGATCACACTCCATGTTTGTGCAAGCATTCAAAAGGCTTTTCTCGTTTGTTGGGCGTACTGCCACAATAGAGTAGAGCGGAATTATGTTCGCTAAACGGGGGGTGTCGGCTGGATCGGAGAGGACGATGGTGAGACGGGTCAAAAGCGTGAGAGATTTCGGGGCGTTCGAGGGAAGCTGCGGAGGAGTAAGTTTGGAAGGCACCTTGCCTGATATTGTTTGCGACAGAGCTACTGTTGTGTACCCCACTAGAATGTTATAAGCTTCACATGGTTATTGAGAATAGCTCCAATACTCACGTTCGGCCAAGAATTCGAGAGTATTCAGTATCCCAGGATCCTCAGCAGAATACGGCACATTAAGGTCATAGAACATGTTGCTCGGCTTCTGGGCAAGAAGCAGTCGTCCTCAATCCAGCGACGCAGTTAAATGAGTCGAGAGAAACGTCAGAAATGAAATCGAAACAAAAATGCTGGAGCTGTCAAAATAATGCGTGAGTCGAAATTCTACCCGATATATAATTGGCCGTGCTGTCACCGCCTTCCTCCGGGCCAATCAGGTCGGCGAACCGGCTCTCGTCACAACTCTGCGGCCGGAGCAGAACCAGCGACAATCACCACGCCAGGCTCAGGCTTCACAAGTCCCACAATTCATGCGCATTACCTGTCGCCTCGGTCGTTTTGTCCACTGTTATTCTTACTGATTTTCAAGCTCATGTCAACATCAATATAGCCCGTCCTTGTGTTTCCTTCAACTTCCTTGCCATCGTCAATCGCGCGTTGACTTTTGTCTACCCCGCTTTGCGCAATTTAGCCAGCCACCACCATTGTGGGCAGCTCCTGTTCACCAACACCACACGATGGCTCGAATCTACGCCGATGTGAACGCTCACATGCCCCGGTCCTACTGGGACTACGACAGTGTCAACATTTCCTGGGGTGCTTTGGAAAACTACGAGGTCGTCCGCAAGATCGGTAAGTTAGCCTACTACAGATGAAGTTCCCACTACCCATCCAGCCCTACATCAGACTAATCGGAATGAATGCGAAGGCCGCGGAAAGTACTCTGAAGTCTTTGAAGGAATCAACATCGTCAACTATCAAAAATGCGTTATCAAGGTGCTGAAGCCGGTAAAGAAGAAGAAGATCAAGCGTGAAATCAAGATTCTTCAGAATCTCTCCGGCGGACCGAATGTTGTCGCGTTATTAGATGTTGTCCGGGACAGTCAAAGCAAAACTCCAAGTCTTGTGTTTGAGTATGTCAACAACACCGACTTCCGGACTCTCTACCCTCGCTTTGTGGACTATGATGTGCGCTACTACATCTTCGAGCTTCTCAAAGCCCTTGACTTTTGTCATAGCAAGGGTATTATGCATCGGGACGTGAAGCCTCATAATGTCATGATCGATCACGAGAAACGCAAGGTTAGTTTCTTACGAACCATAAAACTCAACATCAAATTCTGATGATTTGTCTTATAGCTACGGCTTATTGATTGGGGTCTTGCGGAATTCTACCACAAAGGCACCGAATACAACGTTCGTGTCGCGTCAAGATACTTCAAAGGACCTGAGCTTCTTGTGGACTTCCAGGAGTATGATTACTCTCTTGATATGTGGTCGCTTGGCGCGATGTTTGCCTCGATGATATTCCGCAAAGAGCCGTTCTTCCATGGACAAAGTAACTCTGACCAGCTCGTCAAGATAGCCAAAGTACTTGGCACAGAGGAACTTTTCGAGTATCTTGACAAATATGATATTGAGCTTGACTCTCAGTATGACGACGTTCTCTCTCGCTATCCTAAAAAGCCATGGCATTCGTTTGTCAATGCTGAAAACCAGCGGTTTGTCACCAATGAAGCTATCGACTTTCTGGACAAACTCCTCAAGTATGATCATGCGGTATGAAAACTCTCATTTTAGTCTCTTATCTTCCTTCCCTGCTAATTTCCTTGATAGGAACGTCTCACTGCCGTGGAGGCGATGGCCCACCCCTACTTTGAACCTGTCCGTGTAGCACAGGCGGGTCAGAATAACAATGCAGCACAATCCTAAACACTCTAAATAACTCAAAGTCATTTCTCAATCAAACATGGCAGCTATTCCTGGGCAGGCATACTGCCATGTACAATCTCGGAAGACTATCAAACTTCCACACCGACGATTTTCCTACTTAACGCAATATTGGGGGATGTTACGAACAACCTTTTCAACCTAGCTTGTAACCCTCAAGCAAATTCACAATACCAGACGAATACCAACAACTCGTGGAGGTGACAGTGGACCGCACCAGCTTCGGGTATAATACATTCAATGTCACATTCGGTCACTTATCCTCTACAAATCAATAATCTCCAGCTTCTGTACGCGACAGCCGTTGGCGATCTAATAGGGTTATGGCTTTTACTGTTCTACGTCAATCATCCAACCAGTCTATACACATACGGGGTATGTCGCGGTATTAAGGGCCGTGGTTCCTTTTTGATCCATCTATATGTCACCTCAACTTTGATGCTTGTTTACGGGTGTGTGAGTTCTGTGTGGAGTACTGTGAGTTTGTGCATTTCTAGGCGAAGAAATGATATATTTGTGTATTGATTTCATGCTACTTGGCCAATCCTAATATCCTCCAAAGGAACAGAAAAGTCAATTTCTTTATCGATATCGATAGGATATTGTAGTAGCACGTGACTTGCCATAGCTTGGCCTTACCCAGCAACAATCCCTCAGTAGTCATTTTACCGTCGAAGCCTTTCTGCAACTCACCAAACAGAACCCCCAACCACATCAATGCTATAAACGAGCTTGAGGAGTAAGTCTACATACCTGACGGCGTGAGCGGTGGCAGTCTCCACCATGCCGCCAGCCGCCATTGGCCCCGCAGTTGCGAACCAGTCACTGAGTCATCCCCAGGATAAAAAAATTCCCCTCCAACCAAGCTCCTCTGTGCTTTCACTCCGTCTCAGTCCCATCGTTTTACGTCGGGCGGTCAAAATACTTATCCGGAGACTTGTGGCGCATCGGGCGCCTTGGAGAACCGTTTCTCCCACTTTTCGTTCCTTCATGGCTACCAATTCTGGGTCTGCAAACCCTCGTGAGTACAACCCCGCCTACTCCCCTCCTCATCCATGCGACAATTCGATATTAACATAGCACTATATCAGTCGGGGAGCAGACTGCTCCTGTAACACAACCGCCTCCTCCGTTATCCGAAGAAACCAAATCCGCTATCCAAGAAGCTGCGAAAAATGGACAATCCGAACCAGGCCAGGACACCTCCGCGGCCCCTGGCAAAAAACCAAAGACTGAAAAGGAGCTAGAGCGGGAAAGACGCAAGGCCGAAAAGAATAAGAAGTTTGCTGAAAAGCAGGCAAAAGCGGCGTCTGCCAAACCTGCGCAGCCCAAGGCAGAGAAGAAGGAGAAGGTCATTGACAAAACCACCGATGCGTACGAGCCCAAAGTAATTGAACAGGGTCGTTATGAATGGTGGGAGAGGAAAGGGTTGTTTCAACCCCAACTTGACGAGAATGGGAATATCAAGCCGGCAGGTGCCTTTACTATGGCCTGTCCTCCTCCCAACGTTACCGGTTCTCTCCACATGGGTCATGCTCTCATGGTGGTAGGTTTATCAGTGGTTATTTGATAAGGTTTATGTGAGGAAATTAATTGTGATTCTCTAGGCCCTTCAAGACACCATGACGCGATTCTACCGAATGAAGGGAAAGACGACTTTATGGATTCCCGGAGTTGACCATGCGGGTATCTCGACTCAAAGCGTTGTTGAGAAGATGTTATGGAAGGAGAAGAAACAAACCCGCCATGATCTCGGTCGTTCCGCATTTGTCGAATTGACCAAGGAATGGAAAGACAGATATCAGGGATCTATCCTTACTTCGTTGAAAGCAATGGCCGCCTCACTAGATTGGTCTCGTGAGGCCTATACCATGAACAGCGATTTCTCGGCCGCAGTGACAGAGCATTTCTGTCGCCTCCATGAAGAAGGCACTATCTACCGTGCCAATCGACTTGTCAATTGGTGTTGTAACCTGAATACATCTTTGTCGAATTTGGAGGTCATAAATACGGATATTCAAGGCCGAACTCTGCTCGACGTTCCAGGCTGTATGTTTTCAAAAGAAAGCTTTTGTTGCGGGAACTAACAATGTTATTAGACGATAAGAAAGTCGAATTTGGTGTCCTCACCCATTTCTACTATGAGGTTGATGGCCTTGCTGAACGCATCGAAATAGCAACGACCAGACCTGAGACAATGCTTGGCGATACTGGTATTGCCGTACATCCTGATGGTGAGAGACATTTACCCGCCAGTTTTTACTCTCTCTTTTCTCTCAACTAACATCGATGGGGATAGATAAGAGATATCAGCACTTGGTCGGAAAGAAGGCCAAGCATCCTTTCGTCGACCGCCTCTTGCCAATTGTAGCCGATTCATCTGTCGCCATGGATTTTGGTACCGGTGCAGTCAAACTTACACCCGCGCATGACTTTAACGATTATGCCCGTGGAAAACAACATGGCCTTGAATTCGTCTCAATTGTGAGGGTGATCTTTTATATTGATCTGAATAAAGCTAATACAAACTAGTTGAATGACAATGGCACTCTTATGGATAACTGTGGTGAATTTTCTGGTCTCAAGCGTTTTGACGCGAGATATGCCGTTATCGCAAAACTTAAGGAGAAAGGCTTATATGTGAAGTGGGAGAACAACCCTATGGTTATTCCACGTTGCGAGAAGAGTAAGGATATTATTGAGCCTGTGCTCAAGCCGCAATGGTGGATGAAAATGGACGAGCTCGCACAAGCTGCAGTGAAGGCTGTTGAGAACAAAGAAGTTACCATCAGTCCTCAGTCTGCTGAGAAGAACTTCTTCCATTGGATGAGGAATATCCAGGATTGGTGCATTTCCCGTCAATTGTGGTGGTATGTTTGGTTCAACCCCTTTTAAAAAATGTTTGGCTGATTTGCCGATGAATAGGGGTCATCAAGCACCCGCTTATCTTGTCGAGTTAGAAGGAAAACCTGCGGATCAAGAAGACAATAACTCGTGGGTGGTTGGGCGAACAGAGGAACAAGCTCGCGAACGAGCAGCAGCAAAGTTCCCAGGACAGAAATTCACCCTCAAGAGGGATGGGGACGTACTCGACACATGGTTCTCCTCTGGTTTGTGGCCTTTCGCGACTCTAGGCTGGCCAAACACCGAGAACCCTGATTTCCAAAAGTTCTTCCCCACCAGCACTTTGGAAACTGGCTGGGACATTCTTTTCTTCTGGGTCGCGTATGAATCTCTACATTTTTCCAGCGTGTTCTCATGACTGGATATGACTAACTTTTCACAGGAGAATGATCATGCTTAGTCTCAAGCTGACTGGCAAAGTTCCTTTCAAGGAAGTCTACTGTCACTCTCTGATCCGTGACAGCGATGGTCGCAAGATGAGCAAGTCACTTGGCAACGTTATCGATCCTCTCGACGTTCAGAAGGGTATCACTCTGGATGCTTTACATGAGAAGTTGAAGCTCGGTAACTTGGCTGAGAATGAAATTAGCGTCGCCACCAAATACCAAAAGAAAGCCTTCCCCAAAGGTATTCCAGAGTGCGGTGCTGATGCCTTGCGCATGGCGCTTGTATCGTATACTACGGGCGGTGGTGACATTGCTTTCGACGTCAACGTTATTTTCGGATATCGACGATTTTGGTAAGTCTCTTGTGTATTAATTTATGAATGTTTCTTTCTAATGGACATAATTTTCAGCAACAAGATTTATCAGGCTACCAAGTTTGTTCTCGGAAAATTGGGTCCTGACTTCAAGCCTTCGGCATCTCCTTCCAAGACTGGGCATGAATCACTCTCAGAGCGATGGATCTTGCACAAATTCAACGAAGCAGCCAAGGAAATCAACAATGCCATCGAAACTCGCGAATTCTCCATCTCCGCATCAACAGCATACCAATACATCTATTCCCAACTGTGCGATGTCTTTATTGAAAACTCCAAGTCGCTTCTTCAAGCCGATACTCCTGCTGAGATCCAAGAGTCGGCCAAACAGACTTTGTATACTGCCCTCGAGGGAGGTCTACTCTTGATACACCCCATCATGCCTTATATCACCGAAGACCTCTGGCAACGCCTACCACGCCGCGAAGGCGACAAGACTGAGTCTATCATGGTAGCCCGTTTCCCAGAGTACACTGCTTCTTTCGATGATGCAGCGGCCGAGAATGCTTATGAGCTAGTCCTGAACACTTCCAAATCCATCCGCTCCATCCTAACGCAATACGAAGTCAAGGAGAAATCCGACCTCGTTCTCGCATGCTACAACGACACGAGCTACAAGACCGTCTCCGACGAAGTCGTGTCCATCAAGTCTCTTGGCGGAAAGTACGCCGGTGAGATCTCCATCCTTGGTCCGGAGAACAAGACTCGCCCGTCGGGATGCGTGGTGAGCCCGATTGGCGCCGACGCAGCTGTTTACCTGAAGGTCAGCAAGCAGGTCGCTCTTGAACGGGAAGAAAAGGCCAGAGCTAGTTTGGCAAAAGCTCAAGATGTTATTTCCAAGGCACAAAAGACGATGAATACTCCTGGCTGGCGCGAAAAGGCTAGGCCAGATGTTCGCGAATTGGAAGAAAAGAGGTTGCGGGATGCAGAGGGTGAGGCTCTTTTGATTGAGGAACAAATCCGTGAGTTGGAGAAGTTGCGTCTAGATGCTTAGGTGTGAAGTATGTACCGGAGGTGAACATAAAAGATAGTTGGGTCTGGTGCTAGAATTTCAAGTCCTAGATACAGCCTAAATCTTCGTTTACTATTGAAAGGAAATAGTGTCAAAGCTTATCAAAATTCATCAAATATTTATATGAAAGAATTAATTCGGATATCAATATTACTAATGTAAAAGCAGCACATATCTATATACACGGCCACAGACCACGCAAAACAGTCGCCAAACTTCTCAATTATGATAAATTGCCACCAAAATACAGCAAATAGCAAAGGAGAGGAAAGAAACTTAAATCCGCATCATAGCCCGCCATGCAAAAACGGATCTGTTAGAGGAGATGGTCTTGGACCTCCAGGCCCTCCACCCCAATACCTTTCGCCTTCATTATTCGGCTCATCCCTGCACTGCGGACTCAACCTATCTTGCACTGTACCTTGCGGCCAAATAGGGATGTAGCAAGCTTCATTATAGCCGCATTTCTCCGAACATTCCTTCCACGTCGTCCAGCCAAGATACTCGATCAACGCATCAATACGAGAAACCGCAACATCGAGATCAACGTCCTCGAGAATGCTATGTAGCGTCGAGCAGGTTGTATATGAAACGTCATAGACGACTTTCCCAGCTAGACTATTGATAGCGTTGGTGTTCTTTTTGATACTGTGGGGGATGAATTGCAAGGCACATAGCTCATTTTCGAGTGTGTCGTTGCGCTGGAGTGGGTCAATGAATGGTCGTAAGGGCTTGTAAACTTGTTTCTGGAGACTTTCCAAGGTACCGAATTTACTCGACGCCAGAAGTGATTTGAGAAAGTCCGAGTATTTCAGCACGACCATGTCGGCGATGGACTGCCAGTTGAAAGATGACTCGACCACGTCATGCTCGAGGACAAGTTGACTCAGGTCTGATCGAATAGGCTCGAGTTGCTCTGACGATAAATGCTGGAGTCGGGGCTTGCTACCACTGCCGCTACTTTCATTGAACAAATCGAGGTTTGCGTATGTATATGCAGTCACGAAATTGTCATAGTTGACTTTGACGCGCTCACCGCCAATTCCGTCGAACCGCGCAACGTTGATAGATTTATATTCATAAATATCATGTCTCTCCATAAATTCCTGCGAAGACACAGCGGCGATTCGTTGAAGATTGACATCGCGTGAGAAGTCGCACAGAATTATTTCGAAACCGGACTCAGTTCGTATAAATCCATCGATACGGTCATTCCATTCATCCTTGGCGATGCGACATGCGAGTTCAGCACGCACAGATTCGCCGAAGGGCCCTCCGGGTCCTTTCTTCTCATCGTCGTCTGCCCGCGCCATCTTACCTTCGTTAAGTTGATCCCGAAGGAGAATTCTATCTTGTGAATCCAACGTGCCCATATCTGTTTTTCCAGCTGAAAGACCGTCGATATACAACAGACGCAGATCTTTGGCTGCGGAGTACATATGAAGATAGCCGTACTTTTCTTCTCCCTCTTGATTGTCTCGCTCATCCTCGGGCCGCTCGTGGAGCACCTCTTGCTGTCGTTTCAAAAGCTTTGGCCGAAAGGGTCCCGGAGGAGATGGACCAGGTCCACGGCGAGGACCACGAGGCCAAGCAAAAAATAAAGCATGTTCGGGCTCAAATGCCAACCATTCGGTATCGTTTACACGAGCATCAGAAGATGAGCCATGGAAGAATTGTGTTCCTTCAGGAACTGTTGCCAGGAAGAACGACATTCCATTATGATACCAAGCAGCGCCCCATTGTCGCATCGATGAGTGGATTGCGTTAAAGATATGATTTGCATTGTGGACTTCTGATGTGATGATGCTTGTGTTGATGGCTGAAGCGGCACAGCTGATTAGGGCAAAGCTGGCGAGGACGTTCGCAACCCACAACATGATTCCTATAATCTGGAAATCGCTTGGTTTATGATATTCATGCCTCGTTCTCGTCACACACCGAGGAAGAAGAATAAAGAAAAATAAAATAAAATAGGCAGAAAAAGCAGGAAAGACGGGGGATAAGATGGAAGATCTTATCTTGTGGCGCCCACGGGCCACGCAATCGGTGGGGCAGTCACTACGTACGCTATTTTCTGCTCTACAAGTACGTTATAAAACACCCATATAAGAATTATGCCTTCGTTGTAAAGCAACTTGGGATCACCGTGAACCCGCATCTGACGGGCAATATGGCAGAATCTTCGCCAGGGGAAGCAGCTGGGAGGGAAGGGTTCTACGTCAACTGATACTTAGGAGTCATTGTTTAAGCAATGTATCAAACTAATCGTAGGCCATGACTGTGAAGCAGCTTATAAAAATAGAGTATGCAAGCTAACATTATTGCGTTGCAAATAGAATATACCATTAAAAATGTACAAATTAGATGATGGTTCAAAAAATAAGTTAGAAATAGAGAATGATGATGATGGAAAGGGAGAGCCACTTTGGGCCTGGGAGTGTGATCTGAAATTATGCGTAATTTGTAAAATGGATCACTCATAGTCTAGAAGAAATATGTTTGCTTATTATCTTCTAATTAGATAGACTATCAGTAAGCAAAGAATCAATTCTCTTTTAATTACTTCAGCTAGTAAATTCACAGATTTCTCAAATAGAGCTTCATATCGCTTCCTCGTGGTATATGATATCTTCTCTTCTGGTGGAGTCGAATGGGTAGTCCCAAGGGTGCCAAGGCTGTTTAGCTTCTATTCCATTGTTTTGAACTCGCTGATGATGCGTACATCAGATCAGGAGACTTCAAAAAATTGCTGATCCACCTCACTTCTATTCACACTGAGGGTGTGTTTAACTTTGCCTAGTCCAACCCGTGGGGACCCGGTCACCAACTTATTCGAGGGCCAACTCAGCGTATAGTCAGTCATATGCTACCGCTCCCAAACACTATGACTCAGAGTTCACAAAAGCATGCACATCTCCAAGGCCAACAATCTGGCTAGACTTCTCAAGTACATCATGACCTTCCCCAATATCCGGGTAGGTATTTTCATTTCCCAATATAGGATGGAATAATTCGCGAAAGGTGATATTAGCCGTGGACTGGGCTCCTGACAGGATCTGGTTACGGGGAGTATAGTCATTCGCCTATTAAAGAAGGCACAACTGAAGCTCACATCCGCGGCCGGACCCTCAATTGCATGTATGCTTCCGTTTCCGTGGTGCTTTAGAGATTAGGGCTTCATATCCATAACCACATAAACCCGAGTCGCATTTCCTAAGGCTCTTGAAACGCCGGAAACTCATCATATATCTGCTTCATTTGCATTGATCTGTTGAGAAATATAAAGACTTACAATAAGAGTTTTGTCTCAAGCAGAAAGTCTAAACCATAAAGAGCAAATACAAAAAAAAGGAAAAGAAAGAAAAGAAAAGAAAGCAAGGAAGCATCTTTCCAGCAATATATCTCAAATAGTTTCCCAGAAAAATATTGAAGTCTCAAACTGCAATCCCAACACCATTCTATTCGAATAAAACCTTTCATCATTATTGCTGAGCCATAGCTTGAAACAAAGGAGTAAGGTTCCGTGCAGCTGGATCCTTGAATAGTGTTTCTGGAGCTGCAGCCGTCGCACCTTGAGTACTCATAAAATGGTGGCTTGAGCCTGTGTATGACGTTGATACTGACTGTACCGATGCAACGCTGCTGGCCGTCCCCGTACTCTTACTACTAAACACACTTGGTACTCCTACGGAAGACGATGTAGAAGAGGAGGTAATTGCCGATGAAGGTGTATTAACCGACGTCCATGGATTTGCGTGCTTTTGAGTCTGGCTTTTGAGTTTTTCTCTAGCGTCTCTTAATTCATTATACCATCTTTTCGCAATCGTACCTCCTTGCGGGAGTGTATCGCGGTGCCAACGAGGACATAGCATCCAGTCTGCTAGCTCTCGGAGTGCATTCAGCTCGAACGTATCTCCAGGGTCAGATGACTTCATCTTTGCTATACGGTCGGCTGCATATGACTTATGAGCGCTCGAAATGAAATTTTGGCGACAGCGTGCGCCCTTTTTCGTGACTCCGACGCATGTAAAGTCCGAGTTCAGATCCTTTGCGTATTCCAACAGGTCCGAAGGCAAGGTGAATGTAATTAAGGAAGGAGCCGCCGAACCAAAGCCTGAGGTCAATCCAAAAGCTGGTTTATAATCAAGACCTGATGAGCGTGATGTTGGTCCAAAGCCTGGTGTTGAATCAGAGGTAACTTTTGAACCAAAGACCCCTAGTGGGTTTTGTGCCTTAAATTCCACTTTCTCCAGTTTTATCTTTCGAATCCTGTCTTCTGCGGCCTTCACTTTTTGTTCTCGCTCTTCCAGCCTCTTCTGTAGTGCTTGTAGCGCTTTTTCCCTATTTTCTATTTCCAACTCTCGATCCCGAACGCTCTTGTCCAGCAGTGAAATCACATTATCTCCAATTGATTCGGTGATGTCAGCTATTTGTTTTCTTCGTTGAATTCGAACTTCATCTGCTGCTGCAGCCAGCCGTGCAGACCGCCGCTTCTCCAGGAACGAAGTATATTCCAACCATTTTGTTTGAAGCCACGATATCAGCGTCAGAGATATCACCATGAACCTAGGAGTGCTTCCCACAATGTATAACATAAACAAGAGTGTGCCTACGTTCAAAACATTGAAAGAACAAGGCTTCGACTTTTCCCCCATCATCGTGAAGCACTGGAGACGAGAAAATTCCGTAAAAAAGTAAAATTAAACGAGCTATAAAAAAAATGGACATACAAACCTAGTGCGCAAACGATTCCGGTTGTTGGTCACTATACTATATTTCATCTTGAATAGAAAGTTGGGCTGCCCTGGAGGGGGATTTGCCTTTAAAAAGGCGGCAGTGTCAACTCGCGTGGTCTCGCATTGACGAATAAAATGACTTGTATTCGCGCTGGAGGCGCAGCTTTGACGGATGTTCGCAAGGCTGCGACAAATCATGCAACAAATCATGCGACAGGGTCCAAGCCAGATTCTGAGGAGGGGTTCTCAGCCTATCACCACAATCTTAATGCACAGGGTTCACGACATGTTACATCCAGAGTTTGCACTAGAACTAAGTTCCCGCCGGTTTAGGGGTCTAACAATTTTCACTATCCAAAGACGACGTCTATTTTTGGATTGATGCTAGACCGTAATTGTCCTGGTCGAGACAGGTGGGAAGAACAATTCCCATTATATTCTTTTACTAACTTAATTTAGACGGACACAACTAAGCATTACATGTGCATATGTAAAGGCTTAATTTAGCGTTTTCTTCATCCAATCATTCTAATTATTGCCAAAGTCAGTGTGGTTACAAATGTACTGCCACGACTAGCATTATTACATCCAGGCAACTCGATTTCTCAGTTTCCAGTACATTAGATGCGCAACGTCATCAACCTAGTCATAGCTATCAGCGATCTTATACAATTTCTTTCGGAATTTTGGGAGTCGAGACTAGATGCCTAGCTCAGTGTAGTCGATCTCCTTTTAGTTCTTAGAAGAAACGGAGCGACCGGGGCGTTCGGGTTCGGCCACGATCATGATCACATCGTTAGCTTTGAGACCTGGGCTTGTACTCCATTCCTACACTCTGTATAGGTCCTCAGTTCCTTCGTTGTCATTTTCGGCATCCTTGTCATTGCAGACTTCGCGATATAACCTCCTTGGCCTAGACACTTTCGTGCCTGGCTCGACCCACTCAAACTCTTCCGGTGCATCGCACCTGATATAGTCTCTAGTGGGAAAGTCCAGTAAAGGGTGACTTTAGAGCGATAAGGTCCCTTTTCCCAGGTGAATTACTATATAATCGTATACATGGACAAGGCAGTTGCGGCAGTCACGTATTCAGTTGGCATGATTCCCTTTTCCTGCAGTGTTTACTTACCCCTGTCCCATTGGGCCCCCAGAGCCTCTTCGATCAGTACGCTGACTCCTTCCATATGCTCAAGTCAATTGATATGGCCTTTATTACCAAAGAGCAGCAGATAAAGAGTATCATCAATAATATACAGACAAGGACGGTTTTTATTTGGATTCTTTGATGCTCTGATAAAAACCTGTACACATAGGGGTCGTTTTTGCCATTTTTTATATTTCCTACCTCTAATGTGGCTTGTAGTTTGTAGTTTTGTTGGGATTTAAGGACATTATGGAGGCTATTTAATATGGTGTATGGGAGTGGCCGACTCTGGTGTGGATTAGGTTAGTCGATTTTTGATTAGTAAGGGGAATAATTCCAAGTGGTGCTATTCTGACCGTAACATTTTCATGAAAATACTCAATTCATCAGGATGCTGCTTCTTTCTTTGCCCCAAGAAATCCTCGTGCTTATTGCAAGACAGCTACGGACTATCGACTTCATTCCCTGTTTGCAAGTGAATCGCATGCTTTACCGTCTCCTCATATATGAACTATGTAAACGAGACGTTAGCGACAATGGCGGTCTGGCCATGTCCTTTTATGCGTTCTGGGGCTATGAGACCCGGGTACTCGATATGATTGCCGCGGGGGCTACTATTGATCTTCCCCACCCACGATGGAGAGACAGAACACCTCTAATGCTTGCTATAAGCCGACACCATGTATCAATCGCCAAGGTCTTACTCGACCATGGAGCTAATCCAAATTTCACTGGAGATGTTAAAAATAGCCCCTTGGATATTGCCATTCTAAACGCAAGCGGAACTGATTTTACCATGATAGCATTGCTATTGGACTATGGGGCCAATATCAATCAAAGAGGATATCAAGGCCGCACCCCGCTATACACAGCTATTCTTCGCCAAGACCCTGCCAAGGTGGCTTTCCTTCTTTCTCAAGGAGCCGATGTGTCTGTACGAGAATCAAAGAAAGCACGAACCCCACTCTTATTCGCGCGTGGAGAGCGAAGCTCGCATGAAAATGATGAAATCGTAAAGATGCTTTTAGATGCGGGCTCTGAAGAGGCCTGACAAGTCCTATCAGACACCATACACATCCATTTTAGTGTATAATAGTAAATTAGAGTTTGAAAGGCAATCTACATACCTGTATGTTTGGTATGGAAGGACTGTACCACGTGTATTAGCTAGACTTGATATATTAATTCTTCTGAGTCTCAATGTTCCTGTAGACTCGTAGTTCTTGTTAACTTTCGAATTAAGCCTTATCTATAGGAATCAAGACCTATAACACTTGAGCCTGGAGAGTAGGGAGCCGATACGGGGGGAAAGCGCATTAAAATGCATCACTGATATGGAGGTGTAGAGTAAGGTGGAAGGAGAGAAGATGTTGACATGTGACGAATAAAGCTTCCCGAGTTAGGTCAGTTAGGGTTTGCTACAGCCATTTACTACAAATTGAAATCCAGTAGAATCGATTGAAATTAGCAATTTAATTATTATATTTACGCAAATGAGGATATATACAATTTCATCACAAGATTATACTACGCATAAACTGCATCGGCCTTCTCATGAGGCTGAACAACCTCCTTATATGTGACCGCAATGCCCTTATCAACATCCTCCTCAAACACATCGACCTCCGTACTCGCAAACTTCCTCGCATTTACTTTCTTTTCAAACAGCATGTCCAACTCTGCAAACGTGCGGCCCCTTGGCTCTGGGACACGGAAGTAAGTATATATAATACAGCAGAAGCATATACCGGCCCAGAAAAACCCGGCGTAGTTGCTCCAGTTCCAGGCGCTGGGGTTCAGCATGTACGGCGTCAGGACGCCGGTGATGATGGCGACCACGTTGTATAGGTTGCGACCAAGGACCACGGTTTTGATTTGGAGCCGGCGTGTGGATAGTTCGGAGACGAGGGAGTAGCAGACTGTGCCGACGGAGAGTTGGTAGAAGAGGGCCCAGATGATCATCATGCTGCCGGTGGCCAGAGCGCCTTGTTCGCGGTGCGCGGCGGGAACGAGGCCAAGGAAGCCCATGATGAAGAGCATGGCGCAGAGGCCGCAGAGGCCAAAGAGGTAGAGAGATCGACGGCCGACGCCGAGGGTCATAAGCCCCCATGCGCCGAAAACGCCAGCGATATTGATCGCGTATTGGCCCATGGCAAAGGAGTACGAGGTCGAAGCATCGAGACCGGCTTGTTGGAGGAAATAGGTGGAGTAATTGGAGAAGGAGTTTCCGCTCAGGTTCTGGATCGCCCACACCATGCAGACGATTTCTGTGCGGCGCAGGTCTGTTCCCTTGAAGCAGTCCCAGTAGTTTGATCCGCGGGTGATGTTTTCTTCTAATGCAGCGGTGTGCACCATCATGGCGACGGTTTCGTTGGCGTTGAAATCGGTCTCTCGGTTCTGGCTAGTCAGCCGAAGGAGAGATTTCTTCGCGTCCTCGGCGCGGCCTTTACGGACTAGCCACCAGGGCGACTCGGGAGCGAAAAAGACCCCGATGGCGAGCGGCAATGGCCACATCCATTGCAAGCCGTATGGAATGCGATATGCCCATTGATCGTCACGGTTCAGCATAGCCTTAATGACTCCGACGCCAATCAACTGCCCAATTCCCCAGCACATGTTGACATAGCAAGTGAGGTAACCGCGAAGGGCGACGGGGCACACTTCCGAAGCATAGGTAATGGTCAGGGTCTGAAAGACACCCCATGGAATACCACATAGAATCTCTCCAGCCAACAGAGTCTGCACATTCTGGGCTGTGAAGAAGATAGCCGTAAAGGCGCTGACCATAGCGAGACAGGCTAGAATAGTAAACCGGTATCCAAATCGTTCCGAAACATAACCGTTAATGAAGAGGCCGATAATCTCACCGACTGTCGCGCCATTTCCCAGAGCAGCCTGCCACTGTATTTGAATTAGTATTGCCATTTCCCAGTCAATCAGAGTCTAGAAAAGCTTACTCGCGCCGGCACTTGATACGAGCCGTCGGAAATCTGCACGCCATACTTGCGATTAAACGCAGGAAAGGCGAAGAAATTGCTCACGAGACAGATATCGTAGCCCTCCATGACGATGCAGGTGGAGATGAGCATACTCCAAAAGACGGCCTTGGGGTAGAGCCTGACGCCCTGCATGAGGGTCATCGTGTGCTCCTTCTCAGTCGCAGCCTTTGCATTGGCGATCAGTTTATCCATTGACTGGGACTGATCCAGGCCGTCGTCGTTGGTAACGTAGCGGAGGCCAGTCTCGGTCTCCTTGTTGGCGGGCTCGACCGCGTCGGGTTGGGGGGTAGCCATCTTGCACAGCAATGGCAAGTTGATTCCTGCTTGACTGAATCAAACCGACGGGGGCGGGAGTGTTCTTATATAGGCCGGCGCGAGAGCAGAACGGCTTTTGTTTGGCGAGAAATTAATAATTAGTGCGCTGCTGTTAGCTGGTTGTGATAGCCAATTGCGGAGTGATTGTACTCCACCCCAGCACTTCAAGCCTCAAGCCGGGGATATACTCTCGTAATCAGATCAATAGCCGATATGCCTCCCTCCTTTACGATGTGGTGCGATGGCAATTGACCGTTCTCTTCTTCCTGCGTCTGTTTGACGGGCGGGGTTGAGCCACTCGGAAAAACCAGCACGAGGAGAAGAAAAAGCTAAAAGCGGAGGAAAGCGGGGTCTCCCATTGGCCCGTCGCAAGTAGATCTCCTCGAGTCTCGTGACACGTGCTGCCTGAGGCAGAACTCCTCGCTTGTGTTTCCTAGAGAGGATAGTGCCAGCTGCCCTCTTCAGCGCGTCTACCTAACCACGACAAACTGCAACAGCAGCAGCTGCGAACATCGATATACAAACTATACAAATGTGACAGATGCTAATGAAGCCTAACTGAGAGCGATCGCCACGCCTTCCCCACGGGGAATGCCATGCTGAGCACCCAATGGCAGCCCCCTTGCAATGCGCCTACGGAAACCACTTTCCGGTGCGAGAGTCTCGCTCCACAGTAACCCTCACGGCTATAACTATACTATGGATATACTAGTATAAGGAGTATCGCTTATGGTTTTTTTTTATTGAGTTTCTATATTCCTTCTCCAGCTCGTCTGTACGCTCATCTGTCTGGCTACATACACACCCTCAAACACATACATGGTAGGTATCATGACGTAAAACAACAAGAAATTGAAAAGCCAGCATCTATCTGCACACCCTAACTCCTCCTCAAAACAACGCTGAAATTCATGGTCAGTCAACCGACTGACAATTGTAGTGAATGACACACGTAGCAAATACTCAACTCGTCCCCCGCAGCTTGGAGTCGTCGGCAATGTCAACGACAACTCGTAAATCATTGTCCATCCAGTCGATCGTGCCAGCCGACAGCTGCGCGATCGTCCAATCGCCGTCGTTGGTCACCGAAACCAAGCCCTCAGGGAGCCAGACTTGAATTTTCCAACGCGACGAATCCACGTTACCGTTCCCATCTAGTCGGTAAGTCGGCAGCTGGGTGGCGAAGCGGTGGCCGATCAGGTTGCGCAAGCTGGGGAGATCGGGACATTGTTCTGCTGTAACATCGAGTCGCGGAACCACGCGTTTGCCGTCTTGGATAACATTGAGTCGCAGGGTGATGGGCGACGTCTCGTCGTGGTGGGTGTGGTTTGTTGCTGGGCCCGAGTCAAACGGGGACTGGTGTATTGATTGCATGTACGAAGTGTGCGACAGCCCGTGTGTCTCTGTGTGAGTCGGGGTGTTGAGGTGAGAGGGAGTAGGCTCCTGTCCTCTTTTGACGAGATTCTCTTTGATTATTCGCGTGAGATCACGGGTGATGCTGCTTGCGCTGTGGGACTGTCAGTAGATTATTCAGTGTGCATATGGTACTATATACATACAATTGCTCACGGACGGTCTTGTCAGATCCGCCACCAACTCTCCAATCTAGGCTGATAAGTTCATCAGACGAGATAATGTTATCCATATAATTCTTTTCGCAAGCAGGAACGCAATCCGTTGGGTTGCCGTGATGCATCACTTGATAATGGCTGTCTATAGCAGCAACAAGTCCCCACCAGTCTGGCTGCTGCAAGCCTGATACTCCCCAAAGCGTATCTAACTGATAGTCTTGGTTCAGTGCACTGTACGACTTAGACACATTATCCCAATCTGCAGGGTACCCGTCCATCACTAGTTCTGACAGACCCAAGCCCATTTCAGGTGATGAAGATGATATATGTGGAGGCAGAGGAGGCGGAGGGGCTGATAGGAAGTGATCATGTCCGTGCTGGTGCATTTGCCGGTGCTGATGTTGCGCATCCTGTGTGTGCTCAGAGGTATTCAAATCTTGAATAATGTCATCCGTCTTTCTGCGTTTGCGCTCTTCAACTACCCCACCCTTACGAGTTTCAATCGCATACTGTCTCTGACGCTCGTTTGTGACCATACGACGAAGCAACGGAATAACGAGCGAAATGATCTTATGCTGATCGCGTGGCCAAATGAACTGCCGAGGTGGCATATCTTCATTGGTAACATGCTCTCCGAAGAACCGTTCTCCATACCCTTCAGCATCAAGAAAGTCGCGCACGCAGTTCCATAGCCGCAACTTCACCATTTCAGTATCCCCTTTTCCGCGTTGGCCGACGCACTCTCGTCGCTCTGGATGGTTATCGTCTAGCATGTAGTTCTTCGCAGCCGCTTGTAGATGCAAAAAGTTCTCCGGCGATAGCTCAAGCGACGCAAATAATCGCGACATTGGAGGACGAGTGTACTTCTTAGTATTGGACGGTTGTCGAAATAGGGCAGCTGCAGAATGCACGCCCGCAGCTCGCGCATCAGTCAACGATTGTTGCGGGGGCAGTTCTCTGATACTCAATTCGCTTGCATCAAATGCCTGCTGTTGTTGATCACCCTGGCCGCCAGCAGCAGTCAACGCCGGGTCAAGTGCCTCTTCTCCGCGTTTCCTCTTCTTCGAAACAGCTCGCGATAAACCCTGTCCTTGCCCGTTGGCCGTCGACCCTCGAAGCTGGCGATTAGCAGCGGGCGCAGAACCAAGGCCACCGAATGCCCCATCACCGAAACCGTCCTCTGCAAGATTTAGGTCTGCCGAATATCCCTCGAGGTGATGATGCCCGGCGGCGGCGGCGGCGGCTGCTGCGGTAGCCCAATCGGAGACTTCCTGGCCTGCTGCAGCAGTAGCAGCTTGTACAAGACCAGCGAGCTGGTTTTCTGTGGTGTCATAGTTGCTATGGTCCATATGCGAATTGTGCGCTGATTGAAAGTCGGCTTGTTGTTGTTGCGGCTGTTGTGATTGCTGCTGAGAGCTCGATGTGGAAGCCATTTTTAATTCAATATGCTGCGATCACTGATCTGAAATCAACAGCAGCCCTGTGCTTCCATCTAATAATCACGTCTTAAATTTTGCGACAACTGCACGCGTTTTCGGGCGGGACAGCTTGACTTGAGCTACGTTCGAGGCGACAGCGAAACTTCGCAAAGCAAGGGAGTCGTGGCAACGGTCGCGGACTGAGAATTTGAGCTTGGACGAAGCCCGTCCGAGCTCCAAAGAACTCTTGGAGCTAAAAAGCTCTGGGGAATTCAAGCTCAAACTTGTTGATAGAGCTTGTAGTGGCCGCTTTGTATAGCAAAGTAATGCGATGTTTGCTTCGTTTGGCAAGCAGTTTTGGTTGTTTGAAGAGAAGACAGACAATGCAAACTCTGCCCGGCAATACTTAGGCCCGATACGTACACCAGTCACGATAGGTTTTCCGGCAGCTGTGGGGCCTGTCCTGTTGTATCACGTGATCCGATACTAGAATATAAAATATAGAGAAATATAGAGAAATATTAATATTTATATACGGTATATCAATTGGTGTCACATAATGTACGGCACTGTCTAGACTTATAATCCCGTAGTAAAAATCATTGATCTATGAATATCGTCGGTTTCATGGCCGTAGGTGGAAATTTGACCATTTCTATATTGACTTTGAATGCAAGCAGTGAATTAATATGGAGCAAGCCATCATAAAGACTCATATAGCTCTTTGAATGCACTATCTCGCGACAGCAAAACCCGCGGAGAGTCAAACTCAACCAGCTCGCCATCACGCATCACAGCGATCCGGTCAAAGTCCATGATTGTATCAAGTCGATGCGCAACAGCCAGTATCGTGCAATCTGCAAACTGCTCACGGATAACACGCTGCATTAATACGTCAGACACCAAGTCCACGTTGCTAGTCACCTCATCCAGTACCACGACTTTACCGCTTTGACGTCGCAGAAGCGCGCGCGCAAGACAGAATAGCTGTCGCTGGCCATGGGAGAAGAAGTTTGTTTCGAGATCGGCATCGAGTCCGCCCTTGGACTGCACGATATCCCACAGCTGCACAGCCCGTAATGCATCCGTGATCTCCTCGGTTGAGAGACTGTCCGATGGATCTGCGTTCGCACGCACCGTGCCACGCGTAAAGAATGGCTCCTGAGGGATCGCGTTGAGAGCGGCTCGCAACTGCTGTCGTGGGACACGTGTAATATCGACACCGTCTATAGTGATCTGGCTCTCAGCATCGACCTCCAACATACGGAAAAGAACTGCCAAAAGAGAGCTTTTCCCACTACCACTACGGCCGCAAATACCAATCTTTTCGCCGGCAGAAATAGACATGGATAGGTTGCGAATGACGGCCTTGTCTTTGTCACCGGTTCCGTATGAGGCAGAGACATTTCGGAATTCGATGGCTCCTTTATGCGGCCATGACGATTGTTCGTTAAGTTTAGTATTGCTACTGCTGTTGCTGCTGCGCCTGATGCTGCTAGGAAGCGGAATATTCTCCTCCGGTCTATTCTCATTTGCTGTAGTACCAGTAAAGTCTCTAATTCGTGCGATCGCACCGATCGAGGTCTCGAGTTCGGTCCAAGTGCGGAGGATCAACGATAATGTTTGACTGAAACTGATGACGTTAAGGATACCCAAGCCGACATATCCAGCGCCAACTTCGCCTCGGAGTTTCACGATCATGGTCATTAGAACAACAGATAATCCTGTGACCATCAGGTCCAAGGAGAGCTCGAGCCAACGCTGGATACAGTAAAGTAAGTAAAACGGCTTCTGTGATGCATCCAGCAAGACGAGGTTTTCTTTCTCAAAAGTGGATGACCATCCGAAGGACCGAATAGTAACCAACCCAGAGAGACTCTCAATAAACTGGGAGAACAGAGGTGATTTGGCTTCCAAGTCAAGAATTCGCATTTGGCGGGACGTTCGGAGGTAGAATTTCTGTAGTGTCCACATGAGCAGGAGAACTGGTGGCAGGGTTGCTGCAAAGTAGCGTGCGGAGGTACACATCAGTATCGCAGACATGATTCCACTCGAGAGCGACAAGAGGAAATCGGTCATGGAATACGTAAGATCGTTGTCGATCAGCGTCATATCTTGACTAAATCTATGTAATGGCCAGTAGTCAGTAATGCCCTCTCTCTTTCCTATTCCAGAAGGAAGCCCCCTACCTGTTCGTTGTAATTCCCATGTCCACAGAGGTAAAGAATGCGAGTGGCGCATTCATGACTGATTTTAAAAGCCGCTCATGAAAAACTTTGGCGCTGATAGGAGCATAATACAAGATGTAATGAGAGCCGCCTCCGATCAAAGCGACAGTGGATAGGGCAGCTAGCATACCGTAAAGACCGAGATAGAACCCGTTGACGCTATTACCCTGTGACTCAGCTGCACTTGTCCAAAAATTCACTAGAAATTCACTAGATTTTGCCGCCACTCCTTGGAGCACAAAGCAAGAAGCCCAGACCAACGCCGATGACCAATGGACGGAGCCCAAGTAGTACGCATATAGCGACAAATCCCCATGCTGCCTTGACAACCCATTATCTGTAGTAGTAGCATCTTCCCGTATCTCCGGTATAATTCCATTTGTCTCTTGTGGTTGCTGCCGGTCTGATTCTGATACTTGATTCATTGCTCGAGTAGATGCTTTAAGCAATGATACGGCGTTTCCCGCAGCTTCAATCTGCGCAAGAGTTCCCTGTGCAGCTATCGAGCCTTTTTCCATCGCGATGATACGATCAGCGTAAGCGAGACGATGGATAGCATGGGTAACTAATAGCACTGTAATGCCCGTCTTGCGTAAAAGACCCTGCGGCGACAGCAGGCGCGTGAAAATCCGTTCTTCAGTATCGGCATCAAGACCAGAAAAGACATCATCAAGCATTAAGACCTGCTTGCGAGCATAGACTGCACGAGCAAGTGCAAGGCGCTGTTTTTGTCCTCCGGAAAGTGATATTCCCGAGCTTCCAACTTTAGTTACTAAATGAAAGTCAGCAAAAAGAAGTAGTGGACTTATCGTCCATAATATTGGCTTTCACTTACAGTGTCCATTGGGAAGTGCAGTTTCTTGATCCAAAGCACAAGCCCAGACAACCTTATTATACCAAGCCTCATCATAAGCAGAGATCCCCAGGATGTTATCCTGGAAAGTCGCATTGCGAATCCATGGCGACTGGTCTACGAACGCAATTTCCTGGTCCTTAACATAAAGAAAACCCTTGGTAGAGAGCGTTTCGCCAAGGAGTCCCTTAAGCAGCGTACTCTTACCACAGCCAATGGGGCCTATGATAATACATAAATGGCCCCGCGAAATGCTGAAGTTCACATCATTGACAACTGGCTCATCATTTTGAGTCCACGAAAAACTGACATTCCGCGCGAGTACCATTGCAGAAGAATCAGCCTCGACAGGTGTTCGCTCTACAAGCTCGTACTCTTCAGCAGTCTGGTAACCAAAACCTTGTCTCGGACCAACGCTCAAGTCTTGCAGAGAAAGACGATTGTCTCGTCGCGAGTCAGAATTGAGGAATGATTGAATGCGGTTCAAAGACGCCATAGCGGCATTCATTGACGGAATAGCACGAATTAATTCGTTCATAGGACTGGAAATTAGTGATATAAGCGATAGAGCAGTATATGCAGAATCTGCAGTCAGCACGCGTCCATCCTTGCTTCCTTGGATCGCGAATATGGCAAATGTCGCAAACGGTGCCAGTGTTCCCAGAAGATTGCCAAAGAAGACACGAACAATCAACAATTTTCGAAACATTCCGGCCATTTTGAGCTCCTCTACTCTTAGCCCTTGAACGATGCTACTTAGCCAATCGGTGAAACCAAGCATCTTGACAGACTTCATCGAGCTCAGCATGGTCGCCGTCACGTCTACTCTGGTCTGTATGCTTTGCATCCAGACCACCTGCGCACGATGCATCAGTTTTGCGATAGACAAAATGCCAACTGCAGAAACGAGAGTCAAAATGGCCGGCATAATCCACGCAAGACCAAGCTGTCGGGCGAGCAGGTAGAGAGCAATTCCTACTTCAAGTGGCACTGCCCAAAAAGTGTGAATCATTTGGAAGCCATTGCAGATAGATTGAGTATCACTTGACATCAATGTTACGGCTACTGATTCGTCCAGAGCAGTAATACTCAGGTCAAGAGTTTTGGCGTATATAACGCTTATAAGACTACCTCGAACACTGGTAACAAATCGATAGTTCATATGGTAGTAGAGGCCGTTTGAAACAGCCAAACCAAGAAGCACCAGGAAGAAAGCCCCAGTAAGTCCCCAGCCAATGCTCTCCGACTGCGATAGGTCACTTGCGTACCAGACAGTGCGAGTTAAAAGGAATGGTTGTGTGTATCGAAAAGCAGTTACGCAGAGCCGTGGAACAATACAGTAAAAAAATGATCTGCGGTTTGCCTTTATAACAGCCCAGAAAAGTGCCCTTGAAGAGGCCTGAGAGACTTTAGTGGTATTTCCCCAGGTACGTTGCATTCGTGTCTGTAGTGCTTCGGAGCGCATCTCGCGATCAATGGGATACAGGTCACTATTCCGTAGAAGACGGCGGAAGCCGCTCGTCATGAGTTGATTCAGCCAAAAGAAGAACGACTTGCTATATATGCCGCTTGTTTCCTCAGGCGACAAGTGCCGATAAGGCTCGAGCAGCAAATCGCGCTTTTCGATGGCTTCGACAAGTAGAACCATGACCTTGACACCGATCATGCTCGAGAAACATGCAGCGATTGATTTATCAGCATTGGTACGGAAAAGGCTTCGCACACGAGCAATATCGAATACCAACGTCAACAGTAGGTAGGCATTAATAATTGGCGATGGCCGAATCGACCTGATATGTTCAAAGCGTGAGAGCACACAAAGCCCCAAGCTCGTGACAAACACAAGGGCCGCCGTAGCAACAGTGACACTGGTACGTTGTGATGGTATTCCAGCTTGTAGGCCAAGTAAAGCCAGGTTCATCGCAGTCAAAACTGATAGGAAGAGCAGCTTGCAATCATGTAGAATGCCGCCCTTGGCAACCTTCGGTCGACTCCTTTGCAAGCTGAACATACGAAGCGGCAAAGCGACCAGAAGGAGCGCAGATGGCAGGATACTAAGGAAGACATCTTCAAAGAGTATTGTGAAATCAAAGCCAGAGTCCGCAGCTGGGCCGATTGAGAACAGCCCGACGGCATCAATGCCGCTGGAGTTTTTTTGTAGAATTTGAGTGCGAAACAACGCACCAACTATAGAATCAGATGGCTCCATGTCTATCAGCGTCGTATTTTCAAAGAAAAGGAGATCGCTAACAGCGTTGTTGCGGCGTCTTTATCATCGCGAGCCGTTCCCCGCGCGACTTCAGGCACCTAGTTTAACAGCACCTTTGTCCGTTTTTTCCTATCTTGCTGCCTTGGACATGCCGTCATCCTTATCTCTAATTGTACAATTTCTCAGGCAGGTATTTTATCGAACCAACAGAAATTTTTGCACCAAAGGGACGTCGTATTATGTATGCATTTGCCTTTGCCCAATCACATGTCTCGTTGCAACAATTTCCAAATCAGGATCTCCAAATCCACTGATACAGCAGACTCATAATAAATAGAGCTAAAACATGCTCAATTACTTAGCCCTACTCAGTTAGCAAAAGCCTACATGATCGGAGACACTATCCAGCTGTTCACGAGATCGCTGCCTTACCGAATCTTTCAGTCTCTTCTTCTTCTATCTTCTTGTATTTCCTAATAACAGTCCTGCTCATCACATATTGTATGTCCCCCGCATCGCAGCTGGCTTATCACGACATTCATCATCAAAAAGAGTGCTCATAGATCGTCAGGTCGCCACACCTGTTCCGTCGCCGCAGCACGCTGTTTGTTGTATGTAGGTCACTCACTTTTCATTTCAAATGAAAAAGCGAAAATATCAAAAAAAGCTGACCCCACTGTGAGTCGAACACAGAGTCTTCTGGAAGCCGAGTTCGTCCGGTGAGACAATCTAAATGGAAAGATAAACGGAACTCTCTGGAATCAGACGCGTTACCATTACGCCATAGGGCCATTGTGAATGCAGATCAAATAAGGCATCCTAAACCAACACCTGTACTGGGCTTCGGGAAGGTGCTCGTTCGAACCGTCCGAACATCTCGCACATCCATTTATTTAAAAAACCAAGACATTTGTTGCGCTACTACCACCTATAATAAAATGATTAGACGGCCTAATTAGTAACGGCACGAGAACGTGTTTGTGCGCGGATTGGCACAGATTTATTTTCATTTTCGTAGGAATCCGTGGAACATATAATTATGCGCTCTTCATTCAAGCACACTAGTCAATATTTATTACTTATATCTGTTTTCGAGAAATTAGGTTTATGAAATAATATATCGTAATAATCTTTTCTATCGCCTTACTTTTTATTGGCACAGTCCGAACTTACCGTATTATTTTATGAAGCAAGCGTAACGCGTTATCATTTTATCCAAATACCATTAAAAATATATCGGCAAACGTAGTAGAAACATTTGAAGCGTAGACACCGCGCTATAAATGTACGTGGCACGTTGACGACCATCGGATACTTGTAATTATATCTGCTACTAGTATAAAATGTGTTGGGATACAAAACTAATTCCTCTTGTGCTTTAGATATAATAAACTAGCATGTACAATATATATTAAGGGTGTGTCTCGGTTTCGACTTTTTAGTAAGTCAGTAGGTTCGCGTTAATTTTTAATCCGCCTTTATTTCCTACACGGAATCAATTGATAATTAGTTTACAGTAGCGAAGTACATTCATTTGATCTCGAGAACAGCCAAGCGAATGCCCCTGTAGAATCTGTTGATCTAGTAGCTAGTCTAGGGCCCATTAGGGCAAGATTATTAGTAGTGACTTGAGGGCTCAATAGCAAGACAAAGAAAGAAGTGTGAAAAACAAAGAAAGAAACAAGAGAGGAAGGAAAAAGATGGTTTAGAACTCTGACGACTGCAGAGGTGCCACGGATAACACATTGGGACCTGGTCCTGAGTACAGTTGATCGTCATCTAGTGGAATCCCCTAACAGTTCGGGTGAATCACAGCCAGCCGTTCTTTAGGTGTAGCAAAAACTGGCGTTAAGCTTCTACACGAAGGTATTTTGATGATCTTAGGTGGTATGTGTAAAACAAGAGAGTTGTTAGGTATAGTTACTCGCTGTGCGGAAATATTATATAAGCGAAGTTGAGCGGTGCCAAAAAAAGGAAAGAAGGGAATGGTTATAAAGAGCATAGGCTGTACATATGTACAAATGTCCGGTAATAGAGATACTATTTTTGCACATACTCTGTTGACTCATAACGAGATAAATGCACTCTCCAATTTGGTAATGATATACCTAGGTAGATATCAAAATGACACAATTGCTAACAACTTTATGCTGACATTCGTTGATAACGCCACAAACCACATGCAATACCAGAAACCAACAACATCCCGTTGAAAATAGCCATGATATAAAAAGGACTTCCTGAAGAAAGCACGTCAAATAGTAACCCACCTAGCTTCGTCAATATGAGGATACCGGCTCCTCCGTAGAGCGAATATATGCCGGCAATCGCGCCTTTCAGATGATTTAAATTGTTGGTAGCAAGTGAGCTACCAGGCTTGGAAAGAAGGGGCTCGTGCTCACCCTGGGGAGCACTGTGGGTTTCGTCTTCGCTTGGATTGGGTACTTGTAGCGATGGCCTTTCATGACTGGGCTGAGGGTTGATGCTTAGGACACCGTTGCTGAGTATGCCTAGACTGCAGACAATGGCTCCAATTTGACTGATTCCAATAAGACTCATTATAAGGAACACCCCACCGTTTCCATTCGGTCCTTTGAATTGAGGACTTGGGAGGAGAGGGAAAGCAACATAGCCAGTAATACCGGCGATAGTAGCAAAGAGAAGCGGGAAATTACTACGTCGGGACTTTTCAGAAAGGTAGCCGAACGCTGGTGCACAGAGCAGAGCAATTAGCTGTGACACGCCGGTAAGAATGGAGGCAAGAATATAGGCCTCCGGACAAGACTTCTTGATATCTCCAAGATCGCGCCTGGAAATGACATCAGACCCGGGATTACTGCACAGGTCTGAATTCCGATAGTAATGGTTGACAAATAATGGGATGAAAAGGGAAATTCCAACGGATGATGCTCGAGCTACAAAACCGCCTACATATCCGAGAAGAATATCAGGTTGTTTGAAGCTGAGAGAAAATGCGTAAAGGAGGTTAAGATGATTGACAGAAGAGCTTGGCTGAGAACCGTTGCTCTCGACGGCTTCTGAGGGAGGCGTCCATAGCGATCGTAGATGCTTCCCTTGCTCTCCAGGTAAATTTCGCAACCCAAAGAAACAAACAATGGAAATAATTAAAGCAACCAACGAAACGATGTAATAGCTTTGTTTGACCGCATCTGCAGGTGAAGAGCCGTACTTTTCAAAGCGTGCTGGAAGGGGTAGAAAGACGGCAAGTGCAATCAACGCACCGCATCCTGCAAACATTCCAACAAACCCCGCGAGTCTGGAAGATGAAGAAGCAGTCTGCTCAGCTTCTGCCTGTCTCGACAGACGTCGTTCAAACCGGGATGGGGTTATTGTCACTTCAGACGATAAGGATGCTCTCCATATGTGATGTGACCGTCGCTGCTGGTTTGATTTATTATTGCTCTCGGTTACTGTAGGCAATACAGCTGTCACCATTGTCGAAACAGCCGATCCACCGAGGCTGAACAGCAGTCGGCCAAGGAGGAGTTGCGGGTAGACGTTGGAGGCTTGGACGAAGAGGACCAAGGATAAAGCGATTATCGCATAACCAGCGGTGCATACCTATCCAAAGAGCAATTAGGTTAGATTGAATGGGAGTATTCAATTTAAAACTAGTTACTTACATATCGCACGCCTATCTTGTCAGAGAGCAAACCCCATACTGGGCATGCCACCAAAGCTAGCAACTCATCGGCGAATCCCAACGTCCCGATGGCATCGCCCTCGCCGCTCTCGAGCCCGATAACATCTGAGACAACGAAAGAGACCGAGGAATTGAGAAATACCAGAAACGCGATGGAGAAAGGGCAGACGCCCAGCAGATAGGTAGCTGATTGAAGACGCGATGCAGTGAAGAGCGGCTGGCGTGGCGGGGCCATGATCTCACCTCCTTGCTGGTAGTGAGCAATTAACAGGGTAGTCAATTTATGAGACCTGATGTCTCATGGCGTAAATAATATCATCAAGTCCACGAGCGTCACCATAAACTCCGTGGTAGGACGCTTTAGTCAAGGGGTTGTTTACCCTCAATTCCTGAGCGGTCTCGGGCCCGATCTGACATCACCGAGATATCACGTGCACGATTTTGTTTCAAGCTCAAATGACTACAATTTATATCCCAAAGCATCAATTACAATGCGCCGTTCCACAATTTTCCTATACTACAAGGCTAATGAACATCCTCCTCAGTTACGCATTATTGAGGTTTCTACGATAAGGAACCAAAGTCAACGCTTATCGGGTTTCGACTTCCTGCGATCTGGCTGCTGACATAAGCGTGGCGGGCTGCGGAGGCGTTCGGGGAAATGATGGGCCTGGATGATGATAGCTGGCTTGTTCTGCCACACGCGACTGTAGCTCTCCATCCATCTCCTACCCAGCACGCCTGCGATTTATCGCCTCTGCGCTGGTGACCCGAACTTGAAGAATGCCTTCTTGATATCGGGCCGTTACTTTTATTTCCTTACATTGGTGTTGATGGTTGCGTGCACTCCCTGAGTGCTTAGTTTAGGATGCGGTTGGCCGCGTATGCTGGGGTGAGCGAGCATCGATATTGAGCACCCTACTGTTTGAGAGAACATGCGCTGATAAATAATAGGTCTCGGCGACCCTGGCTGCTGGAGTTGTTTTGAAGGCTTTGCATCAGAGGTCGAACTTCTATGCAGCTGCCGTATATCTCTCACAAAGTAGTGCCAATTTGATGGTAAGTCCGCCAGCACGTTGAGACATCGACAAGTTGTTTCACTTTGGAGTTCCCACTAAACCTTCCTCGAAATAACAGATATTAACAAACCTTTTCCTCGTCACTTCGGGATTCTTTCTTTATGGAATGCAGCGACTTTTATACGGACCCCTCCGACCTATCGAGACCGAACAGCTTTATGAGAAAGCCTGGTTCGCCGTGACGGAAACATGCCTTGCCATGACGATATTCAGAGGAGAGCTGGGTGTTTGGTTTCTAGTTATGTTTGTCTGTCTTCTCATTGGCAAGGTATGGGGTTGGATTGGTGAGGGCCGGGTTGAGATTCTAGATCAGCAGCCGCCAGCCAACCCTCGTCTTTTCCACGCCCGTCTTGCATCATCTTTGATACTGTCGGTGGCTTTCGATGCTTTTATGTTGAACTATTCAGTGAACACTGTGCTGGAGCAAGCTCGGCCGGACATGATGGTGATGTTTGGCTTTGAGTTTGCTATTCTCACGATATTGTCGACGTCAACCCTATCTCGATACGGCATTTCTCTCGTTGAGATTTACGTGAACCACCGCCAGAAGAAACTCAAGTTGGAGGAACGTAGAGCGGAAGTTCGGGTCGCACGAGAAGAAGCTCTTCGCGAGCATCGCGAATCGGGTGCTGAAGGAGTACCCGATAATCTTCCAGACGAGAATGACGTGGATGAAATGGATCTGGACATTCCCGGCTGGGAAGAGAAAGGCCGATGGGTCTTCTACCTTGACTTAATCACCGATTTCTGCAAACTAGTCGTATACTTATCATTCTTTGCTATTCTGTTCATCTTTTTCGGCCTTCCCATTCATATTTTACGAGATGTCGTCGTTACTATCCGCTCGTTCGGTCGACGAATCATTGATTTTATGCGATACCGCACTGCGACGCGAGATATGAACGAGAGATATCCCGATGCTACCCCCGAAGAGGTAGCGAGAGAGGATGTCTGCATTATCTGCCGTGAGGAGATGACGCCGTGGCAGCAACCGACTCCAAATACGCAACAAGTTCCTGACAGACTGAGGCCAAAGAAACTCCCTTGCGGCCACATTCTTCACTTTGCTTGCCTGAGGAGCTGGCTTGAGCGGCAACAGAATTGTCCCACCTGTCGACGTCCTGTGGTTGTTCCTGCAAATCAACAATATCGCGCGGGTGGTGCGAACAATGAAGGTCGCCAAAATGGTGCACCTGGAGCTCAGCCAGGTGTTAACCCACAAGGTGGTCCTAACAATAATGCCGGTAATGGTCAACCTCGAGCTCGCGTATACCAATTTGGGCCATTCCGCATCGGCTTTGGGGCTGGGAGAGGAGACATGTTCCAAAATCTTCACCAACAAATACATGGGAATAACGCCGCTCCTGTTAATGTTCCTCCAGGAGCTCAACAGATTGGTTTCGGCTTTGGCTTTGGCCGACCACAGCCTGCACCTCAAAATCCCGTTGTTACCCAGCCTGGAACCGGTCAGACCAACTGGGCTAATATCCAGGCTCAGATGACGCAGATCGAACAGCAGATTGCCCAGGAATACCAGAGCCTACGAGCTACGGCGGAGCAACTGCAAGTTTTGCGCGTTCTGCAAGCAGATCTTCAGTTGTTAAGGGCTGCGCAGCTGCATCCTCAACAGCACCCTCAACAGACTGGCGTATCAACCCAATCGCCTGCACCACCTTCGGCAGTGTCGGCTGCCTTTCCCCCTTCTACAACATCTTCCTCGTCAACACACCCAACTACCAACTCGTTACCCACTCCCATCGCCGCAGGCGATAGCCGACTTCCTCAGGGACTGGTCTTGCCTCAGGGGTGGACATTAACGCCGCTTCGACGCGTTGAGACAACTACCGATACTACGAATATTACCACAGCATCTCCAGCAGCTGCAGCCCTTAACCCTCAGTTATTCGAGACTAGCCCGTCGGGAAGCGCCTCAGCAAACACGACCACCGAACCTACTGACGTTCCAACATCAGCTCCAGAAAACCATGATGAAACTCATGACGAAAACGACTTTGAGTATATCCGTCCCTCATTTCAGTGGCCGAGCAGCTCTGAAGCAGAGCATCACGATGAAAACCACGATTCAACTGCGCCAGGTCCCGCAGACGAAATGCCGACATCAGCCTCCTCGTCAGACAAAGGCAAAACTAGAGCTGTAACGGTAGAGGATGTCGACGAAGAGGAAGAAGATTAATTCATCACGTGTACAGGGCATTCGCTTTGCAATATCTCCCATTCAGATATGTAATTTTTGAAAACACAGGCGTTTAGATTTGCATCATACCCAGTATTTTCTCACGCCTATTGTAGACTGTTCTTAATAATATCACCGATAAGCATTACGAATTATTCCAATATCCACTTGCCTGCAGCCGCTCAGCCCCATCAAAAGTGGACCTGCAGCGAACCAGCAACAACTTGCCACAGCCTCATCCTGACAGTGAGCGCGATCGACAGGGTGCCATTCGCTAATCGAATGAGACAAGAAGGAGCGGCCTCGTTGCGGCCCTCGACCCGCCCGTCATCGAGATTTGTTCTTTCTGTTCCAAGCTGTGTCAATCAGGAGCACGTTGTACGTACATACTCCAACCTTAATCTCAGACACGCGCCTGCAGGGTTTTTCATTTCATCTTCACTACTTTAGCAAGATCCCTTCTTCTCTAATGGGATTTCATCTAAAATCACACAATTCCTTCTCGTTCTGTCTTATCTGGAGAGTCGAATAAGCGACCGACTTCCCGCTTCCCGTTGACGAGATTATTTTTCATGTTGACTGGCGCCCATCCGTTGATTGAGACTATCGATATTTACTAGTCGCACATCGAATTGACATTTTGTTTCAGACGGATTCTTATGGTATACTGGGCTTTCACAAATTCAATCGTTATCGCAGCAACGTGCGAGCTGCACAAGCCAATGACGTGATATCTAATCCATCAGGTACGTTTTGCCAGCTACATTTTGCCAGCTACATGGATTTGTTTCGTCAACGATGTCTGCTATCTTTAATCCGTGCTGGTGATTATGAGTATACTAAATGAACCCAAAACTAATATGTTCGCCTAGAATTAATCGCTCACGTATGCGAAGAACCCAATACTCCATGCGCCCAGTCAGAAGCTTTATACCGATCCTCAGCATCGCTGCGTGCAGCTCTCTTATTCTTTTTGCAACATTCTACTTATCCCACGGAGGACGATGGCGGGGGATACCTCAAAAGATAGGTCTAGGCGACTTTATACGGCCGCAACCAGCGAAACCATACTACAACGCAGACGGATCAGCGCCGCCGTTTAATATCAGTGAATTCGTCTCTGGTATACCCAAACCGCTTGGTGAGCGGTATTCTAGAGCCTTGGTCATCGCAAAGACAAAGAAAGAGAATTCGAGCTGGGTCGATGACGAGGTCACAGGCTGGGATAAGGCTGTTTACGTTATTGACGACCCTCAAGCCCCTTTGCACACGCCCAAGAACAAAGGTCACGAAGCGATGGTTTATTTTACGTATATAATCGACAATTACGATAACCTGCCGGATGTAATGGCATTCATGCATGCCCATCGAACTGGCTGGCATAATGAGGAGATTTTTGACTTCGATGCTCTCGAGATGATAAATCACTTGAGCATGGAACGGGTTACGCGTGAGGGATATATGAATATGCGATGTCTTTTGGCGCCGGGGTGTCCGGACTGGCTGCATCCGGGCATGCTGCAAGAGGATGGACAAAAGAAGGAAGAATTCCTAATCGCGCAAGCCTGGAGCGAGATCTTCCCGGACATACCAGTTCCGCAGGTTCTTGCGCAGCCATGCTGTGGGCAGTTCGCATTATCCCGGGAGCGTGTGTTGAGTATTCCGCGAGAGAGATATATTTACTACCGCGACTGGCTATTGCGCACCGATATACGCGACACAATGTCCGGGCGTATTTGGGAGTATCTTTGGCACATGGTGTTCACAGGTGAAACTGTCCACTGTCCATCAGCCAATGCTTGTCTCTGCGACGGCTTCGGGATCTGTTTTGACAATGACGCCCAAATCGATACATACTACCAAACCATGTGGCGAATCCGCGACGCCAAGGACGAATTGAAGGATTGGGTACAGCAGGATGGCATCCTCGACGAAGATGCTCGCATCAGCCTGAGTCTAGATGAAATGGAAGATGCAGAGCTCGCCGAGGGCGACAGTAAGGGAATCCTGCTCACTGCCGAAGTAGAAGAGAAAACGGCAGAATTGGAGAAGATGAAACAGGAAGCCTTGAAAAAGGGCGAACAGGCACTCTGGCGGGCGTATTCAGCGGGCAGAAAATACCACCAGGGTGATGGATTTTAACATACTTTCTAATGTATATGATAATGCATATTTATGCTCAGCTACTTTTCTCGTACTGTCTGAAGATCCTCGCCGCACCTTCCTTTATTAATATTACAACCCTTCCCCTTGATACATAACCATATATTTTATAGTTTGATATTTGTCATTTTACGCTCTGCATAAGCAATCGAGCAACGTGGCTGAGGACGTTGGGCCAAGCCCTAATTCCAAATCATACTAATAACGCTATCGTTATGCTACAGATCTTACACTCAGACAGAAGTAGATAGATAATAAATAAAGTAATTATAGGGTATTTGAATAAACCTGAAGATGTAAGCAGTATTGTGGCTGTGAGCAAAAAAATGCGAATGCGAATACCTACATGCTTATACATCAACGTAAGGGAATATGTACTCTAGATGCCCTATATAAACCCTTACTCGTTCTGCCACTACCTACTTGATTTAATCAATGATTCCGCCGTTAAAACAATTCAATCACGTACATACTAAACTTCTCAGACGACAACTTCTTTCATCGGACTCCTCAATGGCGTCTATTCTGGTTGCAGCGATTCTATTCTTGTTAAGTCGTCGCAGTTCCGCGCTGGCGACTGACCATTTAAGCCAAGAGCAGCCAACATGCCATCAATTCAAGGACCCAGTGCATGCATCGGCTACGAGTGCACGTGCAGTTTATGATGTCCCCAGGGTAAGACAATCATATCGACGCGCCAGTTTCGGCAATTAACTCTGATAGCCAGTACACATGGCGGCAAAAAAAAACCCCCTCATATCCTTAAATTCCGACGTCGAAAGGCAGAATGAAATTTGTCCAACAACCCATACCAACATCGTCCGAGTTACATACACGGTTCAACTACCTCTAGCCCGCGTCTAGCTATAACCCTAGCTTCCCCGACCGATCTATTTCCCCTGGCACTGATCTAGCGTCCAGATTGTACATATATTCTTTGGTACTGCGTTCACAGAGGAGATACTAGAGTACGGCAACTCGACAACCTAGCCCATGGCGCGGGTGAGTGGCTAGATTTTGCAGTTGTGATGGAGATTGCAGGAATTCCCATGATGAGAAAGAGGGCGTTGAATAAGATTTGTCTTAATGCTATCGCCGTTGAGTGTAAATCGAGAACCTGTCCATGCTGCTTTAGATTTATTGTATATGGAATTCGATGCATCAATTGATGCAGTGAGCAATTTTATCAATCTATGCAAATACTTTCCACCTGCAATAATCAATTTGATGTACTGCTCGGCCAGGTACCGTACTGATAGGGGTTACAGCTGAAGAATTCAATGTCATATAACCCAACAAACTCTGAGCGGTGATTGGGTATTCTATAGTTCCCCTACGAAACAAGGCCAAGGCACTTGCATAGCTCAAACCATATCACATAGCCAAGAGTCTTCGGCTAGAGTCCGATCTTCGCAGAGATAATCCCCGATTATATACTTACTCTTCTTAGCAATATTGACTTTATTGATGAGGGGGCCAAAGACATTTAAGTACCTATCGTAAAAAAACGGCGGTATTAGCCGACTCATTTCTACCTCTCCGAAACAACAGTCGAGCCTGATCAATTTAATTAGGAGTGGAAATAGGATTCCGTATGTCGCTGTGTAATGTCCTGATTGTCGAGCGACCATGGAACCCGGACAATAGCCGGGGATCAGTGCGCGTGGCGCAAGGTCTGACCATTAAGTGTTTACTATAGCTCTGTGCGAATTTTTTGCAGGCGGCCGGGGAGATCCCCATGTCGAGAGAATCTCCACGTTAATATGAGAGTCCACGTTAATATCAGAGCATCCAAGACTGGAGACCACTGGAGACCAGTGGAGAGCATGACTAGGGCTTAATACCGCTACAGCGAGACCTGGAAACCAATCAGTGACTCTACACAGAGAATTAATAATGATACTGATTATTACGTCGAGGAATGTTTCTTGCCAAGAGCACACCAACATTGTTGATGTTACATTAGGGCTGGGGAATACCAGATTCTCCCACTTTTGATTGGACCCCGCAGAAGACGGAGAAGTTCCGCCAAGCAGAAAACGCGTGGTTTTTGGTCAATTGGGCATCGGATCAGCGTGATTCGGTCCGAATTTGACTGGTCAAGAACGTGGACTCGGACGCTTGCCCGAATTTCTTGGCCACCGCTTGATCGAGAAGCAGAGCGGGTGGTAAGTGGCCGGCAATGCCGATAAAAATAGGGCGGGATATTGATATTGCCCGCATGACTACAGCTTCCCCGCCGGAAGAAAGAGGCCTTTTTTGCGGAGCTGGCCGACCTAACGTAGGTTGGACAGCCCGATTGGCCTTTACTACCACAGAGGCTAGTCCTAGAAAGCCCTAATTCGTGCATATTTCACCCCCGCGTATTCCCACGTTGCTCAGAAGGCCCTTGGGGGTTGTCACTCGTCTGGTATCATTCGATTCCTGAGTCTAATCCCAACAAACTTAGCCGAGCTGTTGTAGTTACCATTGGAGAACTTAATAAGAAATCACAGTAGACTAGTCAGTAATCAGACACGGCCTTCCGTGGGATTTTCGTGCTGGTTGGTAGAGCTAGGAAAGCTCTGCTCTAGAAAGCACAGAAGGGGCAGTTCCAGCCTAGTATGCCCGTAAATCGGAGAAATCCCGATATCGAGCACTGTAGGACAAAGCTCTACTTATTTGGGGACTATATTAGTAGACCGCCTACCCCGCGCTTTTGACCCTAGCGACGTTTTCAAGTTTTCTTCGGCTGCTTACAATTCCATCATGGCGGGAGGCGTGAAGAAACCGGTTAACATCTTCAAACTCAGGGATTCCAATGAGCCCAAAGAAGTCTTCAATTGGCGACTATGGTTTGCAGTCATCTCCTTTGGCCTCATGGGCGCAGCCCGTGGTGTGGATGAAGGGTTGATTTCAGGTGCCTTTTCGTCCAAGGATTTTCAAAACACAATCCACTATTCTTCCTATAGCAAAATTGAGCAGACCAACATCAAGGCTAATGTCTCTGCCATGGTTCAAATCGGCTCTGTTGGAGGTGCACTTTTGTGAGTATCAATTCATGTTTTCGAGGCTATTCCACTGCTAATAGCTAATTTCCTCGCCAGTGCTTTCTTCGTTTGTGATCGTATTGGTCGTGTTTGGGCAACGCGCCAACTTTGTCTTCTCTGGATTCTCGGTATTGCAATCTTCATGGGCAATAACGGTAGCCTCGGCGCTGTTTATGCCGGTCGTTTCATTGCTGGTCTCGGAGTCGGTCAGACGCCTGTGGTGGCCCCCGTGTATCTTGCTGAAATTGGTACGATATCAAAGTTTGCCCAGTCGAGCATCCCTGCTAACATATCCAGCACCTGCGTCAATCCGCGGTCTTTGTACCTGTATTTTCACCGGATGCGTGTATCTCGGTATCGTCTTGGCGTATTTTGCAAACTACGGCGCTCAGGTCAATCTGGGTGATGCGACGCACAATCGATGGGTAAGGAGCAAGTTCATAAATGCAGGATGGGCTTTCAGTGCTGATCCCTCTCTAGGAGGTTCCAACTAGCTTGCACATCATGTTCGCTGGCATCATCCTGGTGTTGTCTTTCTTCCAACACGAATCGCCGCGTTACTATGTGAAGGTCGGCCAAGATGAGAAGGCATTACACGTAATGTCGCGCATCAGAAACCTGCCTCCTGACCACGAGTATGTCGTCCGAGAGATTAGTGAGATCCAGGCGGCACATCAAGAAGAAATGGAAGCCACTATGGGCGCCGGATTCTTGGGTGTCTGCAAAGAATTGTTCTTGATCAAGAGCAATCTGTACCGTCTATATCTGGCCGTCTTCGCTCAGATTCTATCACAATGGTCTGGAGCTGGCAGGTACGTATCTCGCCATCTGATCCATCATCATGCAGCTGACCAACGAACAGTATTACTGTCTACGCCGTGAACCTCTTCCAACTTCTCGGCGTTACTGGTAACAACGAGAGCTTGCTCGTTACCGCAATCTTTGGAATCGTCAAATTCGTCGCCGCCGTGGTGTGTGCCCTGTTCCTGGTGGACTTCATCGGCCGAAAACGCTCGCTGCTATTGGGCATCACCCTGCAAGCAATCACAATGACTTATATCGCCGGCTTCCTGACAGCCGTACCCAAACTCGGCGTCGACAGCCACTACGTATTGCCTGCATCGATGCACGGTGCAAGTCGAGGTGCCATTGCCATGATGTACATCTCTGGGTTTGGCTGGGCACTAGGCTGGAACTCGATGCAATACCTGCTCACAGCCGAACTATTCCCTCTGCGTATCCGCGCTATCGCGACGTCGATTTCCATGACACTGCACTTTGTCAACCAATACGGCAACACGCGCGCTGTTCCGAACATGCTGCTTGGAACCGGAGAAGGAGGCATTTCGCCGCTGGGCACATTCTGGTTCTTTGCAGTGGTTACCGTGCTTGGTGGGGTGTGGGTGTGGTTTACAATCCCTGAGACGGCGGGTCGGTCATTGGAAAGCATGGATCGGTTGTTTGCACTGCCATGGTACAAGATTGGACGGTACGGAAATGAGGATGCGATGCAGCAGGATATGGTGCTGGACGAGAAGCAGCAGCAGATGGAGGCGCATCAGGCACAGCATGTCGAGGAAGTGCGAGACAACACCACGAGGGTGTAGCTGAGACACTGGCTGAGACACTGTCGTATTATATAATGTTGGCGGTTATGAATAGCAGGATTGAGTGGTGAAACAAGCCATAATGCAATAGTTCATTCTTGATTGTACGGATGAATATCGATGTAATCGCAAGGAGTAAACTAAAAGGAAGGAAATACAGAGTACAACAAGTATCTGGAGCATTCGGCTCAGCCCGCACCAAGAACAACCCAGAGAAGCCCGCGGCTCTGTCGGCCCTTCCGGCACCAATCAAGCACCGCCAAGCTCATCCAGACCGTCGATTTCTGCGCCTCAATGCTTCACATATGCCGTTTTGTAGCAAGCCCCGTTTGGCGCGACACGCTTATATAACTTAAAAAAAAGGAGCCGCCGTGTTAGTTTCTTCTGCACATGTAATTATTTCCATCGACATTCGTTTAGCCATCACTGCTATTCTTCTTCCTCTTCTTCTTCTTATTCATTCGTTTATTAATTAATTGATACCAACATCCTAATAATACCGGTAAAATGGCCTCGATCGCGCTCGCCACCCTTGCCCTCCTTGGCTCAGCAGCAGCCGCGGACCAAACCGTGACTCTCTTTCTCCCTGGCTTCGACCCGCAGGCACTCGTTGCATCTATTGCTGGAAGCGTATGCGCAGTCTCCATCGGTTCACGTATAGACAAATGACTAACCGCCACAGGATGCCTCTGCAACCACCTACGCCATACAATGCGCCCCTGGTACATCCTCAGACGACTGTGGCGCCGGCGATGGCTTCACTCTGATCGAGGGTCCCAAGACGGCTCACCTAGAAATGGTTGATGGTGATGCTTCCACGTATGCATATCTTATAACCACTGCCAGATCTCTTCGAACTAACATTGCCTGCAGCTTCGGTTACATAAATAACTGCATCTTAACCGACTCGCCGCCGGCCATCTGCACTGAAGTCGTTACCGGTCACGAGGCCAATGACCCAGGCACCACGACCGTGACTTATGAACCAAGTGATTACTCGTCTGCCTTGATCGTCGTCACTGTGACCGCTGGCTCTGCCGCTGCTGCTAGCACTGCAGCCTCGGTGACTGCGCCTACTGCGTCTGCGACTGGTACGACTGCGAGCGCAGCCGCTGGGAGCACCGCATCGGCTGGTCAGTCGACCTCTACTGCCGCCGGGACTCCAACTTCGACGGCGGCGAGCACACCTTCTGCTGCTGCGTCGGCTGCCACTACCAAGGCTTCGTCGGTGAGCACTGGGGGTATGCCACGGGTTACTGGAAACGTCGAGTGGATTGTGGGGGGTGCTGCTGTTGCGATGGCGCTTGTAGGAATGTAGAACGTGGTTCCTGTATTATAATATCAGATAGAAATCCATCTCATGATAAATAACTGTTCGTGATGACATATATCTCTAAAGTATTCCCAGCTAGCAGCCTCTGCGATGGATCGATTGAGAGGCCGACTGATGCTCGATAGCGTCGACACCGCGTGTTTCGGTGCGCTCGCTCTCTGAAGTGTAGTCAATGGATCTGTCTTTATCGATCTGATGAAATAACGAGGGTCTGCTCGATGAAAGATTCGTAGAGAAGTGATCTGTTGGATGGAATATGTCAGCTTCGAAGCACAGCGTTGTGGTGGTTGGGAACGAGTCTCCTCTGGTCGCTGCGCCATCAGGGTTTCTCTCATTCCAGCTCAGGCAAGCCTGTCAGTCGCGTTGAACTGTCAGGTCGAATTTCGAATTTTTAGATAATGAAGATAGATGACGGGCAGAGTTTCTTGATGAATTTTTGGATGGGCGTGATGGAAGGTGGTCACTCAGGGGTCGCGCGCGATCTGGGATAGCAACAACACCACAGGGAAGGAGCGTACGAGCAGGCCAACAGGCACAAGGAGGGCTGTAGACATCTATTTTCATCATCAATGGTACCAGGTAGCTCTATACAGATGAAATAATGTATAATCAATGCCACTCTACGATAATTTGTGATGGAACTGTGATGATTATCCTGCTGGGAGGCACCCACGATGCTTCATCTCAGCACTCTACAGCTTACCAGCTTAAAACTACAACCACAACTACAATCGGCTACAACTACAGAAGCACAAGAAGAAGAGAAAGTTCACGTAATGTTTTGTATTGATTCCCACCCGCCCTTCGACCTAGATGGTAGATATAAAAGAGACATCCCCATTCGGGCCTGGAAAAGTCCAGTAGCCTAGGAAAAACCCAGTGGGTGAAAACCTCGACTAATGCTCTGGTGGTGCAAGAAAGGGTAGAATGGTGCAGAGTGCGCGAGAAAGGGTGAAGGGGTCTACAGGTAGGGGTTGGGTGCAGATGGAGTGAGGTGGATGGGGTGGCTTCAGAGGAGGAGAACACCTCGACTCGACTCTGGAAAGTGTGTTGTAGAGGAGAAGAAGAGAAGAGAGGAGAGATTTGGGAGAGCGCGGTACTTATACCCGGGAATCGGTGCCTGGGGTTGTGCCTGGGTGCCTGCGCCAATCGTGCCTTCCTGTCTGGGGAAAAATCACGTCATGGACGCGATTTGCAAACATAGATTTGCGACTGTTTGCAATTAGCTGCACGGTATAAGGGATTTATAGACATTGTGCTGGATATGATACAAAGAATTGAAACTCCTTGCTTCATCGAAGTATCTCGAGTTCGCTGCGGTATCCTAGCAAATGACTCCAAACTAATCACCTTCAAAATTAGACTTTAGATATGATATAAATGCTTTCGGTGTATCCGTCAACATTACTGAAGCTGCTGATTGTGATATTGACATTTGTGATGGTACTTTATGGACCTCCTATATCCGTACCAAGCTATTCAAAAACCCTCTCCCCCAGAAAAGCATGACAGAGTTAGCAGCAACCCGTCCTGTTTGTAGGCAATTGATTCTCCAAAACAGCTAATGCTTGGATACTAGAGAGCAGTATTGCGTCACTGGCACCGGCATTCCAATTTATGATACGAAAGTGTTTGTATCTTAGATTTATATCCTTGAGTCCTACAATACATCTGTAGATAGCACCATCAATATTGATGATCCAGTGACTGGATATAATTATCGAGCTAGATGCATACCAACTTCTAATGACACTTGCATGAAAAGGTTACCCACCTTGGTGCCTTCTACAGCTGACTCTAATAGAACAACATCAGAGGACAATAAGCAGTTCAATATTGAGAATCCCTTTCAAGACTCTCCGGGTACGCACATCCTGATCCGAAGGGACAATGGGCTTGAGAAAACGGAGACCACAAAATCTAACGTGAAACTGAAAGATTGGATGGATTTAGTGTGACTCATGCTAAGATCTCAGCCAACCTTTGATTGAAAATGAATCAATGAGCTATTTACCAGAAGTTTTTTTTACAGCACATTTTGGATTACTTTATCAACTTTATATACTATCTCAGAGAAATATTAAGATTATTATATAATTGCTAAAGCATAGCAGATTAGCTTCCAGCCATGATACTCCGCCGCTGAATTTCGTCAATGTCTTCAAAAGTACTCTTATGAGTTCCAAAGCCTAAATACTATCTATATATTAGATATTATATATATTCAATTCTAGAAAATAGTTATCAAAATTACATTAAATTACAATGTAATTTTTATAAATTTATTACTTTCAATTAGATCTTATTTTAATTTATAATATATCTCTTTTTTTGGGTATATTTTCTTCTCGAAATGTTGAATTATTAAGGTCTACAAAATGCCATTTTGGATGTGTATTTGCTGTCCGGGTTGGGTGTCCTGCCCGATTACGTTAGTACAGACTGCTAATCCAGCTACAGCAGTAATAACAAAATTTACTGATTCGACGAATCATAAGACGTTTGCAACCCCGAGATCATGCGAAGAATCTGCCCAAAAAGCTGTAGCATGTCGGTGGATCAACAAATGGAGTCGACTTTTCTCGTACATGGCGAGATGCAATGTGATAGCCTTGCATATTGACGTGGCAGGTTTTGATTTGTGTTCTATATAGCAGAGATAGCCCATGAGGCTGAATGCAGTTGTAGTATTTTCCCCTCGTCCAATTTTCCATTTTCGATCTCCCAGACTCTTACATTTCAACCAGTTTCTTTCAGTGAAAAATCCACATCTCTAGCTTCTTAAACGTTTGGTTTGTTTTAGGCAAAGTAAGAACTATTCACGTTCGCTGAGGAACTATTATGAACGGATCCCTCTTACCTACCTTCATAATATGTTTAATCCTAAGGATTACACAGTCGGCTGGCTCTGTGCCATAAGTATGGAGTGCGTCGCCGCACAGGCTTTTCTCGACGAAAAGCATAAAGGACCAGAATATTTGTCCCAAAATGACAACAATGATTATACATTGGGCAGAATTGGGAAACACAATGTTGTCATTGCCGTTTTACCTGATGGAGAATACGGCACGTCCTCTGCAGCAAGTGTCGCTAGAGACATGCTGCATAGCTTTCCTAATGTCAGAATTGGCTTGATGGTTGGCATCGGCGGCGGCGCACCAAGCCGAAAGCATGATATTCGTCTAGGCGACATTGTGGTCAGTGCTCCTCGCGATGGCAAAGGTGGCGTCTTCCAGTACGACTTTGGCAAAACAATACAAGATCAGAGCTTCCGACCAACGGGGTTCCTGAACCAGCCACCGATGGTCCTCCGGACGGCAGTGAGTGGACTGAAGACCCAGTATGAGAGTGAAGGCCATCAGCTTGAAGAGGCCATTAACAGGATTCTTGAGAAGAAACCAAGACTAAAAAAGAAGTACAAGCGACCAGACCTAAGTAGCGACAGGCTCTACCAATCTGTGGTCATCCATCCTCTGAATGACGACACAAACTGTGGTGTAGTTTGTGGCGATGATCCATCAAATTTGATACTCCGACCAGAACGGATCGCATACGAGGATAATCCGGCAGTTCACTATGGCCTGATTGCTTCGGGGAACCAGTTGATGAAGGATGCTTTGCTTCGGGATAAATTTGCTGTGGAAAACGACGTTTTATGTTTTGAAATGGAAGCGGCAGGTCTAATAAACCACTTTCCATGTCTAGTTATTCGTGGGATATGCGACTACTCGGACTCCCATAAGAACAAGGAGTGGCAAGGATATGCAGCAATGGTAGCAGCTGCATATACCAAGGATCTTCTATGTCGAATCGCTCCAAACAGGATTGAAGCTGAGAAGAAGATCGGTGATATCCTCTCTGGTCAGTCCACAGGAGATTAAGAATCATCCTGTCAACAAATACTAATTCTACATAATATGAAAGGTGTCCAAGAAGGATTGACTGTCATATCAAGAGATGTTGACAAACTTCTCTGTGTGCATCATGATCAAGAGCATCAAGCCATCCTCAACTGGCTCACTGCAACTGACTATTCCTCTCAGCAGAGTGACTTCATTGAAAGACGACAGGAAGGCACTGGCGAATGGCTATTGAAGTCGAATGAATTTCAGGAGTGGATAAACCAGAAGCAGATATTGTTTTGTCCCGGCATTCCAGGAGCTGGAAAGACCATTGCCACATCTATTGTGATTGACCACCTCTATAGAAAATTTCAAGAGGACACCAGTGTTGGCATTGCATACCTGTACTGCAACTTTCGGCGGCAGCAAGAGCAACACCTCACAGACCTACTTCTCAGTTTACTAAAGCAATTTGCCCATCCTTCCGTCCCCAAAACTGTGATAAGCCTCTATGAATACCATAAGGAGAAAGGAACCCGCCCCTCCTTTGCTGAAGTCTTAGATGTATTATACACTGTTGTTACTGGCTATACAAGGGCTTTTATCGTCATTGATGCGCTCGACGAATGTCAAGTTTCTGATGGAACTCGGGATAAGTTCCTGTCGGAGATATTCCAGCTTCAGGCCAAAACTGGTGTAAATTTCTTTGCAACGTCACGGTTCATACCGGATATAAGGGCGGAATTTGAAAGAAGGGAGAGCATTCTGCTAGAGATCCGTGCTAGGGATGGAGATGTGAGGAGTTATCTAGAAGGCCATATGTCACGGCTGCCATCATTTGTCAAAAGACAACCAAATCTGCAAGAGGAAATCAAGACTGAAATTGCTTGTGCAGTTGACGGGATGTATGTGCGTCCTATAACTTCTAAGCAGACTAAGCAAGTTAACGATTTGTTCAGGTTTCTCCTAGCGCAACTTTATCTAGATTCTCTGATCGGAAAAATATCGCCGAAAGCCACTAAAATTGCATTGCAAAATCTGCGAAAAAGATCCAAATCATCAAATAATAATGATGATTCTAACCCATTATATCTTGCATATGAGGAAGCCATGAAGAGAATCAAAAGTCAGCACGGGGACTTCCCTAAGCTTGCCACGATGGTTTTATCTTGGATCACTTTCACCGAGAGACCCCTAACCATATCAGAGCTCCAACACGCTCTTGCTGTAGAAGTTGGCGCTGCTAAACTTGATGAAGAAAACCTTCCAGACACCGAAGACATGGTTTCTGTATGCTGTGGCTTAGTCACTATTGATGAAAAGAGCGATACTATCCGTTTAGTCCACTATACAACACAGGAATATTTCGGGCGTACCTGGGAAACCTGGTTTCCAGATGCCCATACCGATATTACCGAGAAATGTGTTACCTACTTATCGTTTGAAGTTTTTGAGACCGGTTTCAGTCCATCAAGAAAAGCTTTTAAGGAAAGACTAGAGTCAAACGTTCTATATAGCTATGCTGCACGGTATTGGGGATATCACGCCCACAAATCTTCAATCGAAGGTGAAATGTTGATTTTAGATCTTCTTGAGAGTACTATGAAAGTGTCTGCCTGTAGTCAGGCTATGATATACGATGGATCCTATACCAGGATGACAGGTTTGCACCTCGCAGCGTACTTCGGACTTGAGAAATCTACATCAGCTCTGCTAAAAAGAGTCCACGACATAGATCCAGAGGATCGCAGCGGCCGGAATCCACTATCATGGGCAGCCGAGAACGGTCATGAGGCAGTGGTGAAGCTGCTGCTCGATAAGAATGCCGACATTGAGTCTAAGGGTAGTATCTCTGGTCGGACCCCGCTGTCAAGGGCAGCCAAGAAGGGTCATGAGGCAGTGGTGAAGCAGCTGCTTGAAAAGAATGCCAACATTGAGTCTAAGGATAGTGTCTATAGCCAGACCCCACTGTCAAGGGCAGCTGAGAAGGGTCATGAGGCAGTGGTGAAGCTGCTGCTTGAAAAGAATGCCGACATTGAGTCTAAGGATAATAGATCTAGCCTAACCCCGCTGTCATTGGCAGCCATGAGGGGTCATGAGGCAGTGGTGAAGGTGCTGCTTGAAAAGAATGCCGACATTGAGTCTAAGGATGACAGATCTGACCTAACCCCGCTGTCATTGACAGCCATGAGGGGTCATGAGGCAGTGGTGAAGCTGCTGCTCAAGAAGAATGCTGATGTCGAGTCTAAGGATAATGAATTTGGCCGGACTCCGCTGTCATGGGCAGCCATAGAGGGTCATAAGGCGGTGGTGAAGCTGCTGCTTGAAAAGAATGCCGATATTGAGTCTAAGGATGACAGATCTGGCCTAACCCCGCTGTCATTGGCAGCTATGAGGGGTCATGAGGCAGTGGTGAAGGTGCTGCTTGAAAAGAATGCCGACATTGAGTCTAAGGATAGTGTCTTTGGCCGGACTCCGCTGTCATGGGCAGCCATAGAGGGTCATAAGGCAGTGGTGAAGATGCTCCTTGAAAAGAATGCCAACATTGAGTCTAAGGATAGTGTCTATAGCCAGACCCCACTGTCAAGGGCAGCTGAGAAGGGTCATGAGGCAGTGGTGAAGCTGCTGCTCAAGAAGAATGCTGATGTCGAGTCTAAGGATAATGAATTTGGCCGGACCCCGCTGTCATGGGCAGTCATAGGGGGCCATGAAGCAGTGGTGAAGCTGATTCGAGACGCAAAATCTTCTCGGCTTTCTGTCTGATTAGACCTTTTTACGTAGCCACGACAATATTACATCCTACAGTACTGTTATAATAACAATTCTTTTGTGTTTCAAGTAACAACTTTGAAGATACTTCTCTTTTTTCTAATCTCTATTCAGCAGGAGGGCCTGGGATGAGTGGTTACTTTATACCTCCATAAATCGTTTCTAGAATGTTTCTGGTTATTTCTAGGAGATACTAAATAAATACAATTCGATCAGTAGTATGGCGTAGAAAAGCAGCGAAGTCCTCATCTCATAGCCACTGCTTATTAATCATACATGTTGAATATGCTGTGACCATACTCAGAATCATATTAGTGGCGCGTCTCTGGTATTTTAAGCTAAAAAGAAGAAAGAGCTTTGGTGGTCGAGGGATGTGTCGTGACGACACAATAGCCGTTTGAAACTTCAGGAAACTTCAAGAGAAAAATATAATTAAAATTCTAGAACAGAACAATACTCCTCCATGCCCCGTATCTCAATTTCCTGTCTGCCTTCTTCTGCTTCTTGAGTTCGTGATCGCCTTCTACTACGCCCCGAAGCCGATGGTTTCTTCCAGCTCGAGCGGTTTCTTTTATCTCGCGCTTCCTCTTCGCTTCGACGATATCCTCGTACTTCATAATTTTAGCGTTGCCAACCACAGTCGACTTCACCAGTTGTCGCATTTTTCTTTCATTATTTTGCCGGAACAAATCCCGGTTCTGTTGTAGAAGAAGCGTACGTTCCGCACAAAGGCATTTTCCGTCGCATTCAGAACCATCTGGAGGCGAAGCTTGCAACCATTATCTAGTCTATGAATGTCGTCCTCAACTTCACTACGTAAGAGGGCCAGGTTCTCATGGGTGACCGGCGTTATAGGTAGCTCATCAGTAGTAGGATAGAAATTACTGCTCCTAATATCGGTCTGGACGCGACAGTCCTCCGCTGGCGGCTTTTGGATGTCTCTAAGAACCTTCTCAGGGTTGAAAGGGCGAAAGTCCAGTTTTAGACCAGCCGGATAGAATGTTCCTACAAGTGAATTTCTCGCTTCGGGCGCGGCTGTAGAGATAAGTGAAATGTTGCTTGCCGATAGCATTAGCACCTCCACGGTCCAACGATTCGGCTTGTTCACGATATGCCGTCTTCAATGATGAAAACACGCCAACGTCACAGGGTTGAAGCTTATGGGATGTATGGGATGGGATCCGACAGGAGATGATGTTGTTCTGATAGTAAAATTCCATAACTTCGAGGGATTCATGGGTGCCAAACCCATCACTAATGAGAAGGCGTGGCTTGTTCCCGGCCTAAGCCTTAGTCTCAGGGTCGAAGACATGCTGAAACCTAGTACAGACTAATCACACTATCGGTGTATCCGGATTTGGAGCGAGCAAAATGCCATCCAGGAGTGGGGTAAGTGGTCCAGGTGCTGCGATGTGTGGCAGCTGGCCAGATGAGTGGATTTCCGGAGAGACCTACCGTCTGCCGAGATACATTAAATCGCCGTGACTAATGTCCGCTTCACCCTTGCTCCTCTAGAATTTCTATAGTCATCCTTACCTACCAAGACTTTCAACAAGTTGGGGACGCTCAACATGACTCCTGTCTCATCCATATTATAGACGTTTACAGGGTCAGTCACAGGATTATGGAGCTCCGGTCCAATCACGCTGAACCACTCTTCAACTTTACTACGAATATTATAATCGTGCCTTTTACAGTCCACGGGTTTCAGCCCTCTGGCTCTGACCTCTGGATGTCGTTTGTAGAAGCTTCGGGACCAACTGGGGCCAGGTGGTTTAGCAACGGCACTGCTGGCGGGGACGTGGGAACTCGAGCTACGCTGCTGAACGATGAGTAGAGCCAACGATCGTAAGGATTTGACTAGTAAGGGATAGCCATTTTTAGTCGTGCGCAACATGTAGATAACCAGGGCTTTCTCCTCTGGATCCGTGAGGTATTGTTGATTTGCTGCCTTCTCTTCCTTTGATGGTCGTCCATGGGCACGGTGCTAGAGTGTGGACGCTGGGACCTCGGTGGAATCTGATTTGGCAGCCCAAGTTTTACAGTCAGTAGAACCGCTTAATTTGGCAAGTGCTAAGATTGCTGGATCCGACCAAGGGACAAGTTCCCCAACACTGGGGCTAGGTACCCGTCATGTAGAGACCGGCGAGGGGCTATATTTAGAGTATTCGGATAAAGTGTATATCCGAAAACATTAGAGTACAGTGCAGTAAGGCCACAATACACGGTCGCATGGGTCAACCGTAAATTATTCTGTAAAATAGATTACATTAGGTATCTATAGGACGGACCTGGGAGACTGATTCCAGCAGATTTTATTATGGTAATGACTATAGATATTGATACTAAATAATTTTCATACTTCTTTATTAAGTAATTTTATATATCAGATGTCTGTGGCGAGATGTTAGGCGATTATACTAATCACATAAACTATTAGGGGCTCTTGTTAATTATTTTACAGATAATTATAAATTTGTAAATCTTAGGTCTTTAACATAAAAAATTATATTATATAAAGTAGAGGAAGTATAGTATATACTAAGCTATTTAAACCACGATAATAATCTCTTTTGGTGGATATTTACTGACTTATAGCCAAGGTACCAAATTCATAATTCGGCACATGGCTCTTCTTCGGCACAGCATACAGACTTACAACCTCCTTCCCATGCCAGAGCTTACAGAAGAGAGTCGCCACCCATCAATAATTACGCAACAATGACGCAGTTTGGAACTTAAATTTTATGCATCATATAAACTATTTTTACTGTGGCGTATTTGACACGGTTACATTTAGAATCACTATGGAGCCCGAGACAAATAAAAAATCTGATCCTCAAGTACAAACTCTTTAAACTAACGTGAATTATGTTGACGATTTCTAGCCACTCTCTGAGGCCGAAAGACGCATCTTCCAAACCTATGGACGGATGCCTGGCGAAAAAAGTTTGAGGGGACGGCTCAAGGCGAGTTGAATCAACCAGTTTATATGCCATAAGTGTCACTTCCTAAGTGATAAAAAGAAGGAACGAAAGTACTTTGATTCTGGGGACTTCGCACTTTCTGCGACTGGAAGGACCGTCACCGATAATGGTGCTATGAAAACTGGCGTGGATCATCCACAACGCAGGAGTATTTCACGTCCTCATGCTCCAGTTCCCGAGGCTAGCAATGTCGATGAGGATGCCAATGAGAAGCTTCATGACCAAAAAAGCGCACATTCGGACATGGTAGACAGCCCTCTCTTTCAACATACCGATTCGAGTGAGAAACCAGTCGAACATAGTACAGGGCCTACTATGTAAAATTGAAATTATTTTTAATGATCGATACAAGATTGATATGCAATTTCAACACTTATTTTTGATTTGGACATATTTTCAGCATTTCAGATATATGCCTCGCGCTTCCGAAAATCTCGAAACCAGGCAGATTCTTGAGTCTTATGCGACTCCTAAAATATGATGGTCATTGATCATGTCAACGCCCCACCGAGATCCATCGAGCTGTTAAATATGAACTACAGTAACTTAAGATAAACAGTTCGAACCAGGAGACTGGACATCCTAGACAGTTTATTTCTATGTACCAGGAGGTTAAAACCGGGAAGTATCATCTATATCCAAAGGAATACATGTATGACATTGCACCAAGATGGCAAGCGGTGGCGATTCAACGAAGGTCAAATAGAATAAGAAACGGTGATATAAGGTTATGTGCAACTATCCTACTGTGGTATATGATCCTAGCTTTTTATCATGTTAAGATAAGTTTCTAAGATGCCAAATTTCGTATGTCGAAATACAGGTAGGAGAAAGAACATAGTTCTGAAGTTTGACAGGTAGTGAGATCTATTGATATGTGTTTTTGGGTCAGGAAGACGAGAAGCACTATGTAGAATAAAACAATTGATTCTCTATGTACATATACGCAAGGCATAATGGGTATCATTGGAGAGGTTCTCCATGCTTTTATTCTGCCTGAGGCCATCGTGGCTATTATCCTTGCAGTAAAGGCAAAGTTCAGGCAGCCAGGCAGCTAGGCTGCCATAGTGAGTGACGCCCTGCTCTGGGTGTCCACGCTTGGACTGTTTCATTCAGACGAACGCATCGATAGCTAGAAATTAACTTTCGCACTCGAGAGTACACATGTATTCTCTCATGCAACCTTTCGCCCAACATTTCCAATCCCCTTTCCAACAATGCTCACCACCACATCTCCATCCAGATTCTCCTCAGCTGCATCTCGAATCCCCCACCCTGCCGCGCCAAACTTGGACAAATCTCGCGCAAACTGGATCAATCCTTGATCTGCAATGACCTCCCTCCCGATTTGAAGACGCCCAACATCTTCAGACCCCATCGCCATCAGCATCAGCATCGTGGGTGCAGCCGCAGGAGCAACACAGCCACCCTTGGAGATCGTTTCGAGCAGTTGATACGCACACCGCTTGCCGATATCCTCAGGCGGCTCTCCACCTGCCGGCGGCGAGGCAATATCCGCCGAAAACAAACAGCCTGTGGATGTTTCTGCGACAAGGAAAAGACCAAAGCCAAGGCCAGTCTTCCTCTTCGCAGCCGGATTATTTCTCTCTGGCGCGGGGATCAACGGTGCAGTAGAGGCATCAGAGGCGATATATGTGTCTGGAGCCAGCGGGTTCAGAACCCCCCTGGCAGTCTGAATCATTCTCGCATTATTAGTGGCAGAAACACCCGTCGAATAAGCAACTCCGCGTATAGTCTTGATTCGTCCTGGGTTCATCAAATGCAGCGTCTTTGGCAACCGCACTTGGTGGCCGAAAACCAACTGAACCTCCCCCCCGCCTCCCTTGCCATTGTTCCCAGGATTCGATCGTTGTAGTATCCGCAATTCAATGTTATTCCAAATATTGAACTGTTTGTATAATGGCAAAATTGCCATGCGAACCGCATCCACCGACATATCCCCCGTCGGCGTGGCCGATGTGATCACCCCTGGGCCCGTAAAGAGCACGTTCACAGGGCCCTTGGAGAAGGGCGCAAGAAGACACAGCGGGATCAGAAAGTAGCTTATCCCGCGCGCGCAATTCGACGGAATCTCATGTCTAACCACGCCATTGCTGGCACCCAGCCCCGACGAGCTTCCTGTAATCAGCCCGGGCTTGTAGACGATAATCGTACCACTGTACGAAATCTCCATTTGTGAGCCATTCGTAATCGCTTCTAAAAGTCGCAGAAATGATATTTCGTGTGTCGCTAGACCGGGGTTGGCAGGCGAATTGGACCGGATCTGCGAAATGTGCACCGGTCGCCCGGTCAGGGTTGCGAGGACAAGGCGATAGGTGAAATTCTGTTGCGAGGTTAAACGCACTGGGGGGGTCTGCATCGAAGCCATTATGAGAAAATTCTCCAACAGCCTGATTTTTTTTTTTCCGTATGCCTGGCTGGACCAGCACAGAAAGAGTGGTTGTCGAAAAAAATCCCAGAAAGGTAAAGCTCAAAAATAGGTCACGTGAGACCTTATCTTATCGGATTATCTCCGCAAAAGTGGAGTCCGCGCATCGCCGATAAGGCCGAGCGATGAATTAATAATTTCCTCGAATAGCAGTATCATGACTCAGTCTCACGCTGTCAACTGCCAACTAACAATCTTCTGTTGTATCCGAACTACTATCTAAACAATCCACCTATATCTCACACTACACCTCCCTTCGCGCCTTGACAATGCTGCCCCCCTCCCTCAATATACCGAAATGGTATGTACACAGCATACCCCTCCTCCGGCTCCCTCCATACTAACATAACTTCCCCAGGCTCGAAGCCAACTCGCACCTCCTCCAACCGCCCGTCAACAACTACTGCATCTACCACCCGTCGACGTCGGCAGGCTACACAGTCATGATCGTCGGGGGGCCCAACGCCCGCACCGACTATCACATCAACTCCACCCCCGAATTCTTCTACCAATACCGAGGCTCAATGCTACTCAAAACCGTCGACGAATCCACCACCCCGCACACCTTCAACGACATCCCCGTACACGAGGGCTCGCTGTTTCTTCTACCTGCCAACACGCCGCACTGTCCCGTGCGCTTCGCCGATACCGTTGGCGTGGTCATGGAGCAGCCGCGTCTGCCGGGCGCCGAGGATACGATGCGTTGGTATTGTTTGAGTTGTAACGAGGTGGTCTTTGAGAAGAGCTTTGTGTGTACGGATCTGGGCACCCAGATCAAGGCCGTGGTAGAGGAGGTTGCGGCGGATCAGGCGAAGAGGACGTGTGGGAAGTGTGGGACCGTCGCCGAGACGAAGTTTGGGGATGGGCAGGTTGTGCAGCCTCCGCGGTTTCCGGAGTAGATATATATCCCGACTTTGTTGATGGGTGGTATGTTGGGTGGTTGTGTATAAAAAAAGGTGGCGCGAAGTAACGTGATGACGAAAAGTTTTATCCCCACTCATAGTTTAATGAATGTATGATTGAATCGTGAGACTTAAGTAAATAAATGATTAAGATTAATTTGTACAACAAAACTGTTCTGTTGAATAAATATAGAAGAAGAACGCTAGACGCGAAGCAAATGGCACAGCCCAAACATTCAAATCTGCTATCACAGAATATTAGTACATTACACATGCAACGATATTGCGACTGCTGAAACAAGAGATGTTGGCAGAAAGAGAGGAAGGTCTTGATCTCGTCCCATGGTACATGACATGACGTCGTCCTTCTAATGGTAAATCTAACAATAACCCAACCCCCACTCTCACTCCCATGGAAATGCATATATTAATGAATTGGCAATCGATCAATCGTCGAAAGGACAGTCAATGCTCTCATGACCGTCTCGCTCGCATAATGCGCACCATTTGCTCTCGTCAACCACCCCAGAGGATCTACCGGCGACAGGGCCCATCGAGTTGGTCAGTCCGCCAATGCCCTTGAGTCCCTCGAGAACGGCGTCTCGGCCGGTCTTGTGCGATACTGGGCTTTCGACTGGCTGCTTGAAACCGTTGGAGTGGTGGTGGTTTTGCGTCGGAGATTCAGTGATAGTATCGATTGCTGGTTTGGACGGGCTGGTGATGGGTTCGGGTTTGCTCTCAATATCGTGTGCCTGGTGGTTGCCGTTGGCACCGAATGTCGTGCAGGTCAGAATGTCGTGGCCGTTGGTCTCACAGATCTCGCACCAGAGAGAGCCGTGCTCGGAGGACTGTTGGTCGGAGTCCCGGTCGATATCCTCGCTGTGGTTGTTGGTCTCAGGATAGGTGGTTGTCGGCGGTGAGCCTAGTTCGTCGGGGCTCGGCGAGTCTTGCCAGTCTGGCGGGACGACGGTTCTGTCGGAGAGACTATGGACATGGCTGACGGAAGTGCCACGGCTCCCTCGAGCAGAATGAGACGACCTCATCTGCCTGAGAGGCGCGATGGTTACTGTACCGCTTCGGCTTCTCACTCCATTCATAGAATTGCGGTTGAGGGAGTTGCGATTCTGGGGCTGGCTGATTTGCTGTTGCAGCTCTTCTATACGAGTTGAGCGAGAGTCTGCCAGGCCTTCGAGCTCTTGAATGCGCTGCTCAAGCTGGGACACACGCTCTGTATCCTTCGGGTCTGATTCCGCTATGCTGGTAGGAGACATAGGCCCGTTTTGATTCAACAGGGCTGGGTTTACATCCCCTCTGCTCAGAGAATGGATGATAGCTTTCAGCCCTCGAATCTCGTCGTCTTTCTGATCTAGTTCCCTCGTGTTTCGTCGTCCTTCAGCATCTTTCAACGCAGCAGCTGATTTTTCGCGTTCTTGCTTCAGCTCGAGTCGCGTTCGTTCAACCTCCCCACGCAGAAACTCAACGTCTCCTCTGGCTTCCGCTTCTCCTCGCCGTGCATCCTCTAGGCCTTCTTCCAATTCAGAGACTAGTTCCTCGAGCTGCTTAAGTTGCATGGCAACTGCCTCCACATCTTCTCCCCGGTCCTGCAATTCCCGATTCTGCTGCATAACTTCGTCCAATCTTTTCTCATATACTCTTTCTGTCTCCGTAGCAGCTATTTCAAGCGTATCTAATGTGCTGCGGAAATCCGCGCGGTGGCTATCAAACTCGGCTGTTAGCTGCGCAATCTTCTCGTTCTTCTCTCGTAGCTGAGCACGAATCGAAGCACCGTCCTGTCCTTCCAATTCTGTAATACTCTGCTGGAGCTCTGCAAGCGCAGACGACTGATCCTCGAGCTGTCGATCACGGTCCTTCAGCTCTTGCTCTAGCTTCTTGACCTTTTCCTGTAGCTCATGCGCGGCTGGCCCGCCACCAAATGCAGGCGGAAACTTGCCGGATGTTGGTGTATCGTCATCCACGCTCACTCTCGACGGAGGACGATCAGACAGTCTTGACGGCGTCTTGAACGGCGTTCGCGGGAATCCGTTGGAGATACCAGCCGACAGCGGCTTCGAGACCGTCGACGACGGACTGCGCAAGGCAGGCAAGTTCAATCTGTTCGGCGGCGCGGTGCGAGGCGACTCAGGGCGCGGCAAGGATGGACGGCGCACACGCGGGCGAGAGATTGACGGCGGACCGACTGATTTGCTGAAGTTTGTCGATATCGATGGACGAGACGGGGTGGGCGGGGTGATGACGGTTCGTTTGGTGACATATTTGGAGCTGTTGATGGGCACGAAGATGCCAGCGCCAGGGACAACGGTGGTGAAATAGCTTCGGCCGTCGACATCGCCGTTGTTCTTGCCCCTGGATGCGTGCTCGGCGGCCAGCTCGATGCCGGCAAAACGTCCTGGCTTCCCATCGACTATGCCCAGAAAGCGCACCACGCCGTGCATGCCCCCGGGGACGTTTACCTGGTCGCCGACCCGGATATCGTCGGAGGGGGCCATGGTATGACGATGCTGGCCGTCTCTGTATATATTCCGATATAAGACGCAAAGGGGGGAGGCCGGGAGAGAGGGTGTGGTGTTGACCAAGACAAGACAGGGGTGAAGAAAAGATGAAAAGGAGAGCGGGGGGAGATGGCGTTTAGATTTAGCCTGCCCGAGGCCGATAATAGTATTATTGCAATTGCTTAATCAGACCGCCTTGTATAAACTTGATGTTAGTATTTCTTTTTCTGCTTTCTGATTTTTGTTTGGAGCGTGCGGTTGGCTGCGAAGCTGCTAGGCGAGCGGACTGCATATATAGTCCATCAATGCAGTGATCGATTGCGGTTCTGGCCAGCTAATACTTACATCAATTGCTGTATTGTCAATAATTTTGCTGCAGCTGCATGCGCGCCCAAAGCGATTTCTAGTTATGGATCTTAATTACAGATGCGAGGGCGCGTTGGATCTGCACAGTCGGCAGCCAGGGGCTTACTCGCCTCGTCAATCGAGATATACGCCGAGCGTTAGTTGTATACAAGAATTCATGTTTACAGATTAATATTAGAGTAATGGACGAACCATGGTCGGCTGGTGCGACGCTCTGCGAATGAGAGCGAAGAACAGTACATTAGATAAGCAACTGCTGACAGCTGTTCTCTGCGCCTCCCCCAGCACGTCGACGTTGCATCCAATCCCACACGGCATGATCATGCCGTCAATTACATATATTTATTGATCGTAACAGTTGTGTCTTTCTCCTATTCCCTAAATTACAACCACCCCCGGCCACTGCCGCTTACAGCCTCTTGACTGCTGCGACCGCCGGGATTAGCTCTGGAAGCTTCGTCTCCTGTCGCCCAGTCGACTATTTCAACAGCAACCGGTGCTGCCGCCGCACCCCGAAGGAGAAGAACAATCGACAAGATGGCGCAATATCTTTTTGACCTCCTGTACACGTTGACAGACTGCATGTGCTGCTTCCCCAGCTCTCCGCAGCTCAAGATCAACAGCCGCAGCTTCAAGCTGCTGCGCTTGCTCGGCGAGGTACAGCACCATCGTCTGTTCCTGCCATCGCATCTAACATGTTTATCTTAGGGTGGCTTTTCATACGTGTATCTCGTGCAGGACAAAAACACCTCGGAACTATTCGCGCTGAAGAAGATTCGCTGCCCGTTTGGCCAGGAATCGGTGTCGCAGGCGTTGAAGGAAGTCGAGGCGTACAGTTTATTCACGCCGAATGTCAACATCATCCGCTCCTTCGATCATTGCGTGACGACCGAGTCGGGGTCGAAGTTCCGTGGTGGTGACGATGAGGGCAGCTCGAAGACGGTTTATATTCTGTTACCGTACTACCAGCGCGGGAACCTGCAGGATGCGATCAACGCCAACCTCGTCAACCATACCAAGTTTCCGGAGAAGGAGCTGCTGTCGCTGATGCTCGGCGTCGCAAAGGCGCTCAAGGCGATGCATCAGTATAAGGTGAAGAGTGGTTCGGGGGCTACGCGTCAAGCAAAGGCGGTGCGAGGCGAAGGCGAGCAGGCTGATGAGGAGCTGTCCAGGAGGATGGGGAAGCCGAAGAGAAGGAATACACATGGGATCGATGATGATGTGGAGCAAGAGCCTTTGATGGATGACGAGGTGACTCGCAGCCAGGAGGGAGTTGGCGAGGGAGATTTCCGACCCTACGCCCACCGCGATATCAAACCAGGTAGGTCTACATTGTGTTATCTATTATCAATGGCTAATGTTTGGATATAGGCAACATCATGATTGACGATGATGGCCGCACGCCTATTCTAATGGATCTCGGATCCTTGGCCCCCAGCCCCATCGCGATCACATCGCGATCTCTTGCAATCGCCGTCCAGGATACGGCGGCGGAGCACAGCACAATGCCATACCGAGCGCCAGAACTGTTTGACGTGAAGACCGGATCGATCATCGACACAAAGGTCGATATTTGGTCCCTCGGCTGCACATTGTACGCGTGCTTGGTGGGCAAAAGTCCATTCGAGGCCCGAAGCGAGGAAACCGGAGGTAGCTTGAGCATGTGTGTTCTTGGTGGCGACTGGAGGTTCCCCGACGAAGCATCAACCACGGCGAAAGGAAAATCAAGAGTCAACACGCAAGATGGAGGCGCCTCATCTCAAAATAGCAGTGAGGGCGGGATCAGCGAGCCCATTAAGGATATCGTCAGAAAGTGTCTCCAGGTTGAGCCGGCGGACCGTCCGGAAATTGACGAGCTGATCCAGCTCATTTCAGATACCATCAAACAGCTGCCGGATGGGGCTGAATGAAAGACACGTCTTGTAAAAACAAACCATTAGCTATTGTTTCAGCCTGCTTTTGCCAGGCTTGTATGGTGTGATATTCGTTTGGTGTTGGCGTTTCATTAGGCAATAATCTGCATATACACCTTTGTCGCCCTTAAATATTTGAGAACGAAGTCTTAACCCTTCTTTTCTATGCAAAGTAAAACATTTAATTGTTTCTTTCATTCTCTGTTTCAAGCCCCGCGTGGTCGAAAGACATTGATCCTACACTATGCGGGCTACCGTCATCCGGCCGGAGATTAATGATTGATAAGAATAAATATTCCCGCAAAAAAGGGTCCTCAGTCTTTACTCCGCCCCAACATTCGCCCTTGACCTACTCATGAGCCCTTTGCAGCCCCTCGCGTGCACTAAGGAAGCTCATCCCCCCGCCGTTTTTCAATCCGTGTGATTCTGTCGGTAATAGTGTACAGATGCTTCCTTCGGTGGCGGTTCCATCTAACCCACTGCAACCGCGCCTCCCTCACGAATACCGATCGATCCCCTTCCTGATATGCGCATTTGATGAAACCGGATACGCATGATACAATCCCACATCCCCGCGAGACATAGCGTGACTTGTTAGTTGAACAGGAGGAGGAGGATGAGAATGACCCTTGCTGTGCGCTCCCTGGCGGTCTTGCACGTTTCCTCCGCGCGCTCAGCAGCAGCCAATTGCACCAGGCTACTACATGGACAGAAACGATCCTTCCATGCGACCACTGCCCGTTCACACATATCCTATCTTGTCGCGGGATCGTGCTCCGCAAAGGGCAGCCGGTTCAACGCCGACAAGCACACGTACGTCTTCAACCCCGCAAGCCAAGATGCGATTGGCGTGGTGTTAGACGACACGCACCTAAGCCCGGTGAACCGGCGATACGGCAGGCCTGGGAGTGGTGAAGACGCTTTTTTTGCGAGTCGAGTTGGTGGTAATTCTGGAGCGATCGCGTTTGCGATTGCCGATGGAGTGGGCGGGTGGGCCGAGCATAAGGTTGATCCGGCTGATGTCTCGCATGGCTTGTGCACGTATATGGCGCAGCATGCTTTGAGTGTGGACATGGCTGCGCAAGATGTGCTGCTGCGGCCGAAGGAGTTGCTTCAGAAGGGGTATGACGCCGTGCTGGCGGACGAGGTGATCAAGGCTGGAGGGACGACAGCGTCGGTTGGGATTGCGCAGGCAAATGGGAACGTTGAATTAGCCAAGTATGACCCTGACCCCTGTCCCTTTCTCGAAGGTATATAAAATAGAAACGGTTGGCTAATCAGTGACAGCCTTGGAGACTCCGGCTCAGCGCTCTTCAGGCTTGGAGCAGTGCATCAGTACTCAACACCGCAAACTCATGCGTTCAACACCCCCTTCCAACTCAATGTCATCCCACCACAGATGCGCCAGCAGGCGCACATGTTCGGCGGAATGTATTTCGAAGACCAGCCGCGAGACGCGGCCGTCTCCACGGCTTGTATGCAGGACGGCGACGTGCTGGTGCTAGCCACCGACGGGGTCTTTGATAACCTAAACAACCAAGAGATTTTGAAAATCGTGACAGGCCGTATGGTACACGGCGGGGCATGGAAGGAGACGCCAGAAGGGGGGATCAGCGTGACTGGTAAACTGCAAGCGATGGCAGATGTTTCATCTCTTCCAACCCCCCCTGCTTCACCAGCGCCGTCTTCATCGTCATCGAGCTCGGCGATGTCGAAAACAGGCAGCCACCATACACTCCCCGGACTCGTTGCGTCGTCGATAGTCCACGAGGCGAAACGCGCGAGTCATGATATCCGTCGCGACGGACCGTTTGCCAGAGAGGCACAGCGGTATTTCCCCGGTCATTGGTATCGGGGTGGCAAGGTGGATGATATCTGCGTGCTTGTCATTGTGGCAGTTGGCGAGCATGTATAACCATACTCTAATCTGCAGGGCGGAGAGGGTATGATATCGACTACATATATACGTATACGCGCACGCGCACGCACACGCACACGCACACGCACACGCACACGCATTCGACGGCGTCACTAGATGGTTCTTTTTTATTACGTTTATGTTTATTCTTCAAATGTTGTTTAGATGGGAGGTTGGTTAGAATAAAGCTGTGCCATGTGTTACCTCGCGGTACGCAGCGTGGCATTTTAATTTCATTTAGTACAGTCATTTATACAAGAAGTCAGACAGCACTTGGTATCATTATTGAACAGTTTGGTCGTGTCAGGGAGCCACCATAATGAAAAAAATCAAATTAATCCATATCTATTCAGAATATAGTAATATAAAACATAGTTATATAGATCTGCGACTGCTTGGCGGTCTAGCTCCGCCCCGCCGTGCTCGCTGGTTGGCCGGAGCTTAACCTGTGGAAGCTTTCAAATGTTCGACGGACGACCGAAAAAAGAACGTCCTTCTTCCAGCAAACGACACATTTAATGTTATTGCGCCTCGCCGTCCACCTCTCTCATATTTAGTCTGGGACCGTCTCTCCATCTACTATCTACTACCTCTGATTAGCCTCTACCATACACAGCCAAGATGATGCACCCGGCGCGGCAAGCCTATGTCGAGGAAGCCGCCGACGATGACGCGGGCATCGATCTGGCAGACCTCCGTAAGCCCTCTAACACCTCTCTGCCATACTTACCACATACTAACTTTCTCAGCCATCGACCGCGACTATGACCTGCCCGCCGCAGCCGCCGGCATCGCCCCCGAGCGCGCCTCAGCGCTCCTCTCACAATTCGCACGCAAACGCCGCGCCGCCGCCATTGTCGTGCCCACAGACGACAACCGCGTGCGTCTTCGTCTACGCGAACTCGACGAGCCCATCACCCTCTTCGGCGAAGGACCCGCGGATCGCCGAGACCGATTGCGCGAGCTCCTCACCACCCTAGAGGAGCAGCGCAATGGCGAGGATGTAGAGATGCTAGACGAAGCCGCCGAGACAGAAGCCGCCGACGACGAGGAGGAAGCAGAGGTGCAGGAAGAGTTTTACACTGAGGGATCTCCCGAGTTACTGGATGCGCGGAGGAACATCGCTTTATATTCCCTGCCCAGAGCAAAAGCGCGGGTAGCTGAGCAGATGGAGCAGTCGAAGATACAGTTACGAACGCATATCAAGCATCGAAAAGCGGTGAAGGAGAAAATCCAGGGCTTTGAGCTTTTTGGCTCGCAGAACGTGTCGGCTAAGAAAGAGGAGAATAGGCCCATTGGTATCACCCGGTTTGCGCCGGATGGACAGACGCTTGCGACGGGAGATTGGGCGGGGAAAGTGAAATTGTGGTCGGTGCCGAATCTCGATGAGAAGATGTGTTATCAGGGCCATGCTGGTCTAGTTAGTGGGTTGTCGTGGTTTCCTGGCGCGACGTTGCCCGGTTCGAATGTGTCGGAGTCCGCGGTGAATTTGGCGTCGGGGGAGGAAATGGAGGGGAAGGGAGTATTAACCTTTGGTCATTGGATAAGAAAGAGCCGTTATCGACGCTGTCTGGCCATACAGGCCGGGTTTGTCGAGTCGAGTTTCACCCCTCAGGGCGGTATTTGGCATCGGCTTCGTATGATACGACGTGGCGGTTATGGGATGTTGAGACGACGACGGAGTTGCTTCTACAAGAAGGCCATTCGAGCGAGGTCTATGCTGTGTCCTTTAATTCAGATGGGTCTCTTTTGGCGAGTGGTGGTCTAGACAGCTACGGGCGGATCTGGGACTTGCGCACAGGCCGGACGGTCATGGTTCTCCAGGGCCATATCCGCGAGATCTACGGCGTGGACTGGGGGGTTGATGGCTACCGAGTCCTAACGGGCTCTGGCGACGGCTGGGTGAAATGCTGGGATCTGCGTAAAGTGGATTGCAGCGGCAGCATAGGCGCGCACAAGAGCGTCGTCTCGGACGTGCGATGGTACAAAGGCGGCGACGCATCATATCTCCCATCAACATCGGCAGAAAATGGCGACGAGATGGTCACAGACGAGTCTAATACACCGCCACAACCTCGAAAGGCGGGCACGTTCTTTGTCAGCTCCGGCTTTGATAAAAACGTGAATATATTTAGTGCCGATGACTGGTCCATGATAAAATCGTTGACGGGCCATTCGGGCAATGTGCTCAGTGTGGACGTTAGTAATGACGCTAGATGGATTGCTAGTGCAAGTCATGACCGAACTATCAAACTTTGGGGTATTGAATAGATTCATATCAGCATGGATTTTACGCTTTACGCCTTCTTTTCAATCACCCCATAGTGGTACTAGATATACTACATGGTACTAGCAAAATGCTACACCAAATCATCGCTTCGAACAGCCACCAACGGCGTTTTCCCAAAGGACACCGGCCGGGTGCAGGTCAGTCGACTGATGACTATATCAGGACTATATCGCCGTTGAGCCCAGCTTCGTTTTACACGACTATAGCGTTAGATAGCACAATATAGCTAGGGACAGAACTACTAATGATGTAAAGATCTTTTTTTTTTGCAAAAAACTTACTAAAACCTACGGTCTATCCTTATTCTAGAGGGTATCTCTTAAAAATCGCCACTGTGATGACGGAAGTCCATGGAACCGTTCGTCGACGTCTAGGGCGAACCATTCGTTACCGCGTACATCAATTTGATTTATTTCAACCTCGTTCAAATTTTCGGGTCCTTTCCGCTCGACTACGACAGTATCCTATACACGTTAGCTGGACAGAAGGCACTATGAGGGTATCGAGAAGGGGGAACCAGTCAATAATAATGGCGAAAAGAGAACGGTGGAAGAGGAGGGCTCACATGACCGCCGATTACAATAAGACGCTCAAGTCGAAATCCGCTCTTGTCATTATTTATGACGTCCCAAATCTTTGGAGCCATCTTATGTAAACTCGTTATATCTGACGGTACCGAGAAGATACCCGTAAAGGATAATGAAAGCACTTGGAGATAATGATTCTGGGGAAATTCCGGCAAAAAGCCAGAGAGGGAGAAGTCAGAGAGGGAGTTGTCATTCAGACTTGCTATTACCCAATTTGGAATACCCATATGTAAGTATTCCAGAAATGGGCAGTAACACATGACTTTCTTGAGCTGTTTTAGGGACATCCTGTGATGGATGGTCATTCTGCGCAGTGTCGGGCCATGTCTCTGGAGAACCTTCTCCATTGAAGAAAAAGGTATATTGCATACCAAACGAAGGTCTTTTAGAGGTGGTAGGCAATCCATCATATGTTCTATCTCAGATGCTGTTGCGTCGGTGGGTAATACGTCAAGCATCTCGAGGGATGTAAATTTAGTACGTGCCACGGAATTGATTACCTGCCGATCTGATACCTGTCCCAGAATCAAGTAACGGATCTTAGACAAGTCAATGCAGTGTGACCATTCTAATAGTTCTCCTAATTCTACTCCTGGATCCCCAGAGTAAGTGAGAGAAATGAGTTCGCCCTTCTTGGAGAATTCTAATGGTGGGACGAATCCTTTCCAGGGTTGCGGCGATCCGCTACCCCCCTGCATATAATATCTCATTACTTCAGGAGATGACGCTGGTCGAGTTTTGACGATGTTGACATGCTTGAGATTCGCAGCTACAGCAGCAACCTGAAATATTGCATCTTTATTATAGTCCGGTTTACCGTCTATACCACTCGTCGTGACTCTCACGCTGATACTGTGTAGATTAGGCGACTGGATCAGGTCTAGCTCATGAGGGTCAGTGATTCCATGGTCTTCATCACTGCAAAGACTGCGAAGGCGAAAAGACCGCATGTGTAGTCGACTGGTTGGATGGCTCTGTTCAACGGCCTTGAGCAAACACGGCGGTAGCTGGTTCAGACAAATCCATATAAAATCAGAGATGTGGTGGGACTTCTGGATGATCGTAACGAGAGGCTTCCAAGCTTCCTGAACTTCTTCTGCTGATCCATCAGGCCGATCCCCATAAAACACATGGCCGTGCTCTGGGTCCCATTCCTCGGGATAATCAGGGAACTCCTCAAATTCGGGGGAGTCTTCTTCGGTTAGTAAGGGCAGATAACCCCAGACTTTAAGACAGCGAACATGAACCAGGAATTGGCTGCCAAGCCGATTTTCTTGGAGTTCAGCACAATCTTCGTGCAGTCCTTTGTGTGAGGAGACCATTAGCGAGAGGTTTCGATAAACATAGGGAACTGCGGCATGATAGCAGCCCCTGCTCACTAGCAACAAACATCGCAGAGTGTTGGGTGATGAGAGGTAGATCTATAGTCTTATTAGTAAATGTGATACTAAATATAGAGATAGAAGACGTACTTGATCGTAAATCAAAGATAGGACGAGCGACGGCAGGCAGTCAAGATTGAGACTCATTCTTGTGTTGCGCGGGGCTTTAGACAAGTGAGAGTGAATCAAATCGAAATCGGGGACAAGACCTTATCATAGTTAACTGGTGTTATTATTATATAATCTAATTAAATATGTATTTATATATAGCAATGAAAGTAGATATATATGGGAATAAGGGTGGTGTTGTTGTTGTACAAGGTTGTGACGTAGCAAGCCCGACCGTTTTGCGGGAAAATTAATCCTTCGCCTGTCACCTCCATCTCCATCCCAGACTGTTCCTCCACAACAGCACATATACAACAATCGCTACGCCATTCTACTAGACTTAAGATGCGAGGAACTATCGCACTACGATCGCAGCGACTAGTGCTGGCTGCACCTCGCGCTAGAGGATTTCCAAGACCTGTGCTACGAATAACACCCAGCAGAATAAGCAGCAGCAACAGCAGTGTCTGTCTGCTATGTCGATACAACCATACGTCTACAACCCCTTCCATCCTACGACAACTCCCGCTCCAGCAACGACGCACAGCATCCGGCGCAAGCCGAGATGATAGCACCCCAATCACTCCAGACGTCACGAACCACTACACAATCTTCCCCTCCACACTCCCCAAGGGCCCTCCTCCGCAATCACCCTTCGAAATCGACACCTCCTCTCTCCGCCGCGAATTCCTCAGACTCCAAAACGGCGTCCACCCCGACAAAGTCCCACAGGGCCCCGAGAAACAGCGCGCCGAAGCGCTATCGTCGCGCATAAACGACGCTTACCGGACCCTCGTCGACCCGCTCAGTCGCGCGCAATACCTGCTGGCGGAGTTCCACGGCATTGACGTTCTGGCAGAGGACGGCGGGAACTCAAAGGCCGCGATGGATTCGGAGACGCTCATGGAGATTATGGATGTGCAGGAGGCCGTTGAAGAGCTCACGAACGCGCCCACGGCAGAAGCCGAGAGCGAGATTGCGCGCTTGCGGAAGGAGAATGCGGAGAGGATTGAAGACTCTGTGCGGAAGCTGGGAGAGGCGTTTGATAACGCCGATATGGAGACCGCGCAGATGGAGACGGTGCGCTTGAGGTTTTGGTATAGTTTGAGAGATGGGTTGAGGGAGTGGGAGCCGGGCCATGCGGAGATTCGCATTATTCATTGAATTTACCACCCACTTCTCTGCTGAATGCTGCTACCACTCATTGTGGGATGTTGGGTGAAGCTAGATGTGGTACCTGTAACATATTCGTGTATTATCTCCACTGCTACTGATTTGACTCGACATCGCGTCACTGGGTTGTGTTCACATTGATCTCGAGTGATTGCTGCCGCTAGACAGGGCTTGTGGATTTGTCCACCGTCACCTTACATATCGTTCTACACGCATTTAAATAGACACATTTAAATAGACGAATTACGTTCCTCGCTAGCGTCCCTGTACAAAATGGGTTTAGAAAAAGACCAATGCGAATTAGCGGTGTGAATCTGCGCAAACTATGCTAGTCTGCCGATGGGCATCATCATACAAACATTGGGCATACATGTTACAATTCCACAACAGCCACGACGAGAAGAGCAGGTAAAAATTTTCGGTCTTCCTGCAGCCAAGCCACATGAAAAACGGGTTAGACGGTAGACTAACGCTGCTTGGGCAGGGATTATTATTGGGCATTTGTATTGTTCAGTGGTCTTTGCTGGGTTTTTTTCGAGGATGCATGATCCGCCATACCAGCCCCCTCGAGTTTATCGCACAGGCCATGCTGCACGGAGTTACAGTAAAATTCTGCAATCCCAGAGTAAGAGATCAAAAGCCGTAGAGAATAATTGCTCAATGAAATAGACCAGAGAAAAGGGTACCATTGTTTGTCAACATAGATATCAAAATGAAAGTCGGCGTAGGGAAGCTCCATACTGGTGGACAACTCTTATCTCGTTCTAGCGCGCATTGTGGCATTTAGAGTCATAGAACTAGTGTCTGATAATAACGTCTTTGGTAAAGCGCACCGCACTGGGCAAGCAAGCGCACACCCATGTTGGCAGTGGTCGCGCGCCCATCATGTCTGCCCACGTAGTCATTCTCCATCATGGACGAACCGTGAGTCGGTCTTCTTATAGCTGTTCTTCGCTGTTTCCCCTCCCAGCCACTTGATTTCCGTGGTAGGGGAGTTTGGTGAGAGTAGCAGAGGAAGTAGGTGCCTCGGTTTTTTCGGTGTCTCACGGAAGAAGTGATTTTCTTCTTTTGACCTTTCGCCAATAGTTAGTTCTCGTCCGTGGTAGCCAAAAACCGACGCGACGCCATGGAGACGTTACCAGATTTTAGCAGGTGCGTCTTCAACTTTCAAACGTTCAGAAATAGCCTGGATATCAATTAATCGCGTCGCTAGGATAATCTCCTCGCCTCCATTCACGTTTCTAGTTGGCAAGGATCATGCCAAATTGACCATTCAATCCGGCCTGGCAAGACATGTCTCCAGGCCTCTGGATCATCTTATGAACAATGGTCAAACCCGCGAGTCAAAGCATCGCATCACCGTACTGGAAGATGAAGAGGTCGAGGTCTTTTCAGCTTTCACCGAGTATGCATACACAGGCGACTACACTGTGCCGGTGGAGAAGAAAGAACAGCCTGAACAGCCTGCACAGCCTCCAACTCCCTCACCACCACAGTTACAGCCACGACCACAAACAGAGGCTGTGAGTGTGAGCCCATTGAAGCATCGTGCACTGCGCGCCCTGTCTACTGCTTCTTTTTTGCCCCCGCCTGCCCCGACTCCTCCCCCTGTAGACCGACCAGAGTCGAAAATGCTGCCGCAGCAAGAAGAGCCGTTGATGATCGAGTGGGAGAACCCATTTGAAGGATCGATTGCCCAGCAACAGAATAGTCCGGCTGGGCCTGCGAGCAACACGCCAGCAGATGAAACTGTCGAGGACAGCCTGCTTGACTCAAAGGACGAACCTTTGCTCTTCCCGCCCAGAAAGTTAAGCAAGAAAGACAGAAAGAAGACAAAGAAAGCCAGCGCAACACTATTTGAGGAAACCGCAGCCCCCGTCAGCCTAACTCCGCCTTCCACGCCGCCTTTCCAACACAAGGACGTCAAACCAGAGATCGACACAGACAATAACGACGCAGATCGTGATTGTGCCATTGAGACCGACCCTGGAGACGATATCCCGCCTAACGCCAGTGACTGGTGGGATCGACCCTTGTCACCTGGAGCTGAGCATCCCAGACATGGCTATCCACGCAGACCACTGCATTCTGCATCGATGATCGATACTTCCTTCGCAACCCAGGGAATTTCAGCTCCTCGAAAGAAAGGTGTTAGTAGTTGGGACGAGTTTGCAGATCTTGAATACTTCCACCAGCCCTCGAAACCACCAGTCACCTCACAACCCGATGTCCCTTATATCTTGTTCCACGCCAAGCTCTACGTCTTCGCAACAAAATACCTGATCTCCGGCCTCGCCCAGCTCTGCCTCAAGAAACTGCATCGCGAACTGCTAGACTATTCTCTAATCCCCCCCTCTGAGAACGAGGAAGGAGACCTGGACGAAACCGAAGCAAACCGCTTCGATGCTCATGCAAGGATGTTCCTAGACGTCCTTCGCTACACATACCACAAAACCAACAGGTTCGAGCCCGAGTGCCAGACCTCTGCTACCTTGCTTCGAGAAAGTGAACTACGCAAATTAGTCGCTCAATACGCCGCCTGTAAGATGCGTGAGCTCGCTCTTTACTCCCCTGCGGCCATCCCAGTGCCGTCTTCGCCAAGTCATGGTCCGGGGTCGGGGGTTAGTGTTATTGCGGCTCCTGGTGGAGGGCTAAGGGAACTTTTGGATGGGATTCCTGAGCTCGCCTCTGATTTGGTGTTCCGCATGATGTAACATTTTTTTTTAGCTTTTTTCTGTGGTTGATGTGTTGATGTGTTGATGTGTCTAGAGATGAGGGATAAGGAGTCTTGGGGTGTTCTTTGATCTGTTACGTCTTTATGCGTGTGAGCATTTACTATTGTTTTATTGATATGCGTTTTGACGACCTCCCATTGTATTCATGATGACTAATGTATGTAACAAATTATGTTAGTTCACGACGAGACGGATAGATCAAGTTATCATTAATTCAGAACTTTTTTCATACGAGACAAAGTGCTTATTAAGTCAATTCTCAATTGATGTACGACTAACATGTAACTTATGCCTGCATACGTTAGATGGGATCTCGCCTTCGCGGCTTATAATTACCAGTATCAATAGATCAACTTGAATACTATATCAGCTTTGATTGACCATATCGCTTCAGGGATTTCACTTGGGGAATTACCTCATTGAGCCTCTGCTGCTGCTGCAAATTTTGAGACAGAGCAATAGCAGATAGCTGTACGCATTGTCATGTACCGCAGCAGGCCATTAAAACCGTAAGATCAGTAACCGGATATTAAGGAAAGTATCTTCCTACCGCATTGTACCGATATCAGTTGACCTATGGCCCATGCAGTCTAGGCGGATGCTGATGGAAACATTTCACGAATTGGGCGATTCTGCCAGCATCGTCTTTTTCAAATCCTACCACACCTCATCCATACCCGCCTGCGCCCTCCACTGATGAAATGGCACAACCATCCAGAGCAACGAGCCAAACGAGTCCACTCCTTCACACCAACTGAGAATATCCGGAAGAATATCACTTCTCGGATCATCCGGCTGTAGCTGTCTGAGCGTCCCGGAGTCATCCAGTGCCAGCAAGTCCCCTATCGTTAAAGCCTTTTTCGTTTTCCGCTTCGATAGGTACCGCTCAAACTCAGTCCGCCAGATGAAGTTTGAATGTGCCTCCCATAGATCCCGTGTTGCTGGAAGGGGGATTAAATGTAAATGAAATGCGCATAGAGAAATGGCTACGCTTCGTAGAGGCTCCCTGAGACCGTCGAGCATAAGATCTATGACTATGATTAATACTATTGTCCTGTGGAATACAAAATGGACGTTAGATTGCGTTAAAATTATACCGGGATGGTAGGGTCGTACCTCCGGATACTCTCTTCGTGAATCCACTGCTGCCGGTCTGGTACGCCGTCTAAGATATTCGTTTCTAGTCTGCTAGTTTTTGAGAGCGCCATGGCGATTTCCTAGAAAACGGTCGGTCAAAAACTTCAAAATTTTCTATCATTATCGATTGATGCCCAACTTACCAGCACGCTACGCATGAGCGAGTAGCCTCCATTGGCATCACTAGATTCTACATCGTGAGCTTGGAGCAATGCATAAATAATTGTCGCCTGCAGAGCGGCTAGCTGATGATGTGGATCCAAATCCTCAATCTGTTCGGAAAAATATAAATCAGTTTCGAATGCTTTTTTTTGGCAACTCGACTCCATATTTCCGCATGGGAGAAACTGACCTCTCTGTGTAGCCTGTCTTTCTCAGCATATATTGTTTTCCACACGAAATCTGCGTTCTGTGGGGTCCGGGAGTAGAACATATCTACTAAACCAGCACATATGGCTAGTTCCTTGGGGAGACATTTATGTCTCCTGTTCTTCGCACAGTCAAAAGCTAATTCTTCATGAAGGTAACAAGGTGGGGAAATGAATGGCGGTAGACGGTCGCCATGGGTCATCATTTTCGGAAAACTAGTCAGTTGTCCAATAACCACTCTCGTAAGAGCGCAACTTTTGAGTACATGTCGCAGCTGAAAGGTCCGGAGAGGCGGGCGTAACAGAACTGATTCAGGTGAAATGGTACAGGATGAATTGTCTGGCCTTGATGACACTCCAATTCTCCCCATGAACCAAGCACTGACGTTATTTTGAGGTGCTCCCATACTGTTCATGGTATCGATGCCTGGTGTTTCTACGCCGATATCTGCTAATCCTTGAGTTCCGGCCCAGATCGGATATGGAGCGGGCATAGTAGGTAAGCCCAATGATGGGCTTAATTTTAATACATCGAAGGATTGGTCGTCAGCAGTATTGATAGCATTCCAATCTACTTCAATATCACCCGGCTCAAGTCCCGCAACCTGATGTGGGGGGTTCATGAACACGGACGCCGGTAGATCGGGAATGTCACTGGAATCTTGCGACTGCAGTGCGTTGTCTGATAGCTCCTCGAAAATTCTTGGCGATGTCGTAGAGGTTCGAGATGCTCTAGACACTGAAGATGATGACCCATAGCCAACCTTCCAATCATAAATGCAGCTCACACCTCGCTCCGAGCAGCGAGAGCAGGTTGGCGTCGCTTGATTGCATCGTAGCTTGGATTGCCTGCATCGCATACAGGACTTTTTCCTTGAGAGCGGCATTATCGGAGGAAGATAGGCCGCCGATATCTTTTTGTTTGGCTTTTCACCAGATGATCTTTCGAATCTCCTTGAATTGATACAGGGCTCAAACGAAGTCCGCGGAGTTCAGGTGGGGCCTGGGGAAACGGGGCGCATCTAGACAGGCTTTTGCATATGAGTCTCGTTTGCCTTTGAGATTCGCTTGGTTTGTTTCCCAACCTAGAATTCTATATCCAAACCGCGTAGATATCCAAAGGTGAAAGCCCTCCCGAGTCGGCAGTTGGAGAGAAGTTTCCAGCTCTGCGGACGAATACTTCCCGTAGTAATCCAACGCTTCGAATCTTCGGCTCGGAGTTCGGGTGGGTCCAGCCAGACTTTACAGAAGCCCAAAATCGGAATTCCATGTTGTTGGTTCATCAATCAAGAATTAGTAATGCACTAACTATAATGTGATCTATAATCAGTCAGCCACACTATTCTAAGTCTATTATTGGTGGGGCTACTATTAAATGTATATGGCTCAGTGTAGGATCGCTTCAAGATGACACAAGCTGATGTTAATGATATTGGATGCTTTTTTCTGACGTTCTGAGTTTGGTTTCATAATTCGGAGTTCCGCGGTACGAAAGTACTCAATTTCTAATCAAGAACAGCCGTCTATAGTGATTATTAACAACAACACTTGTAACTATATAACCACAAGTTTGCAGCAGGATATGGCTTCTAAAACAAATCATCCAAAAGAAAATTATTAGCCTCGTTTAATACCGTCAAAAGCCTACTTTGAAAATGGCGCCTATTCGTGTTGGTATCATCGGTCTGAGCATCGTCACCCCCACCGGTCAGGGTTACACGTCTGGTACCTGGGGTCTCATGCATCTCGAGTCTCTCATCAAATCTCCACACTACAAGATTGTTGCTCTCTGCAACTCCACTGCCGAAAAGGCTCGCAAGTCGATCGAGCACCATAAACTTGAACCCACAACAAAGGCTTATGGCTCCCCTGAGGATTTAGCCCAGGACCCGGACGTCGACCTCGTTGTCGTGTCTGTTCACGTCGGCAAGCATTATTCTCTGGTGAAGCCTGCACTTCAAAATAAAAAGAGCGTCTTTGTTGAGTTCCCTCTCTCGGGTTCCTACCCCGAAGTCGAGGAGCTCACAAAGCTTGCCAAAGAAGGTGGCATAAAGACTATCGTCGGTGCTCAGGCTCGTGGCAGCCCCGCGTTTGCCAAGGTAAAAGAGTTGCTCGAATCTAAAGCAATCGGTGATGTTATTAGCTCCAGCTGGACTGGTCATCTACCTCTCTCAACCTGGTATGGATTACCGCAGAACTTGAAGGATTTTCTGGATCTGAATGGTGGACCAGGCCGCATCAACATTGGTCTTGGACATGGTATGTTTCTTTCAAATCAATGCTGATTTTCAGTTTCTTTTCGATGGATATTTAATGAATAACCTGAATATAGGTCTGGAGCCATTCATCAATACACTGGGGGAATTCAAAGATCTCCAGGCTGTCCTAAAGATCCATGGCAAGACAGCACCCTTGTTTGACGACACTGGCAAGGTCGTCGATCCGGCATACAAAGTAACAGCTCCGGAGTACATTTTGGTACAAGGCGTTCTCGAAAGCGGTGCCGTCGCCTCGATCAATCTGCGCTGCACTCCAGCCTCTGTTGACGAGGAGGGGTTCCGATGGATCATCAGCGGTTCCGAGGGCGAAATCGAGTTTACTGGTCCTGCTGGTAGCTACATTCAAGCCAATTTCAAGGCGAAGGTGTTTCTCAGAAAGTGGAAGGGTGAAACCGAGGCGATTGACCTGAGTCGTAATGAACAAGAGCATGTCACCAGTATTGGTGATTTGGGCATCAACACGGCTCGTTTGTATGAGGCTTTCGCAACAGGGAATGAGGATGGATATCCATCTTTTGAGTCGACGAGAAAGGTACATCATCTGATTGAGAGGATCAAGAGCGTGGCTGTGTGGGCCCCTTAGCCATGTGCGCCTTGCACGGCTGTCGTTGAATTGAACCGATGTCAATAATGCTCAATATCAATTGCTTGTATTATTGAAAACCAAAGGGAGGGATTCACCTTTAATTCTAAGTTGTTGGTAGATATTTATGAATGTCGTAGTGATATTAAAGAGATGACTTGTGTCGCAGCCGGTGGAGGGGCTCCTTCCCTCGAACCTCACCCTCCTTCCGCCTCGTTTTCTTCCATACATGTATTTGATCTATTCGTCCGCCTTGTCTAATTTAAGGCATTACGTTGATCTACCTTCAGAGAGATTATATAAATCACAAATTCATTGAGAGACGAATGCAACAGTGAGGCGCTTCGGGCTGGCGGGGCGAAACACCACCTCATGTCGTGAACTAATCTGGTTACACTATAGAATCTCACACCACAACGCCGAGTCCCGCTTTTCTCCATGCACAACAGCTATACAATCTGACTGGGGTCACTGTTCTATCTGACTATCTAGCTATAGTATTCCTCCAGCCATTTCCGCAAATCACCAATCGTCGGGTAGTCCAGGAAGAGACTGCCACCGACCTTAACATCCAATTCCGTCCTGAACTTTTCAGCTATGACAAGTGACATCAAACTGTCAATACCAAGATTTGAAAAACCGGCATCATCCTCCAAGTCCGAGATATCTAACGCCGCTTCTTTAGCAATAAGCATGAGTGCTTTGGCAGTGACGCTACCCGAAGCGGCTGCAGCCTCGATTGACGGTGCATCGGTGTCAGTAGTAGCAGTGGCAGGAGCTTCCTGAGGTGGAGGAGAGGGTTGGCTCTGCACGACCTTTTTGCTAGCTTCGGAATCAGGAATAGATGCTTCTAGCTTTGACTCTGTCGCGGGGGCTTTGGGTGCTGGTGCTGGTGCCGTGGCCTTAGGGGCAGCTGCTTTTGGTTTACCCTCCATGGCTGCCATTTTGTCTGGAGGTGAGAAGAATCTACTGAGTAGGAGACGTGGATAACGACGGAACTGGATACCACCAACCATCCCAATGATGACATCGTCTTGCATGATATAAACATCCCCCAGGAAGACAGTTGGGTCCTCGATTGTCGGAATCATCTTGACATAGGAACGATATTTAGCACCGGGGAGCAATGGCTTCGCAAGTCGCATTGACTTCCAACCTGGAGTAACGCAATAATTGTTCTTTGTATCCATAGCGTCAGAGCAGTTCATGACAAAGCCTGCCAAATGTGCCACGCTGTCAATAAAATATGGAGGGACCGTCCAGACCCCGCTTTCCTTCGTGGTAAGTTGCACATCAGCGAAAGCCTCCAACTCATGCATCACAACCGATTGCATGCCGCGGTATTTTTCAGCATAGTCAACTAAGTTGCTGGCGAACAAAGTGTAGGCCATATTGCGCGAGAAGCGGTTGGCTTTACCTTCGACGGCCAAGCGCTCGAGGGTTTCGATTCGGCCTTGAACAAGATGAGTGACGGGGCCCCAAGAAGATATCCATTCGGATGCATCTCCATAATAAAGTTTTGCGGTAGCAAACGGCTCATGAACATTATCGTCATTGTCGACATTTTGCCATGTCAAATCTACTGCGCCAGAGTGGACATCAGAAGTAGCAGCAGTCACTCGGATCAACTGAGGCACTTTGGTATTACTTTGAGCTACAAGTCCCTTTGTCACAACTAGATCGACAATATTCATGTTGACTCCCTTGGCCTTGGGAACTAGCTTGCGGTATAGGTAGTCACCGAGAGTGTAGGCGATGTCGGCGTGGATAGACTGGAATAATAGTAAGTAAAGTTACCGCCAACCAATTGAAATCAAACAGCTAACTTACAGATGTAACAACGCCGCAGTTATTCATCTTGTGTCCATGGGCAGCAGCGAGGAAATCAGCTTGCATAAGATCCGACTGCATTGTCACCGTACCCGCAGACCCTTTGAAATCCTGCTCAATGATCTGCTGCACTGTTGATGTCTGGATTTCACTTGGCGGAAGTGACTTAGGTGTTGAATTGGCTTTACCAGCAATTTCTTTAGTATAAAAAGTATTGCCTTTTGTCAAGCACCAGTCACCCTTGTACTGCAACCAGTAGTTCTTCTCATTCCAGGCATACGTCGGCAAATCAAGAAGTCTGACTCTGCTCTCGAAGGGACGATGGAATTCATTCCAACCAACTTCAACGCCGGCAAGATGCAATGCAGCCATGCTCTCGGCCAAAGTTTTCCAACTGTCCTCGCCACGGCGCAATGATGGAATTGTGAGCCGAGTAGATGGGATTGTGGACTTGACAAACCCGGTACAGACTGGGTGAGGTCCAATTTCGACCCATACAGTTTCATCACTAATCGTGGATATCGCTTGAGCATTCTCTAATGCGGATAGAAAGTCAACCGTCTCTCTGGTTGCTCGTCGGACGTAATTTGCGTTGAAAGTTTTACCGTCGAAGACGACCTTACCAAGTAATGGCGAGATTACTGGTAACTTTGGCTCCTGGAAAACGACACCCGTCTTTGAAATGGTCTCGAAATCGTCCAAAATAGGATCAGTCTGTTCGGAGTGGAATGCAAAAGCAACATCCAGCTTAATGCAGCGGTAACCGGCAGCCCCCAGTACGGAAGCGAGGTCATCCATTTGGTCCTTGGTACCGCTAAGGACTGTATCCGAAGGACCGTTGACACAAGCAATCGTATGTGGCTTGCCAGCAGAGCTTTCAACTATTTGGGCCAGAGAAGCTCGTACAGCCATCATGGTATGACTGCCGACCTTGCACCTTTCCTCAAGCATTTGAGCCCTGCATCCCACCATAAAGATAGTATCGTTTGCAGTGACTACACCAGCCACGTGCATCGCAGCATATTCACCGAGGCTGTGGCCCATAACAACATCTGGCTTGACTCCTAGAGAAGTCCAGTATTTGGCCAAAGCAATCTCGGTGCAGACCAATGCCAGCTGAGTAATGACTGGGGAATGCGCATGGTCTTTAGGATGCGATCCATCAAGTGCGGGAATAAAAGATGGAAAACCTTGTCCACGAGCGAGTGAGTCAAGATGTTCGATATGTTCTCGGAATGTCGGTACATCGCGATACAATTCCAAGCTCATCGATTTATAAGAAGCGCCCTGGCCAGTGAATGTAAAAGCAACTGGTGGTGGTCCGGACTTGCCAACAGGTTTTAGCGAATCAACTTTTTCCAAGCGGGAGTTTAGCTGTTTCTTGAGATGTACCACATCAGAGGTCGCTATTGCTACACGATAACTGTGGTGGTAGCGACGCGCATTTGACGTGTATGAGAGATCGGCGATGTTTGTATCTGGATTTGCATCAAGATAAGCAATAAGGCGCTCTATATTCCCGGTCAACGATCCCTTAGTCTTTGCCGAAACTGTAATGACATGGTTTGGACGAGGGTCTTTCTCTGTAATAATGCGATCTGGACCCTCTTCTAGGACCATTGTTGTATTACCACCAGCCGCACCAAAGTTATTGACAGCTAAAAGCCGTTTCTTACCGGGAACTTTTGGCCACGGGGTTTTCTGGAAGGGGATATGCAAGTTGCGCTTGTCAAAATCTTTGGGGAACTTGGGGTTGATCTCTGTTTTGATACCAATATGGGGTGGAATGGCATTCTTTTGAAGCATGAGAAGCACCTTAATCAACGACGATGCACCTGCAACAGATTCTCCATGCCCGATATTCGCTTTAACAGATCCGATATGCAGAGGTTGATCCTTGCTGCGGCGCTTAGTCGGTGGCGCGTATACCTCCATAATTCCCTGCATTTCTTCATGATCACCAGCTTGAGTACCGGTTCCATGAAGCTCGACATATGATACATCCAAGGGATCTACACCGGCTTGTCGGAGGACCTGGCGAGACAAATAGGCTTGATGGCCTGCATGAGGGTGAGTAATGGAGACCGCTTCTGCGGAATGGTTTGTTCCTGCACCGAGAATGACGCCCAAGATGTTGTCATTGTCAGCTTCTGCATCCTCTAGTCTCTTAATCACAATCGAACCAATACCGTCGGCTCGGCAGTATCCATCAGCGGTTGCATCCCAGGTTTTGCATGCATTGTGTCCCTTGGTGAGGAAGTGACCGTTGCACAACCCAGTGAAACCGTCAGGGTTTGTTAGCACGTTAACACCACCTGTGACGGCCATATCAACAGTGCCACTCCAAAGAGCTTGGCAGGCAATCTATAGCAATCAATATACAGTTAGCACCTTACTAGTTTCAATCAAAACTTGCAGATATCATACCTCAATCGCCGCAAGCCCAGAGGAGCAAGCAGTATCAATGCTGTAGCTGGGACCCGCAAATTTAAAAAAGTAATTAATTCGACCAGGCCCAAAAGCGCGACATCCACCTGGGATATAGTAGGTGCTAACCTCCTGACCTTGGTTGACCTCGCGGTAGTCATCGGCAGCTTGGCCATAGTATGTACCAATGCGTTGCAAACGTGTGGAAGCGGTGCGATTACCAACGTAACCAGAACGCTCTAGCGCCTCATACGCAGTGACAAGAGCCAAGCGCATCTGCGGGTCCACAACCTGGGCTTCACGGGGTGACATATTGAAGAATGGGGCGTCGAACAGGCCAGGCTCGTCGATAAAGCAGCCGTATTGGGTCATGGTCTTGTTCAGGTCCTTGCCGGTAGGATCGAAGTGTGTTTCAATGTCGAACCTATCAGCTGGTATTTGCCGTGAGACATCCAGACCTTTCTCTAGGAGCTCCCAGAATTTCTCTGTGTTTGTCGCGCCTCCTGGAAGTCGACATGACATACCAATGATGGCAAGTTTGGCCTGGGCTGGGTTGCGGGGCGTAGTGTCATTAGGATTTAGTTTGAAGACCCAGGAAATCAGATTGTTACTTGAGACTTCGACATCTGGCACATCATTTTTGAACGCAGTGTTGAGGTCGTTGAGAGGTATGGAGTTGCCAAAGCTGTACAGTACTGCTTCAGGGGCAGCAGTTCCCTTAACTCGGTCCACCACACCACGAATGACATTATCCCAATAGATCGCCTTCGTCAAGAGTTCTGTCACAACACTTTCAAAAAGGTCACCGGCAGTCTTGACTGGGTATGGCAGACCAGTGCTAGTCGAGTAGACTGGGATCGTTGGTGAAAAATTTGCACTGACTGTATTTAAAAGCCTCCCATGAACAATGCTCTTAACGTCCGCCACTCCATAAATATGTGGAGCATGACACAAGCCACCATAAACAGGCAAAGCAATAAACCTGGTTTCTCGAAAGAACTCTGATTTATTGAAAATCGCCTTCAATCTTGTTGGTGGACCACTCACTGTCACCGAAGTTCGGCTTACAGCACTGATAAAAATTCTACCAGTGTCAGGAATTTCCGAACGAGAGTACATGAAGTCGAGTTCCTTCTGGGCGTCATCGGGATTGACATTATGCACCACGTATGCCCATGTATCTGGGGTCTCTGACAGATCACGAGCTTCTAGATTCTCGGATACGGCCAAGACATGAATACCCAAACGGAATGCCAGACGAACGACATCTGCGCCAGCTAGGGGAAAGTCGACAAGCGTCGAAGATAAAGAAATTGCGGTCGATGCCAGCAAGCCAATTCCGAGGCCAGCAAGACATGCGTTTGTAGTATCGCCAAATTCTTCGGGAAAGCTCTCGATATGTCTAATAATAAGTATCCGTCAATACCTTCATGTAGCGCAACATATTAGGTTAGGGGTGACAACAAAACTCACCCAATATATGCCGCTAGCTGAACAACTATGAGAAGGACGCCATCCACAGCACCACACATCGAACCTTCCCGAAGCTCATTGTCTTCTGCCCAGCTTAAAAGAGTATCAAATGGTGGTATAATTTGTTTCAATTCAGTCGGTAGGTGCCGGATCTCGTCCTTAATTGCCAATGTAGCCTCCTTTATGAATTGAGCCAGAATCGAGTGGCTCTTGTCTTTACTCTGGTTGTGTATGCGACGAAAAAGATCTTGCAGATCGTCCCTTGGAAACTCATTGCTGAAATATATGAGTTCCATTTTTGGCAACTCCCTGTCAGAACCCAAACTGGATGTTGGGGTGTAGACGGCCATCAGTTCTAAACTGTAAAACTGTAAATGGTGAAAGAACGGTGGGAGAATGTTGAACTACAATACGTAGTTAATCTTAAGCCCGCCTGTATGAAGAGGCCTGAGGACTCGAATATGTCGTCTATAAGAAAACCAGGAAAGAAAAGAAAGAAACAGCAAAGTAGTGTATAAATGGTGTCCACAGTCAACTGTTGGGCTATGGCAAAAGTGAAGCACAAAACTGCACACCTGTAAATTGATGTGCTGATAGTGCATTATTATTGTAAATTTGACACGGCTCATTTGATATAGGAATGATACTAAGCACTATCTATCATGGGTAGTTTCGGGACCAGTTTGTTGGTCGGATGATTGGATCAGCACAATATGCCATTCTCCCATTGTACCGCTCTTACCATCATACGTTGTCTTTCAGACTATGTAAAAGGTCATCTTTGTCTCAAAACGAATAAACTTTCGTATTGACTCATACATCAGAGAAGCATGACTTCAGCCCCTAAAGCAGTGGCGTCTTCCGATCCTTACGAATCGCCACCGGCTGGTCCGCCCCTAAACCTTCCGTGGCTCATCCCGATGCATGTAATCCGAAGAACGCAGCTCCGATGATCTAGAATATGTCGAGGGATTGGGATTGTTTACTTTATCGGAGAGACCAGTTACGCAGCATCGGACCCCGGGCTTGAATATACCCCCGGTATAGATTAAAATGCCGATATACAAGTGACCTCCTTTTGATCGAGATCTTGGAGAACCCTCAAATTTTAACATTACCTCACTTTCTTTTTGATTTGTGTTATGTTGGGCACTATTTAAGATCCCCTGATTATCAAGAAATTACTCTTCTTTGCATCTTTTGAGTGACAAAATGGTTCATAAAGTTACCATGGATGACAAGGGCGGGTACAGACAAATTAACAAATCACTTAATATCTGCGCATTCGACGAATACCTCAAAGGTCAAACCGCAAACCTGCCTGTTTTGGCCGATGTAGAGCAACTCACGCCTAGGGTGCTTCGAGTGTTAGGTCAAAACCCAGGAAAGGTGATTCATAATACCCATTGTGTCGTTTCAAGAGCTAAGACTTGTTATATCAGTTTACTTTTCAAGGGACCAACACATACATCATTGGCACCGGCCATGATCGAGTTATGGTCGACACAGGAGGTGGTGAGCCAGCATGGGCCGAGTTAATTGAATCTACACTCAAGTCCATGGGAATCAGACTATCACACATCCTACTGACACACTGGCATGGCGATCATACTGGTGGCGTTCCTGATCTGTTACGACTATACCCACACCTCAAGAACTCCATCTTTAAAAATGAACCTGATAAAGGCCAACAGGACATTACCGATGGACAGCTGTTCGAGGTTGAGGGCGCAAAAGTCCGGGCTTTACACGTGCCTGGACACTCCGAGGATCACATGTGTTTCATTCTCGAAGAAGAGAACGCGATGTTTACCGGCGACAATATCCTTGGTCACGGCACAAGTGCCGTAGAAGACCTTGGAATATTCATGGAGAGTCTGCAGAAGATGCTTGATCAGAATTGCGCTATTGGATATTCTGCTCACGGTGTCACCATCGAAAACCTGCCAGCCAAGATATCAGGAGAACTTGGAGCTAAATTGCGTCGTGAGAGACAAGTTCTCCAAGCCCTTGGCCGAGTTCGTAGTCGTGGTGAGAAAAGTGCCACTGTCAAGGACGTCGTCACAGAAATATACGGCGAGTCTATTGATGAAAGCACAAGGGTTCTCGCCTTGGAACCTTTTATTGACGAGGTATTGCGGAAACTAGCAGGTGATAGCAAAGTCGCTTTCGAGATGAGAGGAGGCAAGAAGAAATGGTACTCGTTGGAGGCGGTACAGCAGACTGCTACACGCAAGTTCTTAGATGTCAAAGCTCCCTCAGTTCGTTACGCTGAAGTCGGAGTAATTACGGCTTAGACTGCCGATATCCGAGCAATAAGAGAAGATGTGCCTGGGTTTTGTTGGGGGCCTTTAGCTACTTGGTTTATACGGAGAGTCACAGCGCTGGAGTTTTGTCACAGCACAGTGTCAAAGCACTTCCAATTGGTCTCATGTGAACCGGCTATGCCACAAACAGGTACCTTAGGTATTTGAGAACTTGAGGGCCACAATTTTGGCTCCTCGCGGTTGGACAAACTTAGGTACCCTTGCCCCACTGAGCATCTATTACCGAAGCAAATAGTGCGTTCATAACGAGAATGGCCGGCTATCGAAACTGTGAACGGCATATGACTATCTCGAAATAGGGAACAGACAATAGCGACAGTCTTGGGGTATGTAAATAAGATTGAGATTTTGTTATTTCCACGCGCAAAGTGAGCTTAGACTAGTTGATTTGTGATTCAGAATTCGATATTATAATCGCCAACACTTCTTAAAAAATATACAATATAGAGCCTCGGACTGATGAATGCTTCTTGGCAAATACGTAAAATTTTACATGCGGCTCTCTTCCTGAGACCACGTGTGGCATGTACGTACTTGGTTTAATTAGAAAACTAATCTTATCAACCAGAAGAGAAATGTGCAGAGTCGTCTTCTCATTGGCGTATTGTGTTACTGCAGGGACTTGGCCCGGAGCCCGATGTTTTATGAACAGGGGTCTGAATTACCCGATGCCCTAGCTGCAAATTCGGATGATTTAATACCGTAGACAACAAGTACTTATGAGACTTGTCTACAAGCAGTAATTGGAAGTTAACTAACTAGCCAATAATTTCTGTTTATTAATCTGTCAGCTAAATTATGAAATCATTGATTTTACACTCAGTGCACATGAATTGCCTTGAAGACATATAGTAGTCCAGTATAATACCCTTATGCTAATAAGTGTACAGGGAATTTGAGACCAGTAGAGAATCATGTGAAGGCTGCATAATTTTTGTACAGTAAACTATGGATCATCTAGTGTTTTTTATTTCTACCAAATGCGCTCCTGCAAGACGCCAACCAATCCCAGAATCGAGCCAGCCAAGGGAAGCAGTGACCGGACAACATGCAACCAGGCCCATTTCATGAGTAGCTTTCGGACAGTGGGTTCGTCCATCATCTGTGTTGATCCCTTTGGAAGTTCGTCCAGTCCAAATAATATATAATTAGTTGGGTCCATCAAAACCCAAGTAAAAGGAACAATTGCAATGGTCGAAACTCCCGCGGCAGCATATATGAGCAACCTATTGTGTTCCCGTGCTGCCCACTTGCGCATTGCAGTGTATATATACAACCCGGTCGTTGCGACAGCGAGTGCAGGCATATAGATATGTCCGTAGTGGTAGAGACGAGCCCATTGGTGAACCGTGTGTCCAGAGTCAGTGAGATTTGTGTCGAGGAGGACCGGAACTGCGATTACCGACAGACTCATCATGGCACCTATTTACAAATATGTAAGTTCAATGAAAATTTTGACTACTAATACTAATCCTGGTAATTATTACCTGATAGAAACGATCCCGTCACGAAGGCAGTCGTTTGGACGCCAATTCTTGGTTTTTCGGATTCATGTTTCGGTGCCATTGTGTCTCGTGCAGTTTAGTGACAATTGGCAGTATTGACTGGCTTTGCATCCTTTTTTACAACAGAGAGCTCTGGCTTTCATTCATAGATGTGGTGCATTTCTATCATCGGGTTTACCAATTGAGAACAAAGTGAAAATTTGTTTTTACATGTTGACCATCGGACCGAATCAATTGCCCGATTGCAGTCATCCAATGACCAGGCTTTGCTCTTTTTATTGTTATCGCTTTCTCCGAGAACGTACATGAATAAATACTTCTTTATTGCAGCAATAGATATCTTTGACATGTGCAAGTAGGTAATCCAGTCATGGCAACCTCCAATCAACTTGCCGACACTATGTCGTCCAGCAGCACACCCAGAGCCAAGTATCTATGCCTTACGATTCTTGGTTATCGTAAGCCGGGCATGAGCGAGGAAGACTATCGCAACCATATGGTCAATATATCGGCACCTATGACTAAAGGGCTTATGGCAAAGTATGGAATCAAAAGATGGACACAGGTAAGCTAACCAGTTGAGCAGTTCCACCGTCGATATTTCATTAATATTAGTTTGTGATGAAAATAGATCCACAACCAAGAGTCAACGCGTTCCCTGATGTCCGAGTTATATGACCCACAAATGGCTAATGTCGCCGACTTTGACTGTTTTAGTCAGGTGGTATTTGAAAACATAGAGGATTATAAGCGTATGAAACAGGATCCGTGGTATAAGGAGCATTTGATGAAAGATCACGAAGCTTTTGCGGATACGAAGAGAAGCATGTGAGTATGCGACATAATTTGTGTATGGGACGATGCAACTGACGGAGCAGCAGGATGACAATTGGGTGGATTGAAGAGTTTGTGAGGGATGGCCAGGCTGTCGATGGGTTCAAGGCCTGCTAAGTGTATATTTTCAATTGGAAAGTGAACTACAATGTGTGTATTTCGATAGGATCAATACACAAATTCATCAAAAATATACCGAATTTTAAGAATGTTTTAATATTTTCCGTGTTCACTCTTTCCTAGTCTAAAATAAGCACGTTTTCACTTCCAGAGCTGTCAATTATAATATTAAAGCATGAAAATAACTCTATGTGTTTCTACAAAGCTTCCAACACAAGTCACTTTGGCGAATTTGTAACGTGATCCTACTCTTCCCGATACCGCGTGCTAGTCTCGAAGAATATTACCTAAGACTATATGGACAAATTCTATAACAAGGAAAAATGAGACAGGTATTGAAAACCCCCACTTTGTGTGCATCTCTCATGTTACAATAGTCCGAGTTATGTCGGGGTGATTAATTACTGTTGACCGAAAAACCACTACACCAAAATGGGGTTCCCCTCATTAGTGAGTGTAATTAATTTGGTATTTATTGGCTGACAATTACGCATAATCCCTGACGACAACAGAACCCCGGAGTGGGGTACAGTAGGCTATGTATGACCGTGACCTGCACTGTATTTTGACTAGACCTAGTAAGCAGAAGATCTACAATCTAGTAGGAAAATGGATTTAACGCGATGTTAAAAAACCGAGTCTTCTCTACCGCCTCACTTGCCCTCTGTACTACACTGATATTTTGAGCATTGAAAAATAATGTTGATTAAAGAACAATGTCTATATTATCGCTGTTCTCTTTAAGAGGCCATTTCTCAGCCGTTTAAAATAAATATGCCATCAGTATGGCTTCAAGGATAGAGATGGACATCGGATTATTTTCACCAACAAAGGCGCCCAATCCTTCTGGTCAGATCGGTTAGCGATGACGCATGCGGCGCCACCATTTTGAAGTCGGAATTGATCATAAGGGCACCAAAATTATCATTCAATGGCTGTATATCATCTACGAAATCTCAATATCTCCAGCAGACGGATACCCTAGATTATTGAATGGTACCACTCGATTATCAAATACAGAGCCCACCAATTAACATGGATAATCTCACCGAAGTCCAGGCAGCGACACTGCAACGATTCCTTGAGGCTTGGAAAAAGTGGGATGCCCAGGAATGGATGGCCACTTTCGCCGACGACTTCACTCAGGTCACGCTTCCATTTAGCCTGGGTATTCCCAATAGGACGCGGGCACAGGTTGAGGAAATACTACCTGCCCTCATGGCTATAGTCAAGTCATACGAAGTAAGAGAAACCAACCACTGGAAAAGAGGCTAGATTGCTAACCTGGCTTGTCAATAACTAGCTCACAATCCACCATGTCATCCATGACGCCGAGAAAAACAAGGCTGCAGTATACGCATCGTCTAAGGGAATCCTTCCATGGGGCCTTTGGGAGGTGGAGTACTCGACTTACATAACTTTTTCTGAAGCAGGAGATAAAGTTTCAGTGTTAGAGGAAATGATTGACCCTACGTTTATGCGAGACTTCGGGCCCAAGTTCAAACAGTATTTACAAGATAATGGTGGACCAGTCGCAGTGGCAGCAACTGGATAGATAGCTTTTGACTTGAATTTAGAACCCCTGTGACAAACTAGTACACAGTTTATAGTCGATTATCTGCCTAGTACTGTATAATCAGAGGCCTAGCTACAATTTTCGTTAAAGATATAAACGTATAGTACGTACGTCAAACAATGTTTTGCTTATACTGGTGGATAGCTTGGCAGTCTCTTAATCTCAAAGTCCGAAATCCTGGTATTGTCTTTTTTGTAGCTATACTTGTAGCATGATTGGCTTTATTATGAACGCATTGACCTTTTTCTTATTGATACCCCGTACTTTTTCGGTCCGATGCCTCTTTATGGTACCCGGTGCCCGAACAACATGGAAGCGAGACCCGGAAGCACAATATAACCAATGGCTAATTCCACTGAAATATTCAACATAAAGCAATTCTTACTATCGAGACACATTTCAGTTTGTCTCTTGGCTTCCTCATGGGCATGGCAACGTACGCCGTTCTAGGTGCCACCGGCAACTGCGGCGTCGCTCTTATCGACAACCTCCTACGTAAAAAGGATGCAAAGGTTAATGCATATTGTAGGAATAAGGCCAAGTTAATTCAGAAGATCTCTCAAGTGGAGTGCAGCAAGCAAGTTCAAGTCTACGAAGGAAGCATCTACAACATTGACCTTTTGGCCGACTGCATTCGCGATACACAGGCGATTTTTCATGTCGTTACCACCAACGATAATGTTCCCGGGTGCCATGTGGGCTTGGATACTGCCAAAAGTATCATTTCTGCCCTACAGAAGCTCAAGGCAAACTCACAGCTGGGCACAAAGATGCCCAAAATTGTCCTCCTCTCCTCAGGCACCATCGACGACCATCTTAGCCGCCATATGGCCTGGTGGTTCCGCCTAATCCTGCGGACCTCTGCATCGAATGTATACGCCGATTTGAAGCGAACCGAAGAGTTTTTGCGGTCCCAGGAAGACTGGGTCTCAACAATTTTCATCAAACCAGGCGGTCTCACAGTCGATGTGCAGCAGGGCCACAAGCTCAGCCTTGATCATGACGAATCTTTTGTTTCGTACCTTGATCTCTCTGCTGCTATGATCGAAGCCGCCGATAACCCAGATGATCGCTTCCATATGATGAATGTTAGTGTTAACAATATAAACGGCTCTGCAAAGTTTCCAAAGGGAACTCCGATGTGTATCTTGACGGGGCTCGCTAGGCACTTTTTCCCGTTTTTGCACCCTTATCTTCCTTCAACGGGGCCTAGCTAGATATTTGTAACAAGATTGCTTAGTTTACGAAAGAGTCGGTCGTTAACTAGGCCTAATAAATTTGATGTACTTTGCTTCACTTTGGTATCAAAATATCGTTCTAGCCATTAGCTTGAATACCTTTCTTGAGCGAGTATTGGTATATAAATCACAGATAAACATTTTCTTTGACTAAATAATTTGGCTTGTCAACCAAGACGTCAGATCTCAGGCGTGGATATATCCACATTTAACAAACTTTCAGACGAGAAAAGTAGTTTCCTCATGCCTTTCTTTTGAGGAAAGTCTGGAGGATATAGTTTATGATACTGTCTATCTAGTCATAGTAATCCTTGATCGCGCCATTTCCGCTACGAAGCCGTGTGGCTCGAGGGAACAGATAGGAACAGGACTTCATAATCCATGTTACCTCCCGAAAGCTAATTATCATTGCTGAACACACAACCCCTATGATCACTTGTGGGGGTTGAGTTTTGCCTACACCACCACAACATTATCAACTTCACACATGGCCAGACTTATCGATAGTTCTAGTAGATACAGAGTAAGTAGACGAATTAATAACTAACAGCAGTCGAGAAAGCCATCCATAAATGAAAAAGCTATATTTCAACTAGCAATACAATTAACACTACTTTCCAGGACTGACAGGAACTAAGTATCTACAAAAAGTACCCCCACTATTCGCAGCATTTCTTTTCCTTTTCCTTTGACAGTATAGATTGCTCAATACATTGCTCAATTCTATTTACACGTGGACAAAAGAAGTTTAACCTAACCTAAACCCCAACACCATGGTCTTGCAAAGACTTGCGCCTACGTTTGAATCATTTAACGAGATCAGCAGCAATGATGTCTTGCGCAGCACGATAGCCCATCGCGTAAGAGGTAGCCATGGTATGGCAAGTGATGATTTTCGGCGCAGCAGGCGATCCGATGACACGGAGGCCCTCCACACCACGGACACGCCAGTTTTCATCCAGAACAGAGCCAATGGCAACGGTACCCATGGGATGATGGAAACTTCCCGAGGTCTGCTGAATAGCTGACCAGATATCCTCGTCGCTCGTGACGTTCGCACCTGGGAACAGTTCCGAGGGGATATACTGCTTCAGCTCAGGACTTCCGATGAGTGCACGATAGTCCTTGTATGCGTATAGTATCGCAGCCTTGTCGGCCGGGGTACTCCAGTAAGCTGCGTTGATGATGGGATAGTCGCGGTAATCACTTGTAGCCAAGGTCACATTACCACGACCCTCGGGCTGGACGAGAGCCATAAAAGGCGTGATAACACTGCGACTCTGGTACTGGGTCTGGAAGGGTACCGTCGAATACTCGTAGATGAAGTGTGGCCGGTCGGCTGGCAGGCTCGTGTGGTAACTGCCCAATCCGGTAAAAACCGAATCCGGCAACCGTATCGCGCCGAATACATTTCCGTCTGCAAGTCCTAAGAGACCACCACCATTTGCCTTGTACTGGGCCTCCGCAAGCTGCTCTCCAGTTGTATTGCCCGTAAACTGCCACACCGTCCCCATGGATGGAGCGGCCTCGAAGACAAGTTGGGCATAATGGTGATCCATTAGGTTCTGTCCCACCATCGGCGAGTCATGTACGACGGGGATGTTTAATGCTTCGAGATGGGCGGCGGGACCAACACCAGAGAGCATAAGAATTTGTGGGCTACCAATGGCACCCGCAGATACGACAACCTCCTTGGATTTGACCGTATGCATCGTGCCTGTCAAGGTGTCATTATAGGTGACAGAGTCAGCTTTCTTGCCGGTAAAGCCAATCTTCGACACCCAGGCATCATGTCGTACTTCGAAGTTGGGGCGATTAGCAGCGAGCCAGCCAAAAGTGTTCCAAGCATAACTTCGAGTCCGGTTACTGGCACGGATCGCATCTACCTGTTCTGTGATGCCAATTCCGTAACCAGAAACGAAGTCGATCTCAGGCACATTCTTAGTCGACTTAAACAAATCAATGAACGGCCGGTCCAGAGAGAGCTGGAAACGCTGCGTAGTAATTTCGACAGGGCCATTGCCAAACGAAGTGTGGTTGACCGCCACCTGGTCCTTTGGATGTACGTCGTTTTGGAAATGCGTGGTGTCCTTGAAAGCTTCGAACATAGAATTCCAAGCTAATCCTGGGTTTCCTGAAATCTCGGCCCACTCGTCGAAGACGGAAGATGCGCCGCGGCAGTATCCCATACCATTGACTGAGGAGCCGCCGCCCAGAGCCCGGCCCTGCCACAGGTCGGGAGTGCGTCCGTTCAGGGCAGGGTCAGGGGCGGAGGCATAGTTCCAAAAGTATGCCGATGTCTCGAAGAAATAAGCCGGCGCTGCAACGATGTTAGAAACAAAAGGGCCTTTTCAAAACGGTACTACTAATATTAAGTTATGTACTTACTAGTGACGTGGGGATCGAGACTTGAGTCAGGCCCAGCTTCTAAAAGAAGCACCTTGACATGAGGGTGACGCGTGAGCTGCTCTGCCAGCACTAATCCTGCAGGCCCGCCACCGACAACAACGTAGTCGAATGTATCGTTAGACGGACATTGCGTGCTAGGAGCTGCAAGTGACGAGGTAATCAAAAAAAGCTGGAGCAAGCTCCTAGCTGTAATGCTGTCGCGAAGCATGTCTCTAGGTGGCTTGGCGTGGTAGTTTGATATGACGGTTGGCTCAAGAAGGATGATGAGACTGGCTTATGGCGTTCATGTTGACAAGAATTCAAGTACGATTTTATACTCTCCCACAAGACGGTTTAGTTAATGCTCCCCGAAAGCCGAAAGGCGGATGATTTGGCCCCCGCTCACATATACGAGTCAATTGTCGCTACCAGGATCTCACTCATCAATTGATGGCTTGCCATCGGTAGTGACTACTACTAAATCGGCCAGTACTCAGGGGCTCCTGCACAGATGGTCGAAAATAAGCAAGGCACCCATAACACGAGGTTATTAATAGCCCAGCCACGTGGATACGTCGAACAAGGGTCTCTAGGCTAGAGGTCGGTCAAATTACTGGGTAAGACTTTTGAAATTGTCCGACTCAAGTTCGAAACATCGGAAACTCAAACCTGAACCGGGTCGCGACTCCGTTTGATTCGACTTAGATCTGGGGTGCATAATGCTAACCCTAACCCTAATCCCTGACCTCAGAACCTGCGGCTTGGCTCCAAGGCGAATCGACGAATCGTATCTGACGATGCTTGTATTAATACCAGCTACTTTATTTGTTGTTTACATTTCTAGAACATACCTAGCGCCCCTAGGAACTTACTAGTAAGAGGGCCGCGAAAAATAACCCAGCCATGCCAGGGCCCGTTTTTAGCTGAGCTATGATTGCATGCTGCTTGAATGCTAAGGATTCGTTCCCCGTAGTGGGTCGGTGGCTGCTCCGCAATGTATTTTCACGACAATACAAATAAATACCTTACCGCTGTCCGATGTCTCATAGCGAAGCTGACAGCCCGAGAATCTTGAACTATGAACTTGATTTCCATCTGCAGCCATTTATTCTCCAACCAACTGTACACTTACGCGTAACTGGTAATTGTCTAGGCGATTTCATTGCTAGTGATTTCGGGGAGGGAAATCAGAGACTCCCGCTTGTATTAGCTGCATTGAGCAATAGGCCATCTGTATAATTCGCCGCATGCAATGAAATGGATGATTGTTCTGTGTCGCTTGTATCCTGTCCGAAAATACAATCTATAACTAGGGACTCTGAAGTAGAAAGACGAAAGAAGACGATATCCCATCACAGCCAACCCTTACTGTTAAAACAAGGTACAAAGATATTAAGTAAATATCTCTCTTTCCACTTCTTGCGAGTCATCACTGCATATATCTGGCCCCTAAAGAGATTGACTCGGCCTATCTAAGAATTATGGCGTTGAATACAGCCCTCGATCTCTCCCCATCTCATCTGGGCGTCGTGCGGGGAAATCTCAGTCCTCCAGGCTCACTGGAGGAGTGCAACCGCTTGCTATATAAAAATCATGAAACCTATCACATGTTTTTCCGAGAGATAGCCGGCATGAACCACATCTCCCATAGCCTGCTCACATGTTTTGCACTGGGCGCCGACATCCAGGAACTTCGGGACCGTTACCAAGACGAGGCGGCAGGCCAGCGGCCAATGCCGCCCGTGAATGCTGACCTTCTGGATAAACTGGACGACCCTGCGGTGTTCCTTCAGACCATGTACGTCAAGAAGGAGTACAACACGTTCCTCCACTTCTTCGAGCGCCGTATTGCCGCAGCCGGCGCAGGAGGCTGGCGGAAGGTCGTACACGAGTTCGTCTTTTCTCGCAGCGAAATCGCCGAGCGCATGTTTTCGAGTATGTTCGACGGTCTCTACCACCCTCTCATTCATCTTGGGCTGGGAATTGAGTTTGACTTGCCCGGAATCGTGGCCGAGGCGCTGGCCCAGGCTGCCGCCAACGACGACAGCGATCTCCACCGGCTGTTTAGCATGTGCGAGGAAGAAGCTGCAAAGCAGGCTGTACCCTTGGGTGCAGATTCAAAGAAGGCATCCATGCTAGAGCTACTGGATGCGATGCGCAACACCGACGAGATTCGCACGGCGCCGCTCTGGTCAGATATGGGACTCAAGATGCGTAGCGGCGTAGTAGGCCGCGCAGGCGATGCCTTTGCAGCCGTAGCCGGCCGCTTCAGAGTCTCGACCGAAGATGAGGATGAGCTTCTGGAACGCACAGCTGAGATGATCAGTACCTGCGCGCACATGTGCGGTGGTGGACAGCATGCCGGTCGTAAAACAAAGATCGACTTCTTCTGGATGCACTCCGTGACCAGCAGCATCTTCATGAGCGTTTTAGCCGCGCAGAAGGACTGGATCTCCCTTCCTGACCGCGCCCGCCTGCTCGAGTACAAGGTACGCACCGATCTAGCCTGGTATGTCGCCTCGGGCAGCGTCCCACTGGACGCCAAGTACGTCACAAACTACGCCAACCCGGAGAGCGACGGCTGGTCATGGGAGGACATCTTCAGTGCCGTCGTTAAGCAGCACGACGACGGCCATGCCGCCAAGTTTATGCGCGCTGTCAAGAACGGCGAGATTGTCTGCCAGCAGTACGAGACCCGCACTGAGTCGACAGACCGCTTCCCGGTCAGGGGAGACATGTGGCTCAAGCTGGCCAGGATGTGCCACGACACGACGAAGAACATGGAGATTGATCTTAAGTGGGTCAGGTTCACTGGGTATGACGAAGCATGGCGGCGACCGGATTTGTTGAACTAGTATATCCTATAGGGTAGGGAAACACGCAGAATGAATTTTGTTTCTTTGACAACTGAGAGATAAATGTACTCCTGTATCGAGTTAGTTGTATTCCGTTTTCATCAAGGCTAATGAGCTCATATACTCTCGGATAAATAATAACTTGCTAGTATAAAGTGTCTGATTCTTCCGTACAAGGCAGCTGTGGATTGCTAACTATATATACTCTTGGGCTAATAATTTACGAGTGTTGTTACAACAAATTGTCTGATTCTCCTGTAGATGGCAGCTCTCAATTGTTCTAATTCCATACACTCGCAGCAAGCTTGCACAAACACCAACTATTTGTCCGGGCCTGTTGCAGGCAGGTAGGGATGCATCCATGGGAAGTAGTGCCGGACAAAGCCCAATGCGATACACAGCGGGGTGCCGCCGGGGACCCTGGCGCCCTGACCTGTCACCTTGTTCACGACACCGACGTTTCTGCCAGCATAGCGGCCTTCTTCGTCATCTGCGACCTCAAGCATACCGCCAGCGATGTCCATATAGCTCACAAAGCTCTCCTGCTCGTCAAAGGTCAACCGGTGGCCGCGCGCTATGTCAGGCGACAGGCCGGACGGCTTGATGAAGATGGATTCGATCCAGTGGTCGTGCGAGCGCATGATGTCCTCGGCACGCTGGAGATCTGCGTAGATTCTAGATGCGGCGCGGACGATGATCCAGCGGAACGCCTTGGACATGGTGCGTGCGAGGTGGTCATCCATGGCGCTGGCGCTGAGCTGGACCAGCTTCGGAGGCACGTATGAAGCCGGGCCTGCTTCGTCGCGCAGTCGATAGATGGATCGCAGAACTGCCAGTGCAGTGTCGGTATTGAGGCGGATTCCTGGGATGTTGTCATTGCTGGTTACTGCTAGGAAGACTGCCTTTGTGCCCCGCAGAAGGTCGTCCATCAGCGCGTCATCGCCGATGCTGCCTTCAAACACCTCGACTTGTTTATTGTCGATGACTTCAGGGATCACTGTGTACAGTTTGGCCTTGTTGCGGCAATACGCCTTGATTTTCGTGTCGGAAGATTTCTCGAGGAGGCGGCGAACCACGGCGGAACCACAGTTGCCCGTGCTTCCAAGAACGGCGTATGTCGGCATGACGAGGTCGTTGACAATGAGCAAAGGCAGTAAAACTGATTTCAATGTCAATGGCTAGTAGACAAATACTCTGGGTATTTTTGGAGGGGGCGACGGCGGGGGCAAGGGAGGGTCCTGATATTAAGCGGAATCGCTGTCCTGTTTAGGAGGACAGGAGCTTTGGCAGCTTCATTAGAAGCTCTGAAATTCCCGTTGACAATGATCGAGAGATCTCTATATTCCTTAACAATTGAGCGGTGTCTTGAGTCAGACATGCTGCATGCATGCATTGCATGTTTATCCACACTTCGTATTCCGGCCACTAGCCGAGTGAGATCTTCGGTAACCGGCATCCTAGCTTCGGGGGTTTATGTTCCAGCCATTCGAATCCTAAAGAGCAGAAGTTCACGTTTCCTCGGTGCTTTGTAGATTTGACTGGACAACTGATCGTGCCGGACAGGATTAAACTTCGCTGAGGCGAGTTACGTACTTCACCGGCCGGGGATTCCATGGCTAGGTGGCTCTCGTTCTAGAAGTAGAGACGACCCACCTGTACTCACAACATGGCCACTCTGCAGAACTTGGAGTATTTTGATAGGTTCTGCGTATATACATAACGGGAGGGAGCTCTGCTTTTCATTATTTTCGCAAGCCCGTCACCTACATCCAGGCCAGCAGCAGCATCATCATCATGGGCGCTCAAGACTTCACGGGAATCGTCCGCAGAGCGGTCGACTCTGAACGTCTTTCGGGCTTGTTCGAAAAGGCTATGAATGATAAGTGGCTAACTCTTCAAAACTCCCTCCTTGTGTGCTTTTCACTTTACTCCGCGTATTGGTTGGTCGTATACATCTATCGAGTAACGCTACACCCTCTGGCAAAATTTCCAGGCCCCGTACTTGCTGGTGTTAGCTTCTGGTATGAGTTCTACTACGATGTGTGGCCCAGGAGGTACGGCTATATGTGGAAGATTGAAGAGCTGCACAAGAAGTATGGTGAGTTTATAGTCTGGACTTTTTCGAGTTATACATGACCGCAAAAGCCTCCAGTCCAACTGCAGCTGTCTGACAAGCTGACAAGCACTGCAAAGGCCCGATTGTGCGCATCAACCCGATTCATATTCATATCAATGATCCCAACTTCATTGACCAGATCTATGCGCCTGCTGGAAGGGAGAAACGTAACGGTGACCCGTGGTTTAGCATGGCGACCGAGTCGGGAATGATGGCGTGGTCGACGCTTCAAACCATGGACCATCACCAACATCACCTACGGAGAGGTGCCCTCAGTCGCTTCTTCAGCAAAGCCTCTGTACGGCAGCTGGAAGGCCTCATCTCAGACAAGATCGATCGACTCTTACAAAGACTCGCCCAAATGCACCGCGCCGGCGACTCGGTCATCAATTCCACCCATGTCATAGCTGCACTAACCATGGACATCATATCGTCGTACTCGCTGGGTGTCGACATGGGAAACTTAACCAGAGAGGAATGGGGCCGGGACTGGTCAGAGACATTCCCACGACTAGGCACTATCAGGCCATGGGGTCGGCAGTTCAAGAATTTAACAGTCATGTCCCTGAGCATCGAACCAAGCATCGTGCGCTGGTTCAACCCCACCGCAGCGGCTGTGGCCGAGAAAGCGAAATACCCAATGGAGGTCATCAGGGCACACATTGACAAACATGAAAAGGATGGTGCAACTACCAACATGGCAACTAATAATAGGACAATATTTATGGAGATATTAGACAGTAGCCTTCCTCCCCATGAGAAGTCGGTTGGACGGCTGAACGCCGAGGCCTTCTTGCTCCTCGGTGGTGGCACCGATCCCACGACACGCAACTTGACGGTGACCATGTATCACCTCCTAGCCAATCCAAAACTTCTACAGCGCCTTCTCGATGAGCTCAAGTTGATCATGCCACGGCCAGACTCTCCAGTGACAGTGGCTGCCCTGGAGGCCTTGCCATTTTTCGTACGTATCGCTTGGAGGCGACGAGTGTCGTCGTCCACGAAAGATCAGAAACACTGCTGACAACCTCTTTCTAGTCTGCATGTATCACAGAGGGTCTCCGAATGACTAACGCAGTCTCTACACGTATGCCACGTGTGTCGCCTGATAAGGCGATTGTGTACAAGGATTGGGTCATCCCCAAGGGTGTAAGTGTCTCACTCTGTCCCTCACAGGTACACGGAAAGATCGAAAAGTTAACATCGCCCCCTCTTTTCTAGACACCAGTGATGCAGTCTCTGTATCTGCTGCACATGAACGACGACATCTTCCCCGAACCAATGAGATACAACCCACAACGGTGGCTGGACAATCCGAGCCTCAAGTCACGTTACCTAATGGCATTTGGCCGTGGTAGTAGACAGTGCCTTGGCATAAAGTGAGTAGTTCGCACAGATACGAACACACAAACACACCTGCGCGTGACATTCCATCCTTGTTTTTGTGACTGAAAACTCGAGAAAATTGTGGGAAAATACTGACACATTATCTTTGAAAATAGTCTTGCCAACGCGGAAATGTTCCTTACCTTGGCCCGCGTTCTGACCCGGTTCGATCTAGGCCTGTACGACGTCATCAGGGAGCGAGATATCGATGTCAGTGGCGATTGTTTCAATGGCATCGTACGAGACGATAGTCCGGGAATTCGAGTGAAGCTGCTCAGAGATAACTTAGCCGAAATATAGAAAGCATCATCATATGCGTTTCCGTGTTTTCTCTGTAGAAACCAATCCTGAGCGGAGGTGTCGAGGCGGATCTAAGGTGAGTCATGCATAGGGCTCATCATCATATTAAGGGGGGTTTTGTTTTTGTTTGAACATTGGTTTACTTGTGCCTGTGACAGTCTAGTAGAGGGGCGCGGAAATTTGAGTGCATCTAGTAGATGGATGTCCGTGAGAAGTAGTGTCTTTGGAGGAAGGAAGCACAGCTAGCCCGGCGTGCATTTTTGGAATGGTTTTCTTCGTTCTCTAAACTCAATGAATTTCTCCGGATGCCAATATATATTTATTTTGATATAGACTTGTATATCTAATTAAAATATTTTTGCAGCTTTCTATTTCGTATCTTCTTCTTCTGCTTCTTCTTCTTCTTCTTCTTCTTAGCTGCTAGGGTGTGGCAAGGAAGTGTTTGACGCTGGGTTATTGGGAAAGGAAGCCCTAGAGTGTGCGTCGCCGAATTGGAGGGTTTTCGACTCGTAGACCGCCAGCTGCATCAGACACGGCCAGGGCCTCGGGATCCAGGTGCCCTCTAGATAGAAGCAGGGCCACTAAAGGATTGGCCTTCATAGAGGTCATTTAGGCCCTAGCGACCGACGGGAGGACACTAAGGACGCCACAGGGCCGATTTATGGTGATTGGAAGCCATGATGGAAGAAGCGGCCTCAGGGTGCCTTGAGGGAAAGGTTGAAAGCACAAGGCGGCCTGTACTGTGACTTACAGGTGATGCCCCCACGTTGGGCTTCCGGGACGTAGTCGGAGGCCCGGAAGTCCCTATATTGCCCCCGAATAGCCCTAACCATACAAGTGGCTTGGCTCGAGGAATTGGGAGCTTAAGCCCCTAAAGACCCCCCGGGAGCCCACTAAAACGAGACCTTCATAGCCTAAAAGTTGGGTAGGGTCCACGAAATATTATAATAATATAGTCCGACGTACTCTATACTCGTCGCTGCGTTGAAAGGCCAAGTCTGTTCCACAACATCAAGGATTTATTACTTAACATTCTGGAGATCAGGCATACAATCACGCATGTCCTGACGTCATTTTGGAGGTTTCTTATCTATATTTGTATGTCTTTGGCACAACTATAGCATCTGCGCAAGTAGAATACATAGCCTTGTATGATGAAGCTATACACCAGGATCCTTTATCCTTCGTTGAATTCCTTAGGCTCCGCCATCTACGCCAATGACCTTGCCATTAACCCATTCACCCTCTTTGCTAGCCAAGAATACTACCGTGTTGGCAATATCTACCGGATAGCCGTTCCGCACAAGTGGCGAGGCATGAGCAGCCATCTGTGGCGATAGAGTTAGCGGGTGTTATATGTTGCGAATAATTTCAAATTTGAGAAGTGGATTGAATAAAAAATACCTCTTGCAACCGCTGGGGTGTAAACTGGTCTCCGTTTGGGATGTAGTGCTGTGCAACGTCGTGGAACATGTCGGTCACCGTACCACCGGGAGCAACAGCATTGACAGTGATCTTCTTCTTGCCACAGTCGATAGCCAGAACTTTGACGAAGGACTCAATGGCACCCTTTGATCCAGAGTAAACAGAATGGCGGGGGACGGCGAAAGCGTGGGCCGTGTTCGAGCTCATGAGAATGATACGGCCACCTTCGTTCAGGTTCTTGTAGGCTTCACGGGCGACGAAGAACTGGCCGCGCGTGTTGATAGTGAAAACACGGTCAAACTCTTCTTCAGTGACCTCCTCTAGGTGGCCGAAGGACACGACTCCGGCATTCGAGCACACGATGTCCAAGCCACCCCAGACCTCAACTGCTTCCTGGAAGAGCCTGACTGTTTCAGGCACCTTGCTTACATCCCCCTGCAGAGCGACGGCGTCGGAGCCGAGCTTCTTGATCTCAGAAACCACTTCCTCAGCAGACGCTTTGGACTTGGCATAGTTCACGATGACTTTGGCACCAGCACGACCAAGTTCAGTGGCCATGGCAGCGCCAATGCCTCGACCGGAGCCTGTGACAAGCGCAACCTTGCCATCAAGGCGGAAGGGGATGTGGACGCCGTTGGAGGTCATTGTTTTTTTTGTGGAATGCTCAGTGCAAATGAAAAAAGACGATGCTGATGACAGTTCTGTATCCGTGGATCGTCGACTTTTTATTTTCTTTTAATGTACAGAGTCATGGGCCGGAACTACATTGGAAACGCGACGCACCCTCCACCCCCAAACCACGGGCAATCTTTGATTTCCAATTCTCCGGGCGGAAGTCAAGTCAGCCGAAGCATATTTACATTCATGTCCGATGACCCTACTAACAGGTAACCTGATCCTTAGTCCGCTTTCCGACGAAGAGCTGCTCTTATTTACCTCCCTTCTCCCCGCAATCGGGTTAGGCATCTCCGAAGCCCGATGTCTACACTAAGGACAAAGCCTGCAGAGCTGACTCTACTCTACCGACTTTCGCAGGCTGCTTTATGATTCTATCTCTTGTACACGATTGTTTGCCTTTTCATAGAGTTTTCACATTCTTCGTTTAGTTTCATCTACTTCGCCTATCTACAGTGTTAACACCATGCCAGAGCAACCTGCGCCTGAGGATGTCTTGGGCTGCCAAGACGTCTTGTTTCAGTGGGCTGAAAGCTTCGATACTAAGGCAAGTTGGGGTCTCTCCTTTATGTGCTTCTAATGCTAGGAAGTTAATACAGATGGGTTCAGGACTGGGAACGTTTGCGGCTATACCTTGCCCCCATCATGCGTGTAAGGATTCAGATTCAATTAACCCGCTTGTCTTGACAGATGGGAGCTGACACCAAAATCAGGTGGATTATCAGCATGTGATGGGCAAGATTTGGGAGCAGATGCCAGCAGATGAATTCGTCTCGCTTGCCTCGAACCCACATTTTCTGGGCGACGAACTACTCAGGACGCAGCACTTGATCGGCGGGGCATCTAGCTGGGAAAAGGTGTCCGAAGACGAAATTCAGGGCCGTCATCAACTCCGAGTTGCTCACCAGCGCTATACAGACAGCTCGATGAAAGAGGTTGCTATTAAAGGCCATGCCCACGGCGGTGCGACGATGTGGTACAAGAAGGTCGAGGGCAAGTGGAAGTTTGCTGGACTTTGTCCGAACATCAGATGGGGCGAGTTTAATTACGATGAGATATTTGGTCAGCATTAAGCTCCATTAGAGAATCTTCGAGGTTGTTTCCAGACTCAATACAATTTCATTGGAATACTGCCTCAACCAATCGCGTTAACAAATTGGATTTGACTAATATCACGAATTCACCCGGTATTTCCATATTTTATCAACTTAAAAATCGCTCATTTAAAAAAAGGTATGGCAGTTCTCTGCCAAACCTATGAAATTTTATCAGGTACTTAAACCAACCACCTATTTACAATGTCGACACTAAACCATAAGCTGTTTTGTCGGTATTACAGTACAAGAATTCACCAATGCGTTTTTTATTTTACGGGTACCAATTTAGCCACCCGAGATTTGGATAATAATTGCCCGATGCCTAGCAGGAATGACCCGTAATCTGCCAACCAGCAACTGGTTTGAAGCCTTTCTTCCCCCTGCAATCCCTTTACCCCACACTGACAGTCTCATATTGCTTCAACAGCTTCAAGGTATGGAAATCTAAGCGGGGTCGGTACTAACCGGATAACGGGGCAGCCATGGAAAATAGGGAACTACATATCGGCGTTCTGGCGGGAATCTTAGCGCTATCCTAGACGTTGAAAACGCTCACCTTCTTCATACTGGACAGGCCATACAGACTTCAATCGGCTCGACCATAGCAGCAGCCAACTCCGGCCAGAGCTGTACGTATTTTTTGTACTTTTTATTAGTGTTAGCCAGTTAGGTAGTTGATCTTTGGCCTTCCAATACCCCATCTTTACCCACGCGCAGGTTTGTATACGCATCTCATTCGTTGGCGTTTGAATGATCTGTTTCTTGGTTTTGTCAATACACAACTTCTAGGACAGAGAAATAGACCCAGATGACGAGCCAGTCTCGCGCTACAATCCGGCGTAATTGGAGCTTTGGCCCCTATTTTAAGGCAGCGAAAACCAAAGCTGAGGACCATCTACTAAAGCCATCAAGACACACAGATTCCAGCTGAGATAGAGAGTATAGAACACAAACTTACGTATATTTCATTTGATTCTCTCTCCAAGACGAGGGCAGGAAACCAGCCAAATCATGTCAACCTCGTTGTGTATTCCTTCACTTTCTTCGGAGTCCCAGTTATCGTAATCACCTAATACCCCGTTATGGCACTAGAATGAACGCAGCATATTCTATACAGTGAGAATGTAAGACCGTATTTTAGCAAGATAAGGTAAATGACAGGGATTGAACACCTTTTTATCAATCATTTTAGATTCGCATATATTCGAAGTTGATGCAAGCGCTCGAACTGTTATCAAATATGACCACCGCATTCCCTCTTCTAAATGTAAATTTCTCGCATACTTGGGGTATTATTGTAATATACTAAGTTAATTTAACATGCCGTTTCAATTATCTGTTCCGTTCTATTCTCATTCTATATACCCTCTCTAGAATGGTAGCGTAGCTAGTTATAACCCGCCCAAGAGAAAAGGTTGGAAACATATCTCATCGTGCCACGTGAGCCCTTGTCCGACTTTAATATATCCTTCGCTGCTCGATTAGCTAGGGCGTATACGGCGGATTGCGGGTGACAAGTCGTGGGAAATGGAAATGTGCTCGAGTCGACCACGCGAATGCCCTCGAGGCCTCGCAGGCGCCAATCGCTCCCCAGCGCCGTCCCCAATGCAACGGTGCCTATAGGGTGGCGATACGAAAATGTCTGCGCTTGAATGGCCTTCCAGACATCCTCGTCCGTCGTCACGTTGGCGCCTGGATAGATCTCGCCTGGCAGAATCGTCTGAAGTGCGCTGTGACCCATGACCTCGCGCAACTTTTTGTAACCCCAGAGGATAGCCGCCTTGTCGGCATCAGAGCCGTAGAAGTTGGTTTCAATCACTGGATTGTCTCGATAGTCGGACGAATGCAGGCCAACACGACCGACCCCTTCCGGCTGGACGAGAGAGGCCCACGCCGTGACCGCGCTCGAGTTGACGCCGGCCAGGAGAGGTATCGAAGTAACTTGGATCAAAACGTGGGGCCGATCGGTCGGCAGCGTGGTATAGTGGATGGCGTCTAGTCCAGCGAACGCGGAGTCTGGGACACGAAAAGTAGCATAGACAAACCCATTACCAGTGCCGAGAGGCCCAGAGCTATTGCTCGCGTACTGCTCTTTCGCAATGACAGTCTCGGTGGAATTTTCAGTCCATTGCCATACAGTTAGCAACTCTGGGGCGGCATTATACAACATGACGGAGAGTGCATGGTCATGCAGATTGGATCCGATCTCGGGTCGATCAGCAATAACAGGGATGTTGTGTCTTTCCAACTCTGCCCTAGGTCCTATACCAGAAAGCATGAGTAACTTTGGCGAGTTGATAGCGCCAGCACTCAGTATTATCTCGCTGCCTCTAAGAGTAACAGCGCTGTCTTCTCTATTCCCAGACTGTTGGTGGTACGTCACGTTGACTGCTCTGTTGCCATCGAAGCCGATATGTGACACCCATGCATTGTACAGGATATGCACATTTGGGCGGACTTCGATCGACGGTCTGTACACATTGCCGGAATAGGAGCGTGAGTGGTTTCGAGCGTAGATGGATAATAAGCCCCGGTCGACACCGATGCCGGTTCCGTCATTCATGTCGACCTCGTGCAGGCCCAGCTCGCTTTGCGCTGTCTGAGAGAACAGCTCCTCGTAGCCAACCATGATACTCGAGCGGCTGACTTCAACTCCTGCTTTTCCACGACCGTAAACTGTTCGGTTCACTATTTGCTTCTGATCACCACTGACACTCGCAGTCTCAGCATAGTGACTGACTTCGAGGAAGTCTTGCAAAAGCGAATTCCAAGCAAGACCTTCATTCCCAGAGATCGAAGCCCATTCGTCATACACTGAAGCCGCACCACGGCAATAGGCCATCCCGTTGACTGCCGTACCTCCCCCGGCGACTCGGCCCTGAGGGATCTGTACGGAATTTCCGGCCAGATTCTCATCCGGCTGTCCTGTGAAATTCCATAAAGGATCCGCGATGAAAGGGAAGAGAGCAGGAGCTAGAAGGTGAATTATGTCTTAGCCTCCAAAAAGATGCTTCGTCATATTATACACGGCTTGGGGGTTAAGAATCAACTTACTATTGAGCAAGGTAGCGTTGAAGTCCCTCGGGCCAGCTTCTAGGAGTACGATGCTGCTTGTGCCATCGCGCGACAGTCGTTCAGCAAGAACCAAGCCCGCTGGACCACCCCCGACAATCACGTAGTCAGTGTTTTGGCCCCCGTTTCTGGTGTCAGAAGCAAATACTGTGGTAGCTGCCACGCTTATGAGAAGCCGAATCAACGAGCTACGCTTTTTCATATTTGCAACAAAGATGGACGGAACCAGCGTTTTCAGGTTGTAACTATCTCGTCTGCACCATCCCACTATGTTCGATTATGACTATTACTAGACCCAGAGTTCGTCCTAATGAGGAAGAGAAAGATTCTGGAACTTTCGTCTATTGGTAAAAAAATACTGGGAGCGAGGAACATTTTCACGTAAGAGCTGATAGCGAGTTTAAATGGGTCCTAAGGTCTGCAAACGCAGCGCCTATACCGATATCATGTTAGAGGGTGGGCACGACAAATAGCCCTCCGTAGGTGCTGGCGTTGTCAGAAGTAGGGGTCGGAAAAACTACAGGAACCTATCGCGCAGAACGCGATGTAATATCAAGAGTTCCGACTCGGGCAATTCTACATATCGGAAAATTAAATATACTCGGGAAACCGTTTGCATAGATGAAATGAATGGCGCAATGATTCTAGGTACGCCAATACGAGGGACCCATGCAAAAAATTAAAATCAACCTATCACGGCCTAACACAAAATATCGGTGGTAACATATCAGCCGCACAATATGCCGAAGTAGCTACGCAGCACACATATTGCGACTAATGGATTGAATTTAATTTGCCCATTGTATATTATCGAAGATGACCATCCAATCTTTAACGATGTAACTAGACGATTTTAATCTTTGTTAAATCAAGGGACCATAGTCAACGCCGATTCTCAATGTTACCTGAGAATACCACGGCAAATTGCCGTCGTACATATGGTTGAGAGGCTGAAAACTGAGGCTCCACCAGAGCAGCCATACAGTATTCCATGATCGGTGCCATTTTTCACAAATTTCACTGGAAAAGATGAACAGGGTTTACATAATAAGAATTCTAAGTACATCAATATACAGTTAGTTTGAAGACACTACTGCCAAATGGTAGTAAGATGGCAGGAAAGACAGGAAATAGAAGCTAGATTTTGGGTTATAAATAGATATGCGCCGTATACGATCGGGTAATTCTGAAATCCATGTCTAGTTGATTTGGAGAATGAAATGCTTTCTAACAAATACTGTTGTTCGAGGTAGTATATACATTGATCTGCAAGCGGTAATCCGTAAAAGGTGACATTATGATTTTCATGAATTCTTGAAAGAGTAGGCTATATAACTAGCCATGTGTCCTTTAGCGAAGGACATCCACAATCTCTGCGGATAATTTGCGCAGTCGCTCGCGCAGGTCAACCTCCAGCTGCTTCAACACGGGACTGGGAAACGGGAACATAGTCTCTATACATTTGAATAAGTTAGGAACGTCGGTGGCGTCAGTGGTGGAGGAGGAGGAGGAGGAGGCGGAGGATGAAGACGACGTATCCGGAGCTTCTGCGCGTTCTCCATCGGTTTTGAAGCGTTGTGACAGGGCGTTTACCAACCGCTGCACACGGTGGAGCTGGCTAAGAATCTGTTGGATAGTCATCCGACATTGATCTTCGTTGTCGGTAAAGTGGTTATCTATCAGCGCAGTGGGAAAGCCTTGTACAGCCTCCTCGAGATGTTGCAGTTTCTCATGATCAGAAGTGTCCCAGCACTCGTCGGTACCGTCAAAGACCGGCATCTGCCGTACCACGGTAGCATACGATGCCAGGACCTTCAAAGTAACGATAGACAGAATAGCCAGAAGATAATTGTCCTCGGAACTCTTGCATTCTAGCATTTCGCTAATAGCTTGGATAGCCTGCTCGTTTCCGGTGATTATTGATTGGACGGTATTCAGCCGGTCGAGTTCAGGATGGTTGCCAAGGCTCTGTCCATTGGAAGTATGGAAAGATGGTGGCGATGGTGAGGGCAGTTGTTTTAGAAGGCCAAAGGCCCCGACGAAGTTGTGCATCAGACTCGAGTTGAGCCCATCAACAAGAGATGACTGATCGTCCGGGAGTTCTTGCATTGATGGGAAGGATAGTTGAACTTCTGGAACCGCGGTAGCCTTCATGGGTAGGGAGGCATTATTTGCGGCATGAGAAGTTGCGGTCCTACCGATATCAATCAAATCGCCCATGTTGTTCTGATCGTTGAATTGGCAGAAGTCGGTGAAATCACCCGTATCGGGCATATCCAGCATGGATAATGAGATAGGGGATGCCAAAAACTCATTGGATGACATGTTGGAATCCAAAGTGGTGGGAGTTAATACCGTCGGATCTGCAACGCATGAAGTTCCTGAAAACATGTTTTGGTATCCCATACTCGGAGTACCGGGGGACAGTTGAGTTATCTGGGCGGTGGAAATTGGGAGGGTTGTCCAGCTGGGAGCCGTCGCAGGTAAATGCTGGATCATTGGAGATGGAGGAGCTTGATTCTGCGGCTGGCTGCCAGAGAACTTCTTGCGACCTGCGCGTTTGGTCATGAAGTACTCGCAAACCATGCCACGTTTCGCACAACGGGCGCATGTTGGCTTCTCTTTGCTACATTTGAGCTTGGAGGCAGCACACCGGTTACAACTGTCTCGTAGTTTGGGCCATCCTGGCAAAGGCTTTGGGCGAGCCGGAGATTGTAATGTGTCCATAGACAAAAACTTTAGAGGAAGAGGACGAGGGTAAAGGATGGAATGGACAACAGTAGGGTTATAACTAAGCAAGACGCCATATAATTAAAAAGATACAACACATGTTATCTATTCTATATCTGCGTTATATTATTGTTATATTATTATTATATTATTGCTATACTGTCTTATTGCGCCCCCGTCTCCACTCACTTCTCTTCGTCAGTCCAAATCGTTTTCAGTTGTTTGTCAGCTTTTAGTTTGTAGAGGGCTGTCGTACATCTGACTCAGCTACAAGCAATTACTTGGTAGGGATGAGTTATACACGCTAAATGCGCCTGGTTGTAAATACGTGAAAGCCCCCAATATTGTCGCCTCTATATGTAGTAGTAGCAAGATTAATGATTGGAAGATAGGAACCCAACAGGAACTAGAAATCAGAAATCAATGCATTTGGTGTTAGCGGTGGACTATTAATTTACAATACGAGGCTGGAATTTTCTACCGAGGTGCATGCTGGGACCATGTAATTACCAGCTGTGGCTAGCTAGGGGGAGACTCGAGCCCCCGGTGTCCCCGAGTGGCTTGGATGCTTCAGCATTGAGAACAAATCCCTATTCTAAGAAGACACAACACATAATTTGCAAACATCAAGCAGTCGGTTGCACAAAGCGCAGAGCCGATGATTTCTTAATAAATTATACCATTTTGTGGGAAAATCAACGGTGTAAATCCGACGGGTAATTGATGAATTCCCCGCCAAGTGAGAATCTTCTACTACGTAATCTGAGTCAAACAGCATATCCTTTAAATGTTGATCGCGAATGGCGCGGCCAGGAGATTGCTGGCATGTTGGAAATGCAGCCTAAACGAGTGTTGACGCGTACAGTAAAATATTCGCAGAAGGTTCCATAGTGGCTTCCAACAAGGAACGGATTTGGAATGTGGTGGCGTAAAGAGCAGTTCTTAGTCAGACACGATGCTAGGCATGTATGCATACCATTTGAGTTCAGCTAGCCACGCATACATACTTCGATGATCCTCCCATACTATGCTGACCTACGTATATTAGATAATATGAAAATGAGGGAAATCCACCGCTAGAGGTACGACGCTAGCCCTCAAGATTAGTCTATATGTCTACAAATGCATTAGAAAGTAGATCACTGTTTAGATTCAGGTACAACTTGACAGCCAATCACCTAACTGGTTGACTAATTAATAAAAGGAACTGTCTACTCCCCAACTGTGGTGGGTTTTGAACCCAGCTTCCAAAACGAGTTCCACATTTTTGGGGTGGTTGCTGATGGTCACGTAATCATGATCATGTGTGCTCTGGCGCTACCGCCGTATCTCAAGGAATGAGAAGTTTTAGAATTTATTCTCGTATCTCACACCACTACTGGTACCGTGCTGCCTCCGCAGTCTATCGTGGCCGGCGATGCCACCTAATCGGACAGATGTGGCAACACATAAAAAATTAGGCGGCAGCTGATGGACGCACGAACGCCAGGGCCGATATCGGGAGACAAGCCTGCATGCTCACGGGAGCATTGGAGGCTGTCGAACTTTTAACTACTATACCAAAAAGGGCGCAATCCCTACTTAAGTAAGGGTTTCTAGTGGTATTATAGTCGCATATTTTTTCTGACAGTGGTTCAAGGAGCTCCTTAACAGGCCTCTAGGAATTCTCAAACGCCAACAAGATCAAATCCTTAAACTTACTGAATTAACTTCGACGCAATGAAAACGTTGTGTAAGTGATCTGCAATCTTAGTAACAGACGGTAGTGCTGAAAGATTATCACAGAAAGATTACTTGATATTAGGGTAATATGGGGTAAGCAGCTATTATCCCCGTGGCGACTGACGGAATTGCCGGCCGCCTAAAGCCCATAGATCGCGATGTGGCACTTGCTCTCTGTGTATAGTCGGCGCAATCTAATGATTGCCACAAGTATCATAAGATGAGTAACTTACTTAGGTACATTATTCTGTCATAGTTTAGAATGCTGCAGGGTCATTTCCCCCCCCTCACTTCGGCTATCTCGCCTTCAAAAGTCAATACGACACTATTGTATATGCCTGGTACTTGAACTCTAAAGCGACGACGCCTTGGTTTAACGCCGATGTCACCTTATTGACCAATACGAGCCTTCCATCATTATCACCCACGCCATTCAGCACACTAATAACCTCTGAGATCTCTAGTTCCCGCTCACCCGCCAATTGCAACAACGACAGATCCCGTATCTGCGATAAGACCGCCGTATCTGGGCCTACCTCCCCGCGCTCGGACTGTAAGGGCATCGTGAGCACCAACGTGGCTGCATGGGTAAGTCGAAGCACATTGAAATGAGCCTCTAGCTCAGCTCGAATTTGTGCCACCACAGGCGTGGACGGCCCACCTGGCTCCGGAAAAGGAAAGTTTAATATATAGACCGCTGCGCCTTGGATGGGTTGCGGAGATCCTAGCGCCCTGTGCTGCACATCAATACGCGAGTGTCTAGCCCCATTTCTGCGTTGAAATGCTGGGTTTAATTGGACGGTGAAATGAAGAGTCGGATACTGATCTACGAGGGCTGCCACGCGTTCCGTTGATCGGGCTCCGACCTACATATAGTAGAAAGCAGGAAGCTTAATTAGGAAAATGACCGACTTGATTGTGATTGTCATGAAAGAAGATTACCTCAACAACTAGCGCATTCTGCAGCGGCTCAAGGCAGGTTAGAATATCAGTAGCTGTGTCGCAAACCAGCCCCGTACCGTGTCTCAGGTAAGCATGCCATTGACGACGAAGCCGAGGCAGCTCATTTCTGTTAGGCGTAGAGAAGGCGGACCGGTTGGATATGACGCTATTAGGTGTCTGCCCAGAAGACTTTCGATTCTTCTGAGTAATATGTGCCATCTCCAAAGCTGCTGGGACCGCTGTTCCAGCCAAGAAGATCGCTGCGTCTTGGTATGAAGGGTTTGCCACAAAAGACGCTGACAACGCACTGTGAGCAACATGACCAGGTTGTGGCTCCTGAAGGAATCCCCCCGTAGCCGCCATTCGTATTACACGACAGAGCTTGTCCTCTGGGACGCCAATGAGATCAGATACCTCTTTCATCAAAATACTGCCATTCAGAGGGATACAGGCTGGAACTTGAAATTCTCCTAGCCATTGCATGCAGGCCAGCAGTTGGCTCTATTACACCGTAATCAGGAATTGTTTGACCACTATTATCTAAGAATATCATCCATACCTGGCTGGCCATGTCCTGCAGGAAATCAGTTGGCCCCGCTAACATGACACGAAGTTTGGTGAGAGATGCTATGGTGGATTCTCGTGCGCGATGTGCCTCCGCTCGGGCTCCAGGAGGGATCAGTTGTGCTGGCCTTCCACTTGTGCCATACAAGGGAGCATCGATACTATGGCAATGCTCTAACAGGCTCTTGGTTGCAATCAACAACTCCCCAGCAAGGGCCTCAAGCTTAGCCAACTGATCCATGGCGTAATGAGAGTAGAGGATGAAAGACAGTTTGCGAAGCATCCAAACAATTAGGATGAATCAAATCTACTCCGCTCATTTATACGGCTCTGGCTGAGCATCTCATCGGATTTTACGACTCTGAAAACTCTCTTAGAAAGAAATTTGGGGAATGGGGAACCTGGGGTTACACATGTCAGCCCTAGAGAAACACGGATTCCGGCAGTGGATCGGGGATGTAGCCAAGAGTAACTCGGTGTGAAAGAGGGGCTTATGATGAGCGAAGAAATTCGATTAACCAGTGAGCACAGAGCCTGAGTGCTACCGGGGCCAAGACCCTTACGATCGATTTATATCACATTTTCCTACGTAACCCAGAATCTGGGGTTTGTTGGATAGCCTTTCAATCTCACAGAGAACTCCTCTCAGCGAACAATTTCCTATTCTAGGCGTGATGACATTCTCTAGGCTGCAGCAACCCGGCGGCAACGTAGCCCATAGGATGGCCGAGACTCAGCCCGAAAACCGCAGTCCGCAGACTGATTTTTAGGGCCTCGGCCCGTGCGCCCCGGACCGCTTTAGTCTGAGTAAAAATAGCCGCAGTACGAGATAGATACGAGAAAATCTCTACCGCTTGCACTAGTGCCTTCGTGAAAACTCACTAGAACGGCCGACGAAATATTTAGAAGACGCCACAAAGCTTGGCATCGTACTTTGGGCTCCTGTAATTTAGGTAATTTAGTGTTTTACGCTAAATCATGATCGCCGAAAAAACCGTATTTCTAGCCCTAGCCTTCTAAACTAACCTGAATCTTACTAGATCTCTAATCCCCGTAAGAAATGGTATTGAATATAGTGGAGCTATACAGATAGTTATAGTGGGGAGAGGTTGGGGTAAATGAAGCCATCCATCCATCCATCTCTAACCCTCACCTAATAACTCGACATTCCGTAATTGATTAGATTGAGTCAAGCTGGGATTCTGAACCCATAAAATGAAGACATTCACTAAGTGAAGACCATCAGATTCAACAGTAAAGGACTAAAGAATCTACTAACAGGATAACAAACGTGGGGCGCAATTTGGCGCGTCTACAAGCATCCCCAATACGAATACTCCGTATTTACTAAGACAAGGTTGAAGCCAGATATAACGATCCTGTCTGCATCATCGTCCAATTAGAAGCGCCATGTGTTAGTATAACACTCGCCACCTGTGGCAAGCTAATTGTACAGAAATTTTCCCTTACAATCAACGCCCGTCTCAAAAACCAGCTTACTCATATCGCTATTTTAACATAAACCTAATCTAGGTCAATCCAAGAATACTAGAGAGTACCTTCAGCGCCAGGATTCCCGACGCCTCGCAATAACTCCTAATTTGGTATCGCACTTATGAACATACAGGTAAGAACAGCTAGTTTTTCGATTATACTACTAGACTAAAGTTTGTATTTGTATATATGCAAATCTAGAAACATCGTAGGTAAGGCGTAATCGTACCCAACAGGTGAGAGTGTCAGAGACCCTCACTATAGCCATTAGTATCCTTCAGCTATTACCATTCGCGACAGCTCAACCTAGGCACTTTCCTACAGTACATGAGCTCGAGTGATGTTTAGGAAGCCAAAGGTGTCTCCTCCCAAACCACCTCAATAATAGCCAAAGCACAGCCAGGAGGCTGAATCACACGCTTCAACACAAATCTAGAGTCCGCCTCTGACAACAAGCTTCTCCATTCCATCTCTTCTCTTTCACGCGCATTGAAGAGAGCAGCCATAGACAAGTCTTTGCACCTAGATTGTGTCACATAAGTTAGAAGTCCCCATCGTCACGAACTCAAAGCGGCATTCAACAACCTACCTCATATCCAGCTCTACATGCGCCGGGATGGTTCCTGGTCGGGGCAGACACATATCATTGATCAGTATCTTGACGCCAGGTTTTAAAACAGGCACGAGCGCACGCAGAATCTGACCACAGTACTTGTCGGACCAGTTATGGAACACGGTTCGGAACAGGTAAACATCAGCGTCGACCTTTTGTGGAAGGAACGCGTCGTGGGCCACAAATTCGATGCGGCCCTCCAGCTCACGCGGAAGATTGGCCCGACCCTTTTCGACCACCTTCTCCATGTCCTGGACGACAAAAGTGAGGTCCGGGTAGCGCTCCGCTAGGGCAATGCACAGATGGCCCTCTGACCCGCCCACATCCACGATCTTCGACTTGCCGAGCGCTTGCCAGTCGTATCCCTCTACGGTCCTGTTCATATGGAACTGGGGGAGGTTCCCAAAGACCTGCATACCCGCAGCGAATCGCAAGGCCCCTTCTGGGTTGCTAGAGAAGAGCTCATACAAAGAGGCCACGCCATTGTGTGCAAGCGAAAACGCCTAGACGGCCGTATGGCACAGCATCAGTGACAGTTTCAGAGAGATAAAGAAGGATCGTTATTACCGTTTCGCCGGGTTCTTCGGATCCCGGCCATTTTTGCCATGCTTCGAGTAACTACAGATCATTAGCATAGGCTTGGTATCGACTAGTACGATGGTCTGCCGAGTATTCGACTCACTTTCACAGTCGACGGCCAGGAAATTTCAGGATGGAAGCTCATGAAGGCGTTTGGTCCCGGCTCCCGGAGCAGTTTAGACGCATTAGTATGGGCAACCATACCAAGCTCCGGTTCCTGGAAGATGTGGAGGGTCATGGCGTGACGGAGAAGGCGACGCACTGTAAACTCATTAAGGTCCGTCTGCTTGGCAATTTCCTCATAGGATATCATGCCGCCCGGCGGAACCATGCTGGCAATGTTGAAGCGGCCAATCACCTTCAGGCTCGTAAGATTGTAGCGCTGGGATAGATGTAAGTTATAGTGCCGACAGGGGTTCAGGGTATAGTATGGAAAATACTGTCGAATTCTTGTATATCAAACTCAACGGATCAAGGAGAAGATCATGGAGCTCATCAGTAGCATCTTATAATACGCATTGGTAAGTAACTCAAATTGGTACAAACATATAGTGATCGTTTTCTCGTACCGAGCACTGTTCGCTGAAACTCCGAAGCCTCGTCTGGTAGGGATGTAGGAGCATCTTCTTCAAACGAGGGCAATGGAGCGTTTTGGCCTATGAGCACTTGATCCAATTTGGCTACAGAATCTTGAATCAAGTTTGCCAGCTCGACGATTCGCCTCGCTTGTGTACCGTTCGAGACTGACATCTTGTAGCGAAGATGCAGATATCTAGATAATGAAGATAAGACGTTTGAATTTATGGTAACTGAATCTGTAATCGCGTTTATGAGAAGTTAAAAGATCATGAAATTGTTATAGTGTGCCTGGAGGCTCTGCAGAAGACTGCAGCAATATGGCAAGAATTGGCATGCTATATATGAGGCTCCCTCACGTAACAATCACAGTCCGTAGATAGCCTAACTAGATCTAGCCGGGCTTGTATTAGATTGATGATAAGCGAAGCGAAGCTCACCTATCTTAGTCGAGAAGGAGCGAGTTTCAGCCATCGGTCGGGGTCCGTTGACTTCTTCCCCGCTTTTGTGACTATGTCCGTATATATGAGGGCCGTTTCGCAGAAACTCTCATCACCATAGCACAAGACGACAATAGGAAGTCTCAAAATACCTCAAAGGAACGCTAATGAACGCTCTAGCGTGGACAGGTTCGGTTGCTATAGATGGACTTGCTCGGCCAACTAAAAGTAGAGAGACTAGTAAGAGTTATGTGACCCGGGATTATTATGAGTTACAACTAAGATTACAATATTTACTACGCTTATTTAACCTAATTATAAACTCTAAATAACGCAAGAATAGTATACTCATAGACTGGAAATAGGAACATACCAAGCCACTAAAAGGAATAAATGGGTTAGTTTATATTACCAGAACATCAAAATTGTACATGGCCACTGAGGCTTTGGGGGATTCCCAGGCCCTACAACATAACATCTCTAGATTTTTGAAGCCTCCTAGACTCTATGAGGGTCAAGGTATTTTGGGCCTCTCAGGCTCCAGGGATGGTCACCTATACGAGGCTCTGTAATCTGTCCAAAAAAATACGTGAAATACTTAGGAATTTTCTAACCCATATTGTCATTCACCGATAGGTCAAGGGTAAACAATTTGCTTATTAAGAGCGCAGATCTGAATTAGCGTCCAAACTGGCTTATCTCAGAGGATGTGGCTTACAGATTACGTAAATAGCCCGTAGCCTCGGATTCAATAACTTATCTCCGGTCTACTCGCTTTCTAATTGGTAATTATTGCTCTTTGAATACGGACTGCGAGTCTCTGGTGATGTGGGTCATTGACAGTCAGCTCTTCTCATCGCTGTCCGATTCCTCCAGACACTAGTGGTAAGGTTTCTTAGCGTGTCCCTGGATGATTCACAATATTTATGGGGCCTGTTTTAGGTCCCCTTTGCCGAAAACCGCTAGGGGTGCTAGGTATTTTTGAAAAAATTCTGGAATTTTCAAGATTCCCATTATTTCTACGAAAAAAGTAAAAATGTCAAGTAGTGAACTCCCGTCCAATTGGGATTAGCGGCATTGATATCCTAGGGTTGATATATCTAAGTTATTGTACACTTATTTTCAACTAGATAAAGAAAGCTGTCCTAATTTTATTGGAAATAAGATCTATGGTCTCAGCGTTAAGTAATTAAAGACTATATATGCATTTTGCCGGTTCTCTTCCACCAATCAGAGAGATCATAATATTCAAGGTATGAGGGACTCAAACTCCTTAGAGAAGAGTTTCGGATTTCATATTGACCCTCGCAAGCAGGAGACTCTAATTTTATACGTAAACGGAGTAAGAATTGGTCGTGGCAATGCAACACGCTGCAACTCACTCAACTTTAATGGTAAGCTGCAAAGCTCCTATATCCTAGCCTCTAGAATATCAAGTGAGTCTAAACGAAATGTAATTCTAGCAAGTTTATCACATGCTTGGGTAATTACTACTTGAAACAAATTGTTGATCCAGGAAGAGCAGTTACCAGCTTCTTGTCGTGGGTGTTATTCGATTTTCTCCTTCCGCTCTTACGCCTTTCCCTTAGAGAATCTTGGGCTCATAGTTCTTTCTTAGCTTCTCGCCGTACCATTGAAGAACCAAAGAAATTGGAGGTATAAGAAGTGCGATGAACGCCAGTACACTATTGCCCCACCCTACCCCCAGATTTGAGTACATTGTCAGGCCGGCCAGAGGCAGAAGGCCACCCCCTATCGATCTCATGAAGCCATTGGCAGCAAGGGCACTAGCGGCGTACATTGCGTAGGACTCGATGAGATACAGGGTTGTGGACATGAAGATGATCATAATGCCTACCCCAATAAGTGCCTCGCCAATCATAGGAACTATCCAGTGGACCTTGTATTCGGCCGTCCATCCAAAGATGAACAATCCTGCGGGGAGGAGTAACCCCCCGAATGGGAGAAGAAAGAGTCTATACTCAGGTTTTCTCTGTCCGCTTCCATCTTTGGCAGCTGCGGACGCGCCGTATTTGTCCGAAGTACCACTGATGATCATGGTGCCTGAGAAAGTGCCACAACCGAGACCGATGAAGGCAAGGCCAGATATATTCGCTGACCAGCTGTACGTCTCTTGATAGACGATAGAGATGGAGGTTATCAATAGGTTGAGGATACCGTAGGCCACGGCCATGTTCAGAGCGCAGAGTGCCGAGATTGGTGATGTAACTAGCAGTTTCATCGGGCGGATGATGCCCTGCCAGAGGATAGTGCGCCAGGATATGGTTTCCATATCCCGACTTCTCCCCAAGCCAACCCCAGGAATTCCTGTGGCCTGTCGCAAATGCTCCAGCTTGCGTTGGAGAAGGACGGGAGCGTAAGTTTCCCGGGTCACTAAGGCCATCATGATGGTCACAAAACCAGCTAAGATAGCCACAAGCCAGAAAACCCAGCGCCAGCCCTTCGCCGTCGAGAGAAAGCCGCCGCAAATGGGGCCAACGGCTGGTCCCATAACGGGGCCAAGGATAAACAGGCCCATAAACAGGCCTCGCTTCGCAGGGGGCATCATGTCGGCAATAGACGCGCCTCCGTTAGCAAGTACTGCTCCCCCGAATAGACCCGCTAGAAAGCGAAGAGCGATGAGAACTGATAGCGATGGCGCGAGGGCACAGCCGACTGTCAGAGCGACGAATGCAACGTTGGTCCCATGATATATGTAGAAGCGTCCGTAGATCTCGGACAGAGGAGCCCAAATCAGTGGTCCAAAGGCATTCTATCAAGTAAACAGATTGTAAGTTGTTGAATTGACCCCGTCTAAGGGTTGGCGGAACAGGAAAAGATGCGGCTGTCAATAAAGAACAGTCGGCATACGAGGGAATGCTTTTATTACTCACCCCTAAAACAAAGACAGACACCATAAATGCCTGGAGTAATTCGCTGGAGCTATTGAAATCTTCCATCATTTGGCTAGTGGCCGGGGACATAATTGCTTTTTCTGAATCAGAGCTGGGCATAGAAAGGAAGACCATTTGTGCTTAATATCGAAAGGAGGAAAAGGATGGAATATGTGCTGGACAAAATAATCGCATACCTGATGAAAAAGGCACTAAGAAAGCCAACATGGCAAGCAAGGCGGCTGTAGCATTGATACGCCAACGAGGTAGATTATATGGATGCTCGCAATCCTCGTGGGTATTCCAGCCCACAATAATCTTGTGAAATTCGTCTCCGTCATTCGAACTTCTGTCGCCGTGGGTCTCTGTGGAAGGCTCGCGCTCCTTTGAGTTTATGACAGCAGGGACGGGTTGTTGATGAGCTCTCTCCAAATCATCGTGCCCCCTTTCAGGGTCGTCGCTGTGACTTGCTGTTCGTTTTGGGAGGACTGATTTGCTCATGCTTGCAAAAGAGTGGAAGGTGATGCGCTGATTCTACGCTGGCTTGCGGATTATGGGAGAGTGAGGGTCATAAATTATTCTCTAGTAGAATGCAACTGTGGAACAAATCCGATTCATCGCGAGACAACTCGTTAATCCGAGTATTGATTTTCGCCCGGGAATAAGTGCTAACTCCATGCCGGCCGGAAAGCGAGAACCAGGGGTGCATAGCGATGGGTGGCTGGCCCCTGTATTTGGGTGCGCTGGTTTCCTCAATTGCCGTCAGTTTCCGTCATCCACATCAGATCCCGACTATGGCGGGAAGCAGCCGTATCTATCCACTCTTAACCCTCGTAAATGAGGTGGGGTGCACAGAAAGGGTCCTCGTGAATCTCCTTAGCTGCTAGAAGGTGCGCCATTCGAACCGGGTAGTCTGCCATAACCAATAGAAATATCAGGATTTTCCGCTGGCCTGATTTTAGGTGTGGAGCGGCTGCAGACAAAGAGAAAGCATGTTTGCCCAACCACACACTGCAATACCAAAAGTTCAGTCCATACAATGAAGCAAGTCTCGAATCCTAAACATGACTACGTAGCTCCATCCATGGTGAAGACCTTACGACACGTTACGAACCAGCAGGCATTACTTTCAAGGTCACAACTTCATCGTGAATGATATTGGAAGTGAAAAGTGAGGATACCTTAATATTATACGCGAATATTCCAGCTTATCAAAAGTGAAGGGAGGAAGGATGATATCTTGACTTTACCAGATTTCACAGATAGAAATACTGAGACAGCCTTAGTACTAGCAGTCTGAAATTTTAACAGGGAAATTCTTCACTGGAACCATATCCTTTTCTTCTCGAATACTTTATTAAATTTTCTCACAAATCTTGATTTCTCGAGGTCCCAGCTCGATACACACAACTGAAAAATTCGACTACTCTACCAGGGCAAAACGCCACCATCAACGTCAACCATGCCATTCTTAGCAATGTCCTCGTCCCTCTTTCCCAACACAACATCAGCAAGCACAAGGGCCGGCTCCTTAGGGTCCCTGGCACCACCCTTCTTACGCATTTCACGGCCCTGCGGTCCACTCAAATTGGAAACGCACCAGCCTGGGTTGAAAGCTAGGACTTTGCACCAATCCGCGTAGTTGTGACGATGACAAGCGGCTAGCATGTTGAGGGCGGATTTACTCATACGGTATGGTTCACCGCGTATCTTGTCGAACTTGAAGGTAGGGTCCAGGCGCTTAGTAACCGAGCCCATCTCGGACGTGATGTAGATGACGTAAGGATTGGCCGACTTTTGGAGCAACGGCTCCAGCGTTTCGGTCACTATCTGCTGGGCAAAAACGTTGGTCTCGAAGGTCTGACGCAGCATCGTCAGTTGGTCCACCTGCTGGTAGACGATAATGCCGGCGTTGTTGATGAGAACGTCCAACTTCCCGAACTTTGTGTCAATCTCGGCCTTGGCGGACTGGATCGACTGCTGGTCACAGACGTCGAGCTGGATGACCGAGATTGAGCTCTTCAGTGATTGGCCATAGGTCGACTGCAGGTCTGCTAGAGCCTTCTCGCCTTTTTCAACCGACCGGCTGCCCAGCAGCACATGGAAATCAGACGAGGCTGCCGACAGAGCTGCTACCGTCTCGTAGCCGATACCACCGGTTGCACCTAGGAAATTGAACGTTCAGTTTGGCCAACTCTTCTTTCACGTTTGAGATGTCAACTTACCAGTGACGAGTATGACGGTCTTGTCGGATGCCATGGTGTGTGGAACTTGGGTTTTGTTTGAGGAGGGGTGGTAAAGGAGATGAATTGTAAGGTCTGGGGCTTTTCTCGATGTTTGTAAATGCTTGCAAAGGGCGAATATCGCAGTCTTAACAATATGGGATTCGATTCAGATCAACGGAAGGTAGAGATCACTCAAGGCTATTTAATTTGTAGGCGGTCATCTCCGTGTGACACCTTAACCCCGTTATCGCCGTACATTGGTTGCCCTCGTCATCCAAGGGAGTTAACTACGAGACTACTCCGTAGGCAGCGCTAAATTGATCCTCGGAGGTGGGGTCGCTGTCGCTGACCGAATCACTAGGGTTCAGTTAAATTACTGACGGTGCCGGTAAGCGTCAATACTGGCTTTGACAGAATGTGTGTAACTGTTCAGCGTCAAATTCCAATTTGACCATTTTTGCGGTATTCGAAGTGGGTGAGAATGGAGTAAATAAAACAAAGGAAAGATAATGATGTTGATATTCAGAGCGCGTCTCATATTACCATCATGTTTATTCGAAACCTATCCAGAAATTACTACAGTTAAGGCTATCGTGTAGGCAGACTGGTATATCATCCATACCGATACCGGCCACCTTTCCCGCCTGGCGTCAATGAAACCACTACCCCACACACATGGTTGACGCTCATGGGTAGCGGTAATATATTTGGCCCATATATTGGGCTGACACTACGAAGCACCTTGCCCGAGAGTGGAGTAGTGGAGTGGACAATTAGTTAGTGGCTAGTTCTATCTGTATGGGCATACCATGTATAGTAGAGGGTCGGGTATTTTTCCCTTACCCTACGTGGGGCAAGGGTCCAGCCTTCCCTCCTCGATTGCCACTAGAGCGGCATAGGCTACCGGGGCGCTAAATTAAAATGAACCCCTCTTGGCTAGAGTAAAGCATTCAGCCATTGATTAACTAGTTAAGAACATATTTCACAAACACCTAGTCCCTTGAGGGTCAGAGTAGAATAGAAATATTAATATCTTAAAACTCAGTCAACAAGCTCTGCTTGAGTCAGTGCATACTGTATGTACTAGCAAAAGTATATATAAATTACAAATCTACGCGAATATAGTCTCAGTCACTGGCATTATATATATTGATGGAAGTTCTTTATTTAATCGACGAATCCAGCCAGTAACATGACAAATTCACATTTTTAGATCACTTCATATGTATCACTCACATTTATAAAAAAAAGATCCCATAACAAAAAAGCGGCCCGAATTGGGAATTGAACCCAAGACCTCACACAGCCAGGAAGAACCCCTTTCGAAGTACCCAAAGCGTGAATCATACCACTAGACCATCCGGGCTTGTTCTTAGTGGAGAACTCCTCTAGAAATATAAATATTCTTAATTTACGGTTAATAACCCCCCCCCGGACTCAGCAGCCTGGAACACGCCAACTACTTAACACCTGCTATCTATAAGAACAAAGCTGGATTCTGTATTTATATCAATGATTGAGTCAATATACGACTTTCGCTTTTCTTTAAAGTAGTTTATTTACAAAAAATGATCCTCTGGACGCAGTGGGTGTGTAATCTCGGGGGACCAAAAGTCTCCCTGTCAGTAACAATATTAGTTTCACTGACTTAGTATACTGAAAACAATACTGTAGAGTCGTATGCAAAAGGGCTAACTAAAGCAGGTGAACGACGGTTAGGCTTTGAGTCATGTGTTAATATCTGTCGGCCCTTCAAAGGCACTAACAGGGAACGGAGTAGGGGTCATTACAATGTTTAGGTTAATCAGGCAGTGTTACCAAATCAAGTCAGACCGGGGCGTCAAGATATCAATTATTATAGTAGCTTGAAAATCCTGCGCCCGATATACAAATCAGCCTTGCAACTCGTGATGAGTGGAGCCAGAGGCGCAGCGAGAAAGGGGAATTGTCGGCCACTTGCACAAAATGTCCTCAGCAAACAATTGGTTGCATGAATTTCCATTTACACAACATGCCGTGATGCACTAAAGTTTTGGTACCAGTATGCGAATCAAACGCTTAGCAGTGCCTCTATCGTCACTCTTGAGGCTTTGTAAAGTAGTCTAAGTGAGGGATATCGCGGATTGCACCCATTATCAGTCTAGTATGTATTCAAATGAACCTATATTTTAGTAAGTTAAAATTCGAGATATGCTTTTTAGCTTAGCAAAAGTTCACTTTTCCATTTCTTTTATTCCAAAGGACTGTTATGCGATCTGATGTCCAACATAAAACCATCTCTTTGACGGGTTGCCCACACATTCCACTTGGGTGGGTCTCTGCTATTGTTGAATACCATTAAGCAACATGCCCTCACGCAAGAGTCATAAAACTGGCGCGGTTCTATTGCGAATTATTCTCTTTGCCAACTTGATTGCGATAATGGCCTATGGCGCTGTCCCGCCAACCGAGATGGCGAAAAGTAACCGCGGTGTGTGTCACGATTAGCATCCCCGGCCTCGCCATGGCTGTCCCAAGTCTTCGTCACTATGGCTAGATATACCTGTCTTCCTTACTCCGTCTGGGCCATCATCGGGGTTGACGGACCCTGTGCTGCTAGTTGGTGCGCTGCCATTTTGATACTGTCATATTGGGACCGCAATGTGGTCTATACTCCACGCAACGGGGACCAATCGCGTAAATCGCGTGGTTTGAGTGCGCTCACGCCGATGATTGGGGGAAAGTCTTGACCAGCGACAGGAACGCGAACTGGATTAATTTGGTGTGGTGCAAGGTTGAGGTGAATGGACAAAGTCGTTTAATCGGTAACCATGCAGCTGTGCAACAGCTCCATGTGTTGATCGGGTTATCCTCCGCGTCTCTTTTATTCACAGGGTTTATTATCTTCTGGACAATAAAAAGGGACCAGCAGATTGGCCTGATAAAACTCCGTAAAAATTTACGAACAGTCTAGAACGCGGGTTAGGGCCATTTTGTGGTGTACTTCTTTGGCGCTAGGGCAACATTTGAAGTAGCTTGTTATTTAACAAGCTACTTGTACTTTCGGATTAGACATGTAATATTAGAGCTTTTATGTATTCTTAAAGCCGCTTGGAGAGACAAATAGTATACACACCTTCGGAGAACTTTCTAGTTTGAGAAATTTCACTCATCAGTAGCAGTTATATTTACATACTATCGAGTTGAGGAAGACCGCTTTGTTTTAAGACCAACTGCTCCCACTGCTCCCACTCATTCGGATCCATCTCGAATGATAAAAGATCAGGGAAATCATGGGCATTATCGACATGTTCGAAATCAGGGAGAGTTACATCGAAATATTGAAATTGAGACTGAGGCTGGTTTCTGATGTCTTCAGAATCGTCCAATGCCGCAGTATCAACAACCTCCGCTCTAGACTCTGGCACTATTTCAGGCCTTCGACATCGCCGAATCGCATCGATATATTCCGGTACTGGTGGCTCAGCACGTCCTTCATCTCTACAGGCTGTAATGTAGTGGTCCCAAACTTCTAGTGTCCACTTTCCTAGTGCGATATGCACAGCATCAGATGATTTTTCGAATATCTGTGGATAGTGTGCGAAGACTGAGCCGATTAATTGCCATGAACGATCAACCTCAGGCCCAGTTTTGCGATGCCGAGCCTCGATGAGCACATAGAGTAGTGTGTTCCACAAGAAGCTGGTGCCAATCTGCCACTTGTATTTCTCTAGTCCCCGATGACCCTGCATAAAGGTCAAATACTCAAGAAGCTTAGTAGCATTGGTAAATACGATGTCGAGGTCACTTTGAGAGGGTTTGACAGAGCTATTGCTGTTACCGAATCCGCGTTGAGTATGAGCGAAGAGTTTCATCTTGCATATCGACGATCTGATCAAAATTGATATGAATGTATGAAGAGAGTTTGACGGATCGCAATACCGAAGATAATTTCTTTCCAAGCGGTCTTCAATCTCGCTTATGACCTCATCCTTCTTAGCAAGCGTGACATCAGAGCTTAAGAGCGCTTCCCAGCGAACATCACTAGGGTAATCGTTTGAAAATTTCCGCAGAGTCTCCATGACCTCGTATTTTATGATGCTAAGTGAAATCGATGTAATACCTTTGCAAGCTTGCGGTAACTCTTCCATCTCTGGGTGAAGTTCCTCGTCATCAACATTCAACGGCATCTTGGTATCACCAAAAGAAATATCTTGGGATGGTCTTGTTCCTAGCACATCTGCTGTCCGGAAGTCCACATAAGCAATGTGCCACCAGAGTCGCCGCCGCATTTCAGCTTCGAATGGAGACAGCCCAAGACATGTGCCATCCCGATGAAGTCCCATCTTACGTGCTAGTCGTAGGGCGATTCCGGATAAGACAAACAAAGTATCAGATTGATAACTTTTTCTCACGGTCATCTGTCGATCCGTTGTTAGTCAAATCCCCAAATCAAGCATTATAATTATAGCGTACCATGAATATTGCATATGCTTGGAGAGTCATTGAGCTAGAAGTTGATAAGAATCTCGCATTGATCAACGCCTGCCGAGTTGCATGTCTATAGCGGGAAAATATGGTCGCTTTCTCCGCTCCAAACATATCACGACACTCATCTTCCTGCATGGCACCAATAGTCACAAGATAAAAAGCAAACACCCCTGCTTCCAAACTTTTAGACAGGCGAGAATGCTGTAAACCGTTCGATAAGGCAGCCCAGAAGGTCGGAAAATGGAGGATTTTAATCAAAGGATCAACCCGATCTGTGAAAATTTCTCTTAATTTATGCAATATGTCATGATGCGGGTGCAGCCTAGCAAGATTCTCGAATCTGCTTTCCTGCTCAGGCTCTAGAAACATGGCGCTTTCGAAGACATTTAACCCGTCACCCGAACCATCCATTTCGCCAACTTCTGGATGCTAAAAGAAGTCAGAAAGGATAAAAACATAGCAGTGGTTGGGAAGAGGATTATCTACCTCATCACCTAAATTTGACCAAGGAGCACTAGAAAGTGGTCAGAATCGGTTAGATTAAAACACTAATGAAGAATACTTGCCTATCAAAGTATCTCGATACTCCCTCTTTCGTTATGAGCTTCGGTTTTGTTGCCTCGTTTTCAGGGAAGTTGTTGATCTGAGGTATAGCTACCTCTACAAGCATTCCAGCTTGATGCTGAGATTCCATCTCGAAGTCTGTGTCGCTGCTAGCATCTTCGGGTGTCTCCAACTTCACACCATGCGATCTTAAAAAGTCCTCATATCGTTTCAATTTGGCATGAAGGCCTTCTTTGCGCGGCTTGGTCCTTTTCCGCTTGCCACGGGTAGGGGGGATGAAACTGCATTCTTTCTCTGCCTTGATGCAATTGGAACACGGCGCGCGCCGATCGCATCTAACCTTGCGCTGGCGACACGTCAAGCAAGAATAGTCTTTCAAATCCTTATCTGGTAGTGTTACAGGCATATTCAAAATTGAAAAATCGGGTTTCTTTTTCTTAATGTTATGCGAGCGAAGGTTCGGGGCAAGATGATAAAAATAAGAGAAGGACGCCGAAGAATGACTGGGTAAGAGCGGTCGGGGCTCGGAGGTGACTTTTGACTTTTGAGCCCCGAGTAGCGAAGTTAAGAACCCTCACAGATAAATATGCTGCGCAAAGGCTGTAAGGAGAAATTAACAATAATTTATTTTACTTGTGAGGTCTGTAGAGACACTTTCCCTTTCAATTGGTAAATTCGTCAAAACGGCTTAGAGTCAACACCAACATGTCGCGCTCTATACGCCCCGAAGATGACAGCGAAAAATCTCCACCTGACAAAGACGCCACTGAAAGCAAGCCTAAGGATACCGGCGATATAATATATCCCACTGGTCTCAAGCTTGCACTGCTTATAACATCCCTTTTCGTTAGCATGTTCCTCGTTACGCTGGTACGACACCCTTCAATCCATTGCAGCTGACCCCATTCCTAAATCACGACTCTAAGAAGAATGGACATCAACTAACTCGTTTTATCTACAGGATCGACTTATCATATCGACGGCTATTCCGCAAATTACGGACCAATTCAAATCAGCTGGGGATATTGGTTGGTACGGCACAGCTTATTTGCTCACGAATTGTTCCTTTCAGCTCGTGTTTGGGAAGCTCTACACTGTTTTCAATATCAAAGCGACATTGTTGGCATCTATTATCTTCTTCGAAATAGGGTCAGCACTATGTGGTGCAGCCCCAAGCTCGATTGCTTTTATCATTGGTAGGGCCATCGCCGGTTTGGGGGCAGGAGGTATTATGTCTGGGATCGTGAGTTTTGTCGGAATCACAAATCGTTCATTTTGCTAAGTCTGAGATTTGATTCAGATGGTCGTCATTGTTTACGCCCTTCCATTGCACGAAAGACCCAAGTATCAGGGGTTCTTTGGTGCCGTTTTTGCGTGTGCGTCTGTTGGAGGACCCCTGATAGGTGGTGCATTCACCACAAACGTCACTTGGAGGTGGTGTTTTTATATCAATCTTCCACTAGGAGGTGCTGTGATGATTCTGGTTTTTTGCGTCCTTAATATTCCTGATCGACCCAGTACCAATATACCATTCATGAAAAAGCTTCGCCAACTTAACGTCCTTGGCCTACTTGCTCTTTTCCCGGGCATTATCTGCCTATGTCTAGCCCTACAATGGGGTGGTACCACATATTCTGTAAATATGCCCTTGATTTTGATAGCCTTTAATTCATATTCATATGCTGATTACGTATAGTGGAACGAAGGACGTATCATCGCCTTGCTCGTTCTCGCCTTTGCTCTGTTGATAATATTTACCTTGATACAAATATGGAAACCGGACCAAGCCATAATGCCTCCGCGTATCTTCATGCAGCGTAGCATTACTGCTGGCTTCTGGGTAAGTCTTTGTCTGGGTGCACATATGAATTTAATGGGTAGGGCCCACTAGACTTCCAATTTCATGCTATTACATAATAACTCAGGGTTTAGTGTACTATCTTCCCCTCTGGTTCCAGGTCATTGACGGAGTCTCGGCGGTTAATAGCGGTATCCGCCTTCTTCCTATGATGATACCGGTTGTCATTGCATCTATTTTGACTGGCCTTCTTGTCTCTCGCATTGGATACTATACCCCATTTATGATTTTTGGCGTTGTTCTTTCCTCCATCGGTGCAGGCTTACTCACGACTTTACAAATTAACACATCCAATGGTAACTGGATCGGGTATCAAATACTATACGGCTCTGGCCTTGGTTTAAGCAGCCAGGCACCTAACATGGCTGCGCAGACAGTGCTGAAGCGCGAGGACGTGGCTATAGGTGCATCACTTATGTTCTTTGGTCAACTACTCTTTGGGGCTGTATTCACATCAGTGGGTCAGAATGTTCTCGATAACCAGTTGTCTAAACGGCTTTCCGGGATTGCAGGAATTACTCCTCAAATGATCCAAAGTACAGGCGCTACGGAGATTCTTCGGCTCATTCCTTCTGATCAATATGAATCTGCGCTGGTAGCCTATAATAGCTCGCTTCGTGTGTGCTTTCAGGTTGGTCTCATTATGGCCTGTCTCTCTGTTTTAGGTGCCGTGGCTATGGAATGGCGCAGTGTGAAGAAAAACCGCCCGCAGAAGAGAACAGATATTCAGCAGGTTGCCGAGAAAGGCCTTTCCACAGAAGAGCAAAAAATTGAGAAATCAAATGACAACAATGAAGGCGAAACCGAAGTGATGCGCACTTTGTCTAAGATGTGAAAGTAAAACCGAACGATGGTCGCGGCGGAAAATACAGATTGACCGGTATCTATTCGGTCTGACTGAAAGAGAACATGTAATAATATTTCCCGACTTATTGTATTATTTGCTGTATTATAAAAGGAAGCACGGAAAGAAACGGTACGTTGGTAGTATCAAATTCGATGTTGGCTGTGCTATAGTGATCAAATTCTCATATATTCCACTCATTACTGATATTATACATGTTTACTTAATTTAAAAATCTTTATTTTCTAGATTTAAAGCCCGTATTTGAAACGTGTTTAAAGTCATCAAATTTCGATCCTTAGCAATTAGCCTCTGCAATATGTAGAGTTACCCATGTCAACTAGAATGCTTATTCCTCAGCCTCTGTTCGCTGAGTCATTTTATGGTAAATGTTATATCTAATTCAATCTGTTTGACATCAAATGATGTATTTAGCCTATCACGGCCTAGTCAAACCAGGTTGGTACTTGACGACCAAGGCAGAGACGAGATTATTCCGCGAACAAAGTCTCTTCGTGACGACAAGTTTCCCCATACTATCCCGAACAGTATCAATCATTTCTAACAGTTCGGCCATTTCCATTTCCACTTCGTTGGCCAACTGAAGCAGAACGAGACCGCGTGAACGCGCCATAGCTTCTACCTCCGGGTCAGCCAGACTGCCCGGCTCGGGAAGGAGACGAGCAGTCAAGATAAGCATTATACTGCTGCGGGCACGAAGGACATCAAGGTGGGCAGCTAGTTCTGCAAGGACCGCACTTGGGGAAGAAAGTGGAAGATGGAGTATATAGACAGCCGCGTCGGTCGCGGTTTGACGCGTTCCAAGGGCGCGATGGGTCACACTAATGCGAGGATCAAAGTCATCGACCGTTATTGAATCCCGATCGCCTCCGGTTGAGGCCACTGGATCGCTGATCTGTACGCTGAAGTGTAGGGCTGGGTAACGATCCGCAAGGCATTGGCTGATGGAGCTTGACAACGATTGGACATTAACCTGCGAATGGCGTTCTGGGTGGTCAGCCGGAGAAACTTCTTACATGCTTCCGTCCTCGGGACAAAAGAAATGCCAATAGAATCAAAGAAAGACTTAATACCTCGACAATAGATGCGTCTGGCACATTGCTAATCTTTGTCCAGTTGAGCTGCGTCAAGATGTCGGCAGTGTCATTAGCAGTATGCAATCCACCAATGTGGTGAAGATAAGCAGACCACTGCCGATTCAACTTAGGTCGTCGTTCTCGCACAGCATGGAATGATTTGATAGTGGGTAGGGTTAGATTACTATAGACATTCTCACTGGGCTGGCGTGAATGATTGGCTTGCGCCATCTGCAAGGTCGCCGGGGCTGCAGATTCGGACAGAAACATGGCCGCATCCAACAGCGAAGGGTTCGAGAAGAAGGATGCTGATAAAGGTGTATGGGCTACATAGGCTGGTTGTGGTTCGTGGAGAAAGCCCGCGGTGGCTGTCAGACGGATGATACGGCCCAGATGGGTCTCTGAGGCGCCTGTCAGATCGGCGATGTCCTCAATTGGAACGCTTCCGACCAGAGGAATGCAGGCTAGAATCTGGAATTCTCCTAGCCATCTCAGGCAAGCGAGAATCTCGCTCTAAATTAGTTAGCCTTTCTTAGAATTCAAAAAGCTTGAAGGTACAGTTTGTAATGTAAATTCACACCTGGCTGGCAAGATGTTGAAGAAAGTCTGTTGGCCCCCAAACCAACGACTTAATTTTGGAAGTCATAGATAAGATATTGGATTTAGCCCGATGTACTTCTTCAGAGGCTAGCGGGGTCTCTTGGCGTCCAGAATTCTGCGGTTGCTGAATTGTGACACTTTCGGAACAGTCGACGAGGCTTGAAACTGCTGTGGCAAGCTCGCTGCTATAGGTTTTTAGTTGAGCTATGTTCTCCATAATCGACTTGTGGTCAAATAAACAGAGTTTAAGTCTAGATTGTTTCAAAGAATTAACGAAGAGGAGTGGAGAGTAGAGCCATGCGATAGACTGTTAGACAGAGAGCAAAGTGGGACAAATCTATGTTTCTCTTCGGCCTTTTGGCTTCCTGTCCATTTTCCCATTGAGCTTTTATTTTGAGAGAAATACACCGACATTGTTTCATGCCAGCCTAGAACGTTTCCCTTGAATTTCCATTGCCTATGGTAGTACATTTGGAAGTTGGCCTGACCAGTTCAGGTGCATTTCGGTTTCCCTTTTTGGGACCTGTTGTTTGAATAGATGCATTTGGCGATTATTTGCAAGGACTACAAGGGTTGAATGGGTTGGCCATAAGAATCTCTACTTTATAGACTACTCGCAGTTTAGTGTGTGTGTGTAACCGTTACGTTACACGCAGCACAAGAGAAGGCTGATGGTCCGGACAATAATGATAATCAATATTCAGTCCGCAAGATCAGCCGAGGCCAGGCCTTTTTTCCAGGGACATAATATAGCGCGGTTTATTTCCTTCCGATTTTACATGTGATCCGCGACAGACTTTAGCATCAACAGTTGGTAAACTATCGCCTGCGCGAGAAGTATGGGCTAGATTAGTGCTAGCTTAGAGTATTGAAATTGATCGTAGTGCTTACACTTCAGGCATCTGGGACTACCATCCAGTAACAACAGAGTGCGTATCTCTACGTATGACTGAGTACGTGAGTCTTACCTTGTCCAAAAGGAGGATTGGATCGATATGGTCCGATGTCTCCCAATCGGGACCATTCATTACAAGAAATCAGGGTTCGGCTGATTTCATAAGAAATTAATCAGATTATCAGGCCCATCTGCATTTACACATTGATAATTTGGCCAATCCGCGACAAGGGACAGGGGACTTGTGGAAGCTCCTGCCGATCGACCCGAGATGCTTCCTCGAAAGTCAAACATGGACAGAAACCAATCACAGCCCGTGTATTGAGTGGCCCCACGTGCGGGATCACCCGTCGCCTCGCTCCGGACCCACTCGAGAACGCAAGCCAAAGCGCCGAAGTCTACAATATCGGGCTCCGTTGAGGCAAGCAAAAGTAGTGCGGCCAGTGAAAAAATTTCAAGGACATTCTGTCCATATGTATAATTTTGGTCTACTGGATGTGGCCGTTTGCTGCCATCCTGTACTCGCATTATTTGAGAATGTCAGCCAGCCGTGTGATGTCTTACCCCGTCAAGCTGCATCGCGCCTTTCTGCACTCGGTTATAGTAGTCTTGGATGTACGGAGCATCCGTTGCGTTATTAATGATTGATTAGCGCATGCATGACAGGGTATTTCCCAAAGACGAGTTCTACCGCGTCATCTCGGATGACGAGGCATATTTACCAATCATGCAGCTGGACACTATCACTGTGGATTGCGATTGCCACATATAGTCCTGGCTGAGCCAACTCGAGTATCTCACATGAATAATAGTGGCAATAGTCTCCCACCTAAGCACAAGCTTGTCGAGGGCTATCCTTTTTCGGTAGCCATACTATGTACTACATCCTTCAGCACGCCTCTCAGCTATCCCTCCGAGCAGCTAAGCAAATTTCCTTCCCCCAATTAACCAACAGTTAATACAATTAAACTAATGAGCGAAAGTGATAAGCAATGCCATCTTTCTAATGGCGCTTCCCATCTTATTTTTACGGGCATTGCTTTTGGAAGCATCTAGCTAACAAGAGCCTGTAGAGTTCAATGAATGGGGATTCCAAGACCAGTGGGTCATTTATTCTCCGCCTCCCAGAATTGCGCCGTCGATCTGCTGGCCAGGATTAAAACCTGACCCCTCATTACTTGTTCCCTTGTCCGATTGTTCTATCGTTGTAGTTCACTGCTGTACATTTAACACGTTCATTAATTCATATCGATACACATCGGACTCGCCAAACTCATCATACATCTTCTCTAAACCAACGAAAGAATTAATTGTGACAGTACTATACCAATTATTCACAACTAGTTACCAGACAGCTTATTTACTCCCCGGCAATAATAGGACCTGGTTGCTCTCTACCCTATCGAGGTAATGCTCTATTATACGAGTAATCTATATTGACTGATCTAGATAGTGCCATGCAAGACTCCATTCCCAATATCCCAATCCAGAGGGCATCGCCATGCTCATTTGTAACAACAACACACCAGAAATCCGCTGCTACAACGTCAAAATTGCGCGACAGCTGCCACGCCTGTGCCATGTCGAAAGTTCGATGTCCCAAAGAAAAGCCAACATGTTCGCGATGCGAAAAGCGAAAAATACCGTGCGAATACTTCATCACCAAACGTCCGGGGAGGAAACGAGAGAATGGCCATTCTTACAATAACGCCACCACAATGGCCAACTTGATTGCCGTACCCTCGTCCTCTGCATCGTCTCTTTCAGATGTACGAGGCACACATGTATCCACCAGCAGTAGCACCTCTTTGTCCCTTCCAGACTTGACACCACCATCACCAGGAAACAATGTCTCTAGCAGCAGCACGGAGTTTCCTTCTTATATCGATGTCTTTGCAGACTTGATGATGCCTATCGATCCTTCTCTTTCCCCGCAACTATCAAATCACCTCAACGACCAGCTTACGACACCAATCAACTTCGCCGAGCTTGAATCGTCCCTAGAGTCCCACTTGTCGAACTTCACACAGGGATCTCACGACATCGCAGAACTTCTTACATCTGATGATATGGATATAGAGCCCGGTCCAACGGACTCCAGAACGTCATCGATTGGCTATGCCATTCCATCCAAACCACCCTTTCTGAGCCTAGGCGCAAAATTGCACCCTACGCAAAGCAGCGAGAATTCCAACGGCGGTACATTCGAGCCGGGATCAACATGCCGCTGTATGATTCAAGTGCTGGAGCTCATGAGTAAACTCTTCTTGCCGGAATCACCCATCTCCGCTTCTTCATCAACCAGGCCAGGCGATGACAGGACATTATCAACTAGCACAGCCCAAAGCAGCAGCAATAATATCTCAACTCAAACTCTGATTGCACAAAATAAGCAGTCCATTGAATCAATAAACAACATACTACAGTGCCAGTGCACAGAAACAGGATATAGGATAACGTTGTTATCGATGATTGTGTTTAAGATTCTGGAACGATACGCTCTGGCTGCGCGACAACAACCCCGGGAAGCAAGTTTTGAAGTGATAGGGAGTGTATTCAGTACTACGCTCAGCGATAGCCGGAGAAAGTCCTCTGCTGCGAATGATCAAATGGAGCCATATATCGATTACTCCAAGTCATCAGACGACGAAAGCACCAGACGAATGACTGCGCAGTTAATCCTCAGCGAGCTACATCGTGTACAAGGTTTAGTCAATAAACTTACGCAACGACTCAATGCGCGAGAGACACTTGGAAAGAACTCCGGATTCGAAAGGAATTACTCCCAGATTATGCCATCTAAAGATGGCGGTAAGGATATATCGGGCTTTTCAGCGGCTACCCTGGACAAAATGAAGACGGATTTGCGCAAGTGTCTGGCTACATTGTCGTCGGAGATTATTAATACGTTACGACAGAGTTAATTTAGTTTGTATATAATAGGTTCAGTCAGAATCAAACGTAGTGAAAGTTAATTCAGAGTTACCACGTAAGGATTTCTTGTTCTAAGACGTATTTAACGAAAAGAATCCATCATTATGTCAATAATTCGTTATGGGATCTCAAGAGATCCAGCTCAACAAAATGTATAAACTTATCAACGGTATGCTACAGCAGCAACAGAATCGCAAGAATCAGACCTCGAAAAGGAATTTCTTGGGTTGTGATGTCCCATATCTTAGCCATCACATATCTATCGTTAGGAGATCCGACTGAAATGTGCCAACTATGCACAAAATTCTGCAAACTCGCTTGTTTTACATGTCAATTCGACCTTTCAAAAAGTCTCTCTGCCATCATTATGGGATATAGATGCTGTGCCTATGTTGTTCCATAAATAGGACCTGGAAGATGTATAATGCAAAATCACAATTTCTCCCTGCCCGCTCGTAATTGAGTACTATCCATTCGCTTCCCTTCATCATCCTGCTCTGCGACTTCCAAAGTAGGGAATTCAGCCGGCATAATCCGTCGCGGTGTTGCACCTGATACTACCGAATATTTAGAGAAATCGGTTACGCCGCAGCGATTCCTAAGAAAATCTTCATCCAGGTCTAAAAGACCGTTTACGGATTCAGCGGGGGCTTTGAGCATTGCCAGGATCGCGTCTGAGAAGATTGTCTGGTTTTGGATTAGCGATTTCTAAGTCTAAGGAAAGGGTACCTGCTTACTGGCTTCCGTAGGTCTTTTTCTGATGCTGGGTCATTCTTAACCATGGACCCCGTGGCAGCAGATTCGATGGACTTTTATCAAATTAGCCAGATACAAGTCTTAAAGTACGAGTATAAACTCACCGCCGCAGGCCAGATACTCGTAATAGCCATATTTGTTCGCCCTTGTCGAACAAAGTCCATTGCCAACCCTTTAGTCAACACGCTCATGCCAACCTTGCCTATACCAAAATCTTAGATTAATAAAGCTCCGATCCGTAGCTCATGAAGGAAAACTCACCCATCGCATATGCGGTCTTTCCGCGAAAAAACCTCGAGTAGATGGGTGGCGAAACAACAATAACCCTTCCTTTCCAGGCATTCTTCTTGAAGTACGGCAGCGCTGCTTGCACACTCGCATACAGCCCTTCTGGGTTGATTCTTTGCATCAATTGGAAACGTTTCACGGGAGTATTCTCGACAGACGACCACCATATCGCGCCAGAATTGTATACCAAGACGTCAAGTTTGCCGTAGATGCGCACGGTTTCGGCGAAAAGGTTGTTGATTTGAGAAACGTCTCTGGTGTCGACGACAATGGCGGTCGCGTCACCGCCGGATTCCCGGATTTCGCGCTCAACGGTGTTGATGGTTGATTGCGGGGAGTTCGGATCAGGTGGGAAAGGGGTGGTTGTACTGGCGTCGGATGTTGTTTTCGCAGCAACGACAACTTTTGTCGATGTCAGTAAGAATCAATGCATGTACAAGCGTTTTTAAGAAATTTTTGTATCGCGGCTGTGGCTCAACCTACCTGCGTATCCGTTGCGAGCCAAGTCGATCGATATCTGCCTTCCGATGCCGCGAGACGCCCCAATGACGAGCGCTACTGGTTTATTTGAAGTCATCTTGGCAAACTAATATCTGCGTTTGAAATATCTGCTCAATATACGAGAGAATCTTTAAGCCAGCGACAGCACGACCCTGCGGACATTAAATAACCATATCCTGCATTATATCTGTTCGATACCCGTCTAACCGGACGCAAACCGCGGAGTGTTCACATCGAGCGAATGATGCTGTAATCACGACTTGATGCTTACGTGCGTAGTATCAAGCAGCTCCTGTGCTGAAATTGATGGGTTTGTGGGGGAACCCCGGCTTCGGCTTTGGAGGCGAAAAATGATGATGAGTGATCGTGAAATTAAGCTCTTGGGCCGAGGATGTCGCGGGTGCAGAAGCCCCCCGCCCACGTGGTTCGCGCTGTTCATTCGTTCTTGTCTTTACTTGGTCTGCTTTATATTGCGTGATACAGAATGCTATATTGTTGATTACTCTATATCATATCAGCGAGACTAATCAGTCGGCCGATCACCAGATACCAGATACCAGCAACTATGGGCGGAATTATTAACGTTTATCTCGACTGCGGTAAGTCTGATGATACCCGAACGCATGGATAAGTGCTGATGTACAAGCAGTCTCCCCATACTCGCAGTATGCCTTTCTCCATCTTCTCAGGAACCGCAGTGTTCTAGCTAGCCATGGGATCAGGATCGAGTATGCGCTCTCCACCAATTAGCCCAGTCAATTCCAACCATCAATCGCCAACTAATCAATTCATCGACAGTATCCACCCGGTCTTTCTGGGCGGTATAAACGTCGGATCTGGTGCGATATTTATCCCCATTCTTTTGCTTTGGACAAAACTGTTAACAATCCCAGGAAACAAACCGCCTTGGACATTGCCCGCGAAAGCAAAGCACGGCGAAACTGACCGACGACACGCATCTCGCTATTACAGGGTCCCCAACTCCAAGCCACCACCGTTCTTCCCTATATTATCGCTACTCGTATGTAGAACCAGTCTTTCCCGCTCATTCATGCGAAAAATGTTACATTCCAATAACTAATCCACATTCCAGCCCCAACGAGCAATTACATACATCAAACACGCCTACCCACCCGCGACGTTCGAGAAGACATTTGATTTGTACTGGAAATGGCTGTTTGACGAGCACCACGACATTTCGAAACCGGAAATTCTCGCCGAATTACTTCGGAAGACACCAGAGCCTGGGTTCACTGCCCAGCAGGTTGATGAAATTATGGCTGCTGCCAATGACAAGAAGTGGAAGGACGCGCTTCTTGCAAAGACGCAGGAGGCTCTTGATCAAGGTGCGTTTGGGGCGCCATGGTTTTATGTTGTGAGGACTGGCGAGAAGGGGGAGGTTGTGGAGGAGTGTGGCTTTTTTGGAAGTGATCGGTAAGAAATTCCTTTCGACTTACGGCACTAGATGGAAATATGGCTAACGATGGCAGATTTCATTACATTTGGCAGTTCTTGGAGGTGCCGTTTGATGATATCAAAATCAAGCCGGGAAATCAGTCCATTACTGACGCTAAAGGAAAGCTGTGATAATTAATTCTTGTACAAATGGAATCTATGGCTAAATCGTTTCGTGCACATAATCGTCTACCTACGCTAATAAGCATATTTTATTGTGAATTCTCATGTAGTCATCATGGCATAGGTGGAACTTTCCTCAGTTCCAGCTTGGCCCTCTTCCGAGTCGGGTTCCAAGGTCGGCTTTAATATCCAGTACCGGTGCAGTTACTTGTAAACCAGCGCTAAGAATGTTTGCGCGAAGGAGACGCAAGTGCGCTTCATTGATATACTCTTCGACGCTTTCGATAGCCTCCTTGTGCACATCAGCTCGCAAGTCCGTTTGCTTGGAGACTAATAGGCCCTTTTCGAGGTCGATGCGTGCATCCAGAATGCCCTTCTCTATTAGCGCAATAAGCTCTTGCACAAATGGCGAGTTGATATCGGTAGGCCTGGCAAGACCTCCAACAGCGTCTGGAGCGAAAACCTTGGCCATCGCTTGTAGAGTAATGCGACTGAAGGGGATGCTATATTGCTGAATCGATTTAGTGCGGATGCGGGTGTATAGTGGCGCGATATGACGTTGAAGATGAAAGTCGAGCAAATAGTCCGTCCGGTATTCTTCAAGAATATCCAAGCATGATCGGAACTTGGAATTACAGAAGAAAGAGATTGCGCGGCGAATGTGTGGCTCGAGCTCCAGATAGTTGCGAAATTGACCGTTTTCCAGCACATTCTTTTGCAGGTCATTGCGGTCCATCGACGCTAGCGCACATAGACCCCCGTATACTGCCACGTCGTTGGCTGTGAGGTTTTCGTTGAAGCTGTCACCCAAGGTAGGCTCAGCAGCCAGGAAATTATTTGCTGCCTCAAGATAGTTTCCGAGCTCGAGATGAGACAAACCCAACGATGCGGCTATTTTGGGTTGGATTTTCTTTTGTTCGTCTTCAGGTTTAGGGCCGCTTCTGTACTTGGCAACTGCCTGTTGGACAGCAAACCAGTCCCCTCGTTCGATGGCCACGTTGATGGTTTTGAGATGCATCGCAGCAGCGTGACTAGGCGTAGTGCAATTATCCTTCAGACGAGAATATGTTTTCGAAGCTGAAGCCAGATCACCGATCGCATGATAATGAGAAGCAAGGTCGTCCGTGCCCATCTATTCGCTCGTCAGTTTCGCCCGTCAAGGTATACTCGCTCAGCGTACACGTATGCTCTCCTTAATGAGATTGTTCTTGTATCCCTTCAATTCATGTTCGAGTTTATCCGTCTCAGCCCTCACAACCTGTCTCGTACGCTCCACCCACTTCCTATCCAGAACGGCCTCGGGATCTTTCGGGGCAATTTTGGCTAGAGCCTGGACCGCACGCTCATATCTGGCGACATCCTTACCCGATTTGGCCTCCACGACGGCGAGTCTGAGCGCATCTGTAGAGAGGACGGTAGAACAGCTTCCGATCATATACAGTCGATCAAAGCGTGTTCGTCCTAAGCACCATTAGACCATTTATAAATATATAGATAATCACGGAGAACTCGTACCTTTGTAGTTGGCGATGTACGATTCCAAATCGAATTTAGGAACATCTACGTCAAAACATGAGCAAACTGCCCGAATACACATGTAGGTTTGGGGCTTCGATCATACCCTCCACCTTCACCAGATATTGCCGAACAGGTTCATTCTGCTGTATCTCGCCGCCGAACAAGGCAGCCTGCTTGGCTGCTTGTTGGGAAGTCATCCAGACTTAAAGGCCTCCACAGGAAATGGAGGAAATGGAGGAAATGTGTCTGCCGATTTGTCGATATGCCGAGATGAAAGCGAGCTGAGATCGTTAATCAGGGTGGTAGCGTAGTCCCGACCGACTGGTTGCGTGCTCAAAGGTAATCGTAGGGTGGGCGTTAAAGTAAGCTTAAAGTAACTTGATATAGCGATGTTTAGACCTCACGACGTGAATTAGGTCTCATCAAGCCGCATGAACAAGCTGTAAAGAAAGAGCTGTGATGTTGATTGATTGATAGAGTGACAGGTGTATGCGGGGAAATGTCCGCAGCTCTGACAGCCAAAGACAGGCAGAACGCACACCGCCTTTCACACCGCCACAAGTCACAGGGATCGCCTTAGGCAGGCCATCAGCTACTCTATACTTTGGCTGACCGCAACCAAAACAAGAAAAAACCAAGACAAGACAAGGAACAAAGAATCAATTACCAGACACAATAATTCACACACACAAATACTAATCTACGATCTAGATGGCTGCCCAATGGATCAACTTCTCCACTCTAGCATCAATCCTTCAATGCCAAACAATTAGTCAGCACCCCTGATATCTGGATGCACAATATCAAAATGGAGGTGTGCAAACAGCCCACAGCCATATCTCTTTTCGCACTCCGACAAGCACATCCACACCCTTTCTGGCTCCGGTGTCTTGCGCCCCAGCACAAATTGGAGATAAAGAACACACAACCCACCAAAATTTCGATTACGTACGCCATCACATTACCCTCTTCATTTTTCTTCTTTTCTTTTTCTGCCCCATGTCCCAAACAGGCTGATTACCTGCAACGAGCTGCAGGCCTTCTCGGCACATGATTAGCTGAACACTTAAGGCTGATATTTCCTCCGACACCACTCCCATCTATAGGCCACAATAACAACAGGGTCCAGCAGTAACTAGCAGGCGGGGGATTCGGGAAAAAATCCGTAGAGCCAATATCATCTTAAAGTAAAAGGACTGGCCGTAACTTAGTATGACTTAGGCCCCGGGAAATAGAACAAAATTAAATGGCAACAAGAAGAAAATAAACAGGAGGATTGCGTTTCATGTCAATCTTTCAATGAATATGTCTTCTATTGATGTCTTTGTACCTGCTGTTGATTGGTCAACGTTTGTCTGCATGCCTCCACCTGCTCCTGTCGACTAGCTCGATATCTCCAAAAACATTGACCGGGCTGAAATAGAACTTGGAGGAAGCTAGGTTTTGATCCTTGCCTATCATTGGTGCGCCATATATCTGGACCTGCAGACACAAGCCGCTGGTACATGATATGATTTCTGCAGCCTTTCGCGGGTTTGCGACGACGAAAGTTCACCGTTTTCCGGAGTTAGTCGGGTTTACTATTCAATTGTATCGAACTCATGACAGGTTTTTTAAGGAAGCATAGAGAGGGTATTAGACAGAAAACAAAGACGCAGCCCAATTTCGACTCCATCCGTATCGACATTCACACTCTTATTTAAAGGCAAATCCAACCCCCAGACCCAGAGCATCAAAAAGAAAAGAGCCGCAAATAGTAGCGAGGATTTTATTCCCGTCACGCGAAGTCATACTCATCTATCAGTCTATCCCAAGCCCAGCCTGGATAGTTCCTGTACGCTAACTGTTTCGTCAATGGCATATCCTAATTAGGCGTTTTGCATAGTCTTTCTTTTCTTCGCTATCCTACATCCTTCTACTAAGCTTCTAGAACAACCACAAAACATTTCTTTTTCGCTGCTGTCATAAATGCCGGGGCTAAATGCAGGGCCAGGGAGGGAAAAAGGAGCAGGAAATGTCCGGACCAACCCATTCAAAGACCTTGGTCGCTGAAACTTTTACCGGGTCAGTGGAACGAGGAGAAATCCTTGTCAGCAGGCTTCGTGAAAATGCAGCTAGAACTTCTAGAAGGATTCTAGAAGGGAAAAAGATGCTGAAACCGGTTGGTCCGTATTCGTCGCTTTGCTCTAAGGTTCGTCGAGCCCTGGATGAATCTGCATAAATCCTGCCTGGCATGACTTTCTTCACTTTGATTCTATTGTATAGACGTAGTGCTCCAATGCAGAAACTTGAGTGTTTCGACTTTCAGTGGGGGGAGAAAGACAGTCTGAAGCGGACTCGTCTTATCAATGGTCGTGGAAACTGACACTCACGTGTGGGCCCTCGCACCGGGGAGGATCGTCAATACCCATGTGCCCGGGCCACAGTAGATGTATTGTTGATCAGAAGGATGTGTAGAAGAGCAAATCAGAAGCCATGTTTGAAAAGCAGCCCCAGTCCACCACCAGCCTCGCTCGATATGCCTTCAACAGATTTAGCATCGTAGTGAGCAAAGTGGAGGCTATCAAGCCTTTGGCGGCTATTACCAATAGACCGTTGGGGAAATAGGTCAGGGCAATAGAAAAAGAGTGGCTGATTGCGGCGCGCAGTCGTGTTTTTTGCATACATCGTCACGGGAAACCATTTTTTGCACACCCCTCCAAAAAAGGATCCCCTCCACGCTCGCCTCCCCCTTCTGTTCTCGTTTCTCCCACTCTCAACTCACCTCCAACTCTCTCTCCCTCTCTCTCCCTCTCTCTCTTGTCCGGCACAAGCAGACTCTGTTCATCCTCAAGCTTGTATCTTGTTCATCTCACAGTTCCTGTTTCAAGTCTTGACTTGAAAAACATCTTCTCGTCTTCTGTCTTTCTTTCTTCGTTTCTCTTTCTCATCTTGACGCTCGCTCCCATCCACAGGCGAATACCTCACTTATCGAGATGACTGAGCAAATACCTCCCTATTTTAACTGTTTCGAGGGCATGCCCATCGAGTATGATGGTAGCTATTCCTCGCTAGGCTCTGTCATGTCTCCCCATAACTACCACCAAAACTCGTTCACGCCCCTAGCAACCTCTTACAACGACCAAGTTGCTTCGTACTCCTACCAGCTACCAGAGACTGGTAATGACCTCTTGCCTATCAGCCAGCATTGCTTCTCCTCTTCCGACCACACCTCCCCCTACAACCCCTACCAAATGCAATCGCAGGCTCATTACCCGCCAAGACTGATGCTTTCACAAGCTTTTCCACAAGCTGCTCCACAATCTGCGATGGAGACTCGTTACCAGCAGCTTGGAAATGACTCTTTCGTCGACACGGCATCAGGCTTCGTGCCTCAGTGCAACGTGCTTCAGGGCAACGTGCTGCGTGAGTGTCAGCCAGCTGAATTTGACGAGTACCCCGAGTACAACGAGTTCAACGGCCTCCGCGAGCAATCCATTAACTCTTTCTCCTCAGGCATCGTTGGTTTCCAGAGACAATCAGCCAACATGCTCGGGCAGGAGCAGACAATCAGCCCAAGTGCTTTGCACAAGTCACCCCTCGATCTGCCTCCGCAGGCTCAGGTGAAACGAGTGCGGGCCAGCCCTCCTCAAGCGAAGCCTGTTGTTGTGTCTCATCAAATGATGGTTGCCAAATCCAATACTCTCCCCAAGCACGCTGTAGCCAGTCTGCCTCAGTACCATCAATTTCAGTACTACCAGAGCCAGTTCCAACTGCAGCACCCACAGCAGCACCCACAACAACATCAGCTGCAGCACCGTCGGCTCCATTCCATGCAGGTCCCAGACACCTTCAACAACAGCTACCAGGCGCTGACTGTTCAACCTACCCAGCCAGTCCAGCCAGTCCAACGTGCTCAGCCAGTCATCAAGAACGAAGAAAGCGACGACGACGACGATGACGACAGCCTCGACATTGATCTTGCCAACTCGGGCCTCCCAGTCTTAAACAATGTCACCGTCAATAATGGCGCGAGAAAATCAGTATTCCCACCAATACCCACTCTCGCCGCCCACCCATTCCTCCAGACCCGTAGGAATGAGATCATCATTGAAGTTGCTTCTGCGCTTGGCCAGCGACTGGCACAGGTGTACTTCCTATCTGAAAAAGATCAACAAAATGCATTCCTGCGAATCGCCAAGGACTTCGGTTGCTCCTACAGCGAAATCAAATTGATGGGGCCCTTGACTGAGCCGGATTCGACTTTGCGTGGTCGTTACCGCACTTTGAAGCTATCACCTGAGCTCAGGGTGCGAAAGCCAGTCTGGAAGGAGAAGGATGTAGTTCACCCTGCCCAGTCTTTTATTCGTTTGTGTTCGACAACTGACCTCGTTGTTTTTGATAGGTTCGTTTGTTGATGAGGGCCGTTGAGCTGTATCGGGAGGTCCTCAAGGCCCCAAAAAGACCTAGGGCTCGTCGCGGATCTAGCACCAGCTCTGCCACACTGACTGATGCAGAGGGTAATGAGGTGAAGATTATGTGGAAGCACGTGCAAGAGTTCATCATCAGGGAGGGCGGTTCTTACAAATTCTCATACAAGAGCTGCAAGAAGAAGTACTTCGAGGTAATCGCGGCTCAGTCTGGTTGACTGGAGTACTCCTGGTACTTCAATCAATCTCTCTCTTGCTCTCTCTATCTCATCCAAAATGGCGTTCGCTGGTGTGGCCTTCTCCGTGGGGAGCCAGGTGCAAATGATTGTTTTTCATTTCTTCTTTTTCTTCTTTCTCTTCCGTCTGCTCATGTCTGTTGTGATACCTCCCAAACTGTTTTCAGCGCTTTTTTTTCGATCCTCACCTTCAGTTCTCTTCCAGCTCACTTCCAGCTCATTTTCAGCTCAGTACTGTTTTAAATTCAGTCCATGTTTGCTTCCCATGTCAGTCAGTCAGTCAGTCAGTCGTGCTATGCCATGTTAATGACAATGATCAGGGGAGGGATCAATCAGTTCTTTAATACTCTGTTGTTTTCTTTTCCTCACTCGTGTGTTTGCTTGCCGTCTTAGTTGTTGTTTGCCTGCGTCTACTTGTCAATGCCAGATGGGGGTTGGAGAAAGAGCATTATCGGGGTCCGTTCGCTCTGTTCGCACCGCACACTGGAGACATTAGACTGGTAAGAATACAGTATTCACACCAATGTAGGTAAAACGTAAAATGAAATGAAATGAAACAAATTAGTTTTTGAACACAGCAGTTTTCTTTCATCCTTACATACACCCAGCACATACAAAAGGCTGGCTAGGTGCATATAAGGAAGTAAATAATATTCATATTGCTTCCTATCAGTTAGATACACAGGCACAGTATAGGTCAGAAACAGGGATCAGCCTAAGAAGAAACAGTAGCAATCCCAACTGCTGCCAAAAGGGAATCGAGTTTTTCAGGAGCAGAACATAGTTCATCCCACTCCGGCTCCTGTTTGACCATCAATGTGCCTGCCAGTATAGTCCCATTGAGCGAGATTGCGCTGTCACTCTTCTCTTTCTGGAGCTGAAGCTGCGCAGTCTCGCTCTTCCTAGGACATATCATCATTGCAGACTCGGTCATTGCGAAGTTGTAGCTGATTGCCGCCGGTCCTGAAGTCTGCACATCCTCGCGGTTTGACGATGTCGTACCTGCATCTGCCGCAACAGCAGCCTGATACAGCGACAAGTATGCATTGTGCAAGAACTCCGCCGACGGATCCTCAGGCAATAGCAGCGCAAAATGTTTGAACGGGAGACCCGGTAGCTCCCTGAATGCTGAATGCGATACAATCGCCTCTGCGGTTGACACCCGATCAATCAGGGGCACCCACGACGACGCAGAAAAAGATGAAGATGATGAAGAAGAAGAAGAAGATAATTCCTGCCCACGCATATCCTCCACGGGAAGAAATTGCAAGTGCCTATGAGGTTGACTTGCACCGCTCTCTTCACCGGAATTGAAAAAGGCAAACAATCTTCTTCCGCTTGAAGCAGCAGCTCCTTTCTGATGCCTCTTTTCTCGATCATCATCTTGTATATCAAGATCCTCTCCTCTCCACTCTCTCAAACACGCAAACGTAACCTCCAAATCATCCTTTTCTAGAATATCCGTCTGCGGCCGAAATGACTTGGTCGCGAGAATGAAATGGTTGGGTATAACCGGGAATTTATTCAGGACAAGAATATGACTCGGCCCCCTTTTTCCCTGCTGTTGACGGTCGCTTGCCGATGGATGAAATGGGATGTCGGCGATGAATAAATCCTCCGAGGGGTTCTCGAATGGATCCGGCTTTTTGTCATGTTTATTAGTAGCATTATTATTATTACTATGTTTCGGTTCTTGCGGCAACTGTTTTGCAGTGGCATTGGGCTTTTTGGCGAGTGCTGGGCAGTAGCGAAGTTGGTACTATATCATGTTTAGTTATCATTTGCCCTTCTTGGGTGTTGGAAGGAGGCCGAATATGTACTTACTTGTATCCCCGACGCCGAGAGAACAGCCAACTGCGTCGCCGAGAACACTAGACCGCCGGATTCTTTGGCCGCCGTAAACCGCTTCCTGACCAACAAGGAAAGGGGTTCCGGTAATCCTAATCGCATTTTGCTTTTGTTCTATTGATGACTCTAATGAATTGGCATTGCATTGACAATTGGTGAAATTGCAATGGATGAATTGAGGTTGAAGTTGACGTTGGGAAATCGCGGGGACAGCCATAGCCATGCTTGCCGCATTCCCCACTTCTCCTCTCTCTACGCTTTGGTAAATCGTTAAGACCGTCTACTATTACGACTTGCTGTGAATAAGATTGGAGATGTAGATTCAAGATCGTATTGTGTCCACTTCCAGAGCCGGACCCGCGCTGGCTATTGACTAGCTCAGCCAAATAATAACTAAGTAATAAAATAATAGATAGTATCACATATCAAAGTATAATCAAATATCTGATCCAAACCAGTAACCCCAAGTCGCTAGATTCCGCTCCATGCTCATGTCATGATCCAATGATTTTAATCAAGAGAAAAAAAGAATAACCAAGCAAAAACAACAGTTCAATAAGTTACAGTGGAGAATGTGAGTGTTGCGATAATTAGCAAATTAAGCCCGGTCTTTCTCCCGGTATGCCATCAACTCCTCAATGTCGATTTCATCGACTTGGTTGATTTCAGGGAATAGTGTGACCGGCTGTCCCATGAGACGGTCCGAGGAGTTGTCCATCCAGGGACCACGCTCCTCCGCGGTGGCACTGTAAATGCCATCGGCGCGTTGAATGCTCATCACGTCCAGATCAGTCACGTAGGCATCGCGGTTCGTGCCATCGCCGGCGCCTCCCGGCAGACGGATGCGGACTTCGAATTCATTGTCCAACATCATCTCGTCCTTCCAGAGTCGTCGCTGACCATCATACACGCAGAGAACGCGCTTCTTTGTCTTCATCTTGGCGGCGGGTGTGCCCCAGGATTGAGGATAGCTGTTGCGATTCCCTCGTCGGCGCGTGGCAGGACGAGGTTTGGACTTTGTGACGGCAGCATTAGGTCCTCGCACGCATCGTGAAGACGGGTTGGAGGAGTTGTTGGATTTCAAAGAGCCCCGACCAAAGCGAAGGTCTTTGTTGTGGACATTAAATTCGTCATCGTCGTCATGGTCATCATCATTATCGTCGTCACATTGCTCACCATCCATGGGGCTCGCCGAGTCCAGCAGCTTGTGTTTCTCCATAGTTTGCTTGACATCCTCGTCGCCAGCGACTTCGGCCAATCTCTTTTGATTAATAGCCTCACTAGGCTCTTCTTGTTGCACAACACGAAGGACGCAGTCGTCCAAGTGTTCGTAAAAGTCCTGAGCATTGCTGAAAGTCGCAGAGCAGGTAGAGCACTTTCCAGTGGCATCGTCGCTGTACCCGGCCAGTGTTTTGGTGCCAGAGGCGGGTGGGCTTCTCTTGCGGCAATTGGGTGCAGTCTGTTCGACGCCGTGCACTGACATCAAATGGCGCTTGAAAACATCGGCCCTGTTAAAGCTCTTCTCGGCAGCCGAGCCCGAGCCAGGGCAGAAACCACAGACCATGGTTCCCTTGTAATGAGTCAGTGTGTGACGGTTCTTGTCGTATTTGCGAGCAAATCCTTTCTGGTGGTAATCGCAGGTGACGATTGGGCACTTCTCTGGGCGCTCACTTTGGTGAGTGAGCATATGGGCCTTCAAGTCCTTGAATGATTTGCCGCAGTCGGGGAAGGGGCATCGGCTCTTTTCGCGCCCTTCATCTTCGCCGTCAGTGTTGCTCGCAGCAGGACTAGGGTGCGATCGTGGAGAAAGAGAGGCGGCATTCGATCCTCTCTCGTAGGCACCAAGGCCATTGTCGGAGTGTGCCACATGCCCTAGTTGAGGAGACGGGATGCCGCCATGGTTCTGAGGTAAGTGCGGGAGCGTCATCGAGTGGTGGGAGGGTAGCGGAGAGCCAACATGGGCTGGTGAAAGAAATCCAGTTGACTGCGCCAGGGTACCTTGTGGGTCCTCAGGGTAGGAAATTGGGGGAGGCATCGAGGTCTGGTGAATCAATGACGGGTCTGCGATAGTGCATCAGTACATCAGTCCAATATCTTTAGCCTGCCAATTCAACCTACCAACAAAGCTGTTGTTTGCGTATTTTGGAGCGAAGACAGAGTCTGCCTCCATCACACCGGTGAAAGAGTTGAAGTCGACTTCGTTCATCAATGCGCCGGAAGGGAGTCCGACCAAGCCGTTGGAGGTATCAGCCCACGACTCCTGGAAGGTACCGGAGTATGGTGAACCCATGACCGAAGAGGGTGCGCTAGAGATGGACGGGCCCGAGGCGCCGGAATGATGTGAGGGAGCCATAGAAGGAGGAGAGTTGGGCATGGCAGGGAAGCCCAGTGAATTTTGCATATCTGCAGTGTACATTCCGTCGTAATAGTTGGAGTGCTGTAAAGCCTGAGCAGTAGGATCTTGCGGCTGGGGGAGTGAATGCAGGCTCTGGTGCATGTTCTGGTAGGCGTATGAGTCCATGACGGATGAGTCCAGAGGGACCTGGTCGTGGGAGAAGTAGGGAAAGTGTTGTTGTCTGGAAGAGTCGAGGGCCAACATGTTGGAAGTTGGGGCTTTTATATTCGACCGGGAAGGAAGCAGCAGGAGATCTGGAGTTTCCTGGTTTTGCATGTCACCCTCAGCAGGCTGAGAATCTACCACCAAGTCAGTCTTCCTTCAAACATCGCAGGGTATCTTGCAGACCTACCGGTGCCGGGGAGGCAGAAGAAAAGCCGACTAGGTGTGAATTGTGTTGAAATCAACCATCAAGTAGGCAGACCAATGTAATTCGTATTGCTTCTTCTCGTATTTCTCTTAGAAACGTCTAGTAGTGCGCCGAAAGCCTGAGGCTAGTGTTTGGTATAATCTCAGCGAGCGGCGGGGAGCAGAGATGAAGACGTAGCGAGCAGACAGGCGCAGTTGAGGAATGAGCAAACAGAGGCGCGCGCAGAAGCAACAGCGGCAACGAGAGTAGAAGGTCAATGTAGGAAGCAGAAGGGGAAATAGAAGAGAGCACGAGGCGGCGTGGAAGGAATGGGATGCTGGGATGGGATGGGATGGGGGAGAGACGACCGGGCGGCGGAGGAGGAATATTTATTTCGACTGACACCGGGTTGATGATTGCTTGGTTAGCCTCTAGCCCTACGAGCGCAGGCTTGGGAGGGACTAGCTCGTTATTTATTTAGTGAAGCAGCATGCACGCAGGCAGGGCCCGCGCCATGACTGCGGGTGTTGTTTTTTTTGGCAAGGAAGTAAGAAACAGCGATACGTACAGCGGTACAGCCAGTAACCACGTACGGGGCAAGTTTTAGCGCGGGCTGAGTGGGGACAGGGGTGTGGCCCGGGAGGGTGGGGCGTACCGAGTCAGCGTATCGTACCGTACCAAAACTAACACGGGACTGCGCCATCTGCAGTGGGGCACCATCGGCCAATCCGGGCTCGGCCTCGGAACTGTGCCTCTTAGCGAGGAGCTATTTCTGTCTGCTATTTCGGGCTCTCGTGCAGACCGCCCCAAATGCCCTCTGCCAGCACGCGCCCACCAATTGCCTGCTCGCAACACACGGTCTGTCTCTATGGCCTCTGTGTCTGCTGTTTCTGCTGTTTCTGTCTGTGTTTGAGTCGAGTTACAGTCTGTGGGCTCACTAGAGTCACTACTCTATGTGCCGCTCCACCAAACACCAGTACCACACGGTGTAGTATGTACGAAGCAGTAGGAAACTAATTGTGAGTAATCCTTGGCACATGACATTGACATATCTGCCTCAGGCTGGAATCATATGGAGATGTGGGTACTGGGCAATAGCCCGTGAGCAGGGACATTCTTCTGATCCTTTTTGACGTTGACTCATATTACTCTTATTTCTGTAGTCTTCCTGGTGGCAAGCCACCTCGACGCTTCTATTTGCTGCTCAACCACGTCGGCGACCTGCCGATGGAAAAGCTTCGTGAGTCGTGACATAACGACAAAGCATATTATTCTTAAGCTTAGATGATCCGCCGCTTGTCGTTATTATTCAACGTCTATCCATCGAGATTAGAGACTCCCGATTTCACCCTACTCAACGAGTCCCCAGGCCATACCTGGCTGGCCGAGGCTCCTTGTTTGTCGTCTGATTTTTTATTTATTTTTCATGAACAGGGGTCAATTTCAAATCACCCACGCCACGGGCAATAATACCTTCATAGTAATAAATAATAAAATATAATAGGATTATTATTATTACCTTCCTTATTAATCATATAGACAAAAAACGACCCGCGGCTTTGGTTCACAAGGACTCGTCGGCCACTGAATGGCCGATGAGATGACAGCAGAGCCTCTTAATCACCGGGTGGACCAACCATGCTCGAACCATCACCCGCGCCAAGCCAGTTCTGGCAATTGCTCAGACCAACCAGCGTGCTCTGTGAACAGTTGGTCCAATAGAACCTCAAAATACACTCCTTACGGCCCCACCTCTCCCGTCCATCACCCAGACTAGCGACTTTTCGCTAGCCTGTGACGATCTCTGAAGAGGTTCGCAGCCATTCATTTGCCCGCTAGTCCTGTGCTGGGCCTAGCCCAGGAGACAGCCTGGTGCACCCGGGCTTGTGACTGGCCGATGCCCGGAAATTTGAAAGTGACAAGCGACCAGGGTCTGCAGCAGCAACACCTGTTCGTTGCTCTTCACCTTGATTCGTGCAGTCACTGCAGTGACGTGTGTATTTTACAGTAGCATAGTATCAACAAGTAACAGTGTACTATTATATACTTTGTCCATATAGTTGAATAGAAAGAGTACAAGTCGGGTTATACGGTCACCTCAAATGACATAATGGGTTCGTTATGCCAAGTCACTCCACGGTCCAGGGTACATGATACATACTAGTAGAGCATACTTTGGAGGATGGTCGGGTAATACAAATACCGCTAATCTGCCGCCCCGCCGACTTTACCCTCTTGTCGATTGGGCCCTTGGCAGGTTGGCAAGGCTCCAAGGCTCACAAGGCTGATTGTGATCTGTTTGTCATGACGTCGAGATTGACTATAGAAAAACAGTCATTGTTAGAGAATTCTGCAGTGCGAGACAGGATGTGGTGCCACGATGTGGATAGTTTGATTAGTGCTCGATCGTAGCACCACAAGAGCATCAACAATCAGTCGGTGTTGTCCGTGGCCCAAGAAGCCCGAGGGCTTTTGCGTGTGCTTCTGCTCTCTCAACGACGTTCTTCTCCGTGGAGGTCGGTGAGAAAAGTGTACCCGAGGCCGCTTGGCGCCACGATATGCGGGTGCCATACACTAGCCACAGGTATGCAGCCAATCAACACTGACTCGGATTGCAATACAGCAACACTATTGGTTCCTGTTAGACCCGCCCATGCACGCCAACAGCGATGTGAGGCGCAGCTCGATTTTTTACACCGCTTCCCGTTGATTGGAATGTCGGAGTCCTTGCCTTACCACTATTACAGTCACATCAGTGGTACGATGAGGCCATCATGCAGGATCGCAAATTGTCGATAGGTCGGATGTGCAGCCACAATTCCGACAGGAGTCTAGAAGAATGCACCACAATAGCAAGAACACCAATAATTATAATTAATAACAGGGAATCAGATCAGAAAGGAGTTACAACCTGCCAGACCGTTGTTTCACACGCTAGTATCGGCGAAATGGTAAAAAATGGGTGCGAAATGTGCGGTGGAACGGAACAGCCCTACGAAGGGATCACTGGATCGACTTTGAATTTGCTGTGGATCTCGAATTACCACATACTTCCACGGAGATTGATTAGAATAATAATTAATCTGGCCGTCGCAGTCGACGAATTCACGGACAATTCCCGCTGCTTTGAGCCTTCATATGATGTTGGTCTGCAACACTCCCAAGTACGTACACAGTGTTCCCTATTGGGCCGTTCGTACAATCAGTCTAAAACCTAATAGGACTAATTTGAGCGAAGTCGAACCATGAATCGCATTCTTGGCGCGTCGATCCGGTGCATGGCGAGCCTCCAATCAGCGGCTGCGGAAATCCACACCCCTTTTTCTGTTCCTCCCTTCTGTTCTCCTTTCCGAACAGGAAACCTGGGTTGATCCAGGCTTTCCGACCGGGGTAGTTGCCACCCCCATTTTTCGTCTGGATAATAAACGACTACTTTGTACAAATTCGCGAGTCAAGTTGGAGACCAAATCCAAAATGTATACTAGGCTACGGAGTACGCCGTAGCCATATTAGCAGCTAAGAAGGCTAATAAACTCTTATGAAATTTGACAATAGTTAGCGAAGCAACCGTGCGTGATCCGCCAACGATCGATCACTATGGAAATACTCGGCTCTAATTACATTCTTTAAAATAAAACGACAGTTGGCCTCAACACAACATCGATGGCGAATATAGCAAGTAGCATTATGATACTATTAATTGCATATTTCGATAATTATCGGTACGGTAAATAAAATTCTAAATAGGCGGATGAGAAGACCCGCCTTTTTGGTAACCTAGTTGGGGGCGGAAATCAACCTTGGAGTCTTGACGAAAGTCTTTTATGGTCCGAGGAATATCCGGTTTGATGATTATTTATGATTCCACACCAACATGGTAACAAATTGATTCCATAATTTTTGCTTTTTTGCTAGCCGGCAATTTCCACTCCGAACGAAAGTCAGCTGTTTATTTGATACTATTGATGGCTTCGGCCCACGCGACAAAGTCTGGTTGACAAATCCTTCGAGCATCTTTTTCCAGCCATTCACATCCGCCAATGCGGCCCTTTCCGATGCCATTAACGTAAGCGTTGTGAGTGATGACTGATGGCGAAGAGCTTAATCTTAAAGAGTGTCTTAGGCGTCTACCGTTTGAAACCCTTTTATGGGCCGTTATCTGTCACTATGACAGAACAGGATATTGTAGTCGATCAACCGTAAGCAATGAAGGACTAACAGAGTCCAGACTAACACGTCGTTGAAAAACCTACGTAAAGTCGCGGACTCGCTTAATTAAATCCAATCCTTCTTTCGGTCCCGAGTCAGAGTTTACGCCAGTGTGTTTTACTCTCGCAGGAATTTTAATAAAATAACATTAGATAATCTCTATGATCAACCAAAACCAGACCGGTCGGAGTCGGCGCGGAATGTGCCAGATGGACTTCAGTTGTAATTCGCTCGGGCTATATTGAGTATTGTCATGATACGGCCCCAACAGACACTCCGCAATAACTACGGAGTAGGGGTTAGAATAAATGATTAATATTTGAGGATTAATATTGCTTGCTGTTTGGCTTGGGGCCAAGGTTAAGCGTGTGCAGAAGTCTGGTCAGACCTTTGTTCATCCTTCGACCACGTGTGATGAGTTGCGCAGGTGCATACATCTTACATGTTACATCTAGTCATGCTGGGTTGATGGTGTAGCGAGTAGACACAGATTGATCCAGGGCCGACGCTAGCCATTACATGACTGCACGTACTATAATATTATTATAAATTGATGATGCAGGCTGACCACCGTCAAGCATGTAACAGGTGGTAACACAACGTACGCAATATTAAGACAATAGAAAAATATAACGAACATGCTCAA